ATTCTTCTGAGACTGGTGCGCTGCGATTCATTTTTTTTTTAATGATAATTTTTGAGCTATCAAGCTCATTTTTATGCCCTAAATCAATGCCTCAAATCAGTGCTAAAAAAACAACGGAAGTTCACCAAAGCATGTTTATTGAAAGAAACTAAATCACCGGAAGTAAGGAAACAGAAGAGTTTGCAAAGAGGAAGGAATTCAAAGCTCAGTAAAGGTTTTTTCTGGCGTCACGGTGGCGGGAGGATCTTCTTCGTCTTCCATCATCTCAGCAACTTCGTCGATGAACTCGGTAGTTTCTCGTGTGATGAGTCCCATGCTGAGTGCTGTGTCCAGAGTCTCCCCTAAAAGATACGGCGATAAGCAAGCATCGATAATCGTATCAGGAGTACCTCCTCTTGACGGATTCTCCAGCTCCGATTGCAGCTGACGGATTTCTTCTGCTCTTGCTTGAGCGTCGTTCTCATCGACGATCTGCTGGAATTGTTCGCCGTCCAAGGAGTCGAAAGTACTATCAGCGTAGGCAATGTCTATCGCTAGATAATTGTTAGAGAGGGATTCGAAAGTTCAAATTACCTGGGACAACTTGATCGTCATCGTCGGAAGACGAATCTCCAGTCAAATCAACTTGATGAAAATTAATAGAAGCTTAAATAAAAATATTTACTTGTTGGGATTGCTGAAGCCATCATTTGTTGAATGGAAATCGGTCGGAATTCGGGAACCCGAGGAGATTGAATAACAGATGGTCGTCCAGCCGGAGAAGGAAACTCAAATGGTTGAGGACGGGGAGAGTCAAATGGAGGAGGCGTCGGCGGCGGTGTGAACATTGATGCTCGACTCGTGGAAGGTTGGCACATGTCCCAGGTCGTTTGAGTCCAAAGTTGATTCTTTTGCGACTTTGGACGAGTCGCCCATTCTTCCTCGCTATCAGGACCAGTATCAGCGCCGCTATCATCGTTGCTTTCAGCTGCGTCGTTTTCTTCAGCTGCGTCGTCAGCTTCAAAAACGTCAGAATCTCCAGCAGCGTCGTCCTCTTCAGCCTCAGCGTCGATGTCTTCCCCATTATCGCTTCCATTGTCAACTTCATCATTTTCAAGCTGATCGAGCTGGTCAATTTTTGGTCGCTTTTGTTCCGGCTCATCAGATTCGAACAATCTTCGTTTGGCAGCTAAAAAAACAATCAAGAATTTGCTTGAACGTTGACTCTTACATCTTGTTTTTGGAGGAGAGCTAGGATAGTAGGTTTCATCATCATCAGAGTCATCTTCGGAGGAGGAGGATGCGTCGCTGGAATCGTCAATGTCAATTTCTCCGTCTGAGTTCTCAATCATGTCTTCGAGTCTTGCCACAAGGGGCATGTCAAAGTCCAAATGGTCGAGAAGACCACCTTAAAAATGAGATGATTGATAGTAGTGGAACAAGAATAACTTACGAATTCGACGAAGATAGGTCTCTTTATCGACCGCCAAAATGTATTGGTCTCTGATAGTAGTCCAGAGTGCTCCCAGTAAAAGTATAAATTGGTTTGTTAGGTTGTAAGCTTGGGCGATGCCGTCAGGATTAGAAGGTAGATCGAACATTTTCAATTTGATATCTGATGAAGTTTCCTTATCTTTGTCGAGTTTTATCGGCGAGATCAGTGCGCTTACAACTTGCGACGCATGAGTTGCCATGCGCCGCGCCTTCCGTCGGAAGTAAAATTTCCAAATACAATTCTTGTTCAACGCACAAATGTTTGATTCCAGCGACATAAACGAAATTTCTAAGGAAGAGTGAGAAATCGATATTCTAGATTGAAGATTTAAGAGTTGCTAGATATTCGATAGACTTTTGATCAAGATTGTTTTCATTTTAAAAAAAATGAGACTTAGCTGATTATTTTTATGTATACCTCAAAGCTATTTAAAGCGTCGTTTTAAGAGTTTTTCAGAAATTCAAGAAAAGCGTTTGATCATTATAACAAAAATTTCTAAAGTCAATCTGCCAAATGCACGACAGGAGGCGCATCGCTTGAAATATGAGCCTCTAAAATTTTTATTCTAAAAATGATGGTATACGGATAAAAATAATTTGAATCTGCCCAGAAATTCTGACCATGGTCGATTTTGCAGTGTCCCACTTAAAAAACCGCAAAATCCAAAAAATGTCCGGAAATTCGGACTCAGGAAATTTGGAAACAAAACGTAGCTCTACAAATTTTAACTTTTGCAAAAGTCAAAGTACTTCTCGGAAAAAGTAATTTTTGTCAAGATGCACCCTGGCGGGAAAAGGTTAATATACTACACATACAATTTTCCTTTCCACGCAGAGTTAATCTCTATCACCGTTCCTTTCGCTCATGTCGAGCTCAGTTCGACGTCCTCGCCTTCGTTCGCGGAACGCTTGGGTATCCTTGTCCCAGTTCCATCTGTCTGAGATTAAAATTTGGTTTGGATTTGGGTTTTGGTTTCAGCATCGGATAAAGTCATCCAACTAGAAGAGGACTAGACTATTATACTAGTCGACGTATAATTACCTATCTTATCTATTCTGAACTTTGGAGAGAGCTTTCGGACCTGACTCAGGTTTTCCACACAGGTTGCCGAGCCCAGGTTGGAACCACGAGTCAGGACTGAGAGATCGAAGATTATGCATGGAGTAATTCTCCAAGTAAGGCTGTTTCCTAAGCCTAACCCTAAGTGAGAATAGTTGCTAAGTGGCAAAAGGGTAGCTAATCGATAAATACCCGACAGTTTCTTTCTTTTTTTTAAGTTAAAAATCACTTCGTCCTAAGTGCTGATTTTTTGACCAGTGATCCATAGATGGTGCTCCCTGACCCACTAAGGTAAAAGTAAAATTTTAATCTATCCTGCATTCTATTTCGTCGCTTTCATCGTCTTCTCGCACCCAAATTTGGTATCTTCGCCATCGTCTTTGATTAGGGTCTACGCGGAAGTACCTCACAATATTAAACGTAAATTTTCTTAGAAAATCATTCTGGAGCGGTTTTTTTTCTATTACATCTTGATAGACAGGCTTTACTCTAATTCCCCAAGACCATATAATTTGACCTTTATCATTTGTATATTCTTATTTGCAGGTAAATCCCTGACGCCAAATATGGAGTATCTTGACTGGTACCCGAGAAAAATCATTTTTGGCCGGCTAGGGTTAAGGTTTTTCGCGGAGACCCTGCCTATGAACCTTTTCCATGTGATCCCCCTTTATTCGGTTGTTGGTTACCTGCTCGTTACAAATCGGACAAGGAATCGGGAAGTTAGTCATGACGATAAATTAATAAGAATGCTGTTTATAAAATAAAAAATATATGCTTTTAATTATTCTAGAAACTATATGGTCACGTGGAAAAAGTTCATAGACGATGGAAGAAGAAGACGATGAAGACGAATGCTTTTTTTTTTGTTTATGTTTTCATTTTATTTTCATAACAGGAAGTTTAACCATACGCACCGGAAGGTCACCGGATGTTATTCTTTTCCGGAAGTTTACCGGAAGAGAATAACATCCGGTGACCTTCCGGTGTTTACATTAGTGTCCTAGTAGTCGGCTTAAATAGATAATTACGACGATGCGAAATTCACAAGCTCTCCAAAAAGCGCAATTTCGATCATTCCAAAATCTGCTACGAACAAGTGTAAAACATCAAGCGAGAGTAGAAATATCTCGGTTGCGAAAAGAAAAAGAGAAAGAAAATAAATTGCAATGGAGCGCTGCGAAATTTATTCACGACTTTGACAAAAAATTAGATTTCGAAAAAGCGAGAATCACGTTGAGAGAATCAGCAATTTCCAAAAATGCAGCACGATTCAGCACACACATCGCTGCTAAATGACGGCAAAAAGCACCACCGCCACCAGAAAAACCAACGAAAAAGACCAAAAAGAGTAATAAAACGGTCAGCAATAATTCACAGCTCTTTTTGAAATTTTTTTATGATTAATTTTTTGATAATTTGATGTTTAATTTGCGATCAAAGGTTCAATTCGAGGAAAATTTGCAATTAGAAAACGCGTCCATGTCCCGCTAGAGCAGATGCATTTGGGCGTTCGTCTTACGTTGGAAAACAAGTCGAAGTTGTCGATTTAGGTTTTCGGCGTCGTTTCAAGCGACCGAAGGCGAGTAAGTCTGTGGTGAACGGTAGCTGCCCGTTGCGGGAAATTTCGAAATTTCTGAAATTTGCGCTAATGAATTCGATTTCCGACAGATCGCCGCGCTCGTCCGCCAAATTCCCAAAAGCTCGCCTCCCCAGGCAAACAAGTACTTCGCTCAGAAATTTGAAACTTTTCATATTCGAAATTTTCCTTTTTCAGAAGTCGCCCGCTTCTCATCCCCCGTGTTCGGCTACTTCTCAACTCGGCAGGTGTTTAAGTTCCAGGAACTTTCCGCCGCAAGTGAAGAGCTCCGAGCACATTCCACCTTCACCCGACAGCACCATAACTGCGGCTTTTTATAAAAACTGTTTTCTTACATTCCTCAAATATTGCAATCATATCGCCATTGACATCTTTCTTTCAGCGTGCCAGACTCAAGAAAGAGCTAAGTTTAGAATTTCCCACTCTGAAATTGCAAAAAATTGCACGATGAAAAAAGCGCATTTAGGAATTAGCAGAAGTAGCTTCTTGGAAGTTTCGTCATGTCTGTAATAAAAGCAAGCACGTGATCGGTATTGGACATTCGATCTTGTAGCATAGAATTATGATTACGAGCTCGAAAATTTAGATTTTCCGTTGAGCGGCAACGAATGGAACACCGCTCTTTTAAGATTGATCTGAAGGCTGCACAGTGGTTAAATTTGTCTGAACACATCATCAAAACGTGTGTAAGACGTTAATTAAGCAATTAGTGAGTAATAAAACACTAATTTTTCTTTTTCTGCAGTACAAAGCTTGACCTTGAAAGCACCGTGCATTAACACCTGCTATCTCTTAGAACCCATTGTCCAGACTTCAGCTTGTTATATTCGCCAAGTCTCAGAAGAGAGAGAGAGAAAGAGAAAGGATATGGAAGACTTCCACTACCTTATCAAATGGATGCGGAGCAAGGGATTCAAGGTACCGCCACTCATCGCTTGATTGATTGGTTTTGGCAAAAGTAGAAGGAGGTTAAATGAGGCGGCCAACTCGCTAGAATTAAAAGGCGATAAGAAAAGTAGCAATTGGGCGAAATCGGTGTGTCAGGTGTAAGGTTATCTGAGTGGCACGTTCCGTCGGCCGCGCTGGGTATTTATCGCGGACTGTGCCGAATTCCCACCGCGCTATAATTCTCCTCCCTCGAAACTCAACCTAAAACAACTAAAGCCAAGGCCAGAACTTGAATGAAACGTGAGCAAGTTCAAGATAGAAGAGGGACAGTGCTCCCTTGATTTGAAAGTTTTTGAAACTTGCGTAAGTTAATAAAATCTTTCAGCTCGATAAATTTCCAATAACAGCTTACGAGTTCGACGATACTGGCAGAGGAATTATGGCAACTGAAGATATCGATGCCGGATCGCGCGTTTTAGAAGTTCCAGAAAATATCATTTTGCTTTGGGTTCTTCTTTTCCTTATCGCAATAAGTTAAACGCGCTTTAGATTTTTCATAGACAATAATAAAAATACATTAAAAAGGAAATCGAGTAAAAAACCCTCGCTCTGACAGGCTAGGGTTGTACTGTATCCGCGGGAAACCCGAGACGTAGGAAATTAATCCTCCCAGATAAGTTATCAGCCCATGCGAGGTCCGAATGTCCGTGAGTTGTCAGAGGTAAGCCGCTCCATTTGGAACATGCACTTCTTTCCAAATTCTTGCTTTAATCCACTTATCAGGGCCTTCCACGCTGATGAGAACAATAATGTATTTCGAAACGCATTTTTAGGAGATGGATAGCCTTTTGCAATGGCTGGAAAATGAGAAGCACGAAAAAATAAGCAATAAAGAGCTCTTATGCTTGGCGATTGTTTACGAGAGACGTAAAGGTACGCTTTAAATATTCTGTCGTCCTTAAGGGTGTCAACAACGCTTCAATAAGCTTGCATTTTAAACTCGAAGCGGAAATTTTCGCTGCTGACACCCTTAAACCGTGTTTAAGTAGCGCTTCGTAGCATTTGTAGAATATTTTCTTAGGAAGATTTTTGTCTTAATATCGAGTTCTCGGATTTGCTTGTCGGTTGGGGTTTTTTGGGCTGAAAGCCTGTGTCGTCATCTTTAACAAGAGTGAAAAGGTGCTAAAAGATCAGGGTGGCAAATTTCGCTGAAGTATCGGTAATGGTTCCGATAATCGCACCCGACAGGTGTTAGAACATGCTCCATGAAATTTGGCGCTTTGGCTTGATGGCCCGCCCGTTATGCATAAATCTCGACTCGATTAGCCATTTAGGGCGATACCGCTTTTGCTCAAGCCCCGTTTCAGTCCGCAAACGTCACTCACTGTCGGAAGCGGCAAGTTCCACAGAACGAAGGGCAGCGCTACTCCTGCCCAAAAAACGTAAATAGATGTACGTCTAGTTTGATAATTTTTAATTGATATTTTGATAAGGGCGCTCTTTCAATCTGTCTAAGGAAATGGGGATAAGCTGTTTCGTCTCGGTCTTTTTTTGGTTGATCCTTTGGAGTGTGACACAACGTTCACCAGAATTGACGGCTGCTATTTTGGGGGCACTTTGAAGTCTGAAAAAACTCGATTCCGCGCTAAAAAGCTTAACCTTAGTTGCTAGACACCGCGCGAAAATGCAACTTCCGGGACATCTTACTTCACTTCCCAAAATACAAACAATAAGCATTTTCAGCTCATTTAGACGCTTCAGTCTCTATTTCAATTAGTTTAAATTCGTTTAAATTCAGGAAATCGGGACGTCATGATCAAGAGAAAAGCGGCTTTCGAGTTTATCGCTCGAGTTGTTTGTGCAGAAAAGATAGAAAAAACAAGAATCAAGTATTGCACGTGATTTTCGGCTAATTTCGCTACTTCTAAGCGTTAGCCTGAGTGATATTCCGTGAAAAGTATAACATTCGGGGATGAAGAGCATAACGAGTTGTGAGGGAATCTACAGGAATCCTTATCTCCAAGTTGCTTCTTGAGCTATCTTCCGGCAGCGAAGAAGGCGATTCCTGGAGCTCATTAATTCACGCGTTTACGCAGAAACAAACTCTCTAAATCCATCATTTGCTGTAAACGCCCGTGACTAACCACATTGGACTATTATTCCGATAAACTCGTTCTCAATCCCTCTCAACTTTGGCAGTAATGGCTGTCACGTTGAACGGATCCCGGCGGCGGAATAGTTTTAGCTTGGTCGATGATAATCCGCGATGGATGAGCCCTGTAAATGTCAAACATTTGCAACAGGTGCACGAGATTGCTCCGTAAGCTCCCTTCGGCGCCTTGCTCAACCTCTATTTTTGGCCCTACTAATCCCCTAAGCGCGGAAGTACCCGCATTCGGATTCGGGAGATGCTCACTCTTCCTCTAATGCACTTTCTTGAGACGGTTTCTTTGTCTCCTTTTCATTTGGGCGCGAAAAAACGTGACTGATCTGTTTTTCGGAATTTTACTCGCGACGTGGTAAAGTGCCCGCGCCCTGTAATGAACGTTTTTGTTGAGGCCGCTTCAAAACGAGCACTTGCCAATTCCAAGCTGATAACGCGCTGCCGCCGACTATTTTCAGAAAGCCAAGCACATTTTTCCCCCTCACTATAATTTTCTTCTCACGCTTTTACGGGATTAAAGTTTCCTACTCCTCACCGACTCAACATCACAATCAACCGCTCTGTACCGAAGAAAGCAAACACCGTATTTAAAAGTCAAAATATCAAAGCATCTGTATTTTCAGAAGTATTATTGGACAATGACTCGATTAAATCGAGTGCAGTCAAGTCTTTTCTCGGCAGAAAAAGTCAGTGTACGGTAGAATGGATTGCATCAACCCATTTTACCGTATACTTCCGTTGCTCTTCTCTCGTCAATTTTCTCGTGTTGAGAAGAGGCGAAGATTCGCCTGGAAGACTTCTGATCTTCCTGGAATTTCTTCAATATCTTCTTTTCTGAAAAAATTTGTAAAAAAAGCGCTTCGAAAGTCTCAAAAACTTACTTAAAAACGCGGCCTTTCGGACCCTAACAAGTTCAATTGCTAGGACGAACTGACTTGCGAATGAATTTTTGCCCAAACAACAACCTCTGTTCTAGAAGCGCAAAATAACAAATTTCTCTTTAGAGCAAGTTTCCAAATGCTTCGGATACATACAACAACTTCCTTCGTTCTATACGTGTCCGATTCGGGTTCAATTTCATTTGACAGCTTCAATTACTGATTTTCGTGGTTTGAACCCTTTTCTGCTTGTTTGGTTGGACTCGGAACTGGATTTGCTGCCTCAAACGTAAGTACTATTTTTTGAAGAGTCTTTTGAAAGGGATATTTTTGCGGCGCAGCGGCGGAAGCCGAAATAAAACAGCAGCGAAAATTGGGAGATGAATTCGAGAGCGTAATCTGAACTCTCATTCCGTAATGGTTGTGGAAACTAGCCGGCCAGGTGCACCGCGAGAAAAAATAAACGCAACCACCGTGCTACCGCGGTGCTTCAGACTAAATTGCATCCATAATTTCTTTTAGAATTCGCCAGTCTCATTTCCCTCTAATTCCTTTTGAGAACCTAATTTTGAGATCTTTGGTCTGCCTTTTCCAAATTGCCTGATGCAATATTAGCTCTCGCTCCCAATCAAATAAATACGCAAAAGTGTGGCTCTTCTTTTTTTGCCACGCGGCCCTCCAAATATTTTCTAATCGTACTTTCCGGCGCTTTTCGGAAGGGCACACTCACAACTTCCAACTTATATAATTTCCAAATTTGCGAGTCGCCATTCCGAGTGGGAACGTATTCACGTTAAAACTCAAGTTCTGACGCAGCTGGGGGCTGCTTAATTGACTAAAACGTTAACTCCGTTTACACGTGCCAGGACGATGATTAATTTATCGGCAAAGACTTATAGAAAGTTCCGTAATTCCCAAATTGCGAGATCGAGTTAAATCCTTGCTAACTCGATCGCGCGTCGCGCAATGCTTATTGTTTACAGTTTGGGGCAGGTTCTAAGACGTGGACTGAGCGCATTTGTATTTCATTATGAAGGAATGTGTCCCCCACCCGAAAAGAATTTTCAAAATGATCGTTCCGGACGCCCTTATTAGAAACCGAGCGGAGACGCAGCCTGCGACCCGCGCCGCCGGAGATATAATTCAGCTTTACTTTTCAAATCGCTCTTCTTTTTTCATTTCTTTCGCAAAAGTCTGGGTTCGGCAACTTGTGTAGAAAGCCTGAGTCAGGGTCTGAAAGATCTATTTTACCTATCAAATCTATTTTTAAATTTTGGCGAAGCCGCTCCGCGGCTTCGTTTTTAAAAAAGCCGCTACGCGGCTTTTCATTAAAGATCTTTCAGACCCTGACTCAGGTTTTCTACACCGTTTGCCGATCCCAGGCAAAAGTGCCCAGACTCAAGTGATGCAAAGAAAAGGGCTGGGGTGACTCTTGGAGGTAAGGCGATCGAGGGGCGGATTCGAAGATATTTGATTAATTTAGACGTTGTCCCTGCTGCATTCGGATTCGCGCGAAATTCCAAAATCTGAAAGCGCGAATTTCCCGCCTTGTCGGCCGGGCAACCAATTTTCCAAATAAATCATCCAGCGAAACATTGCGCAAAACATGATCCAATTAAGATCAACACTTGAGGAAACACCCTTTTGGCTTGTACTAATGGCGAGCATCTAGAGTTATGTGGAAACGTTTTCTGAGGAGACAGATCATTGTTTCTTGTAACGTTTCATGTTTCGCAGCGCACGAGTTGCTGAGTTGGATTCAAATTGTCATTTGACAAGAAAAAAAAAGCTCCTTTGTAAATCATTATTTTCTTCGTTTATTTTCGACTACTTTAGTAAGTAACAATCACTGCTTATTTCAAACAAGCGCTCATCTTTTTTTGTGAATCGAACGTTTGGGAAAGTGGTGTATTTATTTTCAAAACTGCACAAGCCCATTATGGAGGAGCAACAGCTGCTTACAAAGCCGTCAAAACTAAACGAAGCAAACTAAGCCGTTTCAGCGTGCGAGAGGCCGTAAAGAAGACTAAGCAGAACCTGCGCACTGACTTCTCAAAACTCCTGGAAACGGAATCTGAAATCAAGAAACGATGACTAAAAATGACAACAGTCTAAATTGACAATAAACGGATAAGAGAAGTGAGAAAATGGCTCAATCGTAGTTTTGGTAAATAGTTTCACCCCCTCGCTAGCGTATAAAAATCCGAGCGGAATCTAAATGAGATTCCTTTCGAAGAATTCACTAACGATGCATTCCAGGAAGGGGCTCAACTCGCAAAGTGAGCGCTAGAAGTGCAGGCGACACAACGAGCCACCATTTCAAAATCAAAACTCTTGTCAAGTTGCTCTGCTTTTATCACAAGAGTGTCGCGTAATGAGCGGCTCAAATCGAGCCCTTCAAAGGAAAAATACGCGCCGTTGCGTTGGGACGAGGAAACGGGTCCAGCCAACTTTCAATTCTAAAACATAAATTAGAGAACTAACCTTGCCCGGATAGCACTATTAAAAAGGAGGTGCAAACGGAATCGCGACGAACGACCCGGAATGCCTGTGAACCTTTTTATCGTCGGGTACTCCGTGTCGTCGGAAGCGCGCTTTGAACGAGATTTTAGAAATTCCAGAGTTAATCGCGGTTCACTTTTTCAAAATTGAAATTGATTTTTCATTTGTTGACGAGTAATCTTCAAAAATCGACAAAGATTAATCGTTTTTTTCTGATGCGAGGGTTTAGAAGACTGTGTTCCATTTTTACGCAGCCTGCTGTGAGAGTAGCCACACTGAGTACATTGCCTGGACCCGAACAAGTACTTATGGGCAGCCGCAACGTTTCAGACTCGTCACGCGCACGCCACTAAGATGTTTAAACATCCCAGGTATGCATGTTATAGTTCGGCGGTCGATTTCCTTCACAAAGACTCGCCGACGCGTTTTATTTTGTTAACGGAAGTGTCACAAAACCGACACTCTCTCTCATTCTCGTTCTCTTTGGCAAGTTTTCCAGCTCAACAGCACGTTAACCATCACGAGTTCTATTTTTCTTCAGCGCAGTCGAACGAAGCGAGTTTGACTCGGCTACATTTGCACCCATCGTCGAGCTCTGTAAGTTAACTCTTGTCACAGCTCGGAAACGAAAACAAAAGAGAACTCAAGTTGTAATTATTTTTAGTTAATCATCGGGCAGGAGCAGCTGTGCGCTCTGGCTTTAACCAGCGGCGGGGCACCTTCGAAGTTATCCTCCAAGCACCAGTAAAAAAAGGCGACCAGGTTTGTAATTAAATGATTAAAAAGAAATTTTTGTGAATTTTATTTTTCAGATTTTCATCGAATATTTGGATGACGCCGATCTTGACACAATCTTCATCGACTACGGCTTCGTTTTGAACGCTTCCAAATCGGCAATCCTCCTCGATGAAAAGCTGGTGCAAGAAACGGCGGCAAAACTGGGCTTCCCAAATCTAAAGCAGCTTTCTCGCCGAGCGAAAGAACTCACTGAAAGTAAGAGTGCGGTAGTAAGAGTAGAATTAGAAAATGGAGGAAAAATGATTTTTAAAAAACCTCAAACGCTTGTCGAAGAATTCACGGGCGACAAGACAGAGTGGGTGCTCAATCAAAAGTGATTTCCTTGAACAAAATAGCCGCTTGATTTGGTTGTGTAGCTATTCCAGAATACTGTTTCTGTCATTACTGACAGAAGAGCAATTGAGGTCTCCCTAATGATAGGGATAAATCACAAGTACGATCCGGGGAACTTCTAACGAGTCGGCAGACCTTTTAGAGAAGAGCTGCCTGGATTAAAAATAACGTGAGCTATAATGCTCTTATGATAAATATTCAGGATCGCGCTGGAGACTGAAGCTGGACACGGTGTCACAGGTCTGCCACTAATAACGCCGAGGACATCGACCTACATCTATTAATAGGAGGCAGAAGCCGCCTTGCTCGTGTACTCCTGCGGTCACCTAGACAACGTTGATGAGCTCTTCCAGCGTCACAAAAATACGCCCTTGCTTGACCTGAATGCCCACAAAGTCGCGGATCTCAATTTTTAGAAAATGACCAAAAATTCAGAAAAAAATAAAGTCGACGTAGGATAGTTTACGCGGTCAGGGACATACGACTCACCGAATCGAATTCTGTGAAGCCGCTTTGATTTCCTAAATCCCGAAAGTCCTTTTTTTTCTTGGCCAAGACGTGTCTTTCTGGAAATCGGATCACAATTGATGGTTTTAGGAAGAACTGCGCGTTATACAATTAGTAAGATACATTGTTTTCTGCAAGAAGTCGAACTTGTTTAAAAAGTAACGTAGGAAACGAGCAAATCCGTTTTACAGACAACGATCTCTTACACAGGAGCGGTTCCAAACACCGAATGCTATTTAGTACTCCGCGTCGCGAAACACTACTGAAAGAACTCTTAGAATCATTAAAGATTCTAAACAAGGAGTCAACATGAAAGATCGAGCGGCTTTGCTTCAAGTCACTCTCCTGTCAAGCCGAAAATTCACGACAACGTTTGGAATTTCGAGACATGGGGAGTTCCTTGAACAAGTTTCCGTTCCGAGTTAATTTTTCAACAGTAGAGCCCATTTTTTCGCTCTCAGACTAAAATTGAATTTGATTATTTCGAAAAATCCTCTGGGCACCGTTAAATCAGATCAATAAGTCATTGAAGACGATGGAGGAAACGGTTTAGTTTCGGCTGATCGGAAATGACCTTAATTCGGCTTATCCAGCTTTTGGCTAGAGTTGACCCCGTAGTTGTCCCTACTAATCTCGATAATCTAACTGGCTGGCTAGCGACGACGCCTTTTCCTTTATAAAACTCAACGCAGGATATGGAATGATCCGCCGAGAGGTTCTTGCATTGAATCACCTTCCTAATAACACGTAGACTTTTCTTTACGTATAACTTTGAAAGTGCTTTTAATCTGATGTAAGCAGCAATCCGCTGCGGAGATAAAACCCAACGTGTTTGGAGCAGGGAAGGATAGAAGGTGTCACTTGTTGCAAAAAGTGCTCGAGATAAAGCTCGCTGAAATCAACAATCTCAGAGGACAAGCCACCTCCGCCGCCACTTCTAAGTTACTGCTTATCCAAACTAGTGAACGACAACTTTGATTTTGATGAGTAACGGTGGGGCTGCGGTTTCGAAAGGGTCGATTCGCTGGAAGATGGAGTAGAAGCGTTAACCACAAGATCGGTCTTTTTTGACGTTTTTTTGAGATCTAGGCTGGCTTGTGGCCTCTTGATTCTGCTTTTTGACAAGTGGAAGATCTTCGATTTTTCGCAAAAAAAAATGTTTAATTGGTCACTAAATTTATCACGTTAATGGCAAATGGCAAAGCATGGTCAAGAAAACTGTCCGTCGAAGACTCGTCGAGGAGCTTTGGGAAGCTCACGCAAAAATTTGCAATTCGCTTTTATCGCAGCTGGTCCAGCTCGGGCCGCTCCAGTGCCGCTGGACGGAAAAGGTTATCACTTAAGAGATAAGTAGAAAACAGGGCGAAAACGTTAAAAAATGCTCCGCTTCGACTGCCGAAACGGATGAACTTTGCCGGCTTGGATTGCCAAGGTGGAATATATTTGAATCACACTGCAGCCACGTTAATAATTTTTACTTTTGTCGATTGCAAAAATTGAGGCAGCTAAAATTTCGTTCAGGTGCACAAAGTTCGCGCAGAGGACAGCGGCGAGTATGGAAATGAAAATCGAGCTTCTCGTCGAGCCAGATGGCGACGGACGGCAGCAAAGGTCAGTCTCTCAACTGACAAGGCACCGTCAGTCCAGCCTCGTTAGAGGAAGAGCGTCGCACCATTTACGCCTAAATATACGTCGCTGAATCGAGCATCGAAATTCAGGCGCGGGAGAGTCTCAACTGCGCAGACTTGGACGGGCTCGCACAAAAGGACGGACTCGACAAGAGCGAGCTGCGGAAGAAGTGGAGACTCGCGGCACAGGCGATTCGCGCGGAAAACTGAACTTTTGAAAGTGAATTTTCTCTGCAGACTACTTCAATAAAGTTCAGGTTCTTGAGTACAGATTTAACGAGGAGTTGGATAACCTATTTTTGGTCGTGTTTTGAATGCGAATTATCGCGTTTCACGGTGCGCTTCGTGCGAAAGATGCGCGTCTCTGATGTGGCCTTCGTTATTTGTCGAAGCTGGCAAAACAGAAAAAACATTTCTGCCTCCTGTGTTTGGCAGAGTAACGTTATCGCACTTTTACAACGATTCGATGCTTTCTAATCCTCGCCAAGATCCAATCGCCCAGTCCAAACGCACGTTACGTTAACTTTCTAAGTCGGATCTTAGAATTTGGAATGAATCTTTTGATGGGCGAGTTTCTGACTTGAGCTGGGAGGAGTCTGTATATTCTCTTGTTTAAACTTTGCCAAACAGTGGCTAATGTTAACAGAATCAGCCTCGACTCTAGTTTACTTCCGCTGACAGTCTCTTGGCGGAAACTCAATCACGCTCACGCGAAAAAACGCGCCAAGCCATTCCCTCCAAAGTTGTGCCTTCCATCCGTGGTTGCACGTGATCGCCAATACCGCCAAATTGAGCTTAATTACAAGCGACCTGGAGCACCCGGGTCGACCTAAACGCCAGGAAACAGGCTCTTCCATCCAAATACTCTCTGCATTTTCCGCTGCATAAAATGTATTATTTACAAACTACAATTAATCGACAGCCAACGGGCCTGGTTAGCTCAGTCGGTAGAGCGTTGGACTCTTAATCCAACGGTCGCGGGTTCGAGCCCCGCATTAGGCTCATCTTTTGATTTTGTCAGATTTCGGCTTTGCGCCAGCCCTTTCACAGTTTCTAAAAAATAATTATCTGAATTTAGACTGTAATTTTAGATTAACGATTGACCTAGCGACGCGATGATGATCTTAATCTAAAATTATTTGCTATTCTCAAAAAACCATAATAAATCGAATTTTATTATTAATAAACTCCGAACTATAAAAATGACCACACGTTATAATTTATAATTTATAAAAAACCTACTTTAATAACTAGAATTATCCACTTATCTTTCTTGGACTAATAGCCGATTATAACATCGGATGTAGCGGTATTATGCAGCTTCCATGGGAGAAGGATTTTGAATTGGTGAAATGAGTGGAGAACAAAGAGAGTACTTGCATTTCGCTGCTAAGCTATTTTAATGAAAACAATCATTACGTCCTTTTTTGCGCGGCGCATGGTGCCCACTGAAGGTGGAGCTGCTTAGTACTACTCGAGAGCAGGCCTGCTGATGCATGCTCGCCATGGTGCGTTTTTAGTGAAAACAAGTTTTCAGTGCCGCGGGCAGATTCAGATCGTCTCCCGCTGAGATGCTTCCCGTGGAGCTTGCCCCACTCGTTCAGCAGAATTTCGCAACGCGCTGCGTACTTTGCCGAGGACTCAATTGGCGCCACCCCGCGGCCTCCAAACACCAACCTTCTGAAAGAGGCACCAAGCCGAAAATAAGGAACGCTGAACTTATGACCCCACAAATCGACTCAAATCAAAATGGAACGTCTCTCTCAGCAAGAGCAAACATAACCGTCGGAGCAGCTTCACTCGAGGAAAGAAAGTACGGAGTTGAGGCGAGAGGATGACTCAGTAATTACTTTAAATTACTTGGAATCTATGCCTGAAAAGTATCACCTGCTAGAAAAGGGGAATTTTATCTCTTGAGGAAACTGTCTGCCTCCGGCTTATCGGCACCATCAGCGAGCACTGCTCATTGACGAATACTTGTGAGCTCTGGCAGCCGATAACTCCCCGCTGCGGTCTAACTGCTCAAGTCTCTTTCCCTTTTTTTGATCTCACTTTTAGAGTACCAAGTTTAAGTGAGAATGTATTGTGCGAGAGGGTAGATTGCTGATGGTTCGCTCTGGCGATGCATAGTTTTGGTTTCGCTCGCCAGGCGGATTAGAAGAGTTTCGAACACAAGATTACGGTTTCGTCATTTTTTCCCGAAAGAAGGACGCCTTTTCCAAATTTCCTTTACTTAAATGGTTACGAGGGAATTCTCAAGGCTTGTTACGCCCTTAGTTCATTCTCTTCTTCGTTTTCTTTTGCGGGATTTTTCTATTTTCGAAATATTGAATAAAACTGCGGCTAACGAGTTTAATTACGTTTTCAATAAAAGAATGGTGTATTGAGTTTGCAAGGTGTTCCAACTCAGTTCTGGAAAAGCTCTACTAATCTTGAGATATGTCGGACAAGTCCGGAACATGCTTGTGACCGAACTTCGGTCGCGGAGGTGCTGCTTCTAATTAGATTCCAAACAGAGTTCCAAGAAAGGCCCAGCCGCCAAATTCACTCACTTACGTATTCCGCCAAAAGCAAATTCGCAGATTATTCGCATTTGTTCGGTATCCCCACCGAGTTAATTCACTTGCGGCAGTTTTGGCGCTTTATCTTTTGGAAGTGAGGAGAGAACTGTTGAACTCTTGTTTTTGTTTTATTGGCTAGATGGTGGTTTCGAACATGAACTCGGCGATCTTGGCTTTGGAGTAGCCGGCGAGCTCCTGGATCGAGGCGGACTTGTCGAATGAGTCAAATCCAGTTCCATGCTCTTTGATGGCTTTGATCGTGTTCTGCCTTATCTCTGAAATTGGAGCGTTAGAACGGAAAAGACGAGCCACTCGACCACGTAGTTGGAGGAGTAAGGCCTGTAGTTAGCGAATTATTATCATCTCCGTAATAGGAGAATTTTAAACAGCGGCATTAGAAGGAGGCCACTTTTGGAGCGAAACTTTCTTTTCATAAGAAATGCTCGATTTTCGCGCCAACAGCGATTAGAAATGCCCATCTAAGCCCGTGTTCCGGATGCGCTTCTGTCCCAACAAAGAAAAAACGATAAAAAACCTTCGGAAGTGTGCTGGTATTGACGGGATGATTCAATCTGCCGGTCCAGTTCGTAAATGTCCATCCCTTGTTCGGCGGAAATAAGCGAGATACCTCAAATAGTTTCAAAATTTCGCTCTTTGTCGCGCAACTCACTCTCACTGTTCTTGCGCCTCGTTTCAAAATAATTCAAATTAGTCAATTTTGTCATTTACGGTTAATTCAGATTAATTAGCATTCAACCTTCATATTCGGAAGCGATTCCTTTTGTCCTTTTGCCTCCCGCTCTCTCTTGGAGGCGCGATGTTTCTTTCCCTCAAAGTCGAACTGCTTGATCACGACGCTAAATTTGATGGTAAATGGCTAAAGATCCAAACGTGCCGCCTCTTCGGGTAGATCCCGCTAATGGTGATTACCTAGCGGTCGAGAGGTATTTGATAAGGACTGTGGTACGCAGGTGCAGCCTTTTGAGCATTTCGACGCAGGCCCATGGCTTTTCCAGAGTGCTTAAACCAATCGACCCAAGCGATCGATTTCAAACACATTTTTCTCATTATTATAGAAAAAAGGGAGATTTTTTTTCTAAAAATTCGAGGATTTCGCGATTTCGCGATGTTAAACAGAAAATATATTTTTTCAAAGTTATGCCCGCAACGCTCGGCGGTAACGAGATAAATTAGAGTTTATTTTCGTTACTGTAGTTTCTACAAATACACTCGTCGCGAAATTCTACGCAATGCTTATATCAGAAAGAGACTCTTCCTGAATGAGTGGAACCATGAGCAGAATCGGCTGCAGCCAAATCGTTTGCATCTGAATTGATAATTTCTTTGAGATTTCAAATGTTGAAACTAAAGCTTAAACGATGAGCGCCTTATTCTACGAAGTGTGATGGTATTTGTTCGGTTGTGTAAAAACAGTTTACACAAAAATATTTCTATTTTAAAGCGCACGTTTTCACCAAGCCCGATTTTATTTGCTTTTCTAAAACAAGAATGGACTACGCTTCTTTGAAACTTTTCCTTGGATTAAATACAAGGCATGATTTAACTTTACTTTTCATCGGCTTCGGAGTAAAACCGCGAGAACGAATACTCCTCCCCGAAAAGAAGGAGCACCTTTTAACCCAACTAGACACCTGCTCGTCTCCCCTGGATTTCGAAAATTTAATACTGACTGTCAATACCAGTATGTCAGTAGAGCACGTTTTAGAAAAGACCTCAAAGAAGAGGTAATGCGGAATGAATGTACCTGTTTGTGGCTGTGTTGGTTCGGTAAGCTCTGGCTGAGCACAAATAGCAAGACTGGCATCCAGAAGATTCCAACGCACAGGCCTAAACGCAGTTTCTTGTGAAATCCATGCTTTGGAAAATTTAGAAATAATTGCCAAAATAAGCCTTGATCTTCTCGAGTTCTAGCTACTGGCACTTGGCGCCATGTAACTTTTCTGTCCTCAAGTGACAAATAATGTGACAGTTGGGTTCACAACAATGCTTCTTTCACGCAGATTTAGAGCTAGACTATTTTTCTCGCTGTTTGAAGGATTCTAGAGTAGAAAAAAAAGGATGAAAACAAAAGATGTGGAGATGCCGGGTATCGATCCCGGTACCTCTCGCATGCTAAGCGAGCGCTCTACCATTTGAGCTACACCCCCTTAAGAACCACGAATTCGCCAGTTGACTCTAACAGATTTTAATTAAATTGAAATTACCTATAATGGTGCAGTACTGCGAGAGAAGTCGCTTCTTGTAAATCTTGGATCTGTTCTTTCGTAGAAAGCGAAATAGCGATACGCATCTGGCCAGGTCCTGCAGGGAATTGCGACGATCATTATTCTAAGATTTAGACTTCAGTTTCAACTTTGATGGATCCGCGCTCAAGCTGCAATTTACACTCAGCTTGCACCTTGCACAAAAGAAAGCACGCTTTCCTGCGAAAAACGTACTCTCCCTTTTAATCTATTTTACTACTAGTAACAGAAGATGCATGCTAGAAAGCTTCTTCGAAAATAAAAATTTTGCTTTGTGCGCAAAAGCGAGAAGAACCTCAGAACTGTCAAGACAATGCCCGGGCACTTTGTCGTTTAATTCAGGAATCCCCAAACAGCATACAGAGTTCTTTGAATCGAGTCACAAATGTCTGACGCATAGTTCTTTCTTTTTTTCTATGCTAACCCAGAATTCAGAGGTATTTGATGATCGCTGATCAAAAAAAGAAAGTACTGTCTTTTAGATAAAAATTCCATGATGCCGCATCATTGATGCGAAAATTATGAAGCTGTTGAAATGTTGGAGCGTTGTGATTCCGAAGAGGAACAATCTTTCAAGAGTGCCTTCAGAAAAGCGAGGAAGTAAATTGAGCTTCTCGCGGTAAATTTTCTCAAGAGCAAGTTACCTGAAGTTCCTGGAGCTCCGTCACATCAGAAGCGTAAATCGGCAAATCTAAAATCGTTTTTTCATTTTTCATATTTTTAGAACAGTGACGTCCTTTTTCGTAGAAAATAAGAAAGCCGGTTCAACCTAAAACAGAAAAAAAACGAAGAAGCATGAGATCGAAAAATGTCATCATGCTATTACGAAGATATTTTCGAAGGCAAAAGATGAAAAAACCACTGATCGCCAATTTGGGCTCATTTTCTGCGGCGACGCGCCCTGCAGTTTTTCTCTCGTTCTGTATTTTTTTTTGAGAACTGCCTTTGCTTCTGGTGTTTCTTGCGATTCTTGCAAATTAACTTGAATTGACTTTTGTTGGAAAAAGCGAACTGATGCGATTCGCAAGAAACGGGAGTCCGGGAGTGCTACGGGACTTGATGCGAATTTCCATTCGATCATCGAATTCAAATAAGTCGCCACTTCCTTCCGCGAAGCCGTCAGTACTTGTGGTCAGAGACGAAACCAGAATGGCAAAATGTATTTCGCAGTGAGACACTTGTTTTCAGCCGTTAAATAATTTTGAGTATTACATCTGTTGGCTGAATATTTGGTGCTTTATTTATAAACATTATGCAGCTGTAATTCTCAGCGTAAATTTAATTTTGGACGATCAAAAAATGACGAATTAAAATTCCGTTTAGAATCTAATGGCCGATCGCTTTTTATGAATTGAATGAAGCTAATAGCTTTTACCAATTTTGTCTTTTTTTACGTTACGTCATAATAAAAATGACGGCAAGGGAAGCTGGATGGTAGAGAGTACTGATGTAGGCGGACAATTTGTGGCTCAAGTTCTCGTTGAGCTCGGCAAAATGTGGCGAATTGCAGCTAGCTAGCTCCTACCCTGGCGATGGCGCCATCTTGCGGCGTGACTGATCGTTTCTACGGTGGACTACCCCGAGGCAGATTCTAGTTGGTTCCCACTAGGACGTGGGAAAACACTAGCAAACTATCCCTCGCACCCAAAGAGATAGTCGTTGCTTATTTCTGATATCATGAGATATTTCTTCGCTGCTTTGTAAACATCGTCTTTAGGTTTTTAATATTAGAGGGGCAACTTATCACCTGCTTGGATACTAAATGCCCAGAAAATTGCAACTTGGAGCAGCTCAATTAGTGGTTGCCTGTTCATCATTTTCTACAAAAAGGGACTTGAAAATATGATAAAAAAAATATTTAATAATTATCAGAAATATAATGAATTATTTTAAAAAAGAAAGAAAATTTGCTACGGGAGGGGGGAATCTGGCAGTCGTAGTGAAAAACACTCAACATATTTGAATAAATATGAGTGATGATAAGCATTTACGCATGCGTAAAAAGTAGTTACGAAACGAACCTTCGGAGTTGCAAATTCGCCGCTCGCAGCAAATGGCGACGACCAGACTAAGCAGTAGCAGTATCATTGTTATCAGTCCAAATATACAACATTTTAGAAGAAAGCTCTAAAAATGAAGTAAACATTGGCGAGACACGCTTTTCGCGATGGCAATTAATGAGTTGTTTTCTCGGAAGTAGAATCAGTTTTAATTAGTCGCGGACTTTTTTTTCGTTGAGCGAGGGGATGTGGAAGGCGTTTTCAGGAAACTCTTGCCATTAGCAAATAAATGATAGGCTATTGATGTGATTGGAAACGAGCGAGAAGCGAGTCCAACGCGCGGGTGATTACCTTCTTGATGTGCGGAAGTAGTGCCGAGCATTCGTCCGAGAGGCAAACGGGTTCCAAGTCCGCGCGCCACGTATAACTACTCAATGGGTTCCCTTTTACTAAGCTATGTATAGTGCTTTACTTCGAGTGGCAATGCGGAAATTGAATGTACTCTCCCCGAAGAACCGTCATTTGTACGTCTACTCAAGCACTCTCGATTCGAGCTATCTTTCTATCTTTCAATATTGAGCATTTCGCAAAAGATCGGGCTTCGAATCGCGGAGCTAGAAGAATTGGAAAGGATTAATTCTATCTTCGGAAATTGTGGAACCTTGTCATGATTCCAGACACCCGTCCTTATCTATTTTCGGGTTGATATCGGGCGCGACAATGGGCCCGAAAATGACGTTTATCGCTGTTCAGCGGTCCCGCCCCATGGTCAACCCTTCCTCCAGAGTGGGCATCCGGTCCACGCGCTTCGCAGTGCCAGTCGGCCATGTGAACAACCCTTAACGTGCCTGCTGTTTATAAATTTCATAACACCGAGCCGAATTTAGCGATATTAGACGACGGCCAAACTAGTTCCGCCAGAAATGCTACATTGCCCGAGTTTAATTAAGACTGCTGTAAAAAATTTCACTCACCGGGGAATTATCTAAGGAGGGAGCGGTGTATAAGTTGTATAACGCTTTACGGTATACATTTGCGCGCGTTCTCCGTATAGGGCGGATTATACAATGACTGCGGTAGTGTGTTAGGTCAGGCTGGGGCCAGTTCCAAAGTATCTTTTTCGCTTAAGCGGTTACCTGAAAAATGAGACGCCGGCCAGCCATAAGGACAAACATTGCAGCCTTGGGAATGTCTTCGACTGAATCCATAATTGGTAGCTGTGCTTTCTTTGAAAACACGATCGCAGCTATGAATGTGACCCGCCCCAGAATTTTATTTTCCAGAAAATTTCGATGTTTTTCTAGCAGCGCGAAAGACTAAAATTACGCGCCAGTTTTGGAATACTTCATGACTGCTAGCTGGGTTAGCGCAAAAGTGGTTCTCGGAATGGACGCGAATTAGTGTTTGCCTTGGTAACATTTATCAGCTCGCTCGTGATTACCTGGAAAGGAATGAACATAAACGCGAGGTCATCTACGTCGCGGATAAGCGTGTCTGAAGCTCGGGAGTCTCTATTTGCCCCCAAAACAGCGCACGCTTACATTTATTATATCACATTCTTGCTTGTTCCATTATCACCAAAATAAGAAGTTACTGCTTTGCCTAGCTAATTATCCTTATTTTCACATCAATTGCAACTCATCTTAGAGAGACTCCCTGTCCATGCACAAAGCAATAAAAAACGTTGAATATATACACGCGGCCACAATGAATCCAACAATCAGCCCCAGAATCGTTAGTCTAAACGTCTCATTTCAAGAAACTGATTCGCCCCTTTCCATGGAGCACTCGTATTTCCACTTGAATTTCGCTTCAGATCGCGAGAAAAGCAACCTTTTCATCTCAAAGTGGTTCAATCGTCCGATATCTTTCGCTTCAGTGGCGTAATTTTACGCGAAAGTAGACACTTTTAGAAGTAGATTCTGCAAGAAATTGGCTATCGCCGGTCTACGTACCTGTACAACTTTTCACTAAACATATCATTTGATGTATTCACAACAGTATGCATCATTTCCAGCAATCCGACCACAGCATTAGAAACTTTGTGGGACGAGAAATTTCGAAGCATAAATATTCCTATACTGGCAATTCCTATTGAACTATCTTCTCAGTAAAAAAACGCTCTAGATAGCAATTTGAACAGGAGGAATGGCTAATTTGAGAGATGAATTTTAAACTGGCGGCGAGAGAAGAAAGTGAGAGTTTCAAATTGTGGCATTCTTATTTTTTTTAATCACCGCGTAAATATGCGACCAATGTGAACCCTTTCGTTCCGCGTTAGTTGGAGCGGAAATGCTTTAGACAAATTGATTCAAGTACTCGTTACTAAATTACTAAGTGCGTCTGAGTAAAGTGCTCTCTAAACACTGAGACGGCGAGTTTTAAGCTTTGATTCAATAGTAATAATATAATTCATAAGCGAAAATTAACGCGTGTCTCGTTTACTTGCTAAAGCGGAACTGGGTGGCAAAGAGTTGAAATATAAAAAAGTAGCGAAAAATGATTGATTTGGCGTGCGAAGCTCATTTAACCCTCATTTGAGCTCAGAATGTCTCCGGGGGATCATCTCTCTCGAACTCACAAGCACGAGCGCGTTATTTTAGAAGCCGTTATAGAAAAGAGTAGTTTTCTTTTGAAGCGTTAAAGATTAATATGATCCAAAAATTGCAAATGACAGAATAGTTCTCGCCCCTGCGTAAAGAGCAGTTTAGAAACTCTTTTGCGTCGAACAGAAAGTCCAAGTGGTAATTTGACCATCTTTTTATTTCCCTTTTCAAGAGTGGCTAGGGTTAACCCGTTGTCGAGCGTGTGGCAGTTTCGCTGCTACGACACGGCCCGAGGCTCGAAATAAGGCATATTGATTGGCGTAGAAGGCATTTTAAGGCCTACCGCTCGGCAACGGGTTAAATTTAGACCATCATTATTAATATTTTCCAAAATATTAAAACTGATCATGCGTGATTGAGACTTTCCTGAGGTGAACGTACAGAATTAAATTGATCATCACGACAGTAGATCCGGTCAAGAAAGTGAAGCCAAAAGAAAACTGGGAAAGCTCCTGTGCGCATTCACAATTAGGATCGGCATCTAAAGCGAACGATGGGGTAACTATAGAATTTCATTAATAGCACGGGGTAGGTGAAACATCGTTGGTGCGGCGATAGAACATGTGTTGTGAGTAACAATTTTTGAAGGTCGACAATAAATTTCGGTTTGTAAAACGTGCTCGCTACATTCAAACTTCGTTGGCAGTTGGGTAACACTACTACTTTGACAAGATTCGATGGAAGACGAGCATCTTTTAGAAAGTCAACTCCATACCTAAGAAAGATAAGTTCCCATTGAGCCAGTATGCTTCGCAGCGATTATGCTCTTCAAGTACATCCCCGGTCATAATCCGTCGCCGCCGATTTCTCTAATTTTCAGCTAAAGGCCTCACTAAGTTCAGAAAGATGGTAACGAATAGAATCGAAAAGAGTTGCCGTCTTAATCTGTCAAGGGCCGTTCGATCGAAAGAGCATTTCCATAAAACGCGCTTTCAATTTTCAAATTAATTTTCGAGATTACCGAGTAGAAGTGGCAGGCTTATCTAACGAGAGTGCATTTAACTTTTTCGGATTACTTTATGATTTAATTTTCACAGATTGTTGGAAGCGGCCGATTTGTACATTATTTTCGATGACGTTAGTTTATCATTTCTATCTTCAAAATTTGTGTCGTTCATTAATTCAAAAATTTACAAGTGTAAGTTACAACTATTTACAGTAGCTAAGCGGACTTTTAACAGCCCGCTGCAGTAATTTCAAACACGCACGCGCTTTCTGACTAAGTAGGCCTCGCATGTTGTCGAATTCTTGGGCCCGTACATCTGATACACCCCCTCTGTCATCGCGCAGATGATAAAGTCCCCTTTCTGTCGCAGAAATTGACGGGCCATCGTTCTAAATCGTTCTGTTTTTTTATCACCCACATCATCCGTTTTTCGTTTTTCGCAAATTAATACTGGAATTTCTAGTAATAAAAAAACGATAATAATTTCGAAGGAAAGCTTTCTTTTTTTATTGAAAACGTAAGACGGTACTTGGCCAGTAGAAAAGTTGCAGCGTAAGGAAGGATTGGATGAAATGTAAATTTGATTCAGGAGTCTTTTTTGCAGTCTATTGCAAATTGACAGGTGCGCTCGCAAACGTCCGAGCGCTCGCTAACTCGAGCTCAGTTGTTGCCCTTGCGGTCGCACTGAGGCAACCGTCACAATCTTATTTCGATCGTTTTAAAGAATATTCGCTAAAAGTTGATGCTTCTCGCCAGCAAGAAATCTGATTCTTTGACCAGCCCTCAGCACTCGTCGCTCGTCGGAGACACCTTCGCACTCTCTCGCCGTAACTTTTTTTCGGATATTTTTGAACTCAAAAATGAATGTCTCAAAAATGCGGCCTTCCTTGAACGTCGCTGGCAAAGACGAGCTAAGTCCACACAATTTGCTAAACAGAATATTTCAACAGAAATCCATGTCGGTAGGTGCTTACCGAAACGACGATTTGGGCGAAAAGCCACTGGCCCTACTCGTATCGACTTAAAAATGCAATTAAAATTCAAGATTGCCGAGCGAAAAATAGAAATGGGAGACTCACAAAATTCACAACGAATGCGTTCCTCTTGACTAAACTTCCGCTCTTTATGTTGCTCGCGAAAGTGCCATCGCAGAAAGCCCTTTCGCCGGATTCGAAATCTCCTTATCGGTCAGAGATACTTTAACTTTTTTTATCTTTTTTTAGCTCTAGAGTCTTGAGTCTCAATTCGCTTTTGAACACTGAACTATAAATTTGGAGCCATTTGCATTACCTGTCTTCAATTTCAAGGACTTTTATTTGAACTTATCCTCGAAAATCGAAACACGAGGTGTGAAACCACCGGCTAGATAATCCTAGCACGCTGCTTTTTTCAAATTCCCAAAAATACTTCTTTTATACAAGACGCACTCGAATTCTAGAGCTACGGTTGCTGACTGTGGATGTATGGAAAATAATCCGGTTGCCCAAATAGTTGCCAGAACAAGGCACAATACAGATGTGCATTCGAGCCACTTCAAATCGGAGTTTTTTTCTTGCTTTTGTCAAAAAAAATTTATCGTTAGCGAAAATTCCGTATCCATGAGCTTGTCCCCATCTTTGCTTGGTAAATCGGGAAGGTCGATGTATTTTTCATTTTTCTCTTTTTGAAAGAAGATTCTACAAATACCAGCTCAAGGTCTGGCGTATTACTTGAGCACCTTATCAATGATAAGATAAAAATACTTTTTTAATCAGTCTGGCCTACTCTTCCCGTTGGACTGCAGATTCTTCAGTAGTTTGACTTCACTCGCGTATGTGAAATGACTGACTGAAGGTACCTTCTAAAATCTAATCAGGTTTTTATTTAGTTATAGAGCCAGGTCGGTAGGTGAGTCAGTTTATTGAAAAGACTTCGTGGCCTGTGACGGGTCTTTTCAACGGTGAGTCGCAAATTCAGAAGCCGTCACCGAGTTGTTTCCAAGTCAAAGATCTGCGGAATTAAAGAGTTATCTAAATCAGCCTCACGTGAACTTTCTCGCTGGCCTCGGAGGTATTCAATTTATTTAAAATTTTCTTTCTGGCGGGCACACTTCGGCCCACATTTGTGAAAGTGCAGATGTTCATCGCGCAATCGAAATTTTTCGAAAGCTGCTCGTTCGATGACAATAAACTAATCGAAACATGCTCTAATAGGTGATCAATAAGAGTCTGAGCGATTTGACTCTGAGTCGAATGTGCTTTTTGATTGATCATTTCGCTTCCAAAATTCTCTAAAAAGAAACGTGCGGGGATAAGCTGAGCAGCTTCCGTGCTAGATGGGAAGTACTAGTTCTCTTATATCACGAAGTAATACTAGGGACAAGTTGGTATTCAAGCGTAGCGAATGGCTGGTCAGTGTAAAGATCAGTCCAGAAAGAAAAATGCCAAGTGTTCTATCAATCTTGGATACTTGCACCTCCACTAATCATCTTCGCACATTCACCTTTTCAACCTTCACACATGCAATCATGTTTTCACGCAAATTATTTATTTCCCAGAATCGATTATATCAAAAATTATTGGTCATCAATTCAGCTAGCTCTATTTCCATAAGCTCGTTTTCCATTGCATCACTTAAATAATAAATAGTATAAAAATTCCAAGAGTTATCACCATTCTGCAATGTCTACGTCCAGCATGACCATATCCTGCATTTGTGCGTCTTCTGCCTCTTCCTCAGCGACTTCGTCTCCGGCATCATCGGCGTCATCTCTAATAAGTCAATCATTGCCTTTTTTTTTACTTGAGTTACTTGCCTCGCGTTGATTCCTTGCATCTCTTCTTTGAGTTCAAAGTTGTCGTCATCATCTTCATCTCCGTCCGCACCCTCGTCATCATCATCATCGTCGCCATCATCGTCGTCATCGTCCCAGTCAGCCTCAAATGCAAGTTCCTCTTCGATATCTTGAACTTGAGCATCATTGAACTCCTCGACCTCGCCTCCCGACTCGCTGCCGTCATCTGCATCGATGAGTACTTCGATATCTTGAAATCAAAGCTAAAACCTATCGACAAAAATGCGCCTACCAGAATCATCTTTTTTCACCGACTTTCTGTTAAATGGAACTCGATCATTCTCAAAGGGATTGTAAAGTGCCAATTTCGCGGTTACCGGAATAAACCCAGCTGATTTATCTCGAAGAGATAGTGTTGCAGCGAACCGACCCCAGGGAGAAATTAAATTTCTCAGCTGTCAAGTGATAAGCCTTCTCGGAAAAATGCACGAATTCAATCTACTTTCCTGTGTTCCATGAGCTCGCCTTCGTCGTTTTAATTTTTGAGATGGATCTTTCTGAAGATAATGCTTAGAAGACTGTACAAATGAATGAAAGCTCTTACTTTTTGTCTGACACCCTCAGGGTTCTTATTGATTGAATTGTTGACAATGATTGCAGTCATACTAAAATATTGGATGCTCAGAAATTGGATAGTTTCTACCAACAATAAATTCAGAGTTGTCCCTCTGTTCTTAAAGTTACCCGTCACAAATTGCAAGCTTCCGTCAAAATTACCTCGTTGGAAAGGATAATTTGCAGCCAAATGTGGGGACAGGTATTCTCGTCACCTTTTCGGAGGGAATCGAGTAAAATGGATTCGTAACAAGCATTACGAAAATTGATGGTTTCTTTGGACGCTTACGCATTTTCCTCGGTTCAACATCGACTTAAAGTATTTTCAACAAGTCCCAATAGTAGCTTACTATGATTTGGCCAAGGCTTAACTATCCGCTCCGAAATAATATTCCCATTTGGAACTTGTTTAGTGCCACAGTTTTTCTTGGTCAGTTCAAAATGGGATCAATCATTAGATTCATTACACTTATCAATCTCGAACTTCACCTCTGGCCATATAATCGGTTTCCAGTGCGTTGCACTCAACTTCGAAGAGTTTTCCTGGTCGACTATGATGTCTTTGATTCAGGTTGACAACCTTACTTCGCATGTCAAGATGCGAAACGGCCCTTAATAAATAATGCACTTCCGCTTATTTTTCTTTGATTCGACCGCTATTCGATACTTGGCGCACCAAATTTACAACCCTGCCCATAATGTCCACCTTCTGTGTCCTTCGCAGCCTCGGCGGTCTCTTTCTTTTGATTTTTGACTTGCGCATGGTCAGTGGCGAGCATTTGATAGAGGACGTTCCCCACAGCAATGATTTACCTACTCTTGACGGGAATAAAACACCAAAATTAAAACCTATGATTCGTTTCTCTGACTGCCAGAGTCAGCCAGTGCATACAGATGATACCGCAAATGTTTGAATCTGCTGCCTTAAAAATATGCTCTGCAGATGCAGCAACATAAATAAGCATACTGACTATCTATCATCTTAAAATATTTCAACACTGAGAAAAAATAGACTACTGCTGTGTTGAAAAATTTTAATAAGAAGTATGTTCGTTGTTGATTTCGTTCAAGAATACAATACAGACTTCTTCCAGTACACTGAGGAGAGGATGCTAAGATGGTCTTTTGAAGCGATCGTTCGATAATAATGTACAAAAAACATATTGACAAGTCTCCCGCTGCATGACCGTGTCACTTGGCTGAGCCAGTTTATTTGATCGCTCTTTGATCTTGATGTCAGGTTAATCCGCGCCGCTGAACCATCTGCTTATTTCAAATAAATTATAAACTCGTTATCGATTTTCGAGCCCCTTTATTTTCTAGCGCCAAATGAAAACATAGAAGACCTCTTGAGCGAAATCTCGGCCTATTTTAATTTTTAAATTATTGTAAAATATAATATTTTTTATATAAAAGACAACAAATTTTGAGGTAAATTTTCATAAGCTCAAGGGGAGAAAATAAATCAACGTTTTGATCATAAATTATGGAAGGATTTTGAGAGTTCATACTGGTGAATTGAACGGGAATCTGATATTGTTCTACTAATATATCTTGCTTTATCCACAAGTCAGGATTATCGTGCGCCTTTCTACCATCTGGCGTGGCTTTCGGTCCCCTCAAATGAATTATAAATCGCGCATCGATTGGGTCTCTGATTGGCCTGCGATAAAGCGCCATCTCGCGGAAGCTAGCACCCGAGGGATGAAGGTCACAGGGTTGCTTCGGTCTCTCATACAGCTCGAGACGAGAAGCTACTCGCGCACTCCCCTGAGGGCACAACACGCCAGAGATCCGACGGCAATCCATCCTCTTGGGGCCACAAGCTGCATACCTTCAGTGCAGCTCAGTCCCTGAAGACAAACTCCCAATGGTAAGGATATACAATATGGACCCAGGGGGACTTGCCAGTAACAGATAGAGAGTAGACAAGAATCATAGAAGGTGCCACTAAGAACTCTGCACTAGAGTACACTTGGTTTAATCGAATAAATTATAGAGCGAACTCACAGAGAAAATCAAGAGTAAGTTATCGAACCAAATCCGCTTTGTGAGTTTCTAAGAGAAACATTATTCATTTTCAGAGCTACCTTACAGAATCATATATATTTAGCCTAGACAAAAAGTTATAGAACGTTGTTTAAGGAGTTCGCCAAAGAAGTGAATTTTACGACAAAAGAAGAGCAACCTGATCTATCCTATGATCACGGGGCACGCTGGTCGCACCACGCGGTGATCGACAACTCTGCTCTTGCAAGCGTTGGCGTCCACAGATGCACCTTCGAAAAGCAACCTCCAGCTAACCTCCGTAAATCAAACTTCTTCCACTTTGTACTGGCCCTTTACGATCGTCACAATCAGCTGATCGAGGTCGAGAAAACTTACTTTGTTGACTTCATCGAAAACGATCTTGAACCCACCGCCGAAAAAACCAACAACGGTGTACATTACCGAGTCCAACTCGCCTACTCAAATGGTAAGAGTCTATGCAGAAAATGCTGTAATTTTCGAACTCGTCCAATAACTATTTGACTTTGGAACACGCTGAGCAGATGGAGCGACCTTCAGAGCACCATATGTTTCTTTTTTCAATCAGGGTCGTAAAATTTGCTCGATAGAATACAGAAAGGAAAGTAATCCATCAAGGATTACAACTTCCTCTTTTTGCAATAAAATGAGCGTGAATAATTGATTGCGTTTTAGGAGTACGAACTGAACAGGACCTTTACGTCCGACTTGTGGACTCTGGAACAAGGCAACCGATTGTATATGAGGGGCAAGATAAAAATCCTGAAATGCAAAGAGTATGCAAATTTTACAAGTGTAGCCTCTCTAGTTACTTTTTAAGGTTCTCCTTACTCATGAAATTATGTGCTCGCGATGCTGCGATAAAAAATCCTGCGGCAACAGAAATGAAACTCCATCTGATCCAGTTATCGTCGACAGGTTTAAAAAATAATACCAACTTTTTCCTAACTCTTGGCTTAGATATTACTTGAAATGTTTCTTGAAATGCAACCAGAACTGCTTGAAGAACGCCGGAAACCCACGGGACATGCGAAGGTTCCAGGTGGCTGTTGGTACTTGTGCCCAGCTTGATTCGGCTCTGTTGGCTTTTTCTGATAACATGTTCGTCCACAATAATTCAAAGCACGGAAGGCGCACTCGTAGACCAGAAATTTCTGATGGTAAGTTATTTGCCCAGAATAAAAGGATTTCACCATGTTAATCGAATGTCAGCGGTTAATAACTAAACTTATTCAGAGATGACAGGAGACTTGTCCCTGACGCCTTCAATCAAGGCTATTTCACCATCTGAAGGCTGCATGACAGGCGGCACATCGGTTGTGATTGTGGGAGAGGGTTTCTTCGACGGCATCCAAGTTGTTTTCAATGGAACGATTGTCTATGCGGAGGTAAAACCCATTTAGTGAATCATATTTTCTAATTGCTGCATTCAGCTCATATCGCCGACCGCACTGCGATGCCAAACTCCTGCTCGATCCGCTCCTGGGCTTTCTGAGGTCTCACTTATCTACAAAGGCAAACACTTCCTCAAAAACTCACCGGCGAGGTTTAATTTCACACAGCCGACCCAGAACAGCATTGAGTTTGCGCTTGCACGTCTGACCAAGACTGTGCCAAAATACCCATCCGATCCTCCGGGTAATTTACCAAAGGTAATCTCATTGTTTTTAGTTTTCGGAAGAGTAATTCTTCATATTTAGGAAATCATTTTGCGAAGAGCGGCGGACATTTGCGAGTCTTACCTGCAGCGCTATGCTCCTCCAGTGAACACTTATCAAATTCACCCGTCCGCAATAACTGTCCAGCAAGAACATCCTGCTGTCGAGAAGATCGAATCCGACTCGGGTAAGATGCAGTGTTTTGTCTAGATATTTTTACAGAAGATGTATCTATCAAGCGCCAATACGAGTCTCCAGGGAGAGATAAATTATTTCTAATTTTGATATTATTCCTTTAGTTGGATACTCGAGGGACACAAACTCAGTTTCCCCGGTCCGGCAAAGCTTCTCGCCTCCAACGATTCAGTACACTACCTCACCAGCAACAACTGCGTACTACCAGCCTGCAAGCCCATCCTCCTCGTACACGACTTATAGCGGCGCAACCAGTAAGTACGAACTTTAAAATTCTTGACCAACTTTGATTGCATCTGCCAGCGGCGAGAAAACAAGTTTATTTAATAATACGGATGGTTTATGTTTATTAGCACGAGATCGAGCATGTATGTTAGGCGCGTGCCTAATTAGCTCTCCTCGCTGAAGCTAAAAGTCGATACATCGATCTCGAGGTAATCCAATTTCCACCTTGTTCTCGCCCTGGCCACATGTGGTAGGCCACTATGTGCATAATATGAACGCATTGCCCAGATTGCATATGCACAATGAGATGTGCACCAAATTGCCCGAGCAAAAGACACAATGAAGATAGAAGATAGCTGGGAATTTTAGTAAAAAGTACCGGCTATTTTTTGCCACTTGTGAACTTTGTAAGGGCCCCTTCGACGATTTTTCTTCGTTCATTATTATTTAATGATAATATTTCTTCGAACTTAAAGCTTTGGAAGTTACCTTTATCAAATATTCATTTTTATTTTAGTTCTTTCGTCTGGGCCACAGCAAACCATAATCACGACAGCACCTCAGAACTCGGCGGCAACCGGTATGTTCAGCTTCTCACCCGCTAACCTCGTCACAATGACTGGAAAGAAAATTTCGCCGCTCTCCTTCACTCAGTTGAAAGTAACGTCTAATGACCCGGGTGCAGGTGCCACTGCGGGCATCGCAACACTGGGATCAGACGCAGTCAGTGGCAGTCAGTCTCAGCTTCAAATCCAAAGTTAATTTAAAAATTTTCCTCGAGTTTTCTTTTATAATTTCTATGTTTTCCTCGAAAGTTCACGGTTCTAACCTTTTTTTTGAACAAATGCTTTTTTGCGAGCAATCCTGTTTTACCTATCAAAGCAGCCAGTTAACCTCTCTGGCAAGCTAAAATCTCCCGCTCTGGGCTTTCTTCAATCGAAATTTTAAGGGCGTAAATATTCAATTTTACCTTTGTACATGTTTCCCGTCGGCCCTATATTTTTATAAAGTGCGTTATTATTGTCTAAACCTTCTGAGATAATCAGCGTTTTTTTCTACCACCTCTTTTCTTCAAAACTTGCACACCTTTTGAATCCAAACTTTTAACAAATCTACTTCCTGCAATTCTTCAATTTGCACTTATTTTTTATGCGCGAGGTTTACTGTTCTTCAACAAAATCGCAACTGTACCCATTTTTCTTCCACTTATTATGAATTTGTCTTTTCTACAAAATAAATATCATCAAAGAACTCAAAGATATAAATATTGAATTCAAGTTAATTAACTTCAAAGAGGGACAGATGTTTCAGTCAAGGACGCGTAGTCAAATCACATCGATTTTCTGAGTAGACCGAGTCGTTCACGGCTTACCTGCGAGATAAAACAGAATAGATATTTGCTTAAAAAAGTAACAAGATTTTTAGAGTAAGTAAAAATTTGATCTATGTTTATTGAGGTTGAATACATCGCTCTATTATTGTTAACATCGGACAATTTTGTAGAGCTCTTTTTGAGTGCACGGTTTGATATTGCAGGATCTCTTATGGTAGGCGCGGCCTTTCTTGCAGGGTGATTGCTTTCCCCAGGGTCCGAATTTTTCTATAATGCGCTTGTAAGAATACTAAAAGACGGTTTGTAAACTCACCTTGCTGAGATACAGCGCTATCATCAGAGCTTGTTTGGGCAGAACAATATCCACATGTTTCCGCACATTGACTCTTCAGCTGAGCTTTGTATTTTGGCCATTGGCATGATCTTTTCAGCGCTTTGCACTTGGCGGGGGTCTTGTCCGCACAAGTGGCGGTGCTAGCTTCTTGCACCTTTTCTTCAACTTTTTTTGCGGCGCCAGTGCATACTCCGCATGTCTTTGGACAGAGATTTCTGATCTTTGTGGCGTGTGTTTTATGATTGCAATAGTTCAAGTAATTTGGACATTTGGCATTGTTATCTTCGCATGTAGGTGCCTTTGTCGTCGTAGTGGTTGTCGTTGTTGTAGTTGTAGTCGTTGTTGTCTTCGGTGTTGGGAAAAATGGGCTCATGTTTGGTTTTTTATTGCCACAGAATCCACAGGTCTACTTTGCTTTAGAAAAATAATTATTCTAGATGTCGATCATGATTATTCATCATTGATTAATGTAAAGCTTTCCTTAGCACAATTTATCTGCATCATATCTGCGCCCATCGGTGAATCGCAATACTCACTCACTTCTTGACATTTGTCCTCTCCCAGTTTGTCATCGCAGTTAACAAACTTAGAAAGGTTAGTGTTCAACACTTATATAATACTCTTACAAGTTCAGAGTCGTCTTCGGGTTGGCAAACACCGCAAGTCTTCGGACAAATGTCCTTGATTTGTTCGCCGATATCTGGGTGGTCGCAGAATTTTCCGTTGACAACACAATTGTCATTTTTATCTTCGCACGTGTCCTCGAGTACCATATCAACTAAAGCGAGATGTATAAGCTAAGCTAGATAAAATGGAATTACCTTGCTGGTGTTCCTGATCGTTGCATCTAGCAAGACCACATGCAATCGGGCAGCTCTCGACGAAGTCGGGCATCAAACACGTCGCTGGTGTGCACCAAGACTCATCCTCGCAGCTCGGGCCGATCATTCGTGCGCTTTGGACGACTTCGGGTGACACAGTGGGCATTTCAAACTTCTCGGTGCATGTCCCACATGTTTTCTTGCAATAGGCTTCGACAGCGGGAAAATCAGCTCTTCCACAAAGAGCTTTTTGGGCGGGACAGTACTCATAAGTGTCCGCACAGGCCTTCACTGAGCTGGCAAGAAGTACTCTCGAAAATTTCATTTTCTCTTTTAGAGTGTAACTATTGAATCCAGATTTCTAGGGCGCCTCTCCTTTTATAAAAATCCAAACAGCGCGGGCACAATTCAACCCCTTAGGGCGGTGTTAGTTGATTACTTATGGTGTTTTTGGCTAAGTTTCAGCTGTTCTTATCGGATTTTTCTTACGACTCTTGCGTGATCTTACTGTCAACTGACTTAATGACCATCTGATGGTTATGTTCAGTATGAGAATTCAACTGTACATTGCCTTCGCGTAATTAGAAATTAGACACGTCAGAGTTCTAGTATCCGCGTAAGCGAACAATCATCATCACGCCGCCGCCGTTTCTGCCTCATTATGTGCCTTCAGCTTTCCAGAAATGACAACCGGCCATCTACGAAAGAAAACCTTCATAAAGCATCCATATTTTATGATTTATTTATAAAGTTATAATTTATTTCTTACAAAAAATCAGATTCATCAGTAAAACTAGGTATTTTTAGTCCAGTTCTTCCAGGAACATACTTTTCTTCGCCGCGAGTGACGATTGCCATTACAAAATTAGTGAACATCGCGCTCATTCCCCATAAACGGGGCTCGACTTGATAAGATGGCAGCTCGTAATCTGGAACATAACGACTAATTGAAATCAACGTTTTCATACCGTAAAGAGAAGGCTCTGTCGAATTCCTATCGAATCTGAACTTTGTTCTCTTCGAAGACTCCAATAGTTCATCTAGCGACAGAGTAAAAATGCATTCAACTTCGTCATCAGATTTTCGAAAACTCAGGTCATCGAAACTGCCAATGTCGACGAGGACTCCCTGCACGGCAAATTTGAAACGAGAGTCAGGAATGCCGCCTGGAAGTGTGCCCCAAACGCTCACTAATCGCGGATCAAGCCCAATCTCTTCATTTGCTTCACGCAGAGCAGCTTCGACAGTTGTTTCTCCAGATTCGAGTCTTCCGCCCGGAAAACAGACTTCTCCTCTGTGCGATCTCAGAGTAAATGCACGCCGTGTGAAGAGCAAAGATGGCTTCCCGTCTTTTATACAAAGAGGAATCATCACCGCCGAGTTTATTTTTAGCCTTTTCATTCGTTTTGGAACTTTTATACTCTCCAGAATGTCGATAGTCCGGCTCTTCTTCTGTTCACTGAAGATACTTTCGATTGAAGACCTGGCACTGACTGAATGCGCTCTTCTGGCTCTAAACAAGTGAAGAATTATAATTTCGGATTTTTAATTTTAATTAAGCGTGGTTTACCTGGAAATGAGACTGTTTCCTCTGAGAATGGTCATTTTCTTGTTTCTTTTCTTTTAGACTGGTCCCTAAGAATTCAAATTTTACTATTTGGCGCACCGAGCAGCAGCGAGCCAATCGCGATTCGATTCGCTTTCAAAATCTTTAAAATATCCATACTTTGGCTTAATCGAGAAATCCCTTATTTTTGAAGTTCCTAGCGTACCATGTATCTCTTCAAATTGTTTATCTACAAGTTTGTTAATTCTCATAGCGTAAGATTTCCGTTTTATTCCGAAGTATTTTTTTTGTAATTTTTAATAATAAACTCTTTATTTTTATTAAAAAAGTTCAGTTAAAATCAACCGCATCGATTTGTAAAGGCCTAATTACTTTATCCCAATTCTATCCCTATTTGATTCAGACGATGCCTGTGTATGTTCGGCAAGAAGCGCTGGAGGTACCAACTCCGACGCTTTCTGAATGCTCGGAGGAGGGCATCCAAGACCCAGAGGAGATCTTTCCTGAGCGTACTGGAACGGCCGGCTATGTAAGAGAAGTCCTATCTGATGTATTCAACACTTGCTGGATGAGCGTGGAGAAAAAGCAAAACGAAATAGGCGAGTTATAAAAGATTGAATTTAGCCTAAAAACTCAATTTTAGAAACTCGTGCGCGACTCAAAGTTGACGTGACTGCGGATTTGCCATTTGCGGATCAAGTAAACGAGGACAAGTTCACTTGTGTTACGACAGCTCGCGACTTCGTTTTCGGCGGCACTGAAGCCGGCTTCCTACACTGTTATGACGGCGACGGCAATTTGCTGGATAGCTGGCGAAGTCCACAAGAAAACCGCATCACAGACGTCTGGGGCTCCGAGTTGGAACCAATCGAATCGGTTTCGCACTGCGTCGTTGCCGATGAAATGGGAAACGCTTGGTGGCTAGTTATTACGGATCACGGACTGGTTCTTGTGAAGGAAGTAACAGAAGACAAAGTCAAAGTGAGGTGCGACAATTGCAAGTACTCCAAGGGAGGATACATAATTGCCGTAGGAGTGAGCACGGCGACAGACAGCTGGGTCGTCTCTTGGAAAATGACTCCTTCTATCATCAATAACTGGATAAAAGCACTTCGAGCACCGACGTAAGCTTCCTTGTATTCCATGAGTGGATAGTTAATTGTCTTTCAGTCCCCCTCCAGCTCCAGAAGTTGAAGAAACTGAGTCCGAAGAAGCCAGTCCACCTGTCGTGGAGAGATATGTTCCCCAATTGACGATGACGGCGGCGATAAAAATCTTGCGCCCAAAAGGAGAACTGAAGCCAAAAAAGAACTCTTTCATAACAATGCGAACACAAATCGCTCGCGACGGCCTTGTAGCGGATATCACTGCGTAAGTCCAATTTTCAGTTTCTAATTTCTTATTTGTTTTGTCAAGCGACGAGCATCCCTACTTGTTCACCGATCGAATGAAGAAATATAGAATTGAAGAAGAAGAACAGAGCTTTGAAAATGATTTCCCTACCGACAGGCCTCTAGAGGACGAAGAGATCTCCATCATGATGAATGGGCCGGCAATGTTCGTTATTCTAGACAGGGATGGAAGAAATTTCACAAAACGCTGAACTTTCAAATTAATGCTCTTGAATTTTTAAGGTCTCTTGGAAAATTCATCCTTTGAAAGAGCCTCTTGAAGAGGCCCCAGCGACCCCTGCTAGTCAAACAAATGTCAAGAATCCCGACGCGAATGCTCGGATTCATCAGTACGGCATCGCAACTACTCAGCAAAACACCGCCAAAGTATACGTTTACAGATACGACGATGTCAAAGGTTCCAATTCAACGTAAAATGGCATGAATTTATCGAGGTTTCTAGGACGCGTACTTCCTTACCAGGGCCTCCCCCACACGGAACGAATCGACGCCTTCGCAACTGATTGTCAGCGAACTTTTTTCATCGCAACTTGCTGCGCAAATGGAACCATCTCACTCTGGAAACGCATCAAGCCAAAACAACTGGTGCCCATGTTTGTTTGTCCCAGCTTGAAGAATATTTCGGTGATATCGATGGCCGTCCAGCCGAAACTGGGCACCGACACGGCTGATATACTCTGCCACGATGTGACGAAGGCTCTTGTCATTGTTGAAGACGATGAAACTAAGTACATGTCACTGCTTAATGACAGGCGTGTCATCTACGATCATGTAGAGGTATGCCTTGGGCAATCAAGGGAATGAAGAGATGAACGAGGAAGCCAAACAGAGAATTTTTGATCACTTGCTTTTTAGGAATTCCATCAGACGGCGGATGGGTATATAGCGCGATTGAACGAAATTTCGATCCATTGGCAGTTCAATCAGACTCAAATTGTTCGAAAATGGATGCTTCCAGAAACTTGCGAAGATTTAAATCGACAGTCTTACTCTCGCTTTAATGACTGTATTTATTACGTGCACGGGCATCACCTAAAGGTCGCACGATTTGTGTGAATACCCTTCCTTGAGACTTTCTCGAACTCCATTGAATACCTTCTATTTTTACACTATCTAATATTTTTTTTAATAAATATCTTTTCATAAACATAGTTCTCCAAGATCTTTGATTCTAGATAGGTCGATGCGAGATGGCACTGAAAGGCTTCAGTGAAGCAGATAGTAATTATATTGCCGGACTGATCCAAAGCTTCTACCAAGACAAACTCTCGCAAAGCGATCATAAAGCGGTAAGTCTTCGGGCGCAACTTATGAGTAGCGTTGTTATTAAAAGTTTTATTGACAATACAAATGACTAGTGCAGTCTCCGCTCGATGGTATTTTTCTCTCAATAGTTTACCTTGAACTTCAGTGAGAGTAGAGTAGATGGAGGTCGTTTTACAATTAGATATTTACGTTCAGCTAAAGCGGCGTTTAGATCGACAAATGGATCCAGGGCTACCAGAAATCCCCTTATGCGTGGGAGAATATGAACAAGCTTCTCTACGCGAACATTGATCTCCAAACAAATATATTTGCTTCGAACACGCTCAAAAGAAAAGTGCTCGAAGACTTTAATGAACTCCCTCCGGAGAGTTACGAGCAGCTACGCGACTCGCTTCTTCAACTAGCATGCCGCCAACTGAACGAAAGCGTCATGAAACAGCTTTGCATTGCTCTTGTGGATCTCTGTCTACAAATGCCGCAGCAGGAAAACTACATTTTCAACCTGATCCAAGGTGATTAGGCTTTGTTATTACAATTTAATCGAACAGCCATTTAGCTTTAAAAGAAAACGAACCGGCTCTACTAATCGTACTCGCGTTACTTCCGGAGGAATTAAATAATTCTTCCCTGAGATTGGGACTCAACCGAAGAAATCAAATTTTGGAAGAATTCGAAGGTTCATGCCCTCATGTACTCGAGCACGTTTTAATCGTTCTCAATCGGGTTCAAGGAAAAGAAACTGGGAACGAAAAGGTCAGACGCAAATGCTTCGAAGCTATTCGCCAATGGATAAAGTTGGGCTCAGCCCCAAGCTCTTGCCTGGCGAGATCTCCTCTACTCATGCCAGCGTTTGCGACTCTGGAAGACATCGATGCAAATACCAACGAACATGAAGCCGCGACTGATCTAATTTGCCAAGCAATATTCCTCTGTGAAGATCAATCCCGATACTACGAGCTGTTAGAACAGCTGAAAGGTCGCGTTTACGGGCTTCAAGGTACCTTTCAGCTCACACAACAAGCTGAAGACATTGATAAATGTATCAACATATGTCGCATCTTCACTGAACTAGCGGAAACACTACTCGACAAAATCGTCACCACGCCTGGCGAAGGTCTTGGCGATCTAACAACCGTCAATTTGTGCCTGGAGGGTCTCTCGCACTACGACTGGGAGGTCTCTAAAATTACCTTCCACTTTTGGTACGGTCTCTGCGAGTCACTGATGAACAACGACGCCAATGTTTCCAAATTTAAATACTTATTCGAGAAATTGATTCAGGTAGTGCGAGAAGAGGATTCACTTTAGTAACGGATTTAAGTCGCTGACACGCCTTTGTCAAAATGACAATGACATTGATTCCCCACCGACTGGTGACTTTCAAGACTTTCGAGTGCAATGTGCTGAAATAGTAAAAGATATAACACGAATAGTGTCGAGTATGGAATGCTTCGATCTAATGTTTACGATGCTGAAGACCGAGTCTGCTAATAACGACTTACAGTGGGACAGACTTGAGGCGATTCTGTGGATGTTATCGGCTATAGCGCCCAGGTTGTGCTACGAGCAGAAAAATTCTAAGTCCTCTACTTCGGCGCAAGGTCGGCCAGCAATCACAGGATACCAGTGTCTCATAAGAATATTTTAGAGCTGCTATCGGTCGTTCTTTCGCAGCCATCAGCCACGACGCACCCTTGTTTACGACTTACTTCCATAAAACTTGTTGGAGATATGAACGAGTGGATTGATGCGAACAAAGAGAATTGGATGGAAAAATCCATTCAGTTCCTCTTCGAAGGCCTCGCAGCGGAGGGCAACTGTCAGAAAGATTTCCAAACCGTATCAGCTGAAGCTTTGAAATTAATCTGCACGACCTCGTGCAAATTGCTTTCCGTTCATTATGAGTTCCTACTTTCGGCTGCAGATCAAATATTGGACAAGCTAATTTGGGCGGCAGCACATAGACTATTACAGGGACTGTCTTATGTTATTTCTGAATGTAAGTGGCTCAGTAGCAAACAGTTCTTGACCCAATTCTAGTAAATATAGAGCTTCAAGAAGCGTGTATAAATCAAATGGTCGGTCGCCAAGCACTGCTAGTTCAAAATTGTCTCAACGAGGATGGTCAACCCCATTTGCCATTAGATAGGATATCAACAATGTTCCGCTACCTGCGAAAACCCAAAGATCAAGTAGCCCATGAAGCGACAGTTCGACAGATTTTGCCCATACTAGCAGACTGTTTAAACAAGTGGCAAGCTGACTACCGAATCGTTGAAAGAATATGCAAATGCTTGAGATTCATCATCAGGTAATAAGCAGCAGTTGAAGAGAAGTTGAAAAGCGACATTTTCAGATTTCTGGGACCAAACTCTGGACCAATCCTTGAAGTCATGGCGTCTACATTTGTTCAAGTGTTTACAACTCATCGGCACAGCGTTTTCTTGTACTTAACTTCTATTTTGGTCGACGAAATCGGCGAGCGCTACTCCAGTGATCTTCAAAAACTCTTCGAAGCACTAGCAGGACCCACTCTTGAAAAGGTCTGTGTTTTGCGTTGTTCTAGAAACAAAATGTTTTTGATAGTTAAATGAGGAGGATGGATTGCGGCAGAACCCTGACCATGTGGACGATTGGTGTAGGCTAGCTGCTCGCATGGCGGAAAAAACATCGGAGCATTTTTATTCTGGCAACGCGATTCAAGCAGCCTTTGATTCTGCGATTGCAGCTACAAAACTTGATCACCGAGACGCGTCTGCTTCCGTTTATAAATTCCTTTTCCAGGTTCGTTTTGTCACTAGAGATGTCAATACTTAAACGCTTCCTTAGATTGTGGACACAGCGCCTGATAATATTTACGAATCATTTGTGATAAACCTTTTCTACTTTCCTCTGGAAGCAATAGTATTCGACGTTCCTGCGTATCAAAGGTAGCTTTCTTTTCTCTCTCAATCCGTTTTTACCTTTGTTTAGCAACGATGTTTCTGAGCTCTTCTTCGCGATGAAAAGTAGGAGTAGTCATTCATTCAAAATTGCACTTGAAAACGGTAGGTGCACTACTGCATTTCAATCAGCTTATTCCTGCCTCTAGGGTTGACTCGTTTGACAACACACCCAAAAGCCAAATTCGGTGCGACTCAAGACCAGCTGAACCACTTCGCGGACGATCTGATTCGCTCGGATTCGGAGAATTCAATCCACTCGTGCCTTCGTGACTTTTGCAAATTGTATAAATAATTTATTGAAGAATACTAACTCGTCGATAGAACGGGCTTGTCACCGCTAAAATGTAAATTTCCGGACTGTTCTAAAGAAATCGTAAAAGAAAGCTTGTTAAATGACCTTGTTGAAAGCTTCAGCGTGTGAATAATGATCATTTCAAATGGTTTATTTAGTGCAATAGATGATCATTTCATTGACGGAACATATTTTCGTCTGTTCATCTAAATGTATTTTTGATAACTTCGTGTCAAGTTATCTAAAGTCATCGTAACTTTAAGAAAATGGCTCAGCAACTAGATAGTGTTTAATCAGATATTCAAATAACTTCACAAGCTTCTTTTTTGAGGATATAGTACAGTACTATAAATTTGTCGTTAGCGACTTCAATTGAGTCAATTGATTTTGCTTCCGTACTATAAAATTTACCGTTGCCGCTCTTTCGAACCTGACGTATCCTATCCAAATTCGTTTGAGGCTTGATTGCATATATTCTGTACCGATTTATAGTTACATGTTCATTCATTAGACTACGCAAATTTGATGCTGCCCATTTCACCAAGATTCGCAATACTTGAGTATTGTGAATTAATCTATTTATTCAAGGGTTCATTTTCTTTTGAATCAATTCAACCTTTGTTAATTCTTTTCAAAACACACCAAAGATAAATCCGAGCTTTAACCTTCTGTTCAACGCGGACTGAATTCCACTGTTTCAGAAGGATTCATGGTGATTTCATAAATGCAAGCGATAAAATCGACTAGGCTTTGGAAGTACAAATGGCGTTTTATCATCGGCACACCCATAGGCATGGATTTTTACTTTGCTCTCTCTATGTCGAGTTTAATTGATGTGAAAGAAATCCGGTAAAAGTGTCGTACGCAAGTAACTACTTCTGGGAGTCGCATAACTCGACGAAATTCCTCCAGAGCGCAATCGACGAGTCGCTGATTGAAGGAGCCAAGACTGCTCTCAAGCATCCCCGCGACGCATTCTTGTTCTGCTCAACCCAGTTGCAAATGGCGGGTATGCATCGCAGAGCTACGAAAGATCCGCTAAGCCAGTATTTGACTGCGCTGGCGTGAATGTAGTTCTCAAGAAGACCGAGTACGTCAAGCACGAGCGAGACATCGCCGCGGAAATCAAGCCCGAGTACGACGCGATCGTCGTTGCAGGCGGCGACTCGATGGTTCAGAACTTTCTCACCGGCCTAAATAGAAGAAAGGACTTCGACGATTTTAAGAACATTCCTTTGGGTATAATTCCGCTCGGAAAGACGAACTCCGTTTGGTACCAGTTTTCTTCGAAAGCGGATGGCGATTGGCAAGCGCCTTACACGAGGCCCATGCGAATTACAGAAGCTGCTAAGACGATAGGATTGGGCTTTCGCTGAACCGAGAATATTTTCTGTGGTACACTATTTGAAAACCCAATGTAAAGTTGCAAATTCAAAAAGGAAGATAGATGTGTTGTCATTGACAGATTCGTCCGAGCGCACGCTTTACACATTATCCGGAATCCGCTGGGGAAAATACATAGATATGGAAGGACGGCTAGATTCTTACTGGTACTGGGGATTCGAGGCGATTAAGCGTAAAGCCGCCTACGTGATGGCCAACTTCCGCGGAGAGCTCGACGAAATGCGTGATCTGCAGCTTCACTTCAGCGAGCCCCTCAGTCAAGCTCAGGCGAAGGAAAATGCGGAGACGGAGGCATGGCGTTCACAGCGCGAGAAATCAATGAAGGTGATTTTTTCGAGAACACTTGTTTACCTCAGAGCCAGATCCATCTTTTTTGTCAGTTTCTGACAGAGTTCGAAATCTGAAAGATAATGGCGACTGCCACTGCCAAGCGACTGCCAGCTTTTTTGAAATGGCGACTACCACTGCCAAGTTACTGCCAGCCTTTTCTAAATTGCAACTGCCACTGCCAAGTGACTGCCAAAATCGGCAGCTGCCACTGGCAGCTGCCAGTCGACTGCCAAAAACTGCCAATTTCGATACTATTTTTAAAAAATTTAAAAGTCAAACTAAGTTCACAACAGTCTTTTCGATAAGTAAAACAGATAAAAGAGACGATATCTTAGATATAAATGTCTCTTCTGATTAAAAAGATTGAATAATATTATATTAATTATTATTAATATAGGTCTCAGGAGCGAATTTGGATCATAAGCGTTGTTTTTTATGGTTCTAGAAAGAAAACTTTAGAAAGAAATTAATATCTTTCGAAGTGGCAGTAGGTTGGCAGCTGCCAGTTACTGCCAGCCCTTGAAAAATGTAACTGCCACTGCCAAGTGACTGCCGAAATTGGCAGCTGCCAGTGGCAGTCATGGCAGTACTGCCAACAAATTTCGAACTCTGGTTTCTGATGTTCGGAACTAGCAAAAAAGATGAATTCTCGGAGATTTCTCGTTAGATTGTCGTTCCTTATATGAATTTTAGCGTTCCTCTGCTAGTAAAGGATTCTTCGGTTTTTCACGTGCTGCCTCTACGCCCGCGCCAAGCACATTTCCTCAGCAAAATGACTCGGTGAAGGAAATTAATCTGGACAAAAAAGAAACAGTGAGTTTCTTGGAGATGAACCTTGCCTTAAACCACGGGGACAGAAGTAGTCACCAGGTGGAATTTACGTTTGAAAGAGAATTCGACAAAAGCAATATTCTGTCACTGCTGATGCCTTTTGTGAATGACCCAATTTCGACGAGAAAGGGCGCTTTTGGTCACGTGAAAGAGCTCGATGTTCGAAAATTAGTAACTTCGGATTTTGACTTGACGCCAGGAAAAGCGATGTCAAAGTTTAACACCGAAGAGGAGTCCAAAGACTATTCATTTTTTATCGACGGAGAAAGCTTTATTCCGGGAAGGGTCGAAATTTTCGATTCGTCGAAATATTGCGTAGGTTGTTTTCAAATAGCGATTTTCGAGACAAAAATTCTCTAGAACACGTGCCTTCGTGTTGTCAAATTTCACTTTTTCGTCAGTTGCACTCCAGCAGACGCGGCGAAAAGAGCTTTTTCCAAAAATCGCGTTCCGAGGTAAAATTTTTTCCGCATGAATTTCGACCCTTTTTTTACAGAGCAAGATTAAAGGAAGACTATTACTAAACCACATGTCAATATTTTCCGCTGCCCAATCTTAGAATTTAAAATTTTATAAATCTGTTGTTTCCTTTACTATTGTCGACAAGGGAACAAAAAATAATTCATTTATTTTTAGATGTCGAATGGTATTGAATGGAGAAGTCCTTGAGCAACTCTAATGGAATAGAAGTTAGATGGGGTCCGTTGGTCAAATCCGACGGGTAAGTTTCTTCAATCCAAAGTCTTTTTATAACGATTCATTTCAGTCAATGAAAGACTGCCTAGAAGAAGCGCCGTTCGTCGTACTTTGAATCGGTGCTTCGCGAGGAGTCCCGTGTGCGCTGCTTCTCCTTAGCCTCTACCCAGTTCCGAGCTCTATCGTTCCTAGACCTGTCCGGTCAGGAACGAGCTCCGCCTCTCGCGTTTTCCAAAGGAAGAGGAATTCGCGGTGGCAAAGAAGAAGGACTGGGTTTATGAGTTACTTGACTCGCCTCGCGCGGCGTGGAAGAATAAAACAATTTCCAAAGCGAGGCGAGTCACCGAATCAGTGACTATCGGCCTAGAAGGGGGTCAATTCTCCTACTCAATGGAACAGCCACCGGGGCTCTTTACAAAATAGGAATGGCTCGACAAGCTACTAGTCTTACTAAATCAATAATAGAGACTTAATCTTAACTCTAGAATGTTTTCTTATCTTTCTACGTCCTTGATCATTTGTCGAGCCAGCAAAAGACAATCGTCTAATTTTGGGCAGCACTAGGGTGCGTGACAACAGTTTCACCACCAGAGGACGGTCGGCAAAGAAACCAAAAGAAAAAAATTGAACCTTTGGAGCCGGCCGTCAGTAGCTTTCGCCTTGTCCAGGCTTAAGCTAAGCTTCAGACGTCCTGTAAAACGGTCGTCTGTGGGCTGATCCGCTACCATCAGAAAGTACAGAAAACAGAAAGCACGATCTGATGGGCAGTAGCGGCGAAGAGTGCGAAGATACTGAAGCAGAAGAAATTGTAGCTCATGTCGAGCTACATGCTTCTTCTTCGCCTCTTCCGATGAGCTCCTATACGACAAGAGCGTGTAGGACTAGGATCGACAAGTCCCACCCGACACCCGATCGAAACCCGACGTTTTTGTCGGGTTTTTGTTGGATTCTGCCGACCCTACAAAAACCCGACGCTGAAATTCTGGCGACCCTACAAAATCGGGTTTTTATAGGGTCATTTATCGGATTTTTGTAGGGTATTTTCGTCGGGTTTCTCTTCGGATCTACTCATCAGTTTGATTAAAGATAGTACCCGAAATTCTGTTAGCCAAAAATTCTGTCTAGTTTCGCCGATTTGGATTCATTTAACTTGATTCAACTTTAGGGGAGACACTGAATTGTGCCGCCCTGCGCCGCTCTGCGCCGCCCTGCGCCGCCCAGCGTCGCCCGGTCTCGCCGGATCCGAAGATATTTGTCTTTCAAAAGCGGGAAATTTAGATTTTCATGTCAACTTAGTTATTCTGACATATTTATAGTGTCTTAAAATTAAAAAAAAGGTAAACCTATAATTTAGGGTGCAAGTAGAGTAATTCTCAACCAAAGTCAGATTTTGGCATAAAATCACTAATTAATTGAGCACGCGACGGGCCAGAGGCCCTTACGCGCGCATTTTCTGGTAGAGAACTCATTGGGTTGGCGGGGCCCAACTCTCGCTCTTGTTCAGGATTGTTTCTTAGGTCATGGTTGGGGCGGATGATAGCCGGATGGTTTCGGACCGGGCGACGCTGGGCGGCGCAGGGCGGCACAATTCAGTACCCCCCAACTTTAGTGTTGTGCAAACCCGACAAGAACCCGACAAAGACCCGATAAAAACCCGAAAAATACCCTACAAAAACCCGAAAAATACCCTACAAAAATCCGATAAAAACCCGACAAAAACCCGACGAAAACCCGACAAAAACCCGATCGGAAAAATCAGACTTCAAGGAAATCCGACGAAAACCCGATCCGGATTTCGGGGCATTTGTCGATCCTAGGTGTAGGAGATCCCAGAAGAGGGATGCGACTCACAAACGTCCCTGTGAAAGGGCAGAGCATGAAGAAGGTTATTTGGCGCTCTCGCCCTTTCATGGTAAGCACCAAGCCGAGAATGCGAAGAAAAAACGCCCGCGAGGGCGTCTTGGACTTGGTGCAGGACCACTACTGCTCGACCAGGACTAGATCCGACTTTCACGTCCGTAAAGGTCGAGCAGTTTAGAGTGTGTAAGGTCAACTCGTCCTTACACACTAAACAATTCGGAAAACGAATCCGGGAGTGAATCAGAATGGCGAGCCGGTTTCGACAATCAACTTCTTGACAAGCGTCGGGAAGCGTCATTACAATTGGATCAAATCCAACAGAAGATGACACATCGTGAATTCGATTCTTACCTGAAACTGGAAGAAAAGGGAAGAATCAGCGAAAATCCGACTGAGGTAGGTTTTCAACTTTACACTCCCCGTTTTTTTTCTCAAATTGAAGTTGCCTTGAGAATCTCGTTTTTTGATCGTTCACGGAACAAGATTCTTACGGCGCTTTACAATGGTCGTATTTTCCTGCAAATTTATATATCTATCGGGATGTTACAGTTGAAAATCTACCTATATTCATTCCAATTGGACGAAACCGGCACAGAAGAAGATGACTTCGAAAAACGAAGACGCATCCCGCCTTACTTGAGAAATAATTCTCTCTGACTCATCTATAAAGCAAAAGAGATGATCGCTTCTCTCACGATTCGTTATACGAAGACGTCGAAAAATATATATTTCAAAATGAAATATCTGTTCCTATAACTTTACTCCACAAGTCCGTTAAATCACAATTATCTCTTAAAGAGACTCCTCAATAAATGTTACTTTTTTCAAAAAAAAATATCTGTGTCTTTTCTTTGTCGTGTAGTTTGTAGGTTAGCGTGTATGAATAGAAAGCGAGGTAGTACTCAGGTGATGAAAATAGACTGAAGATGTCGCGGCGTGTGTCGAAACTATCGTCAGGCTTCTTTCGGCAGTCACACGCTCCGGATGTCGAAATCGAATCTGACGAGGAGCCGGAGATGTCCTCTCAGGCGGAGATGGAAGTAGAAGAAGCGCCTGCTGAGAAGAAGCTACAACAGGCAAAAGAGTACATTCAAAGCATTCGTGCTCAAATTAGCGAGGAAAATGATATTGACGGCCAAATTCTGATGGATAAGATTCGGTTCCACCGGAGTCTTCTCAAAAGAAATATTGTTTCTTTTGCTTTTTTAATGAGTATTGTGGAACCTAAGTTAACCAAGAGCAGGAAGGTCGTCTAATGCGCGCTACTGCCGAGGAATTGCAACAGCGCTTGCAAGGATGTAAGGTGAACGCATTGTTTGTGCAACTGTTTATCATGTTTGCCCTTAGATCGAAACGAAGTTGGCGAAAAACGGACACAAAAAAGCGCCAACGTGTGTTATATTCGCCCCAAAGAGCGCACACATCTACAGCGCGTGCAAAGACGGAAGGCGAGGGGCTTGATCTAATCTCATGTGATTGATTTTGATTCCCGGGTTCAGCACTTTTTTGAAATCAACGTCGAGCCCCTTTGAAGTTTGTTTAAGTGGTCAATACATTCCATTCAGCAGATGAAAAGGGTTTCGTCAGCATATAGTCTAAGGTAGTGTGGTAGAACACAATCAAAGAGATATAAATATCTCTCGAGGAACCTTTTTGTCTATTTGTGTAGAATTTAAAGAGCTTTATTCAGAAAGAATGCAACGGACGTCGAAGGTCACGATTGCTCGATCCTTGCACTTGCTGTCAGTAGCTCTGGAACTTTAGTAGCTTCGGGCGATGAGAAAGGGAAAATTAATCTATGGAGCGATGCGCTTAAATTCCTTCACAAATTTGAGCAGCACAAAAGCGCCATTACTGGACTTGCATTCAGAAGAAATGCTCCAGAAATGTACTCCTGTTCCGTCGACAAAACTGTCAAAGTGAGCTTTTCTAGTTGTAGCCGCGTAATTCCTACGCAAATGTTAACTCTTCTCTCTTTTAACTTTGAACTGGCGCACGTTTGACGTTTTTTCGCAGGTTTGGGACACTGATAGTCGGAGTTATATCGAGACGCTGTTTGGGCATCAAGATACAGTCCAGGCAATCGACGCGAACACTCGAGAACGGGCAATTACAGCGGGCGGAAGAGATAATACAATTCGCATTTTCAAAATCCCAGAAGAGACGCAGCTCGTCTACCGGTAAGTGGAAATTCCACTATTTGAATCGACTGGCAATCTTCTCATGCAGCAGTTTTAATTAATGACGCGCCAACTTATCGATAGAGGGCTTTTCCAACAATTTCTAGTCTCTCCCAGCAGCGGGTAGACTAATGAGCATTCTTCTCAATCAGACCACCTTAGCAAAGTTATTTCATTCGCGCACTTCAGTTCTCATGCATCGCAATCCTTCCAAAAAAGGAGAAACTGCGTATTCTCTACTAGGCCACGTAAGAAAGGAATTCCAAAGCGTCGAAGGCAGCGCAATAAAGTACCGTATCTTTGGCACAGGCTCTCTGTTTTGAACGACTGCCAAGGTTCGATGAAGTCGAAGGTGACTAAGCGGAAATGTATAAATAAGTACGAGCACTGTTGGTTGACTTGCTCGTGCCAAATACGTATTTATACAGTAATGCTCTGTCGGTGTTCGATTACTTTCTCTCTGTGGGTTCTGACTTTTCGCTGTTTTCGCTTTCTGTGCTGGTACTAATATTTTTTACGAGAAATTAATTATTTTTTTCGTAGCGCGATAGCGACACTACAAAATAACTTTACGAGAGCCGGCATCATCGGATATGGCCTCCTAATAAAAAATCTAGCCAAATCAATAAAAATAATGATTTTCATGGCAGGTACAACAATATTGCCAGTCCCTTCGATGCGAAACTCTCACGTAAAACTCCCAAACCAACCGCTTCAGTCGCCGTTTTTATTTCTTTCAGCTGAACAAGCAAAGTTTTATGGCAAAGTATTTGTCCTCTTAAATTTTTAGTCTCTGTTTGCTTTTACGCAATCAAGAGGAATTAGACCTTGCTCCCTGTCTGACATACTGAATTCCTAGTTAGCGATCAGAAAAGATTTCGTTTCTCTCATTGTTTACTTGGCTTGTTATTTGAATAACAAATATCTAAAACTCTTCTCTTTCAAAAGCCCTGTTACTAATTCGTAGAGGTGCCCTCAGCCATGCTTTTGCAAAAATTGAAAGTGAACCTAAAAGTTGCATAATGTCCATTTTTGTTGATTTTTGAGAGATTTGTGCGTTAATTCCGGAGAAGTCCAACAAAGGTATTGATTTATTTTTGATGACTGAAATAGCTTGAGCTGAAGCTTTCTGTTGTGACTACTTCTGTGGTCTGGTTAAGGTGCACGAAGCAGGTGTTAATAGTTCGAGGCTGTCGACCTTTGACTCACTTTTTCGCAAAGTCGACAGAAGCAAGAGATTTTTACTATCTTCTTCTATTTCCGGCTGCTCCAATTCTACTTCTAAATCGACAAGTTAAGGGGTCATCACGGCAGTATCGACTGCGTTGCCTTGCTGAACGACGTTTATTTTGTATCAGGGGGCGACGATGGAGCGATTAACTTCTGGTCGACTAAACGAAAAAAGCCAATTTGCGTTATGCGTAATGCTCATGCGGTAAGTTTCCCTTCCCATTGTCCTTATAAATACAAGTACCGGAAACTATCGTTTTCCTCGAAAATGAATTCTCACTTACCTATCTTAGATTCTCAATTAACAAAAAGGAAAATGAGTTGTCGCGCCTTTTCCTAAATATAAAAATGAGCAGGGATTATAAATTTTTGTAGTCCATTTGAATAGTTTCGGTACTAACTTTGTCGAGCTATTAAATTTATTTTCGTATTTATTAAAAAGTTTGGTAGAGAAATTTTTTTCAGGGAGCATGGGTCACTGCCTTAGGAGCTATTATCAACTCTGATAGCTTCGTCTCTGGTGGTTGTGATGGATTTATACGAGTATGGATGATGACGGAAGACAGGAAACGAATTCAACAGTTGACGGCCATTGAAATGGTAAACCTTTATGACCAAAGTCAACTCTAAATTTGGAAATTTCGAATCCAGACTGTATTTTATGCAAGCGCATGGGTTTATGCAATGAGAACGTAGAGGATATTATCAGTTAATAAATGACGCGCTTAGGGTGGAGTGATAAATGCTGTGCGCATTTCGACGGACGCCAAAACCATCGTCGCCGCAGTTGCACAAGAGAACAGGCACGGGATGCAGCTTTTTCAGAACTTTGGGCTACTTGCGCGTGTTGCATCTAACATGCTCACGGTCGAATAATGAAAGATTTTTGGTATTTTCATTTCCCATGCTTTCCCCATTAGTAATATCAAACGCGCAGCCAATTTTTTGTTTTTATGGTCAGGTCCTACTCATAGAACAAGATTTTCATTGAAAGAAATTTGATTTTCACCTGAGTGAGCTCAATAATACTACTAACAATACCACCGAGACAGGGGCGAAAAACAAATTCAATGATCTAAGCTTAGTTAAGTGATATCACCGGACAGTTTATCTGTCCCGTCTGGAGTGATTTCAAGAGATCAAGTGTAAAATATAAATAATTCTCGGTTTCGTCAATTGCGGAAACTGCTGTGTCCAGCAAAATATCAGTCAGAGACAATTAATTGGTTACAAAGTCGGTCAGTTGTGTATGATGCCGTCTGTAACTTGGGGTAATTGTTTTCGGGCTCATCCCGTATGTCAGACTTGGCCGGTGGCACACCACGAAAGGGGTAAGAAACGCGATCGCCGTTATAAAAATGAACGAAGAAGTGGTCAGCTCATCAGAAGAGGAGAGCGAGGAGGAAGATTCCACGTCTGACAGTGACTGTTCAGAATGATATTCGCTGATCAAATATATTGATCCGAAAAAACTGATAAAGATAAATTTTCAGAGAGCTCGAGCATGGCACAACAAGAATCGGCTCCCGGGTTTATCCGCTTCTGTTTCTTCATTCTTGGGTAACGATATCCGACCAAATTTATTAAACATTCCACCACTAGGATGGGGACCCTTCTTCCCTGGAATTTTTTTATCACACCCTTCGATTTTTGGATGCACAAACTAAAAATTAACTACACTGAAACAGGAGTAAATGGAACAGAACAGGTATGAACAATGAAATCTCAATTATTAACTGGCTTTCAGGATCAAACCTATCAGGATTTCTGGCAGGCTACCATGGGCCTGGCGACAATGTCGACCAATTTCGTGATGTGCTTTGTGACAACTCTGGCTATGGTAATTTTGGATTTTTGAAAGCAAGACTACTTCTTCTATAGAACAGAATATCTCGAAACTCGCGTTTTGTTGTCCCTCTGATTGGAATAGCAATCTGTTTCACCATTGCTGCAGTTTACACAAAGCTGGACAAACCACCAGGACAGTTTTTCGCTGAGACGATGGTCAATGTAATCATCATCACCGTCTTTTGTGCCATTCTTCAAGCTTCACTCGTAAGTGAATCTTTCACTGTTCAAAGCATCGAAATTCTAGCTTCAAATAATGTTTCTTTCTAGTTTGGCCACGGAGGAGAAGTGGGCGATGTCATGCCCTCTATCATGGGTGGTCAAGGAGTTGGAGGTATTGCCGCGTCTGTCGTTGACATTTTCTGCAAGTTGGTCTTCAAAGATGATGTGGTCCAGGCTGCGTCGCTCTTCTTCGTCATTCCTGCCGTATTCATGGTGATCACCGTAGCTATCTACTTGTATATGCAACGTCTTCCATCTTATCAAGAGCGTCTTGCTCCTAAAGAAGAGATTGTTCTCAAACAAGAAGGCGAAGAAGAAAAGGAGGGCCTCGTAAAGAAGGAACAGGAACAATTAGCGAGCAGCGAGCCTGAAGCCACTCTCTTTAGCGTTATTATGGACCTCCAAAATGGCGTAGCGAAATACATGTTTTGCGTGTTTTTCGCTTTCGTCGTAACCTTAGGTATCGTATAATGAGAGAGACCTTGATTCAGCGGGTTCTTAGGTTGCTTCCCAGCAGTAGTTGTCACGATCAAACCTGCTAACTACGTACCAGATGAAGATAATCCGAATTTGTTCTACGATAAATTATTCACTACCATCGTAGGAAAGGTTCACTCATAAACACAAGGTTGACAATACCTCTTTACAAAAATGAAAATTGAAATTGTACCTCTCTCAAGTTTTCTTCCTCTTTAACGTAGCCGACACAATTGGTCGAGTTAGTTCTGAATGGATCACTCGTCCAGGCAAGCTTCAGTTCATCAAGCCGGATCAGGTTATTATCCACTTTCCGTCCTTATCTCATCTCATATCATTAGCCTAACCGACTCGTTCTTTTTTCATTGAGCAGAATCATCTTCATCATTTTGTTCGTCAAATGCAACGTTTTCGTCGACGCTGTTGGAGATACCCGCTCAGAGCCCTGGTTCAAGAGTGACATCGCTTTTTGTCTGATTATGCTTCTCTTCGGAATCACAAATGGAATGGTTTCGAGTATAGGTGAGTGTTCTTTGGATTGACGAGTTATCAAATTCAATTTAGCGATGGCATACGCTCCAGAAGTTGCTCCTCTCAAGGTTCGAGAACAAGTCGGCGGCACGATGGGCACTGTCTTGGTAGCTGGCCTCTTCGGCGGTGCATGCCTTGCGTTTCCCCTCACAAGTTTCGCAAAGTCGATATAGACGAGTTTTTCGATCGCTGCGTGCTGGAGGCCATCCCTTCAAACAAAAATGCTAAATTGGGCGCCACACATTTGGTACTCCACAATTTTCAAATAGCTGCCAACAACTTCTCAATTGATCTCAGTCACGTTGCATTTATCAACTACATCACTACGTACTACCCTAAAACTGTACTGCATATCGTTTCCCTATCCGATTTCTCTTCAATTTAACGACAAATTACACAAACACTACCCCACTCCACTTGAAACCCAGTCGGATGAAAATCTCCGAAAAGATCGGAAATGGTCGCTTTTATATCTAGTATGAAGGCAATACGCTTTATTTATTTCTTTTTTGGATTCCTATCTTGTAACTCACCTGACAAAATTCATCTTCCCACATCATGTCAATATCAATAAAGTTCTCATGTACAAGCCCCTATCTCCCCCACGCCCCTCGTCTCAAAGCTCACCTTTTCTCGATCTATCTCATACTAACCCATATACTTACTTATTTTGTTAAAGATATAGAAATTAAAAAAAAAAAACGATGCTAAATGGAAGCGTCAATCATATTGTTTTCTTGGTGCCTATCTGATCCGTTTGATTTTTCGTGTTTATACATTTTCGATTTAAAAGAGGGGAAGTTTATCTATCCCTTACATGTTTATTTAATTTAATAACGTATGATTCGTTACAATATCATTTGTACTATTTTCGATAGGATGTTTTATAATAAAGTGTCGTGGACGAACTTTTATTAAGAGACGGTCATATACTAATATAAGATACTTATACCATTTCAGATGTAAGGGATCGCTCACGATATTTTACTTTCTTGTATTATTTAATAAATGCTAATGTTCTTAGTTGCCAAGCCTAGACTCACAAGATGCATATCTCAATCTCATCTGCGTCTAACTGTAATTACTCATTTATTTGCCCATATAGAACAAAATACGTAATTGAATACCTCCGTTTCTCTTTGAGCGCAGTTTTAGGTCTTTTTGATTGCCCTGCTAGGATAAAGGACAAACTGCGTAGGTCTCCCTGCATTTGAGAGTATAGAGATAGCTAAGAGTGGTTTCTCGTGAATCATCGAAAGTTTCTGCTAGAAGTGAAGCTCCGCTGAATTGCTGAATGATAGTTTTAGAGCCCCATTTCAAATTTGCAAGCTTGATCATCTCGTTCTCGTCAAAAAAGTCACTAATTTACTAGTGACGCTTTCCTCGTCGAATCCCTATTATTTATCTACTAAAGACCTCTATCTGAACTTAAAATACTTCCTGACACATGCTCATTTTCAGTTCCAGCCGTAGGAGTTGAACAATAAAATACTGTATTAAAATATGACAACAAGTGTTGCGCGAAATCTGAATGATAAGTCTACCTTCTTCACACTGCGTGTAAAAAGTGCGTTGTTTCTGAATGTTCCTGAATGTGATTGAACGAGCTAACCCTCAATCTCCACTCTATTCGAAAAGAGAATTACCTGGAAAAATTTTTTCAGAGTCTGATCTAGGTCAGACAATGCCAAAGAAAGACCGAGAGCGGACATCAAAGAGGGAAAAAAAGAGTGAGAAGCAAGAATTCGTCGTCGAAAGGATCGAGCAGCGGTGGCAGGCTGAAGACGATCTAAAAGTGAGAAGCGTTCCTGGTCAAGCTTGTAAAATTTGTTCTTAGCTAAAGATTGCTATCGAGCAGTTGCACGATCTTGAATTGGTTCATAATGCCGTTACTTTTTCCTGTTACTTTACCTTGTCGGAAATCGAAGATAGGTGGCGAAAATTGCTTACGGGGAAAAATGTAGCCGCCGCGGCGAGTTCTGAAATATCAGCTCTCAGTCTCAACGCGTTCAAGAAGGCTGTGAAAGAGAGCTGTTTATTTTCGGAAAAGGAGAACGAAATTATTATTGAAGTAAGATGTCTGATTAGGTCCTCGCTAATAGATGTTTAGGAGATCGGCGCAATCAAGGATCCTTCGCTCGGTTACTTTGCTAGGTTTTTGAATTCGAATGCTGCCCGTTTCCACAGCTGTCGTACGCCAGCGTCCCTTTACGAGCAATGGAAATTGCTTTACAAATATCGATTGCACAATGACCAAACGGTAAGAAAATGCAGGAATCGATCATTCTTCAGGATCCCTGCTGCGGACAAAGAGCTCTTTTTTATACAAATTTCAGTTACCTCATCCGTCGATGAGCCTTCAACATCAGGATGTGCTCACTCTGGACCTGGATTTGAACGAGATCGACTATGAGACGCACCATCGTTTGCGACAGCAGCGTGCCGAAATGCAAAAGATGCACGAAATTCTCAACACAATGGAATTGATTCAGAAGTATAAAGAAGAAGAAAAAGAGAAAGTTAAGTCTGCAGCAAACGGAAATAAAAGCCCTTGCGACTGTCCCCGTCCTGCCGCAGAAAATGGCCGCAGAAGGCCCTGTGCCTGCCGTCCCCCTGCCACCGCTGTCCCCGCAGATGAAGCCCCAAATACATTACCTGCCATTCCCCGAAAAAATACAGAAAGCTCTCCTGACAAACTCAAAAAGTATTGCGCTCACATCTACGGAGATTTTACCTCTTTTTATTTCCCCGATGAACTCGATCAGATAACAATAGGTTTGTAGAACAATGCCAATAAAAAATTTTTATCAATTTCTCCCTAGGGCGGGGAGATGTTGATGTCGATCTAACGAAGGAAATCGGTTCTTCTCGCGTTAACAGGCGGCAGTGTTTGATAAGCAAATCTGTCGAAAAATCGAAAAATGTTTTCCTTCTGAGAAATTGCGGAGACCGACCTGTTATTGTCGACGGCTTGCAGGCAAGTTTCATCATATCCTTCGCACCTCAATAAAGTTTTTTAGATTGGGCCTAATGCAACAAGCTGGCTGTCGTATAATTCGCTGATCCAAGTCCAGACCGTGAATTTAATATTTAGAAGGCTAGATTACTAAAAACTGTCTGGGACTTGAATTCTTCCGTCATATCATTGCCACATGGAAGTCGACATAGGAATAATTCACGTGTTCTATTCAGAATTATCTTGAACAGAAATGCGTCCTCTGCATGGCGATGAAACCAAGGCTTTCTTTGAAAAATTGGCAAACTACATCGGGTAAATTTTAACTAGCCTTTCCGATGATTGAGCAATATTTTAGAAGCGAGAATATAAAGCGTCTGTTAGAGCGATCGGATGGAAAATACCAGTTTATTTTGCACAAAGAGCGAGTCTACTACGCCTCGGAAGATATTGTAAAGAAGGCAGGAAGTTGCGCGCGCGAGAACCTGATCTCTGTCGGTGTCTGTTTTGGTAAATTCACGAAAACGAAGAAATTTCGCCTACAGATAACAGCTCTCGACTATCTCGCCCCATACGCGCAGTTCAAGGTGTGGCTCAAAGCCAGCAGTGAACAGGTAGAAAACATTTTTTACGATTGATTGATTTAATGACGTATATATTTTCAGAGCTTCCTCTATGGGAACCACGTGTTAAAATCAGGACTTGGTCGAGTGACAGAGAATACGGATCAGTATCAAGGAGTCGTTGTCTACACGATGAATGATGTTCCGCTTGGATTCGGGGTTGCAGGAATGTTTATGATTCGTAATTAGATGATGCGCTGGTAAATTACCATTGTAATTTGACTTTTCGTAAACCGTCAAAAGCAAAGAACACGAGTGAAATCAGAAAGGCCGATCCCATGAATATTGTGGTCTTTCATCAGGCCGATATTGGAGAGTACATCAGAGCGGAAGACACGTTGATCTAATGAATGAATAAAGAATGAAAACTGCCTCGTATGAACTGCCTAAACATTTCAATTCATTCAGAATGGGCTTCGAAACATGTGGTCCAAACGAAGCGATGGTCGTGTCCGGATGCGGCAAGTCTGAGCCTGAGACGATTTGTGGTGGTCGAGCATGGGTGTGGCCTATCTTCCAGAAAGTCCAGCGCCTCTCACTCAATGCGATGACCTTACAAATCAAGTCGGTTTCTGTGAACACCAAGCAAGGTGTTCCGATTTCCTGCATCGGTATCGCCCAGATCAAAATCGGATCAGAAGACAAGGACCTACTAAATAGAGGTTTGTCCACTGCCAATCAAAAAAGGTCTAAATATCTCTCCTAGCATGCATGCATTTTTTGGGAAAGAACGAAGAAGAAATCCGCCATATTGCCTTGGAAACAATGGAAGGTCATCAACGCGCTATTATGGGTACGATGACAGTGGAAGAGATTTACCAAGATCGAAAGTCTTTCTCTGAACAAGTGTTCGAGGTGTCTATCACTGATATGCACACAATGGGGATCACAGTCGTCTCCTACACCCTCAAGGATATTCATGACAACCACGAGTATCTTGCGTCTCTCGGCCGAGGCCAAACAGCGTTAGTCAAACGAGACGCACGAAAAGGTGAAGCAGAGGCGAAAATGAACTCGGCGATCAAGAACTCGCACGCGGAGAAAGAACGAATGGAGTCCAAGTACCAAAACGACACGGCGATTGCCCAGTCAAAACGGGACTTTGACTTGCGGAAGGCACAGAATGATCAAGAAATCCAGACGCAGAAGGCCATTTCCGACTTGGCTACGAAGCTTCAGGAAGCGTTGACTCGACAACAAGTGAAGGACGCTGAAATGCAGGTCAAAATGATCGAGCGAAAGCGACAGATTGAGCTGCAGGATCAGGAGATACTTCGCAAGCAAAAAGAACTTGAAGCACGAGTCAAGAAGCCTGCAGAAGCCGAAAAGTATAAGCTTGAAGTGGAAGCTGAAGCTACTCGTCTTCGAATGGTTCTGGAAGCAGAAGCAGAGGCTGAGCAATTGCGATTGCAGGGTGAAGCCCGGGCGTACGCTATCCAAGAGAAGGCCAAGGCCGAAGCCGACCAGATGAGAAAGAAGGCAGCTGCGTGGAACAAATACAAAGACGCTGCTATCGTCGACATGGTTTTGGAAACTCTTCCAAAGGTAATCCTGAAAATGTTAATTCGATTATAACGGCTGACCTCTTTATAGATTGCCGAAGAAGTGGCTGCTCCTTTGGCCCAGACAGGAAAGATCACGATGGTCTCAACTGGAAATGGCGAAATCGGTGCTTCAAGACTCACTGGCGAGGTAAACAAATTTTTCCAAAGCAAGAATAATGATTGTTTTAAATTCAGATTCTTGACGTGGTCACCCGTCTACCACAAGTCGTGGAGTCGATGACAGGACACAAACTTGCAAGTTATTAGCTGCCTTTACAGCGCGGGTCACAAACAAATTAAGCTACTAATTGAAAGCGTACGTGCTTCAGAAATCACAGTTTGAGGCTATGTAAACGCTAGCAATTTTGGCTTATCTTTTAAGTTGCCCAGTTGTTCACAGCTTAACAGCGTTTCCTTTCTTATCTTCAATTTATTCATTGCTCTACTGACCTTACCAAGGTTACTCTCAACGGGCTTGAGTTGTGATGTTTTCCCATTGTGGTAAACCTTACCAGCTCTCACCGGTTGAAAGTATCCTTATCTTCAACTTTCACGAATTCTTCTCAACATTGCTCTCCTTCCAGCTCTTACCTCAGATTATTAACTACTCATATCTTTTCTTATACACATTGAAAATGGGATGTGTACTGCCACATGTAATAAATATATTCAAAAAAATCTGACCTATTTTTTCTTTCCCTAGTTTCCTTAAACAAGGTCTGCTCTAACTCAGACATTGATAACAAGGGTTTACCTAGAACATGGAATGGATAACATACGCATCCGATTGTCGATAAAACAAGTCAAGGGCTTGAAGAGCTCTCTATTCAGTATGGGTTGAGCGTGGGCACGACTTTCTATTTTGGAAACAAAACACACCATGTAGAACTTCAGCGAAACAAATCAACGCTATTTATATATAATAGTAGATTGTTATTCAACAATGTTCAACCATCGTAAAGAGCAAGCCATCGGTCTTCTGTCGTATAGCAATCGATGGGAAAAACTTGTCGGTTCAGACGAAAAACGTGGCGGAGAACGATGCGCCTAAATTCAACCAGGACTTCGATCTGTCCATTTCAAAGCGAGATGGTTTGACAGTGGAAGTGATTGACTACAAGCGAAAGAAAGTGCTCGGTGGAACGCATCTCTCTTCGGCTAAAATCGAGCGGTTAAAGCAACAAGGGGGAGTCCAGAGTCTCAGCTTGCGAAACCCGAAAGATCAAGCCAATAGCGGCGTTGTTTATTTAGAGGTTAACTCGCGTGCCCCACGCCGTCCCTCAGCACCCGCAGAGGCACGTTCACGGCCGCAGCATGATCAGGAAGCAGTTGAAATTCCAAAATAAAAGAAATCTGTGCTGTCTTTGTATAAGAAATTGCTTTTTGGCCTACAAGCTTGCGGCTATTTTAATTCGCTGTCTATTTTTCAACTCATAAAAGGATTACTTCCGCCGTGATATAATCCATGGACCGCCGCTGCCAAAGTATGAGAATCACATAAAATAATATCAGTAGATGATTCTTAAGACATTATGAAAGAAGAGTCACAAACAAAGGACAAGTGTTTTGGTTGAACCACAATACTGGACAGAAGACTTGGCACGATCCACGATTTCCGCGGAGGCGTGTCCAATCTGAAGGACCGCTTCCCCTGGCTGGGAGATCAGAACACTTGACAATGGTCGTCCTTATTACATTAATCACGAGGTTTTCCGGCTATTTTGAGCATAAATCTTATATGTTAGACCGAGACAACTCAATATACAGACCCCCGTTTGGAACAACCTTTAACTCCACGCTCGCCAGCATCAGCTCCGGCTGCTGCATCGTTTGGCGTCCGGTTGCAATCAAAGCTATATCACCTGCGTTCCGAATTGAGCCGAACTTTTCATCGTTCTGCAGACAAGGGGAATCCTGCGCTAAAAATATCACTTAGGCACTTGTTTTCAGCGTTTCTGTTTTCGTCCCTAGCCTCGTTTTATTATAAATTATAATTTGCAATAGATATAATATCTATTCATTTTGAAAAACATATCTCAAGACGAGAAGATGTCTTTGAGTCTTCTTACCGAGCTATCTTCGCATGCCCCGCAAATCTTCTCCACAGTCGCCTGTACATCACTTTCGATAAAGAAATTGGCATTGACTATGGCGGTGTCGCCCGAGAATGGCTCTACTTACTCTCGAAGCAAATGTTCTCGCCAGATTACGGGCTTTTCGAGTATGTTACTGATGATGACTATCTTCTGCAGTTGAGTCCGATATCGTCCGCTAATCCTGACCACTTAAACTACTTCAAGGTAATTGAGCCTTTCAAACGAGATTTATCGCTGTTAATTTTAGTTCATCGGACGCGTGCTTGGCATCGCTATTTTCCACGGGCACTACATCGATGCTGCTTTTTCTCCTATCATTTACAAACAAGTACCCATTGTCAATTTTTTTCTTTCACTAATGATTTGTTAGCTCCTTTCGCTGCCACTGTCGCTTGAAGATCTGAAAGGGGTAGATGATGACCTTCATAAAAATCTCTCTTGGATCCTTGAAAACGATGTCGTCGAAAATGGCCTTGGTGATCAGCCTTTTACAGTCGACTGGGATGTGCTTGGCGAACAGAAAACTGCGAATCTATGCCCCGATGGTGATAAAATTACTCTCACCGAGCTAAATAAGGTGACTGAACCCTTTTTCGAACCCATCACTAAGTAATCTTCTAGCGAGACTATGTTGCACTTTACGTGGCGTGGCGTCTATCACGTGATACTGAGCAGCAGCTGCAAGCGCTCAAGAGTGGACTCTTTGAAATAGTTCCTTCAAGTTTCTTGTGCGTTTTCGACTCACGAGAGCTCGAACTAGTCCTTTGCGGCTTAGCCTCCATCGATGTTGATGACTGGCAGCGCAACACTAAATACGGACACCTAACGTAAGTACTCTTCCCTCTATATTCTCTTTTAAGCCCTTTCAGCGCGGACTCTGAGCTCGTTACATGGTTCTGGACTATTGTGCGTTCCATGGACGACGTGAATCGCGCGCGTCTTCTTCAATTTTGCACAGGCAGCTCGCGGGTACCTGTCGCAGGCTTCAAAAACCTTCGTGGTGCAACAAATAAAGATTCCAATTCTGTACGACCTTTCAGCCTTGTCCTTATTGAGGGGTCTCCTGATCTCCTTCCTAAAGCTCATACTTGTTTCAATCGCCTTGACATTCCGATTTACGAATCACGTGAACAATTCTCCGAAAAACTTCACTTTGCAATTAACGAAACTATCGGCTTCCATGATAAATAATTTTCTTCTTTTCTTTTCGCTCTTTTTCGCTGGATACCTGAATGCCTGATCGCGTGTTTCTTTTCTCCGATTGCTTTAAATTTTGTTCATTTTAAGATAATTATGATCGGATCAAATAACCAATAATTCATTTTGAAAGAACGCAGAACACACTCCCAAGTTGTGTTTATTCCAAAATGAGTTCAAGCCCGAAGGTACGTTCACTTTCTGCTTTTAAATTTCAAAACTTCAATCAGACGTCTACGCCGCCACCTCAGGAAGTAGAGGAAGGTTGGAACGAAGTTGTTGAAAAGAAAAAGATCGACAAGAGACAACCAGCCGCTACTGCGAGCTCACAAGAAAAGAAGAAGTCAGGTAACTTCTAAGTCCTCAGCTGCTTTCTGATAATTGTCTTTTATCAGCTCGTAAAAGACCAAATCGACGTCGCCCTGGTCGAGGTGGTGACAAAAAGGCTGACGCTAATGCCGACTCAAAGACTTCGAAAGCTGAAGAAGTTGGCACAAAGGTATCATTATAAAAAATATAATGCCTGATCCTTTGCCTTCTAGTCTGATGAGGTTGACTCTCAAGGCAGTGAAAAGAGCCAACCAGAGCCAGTGAAGGTTAAAGAAACCATTCTAATACCAGCTCCACCTCCAACAAAGTCTGCATGGGGGTCAGCTCCTGCAGGTATGAGATTTATATGAGTTTTCAGGTTCTTAGCGAATCTTTTAGTAACGAAAGCTAATACGCCCTTACCTGTCAAAGCAGCGACGCCGCTGCCGGTAAAGAAAGAAACCCCAGCCGCTGCAAAGGAAAATAAAACTGCACCAAAGCCGAATCAGGCGCCGAAAAAGGTTATTGAACCTAAGAAAGAGGCACCGAAGGAAGCTGCTGCACAGAAAGCTGCGAAACCTGCACCTAAAGTGGAAGCACCAGCTTCAGCTGCCAAGGGCTGGGCAAAGATTGAAAAAGGTAAAAAGACACTTGCGTTAATGTCTTTTACTGAAATCTCTACTTATTCTAATTGTCTGCTTAGTTGATCCTCAAGCGAACTCACCCGAGTGGCCGACAGTCGAAGAAGCTAAAAACGTAAAAAGCGATGGTGAAGGCGCCAAGCCAGAGCCAAAGCGCGCAGAAAAGCCTCTTGCCGATAAAACAAATGCAGAGACAAAAGCTCCTACCGAAAAGAAACCCTCAGAAGATCGACGAAAGGATCGCCCAAAGGTCTCAAAAATTGTGAATTAACATGTTTATATTTTTGATAGGGATTCACAATATTATTTTAGAAAAATCAAAGACAGTCGATCGATGTCACTTCGAACAACTCGAGACCGAGGGGCAAGAAGGAAACTAACGGCGAGAGCAAGGACGCCAAAAGAGGTGCGGAAAACAAGAGAGCTCGACGGCCAAGAAAGGGGCCAAGTAGCAAGCCGAGAGATCCTAAAATCGCTGTCGCTCCGTATGCTGGCGGTTATGACCCCAACATGTGGTACAATCAAGAAGGGTACGTCGAATCGTCTAAATTTGAGAAATTGATTATCAATATTTTTAGATATCAAGCGGTCGGTGGCTATCCTCATTACGAGGGCTACTACCCAGTCTCTACTCCAGAGCCTCCACTCGTAACAGAAGAGGACATCAAGCTCTCTCTCATCAAACAGATTGAATACTACTTTTCGGACGCAAATTTGGCTAAAGGTGCAATAAGATCAGCCCTGAAACGTGTTTTACTCTGAGTTAAGACTACTGGATTCGTAAAAAAATGAACGAGGATGGCTGCTTGCCCGTAACAACCATAGCAGACTTCAAGCGTGTTCGCGAACTAACTAACGGCGTGTCGAACCGACTCTCTTTCATTGAAAGCTCTCTTGTTGGCTCCAAAGAACTCGAGGTCATCGGAGTTGCCGGCAAGAAAATGATTCGCTCTCGACAAGCTCCTACCAAGGTTGAATCGCTTTTTTTAATCTGCTTCACGTCTCTTTAGTGGGTTATTAACAAAGACGAAAGTACCGTGAAGAATATTCCAGACTCGTTGCTTCCTGCTAGTGCAAGCTCTGTCGAAGTTTTAGGACAGCCGAACGAGACATCCAAAAAAGTATGTTTAAATATCTGATAACAGGACCAATAATCTTTATTTGAAGGCATCGAAGAAAAGCGCAAAGAATGAAAAAGCGAATACCCGTTCAGAAGAGAAAGTCAAAAGCCAATGGAATATCAACGCTCAAGAATTCGTTCCAAAAGCGCCTATTCCATCAAGTGGCGCTGCAGATACTCCCGTTACAGAGACATTTGACGAAGCTTTAGCAGCTGCCAAAAACCGTAAGCATAACTTTGTCAAACATTCTTACCTTTCATTGTTAGAAGACGCTGACGACGATAGCGACGTTGATGAAGGATGGCTAGTAGCGAAAAATAAGCGACTCGGCCGGGCAAGTGAATCGCAAGGCGGAAAGTCCGTGACACCCACTGAAACAAGCCGTCCTACGAACGACTTTGCGAAGCCAAAGCCAGAGCTCGACGAGCTTGACTTCAAATTCGACCAAGAGGACTCCGACGAGGATCTCCCTGAAAACAACGACTACAATAGTGAAAGCGATGACGAAACCGCTAATATCCCCGACGAAGAACTCAGCCATGTTGTCATTATCGCCAAGGTAACGTCTCTAGAATGTTTTCATTGTCACATGTTTGGGTCCCATGTCTCGTTAGTTTGAGGAGATTGTGAATCCTTTTTTTATTTTGAACTCGCTGAAAATGACGCGCCCGAACAAAGTGATGACGGCACGAATTTCAGGATCTCGCTCATCATAAATTTCAGACACCCCCGCAGAAAGTTCGCAGCGTCAATGAACGAACCGCTGATCCCAAGAACCGAAAGAAATACAATGCTGAACAAGCGCGTATTATTTCGGACGGTATCTTTATGATGGAGCGCGCAAAGTGGGCTAATCATCTCAACAATGAAGACGACCAGAACTCCAAGGTGCGTGCAAAACGCTGATAAATAACTTTCATTTCTTTATATATTGTGAATTAAATAATCTACGAGCATAAGTCTGTTACTTTTTCGAGCAAACGCCTATTGCTATTCTCATGGCTTTCTAAATGATGATATTCGTAGATCAAGGATCTTCCGGCGGAGGAATTTGACGAGAAAAAACGTCAGATTGACGGAACAGCTTCACCCTCGCCCTCTACACAGCCTCCTCCGACAGCAGCAAAAGCTGTTACGCCAACTGGCTCCAAAACGCCACGAGCGATTCCAACAACGCCCAGCAAAAGCAATACCCAGGCTCCGAGATGGTACCCTCTGGCAGACAAAGACAAGAAGAAGAAGGAAGCGAAGCCTGGTCTCAAGAAAAAGCTCTCGCATTTGAACCCGGAATTCGAAGAAGAAGAAGTCGGATGGTGAAATACCTAAATCGAGTATCACGTCTATTACATACAACTTTAGGTACTTCGATATAAGACCGCATTTGAATACAAGAAGTCGCCAGACCTCAATGTGCGAAGACTTGCCGTCTGAGCTCAAGGGTCAGGAAGCAGACACCAACACGCCTCAGTCGATCCCTGCCTTTACAAACCCTGACTCTCATAATCTACTCAAAGAAAAAGGTTTGTGCCGTCATCGATACTCAAAAATCTTACATCGGGCTTTAGGATTTATTCAACAGCCCTACCTCAAGTACCAATCGAACTGTTTGACCGAGCGCGTGGAACAGGGCGCGGGTGAGTCTAAAGAAATGAAGACGCTCTTCCGCTTCTGGAGCTTCTTCCTTCGCGACAACTTCAACAAAGGAATGTATGAAGAGTTCAGACGCAATGCCTTATCAGATGCCAGAGAAGCCACAACTCCACATGCTAGGTAAGAGTTCATTAAAGTTTGAATTCATAAAAGAGAGTTATCATATTCTTGATGTAAGTAACTAAATTTTCAGATACGGAATCGAGAGTCTTTTCCGATTCTACTCTTATGGTCTTGAGAAAAAGTTCCGATTAGAAGTGTACAAACACTTCCAGGCAGACACCCTCGAAGATTACAAGAACGGCCAACTCTACGGTTTGGAGAAATTCTGGGCGTTTTTGAGATACTCGGGGCGCACTGACCAAGGCATCAATCCTGAACTTAAAGCTATCCTCGCCAAATACAAAAGCATCGATGATTTCCGTGTTCTTCAGTCCAAAGAAAAATAAACTACCGTTAGTATTCATGCTATTTAGTATAGATGTTTTCAGCAGTTTATGCAGTTAGTGATTGTTGTCAATATTTATTAACTCGAGTCGTTAGACTGGCCTGATTCAACTCGAGATTGCTGAAACGATCCGTCCGTGAAAATTAAACTTTCTCCATTGCGTTTACTGTTTGGCCCTTATATATAAAGCTAAATAACCATAATTATAAGTTGTATATTTGGGAAAATAGTTGTATCTCCTTTTTAACGTGTCAGCACTACATCGTGCTTTTATTATTATTATATTTCTGATGCTACCCAAAAAGTTCTCACGATTACAAATACGTAGGCTGTTCACATATGCGTTTAATTTACTTTTCTTACTGTGCTTGGGGGTTAAAACCAAACATTTAAAAACATTAGGGTGGTTTGGGCTTACTGTACATTTTCTACATGCTCTAAAGGAGTTTCAAGCTAATGACGCCTATGCTAGTGACTCTAGCGACCAAGGATTAATGAATATTTTATACCAAGCTATTCGGGACATACCCGCTCGAGATTTGATTTTACGGTGGGTCCCCGCTAAGAAGCTACGCATTATCTCATAAACAGGATACTGATTACCTTTTTTCAACTTATCATGGCGTTGATAAACTAGCCATTTTAAATAGCCTATTTAGTAGAATTAATGAACTTAGCTGTTTAGGGGGGACCCGAAGTACAGTTACCGAAATAGCCACTTCGAGGAACTGCTGTTCGATGGAAAAAAGAATGAGATTTTAATTTGATATATGAATTGATCCGCAGGAGGATCTTGCTAGACACGTTCTGCTGCGAGTCTTCAGTAGATTAGATAACAGTGGAAAGCCGAGAAGTGAATTGAATGATGAGGCCCCGAATCTCGTCCCTGTTTAGCTTGGTTAAAACATTAGCTGCGAGTGCCTGTTAGACTGTTTTCAATATTACGCGCACAACGACGCTTTCGTATCAACTGGTTTGATTGGTTTCAATTAATTTATTGGTGATGTAGTCTTTTTTTAATTAAATTTTTACTTATTCTCGTTTTGTTATTTTTCTTTCGCCGCAAAATATATAAACCAAAGGACGTTTTGAGTAGATATTCGATACGGAGTCCATAGGTGTCGAATTAGAAAAACAGAAAGTTAATTTCCGTCCGTGTAGTCTCCTTGTACAGTAACCTGACTTAATCCATCTTAACTCTCCGCTTTTTGCTAATATTTTAATTTATATCGTGTTTTGTTTTTACCGGCTAAGAAATGAACTGAATGCGTTTTCCTAAATGAAAAATAGTTGGCCGAGAGCTCTCTATCTTTCTCGTTCCAATCTGAATAGCCTCATCGAAAGCCTGCTCCACGAAACAAGCTTTGATTTCCTATAAACAGAAGTTCACATTTATCCCTCTTATTTGTTACCATTATCATAATCATTATACTGCTCGTGTAGGTTGCCACGATCGCGCATTCTGAGTCCTATACAGTTCAAAATCGATATTCGATGAAAAAGGAGTGACAATTCGATCGATATGCTTGAGAAGTCCCCATTATATTCATTTTCAGAACCTTACCCTTAGATAATACGAAGGCGGAGTGCTTGTTTTCCCAGCATCATGCTCACGGGAATCACTCACGCCAAGTGTTCGCTATCCTCTTACTTTATTTATGACCTAAATTTATGTATTTTTGCTGTTTTTCCTCACGAAAAGCTCTGGCCCGCTCGTTCCTCGCTAAGAGAAAAGGGATGATAGAATTCCAAAAGCGCAGTAAGAAAATAAGTTTCTTTCTTCCAAAGCACTTCCTGAAAATGTCCAATTTCGGGAGATGCTCCGTATCTTTCGATGAGCGCGCGGGCCAGTTTCGATATCTTTTTCCATTTCAAATCATTCTTTGCCGGTTAAAATATGATGATGACTGCTTGTTGACCACTGACCTCTATGTGGCCCGAAATTCGCGGGTCGCCTTCTCACTACTTTAAATCTTACCAGCTTTGTTGAGCCGAGATCACGGCGTCCATCCTATCACCGCCTACTCGACTTTTATCTTGTGCTCTAGAATTTCTATTTTATTTTACTTTACTTTGCAAAACAACAAATATCGATAAACCGGTGGTTTTACTAAGGAGATTAGTTAGGGATAAAGTTCGTATCTTATATCTTGCGCCGCCTACCAGTAGGCTTTGCTGCGCTTATTACTGAATAAATATTTCTTCCAAATTGACTTGAAACCGTTCTCTGCACTCGTGTCTTTCAGATTTGATCGGATTCAATGCTTCATGCGATTCGGTTTATACGCCTCCCAGACTCGATGGGGATAAACATTCCACAAGGTGACAAATTCAAGACGACCAGACATCAACTCCTGTTTCAGGTCCCTCGTCGATCTTTCCGCAGCCCATCCAGCACGGAACACGCACTCGACACCTGAGCACTCGCGCCGACTACCGTTTGATTTCCGGCAAGCGTATAACTTTTCTCATGTGCGTCGTGGGCATCTGCTCAACATTGCTTCTGTGGGTGACCTCGAACTCAACAGTTCTCTTGGATTCGACAATAAGCCAGAGGTAACAGTTTGCTTGGAAGTTGAGATCAACAGTTCATTCTCAGGAACGCTATCGCGCGTGATCGCGGTCTGAGAATATTCACTTGCATCCTCTCAACAATCACAGCCGTGATAGGTTTGCCCTAAAGGAATCAAGATTTTTTAATCACTCCTTTCTAGTGAGATATCACGTGCACCGTCAGATGGCTACCTTCTCGCCGTACATTCTCTTCCTATTGTCGACGAGCACGATTCTCAGTCTCGGCAGCTTTGTAAGATCACTTTCGAAAACATAGACTGAAAACTTGCGTTTTCAGTTCAACTACGTACTCCTTGTCAACTGGTCCAAGTCTCGCGATTTCCAGAGAATCACTTTGTTCGGAACCGCCTTTTTATTCCTGTTCAACTCGCTATCTGCTTTTGTATACGTCCGTTTCGGTCGTATCGTAGCCATCATTGATCACCCGGTTCCAGCAGCAAACACTGTAAGCGCGAAGACGTCAGGTCTTTTATGACATAATTTCAGGCCCCTATCGACGATCCCCCGCCCAAATACGAGGAAGTGACGAAAATCTCTTCCTTTTAGCAAGTTTTCCACGCTTTCCACATGTCTGTACTTTCTTCAACACGGCTACATTCAAACTACCACGCAAACTATCTTCAATGCTTACAAATTTCCTCGTTAAAGTTCAATATTCCTGCAAATGTCTTCAATCTGTTTTCACTGTTAATAAATCAACTATTTAATTCAAAAATCATTCCATCTAGTGAAGGAACTCCTCAGTGTCTTTCGCTTGGAAGCGCTTTCTGATTTATAGTAGGAAGTTTATTTTTACTGGCAGACAAATTATATAATTTCCTGAAGAAAGTAGAATAAATTATTCTGAATATTCTCAAACCAAAGAGTATCGCTGCCCGTATTGGTGATCCCCAGCAACAAGTCCCTTTGTTGACCACTACTTTCTTGGCGAACATTTTGTCCACATAGAATTGGCGGATTTTTCTGACAAATGTAGGATACAAAGTGCTTTTGTCAAAGGTTTCCTTGAGAGAACCTGGTTATGCATTTTCATTATGCATGTATAACCTAGTCCCCCTACACTCAATTAAACGTCTTTAAAAAATCAAATCAAATGTTCTTGGTTGAAAAAATATTGAAGACTTTGCGCTCCAAGATTCAATCTCTTCAAGTCAGCGGGCTATGAATCGTCGTTTTTATGTATTTTATTGAAAAACAAATGTATAATATTTATGAAATCGATATTAACTTTTTGAAGAATTATCAATTTGCTTCATTATTGTACCGTCTGTTTTCTTGCTGGGAAGGTGATCTGGAGACGCGCGCAGGGCAGTGAGTTCAGTTGTATGGGAGCTTATGTGTGGGCTCTACGGAAGGTTATTTTTACAGCGGACAAAATAGACTTTTTCTGAGCTGATAATGAGCTCATGGTGGTTACCAAGAATAATCCAACTATATTATTTTAAGAAACGATCTTCCGTAGCCCAAGCTGACAACATTTGTCTTTCCAATCATATGGTGATATGATGGGACACTGATAATATATAAGAATATATAGAATGCGGTTTTAAAAAGTGGATTTACGTTGTGCTCGGAGTAAATACCAAGTGTTCATTCTCTCCAAAATAGTTTGTGCGGTGTTCCCTCATCGATACGAGTCGTATGCACAGCCAGCTACGCTAAGAATGAATTAAGCTTCTGATTATTAAGCGGCCATTACCTTTATTTTCTTCCAAACTTCATAGAGTTTTTGTTTAAATCCGTGCCCAAGAAAGGAATATAAAATCGGATTCACAGCAGAATTCGACCAGATAAGACTAGTGAAAGTAAAACGAATAAAATGATATAACTCCGACTCACGTGTTATAAACATGCTCAAATATTGAACAGGGATTGTGGTCAAGCTTGACTCCACAATAAACTGAAAATCGGTCTATTCTTTATTAATCGCAATTCCAAATTTACCTAATAAATGAAATAAATGATAAGGTGTCCAGCAAACAATATATACAACAATAAGAGTGACAATAAGAATCATCAAACGTTTCGTGCGCGTGTTTGCCGAGCGCCTTGAATCTGCTCTCGTCATACTACAAATGGTTATCTGTTTTGTCAAGTGTCGTGAAGCGCACCTAAAACTTCTCGTCCGCTCTGACGATTTCCAGATAACATAACCTATGTTCGAGTAAGAAAAAACAATACAAGTCAGTGGCAGGATAAATGTCCAACCAAATAAATGCATATTGTACTGAAAGTGAAATGTACGCATTGCTAATCTGCGTACTTACTGTTCGTTCTTCAGGCGTCATACCGCAGCGACATCGCCAACCTGTCATAACATTAGAGCCATTAATATTCGCATCAGGGCCGCACTTGGCTGCCTCTTCTTTCAACGTCCTGTTCTTGCCCCACCAATTGATGCCGCACTCGGCCTTTCGAAGGGTTTTGATGATTGAATCAGCACTACTCTTAACGAGATTTATTTAAGCATCGTTGACCCTATAGCCTGTCCATTCTCGTAAAGGAATTCACTTCTGATAAAGTTGGGATAAGCAGCTAAGAACCCAAACAACCAAACAAGTAGACAAGTTATTCCGATTACCAAGGGATTGTTACGATATTTTGATAGACGGTGCTCAAAAGGGATTTTATACATCAGAAATAGGATAAGAAGGGGAAAGCTAGAAAAGGCAAAATATAAATCCCATAGCAACATACTGTTCCTTATGACTGCCAAATACCTATCGACGGCCATTAGCATCAACATAAAGATAGAGACGAACATATTGACAAATTTTACGGAGTTATTGATAGAGCATGCTAATTTTCCAAAGACCCATTCTTTTTTCAAGTTCCTATAATTCATCAATTTATCTTAGATAAGCCAAAAGCAATTACTTGTGAATATTCATAGGAAGAAATAACAGCAACATAAAATCAGCTATTGCCAAATTAAATGCTTTTCGCGTTGAATATGAACACCTAATTTGTCTTAGGCTTTTTTCGGCTTATTTTACTAAAATCCTCGGATGAGAGTGAATAAATTCAAAGTCACAATTCAATCGAAAAAACTGTTTTTGAAAATATTCAACACTTTCCATACAAGAGCGAGCTTTTGGTTCGTAATTGACTGTCCATTCCTATAACAATAAGAACTTTTTAAGGATTTGTTCTGATAGTTTTCGCTGTAACAACACTACAGGGTTTTATCAAGTGGTCTGAATCCTTTCTCTATCAAATTAGCTGGTAGGCCAATAATAATAAATCCAATAAAAATGTAAGCCACCACTAGATCGTCGGTAAATGTGTAGTCTTCGGAGAATGCGGTGATTTCTTGAAGGTGTAGCAGGAGATAGTTGATCGAATCATTATCTAAGCCCGGGGTGTCTTTGTCCATTTATTGTTCGAAAAAGTGCTAAAATATATTCCCGAAAGTGCCACTCAGAAAATACGCCTTAGATTCAAGAAGTCATAATTGGAAGAAGCTATAAAAACGTCAACTATATGGACATTTGGTTGTCATTCTCAGATACCTTCAAAAACTCTTTTTCTCAAACGTTACTTCACAGAAACTCTATCATCTGCGCTCCAAGAAATTTTCTACGAGTAAATTTGTCAATAAGCAGACGGGAACCTGTCATTCGGCATATGGAAAATCATAGTTGAGCATTACTTTATGCGTATATGATTTACCAATTATTTCATTAATGGAACGAAAAAATATTGGATGTGAGGCTGTGCCTGATATGTTTCGTCCGACAGTTCCAACGAATTCCATCCGCTCTACATGATCGGCGTCTTTGCCGAAGCAACAACATAGTTTAATTTTATCGTTAAAACACTTATTCATTTTTTCTCTTCAGTCGGGTCCGACCTTAAGAAGGTTCGAAAACAGACTATTCGGCTTCCATCTTTTCTTCCAATAATTACATCAGCGTCCGCATTTGATTAGAATAAATTAAACATAATGCGCTTAACAATTGTCGTGTTTATGCCTAGGTGACATGTCCTATAAATTTTCCCATCAGTACCATCCTAATTACCAACAACAGAGAAAATTGTCTTTTCTATGCACCTTCCCTCAAAAAAAAGAGCTATACACTTGAATATAACTTGATAACCATATAAATTATACGACAGAATCAATTATTGATTATCCCATACCACGGGAAGTAGCACGACTTATGCTCAAAGATATGATATTTGGACTTAGTTGATACCCTTTCCTGCTCTCGAGTAGTTAACCTTCCTCGGCTCTAGACAATTCTTGATGTAAAACGTAGTTATTATTAATTAATTCATTGCGTTTATCTTGTTTTATATCTCGCGATTCAGACTTTCTGGAGCCATAACAGTTGAGATGGTTCTTCTCTGATTTCTTCCATGAAGCGTTTCTCTACTAGCGACAGTAGGACAGCAGCCTTTCGGAGGGTTTGTGTTGTTTCTGCTCTCAATTGATTGCAAATATTTCAATGAATTGACAAAATTAACATAAATTAAGGCTTTATCTAGCTTTTTAAGATTTTGACCGCTGTCAAATCACTTTCAGATAAGTGTACTTTCCAAGCTACTTCAAGACAAGGAATGATTCCTCTCTGAAAACCCTTTTAGTGATCTCAGGTAGTAGACATAATCTTTATTTTTCGAACGCGCTGAAAGAGTGGTCGACGCTTACAAATCTTCATTTATCACTATCTCTAATTAATTTCCAAATTGATTGCTCTGGTGTTAGATATAATCATTCAATTTTTGCTTTTTAATGAGTGAAAATGTTGCTTATCTCAATGTTCGAGCAGAGTTTTAACACGCACGGCGTTTATATGAACATGCATTATTTATCATCATTAATTTGCCTTACCCCATGTTCCATAATTAAAGTTGTATAAAAAAAGTTCCTAAGTAGGTGACGAAATGCGATTTGTTATACATTAAACTCTTTCCTGCGAGGATGAGACTTGTTGCTCAAGCAGAGTCTCAAGTCACATTTGATAGAATATAGAAGTTTGACTTGTTTATTGAAAAGAAGTTGATTCAGAAGTGGCCAGCAGCCGCACTCAACATCGAAGTAGAAACATGTTGCGAAAGAAATAATGGCACAGGGCTTGGTAAAAACTGCTACTTGATTCAAGTCTTGGACTACATATTTCCTAGACGCGCCGTTCGCCTAGACGAAGAGCTCAAATAGGGGTTCGGGTTGAATTTGACGCTCGGAGAACCACCGAAAGAACTTAGTGAATTCTTCGAGGGTTCGAACTACGTACAGTTAGTGGGGAACGTCATTTTAATAGCGGAATCATACAGGGGCTGCAGTATAATAAAGTTATATTGCAAATGAAGAATTATGAAATTGAGAGTGTAACGCATAAAAACTCGTAATTGGAGCATAAATGATGAAGGGCAATTGGGATTCGGTTTAAATATACTTTATGCTTCATAATTGAAAAAATAATTGACTTATAAGAAGTAAACGAATGAGGCTGAACTCTTATGCTGAGTTCGTTAGTTCAAGGGCGCCATTCTTTACGGCATGGATAATCTCGTTTTCGGCATTTTGTGGGCAATTGCTTTGAGGCGAGTTATTTTCGCCAGATTTGCTAGAGATCTCGTCGTCGGATTCAACGTCCGCCTCTTTGAGCCATTGAAGCCAGCGGGACACCTAAATTGATTTGTTACCAAACGATCGCATTTTAGGCAGTGGTTAACCTGTTCGAGCCCTTTCTGTCTGCCGGGAGTTTGGTCGTGGATGTCTTTTTCCCAAAGAAGGAATCCATCTTCTTCTACAATATCTTCATCGTAAAGAAGAATGAACTGTTTCAAGAGGTGATCCTTATATATCTTTGAGCGATTAGCAACATCGAATGGGCTTACCTTCTGCATACCACGCTCGTTGTGCGCAAGAACAACGGCTTTTAATGTGGCACATTGGATTTTCGGCTTTGTCCGAAGAAGTTTCACCAGAAGCTTTTTGAAAATATGTTTATCGATATTCTTGGAAAGTGGGTTTACCGGTTTCACTTTCGCAAAGTCGAGCTGCTTTTCCCAAACGAGATTGATGACGGCGCCGGCGGTAGCTCCATGATCTCCACGAGATTTCATCGCTCGGTAATAATCTGACGGCTCAAGACCTAGGCGAATAAAAACCTGACAAAAAGAAATCATGATCTACCTCTTTCTGTAAATAAGAATTGCTCGTCGGAAAACTTCGGTCTGAGAAAGAGCAACTTGTATTCTGCGAGAATAGTACGCAGCTCGGTTCTATCTCTTTTCTCCAGCAGTCCAAGAAAATCTAGCTCAGCTACGAAAACAAGTATTAGATTCAGTATGGGTTGTTTAGTTTTTACCAAATTTGCGCTGCAGAAAAGTAATTTTCCCCGTCGAGTCGAAGATTTCTTTCATGATCAGGAAGAATAGAGGGTAGAACTTGCCGTCTGCGAAAAACTCGACGATTTTTATAGGCTCAAGAAATCCGCAAAGAATAAGCTCGCTTATAACTTTGACAGAATCATTATTCTTGTCTGATGAATGCCTCTGAATCCATTTCTTGAAGGCTTTACTGACGATTTCCTCGCTGTTGTTCCAAGTTTTTATTACTTTAGTCCACTTTTCTGAGTTTTCTTTATCGTCGACGGCACGTTCTAACAGGAAAAGATTGATATCGACCAGTGTGCTCTCCGTGATGTCTGGACACGGTGGGAAGTCGGCGAGAATGCTTTCGTCAGACTTCGTAACATAGCGGTAAGACATTTGTTTGGAAAGCTCCAGTATTTCTAGCACCGTAAGAGGCTTGTTCTCTGCTTTCATGGACTCGTCAACGAGTGGCGATATTGGTGAAGCATGGTTTGGAGAGTTGCGAATTGGTGAGTAGTGTCCATTGCGAATCGGGGACTGATTAGGACTTCCTCTTGCTGTAAATTTAATTTAGACGAGCATGGCAATTGAGATCGATTTTTAAAAGCTGCATACCTGGACTAGAATTCGAAGTTCTACCAGGGGAGTTTCTTCGATCGATATTGCGCTTGAGGTGAAGACTTCTAGCATTGTTAACCTTGTCGAGTGGAGAGGGAGCGTTGAGGCCTTGACCAGGAAGACCTGATCGGGAGGAAAAGTGAGGTTTCGGTTGATATTTAAGCGATGACGATGTTCGATCATTCATCTGGTTGGCATTGTTAGACTGAAGAACAACGATTAAAGCTCTGTTTTTTAAGATGCTTTACTTTTATGAATGCAGGGACAAAGCTTTTCTTTTCTGGGACAGGCGCAGGCTTTGGTTTTTCAGAGTAACTATCGGCAGCTCGGCGTGGCGGTAGATAGCGAGTGGGCTTGACTGGAGAAGAAGGGGTGCCATTGGAAATGCCATTAGAATGATCGCTGAAGCTTGATCTGGTAGAAGGCGGTTCTTGCTCGGGCTCATTCTTCTTAGTTGCCGAAGGTCGCAGGAAGAACTCATTCGTGCGATCTGGTCGACGCTTTGCAAGTTCTGAGTCTCGGAGAATCCTCGATTGTCCAACTGGTACAACAGGAGCGGAGATCTTCGTTGGATCAAGACTGGAATACACATTATTATCAATCAATGACAGAAAATAGGGACAGTTTCAATATAAATATATATCCGATTATTACTTGGTGCCATATTCAGCCCGTATCTCGGAAACGGGCCGTGGTCCTGCTACTTGTCGGCGATGTCGCCAATCTCGAGAGCGAAGGTCTATAAGATCGAGGAGACGGAAACGTACGCGTGACGGAAGTTGATCTGCATTCGAAAATTTCTGAATGCGTTTGAAGTACTGATTCATAAGGTTCTTTGCTTGATCGTGGTCGAGTTGCTCTCCCGATGTCTCCATAATCGCGACAAGGCATTCTAGTGCCTCTGCGTCTTCTTTCCGGAGTAGGTCCTAAACGATGCGATATTTTTATCAAAATCTAACGAAATCAACACACAATGTTATTGACTTGATCCTACCTTCAGACACTCGTGTACAGTAATCTCTCTGATCAGTCTCAGCTGGTAAAGTTCTCCAATAAATGCACTTAGCCCAAGAAGTTGACGTTTTTCTCGACTCCCGGGGTCGACATTTCCGTGACGGCGGCGGTCGAATTCTCTTTGCAACTTCGTAAGTAAGAGTTTCTGGAAGGTCGTAAACACACATCCCTTCTCTTCGAAATTCGGAAGCTCCGAGTTTAGACGAACACAAAGAAGTGCATAAAGACGACAGTACTACAAATTAACTGTGAATCGACAGGATTGATGGCGCATTCATACCTTTGATTCGTCGACCGCTTTCTCAAATATCAACGTCACAACTTCATTTAGCTGATTAGGAGTACTGAAAAATGAGTTGATTGGAATGATTTCGTTTACAAACAATTAGATGAAGATAATTACCAGAAATTATAATTGGAGAGTTCCTTGATTAATTTCTGAAAGTTTTCTGGCGTAAGTTTGTTGAGGACGGCTCGTACGTTTCTTTTGAACTGGTCGCCGGCGATTCCCGCACCGGTCTAAATTGGGGATTTCAGAAAATGAATTTTTCGTTTGCTCGAAGACGTTTCTAGTGCTAGAATTCAAAAGAAGCGCGAATAACTCACGTTATTGCTCGTTAGGCGATAGAACATAAGTTTCTCAAATTTTCGAAAATTTTAGCTTTGCTCGATTGAAAGTAAGACGGGTGGCACCAAACTCGCGAGCCAAATCGATTTGCAACAAAGTATAAAGCCGATTGTCCGACAGTCGGATAACGAATCGGTCAAAATGCGCCCACGCTCGCGTTTAATCGTGCCTCTTATTCGCGATAGATGTGAGAGCGGCGTGGGCTGAGCGCTTAGAAGCCAAAATTAAGGAAACAGAAGCCCCTACTGTCGAGGGAATCGTCTCGATCGAGAATACACACTTCTAGGGCGACGATTAACGCGAGAGTGGTGAACCACGCAGCTGCATTGTGCGTGCACACCCTCAAAAGAGGAAGAATGAGTTGTTGGGATTACCTGTCGTTGGCGGGCAGCGACCCAAGGTCGGGCCTCCCGCTCCTCCTTCACCTTTCTGGGTTGAATTGTGATTAAACTTGGTTGACCCCGTGGAGTGGACTTGCGGTAGCTCAGAGAGCTAAAAATAACAACCTCTGCGCGCGACGCGGACTCTCCTCTCTTCTACCTCTTCAGATGGCGTCTCTCTCCAGATCAATTCAGACTGTTGATCTGGAATCCGCACACGTGGTTAGATTAATCTACCGTGAGTCAAAGAAGTGACCGAAACGGACCGCGGCGACACTGCTCATTTTGCCGCGCCCGTTGGGCAAAGCACACAGTAGAAGGGACTTGAAGATTCGACCATAATTCATATTCCCGAAATTTCTAGTGTTCTATCAGACGCTGTCATCGCTAACAGAAGCCCTGGCGGTCATGCTTATGTCCAGTTGGTGCTATTTTGGTTGCTCGCTCGATTGGGATTATGGCTATCCATTGAGTGTGCGGTCGTATGTCACATCCGTCATCTCCTTTATTAATCTAGGCGGTCGTTGATGTTGCTGACCTTGGTCGTCCATTCATCCACGAGCCTTTTATAACCAGCTGAGAGCTTGAATAGACCCATTACGCATCGATGTCATAGCCGTACTCATTGTTTGAGAATGACGAGCGCGGTATCCAAGAACAATCGTAAACCAGCGACCAGCGACTCGCTAAATCTTTCATATTGCATCGCCGATCAGAAATGTCGTACGGTAAGGACCATTTTCGTTTGAACCGGTAAACAGAGAAACACCTGTAGATTATCTCTTCAAAATCGTCTTGGTTGGAGACTGTGGCGTCGGAAAAACTCAGATTCGAAACAGGTGACGAGATAGCTGCGAATAATTCTAACGCGTTATCCCAGGTACACCTTGGACGAATTTAATCCTCAGTCGAAGAGTACGATAGGAGTAGAATTTGCTTTCAAAACTGTGAACATCGACGGGAATGAAGTGAAAGGGCAAATTTGGGATACATCTGGCGAGGAGCGTTATCGGGCGATCACATCCGCATATTATCGAGGCTCCGTCGGGGCAGTTCTGGTGTATGACGTGACTAAGGTAAATTAAAATAGTGATGCGACAGAAGAACTTCCTGTCGAAGGAAACAACAAACCTTACCCTGCCTTAAGCCAAAAACCTTCGAGGCGTTGGAGAACTGGGCTTCTCAACTTAGACAATATGCAGATGAAAACATCGTCGTCTGCGTCGTTGGAAATAAGGTAGCACTCTTTAATGCAACCATTTGGTCAACAACAGATCCAAGATAGATTTGCCGACACGAGAAGTCAGTACTGCGGAAGCAGAAAGATTCGCCCGAGGAAATGGTTTTTTCTACATGGAAACCTCCGCTCTAGATGGTACTGGTGTTGAATCTGCTTTTCGCCAAGGTAAGCTTCCCGTAATCTTCTCATTTTATCTTTGAAAAGTTATGAAGAAGATCTTCGAGATCGTTGACAGTAGACAGCAAGCTAGAAAGAAGACTGTTCGCGCGGGCTCGATTGGCAAAACAAGATCTATAAAATTAACTGATGCAGATGACGTTGCGGAACCTTCAAAATTTAGCAGTTGCTGTAAACAAATGTAGTTTCATGGACAAATTCTTTTTTACTGCATGACTTTAACGTTTTTATATTAAACAGACAAACCAGTGTTGATTTGAGGAATGTGTCTTACAGAGGAGCTATTTGCAATTTTACATATGTACAATCGGAATCAACGAGGAGTGATGAGAAAGTACAGTCGATCAAATTTGAAAAACCTTGAACTCGAGAATTCCATTTCAAAAGATCATAAATTAGAGCATAAGGATAGAATCAACGGAAGATTCGCTTCTCGATGAATGTGTAGGGGATGGAAAAAGTTGAGAGTCACCTTGAGAGGGTTCAACAGAAAAGTCCAATCCTAGGTCAATGTCATCAAAAGAGAAAGAACTACGCCGTCGTCCAACTGGTTCGCCTGGTTCTATTTCGTTCGATTCTAGATGGTTTTTCTTCCTTGGAGAAGGATCTGTGGGTTCATCTTCCACTGGGTCTGTGTCGAAAAGATTGCCGGAATGGTTAGACTCGTCATCTTCATAGTCGTCAAACAGACACCGCGAATGGTCACTTTCTTCAGAGCCCATCGATTCATTCAATTTCTCAAATTCACTTAGATCCGAGTTGGTGGCCTCCTCGCAATGAGTTAGATCCGAGCCAGATGACCTCGCATTGCAACTAAACTCCGCTTCATCTGGACTTTTACGAAATAAACACAAGGAAATGTTTTAAGTTATACGCAAATATTTTATTTACAAATATTTACAATAAATACAAAGGTACAATAAATTAACAGTAAGAAGTAGCACATTGCTACTTCTTAGGAAAAAAGTTAATCTTGCTCTGGACCGATCGGTCTTTTGTTTTATTTCGTCCCAGCATTTCCCTTTTGGCCTTCGCGATGATTCGTTTTGCTTCTGCTGGGCCGGCTGTATTTGGAACGACAAATTTCGCTTATTCTGGTTCACTAATGGTCATCGAAAATATACGATTAATAAAAGTTACAAAATTTTATTGCTAATGTTAGAGATATAAGTGAACCATTCCTGGACCCGACCATTCTCGTTGCATCCTTCTCGCAATCATCTCGTCCGCGAGAATCTGCTTGGATGTCGGGGAGATGGAGTCGAGCGCCTTGTTTGGCTGGAACTTCTTCAGTAGCTTGCTCTGTGCCTCGATCTCAGATCTCGAGAAGATCTGATTGAGGCTTCCTTAAATAAATAATTAAAGATTAGAATAAAATTCTATTACTTACTGATGTTTTCTTCTTCTTCCTGCTTCTTCTCTCTCTCGAAATCCATTCTTGCTCTCTTCTGGCCTTCGTCGAATTCTTGCCGGATCTCCCCATTTCTGGCGATGAGTCGAGGGATTGGGGCTGCTTCGAGGTTCTCGATCTCGTCCTCCAGGCGTTCGCGCTGCTCTTCGATCGCTTTCGCCAAGGATGCGTTCACTGCGTCTTTAACAGGGTCAAAATTTCTATTTTACACATATTAAATTATTAACACTTGAAGACAAATTTATACAAATATTGACCCTTTCCTATGTAGTCGTTTTTCGAAGTCTTCCTAAAGAAGACGGAGAGACGAGTTCGGCAGCGTGGGCATTCGGCTAAAAACAAAATTATAGAAAGAATCGCAACGCTTATGAAAAACTTACCTGAGCATGTGCTCTTGGTAGCGTCAGCCAACCTCACCAGGCAGCTTCTGCAAACCGGCGTCCGGGTCCTGGTTGTGCATTTGCACGGTAAGACCACGGGCTCTATATTCAGACTCAGAAAACAAATAAATCACTGATATCAAAAATATTATTATAAATAAACTTATTTTATCAATTCTAAATTACTGAGCCTTTCCTATGAGGAGCGAGCGGCATATAATGCAGCTCGCTTCATCCGGGGTCAAGTCCTTCCAGAGCTCTTCGTTGATGGACTTGGAGGAGCCGGGCTGGTCGCGGTTGGCGTTGGAGGAGGAGGAGCGGGCATCGAGCTTTCTCTTGGGCATCTTGGCGGGAGCGGGTTTCCGTTTCAATCTAAATATGTACAAATAAGTTCTCCAAATTAAAGCCACCTATTGACACTAAAGTAGTGCTGCTTAAATTGTTAATTGAATAAAGAAATAACAGAAGATAAACAAGATAAATAAGAAGATAAGTACACAGATCACAGGAAAGTTTGTCATCGAAAAGCTTTTCAATCGGGTCAGAAGTAAAACAAAAATCGTCAGCGGTCATTTCTCTTCAAATCATCGAGGATCTTTTCTGCAAATGTGAAGACAACGAGGACAGCAACGCGCTACCTAAAATGATAACTCAAACGACGAAAACTTTCAACTTGAAGCAAGTAATATCACTGCAATTAAAAGAGCAAAATTTTGTAAGAAAAATTGAAAGGACTCAAAAAAATATCAACACTAAGCAAAAGTTAACTCTAATCGCAACGGGACTCCAACTTGGGATCGTTCATTTCATCATAACGAAAATGATTCATGAATTCGATAGAATTTCTCACCGAAAGATAAAGGCCAAAAATATGCCGAAGATTTGAAAGTGGCCGTTTAGGGCGCTGTGAGATGATCCGAGTGGCGCGGCTCTGCGCGGGCAGCTGCCCCTGTTGACGAGTTTCCTCGTTCGAACCGGTCTAAATCTCAGCAAGGTTCTCTGAGTTTAGCTCGAAAAATGTTTTCAGGTCTGAGTGACGGTGATTCGTAAAACCCTTGCGCCCGCCGTGATTGGACGACAAAATCTCGGGCCCCTAGTGGCACTTGCGCTTGGCGGTGATTTTTAAATCATCCACAAAATCAGAGCTTACCTTTTTCTCCTGCAGAGCATGTTTCGAGAGTTTCTCTAGATTCGAGAGCGCGCGCGAATCAAAACACCGAGAGTTGAGCAGATTGTCGCTAGTCCTACGCGCGGAGGTGCACTAGAGCTATTCCGTAGCGCCACTGTACCTTTTCCAAGTCGCGCTGCACCCTCTAGTGTCCTTACTAAACCTACCAGACCATTAGGCAGAGATTAACCTACCTGAATTCCGTACTTTTCAGAAATTTGTACTCTCATTTCGAAATCACTTTCGGCCGAGAGAGACCGCTTTTTTTGGTCCAGAAAAACTTGAGTATCTCAAGATGAGAGATACTTTCAATAACACGTCTTTTTATTCAGATATTGCAGGCCTGACGTTTAGCAACGATGGCAGAAGCCGAAGTCTGGCCTGTCAATGAGAACGCAGTTCACAATAACAACAATAACGTAGAAGAAGATGAATGGGGCGTACCAGGAACGAGGTTTTGAAGATTCTTAATTTATAAGAGATAATCTTCCATTTTATCAAAATAGATTGACATCATCCCTTTTACTTGAATTCCAAAGCCGTTAGTAGAAGACGAAGAGCCCAAAAGAATCAACCGCGTCAAAAAGCACATGCCCGACCATGAGGGTTCCGAAGGACGAGTCAAGTCCGCGGAGGGCAAAGAGCCCAGGTGATAATCTCGATAGCGTTTCCTTTTCTTTTTAGCGGCGCTATTTTCTCATGGAATAATATGCACCCATTCAATTGAAGAAACAAGCCTTATCAACTCGATTAAATTGTGTTTTAGGCGCGGTAACAAAGATGACGGCGCTGAATGGATGAACGACAATGACGAACCAAGCTCTGGTAAGATCGTGATTATTTCGCCGATATCTGAAAATTATATTGAAGGACGGCGAGAACGCCCTGACAAAGGAGCTGACCGAGATCGGGCAGAACGACGGGATCGGACCACACATGACCGCGATCGAGGGGACGGTCGACGAGACGATCGGAACCAAATGGATCGACGAGACCGCGGAGATGGCCGTCGAGACCGTGGTGAGCCTAAATCTCGAGAATACGGAGATCGGGGCGATTATCGCAACGATCGGTATCGAAGTAATTGTTCGAAATTTTTATATCTTCTAATGGTTTTTTTCAGAAGACAACAGCCGTAGAGGAAGCCGGGACCGAGGCGATTCTGGCTACCAAGGTCGTGATAGAGGGCAAGTTATGGGTTAAATCTTCAGCTAATATTAATATGTATTATTTACTGGCTATTTTTCCAAGAAAACTTTAGAAAGCTTACTTTAGTTTGAAATCATAGAGAAGTCTTATCAGGAAAATAGTTATGATCTCGTAAGTTCCCTGTGTTAGAGGCAGTAAGATAACCCTGAAAAGAACGTGGGGATCGACGTGAGCGAGACCATTACAAAGGTGACCGTGGAGATGATCGTAGTGGTCGCTTTTACAGCCCCCGCAATCATGAAGGACGGGACGGTGAACGACGAAATCGTTACAACGACCGTCGTGATGATGAAAGAGACGAAAGGCCGCGTGATCGGGAGCCACGCGATCGAGGCGACTCATACAGAGGTGGAGATCGCCGAGGAAGTCGAGACCACGGCGATCGGCGAGGAAGTCGTGACCATGGCGATCGACGTGGAAGTCGCGACCACGGTGACCGACGAGATAATCGACGCGGTTATGACGATTACGACAACAATCGTCGAGGCGATCGACCACGCCAGCGGGACTTTGACGATGATCGCGCGGATCGGCGACCACGATACGATCGGCCACGAGACGACCGTCGACGGCGAGATGACGACGATCGCAGCGATCGCAGAAGCAGTCGACGTGGCTCTCGAGGTGGCCATGATGATCGCGTCGACGTAAGTTAAACTTTCACTTCCGCCAAATCATCGATTCATTCACACTCATTCACTACTAAAGCCATTTATCATCCCTCATTTATAGCAATGCATGTTAACATCACTATCTCCCGTTCGTGGTTAGTGTGTATCTAAAGGATCATCCGAAAATGTTTCTTTCAGGATCGCCCAAAGCGAATCCAGTACATCCCGCCAAGCCTGTCTTCTGACAAGGATGTAGAGAACTCGCATTTCTCTCAAAAAGGCAAGAACTTTGGCAAATACGTTGACACTGAAGTCAGCTGCACTGGCCCTGGCTCTGAAAATGTCAACTTTATCCAGGATTTCAAGAAGAGTGAGCTCAATGGCACCCTTCTTACGCGTCTGAAGAACTTGGACTTTCAGACCCCTACCCCAGTCCAGAGAGCTTCAATCCCGGTGAGAAAATACTTGAGTAAAATTGTGGTAACTGAGTCGATTTCAGGCCATTATGTTGAACCGAGATATCATGGCGTGTGCCCAGACCGGTTCAGGCAAGACCGCTGCCTATCTCTTGCCCATCCTGGACGATTTGATGAACCAGAAAATCAAGGCCGAGTCTGCTGACCGCCAATTCCCACAAGTTCTGATTGTCACTCCAACGCGTGAGCTTGCCATCCAAATCTACGAGCAATGCCGCATGTTCGCCAAGAACACAGGGCTCATGGCCCAGTGCCTTTATGGAGGAACTGATGTTCGCTTTGTTCGTTCGGTAAGTCTTTCTTTGTCCAACTTTTACCAACATGAGTCCAGTTTTGTTGACGATAAAAAATAGAAACGCATATCTGAAGTTTTTAAAGCTCGTAGTAAATTGTGACCCTGAGCGGGCGGTAAAATTGAAATTTGTCTCCACTAGTAGAGCTAAAGGGTAGAGCGGCGGGCGCAAGCTCAAACGTAGTAAGACTGCGTGGGCGGGCACGTGTAAGCGCCGTTTTCCCGTTGCTTCGCCGCCCAAGAGATAGAGACAAATTTCTAACTTGTTAAAATGAGAAACAAATTTTTAACTGTTTTTTTGACCAAGAAGTCTAAGAGAGCTAACTTTCAACTTCAAGAAAATAAGCGATAACGGGTGTAACATCCTGATTGGAACGCCCGGACGAATCAATGATTTCTTGGAAAGAGATTACCTTGGCCTCAACCGAATCCAGTACTTCGTGCTTGATGAGGCCGACAGAATGCTGGACATGGGTTTTGGACCCATCATGAAGCTCCTCGCTACGGGATATGTAAGTTTTACTTGAAACCTTCAAATTGGATTTATGAACATTTCTCTATAAAGTATTTATTCTGATCGTAACTTTAAGCGAATGCCCCGTCCTGGAAAACGCCAGACTCTTATGTTTTCCGCCACCTTCCCTCAAACGATTCAGCAGTTCGCCGCCGACTTTATGGACTCAGAATACTTGTTCATCAAAGTGGGTGTTGTCGGCGGCGCTTGCGCCGATGTTTCTCAAGAAGTGATTCTCATCGGAACCGAGGAATCGAAAAAATCGGGCAAACTCGAAGAACTTATCAAGGTTAGCTCTTGAACTTGCTACTTGATAGAAACTGTTTTCATAATAGGAAGTTGCCAATTCCCGCCAGCGAACTCTTGTTTTCGTTGAGACGAAAGTAAAGGCCGATTTCATCGCCTGCATGCTCTCGCAGACCAACGTACCCACCACCAGCATCCATGGAGGCCGCCTGCAGCCTGAACGAGAAGCAGCTCTCTCAGATTTCCGCTCTGGAGCGTGCCCGATTCTCGTTGCGACTTCTGTTGCTGCCCGTGGACTCGACATCCCAGAAGTAGAGCACGTTATAAACTACGAGCTCCCTCGTGAAATCGAGGAATATGTTCATCGCATTGGCCGAACTGGTCGATGCGGAAATTTAGGAAAGTCCACTTCTTTCTACGACTCTGAAAGAGACTGCCACATTGCTGGAGCCCTTGTTAAAGTACTTGGCGACGCGACTCAGCCTGTAAGTAGAGGATCTTATGATATTTATATCTACAGAAGACTTGCATCAAGCTCGACTTTAACGACTTTTTTAGGTTCCAGATTGGCTTGTGGAAGAGTCCGAGCGCGCGAAGTCATCTACTGACTCTTACCGGAATCGGCAATTTGTAAGAAAATTTATTACGGATAAACTCTTAACCCTTCCCCTAGAACGATTCCAACGACCTCCGCCAGAATCCCGGCTACGTCAAGCCTCCCCGACGAGAGTATCCCGACGAAAACGAGAACGACGTACGCCAATCTGAAAAGCGCGACCGAACGTACGAGCGACGAGACGACTACGACCGCCGGGAGCGTAGACCAGATCGTCGCGAGCGGGGACCAGACAATCGAGATCGTCGCGACGGAGGAGCAGGAAGTCGAGATCGTCGCGACGGAGGAGCAGGAAGTCGAGACCGTCGCGATCGAAGAATGGATGGTCCTGATCGATTCGAAAGGGCCCCAAAGGACGACCGTTCTCCGCCGAATACAGAACGCAGTGAACGCCAGCCAAGCCGACCTGCTAGCGATGCCTCTCCGCCAACAAGAAGCCCCGAGGCTGCTGCGAAGCCCGAGAGAAAGGCTCGCCCTGAACGCGCTGTTCCCTCCGCGGATGTGAAGAAAGAGGATTCAGATGACGAGTGGGGAGCCTAGGCTCCCGGAAGAAACTAGGAGAAGATTAGGCGCTGTTAAAATACCGTTTTTGACAACTCACTGCCCTCTACATACATTGGAGTGTGTATTGGGAATTTTTATTCCTTCGTTTTTTTTCCAAATGAAAAATTTTATCGCCATATCAATTCGAACACTCCCAACCTGCAAGTTCAAATTTTTTAACCGAGTACACTATAAGATACCCGGAATATATTTAATAATCATACATCCATTTACCCAAAATCCTTCGTATTTATCCAAAGTCATTTTTCGTAATTTTAGACGAGTCTTTGGACCAAAATAATCAACAGTCATGTCCCATCGTAAGTTCTCCGCACCACGACACGGCTCCCTTAAGTTCTTGCCGAAAAAGCGATGCACCCGGCCACGAGGTCAGATCAAGTCCTTCCCTAAGGACGATGCTTCCAAGGCATGGGTGCAAATTTTTGAGCTATTCGTTTTTTCCCACTTTTTCAAAATTGATTTGGTCTATTTTTTTGAATAATTTTCACCCTACTATCAGCCTATTCACCTTACTGCCTTCATGGGCTTCAAGGCTGGTATGACTCACGTTGTCCGTGAAGCCGAAAAACCAGGCTCTGCCATCAACAAGAAGGAGGTTGTCGAGGCCGTCACCATCGTCGAAACCCCACCACTCAAGGTCATCGGACTCACCGGTTACATCGAGACCCCCGACGGACCACGATCTATCAAGGTAAAATAATTATTCTCAATTACTTTCATTAATAAATCTTCAGACCGTCTGGGCCAACCACATCTCCGACGAGGCAAAGCGACGATTCTACCGAAGCTGGTACAACTCCAAGAAGAAGGCCTTCTCCAAGGCTTCCAAGCGATGGGAGTCTGAGGATGGCAAGAAGTCCATCGAGCGAGATATCGCTATGATCAAGAAGTACGCCAAGGTAAATAAAGATCGAATCATTCTCAATTTTCAATCAAAATTAAGTCCGTCCGAGCCATCTGCCACACCCAGATGAAGGGTCTTTCTCTTCGACAGAAGAAGGCTCACATTATCGAAATCCAGATCAACGGTGGAAACAACATCGCCGAGAAGGTCGACTGGGCTACCAACAACTTCGAAAAGGAGGTCCCCGTCAACACCGTCTTCAACGAGGCCGAGATGATCGACGTTATCGGTATCACCAAGGGTCGAGGTTACCACGGTGTCACCAGCCGATGGCACACCAAGAAGCTCCCCCGAAAGACTCACAAGGGTCTCCGAAAGGTCGCCTGTATTGGTGCCTGGCATCCATCCCGAGTCGCCTTCTCCGTTGCTCGATCTGGTCAGAAGGGTTACCATCACCGAACTGAGATCAACAAGAAGGTCTACCGAGTTGGAGCTGGTTTCCACACCGTCGACGGCAAGGAAGTCCGAAACAACGCTTCCACTGAAGCCGATATCACCGACAAGAGCATCAACCCCGTTGGTGGCTTTGTTCAGTACGGTCTTGTCAAGTCTGACTTCGTCATGATCAAGGGAGGTATCTGTGGACCCAAGAAGCGAGCCATCACTCTCCGACAGTCCCTCCTCAAGCAGACTTCCCGAGCTGCCCTCGAACCTGTCAAGCTCAAGTTCATCGATACTACCTCCAAGCAGGGTCACGGTCGCTTCCAGACCATCGAAGAAAAGCGAGCCTTCATGGGACCACTCAAGAAGCACAAGCAGATCAACATCGATGCTTAATCAGGCTTATAGCTTTTTTGCATCGCTTTTCGGTGATTTTTTCACCGTACTGCCGTTCGTTTCGCGGGGCCTGCTAGGGGTCAGTGTTAACTGACCCCCTCGCCTTTGAACCACTGCAAACAAAATGGGTTTTTTAAAATATTGACTGTTGAATACAAACCCCAAATTAAATCATGATTTTTGAGAAATACGAAGGATTTTGGCCCTAGTCTAGTTTTCACTTTTCTATCAAGGCCCTTTTTTAGAAACCGGATACAAAAACAGTCACCATGGTTCGAATGAACGTTTTGGCCGACGCTCTCAAGAACATCTGCAACGCTGAAAAGCGAGGAAAGCGACAGGTAATTGATCGTGATTCTCTTTAACACTAAATTATGACAGAGATTTACTCACTTGAGCATTAACTTTTTATTAGGTTCTCATCCGACCTGCCTCCAAGGTCATCATCAAGTTCCTCCAGGTCATGATGAAGCACGGCTACATTGGTGAATTCGAAGTTATCGATGACCACCGAGCTGGCAAGATCGTTGTCGAGCTCAACGGCCGACTTAACAAGTGCGGTGTCATCTCCCCTCGATTCGACGTCGCTCTCAACAAGGTTAACCATCGTCTTATCCCCCAAGGATGATCGGGATCCGTACACCCCGGTCATCTCAGCGATGGAGAACAAGGCATGTCTAACTCATGTTCTTGTACCTCCATCGTTTTCTTGGCTCGTACGGGAATACCCTTTAGAACCGTGCTACACTTCGACCAAGAGTTACGTTTGCTTATTTTAGATCGATAACTGGACCAACAACCTTCTCCCATCCCGACAGTTCGGTTACGTCGTCCTTACCACCTCTGATGGTATCATCGATCACGAGGAGGCCAAGAAGAAGCACACTGGTGGTAAAATCCTCGGCTTCTTTTTCTAAACTGCCTAAAGTTCTGAAATAAACGCTCTTGGCAAAAAAAAAATACTCATCTTGTCTCCTTTCTTGCAGTCAACGAAACTCAGTTATTTTATTAAGACAAGTAATCGAAATCGGGCCATGTCGTTCTCTACAGATACATTCTTCATGTTTGCGGTTATGCTATTCGCGTTCTGCTTCGGTTGGGTCTTCTTTCTTCACTACCTGTTCAAGGTACAGTTCCGTTAGGATTTCAGCACTTGGCAGTTGAATCTGTTCTATCTCTAAATGCGGAAGGACCTCTTTCAACAAGATAATTTAGAATTACGAATGCCACAACAGAGGCGCCCAGATTATCTTCTCGTCGGTATTCTGCCTTTCCTTTTCGCTACTCGTTCTGATCATTTTCGAAATACTAGACATACTGAATCGCGACTCTCGCAAACTGCACTGGAAAGTTAATTTGTTTCTCATTCTTTTCGAGTGTGTTGTAATTATTCCTTATTCGATTTTCTACTTTTTGTGCAATATTCATCCATTCTTCTTCCGTTACCGTCGTGGAGCCGCCATTATCGGATTACTGTTATGGCTTTGGATCTTCTGGAGTTTCGGATCGCCCTTCCCTTTTAAAGTAACCGGGTTGATGGAGCCAGTTATATCCAGAGTTGGCGTTCTAGGCGTGACAATGATGGCTATTCTTTCTGGTTTTGGTGCTGTGAACTCTCCTTACACGTACTCTGCCTATTTCCTTCGCCAAGTGACAGAAGACGATATCGAGTGCATTGAAAAGAAATTGCTCAACACGTTTAATGTCATTGTCTCCAAAAAGAAGCGTTTCGCCCAAATACGGCATGAAGCCTACAGTCGCCACGAGAGACCAGCTACAAGTGGATGGTTCTCTTCGATGAGGAGTCCCCCGGCTCCACCCGTGAGCATTCCGAAAGAAGGTAGACAAGCAACGCTAAATCAATTTTTAAAGTGTTTTTTAAGAAATACATGAACTAAATTCGTATGAGGAGTTATCTCGCCAGCTCTACCTCGAATTGGTTGACTTACACAACACTAAGAAGCGAATAAGCGAGTCGAAGACGATAAAAGGTCGATGGTTCAATTTCCTTGGCTATTTCTTCTCGATTTACTGCGCTTACAAAATCTTCATGTGTACGATAAACATTATTTTCGACCGCGTTGGAAAGAAAGATCCGATTACTCAAGGATCCGAGATTTTAACGCAGCGACTTGGAATGGATGTTGATTTAACAGCATTCGCGCAGCCACTTTCGTTCGTCATGGTCGGAGTTCTAGTGTTGACTTCAATACGTGGTCTACTTATCAACCTAACCAAGTTCTTTTATGCTATATCGTCTTCTGAAACATCTAATGCGATTGTCATGTTCTTCGCGCAGCTAATGGGAATGTATTTTGTCAGGTAGAATAGCGATCTTGTGCATCTTTTACAAGAGATTCTAGTTCCGTTCTTTTAATGAGAATGAACGTCCCGCCGGAATACCGAGAGATTATCACAGAAGTTCTAGGAGAAAGTCTACAATTCAAGTTTTACCATCGCTGGTTCGATATAATCTTTCTCATCTCTGCGTTGCTGTCTATTCTATTTTTGTACATTGCTCACAAACAAGCTCCTGAAAAAATGATGGACAAGAATTTAGCCCAGTTCAAGCTCAGCTCTGCTTTCGATTAAAATATATATAACATTCAATAAAACGTGGCAAACATTTGTGACAAACGAGAGTGTTCGTTTATCACAAAAATCGTGGTTGTTGAAAAAGAATAGTGTATTTAGTCAGTTGGATAGGCAAATATCGAGTAGAATTTCGCGTAAAGCCTTGACGGCGATTGCTCCTTCAGCTGCTCCTTCAGTTGTTACTTGATCTCCGTGAAGTCTTTTTTTGGGTTTGCAAGTGAGTGGCCGTGCAGATACTTTTTAACAGAATCAAAAGAAACCACGATCCTGTTTAGTAGCGCAACACAAGCAACGGCCGCAGACACACCCGCGCGCTGGCAGAGCGAAAGAAATATCGCTGCTTCCATTTCGCAATTAATTGCTCCTCTGTTCTCGGATAAGTCTGCAAGCCAGCCTAATTTCGCTGCTTCGGAATACTCGCAAAATGCTCCATCCAGCCTCCCTCATAAAAATAACTATCTTACGTTAGATTAAATATCTACCTTGAGATTCGTAAAAGTCAGGAGAAGTTACTGTGTTTCCGATCTTGTAGGTCCGATTGAACTGAAATTTGTTAATTTTGCAGAAAAATAATTCGATTACTTTTGCACAAGTGCTCGCAAGAAGCTCGTTCAACTCTCGGTTCGCATTTGCGGGATATCTGATTTCTGAAGGAGATATTTATTTCCGACAGGAAAATTGTATCATACTTTTCCCACATTGAAAGAACTCATAGCCACGTTCGCCATCTGGGCCCATAGCAGAGTCAGTCAGACAAATAGTTCCGGGTTCGACGTCGAGCCCTCCGCATGTACCCATTCGAACGAAGCTCACATTTTTCGCTTTCGCGTATGACTGTAGTTGGGCTCTATAAACCAAAGTCTAAAGACTCTATAAGCGTCTATACTGTAGAGTCTACAGTGTAGACTAATAGAAGGAAAATAGCTAAGAGAAAGTAATTTCTATCCGCAGAAATAAGCCCTGCCAATAATTTGAGCAGCTCGTGAATGAGGATTGAAACAGATCCGGCACCCATTCCGTGATTTGCAACTAGAACGTGGTTGACTTTAAACAAACAGTATCGTCCTCTCTCTTCTGATAAGTCGACTAGAGCGTCATCGTTGACTTCAACGTCGCACAATCGCATTTTCTCAACAAGGACTCTCACGAAGTCCGTCATTCTCTTCGCGCAACCACCGACGACTACGAGACGGACGTCTCCAAACCGCTGAGTATTTTTATTTACCGACTTCAAGTTTTGCACAAACCTTTTCTAAATCTTTGCCGCTATTGTCGAGCCCGATATGATATAGATGGTCAACTTGCAGTTTCTTCAAATTTGGATTGGACAGCTTCAGTAGAACTTATTAGAGCGGACCAATATAAGATACGAGCTTACCAAAATGTTTCCAGCCATTTCTGACTCGCCTTTTACTCTCTCTTGCTTCGGCAGAGCATTGTTGTTGTTGCTGCTATTTCCGGTCTCCATATTCAAAATTATAATTCACGTGAAAAATACAAGAAAAAGTATATGAAAAAATTAAAACTGAATCCAGCAGAGTTTGACTCCGTCTGTCCCTGCCGGACGAGTGGATCGCAGCGAAATAAACAAACCGCCTTAGATAGGGATCTAGAAAATATCAAAACGCCCTTTTCTAGGATATATTGCCGGGCGAGCAAGGCAGCCAAACTTTTTTGTAGGTTGGCCTCCTTGAATAGCTGTTTTTTACGCTCGATTGAAATTTTTATTTCCTGCGAAAGGCGTCGTCGTAAGTTTCCCGAAAAGGTTTTGCAAAAGAGGCATTGTATTTAATCAAACGGTAGGCATACAGACGAAAAAAAGAATCTACTCGTAAAATTCTATGCAGCATTGATGAACTTGGTTTCAGGGACGGTTATATGGCTTCGGAAGCGTTCAAGTCCTTTTTGGCGATGTTCGTTATCAAAGAGGTATTCTTTTTCGAGCTGGACAGAGAGGTCGCCCCTGAAGTACTGAAACCAAGATGCTCGTTCCATTTGATATTGCATTTCCTAAGTATGAGCTTAGTCGATTTTTAAACAGCGTAATATCAACCTGTCTCGGAAGGTTAAGCTGGATCTGATTTCTGTGTGTCGTTTTGCACCCACTTAGGGATTCGAAGAAGACTGCAGCGCCGTGTTTATCAGCGTACCGTAATGCGTTAATTTTTCGCTTTAATTTTGGTCTAAAAACCTTTATCAGCATTTTCTCATCGCTCAAGGCTGAATTACCGTAATGTGATATCAGCTGAGAGGCCTCGTTTAGTGTATCTGTTGCAGGGCCAAACTTCTATCTCTTCCTTGACATTTTGTTTGGTCGATAGGCCCCATTCGGCAAAGGCAGGGACACCCTTAAAAGAATTTCACGTTAATCAGCTAGTCGCGTTCTTTTAGAAAGTGACCAAAATGATCAGCATTGTCGTAAATCATGGTGATTTGAGCCTGTAGGTGTAAATTACCTTTCCGATGAGCATATATCTGTCTTGTGTTTCTTCAACTTCCTCTGGCCGCTGCGACATGGTCACTTTTCGCCGCGCTTAATTCTATATTTAATCATATACTTTCATTCAACATCATAATAGCGCTCATTATGGGGCTACAATAACGAACCACGTAAATTTTAAATGCCCTTTTGTTCAACTTATTCTTAGAACGAATCAAACGGCAAACATGCATCTTTGTTCACCTTCCTAATGTAATTTCATGTCAAACCTTTTCTGATCGAAATAAGGATCTCTTTTTATTCTGATCTTTCTCGGTGTACGTCTCAAAGTCTTTTTGTATTCGCCTCCCGTGGAGTCTTTTTTTGAGTTGAATGATCAAGAGACTCAGTCTTTGATGATTTCCAACCTTGTAAAGGTTAACTCAATTTCTTCTATCCTCATAATTCACCGGACCCATCATAAAGCAAGCTAATTATTGAGCGCAGCACAATCACAGACCTCGTCAACTCAATAATGTGCATGCGATGCAATCAGCGCTCTCTTCTGGGGGGTCTTACTTCCGATTTGTAAAGAATAAATTATTTTTCTTTAGTTTTTTTATTGCATCAAGATTTAGTGGTGTGCGCGTCAATCCAATTTATGATAAAAAGCGTACATGTAATAGTTATGGATTAAAATGCACTAAATTTAAATAAAATAAATTTCAGCATAATTAATGTCGTAACACACTCACCTGCGTGTGACATTTTTCGCTTTGATTGATCGGTCTCTCCTTGATTGGATTTGGGCACGCACTCCTCAGCGGAACAACCTAAAAATCTCTTCTGACTCACAATTTTCGCATGCGTCTAACTGTGCGCACACTATGCATTTCACACACCTAAGGCAACCGCTCAAGAAACAGTGACTCACGAAATCTTATCAAAGTGTATCAGTGAATCAATATATTTAGAGCGTCCAGCAAACTTATTCAACATCATCTTATGTGTGGTACCCTTACCCGTTATTTTTGAAACGCTCTTTACGTTCTTCTCACTCTTGAGTGAAATATTCAATTTTTTGACGTTTCCAAGAATCACTGGTTTAGGGGAGTAAGATGAATTCGTCTGATTTACTTTCGGAGATCCATTTTGATGAGCATTTTGTCTTGTCGTATTCTCTTTCGCGTCTTTGCTGACAGGGGAGTCAGGAAAATCGTGTCGAATAGTGGGTTCCATTGGCTCGCTACCCAATTTATGAACTTGATTTTTGAAGTTCATTTGGAGTCTATTCTCGGGCTGAGCAGTCCTCATGCCTTTCTCGGGAATTGTTTGCTCGTTCAGGCCACTTTTAGTTCTCGGTAGTGAGGCGAAACTTGCGGAAATTCGATTTTGATTCTGCTTCCGAGGAAATGAATCAAATTTCCCCGATGTGCAATCTTCGAAGTCTTGTTGCCTCCTCTTCTCGTCTTCCTTCAGTGAGGCGTTGAACAAGATCTTTGGCGTCTGAGTGATGCAAAACTTTCTGTTTTTGTCGGAAAATATGGAGGGTTTTTGGGAAGCTGATCGGATTTCGTTGTTATCAGTTGACGGAATAAAGGGATTTCTCGCGTTTTTAATGACCGGATGGTGTTCTTCTGTCGGAATCGGTTGAAAATCAGCAGGAGTAGGACCTGACCATGGCCGAATGCTTGGCTTTTTCGTTGTAGGAATAGGGTCGACGACTTTTTGATGATTTTGGGATGGATTAATATGCCAAATACATTGGACAGGCGACGAACGGTCAGTGCGGGACTCTGTCTTCGTATGATGATAAGTTCGAGGCTGCTGGCTTGGGACAATAACGTCAGCATAATCTTTCGAGCATGCAGACGACCAACTCCCTCTTCCCGAACTTGGCCTTGATTCTAAGCCATTCTGATTGCTTTCGTCAGTATCACAAAGGAAGTTGAACTTTGACTCTTTTTGAGCTCTAATTATGGGATATATCTAACAAACGAGATATTTGATGAAATCTAAATGGCGAAGACAAATATTTATCCCACTCTGTCGCATTCAACTTTCTTGTCTTCGCGACTCTCCACGATTTCCTTGTTCGCGCCTTTTTGAACTATCATCATCGTTTGCGTATTTTTAATTGTCTAAAAGAAATCAGCTTTTTTCCAGGGAAAAAATCCACGAAGATATTTATCGAAAAGAAAAATCGATTCCAAGTCAAGGATAATGAAAATAGATAACCTAGATTCAGAAAGAACGTACTTGTCTTATCTCCTCGCGTTTCTTCGTGCCTGCAACGGCGATGACCACCATGATGATGAGTACGTTTAGTTTCTCTAAGTGTAGTACCTGCTGCTATTTTTTGATAAGGTTTTTTTAGGTTGGCACTAGGCCAACGGCTGCCAATCCGAAAAACTTAACACTTACTCGTCGCCAATATAGTAACTGTGAGAGTGGCCTTTCCCGTCGTTAACCTTTATTGCTAGTCCGACTACTAGAGAGGGAAAAGGATGAATTTTATGAGTCTCAATTTGAGAGGAATTCATCCAAATCGTACTCTAAAATTTAAAGAATTGCTGTAACAATTTTATTGCTTTATTTCGTATTCTGAAAAGAAGTCAAGATATTTTGGAAGTGGATGAGCTTCGGAATCATTCAAATAGTACTTCAAGAAGATCAAATGTGCCACCAAAAAGGCGTTTGGATGTATAAATTTAATTACTAACGCATTCAAGTGTCTGGAAATGACAGCTCTGACGGGGACACGATGAATTCGACCTTTTCCTTTGAGACTTGAAGAAATCGTTGTCGAATAAAAGCGTAAAGATCTATTTCGTATTTCATTCGACTTCGTAGAATTTTAGGGTATTTTCTGTCGCTGGCTGCTGAGCTTCTTTGTTTTTCGTCTCAGTTTTTCCCCTCGCATATTCTTGAAAGTACTTTCACGGATTTTCCTAATTTCCCATACCATAAATAATGCTGTTGTGAATTTTGAGACCATCAAAGAACTTAGGAAGCATAGATTCAAGGACTTCTACGAAATCATTAAAATTTTCCGTCAATCCTATAACAAGATAAGATCTGTCGATATTATTCTTTGCGATCTTTAGCGCCTCTTCTGACGGTTCCTCGCAGATAGGCATATCTCCACAAAAGTATGGTACCATTCCAGACTTCCAGATTTTAAGAGCTGTGCACTCCTTACTATTCGCAAGAACACAGTCGTTGACCGTTTGATTGAATTGCCTATAGCTCCCTTCAAAAGTTCTATTAAAAACTGAAAAAAATGGACTACTAGTACCTTCGTTAATCATTCCGTTAACCATATTTGCTTTCTTCTTTCCGTTGTCTAAAAATCGACGGAAATAAAAATGCGAGATAAATCTTAAAAAACAGTTTTGTTCATTAGAAAGGAGAATGAGCCCACTTACCTTTCCACAGGTTCTCGGACGAGATTGATATAAAGAGGAATCGGCTTTTCTATAAAATGAAGGAAGTGAATGTGTTGTGCCCATAGACTCCGGGTATTTTTTTGGGAGAAATTTTGAATTTTACTGACAACTTCAGCTTCGGCTTCTTTTGTTAGCCAATAAACTTAGTGGGAATTCAATCCTCCCGACTGCAATCAACAAGGACAAAACAGATGCTTGATAAATCCCTGCCTAGGTTTTCCGCTCCAAATTGAACTCCATTATCGTCAAGGGTTGGTCGAATAGCTTGGAGCAAAGATCTGCTTCCACATTTTTGAACCCTGTTGTAAATTAAAAGCTGCGCATCATACTGCTTTCTTTTCCTAATTGCAAACTGTGAAATCAAAAATGTCTGTTTCGTCGCCCACCATTGAACATCGCTTTCGTTTCTCTTGTACTGCGACTCTCGAGAGCTTCGAATGGTAAGATATAAAATTACAAGCGTAACAATTAGCAAAAACCCGTGCCGGCGCATGGAAATGTCAAAGAATTCTCCGTCAACCATTTTTTAAACTCTTTTAAACATTTTTGAACGCCCCGGGCTTCACGATGATTTAATTGACATGAATAAGATAACTTCACAAATAGAGATAACTCAGCCAAGTTCAGCCCTCAATAGACTGGTGGATCTATATTAGGTACAGCCTCTCACTTGTGTGTGAAGATGCGCGAGTTGTAAAAGATACTGCCTGCAGATGCTTATTCCTGCAAATGAGACTGTCGACGAAAATCATGACATTTTTTATCAAATGTGTCACGGAGAGAGGTTTTATAAATAGCCTTTATTCCAAAAAGGGTGTAGTGATTGTCATGGAAGTCAATAAGGAAAATGATGGCATCAACGTTGTAGGAATGGTCACGGAAACTCAAAAAGTAAACAGAAAAATTAAAATTCGTCATATTATTAAAAATGAACTGAAGTGAGAAGTGTATAAAGCATCATGGAACTGTTGGAAGCACCAGAATTTAAATAAACAGAGGCATTCAGGAGCGGAACACGTCAAGCAAGTCACTCAGGGAATTCCATTTTGGCATAAAGAAGTACACCTATGTCTCGATGGCCGTTGTCCATGGCGATCTGTAGAGCAGTAGCCCCGTCGTTGTCGATTATCGAGGGGTCACATGTGGGCATGTCAAGCAGCAGCTTCACAATATCCACATGTCCATGCTCAGACGCACACATTAAAGCGGTGGAGCCTTCTTCATCTTGTTGGTCGACGTCGCAGTCATTCATAAGCAAGTATCTAGGCAATGGTCAGCCGAAACCGGAATCAACTACCTACCTGACAGTGTCTCGTCGACCGTGGCTAGCAGCAAGCATAAGAGCTGTTTGAGATTCATTTTTCGACTTCAGGTCGAGATCTGCACGGCGAAAGAGTTGCATTAGCGGCGTCAAGTCCTGCTTGTCCGACTCGCGTGTTTTTGATGTGTCAATAAGCGCAGCAAGCATACTTGGCGTGTACCCGGCTTTGTTAAAGAGGTTGACATCTACACATTTGCACTGTACTAAACGCTGCACAACGTCCATATTTCCATGAGAAACTGCATAGTGCAGTGCACAATTGCCGTTAGCATCGTAGCTGTTCGCGAGAACCTGAAAATTATTTTCATAACAGAAATATTATTGACTAGGCTACCGGCAGTGCGGAAGGGCCATGTTCCTGTATGGAAGAGATGAAAAGGTCCAGCCATTGATGTTTGGAATTGGGTTTTCCAGCCACGTTGAACCATTCTCTCTTCAAATCTTTCGGTGGATCCATTTTGGAATCGCCGGCTTTGCAAAGCTTTTCGATAAGAATTATCTAAAATAAAATAATGAAAGTTGATATCATATACGAAATAGTTACCTGATCGTAAACGCCTTCCGGGAGCTCATAGTCTTCTTCTACATCGGTCATGAATTTGTAACCGTCTGACCCGAAGTCGGGTTTTGGTAAAACAGCACTATCAGTTGACTTGTCGTAGATAGTCGTCAATTCTTCAGGAATAGTTTCTTTTGAGTCACTTGATGAGTTCTCTCGAATAGGTGTCACCTCATCGTCCTCTTCTACATTTTCTTCAGGTTCGAGAAGCTTAGCGTTAAGAATTTCCTCGACGATCTGTGGATTTTCAAATGTAAAGTTCCGGACGATTTCCAGCGTAGCTTCATCGATAGTGCTATCAGGCCCTGCCGAAGTTTCATTTGTTTCGACGTTACACTTATCACCGAAGATCATAAGCATTTCGTCTTCATCCAAGTCGAGAGTTCTCGGCTCAGTCCGCTCTAAGGTTTATTTTGATTGAGGAACGGTATGGAAATCTTACCTAGGAGTGGTGAAACTGGCTCCGTCTCGGTTGAAGCTTCGCTAGTCTCTACAGGTAAAGCTTCCTCTTCTGCAGCGCATCCAACATCGCACATTTCAGTAACATCGGTCTCCGTCTCCGTACTTATTGTTTGCACCTAATAGAAACACATAAATATACAATCTATATTAATTATTACGTTTGAAGTCTGCACTCTTCTGGCTCTCGAGTTCTCTGCGAACCAGTTGACGTAGGAGCCAACATCAACTGAAGATGCTTCATCTGGCCCTGTCGAAGAATCTACAGTTTGGTTAAAAGTCTCAATGGAAGCATCTTTTGTTTCTGGCTTTGGCTGTTCCACTGGAACTTCGACGTGGACGACTTCTTTCTCGACGACTGTTTGTACAACAGTTTTCTCTACAACTTTTGGGGCCGAAGAATTCATCAATTCGCAGCTTATAGACTTATTTTGTGTGAGTTGACTAATGGGAGCAGTAGAAGCATCCACGATAGACGGGCGGGATTTGCCGATTCGCTTCTCTCGAGTTGAAGGTTTGGCGTGAGAAGCAACAGTGCGCGTTTCTACGTGATTTCCCACAGATTTGTCGACCTTGTTTTGGAACTGGCGCTCAGTGCGGAAATTCACGTAATTTCCAAAGTCGCGGCTGCTGGTTGTTGTTCCGATTCCGACAGAACGGAGAGTAGTTCGGTCGTAGCAAATGATATTCTCTTTAAAAGTAACAGTAAGTACCTTCCAAGTTACTGAGCATCTTACCAAGGTATTCAAAACCGCCACAGGCGACTGAGCGCGTTGGAGGTCTTCTCTTTCGCTTTTTAACAGAAAAATCTGATAGAGAGGAAGAATCTGAGGATTCGTAATCATCATCGATGTGAAGAACCTCACGTCTGGCGTTACGCCGCAAGCAGCTAAAATCTGTTTGTGCCGCAATGGAGCGAACTTCGCAATTGACCTTTAATTTTTGATAAATTCGGTTGTCCTGTTTTCTCTATTTCAATTTACCTTCTCGACAATCGCCTCGAGTTGCTTGATGTGGAGCAAAAGTGCCTCGTTCTCGATTTTGAGCTTCTTTTCGTTTTGAATCCACTGATCGCGCACGGATTCAGCGGATCTGTCCATGTCTCTGTTGGATTCTCGTTCTCTGGCTAGATCGCGCTTCAGCTGTGCCTTTTGCTGCTCCAGGATCGATATTTGCACCTATTAAGGGATTATACATTTGTTTGATCTTTGGCGCAAATAAATTATAAATTCCATCTGGATCTCGTAAGATATACCTGTAACTTGGGAATTGTTTTGACCTGTTCTTCGAGTTCGCGCAGTCTGCCGAGCGCGTCGTGCATCGTCTCACGCACGAAGCCCATCTCGCCCTCTGCGCTATCATTGCTCGGCGTCGGGCTCTTAATCAAATCTCCTCAAGCTCAAACAAGCGATATATTTTGATTTTTAATAAACAGAACAATTAACTTAACCACCGAAAATGTTGAATTAAAGTGGCTAAGCCGCTAAATGAGTAGGAAAAGGTTAATAACAAGCTCAAACATGCGGCAGCGACGACTCGTCGCTCACGCTCACCTCTATCCAACGTCTAGAGCCATTACTGAGACTCGAGAAGTGTTCACCTTTCCTTCTTACTGTATTAGTACAAATCGACGTAATTTGAGGCTTTTCGCATCCTTCGGGGCCTAGGCGTTTGCTGCTCGATAGAGTTTCAGACTGATTTTGAGTTTGCTAGTAATTAAGAATTTTTGAGAATGAAACGGTCCTTTGAGAAGGAGCATCGCCGGAAAGAGTGGGAGCGATGCCCCCGTTGCCTTGCGGTGTCCGCGGTCGAGAGCGTGTCCGTTCGCGGCTAAATCTGAGTTAACTCGACATTCCACTTTTGACCACAGATTTTCCAATAATACTAGTGACCCGTTATCGACGGTGAAGTAGAGAGCTTACCAACTGACCTTAGGCGCTTTACCGTGACCATAAAACCCCTCGAACTCATGTGATTAGATGTTTTCTGACTATTTCAGTGAAAAATCTAGAGATGGACGCCGAAGGCCAAATTCTTCCTGCTTAATTTAAATTCCAAAACGACTAATGGCACGTTTTTTAACGATTCACGCAACTCAAAAGCCATTTCATAAGGACCGAGTTTCCCGAATAAGTTAGTAAATATTTTTAATTAAGTCAGTTACTAAACTAAAATTACAATTATACTCTACGCGGCGAATATTAAACCTAGGGGACACCCTAACCTGCTTTCGTGAAAAATAGTCGCAACTGGCGATTACCATCAGAGAGCTGGCGAGGCTGACGCGATGCATTTAATCCTCTCAGGCTTTTCCGGTCAGAGGTGCCAAATTGTCAGCCCCCTCCTTGTCACCGTTTTTTATTGTCTAAGCCTCTTGATGGCAGAAAAATTATAGTACAAAGGCAAGAAAAAGTTCTGGGGTAGAAACTTGCGCCAAATATTTAGGAACAAGTGGTCACCGCTTCGCGTCATTCGTTATTGATCGATTAGATCCGGCGAGACGTTGTGGCTAACACGACAAGCTGGTACTGCGCTAATTGCCTCAAGAATTTGCCAAGAAGCGAGTGTTATTCGCCAAAACAGCGAGATAGCGGTCAAGGGTCAACTTCGCTCAGGGTACAGCTGTTATCCTTGTCCCTCTGTGAGTGATATATCAATCAATTACCTGTTGTTCTCCATGAACTTCTTCAAACTCTTGCTTTCGTTGATGTCTTGAGCATATCGGAGAAAGTCTAAGTCGATCTCTGGTGGATCATTCTCCATTCGGCGATTTCTCTCTCTCTCTCTGAATAAAAGAAAAAATAGGTCAGTAGATTGTGCAATGGGTTGAGTTGCAAAAAATGAGGAGAGTAGAGGACTATAAATTTGAGTGGCAGGCAGCGAGAGTCCCGCGGCGGGGCGGGCTGCGCGCACATCGCGCCGCGCCGAGAGTAGTTCGAGCGAGCGAGGTAGCGAAGTCCAAATTTCATTGGCGCGCGGCGCGTTCTTCTTCTCGGTAAATCTGCTCCGATCGCGTTCACTCTACATTCATCGCATTGAATTATTACGCGGAGCGAGAGAGGTACTGTTGCTGCGTCAGTCTCGAATGAGAGACACGGGAAACTAGAGCGCCCATTTTATGTTGAAGAAAAGACTCGCCCTCGAAGCTAAGCCAGCCTGGGTCACAGCCGTAGATGGAGGACCACGAAGAGTGAACCATGCTTCTGCTGCTATCGGAGAAAGGTGAGTTAGATGGGCACTTTCGGATTGACAAGTGATGTGTTTTTATTCAGGGTGTACCTCTTCGGTGGCTACTGTTCTCTGGACTCGACGCCCTACTCGGACCAAGCTACAAGATCTGTCTCCACCATTGATGTCTTCTGTTTAGATTCGAGTAAGTCGCGATAACACTGCGGCCAGAGTATATCGCCGCGATAAGATAGCCTAATAACTAAACTAGAGACGATGCGCTGGAAGAAGCTCCGGGACAAAGATGGCTCGGATAAAGTGAAGAACATCGTAGACAGGAACTCTTTCAAGGACACCCCTTACATGCGGTGAGTGCGCTTCTTTCCAAAAGTTCTTCAATTCCAGCCATTCAGATATGGGCACGCAGTCACCCCATACAAAGATAAAGTTTATCTCTGGGGTGGGAGAAACGACCAGTACGGCCCAGGTAAGTTATCAAGTTCAATTAGCATCAGCTTTACATCGCGCTTTCTGAGTGTTCATTTTACCGCAAGGTTGCCCATTGAGTAGCCAGATGCATTTTCTGAAATCCTGTCGACTGTTTCTCTCTTGAAAATTATAATACTCTCTAGACGCCGACATGTTTTGTTACTGCACCATGAAGAATTCGTGGGAGAAGGTCGAATGGTCGGGAAATCGTCCCTTCGGCCGCGATGGACACACGTATGTTCTTTATATACGGCTGATTTGATAGTTTTATTCGCAGTCTCTTACATTCATATATAGGATGAACACATGGAACGACAAAATAATCATTTTCGGCGGATTTGACGCCGAATACGACACTTACTCCAACGATACACACATCTTTGGTGAGCATTTCCGAGGATACACGGCGCCAAAAATGATTATTCATTTCAGATATCAAGGAAAAGTCCTGGAGCCGCGTGGTCACTTCTGGAAGTGCTCCGCGCTGGCGAGATTTCCATACTGCTGTCATTATCCGAGATCGTCTTTTCATTTTCGGCGGACGGTGCGATGTATTTGGCACTCAGCAGAGCGCCCGTGATTACTACGACCCTTCGTAAGCCTGTCTTCATCCGAGCGTTTGTCACACTTTGTTTTTAGCGTGAAATACTTGGATCTGAAGAGTCTGAAGTGGTCAAACCAGTTGGATAAAGTCGCACCAGATGCGGAACAGCCAATTGGTCGACGATCTCATGCTGCTTTTGCCTATAACGAGAAGATGTAAATATTGCTTTACTTTATTATAGTGACCTATAAATAATGACGTAGGTTTATTTTCGGCGGCTACAATCAGCGCGAAAAAAACCATTTCAATGATCTTTGGTGCTTCGACCCAGAAACATGTATTTGGTACCCGATCTTTCCCTCGGGAAAGAATCCAAGCCCCAGAAGACGGCACACTGCTTCTTGCATCGGCTCAAAAGTCCTGATATCAGGCGGGACAGCACCAGTCGAAGATCGAAGCAGATGGCTCAGCGATCCCGTCGAGTCAGAGGACGAAGAAATCGCCCTGAAAGACCTCGCCGAAACCGTCTTGCTGGATTTCGATCCGACGCTCAAGGTTGCTTTTCAATCGCTCTCTTGAGAGGTAATTCTATTTTAGACCTTCTGCCTAATGGAGGTGATGAAGAACTTGGCGATGCTGAACAGCCTAGACGCTCCTCAATTGCCGAAGACGCTCATAAACGAACTGAGCGATCTGACCGAAGACAATGAGATCTCTTGCAAGCGTACTAATGGGTAGACTTCTGTTTTCTAGAATTTTCACAATCCCTACTCCCGATTTCGATAAAGTCGAGGAACAATTCGTCCTTCTCGGATATGATATCGTATTCATAGTTCCAATTCAGAAAATTACTTTATTTTTCAACACTCTCTCCAAAAAAACCGCTAAAACCTCCATTTTGTTTCCATTTTCAGAAATGCAGCATTTCGAATGCTTTTATTCTTTTTGCAAATGGCGAGATGAAGAGATCGTTTAAAAATGATTGCTTTTCTGAGATATTCATAATCTTTTCAGACTCTTCAAATTTTACTTCTGTAAATACTAAAAAAGTTCCACCAACTTGAACAACCTTTAAAAATGAACAACAACATTTTACTCTAATTTTTTCATTCTCAGTTATTCTCAAAAGCGCTCAAAGTTTCCATAAAGAAAGTGTTGAAAACAACGCTTCGATTTTCCAATTTCAGCGGCTTTTAGCTTGACCGATTCGATACGCCTATCTGAATGATAATTAGATGCATGGGTTGGGCGTCACTAGTCACAATGAATTAATCTTTAGGTTTTTACCAAATGTGTTCAGGGAAAGACCAAGGAAAAAGAAGAACGCACGGCCTGTGCTTTCCTACCGTATCAAGGATGTCCCACGCTCTAAAGGATAATTCAACTCAAGATTTAACTAAACTATATTCACTGTCATTTCTAAACAATAAACACCTCACCAAGCACGCCCAGCACAAATTTGTTACAGTCTCTGCATCGCCTGTAACATTTCAATCTAAATTTTGTCGTTCAAACGGTCAAGCTAAAATCCAAACTGGAGTCTCAAATGAACATTTGATTTTTGACCTGAATTTACTACCCATAAAATCAGTTTCTTCAAAATACATCTCATTTACTGTAATATTATTGTTTTACTTTGATTTCACATATTTACGTACTGTTAAAGCCAAAAAAGCCTGTTTAAAAATGGAAAACCTTTGATTGCCATGGTTTCTAATAATAAATGTTATCAAGGACAAAACCAAGTAATCTCTTCTTATACTCGTTTTCATGCAGAAACTTCTGTAGATTGAGATGATTGAAGAATAGCGGTCGTAGAAATGATTTTTGCGGAGTACGTGCAGAATATACCCCTGGTTTCCATTTTCTATGCTCGCTTTCATGAGACGAAGGGTGCTATTATCGAATACACCTATCCTGAAGGTTCGCTTCGGCCATCTTATAAGGAGGTTTTTTTTTAAATAAATTTAGGATCCTTTCCTCAACCACTGCAAACTTTCTCCAAGAAATTGCTGATTCCAAAGGATGAACTCATGGGAAAAGTTATAACTCTGCGGACAAGCCTAGAAGATGAAGAGGGCAAAGCATCCCAGTATAAAATCATCAACTGTCCAGTTATGGTCGAGAATAACGCTCGTTACACTCGTTATCAATTCAAATTCAATTTTGGCTTCATATTAAAATGGGATTATGATAAGAACGGTAAGAATCAAAGAGGGATCCAAGATTAACAAAAATATAAGCCGAGGAGGAACCGTCGACGGAGTATTTCAGATCAAGTCCTTTTGCACCTCTTGTAAAGAAACTAGCCGAAGACATGAGGTGCTTACGCTCTTGAAAAGACGATCATTGACTCTGAATCTCAGGAAAATTGAGAACGAAGAACAATGGCTTTCGAACGTTGCTAATGAGAACGATGAAAGCAACGGCATTCCACAGCTGCTTGAAAACATGTTCGTCGGATTGAGAAAAGACGGCTTTGTTAATATCCCCGTCGGTCTTGAAGGCAGGAACGAGATTTACCTTCGAGTTTTCCCGCCAACTGTGCTGCCGAACGAAGTAAGAGTCCATCACGTTCCCGTTTTGCTCGACGAGAAGATACAGCGACTTGAGTACGCTGACCTGACTGTTCAAGAGATGATCGGCAGGATCGACGGCATCAATCATATAAAAAAAATCTGTGGCGAGCATCACCGAGACATGACTCCACAGATAGCGTGTCTCACGATTCGCGATTTGTGTTTCGCTGGTGTCTGCAGATTAGATCGTATCTTTAAATTCTCCAATCGCTACAGAACAACTGAAAAACTCGACGAGCTTTACAAGGTTCTTCGTCGATGTGAACTTATAAGCTAATCATGAGTGTAGGCGATGCTTCTTCGAAACCCGGAATCGGAGATAGCCGTCTACGAATTGGTCAGAGCATCAGAACCCCAGTGGCTGCCGCATTCACTGGAGCCGCGTTTGAGAAGAGAGTCTTCCAAAAAGACAAAAGTGACGCCGCATGACCTCTTTCGATTTCTATGTGATTTGAGCGACAGAAGAAAATCGCGAAAGAGGCTCGCATCAAGAAAATGTTCTTAAGACTGTTAACGTCGAATAAATTCATGTAGAGAGCATCGAAAAAGTATGCAGCGAGAGAGCTCAGCTTCTCCGCTAGGGGGAATAAAACTATTCCATTCGCAGAGCTCAATTGAAACGACGGGCTCCGATTTCTCAGATATTTCAATTGACTACTCCGAAGAAGATGAGGATGAGCATCCCATGCTTTGCGATGTGTTGCAATATCATACTGCCATCGCTCAAAACTGCGATGTTAGAAATCTCATCCAACATGCCATGCTAAAGGTCAGTTTATGGCTTTGATAATCTTAATTAATCACGTTCAAAGGAATATATTTATTTGGTCGAGGAATACCCTGCGCTGCGTAAAAGGGACCGTTTTTCTGAGGGAAGTGATCACTCAGTGACAAAAATAGGTATTCATCAGAATAAATGCTGCAACTGCTAAAATTGAACATAGACCAACGAGTGGAACTGCTTACCTCCGCATTCAGCGTCGATGAAATCTGTGCCCATCTCAACTTGAGCCCAACTTTACTAAAGCAAGAATTTAGCAGAACTTTTCACGATCGCCTGACTTACTTTTTCAAATAACTGCTGCCTGAAAAATCAACCCCCTTTTCCAACTATGTCTTTATTTCTTCTTTTTATCGGTCATTCTAATTTATTTGCTGTTATTTTTGTAAATTCCTTTCTTATAAATATAAATAGCCTCGAATAAAATTTAACCATCCCTATATGAAGAATGAGTGATCCGGTTAAAGATAAAGACAAACTTTATCGTTTGATTATTGGTCAGCTACAGTTTGATGGTTACATTCAAGTCTCTAAAAATCTAGCCCAACAAGGTAATCGTCGACAAATTCATTCAAAAAGATCCTTATAACAATTTAGCTAGACCGAGCCAGGGAGCAACTCCCAGCGATCAGCTCATGAAAATTTTTCAAGCTGGTCTGCAGACTATTGAGTTAGAATCGCCGCCGGAGGAAAAGACTAAATTGCATACGGCGGATGATGCAGACGGGCTTGACTTGGGTAAAAAAACTCATATCGAATCAATTATTGATCTAATGTTTAAGAATCGGAGCTTGTCGGAGGAGTCCTGAGTCCCGATCCCAGTGTTTATGAGACGTGCTATGTCACTGCGCACAAAGGTGCCTGTAGGGCGGCAGCCTGGACGAAGGATGGATCTTATGTTGCCACCGGCAGCGTTGACTCAAGGTCAGAAATAATCCCCCAATCGGGAATAGACAAAAATCTTCAGCATTAAAATACTCGATGTGGAGCGTATGGTTGCGAAAGCAAGTTTACCGATGGATATGGGAAATCAAAGCGATGCCTCTGCCGCTGTAGATCATCCAGTTATAAGAACGCTGTACGATCATTTAGAAGAAGTAACCACTCTGGCATTCCATCCTTTCGAGCAGAAACTCATCTCGGGAAGTAAAGATTATACGATAAAGGTGTTTGACTGGTCAAGGAGCTCGGCAAAAAAGGCGCAGCACACTATTCAAGAGGTAGAATGGATCAGATGTTTGTCTCTTCATCCATCTGGAGATTGGCTTGTCGGTAAGCTTGTCAGCGACGATGCATTCCTCATTCTATTTTAGTGGGCACCCAGCATCCAACGATTCGATTTTATGATTTACATACGACCTCTTGCTTCACATCACCAGTTCAGAGGGATCATCATAGGGGGCCAATTACGACGATACACCATTCAACGTAAGGTACTTTCGCTTCTTTCTCTGTAGAGTAATTTTTAGGGATGCAAAGATGTTTTGCTCAAGCAGCAAAGATGGAACGATAAAACTTTGGGATGGCGTTAGTCACAGGTGTATAGCTACGTGGGAGAGAGCTCATGAAGGAAAGTTGATTTATTCACTACTGACGTAATTACAGTATTTTGCAGGCTATGAAGTTTGCAGTGTGCAATTCACGAAGAATGGAAAATATCTATTGTCAAGTGGGAAAGATTCGATTTGCAGACTTTGGGAAATCTCGACGGGGAGACCGATTTTAACGTACACGGGCGCCGAATTGTCAGGAAGAAACATGCATCGCTCGAATGCTTGCTTCAACCACACAGAAGAGCACGTACTATTCCCATGTATTATTTGCTCATCAGTCTTTGTGAAGTAAATACCTATTTTAGGCGAGAAAAACATCTCGATGTGCGCGTGGAACTCGAGGACTGCCGATCGAGGAAAACTCTTGGCACTTGGTCACAACTCTATCGCTCGAATGATCTCGCATTCGCCCACTCAAAGGTCCGTGTTTCCTTCTTTTTACTCTCAAATAATGCTTATAGTGCGTTCTTATCATGCTCCGATGATTTCCGTGCCAGATTTTGGTACCACAAGACAACAAGTATTTAGAAAAATTGACATTAAATTCTTCATTGTAACTGTCCTTTCTCTATTTCAAACTGCCTAAACTGAATTTGAAAGTTTCTAGGCATTGCATTAAATAAAAACCTTCAGAGAAGTTGTAAAGAATGCCGAAGAAATCCAAGGTTGGAAAGAACCGAAAGGATAAATTCTACTCTATCGCGAAAGAAGTTGGATACAGGTATATTCTTTTTCAAGAGGACTGTTTTATATATATTTTCTAAAGAGCTCGATCCGCTTTCAAGCTTGTCCAGCTGAATCGAAAATTCCAGTTCTTGCAGTCTTCTCGTGTTCTTATTGATTTATGTGCTGCTCCAGGTGGTTGGTGCCAGGTAGACGCTTTAAAGAATTGAGCGCGGTCCGTAAAGCTTTTTATAGGTGGCGAAGCAACACATGCCTGTCGAATCGAAAATCATTGGTGTCGATTTAGTTCCAATCAAGCCAATCTCTGGTGTTATCACGATCCAGGAAGATATTACGACAGACACATGCAAATCAAAAATCAGGAAAGCTCATTCATTCCTTCACGCTACATAGAAAGCATTTTATTATTGTGTTCATCAAATTATTCTTAACGTAAAAAGTGTGTTTCACGTGCGAGCTCAAATATAGACAGCACTTGAGAGATTGGAAAGCTGATGTTGTTCTCAACGACGGTGCCCCCAACGTTGGTAAAAATTGGCACATCGATTCCTTCTCTCAGGCTGAGTTGTCCCTCTGGGCCTGCAAGTTGGCTGCATTCTTCCTCCGCCCGGGCGGTTGGTTCATCACCAAGGTCTTCCGATCTAATGATTACAATGCACTCGTCTGGGTTCTGAAGCAGCTTTTCAAAAAAGTCCACGCGACAAAGCCCTCTGCTTCTCGTAACGAGTCCGCCGAAATCTTCGTGGTCTGCCAAGGATATTTGGCTCCGCAGAAAATTGACCCGAAATTCTTCGACATCAAGCACGCGCTCACCCAAATCGAGTCTGATCAGAAAAAAGTGGCTTTCAGAGACTTCGAAAAGATCAAGAAGAGGAAGGCCATCGGTTACGAAGACAATAACGGTCTCCTTTTCAAGAAGGCTTCTTCACAGGCGTTTTTGGAAGCGGATGAGCCTCTAGAATTCCTTGCAGCCATCAATAAAATTGAACTCGAGCCAGCACATGAAAACAACGCGGTTATTGCCAAGGATAAGAAGGTTGACATGACCGAGCTGAAAATTAACATGCAAGATATCAAAGTTCTGAATGTGCGCGAGATCAAAGAACTTCTGAAGTGGCGCACAAAGTTACGCACGGCGCTTGGCATGGAAGATGAAGAAATGGAAGAGGGCGATTCCGAGGAAGAAGAACTTGATTCTGAGGAAGAAGAAGAAAAGAAGATGGAGGAAGAAGCTCTCGAAGTCGCCAAGGGCGAGTTGAAAGACCTCAGACGAAAGAAAAAGAAGAAATTCAAAGGACTCCGTCGTCTCCGCGATTTGCTTTCTAATGCTGTCCATCTCGACGAAGCAGAAGATCAAGAAGTGTTCAAGCTTGTGACACTCAACAAAAATGTCATCGACCAAGATGATGAAGAGTACGCACAAATGGCCGACAAGGTCGCCGATGCTGATGAGCTCGAAAGTGGAGACGAAGATGATCTTCCTGCTAATTTCAACTTCAAGAAAACTCTCGTCAACCTTGATGAAGGGGCTGATGCTGATCAGGAAGACAATGAGCTAATTGAGCATCTGGAAGACAAAAATGTTAAACAGAAGAAACAATCTGCAGCGTGGTTTGGCCAGAGTGAATGGTTCTCTGGTCTTGGTGATGACGAGGACTTGGAGAAGGCGAATCTGAAGGCGATGATGAAGGAGACTGATAAACCGGAAAAAAAAGCCAAGGCGAAAAGCGCGGACGCGATGGAAGTTGATGAAAGCACGGCTCAAAGTAGTAGCTTACAGGAGTTATCAGACGAAGACGAGGACGATTACTCCTCGAGTGATGACTCAGACGATAGCGATGTGGAATTGGCTAAATCTTTGGAACTCAAAGAATTGGAAGACCGAATCGGTGCTTTCCGGGAGAAACGCGATGACAAAGAGTTCAAAAAGAAGCAAAAGGAAGAAAATCGAAAGCGAGAGCAGTTCCCGCTCAATCCGAAAGAACTTGGTGAAAATCTCAATTTGATTTAAAAGTAAATTTGAATTATAGCCCTCGCTACTGAAATGGTAACATCGAAGAAACGAAAGAGAGATCTTGAAGAGATGATGTACGACAAGTTCAGGTAATGATCTTTATTGGTCTGAAGCAGGGAAGTAAACTTACTGTTTTTTACACAATCATGCTAATTTGCTTGTCTTTGTTCTATCCGAACAGCTGTTGTCGATAAGCTGCGGAGCCTCCGTCGATAGCTCGGAGTCTTCGGGCGCCGTAAGCATTCATCATTCTACCTTGCATCCCTGTCGCAAAGTGTCCATCACCAGCGCGTTTTTGAACTTATTTTTTGTTTTTCTTTCCAACAACTTTTGAATACCTGACATGGCGCTGTTTACTCGCTGTGCAACATCTTTTGGCGTGGTCGCCGCCGTTGTCAACGCGAAAAGAGCAGTTATGAAAGTTGAAAATCTCATTTTCTAGTCGCTCTAGTTGAGTTTCAAAATCTCGATGAGCCTATGCTATCAGCGTCGCTTTTATCCGCGTCGGAATTCAAACTAGGCATGAAAGCACTCGCTTGGAAAATGAGTTTTACTTCATTATCATGTTAGGCATTATCATTTAGATGAACCTTCCCCTAGCTATCTTTTTATATTGGGTAAATTGTTTTTAGCTTCAACGACCCTGAAGGCCTTCCAGACTGGTTCACCGTCGATGAAAAGCGCCACAGGAAGCGACGTTTGCCGGAGGTAGATGGAAAGCTTGTCTCTTGGTACGAGGAGAAGCAAAAGGCAGCCAATGCTCGCAATATCAAAAAGGTTGCTGAAGCGAAAGCTCGAAAGAAAAACCGTGAATTGAAGCGTCTGGAGAAGGTATGAATTCAGTCATTGAAAATCAAGTAGATTGAAGCATCGTATTGACATTTGTGTTAAGCTTTAATCTTACTGTATTATTAACAGTCTCTTTCGATTTTTATCGTTTTCGTAGGTCAAGAGGCAAGCAGAAGGTGTTCTCGCACAAGAAGATGTCTCCTCGAGGGAGAAACAGGCTCAGATCAAGAGGATATACGGAAAGGCCTCCCGCGAAAATAAAAAGGAACACATTACTTATGTTCCTATCAAGACTGGCGCCGGCAAGAAAGTATCAAGACCAGCTGGCGTGAAAGGAAAATTCAAGGTTGCTTATTAATTGGACAAACGTCTCTAATCAATATTTCAAGGTTGTGGACAGTAGAATGAAGACTGATATGCGAGGACAGAAGGCATCAGAAAGAAGAGCAGGAAAGAGACCGACTGGTGGAAGAGGTCTTGCTAACAAGAAAGGACATCGATCTGGACGTCGTTAAATAAATTTATTGACAACTGTCTCATATTTTTGTGTCTCGCATTCATTTTTACCCCTCAACAAAAATACAGAAATACTAGAATGGTGGTGAAACAGCAAACAAAGGTTACTATTCGACGATTGCCGCCTGATTTGACCGAAGCTGAGCTCAAAGACATAATAGGCCATCTTCCTCCTCATGATTACTTCAAATTTCATAAAGCGGATCCCTCCCTTGCCCCTGCTCACACAACCCGAGCTTATATTAAGTTCGTTAACTTTGACGACGTAATAGGTATCCTGAAGTAACTATCAAACATATATGAGCGCTACTTTAAGAGTTTCGTGATAACTTTGATGGTCGAATCTTTGAGGATAAGCGTGGAAATGAGTACATGGCGAATGTGGAGCTCGCGATCTCGTCGGTATGAGACTATCAGTCGTTAGGATTACCTTGATTGTAGTTAGTCCCGCGAGGAAAGAAACGAGAGGACCAACGATGCGATACAATCGAAAACGATGAAGATTATCTAGAGTTCAAGGAAGCTTACGAAGCAGATAAACCAGAAGTTCAACAGGTAAACTATTTCCATCTTACTTATATTGAAAGCTCTCTTCTCAAGATAAACATCGAAGAATACCTAAAGGAAGCAGCTGCAAAGGAAGAAGAAAGAAAGAAACCAATGTCGACTCCTCTGATCGACTTCGTTCGGTAAAGCCAGACTAAAACGATCGACTTTATCTTTCGAATTAAAGAGCTAAGAAAAAGACGAAGCGTCGGGACCGCGATGAAAAACGAAAAGAAGAACGTAAAAAGCGTCGTGACGAAGAGCGTCGGCAAAAGCAAAGGGAGAAACGTGAGCGCAATGATCGCAAGAAAAATGTGATTGAAGGGAAGACAGAAGAAAATAAACAATCAGGTCGACAGCCAAGGCAGCAGAGGAATTCAGAAAGCAGACTTGATGGCAACATTGACGACGATAGACCAAAAGAAAGCTCGTCTGGCCCGAAAGGAGGGAGAACAGCGGCGCGAGAAAAGCGCAAGCGCGAATTCGAGGAAAAAAGAAAGGCAAGAATTGCAAAACAGAAGGAGGGAGCTTCAGCGTCAACTTCAGCCGACCCAGCATCCCAGACAGGTAGTTTCTGATCAAACTTAGATTTTTTCGATAATTTATGCGTATAGATTCAAAGCCAGTTGATTCAAAACCTCAACCCAAGCCAGCTCGCGGCGAAGGTCAGTCAAGACGATACTCTCGTCGCAAAGAAGCTAGAGCCTCGGCTAAGCCAGAAAACTCTTGAAAAACAACTGTGATTAAACTATATTTAAAATTTAAATTTTAAATGCTTGTAAAATATTCCTGAATCACGATTTTATTTCTGTAGTTCAAAATGTATTCTTCACCGAGTAAATAAATACTTTTGATTGTTTAGAAAATGCCTCGTAGTCAAAATTCAAAAATAACATCGAAAAAGCACGATGAAAAGAAGATTGTCACATACGTACAGAATGCTGGAATGTTGGAATTAAAGCAGTATCTGAAAAGGCACAAGAACGCTAACCTAAACTTTCGGGTTGATGCTCGTGGTCGTACAGTGCTCCATATAGCTGGTATTCTTGGAGACGATGGAATAATTCGGACTTTGCTTGATTTTGGCGCCGACCCAAAGGTGAACTCTCAGAATGAGCCTCATGTCAAACCAGTTCTAGCTTGTCGATACAAATGGAGACACAGCAGCTCATCTCGCAGCGAAGTGGTGCGCAAGAACTGAGAATTATGCGAACTTCAAGCTCGTAATGACTCCATTCTTCAAAGCGAACCCTGCACTCGCCTATTTGAAAAACAATGATAACGAGTCGCCTCAAGATCTGCTCAATGCGGGTAAATTGAAAGCAGAGAAAGCTGCACAAGAAATGAAGGAAGCAGAAGATCAAAGAGAGGAAGTCTTAGCTGCAAGAGAGAAGAAGGCAAAGGAAGATGCAGAATTTAAAATGAAAGAATTGGAATTCGCGGAGAAGTTGCAGAATGCCAATGACGAGGATAACGCCGGTGAAGACATTTTATTCCAACAAACAGAATGGCTCAAAGAAGAAATAAAAGGTAATCTCAAGTCTCTTCAATGGCAAGTCTTCACACTTATTTTCCAGAAACTTTCGACGATTGGGCCGACCGAATCGCTCGTGAATACGCCGAGAAAAGAGAACGCTTTAACCGGCAGAATATTTCCGGAGCGGGCTCCAAACGAACTGCCACGGGTGGTATTGGCGCCAATAAGAGAGGAAAAGAAGGAAGAAGGAACAGAAAAGAACGCGAGAGACTTGAGTATATCGACCACAAGAAACGACGAGTTGACAATTACATTAGGGCGCAGGTAAAAAGAGTTTTATTTTTCAAGTGCATTCATTTCAAATTAGGAAGCTGCAAAAGAAGAAAAGAAAATCAAACAGAAAGAAGACTACACTCAGAAAGTGGAGGCTATGCGAAAGGGTGAAGACATTCTCGCTTATCAAGATATTCCCTGGCCATGCGACGGGACGATTCAAGGTATTAAAGCTCAACGAACGAGAATACTAAAATTCAATTTAGATATGGTCGAAGTTATGCTTGCTGATGCCCCGCTTACTGAGCCACAAAAGTATAGAAAGATTATCCATCGACAGCAGCTTATTTGGCATCCTGATAAATTTGCGCAGAGAACTGGCGGGCGACTGGAACCGAAAGACAAAGACAAAATTCTCATTACTGTTCAGCACTTATCCCAAGCTCTCAATAAGGCTCTGGAGAAATGTGACTACGCATAAATCTGCAACGATAAATTGGTATAAAATTTTAATGAAGTGTGTTAAGAATGTTTAACAAACCGAAATCGAAAAGAAATTTTCGTAAAAGACGAGTAGAAGACAACGAAGAGGACACAGATGACAAAAATAACGAACCTTCCGAAGTTGAAAATGGCCTCGAATTAGCAAAATTAAAGCGAGAATTCAAGAAGAAAACTGCCGGTGTTAACGCAGAGTCTCTCGCAAAAGGGACAAAAACGCCCCGATTCGAAGATCCAAATGATCCATACAAAATGAAATCTGGCGGAGGACTCACCCAAGTAAGAGAAAAACGATTGGGCGCAAACGAAAAAGATGTTACTCAAATATCGTCAACGTTCAAGACGGAGAAGAAAATTCGAGATGAGGAAGAGGAAATGAACAAGTTTATCGAATCGGAAATCCTGAAGAGAAGAGGGGTAGAATCCGCGACGAAGGAAGCAATGAATCAAAACTTGCGATTGGAAGATATTGTTGACCCTAAGGTAGGTCCTTCTTTATCTATCATTTTCGACTGAAACTTGATTTTCAGTTCCTCTACGAAATCCCTGAAAAATATCGAGCAACTTCAAAGCATCTGCGCGAGGATGGCTTGCTCTCCGCTCAGATGCTAACAGGAATACCAGAAGTGGATCTCGGCGTGAGCAATAAACTCCAAAACATCGAGCGCACCGAGGCGGCGAAAAGACTTCTCGGTAAAACTTCAGAGTATCTTTGACATTTGTGACTTATCAATTTACTTCTAGTGGATAAGTTTATCAAAGACGAAAAAGAAGCCTCCTCGGACAAGTCTCTTGAGAGGTCGTATGCGAGAGACGCAGCTGTCAACCGCGGTGGGAACGAATTCACTGATCAGTTCTACTCGCAACACATGCGCTTCTACAAAGGGGTTCGTTGCCAAAAATAAAGCAACCGCTTTATATTCGTTTAGGAAGAAGTGGAAACAGATGCTGTCAAGAAAATTAGAACGCAGACAGGAGAATGGAAATCGAAAACAAGAGAGGGCGTGTACGGCGAGGAGAAGGTCGTTGGAGGGGTTCATGGAGGCGACAGGGTCAGTTCCTTTTTCGTTGCCATTTTTTATCGATTTCAGAACGCGGACGAACCAGTTAGCGAGGTCGACAAAGAGATTTACAAACGATTCCGACTCACAGAAGGCGCAGACGTTGAGCGATCCGTCGATACTACTGGCCATAGGATATGAACGTCGCTTTGTATTCTTTCTGTTTCCCATATCTTCTGCAATAATCATCAATTTATACTGCTTTTTGAAAATAAAGGATACCTTGGAAACTGGCATTGATTGTTTATAAAAATCTTTTGTTGTGGCTCGATCGAAGCCTCCTTAGCTCAGTGGTTAGAGCACTGGTCTTGTAAACCAGGGGTCGGTGGTTCGATTCCGCTAGGAGGCATTCGTTTTGATTTTCAGCGCTTTTGGAACTTAATCTGCCCCAGAATTAAAGGTTAACCGGACCGCGTTTCGTCGGCTTACTTCTGTGAGCCCCCTGTGCCGGAATTTCTTCAAAAAATCACCTTTGGTCATAAAATCAAATTAATTTTTTTTATTGCTCTGTTTGTTGAAACTTCTTACGTGCAAGCATTCTTGGGCGTGACAATGGAAAGTCTAAGGTCGTAGCTGTGTCGTGATCCGTTTCACGTTTTTCTCCATAATGCAAATTTGAGATTATTTGAGTCGACCGATTGTCTCCTCAAAGGAGCTTTATCTTATTCTTATGGAAAATCAAAAAAGCCGCAGTCGGCTTCAGTTTCGCCAAGGGAATACACAAAGGTCCACTTGTTGGTGATGGGCCTACCGCAGAGAGATACTCGAGATTTGGAACTTTTGCGCAAGCTTGAGCGGAACAAACTTGACCAATCGCCCCCGATTATTAAAGGTTCACATTTGAGCCTTTTTGGATTATATGTAGCCTCTAGATTGGGGAAGCTTTACGAAACAAGCAACGCATGTTTCAATTTTGAAACTTGGCAAAAAGCTAAATGATTCCTTCCGATCTGAACTCGAGGAAGAGCACAAACGAGATATCGAGCTGCTAGAGGAGCGCTACAGGTAGATAACCTCAAGTTAAGGTCCTCCCGTTTTTTTAATTTGCAGGATATTGCGGAAGAAAGACCAGGAGGACAGCAAGAATGAGATTAATGCTGCGTACATTGCACAAGAAACTAAGTTTGAAGAAAGAGCCGCCGGAATTCGACTTGAGTGTGAGCAAGAAATGCAAAAGCTTCGAAACAGCTTGCAAGGTTTTTGTCTCCTCAAATTTCGATAAATAGCGAGTCCTTAGAGCAAATCGCCAACGCAGTCGATGCCAAGACTTCGCAGTTCCAAATCGAACTCGATCTGAAACTAAAAGAACAAAAAGAAATTAGCGGTAAAGAATTCGAAAAGGAAAGAGAACGAATCAAATACGAGCAGCTGGAGCTACACAAAGAAACACTTCAGCTTATGAAAAGCGAGAACATGTCAAAAATGGTATTATTATTCCAGTTCACCGCAAGCTTAAGATTTGTTCAGAGTAATTTCCTCGGGATGATTCGCCGAACAAAAACAGACATAGATCTTCTAAAACATCAAAGTCAAAAAGACAGAAAAGTTTTCAAAGCGCACATTCAGGATGCAGCAGAAAACGCCCGCGAAAAATTCCAAGAAGTTTTCTCGTGGCAATCTGCTGACTTTGATGCAGAAAGAAATGAGCATCGGCACAAAGTAAAACAACTCGAAGCAGAACTTGAGAAGTCTCTCAATGAAAACGGTGTGCTCTAATTCACCCGCCTATCTTATTTCATCCTTAGAGCGGATCATTCAAGTTTGCAGATGCCTTGAAGCGGAGCGAGATTCGCTACGAAAATACTACAAAGAATTCGTTCTATTAACTCGACCTGATCTGCTGCAAGAACAGTCAGACTTTGTGTTTCCTTGGAATTACGCTACTGCTAAGAGTTCTTGTGCATCCTCATTGAGTTACAATAAAGAAACTTGACCGGAAATGATTGTATTCGTCTATGCGACATATACTATGTCCTTGCCATTGATACACTATTTTAACGATAATTGTTGAATCATATCGGATGATTGATGCTTCCTTTGTAGATTAGTTTGGCTTATGCGTTGCCATTATGAAGTCCTTGGGCTCGAGGAAGATGCTGACGATGCTCAAATCAAGAAGACGTATAGAAAATTAGCGCTGAAGTTTCACCCGGACAAAAATCAAGGGAATGAGGAAGCAGCAGCAGCACAGTTTCGAGAGGTCCAGACGGCTTATGCGACGCTTTCCGATCCTCAGGTAGTTAATTTTTATTCTATCGTGCTTTGGAAGCGCCTTAAGTGTATTTATTCGTTTTCATAAAGTACAACGTTTAGTAGGAAAGAGCATGGTACGACAAGCACAAAGAAGCGCTTCTGATGAAGTCGGGTGCTTATGAAGACAAAGAAGTTAACCTGGCACCGTATTGCTCTCTTTCATGCTTTCAGGGTTACGGCGACGATGAAAAGGTATTTTGGTCTTATTTTCTGCTTATCAAGTTCGAATGTTCAGGGCTTTTATGCTGTATACCAGAAACTATTCAAAGACTTATCAGAAGAAGATTATACTTTTATGAATGCCGACGACGAAGACTATCCTCAATTTGGTGACAGTGAGACAGATGTCGAGTGGGTTGTCAGCGAATTCTACGGATTTTGGTCGTCGTTTGCGACGAAAAAGTCTTATGTCTGGGAGGAAGAGTGGGACACCAGGTGGAGACTAATATCTGTTATTGCAAATTTTAATTTCGTTTAGAGAAGCACCCAATCGTTGGGTGAAGCGAAAAATGGAGCAAGAGAACAACAAGAAAACGGAACAAGCTCGGAAAGAACGCTCTAAGGAAGTCCAGGCAGTCGTCGATTGGATCCGCCGCAAAGATCCACGAGTTCAAAAATATCGAGAGAAGCTTGCCGATCGCCAAAAAGAGATTGAAGAGAAAGCGGCGAAGAAAAAAGCCGAGAAGCTGCACCAGGACCTACTGAAAGCGGCACAATATGAACAAGAAAACAAGGAGAGAATCCAAGCAGAAGCGGATGAACTGGCTAGACTCGAAAGAGAGCTTTATGGGTCTGAGAGCGAAACGGAATCTTATTACTCAGAGGAACTCGGAGACAACGAAGAGGATTTGATAAACAACATGACCGAAGAACAAAAGGAAAAGATAAGAGAAGAGATGCTGCGTGACGAAGAATTACTCGCCAAGAAGTTGGAGGAAGCGACAGTTTTCCAAGAATCAGAGGAATTACCATCGGAAGAAGAGATTTTTGCACCAAAGTTATCGAAAAAAGCGAAGAAAAAGCTGAAGCAGCGGCAAAAAGAAATGCAAGCACAGCTTAACGAGACAAGTGAGCAAGAAGAAGAGGACACAATCGTTAACGTCGACACGCGCTCTTCCGTCAAGGATGAAGAAGAAACTACACCGAAATCCCCACCAGAAAAGAAACTCTCCGCCAAAGAAAAGAGAAGACTGAGAGAAAAGCAAAGACAAGAAGAGGCTGCAAAACGCAAAGAAGCGGAGAAAGCAAATGAGGTTTGAACGGTCTTCACGAGCTAGAGTTAATGATTACTTAGATTCCTTCATGCAAACTGTGCAAAGAAGAGTTTCCGTCCAGAACACAGCTTTTCAAGCATATTAAAGAGGTATCAGTTTTATGTATTTTATCTTTTAAATATGTGCAGAAATATTCAGCAGGGTCTCTCTTCGGTTTTGTTTTTCTGGTTATATTAAATACTTGTTCCAGTGTACGCTCGTCTCAGACGCGGTTTTAAGTTTGTTAACGCATAAATTATTAAATATAACTTATTCTGGTGTATGGCTCGAGTTATCAGCATAAACAAGCGGTAAACCGCGTCTTAGCGAAGAAGTTCTCAGCGATTGTCTTCTGATTGCCATCTCGCATTTGATTATGTTGGATGGATCGTCAGAGTAGGCACGTTTTAGGGACTCGTCATGAATATTTGATAGTGATGAGTAAGGTGCGGAAAAGTTGGAATTGACAGAGTTCCTCGAGGGCCGTCGTCGAGGATTTAATCCTGGTGCTTGCGACTTCTCCACTCTCATCACGGATTTAACATTTTCTTCGTTGTCTGTGAACGTTTGCTTCCCTAGCAAAATTTTCTCCTGAGAGTTGAAGACGTTTCTGTCCATAAATTTAATATCAAAAAGAATTAAAACTCCTTCTTGAGCTCATTTCTAAATTTCGGTAAGCAGCAGAAATGTATCCAAAAATCGTGAATCGTTGCGAACGACTTCATAATTTGAACAATCGTAACAAGAATCATAATCTTGTAGTTTCTCATCGAGATGACTTCCGGCATCAAATTGAAAATGAATACGATTAGCTCTGGCATGAAAAGAAATAAGCATTTTCCAATTATTGTCATCTCAAGACACTTGATCATCGTCATCTCTTGTTCTGTTATCATTACTTCTTTTTCTTGGTTTTTGAATATTAATTAGAGTTAGGCAACTAAGGAGTCAGAACCAAGGCTGATTGCTGGTCGTCAATTTGCTCCAGGTTTGTTTTGGAGACATTACTCCGGAAAGATGTTCTTTGAAAGTTAGCCCTTATATCTTCGTTTACCTTATCATTTGGATAGGTGGTCCGATGAGGGGTTAATTTTGTTCTAAATGGAATCCTACTGGACACTATTTAACCCGTGTCAATATCCGTTTGAGTGTGTCAGTTTCCTCCGCATGGGCTGAAATTTTGCGGAAGACTGCATCCTTCAATTTCTGTAGCGATATGAAATTGATTAAGAACTCCAAACTAAATGGAATTCCTATACTGATCGTAAAGTACGAAACAACAAAGGCCAAATGAAACTTAACAAGGGTGCGAGCAAAAATCCCTAATGATATATATTTAATCCTTTTTCGCGCCTTCCTTAGGGTGCTCTAACTGAGCACAATAAGTGCACAGCGATGCCGAGAGACAATGAATTTTCATCTTGTAGCCCGAGAATCGTATCGATAAAACATAAGCCATGAAGAAAATAAACCACGAAACAGAAAAGCTAGATTGGAGCATTTTAATTGAAAAGTTTCCCTTTGTTACCAAATGTACGCGTATTGATCGCGCATGCTGGTGAACCTCTTGTATTTCATCGGTTTGTGGATCATTAGGTACTTTTCTATTGAGCCTATGAAGTGAATCTTTAATAGTTTCAGCTTTTTGTTTACGATTTTAATAAGCTTAAATATTTGCGGAGACTTCCATAGTAAAGCTGGGCTTTAGTCGAGAAGAATGCGCAGGTTATAAGGAGGTGCGCTACATTATCGGAAATGTAGCGGACGTTCGTGGAATGGGATGTTAACGCACACAGTATAATCAATACTTTAAACAGAAGCCATAATGAAGATGCTATTGCTGAGCTTTTTGGACTTGATAATGATTGTTGATAATGAATATTAATCTGCCGATTATAAAGTCCTAATCTGACACGAATCGGGGAGCGATTCCTTTTACGAATATGTCTTTTTTTGAATTCTCTATAAAGCAAATATAGGTTACAGCAAAGCGAGCTGGTCGTAAACGGAACCTTTGATAGTTCAATTTATCCTTTGTACTTTTCATCGTTAATTAAATTGACACTTTCATAAAACAATATTTCGGCGTAAATGATTTGTCTCTCATGTTCTTCGCCAGTTTCTTCTGTTCTAAATGGTTTTCAGTGTATTGTGAGAGCTTGATTATACCCTTCGCATTTCAAGCTCAGCATAATAATAGTAGCCTGCCGAAAAAAATAAATGAAATTTAAGAATTTTGAAAACTTCAGTTATGATTTACGAAATCAATAAAATGGATATTGATTCGGCTCTCTTCGAATACTGCCAGTTATATATGGGATTCTTTAGACTCATCTCCATAACCGTCGGTGTTTTAACTAACAGCTGCGATCTACATCTGCGGACTAGCACAATTTTTGTACATCCATCTCTATTTGTGCGTCAAGAACCGCTGGGCTTATTCTAATTCGAATCTTGGGACTTTTACTTACATATCGACTTCCATGGCTCCGACTCTTAAGTTTCTCTTTATGAAGTGACTGGTATAATATTTTTAGACGGGACATGCTGAAATCAAGACAGTGCCTCAGACAAAATCTAAGAAAGGAAAAAAGAAGTAAACTCTCTTTGATGCAGTAAACTGTATACTTTGCTGTTTTCAACGTTTATCCAAGATATTTGTGCGGTGGAAGCAAAAATCCTTCGACATAAGTCGAATTTTATCTGACGTTTGTCTCAGTTACTTATTATTCAGATAAATGGTTCGCTACAAAAATCGGAGCCTGTTGTTGGAATTACGCACACCAGGAAATCAGTACTGTGGAGTTTATCTGACGCCAAACACATTGCGCGAGGCGATTATTAAAGCACTCAGGTACGATCAAGTAAACTTAAAAATATGGCTAACGAGAGCTAGGAATGTCCTTGGGATGAACTCGAGTGCGGTGGAGGGAAATTTAAGAGTGAAATACGTCAATTGCTGGACGAATTTGGCAGTGGTTACGGTTCGAACGCAAGAGCTCGTCAATCTAAGATGTGCTTTGCCGTTTGTGACAGCGCTAGAACATGGCAGCAAGGGATCAAGGTGATATTCGTAAGAAACAAGCGTCCAATATCGGTTTCCCAGGAGTGTAATAATAAAGACGATCAAAGTGTCCGGGACGATTCGGGGATGTCAGAGAGAGATTAAAAACCTTCATTCGTTGGCATTTCTTCGGGCGGGCAACAATGCCGAGCTTCAGCAGAAGGTCAAAGATACTGAGAAGGAAATTGAAGAACGCCTAAATATCGACGATTGAAGAAAAAATCCAGCTTTTTGAAAGGACGCGATAGATTCACCGCCAGTGCTGACTTAATTTTTAGCCTGAAAATAAAGGGACTTTCTTTGTTTTCGAATATGTTTTTCAGTGAGACTCTTCATTTTACAGGACAGCTTAGACTCAGTGAAGTTGTAAAACAAATAGCTCCGAAGGAGTATTCTGGGGTTGCAAATGTTTATCGAAGCCATTATTTTGATATCAACGAAGACAGATAAACGAGTTGACATTGTTTGACGTTTTAGAATGGCGAGTGGGAGCAATGTAGACGCGGCGGTTAGCTCTTTTATGAGGTAAATCTCGATTGAAAATGATAATTTTACGTGGCCTGTGCTAAACATGCCGCCGCATATAAAATTACTATCGACAAAACGCTCATGTGGCGGTATTTAGCGAAATCCGCGAAGTCGAGAAGCGCGATTCCGTTCTTACCAAAGAGCAGCAAATAAAGCGGCTGACGAAGCCTGGCTCTAAGTACGGCAATCTGAACCCGTACGCGGTACTGATGATCAGTTACGATGTTGACCTTGACGCGGCCCGAAAGCAGTTCCGCAAGCTGTCTATTCTCACCCATCCTGATAAAAACCCAGAGCAAAAGGTGATAAAAACTCGATTTACGAGTTTATCTAATTCTGAATCGAATCAAGGAACTGGCGCAACGCGCCTTCGACGCAGTCAAGGCCGCCTGGGAAACCCTTTCGGATCCCGAGAAGCGTGAAACCTGCGAAAACGTGGTCAAAAACGCGAAACGAACGCTCGATGACGAAATCGCTGCTAAGCGCAAAGATATGCGTCAAAAAGGAAAAGCAGTTATTATCCCCGAAGATGATCCCAACGTTTATAAGCAGGAACTTCACAAGAAAACAGTCAAGGTCTGTTTTCAAACGAAAAAAATAACGCGTTCTGTGCTTTTATCGCACGCGCTTGTAAATTTTATTTGATTGAAAAGATCCTTTCGTAATAAGAAGTTGTAGCTATTTGCCGATTTGGAGCGTCTAAAGCACGAAATTGCGAATAGAGAGTCTGAAATGAGAAACAGAGCCGCCGAAGTCGAAAGAGCAGAAGAAAACGAACTGAAGAAAGCTCAAGAATTCAAACGCAACTTTGAGTCGACCAGGCAAAAGCGAACTGACGTAAGTTTTTGATGACTAAAATCAATGAAATCAATTTATTCATGTAGAGCTGGAACTCCTTCCAAAAAGACAAAAAGAAGAAATCGAAGAGCATGCGTGGAACTTTTAAACCGCCTAAACAAAAAATTGAAAAACGCTAAAAACTCTCGACAGATTCGTCTAAAATAGTTCGTTCTCCTGCCATTTTTCACAATAATTAACTTTTTTTTCGGATAATTCAATTTCCGTGGTTAAATTTTGTTTCTAGAGAAGTGATCTCTCTTGTAGAGCTGCTCCTACGTTGAGATGGCCCAAGCGCGTTTTCGACCAATTCCATTGATCCAATAATTAAACTTATAAAACCAAAATCGATAGTGGCAAGCGTAATCAACAATTATTTTTTGATCTCGTCAAGCGCTGCCGGGATTTGCGCTGCACGTTTTCACTCACTCGCGTAGAATAAAAAATTCAGACCATAATGCAAAAATAATGATGCTCCTGGATTTTTGAATTATTAGCAGAGTATGTGTTGTGAAGTGTCCTAAAGGAACTTTCACTGTCACTGTTCAGAATGCCCCTTGTGCACCTGGCCGATGGGCCGCTCTCGGCGGCCGGCCCCTCGACAGAGATAAAGCTTGACGATCTCGACGAGGTCGACGGCTTCTGTCGGGGCGAGAGTGAAGTCGAGATCCACAAGCTCGAGCAGCGCCAAGAGAAAATGGACCCGTCACACTTCGAATTGCTGAAAGTGCTTGGCCAAGGCTCCTTCGGAAAAGTTTTTCTCGTCAAAAAGAGGACGGGCAGGGATGCAAAGAAGATCTACGCGATGAAGGTGCTCAAGAAAGCATCGCTCAAAATACGAGATAGAGAGCGAACGAAATTAGAGAGAAATATCTTAGCAGAAGTCCGCCACCCATTCATTGTCGAGCTATATTACGCCATGCAGACGGATGGAAAGCTTTACCTTGTTTTGGAGTTCGTCAAGGGAGGCGATCTTTTCACCAAGCTATCCAGGTACCGCAGAAATATTATAAATGACCAAATTGTATTTTTTTCATCAGGGATTATATGTTCTCAGAACAAGACGCGCAGTTCTACCTTGCTGAGCTGGCCTCCGCTCTATCCCACTTGCATTCTCTTGGCATTATCTATCGCGATTTGAAGCCCGAAAACATCCTTCTAGCGGGCGATGGGCACGTCAAGCTCACCGACTTTGGCTTATCGAAGGAATACTTTGAGGACGCAGAAAAGGCTGAAAGTTTCTGCGGAACAGTCGAGTAAGTCCATCCTCCGGTAGAAATAAACAACAAGTCGAAGAGAAACAATTTCATCTCATAACATGCTTCTTAGATACATGGCACCGGAAGTTGTCAGCCGAAAAGGGCATGATCATGTCTGCGATTGGTGGTCCTACGCGGTCCTCATGTATGAAATGCTAACAGGTACTTTTAAAAAAATGTCCGTCAGTCCAGTCATTCTTTTAGGAAAGCTTCCGTTCCAGGGAAGAGACCGACGAGAGACCATGAATCAGATCTTGAAAGCAAAGTTGTCTATGCCTAATTTCTTGAAGCCAGACTCACAGCTATTACTACGCGATCTATTCAAACGAAACCCCAAGAACCGACTTGGATCTGGCCCTGATGGTCCTGAGAGACTCAAGGAAAGGTTAATTCATACTCTTTTGTGCTAAAAAAATTAAAGATTCCATCCACATTTATATATATTTGCAGCGTTGTTTAAAGCAAATACACATTTAGTAACCAGTAAAAGCGCCATGTATTCTTCAAGGGAATCGACTGGAATGCCCTTATTCGAAAAGATGTGAAGCCACCATTTGTCCCGATTCTTTCCGGTGGGGATAGGGATGAAACTGACACGCATTGGTTCGATAACGAGTTTACGCGCAGGACACCAAGAGACTCTCCCGCAGTTCCAGCGTCTGCTGGTGCCAACAGACTCTTCCGGGGTTTCAGGAAAGCGTGAAAAATCAAAACGGTTACCGTTGATGGGACTCGAACCCACAATCCTTGGCTTAGGAGGCCAATGCCTTATCCATTAGGCCACAACGGCTTGAGGACACTGCCCGACACTAGTCAAGTTAAAAACCGGGATTTCTTATTACGCCATGAAAGCTTCAACCGAGGCACAGGCGTAGCTAGCCACAACGATGAGCCAGAGGTGCAAATGGAATCAAAGTTCCGCAACGAAGTTCCAGACGGTTTTTTCCTAACAAACGTGCCCTACGATGGACACCAGGACAAAACATTCCATACACAATTTGAAATGCTGGACTCGATCGGAAAAGGAAGCGCATCGGAGGTCTTCAAGTGCCAGCATAAGCAAACAAAGAAGCTTTATGCTGTCAAAGGAAAACGTTTAATTAAACGATAACAATCAAAACTTGCGAGCATTGATAACATTTATTCAAACGTCTCAAGTGTCGAAGAAAGTTTCCTCTGGGCTGCAAAACGAAGGAATGCGCGACGATGAGATTCAAATTCTCCTTCGGTTTGGACAACATCCAAATATCATTACTGTGAAGGATATTTTCATCGAAAAAGAGACAAAGGACACGTTCACTGTGTATCTCGTCACGGAATTGATGACTGGTGGCGAGCTGTTCCACAAAATCCTTCGCCAGAAGCAGTTTTCAGAAAGAGAGGCATCCGCTGTAATGAAAACGATCACTCAAACGCTTGCGTACTTGCATAAATCGCATATTGCTCACAGGTTTATTTTTTTTCTTCTGTCCTTCGATAATGTCTATCGGTTAATATTTAGAGATCTCAAGCCCTCAAACATTTTGTATGCGGATGAAAGTGGCGACGCAAGCACAGTACGAATCGTCGATTTTGGATTCGCCAAACAGGTAGGCGAATCCTATCGAAAAACATTGAATAGGCATTTCTTTAGTTGCGTCATGAAAATGGCATGCTCATGACTCCACATTTTACGAAGAACTTCGTCGCACCTGAAGTGCTATCCAAAAACAGCTATGATGTCTCGTGCGACATCTGGTCCCTTGGGTGTATAATGTAAGCGACTATCAATTGAGTTTCAAAATAAAGCCATTTTTACAGGTACACTATGCTCGGCGGCATACCCCCGTATGATATTAACGAGGGCGACTCGGAAGAAGCCGTCTTGAAGAAACTATCCGAAAGCGACCTGCGACTGTCAGGCGGAAACTGGAATCATATTTCCGCGTCTGCCAAGGATCTCATCCAGCAAATGCTCTCGCTTGACGTCAAACAGAGACCAAGTGCAGAACAAGGTACTTCTTTTTAATGAGAAATCAGAAGGCCATCCTTTCTTCAGTACTGGAGCACGAGTGGATCCGAAACGGGCACAACCTCTCTAACTCGAACATTCTCACTGCTCTTGCGGACCCACTTTCCGCGAACAGGTTGATTGGCCAGTCCATTGGAATCATCTCCCAGGCCAGAGGGGACAAAGCAAACTTGTCCCTAAAAACACCAGCTGCATCCGGTAAGTCATTCACATGCATTTCTTCCACTCACATTTACGCCAAAGGACATTAGAACTACTTTTATTATGGTAAAACTTAATAGAAAGATCGACAAGCAAATCTTGCCGATTTTACTTGTAACCTTGTAAAATGAATATATCTCTGTCTATAGAATTTTTCTACTCGTATTTATCTGTTTCTTTTTTTGAAATTGTATTTCAGGGCTCTTCCTCCGACGAAAAAAGAAGGAGAGAGGCTAAGACACGCGCCTCCTGTATTTAATACTGTAAATAAATCCTTCTGATCAACTATTTTCAAAATGTTTCCCGCACTTATGTTTTCTAACCGGTTAACTGCCTAAGATATGTTATAGTAATAACTATTAGTAATAACCTATTCAATATGCAGCATCATTCAGCACCAACGGCCAATGTCTTCACAAACATTGAATTGACTTCGTTCAAATGTCAATCTCATCTTCAACTGTGTTAAAAAAACCTTTTCTATCTTCATTCATTTTCGGATCACCTTCATTCTCTCCCTAGAAGCATTATATGTTCAAGGCCCATGCGGCATGCCGATGACACTATTCTTTTTTTTTGCGTCTTATGATGATATTTCTTTCTTTCTTTAGTTTTCTTTATTCACCCAAACCGCAATATATCCTTGGAAATGGTTTTAAACGAATCAAACTTGTGAACATTCTGACTACTTTCACTTCAATCAAAAAATGCCCTTTCAAAAATTAAACTTCTTCTCGCTCTGATTTTTAAATCAAATTATTTTTATTGTTTATTACTTCATAATAGCTTTAGATAATCAGACAGAAGATGGCGATGTCAAGTTATTTTCAATGCTGACAGGGATCTTGATTTGTTAAAATTCACCGAGAACCAGTGCTTTCGAGGTGTCTAGCTTTTGAAGCCGTCTTTTTCGTGAAGCTATTCGTGCACGATGGAGGATAACGTTGTAGCTTATGTCGAAGTCTATCGTAGCATCGATGCAAGGGGAAACAGCATCTGCTGAAGCCTTGATAGCTTTGGAGGATGGAAAGGAAATCTTTGTTGACAAAGTTCTTTGGCGGGATTTGGAGACCTTCATTTTTTTGAGGAGTTTCTTTCCCGCGGAAATTTTCTCAGATAGGCTTGAGAGAGCGGAAGTTTTTGTCATTTTCCGATGTTTTAATTTGAATTTTGTTTCTGAATGAACTCCAGCAGGAAGCTATTTATTCACTAGAGCAGGTGTGCGCAAGGACTTCGCCACCATATGGATCCTTTTAGATGGACGACTTCGATGCTATCTCAAATATCCGCTTATCTCTTTATCGCACAGCTTGCTTCATTTGGACTTCTGCATACAGTAGATCAGTAGATAGTCCTAGAAATATCCTTCCCCAACGGAAGCCAACCGTAAAATTTTACTAAAGAATCATGACTCGTGAGTGCTTCTTTTTTTTCTAATGCGGATCCTTAAAAAGCTATACTTTTGTCCTGATGTTGGCAGCGATTTACATTACAGCCGAACCTTGGATTCCGGATGATTTCAAGCTCCTGTCCGTTGTCAGCGATCGCTCCAACCTAACCAAATACCTCTTCGTGCTCTACTTTCTTCCAGAACTTAGCTGGGACTGGGTAGGCTACGAGCTTTCAGACCGTTCTGATATTTACAAAGGTAGAAAACTTCCAACTAATTGCTCTTTTTCTTACTCTTCTTCAGCTTTCTTCTACTTGAGTCGACTTTTATCCTGCGCGATTGGAGCCATCTCCTCGCTTGATTTTCTTCACAAAATAACTTCAAAGAACATCCCTATCATCAGCAGTGTCCAAGTTGTAGCTATTCTATCTACCATAGGTGTGATCTACTTCGCACTCAAGTTGACAAATGCAAGTACGTACGATTCTACATCAGTTTTCATCATGATTATTCAATACTCATTACCAGGGCTGGTAAATTCGCGTCCTAAATTCTGTCGAAAATTTTTAGTGCGCTAAAATTAGTGCGCGAATTTATTTTGTCGAGACTTTTAGCGACTTTCGCGTGCCTTTCGCGTGTGTCTCGAAAACTGTCGAAAATAAGGGCTGCTGATTGGCCCGCCAATGAGCGCGGGCTCTTTAATTCTGAAGACTACGTAAGTTTGAGAATTTCAAACTTCGTCTGAACTAGACTCTGAACTAGAATTTCAAAAAGTTTGGTTTCAATAAAGTGGATAGGGTAATAGAGGGCGTGAATTTCTAATATGAAGTCAAAAAAGACTTTATCAATCCATTTGTCCCTTCTAAAATATCAAATAAATATGATTCTGTGAATAGAGAATTATATAAAGATGCTCAGAAGAGCTCTTAGACCTCGAAGTAGAACGTATCTGTCAAGGCTGCTCTAGCTTCCTTGAGGACAGCGATGAGAAGTTGTCGGACGACGACAAGAAGAAGAAAGGCAAAAAATTAAGAAAATTAATGAAGCAGGAAGATCCAGCTGCGGATGGCCCAGCGATAAAAAAATAGGAGAAGACCTCCCTAACAGAGCTTATCTTAGCTCATCATTTAAATGCTTGACAGAGAGAATTTCAAACAAAAGTTGACTTTTATTCTTTTCAACTTATTTGTTACTAAATAAGAAATTTTTTTAAAATTAAATTGTGTCATATTTACGATGCATTGATGATTGAAAGTTTCAATTTGAAACTGCGAAAAAGTTTCAGTTTGAAGAAATTCTTCCCTGATCAAAATCGTCTTCCATGAGACTGTCATCCGGGAAGAGCCTATTGGATAATGAAAAGAGCCTCTTTTTTCGCGTCTTTAGCGCTGATCAGCTCTCGAAAAGACGCGAAAATTTCCGAGAGGAAAAATTAGTGTCATTTTAGCGCACTAAAGACGCGAAAGACGCAAAAATGACTCGAAAAAAAAATTAGTGCGCTAATTTTTTTCTCTTCGAGAGAAAATAGTGCGCTAATTTACCAGCCCTGCTCATTACTTTTTATTAGGAGCCGGCCGCGCTGTCGTCAACCGAGTCAGTGATCCTTCCTCTCGCCTTATTCTCTTCGATGGATGTTTCCAATTTCTCTTTGCCGTAAGAAGCTTCAAAATAAGCATTTTAGAATTAATGATCCTATAGATTGGTCTCTTGTTCTTCACTGGTGACCTTCCATCCCTCTTTGCAGCAACGAACAAAGTCGGTCGACTCGATCTTCTTTTGAGCCGTCTTGTCGCTGGCTCCTCTCTTGGCCTCTCCATTTTCAATTTCGCGTCCGTTGGACTCCCGGAAGATGAAGCTAATATTCTCATAACGTACTGCCAACTTTAGTTTCGCTAATATATTTTTATATTTCAGCGCTCGAAAAGTACAGTACACTTTTACTTGTGCTTTCATGTTCGCTATGAGCGCCGCTAACTGGTTTTCGCCGCTTCACACCGCTATCGTTGCTCTCTACATTTGTCAGCTGGTGCACATTCTGCTTCCTGCCGTATGTCATCCACAGTGATTCAAACTTAACTCGGTTTAGGCCAACGCCGAAATCGCCGACAAATGAATCTGACACCACCAGACGGGTCGACCGTACTTCACACCCATTCCTTTCTTTGGCAGAAGAGACCTCAATCTCCCGCATTTCGTATTGTACTGTTTTGATAACCTTGCTTCATCCTTCCCCCGCTCTTATTGAAAAAACAAATTCTACGCTTTTTTTACGTGTTCTAATTTTAACGCACATTTTTACCGATCAAAACTGTCGCATACTATCCACTGCATGTTCCATGATAATCCCTTCAAATCTTCAAATCTTCCTGTTTTCCGAAATCATTGAAAATCGTCGTCAATCAAATATGATCAGAAATAATTTCAGAAATGATCACAGAAGAAGAAATAATCAAAGAAGGAGAACGAATCATCGCAGAGTTCGGAGAATACGCTCGAGAATTCAGCCTCAAAGACAGCTTCTATCATGGAAAGTTCGGACGGTATGCCTTTTTTAACTTTTGGTTATTTGAGAAAAAACTTCAGATGTTTGCGCTTTTACGTAAAAACTCTCGAAGAGCAGGAATACAGACTTCTTTTCCACCGAAATGGTGTTTTATGTCTCACAAATTCAATGCATTTTGAAAGCTTTGAGCAGTTCTTCAATTCCCTCTCCCCTGCTTTTCGCGACCTTTTCGGCCGAAAATTACAAGACAAACTTCAAAACTTAGTGATTAAATGAAACGTGTCTCTGATGTGTTGCCTTATACAACGAAAACTTGCCAACTGCGGATACAGTCTGAGTGAAATTACCTTTTAAATCCAACATATGTATTCTAACAGCCTAGTTCTAATGTTGTTTCATTATAGTTTGCGAGAATGAGTATGAATTTGGAGGAATTCGCGAAGATCATAGCAAGAAATGCCAATAATCAGTTTTTGAAAGGCATAAATCTTGTTGGATTCGAGAATCAATTGCTGATTGCTGAGGCTAAAAATCAGTTCAACGAAGCAGAAATTTCGTTTGATGAGGGGAGCAAGCCTTCTGAAGCTACCTACGAAGAATGGCAAACGTTTCTGGTTTTCGGTTGCTTAAAAACTCTCTCTTGAATTCTTTAGTTCAACCAATGGCAACCTCTGAGAAGGCGATTCCCACAGCTCTGGAATAAGAGACTCAAGATGCAGGAAAACTTTGACGAGTATTTGGGGAACTGTGAAGAAGACGGCAGCGCCAACTGGCCATTTAAACGTTTGTTAACAGTAACTCATGGACTGAGGATTGACTTTCGTTAGTGAATCCCGAACGAGAGGTCTACATCTTCAATCCAAAAAAGTTTCCGCCTTCTTTCACGTCTGATTTCTTGGAGATCACCTTCACTCCAAACAAAGAGAGCTTCATTCCGAGAGACAAATTTACCCCGAATGTTATGCAGCGCAGTGTTCTGAGCACAGTGGAGTGGTCTATGCATTTCGAACCTTGGGTGTCCAAAGTAAAGGACAAAGAAGAAGCTAAGAAGATATTTGACAATTTTAACAACAGTTTCGTGAAAACACTCATTTCTAAAAACGTAGATTGACAGACAGAGTGTTTTTCAACCGAAAGACTAGAGATCGGGATACAGACGAGGTCCTGATGCGGCGAGAACTTATCCATGATGTATTTGCGGGAATTAAGGGGAGACGTTTCGAGAAGGCAAAAAGCAGGAAGCTCCGAAAAAAGCTAGCTGAGGCATATTTGCAGAATAAACAAAGAAAACAGATCTGCAACCGATTCGAACACAGGTTGTTATTTTATTTTAACTATGAGCTTATAAAATTTTTAGCGCGACGATAAATGATCCCGTAGAGCATAAGGCTTTGCCAGTGGTTAACCGGTGAGTTTATTTCTTTCCTCGTTTTGAGTAATCTTTGTGAATTTGAAGGTCTTACCAGCGGGGACAACGAGGAAAGTTTTCCGCATACAGTCACCAGCGTCGCTTCGAGAGAAACCAACTCGATAAGAACATCAGAGAGCAAGTCCGGGAGCACGAAAAGAAGAAAACAGTGAAACTTTCCCAGGACAAGCTTGATAAAATGCAGGCTTATCAACGAAAAATCCAATCACAGAGGCACAGATAACTCGTCCATGCCATATTGCCTTCTTTCACTGCGAAAACTAATTCACTGTCAAAAAAATAGTCACCTTTTATCAAATTTCATTCCTCAACGATGTTCGAGAATTATTTAGCTATATTTTGATAATTTCAATAAAAAACAACACTTTCATAAATATAAAAAATCGACTTGGATCAAACTGAAGCCCATGTCGTCTAACACAGGTTTCTTTCTCCAAATATTTTACGTTCTTTAGTGAGGAATTCTATTTGAGTACTTGCATCAAAATATTCTAGCACAGGGAAATTTGCAGGGGACAGTTTTGAAGTCACGGTCGTATGAGCTGCGGCGGTGTAGAAAGTTGAACGTGGAGTGGTGTGAAGTGGAGTCGAATTCGAAGAACCTGTAACAGCTTCAGTTAAATGTTGTGATAAGCAGAATACTTCAAAGCAATTTCCTTAGTCTAAGGAAATTCATCTCTTACCGCGGTCCGTTCTCTTGGAACCCATTGGAGCGGTTATTTTAACATCCAATCGAGTCAATAATCATGAGCAAGTAATAGACGCACGATAGAATTCTTGAAAACTTCAGCAGAGTTAATCCTTTAGCTTCAGTTTCTCCCTCAGACAGATCCGTCGGGCGCTTTTTGGTTTTATCTGTGGTTGATTTTGGCTCTCCATTTTCTGGAAAGAATTTTCTCAGTTTTATCTATTAAATTAATTATTTGTTACCGCTTTGGTTGTTATTAAATGATCGAGCAGTCGTAATGTCATCTTTGATGTTTGCCATGTACTTATTCACGTCCGAACAGAGAATTTTTCTCCAGCGTCCTTTCATTCCGATTCCTTCTCGTAAAAATCCCTCAAATCGATGGGGACCCAATAGCAACCGTAATCCGAGAATCTTTTGATACATGTTTAAGCGATTTCATTATCAATGTCACTATTCCAAGTAAGTTAAAAATGTACACTTGCCTGCTGAATAGTTCTAATTGACTTTGCATAAAATCGTTCAGCATAGATTTTCCCGATTCCAGTTAGGTTCCGAATGTCAGAACTTCCGCATATTGTAGAGAACCTCTTTCTCGTCATATTTTTTCTATGATCGGTTATCGCTATTCAAAACAACCGTTGAAAAATGAAACCCCCGTGAACTTTTGACCTTGCCGATTACTATCAGAAAAATCACAAAATTCGCGTCACTTGCGGTTTTTTCGCCATCGCAGAAACGCAAAAGTAAAGTAAGAGAGAATGGCTGAGAGCTCCCTAGAGTGGCTGGAACGAGAAATTGATACCTTAAGGAAGCTTAGGGATGGGATTGCTGAACTTGCTCGCGATCTGAATTCGAGAACAACTTCCAGTCAACAAGATGAGCAAGTGACAAATGAGCGTCCCGACCCTCTTCAACAAGAGCGTTCAAAGGCTGATCCTGAAGTCATCATCATCAGCGACTCTGAGGATTCTTCAGATGTTATAGAAGTTCCTCTCAGAAAACTTGAACTGCAGACAATGGTGGACGAGGGCGATGATACTGATTTAGGTACGCACGAACTCACATTTTTTTCTTATCTCATTTTAGTCGTTACTGGCGTCAAAGAAGGCGAAATATTTTCGCATCATCGGCAGAATTGTCCGACTCATGCGTTCAAGGAGATTTATGGAAATCTCTCTCATGGATCGAACAATATCGCCTGCGACAAATGCTTCTGCCATGTTTGCGATGTAAAATGGAGCAACTGCCTATACTGGACAAACTCAAATGCTCCACATTGTAATGCTTGGCGCCAGAGTTATCACTGGAAAGCATATAAAACGAAGTGGAAGTCCCGGAAAAGCTTGCTTTCTCCAAAAAGCCTCGAAAAAATTTCACTGTAACAATCGCGTTTAAAAATAAGTCACTTAATTTTCACTGTTCACAATACACTTATTACTGCCATCATTTTAATACTTATATACTCAGTTAATTTGCAGATCTGTTTGCAGACTTTTCAAACAAAATATTTTAACTGTCTTTGTTAAAAATGAAAAATCGTTGTGCACCTGCAGAATTTATTTACTGATACGAATGAAAAACAACTAGTTTACAGGACAGAATTATTTACAACATTAGTTCATAATCATTTAAAAACTCAAAAATCTTTGAAGACTGATTATTTCATTTACCGAGTATTTCAAGCGTTTGCCCCGAGAAAATTTGAAAAAAGTAGCAGCTGCAGGGGGAATTCAATGTAATTTTACAATGTCTGCGAATGTCAGATTATCCCTGATATGATTATCTCTTCGCTGATTTCTTCCATTCACGACCATATTTCCCGCATGAAGTCAAACTGCTCACCTATCTCCATTATGGCGGAGAACTTCCGGGTTATTGTGGAGGACCGAAAATGAGTAAATTTTATAAGATTGGTAGCCCTTAAAAGGGCTTGTTTTGAACATGAAGGTATCATGTTTAATTTTTGGGGTCAGCAGAAGATGGTCTTGGAAGAAGGCTAGGATGGATGATTGGTTGAGTTCCACCCTGGGCGATCGTAACACGTCCAACGAATTTATGCAAGTCAACGTCGTCCGAGATGGCGAGCTGGATAAAGCGGGGTTTGATCGTCTTCTTCTTTTCCTGGTGCGCAACTTCACCGGCGAGATCGAGCACTTCGGCACAGAGATACTCGAGAACAGCGGCCATGTAGACAGGAGCCCCGATGGAGACCTTCTTGTTCGGATTCATCGCTCTCATCCTGCGCTTGATTCTGTGAACAGGAAGGGCTACACCAGCTTGCTTCTGAATATCCTTGGGCTTGCGTCCTGTTCGCATCGCTCGCATCTTGTCCATCTTCGCCTTTGCTTCGGCCGACCCCTTGACGAAACTCTCAGGAGACTTGAAAGTATCTTTCTTCGTCTTCTTCGATGAAGTCATCTTGAGTCTTTTCTTCCGTTTGTTTTGAAAAAAATTCCCAGATAATTTATCTGGGCTGAAATTTTTCGAATGATGAATTCTGGAGTTGAGGCGCCTTTTTATGTCCTCAGCTGGGAAGAACAGTGAGAAAGAGCTCAATAGCGCCATCTCTTGGAATGATTACTCGGTCATCGTTGATAACAGTTCGCGAAGTGTCGATCGAAAAAACGATGAGTCGGCGTAAATCCCTTTCGCAGCGCCGATTTGGCAACTTTTAAGTTGTCTCCCACACGGGTCGCCCGGTTTTGAAATCACCTTTTGAGGTGGCGCTATCTTCCCTTTTCTTGCGTTCTTCTCAGCTGATCGCATAAAAAGGCCGATCAGCCTAAAATTCCATCATTCCGAAAATTGGCAAAATAGACAAAACTAAACACCGATTTCAAAATACAGATGGCAGCAAAGCGAGAAATAAAAGGCTCAAAGGGCTCCAATATTCGACGAAGGAACTCGGAAAGGAACCCTCTCAATGTGTCCAAGGCGACGAAAAACAAGGAGAACTTCTCCTACTTCATTCACAAGGTTTTGAAGCAGGCCCACCCGAACATAAGCATTTCAAGCCGAGCGATGATCATTATGAACAGTTTCGTCAACGATCTCTTCGAACGCCTCGCCACTGAAGCGTCTCGACTCGCCAAGATGAATAAACGATCGACAATTTCTTCTCGAGAAATTCACACAGCAACTCGTCTTCTCATCCCTGGAGAACTCGCCAAACACGCGATTTCCGAGGGAACAAAAGCTGTCACCAAATACAACAGCTCACTTTAACTGCACTGTCACAGTGTCACTGTGGTTAAAATTTTTAACTTAAAAAGGCATTAACTCGTTCTGAACGGGTTACGGTCTCAAGGCCCTTTTTAGGGCCAAAATCACGCCAAGTTTACGAAATAGGACAAAGGATCTCTTTTTCAAGGAACTAAAAACAGTTGCTTCATGCCTTCTCAAACTCTTCCCAAACAGTCTCCTACTGAGTTAGGCACTTCGATCTTATAACCCGCTCTATCCGGCTATTTTTAACACCACGCAATTATTTATAAACGACAATCTCTTACCCCCTTCTACGTTCAAGCCTTAACTCTAACTCTCTACGGCTACTTTTTCTACTAAAAAACCAGTCGAATTTTCGTATTAAATATGAATTTTATTTTATGAACAGATTAGTTGAGGAGACAAGACTCATATGTAGGTACCATGTACTTGATATTGATAAAAGCGTCTGGTCCACCGTGTTTCTCGAATGCTTCAAGGGTCTCTTGGATCAGTTCGCTGAATAAATTGTTGATTTGAAAAGCTAGACTCGATGGATAGTCACCCGATGTTTTCTCTCTTCTGCTGAGAGTAGTCGATTCCATCCCCGCTGTTCAAGTTCATGTTTTTGAAGATGTTCAGGATAGGGAGGATCTGTCTGTAGTAAGGGACCAGCGCTTCGCCAACAATATCGGCGGATACGACCAAGTGCTGGAGCACCTTAAATCCTCGTTGATTTCAATCGATTTCTATGTTTGGGTTTACCTTCAACGTCGTGCAGATAGTGGGCCGACATCGAGTGTTGAGAGCGTTTTTGATTGGGATAATCAGCTGTGGAATAACTGGGAGAATTTTGGATCCACCGTGTTCCAACATATCGTGAACGCCTTGCCGAGCGAAGAATTCATATGGGTGCGTTGTCTCACTTGAAGGCTTTTTAGACTTTCTGAGTTCCGTTAAAAAAATCTTACCACAAGCCGTCGAAAAAGAGTGGTAAGTAGTGGTGGTAATCGAGTTTCTCGATTTCAACCTTCCAGGCAATTCGGTTTCCTTTTGTATCGTGCTCAAGGGCGATGGGGAAGTCACCGCGCTCGTAGAACTTGCGGAATGAAGTAGGGCCTGAAACTAGAGCTAAAGAGACATTTTTACTTGTTTCTTACCGCTTTTTCGCTGTTTGAAAGCGCCAGCAGAGGGGGGACCGATAATCTGGGCAGCAGGGCTGCGGGATTTTATGGTGAATCCCTCTGTCTCCATTGCAAGGCTAAATAAAATAATATTTCGGGAAAGAACAAAAAGAAGTCACTGTGAAATTTTTCTTCATTACTCACCACACGAAATTTTAAACTGAAGAATTTTGGCACCACCCATAACAAACAAGACGACGTTCTAGAGATGATCTTCGAAAAGGCCACTTTCGTATTAAAGTTTCAAAATTACTAAAGCCTCCGGAGCATCGCGCCTACGCGCTCCCATGAAAAGTCCTCCGCGAATTTAAAGAAAGAGGAGAGAAAATGCTCCGGTTCGGCGTCCGCTTTCAGCGAATTATCACAAGGTTCATCAAAACTTGTCAGTTCTCTCCTAAATTTAGTTAAAATATCAAAATTAGCTAAGTTGAACATAATTTTCCATAATTATTCAACTTTTTTTTGTATGTTTCAAAGGTTTTTCCTACTAAAATCGTAAAATTAAGAATTAACTCGCAATTGTTGATGAAAAATAAGTCAAGCTTCTTGAGATTGTTTAAAAATACCCATTTTAAATTGATTCTAGTGCACAGCTGAGCTCGCGAACGAGTCAAACGCACGATTATTTGGTTGAAAGTGGAACGCTCCAAAAAATCCAACATGCTCATCGTCCCGCGAGCATCGAGAAATCCCCTGCAACCTCTGTCCGTCACAAGATGCGAGGACGGTATGCAATAACCAAGACGAAGTGGTGGCTAGAGCGAGGGCCCGTCCTAATTTCGGAGATTGCTGCGATCAACTTGGAGTACAACAAACCCTCTGTCGATGAGTACGGCCTCTCCAAGGGCGCGCATATTTATAATACCTTCTACGTTCCTCAACTTCGGTACAAAAATCCAAATGTCCAAATCGATGTCAGAACGAATATGACAGCGGTGCCGTATATGCAGATCTACTTCAAAGGTGAGACAAACGAAAGGCTTCTAATCTATAAGCGCGTTGTTAGATGGCAGGTCAACAACGATCAATTGTGCCGCATCAGCAGAAGAAATCGCAACACACATACAAGGGACGTTTTGTCTCACCAAGGCAGAAGAGGAAAATCGAGAATTTGACGAAGAAGGTCGCCTTCAAAATCCTTGGCTTCATCCAGCTGCAAAGCCATGCTGCATGTCTGATGTAAGTGTGAAGACTACGCTTCTTCATTCACACGAACCGTTTCTAGATCAACCGAGTGCACAGAAAATGTCTTTGTCAACAACCAGGTCATTTCGGTTGCTCGGTGAACATGCGACACATGCAGACACGCGATGAACGAAAAGCTCTCACCCAGAGAAGCGCACACAATCTACCCGTCGAAGATAACTTATTTACCTACAAGTTGAGAGCCATCCAGGTTAGTAACAACAACAATTCTAAGCGTTTTTAATAAGCATTTTTAGTACGAGCGAGCTGAAAGAGCCCACGCTAATCGTTATGAGTTCTACAAGAAAAAGGTGAAGACAGTCGATATTACGCAGGTCCAGAAGGTTTCAAAAAGGTGGGTTCCTGTATTGTAACTTGTTTTGAGTTGATTTTCTGTAGCATATTGAAGAAACAAAGCGCGTGGAAGAAATCACAAAAGATAATATCACCGAAAGTTTGAACGGGCGGGATACCTTCCGTCTCGTGAAACGACTGAGCCAGAAAGTCATCCATGAGCACTGGAGTACTTACTTCTGGCAGTGCGAGCACGGCCTCAGTGGCGATATGAAGGAGCTGCGGGACGAGCACCGTCGAAGAACTATTTATTTAGCCCAAAAAGACTCCATGAAAGGAGGTTTTGATCAACTGCACAGGATGAAAGACTTTACTCCTGGCATTCCTTTCGCTAATTAAATTAACTTCCAAATTACACTCTTTGACTCGGAGTTTTTTAGAATGCTGTCCAAAACGACGATTCCGAATGCGACCGACAAACTGGAGGAAATTGAAGTGGAAGGGACAGAAGTGTACTGCCTTCGAGTTCCCCGCGGATATGACATAAATTCACTAAAGGTTTTATTTGATAGTTTTACTTGAAGCTATTTGTTTCGTTAGGGAACAACGATATTTAAAACCGATGACTCTGTCCAGTACCAGATCGAAGGAACGACCACTGAGCTCTCCATGAAAAACGACCCGAATAGAAATGCGACTCTGATTAGCGGCCTCGGAGATGGAGAGAACTGCGTCTGTGTCCCAATCGCTGGCGAAATTGAGCTCTCTGCTTTTCCAACACTCCATGAGCCGAAAGACTTTGATTACAAGCCGAGTAAGGGAACACTCAAGTTATCCGAGATAACTTATCAATCAAACTCTTATTATTAATTAATATTTGGCTTTATTCTGACGAATTTTAGTGACTGCAAGGCCCGACGTCGAGGAAACCAAAGATCGAAGCCAACTTGCACTGACGGGAATGCTTCCTACTCCGAAAAGTGAATCAAGCAGTAAAGCGAAGAAAAGAAAATCGAAAAAGTCAGAAGCTCATGAAGCAGAAACGCCACGCAAGAAGAAGAAAAAAAGTAAAAGCTCAGCGTAACGATTGTTTTTGGACGGTTTACGATTACTGTGATTTGTATAAATTAAGAAGATGGTGGGCATGGCCCTAAATTAATCAATGAATAACGGATGTTTTTTTCTAAGAATGTTTCGAAACCAGTATGATTCTTCAACGACCACCTGGTCCCCTCAAGGTCGAATCCACCAAATCGAATATGCGATGGAAGCTGTTAAACAAGGAAGCGCAACAGTCGGTGTCAAATCGAAAACGCACGCTGTTCTCGTCGCATTGAAGGTAACTCCATCGTAAAATTCTCCTTGAATCGAAATGGTTCTTTCAGCGCGCCCAAAATGAACTGTCTGCTCACCAGCAAAAGTGTCTTCGAATCGCCCCACATTGCGGAATGTCCATGGCAGGTTTGGCTAAGAAAATTCAGCAAGACCCATCTTATATCCTGTTTAGGTCTGACAGCTGACGGACGTGGCCTCACTAACTTTATGCGCACTGAAGCTCTCAACTATGAGGTAATATTCAGTTAGATGTTTCGTGAGTCTCTAAACTGAAACATAGATCGTGTATGGATCTGATATGCCAGTTGCTCGTCTTGTTGATGCTGTTGGGAGCAAGTTGCAGACTCCAACTCAAATCTATTACCGTCGACCATTCGGTGTAGGCCTCCTTATTGCTGGATATGATAAACAAGGACCTCACATTTACCAGACCTGCCCGTCTGCAAACTACTACAGGTTAGCTCTTATTCTCCCACCATACCCCTCAATAGATTACGCATTCAGTTGCAAAGCGATGAGTATTGGATCTCGCTCTCAATCGGCAAGAACTTACCTGGAAAAAGTATTAGACGATCTCGAAGGCTGCAGCAAAAATGACCTTGTCAAACACGGCCTCATGGCGCTTCGTGAAACTTTACCAACTGACCAGGTGCTCGATCGAACATATTCATCCTTATTTTCATGGAAGATTTAGGAGCTTACGGAGCACAATGTTACTGTCTGTATTGTGGGTGAGAATCAAAAGTATGCAGAATATAACAACGAGGAAACCAAACAATTTCTGGATCTCCTTGACTCAACGAAAAGCCTGCCCGAGAACGTGCCCAGGTATTCCTATTTCTTTTCGCTCTAGAGTCTAGTGACTAGACAAACAAATGTCTCGTTTTTCAATAGGAAGTCTTAGGAGACTTCAGTCTCAAGGAGAACGAGGCTGAGTGTCCGCCGTCGTCCTAAAATGAACTAAAAGAGAAATGCTAAACAGTCTGTCTAGGCCGACGACGCTGCCCCTGCTGAAGAAGCCGCTGCCGAAGAAGAACAACCTCAAGCCATGGAGGAGTGATTTCTTCAACGATCACGATCACCATTTTCCCTCTGAGTTCACCTTTTACTGGAAATCCGTGCAACAGTCTGCTGACTCTAATAATAGCAAATATACATGTGTCACCACTCGAACCAACTCACATAGGAATCATTCACAACGGCTACTTTTTTTGTTTTGTATTATTTTTCCTTCTCCTCTTCATAGAAAAATAAATAGAATCAAATTGAAAGAGACTCCAATCGCGCGTGTTTTCAATCACCCCTACTTTTTAAGAATTTCCATGTTGCGAGCTTCTTTCCAAAGAGCTTTAGTTAGAGGCTACGGAAAATCTAAATTTCAAAATGCCATTTTGCAAAGTCTCGAAAATCATCGCCAGAATCTTTACGTCGAGTCTTTTCCCGGCACGGGCAAGACGACAGCGATAATCGACGAAATCGTCGGTGACCAGACCCCTTTTGGTGACGTAGAAAAGCTGATTATCGTGAGTCGGACCGGGCGTGCGAACTCAATTACGGAAAGAATATGTGAAAGAAGCGAAAATAATCAGCATGGTGTAGGGAAGCTGTTGGCCAGAGATCAGCAAAGCAAAAGACGAAAGCGGGAATCTTTTCTCAGTACTGTTCAAAGTATTGCGAACAAACCCATTTTAGTCGCACAACTTGCCAATAATAGCAGAATTAACAAAGGATAGGTTATCCTTTATTATCGAAAACTATCTCTCGCTATAAAAATATCCTGAAAAAGCCTTTGAAGAAAACTTGTTGCCGCTAGAAAGTATCCAACATGTTTACATCTTTGATACGGATCGTATTTTGCTGAGAAAGAATGAGCAGTATTTGAGACGGCTGTTTAGGATTATACCAAAAAGTGCACGGAAAGTTGTTGTCTCAGATGGTTTATCGGAAACTTCAGAATCCGGTTAGGGTTTTCAGATGAGGTTTGACTGTTTGATAGAGAGAATTGAAAAAAAACCCGCGATAAGCTTTGAATTTCCTTCTTGGTCCCAAGTTTGAAGACTTGCGCAGTAAATCAGAACCGAGCCTGCTTACCACAGACATAGAAATATGCAAGCTGTCGTCTTTATCGAAAGACATCGTTGCATCAGGGGAAAAGCGTTTTGATGAGAAGGTGATTCTTTGCTACACTCAGGTTTTCATTTATTTATTTTCATTGAAAACGCAGAGTTCAGGAAAAATTGGATGAGTTGAAGAAAAACTTTTCTGGCAGCGGAAAGCGGACGAAATGCATGACAGTTAATAATTTCTTACACGAGCAGACAAGTTGCGTAGAGATAGATTGCTTCTTAGCGGAGTTGCCTAGGTTCAGTGACTGTATCGATCTGTGGACTATTTCTATGCTTGTTCCAAAGTTGCGGATTTATATTGATAGCCGAGTTGAACTCGATATTCGCCTTGAGGCTGTTCTTTCTCACCTAAAAAGCGACTAACTAAATCAAAGATACCTAAAGACGTGTGTTAAGATTAGAATAGTTTCGATACTAATGGAATGTCGGACGAAGAGTTTCTCATCGACGACAGCTATGATATGGACATTCGAAGACCTTCAGATCCTGTTCCTTCACTAGTTGAGCGAATAGGCGGTCACAAACGTCAAGCCACCGAGGCGGCAGTTAAAGACATATTAAAAGTAAATTAATTAAATTATGTAAGACGATTAATCATTATTTTTATCTTTTAGCCCAGATTCCAAAAAGGGGAGAGTTTGAAGTGCTTGGACGGCGAGGAAGTCTATGCTGCTAAATGTTTGGAGATAGATCACGACGGGAGTCAGTGGAGTTATCTGATCCACTACAACGGCTGGAGCAAGACCTACGACGAGTGGATGTTTGACGATGATGCTCGACTGAACCCGATGAAAATTCAATCGGCCTTGCTCCGCCAAGGCAGCGAACACACGGGCCCTTTGCCAGAAGCAAAGAGACCCGAGAAGGTTAAATCTACTGATCGAAAACCTCGAGAAAAACGAAAGGCAAAAGCTACCAAAACTAAAGCGGCGGCAAAAGTATACTTCACATCAGAATACGAACGACGGTATAGATTACAGGTAACTCATATCATATGAGTCATATGTTTTCTCGAACTCTATTCTTTACAAAATTTAGATTCATTTTCCGCATGAACTGGCAAAAGTGCTTGTGGATGACCAAGAGTTTATAATTCGACAAAGAAAGCTCATTTCTTTGCCGCATGAAACAACAGTAGAATGTATACTGAAGAAGTTCCAGCAGACGCATTCTATTGAAAATGAGCTGATAGAAGGAATGATTTCATTCTTTAATACATTGGTGGGCTGTAAATTGCTGTATAAATTTGAGGTACATTTTATTTAGCAGCAAGTATTAAAGTACTATCTGACTAGCGACCGGCATTTGCTGACTACTTATCGAAGTATCGCACGTCAGAAGAAAACGGACTCCATTATCCCGCAGCAGCTGCCCGGCCTGTTCGCGTATTCGGCTTTATCCATCTTGTGCGATATGTTGCCTATCTAAATGAAGAAATGTGCGAGTTGCCGGCCGATTTCGAAACGATCAAGAAATCAGTCGACATAATTCAGAAACTCGCGGATTACTTAGTCGACGAGCTTGAAACACTCTACTCGGTTCAAGACTACGAAAATACTCCACCAGAGTATCATCGCCGGGCGCAAGTTATTTGGTGACGTCTGGCCTAACGTTTTAATTAATAATCTAGCCTTATACGTATGTTTTTTATTCTTATCTTCACTTAACTGATATCTTCTCTAAAAGTTCCTTTTCCGTGTCTACAATGAGTTCAGACTCTCATTTAGACTATTTTCTTATCGCTTTTTATTTCCCTCTTTTAACTTATTTTTTGACTTATCTAGAAACTCTTCTTCGAAATTTCTGTACGTCCCATGCTTACCTTGTCACTGTAACTTTTTCGTAACAATCTAACTTGAACATGAACGAGCTATCTAATCTGACTCAGTTTAGAAAGCATGTCAGACTCAGAAACAGACACTCAAACAGAAACAGACACTCAAACAGAAACAGATACTGACTACACACAGACTGACACAGACTCCCAATGCTCTACGATAAAAACTCCCTCGCCGAAGAAACGTAAAGAAAATCACATTTCTGGAAGTGTAAGTTTCTTATCTTCTAAAGAGAATGTTTATTATCTATGATTGTTTAGCCTCGATACGCGAAAGGCGATAAGTTACAGTGTATTGATGGTGACCAGCTTTATGAGGCAAAGTGCCTCGATGTCGATCATTGCGAATCAGAGTGAGTTTCTTTATATTATTCTCAACTCTTATGCTCTATTTTAAGAGATGCGTGGATGTATTTGATTCACTTTTCTGGATGGAGTAAAATCTACGACGAATGGATTGATGATAATGACCCCCGCCTCGACCAAGAAAGAATCGAGACTTTTTTCTCGAACCAAAGTGAGCTCATGAGGAAGCCTTCTCCTGTTCCTTCTGAAAGAAAAAGAAAGGCTCCCAGTAGAACAAACTCACGAAGGAGAGTTAACCCAGCGAAGAAAACTAGATCCCAAGAAGAGGTGACGAGGAGGAGGACAAAATCAGAACACGAGACTCCTGCTCCGAGGAAAGCAAAGTCCCATGAAGATGTACCTACTAGGAGTCTCACTCCGCTTGAACAAGGACGGCTAGATAAAGAGAAAGAAAGAGAGCGATATCTTGGAATGTTGGATCGACAGCTCGCCGAACTCCCGAAACCCAACCGAAAACGAAGGTATACAAATGAATTCTTCCACGATAAATTAGGCTCTTTAGGTTTATGACTGAAATTCTTCTTTCCCCTCTTTTGGTGCGGACACTGAAGGACGATGACGAGTTGATTAACAGGCAGCGGAAATTGATTCCACTGCCTCATAAAATCACCTGCCGCGATATCCTTCGCTCGTACAAGGAAGAAAAGAACCTCGATGCCGAAGAACTGGAAGGCTATGAAGACTACTTCAACACAGCCTTAGGAGCCTTTTTGCTCTATAAATTCGAGGTAAGTCGGCTGATCGTTACTCCGGATCTCTAAAATGTTTCAAGCGACCGCAATATGCAGATTACCTCAAGAGCGTCCGGGAAGAAGATGAAAGCGGCGAAGAAATACCAAGAAACGCAGAACAGCCGTGTGATCTTTTCGGATATAATCATATGGTGCGCTCGATCGTCACCATCAACGAAAGGTTTAAAGAGCTAGTCGACGAAGTAGATGAGGAGGAGCTCGAATTTTACTGCAAGAAAATTCAACGACTGGCCAATTACTTGGCTAAAAATTTTGAAATTTGGCACAAGATTGAAGAGTACGTCGAAACTGCCCCGGAATACCATCGACGACTCTAGCTTGAATCAGTTTTGCTCAGTTAGAAACACAATTCACGAAACACCGACACCTCATTTATCTTCCCTAAATTTTCCATGATCTCCTGATAAACTTCACTTATTCAAACCAGATGTTGCCAATTACTCTTTTTTAGAATGCAAATCAAAGTAAAAACTCTCACTGGAAAAGAAATCGAAATCGACATCGAAGTGTCTGACAAAATCGAGAGAATCAAGGGTACCGTCTATTTCAGGTTACTAAAGGTTGAATCGAATTTCAGAGCGCGTGGAAGAGAAAGAAGGTATTCCCCCCGCCCAGCAGCGACTTATTTTTTCCGGAAAGCAGCTGTCAGACGATAAAAAGGTCTCCGAGTATAAAATCATGGCCGGCTCCGTTCTCCACTTGGTCCTCGCCCTCCGCGGTGGTTTTTGAGCTGCTACATCTAACATGTCCGTCAAGAGCTAACAAATCACTCTCTTCAGTCACATCCCGACTGCCTTTAAAGTTCACCTTACTCAAATTTAACTCTCTCAATATTCAAATTGCCGTTAAACTTTGGGAACAACACTACAGTATTTCAACCAGGAACTTTTTAGATGATGTAGCTATTTCTCATGAATGATAGTTTCTATGGATTGCCAAATGAGTTGGCCAAGCATTTCCAGAGCAGAGGGAGTTTGTTCGAATGGCAAAACGAAGTACTCAGTCTCGAGGGAGTCCTCAATGGAAGCCGCAATCTCATCTACTCCGGGCCGACTTCTTCTGGTAAAACACTTGTATCCGAAATACTTATCGCACGGAGAACCGCGGAGAGGAAGAAGGTTATTGTTGTCTTTCCTTTCGTCGCGATAGCAAGAGAAAAGTACTTTTCATTCCGTGAGATTTTTCAAGACTCAAAAATACGCATTGGCCTCTTCGCTGGAGGTAATAACCCGACGGGCGGCATAGAAAAAATGACATCCTCGTGTGCACAATTGAAAAGGCCAATTCTATTATCAACTATTTGAAGCTGAATGAGATGATCGATTCCCTTGGCGCAATCTTCCTAGATGAAATTCACTTACTTGGGGAAAGCGGGAGAGGCTTTATTCTTGAACTTGTCTGCACAAAAGCTTTGACTTGGGGAAATGTTCAAATTGTTGGTATGTCTGCGACGATTCCTAATCTCAGTCAGATCGCGCGATGGCTGAGAGCCGTCGAGTACGAGACGAGTTTCCGTCCAATTCCTCTCGAAGTGAATCTTTGCTACAAAAGTCAACTTTGGGAGGTGTCTGGCGCGAGGCTCAAACGGTTATCCTCAGTCGATCTTCCTATCGACTTGGGACAGGCACCGCCTAGGGATCAAGAGCAGAAGGCGATACTTTCTCTTCTGCTGAAAACAATTCTGCAAGGTCATCAAGCCATGGTTTTTTGTCCGACAAAAGATTGGTGCGAAAAGATGGTGAAGACTCTTGTTGAGCATACTGCCCTCATTCCCAAGCGTTCGGACGTATTTCATTCGGATAAATTCGAAGAGTTTCGGGAAGTTCTGATTGAAGCGCGGATTTGGCCCGACAGCAGTATGTATTCAAATGTGAAAGCGGGAATCTGTTTCCATCATGCTGGATTGACAACTGAAGAAAGGTCTGTTGTCGAAGAGGGCTTCCGAGCTGGCGTCGTGAGAATTCTAATGGCGACAACTACGCTCTCAGCCGGTGTCAATCTGCCCGCTCGAATGGTTATTATCAGAAGTCCCTATGGCTTCCAAAAACAGTTGATCAAAGCGCGTGTTTTTCAGCAGATGTGCGGGAGAGCAGGAAGAAAAGGAATTGATGAGGCAGGTCACGCAGTTCTTATGTGTCCCAATTCGCCAAGCGCACAAAAAGATGCCAGACAACTCATTGCAAATAAGGCTGAAATGATTCTCTCTCAACTCGATCGAACACAGATTCAAAGAGCGATCTTGGAGCAGATAGCAACCACTGACAAAACGACAGTTACGGTAAAAGAAATAGAAGATTTCATATCTTCAACATTATACAATCATCAACTTGAAGACCTTTCCGGAAAAGATAAGCTGCTCAAAGATACTTACGGCTGGCTGAAGGAGAATGAATTCATCACCATAGTCGGAGAATCGGAAATTGAGATAACAAAGCTTGGAGAAGCAGCTGTAGGTGCTGGAATGCCTCCGATGACAGCTCTATCCGTATTTGACGATTTATCTTCAGCTGCAAGGTCTTTGAATCTTACGACTGATCTTCATCTAGTTTACTTGTGCACACCAATCCAAGAAACTAGCCTCAACTTTGCAACTGTAAGCAAATTATTTGACAACTTGGATTCTACTGCACTCGATGTAGCGAGTAAATGCCAAGTTGACATTGGCCTTGTGCGAAAAATTGCTAGACATGGAATGCCTCGAAAAATGGATAAATTAGGATACAGAAAACTTCAAATCGTCTCGCGATTCTATAGAGCGCTTGGAATCTTCGACCTTATCAACGAGATCCCGATCGAAATTGTGTCTGAAAGATATCAAGTACCTCGAGGAACGCTCCAGTCGCTCCAAATCTCTGCATCGCAATATGCTGGAATGATTACTATATTCTGCGAAAAGCTCGGATGGCACCACTTACGAAATCTTCTGGCGACATTTCAGAATCAAATTGAAGCTGGCGTTCATAGAGAACTGCTTGATCTTGTGAGATGCCCATTCATATCTGCCCGACGAGCGCGCCAGTTTTACAAGCTCGGATTCAAACGACTGAAGCATATTGTCAAAGCTGACACTTCCGAGATAGTAGAAGCCTTCAAACAAATGGAACGATTCATCTCCTCTAAGCCTCAAACAGGCGAAAATGAGCTTTCGAATGAAATCATAGAGAGCCGTGGAATGGTTGTTCTTCAAGGAATAAATATGCCTATGCCATTTCAAGAAGCAGCGGAAATGGTCAAAAGAGAAAGCTTCTCGATTATCGGGACTGAAACTATTTTGGACGAGCCAGAAAGTGAAGAAGACTCGCATATTCTCAGTCAAAATACTTTCGACAATATGACAAAACTTGACGGAACAGCTAAATCAATTGTATGCGAAGCTACGTTATCACCTATTAGCAAGAAAACTGAAACATCGAAAACAGATACTGTCATCGAAGCTGCCTTTTCTGATTCGAGGTCCTTGATCGATGAACCAGGCCCGAAAACGCAAAGCCACCTGCCCGAGATCGACAATCACGCAAGTTCTCAATTCATGCCCGATCCGAATGATGCCTCAATGATGGAAAGTCTAAACGATTCTCTTGCTGCTTACTTCAACGCCTCGCCGAGATCAGATCATTCACCTCTACCAGATGCAGGGATGACTTCAGAAGAAGATGAGTCTCAAGAGCTATTCCCAGTTGAAAAGAAGACAGAGCAAGAAAGACGAGAAAGTCCAGAATCCGACCAAACTGAAATCAGTACTTTTTCAAGCATTCGCTTGAAGAGGCGTCGATCATCGGGTGGCGATTCTGAACAACATTCTGAAACATTGTTTGAAGACGAATGTCAAGAATCAGCAGATTTCGATTCACACTGCCCTGACAGTGAACCATCCACATCGAAAAAGATGAGAATTGATCATAAGCCTGTCGAAGAGCACGAAGTTGAGCCGACGTTCGAAGAATCTTTGGATAATGCTGATTTGAACGTGAAAGATGGGAAGAGGAGTCCAAGTGCATCCCAGGAGTCATCCACCAGTGTTGATGAAAGTATTGCTGAGTTTATGAAGAGCTCAGTCTGGGACACATGTACAAAACCTCCGGATCAAATTGACTCTCAAGTAGCAACTATTATCACCGAAATCGATCAAAACCCAGACCCCGAAGAGAAAAAAGCTGAAGAAGGGAAGCAATTGATTAAAACTACAGTAGACCCTGAGAAATCATCACCAGACAGCGATGAGACCTTTGCCGAGCCACTTACTGTTGACACCCTTGACCTAGAACCAATGGTAACCGGTTCATCTCCAGTAGGAAGGAAAAAAGACGCAAGTTTATCAACTGAAATAAAGAGTTCGGAAAAAGAAGCTCCGATTGAGTCTGTTGCCCAAAAAGAGGCCAGTTCTCCTGCAAAAGAAGAAATTTTTGACGAATCTATCGCCTTCGAAGAACTTAAAACATTTCATATTCCCGAAAAAGCAGATGAAAGCTCTACACATATAGCAAAGTCAAGCCCAGTTAAAGATAATCAAAAAAGTTCAGAAGAAACATTTAGCGAATCACTTCCGTCAGAAGCTTTCACCAGTGTTATGGGAAATAAAAATGAATCAAAGTCACCTCCAACAGAAAACCCACATTCTTCAAAGTCCAAAGTAGAAAGAACGGAACCAATTACAGAAACCAATGAAAGTGCAATCAAAAGAAACTCGCCAATATCTAAGAATAAGAATCAAGTCTTACCGACAACGCCAGATTCAAAATCAAAAAGTAAAAAATCGATCACACCTCAAAAGTCTCTCATTCGAATGGACACTGTACTCACAAATCTTTCACCGAGAAATAAAAATGGCCTTACTAATGTCAATCTGCCAAGAACGCCCAAAAGGACACGTCTTTTTGAGGAGCCGACTGATACTCCAAGCTTCATAAAGAAATGGCCTATTACCCCCAAGGTGCTATTTTTTTAACTAACTCAAGTTAGATCTCATTTTTAGCCACCAGCATCTGATGATGAAGATGAGACACAAACTACAACCAATAAACCCAAGCAACCCCTAACCCGCTTGCGCCCAACATCATTAGAAGAAGATGCAGTACGTCTTGGAAAGTATATTTCTAAGCATAAGAGCATTGCAATAAAAGTTATCGCCAATAAGCTCTATCTCTGTACGCCAGAATCGACAACAGGACTTGTGTATGAGTTGAATCTGGATTCAGTGTCAATATCAAATATTCTTGTTGCTGCAAAGCTAATTGTTTGTTGGAATTTCATTGAAGTAAAGAGGGCGCTCAAACAAATGAACATAATACAATTACCAACCAAGAGATTCTTCGATGTCCGTCAGGCCATTTGCTTTGAAGACTCTTCAGCGGCGATAGGGAAAGGAGACGAACCTATAACTCTAAAGGAATATGCTTTGTCGAAGGGTTACATTCGGAAGAAGGAAAGAACCACCTTCGACAATGGGGAGCCCGGTTTGATTGTTTCTGCTCTTCGACGATCGTATCTCGGAGTCAAAAACTTCTAGAGGACCGGAATCTTCTTGAAAGATTTAACATAGAAATGGAGCACGCCGAAGTTATATATCAGATGTCAGAGAATGGAATGCCATTTTCCGAATCTGCTTCAGAGAAAACGATCAAGTCTTTGACAACATTAATTGATCGACTTGCGAATAAAATGAAAAAAGAAGCGCCAAAAGGAAAGCAACGGGATTCTCTGAATTTCAAACATCTTCCAGATCAGCGGCAATACGTCTACGATTTCTTGAAATGCGAACCTGTAGAAGGAAAGTTGTCTAATTCTGTGAGTAAGGAAGTCCTGGAAGTGTTGGTGGAAGATGAACCTCGTATAAAACCGCTCATTCAATTCCGCAAAGCGACAAAAGCATTTTCTGATCTCTTGTCGTATAAAAATGCGAGCAAAGATAACCGTATTTATTCTACTCCCGTGCTAATTAATCGAACTGGTCGTATCTCAATGGACAATCCTTCGTTGCAGATGGTCCAAAACGAATTCGAATGCTGTGGGAAGGTCATCAAAGTTCGAAACTGTTTCAGAACAAACCCAAACTACATTTTCATCTCAGTAGATTATAGACAGGTATCATGAGATTGAATTATCAATCAAAATGATAATTTATTTTTCTTCAGCTGGAATTGCGCGTCTTGGCACTGCTTTCCGGAGACGAAGGACTACGCACATCCTTCGTTGATCACGAGGATCCCTTTGTTAGCATAGGAAGAAAATGGTTGAAGAGAGAGAGGATATCAGTTGAGCAACGAACTCAAGTGAAGGCTCTTGTGTACGGCATCATTTATGGAATGGGGAATAAAACTTTGGGGTAAGTGAGTCCATCGCCACGCGTGCTAAATTTCCTCTTTAGTCAACAACTTGGCGTCACCGTTGAAGAAGCTGAGAAATTATCATCAGAGTTCCTTGGTTCCTATCCTGTAATGCATGCTTTTCTCGAACAAGTCAACAAAAACGCAGAGAGCAATCTCTACACTGAAACATTGATTGGGCGCAGGCGTTCGTTCGAAAACTATTCTTCCCGCGCAGCTCGAGTCGGTAAAAGAGCAAATCTCTCAAAAGCAAGATTCTACATTTAATTTAGCGGTGAATACGAAAATTCAAGGATCAGCTGCCGATATTGTCAAAATGGGAACAGTCAAAGCCGCAAGAAAGATAAGAGAAACTGGTATAGATGCCAAGCTTGTGTTGCAAATTCACGATGAGCTTTTGTTCGAAGTTGAGGAGAAAGATAAGGATGTGTTAGAAGGTATCGACTTCAATTTGATCTTTTGTTTTGCAAAGTTTATTGTAGAGATACTTTGCAACATGCTTCCTCTAGAAGGCAAGTTTCCAGTAAGGTTCGACGTGAAAGTAAAAAAGGGGCTTTCCTGGGATCGACTTCGCTGAAATCTTCATTATTGTCCAACTTATGTCTCATTATTCATTTTCTTCTTTTTCATTACTTTAACACAGATAACAATTCATTGCTACATTCATATGGACTCTTTTTTGAAATGCCTTTTTTAGATGACATATCAGTTCAGCGATCAATTGTCGGAGCTTGTTTTCAAAAATTTTACCATCTCGACATGCTTTGTTCGATCAATAACGTCTCATCAAAACTTCGAAGCCAGAAAAGTGAAAACCAGCGGCAAGTCCGATGCAAGGGTTAAAGGCAACCAGGCACTTATCAATGAGGCCTCCATACTGCAGGAGCTTGTAGGCATAGGTGCTTCAGTTTTTTTAAGAAACCACTCGGACCCCCTTAATCCAGCTATATGCTGTTGAACTAATTTAATAGCACTTTCACTTGGTGATTCCAGATTTCAAAGGCTAATCGAAGTTTATAAAGAAGAGAACGAGCTCATCGTAGTTTTGGAAGCCATCCACCTACCACGCAACAAACTCGGCCCTATTTCACAGTACAAGACCCTTGATGTATACTACAATTTGATATCTACCTGTAAAAGACTCAACGACCCTAAAGGAATCGGAATCACTTAATTTTCTTTTTTTCCCTTTCAGACTGACTTAAATGAATCCTTCCCGGAAACTCATAAGAGCCATTACAGCTGAGGCAGCCTATAAACTTGATCAGTGCCTCTTTAATGAATATAAATTTTCCCTGGAAGCTCTGATGGAGCTTGCTGGTCAGTTAGCGTATCAACATTGTGAGCCTTCGAGTATGAGAATTTAAAAGTTCATTTTTTGAACTCTTTGCGCGTCCATCATGCTGATTTCATTGCGTCATCGGATAGATCTATATTTTATGTTGATACGTGTCGCGAGGCTGTAGCCATATGTGCTGTGAGAACATCCGTTCCCGGACGTATTCTTGTCATAGGCAGAGTTCATGTAAATTTCATACTGTGATGGTGTGAAATTCACGGGTTCTTCCATATGTGAGCTCGGAAAGCTGGGCCTGGAAATAACGGTGGCGACGGGCTAGTTGCTGCTAGACATTTGGTTCAAATGGGACGACAAACAGACTTACTATATCCTAAACAGTACAATATTCTGGACAAACCAAGACATTTATTTTTCTTTTATTAGACCAGCGAAACAAGTCTACCAAGATCTTTTTCACGCTGCTAGCCGTTCAGGAGTTCGAGTACTAGATGAGCCTCCTGCGTACGAGAACTATTCGCAAATTGTGGACTCTATTTTCGGATTCAGCTTTGATCCTAGTGGTGGAATTCGTTCCCCTTTTGATCGTATTATTAGCGATTTGTCGAAAACAGAGCAAGGGACTTTATATTTCGCGAATAATTGGTTGTTGAATATAATGTAGACTCCTTGGACAGACACTCCTATCTTGTCAGTCGACTCCCCATCTGGCTGGGATGTGAATCTCGGTCCGATCGACGAAAATTCTATCAATCCGCAAGTTCTCATCTCTCTGTCAGGTGGACATTTTTTTCAAAAAGGTTGATTATTAAATAAAATAGCCCCAAAGCCTTCGATTCGACATTTCAAAGGTAGAAATTTTCTTGGCGGACGATTTCTCCCTCGAAGTATCGTGGACGACTTTAATCTTCAACTTCCAGAGTATCCAAATGAAGAGATGATTGTTGAATTTTCTCTCGCTGACATGACTTTTGAATAGTTTAAAACAGTCGCACATTATTTCGCATTTAATGATTCCTGAAAAGACTCTGCGTTTCGAATAAAGAAAGCTATGCTTCCATGTATGCTTATGATTACAAAAGCAGTTACTTTTCTCCATCAACAAAAGATTTCCCATAGAAATCTAAACCTCCACTCCGTACTTATAGGTGACTAAATCATTTTTACCTCGTGTTAAAATTAATTCAAAGATGGGTCACTAAATGAAGTAAAAATAAGCGATTTTACTCTTGCTGTCCGACTGAAGTCTGCTCCATATTCTATTGCGATGCGCAACGAAGATGAGTTTATGTCAGACAGCGAAGACATGCTCCAAGTTCTCAGGGGATGGTCTAGGTACCTGGTTCTTGTTATTAATTGAGAATCATAAAGATTAAAGGGACACACAATTACTAAAACGCGAAGCTTATCTGCCGGATATGCTTGATTCCTGGCAAGTGGGAATAATCATTTACTATCTGATACTCGGGGAATTTCCAATGATGCCTCGAAGAGGTGAAAGAATCAACTACTTTGATGTCAATTTGGGGATGATGGAAAAACTCTGTTACCAACTTCCAAAACCGATCTACGATGTTCGTCTTGATTCTCTTCTGCGAGGATTGCTCCGACCCGACGCTAAAGAACGCTGGAGCTTGCGGATGACAGAAGAGTTTCTCGAAGGATATAAAAAAGACGTTGAAAAAGTCTCCAAGAAAGCATATGTAGAAAGTTCCGGCGACCAGGTCGTTCCTCTTGGTGATACTGGACCGACGTAATCAGAAATAAAGAAATGCTCGAGTAAGAGTTTATTCAGGCCGATGAGAGTTACGGAAGCACGACTGTCTCAGTCCTGGAAGCGAAAACTGCAGCCTTATTCAGTCTCGAAGCCAGAGAAAATCAGGTAATCCAAGCGCAATTCAATCAACAATGTCTAAAAGAACAATTTAGCCGCTATCAAAGTCTCCAAGACAGGAGAAAAGCTCCCGTGCCCAACATCACTCTCCGAAAGTAGTCCGTCGCGATAACAAATTCTAACTTTTCTTTTCTGTTTCTACTTTTCTCGTCGCGTGTGCATGTGCTTGCCACGGGAGTTTTTTAATGTGCCCGTCGTAGATTTGCAAAAAAGTCTGTTTTGATGACTCTCAAGACGCTACATCTCATGACCAAGTTCCTGCCGCTAAAACAATAAACTAAGGATATTTTGATTTTGTCCGTTCAAAAAAGAGAAAACGAGTGCCTTCCGAAATCGTCAGGTTCGAAATGGGGAATCCAGCTGCGGGATTAGTTTCTGACCTTTAGCACTGACGAAAACTCATCACGTTAGCAAATTACAATTGACCCTGTTTCAATGTTTTTATTATTTTCAAGAGCTTTATCCATCTACCCCAGGGTCAGATTTTACTCACTTAGCACACGGTATTTTTATTATGCGTTATTATAATAAATAGCTCGTTAATAATTTGCCAAGAAAGCTTTCTGCTATCCCGAATTCGAGATACCTTCTCATCATCCCCTTTTCGAGAGAATGATTCTTTTGTTCAATTCCCACCATGTTTCAACGATTGACTGTGTTTTGAAAGACGCTGGCGCGGGGCCAACGCCGTTACCGTCTTTTAACCGCTGCCTTTTAGACCTGGAGTAGAAAGAAAGAGAGAGCTAGCAATCGGGCGCAATGGCGCAACCGAGCCGAGACGAACTTGCAGCTGCGAGAACACTCATCCTTTCGTATCTCTCTAATTCCGTTACACACGATATAGGTGAGAAATCTACTCCTGTCAATTAACTAACTCGAATAAAGCTACCTATGCGAGCAAAGAGTACGCCGCTCTCCAAGCCTCAAACGAGCTGGATGATTTCGACGAGATCAGCAGCGTTGGGCAACATGTTTCGGACGAGTACGACTTTTCAGAAGATTTTATCGACCAGCAGAGGTCGAAATTTGAACAAGCCGAAGAACTTACCTGGAAATCCTTCGAAAATATCATGGATGATGTGATTCAAGAGCTCACTCATGCGGTACATTCTCTTTTCCTCCGCTAATATGCATATTTTTTTCTAGCATGGTCTTTCTGTATTTCTCGCCATTGTTGAATCGATAAATGTTCCTGCTAATGAACTTGATGACTTAGTTGACCTAGCTGTTTGGTATGCAGCTTGCCGCTTTGCCTCTATTGGTGTGTATCTTCCTTTTTCCCAACTTTACCAAGAATTTTAGCCAAAGAAAGTGGCTGGAATTCCTTCCTTGAGCGAGAAAATACATCAGTTCAAGAGACTAATCTCCGAAATCTCCCCGACTTGAATATTGGGGAATCTATAACAATCAGTCAGTTTGAGGCAAGTCCCGAATCACTTTTTTCACTTTTGAGATCTTATTTCAGGTTGCAACATCTTCTATGCCCACCGAATCAATCATTTTCGAAGAAAATCTCACCCCCGTCAACACCCAGCCACCCTCAGAACTGATTGACACAGATAAAGTACCTTTTTGGCCGTAAAATCCAGTTTCCAACACGAATTTAGACGCCTGTGCAATCTTATTCCGACCGAATTCCTACTTTGGAAGAGCTAGAAAAAGGACACTCCGAATATCATCAATTTGATATCAACCCAGATCATTTTCGGCTACAGAGTGCGAACACAGACACCGAATCGATCAGCGAGCAGTCAAGGTAAACCTCCTTACCGAATAAAATTATTAGCGAAATTATCAGTTGCGAGCGTCTATCTGCCTCTCCAGTGGTAGTTTCTCCTGTGGGAACAGAAACGCCGGTTTATATTGCATCACAGCCAGAGTCTGTCGATCTTGACTCAAACGACTCATCTTTGGGTAAATTTCATTTTCGAAGATCGTTTCTAGAACACGGGAATTATTTTTAGACGCGTCACTTATCAACGAACTGATCGACAGTTTGAAAGGCGAGGCGACTCGCGCCACCGAAGACGAGGAGGAAGAAGAAATCGCTTTTAACCGAAGCAACACGCAACAAACCATCAAAGGCAGCATGAGCAGCGATCCCATTGGCATGAAAGGCAAGATGCAATCATCCTCGGAGGCTGAATTCAGCAATTCCGAAAGAAGGTTAGTCTTTTTTTCTGATGATTTTCAATGAGAGATTTTTAGTCCTTTTCCAAACAGCATTTTGGAAGAAGCTTGCGCCCGCGTCAAAGCCCAAGAAGAAGATTCTGTAGGTGGCATCACCTTGCAATCCGATAGCAAGGAAGAAAACCTCGATGCAGATGACGAAGACAACGCCATTCCTGCACGTAGGGAGATCAACATTGGCAAGCTCGACTTCCCAGAGGGCTTCTGTGATACTCCCCGTCCATCACCTACTAATCTTCTCAAAAAGCTTGCGGAAGACGCTAAAAAGAAGGAAGAAGAATCCATCATCCTCCCGGTAAGTTTTATCAAGTACGATCCTTTGAATAATATTTTTTCTCAGGAACCTCAGTTGCGAAAACCAAACTACTTTCTTCTCGCTGGTGCTGCTGCCCTATCTATCGCGGCAATCTATCTCAAAACCTCGCGATAGACGTATAACTGTACAACAGACTCCGTCTATTTCTGAACGTTAAGTCGAGTTCAATGGCACTTGCCACCTTGTCTTGTGCATCAATAAAATCTTTCCAATTGTTCCACCAAAGTCGGTTCCACGTGGAAATTTATTCTTTATCCAACACAGAGTTCCTCACTTTTCCTGCTAAATTGAAGCAATTTTTGACTAAGGCCTTAAGATCTCTAATTACCTATTGCCCCCACATCTCTATTCATGACACAAGTCCAGTATTCCCCTTCGTAAAGCGCAGCTGTTTCAAAAATGCTTTTCTTTCAACTAAAATCTTCCTTCTTTTCAAATGCAGGTTGCATCGGGTGAGCTTCGTAGTGCTGAGAGTGTAGTTTGAGAGTTGGTAGTGTAGTTGCTGGTAGTTGAGATTTTCGTTTGATCACGGAAATATGTCCGTAAGAAGAAGAATTTCATTTTCTGAATGCGTAACCGACTTATATTAATCCAGCTTGACTACCAGTAAACGTAAAGTTCAAGTCCCGGAAGAACTTATTTCGAGCTTTCCGCAGATGCTTACCCGATTAAGCCAGCACGCTTCTTTTTCCTCTCGATCGCATTCTAGATATGATCGTGAGATGTTTTCTGTTTTCAACAAAAAATTCGAATATTTCTGAATAAACTTCATTCAACCATTCTAAATAACTCAGATACAATCAATGCATAATGGGAGAGCAGGGAACTCGCGGAAACATCTCAAACTTGCACACAAAAGAGCCGCAGTGTCAGGTACCTATGAATTTTACAGTCATCATTTAATAATTTCTTGTCAAAACTACGTGACCCTCAATGTGCAGTACCTTCACTAGAATTCTAGTGAACGCATTTGATTATGCTTCAAAGTCATTGCAAAAAATATTCGCCTTTTGACTGCCAAATTGATGCTTTCAAGAGAATCAGAACGCGTACGTCAAATAGAAGATGATTTTTCATTTTTCTAAATGATTTTCTAGAGAAGTAGTTGATTTATTTAGTTTAGCATCAATCAGGTTTAGTTCTAAGAAGCGCATTAGCATTTTTCTATGGGGAAATGTTCATCAAAAGATCCAGAACTAGCATTAGAATCTAGCAGCGAATCAAGTACGATAGTTACAGCAAGAATACGATATAGTACTCCACGAATTCTTTAGTTCATAAATACGATCGAAATCATGGAAATAGGACAGTAAATATAGACCTGTCATTTTTGAACTATTTAGATATCCAAGCTGCGTTGGACAAACTGACCCTCCATCGGAATATGACTCAAGTCAGTCCCATTATCCAACAAACAAGAGAACTGGATTTGCTTGCAAGTTCTCCGAAAGTTGGGCCCAAGCCTCTCACCGTCCCCACCAAAGTAAGTACATCATACTCTACGCGTTGTCTGTTTTTTCGATTGCAGTAAGCTATTCATGAGTTACGATCCCATTTCGGAAGGTCAAATTTGAGTTTCTATAGAAATTGGATCCCCGCGATAAAAAGAATAATGACATTAGTTGAGCTCGAGAAATCACACCAGAATAATGGAAATCATTTCAAAGCGAATTCTGGTAAACTGCTATGAATAAAGCGGCCCTCGATGTTCTCTAAAGTTTCCTCAAATTGTAGTGTTTAAGAGAGAGTGGCTTTGGAAAAGAAGTAACATAATTTATTCAGCCTTCAAAAAGAGTTTACCGTCGAGTTCCCGCGTCTTCCATGTCTGCAACCTCCTACTACCTCCCTTCTATCAACAAAACGCAGAGCAAAAATGTTGACGCAAAATGGAAGTGTGCCCAACAAATACGAAACGAACGTATCGAAACATCACGGAACAGACCGTCAGATGCTAATATCTCAGACGACGATTACATCACTACAGACAGTGGGAGTGACCTGACTGATGATGATGACGATGAGTTAACCTGGTACCAATTTTAATATTTCGCCAGTGCTGGGACATTTTAGTACGAACGACGGGATGACTGAGCCCGCATTCTCCGAGGATCGACTTCAGGCTGGATCCACGCCATCCAATTTGACCCTTGCTTCTGACTACGACGAAAATAACTACGATGGACTAACGGTCAAAGCGAAGGAAGTCTCTCTACCTCTCTTCAGGAAAGCTCCCTTTAGACAATTGAACACAACAATTCGATTTCGCTTTCCATCAGAAGACGCCCCAACGCTAATTCCGCCAAATGTAAGTTTCCATCTTCAATCAAGAACATCCTAGAACATGATTTAGACAATGCCAAAATTACAATGGAAGAATACTTCTGTCACGCCAAAAGTCATCAGAAGAGTGCTCCGAAACTCGAAATTCGAGCTAATCGAGAATGGAAAGAGTTGGATTGGATACTGGGGTAAGCATCTCAAAGCCGGAAACTATGCCAAATTGAAAAGTATGCAAAAAGTCAACCATTTTCCTGGTTGCTTTACGATTGGAAGGAAAGATAGACTGTGGAGAACGTTGTCAACGCAAATTGCCAGATTTGGTCATGGAGGTTAAGATATATTGAAAACTAGTCAAGCGAGATATATTTTTTAGAATACGGCTTCATCCCCACTACATACATTTTACCGAAGGATAGAAAACTGTTAAAAGACAATTTTGGCCACGAGACATTTATTGTGAAGCCAGCTGCTTCTGCTCGTGGAATCGGAATCAAGGTAATTTATTAATTTCACTTAGAATTCAGCAAATGTGTTTAAGATCGTTACGAAAATGGAATCCGTCCCTCAACGCCGTCAAATCATCGTCCAAAAATACATCAAGAACCCGCTGCTTATCAATGGGCTGAAATGGGACTTGAGAATTTATGTGTTCGTTTCTAGCTTCTGTCCGTTAATAGCATACATATCGGATGACGGGTTGGTCCGATTCGCGACAGATCAGTACACGATGAACTCAAAGGTGCGTCACCGGAGTTATGAGCAGATGAATATTATCTCGCTAATTCTGCTCATTATTCGCTATTATTTCTTAGAAACGCTTCGTTCATCTTACGAATTACTCCGTGAATAAGAAGTCTGCCAAATTCCAAGCAAGCGACGATGTCAATGATACTTCGGGACACAAATGGTCGCTGAAAACTCTCTGGCCTGAGTTGGAGAAATTGGGCTTCCAGAAAGATAGAGTTTGGGCCGATATCAAAGATGTTGTTTTGAAGGATAGGTTTGCAATTGACAACATTTAACAAAATCAACGCGCCTAATCACGATTCAAATTTAAAGTCATGCTAATTAACATTAAAATCGTCCATGTGTTTTTCACCATTTGAATGACCAAAGAAGATATTCGGTCGATTTCCAGGATTATTCAAACCGCAGATAGACACTCATTGCTTCAGAACAAAATATAGTGACGCAACTTCACAAGAACTGCGCCAAGCAACGTAATTGCTTCGAGCTTTACGGATTCGACTTGATGTTAGACCGCAAAGGAAAAGTGATACTTATTGAAGTCAATGTCAGTCCATCTCTGCATTCTAATTCGAAGTTGGATGAAACTATAAAGGTACGTTTGATTGATTGATTTTACTTCGATAGCAGTCACGGGAGCATGAACTAAATGTGGCTTCTTTCCAAAAATATTATAACGATAATCATAAATTGCCTAAAAATAATCGTGCGATATGCTATCATAAATAATACTCGACCCGTGCGTTTTTACATTCCCTTTCTTTAGAATTAAATTGAATCCATCGAATTGGAGTGATAATCTTAATTAAAAATGTTATTTACGGAGACGTTCAGGGAAAGCTTATTGCAGATGTTTTCAATACTACTGGTTTTACTCCTTACAAAGTCGTCAGCGCTCCCCCACTCAGTTCTCATGATCGTCAACTCTTCGCTCGATGGCTGTGCAGTTCAAAGGCGCCTTCGAGGCTCACAATGCTCAACAACCTGAGCGACTATCACAAGCACCTAATTCTGAAATGCGAATATGAACGGCAGCGTAAAGGCGATCTGGAGCGACTCATACCAGCGCCAGGCGTCTGGGATAAATACAAAAGGTCAGTTATGAATACTTTTGCTTTGAATAATAGGTGAACTAGCGTGAGAATCTGCTAATGCCTTTTTACGTAGAAGTTATTCATTCTTTCTTGTGCTGATTACCGCGGCGAACTTTTTTATGACACATCTGGCCTAAAAGTCTCATAGTAAACTGCTCGTCAAAAGCAACATCATAAAAGGAATTTATTGATTGATGCCAAATATGGAAGCCTTTTTTCACGTGTGAGTTTAGATTTTTCCACACTGCCCGCATCGACAATGTGATTCTTGCTGCGTTTGAGGATGAGTACGGAGAGAATCCCAAGAGAAGACGGCTCGAGGCCGAGCGCATCGCTATGAATCTTCCTAAATAAGCACCTTGTTGGATTTGCATCTTATATTTCTGTTGTTGATGGCAGAATACGTCTGTTCAACTGGTCGAGTGCATTCTTCCGGATTTCTGCCATTATCTGACCTCATTTTCTATTCTATCAGTTCCCACTATCTTCAAAGATAATAGAGATTTTTATTTCCAAATAAACATACTTTTATTTCTGATATATCCTGACGCGCAACTTTGGGCAAATAGTGACGTTTGTCCATGGCTCGCGACATTTCCTTCATTTGCAGCAGATTTCCTACTGAGTCTCTATTTTCGAAAATTCAAGGACGAACATCGCGCCCTGTGAACTCAATCCCGAGTCGCTTTGCAGAGACCTGTCGCCAAAATTTGAGTACTGTATTTCGATTTTGACGCAATTTTTATAGAGCCATCACGATGAAGTCCGTGAGTGCCATCTCGGTGACTAGCGCGAAAGGTTGAGAATAAATTCCATCAAGTCCTAGTCATCAGGACACATTGCCCGATCAAAAAGGCCAGTATATTTATGAGCAGTCTTCGTGGTGACCCGCAGACGGTTGAACTCCTTATGATATATTCTTATGAGTAGATTATGTGTAGAACTTATTAAGATAGAGAACCCACTCTTTTATATTTGATATCTAGTTCATATCATTTTTTAATTTGTCAATTCTCTATGAACGTTCTCAACGTTAGAATTCAATTCTCATCTTTATCAATGTTCCTAGCATCAAAGTGGTATCAAAATATTCCTGCAAAATTAATTTGATGTTAGAAAGAATATTCCAATTTCAATTTTTGTACATTACTAAGTACAATTTTATTTATAAAAATAAACATATAACTAGTAAAATTCTTACACAAAAGTAAAAGAAGACGGTTAATGCCGATAACAACAGAGATGTGATTATTAAATCCTAACGTGAAAAAGTGCAAATTTTACAGTGTTTTTACGATGAATGGTAGTGGGAAGCGCACAGATAAGCATGTACATATAAACATTGACAGATAAGCTGTTAGCAGGTTTAAGTACGGACTGTTAATAAATAGGTCAGGTCCAACACTCGTTTGCACAAAAACATCCGCGGTGAGGTAGTAAGCATAGTAGGTAAAGTTGCAAATAATCATAAGTTTGAAGTTTTCTAATTTCTTAGCCCGTTGAATCGTCTTCTTCTCCCGAGATAAGGTCTCAAGGATTGTCTCCTAATGTCTTGGAGGGATGCCCTTCCGAATGTAGTTCGATTCTGTCCACTTTTGGGGTGGTGGTGCTTATAGTTGTGGAGGAGGTAGCTGCGGTCGGTATCGCCCGCCGGATGCTCTTGAGTAAATGCTTTTAGACTTAGCGGGCCGCAAAGCACAGCTATAGGAAGAAAGATCATCGAAAGTCGGTAAAAATGCATGTCGTCTCTGTGCACGGATAATTTAACTCACAGGCTCACAAAAGGATCAATCGGATTTTTGTTTTACAATTACACGCATTTCCTGGTTCATTTTATATTTCTCAACAGCGTTTCGCCACAGCGCCACCCCAGGCATGAGTTCGCCGAGCGGCGCGCTGTAAGCCCAGCGCCGAGGTTTTTACAAAGTTCGTCTTCTTTCCGATGATTATATGAAAAGAATATGAACCTCTACGGAAAATTGCGTATTTTGAGCATAAGATTTTATTGCTATTAGTTCTTGCTTGTTGACAAATTGCTTTTGAAACCTGCAAGATGAAACATTGTAAGGCGCTTCTTGGAAAAATGTAGTTGGGTGAAACAATACGAAAATGAGTCCTTGATTTTCATTATTTTGAAATTTGAGATCAACGTTCTCAGAAGGCCTTGATCGTATTTTGATCCCAGACAGTACATAAATCACTTTAAGTACACACAATGTTTTTAAGGTAGATTTTTGCAAGGCCTGCTTCGGAGAATCGCGCTCAAGATAGCCCTGAGCAAACAAGGCGACGACTGCATACCGATATGGTTAAATGAACTTTTTCTGGAGGTCGGATCGGGTCCGTTCAATTACCTTATATAATATTTACCCAGTCTCGACAATGAAACATCGAAAGAGTTTGTCCCTCATAAAGAGTCACTCCCAAGGACATACTGTTACAAAGAGTTTGGATCGCGTTGTTTTATTTATAAAATTAGAATCAGAAGATACAAAAATTAAAATTATTATTCATGGAGTGATTTGCATGGAAGTGATAGTTCGGAAAGGACGAGGGAGGGAAAGATTCAAGGTCAATGGGAAGCATTCTGGGCATCAATCTTTGCGAGGATAATTCTTTTGAACAAATGTGCTAGTAAATTTTAGTAGTAATGATGATATCATACGATGATATTTATTTCACTTTATATGACTCGAGAATTCCTTAAAAGGCTGATTCACATTTAAACTTAGCGAAAAGACTTCCTTTTTTTAGCTGAATCATAAGTCGCTAAATATAAGTCATCGTTTCGGAATTTCCGGAATTATCCAGAACCTTAACAAGCGGCACATTTGTTCGCATCGTTCACGCAAGTCCGACATTTCGGGCCTTCTTCTCGGATCCGGCTGTATACACATGGAGATAAGGTCCCTTAATTCTTTCGAGTACATATTTCCAGGTAGAGGCGGGTAGTCGCAGTTTTCTAATACCTCGGATTTCAAATATAAGCCCCCTTTGCGTCAGAATATATTTGGGTGGTATTTAACCTAGTTAAAAGATCCCCAGTCGCATGTGATTTCTCGTTGACGTCAAAGTGACATTTTTCAAAATCCAGTGCCTATTCTTTTGCATAGCGAGTACAAGTTCATCCCCTCTCCGTAGAAGGGACTCTTTCCAAAGCCTCAACAACAAGAAAACAAATATAAATAGGCGCCACTAATTAATTTGATGCTGAACTTTTCCTGAAGCGCGGCAAGTTCGTATAGAAGGCAGCCCAAGGACCAAATGTCAGATTTGAAGTTATAGCCGGACTCGTTGATTCGCTCGGGCGACATGTAATAGGGAGTTCCGACGAGGGACTGCGCCTCCACCGTGGCTGCACTGAGATTGGGCTGATCAAAGATAAAAAATGTGGGCAAACCATTCGCTTGTTTAAGACCTGAAAAAGCAGTTCTAAGAGCATCGCTGACGGAATTCAAATTCTCTCCTCGACAGGTGTTTAAAAAATTAATGGCGGCTTATTAAATGATCTGTCAAAAACGTTTTCGTCGAAGGTCGCCGCATTTTTACATTTACGTCACTGTTATTCTCAGAATGTGGCACTCAAATACGCCCTTCAAAGTGTATGGCGAGAAGTCTAATAGTAAGAATATCAAAAATGAACTTTGAAACGTACGAGCCTGACATTTTCGTAATTTGCACCGATCGGCGGCTCAAGAAGGTGCACAACATTCACGTGCATGATGAGCACGAGTCAATAAAATGGCCAGAACGAGGTTAGTCCCACGCTACTCTAACTGACAGGTCGAAGTTTGAACGCCGTCAGAGCCCGTAGATCTGCTCTGACAGCCCTTCCTGAAGAAGCGTCCAAGTCCGAGATCCCCAAGCTTAACGAGTCCTTGCTGCGTGATGAATACGTTCGCCGGCTTAATGTCTCGATGCATTATTCGCCTAAATTATTCAGGTGAACTTAACGAATATTCAACTTCTCCCTCCAGTTTGAATGTCTAGAGCTGTCACTTGCTCCCTGACGTCTTATCTGAGCTATTTGACAAAAAAGGATGACTTACTTGGAATGCATGTGCTCCAACGCTGAGCAGAGTTGAGCGAAGTACCTCCAAATAGTCTTTTCTGTATTCGATGGTTATGTTCTCAATTTCCTAGGATCCTTTCACCTGGGATAAGTTTCTCCTGTCTCTTAAAGACCTTTATCATTCGCCCTAAGTCTCCAGCATCTGCAAGTTCGAGGACGATAATAAGCTCGTTATTTTCAATAAATGACGAAATGTACTGGATAACATTGCTGTATGAAGTTAAGAATGTCTCATTCGAAAGATTATTGATAATTTTTCAAAACTGTCCCTATGAGATAGTTGCTTGAGAAGGTCAATCTCATTTATGCAGTCGGCTCTCGATTTTGCGTCCAACATGTTTACCAACTGAACTTTTTTCAGCGCCACTTTTTGGCCATCGCATTTGGATAAGGCTAAAATTGACACATTCAAGTAAGAATGCTCTAAACAGTTTCTAACCTCGATAGACCTCGGAGAATTGGCCCTTTCCAATTTTTCGCCCGATCTCGAAATTTGACAGCGCATCATGTAAAAACGGATTTTTATTGAGGTACTCTTTTTCATAAGATGAAATTATTAGAAACCCGTATATTCAGGCGGATAGTTGGATTGAACAGAATTCATGCCAAAGCGCGATCAAGCCCGTCCGATATTCTCTTTTGCTATTTTCTGAAAAATGACATTTCTTTTGAGATATTTTAATCAGAAGTTTGATTTATTTTTTAGAAGTAGTGAAGTCAATTATTTGCAATATTATTAATAAGAAATCAGAAAATATGCACTTATTTTCTTCATGAATTGAAAGGGATAGGAAAGAATCAACCAATGAACTTGTAAGCGGAACTGTCGTACTGGAATGAAAACAAGGAGGAGCAAGGCATATTGGTGAGCAGATATGTTTGAAAATTTTCATTATTTCCATGGAGGTCTCTTCAAGAAAATAGATGACAAAACTTCTTAGACGTAAATAATTACCGAGTCAATTGAAGAGTTTGAACTGGCCGGTCTCAATCCGTTTCCATTCGTTCTGTGCTTTCCTTCAGATAAATGTAAAACTCCGCTCATTTGTTTACGTTGCATCGACCCTGTAGGTTTCCTACTGACTGCATCGGGTCTGTCGGGATTATAATCAGGGAATGTCTCGAGATGCTTCGACTAGGATAATCACATAATCACCAAATCAAATCAAAGAATTGAGCATGTCTTACTATGGGCGGTTATCTTACCGGCATAATACCGCTATTTGATAAACCTGGCGAGTCTAGACATAATTGCATCAACCGGATGCATTCTCCCGTCGAGAATACAAATTCCGAAGTGTTAAATAAACCGAATAACGAAATTGGCGTCACCGCAAGCTAATTTCACCGCCACGTATTGATAAGAGAAGCAATTGTGCTTTGCTTATCGAAAATGGTAAAATATAGGCACCAATTAACCTTTTATGGAATATCCAAGTTTGGCTTTGAATTTCGACGTGAGAAGAGTGATGGCTTATCAGTGTGCTAATTAAGAGTATTCATGCACGAGTATGAATCAAACATACCCTGGAATTATTGAAAATGCCGTCGATAAATTTTTTGCCTTTGTTTTTTAGATTGCTTACAACTCCAGCAGAATGACCCAGAGAAGCTGTACCATTAGCTAAATATCTTGTAAATATTGAATTAACGCGCAAATTACCGTGTTGAAGATGATTTAGTCCAAACCCTATCAAATCTTCCTCTTGGTGATGGGAAGACGGTCCTGGTCGGTCTACGACAGATTTTTTGGTCTTGCTCTGACTTTGTGTCATTGAGTCTCTCAGAAGAGTTTCTTCTACTTTTCGACCATCATAACTCGAAGATACGGAGTGTGTTGGAGACTGAACATGATGGCGTGGAGAGGCTCTAGAACTAGCTCGAACGACATGTGAAGCTCCAAGGTCAACTCGTGGGGGTAAAGTATCATTAAAATTTGGATACAGTTGATTATTGAGTTGATCGGCATTTTTTTGGTTTCTCCTTTCATTATCTATCATATTATTCCACTCATCAGGATATTTTTTCGGATTGTAGCTTCGAGTAAATCGTCCTTCTATATGATTATTATCCATCGGTTTTGTGACCCTGAATAGCTTCCAGCGACTCCCAATCGTCGTTGATATTCTAGTCGTTCCCACTCTGCTTTCTTCAATTTTTCCTTCCGATCTCTGTCCTCGGCCTCTTGTCGTCTCTTGTCGTCCTCCTCCTTTTGTTTTGCTCTGCGCATTATTTCTTCTACCTCTTTTTTCTCTTTCTCCCTTCTTTCCACCTCGGCAAGTCGTCTCTTGTTCTCTTCCTCGACGAGTCGTCTCTTCCTCTCTTCCTCCGCTAAACGTTGCCTTTCTGCTTCATCTTTTCGTTTTTTCTCTTGCTCATATCTCTTAAGTTCTATCTCTTGCTCTCTGATTTTTTTTATCCTCTCTTCTTCTTGTTTTAGTCGAAGTTTTTCGGCTTCTTGCCTTTCTATTTCTAGCTGTCTTCTTTGCCTCTCGATGGCTTCTTGGTGTTTTCGTTCCGCTTCGAGTTTTTGTTGCATCTCAAATTCTTTTAACCGTTTTTCTTCTTCTTCCATAAGCTGTTTGGCAAATGCAGCGTCTTTTAGTTCTTGATCTTCTTTTTCTTTCATTGCCCTATTGGTGAAATCATCAGCAACTGCAATTTTTTGAGGAGAGAAATCATTATCATAAGTAGTTTCTTCTTTCCGAAGAGCATTTTCGAGATTGAGCTTCTTGAACTTGTCAAGTTTGCTATAAAGAAGCATACAGGGCTGTTGATAATTCTTCGTCATATGATTCATAACATTAATCCAGCTGGAGGATATAACGTTAACGTTGTTATCATCAAGGTAAACCCATTTCTTCATTTTCGTATGAAAAATATAAGCAGTGTAGTGCATTCCATAGTAACAAACAATTCCATTTAGAAGAAGTTCTGAGTCAATCGACGAATCATCAGTAATTTGATCATAAAGGTCGTCGATTTTCATTCTGCAAGGAACCTTGTTGATAAATATTGTAATATCGTTGAGAGGTGTCCGCTGGCTGTCCCATCCAACAGAAATAACAAAACTTTCGGCAGCATTTTCCAGGCGTTTGATAAGATTGTACTTGCCGATGCAATTATTTCGAGAGCAGTCGTTTCCAGGGCCACTGTTTTTGAATAACTTCATGAAGGGGGTATAGTTCGGAAGATTTATAACATCACGAGCAGAGACCCATTTACTCAACTCTGACTCTATTTGATACTGGGTGTCATAGCATTTATCGCAAGTTCGTTCCTCAACGATATTGTGATGAAATTTTTGATGAACAAGACAGTGTTCTTTCTCGCAGGGCGATTTCGAGTTGTCTTCGCCAGTTAAGTGAACGTGGAGAACTTTGAGAACAGTTTCATACGCTTCGATCGGATCACCCATTTCGCCAGCAACAAAACTCTGATTAACTTGTGTCAACGCTTCTCGTAGCTCGTCTGGTGGAATCGACTGATTGTTTCTAAGAAATGATAAAATTAGGTTACTACTTATTGGTAAGTTTACTTACTCATAGATGTATTTTTTCAGTAATCTTTGAATTTGACAATAAACACATTGTTCGCGTCTGCATTTGTAATGTCCTCGCGATTTTAGTCGATGAAGACTTTCACGGAAGCCGTCTTGATGCCATAAAAGTTGGATTGTCGCATTGAGCCAGCAATTATTTTGACCCTTGTGGTTGTCTAGCCCTTTGCTCTCCCTGAAGTCTGTAAAGCTTGTTGTGGAAGGATTTCGTTCACTCATTTCATTTGAAAGTTTTCTCGCCGATTCCAATTATCAAACTAAATGAATCATGCTTACGCGGTGGCTAGAAAATAGTTTTGGTTTTTGAAAAAATAGAAGGCAGGAATGGACGATTTTCAGTGACACCGTTTGTTTTAAATTAACCCAAGCTGGGGAGTCTATGCTCTCCGACCACAGTTATCACAGAGGGTTCCCTAAAGTACCAGCATGTAGCTTAGGGTCTGATCTGTGGCGTAGGGGTACTTAGAAAAAGTTATTGTCACATGTTCTTTGACTTATGACGTCATTAAGCCGGAAAAACCCGATTTCGCTCATTTTGAACCCTTTTGGGGAGTCTATGGACTCGGAGTACAGGCATCATACAGTGCCTCAATGCAGCTAAAATAAGAGGTAAAGGTCTATTCTGTGGCGTAGGGGGGTTAAAATAATCTCAGGATGTCCTCATCCCTTTTCTAGAGGGGTTCAAAAAACGGGTGGATAATATAAAACAAACGGTGTCAGTACAAAGGGCGTTGACTCATTTAGAATCAAGAATTTTACAAAACTTCTCAACAGATTTTCTTTCTTTCTGCGAGAGTGTCTCTGAGCGTAAAAGCGTGTGAAGTTGGCTCTTTAGGTTTGGATTTGAGTTCGTTTTCAACATGTCTCCTGCTGCGACGGGCTTTCTCGCGTGCTCTTCTGGCGCTTGTGACGCTAGGACTTTCTGAAAAATAAGACTCAGACGTGGTAATAAACGAGCAACCTTTGTCGGGCTATTGTTGGATCATGCTTATTTAGGGGGATCCTGGAAAGTTACCTGGAGCATGCTACGTAACATTAGTTCACGTTCAGAGAGCGCACTTTTAGGAGAATCATCTTGAGGAATATCGATCCTAGACATGTCTGGTAAGCTTGGAACATTTCCTGGGCGCATGAGAGGACTGGAACTACGCCGTCTTATGTCGGGAGTCGACTGCATTTGGGGAATCGAAGGCATGGGTGAAATATCCATCATATTAACGTCATTCATCCTGGGGTCACTCACTCCTATAGCATTTAGCCCTTATTAAGGCTAGAGTAATAAATTCTATGGAATCCTCCAAAGGGGACAATAAAGATATAAAATAAAAACTATACAGCCGAGAAACTCATACTCCCGCCCAGCCTTGTGTGTAATGGTTCTGTAAGAACTGCTTCATCTGCTGGTTAACAGCTTCGCGCATCGATTTCTTTACATCCTCCAGCTCCTATCAAAATATATATAGAGCGGAAGTTTATTCGATTTTTCGGGGTCGTACCTGTATGTGAGCTCGTCGTAACGCATCGATTTCAGCTCTAAGCTGCAGTTCTTTACCATGGAATTCGTTTTGTAGAGCTTCTTCAGCTTGGCTATGACGGGCAGTCGATTCAGCAAGGCGTTTTTGAATTAAAGCCGCATGATACGCTTCCTGCTTCTGGAGTTCCGCTCCTTTCGCCGACTTAAGAAGATTTTGAAATTCCACTACGGAAATCCTCACGGGGCAAAGAAAACTTTCTCATTCCAGCCATCCTACCTTTTCCTCCTTGATTTTATTCTGCAGCTGTTCATTCAGTTCGTTGCTCTGTTTAAGCTCTTTTTTGCACTTGTCAAGGGAGTGATCCAGTTCGCATTTTTCGCTGCGAGCTGTTTTAAGCTCGTTTTCAAAGTCTCTGACTTTCGCTTCTAATTCCGCTTTGACTTTGGATATCTTTTCCTTTTCGATTTGCGTAGCTTTGAGGTGTTGCTCTCGCGCTGACTTCGCCTTGTGAGTATAAATGTCAACATTAATAATATCTATTGACTTTTACCTGATCTGTTTGAAATTTTAAAAGTTCGAACTGGTGCTGCACCGCCGCCGTTTTCTTCTGCGCTTCTTTATTGCAACGTTCAAAGTTGGCGACTTTTGATCGTTCAGATTCGAGCAATTTCTTGAGATTGGCAATTTTCTGATTGAGAGAACTTCGCTCTTCTGTTGACTCTTTCCTCAATGTGTCGAGCTGTTGAGTAAGGTCTTTGTTATCCTTTTCAATATTTGCCCTTTCAGTTTTCCCTTCTTCATGCTGCTCCTGCAAATGCTGTCTTTCTACAGTTACTTCATTTAATTTAAACTCGAGGTTTTCTTTTTCGATCTTCAAACTCGCGTAGTCGTTTTCAAGCTCGGTAAGAATCTCCATCATTTCTTTCAGGCCATTGTCTTGCTTTTTTAAGATTTAAGATTTTGATTCATAATTTTCTTCATAAAATTGAATGCTAAATCCATTCCTGAATAATCTTCGATTGGTTTTTCTCATTCTCGTCAAGAAATATACTCTTGGCGGCCGAAAGCATGTTCGTGGCCGATTTCAAGACTTGATTTTTCTTGGCACAGTTCTGATTGACAAGAAAAAGCGACTGTTCAAGTTTGAGTATTTGTTGCTGCAGTTCGATAATCTTATGCTCGGCATGGGCGAGTTTCTCGAGTGTTTCTGAGTCCTTGCTTTCTGGCATTTCAAAGACGAGCTCATCGAATTGCTGCTTGAGAGATGACGGCTCTAGGGCGAGCACTGACGATAACTTGCTCTCGATCGAGTTGACACGTGAAAGACTCTCCGTATCCGTGAACTGTAGAGTTCGCACCACTTTAGCATTTGGCGAGATCTCCCGTGGTGAGCCTACAGGAGTCGATTCCACTAGAAGCAAATGTTAAATTCCACTCTTTTTCCATCAGAATTTACCGTTTTCATCTGGGCGAAGCGAATCAAGCGAAATCTGCAGCTCCGATATGTCACACAGACCATCTTCATTTTCAGCCATTCTAGCATCAAATGCGTCAATCATCAAAATGGAATTCAATTCAATATTTCAGTACAAGTAAAAAATAAAAATCAAGCTTTGAAAGTACAAAAATAAAAATCAGAAATCTTCGATGACTTCTTTGACCAAATGTCGGAGTTTGTTGCGCCGGTCTTCGCGTTTCTTCTCTTCTTCGTTGAATTTCTGAAAGAATGAGTAAACAATCTAGTTGCTCTGAGATAGTAAAGAAGACCTTTAGCTTTCTCCACATTTTTATTGAAATGGATAGTAACGATTTATTGTGATGAGCAACAGCGATCTTTTCTCCGCGCCATAATTCAACTTTATTGTTCATGACTTCTTGACTCCAGAGAGCGATGCACTTTCGTGGAAGTTTCGCCTTGTAAAAAGCATCGGCGCGGTTTTGTTGGAAATGTTCAATTTCTTTGATTAATTTCCAGTGGGTGATTATATTTGAAGTAAGTTTTTGGTAGCGGAAATGGTCGGCAGTTCTAAATCACAAAGTCGAAACGCTAGAAAGCGAAAAAACAAACCGTTGATTCGCTGTTAGTTTTTGCTGGACAAACTCACTCCAGCGAGTTAAAAGAGGCCGGAGCTTTTCAAGTCGCGCAGTTTTGACCTTTTCAGTGTTTTTCGCTTTCTCCGCGATGCTCCAAACTTTCAAAGCGTTTAGTGACCTTCTTTTCAGTAGTCTTTTGTGATGTTCGTTTGCTCGTTTGATATTTTCTTGTGCTTTTTGTTTGGCTTCTTGCTTCAGTTTTTCTTGGTTTTCTTTCGCCTGCTTCTGCGCGATGAGCTCTTCTCGCTTTCGTTTTCTCTCTTGGAGAGCTTGTTCGTTTGCGATTCTTCGCTCTTCCCGCTTTTTTGCTTCTAGTTCTTCTTCTTTCTTCTTTTTCAAAGCGATGATTTCGTTTTTCCGCTTCTCCCGTTCGAGTTTTCGCTCTTCCATACTCAACACACTTTTGTGAGGCTTCACCAGCGACTCGATTGTCTTCGAGACCACTCTCTTGCTCGATGGCGTCTCAGGCTTACTCTCCGAGATGAGAGAAGATTCTTGTTTTTTACGTAAACGATCATCGCGAGTCCGCTGAGCTTTCAGAAGCTTGAATTCGTCCTGGAAATTTTTTATCATAGCCTTGGTATCACAAGCTGTAGTCGACTGATCCGTCTGAGGATAATCCTCATGTGGGGTCGCTTTTTGACTTCCGTCTGCGGGATAGAATGGTATGATCGGAGTTACTTCCGGCGTATCTTCAATATCTTCTAGTGGGTGTGTCCGCTGTTTCAGCTTCGAGAGTAAACTCTCCATTTTGCTTTTCATTTCTTGTTCGGCTTCGAGGAGCTTGCGCCGCTCGCATTCTTGCTTCGCAAACAGACGCCACGCTGTGAATACCCTTGTGATGAGGATTTCATCCTTTTGCTTTGTGACTCGAGACTCGAAAAGGCGCAGCGTCTTTGCTTTTTGGATTTCCTCCGCCATGATCTTGTCGTTTTGGATTTTCTTGGCCCATCGTCTCCAGCCGCTGAAAACTTTGCGCGTTACATGCCAGTCTCTTTTACGAAGCTTATAATTTCATCCCTTCTAAAGAGAAATTTCAATTTATTTAGCTCGTTCCTGCAAGCTTGTGCCATGCCGCTCTGTTTCCTCCTTTCTACCAAAATCAAGGACCAAGAATTGAAATAACGACGAAGAAGATTCAGGCGCTCTCTTTTGTGATTCTCTATCTTCTGTTGAATGATGATTTTGTTTCTAGCTTCGAGCTTCATCTTCTGCTCCATCTGCTTTCGACGCAGTTCTTGGAGCTTCTTTATTTCTTCGGCCTCAGCTTGTTTCTTCTTCAGCTCCTTCATAGATTGTAAATCTGACTGCTGTTTCGCCTTTTCTTCTCGCCCTCGAGTTCTTTCCGGAGCCGGAGAATTTCGGACGTGATTGCTTTATCTTCCTTGAGCCTGGACTTTTCTCGTCGAACTTTCTCTTCTTGGTACTTTTTATGTTCTTCTTCGCGGGCAGCCCTTTCCGCCGCCAGTCTAATTTGACTTTCTTTTCTGCGCTGCTCTCTCTTGGCATTTATAAGATTGACCCGTTCTCTGTAACGCTGATGTTAATGTCAAGTTCAGGGCTAGAAAACTCCCTTCTATAATTCATTAACTTTGATTGGACCAATTTCATTCATTTTTGATGAGGTTATTACTGTAAGAATGTCTCTAGCGTTTCCTTTGAGCAGCTCGAAAGTTGACTTTTGGCTCTGCTTTAGGAAGGTTCTTTGATAGGTCGATCGTCATCAGCCGTTGGATAAAAGCATCTGTGTTGTTGATTGCCTCATTAGACAAGTGATCAGAAGTTTCTTCCTCTTTCAAGTATTTGGAAACGAAATCGCCGGCGGAGTTGATGCTTTTTGGGTCAACCTCCGTAATCGCGCTCAAGCCGGCATATTCCAGATCCTCGAGCAAAGCCTGAAATTCCCTTTGTCGAGAATATTTTTTCCTCAATGCTTACTCTTGTGCGGGGTGTTTCTGGTGTGGCGGAGCTCCTATTTGGAGGATATGCCTCCGGCGCTTTTACTGTCCAGGTTTGCAACAATGCTCGAGCGTGCTCAACTGCCGTGTCCGTTTCGGTCACCTGTGTCCTCGTCCGCGTCAACAAGTCTGCCTGATCGACAGCATTTTTAACCGCCCTTTCAAGCTCAAATGCCCAACTCGAACTATCCATTGTCTTTTATTACTATTTTTTCATACTGAACAAAAACTGATGAGATCGACTGCAACTTGGTTTATTATTATTTAGCTTGTGAAACAAACGGAACATACAGAATGGGTTGAATATAGAATTGACAGACGGTAGGTATTTTTTGCTGTTTTTTTTATGAATTTTGACTATTCGGAAAATTTATTCTTCCTGGGACATGGACGGGTAGGCCCAGTCCTTGATGTGAAAGTGAGTGCGCTTGATTGCTTGTGGAGAGACGAAGCGAGAGGTGTAGAGAGGGCCGCCTGCCTTGTCGTTGGTTCCTGACTTGGCAGCTCCACCAAACCATTGCTGGCCAACCACAGAACCGGTAGACTGAAGATTATTATGAAAGCATCTTTTCAAAAGATCTTGGCTTACTTTGTCATTGATATAAAAGTTTCCGGCAGTTTGGCGAAGTTTCATCGTCAATTCTTGAACAAGAGATTCTTTTTCGCAATAAATAGCACCAGTAAGAGCGTAAACTAAACATGTCAATTAAACACTGTCGGGAACTGAGAAACTTACTAGAAGTGTCTTTCATGATTTCAATAGTTTCGTCCATTTTGTCGTCTTCGTAGACGTATACAGTAAGAACGGGGCCGAAGATTTCTTCTTGCATTGTCAAGCATTTTGGATCGTTGGTGAGGATGATTGTTGGTTCGACGAAGAAGCCCTTGGATTTGTCGTATCCGCCGCCAGCGATGATTTCGCAGTTGGGATCGGCCTTGGCAGCGTCAATATATCCTGATACTCTGTTGAATGATGCTTCGTCAATGACTGCAGACATAAAGATAGAGAAATCATCGACGGTGCCCATCTTCAACTGCGAATGGATAGACAAGAGATTCTCTCTAATTTCTGCCCATCGAGAAGCAGGAAAGTAAGCTCTAAAATATTCATTATCCAAAGTGAGATAAATATATTGGATTTTACCTGGAGCAAGCGGAGCACTTCTGGCCAGAGTATTCAAAGGCGGATCGAATAGTTCCGACAGCCACGTGACGCACATCAGCAGAGTTGTGGACGAAGTGGTAGTTCTTGCCGCCACACTCGCCAATCATAGCTGGGAATGTCTTGAAAAGGGGCAAGTTCTTCGAAACTTCCATGTTCAGATGTTGGAAAGTTTTAACTAAGAGACTCTAGTTTATGATTACGATTTGAGAAAGTTACCAGATCCCGTAAAGTTGACCATAGACAAGTATGGGTGCTCGCAAATTGCTTCGCCAAAGACGGGCCCATCAGCAGGAACGAATTGAATAATATTGTCGGGGAGGCCGCACTCTCGAAGAATTTCGTAGACCAAGTAGTTGGAAAGGATTGCCGTGTCACTTGGCTTCCAGAGAGTAGGATTGCCCATCATTGCAGGGGTACCGGCGAGGTTACCACCAATGGCAGTGAAGTTGAAGGGGGAAATGGCAGCGACGAAGCCCTCTCGTCCTCGGTAGAAGATTCTGTTTGTGATTCCGACATCGGGCGAGAGCGGCTGAGAGGTTTCAAGCTCGAGAGCCGACTGGGCGTTGAAGGTGAAGAAATCGATCAGCTCGCAAGCGGCGTCGATCTCAGCCTAAAAGCCGATTGAAGAAGTGAACATGCGGTTTCATCAACTCAATACTCAATTACGAACCTGAATGACATTTTTGGCCTGGCCGGCCATCGTCGTCGCGCAAATATCTGCTCGCTTGGGCCCTTTGATCATTTCGGCAGCTTTGAGGAAGATTTGGACGCGATCTCGAAGTGGTCGATGCTCCCATTCATGCTAGGTTCATCTCGTTAGCACGCAAATTGTAAGCTGGCCTTTGTACCTGAGCAGCGACGGCAGCATCGGCCGCCTTCGTCAAAAGGTCTTTATCCGCCCAGTAATACTTGGCGATCTTCTGCGAGTGGTTGTAGGGCGAAACTTGATATTTGACGTTGTCATTTCTGATTTCTTCCCCGCCGACGATGATCGGAATGTCTTTGCAGGTGCTTTCAACTTTTGTCAACGCCTCTCGGAGCGCTTTTCGCTCTGCAGAGCCCGGCGCGTACGGCAGAATCGGGTCATTTACAGCTGAAAATTCAATTCGCTTACAAAGTAAATAAAAGAATTACCAATTGGGATCGCACCCGCCGCCCTTGATGATTTTCTCGCGACTCTCGAAAGCATTTCTAAAGAAAAAAAGTCGAAACAGATGGGAGGAGCACTAGTAGGCGTGCCCAAGCGTGGGCCTCACAAATAGACGTTCTCACGCCCTCGCGGCGAAAATACTTGAACTCAATTACGGAAACAAACTGTTCCAAAAAGAAACTCAAAAATTGAAAAATAAAAAAGTCCGGCGGTGATGGGCGTTGTCGGCGCCGGCTGGATAACTGCCAATGGCGCAATCTAAAAAGGGACAAATAAACACAATGATTAGTAAAGCAATTAATTCACCATTAATCTTCGCCATTCAATTTTGATTGGCTAGAAAACATCGACTTTGACCATTTGCATAAAGAATTTTCTGTCTATAAATTATGAATCACAACTATGATCCATAAATTACGGTCCACAATCAAACCATGGCCTTAATCTCATTTATGTTTCAAGAAGAATCGAGTCCGAACAGTCCTCCTAATTATGCGAAACAAAATGACTCAGGAAACTAATTAAAATTAATGTACTCATTGGCAAATTTGGCTTCTCGACAGCTATCCAATGGTCAATTCTTGCAATCTGAAGAATCTTAGACGCAGATGTGAGAAATCAGTTTAAAAAAATGATCATTTTCGCAGTGTCTTGATGTTTTTTCCTCGATATTTTGCATTTTTGACTGGCTGAGATCTAAGGTAAACTGATTACTTGGGTCAAACTATTATCTGTTGTCTAGAAAACAAAGAAGACTAATGTTGAATAATTTATCTGTTTTGTCTTGTTAGTCGTTCATTCTTGGATTCATTAATCTAACTCTGAATGCAGTTATTAAGTTCACTCTACAAGGAATCTTTTATGCAGAATCTGTCCTTATTCGCGGATATCTTTAGTATTATCCAGCTAGTGTTTCAGTGGTTTTGACGAAGTTGTTCGTCTGATATCAATTTTAAAACGGATCGCGTTTTTGCAAGTCTCATTTTTGTATTTCTAGTTCCCCAAAGAAGGGAGCATCCTTGCGTTTTCGGAGTACATTTTGTGACTGTCTAGAAATTAAATGCAAAGGCAATAAGGGAAAGCTTATAATAATTACATTTTCCGCCTTGTTAGTTTAGCTTGCATACCTTAGCTTCGTTTGTAAATAATTAATTTAGTATATGGTTGTGTCCATCTGATCAGTATATCTCGCGGAGAGTTACACTGCTGGGATCGCGAGAGAAATCTGTTAGCTGTGCATTATGGAGCCATAAATCTTCCCAGGGCACAGATACGATGATGAGAACCTAGAAAGCGTACGAAGTCGGCTCAGAACTGTCTGGCATGTTCGCGTACGTACGCCACCTCGCGCCGTTTTTGTTTTGAGTTTTCGGTCATTTTAGTAACAGAATGGTTAGAGAGTGGGCCGCGAAATGTCTTTGCAATTTTACGTATGGAATAACGCAAAAGGGGCAGGTAAGGGTGCACATGAAAGAAAGTCTAAATCGCTTTGTTAATCGCATTAACGCTGCATCGTCCTGCCATTCAAATTAACTTAATTTGAATCTAGCGAGATCTGCTCAATCCGCAGATCCAAAATCTCTCCCAAGCAGATTTGGCTGATCAGGAATTTCTTAACAGTATCTACGAAAATATAAGCAACCCAAAGGTAAAGCCAAAAACCTTAAAACTTCCGAAGAGCTATTCAGTTTTTGGATTTATCCCTCGAGTCCCAAGTTAGTATCGTCAGCTTGTCATTGGCGACAGTAATTGGAATCACCGCTAATATTTATGTTCTTCTCACTGTAAGTTGAATATATGCCACACTGAATTAAGCATGATGTTCTTAGATGACAGGAACCCTAAATGCAAGAACTAACTCATCACCTCTAATGATCAACATTGCTCTAGCTGATCTTTTATTGACACGGATCGAAATAAGTCTAATTGAAACAATGAAGGAATAGTTTGATCCCTTTGAAAGCTCATCAATGCACCATTCAAGATCTACCTTCAATACCAGAATTCGACTTCCAAATTCAACATTGGCTCCGGCCTCTTCAAGAATATTTTTTGCAAGGTATTGAATGTCTGCTTTGTTCACTTCAAATCTGCCCTAAGTACTATCACGGTGTCAAGCAACTTGGCATGCTAGCAACGCTGTTGAATGTGACAATGACAGCTGTTGTGCGGTATTCATCGTTGACAAGTTGGTCTTCGTACTCCGTTTCCACTTACAAGAAGATCGGACTTTTTGCTTGGGGAAGGATCTGCAAATATCTGAAATGACTGCAATGCCCTAATTAACTGTAAGCTTCTGATAAGTGAGTTCTCGGGGGACGGTCAATTATCGTCAAAAATTTACTTCCCCAGATAATTCGAATAACTAGCTTCGTAAATATCAAATGATCGAACTTGATTTTAAATGAAGAGCATAAATGTAGAGCCAAAAGAGATTCTTGCTGCATTATTCACGGTGCCGATCTTTGTGTACGCGGATGTGTTCATTGTTGGTGAAGCGGATGATCATTCGAGTCAAGTATGTAGAATTCGGTGGTCAAGAATCGGACGCGATGAATGCAAAGCTGTCGTTCTTGATTCCTATTCAGACTGCGAGATCGAGGTGGAATCATGTAGACAGCAAGTAAGTTTTCTTATGGATTGTTTGTTAGTATTAATCTGCTTTCTAGGAACCAAACGAGAGAGTGTATTATCTTATTGTGCTTTTCTTGGCCGTGATTCTTCCGATCGGAATAAGCTACTTGGCGAACATCGGCGTCGTCAGACAGCTCAAAAGTAATATCCTTACTTTCGAGACAATGTCAAAATCAAGTCTAGCGCATCAATCAACATTGGGCGAACTCACCCTCGAGAGTCCTTTCCTTGACAAACGGCGTCAGCAATTCCAGAAGACACAGAAAGCTGTCAAACGAAATGTTCTTCTGTTTGCGTTCGCTATTTTGTTAGGGGCCAAATGCGACAGTAATAATGAAATAATGTATCAAGACGATAAAAGTGCTTTTGAGCCAAGAGAAGATTTCCTGGTGCCCTGTTATAATTTGGCATCTGCTTAATATAATTAACGTCGAGATGGACAACTCTACTTGTTCAACATATTATAAACTGATGTCATTGTTTGGATTCAAAGCTTTTCTTGTGCAATTTTTGCACTGCAATATGTGAAGAATTCAGGTCACCAGTTGACGGCCATCAAGTCAGAAAAATGACAGCAACCGTTACAAGACAGCATTATTTTTGACAGACAGTCTAATTAAACAAATGAAATTGAGTAATTGTCAAAAAACATATGAATCCGTTTAAAGGCTCCATGGTTAACACCAGTTTTAAATCCGATTCTGTACATATTTGCTGGTGAACAGACGCGAAAAAGATTTTTGAAAGTATTCAGGAATGGCTTATCTTTCAAAAATACTTCATAAATACAAGAAAACATAAAGCCAGACTCAGGAGAAAAAGATCAATAAGGCTTTCAATCTGGTCTTCGAAAAAGGTATGAGTTGAAGACATGGAAGAGTATTAGTTTCAATTTTAGACATGCACTACCTCGCTGGAGACGCGAACCCGATGAACTCGGTTATGAGACGAACAACTTATTTATGAAATTTCGAGCTGAACAATAAAAGTTATTAACATCCAAATAAACAAATATAGTTGCAAGATGCTCGTGCGGATCTGAGTCGATGGAGATCCTTTCCATCGAGATGCTTGAATTTTCCTGAGTTGATATTAACTCGATATTAATCTTGATAAATCTATCTCGAGTATATAAAGAGCTGCCGCGGAGGCAAACGCTCATTCTTACTTTTTGCTAAGAACCAAATATAAATTTCGATTTTTTCTTTTCTGACAACAACGACGACTATGGCTGGCCGTGGACGTGGGAAGCGCTCCTCTAGCGGCAATCCCTTCGACGAGGAAGACCTTGAGTCGACATTCACCGATCTTGACGTTCGGTCAGTCTTCTCTGACAGGCCCCGCGTTGGACGAGGTCTTGGTAGAGGAGCCCGAATTCTCGCCAACACCGATCCTCTGAGTGGCGAATCATCGCTCCCGACATCAGGAGGAACCTCAACCTCGTCTAGCTCCGGAGGACGATCTCAATCTCGAGGTCGCGGCCGACCCCGAAGCCGAGGGGGGATAATCGTCCCTCCTCGTCGACCGCAGTCAACTGAACAGTTCCATGGCGTTCTTGATGAAGACAAGCTCTCAAGTATTTGCCAGAACGACGAGTCTGCGTACAGTTTCTTCGAATGCCCAGTTGAAAAACGCTCATCGTCCTCGGATGATAAGATCTTGGGTAAGAAAGGAAACTTGCTTTCCATTTCACAATCCACGCTACCAAAGCTGGAAAAGAACAAGTACAAGAAGGACAGTACGATGCAGTTGGCTCAGCGACCTGGCGCCGGGGTTAAAAATGTCGCAAAATTCCAAGTAGCTACGAACTTCTACGTTGCGAGTGGGAAGCCGTAAGTGTACTGGTATTTAAAAATCGAGTTAAAAAAATAATTCAGGAAAAATGCTTACCTATACCGCATTGATAGCGAGCTTCTTTGCGAACGTGCTGATGGCAAGCCTCCTATTCTCAACTATGAAGAAGCCATGAATTTCTTCGAGTTGTTCGCGAACCAAGTCTACAATCTTAATGGTTCTCCTACCAGCAGCTCTTCAAGCTCGTCCTCCGAGTCTGAGACTTCGGCTCCAAAAAGTCCAATGTACTTCGACGGCGGCAATCTTTTCTACACTCTCGAGAGAATCGAGGATCAAGAAATGGTTGTCTTCAGACCAGACCGTCCGAATCATTGCAAGTACAAGAATGTTCTTGTGAGGATCAAGAAGGTGAAGGACTTGTCGCTGTTTTTCGACAAAGATATTGGACAGTATGACCAACTGGTGCTCCATATGCTTGAAACCGTCTTGAAGGCCTCTCTCTACAGAAAGGTAAAATGATCCATCATGAATTGCATTGCATTTTATATTTTTAGGACTACACTCGGGTTAAGAACAGCTTCTATCTTCTAAACAAGACAGCTCGTCCGGCAGACTGCCGCATCCCTGGAAAAGACGTCTTCGCCGGCTTTCACATCACGATGAAACACGTCCAGTCCGGCCTCGCTATTCAGCCCAAAGAAAAGCTTGGTGTCTTTCACAAGTCTCTCCCTGTTCTTCACTACCTCAGTGACATTTTCCAGCAGGAAGTTGCCAACGAGCATTTTTGGTCTGACGAATACCTACGAAGAGAAGCGTGCAGAGTTCTCAAGGGCCTGAAAGTGATGCTCCACAGTAACACCAAGAGCAACGGAAAAATCAAAGTGATCAAGGACATTACCCGGGGAAGTGCCCAGTCGGAAACATTCACTCTTGCAGATGGCACAAAAACCAACGTCGCAGATTACTTCTACAAACGGTCAACAAATCGACAAGGACTTCAGTATCCACGTATTCCATGCATGACTGCCGGAGCTAGAACAGACTCGAACGGTCAAGTGTATGAAGAGCGCTTTCCGTTGGAGATGTGCGAAATAATTCCAAAACAACCCGTTAAAGGTAAAACGCTGATTAGTACTCAATTATTAAAAAAATAAGGAGTTTTGGACCCCGCTGCCATCAGCTCCTTGATTAGAGTCTCGGCCAAGCCAGCGCCACAGACTTTCAATGGGATCAAGGACAGCATGAAACAAGCACGGCGCGAGCTCCAACAAGAGTTCGATAATCTTGACATCAAAGTGAGCGAGACAATGATCAAGGCAGAGGCTCGAGTGCTTCCATCTCCTACGCTCCAATACGGATGCTCCAGGGTTGAAAACATCATGAATGGCTCATGGAACCCTCGCAGATTCATAAAGCCAGTTACGATCAAGCGTTGGGGCTGTTGCATCGTCAGTCATCGATCCCAACGAAACTCGGTGGACACAGTAAACAGGGCTATGGATACCTTGTACAGAACTGCCAATGAGCATGGCATGACACTGCACCCTCTAGCTTATCAGAACATGCCAAACGTCATCAGTCCCAACGAGCTCGAAGAATTCTTGAAATTCTGCCGACAAGAAGAGTTCGAGTTAGTCCTGGTCGTCCTCGACAACAAGAACGGCCTAGAATATGCCCGCACCAAATTTATCTCAGAAAGACTCTTGGATGGCCTCCTTACACAGTGCGTTCTGATGAAAACACTGACGAGACTCAACAGCCAGTCCGCCTCCATGATCTTGATGAAGATAAACGCCAAGCTGAGTGGTTTCAATGCAACAATTGACTTCAGTCTTCTTGACTCATGCAACGAGCAAGCTCTTTTCACTCCCGACTTTCCTGTTATGGTGCAAGGTAAAATCAAGAAATGCAGCGATAAGTAGTAAATTTTAATTTTAGGACTCGAGACTAACGTTATGCCTGGGCAAAAATCAATTCTCGGTTTGACAACGTCTTTTGATCCCAACGCCACGAGCTACTTTGAGCATGTTGAGACCACTGACACTCCCAATCTCATGAAAGACTTGGAAAGGCTTGAAGTTGATGCGCTGCGCACCTATTACAAGATCACTCGACAGAAGCCAAAAGCCATCATCTTCATTCGCACAGCTGTGAACGAACACCAGATCAATGGAACTGTCGCGCACGAGTACTATGCGATCAAGAGTGCTTGTAAAGAGCTGCAGGACGACTACGAACCCAAGATCACCTTCATCATGGTGACAAAAAACCATGCAACTCGCATGGTGGCTATGGATCCCACCTACCAGATCGGCAAGTCGCAAAATGTTCCCGCTGGCACTGTTGTCGATACTTCGATTGTCGATCGGGAGCGCTTCGACTTCTATCTTCAGTCTTCCCAAGGCATCCAAGGTAATGTTGTCAATTATCAAAAAGGACCATTTCAAAAATGACCTTCAGGTACGTCGATTCCGGCTAAGTACATTGTCTGTAAAGACGAAAACAACTTGTCTGCTGATTCCGTCGAAGGCCTGTGCTACTACCTGTGCCATGGCTACGTTCGATGCAACCGAACTGTTTCCCGACCGAATGCCTTGATGTACGCTAGTCTCGCCACCGATCGAGCACGAACTTACTTCAAAGTGGCAAAAGACTACATTTCCGATGAACGAAAAGTAAGCCATGACATTCTTATGCTTAAACCTATCAAATCACACTTTAGCGACAACAGTTGGAGCAGCTGCCGGAAATCCTCGACGGCAAGTACAAATTTGAAGACCAACCACAGTCTGAAAAGAAGACTATCAGCCGACTCTACAAGACCATGTTCTATTGCTAAAAGAACATGCTAAAAATTACATTCTCCCATTGAAAACTTCTTTTATTTGTAAATTTCGTATTTCTCATCACCTCAGTCTTATATTTCAGCTTCCACACCAATACAACTCATCAATTTCATCCATCATTTCACTATTCTTACATTACCTCACTGCATATTCGACGCAGTCTCCTCGTTATTATACTCATCGTTAAATTAATCGTTGTATAAGCTGCAAATAAATATAATTCACAGTGCAAAGACAGCGTTTCAAATTTACTGTCGACCCGCTTTCGCCTTGTAAATAGCTTTGGTACAAATGAATATAAACCGATCAGAAAAGCATGGTTTTTCCATCATTAATTAACACAGGCTTCTCGTGGAAGTGTTTTCGTTGACATGGCAACTGAGAAATACGCGAAAGATTTTAGGTTTTGTAGGGTACTAATGAGACAAGCATGCTGGCTTCAGCAATAGTAAATTTCTTCCAGCAAAAGTCCTCAGCGAGCAGGGCGCCCACGCAACGACGCGCGTCCAACCAACAGTGGCGCGTGACACCACTTTTCACTATTTTTTCTATCTTCAGAAATTCCACTACTTACTCCGAAAAAGACCGACTTTCTACTCCTTCAGAGATCTTTTTAAAAGAAAGTAACTATTTGAGAATTTAGACTTGAACTTCGGATCAATTCAAAATGCCCCCACGAAAAGGAAAGACTGAAAAGGTCGAGGAAGTCGTCACCTTCGGCCCTAAGGTTGCCGATGGAGAGAACGTCTTCGGTGTTGCTCACATCTACGCCTCCTTCAACGATACCTTCATCCACATCACTGATTTGTCCGGAAAAGAAACCATGGTCCGAGTCACTGGTGGTATGAAGGTCAAGGCTGATCGAGATGAATCTTCTCCCTACGCCGCTATGTTGGCTTCCCAGGTAAGATAGACCCTTTATCTATTGGCTCCTAAACTAATCTTCCAGGACGTCGCCGTCCGAGCCAAGGAACTCGGCATCACTGCCCTCCACATCAAGCTCCGAGCTATGGGTGGTACCCGAACCAAGTCTCCCGGACCCGGTAAGCACCCACTCTTCTTTCCCCAATCGCCTTGTCTCCACTCCGCTCAAAACTTGAACGGTTTCTTCCCTTGGAGCAGGTCTTTGGCGAGCTGCTGACCCAGCTTTGACCCAAACTGACCGTTGACCTTTAGGTGCCCAGCAGGCTCTCCGAGCTCTTGCCCGTGCTGGTATGAAGATCGGCCGAATTGAAGACTGCACCCCAGTCCCATCCGACTCTACCCGAAGAAAGGGTGGTCGACGTGGTCGCCGATTGTAAATCGTGGACGTGGATTCAAGCGCTGCTCTTCAGAAACTATTACTGTTCTACATCGCTTCTGTATTACTTTGAACTGAGCGGCCTGAATACACTGAGAAAAAAACTTTATTTCTGTGTTTCAATCATTGTCTTATTAGATCCGGTAGCTTGAATTATGGACGAGCTCGACGTTCACGGAGGTCAGGACGATTACTCTGACGAGGATGTCGTCCATGATATCAAGAAGCGAGCTTCGAGAAAGAAGGTATTTTGAGCTGATGATAGGTTGGGAAAATAGACCCTTTTCAGGGTCGAGGAATCGACGATATCGTAAAGCGAGAGGACGTTGACTACGAGACTATGGAACAGGATGGAGACGAGCCCGGCCCGCAACGATCCGTCGAAGGCTGGATTCTCTTCGTCACTGGAATCCACGAGGAAGCTTCGGAAGACGAGGTTATTGCGTCAAAAGTTGACGGCTTTTCTACCTAAACTTTAGGTTTTCGACAAGTTCTCAGAGTTCGGCGAGATCAAGAATCTTAACTTGAATCTCGATCGCCGAACCGGTTTCCTCAAGGTAACTTCACTTTGATATCCTGTTTTCTAATTTGCAATTCAAGGGATACGCCCTCATCGAATACGAAATGTTCAAGGAGGCACAGAACGCCATGGAGACTCTTCATGGATCCGAACTGTTCGAACAAAAAATCGAAGTAAGTCCTCGTTAACCGATCTTGATGCTCATCTGTTCACTAGGTCGACTGGGCCTTCGTTCGAGGCGGTCTTCCCGGCGCCAAGAGCTCTTCCCGAAAATAGAAAATCGCCGACAAAGCTGTCGATTTTGAACGTCAGACAATGTTTCTGACGTTCTTGACAAAGACTGCCAAGAACCGACCCCTGTTTCCTATTCGACCAAAACACCCTAAAGATTCTTACTGTCAGATTATTTCTACGTTTACCAGTTAGTAAATTCATCACGCTCATGTCCAAAATAAAATAGATCAAAATTCTAAATGCCTCCAAAAATAAACTTGTCATCGGTTAACGTTGTGTTCTTATCGGAAGTCTACCAGAATGTCGATGATGGGGGCTGACCGAGACCGGGTGCGACGCCGCCCCGTTCACAGAAAGTCTGAGAGACGTATTCGTGCAGCGAAGAAAGCTGCTCGCCCTGAGCTGTGCAAGAAAGATGACTGGTCCTGCTGGATCAGGGAGCGCTACTCAGACCTCGACTACTACGAAGAGATCAAGAAGGTACAATCGCGCGATGGCCTCTCCAGAATCGCGTACAACGAAGTTAGTGTTGACGAGTTTCGCGACAAGTGGGAGAAGACCGAGAAACCAGTTGTGATTACTGGTGTTACTGAAGGCTGGCTGGCGCAAGAAAAATGGACATTTGCGCGTATTCTCAAAAAGTATCGCAACCAAAAGTTCAAATGCGGCGAGGATGACGATGGGAAAGGGATGATTGAGAATCTTGGCGACTCCTGTTGGCGCCTCACTATCAAACAGCCTCCTCATCCCATGTCAAAGATACTCTGTCAAGATGAAAGTCAAATACTACATGCAGTATATGAATGAAACAAAGGTTCAACTAGCAGATGCAAATTTTGTGAAGTAGCTTCGATTTAGGACGATTCCCCGCTGTACATTTTTGACTCAAACTATGGCGAGCATTCTAAGCGAAAGCGACTGCTAGAAGACTACTGCATTCCAAAATATTTCGAAGACGATCTTTTCCGGTACGCAGGGGAAAAGCGACGACCGCCATATCGCTGGTTCGTTATGGGCCCGGCTCGATCTGGAACTGGTATTCATCAAGATCCTCTTGGAACATCTGCCTGGAACACACTCGTCCAGGTTTTTAAATTTCTTCTGAGTTCACTTTCAATATTAGTTCAGGGGTACAAGAGATGGGCATTCATACCCAAGAGCGCTCCAAAAGACTACGTCAAAGTCCCGAAGTTTATTGGAGGAAAACAGAATGATGAAGCAGTCACTTGGTTTGAGAAGGTAACTTACTGAAATCCTGACATCTTCTCAGCAAATTCTTTAAGTGGCTTCCTAAGTTGAAAGAACGCAACGAGTATCCAATCATTGAATGTATTCAAGAGCCGGGGGAGACTATGTTTGTCCCTGGTGGATGGTGGCATGTTGTTGTAAACATGACGAACACCATCGCTGTGACTCAGAACTTCTGCTCTGTTACTAATTTCCACATCGTCTGGCCAAAAACAGTCCGTGGTCGTCCAAAGCTCTCGCGAAAATGGATAAGAATTCTTGCGCAAAAGCGGCCCGATGTCTGGCAAATGGCGCAAAAGATTGACACCAATGCTCCGACGGGATATGAAAGGTTACTCTTCCAGGGTCTCCTAGCTAGGGTTAAATTTCAAATGATTAAATATATTGAGTTTTTCCCTATTTGACCCCATTCAGTCCATTGGGCGACAACTGACACCGAATTTAGTGACTCTTCTGACTCGAGCTCTTCAAGTTCTTCCGATGATGATTCCTCATCCGATGAGTCCGACAGCTCGGTAGATTCTACTCAATAACCTTCTTTCTTTTAATCAATAGCTTACGTAGATTGACGAAGAGCCAAAAAGCAACGTTTCAAATGATCGCGCAGCAAGCGCCAAGTCGCCTCGTCCCTCAGACCATCCTGACACAAAGGGCATTCGCGCGCAGCCAAGCTGAGCGTTTACTCTCACTGCAAATCGCGATCATCACACTTCCATTCATTGTGAAAGATACCGCTCGAATCTGACAAATTTAAGATTGCGAATTTGATGTTCAATTACTGATACAATTAGACTCTTTAATATTTTGTTGAATCGTACTTTACTCCAATCGTCACTTTTCCCCTTTAGAATGCGATTCACTAGAGTGCTCGCAAGATCGGCTAGGACCGAATGGAGGACGCAGCCTGTTGCTCATCCTTACAAGCCTGGCAAATCTTTTGGCTTTTTGGTAAGTCTTTTGCGGAGGGTAATGAAAACTTACTCGATTCAAGCCTAGCGGATGGCCAGCATATGCGCTCTTTGCGGGCTACGCGTTTGTTACACTTGGTGAAATCGCCCATCGAAATCACGCCATTATGGAAGGTGGTATTGCTCGAAGCCCTCTCGGTATGGCCATTTGATTATTATTCAAGGTCACTCTATTTTCGTTTAGCATCGCGAACCAGAGATCCCGACATCGAGATGGTCAATTACGAAGGTGCCATGCATCGATTCAGAATCGGTCGCCTTTCCTACCCCAAAATCCCACAGTGGTACCTCAGTATCAAGATGTGGTTCTACCAGCCCGGTGTAAGTATCTATTTTGTTGTAATTTGAAAAAGAATGATTTAATTTACTAAAATTGTTAAGCTTGTCGTGGACCACGCCTCCGTGGCTGTCTACCGATTCATCTGGGAGTCCTGCATTGGCCGACTTCGAGAGTACCACCTCCTCTGAGTTCAACGAGACGTTTAATTTATTTTTATTCTGTTCAAAAAAGTCCGACATATAAAATACAACATAGTGACCTCCAAAGAAACGTTTTCATTTCAGATGTTAAATTTGACATGCAAATACCTCGGACTTATGGGTGGATATTCGCAGGCTGGTTAGCTTTAGTTTATAGCATAGTCTACGCGCTATTACTTTCTGGTGTGTGGACAGTAGCTATAATTGCGCTCAAGAAATTTCATCATCCAAAGTGTCGTTATAAGCCGTTCGATTTCCTCGTAAGTGTCCTTCTTTCGGAGAGTTTCCTGAACAAATATTAAGCTGGCCGAGCTTCCCTGCGTTGACGGATATATTCCCATTGGTCAAGGTGTTTTTCTAACAGTATTCTCTCTCCTCTCTATCGCGTTCTCTTGTCGACTCGGTTTCAACCCCAATCGTCCGTGGTTATGGTCGGCTCTGGCTTCAAATTTACTCAACCTCGCCCTTATCGGTGTCCTTACTATATTGGACTTTGGCTTTATTGATATGAACATCTGGAGAAATCACCATGCGGATGAAATCAAAAGACTCTATCAAATCGAAGCTATATTTGCTGCTTTTCTAACGGTCCAACATCTATCTGCCCTCGGACTAACATTCTTGTCGTTACTTCAACCTTTATCAGGTAAATTCACTAAATTGAATAGACTTATTCACATCTTAAGAATCATGCTGTAAAGATGAAAACTCTTCGAAAACGTTAGAGCCTCCCGTCAAAACATCTTCTGTATAACTCTGCCGTATTTCATATTTTCTGTGTACCACTTCTTTCTTTATCTGTTCATCATTTTCGAGTGCATTTTAATATAGCCTTATTAATAAATATTTGACTTAAACGCCTTAGAATGTTATTGATCAAATGAAAGATAGAAGAGATCACTTTCATTATGTTTACAGCTCGGATCTCAGGCAAAGGCTCAACATCAGAATTGGTAAGTTCAATTTCGATGGCTTCCTTTTGACAATCTTTTAGGCTCGCTCGAAGGACACATACCCGAAAAACCCATAGAAGATGTTTTGAATAACGAAATTCACTCCTTTGTCACTGACCGATATGTATATATTTCTGTCGAGTTGTATGCATCAGGCCGGCCTTACTCGCTTCCTGCACAATCTCATCCTATACCAGGTGATTTCTTGTGGATGATAACTTATTGATTCATAAGTTGTGGTTGAGATTCCTTCTTTTTCATATTTCCTTAGTTCCCAGAAAAAATCCAAACAGTTCCGCTTCCCAAAAAGTAAAATGGGATCAATGGCTCACCCTTCCCGTGCAATTTTGCGAGCTACCGAGAGATTCTGTGCTTGCTCTTCGCCTTCTGGAATTTGGTACTGATGTTTGCCTTGGATCGTCTGTTTGTGAAGTTTTCTCCGAAATCGGAGAGTTCCTTCAAGGAACTAGAGACCTTTGGGTCTGGCCCATGATGGAGCCAGATCCAAGATATCACAATAGCTCTACGTCTTCCAAAGGCCAAATAGGTAAACTAAACTTGGTGAACATTTCTCTTTCAATAAATGAATTTTAGATAAGAACCATCAGATGCATAGACTGAAGCCCCTCAAAGACAATATGAATTTCAAGGAAAACTCGAAAATTGAATGGCTAAACAACTGGACAACAAAGGAGATGTCTCAGCTTTCTCACAAAGAGTCGAATGTCGGTGATTTCATGAACTTGGTTATTGAGACGGAATCCTTGGCCTTCCGCGAGGGTCAAAATCGAAGTACACCAGCAGGATACCATCCCGAAAAGAGAGTACTAGATTATGCTTGTGTTTATATGGAGAATAACGCGGATCAAGATGTGACTGTTACGACGGACCACAAGCTCTACAGAGTTCCTGATTTCATCGCAAGGGAAAACATCGTTGAAGAGGCGCATCTAAAAGTCGTGAGATCCATTGGCAGATCGATGACAGAGACGAAAAAACCGTCGCCTGTCGAGAGAGACAGACTAATGAAAATCATCCAAGAAGGTCTTACAGAAAACGACATTGAAAACGGAACGATGGTTTTTAAATTTCGCAATTTCCTATCAAGCTATCCAAATGCCCTTATTCCTTTTTTGACTTCAATTCGTTGGTTGGATCCGGACGAAAAGTCAACAGCCCTCTGTGCCTTAGATAATTGGGCCCCTATCAAACCAGAAGCCGCTCTCGGTCTTCTTGGAAACTCTCTTGCCGGAAAACAAATCGAAGTTCGCAAGTACGCCGTTTCAAGGCTACGTGCAGCTCAAGGAGAAGATCTAGAACTCTATCTGCTTCAATTAGTACAAGCTTTAAAGTACGAAAGCCAAGCTGGAGATGGCGTCAGTCGAGCACAACTTCTGCAAGAATCGATGATCGATGACAGCGGAAGCCTTTCCATCTCTCACAATCAGGTACAAGGAGGACTCGAGCAATTCCTCCTAGAAGTCGCCCAGCTAGACCAGTCTATCGGGAGCTACTTGTATTGGTTCATCAATGTCGAAGCGCAGAACGAGGCAAATGAAGACTTTCGAAGCCTTCACTCTTATGATTACAATCGTTTCCTCGAACACTTTAATTCGAGCTTCTACAAATCGAGAAGGGAAAAACAACGAGCAGAGTTACTTCGCCAGGAAAAATTAATTACCGATCTGATTAATGAACTAAGGTAAGTTTTTGTTGTTGTTTTCCACATCTTTACTTTCATTCCTCAGAGCGTGTGAAAAATACTCTTCAAGGCCTGAGCGTTTAGAGCAATTCAAAAGCCGTCTAGAAGACGAAACGCCTCGTGAAGAGTACGGTACCTTTTCGAATTTTAAGCCGACGATGTATCCGCTTGATCCGCGCAAGAAAATCGTTGGCATTAACATCGATAAGACTTATCTTTTCAAGTCTGCAATGATGCCAGCTCTAGTTTTCTTTAAATTAGAAGGTATAAATCGATTTGTTTTCCACAAATGCTCATTTTATTGCAGGAGGCGGAGAAGTTGGTGCAATCATTAAAGTTGGAGATGATTTGCGTCAAGATCAATTAATCCTCCAGATGATCACGCTTATGAACCGACTGCTTCTAGAAGAAAAACTCGACCTAAAGCTCACTCCGTATTGTACCCTTGCGACCTCGATTGATGCCGGTCTGATGGAATTCGTCCCGGACTCAAAAGGCATTGGAGACATCTTACGAAAAGAAGGCTCTATTGGCAAATACCTACAAGAATGTCGCGGTCCACGAAGTGTTATCATGGACAATTATGTTCGATCCTGTGCTGGCTACTGTGTCGTTACATACATTCTCGGTGTAGGGGATCGCCACAACGACAATCTACTCATTACGAGGGACGGCAAGCTGTTTCATGTTGACTTCGGTTTTATACTCGGCCGTGATCCAAAGCCAATGCAGCCACATATGAAGGTATTTTTAGTCGTATGTTTTCTTTATCTTTATAGTATTTATAGCTTAGCAGAGAAATGGTGGAAGCCATGGGAGAAGAAGGATGGAAAGACTTCAGAAACTATTCCTACGAGGCTTACATCAACCTTCGCCGACACTCGCAGTTCATCCTTTCACTATTCGGTAATTGAACCAGCCTAGCGCCAAAGAGCGTTTTGAAACACCTAACGTGAGCCCTTTCGAAAAAAAATAAACAGCAATTGCGCTAGCATAATCAGATACACCAGTAATCTCATGACAGTCAGCTGAGTCGCTTACCGGATCTTATTATTAATTTTCAGCACTTTTCTGGGTCTCTCAGACTCAAGATTCACTAATCACCATTTGACACGAAGTTCAGTTCCCACTCCGATAGAATAACAATTAAAGTTAAACGTTATTATCTTGCATGTTTTAATGTTAACAATTTCAGCCCTGATGCTTGATGCTGGGATTCCGGACATTGCGATCGAGCCGGACAAGACTCTTCAAAAGCTGCGCGAAAGGATGCGCCTTGACCTGAATGACACAGATGCATTCAAACACTTCCAAATGGTCACTGACCAGGCGATTTCATCTGTTACTGCTCGAATCAGCGAGAACATGCACGCCATCAAAATCTGGACCACTTCTTGAGTTCAAATCAAGTCTATTTTTCTTCAAAATTTCTTCATCTTCATTAAAACAAATAACTCATTTCAACGAAACTTTATTGCTTGGAGGGCGTGAACTAAAGTTCAGTCATCCGGGTCGGCTTCCTGTGCCATGCACATAATAATTTCGTCATCGAGCTCCATCTGCTGAGCTTGCTCGAGCTCTATTTGTTCTATCAGATCGTAGTTATCAGTGATGTATCCAAGAGCAGACTGGGGAATGATCGTGTACTAAGTGAATAAGTAAATAGTCTTTTCAATCAGCAGTTGTCCTACGTTATGAGAAGTTGCTTTTGGCAAGTGTCTTTTTTCTCCTATAATTCCTGTCACCTTCGTAAATCCCTGCTCTGTTTGTCTTTTATGGTTCAAGACCGATGTATTTTGTCGACAGTAATGTTCTTCTGAACCAGCCTGATACTTGGCGTTACAACAAATTTAGTGGTGGATCATATGGCCGATTAGAAGATATTTCCTTATAATAACTAAACATATCCACCCCAACCTACTAACTCCTCTCTCTGCACGTCATCACCGAAGTCAATTATTGTTGCGTAAGTCGCCAAGGATAGAATAATCTCGGTCAGCAAAAGTACGCCTATAATTGAGTTGTTTTTCTGAAACACAAGGGGAATATTTGATACCCGAAACGATGAGATTCCAAATCTCCCGACTCTCAGATGGTGTCCCGTTGTATTTATCTTCTTCGTATTCAAAGTTGTGAAATCTTCGCTCAGTTTCAGACTCATCAATTTTCGATATTACTTTATCTGCCTTTAAAACTATGTCTTGTTGCGATTACAACAAAGTTAACAAGGGCACAGATGACCACAATGAAAGTACTAAAAGATTAAATGAGTAAGATACATGAGTTTTACGCATTGAACCTGATAAGGACGACGCGTATGCCAGCAAAGTTGAAATTAAAGAAAGCGAGCAGAATAAGAATCAAGCCACAGGTAAGCGTGAGACTTCCGATTGAGTATCTCTTTAGGGTTAAAAGGTTTCCTCCCGTGATTGATAGGCCAAGACCACAAACCCCATGATAGAGTGAATGCCTTCTTGTGTCGAGTGTTGTGAGTTTATCTTTCCAATGGATAATTAAAAATTATAACGCTTCTTTGTTCGAATGATAAAAATAGACATGTTACCCGAGTTCCTAGATCCTCCCATCGAACTGATCTTCCCAACTGAATTATATCGCTCATGAACACTTTTTCTTAAGCTCTCTTTTATATGAGGGAAAGTGTAACGAATTCAAAAGTAACGCTCATTTAAAATTTAACACTCCTTCCGATTGTCTTTTGACGATGACTTGCGTGCTTACTCCGATGATTTGAATATTAGAAGATCTTCTGCAAAATAAGATTTCATCAAATAATCTCGCATGATTTTGCGATATTAAAATCGCTTTTGTTGATTGATTTCATCTCTTTGGGCAGTTTCTAAACAATGAAGCTTGATCTTTTAATGAATGAGAAATATGATACTTGCAGGTGTCTTCCATGCATTCTTGTTCAGTTCGCGATAAAGACTTGGAACCACGTGGAGTTGCTCGAAATCTCTTTCTAGCAATTGTCTCGAGATTCGCGGAGACCGGCTAGAAAGAACTAGAGAATTATGCATACAATGGTAATTGACCAAAAATGGACGCAAGGATCAGCAGAAGATTCGAAGAGTGTCGACTGGGCGCTCGAGTATGTAAATGCAATCAAAAACAAAAGGCCGGATAGCTTGCAGGTAAAGCGAAAAGGTCACAAGGAAGGATAACGAGCTTCGCTTCAATAAACGAGTGCTCCAGTAATTTCCCCTTGTTTCTCGAGCGAGCTTGTTAACCAAAAAGAAGAAGAATCTCTCGCTGAAATCCTCGAAGTCGGACGAGTCCGAAATGTTTCGAGTGATAAAAGAGCACCAGCTTAATTTTATAAAGTCAATCTCGCCGCAGCCAACGCCAAGTCCTGAAGTTCCCGTTTCCGTGGAAGATCAGATAAATCGCTATCTGTACCCTGACGGGATCATTCCCGAGCTAATGGCGGTCTCGGCATGGTTCCATCTGGAAGAACTTCCAGCTAACGTGGTCTCACTGTTTTCAAAAAAACGAAGCCGCCGAAGACGCAGGCGAAAGAATGGAAGCAAAGTAGCTCAGGAAAGTTTGTGACACAAGTAACGGGGGGATTAGCCTTCCACACAAATTAGATCCGCGAGAGCAGCTGCGTAGTGCTTACAGATCGCAATTTTCAGCGGCGGTGGAGGCAGTTGCGCTTGGTGAGCTTTTCGAGTTCGCCTAGTTAAGCCCGTACCGGTATCAGTGTTGTGCCTCTGCTGGCAAGAGCCAGATAATCTAGTCGTAATCTAGTAGGCTCGGCTGAGGAAGTATCAATTTCGATGGAGGTGCTGCTGTTGACAGTACCGGTCGACACTTAAAACTCTTCTTTTCCTTCGGAGCGTCGACTTTCCCGAGGGCCGTCTACAAGTCCGCGCATTATTCGCCGGGGATTGCGCTGCCCGGGCCCCAGGTGCTTAACTTGGCCTGGTGTTTGGTGCTCCTTACACTTGGTGATGACTCATTGATATCTCCATGACAATGGTGCCGCGTGGACACCCTACTAGCGCCATTTTGTGTTGTGGTGTGTTTGTGTGTCTCTCTACTCGTGCTGCTGCTGCGTTGTGTGTGGCGAGTTGTGTGTCCCGCCAATCTGAGTCGTCTTTCTGCGCACGATTAGCCTCCCCCTTCTGCTACTCTCGGCAGCGACACCGCCACCGAATTCGATCCCTCCTATCTTCCTTCGCCAGCGCCACTAACCACCAACGCCGCCGCCACCTCACCTCCACCATTGCCGCGCACTCAGAATAAACCCTAGCCCTTCTCAGCAAGCAGAGGGAGAGAGAAAGAAGAATCACATTTATAAGAGATAAATTACGCGGCGGAGGGCAAATACCTTGCGCACCACTGGCCGCCGTAAAAACAGATAGCCGATCCTAGCTCAGGAGCGAGTTGAATGCGCCCGGGCAAACACACAAGCCAAGCTAGGTCTTTCACTCGGGCCAGCGCGCGCTAGCGAACGCCAGAAACAAGAGAGAAAACACAACAAAAAGAGGAAACCCGCGAAGAAGGAAGAAGAGAAAAACACGCCTGTGGTGGCTTATGAATTCGCGACTTTCTCAGCGACTCTCGAGTTGATGTACTCGCCTTACCAGTTGTCAGGAGGAGGGCCGCAACCACAACCCACAACGGGGGGCCAAGAAGCTGCTCCCAACGGTGGTGCAAGTAGCACTCCCGTGCCAGATCAGGCACAGCAGGCGAGTGCTGCGGCACCGCACGCTCCCCATCATCACTATCCGCAGTATGTCACCAGTTGTTACCCGTTCGTGCAAGAGCAAGTCTATCACCCGCACGTTTACTTCAACCCCCTGCAGCACACGCACGCGGGGCCTAACCTAGGCGCCTACAACAATCAGGTAATCATCCGTAGAGAGCAGTAACGTAATCTTTTTGCCCGTCAATTTGACATCAAGGCGCCGGTTTCCAATAATGGCTACGCTATGACAACGGCCCTGAGAGAGCACAGAAAGCTAACACTGAAAAGAACAATGGCCTGGCCGTTTTTATTTTCCGTAGTGAAAAAGTAGCACCCTTCTACGGGCAGCACAGTCGAAAACTTCCGGCTGAATTAGACTTAATTGTCCACGAGGATGCACCAGTCGTCAGAGGCAACTTTTATTTGTAAATATTGGAAAAGAAATCATCTTAATATTTACGCCAAGTCCAACAATTCGGACCGGGACTCGTAAAGGGCATAGGCCCGGCCCGTGAGTTTACTCGCATTTTACGAGCTTTGGCAAAGTCACTGAGCATCTGGGCCTGAGTTTACTACGCACTCTCTCCCATTTGTGTTTTGGTGATTTTGAAGTAAACCCTGATGTCTTTCGCGCGAATTTTCGACCCCTCGGGGGACGTGCAGAATTTTATGACAAGCTGAAGGAAGTCACCTTCGAAAAGTAGACGCCCCTAGACTCGCTCCAGCAGAAACACGATAGAATGATAACACTGCTCGGCGCAATTAAAATCTCCGATTGCGAGGCGCTTCTTTTCAGGACTTTTGTGACCTCGGAGTAACCTTGGTAAACGTGCGTCCGTCCATAATTTACTTTTTAGACAAGAGTTAACGTTCTGAGTTGTTTTGAGTAAACTGGTGCCTACCCAACGATAAATAGAAATTGTTCTCATAATTGCCGCATTCCTTCGACTTGCAAGTGTTTGATTGGTCGCCGTTGTCCGAAGCGAGCGTTTCATTGGGCTCGCTCCTCTAAGAAATAAAACAAGAGAATTTTGAGGAATAAGTAATTTGGTTCAGAGAGCACGAAAGTACAGGAAGCCGCGTCGCGTCCAGACACAGGACAAGTCCCTCCAGTGCGACCTTAACACTGGGAAGGAGCAGCCAGCCAGCGCTAACCCCGACCTCATCACCCCCACCAATCAGGCAAAGTTCAAATCAGCGCTCATTGATTTTCTTTCCTTTGAGAATTTTCAATCTACAAACAGAGTGACTCTCATTGTGCATTGCTCAATCGTGAATAGAGCTATTTATTCAAATGATGCTCCGGGCGAGTGTTTGCCTCGATCCTCAAATTAGAAAAAATAGACTCTGGTTGAACTTCCTCAAGCCGGACCCCGATTCTGACTCCGGTTACTGTTCGCCGAAGCAAAAGCCTAGTTGCGTAGAGTCCTCCCCACCCGTTGTGTCACAAACCGATCAGCCCAGTTACACTCAGGTACCAGCGAGCGCAGGAGTGAACCAAGCGCAGGCAACGCCGAGCACGCCGTCCAGTAACAACCAGGCCAACCGTGGAGTTGGCAACGTTGCTCAACGCACGGATCCGACCCTTGTTGCCGAAACGCTTCAGACGCAGCACGAGCACAGGCAGAGTCAGCTGCCGCTCCAGAGGCCGACTTCGATCCCCCTCCACGCCGCCTCGATCGTCTCGCACACAGGAAAGGGTCAATCGGATCATAAGCAATCATCTGAAATCTTAAAAGCTGCTTCCCTTTTTCATTGTCGTCGCAATAACGGTTTCGATTTCTATTTAAAATCGTCTCAGCTAGCAAGACGCGATTCTGACTCTACTGAGTCGTACTTAAAGCGGGGGTTTCGGCAGAGGGATTGCCGCTGATCCGCCACTGTCATTCGAGCCTTGCAAGTCTCGCGGCGTAGCTCTAATATTTTTTTACCAAAAATTGACCCTAACCGAAGCTGACCACGGCTCGTTCGTCCGCGACTCGCGAAGGACTGCTCGCAAGGCAGAGAGGGCCTTCCGCAAGGCTGAACTTGAGTACGCCGAAATCGCCGCCGAGCAAGAGAGACTAGTCAAACGCATCAGCCAAACCAACATCTCAAATCAACCCAAAATGGACGCGAAAAATAACTTCAAGAAAAAAGGAAAAGTCAAAGAAAATCCGAAGCAAAAGAAACCGACCGCGTTGAAGAGAGTGATTCTCAAGGAACGCCAGGAGAAGAAGGAAGCCAGAGAAAGGACTGAATCCACCGACCAAAGGTGCGTGTCATGTTAGAACTTTGCATATCTGAGATTTTATAATCGATAATTACTCACTGTTCGTGTACTTGGCCTTATTGATTAAATAGCTCCGCCCGTAAACCAGCCAACTCGCGTAAAACTTGTGTCAAATTGACCTGGAATTTTCGAAACCTCGCCACATTATTCAAATTACGTGAAAGTCGGCAAACACGTTTTAAAGGTCAAGGCATCTTCAAATTTTCTGCACCAAAAATCTAAGCGGCTGAACACGCTAGAACATTTATAATATTAGCGTAATTTCTTTGTCAGTTTGAAAACTCCATTTTTATATCACCATTTAATATAATCAGTTGTCTGGCTTCTTCGAAGCTAGAGGGCGGCTTGGCCAGCTGTGACCGTTTAACAAGCATGTAAAAATTAACTTTGAGGAGAAAACGTCTTGTCTATCTGTTTGAGGAATAATCGCTGGAAAAGTAATTCGGCACGATTAAATAATTTTAGACACTTACTCATGCGAAAGTCGATCGTTATACAAAACGAAACAATCGATTGATGTTTGATTGGTAAATTTAGTGACGACGTTCCACCTCTACCGCCAATTCTGGACGGCATCGGAGGCCCCGAAACGGCCCTGATCAAGGATTGCGTTGAAGCATCCCGCATCCACAGCCGTCGATTCCGCGAGTACTGTGATCAAGTTATCGACAAGAAAATTGACAATCTGACGGCGAACTTGCTCTCCGAGCTCTGTCGCTTCTACAATCGGCAGCTTCAGAAGAACCCTACAAAGGCAAAATCAAAGCGGCGTTTTGTTCTTGGCATTCGCGAGGTCTTCAAGCACCTCAAACTCAACAAAATCAAGTGTGTCATTGTGTCCCCCAATTTGGAGAAAATTCAATCAAAAGGTAACTGGCTGATTACTAACTTTCTTTCCTTTGTTGTGAGCGTAAGCATTTGACATTCCCTCTATGGACGGTGCGTCCGAAACGTGTCAAGGGTGTTCACGCATCGCGCGATTTGATCATAATGACAAATCCATTATCAAAATTTGGTCAATTTATTCAAGTTTGTGCTCCGAATGAGCAATATTACTAGTGCCATGAATCAACAAAATTTGACATGAAAATTGACATGAACTTTAGGCGGACTAGACGACATGCTCTCGCAGGTTCTGCAATGGTGCGAAGACCACTCATTACAAGTTATCTTTGCGCTTGGGCGACGTGCATTAGGCCGAGCGTGTGGGAAATTTGTGCCCGTGAGCATCGTGGGCATCTTCGACATTTCCGGATGTGAGGAGCAGTACGCACACCTGTCTACGCTGGTCAGAGAGGCACGAGAACAGTACCAGAAGCTCGTAGGAACTGTAGCTCGAGAGATCGAGGACTCCCACGAGCGTGCCCAAGAAGTGCAAGCTGCGGAAGTTGACGAAGAAATCCAGCTTGATAAACTCAAACTCGATAAAACACTGGACTTAGAGAATTCATCTGGAGCAATAGTAGAAAATGGAACGTCTGAGAGCACGCCCGTGTGCAACGGACAAGCGCAGTTGGTCGATGATCTGATCAAGGGAACATCGCGGAAGGCGTACCAAGTGCACTCACGAAATGCTAGCGCGGCGAGTGGCGTCTCCATCATCAGCGCGGTGTCGCAGGGCGAGGACATGAACTGGCGCGAGATCGTCTCCGATTGTAATCCCAAACCACCGAACACAATCAATTCGCCACCACCACCCTCCGAAGAAAAAGTTTAATGTACGATTTCATAATCTCATTTCTCCTCGTCTTGAGGTCCTCGACCCTAAATTATCTAAGCCATCAACTTAACATTTTGCCAGGTTTTTGCGCCTCACTGGCCGCGGTTAGTTTTTCTTCAAGTGCAAGTATATAACTTATGAAGTAAATAATTTATATACATATTTATATATTGTTAAAGGTTGTTATTATCTTTCTATAATAATCGAACCGACTTTTTCCATCCAGTTCCATCTTACATTATAGTTCCGTTTTGCGAAGACGGTGCATCTGCTCTGAAAAACATCACTTTACTAAAATGGTGTATCCATGAAGGGCCGGTGCGGCCTCCCGCTATTTGAACCGCCTGTAATTGTAATTGATTACCACTTCTGTAAATATTACTTTCAGTTTCAGGCCTTCTGGAAAAGTTTATCTTCTGGTCTGACGTTTTCTATGTAACTTAATTACTATAATGCAGTAAAATATATATTCGTTACCGATTTACTTGTTCTTATTTACGCTTTTCTCGTCAAGAAACAAAGCAGGTGAAGATTTAGGTCCAGTTTATTAGCTTCATGAAAAATTGAAGAAGTTTTCAGTAATTAGAAATAGAGGAACTCCGAGAACATGTCATTGAAATTTGGTTTTGGCATCTTTGTACACCGACTTAGTGAAGCTCTTGACTCCTTTTAGCAGCTTTTTTGAATCTCCACGGAAGCTTGATCGGCTTTTGCTATCTTCACTCGGATTGCTTCCGGAGGGTGTCGCACTTCTTAATACGAAAACTTAGTCTCGATTAACTTCCGGTATTTAGGTGAAAAATTGCAAGAATAAGAACAAAAAGGAGGGTATTACTAGTTTTGGTGTTCCAAATCCACGCCACCGGGATTCTACATTTGATGGTAATCACTAGGGTTCCACCTTTTCTGCCAATCAAGTCAAATCAGTGATTTTTCTTTTTCTACATTGGCAGAACTCCTCTATTTCATACCTCTACGTCTTGGGGTTGCCCACTTAGGCCACAAAGAAAACTGCGAAAATTCAAGCTAAGTACAAGTATTTACATTTGTTTTGAGATTCTGATTTAGTAAAGCTATGATGTAGTTGACCTCAAACATAAATATCACCTCGTGAAGCTCGCTGGTGTAGAAGCGCGCGATATTTTCGTTGAAGCAGACCGAGAGAGGTTAATCGCTTCCTTCTTTACAAGCTTGGCCGAGTTCTTGAGCGCCACCTTTGTCGGTTTAATTACGGAGTTACTCGGAAAATCACAGTGTGTACTTTTTCTTGGTTCGAAAAGAGCTACTCTCGGAGATACTCGCACTTGACTTTTGAGAACCTCTCCTGACGCTCATCCGAGCGGGACACACTTGCGTCGACTTCTCTGATGTAAACCTACTCGAAATGAATAACAATACCAACTTGAAAGCTTACTTATGCTTTTTGATGTCATCGACAGGTGAATGGCCCTCACTGCCAATGATATGAAGGTTGTGCAAGATTCTATTTATTGCCACCAGATCTTCTTCTGGACTTTTTTGGGACCTTCATTTTTCTTTAGAGTCTTTCTTTTGCTAGTTATTTCGTTTTACCTGAGATTGTTGAGCATTCGATCAAGCCTAAGGCGCACCCTGTCCAAAGTGTCATCGATGGCGTCTGTAACACGCTGTATTGACTCCTGATCAGAGCTTGAATCAGCTTAATTTTACAATAAAAATTGCTCTAGCCGCTTTCTACAGAGCGTACAAGAGTCACTGTATATACCGCTTGATGGTGGCCCGGAGAATTGAACCTTTTGCTCTTTCGTCGGCATTCTAGGGTTGAGTTACTAATCACATAATGGACTGCGAGAGCCTACCGCAAAGGCTGCAAGTCTCCTTGCGCGAGAGAAGCAACTGCTCCAAATTGGCGATGAAGATCAGCTCTCGTCGTGATTTTTATACGCTTCCTAAATGTGGCATACAACACGGTTTTTACTGTCGATTGCCAAGCGAATATTGCAATTTCAACACTCACTAGTACCTTATAAGCAGTTTTATCTTCTGAACCCGAGCCCAGGCCAGCTCGGGGTCGCTCTTATCCCTCATCTTGCCTTTGACTTACGAATCTCGACCTATCTCATTTGCTTCTCTGAACTCGCCAAAATGAAACATTTAATATAACACGGATGAATTCTTGACTTTCACTTGCAAATTCTCTGCGCGTACTCCACTGCGCAAATATAACCCTGAGTCAACTAACAGACCTTTGCTTTGTCTTGATAATCATTTTGTCTTTTCTCAAATGGCTGATAGAGCGTTATATCGCGGGAAAATAATATTGAATTTTTACTGGAAAATAAGATCAATTTTTAAGTAGAGCTTGAACATCATTATTTTTTTTCTTTTTGATGAAAGCTCTGGCTGCATGAAAATAATGAATTTTGTTCTGGATTCTCTTTCATTGTTTTACGAATAGATCTTGCTGAGTTCTCACGCAAATGTGTTTCTTGTGGGCAAAAAGAGATTAACACGAGTGACTTCCAAATTCGGTATCCCTAAATCAAGTTAAATTATCACCCTTCGCCTTTAGTTTATTTGGCTTTCTGAATAATTGCTCTGACCCTTAGGCGAGTCACTGTCTTCCATGCACAGATAATTGACTGTTTGCTGTGTTGCTATATTGTCTAACCATTTATATAATCAAGTTGGAGGCACGGAAGAGATAAAAACATTTCATAAGTGCAATTTTAATAATCTATTGCGTCTTTCTCGATGTTCAGAAAAGATCTCGTATACATTTTGGAATGTCATATCCGAATATTTTATAATCCACTTGCAGGTGTTTATAGACGGACTTCGGCAGGTGCTTATCAACGCTAGAAATATAAAAATGAAGATGGAGAAATGTGGGAAATCAACCTTTTGAGGAACTCTTCCAATAAATCATGGTTTGACGGTTTCGAGCTTCCAGTAGGATAGACGATATTTTTAAGGCCCAGCCTATTGAAAAGCCAGGTAGAATCTTCTTCAATCGTCTCTAGTTTCAAAATGTAGTCGTAATCAATGTCGCAGGGGTAGCATAGTGACCAGTAATTCTCCCAATGCTCGTTTTTGGGAACCGTTGGAGCTGTCGGGTTCTTGTCGATGATGTGGCGCAAGAACTCTTCGAAATTGGCGGGAGTTGTGCTCGATCGTTCTGATCTACGGTTGTATATCCGATGGATCTTATTCGAAATGTCTCCAAAAGTGTCGTGTTCGCGAAATGTTTGGATTTTATTTCTTTTGCGGCGTAATAACGTGAAAGAAGTATTAGCTCATAGAATAAAATTAAGCCACTTCCCTAAACGCTGATAATAGTCTTTCAAACGGATCTCTAGTGACCATGAATTTGGTGTACGAGTCAAGCCTTCTCAGTCGCTCTGTTTTATTGAGACTCCAGAAGTTCATGCCTTCTAGGTTATCTGGATTGTTAGCGTAAGAACCGCCTATACTGAACCAGTTTCTTTGAAACGCGTTTTAAAATTTGAGAAATTTACGTTTCAGGTTCTATTTTTATTGCGAATTATTAGATTTTTAAACGCTCCCCATTCTCGACAGCTTTTGTTTTTTCTTCGTCTAAATCGCCGTTCAAATAGAGAAGAACCCTCTTCCAGTTTGTGCAGCCAACTTTGGGGATGACACAATAAAGCATTTTGTACTTGTCTACGTAGAGAATATTCGGCCGTCTTCTCACGCCCTCTTCGACCAAGTACTGGTCCAGTCCCGTCCACTGATTTGCTTCGCATACTTTTTCTGCTCGTAATTTTCGCAACTTAAATCTCTCTTCTACGGACAGTTTTAGCTCTCTATCCATCGTCAGTTGTGAAAAATTAATCTGATCTAGCTTTTTGCGGTCAAGAAATTCCAACTAGAAATGTTCTATGGTCGTTTTTTGTATCTTTGACCCTTTCCTGTGATTTTCTATATTGATGATAAATGCCAGTGCAAGCAAGAATAGTTAATAGAGTAATATAAAGTCCAGTCCATGATGGAATGCCTTTGGAAGTTTACCAAGTTTTTTCTTTTTTAAATTCTGAAAGAGCGGGCTTCAGAGAAACTTTGGTGCACCAGCCTTGAAACGTCATTTTTCTCTTAGTGATATCTGTAAGGCGATGGTATTTGTACTGAGAGTAAGCGCTAATCCCCATCAGAAACTATGTGCCAGCCTTAATATCTAAATTAAAAAATGAGTGACATTTGATTGTTTGACTTTGAAACGCTAGAGACCTAGATAATTCTTCTCTAAAAATCACTATCTCCTAGTAGACTCTTGAGGAAATAAAGAAATAACATAAGTGCGTGAAAAATTCTATCAGACTGTCCGCAAGATTGCCTACTAGTTCGGCTATAAAGAGAGTTGGCTCATTTTTAGAAAAAAAGAACATTCTTTTCGGCCTCTTTCCCTCTTCAATACTGTCACAAAACAAATATGGGTTTTCTTCAATAAGTATTCTCTTTTACCCTACCCTCTTTTCAGGAAATCGTTAATAGAAGGCTCTAAAAATAATAGAACACAGATGATGTTCGTTTTGATCTGGATTTTTGAATGAGTGTTGGGGCAGAACGGCTATGACAAAACAAACCCATTCGATAATAGAAAAAACTTTTCTCCCCAGCGCCGCTTCGAGCAACGAGTTGACCTTATCTTGATATCTCCGATATTCAGGTAAAAAATAAATAATTCAACATAAAAATGCATCCGCGTTGGTGAGAAAGAGAAAATACTGGAATGCCAAACTTTCAATTTCTAAGCCAACTCTCTTTTTTATTTCATTTACCGTCTCATTCTCACTTGAACCAATCCATTTTGTAACAATTTTTACGAAACTCTTTCTCTCTTTAGTTGAATCTATCGGCCTTGGCGAATAAATTAATTTTAAAATCATTGTCCCGGCCACACCTTGGGCTTATCTTTGCCACTTTTATCTATGAACAAATTGTTCATTCTGATCATAAATATGAGCAAGTTTGAGTTATATTTTTTAATGAAATTTGATATTTTTGATTGTCCTTGTTATCTTCTTCATTTAAATTGATTTTGTTTCCCAATTATTTGTTCTTCTTTGAGCAGGAAATATATTTTTGCCATTTTTGTGCCTAAGGGTCCACTACGGGTCCATTGCCAAGTTAGTTTGACTAATCAACTTGCGAAACGTGACAGATGTATTAGATTTCCATACAGATCATGCGTTCTTGTGAAATTTTTCTTTTGAGATATTTGCGCGAAAATGGATACAGAGAAAGCTACGATCAGGTATTTATTCTCCTATTTTCAGCATTAAACAATCGCGAATAAAAGCTCAAAGAAGATTTGTCCTCGAAGTGGTTGAAGAACGATGCAGATACGGCAGGTATTTTTGCTCTATTGGTGCCAAATTCTACGTGATATTTAGATAAAGTGTGTCAAACAGAGTCCCAGCTTCATGGAGATCACTTTATTTCTGAAAAGTCGCTGGAAGATGTATTGAAGATGCGATATCAAAGAAAAACAGTCGCCTGCCAAGGTGAAATTTTTAAGCATATCATTAATAACTCTCTTACAAGCTTCTAACGAGCATTGTTGTCAATCGAAAGAAGTAGCAGAGAAGTTGGAAAAGCGCGTTGCAAGCATGCAACGAACGATTTCATATCTGCGTGAAGAACTTAGGTATTTACCTAGAAGTCTCTTCCTTGATTTCACTCTTTTTTCAGAAAACGTCCTGATTTCGAAAAGCCGCCACCGAAGATAGCGATTGTAAGGCCTCAGAGGTTTAATCCGTTTAAAAAGTCGAAAGATAATCCTGCCAAATGAATAAACGAATGAGATTTCAAAGAATCGATTAAGCGATATATTCTGATTATACAAAAATAGGGTCGGACAAAAAGGTATAACTACAGATAATAAAATGAAACATGCTTGATCGTTTTCGAATAGTAAATAGTTACAATAGTCGTCAGTTGTCGTTACGGTAGTCGATTTTTTCTTCCAAATAAAGGCATCGCTCAGTATCGGACATTCTGGGGCAACTGGGGGTAGCTCTGGTAGAGAGCCGGATTTGTGTACAATCCGTTTGTGGTGGGCGATGGTGCGAAGCTTAGCTGAGTTGGCGGCGAAAGAGGCTGCGAAATCGTCGGAGCAGAGTTTGATGACGGGTTCGACGAGTTTGAAGGAGATGAAGTGCTCGTTGTTGACGAGCCTAGTCCAGGTGTAGGCTCCTGCCCCTGCGAGGGCATAGGCTGGGACGGAGTTGTTGAACGGCCCGGATCAGCGCTGTTAGCAGGAAGGACGCGTGCAGAGGAAACTGCAGGAGCTTCAGTCTGATGAGACGCAGCCAGTGGCGTCGTTTGATCTGTTCGTGTCGCTTCCGACGTCTCGGGAAGGGATGCTGCAAAGAAACGTTATTTTTGTTTCTAAGTAGTGCTCGTGTTATCGTTTATCTCCTATTACTAGTGCTCGGACTAGAACTGAGAGTAAATCTGTTATTCTTCAAGTGCGCTTAAGAGGCGTCCCCGGTGTGAACCCTTACGCTGGACGTATCCCGTGTCATTTCCGCTTTGATTACTACCCAGCTGACTCTCGAGAACTATACTCTCTGTTTTAAACGTCTCGCTAATTTCTGCTTTAATCATGTTTTACCTGACTGAGTTGAAGTTGCTACGCTTGTGTTTGGATAATTGGTCGCGTAATCCCCCGCACCTTGCTGAGCACCGTATGTTTGACCGTAGAGTGCAGCTAGCTGGCTTGGGTCGTGGTGGACGGATTGAAGGCCTGATAGAATATTGTTAAATATAAGAACTTAGAAGAGTTAAATACCTGAGAATGCTGACGCAGTATGCAACGAAAATGAGCTACTTTGAGCGGCCGCAGCGGCAGCCCAGGCACGTGCTGCTTCTGAATCGTATCCTCCAGTTGGATAAGGGTAGTTCAAAAGCCCGTTCGACATGCTTAAATAAATTATAAAGCCCTTGAATTTCGAGAAAAGGTCTTACTTTGTGATTGCCGCAGCGTAGGAATCGTGCGCAAGATCAGGCTCGGTTTTTAGCGCTCCACCAAGATGGTCGTCATGTGCACCGCCAAAGTGAGAACCCAAATCTTAAAAGATAAAAGTTATACAATGAAAATTAGATTGATTTCGTGAAAAAGGATCCTCATCGAGGAATTTCACGCTTTTTGCGGCGCAGGTTTATTTTTCTAAGTGCTGCGGGCTGATGAGCGCTCCCGCTCCGATCACAAAATGAAAAAATCGGGTTAGGGAAGGTCGCCCAGAGCTCTCGTTTCGCAAAAGTACAAGTTACTGCATTGCAGCTCGAACAACACTCACATTGTTGGTGAAGCAGTCGATTCTGCGCGGTCGCCAATGCAACAGCTTCTTTCTGGCGCTGCATTTCTTCGATTTGCTTCTTGCGCTCTTCTTTCTCTTTGACAGCTTCGCATTTCTAAACAAGGCGATTAATTTTCTGATCGCTTACGTAAAAAATCGGAGGAGGCAAGTGTAACCCAGAATTTTTTCATATGTAGTTATTTTTTGGTAAAATAATCGTGCCGCTGCGAAGTTAATTTCAGAGCTCGTGCTCGGTTAAAATTGCCCCTTTAGATGCAGTAATAAGTACCTTGAATCGCTTCCGACGACGAAGGTAAGAGCCATTCTCAAACATGTTATATGCGTCGGGGTCCAGAGTCCAGTATGAGCCTTTTCCAGGCTTCTAAAAACAAAGATAAAAATGCGCGAACGAATTTTTAATTACCTTCTCGTCGCGTGGAATCTTGACGAAGCACTCGTTCAGCGAGAGGTTGTGTCGGATGCTGTTCTGCCAGCCTTGTTTATTCTCCCTGTAGTAAGGGAAGCGCTCCATAATGAAACTGTAGATGCCGTTGAGTGTGATCTTCTTCGTCGGTTCCGAGTTAATTGCCATTGCAATGAGCGCAATGTAGCTGTAAGGCGGCTTAACCTAGAATAAACATTAGCAAGTTGCCTTTTGACCACTCAAGAGGTTTTCAGATACGCCGACTTTGGACTGCCCAGCTGCCAAATACCAACGTCTGAATAAATCACTAATAGGCCACTTAGCCTTACTAGCCTTGATAATACGTTAATAATTAACTGGTTTATCCAGCTCCACAATAGGAACACGGAGTAACTTTTGAAGACTAAAATTGCAGGGCAGATTAAAGTTCTGATGCTAGCAAGAGTTCTGCTAGTAGGTGGTGGCTGTGGTCGTGGCTGTGGTTGTAGTCGGGGTCGGTGTACTCGCCCCGGCGGCCGCGTAAAGAAAACAAACGCTCGGTCACTCGCAAATGCGATTAGACAAAATATTAAAAATACGAAACTAGATCGGCGGCGGCAGGAACCGACAAGCATAACAACCTAAAGGGATCATCCTCTGCCAAGCTACATCTGTGGCTCATCTCTGCTCCTATCTTTAGGAGCAGTTGGAGACCCGCCTGTCCCAGCTCGAAAAACTGGAAGAAACTTATCGCTAAAATTTCTTGGGGAAAAGATTTCACACTTGATACACTCAAAAGACACAAGTGCTGAACAAACTCAACCGCCGGATCTTGCAAAAGAAGTAATTAGGAAATCGACCCGTTTCCTAGTGCAGCGGAGCAAATCACGTGACTTGAGTAGGGATTCGAAAATTGTTCCAAAAATCAATTTCCGGCGGAAGGGAATGCACGAGCTCGTCCTCTGGAAAATCCGAGAGATTCAAGTTAAACGGCTAGAAATCATTTCCGCCCGCACTATACATTATCGACCAGCAAGGGCTATTTTTGAAGTGATTATTCTATCCTTGGGATCAAGGAAGAGGGCCTATCTAAAATTAAGACGGCCGTCGATGACATTTTGAAATTTAATTGTTTCAAATCACAAAAAGCCGACTTGATGTGATAAATTTTAGATCACCCCTCGATGATTCTGATGATGAGAGGGAGATTTTCAAGAAAGAAAAATAAATTTTCAAGAGATTGTCTGTAGAAATGAGGCTATGAATATAATATAAAGGTGATTTATTATTCGCTTTATAAACCGGCTGGCCCGACCGGTTTCAATTTTAATCAAAGCGAAACAAAAGGGAATATTGATTCTTGCCACGTCCCTCGAATTAAGGAAATATATTCTGCCAGAGTAATAAATTCTAAATCGCTTTGGATTGAGTTCGCCAGGAAGCTCGAATTTCATGGGCAGTTCTAATGAAGGTTTTCGCAGCTGTTGTAGCCTCTGTCACGGTCTGATCAGCTCTTCTGATCAGCTGGCGGGCGCAAAGTGAGCGAGGCCAGGGCTCGCTTCGAAAGTTTACACAATTTAAAGGTGCTTGTCAATTTGGGCGAATTAATGGAGTCCCTTCAAACATGAATTCGGATTAGTCCAAATAATCTTTGAACGATTTTGAAACAAATTATTTCTATTTCGCGGCAGCTGGGAACTTTCTGCCAGAAAAGGGGTTGGGAGCGCGGCCTTTGATCACGCCGCCTCCGTTCGCGAAGACGCAAAAATAAAGAAAGGAGCAACGTTTCGAGAGCTCTATTTTCGCTAGAAATCAAAAACTGTCAGAACGCGCCTCTCCCAAAGACTCAGCAAAAAGAATGTTTAGTTACTCGATTAAGCGCATTAACAGCATGGCGGAAGACTTCATAACTCACGTCAAAGTGTTTCTTAGACTACTCCCACTGAAAACAACGATGAGCAATTATCGGGAAGGCGAGCACCGAGAATGCCGATTCCACTAATTGGTCATTTCTGTTTTTCGTCGGAAGGAAAGCGAATTTCCTTAGTTTCGCCGTTAGCAAAAATAACAAAACGGAAATGATCGAGCACTGCGTGTTTATCTTCGAGGGGGCTCAGGCAGCTCCGAAAAAAGTTGTTTTCCGAAGCCGACGATACTGTCCTCAATGAAGTCCGCATAAGATGATAAAATACAACCCTCATCGCAATATAAACCTATTCTGATCTTTTCCTGATGTCTACAAACTCGATTTTTCTATTTTCTATGCCCCAATTTTTTTTTTTGAAATAGCCTTGGAAGCATTATATTTAAAAAGACGCCAAATATCAATATGCAAAAATATAAAATATCTTCATATGTTTTTGAATAATTTTTCTGCATGGCCTCTCTCTCTTTTCAAATTTCGATGTTTCTCAATTCTCTCATAAAAATGGCTTACCATGTCTTTCGGTTGGAGATGTGAGGCCGTCGAGGTGACGGTCGAGGAGTAGGGCGAATACGGAGTTGTCCTGTTCGACTGGAGGGCGGCGCCATAATTTCCTTCGCCATTATACATTCCTAAAAACTCGTAATTCCACATTCGATTACTTTACTGCACGATCTAGACTTTGAACTTTCATTTATCCGATCTTTACATTTATAGACATCAGTTTTTTCAAAATCAATACTGTTGGATAAGAAAACGTAAGTTAATTTTCTTGATCTTACATAATATTTAGATAAAATGTTTTTCGTCTAAAAAACCTAACAGTTCTGTTCAAAATTTCCTCCCTTTTTAAGAACGAATCCTTTGCGAATCGTATTTTATATTGCAACGCCAATTTTCAAATTATATAAGCGCTAACAACGATTAAGAACGATTAAAATTACGACACACTACGGTAAGAATCCTAAAAGAATTTTTTTTTCTGTGGCATTTTCTAGCAATTACGAAGATATCACCCATTTTGTGAGTGAGCCTATTGATCTGTCTAAAAGTTCTTTTTGGAAGATAGGTTCTGAAGACATGGATGTGACTTAGATGAACTGGGCGTTATTCTTTTTCTAGAGGGTCTCTTTATGATTTTTGCGTCAGAGGATGAGCGATAAGGGAGTTCGTTAGCGATTGACGCCAAACTTGCGCGCAAGTTGCCTCCGCCAAACGTGAAATCGAAATCGAAACGAAGAAAAAATAAACTCCCGAATTCTTCAAGAGAACATTCAAGAGCGCGCCTCTCGATCTCAGCCCAAACAAACTCCACCAGTTGTCTTACATATAAATTTCAAGAAAATTATCAAAATATTATGGATTTTTACTCTCCATGTACTTTGCTCTAGAGTGGGGGTGCTTACCTAGTTGCGCATAGCGCTGGGCGTATGCAGACGCATAGGAGGACGAGTTGTAGCCAAGGAGATTGCCACCCAGAGCTCCAGCCTGGGCAGAAGTTGCCGACGCTCCAGTGGTCCCTGCACTCGCCATTTTGCTCTTTCTAGAGTCTCTCTTTGCTCCAGGGGCCAATTAGCCGACGATGGAACTGTCTATCTGTATGTTTGTATTTGTAGTTGTTATGTTTTGTTTCGTTTAGCCAAAAGTCGAGATAATATTGTGATTGCAAGGCGCAAAGGTGTTTTCTCAAAAAATGAGTTGGAGAGACCTGCAAGTCCTATCAAGAGAAAAAGACGGAGCGCTCTAGCGTCACCACCACCGTCGAGGAATTCTTCCCTCGCTGGGCGGCGCACGAGCTGCTCCTATCCGACCAATCGGCAGCGCGCTTCGCCATGCCACTAGAATAATGAACAGTTTGTGTATTCGCCTGCTTCATCACATAATCGCCAGTGTATCAGATTGGTCAATCGAAAGGAAATAGAAGCTTACGCTTTCCTAAATATGCTACTTTAGAAGACGATCTGACTCAAAGCGATAGATAGCATAAAAACTCAAAGCGGAAGTGAGACCAATTATAATACATCCGAAAAGTTATTTAAAATAATATTATTTATTTTCAAATCGTTTACCAGCCAGTTTATCAAAATGTCTAAAAATGAAGCTGACCCTTCCGACTGCGACAATTTCAAATATAACACGAAATTTTTCACAGAAAAAAACGTAGCAGTAACAATGGAATAACCATTTTTTCCTCATAAGTTTGATTGTACGAGGAAAGTAGTATGAAGAAAGAATTTTACTTTCGAGTGATCAGTAGAAAAAATGACTTTATTATGATAAGAGCTTAATTGTCGAATTAAATGGACTGTTAATAATGCAGATTTGAGGTATTCAAGTTGCTAATTAATGTCTTGGAGTCTGAGAAACAAAGTGTGAACTCTCGGCTGTATGTTTTCTAAGTCAACGTTTCGAATTTTTATAACTTGAACAGAGAAAATAAACGGTGGCGCTGGTCATTACCTCCTGAGTACGTATCAAAACAGGTATCACAAGAAATAATATTTGCTCACGTAATACCAAAGGGCCAAATTATCAAGTTGAAGAAGAAATAAAGCTCGCCAAACAACGTGAAGAAGACATTTCACAGCTATTACAATAAACGCATTTGTTACGTGAACGAGCTATCAATACGTACACACCTAAAGCACTTAACATTGCAATTAAATTAATTTTTACAGCAATTATAAAATACTCCTAAGACCCTGAAAATTTGACTTTATCTGGCCATTTCAAACAGCAAATAAATTGGACAAAAGAATTTCCAACAATAGCTCACATGCAAAAAAACAACTCTACACTCAAGACTCCGGGTAGTCTTGATCTCGAGTAAGCCGATGATTTTGCTCTGTCTCGATGGGATTAGTTCTATAATTGCAATTTGGAACTTGCAATCTTCACTGAGCGTGAGCAGGCACTACATCAAGCTGAGGGGTTGATACTAGACCGGAGCGTCCAGAGCTAGAATCTTAGAGAGACGGGTGATGATGACTACTACTACACTTAAAACAACACTCAATCAGAAAGCGGCACATCTTAGCAGCTCACTAAATTAAAATCGTGTAACTGTGAATATTTCATCCTCAGCCATTTTAAAGCCTATCGTCGTTAGCTATCAGCGCTCATTTGCTATTCAAAGTCAATTAATGCGAGTCAATTAATTGCCTAACTCAGCAAAGCTAGCAATTATCGACAAAAAACTCTTCAAATCAAAAAAGCTAGAATCAATCAATCGCCACCGGAAATTTAATGCGCGGCGTCGGGAAAAGGCTGTTTACGCTCAGCATAAAGGGTGTTTTCGTAAACTGGGGCAGAGATGGCACGGCTGCACCCTTAATTCGCTGGTGTCATTTCCTTCATCAAACTCAGCGTGACATCGCAAACAAGCTTTCCCTACATTTTCTTTCACAGGGGCGGAAATCCCAGTGTGAGATCGCGTGAAGAAACACTGCAGGAAAATATTTGGTTTCCCTCGTTTAAAATAATTATAAAAAAATTACTGTAAGAGTATATTATTTTATCGAGAAAGGAAAAAAAGAACGACCTCGAGATTAACCTCTTGTCGGCGGTCTTTTCTACAACCAGGGAAAATATTTTCGGATTTCCCATTTCGCGACTTCCCATTCCCTTTGAAAGTAAATCTTTGAAAAAATTGGCAAAGGTTGTTATTGCAGGTCGCGCCCGATGGAAAATGATTACACCGGGATCAAGACGATTACTCCAAACACCACCGCCAGAATAACATTAAAACCAGATAGAGAGCACCTAGCTAAAGTAAAGGGCAGCTGAGGCAAGGGCAACCAAAGGGAAAAAATATTTAATGATGGAAAAAGTTCAAAAGAAAGCTTAGAAGGTGTCTCCTTAGTACGCAATATGCAAATGCCGCTTAATTATAAATAAACGCTCATTTCAAATAAACCTTTGAATCAGATCCATTTTATTCCTGATTCTACTGTAGAAAAGGAGCCTCAGTAGCTCGGATTGCCTCGGATAAGCCCAAAACTAATAAACTTCAATTTTATATCCGCTTAGCCGAGACCAAGCCAATTGGTGCGCGCTAGAATGAATGGTAGTGGCATATAATTTTGAATTTACGTAGATTGCTGCCGATTTCGGTGCAAGATAGATTTTGGATCGAAAATCGTGGCGGAGACGGCTTATCCGGCAGCGCAGTGCTCGGGCCCACTCCGCCGCCGCCGAGTGCAAAGTCAACACAGATTTTCTCTTTCAACCACCAGCGGCACAAGCACCCAAAGGACCACCTATCAACCACAATTATGATTAAAAAAATTATCGAAAAGAAGTCTCAGTCACTATCGCAGCCAGTGTTTTCGCAGTGAAAGGGCGCTCATACATCTTCAAAGTTATCTTTGTCTATTCTACTTTGATGCTTTCGCATTCTGAAAATTCTTCATTTACTTTCAGCAACTTGTTTTATTAGGCAAGCTTCAAAGTTGCATCCTGGCAGTAAGCAATTGTTGATGCGTGGAGTTGTCTTTGAGGTTTTATCTAAAACGGTGGCTTTGGGTTACAAAATGTCTTACTCGGCATTTCAGAGCGTTTTGTACTTATCTACTCATCAATGATTAGGCCTAATCAGAATATCTAAAATTAATTCGCCCCGGAAGCTGAAATCTCCAAATGAAGTTCCAAAGGAGGCAAGCGGCAGAAAAAGCTCGCTTCAGCTGCCAAAGCCCCGTCACAGATTCAATTACGCAACTCAGTAGCGAGACGCCGCTCAACCAGAACATTACTGTTGCCTTGACCCGACGATTATTTTTAATCCGGTGCAGCCTGCTCCCTCTTTGCCAGCTAAAATCCGGATGTTGTAATTGACTTCCGCTTCAGACAGGACAATCGTGTAAAGAGCAACTATGCTCCTCTTCGCTGAGGCGACTTTGCAAGCAACGCTCTTATCCCACGAACTTTCTGATAAAATAAAATGATATTTTTCGTAAAATTGTCTCGGCAGAAGGGAAGATCTTGGCAGCTCGGACCTCCCGCCAGTCGCAGTTATCTAACCGCACAACGAAAACACGAAAAAGTAAAAATAATAGAGCGCCTATAAAAATTGGCGCACCGTTTTGTTTTTTTAGCGCGGTCGCCAATCTTGCCGGTCAAGCCTCTGTTCCAGGACGGGCGGGAAGGTACAGACAGATTTCGAATTACTCATAAAAAGAAAGTCGGACTACCATTCACTGCTGCCGACAGGACTTCGCTCCCGTAGTGACGCTGTAACAGGTTCTTTTCGAGATTAGTCGGTAGGTTCTTCTGGTTGTACTGGAATCACGTATAGGCAGAAGCAATCACTGTACCTCATTATAGTAATTACGCAGGCGATGTTTTAGCATACCCGGCATGGCCCGGCCCGTATTCGAGAAACGTCCGAGCAAATAGAGTTGCATTGAGATTTGTGGAAATATAACTGTTGAAAAAAACCCAAATCTTATGCTTTTCCTGCTTTTTATGGTTTCCACAGACATATTACTGTAAATGACATTATTATAGATTCGAGTCTATACAGGAGATAATGGTCTTGCTAAAAAACTTATTTTCCGATTCATTGAAAATGCTGCAATTGATAAGTTTTCATAATAAAATCAATGGATAAATATCTTGTCTTGTATTATCTGTGCGTGAAGTATTGAAGTAGGAATGAAAAAGGTCAGTTAATTCTAGTTTCTAATCTACAGTAAATTTACTGAGTTTTCTTATCCGCGGCGTTGCTGCTTTGTATTTCTTCAGATTCGGCAACTTCCTCAATTTTTTCAGATTTTGTTACATCTTTTGAGGATTTTCGAAGAATTTTTTTCAGAAGTCCTTTGACGAAATGAATGATTTTTCCTAAGTTAGTTTGTGGAGCTTCGCTTGAGGCGGGCACTACAGTACTAAATACCAGTTAATTTCAACTATTGTTTTTGTAATCGACCTTGTAGTCAGGTTATGAACAGAGCCAATAGCCATGGCGACGACAGTGCCTGGCCTCGGCATCCTGTCAAGCAGAACAGGACAGAAACAGGTCAAAAAAATTTTTTTCTCGATTTTCACACAGGAAACAGAACAGGACAGGTCTGTATAACTGTATACAGAAACAGGTCTGTAGAAAATACTGTCCTGGACAGGTCTGTATGACTGTATACAGAAACAGGTCTGTCAAAAAATACTGTCCTGAAAAAAACAACAGATGCAGGCCTGAAAAATAAATTGTTTTCTTAAGTTATTATTTTAAATAATAGGACAGACTGTCCGACAGAATGCCGAGGCCAGGACAGTGCATGCCAAGCAAAGGACATTATAAGGCATGGAAAAATCAGGAATTGGGACGTAAATTAGCACCGACTCTAAATTTCTGGTGACGAATTTGAAAAAGGATTCTCCCAACCTGAAAAGATGCGCCTTGGAGAAGAAGTCAAAGCATCTTGGAAAAAAAGAATGACCGATGGAAGATAGCGCCCGTGGTTGGCATCTGCTGGATATTCGTTCCATTTCGGCCAAGCGGTTCTTAATCGGTTCATTTATAATCCTGTAAAAAAAATTTACTTGAAATCGTATTCGACGATACATGCTGACTTTGGTTTGATCTTGAAACCAAAGACAATGAGTCCTGTTACTCGTTCGGCATCGTGCGCCGCTTTATAACTGTAAGCAGTTTCCTCGCAGCCTCTCACTCTTCTTGAGGAAAGACTAGGTTTCAGCCACCAGGGAACGACTTCCAGAGTAAGTACTTCTTCCTCAATTTCTCGTGGGTTGAAGATCGTTGTTTTGATGGAACCCTCGCCTTGACCGCCGCCCGATTTTCGAGAAATTTTAAGATGCAAGTTTTCTGTTTTGCTGGAGTTCCATAAGATCGGAATGTTGAATCGAATATCATCTTCGAATTTGGTAAGAATCTCTGTAACAGGTTTTATATTAACGCTATTTGGAAAAGGAGTCTTCTATGATTGCAGCGAAAAAAAAACCATTCCTTCAGACAAAACTGAATATTGACTCGACTGCACTAAAGAAAACTCTGTCTTTTCGGCGATCGAACTAGTTGTTGAGTTTCGAATTCCAAAGAGCAACTCTGCAGTCAACACTGTTTTCGGCTGCGAATGCTCTTGTGCACTCAGCAGCTGCAAGGACGAACGAGTTCTCACATCGATGATCGCTCGTTGCCAAAAAATGAGCTCGTCGCCGCTCTTGAAGTCGAATCCAAGCGACCAGAAGACACTATTCTGCTGAACGTAGTGTGGATTGTCAAGTAAATATGCGAGGCCATGAGTTGATCCTGTAGGAATGATCTTCTTCCACGGCGTCAAGTTCTCAGTGCATGCAACTTCCCGGGGAAGAAATCCTACTCTTCGTAAGCTAGGACTGCTCACTAGAAATGGGACTCAAAAATTATTAAAAGTGAAATAAAACCTTGAGCAAATGACGGAAGAAGAATAGGAGGAGTAACGGCCGAGCGGGTATCAAGTTGATTCAGCGAAATGCAAAAGAGGCCGGCGAGAACGCCAACCAAGGATTTCCATCTGTCTTCAACTGGGATTTCATCCTCTTGAAAAGATGCGACCAAGAAGGCGCCGACGGGCGATGCTAGTTTAGAATTTGCCGCCTGGTAGTCCGAAGAGTCTCCTTTTGCGAGGGAAAGATGCAGCTCTTCAATTTTCAGTTTTGAAGTCACCTCGTGAATAGCTCGTGGATAAGTTCTGTTTTTGGATAAGCCATTTTCACAAAAATCACGCTGTAAAATGAAGAGACGCAAAATAGCTTCACCGTGCCTGTAATGCTTCGGCAGTGCATCGTCGCGCTGGAAGAAGAACTCCACTTCGGTGAAAACCTTTTCTTCTTCAAGCGGTTGGACAGTGAGTTTCTCGCGGAAGGTCTCTGCTGCGCATATCGTCAGAAAAACTAGGACTTCTCGCATTAAATTTAGGAAACTACACTGGAAATAGGAAAAAGGATTTCTCGAGCAGGGACGCCCATTGGCTGAAACGATGACGACGCGCCAATAAAAAGCCAAACGATTCTCATTCAAGTTTATTCAGTCGAGTATTCAGAAGTTAACTTCCACAACTCCACAAAACTTGGAATTCTATAGACGATTATTTTAACGATATCGACGACGTGGACGTTGACTACTCTTTTCATGCTTAGACTTGACTTGTTACTGGCAATTCAATGCGATTCAAAGCATAAAAAGGGGATGGCATCCATCCGAAGGCAAAAGATTTATGTAATGATGCTTCCTGAAAAATACTTTTCTCCTCAGAAGGGTTACAGAATCTGTAGTACTACTAATTGAGTATTTAGTCTTGCATGACTTAAAATTTCGCAGCGTGCAATTCATAAGATTGCTAACTATTTCCTAAATTACGATTATCGTTCTAAAAACAGGAAATGAGGAACAACGTGCACATGAAAAGCCTGCTGGTAATGATACCTGATCCGACCAGGGCTTTGCAACGGCGATCACCGTCATTACTCTTCATCAGCACCTCTGCTTTTACGAGGACGCACTAAAAGCGGCGGCAGTCGTTCAATTATTCTAGCCTTTGGGAAACAAACAACGTCATTTTTGGAAGCTTACGTCAGAAAAGGAGAGAGAAAACTCTTGTTCACTTTGATTCAACAATTTGGCGATGTACTTTATACAGATAAAGAAGGTTTCTTTTATATAAAACAGGTTAGTCGCTTTGAAAATGCGGGCAGAACCAAGAAAAGGAAGTGATTTTCTGGATCTGAGTTTTGATTGGCCGGTAGGCCAAGTACAGCAATCTTATTGGCTTTCCAAAAAATCACTTCCTTTTCTTGGTTTGTGCCGAAAATGCCCTTTTGAACGAAATTTATGACTCCCTTCTTTCTGAAGCTTCTGAAAGGATTTCTAAAGTGTGACAAAAAATTCCAATGATTTGAAATTATGAAACATGCATTTCGGAAAGGAGGAAAGAGAAATTGCGATTTCACGGGACATCCATCGATACCGATCTGAGCCTCCGGGCGGACAAAGCTGATTTTTATTCAATATTCAAAATGATTTAAGAACTCTGGAAGCGCAACATTAGTGAAAGAAGCAACTTGTTTTTTTTCCAGAGAGATTATGATGCAGTGCAATGAAGAGCGATGGAATTGAATACATATCTAGTTCTAGGCTAGGCTTTGGAATCATAAAACAAGACGTAGATCATTATTGGAAGCCCTAGTAAACTCGAAACAAAATGAGCCTTTATCAGTCATACTCATTCTTCTTGCCATTTCTTCTTTTATAAACTACGATCTTTCAACTGCAAATGATGGGTTTTACCCTTTGCCTCGATTTCTCACTAGTTACTTTCGCCCAAACAAAGTTCTGAAAGAACACTACAATGGAACCTTGCCTGGCGTAAGTATTTTACAGTCCTGGCTCAAGATTAATTTAACCCTTCTTTAGTTTATCATTACGGGAGTAATGAAATGCGGAACAGGGGCAGTATCGAAGTTTCTTTCTCAACACTCAAGAGTTTACGACATCGGCGAGACTTATTTCTTCAATCGCTACTACGAAAAAGGATACAGTTATTATGACGCTTTGCTGACTCGCAGAAGTGCAGGCAAGCACAAGATTGTTTTTGAAAAGACTCCAACTTACTACAAAGTGAGCATCAACAAGAACTAGACCTCTTCTCATGCTTTCGTAATTTAAGACACTGCCAACAGCCGAACGGATTCATGCGATGAGCCCAGACACGAAGATAATACTTATTGTGTGCGACAATGTGCAGAGAACATTGTCCCGATATCTTCATATTTTGCACCTGAGTCCCAACTCTTTACAACGCCAGCAGAAGGAGCACAAGGTAATTAATCGTGTATTTCTTAAGCATGTATTTCTTTAGATCGACGATCTTGGAAAAGACTTCGAAGAATTCCAACAACGCTTGAATGCCACAATAGACGACCTCAACATCGAGTTCAAAGGGATGCTGGCAAATCGTTTTGGAAATTTTTACCGTTTCGTCGAAGATCTCTACGACTTGTATAATCAAAGAAAGTATCCGTTCTCAACAAAAGATTCTACTCTGAGGGAACTCATCTTGACTGACGGATTGTATTCGGTCTATCACATGACATATCTGAAGTTTTTCTCGCCCGAAAAAGTTCTTGTCGTTGATGGTTCCACCGTAAGAACAACCCTCAATAATAAAAAAAGCTCATCATATGTTTAGATGAAAGATTCGCCTTGGACAGAGCTCGAGCGAATACAAAATTTTCTCGATGTTCCTGTCGAGCTATCAGAAAACTCTTTCAAGTGGTCCGAGGAACGCGGACTTTACTGCCTCAACAAAGACGGAGTTCCAAATTGTCTTGGAAAAGGCAAAGGGCGATCGAACGGGTGGGAGTTCGAACCTTATCTTCAGAAGAAGTTGATGAAGTTCTTTAAACCTTTCGGTGAGAGAAAAACCAACGACTAAGGTCTATAGTACTTTTAGATCAGCACTTTGCTAATTTGTTGAAGAAAAGATTCAGCTGGCAGGACAAAAATGACGAAGAATGAACTATCTTACTTCTTTTTTATGTATTTATTCAAATATAATTCAAACTATTTATCAAAATGAGGCACACGGATCAGTGTAAAAAAGTGTCGTCGCGGAGGAGTTTTTCCTTTAGAAAAGTCCTTGTTGATTATTATATTCAGCACGTTTATCCAACATGTTTAGAATACATGTTTACTTGCATTACAGGATGCGTCCTCGCCATTTATCTTCGTTGGTCGTCTTAGTTGTAGTTCGGTAGCTTTATATAAACTTGTAATTTATCAAATGGCCTTATCGATTCATCATGACTTGGTGGCGCTGTTTGAAGTGCCTCGGCGGATATCTAGATTTGCTCCTTATCATTCAATAGTACGAGAGTATTTTTTTGCTCGTATAGTTCGACTTGTTTTTTTAATGCAAATAATAAACTTTCTTTTTTTACTGGGCTCCTTTTTGCAAAGATCGAACGCATGTAGAGTCCTGTGCGGTGGAATTATCGGACGAAAACGGAGAGAAACGCAGGTAGAAGAGGAAGAAAAAGTGAGAACGGAAGGAAAAGTAAAAGAGACGTTCTGGGGATGCGCTCCATGGTGGGCGCAGATATCTCTTTGTTTGAAAGTATACTACAGAGGGTTCAAAAAGGAAGTATCTGAGTCGCAGTTCTACCGCGTTGCGAGCCGAACTTGTGACGAGTTTTGTATAGCTAGCATCGACTCAGAGAAATGTGCGGACTGCTGGAGCTCTATCGCGAAGAACTCCTTTCAACTCTACGACATTTATTGCAATTGGTCGATGAAGGAAGAACAGTGTCCAGGAGCCCGCAACACAACGCAGTACTCGTTTTTTGAATACAAGGAAACCATAGAGGTGGGATTCATATTTTGAGAACAAAAAGTACAGTCTTATTAATTCAGAGGTGCATACAAACTTATGTTCCAGCACACGTTGACGCCACGGAGCCTGAGATCGCTTCGTCAAAACCAGTCTCGATCAAAGACCGCAAGATCCGGTTAGCGCTTCCGTTGCAAAACATCTACTCATTTATATTTAATCCTTTCTATTGCAATATCTAACCGGTTACTCAGCTCTTGAAATGGCGTATTCGTTTACCGACGGGTTATAAATTTCTAATGATAATTGAAAACTATTATTGATCGAGTAATTATAACCCTGTTAGCGAAAAAGCGTCCTGGAAACTGGTGGGCATTGACAGTAAAGCTTCCTTGTAAGCCTCCGCTTTTCACGTACAAAAACGCTTTCTGTGTCAATACTGATGAAACTGGTTCCGGCGGAAAATCTTACTCCGTTACTCAAAATTAGAGTGAAAAATTTGTATAACAAATTAGAATATTCGGACTGAATTGGTCCGAGAACTGTCTGAATTCCTTTTCGTTAGACTGTAATTTTTCACTCTTCTCTCAGCAAAAGCACAGGAACAAAGAATTTCATTGCCTTCGAGGTTCTTTTTAGTAAGAAATGCGAGTTCAAAAAGTCCGACATTGATATCGTTTGGGATGAGTCCTTTCCTTCGCAGAAGTTCCCACAAGTATCGTCGATCCCACATATGAACCGCCGCCAAATATCCGTAAGTAAGAAAAGAAAATAAAGCTGACTTGAAAAAATACAGGAGATCGTGACGGATTTCAAGCATAAAAGTGGCTCGATCGCTAGAAATAGCGAAACGATGCAAAACGATGCAGTTCGTCCGCAAAAGGGACTCTTATATGTCGACTCGCAAGCAATTGATCTCTACGAGCAGCTCATCGGAAATGATTGGAAAGAGTCTCATGATCATCTGTTTGGTTCAAGGAGGCAAGAGAGAAGGAGAAGACAGATTTCGAAGCAAGATAGTCCAAACTTACAGTTGGGGCTTCATTTTCCATGCATGATCAAAAACCTGTCTCTTGTCTCGTATCCGAATGATGTCACGAGCGGTGCCCAAAATCTCGCAAGAATGGTAAAATCGATTGAGAAATCGAATGAATTTTGAATTTTCACTATTAGGCCTATGGATCAGCGACAGTAGACGGATTGAATAACAAATTCTTTGTCTCCATTCCAAAACCAGAGCCAATTGAGGAAGCAGTTGGTATGCTTTTCGATGCAGCAAACAGCGGACTAGAGCGACAGCGGTTTCTGGAAGAACAATCTTACCAAGCCCTGGAGTTCGAAATCGACTATGGAGAGGGCTGCTTCTTCGATGCTACCAGGATAAAAGCAAGAATGGAGCCAGTGGTTAGAACATCGTGTACAGACGATCAAGTAAGCGAAAATTCGAAAGCAAAATAGTCATATTTACAGCTCAACGAAACGATCTGCTCTGAGTTCGAAGTTTGTGTAACTAAGAAGAGGGTATCGACTCGCAACAAAGAAGAGTTTATAATCCGTTCAAAATGTCTAACGAGGGAGAAATCTCAGTGTCCAGAAGCTATGGGTAGCTGGTCTCTAGAGTCGCCTTCAGGCGCTGCGTTTTGTTGCTGCAAAGGGCAAAGATGTAATCGAGAAAACTGCACTTTATAACTGTTCATTGCCATTCCTCGTTGTTTCTTAAATGAAACAGAAATCAAACTACAAATATACTCCTATTAAAGTCTTTTGCTGCCAGCTGTGAGAGATAGATTTCGGCGAATCGAGTTTAATTCTTGACAAAAACAACGAAGATATCAACATGTATAAGACATATATTCACATAGGGTCGACGGCAGTGAAATAAATAATCTGGATAAGTATTCATGGTTCATATGGTGGGGGCGCCTCACAGGGGATGATCTCGAACTTTGATCCACTCGAATCGCGGAGCACAGTGTCGTAAGATGGAAGTTTCGCCACGAAACTCGTTTGTTCGTCTTTCACTCGTCGAGCGATGTCGAAGAACTCTTGTGGGTACATTGGGAAGCGGTTCGGAAGAAGGGAGACGGCTCCGTTGATTTCTACGTAGATGGAGTCTTCACGGTGAAAAGAACGACTTGCAGGAATTCGGTGGTTTCTATTTGCACTCGAGCGGGATATTCTTGTAGGGACGGCTGGCGTAGTCTTGTTAGCAGAAAAACGGACCATGGAGCCGGTGAGGAGTCCAAAAAAACCTGCAGCCAAGAAAAGGATGCCTACGGAACGAAGACCAAGGGAGCTGCTAGTGCTGTCAGAACGAAGAGTTAAAAAGAGCACCGAGCATCCAATGACGATAGCGAGGAAGCCGGCGAAGAGTAGCAAACCCAGTGCGCATTTAACCTGAATTACTTTGTTAAAAATTGTTGAGGATAAAGTCAAATTTGATAATCATGGTTGAATGCAAATGTATATTTACCTGTGACTTGTTTCTCTTGAGCTCGTGGGTCAGCATGATGTGTCGGAGGTGTGCCTAAGATAAAAATGTTAACCAATTTTGTTTTCACTTTTTGAATCGCAAATGTGAAAAGGGTGCAGTTAAAGTAATCTCATAGGTGCAACATATCGATCATCATGATATAATATATATCGAAGCACATTATTAAACCACTGCTGCTTATAAATCCGCGTTTCGATTAAGAGTGACAGCTTTAATTACTCAACCTACCTCTGTGTTCATTTTCGACGTTGAAAGAGTCTTCCTTGTTTTATCAAATCTCTTATTTTTGCTTTTTCCTTGTAAAAATTCGAGGTTGCTTGTAACTTTTGTAATGCTGGAAAAGTATTGTCTGCCGAATTGTTAGGCATGGATGGTTTTATTGGCAGAGAGCGCATGGCCAGCTGATGGCGCACGCGAGCGAACCCCACCACCTGATCAGATGGTCGTGGCTGGTGCCCCGCCGCGAATTTTTCAGATCTTCATCACCTTCCGGAGAATAGTAATTGACGATAGCGTGAAGGAAGATAGACTTAGTCTATTGAAATGTCTCAAAAAGCGTGTACCCTAGAATAGAATGTCTGCAGAACGAAAACTAGACGAACGTAAATAATTAAGACTCGCTTTAAAGTTTTTTTTTTGTTTGATTTTGTTGTTCCATTTCGTGTTATTTTTCATCATTTGACAGACCTTTTCATTTCATAGAAAATTAACGTGAACATTTCCGACAAAACATCTTGGTGTGAAGACTTATTGACGCTGGGAGCGAGAGAAATTCAAATTTTTTGCAAATCGGAGGATTATAGTAGATTTACGAGGTCAGAGGTGTGTCGGTTTATTCTGGCTCCCAGCTAGTTGCTAAGCTCAACGGCAACAGATCTTTTTGAGCGGATTATATTGGTCTGCTTACCGCAGTGCGACTACTGGAGTGCATAGCATGCCGGTGACCGCTAATTTCGCTGATTTGGTTTGTCCTCTACATTCAGCCAAACAAACCTGTTTTTCCCGAGTCTTGATTCAAATTTTGAAGCTGTCGAAGCGATGCATAAACAGCGAAAGATCTTGCTCATATTAATCGTTTATGAGAGGAGCATTTGCCGTAGCCTACTTCCACCGGAAAGATAAAAGCAGAGTCCAGCCGGGGAAGCCACTCAACCCAATCCGTCAGAGAAGCCATTAAGCATGCTGTGCTTTCTCTTTGGTAGACATTGTTGGAGGGCAGCTCAGCAGGCGCGATCAAAGTCAGAAGGCCGCGCGTTCAATTAACAAGATGCACCTTCCCATTGAAAGTTCCCTTTGATCGTATCTCGATCACGTGATAAATCAATTTCAATTTTCTGCAGAAGAATGCTCTCCACATGGACCAAAAAGAGAACGCCACTCAAGTTATCTACTTTCATGGCCATTTTCGAAAATGATGTTTTCTTAAGTAGTTAGCAGAAAATATTCGAGAAGACTTTATATATATAAGAAATTTTAATGAAAAATATATTTTTTTATCAAAAACTCATTTTTTTGTAAAGATTTAAATTTTAAAATTTCCCCGCATCACTGCTCATCAGCGCGGATTACATCTCTCTGATAACAACTGGTCGATGGCCTAAATCTAAGTTTCCACAAGATCGGCTTATCTAACTCCTAAAATTTGGAAAATTTCAGGCACCGCTGGAACCCGTGTAAATTCCCTACAATTTTAGAACTTTGGTGAGCAGCTAATCCTCTCCTTATTCTTTTGTGTCCCAGCGGGTGGCCATACAATGCCAGCTGTAGATGTCAAGCGTTATTGGCTGGAGGAAATTATTTTTAGCTCCTCAGTGGGATACAGACACAAATGCATTTGAACTCCAGCCGAGCCAGACAATGCAAAATTGTTTGCTTTTCTAATTTGAGCTGAGTTTATGATTGAAATCATATTGTTCGAAACTTCCAAATTTGAAGCCTTCAAAGAAAATTCCGTTCTTCTTAAAAAATTGGAGAACTTGTCGAGTGAGCGGAAATAGTCTAACTTCGGAATCTTGCTTCTCAAGTGCCACTCGGTCGAGGCTCTTGAGACATTTGGAAGTATTTTGCGAAAAGCTAACAACAATTACTGTCCGAAACCTTTTTTGTGTACTGATGCGAGTGAGGGATAAGCGCCTCGGAAGTTGATAGCGCCGGGTACTAACTCCACAAAACAAAACTACAAACAAGTGTAAATATAGGATCGCTTTCAGGAAGTGCGCTTCCGATCGCGAAATAGAGGAGAGAAGGAGACGTTCGCGCGAATTTCATGAGAACTATTACTGTGACACTTTTTGCGTGAAATCTACTGATCATATCCGCTATGCGTTTTCCCATGGGTCAAATAGGTCGCTACGTATAATTATGGCTCATCACGTGAGACAAGTGAATTACGCGGTCACGCCTGCGCAAGAAGAACAGCCTGAAACTGCCAAAATTCGGGTCGATTCGATGCATGGGGTAATTTATGAGCTGAATTGGGCCATGCACACTCCAGGTTGAAACAATAAACCTCAAATTGCTTAAATCAAAAACTCCAAAATTCAAATATTGTGGGCTTAACCCATCGAAAGAACAACAAACCTAGGTTAAACAAACGTCGTCAGCAATTTCCGAATCTCAAATTTTAGACTTCAGTGATTTGACACAAACAGACTATTGACCATTGTGAACAAAAATGTTGGAATGATCGAAAGGCGAAGAAGATAGAAAAGTATTTTTTTAGGCTTTCAAAGAACGATTGCTGGGGATCTCAACAAGATCGTTGTTTTGGCAAGATTTTCCGGAAGCATTCATATCGCTTTGAGGCGGTACTTGAGTACTCCTTCACCCGGTGGGATGAAAAGACGATCGCTCAATTAAAGACTGACTAATACTCGAGTTGACATTGTTTCTCGTTTAGCTTGTTTGGAAAGAAGACTTCAATATGCTTCAATATGCGCCTTCACAGAGCAGAACGCCTTGAGAGCAAACTCTTAAAATTTACTAAACAAATCGGACAAGCCAGCTATAAATGCTCATAAAAGGGGAGCGCTTGTTGATCGGTAAACTCGGCGTTTTTGAAGCGAAAGTGTCAGAAGATAGTCGTGCGGAACGCAGCTGTGAATTTCGGAAATCGCACTCACTACTTCAGACGCAGAGGTGATGCGTATGGTATGCATACTTTGTCGTAGTTTTATTTATTTTTTCGAAATATTATTTTAGATTTTCGATTTCCCGTATCAAAACTTCAACTAAATTGATTTTACTCATAAGAAAAGAAGCACTCTTCTGTTTTACTTCGTGGCTTCTTTCGCCGTTTTTCCTTGAACTAAAATAACAAACTCAAGCTATCTAATGATATCAAACCTCTCGTTTTTTATTCTGCTTCTCGATAACATTTTCAATATTGATTTCGGTGATTTTGAGTATCTCTGGCGATATCTTCGCTTTTAGCTCGATCGGAGTGTTATCTTCTAATCGGGCCTCTTCCTTGATTTCAAAGGCTCGGCAAGAGATATTAATTCACCTGCAACTCAAAACATTTAACATTCAAGTAAAATTTAGTTCAAGATCTCTTCCTTTTTCAAAACACTTTGATAGTCGCTCTTCTTTCAGTTCTCCTGCAAGACGTTCTAGTCTTTGAAGAATTTCTCTATACTCCGTATCATCTTTTTCTAAACGCTTATCGAAGCTTAAATTTTTAGTTAATCTCACTTAAAGTGCCTCTAACAAACCTATAGTCCCAGTCCATTTTTTGTTGTTCTCTAGCCGTGTTTTTTTTTTCTTTGCGGCGAAATTAACGAGGATCATCTGAGTTTAAACTTTACAATGACGAATAAATCAAAAGTGAATTTAGTACTTTACGAAACTCGTATTTTATTTGCATGGTTTGAAGAAATTCGGTGGAATATGGAGAAGGGTCAGAAAAAGTACAAATGAATGGCAGTGTGATTTTCAGGTAAACATAAACAAGAAAGCTCACATTTTTCGTGAGTTTCCGGTCCAAGTTCTTGTCGGTTAGTGATAGTTGGAAAGGAGTGTTGCGTGAGACGGATAACGCACATCGTTTAGGTAAGACCGGCTTTCTCCATCAACTAAATATGTTTAGCCTTGAGAATGAGTGTTTAAAGGTACATGTGACGAAGGTATTCTTTTCGCGCTTGAGCGTATCATGTTTTGGGAGCGGAGCAGATTGCATCGTTCCATAGGATCTTTCCAGAGGTCTTAAAAATTAAAATATAGATTCACCCAGAACACCTCCACGTCTTTTTTGGCGTCAGATTCATTCTTTTCACTTTGAGTATTTTGTTTCGAATACCGACTTGAAAGGGAATGTTTAACTTTTTCATCAGCAAAAAGAACGTGTCATTATCACCGTAAAATATCAAGTATCATTTGATAAAAAGGGGCACCAAAATTAAACACCGGCTAAGAGTAGTGGGACACCTTCTTTAATGGTCACTTGACCAGTCGGTGGTATAAGAAGATTCAACTGGGTCGAGCTCGCAAAAACCAGACTCATAGCTCGAGTCTGATTTCGGCGATGAGACGCTCTTGACTTCGCCTAAATTTGGGGTTCCAAATTTTCCTTCGTTAGGGGTTACCGAGAGATCTGCTTCGGCAGATGAAAAAGAAAGCGTCACGAGAGAATGGGGCCGCGCAAGCCGCCGCTGATGACGAAGAGAGCTCTGGCGAGATCCGCTGACGCCCGTTTTTAACGAACTTAGGGTGTTCTCTTTCCTGAATTATATTTATTTCACAATGATTGAGAAGTTAGAAAAGACTTCTTCAAAAAATAAGGTCAATCATCATGATCCTTTAGTTGTTCACTTACGAATATTGAGCTTTTATTTCATCCCGCAGCGATTCGTGATGATTGACGGAAACAGTCGACATCACTTCTGGCAAGACAAATAGCAGTGCACCAACGAGGATCAAACAGACAGTAGTTATTCCTGTCATTATCCACCAATACATCAAGTAGTTTCCACACGAAAGATCAATAATATTCTGCTCTCAAGGTCCCAAAACGCTCATTATTTCAGATATCATGAATAACGATCAATTTTTCTTTATTTCTTAGTCTGCCTTTTTGCGCCTTTTCCTTGTATTCTTTGTGTGTTCGTTTGCAGCTAAGCAAGTCGTGGACACCTTCGACGTTGTTTTTGAGCTTGTTGTGCAGTTGTTGTGCTTGGAGAACTTTCTTCGCGGGTTTTGTATATTTGAGATTGATTCCTTGCGTTATTTCTTCCAACTCCCGCTAGATAGAGTGATTTTAAAAGATGTCATGTTCCTCAGTTGAACGAAATTCAACACAAAATATAGCCAGCTTGTTATCGCAGTTCAAGGGTACAAATTGCGTTCACTAAGCTGAATTAATCAGGTGCATTTGATTTGGACACGGAATCGCGTGTACGCATCTCCCGGAAGAAGTAGACTTACGTCGCGCTTCTCCAGCTCGCGGAGCAATTGCTCAAAGCGTTGGACTTTTTCGGAATCCTGGTCGCAACGCAGCACCACGTCAATCTCGTTGCGATTGAGCCAGCCTTCGTCGAGAAGTGTCTTTTCCACAAAATAAGCTTAGCACGTTCACTAATTCTTGTTCCATGCTTAGGCCAATTTGACAGCGGCCGATATTAATTAGCGCTAAAAGAATATCAGCTGCGCGGAATTGAGCCAAACAGGACTGATACAAGTAAAGACGATTCTAGTGAACGTTCCTGGGTTCATACAAAGATCGGATAGCGCCACGGAAGCGGTGAGTTGAATGCCGAGGGAGAAGTGGAGAATCAGCAGGCCCAGGAATCCCAAAATAATGCTCCCTTTGAAGATTTAGATTATATCAGTGCTGAAGCGTTAGAGTCTATTTACCAACAAAGAGCGTTGAGTTCTTGACGCAGGTAGAAGCCACGCAGATAACGACGAGCAACAAAAGGTAGCCGAAGACGATGCCACTAGCTATGAGGCGATAGTTTTCGATCTCCTGGGCGCGCTCCATCACAGGCTCGTACTCTTCGTTCATTGTCGAGTTTCCGATTCGCAGAGGAAGCCACTCTGAACAGTAAATTTTGCATTTATCAGTTCTGAACACGAGTTACTTACCAACATAAGGGTATGCGACGCGAAAGTTGTAAAGTCGCTCTTGGAATTCGCCCGAGAGACCTTTCTCAGCATTGAGCAGCACTTTCTGAATTTTATGTTCACAACTACGCATGTAATTTATTTGCTGGAATTCGGTGACGCCTTGAAAATTCGTGCCATCAATCACTGAAGTAAGAAAGAGGCAACTTTCTAGCTTCGGAAATGAATAAATTTTCAAAAACGTGTTTTTTTTTTATCAAATTATGCAAAGGCGGAGATGAGACGTTGAAATGGATATTAAAAACTGGCGCGATTTCATGCACTTTCCTAGTGCAACCACGAAAGATGATGGAACATGTCAACGGTTGAATTTGATGGCCGAAAGTTTGCGGCTGGCGGCAACACGTTCCGCTGCCCAACTTTTTTCCAGCTCCAAATTATCAACTGATCATTTAAGTTTCCGTCTATTCTTACCGTTATGGCTTTCGTCTGCTCTTTGAACATGTGCTCCGCGTTAACTTCATCGACCAGTTTCTAAAATACAACTTGAAAACTTCGCTCAAGACGCGAGCATATCAATCCCATTTGTTTGAGAAAGCGCTCTTTATTTTTCTTTCGAACCAGCTTCGCCGTGTTTTTTGGATTTATAAGCCTCGTTATTTCAGAAAAGCAGATTTAAGACTGCGCGTAATTTAAGTAGTCCTTTTAGAAACTGACTTTTGGACTGGAAGGCGCGAGATAAATTTTAAATATTTTGAATAGTTGTGTACCTTTAGCTCCCTGGAAGAGTTCACAATGTTGCGATAGTCGTTTCTCATCGCACCAAAGCAGCTGTAGGCACCTACGAGAATGCACGTCGTGATCAGCACCAGAATCACATTGCTCACGAAGAGTGATGGGTTGCATTTATTGCTCGAGACGACGGTTTTCGTCCAATCACGGCAACAATAGTAAAGAAGATAAACTTATCCAGCTTTGAAAAGAGGTACAAAATGAGCGATAAAGTTGGTTGCTTTCTAAAGGCATGAATGTGCTTGATGCAACAGGTGGTTTCATGATCCCGACGCTCTCTTTAGGTCAATCGAAAATACTCGAGCTGATAAGAAACCAACAGGTCATTTACAACTTGAGACTATCGCCTTAGAGGGTTTCTCAAAGCCGGTTCCTAAAAGTAGCAGGAGCATCAGGCTGAGCGGGAAAACAGCATAAAAAAGCAGCGACTAAAATTGACGATAAAAAATAGCTCTCTCGCTTCGTTTGAGTTTAGTTACTTCTTTGTAAGCAGGCAGGAAAGGCTCGAAGGAGGGATTCTGGAGAATTTGAAATTTGAAAGTGAAATGAGGAAATCGGTTTCCAAGCTGTGCCCATTCCGTGGGCAACCAAGTCGTCATTGTGGAAGTTTCCATTTCTGAAAGAAAAGATCAGACCAACCCTCGATTAGAAAAGCTTCCGTGTAAAACGGTCATACAGCGGCCGCGTCTTTCATTCACGGTGGTCGCACAACAACGTGTTCGCCACAATTTAACAGTGATTAGCAACAAATGTACACAATTTCACACCTGTGTCTATTACGCGAATTCAAGAAAGTATCGATTTTGAAGTTAATAACTCTTTTTCGCTCGAAAAATTCTCGTTTGAAAATATCTTCATAAAAAACACATCTCGAGAGATCCTCTTGGATCGCCTACTTTTGATTATTTCAAAGAGAGGCTTCACGTGATCTATTACGTCTCCCCAGTTTAACTTTTTATGAGCGTTGAATTTTATATTCTTGGCATTATTTGTCATAAACCGTGGCTTGTTTCTATTTACCCTTCTGAAACTCTCGCTTTGTCTCTTTTCTTTCCGCGGAAAGGGCACGTGAGCGAGCTCTCCTTCCGAAGATGGGTTAACCTTGACCCTGAGCACAATGAAAGTCTTCAGAAAAGATCAAACAGCTCTCTTTTTTGAAGAGCTTGTCGAAACAAGGGTGATTTTGGACACACACGCGCCCGAGGGCACAATGCCAGAAGATACCACTCTTTCATAAAATAAGCAGCAGACGCCCATCGCTCTGATGATCACTCCAAATAAAAACAAAAACTACGGTGTTGCTGATTACCTCGACTTGGCTCAATTTCTCTCAATTCTTCTTCAGTTTAATTTCATGGCGATTGAAAATGGAACAGATCGAAAATGTGTTTTCGCAAAAGAAGCGCTAGTTTAATTAAAAAATATTGGATTAGAATTGAACCGATGCCATCGCCCGGCCCAAGCTGTAGTAGCCCTATTTCTATAAATCAGAATTGAATTAGTATCGCCCGCGCAACCTATTGCCCTCTTTGATATAAAAATTTATAGCAATCACCTTTTTCTCCTCAGCAGGGGACTCTCTCACACTTGATAAAAACTTGTGATTTACTGGCTGCTCCTTTAGACCTTTTTTCTCTAACTACAGGCAATACTCCAGTAATATCCAGTCTTCTTCTGGGAATCTCTGTTTTGCTTAATCTGATCCACAATAAGGCATTATAGTAGATTATCGTCCAAAAAGCGAGTTAATTTAATTAGTTGATGAGTGAGCGAGCATATTGTCCGGCTGTTCCCCTTTGTGTGCTGTAAAAAAAACGCTTTTCTAATTTGGGTTAGGCATTTTTCGGCATCTGATCGTCAGACCTAACACCGGAAGAAGAAACTTACTCAAAGAGCGCCTCGATCCAAATTGAGCGTCGTCCTTTCTATTTTCTCGGCCGAAATCGTCCAAAGTCAGCTTTATCTTTTCTCGACTCTGGTATTTCTTGTTTTCGACGGGCAAAAAGATTGTAAGGGCGGATTTGTCTACCTTAGAAATGGCGGAATTCTAGCGAAGGTTTTCCTTTTCTCCGAGTTTGAGCGATCGGGAGCGCGGGGGCGCTCATGAGGTCGCGCAGCGCAGAAACTGATAATTCTACCGATAAGCCAAATTTTTAACAAATACAAGTCTCGCCCTTGAAAAAATAAATCTCCACATGGACCTAATTCTATTTCCAGGAGCTAATGTCGACTTCACGCGCTCTGTCTTCTGTTTGGGTTTGGGCCCCTTAGGAACCACTCCTTTCTAGCAAATTTCATAAGCTATGAAAATAAAGACTTGCGAAGCTGTCTTCTCTATGGCCACCCTATAAATAAGCATACATCTTCAAATATGAGTTAGAAAAATTTTTTGTTATTAACCATTCTTAAAGAACGAATGGTTAGGGCTAGGGCTGATGAGTCATCAGTGATGAGGGTTTATATCGCCGCATAAATTTAGGGTTAGGGAACTTATTCTTGACTCTGTTATCTCCTGAGCATACTTTGGGCGTTTTCGCTAAATAATAATTTGCTGATCATCAATCAGGTGTTTGAAAAATGGACAAGCGGCGCCGATGTCCGAAGAAAATGGATAATTTATGTCGGAAATTGAAAATTAGTCGGCCATCGAGAAAGTCGCTTGAATTGTGACGGATCCGAGCGCTCTTACAACTCGGTAAAATCGGTACGATCAATCTTCTAAACTAAAAATCCCGGACTCATGTCTTCTGGATTAGATGTGACAAGATTTCGAGGAAGCAATATTTATTGGGAAGAAATAGAATGCGGTTAATTTACGCAGAGAAAAGAGAGAGAAGGAGAGAAATCGATTGCGTAGCCAGCGAATTTTCACTGGTCTACTAATTGACTAATTGAATTAAACATTTAGCTCAAATCCGCGGCTATTGAAGAAATTCTGTGAGGTGTATTTTCTACCACAGTGGGAGGTGACGTGTTCCGATCCCTGGCGCATAGTGGCAGCCACAAATTCATGCTCTCCGCCGCAGAATCTAACGACTTTTCTTTCCGTTTGATTTACGCCGATTTTTTTCTTCTTTTGCTTACTGGAAGAGCAAACGGATTTCTGGGAAATTAGCGAGAGCACGCTGATTATGGTTTTTGTTTTGATTAAAACGGGCGACCACTGGCTAATTTCGGTGTTCATAGTGGCTGCTATTAGAGTGGTTAGAATTTCACGCTCTCCTAATTAGGTCCATTAAGTGTTGGCCCACATCGACAGCCCTGGATCAAACTGATCCTACAAATGCCCAAGTTTACCTGGCAGTATTCCCGATTCAAGTCGAAGGTAATTCATCGTTTTCTCCCTCTAGAACGCGACTCTAAAGCAGTAATGCGATTAAAAATGCCTGCCAAGTATTTCGAATATACCAAGGTCTCCAAGACTCGGCCTCACGTAATTTTACTATCACTGCATAGTTCCCACGGATTAAGCCTACCGCAGCTATGCGTGAATATCGCATCTTACAGCTATCGAGCATCTGATACGCTTCTTGAAGTCGTATATTTTGTTTCTCAAGAAGGACAAACAGTAAATTGCAGTTGATGGCTAACGTGTTAGTCTCCCCTGCAGCGAATAACAAGTTCGGCAAGGCATGTTTGAGACCGACCGCTCTACATTTGAACATGTTTTATGCAGTAATTATGATTTACTTCGCATGATGTAAACTATGATCAAAAGGTCAGTTCTGTAGACATTCGCGTCATCCATGAAGTTTGAATCCTTCATTCACCAATGCTTTTTGTATCTGAACCAGGGGTGGATATTTTGATATCAAATCATTATTTCAACCGTTTTTGATTTGAAATTTCAAAAGATAAGCCTTTTTTCAATTCATTTTCGCAATTGCAAATTCATTTCAAATGATAATGGCGCGGAACCTTTTTTGAAATTTTCAACTGTTTCATTTTGCATTTTGCGAAAGGGTTTCAAATTTGGACAGATTTTTTCGAGTGGTCTCCGTTTGCCCAAGTTGGGCAAACGGCGATCTTGGGCAGACGGCGACTTGGGCAGACGGCGATCAAATTGAAAATATAATAATTATTCAATTTAAAGAAATTAATTATGAAATCAAAATTTGCAGGATAGGATAGATTTTAAGTGGTAAAGTTAAATCGCTAGTTTTACGTCCGAGGCCTACACATTGAGGAAACGATGGATGCGCTGAGTCCTCACAAGCGCTAATCCCCAACTTGGTTGAATTGATCTGTTTCTTGTGATTCATTTTCGGTCCGTTCTATTTTTGGAATTGTTTCTGATTGAAACTGAGGGAAAACAGTCATTGTGAGAAGTGAGAAAAAGGGAAAAACTGATGAAACTCGTCCCGAAACCTCCGGGAGACGGACGGCGCCGGAACCAAATTGGTACCCGGTACCAAAGTCAAGCATAATTTCTGGCTCATCAAAAAACTAATGTCCGCTCCGCGGCTGCAGTGTGAGGAAACTATTTATGGACCGAATATACCTATTATATTATGGTACCTAATGACCGACCTAATGACCGACCGAATATACTTCAAGTATAATGAATGATTTACTCTTCCGGGAATAGTTTATTAGGACTTTTATTGAGAATTTAGCGATTTTCATAATTATACCATCCATTACGAAGGCTCTTCGTTATCAATGTAAACGATGTCATAATTCGGAAAGCTTCCGTAGAGTCCACGATACTGTTTTTTCATTTCGTCTCTTATTTATGTGTTTATGCTCAAGAATTTATTCGAAAATCGGATACAACTATTGAAAAACAATACTAGAAAATTGTGGTGGTCTTGTCAAGAATCCAGGGTTAATAATCGTTCAAAAGACATAACAGGACAACCTTTGTTTTTACCTGAAAGTTTCTGCAAATCAGAGCGCAACCAGCAGACTAAGTGATGATAATGAAATTGTCGCCTTACTTCTATCATTTTATGATCAATCAATTAAAAAAAATTCACATCGCCGTTTGCCTAAGATCTCCGTCTGCCCAAGTTGGGCAAACGGCGACTTGGGCAGACGGCGACTTGGGCAAACGGCGACTTGGGCAAACGGAGACCACTCGATTTTTTCAATCTTTTTTCATTTTTCAAATCAATTTCAAATTGCTGAGCCTTGGAGGACACTAGAGGACACAATGTGTTGAAGAGGTATAAAAAGTGAAGTTGGACTCATAAATAATAGAAAATAGGAAAATTTTCTTCAAAGGTACCAATTTTTGGTCGGCTTCCCGAACTTTGTACCACCTCCTAGACCCCCGGGACAAGGAATTCTTGCGCTCAAAATTACCGTCATAGCCTGGGCTACACACTGGGACATGTGGTGCCAGAGTTGCAAATTTGCGTAGCGGAGATAGCGGAGCTGACGGCTCCGCTACGGGAAAAACACTTTTGGCTCAGCTTCAGTGAAGGAAATTCTGACCAGCTCCGCTATCTAAGCTCAGCTACTGATATTAAAATTAAGGCTCTTTCTGTGTGAAAAAAGGCCCTTATCTGTGTAAAATAAATCCTCAGTCAGTCTAAATCAGAGTTCCAAATTTGGTGAGCTGAGTGAGCTGAGCTGGCTGAGTGAGCTGAGCAGTCGCTCAGATCAGCTCAGCTCACTGATTTTCGAAAATGAATTTATCTGCTCAGCTCAGCTCAGCTCAGACAATAATCACTCAGCTCAGCTCAGCTCAATTATTCTCGAACATGATCTGTTCTGCTCAACTCAGCTCAGCTCAGACAAGTATTATTCAGCTCAGCTCAGCTCAGCTCAATGATTTTTACACAATTTTACTACTAAAAACAGTAATAAAACAGCTCAACCCAGCTCACTCAGCTAAGCTCAAATTAGGGTCTGCTCAGCTCAGCTCAACTGCCTTAAAAAAAGGTCTGCTCAGCTCAGCTCAGCTCAATGACCTCTGAAAATGGCCAGCTCAGGTCAGCTCAGCTCAGTCAGCTCCGTAATAGGTCAGCTCAGCTCAGAGAATTTCTCACACAGGGCAGCTCAGCTCTACGAAAATAAAGCCAAATTTGCAACTCTGGTGTAAATCACGTCCCTGGCCTTAGCTGGCTGTAGCTCAGCTAGCTCAGATAGCTCAGCTCAGCTAGCTCACAAAATTTGCAACTCTGAGCGCGAGCAGAGCCCCCCTGAAATTATTTTGTCAGTGAGCCAGCGCGAGCGAAGGTTCACCGATTTTAACGTGAGTGAGCGAGCAGAAGCTATAAAATTTTTTCATGAGAGCGCTCACTCGTGATGATTTAACACTGAAATTTTCAGGGCCCCAAAGATTTTTGATACACAATTCTAAAAAAATTTTGAGTTATTCAAGCCTTTATATAGGCCATTTTGGCAAAGATGTTGACTTCAAGCCGAAATTTTCGCCAGCTCTACTACGCTTAGCTAAACTTTCCTCTCAATTCCGCTATCTAAGCTCAGCAACTGCTATTTAAAAAGATAAGGCCCTCCAGAGTTTGCTTTATTATTACTGAGCTGAGCTAAGCTGACCTGAGTAAAAATTTCTCTAAGCTGAGCTGGCCTATTTCGGAGGTGACTGAGCTGAGCTGAGCTCAGCAGACTTTTTTTAAGGTAGTTTAGCTGACCTGAACTGAGAGGACCCTAATTAGAGCTGAGCTGAGCTGTTTTTACTGTGTTTTAAGAACTAAAATTGTGTTAAAATCATTGAGCTGAGCTCAACTAACTCAAAAGAAAAAAAATCCCGCGTTTCCCATATTCCTGAATCTGCAGCAGTGTCTGAAAAATGGTGAGCGCGAGCCACGAGCGAGCGCGAGCGAGTGAGCGAGCGCTCCTTCTCACTCACTCATGTGATTTCGAGAAGCCTATGCTCGCGCTCGCTCACTCACCATAAAATTCAAAGTTCCCTGCTTGCGCTCACTCGCGCTTGCTCACAGTTAATCCACCCTGGATTTTATCTTTTACTCCCGTTAGAGTACTCAATATTAATTTATTATATTTAAAAGTCATTCAAAGAACTAAATCAAAACGTTTTTGAAAAGCTGCGAGTGAGCGCGAGCGAGCGAGCGAGCGCTCATGCTCGCTCACTCACAGAAAAATTCCGGTATCTGCGCTCGCGCTCGCTCGCTCACGAAAAAAATCAAAAGGGTCTACTCGCGCTCGCTCACTCATGTTAAAAATCTGGGGGCCTCTGCTCGCGCTCACTCACTCACGAGAGTTTTGGCCATTTTTCAAACACTCGATTCGGCAGAATCCACAATTTGCGATTTCAGAAATACGGGATTTTCAGAAATTTAGGACTTTAAAAATACGGGATTTTGGGAAATGCTGGAGTCAAAAAGGGATGGCAGGCGCGCTGAGTTTTTCCTTTTGCGCCTTCTTCAAATTTGCAACGATTCATTTTTTCAATTTCATTTTTCAAATTCCTTTCAAGTCGCCAAATAAGAAAAACTGATTGAAATGTCAATTATTGCAGTTTCAAATTCATTTCAAAACTCCGCACGAATCTTTATCTTTTGAAAACGCTTTTTTTTCATTTTCAATAGGTTTCATCCATTGCATCGGCTTTTTCCTGCAATTTCAATTGAAATTTCAATTTTTGAAACGATGAAATAAATGATTCGACAGTTTTGAAATAATGATTTGATATCAAAATATCCACCCCTGATCTGAACCACGATTTTGCTGAGTAATTTTTACAATTTCGTCTTACTTGATCACCCTCGATCCAGAAGTATATCGAGATAGCAATAAATAGAAGACCCTTTTGAGGGCCATTTAATACATGCAAAAAGTTATCTGAACAAGTTATATCATCGAGAAAATTTGGCTATCGATACAACATAATGCCCCTTTCCAAAATAGTCCCAGTCAGAATACCTTTTGGCAATATTATTTCCATTTGGCAAATTCTCTTTTTTTATCTATCAAATGTGGCTTTTTAATATGAATGCATGGCTTTGTAGTTTCAAATTAAGGTAACCCGAGGGATTAGATCCAATTCCAGTAAAAGCTTAGCGCTCAAGATGAACTATTCCAAAAAAAACAAGTAAATTTACTTTTATTTTTGATTTTTATTGTTCTGGACTGGTTTTTCTTTAAGCAACAGATATGAATTTTCACTGCGCTAGAATATTTTTAAGTCGCGTCAAGATCGCCTCTTCCATTTCATTTGTAAGGGGAGCTGCACTTTCAGATTCATGATTTTCGCCAGATGGAGCCTAGAAAAAGTTCTACCGGTAATCAGATCAAGCGGTTTTTTATACCTGCGCGGGAACAGGCTGATAGGAAGAGAAGAAGTTGGGAAAGGCGAGTACCTGAATAGAAAGTAACACGTTGCCAGTATTGTGATCATATTGACCCTATTTGGTCTTTTCGTAAAAATAAGAAATGCGATTTCAACCGCGCGGTCCAATCTTATTATCTAATGAGCTCTCCACTTACCCCGGAAAGAACAAAAACGAGAAGATTCATCCTCTTTATGAAACGAAAAAGAGTTGCGCTCTCACTTTATTCACTCGCGCATACGGATACTTTAATTATTCAGGCATTGTCATGAAAAGTATGATCTGATGTGATTTATTGGTAATAAGAATTAGGACACGCGTCGCATTTTATAAGTTGAAACTTTATTCTTATTTTCGCAGATATGAATTAATCGAATGGGTCGTAGATCAATCAACGCATGTATAATTCTCGCAGAAGAGATATTATATATTTGCATAAGAAGTTTTGCGATAGAGCTAAGCTTTGGCCGTGTAGTTGCCGGGAAAGGTGCCGATGTTTCCGGTGGAGCCGTGCGCGCCGATGAACCATCCGTCGGCGCATTTCTCGAAAACATAAACGAAGTCTCCGCTCGTCAGCTTTAACTCGTCGTCGTGTTGCGGCGTGAAATCGTAAACTGCTTGGAATCGCTCAGAGTCCTTTGGAATCCACTCTGGCCGTGTGCTTTCATCCCCCAAATCGTTTGTGACAGAGGCGGATAGATTGGCGAGGTCGTCAGCGGCAGAGGTAAGGTCATAGATGGCTACTTAAATATTCAGAAAACCATTTCGTGGAACGTATGTCCGAAGATTTCCCGCATTACCTTGAGAAGCGAGCGATTTCGTCGGCGAAGAGCGCGTTTCAGACTCTGAAATTGCTCGTGACGCGGGTCTGCTGCTCGTCCTGCTACTTGAACGTGAATTCGCCGGTGAAATAAGGTCTTTTCCGATCTTGTCATCCTGATTCGTAATCGGTTCTTTTACGATGACGAGGTGGTTTTTAGGCACGTATCCCTTGTTTGAGCCGATTCTAGCTTCGTACCAGTTCTGATCGATTGCGCGGATCAGTTGAATTTCTTCGTCTCGTTCGAATGACAGTTGGTTCTTGTTCTTCTTTTTGAAATTGTGCTTGCCCTAGAGAAAATCAAACGTTACTTTCTATCTTTTGACGAAACTTGTTTACCCTCGCTTCACCATACTGAATAACATGAAATTGATTAGTAAATTGTAAGTAGTTTTTGGGAACCAAGCCAGTGCGCCCACGAAGCTCACATTCGTACCATTTGTCGTCTACATCGTTTATTATGAGAACCTTAAATAATCATTCGATCGCCAATTCTGTCTGCTTGGAATTGAAAACTATAGGGCGAGTCTTACAATTTCGTTTTTGGCGACAGTGAGTTCTCGCTCCGAGCGACCTTTGAAATCAAAAGTTGCTTTCGCAGTTTGCCGAGCACTCTTTGCGCCTGAAATATATAGGTCTGCGTCGTGCACGGTTTCAGGAACTAATTGTCTTGAGGTCGTTTGCATGTAAGCACCTGACTAGGTGGTCCTCATTGAGCAGGCGCGTTGTGAGACTTTAAAACAACGCGCAAAATGCTTATAATAATTTTGACTCTTTGACCACTGGCCTACAGCTTTCTGCGCGGGAGTCACATAGTTCCTTTTTGAAGTGATGATGCTTCCCTCGAGGATGTTCAGTGGCTTGATTGGGGCTACTGGCGCAGGATTACAGACGTTTATCTGCTTCGCCGGCAAATCGTCGGTCAATTTCTTCGGAACAGGCAGAGACTCCACATCGCTAATAATTCATTCGTTAATATTTATTTCGCGACTAATTTCCCGAATCATCACCATCAATCAAAAAGTCTCTTACCTGAGGTAATCGGCCCATGGCTTTGACGCGATCTCGGAGATAGTATCCCTTGCTGATTCTCCTCTTAGACTCGGTTTTTTGTCCCTAAATTGCAGAACATATAAGCTGTATTTGTAATGTAACGGCACCTTGCTAGATGGGTTGTTGGATAAATGAGTTCCGAATACGTCGGTTTAGGGTCATTTTCTGCCACATAAGCATCACCCGGCGACCACTTAGAAATACTACCAGGGTTTGAACGGATTTTCACATTTTGCTTGAACTTTTCTTCGTCTAAATAGTCAGAAATGTCGGTGCCAGTTTCGGCAATATTTCCACTTCGTCCTGCCTGAATAGTAGTTTTAATTTATGTATTATATTCTGCATTACTTGTCAAAAATAAAGATTCTAAATAACTGATCCAGAGGCGCGAAATCTGGGTACCTACTTAGAGAGGAGGCAGTGGGAACAGATCTTCCCTTCAAATATTTACTATTAATGTCTATTTACCTTGTGCATCGCCTTGAACATAGATTTGTACCAGTCTTTTGGTTTATCTACAGTGCTCTTTAGTGCAAGTGGAATCTCATCGACCGTGGGCCCTATTCCATCGTAGTGTTTTTCGTGTAGGACTCTGTAAAGACGCTCTTCTTTGAGATACTCTTCCTTGACTCCCCCTGGTCTAGTGTTTCGTGATTTTTCCTCTTTCAGAAATTTGGTCGATAAATTTCCGCAGTCAAGATTCGCTAGAGTGCTTTCTTCCTGATGTTCTCCTGGGGTGCTCAAGGAACTGTTGCCAATCTGTATCGGAGTCAGCAGGTGCGGTGTCTCATTACGGATTTAGAATTCTGAATTTGGAATTTACAGAAAACATGAAAGAGTAAATTTGGATAACGAGCCTGAGCTAACAAAATTTTCAAACACTGGAACCCTGCCAACAATACCAGACTCTGAAGACACATGTTTCTGATTTCTGACATCGCCCCAAATTAAGTAATATTTGAGTTCAAAGACAATTAGATCTACCACCTCTTATTTGCATTTCGCTACTTTTTAGTCGGCCCTGGGATGAAGGGGATCATAAAATAAACTTACAGCTCGTAAAATACTGTGAAGAGCAGCACATATAACTCTTTTGTATTCGCCTGATTCTCTTGATCTGTGGTCTTAGGTGATGAATAATAAGTCGAAATTTGAAATCTGAAAAAAATTTGGCCGAAGAAGCGCCCTCTAGCAACAACAGATCGCTTGAAATTGCCCTTGCGCTTATTTTCAGCAGAGTTTACCGACTAGTTATCTCATTCCAACAAGCTATACCTAAGCTGTGAATTGTTTCTCAAAAGGTCGCCACTATTATCCCGTCCGATGCTCAATAAAAACTCATGAAACGAGGGCAATCTTGCCAAAAATAGCTCAGTAGTGCTTCAATAATGTGCAAAGATTTTTCATTAAAAACGTTGAGTCAATCAAAATGAAAAGAGTTATTTACAATCCGCTCCTGGTTCTCAGTATCAGACTCCTGGTAAACTGAAACAGCGGCAAGGCTATCCATATCATCGTCAAGAACTCTATCATGGGACAAGTAAACAACAGAAACAAGCATTACTTATTATGAAATCTATATTAAACTAGCTGTATTTTTGTGGTTTTATCCCTTCCCTGACAGATTCAATCTCAGTGTCCTCCGCGGCAGTAGTCTTTCCATCGGAAATAATTGCTCCGGAAATGTGAGAATTCTCGGCATCAGAGAAAATTGGCGTTTCCGGCTTCTCCAGGTCAAAAACTCCTGCTTTTGATCTGTGAAGTTCTTGTGAGCTGATATGCGCTCTTTGCTTCAATTTTAAAGAAGTTCTTCTATCTAGACGCGGTTTCGGTGGCACTTTCGGACTACCAGAAGAAGGTTCCTGAGCAGGTGGCAGGCCTTCCAGCTCGTTTCCAATCTGAAGCTCGTGTGGATTCGGTGCGTTATTGTCTGACGGTGGAGGTGGGAAGGAAGATAGCATATCTGCATTTTTGCTGATGATCTCGTCCGCAAGATCTGACGTTTTTCTTTTTAGGGGAGGAGGAGTTGGCGGCGGAGAAAGAACAAAGTCCCGCGTAGACACATTGGAAGGCGTGCGTGGCTGCGGAGTTGGCGACGGAGAATTGATCAGATCTACTTGACACTTTCCTTCGCTGCCTTTTCTTCTTGATATTTGGCTGCCTGCAAAGTCCAAGCCAGCTTGAATTGAAATGGATATTTCGGCACCAGGTTGGACAATATCGCTGCCTGCATCGGAGAAATCAGTTTGTGCACCGGAACTAATTCTTGGCGGTTTCACAGAGGAGTATTTGCGCGGTTCTTGATTATCGAAATTAGCTATTGAAGCAATAAGCACGGGCTGCTTTTCCTTGGGAGGAACTCTTCTCGGTCGTCCGGACTGGCTGCCTGTCGAGATCTTCCTGTGTGATCCAGGGCTCTATGAGAGATTTGTTATTTGCGCTGTGGGAACAAATTCAATTATCTAGCGACGAAAATATTTGAATTGAGGAATTTGATAGACTTACAGGTGGGGCTTTGCGGATAATTTTCGTGACTTTGACGTCCCCGTCAGGGGGATTTTCTGCTCGTCTACCAGCTGGCGGTGTTGTTTGTACAAAATCTCTGAAGCTATAATAGTGATCATTCTAATTGCCACTTGAACCTGTAGTTTGTTGGTGCTTGGACAAGGTTTCTGTTCGGCAGGTCGGGAGTATAGCGGCTTGACGGATCGTAGTAATGGACGTCAGGTGTTATTACTTCGATGCGGGAGTCCGCGCGCTCACTTGGGGTTCCAGGGCGAGATATGCTGTTTACTGTTATCTAAATACCTCTCAACATAGTTCAGCGTGTATACATTTCTATATTCTACGAACCGAGGTGATTTTATTTCCAGAGAAAGGAGCAGGGCTTCGATTCGTATGGCGTATCGGCGAGGGACTCCTCATCGGGCTCCCAATCCGAAATGCTTGTCTATCCGGAATGGACATCTACTCGCCGTTTCTTCTGCTCCCACTTGAACTCTCTCTCTTGTCTTCACTCTCTCAATCGCTTATTTTTCTATTTTTTCATTTCGTCCTCCTCTAGTTGTGCCGCTCTTCTCTTGAAAACTATGTTAAAATGCTCTGGCTTGGCATCTGGGAGATCAGAGAGATGAGAGGGGCGATGATTTGCAGTTACAGGACGGATTAGGGAGCTCGCTGCTGCACTGAAGTGATAACAACTGAGCAGCTGAAAAGCCTAATTACTCACAAGAAAGACCACTAGAGCCAAATAAAGCTAAAAACACATTCACTTTTTGATCATTCCTGCTCTTTGCTTATATTCTGAATAAGAAGCAGTCACCCTCTCTCGCCAACAGAAAAAGGAAACCACTTTAATTGGAACACTTCAAGTTGACTGTCGACTCTCGCGTTGTTTTAAATCGCTCTAACTTTGCCAAAATTAATTTCCGATCTTGAACATCAAATCATTTAATCAAAGCGATCGAAGTCTTTACATTCTCTTTGAAGCAAAATGACCTTCAGGTGGTAACAAAGGGATAGCTGCGCGAAAGCAGCTGTTTCCGAGAACAGCTCCGCCACGTCCAGCTTACATAAAAGGGGTTATGTTTTCATTTCCGGGAAGAAAACGGCAAAATATGATTTTCCAGAAAAAAATCAACAAGCACGCTATAAAGAAGGCCCGAAAAATGCTGAAAAAATTGAGGGAGAAACACTCGCGACTTGATTCAATTGCGAGGCTCATTTCAGCCCAGCATGGATTTCTAGCTTGTGCTTCTGTATTTGAACAAATGGAAGAGATTCAAAATGAAATCCGATATTTCAACGAGCTTATTTCCGATATCGAGAATCACAACATCAAGACCCATATCCAAATCAAGAAGAATTTTCCTCGACTTCATCTTTACTACGTTTTTAAAACTGTTGAATAAAATTTAAATTCTCATCGAAACTACAAGATTAAGCATGTATCACTGCAATCTAAGCTGTTCGAACTAATCCCGGACAGAGTCACCGGTCGTTCTTAGCTACCACTAATAGCCCCCAGGCAAAGTAAACCTAGAAAGCACCAAAGCTGCTCTGCCAAAATTGGGACTCGTCGGTGAAGCAATTGCTTGCAAATTTGATAGCATTTGTGACACAGAGAAGTTTCTATGATTAGAAATTGCCCATTATGGCAAATTGCGGAGCATTAGTTCGATCAAAGGTAAATGAACATGTTTGAAATGTATTTTAAACGCTTTTAGTTATTAACAGCAGTTCTCGCATTCGTCCTTGTTTTTGCGATCGTTTATCAAGTTCACTTACGATCTTTTCGAGAAACAGGCTCTCAGTACCTAGCAGATGAGAAAGTGGATCCTTGGGAAGTACATGGATCCTCAGAGGAGAAATTCAGACCATCTGAGAAGCGATACAACGAGAGAGTGGAACACGTAAAAGAACGATGCGTTCATTTTTCGGATAATCTTTACGAGGACTGGGCCAATGACAGAGATACCTTTATGGATGTTGTGGTAGACGAAGAGAAGTAAGCTCGACAAATCGTATCATTTCTTTTATCAAATTAAGACGCATAATGTTCTGTGGTGTCCCGAAAGCGGCAACAACTTTGATGAAGAGAATATTTCTGAAATCGTCGTTTCCTCGTTATAAAGACGTTCCCTTAGACGAGATCCGAGACGGACCGAACGGAAAGCTGTCGACTACGCACGGCCAGGATCTGAAATATCTTCACGAATACCCAGTCGAGCAGAGAAAAGGAATCATTCGGGACTATTTCAAGTTCATGATCGTCAGGCCGCCTCTAGAGCGACTTCTTTCTGCTTATAGAGATAAGACTGACCCCCTTTCCTACACATTTTACAACAAAAAAGTAATGGACGCTCTCAAAGATCGCGATTTGGCTGATGAGTACATTTACTTCGATGTTGAAAGTTTCCACCAATTTCTGCAGTTTCTTATGGCGAGAACACCCCGACCGCTTGCGGAAGGAGAGGAAATAGCAGAAGAATGTAAAAATCATATTTCTGCTTTGGTTTTACCGTGTATTTAGCAAATGAACTTATCAGGTCTGAAATGCGCGTCCTTGACCTTTGTCGCCCGTGCTCAATCGACTACGACTTCATTGGAAAAATGGAGACGATCGACTACGATATGGACCACTTGCTGAAAAAACTCAACCTCGGTGTGTCTTGGCCCAGAAAAGATGTAACCACAAACGCTGATTACGTGCGACTCTACTACCATGGCTTCCATCAAGAACATTTTTCAGCTCTTTACGACCTCTATAAGTCAGACTTTGAGGTAATTACTAATTACTGGCTCTCCATTGCTAACACTTTCAAGTTGTTCGAGTATTCTCTGCCTGAAGTTTTGCAGAAGTAGCAGCAGCTCACCAATATTATGAACAACAAACCTAAGTCATCGATTCCTGCCACCAAAACACTGTTCTGCTCCATCATTTGAGCGCTTTCTACCAAGACAAAAGTACACGCTGTATAATATTTATCAATAAAATCAAACTAATATAACGATTTCAATTTATTTTCAACTCCATTCTAACTTCATTGCATGATTTGGGCAAAAATGTCTTTACGCGAAAGACTTCTGACAAATTTTCCGTCCTCGACGACGAAAACGTAACCATTGTTCTGGATCTTTCGAGAGGCGAGACCGATCGAGTCATCTTGGTTTACTGACTTGAATGAAGTCTCATAGCATTTAAGAACATTCGTGTCGAGATTAACGGTACCGGCTAAAATGTATGTAAGCACAGTAAATTGCTATGTTCTTACCCAAAAGATATTCCATCGCTTTAACCTGGCTGAATACACCGCTGATGTTTCCTTCCTCATCGGCGATTGGGATAAATTCGACATCAGCATCCTTCATTGCACTCAAGCCGCATCGAATAGTAGCGGATTCAGAGATGGTTTGGGTCTTTCTGTTCCAGGGAAGGAATCTGACAGTCTGGTTGTACCACTCAGCATTTTGCTCAGGAACTATTGAATGGTGTTATCAACATTTATATTTTCTGGACGGAAGTTACCTTCAGGGGTGAAAAAATCTCGCTCCCACATCCACTCATCCATTAGGTGTTTTGTCATGTAGTTCCTAATCGAGTCTGGTAGAATGCAGACGACACGAGTTCCTTCTGGCATGGTTTTCGCGATTTCTATAAATGATTTGATATCTTTTGCAAAGAGAATAGAATACCGAGAGCGTGGTAGAATGCTGATCCACATGAACCTCCGCAAAGAAGTCCTTCTTCTCTCAAAAGTCGTCGAGCCATTGGCATCGCCTGCTCATCAGTGCATTTTCTCCATTCATCAACATCTAAATAGCAAAACTCGAGTATACGATCCATAAAAGAGAACTTACAGCTTCGGTTGAGAACATCGGGAATAAAATCATAACCGATACCCTCGACTTCGTATCCAGTGATATCCATCGTGTTGAGCGCTGCTGGCTGCGCGAGGATCGAACCGTATGGATCAACGCCGACAACCTTGATTCCTGGAATCTTCTCTTTGAGAACTTTGGCAGTTCCGGCGATGGTACCACCAGTTCCAGCGCCAGCGACAAACACGTCGATCTTGCCACCGGTCTGCTCAATCAACTCAGCTCCGGTGCCGTAGTAGTGAGCGTCGGGGTTGTTCATGTTTGTATATTGATCAGGAATCCAGGCATTGGGAATGCTCTGACAAAAAAATAAATATCAATTAATTCGACAAGGCACCTTTTCAAGATCCTTGGCAATTGAAATATGCGAGTCAGGATCGTCAAAAGCAGCTGATGTTCGAGTTCGAATAATCTCGGCACCAAGGGCCTTGAGAACTCGGATCTTTTCCAGACTCATCTTTTCCGGTAGACAGATGATACATCTTGTTAATGGATAATATAAACAATTCAAAAATGAACGATGATTTATTCTATTTTGAAATTTACTTCTTGTTTTTAAAAATTATCCGCTTCCTGTATCCTTTCACGGCGCACTGGAGAGCAAGACCGACTCCTGTATTGCCAGAAGTAGGCTCAATGATAGTTGTAACTCCCGGAGTGATTTTGCCAGCTTTTTCGGCTTCTTCGATCATGCGCTTTGCAATTCTATCCTTGACCGATCCACCGGCGTTGAAGAACTCGCATTTTACCAATAAATCGCATTTGAGCTTCTCGGCCTTGATGATGTTGTTGACCCGCACGAGGGGAGTAGACCCGATGCAGTTCAACACATTCTCTTCGATTCCGTTTCTCGTCTTTTTTACAAGTAGTTAGCAGCTCATACTCAAAAGCAAAAATGAAAAATACCTGGATGGCGGACATTTTCTCGTTCGAAAAATTTCTCTCCAATGCGAAATTAGCTGCGCGGCACTCGTAAATGACCAAGGGGTGGAGCGTCCATTTTAGGACCAACACCAATTTTATTCGCAAAATAAAAACAACGAATCAAAGTCACACCCTCGCAGACCCCTTTCATAAACATCACCTTTAGTAGTATCCTCTATTACTTGTAGAAACTGGTCCAGATTGTCGGTCCACACCCAAATAGAGCCAGGCCTTGCGCAAAAATTTCTAGGTTGGCAAGCTTTTCAAGCTTTTCAAGGGTCCGTAGTACGTGATCACGTGATTCGACCAAAAAACTTTCAATTACATTTTTTTAGTTGGGCAAAAATACACACACTCACGAAGTTTCAGGCCTTTACTTCAACGGGTTCTTGGGGTTGATTTTTAGCGCGTCGGCCGTAGTCATATTCTATAATTTTATTATTTGGAGTAATAAATTAGTCAGATCAAGGAACCAATTTCAAGGGGGTGTAGCTCAAATGGTAGAGCGCTCGCTTAGCATGCGAGAGGTACCGGGATCGATACCCGGCATCTCCACACTTTTTTCTTTTATTTAGGCAATGCAATCCTTTTTCATTTTTGCTTTAACTTTTACCCTTAGGTAGAAACTGTAGTTCTCTGTTAACGTGGCGCACCCCTAGATCTCGGATAAAACGCCACACTCACTTTATCCATTTCTAGTTCTAATCGAAAAAGTACGGGCAAAGGGTAACGCTACACTCGCCAAGGTTCTCGCACAGAGTTCGAAATCTGATGATAGCAATGGGTAGCATGCTACCATTGAGCAGTCATTGCCTGGTATGTCGATTCAGGTCATCCTCAAGCTATAATCATCATAGTATACGCAAAGAGCAACTTGCGTCAGAAGAAAGTAGAAAAGCAAGTTCTCTTAACTTCTCAATGCACGTGGTCCAATCATTGGACCACGGCGACTTTGACCCCCTGTAATTCCCGTTGTAATTATCTGTTTGACCTGAATTTTGTAATGTGAGCTAACAGGACAAAAACGAACCCCTCTGTGAAGTTTCGAATGAAAACTCAAAAGTGGTGGCGTTTTGCGCCAGATTTCTCTTTCGTTCTCTGGTGAAAAATCGGAACGGATTTTACGATTTACAATTGTTTATTTTTATAGAAGAGGGTTCAAGCTTTTTAGCAATATATTCACGAGATTTTTTACCCGACGGAAACGTCAATTAGAGCCAAAAGTCCTGAGCGCTGTTTTTCACACTCTGAATTCGGCGCGCCGCGCGGGGCTGGATAATGCATTGTGGTCCAATAATTGGACCCCGTGTTTTGAGCGCTTAGTAGCGCGCCCGTGTATTGAGAAGTTAAACTTCTTAGAACAGACTGCAACACGAAGATGATAATATTGCATACGTAAGTTCGAGAAAGTAACCAAAAGCAGTATCTTCAAAAAAACGAGAAACCGAAAAAAGTTAAAAATCCAAAGCTGAAAACGGCAGATGTTATTCGCCGCATTCATGTGGACAAACAACTACTAGGTATGTTACTCCAGAGAGTTCATCATCGGTCTCCAAGATAAAAAAATTGGCTTTTATAAAAAATATGTTGTTTTTTGTAACTAAGTGTGAGCGCAGCTGGAGGCGCGTGAGCTTACTTGAAGTTATTTTTGGAAGATTAACCTTTTCCTGGCCTATTTGAGATTGTTATTAATTGCTCTTTAATTGCTGTTTTTCGAAAAGATTAGATTATGCTAATATAAAACGATCGCAATATGTCTAGAAAGTGATCATAATTTATATTCATGACGTCAAAGCAATAAGTTAATCGGAAGTATTTTTACACATTTACAGATGTTTATTTGACAGGGCGCCCTTAGATCGTGCCCTCATGGTGGCACCTTTTCAGAAAGAACTCCGAATTCCGAAAGAGACGAAAGCAGACTACGAATGCCAATCCATAAACTAGATTGAACCAGAATAAGAGACCCGAGCTTAAAAATAGCTTGATGCGTTCTTCAAATTTTAGCAGAAGCTGCAAGAATGCATAGAATTGTAAAACTCTCCTTCCTTATCTTTGAGGACTAATAAGTGGAAATGAGTGAATGTCAATGTCTTATAAATAGAACTGGCAGAAGCACTTTCTGAGTCCAGACGTGTGCCTGAGTAAATCCTTCGACGCCAGATGACAAATCAAGAGCGTCTTTTCCACGTCGATACGCGACGGAAACAACGTCACAGCTCCATTCCAGAATAAAGTACTAATCACGCTCCCTTGTAATCAGCTTTTTTCTGAATCACTTCTATATAATGTCTATCGACGATAATCTAGTGTTGACACATTCCAATTCTTTGACTCCATAAAAGTTTCAAAAAGGAATGCAAATTATGAATATTTTAATACACTTACCCTCATCTTATGGGCGATTTCTTTGTCAAAGACGAACAGGTTTACTTCGGAAAAAACGTATTTGTAATGAGAAAATGGCCAGAAACTCAATTTCGTTTACTCAAGTTTATTTTGTATCTTGATTGAAACAATGTCCCTTTTTCATTACATTTTTGGACTGCATGGTAAGCTACCATTGACAGTGGATTCTCTTTTAAAGACAGCACCTTGACCCTTGATAATGTTCGATTCAAAGACAACAGACACTTCTTGCGCGTTGATCTTTAAGCAATAGTCATCTGTGAAGCCATATGATTGTCACCGAGCAAAACCAGTAAGTTAGAGCAGGTAATTAGAGAAATTAAGATCGTCCGATTCGAAAGCGCGCCGCTGGTGCTGCTCTGCGGTGGAGTGCTCTAGCTCACTCTCTCCATCGTGTCGCGCGTTTTCTCTACGTTTAGGCCCTTCCCTTAATCGCCAATGCCACTTTCGATAAAAAAATGGAAATACGCAGATTTCTTTTATTTTTCTGTCTAGCACAGATTGTTAACGGTTACAACGTGAACAGAGCCCAGCCAGAGATGCCGGAAATAGAAACTATTGAAGACAACGAAGAGAACGAGCTGAGCAGGAGCGTGCGTGCCAACTCGAATATACGGATAGAGAGCGAACTTTACCGAAGATTCCACCGGCTGAGGAAGAATTACGCTCCCCGCAGCCAGAAAAATAGGGCCAGATACTTGGCCCAAGAGCGAAACCACAAGGCCACCCTGAACTCGCCCCACCACAGGCGACACTTTCAAGGCGACTAACCCGCTACTCGACAATTTTGTACGCTTCTATCTGCACTGCCTGCCAAATAAATGGATATACAACTTTAATACACATTTATTAAATCAGCAAAGAAATTCTAGGATTGATCTCAGTTCGATAAGCATCCATAGAGGGAATTTATATACTCAATAGCAGCCGAAATGAGACCCATTTCGTCCATTTTCTCGTTTCCTAAGCAGCCAGGAAGTCGCTTAAATCATAAAGTAGCAAAATTAAGGCATTGATTATCAAATTAAATCATACCTGGTATAAGAACGTCATGAGTTCATTGATTTGAAACAGTTCCTCTTCGGTGTTTGGCGCGTCTTCAGGTGAATAGGTGAATTCGTAGTCCATATCAACCTCCATCTGTTCAGCCTGCATAATATTTTTGGAGTTATTTCTCAAGATATTCTGAGTACTTTCTGAGAGCAGGTGTGAGCCTCGACACTTTTCACTGATGCAGCGCTTAACAGGTTCAGCCCGAGAATGCAAATCATCACTTCCTATTTCGACAAGCCTCTCAATTACCGTTCAATTTTTAAAATACTTTCTATATTAGACAAGAAAGAATTTATGCAATAGACGAAGTCCCACATTGATTTTTAGTGAGCAACGTAAAAAGTGTTTTTTTTTATATGCTTTGGAGGAGAGCGGATGCAATTAAATAGGTTAAAGGTTCGTTAAATCTATCTTTAGCGGGAAACATGTGTGAGGAGGAGATTTTATGTAATTCTAATAGCAACTTGTAAGAGCTCATTTTCGCACTTGCAGATTATTTTTAGATTTAGTGCACTTTTGAAATTATTGAGCGAAAGCGAATTAGCCTTCTCGGGCACTTGTGAGAATTGATTAAAATACAATTTCAAACATGCAGCCAATAAAGTATATTCCGTTATTTTACGTTAAAACATTTGATTCGAAATGAATAAATCAAAGATTAATTGTGAGTTATTCTGAGTTCGTAGCTGTGGTGTTTGAGAAAGCTTGGCAACGGGCTCGCGTTGCTACGCTCAAGTGTCTCATTTTGACGATTTTATTTTTCTAAATTTTTAAAAGAGAACTTGCTCTATTTCGGAGAGAATGGCGCCAGCCGAGACTAAGCCTCAGAGATCTACACTAGGCTTTACGGTAACTCAATTAGTTGCCCCGAAACTAATAACTTTGGGAAAGCTTGAAATCTCCAGATATTACTATCCCTTTTTTATAAATAATAAAATGTCAAGGTCTCATCCCGACAAGCAGGTGTCAAAGTAGTTGGTCCACCTTCCACCGGCGCTTTCAAGAAGCGAGAAAGTCGACCCACCCAATTCCGAAAGTTCTACGAGCGTGGCGATTTTCCTGTTGCGCTTGAACACGATACGAAGGGCAACCGAATCGCCTGGAAGGTCGAGATTGAAAAGCTCGACTATCATCACTACTTGCCACTCTTTTTGATGGGCTTTGCGAGACAAAACATCCCTATGAGTTTTTCGCGAGACAAGGTGATAAAATTCTTAAAAATATCATTTTTGTGAATAAAATTGTGAAAAAATATGGCTAGGAATCCACGATATGCTTGAACACGGTGGTGCAAAGATCCTCCCCGTAATTCCCCAGTTGATCATCCCAATCAAGAATGCACTCAACACACGCGACCGATCAGTGATCTGTACCACGCTGAAGATTCTGCAACACTTGGTTGTGGCTGGAGATATGGTTGGAGAAGCGCTCGTGCCTTACTATCGCCAGATCTTGCCCGTTTTAAATTTATTCAAGGCATGCATAGCTGGCAAGCAGCGATTTTAAACATGACTTCAGAACGCAAACGCGAACAGAGGAGATGCGATCGACTACTCTCAACAGAAGCGCGAAAACGTAGGGGACCTTATCGAGGAGACCTTGGGCGCGTTCGAGCGTCACGGCGGACCCGATGCCTTCATCAACATCAAGTACATGGTGCCGACGTACGAATCCTGCATCCTCGCGTGATAAAAACCCTACTTATTTCTCCTCATCGTATCGCAACATTATATTTTTGTAATAAAATTAAAATTCATAATTCACATTTTTAATAAAAAAGCCGATATTCGAAATCGAATAGACTCAATACTCGAAAAAATAAGTAGTTCTTCTTCTACTTCGTCGGAGTTTATGACACATCGATCAGCTTTGACTACAATGACCTGGCACAACCCATTGCGGAGCCTTCTTCATCGTCCTCGTTGTCTTCCTCTGCAAGTCTAGCTCCAGCTATGTCGACGAAGAATTCAATGTCGACCTGCTTGAAATTATCCTGAGTAAGAGTGGCATGAAAGAAGTGAGCAAAGCACAATCCTTGATATTTTTGCATTGTATCAAATAAGATTTATTTCCATAAGCTTTGAATAATAAGGAATAAAATCTAGCTAATTACTGCAATGCATGATGCCGCAATTAGTGGTTATCTTTTCACGCATTAAAATGACCACATCCATATTCAGTATAAAATATCTATCATACAGTTTTAAATCATGAATACTCAATCGTAAGAATTTCGTCTAAAACAGTGAGAGAAATTTATTATTTGATTTTTTTCCTATATCTTCGTTTATAAAATATATTGAAAGCAATTTTCTGATTTTCAATTGACTCTTTGGTTAGCGATTCTTGTTTTTTTTTTGACAGTAAGTGAGTCCGACTAATGGGCCTACTCCCGAGTGACAGAAGTCTGCAAGCATTGTTTCCTTTAATAGACCTTTGACACATGCACGACGCCTCCCTTTTGATAATAAGTTCTTCATTCAGCAGAAAGACCTCTACGTTTGACGTATTTTTAAAATTACAGTTCGTATTATATCATTATAAATGATTCATTATTTTGACATAAGCACAAAGAACCACTACTTTTTAAATTTTTTAAAAAATCTTTTAATTTTCCAAAAAGCGTGAGTAACAAGACAAAATGTTGCAGGTCAAGCTAATGGTAGTTAGGATTTTAATGAGTGTAGAAATGAGTTTATTGAGCAGAAAAAGGTGTCACAATCATGTACATCAATTTGGGCGATAGCTCCATCGGAAAGGCCATTTGTTTCTTTCAAATAAATGATCGATAAGCAATTAATTTTCACTCGATGAACGATGTTCGTCTCTAAAGATCTGCCTCGTAGAAAATATCGAGTTTATCTTACTCTATGGGTTATTTTCTGGATACGTTAGTAAGTACGAATTTGCGATTGAAAAGAGTTGAGCAAAGTCAAAAGCGACAAATTAAATTGATCGATGTCAGAGCCGTTTTCTGGGACGGCCGTAGCATGATATAATTTATATGTTATAAATGGCGTGCGGATAAGGGTAGGCTGCCAGTGTGGCTGACAGATCTGACTGTTGGACAGTAGGTTCAGTATTTGTCCTCTGAAGGGCGGACGAGGCCTGGATCGATCGCGCTGCCCTCGGGCGAGTGCGACGCCAAGGCCGAATTCGAGGCTCAATTAATTTCACTGCTGCTGACGCCACCCTTGGCCACACAGACTCACACAGAGCAGATAAGCCGCACTTAGCCGGGTTATAGTTTATGCTCAGTGAGTACGGCAAAGAGAGTCCTCGCGGCGATTCCTGTTACGATCCTGTCTCTCCTCCCTGTAATCGATGTCCTCAGCGGAGGCGAAAACCAGCGATGCCTTCGATAATGATCCGCTAAATCTAATCCAGTCCAACGAAGAACCGTCCTCCATGATTTCAAAGAGATTAGGTTAGAGGGCTCCATATACGATTTCGCATTTTCAGATTCTTTTACAAATTCTTGTTTTTAAAGCCCTCAAATGAAATGTGCCACTTAAAACCTGTTGATAACCAAGAGAGAAGATATTTCGGTAAGTAACTCTTTGCAATCATATTTCCGTAGCAATATCGAAAGCTTTTATCGCTCATTTTGTAAGCATAGGAGTATTCAAAACACGTGATTTACATGATAAAACTCAATTACGTGCAATTGCGATTTTTGCGATTTTTGAATTTGAATTCTAGGCTCTGCTGGTCCATCTTCTCCAGATGTGTCTTCAATTGGTTCCAGAACTCGATCTGTATCTACTGCAGACCGGCGTCTGTCGACGTCTTCAGAATTCCAGGAACAGGTCTTTTGAGTATTTAGACATGCTAAGTTGCTTGAGCAATGAGCTCATGCATCGTTTAATCATTGCGAAGGATTAAATATGTTCAAGTTGCGTGCGTGCGCAGTCTGTCGATGAATGAGTTCATTATAATCTTCAGCGAGGATTCCTCACTGGCTATTTTAGCTGATCCAACCAGCAGAACTTTTACACCTCCATTTTTTATTAAAAAATCTTGATTATTTTAAGCACAATCATAAAAGAACTGTAAATAGCCCAGTGAAAATTTGGATTCGACGAAAGACGTGGATTTTTTCCTTGATGTTTTGGGAATGTTCCGGTGCGTGGTATAAACATTCTTGAATGTAACGAAATTTTAAAGGTCTTGGCTCGGAAACGCTAGAAGAGACCTCGACGCGAAAAAATGCCAAAGCCGTATTCTGATTGCAGAACTTGAAAAAATGAAGTCTGAGAGCGCGGTTTACTTTTCCAGCCTAGAGGCGACTGCTTTTAGAGAAATCACATCAGGTCGCAACGCTGTGATTGCAATGTGCCCTTAGTGTTCTCTTCAGTGAAAAACGATTGACGTCGCGCAACGTGGAACTGACGAGCCAGATACGCAAGATGAAGGCGGCTGAGGAGGAGCGCATCCGAGTTCACTTGGAGAAACTGCGCAAACGAGAGCGCATGATCGACAATCTGGAGCAGCATGCCAAAGCTGCCTCGGCAGAAGACGCGCAAGACCCGTACAAGTAGATTCATTAGATATACACAACGACGATTATATCGTTATCAATCATTAAATGGGGCTCTTAATTGAAAAATGTAGGCATACGACGATTAGAGATTTTCAATGCCGACTGGAGCAGCTTGGTGCGCTCATCGCCGAGCCGAACGTACTCAAAGACGTGGATAAGCCAGTGCTGGACACAAAGGTATTATAAGGAATCGACTAGCACTGATCCAATTTAAGGGACTCGAGCGCATCATTTCACAGGTGAAATTGATCACTCAGCCTGATGTGCCAAGGGTCTACAGACCCAGCGAAGGCGATATCTCCTTCGATTACGTTAACTTGTCTTGGGCGCACTCCCCCGGCGCCAAAGACTATCTAATAAGGCAAGTCATTAAAAAGTGGCTGCTCATCGGTTAATCACCTAATTACTACTGTATTGCTAGATTTTGGATAATCCGAGGTTCAAGCTGCCCCGAGGAGTACGCTTGCACGACGAAGGACAATCACTTTGAAGTGACCGATTTGCAGGAAAGTGCTCAAAGCGCCTAAACGTAATTGCCTTCTAATGGAGTGTTTCCATTCGTATCATGTTCTTACATTTTTAATGAATGAGAAATCGAGCGCTTGATACAAGCCTTCTTCCATTGTCACATTTCAGGTTACTGCCCGAGGGGCCATTGACAGCGCTCCATCCCAATTTTTCAGGATCGGCTTGTCTTTTTGGATCTTTTTCTTCTTTGACTTCTAAAACAAGCTCCTATTAGCGTCCAAAGTCTTCCGTTGCCCACAAACAATCAATTTACACTTGACCCAGAAACTGCCCATCACAAACTGACATTGACACGGATACCTTCAACAATAAGACTAGACATTAAAAATATTGATTCTATCCTATAAAAAGAGCTCTTCCTTGAATCGCGTGCGCTACAAAGGTGAGGATACCAGTTGCAATGTTTCGACGAAGTCAGACAACTCCCGGTAAACTTACTCAAACGAAACTAGTGTACAAAGTTTCAGGTCCTTAGCGAGTCCGATGATGAGTCCTGCTCGTTTCTCCCAAGCGTTAAATATCCTGGGTGGAGCGCAATTCAAAACAGGAAGACATTACTGGGAAGTGCTAATAGGTCCTGAAGAGATGCTACAGTCGGCAAACTGGATCATCGGAGTGAGTTATCACTCAATTCCAAGAAATGCTTGGCTGGGAGCAGTCCAAGGATCATGGGTTCTCCATCACACTCCCAAGGAATGAGGACGCAATTATGATCGGTACAATATATTCATCTCGAGCTATGTAAGCAGTTTTGCATCCGTATAAAAGTTCCTGAAAGCGCGCTCAGCTGAACTAACGAAGATCATCGAGCTGGAAAACATCCATTTGCAGAGACTTGGAATCTTAATGGACTGCGACTCTGGGCGCATAAATTTTGTAGACGTCGATAATAACAAATTGGTTCGCACTAAGTTCCTTACGAAAGACGTATTTACTTCTTTAGATTTTCACATTTGTCGACAAATTCACTCAGCCTGTTCTTGCCGCGATGAATCCAGGCTATCAAGGAGCTCAACTTCAACTAAGGAATGGATTTTCATAATGTATCTTCTATATTGTCTTCAATTCAAGACAATTCAGCACAATTCGGAAATCCTAACGAGATCGGGCCTACCACTGCCATCTTCTATACCTTCCTGATTCGAAAAAATCGAGCATTTATCACGGACCCTCAAATATTAAACTTTAATAAATTATACTTTTATATTGACCGTGTGCGTACTTTTTTAAACATTGCAGACATTTTCTAGACTAGAATTGAGGGAATCAATGTTGTGGGCATTTTTAGGGAGTCAATTAATACTGCAATTTGAACAGTTGAGATTTGATGAAAGAGAGATAGAAATGGCGGAAACGGGTGAACCTTGTTGACTTAGTCTGGATTGTCTTGCAGCCAGGTGGCGTCTTTTATTTTTATGTTTTTAGATTTCGCTGTTTCTGGTCTGACCGGCTGGGTCGACCAGAGGGTCAAAAGCTCGCACGCCGCTGAATCCGTCCATTCGCACTCAAGACACACGAGACACACTCTTCTCCTTCTTCCTTCACTTTCACTTTTCACGCGTGCAAGGCCGCACTGTGCAATAATTTCCAAAATGAAGTCGGACATGTCTGAGAGTGGATCCGTCTGTGGCACCCCGCTCATCTCTGAGCATAGCATCGACCAGAATAACAACCAGGTATCGAAAACACCGCTGAAACTTACCATATCCTTTTGAAATTCGCTTAAATTTCCTTCAGGTTCCAATCGCAACCAGCACGCCTATCAGAAACTCCCCACGGGTAGGTTTCTATCATTCGAGCCGATTCAAAAAGTCAATCGCGCCAAGAGAAAACAAAAAAAAAATTGGGCGCTTCACAATAAATAAATCATGAATTCACTTTTTCAGGAAGAGCTACGAACCCTCTTCGTTTCCGGCTTACCCCAGGATGTCAAAGAGCGTGAATTCTACCTCCTCTTCCAGGGATTTAGCGGTGAGTACTTGTTTTTTGCAAACAGAGATATGTGCGGATCGGAGACTTATGTAAGCGATCATTTCTTCTCCCTTCTTACAATTTATGAGAGAGACGTTTTCAGGTTTCGAGTGTGCCATCGTAAAGCAGCCTGTCAGGAACGTAAAATTGCCCAACAACCAACCACTTGGCCCGGTGGCCTTTCTAACTTTCGCAAGCCGCAAGGACGCGGAACAAGCCAAGGATAAGTTCCACGGGTTCGCCCTCGATCCATCGGTTGACAATCTAGTTATGAAGATTGAGTTTGCAAAGGTAAGACTGTTGTCACACTCGGCTCGGGTAAATCATTTGATTCAGGCGAATACGAAATCCCGCTACCGTAGCCGGGAGTCCTCCTCTCTCTCTCCCCTCTCATTGACGCTCGGATCAGAAGCAAATCAGGGAGTGTCCACTGCTTTTCCTCTTTTCCAGGTAAAGATCGAATATTGATAGAATTGCGGGTAAATGATAATTCAAATTTAGGACCCGTTCACGCTCCCCCCCTTCCCCCACTGCCAGTCGCACTCCATGGGCGCGCACCCCGTAGCCATCGACGCCGGGGCATTCTGGGTGAGTTACTTCCCTCTGTTTTTTGAATTTAAAAGTTTTAGCCCCTCTCCTACCAAGACTTTAATCAGTTCCCGATTGAGGCTGGCCTGGCGCCGATTCTTCTGCCCTCGGAACATCTCGTCCCAATTCCCGTCTACGAGCCACGCGCTGTCGGCCGCAAGACGCGATAAAGAAATAACGCCCAGGAACTCTACTAGTAGCTTTATTATTTTACGTGAAGCACTGACAATAAAACTTTCTATATATTTACTGAAAATGTGTACTCTTGTTTGTACATAAAAAGCATCCCTCTTGAACACACGTTAGGGCCGAGCGGCTAAGCATAGATTGCAGATTTTAACCGATTGACAAGCAGAAAAATCTGTATTTATTGAAAGAGTTTCATAAAAATCAAGGGACCGTCGATTCCCCTGAAAATCCCTTATCATAAGTTCATTCATGTGGTCTGTGTAGTGAAACGATTCCAATGAGACTGAAGTTTAGGGATAACCTTCTGGATAACCTCTTATTTTGGGTTTTTCGAGAAGTGATGCAGATCTTCCGTAATCGCTGGGGGCCAATCAGGGCGGAAGATTCTCCTAATCCGACCTATCCGCCAAAAACTTCCACAATCGGTTTCGATCGTCAGTAGAAATGGGCAAGTTTAGCAAGGCACTTTTTATCTTCCGCAGAGACTACAGACTCTTCGACAATACAGGATGGATTGCGGCGGGGAAGGCGTCGGAAAAAATCATTCCAGGTAAAGCGCCCGCGGTAGTGTTTGTTTTGGCCAATAGCTTTAGGAGGCGCTCTTTATGAACTTTTTCCACGCTTGATATATCAATCCCATATGGGATTGAAAAGTTCTGTTTGAACTAGGCACGATGTGTCGACCTTTCCGAAGGTTCTCTCTTGGCAGAAAATAGCGCACAGTAGACTCAATATTCTTAGTCTGAATTTAACTGTACGTGCTCGTATTCTTGCCAATAGAGACACTAGGGACGTTAATTTTTATCACTAACAATTGGTATCATTCTAGGCGTTTTCTGAAATGGCTAATTTTTTCTTAGGGTTACTCCTTATGGTGTTTTCACTGAAAGCTTTTCAGAAAGTTATTCTGCTCCTTTGTTCACAATATCTTTCAGCCTTCATCTTCACCCCTGAACAGATAGATGATTCGAAGAACAGCTACAAGAATCACAACTGCGTGCAATTCATGATCGAGTCGCTCAAGGATCTTGACCAACAGCTTTCCGGCAACTTGAACCTCTTCTACGGAGACAATGCAGAAGTTGTTTCGCACATGATTGACGAGTTTGGAGTCGAAGCTGTCTACGTCAACGCAGACTACACTCCCTATTCGAAGAAACGCGATCGTGAAATTGAAGGAATTTGCGAGAAGAATGGCATTCCCTTTGTCTCATCTCATGACATGTGTCTCGTTGATCCAGGAAAAATCGCTCTCAAGGAAGGCACAAAATTTGAGCCTTCTTTTTTCAACAAAGGTATAACTTTAACCGTCTAAAAGGAGAAAAGAAAAAAAGAAAAGTCATTTAACTTCAATTCAGTGATGGAACTGAGAAAGACCAAGTCGCGACCGGCTCCAGAAGTGCCTACTGAAAAGATTCCGAAATCGAAATACTCAATTGACTGGAAAAGAACGATGAACTTCTACGATCCGAACGACAAGATTGAGCTCAAGGGAGGGCGATCTATCGCACTAGAGATCATCGAGAGAGTAAAGACGGACAAGTTTCAAAAGCAGTACGGATGTGTGCCCACAGCATTTCGAGAGGGAACATTTCCGAAAATGAAGACGACAGAACTGGCGGCGTATCTAAGATTCGGATGCGTGTCTAGCAGGTGCATGGCCATATAGATATGGATATATACTTTTGTAATTTTCAGGGAAGTTGTTGAGGAATGGGAAAAGCTTAACAAACGTATGCTGATCACCCAAACGATTCGACGCGACTACTGGGTACACATGTTCCATAACTTTCCACACCAGATGGGCATCGGGGAGCCCGGTAAGTGTCTCAAACTCAAGTTTGAAGACGTCAAGTGGAATGAACGCCAAAACGAGTTGTTCGCTGCGTTTGAAGATGCTCGCACTGGCTTCCCATTCATCGATGCGATGGTGACGGAGTTGAAGACGCGTGGCGACGTTCGTCACTGGGCCCGACTCTGCTTGGGTAATATTTTTCTCATTCTTCGCTTTTCAAAATCTTTTAGCAAACTTTCTGACGAAGATCCTCCACGTGGACTGGCGCAAGGGCGAAAAATTCTTCGCCCTTCACCTTATCGACTACGATCCGATTGTAAATAACGGCAACTGGCAGTACTGCGGTGGCACCGGCACTGGCATCGCGCATCGACCCGATATCTACAACCCCTGGAACCAAAGCAAAAAGTTCGATAAAAGTGGCGAGTACATCCAAAAGTGGCTTCCGTTTCTCAAGAAAGTCGGCGCCGCACACCTTCATTCTTGGGATGACAAGCACAAACTTTACAACCTCGACAAGATGGACTACGTCAAGCCAGTGGTGGACTACGCCAAAGCGAGAAACTATACTCTCACTATGTTCAAAGTCTAGCAACACAAGAAACTCAAGCATTTACTGCCAGAAAGCATTTGTCACTGTCAAATTCCCGAATAAAAATGATTCCCGTCTATGCCGTAATGCGTATCTTCAATCGATTCAAGAATACTCCATTACAAAGTGTAAAATGTGTGTACGAAAGTCAACTGTTGAAAAGAGTGAGGGGGATAAACAAACTTAATTACTTGTCAGAGTGCCCACAGTAGAGTGACAGAGCGAGCGCCTAATACCCGGATGAGAATTTTCCGTTTTTCGACAATTTTGCTCTGCTCCGCGGCTCAGCCAGGAGATGACTCTCCAGAGTTTTACATGCAGAGAGAGATCGACCAGCTGAAGGATCAGTTTCCGGACTTGGAAAACTTCGAGCCGTTTTTGGAAAGAGAGAGCAGACAATGGAATCAACGAAGACCGCAGATGTCAAATGAAACGCTGGATGAATTAATGCAGCTTTATGTAGATAGCGTTCAAGAGATGAGAGATGCTTCTTTTGGACCCTTATCGGCGAGGGTTGATCAGCAAAAAGTATTTATTTAGAAACTCAACAGATGTTTAACCCTCTTTCTCGACTGGAAGCTCGGAAATCAAACGTCTGGTCAAGGCTGTGGAGGATTTTTCCCTCGGCTCTGCACTCTTCGAAAAGGGACAAAATTATTTAAAAGTTTTGGATGCTCTTCGTCATTCTTATATGTATGTTCCACGCGATTACAGCGACGTGTTTACTTCTCTCAAGGACTTCGAAATGTTCCTCAAACGGGCAAAAGACGATATTCTTGATGAATTGCAAAATTTTATTCAATTTGCCGAAGATGCACCATGGACTGCCCGGCAGACTTGCCAAGGTAGATTTTTTAATAAATCTCTTTCTAAATTTCTTCTAGAGCATCGCTATCATCATATCGTGCATTTCTTTAAAACTCTAAGTCATGTTGCCCATGACAGCTTCGAGAGTAGCCTCAGACTTGCTAATAAGTTCACTCACATTCAGGTACTTATGATTTTTGTTTATAAAACTGAGTCATTTTTAAAGGAAGCGCTTGACAATTACGCAGAGAGGGCGGCAAAGGAACTACCTTATGAAGAGCTGGAAGGATTAGATCTGATGGACGAAATAAGCCAAAACATTTCTTACAACAACGCGGACTTCGATGAGCTCAGTTCTTGGTACTACGACACTCACAAATTCTACAAGCACAAACTTATGAACGCGAAGAATGAGCTCAATCAGCTTGTCTTAAGTTTCGGAGTGGAGGATATTCGTGGGGATGCGTTTATTCAAGGCATTCTGTTTACTATTCGATCAACTATGGAAAAGTACAACAACAATGTGCACCTGATGAAGCTTGCAACCAATGAAATGGCAAATGCTAGAAGTAAATGGTTATTATGTATTACAATGCCAGTGTTCTTTCACTCTAAATGTGATTTTAAATGTAGAAAATTTATTGGACAAATATTCATAATCAAAAATCAGACACAATACGTTCACAGCAAAAGATATGTTCCCATCGAAGCCGGTCTGGCTTGAGAAAGCAAAACTTGCGGAGAGAGTTTTAATGGCGAAACAGGCAGCTGATTTGGCTGAATTGCGAAAGATATCTCAAATTGACGTTATTAAAATGCAAAAACGGATGAGCGTCCAATCAAAAGGAGATGTTTCCAAGCAAAATCTAAGGATGTACTTGGCGAGTACTGGGTACCCCGACATGGGCCGCGGTGTACCCATCACGTCAATCCGGACTTTGTTCGTATCCCTCTTCAAGATTGCGGGCCACATGTGATTGAAGAGCAATACCGCGAGGAAGAGGACGAGCAAGTCGAGAAACTTGCAAAACTTATCAAAGACCTCGGAATGATAAGATACAACTTCAACAGGAAGATTCCGTCTGATTACGCCTCTCTGGAGGATATGCTGGCGAAAATCGGAAAGGAAAAGCAGCATTCGTTGGGAAGAGCTTCTCTGCACATAAGAATGATTCCAGAGCAAAGTGAAGTAATGAAGACATCTGAGCTCTTCCGACAGATCCTTACTCTTTCGACGGTGGACGAATTCGTTCCGTCAGATGTCGAAGGCATTCGTGAAGAGTTTCCGGAATACGTTAACAATGGCCATGTGTATGCGAACCTTACACAGATTTACGTGCCAAAAGCAGCCAAGTACAAGAATATGCTAAAAAGAGCATTCTTTCTATTCCGAAAAGCTAGAGCTCTGATGAAGAAAACTTACGAAGATAACGATCGACTTTTTAAAGAGCAAGATAAGAAAAGGGCTTGTATCCACCAATATTTAAAGCAAATTGCATCGAAATAGACTGGCGTCCTTCTTACAAGCCACGAAAAGCTTTCAAAAAAATTGGCAAATCAGTACGACATGAACTTACTTTTTGATTTGACGCAATCAGTTTTCAATGTTTTCAAGCAGTCGGCTGACTATTTTTCGCGGTATGTAGAACAAATCGTTCACTACTGGGAAAAGCGAGTTGGCCACTTTGAGGTAAGGAACAAGCTTTGATTTCATAACAGTTTTTCGAGGACGTGAATTCTCAAATGTGCAGTTCACGGTACCCGCGCACTTTGAGCCATTTAGGCCGCCTTCCCTGCATTGTCAAAGCTCTTTGTGATCAGCGGTAAGTGTATTTTTCGTTGGTTTTCCATCCACATAGTACACCCACTATTCGGTTATATTTCCTAAGCATTGACAACTGTTATTTTATGAGACTCATTCTGCTTGTAAAAGTGACAGTGCGACTTATCTGGATTGTAGAGACGACCTCACTGGCGCAGATCTAAAATGTCTATTGCAGGATCAGTGGGTAGAAGCCAAAGAAGCCTTCGAATCCATTATTAGCGTCATAAACTCGCAGGTATGTTATTTTTACTTATCAAGTATTGTATCGACTGATTCGCAAGATATACATTTTCCTATCAATCGTTTATACGATTACATTATGATAAGATCTCTGGTAAGACTAGGTTCTTAAGACATTGCATGGAGAGTCAGCAAACCGTCGCTCAAAGCGAAGACGCAAGAGCGTAAACGAACACTTTCAAATGGATGAGATCGAGCTGGACAGACGAACTTACAATTACCTGAAAAATACAACTGAGCGATGCATAATCTCAAAGGAAGAAATTGAACTGACTAATCTCATGTGTCACAACGTATTCATCTGCAAGGAGGAACAGTGTGCACTTCCTCAGCCGTCATCTGATGTGATCTACAGGGTCTGCGCCAAAAATGGCACACCTAAGGGACACAATTGTAAAATTGGCAAGTCTAATTCTTAATTCAATTTAATTATTTTGCATTATTTAGAGTTTTTGTTTATAGTATGAAACTCGTAGAAATTATTTTTGCTAAGGACTATAGTCATTGAAATATTCAGAAGACAACGAAGAAATTACTGCCGCCATTCGCTACAAGCAAAAAATTTTTACGAATTACAACCTGCGCCATCCCTGATGCTTCCTGACTGCGTGAGAAAAGCCAAAATATAAAAATCATATGATTGTGAATATTAATATAGGTTGCGTTAATCGGTCGAGAGTGAAGGACGATTAGTGCCCAGCTAAGCCACATACAAGTTTTATTCAAAAAGGAATCAAAGTCTGAATAATGAAGTAGAATACTTTCTACAAGGGTCCAAGGGTCCACATCCTAATTGTCGAAGTTTTGCTGTAGGACTGTTCGGGACTGACAAATCAAAAGGTTCGTAATTAAAGGCCATAATTTAAGTAGAGCCTAAGATTGACGCCTTTCCCAAAGAAATTAGTTTTTGCTTCCATCGCATTGCAGCAGGCGAACGATCGAGGGGTCCGACTGTTGCGAAGCTTTCGATCGAAGGTCAATCGAGGTCAACTAATCAAATTAAATAACTCGCTTGTTGAGGTCATGTGAGGACTCTCTAACTTATTTTTTGATTGTTGTCATTAAGGGATCATTAGGCTTACCGGACTAAATTTCGACCCATATTTCTAGCTTAGTTGGGTAGTCATATGACACAGTTTTAGAAAGCCTAGCTTCTGGGCTTTCATTTGGGCACAAATTCAAGGGGTCTGGGTCATGCCCGCAAGGCAATTCATGGGACCTGAAGTCCCAAAATAGGTACCAAAATCCTTCAAACTATTTTTTCGATGGCCGTCCGGGCTCGAGAGTAGTCAAGAGTCATATATTAAGAAAGCTCAGGCTCTGAGCTTTCAGTAGAGCTCAAGAAATCTTAGTGCCAAGTGGTATGTGTCCACCTGGAGGTGCTAGAAGTTGGCGGTAAAAATCCGGAAATGCCGGAAAACTCGGTTTTTGAGTTCTAAACTCTACAATTATATGTATAGAACATATATAAACAATAATTAACGCATTAAAAAGTTGAACCGAGGTCAAACCGGGTGGTCAACCGGGTGGTTCATCGTGGGCCATAATTCCATGTTTTTGAAGGTTTCTAGAGTTGAACCACCCGGTTCGACCGCGGTTAAACTTTTTAATGCACGAATTATTGTTTATAAATGTTTTATACATATAATTGTAGAGTTTAGAACTCAAAAACCGAGTTTTCCGACATTTCCGGATTTTTACCGCCAACTTCTAGCGCCTCCAGGTGGACACAAACCACTTGGCACTAAGATTTCTTGAGCTCTACTGAAAGCTCAGAGCCTGAGCTTTCTAAATATGTGACTCTTGACTACTCTCGAGCCCGGACGGCCATCGAAAAAATAGTTTGAAGGATTTTGGTACCTATTTTGGGACTTCAGGTCCCATGAATTGCCTTGCGGGCATGACCCAGACCCCTTGAATTTGTGCCCAAATGAAAGCCCAGAAGCTAGGCTTTCTAAAACTGTGTCATATGACTACCCAACTAAGCTAGAAATATTGGTCGAAATTTAGTCCGGTAAGCCTAGGGATCATGCATAATCATCGATTTATCATAAATGATAGGGTCAGGCCTAAATACGCAAAGAAGACAGCTGAGTGCGTTTTATAGCGGCTTACTTTGGAACGGACGTCCCGTCTTGATCCGGCTTGGATGATCCGACCCGTCAGCTTAAATCGCCCCTTATATTCGTCTCTCGAGGCGACGATTAATTTCAGATACGCATCCCTTATATATTTTCGTCTTTAACTTATGTCGAGTTGATTTTTACTTCGTCCTCGTCTTTACAAAGCTAAATGATGGAAAGCTCCGCTCCTTAGCACCGACAATGAATTCGTCCATTGTGATGACGCCGTTTCTGTCTTTGTCCATTTGGTTGAAGATCTTCTCGGTGCGTTTTTCCGGAGTGGCCTCGTCGTCCGGCATTTTCTGAAAGAGAGACAGTAAGTGTTAGTGCAAGTGGTTCTTCGGTGGGGGAAAGTTTAGATTTAATTTTTAAAAGGCTGCGGTAGTAGAATGAAAAGAAATATCTCCCAAGAGTGCATTGTGCCTTTTCGGATCATCGGCGCGGCGGACGCAAATGAAGAACGAACTTGACAAGCGCCACCCGAAAGTGACAATCAAAGTTAAACAATTACCATCACTGTGCCGACCATCTTGTAGATTGCCTGGACGATCTCGAGCATTTCATCGTAAGAGATCATCTCGTCCCCGTCCTGGTCGTACATGTGGAATGCCCACTGAACTGATTGGCGAACGTGAATTCAATTTCTAAGCACCTTGAGTTTGTCGTCCAAATTTCCCCTGGACGTCACAGAAAGCGCAATAATAAATTCTTTGAAGTCTATTGATTTGTCGCCATTCGCGTCGAATGTCCTAAGTAGTTCAATTATCATATTGTGACGGGTTTATCCGCTAATTCCAGTAACACACTGCGCGCTCACCTGAAAACATGCTCGGCAAACTTGCCAGCATCTCCGTAAGGGAAAAAATTACCATAAATCTTCTTGAACTCGTCAACTGTCAAAGTTCCTTTGGGGCAGTCTTTTAGAAATCCTGAAAAAACTGAATTCGAAATTGAAATGGAGAGGAGCGAGTACCTGAATACCAGTCCTGTAGTTCTTTCTCGGTAAATTGTGTTTGGCTGACGAGCTCTTGAAGGTCGGAAGGTTTAAGCTAGAATAAACAAAATGTTAATTATTGACGCAAGCTCTTGAAGTAAGCCAGTTCTACAATATTAACAACAACCCATCGAATACCTTCGAATTCTGCTTTCCCATTTTGCTCCAGCTACTCTTACTCACAGAAGAAATCCAAAATACCGACAATAAAAAATAGAAGAAAACCTTTTCCGCAACGTTTTCGGCAAACAGAAAATTCTTTCACCTAAAGACTGCGATATCACTGCCCCAGGAGCGAGCGCGCAGCTCGGGCGCCACACGAGGGCACATTTCTAAATTCGTGGCAATTCCGCGTCGAAATATTCGCCATAAGGCGTAAATTAATTCCAACTTTCTAATTAAAGCGATTATTCTCATCCCAGAACGGTTGGACTCTTCGTCCTTTAATCTTTTTTCGATACGATAATTAGCGCCCAAATACTAGACAGAAAGTAACCCCCAGTCTTTACCAGGATAAACCTCTATAAATTGTTTTTCATCATGAATGCTTCACAAACAGCCTCTCATTTGAAAATCGTAGCAAAAGATCGCCATGCCAGGTAGATGTGGATTATCCTGTCTATTAGCAAGAGATTACAAATGCCGTTATTCCTATTATTGTCAATTCTAATCTGGAGGAATATCAAAGGAGAGCGCTCGATGGTTTGTAGACAAAAGTAGACACAAGTACTCTGACTGAAAATGTTAAGGCCTATTTTCGAAGAGAGACGCATTGGAGGGTAAGTATTATGCACACATCGAGCTCGCCAGTTGACGTTAATTTTATTGGAAGAGTTGGCAGCATAAGGCACTCAATAATGAAAGTAACTTCGTGCTTGCAATTTGGATTCATTGTTTAAAGCTAATCAAAGTGTCGATATATTCTCACCGGAGCCAAAGGCTTTCCCTTCTTGCTATTCGACCTTATATAAATTTATATTAAGCGCGGCCCGAATAACTCCCACTGAAACGGCACTCTTCCACAATAAGAAAGAGAACGTTATGTTTATCGTTTTATTAAGTGAACTTTTATTCAGTGAGCTTGAGAAGGGTACAAGAGCATAAGTCAGTACATCACGGTTTTGTAGAACTTCTGCGAATATTATATAGCGATGATAAAGAAAACATAAACAGGCATTTGAGGTGATAAATGAAAATTGATTTTTTGTTTTGATTTTTTGACGTTTTTTTTTGTCTAAGGCAGTTGACGCTGGTGCAAAGAATACGCATCGAATCGACGTTGCATTTTTTCATGAGTTCTCCCGTTTATAGATTCTCGAATTCGTAATTTTCTGAAGCGAGAAATTTTACAATTTATTTAAATCTGAAGTCAAACCTCTTCAATCATATCCTGGACGATCCATAAATCATTGTGATCTTTCAAACTATAAGTAGTGACGACTGGTCCTTTCTTACCACCCAGAGTTCGGATGGAGATCGTATCTTAATTCGTTTTTGGAGGACGAAGTATTCTACCCATTCTTACCACCAACAATTTCAGCAGTAGATAAACACTTTGTACCGATTCCATCTTCGTGAGCGTATTCTTTGTTGAAATCGAGCGGGTACTTTTTGGTCACAAAGAAAACTTTGAAAGATTGAGTGTATTCGCCAGGTCCCTTGCGCTGGAAGCTAAGTAACGGTTCGCTTCTTTCTGCCATACTTCGATAGAAGGGATCGCCACCTTCTACTTTGAGATACTCTGCGATATTAATTCCATCGTATTGTCGCTGAAAGAAAATATCACTCTTCTGGAAGCGAATGTGTCAAAGTACCCATTTGTTGTTGAGTATCGTCTCCACATCGGTGCCTTCTGGCACACGCCAGACCGTCGTCGTTGTAGTGGTAGATACTGTGGTCTCATTATTGTAAATACTAGTCGTGTTGAATTTTGAGGAACTGTTGGTTGAGGTAGAGACGTCGATTTCTATGTCAGGAAGAAATTTCTTCACACTCGCCTCCGCGGTCTTTGGTTGTCCTGTTTTATGCAAGATCACAGATGTAACAGTAAGCATACAAATAAGCACTAGAATTGAGAAAACGCAGTAGCCCAGTTTTTGCTTCCATCCCTAAACATTCTCTTTAAGTTTACGAGGGAGGGAAATTTACATTTTTTTCGTTCAATTCAGAATCTCTCATTTCTCTTACTTATTGCTATTAATCTGTTTTGTGAGTAATTCCTTAATCTGAACGTCTACAAATATGCGACCGATTAGTCTTGGGTAGAGGAACACTACTCCTTATCAAACTTGATGGCAACTCACTTTTCTCGTCTGGAAGCTGCGGAGACTGTGACTGAAGTTGTTGCTACGCTGGCCTTCCAGAAGGGTATATTCCAGATTCTCGTCTCTCTCCATACTGGAATCAGCCACTCTGAAATGAAATATTCAGTTTACTTCGCCATGAGACGCGTCACACTACAGTAAGAAGGGACGTCTCTCATGCTCTATAAATTCACGAGGGAGAGTTAACTTCTCCCCTCAAATGTTAACGTTTCCGACGTCTTTTGGTGCAAAATTCTGAACAAAAAGCTTGGAAATTCACTTTATGGCTTTATCTTAAAATAATATAAAAAATCTAATTACTCAGAGTAAAATGATAAAAATGAGTCATTTAGAGCCAATGCCACATTTTTCGTGAATGAACTTCATTAACATTCCTAGAACCATTAGCTCAATTAAACCATTTTCACCCTAACCCTAACCTAAACCCTAACAAAACCTACCCATCAAAGATTTCGATTTCGTTGAAAGTGTTTACTGTCATTCTCTGTATTTGAGTTATATTTTTGAAAAAAGAAAAGTGACTGAAGCTAAAAAAAACAGTCGTTCTCGAAACTTTTCTTCAAAAAGAGAAGCGAGACATGAAAATTGTGCAGAATTAGAATTTTGCTTTTACCGGGCGTACCTTTTTTAAACTTTCAGAACAAACAGAAGGGCTAGCTGTTTTTCATTTCTGTTCTCATCTGAGCTATATTTGATGAGTTCATCTCACCTGAAACGTCTTTAACTTGATCAGTTCTTGCCCGGAGCCCTGTCTTCTCTGATCGTTGTGACTTCCACGATAAGGCTTGTTACTACTTCCACCGGTTGTTTCCCATGTCTGAATCGAACATTACACTCGTGCCTTTCTTTTTCCGTTAACTCGTAAATTTTTACACTGTCAGTGATTAGAAATCGCTCAGTCTTAGTTGCCTCTGTCAATGTTATGGCCCCATCTATGAATAATTCTCCAACATTCGTAAATACACTCTTTTCGGTGTGCACAAAATCTTCCCTGCTTAGCGCATCCGACTTCACTGGATACAAAATCTATGATTGATATTTTTTATGAAAAATACCATTCTCGTATATTATATATAACTCATAAAACAAACTATTTATTTGAGAAGGGCCTTCTAGGGATAGACTGATCTCGATTCGCAAAAACTTATTTTTACTTTCAGTTCATAAATATACCTGAAAATCAGCTGATGGAACGTTTTCTTTTCTTCACCGATCTCTAGAATGGGGCAGTTATTATAAAGACATTAAAATCGGACAAGTTGAACGCGAAGGGGTTCAAAAACACGTGTGAACGTCCAAAAGAATACTACTCGTCTCGTGACTCATTTCTGAGACTTTGCTCAGCAGGCACTGGCCCCGGGCCAGATCACGGTTGTAAAATGTGCGAAATGGGCCTTCTAGCAACTTGAACTCGAGCTAATCTTAGTTTAGTTTTCACTCGCAAATGCCTCTTTTGTCTGGGCCGCGACAAGTTACGCTTTTTTATTTGAAGAGGATTTTATTTCTAATACTAAAGGGGCAACTATCACAAGGTATACCTGTGCAGTAGGAATTACTCTGAATAGCGGATAAGGTCAATTTACATCATTTAAAGCGGGTCGAGCCTTTGGTAAACACCTTTCAAAAAAAACGTAGTAAAAGCATTTGAATTCGAACGCAGCGATGCCCAACCACGTCTGACTCAGAAGGATGTGAAACAAAGGCCTCAGCTGAATTTCGCGAAACAGCAACCACACAGACTACTAATGCGAAGTTATTGACGAAAAGCAGTTCCCGATATTTGAAAGACAGCGATCGAGCATTTTTTCGATGACAACGAGGATCATTCATCGCGGATGGTCTGAGTCTGACTCAGGCTATATCGTCAATATCACAAGCCTTTCCAGGAGAATTTATGTTGTTCCCTGAGAGACTTAGTGTGCAATTTTTTTCGGATGTTGTGATTTGTGGCCCTTAAAAGGGCCGGTTTTTGCGAAAGCAGGAAAGGATGATTTATCCACCGAATCCGTAGAGGGTTCGGCCCTGTCGCTTGAGCGCGTAGACGACGTCGAGAGCGGTGACGGTCTTGCGCTTGGCGTGCTCGGTGTAAGTGACGGAGTCGCGGATCACGTTGTTGAGGAAAACCTTGAGGACACCTCGGGTCTCCTCGTAGATCAGTCCGGAGATGCGCTTGACACCACCTCGTCGAGCAAGTCGTCGGATGGCGGGCTTGGTGATGCCCTGGATGTTGTCTCGCATGATCTTGCGGTGACGCTTGGCGCCGCCCTTGCCAAGACCTTTGCCTCCTGCTCCTCGTCCAGACATTATTGGTTGTTCACAAAGTTTGATGTTTGTGAGTAGTGGACTGCCTCGGTCTTTCGGCGTATTTATGTCAGTGTTCGTGCGGTGTGGGAGACAACCCTGCCTTCAAAACAACAAAGTTCTAGAGATCATCATCAATCTATAACCGTTAAAGCATAACGAATGAGCTTTGAACAAAATTCAACTTAGTTCCTTTTTCATATTTTCGTCGCGCGTTGCTTGCACGGCAGCAGGACTTTCTTGACTAATCAAATGTACTCAAAAAGTATTTCTTTCGTTCTCGATCCGACGCGAAAATCACTCTCGAGGCTTATTTTGAGAAGGCAGACTCTACACTGCAGAGTCTGCACGAATGGCATACTAAAAAACTATGGCGGAAACAGAGGAAGATCTTCGTCAATCTTTGCGAGCCCTTTTGCTCACAGAGAAAAACGGAGCTGATGAGGCACTAGTTGAGAGAAAGTATGAAGAAGTTGTTGGTGAACCCCTAAGGCCTCTCATCAGGAGATTTGGATACAACAGGATTTCTGACAAAGAGTTTCTGAGCAACTTCTCAGATATCATGATGGAATGCTACGGACGGTTCTATGGAATTCCATTAGAAGTCCAAAGACCACTCGTCTCGTTAATTAATTCTACCGAGAATACGTACAACAGGAGAAACTACTATAACTCTTCGAGTTACGATCGTTCAGGAAAGAGAGACCAATGTTCAAGGAGTTTGTATAAATTATCATTGACTTGATGAACCACAATTTCCATTGGATTCTCCACCCGAAATCTACAGACCGTCATTACAGAGAGGCGGCAGAGACGCAAGAAGAAACGTTATACCCAGAAGCAAGCTATTCGTCGATGAAAAATGACAAGAATGAAATTCAAGAGGCTCAGAATCTTCTGAAAAGCAGATCCGAGTCTTCCGCCTATGAAGTTGAAGACCGCAGTTATGAGAAGTGCGATTATGAGAACGCTCATGGAGTCAGTCGACTCCCAGATTTACGACAACAAAAATGGAATCCTGAGAATAGATTCTATCTCCATCCGAATCACCCAAATCGAAAGAATGAGCAACAATTGATCTCTAACGACTTCAAATATGCTGTCAAAAGTGTTCATTCCGCCCCCAAAACGGAAATAGAAGCGAAGGCTTCCATCTCATCTTTTAATGTTTTGGACACAGTCAACCAAGAAAGATATATCCGTCCTCCGTAAGTATAATTGTAAAGATAAAATATTCCGAGTATCATTTTGTAGATCCAAACCGATTGCAATCAAACGACGTATAATATGGTCTCACAAAACTGGCTCAGGTATTTATCACATGCATAAAGAATAAGGATAAATTGAATATTTTACAGGGTAACTTGTCCATCAAAGCCGGATTCGACTGAAAGAATAAAGAACTTCCCGCTCTACGATTCCAAAAGTAACACAGAAAAAAAGAGAATACGATCGAGAAAATTTCCCGGAAAATTTAATTTTTCAATAAAAACTGTTTTGTTGAAAGTTTGAAATTGAAAAAGTGTTTATTTGATATTGGCAGCGTGAGTTTTACTACGGGCGAAGTGATGAATGGAAATGAGGGAGTTATTCTTTGGTGCGGCTCTGGTTTGGTTTTTCTAATTTATGAGTTTGGTTATTTATTAGTATTGAATTCTGGTTGTTAAATAATTCTCCTAGCGTCGTTTACATCTTCAATTTTCAACCATTATATCGAAATGAAAAAGAGTTCCCGATACCAAAGAGATTTTCACTGCCGAGAAAACCCTTCAAAATCCGCGCCAGGTTTCTAGGGCAGCTAGACTCGTCTACAAGTCTTGTAGTACAAGCCGTTATTATTTTAAATTATTGCAACACATTTTTTAAATGATAATTTGGGCAGAGTTACGAATGAATTACTAAAGTTATCACTTGAGAAAGATATGTTTCTCTAGTCGCTTACACGCTAAAAAATAGTAGCTATTGAAAACAAAACTCAAACAACTGTTATGTGAGGCGGTACGTTTACAGTGGTAAGCAAGTGAGTCGATTTGGGCTTGTTGAATATTGGGATCAAAGATTTATATAGGAGGGTATCGCCAGAAAGATGCTCGCATCGCCAAGCTCGTTTTAATGAAGTTCGTTTAATGAAGTTTGCTTGGAGTTGAGCTGTTTTCATATTTGATGAACGCTTATTTCGTAGTCTGCTTATAAATAATATGAATGGGATAATTTATTAGACCTAGTTAAGACTACACCACCCGACAGTTCAGGCCGCATAACAACGCCGTCAACAGTTGGGCACCGCCCTTAGGGCACCGAGCGTCGCGAATTTTGCGCCAATTTTCTTTTAAATTGGGTTAACAAATGCATATTTTATAAACATATATCTCCGACTCCTGGAGATTGACAAACACCTCACAGAGATTCGATTCCGAAATCAAAAAAGAGAAATGAAATCATAGACGAAGATTTTGAAAAAAAAAGATAAGATAATCGAAGTGAGGGCGCGTAGCGAGCGTCAATGGGTAAACAGTAGCCGTACTTCCGACATTCAACATTCATAAGAAGGTCGAGCTTAATAATTTAGCCCTCGCACAGGAGCCCCGGGCGCAAAACAACCTTAGTCGCATCGTAGAGTGAGTGCCAGGACGTCGAGCACGAAAGAGAGTAGACCCGCCTTTTCTAGAGGCGAGCTCAGGAATAATTGATGATCTTACCGACCGATTTGAGCGCTGCGGACCGCAGTGCTAGAGAGCTTTCCCTTGCCAATTTCTGTTTTGCTGCGTCGTACAAGCCCTGCTACTTCGTGAATCGATCTATACCAAGTCGAGGGACGCGGTGCACCTGCCTCTAAGAGTGTCGACGGCCGCCATCTGGCTAATGCCAGCGGCGGGCGTAGCTTTCATCCTCCTCGACATCTAACTTTCGCCCGCCTAATTACGACACCATAACGATGTCTTGTCTGACTTGTTTCAGAGGTAGCACTGCCCCGGAGAAAAAAAACGACGCAGTGCATTAGTTACAGCCCGAATAAATAACTTTGCTTTGATGCAAAGTCTCACGGGACTGCCAATTAGCCGACCGTGCGGGGCCCTCAGGGGTACTTCGTCGATCGAATTCAACTCGATTTTAAAGGTCGCAAGTATTTGCTCGACACAAGTTCAGCACTCATAAGTGGTTGAAAAGGGCTCATTCTTGATATTCGTGATGGATTTGTTTATAAACGGAGTTTCTTAGCTCTGGAGATGGGTCATAATTACACACTTCGAGGCACAGCACAGAATGAATTAGCGGAGATTAGCAGATTAATGGTGAAAAGCAGCGTTGACAAGTGAGTCTGTCATTTTTCATCGTAATGGACGCATTGATCGGGCGCACAATGCAACTTGAATAATTTATCCGTCGACTGGCACGGCCGGGCAGAATCTATAGCCGGCGCTCGATCATGCGACTCGTAGCTTGCCATCGCATGTAGCTCACTCAGTGCTGGAAACTACTACAGTAATGCCCAATCAATGGTGTTACTGTATTTTAGGGAAATTACAAGCGATCGATTGATGGTGCAATTTGTTTCCAGATTGCCGGAAACAGAATTAGCCGAAGCGCAAAATTATGCAGCTGCCTGCCACTCGTGCCCGTTGATACTCTTTAGCCATAGGCGAGAGAAGGACTTCCCCTCCCGCTGGGAACAGCCTGTAAATTACCCCATATTAGCCATGTCAGACAGGGCTGCCACCATTGCACGCCACTCAATTGCAATTACCTCGTTAACCAATGGTTATTGATAAGTTCTTAAACACGATTATACACACTTATCTGTGCGCATCATGGGCCTATTTATAATTGATAGCTCTCCGCAATTTTATATGGGCTATGCGAAATCGTTTACGAAGAAAAATGATGTCACTGAATGAATTGTTTCGTCATGTTTTATTTCTTAAATTAAAGCGCAAAGATAAATTATTAAACAGTGTAAATAACAGTTTGGTTTCATGAGGAGCACCACAATGGTTTTGGTTTTTGTTTCGGTCATAGTACTTCTAGATGGGTGAAGAAAGTTGTGTTCTTGATTGCTCAATCGCTAGTGTTCGTACTGGCTTGTAGTAATTTTGCGGTGGGTTTTTGAAGATAATAGAGAACTACTCGATGATCGTCCGCGCCAAGTTTATATACAGTTGTGGACTTGTTGTCCTTGCACAATAAGGAGTAGGGTCGGTAATGGCGTTTCCGCCGAACTTTCAGTTTGGAATATTGGCGTTTGTTGTTGAAGTAATTAGCTGAAGTCACGTTAGAAATGAGTTTCAAAGACAATCGTACCGACTATTCACTTTGGGCGGTTTGGTTGTACGCCGAGAACTTCATCCTCTTCTGCTTTTGCCGCTGATTGCAAAACCAAACCCGGACAACATTCTTTTTCAGATCAAGTTTTTCGGCGATTGCTGCGATTTTCTCCGAGCTAGGCCTAAAGACATGTTTTAATAGAGACAAAATGGAAGAATCAACCTTGGTTGAACTGTGAAGTAAGCTTCTAAGGATCGTTTTTCTGGTGCAGCGATTGATGTTCGTTTCCGCTTCTTTTCGTTTCCTGTGTAGCCATCAGCTTCTTTTTTGGCCTTTGCCGCGTTTTCGGCTCTTTCTAGCCAAGCCTAAGCTTACTGTTAGATTTTGCAATACAGTGGTTAATTCGACATGTGCGCCGTAACCGAGGGACTGATTGACAAAGTATTGAAATTTGCTCGTCACGCTTTTGTCAAAATATTAGATTTGGTCTGTCGCGATATTCCTCTTGGGACTACCCGCGGCGGCAGTTCTTGATCTTCTTCAAGCGAAACTTCTGCTCTCACGCTGAGATCGCAGTTACCCTCTACACGCGCAAAATGCATTCGAATTTGTGACAAGACACTGAACATTACCTGGAGTATAGGCTTGAGCGCAACCATATTGTTGTGCGAAAGAGTGAGCGACTCGAAGCGGCATATGGTACTCTGGCTGAGGCTGCCGACTCCTGGTATTTTCAATTTTCCCAGAGCTTGACCGACGTCTGCTTGAGTGACACCGAGCTTGATACGACGTTGTTTGAATCGTTCCGCAAATGCTTCCAACTCGCGTGGGTCGGTATCGTACTCCGCCGAGGCCGAAGGCATGTGTGTACTATTACCACTAAATTAAATTAAAAATGTTCAATGCTAAACAAAGATACTAAATTGTTAATTTTAAAATTTCGTAATGAATTAATTTATCATCAAGCGGATGTTGTAAATTTGTATCGATAATGAGGTGCATACTAACCCGTGAATTTGATTTGTTCCGAGACCGCTGTAGTGCGCCATCATTGAGTTTTGCGCGAGCCCTGAGTTCATGAGTCCGTTTTGACTGTGACTTGGCGCTGAAATGTACATGGCTTCGTTTAGACCCATCCCATATCCGATTGTTGGATACGCTTGTCCATCGGCAATTAAGCTTTCTGTTCCCTCTGCTCCAAGGCTAACAGCGTAAGATGATAGCTGAAAAATAAGGTCAATCAAGTGAGAAATAAGTTAACTTTTGGAAACACTATCAATTATTAATTCGTCTCTTAAATACCTGTGGAACAACAACACTAGGCGAGGATAAGTGGTGGGAATGGACCATCGATGAGTTCATCGGATAATATGTCGACGTTTCTGGCTTGAAGCTTACAGACGGTTTCACTTCCATGGGGGTAGACAAGGAAGAAGTATATTCTTGTTTTGCACTGGATGCCGAAAAGAACGTCTCATCAAAGCCAGTTACTCCAGCGAATAGGTTGCTCTGGAAAGCCTTTAATTATTTGTAAATAAATAAATCAAACTATCTACATAGAAATTAAAACTAATAGTACTCACAGAAACGTGGCCCGTGGCTACCGTCGTAATTGGAGGTTTTCTATCGATTGCTGATGCAGATGCGGCAGCAGAAATGATAGAGGAATTGATGTTATGGCTAGTGATTGGAGTCAGTGGTTGTGTAGGGACATATTTGTGTTCGATTTCTGAGCTAGGCGTGGTAGGAGTGGCAAACTCTTGTTCGTTTTCCATCTCAGAAACCTGGCTAGCTACCGGGTGGATTTCCGTAAGCATACGGTCTTGCACCAAGTTGTCGAAGTCGACTGCCGGATACTATCACCGGATGGCTGAGGAAATCTTCAATCTCTCTCTTATTGTCGATTAATAATTTCGTCTCTCGTAAATAATTGTTGCTCTGGGAAGGATTAAATTATTGAGTCCGAAGGTTCTTCTGTCCGGAGTCTTCTCTCGGCTGCTTTCAGCTTCTCGCTGCAGGCGCAGGCTATCTAGATGGCGCTATAATCTCCGCTAGCCACTGGTTCTTCAAAATCCTCGGTCGTGATAGCGAATTCTAGCGCTAAAAGAAGCTCTTTAAATATTTGATGCTCTGGCTGCCTCTCTTTGCGCACAAGGCTGCTTGATTTCAATTTAATTATGTTGTCGGAGGCTGTGCAGTCGGTTGCGAGCTGCAGGCGCTGCCGGGGCGCTCGCTGTGGGCGCTCCCGTGCGCCGTCGACTCTCACCAGATCATTGAAAGCGAATCGGATTCGCTTGCCAGATGGAAGAAGCAGACTCTCCGTAATTATGTACTTAGGAGCTCAGGCGATCTATTCCGCTCGATACCGAAGCTATTCAGACTTAAGACAGCAGTACAACCATTCCTTACTTGTCCACACTTGCCATGGGCTTTCTTTAATGATCAAGTAATGAACATTAATCGAGGGCGTAGTCTTTTAATAATGAAGTAGCCATCTCGTCAACACACTCCCCAAATTTTGAAAATCATTTTGAGAAACATGAAAGGTAAAGTCAAAGAAACGAAGAAGACACTGAAATTGCTTGACCTTATCGGGTGTTGAATAATATAGGATTCAGTTGTTAGCGATGATTTCCGAAGTTAAAAGAAAGTTAAAACTCTTGAAACGTAAAATATACAATTGGGCGTATTAAGTCGGCTATTGAATAATTGATGCCCCGAAGGAATTGGAACAAACAGAGCATTGTCGCAACTGTCGTCGGCAGTGGCTACCGCATGAGCATAGCAAAAATGGAATATGAAAGTTAGCTTTTGCGAAAAGAATCGGATAAAGCGTTTTGTGAAGCAAATTTTTCCATCCTAATTAGGGCAATTTTCAATTTTTTTTTCAAATCGGGAAACACCAGTGGTTACAAAAGTACATATCTTCACGATAATGCCAGTACTATACTGGTTGTAAGTCCAGCATGGAATTCGGACTTAAAATATTGCGAGCAATATTTCAATATATCTGAAGTTTGAGAAAAAAATAATGGTAGAGTTAGTCTGCTAATTATTTATCCATTTTTTGTGTTGTTCATGGAAAAAAGTACCACTGTTTTTATCTGAAGATATATTATTTCTCAGACACGGGCAAATTATTCACTTTAATCATCTGCAGAAATATTGATGAGGTTCAGGGCCTGAAGATAAATAATAAAAGTAGTCCGAATAATAAAATTAAAGAATATCCATTATTGATTACAGCCGTGCCACTGGAGCATGTTCGTGATGAGAGCTCACGCCGATATTCGAGCAACATCAAAGCTAGATACAACTTTACGAGAGATCAAGGTGCGATCAAGGAGAGTCTGGACTGCGTAATCAGCCAGGAAGAGAAATTAGCCGTGCTGATTGCAAGCGCTCTGTCCAAATTGGACCTGTAATATAATTACGCTCGCAAGACACTCGACAAAGTACCGTATACTGAATCCTCTAGAGAAATATGCCGCCCTCGATGCAATTGCTAGATTTTTTGACGTTCGCTCTTGATATTTGTCTTGGCAAATTCTCCCGGGGTGGACCACTTTGACCAGTGTGTAATATGGGCAATGCTAAGCATTGATGTATCGACAGCGTTCAATGACAATCGATAGCCAAGCACACCGACCGGCCGCTTCTCCCTGATGACTACTCTTCTCAAGAGGCGTGAGCCAACCCTTGAGTAAAACTTGCTTCACCAATTGAGTCGCACAAATTGGAATTGATGGATCAATTTCAGAAATAGCATCTCAGATTCCGTAGAGTAAATGATTTATTAATTAAACTTTGAATTCTTGAATAACTGAACTTTCATTGGTTGAGCTTTTGAAGGAACTGGTTTATTTCGTACTCGGAGTCATATGCCTCGCCATCCCAAAGTTCTCCAAGCTCATCTACAAGCGACTGAATTGATTTCGATTTTCCTTCTTTTTGCTTTTGCTGGTTGGCGGTGGATTTGCTACAATGCGTGGTTATTTTTTACCGATTCTAAGGTGTCTTACTCAAAGTTGAACATATCTAGAAGCTGGTGAGTATCCATTGTACTCATGCTGGAGTTATCCCCAGATACCAACGAGTTAGCAATATTGAGCTTGAATTTTTGCAGACCCATTATCTTTTCCTCGACGGTGTTTCTAGTAATCAAGCGATAGACGTTGACTGTCTTTTTTTGTCCGATTCTGTGCGCACGATCCATCGCCTTGATAAAATTTTATTTATGCAAATAGGACCTAATTAAAACTTACCTGAAGGTCCATTTGGGGATTCCAATCGTGCTCAACGAAAATGACAACGTCGGCACCCGTCAAGTTAAGTCCGAGGCCACCGACTTTCGTTGTCAAGAGCAGTACATCTATAATTTCGAATTAGAGAGGCAACGCGTAAGCAGTCAGGGTGGGGACCCTAGGTATCCACTTGGGTGTGAAAATCGAGCATTTTCTTAGTGAATTAATAATGAGGGACTTACCTATGGTAGGATCTCGGTTGAATCGCGAGACAATGCCATGTCGTGCTCCAGCTGGAACAGAGCCGTCGAGCCGTGAGAAGGAGACTAAAGGCATTTCATGTTCGAAAAGGTCTCGCGCAATTATATCGAGCATTGATTTGTGCTGGCAGAAGATGAGCGCTCTAGAATGGTGATTTAGCTTTTTAAAAATCAAAGACTCTTTTCAATGAATGTTTTTCCGCATGCGATGAGTGCCCCCATGCTGCGCTCACCTGTGCTCAGAAACGACGGAGTCTTCGCGTTGGCCAATGCCACACTCTGTCAGCAGCTGTTTCAGCGCTTTGATCTTTGGAGCATTCTCAATGTCACGAAGGCTGCTTCGATTCTTGTCAAGGTCGCTCAAAATGTTATAGTAATCTGGATGGGCCGGCGTAAGGACAAGAGCAGGATGATTGCAAAGTTTTTGAAGGTATTGAATAGCCTAAACAGTGTTTTTTTCTTACGAGTGTAAATAAGAAAATACCTGGAAGATATGGCCAGCTCTCTCTGATGTATCTTTGCGATCGTCGTCAATGACTTGCTCGATGCGTTTTTTTAGTTTTGAGCGAGTGAACTCTTCGTAAAGGCGTTTTTGAAGGGGACTCAGTTCGCAATAGAAGTCTTGAATAATTTTGGGAGGGAGATCCTTGAGAACATCCGACTTGACTCTTCGGAGCATAAAAGGTAGGCATTGTCTGTGCAGAGCTTGAAGTGCGAGAAGACCAGCTTCCGGATTTTTGCATCTTGGGTCGCGTGAGTTTAATATTGGGCGACCATAAACAGTGTTAAATTCTTTTTCTGTTCCAAGGAAACCTGGCATGAGGAAGTCAAAAAGAGACCAGAGTTCAGTCACGGTGTTTTGTATGGGCGTTCCAGTGAGCATTAGACGATGTTTCGCTCTCAGAGAGCGTATGCTTTGAGAAACTTTCGTTTTCGTGTTGCGGATGACGTGACCTTCATCAAGAACGCAATAGTTCCACGTGTACTTATTGAAAAAATCGATATCGTTGCGGACTACTTCATAGCTAGCCACGACAACATTGAAATGATTGCTAGGTGACATGAAGATTTCACGCAGCCTCTTACGTTCCGTGCCATTTCCATGGTAGTGGATCATTGATAGACTTTCAGGAACAAATTTTTGGGTCTCGTCATACCAGTGACCAGTTACAGAAGGAGGAGAAATGATAATAGATTTGACGTCGCGCTCGCCATTTTCTTGACATCGATAATGATCAGAAGCGACTGTCAAAATTGTCTGGAGAGTCTTGCCAAGACCCATCTCGTCGGATAGGATTCCATTGAGTCCGTACTTATTGAGAAACATTAACCAATTTACGCCGTCTTGCTGATAAGGTCGTAGCTTAGCGGCGAAAGGGATCGGTATTCTGTAGTCTTCAGCTTTGGACTGATCGAAGAGTTGACTTAGAAATGATAGGCTTTCTTCTCTTTTTGTTTTAAGCAATTTTGTGAGTCCTTCTTCCAAATCTTTGGAGCCAGAATCAAGGGGCATAGCTTTGAGGAGTTTCGCGAAAATACTTGAAGCAACTTGGCGAACGTAAAAATCTTGCGTCGACATTACTTTCAGTACCGGTACCATAAAGATCGTCGTGAAGGGAAGAATTTGGTCACCAAGAGAAATAACAATTTGGGCGAGTATTTCTATTGCACCTTTCTGAGAGAACTCGTTTGTACTTTCCAACATGTTTGTAATCGAGTCGAAGATTTCGTGAATTATAGTCACAGGAGCAATGGTACAGCTTTTCCCAATGAAAAGACTGACAAGATATCTAAGAACGAAATTTCGATAAGAAGCGAGAGGGATCGAAGATTTTAACATCTTCATCATGGTCGTTGATAATTCTGGAATGCGGAAACACTCGGGTCCTGAAGAAGGCAAATTATTATTATTTTTCGAATGTATCTTACCAATGTTCACAACGAGGTAAAGTTGTTCAATGAATGAAATCGGAAGTTGATCATTGTCGACGGGGAATGGCAGTGAAGATAATTGCTCCCATAGGAGCGGGAGTTGTTCAGGCAGTTCATGACGATAGCGCAAGATGAACGAGGTCAAAATGTGGGAAGCCGAGAGCCGCCGATAGGTAAGAGCAGTACGTTCGCGGCCGTCTTTTGCACTGAGAGCTTTCTTTTTTTCCTTCTTGCTTTGTTTTACAGAGTCTCTAAGGTTAGTGTAATAGCTTAGAATTATATTGTTGGAGGAGAATTGCGCGGCGCTGCCACAGAGACGAAAGTATTCTATATCATCTGCGGAGAAAATTGAGCTAGGGGAAGAAAGCAACGGCAGGACTAAAAGTAACACATCATGAGTCATGACCATAGGATTAAATAGACTTACAAGAATGGTCGGTAATGCAATTTTTAATGAGCGATTTCAAAAGCTTGGGCGTAAAGTTCGGCGCGAATTTTTTTGCAGTTTCTTAATTATTTTTTTGTGAAGAACCCTCCTGGTCTAAAACTTACCTATCAAGCTACAGAAGGCGGTTGCTAGGATTTCACGTGTAAACTTATTTGAGCAGTTTCGTACACTTTCCAACAACGGTTTGACAATAGGATTTAGCTTCGTTCCTGGAATGTATTCGTTTAGAAGCAGGGTTGAGCCCGCGAAAGCATTTAGAGCCGAGTGAAGATGTTGTTTGACAGTTTCTATTTGGTGAACTGACCCAGTGATTTCGTCAATCCATATTTTTGGTCTTCACTTGGGTTAAATATTTCTGATCCCATTTCCAAGGCATCGTAAGGCGAGATTAGGTCTCCATGAAGGTCGCGGCCGATTGACAGACCAAGCTTTCGAGATGATATCTGTAATGCAGTGAGAGGTCCTTTGAGCTCTGCAATGGTTCTAATTGTATCGTTTACGATTGACGGCAATTAAAACTAAAATTTATAAATGAACTCTTCTATGTTTTCAAAGTTTAACCATTTCCTAGAAATACTGGAGTACTGTTGAGAAGGTCGAAAACGACAGGGAGGAAGGGGTCAATCCGCCGTCCCTTTCGTACCATCAAAAATAATATCTCGGCGGCAAAGAGTCGAGTGTATCCATTTTCCGATTGGGTAATTAGATTCATCAATTTATCATCTAGTGCGCCATTCATTTTTAAGAATATTTCGGAAACCATGTAACAGAGCGTATAACGAGTCTCTGCAGAAATATCAATATCTTCTTTTCCGCCTAGATAGATAATTTCATCAGTGAGTGCTTGTTCTTTCAGAATTGAGATTAACTTCGAGTCGATAGGTCGTCCATCTCTTGTCGTTGTCAGCGCTATCCACAAGTCAAGAGTAGCATCAATAATTTCCATTAGAAGGTCTGGACTTCCGGCAGCAACTGCGCGCGCCCAAATTTGCACGGCACTTTGTGAAAGCTTAGATTTTGGATTTTCGGATATGACAGTAAAGAAGCATCTGTTCAATGTGTCTTGAAGAACAATGTCAATGTTTTGGACGTTTTCGTAGGCGAGCATTGCAATCACACTTTCCAGGGTGGCTTCTCGAACTGTGGAAAGATTGTGGAAGATAAGGGGAAGGAGGGCTGCAAGTACAACGCCGGCATCATTTCCAACGCAACCGAAAACGAGCTCTTCTCTTCCATGATTCATAAGCGCAGACAAGAAGGTCACAGCACTCGCAGTTGAAACAGTTAAGTCGTCGCCTTTCAATATGTTGTTCCAGGCGATTCGACCGAGCTCGATGGCCCTGTGCATATGCTCTCGGCAGATGAATTCAGCACAGTCTGTCAATATCAATGCCGTTACTTGCCGACAGTCTTCAGAAAAATCGTCGAGGGCGCTCATAAAGAGTTGATACATGTAACTGAAGTTGAATTCTAGCAGCTTTGAGTCGATCGCAAATACCCATCGAAGACCAAGGAGACCACCATGTCGTATCGGCCAAATGTCACTTTCTTCTTCGAGCGTCGCTTTTCCGCTGACTCCAGATTTGACAAGTGACGATAGCAACTCAACGACTTGTTGTACTACTTCTGCTGGAAGTAACTGGCAAACGATTCCAAGGGACTGTGAAGCAGTCTCTCGGATAGGAGCGACCACTGAGTCCGAAACAAAGTCACCGAATCTGTCAAGATACAGTAAAATCACCAAACGGAGAGCGATGTCTACCAGCCATTCTTGTTTTTCTTCTTCAGAAACAAAAGCAAAGACAGCTTTCGACTAGGGTTCCGCACGATTCGAGGCGTTTTGGCACTTCAGCCAATCAGCGCGCTCCATTTCAAAAAAATGTAAAATACTGGTGCCAAATACAGGAAAACGGTGAATTTTTGAGATCTTTGACCATTCTCATTGAATTTCTGTATAGATTTTACCCTTGTGCATCAGAATTTTATTTTTGTGCGATAACTTTTTTCGAATCGTGCGGAACCCTACTTTCGACTGTTTCAACAGGCCACGAATAGCGCATGTGGCTCCGTGTCTATGGCCCCAGATTTGACTAGCAAGAGCGCTTCTCGTTCTTAGGTAAAACCATTGGAGAGGCCACTTCGATGCGAAGACAGAAGGAGGTGAGTCGTAAAGGGCTTTGAGGCTGACTTGTGCTTCCATTTTCACAGTTTTATGCCGTTTTGATGGAGGTTCGCTTCCGGTATCCAAGTCTTCGTCAGTGACTCCGAGAATATCTCTCTGGCCCGGAAAGCTGCCTAAACCCAATCTCTCTTCCATCCGACAACGTTTTGCCCGTAAATACTCTTCTTTGCTATCAAAGCCCATCGATTTAAACTGGTCTAGATCGTCGACGAACTCGTCTTCTGAACATGCCATAAGTGGCACTCCATTTGAGATGATTTCTTCCAACGAGAAGGTCTCCATCTTCAACAAAACAGGAACATCCAGTCTTTCTCCATTTTCTTGTTTGATGATTTCGTCTTTCAGGGGATTATCGCATAGGTCTTCGAAACTCGGCGGAAGATTACAGAATATTTGCTCAATCGCGTCTGCTGCATTAATTCTAGTGTCCCACTCAGCATGTCCAAGATATGTCTACTTTTGGCTCTTCTATTAGCTTCAAGTCAAAAAAGACACGCAAGTTATATACGCACATGCAAAGGAGCCGGTCCCTTTGATATGTTCGCCAGTAAGTTGTTGAGTTCGAGGGGCTGCTTCTTCTGAACCTGGCCGAGTTGCTTGGCGGTTTCCACTCGAGTGACACGTGTAGTGGCATTTTCAAGTAAAAGAAGCAATCGGTCTAGCCGCGTAATGCTACAAATTTAAAAATCATTATCCTGCTCAGTTGTTTTCCATCAAGTCGTAGTGACTCAATTTTACGCTGATTTTATCGGGGTAAATCAAAAGGCAAGATCTTTCGGCTTTTACGAATTCTGCGTTAATTAGGGATTGTCACGAGCTGGACTAAGAGGATAATTCTACAGAAGTCACGTAGTGAGAAGTGGCTGTTTCTTGGCGTGCGTAGGTGTTTACCTTTGGTAATTTTCCATCGCTGGGGCATCCAAGGCTGAGAGTGATGGGTACTGGGCGCGCGCGGGCCGAACTGCGATTCCGGTTCGAGTTTGCTTCTTGCCAGATGGCTGCCCAACAGGGCGGACGATCTCGGCGGCGAAAAAACGATCAAACGACGACGAAAACGAGCCAAAACCATCATTCTGAGATCATATATATAGGCTTGCACCGGGCCGCCCATTGGCCAAGGCGCGCCAGGGCGTCGGCTCAGACCAGAGGAACGAACCAAAATCGCGCAGCTCGGAAAAAGACAAACCTTCAATCGAGCTCTTTGTTGCATATTACAGTATGCCAGTGCCAGTATTAGTATGTTCATCCGCGCATACGCCTCGTCCCATAGACATCAACTACAATCTTTAAAATCACGCAACTCGCTCCCACACTAAGAGACTAAATCACCTCTATCACATTTCATCATTATCTTTTCTCGTTCTGATTTGTAGTGGCCAAATTAAACAATATTTTAAAAGTATGATAGAGAAGAAATTTGGAAAAAAATTAAAAGAACATGGCTTAAATTTATTTCAAATAGCATGAATAATATAATATATTATATTTTAATTTATTATAATAACAAGTGTTATCCTTAATTTATTATTTTTCACAAAAGCCTCTCAAAAATCCTAACGAAATATTTGAAGCACTAGTGAAGAATTTATTAGACAGCACACACATTGAACTTGAATATTCCCAGAAGCTTTGGACCAATTTGGCAGCTTGAATAGATTTCCTTCCGAAAGGAAAACAAAGCCCCACAATTCACATTTCTTCGTCGGAGAATTCAGCCCAGAGATTTTCATTTATTTTTCGAAAAGAAGACTTTTATACTGAAGCATACAGTAATTATCCGCGAAAATATGCCTGCAATCGCGCATGTCATGTATTATTATACGAGTTTGATTTCGGTAGCCCAAGGGAAACTGAATTGATCCCCAAATCAATATCAGAGGGCTTTTTCTATTTTTCACAACTCAGCCGCGCAATTACATTGAAAACCTTTCCTTTTTCCAAGCACGGCGAGTGACTTGCTTCTGTTGACATTTGAGTTAGGCCGCTGCCAGGCTCAACGTATTTTCCTTCAGATGGGCCTGTGAGAACGCGCGGGAAAGAGCGAGAATAGAGCTGCAGATAGAGAAACGAGCCCGCTGCCGAACCGACAAACGAAAACAAGCAGAGAATGAGCGACATAGGAAACTCGGGCATGGAGCAGATGATTCCACTCATCAACAAGCTCCAAGATGCCTTCCAGCAGACAGGTCAATCTCTGGATATCGATTTACCACAGGTAATCTTCCTGTTTCAAGGAATGTCGTTTACATTTATTTAAGATTGCCGTCGTGGGCTCGCAATCAGCTGGAAAATCCTCGGTACTAGAAAACTTTGTCGGCAAAGATTTCTTGCCGCGAGGAAGTGGCATCGTCACTCGTCGTCCGCTAGTCCTTCAACTGGTGAACAATCCCCATGGCGAATGGGCCGAGTTCCTTCACGCCAAAGGAAAACGATTCACTGATTTCAGCGAAGTGCGAAACGAAATTGAAGCAGAAACAGACAGAATGACCGGCTCGAATAAGGGAATTTCGCCCGTTCCGATTAACCTTCGCGTATTTTCGCCGAACGTATTGAACCTGACACTTGTTGATTTGCCCGGAATGACCAGAGTCGCTGTTGGTGATCAACCGGCTGACATTGAAAATCAAATCCGCGATATGCTCCTGCAATTTATTGGGCGCGACTCTTGCCTCATTCTCGCTGTTTCTCCTGCCAATACTGATTTGGCGAATTCCGACGCGATGAAGATGGCAAAAGAAGTAGATCCTCAGGGATTGCGAACCATAGGAGTCATCACAAAGCTCGACTTGATGGATCAGGGCACAGATGCCCGCGACATCCTTGAGAACAAACTTTTGCCTCTTCGTCGGGGCTACATTGGTGTAGTCAACAGAAGTCAGAAGGACATCGAAGGGCGAAAAGACATCAAAGCTGCAATGACAGGTATGCATTGGCCAAAGAAACAGTTTGTCATTAAAATTTTCAGCTGAGAGAAGGTTCTTTATGAGCCACAGTTCTTACCGTCACATGGCAGACAAAATGGGTACGCCTTACCTACAGCAAGTGCTGAACCAGCAACTCACAAATCACATTCGCGAGACGTTGCCTACCTTGCGCAACTCGTTAGCGAAGCAACTTGCTAGTATGGAAAAAGAAGTGGCTAAATTCAAGGTAGGCAGATCCCAATCGAACATAGCGCTTCTTCGATGAATAGCAAGAATAATTGGGAATAATGAATGTTTCAGCATTACACACCAAATGATCCCAGTAGAAAGACGAAATCGATGCTACAGCTCATTAATCAATTCTGCAATTCGTTCCAGGAAGTCATTGAGGGTTCAGGCAGTTCGGGAAGCTCAGTTTCAACAGACCAGCTCACCGTGGGAGCGAAAATAAATCGCCTCTTTCACGAGCGACTTCCACTTCACATTGGTAACGTGTTAATGAGTACTAATTAGGCAATTTTCATTTTAGCCGAGCGCAAAATCGATGAGAAGCATCTCCGAAAGGAGATCAAGATTGTCATTCAAAATATTCGCGGTGTTCGATCAGGTCTCTTCACTCCTGATTTGGCCTTCGAAAGAATCGTCAAAGAGCAAATCGAGCAGCTCTTTAGGGCTCCGGCAAATCTTGTCGAGCAATGCTGCACCGAAATTATAAATGCAGTGAGAAATTGCTCAGAGGTACAAATAATTGTAAATTGCTCTCAACTGACTCTCATGATTTAGCCGATGAACACTTTTCCAATGTTGAGAGAAGAGGTTGATCGAATTGTTTGCGAGCATATTAGAGAGCGCGAAAATCAATGCAAAGATCATGTTCGAAACCTCATCGACTTTGAACTGGCATATGTCAATACCAACCACGAGGTTTGTTTATCTTTAATACACAAGTGCTAGCTCCTTGCGTTTAGGATTTCATTGGCTTCACGCAAGCAGCAGCGTCCTCTGTTCCTTCCAAGAAACAGAACACTGCTGGAAATAACGTTATTCGTCGTGGCTGGCTTGGCTTGCAGAATACTGGTGTAATGCGTGGCGGAAGTAAAGAGTTCTGGTTCGTCCTTACTGCGGAAACTCTTTCGTGGTACAAGGACGACGAAGAAAAGGACAAGAAGTACATGGTCCAGTTAGCAGGTGACTATGGCTTATTTCCACCGGGCTAACTTTACTTTCAAGATAATCTCAAGCTCAGAAGTCAGGAAAGCCACAATATGTTCGGTGCTAAGTTCACTTTCTCCTTGTTCAACACTGAAAATCGAAACGTCTACAAAGACCACAGAACACTTGATTTGAGCGTACATAACGCAGAAGACTTAGAATCTTGGAAGGCGTCATTCTTACGAGCTGGGGTCTATCCAGAGGTAGTTGCGCTTTGAAAGTAGCAAGCTCACGTGAATTGTTCAGTATCAAGCTGAAAAGGAAGATGGCGCAGAGGAACAACAAGAGCAGAGAGTCTCAGCGGATCCACAGCTCGAGCGACAAGTCGAAACGATCAGGAACTTAGTCGAGAGCTATATGCTTATTGTGACGAAAACGCTCAAAGATATGACCCCGAAGATGATTATGGGTGTGATGATTAACCACACGAAAACATTTATTGCGGAAGAGCTCCTTGCAATGTAACTAACTCGAACATATACGGCGAGAAAACTCTTTTTAGGATTTATGCGCAATGTGACATAAACATGATCATGGAAGAGTCCGATTCGGAGGTGCAGAGACGGGATGATATGATCCGGATGTATAACTCACTGAAAGAGGGACTCAAGGTCATCGGAGATATTAACGTATCGACAGTATCTACCTCAGCGCCCCCGCCGGTTGACAATTCGTGGATCTCCGAGTCCTCCGCACCCAAGTCGTCTTCCGCTCCAATAAAACCAATGTCTAAGTCTAACCCAATACCCCCATCATCAAAAACGAACCCTCCACCTCGTCCAAGCCCAGCGGGTGCCGCATCCTCAATGTTGGGCCGTGCTCAGAATACTCTCAACGCCATGAATCAGATAAATTCTGGAATGAACCAGCTTGGCATCAAGCCTTCTCACGCTGCGCCAATGATTCCATCGCGACCCGGCGGAAATAGACCTCCTCCAGTCGTTCCAAAGCGTCCAGCAGGCAACAAACCACCCGTACAAAGTTAATTCCCTTTCATGTTCTAATTACAAATTTAGTCTATTCCTTCACGCCCAAATTTCTGAACACGACATGACCTTGGCTATTTTCTTCAGAAGTTTCCTATTCGAAGGCGCCAATATCCAAAAATCCTTCACTAGTCCACATTCAAGAAAAAAACTCTCGTTCTATAATAAATCTTGTGCAATGTTCTTTTATTCTTATAAAACTCGTTCAAAAACCTTTCCAAGCTACCTATGAAACAAAAAGTCCAAATAAAAGTTACTATTGTAATGAATAACACTGTCTCTGTAATTATATATTACTTCTTGTAACTATTTAATTGAGTAAGATGGTTATTACATTTCCGAGAGCCTTGTGAGCTGTAATCTGCTCAACTTCGTTCTGACGTCTCTCTTTGATTTACACTTTCAGCACTAAATAGACTTGAAGTAATTATGGTCACAAAATTATTAATTTCAAGCGTACTTACCCATTTTCTGTCTTGTCCGCTCTTATTATTCACTCGTTCATAAATAATCCTGTGCCATAAACCGAGAAAATAAATGAATTCTTTTCTCTCAATTCAGATGCCTCATGTTCCGAGTAAATTCGAAGTTATCCTCCTTGCCATGTCCGAGCAGTCCGATTTGCACAAGCTCATTCTGTCCGTTCAACCACTTGGTCGATCCCAATACCATTGACACTCAGGAGAGACTTTTTGAGTTGGACATAAAGACATCAGCTGCTGCGTTTGGCCTAAATTACTGTGGCATCCGCTACTAGTTGCCGCTCCGTTTCACTGCTACTAGTTGTCGCGTGGGTCGCATTTTTATCCTTCGCGCTCACCGCTAAAAGTTGCCGCTTAGGCCCCCGCCAAGGGGAATCTAGGGCGCATGACCCGCCGAGAAAGGGCAACTTTCGCTTGAGCGCTGAAGAGAAAGCGCCCATTTTCACTGCTACTAGTTGTCGCGAGGGTCGCATTTAGGCGGCAACTAGTAGCGGATGGCACAGTACTCTGAAAATATCCCTGACGAAATAGAAGATAGACCGAACCAAAAAGATCTTAATCAAATTGGCGCCGTCAAGCTAGAAGGACTGGAAGATCATCAAGGCTCGTACAGTGGTTTTCTCATCCAGCTCCGCCCAAACCTGGACCAACATATGTCCCCTTCGAGAATCTTTGCAATCCAGAAGGTGACCTCAAACCGTATCTTCCTGATCTCCAGAAAAAAGCTGCAGAAATACGCAAAACTCAGGTGCAACAGGTGAAGCAAGAAGTTCACGTGAAGCAAGAAGTGACGACACATACTTTTTCGCGGCGAGCTAGTCGAGAACTTCCGATTATTGTCTTAGACTCGCCACCACGTGCTCCAGCTCCTATCTCTATAAAAAACGAGCCTCAGGTAGGAGGTTATGAGGAATCTGACACCGGACCTCAGCAAAATGCTGATATAACCATCAATACGAAATGTCAATTCGAATTCGCAGCTTACAAATCGAAAGTGCAGGAAATGAGACGCCAAAAAGCAGAAGCTGAAGAAACGGAAAAGCTAAAGGCAGAAAAACAGAAAAAACCGGACAAACCAGAAAAGTCGAAGCCAAAAGAGGAGAGAGAAAAAGCAAAACATCTCGAGAGGGAAAAATCGAAGAAAACCGAGAAGGAAAAGAAACATGCGAAAGAAAAAAGCTCGAAAAAAACGCACAAAGAGAAAGAGGAAGGAAAAAATAAGAAAAAACGATCACGAGACGAGACGCCATCCACGTCTACAGACACTCCAAAAAGACGAAAGAGATCATCGACGATTGAGGAGTACGTTCCCGAGCCTGTCTCAAAAGAGCTTGTTCTTGATACGGGATATGTACCACATTGTAGTGGTGCACCAGTTACTGCGACAACTCCTATAAAAAGCATATTAAAAAAGAGCTCAGATAAAGAACGACTGCACAAGGTCTCGTCTGCTACTGAGTCATATCTCGAGAAGAAAAAGAAACAGCTCAAGCCAGACGCTGATTTTTCTAAGAAAAAAATTGCCTCTGCTGCATCCGATGAATCCGCGAAGGCGTTGCGTCCATCAATTCCAAAGCCGAAGCCTAGAGACATCAATCAGGATCTCTACAAACGACTAACCGAAGCTGAACCTATTCGAAAAACACCTACAACAAAAATGGGAACAGAGTACAACCCTGCTGAAAAGAATCCTCGAATCGCTCACGCTGTTTCGAATGTTGCTTTCAGATGCGTACCCATAAAAAATTGCAAAGTTCCTATGGCTCAACGACAAACCAATCTAGAACGTTTGCAAAAGGCATTGGTTGAGAAGGTTCAACCGGATAGACCTCCACACGGAGACATTCTCTCGAAGCAGGTTGCTCTTGAGATCGAAAGGGAGCTCGCTACGAAGGCTCAATCGAGAGGTGGCTTCAGCAACGCTATGAATGTAAAGATTTCCCAAGTCAGGAAGGCTAATTTTGGGGATCCCAGATTTCAGCCAAAACATGATCTGACGAAGGTTCAAGCAGTTTCGATGAATCAGGCTTTAGGTACTGTTTATTTCTAAACATAAAATCATCATCTGTTTAGCTTGTCCTAAACTATCCAAGAAAATCAAAATCAAACCGAAACATGAGCTCACGAAGTTATCTGGTGATAGGCTTTATAAGGCGATGTCAACGTACATACTCAGTAGGGACGATCAGTGGGATTATGGCTATCCCCGAGCAACGGAAACAAGTAAAAAAGTCGTGGTGGTAAAGCAATCCTACATGGACAAAATCAAAAAAATGACAACTGGTCACCCACAAAAGAGAAGATGCTGCCGTTGTCAAGCTGAGGTAATGAACAGCAACCCAATCCGAAATCATATAAAAAATTAGTTTGAAGTAGATGTGGCTGACGGAAGTGTTTCTGAAGGAGATTGCTACTACCACTCAGGGAAACTTTATCCGACAAGAACGAGTCATGAGTATAGTTGTTGCGGCGGCGGCACAAATTCTGATCCCTGTAAGTTTTCGGACAATCATGTGCATGAGGAAAATCGACTCGACTTAACTGGATACGACAGGCTCGCCTCTCTAAAGAAAGTCAATGCTGCCCATACAGATAGTCCTGATAGAAATCCTGCCGTGTTCGCACTCGACTGTGAGATGGTCTACACAGTAGTCGGCTTCGAGTTAGCCAGAGTAACGATTATCGGTAAGTAAAAGCATCATATCAACCATATAAATGTTCATATGTGAATTTTAGATGAAAAGATGGATATAATACTGAATCAGTTCTGTAAACCTGAGGGCGCGATCATTGATTATAATCAAAAGTATTCCGGCATCTCAGAAGCAGACCTTAGATCATGTACTGCTGATCTGAAAGAAGTACAGAAAAAGGTCCGTTATCATCTCTCGGAGGACGACATATTAGTTGGGCACAGTCTTGATTCCGACCTAAAAGCCTTGAAAGTAAGAAAGCTTCTCATTGAGTTTATGCTAACTTTTAATCAATAGTTGCATCACAAAAAGTGCGTTGATACGGCTGCTGTGTATCCCCATAAACGTGGCCTTCCCTACAAACGTGGTCTGAAAACACTGATGCGCGAAGAGTGTGGAAAGGTGATTCAGCAAGAAACAGAAGATGGGGCGTTCGGTCATGACTCATCGGTAAAAAAGTTTCTTTGTTCTTACTCTATTCAAAACTTAGGAAGACGCAAAAGCAGCGCTGGAACTAATGTTCAAGAAGTTAGAAGAAGATCAAAAAGCTGGAAAATTTAGCGACGACGACTGAACTCATCAATTTTGATCTGTACATAAAAAAGCATATTATTTGGGTGTGAGAAAACTGCAGTGCGATTTTGAGCGAAAATACTTCTAGTTAGCTCAAAATGGCTCCACTGATTTCCGCACTTATTTATGCCGCCACAAGGTTCCCTATTGTTCACTCACGATCTGTCGCATACGATTACGGATAAATCACTTAACTAACGAACCTTTATCGACCTGTTCTGAGTATACGCTCGGATTGCCACATCCTATCACTGCGAGCTCCTTCAATGAGCACTATTCGTACCTTATTTCTTTCACTTATCAGAATTTTTAAGATTATACTGCTGATTGGTCATGGCTGACCATCAAGCACGTAGTAATCAGTACAATTATCAAGCGAACAGTAATCTTGTCCTACAGGTAATTATTTAACTCGCCACGGTTTCAAATATTTTGCAGGTTGACCGACAACTGGTGGACAAACGAGGGCGAAATGAAGCGACCGGAGAAGTCAAATCCCTTACCGGGAGACTCGGCGGGACAAAAATGGGAGATCGAGCCATCCGGACGGGAAACAAAGAGAAGGAAGAATTAGAAGAGCGCAAGAAGAAAAAGTACAGGGAGGATGATAAGCAGAAAAAGAAGAAGGAAAGTCAAAAGGTAGCGCAAATTTATTACCGAATCGTCGCTAACTTTTATTTCAAGAGTGGATTTTCTATGTACGATCTCGTTGGAGTTAATTACAAGCCAACTACTCGTGAAACCCGAGAGACATATGAAGCTCTCCTCACTGCCATTCAAAATCAGCTAGGTGACCAACCTAGAGATGTTCTCATCGGGGCCACCGACGAGGTGCTCATGGAGCTCAAAAACGAGAAAACAAAAGACAGAGGTAAATCATCCGAAAGCATCAACTCAATTTTATTATCTTTACTAGAAAAGCGAAGTGAAATCGAAGCTATGTTGGGAAAACTGCCAGACACGACATATCATTTCTTGTGTAATTTGAGCAAGAAAATCTCTGATTACACTCAGCAAACTAATCAAACTGCCGGTGAAGATGTCGGCGACATTGACGAATACGGAGTCAATGTCGAGTTCGACGATTCTGGATCAGATGAAGAACAAGAGCGAAACTTTATTAGGGACTCTGAATCCGACTCAGAAGCTGAAGGTGTGGAAACATCGACGTCGCACTTTTTGTCAGCTGCAGATGGTGGCAAAGAAGGCGAAGACGACGGAGAGAGCGATCTATATTTGAATCCACGGGAGATCGATGCGTACTGGCTTCAGCGTAAACTCAACGACGTTTACAACGACTCGCACGAGTCGCAGAAGAAATGCGAGGAGGTTCTGGCTATTTTGGAAGCCTCGCCAGACAGACGACAAGCAGAAAACCAGTTTGTACTGTTGCTATCGATGGCGAACTTTAGCCTTATCCGACTGCTTTGCGAGCATTCAAAAATGATCCTTTGGTGCACCAAGCTATCTAGAGCGAACAAGGCCGACAAAAAAGAGATTGAAGCTCAAATGAAAGCCGACGCTCAGCTCAATAAGATCCTCAAGCAGTTGAATGACACTGACGACGGCTCAGCACCACGAAAAAAGCGAAAGCGTGAGCAGCAAGCTGCTTTCGCCGAAGCTCCGGATCCAGAAAGTCTTGTTGAGTCAGACTTGAAACCGAAAGAAGCACTTGATTTGGATGAATTGATCTTCGAAGGAAGCAGCCACTTCATGACAAACAAGAAGTGTAACCTCCCTTCAGGATCCACAAGACAGACAAAGAAGGGATACGAAGAGGTAGTTGTTCCTCCTCCACCGAAACCAGATGCATCTTCTGAAACGCTGGTAAAGATTGCAGACCTACCTAAATATACTCACCCAGCTTTCGAAAATTTCCAAAGTCTCAATCGAATCCAATCAAAGCTGAAAGAGCCTGCTCTTGAGTCAGATCAGAACCTTCTCGTCTGCGCGCCAACTGGTGCCGGTAAGACGAACGTCGCTCTCCTTACAATGATGAGAGAAATCGGAAAGCATATCAATTCGGATGGAACCATCAATGTTGATGATTTCAAAATGATCTACGTCGCGCCAATGCGTTCCTTAGTAACAGAGATGACTGGTTCCTTCAAGAAGCGCCTGCAGAAGTATGGAATCGAAGTCAACGAACTTACTGGTGATCATCAGCTGACTAAGGAGCAAATCATGCGCACTCAGTTGATTGTGTGTACGCCAGAAAAATGGGATATTATATGCCGTAAAGGTGGTGAGCGATCATACACTCAACTTGTGCGACTTGTCATCATTGACGAGATCCACTTGTTGCACGACGATCGTGGTCCCGTTCTCGAGGCCCTCGCTGGTCGAATTATGCGCTCTGTTGAAAGTCTTAACGACGATGTGCGAATCGTTGGTCTCTCTGCCACTCTCCCCAACTACATGGATGTAGCCGCTTTCTTGCGGGTCGATCCCGATGATGGTCTCTATTTCTTCGATAACTCTTACCGTCCTGTTCCTCTTTCTCAGCGATTTATTGGCGTTACGGAAAAGAAAGCACTCCGCAGATACCAACTCATGAACGAGCTCTGCTATGAAAAAGCTGTTGGCCACGCGGGACAGAAACAGGTCCTTATTTTCGTTCACTCGCGAAAAGAAACCGCGAAAACTGCAAAAGCAATTCGAGATCTTTGTATGGAGCGAGAAACTATCGGAGGATTCATCAAAGAAGGCTCTGCCTCTTCTGAGATCCTCAAATCAGAAGCTGAGCAAGTGAAAGACGCTAATCTCAAAGATCTTTTGCCATTTGGCTTCGCGATTCATCACGCTGGTTTGAACAGAGTTGACCGAAGTCTTGTTGAGGATTTGTATGCTGATAAGCATATCCAGGTTTTGGTCTCCACTTCGACTCTCGCTTGGGGTGTCAACCTTCCAGCTTATTGTGTCATCATCAAAGGAACACAGGTGTACTCTCCTGAAAAAGGAAAATGGATTGAGTTGTCAGCCTTGGATGTTTTGCAAATGTTGGGTCGTGCTGGTCGACCTCAGTATGATACAACTGGTGAAGGTATTCTTATAACAAATCACTCTGAACTCCGATACTACCTCTCGCTTATGAACGAGCAGCTCCCGATTGAGTCTCAGATGATTGCAAAGCTTCCCGATATCTTAAACGGCGAGATTGTTCTCGGCAATGTTCAGAATATCAACGATGCAGTGGAATGGATGGCTTACACATATCTTTTTGTGCGTATGCAGAAAAATCCAGAGCTATATGGACTCCAGGACAACTGGGAAGATACTGATCCTGATCTGAGGCAACGAAGAACTGACCTCGTTCATGCGGCTGCTGTCACTCTCGACAAACACCACCTGATCCGATACGATCGTCGCTCTGGAATTTTCCAGTCGACCGAGCTCGGTAGAATTGCCTCTCACTACTACATTTCTCATCAATCGATGTCAACTTACAATCAGCTCTTGAAGCCAACGATTTCTGAAATTGAGCTCTTCCGAGTGTTCTCTCTGTCGTCAGAGTTCCAGTTCTTGACCGTCCGCGACGAAGAAAAGCTTGAACTCCAGAAATTAATGGAGCGGGTTCCGATTCCTGTCAAAGAATCAATCGATGAGCCCTCAGCAAAAGTTAATGTTCTTCTGCAAGCCTACATCTCACAGCTAAAACTTGATGGGTTTGCTCTCATGTGCGACATGACACATGTGAACCAGTCAGCCGGTCGTCTCATGCGAGCAATTTACGAGATCGTGCTCTCTCGAGGCTGGGCTCAACTCGCAGAAAAATGTCTATCCATGTCAAAAATGGTTACTAAGCGAATGTGGCAGTCGATGTGCCCGCTGCGACAATTTAAGAAGTGTCCTCTTCAGATCATCACAAAGCTCGAGAAGAAATCCTTTCCTTGGGAGTCAATGTATGATCTGAGTGCTGCTGAGATCGGTGAGCTTGTTTCCGTTCCAAAGATGGGTAAGACTATCTACAAAATGGTCCATCAATTCCCCAAGCTGGAACTCACTGTCCACATCCAGCCAATCACTCGATCTTCTCTCCGCGTAGAACTCACCATCACTCCCGACTTCCAATGGGACGAAAAAATCCACGAGCACTCCCAGGGATTCTGGATTCTTGTGGAAGATGTTGACTCCGAGGTCATTCTACACAACGAATTCTTTTTGCTCAAGAAGCGATACAAAGACGACGCTCATGTCCTCAACTTCTTCGTCCCCATTTACGAACCTCTGCCACCTCAATACTTTATCCGAGTCATCTCTGACAAATGGCTCCAAGCTGAAACGCAGTTGCCCGTCTCTTTCCGGCATTTAATCCTACCAGAGAAACATGCCCCACCTAGCGAACTTCTCGATCTGCAGCCGCTCCCTATCTCGGCCGTACGAAATGAGCATTTTGAAGAATTCTTTGCTCAGAACTTCTCGCATTTCAACTCGGTCCAAACTCAGGTCTTCAACGCCATCTACGGCGCCGATGCGAATACTCTAGTAACTGCTCCTACAAGTGGAAAGACTGTTATCGCTGAGCTAGCCATTTTGCGACACCTTGCGAATGATGACAACCCGAGCATCGTTTACGTTCATCCAAATGAGAGTCAGTGCGAACACCTTTACAAGGACTGGTCCAAACGGTTCTCCAAGCTCGGTGTTAATGTCTCCCTTTTGTGCGGAGAAACAAATCCTGACCTCAAGGCTCTCGCGAAACGAGGCATTGTTATTTCGACTGTTGAGCGATGGGATGTGCTTTCTCGACGATGGAAGCAGCGAAAGGATGTCCAGGCTGTAAAAGTCTTCATTGTCGACGACATTCACCTCATAGGCGGAGACAAAGGCCCTGCTGTTGAAATCGTCTGTTCCAGAATGCGCTTCCTCTCCACCCAGATTGAAAAAGAACGTCCATTGCGAATCCTCGCTCTTGGCTCGTCTCTTGCCAATGCGAAAGAGCTGTCAAAATGGCTTGGTGTCCAGTCAAGCAACGTCTTCAATTTCCCTCCATCAGCTCGATCTGTGAAACTTGAGTTGCACATCCAAGGATTCATGATTTCTCACGCGCCTTCTCGCCTTCAATCAATGGTGAAGCCTGCATACGTCGCCATCTCAAGACATGCGAAGGTTTAGCTCACTTATCTAGTTGACATATTTATCATATTTTTCAGACTCGCCCAGTTATTATCTACGTTCCTTCGCGAAAGCAAACGAAACTTACCGCGATTGATCTTTTGGCGTATGCAGCCTCCGATAACAAAGCAACACGATTCCTTCACTGCGATGAGAATGATCTAACTGGTCTCCTAGAAGGCAACATTGAAGACGAAACGCTCGTCGAAACCTTGCGAAATGGTGTTGGTTATCTCCACGAAGGAAGCAGCTCAAAAGAAATTGATGTAGTTTCTCAGCTGTTTTCGAAGAATGCCGTTCAGGTCCTCGTTTTGCCTCACAGCATGACGTGGAAGCTAAATCTTCCAGCGCACACTGTGATCATCCAAGATACCCAATGGTACAACGGTCGAACTCACTCATACTCTGACTACGCCGTTACCGATGTTCTTCGAATGCTTGGACGAGCAGGTCGAATAGGCGAGGACGAAGAAGGAAAGGTAACACACCGTTATGAAAAAATTTATTCAACTTGTTTTAGTGCATAGTCCTGTGTCAATCTTCGAAAAAGGAATTCTTTAAAAATTCCTTTTCGAACCTCTTCCCGTCGAAAGCCATCTCGAGTGGGCGCTCCACGATCACTTCAACGCTGAAGTTGTTACCAAGACGATCGAAAACAAACAGGTATATGTTAATTGTTGATTTTTATCTACCAGTTTTTAAGGATGCAGTTGACTACCTGACGTGGACCTTCCTTTATCGCCGAATGACGCAGAACCCCAACTACTACAACCTACAGGTAAAAATTTTTATGAAATAGCTATTTTCAAAGTCGTATTAGGGAACGACTCATCGACATCTGTCCGACAACTTGTCAGAGCTCGTCGAGACAACCCTAGATGACCTGAAGCAGATCAAGTGCATCGCAATTGAAAATGAAGTGGATGTTTCGCCACTGAATATGGGAATGATCGGTGCCTATTATTATGTACAACATACTACCATCGAGTTGTTTTCGATGTCTCTGACCGAGAAGACAAAGACCAAAGGTAAAATGCTTGAATTTTAGATGATTTTCTATCGAGCATTTAGGTTTGATCGAGATCATCTCGAACGCTGCAGAGTTCCAAAACCTGCCGATGCGTCATCACGAAGATGATATCCTCCGACAACTGGTCCAGAAGGTCCCTTACAAACCGATTCAGCCAAAGCTGTCTGATCCTCATATCAAGGCTAATCTTCTGCTTCAAGTATAAATTATGCAATGTTTTGTTTGGTAATAATATATTAGGCTCATATGTCCCGTCTCGAGCTTCCCCCAGAGATTGCCCTTGACGTTCAAGAGATCCTGCCAATTGCGATTCGATTGATTTCGGCGTGTGTGGATGTTCTTGCTTCCAACGGCTGGCTGAATCCAGCACTCGCTGCGATGGAGCTCGCACAAAATCTTACCCAGGTACTAAAACACATTCAATCCCCTTTTATTGTTATTTTTCCAGGCCGTGTGGAACAAGGACTCTTACCTTCGACAGATTCCTCACTTCAGCGTTGAAATGGTCACCAAATGTCGTGGAAAAGATATCGACTCTGTTTTCGATATCATCGAGATGGAAAATGATGAAAGAGACAACCTTCTCAAGCTTGGAGACGCAGAGATGGCGAATGTTGCACGATTTTGCAACAGGTACGTTTCAAGTTGTTCGCAGCATCTTTATGATTGGTTCAGATATCCGAATATCGAGATGAACCATACTGTGGAAGACCCAGAAGATGCTGCTACTAACAGGCCGACGAATGTTCATATAACTCTTGAGCGAGAAGCCGATCTCGCGGGAGATGTTATTGGTAATTCATTTGGTTAATAAGCAAGTTTTAAAGATATAATGTAGCGCCATTTTACCCTGGAAAACGTGATGAAGGATGGTGGTGTGTCGTCGGGGATCCGAAGAGCAATCACTTGCTCGCGATCAAGCACATTACCCTCCAACAGAAAAAGAAAGTGACGCTGGAGGTTGTTCCCCAAAAGGTTAGCTCATTCTCTACGATCCATTACTGAGCATGTTATCAATTTAGGCTGGCGAGCAGACTTACCTCCTCTACCTTATGTGTGATGCGTACGCCGGATGTGATCAAGAATACGAGATCAAGTTGAATGTTGCCGAAGCCGAAGATTCAGATTCCGAGTCTGAATCTTCATCTGATGAAGATGAAAAGATGGAATCCTAGAGTGATCTTTTTGTTCTCTCTATCGAAAGTTACTGATAATTGTGTATAACTCTAACTCGATTGTTCGTCTTAGGATAATTTTCCGCCTAGACTCTTTACTGCCCTATTCCTTCGTTCTCTCAATATTGTCCCAAATGCCGAAAAAGCATCTATTCAAAATCAAACATTCAGAAAATGCGTATCGAAATAGGCAAGAAAGAGTCCGTCTTCAAGCCCGTGCCTTACAAGAAACTGGTGCCTTATCAACACCTGATCATTAAATTTGGCGAAACTGTATCTTTGAATAATCCTGTTGGACTGGGTATCTTTCTGGGGGGTTTAACTCTTGTTTGCTTCGCGATTCACATCTTGAACCCGCCTGTTATTTCTTCGCTTTCGCTTCTTGGGTAAGAATGAAATAGTTTTGACTTTATTAACACCGTTATTAGACTCTCTTACGTTTGGATCGAATGGGGATTTGGATTTTTCGCAAATGATGAGACGACAGTAGAGGATGAACGATTAAAAGAAATTTATCACAAATACGTATACGTATCGACTTACTTGTCAAAAATCTCGGTAATTTCATCTATAACTTATAGACTAAGCTATTATCAAGTCAACCATGTTTTCTTCAGGACACTATTTCAAAATACAAGAAGGATAGCGAACAAGTTTACCTTATTTTTGTTACACTTGCCTTGCTCGGTCTCATGTTCATCGCATCTTCGATCAACAACATTCTTCTTATTTGGGCAAGTTATTCATCAAGTTTTCCTATAATAAACTTCATTTTAGGCCTTTTCTGCATGCGGAATCACCTGTCTTGCTGCACTTTTAGATGGAGATGTCAAAATCCGCTAATTTCTAAGCTCTCTCTTTCTTTCCCAGAAATTTCCCTGCTCGTATGCCGTTTTTTGTTCATTTCCCACGATTATTTCTTCAATGTTCATTTATCAATTCTATTCCCATGTATTTTCTCGTCGTTTATTCCAGGTATTAGGTCATAATTTTAGAGAATAGAACTCGATAAATATGGGAAAGAGTTCGAAAAAGAAATCGAGTCGGAGACGATCGCCAAGCTCGTCCTCGTCATCTGATGATGGGCTGACGCAGCTAGAGCTGGAGAAAATGAAGCTTTTAGAAGAAAAAATCAGAGCAAAGAAAAATTTAAAAGAATGCGAAACACTTGAAGAGAAACGAAACCGCCGTCTTCAGGTAAACTTGAACTGATTAAGCATTTGTAGCTCTTATTTCAGAAAAAAATTAACAAGGAAAAGCGGCGGCAAGAGCGGCTTGGATGGGGGTCTTCTGTTTCTGGTTATACGAACGACGACAATCCTTTTGGAGATGAGAGACTCGTGGAAACATTTGTCTGGAAAAAGAAAATGGATAAAGAGGGGAACTCACATTTGACTGAAGTTGAGCAAAAGAAGCTCATTCAAAACCGACAAGCAATCAACTCAAAAGACCTCGAAAAGGTGAAAGAAGCCCGAATGGCGAGAGAGTATGAACGGCAAATTCGTGAAGCCGACCGAGCTCGAGAAGCTGCTCTCGGAGACAATGACATTGACGCGCAGCGATTCAAGCAGTGGAGTGAGCAAGAGGAAGAGTTCCATCTCCAGCAGGCAAGATTGCGGTCAGTTAATGATTCCTTATTTTATGTGATAAATTTCACTTTTTTGCAGTTCGAAAATTCGGATCAAAGATGGACGAGCAAATCCGATCGATCTCCTCGCGCGTTATTTGGAAGTTCTTCAAGGAAAAGAAGAAGTCCCCGAAACTGAGCTTCACGAGCCGTACATTTATACAAACGGACTCGAAACTGAACAGCTGGAAGATCTTATCGTTGATATAGAAGTCTACAGAAAAGTAGACAAGTCAGAAGTGGCTCAAACATTTTGGGACAATGTCACAACCGTCGCCAACGACCTAGTCAAAAGCCAAAAAGCATCCAGAAGCCATCGTTCCGAAATAAATCCTTCTGTAAAAGCGGACATACTCAAGATTTTCAAGTAAGTCCTTAAAATGTATTCTTTTTTTAAACACTCTTCTCAGGGGAAAGTCAGTTGCGAAACTAGATGAGTTAAAAGAAAAAGTGACTTTGAAAATTGAACAAGGACAAAAGACTGGTGCCGACATTAATTACTGGGAAGCTTTGATAAAAGAGCTTGCGGGATATCGAGCAAAGGTCTCACTCCAAGAACAACATAAACGTATGACGCGAAGTGTTCTTTATTTGTAACGAACTTCTTTATTTTAGAATTTATGAAAAGAGTAGACGCCGCGCAAATTGAACACGAAGCAGAGAAGGCAAAAAAGAAAGCCGAAAAAATGGAACCGGTTGTTTTTAAAGAGCCTAAATTTACAGCGCCGAAATACTCAAGGAAAGAAGAGAAGCCAAAGGAAGACATCAAAGAGGCTGGCATTATAATTGAGCAGAGGAGTTTGGAAGAAATCGAAGCTGAAAAGAAGCGCATTCAAATGGAGAAGCATTGTCAGGTAAGTTAATTATTCTTGAATCGGAGAAAACCAGAATACTTCAGGAAATGTATGAGGATAAATGCTACACTCCACCCTTGATTGATTTCGTGCCCGACACTGAAGAAATCATCAAAGCTTCGATAGAGATCCTAAGCCTCGAAGAAAAGCGGGAGCTGATTCGTAAAAATCCTGCAAAGATCAAGGCAGCTGCCAAGACAACGAATACTTCTGCCCTTGAAGACAAGTTCCTCCAAACTGCCAAGCAAGGTCTGGATTTGTTTCTATTACTGTTTGTAATTATTCTCTTTTATCTAGATATGGACCAGGATGAAGCTGAATTCTCTGTGGAAGCACAGCTAGAAAATACAGTCTACAAGTGGGCAGACAAATATAAGCCGCGCAAACCCAAGTTCTTTAATCGAGTTCACACTGGCTTCGAATGGAATAAGTACAACCAGATGCACTACGATTTCGATAACCCACCTCCGAAAATCGTTCAAGGATACAAGTTCAACATCTTTTATCCAGATTTGATCGACAAGAGCGTGTCTCCCGACTACGATCTTTTGAAGCTAGAAGGTAAGCTACTCCTCACAATAAGGGTAGTATTTATTTTATTTTGTAGAAGACCCAGAATTCTGTGTGCTTCGCGTGAAATCGGGCCCACCCTACGAAGACATCGCTTTCAAAATCGTGAATAGAGAATGGGACTTCGGCAATAAGAAAGGATTCCGATGCCAGTTCATGAATGGAATGTTCCAGCTGTGGTTTTATTACAAGCGCTACCGCTATAGAAGATAAACTCGCTCAATCACTGCCTGATTTTTTGCAATAAAAACTGCTCCACAAGATCCAACTTATGTTTATATTTTATTGAAATAGTGTATGAAAGTACGTTGGTAAAAATTGAAGTGGATTGCGAGAATCAGATCTCTTCGAGGTGCGGGAAGCGTGGTAAGCATGGTGCAGGGAGATGTTCAGCGTGAGGATTTGTGAAAATAGCTTCGTTGCCATCTAGTGCTCTTCGCACACTAAATTCCAAGTCAAAATTAACACTTTTTTCATAAAAAAATTTCGCGTTAGTAGTTTTATTTTCATGCATGTTACTTGATAAGTTCGATACTTTTATAATGTTCTATGCGAAGAAGCGTGAATATTAATGTCTTGTGAAAAGACTTTTGTTAGAAAGCGTTAGTAAAGCTCTTACGTTAGTTTTTGGTCCTCGGGGTGAATGCTGTCATGGAATTCTAAATTGTTGCGTTGAATACGGCCTACTTTCGGGCATCCACCAAATTTCACCTTATCCTTCGTTGGGACAACAATTTTAGCGCGCATTTCACCAGCGTATCCATATTTGGTCCGGGCTGGGGAGCCGATTGGAGTGTACTTTTCTGATATTTCCGGCCTTGTTCCATTTATCTAATGTAATTGGTAATACATACAAATCGGCAATTGCATACTTGTGTTGATGTGCGAAGAGGCTCACGACGAACGTCTGCTCTGTTTTTCTTCGATTTTCGGCCAATGCAGCATGTTTTTGCTAAATTCAAAAGATGAGAAAATGGAATTGGGTTTAATTGAACCTTTATATCGGTAATCATGTGCTGGGTGTCGCGTCTAGGTTTTCTTTCAGCGACTGGCGAAGAAATTGGAGATATTTTATCGAGAACATCGTTTATCGTCTCTTCGTGGTTCTCATCCTCCTCGCTTGGGCCTAGTAAAATCGTTGGAGGATCATATCGAGGCATCATTTGAACATTTGGTAATAGCCGATTCGCAGAGTTCATCCAGTCTCGTGGTGGAGACGCTACGAGCCGAGGATCGTCCTCTCTGCTGCCAGAATTTCGGCGGAAGCGTCTTTCTGGAGAACGTGAAACTCGTTTCACCGGAGTATGTCCGAGATCGACCGATTTTGACCGTCTTCTCGATCCCTTTGTTACACCTACAGCCGGACTCAAGGCCGCTTGGCCGGAGCCCACGCGTTTCCCCGTTTTTATAACGGTAACTTTCGTTTGTCCACTGAAGAAAGCACTCCAAGGAGAATTGGTATCTGTCACGGAATCAGGCTCGTTCATTCCTTCGTCGACTCCTGCTTCCTCAATCTTGCCCCAAAGTTTTAGATGCCGCCGATGCACCCTGATAGCCTCCATCCATGCAAGCATTTCGTCTTTGCTCGTGGCAGCGAAAACGGTCCTTCCATCAAAATCGCGCAGCTGAAACGAAAACTGTCTTTTTCGCGAGGACTCGGAGATTTTCAGCTGCGAAGTGACGTCAATCTGCACAAGATCGTTGCATTTCTTCTCTCCTTTAGTCGGATCGAATGCCCGTAGTTTCCCGTTTTTCAGGCGCACAAAGATGAACTTCCAAGAATTGTCGACGCCCTCGTTCCAAAGATGTAGGTAACCTTCTTTGAACACTTGACACAAGGTCGGAACCGCGCTTGCTAGGCGCAAAGTAATCTTGCCCGTAAAGCTTGGATATTTAGGTGCGTTTGGCAGGACGGTAAGAGTTGCCCAACTCGTTCTATTAGTAGCGTCTCTGCCACTCAGTTTGCACCTCGCCCAGTGAATGAATTTTGTTTCTGGGGAGAGCCCTTTCTTCTCCTTCTCGGGAAGCTCCATTCCGTACAAATCAACAACAAGCTCGAAATCTGGCGATACGTTTGAAAACGACAGCATATTCGTGATAACCACTTCTGTCGTCTCCTGAAAGCATTGAAAAGTTTTTTCTGCAAAAAACGTACCTTAGTAAAAATGTACAGCTCCGATTCCTTGACCTGATGACCGAGTCTTGCTACCGCATAAATCGCCTTCCGATAAGTTTTCTTTTTCTTTTCATGCATGACGAAAGGTACACGCATCGCGCTGAGCTCCAGTTCTGCACCGCATTCTGTATTTTCGAACTCTTGCCAGTGTCTTTCCAATGCCTGCACTTGAAGCCCGGCAGTCCACGCTAATAATTGAGTGAAAATCATATTTTTTTCATATCCGTTTTACCTTGTCTCATAGCATCCAATTGCTGGCTTTCTCTAGTTGCATTTTGCACAATTTTCGTTAGGCCAAGTCGCACTCTTTTCGCTTCAGCTATTCTCAGTCTTCTCTCGTAACTTGAGTCCATTCTTTTTTTCTCTTATTTTCCGAAAATATATTTTTCTGCAAATTTCGGTTTTCCGCGCGCTCGCGTCGTTTGAATTGGCGCCTGTTTAGATCGCATCGCAACGCCCCCGCTCGCTCGATTTCAAGCCTCGCGGACTGAAACCACCACTGAAATCATAAACGATTTCATCTATCGCCAAAGCCTAGTAATTGCGTGTAATTTTCTTAGAAATAACTTCAATTATGATTTCTCTGTAAAACTTATCAAATTCATCGCTAATCAATTAAATAATTTTAGAAATGTTTCGACAATGTAATCGGATAACAAGTACAAATACACTTGTTTCAACTCGACTCGTACAAATAAGCCCCTTGCGGGAGAAATTTCTCAAAAAATGGGTTCTTTTCAGAGGTAACTTTGACAGAAATGACTTATTTGCGATGCTGACGATTTCTTGCAGGGTTGACGATATCGCAAACGATCGAGTGGCGGCAAATGGTTGCAGAGTCAGATCGCGAAGGACTCATGAGACTGGAGAAATGTGCCCTTGAGCCAGGGATATTTCAAATTTTTAATCATCTTTTTATTCCTAAATAAAGCAGAAATAATCCGCTACAGAATCACCACACTAAATTCAAATTCGGAAATCTGTGGTTCACGATCATCTACAAAGGACTTTTCTTTCTTGTTACTGTGAGTCTCGCGACCGTTGCCTTTTTCTGCTGGTGGTCGTTCACGCTTGAATTCGACAGACGAGTTCAAGGTCTCGGTCATAATCTCATAAGGAAAATATTGATCGAAGCGGCACAGCACAACGCGATGGAAAGGAACGGCGCTTAATTGATGATAATTATTCTAGCGAAATTTTAATGGAAAGAAAAAGTGTGGATAGCGCTGGAACAGTCGAGAAGTTTTACCTTATGTTGCGAACTTGCCATCGACGATCGGAAGAGGTCAAAGAAACAACGTCTTCCTTTCGTGGCTTTTTGAGCTTCACAACAAGGAGATTTACAGTTTATTCAAATTCGACGAAGAGAACGGAACTGCCTACATAAAACTCGACGTCAACATGCCTTACAAAGATCAGAATGACGCGGCAGCGCAAAAGTGGAGAATAGAAACTGGCAGCTTATAGCCGAAGCGCGCGTCAAAGATTTCGACGGGGTCGGGCACTCATCCAAAGAAGCTGCTTTCAATTACCGCTACTGCGAAAAGCTGGACTCAATTGACAAAATTCGCTGGATCAACAAAAGCATAGAATATTTGGCGAACCCAGCAATAGCTGCTCTTCTTCTTTTAAACTGCTTGATGATGTTTTCTCCGGAAGTGATAGGAGCACCTAAAAGCCCGCTGAGAACGATTCGGCCGTCGAAAATTTACTCTTACTTTTTTTTATTCGCGCTTGGAACGTTGGCACTCAAGTCGAAGATTTTTCAAAGTATGCTTCTTTCGGACGAAGAGCTAGAGCAATGCGGCCTCCCGATGCGAAACAGGGACGATTCAATAGAGGACGACTTAAAACTCATCGAAAAAGCTCTCCACTCGGGCATTTTATCAAGGTGCGAGCAATTAATTGAGTTGCTTTGAAATGAAGTGTTCAGAATGGAGCAATGGCTATCAACGAGAATCTATGCACCAAGCGTGAGAACTTCTCAATTCGAATTTTTAAGCCGCCGCTCGGCGTGGGAGATCGAAACACTTCAACTTATGTTGCTAGACAAGAACGGAAAGCCTGAAAAAGCTGCTTGGTTAAAACATCCAAAGCTTCAATAACTAGTTGAGAGACTTTGAGAAGTCCATTTTAGCATGTTACGCGTGTGTACTCGACGGGTGCCTCTCAGTCGGTGTCTGGCTGTTAGTTCGACTCGGTTAAATTTCTTCGGTGGCTACAAAATCAAGTCCAGTCGAGACAGATTTGAAGCTGGTGGACGGATAGGCATTGAAACAATGGTGTATGAAGAAAAACACATTTTAGCGGAGCTTATTTCTTACTACAGTGAGCTTAGAACTTGATCGATCAAGTTCATTATCAGACATTTAGTCATCAAAGCTGCGAGCAATGAGGAACTAAGGAAGAATGCGGATTTGAGGATGGATTGGGTGACCACACTTGAACTCGTCCAGCTTCACGTCGAAATGTTCCGAGAACGGCTGCTTCAGCTTGATCTCGACGGTGAACGTATGTGGATTCATAGAGAAACTGGATTGATTGATTGAATTTAGTGTTGATGGATCAAATCTCAAGACGTGTTGTACTCAACATGGAACAGCGGAAGAAAGATTTCGAAGCAGCGACAAAAGTTCTCATTCCGACTAAAGATGCTCTCTCGATTATATCTACTCGTGGACACATTTATGAACGCAACATCGCCTACACAAAAGGTTGTTTTCTTTCGCCCTAAAAATTAATATAGATTTGTGATTAAGGTTTTCTTGGATCGGACATGGAACTGGCCGAATCCTTATGGACCTATCTAGCGCATCAAGAAGAATTTCAAATCGAAGACGATGAGAGCCAAGATGCGCTTATAATAGACAGATACTTTAATCCGGAAGGAATAGAGTATCTGGTTCACTATGTTCGCAAAAACTTAAAGCTCATGGACGAGAAGACTTTCATGGACTTCAAGCTCGCTGCAAATCTGGTGGATACTGATGATGAAAAATTTGTTGCGATCCAAAGGCATTTTAGAGGTATTTCATGCAAAAGCGATGACAGGCTTATGACTTGATTCAGAATATGTGTTCAACTTTGTTCTTCCGGAAGAAGATCCACTTGTTACCAACAGAGAACAGCTAGAAACTGCTCTCGAATTCGATTATGGTCGTAAACAAGACATGTCATTCTTTGAGCGGATTGGCCTCAGCGGCTCAAGCAAAGAAGCAGCCCTAGAAAAAGAAGTCAACATTTTAAATATTCAGCGAGACGAACTGGAATTATACTTGGAAGATAAAGACCGGCTGAATCTATTCGATCAGACGGGAAAAGAGTGGAAGCGAAAGTCTGGCAGAATATGGAAGGTTTAATTTTGTCCAATTAATTCTTTTCCTCTTTGTTCATGACTGCACCGTCATCATTCTGATTAATTTTACCTGTCTGTTTTTAAGATTGTGTCGATGGAAAATAAAGATCTGCCAACTCTGTTTGTTGACATTCTTCAATGCTGGCGGAGGATTGGCACTGATTCTAAGAGCATCGACTTTAAGGAAATGATAGACGTCACGATGGAGGCAAATGACAGGATAGAGTCTCTCGCGCTCTTTTCATGCAATGAAGAGATCGAAGAAGTATCAACCAAAAGCCTAAAGTATATGCTCGTGAAGTTTTTCGAGGTATGTAGCGCCACAAGCAAAAGCCTAGAAATGATGAAGTTTAGGCGGAGTTTCGTTTAAAGCCCCACGAGTCGGATCCGCAGTTGGAGACGCTTAAATCTATCATGGGATGCCTTCTATCTTACTTGAAGACATTAAACGACTATGGTCTTGCATATCCAAAGAAGTCGTATCCAGATATGAGAACACAAAAGGTTGAAATGTTCAAAAGAAAGAAGGAAATCACTGAATCGATGAAAACGCATGAGTACTGTCTAGAAGATGAATCCGCCGATGAGGAAATTGAAAGAAAATATTGGATGAGCTTCATCTCATTCGCAGAGCTCATTTCTAACGAACATATGTCCATGTTGAAAAGGGAACTAGAAATGCTCAAAATGAGGCTAGATTTATAAATATTTGACGAATAGTTATTATACTCGAAGTAAAATGTACGCTAATATGTACTTTTGATATAAATCGCACCCAGAGAGGCAGGAGTAAGACCAGAGCAACCTCGACCTCGTCCTCCTACTCAGGTAGGCGACGATTTTCACTTCCAGCTTGTAAACTTGTCAAGCCCTTCATGATTGCTAAAAATGAAGAAATGAAAAGAGTTTTTGGCCTTGGATATCCTTCTCGACCGGTATATACTGTCGAGGAATTCGGCGAAAGGCAGGCCCAGCTTATGCGCCAACAAGAAAAGGTAGGGGTCCTTCATCTAATTTTTATATTGCCTATCACACTAGGAAAAGGCGAGACAAATAGCGGCTAATCCTCCTCGTGATGAGCATCGTGAGTTAACGTGGGCTGAAGAAGACAAGCAGCGCAGAAAAGATCAGATGTGGGACGAGCACAAAGATACGACGAGGCGTGGAGACGGAAATCGGAAAAATATGGGTTGATGATTTCTGTTCCTGTCTTGTTTCTTCCTTTCCTGCACTCACCTTGTAATTCTACCCAGATTTTCATATTTTACTGTCCTTTCAAAAAATCATTCTCTCGAAAAAATTTATTAATAATAATCACCTTTAGATGAACCGGCCCTTACTAAGTTCACTGGTTTCGACAAAAGATCTCGGAAGAGCGGTTAAATCTATTAAATCCAAAGACATCCGAAGTTTGATAGATGTTTATGTGGATGTCGAACCGCTTGGTCTAATATTGCGGCCAATTATATGCAGATTATTGTTCGATAATAACAATAATTCAGTGTCAATCAGGTCAGCATAATTAATCCAAGTTATTTCTTGACAATTTTTTTAAGTGATTTGAAGAGGTTTCGTCCATGCCGATCTCAAAAAGATTTATCCGTTGGACTGATAGATAGTCTTATCGATTTCAATTTATCAGAAGTATGGGAGGATATCATTTCATGGTCGCGCAGCAGGAAGCCGTCAGGGAGAGAAGCCTCAATGGCTGGTTTTGGAATAGATCTTGCTAGTACTGTCCGTTGCTTCTATTCGAGTCTTCTCTCGCCGTCTTTCATGGATCGCCTTTTTGAAGATGTGGCAAATCATCCCCTCTTAGTCACTTTATTACTGACGGTTACTGACAAATTTACGAAGATTCTCAGCTATGAACAGATCATATGTGCTCTTCACAAGCTTCCTTACAGTCAGTTTTTTATCGAGGCTCTGATCATTGGAAAATCACAATTGATGAGGCCAGCGATTAAGTCGATCATTCTTTCTAAGAAAATGGACTCTGCGACAATGTTCTCTTACCTGAATGGAATCGTCAAAATTTACTCTTCGGCAAACGAATTCATCCAAAGCTGCTGCCTTAAATACCGAATACACTTGTGGATAAACATTTCCTTCTTATGCGACATGGAACATGCAGACTTCCTCGACACTATTCATACGGAACTGTTTTACAGAAAAGATATTTTGACCTGGCTGATGACTCAATTCACGAGTAGACTCTTGCTTAACGAGACAGTGATTTTAAAGCTGAGGAAAAAAATCATGTCAATCGTGGAATTGTTGATATCGATTTACGGGGACCCAGACGAAGCGACAAACCCCTCTGCTGAAGACTATAGATTTGGCTGCGCTACACTCTTCGTCATTTGTGTTATGAAAACCTCATTAAACATGAAATTCCCCCTTGACGAATCCTCGAGGATGATGACTTTATTTGAATGTATTTTGAAAAATGATCTGAATGAGGGGTCCATTCAGTTCTTTATGATGGCAATCTCAATGGCAGTGTGCTATGGGGACTTCTCATCAGGGAACGCAAAGAACGAAACCAGCATGCTATGTAGACTGACAAGATGGCTGAGTGGACTCATTTCGAGATGTACAGGCGACGGCGAAGATTTAGCGGCGCAAACTGAACTGGCCCGATTAAAAGAGTATCTTCTGATTTGCGGCATTCACTTCATCTACGAAGAGAAGGATGAAATCGAGGAAGTTATTAGGACAACGATCGAGTATCGTCCGATGCGCATCAAATCGCTGACGACGCACCGACTCAAACAAGTCTTTACACAGTCTATCTACAAAAGCACCTCCCTTTCTGAACTTGCGATTTCAGTCTCTCCTACAAGAAATCTAAACTCAAAAATGAACGAAATGGTACCGCTGCACGGGGTTCTGCATCTTCTTAAAGGGCGTCAGTTCACTGCTCACGGCATCCAAAATGTCGCTACATGGATATTTAATCAAATTTGCCAATGCTCACTTCCTCTTCACCCACATGTTCCTACAGTTATCAAAGCTCTCATACGTGCAAATATTCCCAAGACAAAGAAGGATTTTGCCAATCTTCAAAGCCCGATTTCAGCGGATCTTATTGTCGAAACCTGTTTGGATCCTTCTGTGCCTATCCTCGGAAAGACACTTCTAGGTTAGTCGGACATTACTGCAAAACCAAAGTAAACTTTATTAGCTTACTACCTCACGTTTCTCGCCGTCGCGCTGTCAAGGAGAGCAGACTTCCTTTATCGAAATTATCAAACGGCGGGTAAGTTTAATGTCAAATTTCCAGCAGCAGCTTTACGAAGAATTCCACTGAAACGTTTTCTCGCCTTTGCCGAGAGGACGCCAAGCCTCGCGAGTTCTGTTTATCCGCGGTTTCTATCATCGATCTCTGTAGTTGCACCAGAACTACTGATATTCGACAAGCCAGACAAAGGACTGCCATCAGAAATAGAAAGATATTCTGGTGACGAGCTTGAGACTCTATCCACAAAGTACTCAAAGCAACTGCGCAAATTGGATTACAAAAGGTGAGTCTGCCAAACGAAACCTCTTCTCATGTCTTCTAGGCTAAGAGGAACAATGACAAAGCTAGAAAATCTTGGAGATGATGATTTGGAGACGTTTTGGCTGATGACACGTCCATTAGCGAGTTTACCAGAAGACTCGAAAAACTTACCCCGATGGTTCATGCTTTCGATGAGGAAACTTTGGTTCAGGCTACAGCGACATATTCCCCGACAGCTCTGGGTCGAGACTTTGCAAGATCTAGCAAAATCGAGCGATGATAAATACTCTTTCGATGATTATATTGAGAATCCGACGCTTGGTAATTTTGCTTTCAACTAGCAATCTCTCATAGTTTCCTTAGCTTTTCAGTGTATCAACATGGTGATAAGAAACCCGATTCTTGTGGAGATCTTTCTTGGATGTTTGCGCGGTTTTGTAAATACTCAAAAAACATTCTACCAGCAAACACTTATTACGGATTTCCGTTTACGAGGTTCTCAGGAGAGAAGTCATGTTGAGCTGATGGAGTCGAAACGAGTCAAAACCAATATCTTGTTGACAACAAAAGTCGCTGTTCTCCAAGTACTTATCGAGATGACTCTACCGTCATCTGAAGACGATCGCAGCGTTACTGGGTAAGTTCGCCATTACAAGTCTCTTCCTTGATTTCAAAATTATATCTTTTTAATTCCAAGTTTTATTGAATATACAATTAGGGAACTGAGGCTCCGTGAAATTCAATGTGAAATATGCTTTTTTATACACCAGTTGTTTATCGACGATCATGTGTTCCACGGACAGCCAGTGCTGTGCAAATTGCTTCATTTCCAAGGATACTCTCCGGACGCTATCTCTTGTCTCGTTCACGGTGTTCCCTCGATGCATATATGCGTTTCATTTGTTCCTGAGCTGCTCAAATATACCAATCTGGAGCTGAGATCGTTTGCAATACAACTACTCTCGCATCTTGTTTATCACTACCCGATTCCTCGCACATTCGAGTTATCGAAGATCGCGATTCGCGTCGCTTTTACGCTGCTTGAAGGTAGATCTACTTCTTGTTTCTGTGATGAAATATAGTTTAGGTTTGACTCATGACGAATTGATAAGCTTCTTCACTGGAGTCCTGCCTGCACTTGCTAGAATATCACATGTTTACTCACCCTTCAATAACTATGTTATTGATCTTCTTGTACGTCTCAGAAAGATATGTCTCTTCTGTATGTCCCAAAACAAGAATGACATACGCTTGGTGAAGGATTATGGCCGACTGGATAATATGGTTGAAGAATGCTTCGACGATATTCTTAGTGGCCACAGACAGATGAATAAAACCGTTGAAGACTGTTCACTTTAACTCAACTGATACTGCCATTGAAATAAATTTTATTCTTATATCACTGTTTATTGTACTAAATATATTATTTCGAGAATGAGTACGATATCTTGTCTAACTCGGAGACGAGTTATCACTATAAAGCGATTTCACACTCATGGGGCTGCAGTCATTGGCAATATTGATGGCCTGGATCGAGTTGAACTCACAACCGGTCAACTGATGAAAAAAGTAAAGCCATTTATTTGGCCAAGTGCGCAGGTTCCCGAATCATCGAGGTAACCAATAAGGCTTGTTTATTATCTTATCAAAGTTAAGAATAAAACTCACTGTCATGAAAACTGGAGCCTTGATTTTTGGAGCGAAGGGGCTCAGCCTGGCAATCCCCATCTTCTGGAAAGATTTAGTCAATACTTTAACAGGTTTGTCAGTATTTGAGGTAGCAATATCTTACTTTGGTTAAAGCTATCGAGAGTGGAGCTCTGCCATCGCTAGAAAATGCCGCTGTTATTGCCGCTCCGTTCGCTACGTACGCAGCGGTGAGCTTACTCGAGCCCACTATCGACCAGTACAAATCGTACACATTCGCAACAGTAAAGCAAAGCACCACTAGAAAAATAGGCCGCGGACTCGTCGAAAAGCTCTTCTCTCTTGATCATCGGTTTCATACGAATCGGGAGACGGGTGCGCTTCTGAAGGTTATTATCTTTTCAAGTTTCCAGCTTTCAATATTTTTAATTAAGGCTGTTGACAGGGGGAATCGGGCAATATCCACCGTTCTCCATGCCACCTGTATTGTATTTACACCCGCAATGTTTCAAGTCATGTGTACTGGTGCTTTTATTTGGTATTTCTGTGGTCCTCTCTACGCTACCTCTCTCCTCGTCTCTTCTGGAATCTATTCCGCCTTTTCCATAAAATTCACTCAGGTTTAATTTTTCCAAAATCAATTGTATAAATTTTCTTTTTTTTTTCTAGTATAGAACGCCCTTCCGAATAGCCATGAACAAAGCCGACATGGATGCTGGTAACTTAGCCACGGACTCTCTTCTCAACTATGAAACCGTCAAATATTTTGCAAATGAAAAATATGAAGCAACTCGCTATGATGGCAAGTTAGCTAATTTCGAACGCGCGGCTCTTAAAACTGACCGAACTCTCGCACTTTTGAATATGGGGCAGCAAGCAATTTTGGGCTCGTGCTTGCTTTTCAACTTGGGAATGGCCTCTGGGATCCTCGACTTTGGACAGGTTGAGCGTTCTCCGTACTGTACTCAGCTAATTCTTTGTTAGGCTTCTATCGCTGCAGGAACACTGACTCTTGGAGAGTTTGTGATGATTGCCAGTTATTTCCAACAGATTCAAAGACCGCTCAGTTTCTTGGGATCCACCTACAGAGACTTAATTCAAGCACGAACAGATTTTGAAACGATGTGGCGATTGATGGAAGAAAAACCAGAGTTAGAAGAAGGAACAAAGACACCGCCTATGGATAAAGACCTAGAAGTACGATTCAACAATGTCAAGTTTGCATATGCCGACGGAAACTCGATCCTCAAAGGCGTAGACTTTCGTATCCGCCCCGGTGAACGGGTCGCTATTGTGGGCGGCTCAGGGTCGGGGAAATCTACACTAGCGAAGCTACTGTTCAGGTTTTATGACCCAAAAGAAGGCTCTGTTCAGCTAAATGGGGAGGACATTCGTAACTTCAATCTTAAATCTTTCCGCGAAAAAATTGGAGTCGTCCCACAAGATTGCGGTGAGTTTCATTTTCATAAAGCAACAAACGATTTTGTTCGTTTAGTTTTGTTCAACGACACCATTTACAACAACATTCGATATGGAGACTTGAATGCTACTGAAGATCAAATCATCGAAGCTGCTGAAGTGGCAGATTTGCACAGATCAGTGGAGGAAATGAAGAACGGCTACCAAACTATCGTCGGTGAACGAGGAGTGAAGCTGTCGGGCGGCGAGAAACAGCGTCTAGCAATTGCTCGGTGTTTCCTCAAGGACCCAGAAATCGTTATTTATGATGAAGCTACAAGCTCGCTCGACTCGCTCACTGAACAGGTAAATATCAAAAGCTTCTTTTCTAATTTTAAAACAGCGTATCCTCGATTCCCTCGATAATGCGACGAAGAACAAATCCCTGCTCGTCATCGCTCACAGGCTTTCGACAATTGTTAACAGCGACAAAATCATTGTGCTCAAAGACGGTGAAGTTGCAGAGATGGGTAGCCACACGGAGCTATTGGCATTAAATAATCATTATCGAAAGATGTGGGACATTCAGTCCAATGAAAAAGATACCAAAAAGAAAGAATCGGAGGTACAGTATTTATGTCTTCATACGGTAGAGTTAAATGTATAATTAGGATGGAGCGGCTGCTCGTCGAAGAAAAAGCATTGAAATGATAATGGAGCCAAAGACGTGCTGCGGGGGAAAGTGTTGAAATTTTTCTCTCTCTCTCGCTTTAGCTTCTGAGAATGATGCGCTTCGAAAAACACTGCCATATCAAGCGACGGACCTGACTGCGGTTTAACAACCGTATTACATTAGATTTCAGCGGCTATGCGATTATAGTCATCGCTTAAAGTTCGACATTTGAACTTTTAACTTAATTTTATTAATATAGATTCCTAATCATTAGTACAAACTGTGCTACTTTCCTACGTGATTTTTAAGAAAAGGGGATCATTTAACCTCGCTCAAATCGAATAAACGAAAAACTAAACTGAGCTCCAAATAATTTCCTGTTTAGCTGATATGAATATTTATATTAACAAGTGATGATGCTGATGAGAGATCTATTCAGTAGTAAAATATCATATATTTACTCAGACATATCTATTTATATAAAAAAGTTAATTTCAACACCTCAACGCAGACACAGCCACGACTAGCTAAACAACGGGTAAACATCACTAACAAGCGTGGTCTGAAGTTGTTAACTATTAACATATTCAGAATATGATATTCTTCATTAAATCTAAATTGGCTCGACAGTCATCCATATTATTTTCAGAATGAAATTAACTAGTGCTCGTGCGTTTCGAGCTCTGGTAACATCCGCTAAAAAGACTCCCGCTTCTGTTCAAAGCCTTACTGTAGCTGACTTGCCAGAGGTCTCTAAAGTTCGAGGCGAAAAAGGGCCTTGCAGTGTCCACGTTAAGGTGAAATACTCAAACGTCAATTACAAAGGTACTTGAAGAGCCCGTTGAAAGTATAAAGAACTTTTAAGATGCTCTTGTCGCTCAAGGTCTTTATGCTGGTCTCCCATTTCCAATGGTTGGCGGCATTGATCTGACAGGAACTGTTATGTCAGACACTTCCGGACAGTTTAAAGAAGGCGACGAAATCCTTGTGAACGGCTTTGGGATAGGCACTGATCATTTTGGCGGTTATGCGGAAGAAGCAAGAGTCCGACCAGAGTGGTGTCAAAGGCTGCCTGAGGGAATGAGCCATTTGACAGCTGCAAGAATAGGCACTGCTGGGTACACAAGTGCGCTTTGCGTTGAGGCTATTCGAGATTCCGTGAAACCATCAGATGGGCCTATCGCCGTCTCTGGTGCTACTGGGGGCGTTGGCTCCGTCTCCATTTCATTGCTTAGCAATCTTGGCTACGAAGTCCACGCAATAAGCGGAAAAGCTGATCGAGATAGCGAATTCCTTACTTCGTTAGGAGCGAGTAGTGTCCTCGAACGATCAGATTTTGAAGGCAAACCTCGTCCTCTCGCAAAGGAGAGGTTCGCCGGTGCCGTCGATGCTTGCGGGTCAAACGTTCTTGCAAATATTTTGTCGATGACGAAGAAATATGGCACTGTTTCGGCCTGTGGCCTTGCTGCAGGATTAGATCTCCCGACGAGCGTAGGAATGCGTCACCAATTTTTTATTTACATGTTTTTATTTGTCGATAGTAAGTGACTCCATGAAGCACCCTTTATTCTCCGTGGAATCACTTTAAATGGTGTCGAATGTGTTTACCTTCCAATCTCGAAAAGAGAATCTGCATACGAACTATTGTCCAACGCCTGCCCAGAGAGTGCTCTCGACTTGATCGGCCGAAATCCGATCATTTCTTTGGAAGAGGTTCCCGACGTCGCAAAAGCGATGCTTTCCGGCAACATCACGGGACGATATGTAGTTGATCCATCAGCCTAAATTCATATTTATTCTGTTCTCTCAAAAACATTAGTGTAATTCTGCTTCAGAATTTGAAGATTATCTATTTTAGTATGGATTCTTACGTAGCTGCACTTGAAGCCAAGCTTGCCGAAGCAACTGGCATCAAAATCAACCAGGCATGTCATACTTAGATCAATTATTTCTTATTATTGTTGAAGATGGCCAATGCTGCTTCCGAAGGCGCTGCTATCTCTGAGCAGACCGACTTTATCAAGAACATCGTTATCAGCGATGGTAAAGCGCAAGCCGGAATCCGAAACCCTCTGATCGCCAAGGTCCTCGGCTCGATCAAGGCAGAAACAGGCCAAGATCTAAAGTACGAGCTGCCAAAGCTTGGCTATGAATACGGTCAACTCGAGCCAACTATCTGCGAAGAGATCATGCGAATCCATCACTCAAAGGTTGAGATTCTGAAGTGATTTCGTGTTAATTTAATTTTCAGCACCACAATGGTTACGTTACTAACCTCAACGCCGCTGTCGAAAAGCTTGCTGCTGCTGAACGCGCTGGGGACGTCAACGCGATGAACCAGCGTAAGATCAGAGTATTTATTTAAATATATCAGTTTGATTTAGTTTCTGAGGCTATCAACTTCAATGGCGGAGGACATATTAACCACACTATCTTCTGGACTAACATGGCTCCTAATGGCGGTGGCCTCCCAACTGGCGAGCTCGCCGACCAGATCAATACTGACTTCGGTTCGTTTGAAGCTTTCAAGAAAGAAATGTGCGCCAAGTCAGCTGCTGTCAAAGGTATTAAGATTTTTATTTCTCTTGAAATAAAGATAAATTGTAGGATCTGGCTGGGGATGGCTCGGCTGGAATAAGACTGCTTCCAAATTGCAGGTCGCTACCTGCCAGAACCAAGACCCACTCGAGGCTACGACTGGATTAATTCCTCTTCTCGGCATCGACGTTTGGGAGCACGCCTACTACATCCAGTACAAAAATCTCCGTGCTCAGTACGTTGAGAAGATCTTCGATGTCTTCAACTGGAACAACGTCGCTGAGCGATTTGCTAAAGCCAAAAAGTAATTGCCCTGTACCTGACATACACTGATGCAAAAGCCATGTGATTGAATGTGATTACGAATCAGACTAGGAAAATTTAACTTCACCCTGATTATCCATGAATAAGTTCAATAAACGAGTTTAAACGTAAAAGTTACAATGTACTATCGAGTGAGTTTCACAATTTATTCGAAAGCAGAAATGCATCGTGTTGAAAAACAGGTTGTTGATAGGCGTATTGGGCAGAAGTCTAAATAAAAATTCAAATTGAAAGTGGCCATTATGAGTTTACCATTTGAGAAAAGTTAGTAGCGTACTGAGGATCGTTTTGGCAATGGATATTCCAGCTCGGGTAATGGCAAAAATGGTATAGCTCAGGGGTCATGTGAGGCAGCGGTAACGGGGGTGGAGATGTAAACTGACTTGCACCAAGAAAAGCATATTCATTTATGGGATTCTCTGTTGACTCGCCATATCCAGAGTCTTGATCACTTATCGGTCGGGTCTTCGGGATCATGACATTCGGGTTCGACACCAACCTCTGGTTTCGTAAATTCATTGCCTTTTCCTGCGAAATTCGATTTAAATCTTAGCGAACTCTGTGATTTACCTTTAATGCATCCGCTTTTTTGAATCGGCGTCGTCTTCGTAAGTAACTCCCATTTTCGAACATATTGAAAGCATCCGGATCCAATGTCCAGTAACTGCCCTTCCCTCTTTTTTTATCGATTCTAGCTTCTTTGATGAAGCACTCGTTCAAACTCAGGTTGTGTCTGAATGAAAACTCAAGTTTAAACGTCGACAAGTTGATCAAAGTTACCTTATAGAGTTTTGCCAACCTTGCTTCGTGTCTCGGTAGTAAGGAAATTTCTCCGAGATGAATTTGTATATTCCGCTCAGGGTGATCCGTTTATCTTTCTTGCTATCAAAAAAAGTTTTAAATATGCAAGCTAAAATTCCCTGTTATTCACAGTACCTGTTAATCGCCATGGAAATCAGGGCAATATACGAGTAGGGAGGTTTCACTGTGTCGTTTGTCGAAGTTCTCATGGAATTTGCTGCCCTAACGCTCATTGTTGTTTCTCTAATAACGGCGAAGATTTGTTAGTCCCCTTCGCTAATTCGTGAAAGTGGTGGCGCCGCCTGCATATTCGGGGCGCCACCGGATTCTACACCCGATTAACAGAAGGTCCAAACATCAAAAGAGCCGCCGATTGATTTGGTCTTTTCAGTTAACGCGGTCAATACTGATCTCTAGAAAGGCAAAATTAGCTAATTATATATATACCGGATACTTTATAAGACTTGGAGTCTAAGTGGAATCTTTGGATTTTTCGGAAATCTTTTCGGGTTTCCTTATTTGTTCAAGGGAAAGAAAATCGTTACCGATTACGAATCCTTGTTAAAAATAGAGTTTTATAGAGTGCAAAACAAAGGCATTTTTGCCCTTGATTGAAGCAAGAAATTAATTTTTCCTAGAATAATTTGACTTTAAATTGATTATTCGAATCCTTTCTATTTTATTTCTATTTTATTTTTTTCTTTTATCTTAATCGAAGAGTTGTGGTACAATTTGAATGTTTTCTTGGCGATAAGTTTTCGGCGATAACTTTATCGTGTCTACTGATAACAAAAGGTAACACAATCTTAATAAAGTAAGGAAAACGCTCTACTGCGTCTCCAGAACACTGGAAACTTGGTCGATTGAATTTCGGAAGCGCTTAATTTATCCAGTCGAATGAGGTAGGGTATAAAATTGCTGGGGTAATTGCTTTAGTGGTGTACTCGCAGATGGAAGTGTTAACACGCGGATGCTGATCAAAAAAACATAGAATGATTTGTTCGAGGATTTTTGGATTATTACTGACTGAAATCGAAACAATCGCCGCTTAAACAGATTCCGCGACATATCACTTTAGCACTTGGGGGCCTTTGATATGTCGGTACTCAGCGCTAGGATTTACGCGCGGGCTAATAGAACTTCTGCTAATAACAGTCTTCAAGACAATGTCTGTCTTTTGCCAGTAGTAAGAAGCTCTTTTGATTAGAATCAAGTTGATGAAGACGTTTTATCGGAGTTAATTGTGATCGTCGGTTTATTTTAGCAAGTTTTTTCAAGTTTTTCAAAAGCAGGTAGCAGTTAAACTAGTGATAGTAATTTTTGACAGGCTTTAAAACTATTCGTATAATCGTCGGACCTCATGCAAGTAGTATTGATTGTCACAATCCTTGACCCAATTCATGGGACAGAATGGATAATCATCCTGTTCGCAGGCGTCCTCTTCAAAACATTTCAGGCAAGCGACATGGCCGCACGTCGGCAAGAATGACTTTCGGCGATCTGTCTCATTATAATTCTCGCCGCAAGCTTTGCAATATTCGAAGTCTTTCCTGTTCTCTAAATGATCGATGACATAGGGATCAGAAACTTATATACCTTTTGCTTCAACATCTTCATCGAGAGAGAGCTTGGTGGCGACTGAATGATATTGATATGAAAGTTGTTTGAGTCGCTTGAGGACATCATTCTTTACATTCTCGTTTTTGATCAACTGTCTCTTTGAGGCTTCATGATTTTGGTTCATTCTCTCGAGATGCTTCTTCTTCCCTTCAAGAATTTTTTTGTCTTCTTCGACTTTCTTCATCTTTTCTTCCAAGGCCTCTTGGTCTCGTTGTATCTCGTCTTCTATGCCCTTCATCTGGCATTTCGTACTCTCGAAAAAGTTCTTGCTGCAATGGACATTTTCGAACTCAATTCGATAGAAGTGATGAACAACTTTTAGTTGTTTTTCTTGGGCTATAAAGAACTTGCAAGTTTGGTGTATGAAAAAATAGAAATACCTTTTTTATTTTCAACAAACACTTTTGAAGCTGGCTCGCAACATGTTCCCAAGTAAAAAACATCGATAGAAACCATCTTTGAGTTACAGCTTCCTTCTTTGCCGTAGGCTGGGCATTTGAATTTCGCGTCAGACTGTTCAAAAGAAGTGTCCTCGGTTTCAAGGAAGTCGCTGCCATACTCCTCCGTTGCACAGACTCCGCATAAGTTTCTGCCTTGAATTTCTGCAGTTCCTAGCGGCACTCTATAAATCATATATTTTATGTAAAAAAAATAATATATTTTCATCGTCCTAATTTTTAATTAAATTTATAAATTTAACTCATATTAAATATATTCCTTATCACTGATAAGTTATCACTGATAAACTATCAAGGTATTGTGAATTTTAATCGTACCCATCGCATTCGGTTCCAACACACTTTCCGAATTTTCCATATGAAATCAGCATGCCAGGGAAAATACTCTCAAAGGACTCCATTCTTGCTATCTTTGGAGCTGATGTCGATGCTCCATCAGCATCGATTTTTCGGGACCTAAGCTTCATCGACAAAAAAAAAAAGTTTTTTTTCCGGAAGGCTTGTCTGTGATGAGAATAAGTCGAAAGCTTATTGGACAGATCAGATGGAAAGTCTCTGAATATAATTTTCTCAAAATAGGTCTTAGCTTCAGGCTTTAAGTTATAGTCTATAACCTTTTGGAATGAACCTGCGTGATTTTGCAGCAACCGGTTGAAACCAGTGCTCGCGAGCGCCTTTGACACCTTCCGCTGCTCCCTGGGAATCTCTGCCTCTGTTGACTAGGCCCTCCTGCCGCGTTCTATTTCTGGCGGGCTGCTAATCCTTAGTCATTGATTCGTATTAAAAAGATAGCTCATCGACCTATCATATCATATAATCATATGATTCATATCATATGAATCATATATCATGATTTGCAAATGATATGGAATTTCCATGTGAGCAACTACAAATGCAATTGCTGTTGGGATTTGTGGCCCTTAAAAGGGCCGGTTTTTCGAAAGCGGGAAAGGATGATTTATCCACCGAATCCGTAGAGGGTTCGGCCCTGTCGCTTGAGAGCGTAGACGACGTCGAGAGCGGTGACGGTCTTGCGCTTAGCGTGCTCGGTGTAAGTGACGGAGTCGCGGATCACGTTGTTGAGGAAGACCTTGAGGACACCTCGGGTCTCCTCGTAGATCAGTCCGGAGATGCGCTTGACACCGCCTCGTCGAGCAAGTCGTCGGATGGCGGGCTTGGTGATGCCCTGGATGTTGTCTCGCATGATCTTGCGGTGACGCTTGGCGCCGCCCTTGCCAAGACCTTTGCCTCCTGCTCCTCGTCCAGACATTTTCGGTTGTTCACAAAGTTTGTTGTTTGTGAGTAGTGGACTGCCGCAGTCTTCTAGCGTATTTATGTCAGTGTTCGTGCGGTGTGGGAGACAACCCTGCTTTCAAAACAACAAATTTCTAGAGAAAATAAATTGAGCGAACTAGCAAATCTGATCTTGAAGAAAATAATAAGCTTATCGCTGACTGAGCATCGGTTCGTTCTTGCTATTGATTCAAAAATTTTTAACGGCGGTGACGGCAGTTTTCCTGATTGAGATAAAAGGAGCAAAAAAAAAACTCGAGATAATTTGAACGGTCTTCAAATGAAAAGAAAATTTGAAGAAGGGGAAGAAAATGAAATCAAAAGGTTATTTAATATTCATAAATAATATATTACAAATAATATATCCTCCCTCTATTTCATCAGCTGATCAATTAGAAAGAAACAAAATAATTAACTCCTTTTTTAGAATGGAGGAAGAGAAAAGAGCTGAAAGAAACCGAAAGAATCGTCTGCGATACTGGACAAAGAAACTAGGGCCAGAGTTAGGAGCAGGTCACTATGAAGGAGACGAAGGTTGGCCAGGCAAAAATGAGGATGGTCGCGACGATTTTGAAGACGATGACATCAAGAATGTGCTGAAACTGCTCGAGTTGGGCGCAAAAAAAGTAAATTTTAAGGATCGAGATTCAATAATTTTGACTTTCTTTATTTTTTTCAACTTCAGTTAAAAGCTATATAAATAAAATAACCTCGCAAAAGTTTCACTCGAATGGATCTTACATTAAAATGACTTTCCCACCAAATACCCCTATAAACAGGCCGATAATTACCAAAAATGAAAAACGGCTTTGCGAATACAACAAAGATATTGAAGCCTCAGGATGGCGAGTTAAATTTGTGGGCTCTTGTATTGACTTGGATTCTGATGAACTCCTTGGCGATGGATTTCATCACTTTTCCCTCGAAAAAATCGGTGAAGACTTCTGTTTACTATGCATGTGTATAATATTTTAGACGGTGGTCCAAAAATCAAAGCCGAAGCAAATGAATACTGGTGGTACTACGATTACGTTGTTGGGACGACAAAGACGAAGATTGCTGAGAACGGGAAGATTGAAATGAAGTTGAAACGGCAAGTTCGAGTCGCCTATATTGTAGTCAATGTTACAATTTTGCCGAAAGATTCTCCGGAAGCGCCAACTGAAGATTCCTCTGATGAAGAGCCCGACCACGAAGCTGCCATCGATGCTGTATGGTAATATTTAATGACGACAGTATTGCCACGATACTGCAAATCTAGCTTATAATGATCGCGTACCTCTTCTGTTCTCTCATTAGAATGTGATTTTTAATAAATTATAATTTATAATAGTTAAATGTGAGTTTCAGTTTGTTGTTTTGTCACAAGAACATTTATCGTCAAGTCAGCTGACTTAGGTGCATAACTTTAGCAGCATAATTCCATTTAGAGAATTTTTCAATAATGAATGGAAGAATAATGGAAGATGCAACGCATAGAAATTTTTCTAGATAAGATTTCTAGAGTTAATTTGTTTGTGGCCCTTAAAAGGGCCGGTTTTGAAGAAGCGTCTAAAAGACGTCCTTAGTTCTTCTTCTTGGGAAGAAGGACAGGGTTGATGTGGGGGAGGACACCACCCTGAGCGATGGTGACTCCGCCGCAGAGTCGCTGCAGCTCTTCGTCGTTTCTGACGGCGAGCTGGATGTGTCGGGGGTTGATTCGGCTCTTCTTGTTGTCCCGGGCAGCGTTGCCAGCCAGCTCGACGACCTCGGCGGTGAGGTACTCGAGGACGGCGGCCAAGTAGACTGGAGCACCGGCGCCGATTCGATCAGCCCAGTTGCCGTTGCGAAGCATTCGGTGCACTCGGCCGACGGGGAACGCAAGTCCAGCGCGGGCGGAGCGGCTCTTCTTGCCAGCCTTGGTCTTCTTGTTGAGGGATTTTCGTCCGGACATGTCTTGCACTTTCAGAGTCAAAAGTGAGAATGAGCAGCCCCGCCTTCTCGGGCCCTTTATATAGGCACCGGTGGGAAGAACAACAGCCCGCTCTAGAAACTTTTTTCGCAAAAAAGAGAAAAACAACAACGACCAACGCGCAGAATCTCTGGAAAGCGCAGAGAGAAAAACAAATCTTCGCCAGAAACTTTCTAGAGGTGCGTAGGCGGGTCCTTCCCAGCAATCTGTATATAAAGCCGCGTTTGAGCGAGATCTTCACAGTCCGACAATTGAAAAAAGTCGAAAACACCAAAATGGCCAAAACTCCCGCCAAGCCCGCCGCCGCCGCCGCCCGCAAGTACCGAAAGGCCCGAAAGGAGTCCTTCCAGACCTACATCTACAAGGTGCTGAAGCAGGTCCACCCCGACCAAGGAATCTCCTCCAAAGCCATGTCGATCATGAATTCGTTCGTGTGCGACATCTTTGACCGTGTCGGTTGTGAAGCTTCCCGCCTCGCCAAGATCAACAAAAAGTCGACGATCTCCTCCCGGGAGATCCAGACTGCTTGTCGACTCCTCTTCCCCGGAGAGCTTGCCAAGCACGCCCTCTCTGAAGGTACTAAGGCTGTCACCAAGTACACCGCGTCTAAGTAAATTTTTTACTTGACGTTTAAAAAACAGGCCCTTTTAAGGGCCACAAACTTGCAAAGCTTTGATCTACCAAAAAGTATGGTTATGCTTTACAATAGATACGAGTTCGAACTTATTGCTAAAATCTCGTCTCCGAATGTTATGTTCGAAAGTTCTGTAATGTGTTGTGTTTGGGAAAATGCTTGAAGATGTCAGATAAGTGGAATGAAAGAGAATTAAAAGCGAAAAATCCGAACAAAAAGTGGCAAAATCAAAAGACTCGATGAGCCACTTGCGACAAAGACGCGCAAGAATTCAAAATGCCAAAAAGAATTTCTCGGATTTTTTCAAAAACAGGCATATTCCTTGTTTTTCTGATTGAGGGCGTTAGATTGCAGTGCATAGACCCGGAAGGACTACTTTATGGAAATAATGAGTGGGAGTACCCGAAAGAGATCGAAGGCAATTCGGCAATTATTGAGCTTGAATACGAAGACGAATGGGCCTACCCGTCAGATTTAGAGTTAATTCGACTTCATGTATTGGAATGAACATAAATTTGTTTTAGCTGCCGCTGGAAATTCGGTGAGCAAGGAGTGCCAATTCGTGTTCTGTTCGAGCATATAAACATCGAGTATTCTGATGACTGCGGTTATGACGGTATTTTCATAAATGGAAACGCATATTGCGGCGACAGAGGAGGGTCAACTACCCCTGAATCTTGGCAAAACGAAATGGCTTTTACGGGGCCCATTGAAATCGAATTCCTTTCTGATGGAAGTGTTGGCACCAACGACGACAATTTACGAAGTGGTTTTAGAATAAGACTGGATAAGGTAATTGCGGACCCTTGTTCCGACAATTCTTGCCAAAATGGTGGTCGTTGTGTGACAGAAGAAAAGGTTTTTAGATAATAGCTAAAATAGGATCTACGTAAAACATTTTATAAAGCCTATAACAGACAACATGGCCACATGCATCTGTCCTCATACATATAAAGGCGAGTTCTGCGAAGTAGAAAAAACATTCTGTGAACAATTTCCGAATTACTGCCAAAATGGAGATTGTAATGATGGTGGCTACTGCGACTGCTTTCCAGGATTCACAGGAACAGCCTGCGAAATCAATATCGACGACTGCGTCGGTCATAGCTGCCAAAATGGCCGATGTGTGGACCTTGTGCAGGGTTATGAATGCCGCTGCGACCTTGGTTACTCGTGAGTTAACCGAATTGAATTATCAATTTCGAATGTTTTAGTGGCGAATTTTGCGAAGTCAACATTTACGATTGTGAATTCCATCAATGTCAGTTTGGAGAATGCTTGGATGCTATTAACAATTATACATGCGAGTGTTTCTCTGGTTATGAAGGCAGATTTTGTGACATAAATACTGATGACTGTGCTGATGTATTATGTCTAAATGGAGGAGTTTGTGAGGACTTGATAGGTAAGAACGATTTTCCATGAAAAATATTTGATGCGAATTTTAGATGGATTTGAATGCATTTGCACAATCGGATTCAGGGGTAGCTTTTGCGAAGAAAACATCGATGACTGTATTGGTGTAAATTGCAACAATGGAAGATGCACTGACGGGATCAACTCCTTTGTATGCGAGTGTGACCCCGGTTTTACAGGGAATACATGTGATCAAAGTATTGACTATTGTTTTGGAATTAACTGCAATGACGGAACTTGCCAAGTCAAGGATAAAATCTCGGATATTTATTTTTTCAATTGCCGTTTTTATCTTGATTACAGCCGATCTGGATTCTTTCGAATGTAATTGTGACCCTGGCTTTAGCGGAGAGTTTTGCCAAATCAATAACGATGATTGTTTGGGAGTTGACTGCAACAATGGTGCTTGTATAGATGGAGCAAACACCTTTACATGTGTTTGTAACGAGGGATTCACGGGCTCACTCTGTGACATCAACGAAGATAATTGTGCGCTAGCAGATTGCAATAACGGTGTATGCGTGGATGGCATTGACTCTTACTTGTGCGAGTGTTTCAATGGATTTTCTGGTGAGCATTGCGAAACGAACATCGATGATTGTATCGATGTCCAGTGTAATAATGGGATTTGTATCGATCAAATTGAGTCTTTCCGGTGTGAATGCGAGCCAGGATATACAGGACTCTTTTGTGAGGTGAACGCTGATCCTTGCGCTGGTGTTGACTGCAACAATGGTGTTTGTGAGCGAAATTCAACAGGGTTTACGTGCGATTGTTTTCCGGGTTATTCAGGAGAGTTTTGTACCATTGATGTGGATGAATGTGCAGAAGTTAATTGTAATAATGGCGTCTGTGTCGATGGTATCAACTCGTTTTCTTGCAATTGTGAAGACGGCTTCTCAGGAGATTACTGTGAGATAAACAACGATGATTGTTCTGGAATCACCTGCAGGAAAGGCAATATTTGTTCAATAAAAAAGTAATGCAATTATGTAATTGAACACATTTCAGTGCTAGGAGAAGCAAGTTAAGCCTATTATATTATTTTGCCTCCTTAAAGTGACCATGGAGACTGTTTGGATGGAATTGGCGATTTTCAATGCAGTTGCTACGCAGGGTTTAGCGGCCAGTTGTGCGAAAATGATATAAATGAATGTCAAGATATCGACTGCAATGGTGGAACTTGTATCGATCTTATTAATGGATTCGAATGTCAATGCCCGTCCGGTTTCAGTGGAGAATTCTGCGAGATAGATCAAGACGATTGTATAGGAGTAGAGTGTGAGAACGGTGGCATATGCTTGGATATGGTTGCTGCATTTGCGTGCGACTGTCCTCCCGGATTTACAGGGACCTTTTGCGAAGAAGACATCAACGACTGTAGTTCTGACTCTTGCGCAAACTCAGGAATTTGTGTGAACCTGAATGGGCCTGGATTTGAGTGTGAATGCACAAGCAATTACACTGGCGCTGACTGTTCGCAAGAAGTTAACTTCTGCATTTCAAGAAGACGAGAGTGTCTGAATGGAGGACAGTGCTTTCCAGTTTTGGGAGGAATTACTTGCGCCTGTCCACCGGGATTTTCCGGCGAATTCTGCCAGAACCAAGATTATTGCTTTACACGGCCTTGTGGTGAGACTGGTTTCTGTTCGAATCTTCCGAACGGAGAAGCTGGCTATATTTGTAACTGTAGTCCAGGCTATATCGGCAGAAATTGCGAGACAAAGCTCACATCAAGATCTACAACTAGCACAACTACTTCTCAGGAATGTTTTCGATCATTAGTTTCAAAAGAGATCATAATTTACTAAAACTTGTAAGCCATTAGAAGTGCAAGAAGAGGAAAATTTAATCCGCCAGCCGACGATAGTTCCTATCTACCAGGAGGGCAACGAAGAAAGGGCTAAAAAATGCCAGCATGTTTATTGCACAAAATCTGCATGTGCTGGTCCATGTTGTCCAATGAGCCACATGAACGAATCCTTGCTAACACGAGTACCCGCTGGTTTTACCCTTGACTTTGACTGCGGCGAAGGGAGTGCTCTCAGCGGCAATCAAACTGCCGAATGTCTTATCGATGGCCACTGGTCCAGGAAAATTCAAAACAGCTCGCCATTTATACAAACTGTATCATAATGTTATCCCTTTTTGAATTTAGTCAGTATGCCACCCAAATGTATCAAAGCAGCTAATACGGTTATGGAATCAAATCAAGCTGTTTTCATCACATCTATTGCCATGACTAGTGGACTGATATGCTTTGCTGGAATCGCCAGCTGGGCCTACTCAACCACCATGCCTAAAGTTTCGCTATATCCAGAGTTCAATGATAATCTTGCTCAGCCATAAAGCCCGACTTACTCGATTTTTTTTCTAATTTCTTTTCACTCTGTGAATTTGCAGTGTCTTCGAGCTTAATTTGAACTCTGGCCATATGAGCAAAGGGTAAAACCTGAGTGTTAACTATTCATCTTCCATCTGTAAATATTGATTGTAAAAATGAATACAATGTCCGTTTGACTGATAAATCTGAGTAATTCTAACACTTGATCAATTGCAAACAAAAAACTAGAATTGTTGAAGGCTCTTTTTTCCCACGCGAGTCAGGCGAAGAAAAAAGCATCTTCGAAAAGTTGTTTGAAAGAAATTGATTTTATTCAGGAGTAAGTTTGGAGTAAGCAGTCCTTTTTGGACAATAGAATGTGTTACAGGATTGTCAGCTAGACCTTCATTCATCGACGCTGCGTTGCCTGTAACGATAGATATTGACTTCCTTCGACAGGAGTTTCGAATGGCTTCGAAATACTTGAGAAATCATTTAAAATGATTGTCTCTCTTTCAGACTTTGAATCGATATCAACGACATCATGTTCACTACAAATATGGTAAAGTAGTGAAGAATTCTTTAAGACTTACGATAATAACTTCTGTGGGTGGACCCGAGCATTCGCTGCGGAATGAGACGAAGAGGGAAAATAAGAAAAACAGGAGGGCGCTTCTAGAAATTCATCGCAGAATTAGAAGAATCATAATTCAAAGTAATTGCACTCCAGTAATTCTTGGACTTGTTGCACTCTGATCGATAGATGACATGGAAGATACATTTATCAGAGGCATCTCGACAAAAAGAGTGAGCATGAGAAAGTTCCCGGTACATTTGACGACGCTTTAATTATCGAGGTAGTGGTTATAATGCCGAGTAACGGTGCATTTACTACATGCCAGGAAATGTTGACAGCGCCCTTGGCTATTTTTGCGCTGCGAGTCATTAAACTCGTCCGGAAAATCTACAGCTTATCCGAAAAGCTTAACAGCGAAAAATGAATCTACTATCGTTTTAGTTCTGATTTTATAAAACATGGTCTCTGAAAAGGGGTCAAGAAGACATCGCAGAGAGCTATCGAGAAGACATAGGCCGAGGAGAGAAACAGAAAATGGAATCATTAAGTACTTGTGCATTGTCGTCGTTGCCAGTACACTTTCTTTAACCGGTAAAGTTTTCGCCTGAGTCCATGAAAATAGTTTTTAGTTCTTACAATTGGAGTGTATGTGGACACGAGTTTGGAGGCGACATCGATCCGTGAAAATCGCAAACAAGAGCTCCTCAAAGATATGGATATTCAAAAACTGATGAATGATCGAAATCGCCAATACTACTCGATCGCAAAATTTCGACGGCCAACTCTGGGTGGAATCAAGGAGTCTATCGTTGGCAAATATCTTGTGCCTGTTCTTCCCTTCGACGTTGGACCAAATAACTTGTTCCGACATTTTAAGGAGGCCATCCCCATTGCAAAAATGATGAACTTGACACTAGGTTCTGGTCAATGAAAATTGTTAAAAATCATGAATTTAGAGAAAGTCAGTGAATTGACCTCAAAAAAGTTATTCCCCCTTTTCATCGACATCCAAGAATGGAGATCTTTGTGAATCCTGGAGAAAACGCTGATCCCAATGAAAAGTACATTCCGAAAGTGAAAGTGCCCATCTTTGATACAGATTACACTGTTGAGATTGAAACAAACCCGGAACACACGGTCGATTTTGATCTTCTCCGCTCGTTTCATCCGGCCATTCCGTATTCCGAGTTCGAGCTTGCGTGTGGAAAGACCATTGAGACTCTTATTGAGGTAAATGATTCTGGTGATTTGTTTTCCTGATAAAAAATTATTAGTGTGGAGACATCGACCCAAAGCGACACCAGGGATTCAAGTATTTCAACGCTGCGACGGGAGTAAAGGTGGCCCATCGAATGAATGTAGCTCATTTCCATCCGACGCACGAGCTCTCTCGGAATATGTACAATCTCGCAAGGAAAATCGAGCTTCACGAGTCCAACTGTATCGGACTCGCTATCGGAAAGAAGTGCCTTGGAGATAGAGAGCGCTACATGAAACTTTGGAAGGAATATGGACCCTACGTGCGAAGACCACATGATATTCAGGCAGAGTTTCTAAAGATTCGCTTTTTCCAAACGAAGTATCTTTGTTTCAGCTAAAGATGACTACTTATTCATCCTATCTTTAGTAAACACATAAAAGACAACAGCTATTGAGTTTTTCCGCGATGCTTTTCACGGAGAAACCTTCGCGGGCATCCACTGGCGTTACGATAAGTATGACTGGAATGACATGTGTAAAGAGTCGAGGCCCGAAGCTGCGAAAGCGCGAAATGGGCAGATCTGCGAATATGCGGAACTGCTCATCGATGGAGATGAGCGATTGCTTGAAAAAATGACTTCAAACTTGAAGAGTCGACTCAAGGATCTGGACATCAATCATGGCTACATTACTGGTCCTCCTCAGGTGGGTGTGCTTGTAAAAGTAATCGAAGATTGATGGTCAAAATTTTAGATAAATAACACTATGGCTGCTTTCCGGCGGAAAATACCATCGTTGAGAACAGTTGATGATTTGCGGCATTGGGTCAGGACAAAACTTCCAGAAAAGAGCTATCTATTGGATACGAACTATTTACTCTCGCACTTGGAGCAAGAGATCATGTATCTATCCACCAAATTTATCGGATCCCCATTATCCAGTTGGACTCAGACTGTTTTCTTCGATCGCATGGCTGTGGATATTACTGGTAATTATGAAAAATTTACATTATTAAGGGCAAAAAATAGAAAAGAAATGAATTTTTACGCCTGAGAAACAAGGTGGGAAACGCTAGGAAATCTAGAAATTCTTCATTTTGCTTGTTTTTATTGCTGAGAAATAAGGTGAGAAACAAGGTGGGAAACACTTTGAGCTCTAGAAAATATTTGTTTGCATGTAGGGAGCAATTGAGAAAAGCAAAAGAGCAAGTGGGAAACACCCTGAGAAACACATCAAACTCTAGAAACATTCTATTTTGATTAACAGAGTTAAATTTCAGATGATGAGTCGATATTGGACATTTGCCTTCCTGGAGTCGAAGATCTACCGAAGCTCACATGGCTATTTCCCGAAGGCGACTTATAGCGGCCCTGTTTACCTGTAATCTACTTCTGTAGTAGTACTTCTATATACCCTTCAATACCACTTCTAGATCAACCGTTTTAAAACGGAAAGCATTTCTGCCAAAAATCCTGTGCTTCTTCAATATTAGAAAGAATTATCGACAATTGAATAAATAATATAAAGAATTGTTTATAAAAAGCGGGCAGTGAATAATCCATGAACTTGTGAAAAGGTGAACTTTGAAAACGGAATGGAGTTTTGAATCAGGCAGTGGAGTTCGTTGGCAGAATCGCTTCCGTCAGGTTCGAGAGACCTCTGCCCATAACCTCGAAGCCGACCTTGTTTTGCTCGTCGTAGAAATCGTTGTCGCCTCCATCACTTCTAGCGGCGATGCTCTGAACAGGATAGATCAGGGTAGATCCTCCAGAATTTGTAAATTACCTGAATGATTATAAGCGAAGTGTTGAAGAAGAACGTGACCCAGCCAAGGCCCAAGATCAGCCAAACTAATTTATTGTAAATTCCTCTATGGTTCCAGTCGTGAATCTTAAATAAAGTCACATTATTAGCCCTCCTTGTTTTAATAGTTCACCTTGAGATAGAACATCGAGGGAAAAATCTGGATGATGCAGGAACCTGCGATTGCGCCACCAAGGCTGAGGACCAATTTGAAGTCATCTCAAGATAGAAAGTCATCTACTGTAGATATTATTAAGCATACCAGTAATGCAGACAAGTGCATAAATCGTGCCTTGAATGATGATCGCGAACATGCGGTACCAAGTAGGGTTCCAAGTGTCTTGAAACGCATTATCGTAAGGAACAGGGATTGTGTTAGGGGCAAGGCGATTCAATAACTTCCAGAAAGAATAGCGGCAGGGATAATGAAGAATCGGAACCTAAGCGACTTGAAAACGCAGATTTCGAATGATGTTCTTACCGAAAATGTAATGCATAGTGTAACTAATATACGAGCCGCTAAAAGCATTATATCTCCATTCAGCCAGTAACTAGAATTGGTGGTCATAGCGGAATAAGATTAAATACTTACCCATATTCCTTCAAGAGAAAGGACTCTGTTCTATTAAAATAAGACGCGTATGCAAAGAGAGCTGTCAAGATATATAGAATAGTAGTTGGAGAAACGGCACCAATAATGAGGAGGCGAGTTCTTTTTATAGATGGAAAGATCGACTTGCAAGAAGGAAGAGGACGGAGCTCGGCGACAATGGAGAGAATGTTTCCATGGCACATGAACTAAGGATTTCATTTCTAATTCTTTTTTGGGGCTTACCGAAAACAGCATCATTGGAATAGCGTAAACGGAATTGACGGAGAAAGTGAACAGCTCAGTCTCGCAAGTAGGCGTCGGATAAGGCTCTGAGTAGGTAATGTTCCCACAGAGGGCTGCAGCTTCCGGCTGCTTTTGAATGACGAGGCCAACAAACGACATCATGCAAGCCATTCCTGAGAAACATGAAAAAGTAACATTAACGAAGTAAGATACCTATAAACGATGTGAAACCCAAGAAGTCGATCCGTCTCAGCATCGCCAGTGGTAATTGGATGACAATGACCATTAGGCCAAGTAGAATTTTCCCGTTCAAGTACCATTCGCTAGAGTGCTTCGCTTCGTCGATTTGTATTCCTCTCAGAGTTAAAATTCCCTCGACAATGTCGGGTAAATTATCCTGGAAATCTATATTTTTAACTTTAAGCGGAATATATTTATATCGGAGTCAATATGTTTTCAATAAATTATTAACGAAACCTGTCGACGATACCAACCTTCATTATTATAAAATAGGTGGTGATTGCGATGCAGAGGTAGAAAAACATGATGATGTTCACAAAGTAAACGACGTATATTCCGAATAGTTTTTCTGCAAACGTTTCATAGGAAAAGTAGCTGAAAGAATTAACACATTTACTTGATGGGAAAAGTATACCGAGTGTGGTTGCATTCATGCGTTCGAGGGCAAATTTTACGGGGCTCTATGAGAACTTCATTGTGATTTTTTTCTTCCTGCATCGCCTCCCAACAGCCTTTTAAGAATTAACGTCTTTTTTCGAAAATATAAAATTTCTGCGGGAACTCCTTTGCCTGTATACTTAGAGCAAGCGAGAACTAAGTCCATCGTGAAGCAGGAAATAACAACGACAAAAAGTAACCAAATGACAAATTGAGCACTTCCCAAAACGGACGCAGCGTAGCCCAGGCTAATAATTCCCGCTCCGATCACAGCATTCATCAAATTGAAGATTGCGGAGCCAAGATTAAGCCAACCAGCTAATTAATAATCTGTTACAGTCTTATAAATATGATTTTAATATGTAGTTTCTACTATAAACAAAGAGCTAGTGAATCCATTTTTTTGTGAAACGAAAACAATCAGACTACCGAAGTTTACCTAATCCAGATAGCGTAGCTGGCTTCTTGGAGGCTAGCTCCTCTCTTAGGAATTTATCGTCTGGACTCTGAGTTTCTGTCATCTCCAGACACCAGCGCAAGAAACAGAAAACAAAAAAAAAACTTAAAAGTGAAAAAACTTTGCCGCTGAGTCGAATGAGAACTTGGCCACGTTTTGCGATCATGACGATAACTGTCGGTGCATCGTGTTCAAAAACAAGATTTCCGTTAACTTTTTCGATGTTGAAAAATACGAAAAAAATACGAAACATTTTTGGACCGCGATGAACTACCAACTTTTCAAGCATGCGGATTCGGTCTTATTTTTATGAAATCCTGTTCAAGAATGTAAATTCGGCTGAGAATGCAAGAGGTCACTGGAAAAGGAATTTTGACTGTGAAAAAGGCATCGGCACTTCCATCTTAGTTCACAATGGAAAATAAGATGGCTAGATTTATGTTCAGCTCAGTTTTTATTTTCCAAGGGGGCAGTATTGTTTCACGGAAAAAGATTTTTAGCGAAATGTGCCTCCAATTTCTTTCGTTCTTCTTTCTGTCTTTTCTCGAACCTTTCGAGCAACAAGTTCATCCTTTCTGAACACTCGATTAAAAACATAACAAGAATTTATGTTTACCGTCAACCATTTTGAGGACAACTCTATCCGCGTCTGTCATCTCATCTTCGTCTCTATAAATTATATAGCCTCAAAAACGAGCGAAAAAAATTACTCTTCTGAAGCGTATGGTTCGCTTTTCACTGCCGTTTCAGCTGGTTCGGTCTTCACGACAGTTTCTTCTGGTTCTGTCTTTACGACAGTTTCTTCTGGTTCGGATTGCACCTTTTCGTTGCCTTTCTTTGGACTTGTGAATTCTTCCTTTATTTCTACTTTGATATCAGGCTCTTCCTTCACCACAACTTCCTGTTCTACTTTCTTTCTCTTGCTTCGTCTTGTGCTCATATCTTAAATAATGTAAAAAATACGCTATATCAGATCTGGAGCCTTCTAAGCTCACTCTTGAGCCACCAACTTCTTATTCCGATGATTACAAACAGGGACAGACAGAAGTACTAGTATTCTAGAACTAGTATTATTTATATAAAGCAGGTTTTCAAGAACTAAGGAAAAAATGAAGGATGAAATTTAAATTAGCCTAAGCAAAGAGCTCATACAGCGAGCTTCTCTTTCAAAATTTTGACTAAATCGCTTCTTGCAACTTTTTCTTCCTCGCGCGATGTGATGCTTCGCAGCAAAACTATTCCTTCTTCGATTTCTCTTTCTCCAAATACGATTCCCCATGGAATATTCCTGGACTCACAAGATTGCAGATCGTTCAAAAGTTTTGGATTTGGCTAAAAATTACTGAACGAGCAAGTTTGATAAAATTCTTACCTTGTAACTCGTCTCCGCGGGAATGCCTGCTTCCCAGAGATCGTTGAGAATAGCTGCTCTCTCTTTGAGCATATTCTTTTGACCAGACATGACAAAAACTTGCGTCGCAGTAGTTCTGATAGACGAAGCGTCTTTCTTTCGTTTTAGTAGCGTGTACAATCTTTCCACTCCAAAACTTATTCCAACACATGGGACGTTTGATTTTCCTAAAATCTGTAATGCGCGAGCAAAGAGGCTTTCGAAGTTTACCTTTTCCACCGACAAGAGAGCCAACAAGACCGTCGTATCGTCCGCCAGCGGCGACAGAGCCCACACCCACCGTGGTTCCTACTTCCGCAGTCTTGATGTCCTCTTCGCTAGGCGTCATGACAATCTCGTAGATGACTCCAGTGTAGTAGTCGAGACCACGCGCTAATGAGAGATCGAATGACACTTTGTCCATGATCTTCCAAGCTTCGAGATATTCCAACAGCACAGACATTTCCTTCAAGCCTTCTGTCGCCGATTTATTAGCACCAAGAACTGGATCAGCCAATAACTCCTAAAATATTTCAATTAATAAAACCCCAAAAACCAAGACAATTTACCTTCACGAGATCTTGGCCACCAGATCGTTGAACAAACTGGCCGATCTTGTCAGCACATTCTTCTGTTAGACCTTCGCGAAAACAAGTAAGAAAATAAGGTCTGATAGAACTCTCACACCTTTTTTTATCATTCCACATCGAACACTGACTTCGTTATCTGGCGCTGTCCAGGGCAGTTTATCGAGTTTATCAACTTCCGCGCATGCGGCTCGGAAAAGCTCGTCTGGGCAGCCACACGCCGCGAATATTCCATCAAGAATTCTTCTATCGTTGAGCTAGAACAAGAATTAAGTCAAGTGAGTTGCCGTAAATTCATGTTCTTACTTTGATTGTGTATTTTCCAATATCGAGGGAGTCGATTATCTCTGTCGCGATTTTCACGCATTCGGCATCAGGGAACATCGGTGCATAATTTGAGCCAGCAATATCAAAATCACATTGATAGAACTCTCGATATCGCCCTGAAATCGAGTCATTTCCAGTTCAAACCCGACTGATAAAGTCACCTTTAGTCATGTAAGGCTGATCTCGTCGATAGACTTTGGCGATGTGGTATCGTTTTATGTTCTGGATTTTGTTCTGTGCTACAAAGCGGGCAAAAGGAACTGTCAGGTCGTATCTAAAATTTCAATACTGAGCGAGAGGAAAAGCGTGTCCCGATATTACCTAAGAGAAAGTGACTCGTCAGAGCCTTCAGGTTTAGCAACATTATAGATCAGCTTCGAGTCCTCGCCGTATTTGTTCGTTAAAATATCCGTCAGTTCGAATACAGGCGTATCAATCGTTTCAGCTCCGTGAGTTTTGAATACAGCTTTGATTTTGTCGAAAAGTTCTTCGCGAACAGCCATTTCGGCAGGGCCTTGGTCAATTGTTCCCTTCGCATTTTTGAGCACCAACTTCGATTTCTTAGCTTTCTTCGGCTTCCCTTCTTTAGAATAGAATTTACTTATTGAAAGGAGTCAGATTCTCACCTGCTCCTGGAGAAGGAGTGATGCTTTTGAGCTTTTCGGTAAGTTCATCGAGCTCGGCTTTGTTGATTCCGTTTCCGTCAGGAAGAATGCGTTTTACCAGCTGCATTATTCTTTCTTGCTCGGTTGCACTCATCCTGTACGTTTTGTGTGATAGTATCCTACTTATAGGTCTTAACATTTTCTAATTTTATTTATTTTCATAAAGGCAGCTCTATATTTGCTTCGATTTGTGCTGGGCTTGAACTTTCCAGTAAATAGAAATTATTGTGACTGTGGCAGGGACCGATAAATGAAAGAATTGTGCAGTGTAGAGATATTAATGGTATAAATGGCTGTGATTCTAGCTATTCGTAAGCGCCGAAAGAGATGGCTTCGTTAGATTCGTAGGAGGGTGCCTCCGTCTAATACTCGTCAAGAAAGTTAAGCTTCCATGGCGCGTACCTTGACGTCGGCGGCCATGTGAATCGGAAAGTGGTCCTTTAATTCTTGCGTTTGATAATTGAGGTTCTTCAAGGTGACATGTTCCTGGGTGTCGAAAGAAACAGACTCATACTCTTCTGACTGGGGATAAGGCGATTGCTGCTGCAGATTTGAGTAAGCCTCCGCCTCGTTCTCGCTGATTCTGACAGATGGAGTCGCGTTATGGGCATAATAGCTTGCGGCGAGCGACATTGCCACCGGATTGACTGCGTACATTGGGTGCATTCCTGAAAGCAAACTTAGTATCAAGGCTAAATAACTGAGTCGACCGAATGCCTTTGAGTTAGAGCTGTTGAGAATTTAAACAACCCGTTCCAGCATGTAAAACGAAAGCTGTCAAACTGTGATTGTCACAGTAAGTAGAATTGTCACTTGAAATTCAAGTCTTGAATAGCACATTCAGAAAAACTGCCATATAGCCAAAACGGCCCGTACAGTTCTGTGAGGAGTTTCCGCACCCCTAGACAGCGGGTAAGGGGTGCGGCAACGCAGCACTCACAGAGGCGCGGAAACTCCTTACAGAATTGTACAAGAAGTTGATACAAAAATGCTTGGTCTCCTCTCACCTTGAGTCAATTCAATCGACGCGTCTTTATCATGACCTAAGATAATAGAGCCAGTTTTTACAAGAGAGTCGGCTTCAGATAGTTCGATCGAGCTATAGGCTTGGCTGGTACTGCTGTCATTGGAACTAAAGCCACTTTCCGAGCTTCGGGAAGAAGAGACTGTTACATCAATAATCTGCGGTCCCATAGATCGAGATCGGCAAAGAGGACTTTCATTAGGCAAGCATTTTCGGAGCTCGATGTCTCTTTGCGGCATCTGAAAATGCCCTTCTTCATCACCACCATCAAGCAAATCTTCTAGTGTCCGAATGTACTCGATAGCGTGCTATAAACGCTCTATTATGGCATTTACTGGTTCCATTACCTGCAGGGTCTCGTACTTGGACATCTTCTTTCCTCTTAGACTAGGTGTAATGGGGAGCCGATCGCGGAGCTGTTCGTATGCTGCATTGAGAGTCTTCACTCGCTCTCGTTCTCGTGCGTTTCTTATTTTCACCGATTCAGACTGAGCACTAGATCTTGAGCGGCTACGAATCTTGCCACCTCCTTCGTGTCTCACCATTGGGAGATCTGCACTCCAACCGTGCTGTGAATCTAAAAAAACTCTCGTCCACAGGAAAATATAGCGCGATATCTACCTCCAAATCCGCTGACGAACATTCTTCCTTCTCGCTTGCCTTTGCTGCGTTCAAATTTGTACTTAAATTCGCCAATGCTCGTTCGTTTGGTTGTTTTATTGAAAAATTCGTAATATCGGTGTGAAGATCTTTTCGATTTTCGTTTTGTGGGTGAGCCGACTTTTTCGAAAATAAAACAGGCGGCGCGCCATTTTCTTCTGAGGCGAGATTCAATCCGGCGAATTGTACTTGCATCGTCTTCATCATCGAATGAGCTTGGCCGGATGCATATGCATCTGCAAAAACACGCCACTGAAAGCGATTATTGACGATTTTTAAATTTACAGGGCTTGCTTCGACTAAAAAAGCCGAAGAAGAAAGTCGAAAATAATTAAAGAAGAAATCGAATCTTACATTTTCTGCCGTGAAGTCGGGATATTTCTCCAGCTCTCTTTTTCTCGCCTCCTCTTTCTTTCTCTTCAAACTTCTCTGCCACTTTGCTTCAGCCTCAGCAGAGCTGTCTATCTCGATCCTAACACACTTCGGGAGCTTACGTTTCATTCTGAAAGTAAATTAAAATTCATTAAAAATTTACAAAAAATTATCAAAATAAAAATATTCTCTTTTCTTTTCGTGATTCGGCTGCAATTGGCCACCACTGAACTGGTGATTCGGCAACAATTTTCAGGAAGGAAAAGTCCACCCTGGAAAATGGCGAAAGCTTTCAAAGAGAGCGAGGTCTTCCACCAATGAAAATGAGCGCACTGGAAAGAACTCGAAGCTGAGCCCACTCGCCTTTCTCAACTGCGATGCAAACTTTGCGACTCAAAACAGAATGTCTCTAGATATTGACGCGTTTCTCAGCGTGTTTCCCACTTGCTGTTTTTCTTTTCTCCTTTGCTTCCTTCGTCCATACAAAAACTTTCTAGAGCTCGAAGTGTTTCTCACTTTGTTTCTCAGCATTAAAAAATATCCAAAATTTTTACAATCAATCGTCAATAATCAATTCACGGAAAATCTCTGAAGATTCCGAAATTCTTTTTCGACCGGAGCTTTCCCAACGAATAAATTAAATAAAAAGCTGGTATTTATCCGATAAATTTCTCTAATTTTTCTGGGTCACGCCTACCTCCTCCGCCTTTTATCGACTAAATAATCCACCGACCCAGTTCATAGTCCAGTAATTTCGTGCTTTTGATCGTTTCTAATAAGGATAACCAGGATTCAGTTGAAAACACGGAGAGAAAAACAAAATCTCACGAAACGTGTTTCGAGAACAATTTGTTTTTCTTCCCAAGGGTTGTCTCCCACACGTCGCTTACCTGGGTATAAATACGCCACCAGAATGAGGCTGTTCACTACTCACAAACTTGAAACCTTGTGAATAACCAACGATGGCCAAGTCTGCTAAGCCCGCTACCGCCAATGCCCGAAAGTACCGAAAGGCCCGCAAGGAGTCCTTTTCGATCTACATCTACAAGGTGTTGAAGCAGGTCCACCCCGACCAGGGCATCTCCTCCAAGGCGATGTCAATCATGAACTCTTTCGTTCGTGATATTTTCGACCGGGTCGGTGGCGAAGCTTCCCGTCTCGCCAAGATCAACAAGAGGTCTACGATTTCCTCTCGAGAAATCCAGACCGCTTGCCGACTGCTCTTCCCTGGTGAGCTTGCTAAGCACGCCGTCTCCGAGGGTACCAAAGCTGTGACCAAATACACCGCCTCCAAGTAAATCATTTACCGGAGCTAAAACAGGCCCTTTTAAGGGCCACAAATTTACCAGAAAACTTGCATATTGATCTTGGCCAAATGATTTAACATTTGATCGAGGCTCTTCCCTTGTCTACTTTGCTAGAACCTAGTAGGGAAAAATACAGTGACGCGAGCGAAATCCAACCTGACCCAGTGAGAGTGTCAAAGTACGAGAGTAGTCTTTTCACACGAGTGCTAATGTGATTTCTGTGGCTCTAAAGTTCGCACTCTTCTGCTCCCCGTAGAAATCATTTCTTCAGACATAAACAAAGAGTACACAATTTCTAATGTGATTAGTAATATTCCTTCCAGAATGGTTGCCTAGAGGACTTCCCTTTTGTCCCAATTATTTTTGTTTGATTCTCCAAAGCGGATGCAAAATGAAAAGTCTAAAAATTTGTTAATGATTAAAGTAGGCATTTTAAATATCTTCCTAGAAACGTTATTTCTGCGCTGTACTTGTAAAGATAGTCATACACTTCTTTCATGGCTGAAATAATTGATTGGGATCATAAAGCGAACAAATAATTCTAACTTAGACGCTACTTTGATAATTTTCTTGTTCGACAGGAGTTTATAGCCTTCGCAAAGTGACTCGACTCATTGAATTTCATTTCGTTTATGAGACTGCTTCTTGAATGACAACCGATTGAAAGAATAATCTAGCCATATTTTTTTTTCTAAAAATGAAATAAAAGTGTACTGTTTCAGGGAATTAAATCCGAAAGAATGAACGAATATAGCCGCGTTCAGTGTTAACAATTGTTTTCGAAAGAGCAATTGGTACAAGGGAACTTGAGATTACACGAATAAAAGTTTGATGCCAAATATGCCGTTATTAATAAAGTACTGCTATATCTATAAACATCGCGTTCCACAAGGCCCTCCGAACCACGTGCGAGTTTGCCGAATTGTTCCGGCAGCAGGCGCATTCAATATCTTTTTAAGATAAGCTCGAACATCGCTGCCTGGCTTGAGGGGACGTAAAAATAGAACGATTTTTTAAAACGAGCTAACCTTATACGCCGCTTTACTGCTTAGCAGTCACCGTCAATGACCGTAAAATTTCTCTCTGAGTTTTATTATTCCTAGCAAAGACGAGAGTAAGCTCTTAGTTGAACGTAAGAAGCCATAAATTTATATATCAATTAATAAACAATAAACAAGTTTTGATGTAGCCCTTGAGAATAAACCTACAGTACCAATATTTTGTGCGCATTTCCTATCGCGTTATAAGATCAATTAAAAAGATTGTGCTTGATCTTAATTTGAAACATTAGATCGGACATCTAACATATTATGTGTAAGAAATAACCGGAGACGCAATTTTCCCATTTTGGGAAATTAGCTTTTATATATTATCAAAGCTATTCAAGCGTATAGTATGAGATCCATACTATGACAAACACGCTCTCTGCGTAGAACTAGTCAGAAATCAAGAAAGAGTAGATGAAGCAAGGTGAATCTAGAGGATGGATGTTCTGCAAGAGGGCAGCCGATGCGTTTTCAGGTGCTCTTACCAAAGAGCATTTTCGCTGACTTTCACTGCATAATCGAAGCAGAAGAAAATATCATACCCAAGTTTTCATTTTTACCGTGGCTGAGGCCTCGGGCCGCTCCGAAATGCGTTCATTTTGGATCGCTGTGACGTAGTAGTGTCGCTATTGCCAAAAGAGTTTGAACTGTGAAGTGGCGCAGTGGCGCGACCAGTTGCTCTTTGCTCGAGTTTGAAATCGGGTAATACTACAAACTAGCAGGAACTCAATAATTATCCCCTACACGTGGAGAGAAAGAGAGCGAGCTGCAACGTAAAATTGAGGATCTACTCCGGAGCGTTGGTTGGATTCAGAGAGCGTATCGAAGGCAAGATCAGCAGTGCGTGACTTCGTAAACGAAGCTAACCCGAGACGAAGAAAAGCACCGCAGTTTATTTAACAGCTGCTAAGTTCAGCCAGAGACATCGCTGCAATCTTCCACAGCGGGCGAAATAGAACAAACTCATGGAGACGGACAAGGTGCGAAGAGGACCGCAAGTCAAAATGTTCGGCGACGAAAAGTGCCAGATTTGCAAACGTAAAGCGGACGGATATCATTACAATGTTCTCAGTTGCCAAGGTGAGCACGAGGTCAATTTATAAAGCTGATTTGTCTGCTGATTCTATTACTAATATTTTAATTATTTTTTCTTTAATAATTACTTTTTCAAACCGTTATTGCAAGAAGGGGGCGTTTATTTTGTTTGGATTTTTTGTTTAGCAATAAACCTCATTGTCAATTGTCAATTAAGCGCCTTTCGGGGCTCTTTGGAACGACCATGAGTCAGGAGCCTTTCTTTTTATTTCAATTCTGTGGTCAGCGCCATTATCTTAGCGAGAAAGGGTTCCGAACAAACCCGTCTATACTTAAGTAGCTGCCTAACTACGAGAAATTTGCACTATCGTACAACGGCGAGTTTGACCAACATTGAACACATTTGTGTTTGCCCAGCTCAAACATCAGGGTAACTCTATTTCCCTGCTCTTTTCAGTTTTAGCCCATGACGCTAAACGATAAGTCCAAATTGCCGGAGAGGGTGCTATTGTGGCACTTTCGTCATATTTGCCTCCTGTGGCACTGTCTCTCCTGTGGCACTTGCGCCTGTTGTGGTATACCACAGGAGAGACAGTGCCACAAGAGAGACAGTGCCACAAAAGAGACATTTTCAACTATCAGATTCTCAAAATGATAATTTTAAGGAGTCCACCGACCCATCTCTATGTGCGCGCCTCGTTGTTTTCCATTTGATAACTTTTTTCGATTTACATGAATTTTTTTGGGTGGACTAAACTTTCAATAAACGATTGAGTTATGTTACAATGTAACAGTTACATTAGTTCTGTATCCTTGATATCAAGAATCCAAATTTTCGGAAAAACTCACCGTAAGTACAAGATATGATTAGTTGACGAAATGACAATGAAAGGTCAAGGAAAGTTTCGTCCACGTAGAAAAATAAATTTTAATCAGAAAAAGTTCTAACGGCAAAAATAGAAACTAAAAAACTGCGAGCCACGCGCGTGGAGCTGGGCCGGCGGATTCCCTAAGAAGATTATCATTTTGATAATCTGATAGGGAACGCTTTTGAAAATGTCTCTCTTGTGGCACTGTCTCTCTTGTGGCACTGTCTCTCCTGTGGTATACCACAGCGGGCGCAAGTGCCACAGGAGAGAAAGTGCCACAAGAGAGACAGTGCCACAGGAGCACCCTTCCCCAAATTGCCTATTCAAAAAGACGTATTGGACAAGATTCCTATCGATGCCTTGTCCGTAATAACGTGTTTCAAACACGTCACTCATCCTTAACTCATTCAAACGTTAAATTGACACCAAATAATCAGGTTCAATATATGTATATCTGCTGATCGCGATACTAGACCTAATAATTATTGCAATTTTCTGAATCCTCTAAATTTACATTAGAATCTAAAACATAAGAAATTTACTCAAGGACATTTCCACGATCATTTTCATTCCAATTGCATATTCGTGACATGGCGCCATTTTTTTACGAAAATCAAAGAGAATGGTCCGATTCAGTCATTGTTTTTTAGAGTCATAAATTTAATTAACGAAATGATCTTAAGGCTGCAAGGGATTCTTCAGAAGAACCGTCTTGTCCAAGTTGGAATATGTTTGTAAAAACGGACTCGATAAGGAAAGGTTCTGAGGCTATTAGGCAACTTGTCATTCTGATAGCAATAGTGAAAAATTAAGCATGTTACTAGATTTAATCTCGAAAAGCTCAAGCCACGGCGTTATTCAGAACTTGTACAAGTGCGATCTTGCTGTAGTCGATCACCCACGACAACGATGCCAGAAATGTCGATTACGGCGCTGCGAAGAAGTAAGTTGATCTATGATTGGTTCAATCATTTTCTTCAAACTTAAACTTATATGGCCGAAAAGAGCCGCCTTCATGTAATAAAACCCACCGCTATATTATCGTCATTGTTAAAAAAGATCTTTCACAATTTAGTGCGGGTTTAACTATTGTGTACAAAACGGTGAACGACGTATAGAGTTAGCCGCGGGTAGAATTCGTTCAATTGATGTAGGAATAGAGTTTATTCTGTTTGTGAACCGCGCAACTGCAGAATGAACTTTGTAAATATTTAAATTTCGCAAATCTTGATCTTTGCGAAATTTGGTAGCCACCATGCCTAAAGTTCAAAACTAATTTCCTTCGCTAGGCTGGCATGCGCGATCAGTACGTGCGCCGAAAAAAGAACAGAACTCGCACCCAACGAATTCTGGAGAACATGCGCCGCCCGACAGTAATTGTCAATCCACTAGTGAAGGAGCAACACAAGCTTATGGCGGAAGTTCTCAACTGTTTCGATAAAATTACCGGTAATTTAGGGCAAGCAACGTGAACATAGAATCGTGGTGGAAAGAATTTAGGTGGAAAATTCGTTATCGAAAATTTTAGATTTCAATCAAATGTTGTGTCTGATCAAAATGATCAAATCAGGCATTGCATAAAAGGTTCTCCACTTAAAAAAATGATCGACTTGAAATTAAATAAATGTGCATGGCTGTAGTTCAGCGTTATTAGTTTTGCATATCGATAACTCACTTGTCAAACTAATTTTTTCAGGGAGATTTCTTCGATCAATCAAATTTTTGAACGTTTATGGTGGTCTATCTTTGCACGTAAGGGATTTCATGTCCGTTCTGTGCAAGGTCTTGATGCACGTAATTGTCCCAGTGATTAGGTGCTGCTCGGCGAGAGTTTAATTTGCTTCTTGAGATGCTTTTACAAAAAGGTTTCTCTCGACGAGCATCGCCAATTCCAGAGACAATGGTCAAATATATTTAAAAATATACTTGTCCCAACTCAGTTTTCATGATTCTTTATTTAGCTTTTGTTTAGACATCGAATCGCAAAAGCAGGTGCTTGCTCCTCTATACCTTGCAATCCAGAAGTCATCATCTGCGGCGCAGCAAGAGAAGCTGAAAATGGAGAGCTTCTTCCAACTCATTGTGAACTTGATTGTTAGCTTCGCCAAGAATCTATCGCCCTTCAAGGTCTTCTCCTTTGATGACCAAGTAAAGATTCTCTCTTCTTCCTTGATCGAGATTTTCGTCCTCCAGTCCATCACCAAGTACGACCCTCTAACAAAAGTAAGTTCAAACAGACTGTTTGTTCATAAACTCTAAATTACCATAAGAGGCTCCAAAATTTCAAAAGCCAACTTGTCAAACACAGCCACGTTTTGATTATTTATATCTCCCGTAGCACTGGAACAAAGTTTCATCCCTATGTTACATTATTTCGAGGCTGCCCGCAGGGAACGACAAAATTCTTTCAGAATTTTTTCATGACACTTGTTGATAGTCTGCACGCCTCAGTAACTGAGATAATAGCCACGCCTCAGAAACAACCTGTTCGAGCATTCAGTCTGAATATATATATGTATTAAGTTTGTTTTTCAGTGCGTCACAACCTTTGATGGTTCAGTCATCAACCAAGCCCGACTGAGCGGTCTTTCAACGCAGGAGTTTGGCAAAAGCGTGTTCGAAACGTTCGCTCGAATAAAGAAAACTGCTTCTTCGACGCACCTCTTGGCGCTGTTGACTGCGCTGACCTTATTTAGTCCAGACAGAAACTATTCCAAGGAACTAGACGCCAAGGTTGATAATGTGCAGCAACACTACATCGACCTCCTGAGACAATTCATCGCGCGCAACCATCCTCTAGAAAAGAAACTCTTGCCTCGGTTACTAATGCTTCTCACGTATCTGCGACAATTTAGGCAAGCATAGAGCTCTCTTTCACTTGCTTACTGAAATGTAGTGATCACTCGATGATACAGCACAAAGCGACGATGAAGCCCTTCGAGCACATTGCGCCGATGATGATCGGGCACATTTTGAAAACGCCGAATGTCCCTTTTCCACTTTCAACCACTGTTATCGGTCGAGACATGCCTGAATCTAGTTACAATTAAATTATTTTTCAACAATACCTTCGGTGGCCTATCAAGTAAGTAGCCTCCGCAAAAAATTGCTTCAATGATAATTATTTGTTAGAATGAATATATTTTTATGATTTTTAGTAACTGCCAAGTGAACACAGCTGCCAAGACAAGAAGCTGATCTAGTGCCTAGCGATATGGGAAGAAATATGACGTAGAAGGTTTCAAATGTTCCAAAGCGAGAGATACTCGCTTCAAAAGAACTGATAGTGTTTATTTCTTTATAACGGTCTACGAGAATGGAATAAAGAATGACTGCACTTCTTTGCTCATACTCTTGACAAAACATTTCAGTTGCCTCGTTTTTTGATTCTTGTTTTTTTTTGTACTCAACTGCAGGAAGTTGACACACTCTAATTATGAGTAAAGACTTTTTTTGATGGTGACTTCATTTATTGAACAGCAAGACATGAAAATTAACGGTCAAATCTGTAAAAGCTTACTGATGGTTGTTAAATCGACGGTAGAAGTCGGCAATCTTGAAGATTAGCTTGTCCTTGGCTTCGACTGTATTAGTTTTTAGTTGCAAGACTACCTTACCGTTGTTTTTCTACTACGTTCTTCTTTTCCCCTGTAATGAGTTCGTATAATAACTTCTATATTGAAAAAAACGATGGTTTTTCAAACTCTTTCCTTTTCCAAATCATAATTTTCAGTAGGCAAAGGATGAACAGCAAGGACTCCCCAAGAGAGAGGACAACTAGTCTTATCTAAAAATACGATTTTTTAATACCAAATTCAATATTTTCAATAGGCGCACCTTAGTCTGACAGCTAAGCTCATACAGAGCAGTAGATAACACAGTTTGACAACCGATTTGGTGGATTTGTGACCAAAGTCCTTCAATTTCGCATTTATGAAAATTATTCTCGTCCTTGCAACAGCTTCGCGGGACCGCATTGTAGAGATTCTCTTCATAGGCGGCCCACGCTGATCCGAGAAAATCGGCGGATCCATTTATGCCACAGCACTGGTATTTTCTTTGGAGCTCATCCCAAGTCGAATTTCCTGCTGGAGACAGTTCATCGAAAAGCTCGCGATGCAGATTTGGCCAGTGAGTTGTTCGAATCGATTTCCATTGAATATGAGATATTCCTGAAACTGATTTCGAGAATCGAAGATGGAGATGATACTCACCTAAGTAGAAAATAGTAAATGCTCCTAGAGTCAAGGCTCCTCCGGCAAAAAGAAGTGACGTAATGAGCCAGCTCCATTTGTCAGCATGGATAGTTATCTACCTCTTGATATTGATGTTTTGTTTACGTATGTATTAGGTCTATAATATATGAAAGCCATATCAAGAAAACTGGTGTTAAAACTATCGAAATGATCGCGAATATCGCAACAAGAACGGCCGTCTTATCTGGAGTAACAAAATATCGTCAAGAAATATCGTTTCTAGCAATTCATAGCAATTTATTTCTCCAGTCCTGCACAGAAAAATGGTCAATTCCAACCAAGTCTAAAATATCGAATTCGTGTTCAGTGTAGTCCTTAAAAATATAGAATAAAGGATTTTATTCTATATTCTACGAAATTGTGCTATCTATGATATTAGTCTTCATTCAAAGTATTGAATGACTGTAATGTTATCTTGCACCTTTGTGTTGTAGACGGCGAGAATGATCGCTGAAACTAAATAAAGACAATTCGTAAAAATAGCGCTCCGCCGAAGAAAATCCATCTCTTTGAATGAAGCTGAAAAAGGTCGTCGAATAAGTTTCAGGTCCTGGCGCATATTAAGGGATCTAATTAATCGTCTCACTTTAACAATGGCCATTTTCGATATACCACAGTATCACCGGGGAATGTTCAATAAATACCCCTTTCCGTCCTCTTAATGAAAGTCCAGAGAAAATTTCTCAACAGAAAATAGTAGACGTCTGCTTACGGAGTCTCCTGACGCATAGATATTTTCCATTATTCTCTTAAAATAGCTGTGACTTCAGCACATCTTTAGACTCAAATAACAGTTGGAAATTTCTCTGATTTAATCAAGTCATAAGAGCACAATCATGACTCTTCAACATTGTGAGGTCAGTGGAATTTTTAGTGATCGCGGAAACGGCTTGAGACGTCGTCGACGAATAAAAGAAACTGTACCCGAAATTGATCTCTACGTTCCATTACATGAGTTTACAGAATTTCATCAATCAAAGAGTAAAGACTTGAAAAGTTTATTTGGTAAACAAAGTCGCGCTTCGATTAAAATTACATTTTTTCTTTCACAAATTAGAATGATGTGGAATTGAGGTCTTCTTTTTGATTGAAATTACAGATTTCCGGCTTTATACGAAAAACAAACAAAAGTGCAGAAAGGATCACCAGCGCAAAAAGAACATTCAGAACAGTGGACATCCAGAACCAAACTGTGCGAAATCCTGTGCCACAAATCTTGCTCTCCTTTATCGTCTTGATCGTCGAAATCTCATGTATTTCAGTCTTTAGCCGCTCTATCTCGGATATTTGGTGTGACATTTGAATCTCTGAAAGCGGTTTTGCACTTCCGTTTTAAGAACTTGTTTCGAGTAAAGTTAATTTAATAGTTGGTCAAGTACCGTAATCGATTCATGAAAACCAGCCTAATATTTGCTCTTTAAGTTTTTCATTTTCTTTTTCGAGTTTTCTCACTCGTGTTTTCTCAATATAAGCTTCATATTTGAATTTTCCTTGAACTTCAGGACTTGCTTCGCTCTCTTCAAAATAAAAAAGTGTCAGTGTTTGGAAAAGGTCGACCTCACCTATATCTGATGTTTCCTCTAGAAGTGATTCTCTTCCACGTTCTACCATTCCGATTGAAAATCACGGAAAAATGTATTTTGAGCGATTAATTACTTTTTATTTTAGTGCGGGTCTTAGGACAGAAGTCATAAAATAAGATGGAAAAAGTGAAGCGGAGATGTTTTAAAGGCTGCCCTTTCTGTCCACAAAAGAGATTTAAGGGGATCCGCTCTTTCATGTCCCGTTAATGCTCGCAGTTTTGATGATGGGGCACTTTTCTAGATGAGAAAAGAATTTGTTTGTTTGTGGCCCTTAAAAGGGCCGGTTTTAAAGAAGCGTCTAAAAGACGTCCTTAGTTCTTCTTCTTGGGAAGAAGGACGGGGTTGATGTGGGGGAGGACACCACCTTGAGCGATGGTGACTCCGCCGCAGAGTCGCTGCAGCTCTTCGTCGTTTCTGACGGCGAGCTGGATGTGTCGGGGGTTGATTCGGCTCTTCTTGTTGTCCCGGGCGGCGTTGCCAGCCAGCTCGACGACCTCGGCGGTGAGGTACTCGAGGACGGCGGCCAAGTAGACTGGAGCACCGGCGCCGATTCGATCAGCCCAGTTGCCGTTGCGAAGCATTCGGTGCACTCGGCCGACGGGGAACGCAAGTCCAGCGCGGGCGGAGCGGCTCTTCTTGCCAGCCTTGGTCTTCTTGTTGAGGGATTTTCGTCCGGACATGTCTTGCACTTTCAGAGTAAAAAGTGAGAATGAGCAGCCCCACCTTCCCGGGCCCTTTATATAGGCACGGCTGGGAAGAACAACAGTCCGCTCTAGAAACTTTTTTCGCAAAAAAGAGAAAAACAACAACGACCAACGCGCGGATTCTCTGGAAAGCGCAGAGAGAAAAACAAATTCTCTCCAGAAACTTTCTAGAGCAGCGTAGGCGGATCCTTCCCAGCAATGTGTATATAAGGCCGCGTTTGAGCGAGATTTCCACAGTCCGACAATTGAAAAAAGTCGAAAACACCAAAATGGCCAAAACTCCCGCCAAGCCCGCCGCCACCGCCGCCCGCAAGTACCGAAAGGCCCGAAAGGAGTCCTTCCAGACCTACATCTACAAGGTGCTGAAGCAGGTCCACCCCGACCAGGGAATCTCCTCCAAAGCCATGTCAATCATGAATTCGTTTGTGTGCGACATCTTTGACCGTGTCGGTTGTGAAGCTTCCCGCCTCGCCAAGATCAACAAAAAGTCGACGATCTCCTCCCGGGAGATCCAGACTGCTTGTCGACTCCTCTTCCCCGGAGAGCTTGCCAAGCACGCCCTCTCCGAAGGTACTAAGGCTGTCACCAAGTACACCGCGTCTAAGTAATTATTTTACTTGACGCTTAAAAACAGGCCCTTTTAAGGGCCACAAATTTAAAAAACCTTGATCTACGAAAGTAGACTGAAATCTATGGCTACCTGCTGAGGCGAGGTGGAATCGCTCGTCACGATTTCCTCAACTTTCCTCAATTGCACACTATCTATTGATTCGATATTCTTAGCGACCGAAAAAGGAAACGGTGACGGTTTTCGATAAAGAAATTCGTTAGTCTTTCTTGATATCGCCAGATGCTACCGGAAAGAAAGGTTCGCGAATTCGGCCTCGCGAAAGAACCAGACTGGGGCTGTACTCGAGGGCGCTGTACCTGGGCGGCGCCCTACTACAGCACATGCAGCACCATTCCGTCAGAATTTCGATGTCAGACTCTCATTTCGCTCCGCGCGAAAATCGCGATAAACATAATTTCTCGGCTGTCGAGCAGATAAAGTACTCGGCAAGTTAGGAATAGTGAACAAGTTTATCTAGCGAGCCCAGTTCTTTGTCTTCTCTTCGCCTTCATTCGAGACGGAGAGTTAGAGATTTACCCAGATATCGGAATAAGTTTTTCTGATAAACGTATTTCGGCAGTGTGAGTAAGTTGGACCAAGATGAGTCTTTCGATAAAACGGAAGGACTCGACTTTCTCCAACTTCACTTAGAGTGTCGAGAACTCGACCGCGAGAGAGCTCGCCCTTCCTGTCTCGCCGACACCTCATTGGCCGCGAGAGCTCACATGCGATGTGCCGAGCCCCAACCACATCTCAACAAAAGAGCAACTCATTTTGCAAACTTCTTATCCGTGGAAAGATAGGAAGTGTAAAGGCATCGAATAGTAAGTCATTGCACTCCTACTTTCGCTGATCTTAAGTTACAATCGTCTTTCTGTCGGTCTTTCTGTGGAACTATTTGACGACCTTGTGGTCATTAGCAGTTCGAATTCTTTCTGCCAATGTCCAAAAGTATTATTATGTATTAAGTATAAGTATGTATAAAGTTGCTTGTGAGCTAACTTAGTTTGTAGAAACTGATTTGTATTTTTATAATTATAGAAATCAACGAAGAAAATCTTGATAATTTGGTCGAAGATATGAATCGAGCGACGTTATAAAAGTTTTCCGTGAGTATTCTCCAGAACACGTTGCTTGTTGTTGACTCTTTGGGAGAACCAGGCAGAACCAAAACAAAATATCTCTAGAATTCCCGCAGGTTGTCTCCCGCACCGAGTCCCCCTGGCTACCTTGCCTATATAAGCAGCCGCAAATCGCCATTTTGCTCACAGTCTCAAAAACACTGAAAAATCAACATGGCCCGAACCAAGCAAACCGCCCGCAAGACCACCGGAGGTAAAGCTCCTCGAAAGCAGCTCGCCACCAAGGCTGCCAAGAAGAGCGCACCTGCAACCGGTGGCGTCAAGAAGCCCCACCGATTCCGACCTGGAACCGTCGCTCTCCGAGAGATCCGACGATACCAGAAGTCGACCGAGCTTCTCATCCGAAAGCTCCCCTTCCAGCGACTCGTCCGCGAACTCGCCCAGGCCTTCAAGACCGACCTCCGCTTCCAGTCCTCCGCCGTCATGGCCCTCCAGGAGGCCTCTGAGGCTTACCTCGTCGGCCTCTTCGAGGACACCAACCTCTGCGCCATCCACGCCAAGCGGGTCACCGTCATGCCCAAGGACATGACTTTGGCTCGACGAATCCGAGGCGAAATGAACTAAGTTCCGACTTAGTGAATCAAAACCGGCCCTTTTAAGGGCCACAAATATCTTAAAATCTCACCTCATAGCATATCTTTTGCTCGCAACTGGTGAAACAAACAAAATTGTTCTCGAAATGAGGACAACTTATGTCTTTGATGATGCATGCTAATCTCAGCTCTCTTGCTTTTTTTAAATGCCGTAAAATTTAGAAGGTAAATGCAATAAGTTAGACACGAAAAGCGTACAGCACTAAGATTGTTTTAGCTCTGTAGTGGATTTTTCTGATATCAATTAGTGTATTCTTTATTGCTCGTATAAAGTGTAAGTGGCAGTGGCGATGCTCTTATCGGATAAGTGAAATAAATTGTCACTTCAGCTTTCAGGGTCTGAGATTTTCCCTAAAGATTTCGTTTGGTCATAGTTTTGTGTTTTAATATCTAACCTCATCCGCTGTTTGTGGTGTCTCTCCTCCGCAACGACTCCCTCTTTGCATTTGCGCACCATTTGCTTGGCATACTTGATCTTCTCCATCATGCCATTTGTGATTCCTAGCGTGTGGAGCTTGCGTACCAGGAACGTCTGGGTAGAGCCGTCCTGGTTCAGCAAGGTTACTGCTTTCATCTTAGGGCAGAAAATGACCTTCTCATGTGACTCGAACCAGTTCACTTGCATGGAGCCGTTGGAAAGCCACAGGCAAATAGCTGTCCTAGTTCGGAACCACGTTCGAAGATAAGGGAGACGGGAAAGCTCGTCTCCTTCTTTTGGTGCAGCCGCTGCTCCCGCCTAAAAAATCAATGAACGGACGTTCAGAATTGAACTCATTACCTTGAGCAAATGTTCGATCATGTATTTACGGAAGTAATCGACGAGCGAGACCTTCTTCTTGACTGCTTGAGGGAAGTCATTCTTGGTGAAGAAGCTCTCCTGGTACTCTTTGTCTAGGTACTGCATGTTCTTGGCATTCGCGTGCAGCATCGCTCGTGTGGCGTCGTTAAATAAAACTCCTACTGAGTTATCGCACAACATAAACCCTGAAAGAATATTTAAGAAAAGATTAGACATTTGTGTTGCAAACCAATTCCGTATTTGTCGGAGTAATCGACCCATTTCGAGATCCAGTAGACAGGGGAAGAAGCGGGGTGCTCAGCATCCTCAGGCAGCTCTGGAACTTCATGATTGGCGTTGAGGATTGCATCCTGCAGCAACTCGTAAAGGCTATCGATGTCTTCTTGCTTCCTTTGAATGCGCTTTGTTGTCGCATCTGCCTTAGCCACGAGCGTGTCGTCCTTAAAATATAATAAAATGAGAAAAATTCCTGCGTAAATCTTACCGGCATGAGTGATTTTCGAATGGTCGGTCGCGCGTAACCCTGGTTGTCCTCCCCTTCTGGCATGTTGTCAACGGCGATCAGTGGCTTCTTCGTCGTGTTGAAGGTCATCTGGCGCTCGGTGAAATGGGGACGCACAGTGAGGGAAGAAGTAGGGAGTCTTTTCGGAAGATATCCTTCCGTCAGGAACTCGTGCTGCAGCATTTTTGTGGCCGTGATACGCGTCTTGGGATTGTTCATCAACATAGAAGTGATAAGGTTAGACGCGGCTGGGCCAACGGTATCCTCGGGAATGACGTACTCGGTTCGCTTGATGCGGCTGTACGTCTCCTGAAAACATGATGTTTGAAATCAACGAGGAGAGAAAAACAAATCAACGAAGATAAACTAAACGAACCTTGAGTGATGAGGTTTCAAAAGGTGGCTTTCCCACCAGAAGGGTGTACATGATGCAGCCGGAAGACCACATGTCAACCTCGAAAGAATGGCCGCTCTTGACCAGGATCTCTGGCGCAATGTAGTTGGGCGTGCCGCACAGAGTTCTCTTCCGCTCATCCGGGGAGTTGATTCTCGTCGCGAGCCCGAGATCGCCAAGCTTCAGGACCATGTCACTGTTAATGAAGATATTTCCCAGCTATAAAAAAGGTTAAACCGGGTTAGATGAGACGTGGTCACCTTCAGATCTCGATGAATAATTTTCATCGTGTTGTGTAAGTAGTCCATTCCTTCGCCAATCTGTTTCATGTAATATCTTAATATACTGTCAGACTTGTTAGGCGAGAAAGAACATTACCGGACTTCAGGCTCAGTAAGTGGACCTCGTCGCTTGTGAAGCTCCATTAATGACTGTTTCTTGCAGATTTCCAAGGTTATGTAGACAAAGTGTGGATCTTGGAAGGAGCTCTTGAACATCACCACATTTCTGTGCTGTAGCGTCTTGTGGAGTGCGATCTCTTGCATCATCTTCTCCTTTTGATGCGGCTTCGTCAATAATGATTTCGATACAACCTTGATTTATCGATCAAGATGGGTTGTTTAAGATGATTCGGTACCTTGCCGGCAACAACCTCCCCGGTTGTTGCATTTTGGAACTCATAGCACCTGGCGAAACCACCTTTTCCAAGGTAACGAAGTCTAAATCAATCGTATTAATACAGTTCGAAGCTTGATTAGATTCCTACCGTTTGTATGTAACGCCATTTAGGGTATCAGAAACGGTCGTTGGAATAGGCGCGGTTTCTCTACGGCGGCTCATAATATGCTATGCTGCTAAATAAAAGTCAAAAAATATATATTTTCTTATTCAGAATTCAGGAAGAATCTTTCTTTCAGGAAAAAATCGAATAACGCTTGTCGGCGCGCGCTTTCTGTTTTTATACCACGCGCGGGAGATTCTTCTGATTGGGCCTCTGCTGAAAGCCTGCTCCCTAACTACATCTCTAAAGAATCTCTAAGAATTCGACGAAAATGATTTCGGCCTGACATTTTTGAATCCCGATAAGACGTCATAGCAGCGCCACAGCAAGCGATCAAGTATTCCTATCGTCCTGTACAAAAGCTCCACTTCTTATATTTCTTTTGACTTTCACCTGCACCTCCCTCTGTCAAAAAGCAGCAGTCAAGTTCGACTGATAAGAAATAACCACAAAAATAAATCTAGAAAATATTATAAATCGAAATATTATAAGTTTCAATCACGGATATTACAGACGGAAGAATTCTAACAAATGTCCAGAAGTAAAAGGACCGTTGGTCAATTGAGAATATTCTTGAGCATCGAACGTCAAAAGCTTAATTCGTTTGGAAATCGGCGAGGCGAACCAGACCACTTGATAGAGTTACTGAAGTGGGACTAAAAGTGACCTGAACAAGCTAAAAAGAGCTGTGTCAGTCGGGCGCGCTTGCACTACTTTTCGCGATTTTCGAGATTAGCAAAAGTCAAAACTTGTCAAAGACTACTTTATACGCTTTCACTGACTCATACCAGATAGTTTGATTTAATCGAATTTTTTTATTAAGAGCACTTGAACTTTATTGGACTTCTGGAAGAAATCAGGTAAGATGTTAAATTTTTGATATCTCAGTTATCAAGCCAGTCAATCCAAGAGCGTGACGTTGATAATTTATTGCAGCAAAGTTGGCTTTATTAATAAAATTTTCAAAGCGATAAAAGCTCGTTTACGGGAGTTCGCCAATCAGAGAGCGCGCCAGTAGCGAGCTGGATCAGCCGTGGTCGGATCGCCTCTGAATTTTTAATTGCACTTGCTAATCACTTTTTGAAACGGCAGCATTACTAGAAACCCCTAAGAAACCATTTCTCGGAAAAAGAGAGATTGAGTAGAAGACTTGATGAAGCCAAATGAATATCTTTAAATATTTGCCATTTCTCGCAGTTACTGAAGCAAAAATCGTAGTTTTCAATTTTGAGAATACCTAACTTAGATATTTGCAGACAGAAAAGACATTACCGTCTCCGTTTATGTTTTATTAACGCGTGAGCATAATTATTCATCTTTTTGAAAACGAGGCTTTCAGAAAAAAAAAACGACAAGAATCGGGAAAGTGTTGAAATGAGCGGGCGAAGACCGAGGAGGCCGGACGCCGAGGACGATTCCCTCACCTCCATCGCCAGAGAGGTACTTTTCCTTATCTTCTTCTTCTTTTTCTAACTAATTTCCAGGCAGAAGCGCGGCTGGAGGCAAAGAGAGCGGCTAGAAAGGAAGCTCGTGAAATCCGACTCAAAGAACTCGATAAGCAGCAAAGAGAGGTAAGCTGTCCTTTTCTTGAGAGACTCAAGAACTAGAACACTCGTCTAGGGAAAGCGCTGGAATGATAGGTCCATGCGTTATTCGATGCCCAACTTGGTATTTTTGTTTTTGCTTTCTTTTTCTTCCCTTTTTTTCTTTCATCCTTATTCCTCATCTTCATGTTTTCTCTTCAAAAACATTCTTGAGCGTGCTTTGGTTGAAACTAACATTTGGCAAAAAGAAATAAGAAAATTAAACTGAAGTAAATTAGTCCTCATCATCCCGTTCGGGCTCTTCTCTTTCGCTGTACAAAAGCCAGTCTCGGTTAAACTCGCGAAATGGCTCCGAAGTAGACTCTCTCTACCGCTGTGACTCGCGGAATTCTCTCTTCTCGGACGTAAGTCTCTTTCTTTCTTTCTTATCTTCCGCCTCCCCGCCTCTCCTCCGCAACACTATCTCCATCGATTTTTTCCGGCGCTCTAAAAACACGAATATGAGAGTAGACCCAGTTATACTCGTCCATGTGCGACAAGAGTAATTTTGATGAGCTCCTCGAGATTCTATCCGAAGAGGTACCTTCCATTTCAGTTCGCTCTAATTCAAATCGGCGGATTTGGACCTGAGTCACTCTCTTTTTCAAGGCAATTCACAGAATGATTAAGAGTCAATTTGTGAATTTAGCGACCTTTTCTTTTTCTTGAAACAGTGATGCTTTATCGCTGCGAATTTTATCTCGCGCAGACTGATTTTAAATTTACCTTTTATGCCAGATGGACGATTTAGAGAGCCAATCCGGCGACTACCTTCTCAACTCTTACCAGGTACAGCTGCATGTTCCTTTAGTAAGCGTGCTGTTCACAAAGAGAGTTGTTTTCTTCTAGTTCTTGTACATGGGATTATTTTCGTTTTTAAGTTGATTTATCAACTATGTTCAGGAAGGAAATGGCTCACTCCCGAAGAGGTTCGCCGATACAAACGACTACTCGACTTCGAACGGCTCGAATGGCCGCCCCAGAGTAGAGGTAAATTATTTTTAGCTACTGCTCCGCTTAAATGAGTAGATCTCCGCCGAGGACCGCGTCCGGCGCTTGGAAAATACCTATTTCAATGAGCTGAAAGAGCTCAAAGTAAGATCCTTGTGTGAGTTTTGAATTTGTTGACTACGAGTTTTGGATTTAAACTAGAGGCGAGTGTGAGAAGAGAATGACCCAGTGTGACGTCTTGGCTTATCCGCTCACACGAATATCGCTAATCACTTCCTAAGGAGTCGTCGTCAGCCATCGAGGAGAAATACAAAAGGCGATGGTGCAGAACGCACAGCTCGACAACGAGAAGACCGCCTGGCACTACGAGAACGAACACCTAAAGAACCTTTTGGAAGAAAGGGAGGACACCCTCGCCACCACGCTCAAAGAACTCAATGAAAAATGCCAACTAGCACAGCGACTAAAGGTGCACTTATCCATTCGAAGTTGTTGAATTTAATGATTTCAGACACAAACCGAAGCTCAAAATCTCAAACTGGACCAGTTACGCGAAATCATCAGACAGAAAGACCAGATCATCCAGGTACACTCTTAAAAAAACAACAACAGCAGTGGAACCAATCGTTAGGACAAGTCGAGTAAGTCGGAGAGTCAGGAGCAGTTGCGCGAATTGCGCGAGACGCTGATCTGGCGAGACAACAAAATCAAAGCGCTAGAAGTCCAGCGCGACTACTTTCAAAATCTAGCGCAGTCTCAGATTTCCCTTGTTGCAAAGAAGGTGTTTTTTTGCAAAAGATTGATAAAATGCTTTTGTTGCTTTTCATTTTAACAAGAGTGTGTTTTCTTGGTCTTTTTCTTGAAGTTTTTTGGTTGTGAATGGTTCATTCATGTGTGGATTCTCTTGAATATGTTAAAAAAGACAAATCAATTCGTAAAAACAATTTAGGACGGCGGTTATGTTCCGGAAAACGACGATTCTACGGAGCTTGAGCTGCTGCGAAACGAGAATGAACAGTTGAAACAGCAGCTGCTGGCCCAGAACTCGAAGAGCTCGAGCTCAGCTTCTGAAGAAGAAATCCAAGTCAAAGAGCGACTTTACCAGGAGGCGAAGGCAAGAGCGAATAAAGCCGAGCAAGAAATAGAAGCGCAAAAAGTAACGACTCGCTTTCTGATAACTTTGCTAACTCTTCGTTTCGTAGCAATACACAGTGAGACTAGAAGGGCAAGTAAGCCGGTACAAAGCTGCTGCCGATCACTACGAATCTTCGGAAGACGACCTTAAGGCCGAGAAACGTAGACTTCAACGGGAGGTAAAACACTAGAATTCCAGACCAGAGAAGCATAATTCCTAGCTGCGGACGTGGCAAGACAAAGCAGAGGAGCTAGAACTGACAAATGAACATTTGGAGAAGAGGCTTGAGAAGATCCGACAAGCGAGAATGAAAACGTGAACCAAGATTTCAATCGACGACAAAATAAAACTCGGGCAGCGAAATTTTGCATTTCTTCAACTTCACTTCACTTTCATGCCTTTGAACGACTCACTTTATGAATTCTTTAAATCGGAAGAAAAAATAAAGATATCTTAATTCGGCTTCTCGTCTCATAATCCTCAATCTTTACAAGTGAAAAGTACATCACCCATTATTCAACTTCGATGTTTCCTTATGCAAGTGTATCTACAATTTCGCATATAAACGAGTTTGAGTTTAAGACAATTCTGCATGACACAATTCTGCTTAAGTAACATTACAGGCCTACTTTTCAAAGAATACCTATCTATATGTTACAAATTGTAACTTTTAAGTTACAACCACAAGATTACCGCTTTTCCGCCTGAAATAAGTTTAAAGAAGTCCTCTTGGAATAGTTTTTTATAAGTTTGATTCGCTAAAAGACAATTCTAATCTTCTGTTGTTTTTTTCTTTTGACGCTTTTTTCATGAATTTCTCAAAGTATCTTTCCCATTTTCAATTATCTGCGCACTTCAAATCGATCCTATCAAAAGAGAGTTCCTATCACAAGAAGTGATCGAAGAGATTCTACAATTTGTGATAGTGCACACGCTCGACAGTAATCCAGCCAAGTTACGTTTTTTTTTTATTTCATTTATATGCTCTGATGCGAGCTTGAGTCATTTATAAGAAAAGAAAAATAGTCTTTGTTTGGAGGCATGAACGAATCGAAACAACAATTATCTTTTCTATCTTTACCTCTTTCTGAATTCGTCACAAAGTTCACAAAAATAAAATAGCAGTGTTATTAATAATAACTAATTGGCTTCATCAAAATCAGAATGGCAATGGTCCAAGACTTGAGCGTCGTCGGCCATGGGCGGCGAGCCGGGGCGCAAAAGGAGCGCGTTCTAGTCCTCACTCAAAATGAATTTAACAGGTATCTATTATTCACTGGCGAAAGTTCTGAGTGCATTCTTACCGAAAAATAAAGGATGGAATCGAGTTTGACGCGTCGCGAGCGCGAGCAACAACAACGCGCTGCTCAGGCTGAAGCGAAGAGGGCCGCTTTCCAGCAAAGGTGAGAATCGATTTTTTGTAGAAAAAACAACGAAAAAGGTATTGAACAAGAATTGATTTCGTGGCTGTTGTACTTTCGGATTTCCACCGGAGCTGGCCTTCTTTTCTGTATATATCGATGTAGAGAGAATTGATTGTTCTAAGTTAGAATTTAAATGGCGGAATTTTAGCAAAGAAATCTCCTCGAAATGGGATAATACTATTGCCGGCCAGCGTAAAGCAAAACTGGCGGCAAAAAAGGCGCGGGAAGAGGAGGAAGAGCGAATCAAGCAACTAAAAGACCTGGAAGAAGAAGAGTACAGGGCTGCAGAGCGAAGGCGAGTCATCGAAGATGGTAATGGAAGCGCTTAAAGCTACGGAAATGATGCTTTCTTTTTAGCGAAAAAGAAGATGTTTAACGCAACGGATCGAGTCAAGGACTTTCACGCCGCATTGACGTTCACAGAGGTCCTCAAAGAACGCGAAGTGCAGATCGAGCACAAGAAGCGATACGACGGTTTGAGCCTTGAAAAATGCCGCTGCTTATAAAACGTTAAATTAGAGATAATGGCTTCGCGCGATCGAAATTGGCACTTGAAAGCCGAGCGGGATCTTGAGGAGGCGGCTCAGCTCGAAGCTCAGCGCAACCTTGAAAGATTGCAGAATAATCAAATCTTTAAAAGGTAAAAATCAACAAGCTTGAATAAGAGAACATAAAAAGGAATCGCACTTTATAAATAATTTATTTTAGGGGGCTGATGGAGCAAGTGGCAGCGAAAAAACAAGTTAATGAATCCGAGGAACAACTTTGGATCGAAGAAGGAAAAGAACTCGCGGAGCAAGCAGAAGCCCACAAGGAAAAGCTGCGGCTTGAACAGGAGCAACTCGCGCTCCGGAAAAAAGAATTCGAAGAGGGGCTCAACTCCCATTTGGAAACGAAGGCGCGGCTTGCTAAAGAAGACGAGGATGAAGCTGTTCGGGAAGAGCAAAAAAGAAATATCTACGCTTCGACGAAAGACAAAATCGCGAAGATGCGAGCCCAACGACTTTTAGAGCTGCGAAAAGAATCGCAACAAGCGCGTAACCGTATGGCCGAGAAATTAGCTGCCGAATACAGAGAAGCAGAAGACGATCTCGACGAAAGGATAGAGGCTGCGCGTCTTGAAAAAGAAGCGAAGGCGGCTAAACGCGAAATGGACGAAGCGAGCCAGCGAAGAGCGAGAATCAATTCTATTAGCAAGCATCGCCAGTTGCAGCTAGAGGTTGACAGGATCGCGAAAGAAATAGAATCCAAAGAATCAGCTGAGGAGCGCGTGCGCTTGCAAGCCTTGGACAGTGAATTCCAAAAACAGGAGAAAGAAAAGTTCGCCAATCGCCGAAAAGCGACGACGAAGCTCGCTACGAATAACTTCGCCAAATACGAAGCAGACAAGGCCGCTCGAGAAGCTTTTGCGAAAAAAGAAACCGATTTTGAGAAGGTTGACGCGCAAAAGTACAAAAAGGAAGAAGCTGAATTCCAGGAGTACGCCGATAAGGTAAATTAATAGTTGTCGTCAATTTGTGCATATTGTTAGGTGATTATGGCGGCAGAAAAGGCGGAGCGAAACACATTTCCTCTGAAAGTGGTCCGTGCACGAGGTCCAGGCGGCGGGCGTGGTCCGATCGATCCCATCACCGGCATGAGGTGATTAATACTTACTTATTTATACTGTTATATTCTTACTTTTAAATGCTTACGCTGGCTGTTAAGACCGTCTTATTTGGCTGCGACGGCCGATGCTAGGCAGCTGCCAACATACAGGTAAATCTTCCTTCTTAATCGGCTCACCACACTGCAGATAGCGAAAATCAAACACGAAAGAATAAGATTCCTATTCGTCAAGTACAAGCAAGTCCGCCCATGCCATATGTATAGATTATCCGCTCATTATAAAACCTGACATGACAAGCGAGATCGATTTTTCGAAACCCCTTTAAATTTTAAAAGAGCCATTGGGAACTGATTAAAACTTGAAAGCGCGCGAAAACAAAGGTTTTTTTGTAGGAATCCCGAGACGCTTGAAATTCGGAAGAACTTGGAGCCCGGCGTCGCCTCTGTTGGTAAGCAGCGCCTCGGCTTCACCTGGTAACTTCACTTCTTTTTTCATCGCGCCTGTACACCAACTCTTCCACGCATTTCGCATACTCTATTTTTCTACTGATCTTCCTTATTATTTTATTTTCCTACAATATGATATTATTTTTGTAAAAAATCGATTTCAATAAATAAAACCACATTTTTAAGAGGAAAATCGAATGGAGGACAAAGGGACGAGTTCTAATGGGCCTTATGAACGGGCTCAACTTAAGAGAATCGCGTGACTCACATGATCTGAACTTGTTTGAACCTGTATAAGCGTAATTACGGTTTTGATCCGACCGTTTGCCGGGAGCAAATCATCCCTCTTACGCGGCTAGAGCGGGAGAACCAACTCGAGCGCGATGACCTGGGATTGCTCGCAGATACAATTGAGCGGCTCGATGCCGAAATAGAAACCGATTTGAAGGCATGATGTATTTTCAGAACCCCCGCGAATTTCTTTTAGGAGTTTCCTCATTTGTCGAAAGAAAAACGAGCTCCAGACAATTTGGAGCTACTGGCAGGCAAGGTCTCGGATTTGGTGTGACCCGCTGTGCGCAAAAATGAGTCCCCTGAAATGGCGCACAAAATGATGTGCGCAGCATTCGCGGATCCCAGAAAAGGCTGTGATTCAGTCTAGCACACCGCCAAATTTGCTGTGGCCGATCACAGCTCTCAATCACAGAATTCGTGTGATCCAAAAATTAGGGATGGGAATTCAGGCTTTCATAACGAGGGATTGTTGAATCATCTCAAAGGTCGAAGCCGCGTTATCGGAAATTCTTATCATCCGGCCATGGGATGAATAGTTTTCCTAATGAAATTCAGTGATAAATTCATGGGTCGGGCGAAAGGAATTCTGGATCACAAAAAATTTGTGATCCAAATAAGACTGAATTTCAATTCTGTGATCGAGCCTCGATCACAGTTCCTCTGTGATCGAATATACCTGCGCACATCTTATTGTGCGCCTTTTCAGGAAACATGTTTTCGTGCACAGCGGATCACACCAAATCCGAGACCTTGCTGGCAGGGGCGATGAAGCGCGTGGCTGAGCTAGAAAAAGAACTGAAAACAGCTCAACGACGAGCTCAGCGAGCAGAGCTAGAGCTACAGTATGTTTCGAGAAACGCGCATGCTACATTCAACGAGCCTCTGTACATGGTAGAGAACAAACGTCTGCGCTCACAGATAATGGAAATGGAACAGTTTTTGGCTGACTATGGCTACATCTGGGTGGGAAACGATGAGCTCTCCTCGAGCAATGACTCTTCAGGCCGGTAATCGCCTCATAAAGCATTTGATTATTTATTCATCTCCTCGTTACATTTTCGCGATACCGAATCAGACGACGAAGAAGAAGTAAATTGGCCGAAGATCGTTAGCAACATCGAGGAGTTGAACGAACTTTGCGGAAAAGACACGTCTCGCATCGTGCAAGATGGCGCTGGCGGAACCTCAAGGCTCCAGAAAAAGGAGAAGATCTTGATCTTGCTTTATACTCGAATGGAATTCTGCTTGGTGAAGGTCCTTTCCGATCGTTGGCGCATTCGCGTCAATTCTTGCGTGATCTTCAAGACGGGTTCTTTCCAACTGAGTTGCAAACTCGATTCCCTGATGGACTGATTTTCAACGTTAAAGATTTTCATTCTATTTCATACTCGAAGAAGTTCCCTGGTCTTGGCAAAAGTCTGCAGGAGCCGGTGATCAGGTAAAAAGAGCTGTCTTGATAGTATTTAAATAATGAGATTAGAACGAACGATCCTCGACTTATCGAAACAGATATTTCAAACGAGATGAGCGACAAGTTAGACTTGGCTCGTTCGGGCACGCGTATTTCTACGAGTAAGGGCATAACGATTCGCGTCCGCACTCTCGACGACAAGTTCCTAATGATTCGGATGCGCCCTTCGGAAACTGTCCGCGCTCTTCGTGAATACATTGCCGACAAAATAGAAACGAACGAGTTTCGAATTCTCACCCTTAGCGATGGCACTGGATGGACTGAAATCAAAGATGAGATTGTCTCGCTGGAGGAACTTAAACTTGGTCCTCGCGCGGCGATTCAACTTGCCAAACCGCAAAGCACCCCGACGGTTTACGAAGACTTACAAAGGAAACAGTCTATTTCATAATCAATTTATTATATAATATATGACAAGTGAACTTTGATAAACCGTTTGAAAGACACATTTCCAACCTTCGTACACCACGCGTATAACATCGCCTTCTTTCAAAAATGCCAACTCCCCAACTTCTGTAGTTTTTTATTCATAAAGACCTATTTTTCTTAATTTTTTTATCTTTTATATTCTCTCATAGAAATGAGTTACGCGTATCTTTTCAAATACATTATTATCGGCGACACCGGAGTCGGGAAATCATGCTTACTTCTCCAGGTGGACTTATAAAATGCCAATAACTTCCTTACTAAATCAATTCAGTTCACGGACAAACGATTCCAACCGGTGCACGATCTTACTATTGGTGTCGAGTTTGGTGCACGAATGATCAACATTGATGGAAAACAGGTCCACTCTTCTTTTGATTTTTTAACACTGACTCGAGAATTCAGATCAAACTCCAAATCTGGGATACGGCAGGACAAGAGTCATTTCGCTCAATCACGCGCAGCTATTACCGCGGCGCTGCTGGCGCTCTTTTAGTCTACGACATTACCAGGAGAGACACATTCAACCATCTTACTACTTGGTTAGGTACGGGGCAGCGATATTTTCGAGTCCTATAAAACAATTCAGACGATGCTAGGCAGCACAGTAGCTCCAATATGGTCATCATGCTAATCGGAAATAAATCAGATCTCGAAAGGTTGAATATTTGCGTCCATTCTCTTTTAAAAACGATGTCCTAGTCGGCGCGAAGTGAAGAGAGAAGAGGGTGAAGCATTCGCACGGGAACACGGCCTCGTCTTCATGGAGACCTCAGCGAAAACAGCGGCCGGAGTAGAAGAAGCGTTTATTAACACTGCTCGAGAAATATACGAGGTGAGTAGTCATAAATGAATAGAAACTGATTAATCTCTCCGCTAGAAAGTGATTGTGCCTTCTCGGCCAGTTGTAAGTGCGCCAAGTTGCAAGGGATCAGTTTAACGCCTTTCATTTTTTTATTTCGTTCAGTAACGGTTCTTGCTTTAGAAAATTCAAGAAGGCGCATTCGATATTAACAACGAGGCAAACGGAATCAAGCTTGGGCCACAGCATCAGTCTGGCGCAGGAATGCCCAACAGTAGAGGGCAACAAAATCAAGGTGGCGGCTGTTGCTAAATCGACCCGACTGGACCTCCAAAGCTACTCGATAATTACTTCGTGTGTTCACCAGTAATCTTTCATAAAATAACGTTTTCGAGTCAATTATTCTTTGCTTTTAGTAGCTCACTACCAGTATAAACAGTAATATCATCATTATATACTCAATTATCAACACACCTATCTAGCATCTGAAATCAAAGTAAAATTGACTTGAAACGCTATCTCTAAAACCTCTCCATAATGCTGGAATTCCTATGTTCACGTCCTTATTTCTCCTTTAGAACATCTACTGTAGTGTTACCGTAATTTCAGTAGATGTTGAGCGAGGCGAGCTTCTTTCTGCGTTTTCAGTTCTTTATTTTCAGTTATTGGTCTCATTGAATGCTTCCGAATTTAGTACATTTTTCCTAATTTGTCTAAATTTAGTTACGTTAAGAGAACCTATCAAGAAATTAAAGGAGACGGGCGCGTTTCTTCTTTCTAGTCTACTGTGCAATTTGATCCTGCTATCCCTATCGTTTATAAGAGCAATGCGGCACTCATGTCTTATTCATTCACTTCATTTTCCGTCGAGCGCCAGATACTTTTAACTTTTGTGATTTCTTCATATGTTGTTTTATATAGCTAGTGTGTTTTATACAATAATTTGTCGTTTCCCTACACTATTGTATAACTCACGATTTATAAAATGATGTCCTGTTGAACTTCATCAACTTGAAGACCAAACCAAAAAATGTCCTTGCATTTCAAAAAATGTTTCTGTTATCTCATTTAAACAAATTCTATTTTGGTACGCACTCGCATAGAAAGGTTGTGTGTTCAATCCAGAGTTAAAGGATTCAAACTCACGACCATTTTCGTCGAGTGCTCAGTATCCACAATTCGCGGCAAATTTAAAAAATATAAACGTTTGTTTTAAGCACAAACTTGATCATGTGAAGCTCTTTCGACTATTTTTTACAAATCGATAAGAAAATCATCAAAAGTCTTCAATTTGAAAATGTTAAGAAATGAAAAATAAAAGATGGAAAACTCGGTGAGTTCGACTAACGCACTTGGCTCGGATGTGCCCTCCGACAAGATAATAGTCCATCTTGTCGAAGGTTATCGCACTGTTATTGTTGATGATCAGGTCAAGTTCCGAAGCGTCATCACTTCGATCACAGAAAGACTTACGAAGCAGTACTTCGAGAGAGAACGGCAAGAAGGAAGCACTGTTTCAGACGATAATATTTATGGTAAATAGCCGGAAATTCTGAGCGTCCACTAAGCAAATCATTAGGGTGGATTTTCGGAATCTGTTGGAACTGCAATGGACGCAAAGTTTGGATCCATCCGGAAACCTCTCATGGGGACTTTCTGAGAAAGTTTAATCCGTACTCCACGGCGAATCAGCAAGGGCGACTTGAGCTACTAGTGCGCTATTATCCAGACGACTTTGTTGATGTACACAAACGCCATAGGATCATCTTCACGCTCATGTACAAGCAGGTTGTTAATTAAGAAATCAAGGAAGAGAGCACACGAGTCGTATTTTTTTTTGCTAAAACTCAACTTTGAAGGTGCTGTACGAATATTTAAAAACTGACAATGTTCCTCCGGAGCTTGCGATAAAATTGGCCGGACTTGAAATCAGGCGGAAGTACCCGCAACTTAATCACAAGGCCGCGAAGTTGATAGCGAGTGCGATCGAAGATGATACTTTCAAAACGCTTTTTCCTGAAAAAGTGCTCCTTCAGTTCAAGCTACGTGATCTCCGGCGGCAAGTGGTGAAACAGTTTCAGCAAATGGACGAGAAGGCTTCATCGGACGCGGTTATTGAGTTTCTCAACCTCGTCAAGAAGCATCTCTTTTGCTTCGAGCGCGAGCACTACGCTGTCCGTCTCCACGAGTCGTTTCCCATCGCAACGACGCTGATGGTTGGACCAAACTCGTGTCAGATTTCGTATGGCTCGCAAACTGGCCACAATTTAACTCTCCTCGCGCGTTTTGAACATGTAGTTCGCATTGAGCCGATTACCGAACCAAATCTACAGCTGCTTCTTTATGTTGAAGGTTCAAACGAACCACTATACATAAATTGCTCGAGCGAGGACGAGCTCGAAAATCTTGCGGACCTTATTGACGGGTACGTCCGCGGAAGCAGAGATGTACCCGATGGAAGCGTTATTGTCAGCAGCAAATCGCGTCAGCTTCCGGACATTCCTGCGCCTTCCTTCGAATCACTCTCAAACATTCCTCAAACTTACATGCCACAGAACCCTGCTCCTACACGTATGCTTAACACTACCTACAACGTTTTAGTTGATTTAAGAAAGCCGCTTTATCCCGAAATCCCTCGAATCAGATGATGACTACGCAACAATTGTCGACCCTGTCGAGGAAAAATCTATCGACCCAAGCTTCGAACTCGACAGAAGTAAGATTGAGCTCCTCAGAGAAATTGGTCAGGAACGGTTAGCCAAATATCAATTTGTTCGTTTTTATTCCATAATCACAGTTGGAGAAATAAGGAAGTATTTTGAAGATTACTTTCGTGGGATAATTTTGTTCGCATCAGCGGTAGTGTTGGAAGCGAGAACGGCTCCGGCAACAGCGGCACGGCCTTCGTGTCCTATAAAATTAAACATTAATTTGAAGCTCACATATGATTCCAAATACCGGTCTTTTCGCCGATTTCCTTGCCTACTTTGGCGCCAGCAGCAACTCGAATCTGAAATAGAAATTTTAATCTTTTGTATTCTTCTTATCTCTTCAAGAACTTACGATTCCCATGTTAGCTTGTATCTGATAATGATGAATTTGGCTGAAGTGCGCTTGCTTTTACCCTAAAATGTTGTGTCTCTGCAAATTTCAAAGTCATTTCGCGCGGATGACGGAAAATTTTGCTTCCAACCGCATGTTATAGATAGATCACTAGTCCATCTATTACTGTATTATTCACTACCCTGGGACCAAGAGCCTGGGTATATTGCAGAAAATAATTGTATTCATTATGCTTTACTGCTCACTTTATTCAAAACTACGGGGATACAACCATAAGAGATCCTCTAGAATATGACACTCTTCTCACCTCTATATCTCGTCTAAAAACGACAGTTTTCTTTGAAGACTTTTTTGTTTGGAAGTTGCAACTTAGTCTAGGTTATCTCCTGTAAATTTATTAGTAATAGGACATTTATCGATTCTATTAGTTCTCTGTAACTGTTTTATTCGCCCCTTCTTTCGTCTTGCCGGCAATGATAAAATAATGCCTCTAGAATGGCGTCTTCTTGTATCATTGAAATGAAATAAGACTTTGAGTATGAAATAATCGGCTCTGATTTTATGTTTATAATAGCTCGACCAATAGGTTTACCCTTTTTTTAGTATTTCGAGCAGTGATAGAAACTTTTATGGGAACAAGAATTCAAACGAGCGACTCTTATATTTATATATCTAACTTGATGATGCATAACTTGATATACATAGAAAACACAGTCAATAGGTTGAGAATAAATTTATTTTTGGAAGAGAACGAAGTTTTAATTTCGTCGATCAATGAGCTTGTTGTCAGCAGTGTTAGAGGCGAGAACGGCTCCAGCGACGGCGGCTCGGCCTTCGTGACCAGTTTTTTCGCCGATTTCTTTGCCAACCTTGGCTCCAGCTGCAGTTCGAATCTAAAACTCCGTTAGAACTCTCTACTCTATCGAGCAACACTCACAAGTCCCATGTTGTTTTTCTTTCTGATGTAAATTTTTCCTGACAGCGGCAGTTATATTCTGTCTGCTTACAGTTTCGCAAATGTCAGTGAATAAAGTGGCCGTTTTGATTTTTAACGAGCGGTTCATTAATTTTTACTCTTGCGGGGACGATTTCCATTCGGTTAGTTACACTTTGGTTACTCTGAATCTCCTGAAGCTCCTAGAATCTCTAGAGGTTTCATGTGTTTCTCACTTGGCTTCTCACTCTATACAATAGCGTTAATCAAAAGAAAGTTAGATTATTTAATAAAATTCTCTAGAATTTCGCCTTCTTCCCTCTCCCTCTAAAAATGTTCCTCATTGATATGCTTATAGTACAAGCATTGTACTGTTTTAATTTGCATGCTAACCTTAAAAAGGGCCAGTTTGGAAATGTGCACTGTGCCAACTACAAGAATGATGGAATCACCGCTCTGGTGGCTGTTAAGAAGACCAATTTTGAGGAAGATTCGCAAGACTTGAAACAGAAATTTATTGAAGAAGCGCAAATCATGTGTCATTTCAATCACAAGCACATTGTTCAGCTTATCGGTGTCTGCACCAAGGTACTGATCTGACAGTATTCCTGACCCTCAACCATTATTTATTTAGGGCTGGCCGATCCTGATTGTGATGGAGTACTGCGCCCTGGGATGCATCCGAGACTACTTGATTCAAAATGCCGATGCTCTGGACATCCACCATCTTCTGGAGTACATTTACCAGCTGTCGTCTGCTCTAAAATACCTTGAAGAGCAGAACTTTGTGCACCGAGACATCGCCGCCCGCAACTTGATGCTTACTAATGAGCATACTGTCAAACTCGGAGATTTTGGGCCAGGGTTAAAAATCTAATTAAAGAAACATTATTCGGCTTACGCATGATCAATCGAAAAATCAGCTAAAATTTCGGTTTTGAACCCAGCTTCGGACTATCAAGGCAAGTAAAAGAGACTGATGCATACTACGTCGCGACTACAGGGAAGCTGCCAATTAAGTGGATGGCACCCGAGAGCATAAATTATCGTAAATTTACAAGCCAGTCTGATGTCTGGATGTTCGCAGTGTGCGCCTGGGAAATACTTTCCTGTGGTGTGAAGCCCTTTCAAGGGGTAAAAAATAATGATGTGATTCTTCAAATCGAGAATGGGATTCGCCTTGAACGCCCTGAAAAATGTCCACTGTCACTTTTCAAGATCATGAAGCAGTGCTGGAAATATCAGGCTCAGTAAGTTTCTCAAAGCTTGATAAATTAGCTCCCACGACACCGAGCGGTTGATAACGCTAAGTTCAGCCTGAGACCGACAGCGGCACAGAATCACGAGCAGATCGGCTACCTCCTCGATTCCTTCAATCAAGAGGACTCGGCAAATGTATATAGCTATGGTGAAATTAGAAAAGAATTAAGTAAACTGGCTTTCATTCTTAAAACAAGTTTTCACCGTTGACGTGAGTGTGAATAACGAGTTAAAAACGAAGACCGAGATTATGCCAGACGACCCCTTTACTCCGCTTCAAAGAAATCCTCTTCTTCCTCCTAAATCGCTCCCAAAGGTCAGTCTACAAAATTGATTGTGAACATAAGGCGATTACTAACAGTTTACTAGATTCATTGCACCTAATTGCTTGTAACCTTTGAGCATATTTTATCACTTATTTGCTGTGATCTTTTAAGCATAGTGTGTTTTACGATTTTTCAGGAAGTGCGCGAGCACACAGCTCGACAAAAGCTGGAAGAAAAAATAAAACGTGACTCGACGATAATGACAAAGATTAGTGACCAAAGCTCCGAAGCTTCTGAAAATCAGAAGTGGGCGGAAGAGAAAATGCGCCAGGCAGGGTCTTTTAGTTTGTTTAAATAATTTTTTATTCAAAACAATGATCTTTAATCAAGACCCTTCTTTAGAGTCAAGACAGTCTCAATCGCACTGGGAGCTTAGGATCTCGATCCAGTCAAAAATCAGAGTCTTCGTTGTCTGCAGTAGCCGCCCGAATAGCGCCTCCGAAGCCACCGCGAACAGCAAAAGTTAGCTCATCCTCTGGTCCTCCAGCAGCGAGTAGCACTTCTTCGGAAACGCCTTGCCACAATCCATACGCGCATGAGACACTGAAGGATGAGTCTGCTTCTCCTTTACCGTCCATCGATTCGGAAAAAGTTGAGTCTGACTCTTCAAGACACAGTGATACGTCTAGCACAAGATCTTCCAAGAAATCATCAAGTAAACTATCAAATGATTGTAAATCATATTTATATATAATCTAGTTCCTCCTGTTCCTGCGCCGATTAAACCTGTCCTGGAAGAAATGCCTAAACTCACATTAAAAGATGTAGTTTTGGACAAGACGCGAACGCTAAATCGAGAGAATGATACAATCTGGGCGGCCACATTAGCGGTCGTGAAGGAACTTGTTAGTCTCCGGAACTCTGCCGAAACAGGTATTATCGAAGCAAGGTAATCAAAGTTTGCACTCACAATAATCTTTAGCACGCCCAGACTCGCTGATCGCGCAAATTAAGTCTATCGGTCTCAAATGCAAAACGCTTGATGGTGAGGTGACCACTTTTTGTGAAAAGCTTGACGAAGCTGAGAGAAGAGAAGTCGAGCTTGAAAAGCGTTCGGTTTATGCTGAAATGAAGCAAGTCATTTCGCAAATCACAAACGTTCGCAATTTCGATGGCACGAAGGTAAAATAGCATTGGCATCTTTTCTCTTTAAAATTACTTAAACTAAGACTGCTTCTGAATACCGAAACGTCTTGATGGCTTCAATCCTTGTTATGTCCATCGCTGTAAAGAATTTGCAGGTATGTCATCTAAGTAATGCTCCAAATAATGACTTGTAAGGATGTAATCGACAAAGCCCGTCAAGTTCTAACCACATGATCTTCAATCTTCTTATCTTCCGTAACTCAAACAACTTCATAAAATTTCTGGCGCCACAGTGAGAACAATCTACAGACCGATTCAAATCGCTCAATAATGAAGACCTTCAATCAGCAAACGACAACCTACCCCATCCCCCGATCCTTAAACATGTCCAGTTCAAACGAATTAAAACAAACTGATTTTCCGCTCAATTCAAGATGCAATTTACAATTTCTGTGATTTCAAATAAAACCAACATCATATTTCAAAGGCGACTCCGCAAACTTCTTGAAAGATTTTCGGGTATTGATGTTTATGAAAAAAAATAAGGAGGAATTACGCAGGTGTAAATTAGTTTGGCCAAATATTTTTCAAAATTTAGTTGCAGATATAGATGTCGATGTTCATAAGTCTTTCATGATTTTTCTTCTCAAATTGTTACTGAAGAATCTTCTTCAGAAGCGACATTGTAGAGAACTCCGAGTTCATCCTGAGGATAATGACCAGGCTGGTCAGTTTTCTTTCCTTTTCGGCTCCTATAAAAATGTTAAAAATTGTATGATAACGGACCTTACGTGATTCGTTTCCAGAGCAAGATGCAAATAAGCATCAGAGCGATTGCAGCTCCAATGCCTCCCACGAAACTCTTCGTGTCGAAGTGAGGGATGGGCTCGATTTCCGGGAGCATTCTCTTGTCAGGCACTGTGTTACGAAAAGTGGAGAATGATTGAAATCAGACTGCCTCGAATTGTTACCGTTACCGAAAACCGGTGAATGATCCTTATCGCGGGCCACAAACTCAGATCGCACAGATTAACCACAAACTGCCCATGGCATCAAGCCGAGAAAAAATAAATACCCTACCCTAATGCATCCCTTTTGCTCGTGATTAGTTGCTTCAATTAGTTCAAATATTAAAAACTAGGATTCAAAAGGAAAATTTATTTTAGTGAAATTATTTACAGATGGTAAAAAGATTTGTCAGGATTGTATAGTCTAAGCGTGAATTTTAATTTTTCTTCGCCGAATCACCTCCTTCCGATATTTTTCTGCCTCGGTTTCGTTTTCATCATCAGTGGAGTCCTCAATGACGATTGGCACTCGGTTGACTTTTTTTATTTTTCGCTTTTTCGTGGCTTGATCTGGCTCAGGTGTTTTTTCCTTTGCCAAAGACGAATACTTGCTTCGAAGCTCGTCTTCAGAATCCAATATTTCTATTATTTCGGGAGCTGGTGTTCCTCTGCCTTCCTGATTTTCTTGCAATTCTTCAATCGCTTCCTGTATGTTGGGCTTCTTACTCTTGGTTTTCGTCTGAATTTCAATCATTTTTTTCTTCTCGTGTTTCTTCTTTTTATTTCCCTTCTTATCCGTATTGGGATTCTGCACCGGATTTTCTTCTGCTTTTCGAGTTTTCTTTTCTTTAGCCGGTGGAGTGTCAAAGATGCCAGACGAACTGCTTGTTGAAGCGGGTGCATCCGTTGATTCAGAGGCGGCAGGTTTGAAATTTACGTTGAGATTCGATGCCTTTGTGATCGCTTGAGCACACTTTTTGACTCTACTGTGAACTTTAGCTCCCGTGTTCTTCATTTTTGAGAAGCTGCTATCATCCCTCATGATTGAAGTGTGTCTAAGTTTGCTTGGCGATACTTCTTCGGCCTCCGAGGACTCGGAATCAGAGCCGTAGGTAGGTCTACTCATTTTTGGAATTTCAACTTTTCCCCAATCCACGTTGACGCTCCTTGGTGGTCGTTTATGCTTGTTTACTGGCGCTTTATAACGCCTGTAGTCGTCCTTCTTTTTGACAGCAGCGAAAAAGGCCTCGAGGTCGTTATCGGAATCGCTGCTCATTTTTGTCGTTTATGTGATTCTTAACTTAAAAACTTTTAATTTCTCGCAAGAATGTTAAGTCTCAGAATGAGGGCGAGATACTTATTCCTCCAGGGCCAGCTAGTGGGAGGGAACAGCGCCTTATTGTACTATGTTCCTTACGAAGACTGTTTGCACACTATGACAGGTGGGTTTCACACTGCCCTCTGTTCATCCGCCGTGGAAAATTTATCTCAATCAGATCTGGGGCACGTTTACGCGCAATATAAGTAATAAATCAGAAATAAATATGATATACAGTAGCAATAAACTTGAAACTGATTGATTGCTTTATTGAATTACACGAAAGAATTTTTCTCTTAGTCTGTCAATTTATCTCAAGGAAAAATATTTTTTAGTTGTGAATGGGCGTATTAGTTAACCGAAGAAAACAAACGCAGAATAAAAACTGACCGATTTTTAGTCGAACGCCTTGGCAGCAGATGGAGGTGGACAAAAAATAGTCTGCGAATGCTTATTGTTATATTTCCATAATAAGTCTCATTTTTGGGTCGTTATTCTAAGAAATTAGTTCTCCCTTAGAAAAACGTGTGATAGTCTCGCGTTCTGTCTCGTTGCTTCTCGTGACGGTAACTTCGGAGAAAATGGGTGTCTTCAGATTGAACCGCGAGTTCTCAGTGAGTCAGTTCAAATCATGCAACCCATGACCAAGAAAAATGGCCAGTCTGTCTGTCGTGTTCGAGCACTCATGCTCTTTCACGATCGCGAACCCTTCATCTTCAAGTTAGGGTAGCCAAATACTGAAGACATCGACGTTTTCATTGAAATACGCTTTCGAACCCGATTTCAAACGAAAATTCGTGGTTTGAAAGCCACTCACTCTACTCACTTTCGCGTTGTTGGATTTAATTAATTACATCAAAGTTAAAAAATCCTTTAGGAACTTATTAGGATTCTAATTTGCCAACTAATTTTCGCTCTAATAAACATCGCAGTTGTCACTTGAATTAATTTTTATGATCGATGTGCCGCCTTTTATCAACTCCAAAATCAAATTTCAAAGTAAAAACGCAAGCAGACTTTAGTCCAAAGACAAATACTTATTATTGAACAAGATCTTAGGCAATGCTTACCAAATCCAAAACCACACAGGTGGCCTTCAAATGACCCGCGAAAATATAATCCTCAGCTCACCTGGCGAAAAAAAATGAAACACTTTGTTCTCTGCTTGAAGCAAATTAACTGGGATTAACTAATGGCCCCGGTTATATAGGCGAGCTTCAGGTGGAAAATCGATTGCCGGAAGTTAGTTTAGCACAGCGCAAAGAGGAAGTTCCTTAAAAATCCGGACAAATTAATGATCAGATTTTTGATAGAAGTGGACCTTCTTTTAACTACCACTCTGTCTTTTCTCAAATAATGAAAATTTTCAAGCTAGGAGAAGCTTGCACACCCTAGAAATAAAACGAACACTAACGTGAGCACCGTGTCATGAGTGAGCCGGTGATATGGGTACGTCGCAGACACACCTCGCTGAAAATATTTTTAAAATTACGCTGCCGCTTCCAAGAAGAATGTTCAACACAGCGAGCCTATAAAAGGCTGGCGCAAGATACCACCTGCCAACAAAACCAAATCCAAAATAAAACACTCGAATAAAATTTTAGTCGTTGCATTGATATCACATGTGTGACCCACTCGCAGACCTTTACGACATCGTCTCAATGCCAATGCCGGCTAAGAAGTCAAAAGAAGTAAAAGTAAAATCAAAAACGGAAACGAAGCTTTTCAAGAAGATCAAGAAATTCACGAAAACCTTATAACGTACAAGTCGCAAGCATAACCAATGATCGGAACTCTAAATCACGACATTCTACCTCATTGAGACACCATTCCAGTCAACAAATTCCATGTACACTTGCCCGAAGCTATTTTCTTCGATAAAAAACTATACGCGTAGTATACCTGTGGAACCAAAATAAAACTGTCAAATGGATAACTTGTGGCTCCAGCGAGTATATATATCATATATAAATTATTTCTTATAATGATCACGATTGATGCAAATCTGCTCACCTTTCTTTTGTTGAAAATTTGCTAATTTCTCTACAGAGACGTTCTCTAAAAACACTAACACAAGAGTAGACGATATTACCTTTTGGAAACGATATCAGTTCCCACGGAGCGCTAGGTGTGACCCCCTACCGCGGAATTACCGAAAAAATTTGATGATGATTGATCCCCTGTGAAAATTGTTGCTGAGCACTCACTCGTGAATATAGGTTCAATATTCCCCATGTAAAGAAAAAATCTAGCACTGTGTATCATGGACTAAAGTTATCGAATATATGGTTTCAAATATCTCAACAGAGCGGCAGGTGCGGAAACCTTTCCGATTAATTAAAAGCTTTATGTGGCGTAATAAAGCTTCCCAGTTTACGACGTGCGACAGAAACGGCAAAGCAAAAAATCGTCCTAAAAATGGAGGCTGTAGAAGAGAAAGAGCCTGTTGACTATAGAATCGTTGCGACAGCAGTTAGACACGGGATTTATTTTCTAGGCCTTATATCTTTATACTTAAATTTATTTCACATAAGATCCCTATCAGCTTTATAATATTTGCAGCTTGTCTTGTCGCTTATCTTCTGTACAACCTTTGCTTCAAGAAAGACATCGAAGCCCCAACGAATAAAGAAATCAACAAGGACGAACTTATTCAAAACCTCAACATCGTATAAGAATCTGCCTCCTGAGATACAAAGATAACAACAAACAGCCATATTGTAAGCTGTTAATGCTTCAATCTGTGACTTTTATAACAACAATAAATATTTTTATTTCCGATTCTTTATGATAAACAGGCAGTGATGATATAAAAATAAGTGAAACTAAATAAGGAAATTGACTAATCTTGGTTAATTAGAGAGTAAGTCGGTTTTTGTCTGGAGAGTAATTTTGAACTTTTTGCACTATTTTGTAGAATATGACTAAGTACACTATAGTTAGCAAAGGAAAGAGCCATTTCCAAACGTTTGAAGCAACCTGAATAATAAGTGTAAACGCTTGAGTCGTCTACATTTCGAATATACTTTAACTGTCGTTTTAGCGGCCGTAGAGATGACGGACACAACATCTGATTGGAAGGAAGTGTTAAGCAGCTCTCTCTTCCGAGCGGGCGTTCCGAAGCTTATTTCCATCGCGTCGCCCGCGCCATCAGGAAGCCCAAAATTTGAGACAGAGTCGAACGGCGTTATTCCTTCGTCTTCTTCATCAATCGACATATTTCCGAAGCTAGAGTCCAGAAATCCTAGTATAATTTAATAAAACCGTCTCTTCATTTGAACAGACCTTTTTTCTCTGGCGAATACCGAGCACCGATCTGAGTAGGAGGCTTTCTAGGCGAACCATTCGGAGTAGAATGCTGACTGGATGGTTCACTCTCGTCACTTGTTTCCAGTAAGGAAGAAATTATCTGAAAATGAGTTACTACTTAGCCAAGTTTAAGTGTACTCACTTCGTCATATTGATTGGCGAAATTTCGAAAAAGATAAAATATCAAAACGGTTTCAATGCCGAGCTCGATCTTCCAGAGAATAATCTTCATTTGCTCCAAAGTGTTGAAGATTTGCAGCGCGATCGTTACAGATGAAGGGATATCAAAGTTGGTAGTGAAAAGCATGGGCAAAAATTGGCGCAAAATGACACAAAATATGAGCAGAATCGAAACCTAAAATGTAGTTGACCGCAAGCCATCGCATTTTTACTTACGCGGGGAGCTTTTTTTGCCACTAAAGAAGTAAACGTAATGTACAATCCAAAAGCGAAGCAACCCATGTACTTGGTTATAGTTAGCCCAAAGATGGAGAACGTAGCTAGCGCAAGAAAGCCTAATATTGTCAGGAAACGCATTCGCCTGAAAACGATTATAATTAATTGAGACTTTATAGAAACCTACCGGAAAAGAGTCAAATCAAATTCCGATCTATCCTCATTTACCACAGTAGGCTGAGCTGTCTTCTGGCTCAACAATGTATTCGCTATTGAGTTGTAGACTGATCTCGGGGGAGTTCGCCAGATTGATGTAGAAGCTGCTTGCGATACCCTAGAGCGCACATATGCAGATCCAGGGCGGGATGCGGAATAGCCACTGTCATTTGTGGATTGTGAGTTAGACTGAGATTGACTCGCTTGATAGGTAGCTTTTAATCCAGCTAAATAAATAATGAAAATACTCCTCGTTCTTGATTTTACCTTGTTGATTCTTTAAATATTGGTCAATTTTCCTCTGGCACATCATACACAGCCTGTAAGTCCTCTCTAACTGTCTTTCGAATTCGGCGATCTCTTCATCTTCAAATGCCTCAGATGAAGGCACGAATTCCCTCAAACGTCTGGCTTTTATTTCTGGAAGGTCGCTGCATCTCGGGCAAAGTTGTGGGGCCCCGTACTGAGCTGGAGCTTTCACGGGCGTACAGAATGTTGATCCACGTTCTTGGAAGCGATTTGTCCCTTTTTTCTCCACTTCTGCGTTTTGGTCGATATCACCCTCAGATGTGAAGCCGTTGAATTGATCGCAGACAGAACAGGTCCAATTGTTGGTCTCTGATGCTCTAATAAAATGACTTTTTCCACAGCACCAGCAGTTCAATTGAAGCTGACGTAGGTACAGAAACCAGTATCCAAAGAAGCTAGCTAAAGCAGTCGCCGAAAGCGTCCCAAGCGCCAGATAAATATTGTCTTCTTCTAATAACCATATCAGAGCACTTTCGTAACTGCCCTTTAATTCGCTAGCGAGCTCGTTAATTATGTCATCAGATGTAAAGGCGACGGTTTTATCTACTGCTTCAAATTTAACGGTCACATCCGGAATATCAGAAATATCTGGCGCCTCAGTGATTCCTTCGCTGACTTCTATCCGCTCTCCCATGTGTAGATTTTGATCTGGTGATTCCCAAACAGCCGAAGAGTCCGATTCCATACTTTTTCTTTTAAGTATACATCTCAGAATCCAATAGTTTGAACGAAAATAATATAAACACTGTTTTTTTAGGTTGACCCTGACTTTGTCCCAACCGTATTCAAAATGTGGTAGCCCCATACATCTATATATTTTCTGAAAGCCTAGACTCTACTGCGTTGCCTCGACTGGGTCTTGTGACCTTGGCGAGGTCATATGACCTGAAATGACCCCTTTGAAGAGAGGCCAAGCGGAAAATAGTCATTTTTTAAGGAAAACTAGCATAAAATTGCTTGGATTCTAGTGTGGGCAGACACGGACATAATGCATTTTTATAACCGCCAGATCACGGGGATCATTTCGACTATTGATTATAAGGGGGTAGCTGATGCCCTGAGGCAAATTTAGGGGGTCGAAAAACCCGAGGGTCAACCTAAAAAAAACAGTGTTATAGCTATGTAAGTTTTAAAGAGGCAGTGATAAGAGATGACATAGAAGCAGTGAGATTGAAGTGATTGTAGTGTATGAAAGATAAATAATTAATTGAACTACTGAGTGACTTATTTTTTATAAGGATAAAAACAACAGCGGGCCGTTTGATTACGTGTCGGTTTGTTATCGGTCGATTTTTGGTACCTGAATGATTATTGTAAACCTAGAGTTATCACAATGTCTGAACTTACTTTTTTTGCTGAATCTTGTAATAACTTTCGACTTTCGTCTGGCAGTAAATACAACGCTGGTACTCTTTTTCTAGCTTTCCTTCATAATCAGCGTATTCTTTATCTTCAAATGCCTCGGAGGAAGGCGTGAATTCCCTCAAAAGTCTGGCTTTTACTTCTGGCAGGGCTCGGCATCTCGGGCACAGTTGTGGAGCTTCGTACTGAGCTGGAGCTTTCACAGACATGCAGAATCTTGATTCGCGTTCTTGATACTGATTCATTCCATTTTTGTTTGTTTCCGCATACTGTATGCAGCATACACGTCGATATCCCCTATAAAGTCCTATTACAAAAAATTTAATAGTCTTCCTTACCCTCGGGTGTAAATCCGTTGAATTGGTCACAACCTTTACATATCCAATTATTGCTTTCGTATGCCTTCATTGAATGAGTTCTACCACAGCACTAGCAGTTCGATCGAACTTGTCTCTGGGATCTACGTCGCTTTTTCTCGTAGATACAAAAAACTAAAGTTACCAAGATGGTAGCCACACCGATATATACCAATTCCATTCTCTTAAATTTTAGGTTGACAATTGAATAGTTTAAATATCATATATCTTTAGAAAATGTGAACAGGTAGATTGTTGCAAAGAAAGCTGACTGTGCGATTGCAAAGGATCATTTCCGGAAGTTGGTAACAAACGAGGAAAAATAACTTTTGGCTTCAATGAGGTAGTGATCCCTAAATAGGAATGTAGCTCTTTCGTGTCGTGAAGAATGCTTCGTCAAGATTGAACTCGTCATAGCTGCGATCCGGTGTGTTTGATGCCGTGATACCAGCGTAGAGGCCTGTCCCCAGCAAGCTCAACATAAGAGCACCGGGAGTTCCGCGGCGCATTCGCCGCAATTTTAAGACGATCATGACAGTAAACACTGATATCGACTTTAAGCTGCTTTAGAAATAGACGGAAATCTTACCTGAAAACATGTTCAATCCTACACGTCTAAACCAGGGCTTCATATCGGGAACAAACAAACGGCTGTTATCAGAGAAAAATAAGACGTTGTCGCGTTGTCTGTAGATGACAGGTTTCCAATCTGGAGACCATCTGAATTGAAGTTATAGCACTTGCCTTAGGGAATCATTACCGATAACGGAGCGCAAGGTCGTATAGCTCTCTGAAAAAGCCCCAGTGAGGCCAGGTCACTTCCACATCCAGGTTTTTCACTTGAATCTTTGTTCGATGCTCTTCGTGTGGCCTCCAGTTTACTCGGAAGAGCGTTTGATATCGACTGATGAGTTTGACCTAAACTAAGGTGAATATTTAAGAAATGTAAGTAATACTTACATAAAGGACAGTTCCCGGCTCTGCGTGAATTTGAACGTCTTGATTAAGTTCAATAGGACCACTGTCTTTTGAGTATTCATATTCTCCACGCATCATGTATATTTTCTGGTGATTTACTAGTACACTACTGAGACTAGTAAAGACAGTTTCTTGGGTAGGTCTCTTCAAATATAACCACTGCTGTCTGGTGACCACAACCGCGTATCCTTCTCTTTGTAGAACTGCGATTCGCTCCTCGTCCGAGCACCACGACTGTATCTGGATCCTAAAATAGAAGCTGCTAAGATCTGGAGCTAAAATTAGCGAATCGTTCATGTTTTCTTTCGTGTTATAAAAAGTACCTATTTCGATTCCAAAAAAGATGATTGCATACTAGGTTAGTGGAATTATTTGAATAAGTGAGATTTCTTACATGTGGTTAATATTCTTTATTGTTTTATGGAGGTCCCGATTATCGCGCATTTGCATAGTGCTCAGCACGGTGTTGTAGGTGTTGGTTACTGCGATGAGTCCAACAACGCCCACAGCAACCGCGATCGAGTCCCCAAGGATCTGCTTCGGCGAGTTCATCTTCGCAATCCACGTCTCGTCCGCCTGTCGCAACAAACCAACAGACTCAGCCACATTCTCTAGTGGTCTAGAAACGCCCTGTGCAATCGAGTTCACGCTGTTTTTAACGGATCCTTTGGCACCCTTGATAATTCCTTAAAAGGCTCGGACTATTTTTTAAGAATTATCCGACTAAAATAATAAATATCGCTCAAAAACTTTATTTTTATCAGTTTAGCCTTTCCTGCTACGTTTTCGATGGCTCCATTGTTATCCCCCATTGATTTTGTATCCGATCTGAGAAAGAAAAAGGTTAATCAGGATAACTCATTACGACTGCATCTTTACAGAAAATAAAACCGAATGGAAATCAGTGGAGCAAGTAAATATTAATTGAGAAGTCGATTGGCATGGAAGTAAAAAAATGGCTGTCGAGAAAAGAGCAATCGAGGGAAAAGTAAACGGCTAAAAGTACAGAACGTAACTGTGATATAAATACTTGGCGAGTTCTACCAATATACAACACCACGAAGGCGTAAAGGTCTGCTTTATTGCACTTGTGTGAGAAGATGAAGAGAACGAAGCGAGAAAAGTTCTAACACTGAACCGTACCCAACTAATAAGGGCATTTAAACTAGAGTCTACTGAGAGTGTTGGATCCTCCAGTAGCCTATAAAATAACGCAACCAAATGAGGACCAAGTCACGGCCCATTTCAATCCACGAAAACACTGGAGTCATTTTTGAACCGTCGATTTCGTCCCATTTTATTGCCACTTCTTTTATGGGAATTGACAATCGTTCTGCAATAAAAAGAAGTTCTACATCGAATGCCCATCGTTGGAGGTGAAGCTGAACACGGCGGTTGAATATCTTGTTCGTGAAATTGTTTACCTGAGGAAGAATTCTTTGAGCAGCAGATCGTGTGAATAGCTTGTAACCGCACTGAGTGTCCTTGACGGTTCTAACGCAGAATATCTGCACTAGAAGATGGAAGCCTTTCATAAGAATCGTACGGAATAGGCTTCTTTGTGCAATTGATTCCTTCAAAATAGTAACACTCGTATATTATCCTCGCTAAATACCTTTTCGAGGTGCGCTCTTGAGCCAACCACAATCAGTTCTGGATGCTCGTCAACACAATCTTGCAAAACTTTGTTGATCTTTTGGAATTCCGTAAAAGGCATGGCCCGGTCCGCATCGGCAAAGAAGATTTTGGAACCACGAGCAGCCATCATCCCCATCTTTACGGCATGGCCCTTTCCACGATTGCGCACTAGCTTCAGACATTTGACGTTCTTATTCTCTATTGAGAACTTTTCCACTACTTTGCTCGTGCCATCTTTGGAGCCGTCATCAACGACAATGATCTCGTACGTTTGTTTTTTCGAAGTGGCCAGGCATTCAACGCACTCTATGTAAAATTTATTATAATTCGAAATTCAAATTTCAGAATACATTTTTGTACATAGTTTTTAAAGCAACAGATACGTCTTCGAGACAAGCAATCCGAATTTAAATTTATTTCATCAAGTGTATGTAACATTTGATCATACCAAAATGATTCTTTATTGATGCCCATGTATGTTAAATACGGGTAATCACAAAATTAGGATGCTAGCCGTCTAGGAATATTAAACAGTACCTTCTAGCATGGAGGGGAGACGTTCTTGTTCATTGTAGGCTGGGATGACGACCGTGAGATCTACCTAAATTATTCGTTTGTTAATCACTTTTGACGAAAAATATTTTGGAAATAAATGATTCTTGAGCCTGTGACATTCATACCTCGGCTGCATCTTTGTAGGAAGGAATGGGTTTATTCTCATTCAAGAATGTCTTTTCGTGCCTGACATTGTCTGGCTCACGGGGAAAACTTGTAACAAGAGCTGCCAAAATGAGTACTCCGACTCCGATCGTCCCGAATACAACGTACTCGATCATACTAAAATGATGAATGACGAGCTTTGTGATAGAATCCGGGAGAAATTTCCATTTTCAGAAGAAGTGAAGCCAAATAAATATCTATGCATGAGGGTTGGGTTGAGCATCCACTCTTTCCTTTAGGTTGGCTTTTAACTGTCCTTAAAATAAGTTTAATCGAGTCATGATAAGTTGAATACCTTTTTCAGATCTAGCTCATTTTGGATAGCATCTGTTATCGGGAATTGCTCTTCGATCTTTCTATCTTCCATGTGTTCTTGGATACTAATGATAAAGTCGTCGATCTTCTTCCTCTTCTGTTCCTCTGATAGAGTCTGGTCGTAGTTAATAAGCGTTATGTATTTAACTGTGCATTCGGGAAACTCCACCAAAAACTTTCCACTGGCGATATCTTGCTTTATCCTTCGGTCGAACATAAACGATGAGATTCCCATTGCTGCAAATCAAGCATCAAATAATATCAAGGAGGAAAAGATGAGTACCCGAGGTGATTCCTAGCGTTGGAGAGAGAATAACACGAGGTAATAACTTCATTCTTCCCGCTGTCAGACCAAAAGTGCCGATAGTGCCAGTGAAAGCGATTCCTAGAACAGCCGCAGTGGAGATTCCGTACGTCATATAAAGCAAGTCAAGCTCTGCAGCTTGGTTTTCCACTGGATCATACGCAGACATTCTCAACTAGATCCACTTATAATTTGACTTGATAAAATCTGAGTTTATATTTTGGCCTGCTGCTAATAGTAGGTCTTTACAGTGAAAACAAGCGTTTTGTTGCGGAAAGCGCGTAATACGATATATATTATAAAGGCAGTCTCTGTGGGAATTTACAGGAATGCGCCGAGCTAAATTGTTGGTGCAAAAGTTTGAACTAAATTCTCAGTATATTGTGAGATACAGAGGGATCAAAAAATTCTGGTGAGTTGGCGGTGAATTGAAGATAATCCTGCGCTTTCGTCGTGGCTGTGCTTGATTCTAGTTGTGGAGCGCCAGGCGGAAGACCTCATTGCTAATTACAAATGCACCCCCGGCCGGCCGAAGCATGAACGAATGGTGAAACGAGTGTGGAGGGTCGTCATCCGCCTTCAGCTGCCCAGTCACCATCACGACGACAGCCTAAAATCTAGGAAACATTTTTTCTCTGCTTTCTTACCTTGTTGTCGTCGACGCCAATGATCGGCTGGGCGTCAATTGTGGTCACTTGATGGACTACTTGCTTGAAGGGTAGGGATGAAAGTTTTTCCAAAATTGGCGCCTTTCCTTGGAATTGCGCTCCTTCGAAGGTCAAACAGCTCTAAACCGTAGAATTGTTTTTGAGTTTCTGGGACAAGAATACCTGGTCAGTGTAAACAGAGGCAAGTTGACCATTTGCCGATCGGTCCTTTGAGAATTCGGGATAGTAGAAACCAACAAATGCCTTGCCCATCTGCATAAACTCCGGTTCCGCCATTTCTTTTGCGAAGTTGCCGTCTCTAAAATTATAAGGACGTATACGAAAATGTCAAAATATTCATAATTGGAATGGTGAAAAGTTAAAGGCAGTCTGCAAATAGTGAGTTGGTGAATAGAAAATGCATGTGAAATTTACACTGTTCAGAATATGCGCGCTTATACTCGTTTTTTCGGTTTTTTCTTCGCGCTATTCTTAGTAGAATTCTTTTAGGGTTACACATATTTGATTTTTCTTTGCTATGTTTGAAAAGTTCTATGAAACCGGCCTTTGGTGACCAGCTGCTATAGAGGCTGGAGTCTGTATTTGCATCTCCACGGCGAAGCTTCGACCCTGTGCTCGGTTCCTTGTAGCTGACGACTTTTCGAGCGCGGCGACTGACTCGCTCAGAGATGTTCACCAACGGTTCTGGACCGTTTTGTTCTTTCAGTGGTGTAACGGGCTGCGCGTTTTTCTTAGGTCTTCCTTTTTTCTTTGTTGCTGAAATTTCCGTAGCAGCATTCTCATTCGATTCCTCATGCCTGTCTTTGGACACTTAAAATATTTTTTAAGCAAGCACGAAAAAGGAAGATTGCTTATTACCTCCCTCATAGGCTGCAGTTTCTTGCAAGCTTAAATCAGGAACTGATATCGTTTCCGTTGTTGCACTGATGTTTCCAAAAATACCCCCCGGTTTTGAAAGCGAGCCTCGCTTACTGCTTGATTTCCGTCTTTTTTCTGGAGTGAAGAAACTTGACGACGAGAACGAATCATGCTCAGGTCCTGACGAGATTTTCTGCCGTTTTGCTTTTCTTGAGCCGGCTGGCTTCGGCGATGGCGTAAAAGAACAGAAGGACTAGCTACTGCTTCTTCTTCTTTCAGCGACTCGTTGCTCTCATCAAAATCAAACCCAAAAGTTGTCGTCCTTCTGCCGGGAATCTTCATTTTCGCTCCCTGAATCTCGGGCTTTTCGAATCGCCGACGTCGGCCTGGTGTCGTTTCTTCTTTTTCTGAGAGCGGACTTGCTAGCGGACTCTTGCACAAACTACCAGGGCTTTTAATCTTTGGACTGTTTTTCGTAGATCTAGGGCTTCTTCTTTGGGCTTATTTTGTGTCATTAGTAACTTTATTAAAAAAGAATTATTCAATAAAAATAGGCCCTCGTTCCTTATCGGACTTCCATCGATCGTTTCATCATATTCGAAAGCGAAAGTTGCCGTTTTGCCAATTTTGAGCAAGCCCATATCGGGCGAAGGAAGCTTGCTCGTTTCTACCTCGCGATCTTCTTCAACAGTGAGCATTGTCTGTCTGTACTTTGATTTCCTGAATAGAAGAATTATTTAAAGGGTACTTAGTTGACTAGTTCTCTACCTGGTTGCTTTAGAGCGGGAAGGCCGTTTTATTCGCTCTGGTAGCGGCTTCTGGACGACTGGGCTTTCGTTCTCCTCATTCGTCTCATCTAGATCAAGCTTGAAGCGAGTCGTTCTCCTTCCTGGCAGCTTCATCTTCGTCCCTTGTTGCACTGGCTCTTCGGGCGACTTGAATTCCGCAGTTTCATCAAAATCAAGATTGAAGGCAGTCGTCCGTCGCCCAGGCAGCTTCATTTTACTTCCAACGAACTCTGGCTCTGCTGAATTAGGTCGAGAATTGTCACCTCTCGATCCCGGTCTTGAGTTTGTCTCGTTGATGAATGAATCGCCTAAATAAAGATAACCCTCTTTGACCCTTTTTGAGTTTACCTAAAGCGGATGAAGAATTAGATTCCAGAGTCACATTTTGCGTTCTGCTGGCTTCGTATTGTTCCATTTTGAGAGCCACTTCGCACCTCATGTCCAACATCTCTGCCATTAGTGCTGTCTTTTCATCCGTCAACGCTCGCACTTTCTTTCGTAGCTCGATATTCGCCTGAATTACTTCCGCGTTCACCTCCATCAGCTCTTTGTTTCTTTCATAAAGTGGGTTATCAACCTCCTGCTTCAGAAAGTCGCTAAACAGTCCATCTTCTTCTTGTTCCTCTTCTTCATCTTCCTCGAAGTCACTACCATCCAAAAAATCATGCCAGTCGATCTCCCCGTTCAAATCCATTTCGACCGATTTCTAAAAAGGCGAATTCAAACCGAAGCTTCGCTGCATTCAAATTCTCGATGGTAACAATTGTCAAGGTTTAACTGTACTGTTGAGGGATGGTAAAAATCTCCTTCGAAAATAGCAGATTGGGAAGATTTTATTTTGGGGAATGGAAGAATGTAAATCGTTGCTTGGCGCATCAGTTAGGTGTGGGCGGCGGGGTCACGGGCGTACCAGCCGTTTCTTTCGACTCCCCACAGCTTGACCAAGTGGCGCGACCGTCCGCAACCAGCTTTTCTTCGTCCACGAGCGTCACCTGAAGTTCTTTTTAAAAACGCTTTTTAATTGATCGCAGTAGATCACCTGAACTGCTTGGCATTTCTCGAACTTTGGAGGAATGGGAATCACTCTGTACTTGACTAAATCCCCCTCTTTTGGAATGATCTAAATATTTTTTGAGCCGACTGACGATCAAGACTGGCTTTACCTGAGAAACAACATCAGAGACGTGGAAAAACTCCTGCTTTCCGTCTTCAGAGTTCAAGAAGCCATGCCCTTTTGTTCTGGAGAAAGCGGCAACTAAAGGCCACTTTAGGACTTAGTAGCGCAGTTTTTGCGAATTAACCTGTGCCGGTCTCTAGATCAGCGGCGTCGATCCGCGCCGTTGCCGATAAAGTTCGCGTTCTTCTGGTTGTGAAGTAAGATGGTGCTAGTCCAACTCGAGCAACTTCCAGAGGGGAGCCAACGGCTTCCACTAAAACGCCTTTCAAAACAAAAAAAGTACTCTAGAAAAGATATCTGTGTTTTATTTCTAAAAATACCAAATTCAATCTCCTCAATTTTATTTTCTTGTGCCATTATTTTCTACTGATATTTGCGTTTTCTCTTTCTAGCAGAAAATCTCAAAAGAAAAAAATCTGACTAGGAGTGATCAAAAATGGGCGAGAAGATTCAGAGCCGATCCCGTGGGATGCCCGGTAAAATACAAGATCAATTTCGAAAGGAGCCTGCCTCATCAACTTTTGAGGGTTTCTTCGACATCTTATCACGGGCTTTCTGATGCAATTATCACCTTTCTCGAGACCGTTGTCTCCGATCGATTGTAAAGTCGAGCATGTTCTAAGCTTCGAAAAGCTTCCGTTACTTGTTTAAATTTCAATCAATATTCTCTATTTTCTTGAAATCCCGTTCCTGAATAGGCTTCGACATGGAGTCAAGTTGGACTTCTCTTGTTTTCTGAAGGGACTGTATGTTTGTTCGTGGGAAAATTCGAGGGTATGTTCAGAAGCGTGACACAGCCTGGCAGCGTCGTGAAAAAACCCACGCGGCCTTGACTCGAGCGCGGTGAGAGCATTTGAATGTCGCGCCCAGTTTTACAAATGCTCCCTCTTCGGAGGGAAACGCCGCGGGAGATGCAAGTTTCTTTATTCAAATGGATTCTGCTCAATCTTATCTAAGTATTAAACATGATAATATCCGCAATTAATAGTTCTTAATAATTCTTCCAGTAGTTTTCGAAGATATTCGGAGAATTGAGGAGAATGTAAATTTATTTGGGAACTGACTTAAAAAATTTATGGATCGTAAACGAGTGGGACGCGCTAAGACCAGGTAAACACAGTTCGAACCTATTTTTGTTGTTTTGTTGGCTGGTTTAGTTCGATTTGGGAAAAAAGGGATGCGCGTTTGCGCTGAGGCAAGGAGCGCGCTTGGGCCCCGCCCCCGCCGCTCGCGCGAATCTGAAGCGCGAAACTAAAGTTTTTCGACTCGTCTCGAGCCGACCGCGGAATCATTCGACTCGAAGTCAGTTAGCGCACTTGCAAGCTGGAAGAGATTGGCCACTGTGGCCAAGCTTGAAAAGCTTACCTTTCGCAAAATACAAAAGAAAACATCAGAACAGAGAAAAACCGCATAAAATGTCGTCGAGTCGGATTTCTAGAGGACTTTCAGGAACAGCGAAGAATTCAGTCTCAATGGTCCAGGCACGGGTTCTTTTTCATCTCGAGTTATAATATGGAAAAAATTGCAGGGAATTTGTCAAAAAAGTGAGCCCTTTTCAAAGTATAAAAAATTGACGGGAAAGTCTGACGAAGAATTGCAACGAATTTTTGAGAAGGAAATGCGCCTGGGCGTCTTGTCTACGCAGAATCTACTGTATCCCTTTCCTGGTAAGTTACCTTTTGGCCTCTTGAGTAAGAAATCAAGAGTGACCTCGTTTGACTTGTCAATCTTAACTGTTGAAGCGTGAAATGTCCCAGATTGGAAACGCTGCCAACATCTATCTTTTGTCTTGCACTGCTAACAGCTAGAATACTTTAGGAAAAATTAGCACATTTGCCCTGGCAGTTTGACACCGTCGGATAATTATTATAATTCCGAGTGTGAACGGTAGAATTTTCAATTCAGTGTATCAATTTTAAAATTTAATCAACAAAACAAAAATACGACGGAAAATATTTTTTCCGTATTAAATGTCGTTTGATTTGTGTTCTGGAAGTATGACAGACTCACACTTTTATATAACCTTCTTTCAGGCATGCAGCGCCCAGTGGTTCCGGAAGATTCCGAGGTCCACCGTGAAGAAGCACAAGAGCAAGTCAGTGAGGTGTTGGACAAGTTCAGCATTGAAGACCAGATCGAGTCAACGCGCATTCAAGCACAAATTCTCGCTCTGGACAGTCTTCGCCGAGCAGCAGAAAACGCAGACAATTTGAACTTCACCTGGGAGGACGACAACGCTATTCTCAACACGCAGACCTTCTGGGAAAGCTACCTGATTATCGAACCCCTTAAAGAACTCGGTGCTAAGGTATGTTTCCGTGTGCGAGCCGGATAGTTTCTTTTATGAAATTTATGATTCCGAAAGTTGAACCCTTGCTTATTGTTTATTTAAACTATTAAAAGTGTTCGATGGTGCCATGCCCGCAAATCTTCAACAAAGAAGTGCCTCTAACGAAAGTAGAGGGAAACGAGATTAACGATGACAGGTTACTCTCGGTCGTCTGCCCTTCGTCTGGTTAGACTAGAAATGAAGCTGAATGAAATAGCTAATTTTTCCTTCAGGAGGAAGAACGAAAGAAAGACTTGAACTCGTGATGCGAAACATTCGAGACGTCTTGCGCATCCGGGGCTTTTGGGTTCGCGACTTTGATGATCCATCGATTAGCGAAGACTTGAGCAATCATATTCGAGATGGAAAGTTCAGGTAAACGCACGCAACTAAAGAACAATCTACAACGCGAAGATTTAGTGTTGAGTGCATCAATGGTTGTACTGTTCTTCGTGAGATGCGCAAACCGGTCACCAGTGCGTTGCTGATAACGAACGCCCAGAACTACGACGAATTACCGCTGCTGATTCTTCAAGAGTACACTAAAGTTCAACAGGTAAGTTGAGCAGTCAAACTCGCGCGAGTGATGATTGAATTCAGACAATGGAGGGACTTACTGCATTTTTTTACAAAACAGGAATCGATAAACGATTCTTGGGCGCTGACGGCGATGTGTTGGATAGACAGCTTTACGAAATCTACTTCAAAAACGTCTTCTTTTCATATGCAAAGGTAGGAGAAAAATTTGCCTAGCCGAGATAATGATTTTTCTTAGGAAAAAGGCTCCACAAAAACGAGCTTCGATACAAAGTAGACATGTTCATCAAAAGATGTATTCAAACGGCTGCTGAGCAGTGACGGAGTGATTGAATGCGTTTGTTTTCTAGCTGTATAGTTCCAGTTTTACTTCCCTATTTTAATTATTGTGATAATTTGAGTGCTGCTAACCGCCGGCCGGGCGAAACTCGGCCCGCGTTATTATTCACCACTGTGATCAACTTTGGACACTGCGGCTTCTTCTCCGCGCCTTTCTGCTCCACGTTCGTTCCTCGAAAATATCCTCTTTCAAATATATCAAAGCTTTTCTAAGCTCATTCATAAAAAACGAAGCATTCGACTCCTTTTTTTGCAGAATGGCGTCAGTATGGCTTCCAAAAAGAGAACGGGAGCAAATTGAGAGGATTAAAGACATTTTCAGTCCTGGGAGAGGCTTTTAAAATCTTATTATTATTTTGGGATTAAGGGTTTCAAAACTGATTCAAAGCTGATGAGAGATTGTGGCACCGTGCGGCGGTTTTTTCGTTGTTAAATATTCCACTCTGCCTATTGATCCGACAACACGTGCAAAGTCGTATACGAACTCTTTTTACGGCTCCACAGTTTCGCTTCTCGGACTCCAAACTTATGCTCATCAGACTTTGTCGGTAATGAGAGCGGAAAGATCAAAGGAAAAAAACTGAGTTAAGGGTAATTTGATTGCCGCTTGTCGTAATGGAGAACTGAAGGATCAACTTGACTCTTCCGTCACGCGCTCACTTATTGAGTTTGAAATGTCTGGCGACTGCGAGACGAAGACTCGCTTTCTGGCAGAGCACTCTCCGGAGCACTCCTTCATCCGGAATTTATCCAAGGAGGTCGACTTTTTGTTTCATCCGGGTCCACTAGTTCGTCCTCTCGCGCATCTAGAGCACTACCGCTTCCGTATTCGCGATCATTACTGTATCTAGCTTCAAGGCGGAAATTCCTTCGGGAAGATTTTGGACTGATTTACTTTTCCATCGATTAACTTTTAATCACATGATTTTAGAATGTGGGAACATTTATTTTTGGGTCTTAAACCTTCGTTACTTTCCTAAACTGGGAATTTTAAAGACCCTAAAGAAAGCATCAAGCCTGGAGAGAATCAAGCTTGGCTACAAAGTGTACTTTAGTTCGCGCTCCGAGTTGCAGCGAGAGTATAACCTGCTTTATGACCAATTCGGACTCCGTGAATTCGGTCTTATCACCACAGGAACGTTTGAATTGCGATGATTAAATTAATTCCTTCCTCCTCGCAGCCTTCTTCAATTTCTTAAATGAAGTTTTGCTGCTGTGTCAGACACTCCTAGACGCAATAATCATTTATAAAACTTTTTCCAGCATCGATGATAGCTGCCACAGGTGTTTGCTTTTACCGGGCAAGAAAGCTGGTACGCTTCAGTTTTCGGAAAATTCCGTATTCTACATTTCTATTAGAGAACGAGCATTTTCGGAAACAGACGATCCTTGACGATAGGGCAGAAGATCAAAACTTTGGACAAGACGGAACAGCAAGGAAGTTATAGAAGGCTAGTCCTGACAAATACACTTGTCTTGGCTGGAACACTAGTGGCATGCGAGACTTACGGCAATTATGTCTTTGGGGTAGGCTGAGTTTAAATTACTCAACACACATGTAATTCCAGTCAAACTTGGTTCACGCGTTAACGGAAGGAGAGATACGGATGCTGTCGTCAAAGAAAGCACAAGATCTTGTTTTCCATGCGGCTGGGGGGACCGATGAACAGGATCTTGATCATAATCCTTCGATATGTCGAATGAAAAGCCATGCGAACGTTGTTTGCGAAGGAGCAACAGATGCTCCCAGTGCAGCATCGGGTAAGAAATGAGTTGGGGACCCCAACTTGGGGTGAACTAACTTAAGTTTTGACTTGAGGAGCTTCCTTAAAATAAGGAATCAGTTCCTAACCCGTGATTTAGAGAAGTTGGCTGAAACACATGGCATGCCGTTGTCGTCATATAACAAATCCAGCTCTTCCATATTTCGAGATGATAAAGAACCACTATTTTATTCTGAAGACGAAATGATTGCAAAAATGAATTCATTTAAGAAGATTAACGTGAAGAGTAATAAAATTTATAGGCTATAATTAATTCACAAAAAAAAGAAGATTTCTTTTAGAATGTTTGAGCGCTACGAAATTATTGGAAGAGAGATAATGAATTCGCGTCGAGCTTACCAAGACGCCAAGCCATGATTTGTGAAAATAAAGTACTAAAACTTCGTTCGTCAAACTTTCCTCACGCTCTCAGACTTAGAAAATTTCAATGAAATCCTGGATTAGCTATTTTACGATATGTATGGTCTTCATCCTGTTGTAAGCGGGATGACTCTCCTTTCCATTCCAATGATTCGTCACGGACTGTCAAGGACGGGATCCAGTGTCGTGAAAAATTTTGTTCAAGGTAAAGATATTCCGTCGGTGGAGTGGCTGATTTCTCATTCAGGAATCTGCTTTTCGATACCCGTCGCTCTGGGTGGAAATGTTGTTTACAGTCGTATGGAAACTATGAAGGCGATACGGAACCAGAGTTTCACAAAATCCTTCCCAGACGGATTCATAAAAAGAGCTGTCTTGGTGGAGTTGTCATCGCTTCCCTCTGAGGAGAAGCTTCGACTGATTGCCGAAATCTCATCTTAGTCCAACCTTGTTATTTATTTCACTTCATTCCTGCCATATTTGGAGTCTTGCTCAAAATATTTTTTTCAGAACATGTTACGGGCGACATCGATTTCGCTGAAGTCGACTCGACAAGTTCCACGAAAGGTGGACTATCAGAACAGTCCCTCGATTTACAAGTCAATCGTGAAATCTGGAAAGAAACGTGCCTTCCAAAGACGCCGTGAACCCGTTGACTCCATGTGGACTAGACCGAGCCATCCAGCCGATGTGAAGAGAGAGTACCTTTTTGAAAATGAGCGAGATCTCGAGCGTTGGATTCGCACTGGAAAGTTTTCTGAACTCGTCGATGAACAGAAATTCAAAAAGCTAGAATTTGTTTTGGGAACAGTTCATAAACGAATCGCCTCCAATCGTGTTGAGGTTTTTATTCTATGACGATCAAGCAAATAACTTTTTCTAGGTCTTAGTACAAGATGCTGAGTATTTATACATAACACACAGCTTCAATCATGAGGAAGCACTTGTAGCCGTTGTCGATGACGGAAAAACCTGTCCTGGAGATTATATCTTTGCTAGAAAAATCGACGAAAACAGGTACACCATCTGGCCAAGCTCTCAGCTAAGACTTATACTTAGTCCTATTGCTACCCACGAGCTTCAAGACATCATCCGCCACAGTGGTCATGTTCAGTGTCCCCTAACTGGCTGGCTTATAAGAGAAAACAAACTTGTAGATCCTGCAGAAGAGGGGGAAAACTGCTTTGATCGAAGCTATATCGAAGAAATGCATGATCAGTATTTAGGTAAAGATTTTTAACAGTGACGATTTCTCCTTTGGGCTAATATTTCGTGTTCATAAAGGAGAAACAGTAATATTCTGATTATGCATTAAATATATTTTATATATGGATCTGCTTCTGTAGATTAATTTTGGCTAGAAGACGAACTACGCGTATTTCAGATCGACGAGTGCACAATTATAAATATCGGGACGATTTCAACCGTGACCATACAACGTACGAACTGCGGTGGAATACCGATGAAATCGAGCATTCAGCATCATTAACAGAGTCCTCTAAACAAGCTCATAAATCTGCCGATTCTCTGCGACAGAAGCGCATTCAATCGCTTAGATCCAAACTTAAATCTGAATAAATTCTGTTCTCTCAAGCAAATCGAACGGATTTCCGGCTCAGCATTAGCCAGGAAAATTTCCGGGCGCCTCAATCTGTATTCTCTCTACCATCGAACGCTGTATAGATAATAACTTGATTTTTCTGATTGATAAGATACGAAGAAGTTTCCTATTTTTTAATATTTTATTTGGCCACCTATAAGTTAAATTACGAGTTTTAGTTGAAATGATTTCTAAATTATAAGAATAGAATTGGGGATAATTAAGAGAGGAGCAAGAGTTAGTGTACAGTGCAGTTAGTTCAGCTTTACAGAAGAGACATTGCGCTGTCTGGTGACAAGGGAATTGTGACGGGAGTTAGAAAAGCAACGGGAGTGTTGTTTTTCGCTTTCCACCATTTTCGAGCAGTCGCAGAGCAAGTTGCTCGAATCTTTCCTGCAGGGAAAGTGTTTGGTCTCGATCAGAAACGCGGAAACGTCTGTGTGGTTTGCCTTCGGAACCGCTAAAAGCGAAGCAAAAGAGTAGTGCGAAAAAAGTGCATAACTTCATAGTGCTGGAAAGTAAATGAACAGGCTTTCTTTATTTCTATTAAAACTTTGCGACGATCGAGAAGCGAAACGCCGCCTTTTAAATAGTTATTTAGGAAGAAACACATGGGGGCGCACAATACAGCCCACCCTGTCGCCACAGAGGACAGAAAATAACAGCTGACCCTTGTGATGTTATGCTTACGAGCGAATAAATATATGTATTGTTTGTATTCTTATTCTCCCTTTCATATCGTCAACGAATGCGTAGTCTATGCAACTTGCGTTATGAATTTTCTGCATTAGAAGGAATCATTTGATCTGCGGACTTCACTTTATTTAACAAGACTCTGATCAGATCTCAGTGAAGCTTCTGAAACTTTAACTTCTTGTAGTTCAAAATCCAAATCGAGTTGGAGGAAGGACATTTGCTTCAGGCACAGCTTCGGACATTGTAACGCCTTGGACGAGTTTTGATGCAGACAGAGGATTACGAACGCTAATGAGCTCGGGTTAACAGATCCTTAATTTAATCCTATCGCGGTCCGCCGATTATTCACTTTATTACATTCCAAAACTTCACTTGTCGGGTAATCTGCAGGCGGAGTCCGAAGGTGGATCGATCTCGTCTTTCTCGATGTATCTCCCGTAATATTCTTTTTCGTATTTTTGATACCAGTCTGGGCGGTAGTTTTTGATCAGCAATCCAGTGAAAAGAAAAATGCCAGAGACGAAAAGAATCAGTGCAAGCTCGCCCATCCAAAAGCTCCACTCATTATGCACTTCTGCATCTATGAACTGATGGACGGAGAGTAAAACTCGAAAAATTAATCAAAAATTGAAACCGTATCAGTTCCTTTGGTGAAATCGCAAGACATACAACCGTAGTCCTTGAATATGAAACTTAGGACGATGCTTAGAACTCCAGCGATAAGCAGAAGCGAGGAGATGCATATCAATACGATGTCAAACTAAAGAAATATTTAGATTTCACGCAGACGAAGTAGTTGCAAACCTTTTGAAACGTCTCAGCATCTCTTCATTCAATTATAAAAACATAAAAAGGATTTTCAGAAATCTATATTTTCAGAGTGGACACAATCAGATAGCAAAAAGGAGGCCTTCAGCGATTAAGCTTGATTCTTATCGTATGTGAAGACGACACAACCCAACTCGCATGCGTTTCTTTTCTTGCTCTAATAGAGTCTAATACCACAATAAAAATAACATCTGTTTTCTTTTCACGAGTATGTAAGTTTCGTTACTAAGTGGAACTCTCGGATAGCCTTCTAAGCTTTTGAAGACTATTAAAGACTTAGGTCATGTTTTTTGTGGCCCTTAAAAGGGCCTGTTTCTTCTCCAGTAAAATTAAATTTACTTGGAGGCCATGTACTTGGCCACAGCCTTCGTACCTTCAGAGACAGCGTGCTTGCCGAGCTCGCCGGGAAGAAGGAGACGGCAGGCCGTCTGGATATCTCGGGTAGAGATAGTGGACTTCTTAGTGTTTTTGGCCAAGCGGGAAGCTTCGCAACCGACACGGTCGAAGATATCACGAACGAAGGAGTTCATAATTGACATCGCCTTGGATGAGATGCCCTGGTCGGGGTGGACCTGCTTCAACACCTTGTAGATGTAGATGGCGAAGGATTCCTTGCGGGCCTTCTTGTACTTGCGGGTCTTGGCGGCGGTGGGCTTGTTGCTTGTTTTGGCCATTTTGGAGTTTTCGACTTTTTTCAATTGTCGGACTGTGAAAATCTCGCTCAAACGCGGCCTTATATACATTTTGCTTGAAGGATCCGCCTACGCTGCTCTAGAAAGTTTCTTGAGAGAATTTGTTTTTCTCTCTGGGCTTTCCAGAGATTCCGCACGTTGGTCGTTGTTGTTTTTCTCTTTTCGGGAAAAAAGTCTCTAGAGCGGGCTGTTGTTCTTCCCAGCCGTGCCTATATAAAGGGCCCGGGAAGGCGGGGCTGCTCATTCTCACTTTTGACTCTGAAAGTGCAAGACATGTCCGGACGAAAATCCCTCAACAAGAAGACCAAGGCTGGCAAGAAGAGCCGCTCCGCCCGCGCTGGACTTGCGTTCCCCGTCGGCCGAGTGCACCGAATGCTTCGCAACGGCAACTGGGCTGATCGAATCGGCGCCGGTGCTCCAGTCTACTTGGCCGCCGTCCTCGAGTACCTCACCGCCGAGGTGGTCGAGCTGGCTGGCAACGCCGCCCGGGACAACAAGAAGAGCCGAATCAACCCCCGACACATCCAGCTCGCCGTCAGAAACGACGAAGAGCTGCAGCGACTCTGCGGCGGAGTCACCATCGCTCAAGGTGGTGTCCTCCCCCACATCAACCCCGTCCTTCTTCCCAAGAAGAAGAACTAAGGACGTCTTTTAGGCGCTTCTTCAAAACCGGCCCTTTTAAGGGCCACAAACAAAATCTTGTCTCATTTGTACTCGTTTGATTGTTGATTTGATGAATAATTTATTGTTTTCTTCTTGAAATTCAGATTAGTTCAAAACAATATTCCAGGCACAATTGAATATAAAATACATGTAAATGATGCTAGCAGACATGATCAAAAACATGATCACAGTCATCCAAATTGCAAACTTTCGTTCTGCCTGAAGATAAATCAGCTCACTTGCTTCAGGTGGTATGACAATACTCGTTTGTTGAACTACAGGGATGGCTGTTTTCTCAGTCGATTGCGGTATCACCGGAGAGGAAGCTTTTTGGTAAGATTCTTCGGAGGCATAAAAATGTATCAGAGAATTATTCGAGAGAAGAATTCTAAGATGATACAAAAAGCTGCCGAGGGAGACGAAACCGACAAATCCAATGAGAAACCACGCGAAAATGTGAGTGTAGTTCTCCAAACTCTCGGTCCAGTACCATCCGATGCAGAAGGTCAAAGTGGCGAGAAAATCAAAGCTGGCAATGACGTAGATTTGAGCTCGAGAGCTCTTGTTTCCTGATAGTCCAATTTGAAAGCTCGTTACTTGAAAAACGAGAGGCACACAACATAAAATTATGAGAACGAAGACCAAACCGAAGATAACCCAGATCATCCCTTCACTGATCAGGTAATACGTAATCGAGCAATATCCATATCTCGGGTCGGCTTCTGCTGCTTCGTAAAAATGCATGTATTGATTTTTCTTTCAGTCCTTTAGATCTGATGATCTTTTAACGAAATCGAGGCTTTTAAGGCACGCACTTGAAGATGTAAATTTGGGTTTCCATTTTTGCAATGGAACTTGAATACATGTCAATAATCGACTTTCCAATGCTCATTCCTACATGCAACCCGCTCGATTTGTACAGTGACTAAAGGTCGGAAGTGTTAGAAGAGCATTTGTTTGGATTACACGTTTCGAAGATGAAGATACTGTAGCAGTGTTTTACTGGTTATTCAAAAGGAAGCCAATAATCTAAGAAGATGATCGTCATTTTGACGATGGGGCACTTCTCTAGATGAGAATAGATTTTGTTTGTTTGTGGCCCTTAAAAGGGCCGGTTTCGAAGAAGCGCCTAAAAGACGTCCTTAGTTCTTCTTCTTGGGAAGAAGGACGGGGTTGATGTGGGGGAGGACACCACCTTGAGCGATGGTGACTCCGCCGCAGAGTCGCTGCAGCTCTTCGTCGTTTCTGACGGCGAGCTGGATGTGTCGGGGGTTGATTCGGCTCTTCTTGTTGTCCCGGGCGGCGTTGCCAGCCAGCTCGACCACCTCGGCGGTGAGGTACTCGAGGACGGCGGCCAAGTAGACTGGAGCACCGGCGCCGATTCGATCAGCCCAGTTGCCGTTGCGAAGCATTCGGTGCACTCGGCCGACGGGGAACGCGAGTCCAGCGCGGGCGGAGCGGCTCTTCTTGCCAGCCTTGGTCTTCTTGTTGAGGGATTTTCGTCCGGACATGTCTTGCACTTTCAGAGTCAAAAGTGAGAATGAGCAGCCCCGCCTTCCCGGGCCCTTTATATAGGCACGGGTGGGAAGAACAACAGCCCGTTCTAGAAACTTTTTTCCCTGAAAAGAGAAAAACAACAACGACCAACGCGCAGAATCTCTGGAAAGCGCAGAGAGAAAAACAAATTCTCTCGAGAAAGTTTCTAGAGGAGCGTAGGCGGGTCCTTCCCAGCAATGTGTATATAAGGCCGCGTCTGAGCGAGATTTTCACATTCCGACAATTGAAAAAAGTCGAAAACACCAAAATGGCCAAAACTCCCGCCAAGCCCGCCGCCGCCGCCGCCCGCAAGTACCGAAAGGCCCGAAAGGAGTCCTTCCAGACCTACATCTACAAGGTGCTGAAGCAGGTCCACCCCGACCAAGGAATCTCCTCCAAAGCCATGTCAATCATGAATTCGTTCGTGTGTGACATCTTTGACCGTGTCGGTTGTGAAGCTTCCCGCCTCGCCAAGATCAATAAAAAGTCGACGATCTCCTCCCGGGAGATCCAGACTGCTTGTCGACTCCTCTTCCCCGGAGAGCTTGCCAAGCACGCCCTCTCCGAAGGTACTAAGGCTGTCACCAAGTACACCGCGTCTAAGTAATTTTTATACTTGACGCTTAAAAACAGGCCCTTTTAAGGGCCACAAATTAACAAAGCTTTCATCTACGAGAGTAGACTGAAAAGCTTTGGCTACCGGCTGAGTTTCTAGCATTAAAGCCTTTGATTCAAAGGAAGAATACCGACAGCGAATGCATGATATTAAGGTCGACTGCTGTTTGCCTGTGGCTTTCCATCATTTCATGAAAAATTACTGATTCGAGTCACATGAGAAGGTCGTATTATGACCTAAAATAAAAGCGGTTACCTTGCTGAACCAGAACAGCTATATCCAGATGTTCCAGGTAAGCAAGCTCCACAGTGTGGACTCCACATGCTTGGAAATCATGACTCATGATTCATGAGTCGTAATCATAAGTGGTGTGAAAGAGAAGATCAAGTTTGTCAAGTAAATGGACCATTTAAAATGGTGCGGTAGTGCAAAGTGGGGGGACGCGGACTTTTGTTGTAAAAGGGCCTTTTCTTGTAAATTTGAAAAAGCACTAAATACGCTCAAATAACACTCCTTATATATTTTTTCGAACTAAATGCCTCTTCTATCGTCATTTTTGATCGTTTAAAATAATTTTTTCCGAAAAAAATCAAAATTTGAAAAATTTCAAAATTTTGTTTTTGCCCTAAAATTGTTTCTGAGGTGTCAGAAAGATACATTTCCATATCAGATGACGTAAAACATGTTAAACTTTCGTTTCAGATACTTTTCTTACGTTTTATCCCTCTAGAAAAAAATTCTTCAAATTTACAAGAAAAGGCACTTTTACAAGAATAATCCGCATCCCCAAAGTGGGAGCCGTGCAAAGAGGAGAAAGAGAGAAGAAATACTACAAACAGCGGATAAAGATCCTGACTAGACGAAGACACGAGCGAAGATGCCCGACTCTGAAATCAGAAGTGGTAAATTTATTTCAATAACCAATACTGCCATTTACTTAAAAATATGCTAATTGCCATCACAAACATTCACTATCGCAATCTCATTGCTGTACGCTTCTCGTGGCTTTCTTATTGCATTTACCTTCTAAATTTTACGACATTTAAAAAAAAAGCAAGACAGCTGAAAAGAGCATGCATCATCAAAGACATAAGTTGTCCTCATTTCGAGAACAATTTTGTTTGTTTCACCAGTTGCGAGCATAAGATATGCTATGAGGTGAGATTTTAAGATATTTGTGGCCCTTAAAAGGGCCGGTTTTGATTCACTAAGTCGAAACTTAGTTCATTTCGCCTCGGATTCGTCGAGCCAAAGTCATGTCCTTGGGCATGACGGTGACCCGCTTGGCGTGGATGGCGCAGAGGTTGGTGTCCTCGAAGAGACCGACAAGGTAAGCCTCAGAGGCCTCCTGGAGGGCCATGACGGCGGAGGACTGGAAGCGGAGATCGGTCTTGAAGGCCTGGGCGAGTTCGCGGACGAGTCGCTGGAAGGGGAGCTTTCGGATGAGAAGCTCGGTCGACTTCTGGTATCGTCGGATCTCTCGGAGAGCGACGGTTCCAGGTCGGAATCGGTGGGGCTTCTTGACGCCACCGGTTGCAGGTGCGCTCTTCTTGGCAGCCTTGGTGGCGAGCTGCTTTCGGGGAGCTTTACCTCCGGTGGTCTTGCGGGCGGTTTGCTTGGTTCGGGCCATGTTGATTTTTCAGTGTTTTTAAGACTGTGAGGGAAATGACGATTCGCGGTTGCTTATATAGCTAAGGTAGCGCGGTGCGGGAGACAACCTTCTAGAGATTTTTCAAGAATTGTTGTTTACATTGCTTCGAGTCCCCTTTCGATAAACAATTGCATGTTCTGGAGATTATTATTAGACTGGAATTCTTCTTCTGCAGAAACTATTTTATCGACGTGAAAAAAAAAAGAAGAAGAAATTTCTTGTGCTTGTTTTTGAAGGCGTTTTGTTTGCTTTCTAGCACATTATTACCGAACAAAATGGAAGTTTCGAAAACATTGAAGACCGTGAAATTTCAAATACAAATACAAGTACCTAGAGATCAAGAGTAGACCTAAATGAATGACACCAATGAAGGTAATTTTCGTGCATTTTTTTCGATTAAAAAGAAGAGTTTTTATAATCAACTTTAAGCGCTGTATGAAAAGTTTTCGAAAAACGTCTTGCTTCCTGTTCGAGCATGGTTCTATCTTGTAACACCTGAAGAATCGACTCCGAAGCCTTTTGCGCGAGATCCTGACTTTTTGGAGCTGTCAGGTCCGCTGTTTGGTTTGCTTATATGTTTTGGTCCGAAAGATATTTGAAAGAATTCTATCGTAGAAGTCTTTGTCGACCATATAAAAGTGGTGGAATTGTATCTAAATAAAGGCATATTTGGCTACCGAAATCGAATGAATGATATGGCGACCAACGTTGCGATGGGTTGTCTTGGCCGTCTTCCGATCATTCTTAGATTCGAACTTATTAGGTTGATAATCTATTTCACAATCTTTTACCGGAGAGTTAAGGTACTACATCTATCCGCTTGTCTACGATTATCGACTTCTAGAGTTCGACTACTACTCTAAGGAAAGGTCTAAGATAAAGGAAGAATGATTCCCCAGCAAATGGAGGAAGGAAAAATGGCAAGGAAAGCTCTGTAGAAATTTTCCATACGACTCGTTTTATATAAAAAATTCTAAATCGTCCTCACGCCAAAAGCGCTTTCGGATAAGAAGAAGACTTTCCATCGGATTATTTCCAACAAAAAGACGATTTTTCATCGTCCTTGATGCATGTTTCTTCGTATATAATTTCCATCATCCTTACTACCGTAAGAGCTTACTATGTGGAGGCAAAAACTGAGACCCTTACGGAAAGGAGCATTGGATTTTTGCTGCGATAGTTGTTGACTTTTTCTACTACTGGGCACATAGATTTCTTCACGAATGGAATATCGGCTGGGCAGCTCATTCAAGGATCGGGTGCCCGAAAATAACTTTAATCAAGAGAAATAAACTCTCTATGAAATACGAATATGCATAAATAAACATATAATTCTGATTTGTTCGGTTTCGGAAGATGCTTGAGACACCCAATATGAGTACTGAATAAGTAGACATGTCGTTGTGGTTAGATCAAAATTTTAGTTCATCACTCGTCTGAAGATTACAATTTGACAACGGCGCTGCGGCAGAGCGTCATTCAACTTCAGGAATGTTGTTGGCACGTTTAGAAAAGCGTAGTAAGGTTTATACCCGTTCTGACCACAAGACAGTACAATGAGATCCTGCTCCTGCCGTGTGCGCTTCTTGGAATCCACTGGACTATGTTTTACACGCACTACAGCATCAATCTGACGTTTCAATTTTGGATCCACACGGAAATAATAAGAACACTTGGCCCTTTTGAACTCATCTTCAACACTCCGGTAGCCATCGAAAAGCTCTCGAAATCTTTCATCTAGTAGAGTCATCATCGTGTCCACCATGGAAGAAATCCATTTTGTATTGACAAGAATTACGCTGGAGTTTTGATAATCTGGGATAGAATTTTCGGCACATTCGCAGCAGAGGACTCGACAGATGAGAAAATTCAGGCTCGAGTATTCAGCATAGAGTTAGTTTTTGTACGAGCGTTTTTGTATACCCAGGAGATTAGTATGGTCTTGTGCAGCCTGCCAATACATTTGATGTGATTCCACTCCAGTTCGATTATACGAAGGTATGAAAGCAAATATCTGAAACTACTGGTACATGAGTTCAGTACGTGATTTCGAAATTTGCTTCTGCGCGCGGAATCGGTCCCAAGCTGCGTGCCCTTTTCTACGGGCCGGGGTATGACGAGAAAGAGCCAGAGTACAGGTGAATTCCGAATATTCGTAACTGAGCGCTCAGCTTCTTCTAGATTAGGAAATCCTTCGCACATTCCAACACCCGACGTGAAATACACTCCGTACGACGTAAAGATTTCTACCTTTTCTAAAGTATGCGCATTCACGCAGGTTCTGGTCAACACACATATTATCGAAGGTAGAACAAATTGCTGCTGAATGCCCGAAACATGTTTTTAGAGCACATTAAAACAGTTCAGCGCTCTGACGAAAGAATGTTTAGTGCAGAAGATTTGATTCTTTGCGTTGGGACAACACTAACACTAATGGTAAGAAGGATACTAAGCATTGATCTATACAGTATAGACTATACTGCTATGATGGCCTTGAATATATTTAAGCCGTAGCATGCATAAACTTTTCGGCAAAGGCTCCCGAAAAAAAAAGGAAGAAAATGATCAAAATTAAGATAGGCGTCTTAACCGTGTGATCGAAATATGTGACGATGTTTTCATAAAAATACTTTTAGTCTTGCGGCGCTAGGTTTTCAAAATCAACGTCTGTCGCGTGGATTGAGCTTTTACGATTTTCTGTCTTCGCTCCTTTTGCGCTTCAATTCTATGGCTACGGAAACCTTCCTACAGCTGCGATCTTCCTGCTGGGATTAGTAATCTCAAGACTTTCGTGACTTTTATTCCATTGACGCAATAAAATTAATTTAAGCGAAGATATTATCCTTACTAAATCCGCAAAATTTCGCCTCTCCGAAGAGAGTGAATAACTTCAATTCCGCTTGAGCAGCATCCGGGAGGCACTGATCTTGAAAATAAATTTGTTCGAAGCCCATAGAATTGTATTTTCTCCATTTAGATTCGCAGCGGAGCATCGGCTTAGAGTAGGACTCAATTCAAGATTAAGAATTGGCCACGACTAGTTGAGGACTAACTAATGAAGGACTATTAAATAGGAAACCTTATTATGAATACTTCTGGTAAAAAACCGCTAGTTACCACGTTTGTTATCATTTACTGCAATGTTTATGTTTGCTGTAATAACACACATAAAGAATAATACTAATCAACTTGATACACAACACAACGAGCAGTTATAGAGCCCTTGTTGTACCACCAGCCGCCACCATCTTCATCAGCACAGTTTCCATCTGCCCATTTTTTTGTATATTCTATTTATTACAGTACTGTAAAGGAAACAAAGAAAAAGGACAATAAAATAAAGTGACGAAAATAGAAAAATAGATCGTGATCTCTAAAGGGTAGAGTCTCTACCGTAGAGATACGGGTAATGTCACATTACTAATTTGTCAAGTTGTCGAAAAAAGAAGGTACCTATCTTTTGTCGTGAAAAACATTCGTTCGTGCATTGTCATTCGCTCGTTCTTCAATTTGTTTTCAAATCTTATTAGGAATGTTCAACTATTCAGTGCAACATTTTTCCGTAATTGAGAAGCAAACCATCACTAAATCCGCGTAAAGAATCTCCCACATCATCTCCACTCCCGTGAACTAAAGTTTTTTTTTGGGGCTTTTAGGCCTGATTAATCGACCTTACAATTTCCCAGGGATTTTAATCGAAAGAGATCTTTTTCTTTAGAAATAGCAAAGTCGTCATACTTTCCGAGTTTAAACAAATTTGAGAGTAAATTTGTGTTTATATTTGATGAAACTTCTTTCCTCTGCGAATTTTAAGACTCCGTTTTCTAACATAAGCTTTACCGTCTCAATAATATGATAATTTGATGTCTTTGTCGGAAGCAGTGTGTCCTAAAATGTCTGTATTGCATTGAAAATTACGAAATACGCGGGCATCTGTGAGCATGTGATACTAAAAATACCATATCATATTTGGTAAGGTTAGCAGACATATTAAAAATATTCATATTCGCGTCGCAAATAAATAAATATGAAATTTTCTTTATATGAATGTATATGAGACGTATCCTCGAGTCTCAGCGAAGTACTAAATTTGGTCATTTTTGAAATTTGGCGCAGTCCTATCCAGTACTGAAGAGACGAGTTGAACGTAATGACAGGCGATCGATTGTTTCCGAATCCAGTTACGTACTCATTCCAGTTCTGAAACAGTCAGTTTCGAACATTTTGATTAGTGATTTGTAATCTTATTTATTTGATAGCGATTAATTTTGCTCCAGCTTATTGAGGCTCTACTAAACACATGAGATAACGACATCATTAATTAGATAATTATTATTTTCAGTGTTACCATTTCTATATTTACATGCACGGGCAATGATTACCTGATTAAAATTGATACTTGATTCTTGCGAGAGCGTTCTTTTTTGAATGACGGTCCACGTGGTACTGTTTATAGCAATGCATTCTTCCAACAAGTAATCAAACGTTGCCGTTAATCAAAATTAAAGCAACAAAGCTGACTCTTTCCTAACCATTGATTCCCGTTCCACCATTTAGATTCTTCAGTCACGGCTAATACCGGTCAACTTACAGTCAACGTCCGATTGAAGATGTAGTTGAACGGTTCCTGGGCAGAATTGACGATGGTGTCTAAAAAGGTTGTTATCTATCGCCACTTTTTGTCACCCATACGCGTGTTTTGAGCAGTCGATTAGTTTCAAAAGAGCGCAGAAAGTAAAAAACTTCGAAAGCATTTTCTCGTCTATCGAAAAAAAGAGTCTCCCGAAGGACATTTCCGCCGTCTTTTCCAAATATTTGAGTTAACAAAAGGGATAAATAGTTGTAAACAACATTTTCCACCTACAACGCGTATATAAACCAAATTTGCGTGAGCCAAAATGTTTCATATTCTGAATTTTTTAAATTTTTAACTGATGAAAATGAAGCTTCTTCAGATTTTATCAGTAGACGTAGTTTCCGGATTCTTTTTCGGTCAACAGAGAGCATCGAATAGTGGAGATTTGTCAACAGAATGCTGGATCTGCCACGAGAAGAGCTTTGATGAATGCTGGCTTTCCGGCGAACTGAAATCCTGTCCAACAGGTGCATGCACAATGGACGTTCAATTTCTTGCGAAAGAAGTCCAAGTGGTTCAAGCAGGATGCTCTTCGCTGAACACTTGTGTTGCGAACGTGAAGCAGAACTTTGCATCTTTCCGGGGCGAGATCGTCTCGCTGGACAATCCAAACCTGCATCAATGCAAGATCTTTTCTCCAAGTCGAGCAACTCTTAACTCCGTCTGCCGAACCTGCTGCACTGACTCTAAATGTAATCATGGGTGGGTGCCTACAGACTTCGAAGAATGGCGCAACATCGACACCAAGAATTTTGTCGACCCTTTTTCGTCTCCTTTCTCAATTGACTTTTCTATTTTTCACAAAGAAAATGAGTCGCCCGTCAAAAGGACCCAAGTTAAAGTTCCGGAAAGGAAACCGAAATCTCCTAAGACGCACTTTGGAAGGACTAGTACGATAGTAGAAGGACCAAAAATGCAGCTCAGAAACCGATCAAAGACAACACCACAGAAATCACAGGACATGCGATTTTCATTGAATGTCGATCAAAATGGCCGAGTCAGAGAAAACTACAGGGGAATTGAAACAATAAAGAAGCCAGCTCTCATTCGTCGTGCTCAAATGAAAACGATTACAACTACAAAATTACCGAAAACCATGCCGTCGAAGAAAAAAACAGCTGCTAAAGTACCAATCAAAAAAACCCTACCTAGGTAAGAAAGGCTGTTTTTTCTAGCTTTCTTAAAAACGCCAAAATCGATGTTGACACCCTTAAGACTTTCCGCTGTGTCATCAACTTCCTCGACCCCTACAACTAAAAGACCTGGCCCGTGGTCTCATCTTCCTCAGTGGAAGATAAATCAACTCCGAAGACTTCGTCAGAAGAGACTTGAAGCTAAACGACTAGAAGAAGAAGGCAAAAGTGCTTGAAAATTTAAGCTACTTGATCCTGCGCAAGTTTTTCTTTGCTAAACACTGCGACGACTTCCCCGAATCATTTGGGAGGAAAATAAAACACGTCCTTTCCGGAGTTGTAATAGCGTGTGTTTTAAAATCCGGTCATTTTTAACACGCATGTTTCTCTGGCCATGAGTACAGCTTTGAATATCATTAGAGTTCTTTATTCTTATTAGAAGCTGTACATTTTCTATTTACATGGCAATCGGGGCCTCGAGCGTTTGAAATTGATCAAATTTGGCTGACGAGGAGAGGGAATGAGTTAAGCTCTGCAGAAGTGAGGCGGAATGATGGGCTGAGTTAGGGTCGCTTGGTTTGCTGCTGTGGCAGTGAAGAAGAAAACGCACATTGTAGCTTGCTGGAGACGGTTTCTTCAATTTCATCAGCATCAATCTTCAACTTATACTCCGCGCCATCAGCTCCTCCTATATTCTGAACCAGAACTGGAGAATTCGAAAAGAGTCACTTACATTTAGCGAGGAATCGTAACATTTTATCGTATTCAGAACACAAGTGGACAAAAGACTTGACAGTTTTTTTGATAAAACTAAAAAGAATCTTTTGTAAATTATTTGTAAATTTATGAACCGAAAGGAGTTAAAATAAGTTATATAATGGACCGTGTATTCTACAAAAATTGTGATTATTCGGAACCAATTTGGGATAAAAGGAAGAGGGATGCAGCGATAATTGCACCGAGGTTGTAATTAACTGGGGTAGTGATGAATTACCGAGGTAGCAGATGGGCGATAAAGCGGCATTCATGTAGGCGATGGCGACTGAATTAGAGATTGAGCTCTAATCAGTGTAAGAATACACATTTAAGTTTACCTGAAATCTGAATGGGATTTTGGTAACTTATCAGCTCCGGATAAATTATTTTCAAGAGGCTGTTGAGGGTGCGCAAATTTCTCTCGACTCACCAAAGCCAAGCCCGGCCGTCGGCTGAGCCAGCTCTCATCCCTGGCTGATCAGGCGCACCTCTTCCTTAGAATATTTTTTGGCAGCCAGCACACGAAGAAAGTGAACGTCATGATGCTCAACTGTATTGTAATGTTTCGTCTGTTTGCGTCCCTTTAGTGCGTTCCAAAATGCGTTAGAAAATGCGGATTAAAAAGTATATTTATTATCTAATCTCTTCTTACTACATGTTTTTAGCTTTTTGGCGCGTTCCTTGCTTGTGAACTAGACGAGTTTAACGACTGGCCGCCCGAAACTTTGAATATTTTCAATTTGCACAAAATCCAAACATAAGTAGCGCAAATCTTAAAAGTTAATTGCTTGCTGAAAAACTACTCATCTAACCAGAAACAAGGAGATAAATCCAATAATGAGTCTGAAATTGGAATATCTCTCGTTGAACTCGTCTTTCCAGACGCAGTAACACGGCGTTGCATTTTCTCTTTTGTAATTTCGCTGACAAATACTGTACGTCCATTCATTTGAATTTTCTGTTAATCGGCTTATGCATAAAAAATAAAAATACCGGGCGGGAGAATTCAGTTACTCCTGGGATAAAGTAAAGAGTTAGCCAGTTCCTTCAAGTCGCCATTCAACCAGAACTCTGTGAAAAAGCGCTAAGCAAGAGCCGCAGGAAACAATCACCCAAATCGAGGCGGAAATCCACACTGCGTTTCTGGCAGAACGATAAGATAACGTCTAAGGTCGACAATTAAGTTTATGATTAAAAATCTCCGTCAAAAACCTGCAGCGGATATGCAATAGCAAAGAAACGATCTAGCGATATGGCGACCAAGAAAAATGTTGAGCCGTAGAAGTTAATCTATACGTGGATTTGAGCTGATTGTACTAGCATGCTGATCGGTAAATTGCTGCAAGACTAGACAAATCCGTTCCAAGCTGAGAAATGTGGTGATTTTGCACATTAAAACGCCGAAGATCCATGTCTCCCCGTTGATTATTTCAGCAATCCAAAGTGGCATCGTGCACTGTTCTTGAGATGCCCGAATGATCATAAATATTTCACGTGGTATTAGATGCTAAGTGATCAACTTGCAGTGTAGACTTGGGTCCTATCTTCGGAGATAAGCGATTAGAAAATCAATTTTGATTATAAAATCGGGCACCTGATCGAAAAGAGAAAATCCGCCAAAGCCAGGTTCGCCACAAGAATGACAGCTTTTCAGGGATTTCGCATATTAGGCACGCAGAAGGCGCGATCCAATTTTCCGATCGCAAAAATAAAAACAAAAAGTTCCAAGGATTCTGATTACAGCTGTGCTGGGACCTTTCATGGCATTCCATTAATTGGCTAACCAACTATGGGTCACTGAAGGTTGCTAGCCTTTCAGATGCGCTTCATTCATATTTGGCCTCTAGAGTTCGATGCGTTTCATACGCTTTTAATGAAAAAACGGAAAAGGAGATAGACTTCATTAATCATTTACGAACAGGCTTATGCTCGAATGGTTCTCCCAGATATTTTTTATTGGAAGTTCTTAACTTGACTTATGGCGTCATCCTGTCCTACAGAGCGATTTTTGTGAAGGTATAAACTCAGCAGTACTTTTTTAGTTTTAATTTCGCTAGGTTTTGATGATAATAACTAAATTTGAATAACTATTTTCCAATTATAATATACTGTATATTATATACAATTATTTAATAATTTATTATAAATTCAAATTAATAATAAGTCAATGGTCTAATTGAAGTCAATAATTGATGCTGTCTAAACTATTCCTAAAAAATTTGCACCAAGACCAAAAATCCAGGTAAATCCATAAATTCCCAAACGTATGTTCGCCACCGTACTCAAATTAAATTCCATATTTTCGTCACTCTCCATTTTTCGGATATCTCTCTCTTTGGTAAGAAGGTTTCAAAAATATACTTTGGTGGAAAATGATCTTAAAATGACCTTTAGAAATAAAGTGTTGTAGCGTAGAAGGCGCTTGCGGAGGGCGCCCTTGAGGTTTAGGCACATCGGATTAGGCAAAATTTTATCGTCAAAAAGCTTTTACTTTTTATGGCAGTCAATTTTCTAATAAAGACACAATTGATTATCATTAGCAGTCGCTTAATTATTCGGACTTTTAAAACAGAATGATTAATGGCCTGATGTCCGGACTCTCGACAATAAAGAGTCTATCATTCGTAGACTACGAATCGTAGTTAAAAACTGGTGTCCCTTTTTTTATTCCAAATTCATTCGATATTTTTGCATGCTATTTTATCGCCTAAAAGTACAGTATCTAAGTAATATGTAGCTAGTGAGTGCTACTTGCTGAATGAGGCTTTTCCATAAATGACTGAGGTGATTGGCTTTAGACGATCGTTTAGTTCTGAGCTGAAGCAAGGAGGGTCAGCGAATCCGGCTGATCCTTAGCGGAGTGACCAAAGTGCTAAATCCGAATCGTGATCGCTGATAAACAAGAGCTGAGCCGCTTCTTTTCTGGTGCCAGCAAAGAGGTAAAGCGAAGCTGATGAAATTATAATTCATATATTTACATTAGAATAAGAATCGACACAATAATTCAGCTTTGAATTTACAATATTGATGCTTCCGTCCCGACCTCCACAATTATCTTTTATCTTACTTGACCTGAATAAACGCTGAAAAATTCGAATTCTATCAATTAGAATAAGTTCAGCTAGAAACAATGTTTTCGTAGAACTGAGACGAGTGCGTTTAGCCGCGGGCACCTGCTGTCTTTCGTCTTCATGGTTTTCACCAGATGTTCGTTCTTGCTTTAAAAGAGATGGATCTACAGCTGAAGAACACTCAGGAAAGTACGGGCAAGTTGTAATAGATTGTAATTGTGATGGTCTAGAACGCGTTATTCGATGACGCGAGCTACTACTGCGAACAGCTCAGCCAGATCCAACGGTGCTTTGAAGCAAAGGTTATCAAATAAGTAGAAAAACGGAAACTTGAACTTTTCATACAAAATTGGCGTTGCAAACGCAGATCTTCCGCGCGGCGGGGATTTCGCGAAATCCTTTAAGGCTCGTTCAATTTGAGAACCTTGACGTACGACGAGCCAGTGGATGATGCCGCGATAGAAGTACGGGCCTCTTAAACGTGCATAATTCCGATTGTGTTTTTTCGCACTGGCCAGAATGACACTAAAGTTCACTGAACAATGAAAATGAATTTGAGAAACATCCAAATTTCATGTCACTTTTTTTATTTTCGCAACAATAATTTGTGAACGTCAAATAAACTTGCCTGACGTTTTTTTTTAATAATTAAAATTCAATAAAGTTGGTTGATTTAATGGATAAGAGGCCCGTGCTCGCATCGAATATTCCGGATTCCTGTCCAACTATTTACGAAAGCGGATTCTGTTTCAAGGAATGGGTTGTTTCTATTATGGCTAAGCTACGTTCTTAATCTAATCTACTACTACATCCAAGCTACGTTCTTAATCTAGTTTTTCGCTATCAATTAACGCTAAAAAAACTCTCAGAAGCCATCGGTTCATTTCATCAACTTGAACACTTATTGATTAAGTCAAAGCTGCTCGTAAAATGAACAGTCCTACAGTCGATAAATGCGAATCTTTTCCAAGAGGTGCCGTGCGAATCTTTCTCTGGAAGTCTCCAGTTGACCTCTCGACAATGTACCAGCAGTGGAAATTGGGAGGACATGGAAAGCTTCGTAAATAGAAGTCTTCTGCCGGATTGCTTTACCTTTGACGAAGCATCTTTGAGCGCAGACTACGACCTTGGAATCGAGTTGCAATCAGAAGAGAGTCAAGCAGAGATTTCAATCATTCTTCCACTGATGCTTTCAATTTCACTCTGTTCTCTTCTTGCAACTGCCATCGCGCTCGTACTGATGCGCTCATTTCTCAACATTGAGGTGAATTTTAAAATTAGGTGATTAAAATTTCTGTTTATGTAATTTTGCGTAAGTCGCCGCGTGTATTCGTGCACTTCAACCTTTTGATCGCGTTCTTCTTCCGCTCTGCTGTCTTACTACTCGGTTATTTTATATTGGCTCGCACGAAGACCCGCGCCCAGTCAGGATTTCAAATGAAATTTTAATTTTTTATCACAAGACGATAAATAATTTGATAAAATCAAAAATCAGCTACTGGTACTCGAAGGAAAGAGTCAAAATAACTTAAATTTAGACATTTCGAGATAATTGATTAGACTCATTTTAGACGAAGTTGAGTATCTCAGTCGCGGGATTTCCAAATAATGTGTTGTGAAAATTGCGTGTAGGAATCTATTAGTTAATCTCGTGCCAGCACGTGGGATGGAAAGATGCTTGGAGAAGAGGTCTTGCCGTTGACTTATGATACCATCAGGTATTGTATTATTGATATAGCATCACAAAATTATCGATGACAATTTTTTTCAGGTCGATATGTCTGCCAATTCAGCAGGAGATTGTTGATCAGCAGTACATTGAGGTAAACGTCAAAAAGAATATTCCATACCAACTTTGCATCCGTAGCGATTCTTTATTGGCAGAGATTTTCAATAATTAATTATTGCGAATTCTATTTTTGTCGACGGGTTAAAAAATCTCTCTCTGCACTCCAAGGAACGTCGATTATCTGCTGCTTCCATTGGCTTGTGTGCGAAGGGGTGCACTTTTTGGCGCTCGCCTGGAAATTGGTAAGCGACACTGCTAGGGCAAAAATCAAGTTCGATGGATGATCGCTCGATCTCAAGCAGACGATGATCCGCCGCGATCTCCTATCAATTTCTTTTAATTCAACTCTATTAAGACCTTCTCACTTCGAGCTCCATTCGTTGTGTATTCGTGGATTCTTCCAGTCGAAGGGTTCGAAAAGGAAAACATTTCTATTTATTCAAGAGCGTAGATTCGAACTTCGCTGAGAGTTCTTCTTGGCTCCCTCAATTTCTGTTATCTCGAGGGACACGATATGGTGAGTGGAATTTGGGTAGTTTTATGGTCTCATGCTCGAATATTTAAGGAGCTCTTGCTTATCGCTATTTGGACGAATGTGTCTATCTCTTCCGTAATTTTCGTGATAGTTGTTTGCGACTTTGCCAGGAAATTTTTGTAAGCACTTTTTCGCCCCAGCAAGACTATTAAAACGCTCAGATCAAATCGACACCTGCCGAACGTGAAATCGAAATTCTCCAAAGGTCCGGTTTTTGCTCTTTTTATAATTTCGTGACATAATTCTATCGGTTTAGGCAATGTGCATATTTCCTTTTTGTACCATGAGCAGCGTGAAGTAAGCTAAAACGAAAATTACACCTTCTACGTCCCAAAAACCGGAAAAGCGTTCTTCACTTTGCTGCCGCTCCTTGGCGTACAATATTCAATTTTAGGAAGGGTTTCGACGAAGAGGGGGTTCTTCGAGTAATTGTACCTTCTTGAAGAACATTTCTAATCAGCCACGCGACTCAGAAAAATAAGATGCCATCGAAACCTTTTTTGAGCGCTGCTCAAGTCAAATAGAATTACACAGATTCTTTCTGTAGTTTTCACTGCTTCACATGGGCTCGTAGGAAAGTGGATAAACTTCCAATGTTCCAACTTTTGATTTCAAAAGTTCATCGCCTCGCGGCGCTCTGGAAGGAAACTATTTTCTTTGCTGATAAGATTGTCTCGATCCATGTTAATAGTAGCGGTACTAGTTTGTTTTCTTTCTGAGGAACTTGGTGCCGCCATCAAACGCTGGATCTGCTCACGGCAGTTCAACAATCCCCGTCAAAATATTCCGCCAGGAGAACGCCAAATATCCTCAAGAGACGAAGAGACTTTAATCGCTCAGCAATCGATTTAAAAGCTTCTCGAACATCAATTAAAATGATCACCTTTTCTTTTGAAATCTCACTGTTCAAATAAAGTTACGATGAATAGTAATACAACAAATAAAATATCACAATATTCTTTTTGGAAGAAAGGTTCTTGTTTCAAGCGTAGAATACAGTATGACAGTTATTTTTCAATACTGGTTCATAATGTCGCCCAGCCAGGTACTGTAAAAGCCCACATCGGTATACACACCAGGGAGGAAAGCCTTAAATAAATTGGAAGAAATGAACTTTCAGGCGCAATTTGAAACTGAAGAAAGCAGCCGAGCATTTTATGTGGCTGAAAAAAGAGACGGTCTCTAAGTTGCTAACTTAAAGTATAACATTCATAAGATCTGATAATACCACTGGCCGTCTCTAAGTCGCCGTTGCCGTCTTTAAAATTGACATTTTCGGAGGATATTGACTACGAAATATTGCATTTTCAGTACTAACTAACTTCTAAATCGATCGATTAGAATTATGGAAACGGCATTGAGCCAAAGACCCTTTTGCGCTTAGTCGGAGTTCTATTACAGTAACTTTAATCTTTCAACGAACATGACTCATGACTCATGAATCCTGTTCTTTTTGGTATGTTACATACCGTATGTATCTATTAAGTAGAGATTTGAATAAAAGAATATATTTACCTGCGCGCAGCCGAGGCCCCAAGATGTCACTCCAATTACTTTGTCGTCCATTCTAACTGGACCTCCTAATAAATCGGTCAATTTGCTAAATCGAATACGACAAAAATGTTAAAAGAAAGATTCGAAATTCGAGGTCTACTCTCTTGATTGAACGCACCTGAATCGCCCTGGCAAGCGTCTTTACCCCCGTCTGGCATCACCCCTGCGCAGAACATTCCCTCGTAGACCCAACCAGAGTACGATATCACGGAGTTGCAATACTCACTAAATGAATTTGTTGCGCAAATTACACGAAGTTTAAATCTCATCTTCTATGATCTAAATTCTAACCTGTCAACAAGATCAACGTCAACACAGTTTAGTTCTTCTGGGTAGACTTCCGGACGTACTTGAGTCTTTGGGAGGTTTCATATTGTTCATATAAAGATTTACGATTTAAAAAACCCTATTTCCTTCCCCCAGCCACATACACGGACGGTTGCTTCCAATTCATCTGTCCAAAACGCGTCCTTTTGTGCAGGCCACGAAATAGGCTTCACGTTATCCGAGAAGGATAAATAGTCACGTGTCTATTTTCTGCTCTTTCAAAGTAATTTATCAAGTTTATTTTCGAATAAAAGAGAGCTCTCCTTGATGAGTGAAATGTCGCCTTTGAAGTTTCTTGAATCTTGAACGGATATTCAGCTTACTGCAGTAACGCGAATTTATGGCCAAGAAAACGTGTTTACGTTATAATAAGTTGCATGAACAAGATGGACATTTATGGATAGAACAAATCTTCGATTTAGAAAAACGCAGCTAAATCTTGTTTCAACATGACGATTAAATTCGAATGACTTATCTTATCGAGTCGCGCTGGACAATTCCCACTGTCAATTAACTGGACCAGTCCATTAAGATAGCGGAGGAATAATGACGAATGTCTAATAGACTCTCTCCCGCCGCAAATTAAAACTTTTCTCATAAAACAGTGGAATGACCGAGTTGTTCTATTTTCGACTGGGATGGAAAACGCGCACGCGACATTTATTTGGGATAAACGTCGGCACTGCAACTAATATCCGTGGCATAGTTTGGATGGCGGATGAATTTTGAAACAGTTGTTTCGCAAATTCCGGAGTCATTCACCTACAAACGCGGATGTAACTTTAATTCGCCGCGCTCGCTATCTAAAGTTAGCTGGAATGGACTCAAAGCACACAATTCGTACTTTTGTAACTGTTCCTAATCAAGCATTCCTAAGTACTAGTAGCTAAAGTTGTTTATTTTGACTCACGTTATATCCCTAAAACGTGAATTGAGTTAATATTTTACTATAGTGACCATGTTTCAAACGAAAATATCATAATAAGCCGCGGAATAAATTCGTGTCTGAAAAATGTTACATCCAAAGCTAATAACGAGCTATTTATATCTTCAAATTAGTAAGAATTGTCCTAGAATCCAACACAAAAAAAAATACTTTTAGCTCTTTTCTTGTGAAGACCGGCAACAACGTGCAACCGATCGTAGCTCCTGAAGAAGAATTTGAAGAAAAGCAACTGAAGTAATTAAATCTTACACTGAGAGGGATTAATGCATGAATTCAAGGGCAGAGCTATCTACTAAGTCAGAGTTAAAATTGCTTTTTCAGAGGTGATTAATGCGCGCAAGGTGCAATATAATCCCGTATATCGTTTGACTCAGACTTGTAGCAGTGAGCAGCCGTAAGAATCCACTCTGGAGCGAGTATTGAGCCGCCGCAAAAGTGAGAACGTGCGCCAAGCTAGAAAATAAACACATCGTATTGAAACTTCATGGCACCTGGCTGAAACACTGGATCGACAGAGCTCTTAGTGCGTTTGTTAAGTAATACGATGTTTAGATCCGTGGCTTGATTGCTGCAAAGAGACGATGTGCGGCTCTGAGTGCGGCTCAACTTAGAAGCGGATCGCAATTCCGACAGGCCATGTTAACTGACGCACATCAAAGGTGTTACATAAGAATTGCGGCCCATGGCTACGTCTCCGCCGATAATCCTGGACGCCGCCACACCTGTCGCTAGAATCTTGGAGGGAATAGCTCAGTAGCCACAGCGCGCTGGCAGCACTTTGTCCACACTTGTACTATCTAAACTTGACATTCTTACGTAGAATCGACCATTCTAGCGAATATCAGCTCACATCATCTCGCTCTCTCTATCTAGCCGAGAGAACATCTAAGTTTTCGTGCCAGAGAGTTGCTTAGCTTCTCGACTCGCACAGTCATTTGGTGAACTTAGCGAAAATAAGCTGGTGCGCAAAATCAAACTGGACAAAAAAGTCGACCAGCGAGGCTCTGACCGCGACTTAAATTCGCCGTTTCAAACACACGTGGTTTGAGTCAAGGCAACGGACAATACGAAAGCACTACTAAATGCTTTCTCTGCGGGTATTTTTTCTCTCTTTCGATGAATATTTGCTATTCCTGAAAACGGATTTTTCAAATCTCGGGACGCAAAAAGAACACATTTACGAGATAGAGAAGCCAAGTCTCGATAACATTCCAGCGCGTGGAACTTACGAGCTTCGAGGAGTTTCGCCACGAGTCGTGGCCCACGACAACTCGCCCAAACCCTCGAAAACAACAAGTTTCGGAGAAATTCTAAGTTTCTGAATTTCTCTTAAATTTGCGTCTGATTATCAAGAGCTCCACGGAAAAATGTCTCTAGGAATCTCCTTGGACTAGATAGTAATTCAGACTCACTCTTTCACGAATTCAAGAGCTTTCAAAAATGAAAGCTAGCATTTTCTCTTGAAAGAAAAACCCGTTTGCCTTTCATGAAATCGCATAGTTTATAAGTTGTCTTCTGCTGGAAAATAAGACGCGTTGTTGAAGGTCTATTTTTGGTTCAAATAAGCGATACGGAGAGTTTAGAACTAGAAACCTGTTGACAAAATGTTGCAGCGCGTCATCTTGCGTGAAGCAAAAAGATGAAAGCCTCTGCTAATGAATAATGAAAGGACTCCGGAACCACGCCTGCAAGATGATCTCTCGATTCCTTGGATTGAAGAATTTCAATCAAAATGAAATGAAAAAAATTCGCAGCTGTCACGATCGCACGAATCCAAAATATACCACTCTTCTTAGCTATTTTTCCCGCTTTTAGAATTTTTATATATTGAAAAAACGAGAAGCCGCTTGCGGCTTCCAGCTTAAAAAGTGAAAAAGAGCCGCTCGTTTTAATTTTTTTCTTTTAACAAATTATTTGATCCACAAGCCGCTTTTTGGGGCTTCGACAAAACAAAAGCGAACTTGGGACTTTTATTTTTTTTTTCAGAAAAATAGTCTTTAAAAATCTAGGGAAGGGCGGTGTTTTTGATAAGGAGTGACAATTTTGACGGAGGTGCACGTGGCAAAGTTACGCTTAGAAACTAAGTATATTGACGTTTTGAAATGTTAGCTTTCGAATCGAGGAATATTTTATTTCAATCTGGCAATTTTCATGTGGATAGAGTTAGTCAAAAATTTAGTTTTTTTGAAGACGCCGATTTCGATTTCGATGTTTTCATTGTAAATTCTGGCGCACGTTGGTTTTTGAATTGAACTATCTGGCTCGTGAAAACATTCCAACTTTTCGAGATGCTGGAGCCTTTTGAGTATTCACGAATTCGTTTTTTTGTAGTTTTCAGCTTTCTCCTTCTCAACCCTAACCCCAACGCGCTTCAGTTCCGAGAACTTTAGTCAGTTTTTGAACGAGCAGCTTAATTTTTTTCACGAAAGTATAATTTTCTTCTGCGAGGGAGATTCTTATCCGTGTTCAATCCGACGTAACATAAATACTGAAACATGTTTGAGCTAAAATAAGATTTGTTTTTAAGCGAGTCAGTATTTGCTCCAAAAATAATGTATTTTATGCACACGCGCAAAGCTAGAATTACAAAAGTCGTAAATCACCAAAATTTTTCAAATTTGTCTGCGACTTATAAATTTTGAAACAACCTTTTTACGAGACTTGATTGTTTCAAAATACAAATGGTAAATTTAATTTTTATCTATCATTCTTGTCATTTTCCGAAAAGAACTTTTAGCTCCATTCACAGTGGACCATTATCCACATGAGAAACAATTGTCTCAGTTTGTTCTCAAAGAACGAGTAAAATTTTGCCTATTTTTGATAATTTAGTGCATCAAAAAGGTTTATTTTTGCTAGAAAGAAAAAGAGCATGGAGCGCCTCGCGCGGTCGCGCCACCTCCACCACAGCGGCCACGGACGCGGCAAGTCACTCTGATTCTCGTCTTTTTTGCCTTAGTTTGTGAAGTCTCTTTTTTTGCCCTGGAAAGAAAGATAGAGAGAAAGAAGTCAAGTTGAACAAGACGATCGTGTTGCTTTTTTGATAAAAAAGAGAAACACAGAAAGATGATGGAGAAGAACTACGAAGCTCGTGAATGGTCTGTCAGACACATTCCTGTGCGAGTGAAGGGGAGATCACCCCGGCCATACAGAATTCCCAAGCTCTGGGTGTCCATCATGCTCGGCGTTTGTCTCTACTTGGCAGTTCACCTCAATTCGCACACTACCCAACAGGTACTTACTTGCGCATTCTGAATATTCATCTTTTGACTCGTTTTCTGCTAAGTTACATGATAACCAACCCCCTAAACAGAATTTTGAAAGGTCGTTTCTCAATTGTTATCAAGAGCAAAATAAAGCTGTGGTCTTCTTTGCCGTGTGGAGCGAGTGTAATTATTATTAGAAAAATAGGGGATGAACGTACTTATCTGTCGTGGAGTAAACATCACTCCTCATGATAACAAGATTCTCATTACTAAGAGGGATCCTTTCTTCCGATGGAAAAAAGCGTCTACTCAGGAATTAGCTAATTTGAAATTGAAATTGAAAGCTTTTAAGAAAAGGTCAAAAAGTCCCGAAATGGAGAGCAAGTACTATTTCGAATGAATCAGCAAAAAAGTCGCCTATTTTAGTCATTTTTAGTCAGTATTTACCAAACTTTGAGATTTTTTTTTCAAAGATACTTTAAGTAGCTAAACAAACATTTCTAACAGGGGTTGTGCCCAAGTTCGTTTCTAATTATATGTAATCAGCAGCAGCAGCTTTTTTTAAAGACGCAAAACATAAATGCAACTAAAAATGGTAATTATGTTACGTTTTGCTTTGCTTTACTTTTGCGTGTGTCCACAAGGACTGCTGTTTAAGCTTGTAGCAATTATTTTTCTCTGCAAAAAATCGTCTTTACTTTTCTTCGTAAATCTGAAACCTTGTTCTTCAACGTCGCTCATTTTCGCGGCTTTTCGATTAACACAGCTTCTGAGAAAACATGAATTTGGTTAAATTTATGAAAAAATCAAAGGAATCTTCTCGCATAATAACCTAATCTCCGATCAGACTAGAACAAAATTCAAGGTCTAGCGAGATGTAAAGAATGCGGTTGCTATTCGCATGAGTCTATATTTTTCTTCTCAGCGACAGCAAATGCGTCGCAAAAGTGGCGATTTTAAAGAAAGAAAAGACACATACTACTTTCGTGGATAAGCGATGATTATTAATTGCATGGGCGGTTAATTGAAGCTAGCGGTCCAGAATTTATTTATTGGGAACGTGTTTCGCACCACGTTATTGAAGAGCGAAAATATTTACACCGCGAACGATAACTTCTGACATGAACCAAATAACAAACAAATTGTGTATAAACATTGCCGGGGAAAAAGCAGATGAGGTGAAAAAACGCACGTTACGTATGAGGAAAGCCTTAGCCGCAAGCGAGAATGTCACCTTGCGATTGAGACCGACATTTCTAATCGGAACTGACATTTGACTCCGAAATGACTGAAGCCTCTTTGTGTTTCGGTATCGTTTTGAATTGAGCGCTGAAAACGCTGATCCACTTATTGGACTAGCTCGGATCTGGCTTTGCTAGTACGGTCGAATGTCTTTGTCGTTGCTTCCGATTTCGTGTGATTGATTTAGCCTCCCGGTGTTTGTGGTCAGCTTCTAAGACGGCCGATTTCAAACCGGATGCTTCGACCAGAGCAGCAACTTGATTAAGTGTTTCGACTTAGGCTACCGCGCCACGTTTGCCGTAACCTCACCGCCGAAACCTCACCCGAGCTCAAATCCATTTTCGGTTTCTTATTCCATAACAACACAAATTGCGATTTTTTAAAAGAAAAACACTCCAATGTCCGGCTTTTAGAAAATCCTTTGAACAGGACAAGCACCCGATAGAGTCGCCATCGTTTACTGATAAAGAAGGAAAAAACTGTTTGGACAGTTGCAGGTCGAAATGTTTGACGAGGCATATTGCAGAGATAAAGCTCGACCGCAAGACGTACGCCTATCCACAAGCGTCCAACTTGAAAACCGCGTGGGATGAATTGTACATTCCACTGTCGTTCGAGTCTTTGGAAGCACTGTATTACTAAACTATGAGTCCAGAAGATTAAAAAACAACCCGAAAATATCTATTAACGTATTTTTTAGCAAAATCGCCTTTTCCTGCGCCGGACAGAACGAGATTTGGCATCGATCGACTATGTGCTGCCTGAACGGGCTTATCCATTCTACCTCCAAACCGGATGGAACTTCGACGATAACGGTACTGACACAATATTTTATTTGCGGTAGCTTGGCGGGTTCTAGCACGGCCGACAGGTCCTGTTCCTAAGCTGCAAATTATGTGTATCCTGGCGATTCGAATAGCTTAATCATAAAGGTTGAACTTGAGGCGGCATATTCTAAGGGGCTTTGTAAAGCGTTGGGAAAAGAATGAAAGCATCAAGTGTCTTATTTGCCGCCGAGATTTGACATTCGCGCAGTTGCTCGGAAATTGAATTTCGAGTGCCTAGCAAGAAGCAGACCACATTTAAGCCGAACATGGACAAAAAGTTCAACGAGCCAGAATTATTAGAGTTCGTTTGACAGAGATTCATTCGAATATTGAAGGGCTTGAACAGTTAGCGTTCAGGTGGATCGCATTAGGTGAAATTGAGCCCGTCAATTGGGGGTTCCATTCTGTCAAAGCTAGGTCGAAATTCTTACGCCCTTTTAGGCAACGTTCTTGAGATGGAAAGAACCGTCTACCATTGAAGAGCAATCGATGATGCATCCTTCCTCGCCAGTCTCTTTCGCCACCAAACGCCCAAATTTTTCTTTTCTCTTTTCAGATTTCAAACAATTTCAGAAAATTTAAAATTTTTCAATTATTCGTATTCTTAATGACATGGGCCGGTAAGTAACATAATGTAAATATCCTGTGACCCTACGAGCCAAACGAAATTCCGAAAAACACAAGACAGAAAAGCTACCGCCTTCGCTGCTGATATGCTCGACAAAATTCGAAAAAAATCTAAAGAAAATTATGCACAAGTTATAAATAAATGTATTGGACATACTGCACAAAACTTGCTTTTCTTTGTTTTATTGAATTTAAAGCAGAACTGATTGTATAATAGATTTCGAACTGTAGCAATGAAAAAGTTGAATATGCAGTGATAGATAAGCTTGTTGTTTTCTGTCCCTAAGTTAGGGGTCTCTGTCATTTTTGACGCCAAGATCAGGGGCATCTTTAAAGATCAACACTTTTGGAGCTTCTTGCTGAGGATACTCATCAAAGACAATAATCTCGTTAGCGCCGGAGCGAAGCCATGGACCTGGCAAATACAACGTCTAAAGATTTCATGTCAGTTTATACTAGCGAGGCTCATTTGAGCTCATTAGAGCTTTGAAAATGGTAATTGAAAGGTAAATGTTACCTTCTGTGGGCCAATTTCCCAATAGCGCCCCAAGTTGCGCTCATTCACGAAAACGACTCCTTTTCTAAAGCCCGAAGATACTGGATCGACGAAAGTATCGTGTGCCTCGTGTCGGAGATGAAGTGTAAATTTGTGCAAGCCGGGCCGTTCTCGCCAGCGCCCCGTTCTCCTTGTTGATTGTGCTATCGTTGTTGAGTTCATATCCAAGCGAAAAGCGGATACGCCTTGCCCTTTGAATTTACAACCAGCAGAGCCCGAAAGAACGATATTTCCTAGCAACCCCTTGTATTGCCCATCTAAGCCGTAGATATTGTCGAAGTTGACGCGGCCTGGGTTCTCGACTAAGATTCCAAGATCGAAGGACATTTCTGACGAATGAATAACCTCCCACGAGGAGCTATCTTGCTGCGTTGAGGCTAGCTCCGGTTAAATATAATCCAGAGCATATTTTTTAAGTTTTATGCTCCATATTGGCAGATATTTAACCTTTCCTTCGTCTTCGTAAAGAATAGGCTTCCCAACCTCATTCCTGTTGAGATAGAAATGAGCTCGTCCTCGCAGTCTTGTTTTCAGCCCAGATACGACAACATCGCCACTCTTCGCACAATCAACGTTCATTTCGTAGAAAATGTAGCCATAACTTTGTCCGATCGCATTCGGATAGCTCACTATTTCCATCGGCATTGGCTCGTTTAGAGTTGCGTTTTCAACTAATTGAGTGTTTTTAAGTGTTTGATGTATTTGTACGCACCAAGGTGAAGCATATCCCATAAACTAAAAAATCCGTCTTTGTATTCCAGTGGTTTATAACTTCTCGGCTTGGTGATAGATGAGCGGTAGACTTCTGGCACGGGAAATCCGTGTGACACTAAGCTCTCCCGTATAGCGTAAAATTTCTCTCCATAAGCCCCCGATTCTGAAATCGGGCAATCGTAATCATAGCTCGTCACATCCGCTGTGTAATACCCTCTGAATAAACTCTTTAATTTACACTTTAAACTATACAAATACCTGGCAATAGTAAGACCACCATTAGTGAAACCAAAATTAGTGCCACCATGAAACATGTAAAAGTTGACGGACGCCTTCTGGTCTAATATGATATCGAGATTCCTTGTGAATTCGCTCGTGTCGAAGAGATTGCGCCCTTCGCCCCACCAGTCGAACCAACCGGCCCAGTACTCCATCACCCAGAGTGGCTGATCTGGAAAATGCCCCCGCAATAATTTCAAGTGTTTTTCTGGGTTGCTTTTGAAATTCACACTTTTCAGTCCATCTTCGTAAATGGTGCTCTTCTCGCTTTCCCAAACACTCGACCCGTCTGAGGTGAACAGTGGCTCAACGATGCCTTCGTTTTTTAAAAGTCCTGCAAGGGTATTCAAGTGGTTGGGGTCTTGGCCAGCGTACAGTCCGTATTCATTTTCGACCTGCACGGCTATGATCGGCCCACCGTACTTGGACTGCTGGTATTTGACAAGAGGGAGAAGCTCGGCGAAATAGCGTTTGACTGCGCTAATGTAGCCCGGGTAATTTGTCCGCACCTTCATAAATGAGTCCCTGAGAAGCCATGCAGGGAGGCCTCCCCACTCCAGCTCCGAGCAAATGTAAGGCCCAGGCCTAAGAATCACGAATAGATCAAGAGCTCTTGCTACGTTGATAAAGTGAACAAGGTCCAAGTCGCCGGAGAAGTGAAACTCGCCAGGCTCCGGCTCATGCAGATTCCAGGGCACATACGTTGTCACTCCGTTTAGGCCCGCCGATTTCACTTTCGCCAGTCGATCGTGCCAGTATTTCTTTATCGGGAATCACAAACTGATCAAGAAGGCCGAAAATCATTAATCGAGATCCTTTCCTTCGGAATTCTGAAGTAGTGAACAGAGCCTGATAGAAGTTGGCTCGCTTCTTCTCCGAGATAGAAGTTCTTGGAGTCGTAGGAAAGAGAAGATCGTCTTCGAAAAGTAAGCGACTGTTGATAGTTTTATAAAAAAAGCGATCGAAAACTATTTCTAGGACATAATTGGCACTTAGTTGACTTCTTTTACTAAGCTTTTGCTTTTTTTGATGATTGGCTCGAGCGATTGGAGTCGAAAAAGACCGCCTGAGGAGCGGATAGTTTTTGGATAGATATTTGTCAGATTTATAAAACCATCCTTGAAGATATAGCCTGTGTAGAGAACAGAAAGGATGACGAAAAAGGCAAGAAGCTTGAGAAGAGAGAGGGGCCGCGGCGCCATCTCTGATAAAGTGAAATTATCAGATTGATATAAAATCTGCTTCGGGCCGAGCCCTGGGAAGAACTCGGAGAGAAAAGAACCTTCCCCAGTGTCGCACTTCTGGTTACCAGATTTTATATAAGACGGTTACACGGTCGGAGTAATTCCCCTTGTGTTTAATTTCTTCTTAGTTCTCTCTTTCTGTACATTTCTCTTCCTGACGAAGATAGTGATTTTGAGATTTTTAGAAGACGCGAAGCGAAAATGCGATTTTTTGTTCGAAAAGGAAAAATGGTGACTCATTGGTCGTCGTGGATCGGGGGCCTGTCGGGAAAAACGTTCAAAGAAAGGAAAAAGGGAGAGAACAATTTCATTGCCACTCTGGAAATGCTCCAGAACACTTGATCTACAGGTAAATTTTGTATTACGATTTTTCCGACTGACTGACGACATTATTTGAATGAAATTGACGGGAATAGAAAACTGCCCGCGGGGTTGGAAATTCCATCCCCTGATAAACACATATTTATATATACTTAATATTATTTTTCTAAATAACTATTATGTGCATAGAGAGAATACTGAAATAGGTTCACAAGAGGCCCCTTTAATAAGTAAGAGTAGAGTCCATTACATGATTAGTGGAAGTTTTCATTGTTGGGTCGTGCCAAACTCACTCATTAGAAATCGGGATCATGTGCCATCATGGGCGGGATTATAGAGCGCATGAGCTTTCATGCGTGGGTTAATATCGATCAGTATATAAAGACCGTCGAAAATTCCGTAAAGGATCTTACGACACTTACTACCAAACGTTAACTTTTTTTCTGAGCAGACAGAACGCGCCAGTTTATGGGCGCAGATGAAAATAGAGACAAAGCCGGGATCATGCGATCTGTAGTGGCGAGCGGTCAGGAGCCGTAAGTTTCCACCACTCATCTCAGTATTCGAAAACGATGCTTTCTAGGGTTATCCTCCATAATAGGCGGCCGAAAAGAGTTACCGCCGAAGTAGACGGTTCTAGAGGCTCGGAATCTTATAACAAAGTCAACCCGCTAAAGAAGACTTCAACAACCGAGTCAGATGAAAGAAGAGACGTTCTATCTTCCAGCCTGATGCCTATCGGTGTTCAGGCTATGCAAGAGCTCTCATTGACGAGTTCCACTCACAGCTCCTCTTACAGCCCAGGTAGTTGAGCATTTTTGATCTTGAAGATTGAACATTCAGACTCTTCTATTTTCGACGTGGTGAAGAATGAACCGACTTTTCTCCCCCACTACCGTCCCAGCGAGTACAGTCAGCTGCAGCTGACCGATTTCAACCGTGAATCGGTGCGCCACAACATGATGATAGATGCAGAACTTGAGGAGGAAATGAGAAAGCAGACTGAAGAATTGAAGGAAGAACCGGAAGACGAGACGGAGACCACGATCGACACAAGCGAAAAGGAAAATATAGCTAAATTAGTTGAAATTACCAAAACTGAGGAAAAACGGAGAGAGGAGGAATTTGTCTCGAAATTTATCGCGGCAGCGAAGCAAATGCACCCTCTGGAGATGCCCAAGCACGACTTCTTTTCGCCACGCGGTTCTAAATTTTAAGCAGTACGGTATTTTCAAAAACTGATATTTATAACCACTCAAAGAGGCTTTGTGACAGACAGCTGTGGGAGCTGGCACGGAGCTTCCGAAATAATACACGTCGCGTCAACCAGAAATCGGGCCGAGACGGAGAATCTGGCAAGTTTCTCAAGCTCTGCGAAGATATCGTCGACGCATGTACCGATATTACCAAGAAAGACGATAAGGAGGAAATCCTGCGCGAGTTGAGAGAAGTGGGATGCATCAAAGTGCCGCGCACCGCCGATGGCAGGGTCCAAGTGCAGCACTGGACGACAGATGACAGAGTGAGTGGCATTTATTTCAATTTCACTTACTTACTCCACCACTTTAGATAAAGAAAATCTACCCGCAGAACATGATTTACATTCTCTTCAACCCTTTCGTCCAGTATTTGAAAGAGACGGATTACTCCAAACCATGCCAAATTTTCTCGCGATACTGCGAAGACGACGGACATGACGACGAAAAGGGAAAGAAGAGCTACTTTTGCTTCAATCCGTTGCATTACTACCCTCAGCTCACTCGACAACAATTTCAACATGATCTGTCGAAGATAATCGAGAAAATGAATCCAAAGGAATTCAAGCGAGCGAACTTCAACAAGGATCTTGACAAGTGGGGCCGCACTATTTACAGTCTCTTTCTCTGTGGCCCAAACTCTTCTGCTAATTCGTTCGTCGACGCTGTGGCCAGTCACATGAATCTCCAGGAAGAGGAGAAGAATCTGACGGAGATAGAGTCAAAGATGGACCAGATTTCAATTTCCCGGAAGCAGCTTTTAGCTAAAGAGTCCATTCTCTACCAAATCAACCTGTCTTCGTGCAAACGCGGCTCGCGCATGTTCGGTGAATGCTGCTACATCAAATTTCCGCCCGCACATAAAGGAAAAAACGCAGACATCCACATTGCAGAAATTCGACTAACCATTGTCCAGTTCTTTCGCCCAGATATTCTCCAAGATGAGAAAGTTGTCAAGAACACGGTCAATGAGAAATGGGCGAAATGCGACGAAAAATCTATGGCGCGCTACTGGTAATGAAGAATAATCATCGCAGTGTTTAAACTTATTCAGCATCAACCCCAACCACTGCACTGTATTTATGGACAACAAAACCGCAGATAAAGATCCTAATTGCCCAGACTTAAAGGATATTGAAACAAACGACCAAACATTAAACAAGGCGGCCACATGGGGCGTGATTTCATTCGTTCGATGTATGTACGCATTTTCAAGATATGTGAATGATAATGTCTTTTTAAATCAATTATAATTTCTGCAAGCTTGCTTTTAGTTACGGATAAAAAGAGCGAAACTGAATCGATGGAGAGCAGAGCGTTTATCCATTCCAATTTCTATTGCTACTTTCCATGGTCAGGAGATATTCTTTCTGACAATCTCAAAATGGCCAAAGAAAAAACCAGCCCCGAGGAATGGAAGGAGGACAAGGAGTTCCCGCTAGTCTTCTCACGAATTAAGATCAAACCTGCAAGCTGCAACCAAGACGACGAAAAAAACTATGATCCGTGTAAAAAAGTCAAGGATCAGGAGAGGGATCAAATAAGGCATTTATTTTTGCTCGTACTGTGAACACCATAGTATGGTGACTCTCTATTTATCCCTAAGTAAGTTCTCTTACAGTTCAAAGTTCAACCTGATGAAAAAAGATTTTGATGACTACGCACGAAAGTATTGCTTGAAGAGTTCGAAAGAGGATCCGTCACACGAATACTGTATTCGACCGAGCCGCATGCCTCGACACTGCTCGCACTCGTACAAAGAAAATATGAATACAATTTCGCAGTACCTAAAGAAAATCAGTAGAAAGGACGACTACGATCTTGAGCTGAACATGCGTGTTGCCAACGACGAGAATCAATTCAAAGAGCTGAGGGACGGCATAGAGCTCAACTACTCCGTCTGGTTAAAAAATCACGGCAGGAGAAGCGTGTATGTTTCGTTGAGCATCGAGAACAGATTCGAGCTAAGCGAAAAACTTTACACTGGTTCTTCGCGGGAGGTAATTCTACTATTTCTCGCTTTCTTGGAATTACCTTATATCTAGGTCGGTGAAATACTACTTGATCCGATGGCCGTGCTCTTCATGAAGATTCCAGATTCGAAGTCCGCGCGTGTTTTGTTTCATTACAGCGGTGGGCCGCATCATGATCGCTTCAAGAGGACGGTAGAAATTATGCACAAAGACAAACAAGTTCTCTTTAATCCCGCCACAATGACCGCTAATCCAGATCACCTATCTAGCGTAAGATAAAAAGTATTTTTCTGAGATCTTATTTGTTGGTTTGTAGGTCTACATTGTCTATAAGTGGAATCACGCGAAAAAAGAAGTATTTCCTCCCGCATCTGAAACCGACTCGACGACGGATAATGATCCAAGCTGGGTACCGAAGAATGGTAAAGATGCAAATAAAGAATTTGACGCGAGGAAGGATAAGTTTCCAAGGAAGAGCAAGAAAGTTTTTGGCAGAGATTCGAAAAGGGGCAGAGAAGGGGCTAAAGAGAAAGAAGCGACGAAAGAGAAGGAAAAGAAAGAAAGGGCAGCCAAAAAAGTGAAAGTCAAGAAAGAAGATCAAGTACCGAAAAAGCATTACGAGGAAGAAGGCCTTTTGAATTTCGACACTTTCAAAATTCGCCTAAGTGACGGCACAGAAATGGATATATTCCGCCTCGAGAAGAATTGCAATTTGAACAACCTCGAATATCTACAGGTCGTCTCGAGCCCGAAAGAATACGCAGTGAATCAATTCCGAAATGGACCCCTTTCAAAAACAAACTCCGACTAAGAATGAGTTGTAAACCAAAAATGGACAAAAAACTGCACCTGACTCCGCCCAACAATCCATGCATCAAAGTTCCCAAATCGTTTTATTCTCGTCTATATATTTAAAAAGCCTCCTTTTGAAAACGCCAGCGCAGATACATGTATGACCTTTAGGCTTCAGCTTATTACGGTTACTTTTTACTTCTTAATCCTTTCTCAGTGGAGAAAAATCAACTTACAGCCAGTCTGAAATTCAGTAATAATTACCGAAACCCGATCGTTTTACATTTAACCTTTTTAGTCTCTTTGCGCCATGTTTTTCCTCTGATCGTAAATGACAATATTCAGCGGTAGAACTTCCAGAGCGATACCGTCGATACTGTCGCTTATTATCGGGGGAGATTGCTTCTTGTTCATGCTGCTCTTAGAACTCCGATCGCGCGAGTCACCCTGTCTAACTAAAACGCTTCCTTTTCCTGACTGACATGATAAAAATCATCTACCAATGCCCCGGATAACAGACCCTTTCAGATGTAGAACGACTCAGAATGGCCAGCGAAGGGGATGAAGACCCCGACTGTCCGATCTGCTACAGGAGGCTTCTTCCGAAACTAACAGTAGAAACAGGTAAAAATATTCTTCATAGTTAATTTATCTTTGCCCAATTTTTGTTATTTTTATTTATTCAATTTCAATATTAGCGTGTGGCCACAAATTCTGCATCGTGTGTCTGACCAGATGGGCAAGGGATAAAGTCGTATTCGCCTGCCCGTACTGTCAGGGAAAAGTACAAACAACTCAGCTTGAATTCGACGAGGAACAGGGCTCTTTGGTGTTTACCTCACCATGGGGCCAAGCGTATATACAGATGCCGAGTGCAGAGCTGGGCATCGCTTCTTATCATTTTGTCGACGAACGCACGGCCTACATTTCTTACGACAGGAAAGGCTATTGAAAATTTTTTCCTGAGATGAGTTGCATAATTTAATAGCTGATTGAGCGACTTTGCAAGATCCCACTGGCGAATGACCGACGGAAGTGAGCCCCCAGCTACGAAGTATTTCGTTGATGTCGAGTACGATCAAGAAACCCGTCGATTTAGCGGCACTATACTTTGGGAAGGGGAAGTGCGCCTTATAGAGCGATGCGGATCTTGGAGATACGATTTCAAATTTAGCGAAGATTTCCTGAAAATTGAGTCTGGGACTTGTGAAATGTTGCGCGAGAATGGGACAGTCTTCTGGAGCTCCGATTTCGTTCCTACGAGAAATCCTGACAGTGAGAGACGGGAGCTTTGTTATTCTCTCTTTATTAGAGAAAAACTTATGGCGATTCTGAATAAAGCGCTGAAGGGAATCTGCTTTTCCTGCTACTCAGAAAAAGATCTCGTTGCTCTTCCATGCAAGCACACGCTCTGCAAGGAAAGGGTCAAAATTAAAATCACAATATTTATTTTCCTGCATTTATTTAACCCAAAAAAAGATTTGCATCAAACCTTACGGGCAAGTAGGAAAATGGGCTAAATTTTGCGATTTGTGTGAGAGCATTTTCTTCTTTGCCGATTTGGAAATACCCGGGGTTGAGCGAAAAGCAATCACTTCTCCGATCGGACAAGTCTATGCTCAGGATTTGGGTGTCGGTAGTGCGTCCTACCACTTCGCGGCGGATGGACCCTACATTTCCTACGAAAAAGCGCCAGAAGGGTGGAAGCTCGATGACGGAAGTAGACCACCGGCTCGGAAAGAGTTTCTGAACTGGAATTATGAAGAACAAGAGCGCAAGTTCACTGGCGAGATCCGCTGGGAGCCAGTTACCTTCACAGGCGACAATCTATGGATATACGAGTTCACTTTCAACGAAAAATTCACAGAAATTGAAAGCGGTTTTTGTAAAAATTTTTCCCCTCAATTCGAAAATGGAGAGTTTGAAACTACAACGGTATTATTTGAAAGATAACAATTTGATTTGAGCATTTACCTTTTAAGATATCTTCGAAGGGACCCTCTTCTCTCCATTACATCCTCCAAGAGGAGCCAATGCTGGACTAAGAAGACTTTCCAACTGACAACTTTAACCACTGTGACATCTTGATGGATACTACCTTTCTAAAGCTTCAGTTAATTGATAAAATACAGATTTATTATTCCACGCCATCTATCGGCGCAGTTACTTATTATCGGAAGTACGGAGCGTAATTATCTGAGTTCCCATTATGGCTGAGTGAACCCTAGATAATATTCAAGATTAGTTACGACTGAGCGGGGACACTTTAAATTTATAGCAAACACATTGCACCAGAGGATCAGAACTTCATATTGATCTAATCTGAAAAAGAAGACGACCAATACTTTTGAGTGTCGAAACTTTTCCACTAGTGAAAATTGAAGACAGATTACATAAGATTCAGCACTGGTCACTTCAGCCCGAGCTATCGATTTCAGCGAATCGAAAAAGCGGTCGAACTTGAACCCTACTATCTGGATTCGATTTTTTTATCAATGAGAGAAAGAGCGAATCGACAGTGAACCCATTGTCTCCCCGTCTTTTCGTTCTCGACTCTACCCAACTTGGAATAGATATTTTCAAGCTCTGAGATTCAACATTCAGTTACTTTTTGCGCTAGTTTGCCAATCGGGTCTCACAGCCGAAGCTCTGTGGCCGAGCAACAAGTCGTAGTGGAGTCGGGGTGGACCGCGCCCGTCACGTAATTTTGCGTCGTGGGCGGCTGCTTTGGGCGATTCCCATTCGCCAAAACGCGCTCAATCGCCCGCTCCATCCCATCGTGCGTACTGTCCTCTCTTCACTACCACCAGAGGAGACGCACCAGAAAGCCTCAAAATACATTCCTCTAAACAGAAAATTTCTCCATAGAACCAAGCCATTGCGTTAGAGAGAGATAGAGCTTGTTCAACTCGCTGCTCCTTATCAGATTCTTCTGATTTTCAAATTTCAACGGATGAAGATTCTTAAGTTTTTTATTTTAGATTCGATCGGGCCAACCGGCCGGTTATGGTAACGTTGCCAATAAACGACTGTGAAAAGGTATGTTAGAAAAACTGCTGAACGTAAATAAGGAAATAATATTCATCGCGTCCTCAGATACTATTCATCGAATGCAACCTGTAATTTTCAGTAATAAAAATGTCTTCTTCAGAAAGCAATGAGTACTGCTGCCACGCTTTCCAACACCACAGTAGGAGCCCAGTCGACTAGCCCGAACCCGCTGTCGAAAGTTGTCGCAAAGGTTCGTTTCGTGTCTTCGGGAGAGAGTTGATTTACATGCTTATTCAGGAAAACGAGTGGGTAGCGCCCCAGTTTCACAGAAAGGTTCACGTGAACAACAGAATCTACATAGAAGGAGCTGGAATAGAAAAGGTGAGATGAGTTTTTCTGAATAACTCGGCGTCAATGGACGAATTCTAGCTCGGCTACGAAAGATTGACAGAGTACTTTTCCCGATGGGGGAAGGTATACAACGTCGAATTGAAAGTCAACAATCGCGACGGACGACGACAGAAGAAAGTTTATGGCTTCGTTACTTTTGCCGATGAAGGCGACGCGCAGAACTGCATCGAAGCAGCTAAAGCTGGTATCGAAATCGAACCAGGCCGGCCACTCAGGTAAGAGATGACGGCACGAATTGGTTCGATTCTTTTTCTAGTGTTCGAGCTGCTTTTTTTATGCCCCGGAGGAACTCTTTCGACACCGAAAAGGTCTCCAATACCAACTGGTCTAGTCAAGCACCCTCTGAGCCCACGATTCCGTCTAGGTCACCATCTCCCATTTTCGAAACGGGCGAGTGGAAACCCGAGATGGGAAAGCCGTACCAGGGCGCCAATGGTCAATCTCCCAATGCTGCGAACGCAAGTACCGCTTCCAGCGGCTACAAGCACCTCAGTGAGCAGGAACAGGCGAAGAAACTCTTCGAAATCTTCCAGAACTTGCCAGACTCCACGCAGACACGTATTCTTCATGTAAGCTTAAAGTTAACGACCATTTCATTAAACATCACTGCTAGGTCCTCATGGCACAGAAGTATCAGGAGCAGCAACTGGCGGCAATCAAAGACACAAAAGCCTCAAGCTTCAACTCAGACTCAAGCGGCTCATCAAGCGGGAGTGAAACCGTTCCGCTGGATCTAACCTTCGCGAACATGTCGATGATCAAACCACCCGTGTCGCCTGTGTTGCAGAGTGTTCCACCGCCAGTTCCAAGCGTGAATCAAAGCATGCCAGCTCCTCAAACCTCCCCTCAAATGAGTCAGTACCAACCAGAGCCTATTAAAAGCATGCCGATCCCGCGATACGAATCTGTGTCAAGAAGCGAAGTTCAGCCTGTCTCCCAGCAGCAGCAGCAGGCTTCGATTATTCCTCCAATGAGCCGCCAGCAGCCTCAACCGATCTACCAACGATCATTTAGCGACAACACTGGCTACGAGCAGCCCCAGCCTGCGCCTGCGTCCACTACCAACAACGGATTCACGGGAAACAACTACAGCTCGCGTCCAAGCGGTGTTCGACCAATCAAGAAAATCCTCAATGAGTAAGTCGATCAAACGGAGCCAGGTTGATTAGCGATGTTTTCAGCGAGGGACTCTCTCTTACCATTCCCGAATCCTTCGGCGCATCATCGCCTGTCTGCTGGCACATGCCCAACTCGCCGCCAAACGAGGACTACTTCATGCAGCCAAATCGCCGCGGCGTCGATTACTATTAAGTCGGTAACAGACTTTCCAAGTCCTCGAGGACCGTTCCTACTGGTTTGCTCGATTATTCCCTGTTTTTTTCCTTTATTCAGGCCATTTACTTAAACTTATCGATTGTTTTATGAATGAGTAGGTTTTTCCCAACGTTCCTCCTTCATGTTTGTAAGGGTTAAAATCTCCGAAAGAAACGACCGGGTCTTATTTTAATATGCTACCATATCATATCTTGGTTAAAACCACTACTGCAACTTCTGCCACTTTTCGTCTGGCGCCGCGTACGGATGTAAACATCCGTCAGACATCAGCGCCAGTTTTCGAAACAGCTTGGCCCTTCGCACAACCCCCGGTCGTTGGTATTGTTAGACACTGTCGAGCCGTTCGCCATTTCTACATGATTCGCGCCCCGCAGCGTGTTCCTGCGCCAGCCCACGAAAGTGCCGCCCACCCATAACTTAGTGAAAGCTCCCTAAAAACTTACGACTGCTTAAGCGTAATCGCTTTCGATTGCGCATCGGTACTTTTCGCAATGACCTTTTCAAATCGTCATTGCGACTGTTGATTAACATCAACCACTGGAGCCCACCAAAATGACGCCCTAGACAGTTTCAGCCGAAAGCGATCAGGCTGATCCCTGTTCAGTGCTCTCTTGGGCGAGGTGGTCTTCGTCTTCATTCATTTTTTCAATTTTCTGTTCATTTTCCGGGCAGCACTTGGGTAACGCGCACGCTGCGGCTTCTTTCCCGCGAGAACTGTAGAAATGGCGAAATCTGTTGTTCTCCTATGTCCTTGTTCGAACGTTCACCCGCATTTTAATATTTTTTAAAATTTAGTCACCTCTAACTCCTCTCTCAACCCCGACAAAATTGGGTCCTTTTCCATACCGATCCAAAGATCCATTTTCTCCCTCGTCAAATCTTCAAATTTTGATATTTTCTTAATTTGGCGCATTTTGCCTTTTTATCGCTAAAATTTTCTGTCAATTTTGACACTTCGCGTCGTTTGGATTTGACCCAGCCAGATCATTTTGGTCGGAGTCGTCTTCCTCATAGTTCAATAGACTCCCAATTGAAGCCATCAAACAATTTTGCTTTTCATGATCGGTTGGATCACACCCACACTTCCCTATTCAGACATTCATTTGCCTTAGTATAATTTTTCTATTCATCTCAAACTTTAAAAGATATCATTTCAAGTTCTTAAAAAAGGCAAACGAAAGTGTTTTGCAAAAAAATTATTTGGAAAAAGGCTTACATATTCAGTTTCTTCGGTAACCTTTCTCTACTCATTAATGTTATTTACTTTCTCATATCCTAAAGCAAGTATCTATCCGAACTTAATGATTTAATCATTACTCCTATACAGCTAGCTTCTTTTTGGGCCATTGTAAGATTTAAAAAATCTCTCAAAGCGAGGGCCTCTTCAAAAGTTGAAAAGACCCGGACACCTATAAAACTGGTGTCGCTGAATCTTTCAGTGGTTCACGGTTTTTCTGGCCACTGCGGGTGCAAACCGGACCATTCTTCGTACCTTGTCAGCTCTGTGCCCGCACTGGCACTGTTTTTTTTTTATGTTAGGCTAACATTTCTCTCAACACTCGGTGACCAGAACATTATCTTAGGAAGTTTTGATCCCTTATTTATCAAGTGCGACTATTTACAGTTTGTTTTCTGAATAAACTTTTTCTTTGTCAGTTTCACACTGAGTGTTATCGCTAGTTCCTTCCGTTCCACCTCGAGTACTGTCTTTGCTCTTTACTTACTTTTCATTATTTTTTTTCCATTTTTACATAGGCTCCTGTGGCCTTCTTTGAATTCGTAATTCCTCTTTTTATAATTCATCTAACCTTGGACTTGCTCCCTTTCTTTCCTCGCCGCGCCGGCACATTCAAAGTAGCACTATTCCCTTCGAGGCGACTTCCGGACGAAAGAGCAATCCAAAAGTTCAATTATATTCGCATTTTATTCAATAATAATAAGCAAAATCGTAGGGCTTTCTGGTAAAAACCTTCGTTTTCGTCAAGTATATTCGTTTACATGATGAATGTTACTCTGTACTTGCTCGATCATCCCAGGTGTAACTGTGAATGTAATGACCCTCAGTGGTGACCAGCTTTTTAACTACACTCCTTACGTGATAGCTTTCATGTTCCTTCCCTTAACTTTTCGAAGCATTTGTGTATGTTCTAGCTCCTCCACTATTCCATTCTGGGTCTAAGAAACGAGATCTAGGGTTACTTTTCGCAATCTTCGCCGTTTTCAATGTGACCATTCGAAATATGAACGATCGTTAACCCGCCCATGTTTGAAAGTTGAATTCAACAAGATAACGCAGAAATAATGATTTCTTAATTTTTCCGAGGAGAAAGTAAGAAAAGTGTCAACTTGTTTCGATTTTATTTGGTGCACGCAGGAAATTATATACAAAAAAACGAAGAAAGATTGATGGAAATCTTAAGCATTTATCAGGTCGTGCAGTTTCTGAACTCTTGTCTTCACACGAGCAAAAGCCCATCCTCCTCCATGATTGCATTCCAAGAATCTAGCAGTTACGTACTGTCAATTGCTTGAAAAGTCTATCTCCCAACACTCCGGAGTCCGGACACAAGTATATCACGAAAAGTGACTCACTATATAGTATATGCTGTTCTAAATTCTAGCGCTGATCTGATTCAAGCCCTTTCTTTTCTAAAAAGTCTGAAGAGCGTCAATTGGCGAGACAGGTGACTGTTCCGAAAGTTTACTTTGAATGAATTCTTTTCCCTTGGATAAGTCTGCACACTGGCGTTCCCGATCTAAAGTACTTTCATTCACAAAGCCTTTCCAAAATAGTAGTGGTAGTGATTCTTTCCTTTTCTATTTGTTGCTTTCTCGATGTCTCTGCACATTCTTTCAAAGGAGTTTCTAACTGCTTGAACTCGGTTCGCTTTCTTGATCGATTCCTTGTTTTCTTCAATGATGTCATCGAATTGTTTCAGCACCAGAGCTTCAAATGTTTTGGGAACCTTCAAGTTCCTCTCGATTGATACTGATGCGGCTTTCTAAGCAGAGGTTTAATAGTACGCTCGCGAGTTTTCGTTAGCGGAATTATTATGAATGGCTTTCCTGTTTTTCTTCCTTTATACTGCATCGCCAAGCAACATCGAATCCGTAATCACCGCTCATCTTGCCAGATTTAAACTCGAGAATGAATTCCCGATCTTTTTATTAGATGAATCCGTAAGAATGCGAGCAAGACTCAGTAAAGGTAGGATTTTCTCAAATTTATCATCTCTGCCTGGAAAATGCTGCTCAGGGATTCGGACTTCGCCCTGACAAAAATTGATCGTGTCTTGCTTGGTGGAAATAGTAAGGACATCTGTTGTACAATTAGTGAGTTCAAGTTGGTTCACAGTCAAAATAAGACCGGCCTGTATATTAGCTCTTGATGGTCTCTTCTTTTAAATTTTAAAGTTTTAAAAGCAGTTCATCAGTCAAGATTTCTTGACTCAAGAACCATTCCTGGCATTGCGATTTTACCCATATACACCAGTTTTCTCCGCCACTTGATGTGCGTTTTTTCAAAGAAACTTTTCAGAAAAACAATATCGTGAATTCTTGATAAAAAAAACGCTTCCTGTATGGATGCTGTGAACTTATTTCACCATGCTCGCCTCTAATTCTGTTGCAGCTCGAAGTTAGTACATTCTCTATGTAAAATAAAATCAAAAGCATAACGTCTGCTGCTTTGCAATATTACAATGAAAGGATGATTAAATATATGAAAAGATGACCAAGGCCGCCATGTTCGTTGGGAATGTCAATTTTACGCTCGCGTAATCGGAATTTTACCTCCGATTTTTAGAAATTATCGCAAGCCTGCAAAAATTGGAGTACAAAAAAGTTGCTCTTTCGGTTCAAAATATTCTGTATTTAGAGATACTATTAAAATGAAGTTCTCCGTGCTTCCGTTGTTGATATTGCCTTGCTGTACAATAAAGACCCAATTAAATAAAAAACGAACCTTTCTTCGCGCCTGACTTGAATCAAAAGCCAGAAATGATTTCTCGTTTGCTTTTGTGATCTGCTACGCATCATAAATTCTGTCAGCCAGTTTTTTTACGAAAAATTTGGAACGTACCTTTTACAGCCAAGTGCCCATTATCGCACAATTGATGAGAACGGCCGCTTTTGCGAGTAGTGACTTAGCCGCAATTATCAGCAACATTTTCTGATTTCAAAACTTGGCCCTAGAAGAGCTCAACATCTCCACTTGGATATGAAGGTCAAGTGTTCGTAATTACGGCGTGTGCTTTACAAACAAAGCATGATATCAAGCGCCCATGGTTCAAATTTACAGTATCCAGCCGCGGTGGCTTTTTAGGTCGTTTCAATTCAACCCAGATCAGGCTACCATCGACCCAGATCTTTTGAGGAGCTTTTTCATAGAGCGAATTTCAAAGACGACTTCAAAGGTCAAGCAAATCACTCACCCCGAAACTTGTTTAAAAATGTAAACACTTTGATTCTTTATTGCGTTTAAGCTCATAAATACCACTGAGATTACAGAACACAGTCTAGGTTTCCTCTTTGTAAGATAATGCCATTCATTTACCCATTATTCTTTATAATATTTTTTTAGAAAATCCACATAAATTGATTTAAAGCGGATGACAATCACTGTTGGTAGCTTTCTTTTTCTTGAGACAGAGAGAGAGAGCAATATAACTACCTACTAGTTATGTAAGAAAAAGATTGACACAGATTTGAGCTTCTGACCTCGCCAAGGTGTTTGACTTCTTAACATTGTCTAGCTATTTCTTGGCAATATTTGTTTCTTTTATTTTCCCTCGCTAAATATTTTCAACGGCAAGAAACAGAAAAACCAGCGACGGTTTTGAGGTCAGTTCTAGGTCTAACTAGTTTTAACGAGTCTAAGTAGATTTTTATCGATTATGATAGTTTGTGAATGTTCACTTCTCGTAAAATTGACAGTTCTGTCGTTATTCTTCCGATGTTGATAGATTCCCAAAAACATTAGTTGTGTAGTGTTGTTGTTAAACATTAAAGTTCGAAGCCAAATAAAAGGTCAAAAACAAAATAACTTAGTAAGATAGCTCAAGCCATTTTTGATAGTGAACACAGTAGGCTTCAGTAGAGTTGAAAATCGCGGGCAATTTCGAGCGCGAAATTGGTTTCAGTTAATCCCTTTTTCAGTAGACAAAGTCTGACTGGGCAAACAATTGTGTTGGCTGGGAGTACAGTACTCAGTGGGAAAACTCCGTGGAAAATTTTCCTTTCAGAAATCGGAAAGAGATCGAGCTCGACAGCGCCACCAGGCGTACTCCCAAACTTTTTGAGCGGGAAGATTGCGCGCTCGTACCGAAATTCAAATTTTCGAAATCAAGGAGAACTCAAATACGAATTTTCAAAGAGAGCTAGCTTCGTAATCGACGGCGGTCACGATTTTTCAACAGAACGCTTCCGTAAGATAATATTTTTTCAACAAAGTGAAACATTTTTTTCTTCAATTACATTCTTTAGCGGTCGACGCAGCAGGGATTTTTTGATAATATCTTAGATGTGTCATTTCTGAATTCACACCTTTTTAAGGTTTTTCAGTCTTTCAGACCTAAAGTTATCAAACCCCCCAGCAAGGTACACGTCTAGCCTAGAACAGAGAGCAACGGCCATAGTCAGAGAGAAGAGAGATAGAGATCTTAAGTCTTGAGTGTATCACTGTTTCAAATCGCAGCTGAAATGCAAATAATTGATTCGGACAAAAATTGGCCTCTACAAGAGGTATTGTTTGACATTTTCACTGAGGAAAGGAATCCACAAAATCGAGATTTTTTTAGAGAAACAGAGCAGAACTGATTTTATCATTATTTTTTTCTCAGTATTGAAAGATGGAGAATTCCTCATGATAACAGAGAGAAAACATTGTCATTGTTTCATAATTTACGTCTTTTTGGAAAAATGTTGGAAAATTGGTCAGCCATCCGTCAATGGCTAATCGCTAAAGTGGGTCTCTCTTTATCCGGGACAATTGAATAAACAGGACTTTTTGTTTATTACCCTTGGGCGACGAAGACTAATTTTAGACCTTTTTCCCCATTTCTAGCTATATTTTTGCCAACGAATTTCCGAAAGAGACGGATAGAGGAGAACCTATTCAGTATTGGTTTTAATTTAGAAGCTTGGATTCTAAAGCCTTAGAAGAAGATCAACGCAGATAGGCAGGGTTCAAAGAACACTAGCTCGTTAAAAAGCCATAAAAGAGGTTGCTCGCGGGGATGGGTTTAGGCCAAAGTTTCGAAATATTTATGGGCTTTTTTAGACTGAAAAATCGAGACATTGCTCGTCTTCGAGAAATTTATAACATCACAAATCAGCAGCGAACTTTATTTGCCAGAGATGATGACTTACACCGACTTCTACTATGCGGCCAGCTGATTGAGTGGTATCCCGTTGTTTAAACAGGAAGGGCTCTTGATCTTTATTTCTTCAAAAATCGAAAAAAGAGAGACATAACGGACAAACATGTGATCATGCAATTGCTAAGCCCATAAAAGGAGAAATCATACTTTTTCTGCACAAGCTCAACCTGGAAGAGCGCTGAAAGCGTTTTAATGACGGCGACTTTGGCTTACCAAACACGCTTCTCCATTCCAACTCAGTTGGACACACCGCCCACTGGATGGCGTGGACCTTCAGACGTGGGTCCTTCAGGTTCCCATCTTCTCCAGCAGCTACAGTCAAGGCCATCATCAATGGTCAACGTGCCCATATCAAAAGCGCTCAATGTTTTCGGAAGAAAAGCCGACGAGTTGCGACAATCATATGACAGCACTCTTCATCAGGTGATTCTATGAACTAGAGCGCTCAAATGATAACTTGGAGTTCTAGATCAACTCGCTGCGAAACAACTTTCCAGAGTTGCCTGCACTTGGCAGTGTCACTTGTCCGATTCTGCAAGCAATCCAAGATAGAATTCCATCTGGAATTGCTATTTTCGGTCAAACTTACCAGGTAAAATCGTAGCAAGAATCGATCACTTCGCGACACTTCTTGGACTGCAATCAACAAGGAATATTATTTTAGGCGAAATGCTCTGTCGTGAACGAACTATTCAAAGAAACTATTGTATCGCAAGAAACAACAGAAATCACCGAGGGCCGCATGATTCGCATCAAGTATGGATTCGAGAATTATGCGACAGTTGGAGACAGTGGAAGTTACGTCAACTTGGAATTCTTTCCAAACTCTGTTGAGTCAGCTTACTCGGAAGATTCAAACGGCTCGTCAAAAAGTGGGCTTGCCAAAAAAGAGCTCATCCTTTTGCCGGAAAAAGAGGGTCAACTGTCTAAAATAGAAGAGTCTGCGATTGAAGTCAGCTTAAATCATATTCTGCTGAAAGATGGTTCAACAGTCATGGTTTCTCCGAGTGGCGGCAGCTTTGGAATCGACGAAATCGTCGACTCCGCCATGGATGTTTGTCTCCCCTTCGTTATTTATGCAATCGAGCGAGCGAGCTTTACGCATAGAGAGCTCGAAGATCTAAAATACCTTCAAAAGAGACTTCCTCACTCAGCTGTCCTCTTCGTGCGCTCTGCAAAAAATGAAGAGGAGTCTGAGCTAGCAGATCAACTCGAAAATATTGGTTACCTCAATCCAAAGGGATTCACAACTAAGAGCTGGCTAAATCGCGCCAGTCGTTGTCAATTTTTGCCTTCATTCACTGACTTTCATGTGGAATTGGAGCCTAATATTAGACGCCAAGCTCGCGCATATCTGATCCAGGTAAAATAGTTACAACCTGGGAGCTGTGAATTGTTATTTATTAGGCTTCTACTCACTTGATCAGTCTGCTAGAATCATGTATGTCGAAGTTACTGAACAGATGCATGGACATGTCCAGGGACTTAACGATGACGCCAAAGCGTCTCAACTACGCAGAAGAGCAAGAACAGAAAATATTCGATCTCTACCGGTAATATCTTTTTCAAGTTCTGAGATTATGAATAAATTTTAGCTCCGTAACATTAGAAAATGTAAATGATGCCATTGTGAAGTCAATAGCAATGGTTCTTGAAGAAGTGGAGCTCGGAAAACATGAAATATTGCTCAATAACTGGAAGAAGGGAGCTAGGATGTCGAATCGCGAACTTGATGAGCGTATTAATACTGTCGACCAGTATGTTTTGAACCAAATTTCTTCAAAAAGCAGTTCGATCATTTGTAATTTGGAAAATATTGGTGATAAAGGACCACTAAAACGCTCGCTTGAACTACTAGAATCGAAGGTAATTTAATTTAAATAATGTGTTCAAGCTATCAACTTTATTTAGGTTGAATACAAGCAAAGTGAAAGTCGACCGTCTGTAAGATTGACAGAATTGCTCAACGCGCCTAATGGACATACACTTGCTATTGATGACGGGCTTCCAACCTCTGCCGTCATCACTCGCCGCTTCAAACGTGTATTTCAGCCGAAAACGCACGCTGACGCCGACAATTCCGCGACAAGTTGGGCACAAACGCATGTAGCAAATTTGATGGCATTGCTTTGCCCACGGAAGCTCGGGACTGCTCTCCTCCGCCAAATAAAAAGTAAGTTTTTCCTGTCGATGATGGAAGGGGTCAGGTGACCCAATCTTTGAAAAAACGGAATTTGACTCGCAATTATTGTCCTTATGCGGCAGTGCTATTTACTTGCAACACAAAGAGTCGATTTTTTGTATCCGTTGAAAGGCGCCCTTTTTTGTTTTCGGAACGCGGGCAAGATTGAATATTTTGTACTCAACGGTTTCTCGAGTCATTTATTCCATATTCAGACCGTCTTTACGAAGCTCACGAGAACTTTATTACCTCAATGGTGCTTTTGGATCAAAAACATCAAAACCGTTTGAACAAGGTTGAAAACACAAAATTACGATTGCGCAGACACGTGTGCCCACGCCTAGGTCGCCTTATGCTCGAGAACTCTTCCTTCCGCGACTTAATTATGTATGGAATGCCAAAAATTGGCCGTGAAATCGGTAGAGGTAAAAACAAGTTATTGGCAAGCAGAATTTTACGAAGTATTCAGGTCAATATGGAATTGTTGCTCAGTCCGATCACTGGGGGCATAGGATTGGAGTCGCCGTCAAATCTGTCATTCCGGACGGTGATCGGCAGTGGGGAGATCTCTCGCTTGAGTTCTATTACACGAAATGGTGGCTAGAGCCTCATCCTCACATAGTGAAGCTGTACGGTTCTCTTATTGACTATGACTCCTATGGGCCCGAAGAAAACTCCCAGCCAGCCGTACTCTTAATAATGGAGAGGCTTCGACGAGACCTCTACACGGCAATCAAGCAAGGCATTTCTTATTGCGACAGGTTGCAAGTTGCCCTTGATGTTGTGAATGGACTTCGGTTAGGGTTATTCACTATTATCTTTTTTAAAATTCATTTAGCTACTTGCATTCCCGTGGGCTCGTCCACCGCGACATTAAACTGAAAAATGTTTTGCTGGATGGGAACAATCGCGCGAAAATTTCTGACTTGGGATTTTGTAAACCAGGCGCGATGCTTTCAGGCTCGGTAGTTGGAACACCTATTCACATGCCTCCTGAGCTATTCAAGGGCGCTTATGATGCCTCAATTGATGTCTACGCTCTCGGCATAATGGTAATTTTTCCACTTGATGCTTCAATTAGCCAGTTCGATTGTGCCTAACGAGCCTGGAGCAGTTTTTAATTACTTATCAAACATCGCCTTCATCTTCTCTTTTAGCTCTGGTACATCTGCTCTGGATCGACAAGATTGCCTCAGAACTTTGAGCGCTGCTCGAGTAAAGAAGCCCTCTGGAACGCCGTTCGAAGAGGTGCACGCCCTGAACATTTGACGAAATTCGACCCGCGAATGTGGACTCTGATGCAGGTAAATAAAAAGTAAAATGTTCATTTTCTAATATAAATCAAAGGAATGCTGGAAAATGGAGCCCGACGAACGTCTAAAATTGGGAGAGATCGAAAGCGAGCTCAGTTCTATCTTGGAGATTGAACGCAAAAAAGTCTCGAAAAACAAAAGTGTTAAACTACAAAAGTCAGTTGGACCTGGCGAACTCGTTGTTTCTTCAACCCCGCGATCCCAGAATGGCTAAAGAAAATCTTAGTCTCTTTCAAATATCCCAGTGCTTCACCGAAAATGAAAAACAAACTAATCAGTTGGTTATGTCAACATTGGCATGTCTGTGACATTGCTCGTGCTCAAGGCTATAATCCTTGAATTATTCTTCCTAAGAATTAATATCTTATATTAACTCCTATGATATCCAAGTGACAACTCAGGCGGGCCCTGTTATAATATTACTAGTTCCCGCTCTAATCAAGCTATATGATACTCCTATCCAAAAAAACTGAATTCTTTTTTCAGCCTGCCCTCCTGTCTGCCTGATGACTTATTATTTCAGATTCAAACTGACCATCTGACAAAAAACTAGTTCACAAAGAATAAATTATTTCTGCTCTAACAACGAATAAACTAAAAAGAGAATACTCACATGACAATTTCGAAAATTTAGGAGATGGCAAAAATTTCCGCCATCTATTGCTAAACAAGTGTTAAAATAATTATACCGAAAGAATAAGCAAGTGTCTGAACTTTGCGGGTTTATTGAAGCACCGAGAGTGGTTATTTTTGCTGCACGTCAAAATGCATTAGGCAATGTACAAGGCCTACTACAAGCTTTAAAACAACAAAAAGTATAAGAGGAAGCTTTAACATTATTAATTTGACGCAGGTAGAAGCTGGTTATTGAGTTAAAGGAACATAACGGGTTTGAACTTGAATTGGGGAATTGGCGACGTAGATACATTTACATGTAAGGACGCGAGAATGAAAATGTTATTAAGAATACATATAGAATGCAGAATTAGACCCAGCTTTACGCTTAAGGGACTTTGCGAACAAGAAAAAGTATCAGAGATAAAGCGTGCACCCTAAAAAGTTGAGCAGAAGAGTGTTATGTCCTCACTGAAGAGGCAAGTTGTTAGGCGACATGGCCATGTTATACGGTGACATAGGGTGTTGAGACATGGGAGATTGCACCGGCTGTAGGGTCGGGTCGGGTGATTGTACCGGCGCGTAATTTTGAATCTGGTCATATTGAGGGGTCGTTTCTGGAGAATCATATGCGGCATCGTGAACGACGTATTCATAGTGGTGCTCGATCTGGTTTATCCAGTCAAGGTATTCACGCATGAATATTTCCAACCACAGATCGCAGTCTAAAGAGATTTTTTAATTCATTCTTATGACTAATAATAATAAGTTGTGAATTAATTTTATCCTTAAACTAGAGTTCAGATGAAGTACTAAAAGATGCTTACCAGTAAGACGCTTCTTCGTGTATTCCGGACCCCATGGTTGGAAAGATATGCGGAAAACAGTAAAGTAATTCGCGTATTGACTGATGAGAGCCCACTTTTGCAAATCATTTTGTGTGGTCGAGTTGACGCCTTCGATCGTCTTCGCAAGTTGGTAGCCGTCATAAACGACACGAGACGCACCTGGGCCTACTTGGATCAGTGATTGCTCGTGTTTTCCACATTCTACATTCATAAGGTAGGAGAGAACGTATATCTTCAGGTTCTTGCAATTGTTGTGGCAACTGACGATGCGCTTCTCTCGGTCATAGACAAGTGTCAAGCCTCGTTGAAGCTTTTCCAACAGGTCCCAAGTGTCTGTACTTCTAGAGTGGAATGTGTTAAACATAAATGAAACTAATATGTTCTTACCTATTTACATTGGAGATGCTGGACAAGTCGAAAATATCCGTTTGGGCAGCGTCCTTGCCCTTGAGAGTCTCCTTCTTGGCGTATCTATTTACATCGGCCGCCTTGTACTCGACACCGAGCTGAGTCTTCGCCGTTGAGTAGACCTCGATTTTGTTGTTGCACTCGTACACGGAAACGTTGCACCAAGGTTTCTCCGCTGCCTCGCGAAGCACAATTGGGTGTGTCACCATTGAGTACTCCGAATTATCGTGGCTACCGTTCTGGTTTGCATTCGTAGGCTGAAGCCCTAACTGATCTTCTATCTGTTGCAGCCCGGCTACGTCACCGACATCTCCAACCTGGACGTCATTGAATGCGTTTTCCATGAAAGAGAAGTCTTCTAGCTGACTTTTCACTTCATTGACCGTGTTTACAGGCTGCAAAGAAAGCTTGATCAGCTCACAATCAGTCACACATGCTGGGTTGCGTCGTCCCTGTCTAAATTCTTTGATAAAGCAAGCTTTCGTAGCTATTGAGTCAATAGTTTATTAGCAAATCTGACGCAACTTGACGACCGGTTGTGTTACATTGTCTACAACAAAATTATAGACCTTCTTCAAAAATTGATTCTCATCTAACATTTATTAAAGCAATATGTTTATATATTAAGCAAGTTCTGCCTACTCAATAACAAAAAGTGCTAATGAAATTCTGTACATTTTAGTAAATAGAACGTTATAATAAAAATTACCTAGGACTTCTGCTTCTCGTGTTGTGCATGTTTCTTTTCTCGTGTGCCTTCGAGACTGTCTCTTCGAATTTGATGATACCCTTGGCGTTCTTCAGCTCATCATCGCCGAATTTGCGCTCGCGTCTGTTAGGCACTTCCCACAGATTCTTGGAGAGCGAAAGCTTCTCAAGACAATTAGAGTCTATCATCAAAGAGTTTCCTGAAGCTTCGGTTCTCACCGACGAGGCTGTTGACGGCCGCGAAGGAGGACCTTTCGTGAGTGGTGTTCGCTTAACCAGCGAGTTTACTTCAATCTTTAGTTTTTCTTCGTAATGGAAAGGGTTGATGCAAAGCAGATTTTCTCCGTTCGCCCATTCCGCCGCAAAAGGGTAGCTGCATGGAGTTTTCAAGTTTTCCTTCGTTCGCAACTCAGAATGATTTCCACATTGCTCACGGGTGTTGTCCCCCTTTTCCAGGTTCCATCGAACTCAAGCACCCATGAATGAGAGATACTAAGTGACCTGCTGACACTTTGAAACCCGGACCTTGATGAAGAGCGCGTAAAGATGAAACATAAACGCATGGGGCCAGACTTTTCTTCCATCGACTTGAATTCTACCATCCTAAATGAAACGAGATTTTAACGGGTTGAATACGTGACGGTGCATGTAATATTATGCCAGTAATATTATGCCAGCTTCCGCTGTTGGTGAGCACTGTTTATGTTGCGCTTCCTACCTGGTTCCTTTTGATAACAAGGCAGATGGATTCGTCCTCGTTGTTGAGCACGTCGAGCAAGGACTTTGAAGAGCGATTCGCTCGCTTGATTCTTCTGCAGACGGAGAGAATCTCTTTCTGCAAGTTCTTGCACTTTGTCAAGATCGTCTGGTGACCATCGTCGGCGGACGATCCGTACGGCAAATGGTGGTAGTTATACTTCTTCTGGAGATAGTCGATGATCTTCTGAGCCTCATCATGACATGGCTTCGCATCTTTCCGGGACTTTCCTTCTCCTTTCCCTTCATCCAGTTTTTTACCTTCAGTGCTCATTTCTCTGTCTATATTTAACAAAAAAATGTACGAATGTAAGCTAACGGAACTGATTTACTGCCCCAGACAAAGCAATAAAAGAAAAGAATACTATTGTCCAGCCATTACCACTAATAAATAACTATTAGATAATCCTAAGACAATATTTGGGGACGATCTTTGAATTAACCTCCTTCTTACTCTTCGCTATTTCAAACGATAAGGCCGGAAGGATAGAAAAATCTCGAGAAAGAAAGGGCTTTTAACTATTTCGAATAAAGATTACTAAACGCACCCTGACTATGTCTGATTATAGAAGAACTGGTTCCTTTGGATTTGTGCGGGACGCTAGAATGTCTAGCGGTGGTAGATGAGAACTGTCCATGTCCGTCGCTGATGTAGTCAATCGGGCCGTTCATCGTTTTCGTGCGGCGCCGGGGTTGATGGGTCTCTATTGTCTCTTTATCGACTGGTTAGATATTAACTGTTGCTCTTCCAGCTCTGTGCCCTGGGGACCGTAATCATGTCTATTTTCCGCTCTGTCTATTTTCTACCAGAGAGAGTTGCGTCGCGCGCTCTCCAATGTGATGACTCATTTCGCGCATTTGGTGCGATGGTTCGTTCCTCTCGTTGCGTAGGCATGGGTCGATCCGCGCTGCTGATTGGCTGCTCTCCACAGCGGGGGTTATATTACGGAGGAGGGCCCAGCTCCAGCCCAGGCCCACACTTTTGCAGCCTACACCCCACACAGAGACCCCCAAAAGAGACCCTTAGATTGTCCTGAACGGATCCGCCCGTGCCTCAACTCCCGCCCACGTGGCTCAGCCGAACTCGCCTACCTCAGCGGCCGCGGCGATCTAGAATGTCTAATCAATCCAAAAAGTGAGTACATCATCACTCTTGCTCTCATCGCTTCCATCTCTCTTCGTGCCTCGAGTCCTTATTCTCAGCTCCAATCATTTCCCTCATTCGATGCTCTGTCAGTTCCATAAACGTTGTTTCCAGGGATGAAGACATTCAAAAAGAATCCGTCAATGCTCATCACAATCGCAATGCAGAGCAAATCACTGGACACGCTCCTTTTCATCAAACCAAACGAATTCAAATTCAGTCCGAGCCGCAGTCCGAAATAGGTAATCTCACTCATCGATTTATTGTCGGCGATTATTCAGTGGGAAGCACTCCTTGAATATTTTCTAGATTTTAGAGTGTTTCTCACATTGCTTCTCCCTTTGTTTTCGTCGTAAATTTCACTGAGAAACACAATTCAATCTAGAAAAAAGGAGAAGTTGTTTCCCACCTGTTTTTCCCATCTAATTTTATCCTTAGAAAGTCGCCTAAAATCATTATTTTCTGAATTAGACTTTTTAACCGACTAACAGAATTGGTACTTTTTCTTTGGGGGCTTCCACAAAATAAGAACAGACCTCAAAAATTCAGATTCAGAACTCATTCGTTTGGATCCATTCATTTAATTATTTGTAGCTCGCCTAAATTTACTGATTACGAGAGACGATGTATATTTTCTATCATCATCATTTCGCAATGTTGAACACAATGGAAAATAACAATTGGACGCTATATTGAGCGATAGTCTCTTCTTTTGTGCTTCGCCAAGCACATCCATTTAAATGCGCTATCAGAACTATTTGTGAATGATCATATATTCACAGAGCATCTAAATTAAAATAATAAGAAACGAGAAAGCTCGACGCCTGATAATTTTTTCTCATTAAAATGTTCTTCGACTTTCCAGACCGTAAGAATACTCAGCGAAATTTTCGTATCAATATAACGTCAAAAAATTCCATTAATTCACTGTAATTTTAGTGCCCAGCATGATGACCACGATCGAGTCAATGAAGACGGACGATGAACTGAGTCAAACGGTCGAGCTCGTAGAGTGCGGCAAGGCCGAAAACACTCCGAAGATAGAAAGTTTCGTGATAAACACGCCGAATTCTGTCAACCCGGGCACCTCCGGAAACCTTCAGAATAGCCAGACAACGTTCCAATTTCAGCAAAGTCAGCCCGTTCAGTTTGAGGATGAGCCCGTCCCCGCTCGCAAGAAAACGTTACGATCTATACGACACCGATTTCAGCTGCATGTGAGTGTTAACATCCCGACCTTTAGCAGAAAAGTCTATCAGTATACTGACTCGAGACAATTTAGCCGGCCACGAAATCACGTATATCGATGAGAATGATGGAACGCATATTGGTGAGAACGACGAAGACGGTATCGAACTGATCACATCTGAGGAATGTGAACCGCCCACCAAGACTCGTGTTCTAGACGCATCTAGCCAGAATATCACTTTTCAAACAGGTAGGAGTCTCCAAAAGTGCATCTATTGATACTGGCTCTAGTGTCGAATTCTTCCAACCAGAAGTTCATACAAATTCCTCAAACTAATCAGACGCAGCAGATACTCCAGATTCAAAATGGAGATGGGCAAACAAGTCAGATCATGATCATCCCGCAGAACAGTATTTTTGTAATTCCTCAGCAAGGTACTAAGCTAAATAGTTATATGTCCGTAAAGACTTTTACAGGTGGTCAAAATGGCGGTCAACAAATTCTTCTTCTTCAAAGTCCACAGGCGAACCAGACGACAACTTCTAACCCCGTCAGCCCGAGTCAGAAAGTTAAAGTTGTGAAAGGTAAGAAATCAACGAGGAGAATCCATTTTCAAAGTTTATAGTTTCTGAGAATTCGAGCTCGATAAATCTGGTGGAAGATGCTGCTGGAATTGCGGGAATAAAACCGACACAGACGACGCTCATTCCACCTGGTCAGCGTGTCGAGTTCAATAAGGAAGTGTCGACTGCTCATATCTATCCAAGTCCCTTCTCTCAGGTAAATGTTTGTGGAGTTGGCTGGATAGTAAAAGTAACTTCTCTTTCAAGGTTCCGCATGAAGATCGACCCCATTCCTGCTCCTTCTGTTACAAACGATTTGCTCGAGCAGATGAATGTAAACGTCACGAAAGAATTCACACAGATACGCGCCCTTTTGGTAAGACACAAAGGAAGACTCTTCCAAATTACTGATTCAGCTTGCCAATACTGTACGAGGAAATTCACGCGAAAGGACCATCTGAGGACACATACACGATGCCACACGAAAGAAAAGCCTTATGTCTGTCCCATATGCAACCGTGGATTTGCTAGAAGTGATGAACGCATAAGGCACGCGAAGACGCACGTCAAAAAAGGCGACGGAACTCTTGTAAGTTATTAATGGAGTCACTTGCGAAGTTCTATAATGAAATTTATAGGAGGAAATCAAGAAAGCCATGCCAAAACCAAAGTTCGACACTAACAAAAACCACACTTCTTCTCCTTCGAATCACAGCCCGGTACAACAGCAATCACCACAGAACTCCCACCAGACGCCGCACCTAGTCCTAAATCAAATCAATGGGACAGTATCCGTTGCTGGCAGCACTGGACAGGAGAGCGCAAGGCAAATCCTAACGAATGCAAATGGTCAAGCGATCGAGCTGAAACTCCAATCGCCGATGGACGATTTGGGACTTTCAAATGCGATCTCAAAGCAAATTCCCATCAAAGTTATTCAAACTGTTCCGCTGCAATCGGTCCAAACAACGGACGCATCTGGTCAACAAACAGTCGTCCGCGAAGTGACCATAAATGACTCGTAAGCCACTCGAAACCCGACCCCTTCAAATAAGCACTACCATATCCTAACCAAACGTAAGGGAGGTTTCAAATTTTGCGGACGGAAAAAAAAATTTTAATATAAGTAAATAAAAGTACCTGTTTTCTATGAGTCACAGTGACGGTGACCAGTTGACCCATTTTTGAACATTCAAAATGACTTTTCTCCCAAAATATCTTTGCAGGAGCGATCATTCGACCATCAATCTGCGTCATTTTTCACGCTCTTTCAGATGAAACAAAAATCTGAGAAAAAATTTTTTTTTCCGTCCGCAAGATTTGAAACCTCCCTAAGCTCTTTGCCTGTTTCATCAGAATACACTACTAGAATTTCGCATGAAACTGGAACTCTTTTCTGATTGAAAAGCGGAAGCTTTAATTAACTAGTTCCACAACCAGCCCTTTTCGCATTTCCTGACTATTTTCCAAATTAATGCTAGATAGGATTTTCCTGCGGTTATTTTTTGTAAATAAATATTTTGACCCTCAATCACAGGGAAAACCGAAGAAGCAATGTGTAATAACCGTAGTATTCACGAAAGGTTTATTTTAACTCATGATCTTTAACAACCTACTCAACTGTAACATAATCAGTTAAACATTCGTCCTTGGCACCCGTTTCCAATTTCCAAACCTCGGTGTCAAGTCAATTTGAGAACTATTCATTTAAAGTCCTTATTTGACTTGACAGTAAGTTCTCATAAAAATTCAATCTACTGTTCCATTTATTTTTATTTCCATTTTCTCGTAGCAAATCAGAATTATTCAAAATAAGTAGCCTGTTCAAATTCTGTATTGCTTTTTCTGTCACTATGGTTCAGTTATTCAAGAAAATATATTTCAAAAAAAATCTATCTTTTTCGTCTGTTTTATTTTGAATTGTCAACACTTTATTCTCAACAAGCTGAGATAAACGAGCAAACATAGGCACAGTTACAAGGGATGATAGCACCATGCTGGCCAAGGTCCATCAGGATCTTCCGGATCAATTGGCCCCGGCGGCTGTTCTTCCCAACAGCAGCCTGATGCAACACATGTCGCCGGCGTTGATGCGAGTTCGCCGCAGTCTTTTCTATCAGCGAGATCCGGGATGTTGCAATTGCCAGTTGCGGGGCATTGCTGCGTTGGCAAACATTCATCAGTTCCGCCGTTCGGTTTTGTTGTAGTTGATCCTGTAGGTTTAGTAGTTGTTGTGGAGGCGGTTGGAGTGGTCCCAGTATTACCACCTGTAGTTGTGGTTTCGGAGAGATAAGTGCACCACGCGAAACCAGGCTGAGATGGACACCAGCCGCATCCGATTGCTTTTAAAAATCACTTTATTAATATATAGGAGATCAGACACATACCTTCGCAGCTTTCTTGACTGATTCCGGAATAACCACACTCCCGATGCTCTTCATCTGGTGGACAGTGAGGGCTAGGAGTTTGAGTAGTAGGTTTTGTCGTTGTTGTCACAGAAGCGCCATATGTGCACCAAGGGATTCCCGCTTCGGCAGAACCATCAGCTGCTCTCACAGGGCACCAGAGACAGCCTTTTTGCTTTTTTAAAAGAAATTAATAATAAACTCTAGGCAAGGTACAAACCTCACAACCCCGTTGATCGATTCCCATATATCCGCAGTCTTCTCGAGAATTAGATGGCGGGCATGTTCCTGGGTTTGTTGGATCAGTTGGACCGGGTGTTGGCGGCTTTGCATCTTCAGCAAGAACAATGCACCAAGGAGTGCCTAAAGCACCCTTTGCGGCAGCGACTGGGCACCAAGCACAGCCCTTTTCGTAGCACTCATTCTCGGTAATTGAACCATGTCCACAGTCGATTTTCTTGTTGTCTGGGCAAGAGCAATCAAGACACTCACTAGTGGGGCCTTCGGTCAAGTCACCGCAGTCATCGTTGACTCCTGTAAAATCTCCAACGCGAGCGTCCGCAATTGTGTAGCTCATTGGAACGTTTTGTCCAGCCTGAATATTGACACAAGCCATGCCACTAGCATCGACATTGATGAAGGTATCGCAGGAGTCCAAGTCCGACTGTGCGAGGTCGCAGTATTTGCCAGCTGCCAGGCCAGTTTGAATACCACCTTCCATGGCCCAAGCATCACTGTTGACTGCGAACCAACCAGTTCCTCTAGAAAAGGAAACCTGACTAGAACCGTTGTCCCACCAGTTAGAATAGCTATCTGGTTCGCTTCTCATCGCTCCACCAAGCATACCAATATTTCGGATACCTGCCCATCTGTGTTCGCAAACCCAGTCGTTGTTGCATGATTCGGCTGTTGGGTCAGCAGTGGAAGGCTGTGCCGCTGGCGGACCTTGATCACCGTCTTCAAACAGGTAAGATGACATAATTCGTTTTGTTCCGAAGGGAAGAGCCATCATCATTCCCGTTACATATGGAAGATCGTGAGGAGACTTGAAAGTTACGATTCCGCCACCGCCGCCGCCGTGGCCTCTCTGATTGTCATGGTTGTTTGTGAAAACAAAAGCGTCTTTATTGCTTAGGAAACCCCAGTTGGAAGGCTTGTCCGCAACAGTTTTAAGCTGAGCAAGAGATCCACGCAAGTTTCCAAGGGAAAAGCAGTAGTTGAACTCAGTTACTGCGCCCATTCCAACATACTCCTCTTTTTTAATTGGCTCGCCTCCCTGATCAATAACTTCTTGGCCGATCCATGGACGGGTGTTTGCTGGAAAACCTTTTCCCGTTGGAAGATCGTGTAATTTTCCGTAAAGAATTTCAGTCTCTTCTGGCCACATGTGTTTCGCTGCGTCCACGCGGAAACCGGCAACACCAATATCGATTAGATCGTTCATGTAAGCCGCAATCTTATCTGCAGTTGAGCTCTTACTGTGATCAAGATCAGTCAACCCGACAAGTCTACAGTTTCGAACTTCGTTTGGATCACCGTAATTGTTGATGAGACCATTCTGGCTGCCGCATCGGTAGTCGTTGAAATCTCCCGATGAAAAAGGAACACAAGGAAATTCAAGTGTGTCGGTGTTGTATTGACATCCGCCTGTTCCTGTGCCCGAGAGAGCGTCTTCTCCACACATATGATTAATGATCGCATCAACAATGATTCTGACACCAACAGCATTGCATCTGTCGACCATATCGATGAAATCAGCTCGGCCACCCGATCGGGTATCCAAATTGTACGAAATTGGCTGATATCGTTCCCACCATTGACCAGCTACACGTCTATTCTCATTTGGTGGAGAAACCTAAAGAAGAAATGAATATTCTAATTCTTCGTCTGGTTGCCAGACTCTAGCAAATGTCTCAATCTTTTACCTGGACTGAAGCGAATTTGTGAGGACCAAGGAAATTTTCGCATTCTTCAGCAATTGACTTCCAGGACCATTCAAAAAGATGGACCATTCCATCGTGTCCCTTTATTTCAATGACTATAATTTAATTACTTTCATGTTTTACCTCAGCATACGCTGGCCGCCACTGATCTTGAGCAGCCGCTAGGCCTAAAAACGACCCAAGAAGTTTCATTCTCGCTATGACTTTTTGGTTACAGTTCTGTTGTTTTCTACGCGAAGCATATGCTAAATTCCCATGGTCCACTGTCTAAAGTTTCTTTTTTTCATTCTAGGAATCACTATCAGCAGGCTAAAGCGTGTGAATTTATCATAATTCTTTCTAATAATAAGAGGTAACAGTTTGAAGAGGAAATTGCGTTCAGAGTTTCAATTTTAGACTTTGGACAGTGTATCTCAACGCAACATTTTACTAAAATATAAAATTGAGATTGATTGGTACGAGCTAGTCCTCGTAATCGGATATAATTGGAACAATCAGTCCGATTATAGACATGCAAAACTTAATTTTCCAGCGCACTGCGTTGCCCCCCGGTCAATATCAAGAGATGCATGTTTTTTTAAAGCATTCATTGAAAGAAAGTTATTTGTTGAGCGAAATTAATGTACGCAAGAAATACAGAGAGATTGATTGAAATCGTGGGATAGAGAAATGCGTGTTTATTCGAGGGCAATCGGCGCCAGTTTTGGAGGCATACAACAAATTGTTATTTTTGCTTTTCTGACTGCGGTTTTCTTTGTTTTGCTTAGCAAATCATTAGGCAATGGAGTTTTGACGATCTCTTGGCAGCCAGCCGTTGTTCCAGTTAGGACGTTCATAAATTCAAGCGTAAAAGTAAATTTAGGCATGTGCCAAAGCTGAGAAGCGGACTTTTATTTCCAAAAAAGTTGTGGATCACGGTGTGATTAAGTTTGCTTTACCCGAAGAACTCAAGAATACGAAAGTATTCGAAAATTTTCAAACGAGGAAACGCATATTGGACCGATCCTGTAGCGTGGCTCGACGTGTTCTTAATTCGAGAGATCAGGAAAGTACTCAATATTTTATTGAAAAAGCCAGTAACATAAGCTCTGTGATGGTTTCAAAGCTTATTTTGAGTAACAAAAGACACACACGGAGCGGTTGAATTTCCAGAAACAGATTTTAGACTTCAATTCAGCGCTGCCCGATGAAACCTTATGCGTGCCTAGGCTTGCTGATAAAAGCCAGAAACAAGAGCACTTCTTCAACGATACTTTCAAATTCTCCGTTTGTCTCCCAACGAAAACTGGTTGTACCAATTGGCAGCGCGGTCTTGGTGCGTTTTATAAGTCCACGTGCGAAGATAATTCTAGGATTATTCTCGAATTAGATACGCTTGAAAATTGATAACTCTTCTGGGAGAAAATGCTATCCTGAATAATATTTGGATTGAAATTCAACATTGACATTTCAATTTCGCTGACTTCTTTAACACGGACATTCAGTTTCATTGGTCAAAATGGGTGAAAAAACTCCGGAAGAACTGGACGACAGCGAGATATTCTACGATTTGGATCGTTATCCTAAAATTGGGATGGGTAAAGAGCGCTCTTCGCGAGGACCTTCCAACGGATACTTGACGATGATCAATGTTCGACATCCTTTTAGCCGATTGCTCAGTGCTTACCGCGACAAGTTTAGAAAAGGACATCCTTGGATGAAGATCGTGGAGCCGAAATTCGGTTTCGTCTTGAAAAAATTTGAAAAGAAAAATATGGATGTTGAGGTAACACTTGTGTTTCTAGCTTTGTTTTTCAAAATATAGATGTTTGAATATTCGTTTCCCGCGTTCTTGGAGTTAGCAGCAGCTGCCGAATACGACTTCGAACGCGATCAGCACTGGAGAACAATGACTTTTCATTGGTGAGACCAGTGCTCAATCCAAAACTCAAATTATGCTTTAGCGGTCCTTGTCATAACGAATTCGACTTTGTTGTTCATCAAGAACAGGGCTCAGAAGAACAAGACTTTATACTCAAAGCAATGAATGTGGCAGAGTCGACGCACATCCCAGGCAAATACACAACTGCGCTGAAGGGTTACGACGATGTCATAGAATTTTACAAAGGCATCCCAAAGGCTGTAATTGAACAGCTCTACAGGATCTATTACAGGTCAGTAGATGCTCGAGATGTTTTTTAATTAAATTTCAGTGACTTCGTATTTTTCGGTTATCAAATCGACGATTTTTATGCCGTGGCTGTTGATGAAAAGCCTGACGATCCAATTCACGAAGATAGAAAATGGGCAAAGATGGCACTTTCTAAAAAGTTTTTCGTCTATAAAGAAAAATTTCACGAAAACGAGTGCGACGAATCGTTCAATGTGGATTACGAATCTGTACCTCAATAACACTCCCGTCAATTACACTCAACTAGAATAATAAAATAACGCCTGCCAGATATTTATTTATGCAAGGACAACAATAAAATTTCGATTCAATACATATTTTTTACGGGGTACAAATAATAAATAAAACGCCTCGATTCGGCGCTGTATTAAAAAAGTGCGCGTTTTACTATGAGCTGGCGGCGGCCAATAGCACCTGGAGGAGCTGTATTAGACGAATCACAATTCAAGCATCGTAGTATGAAAATCCTAGCCGAAACTCATTTGGAACTCAAATACGCGCTACTGAAGCATGAAACGAGAGTGTGAGAAAAAGAGCTCGAAGAAACGGGGGAAGAAGAGCATGCACCTAAAGTAAAAAATAGGGACTGTTGAAAATACCGACTAACCGATTATCTAATTCATCGATTTAATTTGACAATATTTTTTCAACTTGACTGAAAGAAAGAAACGAACGACGTACTCGCTTACGCTGCATTCGGCGATAAAAGAGGATCATGGGGAACAGCTTTACTCCGTTGCATTCAGCCCAGGTGTTCGAATCAAATAGATCGTGCGAATACAACCGATTCTTAACCCTTCTTGAGCCCTTTTACCGCTCCATGGAGAAATTCATTCTTCGCAACAGTCGGTGGAAACACGATCACAGTTTACGAATGCAGCAAGGAAAAAACTAAGCCGGTATTAGTTTATAAAGATGCTGACGAAGAGGAAGGCTTTTACACTGCGGCGTGGGGAAAGTCAAAGGGTGACCCCCTTCTTGCTGTAGGCGGAATGAGAGGCACAATTCGCATAATCAACTTCAACACTGGTCACGTATTCCGCCATTTCATCGGACATGGATCAAGCATCAACGAATTGAAATTTCATCCCAATAATCACGAGCTGCTGACTAGCGCTTCGAAAGACCGAACTTTGATTACCTGGAATATAATCTCAGAAGTACAGGTTTACAATCATGGAGGACTGTACGGACATCAAGATGAGGTGCTAAGCTGTGATTGGAATAGAGAAGGGAATCTATGTGCTTCGTCAGGTGAGTACCATTTATTTTTTGGTCTTCACTCCAAATGTTTTACAGGGATGGATCACAGCGTAATAATCTGGGACATCTCTGGGCGACTTGCGAAAGTGGCTCTCGAAGCTTCAAATGTGTATGAAAGCAGTACATCAAGACGCCCGTTTCCTACGGTTAGACTTACTCCTGTTTTCATTACGAAAGAAGTGCACTCGAATTATATTGATTGTATTCGGTGGTATGAGTCCTTCATCATATCGAAATCATGCGAAAGCGAGATAAAGGTAAATATATTCCAGAAGTATTCGTATAAGGTATTTTATTAGATCTGGGAGCCTGATCTCAGCCAGCCAACTGAAATTAATCCGAGCCCTCCTATTCTTTGTGCGATGTCATATCCTGTCCCCCAGTGTCCGAATTGGTATGTGCGCTTCGGAATTGACCGACAAAAAAGATTCATGGCCATCGGCAACCAAGTCGGAAAGATCACTCTTTGGGACTTGGACACAATAAGCAAAGAGCCCAACATAACCGTCCACCATCCCAAGATCTTCTCGCAGTGCCGTCAAGTCGCATTTTCGCCTGATTCCGGGATACTTGTTGCCGTCTTTGACGATACAACTGTTTGGCGCTACACGCTGAAGGCTCCAGAAGAAGCAGTTCAAAAAGTGTCTGAAAACTCGACAAAGACTGACAGCGATGAATCCACTCAATAACCGTATACTGACTATTCATCTTCTTATAACAGACTGCCATATTCTAATTCTATTGAAAATAAAGCTCTAAATTGCCAAACTCAAGAATAGCTTTCAAAAGCAGTTACCAATTATGGAATTAAAAACCAAACCGTCGAATGTAACCTGAAATCCGTGGAATGAACTGCAATGCCCAAGCTTTATAAAAGAATGGCTGTGGCATTGGTTACCTTCCAAGGATTCAAAGTAATGAAAATGATGATTTTCTCTACATTGCGCTCGTAAAGACGAGGCGCATGTCAGCACATGAGCGCTCTCGACCAATAAGGGCGAAGAGAGGAGCTCCTCGCGCGGGCGAATTCTTGAGACTGCGCTCGAAAGAGAACTTGCTGATGGAATTGTGGCCCTTAAAAGGGCCTGTTTTATCTTCCCGTAAATTAAGATTTACCGGGAAGCGTTATATTTGGCGACCGCCTTGGTACCTTCGGAGACGGCATGCTTGGAAAGCTCGCCGGGAAGAAGGAGACGGCAGGCCGTCTGGATATCTCGGGTAGAGATGGTGGACTTCTTAGTGTTTTTGGCCAGGCGGGAAGCTTCGCAACCGACACGGTCGAAGATATCACGAACAAAAGAGTTCATGATGGACATCGCCTTGGAGGAGATGCCCTGGTCGGGGTGGACCTGCTTCAACACCTTGTAAATATAGATCGAGAAGGACTCCTTTCGGGCCTTCTTGTATTTACGGGTGGCAGCGGCGGCGGGCTTGGCGGTAGTCTTGGCCATTTTGGAGTTTTCGACTTTTTCAATTGTCGGACTGTGAAAATCTCGCTCAAACGCGGCCTTATATACATTTTGCTTGAAGGATCCGCCTACGCGGCTCTAGAAAGTTTCTGGAGAGAATTTGTTTTTCTCTCCGCGCTTTCGAGAGATTCTGCGCGTTGGTCGTTGTTGTTTTTCTCTTTTCAGCGAAAAAAGTTTCTAGAGCGGGCTGTTGTTCTTCCCACCCGTGCCTATATAAAGGGCCCGGGAAGGCGGGGCTGCTCATTCTCACTTTTGACTCTGAAAGTGCAAGACATGTCCGGACGAAAATCCCTCAACAAGAAGACCAAGGCTGGCAAGAAGAGCCGCTCCGCCCGCGCTGGACTTGCGTTCCCCGTCGGCCGAGTGCACCGAATGCTTCGCAACGGCAACTGGGCTGATCGAATCGGCGCCGGTGCTCCAGTCTACTTGGCCGCCGTCCTCGAGTACCTCACCGCCGAGGTGGTCGAGCTGGCTGGCAACGCCGCCCGGGACAACAAGAAGAGCCGAATCAACCCCCGACACATCCAGCTCGCCGTCAGAAACGACGAAGAGCTGCAGCGACTCTGCGGCGGAGTCACCATCGCTCAAGGTGGTGTCCTCCCCACATCAACCCCGTCCTTCTTCCCAAGAAGAAGAACTAAGGACGTCTTTTAGACGTTTCTTCAAAACCGGCCCTTTTAAGGGCCACAAACAAACAAAATCTTTATTTTTATCTAGAAATTCCGTAGAATAAAGGAGAGAATGATACTCTACTCCTAAAATGCAGCAAATTCAGAGCCATCCGCTGTGTTGAATTTACTGGACGTGCTGCGACGGATATTGAATTTGTTTATGCATTGCCTGGCACTGTTTATCATAGCTTATTCGTTTTAGCTCTCTCATAATCTTCTTCATTAGTTTTTCTTCCAAGAGATGGAATAAAAGCGAGAAACCTTCAGAAAAATCGCACAGGTGGGAAGCCAACTCTCGATAAGCCCTTTATGGGTTTGGCGTTTGTTTATGGGACGTGCGCTAGAATTTATTTTCGCAGAGAGATCGGAGTCCTTCTGAGTGATCCCTTTGAACTGAGCGAGGTTTACTTTTTCTTCCGGGCTACTGCTAGTGACTGAAATGACAATTAGATTCAATTAGCCGAGGCGGATTATTTTCTCACCGATGACGGATTATGGACGGGTCGGCTTTGATCTGCCCAGCTTACCGAATATTCCCTTTTTGTTTTGTGATTTTATTTTCCGTATTTTTCAAAAATATTTTACCAAAAATACGCAGACAAGCGCGATTTACACGTCGCGAGTGAAATAGAATTTTAAAATCCAAAAAAAAACCTCAAAATCGGATGCTTAGAATCTTATGGTGATAAATCTGTGTTATTGGCTTTTGCACTTGAAGATTTTGACCTAGCTCTGCGACATCAAAGTCAGCCGTTTCCGCTTTGTTCAAAGATGGAGCGCTAGAAGGTATTTGGTGAAAAATCTCTAACTTGTCAAGTGCTCCGTTAAGTACTGTGGAATGTCTGATTCAATTTTCCAAAGGAAAATCTTCTCACGCAAAATGAGGGAAGGGACATCTTCATATTTGATTTTCCTTATTTGACTCCATTGTCTGCGTTCTATTTCTGTCGATGGAAGTATGCACCAGGCTTGTTGTGGCAATAAAATTTCTTCCCTCTCGTGACCCGGAAATGATTTCCAAATTAAGGTTATATGCAGCGGAAAAAGGCAAAAACGCGTGGCGCAGCTGTTTGCTCGCGGCTTTGCAAAAACCTGAAGAAACTTTTCACTTGATAAAATTTCAGTTTCCGTTTTCGTCCATCAAAAACAAAGTGTTAATTGATTCGAAAAATATAGCAGCAACTTATGTTGCTTTTGGTTCCTCACGTGACAGCTCATTAGCGGCCGAAATTGGATCAAAGGTGCGCTGCTTTGAAGCCAAAACCGACAAGTTGGGGTGCTGCGATTATTCGTTCGTTTTCGAATTACGCTTTAATGTTTTCTTGTGCACGTTCGTGTCAATCGCGCTAATCGAGTTCTGACCTTTGATGATCGTCTGGGTGTCTTAATTCGCAAATTCTATTACACCACGACTTCTTAATTGCGCCGCGCTTCTCCAGTGCACGTTGCACCAAGTTGCACCACCGCCCTAAATAATTTCTCGAGATCAACACAGAATAGTGTAAATACGTATTGCTTGGACTGATACACCCTTGCAGAGCTAGCGCTTCTATCTCCACAGGTTGAGTAAAAGAGTTTCGAGCAACTATTTTTAGATGTGGATTTTGAATTCTTTGCCGATATTCTTTTTTTGTGCTGCTTATTTTAGCGAATACTCATTTTATATGCAATATCGGTTTACAACCAACCAGCCTAAAAATACTATTTTCGATTCGTTTAATTAATCTTCTACGATCGAACTCAATAACGTTATTTCGCTCTGCTAAATTAGAGAGAAATATAATTAATCCGCGCAGCCATTCTTCTTTTAATCCTCGCCGCTCACTGATTTCGATTGCAATCATTATTAATCAAAATCTAATCGCATAGAAAATGTTAATGAAAAACCCCTTCCCTCGTGTGTCTTTACAAAAGGAATCTGATCTGTGATCGAATTGAAGATTTTATGGTATAAAGAAGAAGCATCAACTCCTAGTAATTTGGCGAAATTTTTCATTAAGAGCGATATCAAAGTAAAATTCCATTCGCCGCAGTGTGGCGCTGGTAAGCAGCGAGCGCGCGTGCGTGGCGATGGGACCAATCTGGCTGAGGCGCTCGGAGGCGCCAGGGAGCGCCATTTTCCCATTCTCGGTGGAGCTAAGGTCTCTAGCTGTCTCTCCTCTCCCTCTCCATCACCAAGCTTTCGAGACACTCACAGGTTCAAGCCTCTCAAGTTTTTAACCCCAAGTCGTACAAGCTGACCCCTACGGGTGACCTAAGCGCCAAACTTGGCCCAGTAAGGTGAAAAGAGGCAAAAGTTGGCTCACGGTCAACGCGTAGTTGACGTGCCCAAAACCAGAAAAATCTGTTACAACAGAGAGTTACAGTCGAAGCAAAGAGATAATTGAAGCACGAAAACTCGCTAGAAAGAAGCAAAATACTCGAGAGAAAATGGCGATGGTCGCCCCAAATCCATGGCGAGAGCCGACGGCAGTTTCTTCCGTTACAGATTCCGTCCCAGGTACGTTATTTGCATTTTTTAAGATACTTTTCATCTTCACATTCTTTACAGTTGTTTCCGTGTCTTATCTAGTTTTAGGGCTAGAGATTCCCTCGCTGACGAACTACAAAGTCGAGTCAATCGAGTCCGTTTCCTTCGAACACTCTTCAGTACCCATCCTCAGAGATCTAGATCAAAACCAGAATGTCACTGTTTCTCTTATCAGTCCGACGATACCTACAAGTCCCAACACTCCTGGTAAGTTCAAGAAAATTAGTCAGTTGAAGCAATCTGTTCCCATTCTAGCTGGATCGAGCTCAGACAGTTCGCTGCCGTCCGAAGTGAAGCAAGAGCCCGGTGGAAACAACACTTCAACGAGTGACAAATCGCACATCGAATGCGTGGTAAGCTAACTGTTCCTTTACTAGAAAAACGGAGGAGAGTACAATTGTTTTTGCCCTGTCAGATTGTCGCCAACAAGCGAGCGCTTAGGCATGTAAGCGCCAATTGAACATAGTCCACACTATCAACCCCGTTAAAGAAAATCTTCCCCGGCTGAGCCTCTCAGTTCCAATCAGCTCAGCTGCCGACGAAACAAAAGCGCCCCGTTTCTAGAGACAACACTAGTTTAGTATAAGTATAATTTACAAAGTGAACCATCAAAAACTGAAACTGCGAATTTTGAGTCCATTATCTAAAGGGTAAGATTTTGGATCGATCTCTGGGAAACCAAGAGCGAGGTGCCAAGCTTAAAATAGGAGCACTAGATTTTCAATTGCCGAATTCGAAGTCCTAATTTTTCTTAATCCTGCTGCTAAGTCGCACCAGGCTCCGTGTTGTGGTCGCCACAGGTGCGGCCACAGGTACACCATTTTCTCTGACCGATACACACTGCTTTCCAAATCGCTACTAATTGAAGCTGTAGTAGTAAATATGAAAGAAAAAATCACCGTCGACCACAACTCGGCAGGTGATTCTAGCCACAGTTAAGCTTGTCATGTCGGACCAGTTAACCCGATCTTTATTTCTATCTCATCACTTCTTCTGAGCTTTGACCTCGGAAAAGGTTACATCGCCACTTAAGAGTACACTAGTTTTACTAAAACTGTAATTGAAGTAGCATTTGGAGCGCGCTGGGGTTCCGGCTAAGCATCGAGAGAATCTGACAAAGCGGTCGGCGCTTCAAAGACCAAGTCAGAAGCGAAAACCCACTACAAACAAATATAATTGATTTTGAAAGTAGCAGAGTCAGAGCCACCATGGCTCGTGCCCCACCGCCACCAACAAATACCCATGCATATGTATCGCGCTGTTTACAAATGTCTACACACATAAACAAAACTTATGCATGTATATATTCAGCACTTCTGTGGGAAATTTTACTTCTATACTAGATATGCGTTGGTTTAACGGTTTCTTTTCTCGAGTTTGAAGGGAATCGTCTTATTGCTCCTGTTCGCACCTGGCCGTAAAAAATTAAGGGCGGAGATTTAGATGTCAAATATTACGCAGTGCATGTTGCCAGTAGTTGCATGCGTCTTTTTGAAAAATATTTTTCTATTTGGACGGTGGCGGCCAGTTGTATCAAGCCAAAACATAATCTCGCCCTGGAGAATGTCTCTCCCTCTCTCTGAAGGATTTTTTTAATTCGCGGCGGGGAATTATAAAAACTGACTTTGAGTGCGCGCGCTGGTGCGTGAAGCGTTCGCGTGCCTGGCCTGGCAACTAGTCGGCTGCATAACCGGGAAAATATTTACACTGACAATTTGTACTGTTTCCGGTTCCGCTCTACTGAAAATCAATTTTCCCCACGATTATCTTTTCAATTACCGCTTCAATCTGCCCAAAGCTAGGGTTGAGAGCGCCAAGTTCACGGAATAAGATTCTGATTGAATCGCGCTATCTGCTTCAAAGTATTAGTATTTACAATTTATACGCAGCGCGTCAAAAAGATCAGAATCATAAGTAGTGTGCCGAATTCAGAGCCTGTCAAAAATCAAAGCTCTTGCGAATAACTTGCTTTCAGAACTAATCCTGTATATTTAGGTTTGTGGCGATAAATCATCCGGCAAACACTACGGACAATTCACGTGCGAAGGGTGCAAGAGTTTCTTCAAGCGTTCTGTGCGGCGCAATCTGAACTACACATGCCGCGGCAATCGGTAAGTGGCCCTCCCTTGCGCCATAAGATGACCTCTGGTTTAGCTCGTGCCCTATTGATCAGCATCATCGAAATCAGTGTCAATACTGTCGCCTCAAGAAGTGCTTAAAAGTCGGCATGCGGCGAGAAGGTAATCACTCGGACTCAGCTCAGCTAAACCGCAAAGTTGATCTTTTCCGATTATCACGCCTAGTAAATTTAACCCTTGCACCGCGAATGACAAATTTTGAAGGGAAACAGTATTATCACAGTATAACCTTGCACCGCAAATTTATCGCATCGTGTGCCTTGGAGGTTTATTTAACTATCGGCCGACCTTATTTCCATTTGTGGTGCTAATGGCCGCCATGATAGTTGGAATGATTCCGCTTTTGGCGGAGGCATTAGCCTTTCTTATCACTAACTTGGCAGCAGCTCGCCAGGTGGCGTCGTCTTTCGGGGAATGTTTTTAATTAGTCCCGCACACTCTAAGTTGCGCCAGGTCACTTCTTCCTTTATACACCATAATTACACTTATGTAACAAGGTCAACTCACCACGTTCACTAATGCTAAACTTTCGAATTCTAAAAAATAACACAAGAGCATCCTCGCAAATCCCTTACTTAGAATATAGCCATCCTTTTTGTGCTAACACTAATCCTTCCGCAGAATCATCCCTTTCTTCTCCGTATTTTGGCAGCGACACTGATTCGGAAGTATCACAGTAGGATTACGCGTTTAAAAACGCGCATTTTCCCGTGGAAGCGCTAACTTTACCAACAACATGATTTCATCCCTTGAAATGTATCTCAAAAAGGGAAATGAGTTTGAAAATAATCTCAGAAATATAAAGATGGTTGATCATAGTAGAATAAGTTCGTGTTCACCAGAAGAGTGGCCTTATGACTGAGAATTGTGTAGAATGAGGAATTAGCTTAACGATTTACATTTTCGAACTGAACTGATCAAATGCATGTAGAGCGGTTTTGTTGTGTTGAAGCACGGCAATCTGTCGCCGTCTAAGTCACAGTAGGGCTCGCGAAGGAGAACATACTCACTGGTGCATACAAACAGGAAGCGCCAGCGCGTCGAGAAGCGAAACATGCAGATATCACACGTGCGCATAGCTCCATGATAATGGGTCAGAGTGAATCTTAAAAATGGGCAATCGATGACCCTCAAATACTCCAGATAAAGCATGCAAATGACTCCAAAATGTTGAAGTGAATCTGACGCCATCTGGTGGCAGCGCTGGTGCAGCTAATTAGCCTCCGTAGCGGACGTTAGTCCTCGAAGGTCACCCGAGGAATGCGCCCGGCGAAACTCGTTAAGGAGACACCCAACTCAATCGCACACACAGTTACGCACAAAATGTTCATTCCCGTTGAGTTACAATGGCTAGAAATGGGAATCAGTTAATCCGAGCAAGTTTCACGATTCGAGTCAAGTGCATGATCTTGAAGTTTTTTACTAGGGGTTTTTGTCAGGTCAATTAATAGTGCGCCATGCAAGCAGAGCGGATTAAGATATTTCCATTGACTCTTAGCTGGCAGACAAAGCTAGAAATGCGCAACAGGCTCGGTGGGAACCCAGTCGCTGAGCCCTTAGTCCCTTATAGAGACACTAATTACGCTGCCAATGAGCTAATGCCATTTGTATTTTGTGTCATTACTTCGAGGACCAGCAGTGGATTAAGTTTTAAGCAGCTGCTTGCCGAGATTACGCGTGCGCTCACTGGCGCCATCACGTGCTTACGAAAAATTTCTATCATCAGAGTAAGATCCGTGGCTTGACCGAGGTCAGCCTCTCCTCGCCAAACTTTCGAAATGAGCTCGAGGTGACCCTAGGCGACCTTGGGAGTTAAATCGCCTTAATACAAATCCGTCGGCGCTAGAATCCTCGATACGCACTGCAGCTGAGGCACTTTCGTGATAATTAAATGGATTCCAACATAGTTTTGTATCTTCAATCTATCCAACAATTTACTTGAATAAGTAACTAAGATTTTCTCTGGCCATTTCCTCTATCTCCCCCGCACCATTACCCGGCCGCTAATTTATTCAAATTCGAATAGCTCTTTCTCAACCAGGATCTTAGGTCTGACCCAGGCTTGCCCTGGAATTTATATTTTTGTTGATTCCCGCCAGATGCCAAACACTTAAGCCTCCTTCACAAAGGCAAATTCCTCCCCCAAACATTATATTTCACATGCATCCTCATTCACTCTCTCACTCACATTCATCCAATGTATAACTTGCTTTTCTAGCCGTCCAACGCGGAAGGATGCCACCAGGCCAGAACCTAGGTCAATTCGCCCTTCCGGGACCCGAGGGTTTTCTCGGCTCCGGACCTGGCTACTTGTCCGGCTTCATTTCATTGCTACTACGTGCAGAGCCCTACCCAAGGTACAACCCTACTTCTGGTCTTATGGGCGTCGAATCCGTTTGCGAGTTAGCCGCCCGACTTCTCTTCTGTGCTGTCGAATGGGCCAGGCAGATTCCATTCTTTCCTGAACTCCAAATCACTGACCAAGTAAGTTTTTTGTCTTCTCTGCGGCATGCTCATTTCGTAGGTGAATATGCTCAAATGGTGCTGGCCAGAACTGTTTGTTCTTAACGCTGCGCAGTCTCATATGCCACTTCATGTTGCTCCGCTGTTAGCTGCTGCTGGTTTTCACAACTCCGCTGATAAAGTTATGAGCTTTATGGATCAAGTGAGAGTATTCCAGGTAATGGATACACAAAGAGAGCTTCTAAAACACTCACATTTAGGAGCAAGTGGAGAAGCTGAAAAGTTTACACATCGACTCGGCTGAATTCACCTGTCTGAAGGCAATCGTGCTGTTGTCGCCAGGTAAGCTCAATTAGTCTCGCGCTGTTTTGGGTTTGAACTTTAGTAGGGTCAGCTTTAGGGAAGGCTGATTTTCACTAACTCGCTAAGGGTATACACGAGCACAGTCAGCCAAGTTTCGCTGTTTTGGAAACAAGTGCCAAGCGAATACACACTGTTTCTGTTTTCATTTCCGGCATTTAGCACTGGGCCACATGCATCTAGAATCAAGACTGTCTCTAAATATTTTGCCCTTCACACAGAAACACACAATTCTCGCGAGCACTTTTGAATTCCCAAAGCAAAAAAGTGAGATTAGTATAAATATGATTAAACGTTTTTAATTAAACAATAATAGTGGGGTTTTCTACGCTAACTCTCGACCTCAAGGTGAGAAACTCACCGTGAACCGTAAACAACTAATGATTCGCTTTAGCTAAAGTTTTTGCTGTTTTGGGCAAAAAATATTTGATTTATACATTTTTTCTTTTAGATGCACCCGGCATAAGCGATCCCGCGCATGTTGAATCGATCCAGGAAAAAGCACAATGCGCCTTGGAAGAATACACGAGGTAAAACTGCTTTTAAAAACATTTCTTACTGTCGAATAAGATGCCAATACCCTGGGCAGCCCTCCCGTTTCGGAAGACTGCTGCTGCGACTTCCCTCGGTGCGAACAGTTTCCCCTCATGTGATCGAGCAGCTCTTCTTCGTGCGACTAGTGGGCAAGACTCCGATCGAGACACTGATTCGAGACATGCTTCTGTCAGGAAGTCCTACGCCAACTAGTTTCCAGCCTCCACCAACTTTCCAGCCGCCGCCTCCACCTCCTGTGCCGGCGCCTGTTCCCGTTCAAGTTCCCTACCCAGTCGTCACGTCCTCTTTCTCTGGTATGCTTCCAGTCTGTCCCTAGACCTAGATAATAAGATCCTGTTTAGACCTGCTGGACACGAATCCAGTCGTGACGTCGTCCTTCTTACCGTCGCCTGTACCAGTCCCCGCACAAGTTCCACCTAACGCATGATTGTGACCCTCTTTATTTTAAATCTTATCTATGAGAACAGCTTTTCAACTCGTGCTGTATCTTATCTTACTGCGTGTTATGTTCCTGTTATAATCGTAATGATCCGAATCTGGATTACAAATGTGTAAAGCTTCACTGTATACTTGCCGAATAAATAATTAAAACATACATTAGTTGTAACTTCAAAATCGACTGCCCAAAAAGGTTGAAAGAAGAAAAAAAAAACTTCTTCGAAAAAAAAAAGGATCCGCATTTAGTATGTCAACTACACAAACTTAATTGTTTAGCCACCTGAGCTTAACACCACTCGTAAATATGTGTTACAAGGTAGAAATGCCTTCAATTAAGTCAATTAACCTAAGCCCTTTGCAGAGCAATACTTTTCAAGATATATGTGAAGAAAACACCTGTCTGAGCGAGCATGTCTTTGAAAGTGACGAGCGAGTTTATTTTTTTCTGCAAAAATCATCATTTGTAAAAATGTTTGTTCAACTCATATATTTTCAGCCGTTTTTTTTTGTGACAAAATCAAAGGGCGCGGTCCTGATTTCACTGATTTTGCAAAGCTGTTGCTCCAACAATATGTCTCAGTTGGTCTAATTAAACGTTGCTTGTTTAATCTGTTGCGCATTTTTCATAACCGGTATGATTTGTTTTGGGTTTCTCGACCTCGGGTCACACAATAATATTTAATTCACACATTTTTTACATTAATTAAATGAAAAAGATTTGTGCTATCGACGCCAATCCACCCAAAGCTATTCACACCAGTAGACTAACCACACAAAATATTATTCGAATTTATCTTGTTACAAAATTAACGCACTTTCGCTGGAATTAGAAATTAGAGTTTAGTAATTAATGGACAAGCAGGCTTTTTCCATCGAAAAGATCAAATCAAGGAGATCTGAATTTTTCTGTTTTTGAAACTAGTACGACCTATTAGGTCGGACCTAATCTTGATTGTTGAGAAAACCGATTTGAAAGTTCATTTCGGGTAATGCAACTTGCATCTCGCAAAAGCGTGAGCAAGATAACGGATCTGATGGAAAAACTCGCGGTCATTTGTCGGAGAAATTTCCATATTTAGAAATAAATAGCTGGTTGGTCCCGCTTTCCAGGGACACCTGGCGCGAGGCTTCGTCTTCTCTGCTGCGATTTTTCCACTGCCACAGTGCCGAGTTACACTGAGAGACGCGCATACACTTTTATGCGCAAATTTAGACCTCCACTTGTCATTGAGGAAAAGATGACTGATGAGGAAGCACAATGCATTGACGAATTGAAAGAGTGGAAGCACTCAGCCTGTGCCCAGGGAAATAGGTAATTTCGCTCACAACGTAGAATTTTTTTTTTACTTTTTATAGGTTTTCCACAGAGCTGCCGCATTATACTCTTTGGGGTAGTCCACTGTCTACTCGTCCTGAAAAAATTCTGTATCTAATCGGAGTCTTTGCAGTCGCGTATTTGAGGACGATGCTCTGCCGCATGCTTGATTCCAAGAAGCCGGAAACATCGTTCCAGATGATTTTGTGCTTAATCTTTAAATGTAAATAATCAAGGGAAAATCAAGTCAAAAATATATCACTTTTAGGCATAAATAGGGCCGACGAGCAAAAATTCAACCCCAAGAACCCTTTTTGGTAAAGCCTTGAAACTTTGGGACAATATGTATTAGGGCCCAACTAAAAAAAATGTTCTTGAAAATATTTTGGTCTGACCACGTGATCACGGGTTACTGACCCTCGAAAAGCTAGAAAAGCTTGCCGAGCTTGATCCCCTTATGGCATCATCTTCTCGTTAGGCCAAAAAGAAAGGTCTTGGTTTGTTCTAGTGGTTTAGTCAAAAAAATTCTTGGTGTCGTCTTTACAGGACATGCTAGAAGCTATATAAGGACTCAAAACTCGCTAAAATTGAGGTAAAAATCCAGGTTTCACGGGTTACTCAGCCCAAAACACATCGCAAAAAGGGCCATTTTGGACGCTTCACTTCCCTCTAGCGAGTCATGTGATCTTGCTACCAAAAATGTTTTGGATTCTATAGGAAGAACTTTTTGTGCTCTTTCATGTGAGCTACATTATGATTCTCTGCAGTCAGGGGATCGAGGTTGGCAAGCTTTTCTAGCTTTTCGAGGGTCCGTATCACATGATCACGTGATCATACCAAAAAAATTTCAATTACAATTTTTTAAGATGGGCCAAAATACATATAGTCCCAAAGTTTCGGGCAGTTACCTGAAGGGGTTTTAGGGGTTGATTTTTTGCTCGTCGATCCTAGGCATAAAGATCTTCCTTGATGTCAACATAGTGCTGTTTGCCGTCAGCGGTCTTTGGAATGTCATTGCTTTGACTGCGTTTTTACTTGGGATTTTCTTCGGAAATATCTCTGCGTATATCATCAAAGTTATTTCAGCGAAATTAGCCAGCTGCCGATCAAAAATAAAAAAGTATTAATTATTTCAATAACGACATTGTAATGAATTTGACTAGAAAATGCGCAAAAGCTGAGAAAAAACGAGGAGTGCTGAATCCGACTTTCCAGCACTTTTCAGTTATCGACAGGAATGACATCAGCCGGGTGCGAAACAACTCAACGGATGATGTCTATCTCCAACCACGTTCGGCACCGGTGCAAAAATTGAGCGAATCGGACAGCACTGGCGGTTACATTACTGTTGAAAATCCAAATATTCAAAGAGCTGTTCATGCGGAAGTGTACGATGAGTCAGACTACTACAGTGTTGCAGTCAACAAGGACCCTGTTTATGAGAGTCCCTACGAACAAAGCAAACACTGACTTTGAATACCTCTTCAATCCTATTCTTATGATTCAGATCGTCAGACTAAAAGTTAAAGTTGCCTAGTTTTAGAAATGGAAAAGGCTCCTTTGACTCAGTGTCCCTCCACCTGCTCGAACTCGGTTAATAACCTCGACGAGCTGATGGAGAAGCGACGCTCCATCCTCAAAGGACTTTGGCAGGCACGATCGGAGACCTGGTGCAAGTGGTTCTGCGTAAGTCAAAATCTAACTATTCTCGCAAAAAAATTGTTCTAGTTGCCATCCCCGATCGCTTCCTGCTTCCTTGCCCGTCGAATGGAAGTGAATCGACCTCTCAAGTACCTTCTTCTTGGAATCACGCTCCTCACGTTGTCTGCCATCGGCCACTCGATCTCCTTGATCTACCAAGGCAAACTTGCCGAGGTACACCTTTTCAACAAGGCGACAAGTAAAGCTTGATTAGGTTATCGAAACATCTACTGCTTTGCCAACCACCGATGATGTCAACATTGTTCCCATCGAGCAGGAAGAATGGTACCTCGCTATCATGAGCTTGTCTATCGGTTTGATTGCCTGCATCTTCACTTTTATCTGGCTCATCATGATGGTAAGCTTCCCATTAGATGAAGTGAGTCTTATCAAGTTTAGTGCTGCCTTCGACGCCGATTCGACAAGCTCCGTGGATTCAACAACTGCTGCCACAGCTGCTTGCTCACATTCTTCTGCCACCAGTGCTCGATCGCTCAAATGGGTACTCACCTGGAGCTCGAGAACGATTCCTCCGTCGAAAAGCTTCTTCACGTCTGAAGAAGACGATTCTCCGGAAGGCAAAAGTGGGAACTTTGGATTTTCTTTTTATTTGACTTATTTATTATTTTTCGACAATTTGGGATTCAATCAATAAATGGGACAAAAATTACGAGGGTCTGTTTTGTTTATTCATCAGGACATGCAGGATTGAGGTCAAATATTTCGAATAGGGAATGTACTACAAACGAGGAGTTTCAACTGTTATAAGAGTGAGTTAGATGTATTCGGTGCCAGTTCGGCCTTTTGTAGCGAATGCTGGATTGTTGTAAGCGTTATTTTGGGCCATGAAATTTCGGCCGCTATCTTCATACTCGTCGTCGTCTTCGTCCATTCCACGCGATCCCATGATCTGTAGAACGCAGCCTAAGAGACCAAGTCCCATCGACGCCCAACCGAAGAAAAGAGCTTTTGACGAGTTGAGAAGTAATTTACAATACAAATTTTTGTTATTGAAATATTTAGAGAGGTAAAATGTTATTCTTATTTCTGAGACTCGTTCCTGTTCCGTAGACATATCTGCCGCCAACATTGCCGATTCCTCCACCCATGCCTCCTCTAGAACTGAGGCCAGTAGCTGCCATTCCTCCAGAAAGATAGAAGTCTTGAACAACGATCGCTGCGTAAAACGAAACAGATACGCCAGTCATGAGAGCAGATAGGCCAAGTAGAAGCGCCGAGGTAATGCAGAGTCTCTTCTTGCCTGTTGGATTATCAGACATGAATGTCGTGCAGCTGAGCGACATGTTTCCGATGAAATAACCGCCAAAGGCGAGAATGCAAGAGAGAACCATCAACGCCCGAGCCGCTTGGAGCTCTGGAGGTAGACCAACGATAATCCTGTCGAAGTCGTCGCAATGCCACTATGAGCAAGTTTGAAAAGTTTGAATCGGAAATAGCGCTTACTTGACCAGTAGAGAAGTACATACAGTTCCACCAGATTCCCTGCTTTCGAATTTGCATCTCGATAACTTCACCAGCCATATCCTGTCGTCGCCATTCTGGCATTACGCACGTAATCAAAGTTCCGCAACCTAATTTCAAATATTTTAACGGCTTTTTTCTTTTGTTTGATACACTTTTTGAGCCTTGATACGAGTTTTTACAGGTATTTTTACCTCCGAGGGTGCCGAGGATGAAGCCTGCCAGCTGCATTCCCGGACTTCCCATATTCTCTTCTTCTCTTGAAACCCTCTTGTTAAAAATGCGTCTAGGCGAAGGAGTGAAGTCGTCTTAGTTTTGTTCGAACGATGCTGGCGTAGAATAGTGAATACTCCAGCAATAGCTCGAGGCCGCACCACCACCAAATTTTTTCATCGCTTCAGAAAGCACAAATCACCCAGCTGAGACGGTGGCAATTGCTTCAAAGATAATATTACAAAAATCAATTAAGTTATCATTCAAGATTAATAAACAAGGAGCAACATAATTATCTAGATAAAAAATACTTACTGTAACTTAGATATTACAGATTATTAGAGTTGAAGATCTTTCATTCTGCCAAAAATGGCCTGGTTTCTTCGACTCGAGGACCTCGAGAGTTCAATGCAGACGGCTAGCTATAGTAAAAACGCCTCGTTTGGGACGGTAAGATATGATCGCGAAGATAATCACACGCCATGGGGGATACATGCGATTTCCCGCTGAGCGCACACGTAGCGCACTCTTTTGGACACTCTTCCGGAACTGGTATAAAATCTTGGACGAGTTACGATTACAGCATAAAACAAAAAATGAAAGAAATTACAGTGTTGAAATTTGAAAACCTTAAACCACACCCTGATGCCCAACTCCGAATTACGCAGGAAAATGGTCAATATCATCTTCACCTCTCATGCCATTGCACTATTACGAACAGTCTCCCTGAATCGCTATACCTTGAAGCCATGTTTTGGCTACAGACTGTCTGTGGTGGAAAATTCATCAAATTGGAGGAATCACATTGGAAAAATCCCGACTACAAGGCAACTTCTCACGTCTTCTGCAAAAAAGACCATTTGCAGATCCGGAAAATTGTGCTTCTCGTCGATGAAAGAAAAGCAATCTGGATGAGAAATCCAACTGCTACACCGTTCGAACTTGGAAACGATCTGTTTTGGAAAGTGATGTTCAAGGCTCTTTTCACTGGTCCTGGCCCGTGCTTTAAAAGTTTTTTTAAAAGTGCCATCAATGAATTTCTTCTTACCCCGCAAGATTTCGTGGACGCACTCGATTATCTTTGTGAAGACTCAAATATTCTCGAGCATCTCCAGCGTACGTCGAGTCCAACGATTCATCACCAAAAGAAACCCAAGAAAACACAAGGTCTTCCGACTTCAGTGAAAGAAGCTCTCCAAAAGGCAAACAACGAAAAACTGCAGACTATCGACCAAGTAGAACCCGATGATACCAACAAGCAATCGAAGAACAAGAAGAACAAGAAAAGCAAGAAGAAGCCAAATCAAGGAAAAGCCCCCAACAACATCCGCAAGACGAAGAAGCCAACCAAACTTTAACCTGTGCCACAGACTCTGTACCAATTACTTAGTTATTTAAGCTGTTATTACCTCTGATACAAAGTTGGTATTACCAACGATCAAAATAAATTTTAATAAACTATTTTTATTGGATTTATGCTGCTGCAAAAAACCTATTTTTCGATAAATAAGGCCCTAAAAATAAGAAATGGGATGTTTTCTTGCCTGAGAAACAAAGTGGGAAACACTAGGACATCTAGAAATTCCCAGTTTTGCTTAAGTTTCTTAGCTGAGAAACAAGGTGAGAAACACTTTGAGCTCTAGAAACTTTTTGTTTGCATGAAGGAAGTAAGTGAGAAAAGAAAAACAGCAAGTGGGAAACACCCTGGGAAACACCTCAATATCTAGAGACTTTCTATTTTGGCGAAAGAAGTAAAACTTCGGAAGATGAATCCATACTGAAAATTATCGTTGAATCCATTCTTCCAGTGTTCTATTTCTATGATGGGCGCTCTTCCACCTTTTCGAGCCAATGAGCGCCTCTCTCTCGCAGCCGACCGCAAGCTCTGCGGCGAAGATGCTCTTCGGTCAAATTTATTTTATTTATTTAATTTAAACATTCGCGCAGAGAAGCTAACCTTCTATGTTGAGCCAGAGAAAAGAAGCGAAAAGAAAATCTGTCTGATTCTATTTCGAAAAGTTATCTCCCAAATTATTCTTCGATAATTATAAATTGATTTCCTCCTTGAAAAAAATGAAACTTAAAATCGAAACATTAATAAAGCAACGTATCAAAATAACACATCGAGCAAAGTACTTGTCATTGACAAGCTGGGCTCGTGGCGTGCGTGGGAAAAGATGGGATCAATACGACTTGCCCGCTGGCGAGAGCCTAGCAGACTGACCGGGACACACCTCAGAGCATCCTTTTCACGCTTATCAGAGAGACAACTAACTTTCTGAGAAACGGTAAAATTTATTTGGATAGAATTGACGCCTTGAGCTTTTTGCCAGCTACCGTCTTTCAGTAAAGTTTATTATTAAGCAATTATTGACAAAAAGATAAACTTGACAGAAGTTCTTGAATTCATTAGGTGATAAATAAATTAATATTTATTCCGAGATGGATTATTTAAGAGTCAATTTGTGACGAGCTTCTGTTTCTACTTGATTTCAATTTGCTTTTCTAAAATGGAGGGATGTTTGGCGAGTCTGTCGCGCGAAATGAGTGTTAATTTAATGATCACAGTATAAGATACTATATTACCCAAGGGAAATACACTATGATTAATAATCTAACCTTGCACTCATTCTTCTTGATTTCGCTCTTTTGCCACTTAATTAGATAAATTGAGAAGCTCGCAGAAGAAAGAGAAAAAAGAGTTTTCTCAAGAATTCTTAATGTTTTGTTATTCAGAGAAATAGTCGATGTAATGTCGGATAAGCGGAAAGGGCCACAGCGGCCACAAGCTCCTCTCAATGGGCAGGCCGCGGCGGCGTCTTCGTCGATCTTCGACCAGCGCGAGAAACTTCACGAGCGCGGCGAGAAGCTTGGCAACTTGGCCGCGCTGACGGAGCCGATAGACCCGTCAAAGAACTACTCAGATTCGCCTGAGGAATTATGGTAAGCCCGTATTATTTATTTATGCGGCATTAATATTGATGCGATGTACAGGAATGCACAGTAATAATCGCTGCTGATTCAACCCTGGCGAAAGAGTATTAGCCGCATTTAGCCGCGCATTTACAGTTTATCCGAGGATGGGGATCAATTATCTCCCTAATTGATGTTTTCTAGTTTGAAAGCTGCTGGCATACTCGGACAGGAGACGTCTTCCGTTTCCAAGTTTTTCAACCAGTTTCGCTCTAAGCCGCCGACGGCGAAGATTTCCAAGGCGGCAGAAATGTACGCGGCAGCGGCCACCAAGTACAAAATCAAGCAAAAGTACGAAGAAGCTGCTAGGACGTACGAATTGGCCGCAGAGGCGTACCACTCGGCCGAGGACAGATTTGGACAAGTGCAGGTAAATACCTTTTGAAGAAATATTAATTTTATTGATATCTTTCTGGTTTAGAATCTGTCGCAAGCAAGTCAGAGCTGGAGAAGTGTCCCAAATGTGCAGGAATCCGAGCGGCTAGGCTTGCAGGCTAGCGAGCTCTATTTGGACCTGAACAAACTTGTGCGCGCGGCGAAAGAGTTGACTCCTATAGGTAAAGAAGTTGACGAGTATAGCAGAATCAAAACAGTGCCTAGCGGACGCGTACAGGAGCAAGTTCATGCGGGACAAGGACGAAACAGCGGCCGAGATGGCTGAGAAGCTCTACTCAAAGGCATTCGATCTCTTCCGAAAAGACGGGTAAGGTCTTTTTGCAGCCACGAGAATCGTTAAATGAGAGTTCAGAAAAGCACGAAGCAGCGCGTCGAGAGTGTCAATCGAACGAGCGAATCTGATGGTCCTTCCAGGCAAGAAATACCTCGAAGCGGGCAAAGTCTACGAGTTAGAAGCGAACTATTGCGCGAACGAGAAGCTGCTCAAGTACTCTGCCAAAAGTAAGAACCGAAGAAGTCGCCTTCTCGAATCCGTTTAGATCATTACTTCCGAGCTGGTCTCTGCAAATTGTGGCAAGATGGCAATCATGCGCATGAGTGTTTCAATAAATATTGGAAAGGTTCTATATCTTCTTAATTCGCGTTGATATTAATGTGGCAGTTTTATATTACCTTTGAAAGTGAAGACTATCCCGCCTTTGCCGATACTCGGGAAGCTTGGCTCCTCGCGAATCTCATAAATGCGGTCAAGAAGCTCGACTACAGGGACTATACTAAGGCCGGTTTTTTTTCAAAAACGAGACGAAGCCTTGAAATCTTGAAAAACTAGGAAAAAGTCAGTGGACAAACACGAGGAATGTACGAGATTGGATGCATGGACTCGCAGTTTAGTCAACGTCATTCAGGTAATTCACTCGAGTTCTCCCTAATAATCAATATCGTTAATACTGATGGATAATTTATCAGTTGGAAATGCCTAGATTTTGGAGTCAAGGGGATTTATGTTATTTTATTCAGGAGAAATACTTCACCGTGGAGGACGAGATCAACTTCGACTTGAACGAGTTTCTCGACTTCAACAAAGTACCTGGGCTGGACGAGTCGACGGAGGACCTCGCCGCGCTGCAAGCAGGGCCGGCTGTGGAGCCGGACTTGACATGAGTGAAGTAACCGACAGAACTCGCTTTATTTAACTCCGCCATCTCTCTTCAACAAGTCTATCTATTCTTCAACTATTATCCTGTTTATTCTTTCGTGCCAAAACAGTTCAACCCTCTATTATTATTGTTGATGTGGTATTTCTCAATCCAATCAGAATCCTAATACTATCTTTGAAACTAAAATGAGCCTTATTCATCGAGAAATAAAAACTTGTAACAATTTTTCTCCTGATCAACTATTATTTCCTTCATAACTATTTTTCCTCTTATCATTATTATCTGTATTTAATGCATGGAAAAGGGAAACAATTACTCTTAACTCATTCTTCAAGGACCTTCTAATGTATATTGGTCTTCAACTGTAACTTGCTTAGTTAGAAAGTTAGAGTCCCGGAAAATTGAGGGCAATCGTATCCAGTTTTCCGAAAGAAATCAAAAATCAAAAGCTTGTCTCATCATCTTTCCTTCATATCTTGCCCGCAATCAAATCAATATATACGAAGTGGAATAAAACTTAATCTTTCCTCCATTCCATCCGAGACACCGGCTTCTTATTTCGAAATTCTGATCATAACTTAAGTAATGTCGACGCTTCCCACACATGAGGCTCTATCTTCCCGACCGGCGCATATTTTCCGGCGCTTTTCTTCCTTTCATTCCATTTTCAACATTTCATTTTATTTTGAATTTTCGAAAATAATATTTTTCTCTCTCCCTTTTTTTATCTTTTTAAATAGAGTCCTATACCGCGTAATCGACAGGAACATGTGATTGGCGTGATTGGATATTTTGAACGGGACATGGTAGGATGGAGTTTCCCTTTACGCTAACGACGTCGAAAAGATCTTTCTTTACCGGCATTCAGACCGATTCTCGCAATTTTCTACGATCAAAACATGGCTATTTTCAGCAACTTATTTCCCAGTGTTAATTTTCAATCCCAGCCTCTCTACCCCGCAATTCTGTGGATATTTTTAAATGAATGAGGATGATAGACTGGACTTAAATAGACGAGGACTCCACCGGGCCAAATATTGAAAGATCAAATAGCCGAGCGGGTCTGTTTCCTGACATCGACTCAACATAACCCGATAAATGAAATTTCGTAACTGAAAATCTCCGCCACTAAAAATCAGCACATTTTTATAGTGCTACAATTTTTATCGTAGGATCGCCATATATCAAATCCGGCTTAGATGATAAAAAAAGAAAGAGAATTTCGTTTTTTTTCGAAAAAAGAAAGGAATAGATTTTTTCATCGGATTTATCTTTATTGCGAATACTATTTAGTTAATTTCGAAAAGAGATGTTGTTTTGCGAAGAAAGTGATCACTCTCGTTTGTGAGGCACGAGCGAGTCTGCTCCATTTTTTGGATTTTACGTTATGGTTACGCGGTGGTGGCTGAGGGTGGTTCAAGTTTAGCTTTGGCCGAGGGGAACAACGAAGCGCGAGACGGGCTGGTACGCGACCTCTCAGGCCACCCTTGAACTTCGTCGTCAGTTGAAAGCAACCTTCGCTAATTGTTGCAATACGGTATTTGACTGAATAAATTCGGACCCGAGAAACACTCCTTTTTCCTCACTTGGAGCGACTTACTCGAGGCCAATCCAACGCCAATAAAACGGCTTGTAACAATAAATGAGCTCGTTTGAGATGGAGAGTGAAACGTTTCGGGTTTGAGGGCCAGCCTGGGTTAGAATTAGGGCTGAGGTTAGTGTTGCTTTCGTGCTAGGCTTGTGGGTCAGTTTTGAGTGGTAGTCGTGCGCTGGGCCGTGGTGTGCTCACCAGCGCGCGTCTATGTTGGAATTGTGACTTCGTGACTAGTAGCTAGAGCTCATCCATTTCAAAATCACGCGGCCTACCCAGCCCCTAAGGTCACCCCCTTACAACACAGCATTGGTTTTTATTGCTCCAATTTAAGAAAGAGAATCATATTTAAACCATTACGAAGACTTTCTCACCTCTCGTCAAATTATTTCTATTTTTATTATTTCCAAGAATCGAGTGAAAGTATCCAGCTTTCAAAATATTTTTCCATTCTGAAATTTCCGGGTAAAAAGCAGCAATGATTTTTGAGATGTGGTGGAGCGTGCTGCTCGAGAATGCCCCGGGACGCCGGCTTTGATTTTTAGGTGGCGGCTAGACAAGGCAAAAGTCTAAATTGTTGAGTCTAATTTGTAGAAGGGCGCTTGTGTGGTTTAACCAACTCCCGTCGTCGTTTTTATAGTAGAGATATTTTTATTTATCAATTGACGAAAGTAGTATTTTTCGGTGAAAGAGACGCTGAGTCAATGAGCAAAAGAAGACTGATTTTCGTAAAATTACTGTAACTTTGAAAGTAGCTCGTTCTTATTTTGAAACGCAATCGTTATATAGCTTGATTATAGATAAGAATTATCGCCAAGATAAAAGTAGATTCTCATTTAGGTTTTTCAGTAATATTTTCTGGAAGAGTGGACAGAAGATCTTAAGAGATACCTAACTTTCAGACTGATCGAATGAGAAGCTAGTTACAGTCATTTCGAAAGAGGAGGCGGAGATAGAGAACGATAGAAACCCGCGGAGAGCAACTCAGAATAGCAACAAGTGACTGAAGCGCTTGAGAGAGGTTTTCGAAAAAGGCAAAATTAGAAACGAAGTGATGGACGACGACGATATGTTACCAGTAAGTGTTTCGTTGTGTTTCTGTGCTCGCTTGGGCGTATTTCGCAATTTCGCGAGGCAATTTAGCACGGCGCAGAGATAGTTAAAACGCGCAGCTTTGCGCGGGAGAAACGCGCCTATTTTTTATTATTTCAATTTTTACGCAAAAGCAACAATTATGAGTTTTTTACGCTTTTGCGATTTATACGATGCCAACAGCGCAATCCCTCGCAAGAAAGGCATTAATTGAACGTTGTTATTAATTGTGCTATGCTGTCAGGTATCTAAGCTGACAGGTGGCTTCTCAAGGTCACTTTCTTTCTTTCTTTTCTTCCGCGCGTGAAGCTTCAAGCGCGAATTTCGGAGTATTTTTAGCTCTCTTTCGCAATCCGCTCTAATTTAATCATTAATCATTTGTTCAATCAAATTCACCGCAGATGAGACAACGTCATCTTCATTCTTCCTCGTCACTCTCTGTCCAAAAATAAACACTCGGGCTCCCGGGGACGCGAACGGGGGCTATCTCCGGATATTGTTCTAATTCTGAGCGTTTAGTCGGTCTCTGAGCGAGGATCTCCTCATGGCAGCCCTACCGCGTCCGACGACGAAGACGGCGGCCCAAGCATCATCCAGCACCGCGCCCGAATCATTGAGTGCCTCTCCGACATGATGGCTCAGGTAAACGTAATCCGAATATGGTTTCGGCAACGCTCTTTCAGTCGCTTCAAGCAATGCAGGAGTACTTTTCCAACCACGATGACTACACCGCCCTGAGCGAGAAAGACCAGAAGACCCTTTTTCAAGCTTCGATCATGGAGATTTTGATCGTCAAGGTATTTTTTTGTGTTCGCTTGTAATGCTTTGATTCTGTTTCTTTAGTGCTTTTTCACTTATCGACAGGGGCGATTCTACACCGACCAGGGTGTCGAAATCATTTCCAGAGAGACCCTCCTTCTCGGTACCAACGATCAAACTTTCGTCAACGGTTTCTTCGACTTCTTTTCCCAAATGGGTACAGTTTTCATGAACTTATCGTTTGATTATTTTGTTATTTTCAGAGCGGCTGAATTTCAGCGAGGAGCAGGCTCTCATTCTTATGTCGATTTCAATGTTCGACCCGAATCGCGTGGAGATAGTCCACCTGGACGAGCCCGATCGAGTCAGGTACAAACTCGCCACCTTCTTCACTGCCTTGAGTGTTGCTTCAGGAATCTGTTCAACAAGTACATCGCCGAGCTGAGCGCGAGTCTACCCACCTCCGGCCTTCTCCTCCGCAGCTCCCTAAAAGATTTGAAGGAGCGGATGTATAACTATTAAAATTGAAATAATTACGTTTTTACCTAGGTATCTCGCTAAGTGTACCGGCAGCGCGTATGTCATGCTCGAAGCAGCGCAATTAGAGATCGAGGATACCGAAAATTGCCGGCAACGTATGTAAGATGCTTAATTGTTTATACATCCGTGCGATCAGAGCGGATTCAAGGATATCTTGATGCGCAGCTCCACGAATCCCATGGTCGACCTGGGCGAAAATGTCTATAATTTTCTTTCAATGATGACAAACTCCGCTAGATGGCAGCAATAGTCGTTGTTAATTATTTTACTTTGTCGAATTTTATGCTGAATCACCTAGTTGCTTCCAATCATCAAATACTTATTATTCATTTGGATCACGGATTCGAGTATTACAATATTTAGTTCTCAAATCAAGAGCGACGAACCAGACATTCCTGAAAAACCGGAAAAGGTGTCTCGCTCTCCTTTCTTTAGTCAATTTCCTTACCAATTCCTGAAAACCACGAATCTGGCTCTTAAAATTTTTCAACTCGAAAAGGTCCATCACTACCCGAAAATTCTCAACGTATATATCCAGCGATATAAATATTCCCAACCTTGCCCCTAATTCGCCAATCAAGATACTGAACAATATTTCCTATTTCAAACTTGTTCCTGAACTATAATATTTAATGTTATTAATTATTGCCCCTTTGAACGCGGAAATCGTCCTACAAATGCAAACAAGGTGTTTTTTGTTATCTCAACGATTTTTTTGGTAATGGGTGTGCGCTCTTTTAGGCTATCCAAGAATAGACGTCAATCGTCCACGCAGACAGACCTTAACCTATTCTGGAGCCCAGAGCTCGCGGTGGGTTAAGACCGCTCTGCTGTCAATGATTTTTGAAAGCTTTTTAACTGGGGCGCAGTTTTCGCGATTTCTCCGCTAAAAAGTAGCCCTGTGTTTATATTTCATAGCAAGGTCCCCTAGCCCTAGATCCGCTTACTGCTTTTCCTCTCCATAAATCCCTTATCCTTTATATAAAAATGTCCATTTCTTCTTTAAAAGAATTAATGGCGTGTCGTTTATTTCAGTTTTCCGTTTTCCTTTTTGGCGATTTTCAATCTCTGTCCCTATTCTCGCGTATTTACTATTATTCAACATTATTATTATTTTCGCCTGCTTTCAAACTCGAAATTAGCTTTCAAAATTTTCAAAATGAGCGAACTGTGCGTGTTTTTTTTTCTCCTTAGTTCCCACCAACTGAACTGTCCTGAACTACTAGTAACTGTTCATTTTTACTTTTCCAACTTAGACGCGAAGTATTATCCAGAACTGACTGTATCAATATATGAATTATACTGTGTGTTAAAAGTACAGTACTATGCTCTGCCCTAAGTTGTTCCCTCAAGCATTCCCGTTAACCGTAAAGTTGAGCTATTTTGAATTAGGAGTCCTTTACCGATTATTCTTTTAATATGACTCGTATCAGTTATAAATTAACTATCACTAGCACCTTACTATTACTTTTTGACAAAATGTAAATTGGCTACCCGTTAACAGTGTGATCCACCTGCTGCCCTGCTGAGTCAGAATTCAATACGAAAAAGGTGAAATCGCGTTTAAACCGAAAACAAGTTAAAATATCAATAATATATTTGAAAGTGCTCCGAATCGTCTTTGTGTCTTTTATTTGTTGAGCATGAGGCGTGAAAACGCAACAGAAAAAAAATAGCGAAAAGGAAATCAGAGACCATCCACAGACCAGACTTGATCCAGTTGCAACTTTGAATTTCAGTAATTTTCGAAGTGAGGAATTTTCTAATTCTTCACGTCACATAATTTTCGGCTCCCTGGGGAGCTTTGGTTCCCCCGAGAGCATCGATTTCTGTGCAAAAGCCGCCCTTTGAGTTTGAAAATAAAGTCGAGTGAAATTTAGAGACAGGGATGAAGCTACTTCTTGGGCTTATTTCGGTGATTTCCGCGTCGCAGATGATGCTGGTTTGGAACTGCCCAAATAGTGATGGGCCTTCTGGCTCGTTTCTTGAAACGCTTCCGGACTGTCCCGGAGCAGTGCACGTGACCGTCCCTATTACAGTAAGAATATTGTTTTTTATTGCATAAAACCATGAATTCTCAGATGGGTGAGTTGAATAAGCTCTCCGCTGCTCAACTCTCTGGCAAAACGCCTTCTCTCTACTTCTTGAAATCGACGCCCGAAGAAACAACGGAGATCGCCAATATCAATGAGGCCGACTCTTTTATCGTCGATCGACTATCAAGTGGTCAACCCATCATTCTTCTGGGCAAGGCTTTCAAGGAACCGCTCTCAAAACGCGTCTCCAACGCATTTTTCATTCAATATCCTTTTCAATAATTATGACTAGAAGACACCGTTTTTGGAGCGGAACTCGCAGACGAACAATAAAGCGGAACTTTCATCTTCTGATGATTCGTCCGTCGCCGCTGATCGAAAAATTCTTCAGGCCTCTACCACTAACTCTGGTTGGATCAATTATCCCGAGAAAGCGTTTGACGATGACTGTGGCGCCATCAAAATTGGCCCTACTGTTCAAGGAATGGCTAGATAGTTCATCAACACTAATTGCGTGTTTTGAGTTCGATGCACATAGCCGTTGATGAGTTTACACCGGCGAGGAGTTCAACAACAACGATATCAAGACCTACACTGTGGAAAGTGACACAAGCAAGTGGTCTTGCGACAAGACGTCCATGACTAGGGAAACTCGATGAAAAATGAGCTTTTTTCTGGGCTTAGTAGAGAGGGAGTATAACACAGATTTAGAAAGCCCAGAAGCTGAGCATCATTTTGACTATTTACAGTATGGGGTTTGGGTCATGTCCTGAGGCGTTTTTGGGCGTCTAAAGTCCGGAAAATGGGGGTAGTTCCAGAAAAGGGATTAAAAAAGTACCGGTAGTCCATCCTAAGAAAGAGCGGCTTAGTGTACGTTGTAGAGGAGGCTCTGGCGGTTCAGAATCTGTATAGAAACCTATTGGGACCCCCACATTCTAGAGGCGCTAGAGGCTCTAGAAGTTGAGGAAGTTACCTCAAAATCGGTACTTTTTTACGAAAAATTGCAGTAAGGGTTATATTTTTATCAGAAATCGTCTTAAAAACGTTCCAATCAATTTTTGGATGTCAAAAATATCGTTTGGGGTTACATGAGGTCACTTGGGGTCATTTTTTGAGAAAAAATAGAATTTGGCCGAAACTCTACCCGAATAACCTCAAATGACCCCAAACGATATTTTTGACATCCAAAAATTGATTGGAACGTTTTTAAGACGATTTCTGATAAAAATATAACCCTTACTGCAATTTTTCGTAAAAAAGTACCGATTTTGAGGTAACTTCCTCAACTTCTAGAGCCTCTAGCGCCTCTAGAATGTGGGGGTCCCAATAGGTTTCTATACAGATTCTGAACCGCCAGAGCCTCCTCTACAACGTACACTAAGCCGCTCTTTCTTAGGATGGACTACCGGTACTTTTTTAATCCCTTTTCTGGAACTACCCCCATTTTCCGGACTTTAGACGCCCAAAAACGCCCCAGGACATGACCCAAACCCCATACTGTAAATAGTCAAAATGATGCTCAGCTTCTGGGCTTTCTAAATCTGTATTATACTCCCTCTCTACTAAGCCCAGAAAAAAGCTCATTTTTCATCGAGTTTCCCTATCCATGACGATTACGATTCCTACATCGGAAGAGAAAGCGCTCAAGTTGAAATTCGAGGAAATTACGAATCTGGAAAGCAACTATCAAGCGAAAAACTTTTTGGTTGAGTTTGATGGAAACACCTTCGGCGAGAAGAACCAAACTATTCCGATTGTCACTCCCTGGGACAAAGTTTCCAACTTTACCTTTAGCTACACTTGCAATAAGTCCAAACTAAAGAATGTCCAAGGAACGACAACCACTACTCTCGCCTTTGGTCCCTATCAAGTGATTTTTCTTTCAATGGGCCAGTTTAATGTTGTTTCTAGGTGCAATACGGAGCTGCGATGGAGTCTAAAGCGCAGCCCTACTTTTCACGGGCAATCGATTGCACTCCCGTCTTCGGGGAAATGGTCTGGATCACTGTTATCGCTATGGTCGTTTTCACCATCATTCTGGCTTTCGGGCTGTACTTCGTCGTCTCTATCGAAGTTCCATCGCGTTTCGAATCTACTCGATCGAAGCCACTCATCATTCCCGATAATTAATCCTTCAAAATCATACCTATTCTTTCGTTATCATAATAAACGCACAATAAAAATCTTGGTTGTTTATTCCCGCAGATGAAGCTTGACTCTATCAATGACAATGAATCGGAACAGTTGATTAACGCAGGAGCATCTATTTAGATGGCTTTGCCTCGTCGAATTATAAAAGAGACCCAGAAGCTCCAGTCTGAGCCTGTTTCCGGCATTACAGCGACACCAGACGAGTCGAATGCCCGGTAATTCATTTGCTTCTTGTCTGAATCATTTGCGTTTCATTAGGTACTTCAAAATTGTTGTCGTTGGACCACAGGACTCTCCATATGAAAATGGTAAATGAAGCATTTGTACGTATTTAGTAAATCAGCTTTTCTGCGTCACAATTTATTATCCTGGTGGTCGTATTTTTTATCATATTTTCGTCTCGCAGACATTTTTCACCTCATTGCGCAATATATATTTAATAACCTTTTTTATCGAATTAGATGAGTTATTAACCCTAATAAATAAGTGCGTTTGAATGAGCTTCGAGGGAAGCACTTCTAGACTCTTCTTTTCAGGAAACTTCAATCTGGAACTCTTCTTGCCCGAGGAGTATCCAATGGCACCGCCAAAAGTGCGCTTCATGACCAAAATCTACCATCCAAACATCGACAAGCTCGGTCGAATCTGCCTTGGTAAATGAAATCGACACTCCCTAGAGCTCATGTTTCTTTGTAGACATCCTCAAGGACAAATGGTCGCCTGCTCTCCAGATCCGAACCGTGCTGTTGAGCATTCAGGCTCTTCTCAGCGCCCCTAACCCAGATGATCCGCTCGCCAACGATGTCGCTCAGCTCTGGAAACAAAACGAAGCCCAAGCCATTAGAACAGCCAAGTAAGAACAACTAAAAATTAGGTTTCCAAACTCTTCCCCCTCTCGATCTGTCCAAACATCTTTATAAATGAATACTAGGGAATGGACAGCTCAGTACGCTGCTTGATGCTTCGTCATCTGCTTCTACCGTGGACAAATTGGATTTATGAACCTTTACAACCGATAAGGACAGGTTCTCGGTGGTGTCTTTTTCTGCAAAGGCAGAGCAATAAGAGAACCAAAACAAGTTCAAACTTTACATAACTATTCTTCAAGCTGTCAAAGAAAAATATTAATATTACCAATCTAAAAAGGATTCGCATCTATACTATAAATAATTTCCGTTATTTTTTCTTGTTGTAGGGCAATTCCCTTGTCCATACCTTCTCTGTTCAAAATTTTCAATTTTCTTAGTTTGAGTTTCAACTAATTTCTGTTCTCGGCCAGATCCGGTCGACTCTCTTGCAATGTTAAATCCTTGAATCCTGAAAAAAAGAATCCAAATTTTGTCTTTCGAAGAAAAAAATGCTTCATTTACAATAATTTTTCAATTTTTATGAAACTTCGCGCGATTACAGCATTTACAACTCCTTGCCTCTAACGAGAGCACTTCGTGAAGCTCGACTATTGAAGGCGACTTCGAGGCAATGTCTTACACCTTGCTACATTGACTGAGGAGCATCTTCGTTTAACTTCGGAGTTCGCGCAGAAGAGCACTTTTCAATCGAACCTGCCTAATTATTCCCAATTTTAATTCAGAGGTTTTTTCATAAAATCAGCATCTTTAGAATAAAATGAACTGGCTCTCATTCGGCAACAAGAACAGCAAAGGAAGAAGCTCTCCGGAGCCGCCAGTACAGCCAAACATTTACTCGCACCCGGAAGTACGGAGACCCGAGCTGAACACGAATTACGATAAAATGGTCACTCTGCCGCCGGGAGTAGACGAGCAAGAGTGGCTCGCCACGCACACCTTAGGCCCCGTTTTCACATCAATTTTACTAACTTTCCTAACAAACTTTACTTTCAACCGGTAAAAAAGCTATTTTTCACAACGTTGATCGCCACTTCTCGGTGATCAGCGAGTTATGCACCGCAGAATCGTGTCCAACGATGAAAGGGCCTCAGAACACGACGTTTCTTTGGGTGGACGAGAAGAATAAGAAGATCAAATGCACTGCGCCACAGTACATAGGTAACTTCTTCTCCTGAAAATAGACGGGAGAGCTGAGCTAGCGTCTCGTAGAATTCCGGCTTGAGAAAAACAAAACTCGTGTTTTTCTGTCGCTCCGACTGGAGTGTCTTCTCCCATGATGAGAAATCGATCTCTCGCCCGTAAAGTAAATCGGTGCCGGTGTTTTCGCCGACTGCGAGACCGAAAGACAAAAGACATTTCAGAATACAGGATACTGTCTCGTCTTTTCTCACGTCGAGAAGATATTTAAACTGTTTTTGAATTTAGTCAACTGTGAATAGCGAGTTTCCAGGACGTAGCATAGGCAACTATATCTTTTCGCTCCTCATGGGAACTTTTATGAATCGATTTTGCATATAACAATTTTCTCAGACCATAACTACCGCTCTTTTAATTGAATACCACCTGATCCAATGTCGCTTTTTTAAGAAAACGGTTGCGAAATAGCTAAAAAGCGACACTAAATCAGGTACCTGAAGTATTTTATTTTATAAATGAAGTATTCATCAATGCTTTAGATGCAATTATTTCTAGAAACCATCTTGTTTTTTCAAAAAAATAATTTCGAGCTGTCATTTTAAGCGTTTTCACGAAATGGTGAGCATGATTTTAAGATTATGCGATGGCCCACTGTCAACAAATGGTGACCGACCAAAGCGTCTTTCCGACAAAATACGAACAAAAGTTTTCTGACGAGTTTAGCCGCACGATTTCGAAAATGCTACGATTGATTTGGCACGTAATCTGTAAGTTATATCCCTAAGAGCTAAACGAGCTTTCTAAATATAGATTTGGCGATCCTTATAGAACAAAATCATTTTGCTTTCGTTTTACCCAGGGAAACGATCGAGAATTTTTATGATTCGATTAGAGAGTTTTGTTTTTATCGGTATTATTCGGGATTTTTCTAGAGCGCTTATTTGCAGCAGTATAAATAGACGCTTCGATTTGAGTTCTCCCACACTTTCACGCTGAACGAGCCTCGCCCTGGTGAAGAATCGGCTAAATTCTCAACGTGGTAGTGTCTTAGAGACTTTTTTCTTTCATCCCCTCCATGAGACGTCCCTTACAATAATATCGGCTTTAGCTCTGTCGCCACCCTCCTAGCTCTAGCCATAATTCGTCGCGTCTCGAGCAGAACCAACCCTTTTTTCAGCTCATATCTATCACAGCCACTACCAGGCTTTCTGCGACTTGGGACTCGTTGGCCACTTGAGCATGACAACGCTGCACTTCGTCCTTTTTGCTGAGAAATTTCATCTGCTGGACGAAAAAGAGTTTTTGGTAAGTTGAAAGAGATCTGTTTTTCACAAATAAAACTTTGTAACTGCCATCTCCTGCTACTAAGTCCGTGTTTCACTAATTTTACTAAACGAAAATCTGATAAAGTGATGCACGGTATTAGTGGCGGATTATCTCCCCCCAGTTAGCTTATTTTCTTCTGACTGACTATTTTATAGCCTCTTGAAGATCTGATAGGCCCTTTGAAAAAGTACGCCATTCCGTCTCCGAACAACGAGGAAAGTGACGAAGCCGTCTCCGACCAGTGACCATTTCGCTTCATCGCCTTTACTCAAACAGCGAGTACCATGAAAAAAGCGAGCCGCTCAGTAACCTTCAAACAGCCCTTCCTCTTCAAAATTGTACTTCTGCTCCTTTTTCTTCAGTTCATCTTTTTCGTTCAATTCTTTCGGAGGTGTTCTCATGTTACTCCCATTCCATTCATGTTACGATTTTTTACTTCACCAGTAGTTCTGCCATTTTAACCTTGCACCATTTAGAGACAACTAATCGGCCAAAAGTCTTCCTAATCTTTTCCCATGGACGATATTGACGGAGTGGTGAGAAAAGACTATCGAATTCTTATTCTGGGTAATCGCTGCGTTGGTAAAACCTGTCTTGTTAATCAGGTACTTCAACAAAAACTAGCTGTGACTCTTACTGTCAATATAGCTCTGCTACGAGAGGTTTGTCGAGCGCTACCGACCCACCATCGACACGCCATACAAGTACAACCTCAACGTCAGCAACACCATCTATGAGCTGGACATACTTGACAGTGCTGGAATGGGTAAGCAAAAAACCATCAACAGAGCTGTAATTGAGTCTAGACGAATACTCCTTCATTCCAGAAGACTTCAGCGCCAATGTTTACGATGCGTTCGTCTTCGTTTACGCGATAGACAACTTGGAAAGCTTCAACATCGTCAAACAAATAAAAGGTAAAGCTTAGATATGGCGAGGGCGTGATTTAATATTTGTGTGTTCAGACAAGTTGGAGCAAAAACGCGGCGCTTCCCTGGCCTCCTCCCAGAAAGCCGTTATCCTCGTCGGAAACAAAACAGACTTGAACGGAAACCGGCAGGTCACTGAACAAGAAGGACAGCAGATTGCTAGATCTTGGAATGCACAGGTAACCTCGCACGATTTTGAACAATGCTAATGGCTTATTTAGTTTCTCGAAGTCAGCGCGAAGGAGGGCACCAAAGTCAAATCAGTCTTCGAAGGCACGGTGAAGAAGATTGAGGCGCTTATCAACGGCACTGGTCGAGAAGCCAAGGAGAAAAAGTGCGTCATTTCATAAACTTATTGATATTATTTCCCCACTACCATTGCTTCCCTTCAAGTCAAATAAATTCTTAAAAATTAACATTCGACTGCAGTCTAAATGACTAACGCCTCGTTTCAATGATATTATTAAAAGAAGCAAGTTAACCCTGGTGCTGTCTCTGTGCTCGCCCTATTAAGCGAAGCTTGAATGGAATGTAAATTGTACACTCTTCGTTTATTTCAATTTTATACGATAATTCTTGTTCGATTTTTGCAAAGCTTCGAAATTCGAATATTTCCAATTGGTTAGTATTAGCAAAGGATGTTTAACCAAGCTCACTTTCCGTTAAATCTTGTGGCTAATTTATAGGAAACTTTAGAATTTCAATACGGATGATTAGGGTTTCTCACGGGAATTTCAAAGTTATGCTATATTTCTGAAATTCACACTGTAGACTAAATTTGACCCGCTGATTCCAAAATACCGAAATCAGAAATCCCCGGATTCCAGCATCGAACCACCTGATTTTGTCACCTTGAGCAAAGAGGTTCGGACTGCTCCCCGGGCGCTCTGTAAATAAGCGCGCGCCCAGGCCCTTCCGATTAGTTAACCCTCAGTTTGAGTATCTGCTGAATGTTGCTGAATTCTGAATTTTTGAGAGATAAGTGATAAAGGTCTATTATCAATCATATCTCAAAATCAGAGGTGTATTTTGGTGTACTCCGGGAGAAAAGTAAGAAAATTTGTGCAAAAAGTGATTTTTCGGCATAATTTGACATTTTTATAGAATAAAAATTCGATATTTGGAATCTGCGACCTTTAATTAGTACCGTGGGCGAGAGATATCACGACGGAGTCTGAGGGCCCGGGCCGGGGTTTTGAATATTTCGCGCACATTCAAGTATTTTCCCATGGCTGATGGAGGACTTTTATCTGGTGGAAGACCCCATTGATGGAAGAAAGGTCTAACCTAGGCTATTTAAGATAAATTAATCTTTAACTAATAAATAGATAATAATTTTGAAAAATCTTGATCATGTGACTCTTGGAGGACCCCTGGAGGACCTTTTCTGGTGGAAGACCGGCCTTCATGGAAGACCCTTAAAATTCAGCCCCGTTCCATGATTTTTAAATTTAAGGGGCTTGACGGCCCTTCGGGCCGTTTCAGCCCCGTTCCATGATTTTTAAATTTAAGGGCTTGACGGCCCTTCGGGCCGTTTCAGCCCCGTTCCATGATTTTTAAATTTAAGGGCTTGACGGCCCTTCGGGCCGTTTCAGCCCCGTTCCATGATTTTTAAATTTAAGGGCTTGACGGCCCTTCGGGCCGTTTCAGCCCCGTTCCATGATTTTTAAATTTAAGGGGCTTGACGGCCCTTCGGGCCGTTTCAGCCCCGTTCCATGATTTTAAATTTAAGGGCTTGACGGCCCTTCGGGCCGTTTCAGCCCCGTTCCATGATTTTTAAATTTAAGGGCTTGACGGCCCTTCGGGCCGTTTCAGCCCCGTTCCATGATTTTTAAATTTAAGGGGCTTGACGGCCCTTCGGGCCGTTTCAGCCCCGTTCCATGATTTTAAATTTAAGGGGCTTGACGGCCCTTCGGGCCGTTTCAGCCCCGTTCCATGATTTTTAAATTTAAGGGGCTTGACGGCCCTTCGGGCCGTTTCAGCCCCGTTCCATGATTTTTAAATTTAAGGGGCTTGACGGCCCTTCGGGCCGTTTCAGCCCCGTTCCATGATTTTTAAATTTAAGGGCTTGACGGCCCTTCGGGCCGTTTCAGCCCCGTTCCATGATTTTTAAATTTAAGGGGCTTGACGGCCCTTCGGGCCGTTTCAGCCCCGTTCCATGATTTTTAAATTTAAGGGGCTTGACGGCCCTTCGGGCCGTTTCAGCCCCGTTCCATGATTTTTAAATTTAAGGGCTTGACGGCCCTTCGGGCCGTTTCAGCCCCGTTCCATGATTTTTAAATTTAAGGGGCTTGACGGCCCTTCGGGCCGTTTCAGCCCCGTTCCATGATTTTTAAATTTAAGGGGCTTGACGGCCCTTCGGGCCGTTTCAGCCCCGTTCCATGATTTTTAAATTTAAGGGGCTTGACGGCCCTTCGGGCCGTTTCAGCCCCGTTCCATGATTTTTAAATTTAAGGGGCTTGACGGCCCTTCGGGCCGTTTCAGCCCCGTTCCATGATTTTTAAATTTAAGGGGCTTGACGGCCCTTCGGGCCGTTTCAGCCCCGTTCCATGATTTTTAAATTTAAGGGGCTTGACGGCCCTTCGGGCCGTTTCAGCCCCGTTCCATGATTTTTAAATTTAAGGGCTTGACGGCCCTTCGGGCCGTTTCAGCCCCGTTCCATGATTTTTAAATTTAAGGGGCTTGACGGCCCTTCGGGCCGTTTCAGCCCCGTTCCATGATTTTTAAATTTAAGGGGCTTGACGGCCCTTCGGGCCGTTTCAGCCCCGTTCCATGATTTTTAAATTTAAGGGCTTGACGGCCCTTCGGGCCGTTTCAGCCCCGTTCCATGATTTTTAAATTTAAGGGCTTGACGGCCCTTCGGGCCGTTTCAGCCCCGTTCCATGATTTTTAAATTTAAGGGGCTTGACGGCCCTTCGGGCCGTTTCAGCCCCGTTCCATGATTTTTAAATTTAAGGGGCTTGACGGCCCTTCGGGCCGTTTCAGCCCCGTTCCATGATTTTTAAATTTAAGGGGCTTGACGGCCCTTCGGGCCGTTTCAGCCCCGTTCCATGATTTTTAAATTTAAGGGCTTGACGGCCCTTCGGGCCGTTTCAGCCCCGTTCCATGATTTTTAAATTTAAGGGGCTTGACGGCCCTTCGGGCCGTTTCAGCCCCGTTCCATGATTTTAAATTTAAGGGCTTGACGGCCCTTCGGGCCGTTTCAGCCCCGTTCCATGATTTTTAAATTTAAGGGGCTTGACGGCCCTTCGGGCCGTTTCAGCCCCGTTCCATGATTTTTAAATTTAAGGGGCTTGACGGCCCTTCGGGCCGTTTCAGCCCCGTTCCATGATTTTTAAATTTAAGGGGCTTGACGGCCCTTCGGGCCGTTTCAGCCCCGTTCCATGATTTTTAAATTTAAGGGGCTTGACAATGGCTGGGAACTCTGAGGTGATCAATCTCAGTCCCCAACCCCGCCCACACCCATCGTTTTTAAAATTCAAATTGACAAAGTTTTCAATAATGTTATGGTTTTGAATTTATTTTTTCAATCTAAAGATTTCCTTTTATTATTATTTACAAATTATTATTATTAAGTTTATTCATTATTATTAAAACAAAATCAAAGTTATAATAATTGAAGGAAGAAGAAGTTTCTTAGGTCAGTTATTGAGAGAGGTGAATTGTGAAAAATGTTTCTAGACGGGGGGTTGTTGTTGTTCTTCGCGGAGGACCCACTCCCACGTGGCGCAAGATGCGCGCCAAAAAGAGCAAAAAGATTGGGACGAGAAAAACACGCGCAAATGCCCCAATCTATTTCGCCCTCCGTCGTGAAATCTCTCGCCCACGGTACGTTTGATAATTTAAATTTTCATTTTTGATAAAAAGTAAGAGTTCGATTTTGGCGGTGGAAGGCCCGGAGCGCGCCGCGCCGTTCCCGTGAAAAACCCTACGGATGATTTTCGAAAAATTTTTCAGGCCAAAAATAACTTTTTAACTGTTAGTGCCATCTTCACCGCCGTCTCAAACCGAGTCGAACGGTATATGTATCTCTTGAAAATTCTAGAGTTTCGGGTACTTCCGGTCAAATTTACGAAATTCTAGTATTCCACTGCCGTTTTTGATACAGATATGGTACTATGGCATATAGCATATCAAAATGACCGCTAGGACGTGAGGAGTGCAGGGGTTTCAAAAATAAGTACTTTTGCAAAGAAAAGTACCTAAAAATAATTATTTTGTGATTTTTAGCACTAAAAATATCAATTATTATTTTTCGGGCAGAAAGCAGATGGATAATCAAGTTTTATCTCTTATAAATAAATCTACAAAGAAAACTACATTTAAATCGAAAATTTCTTGAAATTTGATATTTTTAGTGCTAAAAATCACAAAATAATTTTTTAGGTACTTTTCTTTGCAAAAGTACTTATTTTTGAAACCCCTGCACTCCTCACGTCCTAGCGGTCATTTTGATATGCTATATGCCATAGTACCATATCTGTATCAAAAACGGCAGTGGAATACTAGAATTTCGTAAATTTGACCGGAAGTACCCGAAACTCTAGAATTTTCAAGAGATACATATACCGTTCGACTCGGTTTGAGACGGCGGTGAAGATGGCACTAACAGTTAAAAAGTGATTTTTGGCCTGAAAACATTTTTCGAAACTTATCTACGCTCAGGATGTTGCTCTTTCTAACAATAACTGTTTGACTCACTGTTTTACCGTGACTATACTTGCCTTATTAAGCTAATCTAAACAAAAGAATCCTGGCCAACACATATCCAAAATTAAAGCTGTTTGCCCGCACCGGCGCCTCGCTCCTTCTTTTTCAAACGAGTCTATTTTTGAAATTTTGGAATGATCTCGTTTTGAGGTTTTAAATTCCTATTATAACACTAAATCTTCCACAGTTTCTCGGAGTCTGTTCAAGCGTGCACTTTTCTTTCACGTTCATTCAAAAATGTTCAAATGCCTTCGAGAAAAACAATAAAATTTTCGAAAATTCCACTCTGCGAGTCTTCCTCCTCCTGTTCGGGGAAGAGGTTGAATTGAGTTTTTATTGCAGGCAATCATTGAGCTTCAGTAATTAACTTAGCAATCGACAACCAGAATCTGGTCAAGATTCGGTTTTAGCGAAAAAGCTATTAACGCTAATTCTGATATTCTTATTAATCAATTATAGAAAAGGGCAAAAAATATAACCAAGTAGCCCTAGAACGCCTTTTGTTTTTGTAAAAGTTGAAAACAAAAAAGAGTTAGATTTCAATAAGAGTTCTCTTTCTTACGCGGTGGAGTAAATTTTAAGGTAAAGAAATAATCGCGAGGCTATTAGAAATTGATTAGGGAAAAGGGAGAGCAAGCATCAGGTCTTGGAGTCGATAAATGAGTAATTTAATTCCCCTGATAGATACAGCCCGCTTTCAATTTTTCGTATTTCAGTTCAACCCGACATTGCCCAGAAACTGACACTTGTTAAATTTTATATCAGCAAGAACAAGATACTCATGCAGAACACACAGGAAGCTAACCAAATGACAGAAGGGCAGAAGAGTCAGACTGCACGCACGGCTTCAAGAGGACTAGAACCTAGATGCGTTCCCGTAAGTATATATTCTCAATAATTACTCGCGATGATTATTTGCCGCCTTGAAAAAGTCTCACTGTAGTATAACTATAGGCGGCGTTCCACCAACTTCCTTCAGGAGATCATCCCGTGCCGGTGAAATCTCGACGACAGAGAAACGGACGGGCCAGATCGCGAAGTGACTCTAACTCGTCGAATGAGTCCTTATCAACATCAAGTAATGAACCGATTAATGTTTTACCCTTTTACTCGTCCTGCGGTGCTTTGAGAGCTGGCCAGTACCAAAAACGGTTTCATCCCCGCCGGGCACGGGCAAAAAATAACCGCATATTCTTGAGTACTGAACTTACATAGCAATAGACCTTTTTAAAAATGTCGAAGTCGATGATGGGCGAAGATATAAAACGTCAGGAAAGAGATTAATTTTCATCGCGAAGCTCAAGAAAGCGGATTAATTAATCACAAAAGAAAATTATTGACCCGATTGTTCGACGAACTTCGTCAGAACACCACAGCCACAGTTCGAAATACTTTTTAAATCGGTAAACTACGTGTTTAGCGAACTGTCATAGGCGGCCCAGTTTAACCGTGCTTGGCGATGGGGGACTGGTTAGCATTCCTTCCAGAGATTCCGACAGTAAATGACGAGAGCACTGTCTATGATAGGGAAACGCGAATCTTACTCATTTAGGTTCTTATTCGGACTCTGACTCGGAGGACGAGCTCAGTCCAAAGGAGAAGCAGCAGGTTACAGTCAATGGCTTCAGCGATTTCTGCGTGCGAAATATTAAATATAGCCAGGTACTTTTCCGTGCCAGATCACATCCTTAACAACCTTTAGATCGGCCGACGAGAAATAGAAATCGCGGAACAAGAAATGCCCGCCTTGATGTCTCTTCGAAAAAGAGCGGCTGGAGACAAGCCGCTCAATGGCGCTAGAATAGGCCAGGTTTTTAAATAAGTTAATTTCTTTCTAAAATAAACACAATTAACCCTGAAAAGTTGGCTGCACTCATGTGACTGCCCAGGCAGCTGTTCTTGTCGAAACTCTGATAGAACTTGGAGCTCAAGTTCGTTGGTGTGCATGCAACATCTTTTCCACGCAAAATGAAGTCGCAGCCGCTCTTGCAGAAGCTGGAATTCCTATTTTCGCATGGAAAGGAGAAGGCGAGGAAGAGTTCTGGTGGTGCATAGGTTCGATTTTTTATATTTTCATCTTATTCATGCGTTTTAAAGAGAAATGTGTGGCAAACTCAAGCTGGGAGCCCAATTTGATTTTGGATGATGGCGGAGATGCCACTCATTTTATGCTGCGACATCATCCTCAGCTATTCAAGAAAATAATAGGAATAGTTGAAGAGTCTGTCACTGGTGTTCATCGTCTATATCAGCTTTCGAAGACGGGCAAACTTGTCGTACCCGCAATGAACGTAAATGACTCAGGAAGTTATATTTTATTCAAAAGAAGTGTCTTCCAATACTCTCAAATTTATAATTGCAATAGTGACAAAACAGAAATTTGACAATCTCTATTCATGTCGCGAAAGCATTCTTGATGGGCTGAAAAGAACGACTGACATCATGTTCGGCGGAAAGCAGATTTTGATCTGCGGATATGGCGAAGTCGGAAAAGGCTGCTCAGCTGCATTGAAGGGGATGGGCTCAGTTGTCTATGTTACAGAAATAGACCCCATCTGTGCGCTCCAAGCATGGTGAGTTGTAGTTTAAAAATAGCGTTTGATTAACCTCTTTCTAGCATGGATGGGTTCCGCGTTGTCACTGTTGACGAAGTTGTTTCTACAGGTGAGTCCTCTATGTCTTCACAGACGTTATAAAATTACCCTTTTTCTTTAGTCGACGTGTTTATTACTTGTACTGGGAACAGAAATGTGCTGACTCGTCCACTTATGGATAAGATGAAAAATGGTGCTGTTGTAGCGAACATGGGACACAGGTAAATTTCCCCAATTACGAATAAAATATGATTTTCAATTTTCAGTAATACAGAGATAGAAGTCGCCGCGTTGAAAACGTCTGATTTGGTTTGGGAAAACATTCGAAGTCAAGTCGACCATATCATCTGGCCAGATGGAAAGCGGATTGTTTTGTTAGCCGAAGGACGGCTTCTTAATTATAGGTATATTTCATCATTATTCGTCATTGACCTCATCACTGATAAGCTGCTCCTCTGTGCCGAGTTTTGTACTCTCTGTGACTTCCTGCACACAAGCCTTGGCACTTATTGAAATGTTCAATGCTCCTAATGGACGATACAAGCATGACGTCTACCTTTTACCGAAGAAAATGGGTAGGTTTTGTTTTTTTACCCTGTTTCAAGTCTTTCAGACGAATACGTTGCTTCTCTTCATCTTCCCCAGTTCAATGCGCACCTGACTGAATTGAGCGATGAGCAAGCCAAATATCTTGGTCTGAACAAGTCTGGTCCCTTCAAGCCTGCATATTATCGATACTGATGTTATTTTCAAGTTGCAATAAATTAGCCTTTGAAATTGAGGAAGACTTGCAAGAAAACGAAACACGAAGGATTAAGAAAAGATAGGGTCGTATTTATTATTTTACAACTAGAAAAGACGCTCTGATTTGCTTCAGTGTAAAAAAACTCGAAAAGAATCCGAATGCGACGGGACGCAAGTTATTTTTATTCAAAATTACAAATTCTCTTAATCATCCTTGACTTTTAAGTCGCTGGTGTCGTCGTTGTTTTTATGATTTTTATCTTCGCAAAAATTTGCCGCTTCGGATCATTTGTTTAACTTTAAAAGCTACACAAAGTAAATCAAATTAAGTTTAGAGAAGTGATCCTGTGAGTAGCTGTCCAGTAATCAATCGAAATCATGGATGACTATTATTGTAATTGAAAGTGTTGAGTTCTAGCAAGAATTATTGCAGCGTTTGATTTTTAAGCAATTACGGGACAGTACACGCTGGATATTAAGGGTGCTCACCGCCTATGCGCTGGCCACGGAAACCGTCGTGGCCCAGTCGAGGATGAAAAGATGTCATTGCCTCGTTTGGTTTTTTATAAAATTTTGAAAAATTCAATTGGGACAATTTTTGTCAAAACGTAGCAAGCCACGCGGGTGTCAAGGAAAAATAAATTCACAAAGTGTACAGACAGAAAAATTTGAATGTGGGCCTATATGGCGCGGTATCATTCGTTTTGAACTTTGCTGAGCATCGTGGCGAGTATGCACTGTTTGACGCCTTTAGGTGTGCGCGGATCGTTGAACAGCGACCAGCATTCTATGCGAATTTTCTGCTTCACCGGCTCGGGCACGTTTTTTGAGGTGAGCACTTCTTGCACAAAAGGGTCGACCACTTCGTTGGGTCCACCAGGCGCACCGCCTTCGGTAGAAGAAGTGGAAACCGAGGGTGCAAGTGGAAGGGGTTCCATCTTCTTGTCATCTGGTGCTACTAAGGAGCCAGGAGTTATTTGCTCGTCTCTTTGGGTAATTTTCTTCCGCGCCGCCAACAATGATTGCTTGAAATCCGGTGCGGAACCAGACGGTGAGTTCTCCGTTGAGTTCTTGGCCGAGTTTTCGGCTCGAGCCATTTCCAAAAGCTCATTTATAAACGACGTTGATTGTTGTCGTTTCGATGCCTTAGATATAGTGATTGAAATTTTGCGTTAAAAAATTGTTCTGAATTAAACTTTAAAATAGACGTCATTCATGTCAAAATGAAAAAAAAACATAGTAAACCTTTGGTGATTTCCCGGAACGTGCCATCGCCTTTTCCAGTTTTTGACGCTCTCGCTCCGCATCCGCGATTTGCTTGGCGATTTGGGCGACTTTGGATTCTGAGCGCCGGGAGAGGGGAACTGGTTGGGAAAGATCTTCTTTTGGTTCAAGGTCAAGCGCCTGCTTGAGCTTCAAAATTTGACTGGGAGGCATGCACTCAACTTCCATCGAGTCAAATTCTGTTTGCTCCTGTATTTTTCTAGCAATTGCTACGATACAATGAGAACTCAATACTTTACTAGAATCATACCTTTGACCCCTAAAAGCGGCGAATCCTTGACTTCCAGCTGCTCTTGAATGTTTTTAGCGTTGTCGACATTTATGTTCAGTTCCGCCATTGTCGTTTCAAACTGCAATATCATGTCCTTCAGGCTTCCTGATCTGCTTATGTTGTCGAGTTCTTCGACCTTCTGGACTGCCTTCTTCCGGACTGGTCTGGCTTGATCTTCGTCGCCTCTCACGGTTTTCTTTCGCTTGAGAGTGCTCTTGCGTCGCTTCACTTTTTTATTGACATTTTCGTCTTGGACTTCTTTTTCGTCTTCTTCCTTGATGATTCCAAGCTCTTTTTTGTTCAGCTCAGTCATGTTCAGTTGCTTGAGTTCATTCTTGATTTCTTTATCTTCTGTGTCCTCATCGTAGGTCGAAGTCGATTCATAATCGCTAGATACAGAGTCAGATTGACTCGTGTAGAAGGACTCGTCGCTAGCTTCCGTGAAATCCTCATCAGAACAACTTGAAGCCACATAAACGCGATTTTTTGGGACCTCTAGCTCGACATTTTCGATTGCCGGCGGGTTTATGTCCAGCTGGTTTACCACTTTTTCCGCCCAGGCATGTATCTTTGATGGGCAGACTACTGCATCTGTTTGATGATTTTGAGCCACGTCGGACATCGCAGAGAGTGTCTTTTGATTCTGTAGCTTAGACTGTTCATGATCATGCTTTTCATTTGAGGAATCGGAAACATAGCCCGTCGATGTTGAGTCAGAGCCGTTTGTTCCGTCGTGTGACGCGTCGTGTGATTTGCGTCTTCCTTTGGGTTCCAGGTGGTTTGCCGAAAAGCGGGAGCCACGTCGACCGCCGCCAGTACTCTGGTCGTTTTTGTCAAGAGTCTGGGTGTGATCCCGCTCCCTGTCGGACCTACAGCTTGAGAATCCTTTACTCAGCGTGCGCAATATTTCGATGAAGATGCGGGAACTAGAACGCGCTCGCCGCGTCTTCGGAGCATTATTATCCTTGGTAGTTTTGCGACTGCGGCTCCGATTCTCTTGAAGCACTCGGCGAGCGTGCTCGTGATGGCTCACAGAACGCGATTTGCGAAAGACTGAGAGCATGCTGCCGGATTTGACGGAACTCCGTCTGTGTTGACTCGCATTTTGACATTTGGAGTTTGTTGAGCTACTTGCGCCTGAACTGACGCCAGAGCTGGAGACTGTCGACTTCGCTGAGGTGGAGGTGGTGCAGCCGAGCTCGTTCAAGTCGCTTGACGTCAACGTGAGCTTATTCGAGTGCGGCAGATTGAGCTCGCACTCCGCGACGGCGGCCCCTTGCCCGTTGCCGCCGAAGTCAGTCATTCCTTAAATAATATTTAGAACCGGCTATTTGTATTGACTGGATTGGGCGTTTGTGAAATTTTACCACGTGGAGACTCCACTAAAAACGGGAACTCGTCTGGATGCGCTTTGGAAGTGGTGTGTTTGGGATTGCTTGCGTCTTCGATCGTTGTTGATTTCAGTCTCGATTCGTCAGTTTCGCGTTGTTCAGTTAAATGGATTACGCATATCAATTTACGAAAAGAACTTAGAGACGGAAAAGAAAATTATGCCTGAGCAAATCAGAAAATCCATTTATCATTTGAATATGCGCAGGCGCACCTGCATATTCAGATTCGAATGAAATATAGCAATATTTGATTCAAACAAACGATTGATATGCGACTCGATAAAACTGGCAACTGAAACGCGTCGCGGACCCTCTATAATCAATTTTAAAATTCGGCCGGCATTTTAGACACTTTCGAGCGGTCGAAAATAATAATTTTGCAAGGCATACCTGATGATCTGTTGGGCTATTTAGGGTAAATATTTGCGGCACACAAAATGCTTCAAAGCGGACTCGTCTAGCATGTAGAATGTCACAACTTGCGCTGAAAAATTTCCCCTCTCCTTTTTGGTTATTTTGGATTGAAAATCAGGCTTCTTTTTTAAAATAGCGTACTTTATAAATAAAAGAGCTAGTCTAAAAATCTGCAAATTGAATAGAGCTTTCGTTCGGCAGTTGATTTGAATCCTTTTCTGGAAAGTGCTAGAATTTAGTTAGAAAGATGCTTCTTTTTGACCCGAATACAAACCAGGCTAGGAAATTTGTTTAGATCGGCAAATTCGAAAGAATTATTTTTTGAATTGTGAAAAGTGCTCGAAAAGTATGCGATATGTTACCTTGTCTTTTTTGGATGAAAAACTCAAATGTTTGATTCTTTAATTAAAACAACAAAATTAAAAAATATTCAATGATTGAATTAGAGAATTTTTATCCCGCCTTTCACTGCTCGATGAGTGAATAGGGTTTAATATTTGTTAATTAAAAAGCGTTAGAAAAGGGCCGCTAAAAACATCTAAATTCAAACGCAAAAATTTATTAGACCCTTCTCTGGAAATGTAGAAGGCAAAGTGGGGTTATCATCAATTTTTAAGGCATTTATGCTTTAATTATGATTTTCAGGTTTAGAAAATAAATCATTATCATTGACAACTGTATAACCCTAACTGGATACAAGGGGATTTAAAAGAGATTCTAACGAATCAAGAATTTTTTTTTCAGTAAATTTCAAAAAATGAGCAAAAAAAAACAAATTTGAATCCCGATCTGGTGATAATTTTAAGGTCAATACTACAAAACTACAAAATAGCATTTTTTGGAAAAAAAAAGTCCCGAAAACTTAAGAATAGGGAAAAATAAAAATGATGTTGACCTTTCCCTGGATACCATTCGGGTTTTAAAATCACAAAACTTCGTTTTTAGCAAAAAAAAAAAAAGAAACAAAGCAAGAAGTAGGTGCATAAAATTATGATGATTTTAATACCATCCTGTGGCAATATGGGATGAAAACATGATAACGCAATTACGAGATGAAAACTAGACTACACCAACAACAAACTAAAATAACTTCTAAAACTATGCATCCCTAACTGGCAAGGGTTGACAAAAAAATACGCCAAAAAGACCTTGGTTTGAGAAAACTTATTAATCAATAAATTGAAAGAAAAAATAAATTTTGAGCAACCCTACTGTGACTTTTCAAAGGGTAAACAACAATTTTCTATGGCTGAAAAGAAATTTCTTTCGCAAAAAGGTGACTAGAAATTGATCAAAATAATTATACCCGTTGCTTTGGCTGGTTAAAAAAATAGCTCGGGCGGAGAAAAAGTTCAAAGCTTATGAAAAAAGTGGAAAAAAGCTCAAAAGGCCCTAACCCTTGTTTCAGCGAAAATGAGCGTTTTCCTTGAATTTGATTAGAATTAGTTTTTAACCAATTTTCCTTTATGTTTTAAGTCTCTCTGTCGATAGAACGCAAGTTTTGACAAAAATTGGAATTTTTAGTTTTTTAAGCAGATTTATACATAAAAAGCGAAAGGCAGAAATAGGAAGGATGGTCGACCTTTTCCGCTAAATGCGACAAGAATATGACTTTTCCTAAATTTTAGGATCACAGAACGCCGACAGGATCTAAAAGAGAGCGGTTAGAAACGTGCTAGAAAATACTTTTTTATACTGTCACTAAAACTAATCCAGTCTAGACTTCTTTATTATATTATTTTTTAAAGAATTTGTCTAAAATATTTGACTAGAAATACGAACTGCGAAGGATCCAAAAATAAGATCGTATAGTACAACAGGTCGATTTTAGTAAACTAGCTAGGTACTAATACCACTGTAGTATCTCGAAATACAGATATTGGATTCAACAATGAAACAGTAATTCTGGTAGTTGAATTCGAATCTCCTAGTGAATAACTAACAATTAATTAACAAAGTAATTAAGCACACGTTTTTGCTGCTTTGGCAAATTGAAGTTACCTGATGGACAAAAAACTCGTCGATTGGATCCACTCAAGTGGGTCGGTTCTTTTTTCTATGTTCAAGTCTCTAGTTAGATCGGCGAAAATCTCTAAAGGAATACTAGTCTCTTTATTCCTTGCTGAGTTTGTGCTTGAGCAAAAGGCGTTTTGTAAAGTTCTCTATAAAACGCGTGCACCGATGCTAAGTCGCGGTTAAAACTCTATAAAGTGCAAAAATTACAAAAATATTGGCCCCGAAGCTTTGTTAGGGAAGCTCCGACACCGTCTCAGCACGTTTGACGACAGATGGGTCCTCCGTTTTTACTGCCTAGCGCCGATTGGCCGAGGGAATAGAACGTGCCAGTTGATTGGCCGCTTCAAAATCTCACTATGGAAGATGGTACTACTGCCACAGAGAGGGCGCGCGAGAGTCGAGAGGAGAAGTCGCGATCGGAGCGCGCGCGAGCGCCACAGTCCCACCGACTCTTCTCCGCGAGAGTGAGATCTAGAGGTCTCTCCAGCCGAGCTTTCACCATCGAGGTCATACTGTAGAATGAGAAAGCAATCAACTGATTATCATGTGAACGCTTAATTTTCAAATAAAACTGGTAAAAATCTCCAATATGGTACAATACAGTGTTGTCAATACTCGAGTTAGGAAATAGTTCTCGCTCTGTTTGGTCAGAGTATGCGATTTAATCCGACCGCGATTGGACGCTTAATGGTAAAAAAGCAAAGACAACCTTAATCGACTTTTCTAGGCTACTAATTGGATGGGTCACTAACCGGTACTGTAGCTTGCAAAGAAGAGATACACAAGAGGTACGTGGCGCGGTGCCAGAATCGGCGTAATGTATCTCCCAAGCCCGCATCTGATTGTTTAACGACTGCCTTGCACAATCTCAGTTCAATTCTCAGCGAGGCAAAAAGATCATCTTCTCCCAAGTCCTAATGTAATATCTGTCTTGTTGTTTTCCAAGCCCGTTAATTTGAGTACAAGATTCATCCCACGTGAGAAGCTGATGAGACAAGTTTTGGCAACAAAAAAAGGACACTGCAAAATTTGTTTCGTAGCGCTAAAAGACCCTTCAAGATGAACTTTCATTAGAGAAAGAACAAATCTGATAATGAAAGGCGGGAATTCGAAAATGCAGGGTAAAGCAGCTGTTCGTAGATGCTCGTTAACTCGCCCGCGTTCGACTTGTTAAAACTACATAAAATTCGATTCCGCCTCCTGAGGAATCCGGCGTGTTCTCTTCTGAGAAGTTTTTGCTCAGAAACGCAATTAATATTTCAAGGTCGGAATCGGTGAGGACGAGAATGAGATGAGAACTCTGGGTCGAAGAGCTGGTTGCTATTTTGACGTGGCGAGATTGTTGCGTCAAACTTTTCGCTGCTTTGAAGAAAGGCCAGCGCAGAATTAGACGGAGATGGAAGCACTTCAAATGCCCCCATTGCGGTTTCTTCTAAGTGCTTTAGGTTCGCCCATAATTCACTTCATAAATTACGGTAGTTGCTTCCAATACGTCTTGGTTTTGCACTCTCTGTTCGGTTTTCGTTCCTAGAAAATTTACTCAAAATGGCTCTTTATCTTGACTTTCTTTGTATGATATAGAATCGAACATAGTGCATCATATAGTATTATAATAATTTGATCGTTAAAATAGGCTGAAAGCATCATGTTGGGAAAGAAGATGAGTAAATTTGCATTGAGCAGGGGCGTTGAACGTGAGTGTCGTTTGACAAAAACAACGGGCGACCTTAGAACTGCTCGATTTTGGAAGGTGCCTCTTTTCGACATCCGGTAAAGCGACATTATGAAAATCGAATCTTGATCTGGTCGTGGCATTTTGACGGATTCCTGGCGTTAGCTGACGCAACACATTTCGGGCAAAGCAGTCAACAGCTTTTCCATTTGGTTGAGGATTTCAAAGTTGAACGGCTTGTTACGACTGACCAAAAAATAATAAAAATTTCAATCTGTTTTGTCGACGTCAAAAATAGTATTTTGTAATGGAAAGAAGGAGCGAGGAACCGGATTTGCAAAAATAAGGGTGTAAAATTGGCTTTTGGTCGATTGGAACTCTCAGAAATAGCTTTTGAGTGGTTGTTAGTTAATCCTGTCTTTAGAAAATGGAAGTTTCTGGGACCAGTTGGAAACCGACTTCAGGAGCTCGCGGTTCGCTTAAAATGAACCACGAAAAACGATGATTACTCATTTTTCTCAGGCAAGCATTTAAAAGCGCGAACACGTCCATCAGCCACTTCAAAATTTTTCTTTCCGTTCAAAACTTTGGGCAAAAAAATAATTTATTCAACATTTCTTTAGGATGGCAGTTTAGGCATTGTTTGTCTCTGAGCTGTCGGATGAATTAGTTGTTTATGGGAAAGCAGCTTTTTTCATTTTTCGACCGCCATAGCCGCCACAGCTCAGCCGCTTTTCCAACACTGACCTTGTTCGTTTTTGATTTTATTTACAACGAATTCAGAAAAAAAAATAGTAAAAATAGAATTTCCTAGTATAAAACGTATGTTCTCCATTTCTAGTACGCGTTCACTTTTAAGAGCCTTCTCAATTGAACTTTTACACGCTTCGTTTAAATTTTTTATCAGCTCTTTCCTGGATCTATCATGAACTTCCATTTCAAGTAGACTTGTTTGAGGTGATCAAATCCAGCTAGAATAAGCGCTCCTCCGGTGCCTCGCATAATGTTGGCGGTTGAACCCACCATCAGCGCGCTTTTGCCTTCGTATTTGACTAAGGAGAGTAAAATCGCAAGGGCGCTGTGAGTACTCACGAATCTCCTTCAAACAATGGAGCGAACTTGGGTAGTGCCTTCCAGTGCCCGAAGTGAGCATCATTCGTCTCCTCAGAGTGTCGAAAGGATATGACATTTGCATGGCAAAAATGGTGACGCAATATGCAAGGCAGAATCGCCGCGCAAAGCTGCTATTTTCATCCAGCAACTGCGGCTTCAACGAGTCGTACATCCCGTAGTACAAGCCCCTGTAAATAAACAGGCCAAACGAGGAGACAAAAAAGCCGCGATAGAGGCCGCGTATGCCATCCGATTTGTAAACCGTGCTTAAGACATCTTTGAAGCCGTTTTCGTACACGCGCTTGTGAGTGAACGGATCTAAATAATATTTTTTGCTTTTGAGTTACATCGCCTTATCTCCGCGACGAGCGGCGGCTTGAATACTCGGTCTCCATTCGCCAAACATTTTAATGTCGCTTGCATGGTTGAAACTCGGTTACCTTTGACGTCAGCGGCGAGCGCGGTCCTTGCGAAGTCGAAGGAATAAAGGAAGCAGTCGGTGAGGACGCCGGCCAGTCCTCCTGAAGAAAGATTATCTTATCGGCGGTGGATGTTCGTTCGAACTTAGGAGAAGCCTTCGAACAAAAAACTCGCAGATTATCAGCTGTGTGCGCCTTATCGGTCAACCTACCAGCTGCGATGTTAAACAACATGAGTTGACTTGCACTCGTGTCACAGTTTATCGAGAAGAGACGAAGAATCCGGTCTTTGAACATCAAATTGATTTCTTAAACAAGTTCTGCTTCATTCCGAATTCTCTTCTTACAAATCTCGTGTCAGGATTAGTGCACCTTAGGTGACGTCTCCTTTTTTCCGAAATCGAGTTTGTTTGAAGAGGATTAAAAGCGACGCAAACTTGATAAGATAATTATTTTTACGGAATTCCGTTGCTCAAATATCACAAAAGCGGGTAACGTTCCTTGGGTATGGACGCAGCGCACGACTTGCGCGATGTTGCCTGAACGGGTTAACAGTTAACTTCTTTCTTGTATTCTTGAAACAACCTCTCCAGAGTGATTGAGCTCCTTCAACCGAGACGATCCGCCGGAAGCAGTCACGAAATCCGCGGTACGGCTCAATCAAACGTCCCTGAATTTTGATACATCAAATGAACTTTTATCGATTTCACTTGAGACATGGAAATCACGTTCTTCGAAAATAATAAAAAACGAGTTGAACATTAAATCCGATCATGGGCGATATTTTGGCTTTAATTCGATTCTGTCCTCTTTTTATTGGCGAGGCGACAAACCTGCTTTATCAACTCGTTTTGTAGCTGCAGGATCAATTTCACACGTTCCACGGGAGCCATGATCGTCCGTGTCGCGATGGACGACGTCGCAGCTAGAATTGTCGCTTCTTTCTCAAGAGGCATTTCAACAAATCAAAATCTCTCTAGTGCTTCCCTAATTAAAGCCTTTCCTGATTTAAAGACGCGTCAATAACTAGCTTGGACCTGTGTCTGTCAGAGCTGAAATAGTAAAATATAAGTATAAATCGCAGTAACAAGAAAAGAACGAGAATAATGCGAATGCACTTTATCACCTAAGAAAGAGGATTTTCAAGTTGTTTGAGAGTAGGAACGCGGGATTATCCTTATGAACCCAAATACAAAAGGTTCCGAGATCGAGCCGCCGAGGTGAACTTTTTTTCTGAAAAGCAACTGCTAGACAAAGCTGACAACAGCGGATCTCGCTCATTTGAATTTTCAGAATAAGCAGCTTGCATTCAAATTTTTCCAAAGGCATTTTTTATTAACTCAACTTACACCACAAAATGCTCGACGTTGCTGCAGTCGCCGTTTGACGTATCTTCTGGCAGCTCAATCTTCGTGGAATCAAGACTGCCCTCTCCAGTGTATTTTGCCATTTTCGGATGGTTCGGGCCCCAGAATCGCATTTCAGCAAAGTAATTATCTCAAAAAATGCGTCAAAAATCTTGAATCACGTCGAATCCCGAAGCGGAAGTGCTTCCTTTCCAACTTAATAAAGTTAGTCTTCGTCAAAAAAAATAGTTTTTTAACGAAGCCATAAAATCACGTTTCCTCGGGGAGACCCTTAATGCGCATTTATCTTTAATTCGGGGGGCTTTCGTTTAACAAGGCGAAATCTAAATTGTTTGAAATCGTACACGTCGGAAATATCTCCACGATATCAAAAATGCTTTCGAAAAGCACTTTCACCCGAAAATCCCCGCTGCCTTTTATGTTCGGCTCTTTCTAGCTTGTTAAAAGAATGATATTTCTCACAAATTGCGATTCGAAGAACCTCTTTCTCGATTTTCACCGCTTGAAAGCAGGATATTTCTATTGAGAGGCGTAGCAAACTCTGTTACTTAAAAAAGGCTAATAGAAATTATTCTCCAGGAAGTGCACGGCTAAACCTATTTTCAGCTTTTACCCAGCCGTACTACAAAGAGACTTTCGGGAACTTTTTAAAAGAATTTTTTTTTCTGCGTTTTTTTATACTCCTTTTCGGAAATTTAAAATCCAAGAGAGTATACCAGTAGTTGTATAAAAGGGATGGGAAAGTTGGCTCGCGTTTGCTTGTGTTTTCTTAAACTAATCGTGAAAGAGACAAAAGAGGGTTCCAATTTCGATGTTTAGAAGATTGTTGGATCATCTCTTTAGGGAGGATCGGGAACAATTAGAAGTAGAAAGATCACTCCTAATCCAGAAGGAGTCAGCCATGTATCGGGTTTAGAAGCGCCGTGCAATAGAGGGATACCTCTCAAGCCAGCTCTTTTTGCACGACACGGAATGAGTTCCTTTTATCGGAAATACGGTTATTCGGGGACTGTGTCTCGATACTCGCCGAAAAGCTTTTAGTGAAAGGCTTTTAAAATCCGTCACTTCTGTCGAGCCTTATCGAGTCCTCTATATTTTCTAAAGAAAATCTGCTGATCTAACAAGGACATTGAAATAAAGAGTCAGAATAATCAAATATGATAAAATAAGATGTATTTTCGTCTTAAAAGATATTCAGTTATACTTTGCTGCCTCGCCATCGTTCATTATTGAGTAGAGGTAATTGACAACGTCGTCGTCCAAATTATCAACTAAATTGGCTCGTTAATTATTTAAAAAAAAATAAAAGCTGACTTATCGGGAAGGATTCAAAGTTGGACTTTTTTGAAACATGCGAGCTTGCGTGGTGATGTCGGGAACGGACAGCATTCACAGTCGGAAAACGGGTTAAAATACAGTTTCAAAACGATATTATTGTAATTACAAGCCTGTAGATTTGGTTTTTTTATTGGTAGTTTTTTATTAAGTAAAGTCTCTTAGATTTCAACCCGTTGGCAAGAAAAGAGGAGCGAAAAAAGCGATTCTCATTTTGAATTTCTTCAATAATTCCTTCTTTTTCAATAAAGTCGTGCCTGTGCTTTAATATGAGTTTATGTAGCGCCGCATTGCGGTGATGAACACGATTGTAGTGGTGCAGCGGTTCCTACAGTCTTCCATGAGCAAATGTAGCGAAAAATAGAAATATATAAGAGTCATTAAGACAAATTTAGTTACAGTAGTTGCAGCGGCAAAATTTGACTGTCAGTGACGTTTTTACGCGTGTTTTATTAGAGGATGATGCAAGAACCTTTGAGCAGAAATTTGAATATTGCCGTATTTGTTTAACATAGGGCAATTTAAAAGAGCGTCTGGACAGTCGAAGTTGTTTTGCCAAAAATCGCAAGATCAAATAATTTGTTATACCAAAGTATCATTGGAAGGCTGCTCTCCCGGCTTTGATAACAAATTTCTGATAAGACGAAAAAATGATTTTAGATCCACGATTGGAGTCCACAATCTAAAGCGCCGCTATCCAAGTTAAAATATTTTTTAGAAAAACGCTCTTTTCTTGGAGGTCACGTTTTGATCGTCTCGAGTTTTGGAAGCTTTTCAAAAACTAGACATGGAAATGAACATAAAAACACCTTTTATCGGGTTGTTCGTCTTCCTGGGAGAGTTCATAAAGCACTCGAGAATCAAGATGGTGACGGTTTTTTCTAGAATTTTGGAACTAAGAGCGGAGCCCAACGTGACTTTTATTAAGTTTCTAGGAGTACCTTATCTACGGTAAAAATATTTCAAGGAGAGCTGGATTGAACTTAGAAGAATGTGGCAGAACTCGTTCTTAATAATTGACACAAATGATGATTTAGGGAGCGGCCAATGTCCAGATAGATTAAGCCAGAAGCAGGATCATCACTGGATCTCATGGGTAAATTACAGATGCTAATTCATCATAAGCACCAATGAGGACAGATCGTGTACAGTAAACTCCCGAGGCCTTTGTCGCCGAATATTACTGTAGAACTAGTTGTAAGACCAAAAAGCTGCTTGCGAATGGTAATTTCCTGGCTGGAGAGTTTTTTCACCCGGAACGAAAGTTAAGCCAGGTCGCGTGCAAATTATCGACCTCTCTATGTAATTTGCAAGAGCTGCATGACAGGAAATGTTTTTCATAAACATTTATATTTCATCAAGTCTCCGTTCAAGGTAGCCCATGTGACCTCTTTTATCATGGATAGTTTATTTTTATAAATTTTGGTGGCAAGGAATTTATCCGGGCGAAAGGCGTAGCTGGGTCTGAGGCATCATTACGCCAGGGTTATTGAGTTGGATTTCTGCCGCGTGTACCAATTTCGAAGCGCCTCTTTGTCCAAATCTAAAGATCTGGCCATCACAGAAAGCTGAGCCGCCGTTGGTTTCGAATTTTTCAAAAATTGCTTCTCCAAAATCGCTGCAACATCAGGCTCACTAACATCTCGCTTTTTGGTCTGCTTAGGGTTAGCCATGTAAGTTATATGATATAACTTAGCATATGAAGAAGGCATTTCTGCTGATCAGCTTATTTTCTAGCTAGCCGTTCCTTTTTGATCACTTCTTCGTTCGTCTTCTGAATTACCTGAGCCGGGTTCGTCTCGGCATCGTCCACCCACCTCTTCAAAAGCGGCACCAGCCGTTTCATGTTGCTGCTCGATAGCTGTCGAGACTCGAAGCGGCAAATTGTCGTCTGTGAGAATTGCTTGCCGTACATTGCCCCCAGGCTAGAGCCCAAGTCTGACTTTGACGGAGTTCCAAAACATGCGATTGAGAACATAAAAAGTTCGATAAGGATGAGAAGGCCTTGGCCTAAAAAAATATATCCAAAAGCCAAATCTCAAGATGCGCTTATCAGATAATCATGAAGAATTTGCCGCTGAGCCAGCAGCCGAATAGAGCGGTTAATCCTCGTTTAATGAGAAGTTAAAAGCTAAAATGAAGTGATCCTAAACATGACGAAACTCGGCCTGAGTGAAGCCAAGGCGTATTCGGACACGTTTCACCAGCATTATGAACCCCTCGGAGATATTTTCCTCTTTCTCCTCTTGAGAAATCGTATTGTGGATTTGCTTCAAAGGCTGTAGCAAGGCGGCGTTGGCAGCTTTCAACGCTGCAACTTTGTATTTGTAAGAGCGCTTTTCTTTTCGCTCTCGTCCCACAGCCACAGGTGCTTCTACTGACGAAGACAACAATTCCGAAGCAGCAGGAAAAGGATTGACTTCTGTTTACGGTTTACGACATTTTTTTCCAAAATTTAAAAATATCAAGAATCTCTCTATGACTGTGGAAATCGTTTCCTTGAGGTGAGATCGTTTTGAAGTAGTTTTCCATTTGAATCTGAAACTGAAGGTAACTAGTCCAGCTCGGATCAGTGGCGTCGAAAAAACTCCCAGAGTCAAGGTAGCCGTCCAGGTACATTTTCAGCTGATCCAAGTCGCTGTCTGCTTTTAGTGGTCAACAAATGCCGAAAAATGTTTTCAAAATCTTGGCCTGTGTCAAATTGAGGACCTCTGTCAAAGTTGAGAATGAGCTGCGAGTTCGCGTGCCGAGGCTTTTGTAGCAGGCGGACAACCTCGTGGTCGCTCAGAATCGGAAATCGCCATCCCGCCGCGCCTTTTCATCTCAATTTCAATTAATCAATTCTCACTTTGAAGATCAAAAGTAAAAAAAAATGTTTATTTAGTAGTTAATAATTCTTTTAAGCAAATGTATTTCTACAGTAGCTCATATTCTCTTGGGGCAGCTAACCTAGAAAGAATTCCATTCTGCGTTCTCTAAGTCGAGACTGTTGAGACTTCTTGTGAACGAGAAGAGAAAAAACTTATCGGAAGAGTTATCAAAGAATGATCCTGCGCCGAGAGAGGCGAACTGAGGTGCAAAAAATAGAGCAAGATTCACAAGTCAATCCCTCCTGCAGCGAATCTTTTCATGTGTCCGACATTTTACAAGATGCTTGGAAATTTCCCTACGTGTGAAAAACGCATCAGATATGATTCAACTAAATAAGAAGCGTGCGAGTAAGCTAGCAGTGGGTTTACAAGGAGCATAACGGAGACAACAATTACATTGCATGGAACTTTCATTGATCTCTTTGATCCGCCGCCGCGCGCCTTGATCTTCTTCCGGTCTTCTTTCGATTTCAAAGTCAGCGGTTTGATAATACCGACTTTTCGACAATTAATCTTAGCTTGCTATATCGAGGAAGAGCGAAAAGATGGTTTGCGAATAGTTTCGCGAACTTTGACAAAATCAGTGGTGCAGGTGCAAGTGCTGATGGTGCAATTATGGTGCGTTTCACGTTTGGTTCGATGAAATCCCCTAAAAAATCTTGATTTCCTGTTGCCATTACACTGTCTCATCTCCTGAATACTTTCATGTTTAGGCTGCTTGCTGATTAATACCAAGAACCACTTTCAAAACATCATCTCTTGAGACCTTCATTACAAAGCAGTCATCTTTTTACAGTCGCTACGAGGACGCTTTTAAATATCACTAGTTGAATTCTCGATTGCTTATAAAGTTTCTTCACTTGCACCTGTGCCCTTTTGCAACCTTGACAATAATAAATGGCCTTTCACTGAAAAACACTTTCTGGATTGACATGTTCGCTTCTCCCGGGAAGTCGAATAAATCGCTCATTTGACAGTCAATGTCTTATTAGTTTTTAAGCTCCTCTATTGAGATCAAACCCTGTCAAGTTTGCACTTTTACTTGGTAACGGAGAAGTTCGAGTTTATATAATCTAATTTGAATTTGCCGCACTCAACACGCTCTAAATGGTCGAAATCCTCTCACGTCTCGTGTAATGAGATTAAAGTAAATACTTCTTATTGTGTTGAACAAGTCAGCGAAAGTAGACTTGCCTCGTTTAGCAGTCTTGCAGTGCTCATTATGCAAGCAGAAACTGAAACTACTTCTAAATATTTCTTTGTTGCTTTTTACATTTTCAAAAAACAGTCAGATTTAAGGCGAGGTTGCCAATTTCGAAGGCGGCCCAGACATTTCCTGTCACTTAGTCATTTCTTACAAAGATCCCCTTATTTGCATATTTCAAATAAGCAGTAAAATGCATGCTCCAAAAGATTCATCTGAACTTGTTCAGAATTAAGGATATAGCCGTTCTCAAGGCACTTTCGTAGCGCCGAAATGGGGCGATAAATTTTTTTCATTTCAAGACACGTCCTACCTAAAATTATGTCTAGAATTCGATTCTGATGTTTTTTAAAATTTTTTTCAAAGAAAATTTCTCTTTGGAGCGATTTGAAATCTTACGATCACTTTTTCTCGAAATTTTTCAATTAAATCGCTATAACTAAACCGTGTCTTATTATAAATAACTGCTAATCTATCTTCCTAGGGCCTCAAAATTTCAAAACCCGATCAAATTTTCATTCTAGCGTCTTCTTCTTTTTGGCTTTTCTTTTTCATAAATGCTGCGTTCAGGTCGCTTGGCCAATCAGCGCGCTCTTTCACATGCGCGCCTCACCGCGCGATGGAGGAGGGCGCCCAGCTCAGCAAACCAGAGCGCTGTCTGACGCTTCGGCTTACTCAAGTAAGCCTCATAAAAATGGCTCTAGAATCATAAATAATTGGAATCTGTTAAACCTTAGACCCTAGAAATGTAGAGAAAGGTCGAAATTTTTAATTTATCAAAAAAACTCGACCGATTTAATGGAAAATTCTCGAGAAAAAGTGATCGTAAGATTTAAAATTGCTCTAGAGAGGAATTTTTCTATTAGAAAATTAAAAAGAACACTAGAATCGGGTTTCTTAGGCAATTTTAGGTAGGGTTCCTTATGAAATGAAAAAATTATCGTCTCCTTTTGGCGCTACGAAAGTGCCTTGAGAACGGCTATATCCTTAAAATAAGATATGGAGCGTCCCGAAGCCAAATCTGCGCTTCAAAATCTGCTAAAGTAGATCTCGCTGTTACATAAAATATGTTGTCGGCCTAATTCGGGGAAATGGGAGAATAAGCGCCGTATTTTCCTTATGCTCGAAGAAGTGGCCGCTCTTACTGAGTTAAAATTTGCGAATCGAAGTATCTTCGTGGAGCTATCTTTTTATCACTCTGTTTCTTTGTTTCTAGTCAATAAAGTTAACGAAATTGGCATTCCGGAGTCCAAAATGATATTTTGGGAAAAAGGTACCGGACAGCGAGCGGTGATAAGATAACTTGAACAAAGTCAAAAAAGACATCTGTCCTTTGAAAATGTCAGGGTTCTGCCACACAGATCAAAAACTATTGTTCACCTCGTCATAAAGCCATCCGGCTCAAGCTAAATGCACAAATCGCTACAACTCAGGAGCACTAGCCGCTCTTCTCATGCGATAGGACTTCTCAAAATAGACTTAAATTTTGTGCACTTTTTGTCAAAAATTTTTTGATTGCTTTTCAATTTACATTATGCAGAAAAATCAATGGGCGAGAGAAAAAGCCATGTTATGATTAGTCCATGACATGGATTCATTACAATTTCGTAAATACTTCTCAGACGCGTGGTCTATGTTTCTCATGATCGAATCGAGTTTAGAAATAATCTCGTCTGTATCAAAGTGTAATTGATTAAATAATCTTTTATAAATGCAAAAACAAACTTTCTAACATTGTTCGCCAAAGAGGGTTAGTTGCAGTGTTACTGTGGCGATATTAGACGTGGTACCGCTGATAAAAGATGATGATATGTTCCACATGGCCGTCTAATGGCCGCGATGGCAAAATCCGGCGAACTGATTTTTACCAAAATCACTTATCTTCTCCGTACAAGCAATCAGGCTATTTTTATAGCGCCCGTACTAGTTCGGCCAAAAAGAAGAAAGAAATTGAAGCTGTTTCTATCCTCTATCGAAACAGCTTCATGGGAAGAATGATTTTGTGCTCATGCGCGATTTATTGCAGCTAAGCCTAAATATATGCGTAAATAGAAATACTTTTTTCACTTGGGTAAATTGAGAAAGGTTGGCTCGGTAATTAAAATCGAGCTTGAACTGGATGAGTTGTGAACGATTTGTGTTTTATGAATCAGAGTGCTTTCTGTCGACAGAGAGAAAGCAAATAAATAGTAAAGACAATAATTATATTAATTATAGATTGACAATTAGTTTTAAAATAGGCATCGAAAGGCAAATCAAGTTTTTTCGCTCAGTTTTTATGAAAAGTTACTTTGAATGATTTGATGAAAGAAGAAAAGAATTGCAGTCTTCAGATTTGTTCAACTGGTGACAGTTGAAAGATCTGATCGTGAGGTTGAAAGTCAGAATCGTGTTTTTTGTTTCTGGAGTCAAATTGCGACTGGTTATTTACATGCTGGTAATATGTGCTCAGGAAGCCATATAAATAAATGAGATTTCTCCTGTCGTTAGAAATTCGATTTCAGAAGCTAGAAAGTTACAGAATACTCAGCAGGCGAATGTTTAGCGATTCAAAGAAAACATGCACACGCTGAATATGGGAGATCACATTTAGGGAGAAATCCAGCAGTGGAAAGAGACACCATCGATTTTAGCCCAAATTCTTTGGTTAAGAAAGCTGACTTTTGAATTGTTAGAGCCGTTGAAAGTTTCTGAGAAGAATTCCAATTTTGCCATTTTTAGTTTTTGCAATTGAGAAAGGATAGAAGTTTGCTAAACAGGAGGTTCTGTGGGCAACAATTACAAAAACTCTTATAAATAATATAAATTTGCTCATTTTTTTTAATAAAAAGGCTTTCATAAGTCTGCAGGCTTTTCTAAAGTTCGGATCTGCTTGATTAAATAGCGTTTTTCTTCTTGGAAACCCTCGTCTTCTTGGCGGTCAGGCTTAAAAAGTTCTAGCTGGAATTGGTCGCAAAGATGGTACCTGAAATTTTTCGAGGAATTCGATGAGCTTCTCCTGGTTGGTGTATAAAACTTTGGCGACTCCAGGAGATTTGGTTGGGCTCGCAACTACAAAGGGATTAAGAAAGGCAGCTGCCAGCCTTGCTCATCCGGGTCAAGCGATAAATATTTCTTTTAAATTCTAGATTTTCTCAGCGAGTCCGAATCAAAATTAGGCGAGACAGGCCGTTTCTAAGCAAACCAGTCCAGCTTGATCCCATAATAGAAGCTTGCAAGTGGCATAGCCGCAAATACTCAAATATACACGACGCTTAAGATCTTATAATCCCGTAACAAAACACTTAAAAACGTGGAAGGCTTCGAATTTGATGGCGTTTGAGTCAGGATGTGCGAGCAGTTTCATCATCTCCTAAAGAGAGAGTTACTTCCCGAAGAAGAGAAAAAAGGACCTTGAGATTGGCATCATCCGCAACGTATCTCTGTAGGACGGAGAAGTTCTCCCGATTGAGCAGCAGCTCCGAAAGTAGTTTCAATGACTGGCGGATAGTTACGTAGTTGTCCGTCCTCAGCAGTCGCGAGTAGTGCTCGAAGAACTCGCTGTAGTTGTCGTTGAGGAACTGGGCCACGATTTGATTGTGTGGATTCTGTTGGGGGTCTTTCTCATTCTTGTGAATGAGTGCGTCCTGAACACAGACTGAGCACTACTTCCTTCAAGAAAAATTACTTCCCAAAAGCTGCATCTGATCGATTCGGCGGACTAGAGTCTGCTCCTTTGAGTTATCGCTTTTAGAACATGTGTATCTTAATTTCGCTGCCCTTTGATCGAACCTCGTTATAGAATGAGCGAGTAGCCGATAACGCGAATGTCCTTTGCGTTTATATTGTGATAGTCTGGCGGTGCATTTAGAAAAGACACCTCAGTAACTAACAGTAAATGCTTTCTAAAATGCGCTTTCTCTTCATAAGACCTTTCCTTGACACTGACCTGAATTGCAAGATTAAGTAACAGAACACAAACCGGTGCAAAAGATTAAACATGTCCTGCTGCTAAGAAATTTTAAAGCTGCCTAGTTTGTGGTTAAAAGCTCGATAAATGTTAAAGGCGCGCTTGACGTGGTTGCGAGTTTCCCAAAAGTTCAAAATTTGCTACACCTACCCTAAAAGTCCTAAAGGCATCGGAGGCAATATCGAAGGCATCGTGGTTGACATATTCGAAGATAGAGTAGAATCTGCGATGTTCATCGTACAGCAGAATTTTGACGAGCTGTTCATTCACCGTCAAGCATTCGCGGAGCATGTCTCCACATAAAGCCACGATCAGTCCTAAACATTTTTAATCCTTCTGGAACGCCTCAGAATGTCCTCGAGAATGGAACGCTCGGACAGAACTGCTGGAGCATTCCACAAACAATGCGTTAGTTTACGAAAACCCAACGCGCGAAATGACAATAAGCATTGTGGAAACAAATCATGTCATTGATTCGGCTCACAACATGTTTGATGTATTTAAATTAGCGTTGAATCATTCACTCAGAATTAGAGTGGGGTTCACCGATTTGCGAATCGTAATAACAAATACAAAGCATGGTCCATAATTTCTAAAAGCTAACATGTGTTCTAAACAAAATTAACTTGCAGTAGCCCTTCGCGCCGCCTGAATATACATATCTTGCATAATGACCGGTAGAAGGAATCGGTACTACTAACTTGGTAGTTTAAAAAATAGAAGGCTTGGACGGAATTAGAAATATGACGAGGATGCTTTTGAATTTGTGCAATTTCGCATTTGGGATATGTTTATAGAAAATTCAATTTAGGGGCGATAAATTGCACGCATTCCAAAGTACGTAGAGTGAGATTTGTATCATTTCGCGAAGGGCCTAAATATTTACAAATGTGAACTAATGGAAATGCGAGGGTGCCACTTTTAAATTCATTTTGCTCGATTCTTAGCTATCTGCTCGAGTCCAAACACAACTCTTTCTCATGACCTTAGACTGCCCAAGAGGAAATGCAATGGACACATTCACAAGATGCAAACACAAAGGTCGCGTGTTCATCTATGTAATGTGCCGTTTATATTCCTCTTCTAAATAGCAAACGCCAAGTGTAAGAAAGCAGAGACTCCCTACCGTACAGTTTAGTGCTACTTTTCAAAAATCCCCTCCACGGAACTATTAATAGGCTGAATTTCAAAAACTCGCCTTCGGATTTGTTTTAAAATGTCACTTCGGGACTTATGCGCAATTTGGGAGAAACATCTCGAAAAGTAAAACGGAAAATTTTAACTAATTTGGTTCAACTTGCGCAAGTCATTCACTTGTCAGCTTAGAAGAACGTCTTTCAAAATAGTGGTCCAATATTCCCACACTTGCGCATATCAACTGGTGGCAAGGGAAACTACAGAAAACATTAAAGCGAAAAAGCGCAACGGGAAATCTAAGCTTCGTTTATGTTAAAATAGCGTCAACAGGTTCAGCTGAAGTGGATGCGATAACCCTTCACGGTGCCAGGTGGTGACCGACGACAGGGAACCAGTCCAACTTAATACTTATCGAATACGATTAGAAAAAGGCTCTATGTTCTTTATTTTCCTTTTCGAAAATTACACTTCTGTCAAAAATATTTCGATAACACAAAAATTCGGGAGGAATTACAATTCCGACAAGATGCAGTTGATTACTAAAGAGCTTACCGCTATTTGACTGATGTTTGTAGCCGTCGAGTAGTAAAAACAGGATTTCGGGATTTTCCGCAATGTGGTTGACCATGGGATATCGCGTACCAATTTGTCTGATAAGTAAGTTTTTGAATATCCTGTGGTAGAGTTCAGCTAAAAATAATGCACCAGAGACTTAACGTTTCTTGCTCAAGAAATTCGGAACTGTGAGCGTTTTTATCCGAGTAGCGAACACTGTCCTTGAAGCGACTTTTCGACTCTCGAATTCCAATTCATCTAGATTCTTGATAAGAGCTTATGGTTGTGGTGAGTACAGATGGTTGCTATTGTGTAAGAACGTATCGAGGATTATCTAACTGAGAACAGTGGGGATACGATAACGCTTGTTTTGGGCCTCAACATCCTGAACAAGTACTAACATCCGGGCTTGAATCAGCGCCAGCCCTTCTAAACCCATTCTCCCTCACTTGGAAGCTTTAATTTTCAAAGCAAGCCGCGGTGATCGTTTCATCATTCAAATTTCGCGCGGAGGTTTAATTTATACTGGCGACTTTTTAAAACAAAAGTCCCTCAAAACAAGCTCCTCTTATCTGTTCCTTGGAGAGACAGCGGAAAAGGCTTGGGTTGTTTGACACACTAGCTGAGCCTCCGGAAACAGCTAAATTTAACTGCAAGGTGGACTCATTCTTCGTCGTCTAAAGGCGAAGAAATTAAGACCTTCTCTTACCGAAATAACATATTTTCTTCCACATCTTGCAGAACAGACCGTCAACTCAAGTCTTCAAGAGATGTACTTAGAATCGCAAATTAAAGATAGCATTACTACCACAAGCATCTCATAAATATGCGGGCTCTTCTTTGAAACGCGTGCCTCGCAAATTTCTGCCACTAACACAAAAAATCGCTGAGCATTTTAGATTATTTCGTATAGATGTAATTTCCTCCTGAAATAGATCGTAAATGAATGAAACAAGCGATCTTCAGTATCAATCGCCCGCTAGGTTCTTGAGGGGACTTTTTTCATCTCAGCGAAATTGAAAATAAGCGGTATTATCGATGTGTTTCATGCTGGTGAGTGACATTTTCGCTTTTATCGAGCGTGAAAAAAATCGTGGAAAATAGCGGTTCAAAGACAGTTACCAGCAGTCGGCAGGCGACATTTTGACGAGCGACGTTGTCAAAGCCATATCAGTTCCAGGATAATCCTGCTTAGATGCTCTTTACCTCCTAAAGGATTACATGAATTTTTCCCATTAGTATTTCGTACTAAACGGATCATGAAATCGACGATTTCATTCCCAATTAATCTTGCTTCTCAGATCATTTTATAAATTAAAGAAAAACACTAAAGCAGCGTGAGCTTTTGGGTCATCTTGGATCGTTGTTTTCAAATAGCTAGAACGAGGGGCTATTAATTGAATTTGCCCGAGTGCGAAATCTGGGCACTATGTCATAGCTCTGTATGCAAATTTCGCCGCATAGGCACGCTGTTGTTAATTAAAGTTACTTGTAGCAATGTGAAGAAGAGCCGACGCCAGCGTACGTGATCGGCAAAGGTACTCGATCCTGGCTGCCCGATAATACCAGTAAACTGTGGTAAACTCAGCTTATGAAGTATGGACGCCGAGACGGACGCTTTCCGCAAGATAGAGCTCAAACCTATTACCTAGGCAAAATTAGTATTCCGGCTCTCCTCCACGACACCGGATCGCACCGTCCAAAGCGCGATATCTCCACGTTCATGCAATATCCAAAAGGTTAACCTGTATTGAAATGAAACAGGTCGGAAACGAATCGTTTATTGAGGCAAGCCGTTGCGAAACAATTGCTCGCTAGTCTTGGACTCTCGAAATTATTCATCGGTTGCACTCGACTTCATTTCCGTTCGAATCTCAACCATGCGAATACTGAAGACATGAAGTCAGTAATAACGCTTGGTCGGCGGTTTGCCAGACTTCCAGGAAGACCAATAAATCTACTGTTTTAGGCCTAAAAGAATGCGTAGAGGCTACCTAAGGCCATTGAAATTCGAATATGCTGCGGTGATTTTTAAATTCAAAATTTTGTCACTTCACATTCTCCCGGACCGCAAGTGGCCACCGCAGCAACCACAGAACATTAATCGATCATAAAAGATTTGGAATGCTCAACTTCTTCTAAAAACAGATGGACGCAGTTATTAATCTGTTTTCACGAGCGATGTTAAATTAACCTTTAAGTAAGCAGCAACTTCTTCCGAACATGTTGCTCAACCTTTTCAGGAATCTGTAGCCGCCAAAATCGTCTACAATGCGCTAATACTAAACAATCGTTGTTTGAACTACTCAATGCGCGCCATATTGGCTCTGGCTTAGGATCAACATCAGTTCTGAAGTGACAGATTCGCGCCAAATTATTAGGTTAATAATATTCGAAAAGTCGGCGCTTGTTATAAACTAGCGGCTTTCCGTGGAACGCAGCGAGCAAGAACGTCCTTAAAAATAGACACGCACTTTCACTACAACTTTTAATACAGTGTCACGAAAAGCGCTGACGTAGATGCAGAGTTCTAGAGATAGACGATCCAATAAGCCCGACTACGGGACGCATAATCCAGCTTATCACTTGGCACTTCCAAAGTGGACCACAGTTCGCACTCGCCTAGTTTGAGTCAAAACTTGATTAACAAAAAATACAGGCGCCGCGTCTTTTTTGGATATAAATTTGCACGTTGTCCAGCTCTGTGTATTTGCACGGCGAGGAGATGAGACCGGATATCGCGTCAAATTGGCGATGCACTCAATCCACAACCCTTTTTTCAAAAATCACAGTTCCGTTACTAAGAGCCGCCAGCTAGCTGATTCTCCCACGAGAGGGGTTTATAACATTCGAAAATGCACGATGTGCGTAGTTCGAGTATTCACCAATTTCCTGTAAAGAGATTGTGAGCGTAGATTTCTTGTGAGAGTTTGATGAAGTCTTCGTTGTTCTGGCGGGCCTGGGAGTCTCCTTCTGGTATTAATATCTCGAGAGCGCGGTCCAGATAGGTGCTGAACAGGAGACTCGGCAAAAGAAGCTGATTTTTAACGCTACCTGATGCTCTTCTTCTCGCTGTCCTTCTTGTCTTCGTTTCTCGAGTCATGCTGAAAGCGGGTTTTCCACGTGCCCTCGAGAAATATCAGGCTTGACTGAATTTCCGAAATTAATCAAAAAACCCAAAGCTTGAGCTCTTCAAGGGCAGCGAGGCTTTTCATCAACTTGCCCACGAGCTGGTTCGGCGGGATCTTTTTCGACTAACGCTGGATGAAACAACTGCACAAGGGTTTAACTTTCCAATCTAGCTTGTTTCATCCCTGCCTTCCCGCCAGGTTTAAATAAAGCCTTCATATTCTGCGGCGCGAACCCTGAACAAAACAAGTAACCATTACAATACTTGAATTGATTGCTAAATAGATTGAACATTTACTTAGCAGCGTTTATTTAGCCACGCATATTTGCCAGCTTATATGTATTTACTGCGCTCCGAAATTCCGTAATGGGCGTGACAGGAATTCGAACGAGTTGTCACTGAAAATTTCCATTTTTTAGGAAAAAAAAACTAAAAACAACTTTCAATTTTGGGAACGTTCAATACGAAAAAAGCTCGCTGTGGCAGTCCTTTGTTTTTGATTAGTTAGTTCCTCCGCACATCGCATCACATCATATTATTTTACAGAATTACATAAAATAGCCTTTCGTTATTATGCTTTTTGATAAAGGGTTCTTACCTTATTGAAGGGACAACGGCCGATTTCAATTGTACAACTCGCTTTTTCTAAAAAGAGATCATTGAAAATGCGAGATTTTTTAAATTCTTGAATCTCAGTTCAAAACGAATTCTCTCCTGATTCTAAGGTAGCTTTTCGCCACTTCCTTTCGATAAATTCATAAGACCTCTTATATCCTTGTCGATTTGGAAAATCGGGAAAGAGCAAGGAGCGGGAGGAGAATGCAGATTGCAATAACCTGAATAATTGTTCAAATTTGAACAGTGGCCAGTGAGCCACTCAATTGACTCATGCCAGGAAGTTCTTCAAGGATGACCATAAAATTGTCTAAAACTCTTCCGCTCAAAAAGGAAGGCTCATAGAAAAACACCTCGGATGTATTACCTCCAAATAGAACTCGTTAAGAAATATGCGATTTCACCTTCTGCGGTAAGCGACTAATTGATCATTTGATAATTTTTTGCAGAGCTGCAGACACAATGCGAAATGTAGTCTTTCAAGCTTTATTACGTAAGAAACTTAATAATGATTTCTAGGGATTCTCTAAGGTTCTCTAAAGTCGCTCAATGCAGTAAAAGTGCACCATTTGAAACGCAGAATTTTAAAGATGAAGTTGGACAAAACAGTAAACAGACTTTGTAAACAGAAATCGGAAATTACGAAACATAAGATATTATTGCACGGACTGAAAGAAAAATAAATAAAAAAGAGTTTATTGTATAATTACTCAAAGCTATTCTTTAGCGGAATAGATGTTCGGACCCCGGCCATATTTACATAAACATAATTAGAAAGAAGGTATTATGAAGATAGAGAACTTAAATATAACTTAAAAAGCAGCAAAGGATGAACAAAATTATTGCCTAAAGTTTTTTTTTGTATTATTTACTTTGATATGTTTTATAAGCATTTTAGTGCGACCCTTTTTATTCGAAATTGAAGTTTTTGAATGCAAATTATTTCCCATTTTAGCGAGAACAACTTGAATAGCCGGGCTCAACTAGAAAACGCACTGTTTAAATAATGAAGTACGAATACGAAAGACAAAAGGTGTTACGAGGATGATTGCGGACCTGGCGGCATGAATGGGGCTTGTCCTTGGCCGAATTGGCTCGGGTTGAAGAACATGGGTCCAGGACCAGCTGGTGCCCCTCCTTGACTAGCTGCTTGCTCCGTGGCTTGGTTCTGAAAGAGTGTAAGTAAACAAACTCCGTCATAGTAGAGACGAAAGGCACTTCCTTCCTCTTTTCTTCAAAAAGTCGGTATATTTTCAAAACACCCAGAATTTATTTTACGTCCTCTTTGAGAGTGTATCTTTTGCAACTGGCGATTGGAAAATGAGGAGTTTTTCGTTTATGTTCAAAACGGGAGAATCTTGGAACGTGGGGAACCCATAATTATGACGACGAGTTTAGCTGGAGAATCTTGTTACTTGTCATCGAGCCAGACTTGGCGCGGGATGAGAAAACCCTCGCCTGGACTATGTGTACATTACACGTCCACCTATCGTAGCGGCTTTAGAAATTTATGCATCTACAGTTTCCTCTAACTGATAAAATCTAGTTTGACGGCGACTTCACTTAATTTTGAGGAGGTACGCTGATCGCTATTTCTGTAGTGAGCGTCATTGTTGCGAAGCAATGAACATTGTTGGTAATATTTGACTTTGTGTGACAAGCTTATGCGAGTCCGACTAAGTGATAAGGCAGAAACTCCGGGAGGGGGGAATCGTTTGTCGTATTACCGTACTAATCGGCAAATTTCACGAAAGTCACCGACAGTTAGTTTCAGAGAAATGAAATCACTATCACTAGGTAAGGAGTCCAACTAGTAAGATCTTTTTTCAGAAGACGGGCTTCCGAGAATTTCATTTTCTTAAGAAATTATATTATGCTTTTGCGTGATGATAGGGAAATAAAGAAATGGTTTTGTAATATCAAGTTTAGCAGAACAGTAACCACCTGCGTTTTGGAGGGCTGCTCCTCTTATCAGAACTACTTGAACAAATTTCGAAGCAGCTGGGTAGCTTTCAGATAAGAGGGAGTTGTTTATCGATTGTTCTCCCTAACTGCTCCCGCACAACTGATAAAACTATTGACTCAGTGAAAACGACGAACTCTTTCGTAGAAGCGATGTAATACGCAAAACAATTCGAAGTCAATCAAATTCAATTAGCTATTGTCATAATAAAAGTTCGCGGCAAGAAGAGAAATGCCAGGTTTTCGTCAATAACTATGATAACCATTTACGCAAAAGTTAATTGTTGGTGTACTCTTCGGAAATAGACTGAAAGCTCGATTAGAAAATAAAATCCGGGCTTATTCAGTCCTCATTCGCCTGGAAAAAATGAGTACACGGAAAGGCAAGTGGCAATTTTCACATCGTGGAAGAAATAAAAATACGCCGAGTTTATCGCCAGCTTTTTGCGCGTTTTCGTTCGTGTCAACACAAGCAACTTGTTAATATTGCCTCTCATACCGCAAAAATTTTCAAACCAAAATATCCAAAATATTGCTCTCGACAGTCATAATGACTCTTCTAAAAGGCTACTTCGCCAGAAAGCTTTCTCACGTCTGTTCAACCATTTAAAAAAGAACCTTTGCTAAATTAACTTCTCAGAGTTGCGTTATTTGATAACCCTCTCCAGAATGATAAAAACATGACGAGCGATTAGTAGGCCGCAATTGTGTCAGACACTTGATTAGATTTACGCATTAGAAAAACTCTAAGGGGATGTTTGTCGATAATAAGCGCACAACAAAGCATCACCCACTGCTGGCGCTACATGTAACTAAGTTCTCATGGCAAAGTCGCATTTCATTAGATGGCCGTTATCAGGCCGGGTAAGCCGATTTTAGGACAAATGTACAACAACAAATATGCCACTCTTACAACTCTTTCGTTTTGTAATGCTTGTCCCCAGGTTAAGCATTTAAATTGCTCGCAAAATAAGGCTAAGATTTAGGCTCTTTTGATGAAACGAATTCTGGAGCGAGTGGAGCCAGCTGAGACCACAAGGGTGCAAAAAATCTTTTCTGGGGGAACTCTCACTTCAACGTTCCCGGAAAATGACTGGCGCCATCTTCGCCGTGTTCAACACGATAATGACGCTTTTCCTGGGCCATTCTACCTTCGGCTAGTTAGCAGCTGATAAAAATTCCAAATCTAGCATGCCGAGTTAATATCGCAAGAAGGGAGAACTCTTCAAACTCAGCGATATGCGAATATCTACAGACTACTGCCTTGGCGTTTTCTCCCCGAGTTTAGAAGACCGCCAGTTGCATGAATACATATCTGGAATGTAGAAAACGATTTAAAAAACTATGTACCTGTTGCGTTGGCGCGGCTTCACCTGCGGAGAATCCATTCTGACCTCCTGAATAGAGCAATTATGAAAGTTCCAAGAATTAGGACGCTTAGGTGACTAAAATTTTACGGGCGAGGTTTAGGAAAATTGAAGTATCCAGTAAGGGCGGTGATTTGAGTGATCCGTTTATTGAGCAGCCCGGACTGTCGCGACAGGAGGCGGATTACTCTGACTATGTTGGCTATTCTGTGTTGCATATTTCCAAGAGAAGGAGAAATTTATTCAGAAATGTGAGTCGCCACCCAATTGAGGATAAGCTGACCAAAAATGGTTACACTGAAATGCCCCTGAAACTCAAGAAACTCACGCTTTCTAAACCTCCTTGGCTAGCAGTACACTCCTTGCCCTAAGAAAAAGCTATCTGATTTCGGAAATTAACATTGAGGCCCAGAAACCAAAATAGATAACAACTTATCAAGAAACCTAACTGTGACCCTGCGATCTTGGCCAAATATAACCTAAGTACTGGACTAAAAATTGATGCTTACCGTTGGTCGATGGCTGCGGCATGAAAAAGCCAGGGTTAGGAGCTGACGAAGGCGCCGGAGCAGATCCGGGCATCATCTTGTTTGACACAGAGACTGTTTCTCCTAGAGCTTTCGCATCTTTGTACATATTTCTGCCTTTCTTGTTTCCTAAAAGAGAGTCAGTTTATTGGGCTTCTTAGGATGAAGTTGATAAATATTGAAAACTGTCTAACTGAAATAATCCCTGTCACACCGACGTAAACTAGTCTATCGTTGAATGAAAACTAGAATCAGAGCAGGTAAATTAAAAAGAACTCAGTATGTTTTCGGAAATTCAGATCATTTCCGCTTTCTCCCCTGTCAACCCATGCGAAGAATGTGCTCCGCGAAATTCGTACGTCTGCCGAATTTTCGAGATTTTTTCTTAATTATCTACAAAAAAAGAAATTTTGGGCGAGGCTCCACTCAGGATTTCTTCTGCTTTTCAATTTGAAGAGGAAGACAATCGAAAAAAGTGGAAGTTCGATTGTTATCGCTACTGAGTGCATAAGCATGGGACTGAGAATGGTTTGCGATTTGGTTATTTGTCGTTTTCAATTATGCCGAACAAATAGGCGACGATAATGGGGTGTTTTCAGTTTCAGAAATTCACTTCCTAAACGTGCAGCCGACTTCACTCAATTATACAATAACGAAAAAACGTTGACGATCGATCGAGTCTCACGCTTCCGCTGCGTTGGTGAAATTTCCAATAAGTCGAAAAAGTACGCATAGTTGATATAAAATAAAATGAACTTTGAGTTCTCGGTCGGGCAGCTTTTGACTGAACAAAATCAAAGGGAGAGTACGAAACTGTGTTTGAGTTGCGGTGAGAAAATTGGAGCTCAAGAGGAACCTGCGGGTGTTGAAAAGCAACATTCCAGTTTTGGCGATAAGGCGGAACAAGGAGCTCAATTAACCTGATTAAGCAAAGTGTTCAAATTCGTAAAATTACGATTCATGCGCCTTTTGTTACGTGGAAGTGAACACCAGGAGGCGTGATTTTGTGAAAGAAAGGTAGCAAACAAGGTGCCAGGCAAATCGGTTTGAATAAATGAGCCAGGCGCCCGCACTGACTCCAGCTCATGTCATCAACTGTCTGACAGCTGGCACCACCAAGAGGCTCAAACCCAGCCGTAGCGCCGAATTATACGAAAGGAACCAGCCATCGAGTACAATTCTCGCAGAAGTTTTTGAACACAGACAACTAATTAAAGCAAATATAAAAACAGGATTGTCATTTGTGTTCCTAATATGGGCGGTAACTCCGATCGCAAGCATACTAATCCCATAACCATTGAGTTTTACCAGATACAACCGCTGCATATGAGTGGCGACGATATAAGTTTGCCTCATGAATCTTGGTGGGCTCATTCGTTCCAACAGATGAAGCTTCAAGAAATATTGAGAAGTCAACACGCTGGATAATATATGAAAAGGTTTGAAAGCATGAACGAGTTTCTAATGATAGTTATCTGATAGAATACTAAAGTTTGAAAGGCTTTATTGTATAAAAACCTAGCCAACTAAAGTGGCAAAAACATGCGGTTTAATGAGATAAGCTCATTCAGTAGATGGTCATCGGCTTATCGACCTCTTCCGAATGAGATTGGGTGTAATCTTTGTGAGCGAGGTGATTCGGACAGCTCAGCTTCCAGCATTTGTTCCAAAAAAGGGCTGAAGACAGTCCTCTTATCAGTGCTAGAGCCGAGTCCAACATTCGACTCTTTCCTAGAGACTTCTAACCCATCCGCTTTTCGAAAAACACTTCCGCATTCGCCCAGTATATACCATTCACAAAGATGCAATCAACAATTCAATTGCACTTACATCTTACAAATTAGCAATAACAAAGACTCACATACTCTTTGTATATTGAAAAACCGGATAGAGGACATTCCTAGCATATTTAAAATGAGTCAGCAAAAAATTGCCAGCTCTTTCTGTTTATCTTAATTATGCTAGAAACTATTCGCTGCGGTTTTTCTCAAAAATATAATAACTTGATAAAGTTAGTATCACTTGTCACGGCTACTGCCCGCGAGGTGTCCGTTTAGGCTTGAAGATGCTGTATTGTTGACTAAAGAAGCTCGCCATGGTAATAAATAGCTTGATGAGATTGGGTACATTTAGGCAAACCACAGGGTTCCGGCTCAACTGGCACGCGTTTAACTTGGCTTTCTCTGAAGGCAGCAGTGCGTCTAACTTATCTAAAGGGAAAATAATCCCCCTAGCTGATTACTTTCTAATTATCTTAACTAAATGAATACACTTTTGCTTTAACAAGACGTCAATTCAAAAATGAATACGACAAGAAAGAACGACTTTTTGTGAACACTAAACAATTTTTGCATGCATTTTGCCAAGTATCTTCTTGTTTTTGTCCGAAAAAAAACTTCGTGCATTTAACATATTCATTCCCGTGAAAAATTTCCTGTTGTGCGCCAATTAGTGCCACAAAGGGAACCAGTTTAAGCTTTTGCTGTAAGTTAAAATGCAGTTCTATTGTAAAGAAAAACTATGCATCATCATGCCTTCTTGAAACGGCCTCTTTGTTCGCCGTTAGAAGTTTGATAAGGTGACCCCGAACGTGTTTTGAAGTATTATGTCAACCGAAATTGTCAGTTGGTACAGAGTTCACGTGGCGAATTTCTCACGGGTAGCCGAGCCCATTTTCTATTAGAGCATTTTTTTGAGAAACCGACGAGCATACCACGTGGTTAACCGGGGCGTAGCCATGGTCACACAACACACAGCTTGCGCCGTTTTTCTTTTCACGTTTTTGGGGCACTAAGTTAATCAGCAACACGTAATCACCATCTTCTTATCTAGTCTGATGCATTCGAAGGACTCATTCAAACCCTTTAGCAAGAAACAATTGTATCTCATGAGTTTGAATGGCTGAAATAGAGGAAGGGGTCAATCGGTGTTCCCCGCTTTTGGATTGCTGCATTTGATTCGATCAGTTGCGCAAAAAGCCGAAGTACCTTCAATTCATGCGACAAGGTGACACTGCTTTGACACCTCGCTTTAACACGCGCGTTTAGAACGTTTTCGGGGAAAACACACAAAAAGTGCCAGGGTTAGAAAATGAAGTGTCCCGATTGAATTCGAATTTGGAACGTGGCGCGCCTGGGCAATTATTCAAGTCAAATTTCGATTCAAGCGGCGCATCCAAATTGTATTTGGATTGATATTCATAAAATATGATAAATAGTGCAAATCCAAAGACGCTCACCTCGGCGGAAGTTAGAAGTGGCAGCGGGAGGTGCGCCTCCTAAAATATTTTTTCAGATAAAAACGAATCTCTAAACAAATAGAAAAATAACACTTACCGTTTGGCATTGCACCACCCATGGGATTGATTGCTCCACCCATAGCACCTGGCATGCCACCCATGTTGCCCATGGTTGGCGGCGGTGGCGGAGGAGCGCTTTCTTCTTCCCCATCGCCAGATAGATCAACCCATTTCTTTTTGTCCTCGTCCCAGACGAGCTTTTATTAGGTTTAATTTACTGAGAATAAATAGATAAACTCACAGATTTATTAGTATCGTCCGGAAGGTAAGCCTCGCCGGTTAGCGAGTTCGGCAGAACTTTTCGGAAAACACTGCCGAGAAAGCTGCCAGATTGCTTCGACGTGCTTGTATTTGCTTTTGGAGCGGTTGCTTTTTGAGGCTGAACTTTCGGAGGTTGCTCATTTCTTTCTTGCTGTGGTGGAACTCCTTGTGGCTCCATCGGTGTTGGTTGTTGCTGAGAAGCCGCAGGTTGTTGTGGCATCGAAGGCATGTATCCACCGGACGGCGGCTGGAACGGCGGCATATGTGGCGTTTCGGGCATTTGGGGTGCTGCTGGCATGACTGGCGCTGCCGGTAGCGAAGGGGCCGCTGGGAGAACAGGTTGACTTGCAGTGAAATTGTTCTGCGGAATCGGATTAAATTGAGAAGCTGGTGGTTGAAAGTTGGCTTGTGTATTCGTCACTAAAGCTTCAGGTTGCTGTTGGTCGTTTTGCGCGCGAGGCGCAGGCTGGAACTGTTGTTCTTGCTGCTGGAAGGGAACTTGCTGAAATTGTTGAGTCTGTGAAGCTTGGGAAGGATAATAGGGTTGTTGCTCAGTACTGTCGTAACCAGTGTTTTGTTGGAACTGGTTAGATGTTGGATGCTCATTCGAAACAACAGGTGCTGGCTGGGAAATAGCAGATTCTTCTGGAAGGGCTCCTTGTGGGGGAGCAGTGACCGCTGGCATTTGGGGAAACTGAGGGCCAGCAGGACCTGCGCTCGAAGAATCGAATGGCATAAACATTGGGGGAGCCGCGTTTGATTCAGCTGAATTGACATCAGCAGCGGCAGCCGAGGGAGTAAAATTTTGTTGTGGCGGCTGGTGAGGTGGAAGGGGGGAAGTACTGGAGGAGGCGGGCTGGGAAGACGGGGCCATCGACGGGGGAATGGACATTGGCGGGGGCATCGACATTGGCGGTGGCATCGACGAATTCTGCTCACTCATTGGAGTAGGGACAGCCGGAGTGAAAGGAACGAAAGGGGCTGAAGACACTGGGAGAGTACTCGGCGCAACTGGTGGTATTTGTGTCACTGAAAAAAATGAAAGTCAAATCTTATCAAATGTTCAATAATGAAACAAATTTGGAGGGCGTACCTGGCTGGTAAGAGCTAGAGCCTCGTCTGGACACGGACGCCTCAGAACGCTCAGTATTTCTCCTTGGCCGCGATCTGGGCGGCAGTTCATTATTGAAGGTCTGGAAATGTTGGGGTGATGTCGGTTGAGTCGGAATAGGAGACTGTATAACAGGCTCATTTTGATCGTACTAAATATGCCCGTTATCGAATCGCAACGTGAGCCTGAGGAGATGACTCGAACAGCGAGCGCTCCAATTTGATCAAGCGAATTATCCCTAAATATTTCGTATGCGTCAGGGCAGATTTCCGGTGTAAAAACTGCGTCTGTCATACCAAATACAATTCCTTCCAAAAACGAAAAACGCGATAAAATGAAAGTTTGCGTTTCATGGCCGTAGCTTTCGTCAGAAATGAAAATTAACTCGTCATAATTGCGATAGGATGCCTCGCCGGCCATCACATAGAGATCACCGCTTTGTAAACTCAAGAACTACACACCTAAAATAATAACCAAGCGGTTAGGATTTCCTCCAAAACGGGTAATTTTGGTCTTTTTGGTTTGCGCATTGAACAACGTTTAGTATGCGAAAACGTGGACCAGGGAGTCTATTTCTTTTTAAGTGATGCATTGCGACTGCTTTTCGTTTTACTGTACCAACGAATTAAGAAATTTTATAAATCTCAAGAGCTGAGGGTAGATCGATGTTTTGGTGAAAATAGACTTTTTTCGAGACGCTGGAGATGTACGAGGGTGTTACAGTAAATTCAATCAGCAGCGCGAAATATTGAAACAGATGTGTTAACTCGATTTTGAACGATTTGCACGGGCAAAATAAGATATTAGCTTAAAGCGTGTATTTCATCCGTGTGTACTAACATCTAAATTTCGTCACATCGGCTCGCTCGCTGTTTTCATATCGCCGTCTGATCCCTCATAAATTAACTACGCATGTATCCAAGCCGAAAATAAGGAAAGAACCCGGTCGTTTCAAAAACACCAAAATGCGAAAAAAACATAAAGTTGATGTAGGCATGTTTATCTACCGTAAGCTCTATGCGAAAATAACACCCTTTGAAAACGTGGTTTTGTGGGTAGGGTCGCTGCGAGCTCAGACTCAGCAACGATTAATCTTGCGAATGAAAACAGCCCGGCCTTATCACCGCTGGAGCCGATTTTTTCTCACATTGCATGCTTTACGAAAAACTGCATCTTCACCAAAGTAAGAAGAAAGAAATTACCTCGTGTAGCGCCGGAATATACTGCTCGGAAAGTGTAGAGGATAGTCGTGAGGGTATACGCGCGGAGGCAGGGGCGGAATCTAAATATCCATTTTAGGATTTTTAACCTGTTTGGGAAATAATATGCCGAGCCAGTTCTGCAAGAACTAAAATCGTCGCCAAAGTTAGATTGTGTTACAAGCTGGCTTGAATACTTTAAAATCTTGGATGAGTTCAGGGGCTCACTAAACGACCGCAAAACAGTGCACGCTGGGGATGCTGCGAGGTAACAAGATTTCTCCTATTCTGAGGCAGCTTGGGGCGACATGTTTCTGAGGATTTCTGACCTGTGGGATCTGGCGAGAAGGAAACACGTCCGCTTTGATCAATCTTGGGCTCGTATTCGTTCGCTTCTTCGCGTGGCGAGCTGATCACCTGCGCCGAGTCGCTCGCTAAAGGTGCCACCAGATTCGCCTCATTCTCAGCAGTAGTGTTAATTCCGTTTAACCTTCCTTCACCGGCAGGATCGACCGCCGCCAAACTCAGCAAACGCTCGAGCCATTGAGGAGCAGAGGCTAAATATTTTGGTAAAAGCGAAACTTTTTCCAAGTGCATTTTCTATTGTGCCACCGCCCTTCCGATTTTCCGCAAAAATGACGACGCACTCATTTTTTTAAGTTAACTTAGAGAATCAGCCCGAAAACGACAGTAAAGAGGCGATTACATTTGTTCGAATGATTTAATAAAAAACGCGCTAATCCTTAATTCGTACATCGAGGTTGCAAACGGTACTGCGCAAAAGTGCGATTCTTACCTTCTTCAGCGAAATTGAGTCGTTGTTGATCGTGAAGCTGTAGCCTGAGTGCTAGACTTGTGAGGCGAGATAGCAGTGTTTTGTGATATTGGTGAGGTTCCTGGAGGACGACAGTGGCGATTTGTTCCAAATATGCAAATGCTTGTGTGATAAGACCGTAGTCGACGAGCCAGGTGGCATATAAATATTTCAAGCTCTGAAAACTGTGGAGCGTGCTTTTTGAAGTGTTGTTCGAAGATAGCGAAATCGCGTACTCGTAGACTTCGGTCATCTGGATAGCACTGAAATTGATCTATTAGGAGAGAGCATGTTTTGAAGTTTGTTTTAAAACGTGTGCTCGGAAATTGGGTAATGCTGCGCAGATAAGCCAATTTCCGTACCTGAGTGTGGCGAACGAGCTGAAGTCCTGGGTATGGTCGCCTCCCAAGAGAACAATTTTCGATGATTTGCGGTTGCAGTATCCAAAAGACTGGGCCATGCGGGTGAAAACTAATTTCTTAGGAGTAAATAAAATTTAGTTTCAAATTGGATCCGAGTGATAAAATCATCGCTCTCTGCCCAGATCGAATTAGTGACCACTTCCTTGGCTCCGTTAGCAAGTAAATAGCAGAATTGTGAGGCATACAGCAAACCACGATTCCATAATGTATCGCCTAGGCTTGTGATAGATCTTTGCGCGGCTCGTGCTGTTCTGAGAGTGGAGAGTTAAGTTAGATATCTCCATGAGAATACTTGTCGAGCCTCTCCTTTGATAAACATTTCTAGTGAGTGCTTGATTTTGCGTTGAATTCGAAAGGATCATTGCGAGGTGATGTCTCCAGGAGCCGAGGTCACTCTCTTCGATTTGCGAAAGCGAGTTCGGCTGGCGGCCAGACAGGAAAGTGTATGCCGTTTGGAGAGGATCCGAAACGTCCATTGAATTGAGAAAGCGAGTCATCACCTTTTGGTGCTGTGTTTGGTTACGTTTTGAATTGAAAATGTAGATTTTCTGTGGCCGCGGAAACGAGAAAAGACTGATGCAAGCAAAATACAAAGTCACTTCCGATTTGGATACCAAGTGGTCCCTTTTTGGAACATCGTCCACTACTAAGGGTCTCCCGCTGGCTTCTTGGAGTTCGAATTCAATACAAAAAATTACTTTGACGAGAATCGACCGAAAAAGAGCTTGAACGTGCATGTTATAGAAACATTAATGACAAGCACGGGTTAAATTACGTGGCAGAGGTAGTGATCATGATAATTAATTTCATAATGTTGGGTAAACTTTGGGAATGGAGACCGAGGTAGGTCTTCTAATGAACATTCGCCAGATCAACTCTGTGGTAACGAAATGCGTCGTTAAATATGACTTAGCCTATGAGCTGCAGTGGCACGAGTAACCGGGTTCCTGAGTTGGATCGAGTTTGTAAGCTAGCATTAACGCATGTCCCCAGATACCCGTTTTCATCGCCCATTCCAATGCGTCCCTCTGGCGTCCGTACTGAATCAGCTCGCGGAAACGGTTCACCTTTTCGGTTTCGGAGTACCCGCGTCCAGTGGTTAAATTACGTAAACTGACGCAAGGGACTTTTCACATAAAATAACTAACAATGTGGCAAAAGGGACTTCCGAGACCTCCGAACTTCTCGCTGAAGGATGCCTTTTCTAAAACAGTTTTCTCTCGCCGAAGAATATTTCATGAAATGTATTACTTTTAGTCCCGTTCCTTGTGTTCGAATTGGCTTCATTAATAAGTGAGCGGTCGTTTTTGACTTCTAGATTACTTTCATCAATATCTTCTGGTTGTTTTTCGTTTTTGAGCTCGCCGAGGAGTAACTCAGAGAAGTCGTGACCTTCGGCGTTATCGTTCGATCTCACCAGTAGGGCTAGTAAATCCCATAATAACGCGAAGGATTGCCGATCTTAGCGAGGTTCATACTCAACCTAATCACACGTTTCCGCTGACTGTCGTGTGCCTTAGAGAAATGGCGGGCTTTGTGTTCACTCGCTTGTAGAGTCTAACTGAGAGTGCAAACGGCGTCTGAACCACTTCCTGGGATATTTAAATTCGCACGCACATCAGCAGCTTGGTTACCGCAGTATCGCACGACATCAATTTTCGGCGTTGCAGCCCTTAAAATACAGTCGAAAAATCCGTTTTCTACTGGAACCCTGACAAACGTATCAAGAAAATGACGGGTGTGCTAGAAACCCAACTCATCGCGAGGAGGAGTAATGAAGAGGAGATGGGCATTCGTTAAAACGTGTTCTCCGCATTATTTGGACATTGCCCAGATCAACGGCGCTACATTACGTACTGATGGCTGAGCGACTCTATAATCGCGTATTTTTACGTTTTTCGCGCTCCAAATTTCCCGCGACGATCCGAGATACGAAGTTTCTCGAAACAACTAAGTGATAAATCGAAGAGCGCAAGAGCTGTTTGTATGGGAATACGTCTAGTCAGTAGCAAAATCATTTAGGAATTGTAACGCTTTTGTCTATTTCGTGGAGGGCATTCCACTCGTCATGGGTGTATTTTTCAACACTCATTTTCATATCTAATCTCATTCCACATGCGGTGCGTCGAGAATACCGATCGCGCCCTTCCGCTGAGAACTCGCGTCTAAACTCAATGGCATTTTTCGCTCTCCCGAAAAATTAAGTCATAGGCATCCCCTTAATTTCCAATAACGTTCAGCTGTTGCCTGCAGTTGTTCGTGTTACTCTTGAAAACATGTGACAAACAATCTGATGTTCAATCAGAACGTGTCTGAATAAAAGTTAGCACTCCAAGAGAAGAGAATCCGGCTGCAAGTGAGATTAACACGACATCTCGTGCTGCTCAAATCCGGTCGTTTTCTTTGAAGAGCACAGATCAACAAGCGCCGATAAAAAGCTTGCTCTTATCGGTTCTATGATGATCGCGACAAAGACCACTTTGTCCGTGAAAATAAAGTCACGCTTTGGGTACTCACTCTCTTCCGCCATGTCAGCGCAGATAATCCACCGCCACCCTCCTATTTGGCGTATATTTTTGAATTTAGACAATCTTCCATGAAAGGATTAAGATATCTTTACGGGAAAATCCTATTTGTTTCCAACAAATCCTTTACTTGGACTGTCGCTGAACAGTTTCTCTTGCGAAATTCTCCCACTCGAGCCTTTACCAAGTACTCTACTCTGGAAGAAAGGGGCATTCAGTAAAGGCGATTCACAGTAATCTTGGTTTTAAAAAACGTAATCAAAATAGGCTGGTCTAGTTATATTCTCAACAAGAGCACTCTAAATTATTTGAAGTAAATCTACCTTTTCCAAAAGTTGATGAATTCAATTTTGGGATCGGCAAAACACACATTCGAAAAATATTGGAGTGCGGTTGGGCACAACTTTTGGTGGGCGATAAACGGACAACTTTCCCCGACAGTAGACAACAAATTGCTTGCGAAACTGTGGATCAGGACGTGTGATGTTTATTACGAGTAAAGTTTTGCAGCTACTGATCGCAGAAGCGTAAAATATACATCCGCGACGCGAGCTTGCGCAACATCTAACTTTTCCCCGATTGACACCGTAATTTTCGAATCTAGACGACTATCAAGTCGGTACCGGTCGTTTGCAAGTGAACTTTGAGAAATTAAAAGGTAATTGAAGAATGCGTTTTTGACAAAAGTGTCCTGCAATGTACATCAGCGAAGCTCTGGGAACTCTTGGGCGAGTCGTCGGAATGCTGTATACACAACATGCCGATCAAAGCTGATTTTCGGTCTGATAAAAGAGTGCCCGAAAACCTTCCGTTGTGATGGAATTTCGAAATTTGTAAAAAATAGTTAGTTCCAGATAGTTCCACCGGAACTTTGAAAGTCAACGTGATAAATGTTTAAATCGGCGAGTGACTCGGAGCAGGACGTATTCATTCATCAAAGAATCAACATTGAAGAAGTTTATCATATATACGATCTTGGAAGTAAAGTTCACGTTTTCGTTCTGCACTTATTTCTCGAAACTTAGGTTTCTGCTCAAGCGTAAAAACGTGAACTTGAGCGAGATCTAGCGTGTCTATCCAGCGGGAAAGGCCAACGACCGAGGATCCCATCTGGCCGGATTTATGGAAGAGGTAGAGTGCAGTGCGTAAAAAGTGTTCAGGTGAACAGGGCGGCTGGTCGTTTGTGGCTCGTAAGCTCCTTTTAATGTTTAGGAGAGGGAGGCATTAGTCCACTTGTTCCAGCAGTTTCAGAAGGAGTAGCTCCCGGTCACTGGTGAAGGTGGCCATCAAACGTGAGCTTCCGTCGGAAAATATCACAAATCCGCTCTCGCCTTTGAATAGTAGTAAAGCGGATTTAGAATGCGCCAGAGCAAAATCTACGCCGAAAATGGGAAATCAAATTACTACAGCACTTCGTATTTCAAAAATTATAGACGCTGCGCTCTGTGCAAGAAATGCTTTATATTCAAGTGAGAAGGGGAGAACGTGTTGCAATCTACGCGCAAATGCAAACCGTAGTGATTTTCTTTATTTAGTAATTTGCTAAACCAAGTACTTTGTCTCCGCGAAAACGACCTTTTTGTTCAGAGCAAAGTAAAACAGAATTTTCCAGTTAGACACCCTTTTCGCATTTGCACACTTTTAAACAAGATTTGTTTAATAAGAAGAATTCATCAAAAAGTACTCGTCAGAGTTGAGTCACGTGTTTAATGGAAAATAGGCAGAAAATAGTTTGTCTAAGTGAACCAGTTGTTTGATCCTCTATTTATCCGAACGGGGGATTAGTGCGACGAGGCACTTCCGCCCTTCGCCAAACACAAAACTCTGTGACCCACTGTTTGACGCAAGGTCATATCCACTGTACAGCGCTCTCTTTCAGTTTCCAGTGGTTAAAGGATGAATATTCTCTCAGTCACCTTGAGGATTTCTAAACGCGAGAATGAGACTTCAACTTTTTCGTGAATTTTTGAAAAAAGTGACCTGAATATTGAATAAGGCGCATCAAAGTTAACGGCATTTTGATTTCTGGAAAAAGACGGCACAAGGAATTTGGGTTGAATTAAGCCGTTCAAGAGTTCATTGAATCAGATTTAAAAGGAACTGAGCAGATGAAGGCGGCTTGTTACTCCAAAATGATGGAATTTGCGGCTCACTCAGTCCACTCTTCCTGGACACGGAAGCCGCATCGACTCAGTCTTAGCTCCTCAAACTCACTCCAAGCTGAACGAAGCGATTAGCCCCTCTTGATAATCTCGACGATTCTTGCCACAAAAGTCGCCTGTCCGAAAAATCTCACTTTCCGATCCAATTTGAAGAAAATGCGCAAATCTTATTATAGTTCTCAAGAGCACTTCTTCTTGAGTACACAAATATTGCAAGACAACAAAAGTAAGCTCTCCGCTCCTAACTGTGGTTAGCCAAAGCATCCTTATTAACATTATGCCCAGAATCAAACGATGCACTAAAGGTACCATTTCTTACCGAGTTAAAGGTCCAGGGAAAGCGTGTAGTCCAGGCGCGTACACAGGCTCGTTCGCCGTCAGCGCCTAAATAGGCTTCATGCAATCACAATTGAGAAAGTGAAATTTACCTCTAGTGAGTGAAGCTCGAATGTTGCGGCCTCGCCTTCGTCTACTCGTGCGGCGTTCACTTTGACCAGCTGCCCGGTTGGTGAAAACCGCACAATACAATGAGGCTGGGTGAACTTGGGCGGAGTTTTCCGTCCTTCGTCCCGAGAGCTTTCGACGTAGTAGTTATCTTGCCACTCGGCGTCACTAAAACTACATCTTTAGTATCTGCCTGCCACAGGAAATACAATGAACTTGTTTTAGTATTCCTCTGAACATCAATTTCCATTTTTTCTACAAGACTCTCTGTGCTAAGGAAGGCATTCGCTTCAAAGGATAGCGTTACGACTTTAGGAATTGCTGAGGAGTTGAAATTTCGCAAAACGTGATCGTTATATTCTGGAACTGAAGATATACAGATGCATAATCCTTGCTATTGATAGAACTTCCGCAAGTCGCTTATCTGTCACCTTATCGTTAGAACGGTCGCGGTTGTATACCCCGGAGTAAATTTAGTTCATTTCCATGATAATGTTTATTCTTATCGGCTAAGAAGGGATATCTCTAACAAAGTCACAACTTCTCAAAACAGGTTCCAATTTGCATTAAATAATTGCATTCAATTTGTCTTGCACAATAGGTGATTCGCGTCTAAATGTTTGAAAACAGACTTTCTTATTTTTGTGACAAATATTGCAAACTACGAAAACGTCGTATAAGGTGAGCATGTATACAAAATCGTGTGAAAACCGAGTAAGATAATCCCCTAAACCAGCGTAAACATTAACTTTGGATCTACGTGTTCAGCAGAACGTGACTGTGGAACATGTAATCTTGCTCTTGGAAGATTGAATCAAAGCAGAAAGAAAATATTGCCGACAGCTACTTACTCGTAGTTGATTGTCATAGATTTGTACAGCTCCTCGTAGACGTTCTTTTTCTTTCTTCTCGACGCACCTGATCGCCCGGATCTTTGCGAATGGAAAGAAGTAACAGAAACGTTATCATCACCGGGGTCGAATTCGGAAGACGGACGATACCTGTCCCACGCTGGGAGCCTAAATAATGCATTCAACAATCGTTGTTTTTCTACTAGTCAAATCGAAGAAAGCGACGCCGATGTAGGGCATAACTGAAATCTTCTCACAATTTATAACAAAATATGAACAATAAATGATGAATTAAATTGCAGATACATAACTGTACTGGTTCTATTTTGATTTCCTGACTTATCGGTATGAAACCCTGAACAGAAATCTGTCTGGACATAATTAACCTGTCCGACAATCTAAACATGCGACAGATTCTGCATTCAGGCAGGAACTTGCATCCAGCACAAGTATTACTCAAAAATTGCAGCTTGCGAGTGAATTTTTCATTTTGAAGACAGGTTCCCATGAAAAGCTGAGATACTCTTAGGTACCTGGGGAAGAATTTCGAATACATAAATAAGAGGGTCCTAGGGTATTTCGATTTCCAGTTTTGATTTTCCGATTTACGTCTTGGTAAATTACAGCCGAAATCATGATGAGGATAATTATCTTTTGAATGAATTTTGCACCCATGACACCATAAATTCTCAGGTTTTTGAAATTAGTCGGAACTCTTTTAGTATGATAGTTTCACCTCTTATTATTAGATGTTGACGAGATTCGTTGTTTTTTATGAATTCTAAAATGTTTTGAAGAAGATTTGAATGTAGCGGAAAAGTTTTAATCCGACCGGGGAACTGTGCGGTTTGTTAGGAACACCGCGGTGCGTAGCGGTTGACGCGGTTGAATTGCAACGCCATAATCGACCACCACTAAGGCTCCATATTTTCCGAATGCGCGCCAATTTGATCGAAAAAGCGCGCTGTTTGATAACTTATTTTTATTCTCTAGCAGAGAACTTTTGACCATTCTCTTGTCCGAATCAGTGCCCATTTTTACGGATGCATCCTTAGATACTATTTGTATAGGCTTACCTTGAATATGGTGGTCGTCTGTATGGGTCGCCGTAAGGATCACCCCCATAAGGATGCGGTGGGTATCCATATGGTGGGTAGGCAGGATGCCCATAGGCCCCATAAGGACCAGGCGGAGGAGGATACCCATACGGCCCCGGTGGAGGAGGATGATGACCATAAGGTGCAGGAGGATAATGTGGCTGCGGCGGAGGCGCGAAGCCAGAGCCCTGCGCAGATATGGCGGAGCCAGGACGAGACGGACGATCTAGGGGTGGATTTTGAGGGTAACTGGGCGTCGCGCGGCCAGAAGCGGCCTCGTGATGCGAATACTGATGAGCGTGTGGTTGAGGTTGATAGTGGCCCGGATGGAAATACTGCGGACGGGGAGCGTAACCACCCTGAGACGAAGGCGGAGCCGGATGCTGGTGGTGCTGTTGATATTGATCCGCTGGATGATAAGGTGCCCCGGGCTGCTGATAGACTTGTTGCTGAGAAACCGAAACTTGAGGCGGTGCTTGAAAATGGGTACTCTTCCTTGATTTCAAAAATAATAATGTGAACATGAATTACGCATGAATACTAGAACTTCGAGTCTAGAATGCCAAGAACATTTCATAGACAAGTACAAAGATTTACTGTGGTGAAGATCAATGCCAAGTAAAAACCCGAAATATGGCGTGAAATCGAATTTCACCGACGAAAATTTTTTTTTCTGATTTTACAGTGCTGAATTCAATCGGCACGTTGGACGCGTTTTCACAGATATTTAAAATGATTACCCGTTCCTTGCTGGTACTGTTGATTTTCGTGCGCGACAGAATCCAAATATTGATTTGACTGTGAAAATCGATTATGAAGAGAACCTTCTGTATGAGCCTCTGGCTGGCTGTATTGAACATTTACTGGAGCATTTTGATTTTGAACTGGCATTCGGTTTAATGGAGTTGGGTCTGTTTCATGGGGCACGATAGGAGCACGCGCATTGGGATCTCTGTTTCCTGGGCGCTGCTCGTCGAGTGGAGGACGTGATGATCGCTCGGGATTCAATGGGCGAACAGGAGCTCGGACATCTTCCCTCAAAGCCGGCTGTTCCCCAACCGGAAAAGAACTGACTGGATTACTACTGACTTGGACAGGAATAGGTGGTGCACGCAGCCTAGCCCGACCTTGATCGTCTTGCATTTGATTTCTTGGCTGATGACCTTCATTGCTTGATGCCAAAACTGAGTAGTTGGAAGGCTCCGAAGATGCGTCTGTTTTTTGGAAGTTGAATGGCTGAACATCACCGGATCGCAGACTAGTTGCGGGGTTACTTTGAGGCTGCACTTGACCAGGTGGATTATTCGAGTTTGGCTGGAAATATCCTTCTGCATGCTCGCTTGCTCTAGGAGGAGCTTGCTGAGTCGCAGCCGAGGGAGCTGGAACCGAGGCTGAAGAATGAAGATCATTGTAAGAGTGTAGATCGCTTTGGGAAGGCTGCAGGCGGCCTTGAACTTCAACTTCTGCGTTGCCCGCCTGCTCGATTTCCTGAACGACGTTTTCTTCCAAAGTCAAAGCAGCCATGTTATGGGCAGCGTCGTCTTCCGGGCTTATAACAACAGGCGCTGGCACTAAATTCACAGTAATAGAAGCGATCATAAGACAATCTATTATCAAAAAGAAGAAACAGGTATGCAGGCGCATGCGGTTACTTTTATGGCACCATATTAGTATTTTTAATAAAAATTGTGCGATTGGAAAGGTGTTTAGATTTGAACTATTTAACATGAAACTTTGAGAAAATGTTACCGATGTACTGCTGTTGACGATATTGTTGAAACCGTGTATTTAATTGAAACGCGTGTGCTTTTGAGAGATTTTAGATAATTAAGAAATGACTCTAGCCTAAACTAAACAAGAAAAAACTACTTCCTTCTTGTTGAACTAATGTACCTGGAGGAGGCTCATTATTGATTCCAAGGTATTCTTGATTTTGTGCCGGAGGAAAAGGCTGCTGACTCTGTTGGTTCGCGGGAGGGACCGGAACAGGCACAGGAGGTGGGGCCGAATTGAAGTAACTCGCAGCTGAGGTCACCTCTTCGCTGTCCGACATTCTTCCATAAATATGGCCTAAAAGAAGCGAAGATCAGCGACTGGATTAAATTAAGTTAGTATCGTAGTGAATTCGCTGTTTGTTGCAACCGAGGGACACAGTGGTTGATGTTTGAAAACCTGCAACAGTAGACAACAGCTCGGAAGTTTTTTTTTTGTTTAAATAATGAAGAAACTTCTTGTACTTATTAAAGGAGAGATAGAGTTATAAATGGTGGGCGATAAAGTCGCCTCAACGGAAAAAATGAAACGGAAAAGATGGAAATAGAGAGGGTGATAGCTTTTTTGATCGGGATTAGTTTGAATAGGGATCTGAGCGAGATGAGTACGGCGGGATAGACTGGAAATGGAATTTTCGTTTTCATCAAAAAGACAAAGGAATTCTCTGATAGACAACATGCAATTGAGACGAGCTCTAATGACTGGGCATATATTCAATAAGTTGCGATAACCTTAAAATTGTTGAGAACGTACTTGAGTAATTAAGGTCTATTCATTAATCAAATGTTGGAAAAAGGTGAGCCCATCAATACTTACTAACTCGTCAGCAAGAGAAATCTTTTAAGCATAAAAGTGAAAATGAAGGCGAGGGATAGATAAGTAGGTCAATTTCATTTATTTACAAAGGAAGCGTAAGAAGATCTGAGCCGAGGCTAGAAAAGAATCTAGCGGTCGTTATCAATCGGCAGAAGCTTGAGAGATGAGGTCGGAAGAAAAGAAGCATTGGTGCTAAAAAGAGATGAAGATGTTTTTACAGAGGCTGGATGCAGAGTCATTGCGATGATGTATTTTATTCGAGACGAGTGTCTTCCACTTTTAGATAGAGGCGGAAGTATTGTGCAGCGGGATCGGGTTAGCATGAGGAGTTGGGGTTGAAATAGATAAACAAATAGAGACTCGGAGAGTCGAACAAGAATTAGCAAGAAACGGGATTAGAATGAACAGTGTGATCAGTGTCCACTTTGCAGTTCCTGACAGATTGGACTCTCTAGCAGGAAATTGAACTCGAGATTGATGATTTTTACAGTCGGTGCCTTTCGGTCGCTTGGAACTAGTATTTGATGTCCAACCATGATACGGGCACCCATTGAGGCGTCGTCTCCAGTTTCTTGATAATATTGCGCAGGTCCTAAAATGACGCGCGTTAGCGAATGCCCAGGGAAAGGGAGGTTACTTCATAGGTGTCATCAGTATTGTGGTTGATGATTATTTCGTCGAAAAGGTGACCGTAATCTTGCTCTATCACGCGTGCTTGGTCGATCATAGAGGCGATTGTCTCTTCGTCGAGCTGTTTCCCGTTTATTCTTTGATTAACAAGAATCTGCTCCCTGAAAAATTCAAGCGTTAGGCAGAACTCAAATCTCTTTCTGAACCTATTAGGAGGCTTGATGAAGATAACATAAGGCTTGAGCATTTTGTCTCGCATGATCTTAATAGACGGCGGGTTCATCACGCAAATGGCCGTTTTTCCTCTTTCGATAACTTGTTGTATCGAGTCGATCGACGTTCCATACAGATTTTTCTGGTACTCGCCGTCTTCAACGAAGTTTCCTTTCTAAATCCAAATGTCAGTTCTGGCTGGAAGTAAAGCAGAAGCGCATACCTTTTTGTACTGCTCAAAGGCATCCTTTGAGACGAACATGTAATCCTGTCCGTTAGTTTCACCGTCTTTCTTCGGCCTCGAAGTGTGCGCGATCGGTACGCAAAACTCCTCGTACTTGTCGTTCGTCAACTTGTCGCGCAGTTCGTATCGGCCAACATTTCTTGGGCCAATGAGAACGATCGGTCGTCGACGATCTGGAGGTTGTTGGTGTAATTTCACGTATTCGTAAGGCTGCAAGTTCAATTAAGCTCAAAATTAGATGCTACGGAGCACTTACATGAATTATTTCTTCCTGAACTTCATCTTTTTTGTTCTTCTTTTTGTTTTTCTTTGACTTTTTGGCTTTTTTGTTTTTCTTTTTGCCGCAGAGAACTGGTTCGTTCTCCTTTTCAAGCTCGCGCTCATACTCTTTATTCATTTCGCGACGGCGCGTTTCGAATTCGAAGGAAGGAACCAAACCAGCGAGATTGCTAGAAGAACATTACGACTCAATTTCGCCCGACAGGTTGAACTAACCTCATGTCATTCTCGCCCTCTTTGTAGGCTTGCCACCAGTTCTCATCGTCGCCTCTGAATAAAGTCATAGTGATCAAGGAAGAAGAAAGAAAGCTCACTTGTGGATCTTCAATATTTGGCCTTTGCTGAAGAAGAGGCCCAACTCTTTGCATGGAATGTATTCATCTGATTCTGGATTGTAGGAGAATAATGTTCGGACGTGAGTAATGTCGTTTTCAACATTCCGCTCGTTCGTCTTGCCTGATGCGATCACTACGAATGTCACATGGCCGGTGAGCTGCTCCATGATCTGGCACACTTCGTCGACCGATTTTCCCTTCACAGTTTGAAGATTGATGTTAATGATTTCGTCGCCTAAAAACACAAGCGTCAAACAAAATGCCATTTGGCGAGAGGACCTTCTTGAAGACGGCCATCGCGTTGAACTGCCCCGCCAGCAACAATTCTGGAGATGACAACACTTGCGTCTACATTTTTCACCGTTGCGCCTAAAACGCTCTTCGTCTTATCGATCGTCACCGCCTTGAGAAGATCAGACATGTCAGCTCCAACGAAGTTCTTGGCAAGCATGAGTGCTTCGTCTTCCATCTCCAGATCGTCAATGGTATCGTCGTCGATTCCGGATACTTCTCGCAGCTGCTCGCAGTTCAGGCATAGCGCTAGCTCTCCTGCATTGACGGATTGGCTCTTCAAGCGAAATTTTAAATTTTAGTGCATGCTAGAATTCCAACCTTATTCAATGCTTCGGATAGAAGAGCGGGATCGTCCAGAGAGCGCTCTTCGGGGAATTCTTCTCGCAGCGACTTCATCAGGTTTTGCGCCTAGAAACCGCGGTGAACACAAACAGCTTGGTGAGTGAAAATATTACCTGTTTCACTTCGTGCGAGTGTAAAAAACTTCGCACAACGTCAAGGTCTTGTATTAGATTCGGATTCATTTGCGACAAGTCATCCAGAAGATCGTCGAGGCTTTCCTCCGACTAACAATCGAATAAAAATATATGTGTTTTATAACAGCTGACCTCGAAGCCAGGGTTGTCTTCTCCGCGGAGGGGAGGCCTGTCCGCAAGTCTGTAGACATCATCTTGGCTTGCTAACTCTGCGTTTCGCTTTTCGTCATTTCGCCGCTTCCGCTGACTTGCGCGGGAGGATTCAATCCGACGAAACTCCTAGGTTTTTGATAATAGATTTCTTCCTGCCCAGAAAGTAGAGTAGAATAAAACTTACCTCGTAGGGATTGCCGTTGGGGACAGGTTGAGGCTGAGCCTCCATTTCCATCATTTCAAAACCGATTTACTATTGTCCATCAATATCACAATCTCTGAAAAGGTTTTCGTTTAGGTTTCTCGTCCAAAGAAATATGGCTTCAGGACAATATCGTTGGCTGTGCGCTTTCGTTTGGCCACAGTTAAAATAGTTGAAATCAATTTCTTATAAAAATAGAAAATGAAAAAAAAAAAGAAAATCTGGAACAATTGATGTATCTACTGGGCAAATAATCCAGTTCAAACATGCCGCACAAGGACTACGGCATTGCTGTGTGGCGTCACAGGCAAATACAAGCAATGTAAACGCTCTGGAATTTCGCCAGATCGAAAATCAGCGGGCTCGCACACAGTCGAACAGCACACTGCACATTCTTCAAGTACAGCAAGCTCGACAAACATAAAATAAAAGAAAATCAGACATTTTTATGATGCGGCCTCGGCGACAAAAAACACTTAAAAAAAGATCAGGCATAAAATTCATTAAACTACTCATTCTTTGAATCACTTACAAGAATTTTCAAGATCGGAAATTCTGATTAATCTTACGATGTTAATGCTTTCCTAGCAAACAAAAGTAGAACAAATGTAGGAAGAGATAGATTCTAGTAAGCAATACGGATCGTTAGAAAAATCAAAGGGAGTCTTCGTAAAGTTAAAAAAATCTCTGAAAAAGGGAGGTTTTTGATGCCAAGACAAACAAGCAACTGGAGTGGCATAAAAATACGAATGTTTGTCTGCCCGCTTACGATTGTGAATTAAATGAATGGGGACTGTGTGAAAGAAACGTCATGAGATGATGATTTTCACAGGGTGATTCAATTCGCAAGGCGACCCACCGGTCTGAATCAACGAGACAAAAATTACACAATCCCCTATGGCAATTTGCCATTATCCTCTCTCTCTCTCTCAGTCGATTATTGATTTCCGAAAACTCAACCCACAAAATTTCAACTCTCTCTTAAATCTCTCCAACGAAAAAGGTGGCCAACGCTTTAAGGCCGTGCTTGGAAAAGTCAAAAAGCATTTGAAACAGTCGCTTTAGTATTTGCGTGGCGAGCGATAGCTGCATCGATTCGAGAGTCCTAAGCGACGTGCGCAGTTGTAAATTTTTACAAAATTTAATTTTTCTCCCAGGCCCCTCGATCTCCATTCCGAGTTCTTAAAAAACGCGGCTTTCTCTGATTTCTAAAATTTCAAATTCGAATTCAAATTTGGGAATTCTCGATTGTGAGCACAACAATCATGTGGCGTTTTTACGTTCCCCGAAAGGACTTGAGAATTAATGGATAATCGTAACGTTAATCTCGTTATTGGTGACAATTACGACTCAGATAAATCCTCTGACGATTGTCACAATCATTCAATTCTTGCTCACAGTAATAGTGGTATTTGAGGAGAAAACAACAAAACGAAAACGCGAATGTCGTCCGAAAAGTTAACTTTTTTTCAAAACGCGAAATTTCTTCTTCGATCTTTTCAATTTCAATGCTTCAAAGTTAAAACTTATACATATGGCATTTACTTGTTTATAGTAGAAAGCTTGTTTCAAAGGAAATTTGTTGCATATTTCTCTCTTTTGACGGCGGCGTACGTAAGTACTGTGAGAAAGGAACTCCTTCTGGCGTTTCTAGCTAGTCAAGTACGAAGTTGAAAAGTTAATATTTCATCATAGTGAAAACAAACAGAAAGCTGGAAAAGAGAGTTTTGTGACCTATTTTCCAACTGCGAACAAATGTTAAATTCCGCAGCGATCCAATACCAGCTTAGTTCTCTGCGCTTTCCTAAATAAACGCTGCTCAATTACTGAATAACAGACTGAACTCCGGCCGAAATTTTAAGTTAAATCGGCGCATTATTTTTAATTGCCACCAAAAATAAACCAAAAGAATTTCATCTTCGGGGCATTATTTCTCTTCCAGATTCCTTTAAATTGCCTAAAATGACCTAAAGCAAACATCCAGCATTCAAATAGGAGAATAAAAATCGAATAAATCAACTGCAAAAAAGCTAAAAGTATTATAAATAAAAACTGAAGGAATTGGGATTCGTGAACAGTTTCACTCTTCTGGTTCTTTCTTCTTGATCGAATTCTCTCTACAGATCCGGCGTGCTTGATTGGTAGAGATTTGTTTCTAGATTATCCTTTTTTTTCTACTACGGCGCGGTGCGAATTGACGTTTTTCGTTTTCTTTCGCGCCGTTCATTGGCCGAAAATGGAATCGGCTCTGCGGCGAAATCCCCCGCTTTTGAAGACCAAAACCCCTTTCGGCTTCAATTACAATCTCACTGCAGAGAAACTACTCACAAAAACTATCTCCCGAAAAATAATTAACGCGCAATTATACGCTATTTATCAATAAACCTCAATAAAAATTACTTTTCGGCCAATAAATAATTTGAAATTCATAGTTCTGATAAATTCAATTTTTTATGAAAATTGTTTCTAACACAGCGAATTAAGGATTGTTTTAAAGATGTTCTGGCATATTAATCGAATAAAGAACGCTGGGCTAAGCAAACTGTGCAGAAAACCTGAGTCAGGATTTTTCAAATCTAAAATATAAAGCCGCGTAATGGCTTTTTCAAAAGAAAAAAAGTCGCAAAGTAGCTTTGCTTAAATTACCATCATAATCTAACTGTCCTCTTTCAAATCCTTAGTCAGGTTTTCTACGCAGGCTGCCAAGCCCAGAATACCTTGATAAGCCCCATCAAACTGTACTGTGTAAATTACGGATTCGTTTATCTGAATAAAGGCCGGCGAAAAAATGGATTGAGCTGGCGAAAGTTTCCTTTCGAAAAGAGTGCAACTAGCTTTTTTCTGATGCCAAAAAATAGAACGCCGCGGGGATGCGCCCTCAACACAATACAACAAGAGGATATCATCGACGACACAGCTACTTTCGAAATCTGGCCAAATCTTTTGACAATCCGATTTGCGTCATTTAGAACATCTCGATATAGAATTGAATGGGTGAACAGAATGAATTTATTAGAAAAGCACGTGATAGATACAGTAAAATGAAAAAAGGCGTATATCATACTCCGAGCGCGAGTGAAAATTTTCTTGTTGTTTTCAGTTTTTTCCCTTTAGTTTTTAGACTTCTTGATCCGCATCATTTCGCGTTGGGTTTCCTCGATCGTGCGGTGGTCGCGTTTCAATGAGGCTAAATTGCAATAAATGTCGGCTGTGTGGCTCGCACAGTTTGAATTCTTTTGGAGCAGAAAGTTGAAACTTACCTGAGACGAGACCAAAAGACCTCCCTTCGGAGGCAATCTTCTTTGCCTCCAGATCCCTTCCAACAATGTTTGAGATTTTAGCCGAATAAGATGAGAATTTTGCACCAGGTTTGATTCGCGATTTCGCCGTGTGCCCAATTTTCCTTGGGCTACTCTCTTGATCTGGAAGCTCTTGCGTTGACTGAGAGGATCGACTTGAACTTTGTAAGCCACTGCTTGAAAAATGACTTCCCGAGCTACTTTGACTTTGAGAGCTCTCCGACGATGAAGACCAACCTGGAGGCTCCTCCGAATTCTCGATAGCTGCGTCTTTTTCGCGCTAGGAGTAACTTCAATCATAATCACAATATATAAATACTTGCTTCTTGAGCATACAAGCTGATTTCTTGACTAAGAGATATGGACTCTGAATTAGCCTTCTTGTTGTCAGCTGGCTGTTGACAGTTGGCGGCTATTCCTTTCATGTCTCGTAGCTCAACGTTTGTGGGATGTCTGTTGCAGATACAGTTGTATCTTTCTCTGGGTCAAACGATAGCAGCTCTATTTTTTCTTATCGCTAGACCTTGTTGACAAACAATCGATTTATAATTCCGATAGAATCAGCTCTCTGTCTCACCAGTTCCTTGCATCTCGTGGACCCAGAGCGACAGCAACGAGGTCGAATTCCTCTGCAATGTCTGCGACAATCTTGCGCCACACTGCATCCATAGGATGAAAGTTGTACTTGATCAGCGGTTCGATGCGCTCACAAACCTCGGGGTCCTCGCTTTCCGCTAGTCGTTTTTGCTCCTCGTCCACGTACTTTCTGATGGTCTCCATTTTGCGCCTGATCTTGTTTGAGTAGTGTTCGCGGCGCTTTTCCTCCTCTTTTTGTTGTGCCTCTTGCTTAAAAATAGTTCGAAGCCAAGAGCTTGCTATTTACGTAGTAGTTATCACGAGCAGTTAATACTATATTAAAAATATTTCATCAAAAGGATAGATCTTACCATTTTCCGCGCTCGAAGTTGAGCAGCTGTTGGCTTCGGCCGAGGTGGACCTGAGTCCATCTTTCCGATGATGGAGCCCAGTAAGTCCATGCTCTTGTGCTGGTGCAGTGGATTTGCTTTGAGAGCCCAAACGACTTGTTTTTCCTTTTTTCTTCTTCTACGATGGACACACGGAGGCGAGGACCCACGGACGCCCACTATTATATATATGACTCAAAGCAAAAAACTTCTGCTGGCATTATACAGTCTAGAAAAGAATAGCAGATGGTCTATCCGAAACTACCCCTGATCCCCAACGACTCATCCTCGCACCTAAAGACGGGCGCAAGTTTAAATTTGACAAAAGCTTCAACTTTCAAATTTGGCGCTGAGACGCCTACATGGCTGTGAGCACCGACCGGTGTAAGTGTAAAAATACTTCTAGAATTCATATTGTGCGTCGCGGATCCGCCTGCAGGTCACAGTTCACTTGTTTACGCAGTTTACCGTCTTCCAGCTCAGCTCGTAACTCGACCGGGCATTTAATTGACCCAAACTGGAAAACACGAACAAGCTCAGACCCTCAAACCACAATATCCGGCATCTCGCCTAGCCCCCGCATCGAACAAAGAAAAATAGTCTCAGAAGAAAGAGAAACTAAGATGGACAACCTGCTTGCTAGTTTTCAAAAGGCTTTTGGCAAAGAAGCGGACTTCTATGCGACGGCTCCAGGAAGGGACGCGGTTTGAACTTCTTAAAGTATTAACAGCCTTAGTATTCATCATGAGTGTTATTACAAAAGTTATTCTTTACACTAGAGATCAGCTATTTGAACGTTTTACAAGAAGAAAACCAAGAAAAAGGGTTAACTTGATTGGCGAGCATATTGATTATTGTGGCTATTCTGTACTTCCAATGGCTGTCGAGCAAAAAATATTTATTGCAGCCGGCTTTAATGACTCTGGTTAGTTTTTCATTAATACGGATATCCTTCTTATAGTCGTTTTAGGTAAACTGGAAATCATTTCCGAAAAAGAGTCGTTTCCTTCTGCTTCGACGAGCATCAATCAACTGGATATTAACCTTAGCGATATCAACTGGTTCAACTACGTTTTCTGCGGCGCAAAAGCGATCGAGGAACTCTTCTCGCGCCCACTTTCTCGCGGTTTGAATCTCTACGTTTCCGGAAACATACCAATGGGATCTGGTCTCTCCTCTAGCTCTGCTTTGGTTGTCTGCTCTGCACTCTGCTTTCTTCAGTCAGAAGGACTCGTCGCAAAAACAACGCGAACCGAATTGGCGAATGCTTGTGCACGAGCAGAGCGGCACATTGGAACCCAGGGCGGCGGAATGGATCAGGAATGGTTGGCCGCTTTTCAGCTACGGATTTTTTTGTATTAAATATTTTCCAATCTTAACTAAGTCTATTTGTTTGCTGGCAGAATCTGGAGAAGCGAAGCGTATCGACTTCAATCCTCTCGCCGCTACTAAAGTTCAACTTCCAGAAAAGGCAGCCTTCGTGATTGCGCACAGTTGCACAAAGAAGGAAAAAGCGCTGTCTAACGACTTCAATCGCCGAGTGGTTGAGTGCAGAATCGCAGCTCTCGCTCTTCAAAAGTACAAAACGGGAAAACTTGATTTGGATAACATTCCAAAGCTAAAGGAGATACAAAATATGTACAATGGCACTCTGGAACAAATGGTTCATCAGCTGGACTTTGCTTTTGCTTGTCCGAAAGGAAATAGTCAGAAAGAGTAAATAGAAAGGATTCTATTTCATTTTCAACTATAAAAAGGGAGCAGAAAGCCCAACGATATCCTGAGCCGCGCTCAAGTTTTGGAACTTTTAGATATTTCGGAAGAAGAATTTGCGACAAAAATTCTTTCACCTAATACTCAACAAGTTCAAGAATTCAATGTTTTCAAAAGGGCCGATCACGTTTACTTAGAAGCGCTTCGGGTCGTTCAAGTAATTATTTTAGCGCTTCAATAGATAGTTCGCTAATTTGACTTTAGTTCGAAAATATCTGTTCGACCGGCGGAAATAATACTTTGGAGAAATTAGGAATTCTGATGGATGGCTCCCACTGGAGCTGCTCGAAAGGATACGAGTGCTCCTCAGTGGAGCTTGATGAGCTCACGAACGTTTGTCGAGAAGGAGGAGCTTATGGGCAAGTTATAATTGAGACGAACAGAAAGAATATGATGAGATTTCAGATCCCGTTTGACAGGTGCTGGCTGGGGAGGATGCTGCGTATCTCTTGTCGATGCTGACAATGTTGATGAATTTATGGAAAAAGTCAAGAAAAACTTCTACAGTAAAACTGCCGATCGATCATCAAGACTTCCAGAAGCCATCTTTGCTTCAGTACCAAGTGCTGGCGCTGGGATTTTTGACAAGAATCATAATCAGCTTTTCTAATCCGACTTTACTCACAATATATTCCTTATAATTGTTTCTGAATACAGCGTGTCGATTTTCACTGAAGAACTTGCAATGACGCAGATAAAATAAATAAAAGAAAAGAATTGCAAACAGTCTTTCTCAGTTTTGCGTTTTTTTTTATAAGAAGAGATGAGAAACTTTAAAATAAAAGTACCATGGGGCAGGATACACGCCAAAAACTGGTCGCAACACTACCAAGAAACAGGTTAGATAGACTCTCATCTTCTTAAAATCAAAATCATAAGGCGCTAAACGGGTTCTTCTTCTACACGGCAATTCCGATCACGTCCACTGTTGGGACTGGACAGCAGATCTACTTCCGAAGAATTGGTCGATAGTGGGCTATGATTTTCCTGGACATGGCGACTCAAATTTTCCGGACAATTATTATGCTCCAACTCATGATTTATTCGGATATTCAATAAGATACGTGGCAGATGCATTAGGAAGAGTTAATAATCGAAGACTCTGAAAGATAAAGCCGCGTAATTAACTCATATTCTCAGGCTGGGACAGTTTCCACTGTGTTGCTCATAGCATGGGAACGTTTATTGCTTCTCCATTTGCGTGTCTCTTCCCGGAAAGAGTAGACTCTCTCACTTTGATTGATTTCAAAGGCGTGCAAACGATCAAACCTATTGTAACTCCGATGTACTCACTCATGTCCTGGGAGAACCGAGCAGACCGATGGAAAGCTGACTCTTCTAATCCGGGCCGGACTCCGAGCGGAAAAACATGGGACGAGTACAAACATGCCATCATGAATACTCCAAGTGGCTGGTTCAAAGATCCCAGAATCGCAGAAAAATGGATGCAAGGGCAAATGACCGAGCTAGAAGACGGAAACTTCAAATCGAAAGTTCACCCCTTTATGCGTCAGTGGGGAACAAGCAGTTGGGGGTTAACGTTCGACCAGGATAGGTTCTCGACGGAAATTGAAAATTCTTGTGAATTTCGAAAAAATGGTGAGTACGAGCGGTGAGCGAGTTTTTCTAACGAAGCCACAAAGAGTTGAAAATGCTTATTTTGCAACGCGAATTTTTAGACGCTTTAGACCCCGACTCAGGTTGTTTAGCCAAGAGCACCCTTTAGGCCGATAAGGTCTTTCAAAAAAGGAATTTTTAAGAATTGTCAATTTCGAAGTTTATTCTTTCAAATTCAAAGTGAGTCCCAATCTACTGGGCCATGCTGGGATTGAAAACAGGCAAGGTCCTTCAATGCATAAAGCATTTCCAGGCAGGTTTCTTTCATTTCATTTTTTCGCTCGTCCGTCATTATGAAATTGTTATGCTCTTCCTCGTAATCGAGCTGGTACCAATCTTCGTTTTCAATGAGGAAGTTTCGGTATTTCTCGTCTTCTTCAATTTTGGTCTCGAGCATGTTGCTAAAGCATACTTCAAATCCTGGAAGATCTTCCTTGGCAAGGGATTCTACGCGGGTAAGAATATCTTTCTTTTTGTCCATGTAAGGCGGGTTGGGATCTTCACAGCAACTGCCGCCACTAGCAGAAACTGAAGCTATGAAAGCTAAGAATATCCAAAAATCCATTTTTTTGTCGATTCGAAATTTGTTGGTCTCCGGTTAGTTTTTCTCTTTTTTTTTTGTCGAGAAGTGGCCGAAACGTCGTATTTCTGGCTTCCTTTATTGACTCGAAAATCGGCCAATCGCCACAAAGGGAGGCCAAGGCTGGCCGCCAAGCGGAAAATAGGGTTATATGAGGTCACATGACATAAACTCGATTGCTGGGTCAGATGGCTTGATCTCCAGCTGGGGTGCTTTTCAATTGTATTTTGTTCAAAACTAATCGAAAAGCTATTGATGCTCTTCAAAACCTGACTCAAGTTTCGAAGAAAAAAGTCACTCGTTCTCTCTCACTTACGTTCGGAGGCCTCTGATCGCGCTCACTTGAGTCCTCACCATTTTTTCGAACACTGACTAACGATAATTATGAACCAAAATTTAGAGCTATAATTTAGCCCGGGACTTCCGAGCACCACTTCAATATCTTGAAGCGAGCGAGGAAATATTCGATCCCAAATCAAACCAAAGAAAGTATTTCAACCATGAAAAGCAACAGCTCTACTTCGATAGACTTGTGAAGTATTCTGCAAGATACGAGGTAAAAACATCTTGAAATCGAATTAAAATAGAATTTAGCACCACATAATAGAAGGCAATCATCTTTCGCACATGGTGAACCCTTCAGAAACATCGAAGCGCATTCGAGACTTTATAAATCAAGATCCTACACGGCTAGATCTCCACGAAAAAAGTCTCGATTTCTTTGGAGACATAGAAGACATTGCAAGGATTTAGACAAAGACAACTGCAAGTTCGATAATCACAGAAGCACAGACTCTGATTCCTGTAAATATATGATTTCTGATATTGCCAACAATAAGCTATAGATTCAGACTATGTATATTTTGAAATAGTTTATTCAAAAAAATTCTGGAAAGTCCTTCTTGACACCTTTCACTGCTGCTTTGACGATCGCGCCGGAATCTGAAATAAGTCATTATATTTTTTTAAATTTATAATTTTGTTAACCTTTGCTTTTGTAAAATTCCTCTTCTGTTGGGAAGGGTTTTACTTCTAGCCCCTCCAAGAATTGTTCGAATTCTGCGTCATTTTTTTTGATCCAGTCGCGAAGTCGACGTCGCGGCTTAACTGGAACGGCTTTGACTTCGGCTAGAATGTTCAATTTTAAAATGAGATCTTAGCCCTGCTAATTACTTCGGTTATCGTTTTCATCAAGCTCAGGTCGTTTTTCCGTCGCCTTCCTTTTTCTACCACTTTTTTGGCAGGCGAAGGCCGTTTGAGCTTTGGCAGCGGCGGCTCGTCGCGACGGCTGCTAAAAATTGTGCATTAAAAATTTGTCTTTTTTTAGATTGTTTTTAAAATGATTGACTGAACTTACCACAAATACAGCATCATGAATCTCTTGGAGCGTCTGGCTACAGACGCTCTTATCGTCCAAGGTCACGAGGTTCTTCAGCATTCGTCTCTCCATTTTTTTCGAGAAAATCAAAAAAAAATCAAAAATATTGTTGGTGTTTTCCTCTTTTTCGAGAAAAAACAAGTTGATTTCCGCAGTCGACTTTCGCCTCGACCAAGGCCTCAGCGCCCCTTCATGAATCATGATCGAAAGTGAGGAATTCCAATAACACTGGAGAAATTCTTTTGTTATGTGATTATTCAAAATTTATTTGATGGCAGTGATATAAATATTGCACATTCATTGAATACGCTGCGATTCTAGCCAGACTGCGTGAACTTTAGCACGTGATTTCTGTTTTTGTACCAGAAAGTGGTACAGCAGAAGATCGAAGACATGAAGCCAAGCAAGGGCCAAAAGACCTACCCCTCAAAATGAGTAAATTATTATTCGAAGATTTGATACCGCGTGAAAGACTTTTCCTCCGAAGAATGTTCCAAGTGATTTTCTAGCCATTGCTCCCGTCACTTGAAGAGTCTCGTAATTTGCCGCTGTTTGGTTCGAATTGTTAATCCAACATTGCCTAAAGAGCCTGTTTTCATGAAGTAATGCTTGATTATTTACGTTCTCATGCCGAGTTTGAGCCCTTCTTCTCCAGTAAAGATATCTCGGGCGCCTTTGACTATGGACTCGCAGTCAACAGGGCGAAGACAGCTTCCAGGAACTTTCGGCTTAGCGGAGAATGACTGCACTTGGACGCGCTTGGGTCGAACTAGAAGCGCACTTGAGAATTGAACATTTTACTTGTTTTACCCGAGCAATGCATCTGCGACTGGCAGAGTCCTGAGATGTCCACTTCGTCTCTGTGTAGAATGAAAGTGGAGCTGTTCTTTTTCTCGTCTTGAACATAGAATTGAACACAACTCTTGTCTTCCAGCATCTGATTGCATTCGCTTTCAGCGCAACTTCTCTGAAACAACTTGGAAGGAAACAACTTCTAAGTCAGTTGAATGAAAAACGTTCTATTCGCCGATCTTTCGAGTTCTTCTTACAGAACCAAACTGTCCGCTGATTATCAGTTACTGTGAGGGTACCTTTGTGCTTGATTCAAATTCGAGCTGCTGAAAAAAGTCGTGACTCCAGCAAGATTCGGGAACTCCTTTCAAAATCAAATTCAGTGACGTGATTTTTGGCTTTACCTTGAACGCCGAAAAGACGACACGTTTTCTCTTCGTACTGTATGCCACGCAAATATGGAACAATAACCTGAAAAAAGAAAGTTTTTATAATCAAAGAGCGAAAAATATTGTTACCGAGAAAGTCCAGACTAAAGACATGCTAGAGACGAAGAAGAGTATCATGAATGCGGCGAGTAATATCTAAGAAGATTCAAGACTGAAGTAAAAAACCGCCACTAGCGGCAATTTATGAATCCGTGACTGGCGTAAATCTGATGGATTTGGCATTGTCAGCTTGAGAAGCTTTTTAGATGTCAGCGACGCTATGAAACAATAAAAATTTGATTTTTCAATTTATAACTGTACCAGACGTGAGCTTCTTGTCATATTCCCCGGGACAACTACACATAGATAAAAAAACAGAATGAAAAAGTGAGATAGCACCTGCGCGGACTAGAAACCGTCCTTTGGTACTGAGTGCGCGCATGATGTCGGCTATCAAAGGTCCTCACGAAATTTAACTTCTAATTTATTTGTAAATACGATTCAGAGCGTCTCAATTAGTTAACACTTTTCCGGCCGGACCGAGTTTGAATAGGACTGTTTGATCAGTTCATCGAGTGCATTCAAAATTAATAGAAATTCAAAGTCGCGTGAACTTTACTTGGACTAAGTATAAGATCTGAATTCACTTGAGGGTTTACTTCAAACACGATTTAAATCGACTAAGAAGTTTTTAGAAAAACGACAAAAAATACGGCAATTGTGCTTAAACCCATGCCACCTAGTTGGTCATTTTGCACTCTCATTTTGAATAGCCACATTTTTGAAAGCTGCTTGACTGTTCTCTCGATAATGACTGTAACATTAAACGTTCTTGTTGTATATCTTTTCGGTAGATACATCGATTTTCTGCTCGAAGAAAATCTGCTCTGTCAGAATAATCTGAACCCTCTCAGTCATAAGCTGTCTTTCAGGGTCTGGAACGGCCTTGATTTAGCTTTGAATAATTACACCCGCATGAGTTTGTTCCATTACAAAAAAGAACTGATCAAATTAACTATTGTTAGCGTGAGGAACCCCAACTATCAAAACTCGTTCTCTCGGATTCGATTCGTTTGAAGTTTTCTCTTAGCTTAAAAACAAACATGTTTGTAACTGTGTCCTACTGTGGCTTATTTCGAGCACCCGCATACTGGTGAAAAGTAACCCGACTTAAATATTTATCGCGCATTAATTCTTAAACGATACAGCTTCACCCCCGCCGCAAGAAACTATTGATAAGTTACCGTCAAGCATACTTATCGTACTCCACGACTGAGATAGCACAAACTTACCATTATTGTTTCTCTCGTAGTTGGCCGCTCGATTCTGAAGAACGAGCTAAAATATAGTCAACAAGTCGTAACAACATCTAAAGAGGTTGAATATTTGATTGAGAGTTGATTCAATTACGCTAGCAAGATTTGGCAGATTTGGGGAAGTCTGTCCAATTTAACTCACTGACTTTTGCCTTCTACTATTTCTGCAAGAATTAGATCTCTTTCGATTTGCAAGAGCTCCGATCATTGTCATACTCGAAGCTCTGCAACTTATGCCTATTGCTACTCTGCGGCTGTAATTTAAAACTTACAGTATTGAGGAAAAAGTAATCAAGTCCGTGTTACCCGGACTGTATTCAAATCCTTGTCTGAGATTGATAACCAGCTAACTGGGCTGTGATAGTCAGTCCCCCGAGAAGACCAACCTCTTTGGGCTGCGCAAAAACATATTTTGGTTAATTAAATTCCACAAAATCATTAAAAAACATCCTCAATAAATATTCATCAAAGGTAAAATAAATTTTTTGAACTCACAGAATTCTTCTTTGAATATGTCATGTAATCCCTTCAAGAGTTTTTTTTATTGTTAAACTTATATCGGCGCCTTCCCGCGACTAACTTTATTAGATTTCGGAGGATCGTCGAAGTAATTTAAGAAAATGACTTTGTTAAATAAACAACTCTCTTCCCTTGGATCAGACAAGTTGGACTTGTTTAGCTGCGAAAATCTCCGCAAATGCATTGCCATGATTCTCTTGCTCGATTTTCAAAACAGTATATTTGCCGAGATTCGCTTTCAAAGTCCGTCTTTTTTAGTTTGAGATGCGGTGGCAGTTCAATTCCAATTAAAAAACTACTACTCCTCTTTGTGAGCAGCGAGACCGGACTCAATCGAAAGACTTAGGATATTCGCTGGCGAATAATCGCATACTGCCGATAACCGCCGCTAAGCCAAAGAAACCAATATGTGATTCTTTTTCTATTCCCTTAATTATGCTCCGACGAGCAACTCAAGTGCTCATACATATTTGTACATGTCGAGTCCAAAACTACATTTAATGAAATTTAACTGTACAACAGCAACATTACTGAAATTATTCAAAGGAATACGAGAAATCTGACAGGCTCGAAGAATAATCCATGATAAATCTGTCACTTTGCCATTAATAAAATGCTCTGCTCTTTAAAAAACATCCTTTTTAATTCTTTGCTGCTGCTAATTGAAGTCTTTATATTTCTTCTTTTATATTTTCGAACCCAAAGACTATTGAGTTGTTCATTAGAATCGTATTTTTAGCCTGCGAGTATATAATTAATGAACCATGTAAGTTCATATCTGTAAATAACCCTAACTGTCTCAAGAGTCAAAAATTAGCATTTCCCATATAAAAGAATTGAATCAGATGATTTCATTTCAATTATTGGCGTTAGAAACGTATCTTTTTTGCCCGAATTCCTGAATTTCTGGCGAGTTCGAGCACTAAAATCTGTCGAAAAAAATTTAAGGGTCCAAATTTCGGGCCAGTGAATGTCCGATTGAGATTGCCAAAGCCTTGCTTGTTGCGTTAGAAAAATAAATTATTTTAAATAATTCTAGGCAGTAAACCTAATACATAAAATTTTTGTTAGAATAAGAATGAACTCGAGTTCAAGAAATATATTGTTCTTTCAAATCTGAGATAAAAATCAACATATGGCGATTGAAAACGATAAAAAATAGGTGTGCTATATTACTTACAGGATCTGACCCCCTTCTATCTTTTTGCTGATACATTTTGTTCTTGATGAAGCTGAGAAATTTTTGATGACTTAGTTAAGCATAAATTATGGTGTATAAATTATACTGAAAATTATCCGTTTTCAGCCCCTAGAATCGGATCGTATAGAGGTCTTCGCATGGAGCGTTTCTTCTGCTCGGTTTCAAAATAGGCAAAAGGAAATGAAACCGAATCTTGTCAGAATTTTTGTTCTGTAAAAACTGACGTGGCAATTTATTGAAAATGAAGGTCATGATTCGTTTTGATGCTTTCTCTGTTTCAGTATATGTTTGAAAAGTGTCTGTGGGAAGAGGACAGTGCGTTGAGCTGCAAAACGCAAAAACTGAATTTATAATGCTCCTCCTCTCTGCATGTGGTGCTCACAAATGCGTTAAATTAAGCCGTCACTGCCATCTGTAGGTGTAAACAGTCACAGGAGAACATATTCTATACATCCATATTAGACTATATCTAATGACTACTGTTAGGATTACCCGGAGCAGGTGAACAAGCCCCTTGAGACCGTTTTCGCGCTTTCCTCAAGAGCTGTATTTTAAGCAATCTTGCTGCATTAATGCGTCTTAATACCTCTGTGAAGAAATTATCTTGACTGCAGAGTGCGAATTCAAAGACAGTAATCTTACTCTTACTCTTTGATCTGACTCTTACATAGATGTCGCTTACCTTTGTCTTTGGAGCTAGCTTGGCGGTTTTTCTCCGAAACTTGGTGAAAATAGAATGCATTTAATGCGACTCTCTGCCGTTTGCAATATGATCAATTGCAATGTGGATCTGATACTCGTCGAATGCTGATTATTGGAAGTGCGGTTCGCCTGTCCCTCGCTTGTCGAAATGTATCAAACTCAGCAGCGGATTCCAGCAGATTAATTGGCAACATGACCTTCTGCAGGTGCCGTTCTCGAGCTTTATCCCCTCTCAAAGCTCCAAAGCCCTTTCCGATAATAAGCCAACCAAATGTGATTCTTAATCTCGACTCGCAAATTGTATTCTACTGAGTAACATTCCAGCGTTCTCACAACAGTCGCTGAAGACTGCTGTTTATGGGCCTTGTTCTCGGCTGAGGGTTGGGACTCACAAGTTGCGAAGCAATCCAGGAGCAATAATGACCATCAATTAGCCCTATCTTGTGTCGTCGACAATGATCGACTGCTACTCCAGTTTGATAAATACTTCAAATTCCATTGTTAAATTTTCTTGGGCTGGTTGGCTGAGCTGAGCTCACTGCTGTCCGGAGGGCGGTTCAGAAAGTCGCTGAAATTGGACATTGACGAGCCACTAGTTCAAAAGGAAAAAATAATTTTCACTTGCCAAGTCCAGCCACGGAGCTCGTTTTTATGGTGGCGTCTGTTTGACTCATTAAAAATGCCAAGGTCGAGCTAATTATGCATTTTCAGTAGATAAGAGAGAAGGGGCATTATGAAGACGGAAACCTTCTTGAACTGAGCAATTTTGCGCCAACAGAGTTTTCCCGCTTTCCAAGAAGATCTGAAAATGCTTCCATTGATATCGCACAGGTAATTATTCTTTGACCAAGAGAAGCGTCCCAAATAAGGGAAAAATCATAAGCAGAGGGTTAAACAGGTCTTCAGGATTGAGCACGTCAGAATCTCGATTTTACACCATAAAATCCACGAAATGATACATTTCGCACCTTTTCATTGTCCCCAATAAGTATTTTCCCATCGTATAAAAATCATAAGCGCTCATGAATAACGACTTTATGGTTATCGATTTCCAGAGTCAGTCTGTTCCGAAAAAAACAACTTTCACAGCGAGATACTACTATTTGGCAATACTTTTTTACTTGGACAAGATTCCTCGAAAACGGGATTTAAATTAATCAGTTTTTCGAGTTTTAAGAAACTCACTCGTCTTGTAGCTCCTTATCGAGCAACTTAACTCACATCTCTAGTGATCCATGACGATTGATTCATATTTTCCCGGTCCCTCCAGCTCCGTGGACCGTGAGCCCCGTGGCAGGCGCATTTTTCGCCCTTTTACCCACAAAAGACTGGTCTTTCTTTTTTTTCACCATCATCGTTTTTTTTTTCTTCGCCGAGCCCGACTTAGAGCAGCATGGTAACTCGCTCGTGGGTACTTGGCTTTGTTCGAAGACAAAAACGGGCTTCGTTTTCTTTTTGAATTCAAATTTCCTATTTTTTCGAAGCTCACAGCGACCCAAAAGAAAAGGAAAGAGAGAAAAGAATTGAACAGGAAAATATCATAGAAGGTAATTTTTTTTCGAGGTACCGGTAAATCAAAATTAGGATTTGCGGTGAATCTCATCCATTTTATTGTTTTCTCAATTTTCGCCGCGGATTTAGTGAAAGTAGATGAGCCGCAAGTTTGAAATCAATTTGTTGATCGCGTCTAGATTTTATTACGAGAATCATGATAGAGAATATGAAAGAGTCGAGAGAGCTCGTAAAACGGCGCATGTATAGCTGTGTAACTAGGTACCTACCAAAGCCAGAAACCAACCCCAGATAGCAATAAATCCGCTCAGCAAGAGAAATTCAAAAACAGATATTCTTAATTAAATTAAGCTGTTGATCTAAGCATGTAAGTCTTCTTTAATTCATATTTATTTCCGTCCATAAATCATATTTCAAATATATTGAATAATAGAGAACATCAATTTTGCTTGAAAAAAACGGAGAAATAATTCTGTTGAAAGTGTTTGAGAGCGTCTTATCGGTCACGGCCCACGGAGGAGCTCAGATTATCAAACGTGCTCGGACAATAAGTTTGTCATAAGCGCTTCGATTGCGGCGTTTTTGAAGTATCCGTGTCGCCAGAAGGAGTCCATTAGTTGGAAATCTCGCGTTTCCGACTTTCGGACGCAATTTCCTTCCTTTATCGAAAGAGATGACGCCCTCAGCTCCGCTAAAAGCTAAAATAGGGAGATCAAGTCCAATTATTTCACTCGGCAACATAGAGACGAAATCGAAATATTTATAAGTAGCGTTGTTTGAAAGTACAAAAGGTAGTAAACGCGAGAACGCCGCTACTTATGACTTTTCCACATCTAAGATTATGACTCAAAGGCTGTCCTTTTTTGCCAGAAATTCTGAGTAATTTTTGGATGTTGAGCGGTTAAATCAACGGAAGTGGCAAATCACACGTGGGCTGTAAAAGTTGCCTGAATTAGAAATGATGCTCCCTTTTAGATGAAGCTGCTAAGCTGCTGTGAATAACTTGGAGCTGGCCCAGTAACACAAGACGAGTCAGAAATTTCATATTGACAGAAAAATCTACTACCAAACATTTTCGAAGAGCAAATTCAAAATTCGGAAGTCTCAGAAGACATTTAAAAATTGAAGATAGAAACAACGAGAAAAATAAAAAAAGAGAGAGTATGCGGTGACTTGGAGAAAGAACTTATTTCGTGAATGAAGAATCTTTTCTTATTGCTCTGGACACTTGCTCTAGGAACGGGCTTAGATAGTATCTGATTTGATAGATCATGTTTGAACCGCAGAAAGTAACTTAAATTTCAAGCCTGGTATAGGATCAAGTTTTTTCGGAAATTCATTCGTCGAATATGATTCGCGGTACCTCGAAAATGCGGACCTTAATTCGAATACGATCGTCATCAAGTTTCTCACGGTTCAAGAAAGAGGCATTATCTTTTCCGCGAAGGGGAAAGATTGTCATTTGGAAATTGGCGTGTCCCTAGGTCGTCCGTACATATTGCTGAAACTGCCTGGAACGCAAGAAGTGTCCCTGAGTAGCACGCTCGTGATAACTTCGACGCCCGAGTACCATGTCCTCCGGATCTTTCGGCTAAACAATAAGATCTCACTCACCATTGACAGTGACCTTCCCGTCACAACAACGATACATGCGGAAGACACACATCTCGACTTTACCAAGGGCGTGAAGATAGGAACAGCGATCGCCAAAACGGTCAACACTATTTCTGGCTTTCGCGGGTGCATCAAATCCCTCGAATTTAACAATGTCGCGCTTATCTCGCCAAAATCGATTCCGCAAAGCACCAAACAGCGAAATGTTCTGAGAGGATGCTCTTCTGTCCTTAAAAACACGAAGAAAGAAACATTTTCATTCTCCAGGAGAAAAGGTGGATATGCAAGTTTTCTGGTGGCGAAAGATGGAATCGCCCTCAAAACGATTAATTTACAGTTTAAATTCAAGTCGGAAAGTATTTCCGGAAATCTGGTCAAAATTCCGACAATCATGGACGATGGTTTCTTGACTATCAATTATGACAATGAATACGTATCGTTGTATTTGACTATTCAAGGCGCGGTAAAATGGAATACGACCGTGTCCTGCATCGACAAGAAAAGCCCACAAGATGGGTGGCACTTGGTAACAGCAACAGTCAGGCCTGGCTCGAACCCGAGCATTGGGTGCAATTCGCCACGCAGTCCGAAGTCAGTCGAGTTTCCAGACAAGATCGAAAAGGAACGCAGCTTAGAAATGACTGGTCTAGTGATGATAGCCGTCGATAAAACTGATTCTGTCGAGCTTGGCAAAGACTCCGTCTGCTTCAAAGGATTGGCGATCAATGGAAAAGAAATGACATCTGGCGATGTACGAATCTCGTATGCGATGAATATTGGCTGTGGAATTGACGAAGGACCTCTTAGGAACTCTGTTCCTATCCAGAAGATCAGCAAAGTAATCAATGTAGAAGTGAATGAGGGAGAGAGTTTCAGTTTAATAAGATTCATTTCACCTGCTTTTGGAAAGTCGCCGCGTATACTTGAGGTCAGTCAAAAGCCGACCTTCGGCTCAATCGAAAACGGAGACGAAGAAATAGACGAGTTCAAATCCTCTGAAGTGGCGATCATCTCCTACTACAACGATGGATCAGAGCACTCGAACGATCTCTTCAAAATCATGACCAAAAACGGCGCAAACGAGTACGTGTTTCACGTCAAAGTCAAGCCTGTCAACGACAAACCGTCATTTCACATACCAAATGATTTCGTTTACCGACCAGTGATTGGTTTTTCAAATCAGTGGACTAATGACTTATTACGACTGGTTGACCCTGAGAGCCCACCGGAAGAGATTTTCATCTACGTATTTGGATTTATTGAGACCAAGGATCGCTATTTTCATTTCAAAGACGACAACACAATGCTTTCTCATGTTGAATGTCCAGGAAATGCTTTCTGCGGTGGAATAGTGAGCTTCACTCTAAAAGACATCAATGATGGCCGAATTTTCTTCTATGTTGGCAAAGATGAGAGTGAGCCTATCAAGTTTTCTCTGCGTGCTAAAGATTCTTCCAGCAATAACAGCTCAGAATCTAACATCGGTTTTCTCAACATTCATCCTGCACAGCTGGAAGTGAGACCAGTACGGAATAACATCATCGAAGTTAGGCAAGGATCAGAGAAAATCATCACGGATCAGTTAATCAAATATGCTACAAACGCACCAGCAGATGATATTCCGATACGCTTCGAAGTTTGGGAAATACCAGAAATCGGTGAGCTCCTTCTGTTGGACGAAAATAACGAGTGGACTCTCGCAGAGAGTTTCACACAGCAAGATGTCAACGAGGAAAGAGTCAAGTACGTCCATCGACAAGGCAAGACATACCAGAAAATTGACACAATCGAGCTTCAAATCTACGCGGGATCAGGATCAAAGGAAATAAGGACCGACAAAATAGCAAAGATCAAAGTAACCATCATCGAAATCGAGTTTATGCTCGAGAAAAATTCTGTTGACCTCGTCGACTCTTCAAGCGTTGTTTTGGGCAAAGAATGTTTCTCCATCGAGGCGAGAACCGTTGGCGGACACTTGATTGATGCTTCCGATGCGTTGGTCACTTTCACTTCCTTGCCAACGAAATCGACGATCTACGTTGGCGACGAGTCTATTCGTATCGGACAGCCGTTAAAGTACTCGGACTTCCTGGCAGGCAAAGTGGCGATTCGCCCCGACGACGAAATCCGCCAGCGTCTGGACGATATTCTCTACGTCAAAATCAAAATAGATCATCTGGAGACGTCTAACGAGTTCCGAGTTAACTACAAACCTGATCCAGAGAAGATTTTCCTGGTGAACAATGAACTTCTGGTAAATGAAGGGGCAAAGATGGTGATTCGCCAGGATCACTTATACGCATCTAACTTGAAGGGCGAACGAATCGACTTAGAATTGATTGATTTACCTAAACACGGAAAACTGCGTAAAATCAAAATCGGCAACAAAAAAGATAGCGATGAGGCGTTCATGAGGAGTCTTAGGATGGACGATATTGAGAACCAGCGCATCTTTTACGAACATGACGGGAGCGAAACGAGGAATGACTCCTTTACTTTCAACGTTAGAAACTTGGACAAAGGCTTGTTGACAACAAGAGCGAACAAACGTTCCGAAACGTTTTCGATTAAAATTAGTCTTGTGAACGATAATGCACCTAAAAGGGTAAGTGATTTGATTTGGACACGGAAGAGCAAAACTTGGACAGAGTTTTGCATCGTTAGGGCATCGAACTAAGCAGCCGTCGTAAATAAAAGCAATTATTCAGCTCGTCGATCGGGTTTTCAAAGTCGTCACGAACTCGGAGCGTCTCATCACAAACGATGATTTATGGTTCACGGGTAAGTTCAACACCTGTGCCAAAAATTTATAGTTTTCATTAATCAAATTTCGCTTTCTGACGTCAAAAGGACTTTTTAATGATTTCCGAATTTATAGCGTGCGGGCTTTGTTTAAGCTTTTTATGACTTTTGAACATTTTAAAAGACGTTTTTAATAGATGCTGATACCGACTTTGCTGACGAAGATTTGGTCCTCAACTGGCGTTCTATTGACAACGGAGCAATTGTGGATCGCCGGACGGGGGAGAAAACCTTCGAAATCACTCAGAAAGACATAAAGGACCGAAATGTTCTTTTTCGCCACACTGGTGCTTCTTATGCGGAGGTGTATTTCTGGGTCAAGGACGGCACTTTCACTACTACAGGCGTCCTAAGAGTGCGCGCCGGACCTGCTGCTGTCGAAATTGTCAATACAGCTGCAATTAGCCTCCAAAAAGACTCGTTTGCGGAGATAAGCCAGAAGAATCTCTCCGCATCCACAAATCTCAATATTCCTACTGGTGATTTACGATGGTTTCTCGTCGAAGCGCCAACGCAGGCAGAGTTCCAAATTAATGGCGAGAAGGTGAACATGTGGACGCAGCAAGACGTGATCGATGGACGGCTGTTACTAAAACACACACCAAATGAAAATCCGAAATACGTCGACTTTTTTAGAATCAAGGCATACTTTGATACATACGAGTCAGATGTGCGCAATGTTGAACTCACAATATTCCTAAAAGACTTCCAAAAACCGATGCGAATCGTGGAAAATAAGAATCTTTTCGTTCGCGAAGGTGAGTCCGTTCGAGTCAGCAGAAACGACTTAAAAGTGAGCCATATTTCGTCGGCCCCGAACGAGATTGAATACCAAGTTGAAGCAGCTCCCAATTTGGGGAAACTAGTTGACGCTGCTGGAAACGTAGTAACGAAATTTTCCCAAGCTGACATTGATCACGACGCGATTCAATACCAAAACAACGGTGTCCCTGGAAAAGTCAAAGACGCTTTCAAACTTCGAGTCACCAATCAATTCACAGCACTACAAGACATCATAATCGGCATACACATCGAGCCTCGACACCTAAGAGTCGTTGTTGATGTCATTCATGATATTGTTGAAGGTGGCAACGTTTACTTGTCCAAAGGGATCAAGATCCAAGGGGATGAACTTAAAATGACAAATGTAACTGTCGAAATTGTAAAAGGACCATCATTTGGAGCTCTCCGGATGCTAGGAGGAAAAACCGACGTGCATAGCTTCAAATATGGATCAATAAACAAGGTTCTTTACATTCATGACAACAGCGAAAATCACAGCGACAATATGACGGTGATTGCAAGGCCTTCAGCCGACGATAGCTGGCATCTCCCGTCGGCAGCGACGGTCGTTCCAATCAGAATAACTCCTGTTAACAACAAAGTCCCTTTTATGGAGAACAATAAAGTCCTCGAAGTTTGGGCAGGATCAACTAAAGTTATTACTCGTGAGGAGCTACTTTACTCAGATCTGGATAATGATCCTTCCGAAATCGTCTATGAAACATCTGACTGCAAAGGAGGATACCTAGCGAATCGTGCGGATTATTCAACGAAGATCTCCAAATTCAGCCAAAAACAAATCGACGATGAGCAAATTATATTTGTCCAAGAAGGTGATCGCCCGCCATCATCCCGATTTTCATTTCAAGTCACTGATGGTGAACATTACTCATCCGGCGCACCTTTTGTAATTGACATACAGCTGCTGGAGATCTCACTAACGAAGTCCTCTGAAAAATTCCAAGTTTTCCCAGGAGAATCGAAAGTTATTCTACCAACGAACCTTTGGGCGACGACAAATGAAGCGCTCGATTCTGATCGTGTGATTGAGTTCTTCATTGAAAGACCTCCTGCATGCGGTGAGATTGTCGATGCTTCCGGTGCAAAGTTAAAAAGCTTCACACAAATCGACATCAAGAACAAAAATGTTGTTTACAAAGCTGCGCTGGACCAAACCCAGTGGAACACAGTAGACGTCTTCACATTTTCTGTCCGCGCCCAACCCGCCACTCCGCTAAAGCAGAACAACTTTTTCGTTCAAGTTAGCTACGATAAAGACAATGTCCCTCAGTTAGCGAAACTGTACCCCCTGAAAGTACAAGAAGGTGGTTCTGAAACGATAAACCATCAATATATCGACGCTTCGAATTTTTTCCTGAAAGTACGTTCCGGAGAAAATAAAAACGATTATAGACTCGAATACGAAGTGCTCAAAGTGCCCGAGCATGGAAAATTGTTTCTTGACAGGATGGTGCTGCGCAAGGGATATCCGTTGACGCCAGGCAACTTCTTATCCAATAAATTGAGATACGACCACGATCATTCCGACTTCCCTTCAGACTCTATTCAAATGAGCGCCCGCTTGATTGACGAGCAGTACGAGAACGTTCCCGACATAGTCAATGTAAATTTCACCTTGCAAATAGAAGTTGAAGGAATTAACGACAACATACCGGAATTGCGCTTTCCAGATAGAAGTAAATCCACTGTAAACATTATCGAAGGGCATCCACATGCGCTTGGCAAAGATGATTTTGAAATATATGACAGCGACCGTGATGAAATTATTGTCAAAATTCATCAAGGAACTTCCCTCGGAGAATTCAAAAGAAGCGACAAAATCGATGATGAGCTCGAATTCTTCACTAATACTGAAATGAATGAAGGAATGATCCTGTTTTTACCGAGAGAGGATGCGAAGCTAAATGAGATTAGCTCCGTGACAATCAGTTTTACCGATGGTTTTCATAACGAGGACTTTCAACTGTTGCAGATACAAGTTCTACCTTTCAATCTAGAAATCGTTGCATCAGAAATAGGTGGAGTTTATGTTGATTGACCATTCATAATTTTTTTTAAGAAATCGCGCAAGGCGATCGAGCAGCTCGTCTCTCAACATTTGTAAATATTACTACCAATGGTGACCTAAGCCGTGTTTCTTGCCATTCTACCAGTCCTTTGCATGGAAATATTATCCTCGATTCGGAGCCCTTGAAGTCCAAAAAGTTCTACTCTGCTAGTTTGAATCACATAAATTACGTGATATCCGATGGTATGGCGACAGAAGACTCATTCGTTCTATCATGCAAGAGCGATCTCGTCAAAGATTATGTTGCTCAAACTACAGTTAGTGTCAAATTGATTTCGGGGGTGAAGTCGGCAGATGAATACATACTCCTTAATCCTCAGCCTTCGCCTTTTACTAAGTTCACTGACGATATTCTGGACACCTCGAAACTTCTTCAATACAGCCCGATCTTTTTTGAGCCAGTAAAGGTATAAAATTTTTTATTGCAACTTCGCTATCTGACAAAATATTTAGACAAACGGTTTGGAGATTCGACGATTGGAAGGCTCTGTTTCGGAGACTGAACATAAAAACAACTCTGAAAGCGTAAACTGCACGGAGTTCAATGGCTTCTCTTTGTGTTCGCCGATAAAGTTCACCCTGAACGAGATGAATTCGGGTGTTATTTTTATTGAATCGAGCGCAAACGACGTTGCCACTGAATTAAAGTTGCTAGTGTCGGCGTCAATGATACCACCAGTGGAATTCGCAACACCCGTTGAAATGGCTGACGACGTGAACGCAGCGCTTCTGCCGCACTTCGGAATTTCTTCTGATGAACTGTACTCTCACAAAGACGAAGGCGAGCAAGAGCATCAAGGCGCTTTTGTGCATAAACCGACCACACTGCCAGACGATGATCTGAGGCCAAAGTCGCCTCAGACTAAGAAAGAATTTGTCACCCCGCCGATTCAAGACACTCGTGCTAGCGATGAAGAGGACACACCCGCGGTTCCTCTAGAGCTAGGCTCATTGCTATACGTGATTCCTGCTGCAGTACTCCTTGTTGTACTTGTTATAATTATTGGTGCCGTCATTTTTTCAAGAAAACAAAAAGCTAGAAGAGACTCGAATGAGGTACTTTAAATTGTTTAAAATGTATAAAAACTGATTAGGAAAAGAAGAAATTCTTGACAAAGTATTCGCCACCTACAACTATCAAGAAAGAAGAGATCGAAGGCGCAACTGTCTATTCCTATCCTGCTGCGCACGACTCCTCCGTAAAGGTAAACGCTGTCGCTCTCGATGGTTTAAGCTTAAATAAACTTAAAGGTTACTGTCCCACAAAATCGCTACGACTCTCTGATGCCATCAATTGTTGTACGTCCGCTTGCACCCGATGAGTCAATTTATGAAGGATCTGTCTCAGATGACGGAGGTAATTTTGATCCGCTTATTTTAACTTTGCTCATTTCACTGTTTATGAACAACTCTTAGGCCATACTGCTTATGCTGGTTCAAACTACTTCGGTGTTCTTTCCATGTCCAATTACGAAGAGAGTCGCCCAGATACTAACTCAAACTCGATGGAAGAGTCGTCTCTTCTTGATCATATGGACCAAGTTGACCGAATGAGCCACTTCACGACAGACACGCTGCAGGCAAAGACGCAGCATTGGGTCTGAGCCATTTACTTGTAAAAACTAAAACTTCTGTTCACCATCGAGAGCACTTCGTTTTTTGACCCTAATGTAAAAAAAAACAAGAATGAAGTGTCTTTTTATAAACATTCTGTAACAGTTACTGTAGCTCCATTACCTCAAAACGCCTCAATAAATTCAAACACAAACAACAATTTTTCATTGAAATCAAGGAAGATACTTGCTTGGCATAAAATTCGATAACGAGTATCAGTGAATTAGATATTTACCAGGAGTGCAGTTGCGAGTTACCAGCCTTATCATGTATGAAAAATTTTGATACTGGGGGGGGAATTTCCTTTTTACCTGAATTGTTTCCGCTTCTGCGATAAAACAGGAACGATTTCGATTTTCAGTGATGTTTTCCTTCTCGATAGGCCCGCGAACTCATTTGTGTTTTTATTAATTTAGAGAAGGTAGCAAAGCAGAAAAATAGAAAAAATGACATTTCCGATGTTTGTTAAAGGGGAACTAGAGATGAAAGATCCTAGTAGTACTATAGCAACAACAACTACGAGTAAGTAAATATGAGTTTGGGATATTTTTTGAGATCAAGAAAGAGAAAAAGAATTTTTAGAGACTCTCAATGCATTAGCTGAAACTTGTGGAGATGACTTTTCGTGCAAGTACACTCTATTTATGGGTATGTTTTGTTTTCCTTCACTTTAGTTCTATTATTTTTTAAGCTACTTCATTCGGGCCACCAGTTTTGCTTATTGCTGGCGCTTTTATTCTTCTTATTGTGATTGGCGCTGTCCTCTGTGTTTTAGAGTACTGCAAAAATGTAGGGAATACTCTGTTATTTCATATAATTGATAAAATGCATAGAGGCGAACTGAAACAAGAAGAGAAGACGAAGATAAACGCTTAAAAATTCACCATGAGAATCAAGATAGAAGACTTGAAAGAGAACTAAAAATATTGGAAGCAACTGGTCGTTTTCCGCACCAACCGTAACTAAAATAAAAAATCGATATATTTATTATATTTAAGAAACTCCAACGAGAGATTCGAGCGACAACATAATCAAAGAAGTCATGAAAATTATGAAGAGGTCAATGAAACTCAGGAAAGGTTTCGCAGCGGCAATATTCAAGGGCCTCTTGTTACACGAAGATCATCATTCACAGACGATACTCCCGAAGAAAGAAAAAAAGCTTCATTCAAAGCGAAGATAAAAGTTGCTCCAGCACTGTGCGATGAACTACTCGATACATCCGCCGCGTTGACCAGGGCGGGCTACACAGGTGGATAATTTTACTCACTCTACGAAATTCAAAATTTGCTTTTTCCAAATTAAAGAAAACTAAGTATTGCGCTGTGTGCCATCAGCTGCGAAACATCTTTACAGAGGGGTCGCAACAGTCCACCGCCACTTGCAGGAAACACCAGCCATCAAACCCAGCTCTAACCACTGTCACCTTTCTTCTCTCGTAGTTTCTCAGTCACTGCCCTATCAAACTCAATCCAGAGGAAAACCATATTCAAAAAGCTCTGTCGAAAACATAAACGAGAAAAAAGAAGAAAATCCGCTAACTAGAAGCTCACCACCAAAGTAAGGCGTTGGAATAATAAAAAATAAATCAAATTCAAGAGTCAGCAAGGATAAATGTGTGTACACAAAAAATGGGAAACACGATTCCGAAGACTGGGTCTGTAAAGAATGCTTCAAGGCCTATCCTGGAACTGGCCATATCAATCGGACAAATTACCCTCATCAACTCCCATCGTCGAAATCGAATTCTTGTTCTCTCTGCAAAGATAACAAAGGCGAGCACGAGGACTACATTTGCGCTTGTTGTTTCCTACCTTTTACGGAATCTTCTTAGAAAATGTTGTTCTTTGTTCTCCTATCTTATTCATCATTTATGTTCAGAAATATTTTTCCTCCCTCGCGTGCCTCCATATAGATATAAATTATTGTCAATTACTCGAATTTACACTCTTAATTACTCCAATAGAATCACTGAACTGCAAAATCCGAAATTTATTTGCAGGCAATTTATTCACAAATAAAATTTCATCTTATCCAAGGACGGTGTTTGAAGTGACTTTTTGTTTGGGCTTTTGACAAATTTGCTTTTTATACTTTATTGAAATATATTTTTCTATGAATTAATACCCACAATGCTATTCTTACAAATTTGTGCTCTTTTTCTGGAAAATGCGACAAAAAAAAAAAACAAAAACAATCAACGCTTAAAAACTCACGCTTAGTTGGCGCTGGAGCTTCTGGGATAGTGACACCGAGATCAGTAGCAGCAGCTTCGACAGCGGCCTCGTCAGTAGTGGCGGTACCTCCGGCCGATTCGACGGCCGCCGTGATCTGAGCTTCCATCTGTTCTTGTAGAGATGCAGTTGGAGTTGTTTCACTATCAGTAGTTTCGACAACACCCTGCATGACAACGTCAAATAGCCCTTCTTGCATGACGCGCTGATATGTAGCAGACCATCGACGGCGGATAGTTCGTGATTTTTGATCGAGACCAAGAATCTTTATCGATTTCTTGTCCAGTCCAAGAAGCTCAATAATTAAGTCCCATGTGCTTGGATCGCTCAGGCTAACATCAGCTTATCGAAGGGTCAATATATTTCCTCATAAAACGAACATGCTAAATCAATTCTTTTGCGTTCAACTCAAGAATCTAGCGAAACCCCTGCCTGGAAGAGTGCTCAACTGAGCAAGCGCTTCAACCGTATCAGTATCGGGCTTTTTACATCGGTCAGTTGGTACGCATTTGCCTCCCTTGAAGCCAAGAAGGTAATCGTTGCCATTTTTACGGACGTATCCTTCCTCGCATACGCAACCGTGAGTGAGATCTTTGTCCTCGTCGTGGCAGTATTGGAGCTCTTCGCTTTCGTACGCCCATGATCGACAATCGTCGAAACATCTGCAATTTACGAAATTTATACAATTTATCTCAGATAAAGTCTTTACCTGGGGACTGGGGAAGCATATTGTTCTCCTTTTCTGCATTGATCAGCGTAACAAGTTCCAAGGGTAACGCACTTACTGTCTCTTTTGTTCTTCTCCTTGACAAAACCCTCATTGCAAACGCAATAACCCTTCTTCTTTTCGTGACATGATGCGCCTTCGTGACCATCTGGATATCTGCAGGAAGCTGGGCAAGCTGGTGCTTCCCATTCCCAGTGAGAGTTCTCATCTTCGCAAGGAAGATCAGGCTTCACACATTCTTCCTCGGGAACACAAGGAGAGAATGGAGAGTCGAATTCTCGGATGTATCCTTTTCTGCATTTGCAACCAGGGATGGCAAGGGCGTCTTCAACTTCGGAGAAATTATCGATGTCGGCAGTCATTAAGGTGCAATTGAGTGCAATTGCATCGTCGCAGTAAGGAACGCAGAGTTTTGTCTGCTCTTGGAACTTGGAGAACTTTGGACATCCACCGAAACATTTATGGTATGGAACGCATTCGGCAGTTGTGGAATTATCTTCCCGGAAGTAACCCGGTCTGCATACACATTGCTTTTTGCAGTTCTCTTCCATTCGTCCGAAAATAATGTTAAAGAGTTCTTCGTTTTGCCATTCAACGAGCGAGTCCATCTGTTCTTGGCAAGTTGGCTGTTCTTGAGTTGGACAAGCAACCATTTCGGTCCAGACATCGCACGAGAATCTGTCGTTAGCGCATTCGTCAGTGTAGCAAGGGAAGTAAAGGTCCATAGTATCCTTGATTTTGTGGAACATTCGTTTCCATTCTGGGTAGAGATCAAGATCTTCCCGGCTTCTCATGTAACGAATCATGAACTCAATTTCGTCCATATCGAGACGTGGACAATCAACAATCTGATAAGAAATAGCGTACTCTACAACATCCCCATCGCTGTCACCAAATTCAAGATCTGGCTCAATCTCTTTAATATCGACGACGTAAATATTATCGACAAGAGAATCAAACTTATCGAAACGAAGAGAGACGAGGTAGTTCCAGGTGTATCGGTTGTCGATATCCACTCGAAGAGGGAGGTCTGTTTCTTCAATAATTTCAATAAAGTTAAAGTGTCGACATGATTCGCCATCGTGGTCATTTGAACAGGATTCTTCAGGGATACACGGTGAGTTTGGATCAGGTGTTAAACGGACGTAGCCTTCTGCACAAACACATCCTTCATACAGAGTCTCTGTTCCATCACAGTAATCCGGATCTGTGAAAAGCTTGAAGGTTTCACAAGTTGCGAAACAAACGTCCAGCTGCTCAACATAGATTTCGTTAGCACCACATTCAACAATAGGAATGGAGCAATCTTCTTTGGGAATGCAAAGAGCATTTTCGGATTCGTCAGCCAAAATGTATCCTTCTTCACAGACACAGCCGGGGACGCAATCTTCATCGTCATCGTCAAAACAGAAGGCATCCTCATTGTCACAACTTGGAGAACACATGCAGGTCGAGAAAATCATATTTTCTGGACATTCTGGATCTGGGCACTCTTCTTCGGGTACACAAGCAGATTCAAAAGTTCCGTTTGTCTTGACAAATCCATCAAGGCAGTTGCATCCATCAATGCAAACGTCGAGACATATTTCTTCAGTCTCCCACTTGTATGTCTCGCAAGTGTGGAAGCATGTAAGGGTTCCCTCGTCAAAGTCCTCGCAAGCAAGGTACTCAGATGTTTCCGAATCACAAGGGAATCGGCAAGGATCATCAACGGTACCGACACCGATAAGATCACCTGGACAGGCGCACTCGTATCCGCCCCAGTAGTTGACGCAAGCAGCGTCGTTGTCAAGATCACACATATGACTGCCTTCTTTGCACTCATCGCGATCAACGCATCGTTTCTTTTGTCATCCCACATTAAACCTTCATTGTTACATAGACACATGAAACTTCCGACAGTGTTTTCACAAACTGTGTTCGATGGACAGAGATTATCGTCGAAACCACATTCGTCAACGTCAACGCATTCATCGGATGAGTCATGTTCGAAACCGACTTGGCAAAGACATTCGTATGAGCCAAGAGTATCTTTACAGAACTCAGTGATCTCATCACAGTCAGAAGTGCCAAGCTCGCACTCGTCTGCGTTAAGACACTTCATATTACCCTCCTTGTTTTCTCTCAATTCATATCCGTCAAAACAGATGCACTCGTAGCTTCCTTCTGTGTTGACACATTCAGAATTTCGATTACAGTCGTTGATAATAGTACATTCGTCGACATCTACACAGCCGTCATCAGACATCGCATATCCAGCTGCACAACTGCACTGGAAACCTCCATCAGTATTTGTGCATTTATCATCTCCACAAACACCGTCGTCACATTCATCAATATCATAACAATCGATTCCAGTGGTAGTATCAAGCTCGTAACCATCTTTGCAAGCACATGAAAAGTCGCCATCTGTATTCGTGCAAATTCCATGTGGACCACAAGGTTCACCAGTCTGACACTCATTGACATCAGTGCAGCTTCCCATGTTGAATCTGTAACCGTCCTCACATTTGCACATGTAGCTACCGATAGTATTGTAACAATACTGGTTCTCTTCAACACAACCGTGGGTACCAGCGTCACATTCATCAATGTCTTCACATCCATTAGCTGTAAGTTCGTAAGATGGCGGACATTCGCAAGTAGCGAGTTCAACGCAGGGACCTCCAGGGAATTTACGAACAAAACCGCCCGCACATAAGCACCCGGTTTGGCATTCAACGGTATCGTCAGGACATGTTGGTGGTTTGTTATTGAGCTCCGAAAGACAGTCAATGACGCACTCTCTGTTTGCACAATCATTTTCGACTTCATTTTCTTCGCATGGTGAGGGCTCGCATGGAGATCCAATGACACCGAGACCTGTAAGACCGCTCGAGCAGTAACAAGTAAAACCTCCGTCGACGTTATTGCACTGTGCACCAGATGCATAGTCGCAGTTCGTTGTTCCAACTTCGCACTCGTTAATATCAACGCACTCACCGCCTACATCTTCGAATCCGAAGGCACAGACGCACTCGAAACTGCCGACTGTATTTAAGCACACATCTGGCCAATCGCAGTCATTAGCAGCAGTGTTACATTCGTCAATGTCTCGACAGATATTATCCTTGCCAACATAGCCTTCTCGGCAATGACACTCAAAGGATCCATCAGTATTGAGGCAATAGCTCTCTCGGTTGCAGTTATCCAGGTTCAAGTTGCATTCATCGATGTCGACGCAAACATCTTGGAGGAATCGGTTGTTAACGAGAGCGTATCCATCGTTACATCGGCACTCGTATGAGCCAGGTAGATTAACACAGACAGTTCCTTGTCCGCAAACATCGAAATCATCATTTTCGCACTCATTGATGTCATCGCAATCATCAGAGGTTTCGTTTCGGCTGAAACCTTGAGCACAGACACAATCATAACTTCCTTCATTATCAACACAGTCTTCGCCAGCCCGATGATCGCACTCGCTCTTTCCGATTGCGCATTCATCAATGTTTTGACATGACTCGCCATTGTATATGTAACCGTCTTCGCAGACGCATTCGTAGGAGCCGTCAGTGTTCTCACAATTCATATTGTCATCACTATCACAGACATAGTCGAAAAGACACTCGTCAATATCAGCGCAAGAAGAACCGCTTTCTTCGTAACCTGGCAAGCAGGGGCACAAATATCCACCAGGAATGTCGACGCAGAATTGTGTTTCGTCGCAATCGTCGGTGTTCAATCGGCATTCGTTAACATTCGAACAAGCTCCGCTCTCATCCCAGTTGAATCCGTCGCCACAAGTGCAGATGTAGCTACCATCAGTGTTTTCACACTCGGTAAAATCACCACAGAGTACCTCACGCATAGCGCATTCGTTGATATCCTCACAAGTGTCGTCCTGCTCGTTGAATTGATAACCCTCATCACACTCGCAGTAGAAAGATCCAAAAGTATTGACACACTCAGCATCACCACAGACTGTACCGTCAGCACATTCGTCAATATCTTCACAAGACAAGGTATCGTAGCTGAACTCGAGTCCAGGGTCTTCATTACACTTAACGTGTGGACAACTGTCAATGAAAACACACGGTCCATCATCGATTATTCGAGCCATGCCATCAGGACAAGCACAGACACCCGGCCCCGCGCAGTCAGTGTCGGGGTCGGAACACGCATCCTCATTGGCGTGATTTTCACAAGTTGACTGACAAGCGTCGGAAGCACAAACATTGAAAACTTCTCCCCTAGGACATTCAACGTCTGGAGTGAGCGGAATAACCTCCCACAAGTCGTTATTTTCAACAATGACCATAGATTCAGCATCTTTAGAATCATAGACTCGTCTTCCGGTATTCTCGATCCATTCATTCAAGACCAGTTGACTGCCTGGGATATTTTTACGTTTCGAAACAATGACGGCTTCAAAAGGAGCGAAATGGATGGTTCTGGCAAAGTTTCGTCGAGCAGCATCAAGTTGCGCGCATCGTTTAAAATTGATCGCTACGTTAAGAACATTGAACTTGAGACCTTCTGGAAGATCGCCGTAAAGAACATCTTCAGCCATCGCAATGAGTTCAGATTGTGGGTAATGCCTGAAAGCGCAGAAATTTTGTTGGACCAGTTCAAGCACAGTGAATCGGTTTAATTTACCAGCGACACAAGTGTCAGCAGCGGTGAGTGTTTCACCTTCAATATCACACTCACACTCATAGCTGACTTCACCGAGTGGTTCACCAGCAAGATCGAATTCAGACGTCTCTCGGCAATATGTTCCGTCGGGACAAGAGGTGCTTGGTTGAAGACAAAGCTCACCTCGACAGTCGTCGTAAATACACTCAAACAGAAGCTCATAACCAGTGACGCACTGTTGGAACTCAGATGTTCCTTCGATTTTAATGTATGCACTAGAAAAATCCATAATAACTTCAAGGCTGCCATAGATATCATCATAAATATGAGGAGAACTGGATGGGAAGACATATCGTGCAGCGAAGAAATATTCCGAATCTCCGTATCTAACTTGTTCGCTTGTCTCAACTCCGAAAGATGAAATTTTGAGAACAACATCTTCCGTAAACTCATCCGCGATCGCGTTGAGTGCTTCAAGATCAGCGGCGTCAATAGTGGAGGATTCGCCGACATAGACGAAATCAATTGAGTCAAGAGATTTTGTCACAGCATTACATTCATAAGTAGGGATACATTTGTCATCTTTTTCGGAGTGTCGAACGTAACCGGGGGCGCAGACACAGCCCATCTCACACTCGGCATATCGTTGAGCGGGGCAAACGTTAACGTTGTCAAGACTCCACGACTCGCAGGTATCATAGCAAGCATTGTTCGCGCAACTATCAGGAATCATAAATTCTGGACACTCGAAGGTAGTATCACATTCATCAACGGGGACACATGGGGCGAAAGGATGGAAAAAATCCTTAACGTATCCATCGCTACAGTCACATCCAGCTGTACAAGAAGTGGGATACTCAGTGCATGTAAAATCAGGCTCGTCACAGGTAGCGGCACATTCGTCAAAGCACTCTGCATCGACAGAGTTCGATGGACATGTAAGACAGTCAGTCATCGGAACGCATTCACCGGATTCGTTCTTGATGAAACCATCGTCACAGACGCACCGAGCTTCGCATCCGTTGTTTTTGCCAAAGACAGAAGATGCTTGTTCACGGCAAGAAATTTTGAATGGATCTGCGCAAGTAGCTTCACAGCCGTATTCGCATGCGGAGTACTTAGAGTTAGCACCACACTCGAGAGGACACTGATTGATTGGGATGCACATAGCGTCAGTCTTTTCGCCATCGTCAGTCACCTGGTATCGAGCATAGCCAGGCTTGCATGCACAGCCTCCTTCGCATTGCTCACCGCACATGTCATGTCCGCCACCCATGGAAATATCCTCACAGGTGTCATCACACTGAGGACACTTGCTTGGTTCTTGATTAACTGGGCATTCCTCTTGGGTCCAGTCAAGACCACAAAGACTTATGTCAAGATAAAATTGAGCATCAGTGTCCAAATAAACGTCTCGTCCTTCTGCTGAGAGAGCATCTACAAATCCTCCAAAAGAGCCATCAGTTTCGCTTAGATCTGATATCTCTGCCAACACGCAAATGGAGTCCATACCGTCCATAGACCACGTAGTAGAGTTGCCCTCCTTATAGTCGAAAGCTTTGATTCGAATACCATAAGCTGTGAATTGACTGTAAAACTCGTCGAAAATTGCATCTGGAGTCAAAGCAGTCAAACTTTCGACAACCAAAGTTTCCACAAATTGGCCTGCAGTCACACATTGATCACTGGCGGCATTGATAGACACAGTGTAATCTGGGCAACCACAGTATGGGACAGGAGTCATGCTTTCTGTAGAATCAGTGAGTTTGCAAACCAAATCACCGGAGCAGATATGACTATCGCAAGGATTTTCATAATCTGGAATAGCATCTGCAAGGTCAAGCTCTTCCACAGTGTCGAAGAAAGCAGCGTCAAATTTTGTAAGAACACCACGTCCACTCATGTACATGTATGTTCGGAACGCAAGCAAGTCAGCATCGTGTCGAGCAAAGCTGACTTCTGGGAAGGTGACAGCAGCAACAACGACGTAAGAGGACTCTGTTTCGTTTCCACTCATCCACATTGTCTCTTGGTCAATGACCTCAGCAAGCTGAATAACTTCCACCATAAAGCTTTCTGGAAGATCACTGTACAAAGCATCACGAACTGCGATAAGATCATCAACATCAACGACAGTAGAGTCGATTTCCAGAACTTCGATAAAGTATTCAGTGTCATCAACGTAATCATCGACATTAATTCCACAGCTGTCTGCGTATTCAAGAAACTCGTTTTCACCTTCGAAAGCAATTTCAGGGGAAGCAGAACGCGTGCCAATGAAATCCATGAATTTTTCGAGGGTAGCGTAAGCAAAGCTGCTATAATCTCTATTGACGCTGATCTCCAGGATAATAGCGTAACTGTAGTAATCGGCATTGACTGGAGTCTGTTCTTGCTTCTTTTGGGCCCAAAGTGATCGCCGAGAAGCAATGTCGAGAGCGTCGAAAGTGATCTTGTTTTTCTTTTTCTTGCCACGATCAGCTTTTTTCTTTTTCTTTTGCTCTTTCTTCCATTTCTTTTTCTTAGGTGTAGTAGCTGGTGTTGTCGTAGAGGTAGAAGTTGTTGTGGTGGTAGTATTTGTACTGGTCGTAGTTGTAGATGTTGTAGAAGTCGTTGTTGTGGTTGTTGTAGTAGTAGTAGTTGTAGTAGTTGTGGTTGTAGTAGTTGTGGTTGTAGTAGTTGTGGTTGTAGTTGTTGTGGTTGTTGTTGTGGTTGTTGTGGTGGTTGTTGTGGTGGTTGTTGTGGTGGTTGTTGTGGTAGTTGTTGTGGTAGTTGTTGTGGTTGTTGTTGTAGTACTTGTTGTTGTAGTACTTGTTTTGGTAGTACTGGTAGTGGATGTGGAAGTGGTGGTTGATGTTTCAGTTGCTGCCGCTGAGGTAGAAGTTGCTTCAGACTTTTTCTTCTTCTTCTTTTTAGAGCCGCCGTCTTCTTCTTTAGCAAGTTTGGCAGCTTTCTTTGCTGCTTTTTTCTTGCTCTCCGATCCACGACGCACACGTCCTCCGCTAGAATCCGAGTATCCAGAGATGTCTGTAAACCCAAGGACTTTCACGTTGTAATCGGCGGGTGCATTATCGTACAAATAGTAAGCCAGGTCTTCGTTTGTCCATGGCCTATCACCTTAACCATGCGAAGTAAGAAGTCATTTTAAGACTGCGATGGTACATACCTGGTACAACTGTTTTTTCAATAGCCAGAATCGGTCGTTGGTTAAGAAGCTCGTTCGGGTCGACATATCTACCTATCGTCTCAATCCCTATCCACAGGAGAAACCATTTGAAAGTCCTACTGTAAGCGAGGTTCAAACTGTTTCTATTTTTGTTATCTCTTTTAAAGTCGCACTCTCTCTATTCAAACGTTTTTTCTGAAACTAATCATCTATGATTTCTCTAATTGTAAATTGTAAAATATGTCAAAAATATAAAATCTCGGCCTGAAAGGACTCCGCATGGCGACTTCTGATCTCGCGAGTCGGTTTCTGAGCTTCGAATATTCCTTTTAGCGATGGCTCGGGCGTTAGGAAGATAATTATCTTCCCGCCGTGCGACGATCACTGCCGCAGATAAACTCCGAACATGTCAGAAGATTTTGATACCGGAGATAATGAGGATTTGTTCTCCTGCCCGAGCAGTCTCCACTTGTCGAGCATATTCCATCGTCGTTTTGTTCTTTACATACATGAATATTCTGTCAAAAAATTTCGGAATTCTTTAACCTGTGGAGCAGTATTTATATTTTTCATATTTTCTAGTTATTTTAAAATTATCGCATGAGATTATTGGTAGTTAATTATTATGTATGAAGATAAGAAGTGAAAAAAATCCCTGTTTTCAATTATTTATTCGCTGAGGATGGGTAAACGTGTATTCTAACAAGACAAGTACTCTCTATCGAGAAGTAGTTGAAACTTGTCTCGTTTTACTCGTCGATTTAGGCGATGTCCGACTTCTTACTTCAATTTCCTAAATGGCAGAGAATAATTATGGGCTTCGTCGTTGGATTGTTTATTTTCTCTATTCTTATTGTACTTATCCTGCTTTGCGGAAATTATACATTTTTAGTTTCTCCTTAGGTTGAACATCGACATTCAAAAACGCAGAAAATACGAAACATCTATCCTTCGAAAGACTTGCAAGAGAACTGGATTCCTCGACGAAGGAGAGAGTTAGTTGAATCTTTATCTTCGATTTTTAAACATGCCTGATTGCAATGATCTGCAGACTTGCGTCGACAAACTCTCTATAAGGGCGAATGAAAAGCTGCTCTTGTCCAGATGGAGATTGTTACGGCTTTTTGAATGTTTTTTTAATACAAATGACAAAATAGAGCTTCGCCACAATCATAGAAAAGCGTTTGAATTGAAATTGCTCCTGCGATGAAAACAAATCCTGCTTGTCGAAATAAATTTGATAGAAGAAAGTTGACGTAAACCCTTAGAGTTAAGGTCTTACATTCAGATTCATTGTGTGAACATGGGTTTTATTCTTTGGAACCTTTAAGGGAAGGTTGGTTAGTGAAGCAAAAGAATGTTGTCTAATGGGCAGTAGAAATAAATGGAATGTGGTGCAAGTGAAGACCCTGAGATAGGTTAGTTTTTCGATGATTGAGGGAAGAAGTGCTCAGATCCAGCAATAATAGATGTATCTAGCGCCTAAGAAATATCCAGGTTAGTGTTAGTATCTAATAATCTTCTACTTAGCAGAGTTTGAGAAGTAACTCAAATTGCCAAGAAGAAAAGACTTATAGATAATCAAATAAATTGGTTAGTTTGTTAGAACCTTGATGCGCGCATTCAATTTCTTGACTTGGCGCTCGAGTTCAGCATTCTTCTCCCGGAAATTGGTGTTTTCCTGGCGTAAGCGCTCCGTGTACTTGATTTTTTGCAAGTGATTAGTGTGGCCCATCGTGGACGACAACTTGCGCTCAGTTTCATTCAGACTCTGTTAGACGGGTCACTACAACACTCAAAATATGAACACACAAATCAATTAATTAGGCGATGACGATGATGAGAAATTACAAATGTTTTTTTATCAAGACCCAAGCTCCTTTTGTAAGTTTTGGTTTTGCTCAACAAGTACATTTTTCTCGGCGTTGAACTCTTCTATAATTGCGTCGTCCACTTTAGTTGCTAGTTCATCGCGCGCTGCAAAATTATTGTTTCGTTGAGTTTGAAGATCGAGTTCTGCCCCAGAGTTTGAAATGCTCGCAAATGCTCGCGAGCGCAAAGAGCGAGAGCAAAAATTTATCATTGCTCTGAGAGCAGGGGAGCGGGAGCATGAAAATAAAGTTGCTCGAGAGCCAAAAGAGCGCGAGCCCAAATTTGAAACCGCTCGCGAGCGCGGAGAGCACGAGCGCATATGTCGGCAATGCTCGGGAGCTAGACGAGCGGGAGCGGCTGCTCTCGTGCTCGCCATGGAATTGACTCACGAGCGGCTCGCGAGCAAAATTAAAGGAACAATTTTTTGCGTTATTATTCATTTTCATGGATAAATTTCTCTCGTGGATCAATTTTTCGTGTTTCCGATTTGTGCAAGCTTCATTAGGTCCGTAATCTCGGCAGCGGAACGCGAAAAGCCGAGAGTAAACAGATAAAAGATGCCCACCGCCAAGTGCTAACTCCTGTGAGAGGGACTCATTTGGAAGTAGTTACGGGGTCGTCGAATCATTTTAGGCTCTTGAAAGCTGCTCGCGAGTCAGATTTTTCAGCTCGGGAGCCAATCGAGCGAGAGCAAAATTTGACCAGTGCTCGGGAGCCAGGAGAGCGAGAGCGCGTAATGAAATGTGCTCGCGAGCACAAAGAGCGCGAACGCTGAAATATATGCGCTCGGGAGCACAAAGAGCATCATGCTCGTGCTCGCCCGCTCTCAAGTGAGCCGCTCGCGAGTCTCGAAAATTTCAAACTCTGTTCTGCCCTGGCATTCTCAAGGGCAAGCTTGAGCTCTTTGACCTCCATCTCGTGCAACTGTTTCTTCTCAAATTCAGCTTTCTACAACTCGTGAATAAACAAAAGCAAAAGAATGCAATTATTACCCGCAAACGAGTGTTTTCGTCGTCTTTGTACTTGAGCAAGGCATCTCTATCAGCGATAATTTGCTTGAAACGACGTTCTTCTTCTTTCATTTTTTTGGTCAATCCTTCCATCTTCTCGTAGAAGACCTTTTCTTGTTTCATCGCGGATGATTTCAACCGGTTGTATTTCTCATCGCTAGCATCTTTTTTGATCAGTCCACCGACAACTGAGTCGTTGACCTGGCTGATTCTCTTCTGCAGTTCTGCCTCAACAGATTCGTTTGCTTCTTTGGACATTTGCAATTCGCGGACAATTACGTCTCGCTCGTTCTCTAGTTCCGATAGTTTTGACTTGGCTTCGTCCAGATCTAAAAACGCTTTGAATAGATGTATTTAAATGATTCATGGAATTAACCTTCCACATTTCGCATGAGAGCTTCGAAATGCTCCTCCAGTTCGTCCTCGTATGTTACTTGCTGCTCGACGAGCTCTTTCATTTGTTCTCTTGTATCGTGCAGATTCAATTGCAGTTCGGCATTCTCTTCTAGCAGTGCCTCGCACTTTAGCTCGAATTCGTTGCCGACTTCAACTTGTTTCATTAGAATTGCGCGGTCAGCTTTGCAATTCTCGAAATCCTTTGTCAGAACGCCTAGTTCCTCCTGAAGCGCGACGATATCCGCAAGATTTTTTTTCTGTTCAGTCTCGTAATTTCTCGAGATGTCTTCCCAGTTGTCTAACTGAGTCTGGAGTGCCACAACTTCGCACTGGTGTTGTTCAGCATCGCGTACGCGGTCGCTCTCTAATTTTGCTACTTGAGTTTCGTATTTGCATTTTTCAGTCTCAAGTTCGCGTTTCAAAGATTCGATGGTGGCGGTATGCTTTTGATCTTTGATTGAGTAGTCAGTTTCCAACTCGGCGAAGGATTGTCGAGCATTCTGGAGGTCAATCTTGCATTCCGTGATTTCGAGCTCAAGGTCTATCAAGAGTTAAATTGTTTCCGTTCTACCGCAACATTTTTGCTTCCATATTTAATACAAATAAGAAAGTTAGCCAGCTTTAACTCCATTCCTAGACATCTTTGCGTCGTTTCCCTTTGCTCTTTCTCGTTGAAGTCAATCCTTGAACGCAGCTCTGTAATAACCTGCTTCAGGTGCTCAATCTCGCTTTGTGCTTTTTCCAACGAAGCTATTTTGATGGATAAGTCCGCAGTGAGTCTACTTTTTTCTTCTTCCTGTGACTCGGAATCGAGTGTTAGCGCCGAGAACTTGCTCTTCATTTCAGCTAGGGTGTCGCCAACAGAGTTCGCTCGTTCTTTTTCTTTATCCAATAATTCGGTTTTCGATGCAAGCTCGTTCTCAAGCTCAACTTTTTGCTGCTCGTAGAATTCGAGCCTGGCTTCCATCTCTTTTAGAGAGGCCTTTTTTTCTTTGAGCTGTGTCCAGCTTTGGTTTCGCTCCTTTTCGACGCTATCCAGAGTCTTCTTCAGAATATCGTTGTCATCCTTTCAAGAGGTTGAAAGAAGATATTCTTACTACAGTAATCGAAGAACATAATAAATTTGAATTATTTTTCCTCCTTCCTTGAATTGCTGAGCTTGCACAGTAAGCTGCTGGAGTCGGACTTTAGAAATCATGACATTGCTATCCAGCTTCTTCCTTACACCGGATACGTCTTTCTTGCTGAGATAGTTGGGTTTAGTAGCCAACGATCTCTTTGCTTGCTGGGTACCCTTCGGCGCGATCCTCACTAGAAAAGCTTTATAGAAATCCTAGTAGACCAAGGGTACCTGCGATTGAGCGGTCGATTTCTTTTGGATCATAGTCGCCTGGGCCAGGGTTCTTTGCTTTGGAAGCTTCCTCGGATATCAAAACTCGTGGCAACTTCGAAAACGACATTTTTCGTCTACGTGTAGAAAGTGTGTGTTTTCTCTCTCTCTCGAAAGGCAACTCTGAAAATCGCAGCTTAAAATCAGAAAAATATAAACGGCGCCCCGCAGACGAGAAGAGGTCAAAAGGGTCACCTTTTCACAGATTATCGATGAGGAGCGAAAAAATAATCTGGTGATCGAAAACTTAACCGTCCAAACTTGTAACAAGTCGATTGGTCAAAACGCGGTAAAAAAGAGAAAGAAGTAGATATCCGTTTCAAGCTTGAATATTCTAATTGTAAGCTTCTAAAAAAAGTCAATCTTCTTCTTCGGACCATTCACTCAGACTTTCTTCGTCCTCCCAAAATTTGTCGTCAAACAAATCTTCCCCAGCAAGGTCTGGATTTTTCAGCTCCCATTCTTTCTGAATCTAAAACATTTTTTAAACCAATTTTTGCGCTTTGTTATACCAATCTAAACAAATCCATCGTCGCCGTTGCATCTTCCACGGAAGAATGCCCTTTATTTCCCGTCTGTATCTGCCTGTCCAATAGGGCAGTGGACAACCTTTTGAGCGAGATTCTTTGGCGTTTGATCAGCTCCTCATCCGAATCAGGGTCCTCTGGATTTGCAGTTCGCCAGAAACGCAGTTTCAACTGCGGCAATTCAGATATGTCCACGATCGCCTTGCACGGGCATCTCATAAGACTTTTCAAATCCGTGTTTACTGTGTGTCCGATTATTACCGCGTCTTTAAGTATTTCTCGAACTTGGCTCTGCACTTCGCTCATCTCTAAATTGTTCAATAAACACAATTCAATATTGTGCATTTAATCTAAAGCGCTACCTTTTCCTTTGTTCCCAATAAGTTCCTTGGTGATGCCCGACCATCGTGTTCGATAGTCGATTATGCATCCGCCCGGCGGTATGACATACTCGTCAAGGACAACTCGGGAATTTTCATCAACTATGCTCACTCGTGCAAGAGCGTTTTTTATCCAAAACGTCTCTACCATTTCGCAATCGATGGCCATGTATTTTGCCATTTTCTGAAAAGCACAACTTCAAATGACCTTTCTCTATTCTCTTCAAATGACCTTTCTCTATTCTACGACGAATATCCACACAACATCGGAATCGGTTGCTTTTGTTATTTTTATTTACTAATTTATGTACATTCGAAAATAAGAAGCTACTTTGCAGAACAGGCTAGAAAGCTTGAGATGAGTAGATTTTCAGAAAATAATAGTTTTAAGGTCCAGACCTTGGAAGAGTAGTTTTAGGTAAAAATGGGCAAAAATTGGTTCGCACGCTAGTGTGGGTCGTACTGTAATTTGAGGCAAAATCTTGAACTCGCTGAAGAAATATTAAGATTCGCCAAAACTTTTAAATAAATTCCAGTTATTTAAAAATAAAGGGAAATGATCCAATAATTGGGTTCTTTGAGGATGGTCTTAGCCGTGCAAGAAAAAAAAGGTTTCTTTGGACGAAAGTGAATAAAAATCCAAAAATTAAAAATGTCAGTCAAATCCCGCGAAAAGTCTCTTTTGATTATCGTAAAAAGTGCTCTGACGAAAACAAACAGTGTCCGTTGACTTTTATAGATCCGGCATTATTTACTACTTTAAAATTTTAACAGCAAAAGAGAAATTTCGCGCAATTCAGAAAAGCATTTTTGAAAACGATTTCTGTTGATAAAAGCGCGTGATTAATTTGAAAAGTTAAATACTTGCTCGCACCACTCTTTATGGTTTGATTTAATGCTGTGGTAGTTTCATACGCAACTTATTCAGGTAGATTCAGGCGCTAATAAAAGGTAAAGATGAGAAATGAAGGGGAGCTGAAACAAGAGTCAGAGTTGAGAGATAAAGTTGAACTTTAGAGAGAGTCTCCATTGAGGGAAGTTGCTCTGGAAGTCGAAGGCGTAGAGTTTCCTAAAGAAGCAGTTTAACCGAAGTCGAAGGAAATTTGAGCCTACCAAGATTGATCCTTGCACGTCCAAGAATGCCGGCAGTATAGTTAAGCTGATCTGACGTCAACATTTCAGTAGATGATCCTTATCGTTTGCGTAATTTACGTTTCAAGCAAGCAAAAAAGTAACTAGCAACCCTAAATCGTCTACGACTCGTAGAGATCTATCTAACTACCGCTAAAACATTGTTGATTTGGTTCGTATACTAGCTAGACTGATCTAATTTGGCAAAAAGAAGCGAATGAAAAATGTGATGTCAAACCCAATGACTTGGACGAGATCTGGTGGTCGATTCCTTGTTTCAGCAAAGAATTCTTTTGCATGCGCGAGACCGTCGTAGCGAGCATCTTTTCCAACGCGTGCACCTTGTTTCGCAGTCGGATATTTTCGGCGTTGTCGCTCTGAAGAGAAGTGTTTAGAGAAGGGAATTCGGAAGAGAACGCTTACCTCCTGGGAGCAGGCTTTATACTGCATTTTCTGAAGCATCCTGCTCATCTCGTCCAACAACTGCACCAGATCATGCACTTCTTCAACCATCTCCTCTGTCTAAAGAAAACTTTAACGGAAAATAACTTGTCTAAGTGACTTACATCTTCGACACCAAGCTCCACTTTGTGGTAAATGGATTTCGATAGGAGCCGGCCTTGATTGAGACCTTCTCTGAGAGTCCGCAGATCGCTTCCAGAGGGCATGAAGTTGTCCTCTGCTCCACTCGAAAGGGGCGGGGTGAGGGGACCCTCCGTATCAAAGACTACCAAGAGGTTAAAAAAAATATAACTGTAATTATTACTCACATGATTTGCGTTTGTTGGAGTGTTTGATCGGTGACGAGTTTACAGCGGGGTGCATCTCGCGTTGAATCGCTTCCGCTCTCAACTTGTCGATTTCGCAGTCTTTTTGAGAAAGGGCGTCCCTGAGAGCACTCAATTCGTCGTTGTACAATGAAATAGTGGTTCCCTGAAGTAAGGCTTTAACAGAGAAAAAATTGTTAAGAGAAAAATGCTCAAATTTCGACAAAGAATGCGGTCGTTCATCATTAGAATACACAGGTGCGGAATATTCGAGAAGAGGCTCTACTCACCGAAACCTCCGTTTGACAGCCTGAATCAAAGGACAGAGGTCGTTTGCGTTCAGGCTTCGCGGAAGATACGGTTTGGTCCAATTTGAGACGCAAGTTTTGTAGATCCTGAACGATGCCCGGAAGAAGCTGCGCGTCGCTCAAGTCGTTCGGCGATGTTGGGTGGCCCGAGTCCATCGCTTCTAATTCTGATCGGAGTCGGCGCACGTCAAGCTCAGCTTTGGGCGAGTTGTGCAGTCCGGCAATCATTGACTTGATCTCGGTCAACATTGAAGTCAGTGGAAGAATTGAAGAGCGATTGTTCGAGTCGTAGTCGTAATCGGACTCGGAGGCGCAGTCGGACGTTGCCGACTCATCGCGATTTTCGAGTTCGCCTTCAAGCTTGCGAAGGGTTCGTCGCGCCGTGGAAATGAGCCGCCGTTGTTCGAGGTAATCAGCACGCTGAAGATCATCGAGCGTCGTACGCAGACGCGTGCATGAGAGGCGCGCCTGATCGAGCTGCCTTCTCAACGAGCTCAGCTCCTTGTTTTGGCCCTGCACAAGAGATTGATACCTGTAAAAGAAGTTTTAACAAAACGGAAATTTATTAGAAACGATAATTAGGAAATACCGCTTTAGCAGATTCTGGCAAGTTTTTACTAATTAGACTGGACATGCTAGAATTTGATAAAGCGTCGTAAAAAATGAATTACTCTCTACGCTTTCTTGCTGCGAGCCGAGGCCTTTTCGGCGGAAGAGGATGGAAAAAGAAGCGATCAAGATCCAAAGACTGATCTTCTTCGAGCTCACTGTGGCAGCTATAACCTGCTCGTTCAAAAAGATCAAGGTTCATCGCTTTTTTCTTTGATCTCTCTCTGACTTGAAAAAGCTCAAGTGATTCTAGCGTGCTCTAACTTCTAGGCTCGTTAGTCGAATTGATCTTGAAATGAAAACTAACTGTGTAATGTGTTTATCACTGTACGTGACACACTGGAGCTGAGCCAGAAATCGCCTAGCGATAAAGCTGAGCAAGTGATAAGAGTTTGCGAAAGTAAAGGTCAACCCGCAGCGAGCTTTTCACCAATTTAAGAACTATGTAAGCCAAATTCAGAGCCGTTCCGTGACCTCGGCAATTCACGCGTCTGCTGAGTTCTCAGTAGAGGGATGCCTCTTACGAGGATGCACGGATCGGCAGAAAAGGCACATTTTTCACCAAATTTATCGATGACACCGGTAAGGCTCTGATCCAAATCTCGAATACACGAGCCACCAAATTTACCGTCTTACAGTGCTACATGTTCTTCCGTTGTTCTATTTCTAGGGTTTTGATCTCGAATGGACTCGGAAAGGTACTTGATATCGCGCAGATTACTGCCGATATCGTGGATGTTCTCCTCAATGAGGCGCAGGTCCATCATGGATTTGCCGCGCGCGGGACTCTCGAAGTGAACGTTGCGCGATAAACGCCCACTCCCGTCCCTTTGGTAATCAAAGCGATGATCACTTTCGGTACGCTCGAGTCCAAACGGGGTCGACTGGTGATGTGCAGGGACGTTTCTATACCTTGACGATGATTCGTTGTATCGCGAAGGCGTTCCAACTGGAATTCGGAGGTCACGGCTAGAATACACTCAAGACTAGTTAAAACGATGAAGAATACCTCGAGCCATAAGATCGGACAGGACTGCTTGTTCTGTCCGATAGGTTTCCGACGGAAGTGGTCCGTTGCATCCGTCTTGAGTTCGTTTCTGGTCGTGGCAGTCGGGAACGCGGCGCATAGTCCAAATTTCGCGTTTGGCACGCCTTCTCGCACATTCTACTTTCACACTGGATCCCCATATCGTAAGAGCGGGGCTTTCTGGGTACACGACTGGCTTGGCTCGCCAGACGCACATTTTCAGCTCTGAGTCTTTCTACTTCGTCGACTAGGTCGTCGTTCTCGTCCTGCACACGTGCAAGTTCGCTTTCCTTTGCGGAAAGCTCGTCTTCTAGCGTTATATTATTGTTCTCCAAGTCTTCAATTTTGTCTTTTTGTTAAGTTCAGAAAAGTTACACACACTCTTCTGTCTTCCTTTTGTCATCTAAATCCTGGCGACAAAAAAGCCAGAACTTTTTAGAGAATTATGAGAAGGCGGAAGAGAATTATTTTTAATATGTTTTGAACTGGGCCTTGGAGCTCTCGATTTTCGTTGAGAGAATCGTTGAGTTGAATTTCGGTTGATTCGTAAGAATGGGCTGCTTTTTCCCGAGCTCGTCGAGCGTCGTCGCGCAGTCTTTCAATTTGCTTCTTCATCCGCTGCTTCTCTTCGTTCGCCTGTCGGAGCTCAGTCTGTAGCTTTGACAGCTCTGAAGAGAGACAGATGAGTACTTCTGCTCGGGAATGCATTCTTACCATTTTCTGCCTTTCCACGTAGCTTTTTTTCCTCGTCTACTTCCTTCTTGAGGCAGGAAATTCCTTTATTAGCAGCTTGAAGAAGTTTTTGGTTTTCGTCAAGCTCGGTTTTGAGTTCTTCGTTCTCAAAGACAAAATGTAAAATGTGAGCAAAACCAACGGAAACTCACCTCGACCTTTTGGTGCAGAATCGATTGGAAATCTTGACCGCCTTTGGAGTTCAGGTGCTCCTCCATGTGATAAATTCGTAGTTTTAAGTTGAAGTTTTCCTTCTCGATAGAGGAGATGTGTTCAGCGACATCGCGGTGGTTCTTGGTCTCTCCATCCGACCCATAACTCGGACTTGAAGCCTCCATCCTGAATTACTGCATTAGAGGAATACTAGCTTTTCATGCTGAATTTTTTGAATGACTTTTCGGAGACTCAGACTGGCGTTGTCAATAATCTTCTGATATTTTTAAAATTTCCGCGACATATTTTGACGTGAGTGTGTTTTTGTGTAATAACACCTGCCGACATTGTTCTTCTATTGATTCAACGGCGAAGTAAAAATATCGATTCGGAAGAAAAATGTAATCCTTTTCTAATTTTATCAAATCCGATTTGTCTACGCAATGCATTCACAAGTTTCTATTTATTACCTTTCACAGGGTGAGAATTCTGAACTATCTGACATTTTCTTGTACTCTCTATTTCTCCTTCTCTCTATTTTACAAGCTACACCTAAGCAAAAAGCATATTTACAATTTCTACAATCAAAAAAAATGCGAAGCGCGAGACTAAAGAGGGTGCAGTTTTGGGTCTACTAGAGCAGCTTTTTGGCTTCGCACGAGCTTTCAAAAATGAGCTGCTCCTGGCCAAAGCCTCAGCTGTCGCCTCTGACACGCAAAGAATCAAGCGACAAAATAAAAATATTCTTTCCAACTCTGAGAAGCAGCTCAAAGGCAAATTGCCGATTCTTGCTGGGTAACGACTTAGGAAGATCAAAAAGAGAAATGATAAAGGGCATGCTTTGAATGAATATTTCAATATTTCAGGCGCAAGAAAAAATCAGAAGGAAACAAAACAAAGGCCAGAGCATTCTGTTTCAAGGCAGAAATCACTCTCATCTACAAACCGCGTCAGTACGGAAATTTGCGAAGGCTAAACTTGTGAAATCAACGACGAGGAAAAATCTTTTCATCGAGCAATGAGGAAGCCCTTGACTACCTTACAGTAATGTCTGCAGAGCGTCAGTCAACTCAAACGAACAAGAAACCCTACGCGGCGCCATGAAAGGATTAAAGGTGCCAATTCGGAAAAAGTTACACAAAAATGTGAAAATAATCAAGTCGAGACTGACCGCCGTCACCTGTTTGTTCGGATTGCCGACGACAGTAATTACTTTATATCCCCGCCTTAGGCACACGCGGCTTTCTTTTCAATTCGAATTAAGAAAAAAATTCTAGCGACGAGAAGACAAGCTATTCTAGCATCAACCAGGAAAAAATATTTCAAGATTTCGTTTTCTAAACGCCGTAAAATATCATTCATATGATCTTCAAAGAAAAATAGACGAGCCAAAATACAATTTTACCTCATATTGAAGGACGACAAGTTGCTCTCTTCCTCGGCAGTCTCTTTTTCGCTATCCATCTTTTTTCGATCTTCAAAGAGCGCTTCGTAAATCTTTTTTCGGGGAGCTGGGCGTTCTCTTGATTTCTCAAAAGATAGGCTTCATGGTCAGAAATTTGAATTTTTGGTTTCGTTAGGGGTCAAAAAAGGCGGCGGCGCGGACGAGAGTGATTGTGGCTCAGCCTACGCGGCGCCTAACCAGGGGGCGCCAAATCACACCAAAATCCAACAAAAGGAAATCCCTTTCTGTGAGCACAGTCACTCCCTGGGACACACGGCAACTGCAACTGATAAGTTGAGTACGCAGCAACTGTTACCCAGCTTCAAACCGTTTCTATAATAATATGCGCATTATTTATCGTCGAAATCGACACTCCTTTCCGAACCAAAATTACTGCAGAATTTATCAATCAGACTTCTTTATTAGGAAGAGTGAACAGTAAGAGAGAGAGCGGGTAGATCTACCAGCCAAAGGCGGACTCTACTTCATATTCTTCATCACTTTCGAGGGCCTGAACTCCAACGCCGTCAATTTCGTGGAATTTTGTCTTGCAATGACGCTTGAAGAGCACTCTTGGTCTCTCCATGGTCGCAGCGTCTGCAGTATTGAACCCCTCCAAGTCGATCTTTTTTGGCGCAAGATGATTGACTGCCACTTGCTAAAAGAATGAGATCAATTCCACTTTTACAATCTAACTGTCTTACGCAGGAGAATTTCACGTCGCCGAGGGGAGTTGTCGGGAGCTTTTTGTGGAGAGCTTGGATGAGATCCTCCACTTCGGTTCTTAGCTGAGCGTTCTCGTCTTGAGTCAAGTCGACCACCGCGTGTTCGTCCATCTCATTGCAAATAGGCCTTTCTTTTAGACTGAAAGCGTACAGTTCCAGCTGTTTTCCATCCTGCAATTGTATTTATAAGAAACTAACTTAACGATAGTTACTTACGTCGGTTCCAATCTTCATGATGACTTTCGAGAGCCATCCGTTTTCTGCCATCATGAAAATTTTTTGGATCAATTTCTTCAAGAAAATAGCTTCGCTACTTCCGCTCAAATCATATGGATTGAGAACCTGAGAATAATAATAATCGCTGAAATAATAATTTGCTCGATGTACCTGAACTTTCACATCTCCCGCTATCTTCAGTATGAATTCGTCTTTTGGTACGCCTAGTCGTTTCCTGCAGATTTCGGAAATTCCGATCAAAAGCAACCTCTTTGAGAATCGTCTCGACGAAAAGACGGATATTGGTGGCTTTTGATAGAGAAACTCCGTCGCTGTTTCTGAAGTTTACTTTTTATAATGTGGAATTCTCTTGAGTGAATTACCCTTTTTGAAGGGGCGAATCATCTGTAAAGTCGAGGGGCCATCTCCAGATGTAAGATCAAGAGACTGAGTCGTTTCTTCTTCAGCTCGTCGTTTTGGCATTTTCTCTTTTTTTTTTAAGAAAAAATGACAGTTTTGGACGAGTCACGACCGTTTAAATATGCCTCGAAACACGTGGTTAGAGAGAAACGAAGCCAATCAGGCTCCTGCAAAGTTTTGAGTCGAAGGAATCGTCCATTGCACTAGCGCGGGCCGGGCGCGTTGAAATCATAGATGACTATTTTCGGCTCGTCTTTTTGACTTTGACAGCCCCGACCCAACATATTACTTTCCTCTCTCTTTCTGTTGCCATCCTTTTTTATGAAAACTCAAATCACCGAATACTGTCTTCAAGCGGATTTATTCAGGCATTTATCAAATTTTATCACTTTATTAATTTCTCAAGTGCAAGTTTGTACAGCTGGAATTGGTCCGCTTTGTGGGACATTTTTGATTTTCTGCAGTCAGTCAACGTTTTGGGAAGCAGACTAAGATGGCATTTCTTTTTGTGAAAGATGTGACGAATTCCGGGGTCGATAGCGCGAACGGTTTCAAATTTCTGGAGTACTTTTGAGTAAAACTGAACAGTTATCAAATCAAACACGCACCTTCTATCTACCTCTACGTCTTCACCTCCCCAGCCAGATCGAGACATTCGAAATCCGCCGCTCTTTTGGAAATCGCTGCAACTCACACAGTTATTATGGTAATCTCTCCACAACATACCTTAGAAACATTGAAAACATCCCATATGAGAATCTACGCCAAAAGCCATTTTTGCGGTCTTCATATTCACTAAAGAAAACAGGAAAATAAGCTCGTCCGGGCTCCGTCAAAAGTCTGATCCTCCTGACTGTGTCCATTGATATCTGCAGATCCACGTCTGACACGAAAATGATGCGTTCTTTCTTCATTCTCATCAGCGCCCTTTGGAGAGCTATTCCTCTAGAGAAAGTCCCTTTGACGATGTTCTGAGCGAGGTTTATTTTTGAAACTACGTAGCTTGATGCTTAGAAATTAAAACCCGTAAATAATTGACTGTGTTTGGATATTTTTCTTTCCAGGGCTTGATGTTTGAGATAGTTTCGTTTATAGTTTGGCTGTCTCCCATTATTGCGAAGAGTAGAGAAACTTCCATCCTTAGCGTTGACTTCCACCAGTCGAAAAATGTTGCTAATGCTGTCGACTTTCCGCTAATCGGTATGACAAATAGAACTTCGATGCTGTCAACAGATTTTAAATTGGTTTCCGGCGGGCCGTATTCCATCTTTGAATGAAAAAGACTGACTGAAGACTTGTTCGTGCTCGGGTCGATTGTTTGAAGGCGTGCGATTGCCTGGTTTTCGCTGTAATAGAACACTGGAATCTCAATTTGACCAATTTCTTCACCATCAAATAGACGATTTGAACTTTCTTGAAAGAGGGTCGTGAAAAACCTCGCCAAGGATTCGCAACAGCCTGATTGACTCGATCTTCTGAGCTTGTGTAAAGGCGCCATTCTGACATAGCGCTGAATACACTCTTCTGGTTACAGTTATTCCTAAATTCGCTCAGATATATCGCGCTCATATTGCTTGCCATTGATCTTTCGCGAAACTCAAGAAGCTTTATATTCTTTCTTTGAAAGGTTTCAAAAATAAAATGACTTGATTGGTTTTATTACTGTTTGAAACCATCCTTAATGTTTTCAACTTTTGACGTAGAATTATTGCATTCGTGAGACTTTGATATTTGGGGTCTTTATTTGCATGCAAAGTGATTGCATGTGAAACTGTTCGTGCCGAAATGTAGCCAAGATTATCATAGTAGCCGTAATCTTTTTTGAAATTGTTAAAAAATAACTTCGAAGCATCTTTCGCCGTCGTGCAAGAAACATTGAGATGATTCCAAAAGCACCGTCCGATTTCGACATCTTCGTGTTCTGAGTAGAGTTGTCTTGCACAAGTGAGTAAATGTGGACCGATTTGTCGAATTGCTTCATTGCTCAGTCTTTTTAAGAGTTTTGAAAAGATCAGATTAGGGCTAATATCCTTCTCGATGATATGATCATTGATATTAATAATATCCTATAAATTATAGGCTATAATATTATACGTATATATATATAAATATTATATCATAATATATTATATATGTATATATTATAAATAATATTCATATTATTGTCAACCCTTTCATGATGCTGGTTCCGCCCATACAATAAGTTTTGTTTCCTTCTACAAAATCAGCGGAGTGCCGCCCATAGCCAGGTGCTCCTATATAATGAACTCTCGTCGAGTTCAACTTTCGTAGAAACTTCTCCAATTCATCGCTATTCAAAAAGGCATCGTCGTCTATTCTTACAAACCAATCGTATTGGTGAATAAGGTGTCTCCAGGCATATCGGAATAAAGCAAAAGATTTCTTCTGCGGTGGGTAAACTTCATCCGGAACATTTGGAAATTCGATAACGTCATTAAATTTTCGACTTGTCTGATGCCGTACAAAAGCCACTTGAAACCCTCGCGACTTCGCGGCGATTCCCCAAGTATTTCTTATTGCTTTTTCCCTCTGTATGTACTTCGTTGTTGTTAGCACAAAAATAATCCCAATATTTCTCCTTCTCGGGCAGCGAATGAATTTCCTACTAGTTTTTTCTCTGATGAAGTGGCCGATTAAAAAACCGATTATTGTTGATATAAAAAGCTGTTTTAGTACTTTTCTCATCGAAGGTAAAGAAATACTTGGGACTGAATTCAAAAATAAGCTTGAAAGCGATATGGGTTCCATTGAGCGCTTTACAATGCAAAATTGATGACGACACAAGCAGCTTCACCTGCTCTTGAATTGATTATTCCAACGGCGAAAAACTTGGACTTGCAGTTTGCAGTGAGCGTATTTTGGAGAGAAAGAGCGAGCTTTAATATAGTTCTTCTTTCAAATTATCAAATCGCTATGCGGGTTCATTAAAAGAGCAATTAGATAGCTCAATATGTTGGTGCAAAGATCAGGGGAATCGATCCTGGATGCGAAACCCAATTAACACCGACGGCTTTCGGATTTAGGCACACATGGCTGAGGGAAAGAACAATTTCTTATTTTCATATGAGTAAGCTAGAGTTATTTAGAGAAAAGCTAGATGGCCTTGTTCATTTCTACCAAAGAGCAGAAGTCAATTTGGATGAATTCAGGGCCGTTTTTTTCATGAATTCAGCTAATTTACATATCATTTGATTCAATTGCATAACTTTTTGTGAAAAAAATATCAGAGAAGAGTTCTCCTTGGATAATGATAATCACAAAAGTTCGCTCACTCACAAGATTAAATTCCTAAGCAAAGCCCTTGTCGGTTTATCTCATGTTCCTGAAGGCTTTGGTTTTCTTAAAACAATAGATTTTATATAAAATCGTATTATGATAAATAACCAAGGAGAAGTGGAAATGAAAGGATACAATATAGACTTTGTTGTAGAAGTACTTCGCGGTCTGATTAGCCAGCTGCCAAAAGCTGAAAAGTGCTGCTCAGCAGATGATCATATTCACCAGACGAAGATGAAAAAAGTTTCGAAGCCCTACACGAGAGTCTCTTCGAATGTGTTCATTCTGCTCTTCTATTCTTGCGTCCAGCTCAACTGACAGAACTTCTCCTCTTTCTTGATGCCATGCTCAACCAAAACTATAAGGTGGAGTTCGTTTTAAGCCACACGCTGGATCTGGTTCTCCCGGTGCTCCTACTTCGCCTGAAATCCGAAGAAACTTGTAACCACGTTATCGACGCCGTAATTCCGAAACTATTGACGACGATAGTTTATCTCAATTTACCCAGTTCCCTCTACAAAGCCGTCGAAATACTCATGCAGCAGCGCGACTACATATGGCGAGATCTATTCCAATTGATTGCTTATGGTTGGCCGAACGTTCGATCGGAGGTCTTGCCCATGGTTTTTCACTATTTTCCGTCGCTCTTTTATGGCTTTTACCCTGGGTTTAACCTGGAAACTCAGTTTCCATTTTGGAACCAGATACCTTGTCAAAGCAGTCTTTGCACATCTCACAGTGAAAAGGCTACTCGAATCTGCTTGAGCGGGAAGGCAGCAGCAGAGTCTACTTATGGACAAATCCCAGCACCGCTGTATATCTGTGAGACTTGCTATCAAGACGGAGAAGAAGAATTTGAGCCGACTATATTTTTATTCCGTCCAATGAAAAACTTAGCGCGCTATTGTGAGAATCGAGAATGCTCTAGTACTCAACATTCTAATCTCTCCAATTTTAATGAAGAAACCCAAAGCTCGTACACGATTTATCAGTACCCACGCGCTGTGAGATACTGCAAAGAATGCTTCAACCTTAGGAAAGTCGAAGATTTACATTTCCAATGTCCGCCGAAAATTGCGTGGGACCTCAACGAAGACGATGCGAGCCTCATTGTAGAGGTCATTGTAAAAACGTTTGAACATGCTCTAGAACCCTTAGACACACTCTTTGCCGTGTATGGAACGTCGTTATTAGCACAACTAGCTCCTGTTCATCCTTCGGCGCCTCACGCTCATCTTTCCAATATATTCTCAGTTATTTGTAACTTTCTCTACACAACTCGGACAGTCTCGTCTGATGCAACGGGAAACGATTTAGTCGTCGACAACTTGAAAAATCAGACTCTTTTACCGTGGGTTAAGGAATACAAGAAGCATTTCGCCAAATCATTTCTTCTGTCACTGCATCCTTCGCCTCCGCCCGAGATGCAGAGGCTTGGATATTGGGAGTCAGATGAAGACACTCCCACGAAGCTTTGTAACCGACTAGAGAGCTTGCTAATGATAGGATCGTTTGGACTTCTTACTCACGACGATTGGAACAAAACTATCCCTCTCTATTGCGAGGATCTTATAGATATAACATACCCAAAGGAATTCAAAATACGCCTTCTTGAAGAATCGCTATGGAAATTATTCGACACTGACTTGGTAAGCATGCCATTTTCCCTTGCCGAGATTTGGTCATTTCTCCAGTCCACAAACATTGCAACGGCGCTAAAGTACTTAGTTGCGGTAAACAGGCTCTCAGTTTTCATCCCTCTTCCTATCATACAGAAGATCTTCGAAAAAGCATTGGACAGCGCAGAAACAACAGAATCACAGATTCATACAATGTTTTCTGTTATGAATAATCAAATCAAAATCACCTCGTCAAGTCTCCCGCCAGTTGTGTTGCTCAAGATTTGCTTGCGAACACTAAAACAGCTAAAAACAGAAATCACGATTTCGGATCGGCACTCATCAACGCTAGCACTAATCAACGAACTTATTTGGGACATTTTCTTCAAGAAAAAGACAGATATCTGCGGCGATACGGAAGCATCTACAATCGTGTTCCAGCCAGAGTTCAAAAATTTTCGGCTCCCGGGCAGGGGAGCGGCGGCCGGCCGGGCGCGGGCACGCTGCCCGCCTGCTCCCCCGGGCCTCGCGGGCTCAAGCGCCCGAGCCCGTCAGAGGCCGCGGCCAGTTTTCGTAAGAGAAGAAGAAATTTTCGCCGAAAACTTTGAAATTTTAAATAAAAATTGAGACTTTTGTCGGAAACCCGTGAAAGAGTTCTCTTTTAAAATAACCCCTAAAATTGGCTCAAAATTTGGTCTAAATCAAGATTTTCGCAAATTTTCGAACTTTTTATACCATTTTTGCATATTTTTTGACGGTTAACTTATTCAAGTCATCGAATTGAAGCTGAAAATACCGATTGAAATTTGGTCACTTTCTACTCGCGGGCGCGGCCGGGCGCGAGCAGGAGGGCAAGGGCCCGCGCCCGCGTGAGCCCGCGGGCACCTTCAATTTCTCGCCCGCGCCCGCGTAAGCCCGCGGGCACCTTCAGTTTCGGGCCCGCGCCCACCTGAGCCCCCGAGCATCATCAATTTTGTGCCCGCGCCCGCCTGAGCCCCCGACCATTTTTCCATTCCGAGCCCGCGCCCGCCTGTGCCCGGGCAAATCGCGGGGTTTTTGAACTCTGGTTCCAGCTTTTCGCTGAAGCGCAAGAAGTCTTGCAAACTGTGAACTCCCAAAATGGAGAAGTTGCTGAACAATTTGGGCATTTACTAGAAATGATAACAACAAAGACCTCGATTTTGGAAAATTTGCGCGCTCTTCCGGAATCACATATTCTGTCAACGCATCACCGAGATATTATCAGAACGCTGTGGACGGAACTAGGCTCGAATGATGGGGAGTCGAAGCATGCTGCGAAGATTATGCTCTCCTACATTTACATTTTTCGCGCACCAGAAGAGTTTATCCAGCTCGTGGATGAAAGTTATCTCAATCAACCGTGGGAAAAGCAATTTGATCTGGCAAACAAGCTTGCTTCCTTGCTTCAACATGTCGAACCTTCAGCAATCATAAGATGCCCAGTTGTTTGCTATGCAGTTAGTTACTGCGTTTTTGCTCTTCTGGACCTTTCGTCATCCCCAGTTCCCTCGCTGAACAGAAGAGTCAAGTTTTTATGTGATACATTTTCGAAAAAGAGTCTTCTGGCGATCTGTTCCTGCTTCGAGTTTCAGTATCGGAATATTCTTCGTGATCGCTGCATCATTTTTAAAAGAATCGAGCAGCTTCATTTGCTTCGCCCCGATGCAAAATTGTTGAACTGGGGGTTTTTCAACCAAAGCCTCATTCTGTTTTCAGTAGGTGAGACAGCTCTTAATCATGTTTATATCTACTGATTCAATTTTAGAAGCACAAGTCTGCAAAGATCTCGGACTAAATTTCTGCATCCCTCTAAAACTGCTTTATCCCGTAACGTCTTTTTCAAATCAGCACTACGCTACTTCGATGGAAAACCGACAGTCTCCCAATGGGATTCCGACGGGCTGCTACTCTATTGCCGAAAAATGGACATCAACCAAGGCACTACGATCGAAGAAAATGACCAAATAACTCTTACAGAACTCGTTGGGTGTGTTTGTCGCTTTATCATTGCTGGAGATAATAGTGACGTCGACACGAAACAGTTTCGCATCTTTTCTAAGCACTTTATTGTGCTTTTGGTTTTACGAATATAAGCCAATTCGCTTCAAATTTCTCACCCACAAATTTGCGCGAATGTGTTGTGTTTCCACCGTTTCTGCTTCATTTACCGAAGATACTGGATTCAAACATCGAACTATCTGGACATCTGATGTCATTCATTCTCAATTTGCTGTTGTATTCTGCGTCTGAGTCGGATCCAACAGGAGACAACATGCCGACCTACTCGTTAATTCATCTTCAGCCAGAGCTTCGATGTGCTTGGCTAGAATCCTTGCTTGTTACGTTGTACAAGCATGATCTCACTACGATGGCCGACACTAATCTCCAGACTAAAATCCTTCATATAACTTTACTGACATTGCATAACTCGATCCACGAATGCATACTACGGAGAACTGTTGGTCTTCAGGGCTATGCTCGCGGAAAACTCGGGCGAGGGCTTGTTCGTGGGCACGAACATAAATTCTCAAAATTGAAAGTCCTGCGCAAAATCTACCATCGGGATGAACGCAATCCACCACCGCGTACATTTGCGTACAGCACTACCCGGCCAAAACCTGCGAACAGCCGGGTCGCCCTCTTCTAGCGAGGAACATCTCCGACGATGTCACTCAGTTGTTGAATACGAGCGACTTCTTTGAAGTTGATAAAGAAAGTGGCTATTGCATTGTCTGCGGACATGTCAAGGAATATTTCGAAGATCAAGTCTACATTTTAGCGATGACGTGCTTGGCAGAATTCGTAAGAAGGCAAACTAAACGAGCTGCCAGCTTCATAAATCCTCTTCTGTATGTTCTCGTGACGCTCGTTCAACGAGACGATGTTCCCATTATTCCAAGGCAACTGCTCGTCTCTGTGCTCTTCCATCTCAAAGGACACAAAATACTCCCCGCGGTCTTTGAATTACTTGTTGAAGACCGCATCTTTGTTACACTCTCCTTCTCAAGGATCACCGTGGCATTAGCCCAGCTGAACTTATTGTGACGCTTCTCGATGGGGACGGCGACTCGTTGAAATCCCCAAACTTTGCGCGAAATTTCAAAGCCTATTTAGAAAGCTTCGAAATGCACTTCGGGCAACGTCAAAATATAAAGCAACAGGAAAAGCTCTTATTATTAGAAAATAAAGATAGTTTCTGACGAAAATATCGAAAATAAAAGCCACGATGAGGATTACCAAGAAGCTTCGAAACTTGTTCAGTTATGCTCGGAAAACAAAGATATCAACATTGGTCTGCTTGGTGCAGTTGTGGCCTTATGGAAGATGATCGCTCCTTATAATCTAGTTCCCAAGCCGACGATTGATTTAACGCTGAAATCGATAAACGTCGCTCTAAAATCTGGAAACTACGAAAGCAACGAGCTAATTCAACTTATTCGGCTTATTCACAAGTACTCCTCAAAGGACCGAGAGCGCCATAATTTCCAGAAGCTCATTCTTGTTCCATTTGCGGGGATTTTTTTTAACCGACGATCTGTTTCTTTCTGCGCTCTTTTCAAGCTAGGTTTCTGAAATTATAACTTGTTAGGCTATTAGGCGCTCAGAATAAACCTTTCGAAAGCTTATTGAAATACTTCTCTTTGATTACGAAGCAACCTGGCTGATTGAGCAGCACGTGGAGCAGTATATTTTCGGATCAGACGAAAAACGAATCACCGAAAAGCGGCAAAAGACCTCCTTGACTTCGCCATTCCAATCTCTTGCTTCAGATTTGACAGAGTTACTTTACGAAAAAGACATATGCGTCGTTGCCGATTCGGATCGCGTTAAAGAAGAAAAGACGATTGGATCAACTATTGCTACTCCTCTTTCTATTTTAGGCACGTCGACGGTACTGAGCGACGCTTTGCTTCGAAACTCCACCGTTGTAGAGTTAAAAGTCGCCATCGGACAAGTCTTAAACTTCATCAAAGCTGACAGCCTGGGACAAGGAAATTCGAGTTTGTCAACCTTGGATGCATCCAGCGAACAAGTTCTTCAACTAATGAGACATTTCCAAGAGCAGTACTGGATCCTTCTTGGCGCCCTTACAAATTTTTGCACACTGCCACGAGATTCACTTCTATCGCGATGGGAGCCGATATCATTTGACTTACAGGTAGTCTATTTTTTCCACCGTCGGAAGACAATTTCAACTAAGAACTCCCTCGGCGACCGAATGTGTCATTTATTCTCCGCATATCCAAGTGTGAACTCTACGAACGAACTCAACCAGTCATCAATTCTCTTTTATTCTTTCAGCTTTATGATCGCATGGGTGGTAGGATTGCGCATTTTATCTTTAGTTTTGGTTATAATTTTAACTTACAATAACTCAATTAGAAATCCGCCAAAAAGACCATTTACGTTGAGATTATTTGCCAAACAATGGACAAAGAGGCGAATATCATTGCATTCTGGATCAAAGTCACTCCTGGGATGCTTGCGCTTATGGGAACGAAATCCCCGGGAAGCTCTTCTGAGATTAATACAATCATCGTAGCGCACCTTCTGACTGTTCTAGAGTCGCTGCAGCAGTTTCACTCTGAAAGCTTTCTTGTCCTCTTCAATCTCTGGGCTGGCTTCTTTAGACTTTCTTCCAGGCCTAGTCAGTGTAAGAATGATTCTGTTAATTAACACCACATTATTTACTTATAGCGATACGGCAAAGATTCACGAACTTAGAAAGAAACATGGCACAGGTGGATATCTCGAATTTTTATAATCTAAAGCTCTTTGAGGCACCGGATAATGAAAAACCCCAGGATACATTAGATCGACTCCGATTGAGCACTAAACAGGTAACAAGTTAGTTTCTAACTTCTGATGGACATGAATGGTGTAGCTTTTGAAGAAGCTGAAAGGACGCTGCGACCAGCTGACTGGTGCGGACTCGCAAGCAAACTCCATCTACCTAATCTAAAGCCGCGAATAAACTGTAACAGAATGTCAAACTTTTGTGTTCGTTTCTCAAGAGGCCAGCAGTGGAGCCAAGTGCCATTGTGTCTATTTTTGCACAAACGAGCTCGCCAAGTTCACGGTATTCTGTTTCACCGTGCGACTCCGTGCCAACGAGCAGATGCAGAAGCGCATGATCAATAAAATCCCTGACGCAAGGGCCCCTTTTGCATGGAACTGTCACAAAAGAGGGGGGACAAAAAACGTCTCTCGTTTCTCGCGTTTATCGCTCCCATCGAAAACCGCTTCGAAATTTATGAATCTGATAGTTTTACGTCCAGCTGTTTTTCCTTTCTACGTCTACTGCCGGTAAATTATTCAACGAAGCGATTATTCCTTTCTATGGATAATTCTGTAGACAACGAGAATCCAATTTCGCGATGAATTAGTGAGCATAGAACCTTTTGTGGTAAACTAAGAAATTATTTTTCATCTATAGTGATTTGTAGGCGCTTTTTAGAGTACTGTCATTTAGGCAGAAGACCAGTCGATCTACTGCCAATGGATCGTTCCTGCATCCAAATGCGTCATCGACGGCACGAGGCCCAAGAAGTCGGCGTCGATTCGTGCCTCGGCCGCCTACGCGACTCTTGCCTATTTTAAACATTCTGATTTTCACTGTCAATTCCGATTTTATACTGCCGGGGTTTCAAACGGTCGAAGTCGCCTTTGCGAGAGAAGGGAAGCAGGTCGAGGAGCGAAAGAACGGGAGCGCCCGTGGATCTAACTGAAACAATCGTACGGTGTAGCGCTGCAGAGCCGCGCCTACTGCGCTCAAAAAGTGAAACGCGCCGTGGACATCCACTCAGACTCTTTTCGAGAAGGAAGGCCCCTCTTCCCCACCAAAAGAACTCTTTTTCACCCACCGATCACTAAAAAACTTCGACATGCGAGAAATCGTCCACATCCAGGCCGGTCAGTGCGGTAACCAGATTGGTGCCAAGGTAAGCGCTAATTGCATTTTGCAAAGTAATGACAGAGATGTTGCTGACCAATCAAACTCCTCTATTTTCGGATCGATTAAAATTATACCGACGCTTATCTAGAACTCAACGCTAAATTTAATAGTGCGATAATAGTAAATTTATTAAGGATGTGTCAGATAGTTCGAAATAGGCCATTTTTAAAAGGAATAGGAAAAATAACTAAAATCTGTTTTCGTTAACAAAAATATAAGTCAATTCCCGTTTTGTAACGGGTTTTAGTTGTTGAGATTATAAGATTCGAATCGCGCGCGTTATTTTTGAACCTCGCTCCCTGAGAATTGGCGCGCATCTGTCGACTCAGAATTCCGTTGCGCAGTCATATTTTACTCATCTTCGTTGACCTTGAGTGACCCTGCAGCGAGGAAGACTATCAGTAACTCTTTTTCAGTTCTGGGAAGTGATCTCCGACGAGCACGGCATCGACCCCACCGGAAGCTACCAGGGCGACTCCGACCTCCAGCTTGAGCGCATCAACGTCTACTACAATGAGGCTACTGGTGGTAAATATGTTCCACGAGCCGTTCTCGTCGATCTTGAGCCCGGCACCATGGATTCAGTCCGATCGGGCCCATTCGGTCAGATCTTCCGACCTGACAATTTCGTCTTCGGTCAGTCTGGCGCTGGAAACAACTGGGCTAAGGGCCACTACACAGAAGGAGCTGAGCTCGTCGACTCCGTTCTCGATGTTGTCCGAAAGGAAGCTGAGTCTTGCGATTGTCTTCAGGTGAATATATTACACTCTTCCGTGCTCCTGATAATAACTCTTTTCAGGGATTCCAACTGACACATTCGCTCGGTGGTGGAACTGGCTCTGGAATGGGAACACTTCTCATCTCCAAGATCCGAGAAGAATACCCCGACAGAATCATGAACACTTTCTCTGTCGTTCCTTCTCCAAAGGTCTCTGACACCGTCGTAGAACCCTACAACGCCACCCTCTCTGTCCACCAGCTCGTCGAGAACACCGACGAGACCTACTGCATCGACAACGAAGCGCTCTACGATATCTGTTTCCGAACCCTAAAACTCACCACCCCCACTTATGGCGATCTTAACCACCTCGTCTCTGTCACCATGTCCGGCGTTACCACTTGTCTGCGATTCCCCGGCCAGTTGAATGCCGATCTCAGAAAACTCGCCGTCAACATGGTAAGAAATCGCGAGAATTGCATTTGCATTTACCCGATTTAGGTTCCCTTCCCACGACTTCACTTCTTCATGCCTGGCTTTGCTCCACTCACCTCCAGAGGCTCCCAGCAGTACCGAGCGCTCACCGTCCCCGAGCTCACTCAGCAGATGTTCGATGCCAAGAACATGATGGCTGCTTGTGATCCTCGACATGGAAGGTGACTTTCTCTTTTTAATTTCGCGTTCTCAACCCAATTTAGGTACCTTACCGTCGCCACCATGTTCCGAGGACGAATGTCCATGAAGGAAGTCGACGAACAGATGCTCAATGTTCAGAACAAGAACTCCTCGTACTTCGTAGAGTGGATCCCCAACAACGTCAAGACCGCTGTCTGCGACATCCCCCCACGAGGCCTCAAGATGTCCGCCACTTTCATCGGTAACTCGACGGCCATCCAGGAGCTCTTCAAACGAATCTCGGAACAGTTCACTGCTATGTTCCGACGAAAGGCTTTCCTCCACTGGTACACCGGTAAGCAATTCCATCCAAAGACAGTTAAATTATCACTTTCTCAGGCGAGGGCATGGACGAGATGGAATTCACAGAAGCTGAATCCAACATGAACGACTTGGTATCTGAATATCAGCAGTACCAAGAAGCTACCGCCGAGGACGAGGGAGAATTCGACGAAGAGGAAGAGGAGGAAGAAGCATAAGCTTCCTCATTCATTCATCTGAGACATACATGTTTCTGACCCTCGCATATGCCTTCATTGCCTGTGCATAATTAAGACCACTCTTAATTATACTATCAGTTACTAACAGTTTTTTATTTCAGATTATTTGAGTATGCTTCAAACGGTAGTCCCTGGGGCTTTGATAGATTCACCGGACTAGCCTCGTCGAAACTAATCCCGGAGACCTGCCGGGAGGTACAGGTTTCTTGGGTTAGTTCTTCGTTCACGAAGCAAAGAGCTGGAAAAAGTACTGCGAAGGTACTTAGATTTCTATGGGTAAAGAAATAAATGATTTAGGTTCTCGACCAGCGAGAAAGACGACCTACAAGCACGTCGTTGGCAGGAAGAATGCCAAGGAAAGAGCGATAAGCCGAAAAAGAAAGCAAGCCAGAGAAAAATGCTAATAAAGAGGGAAGCTTTCGAAGATTTCCTGAGACAGCGTTTTCCATCTTCCTTTCTGAATCAATCTCATGTACTATTTTATTGTAACACACCTATTTCGTCATTCCACTTATCACTTCCTTGAAGAACTTGAAAATATAAGAGCAAGAAAAAAATCAATCAGACGTTGTTTATTCACAAAAATTACTTAAAAAACGGTTGACTTCTTGATGGTTCCCTGCCATTTGTTGAAGAGCTGGAATTTCCTCCATTGATCTGGGTCGACTCCCTGTGGTGCAGGTGCAAACGTTCGGAGGCTTTGTTGTTCTAGAGTTCTTTTGTCCACAAGTGAGCTGGAAATTTAACTAACCTTCAGGGATCTCGTGCATGGAGGTTCCGATGAATGAACACTCTCGACGAGAGACTTGCTTCTGGTACCATTTCTTGGTCGCAAGATGAGTTTGGTCGATCTCTCGCAGCTTTCGCGCGTTTCGTTGGAGTCGCTCTCCGGATTTCAAAATACCTAAAACGCATCACCTCAAATAAGTTTCCCGAAAGATACATTGACAATCGTCGATGAAAAGGTCAATGTTGCTCTTCTCTTTTTCCTTGACGACTTCAACCTTCTTGTCTTGCTCAATTTGATTGAGAATGTCATACTTCTCCATCAACTGGGCCTTTGAGAGCTTCGATCGGAATCGCATACTTTCTCTTTTGCTTTTTTCCTAAATTAAAATCATAAAATAATTTGAAAATACATTTGAAGATGTTGACGTCATAATTTGAAAATGTAGAGATCCTCATGCAGTTATTAAAAATAGGCGAAATGATATAATTTGTATTGAGTTGAATGCGTTTTTGAAAGAGCTTTTTTAAAGTAGTAGCGCTCGAGAAATTGAGGAGCCAATTTTTCAGCCAAAGTAAGTGAAAATTGCAACGAATTTTCAACAATTGTTGTGCTTGCGTGTTTTTACCTTCATGACAGAATCTTAAAGAGATGGATAATAGCGTGTGGATATTCAAACTTGATAGACCTATTCTGTGATAGGGTATCAGTGGTCAGAAGTCAGCGATATCCTCCATGAAAACTTTTCAGATTTCCGAAAAATCTTCAAAATTTCGCTACGATCAGGATAAAGAAAGACTGACGATCGATCGATATGAGCTACTCTCGAAACCGTCTTACCTTTTGAGCTTCTTTTCTCTTGCTCCTCAAAAAGTGCGCTTTTCGATTGTCACACAATATGATCAAGTGTTAAGATCCACAGTGACTCCTTTTAATGACTCTGATAAGGTGTCTAAAATCAAAGATTTCAATTTTTTCACAACTGTTTATGTTTTATTTATTTGAAAGAGTTGCAGTCACGTTTAATCTACCAGAATACGTCCGCTTTTTGAAACTTATGTCCAAAAATAATCATGATGATAATGATAATTGACGCCCAGCCGAGAGAAATCCAGAAAAGATTCACAGCATGCGATACTTTTGAGCAAAGAAAGTCTACACTCTCTTGGTATTCCCCGTAGATATCCTTAAATTAAATTAGTTTTCTATTTTCATGACTGTAAAGTCACCGAGCAACTCCCAAGTGATGTTATATAGGAGGCGTAATGACGAGATAACTGGAAAGATTTATCTGTTGCATTCGATAAAACTTGTTGAATCGCCGTCGTGATTTTACCGTCATAATCATCAAGGGACCCCGCAGTAACGTTAAAATTAGCAAGAGTATCGGAAATAAGCGCCTTTATGTCTTCAATGTCACTGAATAGAAAAATCTTTCGAATGCCTATGATTACCAACGAACCTTCTGATGATATTAAAATGGCGCTCAAAAGATTGCCGAAGATAATTTTGCGTAAGCTGATAACTGTATGACTGCAATGCCTGAATCTGGTTCAAAACCATCTCGTTGCTTTCATCGTTGTTTTCGCGCAGGTTGAAGACAGTCAAATTGAGCTGGCCAGCTAAAATCTCGCATTTGACGCTGAGTCTATAAAGATCAGGGTAGAGTGATTGGATGTTCAGATTTCCATGAATTGTTGACAACGTTTCATTAATTGCCACCAGTGTGTTAAGATCATTTTGGCTAAATGAAAGTGCATTAGAAGCAGAGGATCTATTCTCATCATCTAGCTCAAAATTGGGCACGTCTGGCAGAGTAAATCTGTCTTTACTGGAGTTTTCGATTTCGCTTATGGCTAATATAATTCTTGCGTTTCGTCAAATATGAAAACTCTTATCGGTTTGAAAGAGAAACGATTTATCACTCTCGCACTGAGTCACGATATTTTCCAAGCTAATCGTAGTATTATCAATTTGCATTAAATCAGGATAGCGAATTGTCAGAACCTCGTCGATAACTTCCAAAAGCTCGATAGTTCCATTTGCATTTCTTTCAAGTCCTTGACAGACATAACGTTCAGTATGTGAGCCGAATAAGAATGCAGTCAATGAAACCAGCAGAAAGATCCAACTAAAGAGGAAACTAAGACTGAGACCAGCACACATCAGACTTTTTCCTTTTTATGATCACAAGGTTATTCTATTTGTAAATAAAGAATCGTAAAAAGCTTCCTGAGTTTGCCTCAAGCTTCAAACCGACAAGACCAGCAATAACTGCAACCAAATAAAAGATGAGAATGATGGAAACAAGTGTTATTATCACAACGGACGCGATAAATAAATATGCTGACCACTTTTCGAAATGCGAAGCGATATTGGTTATCCCGGCTACTATCTCCTCGCCCTTACTGAAAACTTTTTCCTCAAAAAGATTTCTCATCGATTTTATGTTAAATGTTTTTTTTTGTAAACGTCTCGGTTTACTCAACTTCAGAGTCTCTATTCAGTAGAGAATCCCCCTCAATTCAATGTTAAAATCTTTTTCTTGAACAACACAACAACTTCAGTGGCAGAAGCAATCTGGCTTGTTGACTCTTTCTCTGTAGGAGATAACTAGCTCTGATTCTCAGCTGATCATTACAAAGAGCATTATAGTCTATTTAATAGACTTTATTACAGAAATAATAATAATCATCCCTTTCCGAAATTGTGAATATAATTGCTTTGAAATTCAAAAATTTGCCTTGACTGATTTTCTGATGCTTGCTGTATGGCGTGCAAGGTATCCGATATGTTTTTTGCTTTGATCCCCAAGGAAGAATTTTGTAAAAGTTCAAGCGATGAAACAAATATATCCGAGAGCCCAAGAAAACTAACAGCTTCGTTGTATGGAATCAATCCCTCGATCGCAAGGAGAATTTCTTCGCAATGAATATCATCCTCACAACTATTATCTTTGAGTGTTTTGATTGCTGCGTCATTTCCACTAGGAGAGGTTTGATTGTTGAAAACAAAACGTAATTTCATTCACATTCAACCATTCCTAAAGATATTAGACACTGTATTCTGGATCTCACTTTCCATGACGAGAACTTTCGCCGATCCATTCACAAGCACTTCACTAAAATCGCCTTTGAAAATAAGCAGGTTAGAAGTCGTTTTGTTTGTTATTGACTGCGTTTCCAGATCGAAGTCTTCCTTGAGTTTGTTCATTTCTTCCTCATACTCGGTCAAGTTCGATGCAAGCTTTGATGGAAGGTTTTGCATGGTATAATTAAGGTTTTCAATGTACTCAGTTGATTCATGCACAAGAGTTTCAGCTTGAGGGAGTATTCCTTTGAACGATGACTGAAGAAGCGTCGTCGCAATTGAGCACGTGACTATTCTTTCAGCAACGATTCCAATAAAAATAATGAGGATCGTACTGTAGAAAACTTTCCAGCCAAGAACGCTCCTTGAAGGAAAATGAAGATTGTCAAATTTGTCGCAAGTTTTGCAAATACAAAGAGATATCCCAGCCAGTGGCACACAGACTGCCAGGAAAGTGATGAATACAATGAATACAATAAATTTTGGGTTCATTTTGAAGATAATATCTGATATCTGCTTTGTGGATATCGTCGTCGCGGTGTCCGTGAGTAGGATTATGTAAGGCCGTAGTTCCGACAACGGCTGCAGCAATGAATTGATGATGCCTTCATAGTTCCTCCCGCAGAGAATCACAAATAACAGTGCAAGAATCACAACCAAACAACTAATAACTATTCCAAATATTTTCGTATTTGAGAGCAACGGTCCTTCCCACTCCTGCGAAGGTAACTTTTTTATTGATCTACTGAAGCTGTCCTGAGCCGCGAGCACTGGAGGTAGATGTGATGGCGGTGGCGTTTCAGGTTCTTCGAGATACGACTCATCAGCCGCATCTTTTTCTCTTTTGTCGAGGTCAGAGATGATTTAATTGATAGAAAGTTTGCTTTTGAAATATGATTCTCTGACCGCTACTGTATCCTGTTGAGAGTTCCACATCGTAATCGCCTAGCACTTTTGAAAGTCTTTTTGGTGGAATGGGCTTGAAATCGAATTGATTGCTTTCCGTTTCATTTGCTATTGAGTCTGGTGTCAAGGCCGCTATGTCCGAACTAAATGGAGCTGTCGCCATCGACGGTACTCCCTTCAGCTCCAATGGTGTTACATAGCTAAAAGCACCGTCTTCTCTTCGATCACCATCCTCGATTTCTTGAGAATTTGTCTCATCTTCAACAGACTCCTCTTCGTTCGCGTCATCCTCTCTAGGATCAACCTTTCCAAAAGTTGGAAGTGTCATGGATTTTATAACCAGAGAAAACTATCAAGGAGAAAACGACGTTGAACAAAGAGCGGAAATGAGGATTCATCTGACAAATTTTGATTCAAATGAAAAATGGCACGGAAATATTTATTACGAATTCTATTTACAAGGTTGAATTCAAGGGTCAAATTGAGCGAGACATTCAATACAATTTCGCTGGTCAGTAAAATAAAGAGGTGATTAGTGAGTTTATTCTTCGTTGCTGTTTGGAGACGATTTGATGTCTTTCTCTGGAGAATCCGGCTGCTCTTCGATTTGAGCGTAGTCTTCAGAAACTGGAGAACCATGAGGGAGACTAAAAATAGGAGTGTCGGATAATAATGTTTTTTTCTTACTTTGGTGGCATAAAAGAATGGAAAAAATGTCGCGCAGGATACATTGATAAGGGCGGCACACCGGCTCGGAACAGAGGACTGGAAGAAAAGTTTATACATGGACAGCGAGAGAAAACATACTTAAATCCACGCAATTGTGGGAAACCTGGCAGCATTGGCAGTTGATCGAATCTCGGGAAAAGCGAGGGCACCGTTCGTGGGGGCAGCGCCACAGCGGACGAAGAGACGACGTTTTGCACAATAGAATTGACCCGCTCTTCTGGTACTTGAATATCGAGTGGAGCTGACAGTGGCGCATTCGAGGAACTGGTCGACGATGGCGGAGAAGTTTCTGCCAGAGAATTTAGCACGTTGACGATGTTTCCGTTATGATCTAGTATTAGCTACAGTTAGATGAATAGGGCTTTTTGGGGAAACCTTGAAGTGCTTTTAGAAGCAGCGCTTTTGGTTTCTGTGGGAAACATTTTTGAAGCGTTATAAGCTGCAACTGAAACTCAGACGGTTGCTTGGTCGCTTCAGTTTCGTTTGGATTTGGTTCTGCTTGATGATTCGCTTGCTCTTCGTAGGGACGTTTGAGCGCTAGAAAAAGTCAATCAATGAAAGAAACTAAAGTTCAAGTCCACTGTAACAGGGCATCGAATGATTCGAATCTGAGCGTTGTTTATTATTCAGAAAGTTTTGATTAGCTTCAGGAAGTGTCTCTAGCTCTCTTGCTAATCGGCTCATTGAAATTTCAAATTTGAATTTCTTTTTCGAAATCGATTACCTTTCAGAGCTGTGTTCTTACACTACTTCTAATTGAATCACACCACGGGGGTGGATTAAAAATAGCTGTGAATTATTATACGCGCCCAATAAGTATGTTAATCCGTTAAATTTACACGACAATTGCCGCCGAAGACTACTGAAAGCTCGCTCGCCCGCGAAATCAGTTCGCGAAGGACAGAAGCGACAGCTCACTCAACACTTTTCTTCAATTCTTATTCTAATCGAGTCATCCGGGCGGATGATCTTCAATTCACCCCTAGCACTACGGGGATCATCCCAAACATTTCTAGACTTACCAATCTCAGGAGAGCTGTCGTTCTCAGCTGATCGCTTCCTCTTTTTGGTGGACTCATTGGCTTGGCTTTGATCGAGATTCATTTCAATAGCTGGAAGTGCCGGTGGAGACAAGTTCAGTCTCTGAGAAGCGGTCGGAACTGGTTGAGCTTGACTTGCCGATGCCATCAAAATTTGCAGCTGTCTCGCTTCATTCTCTTCTTGCGCTTGTTGTCTTCGAAGAGCTACCTAAAATCATCGCGACATTAGGACTGCCAATATTTTTTGTGGAATCGAAAATTTTACACTGAAATTCAAGGACTGCTCAATTTCAGAAGAAAGGCGCAGAGTGAGTTTCAGTGGCTGATATACGATACTTGGCTTGCCTCGAGAATCGCTTTGAGCGTAATAGTTAAGCGTCTTTTCATTATCATATTGAAGAAAATAGTGTGCTCAGCTTGGCAAAACAAACGTTAGTTTCGATAGTTGCTTGATGGAACTTTTGTTGGCTGCTCGAGGAAAGTAAAAGTTGTTTTTATTGAGTCCGTTTCCACAAAAACTTAATTCCCTTTGTCACAATTTCTGCTCTTGGGAACTGGAGAGAATATACGTTTGATCTGGGCCGATTTCTTGGCTTCAAATTGCCGTTTCGGTAATCCCTTGAATAAATAGACCTTCTGTTGAAATTAAATGATTTAACATAAAGTAAAACTAATTCATATAATTTTATAATCTCAACTTAAACGATGATGCTATACTCTAACTAAAAATCTATTGTAAATATTCTATACGAAAGTAGGGCTAGTATTTCTTGAGTCAAATTGCTCTGAAGAGGTGACAACAATTGTCTTTCAACAAGGTTTCTAACAAGCTGAGCAAATTCTATTAACGTTGTGTACACTCTCATTGGAACTGATATCCACTTGAGAGAAGCTCACAAAATGCGAACACTCTTGTTATGCCAAGTGAAGATCGAAGAATTACCTGTGCCGCCATAACTCGTTGACGTTCCGCGATCAATGAACACTTCGCACATTGGCAGTCCTAAACATTCATGCTCAATTTGAAGCTAATTTATGCTTTCTTATAACAATCCAAATGTGTTACCTTCCATCTACAGAAGCGTTTGTGTCCTTTGAGGGCTGATACTACTCCGTGATTGCGGCATCGTGCGCATTTCGGTGTCCTCGGAGATCTATCTAGTGGCATTCCTAGGAAAGGATGCGTTAGAATGCTTTCTTAAAAATCAATTTACCTTGCGTACCTAAAGTGCCCGCACCACCCTGGCGAAGCAGTTGAAGCTGACTTTGAAGCGCGTTCGCTCCGATTCCGAAGCCTGTGTTCGAGCTCTGCATTGCTTTGAGTTACTATCAGCTGTTCCAGAAAGAAAAGAAAGAAGTGTTTCTTGTCTGGGGAAGGTTTGTTGTTGCGTTCTCTTGCTAGATCTGTTATCTTTGAGCAAGTCGACTTTACAGTTTCGTCGTTGTCGGACGCGCACAGGAGCGCCACAAGGGGGCGCCAAGTATTTAGTGGCCAGAGTTTCCAGCTCGGTATTGGGCGCGCGCAGGGGCATGAAGTGATACTTTTCGATTCAACGCAACAAAATCAAACAGCGCCGCCAACAAAAATACAAAAGCCAAATAGCCGTCATCCGATACATGCAACAGTCGAAACATCTGACTTTACAATGGGAAACCTGATAGCGCGTGCAAAATTATAAGTGAACCCAGATTTAGGGATTTCTCGTTCTTTATACTTGCGCCTGTTCACAATTCAAAAAATAACAGAAAGGCTATTTTATTCTTTCATCACTGCGCCTCATTACTTTGTTCAATTAAAACCCGTTGCAATTACTGATTTCAAATCAATTAGACGTGGAACCTTATTTTAGCCATGAAGGTTGTCGTGTTTACAAAATGCTTATTTTTTTATTGCAAAAGTATTCGCTTACGGGGTTGTTCTTTCAATGGCGGATTGTTTTTCTGGTGTAACCTAGTCTTTGCAATCCGAAATCGAATTTACTTTCAAGTACTAAAAACTCCACGACAAATAGGCCAGAGCCGATTATGAGAAAACTTGAGCCAATAATTATTTCTCTCAAGAAAAACTAACTTCAGCGATTTACCAAAGCGAAAATTCATCGATCAAAAATGTGGGAAAAAGAAGGCATCGATCTGCTCTAAAAGCTTTTGATGAAGAAACGGAAGTGTTAAATTTGACAAGCAACAACATAATCCGATTTATCTGTCACATATTTGATCTCACACTGTTCTCCGGATACAGTGAGTAGTGAGCATATGCTGATGTCAAATAATTTCTTGTTATTTCGATAATTTTTTGGAACAAAAGGAAATTTTCGAAAATTTTATCGTCCGTTTTTTCAGCCCTGCCTCGCCCAAATTAGTAACAATTAGGTTATTACATGTTTTGGTTTCCGGTTTTGTCTGAGCGAAATGCGTGAAAACCGAGCTGTTGAGATTTTTGGAGCGTGGAAAATCCTCTTCTTGGGCTATTTAGGGCGAAAGTGTTTAATTAAGCGCCCTGGAATAACAGAGCGAAGAAATGGGCTAAAATGGCACGTTTCATGCAGCCGAAAGACAACATTTTCAATCCTTTGAAAGTTGAGGTAGAAAGTACTTGAGAGACTATTAAAGCTGCGAAATACAATTTCGCTCTCTCCGGCTCTCGAAGCCAAAAATTTTCGACGATCAAAATGTCAAATTTTAATTAAATTTGAATTTCAAAATCGACAGTTTTGCAGGTGCTGCGAGATTAGCGAGAAAATATAAGTCAGCTCGAGGAATGACAATAACAATCAATACAGGATGTTTCGATGAATACTCGCTTTAAATGTGTGCCTCATAATCTTTATCTAGATTAATGGTTTTGTAATTTGAGTTTCTGTTGACTCGCTTTCCAACTTCGCAAAAGTCCTCATTTCGTAACGGGATATTCGGGAAGCATTATTTTATTATTCCAGCGCCTGCTCGGGTTACGAGGGATTTTCAATTTTTTCATCAAAAACGAATGGCTTTGATCCAGCGATACCCTTAGGATAACTACACCGCCGACTTTTCCCACATATGGCACGAGCAGCATAATATCTAACAGCCGCAATTTTGCGCGTATTACTGTCAAAGGTATACTAAAGAAGCCAAAGCATTTTATTTCGATGTTGGACAGCTCTAGAGTTCAGTGTGACCTGGAGGTAAGTCGTTTTCATCCATGTGACGAAAAAAGTCAAGATAAAAGTTAATGCCGTCTTCGTAGCTCTGCCATCGAAGCTTTTCTTCTCGACCATGTATTCCTGGTAGGTCTTCCTTCTCCATCACAAATGGATAGAAGCGGAAAATATGATCCGAGAAATCCTGCAACCAACGAGCATCGCACGCAGCCAGGAAAATGCCAGGAATAGCAATGATGTCTTTGATTGTCCTAGCAGGGCTCAGAATTACTTCAATTTATGAAAAGCCTAACCTATTGAGAGAGTGCACGATTTTACGTCCATACAGCGAGTCTCTGGGTGTGACTTTGTCAGCTTCAAGTGCCCCTTCTTCTTGCGTTATGAGCACCCGATCATCATCTTTAATTTGGCTGGAGATAAAAATTATATCATGTTATGCTAGTAGTTTTTTTGAAAGTTTTATCGCTCATCGTGGACAAAAATAACTTTCAACATATGTTCTTTTACGCATGAGCGCTGCGCATTAAAAGGGGCTCTCATTTTATTGCCTAGCCTATAACGCGTTCCAAATGTTCTAGTACTTGCGATATTGTTTGCCCAGGATGGATTCGATGATTAACAACGGCGCGTGCTTGAATCGGGATCACGTTCGACTTGTATCTTTTCGGGTTCATGACTTACAAGCTGATTCAGAAAAAATAGACATCAACCCTAGCCCAGCGTTGAAAATAGTAATGGCACTAGTTGTTCTGAAGAATGCATTCATTTGCTTGTCGAAGTTAGCTGCGAGAGCTACAAGCGGCCTGAAGAGCCACAAATTGGCTATGACTGGCTTGATCGTCCAAGGGAGATAAGGAACCAGACCTTCCATCATTTCAACCTCGATAGACTTGCCGAATTGATTTGGCTGCGGATTCGCGTTTATGCGACTCAATGCGTCCGATAGAATCGTTATCGAGCTCTCTTTTTCAGGGATCGATGCATGTCCGACTTTCGCATAATTCACTGTCAGTTCCACTGTCAGATATCCTTTTGCGGTGTACCCAATAGTAAGCAAAGGCTCGTTTGCTAGTGAAAAAATTGTATAAATCAATATTTCTAACTGTGATTTGAAATCACTGATTTCCCAAATAAGATTCAGCTGGAATAAATATATATTCACTAATTTCCTTTGTAACTCCGGGCAATCCGTTTCGGATGGGAGGCATTCCTTCGTCTATAATAAACGCAAAGCCATCTGATTGAATATTGTATCTTTCTCGGAAAATCTTCGCTGCTTCCTGCGCTCCGAAGCCACCAACTTCTTCATCATGAGGGAAGAGGAAATAAGTTTTTCTTTACCTGGTTCCGAAATCAATTTTTGTAAGATACGAATAGAAAATAGAAACCAAGGCTGACCTAGGTGGTTTTTCGCCGTTGAGCAAGAGTGCATGGAGTGCTTCCAACTGTGCCATCAAGATTGATTTGCAGTCGTATGCTCCTCGCGCTTGGACGAAGTCCTCGGTCACAAATGGTTTGAAAGGGTCGTGTGTCCATTCTTTGCGAATAGCCGGAACAACATCCGCATGGCTAATAAAGAGTCCAGGCTTGAGAGTTCGATCCGTGCCTTCGATAATCACCTGATTTTTTTGAGAAAATTCGACTTTGAAAAACAGCCACTTACCACAATGGTTTCTTTGCCGTTTTCAAATTCGATACGATCAACTTGTACGTCAGGATCTTCAGAAGAAAATATCCGCGGATACTGCTCATAAATATAATGCCAAAATTTGACAAACTCGTTCGAGTATATATCCTCCATTCCATCTTCCACAGAGATTGTTTTGAATTCTAGCGCTTTGACCATTCTGTCGCGGATATCAGGAGACAGCTTTACTCGTTCTTCGTCTGATATCGGCGCCTTGCCAATTATATTATTACTTTACGAAACAAATACGTTCAGCCGAAATGGAATATTTACCTCGTGGTCGCACACATGATTCTTCGTGGTCGTATTGACAAACAAAACAATCACAATCGGTAGAATCAGCAACCAACTCTTTCTTGGCATTTTCTGTGACAAACACTCTCAACTTCGAATAAGTACTTTTCACGAAAAAAAAATTAATGACTCATACAGTGGGTGTGGGCGAAGTCCGATTCGAGTGCTCCTTCACGTTTTTTTTCAAAAAAAAAAAAACGCGATTGAAGTAACAAATTCCAAGTTACGACCTTGAGCAAATAGTCTGAACGCCTCGTTCTCAACGTAACATTCTCAAATCGCCGTTATTTTTTGAGTTAAAATAAATTCTGAATCTGTTTTATCCCTATCCTTATCCTTAACTTAATAAGTCATAATGACGACAACTGTAAAAATGAAATAAATTGAACACATCAATGTACTTTTTGATTCGAGAAATGTACTCGACATAGAACAAGCCCCTGCTCCCAACATGAACAAATATCTTATTCTTGAACAATGTTGTTTAAATTAATAACATTTTATCATATAAATAAGTACGCATTCCTTTTCAACCGTGATTTTTCAATAAATTTTTGGATTTTAAATTTCAAAATAACGGAATGTAAAGGAGGCGTTTTTTGAGATGAGATTGTTGAATTTGGCAAGGTAAATCATATAAAACTCGATTTTCTGTCAGCTAGCGGCTTTACGAACGGCACTCATATTTGATCTGATGACACGGCCCTTGCTCTGGTACTGCAATTTATTATAGAAAAGGACAAATATTTGAAGCTCTTGTTTGCTTTACTCATTCACCTAGCGAGCCCTTCTGATTCTGTCCGCCTGATTTACAAATGCCATTATCACCCATATCGGATTTCATATATTGAATATGGACCAGGCCCTAGAATTCAAAAGAGACCTCCTGCGTACCCACAACCAGCGGCGAAAAGAACACAGCGCGAGAAGACTGAGAAAGGTTTCCTTTTCTTAACTTTTCAAAAATCTAAAAGTGATCTTCAGTCAAGATCACTCTCGGAAGCGGCTCAACGATGGGCCGATAAACTTCTTCTCGAGGGAAAATACGAACCGTCTAATATTCCGAATGTCGGGGAAAACATAGGTCCTTACTCTGAGTATTACTAAAATGAAAACTAATTTTAGAGTACAAATTTATCCGAGATGTGAAGAAGAACCTCCCTCGAGGAAGCGAGATAAGTGAGCTCTGGTACAGGAAGGGATGATTACAATCTGAAATTAAAAGATAAGCCGACAAACTTGCTCTTTTTCGGAAGAATTTGAATCATTCCATTTAACAGTGGAGTAAATAAGTTTGACTATGACGCAGAGCAGTATTGCACAGGTGCGGGTAAATTCAGCCAAATGGTCTGGAAAGGAACCAAATACATCGGCATCGGCATTGCCTGGAATACGCTCGGCAAGGTCGTCATTGTTGTAAATTATAAGCCAGCAGGGAATGTTGCTGGCGCATTTCATCAAAACGTTTCTAAACCAATTCTAATCTCCGAAGCTGCATTCTACAGGTAAATTAGTCACTAATTTAATATATCCGAAAATGTAATAGTGATGATTCGGACACTGCATCAGAGACTGAAGTCGAAGAAGAGGAGGAATACGGGAATCTGATCAACACAAACGTCTCAGAAGACTTTGGTGCCGAAAATGATGGAACTCGTTTTAAGGCAGTGATGAAAGTTACAGCGTTAAGAAATAAACTTTGTTTTTATTCACTTGAAAGCGCGTAATAACGACGAAGCAATTTCTCATCCCTGTACGAAACGGAGAAATGACTCGAACAATAAAGCGAACTAGAATTACCTATTTGACGAAGGCTAATTTGGCTGACGAATTTTTATCACAACTCGAAACACTAAATTATGAACTTCCAAGGCAAAGCAGTTTAAATAACACTTTATTAATAACAACTTTATTTCAGTCTACCTTCAACGGAGTCCTCTCAAAAAGATATGGAAGGTAACAGAGCTGCGTACTCGTGGTATAATCGTTAAATTTCAGAGGCAGACATTATTGTAAAGAAGCAGAATGACTACCGAGCAGTATTCGACGTTAATCCTTTGAAAAGATCTCCAGAACTTGATCTTCTGGCTTCTTATTGGGCAAGGTTTGCCAAAGTAAGTGTTCGCATTTAAGAGTGATAACTTTAGTCGTCTGATGGAAAATAATCCAGGAGCGACTACACATATCATCGGGAATCCAGAATGCCAACGACTCAAAGTAGGCGAGACAATAGTGGCTGAGCAATTGCTTTCCCATATGCCCATCGATGGTAGGAAACTATTTTTTGCTTCTAATAAATTTTCCAGGGGAAAAAATCGTCGACAAGTGGTTTCAATCGAGAATACATTACAATACCTCGAGTCACGAGTTCGTTCCGAGTGCTGGTGCATTCACGCAAGTATGCTTTTCCTAATGACGTCTGATGTTTAACTCGATAATTTTTAGATGCTCTGGCGAGATACGAATGAAATTGGTGTAGCAATCGCAAGGAACCAAAACGGAAAAGCGATAATTGTTTGTAATTATTATCCTCCAGGCAATATAAGGAATGAATTTGAACAAAATGTCCCTGTAGCTGTTCCGCCTGAGAAAAATTGAAAATAAAACCTTGAGAATCTTCCCTGCAGAGCTTGATCAAGATCACCTCAGCTTTCATACACTACCAGATTAGATTTATTAGATGCAATAAAGATTGAGTATGCTTCAAAAAGATAGACTGCAACAAGGGTTCTATAAACGCGATATATTTTATTATTATGAAGATGGATTATATATTTTTTTGATAAAAGGGTCCTTAGTTTCAAACTAATTTTTGCTATTTTTTAGTTTGCTGCGAAGAGATAAAAAAGCTCTTTTTACATAAGTGAAGTAAAAATTAGGACCAAGATATGGACGCACAACAAGAGTCTGGCTGATAAACGGCAAGCTTCATTGAAACTTCGTTTGTCGGGTTGATTTCGTGGTTGCAGTCTTTTCGTTGTCTGCACTGGTTGAAAGAAAGTTTGCTGAAATAATCATTTGGTTATTTTTGATCGGCGACCTAATTAAACTAAATTAAAGTCGACTCACAATTCAAGAGTCTCTTTCTGAAAAGTCGTAGATGCTGCGTTGCAAGAAAGAGTTTGTCCAAGATTAAGCTGCTGGATACAACAAGTTTTGCGGAATTCGGGTTGAACGTCGCCCGTGTCGTAGAAAGTAAGCGGACACTGAGGTGAGGAACCGGAGCAAAACGCGGAGTCAATCGCGGCTAAGCAGTTAAACGTCAGAGAAGATTCTAGCTGCAGCCTCATACCTTGAGAACAAATGTCATGAGGAGCTGTTGTCGATGGTCTGCATTTGAGCACATGCCAATGCTGTCTAGTCGTGATGTCTGTAGTCGAGCACTTGAAGCATTCGTCTCCGCGTCCCTGGCAGAAGTCGCTCATATATGTTCTCAGCAGCGGGCAAACGTACTTGTGAACGAACAATGGGTACGATATTCTTAACTAGCGTATTACACCTTGTTTGATAACATTATTTAACGACGCGCTACGTAGATATAAAAACAATTACCTATGTTTCTGGGCAACACAAAGATCTGATCTCGAAAAGCGGGAACTACGCGAGAGTATTTCGTCTTCAACGTCGACTTCCATCTGGTAGCGAGCCATTTGTTGGGCTTCCTGGGTCGCCCGTTGTAATGCGTCTTGTAGCATCTTCTGTAGTGCAGGCTCGGCAATGCAGTGCCCGAGGAGGAATGTAAGGATCAAGTTCGAACTCATCGTTTTATTCTTTTCTTGTTTATAAGATTTGCTGTCCAAGGAAGAGAGAATTTCTATTTAAATACAATGATCCGCATCAGCAAGCATCTGAAGCAGTAGAGAGGACCGCGCGGGAAGACGAAAATAGGCATTTAATTGCAGCAGTATCAGTGTGCAGCGCCATCAACTGGCAATTTTATGATGTAACCTGCATTTCATGTTTTCTTCAAGCAAAATAAAGCTCTTTTCACTATAAGTGTCATTTTGAATTGTCCATCTACATCCAAAGGAAAACATTGAAATCAACAAGGACTTCACAAAAATCGGAATTTAAAAAATTCAAAATGATTGTGCTAAAATTGATATAAGCAGGTTTCAGCAGTTTCACGAACCCATTGTTACTGGCCATTAAGTAATATAAATCTGATCATTGACTGGCAGCATCAGTGATTTCTACTAGAGCGTGAATTGTACAAAGATCATCAATAATTTTATGAAGTTTATCGCTTGGTTTACTAATAATTGGGCAGCTTTACTTATTGCTTCTCTTTCAAGACAACAATTTAAGATTTGTTGCCGGCCGATTAAGTAATCTAACAACAAGTTCGAAAAAAGAAAATGAAAAAAAGACACTTTGTTTGAAAATTTAGCACCCTATTTGCCACAAAGAAAATAAATTGCTGTAAATTGCAAAGCTAGAAAAACTTTTTCTCAATGCAAAGTTGTGAGAAACAACCGTTGTCGCAATTAAGGAGCGGTTAAAAGATAAAAGAAAGATTGTAAATTATAATTTGCAGAATGCAAACACGCACAACTGCATGTAAGCATAAAACATAAAAGAAAAAAGGACAAATATAATTAGTTTATGAGCAGGATTATAAAATTCTATGCGCTCGCTAATGCATCAAAGCAGCTATAATGTGTTGTTTTATGTATTTTGCCAAAATTGAAATAATAACTCGAGAAAAGTGCTTTCAGTTGCGGCTCGAGCTAATTGCTGACTGAAACAATAAAGACGCCCTCAAAACCTCGCCGTCAAAACTTATCTGCGAAGACGATGAAACGTGTGATAATGATAGACTTTATCTACCTAAAAAACAAGTGGGACTCTCGTGGAAGTATAGAATTTAAATCTTTTAGAAGTTGGTGATGTAAGAAAAGCTACGGGAGAAACAAACGGTCTTTCCTGGCTTTATTTTCCGTCTTAGCGGTCAGTTAATGAAATATCAGCGACAATATGACAAGAAAAATATCTTAGAAGGCAGATTTCTTACTTCCATAGAAACCAGGCCTCCGCTCCAGTCGAAGAGTACTTGTGTGATGTGATTTAGCTAATCCACCACTCTGCTCTGAGCATCCATTTCTATAATTTAATTAGAGGTTCAACCAACCTAAAAGTACTTTTGAGGAAAGAATATTCCGCGACTTCTTGTGGTAGGAAATTACTTTTGCCAATAAACTTTGACAAGTAAATGACCGATTATCAATTTTTTTATTTTATTTTATTTTTTTTTTGGCTTAAAAAAAAACAAAAAACGAAACAGTACTTCGAAATTCATCGCAAAATATTGCTTCTTCTGGCTGGGCGGGAGAATAATTCTGTGTACAGAACTATTCTGTGGAAACAGAACTATTCTGTGAAAAAACAGAACTATTCTGTGTCGAGCTTAGCAAAATTCACTTTGATTATGTCGTAGATAGCCTATAATACTCTGGAACTCATGTCTAAGAGTGGAAAAGGATTGACTTCAGTCGGTCTTTGAATCTAGCAGCCAAATACAATCTATAACAATGATAGTCTGTTAGTAGAAGCTGAACCGAAGAGGCTATGAAGCACGCTACGGGCCTACGGCCCTTGCGCGCATTTTCTGATAGAGAACTCATTGGGTTGGCAGGGGCAGTCTTTTTCTACCGCTGGGACTCATTTTTGGCAGCAAACAACTTCTGCATTCGCAGAATAATAGTTGTTTTCGCTAAAAAAAATTATTTTTTCACAGAATTATTCTCCCGGAAAGGGGGGGTGTTATCGTGAGAATAATTCTGTTTTTCACAGAATAGTTCTGTGCACAGAATTATTCTCCCGGTTGCCCGCTTCTTCTTCTGTTTAGCAGCTTCATTTTATTCTCTAGTTGACCGTTGGCATTTTCTGGTTTATTTGTGAGCTTCCGGTTTCAGATATTAATCCTTCATCAGGCTAGAAAGTACAATAAACATATATTCCGTTGAAAAGTAAGTTACCGTGAGGCGGACAAAATCACGACTGAGGTGAAAGCGAGAAAACAACAAAGATCTAATCGTAACAGAAATGGCAAAAGGGGCATACATCAATCCATTCTTGGCGCCCTTTTGCCATTTCTGTTACGATTAGATCTTTGTTGTTTTCTCGCTTTCACCTCAGTCGTGATTTTGTCCGCCTCACGGTAACTTACTTTTCAACGGAATATATGTTTATTTTACTTGTTAGCCTGATGAAGGATTAATATCCGAAACCGGTAGCTCACAAATAAACTAGAAAAAGCTTCATTTTAATGCTGTATTTCAGAGTGATCAATTTCCCCCTTACATACTTTTATATCCATTTTATTAATTGCTTACAGCTGAAAGCATTAATTTCCGCTTTTACAATCATGAAATCTGTAGATAAAGCGGTTAATACTATCCCGGGAAGAGGTATTTACAAGATCTTTCGCGTTCAAAAAATAGTACGTAACTTGCGGAAGTTCTTAAAATATGTCTCGGATGGACTTGTCTTGCCAGAAAAAAACTCTCTTCTACGAAATACGCAACCTGCTGGCTTGTTTTTTTACTAGATGTTCTCTTCTAAGAGAGAATTTAGAGATTTTTATTATATTCCGCAAGGTAATCGAATCATTGCTCGGACGTCAAAGTTTTTCTGCATTTTGCATAAGCGAATTTCCAAGTAGACCGGAGTTCGCTCGAAAGTGAGAGCGTTGACACGTTTTGTATCGAAGTGAATTTCGAATGCGCCGACTTGACGAATGAGGTCCTCAAAGGTGACTAGCTTCACCAATCTGTCAACACGCGCTAATTTGGTACAATCTTCGTGTTACCGTACTATTTAGAAAAGGATTCAATTAGACATACGTGGCTCCAGCTTTGGAATGGACTCTAAAACTCGAAATCTGGCCGCGTCTTTAAATTTCATTCCAAACTGATGTTCCTCCGCGACTCGAACTCTCTCTCCAATTAATCTTATGTAAAATTGCGCTAACTAGATTTGAATAGGCTGATCTCGCGAGTGAGTCTGGCGGTTCTTGAGCTCTGCTATCGCTGCCTTTTCGATCCCCTTCCGATGTTCGACGAATATATTCAACACGTTTTCCTGCTAAAAGACAAGAATTTTCAAAAAGGAAAAAAGTGAGCGCGTAGATGAGTATTCTCTTATGTAAGGATTTACGTCGTTTGGTGAGTTTGATGAGCGTGATTGAGCCCGCGAGAATACTTCCCGTGGCTATTTGATTCCACTTGCGATTTCCGTTCTTTCCTCAAAATTTTCACTAGTCTATAGTGGGCTTAAATCCTTCATTTGTTGATGCTGAATTCCAGTGGTCACATTTGTTTCAGAGAAAATTTGTCATTTGTTATATCGAGAGACGGATGAGCTGCTGTTTTGGCCGCGCGCATTTTACCTGTATAGTTTGGTCTTCAGTTTCCCGTTCAAAAAAAAAAAGAATTCCACGTCTCACAGTTTTGGCACGGTCGTATTTGCACTCTTATAACCCAGCTAGATGCTAATGAAAGCGGCGATTTGAGTATACGCTTTCGTCTAAAGTTGTTTCCTCCGGAAAGATCGCCGCGCTGCCGTTTCTTTGAGCTCATTTACTCTAGCTTGGGCTGACATTTTTAGCAAATAAAGTTTTCTGACTTTTCTCGAAAATTGAGGCACTTCCGTGCTCTCCGGCCAGCAGTTTGAAAACGCAGCCGTTTTCAAGCCATTAGCCTATTTAGAATAGGTCAGCTTCCCCCCTCTCCACAATAACCCGAAAATCGGCAGTTAGTTTCTGTATGAGTTTCTGTACTAATAAAAATGGCTAGCGCAAGGAAGGCTCGGTCGACTAATCTTAAATTGGTTTCTTTTTAGGTTCAATTTGAGATTTTATTAAAGGTAAAGCCGGAGACGCAGAATTAATCGTAGCTTGTATGCGGGAAATTAATGCGCTTCTACCCTTTTGGGGTAGATTAATGAAATAATCGTGAAAAGGGCGCCAAATAGCGCGATCGAATAGTGTCAATTAGAACTTGCTTAGCAACGAACGTGCATGAGGAATTCAATAAACTCCTCTTTAGAGCTTTCCACTTTTAAAATCAAAGAAGGGAGATCCACCTTACCAAAAATGCCGATCTCGCCGAAAACTTCTAACGTTGGGCTTGAACCTCAAGATGTTCGCAAGCTTGTTTTACTCGACCATCAGGCTTTGATCTTCACGTGACCGGTGAAAATCTGCTCGAGCGGGGATCGCTTGCGAAATCTTTTACATTTCTTCGCGCCTCAATCAAAAATTACTCCCGCACTTGCACTTAGACAAGAAACATTTTCAAAGTACATTTTTCGCAAGGTTTTATTCCGCATTTATTTTCGCGCAAAGTGAAATAATTATTTACAGATTTTTTTCAGTAAAAAATAAATTAAAAGAATTGAAATGTTAATGTAGCATACGGGAGAATATAAAAAAAAGATGTTCGCAGATAGGCAGCAACGTGGATAGCGACGGTAATAGCTGGTAGAACTGATGATCATTTTTAGCAAAAAGAGAGAGAGAGAGAATAGAAATAAATTAAATTCGCAATAGTCTTGGAAAACAATTTCTTATTTTCGCATTAATTCGTCATTGCTCCAATTCATGCTAAGGTGGTAGTAGAGAAAACGTCTCTGGTGAATTTTCTTTTCCTTTCTGTTGCAATGGCGAATGGTCTTTCCTCCGAAGACTTTGGGGCATTCTGGGACGCAGATATGCTCGAAGTGGTCGAGTTTTTCCATGCCATTGGGGCATGTGAACTTTCGTCCCTCGATCTTCGCTTTGGTGAGGATTTCCCTGTTGATACCAGCTTCGACTGCGCAAATTAAGGTCACAAAAAGAGCTAGAAAGTTCATTTTTTCTTCTTTTGATGGAGATCTGCGCGAGTTACTCTTGAGTTACTTCTTTTGGTGAAGTTCGTGTTGATTTGATTTGAAAGATAGCGAAGGTGGGTTATATACTCGGCGCCCCAAAATATAATTAAATGTTCCGTAGTGGACGTAAGGGGCGGTATCTACTATCAAAAACGGGAGGTCTCTTAGACAAGCGCCTAGAACTGAAAGCATTGAATGCAGTGTGGCCAACAAACAGCCTTTTTTGGATTATGAATTGAAGCGTCTCGAGCGAGATTCGCGGTAGGGGCGAAATTTTTTCGCAAATAATTTTGGACTTCCTGTTTTGGTTTTTAGCTTCTTGAAGTGGGCATTTGGTTGACCGACTGGCTCACCGAGGGAGAAGTTCTTGTGGCCGAGTAATCTTTTGCCTTTGCTTTGAACAAACACGCTGATTACTATTAACGAAAACAGCATTGCAAGGGCTCAGATAATAACGTTAAAATCGAGAGTTATCGTGGATTGACAATAATTGGCTGCGCGTGTTTCTTGCATTTAGTTTACGTAAACGATGCAATGCGATTGCCGCTTTTATCTATCAACCATCGCTTGTAAAAAGTACCAACAGAGCGGATTAAGATTTTCTTTCTCTCTGCATGAATAGACAGCATTAAATCTCGATGCTTATCGCCTTCTCCAGCTAGGATCCAGGTGGTTTTTACCAAGGAACGATTTAACCACTGCGGCGATTTAACTTTTGGCAAAGTGAATTTAGCAAAAACCCAAAAGACGGAATGATGAATCGACCGTATTTGAGCGAAAGAGATCCACAAGTTAACCCGTTTAACTAATAGTGTACTAATCACGGGTTCAACGGACTAATTAAACGTGGATGTTTGGAGTAAGGAAAGATGAATGTAAGAATTGATGGGGTGAATCAGCATATGAATCGCTTTTACGTGGTCAATTTATATTTAGTAGCTTAATTTGGCTGTTCGTTGACATCAGTGAGTGTACCTCGATTGTTTAGGATAAAGACAGGCTAGTTTGTTTGCAGTAATATTTTCAGAATTTTATTTTCGCTCACGTTGAGCTTGAGAATGACCAAGTAAAAGGGCTTGAGAAAGTGCGTGTGATCATTTGCGCGGATGAAGTTTTCCGAGGTCGTCTTGCGTGAGGACGCACGGCAAAGAATATTTATGGACGTCGGGGTGTCTTCCAGAACGTCGGGGCGGGAGTGTGCTCGAATTACGTGATTCCGTCGAGCGTCAAAGCTCGGCCCCGTTCTACGGCCAACGTGGCCCTCGCGCGTCCTTTAACCTGACTCCGACGGCGATTTCCCGCTTTTCCGAGACTGATATCTCAACACTATCCACACACTCACGATTTTCTCTTGCTACGTTAATAGCTTTAATCGACGTCTGGAAACCATAGCCCAGTTCCGGGATCGCCACTTATCGAACATATTCCATCATTCCAGAGTCAATTACAAGTCTTAAACTTGAATTTCTGATCCCTTTAATAGTTACATTGTATATTCGAAATATGTGGAAGTAACTACCCCAATTAAAACGTGAATATTTTTACTAAAGATCGATAGGATTATAAATAGAACCATCTATATCACGGATTGTATAAGATTAATAAAGTTCAAAAACTACATATACAAGAAAAAATGAAGCAATAAGCAATACTTACACGATAGTTATCTATTTCTTGCTCGAATGAGCTCTGCAACGTTGTGGTTAGCTCGACATTGTTGGCGTTCACTTTCAAAATGACATGCTCTGACTTTGCTTAGTTCACTTTGTGTGCAACCTTTAACAGACTTAGTCGGTAATCTCTTACCCCTAATCGTCTATCGCACGTGGGCTCACCTCGCACTGCCTTGCAACTTTTTAGGCGTATACAAACAAACTATTATTCAAAGATCTTTTTGCAAGGATATCCTCTCAAAATTGAAAAACAAAATAATAAGAACTCAAATTTAAAACAAACAGAAATACGAAAATATTTACTTGAATAACTCTTGCTGCATAATATAAATATTAATAAAGATTTAATGAATTTAATAGATGAACACAAATAACCGGGATCTGTTAGCTAGGCTGACTACTTAAACTTGATTTGATAAATGCATTTAATCATGAAATTTCACAACTGCAAACGCAGGATTTGTGGAAGGGCTTGGACTAGTAATTACGAGTCGAAGATAACGAACTCTTGCGCGCATCATGTGTAGAGGAAATCTTTCTTTAGAAGCGAGTAAACTTATATGATGATTAATTTCGTAGAGGTTATTTGCTATCTAAATCGAGAAAAAGGAGATCACTTGAAGGATCAACTGACCGGTCGAAAGCCAACACTCAAAAATTTCGTTATCTGGCGATAAACTCTAACCAGCGACGCTTTAATCATTTTTAACTGTGGATGATAGTCGACACTCGACGTTGTTTTTCCATAAAAGAAAAATTTTACTACTCACTGATTTTTTCAAAAAGTTCGGCGGTTTAGACTTTGTGCTAGGTGGCATACTCCGCAGTGGCCTGAGCATACGCGAATATGCGCTCTAGCGCCTACTCGGCAGTCCTATAAATGCTCTTTCCAGGTCCTTAGTACCTCAGCAAAGAAAAATATAATATTTACAAAATTCGAAATATTCGAAAAGAAGAAAACAGCCAAAAATGAAACTCGGATTACTTTTCGCAACCGCCGTATTTGGGTAAATATCATGCAGAGATCAAGAGATAATCAACTAGATTCATAAAGTTTTTGAAATTCTTAAATACAAGGATTTTGATTCCACAGCCATTTTAAGTATTTCATTAATATCTTTTAGAACAACTATCGATATTGATGAAACTGACACTGTTCGCTCGGTAGCAGAAAAATTCGAATCAGCAGGTAAAACTTACTTACTTGCTGCTGATTTATGATAATCAATAATTTTAGAAATTGAGCAGCCTTTTGATGAAGAAGAGCTTGGAAACGGGCTTGTCAGAAGTGGAGGTGGAATCGAAGAACGAAACTTCAAGAAGTGGAAAGTTCTTCTCAAGTTCTTCAATCGAGAGAATGACAGCTTCAGTTACAAACACTTAGCTATGTACGGGTGCCAATGCGGTGCCCTTGGTAAGGACGGAAAGTATGACTTCTACGGGAGAGGCAAGGGACAACCTGTCGACGCTCTCGATGAAGCTTGCAAAGAATACTCCAACTGTCTCAAGGAAAGGGTCTTGCTAGTTTGCTTTCGAAGATTTAGTCAAGAATGGCACTGATAATGACCCTCAATAGTGTTTGAGCGAGTCACACGGGGACGAAGATTGTAGCCCACAATTGCGCTACAAATTGCGACTGAACACCGATGACGGAAGTGCCACCTGTCGAGCAAAGGAAGGAAGCTGCAAGCAGAATCTGTGCAAGTGCGACACTCAGTTTGCGCAGAGAGTGTCTGAAGTCTACGCAAGCAGTTACGCCGCCGAGAACAAGAACTTCGACAGGAGCCAGTGCATCCGAGGCCCAGGCGGTCAAGAGAAGCAGTGCTGCGGTAACAAAGATACGTTCCCTCTGAACCGACCCTACCGAATTTCGAGTCAGTGTTGCGACAGCTCCACCGCCAAAATCTACGAGATCGGTTCCGATCAGTGCATCTAACTCGTTAGACGCTACGAGTAACTAGCCCTCGCAACTACGCTTTTCCACCTTGTACAAATGCACGCACTTTCCACCTACCAATCTCTCTCTGGAGCTCTTTTCTCGTTATATATTTTTCTCATGCAACAAACGGACCTAAGATTTCGAGCTCCGCTTGGCTACAATAACTTAACTTTTGGGCGCCTTTCGTCGTCTAAAAGTTGGCTGACAATATTCCGCAGTTTAATTTTATCATTTTCTATTTCAACGTTGGTCAACTACGGAATATTCGCAGCGGTTCGAAGCGGACAAAAATCTTTAAAACACGCCTCTAGAAATCCTCTAAGGGCGATTTTGAACCGATAAACGTTCAGTTTATGACTGTTTATATCCTTCTTTGTATTTATAAAACCGAATAAAATACATTCGATCAACTTCTTTTCCTTTTATCGCAATGCATGTTATTAGCAACTCTTCTCAATTAAAATTATCAAGGTAACATGGACCGCAGAAATAATGCCTTTTGCCGGCTAAAACATAATTTGTGAAACATGGACAAACAAGTTGTTAAATTTAAAGTTTTAAAAGCCTTAAATTTTCATGTTTTAATAAGAAATTAAGGAAATTAAAGCCTCTTATCACAGGTCTTCTGGTCAAAACATGCTAAATACAACTAAATGCATTTTGAAGCTTCTATATAAAATTTAATGATTAAATTGGGGACGCCCCTTTTTATATTTGCATCCATTTCTCAATTATGTATAATTATGTCTTTTGAAGGGCATAACTTCGAATATCAGAAGTTCGGGATCATCCCTAAAACAAATAAAAAATATTTCAATTCAAAATCGATAATCCAGCAATATGTATCAAAAATTTACAAGCAATACACTCCAAAATACTACAAGATTGTTGAAGAGTTGCCATAAAAGGAGCACTGACGGCGATATTTTAAGAGAAGAGCAAGCCTTGGAAAAATGTCTATTTGATTGGTTCCTTCGAAAATGGGCGGGCAGCTCGGGTGGCCAGTCGGCGGCTCTCTCCCGGACACTACTTTTACTACCTGGCTAGAAAAGAATCTAGAATCCCTAAAAACATCCCCTCAAGAGAGATGCGAGAAGACTGCCGTTACACTAGGAGCGCGTAAAAAAGAGAAGAAAATCAACGATGACACAAGGCATTTTGGCGGTCCTTTTCTGGCACTGGGCTACAGTCACTTTCTCGTCGGCGCACTCTCACTGGTATCTCGATCCTAACGACGGTATCTACAAAGTAAGCCCTTTTCTTGTTGTTAATCGCTTTGTCTAACGTACCCCCCCCCCCTAGCTCGCTCACATTTTGTGAGCATTTTTCCCTTGCTCGCTTAGTTAAATTTGATCAAAGTCCCCTTGCTCGCTCTCATTCTTGTTTCAGCGCGCTCCATTAGTCGCCATCCTTCTTTTTACCTCGCGCGCCCTTGTTCGCTCCTCCTCACCCATTTATCCCTTGTTCGCCGCGAGACCGCCAAAGCCTAGCTCGGCTTGGGTCGCTCTTACAGCTCTTACTGAACTTTCGACTCAAGCTTTTCATAGGGAACTAAATTTTCATTTTCATGAATATTTTGACAGTAACTAAACTTCATTTCCTCTTTTTTAAGCGTCCAGTTAAATTTTTGTATCTTGTAGCAACGCGGTATTATGCCGTAAACTTGATAGTTTGACTTTATATGTACATTTATTCTCAAAATAGTCGAATCTTCATGTTGACACTGGTTCCAGAGTTGCAAATTTGCTGAGCTGAGTGAGCTGAGCAGTCGCTCAGCTCAGTGATTTTGGAAAATGATCTGATCTGCTCAGCTCAGCTCAGACAATTTTCACTCAGCTCAGCTCAGCTCAGCTCAGACGATTATCACTTAGCTAAGCTCAGCTCAATGATTTGAATACAATTTTACTACCGAAAAACAGTAAAAAACAGCTCAGCTCAGCTCTAATTAGGGTCCGCTCAGCTCAGCTCAGCTCAACTCTCTTAAACAAAAGGTCTGCTCAGCTCAGCTCAGAAACCTCCGAAGTAGGCCAGCTCAGCTCAGCTCAGCTCAGAGAAATTTTTTCGCAGGTCAGCTCAGCTCAGCTCAGCTCGGAAAAATTAATCAAAATTTGCAACTCTCGAGGAAAATGGCATTTGATTTTTAAAAAAAAAACAGTCTCAAAGTTTCAATCCATGTATTTCGAGTACTTATGTTTACTTAAAATGGAGTGTCCAAATTTCTTCTTATTAAGAAGATATGAAAATTTGACAAAATGGACGTGAAAGAGCATAAAAAAATAAGTTTGCTTGGAAAAAATCATGAAAATCGAATTTTGAGACCATTCTACGAGTTAAAAAGCCTTTTAAAAGTGAAAAAGAAAGTGAGCAACGCGTTATAAAGCGTTCTCGCGGGGCTTCAGGAGCGAACAAGGGATAAATGACGGAGAAAGGCGGGCGAGCAAAGGTGCGCCGTCGAAACCAAGGAGGGCGAACAAGGGGTCGTAGAATGCAAAAGAAGGAAAGCGACCAACGGATCTTGGTAACAAAAAGCGAGCGACCAAGGGGGGTCTTGTTGGAGTTTAACTAAGCGAAAAAGGGAAAAATGTTCACAAAATGTGAGCGAGCTAGGGGGGGGGGTACGTTATGTAAATTAGCGAATTGACTAGGAATTAAACGACTCTGTATTTGCGCTCAATCGGCGTTTGTCCGGCGATGTCGGCGTCTTCAAGCAGCAAGAAAAGGAACGCGAAGAAATCAACAAACTGGGCGAGGAGCTGAGTCGTGTCAAAGAAGTGCTCGAAGAGGTAGAAGCTGCGGAAAAGCAAGGTGACCTCGAATACGATCACTACAGGACGTGTGCGAATTGCACTGCAGCCGGGAAAAAACTTCAGGAATTCGACTTGTTCCAGACCACCGTAATACATCCTACCTCGCGCAACATAAACACTAAGCCGTACTTTCTTAAATGTACTAAATGCCTGGAGTGCCGGACAGAGGCTGAACACCAGCGATTTGCAAAAGAGGCGCAGGAACGGAACCTTATGCCTTACTGTACCGTTATTGAAGCAAAGTGGCGGATGAACCCGTTCGATCATTTGGAGGGAATGCAAACTGAGAAGGAGTTCGAAGAATTGCGCGAACATGCCCTCACTTCAACGATGTATTTTCTGGGAAACGCCGAGGAGGACTTTCATTTCACCACTGCGGAAGAGAAGTCACGCTACAAGAACGGCGAGGACCTCGATCAAATGGGCCACTGTATTACGATCGGACTATCAAGGTGAATTCGAGGTTAACAAAAACCCCAACAATCAGTTTTTTTCTTTTGGTATTGAATAGATAATTGGATGACCGCCACAAGAGCGTACCATCTGCATTTTGCTGTCTATTCAGTACGTGTCCGTGGACATGATATCTAGGACATTTGAATTAATTTTGATGACTAATATTTTTTGCAGGGATCCATCAGACTGGGTGCTCTTTAATTTGGCTTCGATTTTTTGGAGAATCCGCGGATTTCCCAAGGAAGCACTAGAATGCGATCGACGCGCTTACCTTCTTGCTCCAGTAGAGTATCGGTAGGGTGACTATTGATACAATATAAGTTTTTATCTATCTTCTTAGAGACATGGCACTCGTGAATATAGCGAATGTCTTGCACAAGCAGGGATATACTAGGAACGCAACTGTCTTGATGAGAGCTGCTGCAGATAGTTACCCACATGCTATAAATCACTTTGCACTGGGAAATATGTATTCTGTTGTCGAAGATTACAGGCGAGCAATCATCCATTACAGTGCTGCTCTGAAGAGGGAACCTAACTTTGAAGAAGCACTTCTCAGGAAAAGATTTTAATTCATTCATTGTGTAAGTTACTTGTATTTGAATGTAAGTCCAAGGTTAGTTATTTTATTACCGACCGTTGGGAACTTAAAATTGTTAGAAATTCTCATCGCGTCATGCTAGTAAAATTAAATTGAATGTGAAAAGGAACCGGTTTAAACATCTCCATCTTTTAACTAAGATTGTGATCTTCGTTCAAAGACGACATGCAGTGATGTGCCAAGCTCAATATCACGTAAAACTCGAAAAGCAATTTCAATCGCTCAACAAGACTTTGTACGAGCTGGAAAAATACAAACGCATACAGGAAAAATATCAAGAACGTGTCGGCCGATTGAAAGAAAGACAAGCACCGTCGCACGCAGGGTTGCCCAATCGGACAAAAAATGTTGGTCTTGGCGATCCGATTCCGATCCGATCCGATTCGGACCTCGTCCAATCCGACCGATTACCGATCCGATTACCGATTCCGATCGGATTTTTCGGATTCCGATTAAAGTTCATGTCCGATCGGACAATTTTCCGATCGGAAAAATATTCGAAAATTTTCAAGTTAAAATTTCAATTTAGACTACTGAATATGAAGAAAAAAACTCGGAAATATCAAGTTCTTTCGCTACAAACGCCCTTCTAACCATTTTACCTCTTATTTCCGTGAAAATTTATGGATAATTTTGGGTTTTCGGGGGCTTGGATCCGCAACATTTGTACAAAACATATAAGGGTCCTGAAAGAGCTTTTATAAAAGCCGCCTCGGCGCTAGAATTTCCTAGAAACGAAGTAACAAATGGGCCATTTGAAATGGCGTTCGCAAAAACAACCATTTCAATGGTTGACATTCTCAATCTAACACTAAATCACCGTGACGAAGGTTTTAAAGGACGTAATTAAGCTCTTTTTTAAGAAAAACATGCCTAAAAATTGGTGAATTTACACAAATATTACTTTTTATAAGTGTATTTTAAGCCTAAGTCACGGATTTTAGTGGCTTTTGAATGAATGAATCCGACTTTTTTACCCATTTTCCGATCGGATTATCGGATCCGATTTTACCGATCGAAACCGATTTTACCGATCGGACATGACCAAATTTTCATTGCCTCGTCCGACCAATTACCGATCCGATTCCGATCGGATCGAATTTCCGATCGGATTCCGATCCGGTTGGGCAACCCTGGTCGCACGTGAAGCGTGAATATCACCGGCTTTCAGAATCACTAGAGGTTGGGGCTCCATATCTATTCGACAGTTAAAAATAAGTAAAGTAGATAACTCCTTATTGAATTTTGCTAGGGAATTAGTGGAACCGCTCAATAATGAGATTTCCGGAACTCGGAAACGAATTTTGGTCGATCAATGGGGGTGGGACACTAGTCGCTTTGCAACCTCGTCATCCCCTGACCATGCCCAAATGTCATTTCTTTTAACGTATTAGCCAGGAGCCCTCGTAGGGTCGCTCCTCCTCGCGCCCCGCAGAAGCTGATAGAATTGACTCGTTGAAAATCACTCTTTGGAACGATCAGATCATCAATTTCAAAACCGGCAAAACTGTACAACTCAGCGGGGATGAGTTTTACACATTAGCTGAGAACGGGAAGACCATTCGAAGAGAGTTCGTGCCTTTTTCTGAGATGAATCGTGACGAAGAAGAGCAAAACGAAAAGGATCGATGTGATCAACACTTGGCTAGAGTGCCCGAATGGAGCGAGTACCCTAGCTGGTATGTAGATCCCGCAACTCGTGGATTCAACATTACCGCGCTATTGAGCGACTTTATCGGTCATGATCAGTACGACGTCTCCCTCCCGCCTCAGCCTTGGCGACGTCCACATTGCGATAAACTCGAGCCTGATATTGAAAACGTGTTCGTCGATTCAATTAAGGGCATCCAGTTCAGAGACAGTTATCCAGCAAACGCTCAAGGAAGGGATTTTATTTGTTTCTTAATCGTATTTCTACGTTTATTTCTGAAAACCCTTGGAAGATCAGTACCAGCTCCGGCGTCTCCTTTTCCACATAAATTCTGGTCACATTTGGCCTGATTCAATTGGTGAGCGGATTTTGTTAGCGACTGAAAAGGCCAAAAACGAAGCGACAGAACACCTATGGCTCCTTTACAACACCGCAGCGCTCTACTGGCGAGTAATGGGAGGCAATCGGCAAGGTGAGCGAGTAAAATATTCAAGATGTTTAAGTTGATTCTAAAGCGATCGAATGTCTCAGAAGAGCTGTATTACACGCGCCCCAGAAACACCAAGACATTCCACTAACTCAACTTGCCTACATCATGTACCGCTTTAATCGCCAAGAAGACACTCATCAATTACTTCTCAGTGCAATCGAACGGAACAACAGTGAACCTGTAGATTAGAACTGTAAAACTATCGCTAATACTCTCTTAGGTCACCTACTTGGCTTGGGGGATCCAGCAACTCTCACTAAACAACGCCACGGGTGCAGTTACTTTGTTGAAATACGCTTTAGAATTGGACCCAAACTTCCAAGAAGCAGAGCAATGTCTCTTTATTGCGAGATGTACCGTTCTACGTGAGAAGCTCGGAGAAAAAACCAGGCTCGTTTTTATCTGCACTTTTTAAAAAATAGAAAGTACTTTGCGAAAAACTGAAAGGAAGGACAATATCTGAGAAGGAAAACGACAAGCTTCTTTTTTGGGAAAAGAGCTGGAAACCAGAGAACTGGCATGATAGCTATTTGAGAGGACCGGCAGATGACTTGAGTCTGAACGAAAAATCATTTCCAGAAGAAAGTGAAAACGAACGCGTTTCAAGAATGGCACGCAGACATTCTAAATTCGGAGTAATGGCCGAGCGACTGAGCCTCGAAAGCGAGCTTCCAGTGAGAGTCGATCAGGTGGAGCTTTTACTAGAAATAATCGAAGACGAGCTCAAATCGAACGTGAGTACATTTACTTCTAATACGGCCAACTATCCTTATTACTACTAGGACAATTATCAAAGCGTAGACACTGGAAAAAATGATGACGGCGAAAAGCTAAAATACAATATTGCTGCGAATCTGATTGCAAAATTAACAAAGGTAATTTATCCGTTAACCATCACTGTCTATTTTTAAATGATATTTTATCCCTCTTAGTTCCATGCGGAATACAGTTATGGTGACAAAAGTAGCGTTGAGAGTCCTTTCGCGAACATTGATGTGGTCATCATGGGACCGGAAAGTATCGAAGTAATGAATTTAAATCATTTTTATAAGCATTTTTCTAAGTTGTGATTTCTCATCTTAAAATTACGAAACATCTGAATCTTTTATAATCTCTCACACGACGATCAGTCTAATACTAACCCTGAAGAGTTGACTCTATTAGGATTTCAATCCTTACAAAGAAATTCTTTATAATCTTAAATTTCAGGTTCGCGATTCTGAAGATCCAATTCAAGTGATTCAAAAAGAGACTAATGCTGCAAAAGATGAACTTTGATCAGTTCTGCCATTTCAAAGCTGCCATACCAAAATATTGTGATTTAAGGCCCTTCAATTTGGTTTCAATAAAATAAAACTCAGATGGTTTTTGTGCCTTGGTTTATTAAATGGTCGATTGTACAAAAAAATAAAAGAAAACAAATGTCGCGTGTGATGTGAATCGTCGCTCAATGTCCGATATTTTGTGACCAACTTCAAAATGTATCGGACACTGACGCTGTAGCGCGATTGGGCATTCCACAGCAGGGCCCGACACTGAATACTGCCGCCTGAAGCGACCACTGGACTTAAAAAAGGAAATGTCAAGGAGGATATAGTCGAGAGAATGGCGATTAACAGGTTCCGATGTCTTTGATCGTAGCGGTTTGCTCGACACAACATTGGTCGCTTCGGTAGATACGATTCTTTAAATAACATTAAGTACTCGTAACCGATTCAAAAAACTCACCAAAGGAAATGTCTCCTTCGTACCGCAACAGCCGACGGGCTTGACTTCGAATCCCTCACCAGCAGATCGTTTGTCTTTTTTGAAACACTGAAGATCTCTATCGAATCCGCCACGGAACCAATTTGCGCCACTGTAGTCTTCAAATACTCCCGCCATGTTTATGGCGAATTGGTGATCGCACTCGCAGACAGATCTCTGACATGAGCCGACGTCGTTTTTGCAAAGAGGCAAGCCATTTTGGAATACGAGGCGGTATCGTGTATCACGGGCACACTTGTTATCGTACGCCTCGTCTATGCATTTAAGACAGTTCGCGTAGTCCCTTAAAAATAACGTAAAGTGAGAAAGGGTACCACGACAGCTACCGGCAGACAGAATCAATTCTATCAACAGGAACTCCAGAACCACCACTGGTGTAGTCAAAATCTCCTTTGGTTCCTCCTCCACAGTGACATCCATAGAGCTAATATTTTTTCGAGCTCATTAACAAATCAATTTTTCTCTTACCTTGAGTTTCTTCGTCTCGAAGTCACTGTTGCCAGCCTGATGGTTGTAGTATTTCTGAAGAACTTTGACCTTGCCTACATTCATATTAGTGGTTCGTATCAAGAGATATTGTACTTGCCATAACTTCTGGTATCCTGCCCACCACGCCGTCTTGTTATTTGCTCCGAGTCGATCAGTTCAGCAGTAACATCGATTTCAAAAGCCTCAGACAATGCAGCCAGAGCACTTTCTTCTGTAATGTCTTCAGCTAAGTCTAGCTCTTGTCTGAAGTGGTTCATTTTAAAAATACCTTCTCCCATTAAATCTCGCCGTTTTACTAACCCTATCACTGTGACGACGAAAAGGGATGCCAATTTCATCTCTTTTTTTCTCGGCTAAAAAAACTAAATAATGCGAAAAAAAATTTTTCTTGCGCCGTTATATGTTGCGTGTGGACAGGTGCCGGATTAAATGCACTAAAAGTCAAAAAATGGAAATCCGATAGGTTGGGAAAGTTGTTTTTTTACGCAGTCGAGTCTGTGAATAACAATTTCAGGCTTCGTAAACGCACCCGAGTTCATTTTGTTTCCATTTTCAGCCATTTTTCTAAAATCCTAGAAAAGGAGGAAATACTTCGTTTCTAACTATCCGCGCAACGTCCTCAAAAAGAACTATTAAACACTTCTTTTAGCGCTGCTGATAACAAGCTTGAAGAGTTTAGAAGATAAATACCGTTCAACAAAAAGTTTCGAAAATTTCATTTTTGCTTTCCTGCAGGCGTTTTTTATATATAATTTGAATAGAATGCCCAGATCAGCAAAATCGATGCTTTATTATGAAACGTGCTCACAGTGACGAGAGACTTCTCAGAGGATCTCTCAGAGGCGAATATTATTGCGTAAAATCGGCGCTAATGTATTTTCATTTGACGGCAAAATGATATTTGATTGCTCTTGAAAATCCAATAGCGCGGGAATCCAACATCTCGACAGAACAATTACGATGATTAAAACAAAATTCGAAGCACGTTTCTAGCAAGAAGATATTGAAGAAGCCAGAGGCTTAGATTTTTCGAATGAGTTCGTCAAGGTATTCCAAAAAATGAACAGTCAAAATATCAGGCGCCAAATCTTCAACCAGTCCAAAAGTCGAACCACCTAAGCTCCGTGTAAGCACAGCACTTTTAAATATCAGCATCCAGATTCCTAAGCAGACTCGATACTGTCTCACTCACGCCAGAAAAAGCGAAGCCACTGTTCACATCTTCCTCGCTGCATATCTACATTTTCCGATGTGAACTTGGAATTGCTCGAGCGTTTTTGTTGCATATTATCTGATAATAAGTATTAGAAGCGAAGCCTCGACAGCGGAGTGACAGAGTTGCTGTCAAGATAACCTTTTTAGTATTCCTTATTTATCGAAGAAATACGTCAATTGTGCAGTTCCCGGTTAATTACTTTCAGATGAAAATTCGAAATTTACTGGAAAGCCTCCCGTAAAAATGAATATAACATGTGAAATGTATGAATATTTGATTTAGAAAATGCGTTCTAACGTAACAGATTTTCAATTTAGCGGACCTCGAAAGCAATCTAACATTTGTTTCGGATGTGAGTGGCGGATGCTACTGACCTGTTTCTCTTCCTCAGGGGGTGATCATACGAGAAACAAAACTTACGCAACCATAGAACGTCTGGCGAGAATTTTGCTTTTTATTGCTTCCGAAAAAGGAAGATGAAGCGATTTTCTAGGGGGAAACGAAAGTCCTATGCCACCTGCGCTTATAAGATTCTCGACTTTGAATGAATTTATGCAGAATGCATCGAAATTTTCGAAAATTCACATCATTTTTCAGAAGTGTTTTCAGAATCAAAATCTCAGAAGTAGCAAGTGTTTGAACTGACCATCTGGCTACCTGTAAGAAGGGCTTTGATCTAACAACTGTTATTAAACAAAACTATCTTCACAAGTTGCCAAAGTCACTTCCGCCTGCCGAGCTCATAATTCTCAGTTTGCAAAGCAAATATCTCACTTTCTCCCAGGCTTTTTTTTTCTAAATGTTTTGACGAAATCTTAAATTTGAGTTCAGACAAAGAAATAGATATACATAAATCAGGGCGATGATAGAACGTCTATCTTTGGCAGCTAAAGTTCTTGTTTATCTTTTGGTGTGTGAGCAGGCGGTCTTTCATCTCCTCTCAAATATTTCGGCTTGAATATATATAACCGCGAATAAGTTTTGCTAAATGAGCTATTTTCTTTTCATGCTCTGAAAGCTCCACTGGTGATGACTCTGGAGTGATTATATGGGGTGAGCGTGATGATACGACTACGTTCTCTTTTTGCCTTCGACCCGTTTGATATTCCGTTCTATATTTGGTCCTCTAAGCTCGATGTCAGATGGAGCACACTTCTATGGACGAAAGTGTTTCTTCATTCTGCTCTTTACAAACAGAGAAATATGAAGACTTCTATTTGAAATTTGCCTTGCATTTATTCACTCACAGAGAAACGAAAACGAACAAAGAAGAAGTCTGTCGTTTTTGAACATCTTTCAGGTACGAAACGCCAAGATTCACTTCAAATTATCAACAAATAAAAAGAATTAATGAGCATCCGTAAGTTTTAATAATACTTCATTCTTTATGAATCAAACTGAAATCAGGTCAGAAATCATAAAGGAGAAGAGTAAAATTATCGATATTTTTAGAAAATAAACATCGCATTTTTAATAAAAATAAAAACAAATCATCAAACTAAAAAAAGCTTGAAACCAGCGCAACTTCAATGATCGATCAGGATTTCCAACTTGTCGCAGACGACGTTGACAAACTTTTTTTCGTATCTTGATGCGCTGGTTGATCTGTTTCTAGCGCATTGAGACCGCGCGGCGGCAAGTAGCTTTTAAAACCAGCGAAATGTGAAGAGCGTAAACTAAGGAGGATCAACGTCGAATTGAAAATTTTTAAAATGGATAAATTATGATAATATTGACACATTTTCCTAAACAAAGGGTCAATTAAATATAAAGATTTTTTTATTGTAAAGAGTAAACCGCGAATTCAAAGAAGCTGTCAGGTAAAGCATCACAATCAAAAAACAAACGAATGGGAAATAATTTATTTCAAAAAAAAAGGATAAATTTCAAAATTATTTATTAAATTTCAAAAAGAACACCTTTTTAAATGAACCATAAAGTTCAAAATTGGAACAATCAAAGTTTGGAAAGCAAAAGTCACTCAAGTTTCTCGTATTTCTTTGGCTGTCGATTTTTTTATTTGCGCAGTCAGGAGTTGTCGTTTTGGATTTTGGAATTCTGATTTTGTCCGGATTTATTTGTGTAAGAATCGCTCTTAAGTTTGGCCTGGGCGCCGTAAATTATCCCAAAATAGCTCCGCCATAGTTGATAATTAAATAATCGTTTTTTAAGAAAATGTGCGCAGAGACTCCTCCTTGATTCCGAAGAATTCTAAAAATCATGGTAAAACATTTAAAATAGATAATCATCGTTAAATTAAAAGAACAAAAAGTGATTGCTGCTTGTCAGATCTGTGTCCGCTGATTTATCTGTCAATTTGCAATTTACCCCGTTCGAACTCAGTGCTTGACGCAAATCTCGTCTTTTCGTCGATAAAATGTCAGCAATAATTCGATATGTCATCCTCTTACCACGTTTCTTCTCCAAGTGAACACTGTGGAGCAAATTCACACGTAGATAATTCTTCGGAGAGTTAATTTTTATCCAGGAGAATTTCTTATAAAACAATTGATTTGACGGGTGCTTATCGGCCGAACCGTAATAATGGGGCTTAATTAAGTCCTATTTAGACGAACTTTAAGTAGAGTTCCTTCAGAATTAGAAAGGACAAAGAAGGTCCGTGCAAGAAATTGTCTAACTCAACGACCCGAAAAGATTCACAGTTCAGATGCAAATGCGACCTTTAGAAAAAGAGACGCGATTTACAAAATGTGAAACATGTCATTAATTGATCTGGAAGTAATTTGGCTTCGCGTTATTTTCTTTATGTCGCCATGGAACGAACTAATTAATCCATTTATAATTTTTCGGGAATCATAAGGTCAAGACAAGCACTCGCAAAAAAGTTACGGGCGCTAGCAAATTTCAAAAAAAAAGACAAATATTAGCGAAATCCTCATTTTTTTTAATCTTGCGTCTTAGAGAAAACTATGGGTACTGCTGCTCATTAGTATTGAAAACCTTATTTTCAATCTAATCGTCAATGGGTAAATAGACTCATGTTTTATGGAATGATATCCTTATTTGATATTCCATATTGGATGAATTAGGCTCGATTCTAGTTAAGCTACGAGGCGCTTAATAAGCGCGATATTAAAACTCTGAAAGGCACAGTTGCGGTCACAATAACGAATAATTAATGTGATATCGCAAGAGCTAAACTGGCCAAATTCGCACTCCGAAATTAACATTTTTCAATTTTCAAGCGAGAAAACAAAAAAGACGATGGATCATCAAAGAGGATTTTCTGTAAACCCGATGAGTCTGCGTTTTTGTTCATTTTTTTTTTGGGAAATTTCTTTACTTCGTTTTTAGAGGTGACACACCTTTACCCCTGACAGTTACTGTTGCTTATCGAGAGAGGAAATTTGCTCAGAGCATGAGGCGAGAACTTAGCCAGCAATGAGTTAACCACTTTCTGATAGAGAATCTTCCACCAAATCAAAGCTGCCCTCACTCTTTTTTAACTTTGACGCCCGCATCTCTAGCCATACCCACTCGCAAAGACTATCAGTAGATCTCCTAAATAGTAACTGTAATAGTAACAATTATTAAAAATCTTTCTTTGATGCCAGTAAATTATTGTTGTCGCTGCTAAAATTTATGATGATTGTTAATATTTGTAGCCAAAGAAGCTCTCAGTTGCTAAGTCTTCCTCGACAAGGTCCATAAATCTAAGAGATAGAAATCAAATCCCCATTGGAACATTTTCAGATGAAAGCTAAATTTCCCGTTTCGTTTTTGTTTTCTGTCAGACGAAGCATTGCACAAGTGTATTAGGGTGCTCAAACTCTGCATCATGTATTCCCTCTGGATTTTTTCGGCGCCGCTAGTGGGGATTTTTCTCCATAAGCATAAAGTTGTTTTTGTTTTCTTCCTCTTCTTTTTCAAAAAAAGGAAAAGCGAAATCCCAAAGAATCGAGGGAAAAGATAAGAATTTCCATGTTACTTCATCGAGAAAATCTCTCAACGTCAAGTTCAGAGAGATCATCCCAGAGGGTGTTACCTGACCTGACACTACAATTATTCTATATCACGGGATTGATAATTTTTAAATTTTTAGAGAAAGAACATTGTTTAATCTGAAGAAGAGGCTCTTCAAGAACACGCTATCCGAAGAAAAACGAGTTATTATGGGTGAGTAGAGAAAGTTTAATTCCTTAAAAATTATTCGAAATGAAAAATCTAATCGCTTTTTCCAGATGAAAGAGACTGCAAATGCAACGATCCCAATCTAATAAACTTATTTACTGCCACCCAGATTTGTGAATGGAACAAGGAAGAGAACGTAGATCCCGATGTTCTAGAACTGGGCGTAAGTGATTAGAATTTCTATGGGTTTAGTTCGGGAGATATCAAATGTACTTGGTGGTAATGATTGGAGTAGACGTCTGTTTAACTGCGCGGTGCGTTAATTCGATTCCCAATTCATAATTCAGACAGATCCCTCCAAGCTTTACCGAAAATCGAAGTAAATAACAAGCGCGCGTCTAAGGGCACTGTGCCTGCTATCTTGAGCGTGGCTAATTGACATTTCAGACGCATGAGATAATGGTGATGGTTTATTGGTGGATTGTTTTCGTTCTAGGCCTGCTCGTCAATTCCACAGGTGCGAGTACCTGTAACAGCCTTAGCGAAATATCACCTTAGTGATTTTCATGATCCTATCGAATCGATCACTGATGGTGACGGCGAGCCACGTCTACGCTCTACACATGGGAAATGTTCGAAAGCTAAAGTGAAACGTTCATTGTTCGAATCGTTTTTTGAACAAGTTAAATAGCCATTGCAGATCTACTCTTAATTCTCATTCTTCCGGTTCACATGCTGGCAAGGTCAAATAATTTTTACAGTCTTTGTCTTTCATTTTGACTTGGACAAATACAATGGCGGCATGTGTCAGTGCGTTTTTAGTTGGAGACACCCTCATTTTGATTTCCGAGCCGTCTTCTATTTATGCAAGCTGAAAATGACCTTTCGAAAGGAATACCGAACGCATCCAACATGGAAGTGGATCAAGTCGTGGGCGATGGACTCTTCGGAATCGAACTCGACGATGCTCGCTCCAGCATCAAACAACATAGAAGCAAGGCAATTCCCGCTCCTTTTTGGAAAGGCTATTTGCCCGAGTAAAGATACAAATTTTCAAACTCAGAGTAAAACTCAAATTTTTAGTCTACGCAACAATCAAATCGGTGAACTTCGTCGTCTCTATATACTTTCTGGAAAGGGAGCACCTTCTGTCAATTAAACCAAGTATCACATCAATTAGAATTGCGTAGACGCCAGATTCGTCCGGCGCAATTAGAATTTTCTCGGACATACGATGTCCAGTAAATCGTATGAATTGCGGCATGTTTTACTAACACAAAAAAGGTCATCCTTACAAGATGCTTATGGCGATTGATAGATACATTGCAATCCACTGTAACAAATATGCAATAGTGCCTCGGAATCGCCCGCCGAAGAGAGCCCACTTGGTCGCAGAAAAGGAAATAAATTCTTTGCTAAATATGATTGAAAACATAGCATTAAGATTAATTCATTTATTCTCTATTTCTTCTCAAGTTTTGTCTGGTTCATGGCGCTGATCATTACGTTTCCAATTTGGTCCTACACAAAGTTCGACACAGAAACGTTCCGTTGCCACGAAGATTGGGGAATGCTGAATGCCACCATCCCTCAAGTTCCAGAAAACGAGCGAGATCTCAATGACAAAATGTGCATGGGAAGCTTTCATTTCTCGAAGTCGCACACATCCAATTGCAACTTCAGCTCAATAATTCATCAAAGTTCAAATTTTTCGATGCGTAAAACAGGCGAGAATCTTCCTGGAATATATGATAATGGAGAAAACGAAGACTACTTAGATGAAATTTTCGATGAAATGTCAGGTGAGATGACGAATAAAAGTAAATTACTAAAGCGACGGGTTTTAGAAAGCGAAAGTAACAGTGAAGACTTTCTGCCCGAGCCCGGCGTTAAGATAACTATAGACGAAAAGACGTTTGACCCAACCGCGAAAAGAATACTTGACCCTTTCGAGTGGACAGAAATGGTTATGAATGACGCACGTGGTGGATGCAAAAGTGAAGTGAATCTCACTCACGAGTCGATCTTATTTGTCAAGAACTGGCCGAAAAATTGTCAAATGAAACTGAGCAATATCAATGAGTGTTCCTGTGATACGTCATCCGAATTCAAACAGGTACTTTTGCATATTATACCTGTGTATATTCTTGTTGACACAAACTAAATCTGAAAGAAAGAGGATGTCACTCATCCTTCCAATATCAACTCAAGAAATTGCAAGTCTGACGGCAAAATTGGCGTGTCAAAGTGTCAAAATCGGATAGTCTGAGGCACGAAATACAACATAGCCGATTATTCGTGCTTAACCCTAACTATATGGCATATATATAAGCAAAGGATCTGTGTCCATCAAACTCAACTTGTTACTTTTAGCACACATGGCTGATATTTGTGTTTGCTTTCACCGTTCCAATAATCGTCATCACTTATTGCTACGTGCAGTTCCTGAAATCAGTTTACTCAGTAGCCAGATCAGCGGGAAACACATCGCAGCAAAGGTAACACTGCCAATTAGCCATTTGTGGCAACACTTTAGTCGCGATCATGCCAAGGAAATCAAACGTCTTTCTTTCCTTGTCTTTTGCTTGATATTTGCCTTTTTGCTCTGTTGGGGACCTGCTCAACTTATTACTGTTCTCAAGGAAAGATAATGCCAATTGATTGATGAGCAAAGATAATTAATCTTTTGACTTTAAACTATAAACTTTGCGGGCTCTCTTTAACCGCATGGGACAGAAGGTGCATTCCACTGTCATTTAAGACTTTGACAGCCAATATCTCAAAAACTACAAGTCCTAATGAGTTACAATTTAAAATAGGGTTTCGTACACTCCTTTTCGACTGACATGCTGAATTTCGAGAAATTATCGGTCACCAGCCGAGATTTACACCGGATTAAGTAGAGCGCTCTATCAATCCCGCTGAGTATTTGCACAGAGTGCCACAGACAAACCGAACCAACTGTCGGATATTTGTGATTTCAAAGGGTATTTATATGTTTTCCCCCGGAATTTCAAATCTTAATAACGGGTCATTTTGTCGCATATTTAGATTCCTCGTTATCTGAGGATCATTTTTATGTATTATAGTACCCCCTAACAAATATCTTAACCCAAAATTTTGGCCTTCGAAAATTGCAAAAATGCATGTAAATTGTACTTAGCGTGAAAATCGTAATTTTTTCGACTTTTCAATGTCATCGAAAATAGACAAATAAGGGGTCTATAGAAAGCTCAGAATCTACAGATTAAGAATATAATGACCGCACAAAATTTCTCGGCCGTTATTTGCCGCTAGAGAGCAATTCGATGCCAAAAATTAGCATAAATGGGCTTGAAAAGTTTTTAATGGGAAAAAATTTTTATAACTTGATGAATCATGCTGAAGCTACTTGCAAATTTAGATTAGCGTCCATTTTTTCTGATCTTGAAGGCTTGAGAGCAAAGCAAAAGCCCAATAAAAAGTTATTTCGCGTTGAAAATACCCCTTAAAGGCGTTTTTCGAAAATTCGAATTTTTCAAGAGCCCCTGAGTGCATGTTTGACAATTCCAAATGAGCTAGAGCTACTTGCGAATTGCAATCAACATTTAAACTTCTATATGCAATTCGAATTATATTAATCCATAAGGCCAAACGAAAGTTATTTCAAGTGAAAGTTGCCGATTCCGGGGGAGGATCCCTTAACAATAAAAAATATGACAAAATCCAAAAAAGGCATCTGGTACACTCCAAAACTCTTCGCGGCGACTTTGTAGAGGCCTTCTTCAATCGAAAAATTTCTTGGTCTGGACCTCAGCAGTCATAAACTCTCTCATTTATATGAGTATGGGTGGGTTCAGAAGAAGAATAAAAGGCTCGATAAAGGTACTTTTATTTCACGAGGATGATGGCGATAGAAATTTTAGGAGTTCCGGGAGTCGAGGTCAAAAACGATGGAGTCCCGCTTGTCGCGGAATGACGCTACTCCCCGAACGAGCTTCATGCCGTCCCAGAACGGAACAGAATGGAACTCATTACTTGCCCGAGAAAGCAATCAACCAGCAGTGAATGGAACAACTCCTCTTTTCAAGACGACGAATATGTTCGAAAACGACACGTCTCCGCATTCTTGATGTTCTTCAATGTTCAAGCTTTTCCATTCACACATGACTGTAGTAGAATATTGCGTGCACCAGTCGCGCGCCGTCTTTATTATTTCCAATACCGACCGGAAATACCTCAATCACCATTTCTTCAAGCGACCCTGTATGAAGAAGCATCACACAGCCAAGCCACTGTCCAATCCGCAAAACAAGATCCGAAAGTTAAACACTGCAAAACAATAAAGCTCATACGTAAAAGTAGTTTTTGCCTCTCCCCATCGCAAGAAAGACTACGTCATGCTCGCAAATAGCTTGTCGGCAACTCAGGTGTCCGATATAATCGGAACAAGCGCGTCCATCCCGACTTTTTAAAGGCGACTTCAACTGGTGTTTTCATCCGTTTGCCCCGCGGTCAGACGCGCGGCTATAAAACGAACATTTGTGTTGAAGCTTTTTTGCACATTTCTAGCCCAGAGAAAGTAAAATGAAGTTATCACTCGCCTATTTATTGGCCACGGATGTAGTTGAAGCGCTGCTAGTGCGCGGAAGTCTTCCTTTAGATTCGCTGACCTTTGATAAGATCATCTCGAAGACAAAATACACTCTTGTTAAGGAAGGAATATAACTGAAAACTAAATTCAAACTCTTGCAAGCTTTTTCCCCTCTTAATTCCTAAAAACAGTTCGACACCGCATATCCATTCGGAGACTTGCATGACGAGTTCAAACAAGTGGCAAAGTTCGCCGCCCAGAATCCAGATCTTCTCGTTGCCGAAGTGAACATCAACGAATATGGCGACCAAGAGAACCAAGACCTCGCTCAAACCTATGGAGTCAAGATTGAAGACTACCCGGTATACAAACTTTTTCGGGGATCTTCTGACCCGACTGCAGCTCTAACTTTCGATGGAACGGTGAAAAAGCGAACTCAAGTCTTGTCATTTTTGAAACAAAATGGAGTCTATGTTGGCTTGCCTACATGCATCGAACGGTAAAAACTTGACGTGGCTCTTATTTTATTGAAGGATTTAGCTTTGATGAGCTTGCAGCTGATTTCATGAAAAGCGAGAAAAAGGGCGAGAAGCAGGAAATTCAAGAAAAGGCTCAAGCTGCTGCGGACAAAATTTCGGACAAACTAGAAAAGGTTTAATTTGATGAAGAAGTTTATCAAATATAAAAATTAAGTATCACGCCGAAACTTATGTTAAAATAATGAAGAAAATATTGGAACAGGGAGAAGATTTCATAAGTAAGGAAGAAGCTAGAATTTCGAAAGGTAACATATACCAGTGACTACCGAATTGAATATGATTTAAGGGTTAAATGATAAAAGTATTACGAAAGAAGCAAAAGTAGGAATGAAATCCCGAGAAAATATCATCCAGGAAAGTTGAAAATCATCAATAATTAAATTTCCTTTACAATAATGGAATTAATAATCTATGAATTAAAAAAACTTTTACACTCAACTTAAAAAAGTCGTTCAAATATCCGACGCCATTTAGAAGACACGACGAGCTGTAAAGATAGCAACTGACATGTGATTATTGTGTATTCATCAAACTAAATTCGATCAATAAAAATAGAACAGTATGGCTATTTTAAGTTTTTTTTGGTTTATTGGAAGCAGATTAATCAAGTTGTGTGGCTGATCAACAGCTTAGCTATAGTATCACTAACGCTAAAGTATTAGTATTGCGGTCTTGCAAAGTCCAAGTTCGCTCGATCGATCAGCATTCGCTCGAGCTCTTGAATTTCGCAAACGAGCTTGTCTTTCCTTCGCTGATGCTTCTCGATCGCTGAATAAAATGAAAATGAGTAATTGTAAAGGTAGCTCACCTTGTTGAAGATGTTCTCTGCAATACGCTGGCTCTCCTCTCTTCACTGACTCTTGAAATTGCGATAGGAGCGGTGCCAATTCTTGGTGATTTTTGTTGAAAAGATTTTTCAACTCCCGCACTCGAGCTTTAGTCTCGTCCACAATTCGTCGCCGTCGAACAAAAGTCACTATAAAATTGATATTCACAAGCATTCGCGAATTACTAACTTGCAGCCCTGTCTTCTTCATAGTCTAGTTTCGTCATAAGTTGATCGCACACTGCACTTTGGGATGATTGGGACATGCTCTTATTTTTCGAAAAATTAACTGTTTTATTCGATTATATTTGTTATAAAGTGGCGATTTATCGTTTCTTTGCTTGCTCGACACGGAGACCTTGATTCGAAAACAAGCCCGACGATACCCTGCGTCTGAGAGTCAAAATGCTTTCGGCTGTATTAGGCTCAATTTTGGACACTCGGGCAAAGAAAAATAAAAAACTACCACATATTAAGGTTACTAATCAAATAAAAATATCCCTCCTCAACTGATTGAGATGACTCAGGGGTGAACCCAAAGCAGGGGCAGAAATCTCGGAAACTGTGTGATCTCGTCGTCTCTCGGTTACTCATGATTCGATAAGTCCCGTTAACAATTCAACCTGAGTGGTCTACCAAACGAAGGATAGGTCCTGCGTCTTTAAAAAAACGAGAAAATGAATGAGATCGAAGCGATATCGAAAGAGTTTGTTCACAGCGGAGAAGCTTGCGGAAGTTGCGGCGGGTAAGCAGCACGAATTTTTCGAAGGATATTAAGCTGAATCACTGTTTAGTTTTACCAAAGTCCATGCAAAAATAAAAGCGAAAAAGACAGGTGCCACAAAATGGAAGTGCGTAAAGTGCATCTTCGCTTCATCCTCGCAAGTCGAGGCTTTTGGTCAAAATCTGATCGAGAACCCGCTTCAAGTTACGAATGGCAAGTTCAAGTGTCCCGCTAAGAAATGCAGCAGCATTTTAACTTTTGACGAGTTTATGAAAAAGGACTGTTGCGGCGGTTCCCGAAAGCACAGCAGAATATTCGCAGGTAATTTGAACCTAGTTCGATTGTTACATCATAAATATATCTATCAGATTATTTGGAAATGAAGGAGAAGTTCGGCGCGCTTCAAGAAGAGTATCAGCGAGCAATGAAGAATAGCATTGAAAAGAAAAAGGCCAGCGAAGATGCAGATATTTACAGAGATGCGATCGGCGTCAGTATGATTGCTACTGCTAACAAGTTCGCCGATTTCCTCAAAGCTAACGGTACACATTCTTTCTTTTCGATTCCAATTGCTTCTCATGGGAAACGGGGAATTAAAATTATCATCGTGAGAGCTTTTTTTAGATCACATTGTGCGCGAGAGTCAGTGCGAGTTTGACAAGGAGCATGTCAATCTGTTGGAGATCTATCGACAATTCCAGAGCAAGGACTAAACTTCAGCAGCATTCTTTAGGAAGAATTAAGTTTGGAGAAGATTGGAAAATAAGATGCTTTTCTCAGTGCAAGTTCTAATAAATCGAATCTTAACTTGCAAGAAAACAGTGTGGAGCAGTGAAAGAAAAAGTTCGTGAAAATAAGTGAGCATCTGGAAGACACAGCGGTCAGAGACAACTGAATTGCCAGTAATACCAGGAGCCGCTTTGCAAGGAACTAACAGCGCTACTGACAGAGTACTACTACTTTTCGAAAGCATCAAGATGAAATCGAATATTCGTTTGCCTTTTCTATTCTTTATTTTAAAATGCATCAATGAGACAACTTCGATCTACTATTTCTTCGGTCAAAACTATTGACTGGAGAAATAATGGTCAGAGTCTGACCGTTAGACAAGGGTTGGAAATTGATTTTATTCAGGATTTTTGCTTGTGCATTTCTGTTTGAGAAGAAATAGGTATGATTGATTGGTTTTCCAATCATGCTGAGCTTGTAGCCGGTTCTCGGTCGTCTTCCTTGATTTCACTGGCAATCTATGAATTTGATTAATAAAGTAAATTTTGAAAATGTTGTAGAAAAAGACTTTTCGTAATCCGGATTACATTACCTTTATACTGGCCTTTTCGGACGGTGGAAATCCGAAGACTGGCGATATTTGCAAGAGATTACAACAAGAGGAGAAGACAACAATTCTAGAGATTTTGGTCGAGGAGCGGGGTCTTCAACTAACTCCAACGGATAAATTTGTAAGGAAGGGTTGTCATGAATGCGTGGGCCGTGACCAGTGATCCAGTATCGGACAGTCCGGCTGAGCCATTCCACCTCGCAGCGCAACTAAATCGTCGTGGCTCCCATTCGCTGACGCGAGCATGACAGCGCAAGTGCCCAGGGCCACGTAACTCTCCTACAAATGATAAATCCACCAAGGCGACGCTTTCCTTGCGCGTTTGTTCAAGAGAATCTGATAAATAATCTGCTGTTGGAGAATTGAAATAACGAAGAAAATACTTTTAGAATGTTTCTGTTAGCTTTATCTGGGCTCGTTGGACTGGCCTTTTCGAGGTCGGTTCCGGTGGAGGAGCCACAACAAGGTCCTGCAGTTGGAGAAGCTATCGATACAGGTAACTTAATTTTCAAAAAATATAGGAAGATAAGCTTTGCCATTGATTTCCCATTATTTGGTAATTAGGACTCTTCTACGACAGCTATTTGCAAGAAGTGATAAAGACGCTGGACAAAGATCCGGCTTTCCGAGAAAAGATGCAAAACGTAAACCTGGACGAGGTGAAGATCGCCACTTTTTCGAAAGAACTAAACAACGTTGCAAAACACGTGCGGGACGAACTCGATGTTCTCAAGCGAAAAGAAGTTGATCGAATTCGAAAGCTGCTAAAAATGAAAGCGACGATGGAGAAGGGAAAGCAGGTGAACCAACGCGCGATTGTCGAGGCTGCTGCTGGTCACTTCGACCATTTCAATCCCGAGTCCTTCTCCCCTAAAGATCTCGAGAAGCTGATAGGCACCGCCACCGCCGACCTCCAGAATTACGACGAAAAAAGACACAAAGAATTCATTGAATACGAAATTCAAAAGCAACTTGACTTGGAGGAAAAAATGGCGAAAATGGACGAAGCGCAAAAGGCGGCTCTGCTCGAGGAACAAAAACAAAAGCGCAAACGTCACAACGATCACCAAAAAATACCTCATCCAGTAAGTCGCTTCCCGAGACGCGTTTGTTTTCAATTCTTATCACCTTAGTTCTCCCAAAAATTTATACTCGACGTCTGGAAGAGTATTGACCATTTGAAAGACGAAAAGTTCGACGCTAAAACTTTTTCTTACTTCACGGTAAAATAGATCGATTTTGGTGAAGTCATTTTTAATCAGCACTTGAAAGCCAGACGGTGCTCTTTTACGCGGTGAATTACCATTTCTAGGGCTCTAAAAAGCAACTTCAAGAGGTGTGGGAAGAGGAGGATCGAATGGCTGGCCAGGCTTTCGATCCAAGAACCTTTTTTCTATTACACGGTAATAGACGTGTAACAGTTAATGTTTTCCCGTTTGAGTGGTGTTTTGGTGTCGCTGAAGCGTATTTTTTGTTTCATTATTTATTAATCTTCAGATGTGAACGGCGACATGTACATTGATCCCTACGAACTGGAGGCGATTTTTCAGGCGGAACTTGACAAAGTCTACGACCCTAACAATCCTGATGTAAGCGATTGATTTTCATGCGATGATGATAACAAGTTGGTTTAGGATGATATCCGCGAAATGGAAGAAGAACGCGCTAGAATGCGAGAACATGTCATGAAGGAAGTGGACGTGAACGAAGACGGCGCCATCTCGCTCAAAGAATTCATGGATTACACAAATTCTATGGAATTTGTCAAGCCAACGAACACCTACCATATGATCGATGAAATGATCGAAAAAGGCGAGGTCTACACTTCACAAGAATTAAAGGTTTAATAAAGGTGTCTCTTGTTTGTAATTATCGAGAAATAGGAGTACAAAGAACGAGTGGCTGCCCACGAAGCTGAACTCAAACAACGACTCGCGAATCTGAAGGAAGAAGCGCTTAAACTTGCCAATCAAAAGAAGCAGTTCGTTGACGCCAAGGCCAAGGCTCAAGAACTCAACGACCCTATGATTGATCAGGTAATGCTGCGGCACGCGTTTTTGGATTGTCGCCTAACAATGCATTTCCAGGCTATCAAGAAGACTGAGAACGATCTCAATCAGCGTGAGCTCGGTCTCATGGCGAAACATGCTGATGCCGTCGAAATGGGCAAAGAAACTCTTGCGATGAAGCAAGACCTCGCAAAGAAACAGATTGAAGCCTACATGACAGACGGTAAGAGAGAAAGAATAATATTTCTAGAAAATAATGTTTTGACTCTAGCTGATATGGAGGAAATGCGCATCAAATATGAGAGATTGAAAGAAGATGTCGAGAATATGCTCAAGAATAAAGAAGGGGAATACGAGGAGCAAATTAAAGCTGCTAAAGCGAATATGGAGAAGGCCCAGAAAGAGGTCAGAGAGAAACTTATGGCCCAGCAAGAGGAAATGGCTGCGAAGATCAGAGGTAAGCGCTCCATCCTAAATGAAACTATAGAAATTACTAGCTGCTCAAGAAGCGCGAGACATAGCAGGCCAAACCGATCAACAGCTTTAGAGGAGAAAAACTGTAGCATAATTAAATCATCTTCTCGTTACACAAAATTCAGCCCGGTGCTCCCGTTGCATGTTCCACACCAAAACGCGTCAAATGTGATCGTTATTTTTTATCAATATTTTTTACCCATCCTCTAATTAACTACATCCGAGAATTACCTTTCTTCCAGTGCATGACCAATCTGCAATTGTGACTTCATTTCTGTATAATGTCAAAATTTTGTGTTTCTGTAGTCTGTGAAAGAATGACCCTCAACGAGCGTGATCATTTACCCCCTATGCAGTTGCCGAGTACCAATCTTTGTAAATGACCAATTTCTCGTCGAGTGTTAGTTCTGCCCTTTCTATCCGATTATTTCTTTCACGGAGTCAACTAACATTACTTCAAAGCATCGAGATTTCGCTCCTGTAATTCCACTGTCGCTCATTTCTACGGCCCTTGACTCTTTACAACTTTTTCTAGGATGGATCTCGGAGTCGCTTATCTAATATTTATATTTTTCATCGACATCGTCATCGCGACGACGATGGAAAAAGCAAACCAATTTTTGGCACAGAATAGATTATCAGAAGCTGTCGAAGCTTACTCCGATGTTTTGCAAAAGGATCCCAAGTAAGATCAGTTATCCGTTTCTTTTTTAACATCTTTTTTCGTAGGAACTACCAGGCTCTCTATAGACGAGCCACAGTCTATCAGGCTCTGGGCAAAACTAAAAACGCGATTCCAGACTTGACAGCAGTATTGGAAATTCGCCCTGACTTCAAGCAGGCCCAAACGGAACGAGGAAAAATCTACATCAAGCAAGGACGTTACGATCTCGCGGAGGAGGATTTCAAAAACGACGAGGCTAAAAGAAACGAAATCCAGGTGCGAATTTACTATTCGGAATAATTGGGAAATCATTGATTTACTAATTGTCTCATTTAGGCACTCAAAGAAGCTGACAAGGCCTACCATGCCGCCATGTACAAAGAAAACTCGTTTGAAGAAGCCATTGCTCACTTGACTACACTCCTAGAAAAATCTCCATGGAACATCGAATATCTTGAAGCTCGAGCTTCATGCTATGAACACCGTGGCAAGTTCGCTGATGCTATTTTAGACTTGAGGTACCTCCCTTTTAATTTTTGATTTCGAACTTATTTAATATTTAGACCAACGACTAAACTTAACCCTGACAACACGAAAGCGTGGTTGAAAATCTCGACTCTCTACTATTCGCAAGGACAGGTAGAACAAAGTTTGGAATCCATCCGAGAGTGCTTACGACTCGATCAAGATCACAAAGGTGCAGTATTTCTAATGACGACTTATCCTAGCATTCTTTCAGCTTGTGGCGATCACTATAAGAAAGTGAAGAAGCTTAACAAGCACCTCGTTGCTGCCAATGATGCTGCTACCAAGAACAACTGGAAAAAAACATTCGAGTCCTTGGAATCTGCCGAAAGCGCGAATAAAGACAATATTCATCAAGTGAAGGCAGAAATCGAGCAGTTGAGATGCCGAGGTTCTGCAGCCTTGAAGGACGAAACCGGAATCGAACATTGTAACAGGTGAGTTTATTGTAGCGTGTTGCGGAATTATCGTTTTCTCCTAGGGCGCTGGAGCTAGACGATAATCACGCTCGAACGTATGTCCGCCGCTCAGAACTTCACACAGTTCTTGGAAATTACGAAGAAGCGCTTGCTGACCTGGAAAAGGCTCAAGAAATTGATAACAACTACGCTGATATTGAGAGGCTGATTCAAGAAGCTAAAAAGCGTCTGAAACAATCGAAGAAGCGCGATTACTACAAGATTCTCGGCGTCAACAGAAAAGCGAAGAAGAAGGAAATCAAGAAAGCATACAGAGAAAAGGCGGCAAAGGCGCATCCCGATGCATTCGCAAAAGATAATCCTGACGCGGTAAGTAACTTGATATAAACTGATAACTCGTCATGTGAGATATTGATCAATAACTTTAGAACGAAGAGCAACTCAAAAAGGCTGAGCAACAATGGCTTGACATTGCTGCTGCTTTTGAAGTGCTTACTGATGATGAGATGAGAGCTCAGTTCGACGCAGGAAAAGACCCTCTTGACGCCGAGCAAGTTGCCGAAGACAACAGAAATCCATTTGGAAGCGGATTTAATCCGTTCAGAAACGCTGGCGGGGGAGGTTTCCGTGGGGGTGGCGGACAAAAGTTCCACTTCCATTTCTAAGGAAAGTTTTCAAGAGACTTTTATAAAAAAAAAACAACGAAGAGTAAACACTATGCCAAATATGAGCAGCCTTGAAAACTTAATTGAGCTATCCTTATTCCTCACGTCTCTTGGTACTGAGCACATTCTTCAGGCCTTTGCATACAGTATCACTCTGAACAAGCGTTGTACAATTGATTTCATGATGTAATTTCGTTGGCCCACTCTCCATTTCTGTATTTTTCTATAATTTTCCGTGCAATACCAAACTCAGCGGACTTGGGCAAACTGCAAAGAAAATTAAATTGATAAACTGTTCTTCCTGCTAATTATCTAGTTCAAAAAGCAAACCCAAAAATAAAATATACTTGCGAATTCTCAAGTCGATCAATATTCTGAAACGAGTTTATTCAACGTCTGTCTTGATCAACTGGAAATCGATGATCTTAATACATCCTTTTTATATAGGACACTATTGGCGAATGAAAGGGCTCAGGATTGATATTTGCTCTTCACAGGTAGTTCTTCACATATTTCTAAAGAGCTCCAGCTGAAACTTATTGTGAGTGCAAAGAAACTTTGACATGGCAGAAAATCAAGCATGATAAAAACATATTTTTGACTTTCATTAACTTTCACTTTCTCCGATGATGTTAGTCGAAAAACATTTTCCGACGGCGCTCACGTCAATGGGTGCGCCGGACACAGTGATCACATTTTTATATATCTCCTGGTGAGCCCGTTAGAGCAAATAAGCTGTCCTATGCCCGACAGGTTAGTGTCTTTTTGTAGTGTTTGAGAACCCTAAAAGAGCATCTACGCAATTATTATCAGAGCAGGTTAGTTGAAGCTGATAAAGGCCCGGAAATATTGATTTGAAGAAAAACGCAATTAAATTCATTTTGGTAAGACGCTGAGCGCGCTGTAATCGCGTCATAGTTGATCAAGCGTTGCGTGAAAAACCAAATCATCTCAGCTCTGCCCGTTCATTTATTGAGATTGAAAGAAATTAGTAACAGCGGATATGAGGACTGAGAGCGACTTTATTTAGACTGCTTACAAAATCCGAGTGCTCACAAAAGGCACAGCGATGTCACCGAAAAGTTTGGAGCGAGAATAAAAACTCTCATAGCATGGATCAAGGAAGGGATAGCACTAAAACATAGTCTGCCATAATGTCGGCATTGATTTTTGTCGTCATCACTAGAGAGAGGAATATGAGCACTCGAGCCATCGATTTTATCTATTTTTCTACTTCCTTCGAATTTCCTTGATGAAATGTTATCCTTGACTACTGTCGTCATCGAAAACGAGCTAAAGAACCACGGCGGCCTTTATGAGCTGGAACAGCAGATCGGACAGGGCAACTTTGCCTGTGTGTGGAAAGCTCACCACAAACTAGCCCCTGTCCAAGTCGCTATCAAGGTGATTGACAAAAGAAGTCGGAACGAAGCTGATTTGATAAAAATTCATCGAGAAATATCAATTTTGAAGAAACTAAGGCATCCGAACATTATAAAGCTTTATCAATACATTGAGACGGAAGATTATATTTTTCTAGGTAGGCTGCCTACTAAATTATGATAAGCACATTCTATTTAGTTACGGAGCTCTGCCCGAAAGGGGAGCTATTCGATCTAATAGACCGCAATGGTAGATTAAGAGTAAGTTTACTTTCTTTCGGGCTCCAAGATTCAATCGACCTTTCCAGGAAGATGACGCGCGACGCATTTTCTCCGAAATTCTATCCGCTGTCGAGCATGCACACAAGAACAACATCGTGCACAGAGACCTCAAAACTGAAAACGTCTTGCTGGACAAGAATCTCAACATAAAATTAGCCGATTTCGGATTTGGCCAGTATTTTGAGCAGGGTAGATTTCTGAACACTTGGTGTGGAAGGTGATTATCTGATAGTAAATGCACAATTTTAAAAAGTGCTTCTTTCTAGTCCTCCTTACGCAGCACCCGAGGTTTTTGAAGGACGAGAGTACGAAGGACCCGAGCTAGACGTCTGGTCTTTGGGATGCATTCTTTACGTCTTAGGTTTTGACCGGGATTGAGCGTGTGATCCTAAGCGAACATTTAGTTTGTGGGAAACTTCCTTTCGATGCGCCTGACATGGCTCAGCTCAAGGAGAGGATAACCAATGGCTGGTACCAGGTCCATTGGTCTGTTACAAATGAATGTTTTGATCTCATTCGCAAATGCCTTACTACGAATCCACAGCGCCGGATCAAGACATCCGGCATTCGATCTCATGCTTGGATGATGAACTTGCCTAGGTGAGTCTTTGTTCACTGCTTCATATCATGTTCGATTAGCATCATCCAGCTAGACGAAGAATCGATAAACGAAGAGATCCTAACTCACATGCTATCCGCTGGAATAGGTACTATTTCTGCGTTATGAACTAGTGGCGAGTGTGCGTTAAGATCGGCAGCAGATAATAACCGCTGTAGAAACAAACTCGTTCAACGGGTTTTATTCTCTCTACCATCTTTTACTGGACGAACGGCGCCGGACACTGCGGCATCCGACTTATGTACGACCGAGACCAGCACCGAATCCGGTTTGTATAAATTGTGTCTCTTTTGCCAACAACTTTTACCTTCCAGTATCCTCACATTGGCCAACAGAACAATCCCCAGCAGCCTCAACTCCACCAGTCGCAGCCAGCCGGACGAGGGCGACGTCATACCTTTGATAACGCATTGTCAGGAATTTCCCCTCAGCAGCAAGAGATGCTCTATCAAGCCGCCCAGCAAACCCAGAACCTTACTCCAACAAGCCACATACCTGTAATGGCGCCTGTATACTGCAATCCCAGGCCCATGAATATGTCTAAAGTGATTTCTCCGAGTGTGCCAAGCTATACCCCTCATTCTATGTCGATGACAAGCGATTTCTTGCCTGCGCATTCTAGTGAAACGCAACGAAGACCTAACAGCGCTTCTGGAAAACGCACATGTGTGCCCTGTCCGCCGCCTGTCTCGCAGAATAGATCACGCCACAAGACACAAGGTCGACGAGCCTCGGATGGCCTCATCGATCCTTCGCAACTGCCCACAGGGCCTCTTTTTGAACAAGTAGACCCGACACATCTCATTCACGAAGCCGAAACTGATAGCCAGCACATGTGGAGTTCCATCCGTCACCCAGGCGGCTCTTCCAACAACGCTCAAGTGATGAGAGCGAAGACTCAAACGCGACGGCATCCAACACGCCCATATTACCAACCCCCTCTCTCCTCAGTTCCCGAAGATCAAGGCGATCTTTCGCACATTACGTTAGACGGAGCAATCGAATCGTTATCGCTGAACAATCAAGCTGTTGGCGCCAATCAAATGATCATTCCTAATAGAATGGAGCAACTACTTCGCAATCACAGAATGCAGGTAAGTTATTGTAGGATTATCCCCGTCAATGACGCCTCTGTTCAGGAGAACTGCACGACTCAAGCCGAATATTAAATGAATTTCGTGGCACTTTTGCCTCTATACTTTACTTACCGTAAAGCAAGACATAAAAACCTTTTTCCTTATTTCCGCTTCCTGTGTCTAACTTCAATTTTCTCTTCAAAGATATTTTCTGTTTTCATGAATTAATTTCGCTCATTTTACTGGTCGTTAAATTTTCTACATGGCAGGTGCGCCTCACGCCTCGTTTTTATGTAAATGCATTATCAGTTCCATTGCTCACCAAGTTCCATTTTTACTATTTTTCGCGAATCAGCGGATTTTTATCCCTTTCTTTTACTATATTGTCTCTTTATATATTATTAATTATGTTCCTTCCATTTAGCAGGTTGCTTAATGACCTCCTTTTGTCAATATCAAAGTACGCTTTATGCCAGTTTCGTGGCCGCATTTCAGTTTTTACTCTCATTTTGCCTCTTTTTATATGATCAAGTCGAGACTGACTTATAGGATTTTCAAAATTTGTACATAGATTCATTTTAATCCCGAATATCTCACAAACCAACGGTTTGGCTAAATAAGAAATGAATACGATCTAGATAAAGGTATCTCAACTTGTGATTCACAAGGCAATTATCTTTGTAATTAGTCAGCGTAGCTGGTTCCTTCATAATCTGCGTATATAAATCTTTCAAAAACATTTACCATCACAATTTAAGAAGATAAAGCTCTTGCTGACCGATAAAACCCCATCTTATTTTTTTGTATATTATTCTGATAACATTTCGCACGATTTTCTTTGTCGCCTCAAACTTTAGGCAGCTTCCACCACCTTAATACTACTCAGGTTTACCACCTCGTAATATTCTGAAGAAAATACAAACATAAACTCTCTTTTCTCTTCAATAAAAATTCGAAGACCGAGATTTATATATTTACATTCGACAGCAGCTTATGAGATCCATTTTAGTATGATCTCGCCGCACAACCGCCACAATCATCGCCACAATCGGCATAACCATAATCGAGATGACGAGAAAAAGAACGACGAAGAATGCAAGAATCCACCAGGACATGTTCTACTTTTGACAATTCTCGACGCGATGTATCCAATTACCACGAAATTGTTGGAAGTAAGTCCTATCCTTAGCTCTATATTATATTTTTGTCAATGAGTTTACGAGGTATTGAAACTGAGCAAATACTTCAGCGTATATGCTCCTATGCTGGACCAGTGTTGCGCATTGTTATTTTTCGCAAGAAATCAGTGCAGGCGATGATAGAGTTTGATTCAATTGTTGGAGCACAAAGAGCGAAAGCAGCACTCAACGGAGTCGATATCTATCGTGGATGTTGCACTATAAAAGGTAGAATATTTATTAGCCAGAACAGACTGACATTTTTTTAGTTGAGTATGCCAAGCCGCAAAGTCTGAATGTATTCAAGAATGACGACAATACGCGGGATTTTAGGTAAGAGCCTGGGGTTACGGTTCTTTCACTGACGTTAATATTTTTAGCATCGAAAACCGACATCACGAGGGGAAGTTTCGAGAACCTGACGCACCGCCAGTAGGCTATGACACACCGTATGGTATGCACAACTATGGTCATCATCATCATCATCTCCCTGGGGATGCTCATTCAAGTCACATGGCGGTGGACAAGTACGGCTTGCCGACCAACCCAACTCATGGAGCTCATTCCCACAGAGGACGAATTTACGACCAGCATCACCATATGCACGGCATGGGCCCCCACCACCACTAAGAAGACAATCACTCTCTATATTCATCTTTACTCACCAACAATGAATAACAACGAGCTAGCCATTTTCTCATAGACGAACGCACTTGTATCAGCTCGTTCTTCAATTTTATTATACCCTGCGACAACTCAATCTCTGCGGATTTAGCACAAAAGATTATTGAGAGATTCGTGATCATAAAAGACTTAATTTAAAAATGGGCTCGACGTTACCGGTATATATTTTTATTAATAAATTTTAAAAGAGTGAACTAGTTTTTAATGTCTTTTTTATTTTCAATTCATATTTCCAAGAACCATTCCATTTATTACCTTGAGGATTAGAACATTTCCTACATTAGGTAGAAGTATCCGTCTATTCCTCATTCTTTTGTACAGTTATCTTCACAAAATATATGATGCCTAAAATGATTGTTGTTCAAAAGGTTTTAAAATAAAAATTTAAGAATGACAACAAATCCACCGCCGTATGATGAGATAAAAAACTACGGTCCAGTAGCCGGAGGAGCTATACCTCCAGAGGTACAATTCTCTAACACCTTTTGGCAAAAACATAGACACGAATCCTATTCTTGTTAATAAGGATGGTCGTCTATGTTCTCGCTCTAAATAAACTTAAAAAACGTTTGTCTATAAAAAGTTTTTATATTCAGAATACCCCATTAGTGTCTGGTGCTCCGATTCATTATGTAATTAGTTATGCCATTTATTGAAAACATTTACCAAAACCACTTAAACTTGCATGCTTAGTGTAGTTAATTAAGCACTTATCTTGATTTATCAAATTTTCATTTCAAGCCTAAGAGATGGAATAATTCTGTTGCTGCTCAGGTATCCTGCATGTCAGTAATATTAAATGTTATAAAATTTTATACCATCGTTAATTTACGAAAGTTGAGATAAAAGTTTTATCTCTTTGGCTTACTGTTTCTGATCTATTTCTAATTGTTATTATGTTAGGACCATTACGTTGCCGATAATGGAAGCGCCAACTTCACCTCTGGTGTTGGTTTCGACAACAACGACGTCCGACGACTTTTCATCCGAAAGGTTTATGCCATCCTCTCTGTCCAGCTTATAGTCACCGCTGGCTTCATCGCTGCTTTTATGAGCAGTGAAGAAATCAAGGGTATGTTTTAGATTTCCGTTTCAGATATCTACAGTTGTTCAGGTTACATGCGAACAGATGGAGCTCCAATCCTCTACGCCAGTCTCGGTGTCTACATGGTCACCTACTTCTGCCTCGTCTGCCCTTGTTGCAATTTCCAGCGCAAGTTCCCTCTCAACGTTATCATGCTGTGTTTGTTCACCATCGCCATGTCTGTTGTTGCCGCCGCAGTTGCTTCGAGCTACAATACTGATGTCGTTCTGCTTGCCGCTGCAACTACTGCGACAATTGTTCTTGTAGTCACCGGAATGCTAGGGATCCTTAATTGCTCTAGAATTAAATTTCTCTTCTTTTTTAAATTACATCAGAGCTAACGATCAGCTATTTTCTGATCCCGATTAAGACATTCATGACTAAATTTGATATTACTAAATTTTGGTACATCGGACTCATTGGTGGTTTGGCTATGATGTTCGTCTGGCCTTGGTTCTTCATTCTCGGGGTTTCCGAAACATCGTACGCTATTTATTGCGGCTTTGGGGTCATGTTATTCACCTTTTATCTTGGTAATTTACCGATTCATCGGCCTGTGAAAACTTTCTTTAGCCTACGACACGAAGACAATCCTTGGCGGCGGTCGAATGGAAATCGGGCCAGATGACTACATCGTCGCTGTCGTTCAGCTTTACGTCGACATCGTCCAAATATTCCTCTACTTGCTGAGAATCTTCGGTCGCGCCGACTGATTCTGTTTCTTCACTCGACTTTCCTCTCCTGTAAAGCGTGATCTACATTTAATACATGTTATTCCCGTTCTTTGAAAATTATTTTTTGTCGAGATCCCCTTCGTATCATTCACTATTCACGGAAAAAGTCCTTCTTTTCTTTTCGCATATTTTGCCTCTCTTCTATTAGTTTCTCTAAATATGAAGCAAACTCGCGTTACCTAACAGAAATACTCGTCTAACCACGCCATCATATAGCGGTTACTGTAACTGATTATGCATACTGTGAATCGGTTAACTTTCTATCCCCATAAAGTACTCCCCTGTTAATTCAATATGTTTTATTTTTGAAAATAAGAATGACCGAGGTTGAAATAATGCAGGATCCGGGCGAACCAGAGGCGAAACGAATGAAGCAAGGCACAGTTATTATTCAGCTACAGGTTGGCCTTGACAGCGTTCGGCAATTTCTTGAGCAGAATTATAGGATGAATCTGGAAATAAATGTGGAGATCCGATCGAAGTTCCTGAAAATGTGACGGCCGCCCAACTATCAGATTTGACAAACTCATTTTTGGAAAGTCCCGATGAAAAACACGCCTTCTATACTAATTCAGTGGAAATTTTGAAGAACCTTGGCGATACATTGGAAGAAATCGATCAAAAGACGGAAGGAACAATAGTCGTTGTCTACAGCCCGATTGCTGTCTTCAAAGTTAGAGCCGTCACACGTTGCTCCAGCGAAATTCAAGGTCACACTGAAGCTATTTTGACAGTGAGCTTTTCACCAGAAGGAAGATATCTCGCTTCGGGATCAGGCGACACAACGACTCGTCTTTGGGATTTATCTTCTGAATCACCCCAGTTCACTCTGGAGGGTCACAAAAGTCACATTCTCGCCATCGCCTGGGCTCCAGACTCAAAGAAGATTTGTACTGGATGCAAAAGTGGCCAGATTCGATTGTGGTCCCCAAAAACTGGGAAACAAATAGGAAAAGTAATGTCGGGTCACAAACAATGGATAACAGGAATCGCTTGGGAACCCCTTCACCAAGACGGCTCATGCAGACGGTTCATCTCGTCATCAAAAGATACAAATGCGATTATTTGGGATGCTGTAAAACAGACAAAGCTGATCACGCTTTCGAACCATCAGTCATCCGTTACTTCGGTTGTTTGGGGAGGACAGGGACTTATCTACACAGGAAGTCAAGATCGAGTCGTCTCAGTTTGGCGTCCAGATGGTACTTACTGCCGCGCGCTCAGAGGACACGCGCATTGGGTGAACTCGCTCGCTTTGAATACTTCTTACATAACGCGCACAGGAGCGTTCGAGCCAGCAAAAGCGAAACAAGCAAATCAACTACCTGAGGACCCGGCTATTCTCCAGAAAGAAGCACGAGTTCTCTATGATAAATATTTGAAATGTGGGTACCAGTTATTCTATTAGGCTTGATTTTCATCTTTTAGCGATTGGGGGGTTCGAACGTCTTTGCTCCGCATCTGACGATCATACCCTGTTTCTCTGGAAACCTGAAAGCGATAAAAAGCCCTTGAGTCGACTGACAGGTCACCAGGCAACGATAAACGATGTAAAATTCTCACCTGATGCGCGATACTTGGCGAGTGCTAGTTTTGACAAATCCGTTAAGCTATGGTGTGGGAAGACGGGGAAGTTTATTTGCGCCTTTAGAGGACATGTGCGCCCAGTTTATACACTGGCTTGGTCACTGGACTCACGAATGATTGTCAGCGGATCATCTGACTCAACCCTCAAGTTGTTCGAAGTCTCCACAAGAAAGGTTTGATTTTGAATGCCTGATCTAAAACTGAAACATCTTATTTAGTTATTGAAAGATTTGCCCGGTCACGCAGACGAGGTTTACGGAGTGGATTGGTCTCCTGACGGCCAGAAAGTTGCGTCTGGAGGAAAAGATAGAGCTCTACGACTGTGGCGGAAATAAACCACAAATGATAAGACATCTTTAACTAACACCTCGTTCGTTAAGAATGAAATAATCCAACATGTCGAATTCGAACACACCGAAAAAAGGAACCCCTAAAGGCTCCAAAAGCACTACCCCGAAGGGCAAAAAAGAAAGCTGGCTTTGGAACGATTCAGAAGACGAGTTCGTCCTTTCTTCGGATAATGACTGTTTGATAAAAACCGAGCAGAGCTGCGTCGAAAACCTGACTCTTGTTGATGAAGCTGGCGATGATATACCAGAGTACGCGATATCGAACGAGTTAAGGGATGATGTTGTTTTCCTCTCTGCTGATACGATGGGGAAGGCCGGCTTTTGTCTTGGGGACCTTGTTTATATTTCCGCATCGCCTAATATCTCTGCTGCCGCTATCGTCTGGCCGAAAGTCCAAGCGAGACTCGGCACAATAATACCGTCTAACAATATGAAGCCGCTTTTCAAAGGTGACACCGAAGCACGAAAAACTAAATGATTGACTTTTTAAGAAAGTGGAACGAGCGTCTCCGTTACAAAACTTGAAAGCAAGAAGCAGGTCTGTCATCCCAAGACTGTGTATGCTCGAGTGTTTCGCTCAGTAAAAGCCGCGCCGATAACTTTGGTACAAATATATTGACTCTAATGATAATTCTCACGCTCGACCTAGTCCGAAGAGAAGTATTTGTGCAAGTATCTGCAGCGTATGTTTACCGGAAAATATTTGGTCGATAAACAGGTTCATAAAACCATTTTCGGTGGGAGACGAGTCCAAGTAACTTTTCATTGTACTGAATCATCGCTTGAAGAAGAACTCGAGCAACTTTCGCTTAGTGACACAAAGAGAATTTACAGGGTTGGACCAGAAACTACCTTCATTATTACGAATTTGAGTAGAAAAATTCATCGAAAGGAAGACAAACTTTGTATAGAAGAAAAATATTTTTCCGACTCCTTGGTAAAGAAAGGTGAATGAAGATCACTACCGAGCGAAATATAAAGATATTACTTTTGGAATAGTGTAGTTAACTGGCTGCGGAATAATATTTTGCGTTAAGTTAATGATGAAATCATCAATTATCTATCAAACTGGGACGAAGTATTGATGCCGCCTCCCAAAGGCTTCATTCTTTATGGACAATCGGGAGTTGGCAAGACAGAGATTCTGAAACTTATCAGTTGCAGACTCCTCGACGAATTTAAATGCGTTTGGGTGAATAATGTGGACGAATACAAGGTCGCCATTGTAAACCGTGGTCCGTCTCTTATTTTAATCGACAATTTCGAAAACTTTTGCTCTAAAGACACCGAGAAGACGTTTTTAAGAGACTTCATCGAAGCGATCGATAATGCTCCCAAAACACAATTTTTCATCTGTGCGACGAACAGGCTCGATCTAGTTGACGAGCGATTGCGCACGAATGGACGCCTTGAGGTCGAGATTGAAGTTCCTATTCCAGGGACTCAAGAGCGCGGACGAATACTCGCGCAGCTGGCACAAAAGCTGCCCTTAGATAATGTCAGAATTCGCGAACTCGCTGGACGACTTCACGGTTTCGTTGCAAGTGATATCATTTCGTTGATGAAGAAGGCAACGGCCCATGTATTTCGAACAAGATCTGCTATCGATAATGAACTGTTGATGAAGTTGGCTAAGCAAATTGTACCCAGTGCAATGAAAACGATGGCAGTCTCGGTGAAGCCTGTCAAATGGCGTGATATCGGAGGAGGAGAAAGAATGAAAAGATCATTGGTTCAGCTTGTCGAGTGGCCTCTCAAATATGCTGCGGAAATGAAAAAGCTTAAAATTGATCCTCCTCGCGGCGTGCTCCTATACGGTCCTCCAGGATGCTCAAAGACGATGATTGCCAAAGCTCTAGCAACTGAATCTAGCCTCAAATTTCTTACAATCAAGGGAGCAGAACTGATATCCAAGTATGTTGGAGATTCGGAAAAGGCTATCCGAAATGTTTTCCAGAAAGCGCGACAAAGTGCTCCCGCGATCTTGTTCTTCGACGAGATCGACGCAGTTGCTGTTACCAGAGGAGAGCAGAATTCTGTCGTCACTGACAGAATGATCACTACTTTACTAACCGAGCTTGATGGAATAACTGACGATGCCGATAACAATCCAGTTATTCTCGTTGCTGCGACCAATCGGCCACACATGATTGACTCTGCTCTCCTTCGACCTGGACGCATCGATCGGTTCGAGTACGTCTCCCTACCGAACAAGGATACCCGGCGCGATATTTTTAAAAAAATTCTTCCGTCTTCTTTCGAGGTTTTGAAACTAGGCATTCATATTCTTATTTTAACTCTAGAACGAGGATTTGGATATTCTTGCTGACCGTACAAGTGGATATAGCGGTGCTGAAATTGTTAGCATAAAGCAAGAAGCCGCGTTGGTTGCTATGGAACGCATGATCAAGGGTGATGTAGGCGCAACAGTTACTGTGGAGGATATCGAAGGAGTGCTTGAACGACTGAAACCGAGAACGAAGCAATGTGACCTTGATCTTTTCCGTGACTTTGCCACTGCTCATGGACAGACTATATCCGATGAGCATTATTTTATCGCTGTTTATTGCATTTAGATTGTCTATGAAATCGGGCTGATATAGGGAAAGTGGGCGTTTCATGGAGAGTCAGCGTAATAAACGAAGACATTACGATGATACGGGAGCCCCACTACGTACACGTCCACGAAGTCTAACTGACATGTCCCATGGTCCATCGATTCCTCTTCCGCAGGAGTTGGTCACCAATGGAACAGTGGTAAATAACATACCTATCATGCATGCAGGGCGGCCTCCGATAGGATTCGAAAGGACACTGGATAGAACACCCCAACCACAGCCGACGCCGTCGTTTATTCCAACTCCAAGGCCAATGGTGGCCGTGCCTGGTGGTCTGTTCAACAGGTAACTCTTTTTCTAAGATTATTGGTATTTTCACATTCAAGACAAAACCAACCGCCACTTCCAAATCCAGTAGTCGTCCCAACTGCCGCAACATCTCCGTTCATACCACAGAACACTACCCTTCAGTATACTACACTAGCACATCCTCCTTTTCCAAGACCACCTCCGAGTGGAGCAATTCCACTAGTTCAGGTTCCATCGTTCGCGCATTTCCCGAGCCAAGTTCGCTATTATCAGGTTTTGTTTTTTTATTTACTCATTATTTTAATACTTTCAAGGCCACTTCTCCTTCTCCTACTTACCTTGTGTCTTCATCAGAAAGGATCGACAGTCCACATGGAAGCGTCAATAATGGCCACGGTTTAAGACGTTCTCCTGCGCTTTCTCCGATCCCCTCTGTGCAAGAAAACACATCTGAATGTGAAAGAGTACGACACAATTCGGAAGCCCAGTCAATTTCGACAGAAACAGCTACAGAAACGCAACCACGTCGTCAAGCAGATAATTGTCAACTTCATATGAGTAGCCAGAATCCAGCTTATAGAAGCATAAATCAGCAAGGAATACCTGGACTTCCGACGAGTATCCCTACAACTCAGCGTTATTTTCCGATGTCTCGTGTTTCGAGCTCTCATAACCTAGTAGGAGCTGGAATGGTGAGCCAAGCTTTACCATTTGAGCGGCCAAGGAATGGATTTACTGGATAACCGCGATTAAAACTAATTAAAAAGTCTCAGTATTAAATTCAAAACAGAATGACTCCAATGATTGCTCGTGGAAGGCCATTTAGTCACACCAATCCACCGACTGCTCCTGTAATAACACCTATGCGCCCTGGCCCGATTCTGCATACAAATGTTGTTCCTCCTCAAGTTAGCAGCTATGACCCGCCGCAAATGAGAATGTCACCTTTACCTGGATCTGTTGCGGAAAGGGCGACTCTGGGTATTCCAACAGAGGAAATTCATTTTCCACAGCATTCTTCGAGCGGCCATCGTGTGCCTCACATTGTTCATCATTCTTACTACACACCTCAGCGTCAGGGACAACATCTTCATGGCCCAATGCGTTCCCATCTTATCGGACCTCCTCCAGCTTACGGTCTATATTCACAAATGGTCGTCCAACAGTCGTCACGTATAAAACGTACAATCTGTTTAAGTCTTACCTTTTCTTTAGCTATCACAATCGCGCCATATCTAGAGGTAGACATGATGATCCCTCCCGAGCGCTTCGCTGAGTATCCGCAATTTCCAGTGGCGGTCGCTTTCCCGCCTCCAGCGTACCCCATCATTCCATCGGGGGCAATTCCTCCGGAGTCACTGACGCTGCTTACGATCCCATCAAATATGCACCCTGCGATGATGACTCCTGCGCCGTCAGAGGGTGCTACTACGACCAAAATCGAAGACAACTCAATTACCTTTGAATTTACTGTAAGCCTCAAGAGTATTTTATCTCTTGTAAATCGTTTATAGCCTTCCGGTGTTGACAACTCTGCCGGGGACGAAGGATGTGACCGATGTACGATTTGCCTCTGCGAGTACGAACTCAAAGACAAAATGCGGCGACTGGCGTGTTTCCATAAGTTCCACCAAAATTGTGTAGACAAGTGGCTTCACCAAACATCCAAGTGTCCGATATGCCGCATCGACATTTCGGCGACTCAAAGTTTTATTCGACAAAGCAGATGCACGGCATCGTCAAGTACTGCTACAGCTACAAAGTAACGAAAACTATTCTTGAATTGTCTTTACTACTCTGTGTTCTTCAATCTCTCATTTTATATTATATTTTATTATTATTATTATTGATCACATCGATCCACCTTTGTGTTGCCTTTAGAATGCCCATAATCATTTTAATCCTAGGCTACCTCTGACTAACCACCACTGTTGCACGTTCAGCAAGATTTTTACTTATGTCATGAAAGCGTTGTATTCTCGTTTCATTTGGAAAACTGACGCTTCGGTTAAAGAACAAAGTGTACAACGCTAGTGTCATTTTCGATTTGCCTATCATTCAATTCTTCTCGCAAGAAAAGTGCTATCCATTTGCTGTCACTTCTTTATTTCGTAAGGAGGACCAACCAAGAAAGCATGTTTCTTGTCCCCATTCAATGGCAAAGATCAAAGTAAAAATTTCACCTTTAAGTTTTGCTTTCAATACTACCTTTTTAAGTTTGATTCTATTAGAATTACTGTTCTTGATCCACCGCTAGTTCCATCTTAATCCGATATAAGAAATGGATAATTTCATCATTAAATCAAAATATTCGTTATTCAAAATCACTGCAGAGTGTCACCATATAAAGGTGTTGACATTTCACGTCGTCTTGCGTCTTATTATATGCAGGGCAGCTTGTATTATCTGATATTCAAAGAACAGGTGAATGCTTCTTCCACCGCCCGGTCCCATGTCTAGATAAGCGCTTATCATTTTCGCGCAGTTAGCCGCGGGCCATCCGTGAGAGAGTACATTCAAATTGAATGGTTCATTGATACTACAAGTGACATTAGCCAGAAATAATTCAATTGATTGAAGGTCGCAATTCTGAAAAATAATCGCATGCAGCCTAATCTCTCGTTCCGAGACAATTCAAATTTTAAAAATTCAATCATTGACGGCATATTGTACCCAAACATTTAGTATTTCTTCGCCATCTCATACAATCATACGGGACTCAATACATGTAATTGAACTATCTCTCGTAGAGGTTCACAGCGCTTAATTATGAAAAGTTTGCGGAATAGCGTTTTACGGAAGATTGGGCCTGGTACAAATCTAGTAGTGCGTGTAATTTGCGGCTGTCGGTTCGTGGTGGTGGTGGTTTGACGTCCCTTGCGGCGCATTACGCCTAGTACGGATTGGTGAGGGCGCCTCGCGAGGCACGCGTACCATGAGCGATCACGATAACGTTCTCACTGACTAGCATAGAGAGTTTTTGCTAAGAAATTAGTCACTCAGAGGAAAGCTCCCGCCCCGAAAATCTGCCATGAAAACATAGAAAACTCATCTTCTGACTAATATGGAGCCGATCGGAGGCTATCGCGAGGAACCAGAGGGAAAGAACTCCTCTTACTCGGTAGGAATTCGCAAAATAAACCATTATCAATACTTATCGAATTCGGTCTAATGAAGAAAGAAAGATTGTTTCCCAGCAGTCGGTTGATCCTTGTGGGAAAGTTAATATCCGGACCTCTTACGTGTAGCAAAAAGAAACATACTCAAAAAGAATTTTAGCTGGCCTCGTCAAAGGACAACTTTCATGAAGACAATGAGTATGAGCTCCCGCCAAGTTTCAGAGAGGATTATGAAAACGAAAATGAACACATGATGAATGAATACAAGGAAGACAAGGCTCAAAATAGAAACTCCCGCTCTGCTCCAGATTTGCTTGATTTAGAATACTCTCCTTCTCGTTTTGACTCGCTTAGACATGCTCAGTCGGTAAGGTTGATATAAAAGATCAAAAGTTGATGGGATTAGTGCTCGTAGAGCTCGAGGAAATTCGGGAAATTAAAGTCGTGTTTATAAAATGAGACTTTATCATGCCTGGCCCTGTTCGAGTTTAAGCTTCCTGATATTCCCCGTTTAATAAACAAAGTCTTTCAGGATGATAAGGGCATATACGATGAGTACTACGGAAGTCATCACCGAACAGCATCGCCTGTCTATGACGAACCCAGTGATATGAATTACGGCGATTCCGATTTCCACCATACTGGCACATACACCAATTCGGACGACAAATTCAACGTTGCGTATGAAAAGGGCCTCGATGCCGATACCCTAGCAAAATCAAGCAGATTCAACACGAATTCTGAAAACTATCAGATATATGAGAGCAGTCAGGGTTATCAGCAATTTGAGCCCAAGAGTGCTGCCGATGCAACGATGCCACCACCAGTCCAACTCACCAAACGCTTTCAAGTGAGTTGTTACTTAGGATCGATAAATCCTCAATCTGTCGAATTTTTTTCTTAAATTCGAGACAGGTGAAATAAGTGGCTTTCGAAAGTGGCCACTCAGCATGCCCTCGGCAAGTATTTCCGGACGCCCCATCCGCTAATTACGCGACTCACTGTAATGAATACGTTTAACGCAGTTTGCAGGAGCCTATCAATTACGACTCAACCTTGGAAATGCCTTCCCCTCCATCGTCGCCATTAAAGCAATACAACTATTCAAATCAAAATGGTGGCACTCCGTTTAATGAAACATCCAATTTTCCTCACATTCGATTTTACCAAAATAAGCGATTTGAATATTCACGCTACTCGACTGAACAGGAATGGGCTTTTCATCTTCTCTTGCGTTAAATCCGGTATGAGCTTTTTTAATCAAACACTCAATTTGGGTGGAGATTGATGTAGATAGCTCCAATCTGTTTCATAGTCCTTACCTCGCCAAACGAAATCGCACAGATAATATATTTTTGATCTCTATATACATTTCCCTATTCTCAAAGAACGAATCAATATCTTATAAACAAATCGCCGGGAAACCTCAAGAGAAAATAGCGTATTATAATCAACGAATGCAGTCTTCGTGGTTTTTAGCCCTTTTGAAAGAAATCTAAAAAGACTATGGAGACGGACTCGACTGAAAAGGTTCGCCCATTTATAATTGAAAAGCACTTACCCATGTTCAGTCGCGAAATAACTCAATTGGATTCCAGGGCGGCCTGCAAGAACTGCCACTGGCGAAGTATTCAAACGGGCGGCAAATACCCCCGACAGAGGACTCATTTGATAGTAGCAAGTGGCACCGGCATCAGAATCAATTCAACCTCAGCAATGCAGGTGAGTACAATTAGTTAAGATCAAGAGACAGGGCCGCATCCTAGCACCGGAAGGGATTTCTTATTCCAGTGTGCCCGCAAAAATGTCAACAGGAGCACCTGCTACCCAAAATTCACGCTACATTAGTCGTTGACACGTCGTGTTAACAAATATTTTCCGGGGGAAGCGGAACCACAAGTCCCGAAACCTATACATTGGCCAAAAGCCAACGTAAAATATTTCCCTTTCCATGTCTAAATCCACTGGGAGTGTACTGTAATCAGGGGCGTTAGAATGGAATGTTTTGTCTTTTGTTTGGCACGATTCAACTTCATAGAACTAAATAGCCACACTTGATCCACTTCTCATTCATGGACCTGAGTGCCACACGTGTCGAAATTAAACTTAGAAAGTAGAGACTGATAAATAAGATGCGGGCAGGAATATACTGACTTAGATTCTATCTAGGCATGGGAATAAACGGACGCCGCCGAACAACAAATTACGCACCTCAAAGCAATGAATTAGCTCATCGATTATCGGGTCGTGTCCGTCGACAAGCAACAATGACCTCTTCGACATTTTCTGAACCTCAACTTGAATCTCTTCTGGCTGGTCTCAACTCCTCAGAAGCCGAGTCGCTCACGAGGACATCTGCGCTCATACAGGTGAGAAAATGTTAAACGTTTACGAGACTTAGTCCAAATATATTTGAAAATTCAAGAAATAAAACTAATTTTTAGCATATATCATTCCGAGACTCGACTGCAAAGAATTCTTTGCGCAAACTTGGCGCAATCTCCAAACTTGTTACATTGCTTGATAACCCACTTCCTGAAGTTCAAAGAGCTGCGATAAAAGCAATCAAGAATATAATTTTCACGAATGAGCCTGCTAAACTTGACATGCGTAGATGTGGAGGTCTTGACGCTGTTGTACGTATTCTGAAAACAACCCCTGATCCGGGCTTACGAAGTCTTTCTTCAGCAGTCATATGGAACCTATCGTCATGCGACTCCCTAAAACAAACACTTATTCATGAGGCAATACAGATTTTGGCCAAACTCTCTGTTCGCTCTGAGCCCCTTGTTTTCACCAATGCGACTGGATCTCTCAGAAATCTAAGTTCCGCCGGTGCTGCTGTAAGAAAGAAGCTCAGATCGTTTCGGGGTTTCATAAGTGCTATTCTTGAAGTGATCCATGATGCCACAACGTGCACCGAAAAGGCGAACAGTAAATCAACGGAAAACGCCGTCTGTATTTTGAGGAACTTATCTTACAGGCTCGGCGCAGAAGTTCCTGACCTCGCTAATGAACATGACGAAACTTTATCAACAGACTCTGAACTTTTTGACTGCTTTGGACGCCTGAAGAAAAAGTCTCATCTTCTTCACAACAGCCCGAATGATATTATGAACAAAGGACTTCGTCTTAACACAAAGCCTACTGAAATGGACTCATTATATCAACCTTCGCTTATACGCACTTATCTACAACTTATGATGGAGACGACTAACTCTGACACACTCGAAGGTCTTGCAGGTATGCAAAACTTTTCTTGTCCAAAAACAAATTTTTTCAATAAATAATAGGCGCCATTCAAAACTTGACTGCTGGTCAATGGCGTTTTGCCGCAAGCCTTCGAGAGACTGTCCGCGCTGAGAAAGGACTACCTGTCATTGTCGACCTTCTCAAATATGAACATGATGGAGTGTCCGTGGCGGCATGCGGCGCACTACGAAATTTGGCACTGGACCCAAGAAATTGCTCAATGCTGGGCGAATATGCGATGGAAGATATTGCTAACAAGGCATTTGGTTGGCACTGAACTGATAGTATCATAACCTCGCACTGAGTACCCAATAATCGATCTCGAGTAGTAGACATAAGTGCTCAAGTAACGAGTACTTGAACGTGAAATGCAACCTTAAATAGCTTCCATTACCAGGCGAAACGCCAGTCACCCCAGGACCTGCTGCAATTTACTCAATTTGTGCGGTTTTACTTCAGCTAGTACATTCGGATCGTCTTAATGCACAAAAGTAATCCGATAAACCTCCTTAATGACTACTTAGAATTTAAGGTTGTCTGAACATGGCGGCATCGAACCACTTGTTTCCATTTCTCGATCTGTTCGATATCCTCCGTCCTGCTCAAAAGCGGCAGCAACAGTGCTTGGAGCAATGTGGAAGCATAGAAGCCTCCGAACGTGCTACAGAAAAGACGGGTGGAGCGCTTCGCACTTTGCCCCTCGAACTGAGAAGCAGCCATTGTCTCTTTCCGAACATCCTCGAACCTGGCTCATGTAAGTTGAAGACTAATGCAGAGTTAATTCATTAAAAATTTAGGCGATCTATAAGATCAATCTCGTCCTCGAGACGCTCTTCAATGCTCGATTTGGAAACCACAAGAAACGCCACGAGTTCGAGTAGGGCTATGTTGAGGCTCAACAGGTCTGAATCCGGATATCGCTACTCTTACACAAATAGTCGCAAGCTATTAGATCCTCCATCAGACGCCACTTTCTTGACGGTAAACGAATGCGCTCTCTTCTATTCCAACCTTGTTTCAGACATCTGATCGAAACGACGGATCCAAACTCGATACACAAAATTACCGATCCGCAGATTCCTGGGTCTGACCCTTGAATTTCTGCTCGAGCAAGTTCAAGCCAAATGCCAATTGTCTATTTCAAAGAAACTCAAATGCCAACCAACCTAACTTCATCAAAACGCAGTTAAATATAGACATGCAGTCGGCCCTCTACCTCTTGAATCTGATTGAACTATTTATTTCTGTCATCTGAAAATAAAATAATAATGATTAAATTTCACAGCGAATCATTTATGACTACTTGCGATCATGGATGATTTTTATTCTCCTAAAAGAAAATATCGTGCTATGTCAACATTGCAATCCTGCTTCAAAAAGGAAAGAAACGAAAAGTCAACAATCAGCTGGAAAATATAGAGAATGAGCTATGAAGCAGAAATTAACAAGTAAACTTTGACATTTTTATAAGAAGGCTTTGTCGTAGAAAATTCATCTTGCACGCAGCAGGTGACATGTTGAGAAATAGGGGTCGATACCATTTTGACCCTTCCAAAAATAGCAGGACATCGCAGGTGACACAGATTTTGGATGAGTCGGACGTCACCGAAAGGCCAATCTCACACCGGCTTTTTCAGTTCCCGGTAAACCGATCAAATCGGGATTGACTGTTAGTCAAATAATGCATCACGTCGCGCAGAACCAAGCCCTCTTCCCAGCGGTCCTATTCTTAGATCAGATAGTAGCTGACCTACCTAGAAATCGATTTTTATCATCAAATAATTTGCCCTACATTCTCAAATTAGAAAATAAGCAGTCTTGATTCTTTTACCTTTAACCGTTCGTATTTGCGGGCTGAATATTTTTATCGATGTAGCTTCCAATCTTCATTCATGCTAGTAACTTACTAGTAATAAAAAGTGTTATAAACAGTTGTTTATAGCAAGTATCTATCCCATAACTTCAATATCTTCTTAGTTCGTAACTGTTTCAGTCATCCATAACGTCCGCTGTTGCTCGTTCGGAGCTGTTCAAAATTGTGTTTCTTTAGCTTTTTCAGCGCTCTCTAGCGCTGCCAAGCGGGCTTATTTTTGATGACTTTTTTATGAAATATCGTGAAAAAATGTTCAAATTTTCATCTGCCAAAGTTTCGTACTCATATCATAACAGTAAATGTGGAAAATTAGCGGTTTTATTGCGTTTTCGCATGTTGAAATCACGGGTAGATCCACTTTAACACCCTTTTGACACCCTTAACCTTTATCGTTTTCGCTCGTTGAAATTGTGATTCCTAAGAAACATCCCTAATCTACCCTACTGCAGAATTTCGTGACTGTTGCACAAACAGAACGTCCAGAAATCCGCTCTGAAAGGGCGGAAGAAACACAACGCGCGGGCCCGCCCGCGTAAAATCCACGCGCGCTGGGGTTGTCTCCCACACGCCACGACGCGACGAATAAAAACTGCGCGCGCGCCGCACCGGACTCACTTCATTCTGTGAGCCAAAAAACGTCACTTTTACAGTTTTATCCCACAAAACCGAATTCTGACCATGCCAGCGAAGGAAGCTACCAAGAAAGCCGCACCATCCCACCCACCATACAAGCAGATGATCGCTGAAGCCCTCAAGGGTCAAGGTACGTTCAGAGATTCAATTTTTCAAGTCCGGATAGTCGCTCGCGGCACTCCGCATATCTGTTAAAGGATGAGAACTTGTCCGGGGACGAATAATTACCGTTAATTTTAGGTCGAAAAGGTTTGTCCCTCCTTACCCTGTCCAAGATGATCCAAGCCAATCAGAAGGGCCTCAATCCCCGCCACGAGACTTCGCTCAAGTTGGCGCTCAAAAAGGGCCTCGAAGATGGTACACTCGCCAAGGTCAAGGGTGTCGGTCTCTCTGGATCCTTCAAGCTCGCTGCTCCTGTCAAGGCTGCTCCTGCCGCTAAGAAGGCCGTTCCCAAGACAAAGCCAGCTGCGAAGAAAGCGGCTACCAAGAAGGCGCCCGTCAAGAAAGCCGCTGCAAAGCCAGCTGTCAAGAAGACCACCGCCAAAAAAACTACCGCCAAAAAGACCACCGCCAAGAAAGTCACCGTCAAGAAGGCCGCTGCGAAGAAGGTGACCATCAAGAAAGCAGCCGCCAAGAAAACTGCGAAGAAGACCGGCAAGAAGTAAAGTACTTCTTCTCACGTCATACGAATTCGCGACCTCAGGAACCGATCTCAATCTCTCATGTCAATAGATTCCCCTAGTTAGCTTTTTCTCCCTCTGTTTTTATAATCCCTCTGTAGCTGCCCTGTATCATTGCAAAAATAGCCACGAAGGGATTAGTATCGAAAAAACAATACTGAAACCCTCATACCTATTTCCACAGCCGAATAGCTACTGTTCACGCCTGTTCAACACATTGCCTGAAAGCGCAACAATAAAATATTGACAATAAAATACAAAATTAAACTCCTTTGTCTTTATTTGTTACCAGCAACTTGCATTTAAAAATATCGAGCACTATCAAGCATACCAGCAGTTCTTGATTTTCCTACTACAAAGCCTAACTTAATTTATTTCTAATACTTAACATCATCATATGATCCTAGGGCATATTATCACTTGAACGTTCTCAAACGCATACTAGCACAATATGAAGACGAAAGAAAGAAACAGCAGGATCGAATTGACCTTCATTCGAGTGAACTGAAAGCAATGTACACTCGTGAATTGGAATTGAAGAAGGAAAATGACCGCCTAAAGAGTGAAACACAGGCTGAAAATGTAATTCAATAATAATTTATTATGGTCGTGAATGATTTTAGCTGAAAAAACGAGTGAGGGACCTCGAAAAGGAAAACATACAGTACGCCAAAAATTTTGGTCAAGTAAGATTTATTTTAAATCTTTAGGTATCAGCGCGATCTTCATGAATCCTACCAGCGTGAACGAGATTTGAACGAAAAAGTGATCACTTTGAGAGGGAAAATAGGGTATGGTACCTACCGTGTGCTCCATACGGTATGGATGATAGAATCAAATTTGAGGTCAAATCATGCTCAATCACAAGTTTTTATATTTCGATAAGTCATTTTTAGAATATGGCTCTTGAGGTGGGGAAACTTGAACATGCAAATAATCAGTACGTATTGTCTGATCTCAAACGCCGCATTTGAAATGTAAACTTTATTTTATTCTATAGATATGAGCACGAGAGACAGTCACTTGATCATCTAGAGCGACAGAATCGCTGGCTTCAAGATAAACGCAATCAGTAAAGCTGTGTTCTTACTGACCATGTAAAATCGAATATTCATAGACTCGAGAATCAACTTAAAGAGCGAGAAAGATTCTGGGAGCAAGAAAACGAGCGTGTCAAAAATGAATCTAAAGCCGGACGGGTATTCGAGGATTGATATAAGTTTTGAAAATTTTAAAGGATTATTCGGAGCTCTTTTCTGAGATGGAGCGTTGTAAGATGCAGTACGATCAAGCCTATGGACACTTAGAATACCGATTTCGACAATTGTCAAATGAATTTCAACAACTTACGCTTGATTTTCGAAAGAAAGAAGATGAGAATGATCGCTTGAGCAGTCAGTTACCTGCCTGCTCTGTCTGCAAGACTTCATTCAATGAGTCCCGCCAAAATAATATTGATGTCTTCGTAAAACTGTCCTGCTAGAATTATCTCCTCTTTTAGTTGATGCTGACGACCTGCGGACATGCTTGCTGCGGAAACTGCTTGCAGATTCTCTGTTATCAGCCCGAACATAATTGCCCAGTGTGTAGAAAGAAAATAGCTATCGAAAGATGCATCAAGATTTACTTATAATGAAATAAACTAATCATCTCATTGTTTTTCATTTTGAATGGCGGTGGAATGAACTTTGTTGTATTTGAGGAAAGGAAGAGAAGAAGGGAGACTCTCGACAGCTCTTGCGCTGGCTGTGCAAAAGTTGCAACTAAGAGGCAAAATAGGCAATTCGTGAAGTTATCAAGACACTTTCCCGCGGTATATTATTACCGGTGCGCAATATAATTGAACTGACGGAATCGATCTTGCTGAGCTTGTGTCAGCGGCGCTCTTCGTTCTCTTGGGGGCGTCAATGTCTATAAAATACGATAAAATTTGCAAATAGTGTGCGACTTACAGGATCCTCTGAAGTAAACTCCTCGTCGAAGTTTCTTGTATCATTGGGAGCTGCTACTTCCGGTCGAAAAGGGGGCTGGATTTTCTTCATTAGTAGACTTTCCCAATCTAGTTTTCGGAAAAACTGGTGCCGCTGAAGAATAATGATTGATTTTTGAGATAAAAGATTAAGCATACCATGACATCTTCTGCATCATTTTCTGATGCTCCCAGGCGTCTATCTGGGTTTCTTCGGAGCAAGCGTCTCATTAATGAGATTGCCTCGACGGAAAGCATTCTCGGATATCTGACTTCTTCATTGACAATTGAATCGAAGACTTCCTCTTCGGTGTCACCAGGGAACGGACTTTCGCCGACCAACATTTCGTAGATTAAGACTCCTAGACCCCACCAATCTACTGCGCGTGTATATTCAGGATCTGTTAGGACCTTAATGAACAATCAAGACAACATCCACAGCAGTTATTCAATACCTCTGGAGCCAAAAACTCTGGAGTACCACAGAAAGTTCCAGTTTTCTGTCCATATCCCATATTCTCTTTGCAGAGACCGAAATCAGCAATCATGCAGTAGCCATCTCGATCAAGAAGTAAATTATCTAATTTGAGATCACGGTAAACAATATCGTGGTCGTGAAGAAACTTCAGCCCTAGCGTAACACATCCAGAGTAGAACCTAAACCCCAAAGTTAGCAAAAGACTTTCGTTTCATCGAGTTACATAGATCGCGGCTCGGTAAAGATGTCCTGGTGGATGTGCATCATCAAATCTCCTCCGCAGGCATATTCCATGACAAAACAGACCTACAAGCTACGTAAGAAATGACCTGATAGAATTAACAAACGTGTTCAGGGGTTTGGAAACAAGCGAAAAGCTTTATCAGGAATGGATGGTTGCCTCTGTTGGCGCATTCGAATATTCTTCGCTCGCAGAGGATTGAGTCGAATTCTTGGCGATGGATAACATCCTGCTTCTTCAATGCTTTAATCGCAAAGAAACTGCCAGATTGTTTATGCTGAGCGAGCATGACTTTGCCGAAGTGGCCTCTCCCAAGAACTGCGTGACATTTAAAATCGTTGATCGATATATTCTCATCTGGAATTGTAGGTCTTTTAAGGCTTCGTGTTGAAAGTTGTCTTGGAGTTGGTTGCGGTTGTTGGTGCTTCTTGGAGTGCATTTGTTGACTATACATATTTTCTTGGACTTGGAAACTCGGAGGCACAGCGTGCTTAGGTGTGTTTTTGGACGGTTTGGGCGGCACTTTGCCTGGTGCATGCCAGGATACATTTGGAACGTTGACTTGTGATGGATGCTTGAGGACGATAAAAAAGATAAATTCGTTGTTGGTTTTAATTAGGTATTTTTATCGCTCTCCTGAGGCGGAATCGAATGGTGATAGTATTGTGATGGGTGCATAGGAGCGTTGTTCGTTGAATGATGAGATGGTTGCTGATGAGACGAGTGATGTTGACGCGGCACGGGCTGCGGTGCTTGAGACTGGATAAAGGTTTTAAACTGTGTCATTCCGGTACTAAGTACCTTAGAAATTGACACTTGCGACATTTTTTGTTCAACTGAAGGATCAAGAGCACGTCGATAAGAATCGCGATGCGCTTTCTCCGCTGAGCGAGGACGTCCGTTCTGGGATTCCTCAAGAGTCAATAAATAAAGAGAATTAATGGTTCGACGCTACCTGCTTGCGCTGAGATTGCTGATGTTTCGCCATCTCAGCCATGAGCGCTGCATTTGATGCAAGCTGTTTTGAACTAAATAAAAAAATGTTAGTCGAATTAAAATATGACAATTAAGTGAGCGTCGTTCTATGAGAAAGCGTTTGTGGAAGCGGGTTAATAGAGATTATGAATTCAAATAATCAAGCCACTTGATTCAAGTGCATGTGAAATTGATTGAGCAGCTACCTCGATGGGACTTTATCGCCAATTTTATCAAGCTTTTTTTGGAGCTCATCGGAAAGGCTATCTTTCGACTGAGATTTTAGAGCATCCGCGTTATCCTCCATCGCAACACTAGTAAATATTAAAAAGCCACCAGTTCATACTCTCAAATAAAAATGTTCAAACCAATATACAAACGAAATCCAAGCGAGAAATAAAACATAATTTAAAATTTCAGGTTTTCTTTATGACTGTTAGTAACGTCACTCAAAGTAAAAAGGTTATCGTTGATATCAAGAAAATGAAACCACAAAGATGAAAATAATGACTAAACCTGTCTGAGAGGCCGATTCCGCTTAAATCTGCGACACCATTGTACAATTTAGGGGCTTTTAAAATCATGAACAAAAATATTAGCTTCATTTTCATGTAAAGCCCATTACCCGCATGGGACGATAGCAAACATCATCATTTAGCGAGTCAGAAAAGAGGGTTTAAATATGTTACATTCATTTTTAAGAAGGTAAAAGGATAACCCCAGTAACTGTGGAAGACGAGTTCTCGTTTTTAACAAGAAATGATCGCCATTGAGAGCTATAAAGGAGTTCTATTTTGCATTTTACCGAAATTACCTTTTATGCGAGTTCGCAGAAGTCGCAGTGATAGGGGCCACAGGGGGCGACTCGGGGGGCTGTTGTTCTGCGCGAAAATGTTTCTTCGGTGAAGTCGGGCTATCACTAGCGGGACTAAAAAGAACTTCCTAAAGAGAGTAAACAGAGCAGCGACTTACACTTCAACTCGTTTCATCAGCCGACTCCAGGCAGCTACATTCATATTCATTTCACCGGCAGTTGGCCCTTTCTGTCGGAATATTTTCTTCTGCCTGAATTCCACTTTCTTAAAAAATTCCCTGGAAGAGAACTACCTTTGTAATTTAGCTTTGCGCTCGACATGATGGTTGGCAAATCTAATCTCGGTGAAGAGGATTCCCTTCGGCTCCAGCTCTAATGTGATTCCGTGCTAAATGAAATGTAAGTAAAACATCCGTTTGGAAATTTATATAAATGGAGGTAACTTGTAAGTGTGAACCTGGCTTTCCAATACCTGAGAGCTATGTCGTACTAGAAATATAAAGAAATTGAATTAAAAAGAACGCATACTTGCTGTTGATCGATATAATCTTCTAGTCGCAAGAACTTTACAGCAGCCATCGCACGATAGTCTCGCCAATAAACCGAAATTTCGAGCTCTCGACTCCTTTAATCAGTTTTAACGGAGTTCTTTTTAGTAAGTTACCTTTCGAGAGGTATGGAAAAGCGCACATCCCAGCATTGCTGAGAGGCAACTTTCCAGCCCGTGTTTCCGACTTCTGCATTATCTAATCTCAGTACGGCACAAACTTCGTTAGATGGTTTTCTCGGGTCTCGTTTTTTGTCTTTTTTGTTTTTGTCTTTTGACTGGGGAAGCGGCGGCGGGTCCGCAGCGGTACGATCTGGAACATGCTCGAGGAGGCCTTGAACTCCGACAATGCGCACCTCTAAGTGGCCAACTATGGCATTGGGCTTTTCAAGGAACGTTCTTGGCGTAGTAAGTCTGTCTTGGTGTATCTCTTGCTGGATTTCGGCGTCCCATTGAGTGTATTTTTCCCTGATTTGATCAAGTGCGAGTCTTAGGAGACCAATTTTTTGACCAGACTGAATGAGCTCACGTTCAGCTTGTTTCCAGGCTTCGTCACTTTTGGTTCGCTTCAGCAACTCTATCGCCTGCTTTGAACCGGAAAACATGGCGAACTCTACTCTGTAGTGATGAAGGAGATTGTCGATTCGGTTCCGGGCCTCGAGCTCGTGGCTCTTTCCATGTTTCGAAACTGTGGCTTCTCTCTTTGCTCGCAACACTTCTAGTTGAATCCGCTCGATCTTTCGCCGCGAGTCTTCCAGCATTTGCATGGCTGTTGCGAGCATTTGAGAGTTCTGGCGAGAGTTCTTGTCCTTCTGAATCGTCTCGATCATATTTTCAGCGCCGGCCTTGACTTTCATCTCAATTTTAAGCTGTTTGTCTAGTCCTCTAATTTTTTCTTCTTGGGGATTCACGCTTGAAGAACCGGATGGAGTAGCAACGGTCCGCACTGCTTTAGTCGTCTGGGCTATAAAGTGTGTCTCGAGCATTTGAAGCTCTTCTTGAAGATCTTGAATGATTTGGGTGCTTTTGCGAATCTCGCCATCGATTCTTTTCGTCTCTCCTTTTTCGGATAGCGCTTTTCGCAGATTTTCGAAGCCATTTTTCATCTTCAGCTCTTTCTTGATCTCTTAATTGATAATTAAAATCAGTAGCTACATTGTAAAACCTACCCTTGCGAATGTCCTCTCGCATGGAATCCATCTTGCCCTGGATGGCATTTTGGTTTTCGATAGTCAGCTCGAAGAGGCTATCAATTGAAGGTGGCTCACTTGTGCTCATGATGAGATTGTTTTGTGAAGAGCTTAATTATTCTGCCAGAAAGTCACTCACATAGAATTTCTGAACATAGCTATTAGAAAGTTCTGTCGAAGCAGGAATGAAAATTTACAAGGTTCAAAGACGGAACGAAAGACAAAAATGATAAGCAAGAAGAACAGGAATATCGAGGAGCTAGCTGAAGTAGGCAAGTAAGTACGGGCGTGATAAGTACAGTGATCAAAAATATTTCAGCTGATAAATATATATATATAACCATCTTGCTTCTCTAACTAAAGAAATACATCTCGATAAACGCCACGGAAAAGTGGTTAGGAGAATGCGGACTGAAGCAGTGCAGGGAGGACCCTTGTCAGATCAACGTCTACAATTTCGACCTAATAGACAGGAATTAATATTGGAAACACGGAATGATACTTTTAGTTGTCTAACAAATCGAATTAAAAATGAGTAGTTCGCCATGATAATAAGCGAGCATTTTTCAATAGTTCCTTCTACTGGTGACTATTAGGTAAAACGCTTGGGTTTTGCAAATGTGGTTATTTTCCATTTTTAAAAATGCGTTTTGGAGGCTCTCATTGAAGGTAACACAGTTTACAAAGACACGAAAGAATGATGAGGGAATATGGTTACGAAGGTGCAGGTAATTTGATGGAAGATCGAGGAGTTTGTCTTGACTTCGGGGACAACTAAGATGGATGAAGCAAAATAATAGTCCTTTGGTTTGGTTGAAGATGACCGTTAGGAATGGTAGTGGCATAGAGTCTAGTAGGATTGTATAAATCTAAATATTATGAGGCTTTTCTTCTCGGCGAGGTGATTGTGTCGGCGCTCTCGGTTATGACTCGGTCGATAGCGGCCGTTCGAGGTCATAGGACGAAGGGATCTCTGGTTCACGATGCACCACCTGAAGATCGGTCAGAACAATGGAAACGATCAGAACGTCTAATTCTGGAGATCACTTGACTTCGGAGATGGACGACTCGACTTACTCCCGGGCAACTGCTCTGATCAAACGCTAAACTACTTCGGCGCCGCTTTCGCCTCTTCGGTGGCTCGTCGATTGGCTCGCTCTTTGGAATATTCTCGTTTGCGTCTGCTTCGGCGGTTTCTTCATTTACAATTGTACTCTTGCGACCGTCCTTGTTATCTGCTCTCCTTCTCCTATTTCCAGTCATTCTAAGGCTAAAGTTGCCAGAGTTGAACTTAACAGGACTTCTGCGAACTGCCGTATTGCCATTCGAAAATGCTCCTGCTCCAATACTAAAGATATAATAAAATTCGCTTTCATGGTTTGAGCTGACCTTTCGCATGTTCGGCACTCACAGGCGATATTGTCTTCGCCGAAGAATCTCTCACCGTAGTAAATTAAAAGTTCTTCATTTGCTTTGATATCTTCCAGCACCAACACTTGGGCTGAGTGTGGTCCAGTCGGCACAATCTTGCAGTTGGGCCTGCAGTCTATAACCAGTTCTAAAATGGAATAGGCTTTACTGTTTTACCATGGTTGAGAAAGGCTGCTGGTCCAAGCCACAGTTGCTGACCGTTCCTTGACGAAAGCTGAGAAATGATCGGCAACTGTTCTCTAATTGGCAACGTTTGAAAAGTTGCTTTATTTGTGTATTTTGAGGCGCGAAAAGTGTATCTTAGAGTGACGAACACCTCAAGCTTACTTTGCTGGACCTTTGCCTGAATAGAGTAGTCGTTTCTTCCTACAACGATGAGTTCGGCGTATATCTCGGGCGGCAATGGGGCGATGCAACCCTTGAGTTCGCTGATCCACTCTCCCTTTTTACTACAATCATGAATAATTTATAAAATTTAAGTCGTACTTACAAATCGCAAGTCGCATACAGGGCACCTCCACGATAAGTATCACTGGAGTATCGGAGGCATTCCCTGATTGTGTAGCCACTTCTTTTGGATGAAACGGAGACACGTAAGCATACTTTTCGATCGCTCTCTATGTGTCAAATTATCACCCTGTTCCTGTTTGGATCCCACATTTTCAAAAACAAGTAAATGTGATAGCGGAGTCTTTCTTTCTTTTAAGAGTTTACATTATGTTTTTGAAAAAATATTTACTACTGTAGTAACAAATCTTTTAAAATTGGTTCGCAAACTTTTCCTCCTCATCTGAAAAATTGCCGAAATCATCGAAAATCCCTTTGATATTCTTGATCTTTTCATAGGTACTTCGATAGATGTCTGGATCGCAAGAACCGACGTGGCCAACGGTGATTTGGAAATCATGTATAATGCCTCTTATTGTCTGAGCATTCTCCTCTACCGTCTTCTTTCTAATCCATTGAAGATCCATTTTGTGAGTCCTAAACTAACTCTGATGTTACAACTCAAATAACTCCAAGAGCCAACCTCCAATAATGGATCGACGATAATGCTTGTGACGGCATCATCCAAGCTTTACGGGTTCAAATAAATCAACAATTCAAGTATATAACTTGAGAATCAAAACCCGTCCCGAGATAGAGTTCGAGGGTCCCATGCTTTTTCTTGGTAAGACAGTCGCGATTTCGGCATCTAAGCTAATAAATGCAGATTTATTAGAGGAATAGACTAGCCTCGTATTGCTTTCAGGAAATAAAGAAAACAGCGAGACAGGATGGATTTTTTCGAATATTATTTATTAAATAGAATACAAAAGCACTCCGAAAAGGACCAAAGAAGAATTAATGGAGATTAGTAGATCATTAAGATGTTAGAATTAAAGTTTTAGCCACTAGAGTGTCTTTCGGGCGACCACGTTTATACAATCGGCAAATTTCATTTGTGTACCAACAAGTAGAATGATAATTAAAACCATGAAATTCGTCAAACTTTAATGACATTTGTTGGGCAAAACAAAATCAGAGCTGGAACATTTACTCTGCATGAATAAAAGTGTAATTTTAAATATATAATATATATTTGCAGGATATGAATATGAGAGACGATTGAGATAAAGTTTGCATCATCCTTGGGAAGCTATTGATGCGATAATGAACAGTTGCTTTTTGTATATAAGGACGCGAAATATACGGAGCTCACGGAAAATAAGAATATAGAAAAGAATGTCGACTTCGCGAGGAAGCGGGGGAAATATATGAATTGCCAATTATTTGAAATGAATAATTAGACGAAGAAGTTACAGGGGAGTCCGATGATAGGAGCTCGACGGTGGATTTACTGCCAGGAACACTGAATCTTGAGTCAAAGCATCTGAGCCTGCTCACTGCAAGACCAAAGATCCAGTAGTTCGTGTTAAATCTACCAACGAACTCTTCGTAGGCAATCAATAATAGTAAAAAAGATTAAGCTTTTGTTGTGCTGACTGTGCAACTTGTTAAGGTAAACGTTGATTATAAAAAAGGGAACCCATGCTTGAAACTTTGATATGTGGAATTAATGCAAAACCGAAGAAAGACGAAATTAAAATAACTGAAGATTTTTACTCTAGCAGAACACACTAGAGCTAATTCGATTTGAAAGGACAAGTAGACTAAAGAAAATAACGCAAACTGGTTTAGGTAATTTTAACGAGAGTCATAATTTAAAGTCATTGTGGCCGAATCGATAGAAACGCTACTCAACTTTTAGAAGAGAAAAGGATAACAGGAAGGATTCGCCGGAAGAGTGAAGAAGTACCATCTATCTCAGGGAAAAGAGCACAGATTAGCATGACGGTTTGGGTACTGCACATTCAGTAAAGAACAATTTCTTTAAGAAAAATCGGAGTGTCATCAGGAGAGCACAGAGCCAAGGCTTGGACTTTGTTTGTGCGGATGTTAATCTAGTAGACTGAACGGTTGGTTTCGACTTTGATCTTGGGCGAATGGATTCGACTGAGGCTAAAACTCGATTGAGTGGAAAATTTGGAAAAAGGGACTTACAGGCTGCTGAGTGAACATGTTTTGCTGCGTCGCACCGAATGGGTTTTGCTGCTGTTGAAGTTGGGGTTGTCCTATGCTCATATTGTTGAATTGGGAGGTTATCGGCGTGGTCTGAGCAGGATTGGCAAATGGATTCGACGCCGGAGCTCCGAAGGGGTTCCCGCCCATGGGGATTGATGGAACGCTAGATGTGAAGGGATTTGGTGATTGGAATGGATTAGGTTGAGAGATCTGCTGGGTTGGGCTTGTCATAAACGGGTTGGGCTGCGGCTGGCCCCACATATTTCCGGCAGCGGGCTAACAAGTGTAAACTGAAGAAAAAAATGTAAGAGTACCTGGTTAAACTGAGCCATTATGTTCTGATTCTGTTGCTGCTTGGCACTGTGGACAGCCATAAGATTATTCAGAGTGTTCTGACCGGACATGTCCAAGTCAAGAAGGTCCGACGATGCTAGAATTCATTTAGTCATGATGATTGAGACTTTTTGTTCTTGAGCAGTGATGAGCAATTTCGCAAAAAGTTTTGTTGGTAAATGAGGATCATAAGTGATGAGTGTGGTTAAATGAATGGATTTGAAACAAACTCTTTGCTAGTCTTTCGTCCCATGGAATGATGAAATTCCCTTCCGAATCAAGCTCGAACGGATTCGTGCATCGACCATGATGCGTTACCACTTGCCAGGAATTGGTTATTAAATAATCTGAGGGCTAGTGCTCTCCGTTTACTCGTTTTCAGTTTAAACGCAAATATGGGCATTTATTAACCATATTTGGAATAGTCTTGATACTTTTGCGTTGCTTTAGGACTGTCTTGATCGTTAAATTGCACCCATGATTCACCTGGTTTCGCCTCGGCTGGCTTGGCTGTCGTCTGAGCAGGCGCCGGAACTGCTGTTGCTGGAAGTGCCGCGGCTAAATCGAGCTCCAAATAAACTCCTTCGTATGTTATTTATACCTTGAGGTGCAGGGGCCGGCGTACCCATCAGATTCACAGTATTATTTGAAGAAACTGGATGCGATGAGCTCAGTGACTGACTTTGCTTCTAAAAACCATGATAAAGACAAAACGGTCATCTATGGCTAACTTACATTTTTTGAGAACTGCTCATATAGTTTTTTCTCTTGTTCTATCACTCTGTCGCGCTCCGATTGACTGACGGGCGTTGTTGGGGAAACGGTTCCCGACTTTTTGCCTAAAATGATTTTTATAATCTTCAAATGAATTATCATCGCAATAAATGAGATTGTTCAATAAAGGAAAATAACTGTTTCACCTTCTCTTTTGCGTCGTCGTCTCTCTATAAAGATATAATGCCTTCAAAAGTTTCAAACTTACCATCAAGAGATTCATAGTATTCCTTGAGAGCATCTCGTAAACTCGCAGGTGCAGACTTGAAATCAGGCGTGTCCCCTTGGTCAAGACCAATCTAAAGAGGAAATCAGTATCTTCTCGTCTAAGCGGTCGTTTACCTTTTCCGCTACTTTGAAGAACTGCTGTACTTTGTCCATTCGCTCCAAGTAGCGGTCGTAAATGTCCAAGCCTTTTTTACACTGCGCCTTCTTCATTTCAAAATATTTGTCGAGAAGATTAATGATTCCTGCAATTCTGTAAGGACCATATACTCGACGAAAATCTCACCGTCATGATAGCATGCAAATAATCGAACAAGATCTTTGAAGAGAAGAACGAAAGCTCCTTTTATGACTGCATTGGTTAAAACTTCGGCGTTTGCATCAAAGTCGATGAGTGCGCAGAGTTGCTGCTCCAAGACGGGCACGGTCTTCAGCAGCGTTTCAGTATTCATACTAAACAGTCAACAATTTTCCTGCGCGATGTGCGGCAACTCACGTTTTGAAGGACTGGCCATCGTTTGACCTTCTCATTCGTGTGAAGTCATATGCAAGTGATCTGTAGGAAGCGGACTTTTCATTGAGGTATCTTGCGTACCGGCGTACATACGCGCTCATTTCATATCCCTTGGATAATTGTTGAATGGATGTCGCAAAGAGATGTCTAAACCTGGCCATTAGATCTGTCGTTGAAGTCCTGGAGCGAAAAAAGTTGGAGACGTGAGGCACAGCTGTGAAGAAAGCGTTCGTTTCCGTAGATCATCAAGTGTTGGCACGTTACCAAAGCCTAAATCCTCAAAAATGGCAGTCCTACAGAATAGGGGTCACCTTGAAGACTACTACCCAGCTCGAGTTGCGTGTCCTTTCGACGATTTGATTAGCTAGCTCGGGTAAGTTCACATTTGGCGCTCCGGTCAATTGGACAAGGTAGTCGAGATGCTTTTTCTTTGGCCCGCCGACTTCATGTGTCGTAGCCTAGCCACGCGAATTTAGTCCACTTCTTTACGCTTCTAGTGTTACCTTAACTACAGCCTTGTTGACTGTTGAGCCATCGATTACGTGCCTCGCAGCCGCTAGTCGATCTCCCAGAGTTTGTCCGTGTGATGACATCTACTACAAGGTCAATCCGAACCGAAAGCACCCTTTTACCTTAAATAGCTTATTCCTCATTTGCATCGACTTTATACTTAATTTTGGATGACAAATGAGCACATGAAAGTTCTAGAAATGAGTTCGTACTCGACTCTGAATGAGTAGTAGCAGTAGTAAGACTGTTTTAACTATTAAGACGGATATGATCGAAAAGTTTGATTCTCAGAATGCGCCTGCGAGTGGGGGCAGAGTGCAACCCCCAATCAAAAGAATAAAGAGAGCAGCAGCCAAATCGCTGGTCAGGATCAGAGCTTAGATAATATCTAAGAATCGATAAATCGACAAAATATCGACTCAGCGTGCTAGCTCGGTTCCCCGCGCTAACCGGTTCTATTTCCTTTACTCCGCTTTCCTCTATTCAGTTTGGCCAGAAGTTAGCACCGTGGAACTACGTGCGCGAGTACTGGTATCCCGTGGCGAAGGAGAAAAAGCGGTACAGCGGTAAAATCGCACCTTTATGACAAAATGGGACATCGCACGGCACAATGAACGGATCAAGTTCAATTCAAAGTTTTACGACTATGTTTGGCAACTTGTATAAATAACAGTAGCTCCCAGACCTGAAGGAAATGAATAAAAAGGAATACAAACTGCGAGAAGCCAAACCGGCGGAATAAAGAATTCGGACGAAGATCAGCGCCAGTAAGATGAACGAGAAGCGTATAAATTATCTATCATCTTTTATCTAGCAAAAAAGCAGTTTATCTAGTAAAACGAGAATGACATGGCGAAACGTTTAAAGTACTCACTCTGCAAAAATCAGTGGTAAACATGCCGAAAGAAAATAATTAGGTCTCCCATTCAAAATACAATATTTTTGAAAGAATAAAGGTACATTAGTTAACTCTTGAATACGGTTACTATTTTTCTGACTCGAAAAATCTTCGTTCTTCTGTTACGATCTCTTTTTTATTCTACCACTTTCACTGTAAATCGTGCGTTTTTTTACATTTCAAAGCAAAAAAACTCATTTTTTCATGAACAACGAAGATCATCTAAAGGACAATGAGAAGCTCGAAAAGAGGAAGAGGAGTTCATTCAGAAGTTTTTCTTTATTTTTAAAATGAGCTCGGGGCAGGTCCGAGGGAGCCACCAAAAGCGCGTAGGTGCCTACTGGGAAAACCACTTTTCGTTATTTTCTCTTGTCTAGAGTGAAATTTCACACAAACATGAAGAGAAACAGCCAATTACGCTTCTTTCATCCCTAAATAATCGAAATCCTATTCTTTCCGTTACCGAATTCATATTTCGCACTTGTCTAATTGTCAAAAAAAAAAATAACTCCCTCTTGACGTTTATCCAGAATTTTTTTGATTATTGGATGCATCATGCATGTAGACTAATCTTTTATTGTTTCAAGAACGGTGTTTGCGATGAGTTTGAAGAAGAGAGAATTCAAGTGCGCAACCCGCAGCGAGGATGGAAAGCTTGAAAACATCGAAGTCGACGGAAGGAGAGCGCAGAATGAGTGCACTCTTTCAATTGTGAGGTAACATCTTCTGTAGGAAAGATATTTCGGGACAGGCCGAATTCGGCCATCGTAATTTTAAAAGGTTGACTGGAGTGAGTATTTGTGCCTCAGGACAAACAAGACGCCGCAGAAGGAGATCGTCTTGACTGCACGATCGGAGGTATGCCGCAGCGGGAACAAAGTGATCATCGGAGACGCGCAGTTGACGCTGGAATTCGAGAACGAAGATGATGCTAAGCTCTTCCGACAATTTATAGATTTCCGGTTTTCTTTTGGTCCGTCAACAATTCCGGCAATGGTGCATTTAGAGATCAAAGTGGCTGTGTCTTCGATAAACGAACAGAAATTTCCAGCTCCGATCAATACTTCCAGTTCTATGGTTATCTCTCTCAGCAGCAAAACATGATGCAAGACTACATTCGAACAGGCAGAGTTCGAAACCAGACAGAGAAAGTAGCTCTCTGCTTACTTTTACATCAATCAGCAATAGTTGTCTCAAGTTTTAAAAAAGCAGTTAAAGCAATTAAAGGTTTAATGCAAATACTATTGGTATATTTGAGTCAGCGACTCTATGGGAATGATTACCCGCACAAGCAAATTACTGTCATCGAACTCTGCGTAAAGGAACCTACCAGAAGGCGATGGTGCAAAACTTTGTTGACTTCAAAGACAAGGTTTTTGTCCCTCTCGATAGTGCATCATTACTTTTTTATAGATCGTCCTTGATGTCGGAGCTGGCTCGGGTATCCTCTCCTTTTTCGCGATGCAAGCGGGCGCGGAAAAAGTCTATGCGGTCGAGGTACATCAGAGGTAGTTTACTCCTTCAGTTACTTTTTCTAGGCTTCGAGCATGGCAGTGCACACCGAAAAACTGGTCAGCTCGTCGCAATACGCTGGTAGAATTAAAGTAATTGCTTCGAAAATTGAAGAAGTCGAGCTTCCAGAAAAGGTCGATATGATCATCTCAGAGCCAATGGGTTACATGCTTTATAACGAACGAATGCTGGAAACATTCATCCACGCTAGAAAGGTATAACCGTATAAGGGCTACTCTCTCTCCTAAAAATATCTCTTGCCTAGTTCCTCAAAGAAGACGGACTTATGTTTCCATCAATCGGAGATCTTCATGTAGCGCCATTCACGGACGAGGCGTTGTATATGGAGCAGTTTCAAAAGGCAAATTTCTGGTATCAACAAAGTTTTCACGGAGTCGACTTGTCCTCGCTCAGAGATGATGCGGTAGCTGAGTACTTTAAACAGCCCATTGTTGATACTTTTGGTAAGCATTCAATTTCAATCGCTTTTACCGGGACTTTTACTTATAGACGTCAGCATTCTTATGGCAAAATCAGTCAAATACTCTGTCGACTTTAAGAAGGCTTCTGAAGAAGACCTTCATGTGCTCGACATTCCAGTCAAATTTCAAGTGCATACATCAGGTACAATTCATGGGCTTGCCTTTTGGTTCGACGTTGCGTTCTGCGGCTCTTACACGACCGTTTGGTTGTCAACGGCTCCCAATCAGCCACTTACTCATTGGTACCAAGGCCAGGGACACTTTGCTTGATCTTTGAACTTTTGTAATGGTATATCGTGCACGAATGCATCTGTGACCCAATAAAAGTGCGTTGCTTGTTCCGAACTCCACTCTTCGCTAAAGCAGGCGAGTACGTCACAGGCCGTGTTCTGATGAAAGCAAACAAGCGACAAAGCTATGACATAGAAATCGAAGCCTCAATCGAGGAAACTGGCTGCAAAGCAGACAATAGTCTCGATCTCAAAAACCCGTATTTCCGATATAACGGTGCACAGCCTCAGGTAGTAACGGCACGATTGATCGGTATCAGATAGTGTTGTTCAGCCGACGCCTGGCAGCACTACATCACCGTCGAACGAAATGTACAGCGGACTGAATATCGGCCTAGAGAGCTTCTCGAAGTCTCAGGAAACGACGATCTACCAAACAGACTCGCCTACCCCGCAACAGGAAAATGTTAACGACCAGTTAATGACTGCCTTCAATGGATTGTGAGTTAACATCATTAGACCCAGCAAACGCCCTCCGTTTCCGTGTCAAACTTGAAACTTTGAAACTGATATTTTTCTCTCCCACTAGCTTGTGCATGTGTCCTTTCTGAATGCACAAGTTCTTAGACTTATTCTGTTTTCCCTGTATTTGAGATATCTTTAAAGGATAACGAAACCTAGCATTGTAAATCATTTCGATGGAGCTTCTCCCTCGCATCAAAAATAATTCTTCTCGCAGATTCACAAATGCTGATTCTAGCTCTAATCAATTTTTCAACTCACCAGTCCATATATATTTTTTCCTAAGAGAAGACATTATCTCTGATTAAACTATTTATACATTGTAAGAGAGAGCGAGTTGCTCCTCAAACAGGTTAATTAAAGTAGCTCAAAATGACTGCCCAAACTGCCTAGAACAAAGCATCACTTGATGGCTTCTAATGATTTCATTCTCACCTCATCATAGTTGACAGATCTCAACATTGATGCTGTCGGAAGTTCACAATTCTAATTTCTAATGGACATTTCATATTGACCTTTGCCTATGTCCAATTCTTCTTCCCTCAAAACCCAAATTCTCTCCTTTCAGCTACTATTGTGGCCGCTTTTATTTATTTTTGCCCTGACAATGATAAAAATCACCTTCCTTCGCCAGATCTGTTTCTGAGTATTATATATTTTATAAGCCAATATAACAAAACAGTGTGGGTGAATCGCCCGGTGATAAGGGAGCATGTGTGATGTTGCACAACGACAAGGCGTCGAGTGCGGTATTTCAGTGAGACTCTCCTTTAGACAAGAGCAATACACTTGTTTCATCATTGTTTATCATTTTTCAGAGCTCTTTTTCGATTCTTGAGAATGGTTCTGCTTTTAGGGATCTTAGGTTTTTATCGAAGTGGATCTATTTCGGAGTCTTGATTTGATAGAGAAGTTACCGTTTTGATAAATTTAGACTGGGAAATCAAGCATTTTTTCTGAATGAAGCAGCTAAAACTCGATGCCTTTCTCACGAAAAAGATGGAAACGATGTCGACGAACGATCCCGAGTCCACAGAGTCTGAAATATCAGGACCAAGTGGCTCAAACAATACTGTTGATGATGCAGAAAGCGCTGAAATTGCTCGACACGGTCGAACTATCGCTAACCGAAGGGCAACGAGCATTAAAGAGGAACCAAAGCTCGAAGCATTATCTGAAAATGGAAGCGTGACAACCCATGAGATGAACCCTTCCACCTCTGACGTGATCATACTCTCAGACGATGATGAGAGGCCACCCACTCCTCCTCCGCCGCCGAGCCGCCCGGTTTCGCGTCGAAGGGGTCCACTTATGGTCGGTGACAGCATAGACACTATAGAGGAATATGTTGCTGCTCCGTGTGTGATTATTCCTACAGGAAAAGACAAAGAATACAGCATCGAAGCGATTAAAAAACATCACTTCAATGAAAAACACCAGAGAATGGAGTATTTAGTCAAGTGGAAAAACTATCCACCCAGCGAAAATACTTGGGAACCGGAAGAAAATCTAGTTAATTGCGACATACTTCGTGAAGAGTACTTTCGAAAAATCCATAGGGTACGATTAAAATACGAACTTGATTTACAGTAATTTTCTAGAATAAGCTGACACGAGTTAGACAGCACGGGAATGATCGACGCGAAGGATTCGCACGTAACCTCAAATTCGAAAAAATTGTCGGCTTCGTTGAACAATTTGGCGAGTTAGAAGTTTTGATCAAATGGAAAACGCGTTTTGGAAAACCGACCATTTGTGATTATGTGTCGGTTGATGAGGTCTACAGCAAACAACCCTCGATCATTTTCGACTTCATGACTGAGTACATCGATAGCCTCAATGATAACCCGGAAGCAAAAAAGAACAAGAAGCGAGACGATTCCGATGAATCTGAAGATGAAAGTTCAGACGAAGAAACTGAAGAAGAAACTGATGAAGAAGCTGATGAAGAAGCTGATGAAGAATCAGATGACTCGACGGTTGGAGAAGAAGATGCGGAAGAAGAAAAAGAAGATCCTGGTGAAATTATTTCAATTAAAACATTGAAATCGCCAACGATCGCCGGCGTCACTCACATCGAGGATAAGAGCTACTATATCTTCAAGGACGCAAATCATCCAGGATCTCAGCTTATCATTCCCTTGAAGACAGCACACCAGCACTTTCGAAAAGCAGTTTTCCGTTACTTTGAAAAGAACTTAAGCCGGGGCAATTAGATCAATCACAAACTAAAAGGTGGATGAGAGTTCAATTCATGAAATGAAATTTATATTCAGGTCGCGCGCCTTAGAACTGCCACATTTTACACGCCACCATATATTATCTATCTCATCTTCCGGGTGGCGGGCGGCTTCGTTCGCAAAGGCCATTTTGCGAACGGCGTTCGCAAATTACGAACGCAAATTGCGAACGAAGCCGCCCTACACCCCATCTTCCGTACATTTCCCTTACAATGATGAGCATACTTCACTGAAACAAACCTGTCATTTTAATCTGTAGTTGAACTACAGTAGTTCAAGTTTTAGATAAACAGACCTACTTATGATTTGGATCTAGTAAGTCATATTTAGAACGATTGAAAATACGGATCCCTAAAAGTGGCCACGATGCCAAGGCCACGAAAAAAATCAGGTTTTATGGGATTATGCGGGTGTTTTCGGCCAAACTCTCCTGATGAAATAAATATAGGTAAGTTCAAATATACACTGCTGGTCGTAAAACTGTTTATAGTAAAAGAGCCGCTTACCCAACCCACATCAAATCTACAGGAACCTCATCACGCAGCTCATAATGTTATGCCGAGTGAGACTGAAGGTAATGAGTTTTCGAAGGGCTTTAAATAAACCCAATCTAGTTGAGCGACGATTCATGGAAGTCGTTCAGGAGCTTGAGCTCCCTGCAGACAAGCAGGTTCTCATGTACAAAATGCCTATACAGAAGAAATGGCAGATTATAGTTTCAAAGACGAGTGAAACGGAAGCGACTAAAGAAGCACGAGACTTTCCCGAATATTATATCGACAACATCAAGTCTATGTACCAGAAAACGTCGTTTGAATCCGATGATATGGACCAATCCAAATCGGAAGAATACGCACGTCGACTTAGAATATTCGATGGATTAAAGTCAGCGTTACGCACGCAGCCCCTCAGCTTCGTTGACAGGTGCCTTCCACTTCTAAAAGTCTAGATTTCAATGAGCATCGTCTTCTAGGTTCATCGAGATCCATGGACTAAGTCACCTGCTCAATTTTCTAAAAGAAATGGCGAAAGACGTCAAGGAGTCACGCATCCATACATCAGCCATTGCTTGTATAAAAGGTACCCATTCAAGCGCAATAACAGCCTTTTATTCTCTTTTTCTCTTCAGCTTTGATGAATAACCATGCTGGCAGAGCGAACGTTCTCGAGCATCCGGACGCTGTAGATATCATCACGCACTCGCTAAATGTAGAAAATGTCAAGACTAAAATTTCGGTTCTGGACATTCTTGGGCCTGTTTGTCTTATTCCCGGCGGCCACAAAAAAGTTCTTACCGCCCTGACCAAGTTCGCAAACTTCGCTTCCGAACGAACGAGATTCCAGTCGCTGATACTCGACCTCTCACGCTCTATCCGAGAGAACGAGTTCGAGGTCGAGCTTAAGACCTCAATTATGACGTTGGTGAATGCGCTCCTTAAATTTGGCGCGGGTCAAGATACCGTCGAATTTCGTCTTCATCTTCGATACGAGTTCCTTATGCTTGGTATAATTCCTCTGATTACAAAACTTGAGCAATATGAGAATGCCGATTTAAATCTTCATCTGGAGTGGTTCAAATGGCAACGAGATCAAGACGAAGAGCTTCTCCAAGACAAACTAAACGGAGTGACGATCAATAGTAACTCGGCGACGGATATGTGCGAGTCCTTAAGAAAAATCCATGGCTCGACTGTAATCTATCCTCACTTCCTCTCAATAATGCAGCACTTAATTCTTCTGAAAAGCCAGCCCTTCTGGTCGTTGGCGGATGATATTATTCAGCAACTTTCGCTTCAAGCTCCTGATGGTCTCGATCCAGACATCACAGTGATTGAAATGAATGTACAGAAGTGCGCCGATGGACTCAAACTTGAAAAATCTACTCGTTTACTAAAGAAAAAATCCGAAAATCTAACAGAAAAGTGTCGTAGCCTTGAAGCTAGCTTGCAAAAAGAGGGTCAGGAGCTCGACCGTGTTAAAAACGAAAAGACGGAGCTAACGCGTTCAATGCTTCGGTATCAAGAAAGACTCGAAAAAGTTCGTGAAAATGAAAAACAAGTTGAAAATTTCAAACAGCTAGAGCAAGAGAACGAAGCTCTCAAAGAAAAACTCCAAGCACTGTTGCAGTCCGATAAAATAAACCTACCTGATGATGTTAAACTATCCATGAAATCTACCTCCGCAATTGATGATCAGAATCTAAGTACAGCTTCTATTTCTCCGCCTCCTCCTCCTCCCCCTCCAATGGCACCAGGATCGATACAGCAAGCGCCTGCACCTCCTGCACCGCCAAGTATGGCAAATGTTCTCCCTCCACCGCCTCCGCCACCAGGAATCGCAGCACCGCTCGGTCCTGGTGGGCCTCCCCCTCCTCCTCCGCCCGGAGGAATGGCTCCTCCCCCTCCTGGTGGATTAGCTCCGCCACCTCCAGGTGGTTTGGCGCCGCCTGCCCCCGTTAAGCAATTTCCGCAGCCTTCAACTTCTGTTAAATCATTCAATTGGGTTAAGCAAACGCAAATAAAAAACACTATTTTCGAAAAGATGGAACCTGAAAAAGCTCTCACGTGTCTGAACCTTGAAAGACTCGAGTCCGCATTTCAAGCGAAGAGCAATCATCGCAGCTCAATCGCTAGAAGTTTCGAAGAAGTTGAGTCCAAAGAGAGTCTCGATCTGAAATTGATTGACGGTCGAAGAAGTCAGAATTGCTCGATTCTGTTATCAAGGCTCAAGCTAGGCGAAAGAGAGGTTCGACAAGCTGTACTCACGAATGACTCTGCTGAGAAGCTGCCAGCTGAGCTGGCAGAACAGCTTCTTAAGTTTGTTCCTACGAAGGAAGAAATTGAGACGCTCAATCAATACGCTGATGATGCTCACAAAATGGCGACCGTTGATCGATTCTTTTTCGAAATGGGCAAAATATTACGATACGAGAATAAGTTGTGCGCAATTGTTTTCCGTAAAAAGTTCACCGAACGACGCTCAAATGCGATTTCGAATGCGGATGCGGTAAAAGAAGCCTGCACTGAGTTGAAGAATTCAAAATCTATTCGCAAGTTGTTTCTCCTTGTTCTTGCGCTTGGAAATTACATGAATAAAGGTAGTCACTTTCTGACTTGTATCAAGGAATAAAATTGTCTAAGGCAACCGTGGCAACTCTCCTGGATTCAAGCTTTCGTCCTTGTCAAAATTACGAGACACCAAGACCACGGATGGTAAAAGTACACTACTGCACTACCTCGTTGAAGAACTTGAAACCTCAAAAAATAAAATATCGCTGGACGATATTGAAGCCGAAACAAAACATTTATCAGATGCTCGTCGGGTCGATCTCAAGGTAGATTTCATTAAAATTTCTAGACTAATTTAGCATTTCTAAGCAACTTCGGAGCGAAGTTAAGCAGCTCAAAGATGGACTCGCGGCGTGTGAATTCGAAATACAGGTAAGTCCAAAACTCATCTGTTGAACTTGGTATTTAACCCATCTCAGCAACTCCAATCTGAGGGTAGCGAAGTTCCATCCACGTTAGAAATTTTCTGTCAAACAGCGAAAACCCACATGGCCGACCTCGAAAACCTTCTTAAATCCACAGATGAGACTTACTCGCAAGCACTTGTCAGCTTTGGTGATAAGCAGCTTGAATCTCACGACTTCTTCTCCATCTTTCAAAACTTCTTTAACGAACTAAAAGAGGCGAAAGCTGAAAACGAGGCTCGCGAAGAACTTGTTAAGGCAAGCTTCAATGTATCCAAATTTATGTCAATCAAAATTCAGGAACGTCTTCGTCAGCAACAAACCCTTTTGAATAGACAGGAAAAGATATCCACAAAAAACTCATTGAAACAGGTAAAGTCGACCAGAAGAGTTTCACTTAGGATTTGGTTGGGAGTGTAAAGTCTTACAATTTTCACGTGTGAACTGCATCTTTGACGCTGACAAGTGTTCAAAGTTGATATCTGTGAAGGAAACCCTTCGCCGTCGTCGAGGTGTTCAATCAGATTTCTTTTTTAGCAGCGTATGTAGCTTACGCAACACAACTTGATTTTTCACCCGTCCACTTACTCTAACCACATACTCATCAATCTTTGCTAGGCTGATTAACTAACTTACTTACTACTTACAAGGTATAACCAGCATGATACCGGTGATCGGGCAGTTACTGTTAGTTTTGATAGGCGGGCACTATTTTTGATTCGCTTCTCGGCTGCATGTTCTGAAGAAAAGAGATTTTGTTCACAATTGACTTGTTGTTTAGGGTAAGACCTTGGACGAAATGGGTGAGATGCTGAAGTCAGGCGAGCTCTTCGACTGCAACCCGAAACGACAGAGACGCGCGAAAAAAAAGTATTAGCTCACTAAAAATTCTTCATCAAAACTCTCACGAATTTCTGCTCAAGTTACCTTTTTAGTTCACACTTTCATTTACCCCAAAGATCCATTTCAACTTAACCTAAACTTGTACATACTCATTTCTCTGTAAATTTCGGTCCCGCGTCTTATCACGCCATTATTTTTACGTTTTTCATCCGTCAGAATATCTCCTGTTCTATTCCCTTTGCCGAAATTCTTCTATTCAACTGTTCTTCTCCTTGTTAGCTGCACTAATTGTGGCCTTTCACTTTTGATTCAAACCACGAATTCCAAATGATAACCAAATATACGAAGCTCCTAATAATTGTCTATCTTCACTACTTACCACGAAAATATGCCTTTCTGCGTACTGATTGTCTTCTTTCTAAAGACTGTAAATTTTACAGTGTAAAATATCCTTTGCACCACCACCATCACTACATGTGGGAAGCTTTTTCCCCAACTTCAACGCCTTTTTATCGCTTTATCAATTCCTAACCATAATTAATCCTTCTAGTATTCGCTTCTAGTCGTGTCCAAGACCTAATAAATTGATTATTGTTGATTGCCCCGGCTTTCGTCAGTGCATCTGAGAGAAAAGATATCAGCAAAAGTCCTAAATTTTTTTACTTCCTTGGCTAAATTCGGCCTTGTTTCCACGGAAACCACATTTTCGGATTCTGAAAAAACATAAAAGTTCTTTGAATTTATGCGAGCCTAAGGCACGGCCTCGAGTAAATTAAGATATTTTTATACTGTGGGCTCAGAGGATTAAACAGTCTGGGAAGAGAGGATTGCTTGCTTGTCTAGCATTTTATACGTTCAACTTATCTCATCGACATTGATTTTACTGCATTGGGTGTGTATATTTTACGGTAGAAATGACGCAAACTGTTTAGATGTCAATCGAGAAAAATCAATAATATCAATTAATACAGAAAATTGTATCTTAATTTGATTTCTTGGTTTCCTAAACGTCGTCATGGGCGCCTTTCTCGCAAAACCGAAGACAGAGAAGAATTGCGATTCGGGAGAAGGAAATGGGATTAAGTATGGCCTCTGCTCGATGCAAGGATGGCGATGGATTCTTTAATAGCTCATTTAATTCTACAATCATAACTGACAATTTATTTGTTCGAAATCTTAAGCTTATTATAAAGAAGCCAATGACAGAGAGTCGACATGGAAGATGCGCACACCTGTGTTGTTTCCCTAGGACCCATGAAATGGTCATTCTTTGCTGTTTTTGACGGACACGCTGGCAAGGTTGCCGCTGAGATTTGCTCTCGCGAGCTTGTCGACAAAATCGAGCAAGTTCTTACCGATGACGTTTTGAAAGTAAGTTGTTTCTCGATTGCTTCTCTTGATTCTCCTCTTTTCATGTAGGGATTGACGGACTCGGGAGAATATAACTGTGAAGCTGTTATTACGCAAATCAAAAAGTCGTTTTTAAACATGGATCAAATTTTGCGAAAGGAGCTCAATACTCAGGGCGACCGATCGGGAACAACTTGCACGGCTATTCTAATTTCGCCAAATCACTTCTTCTTTATTAACTGCGGCGACTCGAGATCGATTCTCGTCCGGGAGGACTCCGTTAAGTTTTCTACAAAGGTACTTATCCTTATTGACTTCGTCATTTTATGTGCTCTAGGATCACAAACCTACAGATGATGATGAGCGGGACCGTATCGTAAGAGCTGGCGGTCTTGTCATGACCCAGAGAATTAATGGTTCTCTTGCGGTGTCGAGAGCGCTCGGTGATTTTGATTACAAGTTTGTATCTCAATTCGCCGGCCTAAGCTAACCGTTCTCTAGAACCGATCAAAATCGCTTGCCAACGGAGCAGTTGGTCTCTCCTGAGCCAGATGTAACATGCCTGAAGCGAGACCCCGAGGATCAATATATTTGGTATTGAAGATCAATCTCCCTTCGCATTGTTAACTTTTTTTAAGTCTTGCATGTGATGGCATTTTTGATGTGTTCTCTAACGAAGACCTTGCTGCATATATTTCTGGACGACTTCGAGTCAAAGACTCACTTGATATGGTCGCAGCAGAAATTGTTGACACTAGTCTGCACAAGGTATTATTTCGTGATTGCTTATTTAGGTAGTTTGTGATTAAGGGTTCTCGAGACAATATGTCCGTTGTGCTTTTGACCCTCCCTGCCTGCCCTGAGATAAATCAAGAGGCCGTCGATCAAGAAAAGAAACTTGATGAGATCCTTGAGGAGGCAGTAAAAGAGACCATCACGGAATGCGTAAGATAATATTTGTCTTTCGATTCTCAAGCGAGCTTTAGCGTGAGAAGAATCCAGACATGTACCTTACCCTCGTTGACATTTTGAACGAAATTCAACGAAAACCATGGACCGCTCAATTCAGCCCTCTACTGCCACCAGGCGGTGGACTTGTGTCTAAATACTCAACGATTGATCAGCTCATCTGCAAGCACGATCCGAGCGGTAGAAATGACGACTAGCTCGGAAAGAATTCATTTCTTTGTTATAAATTCGCCGTTAATATGTCCTCACTCCCGAATGAGTTTCTTTCTTTTAACAACGCTAATTTTTGTGTATATTTCTACGATTCCGCATCCAACTTACAGGATAACGGCAGGTCCAGAATAAAATTACTTTGTCATTCTAACGCATTTGTCTTCCGCTTATTTTTAGCAATATTACATCAAACGCATAAGCTTCTTCTTGCAATAAGGGTGCCACTCTTTTAAGAGTGAGTCAAACCTTCCTTCGCGTCAACTTCATATCATTTTTGTGAAACCATCCCTCACCGGCATTTGCTTTAGACATGTCGGAGCAACGACCTCGAGTCAATTTAAACGGATTATTATTCAAGCAACGCATGGACAATGTAAAGAACGGTGACGGTGACAAGGGCGCTAGCAAAGGTGGCCGGCGCAATAGGTACCGCAAAAAAGATAAAAAAGAAGAAGGCACTGAGTTCAAAAAAGAAAAGGCCAACGCAAATGTTGGAAGCAAGGCTGGAGGCGAAAAGAACCGCTTCCAAAAGAAGCAAGACGGACGTGCGCTCATTGCAAAATCTGATACAACTGCTGGTGTTATCGAAGACCTGAAGAAAAAATTTCCAAGGGATTTCGAAAAGCACAAAATTATTGTGGTGCAGCATACAAACCCGATAAAGACAGCTATCATGCCAGTTATCCAGCGGTTGACAGGCTTTTCAGGCTCTCACTTCGCAGAGGAGCATGATGACAAAGCGAAAGACGGTTCCATGTGGACTCAGTTCCGATGGCGAAGCTACGAGCAAGCAGCCGAAGCAATCACGTACTTGCTCATTTTAATTGATTATCAATATCAACTCAATTTAGGACCATTCGTCTTGCTTCGAGTCATAGAATTGTTGATGGAATTGACATTGTGGACTTTGATAAACATACTCGACTGACGACGAAGCGCGACATCGAGAGGCGCAAAGCTAGACAGGAAAAGACAGGCAAAGAAAAGGCGAAACGAAAAGAAGAACCGGTACGAGCTCCAAGAAAGCTTACTGCCCGGGATATAAGAAGACCACCCCCCTCAGATACCCATAAGACACTTTGTCTCAACTGCATAGAGCATAAGGTGCGTGTATATATTCTTTAGCTAAAAGTATTTTAATTTTAAGGACTTCAATGCCTTACGTAATTTGGCGTTGGCAATCGGAGATCCAGCAGGAGTTAAATCGTTGGGATCCAAAAACCGACAGAATTGTTACACCGGTTTCATCGAGATGAAAACGCAACAAGAAGCCATTGAGCTTTTTGATTACGTCGACGTTATGGAGCCAGACTATACTGTTCTTTGGGCAAAAGAGGATCGCATTGCCAACGAAACGCTGAACGAGAAAAAGCATAGACAGTTTATGCGCAATTGGGGTGACAATACGATTGCGAATGTTATTTCGACAGCTCCAATGACTGAAGAGTCTATGGATGCACTAATTTCCGATATCTTCAGAGAATCTGTGATTAAGAAAGACATAAAAAATGTTCTTGCCAATCAATGCTACTACAACGAACTGACCTTTTGCTCTAAAGATAGTGCCAAAATGTTCTTTCATAGTTCCTATCTATTCCCGACAAAAGGAGTTGAAGTAAAGCCCGCCTTACACCGTGTAAACACACAACCGCACCTATCAAAAGAAGAAGTTGACGCTGGCATTGAGAGCGAAATATACTTCAAGTCACCGCTTCGCATCGCTAATAACTACCAGAATGCATTTGTCACAGATCCCAAAGGCGGGAGCGACCTATTTGTCCAAGGACGAAAAGATCAGAATCGAGCTTTGCCAGGCGACATCGTCGCCTATAAAATTAAGCCCGAAGATACATGGGTCACTCGAAAGTCGGGTGAAATACAGAGAACTGCCGAGGTAACTTTAAGTTCATATGAAGAAAATGCTAAATGTATTTTATAAGATTGTGGCAATTATCGAATCGCGCTCGAACAAGAGATGTGCAGGTGCATTTTCTGACACTGTGCTTTCTGGAGTCAATACTGGAGATTTATTGTTCATTCCAATGGATAGTCGGCTGCCACGATTGTTAGTTGCAAAGTCTTCTCTGGCAGAAGATATGCTCAAGAACATAAAGGACATAATTTCCAGGAAAATTGTGTATGAAGCAAGAATAACAGAATGGGAAGAAGGAGCCCAGAATGCGCGTGCCGTTCTATCAAATGAAATTGGTGATCCAAATGATCTTCAAGTCCAAATGGACGCGATTTTGGTGGATAAGAACATCGATACCCGCGATTGGGAAACATTTGAAGTCGACGACGAGCTTCCAGGAAGCGACTGGAAGATAACTGACGATCAAGTTGCCAAACGCCGTGATTTCCGGAGGGAATGCGTCTTTACGATCGATCCTCAGACGGCTCGCGATCTTGACGACGCGCTTCACATTAAAAAATTAGATGATGACGTCTACGAAGTTGGTGTTCATATTGCAGATGTCGCATTTTTTGTTCCTCCAGGAGGAAAGATCGACAAGGTAGATGTTTTTCTTACGATGAGGTTTGAAACATTATTTACAGATAGCATCACAGCGATGCACTTCTACTTACATGCCAGATCGGGTAGTACCTATGCTTCCACGACGACTATGCGAAGAACTTTGCTCGCTCAATCCTCTTGTCGAACGATACAGTTTTTCAGTTGTTTTCAAACTTGACTCCGAAGGAAATCAGCTCGAAGAGCCCTGGTTCGGTCGCGGTATTATTAAGAGCTGTGTGAAATTCTCCTATGAAAACGCGCAGAACTTCATTGAGAACCCAGATGACGAAGTCATCGACGACAATGAATTTCCCGAGGTCCTCAATGGCTACTGCCTCGAATCAATCAGGAAGTGTGTTCTAATGCTTGACATGCTGGCCAAGAAATTACGAGAGAGAAGAGTCGCCAACGGCTGTATCAGAATCGAACAGCCGAAGATCGGCTTTACTTGGGATGAAGCTACCAAGACTCCCAATGGCTTCTTCCCTTATGTACGAAAAGATTCGCATATGATGATCGAAGACTTCATGCTTTTGGCAAATATCGCCGTAGCTGAAAAAATCGAGCGTCATTATCCTGATTTGGCATTTCTGCGACAACACCCAGCTCCCAACCAGGATAAGATTAGCGAAGTTGTTGAGGAATTGAAGAAACACGGGGTCGAACTCGATGCTTCCTCTTCTCGCGATCTCGCTCGATCTCTTGAGAAAGTAACGTTACAGGTATTATATGACTTTATATGTGCTTTTTTTAAGTATCTTTCAGATGGAAGAACAGAATCCTGGAAGTGCACATGTTTTTCAATCTGCAATTTCCCTCCTTACCGTGAAGACAATGCAACTCGCGAAGTACATCTGCACAGGTGACATTGAAGATCGCTCCGACTACCGCCATTATGCTCTCGCCGTCCCCCTTTACACGCATTTTACATCGCCTATTCGACGATACGCTGACCTTGTCGTCCATCGTCAGGTAGCGCCCGCAATTTAACCTTCCATTGATTATTATAGCTTGCTGCTGCTATTGGTTGGGACGAGTCCTTTGATACTCCGCAAGAGTCACTTACACAGCAGGCCGAGAACTGTAATGAGCGTAAACTGCAAGCCAAGCTTGCTGGAGAAGACGGATCCGATGTTTACCTTTGGTGCATGATTAAGCGGATCACAAAAGACTCTGAATTTATTATGGATGGTGTCGTTACTGGTCTCGTAGAATACGGACTCGAAATATTGCTCCACGAGACCGGATTCACTCTGCGGTACGCGTCAAGTATATTATTCAAAATTATCTCTTTATAGAATTTACTACGGAGAGATGGAGGCTACAAAGTATAATATTTTTGAAAAGAATGGTTACAAAGCTGTGTCTATCACATGGGCGAAGGATAAAAAGTATGCAGTTAAAATTGCGCTCAAATAACTGATGCGATTAAGCCACTTGGTCGATGCTCTGCAACGAATACTCCCAATAAGAGTCGACCTGGTATTTCTCTTGGAACCGCCGAGTACTCCTACTTCACTCCAGTGAGAGTATCTATTGTCGCTGGACGTGACCCTGGGCGTCTTGACGGTAAACTGCTACCTCCAACCCATTTTCTGTCTTAACACTGCTGATGGACCGAGCACTACTTTTGAAGATTGATTTTTTGTTGATTCAATAATTTATGTCCTACGGTCTCGATAACTGTTATCTTACCCGTAAGCATTTTATTTTGCGTTTCTTAAGTTCAATGTAACTTCAAAATGTAAGCCATGTTTTGAAGAACCGGTAAAAAAACGCGCAACGCCCAGATAAATGTCGAATTATTTACCGGTTATTCATGACATGCTCGGCTTCACTCTTCAAGAATTCAACTTATTCTATACTGTCATGACGGATATCATTTATCATCAAAACTCCAATCTCTTTGTTTAATTTTCCGTTATTTTAGAATGGGCGGCAAGGTTCTTCGAAAAAGAGATAGAGAACTTTGTTGGAAGGCACGGGACAACTACTATCGCTGTATGAATGAAGAAGTTAAGCCACATTTGAAGCTTAACGAGTCGAAGAAAATTTTCGAAGCTCCAAATCTTCCCGCTCTCATGAAAAAATGCCAGCCTTTGCAAGACGACTTTACGCAGAAATGTCCAGTTGAATGGCAACAACACTTCGACAAAATATGGAACGCTGAGATCTATAATTTATTGTCCAAATCGGATTCCTGAAACAAATCTTCCTGTACCTAATCTTTTGATTAAATAAATATTCTCTCAAGATCAATTACAGTTATCTATTAAGAACTGCCAAGATGGAGACCTTTGGTATGTTCGATGGAGGGGAGACGGGTGACACTCAAAATAGATCCGGAACCTTCCAGCAGACTGCACAGAGCAGATCTGCAGTAGTAGCAGTTCAGCAACCAAAAGGTGGACCCCGCCCTGCGTCTCAAGCGCTCTACCGAGCTCCTGTGCAACGCGAAAACAACTCCCAAATCGTCCCAAAAGATGTCGGCGACAGGTCTCTCCTAGGCTCCAATGCGTCAGCAAATTTCGAAACATACAATGACACCATCGCGACGCGAGCGCGTGTATGGGCTGGTCAAGGACCTGATCCTTTCTCTCGTTCAGGAAGACTGGATCCCAATAGGCCTATCATGGTGACTGAAGTGAAAGCATTTTTATATGCATTCTGTGGGCGTCAACGCTCCCTGCCCGAGTACGAGACTAAACCAGCAGGAAGAGATAAAAATGGATGGATGAGTTACTTTTCGACAGTGGCGCCGACTGGTTTTCCTTATGTAGGGCAAGGAACAGCCCAAACAAGAAAAGAAGCTCAAACTGCTGCTGCTTGGGACTTCATTGACTACTTATCAAAGCAGGGGATGATTAACGAGATGGATTTGCCTCTTAGAGAAGAAAAATATAAACTCGCTACATGTCAAAATTACAACGTCTTTATCGGTCCGAAGCCAGGAGCCGAGCCCATAACAAGAAAGAAAATAGCAAAAACTATGAACTTCGTTGGCGGAACACGATTAAAAGAAACGCATGGCGAACTTTCCGGTGGATTTGAGGAAGAACGTTTCGCAGATTCCAACGTTGAAAAGAGTAATGGCGTCAAAGTGAAGCAAACAGTTATCGTCGAGCTAAATCCCGAAAACATGGAAGCAAAACCTCAAAAGAAGCAAAGACCTAAGTCACTGTACGAGCAAGCCAAAGAAAACGAAATCGTCGGCTCAGAGTACATTGAGGTTGTTCCAGCTACGGGAAGAAATCCAGCAAAGTTCAGATGTAGACTTTGTGACTGTGATTTCAACGACGAGACTGCCAAAAATACTCATCTAAAAGGAAAAAGGCATAAGCTTACGTACAAGACTAAGGTTGACCCGGAGTATGACGTAAAATGTAATTTCAAGCTTATACAGCAGATGAAACTCAAAATGTGGCAACAAAGAGTCCCCCAAATGATCGCCGAAAAGTGAGTCAAGCTTGATTGCATCTAGTTTTAACTTATTTTTCAGAGAAGAGCGACTAGAAAGAAGAGATCGCGCCGCCGACATGCGTAATCTCAGAGTCTGGGATGGTAAACATATAGAAGTGAAGCTTAAAGAAATTATCCCTCAACTGATGGAAGAAAACGAGATCAAAGACTCAGCTGAAAAGGTTGAGAACTGCGTCAAGCAGGTCTCCGACGAAACAATGCTCGATGGTCAACGAACAATCCGCGGCGTCATGCGCGTCGGACCTGCAGCAAAAGGTAATTGAATGAGGAGAAACCAGCTTAAACTTGTGTCGTTTCATTTAATCCCTGGCTTAACCCTGCGATAGGAATCCTCGTGGCTGGCGAGAAACAAGTCCATCTTGTTATTCAATGTCAAAACCCACCTACAATTGATTTCTTGGACGATGTTGTTGAGAAACTTGGACCAAAGCTTGGTAACGGTTACCGAATAGATATTTTGCAGGAAGAATGCGGGTTTGGAATCACTTCTCCGACGAACGTAGAAATCGTTGTTCGACTAGCCTGTCTGGCGTTGCGTCCAGAAAATAGAAGAGTAATACTGTGTCATGAGTTCAGTATTGTTTTTACAAATTTTTAGGATGACGAGCCTGATCCTGAATTAACGGAAAATCATTTGGATGTTGAACCGCAGCTAGCTGCCCTCTCTGAACTTAGACGAGCGAAATGGTTCCGTGCTCGAGCCAATGCTAACCATAGACCAGGTTAGTAACGTGGACGTGTCATCTCTAACGTTTTCAGTTTTACGAATCATGAGAGATCTCTGCGCGCGTGTAGGAACATGGGCACCACTTTCTGGCTGGCCGCTTGAAGTTATTTGTTGCGACTGCCTGGAAACTCCTTTTGAACGGCCTCCTTTTTCCACTGCTGAAGGATTCCGTCGTGTATTTGAGGTTTCGATTTTGTTAACTGACTCATCGTGAGATCCTTGGTTTAGTGTATTGCTTCTGGTCTGCTGTTGCCTGGGACAAACGGGCTTAAGGATCCTGTTGAAAAGGACTTAACAAATATTCTTGATTGTATTGAGATTCAAGAAGCTGAAGATATCACTGCCTCCGCTCAACACGCGCTCCGACTTATGGCGTATAGGCAAATTTATAAAGTATGCTCTCTTCCGCTGCGACTCTCTTTTTCAATCCACACCCTTTCAGGTTCTCGGAGTCAAGGAACAAACATCAATGCAACCGATGCTCGAGCCAGAGCTAGAATTAGATGTCACAGGGGAGCCTGAACGAAAACGCCTCGCCCTGATGGGCGCGACTGCGAGTGCCCTCGGAATTCAAGCACCACCGGGGGCAAATTAGAAAATTAGTTCAAATCATTGATGTTCTGTACCGTGTTTTTGCTCATCCGTTCACGTGAAAGACGTTCTCTGGGAATTAATGCAAAAATGTTTCTAATGCATCAGTAAAAAATTTTTCAGTTTAGTATGTCAGAAAACCCGAAGATCGTATTTGAATGCGAAGGAACTCGCTATCAGTTCGAAAAAAGAACGGTCGAATTGCCAATAAAAGGAGACCATGTCAAAATCGGGCGCTCTCAAGGTAGAGTCGAATGTTTAAGTATTCGACTTATAATTAGTTATTTATGTATTCAGGGCCTCTAAAGCCGCAGTCAGACAATGCAATATTCGACTGTAGAGTCTTAAGCCGGACCCATGCACAAATCAGATTTCTGAACGAGAAATTTTATTTGAAAGATACTGGAAGCTCCAACGGTACCTTCGTCAACGGGCAAAAGCTGTCAGACTCTGATCACGAAGGTAACTTTTTATTTTGATTAGCAGAGAAAATCTAGGTCTAGGATCGGGGGTGATCGCTGGAGATCCGAAATGAGGCGCTCGAGATGAATCACCAATGAGTGGAGCGCGGGTTGTTTGGATCTCCAGGAGCACGGAGATCGAGGCTCGATCTCTAATTTTTGGAGATCCAAAATATTTTTTTCCATAAATCGCCATTCAAACATTATGTAAAACTGTTTATTTTAAACAAAACAGTCAGTTTAATAATTTCATGGGCAAGTCAAGCCTTTCATTTGAACGGATCGAAGAAATTCTAGGGGTCCATTTGGACATTATCCTCGATCTCCAAACTCTGGATATCCGGTAAACCCGCGCTCCAGCCACTGGTGATTCACCCCGAGCGACTCATTTTAGATCTCAAACGGTCACCGATCCTAGACCTAGGAGAAAATAGTATAAAACATGCCGTGTAAAAGTGTAAAGATATGGATAAATCGTATGGATCATCGTTGCCATCGCAAATTAAGATTGCTCTCGCAGTTTCTTGAAATATTTTTTTTAATTTAGAAAAGAAAATTAGCCCACTTGTTGTCGTCTTGCTTCCTTTTCCGATTCCGTTCGTTTGCGATACTTCTTAACTTTTTTCTCGCCCGTTTCAGCTTGTCGATATGAAGCTTTATGAAAGTGAAAAATTAATTAAAAGAGATGTTTCTTACATCTAGAGCTATTCCCGTGCTTCTTCTCCATTTTCGCGTTGAGATCATCAAGGCACATTTGGAGCATTCTCTCGTGGATGTGTTTCGTCTCCTCTGATGGCGGGGTAAAATAGGCAGTTGCCTGAACTTGCGCCTTCTCAACTCCTGTCACTTTTGCTTTAACCGTGACATCTTCATAGTTGACATCCTTCGGCAAACTCATTTTAGGAACAATCTTTCGACTGAAGCTATTGATTGAGGCTACCGTTAATAAGCCGCTCCAGCTCATAAAAGTGAACGTTTACGATCATGTTTAGTGCTTACTGGTGACGTTCTCCAATTTGGCGTCGACGTGGACAGCAGTCCCCGCGCTCAGACGATTCCTTGTGTCGTTTGTCAAATCAAATGCTACCTGCCTGATGGAACTGAAGTGGAACCAAATCCTGCGGGAGCAGCGGCTCGCGAATCTTACTCAAAGGTAGTATATACGCGCTCAATGCATTATTTATCATTCATCTCAAAGCTCGCCACTTCGTCCAAGAAGTCATCAAGACCGCCTTATAACCATGATGGTAATAGACAGATTAGTTTCCTCTCTTATCACATTTGCAGCTGAAGTAAGACGGATGCATGAGGAGGCAACGCAAAAAGAACTTAATGGGTATCGATCAGATATCGCAAAGTTCCATCCATACGCGGAGGCCGTAGAGAAGAAGTTGTTAAAGTTAGAGGTTCGACGAAGATCCCTTTCTAGAACATGTTTTGATAGCTTTTGATAGGGCATTTTGTCAGACATCACAGAAGTTCAGGCGCAACAACGCGACGAAAAGCTTGAAGAGGATACACTCCTCTGCAAAATTGAGTGTTTGGAAAATATGCTGCAGGTTAATTTTTGCTTTTGACGTCACTCGTAACCACTACTAAAAGGGTGATAATGTATCTACTCTCCAAGAGAGTCACCGCAGAGTATGCCAGGAGAAAAGCGACCTCGAACAGCTTTCAAAAAACGTCGTCCGAAAATCATACCAAGAAAAGCTCGCTGCGCAGGCTGAAGTTGACCAACAAAAGGTTAGACATTCGATATTAAATAAAACCCTTTGAACAAGCAATTAAGATAACAATCAAAAAGATGGAAAATGAAAGTCAGCGGAAGGATTCGGTCATAAAAGACCTTAAAAAACAACTGAAGAACTTCGCGCTCGGTAGAGTCATTTATTAATATAAAAGTAAACAAAGGGTTATTCATAGACTCAACTGGGAAAGCTCTTGATGTTCTCAGAGAAGCCGTCGCGGAGAAAAACCTCGGGCCAGAAGAATTGGAGGCAAGAATTATTAGTATCTATTGTAGTGCTGTTTCTTATTTAATCTTAAGGTCTTCCAGACACTGTCTGAAATCGTCTTCCCAGATGCCTTCCAGGAACCAAATGAATCCCTGAATAACTTTATGAACGAAGAGCTTAGAATTTTCGAATCAGAAAAGAAGCTTAGAAACGAGGAAAAAGCTGCGCTTGTCCTTCAGTTGAAAGAAAAAGAAGAGATGCTTCAGTTTAAGAATAACGAAGTAGAAACAGTTGCTCAGGTTTGATTCACCTGCGATTGCGTTTTAACTTACACTGGTTAGGAGCGCGCAGACCTCGTCAAAAGACTTGGAGAGCTACAGACAGAGCAAAAAGAGATGAACGCAGCAATACTTGCCGATGTGGAAGAAAAGAAAGATTTAGCGCTCTTAGAATGCCAGAAGAAACAAAACTTAATTTATGTTTGTCGCTCTAACATAATAACCTTGCTCAATTATGTTTAGGCGCTGATGGCAGCTCTCCTTGCGATGTTCATGTTCATTGTCTTCAAATATTGATGTAAAAAGCAATAACACAATTCCTTCACGAACTGAATTTTTAATATCATTCTCGCATTCCTTCTAGTTCTTCACATCCACACTGTTCAAGTTGAGACTTCCGACCTCTTCATTCAACTGCCAAATCCGTTTTCCACGTTGAGACCTTTTCTGACGACTATTTTTAGACTCTTAGACATGTCGAACTCGATTCAAAAGCCGAACCGCTTTGCCGGTTACTATATGAAGCGGCGGAAGTGGCCGTTAAAAGGATACCACCGTCGATTTATCGTACTCGATGATGGCTGGCTCAAATATGGAAAAAACGAGGAGATGAGACGGGCGCATGGTGCGCTTGATCTAGGAGATGCAGCAATTATAAAGGACAAAAAGGAAGAAATTCATATTGGTGAGTTATTTTTTAGTCTGGACTGATTCTCACATCTCGATAAGATACAAATATGGGATCCCCAATTCACTTGAAACCTGTCAGGGGGGCCGATCCCAACACTATGGTTGTTATATACGACGCTCTAAGAACGCACAAACACTACAGAAGACAATCAATCACGAACTTGCAGGCTCGAAACAGAGAGCAGACTTCTCCGTGGGGAAATGTTATCACCGATGGTGGCACCCAAACTAGCGATACCAATCTTCTTCCTCTCGACGTTGACGCTTTTACGTCAGGTCGGCGCTCTTCTTTGGACGAGTTCTCGACGACTAGGTTAGACGCAAATGTTTAAGTGTATATCTCACATGCATCCCTAGAGAAAAGTTTAATCATATCGAGAACAAACTTCAAGACATGGAAAACCTCATTGTTCAACTAACCAGCCACCGCGCAGAAATCGAAGAAGCTCTACATTCCAACGTATCACCTAAAAAATCCAGATTTCGGCCATCGATCAAACGAGGAAAGCGGGAATCCTCGAAAACCTCCAGCTCCTCACAACAAACACTTGACGGTACGGGGATATGACTTTTTAACTTCATTAAATTTTAGTGCCCCATCTTCAGGAGTCCAAGCTAACGCAAAGTGGTTTGTGTTTTTTTAATTAAAACCATTGATTGGATTTTCATGTTTTCCATGTGTGTGAAACTTGGTTTCACATATTCGCTCTTTTTCATTTTATTTTTTTCTTATTATTTCTTCTAGCATCAGCTCTCAGCATCAGCGAAGACACCGACCTCGGCGGCTCTCAAACCTTGTCCAGAAGCCAACCAGATCTATCAGGCATAACGACTGCTTATTTGGTGAGTTGTAGCTTTAGGATATAAATCGTCTACTCGCCACTGTCTATCGCTGTCTCAGTGAAATAGACGTGCTTTGGATAAGAGTAAAAATTACTGACTGATGTTCTATCGCAGTTAAAGCGGAAGAGTTCGATACCAGCAAACGTATACTCCTGTCGGGGTCGTTTCCTCACACGTTTGATACGTTATAGGAAGGTTAAGATGCATCTAGCTTTTTATAGCTGTTGTCACTAATCAAATTACTGTTGTGAGCAGTACGCGTTACTAAGGTAGCTGTTTCATTATTTACAAACTCGTACTTATGTTCATATTTACTCCCAATTGTTTTTTATCCTTGCTGACAGATCATTTCACTGAGACGCATATGAGCTGGTCAACGTTGCTCAAATGTTTTCATGGGAATTGATATGTTTGATGAAAACAATCCTTTGACTGATTTTCTTTATCGCATGCAGATTCGGACTCGCTTCTCGTAAAGCTAATCTTTTGATTCAGGGACCAGACGGAGTTATAAGCAAAATTAGTGACATTCAAAGACAATTCGAAGACACTGCGAGAAAATGCATAACTGATGCACGGCACTTGAAAGGCCAGCTCGTTGACATGTCGAATAGTACGTCAACAAAAAGAAATTCGTTGGAGCAGCACTCAGGCCATCAAACAATCTTTGAGCTCATGCGTGAGAATGATGGTTAGTCGAAAATACCCATTATTGGGAATCAAGCTTTATTTTAGAGCTTCGAATGAAGCTACAGCAAATCAGGGCGTTTGCATCGGTTGGATCTAATTCGCTCCCTACTGTGCGTTCTTCTACGAGTATACTTTCTCGACCACTGAAGCGCGAGACAAGCCATCTTGGAGAGTCTATTGATGGATCAACGACGGACCTGTTTTATGATGCTGAATCAGACTTGGAGATGAGTGGAGACAGCAGCGATGACAACAGCTCTCTTCATGAAATCAATGAAGGCGACTCAGATACCGACGAAGAGATGCCTGCGTTGAATGACACGCGAAAAACAGAAACGCCAGTCGGGCCAGCTGGATTCAACAGACGATCGCGCCTTCCTGTACCAATGCCTGATGGAATGCAAGTGTCACTCTGGAATGTTCTGCGTAAGAACATGGGAAAGGATCTTACCAAAGTTGCAATGCCCGTTTCATTCAATGAACCATTATCGGCTCTTCAAAAAATGGCTGAAGATCTTGAGTACTCATTCCTGCTCGACCAAGCAGTTGCGACAAATGATATCGAGAGAATGGTCAATGTTGCGACATTCGCCCTTTCGTGTTATGGCGCAGAAGCAACGAGACAAGGACGAAAACCATTTAATCCTGTACTCGGCGAAACTTACGAGCTTGTGCGAGACGATTTGGGCTGGAAGTTTTGCTCAGAGCAAGTATCCCATCATCCTCCCATCGGCTGCGGTCATGCTACTGGCCAGGGTTGGACCTACTGGCTGGATTTCCGTTTTAAAAACAAGTTCTGGGGGAAATCGATTGAAATCACACCGCTTGGAAAATGCTATCTTCAATTTGACGATGGATCAACTTATTCCTGGACCAAAGTAACATCCTGTATTCACAACATCATAAGTGGTCAGAAATACGTCGAAAAAACTGGCGACTGTGTCGTAGAAGGTCCAAATGGCCTCTATGCGAATTTCACCTTCCAGAAAGTGGGTTGGATGTCGAGCAGCCGAAACGAAGTCGTTGGAGAGATTCGGAAGAAAGATGGAACAAAAGTCCGAAGTTTGTTCGGCAAGTGGGACGAAGGTTTGTACGTTGGAGAGAAGCGCGAAACGGTGAGTGATCGTATTAAGTGAATATATTTAACAGAACAAACTCTAGGCGAAGAACGTCTGGCGCCAGCATGCATTATCCGCCGACAATGAACGATATTACGGGTTTACGAAATTTGCTATTGAACTGAATGAAATCCTCCCTCAACATGAGTCTAGCCTTCCTCATACTGATAGCAGATGGCGACCTGATCAACAGCTTCTTGAGCAAGGTAAAAATTCATCTAAAATTCAGACGAGTAGAAATCTCTTAGGTCGCATACAAGACGCAGAAGATGAGAAAAAGCGTGTCGAAGATATTCAACGAAAAGCTGCACGAAGGCGTGAGAGCTTAGGCGTTAAATATGAACCAAGATTCTTCAAGGCGGATGAAAATGGGGAATACCGTTTTTCAGGAAATTCCTACTGGCAAGCACGTGATAATCAAGATTTCTGGAAAAAGGTCGATCCGCTTTGGTAATCAGTATCAATATTTCTTCAATCGTCAAGTTCAACGCATTCCCTTCAGGATTTTACTCTTCTATTAACTAATCGATATGAATATACTGCACTTAACCCCATTTTGCATTATGCCTTCTTGATTCGAATACAAATAAATAACTTATTTAATACAGAAAATTTGTCGAATTTGTGTTGTTGTATCCTCTGTTGCGTAAACGAAAGGTTATAAATATTGGTATCTTTCCATTCAGACACTAGATGTCGAAGCCGGAACTGGCTGTCACTGGCTATGCATGCAAAATATTCAATGATAAAAATGCTGCAGCCGAAATTGAGACATCAGCTCATCTTCACCCGCACGAGTTAGATTTGCTTACAACAATAGATAGGTAACTAATGAAGGCAATGTTCGCAATGCTAAATCACGCATAGATTTGATGTTCGCGGGCTCCTCGAGTTCCCTATCGACTACAAACGCGCGACAGAGAAAAGGATCGGTGATGTGATCTCTGTCGACGAGACTGAAATGTTGCGCAGGGACCGGTTCGGAGATCTTGATTCACAGCTCGATCACGGTACGTGCCCATTCGAAAAATACATTTCATTGCGCCAAGATAAAGACGTTTCTGTCGAGAACTTCTCCCCTTTTCTCAGTTACTTGCTTTACCCTGCGTAAAAAGATCAGATTCCAGCGATTGAACAAGTTGATCCAGTCTAGGTAATCGCATGCTTCATATTTTAGTTTCAATGCGAGGAGCGTCAACGTCGAACGAAGTAGCACCACATTAGTATTTTCCTGAGTAAGAACTGAATAAAATTTTAGATGACGAGTACCGCAAGCTTCAGGAGGAGATCGCAGCTGAAGACAAGGAAGAGAGCCAAAAATCTAATGGAAAATATGGATCAGTTGGATTCTCATATGACGAATCCGACACAAACAATCACTTTTTAAAACCAGAAGAACCCCAGGGAAAAGCCTTTGTTGTGCCGGAGGGTCTGACTTTGCCAAAGAATATGCCGCTGCCAAAGCTTGAAACTGAGCATGAGATCATTCTCAGAACTGCTAAGTTTCTTGCGAATCAAAATAATCAGATGGAAATCTTGCTGAAAGCGAAACAGTCTGGAAACGAAAAATTCAACTTTCTTAATTTTGGGCATGTCTTAAATGATTACTACAAGCACATCAAGAAGTTAATCTCGACTGGCGAGTTCGATCCCGATGCTAGCAAAACTCCACCAAGTGACTCAGAATCTGACTCTGGAAGTGATTGCGAGGGAGGTTTATTGGCTTTGAATGCCGCAGCGGCCCGAGCAGCATCAAAGAAGAAGAACCCGGTGCAAGAAACGTCGGAGCGTTCAGCATCTCCTGTAGTAAACACAGTCGACGAAAATCATCCTCTCTTCAAAATTATTTCACAGCGAAAAGAAGCCGAGCGCCGAGCTCAAATTGAAAGAGAAGCACGGGCGAAGCAAAAAGAGATCCAGAATAAGTTCAAGAGTATGGTTCAAGTTCCTCCTCCGAATATTTGCCAAACTGTTGAATGGGTTACGAAGGAATTGGTAGCCACTGATCCCGCCGAGCGAGAAGAAAAAGAGACACGACTTCGAATGCAAGTCACACTTGAGTTCATGAATAAGGGTCACCCTTTCTATAACTATTTCCAAACAATGCTCCAGAGAGCTTTACTCACAGCATCGAGGCCTCCGTCGCCGCCAGTATCCATCGACACATCCTCGAAAGAAAACAACGACTCTAAGGAAAGCGATCATCAGCCTATTAAATTCGAAATCAAAACTGCGCCTACAATGGAAGCTAGGGTCGAAGCAGCGAGAAAAAAAGCTGAAGGTGAATGACTTTTTCACCCGATTTATCTTAGCATTTTTAGAAGTTGCAAAAATTATTGTGAGCAGAGAAATGGAGAAGATCTCGAAAAAAGAAAATGGAGAAGTTCCGGTACAAAAACCCCCTTCTCCCCTCCTTTTCAGAAAATAATTCTTTAAGATTGATAAAAGCAACGGAGATAACAGCAATAGTAATACCGTCGATGGCGCAAAAAACGAGAGTGCTCAGAGTCTTATGCCAAAAAGACGCCGAAGAAGTCGAAGCAGAAGCTCAAGCCGTCATAAAAAGAGAAGTCGAAGTAGATCGGCATCAAGAGGAAAACGTCGAAGGAGGTCCCGCTCTCGAAGTAGATCCTATGGGCGCTCGCATAGAAGTCGCTCTCGTTCAAGGTGATTATTCTCACTTTTCTCGCTCACCACAAAAATAGATCACGCGATCGTCATCGAAGACGCCGGCGAAAAGAATATCGAGATCTGAGAAGCAGAAGTCGAAGCCGCTCAACAAGCAATTGATATTAATTCTGTTTCTCTTGTACCCAATAGCTAACAGCAGCAGTTCGGGCAGTACGTGGTTTCACACCTTTTTTTACTTGCCTACGTGCTCAGAACGGTGAAAATTTGTAATTATTCCAGGGAAGGCTTTTTCAACATTCCATACTTATCTTGAGTTCTTTTAGAGAGGCTTTATGATGTTGAAGTCCGTTGCTTCCAGAGTGATCGCTCGAAACGCTTGCTATGGTGGACGACACACTGTCACTCTTATTCCTGGCGACGGAATCGGTCCTGAAATGTGTGGGGAAGTTACTAAAACTATTGAAATGCTCGGAGCTCCCGTCGACTTCGAGACTGTTCAACTTGAAGGGTAAGTCCTGAAACACAATTTCAATCAATTTGTCTTTTTAGCACCTCTGAACTTACCGAGGCGATGAACTCTATTACCAGAAACAAAGTCTGCATGAAGGGAAACGTCGTTACTCAGTGGCCAGTCTACACTTCTCGAAACCTTCAGCTTCGGTTTGCTTCGACAACTCTTTCAAAGCAATGTAGATTAATTCTAGACACGACTTGGACTTGTACGCCAACGTCGTCCACGCTCAGTCATTCTCATCTCTCGACACCCGACACAAGAACCTCGATGTTGTCTGCATCCGAGAGAATACCGAAGGAGAGTACTCTGCTATGTCTCACGAAGCCATTCCCGGCCTTGTCGAGTCCCTGAAGGTTTGCACCCGAACTGCTACTGAGCGAATTGCCCGCTTCGCTTTCAACTACGCCGATCAGTGGGGCCGAAAGAAGGTCACATGCGTACACAAAGGTACCCGACCTCACTCTCTCGATAGACTCATTGATCAAATTCTAGCTAACATCATGAAGAAGGGAGATGGTCTTTTCCGAAAAGTCTGCGCTGAAGTCGCTCTCGAATACCCTCACATTGAGTACGACGATATCATTGTTGATAACTGCACGATGCAGCTCGTCTCTCGACCAGAACAGTTTGACGTTATGGTCATGCCCAACTTGTACGGAAACATTATTTCCAACAGTGAGTCCAAATAGTACCAATAGATCCGAACGTAAGTTAAGTGCTCTGCGGTCTTGTTGGCGGCCCTGGCTTGGTTAGCGGAGGAAACTTCAACGATACCAACGGAATGGCTGTCTTCGAGCAAGCTACCCGAAACGCCGGACGAAAGATTGCAGGAAAGAACATGGCGAACCCCACTGCTTACTTGGTCGCTACTTCCAAGGTATTTCCTGCGTTTGGTATTATAGTCAAGACAAATGTGAACACAAGGCCCGCCGAAAGTCCCTTTGGCCTAACAATAGAATTTATTCGGTCTCAGGGTATAACACTGAATAGGACTGTAATTACGCACATGGAGCGAATGCACATTTTCGAACATACTGGTTGTAATGAACTGGTTGGCAGGGGAGGGTTTTTTTGGGAATTAATTAATAAATTGCAACGGGTTTCCAATGTGCCTTGGATGGCCGGCTTTTCTAAGACATAGCAAGCTGGTGCTCGGCAGCATAGCGACCGTAGACGTAGTGGTAAAGCTGTCGCTCGACGTCGATCAAGAGCGAGGAAGCGCCGATTCGGAACAGATCAGCCTGGCAAATACGTTAAATTCGGTTATTTTATAATTCATGCATACCTTGACCCATTCATCGCCAAGTTCCTCCTTCATGAGCATCAGCCAGGTGAGCCCTTGTTTAGCATTTCTGATGCCCCCAGCCGGCTTGAAGCCAACCTTGATTCCCGTAGCGGCAAGGTAATCACGGATAGCGCGGACCATGACAAGCCCAACTATAATTTTGTAGAGTTTTTACTTGCATGCTGATGGAGAACGAACCTGGCAGAATTGCGTTGACACCTTCCTTGCCGGTCGAAGTCTTGATAAAGTCACTTCCAGCCTGCATGCAAACCATGGAAGCCTTGTAGACATTTTCCATAGTTCCCAGCTCGCCGACAGCGAGGATAGCTTTCATGTGGGCGGCGCCACAAGCCTCTTTCATGAGTTTGACCTCGTCATAGACGGTTTGCCAGTCGCCTTGGAGCGCCTTGGTTCTGTTGATGACAATGTCAATCTCAGTGGCACCATCGGCGACGGCCATTCTGATCTCCTCAAGTCGCATCTTCAGAGGTGTTTGTCCAGCTGGGAATCCAGTTGCAACGCTTGCAATCTTATAATTCTAATCAAGTGTTAGACAAGGCTCCTTTACCGGGATATGATCAGCATTTATCGCCTTCAAGTATTTCTTCGCGACGGCAACTTGGTTGGGATAAACGCAGATAGCACCAGTCGTGATCTTGAAATTCTCCATGCCGAGTGCTTTCACCAAGTCCGGTCGGATGGGCTTGGCCGCCTTGTGACACAAACGCATAACATTGGCATCGGTATCGTCTCCTGCAAGAGTCGTCAGATCGATCACAGAGCAGCAACGCATGAGCCAAGCCGCTTGATAAGCTTTCTTGACACATCTTTTTGTACCCAAAGTAGCAGCGCGTCGTTTCAATGCTTATCTTGTTGATCAATTCAGTTCCTCCAATTTTCTTTCAAAGATTGGGTAATTGTTCGGCTACTTGTAAATGTTTCATATAACACTTAGACAAATCACTAATAATATGAGTAGAAATGATAAATTTGATCAACGACCTGGAAGGTCAATTCGAACGTTTTCAAAGGCCTGTGGATCGAATGGGACGCCATTGTTAACGTGTGCCATTGTGGGATAATAGTGGTTACTCTGAAGGAGATTTTCTCAGCGCAGTGGGACGCTGGACTTGGGGGCGGCGGCTGGGCTTGACGCGGCGCTCGTTGCGCCTCCGCCGGTGCTAAAGCGGGCGCGATGAGCGAGAGCGCGTAGGCGAGGCCACCCACGCACGCTGCGCGCTCTGGTTCGCTCACATGAGCAACACGCAGAAATTATTGGGCCTGGCGGGCCTCTAGTATTCTCAAAGAAATGCAGAAACTCACTTTTTACAATCAACGCTTTCGAGAAATTTCTAATTTTATGAAATAGATGCTTCGACATCTCGGTTTGACCGACGACGCTCAGCGACTCCGTGACGCTGTCGTCGACGTTGTTAATGTCGACGGTATCCGTACGACCGACATCGGCGGCAACCACAAGACCTCAGACTTCATGGCCGCTCTCGAAAAGAGAATCGTCGTTTAAAAGAGAATCACTAGTGAAGAAGATATGAACATTTTATTTATTCTCGCCTTGCGCGACCTACATGTCTCCTGTCTGCAACCTGTATGAAGGAACTTTTTCATATTTTCCTTAATTAACAACCTTTTTTCTTAGACTTGAAATCGACTTGAAACCATGCGTGCCAAGTGGCGAAAGAAGCGTGTCCGACGACTGAAGCGAAAGCGAAGAAAGGTAATGAAAATTGTCTTTGATAGACTCTCCTTTCCCTCAGCCGTTTGTGATTTCCACCGGCCTTTGGCATCACTCAAATATTCTGATTTGTATTTGTGGTGACTAACATTAGTGAGAGCCGGACATGAAACCCGACTGAAGCAGTCTTGATTGCTCGATGAATCCCTTGGAATGGAAGAATCCTCCTTAGGGTCTTCAAAAGTCTCGAAAGAAAGGGATTCGGAGGAGCACCAAAATCTGCGGGCCGGGGGCTTCCCAAAAGCGTCTCGGCCTTGGTGTTTGTATGGTGCGAGTTAACTGGAGGCCAATAACTTTTTTTTTCAATAAAGGCACGTTGGTATTATTTTTTTAACGTTTTCACGCGTTAATTAGGAATATATTTTCAGTGACTGTATATATTCGTAGGGACTGTCAGGATTTTTATTAAATGCACGACATTTACACGACTCTGTGGTTAACTGTGCTCTTTTAGATGCGAGCTCGATCCAAGTAAATCAGCTCCACGCCGACGGATGCCGTTTTCTCCAGAAGGTAAAAACGAAGCGACAAGAACGAAGTTTTCTTTGCCTCTTTTCGCCAAGCTGCTACTTTTTGGAATAAATGAATCCGTTGATGAATCGACTGTTTGAAGAAGGCTCTTTCTCCGAGGAGTCTTCTTGGTTCTTAGTTTGTTAACGAAGCAGAAAAGTAATTAGAATGTTAATAGAATGACTATGAAATGAAAAATTACGCTCACTATTTATTTGCGAGAGGCAGACCAAGGCAGGGTCCTTTTACTTGTAGCTTCTCTGTTTCCCGCGTATATCATTTGAAACATAGAGGTAGAAATATTCTGGACTTTTATTTCGTAGGGATCCATAAAAGAGCATCGGAGGTACTAAGGACGCACCTTTCTGCATGTCTCGAGCGAAATCAGTCTTGGACTAGTTATTTTGTCAAATACTCGGAAATTTACGACGACGACTTCGGAAAATCTAATTACGATATTCTCATTGGAGACTCGAATTTTCAAATATTACGGACTGGGTGCTGGCCATATGTCAAATATCACTGCACAAAGACACCAGCATCAGACCTTCGCATTTCTGACAGGGTTATTCGCATAAGCAAAACATTAGCTTTTCCTGCTTGCTGGGCTTACGGTATCGCAGCTTTCTTTTTGTTGCGTTCACCAAATCACGGCTTCGTCCGATATCAATTTGAAGGCAGGACTGTTTCTTTGTTCTTTCTTTTGGACGAAGCTAAAAGACAACAAGAGTTTTTTTCTTTATGCTTTCAAAAAGCGAGTTAAGAATGTCGGCGATAAAAATAGCTGCTGCACCTTGGCGGCGGCTATCTGCAACGGCCCCAGTGCAAAGAGTAACGAACTTCTCGGGAGATCAGCTTTGGTGGGCCATTCGTAAACCCGGTCTTGATCAAAATAAAAACGCAGGAGGTAAATAACACGATGTGTTTCCTTACGAATATGTCGATCCTTCCAGGTCGGCGTACAATTCTTGTCCAGCGAGTCGATTTCTGGGAAGAATCAAAATACGGCCACGGCGGCTCTGCTAAACTCTGGCCTGGACTTTCCGGAGATCACGACTCGTTCAAAGACGGTCTTGCAGAAGAAGGAACTCCGCTTGACCGAGAGTTGCCTGTTCACGTTCAAGAAAAAGAAAACCAGGATCAAGTGTTTTCCTCCGTCGACGATTTCCTTACATGGACGCGGGAGTACTGGCTGAATAGACTTAATAGAGGATATACGGGGAAATCTATTGCCGGCATGTATATTCCAACTATCAGTCCAAAAGACGCCCAACGGGAATTCGGGAGAAGTAATCAAATTGTTGCTGGCCTATTGCTAATGTTCTGTCTTAAGCTTTTGATGATTTCAAAGTATCAATTCTTGAAATTGGCCGGGTTGGCTACATGGCCCCAAAAGCAGGACGAATCTACAGTGCCCGAGCAACAGTTGTAGTTGGAAATGGAAAAGGAATCTACGGTGTGGCTACTGCCCAGGAGCCACTGGCCACTAGTGCCATTATCTCCGCCCGGCGACAAGCCTTCAAAAATTTACAATGTAAGATTCACCGTTAAAAATTCTGTATATATTACAAGTTAATAGCTATCCATTTGCACGAGGGCAGGACGATATCAAATGAAGTCTTCTTCAATTTCCATAAAACATACATGTCCCTGAGACCGCAGCCGAAAGGCTTCGGTATCCGCGCGAATAGATATCTCAAGCGAATTCTGGATGTTGCTGGTATTAAGGACATTCACTGCCATGTGAAAGGCTCAAGAGCTGTACTTCCCCAAATCAACTGTCTCTTGCGTGCTCTTCATGAAGTCGAAAGTCCTTACGTACGTTCGGCACTTCATTATACTCAGTATTTATTTTTCATTTCGTAGGAGCAAGCCTCTAGGACTGGCTACAGCGTTGTCAAAATCGATCCTCAGAAATGTGACAAACCCGAAATCATTGCTTCGCCAAATAAAGATTGGATATGAAAATCATTTGAACATCGAGTTTTCTTGAATTTTCGAGTCTTGTATATCCTACGCAGTTAGACTCAATGTTCGGGAATACGAGGCGCCGGTCAATTCATACAAAGAATATTTTAATCAGAAGCCGATCATTGACTTTTTCAATGTAATTAAATTCATATTAATTACTTTTCTAGTTATCAATTTTAGTATAGCACACTTGGCGTGCATAGACAAGAACATATGTCCAACAAATTCCATAATCGGGTATTTCCTGGACGCGTTGGAAGTCATATGAGCGGTTTTATGAGTTACAAGCAAATGCCGAGAAGTGTGTCGGAGATTTCTGATGCCGAGCTTCCGGAGCAGTTTGTAGGCGAGAAGGATGGCGACTTCATCTTCAAAACGAATCTAAGCCAAGAAATTAGTAGACAAGAATCTATTCATGCTTCTGCACCGAAATTTAATTTGACTTGTCGTAAGGGCTTCGCCAGCCTTTAACTCTTTCGAAATTCGAATAGCTTCTTTTGGTAATTTTTGAAAATTCAGAATGGATGATCCAGAGATTGATAATGGAGAGGTCGATAATACAGTTGGGAAAAATTTAAGCTTGGCAACTGTGGAAAAATCGACGGACAGACGATTTGAGCTTTTGGATAGTGTGATTGAGAGTCTCGAAAAGAACGAAAATGCAGTATTAGATAATTTCCAGGTACAGAGATTAGTTTTTCATTGATACTAACGAGAGGCTAGGATGAAATTTGCAATTTTACGAAGGACAAAAACCCCTCTATCCGCGCCCAAGTTATCAGGTTTATCACGTTATCGGTAAAAAGAGAAAAGGATACGATTGTAGCGCTATTACCTCCGTTGAATTCTGTAAGTTAATTTCAATGCCAGTTAATTATTTATTGAACGAATTTAAGCTTTTGAGTGATGAGTGCTCGAACGTACTTTGTCGCACATTAATCTCGCTGTGCTACACGCTACCAGTTTTTGCTGAAGGAAACGCGCAAATGCCGATTCGTGAGACTCTTGTCGAGATCTACGAAACGGTAGTCCGTCTTTTGGAGGACGAAAATGATGGGATTCGAACTCAAGCTGTGCGCGTCGTCGAGGAATTCATTCTTTTCAAGAACGAATCCTTCAGTATCTTCGAGAACGCAATTCTCACATTGACGGACTTCCTGAAGAAAGCGACGATTTCAAACGGGAATCTGGTGGCCGGTCTAACAAGTCTGTCTAGAATTGCAAAAACAGAGAGGGACTACGTTAGCACCGTCATAAGCGAGTTTGAAAATTTGAATGCATCACTCCCTCCGACACTGTCAATCACACAAGTGAAGAATGTTCGAAAACTGATTCGAATCCAGCTCATAGATATTATGAAATCGTGTCCTGAGACAAGAGAGCACGAAGCTATAATTTCAACGCTTCTTCGTGACCTCGGAATGGGAAAGGCTGAAGTCGATAGGACTATGAAGCTAATGGCTGTCGAGGACAAGCGAAAAGCAACAGATATCTCAATGGATGATGATAGGGATCCCGATGAAGAAGTTGGAAGGCCGGTGAAACGAAATCGGGCGGATCAAGAAAGAGAGCAAATAGAAGAACTAGCCGACGAGTTATATGATGGATTATGTGAGATTAATGATGTCGTGGATTTAGTCATTCTATCTTTACCGGGAGTTCCTGAAAAGATGCAACCATCATTTTCTTCGACATACACGCCGATAACTTCAGCAGGAAGTTCTAAACAGAAAATGTCCATTGCCCGTCTCCTTGCGAACCAGATTACACAAGCAGGACTCGGTAAACGGCAAGACCTGCTTCACTCGCCAAAAAAACGTAGGAAGAATTCAGATGATAGCGAACCGACAAAGAGAAAGTTCGAGCCTATGGAAGCCCTTAAAGCAATGGACAAAGATCTTGAAAGTTCGACAGGAGCTGGTCGAAACGAGTTCCACCTCGCAAACGTAACCAAAAGCCTTGCCCCAGACGTCAAGTTTCGAATGGTCAAAATGGCTGTGGACGACATGATCAAGGGCCTAGTTCATTCTAATCACAATTCTACTCTTCATGGCATGCTAACTAAGATTGTCGCTCACTTCAGCGGCTCATTCCCTGCACTTGTCGCAGACGTCATCGAACACAATCCAAACCCGAGAAATCGTATCGAGATGTCACTTAGTTGGCTTTACGCAGAATACGAAAAATATTTGGACATTCGCGAGTCGCCCAGTGATATGCAAGCTCTTGAAAACTACAACGTTTGTATTGGAATATTGTTGACTGTATTGAAGGAGAAAAACGCGGACGCCATGTTTGAACAGCTTCTATTCCAAGCTCCTATATTAACCGAAGACACATTTGGAATTCTTATGCAGTTTTGTGTTGACGGGGAGTGCCCAGATTCGTCCGAAGCACTTATATCGACTCTCGGAAAATTGGCGATCCAACGTCCTGTAAACCGAATGCGATTGCTCGAGCTTCTTTTACAGCTATCAACGCATTGGTTTAGGCAAATACGAATCCGAGCCCTCGACCAGATTGTGACTATTTATGAGCGCTTTCAGGACAATCCGGATGTCATCCAACACATTACCATTCATATTGTGAAGTCTCTCGGTTACCTTATCTACGAAGAGCCGCCACAGACCCTCTCTGATATTGCTTCTGACTGGACAGAAGATCTGATTGAACGCTGTCTAGATCTGGCAGTCGCTGTTTTGCCATTTGATGCTGATGTTCTACTAAACTTGTGTGATATATTCAATAGAACTCCTTCAATGGCAGTCAAGCGAGTCATAAGCAGAGCAATGGAGGCTCCTGTCCGCCGTATTCCGCAGACAAATGTTACCTTCCTAGATCTTGTGAAGAATATGCCGGAAGGCTGTGAATCCTTGGTAACAAGAATTCTGCACATAGTCACCAAAAATGGTATAGTCGAGCAAGAGCTTATTGATGCGATCAAACACGTCATGTCAACAGATCGACGGGATATTCGTTTCATGATTCCCATTCTGCAAGTGCTTCCAAAAGAGTACGAAATTTTGAATTAGCGTCTTTTACTTAAACGTTTCTATAGGGAAGTGGTTGAGGCATTACCAGAACTTATTCAGCTCCAGAAAAAGGTTGTCAAAGACGTGTTTTTCCGCTTATTGGGTGTTCACAGCGGGTCTCAGAGTACAGAAGGTGACCAGCATGTTGCACCCTTGACAGCTACCGAGCTTTTGGTTGAGCTGCATTTGATGGAAGGCGCCAGCGTTAAACCTGCGATCGAAGCAATTGCTTTGTGTCTTGCAGAAAAAACTGTTTTTACCCTCGAAGGTATTTTAGCAGGTGGTATGCGGTTATCTGTGTACCATACCCGTGAATCTCCTATTTTAGTTTCATGGGTACCGGTACCAGTGAATTCTAAATTTCAGTTTCGTGGGTATCAGGTACTTGCGAACGCTCTCTTTAAGTTTCGTGTGTACCAGGTCCCCGCGAATGCTATTTTCAAAGCTCGTGGGTACCGAAGTCTTACGAACGCTTTTCAACTTTCATGAGACTCAGAAGATAGAAGACAATGGAAAAGCGCTCATCTTAAAATTAATGATAAGCTCCAACTTATGATTGGCTTAATTTATGGTTAGTGTTAGGGGGCACTGGGCAAAATGACAGAACAAACTTACCCGAGGGGGATAGGCTAGGGTTAGTTAGGGTTACTGAAGGTAACCCTAAGTAACCCTAGACTAGACCCCGGCATCTTAGGCCCGAAGGGGCGGAGCCCCGAGGTAAGGGGCTTAGATTAAGATAGAAAGGTTGACCTTAATAGGTTGATATTGACTGAGTCAAAACAAGGTCTAGAAAAATTTCTACCAACCGCAGCTGCTTGGTACCCAGGAAACTTAATAACAATGTTCGCGGGTCATGGGTACCCATGAAAGTCAAAACTAATGTTCGTGGGGACCTGGTACACGCGAACGTTGAGAAAAGCCTTCACGGGTACCTGGTACACATGAAACTAAAGTTGAGCATTCACGGGTCCGTGGTACCCACGAAACAAAAAAGAGCATTCACGGGTACAGGTACACAGATAACCGCGTACAACCTTTTAGCAGCTTCAATCTGTTTTTAAATTAAGTTTAGTTTTTGCGTCGGCAATTTCAAGAATGTTGAAGTTTGATCAACTGCCAGCTTTGTTCATGAGAACTGTTTTACAAGCGCTGATTACGCATCCAAGGATCACTTCTGAGATTATCGTAACTCTGAAGACCCTGATTACCAGGTCAGACATGAAAACTTCAAGAAACTAAAATTTGAATAGAGAGATATGGCACACGCAGAAGCTCTGGGATGGATTTGTTATCTGCTGCCAGAAATTAAAAACGCGATGTGTGATGGTCTTATTGAAACTGCCAAAAGAACCTTTAGATAAAATTCTCGCCACTGCCCCTGACCTAAAAGCATATTTAGGAATGGTTAAGATGAAAGATTCACTTTAAAAATTAGAAAATTTCATTGAAATAACCATGAACAGTAAGCTATCTTGAGTCGATAGAGCCAACTGAACGATTGAAAATTGGAGAGCATTTCCAAAATATCTCAATGATCACTGCTTCTTGAATCTTGTTTTTTTGCTGTTTCCAAGCTCACTTTTCATCTTCATTCTCTTTTACTCGAATTCAAGGAAAAAACTAACACACAAAGTTCCAATAATAGGCAATTCAGAGCATGTCCGATAATAAAGAAAACGTCACTGTCCTCTCGTCTAACATCCAAGTATCAAAGGAAACTACAAACGGTGAATTGGTTTTTATTACTATATTTTAACAATTTTTAGACGTAGTTCCGCAGAAGAAAGAAAGCGGCGAATCTGAGCCTTCTTTCCAAGATAAACCCTTCCAATTAGCTGATAAGGATATTCTGAGTTCGGAAGCTATCGATGTTTCCAAACAAATCGAAACGTTGTACCGCGAGGGAAGGCGTTCAGCATTGCTCAACAAACACTCAGCGGCTTTAAAGCCGTTGTCAGAGGTAATTAGAACATACGGTCCATGATCAGATGCATCATGCATCCAAAAATTTAGTGTTGCGAGTTGATCGCCAAGCATCGGGGTGAGACGCACTGGACGATGGCCGAGTGTGGTTACTGGTATGGCAACGCGTTGATGAAGGTTTCACTGGCTAACAGGTAAATAATTAGCTGCTGCAGCGATTGAATTAATTCATTTCAGTGATATTTTCGGCAGTAAAATTCCGGCGGAAAAGCCAGAAAATGATGAAGATGATGAAGAGGACGCTCCCGCTCTCGGATCAATTAACGAAGAGCCTGCGAATTCGGATCAACCGGGGCCCTCCAGTGCTGAGCCAGGACCATCATCTTCTAACGATATCGATGGAACGAGTGATGAAATCTCTGACCATGAGCTGGCTTATGAATGGCTCGAGTTAGCACGAACTATCTTCGCTAAACATGAAACCGAGAAAAGTCAGCTTCGACTTTGCGACTGTTTGAGAGATCTATCGGAACTCAAAATGGAAGATGAGAAATTCCAGGAATCAGTCGAAGATACAAAAACTTTAATCGAGATTCAAAAGAAGTTTCTCGATCCGAATGGCCGAGATGTTGCTGCTTCGTACTATGAAGTAAAAATCTTAATTTGAAATAACTTATCATCGAGTTTTTGTAGCTCGGAGTTATGGAAGAAATGCTCCAAATGCCTCAAGATGCACTTAAATCATTCAAAGAGGCGCATACTCGACTGGCGGATCTTGAAGCCAGTGCCAAGGTAAGATTTAAGCGATACTAAAAAAATATCGTCTCTTTAGAAAAAGCTAGCGGATGCTAGTGCTGAAGAAGCTGGCAAGCTGATGAAGGAGCACAGCGATCTGAAAGAGATCCTTCCCGAGGTAGCAGCAAGAATCGATGGTTGCCAACTCGCAATCAAAGAGTACGACGAAGTTAAGTCGACTCTGAAGGATATGATGAAGCAGACACTCACCGGTAAATTCTAATGACTATCAAGGAGTTTTCAAAGAAATAATTTTAGGTGCTCCAATCACTAGCATTCCCACTGTAACGGGTCTCAGTGCTGCTCAGCCAGCGCAGTCTTCAGTTAATCAACTCACGGTTTGACGGTTTCGATGAAGAATAAATATAAAGTTTTAATCAGGCCAAACGAAAAATAAAGACGGATACAAAGAGTGAAGCCGATCAGCCAGCAAAGAAAGCGAAAGAAACTGAACAATAGAAATTACGTCCATTGCCATCCTCCATTTAGCATCCATTTATTCACTGCCATTTTTAGAAAACAGTGTGAATTTAAAAGAGATTCTAGCCTTGTTTACTTTAGCATGCGTCCGACTGAAGCATTCAATCCTCTTTCCGATGATATTGACATTGCGGAAAGTGCAGGAATCGTTGATATTCTACAGAAAGTTGACAGTGAAATAATAAAGGGATGGGAAGGATATCCGTAGGCTTACCGGACTAAATTTCGGCCCATATTTCTAGCTTAGTTGGGGGTCATATGATACAGTGTTAGAAAGCCCAGAAGCTGGGCTTTCATTTGGGCACCATATCAAGGGGTTTGGGTCATGCCCGGAAGGCAAATTATGGGACCGGAAGTTCCAAATTCGGGACAAGAACTCTTCTACCGGTTTTTACGATGGGTTTGGGATATCTAGAGCTTTGAAAAATAGGTGAAATTGAAAGCTTAGACTCTGAGCTTTCTTAAGAGCCAATAAAATTTTGCCGCCCGTTGGTCTAGCGCCCTCTAGTGGTCCTAGAAGTTGACCTCGGCAGTGTTTTAGTCTGGAAACTTCAGGTTTCGACTCAAAATTTTCGAATTCTAAACCTACTTATTTCGTTTCTTAAATAACTGTAAACAATAAATAAGTCTAAGAAAATTGAATCACGGTTGATCTTGGAGGTTTTTTCTCATTTTTTCCGAGTTTCTGTCGAAAAATACCCATATTTCCAAGTTCTCTGGCCACTAGAGGGCGTTCAACCCAAGGGCGGCAAGATTTTAATGGCTCTAAAGAAAGCTCAGAGTCTACACTTTCTATTCATCTACTTTCCATTGCTCTTGAGATCTCAAACCCATCGAAAATATCGATCGAAGAGTTCTAGTGCCTATTTGGGAACTTCCGGTTCCAAAATTTGGCTTTCAGGCATGACCCAGACCCCTTGATTTTGGGCTCAAATGAAAGCCCAGCTTTTGAGAATTCCAAATATGTGTCAAAGGACCCCCCGACTACCCTAGAAAAATTGGCCGAATTTCAGTCCGGTAAGCCTAGATATCCGTCTTTCGAATCGACGGAAGTGATTCAAAGTCTGACCGCGATGGCAGATACTTTCGCACAGACCATTCTTCGCGGCGATAAAATCGTTCTTGGAGGTTGTGGGACGTCTGGTCGACTAGCTTTCTTTTGTACCAGAATATTCAATAGAATTTTGCGACGTGAGTTTTCGAAAGAAGCAAGCTTTGAATATTTAATGGCTGGTGGTGATGCTGCTTTGTTTGTTTCGCAGGAGCTCGCCGAAGATCAGCCTGCGCTAGGTGCTTCTGACCTGGATAGAGTTTTGCAAAGTCACAAAAATATAAGCCGGATGGCAAGGCTGTTTTCGTTGGTATTACCTGTGGTCTCTCTGCACCGTACGTCAAAGGGCAGCTAGAGAAAGCTTTGAACGAAGATGACTACTCGGCAGTTATATTAATTGGGCATAATCCTGTCGAACTTGCCCGGCCAAACTTCAGGGACATTGCGCGCAGGGTGAAAGAATCCAAAAAGGGAATCGTCGTTACACCTGTCATGGGCGGCGAAACCATCTCTGGAAGTTCCCGAATGAAAGGCGGTTCCGGTACATTAATTTCGCTCCATTCGGCCTTTCTAGCGTCATTGGCAGCCAATTTTGATAAAATTCCACTCACGGCGAAAGTCGTGGAAGAAATCGTGGGGGCGTTCGGTCAAGCAATCTCTGATCTTTATGGTAAGACCATAATACGATATTTATAACATAATGTTTTGTTTTTATTCATGTTTTTCACAATAAAATTAAGTGAAAAATTCATCGAGTCTCGCGAAATTGATTGACCATTTTGGTAAAAGTCTTAAATTGGATGCTTCCGTCAGGTATTTGGCGGAAGAAGAGTTTGGTGTCCTTGGGCTCATCGATGCGAGCGAGTGTCCACCGACTTACGGATCGCGATTTGACGATGTCAGAGGATTTATTTTTAAAGGCTGGGAAGTTATGGACAATAGAGAGAGTCTCGAATCTTTCACCAAAGACATCGATGAGACTAAAATCTCATTTAATGACTGCAGTGAAAGGACTCAAAGCGACGAAAATCTCCACGTTATTGTGAATGTTTCTGAGAGCGACGAATTCTCCAAAGCTACAGAGGCATTAAGACGAAAGATATCTGGCGAATGTCTTACAATCCAAGACGAATCAACGCCAGAAGATAACCCGATGAGCTTATCGTTCCTACTATTCGATCAAGCTGACGCCCAACTGACTGAGCTGAAAGGAGCTTCGTCGTTAATCAAGTTGCTTCAGCAATTCGTTCGTCATCTCCAGTTCAAGCTCATTTTGAATGCGGGCTCTACTGGTGGCCATGTTCTCAAAGGAATAGTCATCTAAAACTTTTGCTTCCAAGTTTAACTTGATCGTTAGATAACCATACCAAGGCAAGGTCGCTAAGAACCGAATGATTGATGTCAAAGTTTCCAACTCGAAGTTGCTCGAGCGAGGAACTGGGATCGTTGAAACATTCGCCAGTTGCAAAAAAGATGTGGCGTTCACCTCGATCTTGAAAGTAATCCACGATACGGACAACCTTCCTGGATCGGATAGAATAATCTAGTAATTTCAAACAGTAAATTTTACTTTCTCTATCTTGTGCAAGATGCGCTTTTGAACGAGGAAGAGACTTTCCACATCAAAAAGGCCACTCCTATGAACAATATTATACCACGAGCGATTCTTTTGTCTTCAAACAGGTGTCTAAAACTGGCTATTCGATTTGTATTTAAAATATTCCAGAGCTCAAACAGTTGCAGAAGCCACAAGAATTCTGAAAGAGAATCCAGTTATCAGAAACGCGATTCTCAAAGACTAACTATTTTGATGAACAGCCCTTTAATTCTTCTGATTTATATTCCGCACAGTTGTAGTTCCATTCACTTAGATAATTTCTGTAGCACAGTTCAGGTGATTCATTTTTTAAGTGCAATAATTGCGCTGCCAGCATTCCGACTTTAGCATTGAGTCTATTTTTTCAGAAGTCTAAAATGGTCAGAGAACGTACCTGTCCACGCTGTAAAACTACATCTTACCGAAATCCATCGATGAAGCTGATGGTGAACAACTGTGGGCACTCGTTGTGCGAGTCTTGTGTGAACTTACAGTACGCGCGTGGACAGGCGCCGTGCTATGATTGTGGCGTGAATCTGAAGAGATCCAGCTTCAGAGTTCAGTTGTTTGACGACCCGATGATCGACCGTGAAGTGCACTTGCGGAAGAAAGGCTCGGTCTTTTTTTCATAAAAAATAGATCCCATTCTTTGAAGTGTCCGTAGACGGCCCTATTTAGTTCTGAAAGTGTACAATCGCAGAGCTGAGGAGTTCAGGTGCGCTTTTCAGTGACCTCGCAAAATCTAAGGCGTTCTTTAAGCTCTGAGTTCGACTACAATAACTATCTCGAAGAGATCGAAGATATAATTATAGGGTTAATGGAGAACAAACCATGCGCGCTTGATGCCCTTGAAAAATACAAAAGAGACAACCAAAGCGACATCAAGCGAAACTCGGCAAAACGGCCATGGGCTCGAAGCTTCACTCACCTGAGATGTTTCAAATGAGGAATTAATAACGCCAATCAAGATTAGTTTAGATGCGTGAGCCCAATTAAAGGACAAAGAGCGTGCGACTGTTAACGAACAGATCAATCTTGAAAAGCGAAACATTGAAGATGCGAAAATGAAATCAGCGATAGTGGAACAAGAGAACAAGTTAAAGAGACTGAGAGAAGAGCAACTCGTAAGTTGTCCTCAGTCATCGTTATTTTTGCATTAGATGACTTTTTAGCTGCTGAAGAAGCTTGAAGCCGGGGAAGACATTTCTTCCATCATCAAATTCAAAGAAAAAATCATTAATCGTGAAGATGTAGTAGAGACGACAGTTTCGTTCACGGCAAACGAAGAAAAGAAAACTGAGTCCTACAAATATGAGCCAATCGTATTTAGTAACGACGGCGTTCCAGTTCCATCATCCGAAGAACTCTTCAAAGCCGGTGAGGACCCATAAAATGCCCCTTTAAGAAATCATCTTGCTGAGTTCGAGATCAGCGTGCTTTATGATCTGATTATTATTGATTAAAGCTTAATTAATTAGGTAGACAGACTGATTGCCTTTAAACGTTTTACGTAAATAAGACGGCCATGACTGTTTTCGAGATTGTGGCCCAATATAATAACTAATTTAGGATACACCGGAGCTATTAGACAACCCTCCGACTCTCATATGGCTTCTGGTTACACCGCTGAACTTGGTCTTCGCCGCGCCCTAACAGATTCTTTTTCATCGCTATTTTGGCGTCCAAAGTTGACTGCCTCTGAGTTCGAGCCAGTCGCTAGCTAGATGAATAACTAATTAGTTTGCCTTTTGCCGCTCTTATCAGACACTGCTTTTCCGCCGACTCTAATGTATTAAAGACGTTCCCCCAGTTCATTTTGAGCGGCGACTATAGTCAAAATAAATCCACCTCGGTAAATGTTGCGTTAATTAATTTGCGCGATTGCGCGCGATGCTAATTTCGTAAAAAAATAACTTATCATTTGGGGAGTAAATATCTCCAAGTTCAAACACTTGACTCGGCCACTCGAGCGCAGAGCCGCTCGGAAAAGCTACAGATGTTTTTTGTGGATTTGTTTGCGACGGTTTAGAAGAAAATGAAGACAAATTGTGAACGCCGTCCCTGAGTCCAACACTTGCTGTCGTTATTCATATTTAGTCCGCGCGCATAATTATTCAATATCTTTTTTTTTTTCATTCAGCAAGCGCCTACGTTGTGATATTGATTAGAGCCCAGCTTTTGCTGTTTCAGATTCAACCTCTATTTTAACCAACTACGGAGAAAACATTTATTGTGGCTCGCTGGGCTCACTGGCGTTTGCCCCAGTCACTCAATTTCGCCCCGCTTTATTTCCCACTCGAGAGAACTCACTTTCCGAACGTAGTAGAATGTCTTATCGAGAGTTGCGGCTACTGACAGAAAACTTGCGAATGCTGGGATACCCTCGAATCGTCTCAATGGACTCCTTCCGCGAATCTAATTTCTCTCTCACTGCTGGTAATTTCGCTAGGATATAAAAATACTTACATATGAATCGAAGATCTTCTCATTTGGCTGACAGAAATATACGAACCACGAGCAATGATTCCGGAAAGTTTGATCTTTTTATTAAGTCGCCAGAGACGTTAAAATTGAGAGAAATAGAAGGAGAAAATGGTCACTCTTGAACAGAAAAAAATTGATACCGAACACGATCGCGTGGCTCTTATCAAATTCGTCGCGAATACTTTTCTCACCAAGCAGGAACGGACGCTAAATTAGATAAGAAAGAGTTTCGCGGTGAGGTGGGGATGAGGTTATTTATTTATTGCTCTCTCTCTAAAGCTAAACTTGAATGTTTACTCTAAATGTGTAGATTTTGTTAATGTAGCATCCAATTCGAAGCACATTCGACTCAATACAAAACGACTGTATCTAGCGGACGGATATGCGGTAAAGGAGTTGCTCAAGTTAATCAGCATTTTGGTCGAAGGTATAATAATCGATCGAGCTCTATTTGCGCGAAGCTTCAGTTCTCATATTACCAGTTGGCGCGCTCGATTCACCTTTTTTGGAGCGCCTAACGATATTTTGAGCTGGCAAGGGCTCTTGAAGAGACACTGGTGCCTCGAGCTGATGTTGATTTGGGTACAAATTCAAGTTACATTTTATAGCGATCCAGACCCCACCAATCGATGGGAATAAGCTTGGCCATTCGCTGGAAGGAACCATTTCCCATGCGACTATAAAAGAGCTCAGGCAAGGAAACAAAAATGCTAAACCCTTTGTGCGAAAAAATGTTGCTTTTGTTTACATGTCTTCTGTAGAGAGCGAGTGGCAAACATGTCCAGATCGGGAGCGAATTTGTACGAAGCACTTAACGCTGAGGTTAGGCACGCGCGGCTCAACACAGTGTGTTTTCCCTAGGGCACGTTTATGCGTTTGTTGGACTTGCCCTTCGACGATCACTTATCTAAAGCCAATAAAATCACGTAGTATGAGCCCCCAACCGTGCCCCAACTACTAGGCAAAATAGAATAAGAAGAATTGAATAGACGTTTTTTATATTGAGGGAGCCAAAGATGCTGAGCCGCGTTTTAGATTGAGAGGAAGCAGACAGCAGATCTTGGCGAAGCACATGGAACTCTCCACTATTGAAAAGGCAGGGTCTCGCTCTAAGGCGGAATTAGACTCAAACCCCTCGTAAAAATGTGAAAAAACTCTAAGCCATTGAATAGTTCAGCTCGTTGCTTGAATTACTTTCTCGGGCATTAAAAAGAGACACTTGTCCACGTGTCAGACATCCTTGTCAAATTATGTGGTTAGTCGCTCAGAGATATTATTAGTTTTGTTGCCGCCTTATGTGCTCGCATTTTTGAGAGATCTTTTAAAGGCGTTGAAAGAAGCGGCTGCTGCAGCGGACAAAGTGTCCGATTCCGCGACCAAGAAAGTCAACTCGGTTACTGGCGACGAGGCAACGGTCCAGGTACTTCCGATTTCGTCAGCTTTTATCAATTCATACTCGGCGCGTTTAATTTCCTCAAAACTGACAGCAGTATTAAGGCGAAGATCGACAAGAAGAAGTCAGAGATCGAGCGAGCTGAAAAGCGTCTCCGACAAATGATGCAATTACGGTAAATATTTACATCAGAAGATTACCCTTGCTATTCGCGCTATCCCAGCCCTGCTTACCAGGATGAACTCGACGAAATCCAAGCCGATCTGAAGATACTTTACGATGAATATGTTGTAAAGGCAGAGGCTCTTCTATTCGCATTAGATGACTTATTGAGTATTTTATGCTTTAATTTATGGCCGAATCAATCGATTGGCAGTTTTCGAAAAGTCCTATCAGCACTTCCGCCATATTATAGAGCCGATATGGTTCACATATAATCAATACACTTTTTATTGCGATGATGATCTCTAATGTGGCTCGTTTCGTCGAGAAAATGAACCAAATAGCCGCCCAAGTAGATTTATTTTAACAAAAACAATTTGCCGCCGTAAAAAACTCGAACAATATCGAAAAATATTTTTCTTTCTTCGGCGCCGTAAAAAGTTATCACTGTGAGTAGAGTAAAGAGTAGGCTTGTTGAGAGTAGACAACACTCGATGCGTATTCGTATACATATATTGAAAGGTATAAAGTGTATATACACGCCACTGCATGGCATCCTATATGAAGAGATTATAGAATTAAGGCAACATAAATAGCCCGAACGAGTTATCTAATAAAATGAAAGAGCCCTGTTTAGTTCAGAAATGCGGTATATTTAGAGTCGCTGTACGAAGAGCAGAAACTAGCTGAAGAAGCAGAGGTGAACATAGCCATTTTTCTTCGCGCTCGTTTGAGTATTGTTTTTAGGAAGATTCCGGCCTAATCAATACAGAAATTAGCAGCCATGAGCCTATTGGATTAGAAGCTCCGGGATTAGAGGTAACATTTACTGAACAAAAAGAAAATCAAGATTTGTTACTTTCGTCAGCACTTTGACGAAGAAGACGAAATCAGCATCGAGAGCGACGACGACATTTTGCTTGACAAAAAGTTCTATCGAAACAAGAGCTCAGAAAACGACGAAGACGAAAGTAACGATGATGATGAAGATGACGACGACGAGGATATGTCTGGCGACGACGACGACTCAATCAGCGACCATATGATGGAGCCTGGCTTCGACGACGACGATTTTTAAGCGCGTGCACTTCTCCCAACTCCTTTTTACCTTTTTTATGATTGAATATTTTTGCAGCCTTTTTAATATATTTTTCTACATTCCCTCTTTTCCAAATCACGCTATGAACTTTGTTTTTAGACTGGGAAGGCTATACCGACCCGTTCCTTTGCCTTTGCCGAATGGCATAAGCAACCAGATTCAATCATCGAGCATCGTCCAAGATCTAAACACAATGTGTTCATTCCTTCAAAAATTTGTCTGTTGCGCTTCTGACGAGAGCCTAGTCGCTGCTGAAATCAACAAACAAATTGAAAGGGAAATAAAGAAGCAAAAGCGTGATGCTAGGTGAGTCCTTTCAAAGTCACGCCTGCTCTCACCTTCGCGTTTCAGAAAAGAGCTGAAGCTTCTTTTGCTCGGAACAGGAGAGTCAGGGAAAAGTACTTTCATCAAGCAAATGAAGATCATCCATGGCAATGGGTTTTCTGACGATGACAAGAAACACGGACTCAAGTACATTTACCAAAATATCTTCACATCCGTACAGAACCTTATCAAAGCAATGCATCAGGTTCGGCCATTTTTAGGCTTTTGGATTCTAGTCTTTCTTTCAGCTTCAAATTGAGTACGAGCGCGCTGAAAATATCGAGGCGGCGCGATTGCTGTCAGAAATAAGTGTTCGAGATATCAGCACCCACTCTGCATTCTATCCTTCTGTGAACAGAATCGGCACCTTTTGGCGGGACAACGGAGTCCGAGCTTGCTACGAGAGACGCCGAGAATTTCAATTATCAGACTCAACTCACTTCTTCCTTTCCCAACTCGATAGAATATCGAGGATAGATTACTTTCCTACAGACGAAGACATGCTTCGTGTTCGAGTTCCCACAACTGGAATTCTAGAGTACCCATTTGCCACGGCTCTAAATTATCTAGTCCTTCCATATTTTTCTCTGGTAGTTTTACTAGAACAATTTATGAGCCGTTAATCAGACCTCGAATCGATCGTTTTTCGAATGGTCGACGTTGGAGGGCAGAAGTCTGAACGTCGCAAATGGATTCATTGCTTCGAGCACGTGACTTCAATCATGTTCCTTGTTGCCTTGTCAGAGTATGACCAAGTGCTAGCAGAAGACAGCAGTCAAAATAGAATGGAAGAATCCAAGACCCTATTTCAACATATTGTAGAATACCCATATTTTCAACAGGCGCGGTCTCACACCATTGCAACTCATCAACCTTATCTAGTATCGAGTTGAGACCCTAATCAGTCGTCGGTTATTTTATTCCTTAACAAGAAGGACCTTTTGGAGGAAAAATCCAGACGAGTCACCTGCGGACATACTTTCCTCAGTACCCCGGCAACGACCGCGACCCCACGGCTGCTCGCGAGTTCATTCTGGGGATGTTTGTCGAGCTTAATCCAGACCCCGAGAAAATCATCTATTCCCACTTTACTTGTGCTACCGACACCGAGAATATCCGCTTTGTTTTCGCTGCGGTGAAAGATACGATCCTGCAAGCGAATCTTAGGGAATATAATCTTGTCTAACAAAGAAGCCTGAAAACTACGCGTTTATCAAAATTCCTTGCTAAGGAACACCTATCCATCTTAAATGAACCATTCGGCGGCTCATCAGACTTATGGAAATTTATTCAGCGGTTTTATCCTCTCTTGGAATAACTCTTAGTTGCCGTGATGAAGATCTGCAGTGAACCAAAAATATCCAAAAGTCTATCTCCTTGATTCCTGAAATGAAACGATAGATTGCTTATTGTTTTCACAGCTCTGACTTACATATAGTTATATAGTTGCATTGCTTAAATAATTTATTAAATTAAACCAACCAAAAGCTGATGCATAAGACCTCTTTTTGGCCTTATATATCTTTTGTAAATACAACAATCGAATCATAAAGTCTTGCCTGAACACAAACTGATAGTCTGTTGCTTTTTAAAGACTCACAAGACGGAGTACTCAATCTATTTTTGCTTCCCATGGTGAAAATCTGATCGAACTTGGTTTTCTACCATAACGAATATGTCAAGAGGCACGTTAATTATCGTGACCTTACGACGCTGCAGCTATGAGATTGCCCCTCAACTTTCTGGTATCTTCTGCACATGCAGTTCATTTCCTCCTGCATCAATAAAATATACCTAACTATATATCTACCTTGCTCTAGTTTTGAAAACTTTGTTATGGGATTAAAGAATCTACTTGGCGATGAATCTATCAATATCAGTCAAAATTGAATCGAAAATCTGGAAGACATAGAAGAGACCTGCTTTGTTGTCAAGATCTCATAAAGGTTTTAAGTTTTTTAATGTTCTAAATCAAATTTGGAAGTTTCCAGAAAATTTACGAATTCCAAAGTTTTTAACCAAGTGATTTATAATTTTAACGCGGTAAAAAATTACTATTGAATAATCGTTGGTTCTGATTGAAACTGGAGGAGCATGATTAGGAAGAAACACAAAGCATTCGAGCACTGAGTTTATAAATTGATTGTTGTTTGAAACAAGACATACGAGTCATTTAGTTGGTCTACTCAGCTTTTTGTCGGAACTGTGTGATATAGTGTATCCTTGCTTATAATTGCAATATTGTTCGGTGTTAATAGATTTTTATCATTATTTATCATCGCGCTTCTTTTGATCGAAATTTACCCTTTCTCTGCATATATCTACATATTTCTTGAGACCCACAATCTTCTATTCCTGAATATATCTAAGTTCCTTTATCTTTCGCTTGCGGTTGGGCTACAATTGACACCAATATGAGTACTTGAACTGAAATTGAGTTTACAATATATTTAATTGCTAAATATGAAAATCATATCTTTACTTACATCTTTGAAATATATATTGACGCCAAATTTAACCAATTGTATATTTAAAACAGTCTTACCACTACTACAGAATAGCCAGTCATTCCTTACTAGCATTTAATACTATTTCGTTGTCGAATTATTGCCAGCATATACCTTACATGCAGCTTTTTCTTTAATACCAAAGCTGCGTCATTTGTTAATATAATTTATAATCAACTTGAAAAATACTGTACATTTTTTCATCAAAATCACTGTATATCTATCTGTTATAGTTACAGTAGTCAGGTTTCGAACCTTTTACATGCGATGAACCCTGTTTTACTACTATTATGCATCTCATGGTTTTATAAGAAAGCATTAATAGATTTATTCGTCAAATACATTTATTCAGAGAAAGTTTACTCTGCAAAAAGACTTCTTTATGCCAAAAAAACGAAAGAACCTATCACCTCCCAGGCATGAAGCTCGAGTGGCTTGGAATCGGCTTTTTAAGCCACTTAGAACGCGAAACTCTGAACAAAACGCTCCTGAAGCGTACCTTTCTCTTGAGAACGAGACGCCTGTAGAACTGCCGATCCCTCCAAAAAAGGATACAAAAGAAAATATCCGTGCTGTTAAAACGCCTAAAAGAAAGCGCTTGAATGATGAGCCAAGCACCTCTTCAGCTCCCCCTGTTGAGGACCAGCCTTCCACGTCAGCCACTCTGCCCCCTGAAGATATGGATTATGAGGAATCGAATGATGGTCTCGATCAGATAGAAGTAGTATCGGTTGAGGCATTGACTCCAGCGGAGGCCATGGAAATGTCATTTGATGATCCCCCTTCCAGCTCTGATGACGGAGTCCCACCTCCATCGAGTACTGGAGACGGTCCCGGTGATACCACTGTTCAAAAAATTCCGAACGATGCTATGCAGACTAATTCCGTTGATCGTGCTCCAGAGGAAGTCCAAAATAGCAGCCAGGACAGCACGCCTGATGAAGTTGTATCTGCCCTAGATACGTTTTTCAGAAATGTCTACAAGGACTTCAAATCCAATGACGAAGAGTGGCAGCGGCGATGGACGCTTATTCCTGAGTTTGCGCAGGAATGTATCGAAAAGATAAATACCTGCCATCCATCTGCTGTCGATGAGGTTCTCAGATGGTATGCTCGATCTCAAGGATGGCGAGCTCGACTGAAAAAGTCGTTTGATGATGATTTCAAGGTAACCTATCAATACATATCTTTTCTCAACTCTTCTAATAAGGTGCTCGTCAACAAGGGCATTATCAAGCAGTTTTGCGAGAAGGTAGACATCAAATTCGAAGAAGTGCTCGACATTATGAGTAAAGACGAGATGACGAAGTTCGCTCAGCGTCAACTCGTTGGCAAAGCTGGTTCGATGGATGCGATGAAAGCAAAACTTCTTGCTTCTTTCAAAGAAGGAATGAGAGTGAACCCCGTTACGAAGAAACGAAGGGCCGACTTCTTGCTTTTGTCAGCAAAGCGAGCTGTAGAGGGCAGATACCAACTTTCTCAGGCCCACTCTGAGAGCTTGAATATTTTTTTCCTACTTCACTCGCCTTCGTTGGTCCAACATAGAATCGAAGATGCGACTTCAGTTGCGCAAGGAATTATCCAGTCGATTTCTCGTTTTGGGATGAAAGCGCCTTTGCCGGATACGATTAAAATTACTTCTCCTAGGTTTGAAACATAAATATTAGCTAAAGTAAAGTTAACAAAACTTTAGTTTGATTCAGTCATTCAAGGACGGGAACTTCTTGCTATGTGCATTGAAACTGAAAATATCGGTACAAAATGCAATGGCTCTGAAAGACTGGAGCGGCGCGGAGGAACAGTGTGATATCGCCAAAAAACGATTTTCGCAGTTTTGCTCGAACTTCAAGGAAGTGTATGTAGTTATAAGTCAATACCAATAATAATACCGATGAATAGGCACGAAGCTCACGTTGCTCTTCCTCATTATCACTTCCGTCTTACTACAACCGGTGTCTTCGCCAAGATCTCATACTTTCGAGTTGAGATTCTTGAGAAACGTAAGAAATTTCAGGAAGCCGCCGATGCTATCAAGCAAATACTATCGGGTAATTGCTTCTTTCCCGATAAATTCAACCATCGACGTGGAAAGCTATGGATAAGACTCATCTTGAATCTGCAGCATGTGAACGCAAAGCCAGATCAGATAACCGAGGTCTTGGAGATAGCGTTGAAGGATACATCCCTGAATGAAGTGAATAAAGCAGAACTCGAGGTTCGAATGGAAAAGTTCCTTCATAAGGGTGCACTTGGAGGGATTCAACTAGAAGGTTTTGTTGATTTTATTTCCTTTGTCTATATAATTCGCTGCTCCAGGTTGGAAGGTCGCGAAAGGAGAAGCTGTGCGCCTCTCTTCAAAATCAGGAGTGAAGGAACACTCAAAAAAATGGATAACGACGATTGACGGCAATCAATTTGTCGAAACGTAAGAAATCTATGTACAGTGGCGTTTCAAACGCCGCGTTTGCGGTTTCCTCCCTATCCAAACGCGTCTAGAGAGGGAGGCAACGCGGGACAATTTTTGGTTTAATTTTATGCGCTCTTCTAGAAAAAGGGGGTTTCCTTACATGGTACAGATCCTTACATGGTACAGATCCTTACATGGTACATTTCCTTACATGGTACAAAAATACAATTGTACCATGTAAGGAATTTGTACTATGTAAGGATTTTTGTACCATGTAAGGAAATTCGAAATAAAAGTTTTCAAAAACAAAAATTGACACATTTACTCAAAACAATATTCTACTCGACCCCCAATCAAGCATAAATTTTTTTTTCAAAAATTTTATTTTCATTATATTTTCAAAATTGGACTCTTCGACACTCGTTTTAGTCGGTTGGTCGATGGTAAGTCGATATTTTAAAATGTAGCCCTTACAAAAATTGGCAAAATCCGTGGTCGGTCGGGTCCGATTTTCGGTCGGTTTTTGATTGCGCACCAATTATGAAAATTTTACAATCAAAATAGTTCGCGTTAGAATTATAGAGTCTCATACATCGCATGTGCGTTAGAACGATAAATTTGCACCCCACTTCTTGAATTATTTATCGAAAAACTTCGAAAAAATTGTTTCTAAATCGCCATGTCCATTTTGGACATTTTTTTTAAGAGTCGTTACTCTAAAAATTTCTGCAGACGGACCTGAATCGAATCGCGCCCTAATTGCATGTTTGGGCGCCCGCCCGCTAAAAGCTGAAAGTGAGAAAATCTGCCTCGGGCGCGTTTGTGCGGCATTTTTTCTCCTCCGCTCCCGCCGCGGCAGTGCGCGCGCTACCACGTTCCCGCCACAGCGAAAGCACCCGGATTTCGAGACCTTGGTCACCACCAGAAAACCCATCGAATTTGAGGCCCATAACGACGGGGCCTCGTAACGATCTGACCATGATTGCAGGGAGTAACAGGCGCCGGAAGGTGCTTCATGTTCAAAATGGACATTTTGGCCGATTGCGGTTAAAATCATCCATACTTAAAAAAGGGAATTTTATAAAACCTAAGTTTCATATCCGAAAGGCCGACCCGTCCCGACCTTGAAAAAGGGTAATCGGCACCGACACTTGACCCGACAACTTATAAATGTCTCTAAAAATTGAGAACAAAGACGAAAATGTAATAAAAAAAATATTTTTTGAAGTAAAAAATATGGTCAATAGGGGGGTAAGATAGAATTATGTTTTGGCTGAATGTGTCGATTTCTGTTTTTTAAAATTTTTTAATTTTGAATTTCCTTATATGGTACAAAAATCCTTACATGGTACATTTCCTTACCTGGTACAATTCCTTACATGGTACAATTTGATTTTTGTACCATGTAAGGATTTTGTACCATGTAAGGAAATGTACCATGTAAGGATTTGTACCATGTAAGGAAACCCCTAGAAAAAGAGCGTCTGGATAGGGAGGCAACGAGGGACGCTCAAACAGGGAGGAAACCGCAAACGCCACTGTAATAGCTTTTTATAACAAAATTTAGCGTCGAACATCTCGGTCTGAGGATGATAAAGCATTCTCATAACCTCGACTCAGGGGAGCACGCCGAGGGCAGCCTCTTCTCGACGATCTTCTCTCTTTTATTCCACGACATAATTTACGCCAATGTTCCAGGCGTATTTATTTCTAAGTATCAAGAGGGCCCTTTGGATTTCTATTCCCCTGACTTTTATCAAAATCGACAAGTGCAAATTGGTAATAAACCATTCTGAGTTATCAAAGTTCACTTATATTTTCAGAAAAACGACTCGAAGATCTCGAGGAAAAATTCGAAGGTGTATTAAAGGAGGTCATTGAGCTCTACGAAACCGTCCCTTCATCAAGACCCATTATAGGTAAAGCAATCAATTTTTTGGAACTAAATTTCCATAAGGAGTCGGACACCACCCAGACAGATTCTCTGTCGCTCGGCTAGAAGCACTTTGCAAGTGTCTCGGTGGAGAGGCTTTGAGCAACATAATCCGGCGTCTTTTGAAAGATTCGTCCTATCGATCTGGAATGCCTGACCTTATTGCATGGTCTTCAACAGGTGAAGAAGGGCGATATCTTTTCTGCGAAGTCAAAGCGCCAAACGACACTCTTTCCTACGGACAGAAACTGTGGCTCAAGTATCTCATGTCCACAGGTGTCCACTGCCAACTTCTTCAAATCGCCGAAGCTTAGAACAACAAAGACCTCAAGCGGGCCACTGTGATGCTGCCTTAGATAATTTTGAATGAAAAAGTTCTCGTCGCTGCTTATTCAAAAAACTTTTATCATTCTTGTCATTTATCATTATTTATCTATAAAACTGCCTCATCAAGGGACATTAACTGTATATATTTACATTAGACGAGGAAATGCGGTTTACTCTTGTTAAAAAAGGCAAGGCCGGCCAATTGCTATTCGATCACAAGCGTGTTGGAAAATTTAACCCGTGGCTTGCTAGTAATTCATCTCAGAAAACAATATTCTGGTACGAATCACAAAGACTTGTCTCGTGTTTACATCGAATTTAGTGAAATTCATGCACAGCAAAGCACTGGAGGCCCTCCACTTGGACCTATTCTCGGCGCGAAAGGCATTCCGCTAAATAAATTTAACGACGATTTCAATAAAGTATCTTCTCATATAAAATCTGGTGTTCCATTGAATTGTAAAGTTGAATTCGAAGGAGCAGGAAAGTCTCGGCTTTATAATTATCTAAATAGAGGACTTTTTTATTGTATCGTTTAACAAATATTTACACTTACTGCGTTGAACGAATAAATAGATTCTACTCGATCGTGCGTTTGTGCATATATTTTCAGTGATGATATTTCTTTAAACTTATAAATTTTCTAATGAAAAGATGTTAAAAGCCATTCAAAGTGGACCACTACAATTATTGGGCCGACGCTTGCTTTTAATATTCTTCAGGTACGAAATAGGGGGTGGCCTTCTGTATCCGCATATTGAGTGTGATTCAAAAACTTTTGATAAAACCTAAATAGCACTTGATTTACGTCAATATTCACGACATTTTAGGCAGCCGGTTTATCAGAGCCCTCGCACGCCAAAGAAGAAATCATGGGAAGAATTACCTTGAAGCAAGCATACGAAATAGCGAAATACCACGCAACCTCTGAATGGAATATCGCCAGAGATTTAAGCGAGAGAGATATTATTCCTATGATTATTGATGAAGCGCGCAAACTCGGTGTTGAGGTAAAAGAGAATCTAAAAAATGGCGAAAGTATTAACGCTTCAAAGGTTGTCAAAAACGATATGGCTGCTGCCGATTATGCTGCGTTCAGAGAGCATGCCAAGCTTCTGAAAGAAACCTATGAAAGGAGAAAAGCGCAGGAAGAAAAAGATAGACTGGAAGAAATGCGAAGAAAAGCTGCCGAAGCGCGAAAAGCAGCCGCAGCAGCACTTGGCTAATTTGATTTTAACTTGACAGTTTTCCTCGAATTGCTTGTACACGGATAAACTAATCATTTGATACTTAAAATGACTTTAAAATTGCATACTTAGATCGGACTCGGATGCAACTACAAATCGAATGGCTTCATCCGGACATACATCAACATTCCGAGGCATCAAGTATCTCGGTTCAGTTGAAATTATTCGAAGTTTGTATAACATTCCAAAGCCGCTCAGAACAGATATTATTGGCTTTGCGATCAACAGAATACTGCAAAGATACAGCAGATCGAACTTTTGGCTCAGTCACAGTGAAACAGAGACTTCGGTTATTCATCCATATGTCGGGAGATCCCCGATGAGCAAATGGCACCAACACATTTGCGACCTTCACGTAAGTTACTGTTAAACAGGACACCTTTCACTTGCTTATTTTTAGCTCTCTTCGGATAGGATAATAGTAAATGCCAACGATGGAAGAGATATCACAAGAGTATTTGACCACCCGCTCGCAAATGTTTCTGTAGCCGCGAAAGACATTTGCATTCCCAATTTATGGTGCTATGTATCAAGGTCATCTTCTACTTTTGGGTCTCTTCCAGAACGTCGTCTCTTTCTCTTCGAGTGTATCGATATCCTTCAGGCCTCGAAACTTCACGACCTAAATTTACAACGATTTAGTAGTCAACAGTCAGCGCCCTCATCAAAGACTCTCTGTGTTCAGCTTCCTCCACGACCTCATCCAACTTCAACAACATCTTCTCCCCCGCCATTGCCACCAAGAAAATCAAAACCAACAACAGATGAAAGATACTTGAAATTCGTCTAACACTTTTAACCCTTCCTCTTTCCCGTTGTTTTTGTAAATACGTTCTCAAATACAATATTCTTGTGTTTTTTATTTCTCGTTTACAAGCCATCAAAAGAGCCATTTGTATTCAATTAAATATTTATATTACCTTCATCTTCAATGGAGAATCTTTGCGTTCTTGATTCCAACTTTTCCGATACTTGTGGGATCTTGACAAGACCCTCATTTTCTTATCATACGTTCCATTCTAGTTCATCTAACATTCAACTAACAACGAACCATTTTTCCCTTTCATATTGACAAACGCTTGAATTGAGTAAAATAATTCATGAGCCAGAGACGCGCTTTGCCATCGACTGGAATTTTTAGAAATATGAAAAATGGCGTTATATGATTCACGAGAGCTTCAAGTCTTCCAGCTAGAGAGTGCTGCAGATACCAGAAGTTTGTGTGAGTTGCGTGCGGACCTTCTGCTGACTGGTGACTATGGAGGAGGACTCAACCTTTATCAGCGAACGCTCACTCCAAATGTCGAAGGCTTCCAACCACTTTTATACTCAAAAAAAGTCAGCCAACCGATCGTTCAACTGGAATGGACTGACGAGCGAGAGTTTGAAGAGCATTGCATCATGCTTTGTCCAAATATGATAAGTCTCATCAACGTTCTCTTGCCAAGGAATAAAGAAAGTAATGAATACGACGTAAAAACGATCTTTGAGCTGCACACAAAGGAAGATCTGTATTCATTTAGCTGGAAGCTCGCCGAACGTCCTAACCATCTTCATACATTCGCGATGACTCTAAGTGGGAAACTTCTCGTTTCTCGGGGCGAGCGTGTTCTTTACACTGTTCAAGTTTCTTCCGCGAACATGCCTAGCTCGTTGATCTTCATTGAAAGTATGGATAAAATTGTTGTACAGGGAGAAGCGATGACCCTTTGCAGCTACGATCAGAACCAGCTTGCCATGACATCCGATGAACTGGGGCGTAAAGTAGCTCCTTCGATGGATTGGATTTACTTTGGAATCGAAAACATCTTAGAGGTGGTTACAATCGACACGAAACACGCGTCACTTGTTTTTGCGCTGGGGACGAGCAAAGTCTCTGTTATCAACGGTGCAGATGGAGCATTAATCCGAAGTGTGAGTAAAGAAGGAGTACGAATTACTGCCATGAACATTTATGAAACACGAAAAGGTCTTGTACAGATATACAGCACCGAAGAGCAACAAATCATGATTTATTTGGGAAGACGGAAAGTTTGGTCGACCTGCGTTAATTGTGATGTTATTTCCATTTCAAGGTCTGAATCTGGAATGCTCTCTTTTTAACGAAGACTTGGGCGATCAGAACAATGATTATAGGCTCGCAATTGAAAATCGGTAACAGCAAAGTCAAATCCGAAAATCGAATGACTCGCGAAGAGCTTGACCGTGAAATCGGTAAAATTGAAAGATGTCTTGATGATTCTGAAGCGCCGAAAACAAGCCACGAGCCTCCCAAGGCGCGGATGGAGATGGTTCCGTCTCCTGGGCAGCGGAGTGGCGAAATTCAACTTTCCTTTCAAATCAGCTTGCCAGGCAATATTCATTCAATTTGCGTTGACGTCGTTCCTGTGGACCCGAACCTAGGAAGTGTTGAAATTTATACTGATAATCTGGAAGATGAAGTTTTCTTTGAGGGCACCGTGCAAGTGTATTTTGGTAAACTCACGCTCAACTATACACCTTTCCTCAGTCCCGGGCTGATAGCAACAGCTAGTTACATTCACGCAGGAACTGAAGTCTCATCAACAGTCTCAAAGCTTTGTGCGCTGCCCCTTGATCTCATCTGTGCAAAGAGTTCTCTTTCAGAAGTGTCGCCTGGATTCTCCGAAGTCACTCTTTTCGTTGAAAAACCTCAGCACTTGACCTACCTAGAGCATTCACAAGAGAAGTCATTCTCGTTTACAAGTGATTCATTCTGCAAAGTCTCTCTCAACAACTCAACGATGCACATAATCGGTGACAGGTAAGCCAGCTTACTCAACTTCGTTTGATTCCGCTGTCTAGTGTGTCAACTTTGGTATCTTTGAATTCACTGATTGAGCAGAATTTATCACCGAAGTTTTTGAAAATGATACATATCTCGGAAAGCCTGCTGAACGAACGTCTCAACGAAATAATTCAAAACATTAATACTATGTGCAATAAATGGAAAGAACTCAACAGGCATCTAGAACAGAACGTTAAGTTTCTAACTTCCATCCAGAGGACAATCATGATAAAAGCCAAAAGCACAGGTGATTTACGGATCTTGTTTATTCGGACTAAATCAACTATTCAGTCGAAGAAAAAAGTATTTCCAAACTCGTCGAACTTTGCAGAAAAACATCGAAGTAATTACTCTACCTCTTGCTTCAATCCTAATTCTTTGTTTAGTGAAATAACGAGGCACCGGAGTGAAATTCAAAATATCGAAAGAAAGCTCGAAAGAAGCCGAACTTTCTTTTTCGCGGATGTACAGCTAGCTGTTCTGACTAGACTCGTCAACGAGGGTGCAGATTCGAGAGTTATCTGTGAACTTAGAGATATCTTTTGCTCATCAGGTTAATAATTTTCTTATTTTTTGAAAGAACTCTCACACTCATCTAGCAAGCTCAAATGACATGCTTCTTCAAATTGAATCCGACCTAAACTCGCTGTCGATAATCGTCGGGCTCAAGCCTTCCGAAAGCTACCAAGGCGATCCTGCGAAAATACTAAAGAAAACTAGCCAAATAATATCAAAAGTCAGCACTGACACTGTCCAATCACTGTTAAAACGTTTATAATGTCTTTTATTTTTATAATGTAAAATATTTTTTCAATAAATAAATCAGATTTCCAAAAAAAAATTGAGCTCAATTCGTATTCTTTGAGCTTCATAGTTTGCCGTCAGTTCATGGATGTATCAAGGGGGATGGAGATGTCGGCTTCGCTATCATCGTCATTGTAGAACTGAATAAAGATCCCTGTTGCTGGAGCTATGGGAGAGGGTACTCACAGGTTCATCATCTTCATCAACAGAGCTCTGCATTGACTGATTCCATGAACTACTGCTCGAGCTTAATTACCCTTTTAAATAAATAATTAGATTCATTTGTACCTTCGTCGCTGCGAAACGTAGTCGTCTATTGTCACTGGAGGCTCGATTCCCTTTTCGATCGCAAGCTTCCGCGATTCTTCCACCTAAAAACTGGAATCATCGTGTTTGGGTAAATGCTATTTACTTGTTGCTTAATGATAACCGCATATTTGTGGGCGGCTTTTTTCTTCTCAGTGCAGCGCTTGTACCGTCCGTAAAGAACGGAAGCATCGACATTGGCCGGACTCGAAGTATTCGGCTCGTTCAAGAGAGAGACTATTGATAAAAGAACTGAGCGTACCGACTGAGAAGGACTCCAGCTAAAAGGGAATGAAAATGATTTTATTGAAGCAATAGTACCGCTCAGAAGCCAGTTCTCCGCTCATCGGATCGTTGACAGGACTATGGAGGATAGAGATACAGACCTAATAATTTATAAACATCCTGTGCATGTCTATTATTCTCTGTAAAAGTTTCTTACGGCTCCGTCGGCGTAGACATTTGGATGAAACATTGGGGTAGTGAATCGTACAATAGGGGGTTTGTACGGGTAGTCTTTCGGGAATCGCTGAATTTATCATCAATATAAGTGATTTAGATTATTTATTATACAATCTTCACTGGAAAATAGCCTCCTTCGTAAAGTGTTTTTGGAGGACCGAATACCCCAATTTCCCATTCGTACAGGAATTTCTCGTCGTATTTGATCATCTTAACGTCAAACTAGAAAAAGTAAACGAATTCTTCCCTTACATGGAAGCCTTCGAGGGGATTAGTAATCAAGCCCTTGAGCTCTTTGAGAAGAACTTTTGAAGAGGTTTGAAAAGCTGATTTTTGCATTTTGTCCATTCGTGCGTGTCCTTGGTATCTCTTTTTCGTTGTGCCTCATTTCGGAGCATCGGTTGTTTTTATCTACAAAAAGAGATGCAGCTGTTCAATTTTCCGTTACAATAATATTTTTTCTCGCCTAATCGTACTTCAATCCATACCATTTGCCCGTAGGGCAACTGTAGGTGTTCTATCAAGAACTTATTTTACTTTTAGGTACTCAAAATATTGTGTGTGCCTGGAGATACCATCTCTTTCGTACTTTTTAATTGATCCGCACTTTTTTATTGCTCAGTTAGGCGCTGCTGAGAGTGATCAGAGCAGCATAATCGTGAATTTCCCACTCGGATAGGCTGCATTACTTTGGAATCAGCCGCTACGTCAATAACGATAAAGAATTGCCACATAACGTTAATCGTTTTACCTTTTTGTTTTCTGGCGCTATTCCGCTAACTAGAGAAAAGGCTCTTCAATTTTGGAAGAAGTTTCGCAAAAAGGCAGGGATGTGATCAACAGTAACTTTGAGCGTCTATTTCTTTCCCTTATGTAGAGAAAGTCGAGCGGAAGTAAGCTAGAGAAACATAATTGAAGCACTTTTTTCCCAGCAACTTCCTTAAACTCGCCCAAATCCCTTACCGTCGTCACCGCTTTGGTTGAGAGGCTTTGATCAGAAGTCTATTGTTCGCGATATCTTAGAATAAAGTCCCACATTTATGACCATCCGCAACAGACTATGTGTCGAAGAGCAGAACATTACTAAACGTTTTCCTCCGTGACTATGAGTCGAGCTGACAGAAACTCAGTATTCTCTTTCGGAGAAGAGGATGGCCCTGATGAAGAAAGAACGACTCCTGCGCTGCCTGACTTTGGAGCTCCGCCGGTCTCGCACGATCGTGCCGACTACAGGAATGTTATAAATGCGACAGTTTAAATTAGATCGAAAGTTGTTTTTCCGTTAATTAGGTTATGCGTACACGCCCAGGTCTGACGTGATCATAAAATGGGCATTTTACGGTTGTTATAACATCTGCAGTGAACCCGCACTGGGTCAGCATCATTCTGACGAGGAGGATCGACAGCATCATCGTCAGATCGACGGATACAACCATAGATCAACCACAGTTATAAATACAAAACGAAAAGATAAACGAAAGCGCCATTCTAAGAAACATTCTGGAGGTAACTTTGTACTATTATTAATGTATCTATTTCCTTATCAGCAAAAACACGGCAACACCGGCTCAACCGAAAGACTGGAGACCAAATTGATGACACGCGTGGAATTCAAATTCAACCAGCGATTCCTCCTACGATATCCGAGGAAGTTGGAGAATCTCTCACGCAGGCCGATCGGGATGACATTAAATCCCATCGCTTCGATGACGTCCCTGGGATCCGGCGGCATATTATCACGAAAACGCGCAATAGAACTGTTAAGTTAAATAAGGTCGGACCTCTGCCTTCAGTAAGCTCACTCCCAAGCACAAGAAGAAGTAGCGGCGTTGATTTCGAAGTTGGGAAAGTCGTCCCCGCTCCTATCCATCATGAGGTATTTGTCGAACTTGATGAGCTGGTAGTTGGCAAAGACAATGAGCTTCAATGGAAAGAAAAGGCCCGATGGATCAAGTTTGAAGAGGATGTCGAGGAAAATGAAGTTTGGTCAGAGCCTCTCATTGCGAGCTTGACTTTCCAATCATTATGGGAGGTTCGGAAGGGAATAGAAAAAGGTGTTTGCTTGCTGGACCTTGATGCCAAATCTCTTCCACAAATTGCCGCTAAAGTTGTCAACGCGATGATGAATGAGGATCTGATCCGACAATCTGACTCTATTCCCGTGATGAATGCCATTCTTCTCAAACACTCGAAGCAGCATATCAAGGAAAATTACAAAGACTGGAGCCACATTTTCTCCGATCTTATTAAACCCGAGGAAGATGATAATGAATTACCCGTGCCGAAAAATTTATACGACAATCTCTACGACGCAGTAGAAAGAGTTGAGGAAGATCAGGATCGTTCACCCACATTCACGAGAAAACTTCCTAAAATCATGTCGAAAATTGCTTCAAATGCCGAGAGTACATCTGTTCTCGTGGGACAAGTAGGATTTCTTCAGCATCCGGTTATGGCATTCGTCCGCCTCAGACATGCCATCGACCTCGGCGATGCTCTGAGTTTACCTATTCCTGTTCGATTCGTTTTCATTCTCCTTGGACCAGAAGACAAAATGGATTATCACGAGGTCGGGCGTTCCATTTCTACCCTTATGTCTAATGCCAGCTTTCACGATGCTGCTTACGAGGCGGAATCAAAGACAGATCTCTTGAAGAGTATTCGGATGTTTCTTGATGATTCAATCGTTCTTCCTCCGGGTCAAATTGAGGAAAAAGGATTGCTGAAGTCGATCGAAAAGTACCAAGCAGCAGTGATCAAACGTAAACGAATTGTAGAATTCCAAAAAGAACTTGAGGAGAAGGGAGAAACTGTGAACCCGCTATTTCGAACGGGGAAGTTTTGGGGAGCGATGGTCAATGACATCAAACGGAGATATCCGCTCTACCTTTCAGACATTAAGGATGGAATTAACTCACACTGCTTCATCAGTGCGTTATTTGTCTACTTTGCTCTCTTATCTCCGGCGGTATCATTTGGAGGTCTGTTGGAAGAAAAGACAGACAGTTTTCTTGGGGTATCTGAAACAGTCATCGGCTCTGCTGCAGGTGGATTATTCTGCTCGATCTTTTTAGGACAACCCTTGCTTATTGTTGGTATAACGGGACCTAACGTGGTTTTCGAAGAAGCCCTTTACAGCCTCTGCCAGTCAAATGAGTACAACTTTCTAGCCCTCAGATGGTGGGTCGGCTTTTGGATGTTACTGATAACATGGTCATTCACAGCATTCGAGTGTTCATTCTTTATCAGTTTGTTCACAAGATTCACTGAAGAAATATTCTCCATCCTAATTTCGCTAATTTTTATTGTTGAATCATTCAAAAAGCTTGCAAAGGTAGTTTTCTTTATGAGAAAATTAATAAATTAATAGACCTATAAAAAATACCCTGTGGAAACCTTAGAAGAATTCTTCATTCGAACTGATCCTTCAGCAAACAATTCTACGTGTGAGAACATTGATGGTTTTTATCCGAATACTGCTTTCATGTACACACTTTTATTGTTCGGAACGTTTCTACTGGCGTTTTTGCTTCGTTCATTTCGAGGATCGAACTTCCTATCATCTTCTATTAGGAGAAGAATTGGGGATTTCGGTGTGCCAATTGCGCTCATTATAGTCGCTTGTGCGCAATTGGGGAGCACCGTTTACACTCCCAAGCTGACGGTCCCAGATGCGCTTTCGGAAGGAATCGGTATGTTCAAATTAATACGCGAGTCCAATATAAGCATTGTTTTAGTACCGACTGATCGAAACCTGCGTATCCAGTACGGAGGTGACCTACTTGGTGGTTGGCTTATTAATCCGATGGGAACAGACGATCATCCTATACGCGGAGTTGAAATTGGCATCGCACTTCCGTTCGCTATTCTGTGCTATATTCTCATCTTCGTCGAGTCGCAGTTAGCAGAGATGATCATTTCTGGGCCCGATAGAAAACTCAAAAAAGGTGTATCGTACCACCTAGATATTTTTGTGATAGGAACCATGAATGGACTCTTGTCCGTTTTTGGATGTCCTTGGTTATGTGCTGCCTCTGTGCGAACTCTCACACACGTCAATGCTGTGACAATTACCGGAGGCTTTGATGGCGCAAAATTAGCCCCTGGTGAACGACCAATAATTATTGGTGCATATGAGCAGCGCGTATCTGGCTTGTAATTACGATAATTTCATTAAACAACTTTTAACTGTTTTATAGCATCAGCTCATTGCTTCTTTTTGGAACAGTACTATTGGGGAGAATTCTTAAGGAAGTGCCGACAGCTGTTCTTTTTGGCATCTTTCTTTACATGGGGGTTGTCTCACTCGTTGGCGTCCAGTTCATTGATCGGATTGTACTGTAAGTCCGAATTTTATATTAGAAGAAATTCTTGTTAATATAATATCAAAAAGTGAAATATCTCCTTTTAGGTTTTTCATGCCCTCAAAATATCATCCTGACTACAGATATATCCGCATCGTCCGGCCTCTTCGTGTTCACTTGTTTACACTCATACAAGTTGTCTTAACTGGTGTACTGTGGGGAGTTAAAAGCAGCCCTCTTGCTATTGCTTTTCCGTTTTTCCTTGTTCTTTGTGTTCCCATTCGCAACTATCTTCTTCCCAAAATATTTACGAAAAAGGAATTGCACGAATTGGATAACGAAACGCTTGGTAAGATTAAGACAGTGCGAACACTTGAAAGAACTTATTTAGACGATGTTTACGATCACGACAATGCCTACGGAGAAGCGCACGCGGCATACTAGCTTCAGAAATTTTCCTTTTTTCGTATTTATTCTCATCTGCCTATTTATAAAAGCCCATTTCTAAATAACGAAACTGTACAAAATTATTAATATTGATAATCATGCTCTGATAATTTGGTAAAGTAAATAAAATTAAAGATAACATGCGATGAGCGTGCGATTGATGAGTTCTGTCCGTAGAATGTCATTAAAAGGCGAGGTGAACTTTGAGAAATTATTAAATCCTGCATTGTGGAGACTGAAAAGGATCTTCGACGAACATAGCAAAGATTTGAGAATAGCAGGAGGTAACTTAGATCGCAGGGGTTATTAGAGATCAAATTGACTTCAGGGGCTCCTAGAGATCTCTTGCTCGGCAAGTGCCCGTCCGATGTCGATCTCGCCACAACGGCGACGCCCGAAGAAATGCTAGAAATGATGGAGAAAGAAAAAATTGATACGATCAACGCCAACGGGAAAGGGGTTGCATTTGCATTGAATTTGATCAAATGGGTGTTTTTGAGCTGTGTGCACTCTTTGGCAGGATTAAACACGGAACGGTGACCGCGCACATCGACGAGGTGAACTATGAGATAACGACGCTGCGGATCGACAAAGTAACGGACGGACGGCACGCTGAAGTTGAATTTACAACAGACTGGCGAGTCGATGCCAATCGCAGAGATTTAACGATAAACAGCATGTTTCTGACTTTCGAGGGCGAAGTGATTGATTATTTTAATGGACAAGAGGATTTAAAATCGCGCAACATTCGATTCGTCGGTCACCCAGAGGAACGAATCCAGGAAGACTATTTGCGAATTCTGCGATATTTCCGCTTCTATTCTAGAATATCAGAGAAGGCTGACAATCACTGTAGAGAGCATTTATTGGCTATCAAGCAAAATGCTGCTGGCTTGGCTGGTATATCTGGCGAACGTATTTGGTCGGAAATGGTCAAAATTCTTAGCCAGCCCTTCGATAAATTCTTCGTCCGATACATGTATGAACTAGGAAAGGTTCCTGTTTAATTTAAAAAGTACTTTGATCGATAGCCATCATTTGATCTTACTTCGGGACCCACTTGAAGACATGGCAAAGCATATGGGATTTCCTGAGAAGATATCCGAAGAACAACTAACGAGATATGATTCAGTGTCACTTCACGAACAGTAAGTGTAGAAATAAAACGAATAAATATTTTTCGTCAGCGCGTCACCAATGGTAAAAGTTGCAGTCCTGGCCGGCAGTCCACTGATGGTTGAGATGATTGACAAAAAGCTCAAGTGGTCGAAAAATGAATTTGGAGCAGCCATGGCGATAACTAAGCTGGCCTCTCATCGCGTTCCCGAAGAGAACAAAATTGAGTTCTATTTGAAGCTACGCGCGAAGCTCCGGCTCAATATGTTCACGAAAACCGAAATTCATAAGAGAATATCATCCTTCGATGAAGACTGGGCTGTTCAGTTAGCAATTTACAATGACGAGACGACGAGTGTAGTCCAAGCCGTCAAAGGTGGCCTATAAAACTACAAAGAATGTCTCGTATTTATCTTAATAAATTAAGATTTCACCATCCCAGATTGCCCCATTCCGTCAGCAACTAGCCTTACGACCGAACATGGCATCGAGAAAGGGCCGCTTTTAATGATAATACATTCAAAGGTTGATTGGACTGCGCTTTCCGTTTTAAATGAATTTTCAGCTTCGTAACAATTGGATAGACGGTCTTTTCGCGCCAACGAAAGACGATCTTCTGCATAAAATGGAGGCAATTCTTGTCAAATTAATTGAAGAAGGAATTATGACTCCTGATAGAAAATATGTCAAGCCCAAGAAAAGATAGAACGCTGGTAGTATTACATTTTATTTAGAATGGACTCGATAAGGGAAGGTGACGAAGTTACGTCCAAATTTCTCCACAAAGCTTGCGACGTCGTCGAGTTCAAACTCTGTAGAACCGTAGCCGATATCGATAAGGCAAAGGTAAGAAACTTATCGACCGCGGTTTCTTACAGTTTTCAGCCGTTTAAGCCAGATTACGCAGTGAACGTACTTGGAGAGGACAAGAATGAACTGATTTTCGGGTACAGCGATTTGAAGATTGAGCTGTTCTTCACCGCATCCAAATTGAATCAATACTACAGAAAAACGTATACTGAAGCGATTCCAAAGACCCTGGATGGAATCGAGCCGGACAATGTAGAGGAAGCTTTCATCAAGCAGGAAATTTTACAGGAAAGGGTAATAAAATCAAGGATGTAATTATATGCGGCAGTATGAGTTATTATCCTCCGATATAGCAGGAAAACGGCGCTCAGAGTATTGAGCATTTCGCGGACCTGATTCGTCAAGATAAGAAATTCAAACCATTTGGACGAAAACTTCATGAGCTCAATGTCGTCTACAATACTTTGCAAGATAGCAGCACTCGGCATTATGAGATATATTTTTGTAACACGCAATGCCCTGGATTCAGAGAGGTCAGAGCAATTTCATCAGCGTGTTTCTATTTTTCATTTAGTGGTATCAAAGATTGGAGACATTCGTCCTCTGGTATGTCGACGGTGGAATTTATATTGACCTTGATGACGAGCAATGGGAGTTTTTCATTTGTTATGAACGATTCAAAGATGAAGAAAGTGGCGAGCCTCGTTGGGCCCCCGCCGGCTTTTCGACTGTGTTCAAGTACATAACATTCCAGAAGAACAAGATCACGAGTAGACTGTATCGACCACGCATTTCGTGAGTATTTTCTTGAAACAACCTTAACTTACAACAATTTAAGCCAAATGTTGGTTCTACCACCATTTCAACGGCAGGGAATAGGTGCTGAGCTTCTCCGCCAAATTAGACGTTTTTATACCGTTAGTTGTCTGGTCATATTCGGGAGAATGATTTTACTTATAGAGAAATGACGTTTGGGAACTTACAGCGGAAGACCCGAACGAAGACTTTCAACGAACGCGAGATTTCGTTGACGTTGAATTTCTGATGGAACAGGAGGAGTTCCGCGGGCCAAAAGTAAAGTACTACACGAAGCATCGCTCTGCTTTTGTTCAAGCTGCGAGGCAACTCGGGAAGATGTGTGAGGGCCAGTCTCGTCGATGCTTCGAGATTTTACTTCTCAACCTGATACCTCGAGTAAGATCAATTATAATAAAGACAAACTTCGATGCTTCAATTTAGTCGAACGAAGGACTTATTACAAGTTACCGACTGATGATAAAAGCAAGACTGAACTCTGCTTTCAAGAAAAAAGTGCAAATAAAGAGAGCTGCCATTTTACCTGACTCAAAGGTTCCAATGGACCACTCACCAGTTATATCTGACGATGAGAGAAAACAGAAGCTGCAGACAGATTTCGAGGCGATATTTGCCATGTATGATCTAGGTATTTTGTGATTGTCAAATATTAGTCCCCAAGTTAATTCTAGTGCTTGAACGCCTGAATAGGTGTCGAATGCCGAAAGTGAAACTGGCCGCATGAACGATACATGTATTCACCAACCAACTACAACAAGTCAAAATATATCTGCTCATTTACACTGCCCGGAAATATAATTGTTTTCTTTTTTATAAGTATTTCGTTTTATTACTTTTGCAGGGAATCCCAGTTTCGCATGATAGTTTCAACAGTAGCATCGATGTTTCCACCCATGTCCTGGAGAATCCTTCGCGCGGCGTCTGAAAATCAAGGATTGAGGATTTTACTTCTCTTTCTTTCACCTTCTCCAATGGAATCAAGAAGCCCCATTTCTCTCAATTTTTCTAGACCGTTTTCCACATTCGTCGCTAAGGCCGCGATCTCGGCTAGGATTTCTTGCGCGGCAGACTCGATATTTCGATTCTCAGGGGTAGATTCAACCATATTTTCCACTGTTTGGCCAGTCTAAAGAAGCTATTAGTAGTCTGTGAGAATATTGGAATTCTGTACCGCTCGCATGTGCTCCTCTGTCGCGAGTAAAGCATTTCTCAACATGTCGGTCGTTATCGGTGCAGTAATCATTCCAGTTCGATGAGGATCTTGAATTGGAACGGGCTGTTCTTCTTGCGTTTGTGAGTTGCTCGACAAACTATGAAGATTCTGTATAAGGGGCACTGTCGATCTCGGCTGTGCAAAATTCGGATCTATTTTTTGGGTTAGGTTTAACAGGCAGTTTTATATTCTAACCATACCTGACACTTCTCTAACCACTGCTGTTTCGCTAATTGGTTCTTTAACTTCATTATATATAGAAAGCAAAAGCTCCTGGATTGCATATCTACGACGTAAAACTTTTATCCTGAGACAATCCAAAAAGAGTTCTTAATGAGAAGTCAGATTATTTATATCGCTCCAACTTATTTACCATAGGACGCAGCGCTTCTAGCACCATACTGGTCCGCTTTACAGACTTGAGAATGATTCATGTAACGTTTTGAGAGCGCCGTTTTTATGATATCAGCGATATTCTCCCGAGTCTTCGCATACTGATCGTCTGACAGTTTTTCTAGATGGGAAATTTACTAAACGAGCGGTTCTCTTAAGCTTACCTCGAATAAAATTGAAGGCATCGAGAATCTCACTCCGAAACGGAATCTCCTCTCCCCCGGTTGAGAATATGAACCCAGATGTAGAAGTATTCAGCACACTCGCATGAATTAAAGCATTATTGATCGATGGAAGCTTTTCAATAAACTTTCCGCGGTAGCAGAGTTTAATATTGGCTTCGTGAGGGACTTCGAAAGTTTCTTTTATTTGTTCGACCAGATCATTAGCTTAAATTTTATTTAGTGGAAGTATTCAACCAGCAAAGCAATCGTAAATTACCTTCATTGCACTCGAATTCGAGTGCTATGTCAATGTTTGAAAAAGATCCTCCGTTGATCATTTTTACTCTGTATTTTTTCATTTTGTATAATACAAAAATAGATAATTTATCTAAATATGCGTTCACAATGCGCGCAAACTTTCATTCACGCTATCTCATGCACAGTAAAAGACGCGAGACTCAAAATATTTGTTACCCGCAGACGTCAAGACTAGGACCCAAACTAGTCTACTCACATGCTCTCCTGAACTCGAATCGAAACAAACAAGACATATAGTGATAATAGTCTATTAGAGTAAATAATGCAAGTGGAAGGAAATAAATTTGTTACACAATAACGCAGCAAGATCCGTGCTTTTGAGCTTCTTTCCCAGCTTTGTTGATTGCATTGACTTATTTTGGGTAAAGCAAAATTTAGTCTTATAAATTATCATCCCGTTACTATTGAGGAAGAATTTGTACCCATTCCTATCTCTTTACGAATCTCGTTGATCTGGTCATCTATTTCTTGCTGGTTTGTGTCCAATTTGGTCTCAATATTTTGCTGATGGGCTTCGATGTCCGCTTTCAGACTCTCAACGGCTTCTGCAACTTCATCTCCTTCTGACGCTTTCTGATTCACCAAATCTCCCAAATTTTCAAGTGAATTGGAAATCGTTAAAGACGTTTCTTCAAATTTTTGTTTGATGAAATTACAGTCTTCCTTTTTAAGAATTTCAAAATTTGAAATCAAAATATCCACCCCTGGATTGAAGTAAGACTCGTGAATGTAACGAGCAACAAAAGAAGAAATAGCAAGTAATAAATTCAGTCTTTCAAAATTCCTTCCTTGAGTTTGACACTTTGCGTCTTGATATAATTCAGCTCGTCCGCCATCTGTGTTATCTTTTTGACGGCATCATCAAGTTGCATTAGCTTCGAGTCAGCATTTTTGTAGAGCTTAATCGAATTAGAGTACAGCTTGATTATAGTTTCCTACTCCTTGATTGTCTGCTTTAAGTTGGTCTATGCAGTGTCTCAAATTTTGGATTTCCGCTTGCTGCGATTTTATCTTCTGCTTGAGCTTCTTGTCTATTGCCGCTTCCAGGTCAGACTTCAAGGACTGGCTAAAAACAAAATTTGTAGCCCTGGTCTAGACTGAGAATAATTACCTCTGGTCCTTTATTATTCGCGCTGCTTGGTCTATAAGCGGGTCATCTATAGGAGGAAGACTATCTTGAGCGAGTTTTGCGAGTATTTGAGCCTTCAATGCAACATACTACGTCAATAATGAGAATGTCATTAAAGTTTTCCACATATATTGAAAATTCCAAATATAGCTCTGATCAATTTAGTTTCCGAGTTTGACGTAGACACATCTTTTCGAACGCATCTGCTTCGCTTAAAACCCCAACCTGCCACTTTACCTCGCTTTTTTGGCATAGTTGATTTATCTGCAAAGAAACAACAACAATGTTTGCGTTAGTGTATATTTTCGTCTTCTAGAACAATTCAAGGTTTTTTTCAGAAAAGCTAATCGGCATCATGTATAGCTGTCTTTTTCCGAGTTTTTCTTCTTTTCTTTCTAATAAGTTTATAGTAATAACTTGACTTCATTTAATATAAAACTCTTCCCAGCGCGAAATTCGATGTGGACGGATGTACCTCCGATCTCCGGCGGAATGAGGGGCGTTTTGACTTCAAATCCATAATTGGTACGATATTAAGTAATGCCGAAAGAGCACCTTCAATGAGTTTTAAATCTGAAACATATTCGAGCAGACGAAAATGATATTTGAAAACTCAAACAGAAGATGCAACACCACTTGATGCGTTCTCATAGCTCCTTCTCCTAAACATTTACTAGCAAAGGAGGGTGGAATCGGACCCAATGGAAGTTTGAAATTCCGTCTAGTCGTTAGGCGATTTGGCGATAAAAAAGTAGCGACTAGACCATAAAGGATTCGACCGTAACGCCTTTGACGGAATCGTTTCCACTATGGAAATGAAACCGAAGAATCTTTAATGGATCATACTTGAACCATATTCATTCAGCTTTTTTGTCTAGACCACATCCTTTCAAATAGACGATTACTCAAACTAACATGCCAAATTCTCCCCCGATTCGAAAAGAATATTTCAATTACCTCCGCCAAATTAGTCCAATGATGATGAGAATACATACGCTAAGGAAAGCTGTGGGAGGATGCAATCTGTGTTCACATAATAACAAAATTTATCTAAACCATTAGATTTCTTTAATGTTTTCAAAGAAACGAATTAAACCCTTTCTAGAGCAAGAAAACTTATCGATCCCGAGGAAACATTATTAGCTTAAAGAAGGCTGGCTAAGTTTCAAAAAAATGGAATGCTTAATAGTCCGAGCCCTTAACTTGAGTATCACATAGTTGACTTTCAGTCGGATAATGCTCATAAACAGCATCGTCTATTTGCATTATCGTTTCTCATTCCATGGGAATCAACAATGTCAGAAGACTAAAGACATCAATGATCAATTTCTGAAGAATGAATTCCCATGCCTTCTTTGATATCTTTCCTTGCTCCGACAATGGGACAGCTGAGAAAATTCTTTTTATAGTCTTGACAACAACAATGAAATACCTACAACCATCTTGGGAATCGCAGGTCGCAAAGAGCAGGTTTTCTCCCTTTATAATGTTCAACAAAAATTCTACTGAAATGGCGTTGAACAAAGTTTTAGCCGGACCTGGAAGTAAGACGAGCAGCAGTAGCGCGTATTAATTAGTCGTTTACAAGCATACCAGAGTTTTGGTTTTTCTTCACTCAGCGAAGCGGCCACTACATTGAAACACTACATTCAAGTTCTTATTTTATCCTTGACTGTCAATTTACTGATTTGCAGTTATGCTCATTGCAAACGCCACCAGAGCAAACACCAATTGACGCCAGTAGACATAAAAGCTTCATTTTCGTTCTCTTTTATTCGTATTTTTAAAATTGCTGTTTCTGCGCTCAAGACGTTTATGTAATTAGGATGGGCTTTCTGAATAATAGACTTTGCGATTTAGCGACTCGAGAAAAGTACACCTGCTTTTACATATAGAAGCATTCATAAAATCCAGCGGAAATCGGAAGCCCTTTTCTATTTGAACAGACACAGATAAAACACCTCTAACAGGATATTCCTTCCCGTTTCAAAAATAGTCTATCGATTTACACGTGGCTCGGACCATGCATTTGGACCATAAACGAAGGTTTCGAATTGTATTAATACTAGTTTTGACGTACGAGTTCGCCATCTCCGACAAATACAGAAATCATTTCATGAGCCCAAACTTAGGGCTAGTGGATAAAAGGAAACAATTTTTTGCAGTGTTAAAGTAATTCATTAGACGGCCCGATATTATCGAGCCTGCTTTAGAGCTGAGCTGTTACTGATCATCGCCCAATTTAATTTCCACTATAGGCAGGTTAGATGGGATAATCACAAAAATACACTTTCAGTTGACAACTCGCAATCTAATTAGATTTTTAAATATTTCTAGTTACTGTAAAGTGTTCTTTAAAGATTCTAGAGACTTCTCAGTGACTAGCAGATTTTGAGGATTCTCGAGTCATTACATTGTCCGCCTTGAAAGTGCCAGGAAGAAGGAAAACTGAAAAGCAAGAAGGAAAATCTTCAGCGACGGCGTCTAGATTCCGTCGGGAAATACTCTAACAGTCGAATCTGTCGGGCTGACAGAATTCAATAAAAATCCGTTCCAGATATATTCTCAATTCCACTGGTTTAATTTGGCGATTCCAATCATGTAATATCGAATTTATGCTAATTTCTTCCGAATTTGGCGCTTACATTAACCGATTCGAAATCGAGGGATACTAAATCGAACATGTTTGACTTATCGTTTGATGACGATAATTGAAACAATTAACACGCAGAAATTTCATTAACCGCTTTCAAACTCATAAATCTTTTGAAGCTAATTCGAAATGATACTTGTGCTGACTTTGGTGGAAACTTTCACCGTTGAAATCATAGAAGAGAATCTTTTCAAACAATGATATTCAAGTTTTCGTGATAAACGCGTAAGCTCTTCAGAATAAAATTTGAAGGATCATCAGAAACAACAAATCATTCCTAAAAAATTACCTTGGAATGAGACGACGATTATGGGAGTTTGTCTTAATTGCATCTAACGATAGGAAATAGAAGATATGAGTTGGAGAAACCAATTTGAAATTGTTTTGATCTTGCCGTCATCAATTTCGTCTGATTGATGTCTTGAGTGTTTATTCCTATCGCATTTCTTGATATTGGGAAGGAATTAAAGAAGTCGTTCGCGAATCATAAGCACGATTGCCTAATTTCTTGCGCGTTTAGCGCCCCCATCCGACGATATAGCGCCGACTGTCCGTCTTTTAAATACCCACCTAAGCCATGCTCAGTCATACTCACAAATTAACACAAAACAAACCTTTTACAGAGGCATTTTCTCGAGTAATGGAGTCTGTTCAACCTTTCAACAACACCTTGCATCACTTAGTATTGCTGCGCTCGCTTAACAAGCTCCTTCAACGAAGGAACGAAGGTTACCAACACGAATTGCAAGGTGCATTCCCAAATGGAAGCTACAGTGCTGCTGTCGCTACTGTTTCAGCCCCATTATCACCGCGTAAATCCGAGATTTCGCACAGCGTCGATGCGATTTTATCGAAACCATCGTCCCCGAGTATATCGCCTCGACAAACTTCGCCGACCCCACCTGCTATGCTTCCAACGGTGACTGTGGGATTGCCTTCCCGACTGCTTCCTCCACCACTTTCTATGCGACCGTTCTTTTCGAGCTACTCGCCAAACAGTGTAATGCCGAGCTTGGTCCTGCCTAAATCGAAGAGGAATCGTACCGTCTTCACTGCAATTCAACTGGAGCGTCTTGAGCGTTGCTTCGAAAAATGCAATTACTTGGTCGGCACTGAGCGTTCCAAGCTTGCCAACGAACTAAGACTTAATGAAACGCAAGTCAAGGTCTGGTTCCAGAATCGACGAATCAAGCACCGAAAGCAGAATAAAAACGCTTCTCCAAGTGTGAGCCCCGAAGACAGCGGCGAGAGTGATACCGACGGAAAGACGAGATCTGAATCTTGAAAGACGAATAACGTGGCATTTGCCCGAGAATTTTCACTTTGACTTCTACTACTTGTTATTTGTGTTATTTTTAAAGAAAATGTCTTTTGACGAAATAAATTATTGTGCAAAATAACTACGACTCCAGACTTTTCTTACGCTACGTCTCCTGATCAGAGTCTTTCATCTTCTTTTCCTTTAGATGATTAGTATAGAAATGAAGCTCAGCATCAAAAGATCTTAAATGCGGAAAAGTGTCTATTGTCTCTAGACTCATTACGTGAAACGTGAACAGCTGTTGTGACGGAAAAGAGTTTAGTGACGAGTTTGGGACAAACTCTTTCCGCTCCATCGTCGATTTTCTATTTAGTATATTTTTGAGCACCAAAGATTATATATAAATCATTTTAAAACTGTCTCATTTTATTTGTAAAAGAAGCTAGCAAGATTTCAAAGGGGAACTGTAGGAGAGTTGTTTGCTTCTTCAATAGAAAATTTTAAACGTGGCGATTTCGGTTTTTAATATTAGATTAAAGAGCGTGGCTTTCTCTCAAGGGTGCCGATTACTCTTTTTCAGCTCTCACAGTTGGTTTCGGGTGCACGTTGATTTCAGGAAGAATGAAATTCTATCGAAATTGGGTCTCGTTAATTCGCCTCGCTCAGCGTTACACTGCAAGGGCCCTACTACAATATATGATAAAGTGGGGATTTCCTTTAATTCCAGTGTTTAATTTGGTTAGATGCGTCAACTAATGCAGGTGTTCCGAGTCGATAACGTTTAAGACGGGTCTACTAATCAGCGACGCTTCCGAAGTCGTAAGAACTCGAGCTTACAGTTCGATCTTCTTATTCGCAATATTCGACCTTCTGTTGTAAGTTATAACTTTGAGTGACAGTGATTCTCTTCAGAATGTTTTTATTGACGCAATTCGAAAATGTACAAACAGGTGCGCGAGATCTCCGTTCCAAGTTACAAATATTTTTGGCAAAAAGTAGATATCCATCCATTGCGTCTTTTCTCCACTGTCTTCAGCGCGAGTTGTTTCGTAAATATTCTCCTGCCGAGTGCCAACAACTGATAAAAACCAGGCCCACCTTCCTGAAAATTGGCTTCTTCCGGACCACATCTTCATCACTTATTGCATGTACGGTTGAATTTATTAAAATACCTTGATTATCATTCAAAACGACGTTGCCATTCTCACGTTTTCAAAAATAGTTCTGTTTCACAGCTGCAGAACGCTGGGCGATAACAAGCTCATTCCTCTCGATGTAAATGCGCCAGAACGAGCAGGAGGCGTAGAGCGAATTCTTTTGTAAATATTTTGGCATAAAGAATCGCATAATCGCATACAGCCCTCTTCATAAATTTACATTCGAAAAGGCGCTGCTCAAAACCATTATCTAGTTATGCGCAAACGAGCGAAGAAGCGCTTCACAGGCGTTTTGCTCGAAAGTATTGCAATTAATTTCGCGAAAGTTTAGAATGACGAAAGGCGACAGGTTTATCGGATCACCCGAGCAGCTATGTTTATTTCTAGCTCTTGGGATGAAACAGAAATGAAGTATTGAAGCACGCCCTCGGGTGCGCCGTCTTGAAATTTATCGGAAGCGCGCGATTTATTCGAGTACTTTGTTGCCACAACTTTTCATTTGTAGCACATCATCGTCCAAACAACCTATCAAAGCGGGGCGCTCCTTTCAGAGTGAAATTTTTCATGTGTTGGAGAATGCACTGTAAATATTTCGGGCTTACGGTTTCCTTTGAAAAAAAGTAGCTGTGTTATTTGGTTTGGTATCGGCGCTGGAACAAACCTGGGCTCAATCCAACAAGCTCATGTGGCTTGTATTCCCGTGACTAAATTGGGAAAAAGGTGAAACAGCCACAAAGATCAGAGCGGGAGAGGAAAAAGGCGAATTAAAATGTTTCGTGTATTTGACAAGGATATTAATAAATGGAAAGTGAATGAAAATAAAATTGATTGTTTGATCTCCACTGTTGTGAGGTGATTCTCCACGTGCAGAACGAGCGTTACCAAAACTGTCTAATATTGCGGATCAAGGAGTTTTTACTCAAATCACGCAAGAAGAAGCGCATTCAATAAAGTAACATTTGTTATTTTCACAAAGAGAGTTCCCGACCTACTTGTTTCCGAATAAATAGTTTTAATTCGGATCCGTGATGGCTTGTAACGAAGAGTTTGCGTAATAAAAATCATACAACTCTTGGTCAATTTGATGGTTACCAACCTACTCTTTCGATATTTCTGGCAATACTACCAACGGTTTTGATTTCATTCATGATTTCTGAGTAATCTTGAAACAGGAAGGTCTGGCAGCCAAGGTCTGCTCCTCCCGTGGGATGATGATGAGCAGAAGAAAATGCTGATCTTGGCTACTGAATCAATGGAAATGTTGCAAATCTGGAAGCGTACACATCGTTCTCATAATGTTTTATTTCCGTCCGCATCTCATTCCGCGATCTCTCCAGAGACTACATTTAAATATAGATCTATTTTGTAAAGTTGACGTATCAAATAGTACACACTGAAGAGATGGCAGCTCCATCGTCGCAACAAACATTAACCAGCGCTATTCAGATAAGTAGTAATTTAGAAAAGGAACACTGGAGTGATTCGCAACCGCAAACTCTTTCTAATTTCTGCTGAAGAGAACTCTTCAATCCAAGCAGAAGGAGTTTCAGGCGAGTTACAAAAAAGCCACAATATTCCGTATTTATTAGCTAAAGAGATAAGAGGACGGTTATCGTCGAAACAATAACCGAGTGATAAAAAATGGAAATACGAAGAAATTTTAGATGGCCCAAGAAAGCGTTCGGCAAATAATCACCATAACATTGAGAGCATGCTTCCCAGTTTCGATATTGCTAGTTGAAGGAGCAAAGAACTCAGCTGTTAAATTATGTGCAGAGCTAAATACGGAAACAGGCAACGCGCAAAGCTACAGCAATCTACTATTTGCACTTTGCGTCGTTTTTTATTCAAAAGCATCCGCAACAGCGCATGCTACGTCGATAGTTGGGTTGCTACCTTCATGCCAGTCCGTAGCCCTAAATCTGTTTCTGCATCTATTAAAAAAAATATAACATCCCATATTCCGAGTATGATATTCGCTTGCTGTATTTCATAATATCTTACGAGAATATCCAAAAATTGTCAAGATTCATTTCTGAACTGATGATTCTACTTGTGCATCTAACTATATGACGATATTTTCCCAAAAATATGGCGCAGTAATGCTAACTATAACGCTTGATTTCTTCTTCTCGCATTTAAAAAGATGGCATATTCGCTGAATACGAAATTGCGGAGTGTTGGCGACGAGCCACCGCGCGCGCAACCTTTCCGTTTTCATCCCTTTAGCGTTTCCAAATATTAATAGAACGACTGGCAAACGATTAAACCAAAGTCTGCCAAATACGTAACTGCTCAAAATACGACCTTTTGGATAAATAAAACAAGACCACTGTGCGCGTGTTGGGAAAAACACACGATCTCATAGACGGACATATTTTCTGTTCTTTAGCAACAAACTCAGCTGAGCAAGTTTTGATTCCAGCGCCGATTAATGATCCCCGATATCGATCAAAGTTGTGTGAAGGCGGTACAGACCCTCAAAGGACCGGAAAAAGCCGCGATGTAAACTTTGAAAATCAGAAGCGCGATCTGATAAGAGAATCTTTGGGAATTAATTCACCGACCATGCCAAGCTCGGGAAATAAAATAATGCGATGTTACAGCAGTCATTTTCAATATTTAATCATTACGCTCTGTCGATTGACTGACGTGTGTAAGAAGAACTTTTTTGCTGTTTATTGACAGAGTGTTTGTGGTTGCATGTGATTAAAAAAATATCCAAAAAGTGAGCCTGTGAATAATTTATTGAATAATTGCCGTTAAAGAATTTTTAAGGGACTTCAAGCACTTGCTCAATGTGGACAAAAATACTCAAGCTTCTTTCATAGTCTTTTCATACGAAAAGGAATTATTTGAACCAATTTAGAAGGTTGAGAGTGTTTTTTCAATAAATAATTTTTCAACAAAATTATGTTCAAAGATGGCGACTGGCTTGAAATTCTATGTGATTAATGATTTCAATGATTTTCTATCAAAAAGGGGAAATATTGACAAATTGAAAATTAACTAGGATTTTCAGAAAAAGGATTCTTGGACTAGTTGAAATGAGATTTCCATGATCTCTAAAACGGAGGATTTTTTCGCTTCGAGCTAACCGAAAGACACGACCTCAGAAATACTAACTCAGAGGAACGGTTGGTGCCATTCTCACCACAGTGTATCTTGCGGTTGCATTGAAGCTTTCCACCTCTGTAGCGCCAACTAGCACCTGTGCGCTCGCTGCCGCCGCCGTTCCGCCGCTCCGCCGCGCTCTGACAGCGCTTCATCCTTCTTTACCGCTTTTCCCAATCTTAATCTTTCTACCTAAAGTACGAAAATGAAATTTGGATAAGAGATTATTGAAAACGTCGAACTGCAAGAAAAATTTTGAAAAGGTAATCATTTTTTTGTGAAAGAGGGATTTTGAGTACTTTCTTAAGCAGATTCACTCTAGTGCACTAGAATCGACAGCAAGAGAGTTTATCAATTTTTTTTATTTTCTTTTCATTTACACCCGTTTTTTTCGTTGATTTGATACTAAATCAAGTTGCAAAACGGGCATCATTATCGATTCAAATAATTTGGCTCAAAAAATAAATTATTTTTGTAACTGTAAATTTTATTATAAAATTAATTGTAACTTTTGATTGCAACAGTTTACATGTTCATTCAAAGATAACATGGCTTCCGTCGATTCCAGTAAAACGCAGCGGAACATTCAAAATTACATTCAATACCGCAAGTTGAGCATATCCATTGCTACATCATTAAGCAAAGCCAGTTTAGAAGATAATAAGCGTGAACTACCAGAGCGTCCACGTGCTCCTTTACACTGTATTTGCAACGTGCTAGTTTTGACAATATCATCTTCAAGATAATGCGAACGGACATAAACATCCCAGACTTCGATAAAAATGCCCCACGAACTTTTCTTTCGAAGATACGATTTCGAATTTTCAATAGCCAGTTTCATGTCTTTTTTCGCAGTTTGCTTGCAAATTATTGTGAAAGGGCAATGTCTTAGATTTGACAGAAGATAGTATTAAATGACTGCCATGCATAATTAAAGTTTTTTTGAACGGCTTTAAGGGGCGAAAGCTGTCACATACCGTCATTTAGGCAGTGCGACAGCCTTCTGTTGGTCGATTAATCCATTGCAACTCACGCGATGTGAGCAATTTCATCAAAATATATCAATTTAATCCTTTTTGTTTTCAGCTAGGAGCGTACATAGAGATTTTATTTATTGAAATATTTCTGTTTAAAGAAGTCATTGCAGAACGTGATTAGATAACGCGTCGAATTCCGAGCCAAATCCTGATCCTAAGCAATGAATTTCCTTTATCATGCAGAACTGTGCCCCGTTCCCAAGAGGTTTTACTGTATTTTTAGGACGAGTGCATGCGTTAATAAAGTCTCACTCTGTGCCCATGACGGTGTTTGTCCTTCTTTTGGTTGTTGCTGGTGCTTGTCCTCCGGAATGCCGATGCGACAGTCGAAAACGAGTTTACTGTAATGACCGCGGTCTACGTTCTCTGCCCAGCGGAATTCCAACAGATACACAGATTCTCTATCTTCAAGGTAGCAGTTTGTACACATATTCGTACCAATCTATTCCCCTAGACAATTTACTCGAGTCCTCCAGCTCACTCAACGAAGGATTATTGAAGCTGACGGAGTTAGAAGCGCTCATGATTTACAAAAATCGTCTGACTGAGATACCTTCGCTCAGATCTGACACTCTGCGCACATTGAGACTGAACACAAACAGGTCAGTCTGTCAAACAATCATATATTTAACTGTGAACGTTTCATACGAGTTAGTATTGATTTAACTCCGTTAAGAATCTCTAAAATTTCCGACGACGCATTCATGAAAACTCCTTCGCTTCGAGAACTTATCCTAGACGACAATGTCTTGACTACTTTTGGAATCTCGTCGCTCAGTTTCCGTGGTCTGAAGAAGCTCTCGATACTTTCGATGAATCAAAATAGCTTCACCGAGTTTCCGCAAGAACTTCCCGAGAGTCTATCCGCTCTGTACTTGGCACAGAATCAAATAAGCTTCATCTCGAATAGGTCCACGGCGCGATTAACTAATTTGACAGTCCTGAGTTTGGCGGAAAACAAACTGTCAGACGGTAGCTTCGAGGAAAACACATTGAAGAATCTCCGTCAGCTGAAGGACCTACGCCTTGGGCACAATTTCTTCTCCTCAATGCCACCAGATCTTCCACGAAGTCTTACTGAGCTCTCGCTTATCGCAAATCAGATCATGACTCTCAAGGCTGACAGTTTAAAAAGCTTCCAGGTATTCTTCGCGAGAAATTCATCATAATTATCAAACACTCATTTCTACACAACAATTGATATAATTTCTTAAGTCTTTACGATCACTTGATATTGCCCATAATCGCTTGCAATGGGTTGAGCGCAATGCTTTCGACGACCTCTTTTCGGTGGATCGAATCGACTTGGGCTTTAATAGTTGGACATGTGACTGCTATACGAAAAACTTAGTGACTTTTCTACAAAACTCTCCTCGCTGAGCGAGATCAATGGCGCTATCCAGTGCGGAAGCGAAAGCATTGAGCTCGGAACTCTCGTTGAAGATGCACTCGTTTGCGAAGCAATCAAGCCCAACATCAGCGTCATAGAAAATCTCGCCTCGTTACAGTTTAGTCTTTCGGGGAAAGAATCGCCTCCTATGTCAAACTACGAGCTGCATTACAAAGAACTTTGTAAGTACTCAGACTTCTATGGAATATTCAAAGGCGTTAGTATCTCAAACGATGCCAAGTGTCCGTTTAGCAGCCTTGTTCTGTAAATTAATTTGCGAGGTCCTTGTTAACAGCGGCTCGCACTGTTCTTTAATATATTATCAATTCGTGCGCGTTTTAAAACATGTTTATAGCATCTAATGTAACTAACGCCGTGGTTATCAATCCAGAGGAGAACCTTCAGCTGGAACTTTCCAATGGCCTTTGGCAGTTCTGCATTTTGAACAATTTTCTTAGTTCAAACTTGTCAATTGAAGATTGCTCAACGATTAGTATTGGGCAGCCAGCGCCTTCAACGGGGCAAGGAGGGAATGCAAGCGAGAACAATGTTGGTCCCGAAGCTCTTATGGCGATTGTAATTGCAGTAATTGCCATTGTTTCGATTGTCGTCCTCGTTGTTTTCATCACCTGTCGACGAAAGCAATATTCCCAGATGAAGTACCTGTCCAACACGGACCATTTCTATTGCCCAAAGCGATTCAGCCCAAATCAAACTTCCACCAAGGCCAAGACTAACGCAAAGGAGCTAACACTTGACGCCTCGAAAGAGTTTGCTGTAACATTGATGCTGCGGCAGCCGCCAGAAGACAACCGATTCTACAAAGTGGATTCAAACGCATCCGATGTTTATGACACTGGCTACAGTGGCAGTTCTCGCCAAGACAGCAGTCTATTCATATAACTAATATATTTAATGACCCTTTTCCGAACTGTTCATTGTACAATTTTCGCACAGAAATCTGCCGTTTTTATGTAAATAATAAATTTCATTTTCAATTCCTCATAAGTGAGCCCGTAATTGATGTTATCATTAAATTTGATACTGGCTCCATGATACACTCCATTCAATTTAAAAATGCATTCCCAAAATAGGAAATATAATTGATGTCTGCAAGGAGCGAGGATTCAATTTTTAAGTGGACTTGAAAACGTGTCTCCCGGGTTATGAATAAAGAGAATGGTCGATTTCGCTTAGCGGCCACAGTATTGAATCTGCTCAAGTAGCAACTTTCCTCTGCGGACGGATTTGGAGTCGGTTGGCATTTCGCCGGCTGTTACTATGCGTCGAGTGGGGCACTTGCTTATGACTATCACGAGTGCGTAAAGTGGCGGAATTTGATAATCGATGCTGCCGAGGCCTTCCAAAACTCACCAAACGCAACTGGAGGCGGATTAGTTTAGTACTTTATTTTAGCAAAGCGGCGATAGCAGCTTATCACTCGGTGTTGTGAAGCAATTTGATATATTCTAATGATAAGGGCACCTTTCTGCAAGTAGCAGTTAGAGAAAAGAGAGTATGACTTAATTCGCTTGCGGTTGTAATTTTGGCCGAGTGGCAGGAAACACGACGAATTCCACCTTGTTCTTTGGTCAAAAAACGGAAAAACTCACTTTGCCTCAAACTCCCGCGTGTTCTAATCGACGACTATTGACGAAACGCCTTCACTTAGACATAACTCCCAGTTCCGCTCGATATTTTTAATTTATTCGTCTAAGACTGCCAAAATTGAGCAAAAAATAACCTATTTTTTCTAAGACGAGATAGAAAATGACTTTCGAATCGAAAAGAAAGCGAGATCGTTTTTTCTTGAATGCGAATAGAAAAAGAAACTCGCCTGTCATTTGAAAGATAAGCGAGATACGAACCACCATGGACTGGCGGGAGAGATTTTCATATGGAAGAGAGCAATCAGTCATGGTTTGCAAGATGTAAATTGTAACCATTATTACCCTAACCCAAGCACTAACTTCGTAACGTTATTGAGTGAGATTAAACCATAGAAGATTCCCTCCGTCAATTTAACACGGATACTGTCGATTCTTTTATGGCCCAACATGGTCATCATCGGGAGCGCCGAGATATGCATGCGCGTAGTCGCAACTCAAGCCAAATGCACTATTACAACCGAGCCCAAGACCAATACCAACAGTACCATCATCATATGGACTACCGAAACTACTATCACAATCAAGCGCATCACTATCAGCCGAGAGTCGATGAGAGATTTCCCGCAGACCGATTTCCAGATGAAATTGACCGTCGCTACAGATTCTATGAACAATATCCATATCAGGATAGGCTCGATTATTAATGAAAAATATTTCGATTTAGAATTGAATAAATCCAAAAAACAGAATGCCCCCTTTTCGCCAAGAATGCACCCAGCAATGCTTGACCGTCAACGACGATCACAGTTATCGGCGGGAAGTGGACAGAGAAACTATTTCGGATCACAAATGGCGGCAGAATTCAATCAAGCTTCACAGCGAACAAGCTCATTATCTCGTGGATTGAATCGACAGCAGTCTCAATCCTTCTATCATTTTGACCTTGAAACGCAGCGATCAAGTACAAGGTACAGATTGGCAATAAAATTTCGTTCTTAACAACATTTTAGTAATTTATTTGAAAAAGAACGTTCTTCTCAATTTGGTCAACCAGAAAATTCTACTACGGAGGTTGACGAAACGAAGAGGCTGAAGACTATCGCAGAAGAGGAAACAGGATTCGTCTACTCTCAACGGGACCTTAGTCGTCAGAGATCGATAGGGGATACTCAGCATTCAGCAGGGGAAGAAATAGAGAAAACATTTGAAAACTCATCGTTCATTCGGCCACCTGGCTTTGTTAACGCATCAAATTATGAAGAGAGCATTGTACTAACGACAACTAAAACTGTCGAGGATGTGGATACAACTCGCGAGAAATCAACAGATCATGAGTGCCATGCGGGTACTGTTTCTATTTCCAAGTAAAAAGTACCTTCTACTTTAGTGGCAATTTGTTTTGGAAGCGGCAAAGAAAAATACGAAGTTGGAGTCGCAGCTCTTGATCCAACCGGATTTATTATAGAATCAAGTCAATTCGAAGACTCTCGTTCTTTCCACAAGACATTCGCGAAGCTAAACATCTTCCTTCCGCGTCTAATTCTCATGGCACCGAGGACAAGTATCCAGTTTCAGCATCAACTTAGGAGTGTTATTAGCAGAACGACGACAATACATACACTCACGAACAAAGCATTCGACTTTGATTGTGCGTTTGCGAATATAGAGATGTATGCTTCTAGGTAATTTGTTCATTTTTTCCTTCTAAATTAAACATTTCATAAGAGGCTTATCAATGAAGATTGAAGACATTCGGCCATACGTGCAAGCAGTAAGAGCAATTGGAGGACTGATTGATTTCTGCAAACGAACGGCTACTGTTAAAATACAACTTTATCACGAGTCGATCGTCTTCAAATTCGACACCGGCATTGATAGTGCCTTTGTATCGAAGAATACAGCGGATACGTTGGAGTTGGTGACTTCAAATAGACCTTCGCAATCGAAAGACGAGGACTATTCTGTATTCAAGTCTCTTGGTATTCCATGTCATTGTTTTAGGATAGTAAATTAAGTTTTAGATTATTGCCTCACTTCAAGTGGTCGACGTCTTTTGCGAAATTCACTGCTTGCACCATCCTGCAATGTCGCCGAAATTGAGCATAGACAGTCGATGGTCATTGAAATCGTCGAAAATAATCAATTTTTCTTCGCGCTGGAAAACGTGCTTCGACGTTGCCCTCCAGATTTTGGAAGAACGCTGGGCTTTGGCATCATCCTTGAACGACGAGCGGAATCGCTCAATACTTGCATGCAGTGTGTATGCTACTGCAACGATCTTCTCAATGGGCTAAATCTTCTTCCAGAGATTCAGCAGGTTCTCGAATTATCTAAACACAAAGCGTTTGCTCGGATGAAGAGAACTTTGGAGAATGAGGACTACAAGAAAATTCAAGAAAAAATAGAAGAAGTCCTCGATGCGACCCCAACGAACGATAAGAACCAAACGGCGAGTAGACGGGAGATCATCGTCGCCGCGATCAAAGCAGGAAAATCAGATGCTATTGATCTGAATAGAAAAATTCGTGAAAACCTTTTAAAAGAATTCGACGATGAAGTCAATGCATGCTCGGACAGATATCGTATTTCACTTACCAAGAAATACACCGTCGGAAAAGGATATCACATGTTCACTTCTCGGAAAAACGAAGAACGATTCGAGAGAGACGCTTCTCTATCCGATCTGATGATTGTTGACCGATCGAAAACCCAGCTTAGCTTGACCAGCGACAAAATATCAAAGCTGAACGCAAGAATCCATGAAGCAGAAGATGATATTGCTAGCGAGGCTTACTCCATCTGTAAGTAACCGCTTTTATCTGTAAAAAATACGATATTTTTAGTGCTTCCAATCATGACGACTTGGCGTGAGAATATTTATTTGCTCTATGGAATTTCAGAAGTCATATCCAACTTGGACTTATTTCACTGATTAGGGTTTAATTATTTGATTTTTGAAATAATTTTGCCAATGTAAACCCTAAATAGCTTTGGTGCCATTTCCAGGCAGAAAAATTGGTCTGTTCCGACTTTTGGTGACAACTTAAACATGAACGACTGTAGAAATCCAATTATCGGGCTTCTTGGAAACAAAGCTGTGGGAAATTCTGCATTCATTCCACCAGAAAAAAGTGGAATGCTCATTACTGGCCCAAACATGGCAGGAAAAAGTACTTTTTTGTCTACAATTGGCGTATGTCAAGTGAGTTATGCGACTTTAACCTTATCTAAAATTTTTAAAGATAATCGCCCAGCTTGGTTGCGCCGCACCTGTGTCTGAAGGTTCGAAGACAAAAGTTTTCAAGCAAATTCGTTGCAATATTGATCAGGTAATTCAGTTTTGATTACACTCAACTTATAAGTTATAACTTACAATTTCAATAACGTGAGTTTGAAAGGACAGAATGCAAATTTCTGGGACCTGCTCTTCAAACTCGTTTTCGGAGGATTTAAGCAACATCATGGCGGCAGCAGAGCAGAGTAAGCTTAGAAAATATTGATAAACTTTAACGTCATTGATTCTGAAGATTCCCTTCTCCTGATTGATGAACTTGGAAAAGATGTATCTAACATCGGCGTCGGCGCATCAACAGCATATGCTCTTCTCGAACGACTCGCCAAGTCAGAATGCAACTTTTTTTTCGTGACGCATTTTCCTGAACTGAAGAAAATTCTACCATCTGAGAAGGTATTAACGCTGCTCTGGCATTATTTCGAACATTTAAAGATAATATGGGGCGAATTCGAAGCCAAGCGTATTCGACGAGAAGACGGAAAAGTTATCACTCTTTCCTACAGGTGCCGGTTTTGTTATAAGCGTCGAGATAAATTCGATTCTTGTGTACCACTTGTGGTACATTTGACACTTCAAAATTTTATATTTTAAAACTTGCTTTAAAGTTACAAGCTGGAGACCCCTTCAGAAGATAAGGCCCATTTAAAAATCTTCTGGTGTGCCCCTCGGGGTGCTTTAAGCATTAATAATGTCCTTTGTGATGCCTGTGAATAAAGTAAAAGTAAAAAAAGTAAAAGTATAAAAAATATTTTGTCTAAGTATGAATCAAACAGCATCATTGCCGGTCTAATGAGCCTTTAAAAGATTATGAAAAGAAGACAAGATTATGGAGTTGAATTGGCAGAATCGCTTATTTGGCCGACTGGTTGTGTTGAAAGGCTTCGTGCGATTCAAGGTAAGATTTCCAAGAAAGTTTCTCTCCCAAAAATATCTAAGATAAAATGCTGACTGAGAAACGAGACGCGATTTATGCCGCTGAACGAAAAGCTGAAGACCAGGAAATTGCAAAAACAGCACTGATGTTTTGCTCCTTCTATAAAAATAAATACTCTCAATCATAATTATCTGTGTATGTTTATCGCATTTTAGTTGTTACTAGCGCTTAGGAATCGGTAGGATTAGAGATCAAAATAATTTAAATTTCTATATTGCATATGAAAGATATACCCTCCCCACGGTGTAGATTTATAATTTTATTGGATAAGATAATCACTTATTTAATATTGTTAATTCGCACATTTTTCCATTCACGTGGGCATTCGACTGACCGAGTCTCAGACAAATATCGAACTTTCGACTACTCAAATGAGTAAAGGTTATTTGATTGGTAGCCCTTAAAAGGGCTTGTTTTGAACATGAAAACATCATGTTTACTTTTTTGGGGCGGCAGCAGATGGTCGTGGAAGAAGGCTTGGATGGATGATTTGTTGAGTTCCACCCTGGGCGATCGTAACACTTCCAACGAATTTATGCAAGTCGACGTCGTCCGAGATGGCGAGCTGGATGAAGCGGGGTTTGATCGTCTTCTTCTTTTCCTGATGCGCAGCTTCGCCGGCGAGATCGAGCACTTCGGCACAGAGATACTCGAGAACAGCGGCCATGTAGACAGGAGCCCCGATGGAGACCTTCTTGTTCGGGTTCATCGCTCTCATCTTGCGTTTGATTCTGTGAACAGGGAGGGCTACACCAGCTTGCTTCTGAATATCCTTGGGCTTGCGTCCTGTTCGCATTGCTCGCATCTTGTCCATCTTCGCCTTTGCTTCGGCTGACCCCTTGACAAAACTCTCGGGAGACTTGAAAGTAACTTTCATCGCCTTCTTCGATGGTGCCATCTGGAGTGTTTTCTTCAAGTTTGTTTTGAAAAAGTTTCCCAGATATTTTATCTGGTTTGAGATTTTTCGAATGATGAATTCTGGCATTGACGGGCCTTTTTATATTCTCAGCTGGGAAGAACAGTGAGAAAGAGCTCAATAGCGCCACCTCATGGAATGATTCCTCGGTTATCGTTGATAACAGTTCGCGAGGTGTCGATCGAAAAAATGATGAGTCGGCGCTAATCCCTTTCGCGGCGCCGATTTGGCAACTTTTGAGTTGTCTCCCGCACGGATCGCCCGGTTTTCAAACAGCCGAGGAATCATCTCTTGAGGTGGCGCTATTTTGCTTTTCCTTGCGTTCTTCTCACCTGACCGTATAAAAAGGCCGAAAAACTAAAAATTCATCATTTTCGAAAACTGCCCATTCGAAAACACAGAATTCCAGACAACAATTTCAAAACAAAGATGGCTCCTAAGCGAGAACGAGCAGGCTCAAAGATTCGACGAAGGAACTCGGAACGCAACCCTCTCAAATTGTCGATGGCGAAGAAAAACAAGAAGGAGAACTTCTCTTTCTTTATTCACAAGGTTCTGAAGCAGGTCCACCAGGACATCAGCATTTCATGCCGAGCCATGAACGTTATGAACAGTTTCGTCAACGATCTCTTCGAACGCCTCGCCACTGAAGCGTCTCGACTTGCCAAGATGAACAAACGATCGACAATTTCTTCACGAGAAATCCACATAGCAACTCGACTTATCCTCCCTGGCGAACTCGCCAAACACGCAATTTGTGAGGGCACCAAAGCTGTCACGAAGTATGACAGTTCACTTTAGCTACAATTGTAGTAAAAAGGCATTAACTCGTTCTGAACGGGTTACGGTCTCAAGGCCCTTTTAAGGGCCACAAATATATCAAGTTTACGAAACAACATAAAACGCCTCCTTTCAACTAGGAACAGTTGTTTTATGTTTTCAAGCCCTTCCCAAATCGGTGCCGCAAGTCTATGTACCATGTAAAAGATAATCTCTTACTCTTTCTATGTTCAAGCATTGCCCCAACTCTCTACATCTGCATTTCCGTTAGAATTTTCTTGCAAGCTTTCCGGGAAATTATCATTCTCAAAATACCTATAATGAAATGCTGTGTGAGAAACGAAGTTGCAAAAACAGCACTGATGATCTGCTCCTTCTATAAAAATTGCTCCAAGAAATAATTAATAATTCTCTCAATCATAATTGCTTATTTATGTTTTAATCACGAATATACAGGATGATAAAGGCAGTAAAATGAAAATGAGTTGTAAATAAATTTATCTACGGTCGAGGAAGGTCATCATATTCTGCATCATTTGAAGAAGATCGTCTGAGGGTACACTCTCTCCCATCCCAGTATCCCGCTTTAAGTCAGAGTCAGAATCAGTCTCAGATTCGCTGCTCGGTGATGGCGGACGTGGAGGAGGAACTTGGTTGACTGCTTCAATCAAATTGCTCATTTCTAAATTCTTGGATAAATACTTATTTCGTTTTTAACTGTTACCTTTAAGAGCGGATATGATAAAATCAGATGTTTGCACATCGATAGCTTTACGAAATTTGATGACATTGTCTGGGAGGCTATGATGGTTCTTCATATAGCTCCGAAAAGTTTTTGCGAGCGTTTTGTTTGCTCTCTTTCGCCTCTTCTTCAACTTGATCGGCTTCAGAAGCATGTTAGGGTTCTTGATTTTTTCTGGTGACTTTCTCGGCCTCGGCCTAAAAAACATGATTTTGCTGATGAAAAAATCTTTGATGAATGGTGATTTCTCGTTGTTTACTTACGAATAGATGATGTCTCTTTTGATTTTCTTCATCGGAGATTTCTGCACTGGAAGCCTGAAAAAGTTTTGAAATTGAATCCAATGTTGCTGTATTGGGACATAAGTTTCTAATGTATCTACCGATGATTTTTGCTGAGATCCCGAGAAGCGCGGCCATTACGGTGTTCTGGTGATTTGACTGTCTGTGGTTTGAAATCTTCTCTCTTCTGTTCGACCGGCTTCGTCTTTGTCAGCCGGGAGTTTTCTGTCTCTTCTATTTGCTCTTTTTTAACTTGTTGACGTAAACCAATTCTAGGGTTCGATGCAACAGGAGCCTCTGGTCCAGATTCAGAAGAAGGAACAAGAACATTCACTGGTGGAAGAAGCAGTGGTTTTGGGAAGCTTCTTCGGCGAGCGTCAGCTTCTTTCTTTTTCTTTTCCTTCAGCTCAGTCTTCTTCGTTTGCTCTAAAATATCCCAATTTTAGTTAATTCATACCCATCGGCCATGTGAAAACTTTTAACTTCTCAATGCACGTGGTCCAATCATTGGACCACGGCGACTTTGACCCCCTGTAATTCCCGTTGTAGTTATCTGTTTGACCTGAATTTTGAAATGTGAGCTGACAGGACAAAAACGAACCACTCTGTGAAGTTTCGAATGAAAACTCAAAAGTGGTGGCGTTTTGCGCCAGATTTCTCTTTCGCTCTCTGGTGAAAAATCGGAACGGATTTTTCGATTTACAATTATTTATTTTTATAGAAGAGGGTTTAAGCTTTCTAGCAATATATTCACGAGCTTTTTCGACCGACGGAAACGTCAATTAGAGCCAAAAGTCCTGAGCGCTGTTTTTCACACTCTGAATTTGGCGCGCCGCGCGGGGCTGGATAATGCATAATGCATTAATGCACAATTTGTGGTCCAATAATTGGACCCCGTGTTTTGAGCGCTTAGTCGCGCGCCCGTGTATTGAGAAGTTAAAAACACTGGATCTTACCTAGAATGGGCTCATCTTTAAATGACTTGTTCCACATTGGAGTCACGTCGAGCGTGTTGTCTTTTTTTACGACTCCCAAGAAGTCATCATCTGAAGAAGAATTGTCGATAATTGGGATTCTTTTCAACACCGCCGCACGCTGGGATTTTCTGGGTCTCGATTTCGCAGCAGCTCGAGACTGTTCTGTCGGCTCAGGTAGTCGCTTTCTGGCTCTGTTCTTAGTTGGAGCATAATCTTCGCTTTCGCCACAAGACGACATTGGGCTTGGCGATCTATCGGCCAGCTTGCGAGCTACGGTTTATTCTTATAAGTATCCAATTTTCTTTTAACTTACTCTTGGGTTTTTTCGAGACTTTACTTGGCTGGTGGCTCACCATCGAATCAGGATAAGTAAAAATGTCCGAACCTCCAACATTAAGTTCTGACCTCGGTTTTTTATTGAGCTTGATAGTTGGAGGGTCATCAAGACTGTCAAAGAGCTCATTTTGTTCTACAAAAATTATCAGATAATTCCAATATAAACTATTCCTACTTTTAATATTTCTTTTATTCAAGAAGTCGTCTGTGAATTTGGCTGCTCCAAATCTTCGGGAAGGAAGCGCTGTTGTTGGTTTCTGCACCTTTGACGTGTGGTCTTCATGAACCCCTTCGTTTTTAAGCTTCTGCTGACGTCCTCGTGGTCTTGGCTTTTTGGTTTCTTCTTTTGGCTTCTTGGCCGCACCCTGCCGAGTCTCTCTTTTTTCATTCTTTCCTAGTCGTCCGCGTTTTTTCTTTTCAGAGCCGACACTGGCTTCGCTAGATGTTTTTCCGAGCTCTTCAACTTTTTCAGTTTTCTTTGGTCGCCCTGGTTTTTTCTTTCCTGAGCTAATGCTCGTTTCGCTGGACGATTTTTTAGCCTCCTCTACTTTACCAACTTTTTGAGTTTTTTCATTTTCTACTTTGTTCGTCGCTCCTCGCTTCCTTGTCTTATTTGGGAGCTTGGGGGTAGAAAGTTCTTGTTGACGACGCAAGTGAGCTTCTTGCTTCTTTTCCCGGTGAGATTCAACCTTCTTTTTCCATTCATCGGGGTCAGTGTCTGAAATATAATCCTCAAAAATTTTATAGATATCACTTTTCTTACGCAAAGAAATCGTGCTCAAGGTATCAGGAGATGGGTTTCCAAGCTTTCTTGTTTCCGAGTTCATTTTACTTCGATGGATTGCAGCGAAGTCGGTTGAAGGTGTCTTTACTGGTACTTGTGGAATAGTCCATTTCCAAGTCTTCGCATACTTCTGGAACATCGTCATTGAAGTAGAGTTGTCGATATCGAAGGTGATTTTTTTGCCGAGAAGTGACCATGGTTCGTCAAAAAAACTATTGATCGACAGATCCAGAGTGAAGACAAATTTATCATTCACAATTCTTACATCGCTCTTGGTAATCATATCTGGCTCAATCGTGACTAACAAGAGAAAATTAGGCTTTGCAATAGTGTTTATCTTGTACCTTGAGCGCAATTGAGATCCCTGTGCCTTTCGGGAATCAAAGTCATAGCTCTCTTGTCCACCGAAATATGAGCTTGCTTAAGACGAACATCATCGTCATCTTCGTGGTTTGCGGACAACTGAATAATTATTAGTGGTATTCGTCGAAATAAACATCAAATTACCACTATGTTTTTGCATCGCAGTAAATCCTCTTTGTTGTCTTCAATGGTATAAGCGACGCATTTGTTTGGGACGGGAGTGTGTTTGGTCAAGCCCAAGTTTTTCGGAGCGAGTTTCATCATGTCAAATACCCGCGCAATGATGACTTTGATGGGAATGCGGAGCGTTGGGAAAGATCCTTGCTTGTAAAGCATCTCCAGGCGGCTGACGATTTCTTTTCTCTCCATCGGCTTGATGATCATCTTGCTACAGAGTGAAGCTTCTGTTAGCAGATGGAATATCGTAAAATCTCGGTGAGCTTTAAATCAAAATAAAAAAAACATCAGTGAAACCCTTTTACCAGCAGGGATTTGAACGCAGCAGATCTTTTTCACCGCCGATAAGTAAGACGTAGTGATGATCTCATCCATGATTCCATCTGATAATTGCCATGCCGAGAGAAAAATGCGCATTGCATATCTTCCTTTCTCAATGTTATCTTCCGTCAGCGTTTTTTTCTTGAAGAAGTTGACAAAACTCATAATGGTCTGATCAATGAACACTTCCAAGAGGAACTTGTCGAGTTTACAGCTTTCAGGTTTCGCGCTCCAGGTTTCGATCAGCTGCCTGAACGAACAACTCAGAAGGAGTTAGCTTTAGGTAACCCTTACCGAAAGACGTGGATGCCAACAAGCTGCGTTGTGTAGTTACTTTTCTTGTCGTGACTTCTGTAAACATTGGTGAGGTTGTCAAAGTCATCGGATCCCCACTCTTTCTCAAGCCTTATTTTTTTGTTCAAGCCAGAAATCAACGCTTTATAGTCGTTTTCCCTTGTGAGTTGGTTGAGACTGATTTGGTTCAAATCCACTTGGGGCGAATGAGAATCTATAAAGCAGGAAAATTATAAGCAATCATTTATAATATGGATAAAACGATAAGGTAAGTAAATGGATGTTTTAAATGATAAAGGACTTGATGGTTAGGAAGAAATGCTAATGGAGTAATTGGAAAAAAAACTTAAATGATAAATTGGAAATCGAGTAGAATCTTTTTCATTTGCGAAACAAACCGAATCCTTTACGGATAAAAACCAGTCCTTAGCGGCTCTCTCTTGGCGCTCGTCGCCGTCGTCTTCTTTGCTTTCGGCATTGCCCCAAATACTGATATCTCTTATCAGTATCAAAAATAAGAGATAGCAGTGTTCTAGAAACGATCTGATTCAAAATTATATTTTTCAGAGTGTGGGACCAACTGGTGTGAGCCAGAGTCAACGGAAGTGTGCGCCCTCTGCTCAGATAGGGCAACTCGCCTTACGATCGAGTCGAAACAGTCGACACGTGTACGTCCTCGGCCAATTGTGATTCTGCCACCTGATATTAACTCAAATTTCATCGAAACTCACTGCAAACAAACTCCTGCCTAGAAAAATGCTCTCGACCTCTGACTCGAAAAGTTCGGGGCCATTCTCGCTGCTTTGGCCGCGAACTTTACATTTAGCGTGGATATTCGTATGTTTTATAAAATAGATAAGAAAAGAATAAGAAAAGAGGTACAAATTTTCAATTTAAATCTTCGTCACGGAGTTCAGTCCTCTTCCTTGTCGCTGGTTTGTGTCCCCTTGCTCTCCTCGTCGACAGGTTTGCCTTGAAGTTTTCTGAGTTTTCGTTGCTGTCGCATGAAAATCTTCTTTCTAAAAAGAGTATAATTCGTTTATTCGCTGTTTTTCTTACATTTTGAGAAGCGCATCGCGGAGGAACTCGACGTTGTCCTCGTGCATTTCATTTTCGAATCGCAGCTTCCGGTTGTGGCTTTCCATCGCTTTCAAACCTCTGAGCATATCCGTGTGGAGAATCTGTTGCTCGTGGATAACCTGCTCCAGCTTGGCGGTGTACTCTTCGATGTCCATGTCGTCAGGTTTTCGGGACAAGACGGGCGTCATTTCTTCCAGCCCAGGCGGGTCTGACAGCTCGATAATTTCGATGGTGATGTCGGCCGAGTCACTGTCCTCCTCCTGCGCTACAGGCACTGGCGGCTTTGGCGCTCTGTTCTGTCTTCGGTTGTTCCCTGGGATTCGGTTTAAAACTGCAGCAGTAAAACTCACGGAAACTTACGATTTCTTGAGAAGCGTGTCATTTTTTGCCAATTTCTTTCGACGATCTGACCAAGAACACCTCCTGACCACAACAACTACCGCGTTTATCTAGAGATTACTGCTAAATTGCACCACTGGTGAGAAAAACTTTTATTTTCAACCAGAAGACCAACTTCCTTCAAGGAAAGAATCGTCGGCAATCGTCTCCATTATACAGGTGCCTACGTATAGTAATCTTTCGCTTTTGATTGGACGCCGGTGCTGCTCCTCTCCTTTGTCGCCAGAAAAGTCAGTCGAGTCGCCGCCGATAGCTCGCCGAGGATGACCGTCTCTTCTTGACTCCAGGTAGAGAAGACCTTCCCACACGCTCTTTTTTATTTGTTCAATTTTTCGTAACCTCGATCAATCCGTGGCCCCTATTGCTTACTATAGTAGCGCAGAGCGCTCGTTTTCTCGCAGGCTCTACCCTTTCTTTACGGAAATTTAGGAAAAATTTGCGTTTTGGTGTTTATAAATTATATCAAAGAGATGAACTTTTCACGCGAAAAAATATTTGCAAAAATCTGCGATTTCCATCTGCGAGACTCGATTTTTTTCTTATTCTTTTTCGATTTCACTTTTTATCCTTCCAAAATGAGTGAAAGATAGCGATTCCTGAATAGTTTATCTAATTTTTTCCTTTTGAAAAGTCGAAAGGTGAGTTCGAACTCTTTCAGGCAGCTAGTTTCTTTAGGCTCCTCCATAGTACCAAATTCCTAAGAAGAAGAATCTAAAGAATCACGTGCTAGCTTTAACACTTTTGGGTTGAGTTGTGTAACAACGGGCTACGATTTGAGTGGCATTTCTGCCGACTGGGGCTCAATAAATTGCTGAGGTTAGGCACCTGTTCCATTGTTCTAAGGTGGGATTGGTGGGAGAATGGCTTGATTACTGGGCCTCGATCATAATTACGCAGTTGCGTCAGCAGCACGCGCGCCTCGTTTTCACTTTCGAAGTCGTTAAAGCTGCAAAAGTCCGGTTCTTATGGCCTAGATATCGCCCCTCTTGTTGTTGTGGGTTGTCCTTCATCTAGTGACCAGTTTGATAATTTCACGTCAAAATTACATAACACGCACGGGCAGCCCGTGCCACTTGCAAGTGGATTTACCTCGGCGTTAGCCACTATAGTTTCTTGAAGGAAACTCGAGAGATATATTAACTAGCGATCAGAGGCGAGGTAAGTGCGCTAGAAGGTAGACAACTGGTTCGGGGCAAAGTTTGCGCGTTGACCGGTAGTGTTACGTAACGCGCTGGCGGTCGATGTTCAGTTGCAGTCCCTTATTCGTCTACGATTGTATTGTGCCATGGACCATGGCGAGCTACTTGTACATGTGCTAACGTAGCATCATACAAATGCCCAAGGGCAATTCTTAAGAACTATAAAATAGACCGGGGATGCTTTGTCCCTTTGCTTCGATAGGATCAGTTCGGCTGCGATGAACACTTCCATCCGTAACGAGTTGTTTAGATCAGGCCCGAAAGTGGGAGAGAATCGGACGAAGAACGCGCTGCTCCTCACCGCCACCAGCACCACCGAAGCTCAGGAAGGCGACAACAACGCCAAAGCGCTCAAGAGAACTTTATCAGCACAACGCGAGTCCGAATATACCAACGCCAAAGAGTTCCCCAGAAACGACATGTCAGAGTTTAGACGAGCCTGCGAAAAGGTCAAGCAATTCATGCTCGGCGACAATGAACTCAAGACCATCCGAGACAGACTTCTCGAGAACATGCGCCGCGGACTCGACAGGGAAGGACACAAGAGCGCAAAAGGTAACTTTTATTCCTCTTGTCAACGAGGCCCACACTGACGGATAAACGCGTAACATATCATTATACTGCTGCTATCCGCCTTACTTATATAGAAGTTTTAGCGGAAGAGCCATTTGTTTGGAAGTGGCAGTAGAAATGAAAGAATAATAGCTTTTGTGAAGTTTCGGACTTCAAACACTTTTGCAGTATAATTCTATAAATTGCGCCTCGGATCACTGAACATATGATATATCATAACTTAAATGCTTTCGATTGTATCGACTATTTGATCAACTGATATGTTGGACCTTGAAGCCGTAACTCTCATTGGAACTCAAATAGTCATTTCCTCCCTCTGGTAAATTGATTCTTACACGCAATTCTAGTGAAAATGTTGCCCTCATTTGTGACACACTTGCCGGATGGCCGCGAATGTGGAACATTTATTGCTCTTGATCTCGGTGGAACCAACTTCCGTGTTTTGCTGATCGACATTAACGAGGAGCAGATTGATATGGACTCGCAAATTTATCGCGTTCCCCAAGGTAAGTCTTTCCTTGTTTGAGAGATTGCAATTGAGTTTTAGAGTGCATGACTGGCACGGGCGAGGCTCTCTTCGACCACATCGCCAAGTGCATGTCCGATTTCATCAATCGAATGGGATTCGCCGACAGAAACATCGCGTGTGGCTTCACATTCAGCTTCCCTTGCGAACAATATGCAATCAACTCGGCCTCCTTGATTACGTGGACGAAGGGCTTCAGCGCTTCCGACGTCGAGGGAAAGGATGTCGTCACTTTGCTCACTGAAGCAGTGGCGAGACGAGGCGACATCACCGTCGAAATTGTCGCTGTCGTCAACGATACCGTGGGAACACTCATGTCCTGCGCCTTCGAAGATCACGCCTGCCAAATTGGATTGATTGCCGGCACTGGATCAAACGCCTGTTACATGGAAAAGCAATCTAACATTACCAAACTCGATGAGCTGCAAGACATCGACGGAAAAATGTGCATCAACATGGAGTGGGGAGCTTTTGGCGACGACGGCGCTCTGGATGAATGGACAACAGGTAATTTAGAGCGAATCAAACTATAAACCTAACAATTTAAACTTGCAGAATACGACAGAGTTCTGGATGCGAACTCTGTTCATCCAACCAAGCAGCGCTTTGAAAAAATGATGGCCGGCATGTATATTGGCGAAATTGTGCGATTGATTCTTCTCGATATGTGCAAGGAAGGAATCGTTTTCACCGAAGACGCATTGGAAATTCTCGAGACTCCAGGTATGACTTGCGGAAATGCGTAAGGGAGCAATTGAATCGTTTATTAAGAATCGTTCGGAACTCACATGGTTTCTCAAATCGTGGATAATCAGCCCCGACATTTCGCCGCGGTTCAAAACATTCTTGCTTGCGCTGACATCGGTGCCATCCGACGCGACTGTGAAATCGTCCATATGGTGAGCAAGTGTAAAAAGCGCAAGTAATTGACGATCGTTAGGTATGCGACGCTGTTTCCCGCCGCGCTGCTTACATGTGTGCTGCCGGAATTTCAGCTATTGCCATCAAAATTCACCAAAATCGGCCAGATGAGTATCTAGACATTACTTGTGGCGTTGACGGCAGTGTTTACAAGAAGCATCCGACCTTCGCCAAGTTATTAAAGGTGACTTACTACGCATAATCCAGGCCGGTGCATAACCACGCGTTTCAGGTGAAAACTAATGAGTTAGTTGGCTTGGGAATCTTCGTCAATTTCCGACTATCACACGATGGCTCGGGCAAAGGCGCTGCGCTCGTCTCAGCTGTATCGACTCGCTAAATGTCGGAGGTTATCTATTTCTGATCGAATTTCACACGCAAGACGCGGGAAACTAGCTTACCCATATTACCATGTAGCTGAAGAGACACAGCCACCCCTAACAACTTTCTACGTTATCAATCTAAATAACACTAACCCGCAATTGCTCCAAAGATATTCATTATCACTAGCTATTTATATTTTACGTCTTCGAAACCAACCCAAATCCCCGATATGAGTATTAAATAATAATATGCAAATATGAGAAACAGAGGATTCGTCTTTCACGTTTTTAGACTCAGTCGTTTGATATATTTGTTTTACACCACTTTTTGCGAAACTGCAATAGTTCTGAATGTGTATGAAGAGTGCTATGAGAATATATGAAAAGGGGGCCCAGTAGGTGCAGCCTAGAATATTTTGTGTTTGAATGTGTTTGGTCACCCCCTATGATTGCTCGCTATTAACTTGTTTCGTTTCACCAAAAATGCCAACCAACTTAAAACAAATAAAGCCAACTGTTGACAGATGATTTCATGACTGAGTTTCTTATACTACTTTTTTATTTTGGAAACCGCGAAATAGAAAATCACCACCTTATGTCCGAATTCGATTTTCAAATCCTTTCAGCTTGCCCCTAACTTCGAAAACAACAAAAATAAATCCTTTCAGTTCAACAAAAAAAGTGCTATTTCGGGCCTCTCGAGTTCCAGAAATAACTTCAGTACTGTCTCCTTTTGCATTATTTCCAGGGCAGCTTACCATTTTAAATCAAGCACCATGCGATCGTTAGAGAACTTGAACCGTCATGCATTCTACTCGTACTGAAGCAATGTCGAGTATAGACAAACACGGGCGCAGTTCTTGAAACACTCTGGGCATGAAATGAGATGCATTGAAGAGAAGAGATCAGCAGACACCTAGACCCAAATATTGACAGGTTAAAAACCATATTTACTCTTGAGGGTTTTAATGAGTAAGGCCGCGGTTAACTTGCTTTTACCAACTCTGTTTATGACAGTAACATTCTTCTAAAGTAGATGTTAAGTATGTATTCATCGTTAATTCTAATTTTCGAGAAATGTCTTTACCATTTTATCACTGTTTTAAGCTTATTAGCAAATTCCCTATGATGCAGTTAATTCCGATAAAATATAGTTGGTTGAGTTATTGATGTTAAAAATGGGATGCTTAGGTACTCGGAAGATGGAACGAGAGAGAAACGAGCAGGGTCAGCTAAGTCCACGTGCACGCTTGATTGACTGGTCGGACTTGGCTGCTCGATGGAACAGCTGTTCTTGAAGAAATTCCGTTGCGGCCTTGATTTTTTGATTTTCGGGAGATAAGTTTCGGCCAATGGGCGGCCGCGTCGCCGCAAAAACCGCCGCGATCGACGGTCTCTTGGCTGCCGAGCAAGGAACGCGCCAGATACAGAGTCCAACTCCGAAAAGAAATAAAAAATCCGAAAAGAAATACGACTCACTTGTCACAAGAGAAGACGATCCGAGGAAAAAGATCTTCCCAAAAAATAATGAACAGAAGAAGAGCGAGGTTGAGCTGAATGGAACAGCCGAATGTTTGGGAATGGCGCTGCCAACAGGCGCAGGAATGAGCTTCAGATAATTCTTCGCTTTACGAAATTGCGATTTTGTATCTATTTTTGTCATTTTAGTCTTTAGTCTTTCGATCCATATTTAGCACGGTCTATTCTTGGATGTCTACATATCTTACATTCATGATAGCATTCGGTAATTCTAAAGCATCGTAAAGCAACGATGCCAGGACAGAATCGGGGAGCTAACAGAACTAAACAAGCGGCTCCAGGATTTCCCACCGGAATTGACAGAAGGTATATCAAGAACTAACATGTTCGTTGCTAAAGTGTCAACTTCAAGCGAATAATCTGAAGAAGCGAAATCAAGCCAACGTTCAGAAGACGTTGATCGAGGTTGAGTCTGTCTCCGTGTCTCCCGAGACGAGTGAGAGTCTCATCTTGAATCAGAAAAACGCGGATCTACGTAAAGTTTGGAAGCAAACCGAAAAATACTTGATTCAAGTAATACGGGCGCGCGATGCCGAGTCTTCAATAAAAGGTCAGTAAGAGAACTTGTCAGGTATAGTTGTGTCTATTTCCTAAGCGGGCAGTTTCTAAAAGCTACTTTTAGACTACATTTTCGACGCTGTCAATGAACATCGCTGCAAGTTCGACCACATAGCGCGTAAAATCGGAGCGGGACAAACTTTTTTCATGCTCGTCAAGGGGAGTTATCCCCAGGGCGTAAAATTCAATGATGATTTATCCCTGAATAGGCCGCGATGCAATTGAAACAGAGCGCTTGCGCGAAAAGAATATCGAAGCTTGCGCATCAGCCGAAAAGCTCTATAAAGAGTGGATTTACAAAGCAGTCGACAGAGCTAGGTTCTTGCCGCTTCTGGAACCGATGTGCTCAAAGCTCGAAAGGGAGTGGAACGAACTCATTCAGGAAACAGGCGTTGAAGAGAACGTTTGATCCGCTGATAGAAGAGCGCTGATATTTCACACTATTCTCGTTAGTCCCAAGAAAAAACGCCTTTGAAAGGGACTTAATGAGCGAAACAAGATCTTGAAAGAAGCGTCCTCCTTCTGGGAAGGAAGGGACAACTTTCAGTGGCAGTGCGACGCTTGGATTCGACACATGCAGGACCTTTTGGACGCGTGCCACCGTAGAACAGGCTTCGAGACGACAACGGACTACGAGACGCTGGCAATCAATGCGGAAGAATTCTGCACAATGTGCCATCAACTCCATAAATCAGTGGCGTCGAGCGGCAAAAAACTATTGGCATTTCTTCAAGACACTACAGACGATGACAAGCGTATTAAGGTATGTTGATCTTGTGCTAAAATATATGAGCAGAGGTTTGCTTCTGTTAATTTCATCGATTCAATTATTATTCCAACGATGAGCGAATTTTGGAACATTTTTTTGAAACTGTTGTTCGAAGAGCTTTACTGTCATTTATGCCCCAAGAAACTTTACAAGTATATTTATCGGTTAACCATGAAAAAAACTAAACATGAAGTTTCAACGAACAGCTCATAGAAATTAGATGAAAACATATGCAAAAGCTTCGGGTCACTAAAAATGATAAAGGCAGTAGTTTGATTTTAAAAGTGACCCTTTGTGATGATGCCCCGGAGCAGACAGCGTTAAAACCCTTATTCAGCTGGATATGTCATCTTCGGTGGAGATTATTTGCGAGGCTTTGGATGAGCTACTAAGCCTGAGGGACAGAGTACGCGATTGCGCTGAAACCTCGCGCAAGATCGCCGCCTTTTACCTAGACGCGGAGAAAGTATCTAAGTGGATCAACAAGCTCGGACGTCCATTTCTCGACAAATCCACTTCCATTGGGAAAAGCCAGGAACGAGCGACGAAGCTTTTGGAAAGGCATGCAGAGTTCGAGCGCGTCTGCCAAAACACTTATTCAAACGTCGAAAAGCTGCTCAGTACTGGACATTCTCTAACCACTCAATTCGAGCAGTACCATTCGTTCATCGGAAACAAGTGCCAAACATTAAAAGGTTGTTCTTTGATTCGCTATCTTTCTCTTGAATTCGTTAGATCTGACGGACGCTTTTCAAAATGAGGTACGAGCGCGACGCGAGCTATTGGAAGCTGCCGTATCGTTTTACACAAAAGTGAAAGAGATTTGGAAAATTTTCGATGAGTTGCGTGTTCAACGCGATGGTCAAGGCGATGTCCAGCAGTTCGAGCGCAATCGAAGCGAAGTTAAAGGCAAGAATCACTTTCATCTATGAGGATAATGAGCTTATTGTTTAGTGGCGATGAAGATAACCGTCTCGGAAGGGGCGTATTTAGTAGCTCGGCTGAAAAGATCTGATCCCTACGCAGAACAGCACATTCTGGACATCGTTCATTCGATCGAGAAAGGGCAAGGTAAGTTCTGAATCTATTTTATTGTGGCGAAGGATGAGAGTGCTTTGTGCTGGGCAAATTTAAAACGAATTTATAAGGTCAGCTGAACTCTCAGCTAGCGTCGGACCAAGCGCGGCTTGAAGCTGCGAAGGCACGCGTTGAATGGGAGAAAGAAGTGGACGAACAGTGCGAAAAGCTTCAAAAGTGGCGATTGAACTACAACAAGAGTGCTAACCGAGAAACTCAAAGAAGTGGTTCCGACTTCGGCCATCTTATACAGGAACTAAACGCGTTCAAAATCAAGGAGCAAGGAAAGTGCTTCGACCTTGGCCGCGCTGGTCGCGACTTGTTGATGATTAGAGACGAAAATATAGACAAAACAGAAGAGTACTTACAGGTACACTCAAGCACGCTTATTCAAAAGATTAAAGTCGTTTATAGAAATTAAACAAAGAACAGCGACTTTTCGAACAACTGGTTGAAGAAACCCAAAACTTTTTGGAGCATCAAGGCCAAATGGAAGAAGCGCTAAACGTACGAGTATCCAAAGGTTAAAACCTTTGAAAATTATTTCAGAACGCTGCCTGGACTCTTGGCTGGCTCAAGAAGGCGCAGCATCTGTTCGAAGGAGCACCTTGCAAAGTAGATTCGCTGGAATCTGCCGAGTTCACCCAGCAAGAATTCAAGCAATACGGCTCAGTAATGGATCGTACTGAGCAAGTTATGCAAGACTTTGAGATGATCCAACAAACGAACAAACCCGACGCTGACGAAGTAATCACGCGGAGACAGGAAGTTAACGCCGTTTGGTCTGGCTTACAGCTCATGGTTGAGGATCGAAAGTTGTTAATCAAGAAGGCAATAAAGTTTTACACTACTTATGACGACGTATTCCAAGCGCTTGATAGTCTTAAAAAGGAATATAGCGATAAAAGTGGTGAGATTTACGACCCAGAAATTTCAGATCGTGAGTTTTCCAAAACCAAGTTCATTTTTTAACACTTTAATTAGAAATGGAACTCTCGCAGCTGCAGAAGGCAATAGAAAAGCATGCAGCTCAACGGAAACTGCTTAACGATGCTACTTCGATGGGCCACAACTACGGAAACAGTTTCGTGAAGCTTATACCAGAAGAAGCGAGAAGTACTAAAGACTTGGTGATCGGTTTGCTGTCTAATCTGAGACAAGCAGATCAGGAAGTTCATCGAGCATGGTCCGCAAAGAAAAAAGTCCTCGAACAGTTACACATTTTTCTGATGTTCCAAAACTCCTGCAGGTATGTTCAATTGACAAGTAATCACTGTTTATTGTGAATTAGATGCGCCCTGAATGAGATGCAGAGGAACATGCAACTAAATCCTGCCCAAGTTACCGCTAATTTGCCAAAGTTAAACCGTGCCATCCAGAAAATATTTGAAATAAGTGAAATCAACGATACGAACGCGCACAAGAGCAAGATCAAAGCCTGGCTGCATAAAATCAAGCAAAAACATATCGATGTGCATAGTTATGCCGGAGTGAAGCTGGAGAACCCGCCCTATAATCTCGAGTCTCTAGAACTTCCCAATAACCAAAACAACATAAACGGGAAAGCGTCAAAGAATAAGAAAGGGGACACAAAGAGACAGAGCTTGTTGCAAGCAGAATTACTCAAAACAGAAGCTGAGTGTATTTCTATTCTCAAATTGTGTCTAACAGTAAGTTGTTACTTGGGAGCTAGAATTATTCCGTTCTAGATTTATCTTCCCGCTGCGAAGGAAAAAATAGCTCCTCCCCCGATTCGTGAAAATGTCGATGCAATTTTCGGGAACATTCGGGAGCTCTTGGCCTTCCACGAAGACTTTTACTCCCAGCTACAGATAGCCCTTGAAGTTGACGATATAGCGCACTGCTTTGTTATTAATGCGGATCGACTTTGTCAACTATATGTCGAGTACTGCAAGGGAAGAGAAAGGTAACTACTTATGAATTTTAAAGGCGAGACACTTAATTACTATGTTTTCGAGTTTCGCTGTTTTCTATTTCACGGATGACGGTTTTCTCCGTCTTTAATCCATTTCTGATCCCAAACGGTACGTTCAGATCGACAGAAATAATTGCGAACGAGTCCGAAGGCTATTTTGCTGGTGTCCATCAAAAGAAAAACGCTCCCCAGCCACTGAATTCGTGTCTAATCTGGCCTGTTCAACGCATACCCAAGTACACAATGCTGCTCAGAGAGCTTCAGGCAAAGGTTTTATTTTCAAACGATGCTTCTATTTTTTGTGTTCTAGAGCAGCTCTTTTACGTAAATCAGATTTTTAAAAAACCTAAACATAGCAGTGTTCGATTGGAAGTGCACACTCAAAGAGTAAACTACAGGAAGCCCTGAAAATGGTCGAGGACATTCCCAGGAAAGCTAATGACGCTATTCACCTGGCGATGCTCCAGCACTCCAGCGTTCCGCGATCAGAGCTCATTCTTCAAGGACAAGTCGTACTCAAGAACGAGAAAATTCTGCCAATGCAGAAGAATAGAGAACGCCACTGTTTCCTCTTCGAAACTGCCGCTATCATCTGCAAGAAAGCAGAAAGTACGAAGGAATACATTCCTAAGTACTCGATTTCGACGCGAAAAATGACATGGGAGGTAATTGTAGTCAATCAATTACGGATTTATCAAATGAGTTAGCTATCTGACGGTACGATAACGATAAACGGCAGTGGCAATCGTGCCGTTTTCAAACCAATTCTCAAACCCGACGCAGAAGAGTGGGCCTTGCGCCTCAAACAAGTGTGCTCGTCTGTCTTGACCAGAGAACCCAGCGAAGAAGCCTCACCCAAAAAAGCGAATGTATCTAACGTCTCCACGAGTTCTGTACCGCCACCAATGAATCTTTTCCGATCACTACCACGACCTCTCAAGAACAAGGAAAGGATTTGATAGTTTATATAACTGAATTAATTTCCTTATCTAATATTCTTCAATCCTTTTAAAGAATTCTATCTCTGACGATTTCAGCCTCTCGAAGAACAGCCTCGAAATTTGATTGAACTTTTTTCGATCGATTTATCAGTTGCTCACCACCTCTAGAAACTTCTTCATTTTTCTGACTTCTTCTTTTTTCCTCTTCGAAATACTAAAATTTCAATGAGACCTAAATTCATTTGGAGCAGTAGTCATTGTCACATACTGGTGCTTTTTACACTACTCTGAAGTGACTGAATTTCTTTTTTTATTCTCCGACTTTCACTGACCTCCAAAGTTTTCGATTTCAAGGAAAAACTCGTTCTTAAATAACGTTTTTGTTTGCCCTATTTATAGAACCAAATTCCTTTGGTTTGACGTTCTCAAGTTCTGACCCACTGTAATCAATTTAAAAGTACTATTTCCTAAAGGAATCTCCCTCAAATGCTATATCTTCAACTTAAAACGCAGTGTCCTCATTCCTTTCTCAACTGCATGAGCTCAATTTCCAATGACTAATTTCAACCTATCTCAAAGTCGACTCATTTAGTTTCGGATGGAACAGAACGCACTTCCGGGAATGGATGTCGGAGTTGGGGGAGCGAAATCTAAAAGTACTAACAATGTGAAGACCAGCGGCCAAATTCTCTCAAAGCGCCTTCATGCCGAGCTTTCCCAGCTTCTTACTGATCCAAGGTACGTGCCGCTTTATTTGGTGATCTCGAAGCTAAAATTTTTTCAGCTGTATGAGCGCTGGCATCTCTGCTTTTCCCGATGGCGAAAATTTCTTCAAGTGGGCTGGTACAATTCACGGACCGTCTGATAGTCCTTACGAAGGGATGGAACTGAAATTACAAATGGAATTTTCTGATGAGTACCCCTTGAAGCCGCCAAATTGCAAGTTCACGGTTAGATAACTCTTTTTCTTCTTTCTTTAGCTTTGATTTTAGTCTCCCGTTTGGCACCCCAATGTTGACATGGCAGGAAGAATATGCCTCGATATTCTGAATGAAAAGTGGTCTGCTGCTATGGATATTCGCGGACTTCTTCTCAGGTTTGGAACTACTGACCATTCCCGGCGTAACCTTTTTTAGCTTGCAATCACTCTTGAATGATCCCAATCCCAACTCGCCACTGAATGCCCAAGCAGCCAATCAATGGGTAAAAGAAAGAGAGTCATACAATCTCAAAGTAAAGGTACCGCCTTGTGTTGGTTTATACCTTCTAATGTTTTCCAAACTAGGAACACTTCAAATCAAAGTCAACTAACTGAAGATAAACATCCTTGAACTTCGCCTCTACAGAATATCAATTTTTTCAACCAAATGAACTTTACTTAAAAACAACTTAAACATGTTACAAAACAATACATTCCATCCATGTTATTACGTCTGACTTACCACGACAAACTCCCATGAATTTAATGTGGCGCGCGTATTTTGTTGGTAAAATTTATTTTCAGTGAGTAAAAAAATATACAATCTTTTGCATGTAGAGTTGTGGCATTGTTTCAGTGTTTATCGGATTGCAGGATCGGTAGTCTTAGGCTTAGTTTTCAGTGAGTTCCTTGGGAACGCGGCGGTTGTCTGAGTTGAGGAGCAGGAATGCCTCGTTCATGAGGAGACTTTGAGTTTGGAAGAACACCTGCTGAACGAAGCCAGCAGTTTTGCCCTTGGATTTCTTTTGTTCGCCGACAGCAGTTGCGAATGCCCAAGAGAGCACCACTGCAAGTTTACCTTCAAAAAGAAATTAATATCCTAATGGTAAGACTTGAATAATGATATCGAAATAATATCGGGTAGAATTACCTGGCTCAGTAGAGAAAACTCGTCGTCTTATGACGAGATCATTGCCACTGACATAAAGATCGGTTCCAAACTCATTTTTGGATTGCGGAATGGGTTCAGAAATAACAATTCTAGTGGCGTCTCCCGCTCTCAGATTTGATTTGAAGAATTTCAGCAAATAAATGGCGTAGTTATAGTTTAGAAGTTCAACTTTATCGAGCTCGCTTATATCGATCGGATTTATATCGCCATAAACGACGTCTTCATCGAGGAAACTCTTTTGCAGGAAATTTTTGATGTTGTTGAGAGAGCCGAGCAATGGCAATCCGGCGAGAACCTTTTTAAGCTGTGCTTCTGTCAAGGGTCCGTCAAATTCTTCCTCTTCTTCGACCTCTTCAGCAGCAGCTTTTCTCTCCGATATCTTTTCGACTTGATTCTTTTCGAAATCTTCCACAGCTAATTGATGATCGCCGTCAACTTCGACTTGCTTTTCCTTCATCGCAATCTGTTTCTTTGCTTCCAAGCGTTTCTTGATTTGTTCTGCCATTTTTGCCTTGTCGAGTCCCTGTCTTGCTGAGATTTTGTCGATTTGAGATTGATGTTCTGCCAACAGTCTTGCGTGATCAGCTTGAGCGTTTTCGGCAAGTTTCTGAGCAAGTTCTTCCTCCAGCTGTTGCTTTTTCTCATTTTCCGCTTTTTCCCGTTGTTTTTGTTTTTCTTCGAGCTCTTCTGCCAGACGCTGTTCCTCTTCAAGAAGTTTCTGATCGAGCTCGGACTCAAACTTGCCCATTTCCTCTTCCATTAGCCGTTTCTGCTCAGCTTCCCATTTCTCTCGCTCAGCGGCAAGCTCCCGTTCTTGCTGTGCTTGCTCTTCTTCGATTTTCTTGCGTGCCTTTTCGAGTTTTTTCTTGTCATTTTCAGCATTCTTAGCTGCAAGTGGGGCGAGTTCCGTGAGCATTGCAAGTTTCTCTTGGTAGTGTTTTTCCTTCAAGTTCAAAAGGCCTGCAGCTCTTTCCACTTGCATGTCATGTTCGATTTTCGCCTTTGCATGCTCAGGTAGAACCCCGTCCTCCGTTGCAGCTTCGAGTCTTCGAGAGAGCTCTTCATCCATCTCTGCATTGAATGCTTCGATTTCAGCTCGATGTCGTCGATCCATAATCGCATCAATGACTTCTTCCGTGGAAGCTCCAGTATCAGCAATCAGTTTCATCGCAGCTTCTTTCTCGGCTTCAAGTTGCTTTTGACGTGTTTGTTCTTTAATTTCCTCGTCAATTCGCTCTTTTTCCTTAGACATTTCCTCTTCTTGGTTCGTTTCCAGTTTCATGGTCTTATCTCGTCGCATTTTAGCTAGTCGAGCTTTGAGTGCATCTTGCTGTGCAGCATGCTTATCATTGAGTGCGTCTTGGGCTTCTTCCTGTGCTTTGCTATGAGCGAGGAGCATCATCTTCATTTGCGAGTCTGTAAGATTACCCTGGCGCGCTTCAATTTCTGCTTGCTGTTTGGCGTTGAGTTCTGACATGGTCTGTTTCTGCTGTCGAGCAAGTTCTTCTTCAAGTCGGCGTTGTTCTTCGGCTTCCTTTTCTGCCAACTCACGCTCGAGTTCTTCTCGCTCTGATGCTTGTTTGTCCGCGACCTCGGCTAGTTGTTGGGCGAACTGACCATCCAATTCGTCATCACCGCTGAGATCAACTGCGTTCATTGCTTTTAGCTTCGCAAGTGCATCACGTTCGATTTCTTTTATTTTGTCCTTGTGCAGTTTTCTTTGAAAGCGGTTCATTAATTATTATATTTTTAAATAGCTTTAACTAGTGTTATGTAAGTGCATCATAAATAATCATGTGTACGATTATAAAATAAGTTTAGAGAACCATTCCTAAGGCGCTCTTGAATTCGTTGATTCTGACGCTGTTTTTCAGTATTCGAACCTTCCTCTAACTCCGCCATCTGCTGATTGAAATCATTCAAGATCGAATCCGGATCGTTACTGTACTTTTCGATAAGTCCTTGGAGAGTTTTTGAGATCTCGTCGATTTCTGTAGTTTGAACATTTTCCAAAACTGCTTGTTTTTCAACAAGCAGCTGGTAGTCATGATTTGCTTTCGCCGTTGCAATGTCTTGCTCGCTAGCGAAGTTCGCTTCCATAGCTTTACAGATTTCTTCCCATTCTACTGAGCCAGACTCGTCGACGCGTTCCAAGTCAGAAAGGATTTTTGCGGCGAAGTCGTTTTCTATCTGATCCATAGCATTATCAGCAGCGATCACAAACTGATCTTTGTTCTCTGGTTTCACGCGAGTCGACATTTTGTTCATGTAAACTGCCTTGATCCGTTTTTTCTTGTCACTATGAACTTGTTTCGATGCTGTCATCATCTCCACAATTGCTCCAGACCGTTCTTCGGCAAGCATCTTCTCTGTCTTGTTTTCCATGTCCTTGATAAGCTGATTATTTTCTTCATCAAGACCGGAAAGACCCTTTTGGCTAGATCTTGGCGGCGACGCGCAACAAGTCGCTGTCTAAGCGCGGCCTTTTGCTTCTCCAGATCATCTTTTCGTCTCTTCTGCAAAGCCGCTTTCATAGCACTGTAATTTGCGATGATTTCATTACGCTCTTGTTCGTCCTTTGCATTAGCCAAAAGATCCGCTTCCTCTTTCACAAGTCTTGCTAGTTCGTCTTCAGAGTCAAGATCCACAGTGCAAAGTTTCTCGACAAGCTCGATCTCTTCCTTGACAATTTTTTCCTGCTCACCCGCTTCAAGGCCGTTCTTTTTGTCAGATTTATTCTGAAGTACTGCATCAACCATCTCTTCCGTAATGAGTACTCTTCCTTGATTCAATTGATTCAGTAGCTGTTGAACAGTAGTCATCAGAGCTCGTGCCGCGGTTTGATCCTTTGGAGACTTATTTCTTTTTGTAAAAAAGGCCCTATTTATTTTCTTAAAAAATATAACTCATTCAATACGATACAAAAATAACTCTTTTCCTGAACAGTAATTGTCTGTCGGCTCTTGATTGCTGTAACTTGGTCGAGCTCATTCTTTTGAATTTTGTTAGCCTTCTTGCTGTTGGACTGTTGTTTCGGCTCCTTCGCTTTTTGAATGAAAGCTTGAAGCTTTGCAGCTTCTTGGTGCATTGATTCGAAGTACTCTTGCAATTGTCTTTGATGGTTTTGCATTTGTGATGCAATCTGAAGATTCTGATCCTCAAGTCGGTCGAATAGTTCTTGTGATGTGAGGTGATCTTCTCGTTGTTGATTTTCTTCTTCAAGAAGGTCCTCATCTAAGTTATGCTCCATGTTTTTAGCAACAAGCGGTGGGTAGACATAAGGCATATCCGTTGCAAGATATTTCGGCTTCCAATACTGCCAAGGAGAAAAGGAACGATCTTTTCGGCTCCATACTGTACTAAAGACAAGGAGAATCAAGATAAGAAGGATAATGGTGATTGAAAGAGAAGCAATAAGCGGCCAATTCGGCGTTAAATTGATATTCGTTGTTCTGGAAATACCAAACGAGCTAAAGGTCCTTTCTGACTGAGGTTGGACGCGAATATTTTCGGAATCTTCCGTGCCAGAACCGCAGCTTGTTCCCTCCAATGCGACGTGAATAATGATTGTGTAAAGCTCATTCTGAGAGCTATAAAACACGAAGTTCCCTTCTTGCTCAAAGATGTAAGCGAATTTATCAAAATTCAGAGATTGATCATCTTCAGCTTCCAAAATAACAGCTTCAAGAGTTCTAAATGCTCCGTAGTCGAAATCAGGATTGGAATTGTACAGTGATCCAACTTGGTATTTTGGATAGTGAGACTCAGCGGTATTTGATTTGATATCGAGTTCAAAAAGCACCATTTCACCGGGAAGGAGGCAAATAGCAGGTTGCTGAATTTGTTCTGCACTTGCGAATTCAGCTTGACGTCGAGCTCTAGTGGAACCATTGACTGGCAAATCAGCAAACACGCCGGAGGAACTTAGTGACACAGTAAATGCCGATGTTTTATTTACTGGACTGAGTCCATAAACACCGTCGATAGTTTCTCCGTCAATAGTCAGTTCTCCTGTGGCAACATCGACACTCGCTTCAGGAATATAGCAGCATCCTTCGATGTCTTCGACAGCATCAACAATCGAGCAGAAGCAGGTTCCGTAGTTTTGGTCGAAAACAGGGCTTCCCGATTTACATTGGAGATTACTGTCCTCGCATTTTTGATCCGCGTCATCAACCGTAATACATTCTCGTGTGAACGCATCGCGAACGAAGCCATCATCACAGCGATCGTTGACAATCTCCACGCAATCTGATCTTTTGTTAACTTCGGTTTCGTCGTCCGCTTCATCATAGCCATGGGACTCATATCCTTGCTTACAGATGCAAGAACCATCGGAAAATTGGAAGATACGATTTGTGCCAATACACTGACACTGAATTGATCCTTCTCTCGCGATAGAGGCGGTTCCACAAAGCCGACAAGCTGCTTGTCCTTCTAAGTTGTTATAAGTATCGACTGGGCATGGCTGGCAAGCCTCTTGTTGAGCTCCAACTTCATTTGAAAATGTTCCCGGTGGACAGGGGATAGGTCGTCCCAGTGGATTTCCTGTTGGGCAATAGTGACCGATCGGACACAATATGGGCTCTCTGGGATCTTCTCCGGTACCTTCAGGACAAGACATGCCAGCTGGACACGGTTCACACTCTGGTTGATCTTCTCGAGAGCGATATGTTCCGGCAGGGCATAGCTGACAAAATTCTTCTTCGTTAGTTCTATTTAAACCTGCTAGAGCACCGTGACCAAGGTCGCACGTAAAGCCAAACTCTTTATCAGTCAACGGTGGACAATAATACGGGAATTCACAAACAGTCTCGTTCCAGCTTCCTAGTTCGCAATAGAAACCTGCAGAACATGGATATCTTTCGTGGAAGCTAGATTCTGGACAATAATAACCAGCTGGACACAGTTCATCAGCAATTTCAGTTCCTTCAGGACAAGTGAATCCAGGTGGACAAGGGACGCCAGCATCATTGATAACATTTTCGGGGCAATATTCTCCTTCTGGACAAAGAGAGCATCCATCTTCATGGCCAATTATATCACTGCTACCACCAACATCTGGTCTCCAAGTTGAATTCGGACAAGGTTCTCGGCCTTCCCCGGCTAAGCAATAATGTCCTGGTGGACAAATAAAGGTTTCATAGTTCCGAAGGCCTAGCTCGGTGCAGTCATAGCCTCCGATGCACGCAGTGCATTTATCCTTGGCACCCTCTGAATTCATGTATGTTCCAACTGGGCACGGAATAGGATCAGCTGTGATATTTTGTGTAGAATCCGGTCCAGGACAATAATATCCTTCTGGGCAGAGGAAAGGCTTCCCTTCAGAGTCGAATAACCCTTGCACACCGAATTCTCCTGGTCCTACGTCTTCACAACCAGGAGCTGTGAGAAGGGTTCCGTCTGCAAGCTTTTGTCCTTGAGGACAAGGTATTGGAAGATCTGTTCCCTCTTCACATAAATATCCGGGAGGGCACTTCCCAGCGCAGCCATTTTTTTGGTCGGTGTCACATAGAGTGTTCTCGCTCAAAATATGTTCATCAAAGAAGTTTTCTTTAGAGTCTTTTTCACCACTCGAGGCCAAACAAAAGCTTCCCTTTTCACATTCTCCAGCAATTGCACCACCCTCGCAATAATATCCTGTTGGACAAGGTTCACATTCAGTAGAATCAAACAACTGCGGCGCTCCTTGAACGAGACTTCCGGAAGGACATCTAGTTGGTAATCTTGATCCTTCTTCGCAATATCCGAACTCATCAGGAGGAATAACATTCTCATATTCATCCTTATTACACTCAATGGGAAGTACAACTCCTTCGTATTTTGTTCGCCAGAAAGGCAGCTCGTCAATACCATCACAGTAATAACCAGGCGGGCAGATTTCACATTTTTCCATCAGATCGAGTGGTGCGTAACTGCCGTTATTGCACAAGATAGGATCAATAGCACCAATCGGACATGCTTCTCCTTGTAAGCATTTTTCAGGAGATGGACGCGGATCAGTAACGTTCCCGTTGCAATAATATCCGCCTTCGCATGGACCTGTCACATCTTTAGCTCCTCGGAACTCACAGTAATGGCCACCTAAGCAAGGTTCGCAGTCAGTTTTTCCTTCAGAAGGTTGATATGAACCGGTTTCACAAGGTTCTGGTGATGAGAGTTGCTCCGTGCAAAGATGACCTGCTGGGCACAATATTTCGCCTTGGCCTTCTGGACAATAATTTCTGTCGGAACAGACGTCTACATTGTCACCACCGTTGCATTTAAAGCCACCCTTGCAAGGATAACAAGAAGATGAATCTGACTGTCTTTCAACGGGATTAAAGGAGTCCTCCGCACATTCGCTTCCTTCAGAGCTTCCTTCTTCACAATAGGAACCTTCGGGACAACTAAAGGGTAATGTAACCCCCTTTTGTGGACATAAATATCCAGGTGTGCACTCAATGCATTGGTTCTGTCCTTCGTTAACCTGGAATGTTCCATTATTACACAGAGCAATATTTCCAGTTTCGCATTCACGGCCAGCGGGACATATTGTTCCACCAAGATTGCCTAGTGCTGCATCATCATAAGGTCGACTAAGTTTTGATCTTCCAGCGCAATAAAAGCCATTCTGACATTCTTTCTCATCACTCGATGATCCTGCTTCGACACCAACGTATTTTCCCGGTTGAGCTGGCTCGCATGCAAGTGTAAAATCTGATTGATTACCCGAATTTCCGAAAAATCCTGGTGGACATGGAATAGGCGCATGTGACCCTTCTGGACAGTAAGTTCCTGCTTGACAAAATCCAGAAGCGCCTTCTGGATATTGAAACTGTCCTCTCCAAGATTCAGAGATGTCCAAGTAGTACGAGAGGCCTCGTGCATAGTTGGGGCCTTGTCCGCCGGTGCAAAACGTTCCAGGTTGGCACATACCTACAATGAATCCATCGGAACAATAGTATCCCGGTGGGCAGGTTAGGCAATCATCTGCTGAGGCAAGTCTTGTTCTATTACCATATGTACCATCTGGACAAACTTCTTGTTTAGTGGTACCCTCAGGACAATAATACCCGATTTCACACGGCTTTGGATATTCTTCTGCTGAAGGCGGTTCTCGATGCGAATTTCCGATGTCAGTGACATTACAAAACCATCCTGCTGGGCAATCTGTGCATTCTATCGAGCCAGAATTAGGTTGCCATTTACCGGTTGGGCAAGGAATTGGATAATATGAGCGTTTAGGACAATAGTGGTGTCTTGTGCATAAATCTCCATAGCGGTTATAAGTGCCTTTTTCGCAATACCAACCGGCTTCGCATTCCACACCTGTGAGGAAAGTGTTTCCCCAGCCTTCAAAGGCAAATCCGTCAACTTGTGATTCATTTTCAATGCAAATTGAAGAATTAGTTCTATGAGTCGAATCGACGGTATCTGTAACGTCGTATGTTCCTGGAGGACATGGCTCAGGGTATGCACTGTCTGCCAAGCAATAATGACCGGGGAGACATACTTTTTCTTGTGGACTCTTACTTCCGGTCGGACAGTAGTATCCAGGATCACATCCACCATCAGGCTCCGATAGTTTCAAGCCTTGACAAGATTTTCCTGCATCACATGGTCGAGGACGAGCCGATCCTTCGGGGCAGAAATAACCAGGAACGCAGACTCCACCCACGGTTTTATTCGAGAGCGTTAATGAGTCCCAACATGTTTCCTCATAATCAGTAAGATTATCACAGTCGCCATCTTCCGCTTGGCAAGGGTCTGGAACCGAGGATCCCCCAGAACAATAATGGCCTTCTGTACAATTGAGACCTTGCGGATCAATACTGATCGAAGTACTATTGCAGTATTTTCCTGCTGCACACAAAGTGCAATCGTCAAAGTCAACAAGTCCAGGTCGACTTCCTGTCGAGCCATCAGGGCAAGGAATTCCATCTTCATAAGTGGCATTACTTCCTGTTCCCTCTGGACAATAATTACCCTGTGGACATTCAACTGGAACTGTAGTCCCCTTTTCTTTACAATAAAAACCGGCTGGACACATCTCACAATGATTTTTTCTAAAATCAGGCTGATAGAATCCTTCCGCACAAGGAGTCGCTACGATGGTATCACATTCTTCTCCAGGAGAACAAGCATTACCAATAAGATTGCCTGTGCTGTTGAGCTCATTCTCTGGACGAGGGCTTTCATTTCCACCACTGCACCAATAGCCTTCTTCGCAATCGCCAGTTATACTGGTTTGACCGAGTCCGACGCAATAATTACCAGCTGTGCAAGATGTGCAAGTGCTGTCATCAGTTGCAATTAGAGCATTTGAGAATGTGGAGCTTGGACAAGGCTCACCCAGTCGTTCTGTGCCAGCTAAGCAGTAAAAACCAGCACCACAATCCTCCTCTATGTTTTTGATTTTGTCACTTTCCATTCCGAGGAAGCACTTTGAGCCTGGAGCACATGGTATACAAATTGATAAGCTTTGTAATGTTCCATCTGCACACGGAATAGGATCAGTAAGTCCTTCTTCATCGCAAACGCCAAAGTCATTATCGATATCACAGTCTTGAGGTACGCCTCCTGGACAGTATGATCCTTGAGGACAAGATTCTAAGTCATCAAGAGAATCCGAAATTCCAGACGTTTTACTACAGTCTTTTCCAGCTGGACAAGCGTCACAGTCCGATTCTTGAGTCGCTCCAGTTCTATCAAGGTAAAAGTTTTCACTACAATTGACGGCTGGCATCGCCTGCTCGCAGTATTTTCCTTCTGGGCAAATGTTATCTGGTAGATTAGGTTGGGAGTTGCCAGTGATTGCAAAACAGTCATATCCAGCCAGACAGAGGAAGTCGTCAATGTTGGATAGTCCTGAGCGGGGGCAGTAACGATTGGCTGAACATGGACTACATTGACCCTCATCCTCTAGACCAGCTGAATTTGAAAATGTTGAGACTGGGCATGGGAAACCGTAAACGTCTGTCGAAGTTCCATTGCAATATTTACCCTCTTCGCATTCTGGAATATTCAAGCCATCAGTACCTAGTTCGCAGTAGTAGCCAACTGGGCATTGGTTACTTGGCAGATCTGATATTTTCATTCCCTTTTTATCACAATTGTACCCTGGAGGACAGTCTCTGCATGCTTCTTGTTCGTCCGAAGCGCCGGATACGAATCCAATACTTCCTTCTTTGCATTCATGTTCAATGTTTTCTCCTGCAGCACAGTATGTTCCTTCAGGACACTCGAACCGCTGAGAGGAATCGCAAGTAAAACCATCTCCACACGGTAAGCATTCTGACTGTTCACTGTTGCTTTGGAATTCTGTTGAAGCAGAACACTCAGATCTGAGCCCATTTTTACACATAAATCCGGGTTCACAAGAATTTGGCGTAGATGTTGCACCGCACGGCTTAGTTGAGTCACAGTAAAAGCCGTCAGAAACGGTGTTAAGACTATCATCAGAGTTTCCATATTGGGGACAGTAACCTTGAGTACATTCATTACAAGTATCGACAGTCGCGCCCAGTACATTAGAAGTTGTTCCTGGTTCGCACAATGTTGGATATTTTTCACTGTCAGAAGGGCAATATGAACCGGGCTCGCATTTAGTTGGAGTGCTGTTTTCGCAATACGATCCAATCTCACAAGGCCCAGCATCACTGTCGGTACACTGGCTTCCGTAAGGACAGTTTTTCTCGTATCCTTGATCAATGGAGTCGCAAAGTTTTTCGGATTTGCATTGGGTTTGAATTCCACCTTGACAGTAAGACTTTTGAGGGCACGTTGTAGGAACTTCTTGAGCGAGCTGATCACATATCTTTCCGTCTGGACACTTCTGGCAATGAGTTCCCTCAAGATAGCCGAGTGTTGAAGGATTATATGTTCCGGGAGGACACATTTGAGGTATTGTTTCGCTCGTTGGACAGAAATATCCTTCTTTGCACGGTGTTGGTAAGACGTCGCCACCTGGACATTCGTATCCAGCGGGGCATGTAGAACATTTTCCTTGATGAACTAGATCATTGTATTCACCTACTGGGCATGGTATTGGTGCAGCATTGTCTCCACTTGGACAATATTCGCCTTCTATGCATGGACCGTAATATTCACCGGTTGAGTTTCTGTTATCAACTTGAACCTCAGGAGTTCTGCTGGGAGATCCGAGACCACAAAAGTATCCTTCTTTACAATCAATAAGACTAAAAGTTTGGAAAAGCCCGGGTTCATCGCAGAATTTTTTCGGAGGACAGAGTTTACAATCATCAAGTTTTTCTTTTCCTGAATCGTCCAAGTAAGTGCCAACCGGACAAGGAACGGGTTCTGCAGTCCCGGCTGGACAATAATGACCAACTGGACAAAGATTTTCTTCCTTATCAAAACTGTTCTGATTGCAATAATAACCTGCATTGCATTGCTTTGGAAGAGAAGTTCCAAGGGGGTTATCACAGTAGTAACCAGCAGGGCAAGCCAGACAGACCTTTTGCTCAACGGCACAAGCTTGAAGATTAGCTATATCTTTGTCACATGTAATATTCGGGTCCAAGAATGATCCCAGATTTGGATTATAAGATCCTAATGGACACGGAACAGTTCCTACGTCTTCATCGCAGAAATTACCCTTTGCGCAAAGATCAAGAATTTGACCCTGCTGGCAAGTTTTTCCACTGGGACAAGGTTGACAATGTTCAGTGTGTGAAGGGTCCATCTCGAACTCCTCTCGGTAGGTGTTGTCAGGACAAGTTGCTGCTGTTCTTATGAGACCATCGTCACATTGATGATAGAGTGGACAAACAAACGGGGTCACACTGCCTCCAGTTTTTGCGATGATTGCACCCACATCCAGCCCAGTTTCTCCGGGGTCTGAGTCTTCGTTAGGACAGAGATAGAACTTCGGACAAGCGACCGGTCTGATTGTTCCAGAGTATTCACAATAAAAATCTTCAGTACAGATAGCGCAATCCACGAACATTGTTGGATCACTACCATCATTAAATTTTCCAGCCGGGCATTTTATTGCAACCGGTGTACCAGCAGGACAGTAGGAACCCAGTTCGCATCTATTTTCCTCGTCACTGCCGTCTCTTTGACCGTTCGGCCCTGAAGAGCCTGGTGTGCATAAATAGCCCTCATTACATTTGTTAGCTAAAACAAGATCTTTTGTCATTCCTTCCTTATCACAGTAATGACCGGCAAGACAAGCTGTGCATTGACTTTCGGACTGGAGATTGGAAGTTAAACCAAAAGTGCCGACGGGACAATCAGTAGCGCTATCAGAACCAGCTCGGCAGTAAGTTCCTTTTGGGCAAGACGTTGGAGACCATATTCCGTTGATGAGATCTTCTTGACAGTAATATCCAGCAGGGCATGTGTTGCATGTAAGTTTTCCTCTATCAGCTTGATAGGTGCCAGCTTGACAAGGTTCCCTGATTCCATCTTTACAACTGAATCCAGGAGGGCAAAAGTACGTATACACTGGACCAGTTCTATCATAGATGTCTTTTACTCCAGCTTCACAGAAAAAGCCTTCTGGGCACTGATTCTCGTCTGTTTCAATTTGTCCTTGGTAACAAACGAATCCCTCTTGACATTGGCTACAAGAATTTTTATCAGCGCCCCCAGGGACATTTCTGTACGTTCCAGCAGGACACATTATTGGTACTTTTGTTCCTTTAGGACAATAGAAGCCTGGTGGACAATCTATCTTATGATTTGGGATCACTATTGTGCTATCGTCTTTTGCGCCCGAGATGCAGTACATTCCACCAGGACATTCTTTTGAGGTATCTGGTTTTTCCATTCCCTCAATGTCACAGTAGAATCCAGCCGGACATGGCTTGGGGAGAGCTGTTTCAGCTGGGCAATAGTGACCAATGGGGCATATGCCGACTGTTTCTCTATCGGTTCCATCAATTGTGATATTAATAGCGGAGTTGAAGGGCTCTGGTGCCAGTGGCCCGTTGTCTTTTGCTCCAACAAAACAGTAATAACCAGCAGGGCAGTCATTTTGCACATCTTTGCCTGGACAAACTTTTCCAGGCTCACATAGCTGACATTCCTCTTCAGATCTAGCTCCTTCAGTCGTTCTGTACTTGCCACTTGGGCAGTCAATTCCAGTAAGCGCTTTCCTGCCACAATATTGACCAGCTGGACAAGGATGGTTTATGTAGTCATCTAGGCCCTTTTCGTTACACAAATAACCAGCGGGACAGTCGAAACAAGCATTTTGACCCTCTCTATCTTGATAAGTTCCTTCCTGACATTCTGCTTTCTTGCCGCCAGTGCAATAATGACCTGTGGGACAAATGCCGAAATCAGTGCCGTTAGAAAGTCGAGATGGGTATTCACTTTTGGCGCCAGAGTTGCAATAGAAACCTTCGGCACAGGAATCAATACACGTACTTTGTCCGTGCTGATCCTGGTAATTACCATCAACGCAAGGATCACAACTGAGAGCATTTCCAATAGTACCATCATTAAATTGACCAGGTGGACATGGCAAGGCTGTTGCAAGGGAACATTCACTCCCTGCTGGACAATTATTCGGGCAACTAACACTTGATTCTGCTTGACAGTCGCATCCTGGATCACAAGAAGTTTGCTTGCCGTCTTTGCAGTAGGTGCCTACTTCGCATTGCTGGCATTCTGACTGATCAGTAAGCCCTGTAACGCTTGAAGAATATCCATCTGAACATGTGATAGACTGATCGGTTGATCCAGGTGCACAGACAATGCCAGCGCCACATTCTTTTTCGTCTGAGCCATTTTCACAATAGTATCCGGCATCACAATTCATGCAAACTTCACTTCCAAGCTCAATAGTTTTGTTTCCAGGCGAGCAATCTTGTGGTTTTTCAGAGCCATCTGGACAAACATTCCCAACGGGGCAAAGATGATCAGGACGCAAAGTGTCGGATGAACTCGGGCAATAGTATCCTTCGTTACAGAGGACGTATGAGCCATCACCAGGACAATATCCACCTTCAGTGCAAGCAATGCAGTTTATATTTGATGAGTCAGGATATAGGCTACTTGGACAAAGCTCTTTTTTGCCTTGGATGCAAATATGACCCTCGGGACATTCGTCTGGACTGTCTGTTTCGGTGCCGATCGGACATTCTTTTCCGTCGATGGAGCAATTGTTGTTATCTTTACCACCAGTGCAATATTTACCGTAAGGACATTCGTGGCAATGCTCTTGACTCTGTGCACCAGTCGAAAGATCAGTGCCAAAGCTTCCAGCCGCACAATCTTCTGTTACATGACCGAATTCACAGAATGAACCTCCCGGACAATCAGTTGGATCAACTTGATCTTTTCCAGTGGACGTGCAATCTCCTCCAGCGGGGCACTCGATACATTCTGACTGTCCTTCTGCTGGATTGTATTCAGCTCCATTGCAGTCAACTGATATTCCGTCATTACATTTTGTTCCAGCAGGACACAACTTTGTAGGAATCGGTGTGTCTGGTGGACATAGAAAACCAGGAAGGCATGGGTTTTGAGAAGCATCATATGGACAATAAAAATTTTCATCGCAACTGAAACAGCTTTCAGCACCAGGTCTTCCACAGGGAATTTCAAACGGAGTGCCAACAGGGCAGTGGTGATCGTTCGAACAAGCTGATGGATTGTTTCCAGTGCAGAACTCATCCTCAGCGCATGGTGTCAATGTTGCTGCATCAGAAGAAAGTTGTCCGGTTGGTACTGCAACATCATTTATCGAGCCTTCAGGACAATAAGTCGAGCCTCCAGATGTGCATGTCAATGGGTCATCTCCTCCAAGGCATTTGTTTCCAGCGGGACAAGGAGTCGTTGGATAACTGCTGATAGGAAGGGTTTCTTTGCTGCAATCAATTCCTGGAGGACACGGTGAACATTCACTTGAATTTTGTAGCCCAGTAACATCTGCAAAAGTATTTCTGCCACACTCAGCTTTACCCTTGGATTCCTCACAGTAGTGTCCTTCTGGACAATCCGCAGCAATTCCTTTTTCACAGTCTTTTCCAGCGGGACAATCCAAGCATTCATTTTGGCCCACACTTGGTTGATATTGCTGTTCACAGTTCGATATACTGCCTTTTTTGCATTCATGTCCAACTGGACAAACCACGCATTTATCTTCAGTGACAGAATTTGCGCTTATACAGCCACTTTCACAGCTGAATCCATCCAAGCAAGGTAGACCATTCGAAGACTCCGTTGCTTTCTTAGGACAGAATTTGCCTTCACCACAAGGAACACATGTAGTTGATTTTGAAGCAGACTCAGACTCTTCACCTTCAGCGCATGGATTCGGCAAAGTTTGTCCTGACCCACAAATATATCCATCTGGGCAGGGCCCGTTAACATCCGGAGTTCCTGATGGTGTTTTCGTATCAGCTCCTGAGATAGAATAATAACCAGAATCGATATCGTCTGTTGGAATGGATATGCCTTTTGTAGGGCAAGCTTTTCCCGCCTCACATGGTAAGCATTGAAGAGCACCTACATATGGGTTAAATTCTCCGATGTCACATTCTTTAGGTGCCGATAATCCAGTAGATTCGCATTTTGAACCAGCAGGGCAAGGAATTCTGCAGTAACTTTCATTTATGCAATCATCGTAGTTACTAAAGAAATTAGCGTAATCTTCACCAGGACAGAAAAATCCAGCTTCGCAATCAAAGCACCCCGACAAAAGTTTTCTGTCGGAATAAGTTCCAGCTGGGCATTCTTTTGGCTCAGCGGAGTTTAGAGGACAATGATATCCGGCAGGACATTCCTCGATCACATCTTCGCACGGGTCATTCGTATTTGCTGGGTCAAGTGTTGGTACGATTTTACAGGCTCTTTCAGGGCAGAAATAACCAGCAGGACAATCAACGAAAGTTACATTTGTAGACCCAACTGTGGCATATTTATCACACACTCGACCAGCAGTACACGCACTGCAAGAAGTATCAAGAAGAGGATTTTCATTAAATGTACCAGGGGCACAAGGGTTTTCGAATTTTGAGCCCGTGCCAGCTGGACAAGTAAATCCAGCAGGACATTCAGTTGAAACATTATTTATGTCTTTTGTCGGGTCACTCTGACTTCCTAGACAGGCATATTTAGCTGAACATTGTGTTGGAGTGCTTGTTTTTGGCTGCCACAATAAAAGCCGATCGGACATGCTTTGCACTCTTCTTTTGTAATACCTCCCATTGTATAAGGAGAGATGATAGTAGTATCGTAGAGCTCGGTAACGTTTAAATACTTTCCTGCATCGCAATCATTAACAATGGCACCGTCGCAATATTCGCCGTTCTCGCATATGACAGGATCAAATGTACCTGTTGCAACTGTACACTTGTGCCCGGGAGGACATATTTCACATTCGGCGCCAAGTTTATACTCTTGGTATTCTCCGTCACTACAAGCAGTTTCGTCAGCACTCTCGAGCGGACAAAAGGTGCCAGGACTGCACTCTCTTGTATCTAGTGATCCATCTTTACCGTTGCTTCGAATATTACCGCCTGGGCAATAATAACCTCCTTCGCATTGACCAGAAGTTCCATCGTAGTAAACGCCTGTAACAGGGTCAGATAAAACTTCTCCGGAGCAAAAATGCCCAGCTTTGCACATTTCACAATCATCATTTTTGCCTTTTCCAGGGCCAGTAGTGTATGTTCCCTCCTCGCAAGGTTGTGGAGTAAATGATCCGGCCGGACAATACGCTCCTTGTGGACAAATAATGGGACACTCAACACCTGGAACATATAATGGATCTGTTTCGTCAGGAAGATTGCAATTAGAATCGTCTTCTGATGGAGAACCTTGTCTACAGTAAACACCCGCAGTACAATTTTTCGGCGGTTTAACCGTATCAGTCAGACTATCTAATTCTCCACTGCAATAAAGTCCACCTCCACATAATGGACACTCGTATTTCGATCGCAAACTTTCGGAAATACTATAAGTTCCCGGTGGACAGGGAGTACTTATGAAATTATCCACATTGAATTCACAGTAAAATCCAGCTGGGCAAGGTTTTGGCTCCGCGAGTCCAGGTTCGTCGCAATAGTTACCAGATTTACATGGAGCGCATTCCTCTTTAGACTTTGCTCTAGGAAATGGTTGATATGTGCCTTTAACGCATTCTGTCTCTTCATATGAACCAGTTTCACAGTATCGGCCTGGTCGGCATTCTTTGTACGCATTACAAGTGTAATTTCCAAGAGAAATATGATCGAATTCGCAGCTAGGTACTTCTATTGTAGGCCATTCACCTGCACCGGTTGGAGGAACGCCCAAAGGCGGACAATAATAGCCTTCGGTACAGGGAGTACATTGATCTTCCTCACTTAGACCGAATTCTCCGCCAAATGTTCCCGGCGGACAAGGGACAGGATCAACGTCAGGGCAATAGTATCCAAGTGGGCAAGGATTTTGGAAGAGTTCAGGAATAATTGAAATTGGATAGTCTGGCGAGTTTACGGAGCAGTCAATACCTGGCGGACACTTCTTGTTATTCAACATATCCTCTTTAGAAGTTGTAGAGTTATCGCAATAGTAACCAGGCTCACAGTCTAAGCAGACGATTGCTTGGACATCTGAATATTTTCCTTTTCCGCATTCTGTAGGTACAGAAGTCGCATTTTCAGGACAATGCCAACCACCGGGACATTGTGGGCAGTCATCAGCAAAACTGCTTCCGCCATAATTTGGATTATAGAAGCCTGCAGGACAAGCGTCCGGTACAACTGTGCCCGGTTCATATTCATCGAGCGGCTCTCGGTTAAGCAAATGCAGATTTTCATCTTTGATAGCTCCGTCGCAGTAGTATCCCGGTTCGCAAGACTTACAATCAGAAACACGACCAATACCTTCCTCGTCATTGTAAGTTCCTGGGGGACATCCTTGTGGTTCTTTTAATGTGTAATCGCTGTAGAAATTATTTATGAATCCATAAGTCAATTGAGAATTGTAGTTGTCGGTTACTCCATAACCAGTACCCGGTGAGCAATAACATCCTCTTGGACATTTCATAGCTTGTATTTGACTTCGTCTGAAATAGTTTTCTTCGAAGTAGAAATCATGTTGAACTTCATCAAAGGGCGCTGGCAGTTCTATCAAATCAACAACGTCACCTTGGTCGAGCTGATTCGTACCGAATGTGCACATCCAGCCCTGTTCACACACCCAACACTCATTAGGATCAGATACCCCAGTTTGATTACTCCAAGTTCCAGCAAGACAACCTCTTGGTCGGTAATTTTCGCCGCTTCCTGTTTCCCAACTCGGCTTTGTTCCGTAAGCAGGATCAAGGGGAAATTTAAATGGAATGTCAACTTCGTTTCCATCAGCATCTCGTACTTCCAAACCTTGAGTCCCCTCGCAGTAGTACCCCGCTGGGCATTTTATTGGGTTGATCAAGCCATTGCCAGTGCCTGGGAAGCAGTAAAATCCAGCAGGACAAGTTTCACATTGAGATTCTCCAGTATTATCAGTCTTTGCACTGTATTTTCCTGCAGGACACATTGTAGATGGGTTTCCAGCATTACCTCGCCATGTTGTTGATGGTGCCCACGAATTAGGATAATTACTGCTGCTCGAACAGAAATGACCATGATCACATCTTCTATCAGGTTTAATTAATCCTGAAGACGAGCATGATTTTCCATCGGGACAAGGCTTACAATTTGATTCCCCAATAGTGTCTTGATAAAAACCAGGAGGACATGGGAAAGGACTTGATGTACCAGCCGGACAATAATGTCCTAAAGGGCATTCCTCGTCGCATTGACTTGATCTACCTTCTTCCTCAGAGTATTTGCCTGCAGGACAGTTAGCTTTAGTACCGCTATTACAATAAGAACCAGCAGGGCAAAGATGGCATTCAATAGCGCCAGGAGGACAATAAAATCCTGCAGCGCCAGTTTTGCAACCTGTTTGACCGGTTTCATCTTGATATTCTCCTTTTGGGCAAGGTACCGGAGAAATTGTCGAGTCGATACAAAAATGGCCAACTGGACATGTTTTTTTCGTGTATCCATCGCATGTATATCCTGGTGTGCAATCGGAACAACTTGATTGACCAGTATTAGTTTGAAATTTTCCGGGGGGACACAATGTTGGTGCGAAGGCATTTGCAGGGCATTTATGACCAACTGGACAAGTGATTTGCGAGTTACTTCCAATCGGGCAGTAGTTTCCTGCTGAACAGCTTGTGCACACTCCATTCAATGAGTACTGTCCTGGTGAGCAAGGAACAGGTATTCCAGTTCCACAAGAATGACCGTTTGGGCATTGAAAGCATTCTGACACACCAAGAGGACTGTATTCATTAGGTCCACATGCTACAGTTTTCCCTTCTTTATCGCACGACCAATTGATGTCACATATTGTGCAATCTATACTATTTGCCGGCGCATAATATCCAGGATCGCATGGCACTGGAGGTGAATCTGCTGTTGGACACATTGAACCGGGAGGACAGTTTTCACACGATTTTTGTCCTTCAAGAGAGTATTTTCCAGAAGCACAAGAACTAGCAGTGCTTTCAGTGCACGTTTTTCCAGCTGGACAAGGTTTGCATTCAATTTGACCAGTTGCATCTTGAAAGTTACATCCGTCGTCGTTACAAGTACACGGTTGTTCATTTTCCCATGGATTCGGACACGCATTTCCTTTAGGACAAGGCGTGCAGCTATTTCCGTTTATATACTCTCCATATCGACACATTTTTGCTGTAGAGCTATTGCATTCATGCCCAGGTAGGCAAGCTCGGCATACAGAGTCTCCTTCGTATGAGTACTCATTAGGTCCGCAAGGGCTTGCTCCAAGAGCATCGCAAGAATTACCTTCTGGACAGGGACTACAAGTTTTGTCAGTCGATAGTTTTTTGTAGTAACCAGTCGGACATTCAACTGGGACTCCGTCTCTATTCGGGCAGTACAGATTATCATGGAGATCACAACTTTGGCAAGCACTTGATCCATCGCTATGATGACTATCATCACAAAGTTCGCAGCTTCCACTCGAGAAACCATATCCAGCAGGGCATTTTGTCTGAGGACATATTCCAACTTCTCCTTTCACTTGGCCCGTAGAATTGAAAACTAGAGGACAAGGCTCACACAAGTTTCCAATTAAAGTCATCCCAGGATCGCAATTGTATTGAAATGATCCATCACACGGTCCTTTGTCGCAATCAGTAGAAACACATATTTTCGAAGTTTCATCCCATTGTTTTCCAACTCCACAATCACTAAGAGTCGTGCAGTCTGTTCCTCTCGTACAGTGCTGGCAACCAGTAGTACTAACAGGAGTCTTTGGAGATAAACCTGCAGAAATAAGGCAGTCTTCTTGACCTCCATATCTGTCGCACTTTTTCCCTTCTGGACAATCAACGCAAGAACTAGCACCAGTTGAATACTGTGTATCGGGACATTGCGTTAAGCCATTTGATCCATCAGAAGTATAACCAGCCGGAGTGTTGATACAAAGGCTATCGTATGGTTTGTACTTGTTTGAATTACTGCACGTTTCACTTTTTTCGACACATTTTTCCTGTCCATCTGGTTCGAAACTCGGCGGGCACGTTAAACAGTCTTGGAATCCTTCAGGGGACACTTGATTAGCTCCACAAGAACCAGTTATGCCTTGTGAATTACAAGAACTTCCTGCGGGACAAATTCTGCATTTATCTTTACCCGCGGATGAGTAAAACCCTTCTGGACAATCTATACAATCTTTCAGACCTTGTTGCCAAAACGTTCCAGCAGGGCAGCCAGATGCACTTGTTTTATAATCGGCGACTAGTACGCAATTACTGCAAATGCCTTGAGTAAATTGTCCACTGTCCGGACATGGATCACAAATACACACATGAGCACACGAAGAATCACCCAGAGTTGCATTTTGGCAGTATGTATCCGTGTTGCTACACCCATCTGCAAAATTTTCAATTACACACAGCACACCATAGTATAAAACAAGTTTCATAAAATTCAAGGAAAATCAATGAATTTACAAAACTAATATTTTTTACTATAACACACAGAAATGAAGCATGATTGACATGTTCATGATAAGTTCACACTGTACTTACCTTGGGCCTGCCCCGTGTTATACAGTAGTAAGAATACTAAACCCTTCATGCAGTTGATTTCTTATTCATTTCAGGTTTTTCTCTTCTTTTTTTTTAATAAAACTTTTTCTTTTTGTCTGTAAATTCGAGAAGACAATACACTTTGTGAATAGCACTGTCGTTTCTATTTGCGTTCCTACAAAACATTTCGATTTTGTTTGAAGAGGGCCGTCTTCAATGGATCCTTCCAGTACGATTATGCCATTTACGGATCCATTGTTTAATTACCGCCAATTAATTTCTCTTTGCGTAATTTGAGGAGATTATTTTTCTTTAAAATAACACCGATAATGCACTCTCTCTTTGAAAATATGAAGAAAATAATATTTTAAAAAACGATATCTAATTTTATTAGAAGATTTCCATTCTTTTGAATCAAGATTAGTAACAAACAGACAAACATAATTAGATCTCAAGAGCACGCGGAAGAAAAAGAAGAATTATATTAGTATTTCAGAGGCAGAAAATTTTAATCTATTTGCTTTCAGCTTGATGAGAACTTGGAGGCGTTTCTTCGGTTGCGAAAGATGGGTTCTTGTAATGATTTCTTCGGTAACCGATCGCCAAAGCTATAGACCAGTTAATACTTAAACATGAGAGTGTTTACCTATAAGCCCATCTGACGCTACAGTGTCTTGAAATCCCGCACCAGCTAATGTTTTGATATCCCTAAAACGTTTATAACACTCATCAACACTAATAACTTACCGTCGTCCATGATCTCCGCCAGAACTTGCGCCTGTTGCAGGGTTAGTTTCACCCTCTATGTCCCAGCCGTGTCCATAAGCAGCAGTAGGATATCCCGGCTCGCCGTGTTTCTTGATGTCAAGGCCTCGCACTTCAATATCCATGTCAACTCTAAAATCGTTTTAATCATTGTTGATTCCAAATCAGCAAACCTCAATACATCCATGAAATAAAGGATGGCGAAAGTTACGCCGGCTACGATTCCTGACCAAAGCGTGATGGCAATGAGTCCAACAAGATTCCATGTGAATTGTTTATAGGCCGAATAGTCACATTTAAAAGCGTCTAAATTTGCAAAAAAAAAATATATATAAAATAATTTATCTTCAAAAACGAACCTTCATTAACAGGAAGGTCAAGGCCGCAAATCTCCCATTTGAGTGGAAACTCTTCTCTTTGCTCAGCACAATTCGCAGAAGCGGCAATACCGTAAGCTGCGAAAAGAGGGGAAAGAAGAATTCCACAAACTCCGCCACTACCAACTGTTACTGTGTTGATAAGAAATCGTTATCTTACCCATAATGAACGGCAAAAGCATCAAGCGGATCGTCGATTCCGAACTGGAGCAAGACATCGCTGTTAACGCATATTTATATTCAATTATTGATAAAATTTCATTAAAATATAATATTCGCTTTCCTTTCCTGATCCAGTACATAGTCATTCCCGCGGTGGCGCCAATTCCAAAAGCAGCTCCAGTATTTAGCTCGTTGCAGGCTGCGCACATGGAAACCATACCAGCGAGGCCTCCGTTGATGCAGACAAGGAGTGACCAGTAGTATCGCTCTCCCTTGATCATTGGCACTAAAATATTGAGTCCAAGTGCGAAGATAGAGCCTGCTGCGCCGCCGATAATTGTATTGACGACTGAAATAGCCAGAGCTTCGCCATGATCATCAAGACTCGTTCCATCAGCGTTAACTATTTGCAAGACAGATCCACCATTGAAAGCCAAGAATCCGAGAAAGAGGATAAAAGCACCAAGGGAAGCAATTGGAACTGAATGTCCGGGAATATCGTTTGAAACTCGTCGATTGCCTTCTTCTGAAAACTTGCCGATTCTAGGGCCAATGAAAATAGCTCCCATGAGTGCCGCGATTCCGCCTGAAAATTATAAAAAATCATCGTCGCTAGATTCAAAAACCTGTGCAATGAACAATAGCTGATCCGGCGAAGTCTTTAAAACCGATTGGATCCCCATACTCCATGGTTCCAGTTTCACAGCTCAAGCTCAAGTATTTGAAAGACGAAATTTCACTTGCCGTTAACCAGCCAGTGCCCGACCAGCACCAGTGGCTGACAACAGGGTAGACGAATCCGGTAATAATAGTCGAGTAGATCAAGTACGATCCGAACTGAGTTCGTTCGGCAACAGCTCCAGAGACAATTGTTGAAGCTGTAGCAGCAAAAACGAACTGGAAAAACCAATTCGCATGGAAACTGTCGTAATCGTCGGACATCACAGAGAAAAAGTATTTATGGCCGATAAATTTATTTGCAGCAGAAGGCGGCGACGTATCCCCATAAGCAAAGGCGAACCCAACTGCCCAGTAAATGATTCCACCAATAAAACAGTCAAGAACATTTTTTATTAAAATATTCACCACATTTTTTGACCGTACAGCTCCAGCCTCGAGAAACGCAAAACCACATTGCATGAACATGATTAGGGCACCAAGAACAATCAAGAAAAACTAAAATAGTACCTTCTTCTTTCTATTCACACGCTGGGAACGAGTTTGTGTTGAAAAAGTCCAACAACAGATGTTCTTTATGTTTGAAATTGAAAAGGAATAAATTGTTTAATCGAAAAATATTTCCGTTAATCAAAATTAATTATCAATCTTCGTTACTTGAAGGAGAAATCTCTATCAGAAACGTGCGGCCTACCTCATTTATGCTCTTCATATTGGCCCTACTAACATCTTCCAGTAAAGAAACCCTTTCTTCGAGGGTGAGATTTTCCATGATCTCTTATTTTTATGATTTGAAAAGTCTGAAAAATAAAAAACTGGCCTGTATTGAGAACCTTGGCCCGACCAGCGAAAGCCGTGCGCCCGAGACCCAACCCAGAGGGCAGTTAACCTCTCAAAGGGGACGGATTCCGTCGGCAGGAAGCCATTACCGATTTAACTCTTCTATTGTTTCGCGCCGTGATCTTGAAAGATTCATTGATAAGCTAAGAGTACCGACAATGAGCTGCCAAAGGAGACGAAACATCCGATTTTTTTAATAATCCCGTTCAAATCGGTCGTAACATTGGCACACTGCCAACGACAAGTTCTGTTTTGCGCGAAAATTATAGAGCCCCGGGCCTTGCTTCTGAAATTCTTATGAGCATTTACACTGAAAATCTCACAGAAGAATGTGCCAATCGACTATATGCCAATTGAAATCGCGACGTCTCTACGCGAGACTTTGATCTAAATTCAAGAAGATAAGAATAGAACATTAGAAATATCAATTTTCAAAGCAATTTGTGTCCAATCAAGCGCAAAAAATATTGAGTATTTTTAATGCTCCATAGTCTATCAACCATAGACGTCTTTATTTTTGTCTTTGAATACAGGGGTCACCAGTTAGTTATTGCCAATTTGGGTGATTATTGAAGGATATCTGTATATTGGAATATTCTCTTATCCATTCGCACGTCTTGGAAAGTTGACAAGTTGCGTTTGAAGTCCCGCTGTGGTTTGTCCTGAGGCTAGTGTCTTTCTTTTTTTACTTGCTACGGACTTGTATCCGCTAAGCCGCTTTGCAACATCGATTTCGACTAAAATTGAGTGTGCTCGAACTCAATGATCCATTGGACAAATTTAAGTATAGTATGGAGAGAAATTTACACAAATTCGAGCTCGTTTTGGACCGGTTTGATCGCAAGAGAAACTCTCAAAGGAAACTCTCGGTTTTTCAAACCATGCAAAGATTCTTGTGGCGATTTCGGCAGTTGTGTTGGAGTTTTACGTGATAAGGACAGTTTACTTGAATTTTTATTAAAATCTTCATACAGAACTTGTTCTTTAAATTTTATCGAATTGTGAATATAATCGGTAAGGCTTGATAAGAGAACCATTTTGGTCTGCGGAAAGGTAAACTGGATGTCTGTACATTATTATCAGCTAATATTGTATATAGCGTTGCGGAAAGAGTAATAGAAACAGAAAAAACGTACAAGGGCCTTTGGTCAACATGTCTGTACATAGGATCGTACAGATACAGCTGCGACAGTCGACCTCGTTCTTTGTTGACTCCAGGTGACTTAATTTAACGATTTTGCATATCGGTGCAAATACAATTACCGCTCGTTCATGAAGAACTGGCAGTTTGAAAGTAATTCAATGTGTCTAGTTCTCGTGAATAGCATTTCAAGCTCATTCTGACAGGCGCTTTCAGCACTTAGACTTTTATTGATTTCAGACAAAGAAAAGTGTTTAAGGAAACTGGCATGTTCTTTGGTGTCGAATCTCAACAACCTTCGGAGCTATCTTTGGCATTCTTTCCACGGGAGGAATTTTCATCTCCGCTGATTTAGTCGAGTTTTATAAAGGGAATGTTCGATATACGGTATTACTTATACTTTTAATACGGGAGTGTGTTTCTTATTGAGCAATTCGAACTAAAAAAAGGATCATCACAAAAAACGTGGATCAGTTACATTAGGTAATGGCTGATTCAGCTAATAAGTCACTTAGATTCAATCACTTATTTATTAAAACCTTGTCAGCAGTTTCATGATTATTAACAAAGTCTGAAAGTACTTTTTGCATGGTTCAAGGTCTTCTCCCGTCAGAATGACAGCTAGCCTCATATTGAAGACATCTATAACATACTAATCAAGGCGAGAATATTCAGCCTTGGTTACGTTTTTCGAACACAAAATCCCATTCATAATCGTCTGTGATCTGCACAAACGGATCAAGATGTCGAAAGACATTTGATAAACAAATTGATGTCCTTGAATCTTACTTTAGCGCCGTCTTCGCGATGATGAGTGGTCTGCTTTTCGGCGCGGCTGGTGTTCTTTGGTCAAGCTTCCAAAATACTTTTGTGAACATTATTTATATTATTATAATTGTGGATAAAAATACTCGCGAAGCTTAAAAAAGGCTACTCGCTTGACCGCAGATTTTGCTGAGAAAATCAAGGAAAGGGATAGTAAGAACAGAGTATTTTTCCTAAACCGTTGCATCAGCACGCGTCGTCCATAGCGCCTCTAACTTCTAGCGCCATTAGCAAGTGAGCCCCCTTCTAACTCGAAGTGGAAATCGCTCTCGAGTCTTTGGAGTCTCTTCAGAACTTTTCGAAAGAATTTACGGCACGCGAACACAGTGTCACAATGTCATTCATAAACTTGAACACGTTTTTTTTAAATACTTGAACCCATTTGGACTCTTTGTAACCGGTTGGGCATGGATTTTACCGACCTTGTCACGGAAATTTGCGATATGCAGCAGCTTTGCTTTTAAGTCGAATTATCCCGTGCCAGGACGTCCATTCCAAACACAAGTCGCTTAGTAAGCAGTTCCAGTTTTCCCCTGCCTTCGGCAAACTTATAATTTAGTGTGAAAAATTACTTGCATTTGCATTACAAACGTAGTATCTTAACACTTAGCCTGCTAGTAGACAACTGTACGAAAGTGCAGGATCGCTACATAAAGAAAGCTTTTAATGGAAATCCATGAACAACCTTTACTCAATCAACCGATTTTAGCGATAATTTTGCGATAGAAGTGGATTTGATAGTGGCGATATCGTATTTTTTGATAAATCCGAACGCTCAACGAGGTCATTACGGAGATCATAATCATGTCCGCGGAATTGTTGCCCGAGGCCGATGACACTGGAATCCAGTGACTGGATTTTCAAATCGCTTATCAATATTCAGTGCCGCCTTACTACGACTTCGGCGGCTGCATCGTCATCTCCTGGTTGGTTTTTATTCTCATGGCGTTTGTTGGTGAGTGCGTTTTCTTTATCTTACCTTCTTCACGCGAGAATCTGCGGGCGTAGAAGCAGGGGTCAACAAGTTCGTCCTAATATAGAGCAAACTTAGGCATGTTGTTTTCTTCTCCCAACTGAAGTATTTAGTGTGCATCTTAAGCAACAGATGATTAGATTAATTACAATTCATTACTTCGTTTATCAACTTTTACTCTCAGGAATCGGATCGATTATGAAGCAGCGATATGTGCAGTCAAATAGATACTGCGTCAAATTCGAGTCAGATGGGCCTGCAACTTATCAAACACGTGCCACAAAGTCCTTCACCAATCCTTCCTTCACTATTAGGCGAGGAGTCGTCTTTTCTTGAGATTTGTAGTTTTTATTTCAACTTTAAAATCTGCATGGAGAATAGGGGATCATCTAAAGCCTAATTGAATTTATGGGTAATTTGCGGAGCAAACTAATGGTTACATAATTAACTTTCTCTCGTACTTTTTATTTTTCTACTGTCAATCGAGTTATTCAAATGATGGCGCGTGTTAGCTGAACTAAGCAAACTCATTTACCCACATGACCCGGATATCCTGATAATAACAATTCTTCTTTTGAAATACGGGAATCTTGATTTTATTTTAAAAAACTTTCTTTATATAAAAAATCCCTCAAAATGTTCCTTCTGATAATTTATGATAAACCGGCTATATAAAAATCGGACTCCTTTCTAGCTCAGAATATATTTAATATCATGCCATCTGCGCAACAACATTTCGTCTTGAAAAAAAAATAAACACACTGCTCATGAGTTGTCATTCTATTTCCGTCTGTAACCAACAGTCGACAAAATGCAAGTTTGATCTAATGTTACCTTGGTGACCACTGGGCTGGGCAGGACTTTTATTACCGCTAAAATCATAAGATCAGAAGCTTTGTTTGAATGGATTATTTGGCGAGCAAGCCCACTTCTCAGAAATACTTCGGATAAATTCGGATGTACTTTCGGCGAAAAAGAAGTAACGAATCTTAGTCTAACATTCAAGGCAAACGTGAGAGATCTGAGAATGCAGGTGCAGGTTTTATGCTTAGTCGGCCTCGTTAATGTTGTTTACATGCGTTAGTTTTTCCATGGACATAGATTGCCCCTGCCATGAGTTTATATTGGACACAAAACGAACGGTTAATAGGAACGAGCAGCTTTTGGGAAATTTCAAGCTCAATGGCCGGAAAAAATATAAATTTTTCGCCTTCGAACAGCCATAGCTCACGTTATACTTTATGAAACCAAGGGATGAAGGTATCTTTCGAAAGCTCAGATTCTGAGGATTGGGGGAACGTAAAAATCATTTCGGAAAATCGACATTTCTGATTGGCCGAAAATTTGAAATAATTATTTTTGCCAGTCAACATCAACTTTTTTCAAATGTTTTTTCTTTCCCCCAATCCTCAGAAACTGAGCTTTTTAAAAATGTATCAATCACGTGATTTCATCATCTCTCACGTGAGATATGGCAGTTCGTAGGAAATTTATAAAAATGGTCTCAGAATCGCCCCAGGCAATGAAAAAAAGTTTTTTCCAGGTGATTTCTAGGTTTTCGATGATGACTAAAACGATCAACATAATGATTTTCCCCCTAGTTGAAATTTTTGTCAAAATCGAAAATTTATATTTTTTCCGACCAATGTTCTGCAAAATGAGATTATTCAACACCATGACATTTACAAAAACCTCAAAGGAAACTTGAAGGTTCCACTTGTAGGTTGTCTTCAGATTTTCGAAAAACAGGGCCGATTACTCGAAGAAACTTGAGGTTAATCGTAATCTACTCAGTATATAATATACTTGTCGTTGAAACTAGCTAACTTTTGCTAAATCGAATGGGCTCCGAGTTGAAGAAAGGTCAGGGCAGAAAAATTCTTTGGAGGCCAAGTGCGAGTGTGCGGATAGAATTCTACGGCGCGGGGGTTGCGATCCGCTCGCCCACGCCGCTCGAGATCACTCTGTCTCGCATTTGTCCTTACCCGGGCACGTAAGGAGTAGAGTGCTTGGAGCTCGGAGCAGCGCGAGAAGCACAGCGAGAGAGTGACCCCTCCTCCACCCAGAGAATACTCTGCCGCGAAAGTTGAAAGAAAACACGAAGAAATCCGGAAGTAAAATGCATGCGAGGCTGTTGTTGCTGCGCTGCTGTGCTTGAGAGAAGAAGAAGGCGAGAACGAACGACTCAAGTAAGTTTATCCAGGGATGATGGTGGCTCACCAAGTGGTGGACCGCGCGCCATTGGGGCGCTAGATCTGCCGAAAGCGCAGTAGACACTCGTGCCCTTGCTCGACCCTGCGCTCTTCTCACAAATCTCTATCCCCCTTCCCCCGTTATACACTACTACGAGTAAACGGTCGAACTAGCTCAAGGACGCCATTTCCAAAAAGAGTATAAGTCCTTCCCCTTTTCCAACGGGGCTTCAGTTAGATGCCAAAAGAGAGAACTCCTTCCAGAGTTGACTAGAGAGCTAGAATGCGCGAACTCGATTTTCTTAGAGGTAAGCGACCCCGAGCGACCTTCGCCTTCACGGTGGCGCTGAACACGCCGCGCCCTTGTCCAAGTTATGTAACTCACCTTCATCTCAACAATACCGTCTCTGCCAGTTGTTCGCCGGACAACTCGACTTACCCGAGTCAATGCGCCCCCTCGAAAATAGACTTTATGTTTTCGGTAACTGGGGCATATTTTTTTTTATTTCTTCGGCCCGCGAATCACAACTTAGCCCTTTCAGAGGCAGAGTAAAAGAGCAGCAAAAAGGCAAATAGAAGATTATTAATATTCAAAGTCATTGCGCAACGGTGAGTGAGTTTAATCCCAGCGATAGGGCGTAACTGTGTCATGAGCTAACAGACGAGACCTAATGTAGATAAGCCCGTGAGAGAATCACCCCGTAAAATCTTTCCGCACCAGAGTTCGGATTCCAAGGAGACCGCGCATCGATTGAGTTCGAGAGTTCTGCCTGTCAATGTCTAACGAAAGACTTATAAAGAAATCTTTACGCAATAGTCTAGCCAAGACCTCAACATTGCACATCTAGTTCTTTCGCCAAAGGCGTCAAAGATTTTCTAAGCAATTACGCTTCGATTTGTTTTTTACGAGACCGAGACAGTTCAAACCAGTTTACGGATGCTCTCGTATCACGATGACGCCAAGCAGCCTGGAGTCTGTAAACAGCTAAAAAATAATTTCTGACAATCGATATGTCTAAATATTTTGATGCTTACATAAGTTTTTTTTTTGAGATAGACTGAATTTAGATCTGCATCCACATCCTGTAGTTTTTACGACGAAGCTCTTTTCTCCATTTTGCTAGAACTAATCTTAGTATTTTAACACAAACTTCTTTAGAAATGGACCAGTTCATCGAAGAGATTCACAGAGATGACATTGATACAGGTCACCTACCGATGCCGCTTGGGAATCAACTAGGCATCCCGCTCCCCCATCACATGACCTCGATGGGCCAGGTGAACTCCATCCTAAGCCACAATCCTTTCGTCGTCGTTGGTCAATCTAATCAAAACATGTCGTCAAACATAATTCAACAAAACGATAATCACAACGTCGACGTAAAAATGGAAGCTGATAGCGTCGTTGATGTCAAAAGACCTCCGCGGTCGACGTCAAGAAACAGCGTTGGTGGATTAGAAGGAAACCGTATGTGTGTTGTTTGCCAGGACCGTGCAAGTGGCAAACATTACGGTGTTTTCTCTTGTGAAGGCTGTAAGGTGAGACACTCGTTAATTTAAATTTACATCAAGGAAGAGAAGTATGAACTCGGTTGACTCAGTATTTATTTACAAGGCAGACCTCGGTTCTCCTCGAACTGTTAATTGTGCGAGTGTAATCTCTAAGTACCAAAGGAAAGATTGGGCGAATTGTAAACACCCGCCCTATTAGAAAATACTAACTAGTGCAAAATTCTTTCGTAAATTGTATAATATACAGTCTACATCATAAAGTAATTCTTCCTTTCAGGGATTTTTCAAAAGAACAGTACGAAAGAGCTTGAAGTACACCTGCCGAGACGAGAAAAATTGTACAATAGACAAGAGACAGCGCAATCGATGTCAGTTCTGTCGGTATCAGAAGTGTCTCATGGCGGGGATGAAGAAGGAAGCTGTACAAGACGAACGAAAACGCCCTACCACCGAGGAAGACTTCGAAAACCCTCTTGATGAAATGCCAGTAGTAGATATCCTCGAGGCGGAGAGAGAATACAATGGACCAGCAGAGGTAGTCAAAATTTAAACTATCTCTCTAGATAATTTCATTCAGCAGTTTCACCTCCGTCACATCAAATGGGCAGCTAGAATTCCACACTTCAAGTCCTTGAGCTTTCACGATCAGAAAGTTCTCATAAAGACGGCTTACACCGAGTTGCTTATTCTCAACTTCGTTTTCAATCAGTCGAAGATTTCAAATCCCCAAACGATGGTCCTAGAACGATATCTCAGGTTTGTCATTGATTCTCTTGGATCGAATGCCTAATAATTCCAAGATTAGCTGTTTTGCGTTCGTCATTCTGGAGAACTCGTTGCTCTCTATACATCTAAATGTATTTATAGCTCTGATGTTATGACAAAGATCCGACAAATACAGCTGGACGAGACTGAGCGCGGTGCGTTGAAGGCGATCATCCTCCTCAACCCGGACTCGCGAGGTCTCCAATACCCCGAAACTGTTCTCTCGATTCGCGAGAAGCTTTACGCATCACTAGAAGCTTATTGCAAGGTAAATTGATATAGCTGGCTTGTGTCATCTAACAAGGATAATTAAGTCCACGTTTCCTGAACGAAAAGGCCGCTTTGCGCGCATATTGCTGAGGCTGCCCGCATTACGCTCGATCGGTCTCGAAGCTGAAATCGAGTCTGCCGTCGATTGCTCAGCGCTAGAAAACGTCGTTGATTCTTACTGGCGCTCAGCTCTTAACATAGACGCCAATGGCAACAACGACTCACTGAATAGTAACAATTTTGTCCAGCTTCCTTCGCCTGGTGCCGTCTCCAACTGTTCAAACACTACCTGTTCAAGTACCACAATGACGGACCAGAGCACCATATTTCCATTTAGACCATCTCCTCTTTCTTTCCCATGACCAGGTCTGTCGATTTGGTGATATCCACGCGATGAAAAGTCAACCAGCTCATTGTTGCACGAGCATTGAATTTTTATCGTTGACCCTAACAGAAATTAAGTATCACACACTGTACATTTTTATATTCTGGCTTTACAAAAAACTACAAGTCTTACCTGGCCGTTAATTCGTAAAGGTCCATCTCTTTATCTCTGTAAAACCTTCCATTCAAGTTATTTCATTAATTCTAGCATTTATTTTCTTATTCCCATCTATTTATTATTTATGAAAGGCTATCTTCGTAATTGGTGCCCGAGTTTCCTTTGAAAGCCCCTTTACTTCTCCTGTTTCCAATGAGTCTCAATTTGAGACGGCATTCAACAATCAACTTAAGTTTTTGTTTTCTCTTCTTTAACCCAAACTCTGTCATCATGAAAAACTACCACATCTCCCCAATTGCTTCAAAAACCCCAAAATCAAAATATGATCCCATGTAATCACTTTCTTCTAAAAGTTTGTTTCGCTAAAGTTCAAAGTTACCTTTTAATTATTTGTTTTCTGCTATTTAACATATTTCGCGAAGTTCATGTTCAAAGCTTTTTTCGTTCTCATTATGTTCACGCACTTGATTATATCGTATTTTCAAGATCATCCCCAAGAAATGACTTTTGGTCCAAAAACACCGTATTAGTGTCCAAATTTAAGGAGGTTCTCTGCTTGAAATCTCGGCAGGTCAAAGAAAATATCTTATAGTTTTGAGTTCTTAATGATTTTTCGCGCCGCCGGGATTTTCTGCAGCTCCTTCCGAACTTTCTCGCTTCCCCGCACTGTCTATATCTTTGTAACTAGAAAAAGTCCAAATCCAAAGCCGAACTTACTTGGCGGTAGACTACTGTCATGCCTTTCTCGGTCGATTTTAAAATTGACTTGAGCATCGCCAGAGATTTTCAAGCTCAATCACAATCTGCTCTATCATCAGCTCAGTAACAAGAATATGTATGTTGTAGTCTCGAATGAAAGTTCACCACTATTCCTAGTGATACTATCTGACTGGTTTATATATTTATTATCTTTTTGAAGAAAGCCAAAAAGTCTCACAAGTGCTCGTACCCTTCACTTATGCTAAATAAAATGGAAATTCAAAAAAACAATCGTTTAATATTGATCGTCTAATCAAATCAGTTCTTTGAAAGAACCTCTTTTCGAAGCAGAGTATACTTATCGAGAATTAGAACGGCGCGCTGAGCAAAATCGATTCTGACCAGTGACGAGTGAGCTAGTGATATTTTCTTCAGAAAATGGTCCATTCGAAATCGAATTTGGAGGAGTTTTGTGAACGCCTAAGGCACGTGCCTCCACCAGAGCTAGAGAAGGAGTCAGATGAAGTGCTCGCTGAAGTTTTCAATATCGCTAAGGAGCAGATTTCCGATTCCACGAGTGGAGTACCGCCCGTTGAAAGCCTCGTCATTCTTTCACGCATAAGGAGGTAAAGGCTCTTCACTTTAGCAAACTTGATTGACCAATATGCAAAGGTTATGGCAGTCCAGGCCAGACGACGAGATATTCGGTATTCTGCTGGAACGGTTCTTCTCTGGCGATGACGACAACGACACGCGACTTCTAATAATGAAAGTTCTGGCCAATCTGCCCGTTATCAACGACACTATGACCAAGGGGCACTTCTTCTCTTACGCGGCCCTATTTGTAGACGACGTAAAAGAGAGAAGCATATCATGCGACATTGAAAATTTCCTTTTCTGCAGAATTCTCTCGCTGGGCTCGATAATCTCCAATAACTTTGTGCATGCAATGGTAGATTGCCTCGATGAGCTCTGTTCTTGGATGGTATGCGCCGCCTCGGCCGAGCATTCTCGAAGTCCTTATCAAGTCAAAGTTCTCAAAGAGCTATCCAAGGTAAGCACGTCTCAATTATCCAAGACAATACCAACTCTGCAGGTTTTGTTTGTAATTTTCTGTCAAAAAGAAGTTTCTTCGAATGAATCCAACTTTCAAAAAATCCTATTACCTATTTCTTCACTCTTCTCCATTATCTCGCAACGCTTCAATGACCAATCAACTCAACTCGTCGACAACTTAGTACAATTACTCGAGCGCCTTCCTGACAAATTCCTAAAAGATGCTTTCGACCTACCGCGCGATCCACTGGCTCCCTTTGAAACCCATTACCATAAGCTGGATCTGTTCTATGAGCAATTTTATCGCAGAGTATGTGGAGACACGTCTTTTCTGGGTAATTTTATGAGTGACTAGTACCCTTGTTTGTCGTTTAGTAATGTTGCTAGATGTTGTTCCCCTTCCGTATAGAACTGGTTGAACTTGGGTTTCGTTAATGTCGTTTTCTTGTCCTAAAACTTGTCACGAGTGGCAATTAACCTCAATTTTAGCTGACAAAGGAGAACTGCTTCCCTTCTTGAAAGTTCTCTGCTCGCTGACAAGTTGCTCGCGACACGCTAGAAAGCGTTTTCAGAAGCTTCTCAAACTGGAAAAACGCGACTACCAGAAGCTCCCCAACGACCGTAACTCGTTCTCCGGTCGATTGATTTCCCTCTTTACGGACACGGACGTTGACATCAAAACCCTTGCCGGTAAGTTTCACTACTTGCAAAGGACATTTAACGAGCTGCTTTTAGCCCAACTATTCATGATCATATCGAAGAACAAAGTTCAGCGGTTCATCGATATAACTGGTTACGGCAATGCGGCGGGCCTTCTTTACACGAACAGCGCCTTGTCCGGTGAGAGTGCATTTACGCAGCTTGACTACGCAAGTAGCGACGATGAAGACTACCAACGCGATATTGAAATCAAAAGCCAAGCAAACAAGTTAGCTCGCAACAAGTAAGTTGAAATAAGGCGCGACAAGGAACTCGTGGACCATTGAGGAGCCAGACGTCTCTTAGGTTCACTTCACAGTAGACGCATAATTATTCTAAACGACGCGATAAAATTATTTTTTGAAGAGGAATCGAAAATCCCGAATATAATCCAACGACTGGAAGAATAGAGCCACAGAAGCTTGACATCTTTGCTGGGCTATCCGACGAGCAAAAAGAGTGGGAGGTAAAAAATGTTATTTTTTCCGTGATTTCAGGATAATTTAGGCTCACCAAATCGCGAATCTGTTCTGTCGACTTGGCGACAGTGGGCTACAACCGATGGGAGTTGGTAAAGACTAACATAGGAATCAACTCAATAAAATACTTCTTTTAAGATGCTGATGGTAAATTCAAACCGATGAGAGAGCTGGCCCACGAAGTGAATCTCCCCAGTGAACTAACAGACTCCGACTCCGATTAGCCGAGTTTGCGCAAGCATCATTCCATTCTTTCTCTTCTCTTCAGTATTTCCTTCCTTCATTCAAGACATGTTTCTCAAAGTAAAGTACAATAAACTATTCATCAACTTATGTTTTTCAATTTTTTTGTATATGCATGTTCTTTATTCACGAGGAGCGGTAAACTGAGGAGTAGTATTTTGGGTAAGGATCAAATCGTAGGTGAAGCCAGCTCACTCCCGATCCCTCTGTCGATATGTACGTCTTTGAGGACTTTTTAGCCGCTGCTTGTCCGTGAGAACTCCAGCGTTTCAAGAATGCTCTCCGATAGTCTACGCTCGCTTTTCGGAAAAACTAAAACGACTCTGCAATTTTCCATGATTAATAATCTTGCGAACCTGTGCGATAGACACAAACGATTTGGCATTTTGAAAATCGAAACTTCCTTCCGTAGTTCTCGGCGGGACTGGACAGACGAGGAGCGAATCACCACCTATTTTTCATTAAAACGTTAATTTCAGCGTCCTATAGAACCTAAATTTGGAAATGCGCAAATGAGACTCGTCTCATCACACTTTTTCCAATGCTCTCGGAAAGAGACTGTATCAGGCGTTGCAGAGGCCAAGTGATCAGCTTTGATAAGAATCATTCCAAAGACGTTCTCTGCAGAAGACGATGATAGTGCAGGGGTCTTTTTCACCATAAGGAGCATTCATAATTAATAATTATTAATTATAAATCATAATTTAAGTCAGAAATTTAATCAGATCTTCATGTTCCATATTTATGCCTTATTGGAAGCCTTTCCTCCATTCTGTACGCTGAAAATGGAGATTCAATAAGTATCTTCTCGAATTTATCCTGGAAATGTTCGTTTTGAAGCTAAAGCACATTTCACATAAATCTATGCTAAGCACGAACCAAGTCGAGAAATTCTCTATGTGTGAGGTCTAAGTGCTAAAGTCGGTTAGAGATCTGATCAGGATCTCGCGCCGCGCTCTTCTCTGCCACTTTTACGTTCACTGCTTCAGTCCGCGCACAGTAAAAGTGCAGAATACACGTTTTATCGGAAACTACCTTTCTCGTGTTTTATTGAAGAATACAGTAGAGGCTACGACTAGCTGCAAGAGAACCGTCTAGTATAGAGAGCATACCGCAGTACTTAGACGCTTACATCTGGTGACAATACGCTAGGCTTCTTTCTTCACTGGACTCTTCCGAACTCATCGTTCGCCCTCATCACCGGCACTTCCTGCTGCAAAGCTAGAAGTGTTATTTACTTGGTGTGACCACTCGCCAAGTCGATCGAGCGATCTTCCGCCGTTCCCGTGTTCGATAAACCGCTGGAGCTCGTGAATCAAGTCGCGTCCGCGCGCCGCACAGTAACCCTTCTGTGCGCACTAACGAGGTCAGTCAAAGTTGTCAAAACCCTAACTGCCGCATTTATCGCCGCGACACCGTGGAACTCGTCTCCGACCGCGCCTGAATTGCTCATTTCGCCGCCGGCCCCCTGGAACACTCACACTACGTGAAAAAGTCGCCACGTGCGCCGCTCAAGGAAAACTCCAGTTACTTGAGCGCTCCGTAAAGGTACAATATCTTCGTTGTGAACCCTTTACCGCAAATTCCGTTACGCCGCGCCGCCGATTTTGATCAATCCCGCCAACGAAACCCCGCGAACTTCGCCGATCTTAATCTACAACGACATCTCGGCCCGCCAAAATGTCTTCTACCAGCGCCTGTTACGCGCTCATGCTCTCTGAAGACCAAATCAACTCGTGCATCTCTCTCTCGTCTCGCCTAAGGGGATGTCCGTGGACCCAGAATACGTCGCTGGAGTTGATGCCTTCGTTCAACCTACAAATCGCACCGAACTACGCGCACTTCTCGGAAAGCTCACCTTCATCCGAGAATTTCTCGAAACTCGAATGTCCGAGCGGATCGACACAAGTTGCTTCTCGCAGCTTGTTTTTCAGCTCAATCAGCTCAACAAAGATGGCGATTTCACGTGGACCACAAAAGCCCAGGAGGCTTTTGAGCGCGTGAAAAAGCGGCTCCGTACAAGCCCAGTCATCTCGTTTCCCGATCCCTCACTCGACTTTCTTCTCTGCACTGATGCTTCTGCAGTTGCCGTCGGCGCCGTCTTACTTCAACAGCAAGATGGATTCGACAGAATCGTCGGCGTCGCTTCTCAAACTCTCACTTCCGTCGAGCAGCGCTGGAGCTGCACGGAACGCGAGGCCTACGGCATTTTGTTCGGCGTCCGCAGATTTCAGTACTTCCTACGTGGCAAGCCCTTTGTGGTCAAAACCGACCATCGAGCTCTTCAATATATCGACTCGGTCGACCACAAGAACGCAAAACTGGCCCGCTGGATGGACGAACTGAGCGCGTACAGGTTCATCGTGGAGTATCTCCCTGGCGAGCAGAATGTCTGGGCAGATCTCTTCTCGCGGCCCTTTGGCGTCAAAAGGACCCTCCGTCTGACAATCAGAAGTCAGCCGGTAAATTTGTCGACTTCGGTGGCCTCCGCGCTTACATCCCCAGCTGGTGTACCAAGGATACTGTTATCCCGCCGAAATCCTCTCCCTCGAAACCGCTCCGCGAAGGTCTCACTCGCGCACTTACATGCTCCACTGGCGACGAGTTCACCCTCAACCAGAATGTCGAAGATCTCCTTCAACTTGCTAATGCCCAGCGCGCCGACTCGGGTTTGGCGAAGCTCATTGATGCTCTAGAAAAGCACAAACGCGACCCAAAGCAAGTTCTACTCGACAAGCGCGATTCTAACTACGAATTGTATCGCGTCAACTGGCAGCATTTCCGCATTTGTTCCCGTACAAATGTACTTCTCCACGTGCGCAATGGTAAAAAGCGCCAAGTTTTACCGCCTAAACTCGCGATTGAGCAACTTCGAAAAGCTCATGACAACTCAGCTCACCCTGGTGTACCTCGAGTAATCGAATCTCTCAGCAGCTACTGGTGGCCTCGCTATCAAGAAGATGCACAAAACTATGTGCAGAGCTGCATGATTTGCGCGAAGCGCAAAGGTAACCAAGGGCAAGTGGCTCTTCCTCAAATGCAACATGTTCCCCGCGGCTCTAAGCCCTTCGAAACGATCATGATCGACTTTACCGTCTTCCCCAACTGCTCTGGCAAGCGGTTCTGCTGCACTGTTCTCGACACATTCACGCGATTTTTCGTCGCTCGAGCTTGCACTGGGGAGCGAGCGATCGATGCTGCACGCACAATCGTCGAAGAGGTGGTTCTACGGCATCAAGTTGTGCCAAAAATCGTCAGTTCTGACCGTGGTACCGCATTCGTCTCTGCTACTATGAAGGAACTCTACTCTCAACTTGGTATCACGCCGCAGTATCACACCGCTTATCGCCCTGAATCTACTGGTAATCTTGAAAGGTCCCACAGAACCTTCAAGGACATGATTTTCATGTTGACTCATGAGCGAAACATGACTTGGGTTGATGCTGTCCCTTACTGCGTCGCCTTCATGAACTCTCACAGGAACAGGTCTACTGGTCAGGTACCTCATACTCTCGTTACTGGCCGTCGCCCTAACTTCACAGTTCCTGAAACTCTACATGACCCCGATGTACGCTCTAACTCGCCTGAAACTTACGGCAAAATCGTCAAGAAGCGGATTCAAATGCTCTCAAAATTGGCGAAAATCGCCAACCGCTCCGCTGACCTGGCTCTAGAACGCCAACATAAGCGTCTTCATCGTGCTCGCCTTCTCAAATACGGCGACATGGTTCATCTCTACAGACCCGTCACTAAGGCTGCCAAGGACTCCAACTGTAACTGGATAGGCCCTTACAAAGTCGTAAAAGCCTCCGAATCGGTGGTGAAAATCGTCGACGGAGCCGACTTTTGTGACTGGGTTCACCGATCTCATCTGCGTCTGGTACCTCCGCGCAAAGATCATCTCAAATCTCCCTCCGACCGCGCTTTAGAACAAGAGCTCGTCTGTGGCGATGATCTTGATTCTCCTCAAAATCGTCCGGTCGGCGCTTCTGGTTCATATTCTGAACCTCTAGCAAAATTACCAAAGGTTGGGAGGCCGGCTGCTGAAAAGCAAAAAACAACCTCTGGCAAGTCTACTAGAAAAAAGAGGAAAAGGGCGAGTCCCGACTCGTCGCCTGATCCGAAGCGCAAAAATTCTGCTTCAATTCCTCCCTCGACTGCTAGAAATTCGACCGCTTCCGCCCCTCCAACATCAACTTCAACTACACCTCGCTCGACCGACTTGGTGGAAAATAAAGTTCAAGATTTACCTGGTGAGACGACTTCTGCTCCTCGTGGCTGTGCAGCAGACTCTCTAAATGGACATCATTTGTCTTCGTCATCTTCGTCAGCTGATCTTTCTTCCATCTTCGAAAATTTGACCGTCCGTGGTGGTCGAATCAGGAAAAAACCTTCTCTGATTCAAGTTGACCCAACTCGCAAGAGTTATTCGTAGAAAAGGAGGAGTTTTTTTAAAAAGAAAACTCGTCTCGCGTGTGTCTACTTCTTCTCGCGCTCTGATTGGCTGTCGCTGTCCGGAAATGGTTCGATCTTCGTCCGACATTTCTCGACTTTTCGACTCTGTGCTGGTGCAATTCCGACGCCGCGCCGAGCTGATTGGCCGCCTTTCCTTTCTCCTTTCCCTTCTGCTCAACTAAGATGACTCATCTCTCCGACTTCAACTCTTCAACTGAAGATTCTCGAAACGTCTCTAGAATCTGGGGAGCTGTGAGGTCTAAGTGCTAAAGTCGGTTAGAGATCTGATCAGGATCTCGCGCCGCGCTCTTCTCTGCCACTTTTACGTTCACTGCTTCAGTCCGCGCACAGTAAAAGTGCAGAATACACGTTTTATCGGAAACTACCTTTCTCGTGTTTTATTGAAGAATACAGTAGAGGCTACGACTAGCTGCAAGAGAACCGTCTAGTATAGAGAGCATACCGCAGTACTTAGACGCTTACACTATGTGTAACAGGTTTCCCTTTGCGCGTGAAGTTGTAGAGCGACTGCGTCGAGGATAAGTGGTGTTCTTCCATTGCGATATCGGTCATTCTCTTGTGGCTCACTATTGTCGTAATTATGCTGAAATTAGACTATCTTTTAAATCTTTCATCGCATCAACGCCTCTTTTCCGGCGTTGAATTACTCATTTTTGTATTTACTTACATGCAGACTATCGAGATACAGAATAAAATCGTAAATACGTTCACCGACATCGAGGTTGATGTCTTTTGCTCACTACCCAATCAGCTAAATACGGCCGATCTTGACCTCGGGCGTTCAGAAAGCGAATTTTGTCTCGTATACGCGCAGATATCATGAATTCACGGATGATTGAAAGTGTGATGAAGAAAGTAGAGATCTTTGAGAAAGTATAAAAGGATCGCATTTATTGGAAAATGATATAAAAATACGGGAGAGCAGAAAGTTTAGCCGATGGGCGCTAGCGGAAAAGCACCATTGGCGACAGATGTTGTTGTAATAGATGTCGTAGTAGTGGTCACCGTCGTAGTCGTCGCGTCAGTGGTCGTTGTCGAAGAAGTGCCACAAGATTTTCTGAGATCTTGGTAAATCATCAATGATTGCATGTCTAGACCGGCTCTAGTGACTCGGCCGTACGGATCAAGCACTCGTCGATTCACTAAAATTTTGATAGTCTCAGATTATTTAAACATAGCCGAACTAACACTTGTTCATCAGATAAAACATCGACAGCGTTTTATAATTAGAAGACAGCCTAGTCATCATCATCGGAAGAAGGGGGATAACATCGTCAGACTAAGAAAGTATAAGACGGTCTTCAATGATGGAAAAATTATCGATTCGCATGATTTGAATCGAGTCCTACCGTAAACATCATCATGTACGTTAGGGCTTTTGTTGCGTCGTCGCATGTGTCGCTGTTTTTAAGAAGCAAATACTGTAAATAATCTGCTGACTGGCCATTCCCTCCTCCGGCCATCAGAAAAGGAATCGCCAACGAGCCTTGCATCGATCCATATTGCCTGAAAAAAGTAAGTGCCTTTTTTCACAATTCAGATTTTTCGTTATTCTCTGCAAACTTACGTCATGAATAAAACATTTGGATCAACCTGTGGCCCCTCCTCTTCACTCTCTTCCTGGCCTCTTACAGACAAAACCAGTAAAAAGCTCAAAAATCGTTTCATTTTCCTCGAAAAATTTGATCTGAGATCTCAAGGTGGATTTTTAGCTTTCGAGTAATTGCTACTCATTTTGTCGCGCGACTTCTAATCAGAAAAGTCTTTCCCCCGCAGCATTTCGACTATTTTAGATGCGCAATTATTCTTATTAGCCCTAATATTCAGGCTATTTGGCATTATTCAACTTTAAATAATGATGAAACTCTATTTGATTCAAAGGCAAGAGTTTTTATTAGAGAACAAGCTTTTAATGGTGCTCTATTTTTCCATCTTTTTCTGACCAGTAGATGTGTCCTTGATGAGTTCCATCGTCTTCAGACTTAATTTTTTGATGCAGTTTGTTTGTTGATTGAAGACTTACAATAAAGGAGTAGTTGATTTCGAATATTCCATCGAGCTTGTGAGCGCTGCAGTGAAAATGGAGATCGTGACATTTTGGGGAGATCCAGCTCGATTCATGCTCAGTCCATTGTTCTGAAACTATCTTCTTTTCCTCTGCGGTCAGCTCGCAAGAAATTCCTTTCCACGTCTTTATTTCTTGCTAATATTCAATTACGTTCCTGAATCATAATAATTTTAAGTCACCCCAGCTTGTTTGTTGAAAAGATCCCTGGCAGATCGAATAAATCCAGGAATGATGACATTTCGGCAATGCCTTTGCTAAAAATTGCCATGATAATTGAAGCTTTATTCGAACTCACGAGTAAAAAAGATTCACATGTGTACTGGAACATGATTTCGTCGGGGTCTGCTTTTTGGATACTCAGCATCCAATATCCATTTCGTCCTTGTCCTTTCAAATTTACCGCGCTGGCAATCTGGTTGTCATCTTCGTAGATCACAGATGCTCGCCCATAATCAACTACCAATTCCTCTTCATTAATATCTTCCATTCTCTTTTAAATGTAAAAAACACACTCTGACTTCGTGTGTGTTTTCTGGCAGCAAATACTAAGCTCCCACGCTGGTTTGGGACAAAGGATTTCACGATAGTCAAGCGGAAAATAAGATTTATAGGTTCTTTTTGATGAAATCTTTTTGGTCCACTGGAGATCAAATTGACTGCATCCTTCAGAATTTTGATGTCTTTCTTAGCTTCCTAAGTACACAAATAATAAAAACTGACCAGTGGAGAAGTCGGTTAATAAAGCTGTGACACATTTATAAGACCCGAATGAGTTGAGATGAGGTCTAAGCATTATTGGAAACAAGATGCCGTGTGTGGCACTATATTCATATAAAGCTGAAAACGGCCGCATATTATAATCAGTTGATTTCTCAGAGAAATGCCGCGAAAGATTTATGTTTTTATAAAGAAATACATAATAAGTGTGAAAGGAAGCGTCTTTTTTTCTGTTCTAGTTGGTATTTTCTACATTTTTCTTTTGATAATGTAATGTAGGAGAAAGAAGTTTGTATATTGACAATGATTTAGTTACACAAGCACGAGCACGAGAATTCATAACGAATACTCAGAAAGGTGGAATGAACGTTCTCATAATCAAAGCTCTGCATGTATAGAAAGATGCAAAGGTCTGCCTTTTTTCAGCTTTATACCCTAACCCTAAATCATAAGGCTATTGTGAGTCGAACGATATGGTCATGCACTATATTGGCAACGAACCATTTGGGTTTTACTGTCAATACAAGAACCTCAGCCGTAATCATTTTACGTGCAGAAGAGAGCTCAATCCGAAATTATACGACTCCTATCACTACTGCCCAGTTTGGTTCGACTCGATTCATTGTGGAAATTGGATCAGTAAGAATTCTAATACCTTCACAGATGAAACATGTCTCCCTGGAAATAAAGGTCGCTATTTTTAATTTTATCATTTCTAATTCCGATATTAAAGATTCTTTGGGCCATACTTTACCGCCCCTCAGTCAGTTCGAAGCTACCGAGCTCAACTTTAGTGTTCCACTTTTCCTAAAAGATGAGGATTTTATTATATTTCCCAATTTTTCGTTGCGATTCATTTCTAAAATCCGAAATGAAATGAAGGAAACACTGAAAGATTACCAGATGATTCACTATTCGTTTTTGACTGGCAACTTGAACAGATCATTTGAGATCTTCGATGTCTTCTCACAAATCATTCATCTTGCATCCCTTCCTTTTATTTTGATAGTCGCCTACCGAACACAAATGGAGAAAAAGCTCACCACGACTATGAACATTCACCTAATCCTGTCGTCCACTACTCACAGCGTTGTAAGGGAACTGGACGAGTGTTATTGCTCTGGAGAAGATATTATCCACTTCTGCAAGATTTTGCTCATTTTTAGGGAGTACTTTCCTCTCGTGTTGGTTACCGTCATGACAATAGAAGCAGGCTCAGCAAAAGTTCGAAATAGAGTTATTTTTCGAAAGCGAGACTAAAAATTTGAACTTGAATTTAAGTAAGACCTATCTCATAGATTTCAGATAACCTTTCTAGTTTTGGTATTTACTGGAAACAGCATCATACAATATTCATAAGAAGATGATAAGTGTCTTTAATATAACTGCTTGGCTTTTCCCATCTATGGCAATGACCCTGTGGATTTTGGATAATCAGCTAAAAACGACAAACGCGACTTTTCTTGAGGGATTTCCCAACGATTGCATCAATGGTTTCATTTTGAATATTTACGGACTCTGCAGCAGCGCGATTGCTGTTCTATTCGTTTTGAGAATAATATTTATCTTATGGAAAAAGAGAGCGGAAGCTTGCAATCGAACTGTTAACCCTAATTTACGATTTATCAGTTTGGTTGAACTGCGCATACTTGTTTTTACATGCTTTTTGAAATCAACCTATTACAGAGCAACAGCAATTGTTATTCCACTATTTGGTTTACAGCGATTATTTTTCTATTCCTTCGACATCTCAGAACGATTGAAATTTATTGAGCTTGAACACCTCTCGAAGGGTAGAGTTATAGATCACAATTAGGAGATTATTTCTTTCATCAGGAAACTGGAGCTTGATGGATGCTTTTTTAATTGGCGACTATGTTGGTTCAGAAGAAAGCAAAAAGGATCAACGATTTTGCTTTGATAACAGCTTGGCTGTCTCAACGAATGAATCTTATACGAGTCAAAATATGCCAGACGTTTATTCAGAAAGTCGGTTACGGCCAGCGGTATATTTCTTTAAAGAAACCTTTCCCGCCTTCTCGAGTATATTTTGCTGTCTATATATGATAATATGTAAGTCTTTGATAACTTTAATTTTCACAATTTGATAAACTGCTGATTTAGTTCAAGAAGAAAACTGGAGAATGGTGGAGGAGTGGTCTTATCGAAAGAAAAAGTCGGCGAAAAACTCTTATCGTCTAAGCAGCATATCTGAAGAGATGATGCTATATGATTTGCCGGACAGAGACGACCATGTTTTCAAAGACCTTCCAGAAGAAAATCCACCTGTCGACGAAGAACAGTTTCACTCTCTTCGTTCAGATGAAGAAATCTCGTTGTAACTCGTAAAAATAAAGAAGATGAAGCACTTGATAGCTTTTTTTGTTTATTTTCTAATAAGAGGGAATTTTTGGGCACGTGATTATTCGACGACATTGATGATTGCTTGTCCTTTGAGATCCTTGAGTTCCTGGGCATCGATATCAACAAGAAGCATTCGCTCACCCAATTTGTGAGGCTTGATTTTCAGTGATATTTCGGCTTCCTGCTTGGGTTCAACGAAGCCTCTAAATGTGAAATTAAGTTTTTCGATATTCATAGAAAGACAAACTCTAAGTCAATGCAGGTTGGTCTTGTTAGGCCAGCGCCTTCGATCGTGATCGTCAGGTTTGTCAGATCAATATCGAGCGGGTTCGTAAAAATCACACTAGCAGTAAGCTCCTCGCCGAGTTTTGCCTCTTCAACGTCAAACTTAAAAGATCTTGGTTTAATTTAGAATTACTTTTATATTCAACCTCGATGCGCACTGAAGACTTATTGAAAAATTGGAATTCCAGCAGTTCAGTGTATGTCTTGCCACCAGTAGTTACACAGGCATCAAGTCGCATCGACATTTGGTCGTCAGCAAATTTGCCTCCGTATTCTGTGTAAGGAACAACCATTGAGTATTCGGCCGCTATCAGAATCATTTTTTAGAAAAAAATAATGCTTCTTACATTGCTCAGCTGCGATAGTTTCATCGTCTGCCTCTTGAACTGCTACCAGTTGCCGCTTTTCGCCTGTATAAAAACAGGCTCTAAGAGCGCTGTTTACGTTCGCAGAAATGTCAGAGCCCGTCAAGTTGGCGACCCTGATAGAGATTGACAAGTCTTCGCCGTTTTGAGGCACTTCCGGTTCAAGCGAAATTTGTATGTCAACCTGTTTGCCATCTTTTTCGCAGTCGAGGAATTTAGAATAGTAACTTGGGCGAGAACTGAAATTTGCGTGAATTCATAAATTGTTAGGAAACGTTCAAACCTGAAAGCATACGCAGTCGAGAAAGCTTCTCTTTCTTCTTCTGTACCTTCCTGATACTTGTAATCGTCTGTGAGCAAGTGACGACTGTAAGAACCGATTGCTTTTGTAGAAATGTTTATTCCAACGGATCTGTTTCGTCGCGATCCCATGGATTTTATGTACGAAGTGTCACCGTCTTGTTCGACTACCCAAGTGACTCGGTCAGCGTTGACTTCGCCGAAGACAAAGCCTGTGTCATAACCAACGTAGATCTCTCCATCTTTAATCGCCTTCAGCGGAGCAGGACCACACTGCATCATTCCACGGGACTCTTCCTTTCAAAAAATCATAGCGAAAATAAGTACCCAATTTTATGTACCTGTGGTGTTGCGTCAACTGCAGCCCAACCAGCGTAAACCGCCGGCCAATGGCCTGTTCCTCTGAGCCATACTTCATTCCAGACGTGGAAATTCCAAACAGAGTCGCTGGACAAGCCCTTCACCTCGTTATTTTTTTCGTCGACGAAATCGTCGATGGTCATTGTATTGTCTGTATCGTGCGCGGACGCAAAGTTGGTCACGGAACGCGCTGGAATGCCAATAGTACGCAAGAGAGTGGTCATCACACCAGAAAATACCCAACACTGTCCGAATTTCACGTCAGACTTCGTTTCCCAGTACTGTTGCAAAATTTTCACGGAACCGGACCAGGTTACTGGACTGACACCGCCGTCGTATTTGCCAGACCAGTTACCGGTAAGAACTCCTCCTTCGCTAGAATTAGCTCCCGCTGAGAGGATTCGCGAAAGCCAGACTGGATCTCTCGTCTTTTGGAGACCTTTCTTGCCCTTGATTCGGGGATCATTTCCAATCAGATACAAGGCAACGTCGAGAATATCTTCTTCGAACTGGCCAAAATTCCACATGCAAGGGCTTGAGTACTGAGTTGTTCCTCGCCAGATTCCTCCGTGCTCGTTCAAAATGTATTCGTCGAGTGCATCAGAGTTGTGCATAAATGTCTCATCCGTCTCATTCCAAGGGTTACAGATGAAAATCAGATCTGGCTCTTCGTCAAGGCAGTGGTCGTCGCCGGTTTGAAGATATATTGCGCATTTGTATCGGCCTATGAAAGCATTTGCAGGAGAATGCAAGGCCATTTCGACGTTTCCCCCGTCAACACTCAAAAACTCCAAGCCCCAATCGTAACTTGGTGGCCCATCGACTTTGGAAACAATTATGTGGCTCCCGTCCGTCAAGGAAGGATTTTCACCGTATCGGAGATCAATCTTTATCACATCCTTCTCCTGGTCAAAGTCTCGATTGAGTTTAGCAGTGAAGATAACTGGCTCTCCTCTTCTAACAACCATCGAGTTGTCCTTGCGGACGTATTCTCCAGTGTGGTGTTTGTAGCCATTTTCACGGCGGCGCCAGTCACAGTCAGAATTCTTCTCGTTCAGCTTGATAGCAGATGGCTCTATTTCTAAAATTTACAGTAAGCTCCAATCTTTCGTGTAAGAAATTATTTAAAAAAAAACAAACAATAAATCGGAAATAATTATTTTACCGCTTTTAGCCTTTTTCGAAGGGGGCTCATCACTTTTTTCGCCGTACCAAAGACCAGTTACCCTAGCCCAGTATCGCGTAAAATAGCTATACTCAGTACTCATAAAACTCTCTCCGAAACTAAGTTTTTTTTTTAACTGCGCTCGGATCATCCGATGCCCCCGTAGGCGAAGTGACTGAACCATTTTTTATAACTTTCGTAGCGCCTAACAAAAGGCGAAAATGAGTATTTCTTTTCACCGCAATATTTTATTTATGTGCAGAGCAAAAAAATTTCCCCTTTTTTGCGATTTTTAAAAAAATCTAATATTTTAGTTATAACGATTTTTAGAGTACCCTATAAGTTACCATTAACTTCGGCCGGAGGTGCTTCCTCTCTCCACCTTCCTCTGTAATAGTTACGCAGCCAGTCGTAGTAATATCTCATTTTTGCTCGGGTTTGAGCGTTGAGGAGGAAGCAATACGAAACTCTGACGCTATGATAAAGAAAAATGCTGAATCTGCCAAGGCAGGGCTTATCTGAGGGGCGTTAAGAAGAGAGAGTTCAGCAAGATCAGATTCACTTATTCTGTAATAAATGAATAAATGCTTTTTCAAGTTATCATCATGAAACCCTAACCCTAACCACTTACCCCATGATTCATGATATTAAATCCTAACCCTAATTGAGACTTACTCTTTTCCCAGCGCTGTCCGTTCTTTACCCATCCAAGACTACGATCAGACTTAAAGTTAGTCTGTCTCTGCTGAAATTGTATCTTTTTCTCGGAGTAATACATATCTGGATAATCACCGCGAAATTATTCTGTGCTCAAAAATAATAGCCTCCAAAAAAGCTGAACTATTTAAAATTGGACTTATGCTTGGGTTGTCGAGTGTATCAAATTAACTCATGGTTCAAATCATGGGAGAGTCTTACGTCGATTATGCCGTTGTCGATTCGGGAAGCCGTGATTTCTTCGTTGGCGCCATAAATGACGGTACCGTCTTCTATAAAAATTATTATGCCGATTCATTTGGACCTCTTCGATTAAAAGTACCGCATCTATTGATATATATACAGATCAAGTGTTGTTTGTTCTTCTTCTGAATAGGATGCGGATTAATTTGATTAAAGACTTTTGTGAATCGGTTCAGAATCTTCCAATAAGCTTGAAATCATAAATAAATATATTTCAAAAGCATTAACTTTCATAATTCCCTTAACTTATGTCCGTGAGAAGCCCCGAGACGTGTAAATCCTGGTTAGTTGAAGTTGATGGGCGAAATTGACAGAAAATCAGAGAGTTAAATAGGGCTTGAAGCGGAGGAGCCCTCGATAATGAGAGTCGCACAATGGAAAGATTAAAACCGCTCTAACCAACAAAGCAAGGATCCAAAATAAGAAATTTTCGAGCGTCAAGTTCCACAAACTCGTACGAGAGAAATGCAGAAGAACTGAAAAGTAGGGACTTATAAAAACGAATAACTTGGAGTCAAAGTTTTAGACAAAGACAAGCCGTTTGTATATTGAGGCGGGAAAGGAAGAAGAAGAGGACAAGTTACGGGTGCGATTAAGTACTTTCTGTGAGAGCCTCGGTGGACGGATATCGGCGGACTTGGCGGCGCGGTGAAAAGTGCCTTGGGCAAAGAAAAGGAAATATGCTCAACCCTGTATTGAGCTAGCCAGAAAGCTCATCCCACACTTGATTGACGAGAACTATTTGCCTAGTCACACTAGAGAATTTGACGAAGCTTCAAAAGGTAACCACTCGAGAATCTTTCAAATGCTACCTCTCGTAAAACGCGTAAAAGAGCAACAGGAACAAATGTATGGTAGTGTGTACGCCGTTGTGTGTACACTGTACGGTACAGGAGGAGTGAGAAAGGGATGCAGATCAATTTCAGACGCTACTTATCGCCTATTTTATGGGAAGAAGAGGGATTTCCCTTTGAAAGCGAAATTGATCGGGCGATAAGCCTGACACCCTACGACTGATACCTGTCTTTATCCTTGCACTCTTAATTTTTGGGCACGCATATTGAATTAGTAATTGATTGGTCGGCTGCCAGGGAAAATTAAATAAAAAATTCGCAGCACCGTCGAGCACAGTTGGAAGAAGGGGAAGAGACAAACAGGCAAGGAAGAAATTTGAATGCTGAAGAGCTGTGAAGCGACGAAATGGCCCGAAAGACCACGATACACGCTGGACATGCTCGGCTTCAGCTCCGATGCCGTCGTCTACGGTGAACTTGATAAAGAGCCTCGATCCAATAAGCTACCGTTTGACAACTCATATCTTTAAAAAGTGCTATCAAACTTGTCAAACTGTTTAAGGCTCTCATTCGCATTAAAGAAGTTCTCAAGTTTCCGACGAAACATGAGAACATCTTCTTCAGACAAGGGCGTGATGGCTTCCAACGACCGAGAAAGCTGCTTCTTGACTGTGACCCTGCAGATCTTTTAAAGGTGAAAAACTCGAAGGTAACGTGTGAATATAGATCTGCTCAAAAGTAAGACACCGGGCAAATCCTCGTTACTGTGTGGCCAGAATGAGATTGTGGATTCTTTGATTCTCTTGCTGCTTGACTTATTTCAAAATTAGGGAGCAATGGCGAGTCGCTCTAGAAAGCTGTTTTTCCTGAATGTAGCTGAACCAAGCGGCGAACTTACGCTCAAGTGGGTTCCATACGCTGGCCGAGATGTAAGACGAAAACAGACGAGGAAATCCGTTGCACGTGCGATTTGTGATGGAAACTCAAGCCCTGGATATTCGACCGACCGTGCTAAAACCTGTCAAGCTGAGATTTACCCAGATATTCGCAAGTTCGGGGCTGTCAAAGTACCCAAAAAGAAGAAAACTCAAGTTATCACGAAGAACCAGCGCTTTAAAATTAGGAAGGTTTATGACTTTTTTCTTGACATTCCCTTAGCAAGGTGACGAGTGTTTTGTTCACTAGAGTCAAAAAAAGTTTGTTTCAATGTTATAAATCAATTTCAGCTGTCAAATAGAAAAGGCGAAGGTGAATCCGATAGGAAAGGTGTTAGATGTTTTATCGGGCACGTGTAACGCACGTGAACTTTTTTTCACGTGGAAGCAAGGCTTAAAACTTACCTCAAACACTTGTCAGTTGAAATGTTACAAAATGATGTCCCGGTGACGAAGGGGTTGACCAAAAACTATCGATATCGGAAAAATGGAGTTACGCACAAGCTCACTTTTACTCCGAAAGGAGGCTTCGACGAGTCCTTCGAAGGCAACTGGACATGCAGAGTTCACTTTTTAGGTGAATAATCAATGAACATTCAATCATAACTACGATTTTCAGACGAAGAAAAGAAGATTACAAAATACGAAGAGCAACTTTTTCTGAAAGAACTTTACGAAGAATCTTCAACACCTGCACCAATAAATAAGTGCGAAAAACGTTGCGGCGATGATTTTTGTAACAATAATGGAAAATGCTGCATGGATAACCTCTATCAAGTCAAAAAGTGCGAGTGTGACAAAGGGTAAGCCTATCTGCTTTTGTAAGTCGATAGTTTTTTTTAGTCACTACGGGGAAAACTGCTCGAAACTCAATGACGCGAGCATATCGATTCTTGTTTCACTTGGCCTCGTACTTCTTATGGTTGGTGTAAGGAGTGAATAAATGTTCGAAATTGAATTCTAGGGACTGATCGTACTGATATGGAAAAAACACAAGTCACAACAACCAACCTCAGACAACAATGAAAATAATGATCCTCGTTCTAACCGTACTGACGAAACCTCAACTTGACCTGCGCTTCTTCCTCAAAGTAAGAAACTGTTTCCGCTTCTTTTATGTTCTGCCAATTACCTAGCCATAACTTAATCCAAATAAATTTCACTATGTTAATGCTATTCGTGACGAGTGCTTTCTCGACAACATGCCCCAAATAAATCCTCCAAATATCAAACAGAGCCTACCTTATTTATAGGCCTCGGACGTAAAAATATCGATTTTGACCATCGGAGCTTCGTATGAGGACGAGAGTAGGCTCATTCGAAAGCTCTTAAAGAGAACTTTCTTGGCGGCAAATAAAAAAATTGGACCCTGTCTCCCTGTTTCAAGTTATTTCGTAAAAACGTTTTTCGACTTTATCTTTAACGACAGATTACTCAAAACTGGGAGACAGGGCCCAATTTTTTCATTTGCCTATAATAAAGCCCTCTTCAAGAGCTTTCGAATGAGCCTATTCTCAATCCCATACGAAGTTCCGATGATGGTGATGGATTTTTACGTCCGAGGCCTACTTATTTATTATGATATCTTAATAGAAGTTAAATAAAATGACGAGATAGAAATAGAGCAGTGTACGAATTATGGTTTGAACTGTTTCTTCTTCAATCCAAAATGGACCTTTTGTCGGTTTTATCATTGGTGTAGTCGTATTCCTCGTCGTTGTAAAGGCTTGTATAGGTTCTTGATAAGGGATGTTAATGTTAAACTATTTTTATTGGCTTATCTTATCGAGAAGCCTTCAAAAAACTATCCTAACAGAGTAAAAAATGGAACCTATTCCTGAGCAATTATACATTGAATTGATTTGAGCCATGTCTTGCTGAGAAATTGGAAAGGCCGGGCGGGCAGGAACAGGAATGCTGTAATCGCTCCCCGGGATCGACAGAGACCACTTTCCATCACCAAGTCGAAAGGCCGGGTAATGAAGAACACTGGTGTAGTCGTAAGGAAAACTCAAATTCCGCCACTCAGCACTACTTGATACTTTCGCGAAATCAATATCGTTTGGCAAAGAAGGATGAACTTCAACATAACTGTCGCGATCGATTCGTTGATGCTCGTGAAGGAAGCCCAAAGCGTGCATTGCTTCGTGTTGCATCACTGTTCTATTGTTCAAGCTCCAGGCGTCGGGACGCATTTGCAGTTTTTGAGGCTGGAAGGACAAGGGGAGACGACCTTTGAAAACATTTTTATCTCGTTTTTTTTTAACATAAATGCAGACTTTCGCTCTGTAAACCGTTAGTAAAAAATATAATACCCAAATGTGACCAGGCTCGTCCAGTCTGTCCATCCCATCCGATTTCAATCTTGTAATCGTAGAGTGCTTTTTCCGCTTCTGTCGTCAACCTTTTAAATTTCACGCAGGTGTATCTTTCGAAAGCACCAAGAAGATACTCCATAACTGCCATTGACTCAGATGAATTACATGAACAGTACTTGTGCTTCTCATAACCGTCTTCGAAGAAATACGGAACGATGAAGAATCCTATTTAGTTTATTGGTAAATATTTTGTCAGTTTGGTAAACTCACCATCTTCAAAGTAGTCTATCCAAGGAGTTGGTCGAACAGGTACAGCATCGTCAATCGTAAAGGTTCTTTTTTCATTCTCAGGCAGATTCTATAAACTGACTAACCCTTTCGAAATATGGGAGTATCCCAAGTGTTTTAGTTCTAAGTGGCAAAATTTGTCCTTTCTGCAGCAAAATTTCTGAGATATTATTTCTCTTCAAACCTGGTAGTACTGGGCGATGCTAGCGAGTAATAAAAAGAGAGAAATTAACATAGCATTTGATTTAAACATAACTGATTCGGAATTTCTATGAATGAAGGGGAAAACAAAAAACTACGTGCCTTTTATTTCTGGCTTCTTTTTTGAAAATTTCGATAAGGATTAGCTGCTCAACCTAAAATCCAAGATGTCAGCAAATATCTAGAATGAATCAGAGCACCGCCTTTCCCTTTTCCCCGATATAAGCGAAAAGGCTGCTCCATATTCGATGATTGTCACATCATGCGAACCGAACCAATCAATTGTGATTCCAACTTCACACTTCTTATCGTTAGTGTATCCATCAAATAAGCTTTCAAACTTGGAATCCAAGCGTCTTATTGACAATCAGTAATTTTAGTGAATTCATTTTTCGGTTATGGAAATGTAGCAAAAAGCAACCTGAAAGTGTGATGCTCAAATATGAATAAAAATAATGATCCTCGATCAAACGCTCTCCCGGAAAAAGACTGCAAATATATCCTCCAAACACGCAAACACAGTCTACCGTTGCTCAGATGATGAGTCTTCCTTGATTTCTGAGTGTTTTTAATGTTTTATCTTGATATGCAGCTGTTATATGAATTCAACTTGCATTTCAGATGCAAACATTTCAGTAGAAGAGTGTGACTATATAACCGATGCATCATGGAAATTCTAGAGTATTTTCTAGAATGACCTTGATTTGGGTGTTGTGTTTGAAATAACTAATTAATTTACGCAGCTAGACGTTCTTCAGCGCTGATTTCGAAGCTGTCAAGCATTGCCAACGGGTTTTAATAGTGATAAATTGATAAGAACGAGTAGAACTACCGATAATTCGTATTTTTGTGCGTATTTTTCGCGCTTAATCGCACTCGAGAGACCCCAGGGTGCGTCCATGCGACGCCCACGCTGAGGGACATACACCACAGCTAGCTCTATCGTTTTTTTGCCGTCCCGCGCGAATTCTAAAAAAGAGACAAAACTTGAAAAAGAGGAGACACCTTCTTAGTAAAATTAAAAAGAACCCTTATTTGAGAAAAGAGCCAGAGGAATTGGTAAATAAATATGTCTGGTTCGGAGGAAGAAGAGTACGAGGTAATGTTGCTCAAAGTTAACTGTAATTGACGTCTTGAAGGTGGAGCATATTTTGGATGAGCGCATGGAAGAGAACGACGCGGGCGTGAAAGTGAAGCACTACCGAATTCGCTGGAAAGGATTTGGACCGTAAGCAAAGTGATAACTCGTTGATAGTGAGCAGTGTTTCAGTGATGACGACACTTGGGAACCAAAAGAAAACCTCGACTGCGACGATCTCATAACTGCTTTCGAAGGTGCGTTGATATCTTATCGTTATTGGGAGCTCCCAGGACAGCCATGTTCTGTTAGAAATAAAGAGTTAGCGAAATTCAGAAGTATCGATTCCTGTCCAGCAGGGCCAATCGTCACGGTTACTATATCTTTAATTGCGCTACTCCCATACTCGATTTCCCACGAGAAGTTCCAATTTTTCTCACGATGAAATCATCCATAACAACCAACGTATTTCAGAAAAGGCGAGGAAGGAAAGGGAAGAGAAAAAGCAGAGAAAGCGGGAGCAAAAGGAAAAAGCGAAGAAGGAAAATGCGATGAAAGAAGAGTTCACTCCCGCCTCTAAAAAGTCCAAACCCAGTGAAAAAGCATCTTCAACGTTTTCGTCGTCGATCTTCGACAGAGGCTACAAGGCGGAGAAAATCTGCGGAGCCACGGAAAAAGATGGTGACCTCCAGTTCCTGATAAAATGGTAAAAAACGATTTCGAGGAGTGAGTGGTTGTAATCTTGATTCAGGAAAGACTCGGAAGAGACCGATCTCGTCCCAGCAAAGGAGGCCAACATCAGGATTCCACAGGTAAGGCACTACGAGTCATAAGAAAAAGTAACGGAATTTTTAAGGTGGTTATAAAATTCTACGAAGAAAGGATTCGATGGCAACCCGATGGAGATGGCCCGATGGAGCAGGACTAAACCTGAATTGATTAGTTTCATTATTTTCATTATTTTTTTCTTTTTCTTTCTGTCAGCTTTACCCTCAAATATCAGGTCAACTTCGTGCATTGTTTGAGTATCATTCAACTTTATTTTACATGTACAATTCCATGTACCAAAGAACAAAGGTCGGATAAAGCAATAAATTCTAAAATTAAACTGCAAAAATAACTCCCAAAAATTCCAATTTGTAAGAAAACTCGCTCTCTGTTACTGCCTTTCTCGGGTTTTTCAAACAAAAAATACATCTTACCTTTATGGCTACTAAAACGAGCTTACTTTTTTTCGCCAGAATGCTACAGAAAATATTACTTGAAGTGGCAATCAGAAAAGAACCGCGTTTCCGGTTCGCTGCTTCGAAAACTCGTCTCCAATTTTGGTCGAGAGATTCATTCTTGAAATGCTCGAAATCGTGAAATTCATGCGAATCGATGAGCACGAGTTGGTGGGGGCTGACGCCAATTTCCGCTCGTAAAAAGTATAAACGCAAGAAGCAAGAGAAGGAAACCGCAGTAACGCGCTTTTTGAACGAAGAAAAATGGCCTTATTCTTTGATTTATCTCAGCATGATGACCCTTGTTTTGCGCAGCAGTCTGTAGTACTAGTATTCTTTACTAAACTTAGTGGGAAAAGGCCAGTGAGTTTCTCTACTGGAGAGAGAGTGCGAAGAGGGAGAGATTACAGTGAGATTATAACCTCTCGCGAGTTTGAAGAAGAGAGAGGGAGAGAAAAATGGGCGCGCTGGTTCTTTCTGGCTGCGTGAGCGGCTCTCGGCGGGGGACAACGAGGAGAACAGCCAAAAACCGATAATGAGGGAAGGGTGGAGAATCGAGTGCGCCGGCTGGGCGCCCACGCGCTCACCCGATTGGTTGCTCTTTGTCCGCTCTTCTCGTCCCGACGCGGGCGCCTTTCGCTCTTTTTCGCGTTAGTAGTGAGTCGCCCTCGAAACAAAAAAAAAATCCAAATCAATTCGCCCGCGAAAAAAATCTAAAAAAGGCGAAGCTAAAAAAGAGACTCTCAGAAGCTCATCATTTGCAAGAGAGATTCTAATCGCCCTTGAAGATAGAAGAAAATAGCTCGACCGATTTCGCAACTTTTTATAATTTTTACATTCAAACATTTCAACAATCAAAATTTCAATTTTCGAAATCTTAGAAAAAATCTATGGCGTTAACTTTGGTCAAATTTTCAAACAACCAACTAAAAATTAAGTCTTTTGGACGAGTAAAATTTTTCATGTTGAAAAATAAAGATAGAGCCACTGAATTACAGTAATAGGCATGATCCCTTCACAAGGCGAGCCCGTGCCAGATCTGGTTTATCAATCTCTATGACTCGATTTACTGCGTGAATAGGCCGCTCTCCCACTCTCTCTCTCTTTCTTTGCCCCAATGAAATCTCTTCCTGTCCCTTTTTAATAATTTTCTCATGTTTTTTTTCTACGCATTACTCGGGGAGTACATGTAGAGACTGTTTTTCTTCAGAATGCAGACGATAAAATGCGTCGTAGTCGGCGACGGAGCCGTTGGTAAAACTTGCCTTCTCATTTCGTATACAACGAATAAATTTCCAAGCGAATACGTGCCAACAGGTAGAGCAGGCTTTTGTCTTTGCTTTTAATTGAATTTGGTTAGTTTTCGACAATTACGCTGTGACAGTCATGATCGGTGGAGAACCTTACACGCTGGGACTTTTCGATACGGCGGGCCAGGAAGATTACGACAGGTGAGTCGTCTGGCTGGGCCGAGCGCTGCCGACGGGGCCCGAGCGCGCCCGAGCGTTGCGCCGCCCCCGCCAAAGGCCAAACATAAAACTATGACTCGCCGTGATAATCCACTGACACTGTACATTCAGATTGCGACCGCTCTCCTACCCCCAGACAGATGTCTTCCTCGTCTGTTTCTCAGTGGTGGCGCCGAGTTCCTTCGAAAACATAAAAGAAAAATGGGTTCCTGAAATCGCTCACCATTGTCCAAAGACGCCCTTCTTACTCGTAAGAGGCCATATTTCTTGACTCTTTTAACACTAAAATCAAAGGTTGGCACTCAAGCGGATCTGAGAGAAGACGGTGGAACTATCGAGAAGCTGGCGAAACAGAAGCAGAAGCCGATCACGTTCGAATTAGGAGAAAAACTAGCCAAAGAGCTGAAAGCAGTCAGATACGTCGAGTGTTCCGCCCTAACTCAAAAAGGTGAGCGTCTTTCTGGAAAAGCTCTTTGTAAAATTGTTCAGGTCTTAAAAACGTGTTCGATGAAGCGATATTAGCGGCACTGGAGCCTCCCCAACAGAAGCCGAGCAAGAAATCTAAGTGTAGTATTGTATAGTTATTTTTTCGCGATCACTTTATTCCGTTACCAGAAATTCGTAATTCCGATAAAATTGCGACGTCGTTATAACTAATTGTCTGTCTCTATCCCAACCTATTCCACCTCCACCTTGGGCGACCCTAGTTTTGTACAGTAGTATCTCGAATCCTTCTCCAACCGGCCCTAACAATGGCGCTTTGTGCCGGGCAATTTCAAGCTCGTCCTGCTCAGCTTACAGTGGGTTGCGCAGGTAGTTGACCCCTAAAGTGCGGGCAAAGGGTCAACCAATCCTGCAATCACTTTGAGCAAGTCTAGAAAGAAACAAAGCGCGGGCGAAGGGTCAACCAAAGCTGCAATCGCAAAGGGTCAACTACCTGCGCAACCCACTGTACGAGGCTTCTTTCTCACTCTCCGGAATCTCTCGACCCCGAGCCGCACGAAAACGTAATCCAACAATAAACTCGCCTTCGTGGAGTCAAACAGCAACTATAACATTATTACTAATTGTACAACGCCCAATTGTATTATTCTTTACACTAAACGCCTTTCTTTCGTCCACCACACTCCTATTCCACCGTATTTTCCTTTTTATTCACCAAAAAGCAAAATAAATTCAATCACCTTCATCGCACGGCGCCAAACTAATCTGGGTACTGGAAGGGCGAATGCCCTTTGTGTCCCGGTTTGGCATCTGTTTTCACTCTTTGTATGGTTTCTCTTTTCGCTATCATCATTTTATCTCGTCGCATTCTACTACGTAAATAACTGCACCATTTCATACTTATATTCACTAGATTCAGCGCCGCCACTACTACAGTATATTTTTATTTTCTACAGATACAAACATTCGTAAGCTGCATTAAAATATTTCATCTCAACTATTTGCCGACTCAAATTCACAGATCATCGAAAAAATGCACCCAAACCATCAATACAGTTAGTTTACTGTATTGTTCTACTACGTGAAGAAAAACAGTAAAGAATCGAAATCTTAAACGCCCAAAAATTCTTACAGGCTACCAACAATCCTAAAGACACACTTTCAATGTGCAACAGTATATCTATTCAGTTGTAACAATACTTCTATCTTGTAAATACATCTGCGATCCATGATATCACGAAAAAAATCCAGGTAGAATCGACTTTCTTCTGGATAGGATTCTGTTTTGTCAGTTTCGGCGTAGAAAATAAGCTAAGAGGATTGCGCATCCGATAAGAATGTAAGGAAAGGCGGCAGCTAGGCTGATAAGGCAAACTTAATTTATTGGCAGTGATTGGTTGCAAGGGTCTTAAACTAGAATGAGTATGAAGAAGACGTTGTTGGCGAACAGGCGATGTCGAAGGAATGCATTTTCTGTTTTTTAGTAATGCTCTCTCCTTTCTATAACTGGATTTCGAAACAGTTGCTGTGCGTACTCTAATGCAAACAGAACCTTTTTTGAACTCTTGTCCAAAGCAAGGCCGTTAAGTTATTGTTCGAAATCCAACTAACTCTGACTTAGTGTAGAAATACTCAGAGTCTGAAGGTGATTGGCGGTTATTGGAATATTCAGGCTCGTGGCTAAACATTCCTTTCAATGGGCGAGAAAAGCGTTCCTCAGACCTGTAGTAGATTGGCATGTTTGTGTAGTATTCTAAGGGGTACTCATACTCAATGTCCGACAAAGGGTCGGGGCGCATATGCTCCTCGTTCACTCGGCACATTGTGACGCTTTCTTGGTCGGCTTTAGATATCGACTGGTTTGGGGAATCGACAGACTCGTAGTGAATCATCTAAATAATCTTAGTTCTCATAAGTCAACATCTATCATACATGTCTGCCTGGTGTAGGTGGAAGCCTTCTTCTCGGGATGGGCACAGGTTCACCGTGCTGGTCCAGTGTGCTTCCGTTGCCGTCGAAATCAATCGAGTGTTGGTAGGTAATTTGCCGATGGGGATGGTGCAACTGCCTCCTAGAAGACATTATAGGATAGTCCTCGTCATCGCCTTCGGATGGGTCAGGACTGGCAGTATCAGGCGATTGAACATCTTCATTCATGTTACTGGCGCTGTTGTTGTATTCAGGAACAAGAAGGAAGTTTGACTTCATCGAAGTCTTTGATGACGCCACCACAGATTTCCGTGGACTAGTAGGACGCGTTTGTTGCTCGCCAGAGAGGGAAAGCTGTTTTACATCGTGGATATCTCCAGGGCGGAGAGAAAGCTGAGACTTAGTGCGTTGTATTTGATGAGAAATATTTGAGACGAGGGATGCAAAGCTTTCCGCTCTTGAGGTAGGTTTCTGTTCTGGATTACCCCCTTGAATTTTTTTTTAAATTTGATTAAAACCAACGTTGGCGTACCTGCAGGGTAATACTCTTCTCTTTCTTGTTGCCGATTTTTAAACGCTCTCCAGTGCTCAAACATCAACAGCGCTCCATAAATTTTACCAACAGTAAGGGAAGGATGTTCTGTCGGTGGAGTAATTAGCTCATCAAGCTGCCGCTGCTCCATATTCGGCCAGGCGATCTGGATTTCTTTTCTGAGCTCTCCGTCCAAATGCTTTTGGTCCTGAATGCGAAATATTTCAAAGCTTGAAAACTAAAATACTCGAAACCTGATAAGTGGCGTAACAACTGTCCTCCTTTTGTATCATTTTCACTTCGAGAGAGGTGCGTATTAATGCCATTAGTGTCGTGTTAAATCGGACGCACTTTTGCTGATTAACTGGCATGTTCATTTGGATGAGTCGTTTATAGGCAAGTCTAGCAGGGCAGTTCTTTCCGAAGCCAAGTGGAGGCTCCATCTTGCGCAGCATCTCAAACATGTCAGTATACTTTATGAAGCCAGTCGCTTTCGGGTCGTAGTCAGCCCAGACCCTGATGAACTCGTCCAAATGATGCGGGCCGAGGATCGATGAATCCCGCGTCAAGAACTCAAAGTTGTCCATAATAACAGCAACGAACAAGTTCAACATCATGAAACTCATAAGAAAGACGAAAGAAGTGAAGTAGAAGTATGCAAACTTCGACCCACATCTCGGATCGGGCTCATCTTGAGGTCGGCTATCCTAAAGAAAAAATGAGTTGAATGCTTTGACAAGTAATTGGTTCCGATCAACTCAGTGTTTGAGAACTCTCAGGAAGGCAATTGTTAAAATCGGTTAAAAATATTATTTTTATCAAGTGATCACTCGATAAAACTCTCTGTTCTAGGCATTTTTGTTAGCAGTATTTGTTTGTGTTGTTTGTTTTTTCGTGTTATGTTTACCGTTGAGTTTACCACCTGTGGTGAAATGGTTGTAGCAGTTACAATCATTTCCTCGATAGTGTTACGGTATCTCCCGTTTTTCGAATCAAGGTAATCCTATAATGTAAAATGCAGCGACCGCAATATTGGGAAAAATCCGCTTTTAAAATTATCCAAGGAAAAGTTAAAAATACCTTATCGCACTCCGCGTCGAGACAGTCCAGCATGATCAACTGCCAAGCTTCTCCAGTAGCTGCACGGAAGAGTAAAAGCACAGCAGCGAAAATATTGCGGAAATTGTTCTTGTGATTAATTTCAGAGTCTTCGTCGAGGGCGATATTTCCAAACATTTGCATGCCAATAATTGCATATATGAAGAATATCATGATGATAAGGAGACATACATACGGAAGAGCTTTTATCGACTAAATTTTTGTTGTTTTTTTTCTAAGATTCGTCGTAAAAAGGTACCTGAACAAATGTCCAAAGCAATATTCTTATAGTTTCGCCCTGACGTAAAAGTTTGATCAATCTTGCAGCTCGGAATAATCGCAAGAAAGACAAATTTATAAACTGAAAACACTCTCAAAACAAGTCGCTAGAGTCCATGACATAGAACACGCATGTGAAAACACAGACAATCGTGCACGGACATCAAGTGGGTTAGTACAAATGTCGAGGCAATGGTCAGAGGCGTGTTGCAACCGAATTTGTAGAAAAATATTTAATTATACGAAATGATTTTTTAAACCTTGCCAAAATTTTCCTCCGATAAAGAGCGAAAATTTATGGCAACCGACTGCCGCAACTTACGTTATTGTTAACATCGTGCTAAAGTGAAAATTTTAGAGTTGTCGTGGATATAGAAAGAGTTTGTCCTGTGCGCTCACGGGACTGCTAAAGGGCTTCCTGCTTAGAGAGCAGGCGATATTGTGTCTGTGCTACGAATTAAATTCTGAAGCTCTTGACTGCTCTTAATCTTGGAAACTTACTGCGACGAGTGTTATCAAAACATCGGCAATGGAGCCGACTACGGTTATAAAATCGAAGACATTCCAAGCATCGCGGAAGTAGTTGAGAGGGCCAAAGGCGAACATTTTTATGAAACTTTCGAGTGAGAAGAGCGTCGTAAACACGACATTGGTGGCATGCAGGCACTGTTCATATTCTGGCGACATTTCGAAGAACTTCATCATCAACACGATCGTGTTCAACACGATCAGACTCATAATAGTCCATTCAAAGGGAGTGGAGACAACAAGGCGCCAAATCCGATATTGGAAAGTGCCTTTATTTTCTGGCATGAACCTAAGCAAAGTTAATTAGCATTTTAGGCGACAGTTTTACCTTGTTAAAGGCTGGGCAGAAATGGCGAAATCGATGCAGGCACGCTCGTTCTTTTCCAAATTGCAATTGGACATCGCTTTGTCACCTTCTTCTTGGAAGGTAATGATGATCAAGGCCACGAAGATATTCACAAAGAAGAATGGAAAGACAATAACAAAAACAATATAGAAGATTGAGATTGACAGGTTGTAGTTTTTAAGTGGGCCCTTCAGATGGTTTCCGAGAGTACTAGTTGCTCTGTGCTAAACGAGTGCAATGTGGATTGCTCTGAAACCAGCCTTGTCTTCCTCTGTTGCCTCGATAGAGTCCCAGAGCACTTGTGGCCATCCTTCGCCCGTAGAAATAACAAAGAGAGTCAGAAAAGAAAAGAAAACATTGTCGTAGTGGAAGTCTTTCCGCAGCCACTCGCGCTGGTTCACTTTTACTCGGTAGCGCGTGTCATAGCTCAAGTAACTCCCAACACATTCGTCTTTTGTCAGCACGGACGAGTCAGTGCAGTAATAAAACTTTCCTTTGAAGAGTTCAACAGCTTTATACGGGCTTAAGAATGAAAGGCTTAAAATTGACTTATCATTGATAAGTTATCGACCATTTTAAACGTTTCTAAGCCAGGCCTATTACAGCAAAGATGAGCATAAATAGTGCGTAAACAATAAGAATTGTCATGACGTTCTTAAAAGCGTTGATAACACACATGAAAACCGCTTTGAGTTTCGGGAGCCGTTTGATTGTCTTGAGTGGGCGCAGAACTCGGAGTACCCGCAGCGACTTGATAACTCCGAGGTCGACAGAATTGTCAACAGACCCGCCGTCGATTGAGGCCATGGCAAAACTAAGGAGAGCGCCAGACACAACCACAAAGTCAAGGACATTCCAAAACGATCGAAAGTAGGCACCAGGATGAAAGATTAGTCCGAGATCAATAATTTTGAAGATCATCTCGAACGTGAAAACTGCTGTGAATATATAGTCGAAGTACTTGAGAACTGTGAAGGGCTTTCCGAATTGCATTGCTTGGTGTCAAACTAATCAAACTAAAACAAACAAAATTTGGAAAACTTGGCTTCATTCTTAAGGCTGCTCCGATGAACTGGGTCCTCAGCGGCGAGCGTGAATGACGAAAAGGCGATGATTGTCAAAATTGTTGCTTCGAAATATCTCAAATTGACGATGTAGTGACACGCGACGCGAATCGGGTCTTCACTTTGGAATATGAACATTGACGAATATGGGAGAATAGGTTTTGGGCCGTTCGAATTTTCGGACTCTTCTGAGTCATTCTTTGTTATCACTTTGTTCACGGCACCGTTCATCAGCTGATTTTCTGTAGAACTCAGTCTAGTATTGCTTTTATTGCTTACGATAATAGAATAAACTTGTGCAAACCTGGTAACTGATTTCAGGGAATTGGTGGCCGATCCCTTTCGCATTTCGATTTGGCGCTTTTCCCAAACCGTTTTCGCATTAATCTTCTCTACGTCGACATTGTTGAGTATTTTGTCGACGCTGTTTGGCGACATATTGTTGATCTCCTGCTTGATTCGAACCTCTTTCTTGATCTGACGCTCGGTCTCCTCGTTTTCTTCGTCTTTAGTAAGTTCTTGTGCATTCGCCAGGTTATCGACAGCGATGGCCAAGAAAACATTGAGAAGAGTGTAATTACCGAACAACACAAGAACGATAAAGTAGAGCGCGAAGAGAAGACCACCTTCTTCCACGCCACCTAATTTCCTTGTTCTAGAACGCTGATGGCTTAATTAATTTAGCACGATAGTAAAACTAATAATCATCTGATTCACAAACAATTCCTGATGCTCTGACACCGTCGTACATGACCATATTCCAATCCTCGCCAGTTAAAATTTGAAAAACAGTCAAAAAAGAAGCTGGAAATGTATCGAAGTTTGCGTTCGGAGACTCTTCATTAAAGTTGAATTTGCCACCGAAAATCTGCATTCCGAGTAGCGCGAAGACCACAAGAAATAGAAAAAGGAGGAAAATGAGGGACATGATGGAGCGGAGGGAGGACACGAGACTCACCACCAAGTTCCGCAGTGAACTCCACGCAGAGGTCAATTTAAAAATGCGCAAGAGGCGCAACGCTCGAAGGACTGTTACGGAGGGATGCTTCTGACCATTGTCTGGTGAATTCCTTACGCAACTAGTCTTTACCGTATGTAAACAGCTGTTCTCCGAATAAAGATAAAATATATAAGCTTCAAGAAAGTTTTATCCCTCTCCTGAAATACCAAGTGACATTCCATCAAAAAATATGCCAATTATCAGCTCCATCACTGAGCCGATGATAACAACAAGATCGAAGACGTTAAAACTGCTGCGGAAGTAGGCTCTTCCTCCCAGACCATACAGCTTCAGAGCCAGTTCAAGACTGAAGCAACCAAGAAAAACGTACTCTGCGTAATAGAGAAAGATTCCCCAATATTCCGGTTGATTGTGATGAACGGAACACATGAAGACAGTGTTCAGAAAGATGAGGAATAAAATAGTCCAATAAAATACTAAACTAAAAGTCAGGGGCATCGATGAACTAGCGATTACCTTGTGATTTTATCAAATGTCTCACTTTTATCCTCATCTGTCGTTCTTTTCTGTTCATCCAAGCAAACATCGGATGCGAGTGTTTCTTTCGCGAGTACGCTAAATATGATTTTTAGGCGCACGACAATACGAGGAAAGAATCACCTGCACCACCAAACTCCGTCATGCAATCCTCGCTATCAGACGACATTTGATAATTCGCGTTATTCCTGTAGTGTTGTTTGCGCATATCGTAATTGGAGCCATCAGAGTTCTCATCTCCTTCTGTTAAAATGATTTCTTCTGCTTTCTCGATCCAGTTAAGGTAGCCGTCCAGCTCTCTTTCCAACTGCTGCCTTTTTCGTAGCTACGATTTTGATAGAAAAGAAACAACTCTTGAAATGTACCTTTAGAAAGGTGCGTCTATTCTCTACCCTTTCTCTTTCTTTTGCAAACTCTCCGCTCAGAACACCGAGAACTAAGTTCAGCATGAAGAAGGATCCAATAATAACAAGAAGCATAAAGAAGAGCCAATTCATTGATGCTCCAATTGCATCGTTCGCAAAGTACATTATGTCCGTCCAACCTTCCATGGTGATACATTGAAAAACTGTCATCATGGAAAATATTATATCGTCGAAAGTCGTTATTCCATGATTGGGGCCATGGTGGTCATGGCGGCAATCGTAATCTTGAAAGCAAAAATAGGACAAGGCTTGGAGTTTCTACTCACTTGGAGGACAAAGGAATGGGGAGGCGGGACTGTAATTTTCAGGGTCTGAATCGTTTCGGTAGTTGCCCTTGCACACAAGGTTATCCCTTAGATATTCATGTTATCCAGAATGCAGCATTTTTATTCTTTGCTTTATTTGTTTGCTTGGGTTGCGATTTGTGTTAGACTTGACCCGGGCTGGACATCTATTAGAGCGTACCTGTATGACTCGTTTGTCTTTTTTGAGACACACGTCCTATGGAACGTGCCAATGTAGAGCTCTAGTCCGATAATCGAGCAAACCACGATGAAAAATAAAAGAAGAACTGCAATATGCAGCAACGGTACCATCGCTTTGATTATCGATTTTAGAACAACTTGTAGCGACGGAATTCCCGAAACAAGTTTCAATGGCCTTACAACGCGGAAAGCCCTTAATGTCTTTTACGAGGTGCTTATTTGCCCAATAAGGTTCTGAATGAAATCTTCCGATATCGTGTGCAGAATGACCACCTTTCCTGAAAGCTCTTTGGATTGGACATTCCTTCTTTTGCACCTTCTGTTACTTGCGGTGCATCGTTGAAAAACGTCAGAAGACCAGTAATAACAACTATAAAGTCCATAATGTTCCAACCATTACGGAGATATGAGCCTTTATGGAAAGCAAAGCCCATGGATAATATTTTTAAACAACTTTCCACGCAGAATATTACTAAAAAGGGGTTAATAGGCGTGCCAGAGAAGAATATAAATTACCTAAGAAATAAGGTTCTGTTTTTTCTAGGAAATAAGTTCTAGCAGCTTTATCGTCATTTGGAAGATGATCTTCTAAGGCAAGAACGACACAATTCGCCAAAATTGTGGCCTAAGAAACAAGTTCAGTTTCTGATAGTATCACATTCGCATTCTATCGATCCGGGACAATGCATTTGAAGGAGCCTGCCAGCAGAATAAAAAACGCGAATTCCGATACTCGCGTCTTTTCTCAAATTATTTCCCTCGAACACGATTTTCTTTACGTTAAAACTACTTTTCTTTTATGAAAATCGGAGCTTATAAAAGTATAATAATGATATATTCAAGTACACCAAGTGTAAGCTTAAATTTCTTTCTGTTAAACTGCAAACATAATAATTTTGTTCCAAGAATGCTTTAAATTTCAGCTTTTCGAAATTCTTCTTTTTGAAACTTTGGCCCAAAAAATGTCATCACAGACGCCTGATACAGTCTCAGTGATAATTATAATATTACTATTACTTGTAATCACGAAATACTTATTATGTTTCTCAAAGGTGGGGAAATCAATCTACAAATTTAGGGCACTTAATCATCTCCTAACATAACCCTTAAGCCCGATACGACTTATTAATTACATTGCTAATTGGCTAACTAGTGATTGGTAATAATGTGGATTAAAATAAGTACAGTGTCTCTAAAACAGAAATTTTGTGATTTATTGGGAAAGCGCTTACCAAAATTAACCATTCGAATGGTGGCCAGTCTGTTATTTTCTTCGCTATTTTTCGTATACAATTCTCTGGTGATAATATAAATAAGGCGTTATCGGCGGTAAAGCAATTCTCGGACTTGATCGCCGGCTTGTAGTAAGACATTGTTCTCGCCTGCTGAGCGAGCGTCATCTTGTATGGGCCTTGTCCCTTTTTGCGCCCGGCCATGCTGAAATATTTATTCACTTTTCTACCAATGATAGCGATAGTACATAAATTTTACATGCAGCCATCTTATTTTCATTTTTCAGACATTGAGTGAATTTAAATTCACCCCGCCCTTCCAGCCGCGATTACACTCCCTCTTAACCCGCGTAACACTTTACGCTGCGGTCCATCCTCCCAAGCGGCCCACTCCGCCCGCCCCGCGGAAATCAAAGAGCCTTCTAAAGGGAAACAAAGCTACATATTTAATGTCTTTGCCAAATGTTTAATTTAAAAAGCGCCTCTATCCACCACCTAAGTCTACGACGTATCAACCCTTATCATTACTATTCAACGCAATAAAAATTCTAAATTTGTGCTTTGGAGAAAAAAAAAACCATTTTTATTGCTTCAATTTGGCATTTTTTCCAAGCTTTCATTTTTCTGAAATCAAGGAAGAGATTTTAATATTTTCCATTGAGCGATTTAAATTAAAACTGACATCTCCAGATATGTGTTTATATAAGCCCATGTCAATTTATTGACATGCTCATGTATCCATCCCGATGATTATAACTGCCCAGTCCTATCATTATAAATATTATTTTCTTACGCCTCGTGATACGCATTAAATCATAAGCTTAATAAAAAAGATACATCGCTCAAGAATAATTTACGAGAGTCAATCTAGCATTCAGGAAGACGTCTCAGTTGCTGGCGCAGCTCGACAGCGCCCCTCAAGTTGTAGCATACTCTATAAAATATTTCCAGAGCTTTTTAAAGAAATATTGTATAAATATAATATTTGCGAAGAAGATTTTCCTCAAAAGAGTTACCTTGTCGGTCAGAAAAAGTGATCCTCTGCTGTGATCATTTGGCGAGTGGATATCATTCGCGCAATTTGGGTGTAATGCAAACTCTGATAGTGGAAAAAGACCGGGAATATGAATGCGAGCCGTTAGGAAGATCTGCGTGTAGGCTGATTGAAATGAATGTGATTCTGTAATGAGATTATAAGAAGAAAAGACAAAAATAATGGAATCGATTGGATCGACTTGCTGTCCATTTGCTCGAAGCAGTAGAAGATTGATTGTAATATCCCGGTAAGACTAAAACTCGTCGAACGCAACTTATCAATTATTAACAGAAGCGATTCATTCATTACGCAAGTAAATAACACACAACAGCTAAAGCATTTTAAGCCAAGAATATAACTCGCACTTGGAACAATAATAACAACATCGCCCATCTCCATCGCATTTTAATAAGACAACTTTCGAAAAACAAAAAAACAAAGACCTTTTTTTTTCACTTCTGAAGTTGAGATTCTCACCCAAAAAAATATTAATACCGTTAGAAGATAAAAGAGTTGGCCCAAGTGGCGTGTCCACATAGGTATAAAATATTCAAAAAAAATGCGTTCACGAGAGAATACAAGAAGTTTTGACTTGCTCGCTTTTTCGCTTCAAAATGATGATTTCACTATTGCCACTACTATTTTATATAATTTGCCACAGCGCCACATATTCTCTCCTATTGGTTTAAATTTATATTATTCTTCTACCTATTATTGTCGATCGTTTCTTCGATTACTCTCTGCGTGGAATCTGTTTGTTTTGCTTTTCATAATTTTTAAATTTGTATTAGTGGCCTTATGGAAATTACATTGGGTATATGGAGCTACCAGTAGTATCGGGAAGACGACGACGATTGCTTTTTCTATTGCTGGTGCATGAGTTAATTTTTGAGTACTCTTGAGAATAGGAATAGGTTATAGGAAGTTCATTTAAATTGACACTCGAGTGTCGATATTCGGGCAAGGCGATCGTATAAATCCTCCGATAAATCGGCCCATAATTATCACCGCCGATTAAAAAAGGGCGTTTTCTTGATGAAGATGGACTTGCCATCTAATAACAATCGAGAGCGTCAAAATAAAAGTCGAAAACGCAGCTGCTTCCATTTTTAAAATCCAATTTCAAGTTGAATTTAAAGCGCGCCACAGCGTCCTTGCTTGAACGTGACTTCAAGGAGAAAAAACAATTCAGCCGAATATTTTGCATCGAGCTTGTTTCTGGCTTGAAATAATCTCAATGTTTTATTAATCGAAAAGGAAGTCGAAATCACTCTCAACAAAAACGAGGCATCAAACTTTAACCGCGAGTATAACTTTTTCAGCAGCTAGAAGTATCACTGACTGTTTTATTATTTAAAATTTAAGTTAAAATATCCATTTGGGAGGGGAAAAATGCTAACCTATCGACGGGATCGGTTTTCTGCGTTGCTTCCATTTTCGTAAAATCTCTCTTTTTTCTTTGTCCTTTTTTCTTGGATGGGGGAGTCTCTTTTTGCCGGGAGTTGCGTTAGTAGCTAATGTTTGTATAATTAGGCTGAGCTACTGTGGGAGTTGGTAGTATTGTTGGGAAGATGGGGATAAATACGCGTTCGGGTATACATGCAAATATTCGATCGATTTCGATTCAAAATTCATGCGTCGAAGGCAGAAGCTACTGGCGACCCTGTGAAACGCCTAATTCCCCGCAAACAGAACAAAACACCACTGCGCAATTCCCAGCGCCAAATTGCAATTAACGACGAGTTAACATTATTTCCACGAAGAAATAGTCGCATTAACTCACTCAATCGACTGTCGTCAATCAACGCGCAAAACATTATGTCTTCTTTTTGCCGAGAGGCTATTTAAAGAGCTGAAATATTGATATAAAGAGTTTAGCTTTGACTCTTTAATTCAATAATCATGCATTTCAAATTTGGCCGTGTTTGTGCTGTGTGAAGGAGCTAGAAGCTAAATCAAAATTCTCATTGACAATTCATAGCCAGCTAGCACAGTATGAGCCCGAGACAGTTGGACCAGGCTTTGAAGTACTCAACGACTGTGACTTTACAATTCCTAGATTAAGAATTAAGGCTACTTGAACGTGGCTTGGCAATCTGGTTAACATGAGATACGCACAAACCACAAGTTGTGGCAAAAAGTTCTCTTACAAGAGAAAGTGAAAGATGATTGAATTGTGTAGAAAGAGAGAAGAAAATAGAAGAAAAAGAGGGTAGAGAGAGCGCAATAACGAATAAGATCGCTATTAGAACACCCTCAACCTGAGTGCTGATGACATGAGGATCATGCGGATACGTTTTACGTCTCTGATATTACTTAAAAGTACTATTAAAATTGTATGCAGAGAGAAAAGCAAAGACAAGCTTCAAGACTTCTGCCACTTTTCGCGAATTACGCACGCAACATGCGCGCCAACTCCACTGTAAACGAGAACGCTAACATCGCCATTCCCTATTTTCTCCAAATATCACCAACGAGGGTCAAAATTGATGAAGCTGATTTTGGAGATAGAGTTTTGCTGAAATATTGATTGCTATAATTGGCGGGAGCTTTTGTTATTGGCGAGCGCGTCTTCGGAAAAGGCCCATTGCGGCTATTTGCGCAAAAATGCTCTCGTCAAAAATTTGGCTGCAATAATCTGTATTCACCTTCTGCGCGATCAGATTTAATTAAATCAAATTAACGCTCCTCGAAAAATTACATGCCGCCTTTTCAGTAGCTGCGTTAATAATGAGCGCGATTATGCTCTTTTCTTGTTTTTCGAAAACGTACGATTCGGTAGATATTCTGAATAAATAATTTGTCTTATAATCTCTCGTTCTCTCGCAGTGCTTCTTAAGTCATCAAGTTTTCAAGAATCAGCACATTCAAACTACTTTGTTTTGAGTACGCTTTCCTCTATGTTTAGTACAATATATTGTCGATAAAAAGGGAACATCCTAAATTCTCTGATATCGCGTACGTAAGGAGAGTCGTTCTACTTAATTATGATGGAATAAAGAATTGGTTATCTGCATTTCTGTTCAAAAGAATTAACGGCAGTACAATCTTATGTTTGCTAGCAAGACAAGTTTAGCATGACACTTACGTGGCGAGTTCTTGTATATTCATTTCGGCTTTAAATTTCTTGTTGGGCTAGTTTTCCTTGATTTCTCTCGCGGGCTAGATGCATCAGAGTTGCCACAAAAAGGTTGGCCTCGCCTCTGACGGAATTTAATTAACTTGCTTGTGTTATGGGAGGAATAAAATCGGCCTTATTTGAGTGGAGCTGATCAATAAAGCCAAGCTGTGCGCAAGTCGAACTTATTTTTTTCTTAAAATATGATAAACACTCATTATGGTCCGTTCGAAAAGATTTTGGAATTTCGCTGGAATGAAGGTTGCCATTTTTCCTTACATTTGTGTATCATTCGTATTTTTTTGGTAAAAATCTAACTATTTTGAGGGATTTGACAATTCTCATGTTCGATTTCATTTTCCATGCTTGACCTGGCAATGTGTTGTTTTGGCTGCTTCCCAGCCGGAATAAGCGAAAGGATCAAAAGTAGAAGCCGAAGCAATTAACCTTGAATTAACTCACTGGTTGACTATTTGTTGACAAAGTACAGTGTTGATTCCCGTTTTGTCAATGCCGACCACAACTCCAGCGCGGCGAGTCAAATTCTATCTTTTGGTTCTACTTCCATATTTACCTGGTGAAGAGACGTATCTTCATCTTTTTTCTGTAGCTTTTTTCTGTGTTATCTCTAAATATCAACTTGCGGGCAAGCGTCAAGTCGCTCTTATGTGTCTGCAAAAATACTTGTTGTTTTACCCCCGATCTATAATAAATAGCTATTGAGAATATGCGAAATAATTTGTGAACCTTTTCCTGAATTGCCTCACTCTTGAATTTTTCATCGCGCAACTCGACTAACTGTCTTTCCTCCTCGATTCGGGGTCCAAATCAACTCTCGGCGATTTTCATTGATAAATACTTTTAAAAAGTCCCCTTTCCTTCAGATAGTTGAAAAATGACTTTCTTGTTTTGCTCGATTCGTAATACTCTCTGAAATGAGGTTTTCATCAATTACAGCAGTTTGTTCTTTCTCACCTTCGTCGAGATTCTGCCTTGCAGTTCCTGATTAGCGGCGATCTCATCCTTCTCCTGGCTTCATGATAAGTTACTTTTCTTGTGATTAGCGAATCTCTCCGGACGAAAATTACAACAACAACAATTATAGCAATAATAATACTTCGCTGTTACTCTGCGCAAAATCAATACGGCACGTAATCTAATATGATGTGTAAAATGCATGAATACTGTACGTTTTTCTCTGAAACCGTGCTTTCAGCGCTCAGTGTTCTTCTGTGAGCCCTGGCAGCAGACAACTCTTATTCAAAATTTTCGACGTTTTAGGTAATTAGGACTTTTTAAAGTGAGTGCGTTAGTAAACATTTTCGGCCTAATGACGTTAAATCAATAAGGCGACAGTACATGTAATCACTTCATCAATTTCGAATCACTCACTTTCTCGCCACTCAATTTAACATTTCAGAACACTTCATTAGAAATGGTATACTGTCTCAAATGCTGATTACAGTAATCCTCTGAGAGCTGTTATCAACGAAACGACACGCCATAATTGTAAAATTTACTTTCTCCATCTTTTTTTTAATAAACGAAAATGTATAGAAAAAAAGCTGCTGCAAAGCTTCCGAAAGGAAATGACCCTTTTTCGCAGCTGTCAAAATCTGTTGTATACAGCGGAAGAGCCCTAAACTCTGATTGATGAGTCAATTATTCTGATGGCTCTACTGTAGTTCATGCTGTCTTAGTACTTAAATAAAGATATAGATGCTTGTGCATTTACGAAAGAGGGGCTTCTTTACAGTCGACTTGAATCACATCGAAGTGCCACTAATTCGGGATAATCTTTTTGTCGTCCTTCGACTGCTGTTTAGCAATCAGAATGCCACACTTTGCATCACTTTACAAGCATGTGTCTGTGGGCAAGCACGGCGAGAGTTACCAATTGCGATAGATGTTATCAGTAAGTTGCAGAGAAATAAATGAACTTTATCGAAACCAGTTTCCCTAAAAATTAAGATTTATGATAGAAGGATCAAAAATAGAGCCTAAAAAGCTATTTATACCCTGCTTCTTATTGCTTCTGCGGCGACTGATCTCGACCAAGTTCTAATTTACAGTCTGAAGATAGAAAGGTGTTAAAATGGTCGCGCTAGCGCTCTAAAGCTGGACTCAACTTACTTAGCTTCCGTTTCTAGCGCTGAGTTTATTTATATCATTTGCTATTTTTCACGAGATTAATTAGAGAGTTGAAAATGACCTACACGCCAAGTCGACTTTCCATTGCAGCGCCGAGGTAACTTTTAGAAGAATCCTAGAGGAAAGGCATCCTTCCAAAATACAAATTTTATTTCAGCGCACGAAGCTCACTAAGCCTGAGTCAAAATAATTATGTTCCCTGTGCGCGCACAAGCGGCAGTTGCCCACGACCTTATGCGGGAAAGGGATGTGGATTCGATATCCAGATCGCAATTATTAGGCTTGTTAACTTAGCCTGGAAAGTCGTTAGCTGAATCCACATCGCTGTATACAGGTTACAAGTCAAGCGATGTTCATATGTCTTATGATACAGACTATCGGAGAATTTCGTCGGATTCTCAGCCTTATAACGAGTTTCAAAATCATTTTGTCCGCAAATCCCAGATTAAAGCACGCCAGGAATGGTTCAAAATAAAATAAGATTAATTGAAGGAGAATTTTTTGAGAACCATGAAAGCCACTTCCTCAGCCTAATGTTAAAGCTATACCGATTTTCAAGGGACTTGCTTATAATAAAAACACTCGAACAGTGGTATCAAATGTTGATCCGGAGCAAACGCAGCAGGTATGACTGTGGTATAAAAAGGGGAAAGGATAAATATATCGTCTTAATCAATTTTATTTTGGCCAAAGAAGGCATGGCTACTATTCTTCCCATGTCAACAGAGGTGAGGAAACCATCCGTAAATCCCACTTGGAGAGATCCCATGATTTATGACACAATCACTTTGAACATTGATCGGGATTTGGATTCGTAGCGCACGTTTTGAGGATCGACGAGAGGAGAAAATAAATCTATTCTAGCACTGGGAAAAACCAATGAAAACAATCTTCCAGACTCCTGCTGGAGCTAGAAAACTGCCACCGTCGAGTGATGCCTTTCAACACCATGTTCCGCAGATCCCGATCGCCGGACATTCGGAAAACCGTAACGCACACTTTCACAATCCTAGTGCTTCTAGTACGCTGACACACTCCCGCGGATCGCCACGGCGCGCCATGAGTCCCCTGTCGACGGCTTCGCAAATGGGCAGCTGCGCTGCAATCAACACGCTACATATGAGTAGAGTTCAATCACCCGACACTATTTTGCCCGTGGAACAGCCAAGTCCTTCCAGGAAGGCGCTAAAGCGATTCATAATCTTTCAAATAAATAGATCCGTTTTTGAGCGAAAAAAGACGGAACGTGGCTCTACGTCGACCGACAATAGCATCCGTAGCTTCGGATCGGGTACATAACGAACACCGCCATCATCATCATTCAAGACCACAGAGTCGAAATCGTTCCCGCGCACCGTCATCATGCGCTGGTCGGAGAACACGCGTCCCTCCCCTTATCAGTAGTTTTTTACTTGTTTTTACTTTGATTGAATAAAATTGCGCTCAGATGTCCAGCCGACCTCGGACGACGATCTCGACGATACTGGATCGATGTATTCGCGGAGGAAAGAAAGCGTCCTTTTGGTGTGTATTTTCATATTTTCTACTTCCTTGTCACTTTCGATGCGGCTTCGTTGCGAAGACACGTTCTAGATATTTTGCGTACTCCCTCTTGATTAGTATTTATCATTCAGGACGCCATCGAAGATTACCACCGTGATCGTGTCTCGCCTAGAATCTCAACATTTGACGCAAATGATCACGAAATAACCAAAAAGAATGTTTCACTTGCAATACCAGAGATGCTCCCTATTTGGCAGAATGTTGCAAGGGGAGGCTGATAATCATTCAAATGCTAGTCACAATTTCTTGATTACTAGGAACCCTCCCTAGATCTATTCTATTCGCATCCTCATTTTCAACCTCATTGAAGACTTTACTTGACTGGTGTCCAGCTTACCGAGCTACCAGAAGAATTCGGCCGCCTTCAGGTCAGTCTTTTATGTCTTCATTATTCTTATTTCGCGAATAGTCTATTCGGAATAGACTCTGATTTGTTCAGTCAGAGAAGTACAGTCAAGTGCAAAGCGGAGCAATAAAATTAAAGTAATCACCTGTCGTGCTAATTTATCGTGAGAGGAAAATTATCAGCTCACTTTGGGATATCTTTTTTCTTCGCTGTTCAACTCCCGTTTAATTTTACTCATTCAGAATCTGGAGCTGCTATCGCTGGAAAATAACAAATTTAAAGAAGTCCCCTTTGCCGTCACCAAGCTGAGAAGCCTAAGGATCGTCTACGAGGATTTTATTCCAGAAAACAATTTCATAAAAAGATGCGATCCCGTTTAAAGGACACTATACTTGAACAGCAACAGGCTCACGAGAATACATCCAAGTATTCGAGACCTGGTTAATCTTCGCTACCTTTGGCTTCAAAGAAATCGTTTGAAAGAACTCCCAACATCAATCTGCTGTCTCGCAAACTTGCGCTATCTACACATGGAAAATAATATGATAGAAGGTGGCTAAACTCATTTGACAAAGAAACGAATGTTTTAGTTATATCGGAAGCGATTGCCTGCGTTGGACGTCTAAAAGGGCTCTGGATTAGTGACAACTGCTTGAAGTCCCTTCCTTTAAACCTCGCAAAGGTGAAAACTTTGGAAGTGTTGGATGTCGAGGAAAGTGAACAAACTTTCACCACCGTAACTAACGGTCCGTCGGACTGTAAGAGCTTTCTTTTTCACTTCTCAAAGCGAAATTATTTGACAGTAATACCAGATAAAATCAAACAGCTTCCTCGGCTGAGAGAGTTTTCGTACTCAGGAAATTCAACGGTAACGAGGCAACAAGGAATCCTACCTAATCAAAGTTCATTCAGGCACAAGTTAACTTGAAAGTGCTGAAAAATTACGCGTCGACAATTGGTAAGTTCATGACTCAAGCGAAGAAAGGAAGATAGCAGAAATGCCATCTTGACTGTGCACTGTAAGACCCTTGTAAATAAAATTATTATTTTCATAAAATAAAAGAAAAGGTATGTCGAACTGGTATGTGTCGTGACTCAGCTATCCGGGTCGAAAACGGTCTCGAGACCTCCAGAATAATCAAATGATTGCAGCAAAGAGCCAGGCTTGTCGGACCTTTTCTCCCTAGCGATCGATGCTCGCATTGCTTTGTAAGCCCGATAGTCGGATAAGACTTGTTTTCTTTTTTATTTATGCGCGTTACAATTGATATTTATAAATGAGTGCTTGAGAGAGACTTCAAAGAGATTTTCGGATACATTTTTGGATAAAAGAGGACAAATGTGGATAAAATTCGCATTTGCATTTTTAGGAGTTTCAGATTGTTATCCCCAGAGACTTCTCAGAACCATGGCGTAACGAACCGCTTAATTCCACAGCTCTGAGACAGTTTTGACCGATTAAAAGTTGTTAAAGAGCAGGCGAGAGTCGGACATAAAATCGATAATTTCGATCTACTGCGAAGGGCGAGGACTTCACTCGACCCCAGAATTTCGAGCGTCCTTTGATAACGTTAAAGAACCAAATGACCAAAGAGACATTCGGAATGTCACATTCCTCATCTCGTCGACCTGAATTTTCTTATATAAGATAAATCTATCAGGACTTTGTGTTATTTTTATCAAAATTCGATTTTTTATATTATATAATGAAAATGTAAAATATTGATTTTTACGAAAAAAGAGTTATTTTTAAACATAGTTGATTAAACAATGCTCACATTTCTAACGCAAAACCGAATAACGTATATAGCGAAGGGAAACCCACTGTAATATTGATAGACGCTTATTGCTACAGAGAGGATTAGTAGCAATCGAATTATCCCCTTGAAAGCAGGTGAATTCAATGTGGCAACACAAAGACGAAATTAAAAGAGTTGAACCTTTTTGAGATCGACTCTTAAAATAAACCTTCAAATTCCCAGACCTTAAAAATCGTCTGAAAGAGCAGCTGACAGTTTCCAACTGTGAAAATGAAGAAGGCTAGCCTCTTTCTTAATTTTGAGAGCGAGATAGTTCACGTTTTTTAATCAATTTATTTTTTTTTTGCTGATGTTAACGTGGATTCGGACAACTTTGCCGAAATTGAATTTGACCCAGAGCAGGGCTCCCTTTTGTGCTCTAAGGGAATCGATCCTTTGGGAAATCGCGTGCTTCCGAATTAATCAAATTTGTTGCTCCAAATGAATCCGCCAATAAATGTATCCTCATTCAGACTGTTTTGATTTTTGACGAGATAAAAGACCACCACTGCTCTGGAAATGTTACTTTTCCATTTCCTGGCTATTTTACTCGTCAAGCAATTAGAGGCCAAAAATAAACGTAAGTTCAAAGAGACAAACTACGATACATGAGATCGTAGCTCACGAAAACTCTAAAACTTTCAATCGCAGTAAGGAGAGCTCGATATCAGTCGAGCTTGTTCGAGATAAATCTAGCATAGATCTAACATTTTAGGATACATCAAGTGCAAGGCATGCTCCAAAACCGAAAATGCAGGGCCATTTTTCACTGACTTCGAGTCGGAAGAAGATGTTGAAAAGACCGCGGCGGATGTTGATACCAGTTGTGACAAGCCCGAGAACTCTAAATCGATCAAATGCGACAAAACAGCAGGATGTCTTATGATCAAGGACAAACGTAAGTTAGTTATTTTATGCACTAGGTATTTTTGTTAGAGAACAATATTTTCAACTTTGGCTGCGTGAAAAAATGGAATCAAGAAAAGAAGAAGGGCGAACCAATCGAAAAATCGGGTTACAATCCCAATACAATAAAAGCTCTCGAGAATTTCGATAGGTAAAGCTAGAATCATTATAACTCTTATATCAAATTGGCATCGTTAGAGGTAAACGCAATTATTCATCTCTCTCAGCGATCAAGAATAATAAAGCGATCATATATTTGAAAAATATTAATTAAGTATATTAATTGTTCAATACTAACAAACAGCTAATAGATGCGAACCGAAAAACAAGAAATCTGGAGGATGTAAAATGCCCGGTTTCGAGTCTTTCGACGTTTCGAATCTTCTGACAAGTTCCATTCCCAGTGAGCGTGATAAGTTCGTCAACAATCTCTTTGAATGCGGTGCAAATTTCTGCTACATCTGCGACAATGGTAAACTTGGAGATTAATCCATTCCGCAAAAGTTAAGGCGACGACTGTAACTACAGCGAGGACATTCGAGACGCTAATTTCGAAAAGTGGTATAAAGACAAGCAAGAGTCCGAAAAGGTCACTACTACTACCAAAGCAGAAATCACAGAAACAACAACGACCCTCGCTACTGATATCTCCGACAAAAACTCAACTGCTCCAGTGCCTTTTGCTTCTCTCACCATCATATCTGTAGGTCATTATTTCTCCTGCGTAATGCTTATGATAACTTTCAGATCGCCCTCATTCACTTCTTCCTTCCCTGACCAGCCGAAAAATGCCCTTCCTGCGTACCACTCACTATATAGATATCTCAATAAAGAAAGCGCTCTATTGAACGAAACTGTAATAAACGCGTAGATCTTTGACGTAGGAAACAGTATGCAAACAGAAGAAACGAGTTGTTAAATTTCAACAAAGAACTTTTGCCGAGATTATTTAACGCAGCAAAAAATAGTAAAGAGAGATGGAAGAAGGAGCAGCGCTCGTGCTCGACAATGGTAATAGCGCGCTACTACTCGTACTGCGAGTAAGAAACAAAAATCGATGGATTAATTTCATCTCCAGATAAATAATGTATTATAACAAATGGCGACTAGCTGAAGGAGCGCACCTTATTCATTAACTCTTCTTGTAGGTTCGGGGATGATCAAGGCGGGCTTCGCTGGGGAACAGGCTCCACGCGCGGTTTTGCTAGGCACAAGGTTTACTGAGCATCATAGCTGAGAAGCTCTTTGCATGATTATTGTGAAACCTAGACAGCATCGTTGGCCGTGTTAAAGGAGATACACCGATCATGGCAGGTATAGGTGACCCGAAGGGATTCTATGTTGGCGATGTGGCCCAGCAAAAGCGAGGAATTCTCGCACTCAGGTATCCTGTCGAAAACGGGATAGTTTGCAACTGGGATGACATGGAAGCGGTCTGGCATCACACCTTTTTCAACGAATTACGAGTCGACCCAGAAGATCATGGAGTTTTACTTACAGATGCACCACTCAACCCAAAGGAAAATCGCGAGAAAATGGCAGAAGTGATGTTTGAGAAATTTGAAGTTAAATGGCTTAATGTTTCTTTACAAGCGGTTCTTTCACTTTACTCGACAGGTCGAACTACAGGTAAATACAGGTAGATATAATATCTAAGATATTATATCAAAAGATCATTTAATCATCTTTTTAAGAAATAATTATTTTTGAAAATGACTTTTATTCAGGCATTATTGCGGATTCCGGTGCGGGAGTGACCCATCTTGTACCGATATTTGATGGATATGGTATTGACCGTGCAGTTTCAAGAGTCAACCTTGCCGGACGAGAGCTTACTATGTTTATGCGAACACTGCTGATGTCAGCTGGGCATCGGCTTCAAACATCTGCCGAGACAGAAATTGTTCGAGACATAAAGGAGAAACATTGTTTTGTGGCGGAGAATTACGAGGAAGCACTGAAAGATCAATCGCATGGTATTCGAGGAAGAAATATTTTAAAATAAGTATTTTTAGAAATGTATCTGATGCCAGATGGGCAGGAGTTAAAAATTGGACAAGAAAGATTTAAGTGCACTGAGGCCCTCTTTCACCCTTCAATGATGGGTAAACAATGCCCAGGCATGCACCACCAGATTTACACATCGATAATGAAGACGGACATTGATGTCAGACGACAACTTTACGAAAATATAGTCCTCTCAGGAGGATCCTCCATGTTTTCAGGAAGAGATAATAATCACTTATGGCAAGATATCTAGCCATTACGAGTAGCATGTTTTGCAATTTATAGCTATAATATTCAGGATATTATCTCGGATTAAGGCTTACGAACTCGACTGACGATTGAGCTTGAACATCTGGTCCCTTCTTCTATCAACATCAAGATCGACTCACCGAAGCACAGAAAGTTCTCCGTATGGATAGGCGGTTCGATCCTGGCTTCACTCAGTGGATTTACGGATCATGCGAAACTCACAGCCTCAGAATACGCCGAATATGGTGCTAGTTTTATCCACAGAAAATGCATATGAATTTATAGTATTTCATTTTTTTAGAAAAATAAATTCTATTTCTTTTAAAAACTTTCTCTTAGAAAAAAATCTATCGTATGTGATCATTGAGTTAAAAAACAATATTGAAAGTTTATTTTTCAAAGTTGGTGCTATTCAGTGAGTAACCTTGTTACTTATATTTAATATTTGCACAGATATTTAAGAGTTTTTTTTTCATGAATTGCTTATGTGTAGTAGTTGCGGTCGATATGTAAATGTTTTTACCGATACTGTTTTAATGTTAAAATGTTTGCCATAATAAGGGTCGGTGCGAGCAGGGCCGCGAGCGGGACGTGAAAGGACGGCTAGGTTCCGCCCCACGGTGCGCCGCCCTTTCACGGTTGGCAGCGGCCAACTGGGATTGACTTGGAGTTGACAACAACGATTAATGAAGCTAGTCTCTGCCACCTCTGCAGTGGTGATAAATGGTGATCTCCTCACTCCTAGAGGCAGCTTCGCATGAGAAGTGTATACGAAACATTTTGTAGGCGCAAAGTTTGCAAGGGTAAGGTAGCTCCCTGCCAGCTTGGGAAGCGACCGGGCGCTCTTCACGAAAGCTTTGAACAAGAAGAAGCTGGGCATATTAACGTAGGGGTATTTTGGTTTAGTTTCGGGGCGCGTGTGAGGGTCTTGAGCTAGGGACAACTTTGTACAGTGGAAAATCGACGACGGCGAGACATTTTCGGCCAGTTCAATTATCCTGAAATATAGAAGGATTAGTAAGCTAACCCTGTTTCAAACGCAGTTTCAAACAGGCACACTCAGACAATCAGATGGCTGTTGTTTGAGTCGTCGCTGCCTGCGTTGAGGACTCAGATGAGTCGGAAAAATCATCTGATAAATCACCTGATTCAACATCATAAAGTTTATTCTTATTGAAGACATCGTGACAGCTCAGCTTGCCAGCCCAAACGATAGGAAGCCATCCCTAGATCAAATTTTTACATTTGCTTTATTGCACTCCTGTCACCTTGGATTTATGACATTTGAACGGGCGGCCGATTTTCGTCATACCGCCGTTGTAATCAGACGGGCAGTAGTAGCTACAAACACCCTTGGCATCACAACTTGGTCTTGGTCTTGAAATAATTCCTTGTCCCATAAATTGAACTTCCTTAGCATGTGGTCTGTAGTTGCCTTCTGTGTGCTCATTCAAACTCTGAAATATTGTTTTAAGAAATGCCTTTAGGAGAATAAAGAACTTACAAATCCTTTGCAGAAAGTGTCTTCTGGCAGCGAGTCGAATGTTACAAGCTGGAAATCAATGCCACCGTTGTTATTTCGGTTTGATGGTGGGATCACCCATTTGTTGGCTTAACAAAAAATTAAAATACTTTTGACATTGAAGATGTACCTTTGCATCTAACTTCAGCGGGCTTGACGGCAAATCCTGACTTGTGAGCGAATTTGCACTTGCTGGTCATGCAGTTAATGATGAAGTCATCAGTAAGATTTGGGAATTTCTGAAGAACAGGGCCGCATTTTGTTGTGGTCTTCGGTCCTATGTATACAAGTCAATAAATTTGCTTTTGATCATCTCTCTTACGTTCGCATCGAAGTTCGTCGTATGGGTAATCATATCCCTTGTTTGGAACACACTTGAGCTGAGAGACTGATGGCTCGCAAGTCTTTTTGTACGCTTCTCGGACGGTGACTTTGCACTTAAAATTAGTGTTAAAAATTACAAATTTTCGGTGATCGAAACCTTAGTGGCAGTCATGCAATTGATCTTCATCTTATCTAGATCAGGAACATTGATGGAGGCGGTGACAGAGCCGCATTTGGTGAAGTGGTTTGGATCAGAAGCACATCCAATAAGTTGGGGTGGAACGCTGAATTATTTCACGTAAAACATGGCTCACTAAGGTAACAAATACGTACTCATATTTTCCTCTGGAGGAGCCAGTCACCTTTTGACAGTTGACGCGCTCAACATTTGGCCTGAAAAGAGCTGTGAAAAATGATTAAGAGCAATTAATTTACGTGTGCGACTTGTCGGCGCAGCTGAAGTCACATCCATCGTCACCGCAAATAACGCTGACATCGTTCTCGATCCTGTAATTGCTTCGAACGTCGATACAAGCAGCAGGGGAACCACGAGCATGCGTTCTGATAGTATCATGAATCCAGTCGACAAAGGTGGAAACTCGGGCGTAAACGCCGGGCTTTCCTTGTCTGCCACAACCTTCTCCCCAGGAGACAACTCCTCGTAGAACAGGGTTCATGTGAACGATGGGATTGCCGTTATCGTCCACCCATTTGGCGTTAGTAGAAGGCTCAAGGCAGATCAGAGGTCCACCAGAGTCACCTTGGCAGGCATCGATTCCTCCTTCTTCGTGGCCGAAGCAGCTCATAGCATTGGAATCGTAGTAATTAATGGTGTTGCCGCTGGAATCGACGTCAGTGTAAGCTGCTTCGCATGTCTCATTGTATTGAAGGAAAACTTGCGCGTCTTGAAGAATGTCTGGCAAAGAAGTCCACTTATTCTCCTGTCGGTATCCCCAACCAGCGACAAAGCAGTCGATTTTCTGCGTCTGGAGTCCGGTATCTGGATTAATGGGAAAGGTTTCAGTGTCTTCCTTCTCTGCCTCAGAAAGAACGAGGTCATTTTGAAGAGAATCAAACTGATTGGGAAGACAAGCAGGCTGCACATGATCGTTGTAGAGAACGTCCCTCGAGAGTTTCAAGAGACAGATATCGTTCATAACGGTGACTGTTCGGTTGTACTCGGGATGCTGAAGGATTTGACTGATTCCCGCACATTGTTGGAGTGATGGCTTTCCGATGGATTCCGGGTTCTTGTAGTCTCGGCCGAAGCAAAGTTCCTTATCCTTGAAGTACCATGCAGGAATGGTACAACAATGGGCGGCAGTGACAGCCCAATTCTTGGCAACCAGTGTCGCTCCACAGCCGTAAAAATAGGCAATCCATCGCCATGCATGCTCTTGAGCATTTTGGCCACCAATAATTTTTTCGGAAAGCTGGACGGAAGGTCGTCCTCCGTTTCCACGACTTCTTGAAAGAGGCGAGTAAGCCCCTTTCTCGAGAAGCCAGTCGGGTGAATCGACAGTAAAGGGATCCATCGCGTCTTGTTTGGTGTGTTCTCTCTGATCGCACCAGTAACCAGCTGTAATTATTATTTAGAAAGACTTATTATTAGATTCTTTCGATAATAATTGTAGGAGCTGGTGTTACTTACGTTGTAGATTTCCTTTCTCCCGCGTGTTGGAGTCTTCTCCGACGACGCCCTCATTTTGATTCCAAGTCTGCTTGTCTACGTCGTCAGGCAAGGATTGTTTGGCTCCACTGTCGCCCAGATATTCCATCGAAGAAGAGCTAACATGAGCTGGAGTCGGGAGGCGACTTGCTCCTCCTTGCGTGTTTGCACCGAGGTCCCGACCTGCATAAGCGTACGATACGGCCAGGCTCGGAAGCTAGAAGAATGCGTTTAAATTGGAGCATACCGCACAGGAATGCATGCAGCTAGTGACTTTCGTTTAGAAAAACTATTGCGCAAGCGGCATGGAATGTTAACATGAAAGTGGTAACAGAGGCTCAACGTTATTATGATAACGCTTTACATAGCACAAAAACAAGTAAAAATACGCATAGTACCGTACGGGTTATTCTCTGACTTTCTACACAATGGATCTCACAACACTTCAAAAACTGCTAAGTATCTCGATCTCCGTCGCATGAATTATCGAAACTGCCGATTTTTTTTTACAATTTTTATTACATAAAGCAAATTATTTATTCTCTTTATGATCACATTGTTTACACTTCAATATCAATTGAAAAATGAATGGTTATTTTCGCGTAAAAAAATTTAGTTCTTATAATCGTGAATATTGATTGTACTCTGAAAACAATATTCAATAAGCTTGATACTCTGAATTTTATATAATATTAGCGCTCTTTAATGGTCTTCATTGGATACTTTCAAAATAAAAAAGTAATTCTTCATTGTGTTAGAATCTGAAGAATATCAATTTTGATTGCTTGATCGAAGTTATTCGGCTAAAGCTATAAAAAAAGCTCGATAAAATTCATCTGCCGAATTTTATTCGATCGTTATTGACACCCATAAGTGAGGAAAAAGGTCAAATGACCTTGAACACCAAGGTCATCGGTTAATGTTAACGTTCTATGCTCGCAGGCGCGCCTCTAGCGGGCGATTCGGGGACCTACCAGTTTCATGATTTGCGCGTTTTTTCTGCTCTTGTTCTTGTTCTAGGCTCTATTTTTTTCACTGCTCTCGTGTAGTTTTAGTATTCTTCTTGACCGTCGCGGTTGTTGGCTTCAACCGACTTTCTTTCTCGGTCTCAACCCTTTTTTTCTCTGAGAACTCGGGCTCTAGAAAAAAGTAGGAAACGTGCGGCGCGGTTGGTAAAAAGACTCACTAGCGTCGTCCTCATCCTCCGATGCGAGGCGCTTTCGAAACTGGTCTCCGCCCCGGGCGACAAAAACCACATCATTAGAACACCTCACACTACCATAATCATGAAAAACCACGTTATAACCACTAATCGACACATCTACTGAGCGTAACAGCAGCAGCTCACGAAAACCTCGGAGCCTCTCGAATCCATCTACTAACTCCTATGTTTCCATTTCACCAAAAAATCGGCATTTTGGCACGTTTGACCCTAAGAAGCGCATTTTTAGTTGGACCTTCTGAGATCCTTTATTAGCTATTATCTCTAGTAGTGTAGCATTTTGCTAGTCTTGGTGAAATATATTATTCGAATGGTAGTCTTTTAAAATTATTCAACTTTCATTCTCCAAATTAATTTTAAAAGCACGTTAAATTTAATTGCAACAGCTGATAGATTCTTGTGGGTACTTTTTGTAACATTTACTATAATGAAATTGCAATAAGAGAATTATGTGTTCGTGAGATCTAACAGAATTTGAGTGGCTAAATTCGTCGTCATATTTTTATACACAACATAGAGTATTTTGGGCGATGCACCTTACGTGAAGAAACATGGCTTGGTTCCTTGAAGAAGTCCCTTGATAAGCTTGTTTCGTAACCGTGGCCAGAGTCAACGCAGAGATTTCGTTACAATCAAATTTAAGGCGTGGAAAAATTATGACGAGCTTATGAAATTTAAGCTTCTTGTCGCGGAGTGGATTAGATAAGCGCCAGTTCAGCTGAGCTTCTCAGATTGGAATTCTATATAAGCATTTGGAAAGGCTGCATCGAACACCTTTGCGAAAATTCTGAGCGCTGCAAGAATCTGTTGAGGCAATCGAGTTCCGATATATTCAATATACAGACAAATTGACAGTTGTACGCGGTAGCAAATTAAATTTGGCCGTTCATGGTTTGAGCTTTCGCATTCGTTCGTCGCCGACCCAACGGGTCATCTGCTCGCTCAGGCCGGGAAGTTCGTTCACGCAGACGGCATAGTACGCGTAATAGAAAGAGCTGAAAATGAAAAAGAAGGAAAACAAAGATAAAACTGACCAGACGACCGCAAATGTGGAGGGGAACGCTCTCCTAGCCAGTCGATCAATATCAGGTTTGTCGATGAAGTTAGCAATCGCATACTCGACCACTGCGGCGAAAACATAAGCCATGCAAAGTGACATCTTTTAAAAGGGTCCGATGCGTTGTTTTTTTCCTTTTGAATCGGCGAAAATAATTTATTCATTTGGAACCGGACCCATATATCAATGGCCATGACATAAGAAACCATCGGCAGTGCGGCTGAATGAAGAGATGGAAAACTATCTATTTCTACAGTTTTTGAATAAAATAAAACTTTCACGAATAGATTCGCATCCCTGTCTGTAAGTGCGCTTCTTTGGGAAGTGATGGTGAGAACAGTCGTAATTCCTAGCTTAGACGAAGTGCTCACTCAAGTTGATCCGGTTAGCAAACTAATCCTCCGGCTCAATATCTCTAAGCGTCTTAATTTGCCGCTAATAAGCATAGCGATAGACTCGCGCTCCATTCAGTTTCGCGAATAAATTGACACGTTATCACGGTCATGGAGGCCATAATTTCTGCCCGAGAAATGGTAATTTATGGCTTTGGAATCTGAGCAACCACGGCCCGAGACACGTGCGGGAGTCGCATTGATCGAAATCCAAAAGCTAATCCAGCTCAGCATCACGATCAGCGTCGTTGGCACATAAGCCTAGGAATAAACTCTCAGTTCAAACTTGAAACAATAAACGATATTCTTCTATTTTCTAACTGTCAGAAGGAACAAAAAGTTTTCCAAAACGAGAAAAAAAATTAAAAAATATATATATTTGATATCATAGTGCACCTGGATAAGATAGTAGCCCATCTGACGAGAAAGAATAAATTTTCCTTCTATACACGTGAAATTTCCTCGTGGACTGTCGCATTTACCAAGAACATGGCCTCAAAATTCATTCATCTTCATAACGAAATAACCAAGTTTTAGTCTACCTTGTAATTTGAATTGGGGCAATTCGATTGAACGTGCAAGTTCGACTCCTCCGGGAGTGGAGTCCCAGTCGAAATTGACGTCAGCTGTATCGTATGCAAAAGACTCGATCTCGATCGCACAGACCTAACTTCACGGTTAGAGAAGACCAGTGCTGGGCTAAAACGTGAAAGCACCTGAACGTCCATCGGGAAATGCTCGAATCGCATATGGCAAGATAAAGTGGCTGATAAACGCATCTCTAGATAAATGTAGCCCGCCGAGTCAATGCGAAGCCGTTTATTATCCGATGTTATCTGGTGCACATTCGCTGACTTTTCATTCGCGAAGAAGACGTCTAAAGATACTTTAGAAACAGCGTTTTGTTAATGCTAACCAGGAACCCAGAGCTCGTCCAGAAATTTCAAGTCCATGGTCAAGATTGTCCGGTTGTTGTAAGTCTTCTCGTTGGTAATGTCGGGGAACATCATCCGCGGATCCTGCCAGCGAAGCCTGAAAATATACTTAGACAGCGATGCATAACTATCTTTGCTAACCTCATGATAAATGTGAGCCCAAAGTCCATCGTTGTTTCGGCGATAGAGTCGAAAGAGGATATGAAAAGGTTGATAGATACATTCAAAGGTGCGATATCTTCGAATGGCCGAATTCTCTTGTCCATTTTACCTGCAATCACATAGAGTTAAAGCAGTTCTCATCCAAGCTCATATTTTATCAAAACACATGGGAATGTTAAATATAAAATGCTTCATATTTAACCTAATTTATGTTCAGTACTAAAATCAATGTCATTTTCAAAGACGAAAAGAAACACCGGAAAGTATGATAATTACTTAGTAATTTGTTTATTCTGTCTTGGTCTGTCAAGCGTCCACGAAGTCGCATTAATTTTCCAACACCCTTACTTTTTAGGTCTCTGATAGTTTTTTCTTCAATCTTTAGCGACTCTTGCACCTCTGTCGTATTTATGGACAACGCAAATGCGAGTCTACAGCAACTAAGAAAGAAAAAGCAAAAACGCATTTCTTCTCTGAAAAAAAGCTTATTTAATTGAATCCCAAAGGTTGATGTTTTTGGAGCGCTGATCGCGTAAAATCTGTTATCAGAATTATTAAAAAATGATCGCGCCCGAATGCTTAAGCATTGATTTTCATCGCTTTGATCTCAAACCACGTAACAGTAAAATGGCCTATCTGTAAAAATTAATAATGCACGGCCAGTTAGAAAACAAAAAATAAATGTAATGTCTCTCTCCTCTAATGAGGCCTTTTCTATTCCAACGGTGTGCACTGTACAGTACGAGTTCTATGTAAAAACGTGACGCGAAATAAAAGCAAATCTATCACTTACGAGGAGAACGATGGAGAATCTCGGACGATCGCTGCTTCAAGGCTTCAGCTCAAGGTTTAGGTTAAAGCTACTCAAGGTTTTAAAAAAAACATCGTTAGCCTATAATCTTATCAAAGCTTCTTTTCGTTTTGCGCTTCGTATTAACTTGATAAGTCGATTCTCTTCTTCGTGGTCTCAATCTGTCTTCAAGCATTCTTCTTATTCTTGCTTTTTCTGAAGACCTTTGTTTGAAATCAAGGAAGAGAAGGTCCAACTAACCGATTGATTCTGAGTCGACTCCGAGAAAGCAGAAGTTTAACAGGGAAAAAAGTATGAATCTCATCCTCGTCAATTTGGATCTAATCTCTTATCCAGACTCAAACGACATATTTCGATTTTAACATTGGCCAACTTCTAATGAGTCGATATTGGTGGTCGCAAGATTGAATATCTCTTCTCGAAAAACTTTTATGGGGAGCTTCGCACTGCTGTTGTCAATAAATTGGGAGTTTCTCTATTCTGCGAGTTACTATTCAAAATTTGTCAATTTTGATTTATTCTTATATTAATAAATTACGCAAAAGTAATAATTCATAGTCTGCCAGAAAAGCACAATCATATTCAATAAATTATTATAAAATATTATATTTGGCTATTGCATTTTCTGACAGACTTTTCGTCTAGAGGGCCCAACAGCAGATTATAATAATGATCCTATCATCAAGCTGATGAGTCGCATTCCAAGAGCACATTCATCCCATATGAGAATCTAAGGGCTCTCTCTGTACAAGACTGAAAAGCTACGTGGCCATAAATTTTCATCAGACAATCAGTTACTCAGAAGTTGATATACCGAAAAAAAGCAATTTTCAAAATAAAAAATTTCCCAGTCAAATTTTCTCGCTCCGAAAAAATATCGAAGAAGACAATGATGATCCCTACTCAGTTTCCTGGTCATTTGATCCTGAGAGAGTACATAATGTACGAATTCCGTTTGTTGCTTAACGATGTTGGCAAAGCCGTCTTCTTTGCTGTCGTTTCTATATAACCAAAATTTCAAAATACCAAAATTTCATGAATCTCGACATAGGAGCTCGACTCGAAAATTCGAGCCACTGTCACTACAGGTAAGATCTTCTTATTGTCTCAAAGTCAGCTCTTCTTTTACGTCTCGAAGAAATACCATGATTCTACATTTGATTTACTGAAGCTTTGAAAATTTAAAGTCCATATTTTTATAGAGCTACTTTTCTCCAGCGAGCGAAATTCTCAGCTGTGCTCTTTTTAGATTCAGATTATTAACAATATTTTGATTTAAGTTTAAATTATTTAATATATAAATAAAATTTTGATCTTCTCTCAACGGTCTTATGGTGTAACGGTTAGCACTCTGGACTCTGAATCCAGCGATCCGAGTTCAAATCTCGGTAGGACCTCTCTTTTTCAACCTTTTTCCGCACTTCCGGTCGCGAAAACAAAATGCAAAAAGAGAGGTCCTACCGAGATTTGAACTCGGATCGCTGGATTCAGAGTCCAGAGTGCTAACCGTTACACCATAAGACCGCTGATCAGTGCCCAGAAGTTAAATAATATGATTTACAGTTATACTTACTCGAGAATGCACTAATTAAAATAACCAATATTATAAAATAATAAACATGAAAACATAAGATGCCGTTACATTTTGTTCCGGTGTTCTGCGAAAGGAAACGTAAACTTTAGTCTTGTTAGAGTTCGCGAGATGGATTTTCGTTACTTTTTTGGCTTTCTAGATTCCCGGACTTGTTGATTGGCTGGATTGTACTGTCCCCTTCAAATTTCGTGAACGGAAGAGAGATAAAGGCAAATGTGTTTCGGCTTTCTAAGGCGGCGAACGGGACCGGAGCCGCGAGAATCAACCCGCAGTCGATCTTCTACCCTTTCTAGGGGACGCAGCTCTTTGCTGAGATCGAAGGAAAGCGCCGGAAAGATTAATTGAAAAGTCTTTAATTGAAAAATAAACTTGAATTTGTCGTTTAATCCGAACAAAAGTCCAAATCGTCGAGAGTGAGTGTCACCAGGAGTCTGAACAGCATCGAGAGTAAAACAAGCTCGCTTCTGGGAATGTAAGTTTCTCTTTTCTGTGCTGTGAACTAACGGTTCGTCTTTATAGAATCAAAGAAGACCCTGTATTAGGAGCAGTTCCAAAGTTTTAAAATTGCAGTGAGTCTTAGCTTCGTAAGATCACCTTTTAGCCCAAAGATAGCAGAATGAACTGGCGAGTAGAAGTCGTCGCGGAAAAAACAGGCGTCGAGTTCCCTACCTCAAAGAAGGAGAAAAAGAAGCTAATGAAGTTCTACGAGAAGACAAATCCAAATTTGATCCAGCAGGCCGTGTCCAGCGATGAGCTGATTGACAATGACTTTTACCGGAAGAGCACGCCGGCGCGAATGTTCCGCACCTCGTCTGACTTTAGAATGATTTCAGGAAGCGTTTCGAATTCTTTCAACGGAGGGCCAGCCCTAGAAACTTATATCGAAGCTGCGGACAGGAACCAGCAGCGAGGAGAGCTGCCATTTACGAGGAACAGCCTCGGAGGCTTGGAGATACTCGATCAAACGCGTCATGTCTGACATCTCGACGCGCAACTTTCAAAACAAGGAGCGGTCCTTGTCATATTGAAGTAAAAGCTTGTTACTTTACTTTTTGGACCTCGTTGCAGATTGCCGAGGCAAAGATGGCGAAGGAGAAACGCGAGGTTGCCCGAAAAACGATGAGTACCTTCTCAGAGTCAAACTACGAAGAAGACGAAGAAGAAGAAGCCAACAACGAAGCCGCAAGTGGCTTAGATGACCGTTCCAGCGCCTCCTCTGGAATGTTGACACTTTCCGACTTATCACCCAACCCTCGGAATCAATAAACTTATCGACATTGACAATCGCCATTTTGTATCGTAGCCTCTTCCAAGTGTAGTGCAAGTGAAAAAAGCGTACGGAATACCTGATTCGTTGTACGGTCCAGCTGAAACACTAGACTCACTTGACCAATCAGCATACCCAGGCAGAGGGGCTAGGGTAGCCACGTCCGCCTCATCCTTTCTTACTTCATGTTCTTGCAAGTCGATTGTCGTCGACTTAGAAGTTTCGATTGCTTGCTGTAGGGGAAATACCACTGTGAAGAATACGGCGTTTATTTTTAACTACAAATTTCTTAGATTCAATGAATATGGAGCTAGGGAAGAGGATAGTTCTAGCTTTTCGAAGCAAACATCACTCAGCAAGGAGGCGCGGAAGTCTTCATCGGCGATGGAAAAAGTCGTAAGAGAAAGAGCGAGATGGAAAGTGGTGGCTTTGCCACTCTAGCTTTGGCTATTACCGCACAGCGGCGCTTGTATTTTCTGCTTTTTGCGCAAAACATGGCGCCTCGGACATGCAGCGCCCATCTCTACTACAAAACCAGAATAATCGCTGACTTCTACCACACCCTAGGACACTGTGAAACATTCCCACGCTCGCTTATCGGGGGACTCAGCGTGTGACCGCTTCCTTTCCCAATCGCAATCAGCATTCACTTTCAAGAAGCTTCAGAACTTACTCGGCAAGAAAGAACAAAAGCTTGGCACACCAGTTAGATATCAGCTTGAAAACCTTCCTTGTTTCTAACTAGTTTGGCGCAGATAGAGATAACGAGAAAGAATTCTCTCGGATAAGGATAAAACTTTTCGCTCGAAATTAACTCTTGGAGAAATCTCTTTTAGGAGAGTGATTTCGAATGGGGCTGGAGTGGAGGATGGAATGGATGGACTGTGACGCTAGAATTTGTGGCTGGGATGCGTCACGGACTGGCGTTGAGTAGGAGGTGTGGTGGGCGTAGGCGGGCCGTGTGTTTTGCCCTCGAGCAGCGCGCGTCGGGTCGAGTAGTCTGGTTACAACACACTGGCTCAACTCGCGCCGCCGAGAGTACCACAGCTCAACAGAGAGACACACCTGACGAATAAGGGTACACCAGACTAGGAAGAAAGCCTTGTGACAGACCTAACTACCGACCCCCTACAACCACCCTTACCACCCCTACCCGCTGCCAACCTTACCCCTCAGTATCCCCCATCACTATACCTTCCATATGCCGAGTATATTTTCTCATATGGCCGCCTAACTTCCAAAAGTTCGCACCTCGATTTCCATCTCAAACAAAAAAACCCATAAGAACTGACTACCTTCGAAAGACGCCTTCTCATCATAACTTATTGTTCCCAGCTTGGCTCTAAGTTGAACAGACACAGCCTTCCTAAAATGAACTCAAAAGACAAAGAGGGCCCGCTAAGACCGGGGAACGACAAGAATGAAAAGACGATGAGCAATTATGTGAGTTCTACTCCTTGTCTTGCTCTTTACTCTCCAAAAAATCCGTGTGTGCTCTTTCTTTAGTTCTTTTTCTCAACCTTATTATATCGGAAGTTATACGGGCTTTTGAAAAGAGTAGGGGATCACTTACGAAGTTATTATTCATACAGAACAGCGTCTTGAATAATTTTGTTGAATGAATTTAGCCCATTTGTCAGTCCAAATGAAACCAACTATTTTCCCACGTACTCGTAAATTCTTTACATTATATAAAGAGTTACAAAAGTCCGAGAGGATAATTTTAATTAAAAGCATCATATGAGGTGATTCTCTTTCAGAAAAGTAAAAATGAATCGGACGGCAGGATCGGGAGATGACGATTTGACTGCGTCGACTCAACAGATGCTCAATAATACACCGGAAAGCTCATTTTTGACATCAAGAGAGGCCAATGAACACACGACGACGAGGCTGGAAACGTTGATGCATCTTTTCAAGGGTATGCTCGAATAGGAAATGCTTATGTTTATTTGTCAATCTAAGGAAATGTTGGCACGGGGTTGCTGGCGCTGCCGCTCGCTATTTACCATGGCGGATGGGTCCTTGGGCCTATTATGCTCCTTCTCATGGCCTTGATGGCTACTCACTGCATGCACCTGTTGGTGAAGGCGTCGCAACATCTCTGTCCGATCACGGGCTGCTCGAACTTAGATTACGGCGAAGTGGGTACAGCGACGCTCGAGGTACTAACTCCGGATAACCTCTTTGAATTTACTTTATTTTTCTAGTACTACGGCTCGCCTTGGTTTAGGAAACATGCCGAGCTTGGCTCGAAAATTGTGAATCTGTTTATCATCGTGACGCAGTTCGGGTTCTGCTGTGCCTACTTCGTCTTCATTGCAGCGAATATCTACGAAGTTATGGTTGAGTACCTCGATGAAAGCTCCTCATTCGCGAAAATGCTCACGGATGATCCGCACAACTCGCAGCGAGCGATAATGGCAATACTGGTCGTTCCTTTTTGCGCTCTTTGCTCAATTAGAAATTTGGATCATCTAGCTCCCTTCTCCGCCGTGGCGAATTTGGCAACTGGGATTTCGGTTGCCTTCATCTTCTCGTACTTGATTCCACACGCTCAAGATACGTCCCAGTTTCCTAAAGTCCAATCCTTCAAGAACTTTGCCCTCTTCTTCGGCGCAGCCTGCTTTTCGTTCGAAGGGATCTCCGTTGTCCTACCCCTTGAAAATAACATCGACAAGCCTGAAGACTTTCCAATGATTCTTAACATTGGAATGTTCTTTGTCACAGCGCTTTACGTTACCATGGGTGTTTTAGGTAAGGCTCGAGAATAACTCAACTCGCTTTACGGAGATTAAGGCTACCGCACATTTGGGGACACGATTTGTGGCTCAGTGACACTAAATCTTCCAGAGGGAGATCTTTATGCTGCGACGAAGATCCTTTATTCATGCGTCATCTTTATCAGCTTCGCGGTTCAATTCTACGTACCTATTACGTTCCTCTGGCCGGCATTTAAAGATAAATTCTGCTCGAGAACAGGTAACTGCCTGAAGCTCCTTTCATATTCAAATATTACCTATCCAGCACATCCTGTTCGAAATGAGCTTTTCTTTCGCTACATGCTGGTCGGGCTCACCGGCGCTCTTGCGATCGCTATTCCAGATTTGGGGGACATCATCTCTTTAGTTGGCGCACTTGCTTCTTCTATGCTCGCCTTGATTCTCCCGCCTTTGATAGACAGTGTAATTCTGCATCATAATCAGCCTCTGCGAAAATGGAAATACGTGCTCATCCTCGCGAAAAACGCCCGTAAGTAACGCTCACGAGTCTCTTCTAGAATCAAAATAGATTTATTTTTGATGAAGAATTAGCAGTTAGCTTAAGCTAAAATTGAGCAATTATTAGTGATATGCAGTTTCGGCGTAATGGGAATGGTCGTTGGTACAGTTATTTCGATGGAGCAACTGATCACTGACCTTTCACCGTCGAAAAACTCAACTAGTAGCTGTGTTCAGGCGAATAGCACCACCTTTGAAATGTACCAACATTTTAACGTTTGGGACCAGCAATTTCCAGAATCGGATTCTTTCTTTTAAAAAGAAATTTATCTCTATCGTTAAGTTCATTATACAGTTCTTCAAAGATTTTCTTTCGAACTTGCAAAACCAATTACCCATTTTTTAATTATTAAAAATTATTAAAGTATTACTTTAACTTCCATTGACCTTTTTCATTGTACCTTGATAATTTTTATGAAATTGTTCGTCATAAAGCTATCACGGCCAACAGTGCCTTGAAAATGATAAATTTTCTGTTTCTTTCGCGCTAATTAATCCCCGTCATGTTATTTCTTCACGTTTTCTGTTTTTCTTTTAATATTTTTAAGAAAAAGAAGATTCTTTCATATAAATCAAAGTCCCATCAATCGATAACAGTTTATTTCCAGAATGAATGAGACGCTAGAAGTCGAGGGGAAGTACATGCTCGAGGAGCTCGCGATGAGTGAGTGTAGCTCCCGGGCGACGCTCTCTCCTCTTCCACCAGTCATCCCATCAAAAGATATTCCCGGCGACGGTAAGAAAGATTTCTGAATGTCTTGTTCTGAATGCGTTACTCAGGAGATCTATATCATGTACAGCGACTTGCGGACGAGAAAATGGCTGATGACAGAGCGCGCGAACAACGAGCCTACGACTTGAAGTTTGAGCATCTTGGTCCCCAGCCTGAAACCATAGATGACTTCATCCGAAACTACTTCGCCAAAATGGGTTTCATGAAAACACTGGCCAAGTTCCAAGCTGAATGGTTCGAAAAGGAGCAAAAGGGCATCATAAAGCGCGGCGACCGGGAGAAGGTTAGATCCGTTTACTTGGAAAATCAACTCATGCTTGATCAATTAGCGAGGCTAAGACACGAAAAGTCACAACTAGAAAACCAGGTAAGAGTAGTTCATCTTTCAATTCGAAATTGTCAAATCTCAGATCGATGAATTGAAACCTTTATTCTCAAAATTACGAAAAGAAAAAGACTATCATAAAATGCACCACAGCCGTTTGGAACAAGAAAAGTCGAAGTTTATACATGATCTGAAAGTCACGAAAACTCACTACGCTAATTATCCCGAGGAATTGAGGTGACCTTTTGATATCTGGACGCCCCGCTAGCTCACTATTTAGTAAACTACAAGCCAAATACCAAACAGCCATGAAGGAGAAAATGCTCATCACACTTGAACGTGACCGACTGGTTGGAATACTCTCAGCAATGCCAATAAATGAGAAGGAATCTATGGATGGATCTGAGGATCGTGTGTTCCGCCCAACTGTTACAAAAACATCTGAAATCGACCCGTCATCGCCCAAACTCTCTCCAAGAGCGGACACAAACACACCATCTGTTTCGTCGGGAACAGCACATGAAGGTCCTGCTGCCCTTCGGGACTCGGTTTTCCCCACAGATAGACGTATCAATCCTCTAATGGAATCAACCACATGTCTTGTGAAATCGTCCATGTCCACTAAGATGAGTTCTATTCGTGTCTCGCAGACGCACGTCTGTCACCAGATGCCTGTCGCCTGGGTAGATATTCACCCAAACAAGCACAAAATCTGTACGGCCTCGGATGATCACACTTGGCAGGTTGTCGACATGGCCACTGGCGACTGTCTACTCGCCGGTTCTGGACACTCGGACTGGGTCAGTTGCGCCAAATTCTCTCCGGATGGTGAATATCTCGCGACTTCTAGTGGTGACCGTAGCGTTCGACTTTGGAACTTAGAGAAAGAAGCGTGTGTGGCTGACTTTGACGACCATACTCAAGGAACTTGGTCTGTCGCTTGGCATACTTGTGGTCAGTTCATCGCTTCTTGTTCAATGGATAATACGGCCAAGATCTGGGATTTGGGATCGCAGCGATGCAGGAACACCCTCAGAGGCCATAACCGCGCTGTGATGAGCTGTGAATTTGTCTACGGTTCTAACGCGCTTCTTACTGCTTCAACCGACAAGAGTATGAGATTATGGGACGCTCGAACAGGTCTCTGTCACCAGAACTTCCTTGCACACACAAGTCCAATCAATCACGCAACTTTCTCGCCCGGTGGAAATAAAATCGCATCTGTCGACTGCAGCGGAAAGGTATTCAAATTAGTTGACTAGGAGTTTCTTGTGCGCTCAGCAAAATTCTAAATACATTTTAGTTGTTGATCTGGGACGTACGAATGATTCAAGTAGAGCATGAGATAAGCTTGGGCTGCGAGGGTCATTCCACGTCGTGGGACATTGGACAAGAGATTATAGCTGTTGGCTTGGATAATGGCGTGATCGAGATCGTCGAATTCGAAACTATGAAACGGTTTGTTTACTCTTCCGGTATATTCCTATATTCACTTCTTTTATTCAGGGTTCAACTGCGAGACCACGAGACCTCTGTAAACTGCGTTCAGTTTGATCCACTTGGAGAGCTGCTCGTGTCTTCAGCAGCAGATGGCACCGTCAAAATTTGGGAATAATCACTCGTATTTATCTATTGATCTATATTTTTGTATTGCCTAATGATAACACTTTATTTTTATAAGCCGTGCATTAATATGGTGGTCATTTTAGAATGGTCGTCGCTGATAACGCCGAGCAATGGAAGGAGCTTGAGCCAAAGAGAGGCTTTAACTTCGAAAACTATGAGAGAAATCTCAACCTTATTAAAGAAAAGGTACATAGTTTGTTTATTTTTCGTTTTGATTATTTTTCCTTAGAAAGTTCCCACACCAAAGTTGCACAAGACGGGAACAACTCTTGCTGGATGCGTGTTCGAGGGTGGTGTTGTGATGGGTGCCGATACCCGGGCGACATCCGGCGACACAATTGCTGAGAAACGCTGCTTCAAAATTCATCGAATTACAGTCAGTTTGAAAATGAGGTGGCGGCCAATAAGTTTAAATTCAGGATAATATCTATTGCTGTGGATCTGGCACTTCTGCTGACTGTGATCAAGTGACAACAATGACCTCGACAAAGATGGAGCTCCACAAATTAAACACTGGTCGAACTCCTCGTGTTGGCACCGCTTGCAGACAGCTTGCTCAGCATCTTTTCTATTACCAAGTAATAAACTGGAATATAATCTGAAAAAAAACATCTTTTTTTTAGGGACATGTCTCTGCTGGTCTCATTCTTGGAGGTATCGATCCTGCTGGCGCCCATGTTATCCAGATCCATCCTTATGGATCTACTGCGAAACTTCCCTACACAACTATGGGTTCTGGTTCTCTTGCTGCCATGTCTGTTCTTGAGGATGGCTGGAGACCCGGCATGAATGAAGAACAGGTACTCACCAATCTTTGGCGTATAAATCTAATTGTTTTAGGCTAAAAAGCTTGTCCGGGATGCTATCGCATCTGGTATTCTTTCTGATGGATACTCTGGCTCTCAGGTTGACTTAGTCGTCATCACAAAAGACAAAACTGACTACCTCCGTGAATACGACGTCGTTTGTGACAAGGGCGTCCGACTTGGAAAATACTCATTCAAGCCCGGTACCACTCCTGTTCTGAGTGAGAAGGTGATACAGTTTTTAAAGAATTTTCTATTAGATAAACGTTTAGATGACCGCTGTTGTTGTCGACGAAACCATTGAAACTATGGACACCGCCTGATGAACTCCTCGAAATTCTTCATCATATCTTTAGTTTTTTTTAGCTCTCCAAAGGATACCGATTTTTAAAAAGATAATATTGCGCACTTATTACATGTACCTGTTGTTAAATTTTATGGGCTAGTGCATACTTACATGCTTTACTGGAAAGTTCAATAAATAGCTATATCTGCTCTTGGCTCGGTTAACCTGTCATATTTAGATCAGAGGCTTGAAGTCGGAATCTCGAATAAGATGGAAATGGGGGTGCTTGCTAACCCGGTTAACGGGACAATGCCTCACAATCCCGGAATGCCTCATACGCCAGGAATAAACTACGTCAATGGCATGGCATACCTCGATCTCGGCACAGGTAACTTGGCCGTTAGTTCTTTAATTTTAATGTTGTTTGGTTAGCCCCAGCATCTGTTATATCTCGATTTTCGGACTACCAACGCCAGTTCAACGCGTTATCCCACTCTCTCAACGAGCTATTAGGTATCCAATTACTTCTTAATATGAACCAACAGTAAAATGTAGCTCGCGACTCCCAGCTAAGACGTAAATACCGCTTTATTCAACCAGCAGACTCGCGGTGGCTTTTGCCATTAAATCATTCTGATGCTTCTGGAATGAACAGTCAGTTGACCGATGCTGTTCGTCGCTTGGATATGCTTGTTGTGAGGTAAATAATCGAGTTAGAAAGCCTTTTAACCATTCTTCTTTTTAAGGCAACGATTGGATTCAAGAGCAGCCGCGCTCGAAGAGCTCTTGCTTGGCGACCACAGTCGCACAGAATCGCACATGAACCCCCTGTCAGACCGGATAAAGTTCCCGGAAGTCACCTCAGTCTCATTATCAGGCATCGCCCTTCAACAGCATTCCTCCTCTTACGACAAAATGCGCTACACGAACGAGAAGAACGATAGCGCTGGTCAACAAATTCAATTCCAATCAATGGACGATCACCTTCAAGACAAATACCGCCCCCAGCAAGATGTACAAGACCAGCGGATGACCCCTCAGCATCACAGTCCGTACAGTCACTCGCCCATACCAAACAGCCAGATGACGATCGAGCCTCAAATCACACAGAATGGCGCACCTCCACGTTCAATGCAGATTGGATCAGATGGCCAAAAATCCCCATCAATGGTTGTGAAAGTAATGCACCAAAATATAGAGCTTTAGGATGTACCCTTCAATTTTTCTTTGTATTGACGCTATGAGCATCCTACAATTATTCTTCAGGGACAAAAGAAGAAGTTCGCTTGTCATATCTGCGGAAAGGAGTACAATACGAAGCAATATATCAAGCAGCATGTCCAAAGTGTACATAAAGACCTCAAAGATCAAACAGTCACTATAAACAACAAAACTCAACTGACCCAAGTAACTCCACCCAGTGCGCCTATCGCATCATCGGCACAGGTAAATTACAAAAATTTGCAATGAACATTCATATGTTCAGTTTATGCAGAAGCTTCATGTTTGTCACGCAGACGGATGCGGCATGAAGTTTCCCACCGCTTTGTTGCTGCAAAAGCATCAGCGAAACGTGCACGGGCAACAACAGCCGACGCAACACATGCTTAGTCCACAGCAAAATGTAACTACTCCGCTATTCAACAGCAGCGTTTCTGACACAAAGTTTTCTCAGAGTCACAACGGTCATTCTGTCACCACTGTAAAACATGATTCGACTCAGCTGTCTCTGCAGAACGGGCAGAATGCTGTTGTAGCAATGGATCCTTCGCCGAAAGCACTCGCCCCATTCGTCCCAGAGGAACAACAAAACATGGTCGAGTGCGAAGAATGCGGAAAGCATGTCAGAGAGACCTCCCTAGCCGCACATAAGAAACGCCACGAGCTGGCGGCGAAGAGGCCTTTCAAATGCGAAATTTGCGGAAAGGTACGTTTTTAACAAAAAGATATGTCTCAATCTGTGCCCTAGGGTTTCATGCGAACTGTCACGCTACGAGACCACATGAACACTCATAATGGGGTGAAACCTCACAAATGCAAAGTTTGCGGACGTGGTTGGGCTTCAAGGTAATTCATCGTTGTTTAGTAGATTATAATTTTTTCAGGCCTAATATGCTGAAGCATGTTCGCGAGAAACATCCCGAAGCGCGCATCCCTCCGAAATCTATCAATGGAATGAACGAAACCATTGAACAGCAGGCGCCGCCCGAAAGTGCTCTCGACATAAAAACTGACTCCGCTCGCCTTAATATCATGGAGTACTCAGACGGACCAGCCTCGCAAATCAATGAAATCCGTACTCTTCCGTCCGCTCCTCCTTCTTATACTATCAACAAACCTGTGACAACGATTCACAACTCTCCGATTCAACTATCAGAAATGCCACATTCGCGGGATCCGCACACCAACCCTGGCGACATCCAGGTATGACACAACTTGTGTGGTTGCTAGTAGTACAAATGTCTACAGTAACACAATACTCAAGATATAAGTTAATTCTGATTATTCATCCCAAAACCTCATCGAAAGCACTCAAGGTTCCCACCACAAGTACTCAATTGGAAGCTTCAAATTCTGTCGCTCTCGATAGAGTGGACATTTGACTTCCAGTCCTTTCTTAGTTAACAAAGCAATTTCAAAAATCATGGATCATTCTAAGATCCGAAATTCCGACACTGACCAAAAGAACTTCACACTCGTAAAAGTCACTGCCAGGCCCATTTTATTAATATAATTCATTTTATAAGCTTCATCCATTTCATTAGCATGGTATAACTGAAACTACTTTTTCATTATATAACGTATTTTTTCTTACTGCACAATTGTAGTCCGTCTCCGTGATTATAAACATCAACCCACAATGCATAATCAGCTCTATCCAAGTTCAGTATCCTGGAAAACGAACCTTTAAGTTTCTCCCGATTCCCTCTAAAGCTAACTCGGTTGTTGATAAGTCGCCTTCACCGTCTACTCTTGATCCTATGATTGTTGACCACGTTTGTGATAACATCTTTTGTGAAAACACGTTCTGCTCATGTCCTGATAGACCAGTAAAGCTTCCCTCTCCCTTGCAATCGAAACCTAAGGCCGCCACTAAGTTCGGAAAAGTTCGTAAGGCCGAAAACTTTACGGTAGCCAAGATACAAGTGGCATATTATGAAAATCCAAGTTTTTCCAAGCTTAAGCTTGTTATTCCACGAGAAGTAGATAACATAACAGACATTTCCCTTCTTTTGTCGGTTATGGGAAAACACATCAATGAAGTCGTTCCCACTTTTCAACTTCAACGCGATTTTCTTTCCGGTCAACCGGCCAGAAAGCTTCATGTCTCTAACATCTGCTTTCACAAAACTAGTAAAAATTTGATTAATGAAATCAAACAACAATTGGTTGCGACATCGCCCCGTATCGTTATTGACTGAAAAATCGTTAAACCATTGCTCGCTTCATATTGCACTCACTTTCTCACTGATCAACCACCTCTGATCCCACATGTTCCTAAGTTCACCTGCCAAAATGTTCACGAAAATACATAATAATCAGATGAACCTAATTTTATCCGGGTCGGCAATGATTAAACCGACAGTCATGACACGCTTTCGAAAAATCATAATCATCAAATTCATCCAATTCAATTCTTTCTCAACAAACTCATACTCTAAGAACCAGACCGATGAATAATAGTCAGACTAGTTAGTAATCAGAAGTTTTAATAAACAGTTAATTAATCTTGATTGCTAGGTGGCATCATTGTCGACCCTAGCGTTTGGTGTTGTTTGTTAAAGAAGTCCCGTTTATTGAATTCAATAAATGGGTTTAGCTGGTGTTTGTTACTTCATTTTCTTAACACAAAATTACCCTGTTTAGTCTATTCTTCAACGAATGGGACCTCGAACAACGAGCCAGGGCCCCGTAAATGGCAACTCGGTGTCATACCTGAATCGAACGTCAGACATGACCATGTCCCAAATGGCCTCTCAAAGTCCTGTCTCAGTATCTCAGTCTTTGTCACTGTCAATTACTGAGCACTAGAACGATTCCCCTTCCACTCTATTCCTCCTTGAAAACTTTGATAACACTCGGCCCGATCAATACCACGTCGACATCAACGAAGACGATTCATGAAACTAGAGTTTCGTCCCGGGTACAAAGATAGATCTGAATATGCCTGCTCCTGTATATAACTTTGGTGACCCTGACTCCTCTTCTGACGTTCCCTGGGCGATAAGCAACAGATTTGAGATGAAATTATATTTCTGTATATCCAGACATGACGCCACAGTGACCGACAGCAAACACTGACGCTGATTTCCCGTTGTGCCAGTCAGTTTCCATCTGCCTTGAATAGTTCCAAAAAACTAAAAAAAACAACGAGCAACTCGTTCATACAACAAATTTTCCAGGTCCTTATCAGACCTTTTCTTTATTTTTTCGCGAGTCTTCCTAGCTGACGAATAAATCCAACTTCAAACTGAAGCTATCGCTCTCAGGCCTTCTAAGCTCCTTTAGATGGCCCGTAAAGAATCAAATTCTCGTCAATTTAAATCCTCTTGTCTGAAAATACGCTTTCGCAAGAATTCAGGAAAGCAGTAATAATTTTTCTCATAAAAAGTCATTACTCTTGAGCCAGGCGCTCCGGGCCAGATCATCTTTTTTATTTTGGCTGGATCAGCAACCGGTTCGATCGCAATTATCAGCATGCAAGGATGAAAATCCACTAGTATACTCGTCGTAAGCACGAGCCCTGAGAGTTTAAAAGCAAGCAACCAGAAGAGTTTTAACGGCACTTCACGACATATTCATGAATCGTAAGTAATGAAACAATAAATTAATCATAGTTTTTCACGAAAAAGATCTTACATTCACTTTACTTTCTAAGTGTGTATCTTGAAATGCTAGAAATTAAAGTCAGAACCTTTGTTTATTTTGTGACTATTCTTAGCACGTAGATAAGGGCGCTTTTTCGTTACTAAAAAGGGACAATGTGAAGTCTGATCAAAATGTTTTGCTTCTGTTCTTTCGTCAATTCTATTGGTTAAAATCAAAATGCAGCGAGTGAATATTTTAAAAGAAGAGTTTTCAGAGGAAAAAGAAGTCCTGGTAGCAGCTGACGAGCTCTCTGGCCCGAAAAGAACTCTGAAAGAGCATGATCAACCACCCGTAATCGTTTGTGGCGTCAGCTTGGCCAAATTGGGCCGAAGTGGTCAATTCGTAGCTTGCAGCTTGTCAATATTCTTCTTTTTCGTTCTTTACGGATATCTTCAAGAGTGGATCTTTAGCTTTGGCGACTTCAAGTAAGATATAATTGAACTCAAAAGTGGAAGAATTCTTAACTTCTGTGGATCACTATCTCTTACGCTTTGGTTCAGACCATATGGGTGGCATCTTACACTTATGCAGTTTTTTTGGTACACGATTTTCGGTTTCGTAGAGCAAAAACTGATTTTCAAAGAAAGCGGTCTGATTTTCAAGTAAAGCTCTATATTATTATGATTTCAAACAATCAACCTCTTCGCAGCCGAGCGTAAAATTCCACTTTTGACATATGCCTTCCTCGCCTTTCTCACAGTCGCCACAATGGGCTGCTCAAACACGTCCCTAGGTTTGTTTTCCAGCAAGGCAGATTTTTGCTAGTTATCGGTTCAGGTTATTTAAATTACCCGACACAAGTGATCTTCAAATGTTGCAAACTTATACCTGTGATGATTGGAGGGATTTTCATTCAGAACAAACGCTACACTCTTCTCGATTTCATTGCAGTAGTTCTTATGACCTGTGGATTAATTTTCTTCACAATTGCCGATCAATCCGTCTCGCCCAAGTTTGACATAATGGGGGTAGGGTTCCCTTCATGTGTCGTCCAAAACAAAATTGTTTAGGTTGGTTTGATCTCCGCAGCATTGTGCGCCGACGCCGTTATTGGAAATGTCCAAGAAAAAACGATGAAAGCATTCAAAGCTAACAATGCGGAAGTGGTCCTCTTCAGCTACTCGATCGGTTTTTGCTACATTTTCCTTGGCGAAATTCTGACGGGCACATTCATGCCGGCGTTTACCTATTGCAACGAACACCCCCAAATCTATTGGCTCTCCTTTCTCTTCTCGTTCGTCGGCTACATGGGTATCTTATTCGTGCTGTCGATGGTGAAGAGCTACGGCGCGTTGCTCGCTGTTACCGTCACTACCTTTAGAAAAGCCTTGTCTATTATCATGTCCTTCATCTTTTTCACGAAACCTTTCACAATGCAGTACGTCTGGAGCGGAGCCATCGTCTTTTCTGGTATTGCTCTCAACATTTACAGGTACAATTCATTTGCTGAATAAGAATGATTTACTTTACCTTTAGTAAAAATCGAGACCGAGTCGGTAATGTGTTCTCTTCAAGGCGGACCTTATGTTGCACTTTTGTTTCCATTCAGGAACGGTTCTGATCTCGCGTATTCATTGTATTGATGAATTGCTTGACTTTTGCGAAGTGAACTCACTCTATGTCAGTTACTGTAAAATCGCACATGAGATGAAAAGCAACCAAACTGTTGTTCTTCTTTGGCTATTGTGATGATAAGTTTCTGGGGTTTTCGGCCCATCCCTGCCAAATTTAAAAGATCAACGCATGAAGCAATCAAGTATATCAGAACCGAAAAAGTTCATAGCCTTTGCCGTTCTACTCATAATTACATTCTTCACGTAGGGAAATTCTTCTTCAGGCCAAAAGCTGATTTTCTGTTAAAATGATGTTTTGAGAAAATTTGAGTTAGCGAAGGAAATTTTTCTCCAAAAAATATCAATTCTGTATCTGACATAATAAACTTCTTTATCAGATTTTTCCGAGCTGCGATTATTAATCCAAATGAAAGATTGATAATCATCAGCCTAATTTTCTTTATGAATCCTTATTCAATATTGATGACTTCTCAGAAATAAACAAAGTCTGAAGAAGTCCTTAGATTCGTGTCACCTGAAAATGAATTCAATGTGCCCGAGGAGGGTGCGCGAGAGTAATGGCTAGATTAGGGGAAGGCACACCATGTCGTAGCAATGTAAAATTTCAACTAAAATATCCCTTCAAAGAGGCAACTGACAAGAGCACTAGATGTCCTGTAGAGAAAACAGAGGATATGTAAAGCCACAAGAGACTCTATAATGAAAATTTCTGTGTTAGAAGACGAAAGATAAATGGGAGGACAGTACCTTGTTGTCGGATTTATTTATATAGCCATTTCTATATTCGGTGAGTGACTTTTTTAGTATCAACTATCAAGCTCAAATTAAAAAACATATCGTCCACATAATTAATATCTATTAGGGTTAATTGGAAATGGCCTTCTTATTTCTTCATTGGCCCTTGTCCTCAAGGATAGTTTTTAAGCTTATTAAACAACTCGATGATCTATAAGTATACTATTGGTTCAGCCTTTATAAAATTCTAAAAGATCCCTTCTATGACAGAAGTGTTTCTTTGTAATTTGGTCAAGTTACAAATAATAAATTCATAAGAATAAAATTATTTCAAATATTGCATTACTGAATTTGTAACCTGGAAAAAGCGATGGCTGACTTTATTTTTGTGGCGACGCTGCCATTTTTGTTTGGTTCCCTCAATATTTATAGTTTTACTAATTGACTTTGCAGCCATAAATTATTTACTGGGAACCATGATTAGGCAACCTCGATATTCTTCCGTGATTTTATTTACGGCAAACTGGGCTGTAAAATTCTGACTGGACTGCTTTACATGTCGATGTATAACTCTGCTTATACCGTTTGACAGGGTCTCATTAGCTTAGTGATATTATGGAGAGTCACTAATGTCGTTATTCGAATTCGAATTTAAATGAGTCGTCTTCTGCAGTGCATTCGCGCCCTCATTCTTTTTAATGAAGAAAAGACTCTTTATCTATGCCAATAACTTCGAAACGTCAGTTATCGTTGCATTATTAAGACCTATTTACAGTGCCTTATCAATTGATAGATTCCTCGCTGTCACTTACCCTATACGGTAAGCGGAAACGTAAAAGCTCTTTCTAACTAAAAAAGAATGAGAAAATATCGAACGCGAGTTTATGCTATATTCATCACCATATTTCTGTGGTTATTTTCTTTCCTATGCGCCGCGCCAACCGCCTATTTTTCCCAAATAACCTTTCGAATGCGCTCTTCCGAAAGCTGCATATCAGGCAAAAGTCAATATGCACTTTAACGCATCATATGTTTATTCGAATCCAGTCCTTCTCTTGATTGACCTAGAAAAAAGAAATGAAACGAAACTTCAACAATTCCATCCGCAAGTAAGCCAAATTGATTAATGAAGAAAATTTGATTGTTTCGAATAAGATTGGACAGCACCGCGCCGATAGAAGAAAGCTTTGACTTTCAAGACATCCCTGAATGCACTGAACGATCTTGCAGCCCTGACTTTGGAAATTCACGGTTTTGGGACTTCTACTATTACACCGTGAGAATGGGCGTAAGTTTTCTTATTCCCCTAGTAATTATGATATTTTGCAATGTCGGTAAGGGTTTTCGTTTAATCGAAAAATGATAAGTCTTCGCCAAGGAATGATCCGCGCTCTGATGATTGTTGTTCGGACACAAAGTTTGAGGAGCAGAAGTAGAAAAACATTTGTTGGCGCCCGTAAAAGAAGAATTACCAAGAAAGGAACTGCGACTGTATTTTGATGTTGAATAATGATTCCCAAAGATATTCCGGTGACAGCGTTTTCAGTTCTTTTCAGTTTGCTGTTCTCATTGTTTTCTGCTTCTTAGTATGTTGGGCACCTGTCAATATTTCCAACATCATATCTGACCTTGGACGTTCACAGCCTGGCTCCTTTTCGGCTCCACTGACGGAAAGTAAGTCTCTTTTTATAATGACGCTCCATATGGGGCTACCGCTGATTCGATTAAATACTGTACGGTTTATAGGTATGAGCGGCATAGAAAATGGAGGCCAGGGTGGCGTTGGTCTCTGGCATTTGGCAACTAGGGTCGGCACCGACTCCGACTTGGTCCGGACTCGATCGGGTTCTCTTTCGCCGGATATAAAATCATAACGGAATTATTTGAAATCCACCAGATGGGCTTTCTCGAGGACAAGTCGAGAAGTCCGTCGGTTTAAACCGGTGTTAGAAGTGACCGATCGACCAGACTACCAAGAAGGGTCCTCGGTGGCGACCCTAGTTTAAGCAACGACATGTGTCCTGGAAGGGGTTTTCCCTCTTTAGCAATCTGTCATAGCTCCCCTAAAAGACTACTAGAACAATGTTTCTTTAATACTGTTTTCTTCCAAGTAAGTCGTTAATAAGAATACAGCCAAAATCCCGCGAGAGTATTTGAACACGATTCTTAATCCCTTGATCTACTCATTATCGGGAACTTCGTTGCGACATAGGATTCTGAACTCGATCAGGGTGAAGAGCAGGAGTAGTCGCTCAACAATTCTGGTAACTATAAAAAATGAATTGATTTGAGACGTTCTTTAGGGGAATCAGTTTGGCCAAACGGAAGTTCGCGAAGAAGCCGATGGAGCCATAATGGTAATCAATAGTACAGTATCATCCTAAACTCTGTTTCTGTCGAAAAATGTGACGCAACGCTGTAAATAAATAAGTTACGGTGGCTGATTTCTGAAAAATAAATCGTGTGATCAGAATGGGACTTGGCAGATGGGTGCCGCAGAAATACCGTAGATCTCACGGCTAAAGTGACACGCTAAGGTCGAAGTGATCACCGCGATTCCAACAAGCCTAATTAAGTTCTGTAGATTATTTATCCAAGTCAAGCTTGCTCACATTGATTGATGGCACCTATCATGTAAATTATTTCCCCCAACAGAAGACTTGAATGTTTCACTACTTTTTAACAGCTCCTAACGATCGTTCGTTTGTTTTTTCTTGAATAATATTGGCAAAAATTTATTGGTACGAAAGGCTGTAAAGGGCAGTTTGGCATTGAACTCTAAAGTTCTTCGTGAATATTATCGTCGGCATCTAGAAATATTTGATGATGCAAACATAAGTGCCAAATTCTTACCAATTTCTTCCTCGTCTTCCTCTGATACCTCTTCATCTTCTTCGTCGTCATCGAGCGATTCAATATCGTCGAAACCATCCATCAGTCTTGTAAGAAGGACCTTTGAGACAAAACTTTATCAAAAAAGAACTTTTAAAATTTTACCTCTTCATCCATCATGTGTAGAGAGCTCGAAACGCATCTAGGGTCGATGTTGTCTTCGTGCACAACTATAAAAAAGTATAAAAAACGTAGATTCTCTTGATGGTTACCTATTCCATAGAGATTATCTGAGGCTACTTTGCTTTGCCAAAGGATGTCTCCATTGTCGGAATTAACGGCGAGCACGTGTCCTGCTTCCGTGCTAAAAGATATGATTATCGTGTTACGTAAAAGCTTGATGATGGACAACTACGTGCAACGCAATAGCTCACGCCTGTCAATTTATCGCAAAGTATTTATCAGATCCCTGCTAAGTCGTCTGTGTATCTCAACACTTCTTTCCTTCGAAAATAGCGCGCCCCATTTATCAACTCGCGCTAGAAATTTCTAGACATTGTGTAAGCTCAATCCAGAATGTGACAGTAAATAAAAAGATTACTGTATTAGTGTTAAGTGTCTGGAGCTAGGAAGCTTAACAAAGAAAGTCTTTAGTGAATAGAATGCTTATTCGGTAACGGTCCACGCGATCTAGAGTGCCCCACCACGTGAGATTCATGGGACTACTCGCTAGGGTTTACGCTACGTTGATTTAGCATTATTTGCAGCCCTGTAAATATTTAAAAGCACAAGGTACCTTTTTAGCCATCTTATATTACTATAAGTTTGCTTTCATAAGTGAGTATCATGAAACTTTTTGAACAACGTAAAATGGAAAAAAATAGACAATTATAAGATTCTTCGGAATCAATCAACCGTTCATTTCACCGAAATGTGAGCATAATTTTTTTCCCAGAAGTTCTAGCATTATGCTGAATTGAAGCTTCAACGTGAGAAACAAAAAATATGCTCGTTTGTTATCAGGTTCTGCTGCATCGTGAGCAACCCTATTCACCACTGAGCGGTGTCGCCAGTATAAAAGCGTCTCGACCAGGTCATCTACTTTCAGATCACGCAAAATACAGTTGAGAATTAACACAAAAACTTTGATTAATGAAACAATGCGAAGAGAGAACGGAATATTCGAAGGCATTTATCAGCGCGATTGTTGACCAGGATTTGGATTTCGTCCGCGAAGTTTTGCCATATGCCGATGTCAATTTTAAGGTAAATCTTTGACTTCTACTTTTGGTTAATATTCCCGTTAATAGGATCCCTTGGGGATGACAGCTATTCATTTCGTAATGCGCTTATATCCTGATAATAAACTGCATGAAACGATCAAGCTTTTACGAGATCACGATGCAAGACTTGACATGGCCGATCCTTTCGGAAACTTGCCAATGTAAGATATAAATAGTAATAAGTTTTAGAGTCTAAAATTTAGGCGTTAAAATATCTTATAATCGAAAATTCTAGTCATCTGGCTTGTACGCGCGCCAATCCTCTCCTGGCATTGACAATTCTCAAAGAATTCGGTGCCAAAATCACCAACACATCCAACAAAAACAAGTAAGACCTATTTATAAAGAATTTTATGAGAATCATTTGAAGTGCTAACGCCCTACACTTTCTTTTCTGCTCTTTTTCCGAATGCAACGAGTTCGAAGACATTTTTGGCGCGCTGGAGTTTCTTCAACGATACGGGGTCGACGAAAATCAGGCTGACCAAGGTGGTCAAACACCAAAAAAGTACGCCTTCAAGAAATTTGGAAAGCGTAACGAGATGCTGTGGAAAGTCTCTGCCGCGCTTTCGCAGACTGACTCTACTGCTGAGCTTTGTGACAGGTGAGAGACCTTTCAAATTTACGGTGCAAATTTACTTTTTCTCAATTCAGAGCTCGAACGAGAAAACTTTCCGCGTCCGAGATTTCAACGAAAAAATTCGGAGCTCGTCGCCGCAATTCAATCGCCGACATTTCTAGAAAGACGGAATTCTGTCTGCACTAGAATCATCGATGCCTTCGGAGTGAAGAAGATTCACTAAGCACGTGCGGTGCTTGATGACGATCTCAAACCTCAACGGCAACTATTTTTACTTCCTTACTTCAACTTCAACTAGCTGAAGTCTACTTTTTACCACATATGATAAAACTGTCGTTATTCTCAAATACTAAATGAATATACTGATAGCTTTCGCTCTTGAAATATCTCTGAACCTGAACAAGAGTCGCCACCAGGCATCCATAATGGGCGATGTCATTGAAGATGCGGCTGGAATGGGAATTTTCCAGGCCAGTTCTCTCAGATTGACGTCGTATTTGATAAGATGAGTTTCACTTGCATAAACGAGGAAATTGATTGCCTCCATTTGATCGTTTTCTCCTTCGCAGTGAAGCATGCTAGAAAAAGCTTGCTCATTTTCCAAGGCATCTTCCCATTCTTTAAATAGGTTACTTTTACAATTTTAACTGCATTCATTATGAAGATCAATTTAAACTAAATATAATAAAATTAATTTAGATTCAAGTAATTGATTGCTGATTTTTTCATGCAGCAATTATTCCGTAGCCCGGGCCTACTCCAAATTTAGCACCATCTTCTGATTCATCTAAATTGACCGAGAAGACTCCACCATCGGCGTCTCCGGCGTACATGAACCCGTTATGTACATCTACTGCTGGGTATCCATCGGAGATATCTGGTAGTTCGCGCAGGGTCTTATTCTGGCCTGTCTTGGCATCGACGGATAAGATTTGTCCATCCAGGAAGCCGAGAAAATGAACTCTGTCTTTGTAAAACTGTGGCGGCGAGGAAAGAGCGTCGTCAAAACCCACTTTCCATACTTCTTCGCCTTGGTAGTTCACGCCCATGCAAACAACGCTACTATCCGGATCGGTCTCGTCCAAGTCGCCTTTGTAGTTGATGTTCTCCATTCCAGCGCAAAAATAGATCATGCTGCTTTTGAGATCGTCGATCATGGGTGACTCCAGTTCCCCTGGAGCCTCAAACGTCCACTTGACAGTAGCCATGTCTTTTTGAGTGACGTCCAGAGCTACGATTTGCCCGTTGACCAAAGGCACATAAAGAGTATCTTCGCCTTTGCTCAAATGGATTGCAGGCGCAACCATGTCATCCATTTGCATTTCCCATAATTCTCGGCCAGTTTGGAGGTTGAACGCCCTAACATTTCGGCTATCGTCTGAGAAGTAAACTCTGTAGTTTAGCGAAATAAACGGCCAGTGAGTCGGGTTGTCTTCGATTTCTTTCTCCCAGATTTTTTCTCCTTTTTGTCCATCGATGGCGTACAACTTCTTATCATCGTCGGAGGCGAGCAGAATCTCGAACTTATCGAGCTCAACTTCTCTGTTGTCAAACTGAGGAATCTCGCACAACCCAAGAGCGACTATCGAGTTTAAAACTTTCATTACTGCTTTCGTTAATCTAGCTTTGAACAATTTTCCCAAATACAATTCTACCCGGCCCTGGAACTGCCCGCGGGCCCGAAAAATACCTTGGGCGACCTGGCTTTATCAATGGGGGGTCAATTGGCTGAATCATGCTCTAGAATACGTTTCTTTATTTTTGTACCAAACACAAACTAAGCAATTGCCAATTTTACGCCTATTTTTCTCCAGAAGAAAGAAAACTGCCATCATACCTTAGTATCAATTCTCCGTTTGGATTTAACACTGGAAAGCTTGAGAGATTTGCTGGTAGATTTGATTTCCATTGGACATCCAGCGTTATCGTGTCCATTGCACAAATTTTTCCCACGCCATCTTCCTCGATTCCAAAATACGACACCGCCATTTGGGGACAAATGACAACATCGGAATTTATATGAAATGGGAATTCTTTAATGATCGTTCGATTATTAACATCATAGACGACTCCTCCTCCATCAGATTGATAAATAATCTTCCCTTGTTCAATATCAATTTCCCCAAATACTTTTTCAGACACTCTTGGAACTCTTGAGGTTGCTGGTGCCGTAGCTTTTAGCTGTTCTCTTCCGAATTTCCTCAAGTCGTCAGTTGTGAGAACGTAGAAATTGCTCTTTCCAATCATAACTGAAGATCTGAAATTTTTCTTGGACATTCTTCTTTGAAAAGTTTCTCCTGTGATCGCATTCAGGCAGACCAAGTCATGATGCTGAGTATCAACAGTCGCTTCATTGTATACAGTCGCCAGAATTCTGCTTCTATTAGCATCTATCTTCAGTGGGGAACTAACGCGACCTCCAAGGTTATTTCGCCAAATCACCTCTCCGTTGTTATTCAAAGAATAGACGGTCTCTCCAGCGGCCAGAAATATATTCCCTTTGAAGAGAGTAGGGGGAAACATGATGTATCCGTCCACTTTTAATTTCCAATCGGTATTACCGGTCACAATATCGATAGAAATAAGCTCATCATCTTCTGTCCCGATTTTTAAGCTGTTCTTGATGATCCGCCCGCCTGAGCTAACTTCGACGTTGAGTCTTTTTGTCCAGAGCTATGGATCTTGTATTCTCTACTAGTATTATCTTCTTACCTTCGTAATTTTTCCAGATGATTCTTTGTAAGCGGAAATTTTCTCACCTTTTGGAAAAATAAAAGTATTATCACCGAGAGCGCAGCTAGCCCAAAGAAGTCGACTGACTCTTACCATGATGCTCCTTTGCCTGCTAAAAAATCCGAGAGTAAAATGCTGATTTCTGCCGTTCCCCGAGGCAAGTTGCTATAATAAATGTCTATTGTAAAGAAAGATGATCGCTATTCTAATTATATAATAGTCAATCTATTAGTCAATATAAGCAAATTATTTTTGTAAGAATACCATTGTAATAAATTATGACTGATTTTGTGAAATCAAGAAAGAGAACGATTTGAAAATTTGATCAATTTTTTTAAACTATCAGTTGAGGGAATTATTCATCTGCATTGTAGAGTATGATTGTCGGCGGTTTCGTAGATCAGCAAGGTTGATACCAGCGTTTCCTTGGACTTGGATAGGAAGTGGTGAAATGTTCTCAGAGCTTGAAGAGCTATCTTTCCGCCTGCAACTAAAGTATTTTTTCATGCTTCTATAAATTTCCTTCAGTCTTCGTCGCCTTCTTCTTGAATATTTTCGTGATTGATTATTGCTAACTAAAAACAAAAGAAATAAAGCCATATTAATTTCAGACTAACCGGACATATTCGTTAGCGAGTTCGCGGAAAGCATCTCGTCTTCGATAAATTTTCGTACATTCTGTTCGTGCGATGTCCTCAAAAATACCGATTACTATCATAAATGAACAATTATTATTGAAAGAACTGAAGTTTGAAAGTTACACTCACCATGAAAAATTCGAGCGTTTTCTACGGCTGGCATTTGACATGAAACTCATTGTGCTACACGTAGATGATCTTGCGCTTGCGGTCGCGCTTAGGATCATATCGAGTCTTTCGCCCATCGCCTTAAAACTCGTCTCCTTATCAATATCATAATGACCAGGGATACCTCTACATCGGATCTTTTTATAAGTGGCGGTGGTCTTCGTTGGGCGCTTTTGCCGATTGTCAAGTATCTTTCGGAATTAACAGCGGGGATCATTCCAACGATCGAGCATCTGTGTGTTACGTAGCCAACAGACTTTTGAAAAGCCGTCAGAGTTTGAATATCTTCTTCCGTTTCCAAGTCATCGATATCATCTTCCGTTTTTTCATTCTTAGATGATGGGATGTGCTGCTTCGTGTAAGAGAGTACATAACTTAGAAGTATTAGCGGTATTGATTTTTTCTTGCAAACCTTAGTTTCTCGGTAAGTTCTCTTTCTTTTGAGTTAATTTTAGAAGAAACAAGATTCATTCGATAAAATTTGAACGGCATTAAGTTTAATACTATTTCAATAAATTAGTTACTTCAGAAGTCACGAGATAGATAATTCTGGAAGTGTATTCTGTACACTCTTTAACGATCAATATGTAAGTCTTTATTATAAGAATAGACTTAGTTTATTTTCCTTGCGGAAGTATTTTCTCTTAAAAAGATTGAATTGCTCTGTTTATTAACTCGTTTCCAAGCATTTGTTCGATTTTGAGAGGACGGATTCTTCGGTTATGGAGCGAGCGCATGGACATAATATCTTGCTAAGCTGGATCATGCTAAACTCTCTAGTGACACCAAATGGAAGACGGCTCATTTACTGTAGCAAGACATATCCCAATGAAATGCTTATATCTAATCACATTATCCCGTATATCTTCAATGCCTGGAAATAAAGAGAATCCGACAAGTGGCCACGATCACCTAATTTCAGGCTGCTACTTGCAACTGAGCACGCATTTGCTCTTACTCAATGAGTAACATTTCACAAAAATAATTTCACTCAGCGTCCTGCCATCTATATTCAGGATTCTTGAACAACAAAAACGGAACTTCAAAAAGTAACTGGAAATCTTTTGAGAAAGCTAGTATTTCTCAGAACTACTACAATGCGGACGCCTGCTACTTCGATGATCCTTCGATTGAAATGAGAAAATTGATAGTCGAATAAAAACAAGTTGTTTTTACCTGTTTTCCTCTCAACTGTGTTCAAAACTGAAGATTTATTGTGGAACTGAAGAGCTGAAGGCATAAGGAAATATAGAAGCTAAGATTTAATGTACAGAAAGATATATAAGGCGCTGGAATATTGAAAAGTTGGATACTAAGACTTTGAAGTGATCGAGGCTGACTTGAGAGTAATCGGTGTTTGCTGAATCTGACGCTATTGCTTTTGGAACTGAAGGGGCAATGCGGGGAGGGCTGAGTCGGCTGCTTTTGCGGATGAATGCGGCGATCCGAAGAGGCTGCGAACAAAGCGTAGAATCTACAACGAAGACGTTGAAATTTATTTTCTTCTCGATACATACAAAAGATACACATTATTGGCTTTTGGGCTTGGTGAGTGTGTGTCCGGTAAGAAGGGACCTTACTTTTTCGTTGCGACAGATCCCCCAGGCCACGGCGGAAACGAACAGAAGATAAACGATGAGCACCACGTGTGCGGTAAAGGAAGTCTGTTGCCGCGTGTTCATGGAAAAGTTGACCATTCCGGTGAAAATGTTCGCAAGTAGAAACACTTAAAAGAATTCCTCAGGCAAGGTTCATTACATTTTAGACACTTGGAAATGCACATTAGTTGCTGGGCTTTCTTATCCGTTACCTGGAAGCATTGTGCGATTAAAGTCGTTGATAAGCTTTGGCTGTCTCAGTCGCATTCTGACTCGAGCAATATCGCCGACGGTGCAGAAAAAGAGGAACGACATCGCCATCGCTGCTATCCAAACTACATAGCCGAGGTTTGAAAGTCGTCTCGAAGGCTCGATCTCAAACATATGCAGCAAGAAAACGAGCGACCAGAATAGCACTGCCAGTCCCGTGATTTGAAGTAGAATGCGTTCATTCATCTTGATCCGCGGTAAAAGACTCCGACCAAGCTCGACATAGAGCAAGTAGAGCGCTGTGAGACCAATTGATCCTAAAATGCCTTCCTTGTTTTTGAGGAAGAATGTACTGCGGTCAGGGCCGAAGACAAGGGCATAAAGATCAAACTTCCGGAGAATAACTTCGTATGAAACTTAACTCCTTTTTACTGGGCAGATTAAATGGTTAAAATTTACCGATAATGATGAAAGCAAGGAGACCCGGGCGTATGCGCGGAAAGCTCCTGATAAGGACGATACTTGCAGTATGGACAATCGCCAAAGACATGAAGAAATTCCAATGAATTCCGTACTCAGTTGGATCCACGTGATAGCCCGTTGCTGCAGTTGATGCCCAGCGGATAAAGCCAACTACAAGCAGTGGAAATACTTTCTTTAAGAGCTTCGGGAGAGATAGAAAGAGATTCTTGTACTTTGCATCCGAGGAAGCAAACGCATTCGCCGCCACAAAAGCGCCAACACCAATGTCCATAACCGAGGCGCCGAACTTGTGCGTTTTCATGTAGTGGCGAGGGAAAATGTTGAAGTCAACGGCAAGAATCGCCACGATTGTGAAAAGAAGGATATACACTCGGAATGTGGTGACGATGTTCGCATCTGTCGATTGACCTAGTTTCTCCTTTATAAAAGAATACTGATGGTGATTGTTTACCAGAAGGCGATGGAAGAATCTTATAGAGAAGAACTGAAATAATGGCGATTGAAGCATAGAATAAAATAGAACTGGATCCGGATAACGAAGTCATAGCAAAAAGCAATGGCAAAACGAGAGTAACAAATTCATGGGCCTAGATGATGAGATAAACAAATGTAAGAAGATTCTCCTTTGCTTACGAATTTAGGGAGAGTAGCGAAAGTCCTTGCAGTGGCGGCATATAAAATCTGCACAAGAGCGACGGATGCGATGACCCATACGATTTCGACATAGTTTAGAGCCACTGCGACCCATCCCATCGTCATTATCTTAAAAAATCGTTTTCATTTTGTTTAATTCGGAAAGTGGCTACAATGAGTAGTCCCGCGCGTTGTTATGTGTGCCCAGCAACGCTCGAGGCTCGCTCTCCGTATTTTTTTGCTTGGCGAATAAATTTTACAGATAATCGAAAATGAGCAAAGGAACGTCTATTAAAGACGCTCTAGCTTCTTGGGAAAAGGAAAATGAGAAAAAGGTATGCTGAATAAATGAATTATTTTAAAGCGTTTAGGCGAGTGAAAGTGAAGAAATCATCCTATCCGCACAAATGCCACCAATCGAAAAAATGGATGCGAGTCTAACAAATCTCAAAGCATGCGTGAAGCTGTCGCTTTCTTCGAATACAATTGAAAAATTTGCGAATTTGAATGGATTAACCAATCTGAAAATCCTCTGTCTCGCGCGAAATAATATCAAGAATTTGAACGGACTCGATTCAATAGGCCAGACATTAGGTGAGAATTAAAGGAAAGAATACAAGTACTAGGGGTTCTGATTTAGCTCTGACAGTTTTCAAGGTAAGTTGCTCAAATTTTCGCGGGGGTTGCTGAAACCTAACAAGTTTTGGGGTAATTTGAATGAAGAGTTCGTTAAGAACAACTCTGGATTTCTCACAACAACATCGAAAAGATGAAGGGCATTCACGTTCTCAAAGAGCTGAAAGTACTTGTCATGGCAAACAATAATGTGAAGGTAGGGTGTTAGGGCGAAGGCAATCCCGAGTAAAGAAATATTCAGGACTGGGGAGAGTTTAATAAGCTGGCCGATCTAAAGAAGTTAGAAGAACTCGTTTTCAATGGAAATCCACTGGAAGAAAAACACACACAAGAAGGCAACTGGATCGACATGGCTTCGGAAAAAGTACAAAGGTAGAAGCTGCGTTTGAATTTTATTTGAATTTTCAAATTGTTATTCAGCCTCAAAAAAATTGACGGGACGCCAATTATCCGTGATGATCCCGATGATGAATAAATTAATACATTCACAAAAATACTTCAATATTCAAATTTTTGTAATAAACGTGGAAATACGTTATTTGTAGCGAGAAAATGTTTCACAATGGTTAGATTTAAAATATAAAAATAAAATATAAGAAGAAAAAGATAATAGCAGGTAAAAGCTGAATAAAAATGAAAAAAAACACGCTTGTGTTAGGATTTCGAGTTGACTCCTGGAATATCCGAGGAGACTCTGACGGGGGCAGTAAGACCATTAAATATAGCAGGATGGGACTGTTTCTTCTTGAGCTGATCGATTACGTCCGTCTGGAACTTCAGAATAGTGCTAAATCAAAGGTCTGGCGCGAGCGGGAAGAGTGCGCTTTACCTGAGATGGGAGTAGTTGATTCGAGTGTCCAGGCTGCACTGCATAAGAGTAGCGCCGTCATACGATTTGATGAAATCAGTATAAGCGCCCTTAAGAATAGAAGAAGCTATTTCGCTAAAGTAAACTTACTTTATCCATGCTAATTGCGCTGGTAAAGCCCTGTTTTCTGAAATATCCAACAGCATTTTCGTCGGCATAAGTAAGCAGGTTAAAGATACGCTTCGAAATGTGGTGATCTTTTAAATGATTCATCAGAAATGTTCCATAACCCTTGACTTGCTCGTCGCTAGAAACAGCGCAAAAGACGATTTCTGAGAAGTTCTGATCTTTGAACGGACGGAAGCAGATGGCGCCACAGACAGAATTCGTGGTAGTTTTGACGAGACACAAACAACGATGTCGCGGATCAAAGACTAAACGAGCCATGTACTTGGCGGGCATGTTCGTCAACGACAGTTGAAAGATTTGAAAGGCTTCCAGCAGGTACCGCATCTGCAGCTTATCATATCGCTTTGGGTTGCAGGAAACCACGTGCAGAGCTAGATTTCCATTCTTGAGCTCGGTCATAGCAACTGCATCGCGCGACTGAAACAGCAAGTCTGTTTGAGAGAGTTGTCGATTCTGCCCATCAGACACCTCGTCGCAAATCTCTTGCAAGAGCTCTTTTTCGATCCGTAAGACGTTATTTGAGGTAGATTTGATGAGTTTCTCGGTGCGCGGAACTCTAACTCGATTTCGGAGCTCGCGAACGCCGCGCTTGTTCTGCCACATGGGCGCGTTTTTATTGTCGATTGACAGTTCCAAAGTACGGAAACAGTCGCTAAGTTCAGCTTTGAATTTTCGGTTTCTTTTGCACATCCGCATGGCGAACTTTCTGGCGACTGGAAGCACCTGCTTAACGAATCGGCGCTGGATGAATGAAGTCACTTTCAAATGTGGCATGCACGAGAAGAACTTCGGAAAGCGAGCGCATATTAGCCAAGAGCGAAAGAAATCCAACTCATCGTGATTTTCAAGTGTGAAGACATCATCATCGAGGACACAGTGATTAAAGCCGTCCACCATGCTCTCAACGAGGTCGTCTCTCAAGCCAATCGACTTACTAACTTTCATATAGTTAGCGACATCATCAAGGCTTCTCCGGGGAAAGGAAGGCTTCATATTTTCAAATGATAATTTTTCCTAAAAGCCGTCATTAACTGCGAAGAAATCATTTTGAAACTTACTTTTCCGAGAATAGCAGTCCCCAAATAAGAGAGACACTCAAATAGAACAAACTTATGGACGTCCATTCCTGGACCATCCATTTTGTGGACAAAGTACTTCATGACGACCATATCAAAGGTTGCTGGGGCGAAGTACTACTAATAATATGATCTTTTCCGCGGACTCAACTCGCTTACCTTGACCTCATCATCTGTTAGCTTCTGTACATTGGCGACATTTGAAATCAACAAGCGTTGGTCTTTTAACGAGAGATGGTAGAGTTTGTTCCTAGCTTTCTTTATTTGGATTTGATTTCTGGAGCAGAAGATATCCTTTCCATTTAACCTGTCAAGAAGCACCTCAAAAAGGAGTAATTGATGCGTTCTATGGATACAGAGCAAAATACCTCCAAGCAGTGAGGAAGAACATAGTCTACAGAACTCATCAGTCGCAGGGTCTCGAAAAATTGGAAGTGCGGTGGGTGTGGAAACGCGCTCTCGAGCGCTCCACTTCTGCGCGCTGGAAGTGCGTGTTTAAAAAAACCGCGAGCTGGTCGTGGAGCCACTCCCGGCGCTGGTCGTGCCACGCCCGCGATTGGAAGTGCGCGCTTGGGGCTGGAAGTGCACACCCGGAGTGACGCGCCTTTTCGAATGTGCCCGGGCTCGGCAACCTGAGTACAGGGTTCGGAAAATTTTTCTCGATTTTTACTCAGGAACTCAGGTCAGGGTTTTTCACCCAGTCAGGTACTCTCAGGAAAAACCTTTTTTCGACCAATTTCGCAAATAAAAATTCTAATCATTTCATTTTGGCCAGATGATTTATAACCTCACAGTCCTGTAATCATAAAATCGCAAATATTATTGACGTTGCAAACGCCATTATGAAAGGAAAGGACTAGTTAAGTGAGTTCAATCTATGTTTATTCAATTTCAGGTTGTTCCGGTAGGTAGGCGATAATACCCCGAAATCGACAAAAAAGGGCTTCCGGGTTGAGAACGAACTTTTTTTGGTTCGTTTCAAGGTTTTCTGTGGGGCGGGCTACTCACTTTCCCCCTAGCGCGTTTGCACTTCCAGCCTCGGGCGTGGAAGCGAGTCCACGACCACCGCGCGGAAGTGCAAGGCGAGAGGGCGTGCTTGCACATCCACCGCACGTCCAAATTTTCGAGACCCTGATCAGTCGCTTTACGAATTCATTGCTGAATTTATTTGGAATGCGGATGTGAATAAACAATAAAATATATATGTCGCAAGTAGTTGCACAGTGTAACATCACTCTAGTGACCTAGATGCGGGGAGGCATTGTAGTGGTGGAGTTGGTTATCTCGAGAGCCCTTTCGGGACTCCATTTTCTGGACCGTAATCACGGGAATTTCAAAATTGAAGCTATACGGGAAACACAGTAAAATAAAAATCTAAAAATTTTGTAGTTAAATTGGCATCGGCGTTTTATTTGGAAGGTTTGGCGAGCTTGGCTGCCTTCATCTTTTGAACGATCTCCGATTCGACCAAGTTGCGTGACTGGTTCTTCTGCATCATCTGTGGCATGATCTTCTCCATGTTCTCTTCAACATATTTGATCTTTCTGTCGAAGAATTCAATCGCTTCCTTGGGCGTTTTCTCCACGTAAAATTGCGTTCCGATGTCGACGATCACTAAATCGCGTTAAAATTAGGTCACTTTTTCGACGCATGCGCTTACATTGCGTTTCCTCCGCAAATTTTCCGCGGACGTAGAGGGAGCCAGTCAATGGGACCATCACATCGGCGCCTTCGCATCCCTCGAGCTCCGAAACGGCTTCACGGGAAGTGATGAACTTCTTTTTGACTGAGATATTTAAATAGAAATAAAGAATCAGACAGTAATTCACCTCCAACAAGCTCGGCGTGGCAATTGTTCAGGACAGAGATTTCTGTCTCCAGTCGCTGGTTTACTTCTGACAGTTGCTGTGGATTCAACTGCCGGATATCAACCATTTTGGGAGCGGCCATTTTTCTTTGTCTCTGAATTCAAAAATATGCAGACTCGGTTTAAGAAGAAGCGTTGAATGGATTTTTACAGAATATCAGTAATAGGAATGTAAGCAACTTTGATTAGGCACAATGAAATCTTGAAGAGATTGATAGAACTGTTAGAGAGTAAATATAAATGCATTCTAGAAAGGAATCAAGCAATCAGTACTGCTTGTTCTTGCGACTGTTGCGCTCTCGCCTTTTCCAAAGCAATTTCCTCGTCAAGCTTTGCTTGAGAACTCTTTTTGTTAATGTATCTATGAAAGATAAATGCAGCCGCTATCGAAACTAAGTGGGCGACGAGAAGAGCGACGACAAATCCCAAGTTTGTCCATCTGAACCAGTTCACGACAATGGCTAAGCAGGCGTTGCCTTGAAAGTAAAAGACTGCGCACGAAATCAGAAGCTCGATAGTTCCAGCAACGTAATTGAAATAAAGAAGGTCTTGTTGCTGGTATCTTTTTTCATACTCGGGTCGGTTAATTTCTCGCGCGCCAATCGGTTCGAACCAAATCGTCATCCAAACAAGGTTCGTGAGGATAGTACGACCTAAAGAACAGACCGCTTTCTTCGTCAACACTGAAAGGATAACCACTCTTGTAAGTAACCAGACGAGTGAGAAGACAGGGTGCATTATGAACATTCCAGCGAGACAGATGATTCGCACACCGGTGAAAGTGACAATCCATAGAGCGTAAATAGGCGCTGAACAGAGATACTTCTTCTTGGCAGACCATTCTGAGCGGAGATCATTTGGCCTCAGTTGTTCGTCGGAAACAGACAACGCCAGTGGCAGAACAACACATAGAAAGGAAAAGGCGATTTTGTAGATAATGTCGACTTTGCCGAAGATGGGCACATCAACTGCGAGTCTGAATTTTAAAATGAATGTAAATTTTGTCGCTCTTAGACTCACAGATCCTCCGAACAATTCCGGCAGCGCTCAAGGACGTAAACGTAGAGAAGAAGAACGACCTGAGGCGTAGCTTCGATTCCCTTTTCAATGATAATCAGAAAGTGATTGTCGTGCACCAGATTCACATAGTCGTTCCAGAATCGTGTTATTACTTCTGTTTTGCCTTTGATTTTAGCTTTTTGTAGCCGAAAGAAGAAATGCAGCTCTTTGAAGTATCTGTGGATCATGTGAAGGAGAAAAACATGAGCAACTTTAAGATGACACGTCAAGGTGTTTGGTTCACATTCGCCGTTGACCGTCCACTCAGACCATCTTTTGCAGCTAAAATGTTTTTATTTGTATCAAGGTTGAATGTTCTAGTCTCACCTGAAAATCGCCTGGGCAAAATGCGATGCCACGAAAAAAATCAAGTACAAGATGCCATAGAGAGTGTAATTTATTTTAATCTCATCCGGGTCTCGAGCTTCTGTTTCCATCCATTCTAACCCGATTCCCATCGCAAGTCGGGTTTCGTTTGGAAATAGATCGGCTGCTTCTTTCTGATTTGGAGGGACATAATTTGGATCGCATTTTCGCTCAGAAAAGAAAAACTTGACAACGAGAATATCAGAAACCAGGTCGACGAAGAATATAACCGAAAGACAGATCTTGAGTCCGGTCAGCGCTTAACTACTGTTTACAAGAAATATCATTTCCAAGCGAAAGAAATAAAACTAATACCGAGAAGCATCAAATTTTCTTTACAAGAAGATCTCATCGAAAAAATAACGCCAGTACTTTTCTTTGTCAGAGAGTCTCGAACAAAAAGCAATCATATTTTTGCTCATGACGCTTGATAAAAAGAAAACCAGATAAATATTTATTCTACGGACTGTTTGATTACGAGTAGAAATCATGATCATTTTGCTGGTCAAAAATATGTCTGACAATTATTTTTAGCTCGGCTATGCACTTCTATCATCTCTCTGTGTTACCTAAGACTTTCAGTTGTTTGAGACTACTTTTGAGAGTCATTTCGGGAGCTGCTCGGCCTCTCCCTTCATCAAAAATTTAAATTTGGCGCTTGATGAGTCATCATTGGCCGAGCCGTGCGCTGATTGGCCGCGTTGGACCACGTTTTACGATCCAGCTTTCCTCTTCATTTCCGTCAAATTTGAGAATCAGTTATCGAGTAGAAACTCACCCAGCCGGAAAGAGACAAAGACGATAAATCTTTGAGAAGACAACAATGGCTCGACTAGCATTCAGCGCGCGTGGAGGACGCGGCGGAGGATTCAAATCCCCTGGGCGAGGCGGACGAGGTAAAATATTCATTTTCTACCATCGCTCTCAATTAATCAGAAAGTTAATATCGAATTAAAATTAAAGTATGAGTACGATATGCAGAGTAATCTGGTAGTAAAACTTAGCAATTTAGGAGGTCGAGGTGGTGGCCGTGGTCGCGGAGGCGGCACTCCCCGTGGAAGAGGCCGAGGACGCGGCGGAGCACGAGGGGGTGGCCGTGGCGGTGCAAGAGGTCCCGGTGCCAAGGTCATTGTCGAGCCTCATCGACACGGTGGTGTCTTCATCGCTAAAGGGAAGGAAGATGTCCTTGTCACCAAAAACCTCGTTCCAGGAGACACTGTCTATGGAGAGAAGAAAATTGAGGTAAATCTTTGTTACCCAAGTTGTGATAATAATGTGTTTTAGGTGGAACTTCCAGCGCCAGAGGGATCAGCGAACCCAATCCAGAAAGTAGAGTACAGATCGTGGAATCCTTTCAGATCGAAGCTGGCAGCCGCTATTCTTGGCGGGGTCGAAAAAATCCACATTGCTCCTGGCAAACGGGTAAGAGTTAATTCAAATCGACTTCTGTCTAGTTACCGTTTAGGTTCTGTACCTCGGGGCAGCCTCTGGAACAACGGTTTCTCACGTCTCTGACATCGTAGGACCAGAAGGGCTCGTATACGCGGTCGAATTTTCTCACCGCTCTGGTCGAGATCTACTCAACGTTGCGAAGAAACGAACCAACATAGTGCCCATCATTGAAGATGCTCGCCACCCTCATAAGTACAGAATGCTCGTTGGAATGGTTGACTGCGTCTTCGCGGATGTTGCCCAGCCCGATCAGACCCGCATCGTCGCTCTCAATTCGCATCACTTCCTGAAGACAGGCGGGCATTTCGTTATCTCCATCAAGGCATCGTGCATTGACTCCACCGCCAAGCCTGAAGCTGTCTTCGCATCTGAGGTAGAGTCTTGAATTTCTAACCTTTGTCACTAATATTTTTAAAGGTAAAAAAGATGAAAGCCGAAAAAATGAAGCCTCAAGAGCAGTTGACTCTTGAGCCCTACGAGCGAGACCATGCCGTCGTTGTCGGGATATACCGACCTCCGCCAAAGAAATAAGCTACTCCTCCGTGAATGCGTGTCCCACTATCCGAAAAACTTTGAAACTGCCAAGTGCATCTGACAGTAAAAACTTATTTCCAGATGGCGATATATCACCATCTAGCGGTACTGCTTTAGCGGCAATGACAATCCTGGCCTAGCCGTCGGGCGCGGATGATTAGAAGGACCACTATTCCTTCCCGCTAAGAGAACCCTCTATTGCTGCTCCCCTGCGAGCAATTATCTTTTTCACGATGCCGGGAAGGCTCGTAGCGCTCATCTTTCTTTCGAATGACCTTTTTTGCGCCAAAAACTAATAATTCTTTTCTAGTATGAGAAAGGTCGTTCCTACGTTTGGGAAATGGAGCGATCATGGCAGCAACATTGCCAATATCGTTTCAGAGTATTAGATACTCTGATATAGAATTTTAACGCCTGGAGATGGCGTCCACTGCGAAGATACGCTCCTATACAGGGAGAGAACGAACAATATGCAACAGAAGGAGGAGAACTTTTCGACGCCTGGCTCAGGCTTCAAGAAGAGCAGAGAGAGAAGACAAAAGTCTTTTCTTCTTTCCCTGAATTCAACGAAAAATTCTGCATACAATTTATCTGATATAGAATTTTAACTCTTCATATAATTACTATCAAACTTATATTCAAAATTTATTGTTTTAGAAAATGTAACTGAGATTTTGCGCAACGCCCCGCCTGGCGAGGGAGTCAACAAGTCGCGTCGTCGTCGGGTGTAACTCGATGGCGTCATGACGAGAGCCGCAGAAGCGGAGAGAGTCGGCGAAGGAGCATCCAAACGGGTGTTCCCCCCACTTACTCGATCTATCAAAGAAAGAGCAAGTCAACATTTGTGAAACACGCTATTCACATTTACGCTAGCGAAGAGCGCTCTGGAACACAAGCTTACGACCTGATATAGAATTTTAACTCTTTATTTTGAACAGAATAAAATCTGATTATTTGAAATCAAAGCAAGTCCAAAGAATTTTATTTTACCTTGTGAGTTTTGGATTTATTGACATGCTGAGGATCGCAATTTATCCGCGTTGTTTTGTCAGAGAATAAGTTAGATATTGTGCAGACACGCAGGTATTTTACATGAGTTACAGAATGCACCAGAAGTGGACAAGGCAACCGTAATATACTGTAATATAACAACACGACGGGGATCTCACGAGCTCATTACCGTTGAGCCCATTCAGTTTTGATCTGTAACGGTTTTGCTCCCTTCCGCGTTGTCCGAACTAGGGGTATCAAGAGTATCAGCAGGTTTTAGTCCGGTGAAGGTTTTTTTTATCTGCTGGATAATAGCTCATAGGGTTTCAAGGCAGGTTATTCATTTTTAAGAAAACAATTTAATCAAAAGACTTTGCTCCTTACACAATGTCGAATGTGTAAGAAACAGTGTATGGCGCGTTTGCTGGGTTAGACTGTCGGATCAGGGTCGATTGGTGAAAGAGTAAGGCTTGTGTTATACAGAACGAGAGAGGTCCTCATCCACCCCAAGGTATGTCGGATTTCTTTGCCCTTGAGTCATGACCACTCTAGCGATCGGTGTCGAGATAGGAAGCGCTTCTTGCAATCTTGAATATAAGAGCAAGTCATTAATGATGTAAAGGCGCATATACTATCTTGACACTTTCCCTGGAAATGGTTGCCTTCCCTATCTTGACCATCGTCCTCGCCATGAAGAGAAACAGGCAATCCTTCTGGATCCTGGCCAACGTGATCACTATAAAACGAATTTATTGAGACTCCATCCGAGCCCCTCGAAAAGTCACCCGAATCGTTGATCTTGCATTAGCCTGCTGAGTTTCTTCATGGCGATAATTTCACGTTTCTTTTTGAGGACAGCCAGTCGACCTTTAAATGAATTATTAAATTTCAAGTATGATTTCCTCGTAGTTCACCTCCTCTTTCGGTCATCAGTCGTTTCTCCTCTAAGGCTGCCATTCTAGCGCCAACATACATTGAAACCTGAATCTCATTTTGAAACTTTCATCAACAGAATATACGACTCATGATTAAAAGGAAATAAATCTGGAACTGACTTCTATCTTCATTTTGAGAGATAGTTTCATTTACGTGCGCAATCAACGATGTGTAGCTAATTACGCCAAAATTCGCGGAGAGCTCATATGCGATTACTCTCAAGTAGTGAGGTTTCTAATTAATTTCGGTTTAATTGAAACTGGGATTTATTTTTGATTTGGCGGCCAAATGCCACGCGATTATCTGAACTGGTTGCGAATAAGCGCATGAGATACTGTGACGTTCCCGTTCTGGAATTCAAAGGCAGTGATTGATCAGCATTAGCCCTTGTTCGAGCTGGACCCACGCTCCCGGTCTTTGCAAATTCGTGGAGTTATTTCCTATGTCAATCGATGTATCAAAGCGAGTGGTGATCTTAATTTTTGAGGTGACAGAGCTAGGTAGTTTTTCGACAGCGGACGAAGAAAATCAAAAATTCATCTGTCAGTATTTGGGCGTCCCCAGCCACGCGCGGCGTTAGTGTTTAAAAGTTAAAATATTCGGAATGCATTTTTTATCTCCGCCATTTTAGAAAAGCAACGGTAACGTCCTTGAATTTCAAATTAAACATTAACAATTAGATTTAAAAATTAATCGAACTGATACTGTAGCTATTTTATCAACAGGAGAGTGTTGGTTGAGTACTAAGCTCGCTTACCACGGCAAGAACTGCTCCAAGAATGGTGATCGTCATACAAGTGATGTAAAGTGGCTTCTGCGTGTCGTCTTTCGCAGATGTAATAACAGTTCGAACATAATCAATGCAAATAATATCGGCCACAAAGGTGAACGCTGAAAGAAGTTTTTACTCGATACATTTATGTACGACTTTGCGCTAGGCGAAATCGACTTTTACTTTGCATGGTTAAATATACACGCACGAAATTAATATGTCGCCATTTCTACCTGCTGCTAGGCCAGAGCGACTCTGTCTCGACAGAAGAAATAACTCGTATTCACGAAATTTCCCGTTAAAAGACAGTTCTGATCGATATTAAAAATTAAAATGGAACAGAGGCAGACTTAATTGAACAAGGTGCACCAATTAGGTTGATGGCGGCAAGATCTACGAGGAGATCATCGTTACGCCTGCAATGAGGGCCAGAGTAGCTGAGACTCTTCGCCCAGTCTGCTCAAACATAGCTAGATATTATAAGACGACAGAGCAATTATTAGAAGCGCTAATTTATTGAGCATATTGTGTCTACTCACAAGCGATATTGACAAATAACGAGGCAATATACTGCGGACATACCTGAGGATGAAGTGTATGCAAGTATTCTGGACGAGTCACGTTGTCGAAATAAAATAAAGTCAACGGCAGCCGAGACTGCCATCGTAAGGCCAGAAATGAACGAAACAACGTAACTGAATGCGCTGATTTTTTGAGAAAAAAATGCCGAGGTACCTTCTAAGATTGGACGAAGGTTCAGACGAGGAGTCCGCAGTTGAACTCATACCCGAGCCGTCTTCGATGGATTGATCTTGGCTATTAAACATTTAGAAGTGATATAGCTAAAATTAAAGCCTATTTGGTAATTCATCTTCCTGAATTCTAAGACTAAGTATCGATCGGTTACTAATTATGTCCTCAACAATCATCATTAAGTGATTAGACATCAGCAATGGGAGGTTTTTTATTAGAAAAATTCACAAAGCGATACCCTTATTATATTTCAACGGAAGAAAAATCAAAAATTTGGACTCCGAATTGAAACTCGAAGTCATAAATCATTATGTAAAACAACAGGATTAGTTAGAAAAAACTGAAATTTGATAACTGTTAGAAAATTGAAATCGATTTACTAAAAAACATGCAGTGCCATTTTCGATTTTTATCCAAAATATGTAGAAAAAGCGGGATATTAAATATTTATGGCACAAAGTTATTCTTTCGAAAAATGAAACTCAGAGGCCGAAGCGCTGCCGAGGAACGGATAGTTTCGGTTGATCCTATGTTCTTTGGGCTCATACGATAGGGAGTAAATGTTATAACTTGCGCTCCAGTATAACCCGATTTGTGCCCGCTTGATAGCTGTATCTGTCCTTATACGGGCGAGTGACATATGAATATGGACACTGATGCTAAATGACACGTGGTCGTGACCTTACCTTATGATGACAACACCTAGTACAAGAAGTGGAACGACGAGGAGGCTTTTTATTCCCGCCAGACCAATAAGAACTCCGTCAGTATCAAGGCCACAGACGACGTCGGCAATATCTTTTGTGAGATCGGGCACCCTGTCCGGCAGGAATTGAGGTCTATAGCCAGAACGTCCATTACTATCAATTTGATGGGATCCACCTGTTTGGAATTTGACGGTCGCCATTTCCGGCTCGATTTGGACGGGAACGAACGCGGAACTCTTCGTTTCTAAATTGGCCGCCACTTTGGGCCATTCCACGGGGACTTGAAATACTCCGTCTAAACAGTCTTGTTCTCCCTTGCCTGTAACTATTATTACTTTCCAACAATTCGGGTTGCTTACTGAGTCTATTTTTCATTGCAACTGAGCATGGCTTCCATGTTCCTTAACTCTAGTCATAACAAAGTGAATGAGCGGCATATTTTCAACGAAACCGCTGTCCGAAACTGGACCCGCTCCAGTTAGTGAGAAATGTATTTCAACCTATGGCGAGTTGCTAACTTCGAAAATCAATACGCATCGGTGAACTACCATTTAAGAGTCCCCTTGAAACCACTGCGCATATAATCCTATTACTAAAAATATCATGCCTGCACACTATATATCGACAAAAGTGTTTTTCTAGCAACAGTACCTTGAATTTGTCAAGAGCCCCTTTGAAAACTTTTTCTCTCTAGATCGGCGGCCCGTCTAGTTCCACGTGATCGTACAAGTAGAGCAGCTCTGGATTTAATCTCTATAAGTTTTTCTTCTTTTAGTCAACCATAAGTCCATTCGGTTGTCTCTTGAAGAAGTCTCTTCTCGAATTTAACTCTTGCTTGTTAAAGCGTTTTAGAAAAAAAAATGTAATCTTGATAAAGGAACTCTTTTATGATGTCAAAGGCAGGGAGTTTCACTTCAGCGTCAGTAAATTAGAAAGAACTGTCTTTTTCCTTTTTTCGATACCATTAGCGTATGTTCAGCGATTAGAACACCGTCACGCGAGGGCGCATGCGTGCACTCTCTGCAAGTGGAGGCGGACTTTGGCACAGTCCTTGTAATAAACTGACCAAGATATTATGCAACGAAAAGAAGGCCTTGCTCTCGAATCACTTTACTAATGCCGCCACTTTTTGTGGTACACATATAATATGTCATAATTTTTAAGTAGTAGATCTGTGAAAAATCAATAATCGTAGTAGACTTTTCTCCCAAACTTAGCACAGGCCTTGACCCCTTATTTTTTATGCTCCAGATTTCTCGATGTTTTTAGCTATAAATATGCAGTTTCTAGTACCAAAAGGGTTATATGAAAATGTAAATTAAAATAACTCAAATGATAGTTTCTAAATAAAAAGAAATAATTTGAGTTTTTAGGCTTGAAATGAAATAAAGGTACGATTATACGTTTGTGGAGGAAAAATCTGCTCTCAAATCGTGATTCTTGATGTCTTCCTTTATACTAGATAAAATACTGTATTTACATAATCGAGATATACAGGCAACGAGTGTACAGGATCAAAAGGTCAAGACGTTTGGCTCAGCAAAATGTTCATCATGTAGTTAACGCCGCCGAAGGTAGCCGCATTGACGACGAAGGCGCGCACTACTGCGGTAGAAATTCCTCGATAAAAACCACGGATGCCTTCTTCTAGCATCGTCTGTTTTATGCAGTCACTTGGCCCGGAGAAACGGTTTGTTTGATCGGCCTGTAACTTGGACTTGACTTGGTCAACTGGATACGTCAGAACCCAAGAGTTAACGCCAGCTAGACCGCCAGAGACGAGAATCTAAACTTCATTTTTTACGGTTGATATTAAATAAATTCAGAAGGAATTACTCGAAAAGATTACTCCAGGCGAAGCGTGGGAGGGTCATAACGAGATTGGAAATGTACCTTTGCCGTAGCATGGTCATCTGAAGGGCTATAATTGGTGATTTTGAGGAGGGCGTCGTAACTGCCGAAGTAGCAGGCAAAGGCAGGAAGCTCGCGGCACAATGTTGTCCCAAGACCTCGTCCGAACCCTCTTAATATTTTCATAAAGAAGGGTTTATAAATTCATAGTCATATTAAATGAAATATTTATAGATATCTCGCTGAATGAGATATCGGCGTGAATAAATTTATGCAAGAAACGCAAACACAATCTCAGAACTTATTTTAGCAATAAAAGTCCCGCATCAATTTATTCATAAGAGGCGATTCTAAGCAATAGAAATTAACTTGGCCTTTATCTCTTCTTCTTTGGAATAAAAGAAATTTTGATAATCCCGCCCATTCAACGATGACGGGAAGGTTTAAATCCGGCTATAGGACATATATTTTTTAATTACTTAAGCCCGTCGTTTCTGTAGATCTCGCGCGCTGTATTCAACAGGGAAGGCTTCACAGACGCGTCCCCGATTCCAGTCACCTGCATTTGCGTCTTTACAAGTTCCATTGGTCCAGTAACCAGACACTGAACACCGCCGGCAATTGTCCCTTGAATCACAGTATTTGGAAGGTTTACTTTGACAATATACCTGCGATCATGTGGTTGATGGGAGTCTCCTCTTGAAGATAGCGCATACCTTCGCCCTCGACGCCGAAAATGATTGCGTTGATGGCACCAACACCGACGCATGGTGGAATAACGCCTTTAAAAAGTGCACGTGAGCCCTCGCTCTTTATAATTGCTCGGCAGGCATCAACACCCAATCATCTGGTTTTTCATCGTGAATGCCATTTTATAGAAAGAAGATGGACTGAAAAACCCTTCCCGATTTGTACAAATGACCACGCGTTTGTAGTCGGATTTTAACTGTGTCGAACGGATGTCCAACGATAACGCCACAGACACTTGGATTGGGATCGAAACTGTTGCATAATGGAATCAGCTATTGTAAAAGAAGTTTCTAACGATCCCTACGTGCCCACCAAAATAACCGGCGATAAAGTCGTATATAAAAGGTGTCGTGTGGGACATAAAGCTTTATTGTGAATCTCTACGCAAATGATTGACCAAAGCTGAATCTAGAAACAAGTCAGAACTTCTCTTCTTTGATTTCCCTCCATAATTAATACTGGCGGAAATGCTTAGGATTCATGAGACAGTTTCTCCGCCCCTTTGTCCAATACATGATGAGATTAGTTAGACACAAAAAAGTGGGTACGCCCATAAATGTTTTTCTTTTGTTTCTTCTGTTTGTGGCTTACCAAGATTCCAAGAAATTGATAGCTACTCTCTGATTGAAATTTGTTGCTTCTCTCCTCTTCATTAAGTACTCTGATTTGACATGTGCTATAATTAACAAAAAGCCGCGCGGAGGCCAATCTTCGAATTACAATACTTTTAAACGATCTTAGGCTGACAATTAGGTGATAAGCTTCAGATGACGCCCCTCGCGTTCCAGCGTGACAAGCTGCTCGCGAAATCTGGTTACCTTACGTTGTTTCTTAGAAAACTTTCCAGCTTGAACAGGGGCACTTGGAGTGCACCCCCCACGTTCAAAATAACGTTAATCGGAATTTATTGATTTCAAGCGTTGTTCGGAAATGTGACCTGAGAAAAACACGTCGAAGCTTACGTTTTCGCTTTCGAAATTTACTTCGATGATTTAATCCATGCAATTTACCACCAGTTTTATCATCATTTTCATTTTGATGGTTTAGATTCTAGAATACGTAGAATGTTGTTGAATTTTTTGAAAGATTAGTTCACTTTGAAATAGAAGTTACAGGCAATGAAGCCTGAGAGAAAGCATTTCCATAGAGTTCATCCGAGAAAAGAGAAGGTCGAACGGGTCCTGCAACTCTTTCAGAGAACTGCTAAAAAACGGCATGAAGCAAAGAGACTCGGTATAATACCTTATTTGGACGGATGGGAAGAGTAAGTCCTCATTTTTAGGCGAATCCTTAATCCATTGATTTCATAGATTAGTAGACAAGAAATTAAAAGAAGAAGAAGAACAGAAAAAAGCTAAAGAAATTCTCGCCCAAACCATTTCAGGAGTGTTTCATTCTTTTTATTATTTTTGGGACTATGTGTGCGATTCTGCTTTTATAAAACATCGCAAAGACAAAAAAGACATAGAAGAAAATCTTTTGACTGCGAAAAGCACAGAAACAAATACTGAGGAGCACATACAATTAAGCGATGAAAAAATCGAAAAATGGTTATCTCGATGGTAATTTCATAAAGAAATATAGATTAATTTAAAGCATCGTAATTCAAGATTTACAATCCTTCTTTCAGCAAAGGCGATGGCGCGAAGAAGACCTGAATAAAACCACGAAGATTCGCACTTTATTAAAAATTACAATTATTCCTGCAAATACATATCTACCAAAAATACTCGACTTGAAGTGCTTATTTTCTCGAAATGTGAATACTCGTTGTCAGAACTGAGACGAGTACTAATTTATTTAAAAGAATAAAGGGAAATAAATACTGCGTCTTAACAATCTCTCGAGGGAAGTATCTGATACTGAAAGGTAAGTAGTGGTGAGTTTGTGTAAGTACAAAGTTATGAAGACTTGGCGGGATGTTGGGAAATTCTTTTGTGTTAGTCATTGAAAGGCTCGGAGCCGGAGGAAGATGAATTGTCGTTGATTGCGATGTCCTAGAATGAAGATGTCACGTCTAATCAGCTAATAGTAATCTTACTGTCGCTTTCATTGTATTTGGTCGAATAGTGGGCAGCTCCTCATCTGAATCTGTGAGTGAGCCGGAACTATCGCTTGAACTGTCATCCATAAGTGCGGGATTCACGTACTTAAAAGTCATAAGTCCACTGTTCATTTTGACTTTGTTCTACCGGTTTGTGGGGTTCTTCTTCGTTCAGATTTTCAACCGAAAGAGACGTCTTGATTCCATCTGAGATGGCGTCTGTTTCGTCGAATTTTCCGAGCAAACTGTCACGGACAGAGTCATATATCAGCTTATATTGGGACTAAACTCGTTACTAGATGCTCGTTAATTATCGAGTTTACCTCTGAGTTTATTAGGCTCTGGCGGCACTTCTTCATTTGATAAACCATTCCTAAGACGTTTACGAAGCTTTCTTCTGTTAGATCTCGCAGCATCTGGTCAAGAGCAATGAAAAGTCCGGTTTTTGCGCTTCCATCAGAGCAATGGACCACCATCGGCCCAATATCTTCCAACGGTAAATCTGACCTAGATAAACTTTACACTCGAGTAATAAATGCCGCCAAAAGGTCAAGGACAACTTATCTAATTCCAGGCACCGCTCACGAAATGCTAGATTCTCAACATCATCAAATTAAGTAATTTATGAATAACATCATGCACTCTTCATACGACATACGCGTAGTGCATGTGAACTCATATGATTCAAAATGAATCAATTATCCTATTTAGCGAAAAGTAAATTTGCTCTTACTTTCTGAGAATTAAAATCACGCACGTTCGATCCTCTTGGTTAAAAATTACCTCACATGCTTTATAAAAGCCACCAAATCCCCAATATTAGGCAGGGTATCGGAAGTAGAGCTCCAACTCGTGAACTGATAATGGCGAATTTTACGTGTGTCTGTTCCATTTGACAAATAAAATGTCCTTTCCGTCCAGAGCGGGAGTATATTTTCCTCCGTTTTCTCTACTTCAAGGGTATCGGAAACGGTTTCTTTCTTCTCGTCAAATGGCCAGTACTGATCACATTTGATCCTGCCGTTTTCAACAAGCTGCACGAGCATCACAATAACAAGGGATTTCTCTGCCCATATCATGTTCCAGAAGTCGGCTTTTGTACCAGGAAGCGGTCCTATTATAAATTTCAGAGTTTCCATATCAAAGTCGTTGAATTTTACGCACGAAAGAATGAATTACAAAATTTTTACAGGGCCAGAAATGTTTCACGAGGATTGAATTCTTGTTACTCGAGACGGAACGTGCTTGAAAATGTGACTAACCTTGTGTAGCAATATAGTCCCTTGCTTGCGACTTGATTTCGATGTAATTTGCGTTGATGTAAGATCCAGTCAGCTTCACTCTGGTAGCTTCATTTGCGAGGACGTTCATGTATCTGTTCTTGCCGCGGTTTCCAGGCAGTTGAGCTACTCGACTCACGACTTCAGTTCGAAAACAATTCTTCAGTTCTTCGTATTCTCGACTTATATCTTCGTAGCTAATCATATCCTTGTAGTGCTCCAAAAAGTCGTGCGTCTGAATCACATTCGCCAGTTTTTGCTCAGGAATATTGCGCGACTTCGCCACTTCTAACGTATTTTCCTTCTCATACGCGACGTTTTCGATTCCACCTAGGAACGCTCACTTATTTAAAAAGTTCATTGTGAACTTGGGCTATTCAAACGTCGTTTTCATCAAATTCTAACTCCTATTTCTGCGAATTAAATTCCGAAACAGCAATTCCTAATTATTATTCATAATTATTAAATACATATTGGTAATTTAATAGAAATAAAAAATATTAACAAGATTCTGAAGATGATTGATTTTGTAAGAAAAACTACCTATAAGTCTCAAAGTATAGCTGAAAGAAGTTTTCTCTTACCTCCATAATCTCGAGTGTCTTCTTCTGGTGATTTTGTTTCATATTTTCTCTTTCCACAACAGAAGCATAATTTTCGCACTGTCTTCTTGAAGTTGACCATGCTGTGGATTAGTTGAAAGCTCTGCTCAGTGGCTACTGGTATGTTAGGCTCATTGTAGTGAAGAGAAGAGGCCTACACTTGCTGCTTCAATAGACTGACTCAGAGAAAGGAAAAAAGAAATATAAAATGGGGAGCCCGTCTGTGAGTAAGCTGAATAAATCAATCGCCCGGAGGCGACGTTTACCAAGCTCTGAAATGCCTTTTATTTCTCTTCCGTCATTTTATTGTTATGAATAAATATATAACTCCTACAAATATTTATTTGCAAGGTTTCGTCGCAGCCCTCGCAGGCTTTGTTTGGCCAAAAAACATGAAAGTTGCGAGAAGACCTTAAATTCACTCACAACTAATTTTACTTTTCACCACAATGACTCCGTAATTCCAAACCATATTAAAAATTTTTTATGGACCTATTTGATAGAAATGCGTATTTCTAAGAAGCGAAAGAACGCAGTCATCGGATAACGTTGCTAAAATCAATTATCGAAAATTTCTCGGAGACATGCTTCCCCTTCCGTTCGGAATGCCCGTCCAAAGAAGGTGAAAAATCGTCTCTGGCGACTCCTTACGTAGTGTGTACTACACACTGTGTAGATAAGGGATGCACCATTTGGCCCCAAGGCGAGGAGGAGTCTACTTCTTGTATCAGATAAGAAAAAAAGTAGGTCGCAGAAGAGCGCGGCTGGACGCTTCAGTTACGGTCCGTAATGAGAGAAGCTTATATTTCTGTTCTACTCAATTTGAGTGTAGCATCAGTCTCCAGATGTCCAAAAGGCGAAGAGTGGAATTACTGCGCTGTTAATAAAGATTGTGAGCCGAATTGCGAAGGAACTCATGAATATTATTGACAAGGAGTTCAAAACATGCCCCCGTAAATATAATTCCTGCAGTATTCTTTAGTAAGAACAGTTATTTTTGAACTCTTTTATGCGATCGTCAATGCCATCAGCGATGTCAATGTTCAGGAGGTCTCCTTCGAGATCTGAGTACTGGGCGCTGTCTAGAGGCACAGTACTGTCCAAGAAAGATCATCGCGCAACCAGAGTGTCCTGAAAACGAGGTTTGGAATGAGTGTGGGAATTTATGCGATGGAACTTGTGAGCAGCCCCAAAAGGAGTGCTCGAGAATCTGCGCTGAGGACGCATGCGCCTGTGCAAAGAATTACGTTCGCAACCATCTCGGAAATTGTGTCAGTTCGGAGACATGTCAGAAGGAATCGATCACTGTGTCGCCCGAGTGCCCTAAGAATGAATTCTGGAATGTATGTGGCAACTTGTGCGAAGGAACATGCGAACAGCCACTCATGGAATGCCCAAAAATATGCGCAGAGCCTGCATGTACGTGCAGAGCCGGTTTTGTCCGCAACGAAAATGGAATCTGTATTTCTGAGTTTAATTGCAAACCACGTATTCATTGTCCTATGAACTCAGTTTATAATGAGTGTGGTTCTCATTGTCCAGAGACATGCGAAACCTCTCGCGCTCCAGTTTTATGCGCGCTGAGCTGCAATCCGTCCTGCGAGTGTATTGAAGGTTATGTTTTGGACTCAAATGGCGAATGCATTGAAAAAGGACATGGTTATATTTCAAGAGAGTATTTTAGTTCTTCCCTTTTATTAAGACCTAATCAAAGATCTATGCTTCAAAACGAACCCAAAATGCCCGCCCAATTCGACTTTCAATGAATGTGGCACAAACTGTCCGCAAACGTGCGATACTTTTCTCTCTGGTCTCCCAGTTATGTGTAATTTCGGCTGTAATCCATCGTGTCAATGTGATCAAGGCTTTGTTCTTGACGAGAATAACAACTGTATAAAGCAAGGAATGGTTTCAATCAAGAATTTAACTTGTATTTAATCTTGAGGTTGAAACCAATTGAAGATGAATGCAGACGGAGCACGCCTGAATGTCCAAAATACTCAAGTTTTAACGAATGCGGAACAAACTGCCCCGAAACTTGTGAATCGTATCTGTCTGGGAATCCATTGATGTGTAATTTTGGTTGCAATCCATCTTGCCAGTGCGACAACGGCTTTGTTCTGGACGAGAATGAAAACTGCATTCCTAAAGAGTGGGCTTGAATTTTATAAAAATCATGAGATGTTCTCGAGATTATAAGCCACCAACAGACCAATGCCGACTTAGCTCTCCCGAATGTCCCGAAAATTCATCTTATAATACTTGTGGAACAAACTGTGAGGATACATGTGACTCGATCCTCAACGAATATCCTGTTATTTGTAATTTTGGATGCAATGAAGGTTGTTTTTGCAACGAAGGATTTGTCCGTCAACATATTGATGGAACGTGTGTCCCTGTGGAATCCTGTAATCGTGTTCCCAATTTAGTCACTGTCTGCGAAGAGAACAGGTCTTGGTCAGAATGCAAGGCGAGGATAGCAATTACCACGTGTTTGAAAATATTAATAAAGAAACAAAAATAACTCTCGTTTCAAAATATCCCGAAAAAGACGCAAAAGTATTGTGACGGTTTAATATCTGAAGATTTCCAGAAAGAAGAATTTTATACATTGGAGTGCAGCGCTGGCTGTCAATGCAATGCCGGGCTATATCAAAATAATCAAGGCAAATGTGTTTCTTATGAGGTGCATTTATTAACTATGAATTCCATTAAATTGATTTCAGGAATGTTTAACTGGCGTTGAGAGTGTATCTGATAGAGACAATGCCACCGAAAATCTGCAGTCATTATTTGAGTTTATTACGACGATAAGCAACGACTCAGATATTACCGAGGCTTTCAATCTTTTAGATCAGGAACAGGATTTTTAATGTAAATGTCACATACCGTATGTGGCGCAGAAAATCCCTGTCTTAGCTCGAGAACTTGTCGGCAAATGATACAGCCACTGTTGAGGGTCTTCTCTTGCCCCTAATTCAACTAAGTAACCGAACAGACAGTATCAGTCCTATCCAAATTCTCCCCTCCGTCGATGAACTTTACAATGCGACTGATTCTATTCACTACGGTTATTTTAATGATAGCAGCTCTAGCGCACCTGGCAATTATTCCGGTAATGGCTATGAAGAATATTTCCAACCTGGGTATTTTGATAAATTTGCGGATATTGGCGAAATTATTTCTTCCTTGGTAGAAGGTATCCCGGATTTCGATCCCTGTGAGAACTTTGGTCACTTCTTATGTGATCGAAGTTGCCTGAGAGAAGAACAATGTTTTCAAGATTGCATCAATGGACTTTGTGCTCTTCGAGAAATCGAAGCCTTTGAAGATATTACAGAAGAGCTCGTAGTAGAAAATCGAGTCCCTGTTGAAATATTCACACTCTTTACGGAGCTAAACGAAGTCTTTAGCAGATTCGAAAACCTGACTGACTTTTCTTTCGAGTGGATACGAGCGTTTATTACCAAGTGGGATCTCCGAGCCTGGCTCGAAGAGCATTTCTGTAATCATATTGGCAAGCGAATTACACTTGATGATGTTGAGCGAGCAACTAATCTCTCTTTGAAAGTGTCAACAGGCGATTTTGCAGCTATAAGTGAGCTCAGCAGTTTTTATGATGATATTCTCAGACGTCCTAACGACACTGCTTGCTATATAAATACTCAAGATTCAATGGCAAATTCAACAGATTATATTTTGGAAGGAAACCCTACGGACGAAGTATACGAATATGAAAACTTTGACCTTGAATCATTTTCAAAGGTCGAGACAATCATCACTAATTTGGCTGAAGGTATTCCAGATTTCAATCCTTGCGCACAGTTTGGCCATCGGATAAAAATAACTATTACCATTGTGTATAGTCAAAGCTTTATATTATAAAGTTTATATCATAAGAATCCTCTTTAATTGCTCTATCGATTTTTTATCCTATAGCAGCCAGTTTTTATGTGAAAGAAGCTGCGAAAAAGATATTGATTGCGTTGAACAATGCACTGCAGGGTTGTGTATACTCGAAGAAATCGACTTTTCGGAAATCAGCGAAGACATGGTCCAGGAAAATAACGTTCCGCTGGATATATTTGGCCTGTTTACTGACTTCTTCAATATCTATAGCAACTTTGGGAATGCTGAAAGCATCGATTTCAACGAAGTAAAAGTGTTTTTGTCAAAGTGGGAACTTGTTGATTGGCTTGAGCAACACTTTTGCAATTTTACCCGCAAAAATATATCTATCGATGATATTGAGCAAGTCACAACATTATCAGTGAAAGTTTCAACTGGAGATTTCACAGCGATACCCATTCTAGTGAGCTTATACGAAGAAGTATTAGCACGTCCAGATGCTCCTTCATGCCTTCCAGAGGTCGATGAAAACATAGAAGAACATTTATTTTCTCCGGGAAAAAGTACAACTGAAAAAATAGCCAAACAGACGGTTGACGACAAATCTGCTTCACAAGACGATTCCGAAGCTTATGCAGAGGCTGTTAGCTGCCAAAACAAGTACGAGCTATTCGTCGACTGTGGACCCAAACAAGAATGTCGGATAACTTGCGAAACCTACTACACGGGCATAAACAGTGAATGTGATGAATATGCTTGCGTCCCTGGTTAGTCTCCCTTGTTTGCTTATTTTCTAAAATAATGTCTTTAGGATGTATTTGCCCTTATGGATGGTTGCTGAACGAAACACAAGAAAAATGCGTGAGGGATCCTCGCCAGTGCTCAATCCCATACCATTTATACATGCCTTACGTCTGAAAAATACCTATCATTTAATAAAGTATTATAATCTACTAAGAAAATACCTAATCTTATAGTCGCCCTCGAAGGACTGAAAATAGATTTGGCCCAACAAGTCAAGACAATATTATCAAGTGACTATGACATCAGTACTGTGATTGCTGCGAGACATCTCTTCTCAACCGACAATCAAGAATTCATATCAGAGTTGTTGTGTATTGATAAGTTCTGATGTCCTTCAGATAGAAAAAAAATTGGAATGATCATGTTTTGAGAACATTAGGTCTTTTCCTCTCAGATCAGAAATATACAAATTCTACTTAACGCCGAAACGCACAGCGACCAATTAATTGGTACATTGCCCTTCAGTGCCATTTCAACACATTTGGAAATTCGCATGTTTACTGATATTTATGTAATGATATCGGTATAGTATGGGGATAAAATTGAAGCTAAGCGTCTGAGAATTATTAATCTGTATCATTTATACAGTGAGCTAATCAGTTTCATTGTTAAAAAGGGGTAAATGGGGAATACCAATTAATTGGTACGATCTGCGTTCGACGTTGAAAAAATTTTATGCGTTCTGGCGTTAATGTACATGTAATATTAGAGGCTGAAAGTAAGGAAAAGAAATTCCCTGAACTTTTTCATAAGAATTATCAGTCCGAGTAGATTTTTTTGAATTTTATTAAGTAAAATTTAAATCGAGGATGAAAGCATTGAAAGTATGAAAGGAAGAAGTAGAAAATCACAATGAAAATGTAGAATGCGAAAATGTAACGCGTCGCGAAACGATTTTTTTGGTTTCTTAGGAAGGCTGTTGAATAATATGAATTAAAAGAATAGCTCAGATAACAGAATATAACAAAAAAGAAAGAAGGAACTCAAAATTCAATGGTTCGCATGCCAAGAGTGATGTTGAGTTTTCTGAGGCCTTCTTTGTTTCGATGTTGACAATAACTTGACTAAAAGGAAGTTAGAAAGATTCTTCCAAACGCGTCAGAATTATTTTACTGCGCGAAGTTTGGCTATTTTTAACTCACCATAATTGGTACACGGGGCTCGGAGGTCTTAGCAACATCAGTGACAGAACTGGTTACCTTTAAATATAACTTGCAAGTTCATAAATTTCAAATGATCAAACCTGTTGGTTCTCGGCTTCCATGATTTTCTGACGAGGGGGATCTTCTCTGTATTTTATGTGAAAGAATAGCGGGGTACACCGATGCTTTTGTTGTCGGAAATCAATTGAATCCGGCTTAAATATTTACCAATCTGGGCTGGGCAATGTTCTGCTCGATGCAAATAATTAAGTGGATCACTCGTAGCGGAGAGTGAAATAGACGCAAAAAGAGTGGACGGGGTAGGGTACGGGTCTTGGTTTTAACACTTTTGCTCACCCTTGAACGAGACGAGAAGCTCAAAAACTTGAAAACAGTTTCCCAAAAATAGGAATGCCCTGGCAAGTCGAAGCCCTTTCGTTAAATAATGCCGCTTGGCCAGCAGTGGTGAGTTTGGAGCTGCCTCCTATGGAGAGCGATAGCGCCTAGCAAAGCAGAATACATCCCCCGACCGACCGATTCGATGGTCATACAGACATTGTATCAACACAGATAACTCACCAGCACGATTAAACTTGCAAGGTCAGCTGTTTTTGAGCGCATTTCGACAGTGGCTTCTACTAATTTGCAAAGTAGTAAGATAGATTAAAATTGCCACAAGTATACATCCTTGACCTTATAGTTATCTGCGAAGGTAGCACCCACAAAGTAACTGCATAATCTTCAAGATGCTAGAGTGGCCGCGCAAGTCCAACTTGAAAACACTTACGGATAGGGATATTTCCATAAAGCCAGTTGGCGACTACCAGGTCAAAGGTCAACCATGATCCCTGAAACCAGGTCGAATACTGGAAATTGTAGTATATCATCCGATAGGCTTATCGGATTGGCTTGATTTATATAACGTGAAAGCTATTATTAAAAGTCAAGGCACGATGGTTCATTCCCTACTTCGAAATGTTGTTGTTGATATCATGCTCTGAATGCATGGTGCAAAAATTTGAAGAGATTTCACAATTTCTGTTCTGATTTTTGTCTGTGAGAAAAATGAATTCTCCAATAAAATATGTCAAACAAAAAAATTTTGCAACCGCCCTTTAGAATGCTTCTAAAGCGGCGTGCTACCCTATCATGGCAATAAATTTCGCCCCATAAAAAGCCCGTCGGAGATTTTGCTAAACGGAATTTAAAAGCCCTACTGCTGTAGCGTGAAAAATAACGCCCTCATCAATGCATAAATTATTAATGCAAATTTAGGTTTTTCAATATTTTATTTGGTAGTGAGTGGCGCTTGATACGCAGTGATAATAGATAAAATAATTAATGTAGGGCTTTTGAATGGAGCATTGATAAGGACAGTGGGAGACTGTTATCAGCGAAGAAAAGTATTTCGTTAATCTATCCATAAAAATATCGTTTTTAAGTATTTTTTTCGCTTATAAGTTAGACTCAAGTAATCGTGTGAATTAGTCTAGACCAACTTTTGATCTATAAAGTGAACATAACGAAAAAAGGCACGGAAATTTATCATTGTCTAAATGCCGAGCTTTTTAATCGCCGAAAAATTCCTTGATGTCAATAGGGTCTTCTTCGTCTTCGGAGAAAGTCGCCTTGAACCTGAATCGAAAAATAAAATTGTGCTACTCAACTCTTTCATACTTTCTTAGGTTCTCTTTGCCAGTCACATATTGACAGAGTTCTCGTCTGTTCTTTTCGGTGATCCGCATAATCGTTCGTTGGCATTCGTCTCTACAGTTCGTCATCAAGCGGAGTTTTTGTTCTTCGGAGGCACCAACTTCCCGTCCGAGCCGTTCAACTTCATTTTTGAAGAGAGCAAATGGTTGTCTCCAACATCTTTCGAAGTCCAGATCAGGAGGGGGAGGCTCTACTCGTTTCTTCTTCGATCTGCCTGAACAGAGATTTAAATCTTTGTCTTCGTTTTAGTTTTACCATTTGGCTTCTCTTCGAATTCATCTTTAATTACTATTGCTTTGCTTGTGCGTTTTTTTCTCGGCATTCTTTCGAAAAATGTAATTTTACTCGCATTCCTTCGTACCAAACTGACAGTTTATACAGCGGTATCCCGCTGAGAGGCAATCAGATTGTAAGAAATACGCCACAGCACCTGCCTAATACTAATGGTATGATTAGGATCTAACTATCCGCTGCTAATATGGTGATAAATTCGTGCATAACCAAGATGCGGACTAGAGAAATATGTAGAGAGTCTATTTTGATAAAAAAAAGCTCCTATGCTTCCATTTTTGGTTCATTTTTTATTCGTAAACAAATTTCAGTAAATACTTTTTGCTGGCCACAATAAAACATATAATTGAACTCACGTGGCTTCGATACGATGTATAGGAGGAATGAACGTTAGAGGAGTGAGCAGAGTAAAAAAATACGAACAGCACTAGTTCTGTAAGTAGCTTAATACTTTTTGTTCGGGAATTTGCGGAGAATCGGGAGAATGAATGGTCCAATCTGACAAAAGAGAAAAGGACAACTTAAAACAATTGCTGATGAAATTTACTAATTAGGGAATCTAATTAAAAGGCACTTGGATATTTTGACTCAAACACAAATAGAAACGAGAACTTCAATCAACTAAGTTTCGCCGTGAAATCTAAAACGGTGACTTTCGAACGTAAAAGGCGTCAGTGATTGCTTTTACTCGCTTCAGAGTTAAATATTTTGTTCGTCGCACTTGAGATGCAGTTTTTAATTCTAAAATCTACGAGTAGATATAATTGTAGACTCAGGATGCATTAATTACGATGTGAGATACTTCTATAAGAAATGGGTTTCATACAGAATAATTTTTTCAGACAAATCGAGGTTTGTTTTCATAGCAATAAAAAAATACTTAAAATAATAATTTCATTTATTAATAATTTTAAAATCAGAGAAAAATGGGGCAGAAGAAGTGAGTTTCCTCCGCGAGAAGGATTTTGATATTAGTAAGCTGACCAAAGATTGAGAGAAACGGTGCTCAGTTCCCAAAGAAGGTGAGTGCACTGTTGGTGGAGACTTGGGAAGAAACGGAAAGAAGGAGCAGCAAGTATGATCAAGTTGGGAAGGCACTCGCACAGTTCCAGTCAGCCCTTCTTAATTGAAGGGCTTGGAGAAGGAGAGGAGACCAATGAAGAGGGGTAAATTTTGTGGTAGAATAATAATTTTGCGGCACTCACACCTTCGATACTTTTTTATATAAATCTTTGAGTCCTTTGACTAAAACAGACGGTTAGACAGGTTCTGTTGAAACTGCACTTACTATTGTTTTCTTTCATATAATTCCAAACTTTGCACTCTTCATCAGAATGCGAAAATTGACAAACTTCCCTGAACAGAAAAGTAAGCATGAAAGAAGGGAACGCTCTGGACTTACCCATAATCACACCGACTTTTATCGCGAATATTTTTACAAACGACGAATGTGGAAGGTAAATTTGCATTATTTTTATTGAACACCGTTAATAAATCTCTCACTAGCGACCATTTTTCTGAAATAAAGGTGTCCGACAAGCGTAAGTTTACGGCTTCTTACCAATATAGACGTATAATAAGGGGTCCCTCCAACTGTGAGAATTTCGTGGAAGAGAACAGTAATTAGTTTTTCCTAAAATTTAAATCATCGGCCGAAGTTGTGCGCGCTTTACCTTTTCGTTCTACAGTTTGCCCGTTTTTGTGGCAGCTCGAACAGATCCACTTGTGCTTGAAATTAAAGGTAGAAGAAAAGGGAGCAGGGGAGCCCGAATTGGGCGACTGAAGGCTGTTTGCGGTGGCTAAAATCTCATCAGGCAAAACTCCGTGTGATACGAAAATTCTCCACGCATCCAATTCGACCATACTGAATTTATCGTTCATGGAAATCCACTGCTGCAGTAGCTTGTTTGTACCTGTGCGCAAAATAACAGTGATCGCCGCGGTTACATCTATTTGTGCTCGAGTAGCGACAAAGTTCCATAGTTTTACCATCGGGTGTGTCCCGAATGATATTTGGCCGCTGACCCATATTTGACTGATAGTAGAGCTATACCAATTAATTAAATGTTTGCGTTTTCCCTTTTGTTCTTACCGTTTCTTCGGTACAATTACAGGCACTAGGATCGTCGAGATGTGAACCGTTGCAGGTGAAGAAGAAGCCACTGTATTGGCGGAGGAAATGAGCGATAGGATCCACAACGGGGTCGGTGAAGAGACGAGTTCGGTTGAAAAGGCCGCGTCGTTCATAAGACCAAATTTCTTTCTCTTCTTCGTTATAGCAAAATGTACAAGCGTCGTTATATGGACACGCCTCGTTCTAAAACGCGGCTCCCTGAGACACTGCAGCTGCCATAATCGTCTACCTGTGATATGTGTCTGCAAAGAAGAAAAGGACCACGATAATCTATATGATGAGGCATATTACGCACGCGTTTCCAAATTTTAGAGTCATTAGAGCGGACAACTAAGACATTCTTCGCGCACTGATGTCCAGGAGGAGGGAGATGGTCGAATCCATCAAATCCAACCTACGAGAAGATAGTCAAGCGCTTTTCCCTTGAAAGTGAATACCCTTCGTTGAAGGAAACAGACAGAGCAAATTCTTGCGAATTTAAAGCCCTGCGCAAGTTTTTCGTTTAAAATTCCAGTCTGCTCGGCCTGGATGAGTTCGTGGCCTTGAAGGTGATCGCTAGAATCGCGACGAGAAAGCTCAGCAACGGTGGCGGCGATCTTCTCTCTCGAGTCGGCTTTAATAGCAGGAGAGGCTAAAAAAATTAGCAAAGGAATTGAGCAAAGATGTAAGTTACGTTTTTCAGATGATGCGGTATTATTAGAGGCGATAACATCCTTCAAAGTTTTTGGAGGTGGTGGATGATGATATGGTGGCGTCGTAGAAGGCGGCGATTCTCGAGCAGCACCGTAGTTTTCGATATTCCACTTTTGTTCCGAAAGTCTTTTCTTCGCGTCTTTTATGTCTTCCGTGAAATCAAGTTCATCCGGATCGTCTGAAGCGAGTAAGCTTTCTACTCGGCGTCGTAAATTGTCGCCGATGAAATTCACATTCGACAAATCTTCTAAAATCGGCAGTTAGCGATTGATGATGCGGTAAGCTTGCCTGTGCTCCCTTCATCTGCCATATTCAGTCCCCATTGATCATGCTTTTGCTTCGGCCGATCCTGGCCAATAGAACCGGGTGAGGGAAAGCCAGATCCAGCTGGCCGGTTACTCATCGGTCCAATTGGCTTAACCGGGCGATTGGAGTTGGGCGACCCTATCGAAGAAGAAGTCCCCGAATCCCACGATGATTTGCCTCGTTTCTCGACAGGAGCAGAATAAGATGTGTTGCCATTTGAAAAGCCGTCAAAATCGTGTGCAGAAGGAAATACTGACATACTTTCTCCGTCGCTCTTGTTGTTCTAAACATTCGTTGTCTATTTCTATGTTTAAAGTTCATTAATACTTGAGTATACGAGATAGGGGATATATCAAATCGACTTGCCATGTGCTTCAAGTTTGGAGCAAGGAAACTAGACTCGCCGAGAGTTGGCGACATGGGCGAGTGATGCTTGAAAGATTCGGCAGCGCGTTTCCCATATTGTTCTTTCAACATTTTCTGCTCAGGAGTCAGACGAATTCCAAATTTTTCTAGTTGAAGAACGATCATATCAAGCGTCTGCGGGGTCTGCGGTAGGGGCGCTTCAAACTGTCCTTTTTAGACGATTAGAAAAATAATGAACTTCCATTCAACGAACAATATTATCATATTAGCTACTAATTGTTCTTTCATCGCATTCCTGTAGTCCCGTTTAAATCATGATGATTAGGTGGGACAGGGCTGGCCCATGGAAGAGTGGAGCTTTTACTGGTGAAAAGATCTCGCGGTGGGACACTCTGGGGCGATTGCCTGTGCTTTGGCCAGCTTGCGCCGATGGCATTGGAGGGACTGGGCGAACTAGACGGCGAGTAAGCACTGGTGCCATTCATCAAGCCCAAATCAGAGGAGAGCGTCCTTTCTGTCAACGAGGAAATGCCAAATGGGTTGAATGCGGAAAGTCCATGTGCGGAGAGACCTAAATCCGCTATAAATGCTTCTTGTTTTTATTCCGATCATTTACCAGGCACAAGAGCGGGCTTCGCTGTGTTGAGAGGCGTTAATAAAGTGTTTTCTTCACGATCCATTTTGTTCCTTTTCTTTAGTCTCAGTACATCTAAATAAGAAACGCGTTAGAATCGGAGCGTTTTCAGTCGCAAAATCAAACAGAAACGAACAGTCAATCCCTCTCGAGTTTTCTTTTCAAGGCAGCGATCGCTTCTACGTTTGCTGGCTGTCCAATAAGTCTGCCAAAGTTTCTCTTGAATCGTGGTCGTGAAATTTTCTCGTCTAGCGCAAATGCAAAATGCAATAAAATTCACTCCCCTTTCCCTTTTCTTCGCCAAATGCATCATCAAGGGAAAGCTAAATAAATTATTATTTCATCAGTGAGTAGCCAGCCCACCGTAACAGCATTTCTGGCATTAGACTTCATCACACGAATAACATTTCTAATGAGAGTCTGCAATAACTAACGGCTTCATTAATTATCCAGCTAAAGTCAAAATAAAAGTATCAGACTCGGAGACCCCTTCCCTATCCACTGAAGACAAGTGTCTTTCTGACCATTCTGGATTTTAGGATTAAAAGTGTTGCTTCTCTAGATAGATGTTACGTCAATACTGTCTATCACGTGATGTACTTTATTTCGATTCTGTGGGCCAATTTCAATAAGGAATCCAAATTCCAAATCCTAACCCCCCATGTTTTTGTGCTCGTTGGAAAGAGCGGAAAAAGTTACGTCAGAAAAAAATAGTTTTAGAGGCTGAGTCATCATTGATGACGTCATGGCGGCTGGTTGAAGTTCCAAAAGTCCCAAAAGTTTGATACGCTCTCATTTTTTTTCCACAAATGGAAAATTTGAGTTCAATACTGGAAAATGATCGCCTTGACCTACTCTAGGTGAAGAGCTATATATGAAAGATCAAACTCTAGATCATTTAAGGTCATCCGGGGTCATTTGAGGTCACAAATCAAAATAAAATTTTGCGCATTTTTCTATTTTTGAGAAATTCTGCGCATTTCTCGGGGTAGATTTATGCTTTGCTCCAGGCGAAACCTGATGATTCATTTTGCGCAAGCCGCCGACCAATAATGCGCGCTGATAAGAGCGGACATTGCTCGCATTTCGAAGAGTCAGATCACTATTGAGGACAATTCGACAGAGAAAATTTTGCGCAAATTTATTTTTCCTTTTTATATTTTTATTCTGTTATTTAATTATCAGAGATAGTTATTAAAATGTTATAGAATGCTTGAATACCCTTTTGAAAATGATGAGTCGCTGAGAAAATTTACTCTTCATCGGGACATAAACAAATCCACAAGGCTCTATCATAAATGCTTTTTATGCAACGATAACATAGGAAGTTCTAAAGAGAAAGTCACTCGTGCGCGAAAATTAAGAGTCAGAACACACTACAATCAATGCATCGCAGTTGCTGATATCTTCGGCAGATTGGAGGAAGTCCATTCGAAGAAGCAAGTGTTAGAGAATCACGCGTCGTTTCAACTTGGTCCTGACTGCTCGTTTTGCGCTGAAAAGAATTTCAAGGATTCCGATGAGCTTCTTCTTCACTATCTTTTCTGTGATCCGGCAACAGAAATTATAGAAGAAAGCAAAAGAAATTCGCAAGAGCAAGCTGAGTCCCAACAGAGCCTTCGCGACGGACTGGAAGGTAAACTGAAAACTTTGCGCATTTTTTTAAAACGCGCAAAATTTTTGTTACAGCGATTTTTCGGAGTCTCAGAAATTCAAAATTAACTTAGGAGTCGAAATTGATCATGACGCTGGTCATCAGAGTTCCTCAACAAACAGCTCACAATCAACAGATGGGTCGAGTGTCTCTAAGCCGAGTGATCCTTCTGATGACGAATATGCTCGCGAAGAAAGCTTAAATGAAACTCGGGAGTCGATTGAGAACATGGTGAAACGAATGCGCAAAATTAAGGACAAGGAATTCGGCGAAGCTTCAGCAGAACTGAGCAAAGCAATGTTAGCTATTTACAACGAACGAAAAAGTGAAGTCCCGGAGAACAGCTTCAACTCAAATTTTGCGCAACATTGGTTCCACATCCCCCACAAGATGAAAATTCAAGCTTTAGCGTGCGTGCTTCCCGAGTCATTCATGTTTGGCGTTGATCGAAAAACTCAAAACCGATTCGTTAAATTCTTCAATAATCTATCAGAGCCTTTTAAAGAGCCAAAACATCCTCAGACCATGACAGTTCATCACATCGAAGAGGCGCTTCTTCTGAAAGAAAAACAGATATATGAAATTGCCGATGAAGAAGCAGACCAACACGGAAAAATAATGCGCGGAGTCACCGATGAAGATATCTCTTCTGTCCTTCAGTACTTATATTTCCACTCCGATGAAGCGCCGGAGACGGATATATTTGAGTTCTATGAGCAGCGTCTCCGGAAGAAAACATCGGAAAACTTCTTTCGCGTCTTCATGTCAGAAGAAAACCACAAGCTTTACTCAGTAGTACAGTTTGAAGTTGCAAGTCCAGAAGAAGCCGATGACAACAACGACGAGAACAATCAACCGCCGCTCGATGAAGACGCGCAAAATTTTGCTCAAAGAGAGCCAGAAGATGAGCCGATCGATGATTACGCGCAAAATTTTGCGCAAAGAGAGCCAGAGGATGAGGCGTTGGATGAAGACGCGCAAAATTTTGCGCATGAAGAGCCAGAAGATGAGCGGCAAAACCTTGCGGAAGACGAGCCGGGAGCAGAAGCGGAAGAGCCAGGAAATGCGCAAAATTATTCAAAGCCTGTCAAAAAGAAATTTCGCTGCGATCGGAGGTTAGCGCACAACAAATTCTCTTTGCTTTGCGAAGAATTCAACAAGGAGAGATGCAGAGACGGAAAGCCTCAAATCTCTGCATTTCAGTTCAAACAGCTCATTCCGCCTCTTTTTGTTGAACCAAAAGTCAAAGATGAATATTCGTGCTTATGCGCACCCTGTTTTTCTTTGCGAAACACATTGTCTAGAGGTAAAGATATTGAATTTTTAAGCAAAATTTCCATAATTGATTTTAAGTTGCCGATCTCTTATTCCTTCTGAAGATCACGGAACGCAATCTTTCAATTGAGGAAGTCATCGTATTCCTCATGGAGGTTAAAGGCTGTGACGATCCGCTGTATCCTTCATTAGGAGTGTTCGATGATGCTTGCGCAAAATTTAGCTGCTCTCATGGTCCCAACTCAAAAGCCGAAATCAACGTTGCGCTTTCAGAAAAATATAAGAAGATCAAAGACATCATGGAAGACACGTCAACCGATGTCTTGCCGAAGTTTTATGTCAAAGTGATGGCTGATCTTGCAAGGAAAAGAGACAATGAGAGGAGAATTCTCAAAAACATTGCGCAAACCAAAACACTTTCCGCAAAAGTTTGTAATGAAAAAATGCGCAAAATTTTATTCGATTTCAGGAACTACTGATTGAGGCTGCGCAACGTTGCAAGAACGATCTTTTTCATCATAATGAGACGCGACATACAGGCCATCTTTGCACAAAATTGAGACGCGGAATAATCCATCCTCCAACCGCTTTGATCTGTGAATGCGATTTCAGTGGAGAATACAGTGCCGGGAAAACTGGTGGAACGGTCACCCAAAATGTGAATTCGCCCTCCATCTTTGCGCAAAATTATGATTTTTTAGAACGCGCTTCGCGGTAACAACGACGAGCTTGTCATCCATTGTTTCACCATTTGGGGATATTTTATGCTCGATGGTAAACTAACGAGAAGAAGATTCAATTCCTGCTTGATGTATTGGAAAGACGACAGCAATGCTTATTCGAAAAAGGGCGGACATATTGTAAAGCTTCACTTCCAGAAATGCTTAAAATACATCGAGGACAATGAAGTTTTCGAGGGCTACGAACGTGCGATTCTCATGAGCGACCAGGCTGTCGTAAGTTTTGTTATTCAAAAATTTGCGCAGAATAAAAATCTGCGCAAAATTATAATTTTGCGCGTAATGAAGAATTCGGCGCAGTTTGTTTACATCATATGTAGGATTATCGATCGTGGAAAGTACTTTCTGATGTGTCTGACGAGGATGGATGGGGCCTTCCCGTATGCAAAGTTTTCAAACAAAGTCGCCACGGGAAAAGCACGGTAAGGGATCAACACATTCCTCTATTTATTGAACTTGATCGAAGATCGATGGTGTTGGAGGGCATGCGAAAACAATGATGAAGCGCGACGAGCTCAATGGGAAATGTATTCCTGCTATTGGCCTCGGCGATTATCTTCCTTCTCTCGGTGAACGACTGACTGCTAACATGGTCGATCCGAATGGCATCTTTCATTGCTTTGCTCATATCCCGCTTCCAACAGACTTGCGCATTATGATGGTACATGACAATCTCTTTATGAATATGGGAAAGCTTTCGAAAAAGGGCAGCGACGGATCGAAAATAATTACTGGACAAAGAAGTATCCGTATGATCAAGGCAAAGGTCGAAGAAAAGCGATCCGGCAGCTACTACTTGTATAATATAAGCAATACTGTCTGTCCAGATTTATGCGATTCTTGTCTCTTCTCTGCTGCAGACTTCTGTTCAAAATGCGTTTCCTACGAAATCTCCGGCAATCAGGCCGAGTTTCACCCACTTGAATAAATACTCTTACCTAGATTTTTGCGCGCATTTTTTGTTAAAAAGTCAAAAATGCGCAAAATTTTATTTTGATTTGTGACCTCAAATGACCCCGGATGACCTTGAATGATCATTTTTGTGACCAGGAAACAAATTTAAATGCTTTATTTCATTATTTGGAAGTATTCTATTGCAATTCAACATTTTTAGGTTGAAATTTTGAAAAAATCGAAAAAAAAAATTTTTTTTCTAGAGTTGGATATTTCATATATAGCTCTTCACCTAGAGTAGGTCAAGGCGATCATTTTCCAGTATTGAACTCAAATTTTCCATTTGTGGAAAAAAAAATGAGAGCGTATCAAACTTTTGGGACTTTTGGAACTTCAACCAGCCGCCATGACGTCATCAATGATGACTCAGCCTCTAAAACTATTTTTTTCTGACGTAACTTTTTACGCTCTTTCCAACGAGCACAAAAACATGGGGGGTTAGGATTTGGAATTTGGATTCCTTATTGAAATTGGCCGTGACTAAAATATGATCCAGCCCGGCGCTAGGCTATGAACTCGAAAGTTGATTTATAATTAAATACCTTTGCGACAAGTAGAGCCCGTGAGAGAACAGTAAAAAAAGAACGAACAGAGTAGCCCTCCAAGAAAACTAAATCGATTCTAGAAAGCCTTTCGGGTCATTGGAAAAACATAATTTAATCCTTGACTTCAATATCTTCGATAATCTCTGGGACACAAAAGCCAATATCAACTAATTCCTGTGCGTTGAAGACTTTGGCGGTGCTGAGCATGTATAGCGCGTTCTGAGCGCCGACCAGCCTGTTAATCATGATTCATAGCTGAGCTCTCTTTCTGTCGATCAGGCTGACTTGTTGATCGGTGAAATACTCTTAACTAAAGAAAAATTCAATTTAGAAAATGTATAATTCATCAAGCTCCAAGTCAGTGTTTCTAAGTGGCTGACTGAATCATTAATGATTGAACACGGAACCTAACAAGACGAGTAGCACCAGCCCAGCCTGGCTGTGAACACGAATCTCTACCGAACACTCCGATGCAACATTTCTAATTCGCCGGAGAAAGAAAAATGTCTGGCGCGGTTTAATATCCGAGTGTCTGCTGATAGTCTCACTCTTGCCTAAATGAATTCAGAAGAGGGCAGACAAGACAGTCTAAGCTTATTCTTGCGCCGTCATTAATTGTAAACAAAGATAACTACAATTATTAACTGATTCCACGAAAAAAGGGATATAAAAACACACGAAAATTTCGAAAATTGAGATTCGCTCCTGAAGGGCGAGGTTCTTGTGAACAGTGGCCAACTAAAGCATCAGTTTTCAAAGATGTTTTAATCGAACGTTAAATGAAACCTTTGCTTCTGGAGCGGCTATTCTCAAATCGGTGGCTGTTGGGGCGTTTCGGAAAAGTTGCCTTCTCTATTTTCGCGTTAATGTTTTTGTCTTATGTCTGGTCGAGTTCCAGGGAGGTACTCGACTCTATCCAAACGTTCCCTGTCGCTAACTCAGAGCCGCCCCCGAATGCTGGACCATTAATAAAAGAAACTGTGAGTTGATTGTCATTCGAATACAACCGATTCGTTGCCGCATGCATAAATTGAGCCATTTTAACGCCATCTTCTGGGGTACTTAATAAAAAGATTCGCAAGGGATGAACTTTCGAAGCCTTGCCCGAATTCCGAAAGGCAACTTTACAAAAGGTTTCATTTTAGCCGTTTTTGCGCTGCTAGATCAGTTCTACAAAAATTGACTCTGAAAATAGTAACTGTGCTAAATCAGGGCTAGTACGTAATTATTCAAGCTCACGTGAAAATCGACTGCCTAGACTAGTGCCGAGTAGTTTCATTTTAAGGGAGTGTTTTTTGTGATAATCCCATTTTTTTAAATAAAAACTGAGAAACGGATAAATAAATTTACTCGATTTGAAAATAATGGAAAAACCGTTGTGAATAAAATCGGATTAAAAAATTCTACCGCGAAATTCATCTTCAATAAAGCAAAAAAAAAAAAAATATCAACTGCCCGGTGGGTTGGCTGATTCGACTGCCCTAGAAACCGTTTCTTAAGTCGGATCCAGCACAAAATGCTTTTCCTTCTCCAGTGAGGACGATGCCAGTTCCGTCGAATTTGTCCACCTCGTCGAGTACTCGCGCCAAATCGAGCATCATACTTTTCGGGTTCCATTTTTTAATTTCTTCCAGAGCAGAATTCTTCGTTCGAACCCATTCCTGCCAGTGAGAGCGTTGAATTTCTTCGGGTTGTTAATCCTGAATCGAAAGCAATTGAAAAGACTGAAAAAGGGGTTGTCTAAGAACCTGATGTAACCGATGTTCTTGTTGACTTGGAAGTCGACCGATCCTCCCTTGAGCTTTTCAAGTCGCGCTTCGACCGAACTACAAGCTGATCTGCTGCTCGCTCGAGATGTCAGACGAAACATTCTAAGAAGCGAAAACATGGAAATTGAAAAGTTGGCAAAATGAGTACTGTTTTTTAAAAATAATTTTGAAACCGTGTTCAACGAATGTGTCGCTTTCTGTAGAGTAATTTGGCAAAAAACTGTCTCTGAAATGGAAATGTTGGTTTTAGTTTTTTTCAACGCCCATCGCAGATAGAAATTCGCAAATATTTGCGCAGTCGAAAAATGGCATTCATTGGAAGCGTATTCATGCTTCTTTCTTTACTCAAATTTGAATTCGTCAAAGTTCAAAATCTAAAATCTATCAAAAAGAAAAGCGCTCTTTTGTTCGTTTCAAAGATGATCTCTTTTGTCTCCGAAACTCGACTTCGTAAAAACGAAAAGTGAAAATTCGAGTCGTTAGTTTTTCCAAAGCAGCGAATCAAATCATTTCATTTGAAAATCCGATGTGTTCGGATATAACTTATTTTGAATTTTCTAATTTTTGCAAAACAGCGGTTTGGCTCGAAACGGCTCGAAATCGCGAGCTCAAGTCAATAAAAGCCGAGGTCTTTTTTGGGAGGTTTCAGAGTCTGAAATTCAGACTTTGAATAGACGAAGGAAAAATGGGCGATGAACAAAGCAAAAGACAGAGTTTACAATTGAATTTACAGTAACTACGGAAGAGATTATCCTTAGCTGGTTAATGAATTAGGTACTTCGTAAGTTAAATAAATTATATAGAAAATTTTAAGATTTCAAGAAAAAGCTAATTGCAGGGACACTAGTGGCAAAATTGTTCTGTAGATAGTGTGAATGTTCTCAGGGAAAAGGAAAAGGGAAGGTCAATTGGAGTTGGCTTCGAGCGGCGCGCGATTGGCCTAGCGCGCTCTTGGCCATTAGCGCTCGACTTGAGCAAAGCGCAAAACGCGCCTTTTCCAGAAAATCGAAAAAAAGCGAAACTAAAGCGAGCAACAACTAGAGATTCTAGAGAACAAATAGAAGATTAACTTTAGTAAATCTACAATTACTAGCTTGTAGACTCTCTCTCTCAGCAAAGAAGAATCGAAGAATAAAGGTAAGCTTTGTTTCAAAGAGATTTTGACTTTCTAGAATTAAATTTCTTGAATTTGTATGTTCGATGAGAATATGATAAGGTAGCATGAATCAGATAAATATAGAAGAAATGAGCGATTCTATAACGGAAATGCTAAACGAAGGTTAAATTAATAGTGATGGGTTTCGTTGTGGAATTAATCTGGACTGGGAGTAGATTTTTAGTGCACCTTCACCTCATATTCGATCAGCGAAAGATCCGCTTCTCTTTCTCTTCAAATTCTACGAATTTAACGGATTTCTAGTCGCGTTTCCAAACGAAGAGGAACAGATGCGAACACGCTCGCAACGAAGATCTCTGGAAGCATCTTCTCAATCCGAACAACCGCAGTCGGAACAGATCGCCGCCGCTGCTCCAGTTTCTCAAGGTTTGTCTGAATTATCTCGGCTTCTCTAGCGCGCTCTTTTAACAAATGAACAATAATTTGGCAAACATTACGACCATGAGATTAAGCCGCTCTTTTTTACTCTAGCGAAGGTGACGCTACTCGATCTTTCCCTTTTTTATTCTTCAACAATTGTCAATTGCCAATCGATTTAGATGAAGCAGAAGTTGTTCCGCCAGTAGAACAACCTCGTCAAATGGCAACCAAATCAGTTTCCGCAAGGAACAGAACGAAAGTAAACAAAAAGCAAATCCTGGACCTGGACGCAATTGACAGTCCCTCCACCTCCTCGTGCAACTCCTCGGCAAACTCCTCAGGCATAATTTGGTATTTTTTCTCTTTAGTGTCGCTCGTTTAAACTAATTTTTCTTTTTAGCATTTCCGACTCGGAAGAATCAGGAGAACTGCCCGTTTGCGTCGACCTTACAAATACCAATAACAAGAATCAACGAGCGAAAAAGCGCCCGAGCCTCAGCCAAACCGTCATTTCGATCGACGACAGCGATGAAGAAGAAGACCGTGCTCCTGCTGCTAACGGCGGTCGACAGAACGAGCCGCAAAAAAGTACGTTTTGGAATTATTTTAGAAACGGGCTTCGAAATTAGTTCTTTTTCTTTCGTAAGTAAGTTAAAAAAGAGCTTCTATTTTCATCGAGAGCGTTTCGAAGTCATATAAGCGGGGTTCACGTTTTCGGGGGTTATCTTCCTCGAACTCTATTTAACCCTCATTTATCGATGAGCAGTGCCAGTACTGACCTTCCTCAGCAAAGTAAGAACCGTGTCAAATTCGCTCATTTTTTGCTCGAGATTTTCAAACTCGATTATGAAGTAACGAACAATCAATAGTATTTTATTTTCATGCCGTTTTCTTCTTTTGGACGGATTTGGGTAATTCATCAATCAATTTTAGAACCGAGTCCGAAAGCACCCGTGAAAGCAGCTAGAAAGCGACCAAAGATAGTTCTGAAAGAACTGATTCCGCTGACGAACCAGCCCGATTCAAGGAACGCTCCTCCGCCGCCACCAGCAGACATTGGCTTCTCCTGCAACATTTGCATGGAAACGATGGCCGAAATCAGAAGCAGCGGCAAAAAGGTATTTTTTTTGCTCAAAGTTTCTTTTCAATTTCGCTTCTTTTTAGATAGTGACGACTCCCTGCGGACATCCGTTTTGCAGGCCGTGTCTGGAGATGGCTGCATGCTCCGTGTACGGAAGAATGCCGGGCCCGAACCAAGTCGTCAACCATTGCCCCAAGTGCCGAAAGAAATACTCCCTTCGGCAGTTGATCGAACTCTTTGTGTAATTTTTTTCCTGACACATTTTTGGATATTTTCTGCGTCTTTTTTCTAAATCTCATTAAATCCTATTCACCCTCAGCATCACTACAGCAGCGTCAACTGCCTTCGTTTTTAGTCTTAAGTCAGATTCTGTGTTAGACAATAAAGTATTTTCAAAAACGCCATGTTACTAAAGAAAGAGTAAGGGACTATTCGGAGATGATATTCCCGAGGATGTCCGTTCAAGCATGACTACTTCTGTGCTGTTTGTCGCCACCTAAGCGGGGCTAGTTCACAAGACGCGAACCTCCCTTCCACTCGGCGAATGTGAGAAAGCAAAGAGAGAAGTGGAACTGCTGTTTGCGCGGCGGGAAGTGATTTTTCCTTTTTCTCAACCTTTTTGGATTGGGGCGAGTTGGTACGTGAGAAGAGCGCTACTACGCGCCAGTACGTGCTCCATTTGTGCCCCGAGCAAGGCTTTCGATTGGTCGCCGCGCATTTTGGTTGTGCGCGCCATTCGTCCAAAAATGATCAGATTTCCGAAAGTTTTCGAAGCTCCTTGCTCGTAGGTGAACGAAAAATGAAAGGCAGCTTGGCGCAACATTCAACTTATAAACACCCTCGCGCCCATGTAAATAAAGCCTGCGCTAGAATCAAACAGCGCCCGTCTTTCCAAGAGAAGTCGCCCGACTCCAGAAGCTCTCCTTCAAAATGGAAGAAGTAAGCGGAATAGAAGAGACTCTGCTCGACTCTTCCAAGAAACAGGAACTCGACGAAGACGGAACAGCGTTCTCGGCGCGGCACAAACGCGAGACCTTCCAGAAGTTCTGGACGAAAGACAAGACCGAAGCGTTGCTGAGGATTCTAGCTGCTCAAGCCGAGCAAGGCGACGTTGACCATGGAAAGGTTGGAAGTCGGAAATTTCGTCAAGTTTTGAATTTCGGTGCTGGAAATTTCGCGCTCCATCCATTTCTGTCGAGTGATCTTCTGAAAGAGTAGTTTAGGCGGCGAAATTGCTCAGCGCAGAGTTGCAGCTGGAGCACGAACTCAAAGCGGACCAGGTCGTCGATCGCATTTCGCTGCTCGTTTCTAGCTTCAAAAGGGAAATCGAAAAAGAGGAAAGAAACGGACTCCCTTCCTCCTGGCGCTGGAAAAAGCAGATGAAACGCCTGTCCGAAAAAGTACGTTACTGTCAGAGACGTAGTTACTTTACGCAGAGTAAATGCAGCCACAGTTACCTTTGCACAAGTTTCACAAGTGATGATCCCATCTATCGACGGAATTCATCGAAAGGTAAAGCCTGTGCAAAATAAGCTCCAGTGACTAGCAGACCGGAACTAAAAATCGCAGGAACTTTTCATTCCACAAGTTTTATTCCAAGAACTGAGCATTTTATTCAGCTGAAAAGAAACCAAACGGAATCGGAGAGCCTAGAGCCGCCGGAGAAGAAGTTATTCTCAGGAGGACAGCGCGAGGTTAAAATCGCTTCTGGCACGGACGAAAATGCGGAAAGTAGCGGAGGAAAGGGCGAACGCGAGCGGTTCATTGACGCTTCCCAAGTCGACGCCAGTCTCTTCGATCTCGACAAAAAGCAGACAAGCACGTATCCGTCGGCGAACGGTTCCTTGCCAGGTAAATTCCGCCAAGGAAGTTGTATTTTGTGAACTCAAGCTAGCAGAATTCGATCATCACGCACTGCTGGGGTCGGCGACCCATCTTTCAAAGATGGGAATGATGGGAAAGGTGGGTTAGGGGAAAGGTGGGAAAGATGGGTTTTTGCCCTTTTTCCCTCACCCATCTTTTGGTCTGAAAGATGGGAAAGTTGGGTTTGCAAAAGATGGGAAAGATGGGAAAAATGGGTTTTGCCCTTGAATGAAATTAAATTTGTCGCTCATTTTCTGGAAAACAAATTTTTCCGTTTTTTAAAACCCATCATTCCCATCTTTGGGACCCAACATTCCCATCTTTGTGACCCACCTTTCCCATCTTTTCTGTAACCCATCTTTCCCATCTTTTGAACCCATCTTTCCCACCATTCCCATCTTTCGGAAAACCCATCTTTCCCTTTCCCATCTTTTGTTTGAAAGATGGGTTGCCGACCCCAGACGCACTGATGCGCAAGTATGTCTGCTAGACCTGAATCAAGCGAAAAAAGGGTCGCCTTCTATTTGACTTTTAAGTTAACAAACACCAACAAATTGTATTCTGCAGATCAGGTCTTTTAGTAACACACAAACGTAGCATTATTATGAGTTCCTCGCGAGAAAGAGTGATTCTATCCGAAAAATTTAGGATCCGAAAGAAGAGGGCGCATGCCCGACGCCCACGTCGAAATACTCCTCGACTGCTACAAGTTCGTTCTTCAAAATCGAATGCTCAGTTCAGGTCGGCTGGGAAAAGGATCTTTCCAAGAGGTAAACTTGTTTCTGTTTTTTGATGCAATCATGGTTCAGGTGGCGGATGAGATGAATAGAAGGTGCGGACTGGACGGCGACGGAACTTACGAGCGAGAGCAACTGGCTGCCAAGCTACAAAACTTGAAAACGCAGTTCAGAAATAGAAAACAGGCAGTCGATGACGGTAATTCCTAAAATCATTCCTGTTTCGTTAGCTGAGAATGCATCAAATTAGTTGAGAAGACGAAAACGCATTGCTTCCCACGGCGTTCGCCGTTTCTTCAAAATGCTTACATTTCGTTTCAGGCCGTGAGAGTGGCAGTCTTTGGAAATGGTATCAAACTATGGATGACTTATCAAGTGCTGAGCTCAATCTTCGCGAATCGTTCGATGGCGCTACAAGCCGATTAAATTCAACTTATCAGAACTCTCCGCTTTCTGCTTCACAAGAAGACGAGCCCAGTTATTCCAGAGATGAACGCTTTGAGCTTAACTACGGTAATGACCCCTCGTAATTAAGAGATGAAAAGTTTAGTGGACATGTTTTTTTATAGGCTTTATATGAATAAATCGAAATCTCATTTATGAATTAAGACAACTCGGACACGACGCCCTCGCGGAAAGAAAAGAGGGAGTTAACACGCGAGGAACTAGAACACTCCTTCGGTGACTTGGCGGTGCTCCTCTTTGATAAAGATGGCTGCGGCAAAAGCGACGAGTCTGAATCCGATTCGAGTCGAATTAGTGATCAATTAAACTCAATGCGATCTACGGCGATCAAACTCCTGACGGGCTTTTCCGCGGTTCTTTCCCATGTTGAGACGGAATGATGTCTCCTCCTGTTCATAGAATTTTTACCAATTTACAAACATTCATTCCCTGTGTTTTAAAGTGCCTTTAGCACTCGATCATGTACCCTGTTTTTTATCTCTTCTTTTGATTGTGTTAAAACTTTTGATGTTAAATTTTCTGTAACAATCAACTATTTATTTTCACTTACCTATCTGATATTTCTTAAACTTTGATTTTATTCGAAATTTTTATCCTACCTTCAATGAACAAACTCACATATTTTGACTCTTTAGAAAATGAAGTCGGCGGGAAGCCCCAAGCGTGGCGCTAGAAGATCACTTTTTGGAAGCAGATGCTCAGAACGCATTGATGGCGATTTTCGTCAACTCGAGAAAAGTAAGTATCGCAAGTTGTTGTTGATTGAAATGAACGAATTAAGAGGAGATCCAAGAAGCCTCGGCTCGGTGGGGCTACGATTTCGCCGCTGATCGGCCTCTCTCTTCGGCTGATGCACCTGACTCTCAGTATAGCTGGGAGCCCGTAGCTGCAAAGCATGTGCCTAGATTTTATCGCTCGAAGAAAGCCCAGCGAGCGAAGCGTCTGATGCCATCGACCCCTAGAAATAAGAAGGCAATTAGCACGAGAGTAAGACATCACGAAAGCGACACTCTGTTACAGACTTTTTTAGGCGGCAAGATCTTTGGACAATAAAGTGCACAAAACGCCGATAAAGAAGTCCCCTGTGAAAGCTCCCGTCGACCCTTACGTGATTATAAAAAGAACGTAAGTCGTTTTTGCATTTGAACGGCCATAGAAGGTTGTAATTCAGCAAAGACTCCAGTCCGAAAAAAATCCGAGTCATGGGTGGTGCTCATGCTTACAACACGCGCTCGATGGTTGGAATGCGCACTCGATCTAGCAACACCGAAGATCTTTTCACCTTCGCCTGAAGACTAAAACAGGTTTTTTTTAACGTTGCACCATTTTTGTGGAGCATTTTTCCGCGGGTTAGAGTTGAGCTATTTTGGTTATCTCTCTTGCACCATGTAGGGGAGGGTCTGTAGTATGTTAAATAAGCTTTTGGTGTCGGCAGCATCACTGGTGGTGGAGTAATGACGTCATTAATTGGGAATTCGCGGCAAAGTATGAATGGTGGAAGAAAATTTGAAAAGTCCTTAAAAGCACCAGATATGCTTTTTTATCATACAGGGACGTTTTCTACATGTATACGAAATAATCCTGATAGTTTTTGGTGCCAGCACCAAGGTTGGTGGTGGAGTAATGACGTCATCAAGATTTTTTCGCATGATTTTTGTGTATTTTGGATGTCGTGATTACTCCACCACCAGTGATGGTGCCGACACGAAAAGCTTATTTAACATAATACAGACCCTCCTAAATAAGGTGCAAAAGAGAGAATTGAAATATCTCAACTCTAACACCATCAAAAACGCTCCACAAATTATGTGCAACGTTAAAAAAAACCTGTTTAAATTCGCCTGGCGCTAGCGTTAAGACCACGGCCCTTTCCGTCCATCTTTTATCTACTGTACTAGTGTAGTGCATGATTGCGCACGCTAGCTAGCCACGTCTAAAAATTCGAATACCTCTTGGATAGAACTAGCCTATCAACGCTACTCAAAGCCAAAACAAAATTGCTCTTTTAATTCTCTTTGTGAATGTCCTCTTTTATATTTGTCTAACCACTCCTGAACATCTTTCTCGTCTCATTTACACAGTAAGGCAGCTTGTGCTATTTTACGCCCGTGCTAGCTCGCGGTGAATGCTCCTCGCTTTCTTGCTACATCTTTCTTTTATCAGGAAACCTTGATTACTTTGACATTCCTTAGAGTGAAATCGCTCTTTTCAATTTCGAATGAGTTCCTAAGGTTCACGTTCGAAGTTTAACTTTCGCCGTTATTTTGCTTAAAATATTGCGTATCCATTTACTCCTTAGGAAACATTATTTTAATTTCCTCCTCTCCTTAAGTTCAAGTTCTTAGTTCAACTCCCCTTTATCCATACTCACTTTCTACACTTATATCACTCAGTTATATACTCCTTTAGTTCATACTTCTTTGCCATCCTTTGCCCTATTTAATTGTTCTCCTTTCTCTTGATATAAAACCCCTACCACCTTTGCGCCAATAGAAACCCCTTGGCCTAAGAATTTTTCTATTTAATTTACATTGACAATTTCGTCTTATTCTTGGCGCTTTTTTTACCTCGACTTCATGCGATAAGAAAAATGTTCTTTTCGTGAGAACCAAATGCCCCGTTAAAATTATTATCGCGTGCAAGTTTAAGGTATCATAGCCACAGGAATAAGAATATGTCATTTTCAGAGAACATTGTTCTCGCTCACTGCTTAAAAATCATCATTGATATTTTAATCTCAAAATTATAATTTCTCATTCCTAGATCAAAATGACGGAACCTCGACCTGCGAATTCCCCTCGTGGTGTTTCTATGATAGAGCACTTGGGTCCTTACTTTGATATTCGGAAATACCCGGATAAAAGATATAAAATCTTCAGAAACGGAGAAATAGTAGGAGTTCCTGCAAATGAATTTCCTGGTTATCAATCAATTTATCAAAGCCTTTTTCCGGCTAATGGACGGTTTGATGGACATACTCATTTTATGTACCCCTTTCACCGCCCTTGGTCTTAGGGTACTCCCATAATTTACAGCCTCCAATAATGCATGAAAGGAGAAGACCCTCGGAAGACCCCTCCCCCTTTCATTTACAGTTAACTTCCAGTTATCAGCCAAAAACGGACAAAACGTTTGAGTTGTGCTAGCTTCGGCAACTGCGCGTCGCCCAGTGTAGAGCAGGGGCGGCAATGAATAGATACGCAACAACCGACCGGGCGCAACTCAATCGAGTGCGTTAATTCTACATTTATCTGCATTGTTATATTCGAAGCAATATAACATTCCTAAAAGCTCCTTTGACGCAGTTAAATATACGAGGTTCAACTCTCGCTTATTCACCGAACAATTTATCACAACTTACTTGATATTGAAAGATAACTTCATTACCTGCTATCATTCAGAATGGTGGATACACCACGCGAGCCACATGGTCTCGCGGCTAGGCCACCAACAGCGGTACGATTGAGTCAACTTAACGCAAAATTGATAAAATTCTAGCTCACAAAAATATTCGGAAAGAAAAAAGACCCATATTTCGGTTCTTACGAGCTCGACTATGAAAAAGCCAGAGCAAAGATGCTGCTACCAACGAAAGATCGTCTACGAGAGGCTGGCATGCGTAAGTCCGCACAGTAGAATTTCTTCCTATTGCTGCTGCTTTTAGAACCACTGAAGGAATTTTGGTTAAGTGATGACGATATGGAAGCTCTTATTCTAAAAGAAATCGGTAAGTTATTAGTTTATACTCAATATCCAATTGCTCATATACTTCAGACCAACTGAGCGATGAAAATAAAGATCTGTGCTACATCCTTCCGACGTATGTTTGGACGTCGATTCATAGACTTCGTCGAAGCCCTGGTGGACATATACAACACCCAGCAAACAGATACGAAGCGGTGAAACATCTTATATGGCCACGACGCAATAAAAAGGTTCGAGTTGTTAGCTTGATTCTTTTGACAAAAGAATATTTCAGAGAATAGAGGCACAGAAAAAGTTTAACCCGCTCAGAAGAAAGTATCTTTTTCTGCCTGTCAATCAAGATGCACACTGGAGTCTCATTGTTGTTGTTAACCCGTGGAAGACAGTTGAGCGGCTCGTTGATCCTGATCCAACGACGGAAGTCTTTAATATGGTAAGTTTCTTTCGAACTGAGTATAATGAATACATATAAATCTTTTCTTGTCATGCTAACATTACTTCAGCCAGTGAATCCTGACGGTAATGGTGGCACACCCTCTGACGTGAGTGAGGAATTCGCAGAGAGATACAATTTATTGGAAAACGAAAGAATCGACACGAATCGGTACTCGCAGTTCGCTCCCTACGAATCAGAACCAGTGATCTATCACTTGTGCTCACTTACAAAGTCGGATTGGATTCAAAAGTGCGAATTAGCTTGTGAGCTTTTAACAGGGATGTTTCTAGGTAAGACATCACTCTCAGGCATATTTATTCGCTTGGCGATTTTCACCAAAAGCGAAGCGACAGCGAATCGAAAATTTCGCTTCCGCCCCCGAAAATGACAACCCCTGAAGTTCGCTTTCGCTTCACGCCCCCTATTTTCGCCAAAATTTCGAAATTTATTTGCCTGATCACTCTCAACTCGTTGTATCTAACTTTTCGTCGAGAATTTTTACCAGTGCTCATATTTAGACGAAGACAACCCAGATCTCAAAGATACTCACCTGGATCTACTAAAACGAGGGCTGCTTATAAGAACCGACAACGGTCTGCAAATTTTAAATGGTCGGCGACCCAGGAAACTTGTTTGTGATCGAGCCACTAGGGGAATGATGAACCGTCCCTGGCCTTGCGACGAGTGTCTGAAGAACGGCCCAAACCGCTTCCAAAAATTCCTACCCTTCCGTTACTACCACCAGAGTTCTCCACAGCAGTTCAACGAGTACGATTGTGGCGTCTACACCATCTATGCCATGCGAAAGTGGATGCTCAATGAGAAGTAAGCAGTACTTACTTAAGTACTTAACCCGTTAACAGGAGCGTGCAGGTCTGACCTGCACGCGTGGAAACGGGTAGCCTATCACAACCTCGGATCCTTGATTTCACTCAATCATCGACAGGCAAAAATGTATGCAAAATCGACCACCCTGTTAACGGGTTAAGTACAAGAGTTAATTTGTGTATCATAATCGCGTTTTTGATCGTTATTTTAATTTTGTTGTTCAGGCAAATTAAAAGGTACTTGCACCGATGCTTGGATTCTTGGTGGTCGCCTGTTGATGTTTACAATTACAAGTATGCTACCAGGAGATACTTCGACAAGCTTGCCAACGTTCCTGATAGAGAGCCTGTGAATATATTTGGATCACCGGAAGAGAACGGCTATCTTGGATCATCAAAAGACTCCTTCCTTGCTTACAGACGACTCAAAGGTCTAGAAGTGAGAGAGCCTGAAAAGGGAGTCAAAACTGAACCAGAGTCCGAGGAAGTCGAGGAAGAAGTCATCTCACAAGACGAGGACGATCTAAATGAGGAACTTATTGAAGAGGCTGTGGAAGAAGACTTGGAGGATGAAATCGAGGATGATTCACAAGTCGAAGAGGAAGGACAAGAAGAAGATCTGGACGAGAGTGAACCAACAGATTCGTTTGTCAATGGTGACGCCGAAACTAACGGAGAGCCAGAAGACACAAACTCAGCTGATACCGAAACTGCCGACTTTCTAGAAGCTGTAAACAATGTCGATGAGTCCAACGAGACAGAATCAATGCCAGAACCTATTAACGGTGTTTTTAACGGCCTTGAAGATATAAGCGCTGCTGAGGACAGCGATGACGAAGAAAACGATACTGGGAGGACGAGGAGTAATAATGGAGATTTCGCTCCTCTTTACGCAGACGATACTGGTCATTCTGATACAGTAGACACTGTTACTACTCCAAATACCAGTAGTTTGCTCTCTGTTGATGAAACTTTAGATGGCCTACCAGATATCAGCAGCGAAACTGCCAACTCGTCTGCCATTGACAATGATGGTGCAACTCAGATGGAAGACGTCTCGTTAGAAATCAGCGCTGTGGACAAAACAGACGCTAACTACAATGATCTGCGAACGAATCTGTTTGATTTGTCCGAAGAAGAAGACGAGGAGGATGGAGAAGAAAACGCTGGAGCTAAAGCAAGTAATAGCCCAATAAGAAATGATGCCGAGGAAGAAAATAACGGAGATAACGAAAATATAGAAAACGACGTTCCTATCCCGTAAGTACTCAATTTTCGACATCAGTTTTAAATTTTTACTCATAACAATTCAAATTTAGTGAAAAAGAACCGGATGTCGATGATGTCATAGACATGACTAACGACGCAGAGTTACCAAAGCCTGTAGCAAGTAAAAAACGCAAGCGTCGCGCGAAAGCTGCAGTCTCTGAAGAAGAACTAGCCAGTTATGCCTACGCCTTTGAAGTTCACAGAGTACTCAACCTTCGTTACTCTCGACGCGCCGCTAGCACGCCAAAAAGTGAATACGCAATATTGACCAGAATTAACGGTTTTTTAGTTTACACACCTCCAACGTACAGACGGACGAATAACACAAATAAGGTCACGAAAAGAACGACGGCCAAGAAATCCGCCAAGAAAAAGTCTACGAAGAAAGGCACGAAGAAAGCGGCATCTAAAAACGGCGCTTCAGACAAGAGCTCATCATCTGGACGAGCATCTCCCACAAAAAGCGAGCCATCTCCAAAGAAACCGAAACGCTCACGAGCGGGCACCTCAAAATCACCAGCAAGGACGCGGACAGCAAATGACGAGGACGATCCACCACCTCCACGAGGGCCTAAAGAAGAACCTGGATTTTCTGGGGCAAGTTTTGGAGCGCCCCGCCATGACTACCCCTCTTACTTAATCTGGATTGGATTCCACAGACCCCCACCACAACTCCCACCACAGCTCCCGGACAACGAAGAGCCAGCTGAAGAGACGCAGCAGGCTCCCGCATCTTCTAAGCGATCAACAAAATCGTAAGAACATCTCTTGGAACGCTTCTAATTTGCTCTTTTTAGACGAAAAAAGCGGGGAAAGAAGTAACTTCCGGAACTCATTGTAACTATTTCGAGCACTTTCACAAAGGTCAAGATTTGATCAAGGCTCAACGTCGTCCCTTACCCCGCCAAGACTATGACCCTTCCGAAGAATGACCCTTGTTTCTTCTTCACTGCCTTTACTTATATAAATTCACTCTTTTTTCTTCACGTTCCGATTCCCTCAGAAGGAATAAATCTCAGTTATGTTGGGTCATTTCAATTGGAAAAAAGGAACACAAGAAAAGTCTTGTCTCCTCTTTAGCTTCTCTGAGTTTGCAGGTGCATTTTCATTTACGAAAGGCAATTACATTTATTACGATTACTATACAGACATCACGAAACATTTCGCGTTGAAATTTTCGTCTACGGTGCTAGCCGGGTCTTCATGGAATGAGATATCCAGTATTGCATGTTCGTGGACCGATTCCACACGTCTCCTCCGTTTTCAAGCAGTAATTTATCTTAGCAGGACTAGAGATGAATCTTTCTAAATAGTTTTTTGTAGGCTCATATAAAATTTTTGGGGCACTTTTAGTTTCTGTGTTAGCCTTTTCCTGACACGCTAGAGTGAGTTGGTTGTCACTGTCGGGGAACGTAAAGGCGACGAAACTGAAGCGCTGCTGCTCAGAAGTAGACAGAAGATAGTCATTGTAGCGATTAGCTCCGACGAGCGAGTTAACGCAACCCTAAAACGAAGTCCATTTCTTTTTCCAATGCAATATGCTTACCCCTTCAAGAAAGGGAAAATTTTTCTTTAGCTTCTTGTCTTTCAAGGCACATCGACTGATTGCGTAGTTGAGAAGATTATTATTTTCATTCCAGGTGAAGGAGAAGAATACTTCCTCGCCTATTTCGAAGTTCAAAGATGGGAGTGGATTCAGAAAATTCGAGGATTCGAAAAAGTTGACAGTAACATCGTTGAATGAGCCTTCCTCATTAACTCCGCTAAGGTCGTATTCGAATTCTAAAATCTCTTCGTACGCGCATGTCAAATTGTAACCGTTGTGATCCTGCGCTTGATCATCAACCGATCGAAAAATATGCAGCTGATTCGTGATGAATATCCAGCCGTTTTCTTTGCGGTATTTTGTTCCACATTTGCCAACCTACAGCAGATGTTATTGAGTGCCTCGAGGAATATTTCTCGTTGTTTACCTGAGTTACGATACTCTTGTGCTCGTTATGCTCAATAACGTTAATACAGCCACCTAAACGATCCAAGGCGTCGAATCGGATGACCCATTTATTTTGCAGTTGTGTGCATCTGAATTTATTTTTGAACAAAAAATATCACACTAGTTTATATAACTTACGCAGCTACTTCCACAGTGAAGACGCCTTCGTTGCAGTGGTATCGGTATTTAATCTTAAAAATTACAATTCTCTTGTATTTCCTTGGATAATTACCGCTTCATCTTCATTAATAACAATGCACTCCGAGAAATCAGTGAAAACGATTTTGCGAAAGTGATCGGTAGAGAGGTTAAGATCTTGCTGCAAATATGTATACGATGTTCTTGCAAGTAGATTGTCTCTTCCCATCGCCCTATTATCCTGGTAATCTTCGTAATCGTCAGGAAAAAGACTGACCAATTCTTGATTACCCGATATTTCATGTACTTTTTGGAATTTCGAAAATATTTGATACTTTCAGCAGAACTTAAATACAAGAAAGAATCGATAACTCTTGAATTTTTCGTAATATTCTCTCAAACTTTTCCTAGAGCAAGCAGCAGAAAAAACATTTTTGTAGAAAATAAATAGGGCATTTTCTGGGTTTCTTTTCTCGCCAGGTCTGAGTGTTTTAAGCTCTTCAAATGAACCTGAGATGTGGCTGGTCTTATCAACTAGCCACCAGATGGACTCGTGGATAGAATTTCACAATCTAAACCGTTTCAAAATGCCCACTCTTGCGGATTCACATTATTCGCGACGAAGCAAATTGACCTTGGATAAAGCTATTTTGAGTTCAAGTTGCGAATTTCATTTCTTAGATTTAAAACGGAGACACATGTTTTTATTGTTGTCATTTTTATTTCGGATAAACTACAAATAACTAGAATCCACCACCAAAGGGGTTGCCGTAGGTTCCGCCAAAGCCTCGCATAAAAGCAATATTCTGCGTTCGGCGACGATCCAGCATTGATTGCGTCGGATAAAGCGGCTCCTAATAATGAACGTTAATTAGGAAAGAGCATGTAGTGTGAGTTCACCTCTTTCTCCGGAGATGGTGAACGATAAGGCATAAAGATAGTTGTTTTTCTGTGGCGAACAAGAGCAGCATCCTCTCCGAATTCAAGGGACTAAAACAGTATCGAATAGCGCATTATCTAGACCAAGAAAGTAACTGTATGTTTATCAAATTACCTCAACCATGTTCAAAAACGTGTGCCAGTCTTTTTCTTCGATTACTTTAAAGATTTGCTGCTCACGCTGGATCGCTAGAAATATTTTCAAAACAGAGCAAATGCTTATATTTTTGTAACTAGTAGATTGCCACGGAATACTGTAAGACAGTTTAATCTCGGTTCAAGTAGCTTAGAATAACAGAACGATAGTTGTTGTGTGAGCAAGTTTCAATCGTTTGATTGTTGAGCCTTGCTGCTGAGCACGCTGAGCCGCGAGCTGATCCGGTTTCGTCATTCTAACTCGGTTAGCGAGGAAATTAAAATACCGTACGAGCGAAGCTTACTCATCGAGCATTTCCACCCCTTTTCTAATAAACAACTTACTTTCGTTGTCGGGAAGAGTGTCGCGGACCTTTTTGGCTTTAAATTTCGTATTGGTAACTCCGAAAATTTGATAATTGTCAACTGCACGGTTGACGAATTTGTTGAGCTCTATTAAATTTCAGGAAAAAGAAGACATATCGCTCTTTTTTAACTTAGAAATAAAGAAACAATATTTAAAGATTCCTTCGTGCGAGTTTCGCGGAGATTTGAAGGGTTGAAGAGCGAAATTTCATCGACTAGGGTGAGCGCTTTTTGCTGTCGCCGTCTTCGTCTTCTAGCTACTGGATCTTCGATCTCAATTTTAAACTGATATTTAAGTTCAATCATTTGCTAAAATTCATGTTTCGACTGAACGATGCGTAGAATTTTTCAGTATAATTAAGTTAATTGTTGATTAAAACTTTCACGGTAGCATTGGATTCGGGTGTCTTCGGTAGGATATTTCTTCTTCGGCACTTTTAGTCAAGGTATCTTCTGTTTTTGCCTCTTCTGCTCCATCTTCGGGTGTGCTGTCCGAGACATCCTCATCGACAACAGGTATTTCAACGTACTGTCCGATATCTTGTGAAAGTTGCAAGAAAAAGAATCAATTACAGTCAACCTGAAATCACAACGACATCTTCGTATTCATTTGTAGTTGAGTTACTGTCTTCTTAATGGGCGTAATAAAGAGCCGAATCATATGGCGAATACGTCAAGACTTAGGAATCAAATGAGCCCTTCCTTTGCCATCTGGACTCGAAGAAGAGACATTGTCCTGTTCATCGCCGGGAGAAGTTTCCGAAAAGTCGGGAAGCTTATAAATGCATCCATATTTAGGAAAAATTATCCAAAGAACCTATTTTCTGATCCGACCAGGCTCAAAATAAGGCGACATCGAATTCAACATAATCTGACGTTGTAAAATACAAACGTCTGTATATTTCGTTTGCCGATGTCACAGAAACTCTTCCAAAGTAAAGACTTTCTTGCTAAGATGTTAATATTGATTGATTCAGTAGAACACATTCCTGAAGCTCGATGAAATCGCAATCCGAACTTTGAGACGGTGGATCCATGTTTTCACTTAAAAACTAAACTTTTATTTTCTTTCTAAATAAAATGCAGAATAAGATCTAGAAAATTTCAACCCGAGAAAAAAGAACTCTGTGACCTCATAAATGTGCGCGAACGGCAATGTTGGGTGCTCATTTAGTACTGTCCAAACTGACGCATAAATTATAAAGGAGTAGATCGGTTATTGTCGCAATGCCCCTGACTTGCTCATAATTAGCTCAATAAAGGTGTTTTAATAAGCGTACTATTGATTTCAAGTTAAAAAATGATTCTAAGAAAAAACTCTGCCGCGCGGTGGCGTTTTCTCGCTCAATTTCCCTTCTTCTTTTTAGTCTGACTCGCGGCGTGAGAATTTCAAACAGCTATCGATATACTGTCATCTTCTACGCAAATCTGTTCCTTATTTTCAAGAGCTCGACAGAACCAAGAAGACTTCTTTTACAAGCAGGTAAAGCCAACGCCCGTTTTTTAAATTAAATGCATTATGCATTTTGTCAATTTTTGTCGTTGAAAATTTGTATAAATGATCATTATACTTTTTTCGATTTAGGAAACATTTGTTAGACTAAGATAAAATCTCAAGTAAAAAAGGTTGAATAATATCACGGTTGATATTTGTGTTGACGCATCCAAGAAAAGGTTGAAGCGTTAAGAGTTGAAATATTTATGAAACTTATGCACCATAACTTATGATAGAAAATAATGTTGAATACGAGAGATCAGCAAATCTTAATTCAGAAACTTCTATTGTGTGAAAACTAGATTCTAGTTTTTGATTGATAAACGCGATTTTACTGAGGATTTAGCTTGGAATTACTGTAAGTTATTGATAATCGCAATTAAAATTTCAACGTGCCATTAAAGGTTAAACAATACGTCTATTGAAGGGTTTCATTTTCTGATTCGACCAAATAGGCTCCGAAAATCGTTGAACAAACGCCTCGTCAAAGTAGCTCTGATAATTTTCAGCGAAAGTTGCGACCTTGAAGGCTGATCGATGAGCAATAAGTGACCTTCTTAGCGAGCAATTGCCTTCGAAAAAGAAGCCCAAGTTCATTTTTTCTACAAATTAGGCTACTTATGCATTTTAACATGCTCGCATAAGGTACGGTGTTGTAAGAATAATTTAATCAATACCGTAGAGGCACTTTACATGTTACTTGCGTCATTCACTGAGAACTCTTACTAGTGAATCAAATAGCCGTTTTCTTTTTTGGAAGAAATACTTTTGAGAACGCATCTAATCACGGTTAGTGATCATGTTTAGAAATAAAACGATGATCTGGACAGATGGACGGCGCATTTTAGCATCCAGGTCGGCCCGTTTGATCCTCTTTGAAGCGGATTCTTGCCTATTCAGTAATATTTAGTAATACTATTTCAAAACGTCAACCAGTAAACACTTTGCGGATTATCCCGCCAGTTCACTGACGATTTGTACATTCTCAGCCTACCGTAAATAATGCGCTCAAGTGACATCCCAAGCCGGAACAGAAAGTAGCGTCTTAGACCGTACGACGGCAAAGAAAAAATAGCCGCATTTATTTAAAAATAACGGGCTTAATTTTCACAATAGCTAATTTTGAAGAACGTTTCTAAATGTCCTAAATGTGGACGCCATGATTTTCTCCATATGTTACATTAATAATCCCATTTGATCATAAACCTCTTAATTTAAAGGAAAAAAGATTTTAAACTTATCAACAAAGCGACTATTTCATCAACGATTTTAGGCAGACCGATGACTGAAAAAGAATATGGAAAGCACAACGGTTAAAAGCAGGAACATTCTTCCACTCGAAGAGTTTCAAGGTTCGAAAGGCAATAAACGATTCATCTTAACTTAGTTAAGAGCTATCCGAGCGTGTGCTTGTCTGCGAGTGGTTCAGAAAGAATAAGAAGCTAGAAGAGCCTATTCTCGATGTCACGGACTCGCCAGAACTTATCTCGGACAATATTATGCAAATGCTACTACAAGTATGTTCAAATTTATGAAGGATTATTTTTCGAATGCACTGAGAAAAATTTTAATTTCAATAATAATTAGCCAACGAATCTTTCATCGGAGGTATCAAGTATACGATTTTTTTACGTTACTGTTTGAATCCGTTACGATCATATTTACTGATGAATGTCTAAATATGGGGATGAGCAGATAGCATTGGTTGAAGCAAAATTTGCGCGAGTATCGAGACATTTTGCAGATTTAGGCATTTTTTACTATGTTCTGAGACAGCCCGCACTTATCATTCTATATTACATTCTCAAACGATGGCATATGTGACTTTGTAAAACTATTTTAGTATAATGGGAGTGTTTCGCATTGTCCGTCCATTTGGTCAGGAACTGGTTCTAAGATGATTCTGATTATTTGCTAATTCAAGCGAAAGAAAATAAAGAACCGGGATCAGACACTGAGTACGATAAAAATCAAGGATAGTTGTGATCACTTTCACCGCATCTCAATTTCAATGTGAACATCGTAGAGATCACGGAGTAGTACCCATTGTTGGGACTTATGCATTCTTCTGCGCTCTCGGTATCTTCTCGAATCTGATCATTCTGTACGTCCTGTGGGATGAGCACTGCAAAAACAAACGCAAAAGTGCTTCGAATTCGTTCATTTTGAGCCTTTGTGCAGCTGATACAATTCAACTGGCGATTTTACCTTTTAAAATTGACGTTAGGAATGGCTACACGACACTTGAATTAGTTCCCTTCTAAGTCAATCGACCAGCCAAACTAAGACTTTTTCATGGATGTTGGAGATACGGTCGCTTTGGATGCATCTTTCATAACGCTGCTACGAACATAAATCTTTTTGTGAGCGTATTCTTCCTCGTGATGCTTTCAGTTGACAGGTTCATCTTGATAATGCCGCCGGACACAATGCAGCCATTAAAAAAAGCGCGAAACCATCCAAGCTACGTCGCCATTGTGACGATATGCGTTTGGTCGATCTCCATATTTCTCGGTAATCTCAGAACACGAATCCATTTGGTCAACTCTTCTAGCCGTTCCTTCAATCATTCATTCGAAGTTTGTCAACAACGAATGTCGTCTGGATTGGTCAGCCTCGATATCGCTAGATTCACACCAATGCTCCTTGTGCCAGACCGAAGAGGAGCGCAAGATATCGGAATGCAAGCTGCCAGAATATACTCTCACAAATGAGACGCAAGGTATAAACGAAAGCCCTGCCTCATAGAGATTGACTCAATATGGAGACAGTGAATAGAACTAGCTATATTCGCGAGGAATGCACATTTGTAACACTAACCAAAATGTGATTCAAATTAACTTTGATTTCTGGTACTTCATTGTCTATTTCGAAAGCTCGAACTTTCCTGTTCTCAGTAAGAATAAAATGATTTCAGAAGAGACGTGGAGGGACTACTGCTGGAGGGAAATCGACGATGAGCTGTATAAATCAAATTTTTGTCCCATCAGCAATCACTTCAGCCAGGTAAGTCTTTCTGCAGTCAATAGCTCTGAGCCGCTACTTTCTTAATTATTCTGCATAGTATTTGTGCGTTCTATTCATCTTGGGCTACGTTATCCCCTTGATTGTAATTATCTACTGCTACACGAATATAATCATGATCTCAATACGCGCCGGGCGAAAAACATCAAAAAGTATAACTGGAAGTCGCCGTAGCCGTTCGAAGAAAGCGTCAGCGCGAGATCAAAAAGTCACCAAAATTGTTCTTATATTAGGACAGGTCTTACGCAAATTCATAGTCGCTTATTTCTCAAGCTACATATAACCTGCACAGTGATTACGTTCATTTTCTGTTGGACGCCATTTCACATTCGAAACATGTGCCAAGTTTGGAACATTACTCCTGGTGCTCACACGTGGCAGGTCATCAGCAATTTTAGCTATTCTTCCTAACAGCAATTCAAGTTTATTTTGGACTTTGCTAATCTCGGATGCGCGGCAAACTCTGTACTGAACCCGTTTATCTATTCATTCCTTTCGACGCAATTCCGACAAAAGCTTTGCATGGTCATTAACCAAAAAATACGACGTCCTGCTGGTATGGACAGGCGACCAACAAGTACATATTTGCTGCAGGGAGATTAAAAGACCTTTAGGTTCCCACTCAACTGGATCTATAAGAAGTCGCAGGGGACAAAGAGAAGGAGTAAGTCCCGCACCTGGAATAGATCGTGTTTGTGTGACTCCAACATTTCCAACAGAATGTTCGCAGCTTACGCAGTATAATGTAGTGCCGCTCCTTTTTCGCTTTGTTATATTTGATTATAGGAACCGAATGGAGTCGAGTGTTCGAACTTGATGTCCAAGAACTCAAGCAACGACAACTCTCGACTAGATCCTTGCTCAGAAACCCGAAACTTTTAAACATCTTGATTATTGAAGACATAGATGAGAATTTCTATAACTCGAAAAAATATCGAAAAATAGTCTCAAAAGTTTATAGATTTCTGATAAGAGCGACCCTAACCTTAAAAAATCTGGCGATAACCTGTAGCTACTGTAATTAAAAATATTCAAAAAATAAATTTATTGATTCAAGTTTTTGTTTGACAGTTTAGAACTTCATATGATTAGATTCTAGACATCTAGTAGTACGACGGGAACTTTGTCATCATCTTCTGATAACTCTTAATTTTTTCGTTAATAAAATGAAACTCAATTGACACTACCGTCGTCAATATGAATGGGTATCTCGACAGCAGTCGGCGATTGCTTGATATCAAGCGGTATTTTTGTCCAACCGGTTTGTCCATTTGAGGCCATTTTAACAGCTTCACTCGAGATCAGTGTGGGAAAGACGGCTCTTGATCGTATGAATATTAAAGATACAGAAGAAAATAATTTTTTCGTCGGTTGGAAATTCCAAACTCGGTCGTTCTTGTTATAAACCAGCCAAATCCGGTGACCCTTGGACAAAGATATAATCATGCACTGACTCCGCTTGTTTTCTAACCTGAGCTAGTTCACGACGTTTATATGCAGGCCTGTACTCCATAGTTTCATGACAAATATCTTCATCAAGCTCATAGTACCCTTGAAATTGAGCTTTAGCGACTATTTTATTATCGATAGAAACAAACCTGGGATAGCTTTTTGCTGCATCGCTGTCACGAAATTGCCCGATATCAATATTTCCTTTTATTCGTTCATAAATGAGTTCATTCACAAGGTTTATGAGTTCATCAAGTTTTTAGAGGGTTTTTAAATATGAACTTTCCTTCGGGGCTCTCTTTGCCTTCAGTCTTATTCTCAGCAAAGAGTTTTCATAAGTAAGATCGCGCTTATCTTTGGTCAAGTCCGCGATTTCGGCATGAAGCTTCTTTGTTTCAGAAGCAGCAAAAATATTTTGCTTTCAATAGTTTTCAATAAAGGTTTTTGATTATTGCACTTTAAAATCATGACTCGTGTCAAATCTTCAATAATAAAAACTTTTCTTTGGTCCGTATTTAATTTGCGTTCGATATTTCTGATGTGCTCGCGGTGTTCTTCTTGCAGTTCTTCAATGTGCCTTCCGCAGTCGTTGACTATCTGCTGCTTGTGAAACTCGAAATCTTGCTCGAATTTGTGTGCCAAACGCATATTATTCCTTCTTTCTTTTTCCAATTCTTGTTTGATCTCCACGAGTCTGTCATTTGTATCTCTATTCTCTTGTTTTAGTTCGTTTATTAATTTCTTTAGATCTTCATTTTCTCCTACAAAAAGGATGGTATGAGTTTTCGGAAAAAGTCTACCTTCTATTTGAGCAAGTTTGAATGAAGAACTTTCACTTGTCAAGGGTAACGAGAAACTAGAAGTTGGAAAAAGTAATTTTATATCGGATACCCTTCAGTCAGCACAGGGAGCAGCAAAGGAAAGCGTTGAAAACATATTTCTCAGATCAGCCAGACTACGAACCGGAGGAGGGGTCGTTGTTATCGGCGAATATTCTCCACCCATCGAAAAAGCAGATGGCGATCCACTCTGGAATTGCTTAATTTTTTTTTTGTAACAGAAAAGATGAAAAATAAGTTATACCTGCAGGTCCTCCCAGATTGCATTTTCGGTCGAGGAAGAAAGGGACGAGGAATCATCACTTTTACTCGGTGTTTTTCTAATTGTGATCTTGAGATTTTTTTCTGACATCTTTCGCCTTTTTGCTTAGATTCTGTACATTTGTGCGAGCTTGCGTGTTATCACTTCTGCGCTGAATACTATCAGTGGGGTCTGTACCAATCGTCAAAGGTGAAACTCTAAGGCACTTGAATTTGTGATCGATGACTTCCTCTATTAATATGTTCTTCGATACTGATTATATTTTTCGGTTTTTGATATAATTGCCTTTTATTATTTAGAAGGAGCACTTTCTCTTTTGCCTTAATTAGGCGCCAGCGCTTGAATAATAATACTCTGGAATTAGTAATCTGGTAGTGCTAATTCCACAAGCGCGAATAGGGGACCGCCCAAGTATCGAGGCGCTTAGGCACGCACCTCGCTTTGTCGACCTATTTGCAAGGTCCAGAGATCATAGTAGAGATTTTATTGAGCAGTTAACGAGAGGAAAGCTCGATGAAGCTCTCCCCGATTCTTTTGGTGGGCGTCAAGGCCTTGCCGATTTCAGAGAGTGATCCTGTCGATGTTTGTTGTCACAGAAATGGCACAATCTACAACGGAAAATGGAGCACTACAAAATCAGGTGTCTATCCGGAGTCACTGGTGAATTCGCCCGATCTTTTTTTTTATTCGGGAGCTGTTAAAATATCTGGTTATAAGGAGCTGAATGCGACTTCTGGAAATTTCACGAAAGAATTTATGCAGACGAAACCTCTCACAACTATTGATACGGGCTGATAGTTTTAATTTATAAAGTTTGAGAATTGCTGAATACTTAGCCCCGATTTCAGCCGAAATCCACATGGGGACACACCCTGGTGTTATACAAGTGACGATAAGGAACGTTTGGCAAGCCCTAGACATGAAGTGATTATTGCCGTGAAGGGTCAACCCAATCGTAAATTCTGATGAGGCATCTAATTCAGTACATTAGCGTATCTGTCTAGAATAACTGCCAAACAATTAGAAAAGTTCGATGAATGCGATATTCCAACTTGCACTGAGTGCACGTGTGACGCACATCACCTAGGAGAGTGTCAATGGCCTCGATGTGATTACGAGAACTTCAAAAGCATTTGCAATTGTGACGAAGAAGCTGTCTTGCATCAGGGTGTCTGTATGAACCGAGCAACTATTGATGAGCCAGTAAGTGATAAGAGTCAATAAATAATTATGATTTCTTATCTAGTATAATGATGAATGCCATCCAGGAGATAATTGCGGATATGGAAAATGCAAATACGATGATGATCTCAAATTAGAATGCTCATGTGACCCCAAGGCTGGTTTACAACAAAGCGAAAAACCGTCTTTAGCATGAAAATGTTCTAAACTCAGGAAGAATGCGCGTCTCACTAAAGATGCAGTTGGGGGTGTCAAAATCTGCGAAGTCAAAGAGAAGGAGCCCTGCACGTGTGGTGACGATAGCTGGTGCCGTTGGGATATTGATGATAGACTAGTGGACTGCGAATGTCCCGATGGATATTTTTTGGATTCTTTGAAATGTTCACTTACACCAGCGACAACCACAGTAGCGACGACAACGCCTCTGCCAACGACATCTACAATTGCCGTTACCGACCCGAATCCAGCTCCCTTACCACCTCTCAGGAACCGTTTTTAAAATATTATCTGTTCAAGGCTTGAACTTCAAGCTCCTATCTCTTGAAAAACGATTTGAAGACCATCGATGCCAGGCGAGTGTTGGTACAAAGGTGATCGAAATTGGACAAAATCTGGAAAAAGGTGTCTTCGTTGGGATGATAATTCTCAGAGATACACTGAAAGCATTATCGAACAACTTTTCACTGTAGTTTTCAATCAACCTATGGGCAGAGGATAAAAGATGAAAGTTGTAAAAAACAACTCATAAGCTTTTTTTAAATCCTTGAAACAGATCACAATTTCTGTCGAAATCCAACTGGAGACGAGTCTGGCCCTTGGTGCTACGTAAAAAGCGATGATGACAAGTTCGTTGAGTGGGAAGAGTGTAATGTTGATCAAGTCCAATATTGCAAAGATCCCGCTGCGTATGTCGAGAGAGATGATGTTAAACCAGAAGAGACAACGACAATGGCTATGGCTTCGAAAATTTATTCACCTACTTTGAAATAATTTTTTTCTTATCTTCTTTAAAAATTATCAATGTATGGAGTGAATTTCTAGCCTCAAATAGCACAAACAACGTCTGCAAATACATCGAAATGTGCAGATGGAGAAGTCGAAATTTTAAACGAGTGCCAGATAAAACCCAAGTGCCAGCGATCAGATGATACCTGCAAATATGGATGTTTTCATTTTGATTTCAAAGGAGACCCGGATAGGTGCAACTGCATGGATAACACGGAACCTTCAGTCGATGATAAGTTTGTCTGCGTAGTATCCAAATCTCAAATTGAGACAACTTTCACTACGACGATTGTCACAACAACAGAAAGACCGATTGAAGATAAGAAGCCAATTTACTTACTTACTGGAGCTATAAATAACGAATTTAATGGTGAATATCATTATGATGAAGAAACAAACAAGCTACGAAAATTCCAAGAAGATCAACCAATCAAGATTTTTTACGATTCTATTAATTCACGATGGTCAATTGGCTTCTTTGAAATTCCATCATCAGCAGGTTAATCGCTTTCATCTTATGTCTTATGGAGTATTTGAAATAGTTTATTTTGCGCCTGGTGCTGAAGCTGTTGAGCAACTTGAAACACTGAAATGGACAGACATGGATGATATTATTAATACTGAGATGCACTTACGTAGAAAGGGTGAGGACTGTTTTGACGAGGATGCTTGTGGATATGGAAGATGCGAGATGTAAGATGATTTCAAAATTATCATCTATTTTATCTTTTAGCTCAACACACATTGGAGGATCTTGGAACAATTGCATTTGTGATAGTGACGCTCAATATCTTCAATCGTTCGCAGCTTGTGTAAAAGGAATACCGAAAGTGATTGAGGTTGATCGACCCCTATGGGACCCAATCGTTCCGAAAGAACCGATTTCATCAAAACTCTCGACAACTGCCCAAACAACGACTTTAAGAATCAACAAAAACAGTCCTATCTATTCTCTGAATCAGGACTTCCTCAATACTTCAAAAAATAATAATTTGCATCAATATAAGCAGACTTGCTCAAAGGAATGTGGTGATCATGGAAAATGTATTGTTCAATATGGAGCTGAAGGAACAGGTTAAATAGCTTTTAAGATAATAAAACAATATATTCGGGATAACCTTGAAAAGTTTGCGAGTGTGAAGAGGGTTTCATGTCTTTTGGTGCAACTCCATGCTTTTAGTAAGATGTCTCAGATTTAATTTTTTCTTGCTACTCATTTTTCACTGCTCATTGATGTAAAATAAACAATTTTGATAAAAAAGACATTTAAAAAAGGAAATAATAATGTAATTATAATAATAAAATGTTTATTATATTGATAGGAAAACGCATTAAAAAAAGCAATATCATGTTTAAATACAACACCTCTAAGTCAAACACAAATGTTTGCACTGCGTCGTGCAAAAGGGAAAATGCCCAGTCTTGATATTTATCTGCTTCATTCTGCAATGGCGGGCCGAGAGCACGAGAAAGGAATTCCGAAAAAATTTTTGATCGATCAAAAAGAGAGTACTTTCAAAAATACGTGTGTAAAATGCGGGTAAATATAATTGAAATATCCGACTATCATCTTTCAAATATCGTATTTTTGATCATTACATATTATTTTATTATTGATCTTTATAGTCATAAGAGCTATGGGACATTTAAGGCACATTCCGAGATCATTATATGTTCATTTTATCCCGAAATACGTACAATCATTGCGACAAGCGGAGGAGTGTAGACGACGATTCTGTGATGCCTGTCTTCCCGAAAATTACCCAGATTCAATTTGTTCGGTCTCTAAGTGTTCCGCAAACATCAAAAGGGGATCGAAAGCGCTCCAGAGAATCGAAAATGATATATCTAGACTCGTCTTCTCGTGTTTATCAACAAAATGCAAGCAATTTCTTACCTATGATGATTTTGGTCGCCATTCTCATGATATTGACAGAAGCATGAATAAAAATAATAAATCGAGGACTGGAATACCAAATGATTCCTTTGATTCCAGTAAGGGGAATAAGGTGAAAAATCCTCCGACACAACCTGAGGACAAAATGTACCCACCTTTAGATACATTTAATTCAAAGGACGAGGGAACTGCGAACTCAAAAGATGAAGATTATTCTAATGATAACCCTTCAATTCATTTTTCAAATCCTTCACCTGATCAACTGAAATATCCTAGCAAGGAACTTTCAAAAATTCCAGAAACATAAAGATAACAATGCTGACCTTTCAAATCCGAAGAATTTTGATATTAAATCACAAAAATTTTGAAATCAAAAAGAATTTTGAAGAAGGACAATTTAGTTACATAAATGGAAATTATACGGATCAATGTCCCCCCGGTCCTATTGAAAATACACGCCAGCATGATACTGTTTTGAAAACAATGAAGAATAATCACTCAAGGTATTAATTTCTGAAGATTTTATTTGCTTTACATTGAAATTAAGCGCAAAAAATAATAAACCGTCTGAAAAAAGACCAGAGGATGTTCCGACATATAATCAAGAATATGATTCAAGGTGAGGTTTTTATTTCATATGAAGACATAATATTTAATCGTTGGTACTAATGCAGTCTTAGATTTTCGCCTATCGAAGTGATATCAACCGAGCAAACATCTTCTTACGCTATGGATACTTTTGATAAATGCCAAGCATCTATGCAGAACGCTTTCCAAAATCTGATGGATGGGATCGAATCACTAAAGAGGGAGAGCACCCAGAAGAGCCTCGCAGTTAGATCAGACAAAGAAGAATTAAAAGATAAGGAAAGACAAATTTTTGTCGCTAAGGAAAGTTTTAAAGGTTTCATTTTAATGACAACTAGTATATGTTAATGTTTGAAAACTTTAATAAGAATGAAACGAAAAAATTAAACGAACGAGTCGATGAATTAGTTGAAATTATTCGCCAGCAATCAGGCGAGATTGATTCGCTGAAGCAAGATCAATCGAATGCTACTGAAAAAATTCTGATGATTGAATCTTCGAAAACATCAGCTGAGCATGAGTTAATTGACTGTCAAGATCAGTTAAGAGAAGCTTATAAGCAGATCGAGGCGCAATCTACTTTAATGGATTCACTTAAACGATACAAAGAGGAAAGAGATGAGCTTAGAAATAAATTTACAGATCTCAAGGAGAATGCAAGGGGCAGTGAAAAAGCATACAAAGATGAGCTAAAAAACATACATGATCGGCTTGATAAGAAATACGATGAACTGGCGTCCGAAAAAGAAAATTCGAAACGATACAAAGATGAAAGAGACCATTTGAGGAAGGAATATAATCATCTGAAGACGGCCCACGAGCAAACCGAAAAATTTCGTGATTTATTAAATGACCAAAACGAACGACTTAAGGAAGAAATCGCATATTTGAAAAAGTTTATTAAGTAGTATGACCAAAAATAAACTTCTTATCTAGACAAAAACTTGAGGCTGCACCACGGGAAACACAAACGCATCAACAAATCGCTGGCAACACTCTTTCAGAATCGATGAGAAAATCGCGAAGACCGAAACCTACGACAACGACAGACAAACATCAAAAGATGTAGCTTCTAATTCTTGCAACTATCAACTGACATCTTTATTATTTTTTTTTTCTTTTAGTTACAATTTGACATTACAGTAAACGATATTGTCAATATATGATTGATGTACAGTGGGTTGCGCAGGTAGTTGCCCCCTAAAGAGCGGGTGAAGGGGCAACCAATCCTGCAATCACTTTGAGCGAGTCTAGAAAGGAACAATAGAAAAAGCGCGGGCAAAGGGGCAACCAAAGCTGCAATCACAAAGGGGCAACCAACTGCGCAACCCACTGTATATGAAAATAAATCTTAACCAGGTCGCCGAAAAATAAATTCCAATTATTTCAAACCGGCCAATCACGGAGCGGAGTTTGAGTCTCTCGTTTCGATCAAGTGAAAATGGGAAAATTAAAATATTAGAAACTTTTTTTTAGTGATTTGATGAGTTTGAGAGACGTTCGAATTCGATATTTCGAAAATGTTAAAAAAGACATTCGACTCAATACGGCAAGATGTTACTGATGGTCTGACACAAGTTGCTCAGAGAAGTGTGCTTGCTGTGCAAGAACTTATTAATCAGCCGTATACTGCCTATGAACTTGGAACTAGAGAATACGAAACTTTCTTGAATATAAAAAACAGTCAAACTGAGAAGAAAGAAATTGTTATCGAGTCATTTAAACACATTCATCTTATAAAGTCTGAGAAATGGTTCGACGCGTATCTTCAAAATCCAAGGATAGTGAGAACTGCAAAAAATTCAGTTTGAGAATAATTAAAATATATTATATAAGATATATTGAAAATTATATTTTAGTCAAGAGTTCTCACCGATACTCAGACAAGCGACAAAGCAAGTAATCAGATTCTTCCGTCTTCCATTGCAGAAAGAAACCGAAGCTCTCAACGAGTTCTCTCGCTTGGCACTTATTCTCTACGAGTTGGACATTCAAAGTCTTTATAATGCGGGAGTTGTTCAACTTGTTTTAAATTCTGCACGAAAAGAACAAGGCTGGAGTTCTGCTCATATTGCTGTGGATGTTTCTATTAAAGCTGTTTTATCCGGTAAGCTTGAATTCTTTTCAAATTGAATCAACGTAAAATTTCAGTAAACTCGCCTCCAACGAAACGGTTAGATTACGGTGATGGCGATTCTTTGGGAAGAACTCCACTACATCTTGCAGTTGCTCAGAATAAACGAGAGATGTTCGAACATTTACTTGCAATTGGCGCAAAAACTACTGCTCAGGATTCGGAGGGATGCACGATTTATCACTACATTCTAAGGTAGCTGATCATAAACACTCACAAGAGTCACAGAATAATTCAGAGACCCAGACGAGGGCTATCCATGGTTCCAGTACCTAATAGATGAAGCTCCGATCGAACGACCCGACCCGGCAATGAATATTTTGAATAATGAAGGTCAAAACCCGCTGCACAAGGCCACAATCGAAGGCAAAGATAAGTTCTTTCATGGTCTTCTTGATGCTGGAGCTCAGCCTTGCGTTTCAAGTGCGACTGGTAGACTGGCTCATCTACTCCCGTGTAACAATTTTAGGGTAGGATGGGTTGCGTCATTTCAGCGCTGCGCTCCCGGTACAATACCTACCACACCGCCCGCAGCGAGCGTAAAATCCAATAGAGATTGCGCTTTTTGAGAAAGGCGCTTGCTGCGGGCGGTGTGGTAGGTATTGTACCGGGAGCGCAGCGCTGAAATGACGCAACCCACCCTACCCTAAAATTGTTACTGGGGAGTAGTTCTCAAGCATGCTAACGGTGACGAAAAAAGAAGAGTAGATCTATTAGACAAAGTTCTTTCATACGACGATGATGAAATCAACGCGTGTGATGAAAAATATGGTGGAACGCCTCTTCACTGGTCCAGGACAAAGGTTTTCATACATTATTTTGCAATGCTTACTCTCCATTTTAGGAAGACATACGACTTCTAACGAAAAAGGGTGCCTTAGTAAATGCTGTATCTGCGGATAAATCAACGCCGCTCCATGTCATGATCAAAAAACAAAGAACAGAAGCAGCATATGAGCTCGTTTTGCATAGTGCCGATGTCAATGCAGTCGGAGAAAACGGAAATACTCCTCTTCACTTTGCGGTTCTTTCGGGAAATCTCCAGCTTATCAAGGTAACCTTTCATTAGTTGAAAATAAGAACTAATTAGACCTTTAGGCTTTGATATTATTCGGCGCTAACTACCAAATGAAAAATGATGACAAAAAGACTCCAGGACTTGTCGCGCTTGAATCAAAAGAAAGCTCAAAAGAAGAAATTCTAGTTGCCTTACACGAAGTCGGTGCGATGGTCGTCGAACCAGAGTCCCCCATTCCACAGAAAGCCAAAGAAAAGGAGTTTCTCCATCCGTCGAACATTAATTCATCGTCTGGAGATATAAATCACAATAACTCGTACTCTCTTACTGTAAGTCGAAGCGAATCCTGTCGTTCTGTCAAATCGTCGGTGTCAGCTCATGAAGGAAACGATGGGAAAAGTGCATAAGATCTAAAATATATCATATATTAGACAATCAAAACTAAATAGAAGCCTTTCTCCGTCCATTTTATAGCACCCCTTCGTGCCAAATCGATGGATGAAATAGAAGATCTCAAGGAAGCAAAATCGAGCCGACATAATTTGCGGAAAAACTTGCGTATTCTATCATTGGATGGTGGTGGAATTCGGGGACTTGTTCTGACGCAGCTTCTGATTGCAATCGAGCAAGAAGCCGGACGGCCAATACATACGCTCTTCGATTATCTTGTGGGAACTTCAACTGGAGGAATGGCCGCCCTCGGTCTCATGCAAAAATATCGAGCAACAGATATTCAACGATTCTACCTCAAGGAGCGGATAAAGTTCGTTTCGATTGATGTTTGCGATGCTATAATTATCTAAAGGGTATCATTCCAATTAGAAAATCTTTATGAGCCATTCTTATCCTCGCAAAAGCTAAAAGATGACTGTTTTCATGGGAAGCGTCCTTATCACGAAGCGCCTTTGGAATCTGCCTTACAAGAACTTTACGGACAACAAAAAATGCTCGATATCAACGAGCCCCGCGTTCTCGTTACCTCGATGCTTGCTGATCGTCAGCCAGCGGAGCTTTTCTGGTTTAGGAATTTTATTCCAGCTGGCAAAGTTGACAACTTTCTCCCAAAAACGACAGATGGAGAGCACAAGTTTGAACCAACGATCGAGCATAGAAATGACGAAGTCTGGAAAGGTAAGAAACGGTGTATAATTAATATTTACAGCTAATTTAGCGGCGCGTTGCACTGGAGCAGCCCCTACATTCTTCCCCGCAATGGGGCGTTTCCTCGACGGAGGTCTCGCCGCCAACAATCCAACAATTGACGCACTCGTTGAAATCATCCGCGAAGTGAATGAGTACAATAAAACCCCTGAGTCCGACGACACTGGCAAAGAATCCATTAAAATCGTTGTCTCTCTTGGCACTGGCAACCAACCTGTAGTGAAAAGCCGTGCTACAGACAGAATTTGGCCGACGAATGCTCTTGAAGCTTACAAATCACTGACGGCGACGGTCGAATTAGCCAAAATGTTCGTCGATACGGTTTGCGAATGCGACAGATGGGTTGTGGTAAGATCGTTTTTATCGTTCCCCAAATTTAACAAATGCGTTTCAAGCGTCGAGCTCAATCGTTCTGCGACGCACTCGGGACTGCTTATTATCGTCTGAATCCACAAATGTCTGCGGATATTCAGCTAGACGAGACCGACAACACAAAACTTTTCCAGGTAATCTAACTGCTTCAAGCCAAATCTAGCAATCGTTTTAGCTGATGTGGGACACCCGAAAGTACATAAATAAGAACAAAGACTACATCAAAGAAATGGTGTGTCAATTACTCTAACCCAGAAACTTCTTCATTAAACTACGTGGCAATCATCTAATTCTGTGTGCCATTACTGTAACGGATACATTTTTATTACCAAAGGATACGCTTCTTCTCGCTTGTAAGAACAAACCATGCTCTGTGCCGACGACCTTCAAGAACACACTCTTACCTATCCGCATCTAACATTCAGAAAGATGACCTTCAGGATTACCGGTTATCGCTCTTCAAAACTCTTATCGGTGGCCTATCTCCATTCTCATATGATCCCTACTTCTCTTATCGTTTACTATTTTAGTACTCTGCTGACGAATTTCTTCATTATTATTATAAACACCTATATAATACCTTACTTGTTGAATACGTACATTTCCACAACTTTCCATCAATAAAACTACCGGTTATTGGACTAAAGTAGTGAAAATTGTTTTGTTCTTGCATAGTGCGCAGAATAGCAGTCTAACCTTATCGTTCATGCAGAATTATAACAGAAAGCAGTATTTCGACAGAAATAGATTTGAAAACTCATTTTCAACCAGGAGCTTTCATGAAATCTCGGCGTAGATGCTTCTTCTCTTTCGGGTCGTAGAATCGCTTTGACTCGGGCCTAAACGGGCACAACTCAGAAAATTTATTTACAATTTTAAAATGGCGGTACCAAATTTTAAATCCGCCGAGGATTCTAATTTTCGAATTGCAGAGACCGCTGATGAGGAAAATGCCCCAAAGGTAACTCAAGAGAATTTTATGCTATCTGTCGCGTTGATGACCAGATATACGTAGCCTACTGTAGATAGTCCTAACATTCTCGCGTTCTCAGGACGATGGCATTCTTTACGCTGAAATTCTCTCCGCGGAGTTGGAAAATATGAGTTTGTCCAGAGTCATTTCTTCGGAAGATGACTTTTTCGGTGGCGACAACAATAACGAGGAAAATGAGGAAGGGATGAAGGAGGAGAAGATGAAGTGGATCTTGCGTCGACTTGCCGTTAATACCGACGAGAATCAACAGCGGATGGAAAATATTTGGAAGTATAGAGGACAGGAATCACAATCTTTAGCAAATTGAATAATAATGAGAGGTGTAGATCTAAATAAGATGTTGCGCTTTGGGAACAGTTTCCGACAAGCAGTGGAACGCAGCACTCGATGATCGAAAATGGGAAAATAAATGGTGGTCGAATTCAAAAAGCGGATCCTCGCCTTGAGCCAATTCCTCAGATGATCTTTACTGAACAGGAGAAAGACTATTATTACAACTTCCGAAAAATAGTTCATAATAGGCCTTCCTTTGATGATTGTTTTGGCTAAGGGTTGAAATTCTTGCTATAACTGTTGATTTACGCATTTCATTATTTCTACCAAAGAGAATCAACGTTTCGCTTCGTCACAGAAAATCTCAATCCTCGACGTTACTACTGCCGCTATCGACGAAGATTAGAAGCGATTCCAGAAACGCGCAACCGCGATCCAAAGTATCCGAATCTGCCGCACTGGGTGAGCGAGAATAAACGACTGTACGCTTTCTTCAAGAAGATCGGCGCTCTAGACGCTCACAAGAAGAAAAGTTATTGCTGCCAATACATGCGAAAATGGGACGGCAGTGCGTTCCCGCGGAAGATTCAACGATATCCCCATTTCAGGGTAAATTTTAAATTAACCTATCTATGAAACTTGCGATTTTCAAGGATTTGCGCGATTTCGTCAAAGGGGAAACCTACCACCCGTCACGAAAACATCCATATTAAAGAATTCTACAGAAATAAACTTGATATAGCTTCGTAGAAAAAGGCCAGTTATATTTTGAATCCATGTAGCGTGTGGTGAAGTATCTTTTAAAGTGAGGTTTTATTCGTTATGCATTCTTCAACGTCTTCATCTTTTTGAGAGCAAGGACAGACTTTTCTTGGCCAAACAGAAGGTTTTGGCTGATATGCAGGAGAAATAGGGATGTGTCTCATCCAGCTGATATTTGTTATGAATCTGAGCCATGGAATGTCATAAACTTGAAAATCCTCATCCTTAATCAATCTTTTATGACAATCGAATTCAACTTAAAAACCTTAAATTCCGCAGAGGAATTCCACGATGCTAATCCTCTTTCTTGCCGAGTTCCGGGAATAGTGTTATCGAGCAGGATAGCAGCAACTCCTGCGACGAACGGTGCAGTGGACATAAGAACAACAATGACCTGAATGTATGATAGAATACTGCACAATTTGAATTCGGCAGTTTATTCTTATTTTACCTGATCGAGACCGGTCGATCCAGTGTTGATAGAGTTGGGATGGCGCTCTGACCAAAACGGCAAGGCAAGTCCTAGGAATATTGAAAACCCAAAGACGAATACATTTCTTGATGATCCCAAGTCCACATATTTCAAGTTCGATATTCCGACACCAGAAATGAGCCCAAACATGACAAAGTAAAGTCCGCCAATAACTGGTTCAGGTAACGTTGTGAAGAAAGCAGTGAATTTTCCAAAGAAGCCGAGAATAAATAAAATCAAAGCGGCAGTTTGAATCATACACCGCGATGCACATTTTGTAATTCTTAGGGTTGCAATGTTTTCTGAATAAGTTGTTGTCCCATTTCCAGATCCGAGAGAGCCAGCGATGACACATGCGATTCCTTCCATCATTATCCCTTCACATTTTTATGTTAAAAATAACAATTTGAGTCAACCTCTATTGATTGCATGTACAGGTGGTGGAGGTATATTAGCAATATCCGCTGCAGCATAGTAGTCGCCGATTGACTCCAGCATGCCAGCGAACACGCCTGACAATAGACCAACAGTACCGGCAGCGGAAAAAGACGGAGCTCCCCATTGGAATGGATACACAAATCTAATCGCATTGATAGATATTGGAACTTTTGAAGTGCGTACCTGAACCAAGGAGCATCTCCAATAACTTGTGCTTTGATATCGGTCCTTGCTTGGTACCAGAAATGAGTCGGATCGTTAAGCTTTTCGATATCATGTAAATTTGATTCAATATCAGGTTACCTTTGTCATGCTAGGATTATTATTAGCAGCAGCAGTTAGAATTCCACATATGCCCCATGAAATTATTAGACCTAAAATCAGCGTTGTTACTCCCTTTTTTGCCGAAAGCTCATACCAAGAAGAACAGGAAAGACTTCAAAAACGGGAAACTTTGTCCAGGCAAGTTTTTTGTTTTTGATATAAGGGATCCGCCACTGAACTTTCCCAAGGTATTGACTGAACAAAGTGACGAGGATGAATGACAAAATAGCGATTGGCCAGTTGACTTCTGCGTGTTCTATCGCTGGAACATAAAGTGTTAGGCCGACGAGAGTGATGACGGGAGCAATGGCGAGTGGCGATATGAATGTCAATACAACGCCGATTAGCCCTGTGGCGCCGAGGAATAGCTCTACCAGAGAAGCGGTTATAATGGCACCCTGAACTTCTCGTACACGGCGTTGCCATACTCTCTCAAAAGAAACAATCGTCGGATTGCCATCGTTGTCAACGTCCCGGAAATACTTCATCGCAGAGGTCTCATTTATCGCTGGATTATTGAAAAGTTCTTCGCATCCAGTTTCGATTTCACAGCATTTCATCCCTTCAAAATCAAAAAGTGTTGAACTCATAATATTCGTCTCTGTCTTGTCGACGCATGAGAGAGGCTTTACATTGTCGCACTAGAATCTGATAAATGATCATTTTTATCGAAAATGATTACGTTGAAAAGTGCAGTTCCCATGAGGACAAACGTGGGCGTCAGAAAACTAAATGTGCCTCCTTGAAGAATGGGTAACCTATTTCCAAAAGTAGCTTGGATCATGGTACAGATTCCACTCCCAACAAATAGAGTCGACATTAGATACGATTTTACCAGGTTGCTTTCATTGTCATTTCCAAGACAGAAAGCTGGTGCTTCAAAAAGTTCGTCTGTGTTAAACCCTCAATTGTCTGTTGAGCAATTTATCTACTTTTTTTATTGAAATTGAACTTTTCCTAATATGAGAGGAATTGAAACTGTGCCGCCTAAGCAGGTTAGAAAATGCTGCATGCCAAGCAAGATGCACATGTACCATGGTGGGACGTCTTCTGGAGAGTACAGAACCTCTTCTCTCTTTCCTCGCTTTTTGGTGGTCATTTTAGAATGCTAGACGCTTTAATGAACGATGAAAGTAGTTGTATTTTATTAAATAGCATAAGTGAAGTTTTGGCCGGAAGAGGCGCCCATTGATGTCTTTGCGGGACATTTCCCTCGATCTTCAATCTGAAAAGGCGGTTTTATTGATTGCTCAAATATAATTCAAGTCAAATGGGTTCATAACTCTTTTCTCGATCACTCGTTTTCCCAGACGTAACACCTTAAACAAGCGGCTAATCATTTTCTTCGGCCAGAAAAAACCGTAAAATTTCACTTTTCCTCAAATTCCATTTATGCTCTTCTAACCAATCTCATAAGACCAGAGGTGTTCTAAACATGACCTGGGCGCCCTTTTCCAACATCATGTTCTTCAAGGTCGTTGAGACCGCCTTAAAACGCGGGACAAGACAAAGTCGTGTCTAATAACGGTCTTTATGCGGCTGAAAATTGTGCGAATTTCATTTTTCTCGCTGGCCTTGGCTCGAAGAACGTGTCCAAAAGGCTTTTTTCTATCAGAGACAGGCTTTAACTCAGAGAATTTTTGCATAAAGAAGAACTATAGATAGGTATAATATGAAATTGAAGATTTCTGTCGAAAAGCCAGCACAAGGAGAAGGTGTCTTGACATAGATGAGTGCACTGAAAATATACACGCATGTGACGAATCAACTCAATGCAAAAACGAGCGAGGTACTTACAGGATAAGGTATCGATCTGTAAATTGTGTTTTCCTGTTTCTTTTTTGCATAAACCTTGAAAAAGATGCAAATGCCCTCCTGGAATGATTTTTTACGGCTACACTTGCCATGACATCAACGAATGCTTCGCCGGAACACACTCTTGTACTCCTTCCGAACAATGTGCCAATATAATAGTCACAAAAGAATTCAAAGGAGTTGGATATAGATGTTTCTCTGAAAACGAAAGTGAGAAGCAATTTTCCGAGGCCCAAATTGCTTCCTTCGAGCATGCACCCGAGATGCTCTTCTTTGAAATCGAAGACACTTTTGATGATATTGAATTTTTCAAAGTCGAGGAAGCACTTTCGACATCGAAGGCATCCTCGTTTCCGAAGAAACTTTGTATACAGTACTTTGGCGGGTCAATTGAAAAGATTCTCGCTGAAGTGGGCGTTGATCCAAGTCGCTGGATTATACGGTACTTTGAGCGTATTTTCATCTGTAGTTATGTATTCAGTTCGATGGTTCAAGACATAAACCGTCTTATACGTCATATTTGCGGCACCAAGATCCAAAATCAAAGTCTCAAGCGGTGCATTCAGGAGAAAGGTGGCGGCGAAAACGTTATCAGTACTGCAGAATCAGGAATCACGAATACTACGGAGTGGGCAGCAAGAATGGAAGAACTCATTCATGGACGTGTTGGCGAGTGCAACATCATAAAATGGCATGTTCAGTGGACTCATCGGTTGAAACGAGTGGAGTCTAACTTGCACAAAATATCAATGGAATACCAAAAGAAGAACCTTTCATAATTATCCTGTGAATAAATATTTCCTTTACATTTTAATTCATTAATCAAGTTATAAAGAGCATCAAAATACTGTTCATGTGATAATCCTTCAAGTGGGGTGTGACGAATAGTTCTAGTATTTTTGCATTTATAAAAAATATGGAAATGCAAGAGATCGATGCTGAAAGATTTGTTCTTGATAAATATTTCAAACGGGAACGCAAGTAGAAAAATTGTTTCGGAACATAAAGAAAGACCGCCTCATAGGGACAAAAATAGCGATGATCTTGAACAGAACCAGAGAAACGATGAGTCGATTGTTCGAGAAATACAACCTCGAACAAGAAAACAAATATTCGAGCAGTCGATGTCAAAAACAGCGGGAAGAATCGTTGGAATGAACGAAGATGACTATGAGTACTATTATCAACGATACAGTTGTCTTCCCAATTGTGACGAAGGAACCGGCTCCTTCCCGATTTTTATTCTTGGATCAAGGTTGATTAGTTGCTAATAATTGATTTATAACAAGATCTTAGTATCTTGCAGATTGCGATTTTTTGCGAGTACTACAAGGATTATTCTTCTTTTCAAGAGCTTCTCCGACTAAAGTGGTAAATGATCAAATCGCCATTAATATTTGACCCTGACGAACGTGACGAAATTTGGCGTTTCTTCACTTATCAGTACTTGCATGCCGGACTTCCTCATCTTCTTGGAAATATCATCATGCAACTGCTGATCGGAATCCCCCTTGAAATGGTTCATGGAACTACCCGCATCGCCATAATTTACACAGTTGGAAACGGGTCAAATATCAAATTGATAACAGCAAAAGTATGGACTAGTCTAAACTGGATTTGATCCATTGAAGCGTTATCTTTGGTGCATTACTGTCAGGAATCGTTAACACGAACACGCTTCTTCTTGGATGTTCTGGCGGAGATTACTGCTTGATCCTCGCAAGCTTTTCTAATATTATGCTCAACTTGGATCACATGCACTGGTTCGGCTTTCTTTTGCGTTTCCTTCCTGTAGGAATATATGTTACTTTTGACGTCTATGAGACATACCAGCGATACGTGAATCAAAGTTTGGGACAAGTTAGCTACGCGGCTCATCTTGGCGGAGCATTTGTGGGGCTTACTTTTGGATTTCTTACATTGAAGAATTTCAAACGGAAGCCATGGGAAGACTGTGTTTGGAAGATTTGCATTATTGGTAATTAAATCTGGCTTAAAATGTTATTCAAAATAAGATTAAGTTTTCGCCATTGTCACCGCCATTCTCATCGCATGGAACTGCATTTATCCTGAGCTGAGCATTGTTAACGAAGAGAACCAAAGAAAGGCCCTTCAAGAGCTAAGAAGCTATTATGACGAGCAGAAAGAAAACTTCTTCGATGGCAGCTAATAACCACAATTTGATAGTTGAAATATATTTTATCTGCATGATAACAAAAAATCTTATTTGGTAATAAACTACTTTCATAAAGAACGAACGAATTGACAGTCTGCACATCACTGTAACTCTGACATCTTCCACATGATTTCTTGCAATCTGCAGGTAAACTGTATTAAACCCGAAAAAATGATTAAAAATTCGACACTTTTGGTAACTTATTGATTCCAGCGGTTCACTCACTCCGGCTGTGTGAAGGAAAAGTTTTTCCATATCATGACTGTCATCGAAAACAAGTTAGACTGGTATTTATTTTAGTAGAGAACTGATTTAACGAGTTATAGCAAAAGAGATGAATGCAAACCGATTGAATATTTGGATCATTACCGAAACTTTGCGGCGCCTGGAAGTTGTGGCTATATTTTTGAAAAGCGAGTTCATGGGGCTCGACGAGCGTTTTGGCTGTGTATGATTATTGTTGGAATTATTCATACTACGTACATGCTATGGTTTTACAGTTCAATAATTATTAAAGACTTCTATGTCAACGACGTAAAACTGGGAATAGATTATTCTAAATGCCGATAAATACTTCAGCTATCCATGTTCAGTCAAACCGAGCTTGAATAGGGAGGAGCATGTTCGTTTCCCGAAGGTGACGATCTGCATAAACGGAATGCACAGTAGAAGGTATTCGACTACCACATTGTTCAAATCTCAGATATCCATAGAAAAATTAAAGAAAAGTATCCACACGTGAACATTCATCTGATATCCGAACTATATACCGGATCGTATATCGACAAAGCTACTCCAAGTGGGGAAAAGAATGACAGCGTCATACTAAGCAATATTAGTTACGATGAATTTATCGAAAATACTCATGAAATGGATTTACTTCGTCTCAATGTCGAATGAAAATTTATGAAATTTTGAATCCTAAGAAAGCGGAGTTTGCTCTCCTTGGCTGTCGTTACATGACAAGAGGATGTATAAGCTCTTGGACAAATGGTTTCACGCGCTATGGAAAGTGCATGCAAGTAAAAGAAATTTTCCTTAGAGTCGACATTGAACATTTTAAGTTTAATCCGGATATGGCGAAAATTGAGAAGAAAACATCGATAGGGAGAAAAGCGTCCTTGTCAGTCGTTATTGGCTACAATCAATCAGGTGAAAGCTTATGTTGAAATTTTACTGAATTAATAAGATTCTTCAATTGGTTGGTACCACTTTCTCGCCGGACTCACACTCTACTATTCTGACCCTACTGAAGGGACACTTGACGAGCTGTATTCAATCTCAATGCCGCCGGGAGCAGTTCCGATGTAATTGCAAGACTCATAGAAGCTTCTTCTAATATTTTAGGGTCTCCATCTTGCAGCTCAAGTTGAAGAAGCTCGGAGCTCCTTATTCTAAGTGTGTTGGTAAAAAGACAAAAAACTGGTTAGATTACTACCCTACATATACCGAGCATCAGGAATGGTTTAGATTGGCTTATAATAGTTTTGAGTCAAAACTTCTGACTTGAACTGTAACTAAACCATTTGGAGTGTCTGAATGAGTGCTTGGCAAAAACGATATCTGGCGTTTGCGGGTGTATGCCGAGATATTTATCGACGTCTCATTATAGTAAGATATTGAAATCAAGAAAGAATACTCGATCCAATTTACTTCAGCCCCGAGTCATCCAGCGTGTACTTTATTAGAGCACGCTGTCTGCGTATCACGCCTTATTCATGGTTCAAAATTTCGAAAGCTTCTTTATGAAGTATAATATTGAACCGTATCCAAGTAAAATGTTTGATTATGGGCAATGCGGGTGCATGAGTGCTTGCGAAGAGCGTCAGCCAAAAGGCGAAATTGTTCAGTATGGAAATTATAAAGATGCGGCGAAGATAGTTCGAAGCTCACGTATCAATGTCGAGAACATGTCCGCAGCTGTCGTGTATCTAGCCGAAGTCCGTGGAACAGTTCACGAGGAAGGAGCGAGCAGAAATACTTCACATCAGAAAAATTGATTTTGAATTATTTATTTCGCACCCTCTACCGAAAGTTCCAGACTACGGGCCCGAGCAGTTTCTATCTGATGTTGGCGGGGCTGCTGGTCTTGTTCTTGGAATGAGCTTAACTTCCGTCATTGGTCTCTTAGGAGCGGAAACCAAAGCTCACTAACTACAGACATATGAGAGTTTATGTATCCGAAAGAAAGATCTAATGGTAGTAGCAATCATCCGTTATATCAACCAAGTTTCTGCCAGCATACGCCGATCAGCCTTATCGAAGAAAAAGGATAGTCGACGTAATAGCTATGAGCTCGCCGTGAACAAACACAGCTTCAAGAAAGTAAAGCCAACGAAATGCATTATCCTGTAAAAAATCAACAACGCACATAAGTCATTTACCACAACTGGTCAATGACTATTTTGAATATATTTTCCTTTTCCACATAAGTGTTAATTTATTGAATAAATTACTTAGGGATGACTGTTGCAGCTGAACATCTTTGGTTGACGGTTCCTTCTTATTTGGACTTTGAGGGTGAAATAACTAGGTTTGAACTGACATACAAAAGAAAACATGTGTTTACGCTCAATAGTTAAAACTCGTTTTTCACTCGCAAAGCCCACTTGTTCAATATCTGTTGAGCATTCTGGGGATCGGACTTACAGGTTGGTAACTGGTTTTGCACATAAATGAAGAAAAATAGAAACAGTTTGTGGCTGGCGTAAGCAACTACGCTAGTGAGTATTTGTGAGTACATCTTCGGGATAGAATCAGTTGATTTTAGTGTTGACTTTCACAATCTTATTCCAGACTTTTTCAGGCGAGCTCTTTTTGAGCTCAGCAAACATATTCGGATCAGCTCCAGATAGTTGTGACATAAACTAAATTATGACAAGATCCTTTGAAGGGGAAGCTATATCTCACCTGTCCGATTTTCAAAATGGTCTTTTTGTCAGAGGTAATCTCTGGATTCAAGTTGTTGACAGAGTTCAAACAGTGCCCAGCAAGTTCTTGAAGTCGTCCAAGAACTTCCTGGTTTCCTTCAGTGAGAAGTTTTTCGATAACCTCCAAGGTCATTCGCCATTCGGTGTGATCTTCTGTCAATGGAAGACGGGCCAAGAATTGAGAGGAATACGCAGCACGAGTTTCAGCGTGTCCAGCATAGAGCATTCTGGCAATAGCGCCAGTCACATTGTCCTTAAAAGACCTTTGAAAAATATGCAAAAGACGATGATGACTTACTCTAACTTGCATATTTTTGGACTCGTTGAGTGGAAGGGATTTGAGAGCTTCTGGAATCATAGAGATGCCAGTCTCGCCAGAGGTAGCGACGAGGACACCAACACCATAAACAGAGTTGTTGCGGATGTTATCATCTTCGGATGACGTAAATCTCATGAAAACTGGAAGCAGCTGCTTGACGAAGCCTTCGGCACAGTTGGAGCCGAGGGTGTCGAACATATCACCGAGGATACCGATGGCACACGCTTTAGAACCGGAATCGGGCTTCTTCATCAGAGCTGCAGCAGCCGGCAAAATGTCCGCAAGACCCTCGGTGATAACGCCTTGAGGATCAACAGCGGCAACAGCGACGAGAAGCTCTCCAGCTCCGTCGAGAATTTCACGCTCGATTTCTAAAATTATTTTAAATACATCGCCTTGGAGTAGTAAGAGTTAGTTACCTGAGGCTTCTTCATCAAGCTTGACACCAGAATCTTCTTCGTCATCATCATCTAAGTTCAATTAATACGAAAGATTAATAGCGGTCACTTACCCATCATGCAGATGAGTTCGCCCATCATGGCCATTCGGACAGTTTCCAAGATTCGTTTCGTCTCGATGGGTTTCTTGTAAGTGTCAAGAACCTCCGAGATTTCAGCCATGATGAGAAGGGCACACCCGTGATCAGCATCGGTTCCGATTGTGTCAATTCCTTTAGTAACAGCCTCGACGAGAGCAGCTTCATTACCAGAAACCTTGAACATGGCATGGCCAAGGTGAATAAGAGCAGCACAAGCGAATTTACGAACATCTTCGTTAACAAAGTCGGTTAAGCTCTTGCACTCGTTATAGAGTTCAGTGCTGGCATTCGCGAGCTGTTCGGGAATTTTCTGCGCCATGCGAATGATGCTGGAGAGCGCGGTATGCTTCTCTTCCATGTAGGAGTTTTCAATGGTGAAGTGTTCAATCTCTTCACCGTCGTCGCCGTCTTCGATATCATCATCGATGTCCTCAGCCTCGAAAGCAGCAGAGACTTCGTTATCGTCATCACCAATCATCTTGACACCGATGCCTTCAGTGGACTTGAGAGTCTCCATCAAACATTCGAGGATTCGAGGAACAGCTTCGAGAAGCTGTGGAGGGGAGTTTGGAAGGGAGACAACCGAGCAAGAAAGGTTGAGGGCAGCACGTCGAATATCAGGGTCAGTTTCAGCAGAAACGAGCTGTCCAGCAAGTGAGAGAGAGTCGGCAGCCATTGGAACGAAAGATTCACCAGCGGCTGAAGCAAGGGTGGCAAGAGTGTCCAAGGCAGAAGCTTGGAGCATGATGTTTTCAGGAGTGTCTTCGGCAGTAGCGGCCGCGGATTTGGGCAAAAGGCCTTCAAGCATAGAGATGCAGTTATGAAGATGAGGGCCGATAACATTTTCGGCACAGGCGATGATAACTCCAAGAGCAGATACAGCAAGAGTAGCGACTTGACATTTGTCAGAATTACCCATTTGCATGAATCGATGCATCGAGCTCATAAGGGATGGAAGAAGGCTCTCGATCTGATCTTCATCGAGCGTTTCAGCAAGCTGTTCGATGCAATAGAGACCTTTTTCCAATTGACTGTGCTGAAGAATAAGCGTGACCACAAACCAAATCAAAATACTTTGCCTAGAGTCTAGGCCCTAGACATCTATCGAATATTTTTGATTTTCATTTATTCGCGAGATCTTTCCGTAGTCCGCCTGAAGAAAACCTGTATACTATACAGTGTATAGGTCGAAAAATCTTGCGAATAAATGAAAATCAAAAATCAAACACGTCAACATCAAAAGAATCTTTTGAATACACGTACTTTCATGAGATCATCCGGCGAGTTTTCCAAGAGTCCAGTAACGAGCTGCAGAACTCTAGGCGCAAATTCGGTCATTGCTCCAACCATCTGTTCGGCGAACTGGCCCAAAGCGTAGAGGGCTGCACCTCGAAGAGCTGGGTTATCGCTCTGAAGGGACTCACAAGCGAAGGTTACAAGGGACTCGACGTGACCAGCCTCGATAAGAGGGCTTGCGCACCCTTCGCAGATGACCGCCAGAGCTGATAAGGCAGCACGCTTCTGATGAGCTTGACCTATTCAAGATAAAACTGTCAATCGTTTTCACAGCATCATTTTTACCTTGAGACGCACGAGTCGCAAACTCCATGATAACGCCCAAAACTTCTGTGTTGGGAAGCTTGATTGAAATAGTATCAAGAAGTTGAAGAGCGATCGATCGAGGAGTATCTTCTTCTTCGTCATCTTCGTCCTCTTCATCTTCCATGAGAATAGGGAAGCAAAGATGCATAAGATCTTGTGTCATTTTTTTCTTTTTAATAAACTTCGACTTTGCGGACACAGCCTGTGTCAAGAAGTTACCCGCACAGCATCGAAGAGCGGGATCTATCGCACAAAGATTTTTATTTTATCTACATCCCCGTTAACTCACCTGCATCACCAGTTCCGAAGACTTGAGCAGCCCATGTAGAAAGATCTTTGAGAGCATCTGCGTTAAGAAGACTGACTGGACAGTCGAGAGCAGACTGGAAGACTTCGAAACCTTCCGCAGCCCAATCACCTTCACCAGCTTCAGCGATGCACTGGACAGCACCCACAGATTTTTGCAAAAGAGATTTGGCGGCGGCTTGGTTAGACTCATCGAGCTCCGTCAAAATGGCGCCGAGCGCACGTAGAGCTTGGTGGAGAGAAGTTGCTTCATTGTTGTTAAGACAGCTGCCGATGAGCTCGAGGCATTTAGCTTGCGTGGTCTTTTCTCGGACTACAGCTGGTGCGGAGGTCGCCATACGCGCAAGAAGTTCTGCTCCTTTCGCAGGTTGCGATTCACAAGCTTGCTGAACGAGGTTGAAGAAATCCGGCCACTCATTGTTCTTTCTGAGGATACCAGAGCAAATCTAAAAATATTTATGTTCTTGATTGAGAAATGAATCTAACCTCAGCAACTGCAGACCAAACAGAGGCGACTTCTTCAGTTGTCAGTGATTGCAGCATGTGTTCCCGAATTGCATTTTGTTCGTTGGCTTGAAGAGTGGAAAACTTAACTCAATTTTACTTTCGAAGGAGACTGCCTGATCGAACCTTTCGTGCGATATCTTTTCGCAGGAGAACAGCCGCCATTTGGCGAACCGAGGCGTCATGGTCCGATAGGGTAAGCTGCATCAGATTGGGAAGCAAGCTTTTGTCATTCTTAATTTCCTAAAGAACAGTTAGCAGCAGAAACCGTAGATTGCTTGCCTTCATTCGCGCGGTGGCCGCAGCAGCCTTCTCGGGGTTGAGCAGGTCAACACAAATCTCTCTAATTTTCTCCATCGCGCGATACTCACTCTAAAAAACATTTTTACGTTTTTCCATGCGACCAAAATGCATAATAATAATAAATAACAAGCGAAACTTATTTTCACGTGGCGATAATTGCCTCAGACTAAGAATATGACTCAGTAGTGACTCATAAATAGCAAAGAATAGCTGATTGCATCCTTTATGCATATCCGGTCCGTGTTATCCCGCAGAATAAGGAGGCCAAACTTTTCTGAAAATTCCTCTTCATATGTGTCATTCTCTGACCTACTGATGCTCAATCTACGCGCGCACAGAAGCGCGGTACAAGTGTGTGCGCAGCCAAACTCTTGTGCGTCTCAACTTTGTCCAGATCAGGAGACGCTGACTCTGGATTTCAATCGTTACTTCACAGTATAAAAACCATTGAATAGCATCACAAGAAAGTTTAATTATTGGGACGAAATCAAAGATAAAGGCGTATGTAAAATACGGTATGTTACATACCGTATGTACCCTCCAGAAGAGATGTAGTTAATGAATAAGAACAAGCTCTAGAAAAAAGAAGATTCTAATTTCTTTTCGGCAGTTGAAGCGAGTATTTATTACGGTGGAGAACAGATCCGAAATAGTTTTATGATGATATATATATAGGGAGCAATTTTTTCTATCTTTGTTCTAAAAAGAAAGCTTTCTCAAGGTTCAGCATGTTGAAATTCCTGTAAAGATGATGTGGCAAAAGTTTACCACGGTGTGTCGCCCAATGCTTTCCAGAAGACATGATCGTATCCTTTGATGTTCATGATGCCTTCTTTTATTTGCATTTTCCATTGATTTTTGTTTCGCGTGATTTTATCGTACTTGCATACAAGGATGTTTTCTTAAAAAATGAAAATCAGTTAAGAATAAAAGGGCCGAATTCATAAAAGGACGTAAAATTGCTTACCACAATCAAAGGTTTCATCGACGCCGGGACTGGGACAATTATCGTCAGAATTTAGAGCGGGTTCGTCGACATGTTCGGCTTAATGAAAACTGAGCTGTAATCTCCAAAATGAAACTTACTGTCAGAATCAGGATCGTCACTTGAAGATGAGCTCAAGGATCCTGAGGATACATCATCGCCGACGCCATCTATTTGGATAATAATTTCGCTATCTTCGTCTAACAGCGATCTGATAGATTCTGGAAGTGTTGTAGGAATAGGAGGTGGATTTGCAGGAGCTGATTTTGTTTCGGGAACTTCGATTGATGGAGCTGGGGTGACTTCTGATTCCAGTTCAAGTTTATCATCACTTGTTCCATCGAGTTGATGAACGTGGTTGCTGTTTGGACTAGCCCGGTGGCTTGGACCAGGGGATAGGTTCTGGGCACGGTTATTTTGAACTATGATTCTCTGTTGCTGCGGCTGTCGCTGCTGCTGGGAATGTTGAGGACGTTGTTGAACTATGTATTGAGTCTCAAACAGGCTCTTTTCTCGTATTCATTGAAGGGTGGGTCTCTTATTTCTTGGAATTAATGAGCGGTTCCTGAACTTGTTGAGGCCTTTGAACATAGATGCGCTGCGGTTGGGGCGACTGTTGTACATTTGGGGACTGGTTACTTCTATATTGAACGTATTGAACTGGTTGCCCGTTGCTAGTGAATTGTCTACGCTGAATCGGTCGGCCATCTTGACTGACTTGTCGTTGTATATAGACTGAAACTAGAAAAATAAATAATGACAGAAGTAAAAACCTTGTTGAGGCTGTCGCACAATTTGTTGAGGTTGACGGACAACCTGCTGCTGAGATTGGCGACCAGGTTGTCGAGTAACCGCTTTGGTTTCGGCGAGTTTTCGCGTCCAAAGACGCTTGACGTCTAACAGACTTGCTTCATCGTAACCTTCCTCAATGAACGCGTCCCGGCATGCTTTCATAACGTCTTAATGCCTGCTTTAAAACGACATTTCAAGTGTGACTGAAGAGGTCTTTCGGTTACCTGAAATGACACCATCATACACCGAAGCCGTTATATAATGCGAAGGAACTGATGTCTGAGGAAAAACCATTCTATGAGAATTTTTTAAGATTTTTTATCGTCTTTTGACAATTTATTTGCATTTGAAAGAAAGAAAGAAGAACAGTGAATTTGGGTATGGAAAATACCCAGTCTGGTTATAATACAGAGCCTTCGCTTAAAGCTGGGGGTAGGAAGCGGAGGTGGCGATACCACACTAAAAATGGAAATAATACGATGAACGGAGAAATTTTTACTGACGTTGTTGTTCTTGTTTCGAGACATCATGATGTAACCGTTGTCACCCCAGGTGGCAGACCAGCTGTTCTTGACGATAAAAAGTCATCGCCATTGGAGGTTCCGTATCCGACAGCAGTGACACCGTGGTCAAGGAACTGGCTGGAGCAGTTGGGCTCGTAGTAAACTCCGGAAGTGTAAAGCTGGAAGCTCATGTGCGAAGCGTCAATAGCAACGGAGATAGGGCCGATCATCTGAACAGCGTTGGCGAGAGCGCCCTCATCACCAGAGGCGATGTTGTAGCAGGATGAAAGGCTGGTTCCAACGTTAGCGGGGTTGAAAACGCATTTACCGTCCTCGGCGGTGTATGGGTATGAGGCCTCAGTGTCGACGCCTTTGTTGTCGTGAATGTATGTGAATCCCTGGGTCATAAGACCACCCGAGCATCCGTAGTTACCCCAGTTCATCGAGCAATCAACGAGCTGCTGCTCGGAGAGAGAGGTAAGGGCGTTTCCGGCAAGAGCCCACTGGGACTCAAGGGAAGCGATGGTTGAGAAAGCCCAGCATGAGCCGCACTGTCCTTGGTCCTTGACGGGAGTGACAACTGGTGGGTTGGCTTTAATAATCAAATGAATCATATTGACAAAGTGCGTTCAATTACCAGTTCGCCAGTCAGCGCTAGCTGGCATCGTCGAGTTTGCGGCGACACTGGAATCGGTGCACATTGGTGGGTGTGGGCCAGAGAGATCCTGGACCTTGGCGAGGTAGAGCTCGGCGAATTCCTCGCTGGTGAGATCGGCGAATTTGTTCATGCCGACGGTGAAGGTCTTCTCACCGGCTTCGTACGCAGCCATGTGCTCGTCGACGAAAGCCTTAAATATTCAAATGAAACATGTTCACTAAGTGCGTTCAATTACCTTGTTCTTCATCCAGACGTTGTATCGGGAAACCTCCTCAACCTGAGAAGCGTATTCGACCTCATGCTCCTCTTTCCATTCTTGGAAGAGCTCCTGAGAGGCGGAGGCGGCAGCGATGATTCCGGCGACAAGCTTCATTTTTTGATTTCGATTTTTGCTCGAACTGATCACTTCGAGCTCGACGTTTCATTTTATACTTATTAGAAGCTTGTTTTAAGCGTATAAAATGAAAATTTTATGTGCCTGTGCAAACGCTATAAAGTCAGAATGGCGCTCTCACATCGCTAACGACAGTACTGACTCGGGAAAGGGAAAGTATTTTGCGAAATCTTCAAGGTCGAATCGTCCGTGTTTTGTTCTTACTGACGGACTATTCCACCGGAGTTTTCTGTACTCGGATATTTTTATTCATGTTAAATTAGAACAAAGAAATAACAGGTGTTGAATAACTTTGAATTATATAGAATATAAAAGAACGATTAGAAACGACATAGCAACAGTTGCTTGAAGAAATTTGTCCGTGTAAGCGGTGAAAATAAAGTCCAGTCTCGGACGGTAAGATCTCTGATAATGACGTTGAATGGAAATGGATTGCAAAATGGACTAAGTAGAAAAACGATATTGCAGTAGATTTGATGAATATAACTTTGCAAAGTTTTGAGCATTTTCGTCGATTTAAGGTAACATCTGGAATAAGTACGGCACGAGAAGAGCCTGAAAAGAGCATCAGTAGAGAAACAATCTTTTAGCTTGAGTACTTTAGGGTTCTTCATTCTCAAACTGCTGATAGTTGTCACTTCGGGCAGCGTTGGCGAGCATCTGATCTCGATCAGCTTTTCGGCCAAGCGCCATTAATCCATATAAAACGCCAGTAGCGAAAGGAACGATTATTGAGCCTAAGCTGCCAAAAGGCGAGTTGCTAGCGAGCATCATGTAAGAAATCATCGAAAGGCTAAATCTCGTTACTAAAAGTGACAGTAAATATTAAATACCCGCAGTAGATTGCTCCACGATGCCAAAATCTCACTCGGTCCATTCTTTGGATTATCGGTTGAGCAAATGTGACTGGGCGGCAAACAAAAGTAGCTGAAAGAATTAAATAGTTTTTTTAGTAAAAGGAGCTGTCCGTACCCTCCATCACGAAAATGAGAAAGCCTAGGAAAAGCATAATTGCATAGCCTATAAATTCCACCGCATCAAGGCTGATGGCGCCCTTGAAAAGCCCAAAGAATCCACCAAAACAGGCAGTGATACCACCGATAACACCGGCAACTGTGGCGAGCCATCGCATCCACCTAAATCCCGGTTGATAATGTTTTTGTAACAAGCTACGTACCAGGCGACTTCTGATGCCTCATCTTTTACGGCTTGCTGTTGTTCGTCCATCCGAGCCAGTCAAGACAGTTCTAAAGACGCAAATTTCGTAATTTTTGTATAACACTGGATGCATAAATTACATCCATGCGGGGTCTTTAAACTTTTATACCGAAAGACTCGTGATTTTCGAGAAAAATCGAAAAGGCAGGTAGTATTTACTCTAGGCAAGATTTATCGCTCGTGAAAAGGGACAATTTCCACGGTTTTTTATAGACAAATTGCAAAAGTTCGAATATGGGAGTGTCATTGCGCGCTTTTTGGAAAGACAATAATGGATAAAAAATTTTCGATCGATCGAAAACTTCGAAGGTGTTCTCGATCAACCAAGTCGATTGATTAATTTTATGGTTATAATTAAAATGCTGAAAGTGAAATATATTACCTTATCTGTGATGGTGTCCCCAAAAATAAAAAAGAAACGTTTGGCCTAGTTCTCTGATAGTTGTTAAAACTGGCACGTCTCTACGACCTACTATAGCGCATGATTCACATGAGGCAATTCTAATAGCGGGTGACTCACGGTCCGCGCTATAAAGCCCAACTTGGCGGAAAGAAATCTTCCCTCTTTACGTTTTTGAAAATAAGAGTAATCGAACAAACGAAAATGAGCGCTTTTGAGGTGGCTTGCTGGGAGTACGAGATAAACAAACAAAATGGGAAGTTCGGAATTGAAATTTTCGGTGGAATCGACAAGGATCCTGCTCAAAATCCGTACTCCAAAAATGGGTAATGAAAATTGAAGAAACTCTTCTTTCTAACTCAACATTGAAGTGATAAGGGAGTCTACATAATCAAAATTGAGCCTGGAAGTGCAGCAGAAATAGGAGGCCTGAAAGTCGGTGATCAAATTTACGAGGCCAATGGATTCGACTATACAATGGTGACGTTTGCGCAAGCGGTACGCAGAATCCAGCGAAAAGATACCCTCAGATTAAAGATCGGAAGAGCGGATACCTCTCCCGGAAGCACTACCACGTCCGGCCTTTTGTAAGACTGTCCTTTAAAATGCCTTGAGCAAATAAACATGCATGAATCGACTGAATAAGACATCTTTGATAATTCCCAAATTCTATTTATTTTATGTAACCTAAGGTTGTTCATCAGAAGTTCGTTTGTTTCATAACGAGACAAGAAGATTTTCAGAGAACAGATGTGAGTAATATAAATAGGAAATCGACTTTGATGCTATGTGTGAAGATAGATTAATATTAAGAGGAAGAGATGCACCTTTCGATGAGGGAAAGTGGGAGGTTCAATAGAGAGAGGGGAGAAAGGAAAATGAAAGAAGAATTAAGGCACGACCTTGAGTTCAAATAGTGGAGAGAAATAGGAAACATGATGGGCAACAGTAACATTATGCTAGGTTGTGAATAGGTGCAGTTTCTTCGAGTTTATATTCCATTCGATGTTTGCGAGCAGCGGGCTACTCGCCAAGCTTGTAACTTAATCGTCTCCGAACCAATCGTCTTCGTCGCTATCAGCCGTAGTCGTAACAGTCTTTCGGATGCTTCCCTGATTCGCCTGTGGCACCTTCACTTTATCCTTCAACAAGATTTTGAGTGAATCTCGTCTACCAACTCACCTGAGGTTCTTCCTTGTTTGCATATCTCATATCAGTTGCCCCGTAAGGCGCTTGTCTGGCAGCGGAGCGAGCGTATACTCCACCGTTCGGTCTGACGGGTCGGTTGTCCCGATAGGCCCGCGCAATATCTTTCAGCTTCGAGGGGACTTCTTGCTTTGCTTCCGTAAGCAACTGCAAGAGGTCATCCGAAATCTAATAAAAGGTTTTATTTATTGTCTCAGTGAAGAAATACCTTGGCATTCTTTTCATTGTAGAATGCTGTGGCCCAGCCAGTGTTACCAGCACGTCCAGTACGTCCAATACGGTGGACGTATTCGTCAATCTCACTTGGCAAGTCAAAGTTGATAACATGACGGACATTTGGAATGTCCAGTCCTCTAGCAGCAACAGCAGTGGCAACCAAAATTGGTGTTTGACCAGTCTAAAAGGCAATGATTATATCTGCAACGGAGCATCTAAGGAAACAAACCTTGAACAAGTGAACGGCTTCTTCTCGTTCTTGCTGGTTTCTGTCTCCGTGGATACACGTAGAGTGGTATCCACGCTCATGAAGAAAATGGTCGAGATAATCGGCTCCTTTCTTCGTCTCTGTAAAGATGATTGTCAGCATCTCTGCTCCTTGACCGTTCTCAAGAAGCTCACAGAGCTTTCGGACTAAACAACTTCTGTCAGGCATGATGCGATCGAATTAACTTTTACCTTTTTCAGTTTCCTGGACATACTCGAATCGTTGAGTAATATTCGCCGAAGTAGATCCAACGCGACCGACAGCCAAAAAGATGTAGTTATCAAGGAAGTCAGACGCAAGCGCTTGGATCTGCTTGGGGAATGTCGCGGAAAACATGAGGGTTTGTCGATCACCCTTGGGTGGAAGAGTATCCTGGAAATAATATTGGAAGAAGCCGAAATATTACGAATACCTTTTCGATGATCCTTCTGATCTGGGGCTCAAAGCCCATATCCAACATTCTATCAGCTTCATCCAAGCAGAGGAAGCGACAGAATTCAAGACCAACTTTTCCTCGTTCGAGGAAATCTGCTAATCGACCAGGGGTAGCAACCAAAAGGTGACAGCCGCGAGAGAGATCTCGCAGTTGCTCCCCAACATCGGCTCCACCATAAATAACACAAGGACGGACCTGAATAGTTTTTATTAAGAGTAAAAATGAACAAACTGTACCTTGGATCTGTAGGCGAACTTAAGGGCTTCCTGGTAGATTTGGTTTGTCAATTCCCGAGTAGGGGAAAGGACGAGAGCGAGAGGGTAGGCTTTGCGGCTCTGGTGTCGAGGGATCTTTCCAGGATTGTGGAAGATATTGGACAACATTGGCATGAGGAATGCCGCAGTTTTACCCGAACCAGTTTGGGCGCAGGACATGATGTCTCGCCCAGCATGGATAATAGGGACAGCGTACTAGATTTCAGTGAATGAGTCGTAAGTAGGATTGCATCTTACCTTTTGAACAGGGGTAGGGACAGTGTAGTGAGCGAGCTTAACGTTTTCAGTAATGATAGGACCAAGCTCAGCAGAGATGAAATCGTCAATACAAGCGGGGACATTTTCACCAGACGTTTCAACTGAATAATCGAGTTAGTAATGCTCTTTTCTCGATAAATACCGGGGATATCGTCGTATTTGTCGAAGTTGATTCCACTAGATACGCCAGCGAAGAGCTCCTTCTCGAGCTTCTCGTCTCTGGGCTGAAGCGCGGACCAGCTCTCGTCTGGTTCCATAAAGTCGGGCATTGAGTTGCGCGAAGCGGGCCGACGGTCGTCTGGTCGACGATCGTACCCAGAAGAGCTAGGCGGACAGTCTCGTCGATCATAAAAATCTCTCCGTTCACGATCATCTCGGTAAGAGTCTCGCGGTGGTGGTCCTCGTCGATCGTAGTCGTCCCGGCGACCGTAATCTCGTCGGTCGTAGTCTCTGATGTCAACTTTGAAGATAAGGCTCTGTGTACGAAGTTACCTGTCTCTGCCGTAACCGTTGTCGCGACGGTCGTAGCCATTGTCTCTTCGATCGTATCGGTCGTAACCGCCTCGGCTGTTACCATATCCTCCCCGGTCGTAGCCGCCGCCCCCGTATCCACGATCGTAGTTAGACCGCCGATCGTCGTATCGGCGGTCGCTGTAAGAGTTACCCTAAAACTCATGGTAAACGATTTGTCTAGATCTATTTATCTAGGTCAATAAGGTAATAGAAAACTCGACCACAGCGTCTTACCGTGCAGCACGCTAATCAATACGAAGTAATAATCGAAGAATAGCGAATTTACTAGAGTCTTTTTAGGAGATTTAAATAGAATAATTTATATATTATAACATTTTAATAAGAACCCTTCTCAAATAGAACTCACCTCAGAAGTTCCTGAGCCGTTTCTCTGCGATGGAGGCCTGTAGACTTCCTTCTTTGGTGCAGAACTTTCGGTCATAAAATCTAGGAACAGTTGGTTACAGGACAGGTGCTACTCCCGATGAAGTTGCGAAGTGCAAAACAGTGCGCGAAGGGTTAATCTCTTTGATGGATGGTAGTAGTGGTGTTGATTCGGAATTCTGAGCCGTTTCAAACCCATTTGGCGAAAATAAATAAACACTGTCCGGTCAAAAAGGTCTCTTTGGCGCCCTTCGGCGTTCAATTCCGGCGAAGGGTGGAGTCTGACTCGCCGAGTTCAGGTCAACCTGAGCGCATAGAGGGGCCCTCGAATGACCGAAAAAGGTGTCAGGCTTGACTTTCGGCCAACTCAAGAGTAAAAATGGAAAGGAGTGATTGAACGGAGAGTGTGCGCACACGCTGCGCGCGTGACAAAGCAGCAATGTGACTCACCACATTCAATAACGACTATTTTTCCTAATATAACGCAGTCAAATTCTTTACTCATACTTTTTTCATTATTTTGAAATTACGCAAAGCCTTTCGCGAAGACAGAAACTTCTAATAAATTAACTATTTCTCCGAGGGAAAATTCCTAATGGCGGATCTCTTCAGAGAATCTCATTCTTATATCCGTCTCAACAATAGGATCAAATGTTGCCCCAGGATATTCTGGTATCTTCTGACAGACAATCCAAGACTATGGAATGTTTTGCGCAACAAATATGAAAAAAAATATTCTCAGTCGAACCACTTCTACCTAGACCGGACAGAAGAGCTCTAGAACTTTCCAAAATTCAAGAGAAACACGTAACAAGTGATTTTTGATGAGCGAGAATTTATTATTTAACATTTTGAAGTCGTAAGGGATGGAAACTGTCAGAACATGTGTATAAATTGAAATGTTGATAAGAGAATGAAGGCAATCTGTAGGGGTTTCGTGATAAGAAGGTTAAAATGGTAGAAAGTGTTTCAATGAAGTGATGATTGAAAGAATATTTCCTAAGGCAGAGTTGGGAATTTTTTGAACTTATAAATCTTCAGGTTGAATTCGTGGCTGAGCAGCAGGCATCGAATTGGCTGATCCCCCGGCTGCACTGATGAATCCCTGGGCAGTGTTGAGCAAGTTGATCGGGCTTCGGCCGTCTAGAAATAAATATTTAAAAGAAGCGCGTTGCAAGTGAATTACCGGTGATCAGAGTAGATGTAAGCCCAAGTGACTGGAGAAGTTTTACTTGGTTGTCTTGTCCAGCGCTTGCCATCGCGCGGATTGTATCAGGTCCGATTGCGTCGACCATTTCCTTGAACTTAGCAATTTCAAGCTTCGACTCTTCCTGCTGCTTCGTGAGCTCAAGCTCGTTCTTCTTCTTGATGTAATCGATTTCGGCGTCTCTTGCCTTCTGAAGTCGATCTAACTCCGCATCGGCTTCGATTTTCTGAGCTTCCGCGCGAAGACGAGCTTGATCAACAGAAGCCTGGAACTCGATAGCGGAAGCCTCGGCTCTTGATTTCGCTTCAGCCTGAGCTTGGCCACATGATTCGAGCGCAGCAGAAGCCGCTTGGAGTTTGAGAAGCTCCTGACGAGACTTCTCGGCTTCGGCGTCGTCTTGAATTCGTTGACGCTCGAGTTCACCCTTGGCTTTCTGCTCTACTCGGAGAGCATCTTGCTTCGCTTTGGCTTCCTGAGAGTTTGTGGTAATCTCGATCGCCAACTGGACCGACTTCATCAAAGAGTCCTTTGTGCGCTGGTCGACGGGTTCCACGCACTGAATATCGACAGATGTAATGACCAAGTGGTTGTTGGGGAATTCAAGTTTGTCCTTGACTTTCGTTTTCTCAGTATCTTCGAAGCCGAGAACAGATCCTCGGATGATCTTGGCACTGTCCTTGTGGAACTCATCGAAGGTCTTGCTGGCAACAGCGGCACGAATTCGCGACGCAGTCGTCTTGCACATATCTCCAATGAAGTCGGGAACGCAAAACAGTTTTTCCTTGGCCTCATCGGACGCCTTGGCCTTGTCCGTGTCGAAATTCCAGTTGTAAGAGACATTGAGCCGAAGTCGAGCATGATCAACTGTTTCTACGTCCACAACATCGGTGCAGAAATCCGGGCCGAGGAGAAGAACGAGTGACTTGATAACACCTGGCTTCTTTGGCTTGTCTCCAGAAAGGGACAGCACAGTGAATTGTTCATCTGGCTGCAACATCACAAGCTCGGGACCGAACACAACACGCGACTTCTTGGCCTTGAAATCGTACAGCTGACAAGCAGCATTTTGGGGCACTTCCAGGGAAACAACCCGCGCTGCTTTGGGAACTACGGTAGTAGGAAATCCCTTTCGGCCGACTGGAGCACCCACGAATTCTGCATTTGTTGCACCAAAGAGAGATCCACCTGGAGCAGCGCGTTTATGCATGTTGTCTCGTTGACGAATAACATCGTTGGAGATGTCGATGCGGTTGTTTCGATTGACCAATGGGTCGAGTCCGATGAGTTTGGTCACATGCTCTGGCAGTTCTTTCTCCCAAAACTCCTCGTTTTCTTTCAGAAGATAAGTTGTTCCGATTTCCGTGCGGACTCGTCCGGTCTTAATGTCTCGAATGTAAACACCTTCGGTTTCCGCAAGCGCAATCGCCTTGTTCAAACACTTGATGTCAGTCTCCACGGTCGGAACAAACTCGCCAGGTCCCTTGAACATCCATTTGTCTCCAGGAGCTCGCGAGATATTGTTCTCGTCTGTGAATGCTTCATTCGCAGTGAGAACAAGACCTTCGTCTTCGCCAAGAATGATGAAGTTCTGGATGCCTCTGGGGATGGATTCTTCGGGATGCAAGAAGAAGGATGCCTCTCCGCGACGCAAGATTTTCTTTCCTCGCTGATTCTTTAGGTTCGCGTCGACGGGATCTTCAATGACGCAGTACTGGCGCGAGCTCAGGGTTGTTACCGCAACTTCTTGAACGACTTCTTCGCAAATATCAGGAATAAATGCTTCGATGTCATCCTTAGTGACTAGCCAGGTATCTCCAGTCTTTCGCTCTTTTCCAGTGAAATCCGTGAAGTTGCCAGTTGCTCGGACGTGAAGTGCCTTTTTATCGGTTAGCACTCGAGAGTCCAGAGTTTCAATGACCATTTCGTGCGGTCCGGGAAGGTAGTTTCCAACTTTGCGAATGAGCCATTCTTCTCCTGCGACTCGTTTTTTCTTGTTAGCGTCTTCCAGATCACGAGTCGCTCGGAGTCTGACCGCTTGGTTACGTCCGATGATAAGCGACTTGATTACTGAAACAGCCTTCTCCTCCTTGCGGGGGTAGTAGGTAGCTGGACCGAAAAAGAGCCATTCTTCTCCCGCGACTCGCTGAATGAATAAAAATTAGTACATTATGTGACATTCTGACAGAACAATGAAATGTTTTAATGATTAAACTTTAATCTATTACCTGAGTGCCAGCCTTGTCTTTGAAGTCTTGCGTGCAGTGAATTCGAAGCGCAGTATCTTTGGCAACCACGCGAAGCTCCTTCACTTCTCCTTCCAAGACTTCTCCGGGGTAAAGAGGGAATCTTTCACCAGAAAGGAAGTCGTGAAAACGGATCTCGGTGTCGGCAAAGTGAAGCTTTGCACCGCCGTAATCGTCGTACTTGACTTCACCTTTTTCATCTCGTTCGACCGGATTCTTGATGGTCGCGAAGCTACGTTCGGGGATGGTCACGAAAGGTGTCGGATCAAGCACAATTTTCTCGTTGTCTTTGGCAACAAATGTCTATAATATGCTGTTCTCAGCAACTGATGTCCTGATAAATAGAGTTACCTGTGGACCTGTCTCCAGACGAGTAACATTTGTATTGTTGTCGATGACATGGATGTAAGAGTAAGCCGGAACTCTTACTACGGACAAATCACTCTCACGACGTCCCATCTCTTTAAAAAAAAAGTTTTTCTTTCAAAATATATTTGATTATCTCGCTATTTATTCAATTGCTGTTTTGAGACTTTCGCTGCGATGGCAGTGTCTTTATACAATGGGAGATCTCTCGGGAGTGTTCGCACATTAATCAACCAACGATCCGGAGTTGTCCTGACAACTTAGTCATTATTGACGCGTTTGACGCCGAAAAGGATGAGTTGCAAAATGCACAGTGAGCACGTAATGCACAGATCATCCAATTCGATTAATTGTACGGGTCTTCTTTGACGCAAATGTTATTCTGAGGTCTCAACTCGTAAATCTCAACCACGACGCGATATGACCGTTTATAACTCCATATTGAAATTTAATTGTGCTTGAGATGAACGAATAATGACGCTTCTTGTTGAATTGTTGGATTTTATTTATAGAATGTCCTAGTATAAGGCGGTGAAAGAGCAGTGTTGAACGGACAAAAGATTTATGTACAGTAAAAAATCAAGATATTAAATATAAAGAAACAGTGAATTGCGTTTTCATGTAATAAGGCGTGTTTGGGAATGGTTCGTTTACTAAGTTGGAAGAATAATAAATGAGCGTTCTGAGCGTAATTGTGAGGATAGAGGAAAGAGAGATGGAATGTGTACAGTGAAGGAATGATAGTAGGTAGATTGAGAGGTGAATAGAAGGTGTCTGCAGTCGGCGATCTATTTCTTAGTTGGTCGAGGAGGAAGTGACTTTGGTGGCTGGAACGCCTAAAACCGGATTTTAAAATCGAGATTAGGAAAAAAAACTATACGTGTTGTGTATCCAAAGACTCGAAGTTTGAGGAGCTGATGATTTGCTTGCTTGGGCGGTTTTTCTTTTTGACGGATCCAGATAGAATTCCGCGCACGGTGGAGAAACCGCTCTTCAGCGGAGACTTGTATTTTGACGGAGTGTCGTTGTACGGTAATCCTTTGAAAGGCTGAATGGCTGCGTCGATCAAAACTTTTTCAAAATATAGAAGCATAAAAAGAACCCTTTCGAATAAAAATTCAGCCTCTCCTGTACTGTTTTGCACCAAAGATATATTTGAGGAGATGGATGCAAGCGAAGCGTCGGAATCATAGCTGTGGGTTAGATTATTAGCGTTTGATTAATTTGAAATGATTGTTACCGATCAGCAGCAGTTAACGAGTTCGGCTCGCTTGGCTCAAGATGCGCTCTTGAACTAAACTTTTTGAGCCCTTTCGCCATAGTTAGTTTTATCTTTTTGGCCGTCGTTGCTCCTGATTGATTAATTTCCTGAAGAGACGTGAGCGAGTGTTAGTGAGTGTAAGCGACAATTTACAAAAATATACAAGGTATATTTGTGCGGGTCAGTGCTGCGACCAAAGATCGGCTGCACTTTTAACGTATTTCCGCATTTTATTCGGGAGATCGCGTAAGCTACGAGTCCCTGATGTTATGTGAACCGCATATTCTTGCTGAGAACTATGCTTGCGATGACTGTGACTATGGACTTTAATGTCATCGCGAACTTTTTTGGGCTTTGGCAAGCTCCCAGTCGGCTCAGTTGCCTGCCGTGTGGCCTGTTCTCTCATCAACCTCTATATTTAGTCAATAATAACACGAAGACCATACAAACCAAACAAATTACCTTGAGATTAATGTTGAGATTGCTGAGCTCAGTCTCGGAAATAATATCTTTCATCATTTCTCGATCGCCATCCCGGTCTTTTATTATCGTATCACACAGTGTTGTCAAAATTGATTCCTTGTCCTCATCCTTTCCGATCTGGTGAGTGAAAAGAGACACTACAAACATGCATTTATAAACGAAGCCACTTACGTGATTTATTTAACTTACATTGTTCTTTGTGATTTATCGGCAATAATATTGCGATGGAGATGCACCTTTGAACCTCTGAAGTTTCTTTTACTCTTAGCACGTTAACCACTTTCGTGAGAGAGAAATGGATTTTGTATTCCAGAGCTTCTTTCTTCGAAGTTCCTCGGCCGGGAGTAGCGCCGCGATCTGATGGTTGACGCCTCACTTTTCTCGAGCTGCGTCGTTGACAGATCATCAGTATGTCACTAGGAGAAATGCGTAGGAGTCGAATAAAAGTGTGGCTTACTTGAATAGGATAACGCAGAGTTTATCATTGAGTTTCGTTCCGAGACAGGCTGATGCGTCGAGCCCGACGCAGTTGTAACGGGCGACGATTCTTCGCTGCGCAGATATAAGATACATGGGACATTTATCAATCTCGTTATTCAGCAGGTCGATAAGAGCAAATTGATCTTCAGCTTTTCCACGGGCTTGATTGACTGTTTTCGTCACTTTGTGAATGATTTCTAGCGCTTTATCGAGATGCTCTGAAACAACTTTACTTTTCTAATCACTTGTTTGCGTCTTACCTATATCCTTGTGGTCTTTGTTCATAACCTCTGTTTTCGCCTTGAGATCTTTTAAGAGGAGCAAGTAGCGAGGAAGATGCTGAACTGGCCGAGTCAGCATGTCAACAAGATCGAATTTGTAAGTTGAGCGGGCTTGAGTCGACTTCAGAAAGGCGCGGAATTTCGTGCTCTTCTCGGTTAGTGATTTGACTTTTTCAAGCGAGTGCTCAAGGTAGTTTATGTAAGGCGGATATTCTTTGAGCAGCCGATCGCCGTAGCCGCCGATCATTTGGCCGAGCTGAGTTTCGTCAGACCAATTATTCATCTCTCCTTCAATGGCGTCATTCATTTCCGTATGGATGTTGCAGAGTTCTGCCAAGTTTCCGAAAATCTGTTTACACTCTGCCTCTGGAATTAGCCTCGCTTCCTCAAGTTTCGACTTGTACTCGCTGATTATATGCTGAAGGATCTTCACGTAGTTTTTCTCGACCGTACTGATCTCGCTGCAGATGAATTTTCTGGCTACTCGAGCTTTCTCTATTTTTTCCTGGGCATCGTCTTTGCCCGTCTCACGCTTTTTCGAAACGCCATCGACAACCGCTGTGAGAAGGCTTCGTCGAGATTTTACTGGTTTTTGAGGATCATCAAAGTCTAAATAACTGATCAGTTTCAATACAAAGTCCTTTACTACCGTCTATCTCAGCGTCAGTAATTCCAAACTTGAGTGCCAGGTCTCTAAGAAGTTCATATCGTGTCTCTCCCGATTTGCTGACATTCAAGCGATTAGGAGACGCAATCAAAGAAACGCCTCCTGACTCATCGGCATATTCGGTATTCTCCAGCATCGTCTCATATACTTTTCCGTACCAGGAAGGTGGGTACTGGGCCGAATCTAACCGATATCCGACCTAAATTTGTGTTATCGCACCTATCTGTTGTAAAAAAGAGGAGAGCTGCCGCCTTCTGAACAGCTATAAAAACGAGCCGGAAATTTGATTCCGATGTGTTTACCTGAATACATGACCAGAACCATTCGACGACAACCATCTTCTCGAGATCGTCGGTGCTAATGGAAACTGGTTTTGGCATGTCGTTGGGAATAACGATGAGGTCCAAATCCGGATCGTCTTTATGTACCATCCTCCCACCGTGATTCATAAGTTCTTCCTGCAGTTGGGCTGCTTCGTCGTCTGGAAAACCCATAAAACGCATTTTGTAGTCCTCGAAAGGTGGCGGACGCCACTTGTCAAGATCTTCCTTGTTCTCGGACAACTCGCGGAAGAAATTAGGATTCTTTCGTTTCTCCCAAATATCGAAGATGAGTTCACGCTTATATATCGGCACGTTAAATTTCGATGCATCGACGTATTTCTTCGTGCGCATATTCGTTGTGAAAAGATAGTCGATTTTCAGGGAGATCTGGTCCTTCACCTGCGCGCCCATGTACTTGCAGAGCTTGTTAGACTTGTTATTGGTCGACCTAGGACCTCCCCCAACGACGACAACTAAATTTCCCTATAAGATGGTGAAATTCAATTTTATAACGTTACATTTTCCGAGGAGTGCGGTGTTGAAAATATGCCGCCCTCTGCTATATTTGATGCCCTCGTTCTCTCGATCCTCGCAAACGTACAGGAAGTAGGATTTCCCAAAGATGGTAATCTTTGGTTCCCTTTGCGTGAAATTGCGAAGGATCGACTCGAATAGAGGTCCGCTGAAGTCCTCTACCAAGAATATAAGATCGTCGCCGTCAAACGCCGCTTGATTTTCACGAACATCGTCGAATGTCGTGAATTCAACGCACTCAAAACCCGCCTAGAGGTTTACATGGGTTAACATTAATGTATGACTGTAACGTCCTCACCGTTTCTTTTAGTCGACGGACAGCAGAATTTACTTCCTCGCATCCTAAGACCGATTTCTCCGCAAAAATTGCAATATTGCCACTCATTCTGAATAATAGAGTCGTTAAACTCACGCATCTGGATATTTTTATCGCTCCTAAAGGCAGTCTAGCACAGTTTGACTTATATTCGCCTCACTTGAAGTTTTAGCGGATTTAATTTGCTTCAAAAAATGGGGTTCAGCTTGCACCCATAAAGAATCCGTCAAGGGATCATATTTGTTAATAATATATCTCTCGAGGTTTCTCGTTTGTTGATATAAAAAACTGTATCCTCAAAAGCGTCAAAACATAAATGATCGCTTTTCGATGCTTTGCGTTTTGCGCGTTGTCGTTGCGCCCTCATTTCTGGCGCGAGATCTGCTATCTAACGGTTGGTAAAATTTCAACTCCGCGCAAGGTCAACAACAACTTCTTGTCAACAAGAAACCGTGCCCATGGTAAATAAATACTTTTTCTCCAAAACAATTTTCTTCTGAAGATCGCTTTTCATCGAAGACTACTTCGTAGTGTCCAGTAGGATAGGGTGAAGTGAAGCTGATTTCAATATTCTCCCCCGTTGATTCCGATGCTTTTTGAGCGAGCTCCAACGCATCTAGATCTAAAAATAACAGAAAAATAGATATTTGGAAAGCGCGATCAGTATGGCGCTAACTTACTTGGATCTAAATTAATCTTGGGTAATTGTCCATTCTTATCGACTAAAACAAGTTCGTCATGCGGCGCCTTGAAGCTAGAATTCTGAAAATTCAGTTCTTTGTCTAAATGCGCGTTGAGGACAAGTTGCTTTCTATCGCGAATGTTGGTTTTGGACTCTGAGAAAGGCAGCTCGCCCAAGATCTTTCCGGCGGCTTTGTCTTTGATCATTTGCTCTTGATCGTTGGCGACTTTTTCCCACTCAGACAAGCAAGAGTCGCGCGATTGTGCCTCAATAGAATGATCGAAAAGGAAAGCGATTTCTGGATCAAGCGACTCTGTTAGAAGTGGCCTTCTGTTTATCAGCGCAGCGACTAGAATTCGAAATTTAAAAACCGATCTCGCTAGAACTTATTGATTTACCGCTGATCTTCCACTGCTTTCCAGCCCTGTCAGTAACTAGACTGGAGAATCTTTTTGAGTGCCGAAGCATGCTCCCCTTTCTGAACAAGTTTTCTTTTAGCCCTTCAGTCGTGCTAATTAAAATTTATTTATCTTTTAAATCATTCATTATCATGGCTTTATGTATTCACGTTTGCACAGCAAAAAAATCTGATATTCTAAATTTCCGCCAAGATAAAAACGCGATAGACGCAGTAGAGCTGAATGAATTATAAAATATATACGGGGTGCGATGTTATAAAGGGGATTTATTTAAGGATTTTGGCGCATTGCATATTTAATCAATAAACTTAAAATGATAGATCTCGTAGTCCAAACTAGCTTCTTCCATTCGTGAATAAAGATACTGAAGAGCGTTTTCCAAATCTTTCCAAAAGATGAGGAATTATTTTGAACTCGGGTTAATTGTTTTTTAGGGTATTCGTTTATTTAAGGTTGCGTCACATTTCATGGATGCACTTGTTTAATAAATATGAAATAAAATGAAGAATTAACTCTTGATATAATTCAGTAGCAGATCTTCCCGAGCGAGGAAGAATCCTCTTAGGCCGTCAATAGAGAATCTTATTCCCTCGAAAAGACAATACCACTTTACTTGAGTTCTAGATACTGGCGGTGCGTCGCATTTAAAACGATCTGTTAGCAAGGATTTGAACAGAGCGGCACAGAATTTCAACTCGTATTAAAAAATAAAGAAGGAAAACAAAATAACGCATATATTAGCCTTGTTGAATTTTGTTGAGTATATACAGACCAAAAACATACATTTTGAACTTTTAGGAGGAGTTATATATAATTGTATCTGTAGCATCGAGGGTTTAATTTAGATTGGGGACGCGAGTGTTGAAATACGTAGTAGACAGTCCGTTTTGCTCTCGCGATGAGCATGTTCGACAATATGTGAAAGTATGTGTTTTAATGGAGAGGAAAACTGTACATAAATGTCTGTTGTGACGAACAAATCAGCCTGCATCCGACAAGTGCTCTGAACAGTGCAAGCGAAAAACATAAGCAACTTTGCAGGAACTTGTAGAGGAAAGAATTCATTGACAAGGAAAGAAAGGGGAAATTGAATAAAATAAGTTAGTCGGTAGTGGACGCAGCTGATTGTATAGCTGAAGGACGCGTCCATCTTGTAAATTGAAAATTACTTAGAATGAGGTGATAGAGGAACTTTCAAATAAGTTAGTCACTAGAAGTGGCCCCTGACGTCGGAGGAGGCGTGGCTGGTTTCTCGTCTTTGGGGATAGTTTGAGGTTCGCTCGTCGGGGATGGTTCTGGTTTGGCATCTGTTGAAATTTTGTCGCCTTCGGCAGGGGTTGCCTCCTCGCCGGCTTCAGTTTTGACGTCTACCGTCTTAACCTCCTCAGTATTTGGTTCTGAATGTTCGCCAGAATCTGGCGCGGGATCATGCGAATCCTCGTCAGCTATAATTACAGAAAATGTGATTATAGAGCACCACTCCAAATAAAACAAACTCATAATTACAAACTGGATACTCGATACAAGTCGCGTTGAGAAAGAAAAAGTTAGTCGATCCAGTCTATATTTTGAGAATAAGAAGCTCTTCGGGCGAAAGAGTGAGTTTTTTTTCGCAGGAAGACCTTGATGCATGCAATAAATGATAAAGGGTTTTGTAAATGACTGAAAAGTACCCACGAACTAGATTTTTTGGTTTCTTAATGACTATTGACGAGTCATCAAGTCTTTTGCCTAACGAATTGGTTAGAGAACTGAGATAGAAACACTCCCTCTTTGTCACTACGAATTCTTACGTTTGGGAGCTGACTCGCATTCCATTTTGACTTCATTTTCTTCCTCCTCTTTAACTTCTTCTTTATCCGTGTATTTCTCCATTTCTTCGGCAGATGGTGATGAGCAAGAAGGCGGACAAAAGTCTGTTTCCTCTACAGACGTGTTGGAAGTGTTCGACGTATTTGCAGGACTGTCAAAGTTCGCAAAACTTGGAGTGTCGAAGTTTCCGAAGTCAGCGAATCCTGGGCTTCCAAAGTCCGCATTTTCTTGAAATCGAAATTAAGACCATGCAAATGGTCGTCCACTAACCTTTGTCTTCCGCAGGTTCGCCCCAAGGATCTTGGTTGGTATCCATGATCATGTTATCCACGACCTAGATTTGAGTAGAGCGATTTTAAAAATACGTGAATACCTTATTGCTGTCGTCAGTCCCAAACCAGTCGCGCGTGTCGTTTTTGTCCCGGAGCTGGCTTTCGAAGCTGGCTTCCTTGTCTTCATCATCATCGTCGCTGAGGTTTTCCTGGCGAATGTTATCGTCGTCGAAATTGTCTTCATACTCGAATGGCGTGTTTATCTTTTGCTAAAGTCAGCTTCAAAAGTCATGGATTCGTGGAATTTAATTTCGCATATAAAATTGACCTGATTTCGACAATTTTACTCTGAGTTACTGGGTTAGTTGATATCAACGCTGTACCTGATATCTCGCAAGCTGATCTTCCGAGTTCGCACTAGGGTCCACGGTCGGTGGGCCTAATTAAAGTGTTCTTCTAACAAATAAATCACGAATAACATACTTGAAGCGCGTTGACTTCTTCCAAGCTCCCTTGCATACAGATTTTTTCTATCCTTGATACACTGTTTAACGTCGTCCCATCTTTTCCGCTCCTCTTCCGTAATGTCGTTCGTTGCCAAATGGTCTTTGATTTGCTACGAAAGTATTAAAACCACGAACTAGAAATATAATAACCTGTTGACGCTCTTCCTGGTACTTGGACTTCGGTTCCTCATCGGTTTCGTCATCCAAAAGATCGAAGAGCACCTTATCAGTGTGTGAATTTTTCAAGTATTCAAACTCATACCCTCAGAATCTGAAAAAGATGACCCATGTACCCCCTTCTCGGTTGACCTTGAAGCTCTTCCTCGACACTATCTTCCCAGGCTTTCGTTAACCTTTCTAAGAGAAAAATAGAGATGCAAAGAAAATAAAAGAGACACACCTAGAATCCTGCAATCTTTAATGAGATGCTGAAAGAGGTCCGACGTGTAATAGTCTGCGTCTAGAAGGTGGATAATCATATCCCGAACGTATCCAGAAAGAAAGGAGTTATTGTCATGTTCCTGAAAATTGGAATCAACGAGGAGTCACGATGCGGGTCGCTTACAATAAAGAGAGAAAGAATTATATCTAATAGTTTTTCATCTTTTAGTGCGTTGAAGAAGGGTTGTACGTTTTGTGGAATGGCTTCGGAAATAAGACGAATGATTTGAAGACGGACGCGTCCCAGAGGCTTTTCAAGACGACCTAGAGCCAAATTAGCAAGTAGATAATCTCCCGAACTCACAGTGAGGCAAGGCAACAGCAGGCTCTGGCGGTGGGTTTCGGAGAATTTCCTTAAGTCTAGACACATGGTTAGCAAGAGTATCAACACAAGGAGCAGCTGAAGGATAGTATTTGTCGCTCTCCTGGCCAGGATCGTCGATCCAAGCTGCGAAAGGTGTGATTCGCTGCACCTTTTCCAGATATGTTGAGAGAATGCTCCCTGTGGACGCGACTATAGCGCTGTTTATAGGTTCTACAAGCATCTGAGCGATCACTAGAATTTGGTTTAGTTGTTAAAAGCTAATTCCAGAGCCCAGAAATGACGCAGTTGGGATCTTGCTTTATTATCGTAAATAATAGTGCCCAAAGGCGCCTTTCAATAGACCACAACTCAACCATTTCCTTTTTCGATTGTTGATTTTTGAGTAAGTCTATTAAGCAGGGGGCACCGCGCGGCTTCTGTATTTTCATTTCGTAAGATAGATATGAGCTCGTTTATCGTGTTCGTTGCATATCTACATCTTCTTTAAGACACTATTCAAATCAAATAAACCCTACGTATGAAGATCGCGGTGGACACCTTCGTCGAGATTGATAAGGTTGATGAGTTTCTCGACGAGCTCTTCGTCGACCATCCAATTTATAATTTCCGAGCGGACTTGATCGTTGTAGCTCGGGCAGACGACAAGACGCATTATCAAATCCGAAATGCCCGAAGTAGACATGTGTCTCATAATATCGTCGACGAAATTATCACGATTCTTGAGCAGAGTCCACGTATCTTCCGGATGCTGCTTCATCAGACTTCCAATGATTTTCGAGAAAAAGCAGGCTAGCAGAGGGTTCAGGTCTTTTTCGCACTGAAGCATGTCCAACAACTGCGATGTGAGTTCCTCGCTGCCAAAAGGATTATCTTCCTGAAAGAAAATGCTCGTTACCTCTTGATGAGGGCCTTGGAGATAGTTTCGTTGTCCGCATTAAGCAATTCGGTTACTTGATGAGCGCGTTTGAAACGGAGCTGCTTCGTCTTGAACTCGTCCATGTTATCCATGCTGAATTCTTGATAGCCACAATCTTTCGTTATGTAGTCCAGCATTGCTTTGAGAGTATCCTCCTTCGCGAGATACTGTATGAGCTTCTCGTTTCGATGTATCAGCTCGTTGATTATACTGTCTTCGTCTAGCAGCTCACTTATCCTGAAAAATGATGTCGGTTTTTTAGAGGAGCTGTCGGTTCCTACTGTAAATCCTCGCGCTGCAGCAAATTCTCGATCTGCGGCGAGTCGTACTGTCCCTACAAAAATGGCATGAAGTCTATTTGAAAGCAAATGGACATTACCATCATGTTCCAGTACATGATGAAGGCTTCTCGGGGTCACTCGTTCAAAAAATAAATATACTTTTCGTGTTCAAGATAGAATTACTAAAACGAAACGCAGAATTCTTCTCCCAAATTTCCACTTATGAGACTCTCTAGAAGTAATCATGAATAATTAACAAGCAAAAGCTGGTACTTCGAACACGCTCCTAATTAAGTGTGCAGATAAATGTCAAAATGTTCTTCAATCGCAGGCTCGGAAGAGCTGTTTTCTCTTGCGAAAAAGAAAACACCAAAATTGTGCACCACGAATTGGCGTCTTTCTTTGGCGAAATTGAGCGGAGCCGATTTGGTGTCGCCGCCGCTGCAAATTTGTCGAAAAAGGAAAGACGCGCTGCGTGATTGGCCGAAAGCGCCTCAATTCTTCACTTCGAAAAATTCCTCCCCAGAATAGACACCCCCTGGCGAAGAATGGTGGAGGGGCTTCACCATTTCAAACGTAAGAGAGAACGCAAGCATTTACAGCAGTTTGTTTTAATCAAACATTATATAATTTTGAAATATTTTTGAGTATTCATGAAATTTTCAACAGGGAATTCTTTTTAGTTCTCGGAGTTCCTGTAAATGCGACAAAAGAAGAAATTAAAAAGGCGTATCGTTTGAAAGCTCGAGATTGTCATCCTGATAGAAACCCTTCTGCAGAAGCTCACGAGCTTTTCATCAAACTAAAAGAAGCCTTCGACTTCCTCGCTGAGGGCGATAAAGGAGTCAAAGTTGATCAAGACACTGGGAGATCGGAGAAACTCAGGAAAGAATATGAAGAGAAGAAGAAGGAGGGCAGAAAGCGGGCATCGCGCTTTTCCGAAAAGGTGAGCACGGAGAAAATTTATTGTCGAAGCTTGGGAGGATCTTTAGTCAGAATTATAATAAAATGTGATTTGCATTTTTACAGAGCATTCACTGAATTCAGCCTTCAGGAGCCAGCTCTGGGACGCAAGCACCTTCCGCTGGTAGCAACAGTGGGCTGATCAGATTAAAACTGAACTGGAATACAAACCGCTCCAAGTTTACAACAAAACACTTGAAAAGAAGCTTAAACGCGTTTATGGTCGAGGAGAGTGGAGCTATCAACTGTGCAAATGGCTCCGTCATCGCGCATTTTGTCAACGACGAAGAAGCTCTTTCTGCCCATCAAAAGTGCTACGAAATGAAGCCATCCGCAATCAAGCAAGTACATCAATCCACTATAGTGGACAGGATATCCTGTTTCAAATTGCACATTTAGAGTTACATGGATAAGTGAAATGCCCAAAGTAGCGAGAGACCTATTGAAACATATTGAAGACTCCGAAGATGAATGCGTTATCGTCGAGCCGAAAAAGAAAAAGAAGAAGAAAGAAAAGACCAAATACGATAGGGGATACTACAAGGTATGGTAGTAGAAGATACTACAAGTATGGTTTTGGATATCTCTCTCGTTCTCTCTCTCAAACAGATGTGGGAAATTTTCTTCGGAAAAATAAAGCATGAGATCAAATACTCCTTGATTTTCCGTATGAAAGAATTTCATCTTTTTCTCCGGAAAACAGTCTTCCTCTCAAGGGGAGTTTCCATATTTTTCTGTTACAAATGCGATTCAGGACATCCACGACCATGAAATGCGGGAGGAAGAGAGGAGAAAGCGAGAGCGAGATATTGAGCGACAATGGACATCACGCGCAAACAGATGAAAATATATTCCTCCAACTGCCTTATTCATCAACAAGATTAGTGTTTTTCTGAAGAGTGTCTGTTTATTTTCCCACGTTAAAAAAGAAAGCAAAGGGCAAAAAGGAAGATTGAAGTGAATGAATGAATCGCTGAAGACTGCTGAAGAAGAGGCTCAGTCCGAGCTAGAATCCAAGCAGCTGCGTCGGGATGATCCTCTTTATATTCAAGTGCGAGATCTGCACATTTTGCATGATATTCGTCTATTTGAAGCTTGTCTTCTACAGAAAGGAGGTCTTCGTTTATGAGGGAACGCTCATAAGGGACGTAGTTTAGTTTTTCGAATCCTAGGTAGTAAATCAATTGTCTGCCTAATTGTCCTTTGATTTACTTATGTAATCGTCTCCATCATCGAGGACCAGCTCGTCATCTTCAATTCGAATTCCGTAGTCATTCTTTTTGTAGTAGCCTGGCTCGTTGCTAGTGAGCATTCCCGGCTCGAACCCCGCATAATTGTAGGTAGAAGGTCCGCCACCGATACCGTTCGGGGCTTCGTGGACTAGCAAATAGTAACCAAGACCATGCCCAGTTCCGTGTCCGTAGTTTTTGTGATCTTTGTAAAGAGCCTGCCTAGCGAAAGGCTCCATCTGGTATCCAGGAGTTCCTCGTGGATAAATACCACGAGACATTGCGAGATTTCCCTTGTGTGAGTTGTACTTGGTATTGTAGGGTAATGTTTGATTACTCTGATACAACATTATCATTTTGTAACTCTTCCCTGGAGGACACGAGTGTAGCTGTCTTTGACTTCTTGAGGTGGCTCACCGAAGAATAGGGTCCTTGTTACATCGCATGTAGCACCAATGTATTGTCCACCTTGGTCGAGGAGGAACGTCGTATCTCTACGGAGTGGGGATGAATTCTCAACGGGCGGATCGTAATGTGGGTCTGCGGCATTTTCTCCGATGGCAGAAATCGCTCCAAATGCCTCTCCACGATAATCGCTGGAATGTTTATATGGATAACTATGGCGATAGGTCTACACACCTTGACAAGTTTTGCCGGGTTTCCATCAGCATCTCAGCGACACCATATTCGGTTAAATCTCCAGATGGATCCTCCATAAGCTCTTCCACTTTGGATAGAACTTTGGCGAGGGCAATCGAGTCAATTTTCAAGTATTTTCGGAAATTAGCAATTTCTGTAGGATTTTTGATTGATTTTGTGTACTCAATTGGGCATCGATCATTAGTGGATGAGTATAGTGCAATATTTGCAGCTTTCTTCGCAATACTCAGCATCCCCCATGTAGTTCCTGTCCCCGGAAAAAGTGATGGACCCTAAATGTCTGAGCATAAGTATTGTTTGATTACGACGGTCGAACCTGGAGTGTAAGAATCGCATCATTCGCATGGTTGTACTCTTCAACCATGACATTTGCGGCTCCCAAATGTTTCATGATGGGTTGAGTAAATTTTTTATTGTTTCGCACAAACAGTCTTCTTTCCCAGCTACCGTTTTTCTTTTCCAACAGAAAATAGCTAAAGAAAACGGGCGTGTAAGGAACATCATCTCCCCTGAGGTTGAGCAGCCAAGCTATAGAATCTACCGCGAGAATCGAAATAACAGTATACAATTACACGAAAAGTAAGACTAGTCATGAATCAGCAATCTCGCAGCGAATTTATTTCGAGCTCGTTCCTAATCGTGTGACGAAAAGATTGTCTCTTCCCATCGTTTCGAGCATGTCTGTAATATCAGATATTTTCTTGTTGACTGACGCTCCAGAGATTTCATCGGATTGAATAGTTAGTGGCTCATCCGATGGTGTTGGTCGGTCGTTCCAAATTTTGTCGACGATATTATCTTGGTCTTCCACAAGGTCTATTTCATAATCGTCGAGATGGTTTTTATATGCATTCCAGCTGGATTCTGTGAACAGAAAAGGGTCTGCTCCCACCTTGTCTTTTCTTTGAAGATTATCAGACAGCCATTTTCTTGCGTTAGAGGAGCTCCCTGGACAAATAATCTCCCAATCGCAGTATACTTCCTTTTCAGCTGCAATACAGTAGCGTGAGTCCGTGACGACAGCAGCTGAAGTGGCAGTGACCACTGCCGTTCCCGCACTTCCGCTCAGCCCAGTCATGAAACCGCGTCGACGGTATTCGGGAGCAACGTACTCATTTAGGTGATGATCTTCTGAGGGGACAATGTAGCCATCTTAACGAAGGAATATATATTTTGCTGGAGTAGTGACGTAAATACTGACAAACAGAAAACAGCTTTTCTATCTCTGATTAATTTGAGATCAGATTCTCCCAGCAGAAATAATTTATGCAAGAGATATCTATTGTCGTAAAACTGAGAATATCATCGCTCGCGCTTACCATATCCTCTTGTGTTCATCTGCTCTCGTATTTTTGCAAGCGTGTCTGTTCCCTGACATGTTCTCTTTCCCTCAATAATCACCGAAAGAAGCGGGATTAAAATCATCTCCTACAAGAAAGTCGATAATATCGCCACTTCGAACGCTTGGAGGGTATTTTCAGGCGAGAACACTTGACTCGTTCGCAAATTTACTTTCGCGAGTAATTCGTTCGATTTTATGATAGAAAGTAAATCTTTCAAGTTCCTATTCGAGCGGCGCCGTTTTATAGGAGGAGGCGACCTTCGAACTCATTTCGAACGCAGACACTTCCAAAAAGCACTTTGGACACAAAATACAACTCACATGCTTTCACATAAATAGTTTTTTTGAAAAGAGACAACAAACTAAAACTTACTTTGAAAGGTGATCTAAGACTAATTTGAGTAAATAAATGAATAAATACGACGAATTGATTTCCTGTCGATTCCATGTACTGTTACAGTATGTAGTCGTTTTATATGCGTAGTGGAGTCATGGTGAATGTAGGGTTCAGAAGATAGATTTTAACCGTCAAAGTCAATATCATGTGAGCTTATGTCAGTAGAGCGCAAGCTTATTTTGCGATTCTCGCCAAATGTGAGGGCACCAACAGATCGAGGAACAAATTATAATGATCCAGTGCTCTCTCTCTGGGAATATAAAACCAGATCAAAATGAAAGAAGAGCGTACAACAATAAAATCATAATTTAAATCATAAATTAAATAAACATGAATCTACTCCTAATCATCTCCGTTCTTTTCTCTGCCGTCCAAGCTTACACTGCATCCCAATACCACTTGAAGTCCATCCGATCCAGATCCTACCGCAACATGAAGCGAGTCAAGGTTGTGCTTGACGACAATCAACTTGCTCGCCTGATTGAAAACCGACGACGAATCGCCGAATTTCTAAACATCCAATTATAAATAAATCAATCTTCTAAAAACTCTTTGCTCGTTGATTGCAGCACTCTGAGAAATTCCTTTTGATGCGCTTCTAATGAATAATGGCCCCTGGAAATGCATAAAACGCAAAAGGCTCGAGCAAGGGTGATAAAACGATGGCATGTGTGGGAATGATGATGGTTTGACTGCTTTGATTACTTCGCACCGCCAACACTCCCCTCAAAAGACGCATTTTTAATTGCAAAAATATTCAAAAAGAAACAACGAGAAACGTTCAGCGTTAGGAAAAGGGATATAATCCCGGATATTTCTACGAGAGTTATAGGAAAAGAGAGCGTGTAAATCCCATTAAGAAGCATTAATCTCAATAGAGAATATATATAGTTTTTACCGCGAGTGATGTCTCTTTTTCGTCAAAAATCACGCGAAAAAATGAAGAAGAATTCGACAGAGATTCGGCTTCTCTCTCAGCGAGGACGGAGGGAGGAAAATCAACAAAGAAAATCGCCAATTAGAGAAAATCAGTTTGGGAAAGTTCTTAACATATCTTTTCTTTCTTGTCGAAACCGCAGATGAGAAAATAAGCGCAAGAATCAGAACAGTGAATAAGTGTCCTAATCAACTCTCTGAGTTTCTATTTTTGTTAATTTCAATTGAGAGAAATCCTTTTTTTTTCTCATGGGGTTATGCAGACAGAGAAGAAGTGAAAGTGAAAAACTGATAGAACTTCTTATGGAAAGCACGCCACAGTTGGATCCGAGAAGACTCCCAATCAACGGCGTGAGTATAACTTTTGCTTTTCATGTCTTATAAGAAAATGTTCGATGTAGCGTTGCTTAGAAAGAAAGATCTTTCCATTTCAGCGATTATTTAGAAAAGCCAAAATCAGCAGCGGGCCAGCGAGGAAACGCGCTCCAGACAGAAACAAGAGATAAAGATGCAAAGGTAAACTTTATCACCGAAAACTAGCACTCATTCAGCACATCTAAATGTAGATTTTTTTGTGAGTCTCAGTTTATGAATACGGTCGACAATCATTTCATCTGTAGAATCACCATCGAATGATAAAATGATTCTTGCTAGTCCCAGATTTCCGGGCTATGTGATAAAATTAACATGCTCAGATTTCCAATTTTATATCGAGCATCCTTGATGTCGATAGGGGGAACGTCCATGTGTTTAACATTCTACTGGAATCTTTATTATTTCGTCAACGTCATAAAATCAGGCATCACAGCACTTTTCGTCACTTGTTAACATTCTTGAGCGATTGAACTTCGTCGTTTCTTTGCCAGCCAAATACTTGATCGCATGTAAAAATATATAAAAAAAAATATCTCTAGCTACTTCGATGACCATCCCCTGCACATTGCGAATAATATTTTGTGGGGTCGATTCAGCAATTAAAAAAACAGCATTTATAAAAAGACATGAATAAGCGCTGTTTTCAAACTGTGAGTAAGCTTTTGATGAATGTCTTTTGGCCTCATATTTCGAGTTTTATTTCCAATAAATTTTTATAGTTCTATTATTACGAGCGATTTGATATCATTTCTAAACGAGCGTTATTGAGTTGATAGAATAAAGAGCGAGCCTGAGGAGAAATGCTAGAGTAAGTATTCGCGTGCCGAAAAAGTCCATTGAAACCTTGAAATGCCGGAGATCATAAACGTGAAAACCTATTTAGCTACTAAAAATTTACTACTATGCTGAGTTCGCGAGGCAAAATCGTAAATGAGTTATGATTCTTCGCGGCCTCGGCGAAAAACAACAAGTGTCGCCACACTTTTTTACCCCGCCAAGTACAACATAAAACACTTGTAAAACAGATAACAAAAGAGAAGATTTTGATTTTTTGAAAGAGCCGATAATGGAACACCAAAGTGTCAATAATGAAGTCCACAGGGTCGGTCTATTTTCCCCCAAAATATGTTCTTTTCATGGATTTTTTTTAATTATATTTTTTAATAAACGAGTTGGAGTACCTTCGAATTTATAAAAAAAATAATATCATGCTTTGGCCACTCTAAGTAGACCCCGCGAAAGTCATAAAAAGGGAAGTAAAGGAAGTAGTCCGCGTGACAATCCCTTCCAAAAAACCATACACTGGACAAGAGAGCGAACTAAATCGTTTAGGGACACTCTTCAAAGGTTTCAAAGAAAATGTGTTTAATTGCTGAATCTCATCGAGTATTTAGGACTGGAAAGACTCCTCAAGAAAATACTGTGACTAAGTTGGAAATTTCAACTCCTAGAAACGACTTCCGGCATCTCGCTCATGTTGGCTTGAAGTAAGTCGACTTTTTGATTTGTTTTCGTTGTTATAATGATGTTTCCAGACGACAAAGACATGTGTATATTTAGTGGCGAGTCATTTGGCGAGACCGGCTTTCTTAACTCCGACAAATCCTGGAAGGATAATGCCAAGCCGGAAATATTGAAAGGTATGGATTTATCTCCGGAAAGCTTCCGGCGGAAACTGAGCTAATGTATTCCATCATGATTTAATCCCTCAGCTTTTTTGATCCTAAATCAGCTTATGTCGATTCGGTTTTAAGCATTTTTCAACAATATGTTTGTCATTTTCGTGTTTATTGAGACATTGAACATGAATTATCGGGACAATTACATGAATAAAAAAAGGACTGACAGCAAGTTAAAATTGTTACAGGTGAAATTCATTTTAAGAACTTGAGCAAGTAGGCCAATCTTGCCTTTCGCTCGTTATTGTAACTTGATATTTGTTTTTTGACGTAGTCCTTCACAGGAGCTGGGTTTTTGATCCGCTTGAAGCATCTGCTAAGTTTTGCAAGACGGTGGTATTTTGACGCCGTGGCTGCTGTTGCTGGGCTGAGAAGAAAGAAAACGGCTAGGAGGATGCAGACAATTTTCATTTTAGATTTTTGATTTAAACCTGAATTGATCTGAAGTCTGCCCGGGTGGTTTCTTTAAATACTATCAGAACCCAGCTCCTGGGCGCCTTATTGATCTCATGGCGCGGGAAACTGAAGCAGATGTAACGATACTTTTGGAATTAACTTATTTGGAAATTGACTCAAGGATCTTGATCCCACAAATCTTTCAACACTGAAAAGCACAATGCTTGGCCTAAAGTGACTTTTATAGCCATAAATCAACGCGCATTATTGAATTAGAAGCCTAGCCAGAGAAATAGTCGTTTCTGGATTTTTATGATGTATTTAGCGATCGAAGATACTTCACCAAAGAAGAAATTCAAAATTAAAACCCTGAAAAACTCGGAAACAATCATAAGTCCAAACCGACCTCAGATCTTCCGCAGAAGGCGTTCGGAGACAGACTCGGAGGATGAAATCGAGCCACCGACGATTGATACCGATGATCTTCTAGCTGATGTTCTGGGTAAAATTGTCTGCTTATAAAATAAAGTATATTATATTTTTCTCTAGCTGTTATGAACACAAGCGATGCCGACTCAGAAGAAGAAGTCCAAGATCGAACATCGAATGATCGGGTGAAGCCATTTCAAAGACTGAAATCCGAAACTGAAACTGAGTCAGAAGGAGAATCAGCTGAAGAGTATTGCAGTGAAGATCAATCGGTTAATAGTGATGTCAACGTTCCCTCTAGTCACACGCCGGTTCGACAATAAGTAGAAAGCTCGAAAAACCTAACGTGTATTTAGCCACCATCTGAAATTGCTCCGATTCCCCCTGCCCGCTTGTCAAACAAGAACTGCATCAGACAAAGCGAATCTGACGATCATGAAACTCGACAAAAGAAGTTAGATGAAATCGTAAATCGATTCAATACAACGGAAAGGAAGGGCAACTCTCTCCAGAGATACGAAGAAGTAGAGCGTCCTAGACACACCAACTCGGGTAAGCATGAGTTTTACTCCGAGATTGAATCATCCATTTTTTTCCATAACGGTCTTTCTAGGATCTGATAACGGGGAGAACTTTGAGTTAGACGAGTCGAGCGAGGATGAAGATAGTGACACTGCCGGCAACATCACTGTCGTTAGTCGTCGCTCTCGAAGCTCGAGAAAATCCCGAAACACTTCAGGTGAACAACGCGAGTCCATCGTCGAGCAAATTAGAAACCAAAAAGTACAGATCGTTGGCAAAAAGGATTCAGTAGTTTCCCACGATCGGGAAGTGATGCTCTGATGAGAAGTACGCCGAAATGCTATTTAACAAAATTGTTTTTAATCGCCTAAAATGCACAGATGCTTGAAACAAATCTATTCCTTCTACTGAACCTTTTGTACATAACAAACTCCTCAACAACTAGAATAAATTTGATTTATCGAAGCGCGTTTCTAACGGCAAATTTACAGGCTTAGATGCGGCAGTTGATATCAAAGCATTGCAGTTGATATTCTTCGATGATTTTCGCACTGAAGTCTTTTCATTTTTCTTATTCTGCAGAGCGTTCTTGTTAAAACAAGGATGAAAGCCGAAAATGAAATCGCTGAAGAGGATGATCTCAGAATATATGATTTTCAAAGAGAAAATAATGGATATGAATATTTTCATCTTGAATAAATATTTTTTAATGCGCCATCCGGTCCTGTTATGAGCGCTACTTGCCATCGTAACCGATCTGCTATTTCTGAATGAACGGAAAAATATCGTAAAGAAGCGCCCATTATTGCAGTCGCCACGAGGAAAAAAAGAGCAATAAAACCTTCACTAAAATTATAACAAATTGATTTATGCAGGCGTTTTTCATTTTACCATATTTCATCGCATCCGATATACTTGAAGATGGATGCTTTTCCTTCATCAAAGATATCATCATCTTCATTGTAAAATCTGCGCCCTCTTGGTTTGTGTTGCGATAAAACCGATATATTATTTCTCATTTTTCTCGTCATGATCTTGTTAGTTAGAAAAAAATTGATAGATTTCTTCAAAAGATCGTTAAAGTTTGTATGGCATTGTGTTTCGTATTTTGCTCCTGGTAGTAAATTACTCATATTTTCAAGGAAATGTGTTTTATTGAATATTCGTGAGCTCTTTATCGGTCAGATTGTTCTTCTTCTTCTTCATTGCTCAATAAATCAAGAACTATGTCGGCGCCAAACTGAATACTTTGATTACAACTAGACATAGGCGAGACTTACTTCAGTAACGTTTTGGACAACCCCAAATGCTCCCTGGAGAAGATTTCCGCATCCGGCGACTAAACTCAACAGCGGAAAAAATCGATTCAGAATCATCAGCTCAACTTTATTTTTTATATCTGTGGAATCAGTCAGATCCGGGTCCCCGTTCTTCTTCACTCTTGAATGGAATCAAAATGAAATGAATGTGCTTCGAGGGGACACTTATCTCCAAGGCTTAAAGTTTTATCCTACGAGCTCAATAGAAATATCAATTGTTCAGTTTATTTTTGCTATAAGACTATCTCAAAATCTAATTTTGATGATGCTTTTTCGAAATTGCGCAGTGCTTGAGGGACTTTTACTTTTTGACTCGTCGTCGGCACCGCATCGAATCGAAGGCAGAACGATTGAGCCTTCACTTGGGCAAGTTTAGAGATGGAGAACGGAGGTATTTTACATTTTTTGAGGAACATTTATGAAAATGAGTGCTGTAGGATTTTTGGCTGAAAACGAGCGGGGACGGACGTTGCCGGTACCAATCCAAAATTGGTACCCGGTACCAAATTTTTGGTACCCGGTGCCAAAAAAATCTCAGGATAACATGCCAAAATTGTTTTAAAAAGGTGTATTCGGTCAATAAATGAGGTTTCCTCACACTTCAGCCGCGGAGCGGACATTAGTTTTTTGATGAGTCAGATGAAAGGCTTGACTTTGGTACCGGGTACCAAATTTTTGGTACCGGGTACCAATTTTGGTACCGGGTACCAATTTGGTACCGGCACCGTCCGTCTCCCAAAACGAGCGCAAGCTTCTAGAAGGCATCTTCACGAAGGGCCTCCCTCTTCTTGGCGTGCATATCGTCCTTGATGATGTCCTCCGAAGAGAAAAAAAGTAACGGTTCTGAATCTATAACAATATCATTAAAAACGAAATTCAAAACTCATTTTTTCGAACTTATCCAAAGAAAATCAAGTCAAAGCTGCTTATTGAAGCCGTCAACGATCATGGGGAGACTCCAATTGGCTTGGCATGTTTGTACTCGCCATGTGCAGGTAGTTTTTTATGAGAAGATTTTATTCTAGAGTTTTACTAAGAGTTCAAATCTTTCTGGGACTGCATCTCCGAGGAGGACGCATTTTCTTCGCCCTGGCCAATTTTGAAAGCTTTTGAGCTGCCGACCACGCAAATGGAAGAGAAGCTGGACATCATGCTCGACATGTATTCTGACAAGAGCTTAGAAGAATGGATGGCCTCCCTCTCTACCGCGGCATTGAGCAAAGAAGCAACGAAGAAAGCTGGAAGTTGGATAAAAGTAAACATCAGCTGCTCAACGCAGTCGACTTTTCTTGAATCCATCTCCCAAGATGAAGATAAGGAGTACGTAAATGCGCCCAAGGAAAATAAGAATTTCGAAACAAAAGGTGGTCGCAGCAAGGAATTTATTTCGAACAAGGTTTGATGTTGAATATTAATCTTTGAGCTAAAAATATATCAGGTTATCGAAAGGGTCCCAACGCCGAGCACAATTTCCTCCTTCTCGACTCAGTTGGATGAGGCATATGATGGCCCACTTCAACTTATCAAATCAGACAAAGATACTGGTATGGAAAATGTTGATAATTATAATATTGAATTCCACTAATAATAATATTATATATGTTGGTATTTTATACTATTATATTCAAACTATTTCAAGCGCATGACGATGACGAGCGATTTTCGTTTCTGTCTGACACAGTAGTCGAGACTGTTGAGAATCCTTCGATCGTAAGCGTTATAGACATGCTTACCCAGGATTTAATGGAATTCGCGGACATCGGTGATGCGAGTGAAATGTCGGAGATTGAAAATAAATCTCTTGACATGGAAGATCGACCAGCGAAAAGGGATGAGAACAACAATGAATGCACTCTCGTCCAAGAAAAAGATGTGTTTACTTCCGAGAAGGCCGCACAAAAGCTGTGGGATTTGTTGAAGATTCTTCACGACAAAGGGAAAGGTAAAAAGATTTCAGCTAAAGAAATTAATCCATTTGTAGATGGTTGCGAAAAGGAGAGTGATGGTGCACGGCTTGACCGTTTTTTGAAAGTTCTGTGGGAAGGCCTCCGAGGGCAACGTTTTACTGCTGAAAAATAAAGTGACTTTTATTATGTTATTTCTTTATCATTTAAAAAGGTCATTTACAAATAATTGCGAAAAAATCTTGATGAATGATGCGAAATAAAGGTGAAATGAAGTGAGTGCCAGATTTTGTTTTGGAAATATCTCGGTTCAGTACTTTGAAAGTGTCAATTCATCGTCAGATTTCCATTTGATTGCGTTTCTCCGAAGGTTTTACGGATGAGCGCTTGTTTAACTCTATCTGTCAACAGTCGAAATATTCAGTACAAGAGCATTTTAAAAATCTACTTTTTCCTGAATCAGTTGAGACAAGAGATCGCCATGAGAAAGTATATTCTCCGCTGGATTCTAGTTTTTATAGCGATAAAAACTGCTCATGGGCAGAACGATGGTATCTATAATCCCGCAGAAGATACAGAGCCCGAAATTACAGTTACGCCTATTTTGGAACAAGTTGCACAAATGGCACAGCCGTATATCAAGCATATACCATGTCCATGGGTAATGGCTTATTTATTGTAAAGTTTTCGTCAAATAAAGTTAAAAATGACGGTAAAAAGCCTCGAATAAGAATTCACTGATGGGGGAGCTGAATTTTAGCGAGCAGCCAAGTACAGTTGAGTCAAAACGGTCTATTCCTGTCCTTGTACTAGGTAGGTCACAAGCTTAACTTTGGGATTGTGAAGGATGGTGAGAGAAGATGCTATATTTTTGACTTTCCATACAGTTTGGCTAAAAGACGTCATATCCTTCTTTTAGAACCCGAAAATGGACGAGATGCGACTGTTGCGAGCTTTATCACTTGGGAGTATGCTATCACTCTGAGCAAAGGCTGCAACTTTAAATCTGGAAGTGTCTATAATGATCGTATTCTGCTGCAAAACGTGACTATACTTGAGACGGAAACATTTCCCCTTCTGGGTGATTTCTGTCTCCTAAAGATCGATGACCTTATTAGCCTTGAAGACGCTTTACCAAAGTCGTTCTTTCCATGCTTTCAAGATTCATTGACACAAACTGTGAAGAATTCACTTGACCAAATGAGACCATCATCAACGCAAGCTCCGACAACGTCTCCAGGAAAAGTTTGAACTCTTTTAAACAAGCTTACATTGAACATCTCTAAAAACTGCAGATAAGATGACTCTATCGATGGTTCCGCAGATTATTATGACTATGGACTCGATGGTTATGGATTGCCTGGTGGTGACATCGGCACCTTTCAAATTGGAACTTTTGGGGTCGGGGATGATTTTACAAGTCCACCACCAACCACTACAACGACCACAACAACCACATCATTTCCTGATTATGGCAGCATAGATATAGGCTTCTTCGGGCTTAGTAATTTCATGGTTCGAAAACGAAGATCAACCTCTGGAGAACCCTTAGTCAGTACAGTACTTAAAGACTGCTACGTAACAACCTTTTCTCCGTTTCCCATCGATAATCCACCTCAGACGAATCCTCAGCAGAGCAGCATTTTAGACATCTACATCGGAAAAAACACACAATCAAGTTTCAGAAAACATGTTGGCCAATTTTTACCCACGACTGCAGATCATAAAAGATTCGGACACATATTGAAAGGAGCCCCAGTTTATTGTCTTTATGGCGGACTTCCCGTACTGTATGGACTTCATCAAGGGTACCTTGAAACCAACACCCGCAAAGTCATCCATAATTTGGATAACCAGCTGTCTTGGCTACGTCGTGCGATACTCCACATTGATGAGCCAGAATTTTCCACCTATTCTACGAGCTCTAACTACACTTCACATCTATCTGCCGGTGCCTTCAAAATGGATTTTCGCCAGTTTGAAAACGCTGACTGTGACGAAGGTAAGCACTGCAAACGCTGATGTCAATTTTCGAGACTGATTTTTAAGTAAAAATTCGAATCTCTGGAGCAGACGGCGTAACAGTCCACTCCAATTATGGTTCCGAGTCCGTCAATGCTTTATCGATGGGAAATGAGGAGTTGATCGCCACGGGAAATTTCACAGTTATAATGATTACGAAAGAAGAACCAGCTGACGCTCAACTATCATTTCAATGCCTTGATGAAATGTTGCCATCAAGGAAATGCTAAAATAATAATCTCCGGGAAGTTTATACTCCGGCGTTACGTGGAAGTCTTAGTAACGTCAGCCACTTTAATCTCGAGTCTAGACACAGGAAGTCTCATCTATGCACTGTTCTCTTTTGAATATATTTCGACCTCATATGGTTACTTACAGGTGGATGAGAATTACGGATCGTGCCAGTCTAGGAGTACTACCAGACGAATATCGCATTAGCATCGTATAGACACCGCCTTCCGAAACTTTCATGCAGTGACGATTTTCTCGTGACGAGTTCTCGTAGTCGCCGTGCACTCAACTCTTTTCCTGTTATGGCATCTACCTGGCCATGGGTTGTTTCGGTTCGCTCGCAAGGAAGTCACAAGTGTGGGGGAATTCTGCTGACGCCAACAAGAGTATTAACGGCTGCATCCTGCGTGGCGGAAACTGAAGTTGCTCTCTGGACAGCCGCCTTCGGAGCTCCGGATAGAAGTCAACTTTCCCCCATAAAGTAAGCAGGATGTGCAGCATGATATCCATCTGGCTCGAATCACTTGGGAAAGATTCGTAAAAATAAATGTCAAGATCTCAAACTCGATCAATATATCAAAATAACGTAGCTTCTGACTAACACTGTTGCCATACACAACTTTATTTCGAGGATTTTGCGTCATTCGCAAGCTGTTATATACGCGACTCTATGGAATTTCTAAACTCCCGCTCTCTCTTTTCGCAGGCGGATACTGTTGATCATATCTAATACTATAAGGCTTATAGTATAAGCGTTTTCAAAAAAAGGTGATCTTGACTGATTTGAAGTCACTGGTTTCATATTTTTTGGCCTGCTATGCAGTAGATAATTGATCAAATAATGAATTAAATTAATCAAATTTAATCGTTCAGGGTCAAAAATATACGAATTCACCCGAATTTCCGAACAATTGGGCATCTTGGTAACAACAATCTCGCCATTTTGGACATTGATCAGCCAGAAAATGATCCAAATACTAGGACTCCTTGTCTTTTACCAGAAAATCAGAGTATAGGATAGGCTTCGAAAAGTTACTCTAAAAATTTAAGTTAAAAAAGTATAATTGGGAAATAAAAAGCCGTTCTCAAGAAAATATCTTGGACAAGAAGAAACCTGAATGCTATATTGCTGGTTGGGGAGCTTCAAATACAGCGGACTCTGTTTTCTATTTACGTGCTGGCGTCTTCAGGATGAAAGAAAACTCTTGTCCCACAGCTGATTTCCCGACTGCTGAAGATGTCCTCGAAAATCAAGTGAATAACAATGCATATTTTGTTGATCCTGCCATAGTAATGGATTTCACTCAATTTTGTATCGTTTAACGCTATTTATCGAAATCTAAAAAAAAGAAATTTGCCAAAAAAGTGAGGATAACGAAGCTAGTCCATCAGAAGGTGATGTGGGTGGACCTGTTTACTGTGTATTAGATGACGACGAACAGAAAGTGCCGTTTCTAGCCGGAGTGATTGGAAAAGGAAACGGTCAATTTATCCTTTTCCGTACCCCTCTTCTTTGTGGAAATAATCATTTAGACCGTTAATAAGTCGGCGTCGATGGCGATCCAACAAAATTCACAATTCAGTACCTCCAAGATGACTTCGCGCGAAGCTCAACACAGTGGGACTATCTGTCGGTGGAGGAGCAAGAGTTAACGTCATTTGGTGGTGATTACAAAAAGGAATTTACACTTAAACCCGGAGAGATGAAAGTCTTGAAAGAAAGCTTCGGTATTGAATCGAAGACTCATCAGACATGGTCTACATGCAAAGACAAACGCATGTCATTGCATGGCTGGATTCGAGAAGGAGAAATTTCATTAACGCGCTATTATCAAAGGAAATGTTGTCTCAAAGAAAACAGTGATATAACTATGTAAAATGTATTAGAATTCAACTAAAATAAATTTTGCCAACAACACATTAGCGGAGCAGAAAATGTGACGACTATTTTCCAGTCATCGTCAGAAAATATTGTGCGAATAAATATTGATGATCATCAAATAGCATCATCTCAGATTGATGCTCACAGCATCGAGTTAAAATTTGCAAACGGAAATCAAGGCCAAGCCGTACTCGCTGTATATTTCTTCTGCGCTCATGTGATGGTTACAGAATCGATGACGGCACAGGCTTGGTAGTCAAATGATAAAAAATGATCTATCTTGGCAAAATAAATCGAGCAATCATTATCATTTCCTAAGACGCAATCCGAAAATGTTTCCGGCTTCTACAAAATGTCTAACCCGCGGTCTAATGTCACCAGACGCTGGGACTTCACCTCCACTTGCCCAGACAGCTATGGTGAGCCACTCCGCATCATAAATTATTGATTTGTAATAATTTTAGATGTGTTCATTGATCACTTTCCAGAGGGACCTGGTGGAACATTAAATGTCGAAAAGCAGCGTTTCCGTGCTGACGGGGGATTCTCGTTGTTGTTTCAGCCATCTCAGTGGTACCAAGATTCAGGGGAGTGTTATCACTTTCTACAATAAACTCGTTTTTATAAATGATTACACTTGGAATTCTATATTCTTGAAATTTTTCTTTAACAAAAGTGAAAATTTTACAAGAAATAACGCCATCAGATTTTACCTTATTTTGGAAGTGCCTGAATCTGGCAGATAGACGATACCAAACTACATTTGTCTTGAGATTCCACCAAATCGTGCCTTGTGGAAGACGGCTGACGGATGCGCTCGTGGAAAGCGCAGCACGGAAGATCCTGCTCAATCATCTGAGATCTCTTGATTTTGGGTGCTAGACGATATCGTCAGATTTATAAATCCTTACGTAAAAATGAGTTTCCATTTGATAAACCCAAAACCGGAAAAAGGCTCAAAAAAGTCAATTATAGGGTCTTTAGTCGACAAAGAAATAGTTGCTCACTTCGACCCTTCTTTGTCGATTGATGATTGTGTTGGAGCTTTCAAGCAAGTCTCGAGAAATATTCTTTTGAGTGTAGCCAAGGTTGATTAATAATTTATCCATTAAATCTTGAAATATTCAAGACATGTATTAACAGTTAAATAATAATTGAACAACCAAAAATAAAGACAGCCACTTTTCGTTCGCCCAAGAAGCCATTGAAGAAATCTCATCATTTTTCAAACGGCAAGAGACTTTGGCGAGTAGCTTCGAAGTGATAAGCGTTTTTGACCATATTCTGGGCGATGGGTCTCCATTTGTCCAGTTGAATGGTCCAGCGAAGGAAATCGACCCCATTCTTGGACACATCCGCAGATATTCATTTACAGAAGAAGTCTTCATGCGCGACGGGTAATCTTAATCACAACATGCTCAATAAGTGTAATATAAAATAAGTGGTAAGTGCAAAAGGCACGAAGATGAAGTCGAATCTTTCTTATTCCGTCCACGAACAAAAGAAGAAAACGAAGCTCTTGCTAGATACGGGTCCACACCTATTGGTAATGACACTCGAATATTTTATGTTTGAGCTTCTTCTTTAATTTAGCGCTCGATATGACGAAGACTTCGGTTTTCGAAAATTATACAGATGCCTTTGAAATATTGCGGCCAGATGGATCGTGGATTGTAAAAGAAGAAATGGAGGTTTATCGAGCACTTCCAACATGCGTCTACGTAAGTATTTGCAAGCAGAAATATATTTCTATTTTTAATTAGAAAAGCGATCTTTGTCCGAACTTTTTCCACGACAAAAGAACGAAAGCAATTAAAAAGAAAATACTTATCAGAGAAATAACGCCCGGAAAGCGTCAAGGAAGATATAGAGTAAAGAAGCGATACATGAAATCTTTGTTGTTCGACTTTACGAAGCACTATCCGCTCACAAGCAACATCGAGACAAAGGAACGAAGTGGTTTTCTGGAAGGCACTGTTTTCCGAATACAATGCAAAAAGGTACTAAATGAGAACTGATTTGACAAGTTACTAAAAATAATAAAGTCTTGAGCATTTACGTTTAGTGGCAAGAGAAAAAACCGATGAGCATACGCTGCACAAGAATCGGAGACGATCCACATTTACGATTTGTCAAGTGCAAGAGCAATGTTTGCAATGAGGCTTTCGACCCGCTGGACTTGAACTTCTTTGAGATAGAAAACTTACACGGCTGCAATTAATTCCCGTTTATGTAGATTATTTATCAGCGTCATTCTAATAAATATGGGCCGAGAGAAATATTTTTCTACTCGGTCATAAAAGATAGATCAGGTTTCCATTGTCGCGTTTCAATGAACACTGCGCTTTCTCCATATATAAAGCGATACTTTTATGCCTGAGTAAGAATTACTAGATACATTTGATCTATACGTTGTCGGAGAATTGGCTAGTGTGCCATTGAGAGATAAGCCCACCCGTACTCCGATATCAGCGTCCTTTTTTCATGACTATTATATTTGCTGCTTGGATGGGCCCCGGGACATTTTTGCAACGTTGAGGAGGCTTTTTTATTTCTACCGCCGATATAACTCATTACTCTAATCTTCGACTTTCTTCCGAATTGCAAACGATGAAATCTTTTGTCAAGTAGAGAAACAAGCGTCTGTAATGATATGAAGAACTTCAATAAAGGCCTCGTGTTTGGACTTCTCCTTGTGGTTGTTGTCGTTGAGTCAAGAGTTTAAGCAATATTTACACTTGCGGTTTACTTACAAGCGAAGAAGGATTGATATTTTTACACGTAGTTGGTAAATATGATTTAACTCTTGGAAAGATATTCATCCATCTTCATGACCAACAGACAATTAGCGATCTACGATTAAGCGTAAGTTACGAATTGACAGAGTTATTTTGCATGATTTTACATATTTTATTCGATTTTGAAGATCACTTGAATCACTTATTTCATTAGAATTGAAAATTCATTAGTTGCAGAAGTTCAATCAGTTGGCGGAAGACTCTCCGAACTCGGCTGCGCAGCGGATCTCTGATTTCTCCAACGAAAAGATCCATCAAGGTATCTGTTTGTCTCCACATTTCGAATCTAATTCCTCTAGTTATCGATTTCTTCAACGCTGACACAACAGAAGAGACCGTCGAAGACAATGATGAGTACGAAGCGCCAATGGAACTTGTAGCATCACCCAGTGAAACGGAATTCTTAGAAACGCGTCAATGCGAATCTGAGAAGAATGTTTTCTTTTGAAAACATCAAAAACTGGTAGTCAAACTCTGATGGCGATCATGCAAAGATTCGGAATACAAAACAATCTGTTACGGTTTTGATATGAGTTCTTGATAGTATTTCGTTTCTTCTCATTCAAAAACCGAGCAAAGACTTTTTTCCTCGGAGAATCGATGAATGGAGCGATGGCTAATTTGCAGAAGCCAATCTCATTTGATCGCGATTGTTGGATCGGAAAAAATGTACCTGAGGAGAAATTTCAAATCTCAACGCAGCATTTAAAGTACAACAAGGAACTAATTGATAGCGTCATGAAGCCGAATACCAGATTCTTCTCAATCATCCGAGACCCAACGACGAACTTTGTCTCGAGCTACAGATACTACCAATATTTACTGGGCAGGCTTTGGGAGCAATTCGGATTCCGCGGTTTAGACCAGACGAAGAAGGCTCCTACTGATCTACTTTACAAAGAAATGGAGCATTTTTTGGAAGACGAGAAAAGAGCTTGGAGATATTTACGAAAAGTTCCGGAGTCCTCATTTGCCAGAATAGGTACTCTTCGTCCCCAATTGGTCTTCTTTGGAAGTTACACGGATGAAAACGGAAAGGAATGGATGTCATATGATCAAGTCATTCCAGAAGATGTACTTCAAGCTTGGTTCAAAAAATTGGATGATGATTTCGAGTTTATTCTTATTATGGAATACTACGACTTAGGCTTAGCGCTTCTTGTAACGGAATTCTGTTGGTCAATAGAGGACGTGGCGTATCTAAAAGTAAATGCTCAGGAAACGGTTTGTGAAATACCATGTGAATCATACTAGAAGTCAAGTACGTCATAAGCTCCAGCTTTGAGCCGAACAAATTTTTAGTAAGAAAAATCTGCCAAACCAAGGAATAAGGCTCATTCTGGACTAGAACTCTCGAAAAAAGCTGTCAGAACTTTGGAAAAAATAAATTATCCGGACTATGCCCTCTATCGTTATTTCAACAATACTTTTTGGCAGAAGGTTGAAGAAGTTGGTCTTGCAAAAGGTAAAAAAATCTTAACAATACCATTATATTTCATATTATTTAACCGACAAAATAGTTGAGGCGATTGCTGATCTTATTGGGGAGAAATCTGGGGAAATCGCGGAGCGGTGTATTCAAGATGATTATTTAAATAATGATGGCACTCAAAAACTGAAGCCTCGGTTGAAGGAGGACGTTTATGAAGATGCAGAATGCGGCCGTTTTATCATGCACGGCCCAACGATGACCAAGGTACAAATTTTAGCATGAATCTTTGTTGACACAAAAACTAGGTTACACAACGATATATGATCGACTATTTCGGGGATAGATACCAACCGTGTCCAAAATACACAAGTTCAAACTCTTGGGCAGAAAATATGGAGAACAACAAGAAGTCCTGGCAATTCAAGGTACACCTATCTATTCATTCTTCAGTAAAAACTGATCTCTTTTTAGTACAAATTCTTGTCTGGAGGGGGAGGACGATTTACGTAGGATAAGAAAGACCTTCATATTTATCACAAAATTAGCTAATATTCAAGATTTCACTGCCCAGCAGAAAATGTTTCATTGTAAAAAGTTCAACAAATAAATTTCTATGCTTCATAAATTGCATGCTTTGATAAATCAACAATCAAAAACGAGTGAAGAATTTAATATGAACAGAAAAGAAATAATCAGAAAGGAAAGTTTAAATTAAATAGTACTTAAAATAATTAACTCAAGTGAATTTCGCTTTTTTGGAATGCTCCAGGAGAGAGGATGAAAATTGGCGCCACTTCGAGTGTAATCGTGGGACTATGAATGCATAAGCTTGGTAAAAAATAAAAACATTTTACCTTGAAATAGCTCGTTTTCTTCTTCCATTGCAGTTAGCATTTGTATTACAAGATCCTTGTGACTCGTCACAGAAAGAGACTTCGCATGTTAGCTTGAGAGCGTCAGAATTCGCCTGGAAGCCGAGAACAGTCATCTTGAATTCGACTCCGTTTGTCGGTTGCTGAGTAGCGAATGTTACTTCTGCGAAATTTCGTTGCCCAGAAGTGTCGTAAACGGGGCAGCCATTCGAAATTACGGGAATAAATGTATTTCCTTGACGAAGATCGCACTTAAATTTTTTAGGACATTCAGTCTCCAATTTCGACCTACGTTTTGGAACAGAAGCTTAACGCTGGAAGGAAGATTGTCAACTGAATCGTGAATTGATGCGGAGACATAGACATCTTCACCGTGAAGAACAAAGGCACTTTCGCGGGCGCGTCGATGGGCTTCGAACGCTGCACTCACAGAGAAGAATTTGAGATCAACATTAAAATTCTAAAAAGCGGTTTGAATCGTGAAAAAATAATTACACAAACCTTGTTATTCTCTACGAGCGTTTCAGAAGGCCAGTGAGTTGGATTGAATACCTCGGACGTTTCCTTGTCAATACTGTACTTGCAGGCGAAAGTCATGACGCGCATTTGTGAAGAAAATGACGGATTATTGTCTCGTGTTAAGCGAAGAACAACGTCGCTACTCATGACAAGAGAGCCGTCGACGACGCGAGTTCGAAAAACATCGGGATTCTCAGATTGTCTGATAACGAGTTGTGTTTCCGTGTTGCCGGTGTCCACGGTCTTCGAATAGGAACCAATTGAATAGGTTTTAGAGCTGAAGGAGAACTTCTCGTGAAAAGCATTCGTAATTTTTATCTTAATGATTTTATTATGTTTTTGCCAGAGATAGATTCGTATTTTACCTTGATGAGATCCTTCGCGCATTCAAGAACAGGTTCTGCCCATTGACATCGCTTTCCAAGAAAGTTTTTGCCCAGTTGATTTTGACACGTGAAGAAATATCCGTCTTTGACTTTGTCGACGCATGAACACCCGTTGAGGCAAATGTTTTGAGATGCTTCGCAAACTGAGACAGGCTTGACAACGCATCTTGCAGAAACGACATTGTCTCCTTCAAAGGTTTTCTCACAAATTTCACCATCTGCGCAAGAACTGCAATCCTAAAATTAATTTTGATTCAGATACTTTCTGAAATTTCTTACATATTTGCACTCTCGGCCAAAGAAATTTTCTGGACAGTCCGCGCAATATTGAGAATTTTGACCATGTGCGCATCTTCCAAACGGGCAATCTCTAGTGCACGGTATTGCGACATTACAGTAAGGACCTTTCCAGCCATTTTGACATGTGCAAACAGGATATCCGTCATTGTCATGTGAACAAACCCCATTATTGCAATCAGTGTAGTCACATTTTGGTGTTCCTGGTGGATACTGAGAGACTTTTTGAAAAGGTGAGACAATTTAAACTCACTTGACAGAAGTCTCCTTCATAGCTATCGGGGCACTCGCAGTATTTTGTTGTTGCCGATTCCTTGCAGACACCCCCGTTGGAGCAAAAGATTGATCTGCGCAGCGCGAATCTTGTTTTTCGTATTGGCATTTGTTTCCGTAGAATCTGCCATTGCACTTACAAATGGAGTCACCTCCAGTTCGAGAAGGATAGCATGAACCTTGGTTACCACCGTGATTGCAGTAATCTAAGTCAGCACAAGATACAGTAGCCTTTACGAGACACGTATCACCTCTCCAGCCCTATTGAAATCATAGAAGACAATAGCTTTATATCGACCTAACCTCGTTGCAAGAACAAGAGGCGACCAGCGTATGACGGTCAATAATACAATGGCCGTTATTGCAATAGTTGAGTTGTTGGCAAGGATCAACCTGCACTTTCTTCTTGCAGAATGTACCAGTAAATCCGGAGTAGCATTTACAGGACGGAACTTGTTTTCCATTCACGAATTTTAAACTGCAAACCCCGCCGCCGTTGCAATGGTTAACGATTTCACATGGATTGATTGTGATCGTATCTTGACATTGATCGCCCTTGAAACCGTTAAAACATGTGCAAGTCTTCACGCCGCCGTTTTCTTGGCAGTGACCTAAATAACTGTTGAAGATTGATATTTTTCATTGATAAGCTTACCGTGGTTGTTGCAGTAACTTGATTCGCAATCCCTTATGCTATTAGGATCTTCGATGCATCCGTGGCCGTCACTTTTGAAGTATCCGCTAGAGCAAAACTCACAATTTTGACCATATTGACCCTAGAAATAAAATTCTTGCTAACGCTCTTTCATTATTATAATTATCTACTACGATCTACATACTTTTCCGCAAACGCAGACCAAATCAGTCCCACAGACGCCTTCGCATTGACTACAAGCCAATTCACAGGACTGAAGTGCGGCTATCCAGCGTCCATTCTTCTCCATGCAGTCAAGTTGAGGATTTTGAAAAGCGAATGCAACGCTTTCCACTTTTTCATTATCGCAATATCCGTAAGTCGGAAACTGATACCAATAAAACCCCTGTAAAAGTTTAAAACTCATAATGCTGAAAGTACTATTACATGATTCTCGCAGTCATTTTGGTTGTTGAACGAGCTTGCACTGTGAAAAATATGAGTTTGGGCTAGTGTCGGTGCTGCAGTTGGTGCCTGAGTCGCTCCTGGCGCAGTCCACGAGCAAAAATGAAATCCACCGCCTTGAGGATCAGTTATCCAATAATGACCCTAGAAGAATAAGAAGGCGATAAAAAAAGAAAAGTCTACCCCTTGAATGCAGTCTAGTTTTGCCTGTTCCATATTCGACAGAGAACCATGAGTGGGTGCTGCAGTCGGAGCTGCAGTCGGTGCTTCTGTCGGCGCTACTGTTGGCAACGAGCAATAGGGATTGTCGGCCACGTTGTACCAAGTACCACCCTATATTATACCCAATATATGATCCACAAAGATTTACCATTTACCATTTGGAGGCAAGTTTGATAATTATATGAAGAGGCTTCTGTTGCGTGAGTAATAGGCACTTGTTGAGTCGTATGAACATGATCATGATTACCGATGCCAAAGCCTCGTCCTACGAATGCTAAGAGTAAAACTTTCTCAATCTCTCCGGAGAATATACCTTGGATTTCATCTGATGTCTCTGAAGCATCCACTGCCAAACAAAGAAGAAGGCGCTTCAACTTCATTTGTGCGAAAAATCAAAACGAACTTAGAGGAAAAAACTAAAAATGGAAAGAAAAAATTAAAATAAGTGAGCTCAAACTTATAAAAACTTAAACTGAAGAGCCGGCATCTCGCCGAGGAAGACGACTCGCTCAGCAGATGTTCAAAAATTCGTTGCCCTTTTCAAAAACACGAAAACGATGTGAACGATATCGTTGGTAAGATCGCAAATTGTGTTGTGGAAATTATTTGAATTTAACCGTCTTAAATTTCGCAAGGCGCCTGCCCTCGCTTTCAACGTAGAATTAAGAAGATGATCTTCATTCGATGGTGAAATCAACAAGCACTCCTTCAGTAGGAACGGCAGGGCCAATTTCAATAAGGAGTTGAGATTCGAAATCGTAGCACCCCCTTTCTTGTGCTCATTAGAAAGAGCGCAAAAGTTACGCCAGAAAAAGTACTTTTAGAGGATGAGTCCCCGAAAATGACGTCACGATGACTCACTGAAGTTCCAAAATCCAAAACTTTGCCACGCTCTCATTTTTTCTAGAAATGGAAAATTTGAGTTCGATACAGAAAAATGATCGTCTTGAGCCACTCTCCCTGAAGAGCTACATATGAAAGATCCAACTCAAGAAAACTCTAGAACTAAAACTAGAAAAATTTTTCTTCTAGAGGTGGATCTTTTATATGTAGCTCTTCAGGTAGAGTGGCTCAAGACGATCATTTTCCTGTATCGAACTCAAATTTTCCATTTCTAGAAAAATGAGAGCGTGGCAAAGTTTTGGACTTTGGAACTTCAGTGAGTCATCGTGACGTCATTTTCGGGGACTCATCCTCTAAAAGTACTTTTTCTGGCGTAACTTTGCGCTCTTCTAATGAGCACAAGAAAGGGTGCTACGATTTCGAATCTCAACTCCTTATTGAAATTGGCCCAGCCGATTACTTGATGAAATTCTTATAGGAGGGGATCAAAGAATTCAATCAAGAACAATGGAACTGACACGAAAACTTTCAACGAGTCTGCTCGAAGTTCGAACAACACGCTTACAAATTCAGAGTTCGAGGGCTCGACTCTGATTGGCTGCTGACTGCTATCACATCGCAGCTAGCTTCGGCAACTGTGCGTTGCCCATTGTGCCTTTGTGCATGGATTTCGAGCGGGGGCGGCCATCGCCACCGCCGCTCCATAAATACCCAACGACCGACCGGGCGCATCTCAGTCGAGTGCGGCCCGAGTTACCGATTTTATACTCCGTTTATGCCGCCAAGTTCAGAGAAATAAACTTGCTGCTAGAGACTTTCCCCCAGAGACTCTTCATATTTGCAGGTTGTAGCTTAGATACAGTGAGGTTCTATATTATACAGACTAGCTCGGCAGGGCATTTTGGGGTGGCCATTATTGTCGAAGCTAGTATTGGTGTCAGAAGTGGGATTTCGAGCCCTGGTGTCAGATATTCTTTGAGTTTCTGACTCCTTAGTCTATAAATCTAAGAGAGTCAATACAGTGATTTTCCCCGAAATATTATAAATAATCTTTCGCTGAAAATCATTTTATACATATTCAAATAATTAATACTAAAATATACCCACTGATCCTAGCAAACAAAGACTGGACTTCGACTCAAGTTAGGGAGCAGACACGCACAGTAATATTTACTGTGTGGGTACTGTGCAAGATCCGGCAATACAGTAAATTGTTAGGATTACATAACCGATAACGCGCTCAGCCAATCAGAGGGCGAGTAGCCCCCTGCCACGTCAGCAACGCCCGCGACGTGAACCCAACGGTCGTTCGCGCATCGGCCACCCGCGTCGGCCTAACCGCCGCGCGGGAAATTTCCAAAGATTTTTCGCGCGCGATCGAGACCAGCAAGAGCAAAACACTGGCTCGGTGGTCCATCAAATGATCGCGCGATACGTTTCAAAATTCATTTGCGCGGGTGATGGAGACCTAACGGCGAAATACTAGTTATCAGGTCCATCGAGGGTGAAACTACACGCGCGCTCCAGTTGTAGCCCCTAGCCCAAACGGAATTCATCGATAAAAATTGAAATTCCATGCGCACAACAAGTTTTCAAAAATTCAAAAGTTTTTAAAGTCGCTGGAGAGGTAGGCATATGATATTTTTCGGTCTTTTTGTTTCACGATACATGCTTTCTATGCCCCTACTAAACCGAAATGTCTATCAATAACAAAGCCTTACTTTCCAAAGGGCAATGAATGGTCAGAAAACCACGCCCTCTCAACCCTTTAGGGAGAGCGGAGTGGAACTTCTACATTGATTCAAAGGTAGAATCATAAGTGCTTGTCCATCATTTACCTTATCAAAGGACTTACACATTCAACAAGTGTATCAGCAAAAGTGTTTCGAATAATTCGAGACTGCTGATATCACAGATTTCCATACATTTCAATCGGTTCTCATAAATCAATTTTTAAGATATCTTGTAAAGATGAAAAATCAGTCATCCTCTCGCGACGGTTTCGATGCTCTTAGGATCCTGAAAGTTTCGCAGACCGATTCGCCAGGACTGCGGTGCGTAGTCAGCAATCTTAATTCGAGCTGTGTCGAACCATGATATTTCCAAAGTCGGTTTATACTACCGAAGGGGTAGAACGGCTAAGAAAAGCCTTGTAACCGCAATATAATGGTTCGTGGAACGCGGTTACGATCGCTAGTACCAACAGACCAATAGTAATGATAAATGTTGAGGAAAGCGGTAACTGCTAGTACTGACCAGTCCATAATATAGGCAAGGGGTCGTCGAGAAAGTTCTCCGACCAAAACCTTATGCCTCTATAAATTTTTAATAAATCAAGAGCGGGTAGTTCATGCGAATACCAGATTTAGCGCTCTCCCTCTACAAATGACCGAGACGCATTGTGTAGCGGTCATTGGAGACCAGCCACTAGAACCTAACCTGGTCGTGGCATGGTCCAATGGTCAATCAAATGCCACAATCGTCGGCTTCAAGTTTTTACTAGTAAAATTTTACAATGACGATCTTTCCACCAGCGACAACGATGTTGCGCTTGTGTGTGGATTGGTTTAAGTTGACAAACCTACTTTCATTTCATGTCAAACTTATTTACTGGCTTAGTCCGAAAATCAATATTCTGAGAACGCCCTTTCAAAATTTCGACTTTGAAATAAAAGCGGCGAATAGTACGCTTATTCAAATGTAAATCACCTTTTATGAGCCTGTATGGTTGATAATACCAACTCATATTGGTATCCATGTTCTGACTCGAAGGGAAGTCATCATATCACGATTCCCATTCTCAGCTGACTAGCAATTTTCATAATCATATCTACCATCCTATTATTGATTCAACATTTTCTCTGCTAAATTCGAAGAATCGAAATTTTACGCCGGTAATAAGGTATTTCTCAAAGTCCTCTCAATATGCTCAATAAGACGTGCGTCTACCTAAACTAGGTCAGGTGCTCAACTTCACCTCCATGAGAAAACCTTTGCCCCAACTATCCATACGCCACCAATTATGCGGAAACCGCTGATTGAAGGTGCCCCTGACGAATTTAATTTTTCTACTGAGCGTAAAATGCCTCAAACTCGATTTTCGAAGCTATTTGTCACGAGAAGAAGTCTCGACAAAACCTTTCTGGCGAGTGCCCGGTCGGGTGCGCGCCTGATAATCAAAATGAGAAGATGTGACTCAGCAGAGTACTCGCACTGCTTGTATTACTGCTTCGAGTACACTGAATCGGGAAAAAAATTTTTTCGGATATTGAGTAGAAAGTGTACCCTTCTGTCCAGGGGTGATACACGGTTAGACAGCTGGATAAACCTTGAACTCAGATATACAGTGATTTTCACGCGCTCTCTCGGATTACATCGGCTCCAGTACCTCCAACAGTTTCCTGAGCAACGACCGCATTGCGGCGAGTGCTCGGGCACCAATCATTTTCACAAGCTACTCGGGAGTTCGTACTCTGCATTATTGTCAAAATTGACAAGCTGAGACGCTCCTTTGACTCACAAAATAGCCTAGCACCGACCGCTACCGCGGCGAGTGCTCTGGCACCAACAAGAACTGCCATGCACCGGCCGCGATCGCGGCGGTTGCACCCGCGCCAACAACTTTGATAACCTTACCAAGAGCTCCGCAGTCGCAACTAACGTTGAATCGACTGACTTGGATGCTCCATGACAACTACAACTACCTGGCCCGTGCCGCCTACCACATCAGGCTTGGTAGCGCCGGCATCGCGGCCAGCTCTGAATAATCAGGACCAGGGCACCGATCCTTTAGTAAATTTAGAGTTTTCGAACTCAGGGTCGCTGCCTTAAAAAGCAAAATCCGAATTCCGCCTGCAGAACGACTCTGGAATCGGCTCCGGCTCGATGATCTGCTACAGTCTCCCTCACATCGCTCCTGCCAAGATTCCACCACGATTGTCCAGTTCTACGCGAAGATGCCGTATTTTCCACCTGTCCTGTATTATTGCCACTGTTGCTGCTGGCGACCACCTTGCCGATCGAAACCATGCAAGGGGTTGCTAGCTTCGGCAACTGTGCGTTGCCCATTGTGCCTTTTGTGCATGGATTTCGAGCGGGGCGGCCATCGCCACCGCCGCTCCATAAATACCCAACGACCGACCGGGCGCATCTCAGTCGAGTGCGGCCCGAGTTACCGATTTTATACTCCGTTTATGCCGCCAAGTTCAGAGAAATAAACTTGCTGCTAGAGACTTTCCCCCAGAGACTCTTCATATTTGCAGGTTGTAGCTTAGATACAGTGAGGTTCTATATTATACAGACTAGCTCGGCAGGGCATTTTGGGGTGGCCATTATTGTCGAAGCTAGTACTTTCAACGTAGAATTAAGAAGATGATCTTCATTCGATGGTGAAATCAACAAGCACTCCTTCAGTAGGAACGGCAGGGCCAATTTCAATAAGGAGTTGAGATTCGAAATCGTAGCACCCCCTTTCTTGTGCTCATTAGAAAGAGCGCAAAAGTTACGCCAGAAAAAGTACTTTTAGAGGATGAGTCCCCGAAAATGACGTCACGATGACTCACTGAAGTTCCAAAATCCAAAACTTTGCCACGCTCTCATTTTTTCTAGAAATGGAAAATTTGAGTTCGATACAGAAAAATGATCGTCTTGAGCCACTCTCCCTGAAGAGCTACATATGAAAGATCCAACTCAAGAAAACTCTAGAACTAAAACTAGAAAAATTTTTCTTCTAGAGGTGGATCTTTTATATGTAGCTCTTCAGGTAGAGTGGCTCAAGACGATCATTTTCCTGTATCGAACTCAAATTTTCCATTTCTAGAAAAAAAATGAGAGCGTGGCAAAGTTTTGGACTTTTGGAACTTCAGTGAGTCATCGTGACGTCATTTTCGGGGACTCATCCTCTAAAAGTACTTTTTCTGGCGTAACTTTTGCGCTCTTTCTAATGAGCACAAGAAAGGGGGGTGCTACGATTTCGAATCTCAACTCCTTATTGAAATTGGCCCAGCCGATTACTTGATGAAATTCTTATAGGAGGGGATCAAAGAATTCAATCAAGAACAATGGAACTGACACGAAAACTTTCAACGAGTCTGCTCGAAGTTCGAACAACACGCTTACAAATTCAGAGTTCGAGGGCTCGACTCTGATTGGCTGCTGACTGCTATCACATCGCAGGCGCGAATTTGTCTTTCTCGTGCGCGCGGAATATTCGCTAATTTTAGAGAAAAATGAACAGGAAAGGATCTTGAAGTTCAAAACTTGAAGTTCAAACAAATTATTTTTGAAGATTCAGGTGAAAATGATCCCAAACAGGCTAGAAAAAGTCAATGAGATCTTTCTCGAGTACAGTCGCAGAATTGAAGACTTCAAGAGATATGCGAGGGATATGGTCGGGTACGAATCGAGGCTAGCCTCCTTCAAGTAAGACTTCAAACCCGCGTGCACTCTCAGAATTAACCTCTAGGAACTCAGAGTGGCCATTTCCTGAAGATGCGAATTGCCAACCCGAGAAACTCGCGGCGGCGGGATTTTTCTTCCATCCCTCCAAAGTCGGAAAGGCGATCGCCTTCGACTTTATCACTCTGAGAGAGCTTGAGTGGGAGGAACACGACGATCCCTGGGAAGAGGCGACGAAGCGCAAAAAGGGACACTACCTTTTGAGGTGAGCTCGTTACAGGGGAGCGATCCAAATTGATTTATTTTTGATTTGATTTTATAAATTGATTAAGCCGACGATGGTCTCCTGCGGGGAATAATTGGGAAGTAATGAAGATGAAGGACGAAGAAGTGACTGTAGGGCAGTTCATGAAGATCTGCGCGGCTCAGGCCGAGGGATTGATTGAGTGGGAAGCGGAAGAACTTTGGGAATGTCTTGACAAGGGGCAAAAAGTGTGGGAAAACAACTTCGAAGCCGAGGAGATGCAAAACGTCACTTACGGCATCCAAGGAGACGAGGAAATTTTTCGAAATTGGGAAACTGAGATGACCAAAAATTACCACGAGTTGAAGACAAACGGCAAGAATCTTGCCAAGATCAACAACAAACGACTCAAGAAAAATACGATCGACTTCAAGGTACACACAACAGTCTTTAATGTTAAACCCTGTTTTAGACTGTGACATCCGCTGAACGAGAAAAATGGGCGGCGGCGGTAGATGAACCCTTCGTGGAGACCTACATCGCGATAGGTACCGGCGTCGACTTAACTGTAATCAAATCTTTCTTAGTCGGAAGCGATGCGGAATTGAAGGAAGAGGATGAAAACTACGTCCCAAGTCGTCAATCCATGCTTTTATCTGCTCCAGGAATGTTCCATTTGACCTTAGTTGTGTCCGTCGAAAATTTTTAATGAAAAATATGAAACACAAAAAGTAGCTAACCTTCCCGGCCGCTCCGGTGCTCCCTCCATGTCGAAGACTATTAGTCGATCACACATTCAAGCCTAACTGGAGGCACCTCACATTCACCGCGTGACATGTTTACTTTCACATTCCAAATTGCTGGCAAGAAATTCACTCATATCTTACTGCACTCACTTACTGCCACTTGCGGATAATATATTCAAATCACTAGAATCTGCGATCTTGATAAAATCCTTTTTATATTTGCAGGCATACATAAGAAGCCATTGATCATGTTGCAGATCAGAATCTGATCATGAAAGCTAACTATGTAGTTGCAGACTCTTCAGAGTTGATATAAAGTACGACAGTTAATCACTTTGAGTCTGACCATTACTTCAAAAGTGCAAGCTCAGAAATATAACTACATTTTTCTCTGACAAGAAATTTATTAGCCGCTCTATCATAACAGTTTCCATCATAAAACCACGCTTATCGTCGATCGTTAGTGCCATTTCCTCGCTTTCCAGAGAACAAGTGTTTCGGTTTCTTGTCCAAGAACCTTCTATCAGCTTCACCTCTTCGTGAATCTTGGTTGATGGTCTTCTGGGCCTTCTTTCGAAGCTTCTCTGCCTTTGCCACCTAAAGAAGCTTTAACGAAGAGTCGTCAATAATTCAATAAACCTCAGCGGGTCTAACGCCACTCTGGTTTCTTGCTGGTCCTCGAACATGACTCTGCGATCGGTTTCGAGACTTGCTCCTTGCCAAGGAGCCTGAATCACCATCAACGTCCATAGCATCGCCGTCATTGTTCTTCATTCGCTTACGGGCCATTGATCGACCACGGTGGATGGACTCCTTATAATTTCCTCTTCCACGCTCTATGTGTTCACCAAGGCCAAGGTCCTTCATGTTGGCCTCCAGTTGTTTCTAATAAAATATGTAAAATATCATATACCGACACAAAATATTACATCATTCTTTCTAGGCAGAGCAGCTCGTCCGATCGGAGCTCGGTCCACTTTCTCTTCAAGCTTTCGGATCTTTCGTTTTCTTCTTATAACCTTCGCGAGCTCTCGGATTTCCTCGTCATCACTATCCATCTCAACGTCAATGTTGTAGAAACCACTCTTCTCACGCTCTTCCTCTTCTGCCTCCAATGCAGCCAGCTTTTCCATAATATCCTTATCGACGAAGTCAGCGATATTCTTTCCTTCCCAAATTTCAGGGATAGCATCTGCAGCCTCCTCGGCGTTCTTCAAATCCCAAGTCTTGCGGAGATCTAACATGTACTCGTCCTAAACCGATGTAAGAAAGAAGAATTTGTTTAAAATTTTTACATCAAGTTCGAGCTCAATGTCACGCTCAGTTCTTATCTTCGGTCGTGCATCAGCTTCTTCTCGCAGTTGAGGAGCATTGCCAGGTATCACTGCTGGTCTTTCAACATCGTCTCGTTTCTTTGGCTGAGCAACATAGACCCTGTTCAAGATGTTGTCTGCTTGTCGTCCTCTAAGCTTGGCTTCCACCCGCTTAAAATTATAAGATTAGGTGGCTCTTGAAAATTGATCGTCTACCTGGACCAACAGCTCATCGCATGCAGCATTTCGCATGTCCATGATGCCTTCTTTGGAGACATTAGATGTTTTGTAAAATTTGACACCCTCAGTCTTGAGGAAATCATTAATCATTTCCTGGTTCTCCGGAGTCAGCTTGTCGAAGGGAGTGATGTCAATTTTGTTGAGCATCACACAAACTGGCTTGTTGGCAAACAAGGGCTTGATTTTCTTGAAGAGAGCAATCTGAGTTTCAATCGGGGTTCCGCATTGTTCTATAAACACAATTAACAATACTTAATAAAGCTAGTTCTTACCAGAGATATCAACAATGTAGACGATAGCAGCTTTGAGATGAGCAAGCGCCGTAACGGACTGCCATTCGATGGTGTTTCGCTCCTCGAGCTCGTGATCAAGAATACCCGGAGTATCGATGACCTGCCATTTAAGGTACTTATAGTCCATGTGTCCGACGTAGAGACTTGGTGGTAAATGCATAGGGCTGCACCTCAACGTCAGCTCGCGTCAACAAGTTAATCAAAGAAGACTTTCCAACGTTCGGGAAACCAGCCAAAAGAAGCGTTCGGGCGGTAGGATCAATAGATGGCAGACGAGAAAGATGTTGTCGAACCTTAAAATAAGCTCAGAACCCACGACAAAAAGGCTTCCTTACTTCTTCGAGGTATTCAAGGTTCGCTTTCTGTCGTTTTATAATCGTGCACATTCTACCAAGTGCAGCTGTCTTCAATAGTTTGCAGCGATATAATGAGTCTCCGAATTTCAAAAGTCTTCCGTAATCTCTCGCCACGGCATCTTAAGAATATTTACACTCGGCATTAAAAGTTATTCTTTACCGATGAGATGCTTTGCGGTAGAGATTTGACCAAGTGCAAGCTTGTAGTGATCGCGATCGTAGAGAACACCCATCAGATCAGAGTAGAAGGGATGAATGTCTTCCAATCGAGGGAATTCAGTCAGCATCATCTCGAGCCGATCATGAAAGTTTTGCTGGGTATACTTGACCTTGCGAAGGTAGAACCCTCTGATTCGAGAGATCGGGAGATGCTTTAGGAGCGTTCATATTTGCAACCTTTGAACGATAAAAATTACAAGTAACAAAACAGAAAATTGTACAACCAATCCAAAGCTAATGAGAAGCGCGTTCCTTGTGAATGACCGTTGGAGTCTTTCGTTGCGTCTTGGAGAGAGTAGAGTCGATAAATTCTTTGGCCGGCTGGACGACTGTAATTTTCTTGAAATTATATCCAAACGACATGTTGGATGACAATTTCGAATCCTCACTCTAATCAAACTTAATTCCAATATGTGTTAAATATTATTTGAGAGCAATTTGCTAATTGGTGTGTTTAAATGAAGTTGATATTTAACGCATGCATTACAGAAAATAAGAAGTTTTGGCAATTTCGATTAGTTAGTATAATATCACCAGTTGGGACAAGTAGAAGGCGTCAGAGTAGTTTTTGACATAGATAGTACACGGGTAAATTGAAAATATTACGAAAGTAGAAATGAATACGAGGAAGACCTGCTTCGCAAATGACGTATCCACACAAAGCGGCTTTCGAGTTAGTAGTAATTAAAGTAGGGCTCAGTAGAAACATTTTAGTTGTTAACTCAAATCAGAACTCGCTCTGCGTGGAACCATTTAATTAACTCAGTGATAATGCTTTTTCACATAGCTGCAATAAAGAAAAGAAGGTGTAGGAGTATTTTTATTTTGGAAATATAGATCAATAGTTAGAAAGAGGAGATGAAGTTCAGTGGTGAGAATTTCATGGAGTTTGCCGTTCATTTATTTTACATAACAGAAAGTGAAACAGGAAGTGAACTGTTTTAACTAGGCGAGAAAGAGTGAAGCGTCTAGTGGTCAAACATAGTATAATAAAAGATTGAGTATACTATGCGTATTTAGCTTATTGTCGTTTTTATGAGCATTTGAATTTAACTAGAGAGAAGCTAGAGGGATTTATTCTTCGGTACCAGGATGAGCATCTGCTGGGCCAGGAATGCGCTGGCCTGGAGATGGCTCACATCCCCAAATCTCAGTGGCATAATCGTGAATTGTTCGATCAGATGAGAACTTTCCAGCGGCAGCTACATTCATTATACACTGACGGGTCCATTCATCCTCGTCCTATGGAAAATAAGTGAAACAATCAAGCTGAAATTAGTGAACCTTGTAAAGCTCGGAGACTTCTTCCTGCTTGGCGATGTAGGCGTCAAAGTCGGCACAGACTTTGAATCTATCCCACTTGAGTAGATCGTCGACGAAACCAGAGAAGAGATCTGGCTGCTTAGGGCTGAAGAGTCCAGCTCTTATTTGATCGAGAGCACGTCGCAGGTTAGCTGAGGCGTTGTAGAAATCCTAAAGGAAGGTGAGGATGACGACTCAATGAACCATGATTTACCTGTGGGTTGTATCCTTTCTTATCAAGAGCTTCGACATCTTCAACTTTCATTCCGAAAATGAAGATATTTTTGCCGCCCATTTCTTCAGACATCTCTACATTTGCACCATCAAGTGTACCAATGGTTAAGGCACCATTCAACATGAATTTCATGTTACCGGTTCCGGACGCTTCTGTTCCTGCTGTTGAGATCTGCTCGGAGAGATCGCAAGCAGGGGTAACCTAGGAAAATGCTTGCAAATACAAATAAGATCTAAAAGAGTACCTTTTCAGCAGTGGATACTCGGTAATTGTTGATGTAAACGATTTTGAGTCGATCGCCTACGAGGGGGTCATTGTTAACAATGTCAGCAATGGAATTGATAAGTTTGATGATCTTCTTTGCAGTGTGATAACCAGGAGCCGCTTTTCCACCGACCATGATGACTCGTGGAGTAAATTCTTTGCTATAAGTTGGGGATAAGTATTACTTAAAGAGCTCTTTGCTCAAAAGACTTACTCCGGGTTGTTCTTGATCTCGTTGTACAGATGAACCATGTGAAGAGCGTTCAGGAGCTGACGCTTGTACTCGTGGATTCGTTTGACGTGGATGTCAAACATTGCTTTGGAGTCGATCTTGACACCCTGCGATTGAGAAAGCCAGGTTGCCAATCGCTCTAAACTCACTCTGAGAGAAAGTAGAAAGAAAAGATACTCACCTTTGTTCTCTTGCTTGATTTGGGCAATCTGGCGAATGAATGATTTGTCCGAAGCGAATTCTTCTAGCTGTCGGAGTTTCGTCAGGTCAAGGTGCCAATCATCACCGATTTTATCGGTAATCGCTTGAGCCAAAGATGGGTTACACAGGAGAAGCCATCGTCGTGGTGTAATACCGTTCGTTTTGTTTTGCCACTTGTTTGTTTCCCCTAAAAATGTTCATCTTTGCACGTCCATAGCTTTATTACCAAGTCGGCAAGACATCTCGTAGAAGTTTTTGAAGGTATCGTCGATGATGATCTGGGAGTGGATGGCGGCAACGCCATTGACGGCGTGAGCAAACGATCGCGAGGTATGCCATGTTCACTCGCTTTTCTCCGTCCTCTTCGATCAGAGACATCTCCCGAAGCTTCGATGAGTCATTTGGGAAGACTTATTCACTGTATTAGAGACAATACTGGATAAAAATGTACTCACCCTTTGCGACATCCTTCAAATGACGGGCGTTGATCAGATAAATGATCTGCAAATGACGAGGAAGCATATTCTCGAGCATCTTTACTGGCCATCGCTCGAGAGCTTCAGGTAAAACGGTATGGTTCGTGTACGCACAGGTCTTTTTCGTGATTTCAAATGCTTGATCAAATGGTACTTCCTCTACATCAACGAGGAGACGAATCAATTCAGGAATAGCCAGCGCTGGATGAGTATCGTTAAGCTGAATAGCTACCTTCTCGTGGAATTGATCGAACTAAAAATGATTAGGCCCCTGAACGATTAGAAAAGAATACCTGAGTTCTGACAGAATCTCTGCATCCGAACTTTGAGCTCTTGTATCGCCTGACAATGTCCTGAAGCGTAGCACAGACAACGAAATACTCTTGCTTGAGACGAAGTTCTTTTCCTTCGAAGAAATTGTCATTTGGATAGAGAACCTTGGAGATATTTTCAGCGATATTTCTGTCGAAAACAGCTAGAATTTTACTTAATTAAAGAAGACGATAACGAATGATTTACGAACATTGAATGTAGTCTCCGGTATTGAAAAGATTCAGATTAAATCCCCTCGTAGCACGAGCAGACCAAAGACGCATCGTGTTAACGACATTGTTTCCATACCCAGGAGTAGGCGTGTCATATGGAAGGGCAATGACAGCTTGCGTGTTTCTCCACTTGGATGGCTTTTGCCAGTCTCCATTTTCGTTCTGCACAGAACCGAAAAAGTGCACGGCGACAGCGTACTCTGGCCGAGCGCGCTCCCAGACACATCCGTTTCGAAGCCAGTCATCCGGTTCTTCAGTCTGCCAGCCATCGTGGATGCGCTGGTTGAAAATACCGTACTCATATCTAATTCCGTAGCCATACGCCGCTAATCCGAGCGTGGCCATCGAGTCAAGGAAGCAGGCAGCAAGTCGACCTAATCCGCCGTTTCCGAGACCGGCGTCTTCTTCCTTTATTTTGAAGTGTTATTTTATGATAAAAGAAAATTGCAATTACCTGCTCCTCAAGCTCTTCAATATTAAGGCCGAGTTGGTACATGGCTTCATCACACTGTTCTTGAATTCCCAAATTAACCATTGTATTCGTAAGCGTTCTGCCCATGTAGAATTCAAGAGAGAGATAGTACACGCGTTTGGGGTCTTTCTCATAGTAGTACTGCTGCGTTCTGATCCAGCGACCGACCATGTTATCTTTGACAGTGTGAGCGAGAGCACTGTAGAAGTCGTCAGATGTAGCGACATTTCTGTCCTTGACAAGAGTGAAGTGGAGATGCCGATTGAAGGCTTCTTTAATGTCATCGACGCCCTCAAGAGGGGCAACTCCGCGGACTGAGATCTGCTTACGCTTGTCCGCGTCTGTTAATGGAGTCGCCATTCTAAATTGCAAATGCTGTTAGTTTTCGTAGCAGTCAGTAGATGAAAAATCAATGGCTCGCTCAATCAAAAGCAGCCTACAGTGTTATCAGCGTCAAAAACATGAATCATAATGAAAATCTTTGCATCAAAAGCCGCCTTACTGGGCCTTCCCGTATTTCAAATAGCCTCCTTTCAGCATATTGGCGTTTTCGAATCCCAGCCGATTCAGAATATCTCGCGATTGAGCACTCCTTCCTCGGTTGGCTTGGTCAATTAGCAAAAATATCTTTGATGATTGTCGAGTAATATAAACCAGGACAAACTGGTTTGCCGTATTGATCCAAGCCTGTGTCGGATCCTGACTTGCAGTTGGTCCAGATTTCAGTCTGCTTTTTGGGCATCGCTACGTTGTACTTTGCCTAAAGGGGGCTCATGACCGCGTAAAAATTCTCAATCACATGAATACGGCAAATCAATCAAGAATCAAATGAAAGCCGAGAAAAATTATTCGATCTGTATCCGAATACCTCGAAATCTGCCTCAGTAAGACTGAACGCGGTTTCTATCTCAGACCTAGGAATATGTGCCCAGTAAGCTGCCTTTATGTGGCCATCTGCGACCTCCTCAACGCTCCGAACATCGATAAACAAAATGTCCGATGATAGAGTTTTATTTTTAAAGTCATCAAAAGATAATTCCGTTGACATTCTAGAGACATATAATACCTTCAATAACATGTATGATTTTTATTTGAAAAATATCCATTTTTATGAATTCGAGGAGTGAGAAAAAACGATAAAGAAAAATCATTCAAGCAATTGCGCTCTCTCAAAAAAGACGAAAATAATCATATCCCTGTAAGAAAGTCTGAGTAATAAATCTATAGTTACCCTCGGTTTAAAAATTGAGTAAAATATTCAGTAATCAGAACGCTTTGATTTGTGTTTAAATGAGGTCAGAAACTTAAAATTATTTTCAAACACAAAAACTCAAAATTTGCGTTGATTTCTTTCAAGTGCCTCGAAGCATGTCGGCAGTTTTCAAAAAAGGGAAATAATAGAACGTCCAAATAAAACTATATCTTACTAACCCCGAATTAATGCCAGTTAAATATCGTCAGCTGATACGATTTAATGAATAATGAGTAGCAAAGAATAATAGGAGAAGTGGGAAAATTCTTATTTGAAAATTTGTACCGCATTTAAAGTCTGAATTTTAGACTCCTTCTATATTGCACTTTTTTTTATAAAATTGGTAGAAAAGTTTTGCGAGGAGCGTAAATAGGTGACGATATTTATGCTTTCATTAAGTTTAAGACAGCGGGTACTAACTTGGCAGCAGCTTGTACAAACTAGAGTTGTTATATTCAGGAAATAAAGGGAAGGCTGCTCTTTGAAAGATTTTCTTCTTGTCAGGATTTCGGCAAATCTCTTCTTCTATCGTCGCTGATCTTAAACGAGTTTTAGATTTTTAGTCCCACTGCCGAGAAAGCATGAGAGAATGCATGTTACGTAACAACTGAGCTCGTTATGTAACGGTTGACTCTAAGCACCTGCCCTGGGGAAGCGGTCAAGAGCTTCTATTCGTAAAGATAAGTTTACTGCTGGTGACTCCGTCTGCAGGACTTGCATTCTATTCGCTCGATGCAACTACTTACAACGGCCGGGCTTTCGTCTATCGTCGCGATGACCTGATCGTGACCTGGATCTGAAATAAAAATCAGTTACATTGAAGCTGATAATCAAATTGTTGATCGTAAACGTGTTTCGCCGCTCCCTAAAGCAGCTTTAACATTTACTTACCGACGTCTTCGATCTCGTCTGTCTCGATCGTCTCGTCGCCTCCGATCGTCTCTTTCTCGGCTACGACGTCGCCGGTCGTCCCTCGAGTATCGTCGTTCATCACGACGAGGTTCACGTCGAGGAGATCGTTCACGCGACACTCTTCGTTCCCGGTCGTCACGGCTAAAATGCATTTTATAACTCTTGCATTTGGTTTTTCGAACTAACCGTTCGCTCGTCCTGTTTGGGGAGCTTCGATCTCCTCTTTCGCCGCGTTTCTTGTCGAAGATTTCTTTCAGCTCGTTCATTTTCGCCTTGATTCGCGCGTACCCCATGTGCTGTTTTCCCGTCAGGTGGTCGTCCACTCTCGACTAAAAGAAACATTGTCATCAATCAAGCCCCTCCTCTCTAGGTGCCTTTACATCGCCAACAATTAGGAAGCTGCCGCAAATCTCGCAGACTTCCATTTGCTTCTCTTGTTGGCCGTGATATGCTTGGTCTGGGTTCGCATTCACTTTCGTCGCAAGTCGGATTCGTTCGCGCTCCTCCTAATAAGCCGTTTCACGAAGTTCACATTTAGTATGGTTAATATACAATGAGCGTTTCAATATAGTTCATAGACTGGAAGACTATGAAATAATTCTTTCCTTCAACTTTTCAACTTCTTCGGTTTTGGCCATTGCTTGCTGCACTTCTCCAAGTTCACCGAGACGCTCCACCTCGACGAGCAAGTTTGTGATTTCAATTGACAGCAGCGAAAGCTTGTTCGCATGTTCGGCAGTTTCCTGAAAAATAGAGACCATGGGGAATGAGACTGCTCCATCAAATGGTTCACCCTGACTGTATACCTGTAAATTCAATGGAAATGGGTGGCAAGGGCAGAGAGAAATCTCCTCGAAGGATAAAGAAGAGATTCCCTACTTAGGCCCAGGAACCCTTCGAAAACTACGATGAAAGATTCATACCTCTTAAATTCACGTTCACATTCATCGTTACTTTTCGTATTGAGACAAAAACGAAATCAAGCGAATACGAAGATTTAGAATTAGAATTTTTAAGCAATTTGACATAATACCTAAGTTGAGGACGAGCGAGAGAGATAGAGCGAGTCAGTTAACTGGAGAGATAATCGTTCCCAGGACTACTTACGGCATTAATTGGCGCATCCTCATCTTGATTTTGATCTAGGCGTTGCTTATTTCGCTTTATTTTCCGTTCTACCTCAATCATGCACTCTTGCAAGAAATCGAAGAACTTTTCTTCGAAGCCCATTTTGAAGACGTTGTCCGAGGCCTAGAATATAGTAAAAAGGAGCCAGGGCTTGAAGTCAACCTGGTATTCGCGACGCAGGTTTTCGTCGTGGATCTTTTTGCAAGGACCAAGATCAGCTTTGGTATTAACAAACAATTCGTTTGGGCAAAATCCGCACAAATAGAACTGACAGACATCCGGATCATTTACTTCCACTGAATTCGAACGTAAGAAATAAGCAGTTTAAGGTGTGAGCATACGTTTAGCAGTAGCTTTGCCGGTAGTATCATTTCGGTTCCGGCCCATAAGCTCATCGAGCATAGATGCGATTTCGCTCGTCATTCTACAAAGTCACTTTTCTAATCAAAACGGCCTGATAATTTGCTAACATGTTTCAATCTGCACACAGAATTCGAAAAAAAATATAAATCGCAGTGAGTAGTCGTGATACTGAGTCAGTAAAATATTTATCTAAAGCCGGAAAATCCACTTCCGGAAAATGCATTGTTCTGTTGCTGGTTATTTCCGCCACCGAAACTTCCGAAGCCTCCACCGCCAGATGTCTTTGCGCCGAATCCACCACTCGAGTTGCTTCCGCCAAAGCCACCAAATCCACCAGCGCCACCTCCCGAGCCGCCTCCGAAAACACCGCCAGAATTGTTGCCAGAACCAAATGAGCTGCTTTGCTGGTTACTACTACCAAAAGCGGATGAACCGAAAGCTGAGCTGCCGCCGCCACCGAATGCAGTGGAGCCAAAGGCATTACCCCCGCTGCTACCGAAGGCGCTGCTTCCAAATCCGCCACTTGAACCTAAATAAACTTCATCTCTGATGTATATTCAAAACTTTGATACCTCCACCTGAACCCGAGAAAGGACTAGTTGCCCCGCTTCCTCCAGAAAAAGGACCGGAAGATGAGTGTTGATTACTAGACGTCGAGGAGCCGAATGGGTTTGCAGGCGCGTTTCCAAACAAGTTCGAATTCTTACAAGTTTTAGTTAACGCCGGAACGCATAAAATTTTTTCAACGTCGAACGCAGGTCGTACCAATTAATTGGTATGCCCTTTTTACCCCTTTTTGGCAATGAAACTAATTAGTTGACTTTATAAATGATATACATAAATAATTCTCAGACGCTCAGCTTCAATTTTATTCCTATATTATACCCATATCATAACATAAATATGAGTAAATATGCAAATTACCAAATGTGTCGAAATGGAATTAAAGGGCGCTGTACCAATTAATTGGTCGCCATGCGTTTGGGCGTTAATATAAATTGATATCTGCATTACGTACATTCGTTGAACTAGAGTTATTGCCAAAGCTACTACTTCCGAACGGATTTTGTTTTGCCTTCTCTGGATCTGGTTTTGATCCGAGTCCGCTAAAGCCGCCACCAGATCCGAAAACACCGCCTCCCGAATTATTGTCGTTGTTGGAGCTTCCAAAGATGCCGCCAGATGAGTTCGTGTTTGAATTGCTTGAACCAAATAGGCCTCCTGAGTTAGATGTTGTACTCGAAGAACCGAACAATCCTCCGCCTCCTCCTCCAGAGTTCCCAAAGCCGCTAGTAGACTGTGGCGTTGAAGAGCCAAAAAGACCGCTACTTGATTCCGCTGGCTTTGATCCGAACAATCCTCCACCAGAGTTTGCTTCCGATTTCGCTGGCGTTCCAAACACATTTGACGATTCGGATGGTTTAGAGCCGAAAAGTCCACCGGATGACTCAGGCTTTGACGATCCAAATAGACCAGATCCAGAGCTTTTTTCAGCTGGCTTTGATGAACCAAAAAGTCCGGATTCAGTCTTCTCTGCTGCTTTGGGTGTTCCAAACAAGTTACTCTCTGGTTTCTTCGTGGAACCGAATAGACCTGTACCAGACGATGATTCAGCGGGTTTTGAGCCAAAGAGACTCGAACTAGACGAAGTTTCCGCCTTTGATCCGAATGGGGTAGGTTTAGTTTCCTCAGTTTTACTTCCAAATAAATTAGATCCGGACGAAGCCTCTGCTGGTTTGGAACCAAAGAGACCTGTCGCTGAACCTGCTTCCTTAGCCTTGCTGTCGTCACTTTTTGAACCAAAGAGCCCAGAAGAAGTACTAGATCCAAAAAGGCCAGGTTTTGGTTTTTCTTCTTGTTTAGCTGGAGTACCGAACAAATTCTTGATTGTTGGTTTCTCGGCTGAGGGCGGAGCAGTTTCTTTCTTTTCGTCCTTGTCCTCAGCTGGCTTTGAAGGAGTGCTTCCGAAAAGAGAAGGGGCTGGTTTTTTCTCTTCAGTTTTTGCTGTAGTTGAAAGTCCACTTGGGGGTTTTGATGCTGCCGACTCCTCTGTCACTTCGGTTGTAGATTTTTCGTCAGCTTCAGTATCTTCTTTTTGAATTCCGGCGAAAATGTTTACTCCAGAAACGTTAGGTGATTTTGCTTTTGATGGCCTTCTTGGTGGTGTGTCGTAGGCAGATTCATCTAAAGTAAATCGGTCTCCGGAAGCTCCAACGCCACCAGCTTTAGATAATGCCCCGAAAGGCCCCTTTGGCGTCACTGCTCCGAAAATGCTTGGTTTTGTAGGTGCTGCTTTGGGATCAGTTGCAGTTGAGCCAAAGAGTCCTGTGCCACTTTTTGGTGCACTTGCAAAGAGATTAGGTTTAGGAACAGTCTCGGTGCTAGCAACTTTGATCGTTTCTTCGAGATCATCAGCAGATTCATCATCAGTTTCACTGATATGGCCGGACTCACCATCAGAGACATCTTTTTCCGAGGAAGAAGATACAACCACATTTCTTAGATTTTTATATAAACGTTACCCTTGTAAAGAATCTCACCTGAATGTGAACGTCGATTTTGATGTATCCGGTTTCGAGGAGCCGAAGACGTTTGCTGTAGTTCCTCCAAAAGGGTTCACATTTGCGGGCGCAGTTGAAGAAGATGTCTTGGGAGCGAACAAATTCGGTTTCGAAGTGGTGACGGAAGTTGGTTCTTTAGCTGTTGCGAATATGTTCGTTTTTGGAGCCTCTTCAATCTTCTTCTCGGCTTTTTCTCACTGGTCCTTGGTGGAGTGAATATGCCACCTAGGGTTGGCTTCAGCTTTTCAGCTGGTGCCTTCTGTGGAACAGAGAATGCAGAAACATGAGGTGTCTTTTCTTTCTCAGGAAGCTTGGACGAAACAGATGATGGCTCTGACGCGATTTTGTTCACCGTGTTTAGTGCAGCACGAACGGCATCTTGCGTTCCTTTGTTAACGTGTGGGGCAGGGCTAAATGCACCCGCAAATGATGGGCCTTTTGCTTGCGGGAGAGTAGATGCATTGATAACTTGTGGCGGATTATTTAGGTTATACTTCGATTCGTTTTCACCGCCTTTAGCTCCAAAAGCACCAAAGAAGCTGGTTTTAGGCGCTTCTACATTTGGAGGTCCGCTACTCGTAGGAAAACTCTGAGGCGTTTTTGGTTTCGCTGGCATGTAGCTAACCACATTCGCACTACCATCTCTTTGAATGCGAATATCTGGAGTAGATGGTGCAGATTCAGGCTCCAATTGAAGCTTCGGGATCTGTTCCTGTTCAGCTCGGTTGAAAGAGCTGAAATAGGAAAATAAATGATCACGTAAAGGAATTTACCTCTTTTCGATTACTGCTCGTGGTTTTCTGTTCACAATTATGGTAGAAGTATCTACTTTAGATTTGGAACGGACAGGAATTGACTTTCTCCCAGAGAGTTGAGACTTGAGCTTTTGGACATGTTCTGGGCGCATTTGACTGCGCGGTGAAGAAGCAAGTTTCTCTTGGCTACAGCTCTCGTTCGAAAGTTGCTCGACGAAAGATTGCTTCATCGGCGAACCTCGAGGAGTTACTGCAGATCGGCGAGAAAGTCGAACTTTATTCAATTGGGCACTAAGTTGTTGCATCTTCCGCGAGTGATAATGAACCAATCTTTCGTTCGTTTCAATACATTTATAAAAGTCTGACATAGACGACGTATTTTCTTTGTTCTCTGTCACTTTTTCGTCCAGCATCTGAGTGACTTCATAGACGGAGCTGTTGAGGTACCGCTTCATTGTGCGAATAGACTCCACTTTCTTCGCAAGAAGCGGGCATAGTGACACTAAATTCTTGTTAATTCTTGTAAATAGGTTCACTTCTACCAGATTTGCAATACTTGTTCTCTTCTTTGAATGTCCTCTTTTACTCGCTTCGTGCGCGGCCTCATAAGAAGCAAATCCCTCTAATGACCGAAGTTTGACATGTTGAACTTCGTCGATAGTTTCTTCAGAATTACTTTTGGCGACGGAGGCAAACTTTTTCAGTTGGTCTGTTTTCGTTTTGAGCTCTTTCTTCGCGTCCTCGTTGAAAAAAGAAAGATCTGTTTTGGCGTTTTCGAGCTTGTAAAGATCCATTTCCCTTTCAAAATCATTCACAAGAGAAGCTAGATCTTCTTGAGTAAACACACTCGAAGGCTCCTTTGGAGTGGGCATCACAGATGGTTTGGTAACCACAGATGCTGTTGTTGGTTCCGCTTGCCTTGTTGAAGCGGGTTTAGGGATACCAAAAGATGAAGTTGTCTCAGAAATAGTTGCACTCGAAGGCTGCTCCTTAACGATTGAAAAACTTCGCGGACTTGGCTTTGTTTTCTGCTCAATTTTAGCCATCGCTGGAGTCGATGATAAAGGTGGCGCGAAGAGTGTGGTATTATTTCCAAAGGCGGATTTATTTGCGAGATTCGGCTGAGCAACTGATGATGTTCTCTGAAGAGGAAGAGATACTCTTGCTGGCGGTACTGCCTCCTCGACTGCAAGTGTTTTTCTGTCACCGCCAGGGATCGAGTCAGTAAGCTGTTTTTGATCAGGAAAATTAGGCAGGAAGTTATAAAGACGGAAAGCTACCAATACTCCACTATTTGAGAGAACCCAGAGACAAGGAGCATTTTGTTGCTTCGAAAGAATCTGCAGAGGATCCTTGAAGTTCATGTTCCAACATGCACCAATCACGCAACTTGTCTCGTCTGAGTCTTCGTTGAGAGGAAGCTCCGCTCTAGCTTCGTCGGCAAGCGACCAAACCTGCACCTCACTATTCTTCGTTCCCATCAGAGCGCAATCTCCAGAGTTAGAGTTTGTGACCGCAAACATACCCCAAGGAACAATAAGAGGCAGATACATCTGCGAATCTCGTTTAGCCGCCGCGGCAAATGTGGGATCTTCGAAGCATCGCCACAGCGGATCGCGTTTTTCTCCTTTCTCTGGCAAGTGAACAGTAAACAAATTAGCACCCGCGTCGCTGGCGTCATCAGCATAAGCGACTCCGAATTTGTAAGTCGAAATCCACACAATATCAGTCACTTTTGCGTTGCCATTTATCAAAGGGCAGGCATTGACTTTCTTCTTGATTTCCATAGTAGGAGTGAATTGCGCCAAGGTTCCGTCACCAAAGCCGAGCACCATTTGTTTGCCTTTTGGAGACCAAGCTACGCATTTAGCATTCATCGGTGGTCTAGACGAATGAACGGAGACTGTATCTTCCACTTTGAGGACTTCGACAGCACCGGAAGAGTAGACCATGGTGATTAACTCGGAGATCGAGGGATTCCACGCCGCTGACAAGAGTGCGCCATTGGACGGGGAAGTGGCAGGAGATTGCTTCGCAAAATACCCATTGGATCCCTTCATCAATGATCGCACGTCGTAGAAGATGTTCTCCGTTTTGCCGTCAGTGATCGTCGACACGAGCAGTGTCAACCCACAGCTAGAAACAGCGAGCCACTGAAGCTGCCCTTTCGTGTTAACTTTCACGATCGCTTTTGGCGACTCTTTCTTCGCCTCGAGCTCAGTGACCTTGAATAGATCGAAGCCAAACTTTCTGCCGACGAAGACATTACCGAAGCGCGAGCAAGAGTCAAGCATGTGCATTCGGTTATCGCAATTGATCTCATCACCGATGTCGAATTCTTTAACGAGACTGAAGCCGGCTTCCTCGGCCTCTATAAACACTTCGATCTCGAATTCCCCCATTTTCGAGGATCGATCAACTGAACAACATGTTTTTAAGAAGCTAGATTACAAAGAGAACATGGTAAATATGGGTGTATTTTCAGGTATTTTGGTTAAATTTGATGAAGCAGGTAAATCTTTTGTTGAGCTTATCGAGGAGAGATAATTTTTTAGTCACTGGCGGTTGAAAATTACAGATACTGCCAGACGGAACAAAGCGCGCTAGAAGTGAAAATGAAGAAGAAAATCGACGGCGCCATTATCAAGACTCCTTTCAATCCATTCGTTTCGGCTGAAGAAGGTGTAGTGCAAAGCTTGAATGCTGAAGGCTACCTGGAAGGAGTCCACCGACCCATAATGGCGCAAGAACTTGGGCGATTTTCTCTGAAGCGACGCGAATCGACTGCGTAAAGCTTTGATATTCCTCAGGCGTATTTTTGGCAATTATAGAAGCCGATGAAACCAATGATAAAGGCTAGAAATCGCGTAAATTTCGTGGAGGAATGGAAAATGAAGACTCACAAAAGTTATGCAGAAAATAAGAATGGAGAGTGCGATGCAAGTGTAAACCCAGGTCGCACGGAAGCTTGCGAGAGCTAACACAACGGCAGTGAAAAAGCAGACGCTAAAAAGAACGATTAAAGAAAGGTGACGGCTTCTTTGGACTTACAATACACATCCGCCAACCCCAGCACCAAAAACTTTCTTTGGATCCACTCTTGGCCTTGATTCTAGAGTGGCCATAAGATATTTAGCAAACATGTATCCGATGAGCGCGCAGAAGCCGATCATCATAAATTCTAAGGCGTTTTGGCTGGTTCCCCAGCCGAAATAAGACTTATTGAACGGTGTTACGAGGGTTTCATTAGAAGCTAAAAGTATGTCGCGTCCCGATAGCGCAAGAGAGAAAACCTACCTTGAAGAAAAATTGAACTGAAAACGGCCATATTCGCCACAACAAAGGGCTCGTTAATATAATTCGGAAGAATTTTTGAAGCAGCGTCTTCGATTGCAGGCGTCGTGGTTTCGTCGACAAGATTTGAGCTTGGATCAGGCTCCACTGAAGCGGTAGTTTCTAGTGCTGCTGATACGGCTTCAGAAGGCTTTGATGCAAGCTTGCGTACGAAGAAAACGTAGAAAGCCCTAAATTGCTCGTTGTTTTGTCAGATGCTAAATTCGTACCCAAGTAGAACGAGGAGCCACATTAGCGTTATAATGCAGGCGAAAATAACATTAATTGAGACGTTTTTGAACAGTATTGGCTTGATGAGCTTCTTACTTATCGCAACCCACGCTGGGCAGGATATAGTACCCACTTGCTTGGCGACTAGGAGACGAGCGAATGTAGCGCCACGGTCACTAAAAACAATTTTAATTGAAGAAAGAGATGGTGAAAAATTACTCTGGATGGACAATACGGCCAGCAAAGCCCATTATTGCTCCGTCGATGGCATTTCCGATGCCACCCACGAATCTCGCAAGGATGACAAAAAGTCCGGACGAGGCGAAGCAGTAAATCAGATTGCCGAGGATTGAGGAAAACAGGCCAAAAATGATTGTCAGGTCGATGGAGCCGCGTTTGTCCGTATGTTTGCCAATAAAAGTGGCAAGGAGGGCACCGGCCAGTGGAAATACAGCAATAACATAGGCAAAAAGGCTTTGTTGAGCACCTGAGAAGGGAAAATTAAGCTCTGGAGAAATGAAATACGACGAATTAATTTATAGACTATAAATTATAGTGGCTAGTCATTTCGTAGAATTACCTAGATCAGGGTTGCCCAATCGGACAAAAAATCTTGGTCTTGGCGATCCGATTCCGATCCGATCCGATTCGGACCTCGTCCAATCCGACCGATTACCGATCCGATTACCGATTCCGATCGGATTTTTCGGATTCCGATTAAAGTTCATGTCCGATCGGACAATTTTCCGATCGGAAAAATATTCGAAAATTTTCAAGTTAAAATTTCAATTTAGACTACTGAATATGAAGAAAAAAACTCGGAAATATCAAGTTCTTTCGCTACAAACGCCCTTCTAACCATTTTACCTCTTATTTCCGTGAAAATTTATGGATAATTTTGGGTTTTCGGGGGCTTGGATCCGCAACATTTGTACAAAACATATAAGGGTCCTGAAAGAGCTTTCATAAAAGCCGCCTCGGCGCTAGAATTTCCTAGAAACGAAGTAACAAATGGGCCATTTGAAATGGCGTTCGCAAAAACAACCATTTCAATGGTTGACATTCTCAATCTAACACTAAATCACCGTGACGAAGGTTTTAAAGGACGTAATTAAGCTCTTTTTTAAGAAAAACATGCCTAAAAATTGGTGAATTTACACAAATATTACTTTTTATAAGTGTATTTTAAGCCTAAGTCACGGATTTTAGTGGCTTTTGAATGAATGAATCCGACTTTTTTACCCATTTTCCGATCGGATTATCGGATCCGATTTTACCGATCGAAACCGATTTTACCGATCGGACATGACCAAATTTTCATTGCCTCGTCCGACCAATTACCGATCCGATTCCGATCGGATCGAATTTCCGATCGGATTCCGATCCGGTTGGGCAACCCTGACCTAGATCATCGACTAGGCGCGAATAAATGGAACTGAAGTAGAGTCCGTATTCGATGCCCGCAGTAAAGTACCATCCAGAGAGAAGCTTCAGCAAGAGCTCTTTCTCCGCGGGAACCATCAGCAACAAAAAACGATTCTTCTCAATTTTGCGCTACATCTAAATTTGAGCGTGCCTTTAAATAGTGACACTTTATATAGATATTAAAAGCTACTCATCCGTGAGGAAGAGGTACTGACACAGATTCTTCCAGCTTCATTTATTTCAAAAGTTTTGAATTAAAACAGCTAAATAGAAAAAATAAATCAACGTTTTTTTTTTAAATTATTCAGTGAAAATCTAAGAATAAATATATTCTCGCCAAGGCAGTTCTTTTCTAAAAAAATATTTTGATTTCTATCTTCTCCTTGTAGTTAATGCATAATACCTCCAAAAGAATTGATAATTAACAAGCTAATCATTAATTTTTAAAAGAATTTACTGAATTAAATCAGTGGAAGAGCTTCAAAAGAAAATGAGAGATAATTATTCAACACAAATTATTTCAATAAGATGATCAACTCATTGGTTTATAAACATTCTTTCTCTTTCTTTCCGAGCAGAAGAGTTTTCAGTCTTGATACAGTGCGAAAGTAAAGTAATTTTTGGAAGTGAATAAAAGAAGGCGCAGGCGCCCACGGCCAATCGACTGGAGCGCGACATTTGCGCGCTTCTCCGACGCTTCCCCGAAAAAAAAAACGAGAAAAACTGAAAAAGACATTTTGAAATATGGAGATTTAAAAATAAAAGTTATTTGAATTTTCCAACCATCTCAATACATTCGTCGTTTGATATCTGGCTTATCCATTTTTGAGAAAATTATAGAGAATATTATTATTCGTCATAGAAAAATATCTGTAAGGGAACAGTGACGTGAATTAAAAATTGAAAGGATTATTAGTTCGCCTTCCCTAAATATTCAAGACGTAATTTAGAGAAAACGTTTTATTCAGTAGTGTTCGAACAAATTAGTATCCAATTGAATGTAGGATAGGGATTTGTTCGTGTCTGTGTGTGGACGCACAAAAAAGCTCGGAGAGAAACTTTCATTCATCGAAGAGTTTTCAAGGCTCGATTACTTCTTTTCCGCCCCGGTTGGCGACTGAAGAACATTCCCTGAGACGAATTACTGTACGGAAGAAATTATTCACCTTTCGCTGATTTGCGAAGGAATGCGCCAATTACTCGCCTTCGATCGTGGTCAGAAACGCCACAAATGCGCGTTTGCATATTAATCAGCTGATAACATTGAAAGCGCGCTTGCAGAAGATCCTCGCTGACCATTTATCCTTTCTAGTATGGATTCGTCGCCGTACGACGAGATGTACATGGTCGAAGAAGACGAGCCCAGCGTGGCGGATATGTATACGCCTTCGCCACGGAATGAGCCAGTTTCGGTTGGAAAGCAGAGCCTCAATCAGGTACTAGTCCACAGTCGATCTCTCCTGCAACTTTAATCTTAATCGCGCAAATATTCAGAAGATATACAGCTCGATTTCGTTGATTAGCCACAAATCCTAATAGATTTATTTCTTTCCAGAGTTATTCGAGTTGTTCACTTTTAAAATGAATTGCGATTATCGAAGCCTAGTTTTAATGAGTTGCGTAGACAGAGGACGAAGGATCAAGCTCGTCATCAGAGGAGTGCGATGTCGAGGACGAAGAAGGAGACTCGAACTCGCTCAAATATGACCAGGCGGAGTTTGCAGAACTGGATGTCAAGTAATGGACTACTTTCTACGCTGTTATTTATACATTTGTAGCGATGATATCAGGCACATGTTCGAGCGCATCACGGAATTCCAGCCCAGGAAGATTGAGCTCGAAACAAAGCTTTTGCCATTCGTCCCTGAGTTCATTCCGGCGATTGGTGATATTGACGCCTTCTTGAAAATTCCCCGTCCTGACGGACATCCCGACGGCATCGGACTTATGGGTGAGAAGGCTACTGAAAGATTCTCTTCCTTGATTTCACAATATTAGGCTAACTTCAATCTTAGTTCTGGATGAGCCTGCGCCTAATCAGAGTGACGCAGGGGCGCTTGAACTGAAACTTCACCAGATGCACAAAGGATCAGCGATCCAGACGTCGGTGCGGCGAGTAAAGGCGACAGGTAATGGTTCATCAATTATGCATAGCGACAATTTAAATCGGATCTGTCGATATTTAATGCAACTTTCACAATCATTAATTGGCCTTTAGATAGCGCTGGTTTGCAGAAATGGGTTCAATCCGTCAGAGAGATTCACTCAGGCGCACCAGCTCCTAGTGTCCAGGTGAGAAAAAGGCACTTCAGTCTCCTCTGGAACACTCCTCCGCGCCCATCCCTTATTGATTAGCCTATTAACCAAATAAAGTGTAATGGCCTCATTCCAGATCGCACCAATAAGAAAAAAAGATATTCATTTCTATTTAGTATAATGGGCCTGTTCCGGATATCGAGAAATTAATGGAAGAGTGGCCAGTGCACCTGCAAGAGCAGCTCAAAGATTTCAAACTGCCGGAAGGCCCTATCGACGTGCTAATTGACTTCAGTTGCGGCATTTTCGACATTCCAATCACCAATAGAGTACACGGATTGCACCAGCTCCTAAGCCTCTACCAGTCTGTCAACGAAACCCTCTGAGCAGTTCTCTTTCCCTCTACGCCTTCTGCCCGTGGCGCCTCACAAAACATCTTTTTTATATTCTTCGAGTTATTTTTGTACCCTTGAAAACAATTTTCATAGATAAACCCAAATCGAATTACGAAACGACTGATTGTTTACTTCAGAAATGAAACGGAGACAATGAGACTCATGTAGAACCACTAATGTCATCGACGGAAGCGAGCTATTCGCGCGGAGCTAACTTTGAGTCCGACAACTCAGATGACATCCTCACTCCCGAAGAGCAGAGGCTTCACGCCGCGGCCAAATGCTGCACAGGTAAATCGCACCAATTCATGACAAACGTTGGAATTTTCTTTTAGCTGACTCAATCGACGAAATAAGTCTTTTGGTATCCGGCCAGCTAGGCTTTCCACCGGTGGATGTCAACTCACGCAACGCTGTCGATCGAACTGCTCTTCATTGGGCTGCGGGGAATAATAATGTCGACGCACTCAAAGTACTGATTCAATTTGGGGCTTCTGTCGATGCGAAGGTTTGTCCTTTCGCCGCTTTGAAAGTGATTAATTGCTTTCGTAGGACATATTTGGCATGAACGCTATTCTTTGGGCAGCTTGGTTCGGCCACTACGAAGCGTTCTGCTTTTTAGTTAAGTCTGGAGCAGCCACTGAATCAAAAAACAAAAACGGCCTTTCATTTCTTCATTGTGCAGCAACCAATAACCACGTGAACATTATTGATATTTGCCGACAGGAACTCCAGGACTTTAATTTGGATACCGTGGACGGGCATCAACGAACAGCACTTCACGTAGCTGCTCGAGGGGGCAATCTGGAGTCCGTTGAGGGCCTGCTTGATTTAAAATCAGATCCACACTTCGACGATAAAAACGGAGAAGTTCCCTTGCATTTAGCCGCGAAGCATGGTCATGTCAAATGCGTACAGTGCCTAGTTGACTTCGGCGCGGATCCGAACTCGGTAATCATGAAAGGCAACATAGAATGATACATTTTTGATTTAGCTGAACAAGAATAACGAAACACCTCTGCATCTGGCATGTCTTGGAGGTTATAGCGACATTGTGATGATCCTGCTCGATGCGAATGCGTATGCCGATGGAGAGCTTTTGTCAATGGAAAACTGTTGCTCTGGCCCGGGCAGTTGCGCGGAGACACCGAGCACTGTCGCTTCAAGCTCGATGGACGAGCGCGAAGTGTTGCGAGTTGGCACGCGTCCTCTTCATCACGCCAGTCAAATCGGCAATCGAGAAATCATCAGTCGTTTGGTGCAAAAGGGCGCCTCTATTAACGCTGTCACCGAGCTTAAACAGTCGGCGCTACATTTAGCGACCATTCATTCGCAACTAGAGGTAAACAATGTCTCTAATTTAGCCAAAGAACCCGTCTAGTCCTAATTTAATATAGACGGCGAAAAATGGAAGTTCTTCGCCTGCCAAAAACACGCCATGCTTTCGTTCTTTTTCAAAAAGATTCTATAATTTAATATGATTTAAGGGCGCCGAGGCTTTGCTCAAGTTCGGGATAAATCCTAATATCCGCGATAATCGCTCCGAGGCGGCTCTCCATTTGGCTGCCGAGAATGGCTCAACAGAGCTCGCCGAAGTTCTTTTAAAGCACGGTGCAGACATTAAAGGATTGGGTCGACGATTTTACTTTTTTAGATGCTTAGCATTTGAATTATGCATTTTCATAACCCACCGAAAGTGCGAGATGGCAAAGGGAAAACGCCACTTATGGTGGCCGCCAGGGGCAATTATGTTACCATCGTTGATATGATTATAAAAGCTGAAAGGTGCCACCTTTTGTGATGGATTTTCATACGTACGTGCCTTCTTCTTGTTTACGTTATAATTATTCACCAACAATTTTATATATTTTTGAAGCACGCAGTTTTTAAAATCCAGAAACTAGTTCAAGAACGAGCTCAGCAAGGAAGTCCTCGCCAAAATAAATTTCAAGCCTGACTCCTCAATTGACACCCAGTTCATTCGAAACTTGCTCTTCAAGCTGAGTACTAAGGTAGTAGTCACTGTGGAAAAGATGCAATTTGAATAATTTCTAGTATCTGCGCCGGAATGAATGGAAACTGCTCGGGACTTACTGGAAGTTTTCGGACACACAGATTCGTTCCATCGAAGAACAGTGGATCGGAGAAAAATCGTACCGGGAGCATGCACATCGAATGCTTCTTATTTGGCTCCACGGATGTCTTTTGTCCAAGCAAAACCCAATCAAAGGAATTTTCGAAGCTCTTTGCTATATTGACAGACGCGATCTAGCAGAACAAATGCGCACTAAAGCTAATCAAGGCCCTCAGGACGAAAAATCATGCAATATACAGTAAACCAATTATGTAAAAAGTCAATAGAAAATGCGAACCATGCCAGCATGACTGATTCTCTTTCATAACTGTACCTATCCGCCTTTACCTACCTTCATAATTATTTCTTCAAGCAACTACTATTTCTTCACTTGAAACTTCTTTCTAAAGCTACTAAATAAACTAGTGGTTACAAAAGTTATTCCCAAGTCAATCTTTTATTTTTTAAATGTTTGACGAGGTCGATGGATGCATATTTCTAGTTCTAATCAACGAGTAGAGGTCAAGTAGAGGCAAGTTGTCGACGTATGGGTCAGGGTGATTAGAAAACGAAAACTCTAAAAAAAGTTTCAACGCATAATAAAAAAATAGAGGCGTCGAGTTGAAGTCGGTTATATGATCTGATAAGGATCTCGCATCTGCCCCATTCCTTGCAACTTTTACGTTAATGTCTTCACTCTACCAGGGGTAAAAGTGGGGAATAACACGCGCCGAAGAAAAACACCCGTTTGTGTTTTTATTGAAGCAAGAGACAGAGAAACACGATTAACTGTACAGTGATCCTGCATCAACGTGTACTTACTTGCTCTCAAGAGTCAATTTAATAATTTAGACGGAATAAATGGCATCTCGAAAGTTACGTTCAATAGTGAACCCTGAGCATTCTAGCTTCTCAGAATCATTTGTTTACGATTACGGAGACAATGTAGTGCACATAGAGTCAGATGAGATGGTCAGAAACTTAAGTGAATGGCGACGCCAAAAAATGAAAACCACACCATCGTGAGTTTTGATGTATTTACATCTGATAACTTATAAATTATCCTAAAGAAAACACGAGCTCAAGTTTGGGGAGTACTTGGGAGATGTCGTCGAAGGACGTTACCGCCATCAGAAGTTTGGAGAGACAGTAGAAGAAGGCGACCGCCTCTTGGCTGGCCATGATGATCTTTTGAGTAGATTGGAGGAAACTATGGAGTCCGTTATAGCTGCCAGCGACGGAAAGTTGAAGCGCCCGACAATAGCGCAAATCGCGAAAAAAATGGACGGTATAAATAAGCTCATAATAAATTTTTCTCAAGACAATATAAGATTACGATTCGCCAGCACCGAAGAATCTTCTGGCATCTAGATCTCGTACTGACAAAATCGACCTCATAGCCAGTGAGAATATGCCATCACCGTCAGAATTCGGCTTGACGAAAGAAGAAGTTGCACAGCCAACTCCTCCTCTTGCGAAGAAAATGCTCCAAGAATACGACACTATGAAGGACAGAGAGCGGAAGAACTCTATTTGTTTAATTAGTTCCATAAAAAGTATCTCCGTAAAAGACAACTTGTGCACTACAAAAATCATTGACGGAGGCTGATTTTGGAATAACAGAAAATACGATCCGTCCAAATCTCGATAAACGGTCTATTCCAAGCGATCCCAAATTGAGTAAAGGCGATGAGCGAAAGAAGCGGCTTACAGCGTCTGACTTCGGAATAACAGCAGATATGAAACCGCCTTCTATGCAATCGAAGCATGACCACAATAGTGTTGAGTTTGACCTCATTCTTATATTGAGTGTTATACTTTGGGTACTTTAGTGTAGCATACATGGCCGATGCAATTTTAAACTCAAAAAAAGCAAGGAAGGAAATTTAGAAGGGGCCAAAAAGGAAAAAGACCGCCTATCAGAATCAGACTTCGGCATTACGGCTGATATGCGTCCGCCGTCCTGGAATCTAACACCACTGAAGAGTCAAGTTCGTGAGCCAAACATCGTCTGTGGAACTGTTGTGAAATCAAGAGCTCAAGAAGATCCGCTAATTGATTTCGGAAAGGCACTTGATAAGAAAGAACTGTCTGAAATCCCAACTCCTGGACTAAGAAGAAATCCTATTGCCGTTGAGCTCACACCGGCAGATTTCGGAATTGACGAAAATACAATTAATCCGATGGACACTTTCAAGAAGAAAATTGATAAGATCGACATCACTCCTTCCTTATCGTTCACGCCGATAAAAGTTCATGAAAAGGAAAACATTATTCCGCACGCAAACCAAACGAGAGCTGATCTTGACTTTTTAACCCCTGTAAAAACAAGCCGAGTTTTCTCCGACGAGTTTGTAGGTAACACGCCCGACAAGAACTGCTCATTCAATCTGCGAAACATTACGATTGGTAAGTTTAGGAGCAAATAACAAGCATTATCCTTCTCTAAGACGACGAGACAGGAAATCCTCTGCAAGAACCTCAGCTAACCATCAAAATTAAAGGCCTATCTTCACCTTTCGAAATCATGCAAAGAGATCACGGGTATTAACGAATTTAGCTGTTAGAAAGTTACAAGTTTATAAGGCTTAAGAAAATCACAGAAGAAGAATTTCTGAAGCTTCCAAGCTACCGTCGATTCGGCCTAGACGTAGCGAAGGCAAACGAAGCTTTGTACTCTCTCTACAAAACCTCGAATGGAAACAAAGCACATACATTCAAGCTTGACGCGCTAACCCGTGTAGAGTCCAAAGCACAGCCAGCATTACAAGTACTTGGAAGAATCTCTCGGTTAGCAGACGGCTGTTTTCATCTGATATAACTCTAACTGAATAATCTTTCACCATTGCCACTACTCACTCACATTCCAATAATAGACACAAGATATCTATTCAAGTTTCAATTTTGTCATATTTTTGCATTGGTTTATTTACAGCAGCCGCAGTAACGCCTTATTCTAGTCGAAAAGTTTTTTAACAAATTCTGTGTGAGAAGGGTCGTGAGTAGTTCCCTTTGAAATGTTCGTCGACTTTGAGAAAGTTTGTGTTGTTTCGGAATACTTTTGTCGAGTTTCAAGACTGACGTGGACAAGAAGCTATCATTAGCACAAAAGGAAATAATTAATGTTTACGATGAAAGCCGCGGGATCCAGACTTACTTAGTAGTGTCAAAATAAAAGTCGCGTTTTCTTAATTACGCTAGGTTATCGCTAATAACACACGCGGAAAATGAATTAATCAAACGTGACTTCGAGTATTATCAATAGAGTTTGTGTCTATTAAAATAGTCTTTTATTTTCAACTCGTCCCGATGTCAAGATTGAGGAGCTGCTCGATGAGGTAAGCGTGCTCTTTGAGCTTTCAGAACACACATCATCGTCCCTGTCATAATCATCATTTTTCGCACTCTCTTCGTAGATCCTCATTTTCGATTGCATGTTCTCACTTAATTTGTGGTCATTGGCGACCTGTTTCGGAAACTCATCAGTTGCCACTGGTTCTTGTTTGGGACGCGGTGGGGTGTCTCCAACTTGAGGATCGCAAACTTCCTTTTTTTGTTGCTCCAACAGCTTCAGTTGAAGTTCGTTAGCGTCAAAAGAGAGGGTTCAAACATACTCATCAAGTGTGTTAATACGGAGGTCAAAAAGCTCCAGAAATTCCGCCTTAAAATATTTTGTTCAGAACAAAATTATTGTGGCCTGTGCGGTTAGGTTCCACTCTTTTGGACGTAACATCTTACCCTCGAAATATCGTGTCTCATAATCAAAAGAGGCATAAATGTGAATGAACCCTTTTCTGAAATCATTTGAACTTGATCTTAAAATTCAGTTAGTAAAGTGTTTGTCTAAAAAGAATCAAGTTACCGTATGATGGTGGTCGAATCTCAGATTTTACCGCTTCTAGTGAGGTCTCTTCAGGAATTGTTTCTGGGATAACATCCTTTCTAAGTGATCCGAATTGTAAACTTAAGGCTATAACCTCCTTTTTGGCCTCTCTGGAAAACGGACTTCCCTTGGACGATTTCAAAAATTAAAAGGACTTATATACTCAAAATCTATCGTTGATTTCAGAAATACGGTCAAAAATTTTTTTTTCTCTCGAAATTACGACTTTACAATCATTTAGAAAACGCCATTCGGTTTTCCGAAGAATTTTACCATTACAGAGGTAGATTTTTTTAGATAAATTGATAGATTAAAGCCTTCTCTACAATCCCCACGGAAAAAATCTTCGATATCTGTTCAAATTTTCATTCTAGCGCCATGTTAGTGCTGGCACCTGAGGATAAAAATGCGCGTGGACGCGCTGCGCGGAGTGCTATCCTCCAGGCCAAAAAGAGAGCGCTGTTGGCGAGCGTGTGAGTCAATCGATTCATCGCGCTCTGATTGGCTGCGCGGATCTCAAGCGTCAGTCTATAAACAAAAGAGTTTTAAAAGAAGAGAGAACTATAATCATTATTTGGACGATTTCTTGTAATTTTTTCCGTGAGAATCATAGAATTTGCTCTGTTTAATATTATTATCGGATAAATTCTACCTCAGAACTTCCAGTTTTCTCGGAAAACCGAATGGCGATTTTTGAATGATTCTAGAGCAAAAAATTACCTGAGAAAACTATTTCTTGATGACATTTTTGAATTTTTTAGGAGAAAACAAGTATGTTTGCCCTTAAAATTTTTGAAATCGACCAAGGGAAGTCCGTTTTCCAGAGAGGCCAAAAGAGAGGTTATAGCCTTAAATGTTCTTGATCAAGGAATAACAACCACTTCCTTTATAGAATAATAACTCATTGTCCGGGATTCGCGACCTTAATTTACATAACTTCGATGAATTAAAACGGCCCTTTTAGGTTTATCGTAAAATATTCCAATTTTGCGGTGATTATAACGGTGATATAATCAGGCTCGCGTATTCCATAATTTCTAAGTGAATCTGTTTTCACCACTACTGTTCAAATCGTTACCTTGCTGCGACAGAATGTTGTCACAAGTAAAATCGAAAGCTCCTGCTTCAGGTGTGACTTGTCGTGACAAAACCTCTTGCGTGTTATTGTTCACCACTGATAAAGATGGTTGAGTAAACGTAACTAAACCGCCAGCAATGCGTTGTCCTCGCGGATCCTGAAGGATTACCTCCGTGCACATCTTCGGTTTTAAAAAGGAAGTCTACTATTTTCTTACGTTCGTGATTTCACTCGTTTTATCGACTATCTATATTTTTCTAAACCATGCCCTTTTTCGTAATTAGGAAAACTTTGTCTCACTGTATTTGGAGTGAGAGCTCCTTGTTGTACAAATCCAGTAATCTTTTCGTAAATTTTCCCTATTTTCTTACGCACTTCGGTTTCTAACTGTATGAGCTCGTCTTCGCCAGCTCGATTTTGTGGTCTTTTCAAGTTGAGGTCAATCGATTCCATTTTCGGCGAAGGGAAATTAAAAGTCTTAAAATTACTGTTAGATGCCTGAGGCATCATGCTTCAAATCATTATATTACCTCCATAGAAGGGGTTCTTCTTCGATCTGAGTGGCAGTAGTTTTAGTCGTTATAAAAGATCTTCTTTGAGCAGCTGGAACTGGTGGAGGCTCATTCGGTCTTGGTGGAGGGGCAGCTTTGTACTATAATCAAAAAACATCATTTTTAAACAAAATTTCAGTGAACATTTTTCCCGAAATACTCACCTTCTTAGCATGGATATTTTTCGGCAATTGGGTTTCTTTTTCAGTGCTAGTTGATTTCTCAAGATTCAGCGGTTTCTCCGGCACTGCCGGATGTGTCTTAGTGGGATCAGAAATAATAGTACTTTTGGGATTAATTTGGCGATTTATTTTTAGTTCTTTAGGTCTAAACAAATCAATTAATTGTCGGAAGGACGCGCCCCGAGTGGAACATTGTCATTAAATACCTGTCATAAATAAGTGACTACATAGTTTGGCCACCTGTGCCGCTAAGAATTAAGTGATTTAGAAAAAATTCTGCCGCGACATAATATAGAGAAGAAAATGTCGCATGGACCCAAGCCCGATTTTGAGGTTTCCTTCGTTGTTTCTATTTCCAAGTAATTTTCTTCTTGGGGCTGTGCTACATTCTTCGTTGCTTCTTCTTTTACAGTCATATTCTGAAAGTACACCGGTGATCAAAGCTGCGGAATGTCAATTCATTTGGAGAATGTTTCAAGAAAACCTTCTTATAGAGATATCAGTGTGCGCGACAGAAAAATTTATCGCGAGACACTTAACTCTGATATCGCTTAATTACGGCGTCATTAAGGATAATTATTAAAAACGTGGTCATGTCACCTACAGAGAAATGTGCTATTCCGCTGAAGAAACGGGCGTGCACGTCATTTTCTTGCCTGTGTATCGACTATAAACGATGGTGCTTGTTCAATCTTTACACGTCCGTCCTGTTTGGGGACGCGACCGCTTTTTTAATATTCGTTTTACTTCATTATTTTGATTAAAGCAAACTCGTCATCGCCCTGTTGTTGACGGAACTTCGTGAACGCCCAAAGTCCCTCTATAACAGGATTTTGGATTCCGGGGCACTAAGACTGCGGCTAAATAAGAAACCACTGCACCCAGCTGAAAGCGAAATGACGTTAAAGAAAACGCGGTCGACGGAGTAATCGCGTATTTCAGTGTTTTTAGCTAGAGAAAAGCGGTATCATAAATAAGTTGAGTGATTCTAGGCAAATCGATCATACGACCTACTGCCCTACGATAGGTTCAGTAAAACTGATACAGAAAATATTTTTTAGATTGGTTAGAAGCGTTATCGAATTCGGTGGAAAGTCAACACGCGTGTGCTTATCCATTCGTAACTCGGCGCTTCTGCTTCCGGTTGTGGTTGGCCTCTGTGGTGCCTATTCGCTCTCATAACACCCGGGGTTAGTTAGCGTCTGCAAAGTTAAAGTGCCACCTTTGGAAGGTTCAATTGAAACCCGATAGTCAGAAGCACGTAAGTACAAAACGCATTTAGTCGCACTGATTGCGGGTATTAGCTTCGCCGCTCTCATAAATAGCCACAGTGGTAAATCTATTCTAGCACTGCAATCTAGTGAAGACTTACAGTTGATGACGCCCGTGGAGACACGTCCTTGGATTTAAGGGGCTCTGCTTCCTCCATCACTTCTTCCGAAATATCTTTCAAATCGGGCTTCCGTGAGCGTTTCGCACTCTAAAAAGTGTTACTCCTCTTACTGTTTTTCACAACGCCTTAACAACCAAGGAAGTTAATTCGATTTACATTTCGTTGACAAACCTTCAGCGTTTCACGATCAGTACGAATAGTGGTAGCCGTGCGAATGCTTGATATGTCCGACATTCGTTCAGAGTACTGTGGTGGCGACCCGGGCATTGTGGAAGAGTCGATTGGTCTTTCTTTATTCTTCTCGTTTTCTTTGTCGTTTTCTTTATCTTTCTCAGCCTTCTTGACTCGCTTCTGAAGCTTCTTGACCTCGTTATAATGTTGTACTCGCATTTGCCACATTCTGAACCTAAAAAATTGATCCTAAAGGATGCTTATGTAGACGTCCCTCCAACTTGTCTCAAAATATTTCGCTGCTTGTTTTTTGAACAAACGACCATCCATAAGCCATCAATTAATGCGAAAAAATGCGTAGATTACCTGAAACACGCGCAGCAACAAATAGAAGTTACAAGAATTGATCCGATACCGACGAGAATCACCACCCACAGAGGAAGCCATAGCGGCATTAAAAATGGTGAATCGGTAGAACTCGGCCAAAGGATACCAGGCTGGACCGGCATTATCGGGACTCCATTCTCAGAAGGGACGAGGCTTGGCTCTTTCGTCGTTTTGACTGACTCGGTTATCTTTGGAGACGACTGCTGTGTACGTGTGCTCTATTTCTGGGTGAACTAGCAGTTTTTTTTATAAAATATGATCATCTTGAGAACAAGCTAGTATGAGTTGACCAAATCCTGTTCGAGGTTGGGTGGCCCGGAAGTCGTCGCAATATATTCTGTGGTATATCCAGTTACTTCATACCTCGTCGTGCTTGTGTCAAAACTCCTTGTAGTACTTTCATAATCGTAATTAGGTGAGCCCCAGCCCATCGGATTATCGGAATAATCAATAGACACAGTTGCGACCTGGTCCGGGCACAGACGACATGTTCTTTTGCAGCTTAAACGCTCACTCGCTTCAAGCAAGTCACAATTGTAATATGGTGAAATAAACTCCAAGTCGCATCGTACAACTTGATCCTTTTTCAGTTTTTCAAACAAAACGCGTAAAAACAATTGATACCGAATGAGATTTCCGAGCACGTAACGGCGAGCTCTGGTTAAGGGTCTCTTTACTCGTCAGCGATCACGAGTGGTAACAGCTGCTTTGGCGAGCGAATTGTTCGGACCAGTTACGGAAAGGGTTCAATTAAAAGAGGACACGTGTTTTACTCGACTCGGAACATGGCGTCACCACAAGGTCATCGTTTTTACCCGGCGCCTTAATATTTGTGATTGAAATTACAATTTGCGGTATCGACCTAGAAATCTAATGCAATGACGTTTTAGTTTTAAACGCAATTTGAGCTCCCTTATTCCTGCGTTGCACGATTCATGTAAGACATAGACGATGGTCCAGATAAATCGGTAAACTTAGAGCTAATAAAATAAGAATGAGAATACTGTATGCATTGAAAGTGAAAAACTTGGCTGGCAACCAGGTCCATTGCAAGTCTGACATGTTTTTGGACAAAGAGCCTTTTCTTTAGGTGATAGACGATGGCATGGGCCCTCGCCGTGTCTACCAAAAGTGATCAAAAATCATCAAAGAGAAATGCTACGCTAAAACTCCAGGGCCAACTCTTTGAATCTGATGATATCGGAAATAAATCACTTTCCTGACTAGAATAGTTTGAAGACAGAGCAGCTGTGGCTAGAATTCGAGATTGATGAGTTAGACTAAAGTATGTGAGCTTACTTGTTTGTCTTCGCAAATCTCATTCATGCTAGCTATCTCTCAATTTAAAAACGGTGAAAATCAAAAGCCATAAATCTGAGTTTCTGAAAGCGAAATCACCAGTGCTACGTGTTTATAAACCAATGTCGAAAGTGTTGTCTAACGTTGCCGAAATATTTATCCTTCCCCTATTTCTGTCAGATAATGGACCCTATTTGTACATCCAGTGCGCTCTAGAATCAGTACTGTTGGCAGTAAATTTTGATTAAGTTAGTCTAAATACTAGAAAATCGACGCCAACAATGTTCCTGAATTTACTTAGTGCGACATTGTTTTTTATTTCCATTTTCGAGTTTCGCCAACGCCACCTGAACGTTTGAATTCATTTATTTCGAGACGTTCTTTTTAGAAAACGATATCGTGGCAATCTTCTGGTTGAAGCTACTGTGCAAGCTTTCCAAATACTTGTAATAACACTAACAAAAAATAATGAAAGGGACGGTTATGTTAGCCCCATCCATTGTCCACTTCCCAGTTCTACCTGCGTTCTCATACTATTTCAACGAAATTCGAGCTCGATTTCCCACGATCTTTACGCTATTTATTGCCTTTTTCAAAACAGCAATATTTATAAATTCGCTGATTTCACAAAAATAATTCACGAAACATTTTCTAAAAAACATCGTTTTCTTCCACATCCTGGCAATTAAATGTGGTGTCGTTGTAGATGCGTTAGGACTTGGGAATGAACATTATGCCGGAAAATGATTTTTTAATTGTCGCACTTGCTGTATGTCGGTTGTAGAAGGCGGAAGACGCTGGAATAAAAAAACGTATAAACATAAAGTATGCCTTGCTTGTGAAGCTCACAGACAGATTGGCTCAAGAAGAAGCGCACTACAGTATTGGAGCAGTTGAAGGGCGTCCACGTCGAGAGGACGACAATGGTCGAGCATGATAATGAGCCGTCCAGCCGCGGGGGGCAGAGCGCTTTCTGCGCCGAATTAATTTAATTTTGCCACTACATTACATCCCCTAAATTTCGCCAAGACTGCGATCTTCGTTCCTCTCGAGAATTCAACGATTTCCACCTCTTCGTAATTACGAATGGACGAAGCAGCGCGAGCAGAATTACAGCAGCAGATTGACAGAGAATACCAGACACGTGATTTACATCAAATTATAAAAATTTTAGGCCAGCTCATAAAACTCAAGTCCAGAACAGAGTATTACTAGCGATGACGTTCTTTAGAAAGTCAGTTTCTTTTTTTTTCAAGAAAGCAAATCTCTATCGGAAGAAATCGAAGTCTCAAAATTAGCGGAAATACATTCAAAATGCTCAATTTATTGCAATAAAATCATCAAGCAGGATTAAATTAGCTCTAAACAGAAACATTTGAGAAACGATTTCTTCGAAGTGAGTGAATAACGAGTTCACTAAATTTATCACTTATGGAACGTTTCAGTGCGAGGAGTAAATAAGCTACTTTGTAGGAATAAGGACGAAGTCGAGTGTTAATTATTTGTACTTGTGTACGGCGTAAATAGGATGATCCTAGGCAAGCAAACAAGCGCTCCAGTTATATGAGGACTGAGCGTGGCCCTCTCTAAATTATTTTACCCCCGATCTATGTTTTGTAAGCAAAGGCTTTCAATCTTTATAGCACAAGGTTAACTCCGAAGACAAGTGACAAAGGATCATTAATAGCGTACCTCGAATTCGAGGGCAATTATTATTAATCCGCGTTGTCTAAAAATAGTGAATATTTTGTTAGTAGATTTCCACGTCAAACCAATTGTAAACTTAAAAGACAAGGAAACGCATTGTTTTGAAAATAAACGATAGTCAGGAATTGCGGTCAACGCCAAAGTCGAGACTTCGAAAATAATTAACGGGTTTAGCGAGTTAGCCCGTTTTTCAATAAACTTCTTGTTCTTGGAGATTTGCATTTTCCAAAGAGAATCAATTTGTAAATCTCTTTCTTAGCAACTTTTGGTTTGGCTGGAATTGGAATGTCGATTCATAGATGTTCATTTCCGTCGCCGACTTTCTTCAAAATGCAAAAAGAAGAAGCCTTACTCAACAGGTAATTACTGTGGTAGCTTTGCTCTGAACCAGTTTAATTCAGTATTGTAAAATTCTAGAGAATATGAAGTACTAAGGATGCCAATTAGATGGCGACGACAGAATTTTAAGGATCGATAAACATTGAAGAGCTTTGTTTCAGAAGCCACAGAAACATTTCCACTGAAACTTTGCTTCAAATGTTTTGAGGGCCACCCTTATCTCCCACGATGTTTTTTGTGGTCGTTTTATTGTCCTTTGCCTTTCAAGAGCATCTTGATCGTCTGATAAAAATACTCTGGCTACTAGAGCAAAAGAAAATCTTCACAAATTTAAATTATAACTCGCAGCAATAATTGAAAAAGAAGGAAAAAATAGTCATGAATCTCAATTCAGAGCCTTACAGCTTCGCCTGGTGCTGGAACGAGCGGCGTATTAAAGTAAAAGAAGGCGGAACACAAAGCACTACTTGGAGATCGGTTCAAATCTGAAACCAAAGCGAGCTAAAATGGATCCTGAGAAAAGGACCATCAATTCTTGTTCGGACAGTTGTCGTAGCATTTTTGCTCCGGGAAACAGATTTTTAACAAACCAAAAATAAACGTGAACGAAATGAGAATACGGTCTTCAAAAGAAAAATAGGATTTACAATCACATATAATCATTTATTCGTTTCTATCAGTAGAATCAAGAAAACAGGATTAAAATTAATTATCAGAGTGGATCAGAGGAAAGGTAGGTTTCTTAGAGTGATTCTTCAAAAGTGTTAGTGAGAAAGTGATAGAGCGACCAGCGCTTAATCATTTTAACTTGACGTTTGCCAGTCGTCGACGACTCGTCATGATCTCCAGTCATGATGACGATGAAGTAGGTAATTGCGGGTTTACTTTGTACATTTCAGGCGCTTTCATGTTGTTTCCAACGTTACGATTTTCTCTCAATTATCGAGCTGTACGATTTTGATTCAAATTTTCAATCTACATTGTAATCATGACTCTTACCTGCTGGGACTTCTTTTTATATCACTATGATTATGTTGACATTGAGCAACGCCCACGGACTTCCTTGTCTCGCCGAGCAAGTCTTCCAAAACAAAAATAATGTATTCTGCTGGACAATTGATTTTAAAAGCGAAAATCTGGCAATCAATGTTGACATGAGTTTGATGCTTGTCAAAGTCACGCTCATCGAGTTGGACTTTCGCATTGGGAAGATAATTGGAGCCTTACAAGAAGTAAATTCACTGCTTGTTTTCTCAAAAATGTTTCCACGTCCTCGCGAGAGAGACTCGCAATTTCATGTGTCAATTTGGCCTCGTAGTTGGTAATGTTGGCAACGGTCTTAATGCTGATGCACCTGCGCCGAGGAGCGCGAAACTGATTTGATGAGAGGAGGAACAGAGTCTCAAGCTAATTTTGAAAATTAATTCGCTTTCGTCATCGGCGTACTTTTTGTTTGTAACAGCAATTTCTCCTGGACGGCTGAAATGAATGGAAGCGAGTTCTGGATTGTACATGGCTTTGGCATGTTTCTGAAGGGGGAGGTATTCATTATTGTGGAACGTGGAAAGAGTTATCTAAATTTGGTGCGGGACTGTTGCGATTGAGACGCCACAATTCCACGTTCTCAGGCACCCGCGCTGTCATTACTGACCGCCTGCATTTCTAAAAAATCTAAGTTTGTCTGCTTCTGATCCGCCGCTTCTTTTAGCAGCCGTCAACAGCCATTCCATAATTAAGTCGATCTAGGTCTCGTTTATTGCCGGCCGCAGATATTTGGAAAATTCAGAATTCGTTTGCGATATCTATTTTGGCGGTATGAAATTCACTTTGTGGAGATAAAAGAAGCGCGCTCTAAAGCATTCAACGTGGCGACTTGCTTTCTGCTAAATTCAGAAAGAGATTCGAAGCAGATCTCAAGGGCCATCTTGCTTATTAAAAAAATAGACTCACATGATGTTGACAGCTTAGAGCGCTTGCTGGCAATTCGCTGACCACAAGACGCATAATTTGCTCGACACCTTCAGCTCCATATATGCTTTTTTGGCGCATTCGATCTTGTCCAAGGCGACGCAGTAAGCACCTGCGTTTAAAAGGGACTCGTTTCCTGTGCGTCGACTGGTGCCAGTTCCACGAAGTTTGATTGAGAACGTGGCTTGGGATACTCCAAGGCGACACTTACAAATTGGTGAATTGTGGGGAATATGCTGGTCTTCTCAGCTGTGACTCGCTGGCGGCCGTTTTCAAATAAACTTTCAAATTAATTACCGCAGAAAGTAAGCATGGGTCTGGAACTGAGTGTTTTGCGGCCTAAATTACAACGCCACGTACCTGAAACAATGCCACGACGCAGACTACTTCTTTTCCAGGAAGAATTTTACGTGCCATTTTGGAAAAAAAACGATTTCTCGGCGAGAAGCTAGAAGAGGCGCAATATACGGTTGTACTCTTAAAGATGCAGGGAATTCGTCGTGCTGCTGGCATTATTTGCGGCATTCCCGTCATAGCTAAGATGGCGATGCTAGTCTACACGTGTAAGCTTCTGGGCTGCTTCTATTCGCATTGCTTCATCGCTTAGCAAGTGGAACTCAATTCACAGGCTCATTAAATCCCCGCCCTTATAATTTTAATATGATTTTTTCGGTTTTGAGCCAGCAAAAAACAGTGGTCATTTAAATTAGGTACAAAAAGGTTAACTGCTCAAAATTGCCCCCATCAAGCATCAACTATAAGCTGCTTACTTCAAACTCGGATTTTTTACGCTTTGAACCGATAAAATGCACCATCACACTCTCAGTGTGAGATTTCGCCCGCGGTCATAAAATATCATCCCTCTTTCTATCGAACAATCGATTCAACGCTTCACTGTGGTTCTCCTTCACGTTTTGACCCGCGTTCTTACGAGTAAATATGCGTCAGTAAGGACACTGGAGCGATAATCTCCTTATCTTCTCTAGGAGCCGGCCGCTTCTGGGATTTTTGAGTTCCGGCAGTCCTTTTCGTGATAAGACTGGCGCGTAAATTGATGATGAAAATGTAGAACTCGCGCGGCTGGTGCCGAGACATATTTGTTGATAAATAATGCCGATATTATCGGCCCAGATTAATCTCAGTATTATTTCGGATTTATGACTTGAACTGGGCGACTCAAAAGCTTCTAGCAAGGAACTCGTGTTTCCTGTGTTTGGGGCCCGCTCGAATGTACAAAGTTAATTGACAAGACAATGACTGGTTTTGATTGGCGAAAGCTGTGCTCACTAATTACCGACAACTTTCCTAATTGCCGCGTAAATAGAGGGCATCATAATCTCACTAATTTGCAGAAGGATTTCTCAAACAAGGGATTAAAGCGGTAGAAACAACAATCTTCTATTTTTGTCAAGTTTAAATTGTTTGGAGCAATTACTCCGCGTAACAAAAACATAACTGCGTAAATCTAATTCAGCCAGTTTGAATCCTCTGCAGCTGAGTCTCGCGCCGGCTCGCATTTTCTAGCTACTTGTTTAGCGACGTCACCGTCTTCAAGTTCGAGTTTAAGAAGCGTATTGAAAGTGTGTAAGCTTGCATTCCACGTTCTTCTGTACGTCTTTCCCAGTCCCCATCCTTTTTGGATCGCGACTCAGCTAACTAATGCGGCGGCCACAACGGGAGACATTCTAGTGGTGGCAGCCCGGGAAATTCTTAAGTCCATCGCAACAGATGAATTTGAATTAGATATCCATCACTTACGCTTCGAGAAATTTTCTAAACCAACTCGTTCCTTCTTCAAACTTGAAGAATAAATCTCAGCTCAAATCGAAACTACACTGCCACCGTTCTACGATTCGACTCAGCTCTACAATAAACTAATAACACAATATAGAGTAAGAAATTGATTTTATTCAGGTTTCAGTGATCTTGAGTGCTCCCTCTTTCAGGATATTGTTGAACTTGGAACACGGATTGAATCCATCCGTGTCTCTCAGAGTTGGTCCAAGTCATGAGCCTGTGCTCGTTTTTCTTCGGGCTTGAAAGTGAAATTATTTTTTGCGCAGATTAAAGTATTTACTACCTGTTATTTGCGTGTTTCGGACAGTCGAAATCCGAAGACTGACCAAAACTCCGAAAAATGCTCTGACAACAACGTCAATTCTAGAGAAATTTTCAAGAACAACAAAAACTGCTTTCTCGAAAATCTCTCTGGCTCTAGCTCATTTTCAGGCTCAAATACATGAAATAAGATCTTCAAGTACTCAATACTGTACGGCTTAGATATCTTTATTATTTTCCGAATGATCGTCTCGAAGGAATCGTCGAATCGACGGAAAAAATTAAAAAAAAAATTTTTTTTACGAAAGTTTCGAAAATTTTCTGCTCTCATTATTGATCGAGCTCCAATAAATGCAATCAAAAAATATGGGTGTAGGGCGCCCAGATTCACAATTGTGAACCCGGTTCACAATCTGTGTGAACCCGGTTCACAATTTTTTTAAAAGTACGAAATCAGGGGTCTGTATGCGCTCCGCGCCTGATTTCATAGAGAAACTCATTTTTGAAGTTATTAACTTTCTCTACAACCGGGCCTTCAGTCAATTTGAGTCACTTTTTTGACCGAAATTGTGAACCAAGTTCACAAAATTGTGAACCAACCGATTGTGAACCTGGGCGCCCGCCACCCAAAAATATTCTATTTCAGATCATAACAGATACTCTGTTAAATGTTCAATTTTATTAAGAGCAGTCAGATTAAAACTAAATTTGGATTTCTTCAATTGGAAAGAGCGTCAATCGAGTAAATTTGTCATTTTTATGTTCGGCTTGTTTCTTACGTTTACTACAAAGCATGAGCTACTTATTCATGAAGATCAGAAGATCAAAAACCCCGATCCAGCTGTGCTAAGCTTTGAATGCTAGGTGCCGCTCTCTGGCGCTTCATAAAAAATTCATTTTCATGAAAACGGCGCGTTTTCGCGCTCTAGCGCTGCAAGCGGGGCACGGAGCGAATACGATCGAGTAAATCAGTACTCAAAGAAGAGGAATCGAGACGATCACTCAGAGAGATCAACACCAGCACCAACGCCAATTTCCGTCCTAGCTACTGCACTTTTCAGGCATAGGTTTAGAAACAGAGAGATTTAGAAACTTACGCTTTCATAGATTCATCGTTCCAGGTACTCGAAAACTAAATATTCAAACTTACCAAAATTAAAAAAAAATATTTCGATATTAATTTTAAGATAAAGCTTAAATTTTAAGTTGCAATTTCGATCTTTCGATACTTCATCAGGGATGAATAGTATTTTTTATTTTAGTCTTTTTTAGAAGCTCACTCTTTAGATTTTTCTTAAAACTGTGCTTATTTTACGAGGAAGAACTTTTTTTGAAGGACTCAATTTACAGGCACCACAAATGCTTGGATTAACGGGAGCAGAATCCAGAATCATTTTGACGAAAATATATCAGCTAGTCACAATTGCTTATGGTTAACTACGTAGATTTATAAGCCAAAAGAAAAGATAATAGTTTTCAAATTCAGTAGATATAAAAATATAGTATTGAATCAAGCGGTTTTTGAAATTGTCGTGAGGGCAGTTGTAATCAACCATTTCTTTTTTCTTCAAAGGGGTACATTTTGTAAGATATTGCAAGATGGGCTTTCGAATCCTCGCCCAGGACGCATGTGGTGCAAAGGAGATTAACAAAATGTGTGGCGCGCGGAATGCACAAACAATTGCGTGCGCTAATTTTAATTGGCCGGGATGACGTCTCACGAAAATACCAAAATCAGAGCCCAATTACCATTTTAAACATCTTTCTCTTTCGCGCTGTGAAAAGCACCATGACAGTATGTAATTTGTGGGTGCAAAGCATTGTGATCTGTCGCGGCTAGTTGTTCGCTGTTCAATCAATCAACTTCACGAGTTCTTACCGTTCTAACCGATGGTCTGACTCAGGAGAATAGTGTCTATTGAGCTTTTTTATTTGGATTGAGCCCTAGTCTAGTTCTTGATCCAGTGGGAGATTGTTATTCCGAAGCTGTTGCTTTGAAGATTGACGATCAAAAAACAAAGATCCTGGAGCTCGAATTCAATGTCGTAATGCAAATATTCGATTCCGCCTATCTCAATGCGCACAGTTCCTAAAAATAACACTACGAGCGAAAAGAATTATTTTAATTTTCGATAAGCGTCCGCTCCTTCCACTGAGTATGTTTGAATACACATTACCCAAAATCGAAGCGATAGGGTAATGGGCGATTTCAATCGAAAGATCAGAATTGGGGACATTTTGTTTGGACGTGTGTGGGGTGATTTTGATCTCCGCGACTGGAGAGTACTAGAAACGCCACCGGTTCCTACGCGATCGTCCGCTACACATGAACATCATCTCTAATCATTGCCCTCTGAAGGGACCCTTATTGATATTTTCAAGCGCCAATATCAGAATATCTGGAACGTGGAACGTTTTGAAAAAGAGCTTTGTAAAAGTAATTAACACGACTTAGAAACATCAAAACGTACGCAGTAAGTCAGCAGAGAGATTCTTGCTGGTGAATTTTTTAGTGATCGAAATTCGATTCTTGTTCAACGCTTTTTTATAAGAAAAAAAAAACAAAACTCTAAGCGTAGTAGAGGTTTTCATTACCACTGCGTGCGGGACATTGATGAAAGAGTTTAATATACAAGAATGTCTCTTGTTTGAGCTCTGCATTTCTAAACCAAAGTACAGTGAATTGAAACGAAATTCAACTGGCAACGACGCAGGGCTGACCCTCTCACGCGTGTATCAAATAAGGTAATATGACGGCATCTGTCTACGACTGTTTCTCAACTTTGAATTCTAGTGAAATATCATCATGAAACTCAGCACGTTTTTGGCGCTCGGTGCGATTGGAGTCAATCCGAAAAGAACTGAAGGTAAGAAAGAGATCCGGCTTCTTATTTTTTACGCAAAAGCAGCGTTGTGAAAATAAGGATGAGGAGGGCAGTTATGCAGGCTTCGAATGTGCGCCACAAATTATGAGTCGATCTTGCTGTTTGAAAACACAAAAATCGTCACAAAGCCAAAACGAGCGATTAAATTGGATGTTTTTATTTTTGAATCTGGGCTAGTTAAATTGACTAACAGACACTTTTAAAGACTCGATTTAAAATACGTGCCAAGATTTTGAGGAATTCCGCTCCTCATTCAAAGAACAGATAAAAGCTGATGAGGTACTCAGCAAGTGCCCTTATCGAAACGTGAAAACGTGGCTTGCTCGCACACTGCCATTTATCACATAAGTGGACCGACGAATTTTTCCTCTCGCAATTTCTAATTCTATAATTATGAACTTGGAGACGGAACGGCCCCGTCTAAATTAACTTAGGTTTACTAGTGTATAGCGCAGAGCAGCGATAAAGCAGAATGCGCTGACAGCAAGACAATTTTATCACTAACAAAAGCCAAGAGAACGAACATAAGTCAAAACATCAAGTCAAGAAGCACTTGAAGGCTTATTTCTTATTTGTATTATTTCAGCCGAATTGCATCGCTTTGCAAGATCGAATAAGCAATGCATCAGAAAGGATTGGGAATATCCTGAACGCGGCGGTCGGTTGACGAAAATTGTTGACAATCTGACCAAAGTCTGCAAATTCTACATTGACAAGTAGGTTTTTTCCCGTCAGCCGGGTTGTAACAAAACGTGTTTAGGCCGGCCTACCAATGCCGCTGTCTCAAAAAGCAGAAGAAAATGTACTGGACCTTCATCAAGGCCCGGCGAGTTTGCAGTGATCGACAGAAGAAACATAACAAGAGAAAGAACAGAGATCGGTAAGCCCATTATCCCGCTGCGTACGAGGATATTACTAATAATGCTCCACATGGAGAAATTTCTATCGAAACGAGGAAGAGAGAGAGAGCACATTCTAATTTAAGAAAATTAGAACGTTAATTAACCTATTTCAGACGCGACGCTGAAGAAAACGAAGACAACATTCTCGATGAAGATGATGGCGTCGTCGATCAGGTTGCCCGAGACCTTATTGATACCGAACTCTCGCAGGTTTGTGACGTGAGCTCAGTCGTCCTCTGAGCATTAATATTCAGGTTGATGGGCCAGTAAGCGTTGACATGCTGGAAGAACTCTACCTCGAAAATTGTGATGGCATGGATGTCTACTCCGTCGACGAAGCTACAGCTGAGGTTCGTTGTCTGTTCAAGAATTTAGAAAATAATGTTTCAAGGAATGCAACGATCTAACAGACCTCATCGAAGACATGAAAGACGCTGCTATAAGCCGTGGTGGTGATTTGGATGAAGAAATCAAGGAACGAGCAGAGATCATCCTCAGAATCAACAAAATGCACAATGCTATGTCAAACTGGGTTCGATCCTACGTTTCTAAGGTACTTGACGCTTCAGCCAGAAGCAGTGTTTTACTTTGCGTTAACCGAATAGGGCCCCTGGTGCAAGGACAAACGAGGTAACTACATCGACAGGATCCAGGAGAACATGCGCCGAATGCAAAAGCGAAGACGAAGCTATCCAACCAATCCACAGAAACTCAAGGTCAGTTCAACTTGAAATTAGAGAACGTGCGATCACCGTCAAAACTTCTAACATTGAGTGGAGCGAACTGAAGCTTATCAGGCTGAAAGCGCGAAAATAAACTCAAAGAAGTGGAAAAGAATTTATCTTGCTTTTTCAAAACAACTAAAATTATCTTAAAGAGAAAGCGAAAGGAAGAACGTGAAGCCAAACTCGCCGCTGCTGCTGCTGAGGGCAACTAGACTTACGATAGATTTACGCGCGTCTACTCACCAATATTAATCCGGTGCTGAAATATTTTTGAAAAGAAAAAAAGTTCTTATCATAGAAGCAGGACTAGTTTGGTGGGTAGTTAGCACAGTAACATTTGTAAATAGTTTCATGCGTAAATTACTCTACCCCTTCGCGTACCCCGAGTAATCGATCGGAAAAGGCTTTCAAAAGCGTTGATCGATTCAGGAAATAACTTCGACTTGGCATTTGCTTATGCCGCAATGTAAATTCAACTTTTGATTTTGAGAATTAAATTAATTATCCTGAACTCATTAATAACACCCGTAATGTATAAATATCCTAAATGACCTAAAATGACGAAAAATGAAAAAAACAAATCGAAAAATGATGAAATCAAAACCGAAGATCGATTGACGCTTGGTTGATTGAAAGAACAATCACTGTCGTACTGGATGATCTGTGGACGAAATCAAGTGGGGAGTTTAGGGAGGTCACACCTGACACGAAATGACCTCCGCATTCTTCCTTCTTGATGGTGCTCCTATCGTTGGAGCGAGGTTGGTTAGGAAACTACTTTCAAAAACTTATTGTGCTTTCAGAAATTTTCAAAGCTGTCGGCGGAAACCGCTGCCATTTCGGCCCGCAGTGGAGGCAAAATTTCCAAATCGAGGAGATACTTATTCGCGCTCTCCAGAAGACGACGAAAACCACGAAAAGCAGAAATGACCTTCACTGTAAATAGAAGACGCATCAACAAAACTCACCAAACATAAATCTTGTTCGCCAAAAATAAAACGTTTGCGGCTCGCGCCGCAGTGACCCTATATCAAATTCATATGTCTTCATTTCAGTCAGCAGAATATCAAGAAACGCAATCGAATACATACGTCAAGCTTGAAACACACAAACAAAACATATTTCCACGATTTTCTGTCAGTGTACATTTGTAAATTATGTAGATCGCCTTACCTCCTGGTAAACTCTGACTCATAGATACTAATTCACTAAAAATGTAAGGTTCCTCCTGATCGGCAGAATTTCGCTAAATGAAATTTAATGAAAAACACTTCTTGAAATGGGTTAACTTTGACGAGGAATTCCGAATTCATATGCATGCACTTAAGTTTGCTTATATTAGGTATTCAATGCTTTTTTCTGGAAGTGCTTGTGCAAAGTTGCCATTAGCCGAGTAATTAGTACCGCGCGTAGTTAGAGAATATTGGCTCTCATTTTGCCGCACGGAGTACGTACGAAAATGGGTTTTTTATTGTATTTTGAAGACAAATGGTAAATTGTGAGTTGAAAACGAAATAGTTTCAATTTGAAACTTTCAAATAATGAATGGTCGGTACACGACAAGAGAAGGTCGTTAACGAAACCGAAGATAAATGCTTGTTTAACTGTCAATGATTTTTCAACTGGTAAAAGGAGAAAATAACTCAATTGAAATAGTGGAAGAAAAAATACGAATGTCTGTTAGAAGAAAAGGAATCGAAATTGAAAAAAATCGGGCGAATAAAATAAAAACGGAGTTTGAATGTGTTCATTAACATTATGTTTCAGTCGAGTATGAACTAGAGGGCAGGTGCATCAGTAGGCCGAGGGAAAAGGAAGAAGATAAGGTAGTGTGCTGAAAGGGAGAGGGATTGTATAATACACGGATGGTTCTCAGTGGGAGATGATAGAAGAGATCTCGTTAGCTTTCTGTGAGACGAATTGAATGAGTCGGTCCACTCCAAAAAGATGGTGATCATGTTCGGCACCTCGTCGTCGAGGTGCTTCCGGAGCCCTAGAATAAAGTTAGAGTACGAAAAGTCTAAAAACGAACGCATAACGAAGGCAAACAGTTCACTATTATTGACCGCTCCGCGAAATAACATGCTCACACCGTCTTATTTACTTTCACCTTTCAAGTAAAAGCACGTTTCAACTTAGAATCCACTAACAATAAACCTCAAAAGAATTTTCTCATCACACCGTTTTTTTTCTTAGGGGAGGAAAAATTTCAAGAGCGATGTTCGACAGGGTTAAGTGATCGCTTCTACAAGAGTGTCAACATGTGGATTTGACATGTTCGCTAGTCAATAATAGTTCTAACTGACCTCAACCACAATCTTAACCCTAGGTGCACTAATACTCACATTGCTTGCTGTTGAAATTCGAATTCGATGTAGTCGTTGACCACTTGAGAAATGTTGTCGTACTAAAATTAAGGTCAATTCCGCTGGGGAAGCAATTTCGTGTACGAGCCGTAATTACAGCATTTTTTATCGTAACTTTCACACAGATATTAGTGCTCTAAAATAATCTTACGGTGACCGTCAGTTGGGCGAGCGTTTCCAAGTCCACTTGGCAGTCCAAGTCTTCAAGTCGAAACTTAGCAATCAGAAATTGGGTAGTCAACTGGCGGCTGTTTAGGAAGTCTTTGCATTGGTTGGCGTTTCCGCTAAACTTCTTCATCGCGGCGACGATAAGTGGCTCATGCTCCTCTCCAAACTCTCGCTTCAGCGCACTAACAGCAGCAGCGGCTTCTGCGTTGGAAAGACTAAAAATTCTTATCTTGGATTTCTTAATTAAACTCACCGTGGATGAGAAGTGCTATCTGCCGCCTGATTGACTACAGTAGCGAAGCTGTGATTTTGTTCGAATGCCCGTGACAGCGCCATCTGATTGCGATTGGGGTCTGTCTCCATCGCGGATAGTGGAATCTGAAATCGAGGCTCGAAGGGCGCAGCACTCGCCATTCTGGAGGCAAGATCTTGTGTTCTCGATTCTTCCTGTTGTCGAGCGTTCAGAGAAGCTGACGGTGAGGTACGCGGCTGGAAAAAAGAGTTAGTTCTTTGAAATATGCTTCCTATCTTACGGGAGCGGGGATGATGTTATCGTTCGTGAGAAATGGATCAACTCTAACGTCTAAGTTGATCGAGTCAGTCAGACTAGATCGAGTCGAAGGAACGGAGTTCGTTGAATTCATGGGGGTGAAGCCATCTCCGACGCTATGCGCTATGATACTCGCGTCTGATAGCTCTAAAAAATCATAAGTACGACTCTTATTATCTTACGGATTACCCCCTCTCAATTCCCGAAGCTGTTTCTCGACCATGGCATTGTGCTGTTCACGCGTTGACTCAGACCATCTCGACGCAGTTGAGCTTGATTCCGACACCTGTCGCGACACAGTTGGCGACGACGTAGATGATAATGAGCTCTTCGATTCCTTAAAATATTTAATTTTTGAGCTGTTGCTGCTATACAATTTACCTCGAATATTCGATCTTGAATTTTCTTGATTGACTCCCGCTGTTTTGCATATTCAATTGAGAGGCAGTCTTCGCCGTTTTCTTTGACCTGCAATTCGTCGTTCTCACGTGGCTCGTTATTCTGAGGAGAAACATCTTTGTTTCGCTCAACTTGATCATCATTACTTGCGTTTGCGTGGCGTTCCTCTTTCTCTACTACTTCGTCCGCATCTTCAATCAATGTACCACTAATTTGTTACTAAGAATGCATAATTAGGAGCGCTTCACCTTTCTGAAATGTCGTCCTCGATCTCAGCAAAAGACGAAGTCTCTGAGATCGTTCGACTTCCTCGTTTCAAAGCTTCGTTGGTGGCCATACCAGTCGGTATAATAGCGAATGAGTTGGTGCTATCCATCGAACGTGTTTCGGGGTTAGGATCAATCAATGAAGCATTCTCTTCGATCATATCGTGTGCGATCTCATCGTCTTTGGCAGGAAGCAGCTAAAAGTAAAAAAAATGTCTTTTTGTCGAATCAAACCTGATCTTCAAAAGCTTCGATCTGAACGGGCTCGAATTTCTCGTCATTCTGCCGAAACTGGGGCTTCTCGCTGAGCTGTTCAATGAGAGTAGTCATGTAATCGACTGTCGCTTGAAGACTTGATACTTTGTCAGAAAGTCGGGCGGTGCGGCTATCTGACGTGGCTAGATAAAATGTTGACAAACAATTTGACTAGCAACAAATGGCGCTCTACATCAAAAGAATATGTTTTTTTCTAACTTCACTCACACTGTAGATCGTCCAGTTTGGACTCGATTGCCGAAAGCCTCCTGTTGAGGAGAGCCTCCATTCTCGACATTTTGTCCTTTTCCGACATTCTTAAATTGTCACAATGATGAGATGATGGGGGAACTCCTTTTCTTTAAATAATTATAATTATTATAAAATAATTTAGCAATTTTCCAATAAATAAGGCATCCTGAAATAGAAGAATCGGACCACGAGAACAACCTTTATCTCGTTCGTTTTCAAAAATTGCACAGATGAAAATTTTCAATTATTGGGAAGAAAAATTGTTACAGAATGGATGAGTTCACAGTTTTTTATGAGCAGTAGCAAGGGCTTTCTTGTGTTTGCCATCAGGAAGAGTAGCCAGCAGGTCAGGAATCAACTTCACAAAAGCTTTCTTGCCCATAATCGATGAGCCTTCTTTCACGTAATCGTCCGCCGTGATTTGACCCGTACGGAATTTGCCCGAGCAAATCTTAAAAAATATTTAGAGAATTCTCGCGTGAATGAGCAGACAATTCTAATTCAAGAAATAATCTCTATTTTATTTTTGCTCTCTCCCTAACTTACCTTGAATCTCTCTTGTAGTTTGGCGCTCATCTGAGCGATGGCGTCGCGCAGACGCTGATTAACCGCCGCCATATCAACTTCTGAGTCACTCTCTTCCTCGCTGGATTCATCATAGATCTGTTGACTATTCTCAAAAGCGGGGAAATCTTGCTCATTTGAAACAACGAAATCAGGCTGACTTTTTCGTTCTTCTTCCTTAGCTACTTTCTTCTGTTCATTCTTTGTTGGCTCTTTTGCCAACATACTTGCGAAACCGCTTACAGTTGGAACAGCCGCTTCGAATTCCCCGCCTAGAGAGGGAAACGCACTAAAAAAAAGTAAGTAACTCGTTTGATGTATCGTCTAATTTTACTAAGTAATAATCTTACCTGTCATCTTTGGGACTCCAATTCGGCCCTCCGTTATTCTGCGCATTCTGTTTGTGCTTGTTTCTTCGCTCTTCATCTTGAATTTCGAGCAAACTTTTCTCAACGAAGACTGTGGGCGGCGCCGACCAACCCGAGTAGCCACCAGTCATTCTCTGAGCAAGCTGCGACGCATTTTGAGTTTCAGGAACAGGCTCCGGAGCTGCATAGATAACCGCATTCTTCTTTTTGGGTTTTTGGGTTTCATGAACTGTTTCTTTTATTTGTTTTTTGACGGGTTTTTGAACATCAGCTTTCTTTGCTGGCATAGGCACGGGCTGTTTCTTCGCATTTTTACCTTTTCCGGAGCCTGGCGCTTTTTTCGTAGCCGCTCCAGGGACGCCCCAGAAGCCGGCTGGTGCTGCAGGTTTGCTTCCTCCTAAAGTAGGAAACTCCTCTAGTTTTGGAGCCCTTTGATTTTTCACTTTAGGAGCGTGTGTCCGTCTTCTTTCATCTTCGATCTCTAGCAGCGACTTTTCCTGAAAAGTCTCTGGTGGAGCACTCCATCCTAAAACACGAATGAAGAAAGGCTCTCACGCGAAGGAAAGAACCTGAGTATCCGCCACCAAATCGAGCAGCAAGATCGGAGGCAGAGTTAGCTTCGCCACGTGTGACGTCAGATTCAACACGTTTCTGATTTTTCGTGAAATGTTGCGCTTGGGGAGGAGGCGGCGTCTGCGTTGGCGCTTTTGATTTAGCAGGTGACGGTTTATGCGACACTGGCAGCGGAGCCTGCCCGGGAAGAATATCTGGACGCGGAAGAACTACGATTCTTTGGATAAATAATTCGCAATAGATTAGAGTCTACCTTTTTGCTTGCCCTTCTTCTTGCCAGTGTTAGACTTGGGAATGGAAGCACCTGGGACGCCCCAGAACGCATTTGGCTTGGGAGCACCTCCACCAAGAGAAGGAAATTGACTGTGGTCACGCTGTGGGGCGCTTTTCTTGGGCTGTGTCGCGCGTTCTTCAGCGAGTCGAGTTTTGCGCTCTGCTTCAAGCTGTAGCTGCGATTTTTCGACGAAAACATCAGGCTCTTGGCTCCACGATTGACCCTGAGAAGCAGCGTAGAGAGCGGCAGTGGCTGAATTTTGGACAGGGATAGTAACTTTTGGGGTAGGCGCTGATTTGTTCTTCGATTTTGAAGAAGAAATCACATTTGGTCGTGTGATAGGTTTGTTGTTTTGTATAGCCTTGGCTTTCCAGTTGGGATTGATCGGAGCTCGGGCATTGCCGCCTCCGAGAGTTGGGAACTCCTCAGCGTCCGAGATCTGTTTGTTGTTTCCTAACGAGCGATAGTTCTGGTGCGCTACGTTCCGGTTCGTTCCTTGGCTAATTCTGCTAGACATACTCGAGTTGCTTTGAGGAAGGCCTGTCTTAGCGGCGTGAAAAGTGAACCCGTTCTTCTTCTTGCCGCCCATTGTGGGAAATTCCTCTTCGTTTTCCATGTCAGGCGCGGTTTGATTTTGCTGCTCCTGGATTTGCTCTTCTATTTCTTGCTGCATGTCAACAGCATTCCTTGAAAGACCAATGTCCATCCGAATATCTTTCTTGTCGATTCCGCCGTGTTTATTCGAGACGTGAATTTGAAAGTTAACTTCGTCGGAAAATACAGCTGTCAGTGGGTTCTCCTTGCAGTCCGGATGCTCACAGAGGTAGTGGTCCTTTCGAAAATGCTTCACCATTTCTCGCATGCTTTCCATGAACTCTTTCTTCCCATCTTTCGACTCGCAGATGTGGCAGTTGTAATGCTCCTTCATTAAATGTCGGTACAACTCTTCCTTGTCCAAGTAGCGGTCCTTGCAGAACTGACAATTAGGGTGCCCTTTGTGGGACTTATCATCAACATCTCCTTTAATTTTGTGGCTAGCTAGCTCTTTGCGTCTTTGAATCGGCTGTTAGTTTGTTCCTTTCATTCAATTATAGTGCTGATTTTAAATTTAGAGCCGTGCCCATACCACTTTCGTTCGCGTGGAAACAGAAGATAATGCGACTTGCATATTTCACAGTGGTGCAAGTCGTGCTTACGGCGCATGTGGATTTTGAGGTCGTCGAATTCTTCCGCCACAAACGACTTTGCCTAACAACAGTTTTATTTGTTGCAAACTTCATTTCTCTAATAATAAACCTTGATATAGAATAATAAACCTTAGTGCATATATGGCAAGCTTCTTTTTGCAAATCTTCGAATTTGTCTCTTGAGTCCGAGTTGAAGAAACAGATGCCAGACGCTGCATCCCTGTCGAGAGAGCTGATCTAAATTCTTTTTCTAAAACATGGAAGGCGGTTTGCTCTCTCACATTGATAGCGTCGAATTCGAACATGGAAGTGTGGAAAATCACGTCAGGAATTTCGGTCTTACAAACGGCGCAGAGATCCTTGTGCTTCGTTTCTTTCTTGTTGAGCACACGCATTCGAGAGCTGCAAATGTAGCACACTAATGATTAACACTAGAATGCTGATCTGACAGTGCTCATTTTTACCTGGGTGCTTGCACTTGCCGATCGCCCAAATTTTGATTTCATTCGCGCAGATGCAGCAGGTTCGGTCATTGTCCTCCACCACCTTTATTTTGTTAGAGCGAGCATCTCTCTCCAACCAACTCATTTTAAAACAAAAATACAAGTTTGGACAAAACGAACTGCAGATATCTAGAAATCTTTTCAACAAGAGCTGCGAACGTCTCTAAAAGGGAAGGGAGGAGTAAAAAGGGAAAAGCGAGGACAATTACTCATGAAGGTTATTGATAAGCGACTCTCTAACAAATTTCCTGAACGGCATCGACATTGTTCTTCGTCTTGGCTACCATGGTTTTCTCTTTCGGCTTATGATTCTCTTCGGAGTTTAGCAGATCGTATCTTGGCTTGAAGTGGCTGAGAAACTCTCCTCTAGACGCTTACGTAACGACTCAGAGCGCTGCTGTTCATTGGCTCAGAGCGCGATCGAAATTCTGCTTCAATGAAATAGAACAACCCAGATACTGATGAAAATTTCATCTCTGGACCAGCAATGCCACATCATTCAAAAGACATTTGCGAGTGAATCTACGATGCATCGATATCTCTGAAAGCATTTTAACTATTATAGTTCTAGCATATTCAACTAGAACTAATGCATTGAAAACGTAACACTCACCTTCAGCCCCTAAAACGAAAGTGAGACACGTCGCTGGAGACGTGATATTCTTCTACTGCTACGTAAGCTACACCACGAGGATCAGAATTAGGACGACGATTGAATGAACAAACGTAGCGGAGTGATAATCGATAGATCAACTGTTCTGCGGTCGATCGCTGATCTCCTCGAGCAATTATCATTAGCGCTAGAATCAGACAAACTCAGATTCACCTTTCCAAGTCCTGATATCTAGTCAGAACTGGAATTCGGCAATTAACACTTCAAATTGAATAATACATTATTAAAACGGCTGTCGATGGGGATGAGTTTTATTGTGAAAAGCGGTAATCATTGGTGTGGTGTCTTGTAATGATTGTGATCCAGATAGAGAAAGTCGGCTTGATTATATGCCGCGAGAGGCGTGAAGTAGGAAATAAGAAGGAGAATCGGTAGAAGAAACATTTTACATGGATATATTTGCTCTGAAGACAGTGAGCCGGAATAATTTGCTTTCTAGGATTTCTTTCTCATCGATGAGTTTCTGGAGCTTGTCATCGTCATCTTTGTCATCACGTTTTTGGGTTGAAGTTCGATGCGTATTCTTCATCATCGATTCAGTCAGGGCATCTGCGTCTTTTGTCACTTGAAAGGGTTAGAAATAAAGTTTAAAAAGGGATATTTTAGAGAGAGAGGCTTTTAATTTTTTTCTCGCAGGATAAAAATCTGACTCTTACCTTTTTCCAGCTTCATTTCGAGCTCTTCAACTTCTTTCTTTAACTTCGGCGATGGATTCATTTTTTCCTTCATCAAGGCGCTAAAGGCCGCTGGATCCATACCATTCTGCAAGGTTTCGTCCTTTGCCTTCTTGCTATCTGGACAGTCTCCGACTTTCCTGTTCTTTTTTTCGACGATTTTTGCCATCATAAAAAATTTTGACATTTTCGCACTCGTGTTACTGGAGTGGTATAGTTTTAGCAAACGTGACAGCGATATTTATAGATTAGTGATATGAATCAAACCATTTTGGTTTTTGAAAATGGTTCAGTTCTCGGAGGTCAGTAAAAATCTGGAACAGTCAAGTTCTCTCACTTGTGAAAAGAAGATTTTATCTTTGAAGAAGTATCCCGGCGCGTTTATCAGATAAACTGCTATTTTTTGAGTCAAACTTTTCACACCCATTCCAGTCACGCTTGCAATTCGAGTGATTTTTTCGGAAAATGCCGAAAAACTTGTTCGGAAATAGAGATTCCTAATAAATACAGGAATGATAAACTCGCAGGGATTTAATCATATTAAGCAGGGGCCTTTTGATATGTTTCATGCAATCGCGTAATACAATTAACCATGAAATGGGACTTACTTCATTTTCCTTTCTGCGAATTAGCATCGCGGTTAATTCTCATAATTTGGGGCCTCTCTTTATTCTTCCGCCAGGCAAGCAGCAGAATTAGCGTAATGGCAATAGAAAGCCGCCGCAATGTCATGTATCGTAAATCGGACATGGTCACTGGTCTATAAGGGGTCCGCGAGAACTCGATTTTCCGTCAGAAAATGAGAATTCAAAGGATAGCCATTTTATTAAGCGCTTTTTGCGAGGCGCAGGATAACTCTCTCGCTGAAGATTCCTTGAGTGCTGACTATTTTTACTATAGTGACAGTTCATCTGTCGGTTCCGAAAATGGTGAGAATAGGCAAAAAAGAGATAGAGATTTATGAAGAAGTCTCAAGAGTAGTGCCATTGATTATTGTTTCAGATGGATCAGAATTTATGCTTGCGAGAGGAAGAAGAAAGCGATTAAAGGAGCAGTTCGGGTGCGATGAGGATCAGTGTAATTCTCCAGATGCTTGTGACCCAAATGCCGATTGTCAAAACAGATGTATTGGATACACATGTAACTGTCACTCCGGTTTCAAAAAGAAAGGCAGAAAATGTCTCCCACTCGCGCAAGAAAAATATGTATCCCCGGATCCATACACAACACCCGATCCGTACACAAGTTCAGCTGCTCAAACCACAGAGGCGGAAACAACTACAGAAGAATACACGACCACGACTACAACAACTGCATCTTCGACAACTACAACAACAACTACCACTACTACTACAACAACCACAACATCTACGACGACCACAACATCTACGACGACCACAACATCGACGACGACCACAACATCGACGACGACAACAACGACATCAACAACAAGCACAACAACTACCATGACGACAACGACAAAAGATGCGTACACAGAATTTACTACTGACTTCACTACAACTACCACCGTTACAGCCTTTCCATCAACCACATCAACGGCTACAACCATGACAACTGAGCAAACAACAACTGTTACCACGCAGTTAATAACTACTGCGATTCCATGCGATCTGGACGAATGCGCTGAGGGTATTGCGATCTGTCCAGACAACAGTTCTTGTTCAAATCTTTGCACAGGCTTTGAATGTATTTGTGACGAAGGGTTTACGATGAACGATGACAATAGTGAGTGCCTTGTCGTCTGCGACGAGAATCAATGCGAGGTCAACAACGGCGAATGTCCTGTTTTCTCTGATTGCGTGGATCTTTGCACTGGACATGAGTGCCAATGTTTCGATGGTTTTGAGCTTGACCCTTACACGAACCAATGCGTTCAAATTTGTGATGAAATGCAATGCACGACGAATCCATGTGGTGACCACGCCTCATGCACTGAGCTTTGCGAACTCTACGAATGCACTTGCGATGCTGGTTACGAGCCTGACGAGAATACCGGAGCGTGTTGCGAAATTATCAATCAGTGCGAGGCTGGAGACGGAGCCACTGCTCCTGAAGACCTTTGTGGTGCGAACAGTCTCTGTGTCAATGACTGCAATGGATACCACTGTGAATGTGAAGCTGGCTTTGAAATGGTTGATGGTGTTTGCGTGGATCCTTGTAATTATGACATGTGCGAAGAAACTGAAAACGTTTGCCCAGCTGAGCACACGTGTGTTCCATCATGTGACTCCTTTTCGTGCGTTCCCGTAGAGTGTCCTGCTGATTTTTGCGCCGACGTACCTAATAGCGAAGGATTGGCTCATGAATCTTAATTTTTGATTGAAATAACAAATGCTATTTTACTATTTCAGTCCGATTTGTGGACTAATCTTGAGCCAAAATAAGTTGTCGTTATTACCGAAACCGTGTACGCATCTACCTGCGCTTGCGTATGCATTGATGGCTTCCAAATGGTAGGAGGAGTTTGCGAAGAAATTTGCGACGAAGATCAGTGCCTTGATGCATCTATTTGCGGCGCTAATTCTGAATGTACGAATTTATGCAGTGGGTATGAATGCTCTTGTCAAACTGGCTATCATCTTGAGGGAGACTCATGTGTTGTCGACGTAAGATGGATTTAATATTTGAAAAATTTCAACGAAATTTAGGAGAGTCATACAAGTACTTATGGAGATCCCCACTTCCATATTCTCGGACAATCTTCTTCTCAGCCAGATCTTTGCTTCGACTACAGTGGCCAAGCGGGCGAGGACCTGATAATTCTTTCAGATAAGAAAGTCAAAGTTCTCGGCGCTTTATTTACGCCGCACAAGAACAAAAAGCAAATGCTGTTTGAGTCAATCGAGATTCGTTCAGAAAATGGACATTCACTCAGAATGACAGCAGAGTCCTGGAAAACTTACCTTAGTGCTAGACCAGATAGAGAATTAAACTTAGAGGATGGTAAGATAGGCGATTTCCGAATTCTAGATTACCGAACCACACGCAAGGGCATTTCTCTCATTGCGAAGCTTGATTTTGGTTTTGAGTTTGAAATTTTAACTAACAGGGCGTACGGAAATGTCAATTTCCGAATTCTCAGCTCTAAGGGTCTCTCAGACACGGGAGCGGGTCTTTTAGGTCAGTTGCTCAACCCTGGAGCCTACTCCGTTGTCCCGGACGAGAATAAAGATCACACCGGTATTTTCTACTTCCAGGTAATGAAATAATTCCAATTAGATCACTAACTTAACTTTTAAGAGCTACGAGGTAGAAGTGAAGCTTCGAGATCATGCATGGAATAAACAGTGCTGGGTAATTCCGTACTTTGAAGCTATGAAGATCTTCTCCAAATAGAAAACTTGGATTGTTACAGCGCTGTATAAATTTTTGTATTAATAAACTGACCCTCGTGAAGTTGGATTTTTGATCGAACTGACATCTTGCCTGGCAACGGACAAGCTTACAAGAAATCAGAGTGTAGAAAGGAGTAGATGCACTAGAATATGGATGAAGTAAGAGTGAGTGAATGATTAACAGACCTTAGAGTTGTAAGAACAACAGAGAAGGTAGCCACAGCCTAGAGTTGCAGCGATGATCACCAGGCGAGGTCATGTCACGCAGACTTGAGAGCACCGTGCTTGAAAAGTAATTCTCAGTGCATGTGCTGACCTTAAAGTGGACAGAGAAAATAATATGCCGTCCTTTTCCGGAATCGGTGAGAATTTTACAGATAGGAATCGGGTAAAGCATCTTTGATACTACGCAAGAGTAAAATAAAATATTCCGACTAAAATAAAAAAAAAACATAGATGATTTATATTATCATTTACCCGAGTAAGTGCTGGGATATTAGCAATTCTATTTGCCTTTTTACCATCTTTTATGCTGCTAGCTGCGAGGAAATGGTTATATTAATAGAGAACTCAACCTTGCGGAGATAATTATATATCCACCAAAGTGCATATCAATGTGTTCTTGCCGTCAAGGACGCACAACAAGACTCATCATACAGGTACTAATTGCGGGCGAAGTAGAATAGCTTGACTGCGAAAGAGGTCATTAAAGCAAACTGATTTGCCAATTTCAGCGGGATGTACGTTTCTCGGCCACTTTCTCACTTCGGCCTCAAACATTTGATGCTGACGAGGGCTGGCTCACGAGCTTCAATCTTCTCCAAAATTTCTTCCAAGATTCGTAGATCAACGTCAATGCTGAGCAGGACATCAACTCGAGTATGAACTTCAAATCTTCAATTGCAACATGTATTATTTTTTCTAAGTAAACTTTATTAAATATTCAAGCCAAACAGAACTGTCGCAGCTTTTTTAGAAATCTTCTAAGCATCACTTTTTGAAATAGAAACTTGGCTTTCAAAAGCAAAACCCCGATAAGAAATAAACAAAAAAAAAATCAATGGAACTTTGAGATTCTAAAGGAGCCCTAATAAGTTATTAGTAATAACCGGTTCTCCTATCAATTACTCGTATTGATCAGTCTCTTCGAATGCATTTCTAAATTGCTATTATTGACTTATTACGACCTTAGGTTAGACCTTTATAGCCCGAAATGATTATTTCTTTTTTTTTCTAATTACAATGCTGAGTTTTCGCTTAATTGAGAGTGAAAGAGGGTCCAACTGGTGACTAAGAGACTCATTTTCTTTGTCCTTTTCTTCCTCTTCAAAAAAGAAAACTCCGAAAAATACGTCGTTTCTTTTAAGACCTTATTAAGAATTGAATATTTAGACGTAAAAGCCCTCATGAAGATAAAAGTAGCTTGGGAAATAATATCGAAGCAAGAGTGACCCGACAGAGAAAGACTGTACCGGATTAAACACAAGTTCACTTCTGGCTTGAATTCAAAACCGAGATTCTTGCCACTTTTCCCAAATTCCTACAACCGCTGCTGGGTAGCTTTGCCGGGGGCAGCTAGCAATCGCCGTAAAATTGACCAAGAAGTTTGTATAGAGAAAAATATTCTGGACAGTATTTCTGCAACGGATTTCATCATGTGAAGAGGGCTTCACCAGAAGCAGTACCGATCTTTACGTGAGCTATGGGAATGTTTCAGTATACTGTAGCAATTTCTACAATAACGGACCTATAAATTGATAAATAATACAACTAGCTTGGGTCTTAGCCAAATGAACTTGGTAGCTTAGAAAGAGACTTGATGTCAGGTCGTTCTGATTTTCGATTTGAAGTCGATATCAAGTTTACATTTTAAATGAGCTGGCCCTTTGCGCCCTTTGCCACCGTAGTCACTCAGTCTGAGAAACTTGTTCAAGATTCAGCAAATGCACTCGTCGTGGCGACTTTCAACCTTTCTGCGGCGGTACTGGTGCCGCGCGCAAAACGCATGTGAGTAAAGTTAATAAGAAATCAAATTGAAATTAATTATTCACAACTGCTCCCGTTGGCCGGCGGCACACAAAAGAAAGAGTTATTTGTAGATCTCAGAGAAACTGATGTTCATTTATAGCGTTCTCGTTAATTAGAATAACTCATCGCGGAATCATATCAAGAAGGAAATATTGTGACTGTCCGTTGACAGCGCCAATATTAGCCTCCGAGTGAGATGAAAAGATAGAGACCGGCTAACCGAATTTTCTTATTTCGATCACAGCGGTCATTCTTTCAAAGGATTTTAAGATCCTTCATCATATTTAAGAGAATAGTTCGTGGTCGATTGTTAATAATGCATTGATAATACGGAACTGCAAGTAAAATCATTTTAGACAGCGAAAAATGAGTGAAGACACGAGTGAAAACGTCGAAAATTCATTTGCTGAGGACAATCTTGATGATGCGAGCTCGATACACGTTGACGGTGATTTAGAGCCCGAGATTATTGATGAAATCGAACAAGAGCAAGCAGAAATGTACCTGCCCACGAGTAAGTAGTTTTAGTCTATCTCGTAGAAATTGTAATAATAAGGATAAATCGTTTTATTAGGTAGCAGCTTTCAGGATGATCTCTTGGATGCTCTGCAAAACTCGAGCGGGTCTTCTCGGAATACTGATACTCCTGTCTTCAACGATTCCCCCGAAAAGGCCGAAGATGATACTGAGTCTTCAGACGAGAGAGAACTCGAAGATTTTAGAAGCTTGGAAAACCTTGAACGTACCCAAAATCTGAGCGCCTCGCCGCAGAAGATCAAGATACGCCTCAGACGTCACAAATCATCTGGATTTGGCTTTCGACCTGTCAGTGCAGTAGCGCCTGAACCCATCGTAACGGCCGTCATCAAAGGATCAAGCGCCGATCGACAAGGACTTAAAGTTGGCGATCGAATTCGGTCCGTTGTTGTACCAGGGAATATTCCTACTTTCCACAGAACTACTTCAGTCAATCAAATAAAGGAAGAGTTGAAAAAACTACCTAAATATTTATTAAGAAAACTTTTGTCAACTCTGAGCTAGGAAATACTGAAAGATTGTCAGAATGAAGTAGATCTGTTTATTTACAGAGATATGAAAGAAATCATCACGGAACTAAATGTGAAGCCGTTAACTCCTCTTGGGCTAGGCCTACAGACAACGAATGTCGGTATTTTTGTTACGTCGGTGCAGCCAGGCTCTCTTGGTGATATTTATGACTATCGATTTGGCGACCAAATTTTATCAATTAACGATCAGCCAGTACATGACTCTAATGATATAAGACAGATAAGGTAAGCTCGGCATTGGGCGATATCTCGATTAAACTAATAGACGCACATCAATGCAAGAAACCAGGAGACCGACCCGAAAGCCCATTTCTAAAATCTTCCGTTCAGCAAGCTCTATAAGGTACCACTGCCCATTACTCCATAAATAATATTTGATTAAGTAACAGATCGGAAAGAAGGAGTGACCCACGAGCAGATGACCGCCGCATCTCTTGGAACTCGCCTGACAATTTTAGCCATGATCAAAAGGAAAAAATCAAAATTGTCATCGGCCGCCGGTCGGTCGAAAGCTATAGTGAGCACCCAATTGCTGCGATCTGGAGCGAAAGTGAAAACCGTGCTTCCCCAGCAAATATACTAGAGCCAGTTTTTGAACCTAGCTCTACGCCATCTGCCCCGACGCAATCTATTATTGGCGTCGACGTCAGTTCCGCAGATCCACAGCTCAACATTGAGACGAAAAAAGACGAAGAAGAAGCCCTTCTTGATTTACTGAGGGGAGAACAAAGAGATACGTCTAAAGACGATTCTCCACGACATACGAACACAAACATTCCCGATCAGTCCTCGTTGATATCAGGGAGAGAAGCAGTTTCTTCAACCGATGAACCTTACCTGCTGCAGCCATTCAGCCCTCTTGCCTCAATCAGACCTACTATTTCTCCAAAACCGACTACTACGACCAACTCTTTACTTACTGAAAAAACATTCCCTCTGAACGAAACAAATAAACCGGAGGTAAACATTTTAGGAACTTACAGGTATAAAATTCGATTCTACTTTTAGGTGAGCTCTGCCTGCGTAGTTTGCTTAGAAGGGACGAAGGAAGTTGTATTTCAACCCTGCTGGCATCAAATTACCTGCTCCAACTGTGCCGTCAGGTACTTTTTCCGCATTTATGGAAATAAAACTTATTATAAGACTTAACGAATGCCCTCTATGCCGAGAAGTTATTGCGATTCGCCGAAGACCTTACCGCTGCTAGAAATATTAACATTTATGAGTATTTCGAGTTTGACTTTATTGAATAAAGTCAAGACAGTAAGCTGTTCAATATATTCAGATTTATTTTTCTTTTCTTCTCAGCAGGGCAACAAAAAAGCCATTTGTAGCAGAAGTGAAAGGCTGAACCGATATCGTTTTCGTAACATCATCTTTACAGAAAGTTTTAACCCGCTCGAAGGCATTCGCTATTTCCCAATTCGGTGCTTTTTCGATGACAGCATTCACAACTTCATTGTTTTCTCTATCATGCGTACTACAGGTGCTGTACGTTATTTCCTTTGCGTTTGGGAATGTCGTCGCTAATATATAAATGTCGGGACATTTTTAATACTTTTCTTACCTTTGAGAAGTGCTTCTTCCTGAAACTTCGCTAGACTTTCTATTCTTTCCTTGGAGTCTTCCTCTTGCATCAGCCTTCTATGTGCCATTCCTGAGCCAGAGCAACTAGGGTCCAGCATAATCTTTGTGCAATCTGACCATGGCTTTTGGTTTACATCTATTTTAAGGTAATCTTGAAGTTTACTGTCCACGATTTCTCCAGCGTACAGTTGTTTCATTCTGGTAGAAAGCAGTCGAAAACGCTTTGGATCGGCTTCACAAGCGATAACTTTTCCACTTCTTCCTACACACGAGGCTAGCTGGTGAGTTTTATTTCCCGGAGCGGCTGTGCAGTCAAGCACAGTTTCACCGATTTTCGGTGCTAGAACAAACGGTGGTAGACAAGATGCGCGATCTTGAATGATGAGAAAGCCTTCTTTGTTCAATATCAAATCAGCAATATTCGTGGACGAATGAAATGCAAAGAGTCCACTCAAGCTCGGGTCCACAACAACATCTTTAGCTGACATGTCCAGAGCGCTTTGCACGAATTCGTGAGGAGAAGGTCGCAATATATTGAAAGATTCCTGAAGCGACATTTCAACTTCCTTCACAGATTTTCCAGCCAGCATATTTACTCGTGCATACTTTGGCATGTGTGTTGTCACATCTTTCGGGAGGAGATCTTCATTGCAATTCGCTTTTCGTTTTACTTTCATAAGTGTCAGGCCATTTTTGAGCACGCTTTTATATTTTGAGAATATCTTCAAATACTTCTTATTCTTCAGACCATCCCCAATGAGAAAGTCATATCCAAGCGCAAGGAGTCGGCCTTCTGGGCTCGGCAAACTGAGCTGTGTAAAAACACAGGTACTCAGACAGGTTCCCTAAAAACAGGAAACAGGACCTGTGACAGGTTTCTACACAGCTCAGTTTGCCGAGCCCAGGTCCTTGCCCTTTGATTTCTTTCCCGATTTGTGTTTTCTTGAGCAGCTCTTCCAGCACAGTTCGATACTTGAGAGATTCTATTACCAATTTGTAGATCAATTTTGTCTTAATAAAAATCGTCATATTTTTTTCACAAAAAAAAATATTACCTGCTTTGATTTTCGCTCGTTGAATACAACCGATTTTGGTGTTCCTTTTCTGGCAATAACTTGATCAACTAGGTCTAGGATCGGGGGTGATCGTTGGAGATCCGAAATGAGGCGCTCGAGAGGAATCACCAATGAGTGGTGCGCGGGTTCTTTGGATCTCCGATTGCGTGGAGATCCGCGCGATCTCCACCCCGAAATTGCGGTGATCGATCACCACTCTCGATCTCCACTTCTTGGAGATCCAAAAATTTTTTATCCCCGAAGTCGGATGAGTCACTTTAAAACAATTTTCTGCCAGCCTACTGATATCAGAAGCGACTGACCGGATCAACTTAAAAATCTCAGGCAATACTTATTCTCCAGTGTAGATTTCAAATCTTTTGTCAAATCAAGTCACTTGCACTGTGCATGGATTGTAATTTTGGATAATAATGTAATATTTACTATCTCTGCTCGAGTATTTTTCTCAATAAGATGGTTTTCAAAATTTTTGAACACTTGAAATCACATAATTTTAAAATTGGTTCGGTTTCAATTTCCAAAGACTCAGCTCGGTGGGTGAGCGATAATTTCTTGAAGATTAGCATTAGAAACTATTATTTTCTGAGATACTGACCCGCAAAGTCCCTGCAAAATATGAATATAATCGAGAAAAATAGATACTCGAGAAAATTCAGAGCTTCGATCACCGAAAACTGGAGATCGACTAAATCCCTGGGATTCATTTGGAGATCGAGCTTCGATCTCCGCGCTCTGGAGATCCAAACAACCCGCGCACCACTCATCGGTGATTCATCTCGAGCGCCTCATTTCGGATCTCCAGCGATCACCCCCCATCCTAGACCTAGTTGATCAATACATTTCCCAGCTATAGCATAACAATCGCTCATCCTTAAAAATTTGAGGTTAAAAGAATATAATTGGTAACTCTTGGAGCGAAAAGAAAGTGGTAACTGCGTGTGCAAGATTGGCTGAGGATCTACAGTAGATAGATTGTAATTTTTCTAACGAGGATACGTTCTCTTGGGCTTGATGAATAGGTAAAATGCAAACTTTCGAAACAAGGAAAATAGCCTTCGTGGAAAATTAGTTCACTATTCTACTGAAAGGCCAATCAATATATACAGTTTGATCGACAGAATAAACGATATAGACTGGCTAGACAGCGTTAACGAGAAGAGAATGAAGATAACTAGCATAAAAGTGAACATTGAAACAATTCTGGCTTCGGTTTTAATTTATTCCGTCCGTGCTTTCTGAATCCTGTGGCAGTGTATGATTCCTTTCGTCTTCAGGATTAGTATCATCGCCGCCGTCGTATTCGTTCGGTTCTGAAGAACAGTCGGTGTCGGACGATTCTACTATGTGACGATGATATTCTTTTGATGCTTTTCTTTGTAACCGCCGCGCTTTCTTTTTATTTTGAGCATGTGCGCGTTTGCTGGAAGCAAAGTCAGAGGCATAGCTTAGAGTATCTTCCTCTGATGTGCTTCCTGCGCATGAGTCCGGAGTCGATAGAATATCATCACGTGATGGCTTTATCGTGCGTTTACCGAGGAGCTCTGGGAGAATAAGAATAATATAGAACTAAAGAAAAACCTGTCTTACCCTCTTTGATTCCAGCGAGCAAGTTTTCTTTAATCATCTGAGATAACTGCTGCTCAGTTTGCTGATTACCGCCATCTTGCATCAGTAAATCCGTCATCTTTTTAAAGCGCAAGGTTGTCAAGACATAAGCATCTTCGCTTTCTTGGGCCCAGTCAATTGCTGTCTTTCCGGATGAGTCTTTGAGTTCTAGAAATTGCATTAGAAACTGGAAAGATTTTGAAACTAACCGATAGAAGCTCTGCGCTTAAGGAGGAGTGAAACCATTGCAATATCGTTCATCTTGATCGCTCGTTTTAAAACGGTTCCGTCATTCAGGGTTGGCACTTGTTGATTAACCTGAGCGCCGTTCATCAAAAGAAGCTCACTTGTTAGCAGAGATTTAGTAGACACTGCGACATGCAAAGGCGTTTCTGAGCCAACTAATCATGAATAAAAATATTCTATTTTTTTCAAAAACATACTATTAGCGGTGGGGGATGCTCCGGCAAAAGTAGCAGCAAGAATAGTAGGGAAATTTCCTTCTTCAATCGCATATTTTAAGTAGCAGTCTATGTTCATATTCGTTGGAGACTTGGCAGGGCTTTTTAAAAGTCCCATTTGTTTCGAATTGGTCGCAATGTCGACGATGTCAGCTGTCCATGATTTCTCGACGTACTTTTTGTGGATAAACTCAGTTCGCGATCCCGCGCTACATGCTTGCTCGATCTTCTGGTTAACCGGCAGCTTGTATTCAAGGAAGCGATTAACCTTTGCGTTCCCCAACCGTTTCATGATAGAGAGGGTTTCAAGCTCCCACGAGTCTAGAGTCAACGAACGTACTTTTGACAAATGAACCCCTAACGCTCGGTGGGTACCGCTGCATTGTATGCAGATGGTTATGCCGAGATTTGTAGAGCTCCAACTTGGTTCCTTTGCACCACAATCGGCGCAGATGTCATTACCCTCGATGGCTACTATTTCTTTCAGTCCGTTTGAGATAAGCTTTGAAGCAAGGCGCGGTGGCTGTTCGTTTCGCGGAGGTTTTGTCGGAGTGTTCTTCGTTGCGTTTTTATTTGAAGATTTAGAAGCTTGATTGCTTTCGGCTTGATTGTGTTGCACGGAAATGGCCGAGTTTAGCCCACGTACCCATGCATCCCGAATCGCTGTTGATTCGGCTTGAAGTTGCATAGCCCGGGTCGGGAGTTGTATCTCAAAGCAGAATCTACGCTCGTGCTTGTCAAGATCTGATACAAATTTGTGGAAAATGCAGAGTGGTGTTTATACCTGGCGACGCTCTAACATTACACAGACGAATATCAGCAGTGACCGTTTCAAATTCAAAACTCCCTCGTTTCGTATACTGAAAGTGCCCGTCCTTTACACGGAACCAGCGTCGTTGCCAGCTTCGAAACTAAAACGAATTCGTTAGTATAGATAAACATTAGTTTGTCCTATCACCAGGAATACAAGACACCAGTTATCTCACCCCTCTCCGTAAATGATAAATATTTTGATTTTTTACCTGAGACCACGATCTTTCCTTAAAACTAGCATTACTTTGGTTAGTTAACACTTATAATTCCCTTTTTCCACCATGTTAGTATATTTGTTTATACAACTTAACAAGTACATACTTTAGTGTGGCTTTTCTTGTACAGGTATCCTTCAATGATAGCTTTGCCGGGGTTTTCCATCTTGCCATCAGCATTGGGGCATGTATACACTCCTGAAACCAATGTAGAAATTACACCTTGTGTCTAATGGATCACCTTGATCTGTCTGTCCTTGAGCAGATTCTTGCTCTTTTATCCAACGGCTAGAGAGCGATTCTTGCTGCATCTGCAGCTCTTGTTGCCGTTGACTCAATTCTAACAACTCTGGCTGAACGACCGCAGTCGCCGCAGCACATTCCTATTTCGGGAATAGCTTTTAAACTAATAAGTACCTTGTAAAAGATTAAATACCTTATGGTAAGCTTGGTATGCATTCATTATCTGACCGAGTGCGCTCAGGATAACATTTCGGTGTTCGAAGTGAAAGACATTTTGGCGAAAGGTGTAGTCCAGCGCCAAATTTTGGAAGCTTTTTCGAAGCGAGACAAAATCTTGATGCGCCTCTTTTATCGGCTGAAATAATGGAGATGCGTCTTATAGACCGAACAGCGCAAGATTATAAATAACAGCCATTTTCCTTTGATTTCCCACTCTCGCTTGGCAGTGTTGGTCATTGCTAGATACCGGGCGAGTTTTTCGTCTTTTGCTTCTGCAACCCGTTCCAAGGATTTTCTGGCTTCTTTCATTGCCTTGCAGCTTAAATTCTGATGATCTCCGCCATTGAACAGCGTTATAAGACTTTTGCGCACGTTTCGATCTAAATTCTCTTCGAGTTTCCCCTCGATTGCGAGAGGTCTTGAAGTGTTGTCACTATGGACTCGAGACATGAAGTGTTCGCTTTTCCGTTGCTTAGTAGAGAAAGCTTGGAGAGCTCTTCGCGGAAAGTCTTTTCAGCAGCGGACGTTTCGCGGTATTTATTGAGCAAAACCTCGACCGCAGCGATGACTGGTTTAATTCTGCCTTCAACTGAAAGCGTCACTTCATGCTCAGAAAATACGCGAGCCCACCATTCGGGCCTCTCTGCGATGCACGACTCGAAGTCCAACACCATTCTAAATATATTTTCAACTGATTTGAGCAAAAATATAATTTATTTAAATTTTTGGATCTTCAAGAGAAGCCGCTCTCATCGTTCTTTCCGCAAGTTCTCTAATTACAATATACATCATATAGTTGAATTCCAAGTTTTCTGCTTTCAGTGTCAAACTGGAATCATCGTCAAATGTGATTTTCGTGAATGGCTCGTCCTGAATATAAAAGTCTATTAAGACTTGTGTAATTAACTTTTCTTAAGTGCTCATTATCGTGTTAGATCCGCTTCATTCCCAATAGAGGCGATCTAAAACAATACATCTTCAACCAACTTACCGTTTTATTATGAGCGACAGTTGTTTTGAAATCAACCTTCAAATTGGAGTCTTGCGCTGGCTGCGCATAGAGAGCTTTCTAAAAATAGATTGCTATGAATTCTGAATAACAAAAATTTACCCAAAGTTTTTTATGATGGAATGAATTCTTTCGCCATGGAGTTAAAACTGATTCCACTTTTGAAACGAACTTGTAGTCTGGCTTTTGTGTTGTGAGCTCGATGGCGTTAACGCCGTAGAAAGTCATGGATTCTGGAAAAGTTTGAGGATATCTTGGAAAAGTCACGATTTCGCGAGGCGTTAGAGGCCGCCAATGATTTGGTAGTTTTGGCGCTTGGAGACACTTTACTGCTGTGAAACGCATTTCTGAAATAGATTTTATTCGTTTCAAAAATATTCTCTTCCTTGATTTCCTAGCGCGTATCAAGGGCGATGAAACCAGTGTATATATATATTTAAGATTGCAGGGGTTAATCGAGACGAGAAACCAGGAAAATAAGTGGAGAAATTGAAAAATCCTAACAGAGGTCAACGAGTCCAGGTCATGGTCCGAGAAAATATAGTTTTTTTTTTGAGAACTTAGGCAAAGGTGAACATTAGTAGCAGTACAGTACTTGCTGAACTGAACAGCGGTTGTATCTAACAACCTGAACGATTCTTTGCTGGAGTAACACACCTATTTGATAAAGATAGCTATTTAAAAATACTAGAGCGATATAAAATCCTTATGAGTAATATGCCCGCTTTCTGTCATTTTTCCCTACTTCAAGTGCGACTACTCCTGCCGTAACTAAATAGAGATTGTCCAAATCAGTCCAACGAAATCAACCATGATAATTTGAAATTAGCCTAAGGTTATCTAATTAGTCCTCCAAGAGAAGTCAGCATGCTTGCAAAGAGTCTTGAAAAAATGAACACTGCTGGTGAATTATATTTTTGATTGCAGTTAGAATTGGAAGTAAAATGAGCGATATAGAACAAAGTTCAAGCCATATGGTATAGCTTTCGGTCTTGGCACTAACACATAAGAAGAATAGATTGCATTTCTGCCCGAGTGTTGACAACTGCAAGACTAATCGGAGTTTATAAGAGAATAATTTTAACAGAGTAGCAACTTTCGATCTTAGATGTCACAAATTGGTCAGTTGGGGTAGAAGGTTGATAATAAAAAGAAGTAACCTTCCACTTCGATGAAGGGTTACGTTCACTTCTTGTTCGCGAAGCAGGCTTGCACCGCGCTGAATACGTCTTTTGCTGGCATGTCGGCGTTGACAGGACAATGCACATTCCTTCGAAAATAGACTATTCACTGAACAAGGAGATGCATACACACCTTTCTCCGTAGTAAGCGGCAAGCGGCGATGTTTGGGCATGATACGCGGCAAGACGCACTTTAAGAGATTCTTCATTATCATCCGATCGTCTCATCAATGGCTCTAAAACAAGAATAATTTTGTTAAATTTGGCGTGAACACTTACCTCCAGTAACATCGTCTTTCATAGGAACCTTGGGAGGGGCAAACTTCGTATGATACGATCGACCTAATTACAAACAGTAATGAGAAGTTGACAACTATTTAACTGACCGGAGGGCTTGTGAACCAGTCTTCCGCAGATTCGTTCCACCAACACAGCGTCATCGATTTTGAACTCGACGACAGAGTCCAGTGGCGTTCCATTCTAGCTCTGCGTTAAGATTTTTTGCACAAAGGCTGGCTTACCTCTTTCAGCATATAGTTGAGCTTGTCGGCCTGTCCGACTGTTCGTGGAAAGCCATCGAGAACGAACCCACGCTGGCATGCTGGTTTCGAAAGATTATTTTTTATCATCTCGCAGACGATCTCGTCCGAAACTAATCGTCCTTCAGAAATGACAGCCTTGACTTCCTGGCCAAGTTTACTATTAATTTTTTTATCATAATTGAAGAAAAGTGTTCGAAGAACCTTCCAGAGGCGATTTCTTCTCTGAGCATGTCTCCAGTGCTCAAATGGCAGATCTGGTGCTCGTTGACAAGCTTAGGTGCAGTTGTGCCTTTTCCAGCACCAGGGGGACCAAGAAGAATAGTTCTTATGCCTCGTTCGGATTCAGCCATTCTAAAACGTCCCCTTTGAAATCAAGATTCGCTAAAAGATAAGTTCAGGCTTATTATCAGCGCATTCGATGTTGAAGTCTTCTAAGCCGGCGACTTGTAATCTCGCGTTCTAAAAAGATGTTCACAATGGTAACTCATTAGTTTAAGCAGGAAATTCTGATAATGTGGGAAGGCCTTTATGTTTTGGCGACATGCCGCAGGACCGCGGGTCATGTTAACCTTACTCTGATGAGCCCCGCCCATGAGCTGTACTTTTTTCTATAAACTTTAGCTGTTCCGAATCGATCTTTCGAAATATAGGGGCACCATAGCGGTTCATAAAGTCTCTCGTGAAAGATATAAAATTTATCGACCCATGTTCAACCGCGCAACTCATAAAACTCACCTTCAAAAATAGTCTATCCTTGTCAGCGGATTTGCCTTGCTTCGTCATCGCGAAACCAAATAATTTAGATAGCTTGTCAGTAACGATTTGAATGTTCTCTATAAGTTTTTCTTCACTCATTGACATGTCACCGACCACAACGCCAAAATCTTCTTTCGAACCACAAAGAAGTGGCTTATTGAATTTCTACAAGAGCATAAGTCTGAGTTACAAATGTCGAATAATAAAATAGAAGCTAAAGTAGACCCGTCTCTTTGTATATAATTGTCTGAGTTACCTGGATCACATCCAAATCGTTGATCACATATTCGTTGAACTTGCCCTTTTTCTCGTTCAGAACAACTAAAATGAGAATTGCCCGCGTGAACTATGGAATGAAGCAAGGAAATTCCGCCCACTGTCAAAATCCAAACTCCTTGGAATTTAACCCGAGAGCGTTAGAGTACATGTTACTTGTTCAAATAAATACGACACGCAGTGATAGCGTGAGTATTGTGTGCACTTTGGACTCGTAATATAAAAGGACAGAGTCTGCAAACGATCAAATTACCAGGAATATCTACAGCCATCTTTTGGAGTGTTGTTTTGAATGTGTCGTTTCTTCTGAAGACTTCGAATTGGTTCTCCAAACAGAAGCAGTAATCAACTTCTGGCTTTTCATACACAAAGTCGAGCATCATTTCTGAAAAGAAAGTAATCGATAGAATGGGAAGTGCGTTAACTCACTGCTAGATCCGGCCAACAGTGCTCCGAACTCGAGTGCAGCCGCCGTCTCCGACGGATCGCACACAACTATTATGCGTGCATTACGTCCACCATTATCCATATCGATCACGTGGCGAATTTGGAATTTGTTGAAGCGTTTTTTGATCTTGTCTTTGTTCGTTTCGAAATCGACTCCCATACGAAGTTGAATTGGTAGATTACTTTCGAGGTATTCTACTTTCGACGTTTTCATGAGGTCACTAACACAGGCAAGAACTGGCTTGGCTTCGGTTTCGATTTCATCGACCTGGAAAAACTTACATAAGATGTTAATATAGTCAGGAATTACTTTGAAAATAAGATCTTGGACTTCATTTGAGTCTTGATCGCTGGAATTATCGCACCACGAGGCAGTTGTGTTGAAAGAAGAGTAGCCTTGAACGAATGCGTGCTGGTTACGGAGAAGAACACATCTGCTCAGTCGAGAAGCCAATTTCAACATATCTTGGTTAATTTATTCATAAACAAAGTTAAAAAGGAATAAATAGCCTACTCAGAGCAGGGGAGAGGCAGTGAAAGGATTATTTTGATAGGGGCGAAAGTTTTGAAAAATCTCCGACGAGTTCAAAATTTACGCGCGAGGTCATGCAATTTCTTTCACTCGGGTTTACTTTTGGTTTTTGGAAGTTGTAACTAACAATGCCACAATCAAGTAACAGTTGTTACTGCCAATTGCAAATTCTTTCAAACAAGAGTACAATAACTTTAAAGTCCGAGGCTCTAGGGATGATGACAATTTCTTTCGGTCTTCGGTAATCTTAGTTTGCTTTTGGTTTTTCATCTCCGCAAATAATTTGTTGTAGTTATCGAGTTCTTCCTTTGGGATCTTTTCGTCTTTGTAATTTTTTCGCATATCCTTCAGGTTTTTATCACCCCATTCTTTGACTTTTTGCTCCCAATCTTCGGCCCTTTTGTCAAAGTTTTCAAGAGCGACCGTCTTTTGGACTATCCCATCCAAAAGATCTAGCTTTTCTTTTTTTGACATTCTTAAAATGAAATGACTTCATACCGAGTAAAAGTGTAAAAAAGGAAAGTTTTGAGTTTATTTCGAGAGGTAAAGGCAGTATGAACATCACAGTAAATCAACAATCATCTATTGCTCAGGGTAGGGAAGAAAATTCCCCGCCTGTGGAATGGTGTCATCGGAAGAGATAACTAGAAAATGATGCTAACTTTCCAAGAAAGAAAATGCTTACCAGGATCAAAATCAGGAATATAGGACGGAAAACGTCTTTCTGGAGCTTCAGTGCCTCGTGGATCGAAGAGAGACAAACTTATTGTTTGACTCATTTGCGTCGGCAACGGAGTTGTTTTTGTAGATTCGACGTAAGAATTCACTGACAGTTATTTAGAATTTAAAATTGTACAGAATTTTACCGGGATCAGTATTTCTATAGTCAAAGTCGCTATCATTGCAGTCGTTTGTTCGGAATCGCGTCTGGATACCACTTATATCTGTTATCTGCCATGCGGACCATCCTTGCCAAATTTCTGAAGCTGCGAGTAAATTAGAGAATATTTTAGGCACGTACCGTTGCAATCCATCTTTTGGCAGCTGTTGAGCTTGTGGCACCACTCATACTGAATGGTTTCAGTTTCGTGGCTAAGAGCTGTTCTACTTCGTCGTCCGGAGCATTTATTAGTGCAATCCGACCACTTCGACCATTGATACGGAGCGCAGTTTTCGATCATCATCAATTGCAGCTTTAGCAAAGTGTCTTGCTTAATTACGTCACAGTTCGTGTCGCTAACTCGGGACACAGAGCTTTTCAAGCAGGCCCCTGCAAAGCACTCTTGATCTTCGACCTCGGTGCCATTGACACATCCAGGCAGTTGGCGTTCTCTTTTCAAACTGTTAGAAGGACTCTTTTACAAGAAAAATACTTGCCTTAACTGTATCCCAGTTCCACAACTAACAGAACACTGAGACCAAGTGCTCCATTCTTCTTCAATCTCGCATTCTTTCTGCTCGAGGGAAGCTGTCTTGTATCTATCGATGGCTCCCGCGCGCGAGCATGACCTCTCCTGATAATACTCACCGGGAGCGTTCTCCGAGGGACAACAGTTCGACCAGGGGGAACATATTTTACGCTGACAAGCTGGCTCGGGAGTTATACAAGTTCTATAGTCTGTGGATTTCCCTTTACAACAAGCTATCGGCCCGTTGCAAAAGCGAATTCGGGTTTGTGCACCAGCACAACGTGTTGGTCCTGTTCGACAGGAAGACCAACTTGACCACTTCTTCCAGTCACAGTTTCCCTAACGAAGAGACTTCGATAAACACGTCGGCATAGAAGCTAAAGTACCTTGGCGTCGATCGTAGCTAGTATCAATGCACTGATTCTCATATCTCTTTTTTAAATTCGGACTCAATAAATCTATCTACCAAGGGGTTCACTTTAAGTAATGAAGAATGATTGCGCGCTAAATAGTCTCAAATTCTACCCCGTAAGCTTCGCGGAAATGATTTAGTTTAATTAAAATAATTTTCTTGATTTCACGTTGAAAAGTACAGTTTCTATTATTTCTACACAAAGCAACACAACAAGCTTAAAATCACCACAAGCGCTGACTGCTTTTGGAAATTTTAAAAGGCATGAGTGATAATAAAGACTTTTAATATGGCAGTCAAAAATAGTGGAATGTGAAAGTAAGGTGAAGTTTGTGATAAAAGTGAAGTGTACAAAATTCTTCTTCCACTTCATTTTGGCGTCATGTGAGTCGCCTCGTGATCTGGATTGGCTCGGCGAATCGGAGTCAAGTTGGACGAAAGAGCAGCAAGAGATGATCTGCGACTTCGTCGTCGATTCATATTTTGCTGCGCTGGTGAAAGCAAGCTGAAAGCGCAACGATCAAACATAAACGCATTCTAACGAGTTTACCTTTCCTGTTCCTCTCCGGAGCCGAGAGTTTTTTCTATTTGCAACACGGACTTTTCAAGAACCGTCATGTTGGACGAAGTATTTTCGATATTTGCATCGGATTCGGGTTCGGAGTCGGAGAAAATTTCGGCCACTTGCTCAGAAATAGATACATTTTGGTTAATTCCACTCCGCTTGCTTTTCTTGCGAATCGGCGTAGCAGGTGTGCCTGGAGCATCTTCTCGAGCTGGGGCTGGAATGGGATTATCATCGTTTGCCCAGAGAGCACACTCCTCGGACAGGTCATCCTTAACCGCATTTATAATCTGAAAAATATACGAACGCTTACTTGAAGATTCCTGTACATAATATCTGACTCCTTCAACCCGGGAATCTCCTTCAACCAAGCCTGGCAGAGTTTTCCGATCGTTGGGAGTAACGGGGAACGGACAGTCTTTAGTTCATTTCGAAGGTCAACCAGGATGGGGAAGGTCTGCTTCGTGATGAACTGTATTCTTGTCTTAGCACACGTTTCAAGGAAAGCTGCCCTCTTCATACCCTCTTTGCGCAAAGGCTCATCGTCGAAATGGTCTTGTTCTGCATTTCTTAAAACGCTTTAATATAAAAATATAGATAAGGTGTTCTTACCTGGCATTCTTGGGGCCAACAAGCTGGAACTGGAGCATTTGATGGCGATAAAGAAGATGAAGAGCATCAAAGAATACTTCAGTCATCTCTACACTGGTGATATCAACTTTGCGCAGGAGAGGGATTGCGAGAACCAAATTGGTAATATTGCAAAAAACAGTCAAGCGTTGCTCTTCCGACTAAAAAGCTTTTAAGAGGTGAAATGAATTGGAAGGACTCACCATGTTACAAATACAGAAGGTGTAGATTTGCATGCGTCTTGCTCGGCCTTCAATTCCCGGAAAAGCGCCAGTTTCGAAGGTAGTGCTTCTCTGCGTCTGTGTGCTGATCTGCAATCGTCTATCGTGAGACGGGTCAATCGAAAACGCTCCAGTAGAAAGAATCATGACTGCGATAAAGTTCTCTTGGAAAATTTTCGGGTTTCTTGGCTTCAAAACCTGTCGCAAGCAAAAGGAAGCCTTTTGATGGACGATCTTTGATCTAGGCTCGGGATCAGCAGCGAGGATCAACATCCGAGTGAGAATTGAAGGTTTCTTAAAATAATTTTAACATTCAACTTTGATGTCTATTTGTCACCATTCGGATGAAATCCTTTTTGAGCAAATTTGTCAAATGCTGCATCGTAGCAATTTGCACCGTTTCATCATTATCTTCTAGTAATGCGGCGAGAATGTCCATGAAGCGATCTACCAAGTGAGTTTTTACAACGCAAAGGTCGGCTACGATTGAAAGCGCGACGATTCTGATTGACGCGCAGTTGGCGCGATCAGAAAGCGAATAGATAAAGATGCGCACCAAATCTTCGCTGTTCTTCCCTCTTCGAATGCACAAATTGCCGAGAACGTGAATCAGAGCGGTCATCAGCTCCGTAGGCAGCGGAGTGTTAAGAACACCTTTAAAATCCTTGAAGAAAACCATGTTCAAATATTGGGCAAACTCATCGCGGTCATCAGCTGGTGTGATCTCTAAAAACTCGGAGTAGAAGAGAACAGTGATTATGAGAGTGCCACAGTTGGACATGTAGTCGAACGGGTCCAAACTTTCATCACCAACTTTGTTGACTCTACGGGCCATCTCGCGAATAGAAAATCTCCCAGAAAGCCAATCTTTGAGCCCATCGCCAGCACATATACGGATGAGACGTGTAAGAGGTTCAATGACGTTCAGATTTTTGGGACAGAGGATCTTGAGGATGGAGCTCACAAAATCAAGAAGATCTTGACGCATATTTTCACCCAACTCGTTTTCTGCAAGCTCGATGACCAATTCGAAGGCGACAGCGCTAACACAAGCTGCATCCTTCATCAAATGTTCAATGTGTTCTTTGAACACCGTCAAAACATCCATCACGGCGATTGAGTCTTTTTCCAGTTGGTAGATGACCTTCAATAGAATCCAACATGCTCCTGACTCTCCGTCTTGTATTTCTAATCTGCGCATAGCATTTTTCGCTAGTGGCACAAAAGAAGACACTTTCTCGTCAGACTTCGCTTGTTCGAAGAGAGCAATCAAATTATTCTTCAACGGTTCGTACATATTCCCGCTAACCAAGTCCAAGCAATTCCACATCTCGTGATTTCCCGTCTCGATAATTACCGTGATGAAGTTCAGATAGAGCCCATTAAAGGCTACTTCCTTGACGGCTCTCTCGGGATCTTCCAACGCATCGAGCATGACGTTAAGCCAATCTAGTCGGAATTCACTACGCGTCGACTCCATCATCGAGTTGTTCAGGCCAGATGGGTGATCGAACGTGTCAAGCGCGTTCATAAGATTCGTAAATGCGGCGACCGCGACTTGTCGAACTGATAACAGCGGGTCGCGGCACGCTCGTGCAAAAATCTGCCAAACTTTTTCTTCACAACTAGCAAACTGCCGAATAACCAAAGCTTTAGTTAGCAGTATAACGCTTTTTCTTACGAGCTGGTATTTACTGTTCTGCATCTGCTGAAGTACTGAAAGTCCGTCGGAGTCCAGACAAAAGGTTTTCTGTAGAGTACTTCTTGAGGCTTCAGTCATCGTAGCATGATCGGAAAATCGATGGATACCGAACAAGGAGTTTGTTGTCATATTCGAACTCGTAGTAGATACTTGTGATGTGGCAACTGATAATCGGTTCGCCGTAGCTGTGGAAAGGCGACGCAGATACGACGGTTGGAGAGCACCAGGAGCCATAAGACTATCTGTCGGACCCAAGATGCATCCTTCCAAAAGTTCGGCGAGGGAGAACATTGCTCGGGCGGCCACCGTGTGATTCGAATCTCGGCAACGTCTCGCTAGTTTACTGAAGAGCATGCTTGCATCAACTTTTTCCTGCAGTTCCTGACTCGGGATATGGTACAGGATCCTCTTCAAAACACCAACACTGAGCGCTCGTTGGCTAACTTTCTTCGTCTCCATGTTCTTCTTGATGAAACTAATGATCTTGAGTTGCGTCTCAATATCGCAAAGAGGAAAAAACTTGGTCATCACTTCGTCTATCGCTTCTCGGGTTGAGTTTTTGTCATGCGATTGAGAAACCAATATTCTGATCAGGGCATAAAAGAACGAATTCTTCCTCTTTCCTGCCATCTCACAGGCGTGCAAAACGATATCGAAGCATCTTCGCTCAGTCAGATTCATGGAGCTTGACTTCAGGGGCAACAGCTTGTGATTCAGGATACGGATACAGATTGGAAAAACTTCTGTTTTAATGTTCTGACCGAGAAGATGATAGAGCATGAAGGAAATCGGGGACGTCTCCAAGAAGAGGCTTGCGCTGGAGTTGATCAGATATGCGAAGGTAGATATGGCGCGGTCTGCATGATCTCGTGTTAAAATAAAATTTTCAAACAGAACTCCAAGCACAGCGATTACATCTTCAACGGCAGAAAGCATGATTGTCTCGTGATCAGGCTTTTTGCGGCGATTTTTGATCGCACTGTGTTCTTTTGTGATGACAGTTTGTAAGATCACCCACGACTGCTCGAACAGAAGAGGGTGAAAGATGTTGAATGCCGCAGCTCTCTCGATGGAGAGCAAACGCAAGTAGGCTTCAATTGAGCGTAAAACAACAGGCCCGTCTCTGATTATGTCCTCATCGCTGGGAGAGTTCCATTCCGCTAACTTGGCTTTGTAATGGATCGTATTTATAATCTTCATCTCAAGAAGTTAAGTTCTGCTTAATATCAAAATCGTATCCGTTCCTGTAACAACGGCCAAATATGAAAGAAGTTCTTTCGGGACGTCTTCTACAGAGATCGTGTTCCCTTTGAGGAAATCAGTGAGCCTTATCATATCTTTGAGATTTGGCTCTGGCAGATCCATGTGAAATTGACTCTCTTGAAGTGGCTGCATCCAGGTCGACTTGATCCAATCTTCATCGACCACGTTGAGACCGAAACGAGCAAGAATTCGCTCCATTACGAGAGCCCGACTTCTGGAATAAAAACGAGCGTTATTTATAGCAGCCATATGAAATATTCTTAGCAATAATCTAAGGGCAGTAAATGGGGAATGAACATAAGTGTGCGTATGAGGGTGAGAACTAGCTTTTCTGGGCTAAAACAAATTTCTCTACTCGGCCGGATTTTCGACCGCAGTTACAAGCGGTGAAGAATTTCGGGCCGTTGGGCACGCAAGAAAGCCGTCACGGGCTTTCGTTTTTTGCTTTCAAGTTCTCTGTTATCTTTGTCCGATTATGACTGGTATATATAGGGTTTCCGGTAGAAAAAATGCTAACTTTTGATCCTCAAGGGTTTTTTTACATTTTTATCGGCTCTATGGATAGCTTAGATGATTTCAAGCAAGAATATGAAATAAAAAAGTAGGTGTATAATTTCGGAAGTTGGTCAAAAATGCCAAAATGTGAAAAAGTACGAATTTTCAATCCCTTTTTTGACCAACTTCCAAAATTATACACCTACTTTTTTATTTCATATTCTTCCTCAGTATCTTCTAAGCTATCGATAGAGCTCATAAAAATGCCAAAAACCCCTTGAGGATCGAAAGATAATTTTTGTCCGGAGACCCTAGGTATATATGATGGTCAGAAGTTCAGAAAAGGAACCAATCAAAAACTGAGTTGCGCCCCGTCGGTTGCTGCCCCCGCTCGAAATCCATGCACAAAAGGCACAATGGGCAAAATAGCTGATACAAAATAGTTTGATAATCTGTCTTTTGGTCATTCTTCTTCTCGTAAAGCTTGAAGTAAGCAGTTGATGGGCAATGCAATGATGACGGCAGTAAAAAATTAAAGGACAGAAAAAAAGTACAAATTTGAGTTAAATCTCCGTCGAAGTCAAAAAACTCGGCTTCACGATAGGTCGTATCGAATTACCGCTTCTTGTAACTCGTTGATTTTGAAAATGAGTCCTGTTTCTTTCTTCTCATTTTTCTCTACGACATTGCGGTAGTACGCTTTGAGCCAGTTCATGCCCACCTTCGAATTCGTCTTGGTGAATGACTCTGAGTTTCCCGTCGTTATCATGTTTCAACAAGTAAGCGGACACTTACCAACAATCTTCCGAACTTGTTTTTCCTCCTTCAAGTCATCACTCGCAAGCTCGTCAGTATCCAACTCGCCCGAACTGGCTTCATCCTCGAAGAAACTCCCTATTTGACGACTCTCCTGCTGCTCCTTCTCTTTTCTACAGCACTCCAAATTCTCGGCGTATTTTTTAAGAAGATTTTCTCGCTTCAAGGTATCATCCCGGAATGCATCGCTGAGTTCTTTCACTTCATGCTCTTCCATCAGCCATTTGTTGACCATGATTTCATGCGCCAATGAGATCCTCTTCGTCCGAAGCAAAGGAGCATTGGTCGCCGATTTACGGAAGCGTCTCTTCTCCTTGCCAGCTAAAAGAAAAAAAGATGTAAATCTCAGACACTGAGTGTTTGATGATTACTTTCGAAGATTTGGTTGGCCGCTGGTAGCTTTCCTTTGCGGGCTGCACGATTGTTTGTGGCGTTAATTGCAGTGATGATCGAAGACTTCTCCTTCTTGATCTAAAGCCGAGCGAATTAGAAAATTTAGGTCAGTGTTAAAGAAACTACCCCTTCAAGCCCTTTGGGTGCAGATCGCTCCGCAACTATAAACGCAGGTCGAGTTCCTTTTGATTGAGCTTTGTTTTCTCTCTTATCTCTTCGCATTTGTGCGTCTGTTAGGATGTTGGTAGAACGGCCGGACAAAAAATAAGAAATGCTCTTTTCAGTAGATCTGTTTTAGCTTATTTTTTCCTTGAGCGCTGATTGGCGGAGCAGACAGAGAAATTTTTAGATTCGTCTCGGAGACTCAAGCGTTTATAATTCTGAATCTAGGAAGACTTTTCTTGAATTGTAAAGTTCAGATGGATGATTTGTTAGCCGAAGGACTCGAAATCCTTGACTGCGACGACGTTAGAATCACCCAACTCACCAAGAAGAAATCTCAAAAGGCAAAACAGGAAATGATAGTTAATCAAAAAATCAAATTTATTTTAGGCAGCAGCTGCACAGACCGAAAAGCATAAGACGAACAAAAAGTTCCGAAAGCAAGAAAAAGCCAACAAGGAAGCCGCTAGTGCTCGTTTCGGCCTCAACAACAAATACGTAGCCGACAAGAAAATCGCTGAGAAGAGACTCAAGGTATTTTAGCACGTATTTCCTTTACCTATAAATCGATACTTTTAGAAAGTAGATCGAGAAAAGGAACTGGCGCAGAAGCATCGTCTTGTTCAGAAAAGCAGAGTCGACACTGATTTCAATATTTGGTGCAAGATCACAGGAGTGACAAAGCCAGAAGTGCAGAAGCCAGTAGAGGAGGAGGAATCCGCCTTCGACGAAGAGTACTTTGCCCAGTTCGAAAAAGAGTACGCCGAGAGAAAACTCAATGGATAGGGATGAATTACAAAAAGAGAGGCGTCGCCGGTTCGGCTCTATCCGCCAAATCTATTCTACTGCTCGCGAAAACAACCGTTTTGTATCAATCTGCGCGCCAATGGTGCGCTACTCACGTCTCCCTTTCCGCGCACTTTGCCGAAAGTTCAACGTCGATCTCTGCTTCTCGCCAATGCTGATTTCGGACTCGTTCATCAACTCGGCCTCTGCTCGTGATGCCGATTTGCGCAGCAATGCGGACGATGGGCCGCTCGTCGTCCAGTTCGCTGCGAACAAAGGCGACGATTTCGCCCAAGTGGCCCAAATGCTTTACGGACATTGCGAGGGAATCGACCTCAACTGCGGATGTCCTCAGCGCTGGGTCAACGCACTCAACTACGGCGACATCTTAATGAAGCAGCCCGAGTTGCTGGCTGATATTATTTTGGTAGCGCGGCGGGCGATTCCTGATTCGCAGTTTTCTATTTCTGTCAAAACGCGCGTCTTCGACGACTTGCAAGCAACAATCGAAATGGCCAGGAGAATTGAGAAGGCGGGCGCGACCATGTTGTCGATTCATGGTAGGACGCATGGAGAAAGGGATCACCCTGTAAGAGTAAATACTATCTCAACTATTGTCGAAACCTTGAGGTAACAGTCAGTTAAAAATGCAAAGTTGATTTGTTTTCCTTGTAGCATTCCCGTTAATTACAACGGAAGTATTCGCACTCGCGAAGACGCTCAAATAGCATATGAGGCGACTGGTGTTGGCGGTGTTATGGTCGCACGCGGTCTTTTACACAACCCAGGACTGTTCGACGAGCGACGCCTTGGAGATCCGGAAGTGTTAACAGGTGAGAAGCTTCTACTTAACTAAAGCCCTAAAAGAGTTTTTCAGAATGGACTAGGATAGCGCTTGAGCTTGGAATACCGTATTCCTCCTATCACAAGCACTTGATGTATATGCTGGACAAAGTAACGACGAGACCTGAAACCAGAGTATTCAACAGCCTTCAGAGCATGGTTCAAGCTGTCTCTTGGCTGCGCGAAAGAAAATACATTTACTGTTGATTGACTTATTTAAGCGAAAGAACGAGAGAGAATAGATTTGTGTTTTATCGGACATCTTCTATTGTTTGTATTTCAGGGCTAAGTTATTTTAGTCTTTTTAAAATGTTAGAGCAAAACATCCCCGCAGGGCAAGCGCGATTTTTTCTTTTTCGCGAGAAATTCTTTCCAGTACTTGAATCGAGCATGGAATAAATGGGTGAAGAGAGAAAGCGCAGAAGGCGTAAAAAAGGTCCTGGTAGAATCGAATCACTCGTTAGGAACTTTTTGGCGTTTTTCGGCTTTTGCTTCATTGTCTTCAACCTGTTCCTGGTTTCGAAGATCAAACCGAGCAGTCTTGACGATGGAAAAGCGATCCCGCACAAAGAGAAGAGGACTCCCCGTGCTTTCAACTTTGAGGTAGACATCGACTTTCACGACAAAAGCGCACCGCGAGTGCTCAAATCAACTACGTCTTCGACGAGCACGACAAGCACCACATTATCTTCGGAGACTTCGAGCAAAGAAAGTGAACCCGAGAGTGAAGAGAAGAAGGCGGAAGTAATTCCAGGAAACCCGCTGCTTGCTCAATTGCAAAAGAAAGAGGGGGTAGTCCAAACTGCACAACTGATCGATCGAGTTCGATACCTGATCGCCGAGAACCCAGATGAGTCCATTCCAAAGCGTTACGCGGACAACACTACCGTCCCAGATTTGGAGTTCATGATCACTCCAGAGGTCGACTGCGTGCGGAAAGACCTCGTCATCTTCGTAAAGTCTCGCGTTGAGAGCTCTGGCCTGCGAGAGATAATTCGAAATACATGGGCTCACACGCATGCCATCGAAAAATGGTCTATTGCCACAATCTTTCTCGTCGGAAAGTCGGACTCGAAGTACTTGAACAAGAATTTGCAAAACGAGGGGCGAGACAAACAAGACCTGCTAGGAATGTGATTGATAAATACTCCTGCGATTTTCATAAATATTTTTCCAATCATTCTTAAAAGTCGGCGACTATCTTGATGCGTATCAGAATCTAACCTCAAAATCAATTAGTGGACTGCAATGGTTTGCCAACGAATGCACGGACTCACGAAATTATCTTTCAGTCGACGACGACGTTTTTCCGGATTTACCTTTGATACTGGGCTTTCTCAATAAGGCCGAGAACTCGCAAGTTGAACTGGCTTGTTTGTACAACTACGTACAGCACGCAAGGTAAAACTCTTGCATAACTGGCGTCCGAAATTCAACGATTTTAGAGTCACGCGCAAAGGGAAATGGCAAACATCGTGGGAATCGTACGGAAAAGAATTTTATCCAGTGTACTGCGAGGGCGCCTGTTTCAGTATGCCACGATGGGCAGCGGTGAAACTCTTCAAAAACGCACAAGTTACTTATCGCGATGCTCCTGTTGATGATGCATATTTGACAGGTTCGCGTATTTCAATTTATTTTTTCAGTGTCAATAAGTTTTTCTGTTTTTTTCTTCAGTATTTTATCACATATCAATTTTAAATAGTACTGTCTGGATTTACTTTAGAGTAGAGTCGACTTCCCAAAAGTTGTACAATTTGCCATCTAGTCCTCTTACTTTCGGGACTGGTGAGCCTTGTTTGGGTTATTTCTCTGATTTGATACTTTTTTCTATATCTTTGATTCGAATACAACCCATACTTCGGACGAAGATTCATCTTCGTCAGAGTTTTCGAGCTCAGTCAGCTTTGTTTTCTTTGCGGAAGGCTCTGAGGACTCTGTTGCTTCTAAGGCAGTGTCTCCGCTTTTTTTATGATCCAACGAATAATATTGTTTGGTAAGCTCCGCCATCGTTTTCTTGTAGTCCTTTAATCGTTTCTTTGCTTTGCTCTACCTTTAATAATACGGCTAATTATCATTATAAGTTATTTACTATGCATAGTCTATGGAGCCGTTCCTCAGCTCTGTCTCTTTGTTCTCTAATCTTCTCCATCTTATAACGATTTTCGATATCAAATTTCTCTTTTTCCTTTTGGGCTTTACGTTCATCATCCATCAATTTAACGAGAAACTCATCTTCTTCGCCTTCCTTAGATTTCAGTACTTGCAGAGTGTTGAGTATATATGTAAGAGCATCGGCGTTGTCCAAGAGTCTCTTCATTTTCAAATCTTGCTCTCCCATCTCTTGCTCATCCATCGCTGGCTATTTTTTCAAATGAGCAAAACAGACAGGGAGACTCCTTTTTATACCCACGTTTGATCATCCCGGAACTTTCTTCTTAATTCACAAGGCTGACTGATTTTTAGGGGTGCTACGCGAGAAAGCTGGACTGATCCCGAAACAAGTGCAGAACAAGCGGATGTGCAAGCATTTAGTCAACGACGATGAAATAATTCAAAAACTTCGCGCAGAGTGGGCCCAACACCAGCCATAATTACTTCAACAGCCTTGCTTATATCAAAAATGTATCATTATGTAATAAAATCGACAAAGCTATTAAAAATCTATTGACTGGCCAGTAAGTGATCTTCGCTGAAGCATGCTCTGTTTGTAATAGTCACTATTTGCAAATACTGATTTTATAAATTCCGAACATGACCTCTAGAACGACGCCAGGGAAAAAGTGTTTAGAGTTTGTGCAATAAGGCGAAAGAACAGCAATTTACTAACAAGAGACATTCATATGAGAGTTTGGCTCTTTTACTTAGGGTAAGTCTCCATCAAATTCAAGCTCCTTGAACTTTTGAAAAGTTTTAAATTATGGAAGCTCGTTTCTTAACCTCTCGAATTTCGTTTTCCTTATAATAATGAAATATAGGTTTTATGGCCTCCTGCGCGGGACAATAGGAAAGCGTTTTTAAAATTAATCATTTCAATGAAATTCCCCACTAAAAAAACCTCAACAGTAAAATCTTCGCCGAGAATCGACATAATATTCCGTCGCATAGAATTCTTCCTTGTCGCTCAAATACTCGTCATCCCAGGTAAAAAGCGATACCACTTTCGTTTGCTCCGTCCTTTTAGTGTTGGTGTACCAGCTCCTTGCAAATGCGAAATTCGAAGCCACCCGCATCGTCCCGTTCTTCATGAGTATCATTTGGCGTACCAAGGAAGTGCTTCTGAATTCGTGAATCCTTTATTTTAATTATCGAAAAGGGAACTTTAAAAACTCAACGTGGATTCTTGATTCATATTCGGTAACATGCAATTAGATAGATATTCGCGGCGAGATCCCAAATGAGAACTGCGTCATTGTTTGTAATCATCAGTCAGGTAATTAAGCCCCGCTTTCGCCCGTCTTAGAAAAGAACGTAGGTCTCGATATTTGTCCCCTGCTCAAGTTTATCCCCTTGCACGGCTCCGTGGTTACCAAAGCGTCTCTTGCGAAGAGCTTGGGTCCCGTTTCCGTTGTTTTTCACAAGCTGGGGCTGACCTTCATCGATCGATCCGACCGCGAGCAGGCTCTTGCGACGATGAACTCCATTCAGCAACGGTAAACATTCAGAAGCGTTAAACCCTCGACTTATCCCATTGTTCAGATTGAGCTCGAGCGAGAAATACTGTATCGTCATATTTCCAGAAGGAACGCGAGCACCAACAAAAGAACTCTTGCCCTTCAAAGTTGGGGCGTTTCAGACAGCACTGCGGGCGCGTGTGCCTATTGTGCCCATTGTGATCGCTAATCACGAAGATTATGCTGGGCGCGACGTTCTCCCCATTCAAATCCTCGGTGAGTCTATGCAAATTAGATCGCCGCCAAGAGTAAAAATAAATATTCAGATCCAATTTACCCCAAACATGTAAATTCGGAAGAGATTGGCGCAGCTGCCAGAGAACTATCCCTCAAGACGCGCCAGAAAATGGGCATCTGCTACAAAAACCTATCTGACAATTTAGCTACTGCAAAGAGCTGATCACCAGCTCGCCCAGATCACCACGAGAACACTATTTATATAAAGGAAATAAACATTTTTTGATGGAAAGAGCTGTTTTTAGTGGAAACAAAACTTGATGGTTAATTCAGCTTGGCCTGTTCTAGTGATGTTCCCGCTCCCGAGTCGTTGTTTTTAGCCAACATATTTGTGTACCAATCATAAATTACAAGGAACGTCTCTCGAAGTTGACCTAATCGTTTGAAGGCGAAAGGAATGATTTTATTGCGGAAACGCGCGGGTGATTTATGAATTTATATCGTTCAACTTGAATCGAGCCCAGATCAAAATGAGGAAGCCACGATCTGCTCATAAATCCGTTTTTGATCTCGCGAGACTACAAAATCCCCGAATCCAAAACGTCCTCGATTGATCAAAAGATTTTTTGAAGCAACTGAGCGTGACGCCTTTACACGATTCGGCTTGATATTACAGAAGGGGCAATTTCTCGCTTCTGAACTTGATCGGGATAAGCTCATCTCAGAGGTCACCCCTGAATGGAGGTTTTGTTGGTGAGTTCAAGATGAATAAGCTAGTTTTGCGATTCTCCCAGCCCTTTAATTTCGCCAGAGCGGATAACTATTTTATATTTGATATCAAATTCGCGAAATCGTCAATACCAAATGCCATGAAAGGGCTGCCAGCTGCGTTCGCAAGAACTTGCAAAATAACTCGATTTCGGGTTTTTCTTGGCGGAGCAAACAATGAACTGTCGGCGGACAGCAAATATAGCCACTCATCCGCAAATTTTTCCAGTTTGGGGCGTGTTTAGGGAGAATTTCGCGGGAGTTTTCTTTCAAAAACCCGCTCGACTGTGGCGGGAGAGTGCGGCGGCGCCGAATCCAACTGAGATTTTCTCCTCGACAGTTGGTTAGTAATTGACCGCGCTTGGGTTAATTGTTTCCTCTATTATCCCCCATTTCATATGTGAAAGCGAGAGAATCCCTTAGAACACGCCGAAGAAACAAAAAGCGGAACTGTAAGAAAATTTGCTAAGAAAAGAGAACTCAAGGAATAATTTATCTCGCATGAATCGGACGCTCAATATCGGTTAAAACTTCAATCCAAGGTTTGCATCTGTTTGAAATACTCTTTGATATATAAAAAGGCTGTATTGACAAACGTAAGAGCCCACTTTCGCGCGTTTGTATCTTTATTATATCAAGACAAACAAATCCTCTCTAAATAGGTCGTTGTGGCGGCTATTTATCGTATGAGGAATGATAAGCATGTGTGACCGTCGATGGGTGCCCCAAAAAGCGTTGACCACTTTTTGTATGTGACCCACTCGGCATCACTCTCCCACCGAGAATAAAATTTCATACCCTCCTGTCAAGTAGGCTTTTCTGATCAAAGTGGGCGTCAGATGTGCGCCCCTTATCCAGAGACAAAGAAATTTCACCCGAAAATTAGCTTTCGCTTTTTTCTCAAAGATATTTTTCGACTTTTCGGCGAAGGATAATATAGTTAGAGAGTTTTACTGTTTATGAATAGTTTATTACGGATATCTGGTAACGAAAAAAGCGGAAAACATGCGGCAGAATCGATCTAACCATTGAAACCGGAAAATCGATTTGAAGTTAGCAGACTGAGAGCGACTTGAGAGATATCAATCGATCCTTCTTCCCATTCACGACCAAAAGTGTGAACTAGAGTGATTAAGAATTTATTGTGAATCTATTCGGACTCACGACTTGAACACGCTTGGGGGCAGCGCCCATTTTTTTCTTGAAGGCGGAGAGAAAAAAATACTCATTGCATTTTTAATTCAGATATGAGTTGACAAAGAAAGGAAGAGACAGAAAAGAAGCCTTCTGAGAATGCGAGCATCGGCGATATTTTCCCCTTTAGTAGCTGCCTTCAATCTTCAACAATCAAATGTTATTAATGGCGGAGTTCTTTTGGGCAATAAAGGTAAGAGCTGACGAGAATTACACCTTGAGCAAGGTATTTAGGCTATTTTGGTGCTTCCCTCGAATTGCACCAGTCTCAATCCGAGTGGACCCTTTTAATTGGAGCGCCAACTGACAGCTCGGAAGGATCCCTGTACAAATGCCCCCTCAACGCGTCCGGACTCAAGCCCGATTGCCAGAAGGTAGACGTCTCGTCATGCGTTGAAAGCCGAAACCGTCAAATTGCTAGACAGGGCCAAAATGTCGATTACTACTGGAGCTTCAACGAGACTGGGAAAATGTTTGGCTACACGATCGCCAGTGCTGGGCCGGACGGCGACGTAGCTGTCTGCTCTCCGAGGCTTTGGCTCTCGAAAAATAACAAAAAGATCAACACCCAAGTTGGCGAATGCATGATACTCGACAGCTCGCTCAGGATCAAGGACGATCCAGAATGTTCTTTCAACCCTTGTCTCGATAAAACCACGCTGTCGAGTACATCCGACCCGTCATTGAAGAATTATCTTTTCTGTAACGCCGGTTTCTCGGCGGAATGGTCGCCCACCACTATCGGAGATGACGCTTTGACAGCACTTTATATGGGCTTGCCAAATATGCTTCAATATGCAGGAAATATTGTGTCTGCACTGCCTACTAACACTTTGGACAACGTCTTTATGGATAAATTTATGACCTTCGACGTTGACTTGCCGAATCCATACACATGGATCTACGAGCCGCTGATCGAAGAAGACTTCATCAATAAGCCGGACAAGGGGCTATTTTCTAACTCGTACTTGGGCACCTCTTTGAAAGCAGCGAATTTAACATCGAACTCTCCTGGCATCACTCTAATTTCCGGCGGAGATCATCTCAATGAAGTCAACCTCTACACTATTGACAGTGATGGAAAGAAATTCAACTTGCAGTCTACAATTCGACCGCCGGGGAAATCAAGGGACGGTGTTCGTGGAATAGCTGATATCTCCGGCTTTGGACGAGTTGTCGAAACGATTGATTTGGACGGTGATGGCGAACTCGATATCGTCGTCGGCGCTCCACTCCATGTTTATATAAATCAGACTGATAAGCTTAGGAACGGCCTAAAATTTTCATTTAATAACAAATTTGTCTATCTATAAATAGCATAAGCGCTAAAGATCCAAAAGAATTGTATCTCAGCCGAAATAAAGAAGTACTGAAGGCCTGGTCCTGATTTACCTCAGCCGTGACAATCCAAGCTGGAGCTCTAAAAATGACCTAGAAGGTGGCAAATATATAAAACTAGAGGGTCCGTACGCATCTCGTTTTGGTCAGAGCATCAGAAATGTCGGTGACATCAATCACGATGGGATCGATGACTTAGCGATCGCTGCCCCTGGTGAAAACAAAGTTTACATCTATCATGGAAACAGAACTTTTACCGAGGAAAATAAACATGTTCAAGTGCTGGAAACTGAAAACAGCGAGGAAGTAATTGGCTTTGGGTACTCAATCACTGCCGCGGACTTCGATGACAACGGGTACTCAGACGTGATCGTTGGATCTCTGAGCGAGAGCGTTTTCCTTTTCAAATCAAGGCCGATCATTGATGTTCAATCCAAGCTAAAGCCAAATAAGAAATCATTAAAGTTGGACGAAAATGAACGCAGTATCACGCTCGATTTCTGTTTTTCCTTCAACGAACGCTCAAACTCTATGAAAAAGAATATAATTGTGAGTCAATTTAGCTTTTAATAGAGTCTAATTGATTTTTCAGATCAACTACAACATTACTCTCGACGGTCTAAGAAGAGGACGCCCTCGTGTTTCCTTTGACAAAGACGATGCGCAAACTGTATTCTCTGATGACATCTCGCTCGAGCTTGGGAAAGAAGAGTGCGTAGAAGATGTCAAGTTTTATCTGCGAAAACAAGGGTTAGATGCTTTCAAGGATTCCCTTCCTTGATGGTTGTATAAATGTCTTGAATCTTACGCATTTTGTTAGGCAATACGATGACAAACTGTCACCTATCGACGTTCGTCTGACGTGGGATTTGGCAGGAAAGGGCCGTTCCCGACGTGCAGAATCATCGGACTTGATTCCGATTCTCGATTCTCTCGACAGCTCCTCCCAAAATATTCAAATCCAAGTGGAGAACAACTGCGGTCCCGACTTGATCTGCAAGTCGAACTTACAGACTTTCGGAGAGTTCCAGATGGGAGTTAAAGACATGAATGGGACGTTTATGTGGAGTTCTACTAATCCAACGAATAATGTAAGTATCCAAAGAAATTATCCAGGAACATCTGAAATTTCAGAAAAAGCAGAACCGAAAGCAGAAACGCAGTTTAACTACATTCACGCTTGGCAGAGAGGAACTGATCGGCTTCCTGGTTACAAGTCGTAACAATAAAGACGACGCCCACGAGGCGAGCTTCACAGTTCGTTACCCTAAACATGTTCTTTATCACGGTTACGACAAGATCGACCCGGACAGTACCAATGTAAAGTGCTTCAAAGAAGAGAACGACAGTGAACTGAGCAATAGGTAGCTTACCTTCTGGTATACCTCGTATTAAAGTGTTTTGAGGGATCTGTACACTTCCCTGCGTTGCGTCCTGGGTAATCCGTTCAAGCACAACGACAAGGCACAAGTTCGCCTTCGATTTCAAAAACAGGCAACGATCGTCTCGCAAGACGAGATATCCTTTCACCTTTCGAAGAACACTACCTCACACCAGAAAGACGACGGCGAAACAGATTACATAATGCGCATCAAGCTCGATCCAATGCTGAAAATCGAAACTAGCACAGTCGATTCTGGTCAATTCTCTTATCGCCTAATCCCCAAGGATCAACAGGTAACCGTAAATATGAGCGAGTCGCTTTTAATTCCCGCTTTAAGCTTAATATCGACGAGATAAAAGAAACAGAAGAGAACTTACCAAACAAAGCGTTGCTTATTGGCCCGAAGGTTTGTTATCACGAGTGAGTTCATCGAAATCAGACGATTAATCGTTCAGGTTGAGCATCGATACAGTATCTACACGGAATCAAGCTTGACCATTCCAAGAGTGGCCTTGGAGTTTCACTGGCCAATGGAGGAGTTCAACTCGGGCGGTTTCTTACTGTATCTCTGGGACATCAAAATTGACAAAAACGGAAACGACATCGAATGCGAGAACCTCGACAGTAAAGATCCGCAAAATATACGTAATGGAATCCGAAGACGACGTGAAAATCGAGAATTCGAGTCCGCCAACCCAAAGAAGAGAGGGACCCAGTGGATGGGTCTCAACGACTTCGAGAAATACTCGTGCAAAAATTCGAAAATGAAGTGCGAAACGATAAAATGTGTGGTAAGTCGTTAAATCACTTTTAGTAGAGCTGGAATCTAAAACCGTCTTAAGATTTCGGACTTACGTCGCGGTGAAAACATCGTTTTTGATTTCGTTGCGTACGCATACCGGCCAACATTCTCCGAATTCCTTAATCGCATTACTCCTATTGACAAAGTTCTGATAGAAAGTGATGTGACCGTAGATTTTTCAAGCGAAGAGAACGAAAAAGAAGCAACTTTCTTCAAGGCAGACAATGTTGTCGCTACCAACAGTGACATGACAGCTACAGTCAGGGTCACAGGTAACTCGGAAAAGGCCTCACCGTCAATTTTCACAGTCCCCCTGTGGGTCATCGTCGTAGCAGCTGCCGGTGGCGTTCTCATTTTGTTAAGGGCTGAGAAGGACTAGAAAAATAGATGATTTATTTGAAGCTATTTAAATAAGAGACTAGGCATGCTAAAATGCGTCTCAACCCTGCGAAAGATTATTATCACAGTGATACTTTGGAAACTGGGCTGCTTCCAACGAGGCGAATACAAGTACCAACCTGAGATGCATCGAGCAGAGCGCAAAGTACAGCGAGTATGTCTCATTTCTGTTGAAAAGCTCGACGATTCGAGCAGTCCATCTACTCTCACTACCACAGTCTCATACTAACTTCTTTTTAGTCAAAAGAAGTTGCTGAAAACGATATTTATTCCTACGATCGCAATGTGATGCTCTTATCAGACCAGGATTAACGCCATCGCCATTCTTACTTATTCTTACCAGACTCATGCACATTTGTAAATATTGTAAAATACGAATATCGCTCAAGGAATCCTCTCTTGCCGACAAATACTTGACACTCGTATAACTGCGACAGATATACGGCACTATAGTTCCAAAATAGTTCTGTAATCACTGCACTACATTATGCCTACACTGTACTTTCTCTCGACTCTCCCCCACTTTGTTTATTTAATTTCAACGGACACGCTCCTGTTTCTCGTCTCTAAAAGAGACTCTAGTGCGATAATTTGAACTCAATAAAAAAACGATCTTTATTCTTATTTATTTTGACAAACGTTCTCAAATGCATGTACCAAAGGGCCTCTGTACTCCCGAATTCAAACAAACTCGTTTGCTTTTTTCACTACTGATTCATTTCAAATCGTTAGCACATTCCCAATAACCTCAGCATTCAATCCTTCAACCTTTTTCCCCGACTTCGAATGAAACAAAAACAATCCATTAATTACGCTCGTTCGTGCCTATTTTCCACTGAAACATGAAATAAAAATACGAAAACTCTTGTTGATACTCTTTTTGATACAATTAAAAATACAGGATGTCTATTTAGTCTCTATTAGTCTGAATTTTCGTTGATCAGTTAACACATTGATAACGTCAGAGCGTGCTAAGCACTAAATATAGTTTTCGCGAATCTTAAAAAAGTGCCACACAGTTCGAGGCGTACTTTCGATTGGCTTTGATGAGAATTTTTAAGAGAGTTTCTCGGTTGATGAAACAAAGCATAGTAGAAAAACTTACAAGATTACTATGCTGCGCCACGAATTTACCTGAAAGCAAGGAGAGAACAATCGAAGATCAGCCCACAGATAGTATGATAAGCTAGATATACATTGCCATTAAAAATGTACCTAGGACAATACGACTATAATCCACAGCCAGAGCCAGAGATTGAATGGAATCAAGTAAGTTCATAGTATTTCTTCGGCAAAACAAATATCTTAACAAGTTGGAACGTGGAAAAAAGTATTTTGGGTTCAGTTGATCGAATTTCCTCCGTCCACGATTTTTTTATTGAACTTAGTTGATTAGTTAAACGTAACGCAAGCAGAGTCAAATCGAAATTCGTAGGGAAGGGTGAAAGGTGCAATTTTCAAAACATCATCGCTAAGATATTGCTTCAGATTCGACCCTTCACCAATCATAGTTGTCCGTCTCCAACCACCGACATCGACAACGCCAACATTTATGGTAATGATATGAACAAAATATATTGTAGATTCAGTTCAACGTTAATTATTTACATAAAAAGTTGTTAAAAGTTGTACTGCAGGGCGAATTTCAAATTCGAATGAGACACTCGAGTCCGATGGTGTTTTCTCACCCGTTGACGATCTCTATCAGAACGATCCGATGAGCGAAGAACTGCGAGAACGAAGTCGCCAAGAGTACCTTCTGAAAAATCGCTCCAAAAAGAAGCTCACCCGTGAGGTCAAATTTCAGTGGTCTCAATCTTTGTTTGAATGAGATTCTTTTTAGAAATCAAGCTCCATGACAAATCTATCCGCTCCGAGCAAGAAAACAAATAAATATCCTCCCACATCGAACTTGTTATTGATAAAGTCAAAATCAGAGTTCGACATTCTTGAGCGAGAGGAGCAAATCGAAATCGACGACATCAAAGCCTGGTGCAACTCGCGCAGCTCCCAGCGAACCACGGAGCGATCTGTAAATTCTGAACACAACATGGTAAGCAGCGTGGTTTTTTGCCTTTTCGTAATGTTCAGCCACAAACGCCCAATCGACCGCGTTACTCCGCTGAGCATCATCAGCAACACATCAGCTTGTATAAACAACCGATGCGAACTGTTCCTAGTCCAAGAATCGAATCAAACACAAACAACGTGGACTACGTCGCCGTCAATTGGGAGAAAACTGATCAGCTCAGAACTGGCTGACCATTACGAATTTATTTTAGTTCGAAAAAGTGCTTTAGAAAATATTTCTTTGCCTTAAATGAGACCTTTGTTACTATATTCCGCAAACGATTCTAATCCTATCCCTTCAACTGATTTACTGCTGATTCTACTTTGATAGAAATAACTTGCCGAATCGGTGTACATCTGGACTATCCTTCTATTCGAATCTTATATTGAAATCTTCCTTTTTCATTGTGCCTTAAACCCTTTTTCTATTTTCTGTAGTATTTATTCATCTCTTTCCTGTTCCAGGCGCCCGATAGGGCGTCAACTTTGACTTAACATTATTTAAATTCAATTCGTCCGAAATAAATTTTCAATTATTTAAGAAATGACGTCGAAAAATAGAAATGTCCCAAAGCGTGAATATTTCAACGATCTCGACAAAGAGAGTGAATCTTCCCCGATCTCTCTCGAAGAGATCGAGGCCTATTGCAATTCTCGTAGAACAGTCGGCGAAGAAAGAAACTCACTAGAAATAAATCCATTCGACAGGTCTGAGAGAGCAAAAGCGGAGAGAGTTTTTCATTTCAATATTTCAGTCGTGGTAATTCGCCTTTCGACCAGAGTGAATATACGTGGTCGCGTCCCAAGCAACCACAGCAATCAGGCAAGCCGCAGCCAGCTGTCCGGGCTGGCACCCCAAGGGTAAGCTCTTGAGAATTTCATACTCGCTAACGTGACGAATTCTCAGATGATACCAAATATTCTATCTACTGTCAGTCCAGCCCAGTCTTCGTAATTTTTTTCTAAGAATTTCTTTCAGTACGTCAACTTCGTCAAAGCAACAAAAACAGGCGTCGTGAAGGAGCCGACTTACGAAGCTACAGTAAGTGAAGCCCCTGCCTGCAAAGTTTTAAATATTTTCAGTCTTCGAGTGCTTTTACGAGTTCTTACCAACCAAGTTACTGCCAGAAACTCAAGTGCATGTACATAAGAGTCAACGGCGCGCTCACGCAACGCTTCAATCCAACTGATCAAAAGTGATAAGCCGATTCCCAGCAAATCCATTCTTCAAATAAAATTCGCTCAGAAAAGACCTACGCATGTTTTCTTGCCCTGTTCCTCAATCTTCAACTTCTCAAATCAGCTAAAACAGTACCAAAAAGCCTTTCAATTACCTTCCCGAAAATTCAATACAGTGACCTGAATCAAAACATATCAAAGATTTTGTTTGTTTTTAGAAAAATGTTCCGTCAGATCGGCCGTCACCTCGCCCGACGGGCTGCCTCTGGTAAGGTTCACAAATCAAAACCTATCGTTGACGCTGGTTATATTCAGCGAAAGTCACTCAGCCGGCACCTGCCTTCTCCGGTCAGGCCGTCGTCAATGGCGCGTTCCAAGAAATTAGCCTTGAGCAGTACACTTCCGAGGTACTCTGATATTCTAGTTGCATTTTCTATCTTTTTTTAGGGCAAGTGGGTTCTATTCTTCTTCTACCCTTTGGATTTCACCTTTGTCTGTCCAACCGAATTGATCGCTTTCTCCGACATGGTCTCCGAGTTTGCCGCCAACAACTGCCAAGTGATTGCTTGCTCCGTTGACTCGCATTTCTCTCATCTTGCCTGGAACAATATGCCCCGTAATCAGGGTGGCCTTGGAGGCGTTGAGTACCCCATTCTCGCCGACTTTTCGAAGCAGATCGCTGAAGATTACGGTGTCCTTATCGGTAAGTTATGCTCTCGTCCAAAATTGCGTGAATCAAATGACCTTTTCGCAATGAAGAGGCCTTTCGTCCAACTTGCCTCACCTCTCGAGAAGGTCACTGAATCTAGGCAATCAACTTTTCCTTTCTTTTTCTGAACAGTCTACGCTAGAAATATTCTTATTTTCACTGCGGCGCTTATTCAGAAACACGTAGCAATTTCTAATTCAACAATTTGAATGAGTAAATTAACCCTCGTTAGTCAAAATTGGAGAAGTTTTCGATTTCGGTTCAATGTTTTTTCAGACGCTGCCGGTGGAATCGCCACTCGAGGTCTCTTCTTGATTGACCCCAACGGTATCCTCCGACACTCTACTGTCAATGACCTCCCTGTTGGCCGATCTCCCGAAGAGGCCCTCCGAGTACTCCAGGCTTTCCAATTCGTCGAAGAGCACGGTGAAGTTTGCCCTGCTAACTGGAAACCTGGCAAGAAGACTATCAACCCTGCCAAGGCCCAAGATTACTTCAGCACTGTCGAGTAAATCCTTGTTCTGCGCTTTAGCTAAATTATTTCTGGCAACGGTTCAAATAAATGCCTGACAAAAAAAAAACATCGTTCGTATCTCAGCTGGATAGTTTCATTTTACCAGCTGCAGAAAGTCTTTATCTACATTTTCAATGGATGCTTGCTATTGAGCGTATGCATAAAACATCGGAACAAAGCAGACAATTTTAATCAAAGAGTTATTTATTTAAAAATAATGGTACTAAGAGTACTCGATACTCGATTGACCAATTTACACCGGAATTGTACATTATATCTTTCACTAGAAGACAGAATTTTACACGATCATACGGATACGAAAATATAAAGTTTCGCCAAAACGTCACACTAACGAGCGCTGTATATTCCAATAGAAAAAGGGTGATTATTAACAGTTGAAATATATTCGCGTCTCGAGAGGTCTTTAATGGTGATAGGGGAGATTTACATTTGGATGTCAAAGGGGACGTAGTAGGGTCTTGCGCGAGCGCGTCCATGTGATGACGATGATTTTTGCGTTTCAAGGCGGGTTGTAGCGCGTTTGAGCTTCTCCTGAGTGTCGACTAGCTCGGTCTCAAGCTCGACGACGCGCTGAAGCAGTTTTTCATGAGGCAGCGTTCGCGAAGTTTCCTCCAACTGCTCCAGCCACAGATTTAGAAACTCAGAGCGATCACACACTTCCGCGTCGATCAGGTTGTTGTCCATCAGATCTGCATTGTCGAGTCTAGGTGCTTTGCAACTTTGGCGACTCTGACCACTTGCTAGTGAGCCATCTGAGGAGTGCGAGAAAGCGTCACTCTCTCGTTGTCGTCGACGTGATCGTTTATCCTTAAAATACGGTAAGATTCTTATTCAATATTATGAACCCATAATCGCACTTTATAGAGTATTTTATGCCCAAAATAAGCAAGAACGTTATGAAAAAGTAACTTGGATTCGCGTTTTTAGATCATCTGTTTGCACTATAAATATCTGATTCATCCCTGTTTGTGGATAGAAAAGAGCAAGTTACTGAGTCCTTGAGTGCCTCCGAGAAGGCGCCCCGTTTGATTTAGTATCGGCTAAATATTTTAATTATTGTGGCTACTAGGTTTAAATGGCTCCATTCAGAAGGTTTACGCTATCTTAACATCATAGTTACGTGGTTGTTTATGCTCTAGGTCAATTTTTATTTTTTGGAAAAAATGTAAGTAAAAATTCCGAAGCAGGTAAACTGAGGAAAAGTGTGGCGCTTCTTTCACAGTATAACATTATTGTCGCACCGTGAACGAGTGATAAAAGCTTTGGAACTCAGACGAGCTGACAAGTGAAAGCCTCAAATTCTTTTCGAAAATCAACTCGCTCTCTGTCTTGCGGTGAAGGGAAATTTAATCGGCGGTGGTGCGCCGAACGACAGGTGACATTAGCCCTGATTGAAACTAATGGTTGAAGGAAGCGTTCGCAAGCCAGGCTTAATCAATTCGAGGTTCGCGTTCTCTACCTCATGAAGCCATTTGGCCTGCGTCGCTTTCTTTAATCACTCCGAGGTCGTGGAGCACCCGCCCCGATCACCCAGAATTACAATTTCGAAATATTATTTCGAAATTATCATCGAAAATTTCTTGATCGTTCTCTCGCTTTACTTGACATATCAAACCTTAGATTTCATAATTTCTTGTCTTCGTTATTATTTTTCTCAGAGAAAAAAATCAAATCTGCCGTTGATACGGTGTGAAACGGTTGCTAGGATTTGTGAAAAAAGCGTCTCCTCGCAGTGTATCTAGGATTGCTCGCGACCGCCATTCGTGAGCACTCTGAGATGCTCGTTGGCGCCTCCGCCGGCTCAAATATGCGACCGCGGTCCGGTTGAGCAACGCGAGCCCACTTTTGCTTATGAGCGGCTGGAGAGCCTCCAGAGGTGTGGTTTGTCAGAAGATTGTCCGACCGAATCCAACAAAATTGGAAAATCGATTTCTCGGAAATTCGTACAAATTATTTTAATTTATACCTTCCAATCTTAACGCAGTTAGTTTCGATGGAGAAGTACTTCTAAAATGACCATTTTATTCATTTTTAAAGCAGTAATTTTTTAGAGATTAGAACTTGAAACTGCGAATAGTCCCTACAAATTATAAGGAGCATTTTTTGCCGTTCCGAATCTACTCTTGACTTGTTCCTTATCGACTATCAAGCTTTGTAAATACCAGAATGAGAGTTCAATTCTGGCAAGCTCTGTTTGTACCGAGAGTGCTTACAAGTGCGTTAGAACGTTAGAACAGCTAGTGCTACAACTACGAACAATGCGGCACTGTTTTCTCACTCAACATTTGGCTGGATTATTCTTGATAAGCAGAGAAAACATGATATTACCAATTAAAGTTTGTTGATTTTTTCAAGCTCTCAATAAAAGCGTTTGAATGACCTTTATGAGGCTTTAAATTTTAGAAGAGCACCTTATTCATTGCGTATAAAGGATGGGCCTAGATCCTTCGTGCCTAGTTTCTACAATAAAGCGGCTTTCTTTAGGCTTCAACACTTTGTCTGTTTTGGCAACCGAATGTCTTAAATATGCGCCTAGCAGCATCGAGGATTAATATGCTGATTTTCAAAACACGCTGCTTCGCCTTTCTAAACATTTCTTCATCACGCATTCTATTCCCTCTTTTCTTGTTTACGGATCGCTCTTGTTCCTGTTCCTCACTTAGTTTATCCACACGTGACTTTGTTTCGTAGAGTGAAATAGCGGGTGACCATGGACGATGGTAATTCCGGATCACACCCTCTTACACTTGCTCGTTTAATTTTACGCTCAACCAATCTGTTCTACTTTTCAATCTTTTTTACCCTGAATCTTAGCGGCCCTTAGTGAAGGCTTAGCCTTAACCCGGTCGTGTTATCACATTGAATAAACAATTATACCTTTTTTATATTTTCTGCCTCGTGATCGTTGAAAGCCTTCCACGTAAAGAGGTCCTGGAATGGCCTCGATTAGAAAATATTTGTTCTAAACCTTCGCTGCCGCGGACTCAACGCTCCATGAACTGACTCAATATTTTTCATTTGGCAAAACACTGACGACCGTCATGCTTATCCCAACTTTGCCAAGCGGAATCTTAATTGGTTTTTATCGTTCGCAATTAAAGCTTACGAGGACAAAGACGGGGGACTTCAGTCTCAGTGAAGAAAAATGTCACTCTTTTCTACGATAGAAGAGAAGTTCTGTCTACACGTCGGCAAGGGTTCAAAAGAGTATTTTGATAAATAGTCGTCAGTTGAATTTTAAACCCGAATTCTTGATTCAACTCTACCTTCGTTTTCGCGTGAAGGGGAGACCTTTGTCTGGAAATTTGATAATTTTATTGATGCAGCCCTTGTGTCTGTTTTAGAGGTGAAAGCTCTGCTAATAATTATAGTGGTTATTTAAAATAGGTGAAAGCTGAAAACGCGGTGAACGCCAATGGCAGCGAGTCGCAAGTCATCGCCAACATCGTCAAAGTACAGCTGCGGAAATGAAAATATATTAACATGTTCAGGTCAGCGACTATAATCCGTCGGGCTATCTCTTTTGGCTTCCGCGAGATAAGCGCTTCGTTAAAATCTCGTCACTGCGACAGAAATGGATAGTCAGGAGAGGCGTTTGCTCCAAACCAGTAACCCTCGAACCCTCTCTTGAACGCTTTAATAGACTTGATAAGAACGAAAAACGACAGGGCTTTCGTGAATTACGAGTCAAAACAACTACTTCAAAAGACATTAGATTCATCTCCCTCGTGCTGGGCATCTACAGAGAGAGTATTTGAATTCACCCAAAATAGTAATAAACTTTAATGACGAATCAAGATTAATGGTTGTATTCTGAATGCCGTGAACGGAAGCTTAAAATGCAGAGAAGTTCTATTTCTTGATTAATTAGAAGGAAATAAGAAGAGAATTTCCGAGCTTTGATTCCGTTCAGAATAAGCATGTGTCGGTGACAGGCGGAGCAGATGGAGACGTAGAAGGCGATAGACGTAAGGCTGTCGTAGTTGTCGTGCTTATCACAAGTGCTCCTTGTTTAGAAGTCGCTCTTTCCTGGGAGAGATTTTGCCAGTGTGCCTGGTTGGGATGAGCACGCTCGTCATCTACTGGCCGCACAAGTTCCGCTGACGGGCTGATAAAAACGTACTGATGGTGAAATTAACCAGAGCCATCCATTCCCAGCTCTGTCACTATCGCTCATGCATTAGCATTCCGCGTTCGCAAATTGAATGAACTCCTGTCCAATTAAATCTTATCTTACTCCATTAGAATTATGTAGCTCAAAGTTTGCACTGATAAAATTTATCGAAATCTGCAAATTTCGGGCTCAAATTCGCTTGCCCTGGTTTCTATTTAAACAAAATGTAATTAAATGAAACACCTGCTCGATAAGATTTAGATACTTGTTTTAATAATTGGTCCATTTTCATCCATAAATTCTTGACAACAATACAAAAGAGAAGAGTTTAAATTCATTACCAAAACCGATCAATGTCGCAAATTTTCGATGTTAATAAAATCTAAGCTTTTCAAGATGTATTTTTGATTGACTCTCCGTATTATGTGCATTAGAATATGCCAAGCATGTTTCTCGGAATAACAAAACAGATACTTAACATTAGCGCTATTTATTTGGGCCAAAATATTGCTGGGGAGACGGGATTTATTTCCAAATCATTTGCCTCCAAAATTCGCTTGATATGGGAATCTCCGATTTGAAAAAGTGCTCACCGGGCAAACTAACGCCATTTTACAGGTAACCGTATAATGCGAAAAATGACGATTTTACACGTGGGCAAAAGTTCCTTCTGTTCTATTTTAACAATAAACAAGCATCATGTTTAGAAACAGCTCCGATAATTCCGTTAGCGAAAAGCAGAAGAAAAAGATACAAATTATTTGCCAGCACCTAAAACATAAAATACTGGAAGGCAAGCATCTGTCCTTGGATGCTGTTTACCTCAAAACACGATTTGTTGAGTTTCTCGTGCATATTTCTGGCAATGAGTTGTAGAACAATATTGAGTAGTTAGTAGTCCTGAGTATGTAAACAGAAACTTAGCAAAGGATATCTTCAGTGGGAATAGACGCTGTTCGCTCTCTACGTTGATAAAGCTTGATCCTGAGTTTCGAAATTTCTGATTTTTCGGCTTGAAGTTGAAGCGCAAGAAAAGCAATTTTCGGCAAGCTTGGTCGACGATGTTATTCCTAGAGCGATTGTGAAATTTGCCGCCGCTCCACCAGAAAGGAGCTTATCCAGAAGAACTGACTTCATCACCTCGCTAAGTTAGGGAAATAAAACAAGAAAATTGCAGCGTAAACAGCGTAATCAATGCTACATTGAAAAATGTCAGGATTGCCAAATTAAAGTCTACCTTGAAAAAAAAGAAGAATTAGATATTCAACTTGCAAGTTCGAGATCTCCGTGGCCAGAGAACGACTTAGTGTAGTAACGTAAGCACCAGTCGGTCCTATATGCTACTAGACTTGTGGACTGGATTCCAAACCACACCGTCATCACTAGTAACTGTAGGAGCTTTCGAAAACTGCAAAGGTTAACCAAAGCTAAAATTGAAAAGCTAAGTTGATGTGATTACGTAAAGCGGGCTCAAAAAACTCCTCGTAAGCGTGCATTAATGAGTCCCGTACCAGCCTAATCGTCTCGCTGTTAATTAGCGGTGAAATGGGGCTGGGGCAAGACCCAAGTTCGGTTATAGAGAATTTCTCTTGTTACTTTAAGTAACACGATCAGAGACAGGTGCAGCCCCGCGGTTCATACCACTTTTCGAGTGGTAACGCGAAAACTTCATAATCCAAGAAGACCAGCAGTGAATCCTTTCTGTCTCCCTGCCAATTCAACGCATAACCTTGCGCCGCTCACAGAAAGTATCACATGTGGTTCAACTGATTAGCTTTCTTTTTAAAACGACTGACCGCCAAAAAGTTATAATTTTGCGCAATAAATAATTCGAAAGCAAATTAACACGCGTTCTTACCATTTCCCAAAATAGAAAAGAATTGCCATTAATGGTGGTAAATACAAGGAGCGTAATAGAAGGCGATCAGTGAAGTCACGTTTTGGCCGTTTTTGAAAAACGGCAAGATTTATATTTTTGGTAGCGGCATTCGGAGAATATCGCTAGGAAGGTGCAATTGACGGGCGATTATCGGATGAACACATCGTTCTTGAAAATGCATATCTAAAGTTACGCTCGGCATTCTGCTTACAGCGATTGCATCACTTCTGTATAACCTTGGTAAATACCGTGCCGAACATGTTCTAAATAGTTGCGGAAGCGGGATGAACCTAAAACTGCGGCCAGTGACTCTGTGAACGAAGAGGAACTTCCGGCAGCGACCTTCTAAAGGCGATTCGGCAACGTAGCCGAGAAATTGGCCAGTTTCACGCAACTTCAAGCTCATATTTCCGAGTTCAAAGCTGCTTAAATTCTCCTGCTTTGAATCCAATTTGGCTGTTTCGTCGGATTCGGAATCATTTGCTCCTGTCTGAGAATCGCACACGTGCTTCTCTTTATCTTTGGCATTTGTAGTTGTGTAATTTGGTGATCTCACTCCGCATCGGCAGAAATATGAAGGTTTGATGTTTTTACTATAAGAACATAGATAAGGCGAGCTGATTAAAATTATGTCCACATCCACCGTCTCGTGTGCGCCCAATAATAGAGATAGAAATAGCACCCCAAAACGTGTTTCTGATTATCGGGCATGAATCTAGACTTTGAGGGCAGTGTCTCATTACGCAGATAAGACACAATGACCTACTTCCATTCATAAGCTCTCATTCAAGTTTTCTGCAAATCTCTGCGTCAGTCTGGCCTTCGCATCTCGCCATAAGCAGATAAGTTCTCGCGTCGTCGGCGGAGAAATCGTTGCGCCAAACTCGGAGCCATATGTAGTCTCCCTGCAACGAAGTGGAGCTCATTTTTGTGGCGCATCGCTAGCAGGATACTTGAATAAAGGTTTCTTCGCAGAGAAATTATAATAAATTATCTTGCTTTCAGCGATAACTGCGGGACACTGCCACAATGCATACGGTGTCACGGCCGTTGCTGGCGCGCACAAGATTGATGTCTACGAATCTCGAAGCCAGTCAAGAGCTGTCACGCAGTTCATAGTCCATCCAAACTACAATTCATACTTACTAGAAAATGACATCGCTATAATCAAGGTATTGCCGCACTTAACGCAACAAATTCAAGTTTGTAGCTGTCTTCACCGTTTGTAGAGACTGATTATGTAAAGCCACTGTATTTGCCGCGGCAGATGTCTCAAGATTGGGTGCCGCACGACTCGCCAGTACGCGTATGCGGCTGGGGAAACACAGGTTTTATTGAATCGGTCCCATTTTTGAACGCTTAGAATCCCAGTCTCTGGAGATGTCCCTTCGCAAATGGCAACTGAGCTGCACTGTATTGATATCAACGTAATTGCCTATTCCATATGCAACGACAGACAGCACTACAACGGAGAACTCTCACCAGGGATGATGTGTGCTGGAGTGGATGGAGTGGGAGGTTGATGCTCGATCCACAAGTCTTCTCATTTATGTTTGAATTTAGGAAAAGACGCATGCGGCGGCGATTCTGGTGGACCGGTCAAATACGGCGACATGGTTAGAATTAATCGACTAAAGAGTAATGCTAAAAATAAGGTTGTCGGAGTGACTTCGTGGAGTTATGGACATCCGCACCAAGGACAAGGAGCTTACTACCCGGGAGTATACACGGACGTTGCCTGGTACCGCAATTGGATTGACCTGCAATAAACGAGCTTTCCGTTTCGTTGAGTACAAAACGGCCGATTTCGTGAATAAAACGCTGCCTTAGCAAGGCTTTGCGCGGCGAGTTCCCGTGTTCAATTATTCTTTTTTCAAGAACTTCGAAAGTCTAAAAGTCGTGTTTTCTTTAGAACACGTGCTAATGGTCTCGATACTACATGAAAGACCCTTTAGCATATATTTTCGCAGGCAAGGTTTACCATCTCCGCGAACTAAATCACTACTTTCAGGGCGTCGCGAAACTAATCAGAAGACTCGCGGACAGTGGTGTCTAAGAGCTTTCGATTTCGCGGTTGTCTCAACGGTGTGAGGTGTGACACTTTCCCTGAATTTTAGCAGCGTAAAAAGGGCTATAATCATTTATCCACGCGTGTCAAAAAACCCTTCTAAATAAGAAAAAAATCTGAATTTCCTCAAATTCCTATGTTTGAGTGTTAAGCCTTCGCGGAATCGGATTCCTTTTACTTTATTCATGAACCTAACTTTGTGACTTTCACTCAAGCGGATGGTATTTGTAAAATCTTACGACGGTTTTCAGTATGAACCAGTAATTTTCTAAGTTTTATTTGAAAGGAGCATGTCAAATCAGACAGGACGGAAGGTTTCACCAGCAAGTCTAAAATCTTGACTCACACTCTCGAGGTCCTCCGACTCACTGTATAAGGCTCAAGAGCGCGATGTTTTTGCAAATTTACAGAGCAACTTGTTTAGAAAAGAAAACTCAGCATTCTCAATCCGAAGCCTTCTGTCAAAGGCAGTGCTTTAGGGTTGCATTAACGCGCTCGAAAGACGCTTATCATCAGGGTCACATTTGCAACCGCAATTGGCCTATTTAGTCTGGCTAGTCGTCACCTTCCTTGGGCATCGCGCATCGACTTAAAGGCGACTCCAAGAGAATATGTCTGCTCTATCTAATTTACAATTATTGTTAAACTATTAAAGACAAGGGAAGCCATAATTTATGCCTTTTGGACATCTGCAAAAACAAATACTTTTGAAATATGGTAATGGATACGTAATTTACGCAGCTGTAAGAGTTATTTATTCAAATCGCAAACACTTTCTGCTCGGTATAGATTTATGAGCTTGCTTTTGTACATTTTGGAAAAAAGAAAAGCGAAAATATTTTTGGGATGAAAGCACACGTGGCCAAGGAAATAGTCCTGAAAGGAATTGTTGGGTGAGCTCAACTATTACCGTCGGGATCTTTGCTTGAGTCGACACGTGTTCACCAGATTGCTTACAGACGCTTAGAGGATGAAATCAGCTTTACAAGATTTCGATCTGATTAGAAAGGCGTTTGTAGGTATCAGTGACAGATTTTAGTGTAACGTTCTTTTCAATCTGCGTTCTTTCGCAAGCGAGTTTCTTACTCGTTGAGCATATCAACGGTGGCCTACTGTATCGAAGGTCACGAGCGTTCGTAATCAGAATTCGCAATTACCGGTCGTTTGCTTCTAGAGTTACGGCGCTTTTTTCACGTCGCATGTCTTATAAACAGGATGCTTGACTTTTGCGATAAGACTTTTGTCCCTTTTGAACTTTGATGATCTCTGGGCTCAGAGCTACAGGGATGGATACGCGTGCTTGCTTGGCAGTTTCTAAACGCAGTGCAGCTCCGATTTCGTCTGTCGATTTTTTTACAAAGTGTGCAAACGTGGAATGTCCCTGCGAGTAATTCGGTAGTTGTCCACCAAGTGCTCATGAATTTCAATGCATCACCCACTGCGCCATACTCCACAAAGAGCGTCCTCCAGCACGGAATACTTAGAGCCCATTGCTGGAGATTCAGTCTAATCTTAGATAAGCCAAAAACAGCTATAAATGCATTCGCGAGCGCATCGAAAATCGCCAAGCTAATCGCCTGTCAAAGTTATCCCCAAGATCGAGATTGAACAGATTAATGACGTTGTAAGCGGTCTAATGAGCAATCCTAGGCCACGTTCGACATCGTTCGACATCGGCCACCGCTGGAACCCTGCCGCCAGCCACCCAACATACCAATCAGTAGCGGTTTTTCGCTAAAATTACTAAAACTTCAGAACGTGCGCACTTTGAAGTTTGCTCGCTGCCACTAATCTAGATCAATTTTACTGGAGACTTTCTATCGTCGATTGCCTGCCTCGACAAACTCCAGCATTGCTAACACATGTTCATAGCTGCAATAATGGCGAAACACCGCGCCATGAATGTCGCTGTTCTAAAAATCCTGTAATGAATTGTAACATAGCTGAAGAATGAACTTGAACGGGGTATTTTTACTCTATACGTGGAGGAAACCAAAAGTTCATATAAGTTGCAGACGGACCGCGTGTGTAAATACACGAAACAAAACAGATTTCCTGAATCTGGCTCTAAGCTCGCCTGCTTGTGGTCGTTGGTTTGGCTTTATTCCTAGCAGAAAGCGAGTACTAATCCGGCTTACTTGAATCTTTCCCGGCCGTAACCATTTGTTCCGTTTGAATTGATCTCGCTTCGTTACTTCTTCAAAACGAGATATCGGAAAGCTTAATTTGTGTGTGTATTAATGGACGATCCGATCCGTTACCAAAGCAAATAAAAATGTAGTTGGTAATGCCTTTTTCTAAGTGAATGATTAGTTATAACAAACCTAATAAAAAACCAGTTGTTCTAAAAAGATCTCTTTCGGACGAGCAGCTTTTCCACGGTAGCTCAACCCTTTTTGCTGGCCACATGAGCTGGACTGAAGATCAAAGTTATTTTTGCTTGCCTCAAAAAATGCTAATACCACCATCATACTTGTCATGGTGACCACGAAATTTCGCTTGCGATACTCGTTCAAATCAGAGAGACTAATCGCAAGCTTCATCAGAATTGCTACACACAATGAACTTTGTTAGGTCTTCAATTGCGTTCATTGCGTTCAATGTAGATTCAAGCCTTGACTGTAGACTAGAGAAAGTAGGTTTCATAAATCGAATGCACTCCCCAGATAGTTCCATTCCGTATCTGAGAGAGGTACTTCGATACTATCAATAAAATGCCCGATTTCGATGATTCACCGAAATCGGGCACCTTATCAGTGAAAATCTGTTTTTCACGAATTTAAACTGCATTTCAATAAATCCTCGCCGACTACTCCGACTAGATGATTTACTGAAAAATGCAGTACAAATTCGTGAAACTGAAGTTGTCGAGAGTCATCGTTTTGGAAAAGCAAGCCTGATTGGTTAAAAAACTCTGCCCAAGGGAAAGCCCAATAAAGAGAAAGAGAATTATAGAAAAAAAGCTCGATGATGGAAAGAATGGAAACACGGGAAAGATCGATTTCTTTATTTCAACGTAATCGATATAAGGAACGGGAACTCAAGGGGTTTTGATGGGGTTATGATACGGCCCAACTTGTAATTCCGTTAGAAGTAGATCATATGATTTTGTATCAAACGTTTTCATTTATTGAGATAAACTTCATCAGGATATTTTATCTCAATAAACGTAAAGGTTTGATACAAAATCATATTATCTGTGAACGAAGTCAACCAGAAGGATATATCATATATAATATATCTTATATATATCATATATGTTAGAAGTTTTTTCTTTATTTGTGATCAACTGTTACAGATAATATGTAACATAAAATATTAATTCTCGAGGTTTCTCGAGCTGATTTTAATTGCCTTTAAGTATGTTATGAAGTTTTAGGTAAGGCAATCAATGAAACGGTTCTGGGTTCTGAAGCTTAAGACTTTAAATGGCACACCTTTCACATATTTATATCAACATCGGTGTGGATTAATTCAGAACGGCCAAGGCGTAATTCCGTTACAATTTGTTGTGTAAATCGTCCGCTGACATAAAACCCATCAATCTCCAGAACTCTATATTGCAGTGCTCTAACACAACAAGCCGGTTACCTTCTAATCAATCAAGGTTGATATTTATTGTACCATTGTATCTTGTTCTTACTCGGAGGGTTCTTGTTATCAAAATTCCCGGCTGGAATATAACATCGTTTTAACATGCCATAATTTTCTACAAAACAATTAGTCTTATTGAAGGTATAATTAATTTGAGCATTTGAAGGTTCATTTATGAAAGGAACAAACTGCCATTTGGGCGGAGAAAATGAGATAACTCGCTACGGAATGAGTTCCCGGACTCAAGCCAAAATAAACCAGAAGTCAAAAGATTCATACAAGCTACGCTCCTTATCACTATGTTAACGAAAGTTTGTTCGACAACTTTTTGCTGCAGATGGAAAAAATCTGCAAGCTCGATTTCTGAAAAGTCTCAGGTACGCAACTTCAGACCGAAATCGGACCAGTTGTTGACAGTAAGTGTCAGTTCTGTCCAAAAATATCTTCCGTCCAATGTTTTTATTCGATAAGATACTCGGATTTTTGCATCAAGGTTTCTGGCATGAGACACTCAATTTTTATTGAAGAAAGTTTGGTTTTCCACAAGTTTTCCACAGTATTTTCTATAGCTAGCAAGAGGATATCACTTACATAGTTTCTAATCGCTGCCTTATATTTTAGTCCAGGGAAGTGTTTTTGACTAAGACGAGCCAATAGATCTTGTTTCATGGCACAATAATTAGCAATAAATATTCCACACGCGAATGAACTTCGCTGCTGAGAGTTGTTCTCCATTCTAGCACGCGGCTTTCCAGCAGCACCACGTAAAAAGCGCGCCAATCCAGTCGCTAAAGGTCACCTAAATAGTACCGAACTTGAGACAAGCGCAGTTCAACGTGCTCAGTGTATTTCAAATTGGGTTTTGAATAATCGAATCAAGCCTTTAACTCTCTCAGATCTCGTTATAAACGTTAATCAGCATAACTTTGTTATTGCGATATGCTGAAATTCTTGATAAAACTCAATTTGCCGCCGTTCAAAGTTCAACTCGGCTCGAGCCAATTTGTAGTATTATTAAAGCACTGTAGTGAGCCCCACGATCAGATTAACTCTTGGAATAGTCGCTATCTTTTCTAAAGAGTGTCGTTTCGGGGTTCTTTTGAATGGCCCAAATCCGACGTGCTATCTGCCTATGTTCGCTGATTAGTGGACTCTACCGAGTGAACTTTCAAATACGAGGAGTATCTAATCTTCTGCGCTTCCACTACTAACAGAACGTGCCGTTTCTTTTGACGCCACAACGTCAACTTCGACATCACATTTATTGAAATGTGAGCAAGCAAAGACGTGATTACTTTCTCGCTGAAAGACGCGATCTTTAGTAGATACTCAGTATTTTTCATTGTAACTTATATAGTAGCTGTCGATCACTTATTGACCACGATTTGACCTCTACTTTTGAACTTGATGATTTACTGCAACTAAACTTGTTTTATTGAGAGCTGAAAGGGTATCTGCAATTCCCAAATTTCTGTCTAGATCGACCACTGTAATTTATACACCGCGCGAGTGTTTATGCCAAGTGGGTAGATAAGTACAGGTTTATTTTTAAAGAAGGCTGAAACTTAAAATTTAAAGATAATTCAACCCTTTCAAGTAGTAGTTGCCTGGTCCAGCCTCGTGTTTACATTTGAGAGTTCGATTCGGTTTATTCTTTCCGAAACAGATGCTTTAATAACAGAGAATTCAAGAAGTGGATAACAGACTCTTTTAGAAGACCCGAATCTTTACAGTTACTTACGGGAGTAAGAATACATGTAAAAAGGGAGAGCCCGGTCGAAAATTCTCGTTGAGGAATGAACGAATACCCAAACTAAGTGACGTGTTCGACGGACAACGTGCTGCAGCGTGAGCTCAGCAAGCTGTTGCGCGTGAAGTTCGTTAACTGCACTCCGCTTCTACAAAGTTCGTCAGTTGCTGACTTAGGCTGGTCCTTTTAGCAAATATCTTTTCGAATATGCTGATGGAAGTGAACTTTTTCTGTTCCACCTTGCAACAAACCGCCCGAGAGCTAGAATATAGTAAACATCATTCCTGTAAAACGGTGTTAGAGATGTTCGCTGTGGTATGATCGGCGGCAAAACATTCGTGTTCAACGACGAATGGCAAGATTCGATCGAAATAAACTCCACACGTTACTATCAAAAAATGACATGGTTTCACTGACTCGAGTACAAGGCGCGTAAAGTTGCGAGAAACGAGTAACAGTCGAACATTTACGGACTAGCTCAGTTATCGCCGCATTGGAGATAACATTGAAGGAGCCAGCGGGATTCGCGAAAACGGACTCAGAAAAAGATTGATCCACGTTTACGCATTTCCATAACACATGTCCAGGTCACGGTCATTTTGGCGATAATGTTACGCGGTGGATCAGTTGAACCCTAGATATTAAAAAGAGTATTTCTGGGGACGCTTATCTAACAAGATGGTATAAAATTTCTCCTGTAGTGTAATTCAATGAGTGGTGATTGGGAGTGGACTGGACCTCGGATCAACTTGGATATCCGAAAATTGACGTCGGCCCTTACCACTCCAAGTTAATATTGTTTTCGAGATAATCACATCACATGAGCACACATTTCATTATCAATGACTTTCTTGAAATTAAGTTCTCATTTGATTAAAAAATTAAGTGCCATAGTTTTTGTAATTGTTATCGAAGTTGGTGTCTATAATTATGAACAAGGATTGTCCACAAAGTTATCCTAAATTTATGGAATACCGAAAAAGTGAAGGGCGTTTAGTGTTGACTCGGGCAACTCGAAATTCCTCACTTTCTTTAACTCTCGCCATTCCAGACGAGAGCGATTTATTAACAGCAGCTGGATTGAGCCTCTTGAGACTCTTGTGCCTCTTAACCCAAGCAGCAATGTCTTCTCGATGGCTAAGAGGCCAATCAAGTTTATCAATAAGTATCTCAAATATGAGCGACCTCTAATTCTGGAAATATCGCTATATCCCGAAGAGACTCTATTCCGAATAAAACTAGTCGTCAAAGCCATCTCCTTGCAAAGCAACAAGTTCATCGAAATCCAAAGAGCGCTGTGTCACGCTCGAACTCCTTGAACCCTCGGAGAGGGACATGACGCCCTTGAAGGTTCGGGAACGCCACTCGCAGTACTTTTCTAATCCCCTGACAGACGTATAGCCCATACTCGTGACAGCTCTGACAAGATCATTTCTGCTGACGTTTTTTCCGTGAGCGATGACCAAATCCGTTTAAAAATATTTCTATTCCGACGATCTAGCAGTCTATCTGCGGTAGACGCTCCGCAGTCTTTAGAAGTTATTCAAAGTATTAAATAGAATTGATGAAAATTCAGACAAATTATGTCTATGAGGAAGGAGTCCGCCAGAAATAGTATTCCCCAGTTTAACATAGTTTGATTTATAATTACACGAATTTATGAAAAGGTAATAATTTGTGTTCTCTGAGTTCGATTTAGATTTGTTTTGGTAGATCAATTTTATAGATCAGAAAATGACTTTTTTGAATGACTTACGAAAGCCACTAAAGCCCACCATGCTTTGGCCACCGCTAATTTGACTTTCCACATTTGACTTCCTTCCGCCTCCCGTCCAGACAGAAAGTGACAAGTTTATATCTCTTTAGAGAATAAGAAACAGCTAACTTCTACTCGCAACTGCCGTCATAATTATGAATTTTACATTTTCGCGATTGTCCTTGTCATAAAACAAATTTTGAGGGGGAAAACTTTGATCAGAATTCTGAGGGTTAAATGCGTTCTTAGAGGAGGACAAGCTTTGATTGACTCGATTATATATTACAGCTGGTCTTCATTGACGCACGTTAGTCAACTATCAATTAAAATGTTGATTGGAATGTTTTTGTTTGCCGAAAAGTATGTGGTTTAAGTCCAATGATCAAGTGTTTAACTATGATTTGGAACACGTCCCCCTCTGGTGGGCGCCCTCGAGAAACCTCTACGAGTTTCTTCGGTTTCGTCCAATTATCGCAGTCACTGCTGTTTATAAGGGACCCCATTCCCTCTCTTAGAGGCAAATCATCGGCTTTGAAAATTCCACACACACCAGCTTCCGATTGTAACCTTCACGCGCTTCTCCTAGCGATACAGAAAAATAAACCCAATGCGTGCCTCGAGCTCAATAATCCGTAAGTCACTGGCGGTTTTTATGATTTAAGGAATTTTGTGGTTTTGCGTTGCCACGAATTAATCGCCTTAACATGTCGCTAGATAAGCGACAAAAGTACCACAAGAGTTCAACTAAGCATATAGAACTGGATCCATTAATAGGCTTCGGTTCTACTAGTAGTGGTCATCTCATTTTGCCCAGATCTCCTTTTTTAGATAATGTATGTTCTTCCTATTTTTCCTAAGCGATGTAATCTAATACCTGCGGAAAATAAGAATGAAGCATATTTCGCGCATTCTTGAGGGTATTCCGTGGTCAGCGACCACAATTGCCTCACTTCTAAATCCATCAGGGCTAAAATTCTTGTTCCGAATTAAGTATTGATCTTCAAACTCATTCACGATAGCCTTAAAAAAGCTCGTTCGTCAGAATTTGGATCGGGAACGTTTTCTTGGCTCCGGTAGTTGGAATGCTACCAGGCTGACCTTTATGTGTTGGCTAAAGTGACTACTCCTGGCTTCGATAATCGATTCAAAAACACCATTCCAGCTCATTTGACTGGGTCTAGCCTAGATTTTGTTTACTTGAAAATGCCAAGCATTTTTTCTGGTGAGATGGGTTTCTTTCGAAGATTGCTTACAAATCTTGCAACTTTTGTCGCGGAATTAATAAAAACAAGTGATAGAAACTTTCTGAGAAATTAAAGTCTTCTCATTATCGAAGGAATGTGGCCTATCGCGGCCTCAAGTAATATGCTTGGCCTAATTGAACGCCATTAGTTTGATAAACTTATCATCATGATGTCGCTAATGAGTGATATCTGGCATGCTCTTTTCGTCTAACGTTAAGACGGCTCGTTTAGGTCTTTCCATTATCACTGGTCAATCGCAAGAATCAACGCAGATTCAGACAAAACAGTCATGATAGAGTCCACCTGACTAACATTGCGATTCTAGTACTCATTGGGCTGGCCGTTGGCAAGCTCTGCTGCTATCGAGGCGTGTGTCCGACTCCCAAGCGATGCAACGCTTGCTTAACTGCACTTTGGAATCCGCAAGGAAACGTTGCTAGATCGACGAAGCTGCTTTGCACAAAATTCTGGGGCGACAAATGTGATAAAACGTCAAAAACCTCGCCTTGCCACCACTTCTCCCCTCTCCGCGTCTTCGCCGCGAAGGAACAAGAAGAAGGCGGCTGGAGCCCATGGAACTGCTTTAAAAATGGAAATGATCGCTGCATTGCCGACAGCAACACCGATTGCACTTGTGAGGACCCAGTGCTCTCTTCGCGTCTAACAGCCGAAAAGTTCGATTCCCAGCTGAGCGGCCTCGCTCTCGAGTATCCTCAAAAGCAAATCGTATGCAACACCCTCAAACAACTCTCGGAGTATACCAGAGTCAAGTATCACTCCAGCTATGACGAATACTGTGATACAGCTGGTTGGTACGCCGTCAACAGTAACTTTAATTTCGCTCGTGGCTAGTCAGTGAGAGCATCTATTCTTGCGAAAATCATCATGTCCTCGTCCTGTAAAAATACCAGTTCTTCAGTGAATTCAATTCGTGGCTAATCACAATTTAGTCCTCAAACTTCTTTTAAGTAAATAATATTTTGTTCTAAGTTAGAAAGATACCCAGTTTCTGTTAATAAATTCTGCTTCGCTTTTATCCCATTTCCTGATACTTTGCAAATACACTCATACTTCGATGTTCCTTGTCTGATTCTGATTCTTTCAGAATGTCGACGGAGAGTTTATCATCTATTAGCACGCCAAGTCCGCCTGGCGCATATTTATTAGTAGCAGGTGAAAATGAATACTGTATTACAGTCGATAAGTAACCATCACAATTAAGGCATTACAAGGGATTGTACAGTAAAGCAATTGATTGAGTGCTTCCAGCAGGCAAGTGCGATAAGATTCAGCATAGGATGGTGTTTCAGTAGGAATGCATTTTTCTGCTATGAATTAAATTTCTGAGAACACCTTTTCAAGACCGTAATATGAACCCTGAGGATCTCGAAGCGACGCTAGGTAATGCAAGGGTTTGCTTTCTAATCCATAACAGAGCCGGATTAGACAAATATCTCGAATATGCCGAACTCGATATTTTTAATTTTCGATTAAGAATTCGACAATAAAGCAGCATTTGACTCCGTACATACTAAAATCATGGCGAAGAAAATGTGTCTCCATACAGGCTATATTCGCTCAGTTATTCAAAGGAATAAGTTCGGCAACGCAGTTTTTTTATTTTTCATCACCCAAAGATTCACGCGTAAAGTGTAAGCAAATGCTATGATGATTTTGTATGCTATTTCATTAAAATTTTCAATCAAGGGAACTTCAAAAAGAGGCGCTAATTCTTTTCCGGGAGTCCGTCATCACGAGCTAATGTCCTTTTTGAAAACCTTCAGACCAAAAGCAGCCCCAGAAAAGAAGGCCACAAGTAAGTTGGAGTCGACGGTTTCTAGCAGACAGAACTGCAGTTATTCTCCGAGAGAAACACTGACCGCAGAATGCATCAAGGACCAGGATGGTTGAGGAAAGTAAAGCTGAATTTCGAGCGAGGGATGACTGCATCTAGCTCGATTCCTCAAAGTTTCTGATTATGAAGCCGCAAAATTCTTTACTGGACAGTGTTTGGAATTTCCTAGATATTTTTTCAATTTAGAAATCTGACTTGAGCGGTCCAAGAAATCTCGCACTTGACCAATAACCTTTGATCAGCATCCTAGCTGGCTATGTCGGTTTTTTTAGGAGACAGCGACCCATCTGCACCGAGACAAGCTAATCTGTCAAAGACGCCTGCGCCATCTTCGAGCACGTTTTTACCTTGTAGTCCGATTTCTCAGCCGCCAGGTACTGTTCGTGATGTTTGTGTTTTACCGCTCCGTCCTTCTAAACCGTCTTCGCTCGGCTGTAACAGGTGGCCGTACACGATTTTAAGGTTCAGATTCAGGTGAATCAAAAGGAAACCAGCCTGCGCTGAAAAATATGCCAAAGCCAATGAGTTTGAATAATCCTCCCCGGCCAAGGCCATCGGGGACAAGAGGTAAATTTCTTGAGCAAGAATGTAAGGTGCTCGCGGATATTATATTCATCGTTTATTAGAAGTCGAGGAGTCTCGGCGATTCCGAGCACCACGTTGTTAAAATGTATTTTTGAACTTTACCTAAGCAGGTGGCGACTTCTCTCCTCAAGTGGCTGCTTATCCACCTCCGGCGTCACCACAAACGGTGAGCACAACCGATCCGAATCGCCAAATCCTGATCACGCAAGTACGTTCGGCACTGTAGATAACCGCTCCAAAGAGAGTGGCTACTGTTATCATCAAGTGTCTATTTGCTTATTTCAAATATCCGCAGTTCATCATCACTAGAACAGCCGCATTCTGTTAACCACGGAACGTGAGTCTATCTCCGAGGAATTTAACAGACCGGAAACAGCGACAAAAAAACTTTGGAATAGACTTCTTATTGTTTCGGAAATAAAAAAAAATTCTCGCCAAAATGCGTGACACATTTTTAAGAAAAATCACCTGCCAATTCTTCCAAATGGCAACTTCAAGTGGGACGATACAAGACGAGTCTGCAGATTTTGCAACATCCCGACTCCAAATATGAACCAATTCGGCAGTCACTCCATGGGAAAATGGTTTTTTCTAATGTTTTTGAAGTAACTACTATGTGACCGCACTCAAGCTGCATAACGTGTTTGGCTTCTTGCTTTGGCCCTTAGTTAGCTGGAGATCAGCTAGAATAGCTTATTAATGAAAAAACAATCAATAAGGAAAGAAACACCTCAAAAATGTGGAACACTTCAAGAACACCGGCCATCTGAGAAGTGAAATCCAGCAGTTAGTGGACGCTGGAAGTGCTTTATGGCAACTTCCACCGCCAGGTAGAGCATTTTTCATGCAAAAGTGAGTAAAGAAATCTTTAGGCTCCAAGGGAAGCAAGTTATGTGCCCAAAAAAAGACCGCGATGCAAAAGTCAATAGTTGATGAACTGCATGCACGCAAAATATACGAGTATTGTCCCACATGTAACTGCGAGTTTACGTCGCGAGGACAGGCAAGAGATCACTATCTTGGAAAGGACTCGGTTTTAATGATATAGTCGATCAAAGTAACTATTATAATGAAGCCGTAAAAGCCACACGATAAGCAATTCAGGAAAAAGACCCTAGGTAAGTTGACTAAGTCTATTCCGAGTACCGATAACTTTTTGATAGAGCGCCAAATCCCGAAGAAGCTTGTTTTCGCTTTGGAACATATCAACAGCGATCTCAACAAAACGTGGCAAAACGAAGTTCCTGTCCTTAGCGAGATGGTGATTCCAAACTTTTAAACACAGTTCTTTATCTTTTCAGCCACCTGATTGGGAAATCGACTACCGTAAATACAGTCAGGAACAGGTTTAACTTAATAAAAAAAAAACAATTAACAAAAGATTAAAAACTTTGACGAGACGATTCAAAAACGAAAAGGCGAAGGCTCCTCGCCGAAGTTTGCAAATAAATTCAACGAGGTAACTTTTAATTTGTGGCCAATTAAAAGCATGTTCCAGGCAGTTTTCTAACGGAAAACTTCATGTATTAGTACTTCCTAGGTATTGTTGTCTGCACAAATAGTGGAGCACACGTACTTTTATGTCTCAATTGTGATATAAATATTTTAGGCGACAATCATTAGATGTCAAAAAGGCTGTGTTTTAGAGGAGGCGTCTTGAGAGTTAGAATTCTTGAAATGCGCAAGTGAAGCTATTCCGCAGGCGGGGGATACTGTTATTCACTTCTCGTTGAGCACGCCTATACTTATGGAAAAACACTTGCAGGGACGTTCCGCTAAAAACGGGATCCGCTCAAAGTTTAGACCAGTGGCACAAATCAGATGGCCTTTTTAGAAAGGAGCTCATCTCACGCGGCAAAAGGTCTTCCCTATCAAGAGAGCCTTAACATTAGACGATTTCCTTTTTGATCTCCGACTTTCTAATTCAAGAACCTTATAAACTCATAATAAGTGCAACACTAGAATATACATAATTGGCGATGCGCAAAATAATCACATTTCAAAGCAAAAACGATATCATAATTTATCATGCTCACGTTGAAAAAGCCCTAACAGATAGTTTCAGATTACGAAAAGAAACAGCAGTTTGTACGAAGAAGCTTATAAGCAGCGTGACAAAAAGCAGTTCGCTACTCCAATCCAAGCCGACTCTGTAGTGGCCGCTGGAATGTTAAAACAGGTTCAAATTGAGTTGATCAGACGAGGCGTCTCGAAAACGGCATTGTCAATAAGACTGTAATAATGGGTAATAGACGCTCGCTAAATCAGCGCAATCTTGCAGCTGAAGCTGCTAAATTTCCACTCAGAGCTCACATTTCGAACGCGTGCTCATTGTCAGCGGTAGATTTGGCTTTTATAGCGAGTTTAATCTCGGCTTTCCGAATGAACCTGGAGTCCAACTGCATTTTAACCATATTCATTTTAGCGAGATTCCTACTCTATAATCGCTCCGAAACCAAACTGGCAAGCCCCCAAAACGTCAGGAAAGAGTTCCCATCAAACAGCTTTCAGCGGTTAAACCACGTTCTCTTGATGAAAGACCTTCTATCGCTTAAAAATTAATTAGCATAAATCTCTTCTCTGAATTTAGACATTGCGGAAGTGATTCCATGGATGCGCCACTTAGACGTCTATTTTCTTAAAATTCCGCAAATTTCACGCTTGTAGCAACAATTGGGCGAAAATTCCGAGCTCGCGGATCGATTCCCCAAAGTCATGTTCAAGTGGCTGGGTGTAAACTCTTAGTAGAAGACTCCTTGGAGACTGGCGAAGTTGTCTGTGACCTTGTAGAAGAACTCTCTGATGAGGAAGAAGTTATCGTTGGACTAGATGGTGAGTCGTCACTTATAATTCTTCTTTGGCAAAATTTAAATTTAATTTTCAAAATGAAAAACGAACTTTTGAATTGAGGAGCTCAAGCATGAGTGGTGATATTTTTGAGGCTTTCTGAAAGAAAAACAAGATTTTTATTAGAAACGCTTGATAAGCTGTACGAGCGAAACACGCGGCAGAAATGACAACTGCCCAAGCTGTTCAACGTTTTCTGAAAGCCCTCACTTGAGCTAAAGCAACGATTTCACCTCTCACATACGCTATCAAACCGATGCCTGCCACAATACAGTTACTCCAGTCCATAACCGATAGTGGAGTTCCTCTCTCTTGTCTCGAATCATTTCATTTAACCGTGAAGAATTCCTTTATCAAATTCTAACCTCAAATGACACCTAATTTCTTGACTTCTTAACGTGAGGAAATTATGTTTTCAAGCGGCCGTGTAAAATCAGAAAACCCACCAATTGCCTAAACGACCAACAATAGAAATTCAGATAAAACAGGTCATGCGCACCAAATGCCATTTCGATCCTAAAGGTGATGCCCTTTGAATCTGGGTAACATTGTAAACGCCTAGCATCACCTCTTACACCGCGTGTGAATATTTTGATAAGACACACTTAAACCTTCACGCTTTTCATTTTCAAAACTTCAAAATGCTGTAATCTTTGAACACTTAGTGGATTCTCTTCGTTGATTTCTTCCTGCGTGAATCGCGGTCGATAGAGTTAGAAAGACGATGCGCCACTCCCATGACTTTCGCCGAGTGTTGATGAAATAGACGTTCGAAATTTCCGACGTCTAATCAAATAATCATTACAGTAATTTGAGAGCATAAAATCCATTGTGACGTTCTCCAGTCAATTGGTGAAATAAAAGTCGACGAAGAGACTTAAATTGTCAGTTTAACTCGGTCTTATGATGACAGCGATCTATTTTTAAAATAGTATAATGACGAGATCTATGAATCTCTTTCCTGGCTAACTGTCTGAAAAACTCTTTTTAAAAATGTACTTTCTCAAAATAAATAGTTTAATTGCAGTTTGATCAAATAATAATGCAAAGAACGATGAGGAAAGCAAAATAAAAACAGGGGGATGCGGATGATTTCGTTGTTGATGTCGTGGATTTTAAAACTGTAGTAGACACAAATGTTTGCGCTGTAGTTGATTCTGAAGTTGATTCTGAGTTCGTTTCTGGCCTAGTAGTTGTTTCCAAGACTCTTGATGAGCTCGTACTTGACTCAACAACTGCATGAGTAGAATTTTTTTCTTGACGAGTTTTTTCTGTTGCAATTGGAGGAACAGATTGAGTTGTTGTTTTCACGTTACCTTGAACTGTGGTTGTTGGATCGCTCTCTAAGCATGTAAGTGAGATAGATCCGTCGTCTGCCGTCCATGTATCAGAGATTTCTCCAGTTTGATAGTCAAATGATCCGCTTTCACTCACATACTCATCTTCTTTAAGAATACATGTGCTATTCGCGTTTTGGAAAGAGTCATTTGTTCGTATCCTAGTCGTTGATGTCGATCTATTTTCAGTGTTGAAGAAAAGCCAGTAAGAACGGTCTAAGTATTCTGCTCTTTGGACAAAAGCACCGCTTTCTGTTTGATTGAAGATATCGCCGTTTTCTGAGACTTCATAAACTCCATTTAGCTCTTAAAAATTGTCAAATGAAGAGTAAAGTAATTTTCTTATTTACCAGGAAATCTAGAAGAAATCTTAAGTGTTCGGCAGCATTCTTCTTCAATATTTACCACAGAATCTATCCATTTCGAATATTGAGATACTTTTGCGTAGACACCGTATCCAGTTCCACAAGGCATAGGTCCAAAAGAAGTGACTCCAACGACGAATTCCTCGTTGTTGTCAGTCGAACAAATGAGTGGCCCTCCTGAATCGCCCGTGCAAGAGTCTGTTTTTCCAATTTCACCAGCGCAAACACGATTTTCATATTCGATGGTACCGTAAAAGCTCTCTATTTGAGAGTTATGTTCTTTGCAGGTTGTTTCATCTACGAGCGGTAAGTTTGCAAAATACAGGCTCCCGTCAATTACATGGGGCTCCTCTGATGTATGTCCGTAGCCAGCCACGTAGCAAGAGCTCTGTTTCAACAAGTCTCCAGTCTTCGGAAAAACAGGCGAAAGCGGGAAATCATTGCTCAACTCAGACAAATTTACGGACTCGACTTTTACAAGTGAAATATCATTATTAAGATCAGTCTCGTTGAAGTCGGGATGTGGAATGACTTTAATCGGGCGGTATTCATACGCCGACGTAAAATTCGTCGTCGGGCCAGCAAAAATCGTTGTTGATTGCAAAATGGGTTGACAGTGCGCCGCTGTAAGAATCCAATCCTCTTCAATGAAGACGCCAGAACAAATGCTATTGCTGAAACGAAGAAGAGCAAGATGATGAAATCTCCCTCTTTCTCCTGGTTCATCTTCGACTTTTTCTCCGCCGAAAATTCTAGTGTTTATAGAAAGTCCACAAGCAGGAGATATGAATAGTATACATAATAGATATTTCATTTCTCTGTCGAGTTGTCTCTTAACTGATACTTGAATAAAAAATAGGGACATTTAAATAGCTTTTCCGTTGTGATTGGGATAATTAGGTGCACTTTCACGTTCACGCATCGTAACTTCGGACAATTGAAATTTGTTATTTATCAAAGTAAATGTCCATGATTCAGCGAAACTCCCACGGATTCATGCTTCTGATCTTTTATTCTGAGGTTTTATTCTCGGCCTTGCCTAGTCACTGATGATTTTAAAATATTCTCATCTCTCATCCTTTTGCTCAGAGTAATCACCACTGGATGATTATTTTTAAGAAATCTTTAAATATTAACTGTTAGAGAGTCAAATTGTTATTTAACTTTCTCGTGTTCAAAAATGTTCAACGCAAAAAAAATTTTCGAGTTTATATTTTCACAAATACGCTAATACAAGGTACAAACAGGGTCGGAGCTGACTGAAACTAGAAAAACTTGAAGCTTATCGATTCCCTCTCAGCAATGCAGCAAACTTCATCTAAAAACAGTTTCATAAAGTTTTTGACGTTTTTGGTGCTTTTTGTGAATCTAAAATTTGCTACACCCCGCCGCTTCGCTAAGCTCTTACCAATGTAAATTGTGTTTTCTTTGATCTTGATCTCTTCCTGGAGCTCAAGTTGCTGTCGCTTGAGGTCTTTCATCTGCACGGTGGCACCGTGAAGCAGCTCCACCAGGCTAAATATGACTTAGCGAAAAATCATTCCAAATAACCGACCGATTAATATTTTCGTTGATTTCCTTATTCTCGGCTCGAAGCTGCTTATGCGGCTGATCCACGCAGTACTCATAGTTCGGCCGCCCCTGGCGCATCTCCATTCTTGTTTCTAAACTCAATGTTGCCAAAGCGAAGTTAATGTCGTTATTTTACCGCAAACCATCAGCGAGCCTTCTTTCGCCTTGATGCCTTGCTCCAAGTCAAGAATTGACTTCTCGAGCTCGCTCACCTCCTTCATCACTAGATCAAGCTCATTCGTCATCTTTTTTTTCGCGATCTTGGTCTCTTTGACGCGCTCGCTGAATTGGAAGGACGTTTTGCGGTTCGCTTCAGTCATATTCTCTTTTGAAAACAGTTATCGTCGTCAATTATCAAAACTATAATTTACCTGTCGTTCGTCGAAGAATCCCCTCAACAACTCCTCGGAGATCTCGAGAGTTGTCTCTTTCTTTTTCTGCCTTTGCTACGTTCACTTCTGTAAAATTTTGCCATTGCGATGGTGTGGAGTATCCATCCAAAGTGACTTTTGCAGTCATTGGACGCTATAAAAACTGTTACTCGTGATTCTCCGAATGAATTCGAAACTATCCAGGTAACTTACACGCTGAGCATTTTTCGAGTTGTTGTGGAGCTGCTGAGCTTCGTCGTCGATTCTATGGGCCGTTAGTTTGTCTTTTTGGTCCTGAAATTTATTTGAAAGCTGTTGGCTTTTTGGAGACTATACTTTTTCTAGGTGGTATCTGGCAGAGCGGTTCTTTCTTATTTGCTCCGTGATTTGATCAATGCAGTCGCTGAGAATATCACTAGATGAGAGAATAACGTCTATTTCTTTTGCAAGATCTTTTTCGACGACATCATGGACATTGTCGACATCTGTTCGCTGCTCTCTGGGAAAATGTTTATTCTTGAAAGAGATCTGTAAAGATACCTCAATGCTTGACAGTGACGGTTAATCTTCACCGGTTCAACAGTGGCTTTAAGTGCTTCGGCGACTGTGTCCTTGATAATACGTTAACCCCCATAATTTTAATCACGAAATTTAGACGCTTGACCAAAAGCTGACCTTAAGATTTAGCAGCGTGTCGATTTCATTGTTGAGTTCGTGAAGCTTGTTCTCAATCTCGCCCTGCCAGTGATCGACCTTTTGGACCCGCTGGTCCAGCCGCGTGGTTACAGCGCGCTGGGTATTTCTTGTGTGTTTAGCCGTTTCTTCTAGGGCTCGAGCCGCTTCATCTCGCAAATCCTCGACTTTAAAAAACACGATTAAAAACAAACGTGCATGTATCAAAATTTTCGTGAGACAGAATTTTCTCGAGCACATTTGTCAAAGGAGAACAGTTATCTATTATTTTCAAAGCGATAAATGATAAATCTACTTACCAATCGTTCTCGCCCGCTGAGCGTGCTGAATTTTGGCATTATTGTGTTGATTCCACTGGTGAATCGAGTACTTCATTTTTTTCTACTTCTCTCGCTTCAATAACAGTTCCCTTCTGTCTTCAGAGAAAGTTGGTTGCTATGTGCACTGAGCTGTTCCTCCCCCTAACGACGGTGCTTAACGATATTTTTATCGAGTGTTTTCACACGTTTTTCATTTTCTTTCAGAATTACTATTTTAAAATATTTCTATTTCTTTTTGCAAAAAAATTTTCAAATTCGGCAGAATCTTCGACGATGGCAGATATATCGCTGGCGCTAAATTGCTGTATATACAGCCCACTTATCGCTACGTTCTCTGTGGCTAGTAGTAAGCCTCGGTTATTTTACCACAGAGGTTCTTTTCAAAAATAAACTCATTCTCCTTCCATGGCTTTAGCTGTTTTCATAAATTCATTTTTCATTCTTTCTTTAATAAAACGTCAATGCAGCAAGAATCAATGACCAAGAATTTCGTGCTTCACCACGTTAAGTCTCATGGAACATCAAAAGTTATACAGCTTAAAAATGCATAAAAAAAGTTGCGAAATAGTGTTTGCAGAAAGCTAGTCAGTCTTTGAAACAACTGCGAGACCACTGAGTAGGTGACGTTCGAGCTTTCTTGTCAAAAGGTGATACTTGGCAAAACGGCGGCAGTGCTGGAGGTAGTCAGCACCTATTCGGCGGAGATTCCGGCCAAGCTTAATTAAGACAGTCGCATCATATCTATTTTATTGCTTCTTACTCTGTAAATCTGCAACGTGGGATTCTGTGGCCATCGCCGTGACGATATTGACTCTTCCTCGTCGTTCTCGAAATCGAGTTCGACGTAATCATCGACAAATCGTGTCGACAGTTTCCGATTGATTGACTCGCTGTTGTCATTTTTTCGCGCTGTGCATTTCACTGTTCCTTCATCATCAAATACAGACTGAAATGTAAAAGTCAAATTCGGTCATTCGGGCTCTATTTATTTGATCGATGCGTGTTTTTTCTTCTGGTTTTTTGAACATGTTTGATTGAACGTTTCGAAATAATTGAGTTTAAAACTTCGAAGTGCCTCAGCTGTTCTTGTCGGAATCGAATAGCTGAACTGTCAAAATATCTCGTAGACCTACAAGCACGTTGGTTTCCCATCTTCTGAGCACCCTGCGAGTTTTCTCTATCTTTTGAATCCTTGCAGGTTCTCATCGATCCATTCTCTCGCTGCTTTCGTCGACTTCCGGATTCGGGTCAGCGGCCCTTTAACTTTTACATCATTATATTTCTGCTGAAGTAATGGAATATACCCTTGGCAGCGAGAATGCAAGATACAAGTAGAAGAAAAACTCTCATTCTAAGACATCGGACTCGTCTTGACTTTTTTCGAAGGTCTTATATAAAGCGAGGGAATGGCGCCTCCTCGAACTTTACAAATACCGGAACATCGATTCTAGGTAGTCTCAGGGTTATCCAATTCTTCGCTTGGGGGAGACTTAAAATCTTGTATCTCACCTTTTGCATTCACAGTGAAGAAATATATTTGAAAAATATTGTAATTTATTTTATCACATAATTTATACAGAACTTATGAGTTTTAAGAACTCAGTTGACAGTAAGTGAATTATGCATTGTGCAGACCGAGCTCGTCGAGTCCCATGTGTCGGCGTAACCTGTCCATAAATCGGCGAATGCGGCGAGGCCAGCTTGTGTTCCAGTAGTCCATGCCGTTGTTGACCATGTATGCGAGTTCGCAGCCATCAAGGAGCTCAGAGTTAAATCGGTTCCACTCTGCCTCTATTCCGTCAATGTCGATTGGGTCGAATACTGCTGGATCGGGGCCTCTAACTTCACGGGTGCTTTGGTCTCCATTAGGACATCGACTAATTCCAGACTGAAATCGACTAAGAAGTTGTTCCAAGTGGCGATTAGCCAGCTCATGGCGATCAGAATGAATGATTTCCGTGAAGACCTCTTCCAAATCGTTCTCGAAAGCCGTAAGAACTTCCTAACAAATAAATCAAAATTACTATAAATGCTTTTAAACTTACGACTGCAGGTACTAGAGGATATGATGTCGTTGTTTCTGGAGCTGTCGTTGTGCCTGCATCGTCGAATCTCCAACGCAAAATAAAACCAGCACCTTCATTATTCTGATCCGTGTCAAAACCGATGACCAAATGATCCGAATCTAGCTCAAGCCAGTTTCTGAAGAGCTTCGATTGAATTTTTTCTCCGCCCTTAGTCTTATAAGCTGCCATTCCGTTGTATGGTTTCGTCGCCGAAGTCAAAGAAGAGCAGAGACGCCCGAATCCAACAAGTTCTTCATTTTCTTGACCGTGAATTTTAAGGCCATCGCTCCCGCATGCAGCATTGTGTTCGATTCCAAAGAAAGCGCCTTCTTCTACCACGATCTAAACAAAATTGATATCAGCAAAGAAAACTTAAAGTGCGCACAAGTAGAGGTTTTCCGTTATTTCAATTATTTTTGTTACCGAAATATGCTGGCCTGGAGAAGCTTTGATTTCCCATCGACAGTTGAATCGGCTTTTATAATCAGAGATTTGAATTGTCCCTTGCGAATTTGTGAACAGAGCTCCATCGCATCCTACATAAAAGTCAAATAAACCGAAACTTTCTTTCTTACCTTCAAGATTAGCGCAGTCTTCTACAGATTGGCAGATCGGAGAATCCATCAGATATCTATTGGAAGCGCGCTCTTCATCGTAATTGTCGTAATCAGTCATGTTTTCAAGAGCATTTGCTAGTCCAAAAAGGGCTAGAATTCTTCTCGTCATTCTGTCTTTTGAATATTTTCTTCGACTTTCTAAATCTCTGTGAATCGAAATCAAAGTTCGCTCAGTGCTGTCGAGCTTTACGGGACGAGCGTTTTTACGCGCCGTGCTTAGCGAGCGAGCGCCACCTAAATTTTCACGATTTCGGCGCGCAAATGTGCGCACTTTTTTCTTCTCATCATTGGATAATTATAGCTTTCAGCGCTGGTAAGAATTTATGCGTTTTTCATTCTCTAATTGTGTCCATCGCTGATAATTCTGCCCCAAATCTGGGAAGGCCATAATTTTGCTGGGTTTTAATGTCATCAACTTGAGAGCCTTCAAGATGATTCTGCTACTCGTTGTAAACGTCAATGATCCACTGTTACAGTAAATCAGCGAGTGAAATGATCTTTTAAAATTTGTTCCGTTACAGAAGAATAATCCCTTTTCAGATCTGAAATCTTTGATTAATCCTCCTTCTTAATTTTTCTGCGCGCGAAGGAAAAATGTAATCAAGGGATGTGATTTATGATGAAGAGGCGCAATTAGGAAAATTAATTTGGAACTGATGTGTGCGCTTTGGCAGGATTAACTCAAGCCTCTCTTGCTTTTCTGGAATTATATCACAGAGAATAGAGAATAAATCCATTTCTTACGAATAATTCTTACAAGCGAAGGAAGAAAGGTCTGCGGGATAAATTACTGAGCCCAGACAAAAAAAGACATTACGTAAACCTAAAGCGATTGACGAACAACCCAAACTGCATTTTGAGCTGAGAGATGCGACATATCTGAGGCGAATACTTCCGTAATACAAAATTCTCAAAAATCGTTAATTGCCCATCGCGATGGCGGTAATAAGCGCGCAGGTACTTATCAGAAGCGAAAGAAAGCTTTATTTGAACGAATGTTTCATAAGTCTAATCGACTTTGTTTCAGCCAAAGAGTTGCAGCAAAAGCCCGCTGAATGTTTATCTTCATCGCAATACTCACCGGTATGGACACGTCGAGACCGCGGACTTGCCAGCCTCGGTCGATTATTTGGTCAAGAACTCAACCGAGATTTTATGTTCCAAGTTTTCGAGCTGACGAGGAACTTTCATTAGCTTGAGTTTATTCTTGGAAAAATTGACTTGTGGTCATACAGGCGATGATAGAGCACCCTTCTTCATTGGATTCGGCTTTTGGAAATTCTAAATGATCGCTTTAGAATTTTAACTCTTCAACGTGTACTCCACGGCGAAAACGTCTTTTCTTCTCGATTCTCACGTTTCTATCCGGCTGCGCTGCGTGAGAAACATGCTTATCAGAATAAATCGACTCTTCTTGAGGACATTCTGGAGCCACATTCCTCAACTTCTGCCTCGACTAACCTTCCAAGCGATAACCCTATCGTCTGTGAAAATGACGAAATGGATCCTCTAATTCCGAGCGAGAGAAAAAATGAACAGAAACTAGGTAATAAGTTCTCAGTAATGACATCTGAATGGTATGTAAAAGGGAATAATCCGCATTTTATTGTGCAAAATACGCTGTAATGATAACATGAGTTCGTTTTATTGACAAGATGTCATCATTTACCAGTAATTATTACAGTATATTTTCAATTTCGAAATGTTAAGAGAAAATTGAACAAAGAAAAAGCGAGCGAAGCGTGCACCTCAAGGACAGGTTCCACAAGTTAACCTCAAATAATTTATATAATTTAATAAGAACGTTTCAAATATTCGTAGAAGGAGGTGTGCGTTTAAAATGCAGCGGTAATCCTGGATTTTGAGGAAATCCATAATTGTGATGATTTTGTAAATTGTCGAACGTGGATCAAGTTTTGGCTCGGAAAGGGATAAGACTTATCTGTTAGAATTCCATGGCCTATAATTTCTAAAAGCTTATATCCTTAAAGATTCCTGCACTTCTTCCTCAACTTTGTACCCAGAAGGAAAGGGTCTCAATAATCCTTGCTCATAGTACTTAAAGTAAAGGAGTCCTAGCATTAATGAAACCCAAAATGAAGTTCCGAAAAAGAAACGTGATATTTTCTATAATTACCGTGGCTCCGGGGTCGATTCCGATTGTTTAATAAGAGGCGCAGACAAAATATCACCCAGCCGAAGCCACCCCGAACTAAGCCCTCGGTGAAATCTCATCAACTGGACGAGAAAATAGAACGACATGCCATTTTCGTCAAGGAAAAGCTTTTATCTTCCACTCGTTCAAAAAGTAAAGATTCCTTTACTGTAAGCAAAGCCTTTAACAGCCGCACAAACACATTCTTCTCTGCCAATCTGGGCAAACAGAAGTAGTGGAGTGCGTTTTGCCCTGCAAGTTTGGCCGCTCAGAAGATGCAAGTCATGAAAGAAAAATGCCCAAAACCTCCGAACAACATGAAAATTCCGTATCGCGGTATGATATTAGAATCCTTAGGTCGCGGCCATCATTTTGGTACCAAACCGTAAATAAAACATCGAATACGATAATTCAAAAAGTGCTCTAAAGTAGCAATAGCTTCCACAAAGTGCATGGAATTCGGATAAGGAAGTGCACTCTTTCTATCACTGCAAGTGCTGATACGGAAAACTACCGTTAATTGGAAGCCACGTGCGAAAACACCACATAAGTTTTGTTTTTAGAATAATAGCCGTTTTAGTACTCGTCAAGTGGAAGATGTGTGCCCAACGCGACATCATCACCACCGACAAAGGAATCTAGTTCAAAGCTTGTTTATGTATCTTCAAAGGATTGTTGCCTTTATTTTTCAGGGGAAATAAGCACTCTTATAAAGAAAAAAATTGAGCTGATTAAGCAAGAATCGTGAAGAGAAAGACCACCATCAGTCCATCTGGACGCAGTGCTTTGGCTGTATGGCAGACGATAGTTTCAATTCTGACTCTTCTTCTTCTGGAGGCTCATCAACAGACAACTCATTTGACGACTCTTCCCAAGGAGGTAGGAAGTATTTACTCCATTATCTCACTCTTTTTAATATGTTTCATGACACTGCGTATTGAACTTTTCCACGTTTTTCTACGGTATAAATTAGTCAATCCGAGCTTTCTTGACGCGATCCTTCGATTGCTCTTTGTTCGCAAAGAGGAGAAATCGAATGCGAGTGGTGCCGATGCCGACTCAGGTCTTCCCTCCAAGAATTTTAAAATTATTGCAAATTTTGAAATTTCAAAAAGAGATTCGAATTTTTAATCCCCCTTAGGGATGAAAATTGATGAAAATCCTTTGTGGGAAATCAATCGCGGCTTCCATTTAACCACTTCTGTGTGTATTATCTATATGTTTTCATCGTTGTTTCACCGTTCAAAAATTTCGACAGAAAATCTTTACTGTTTAGATGATGAAAACGATGACGATGAAAATGTGGAGCTCGGAGGATCTGATGATGGAGCAGGATAGTGTCAGAAAATAACTTTGCTCCGAAGTTTATTCTGTCTGAACACCTACGAAGGCGATTCGCCAGACGAAGACGAAGATGACGACGATGCGGATGACTTCAATGAAGATTTCCTTTCTGCCGAAGAAGCTGAAGATGATTTTAATTCAGATGTTCTGGATGACGATAACAATGACAATCAAGGAGGGAATAAAGAGGACGGAAGCGAGCGAAGTCAGGATCAAGACGACCAGGACTTGTTTGATGAGTTCTCCGACAGTCTCACCGAGCTAAGAGTCGGCAAGAAACTCTATCAGAGCGGGGAAGAGTGCTCAGGTGGTACGGACGACGAAGTAAGCGCTCAGCAATAATACAGACCAAATACTCAAAAATTCAGACTGGTGGTGAAGCCAAGTCAATGGGCGACGATGATTGGAGTTGTTTCTCGTACGTTGAATAGTCTCTATTTTATTTCTCTGTAGCTTTGAAATAACTGTAAAAAATAAAGTTAGAAAGAATCTTTTGCTGTCATGATGACAATTTGTTGGTTGCAAGAACGAACAATAGGTAGTATCATTTACATATGCGCGATTGAAGGAGTCGTGCCGTAAAAATAGAAAAAAAATCCTTGATGGAGTCTCGAGAAAAACGCGGTTGGGTCAGTTCCGAAATTAAAACAGATAAATAATAGGGTTACTATCAAGTGATAGGAGCAGCTATTTATTTTCGAAAAAAGGCGCATAAACTTCGCTGGGTGCATGCAAAAGATGGACGCCAGAATTTGCTTATTTTTCCAGAGACACACCACGTGAAAATCAGCCGCCTCAAAGTGAATGAATGCTTTTTCATAAGGTGAACGATTGCTTCAAAATTTATAAAAGAATTCATCGAAGACGGAAACCTGATGAAAAATGGCGAAAGTGCACAATTCAAAACTACGCGACAGACACAAATGAGAGGCTATTACAGTACGAAACCGTTCTGAATCTTCTCTCCAGGTCATCGCTTTGCGCGATCGTGACAGGTTAAGAATAAATCAGGAATTTTTAAATTTGACGCTTTAACAATGTAATAAACCTTAGATCTTGGGGGAAATGCCGATGAAGCGCAAATGCAATCTGGTACGTGGACTCTTTTTTGAACGATCTAATGTCATTTAGATAATTACCGAGCTAACATTCGGAAACGCGCTCGCGAGTTGATCCAGTGGATTCTTGTCTCAGGCGATTCTTCTTCTCTTGGCGTCACTAAGGACAATATTATAAGTAAAGGTCACACCTGAACTTGTATTTTATAGAGCGATCAGAAAGCAACCGTGCTTCAATTGGAGATATTATTTTAATTGAATAAATAGTGCCGAAGATGACCTTGAGATGAAATTCTAAAGTCGACAAAGGAAGTGATAAACTGACAGCTGAAGATTCTGCGATGGAGAAGGCGGGTAGGAACGGAAATGATAGAGCACGAGTTGAGTTTTAGATACCTGGGCGAGAAGATACCGCCAACAGAGATTCCAGGCTTGGGCAAGTCCGCTAGGCAAAGCTTATGATCCCGTCGGAAAAACTGAAATGCATACACCCAAAGTAAGAAAAACTTATTTTTATTCCATTTCTCCCTCAGCTCATCCGACGAAGCCTTGCGTTAGAATTGGAAGAAGAAGAAAATGCGACTGAAGCGGACTACGAGCCCTCAATTGAATTACCTGCCTCTGCAAAATCGCGAAAGAGGCGTGAGAAAACGAGTTCTCTCATTCAGTCGGAAATCCGGTGCGTGTGCTAATCGGGATTTTGCCATTGTCATCTCGAACAAGCTGACACCTTTTCTTACATTGTCACTGTTTGATTTAAACAGATTAAACTGTTTTCAGCTCCGGCAAGAATGAGCAAAATCTTCTTAGAAAAGTTTCAAATGTCCGAAAATATCTACTTAGCAGACCTTTTGAAACTGAATGAAGCCAGCATTTGAGCTCTTTTCGACGGCAGGTACAGTCGCCTGTCCGCTGTGGTAGTAGCTGCATGGATCAGTTATATCGTGCAGCAGACACGAATACGGGAATGAAAGCGAACACTAGATGGCGGAAAGGAGTGAATACTGTTGGCCTGTTCAATTTTCGAGGAAAGCGACACAACAGGCCGTTCACGACAATGCATCAGCTAAATAATACTTCTAAATGCAAGACAGACGATGAGCTTATTAGTTACAAATTTCAACTTAGGAATTGAGCTCACGAACATAAAGATATTTGCATCTACCGGAAAATTAAATAATTACCGAGACGGCTCATTATGAGACTCTATTGAAAGATATTTATACTGGCTGCTGGAAAACATCTCGGAGCGAGTTAAATGCAGACCTCCTTCCACCCTGGAAAGATCAAGAATCGACATAGACTTTCCCGATTACATTCACGCCGAAGGATGTTGGAATACGTTTATGACATCTGGCAAGCGTCACATGACCCGCGCCCATTTCAACACTATCAAAAATAACGAAAGTCTAATTCGACAAGCTGACGTTAACGTAAGTCTAAATAAAAATCATAAAAAACTTTTTTTGCCTGAAACTTGAGACGAACAAATGTTCGTCCCTCTCTATACTTTTTCCTAAGGCTCGCCGAATGGCTATCAAATTTGCATTCCCGAAGCATTTGGTAAAAAACATTCACCGAATGTTCTTTCTAAGAATCGCTTCTCGCTTTTATTGAAAACCATTAAAGAATCGTTTGCTTTGAGATTAATGGACTATCAGTGAACCAGGTGATAGCTCGCTCAGCACTACTTCCATTCATAATGGACATTCTGCATCGCAAAGAGCTTTTTCTTCTAATTTCGACCATACGTTTGTCAGACTAACTTTCATCGATTAAAGCGCTCCTATAACTCAATAGATAAGACTAACTCCTTGTTTAACTCTTCACTACAAATATTTTCAGCATGTAGAACCAGGCAGCAAAAAGTCTGTTATATCGATGAAAGAAAAACTCCGAAGCTATGATTTGACACGGTTGGGAAGACTGCGTGCGAAACAAGAAGCTCTTAACAATGTGAGAAGCAGAACAGGTACGAAGACATAGAACATAAAAAAGTAAAGAGAACGAGCTAAGACTACCAAATAATGAAGAAGATGAGGTCGAGCGCTTCTCATTTTACGGAAAAGACGAAGAAAAATGAAAAAGAAAAGGCCGCTGGCAAATGGCTACTAAAAATCAAGGATAAGTTCAACAACGAACAGCTTGATTTTCTAAGGAAGTTTGAGCATTTCTGATAATCCTGAATAGATGCAAACGAGATTTCAAATGTTCATCTCAAAAAGGTGCGAGCTTGAAGATCTTGCTCACGTGAAAATACCGAAGAGTTTATCTGCACAAGAAGACTTCTTTCGAACATTACGAGTCCTAGAGCTACACGAAATACAAGATCCTGAGATGAAAGCATCGATAGAGTTCGTCCGGTAAACAAATTTACATCGCATCTTTAACCAAAATATTAACAAGCGACATGCTGTGCATCGATGAAATTTCATTCGACTCTTGGTTTGAAGGAAGACAACTTGAATTGACTCCCTCTGTTGATTCTGATTTCCCAGTTTCGGAGCTTTGATTTTATTAGATAATATTTTAGGGTCTGTAAAGAAATAAAAAATCGAAATAGAAAATCAATTTGCAGCATGCCGTGTAACACTTAGCACTTTCAATATTTCCCTCTAAGAGGACTTGTACAGGAACCTGTATGGACGAGCAGAACCACTGGAGCGTTTTTCGATGTCGTTGAATGCCGAACTCCATTCTAAGTCTTGAAGGGGGAGCTTGAAAGGATTCAGAATCGCCTCATTTTGAAGAAGATAGGCGGATGAGAAGGTGCTAGAAGTATAATTTAATGCGGAATCGAAAAGCTAGAACTAACCTCAGAGCCAGAAATTTTGCGAGAAAAATCGTTTGCATTTTGAGAAATATTCTCGTTATTGCTCTCAAGTAAAACTGTTTCAATCAGAGTAATTGGTCTAACCGAAGACGCGATTTTATTTATTCGACTAGGTCGTGAATAATCAATGAGGGTGAGGTGTTGTTAGAAGTCATTATTTTCCTGGGAGCTTGTTTTACACTGAGACTTTGTTAGGCTTAGACTTTCTATTAGAAGGTGAAATCACTTAAAATAATCTTGAAATGAACATCTAAAACTATCCAATGATCAATTGCAGCCAGAAATATTCATCGAACAGCTTCTTGAACAAACAATCGTCCACAATTTAGTTTTTCTTTTATTTTGTGAGAAAAGACACGTGTTTTATGCAGGAACATATTCATCTTGAAAACCAGAGAACCCGGTTTATTGACAATTTGACTAATTCAAGGTGCGAGTCGAGCTTTTTGCCAGCCATCGCTAAGCGTTTTAATGAACGCTGAGTCTTCTTCGAATCCTCGTTTTGAAAAGACCACTCTATCGTGGAGTCGATTGCTTTGCCCTTCAAGAAAATATTTAAAAAACATTCTTCGGCAGTTTTATACCTTGCCAGAATTCTATCCAGTCAGGGTCAACGCTATAACCTCCCCAGTTGGGCATCGGAATAGAATCTTTTTCCAGAAATTCTTCGTTTCTTTTCCACAGCCATTCTCGGCTTTCTACTATTTTTGACTGAGGCGATGCTGCGGATCCCGCTTGCGACGCTTTCGAGCGTGATTTGAAATAATCTTCAGATTCAGTTAGAGGGACCTTTGTTGCCTTCCCTAAAATATAACAGTCAAAGTGCAAAACTGATAGAAAAAGTACCTTCGATTCTTATTTGCTTGTGGATGTCTGCCCAGTAAAACACGAGAGCAACGTTGTTGTTATTTGCAATTTCCTGAGCTTTTCTCCCTTCGTAATTCGTGAAAAACACAAAGCCCTTGAAGACATTAAGTTTTGATGAGAGTCAATGAAATGAAACCTTTTCTTTGGAAAATTCTTTGAGAAGCACTACTCTTGCAGAAGGTCGACCAGAAGAGTCTACTGTAGCGATTGTCATTGCATTGGGCTCTTCTAGAGCTTTCGCAGCAAGGCTTATCCATTCTCCAAAGAGATCGAATGGGCAGCTCCAGTTGGCAATCGCTTATATTTACGTAAGTCTGTGAGAATTTCAAAGATGTCGATTCCTACTTGAAGAATATTTCCTCGCATATTCTCTGTCACAAAAATGAAGGTAAACGAACAGGATAGAGAGTAATTTTGATAGATTGTAACTTGAGTATTTCAGCTGATCGTAAGTGCTGCATTCTTGGGAGTTGCCACCGCTATCAACGCGTGCACCGGCAGCGGTCCTCTCGAATGCCCACCCGGAGGAACTACCTACCAGTGGTGCCGAGACAATTTCGTTGACTACGTCGCCGAGCCCGATGTCGATGGAAATGTTGAGAAGCCAAACCCTACTCACGTTAAGACACACGAGTCTCGACGACCACTCGCCCGAGAGCCACGAGAAAACTGGCAGGTCGAGTTCAAGCGAGTCGCCGCCCGACTTCTCGCCCAGGACCCCTCTATCACCTCCAACAAAGAAGTTGCCGACTCTCTACTCTCCTACTTCCAGAGCCTTTGGCCCACTGACGGATGGGTCTTTGTCGTCGTCAACAACAACGAGGCCTCTGATGACTGCATGCAGATGAACAGCATCGAGAATGGAACTCATATGCGATCGTGCTTTGACCACTGGTACTCTGGTTGCCGAGAAGAGGTCGATGGTCTGGTCGGCTCTAAGGCTTGCCGAAACGAGATCATCTCCGACAACAACACCAAACGATCCGCCATTGGTGTTCAGGTCAACCGAGCCATCGAGCATATGATCAAGGTCGACAAGAGACACGTCTTCTGGTTCACTTCTCACGCCGAAGGGTACAGTTTATTTTTTATGCAAATATAATGAAATCTTTAGCTGCGAAGAGAACGGCGAATGCGGCGCTCTCAACCAGTTCGGAAAACCATGGAACACTGCTGGTGATAAGCCACGAGTCATGGACCAGATCGGATCTAAGTTCGGTGTCTCCGCTAAGGATCTTACTCTCAAGAACGACCTGATGCGATCTATGGCCGCCAAACTCATCTGGCAACACTACCGACAGGGTCTTGATCGAGAATTCATCGTAAGTAGATCAAAAAGATTCCCTCTCAAAGTAATCTAGTCCATCAACAACGACTACTGCTCCAGCTGGGATACTCTCATCACTTTCTGCTCCAAGACAAGCCAGCCCGACGGAAACAACGTCTGGGGCGACATCGCCTGGAACAAGGTCAACATCGACGACGCTCACTACTTCACCGACTACCAAGAATACGAGGTTCGCTGAGACGAGGCCCACTTTTCTAATTTATTTTTCTAGATCGGTCTTGAAGACGATTGGTACGGAAACAACGGCATGGGCCAGTGCGTCACCATCGGCGTCGTTCCATTCTCTCACTAAGAACTCATCCTTCTGACAGCAAACCTAAAATCTTTTTGTTCCGACACTACCGCTAATGGACAGACCAGCCCGACGGAAATTGCCTCAATAGGCGATTTTTAGACTACTTCATCACAACTGTACATAAATTGACTGACTGACTGCTGATGTACATATAGTTTCCGTTTTTCATACTCGCAAATATACTTTCTGTAAGTTAAATCTGTATTACTTCCCTTTCGCATGCAGTTTTTACTAGATTCTAGAGGATAAGTTCTTTCAAAGAAAAAATACATACCTTCATCAGTGAAGCCGTCGTTTTTGTCATTATACGCGGGGCGAATTGTCTTCAAGTCCATTTTCTGGTCAAGATCTCTGTTCGCACTAGAACTGCGCAAAAAACGAACGTTGCGAAGAACGCTATTTCTAAATAAACGACGGGATAGCATCGTTTTTTCGTTTACTGTTTTCGATCAACTTGACGCAAAAATGACGTAACCTGAAGATCGAAAAAACAAAAAGGCCCGACCGAGATTTGAACTCGGGATCTCCTGATTACTAGTCAGGCGCTTTAACCAACTAAGCCATCGGGCCTGTCTCCGCGGATCTCTAGAGTTTATTATGAATAACATATGTTAAAAAATGAAAGAATATTTTTAAATTTCAACTCGCGAAGCAAGAACTAGGAATGTTCGGGTCGATGCAGAATGCCAAGTATTTTTCACTCGCACAACCCAAGTGAATGTAGCAACTCAGGAAGGATTAATGACCACAGCAAACTCCTTGACTACTGAGCAATCGTCGATTGCCAATCGACTACAACAACCAGGGCATCAACTCAGGAGACATTGACAGCTAAATCAATTGAGTTAACTCTCGAGTCCACAACAAAAACGACGACGACTTTCACCTCGATACAAATAACGATTATGACAACAACGTTTTTCTCGACTGTGGAAGTATCCATAACACTAACGACTTCGTGTATTCCTCAATAAATCTATAACTCACGACATCTTCTAGTGTTTATTCCAATTTGACTTTTCATGCGTTGCTGGCGAAATAATTCCGATTTCAATTCATTCGCCTGATTTTATTGTAAAATGTCCTCCCTGACAATCTAAATGACTATGAGGTAAAACAAGAACTATAAAATTTACAGTGTAAATGCGTTTGTTATTACAGCGAACCTTTTATTATTTCTATTCTTTCCTGTCTAGCGTGATAAAATTGATGATATTTGATGATAATAATCGTTTAACAAGTTTAAGGGGGGGGGGGTCGACGAGAATTTTTCCGGCGAGATCGTAATTTCGCTTATACTCATAGTCTGGATACGAATCTTATATTTTTGGAATCTACAGATCCTCCTGAATCTGTTGAGCCTAAAATCATTTGATAAAAATTAGATTTAGGGGGTAAAATGAGCAAAATTGTAAAAAAATTGATCATTTTTAGTGCATTTTCGCGAAAATGGCCCTACTTTGAGTCGATTTTTGACCGATTTTTTCTGGTCAGAATTTTTTCTAGTTTTCGCCGCCTGATTTTTTCAACCCTTTTCTATCCACCAATAAAATCAGATTTTGCCTATCTACTCAGGTTTTCCCGCATTTTTGGTCACGGAAATCCCGATTCTCGTCGACCCCCCTTAAGTCTGCACAAAAAAGAGAAAACAAATCGTTTTTCAAATCAATTTTCAATTGCCCAGTGCGCGTTGCGGCAGTGATTAGCGGGCATAATTCATCTTTTGTAAGTGTCTAAATTTTTGCCTGTCCGAACTGTAGGCGGCTTTTGAAGGTTCGCTTGGGCGCCCAGTGTCATGAACACGTCGGATAACCGTGTTCAAAACTGCTCCAGGTTGAGTTTTACGATTCCTTCAGCAGAAAAAAAGAGACCGAGAGCGAGAAAACTAACCGCAAAGTTTATTTATTTCCCTGTCGACGGAAACGAATTTTAGCAGATTTATATTTATTTTCTCTAGAATACTGTATTTGAATCTGTTTGTGCTCGAGCTTTGTCGATTTGTCTAACAGTCATCTTCAGCAGTAAAGGAGACTGTGGGATGACACCACAGGGGCTGGCAAAATGCGTCGTTCAAGAGGAATCATCTGGTGAGTCCGATCAATGATACCGAGTCATCAAAGTCATTATCTCGAACATCATCAGTAATATTCAGTATGCAAAGGATTTTTTTTCTTCCTTTATGAATGGCGAAGTTAAATATTGACTCAAAAGGTCCATTTTTTGTTTCTACCAGCGGCTCCGCCTGATGAATTTTGAAAACTGAATTGTTGAAAAGTGAATCTATTCTCAAAAAAATGAAACATTCTGAATAGCACATTCTTTTGAAAGTTTCATTTACGAGCAGCGGGACTTGAGTTATTGCTGATGAATTACCATAAGAATTTTTTGGCCGAAAATTTTTTTTTTCGAGTTATCACTTTATTCTGAAAGCCCATATCAGAATTAGTGGATTCCCAAAATTCTAGCGCCCGATGACGTCATTATGACGTCAGAAAAGATGATTTTATCATCAAGATAGGCAAAACTTTTTAACCGTTTTTGAGAGGGTTCTTGTTTGAAATTCGTGTTTTTCTTTTCGGAATATTTTTCAGCATGAAAAACTGAATAATCACCCGACATTACACCGTCCGATATCGTAGTTAACCGACCGGTAATTTCGCCGGTTAAAAATAAAACCGGTCGGTTCGATGAAATTTTGCTGGGTGATTGTTCAGTTTTTCATGCTGAACAAGATTCCAAAAAGAAAAAAATGAATTTCAAACAAAATCTATGTCAGAAACGGTTAAAAAGTTTCATCATTTAGGGCCTTTTTTTAACCTTAATTCATCATAAATGACGTCATAATGACGTCATTAGGCGCTAGAAATTTGGGAATCCACTAATTCTGATGCGGGCTTTCAGAATATAGTGATAACTCGAAAAGAAATTTTCTGCCCAAAAAATTCTTATGGTAATTCATCTGCTCTCGCTTGAGTTAGTAGACTTACATAAGCCCTGGCTTACATAATTCACATGCCCAGGTACTTAAAGCCTTTATCAGATCGATATCGCTGTTAGTCATCGGTTTTAGGCACCGATTTCTTTGTTTTTTGGCTCTTTGAAATACTTTTCTCACGACGGAAAAGGTTTCGATTGGCCCTGGGGGTCTTCTCATCTGACTCATTTGTAGAACTCCTCAGGGAAACCGTAATCGAAAGAAGCAGAGAAACTTACTTTTATGTACTCTTTTTCTATCTCCTACAAAATTTATCGTACTCCTCGGGTTCTTTGTTTACCTAAGAATGAGTTTTGACTAATCTGCCTGTAGTTCGACGTTTTATTGATTATAATTGTTATGCTTGATCCTATACCATATCATAATTTGAAAATCTGCGACCTAATTCTAGTCATATGAGGGTTGAGTAGCCTCATCAGGGGTGAAAAATTTGATTCAAAAGTAGTTAGCTCAAAGTTACCAGAATCACTTGGGGTGGTTATTGCGCAACGGCAGCCCATGATAGGGCTGCCCTGTGTGCCTATAAAACTAGCATTGAAAATTTGCCTGAAGAATTGAATTCGCAGGCGAATAAACAAAAAAAAAAACGATACAAGTTCAAACAAAGAAAAAACTTTCACAACACATTTTTAGAGAGAAATCGTAATAGCAAACGCGACATGCCAGGTATGAGACAGAATCGAAATCACTCTTCGAATTAAGTTCAAGTGCACTTACAAGTTCATCGATATGATCTAGTTTTAGAGCTAATAAGGACCAATTCTTTAGCAGGAGCACCGACAATTAAATTCTAGCACAAATAGCATGAGAAAACTCGAATTCGGCGACCGATCAAAGAATTGGTTCTTTTGGCCCTTGACTTACAGTAAAAACATTACAGAGTTTAGAACTCCCTCAAAACCTCAATGCAATGCAAGCCCAAAATTTTCCCTGGCACCTGGATGGAGGTCCCAGGTCTAGGATTTCATCCGTCGAGTATCTGACGCTTTCTCTGATTGCAAATTAAAGTTCTTTCAAGACATCGATGTTCAACGAATGCGACGCGCCACTATTGAAGAGCTTGACGAGATCTTCAATCGGTATGCCAGTCTTGAGGAAGGCTCGCAGCGCTACATGACTCCTTCCGACTTCCTCGTCGAGTATCTCGGCCTGCCGATCAAGTGCGAAGAAACGGTCGCTCTCCTTGCCAGCGCCATCGACACGACGGGCGACGGACGGATCTCGCGGGGCGAGTTCTACGCTTTCGAAACTACTCTCAACTTGCCCGATTCGCTCTTCAGAGTTGCCTACCAGCTCTTCGACCAGGACGGATCGGGTTCTATTTCTCTCGACAATGTGCGAGACCTCATGAGTCGAGTTGTTCTCAGGTGCGTTTTAGCACGCTTTCTATAGAAGTAAGACGTTTTTAGGAATACAGACCAGGCACTGCCAGCTTTCAACTTCGAATCAGACTACGTGAAGCTGTTCTTTGGTTCCGACTTCAAGCATCAGCTCAACTACGACGAATTCACCGAGTTCATCCAGGGCTATCTCCAGGAATACTCGAAGCAAGCCTTTTGGCAGCAGCGGAAATTACGTAACGGCTTTGTTACTCCTGACGGTAAGCTAGGCCACTGAGTTGCATCACTTTCATCCGCCCGTTCAGTCTTTGCCGCCATCATGACTGAAATTCAACCTTTCCAACTGACCTCCTGGACCACCAGCCATCTCACAGCCTTGGCACAGGTGTTCAACAAGGGACACAATGTCAACTACGCTTTCTTTACCGCCTTTCACAATCTGATGAAGAACATGGAACTTGTGCGTAGAATCTATCAGTCTCTCTCTGGCCGCGACCGAACATACGAGTGTACCAAAGTTGAATTTATGATCGCTGCGCAGCGAATCTCTCAGCTGACCCCGATGGAAGTCGAAATCCTTTTCACAATGTCTGACCTTTACGAGCCCCGAGGATTCATCACTCTCACCGACATTGAACGAGTCACTCCTTTCGAAGAAGGTGTCCTCCCTTACAATATTGCCTCTCAGGAACTGATATAGAAAAGCTTTTTTTACAAATGATAGTCTAATAGAAATTTTTCTACCATTTTTACCATTAATATTACCATATTTACCATTTTCAACTGATTTTAAGAGAGTTCCTATATCATCGAAACAGCAAAAAGAAACTATCGCTGAACGAACTGCATTTTCTTATGTTGCTGAACAGGTTTACCGATTTGGGCTCGGTGTCATTGCTGGTATCGCTGGTACTTTGGTGGTCTACCCGATTGACTCCGTGAAGACGCGCGTTCAAAACCAGCGAAATGTTATCGGAGAAACGCGGGCGGCGACGACGATGATGTACAACGGCTATGCAGATTGCGCCAAGAAAGTCATTCAGTACGAAGGATTTGGGGCGCTCTACAACGGAATCGCCGCTCAGTGCCTTGGCGTTGGTCCTGAAAAAGCCATCAAACTCACAGTTAACGATTTCATGCGAGATTTATTCCGAAAAGACGATGTCGTTCCCGTCCCTCTCGAAATTGTCGCCGGTGGTGTTGCTGGAGGTTGCCAAGTTCTTTTTACGAACCCTCTTGAAATCATTAAAATCCGAATGCAGCTTGATAAGACTGCCAGTTTGGCTGGAACCTTCAAAGACGTCGGCGTGAAAAGGCTTTACGTTGGTGCTTCTGCCTGTCTTTTGCGAGATATTCCCTTCTCGGCAATCTACTTTCCTGCTTATGCTCATTTGAAGAAGGCACTTTCAGAAGAAGATGGTCACTTGCCAATCCAGTACGCGCTCTTGGCCGGTTTCCTCGCTGGTTTCCCCGCCGCTGGTCTTACTACCCCTGCTGATGTTATTAAAACCCGTCTTCAGGTATGAATGATCGTCAAATCCCAAAACTAACAATACATTTAGGCTAAACAACCCGAAGGAGTTGAGCCTTACAAGGGTTTAATAAGAACAGGTGCTCGAATCTGGAAAGAAGAAGGTTTCAACGCACTCTGGAAAGGAGCAGGTCTCAGAATGGTTCGATCTCCTCCTCAGTTTGCGGTGACTCTCTTCGTCTACGAATTGCTCCAGCGATTCTTCCAGGAACGAGGTAATTCTTACGACTAATGTAATGTACGAATCATGAATTTAGGAATGTCATTTTCGTCCTCAAAGCCCATCGGTTCCGTTCACAAGCCAAAGACCATCCACGTAGCGGATTTGCCACCAATCAACCCAGATCATGTCGGCGGCATGAAGGTTGCCGCTGCTACTTATGCCGGTATCGAACACAAGTTTGGTCTCAAGCTGCCCCGTTTCAAAGCATCTGAGGTTCCAATCTATATCAACACTGATACGTTATCATCCGAATTCAACTCTATTCCTCCAGTTCAATCCCCAGAAATAAATGTCGACGTCCAAAATAATGAAGGTACATCTAGGTAAATTTTACTTTGATCTAAATGAGAAACTAAATAATCTTTATAGCTGAAAGAGTGTGACAGAAAACGAGTTTTGTATTTATGTTTGGTCGTGTCTTGCCTCTCCGCCGCTTTCCGGTGGAATAACCTCAGTTCATGAAAGCTCAGAATTGATACTGCAATATGATGCATTGCCGACCCTACTGTATAAATCTTTATCGCGCGAGAATAAATATAAGAGACTTCTGAAAACATTGTAACATTGAAAGCATGTGAAGACTATTTAAAATTCGGCTTGATCATATTTGAAGATGATAAAATGATGCTCCAATGAATGAGTTAGACATCTCCTCTTCCTCTTTTTCTACAAAAATATCATCTGTCTAGTACTGAGTATACCAGTAGGCTAAATTAGTGCGTGGACATTTTAAGTGTTGAGTTTACTATGATCTCGAGTTGAAGGTCACGATAGTGCGTTATCGACTACCGCACTGCTCAAATGGCCTACTCCCCGCTGCTGATCCACAGCTAGATAGAGAAAAGAAAACAGGAAAAATAATAAAGAATGCGACACGGGAAAGTAGAGTTCTCCATAGCGTGCTTAGGTAAGTTACCTTTCCGCTTATTTTATAACAGTAAATAAGTGTGAATTCGAAGATAATGTCTATTCGAAATTGTATCTGTAATGACGATAACGCTAAATGATATTTAATGCTAACTAAGTTGTCTGTAGTGGTGTTCTATTACGTGTCACATGGTCTCCATGAGCTTGAGAGCCGCTCATCAGCGATTCATCGGAGACAGAGGCTCCCAAGAGGTGTAAAAGACAATTTAAAAGAAGGATGGAAATACGTTAGTAGAAAAAAAGATGGGCACTGGTCTCGCGACACATTTCTTGCAGTAAATCTCTAAAACATCAAAAGACCCGTTGAAAAGTGATGATGAGTGGGACTCTTTCTGCGCACTTGGAATTGTGAATTCATCAGTCGCTATTGCTAGTTACATTTGTCTCTCTGGTCTTATCACCAACAAGCTGCGAAGAGTGAAGAACTACTTTGAGAACGATATAATAAGAGTGCTTATTTCTTTGGCATCAATTGGCTATTTATTCTCTTGGAAATATTTGGTCTTGACACTTCTGTTACCTATTCTTATTCTATGTCAAAATTCTCTTGTTCCCGATGCAGCAGTCAACTTCGCTATGATCGTTTCAGTTCTCCTTGGCTCGTTTTACTTTCCCCATATAATTGAGCAGCTCAAGTAAGAAATAAATTATGCTAGTTAATTTCATAATTTTAGCACTAATTCTACGCTTGGATTTCTAGCTGTGCCGATGGTCGTAATGCTTGTTTTTCGGTGCTATAGCTTTTGCTTTGAGTCTCGGAAGGCACTCAAAGTGAAAGACACTATTGATTACTTCTCCTATGTTTTTTACCTTCCAACATTCATCTCTGGACCGGTTATTCCCTATGATTCGTTCAAATCCGCCGACGATAGAAAATTCAAAAACTTCTTTTCGGAAATGCTGTGGACTTTTCTAAGGTTAACTTGGATCTTCTCGTTGTTGTTTTTGTTTGATTACTGTCTCCACTACATTTATCTCTTCTCCGTGACAGAGGAATTAGCTAAGATGACACCAACATCTGTCGTCTTACTAATGGTGCTTCTGGTGGTGTTCGACTGGGCCAAATGTTTCTTTATTTACGAAATTGTCAAATCTATCATGGCATTCGACGGTCACGAGGGACCTGCCTTTCCTCCAGTACTCTGTTCCATCTCGACCTTTGCCGACACATACTTTGATCGAACCTTGCATTTTTGGGTTTCCAGGTAAAGGATTATCAGAGAAAATTACATAACAAAACAACCCCAAAAAGATATTTATACGACCCACGAGCATCCAAAGGCTTTATCTCCGAAACAATCGGTGCAATGCTTACATTTGTCATCGTATGGCTCTCGCAGGGAATGAGCTGGACTGTTGGAATCTGGGCAATTGTTAATTTTCTAGGACTTCAACTTGAGTCACTCATGGGTCGGACATTTGGTGATGAATTTGATCGTTGGAGACTGAAAAGCCTGCTCCTAGGAGTAAACTACTTCTTGATTTTGCTGGCCAACTTGACTGGCATCATTGGTGTTTCAAAAACAACGAAACTTTTGAGCTACTTTGCAAAAATTAGTTGGTCCGACTTTGCTACTGTCATTCTTATCCTGTATTGCTACACTGTACTGAACTACTACCGCCAGAATCGAAGCACCGCGGCAAAAAGAAAGATTGAATAAATAGTTTTTGCAAACTCGTGACTCCAGTTTTAATCTCATGATCGTTCTTCTAATGTGTCCGTTTCTATGTCAGATCGATTACATTTGAACCTACAGAGGTTTAAAATGAACGGTGAAGCACCACACTTATTTTTATGCTCTTACCCTGACGTTCAGCAAAATTTGAATGTGGGCCTTATCGAAAGATTATTTGATATCCAAGCAAAAAAAGATAGTTTTTTATTGAATCTAAATATAAAATAGACGGCGCATATTTAAAATCTTTCTTCAATAATATACTTCATTTGTTCAGCTAGATTCTTGCATGGAAATTTTTAAATGAGGCCGTAAATTTGAAAATAAATCATGAGAAGCTTTCCCGCCAGCTGCATTTTTTGTCTTCTCCGCAACCAAGTGCTTCCAATTACAAGGGCGTTACATAAAATTTTACGACTTTGAAAGACGTTTCCATCCTGATTTTTGAGTCAGAAATACAGTATTCTCTGTTCAAAGTACGCCAAAAATGAATTGATACAATCAAAATCAATTAGATACTTGATAGGCGATACACGAGTTTTTTTAAATCACGAGTATTTTATAGTTCGCGTTTCTTTTCCATTCAAAAAACGAATAACAAGTCAAGTTTGATACTAAAGATAGAGCTTGAGGAAGTTGAGATTCAAAACCGACCGATGAATGGTTTTATTTTTGGAAAGAAAGACGAAAATAGTATCGGAAAGAGGGATGAACACGCTTTGATTGAGTGGTCCCTCACGAGGTCTGTGTCGGTCACGCTATCCATGACGCTGCTGGTATCTGATACGGATCACTTCCACAGCTGAAATTCGATTTCTAATATTCAGCGGATCTCTTCGACGATCCAGGAATTTTTAGCTTCTTATCTTAATCTATTAGGCCTTTCCACAACAGCAATTAAGTTACCCTGAAACTCTTGGGAAACTCGTTATTTTTATCCGGATTAGCTTGATTTTCTTCATCTCAATTTGCATGTAAAATGTAGAATTGGAGCCACGGATTATTTGTATTGAAGACATATCGCAGCTACTGTATCCATGATCGAATAGCGGCCTGATTTCTTACTCCTTTGACGACATCCTTCGCACGAGGGCTTCATTTGAATCTCCATAGAATCTCTACGGGGCCACATTCCAGAGGACACGTGCCTGAGGGTGTGCCTCTCGAATGTCTTCTGATTCGCCGCCAGCTTCCGGATGTGCGGGGAGTACTGAAAATACTTTCTTACGTGGATAGACAGCTGGCACTTAGAGAGATAGAAACTGGAACAGTTTCATTACATAATGTCGCTGTATCGACTCTACAGAAGTTTTCGAAATCGTAATTTTCCAATCGATCCTAAATGTTGCAATAATGTACACAAAGATGCAGACCGAAGCCGTAAATCTTAACCTGGCATAAAAATGTCGTTCTGAAAAAAATATTTGCAAGACTGATCACAAAAATCATGAAACGACACTTGAATATGAAATTAAATTACGGATGATAACTTTATAAACTTCTAACCTCAGTCTAGCCAAGTAGAAGGATACTTGAACAGGTTTTCCTTCTTTTATGAAAGCGCTGAAGGAGAATATGTGTTTGTCAGGTGATATTTTTTTCTCGATCGAGAAAGAATGGCAAAGACTTCCTGAGTTTATCTAGCGATTCTCAAGTTGAGATAGTCAATTCCTCTCTTGCTTTTGTCCACATTTCCGACTGGAATAAAAGACAAAACAAAGAATGTTTGTGAAGGCCAAATTTAACAACACGAGAAACTTTAATCGTTTCCAGAAAAAGTTCGATGACCGCTTAATGACGAAATGGCAGAGCAAAGACCGGATAGGAAGTGTTGTTTGCCAGTCGCATCCATGGCACAAATAGCGACAAATCTCTTATTTATTCTCAATCATCACCGTTATGTCCTATGATTTGCTTCACAGGAGAATCCGAATCATTTTTCTGACTCTTAAAAATCAAGGAAGAAAAACTTCCTTGATTGCATAGTAACCAGAACCTAACCTTCACCATTTATTCTTCGTGAAGGCATTAACGCTTTCAGTAAGCTGGTTTTGTTTTGTTTGTTCTAAGATTCTAATGCAACGGTCAAGTTTTGGCAATATTCTTGTTTTATTGTGCCCTAACCCTAACCCTAAAAATACTGGCTTCTACATGAAATACCAGGTCACATATCAGTTGCATATATGTTGCCCAGTGTCAATCCTAACCCAAACGAGAACAAAATCGAATCTTTTGCTGAAAACAGTCAAAAAAAATAAACCCTTGTTGAAGAGAGAGGATGTTCGATCAACTTTTCGAGTTCCAGTTGATCCAGAGTTGCTGGAATCGCGCCGCATGCGCCGCTCTATAGCGCGCTCAGTATTCCCAACGGAGTATATAAAAACTCCACGAACTCGAGAATATGTATTCTTATAGGAAAAAAGACGAAAATATTCACTTCGACGTTTCAGAACTATGCAAAAACCGCGATATTTACAACGAGCGATTGCGTCTTTCCAGCAACGCCGCCGAAAAAGTAGAGAACAAAGATTGGATGCTGTTGTGCTGCCCAAAGAAGTAGAGATTCTACTTTCCGATGGAGACTTGACCCGAGACTTTCGTGAATTTCTCCAAATCATCGGCCTACCAGACTTGATTGCCTATGTGAACTTTGTCCTCAGTGTGCTCTCACTTCAAACTGAACAGAACCAATCCGAAAAGCAAAGCGAAATCACCAAGGAGGAAGTCGTCGGGATTTATACTCGTTATCTGAAGCCCTACGCTCACGAACGTCTTGACATCGACTGGATAGCGCGAACGAAAGTGGAGAGGAGAATCAATTCCGGCCTTCTCATTCCTGAAATCTTCAACGAGGCTCTTCAGCTCGCCTCTGCCAGATTCGTTACCAAACTGAGCAAATTTTTACAATCAACAGGCGTTCCTCTCAATTAGAGGAAAAATGAAGATATTGACTAAAGATCACTTTTGCTCTTTTATTCTCTCGACAAATTGCGATTTCGCATGCTTTTCTATCAGACCTTGTGCTACCAGATCTGCCTTCTCATTCACCTGCAAATAAAAACAAACTTTGCAGAATATTTGACTCTTGTTTTCCGTAAACAAAACTGAAATGGATGATGCCGTCCAAAAACTTGACCCTCTATCACAAATGTTACCGTTACAATAGCAGATTTGGATAAGTGAGACCTTTATTTGGTCGAGATTTTTTTGTCAATTCTTGAAGACTCCCCCTTAATTTCAGTTTGTTCTTCCGCACTCTTTTAAACTTTCTCGCCATGCTAATCAATGCATTGAATTGAAAATGAAAACTCATTTTTGTTGTTGTGATTGTCGATCTATTGAGAAAATTATCATCAAGTTTTTTTTTTTCCAGTGACAGTTTTGAATAGCAGGTAGCAAGTAAACAAGCGATTTTTGATCGTATTTTTGAATAGTATTTTGATAACTTTTCAAACTACTCGTATAAGGTGCAGACGTTATAATCGAAGTATCTGTTAAAACAACCCGTGGTCCAATGCACTGGGCAAATTTTAACACCATCTTCCTCGTCAGCATTTCGAAAGCAGTCTCGACAAGCAACATGTCCACAGCTTGGCAAGAATGATTTTCGTCGATGTGTGTCGTTGTAATCCTCGTTGCAAAATTTGCAATACTGGTTGTCTTTTCTATTTTCTAAAAATTGATAGAAAAAGTTTCATCAATAATTCAAACCTTTTGCTTCAACTTCGTCGTCGAAAGAGAATTTTGCAGCGACCGAATGATATTCGTACGAAATCTGTCTGAATCGTTTGAGAGCATCCTTCTTCTCCTTTTCTTGATCGATTAAAAGTTTCTTCTCAGCTTCATAATCCTCCTGCTCGTCTTTGAGATCTTTCTTCTTCTCCTCAAGGGATTTTTCTGCTTCCTCTACTTTCTTCTTCAATTTTTTCAAGGCTTCTTCGTCTCGTTTTATGGTTTGTTCTGTCGTTGTAACCGTGGATTTAGCTTTTTCGCATTCATTCTTATAGTCATTCAAGTACTTGTATTCCTCATTGTAATAGTAATGAACAACTTTAAGTTGCTTTTCTTGGGCTGTAAATACACTGTTATTATTCTATTTTAAAACTGGTAATGATTTACCTTTTTCGTTCTCGAATAGAACTTTCGAGGCTGGCTCGCAACATGATCCCATGAAAAATCCCTTGAAACAAACGTCTTTTGATTTGCAGCTTCCTTCTTTGTCGTAAGCTGGGCATTTGAATTTTGCGTCTGAAAGCACAACATGGGTGCGCTCGGTGCGGAAGAAGTTGCTGCCATACTCCTTCGTTGCACAAATTTCGCATAAGTTTCTGCCTCGGATGGGCCATATTTTTGTTGGAACTCTTAAAAATTAACTTCGTAATCAAGACACCAAACTTTTTTATCTTACCCATCGCACTCAGATCCAACGCACTCGCCATATTTTCCGAAGGAAACCAGCATTCCAGGGAAAAGACTCTCGAACGACTCTCTTTTCGCTATCTTCGACGCTGATGTCGATGCTCCATCATTGTCAATTTTTCGGGACCTAAGCTTCATCTCTATTTTTTCTTCAGTTTGCTAGGGTGTTGTAGCGTGTCTGAGAAGTCTACTCGATAGATGTCAGTCAGCAAGCTTATTGGACAGAGTTTACCAAAACGAATGGTTCACTGGCCTATCATACGTCATGATTAAGATTTTCGAGTGAAATTCGAAATGAGTAGGTTTAACGCTCTAAAAATCGACACCATCCGCGCCATTTTTAAGCTTTGATGGTTTCTTTATTTCGAAATTATCAAATCATGGCCTATGATAGCATGAATCATAGACTATGATCCATAGTAATTTATCTATGGACCATAGATAAATTATCTCCGAAACAATCGGTGCGATGCTTAGATTTGATGATGCAAACAGTCATCGTATGAAGAAAAAAAATCTTTCTGCCGGATAAATCGTCTTTTCTATTCTTTCTGTTAGTTCTTCTTCTGTCTGTCCAAAAAGTTCTCTTCCTTGTTTTCAGCTCCAATTTTATCAATTTTATTTAAAATAACTATCAAAAAATGCCTCTTACGCATATTTTTTTATGAATATCTCTCAGCATTTACAATTAAAGTAGTCGACTTTTTAGTCTTGCTAAAACTTTCGTATAATTAGAATTAATCAAATTTATTATCTTGGTGATAAAAATCACACAGAGTTAGTGAGATGAAGTTAAGCCTGAAGAATTGAATTTTGTCCGAAAAATACTGTTTAGTACCGAAAATGGTATTAGTTTTAGCGCATAGCCTGAAATCTAATTCGTCTTTCCATAATGCTCGGGTAATTCGTCTAATGAGCGAAAATCACAATTTTAACTCGTCGGAATGAAAGCTACTCGAAAGTTTTGAATGCGACGAAATTCTTGGAAACTGAAAGATGTTTTGATGAGAGCACAACTTCAGGAATTATGCAAAAGTAAGGGAGTTCGGGGCGATAAGACGTTTCGTAGCGTTTTGAGATTACCAAAGACAAAACAGAGTTCAAAGGGTTTCCGGGCTCGATGAGAATCTAGAACAGGTCATTTCGGGCGATGCGTGATGAAGGGGATTAAGGAGGGTGACTTGTTTTGGCTTCTTGGAAAATTGCGAGATTTCTCAAAGTCACCAGCTCGGTTACGTGAATGGGGCGGGGAAAGGTCAATACGAATAATTTACTAAAATCAAGATTGGCGGTGCCAGTAAACAGCTTATCGACTCCAGTGCTTGTATTTATCGAGAGCAATTAGAATAAGCGATAATGTCGAACGGAAGACTAATTGATCTTTCTAATTAATTTCACATTGATTTTTGGCCGTAACTTGACTGAATCCGAATTTGGCAGCGAGCTGGGCTATTGAAAACGTATAAATTTATCTTTTGATGCCGGATATAGCTTCCGTTTTTAATTTTCATCTCAAGAGTGCTCCAGGAAGTGGCCTCCCCTCCCAAATCAAAATTTTGAATAATAATCCGCCCGATCCGTCAAATTCGAAATTGCCAAAAGCCTCTTCAACTTGCCCCGACCAGAGTTATTTTATAAAGAAAAGAAAATACACACTTGTAATAAGGACTTAGCTTCTCATGTAATCCGGCCCTAATAGAATTCGAAATTGATCGTTTCACCGGAAGTGCCCAACGGCACATGAAATACTCATTTTTTTTTCGCCAGAGATACAATGATATACGCGTTCTTTGAAGTTTCGATTAGCAAAAAGCCACGCAAGCAAAGTCTAATCGAAATGCACTCTTCACACGTTCTCTTCTAGAGGCCGTTCCAGTCTGGGCTACGCAATCTGTGTAAAAATCTGGGATCCCAGATTCTAGTTTCGGATCAATTTGGCACTAGAAAAAAGGATATTCGCTGCGAACAGGATTCGAACCTGCGCGGGGAGACCCCAAGAGATTTCTAATCTCTCGCCTTAACCACTCGGCCATCGCAGCGTGCTGGGTTCCCTTAAGTATTCATTATTATAGTAAGGGCACGCAGTCGACTGTAAACGAAGTACAGCAGGAGCTGTATTGAGCAAGAAGCACTCAAAGATGAATGGCGGGTGCTTAGGGAGGAAATGATTTTCTTTTGTAGATTTTGGAAACTCATTTTCCCAGCAGAGCCGCGAACAATTACATTTCGAACTGTTTCAATAGCTAAAAGTGTGTTAAAAATACAAGTTATTCTTCACCTAGTTGCTAACCCAACAATGTTACTCTTTTCTAAAACAACAGGCGAACAATGGTTAGATCTTAGATCGACTCAATAAGAATCAACTGGCGCATGGAAAATGGTAATCATAACTTTTCTGGGTCGGCCAGATCACTGGCGGCAGTGATCAGCTGCTCCAGCGGACGTTTATTATCGTTTAGGGCTATTTGCGCTGCCTATTGACTGGCACTTGTATTCCTATTTTGGTCAAATGTTAGCGAAAATGTCTATTTCGGCTATCCAAATCACATTTTGTTGATTTCGCCATCGATCAAAAAAGCAAACCACTGCGAGCCGGATGCGAGCCCAATCATTTGATATTACGTTTTGACGATTTTCAATAAGGATTTCTGAGTGAAATCCTGACCCCCCCTTTTTTATATGCTCATCTGAAAGAGCGTAAAAAGTTACCCGAGAAGAGCCCTCAAAATCTTGATTTTTTGTTGAAGTTGACGTCACAGCACGTGATTGAAGTTCCAGAGTACCGGATTTCTCCTACGCCCGCATTTCCAAGTCCTCTTAGCTACCCGGGCGTATGATAGCTGAAAATGATCGTCTAGTTGAGCTCTAGGTCAGCATCGTGTTTTCATCCCTTCTCAACCTTTCTTTCTCAAAATCAATATTTTTCGCAAACAGGTGATTTCAAAAAGGGTTGAAAAAAATGAATGGAATGTGATGAAAACTAGATGCTGACCTAGAGCTCAACGAGACGATCATTTTCAGCTATCAAACGCCCGGGTAGCTAAGAGGACTTGGAAATGCGGGCGTAGGAGAAATCCGGTACTTTGGAACTTCAATCACGTGCTGTGACGTCAACTTCAACAAAAAATCAAGATTTTGAGGGCTCTTCTCGGGTAACTTTTTACGCTCTTTCAGATGAGCTAATAAAAAAGTTGGGTCAGGATTTCACTCAGAAATCCTTATTGAAAATCGTCTTTATTGCTCATCCCCATTTTTAGCGTCTTTGGAATTTGATTAGCGCGGTAGAATTGACCTTTTGCTCAGCCGCGAAAAGGCCAATTTGAGTGGCGAGTTTAGATTAATTCAAATCTGTTGTGCGTTAAAGTGCACTCTCATTATTTCGATGGAAGTAATATGTTTAATTAGCAGAGAGCGCGAGTGCTCCAGTAACGCCAAATACTACTGGTAGTCGCCGCTCAACTAGTGTGAAAGATAAATATAGATAAATAAAGTTTTAAATCAAGTTCATCTGCCAAAGAGGACATTGGTTTTCACATCATTCAGTTGATGGATCGCAGTCTGATCTACTTCTGAACGAAACAAGTTCGACAAATCAACTTTATTAATTTCCAACTGTAGCTGTTATGTAGATAGCTGTTGGAAGTATAGATCGGTAGTGAGTTTAACGGCTGTAAAGTTGGGTCAGGCATTTGGGGCGCCGAGCTGCGCGCTGCAAGATTGGCTTGACTCTTTGATTAATTGGGCGAATAAAGGGTTTTGCATAAATTGATTTCGGCAAGTGGCAATCAAAGTTATGGCATTCTCAGCCAGGGCGTTGTCAATTTTGCAATTTGCAAATTTATTAAATTGCTTTTCCCTCTAACCTTACTTTCTAACGCCAACATGTATTTTCACTTATTTCATTTCCGAAATCTGCTCCGCTCAGATCCGTAATCAATATTTTTGCAAAAATAAGTAGGAATTTACACGCGCCCACTTTTTGTCCTTTCTATTTACACTCGCTGATTGCAAGCGAAAATATCGAGATTAAACTTTCAGTGCCCAAGAATCGAGTCCATTTATTCAAAGGCTTCTGGCGTTGTTAGGCTGTTCATGCTCGAGAGACGCGCTTGATCCTTTTTAGCTCCCTCCCAAAAGCCGTTTAAATATTTCTTAATTTCATTTTTCCGGATGAAGGCTATCAATCAAAAGCGAAAGAAATACTTTTCATGGTGTCTGGTCATAAAATGGGAATTTCATTTAGTTCAATAAGTTAAACCATCGCCAGCTGAACGTATTGTTGCGCTATTCTTCATTTAGGGTAATTGTATGTTTTCTAAATCACGATGCACAAAAGACCAAAAATCCCAGCCAGCGAGAGTCCCCCACCCATTCACTGCTCGATCAATTTATTTGCCCGGAAAAATACTTGAACAAATTACTGTTTAAACTTTAAAGTCAACATTTTCTCAAAACAGTTCGACTTTATTTGCAATGGCCATTGGAGCTTACCGATAAATTATCGGCGATAATTATCGATGAAGATATTCCAAGAGGGCGTAATTCTATAAAATCTTTCCTTGATGTTCATGCATCAGGGGATGCTTTCGTCTTGTCAAGTATTCCAGAGTCTGAGCGTATCGCCTTTGGCGCCCAAGAAACAGCGCCGTTCTGACAAAAATGTCATTTTCTAACTCCAATTATTGGTTGTGCGCCAAGATCCCGCCAGGCCGCGGTCTTGCAGCTACGCTGCTTCCTTCTACGCTTTCCTTTGCCTCGTCGAAGCAGCAAATAACTGAGATAGTGCTTTACTCGATTGATGTTATGCTGGGCTAGGTAGTCGAGGGTGAGATAAATAGTATAAAATTATTAGGACGATTTTAAAAATCAGCGGCGCAAGAGTGCGCGCCGAGCTCGTCCGCGGCGGCGCTCCTGAGCTGGTGGCGGTGCAGCTTTGCTATTTCCATCCCAAGCTGGTTAATTTTTTCGTACACATTAAACACACAATCATTTGTAATACCAATCCCACCACAAGGTTTATAATATACTCGAAATTGACTTTTCCCAGCGAGAGTTTTAGTTGACCAAAAGAGATTTCACCCTCGATCCAACCATTTCAAACAACCAAAGGTAAGTCCAGCTCTTTTGCCCTGCACAAACTAACAAGTAGTGGAGTCACTAACAACTCTTGAAGTCTTGAAAATATAGCGAAAAGCCACTTACAAGCTTATTCATCTTAATTCTCAACCAAGTTATCAAAAATATAATCGTTTTTAGAATAATGATGAACGCAATGGCAGGTCTGCCAGCTGCTCTTGGAGGACAACTGGGGCTCGGAATGAGCCACCAGGCATTGAGCCATCAGCTCAGCCAACTTAGGTTGGGTCCCTAAAAATATAATAGCGAATTTGAAAATTTAGCTCATTTCATGATCAACTTGTGGGAACCCGTAGAAGTGCTTTTGGTATCTCCGGTGGACGCAGCCGCATGCCCGACGCGCACGTTGAGATGCTGCTCGACTGCTACAAGATGGTACAGGAGGAGAGGACGCTCGACTCAGGCAGACTCGGCAAGGGTGCTTTCCACCAGGTAAACTTTCGGGGAGCGTAGCGGGAGACCGAAATTATTTTTGAATGACTTATTTAGTCCCGCCGCACAAAGACAAGTATTGAAATTAAGGCTTACCAAAATTGCGTCTCGACCATTGTCCCGCTAAGCTCTTGTTGAGATAAAAAAAATTCACTCGAACCTCGGCCCTGTCCTTAATTTCTTCTAATTTTCAAATCGAGCAACAAAAGCTACTTTTCAAAACAGAAAATAATTGGCCTCGAATTTCGCCAAAGGTTACGCTCGAGCAAAATTTCAAACTCAAATTCAATTAGCCAAATTGTATCGCGCCCGAAAATCTCGCCTGACAGGCTGAGTAATTTAATTTTATATTTTTCCTATTCGCGATAATTTGATAAATATTCATCATTTTGAGTGAAAAAGATTTATCTAAAAATTAATTGGTTTTGAAAGGGTATTGTCTTAGGACAAATTCAATTTTGCTGAGCCAAGTGAGACAAGCTCTTCTCTTGGCTGATTAAAATGAATGCCAGAATTGATTCCAATACTTCTCTCGCGCTTTATTGCATTTATCGCGCTTCTTATTAGTATCTCTCATATTTGAAACCGAACTTCAGATTACGGAGCAGCTCAACAAACGCACAGTCGCCAACTACTGCAAAGACCAAGTAACTGCCAAGCTCCAAAACCTGAAGGCGCAGTTCCGGCAGCGTCGCGCCGCCGTCGAAGCTGGCCACGGCGAAATGCGAGACTGGAAATGGTACGACCGTATGGCCGAGATCATGTCCACCGAGTCAAACGGCAAGCAGGACGACAACAATACTTCTTCAGCGAGTTATTCGGACTTCAACTCGGACAGAACGCGCAAGTCGCCGCCGTCACAGTCGTCGCCAGTCGTGCAGCCGCCCACACAAGTGCCGACGTCTGTCTTCGGAAACAATCTTCACCACGCAGCGGCGCTGAATCCAAACTTGAGCAAGATCTTGGCGAATCTACCACCTCAGCTGAGAGAGAACCCGGCAGCGCTCGCTCAATTGATGAACAGTTCGAATCCTCTCTTCAGCGGACTGCACAACTCTCCCCTTCCCAACCCGACTATCCTCTCGCACGCGATGTCGCAAGTGGCAGGCCTTCCAACTCCACAGCAACAGGCCACAGTCACAACAGAGAGCGACGATGACCTCGAAGACAACAAAAACAACGTCTTCCAGCAGCAGCAGGTAGGAAGCGTTAATTTACTAGCGCCTTGATCAACATGATTGTGACGTTTCCTGAAACTAATCGAATATCTTAGGCCGCTTTTCAAAGGAACCTGATGGCTCGCGTGCATGCAGGCAGCAGTTTCCCACAGCCCCATTTCTCGGCCACCAACAAATCACCGGAAACGACATCATTGAAGCGAGCCGCCCCCGACAGGTATTTAATAACTTCAACTGAAAATCTTCATGCTGAGTTTCAAGTTCTGAATCACCCGATCTGAAACGTGCGCGAGTCTCCCCACCGCCTACTTCGATCCCCAACTTGCCCGGGGTCAACCCCGCCTTGGAAGGAGCAATCGCAAACCTCATGGCGCAGAATGGGGCAAATAGGGTGGCTAGCCCACTGGTTCCCAACGTGACGGACATTGTCGCTGAAATGGTGAGTGAAAACTTATCTTTCCAATTGGTCAGAAATGACTTTTTCAGACGACCGCAAAGAAGGATTATCTCAATGGCCTCCGAAATTTGGCATTCCAGCTCTTCACTGGGCTCTCGGCTGTTCTCACTCAGATGGAGCCAGTCAATCAGAATGAAACTGAATTGTCTGCTGCACCGATGATGCCGCCATCGCCGAAGCAAGAGCGCGTCAGCCCCGGCGCGCTAGAAACCTCGACTCCGATTAAAGCCGATGTCAGCCAAATCAGAGCGGTGAGTTAAAGCATCTTCGATAAGAGATAGAAGTCAAATTAAGGAACTTACGATCGAAGAAGAGCCCGTGGAGTCGGAGAACTCGAAAGTGTCTGAAATCACTCCCGTGGAAGCCGAGTAAACCAAGCGTCGACGTTGAATGTGACCCTGCCTGACCTCACGTAACCTTCGTTTCTGCCGGATATGGCGACTGACTTTTCCCTGCGGTCAGCGCCATCCTATTTATCCTATTCTATCTCGCTCACTAATGAGAATTCAATTTCGCCCAAAAATCCAATTCGCCAAAATCAAACAAGTGATTAGACCAAATCAATCCAATTACAGCATTATGGTCGGAAAATCCGCCAAAAAATTATTTCGAGGGCGACAAATCGAAAATCTCATTTTATTTTTTTCTTTTGTAAATACAATTACTTTTTGTGTCTTCCAGATGAAAACTGCGGTAAAACTACTTTGCTTCAAGAAACACTTTCTACTGTTTTATGCACAAACAACTGGCCTGATCACAATTAATCCCAGCCTTCTTAGCGATAAAAGAAAAACGTCGTTTTTCAGCGAATCGAGTTTTGAAAGTTTGGGCTTAATTTTGATCAGGGCAAGTTTCTTTTCTCATTTAACTTTTCACGACCCTTCTTCGTTCTCGCAATTTATGCTGACTGTAATGTAATATTATTCAAGTTGAAACTGCACCGGGACCAGAGTTTATACTGTACAGACGTTCGCTTAGCCCGCAAAGTTCACTGAACAAAATTAAAATAAAATACACTTGACGCTATCAAGCACAAAAAATGTAGCCATTGTGAGAGTCCCGCAGAGTAAATGTCATTAGCCAGCGAGACAATTTTAATCGCAGATCCACTTTCAATAAATTAAGACCTTTCAAGGCCAGACAATACAGCAACGGCAATTCGAGGCTGAATTTTATTATTCGCGCGCCCTGGGCCGAGCTACGGCTGCCTCCAAAGACGTGGACTGATGCATAGAATAAGTGATTCGAAGAAGGCCTGGCGTAGATTCTAATCCTTCGTTTATAGTACAGAAGTTAATCCCGGTGTTTATGGTGCGATATGGAATTCGATAATTTTAATTCCTAAGCTCAGAAGCAAATTGTCAACAAAGAAATAGGTTCGTTAATCAGTCCTGCTGATAAGGAGAGGCTCCTCAATGAAGGACTAAAAACGCCGCCAGAAAAAGACGTTTCTCTGTGATAAGGCGCTAAATAGATATCCAGCGACGCGCCCTATTTTGTGAATAAAATCTATCAATAGCGTTCTTAGTTTTTGGCAGGAATTTACTCGCAGTAACTGGAGTGGCGAATTGCATTACTCTGCGATTTAGTGAAAAAGTACACACTGGCGTTTCCCGGCTCTCCGTGGCTAATTGGTCGCGCACAATTATTTTTGCGCCCTAAGTCCATCCTTTGTCATAGAAAAATAGAATTATTTTTGCGGCTAAGCAAGTAATAATGGCTAATCCACTCGGGCGATATTTGGGGCCTTTTGAGTTTTGTGCGACAATTTGGGGATTACCATGTTGCCTGTAAAAAAAGATGCTCTAGTGGGTATAATAAGACCACAATGAACATTTTCAAGTGCCAATTTTTGGATCAGTTCGAATTGCCTTTGAATATATTCGCTAAGCTCAAGCTGTTCAAAATGAAACACCTCAGATCCGCAAATTGCACCATTTTCGAGTCCACCGAGCGCCAATTAATTCAAAAATCATTCCAAAGAAATACTTCACACGATCGTCAACTCACACCTTACTAAGCCCACTTAAGATACTAATTAATTAACTGTTTAATCGACTGGCAACAAGATCGACTTTACTCAGACGCAAGAAAGGTCGCCTTCGTTACGAGTCTAGCTTCGCTGCAAGTCGAGAAGCCGCGCGCGGCTTCGAGCAAAAGAAAAATTAGCGGCTTTTCGATCTTGAAGTCGATTTTCGAAGTTACAGTAGCTTCAAAGCGTAGTGGTTTTGGGAAGAGAGTTGTAATTGATTCGATTTTCTTTAGTTTTTTCTTCGGCTTGGTATTGAATTCGGATTGGTATTTGTATAATTGACGGGATTTTTGTTCGATTTTGTTCAAGAGGAGGCTCCTAATTCGATAAAACCGCAGGGACTTTGGCGAGCGCGCTGGAAATGCAGAAATATTCGAGACTAATTAATCCGCCAATGATATTTTCCACCGAGCCTAATCAAATTCAGCATTCAAATGCGCACACAGATAAAAGCACCAAACAATAGAATTAAAATATTAACCAAAAATCACCTTTTCAACGAAAAGAAAAGTAACTACTGTAACTTTCAAAATTTGCAATTATCTGAAATTGATAACTGCGGTGAGACCAAGTTGAGAAGCGTCTCTTCTAGTTCGTATTTGTTTTAAATGTGAACTGTCAATGGTCGCATCGCCTGTAAGTTGCTTGTAAGTGGAATTGCTTTTTCGCCTTTTTCCGCGCGCGCCCATTGGTCAAGCCGCGCTCTGAGCCAACAATCGAGCAAGCTCACTCCTCCGTCTCAAGATTAGAATTAGCTTCTCCCTTCATCACGCGCTCTTCATCCCTTCCAGCTGCCAAAAGAGACAGATTTTTTTTCAGAAGAAGAAACCTATTTCTGATTTTATAGAAATGCTGCACGATTATTATTATTTATTTTTTAATTATTATTTTCTTAGTTTGTCTTTTTAATCTTTGAAAATTCCACGCATCTGTGAAGGATAATTTGAAATTTGTATAAATTTTTAAAAAGAGAATTGTCTAGTCAAATTGGATATTGTTAAGTTGAAGGGGATTAGAGTTGAAGAGCGTTCGCGGGAAGCCGTAAAAAAGTGTTTTGGATCATTAATTCATTGCTCGATTGAGGATACATTCATCCTCTTAGTCTTTGTCGCTCGACATTCCCATTGACGGATTACAGTGAACTATCAAACGGGGCGAGGCGACAAAGTGTTTTTATTCCTGATCGATTGATTATTCTAAAATTTCGCGCTTTTTAGACAAATTTGACGAAATAAAACATGACCAGATGACGATGCAATGACTTCCGAGACTTTTACGCAAAGGAAAGCCTTGAAAACATTATCTTCGAAGTTTAAATTCTATTTTTTGATTGTAAAATTGTTAATTTGATAATTTTGCAAAATAAAAAGGCTGCTAAAGTGGATTCAAGTCGAGCTTTCAAGAATGTCCGAATTCGGCTTCTTCTTCAGTTCCTCCAGCCAGGTAAGAATTGATTCAACTCACTCGACCAAAAATGACGTAGCGCGGCTAAGTTTTTCGTTTTCCCGAAGCCGTCCTTTTCGAATTAGTGAGCTTTTTCTATCGCTAAAACGCGATTAAAGCGGACATAGTTCTAGCTGAGGAGAATCAAGAGCGAGAGATTAAAAAAATTTTTCGCGACACGTGAAATTATATTTCGTCTTCTTTTCTTTTCAATTGGCAATTTGGGCGCCGTTTGAGAGGGAAATGAGCGCGAATTCCTTCTTTTTGGCGTTTTTAGATGAAATCTCGCCACTTAGGATTTTATTTTATTTTGACAAGCGTTGAGTATAGAACTGGGGCGGCGCACTTTCCAAACTGTGGGGTTATATCTGATTCTAATAAAATAAACTGTTAGTGCTTAAAGCGGGTTTATTTTTTCGACGCCCTATCACTTCCTGCATTAATACGGCAAGTGGGTACGTGAGAACAAATTAAACACAAGCAAGAAAGCAGTTGAAACTCAAGCTCAGTAAGACGATAGCGTGATGGGTGTATCCGGCGCTGGTTTTAAACTAAAACACATTGAAATATGTTTGACATAATCTTCGAGATTTCTGCTCATTTCGACGCGATAGAGAAAGCTCTCGGGCGATGATGAGCTTCGGAAGTGATACGAAAGGCCGCGTTTCGCTGAAACACTTTAGAGCGATCTAGTATTCAAACATTCGCCTTCATCATTCTTTTCAGCTATTCGAACAACTTCGGGCCTGGGATCTCTATTCAGACCCTGCGCGACCCAAGTGACCAGCGCTTCCGATTCAATTTGAAGAAAAGGTAACTCCCAAAATGAATGTGAAATGAGTTTGCGGCTTGGAGGGACACAATTATATTTCGGCCAATAATGCATCAAATTAAATAATGCCAGCGCTGCGGCCAAGCTGGCACAAGGTTAATCAAACAAATTCTTTTTTCCGCTGCTTAAAAATTTTCTACCGGCGGCGGCGGGGGACCAGAGACGGGCTTTGTTTCCCACTTTGCAAATTACCATTCGGCGGTGTTATTCTCTTATATCTCAGGTCATCATAAGCGGCTGCATTACACGATTTAATTGTCAATTCTGATCTCCACTGACATTTTAAAATCGATGTAAACATGATGCATTTTATGCTTGTAATATGCATTCTAAGATCGTGTTTCAGTCATTTCTGAGCCATTCAGCCCCTCGTGTCAATTATTCACAGAGACAGCTAATAATCGCACGAAAAATATATTTTCCGTAAGAGCGAGTTCTAATTTGCTCATTTTCGTCTCGTCTTCAATTTGATAAACGACGAATTATTAGTATCGCCTTTCGAGATAGCCTTTATTCGCTTTAAAAGCTATTTCTATTTTTTAAAAATGTTTTCGCTCTTTGATGTTTTATCCGGGCGATTGGGTGGAAGCGTGAAATTATGCACTCGCGAATGTTTCTTGCCAAAATTTTGATTTTCAAAATCGCGGTGCTCGAGTTAATCACGAGCTTTAACAAAATCCTGAAATGATCATTTCGCACTTTGACTACGAATATCTTCGATTGCGAAAATATTAATTAAAATCGTGCTTCCCACTTCCGCGCAACAACAACCCACAAGTGCAACTATTTCAAGCGATAAACGCTTCCGACAAGGCAAAACGAAGCAGATAACGGGTAAGGCACTCTTCCCCACCCAGCAGCTGCTCCTTTGAACCCCTTCTTTATTTTCTGCCGTCTTCCCAGGCGTAGTATGGAAGTATTTTGGCGAAACTAACTGAACTGGCGACACTTCCCAAAGATCAGCATCTCACCCTTTTACAAGATTCTGGCGAAGTCGCTTTGCGGCTTCGTTTTGAAAAGGTCTTGATCACAGGTTGCCCAGTCGGGTGACTGAAAATAGAGAATAACATCATTTATCTTCAATTTCCTCGAAGCCGCAGGCGGCTTCTCGATTTTCAATTTTATTTTCGAATTCGCTATTTGGAAGTATTCTTGCGGCAGATGGGATTAGGATTATCGTGGCGCTCTTTGTATTTCATAAAAATAGTACCAACCAAATAGTGGTCGAAATATGGATGGATTTGCGATAAGCACGCAAATGCAATTAACGTTTACGGCGCGTTATCATTCAGATTAATCTCATAAATGCGAAACCACGCACATCTTTCCAGTGTCGGTATCAAGAACTCCGTGTTTCCTTAGCCCGCGTTATCGTGCGCTTGATAGTAGTAGACTAGTACTGGCCCGCTTGCTTGGCAGCGCGGCCGGGAACACAATCGCGCTGAGTATAATTATTGTGAGCTTAATCACCCCAAGCGGAAGTCATTCGATACCTGCCCCAAAAATATACGAATATCAGTCTTTGCGCTAAATATAGCCCCTGCCGGAATTGATTCCGAAGTTTCGGTTTGGAAACACAAACGGGGAAAACGATCACAATTAAAAACAACTTATTTCTAAAAAGGGATGATCGGAATCGCAGAATCGAGAGTGAGTACTTTCACGCGCGGCGGATTTGGAAAACAATGGGCGGACTGAGGCAAAGCATTAGCCGATTTTAAATCGGATCGCGAAATTCACGCGCCAGTAGTGGATCAAACACCTGATGAAATTAAACCCTGCGAAAATAAGTTTCTAATTATTTTCGCGTATTTACGGCGATATTTATGGGCGTCACTGGCAGGTGCATAAGCAGCTAATTTATTTATTGTTAAGCTGAAGAGGACGAAGGCGTAATAACGAAAATGGAATTCGCAAATTTAATTTGCCGCTCTGCAGGAATTATTGGATTGGCGCATTTAAGAGTAACTTGTAGTGATTGTTACGGGCATCAAAGAAAGTGGAAGCGGATATATTTGTAAATTCCAGAGGCCTTTCTTGTCGAAGAAGCGCAAAATACCGGTTGTGCGTTTCACTTAGCGTTTTTGTAAAAATTTGAATTTGGGCGCCTGGCTGGGGCGCCTTTCGGTGCCTGATCCATCAAAACCATGCGTCGAATTTTGAGTCGCTTTTCTGTAAGAAATTATACACGATTAAATGACCCGGTAATTAATTTCATTCCATTTTCATGTGAAATGTTAGCTATAATCCGTCAATGTCTTCTTATACCCGTAATTTGCAGATACCGAGCGCTTGATTAAAATTGTTGAAACAGAATGCCAACTAACAAACTGACAAGAAATCGAATACACTCTTGTAGAATGCGAACGACTTCCGCTACAAATATTCTCAAAAGTCGTCATTTCTAAAATAATCCGGCCGCAAATGCGAAATGCTTCTTTATTTATCCGCTACCGCTAAACTTGGGAAACTGATTTCGTCTCGCCGGCCACAAGCTAAGGCGATTTAAAAACATATTATCCGTACATAAGACAGTCTAGTAAACATTGAGAGGGACGCTGCTCTATAATTGGAATACTATTATTTTAATTGATGTTTTTGAAAGATCGAAGTGAATCGCTTCTACTTGGCGGAAAATAAAAATTACCCGCTAACAAATTGTATCACCCGGGGCGAGCAATTTGTTAACATATTCAAATATAATCAAATAAAATTCGGAATAATTGGGCGACAATTTCGTTTTTCTAAAGTAGTGAAATTGACATGCCACATTATTCCATTTATAACTGCCTGTCAATGACCGTTCGTGGCCGGTTTGCGTCTCACATCAGCCGAAACGTTTCATTTTCGTTCAACTTCACACTTATTGCTCGTAGCAAAACCATTAATTTCCATAATCGTTATTTCTGACGCTTCCTTCAGGTCGAGAAACAAAGATCGCCACGAAGAGTCCGCCGCCAAACTCCCAACTAAAGAGCCCTCTCCAGAACCGCCCTTGGCTCCTGAATTCGTCCCTCCTTTGCCTGACTACGAATGCCCTGGCTCTCAATCCCCTCCGGCTCGTGACCCAAAACACAATTTTAAACACAATTAAATTTTAACATTTTAATATCAAATTACCAAAAGAAAGGACTCTCCGGCCACTCTGCTGAGCAATGACTTTAATGATCAAACTTAATGAAATGATCAAACAAGAGGCCGCTCTGCAACAAGCCCTAATCGAAAGCGAAATTATTTTTGCGGTCACCCCAACAAAGCCCGAGCCTGAGCTGCCGCCCCTGCCTCTCGAAGAACTCCCTCCTGATCCAGGTTAGACTTTCACGAGTTGATGCAGGTTTAAAATGTGTTCAGACGAGTGGGAGCGAAAACGACATGTGGTGCGCTGTGCCCGCCGCGCTGTCCGAATTTATAAATCTCGCATCGACATAGCAGAGCACCTCGAGTAAATACTACTAAGTATACTTACTTTTTATAACCTTCCGGGCTCAACGATTGTGGTATTCCCGGATCGAGGAATGCGCCGGAACTAACATCTGGCGTCAAGCGACCCGGAAGTCGCTACATTTTTCCATAATGAGCATAAACTAAACTCCGAATGTCTTTTTTACTCGGCTAGTGCATCAACCCTTTTTTACGTTGTTTGAAGAAGGAGCTGCTTCTGCCGGAAGGCGGCGGATATAATTCTGCCCGTGGTAACCATTTGATTTGTAGCGGAAATGAATTAGGGGTCGAAATTGTAGGGCAGACTGAGGTTTCTCCTCTTCCAGAAAAGGAGATTTTTCAACGCATCCGGCCGGGAGGGCTATTTATAATTTCACTCTTCCTGTTTATATTTCTAGTTAGCTTCTCCAATTAGTAGATCTTATGACTTCCTCGAGCTGCGACCTTTTCGCCGAATCCTTAATCCTTAATGTTATCAATTTGGGCAGCGATGATCTATTTTGCAGTTTCTGGCAGAACGTGTTTGAGCCCCTTTGAAAGTTGAAGCTAGCTTGGCGTAATTATATTCAAACTCCTTCCTGATGAATGATTGGTATTTCCCGTCCCTTTTATTTATACATATTCTTGGGCTACACCATATTAATCTGTTGCCCTAAAATTATTAAAGCGACATTCCTGGCCCCGCCCAGATTTTTCAACTTCGCTAATTCAATAGCTACGGCTTATTGAAATAACTCGAATAAGAACGATTATCATGTACAGCCGTATAAATACGGATGCAGGTGAATATGTCATTAATGTATGTTTACACAGCACTTGCACACTTTTTCGTAATCAACCTCTTATTAAATTAAACAGTTTGAGCGAAGCTCCCGCAGCTGGAGTTTTGACATTTCTCATTCTATCTTTTCACCGCGGCGAAAACAGATCCAGACGCGTTTTGAGTTATTATTTCAAATCATCATCGCAAACCGTCAGAATGCATCTTTTTCTCCGCGCTTGGGTGGGAGCGGGGTCGCTTTCCGGGAAATATTTCTCAAAAATTATGATTTTTAGACAAGCAAAAGAGATTCGTGGCAACTTCCGACAGGAAGCCGGAAAGCGGAAATTATCATCCCCTGGTCGGCCGTATCACAACACTGCGGTAGATATATTTTGACTTTTTCTCGAGCGGGATGACTTTCACTAAAACCGTACCATTTGTCTTCCTTTCATATTCACCATATTCGATAAAAACCGGCACTCCGCTAAAACGCCTTCGTGTTTCTGCTGAATTTCGAATCTCAAAGCGTAAGAGATTCTTTTTTTCTCTTCCCCTGAGGAGAACCACTAACGGAAACGTTGCCTCTGCTCGGGGAGTATTTTCACAATATCACGACGCCCAGAAAAGATTTAGCAAAAGTACATTATTTTAATAAAATAATGGAAAACATGTTTTCATATCCGGGAACTCTGATTCCGCATAAAGCGGAGGAAGAGCTAGTTTTTCGCGAGTTTGGCAAGGTTTAAAAATTAAATTAATTTCCGACAGGAAAGAAATACCACGCTCCAGAGTAAGACTTGCTTGGCCTACTCAAGAGTAAGTGCTTAATCGTCGCGTAGTATTTAGCCACATTATACGCTTATTCCAATTAAACTTACTTCTGTATTGAAAATGAAAATGTTGAGGGCTGAATTTGACATTTCTGCCGCTCGTGCGCGCCCGGCAGGTGATGCAGTAAAATTTTAAAATTGATAAGGACAAGTTAATATATTAACTGATAAGATTACACCAACCGGTTAAATAGCGATAAGGTCATGCTCTAATAGGCGACTTTGCGGAGAATAGCCTGCAAATACGCGCGTCTATCGGATGCATATTAATTTATATTTTTATACGGGTGGACTTATGTGGAGAAGGAAATATGTAAGAGAGTATATTAATATTTAATATTCAAGAAGTCTCGCTTCTTATTCAAAGACAAAGACGTTTCTCGAGACCACTCGGATGTGGCCTCATTCTGAGCCGCATAAGTTTCTCAAAATCTGGAAAATAATTTTCGAGTATTCACTGGTACAATGTATACCAACCGGCCACTCGCTTCCGCCACCGGAAGTCACTCAAAGCTCGCGATATTCAAAGACGTCGCACCGTTTCACCACTTCCGTTTTATTCTTAAAATTTTCATTCTCGCAGAAAAATGATCTTTCATCGGACATCGTTTTCTACATACGATTGCTCGAAAAATTCCTCTCTCACAGGCCCTGTTTATGTCCGAGAAATCATAGTTGCTAATTGTTACCTCTACGTTCCGACTAGGTGGCGGCGCTAGGAATGGTGAGACAGTGATAGCCATCTTTATTAAAAAAATATTCCCCCGACTGGTCGGTGCCGCGCACCACAGATTCATCAATGTCTTCTCTGACTAAATTTTTGGTAAAATATTCTTTTCACGCATTCCGAGGCTTTCGCATTTAGTAGCGCCCGAGTGGGGTCGATACCATTTTCACGAATTTAATGAAAACGCGTCCGCGGAATAGTGTTCGTTTGGTTGCCTGCTGGTCACACCGCGCGGTCTAACAATATCTTTCCTCCAAACCGCCGTGCCCTTATTCGGCATAAATTTGGCTTGCTTTGCTCGCCCCACATTGAATTGATTACATTTCAATCCACTTCAAACACTCTTCCCATCTGACTTTGAGTTTTCAAAGTGAAAAATCTATCGCGAGCCTGGAAGGAAGTTTTTCCTTTTGAACATTGTATAATTATGTTTTTCTAGCAAAGTCGCCGCCGATCCATCACCCAAATGCAGCCCCTGTGAATCACCCGTGATCTCCACGCCATCTACAATCGGTAATTTTTCGTGTAAATGTAAATTTTGTCGATATTCATTTTGATTGTAGGGTCGATCCGGCGGTCAATCACCCCTGACTACAGGTAACTCATTTATCCGGATAAAGTAACCCACATGAATCAAATAAATTCAATTTGAATAAATGATTTTTTCTAAAAGGCTCTTCTAATTGTATGATTTTCTGTTGAAGATTGTTGGTATGTAAGATTTTAAAGTTTTATTGCATGATCACATGAATATGTCACTATCATCACTTGAAAAAATAAGTCGCCATTTTCACATCGTTTCTCGGAACGCCTTATTGCTTATCACGATTTATGTTATAAGCGATGAAAAACTAGTCGATAAGTTATCGACAATAAGGAAACTCGAGTAACCATATCATTTAGCAGCAGATCGTCATCAAGATCGTCCTTCTCGTCTCGAGGAAGCAGTTATTCACGAAGAAGTTCCTACTCCCGTGATCGAAGTTATTCCAGCCGCTCGTCTAGATCGAGATCTTACAGGTAGAATTTTGGCGTATTTGTCCTTCGCTGCGGACAGTGACTTTCAATTATAACTTGAAACGCCGCATTTCTCAACACTTTATTTTCAGCGTTTACTTTCTGTTGCAACGCCAGGTATTATTACGTACCCCTTTTTGCCGAAACCCATATTCAATTACTCATAGAGTCAACCTCAAAAAAAACCGACATCTTACAGTGAATGGCTAGTTTATCGAATAGACTATTAATCATCTATCTATTAGATAGATTCTTTGACTTTCACTTGAGTTGAATTTCACCGTCTTTCTTTTTCATAATTTCCGACCTAGAAACGTTAACTAGCGCTTCACTGTCAGCTTTCACGTATCTGAAGTAAGCATGATTTGAGTTTACTCTTATCAAGCGTCTCAAATCAATGCTTTCGGGATTTTTAGATGCTCGTGATAACCGTTAACGCATAATTTTAGCTCTGACTCATCTCGACGTTCGCACTCCTCCATGTCTTCATCCCGATCAAGGAGCCGATCTTCCCGTCGCTCGAGCTCACGGAGAAGCTCGCGTAGAAGCTCCCGCAGTAGGAGACATTACTCGTCGAGTTCTCGTTCCCGATCCCGCTCAAGATCATCTTCATTCAGTTCAGCCCGCTCTCGGAGCAGAAGCTATTCGCGTTCTCGTTCCCGAGCGAGGTCACGATACAGAACTCGTTCTCGGAGGTAAACTTTTAAAATTTCTTCTTCGGTTCCCTTTTATAAACAAACCAAACTGATAAAAAAACATTTGTAGTGATCCTATTATAGGTAATATTGTTCATGGTGATTCTACCTATTAATCCCTAATTTAAATTCATGTAGGTTCAACGCCAAAAATTGCCAAGGTGAAAGCGAAACTGGCAAGTTACCTTCTTTTTAATGTTTAAGCATGCGAGTGTTACTTGATCCAAGGGACGGTTGAACTACCAAACAGGCCTTCTTTAGCGCCTTTAATCTACTTCACGCAGACGCAAGAAAGTCTGTTGCGTAAGTCAGCGCGTCCCCAACTTGATCTTATATCATCAGCTGTTAGTTCAAATTCGAGAGCTTCAGCGAGCTTACCATTTACATTGTGATTAAGCTATTCCAGATCGTCGCGGAGCTCCTCAAGGGATTCGTATTATAGTGGCTATAGAAGACGCCGGCGCTAGCAGCAGATTTCCTATTTCGCTATTATTTTCTATATATTTCAATTACCATCTCTTCAAAGTTACCGATCAAAGTAAACCCACAAATACCAACTTACTCTCAAATCCAAAAACAAATTCCCAAAGTATCCCTTATTCCAAGCCACATTCAGGCCTGTTCGTTTTCTTTAGTTTTCTTTTCTTTATTATTTTATTATGTTACAAAGAAGCCTCTCATCTTCATCAAACTATCAGCTGAGCTGAGCTGACTTTTGTTATCATGTGCAGTTCGTTACTAAATTTGTAAATTCGTGTCTTCTGGAAAATTCAATAAAATAGTATTCAAATTTTCATCTTTTTTGTTTTAGATATATGCAAGCAGGGTAGTCGGCGATGGATCCTAAGTTCTATTTGAACCGGGACTTCACATGTGGTTGCGGAGCGGGATTTTACCAAGGTGATTTGATCAACTGTTTTCTTTCTCATCATCTTATAAAAAGTGGTTGTCGTTCCCCCTAAAAGATGCTGGATGAGGGAGCCCGATTTCGGAATAAAGCTTGATGAACGGGAAAGATTCTGTGGTGTTCTTTGCTCAAATAATCATTTTACCGAAGATGGAGATGCTCAGTGGAATATAACTAATGGGAATCAAAATGGGAATAGAGGTCGTCGTTATATTAGGGTGAGTTCCTCTTGATTTATTTACATTTATTCTGTCATAATTTTAGGCAATGACAGACAGTTTCACAGAAAACCCGTTCGGATTCCAGGAGGAATTCTTCCTTTGCTGGACAGACGAGGTTGTAAATCGAATGATTGGCGAGGGATATCTCGATCCATCAAATGAAGACGTTATGGAACTAAAAACAAACGCTTATGATCCATCTATAATTTATGAGGATTATAACATGAACCTGGCTGCTACGTGAGTTATTGAAATCTAGAAATCAAACATAACATTATTCTTAGATACGAAATGCGAGAGCAGAATTATAACCATGATGAACGAGGTGAAGGCACCGGGTCCGAGATTTCCACCAAATGGGCAACAGACAGCAACTTTACAAGTGTCTCTGCGGTCCTCAAATGGAAAGACAGGAATCCAGAGAAGCCGATTCCTCGCAAAAAAGCCCCCCAGAAGGGGCGTCCTGCGAAGGTTCCCGCGCCTGAAGCCCTTGAAGCTCTTGTTGAAGAAACCCTTACAGGAGTATCTGGTGGTCGTTTAGTCGCAGAGAACGAGGAGATCCAAAATCAAGAATTCGATGACGAGATTTCAATGTATCCAAGCAGCTTCCCTCATTACGAACCCAATATGACGAAGAGTTCCGGAACGCAAACAATAGTTTGTAAGGTAAAAGACAGGTTTGTAACAGGTTCTTATTCTGTTTGAGACCGTTTATCTTAGTTGCATACAAACAGAAGAAGACGCACGTATCAAAGACCTTACAGGTCAAATCGATAGCCTCAAGAAAGAATTGTTATCATTGTCGGAGAATAAAGAGAAAAGCCTCTTCTCGAATATTTCAAATTGGTTGAAAGACAAAGTGGAGGTTCACACTGTAATTACGTTCACTCTCGCTGCTATTATTATTTTCGAACGTCGACGAACATTCCCACTTATCACCATTCTCAAGACATGAGTGTCTACGATCTTCAGATACTTTTTCTGTCCTTATAAATATTACTATTGAAACTACTTTTTGTTGCATCTTTTCACTGCTCCGTTGAACATCCACAAATTGAAAAAACAATGATGTTTCTCAAAATAAAGATATTTAACTTATAAAATAAGGTGCAAGCAAAGTGGTTAAACCGTCATGGTTGCTTCCTTTGGCTTTATTTGTCTTTAATTGGAGCAGTACACCAGCATTTGCTTGCAGTTGCTTTTAGCAGGTCTTGATAGTGATGGACTTATCACCTCTGAGTCAAACGTTGAGTGCAATTTTAGGCAGGATATTTCAAAAATAAAAATGGTCTTCGGTCGTCGTCGTCAACTCAAGAGAAATATTGTGCACCAGATCAGAGAACGTGCTTGTTACGGTGATAAATTCCGCATTTCAAATGTGCCTAAAGCGGCATTGACAGGCACCCCAGACGATGGTGTCGAAGACGAAGAAGAAGGTCATCTCATTCATCCCCAGCAAAAGTTTATTTCCGCTCGACATGCCCAGCTTGTCGAAATCCTTTCTGTTCTAAGTAGTTTATCTGATCATTACCAGGTCAGCAACTACGAAAATGCAGATTATGAACTCCTTTATGATGCTGTCGATAATCTTGATCGGGTGATTCTTGAATTACAAGATGAGGCAGGCTGGCTCGTCGCCGTCCGATCGTTGACTTCATTGACATCAACGAAGAGTATCGTCAATCATGTATACTTACCGATCGTTCATGGTGATGTCGAGCAATTACCAGACTTGTTTTTCGGATTCGCGAAACGGGCACTAGGAGTATTTCATTTTATCGCCTGTCACAATCCCAGCGTGGCCGCTACTTTCGGCGATAACCGGTTCTTTCTGAAGTCGCTTTTCACATTACTCGGGAAGAGAACGAAGAATATTTACGTCGAAGCTGCTTTAGTTTTAGAAGATGTTGGCAGAGCAACTCAGAAGAAAAAATTCGTTTGAAAGAGGTGTGCGATTTACCAAATCTTCTTCGACAGATCAACGACAAATGGCAAAAACGATTGGCCTTCGTCTGCCAAGCCCTCTTTTCATACACGTTTAAGCTTTGTGAAAACGCCAAGGTAAAGCCAAGCGTCGGCAACAACGCAGCAGATACCAGGTTTGAGTCCTTTAATTTTTTTGAAAGAATGATCGCTTTCTAGGCAAAAAGAACCTCCGAAAGAGCTTTCAGAACAGGTACAGCAGATCCGAATCGAGGACGAGCAGCTCGATTGTTGCGTAAAGCCTGTTCGAGCAGATCTTTTGTACATCATTCAAACTCCGGCGATGATCAACAAAATTTGCAAAATGGCCACGAGAGTTCCACCTACTGAGCATGGAATCTGTAGTTACGATGACGTCATATCGCCGTGGATTTTTACAACGTTCAACGAAGACCTTGGAACATATTTCGGCAAGAGTAGAACTCACTACTATCACATGGTTGAGCGTGTTTATAAAATCTTCGCTATTCGGCTTCTTAACCTTGTCGCCACTGAACCTTTTGGCTGCCAAATGCTTATAGGCGAGGAACTTCAGAATAATTTCTATGTTTTCACCAAGGCAATTTTCTTGATCCAACAAAAAAGAAAATGGGTTTGTTGGCGATTTAGTTGAGCGACTTGATTTTGTTTTTTCGACCGAGCAGAGTATGCTTGTGAATACACTACAGATCTTCGCGATGCGAATAATCTATGCCGTGCAAGAATTCGGGGTGCATCAATACAGAATAGAGCTGAAGCCCTCGTCTAAAATGGGAAAACTTAGCTTAAAATCAAAGGACAACCCCGTCGACCGGCTAGTCATTATCTTTCTCAACTTTCCGCTAAAGAGTCAGACAGCATACTGGCTGTGCCAAGGACTTACGTCCATGGTAAAAACTGGAGAAATTTCGCAAGATCATAGCAAAATGCTCATACCAGGTGACTTTGACAAATATTATTGTATCTTAATTTTTTCGTCTAGCTATCATCCAGCGACTTTTGAAGAATGAATATTTTGGATTGGAAGATTTGTCCGGCATGTGTTATCTTCTCGGAGCTCTACTTTACAAGCATCCAAATAAGTTTTTAACGTACAGTGATTTTTAAAATTTATTTTGAGCCAAAATAATCACTAAGTTTAGTCTACTAGATCGCGCTTGCCCATCATCTTTCGCTGCACTTCTGATTGCTCACCCTATTGAGTGTCACTACATTGTACGAAAACTTTCCAAAATTCCACAAAGTGAGGGTACCAAAGCATCAACTAAACTGCAAACGCAAGATTTTTTCATCAAATGGATTTTGAGAGCATGTGAAGGATCGGTTTCTCAGGACAGATAACGAAATATTGTAAAACTTGCAAGAAAACTGACTGGAAGCTATGGGCGGAACTGACACGATGAACCTAGGGTTGGTTAATTCTATCATTACGATTTTCATGGAGCTATCAAGTTGTGCAATGCCGGAGTTGAAAAGTATCGAGCAGAATATTAACTTGAAAAGAAAATGATTTAGATCTTCTTCTCAAAATTGAGAAAGACTGCAAAGACATCGAAAAATTTAAAGAAAAATCTGCCCTTGTATATGTTTTTCAGTTCATGTTCTTCTGGAAAAAACATTACACTGATAGAGGTAAATACTTGATTTCATTTTCGAAGTTAACTTGTTTTAGCAATGCTACAATGTGGCAAAGCATTTGGACTGGACACGAATAGACAATTCATTCAAATAGACCAATTCGTCACTGACTTGCTGAATGTAGAGATATAAAGATTGAAAATAAAGTCAACACTATTTTTCATCAAGCAAATTTAGTTCTTATCAAATATACGTGAACTTCTAGTAGTTTAGCAAGTTTTATAAGAAAGTAAACATCGATTTATCGGAGAGAGCGCGTTTAAAATTTTGCGTTAATCAGATTTAGCTTAATAATTAATGCAATCATCCATTTGCACAAGAAAGTGGCAAAAATCAAAGAATGTTAGTTGTTTGAGTGTGTGACGCTGCTCATTTAATTTTCACGAATATCTCTCTGAAAATGTGCGCATATCAATAACTCATGCATATTAGAAAAGCAAAGTTCTTCAATTTTACGATAGTCGATAAGCAGGGTGGCGCACTTCTATTTTCGGCACACAGATGGCGCAAAGGCAGACCCGGTGAATATAAACTACGCGTAGTGCGTGTCATTCCCTGTGAAATAAAGACTTTACTTTACGAAGGTGAAATTAACAACTGACGAGCCGGTGACTTGGACGATGGAGAGCGTTGACGAAGGGACGGCGTCGTCTTTTGATGTAAGTTAAAGCTTTGAAATTATCCTCGACGATGCGAAACTCGAGAAGGCGACGGACCGGCCACTGTAGCGATTCCTCAAGCACATCTAATTTTAGAGATAGCTTACTGGAGAAAGAGAGAACGGGCACCAACTAGTGACGGAGTGACCGGTTACCCGAGTCAGCGTCGAGTTGCCGAGTAAGAGAGCTAAACAATTGAACCTAGATTGTCCCTTTCACACAAATGAACCAGCGATCTGTCTCCGGTTGTGAGTTCTGGTTTGATGCGAGCAGGCACCAACTCAACAACAATCCAGGTAAACTTATGCTACTCCAGCACCCACGATCTAAGTACTACGAATATTAATAAATACAAAAATGATAAATTTACAAAAATGCGTGTTGATATAAAACGATTCACGTTGTTTTCTTTCTTGATTCCAACAAGAGATTTAGACTTCAATTTTCATATGTCAGGCAGTGATGGAATGTACATGAATCCAATGGCCCACAATTTCGTCTCGTCACACAGTGCTCCTTCAGAAATCGCAGAAGAAGCCGCCAGACGTCGTGAAATTCGTCTGTCTAAGAATCGAGAGGCGGCGAGAGAGTGCCGACGTAAGAAAAAGGAATACGTGAAGTGTCTCGAGAATAGAGTCCAGGTTCTGGAAGGTGAAATTAAATTACATTAAAAATTTTAATTACTAAATTTAGAACAAAATCGATCACTTATTGAAGAACTCCAGAACTTGAAGGATATCCATAGCAACACTAGAAGTCAAATGAATCAAGGAGTAAAATCTGAACTTGCTTAAATAAATAAAAAAAAATACTTATGCAAACGCTCTGTGATTTTAAAAGAAACAAACAATTTCAGGACGACTGATTATATTTTCACAGATCATTTCAAAAATTTACGGAAAAATTGAGGGATAGATTTGACTTTTTCGGTATTTTCAATCTCCGGTCGATCTTTTTTCTTTTGAGCTCGCTCTTTGGAGCTTTTTGTGGAGCGCTGCATTGAGTTTGTATGAGAAGAACGGTTCTCTACATCCATCATCTTGCGGTAGTGACAATCCTGTCCCTTCTTGAAGAGCCTCTGCGTATGAAAGGAAGATAGCGCCTCAGTATTCTACGAAACAATCATCAATTTGTTGAGTGTAATGATGACAAACGTAGCACTTACAAGAAGGGTGTTAGGCTCCTTTTCCAGGCGCATAATCGCTACCGCGGGCTGCTGACGTTGAATTGGCGGAGCTTCAGATTTGCTGCTTTTTCGCGATGATGAATCTAAAGTTATATTTTCATGGCTGACTTTAAAAATAGTCTTTCAAACCTCGTCGACTTCTGGTAGAGCTTCGCCCGGTTGACGATCGCGAAGAACTCGCGCGCTTGACCTGTTGTGACTCTGGTTCAGATTCCAGATTCACCATACGCGCCAGCACTGGCCACTCATTGCTTATTCTCTCATTCCTCGATTCGCCCGAAATACTTCGGCTTATAAAAGAATAAAATAATCGAATCATGAAAATGGCGGTAAACGATAATATTCTTTCCTGCGAGTGTGATCCGGATTGAGAATTGATGTTGACTGCCGTTGAGAAGCGTTGCGAGAAAGAGCAGGACTTTTCCGGGCCGTTTTGGGAGGCTCTTCAGTTTCTTTTGGATCGCCGCGATTTCGTTCATTTCTTTCTTGACTTGATACTCAAGCTTGCGATACTCAATTTTCTCTTTTTCCAAGATCTTCTTTTTCTTACAAAATTTTAGCTGTTATGATGCAATATGGGTTTTGATCCTACCATATTTATTTTCTGAACTATCGCTGCATTTTTGACGAACTGGGACTTCAAGTGACTCCGCCGAGCTGATTCCGCCTGCATCTTTCTTTTCAACTCTTCAACTTTTCGATTCATCGCATTGTTGTGCGTCTTTATTTTGACTAGGTATTTTCGCATGGGACCAGATTTTTGACGTTCCTTCTCGATTCTTTCTCTCATAGCATCACATGGTTTCAATTGTCGGAAACGGTTACTGCGCAATTTTCTTAATTCTCCCAGTGTACGCTTCAGGTCGTCATTTCTTGTGCGAACTGGGTCCTAAAAAGCATGAAGATCATCGCAAAAGCGCATCTGATTACTTTTCGACGAGGCTTCTTTTGCTTCAATTTTGGAGTGAAATCATTTGCACGAGAGTCAGGAGAAATCTTTCGCTTTCCAAAACAAGAGGCCATTGCATCAACAGACTTCGAAATTGTGAATTTTGAATTAATTTAAAAAGAGACATATTCGAATACCGTGCCTTGCATTGCATTTCTGGATTTTCGGGAAATGTCTGATCCTGTCTTTTTGTTCTTCTGCTTCGGTGCATTCTGCGCAGCTGCGAATCTTCTTTTCAGACAGAGAGGGCAAAGCTTTTCTTTAGGTCTGCCTCGGGTAAGGTAGCACTAAATGGTCAGATAAAGAGTGTATTTTCTTCTAGCATACCGGTTTACAATTAGGATATTTGCAGGTAGGACAGACGCCGAGGTTCTCTGTCCTTTTGCAAACGATGCATGCCTTTGGGACGGATTGGTTTTTAGGAGTAGAAGCAGGTCGATGTTGGTTAGTAGTCGGACTCACTTTGCGGCCTTCCTGTTTGTCCAAGCGTCCATTATTTGGCGTCCTTTTTCTTGAAGCTCGACTAGGAGGACGACTGGCTGGACGAGTTGATGTGCGAAGATGAGCTGGAGTTTGCGTTTTGGATGGACTCCGATCGGATTTCCTATTCGGTGTCCGACTGCTCTTATCTGCAGGAGTTCTTGTCGGCGTTTTACTGGATCTCTGATCAGGTTTCTTTCTCGACGTCCGAGTAGGCGTTTTACTCGATGCCCGATCAGACATCCCGGCTGACTTTTTCGCGGATTCACGAGTGGAACTCCGAGCTGATGTTTTGTTTGGAGACCGATCGTGAGTTTTAGAGGACTTCTTCGCTGATTTCGAAGTTTTCTGTTTCGCTTTTCTGTCTGGTTTTCTTTGCGGCGCGTCGAGCGGCAGAATATCCGATTTTCGTATCCCTCGTGTTCGTAAAACCTCGCCTTTCAAGAGTTAAACAAGTGCCAAATTAAGTTTCCTCCGAAGGCTATGGTAACATATTGACTCTTTCCTGGGACGGCTATAAAAGCGTAGCTCTTCGAAGAGATCATATCTTCATCGACAGGAGACGACATCGCAGAAAAAGTAAAAAAAAATTCTCTTTCTTTTTTTGCTGTGTGTTAGAAATGAGCAAAAGCGCAATGATCACCTTTGAGCTCGACAAGAAAGAACAAAAATCGACTGGATTTGTGTCGACTTCTCGAAATACCAGCGAGAATGGAATCATCGAGGACTAAACTTGACAAAAATATTTAAAAATAGCCTATTTTAAATAGGTTATTTCTTTAGCCATGTTCTAGCAAACTCTGATGACACTCCGAACATGCCTGGAAATTGAAGATATTCGAGGTTTTATTTTCAGTTAAATTAATAAATTACGTGGGTGGCAGTGAAATTCGTGCAATCAACGGCCGACTTTTCACCGGAATTGTGGGTGAATGAAAACTAAGTCTAAAACGAAGAAGTGTGATTTCATAGTTTCTAACGATGTATTTTACGATTTTGAACGTTTTTTCGCGTTTAGCGTAAAGTGGGTATCCGTGTGCATCCTTTTACGGCTCAATTGTCCTGAGGCGGTAAATCGCGATCTCTGCCTCACATGAATCATTTTCTAATACAAAGGCCTTTTATTAACCAATTTAGAAAAAAAATCAGTACGGTTCATGCACACGCCGACGGAGAGAAGTTAGAAAGACGACACAGGGAAAGCTAGAGCGATTAGCTTGAAGCCAGAGAAAATGGTTTAGCCGGAAAATAGAATTTTAAGGAAAAAACGAAAAAAGAACGCGGAAATGCTCCAGGAAAGGATTTTATCTTCCCGAAATGCTCAATGCTGTTTTTTGAAACTCCTCCGACAGCCTGAAATAGAACACAATGCACCTTTGCAAAAATACTCCATGGTATTTGAATGTTATGTATGCTAGACTAAAATTGATTTAGTGTCGACGAGTTTGCGCTCTCATCGTGCTCTGGTTATATTGTTGTATGTCCTATTGCGATCGCTACACTATCGCTGGAGTTTTATCAGGAAAAAGGCTAGAATATGAAAGCTTGGTAATTAATCGCTTTGAAAATGCTTCTTTCCTAACCTTGCCAAAAGAAGTGAAAGAAGTGTTCGATCTAAACCACACCAACTCGGCCTGGTTGACGACTATTTTTCTTATTTCTTACATGTCCTTCGCCCCCATCATCGGCTACTTGGGCGACCGATTCGACCGAAAGTGGCTGCTCATCATCGGCCTGCTTTGCCAAATCAGCACCAATCTTGCGGGCTCGACGGCGACGACGTTTGGAGGTTTACTCACATCTCGATTTTTCCTTGGCGTTTCTGAGTGTGTCTTCAATGTCATCGCTGTGCCGTTTATCAGTGACTTATTTGGACCGAAGACGAGAACTTATGCCATTCAGGTGAGAGCAGGGCAGTGGTAGTTCGCTAACTTCCGCTAATAGGCTTTGTCTACTGCCACCCCTATTGGAGGAGGACTTGGTTACGTTATCGGCGCTGAGGCTTCTTCGACCTTTGGAGGGTGGTACTGGGCCCTCCGCGTTACAACACCTATCACTGCCTTTATCGCCGTTTTGATGATGTTCATCTTGCCTTTTCAACTAAAGCGCGGAGCCATGGAGCCGAACATGATTACCGCCAAGGAAGAATATCTCACCGACCTCAAATACTTCCTCAATGTGAAGACATACGTATACACCGTGACTGGCAGCGCCTGCACGAACGCAATGATCGGCATCGCAACGCTTTGGCTACCCGATATGTTTTCACAAGTAGCAGTTCTAGCGCACGAACTGAAACCATGCGCGCACCCACCTTGCGAATTTGAAGAAATTAACTTGAAATTCGGCGCCTTGACCGTAGTTGCTGGACTACTCGGAGGATTACTAGGAATTTATTTGTCTCGACTGGGACGAAAATTAGGAAATAAACTTATTGAGCCTGAGCTCTGTGGTTATGGCAATCTTGTATCGACTATGTCTATTGCCATAATGCTCCTTTTTATGATGATCTACCGAAAGTTGAGCTGGGTTATGGCTTTTCTAGCCCTGACTGGGAGCTCTATCAACTGGGGACTCTCATGTGAAATAGTTATGTCTGTCATTCCTCCACGGAAACGATCAACTGGCAAAGCCTTTTTTAATATTATTAGGTGATAAGGATGTTAATTTTATGAAATATTTTCGTTTTTAGTCATGCGCTTGGTGACGCCCCCTCGCCTATCATCGTTGGTGCCGTGGCTGATATGATAAGAAAATACAGAGATGGTGACCGAGGTCAGCTGTTTCCAAAATATGAACATGCTAATTTGTTTTCCTAGACACCTATCTTGCTGAATTCCGCTCTATGCAGTCAGCATTCGTTATTTTTGCACCTCTCTTCACGGTGATATCCGCGATCTTATACTTTGCCGCTGCCAGGTGAGTCTTCTATAAACTTAAATTTCACACTCGATGTTCTAGATCCCTTATCGCTGACCAAAAAGCCCTCGAACAAAAGAAAGAATCTCAGAGTACGACTCTGTTCTAGGATAACCATTTAAACCTGCCCTATCTTCATCAGCTATCCTGCTTATACTTAATTAACGCAAGAAAAAACCCTATCACACTCAGATACTGTGTTTTTTATTAAATATATAAGTTTATAAAAATAACCCAACAGCGCAAAAATGGGCAGAAATTAGAGGATTTCACAGGAACTTTTATTTTTCACGTTTTCGAAGTGTATTTCCTTGTACTGTTGCATGCTCTGCTCGAACTGCTCTAGCTTTTCGTTGAGCGCTTTTTCTTGGTTTTCGACGCGTGTATTTAGCGCGCCAAAGTTGTCGTGATAGCTCTCGAAGATTGACTTGTCCCCAGTTTTGAGACCTTTGATGTTCTTCGTGTGTTCGTCGAGCTGGTGCACCTTTGTCTTGAGCTCGTCAGCGCCTGTTTCGAACTGCGCGTCCAGTGCCAACTCTGTGGCATCCAGAAATTCACGGCAACTTTTGAAAGCTAAATTCAACTGAGTTTTTTATCAATTTGTGTAGCTTACTTTCAAGTAGCGATGGGGTCGTTTCGTCGACAATTTTGTCGCAAATTTTTAAATCATCAGCGATGTTGTCTAGTCGAGTGACTGTTGTTTGAAGAAAACCAAGGTGATGTTTTGCCAACTCGACGTCTTCAAGCATCGTTAGGTTTTTTAGGGAAAGGAAAACCTACTTTCTTTGTGATCTTCTTTTATATCTTTAACGTGATTCCGCAAGTCCAAAATAGAGTTAGAATAACTCGCTGCAACTCTGAATGTTTTAAAACTTATCTGTCAAGTAATATCCTGAATTTACTGGTCGACAAGGTTGTGAAGTTCTTTCTTCTTCCGAGCGGCTTCCGCCTTCTTAGCCGCTTTTTCAGCCTTTAGCTCTTTTTTCGTTTTCTTTCCCTTCTTCGCCGCTTTCTCGTTATCTTCATCCTCAGTTTCACCCTCTGGCTTTGGTTTCTTCATCTTGGGCCATTTTTTCGACATGGATTTCTTCTTTTTGGATTTTTTCTTTCCGAGCTCATCATCTGTTTCTTCGGCCTCACTTGGGCCTTCTTCAGTTTCACTTTATGTTGTTCATTAAACAGTATTTAATTGAGTTTTTTCTTACGTGTAAAGCCTTACATATATTTGAACATTTTCCTATGCTCAACGCCTCTCGCTTCTTCGGCTTGTTTTTCGGCGGCTTCTGCTTGTGCTTGGATTTCCTCGCTTGTCAAGTCTGATATATCTTGCACAACAAGAGCAGGTGGCACACCTTCTTCGTTGACATCAGTTTCAGTGGTTCCTTTTGGAAACTCAATTTATGCAAACTAAAAGATCAAAAAGAGAGAAAGAGAGCAATTCCTTTCCTTGGTTTTCAGATGATTTTTGATTTTCTTCGTCCGTTTCAGGCGGGACAGGTACTGTTTCCGTGGACCCCTCGTGGATCTTTCTAGGAGCAACAGCAGAGTCAAAGACCTGAGCAGTTCCGTCCTCGAAAGAAACTTTTCGTTTTGGCTCTTCTTGAGAGGGTGCGATTTCTTCTGCAACTTCTCACGGATATAAATTCATAAAAATAGACCAAGAGTACTCATTTGCATAGTTCTACTTAAATCCTTTCCTGATTTATCTTCATCAAGTGTGACTTTAGATTCCAAGTTTGGAAGCTCGTTTTCAGTTTCTTCTTCGACTGGTTTGACGACAATTCTTTCGAGTTTATCTTTCTTATCTTTTTTCTCTTTCTTTGACTTTTTCGACTTCTTTTCCTTTTTGGCTTTTTTGGGCTTTGCACGGGGATACGATCGATGCTCATCGTCTGAGTCCGGAACTGGTTGATTCAAGCGTGGATCAGAGACATGGATCACGTCCACAACAAGTTCCTGAATTAAAGTTGTGGAAGCTCTTTACTTAGATTACTCAAAATTTGAGACAAATTCTTTAAAAAAAATCGTCATTTCATTTTACTATAAAATTGAACATGCCTTTGGCGCCGTTTTGTTCGAACGTCTTGATTTTCCCATTTTTAGCTGAACTGACTGCTTACACTTTGCCAAATAAACAATCAAGAGTGTATTCTAGAATGTAGAATTTTCATTTATTAAAATAGCAGAGTTTTATTTTTTCGTTCGTTTTTTTAAGTTTTTGTTGAATTGCAGCACCAAGATGTGGCTGAATGAGATTTTGTCTTCTCATTAATTCAGATCAGAAGGACTTGGCACTTTGCTAGACGGAGCATTCCCTAGCTGTTTATCTTCACTCTCAATCTTCGAGCATTTCCATTTCGGTCAATTGCTAAATATCCAATTAATTCGATTCTCTATTCAAAAGAACAAAGTGTATTTAACTTACCATACTGTTTCGAAATTTTCTTGAAACTGGTCGTTTTATTTTCGTCGCCCTTTGACGGAGATTGACCTTGAGCTTTTCTGAGGTAAATTGGTCCTCCGGAACTGTATTTTTCTTGTCTTTATCATCTTCTTGCTCAAGGCACTTTTCACCATTCTCACTTCTGGGCAGTGTGGATTTTTTTCTTGCTTGAGTTTCGACTTGAGTCTTTCGATAAGCAAAATAACTCCTTGATGTTTTATTTCATTAGTAACTGGACTCCAGTTGAAACTATCCTTAGCGATGGAGGAGGGCCTCCCAAACCGGCCATTCCTGGCATTGGCAGTGGACCTTTCATTTGTAGCAGTGCTCCTAATGCCTTTACTGATTTTTTGGGCTGCTCGACGTTTTCTGGCGACGATGAGGTGGACATTTTGTCTGCTTCCTCAGCTGACTTCTCAAGACTCTCTTCTGAAGCTTTCTAAAAATAAGTAAACGACGAGCTCGAGAAACAAGAAATCGTAATTTATCGGACACATGTACTAATTTCGACGCTTTGCCATAAATATTCGCAGGTATTAATTAGTTATACGAGCTGTTAACAATAGTCCTGCTATGAGATGAGTGTCAGCAAATTCATAAAATATTTACATTTGTTCTGTCAGCATTTTGCTCGAGCGTAGTTTCCTTCATCTGGATGCCGCGCTTGATGTTCTCTGCTGTTTGGAGATTGATTTTGTCGAGTTTTTTTGCTACAATTGAAAATTTTGACATTTGTTCACGTGACTTCACGCTACCGAGAATTTCCATTTTGTTTGGCTTGCTCTCCTCGTTTTCGCTGTTATTTATGCTACTACTCTGGCTGACGACCTCTGACTTCGCGCCCTGAATCAGACTTTTAGAGTACTAATCCCTTAACATCCTTTCTGGACACTTTCGAGCAGCAGATTTTAAATCTTTTTATAAATACTCTCTCGACGAATGTTTCTGCATAACATGCTTTTTTTATATGAATTCAGCGTTGAAATTTTACGATTCATCCAATATTTGCTGTCAAATTAGGATCAGCTCCTTTTTTTATCTTTGTGAACGTTACTTACCAATAAGTTTTCCTGGCTGGAGCTTTCCTCTTCCTTTTGCGACTGACAAGCAATTACAGTTGCTTTGTTGCTAGTAGCTTCGGCATTATTGTTTGTTGTTCTCTGCTCTCCTGTTTGTCCAGATTTAGCTTTGGACATGGCCTTCTTCGGCTGGTTAAACTCTTCTAGTAGATCTGACACTGACTTTCGGAGTGAGCCCTTTTCGGATTTATCTTTTCCGCAGCTTCTCCCAAGTTCCGGTTCGCTGCCATTTTTGCTTTTCAGGGCAGGTCCTCGTCCCTTCCTCGCGCCAAAAAAACTCAGAAACCATGATAGAACTCCTTGAAATTTCTCGCGTTTCATTATTGATCAGCAGATTGATGTACCTGAGTTTTTTGTCGAAGTCACTGGAAGGCCCCTTTCTTGGTTCTTGCCGTTGGTGGAGGTGGCGTGTTGAGCCATTCTCTGAAAATAATCTCCGTCGATTTGCGTCGATCACTTGCTCAGATCACTAATTGAGCTTTAAAAAGCTAATCATGCGCCAATTTGGATCAGAATTGCCCCAGAAGACTCTGAGAAAAAATACGCCATCTGAAATGGCTTGTTTGAAAATTTCGAGATTTCAACAAAAATACTCAAAAGTAGGAGCTTGAGAGAGCCACTCATCTACTCTAGACACAATGAAAGGCTTGAAATAACGGAATCTGTTCCTCCTTCCCATTTTTACACCTCAATAAAAGACAATCTTCTAGTTGAATACCTGACGCTTTGAGTTCGATCGGCGAATTTTATATTTTTCATCTGATTCCGATGATACTGACAAACTTTCCTTGCTAGAGTCAAAATGCAGAAACGGAGAAAATCAATTTATTGGGTTTTTGAGATCTGACTCATTTCCTTGCAGCATATTCTATTCTTAATGCGCATATCTTTTCTGACGCTCTTTCTCTAGAACTTATTCTTTATCTTCGCACTTTCATCTTTGCTTCTATTTCTCAGTTATATTTTTTTTCTTGTTTCTGGCGAATCTGAGTGCTGCCGTTTTCCGAATTAGCCTCTCGCAAAAAGGCGATTAACTATTAATCTTTTGGATTTGAATAAAATATTTCGCCTTCTGTGCGGCTCTAATGGTAGGGAAGTAATTGCGAACAGATAAGAAGAAAAATGGCTATTATTTGCAGCGCAGTTGGATGCAAAATATCCCGCGGTCCGATCAACCAACACTCAGAAGGGATTAAAAATAAGACGGCCTTTGTAATGGATTACATTTAATACTGAAATGCGGCTATTTAGTTACTTTGTTCCGTAAATGTTCTTTCAAAGTTGAACAAGTAAGAACTAGAGTAACAGTGGAATGCATAGATATTGTGGACTTTTAGCAGCCTCCTGAGTCGTGGTAGGTCTTCGAAATAAATTTTGTTTTTTGCTGACTTTCGAAAGCGATTCAGTACACTCATAATGAGGAGTATGAACTATGACTATCAGTGATAAAAAAAACTGTTGTTATTGCATGTTTCAATTTTAGATGATATACGTCGAGCATGAACGGTATTGCAAAATTTTTTCGTTGCAAAGTTCATTTTGATTTTGATCAGCATCACCAACCGTTTTCGTAAAATCACGCCATCAGTACGTGAAAAACAACGGCGCGCTGAAAAATATTCTTGCAGACTGCCTCATTCAAAAACGGAACGCAGCAAAAAGTAAATTATATTTTTTTTCCAGAATGAAGTCGGATAATGTGCGAGTGCATATCCGAATCCGGCCGATCTCAAAGAAAGAGATCGATGAAGGTAAGAGAGGGGTGGTATGCGGTAACGTGGGATTTTAATCCTGTGCACACTCAAGTGCCTGATATGGGATTTTTAATCCCACGTTGTTAATTTCACAGACGTGGGATTTTAAAATCCCACATCGAGCACTCTGGTGGACGTGGGATTGAAAATCCCACATGACCGCATTTCAGGGGGTCAATTGACGTGGGATTTTTTTATCTCAAATTAACGATAACAATAGTCATCTATCTAGAATATTTTTGCAATTATTCCGTCTCCCGGGGGTTTTCCATCAAGTCGGACGTAAATCTGGATGTTTTGCGCCACAAATAAGTAACTTGATGTAGAACAAAAATAGTTACCGTAAAGCGAACTGTTTTGACTGGATGCGCGATTGTAGAGAAAGATTTTAACCTCAAAGATGAGTTTCTCTTTCAAATCAAGCGCGGAGCACATACAAATCCCTGATTTTACACTACATAACTTAGGCCGCCTAAGTTAGGCATGCAGGTATGAAAGATAAACCCCTGAAAACAAGCTAATTTTTGGCCCGTCGCGTACCTAGTCCTGCAGTTTTTTGTCTTATTTTGTTCTAGAGTTGTTTGTGTCATTGAATTTTGAGCAGAAAAAATCCCACGTCAATCGACCCCCTGAAATGCGGTCATGTGGGATTTTCAATCCCACGTCCACCAGAGTGCTCGATGTGGGATTTTAAAATCCCACGTCGACGAAATCATGAACGTGGGATTAAAAATCCCACATCAGGCACTTGAGTGTGCACAGGATTAAAATCCCACGTTACCGCCTACAACCTAAGAGAGGGAGAGGCAAAAGAGCTTTCAATTTATCATAAAAAAAAGATATTTTTCTTCATCGGTTTTTTAGGGGCACAAGAGTGCCTTATCGCTGCGGGCCCGCAAATCGACTGTCGAGGTAGCCAGTTTATCTACGACAAAGTATTTGGATATTCCGTCGAGCAAACGGAAATCTACAACCAAACGGTGGAACCGATGCTCGCCAGCTTGCTCGACGGGTTCAACCAGACTGTCTTCGCCTATGGACAGACTGGTTCGGGCAAAACCTACACGATGGGAGGAGAGTTCGGAAAGCGCGACCGAGAGCACGATGGAATCCTCCCACGTGTCGCCGAGGACTTATTCGAAAGGTAATTTTACTCGTCTTTCAATCAATCTAACGGGATCAGAGACGTTTTCCAGGCCAAGCCCAGAGCGAGTTCCAAAAGGGCGCGCGAGAGGTTCGAGGGGCGAACAGCTGAGGCACTCGCAAGCAACGCGGTAGGAAGCGCGGTAGGATATGAGGATTAGCAAATTAGCTGGGTCCCAGGTGTAAGCGGGTAATCTCAGAGCGGAAGTTCTCTCATCATTTTCATCAAAGTGCGGACAAAACAACTGGATGTAATTAGGTGGCAGCAGAAGGTAAGACATATATATATCATTCGAATCCAAATTACGCGAGAAAAATGGATTTCACTGAAACTGTTGAAAAACTAAAAAGTGTGCCAAGATATGCCGGCTCCCCTGATGAACCTTCCCTCTTTTTTGTCACAGAAGGAGTTCATAAAACATCTCTAAACTTCCATTTACAATATGGACGGCATGATAAGAGATGGCACATGCATATAAGAGAATGCTCGTCACAAGCTGCGATTCTCGAATGCTCTTCTGCTCACTCCAAAGGAAAACGCTGCAAAGGAACTGCCAAGATGCTGATTCTCGACCCAAAACTCATCAACTCCGAAAAGAAGGAACAAGCCAAGCGACAAAGAACAGTCTTCAAATTCAACTACGAACATCCAGATCGACTTGAAACGAGCAAATACGGCCAAGTCACCACGATCAAGCCTCACGCTGAACACTGCAAAGCTTCTTTACGTTACCACGTCATCCAGCGCCAGTTTCGAAGTACTGTAGGCAAAGTATCGGTAAATTTAAATTCGGATCAATCTGAGATACAGTACGACAATTCGAACTTTGTAATTTCTGATGACAAGTTGGGCCCTGAGGCTGGGATTTCCCTCCGAAAGGAAGGATTTTCAGCAAAGAAGAAAATACAAAGATCGAGTGGTTTTACTGTATCTGATGTTGTTCCGGATCATTGCGCTAACATGACCATTGTTGATCCAAATTTTGAACCTAGCCTTTCTGAGTCCGATTTGTCGCTTCCTGAAGTAAATGTTGCTTTTCAACAGACACCGAAGGGAGTAACAAATTATCAGTTATTCTTTTTAGAATCTGACTTAGAAAAGTTAGATGACGCTTGTCGTGAAAAGTATCGACGACATCCAAGTTCTCCGGTTCACGCCGACGGAACTTTTTATGTCTGTCGCAACTTAGCACCCATCAAACAACTTTACACGATAAGCGTCTATCTTCAAGACCCGGCAAATCCAGCAAAATTTTTACATGTTCCTGTTGTATTTGCTTTTCTTACGGCAAAATCGCAGGCGATTTACGAGGAGATCCTGACTGTTGTCAAAGAGAAATTCAAGGCATACTATGGCCGAGAACTCTCTATGTCAAGAGTGATGACCGACTTTGAATCGTCAGCGGTTTTGGCGTTTGAGCGGGTTCTTGGTTCGACAGTGATCAACTGTATGTTTCATTTCCTTCAGAACATGAAAAGGAATATTCATAAATATTGCGGAAAGGAGTTTTTCAAGTGCAAATTTTTGAATAAGCTTTTTCGTTTTCTGAAGGGATTGATTTTTATTAACCCTGACTATGTGAAAACTGCGCTTTCTCAGTTTCGCAAGTTGATTCCAAAGTTTCCGAAGGAATTGCAGCCAAAAGTCCGCAAATTTTTAACTGAATATTTTGAAGCGCTGTATTTGAAGCGTTCGGACTTTTCTGGCTGGAATCTCTTTGGACAACTTTCAACTTACGAGACGACTTTCACAAATAACTGTATTGAATCTTACCATAAAACCTTGAAAACCAACTCAGGGTCTGGTAGGAATACAATTCAGCGACTTTGTGTGACGGTAAAGAAATTTCAGAATTGCCTCAATGGCAGACAAGTACAAAAGTAGCTTGCAGGTCAGCTACTTTGAATTGTACAAAGAAGAGATCCGGGACCTGCTGAAGCCGGAAACAAGCTCAAAGCTCCTTCAAGTCCGAGAGCTCCCTAACGGCGATACCATCGTCGCCGAGCTTTCCAGAACCGACAAGTCCAAGTGCAAGAACTTTGAGCCCATGGCTATTGAAAGCGATGGCGAATAGAAGGTAAGAGTAAACTTGATTCCGAGCCTATTAAAACTTTTTCAGGAAAACCCAACGGAGACAAAAGTTCACCGCTTCGACACTACTCTCCATGGACTCGGGGAAAACCGACTCGAGGCAATCGGTCCAGTTGTTGAGGAGGAGAAGATAGTGGAAAAGCCAGTGGATGAAGCTTGTGAAGAATGTTCTGAGGATTCTGAGGTAACAGAATTTAAATCATGAAAGAGTACTCAATTTTTTTAAAGACTAGCGCGTCAAGCCGTGCAGTTCCACTGGAACTTCCAGCTCGACGAAGGAGGAAGGGAAGGAATTTTACCCAGGTAAGCCCTGCATTCATGACTTTTGTATTCCAACTCGCCGGGGATTTATAATGCAGACTCCCGGCGAGTTGTAATAATCCCGGCGAGTCTTAGCTCCCCGGAGCGGGGACCCCGCTTTATCTTCACTGTTGTTTTTAGGAGGAGGACAAGAAAATAATAGATGGCCTTGAAGAATTCAAGACATTCAAGAACGAGATGTACGCGAAGATCTCTTGTACGCCTTTTTCAAAGAAAAGGATAGGAGCAACGGCGATATCAGATATAAATTCACGCTACCTAACTATCACCCCTCACCCACCAAATTTCACTTTCACATTCCTACTCTTTCATTCCTCGATTTTCACCTACTGCCTTGGCTTAAAATAAACAGAGACCAAGTAAAACAAATAATCGTTGTTGTCTTCAACTTCTTGCGCAGGAGCCCAAAAAGCATTCGATAGCATGTCAATCTGGGTTCGACGACCTGTGTAGAAAACCTGAGACAGTGTTCGAAAGATCTTAAATGAAAAGCCGCGAAGCGGCTTTTTCAAAAACAAAGCCGCAAAGAATAAACGTTTCTTCAATCAGAATGCTCTGGGAAATATCATCACTCAGGGGAAGACGGAGAAAAAAGAGGAATACATTCTTTATTGCAATTTTGAAGATTGTAATTCATTTTTTTTTCTTATTTTTCTAATATTGTATAATTTACAATGTATATCAAAGCTTCGATGGTAAAACATTTTGAAAAAACAAAACGCAACGAGGTGAAACGTTTTGGTGAATGGAAATACGCAGACATCCCAATAAATGAACTACTCGCTGCCAAAATTGAATATACTCTTATTCACCGAAAAAGAAAACCCTTCCAGGAATCAACGAAAGAAGTTAAGCGTCAGAAAACTTGCTAGATTGGTTAACTGATCTCCTTCGTATTTTCTATTTTCCTCGATCGTATTTTTCTTCGTTTTATGCTTCGTCCCTGGTGACGAACCGAATTGCACATTTTCTTGTCTTCTGTTCACTTTTTGCATATTTCTGTTTTCATGCTATTTTCCAAAACACAGAAAATGAACATACTTGGTCAATGGTCAGTAGATGTTTTGAAATATTTTATTTGATTTCTTTCATTGAGGTAAATTGGGTTGAATGAAGAGAAGTAATATTGAAAAGTTTACAATTAAAAGATAGGGTCGAACAGGAATCAATACTTTCATAATTTAAAATTACAAATTGCAAAACTGTACATAAATACGATTGATTGGCATTTCTAGTGGAGCATGGCGTGGTAGTTCTCGTTGGAGTCCATTTCGATCGTCACGTTTCGATGAAGACTTCCAGGCACGGAAGAGTGGAAGAGCTGGCGGACCAAACCGAATTTGTTTCCTTCGGCGAAGTTCTAAATTTAAAATTTAGCTGACATTTCTTGTTGAGGTTATAATTTACCCTTAGATCAAGCGAGCGCTCGGTGAGATGCGAGTTGAGTGAACTGAGCGAATTGAGCACCGAGTTTGATCCTTCGTATTTGTAGAGAAGACGTGAGTCCCAAGGAGCGCCAGTAAAATTTTCAGTAGAAGAAGCGTTCTTCAAGCGATGATCGATTGTGTGGCAAAGTCTTGAATCTTGGATTGCTGGATCACGAGAGGCTTTGTTTAGGGGGACTAAAGGAATCAGTTAGAAAGATTGATAAAGAATTAATAAATGTAGAAGAGCCCTTCAAATACGTGTCATATTTAGACACTCGATATATTTAAGACTGCGCTGAAGAGCAGGCTTTCCCGAGAGACTTTCTATATATATATAAATAAGAGATTGTACCTGTTTGATACCCAATTTGAGAGTCAGTGCATGGCGCTTCTCCAGCTTCGTTGTCGTACATGACCACGTTTTCGCGGACATCATCGATATTCGACTAAAATATTCGATAAGGCACTTGTCGCGAAAGTTAAACTCACAGGAAGATAGGCCACTTCAGAACCGAGCTTTCGGGACTTGTTGTGGTTCCAGATCAAGAAAGAGATGAGAGCGAAAAGCGAGCAACAAATAGCCAAAAGAATCGCAAGCCAAAGCTGTGGCTGAACACTTGCTGGGGCGATGAGTTTCTTCTCGTCGATGCAAGTGCCGTTCTCACTTTGGCAGCTTGGGCAAGACTTGACTTGGAAGTACATCGACTAAAAGCAAGTTGAAAATCTGGGCAAGCAAATATGTTTACCTTCGTGTTTTTCTTGACGTCAGCGAATTTGATTTTCAGGTTGAATGGAAGTTGGGCATCTGGACTTTCATCGCTTTTGAGCTGGAGTGTATTCCCGTCGGTGTTGAGCGACATCTTCTTGAGCATGTCTTTAATAAAGGAAGACTCTTGTTCATCGTCAAATTGTGCGGTAATAGAGTTGTCTGTGGACTCATCCGGGTCGGTGAAGGTTATCGGCCACTGCGAGAGACTTGCACCAGGACAAAAGTAGATCACACTATCCTGTGGGTTCGGTGGCATGTCGTCCACATCTTTGATTAGCACTCGCACTCGTGTTCGTCCCTAAATTAATTTTGTTAGGCGAAATTATCTCAACGATTCTTTTGCGGACTTATAAGTCCTGAGAAGAAAAAATACGGTATAAATATGTTAAATAAATGTCATTGGTGATTTAGTTGCTTAATTAAGAACAAGTCTGAAGGTGGTTTCTCAAGTCAGAGTGTAATTATTCAGTCGATTAGGCAGGAGAAGGAAACGTCAGTCACTTCACGCAGACTAGAAGGAGTGCGCTCGCGGTTATTACCTCAAACGCCAGCCTGTTTAGTTAGATCTACCGTCCATTGAAAATATTAATTATGCAGCAGATCCTTGGAGAGCTGTGGTCTCTAATTGGCAAAATGCCCATCGAAAATATATTCTTCCTTCGAGAGAAGATTGATGGATGGCGCGCGTAAAATCGCCTGTTACGAGAAATTGATTGCTATTCTATTAATCTAATCCCTTATTATCAATCATTGTTTGATTTTAAGAAATCTTAATTACCGTGAGAGCGTCGAAATCAACAGTGTTGACGGCTAAAACGTCGAACTCCCAGGTGGACTTGGACTCGCGGTCAACCGTTGACTGGAGAGTTAACTGTCCAGAAGTTGCGTCAATGTTGAATGGAAAGTTGTTTCGGATTGCTTCCGGGTCGATTTTGTACTCGAAAGCATCGCCTTCTGGATCAACCGCTTTGAGAACACTTTTGCAGCCGGCTTTATCGTCATTTCGAAGACATAGACGAGTCCCTTAACTCGATTATTATGACTGTTGGCGAAAAAAACACTACCTGGATCTGCGTTCTCCGAAATTTCAAATATTGAAAGGTCTTCCTCGAATTGCGGTGGTTCATTAACGTTAAGCACTTTCACAGTAAAATTGATGCTGTCCGAAGGGATGATGCCGGCTTTAGCGGCGGATGAGACCAGTGGACGAGTGTTTTTTGCAACGATCGATAATTGATGAATATTCTGAGTTTCATAGTCTAATTTTCCCTCTTTTGGTGCAAGGCAAGCATCGATTATCGTCTTCTCAGCAGGTGCCGAGGTGTCCTTGATAGCTTTGATATAAAAGAACTTGTCGCCAGGCGAGTTGATTCTGAACTCGACGTCGCCGTTCTTTCCCACGTCTAAGTCCTCCACTTTGAAACAAAATTCGTCGAATCCTTAATTTTTTTGTAACTTATCAATCGCATCAATCACTGTTATACCAAGTTGTGGATCTTCGGGTACTTCTGGAAAGGAGATTTCATCTATAGTAGGTAAAAACTTGGGACCGTTGTCGTTGATGTCCGTAATCTTAACGAGCACTTTCACAGAAGCTTCATTGGCGCCCGTGGTGGAGACCCCGCCGCCGTCAACGGCAGTGACGGTGACGGTGTATTCCGTGCTTTCTTCTCTGTTTAGATTCTCCTTCTTCACGTAGATGTTTCCGTTGTACTTGTCAATGCGGAAGAAGGGCGAGTCCAAAAAGTAAGCAATATCTCCGTACCCAGTTCCATAGCCGTCGCTTGCATCGGCATCTTCGGCCACTACTTTTCCGACGGGAGTTCCTTAATTCAAAAGTCAGCCTCTCCCAATTATTCCAAGAGTGCTCAATTATGTGCTTATAAATGAATCGAGGCAGTATGAAAGTGACAGAGACCAGTTTTCCCTTGAGTCTCTTTTCCATCACACAACTGCGCACACAAACTAACACAGACGAAAATACATTGCCATATCTATAGGACGCGCGAATAAATAACGCGAAACAGGTTCAATCAGCGACATTATCAAATTTTGACAAGCTCATTGCGGTGTTGTTTCAGTTTTATTTGTCGTAAACGGTGGCCATATTTGCACGCAAAAAATAAAAGCTGAGAGGCTCCGAGGCTTGCTTCATCCTTTTAGCAAAATGAAAAGACAGCTTGCGAGCGAGATTACGAGAGGCTTTTCTTGCGCAAAGGAAGTCTTTAATTTTTGCTAACCTGCTGAGCATATGCCACCTTCGCACTTAGTTCGGCTCATCAGAGGTATTCATCCCTTTCTTCATAAAATTTTACTACTCCATATGCTCACTAGTTCCCATAAAAATTCTATTGCTCCGAGTGGCCATATGGACGCAAATTATTAAACTCATAATTTAGTAGCGCTGCAAAGTAGTTCACTCAGTCATTTCCGTGGTCATGGGCAAAAATATGTTCCCACAAGAGGCCAATTAAGGCTGTAATCACGGGGAAAACAATTGGCCCCTTGGGCACAATGTGCACAAATTGAAGGCTAAATATTATGCGAGCTGTGATGCTTTAAGGTCGCCGGTGGTGGTTACTTCATTTACTTCCCTCTTCAAATTTAAAAAGCCATATTTCTAATTAATTTCCAGCGAGCGTATATTGATAATGTTAAATATATTCCATTTCGGGAAGCTACTAGGTCCAGTCAAACGGGGGACGGCTAACTGTTATCCGATTTATGCACAGAGTCCTTTGTTCTCGATCAATTTTGCAGGGCAATTTTCCTTAAAAACAAGCCATGCTTTATTGAGGAGGGCGAGCGGAGGGCTATTGTTGCGCTACATGCAGGCACTGATTTTTTTATGAAGACTACGTATATCGCCATGCATCAATTCGTCACGTGACATATGCCGCTCCATTGTGACACTTCGAGCATATGCTTTCAACCTTGGTACTCCCATACTTACTGTCCCGCGGTGAAATATCTTTTCAGTTTTATCTTTTAAATAATCTACAGGCTGGACACAATTTTGAATATCTTAAAATTTAAAAAGGCAGCAAAATGTACCAATCGTTTGAATCAAATACCCCGGTGGAGGAATGTTATAACTAAATAATTGAAAACTTTAATAGACCATTGTAGAATCTAGAGCGCAAAGACCGTGAATTATTCATTGATCACTGTGGAGATCTGCATTTTGCATGAAAATCTTCCGCTCCTGCCAAAAGTTTTGCTCGGTTTTAAATTTCCAAATTTGAAAAGGCAGATGCCGAATGCGGGGTAAATATGGGACGGCTTCCGTTGCGCCGTTGAAAGTACTCAAATATCCGCCATCTCCATCACAAATATCAAACGAATCCGAATTTCTCGGTCTAACATAATATTTTTTCAGTAGTTCTTTTTCAGGAAAATGTTTCTGGGTTGGATTAGGAAAGTTGTAAGCTTGAGCGCGAATTAGCATTAGCCCAAAAAGAAGGATAAAGAGGTGGAAGGTAGATCCATCTCCTGCTTTAAAAATAAGGAGACACGAGCTGACAAATCCTGCTTGAGACGGGCTCAGCGGCATCGCCCTTTGATCTTTTTGTAAAAAGTGATCGATGGCCTACATACAGTAGGGTAGATAATTCAGAACCTCCAGCAGCGAGCTTTCATCCCTCTTTCAATGCATTCCAAAACCCGACCTCTGTCTCGCCCCAAGAAAAGTAAATTATTTATATTTGAATAATTCGGATTCCCTCCTGGAGAGACGCTTTGCATCTGTAAATAGATATATAAACCTACAGTGCCAGAAAAATTGGCTTTGATTGATTTTGGCTTTAGTTAGTTTTAAGCCTCAGTAAACAGGCATCTGTGTAGTGTTGCTAGATTGTTATTGAATTAAGCTAATTTAGAAGGAATCCCTGGATTACTGACTTTTAAAATTGAGTTCTTCTCGTAGAAACATACCTTTTGGAGACATTTCTGGGACGCTGAATTCGTAAGAAGACTCTGGAAAGATAGGCGCGTTGTCGTTGATGTCGTCGACAAAAATCTCAATCGTGGACGGAGGCTCTACGTCACTCCCAGATTTGTCTTTTGCAAAAATCTCCAGACTAGCAATTAAGTTCGATAGAGCTCATAATTATACATCTTTACCTGATAAAAGGAGTTTCTTCGCGATCAATGGGCGCGGACAAATATACGTCGCCATCTTTGGAGACTGAGAAGTAGGGGTTCTCGCCGAGAGAGAAGTCGACGTCATCCCTCCGCGGGTCAGTCTGGAGGCGGCCTGGGCTCAGTCGGGGACGATCGACCTGCCAGCCGGACCGTGGCTCCGTGATTTGCCAACGATTGAACTTCCACTCCGCCTTAGAAGATTTGTTAATTAACCTTCACAAACGAATCGTAATGAGAACTCATGTGACAATCGTCGCCGCTGATCGATTAAACATTATTATAATTCTTAACTGGCTGTTTTCTAATTTGGAGTAACGCTGGAATATCTCGACGGAGAGAAATAAAAAGGTCATTTGTGATTAAAAATCGATAAAAGATTCGCTCTCATGGAGCTCACCTGTTCCGAAGATCGACCTTGACCTGGCCTGTCAATAATAAAACCAACAGTAAATGCCTTGATAAGTAAAAGGACAGGATCGATTCAAAACGAGAAACAGATGGGCGCCAGTTCCGGTGCTTCACGCTGCGCGATAAATCCGGATCACGTGGGTAATTATTCGCGCGCAGCGGGTCATCTCTAGCCACTGTCACCAGAAGAACATGTTTTTTTTTGCTTTCTATGGTTAGGTAATGTTTAGTGACCATTATATTCGTTTATTTATCGGGTCTTCTTTCTATCCCATGTTCCTATTATCTCTATTGGTTTTCGCGCTGCGAAAACAAATGTGCAACAATTCAGAATATCGCTAACTTTCATACAATAAATTAAACGATAAGAATTTCATTGAAGGGCGAAACTTACATAAACTGCTGCGCTGTGGAATAAAAATAATCTCCAAAACTTCATTATTACTTCGTTAATCTTTCTCTTCTAAGTGCTTGTTCTCTCACCGAAGGTTTTAGTAAAAAACTATCAAACTTTGAAATTTGTAGAATGTTATTGCTGCGGATGGTGAACGAAATGCAATCTTGGCACCAGTCGAGCAGTCCTCCGCCAAAAAAGAGTGAAGGACGAGGCGATCGACGGCAAGTCACGTGGTGGCGCCGCTCGGCTCCCAAAAATCAAGTCAGCACAGGAGCTCCTGCTGAGCACGGAGAATTGGCTTATTCTAGCTTATTCAGCAACAACTAAGTTTTCTTTAGAAATATAAATAATAGTAAGAGTTCTCATAAGTATGATCAAGTAAGAGGTTTGCAAAAGCCACAATAAATAATAATATCATTATTGATCATCAAATAAAGATTGTTATATTATTGAATAACATAACATGCAGCAAGGCAATGGTCACTATTCCTTTCTTTTTATAAAGTCTAGAACCACAGTAAATATTCTTTTTTCCAAAGAATCAATTGTAAATCATAAAAGATGATGAACTTAGTTGAAAAAGTGCGTCTGCTTTGGTTGTTCAATATTTGTAGTCTATACTTTCGTAGCTATGATTGTTTATATACAAGATGGCATTAGATGCTTGTGTAGTTTATGTATACGAGCCGTACGTCAAGTCAATTAGCATTTGTGTCACTTTTACGTTATTCGATTAACAAGCATCTGACTTAATTCGGTCTTGGGTTGTACTTCGTGCTACTCGCGGAGGTTTCTTTCACTATAAAAGGGATCGTGGATAAAGCCAAAAATATCGGTTTATCGGAAAAGAGGTCATGTGACTGTGGTCAAGAAGTGGTGGTACTTGTGAGGCCTGTTTGATGCCGCCGCCATCTCCGTGTGCTCGAGGAAAAATTTGCTTTCTGATTTTCTTTGCGATAAAAGACCCTTCTAAATGGGGCCACCCTTATCACATGACACTCCGCAAATTTGCTTACTCAATTGAGCCCTATTTCTGGCCAGGGGGATAATTTATAACATTTAGATTTTGATCTCCATTTTCGAGCTTCTCAATCATAATTTCAACTTTCAAACGAGCATTATTTTCATGCTGCTATCTGGCGAGGTCTTGAGCGATTTAGAGGTAGATTTAGGCCAGGCGTCGATTTTCTAGTAGAGAACGGGAATACTGATGGGGAACCGGTGGAGACTCCCGCCGCGTGAATCCAGTTGATCCGGAGCACGAGGTGCTCTCTTGCTGCTAGCGGAACAATGAAGCTGCGATCAATATCGAATTAAATCTCACGCCTTTTTTGCAATTTCGAAATTCCCAAGCCTTTTCTGACGGAATCATCATGTAGAATACTTATAGTTTCCACTCTTCTTCTAAATCTTCAACCGTAAATTGCCAAGGACCGTTTTTCAAGGGCTAGTTGCCAATATGTCGTGTCGGCTCATCAATCATTCAGAAATCTCTAGTTTTGGATATTAAAAATATATATTCTATCAATCATTTCATATTTCTATCGAAAAATCAATCGCACTTGGATCAAACCTAAGCATCGAATTTCGGAATACAGCGGGCGGATCAATTTGATCATCAGAGTCCTACCTAGTTAGAATAGCGAAAATATCTACGGAAGCTATGTTTTAGCTAGAGCTATCAAACAGAAGCCATAAGAAATCATGGAGGAGAGAAGTCTTCCAAGAGCGAGATGGGTCTTCCGCGAGGGGGGACCTCTTCTCCCCCACGACTCCTCCGCTTATGCTGGTGAGACCATTTCTCATTGCCCACGCTCTGCCAAACTAACCAATCAAATCACGCTCTGCCACTCGTGAGATGTTGACAGCAAACCACTCAATGTACTCCGACAAATTCTTCACTTTTTAACTGAGACTTACCCTTTTTATGTATTTTCACTAAGCGCTGCAGCCTTCCTGAAATGTCAAACTTCAACTACCGAGACAGCTTCTGTTTATAAATTCGGAACTTTACCGGATAATAATTTTCATATTTTAGAAAATGACTCTCGAGTTAAAACTGAGAATAAAATGGCCGTTCGAAAATATCTAGAGGAGGTAAGATCTTTTTAGTCAGACTTTACGAAATAACTGAAAGTTTAGATCTCTTCCGCTCCTAGGGATTGAGGACGACAACGAAGAATGCCTCGTCCCAGAATCTGAAGAACAGTACTCAGAAGAGCTGGGTACTGACGCCCTGAAAATTTCCCAGTGAGGAGACTGGGAAATTTTCGAGGGATGTGAGGGCCATTTCGTGGCCGAGAACTGGCCGCGAAATCGGCCAAGGAACATTACCGGTAGGGTATGGCTTACCGGTATGAAAGGGAAAACCCCTTTTCCACCAATATGATTGAGTGTTTACTCAACCTTTCTTTAGCTGTTCACACTGTTCCTAAATAAAATTTACACGAACAAAATCTGTTGACTCTACTTTGTCTTAACTTGCAGGCAGCGAGCGAATCTTCGACGAACTAACTTTTTCCCGCATCAAAAACCTTAGCTGCTGTGTGTTCTGATCTTACGATTTTCTTTCCACCAAGACAGGCGTATAAGGCAAGATTGTTCAGACCTGACACAAAATGATTTCGGATATGCAGCTCGGTATGTTTGCCAACCTTCTCGGCTGTGTCATTTTCCTGCTTATCGTCTTGTTTCACTTCGTGTCCGTTAACGGAGCTGGAAACTCGATCAAGTCTCAGTAGATCATCAGAAATGGTTCATTGCTACCAGTTAACGTAAGAACTGACGCGAATGGAAATGCCCAGTGATCCAATTTCCCTGGCGCCCTCATAACTACTGTATATTAACTCTTTCCTTCAGAGAGTCAACTCATCTATCATCTCTAAACCGAGCGTTGGACTGCTTTTTCCGGATTTCTTATATTTAGTAGCTGTTTAGTCGTGCCTTCCTAGCAGTTCCGACTGTGCAATAATTCTTTTTTCTCCTTGAAATCAACTCATTCGTAGTACAAACTTCAAGAACCGCTTTTGAATTGCCTTCATTAAGACGAGAGTGATGAAGAGATGACGAGAACCTGTGAGAAATCAGAAGAACCAAAACGAAGAAGAAAATGGGCTTCGGAATTAAAGTCGAAATCGTGGAGGAAGAGCTGCGCGTAATATCAATCCCCGAACACTGCGAAACTATTGAAGATATAATTAAACACTGCCTGTATACGAGCGATGGGATAGCCGACTATGAAATCAGTCCCAAAGACTTGACAATCTTCGGTCTTCAATCTGCGAATGGCCACTGGCTTCGTCCAGCACTCAGAATTAATGACCTGTCGACATTGATAAAGGAAAGGCTTTCAATTGATGATGCAGCGTTTTCTTCTCACGCATCAAAGGAGCCTCCAATAGCCAGACTCGAAATTCAACCAGCAAAATTTGTCAACCCTTCGACTCCGAATCCGCTACCTTTTTCCATTTTCCAAGAGCGAGAAGAAGATCAACTGGCCCTCTCGGCAAGGGGGCGAGAGCTTGTATTCTGATGGCTTGTGGCGATACGCGTTCTATCAAATCCGGCGGGATTACTTGTCGGGAGCAATTCAACTAGAAGACACAGAGAACCAGTCCTCTCAGGGACTGGGACTGGCGGTAATAGACACAGTGAGACTGAAGAAAGAAGGCATCGTCCCGCCGACAAACCACGAAATGCTACTTTCGCCGCAGTTACGTTCGAAGAAAACAGTCCGTGTAAACTCCATCATTACGTCTATTCGTCTCAAGAAGCTTTTCAAGAAGTCCGTGAAAGCGCACGAGCAAGAGAATTTGAAAAGTTTAACGATCACTCAGCTGCGCGATCAATACCTCTACAATCTCCTTCCAAACGTGCGTGAAGAGACTTGGGGCGAAATATACGATGTAACCTTTGGAAGAGGCGACAAAGGTCGAGTCTGGGTCCATCCTGAGAACGGCATCTTGCTTCAGCGAGAAGGAAAAGATTGGACTCGTCATTTCTCCAGCTCCTTCAAAAATGTCCTTTTCTCACGCCGTTCCAAAAAGCAACTCAGGTAAAAAATACGTCTCTTCTCAAGATAAATTCCAAACATAAAGCGTTAACTTCATGGACATTAACGAGTGGCAAGTGACTTTTTCTTCTGAAGAAATCGCTACGGACTGCCACATCTATATTGAAGGCATGGTAAATTTAACAGGAGATCCTCACTCTTACCAGAACGCTGATGTTACTTGGCCGATGCTTGTTGAAGAACGAACGCTGGGCGCTTTTGGGCCTCTGAGTTTCCAACGAGCGAAAGAGCTGTTGTCCAGTCGTGGCTTTTGCCTTCTCCGTCGTGGCGCTGATCAGAACACATCTTCAGGGATGGGAACATAACCTTACAATATTTTCAAGAACAAGCTAAGCGGTCAATGTTTCATGTTGTTTTCCCGTCCATTGAATGGTTCATCACAATTCTATCCACAGATGGCCAATACTTGAATTTCCAGATACTGCGTAATCCTTCGACAGGAAAACTCAAGTTTAGCGGCGACAACTCACCGGAGTTCGATTCTCTTCAAGATGTTCTAACCAATGGAAAGGGGTCACCATTCAATGTGTCCAGAAGGCTGACTCCTTGCGTCGTCAGTCCAACAAGAACGAAAGTATTCTCTGCCGGGGAAAGTTCGATGAAAAGCCTTGTTCCCGAGAGGATAGAGTTGCCCTCACACGCACTGTATCCGGAGAGTAAAGTCACGTCGAAGTCTGTAATGGGCGCTGGAAGATTTACGGACGTTTACCAAGGCCGCATGCAGATCGAAGCAACCAAAAAAGAACGTTCAGTCGTGACTAAGTGTATCAAAAACGACGATCTTCTCAGGAAAGTGTCAGTACTTTAAATTCTGAGCCCATTTTTTGGAGCTAAACACAGTCCCTTCCGGCCTCTCGATATTCGACACTTGCGAGCCGGATCTTCGGAAATATTGACGAGGTAGCGATCAAGTCCGTTAAAGAAGCCTTTCACGAATCACTCGACATCATCCATAATTCAAGACATCCCCACATTGTGCGTCTACTAGGTTTAATTTAACTAACCTACTTAGAAAATAAGACATTTTAAGGAATTATGAGCACAGGCGCAATCATCCTTGAGCGAGCACCAGGTGGTAGCATTGATTGTTATTTGAGACGAAAGCATGAGCAACTCAGAAGTAGACAAGATGCGAACTACGAGGAAAACTTCGGGTCAGCGAAAGTCTTGAATCACCAAAAAATGTTATTTTAGACCAGACATTGAGTACGAATGCCCTTACGGTGAAAATGGGTACTACGATGCCTGGGATGGAGTATCGAAAGACAGCTCGTCAACTAAATACGAGCAGCTGAATACTGGTCAGACTGTTCGCACTGAAGTTACGACAGTAAACTCAAGTAGTTACGGAGGCTTCACAGGAGAGACCGAAGATAAGTCGACAGAGTCACCAAAGCGAAATTGGATTGCTTGGAAACTAGAAGTTCTTTGGCAAGGTAGAGAACGTCCTCTAAAAGCACCTAAGAACTTGGAATTTAGTTGCCACAGCACTTCAATATCTCCGAAGTCGGTGCCTTTTCCATGGCAAAATCAAAGCATCAAATATTTTACTCTTCACCGATGGTCCTATCAACACTCCTCAGCCTCAAGTCAAAATTTCTGATCCTGGCGTCGTCCACCACATGGCAACAAAGCACAATTCAGAGTATTCACGGGAAATGGATCTCCCCCCTCCCTGGATTCCCATAGAGTACATTTCTAGGTACCTTTCAATCATGCATGTTCTCAATATTAACTTGAGTGTAGCCAAGTCGAGAAGTTCCCGTTATGCTACGACAACTGGAGCTACGCAACTTTGGTGGCTGAGATTGGCCAGTGGTGCTACAAAAGCTTCAAAATGAGTGTTCCTTTGAGCAGACCTGATAAAGACCGCTACTGTACAAAGCGTGTACGTGACCTTCCAACGTGGATCGAAGACCTCAATCCGAAACTTCATAATATGATCAGAGAATGCTGGAATCCAGAACCTACTCTGCGGCCATCATTCTCTGACCTGCTTCGTGAGCTTGCTATCGCCCGTGTCATTGCTAGGGAAACCGATAAAACTCTTAGCCTGGAGCTTCCATCAAGTGCTAATGGTAAGAGTCTCCTGATTGATATCAAAAACTATCTTACTCAACTTAATAGCGATGGACGATTACATGAGCGTATCGACTTACCAAGACATGGCACTGACAACAGTGAAACAGCTCGGACAAGGGCATTTTGGCGTCGTCGAGCTCTGCAGCCACGACAACAGTTCAAATAGTGTGCCGCATCGCTCGGAACTTGTCGCCGTAAAAAGGTACTTTCGTTATTTTCACCGTCTCCGGACAATATACGATTTCCAGCCTGCGAGATAACATGCGATCTGTGCAGAACACGAGTGACTTCCGGAACGAATTCGACATTTGGCGCGAGTTCGACCACAAGAATATCGTTAAGCTTCTTGGCCTCTCGCTCCCGAGTGGACGACTGGTCATGGAATATATAGAGAATGGCTCGCTATTCTCTTGGCTTTCTCATAGAAGAAAAGAGGTGATTTATTATGATTTAACGAAAAGGGCAGACTAAAAATTCAAAAATACTTGTAATTCGATCTTGGCATTCAAATTTCTTTGATCGGACAGAGTACTCTTCTTCCGTGCTTGCTTTTCACATTCTTCGTTTTTTTGTATGCTTTTTTCCGACTGGTGCAAGCAATGATCGGATCTGTTGGAATCATAGAAGTTCCTGACCCTTTTGAGTAGAGATGCCAAAATATGATTAATGGACTAAAGTTTCTGTTAAAGAAGTTAGTCTTCAATTCTACATACCAATTTGGCCATTTTTCTTGCAATGTCTTCTTATCCAAATCGGGCGTGTGGTCGGGCACGAATCTCGCCCCAGCTAAGATTTTACCGTGACTTACTAGATAACTCGCCTTTACCTTGAAGTAAGCGCTGGCCTATGCAAACAAGCATATCATTTCTTCCTTTTTCTCCAGCTAGCCCAGTTGGATCATTCCACATTAGAAGTTCTCGAGGGATCTGAGATTCGTCTTTGTACCTGTGTCGCTCGTGGAACATAATCGGAAAGAAAATCATCGATAGGGGGGTGCATCCATTCGCGTCTTCCAAATTGGGATCAGCGCCACGGTCAAGTAGAACTTTCACAATTTCCATGCAAGGCGCAATTACTGCCATGTGAAGCATTCCTCTGCGGAAGCGCTCATCTGGCCCAACTGAAAAATAACTATGACAACTGTCACTTGTATTTTTATATTGCTCAAGCATTGATGGGATCTATTTCTTATAGATTTTGGGGTCTAACTCCTCTGAGCAGAGACATCGTTGAATCTCCACCAAGTGCTCAAAATGTAGCTAAAGCTGTAATACGTGCAGTAAAGGGGCTTAAAAAATATATCAATATCATCAAAAATCGCTTGTGCAATATAAAAAATACTGTCCATGTAGGCATAATTTTTTATCACTGTACCGGAGTGGACAGTGAATGCTTGGTTAAGTTTTCGTTCTAGTGAAATAGTATTGCCGCATCGAATCAAGTCTTGCAAATCGTCATATTCGTGTCGTGTCAACTTCGTTTTGCGTTTATAGAACTCTTGGAACCTCAGGTGATTTGGCCCATCATTAATTCCATTGATTTTATTGGCACCTAATAAGTTATCAATTTGTTTTTTCGTCAATTACCTTTTTCCATCAGATATCGCGCGAATTTTATAACCGACATTTCTTTAACGGGTTCTTCTACGACATCTTCCGCTACCTTGGATACGTCTTTTTCTGTTTGTAGAGAGCACTGAGCAAGCGCATTTGTAGCATCTTCCTCCGCCTTTACAGCTCCATCTCCGCAAGCGCCAACACAATGGCTTTCTTCGTCGTCTTTGACTTCAATGAGTGATTCAATTTGAGACTTCGCTTTTAGTTTTTCCGCATATTCTTTTTTCCGTTTCAAATACGCTTCTCGTTTAGAGCTTCTGCGGTGTTTAACATTCGGAGGGTTGAATTTGTTATTTTCTATGAGAATCTGTAGCGGCGACTTCCCTTTTCTATTCACTTTATTCACGTCGGCGCTAAATACAAATGTAAACTTGTTAGTTCTCAATTTACTTACCCGTGCTCAATGAGTTTTTCTGCGATTCGGTACCGTTTCTGTTGTATGGCCGTATGAATTATAGGACCTCTATTGACATTTAGCCCCGAACGAATTTGTGTTTCCAGCGCATTCCAATCGTCTTAGAAAATGTATCATATAATGGTTATGAATCTTAACTTTTGATTCCGCTTAACTCTTACTTTTCGCGATAGCAGCTGCCCATTGATACTGATAAGTGACATTCATTTTCTCTTAGAGATTTTAGATTATATTAAAAGGGCTCAACGAGATGTTCTCATGTAAATTCTGGATATTGAAAACAACCAAACTTTATCTAGAAATCGCAAGGCAAGGAAACTAAATATAAATATTCAGGAAGTACCTTTCGACTCAATTTTCGAGCAGCTGTTTGCATTCTCAATTCAAATCTGCGAAGGCATGGAGTACATCCACTCCAAGGGCAAAATACACCGAGACTTGGCTGCGAGAAACGTAATGGTCGCCTCTCAAGCCTGTTCATTAGATCCCGACAAAATCACACTTGTTGCAAAAATAAGCGATTTCGGTCTTAGTCGAAGAGTCGACGGTGAGTTTTTTATCCAAGATTTGTTGTTAGTAATTTTTCTAGCGACAAAAACGTACTACAGAGGTAACCCAGAAGAGTTTCCTGTTCAGTGGTACGCGCCTGAATGCATAAAGGATCAGTCGTACCACTACACATCCGATGTGTGGAGTTTTGGCGTCACTCTCTGGGAGATATTCTCCTACGGTCAACGCCCTGAGTACAAAAATGCCGAAAAGAAGTCCCATCTAACTCTAGTTGAACTTTTCAATGCACTTCAAGAGGGCTGTGTAAGTTTCATGATTTTATAAACTTTTCTAGTAGCCACTGTGTTTTACATTATTTTAGCGACTACCAAAGCCGCTGAATTGCCCGATGAGCATGTTCGAAATCGTAAGATCTTGCTGGGCCTTCAAACATGAGGATCGACCGACGTTCACTACACTTCTCGGAAAGCTCCAAAAGAAGAGTTCTCGAGTCGACTCAAGCTTGGCCTTACTTTTCCCATTCACTAAAAGAATAAATGATTCATCGTCTTCCGTTTAATTCAATTCCGACTCGCTCTGTCCAGCGAACTGGACCTTTTGTTTCCATTTTCCGTCTCTTTTTCTAGCTTTACTTCCAAAACTCAAAAACTGTTGCTCTAACTTAAAATTTATATCTGTGCAATTTACTCCATAAAGAAGCCTTTTCTGTAATCCCTTCCCCAAGGGAATAAGCTCGCTACAATCGACTGTTACTTTACAATCCTAGTATGCAATAATGGCCTCCGGAGTTTTGTCCTTCCTCCGTGGAATCGACCTGACTCGATTTCCGATCGGGGACACCACCAAGCTTGGAGACACAGAGCAGCTTAAAGAACTCCAAAATGTAAGATGGTTGAAGCTGGCGCGAACGGGCTTGAAAGTGCTTCCGGCTGAAATTGTTTCCTGCAAAAATCTTGAGGAACTTGATATATCCTTCAACCAGCTAGCGAGTTTAGAAGATCTCTCCGAGCTACCCAACCTTAAAAGCCTTATTGCGAAGAGTAACTTGATTCTTGAGACCTCTCTCCCGCCGGAGATATTTCACAAAGAGCTCAATGTGCTCGATCTGCAGAAGAACAAGCTCCGCGCCGTTCCTGAGCGACTGGAGGAAGCGGAAGGCTTACTCGTGCTCAATCTCGCCGACAACCAAATTTCTGAAATTCCGCAGACAACATTCGTCAATCTCTGCGATCTGATGCATTTGGACTTGTCTGGCAACCAACTTGAGACGCTGCCTGCTCAAATGAGACGTCTATCTAGTCTTCGTATCATGAACATATCAAACAATCCGCTAGGATTCGCGCAATTGAGACAGCTTCCATCGCTCATCGCACTCAAGGAGTTATATTTATCAAATACTCAGCGAACTGCTGCAAATTTACCCCAGTCTTTCGAAGGTTTGGCGCAGACACTGGAAGTGATCGACCTGAGTTCCAATCAGTTGCAGGAGATCCCTGATTGCCTTTTCGAATGCATACAACTGCGCCGGATCAATCTGTCTAATAACGATATCAGTGAGGTGCACCTCCAGATTGACAAGTGGCACCATCTTCGCAACCTCAACCTAAGCAATAACAAACTCACGTCCTTACCGGCGTCTCTTCAGAAGCTCACGCAGCTAACGTCCCTCTACATTTCCGAGAACCAGTTTGACTTTGAGGGCATCCCGAGAAGTATCGGCAAGCTTGGCAATTTGGAAGTCTTCTCGGCGGCGTTTAACATCCTTGAGACTGTCCCCGAAGGATTGACGCGCTGCATCAAGCTCAGAAAGATGACGCTGAACAACAACAAGTTGATAACTCTGCCGGAGTCGATCCATTTCATGCCAAATCTACGCGATTTGGATGTGCGCAACAATCCCTCCTTTGTCATGCCACCAAAACCGTCAGAAAGTAAGAAAGAAGATGAAATGAGCTACGATGCTCAGCTGCGCCGCATGGGCCAGCTGCCCGAGAAGAAAGAAGAAAACACCTCGCAGAAGAAGTATGAGCGGCGCATTAAGCTTCGTAAAATTCGCGAGTCTGTTGGACCCAACGGCGACTCGCAAAAAGGTGACGCCAACAAAGTGCTTGCCGGTCTCAAGGAGATCGAAGGCAAGGGCGATGCCGATCTCGACAACGAAATCACTGGAGGAAAATCTTGGATGGACAACCTCAAGGGTCCAACACTAGACTACAATGGCGTGTTCGACGAGTTCACTGGACAATCGCCTGGCGTCACAGTCTGGCAAATAGATAACTTTTACCCAGTATTGCAAGATGATACCCTCCACGGCAAATTCTACACGGGCGACTGCTACATTATCCTGCAATCGATTCTTTTGGAGAACAGAGACCTCGAGCATAAAATTTTCTTCTGGATCGGAGACGACGCTTCTTTGGATAAGAAAGCCTGCGCCGCGATGCACGCAGTGAACTTGAGGAACATGCTTCAAGCGAAGAGCAGAACGTCTAGACAAGGAACGGTCATCAAGCTATTGTCAATTTCGGTGATAAGAATTTTTTTTTTACTTATTATTCTTATCTTACTATGAAGGAAGTGGTAGTACATTATTTATAGCACGCTTCACTGATAACAAGTGTTGAAATTATGAAGAGTTAGATCAGGGCTTTGCTTTTTCGGGAAAATGCGAAAAAATGCGTCGCGCAAGGCGTAGGCGCCGACGCAGATCGAGCACTGAAAAAGATCGAAATTTGAAATTTTACACTTGCTCAAAATTTGTTTCTTTTCGAGATCTTTGTCCGGGATACTTCTGCAAATAGCCAACGTATGGACCAATCAGAATTCAAGTCGCATGATTTTTAGAGGATTAAACTTGAGAGTTTTCTTTGTCGTCTTAATGCAATGATAATTACAGTACTTGACGAGGGACTACCATGGGTAGTCATAGAAAGGTTCGCCTTTCCTCACATTTAAGTAACGAGGGATGACACATTTGATGACCGCGATGGTAGAAATGAATGACGAGGATGACGAGTTCCTCGACCTCTTCGAGGACGACATTCAGTACATCGCTGGTGGCTCCGAAAGTGGATTTTACCTTGTAGAAAAAGCCGCTTTCGAAATCAGACTGTACTGCGTTGAAGATGCAGCCGCTCCGCGTATCTATCCAGTTCCGTTGAAACCGACGTCTCTCCACGCAAAGCAATGCCTGATTCTCGGTATGATTTCACAAAGAAGCGAGTATTTTCACCTGCATTTTAGATACGGGAAAGATTATTTATTGTTGGCTTGGAATGATGGCCAAAAATGTGGTAAAATCAAAATGTCGTCTCATTGCTGACAAAATCAACAAATACGAGCGCAAGGGCCTCTCCGAAGTAATTCTGGTTTATCAGGGCTACGAAGAGAGCGAGTTCTGGCAATTGCTAGGCGGCATGCCAGGTAAACATCAGCAACTAGAGTCTTTGTTCTCAACCGATCATTTAAGACAAGGTTCGGCCTTTGGAATTGCAGCAATACCGAGGTCCGCGCAGTCCTCGTCTGTACAAAGTTTGTCTTGGCTCAGGATACCTCGAGCTACCTCAGCTCAACTATCGAACGTCGATCGACCATGATCCTAAAAATCAACCGCGACTCAATCTCCTCCCACACCTCCGTCTGTTGCCCTCACTGCTGGACTCTAAGGGCGTCTACATACTTGATTGCACTGGACAGATCTTCGTGTGGATCGGAAAGCATTCCCAGCGTCTCGCGCGAGCTGCTGCCTGGAAATTAGCCTCGGAAATGTCTAAATTGCCCGGCAGGCCGGCGATAGACATCCGCGTCACCAAGGAGCTTGAAGGCACTGAGAGTGTTGGTTTTAGGCACATGTTCAAAGGATGGGATAACGTACTCAACATCGACTACTCGAAAGCTGTCGACACGGTGCCTGAGAAGGAACTACAGCTTCGAAAAGATAGACAGGTAATTGAGTGTTCAAGAAATTATTGTCTTATTGAGTGGTTAAGGCAAATGCGGCTGATATGTCTGCTCTTTTTTTGCCTCGTCAACGAGTAATGCCATACGAGGAAGCGGTCGAAATTGGCGAAGAATGGGCTGAGGATTTGGAGTCGATGAAATGCTTTGTGCTTGAGGGCAAGAAGTTTGTTCATCTGCCAGAAGAAGAGAAGGGCCAATTCTACTCTCAAAACTGCTACGTCTTTGTGTGCAGGTATCTTTACCCACCAGACAAAGACGAAGAAGAGTCTGAAGGCTCTGACGAAGAAGATGAGGAAGAGGACAATCTAGAAGTTATCGTGTACTTCTGGGAGGGACGTGATGCTAATCAGCTCGGCTGGTTAACATTTACGTTCACTCTGCAAAAGAACCTCGAGGAAATGTTCGCCGACAAACTCGTAATTAGGCGTATGAGACAGCAGCAAGAGGGCGAAAAGTTCTTGAGTCATTTCGATGGAAACTTTATCATCATGAACGGCAAGCGATTCACGAAAGCTCAACGCGAGAAAATAGCCAATCGCGAAAACATCGAGTTACCGAAGCGAGAGCCATTGCTGCTACAGACACGCTCGACAGGATCAATGTTCACCACTCGTACCGTCCAGGCAAGCAAAGAGATTATTTTCTTTTGACTATTGCTGTCATTAAGGTTGCTTGTGAACCCGCCTCGCTTAATTCTGAATTCTGTCATATTCTGATCGTCCCATTCTCCGGCGGCGGAAGTGGAATGGTTTATGGCTGGATCGGCCGTTGCGCAGAACCGAGGGAGGCCACTATCATGGGAAGCTTGATGGATGATCATCTACCGATAGAATTCAAGCGCTATTCAAAGCAAGTTATCAACGAGGGAGAGGAGCCAGAGAACTTCTTTTGGGTTGGCATAGGCGCTGATATCAGCAGAGGGTTGCCTCAATATCCTGGCGATGCTGAATATCTCCGAATATCCCGATTATTCAGGTATTATATAAACGGATTAGAATATTCACAACGACTCAAACATTCAGATGTACTAACGAAACCGGATATTTCAACGTTTCTGAAAAATGTTCTGATTTCTGTCAAGCTGATCTCCAAGATGATGACGTCATGCTTCTTGATACTGGCGCGATTCTGTATTTGTGGGTGGGCAGCTCCGCTTCGCAAACCGAGGTTAAATTCGGTCTCAAAGCAGCCGCCGTTTATCTACAAGTATTCACCTTATTCGTTATTTATAATCACACTGGATTCAGCATTTAAAAGCGAAAGGTGCCCCTTCGCGGAAGCTCAAAGCGGTTCGCAAAGGAAACGAAGTCGCTGACTTCAAACAATGCTTCCACGGGTGGAGAGCGTGGTAACTTTTCATCGAGATTGAGATCTTCCTCCCTCAGTCTCCTATTCCCTGTTCTAGGATTGTGTCTTTTCTATTCCACAAAAATTCAATTCAACTTTCCTCATTTCAGCATGCCGTGTTTTCTTCACACTCAATGACAACCAAATCTATTTGCCTTACCTGAAAGTGATTATTTCCAAAACTACTTTGTTTTCATTTGCCTTCAAAATTTTCTTGTTATTTATGAAATGCCTCTTTAGAATGTTGCGAGCGTTTTCGTCCCGAGTTCGAGCTGCCTCTTCTCTCGTTCTCGCTGAAGTCAATGCTGCTGGCGAGTTGCAGGCTTCAAGCCTCTCTGCCATCAGTGCGGCTTCCAAGTTTGGCGGTGACATCTCTGTTGTTGGTAAGTATAATTCTATGACTAGTCCTTCTATGTAAATATTTCTAGTTGCTGCTGAGGATGCTTCCGCCGCCGCACAGATCCTCGCTTCTGTCAGCGGTGTGACACGAGTACTTGCCGCCTCTGGCGCTCAGTACAAGGGTGGCGTCGCCGAGGTCGTTGCTCCTCTTCTCAAGGAGGTCCAGGTTGCCTCTGGTGCCACTCACGTCGTTGGCCCTGCCACTCCCTATGCCAAGAACATCTTGCCTCGACTTGCTGCTCTCTTGGACGTTAACCAGATCAGCGACGTTATCGAGATTGAATCTGAGGATACTTTCCAGCGGCCAATCTATGCCGGGAACGCTATCGCCACTGTTCAGTCCGCTGATCCCATCAAGATCCTTTCCGTCCGTCCAACCAACTTCGCTCCTGCTGAAGAGGGTGGTTCCGCTGCCGTCGAAGATGCCCCAGCTGTTGGTGCCTCCGATCTTTCTAAGTTTGTCGGCCAGGAGTTGACTGCTAGCGATCGACCAGAGCTCTCCTCTGCGTCCAAGGTTTTACCCTCTTCCGACGAAAGTTTTTAGCTGTCTGTTTAGGTCGTCGCTGGTGGACGAGCTTTGAAGTCCACTGAGAACTTCGAGACTGTTTTGTATCCTCTTGCTGACAAGATTGGAGCTGGTGTCGGTGCTTCCCGAGCCGCTGTTGATGCTGGATACGTTCCAAACGACATGCAAGTCGGCCAGACTGGCAAAATCGTCGCTCCAGAGCTCTACATTGCTGCCGGCATTTCTGGTGCTATTCAGGTACTTCAACGCCTATTACTGAAATTTCAAATCATGATTTTAGCATTTGGCTGGTATGAAGGACTCCAAGACTATTGTCGCGATTAATACTGATGCTGATGCACCAATCTTCCAGGTGGCTGATTACGGCCTCGTTCAGGATCTTTTCAAGGCTCTTCCTGAGATGACCGAGAAGCTCTAAGCTGAAAGTTCAAACACTGTTAAATGCTCGATTAAGTTATTTCTTAGTTACAACAACTCGTACACGTTCAAATATGCTCCTCCTCTATTCTCTATCGAAACGAATTTCGTTAACTTATTTATCCGGGTGTTTACTGTAATTGATTGTTATATTAAACACTGACGTTCCTTCAATGATTCAACCTACTAATGATGTTTTCGATCGATTCTTACGTGATATTTTAGAGCAAGGGCTCCACCCCTGCCGGGATCTTACCATCTTGTCCCTGTAATATCAACAGGTAAGTTTATTTTCTTTCTCGGGTCTTCAAAGCTTAATTAAGGATCAAAACCAAACCAGTCTTCTAACTTCGAACGATCTAAACATCGCTTTCTGCGCAGATGAGCGACATCAAAAAGTCTGAAGCTGGTGACGCACCCCTCAAGAAGGAGGTGAAACCAACTATCAAGCATGAAGAAGAAGCCGACGTTGAGGTATGCTCGACTCAAGTCTCTGTTGTCAGTTAACATTATAGAAAAAGAGTTTGAAAAATGATCAGAGTTCAAAGGCCAAAATCGAGGCAAAATTACCCGTTAATGCCAAAGATAATAAGCCCGATGAATCGGGAAGGCCTCAAGCAGGTGAGAAGGGCTCTGATTCTAAAAGTGCACAGCTTCCGAGTGACTCTCAACCCAAGGCAACAACTTCCAAAAAAAGTGAAAATGTGCCAGATATCAAAAAGGAAATCGAGAAAACCGTTAGCGAAAATGCCAAAAATGATGATCTCAAAAAGAATTCAAAGTCTGAGAATCCTAAAATCCCAAGAAAGGTTCTTGATTAGCACGTACTCTAATCAGATGCCACAATTTTTATTTGATCGAATTTTACTCGTTGATTGCGAGTTGATTTACTCCTTTGATTGATCTTTACTCATCGGACATTGTTGTAATAGAAATTTTAGGACAGAGTCATCTTGTGCTCGGGCGTAACCGGCCAAGTCAAATGGTTCAACGTTCGCAACGGCTATGGCTTTATTCATCGAGACGGTAACGAAGACCTTTCTTTCGTTTTCAAAAGAGCTTTTAAGATACCGATGAGGACGTTTTCGTTCATCAAACTGCTATTGTCAAAAACAACCCAAAAAAATTCCTCCGATCTGTGGGCGACGGCGAAAAAGTTGTATTCGATGTTGTCGAGGGACAGAAAGGAAACGAGGCTGCTAACGTCACTGGCCCCGAGGGACAACCCGTAGAAGGCTCCAAGGTAGGATATTTCTACCGCGGTTGAGAAAACAGCTCTCTAAGTATGCTCCTGACCGACGTCGTTACCGAAGACCACGACGACGATTTAACGGTCGAGGAGATCGAAGTAGCAAGGATGAAGACGGTAATGGCAAAATGGGTTTTATTTTTGTTCAATGTTCTGTTAAGGTTCTCCCGAGTCATCTGGAGATGCCCCCGTCGAGGAGAAAAAACGAGCTCCACGAAACAACCGACGCCAAAAGTAAGATCTTATTCTCTCAAGAAATAAAGATAATGTCAAAGTAGAAAGTCCAAGAACGAAAATGAAAACCAAGAAGAAGAGAAACCCAAGGCGGAAAAGACTGAGAACGAGAAAGAGGGAGAAGGCCAAGAACGCCAACGACGACGACGACCTCGTGCTCGAAAGCCTAAAGGTAACTTCAATGCAATGACGAGTCTTGATAAGCTCCTTCAGACACTTCAGGTGAATCCGCCGATGAAGTGAAACGCGAACAAACAGCTGGCACTGACGAGGAAGGTGCCCCTAAGCCCAGATCTGGTGGCTACCGTGGTCGAGGCCGTGGTGGCGGCCGAGGACGAGGCAATTACCGCGGTTCTGGACGAGGACGTGGCGGAGGACGAGGCCGCGGACGTGGTGGTGCCCGCGGTGGATCTTCACGATCCAACGAAGGTGGTGCTCCTCCCGTCAAAGATCAAGAGTAAATGATCCACAAATTCTCCTTGCGCCAAGGTTTCTGGAGACCTATTCTCCCTCATCGACCGTTCACCATCTTCTCGTCGGTTGATTTTCTATCTTTTCCCTGCATCCCAAGGCTAGGATTTTTCTCCGCCGAAATTCATGATCCAAATTCAACTTCTAATATCTGAGTTAACAACGCACGCCAAGCTATTTATCTGTCTGGGCTTAAAGCGGGCCCTTCCCTTTACCTTCACAATTATCGGACTCTCGGAAATCCATCCCCTTTCTCGACCCCTATTACACCATTTCTAGAGCTAGGATAACATCATGGTTTCCACGACAACCCCTTATCAAATCGAAATTCGCTTACCATCACTTAAAGTCACCAAAAAATAACATCTATGGTGGGATGATTCAAAAAACCGAACAAAAAAATAAGCTTCACTAGCGTCATGTGTAAAGTAAAAACATGCCAAAAAAGAAAAAAAAGAACAAAAAATATAATCTTACCACCATTAAAACCACAAAAAAATATGACATCTTAATTTTTTTCAATTGAAAACTTGCGCTTGTGTGTGTCCCCTGTTCTTTGCATTTTCAACCGAACACAGGGCGCTCAACGGGGTGGCGTGCGTTCAAATGCCCCTCTTCGTTCGGTGACTTCGCTTAAATTGAATATGATCACAGTTTTTTCTATTTTCATTTAATTAATTATTTGTGATTATTTTTTAAGTATTAACGCATTTAGTCGGCTAGAGTTGAGTACTCTTCGCTGCGTCATTTTTCTATCTTTTGTGACTGAAACGATTTTCAACACCAATTTTGAAACGCCTTGTACTAGCTCTGCCTGACGCAATACATCTCTAAAATGCACCGTCTTAAACCCATTTAAATATAAAAACAAAGAAAAGAAGCTACTGTCGAGCTGTTTTGCGATCACTTTTGCGCTCTAGCTTTGGGAAAATGTTCTAGTCACTAGAGCGCCGCTTTCGCTTTATCAGTACCTATCATCATAATTAAGTAGCTCATCCGCCAATATTATTACGATCCACCATCTGGCTTAAATTAAAATAAAAACATCGATTCACCATCTTCGGCTAGATTCAGACTCCTAAGTGCATTTTAACCTGTGGCTCGCCCAAAGCAAGGTTTTTGCATCGCAGAGGCATCATCAATCTGCCCATCTTATCCCAATGACTATTCACCACGATTGCTACCACTATTTTCATCTATCGTCAAGCGCCAACTCTTTCGAAGCCTACCGCTTTCTGGCGCCTATCCTACTTCGATTTTTTTCTTCGAGCGATTTCGCCTTGCCGATAGATGAGTGCTTTCTTTTACGAAACAAAAACTCGTGCGACCCATTCCTCTTCAAATTAGCCCTTAAGGGTGTTATTTAAAAAGAATTCGAACAGCTTAAGCTAAAGTAGCATCACTTCGATAATTCATATCATGCGCGGTGGTCAGAGCAGCTTAGTCACCCGCTATGACCCGCCACGACGGCTTCCTGCAATTTCTTATGATCCCAGCTCTAGACTGCTTCTTGAGCTAGAACATAACCAAACACTTAACTTTCATTTCTCCGTTCTGAGTAACTACTGTAAGTTGTGTTGTTGTTGTCGCTGTCTTTGTTAAAAAAATCTTATTCGACTCTAGGAAAAACAGATTCAGTTATTCTTTTCAATGAAATAGACGAAAAAAATTCTAAACCCTCGAGTGTTGTTTTTGCAGGTATTGAAATCAAAAAGGTTTACGCAAAAATAGTGTGCATCGTTTTTCTGCAAGAAAGAATGAGCTATTAGCGAGACTTCATGCATGACCTATTTACAGCATTCATTTCGCGCGACTCGTCGTCGACGGCGACTTGCAAAAACGATTATAGAGCAGTTCTTGCGTTAACATTAACATAACACACAAGAATTCGAGGATCCTAATTTACAACAATTAGAAAATATTGATGCAGTTATCTTAGCTTCTTCGAGTACGAGAATGCGTTCTGAATGTATGCTCGATGCGAAATAGAAATACCACGCAACTATTATTTTATTGCAATTAAAATTATTCTGTACAGAGAGTCAGAGTTGCCTTCAGCTCTTTACATTTCTCTCTTAGACTGAACTTTGAGTATGGAGTCGGCTGCAAACAAGAGCATGGTGTAAGTACTTACGCGACAAATATTTGCTATTGAGAAACTAACCCGACTGCAATTTCTTTGCTTGCCTTTTTCGCTATTTTTCTTACTCTTGAAATGAACACAACCCAGTCACAAATAGTTGATTATGATTTCAGCGAGGCCTCTGCCCAGGGGTATGTGATTCTAACTCTTTCCTATAGCTCGATATCCCGGACCTTGGCGAGAGCGCCTTTTATCCGAGCTCATCTTGAGCATAACCTGTAATTTTATTAGTGATTGTGCTTTGTGTTTAGTCATCATCTCCAGTAGTTATAATCGGTGTTCCCTCTCTGTCCTGTCACTATCGTTTTGGGCTTAACAATAATTCAAGGACTCTGAGCCAAAAAGTCGCGACGGATGCAGTCCAGCGCGCTGAAAAGCATCTGGGCAAGATGTGCGAGAGCATCGGCAATATAAACGTAAAGCACGAGAAGATCAGAGACATTGCCGACCGCCTTGCCCATGGATGCGTGGCTTACGGAAACGAAGAATATGGAACGAGTTTAAAGGAGCTGCACCACTTTGCGGAGCATGTTTCAGCGGTGCAAGACTACCGCCAGGCTTACGTAATATTAACCTGTTTGACAAATCATCTATCCTATCTTAGATCGACCAAATGAAGCAGAAAGTGGTGCCGATTTTGTCAGGTTACGGCATGAAATGCAAGAGCGCGAAGGTAATTTTCTACTTTAACAATCGGCAGCTAATGTTTTTTTCGCAGAGTGAGATCAAGAAACTTGAGAAGCAACAGAAGGATGAAATCAAAAAGGCCAATAAGATTAAGAAAGCAAATGGAAATATGCAGCAACAGGTACTTATCAAACTCGATTTATTACCGAATTAACGTTTACTCAGGCACAACATAGCCACGAGCTACAGATTCTTTCGAATTCAGTTGCCGCACAAACGCAGCTTATGAAAGAGCGCGTTTTGGATTTTGAAGCACAACGACTAAAAGACGTCAAAGAAGTGATCACTGAATATTGTCGAATAGAATTGACGTATGCAGCCAAAAGCCTAGAGCAATGGTCCCAGTGTATGCAAAAAGTGACTCAAATGAGTCCTGACGACGATATCAAGGTACTGACAAGCTACTGTCAGGCTCTCCAGACTTTTTAGGAGTTCGAGAAGTTGCTAAACCCCCATATGACGACCCATGCCGGCATTGGAATGCACTCTACTGCAAATGCCCTCGCCAATATGAGCCATCAACAACCCACTTTGGCAACGTCAACATATAACTCAACATCATCGGTCCCGATGAGTCATTTCAGGTAAAATTTCCTCGGCTACTGAGCTCTAATATATTCCTTTCTAGTGCAAGCAACGTTCCGAAAAGACCACCGACGCAGTCATCAAGCCATTCGCTTTCTCAGCCTTCTGTAGCGAGTATTAACTCGCAACAAACTACCGCCTCTCAACCACTTCCTCCAGCCTCCCAGAACCAATCTCAAAGGTCTCAAGCTCCTCAGCAAACAACGTCGCAAGTTCAAGCATTCAACGAGCAGTCCTACGAAACAGACGATACTGAGAGTGAGTACGAGACCGTCTCTGAAGAAGAAGAAGAAGAAGAAGAGCCAAAAGGAACGGGTCTAATTTGATTTAAGGTCATTTCATAATTAGAGCTAAATATTTACAAATAGACCCTGTGGAAGCGCCCACTCGTACCGCTGTAACCGGATGGTAACATTTTCCAGCACCGAAAGTATTTTTTTAGCTTTGAGTTTTATTTTTATATTTTCAATCTTTCCCAAATGCACCTTCAGAACTGCACATAATCTTGTTTTATTCGAAACAAACCTATTTTCATAAATACAACGAATCAGCATTCTTTCTATAAATCCGCAAAGATTTGAAAGGCACACTAACGCGTTTTAAGTCTGGTTGAAGTCTATGTTTTCTTTATTAATAAATAACAGTTGTTGAAAGCATCGTCAGTAGTCAAAATGGAAGTTGAATACGGACGATACTTCCTTTTGGAAGGCATAGTAAATAGCTACAGAAGTCATTAATAAATATTGCACTGGCATTAAATATATAAGTCTGATTGTTCACTTTAGTTAGATATTGTAGGGAGTTTCTTGTACACGACTCGGTCTTTCTTCTTATACTTTACAATGAGCTGGAACAATAGATACAGAGTAGGCACGCCTAAAAATTAAGTTACCGCTTGACTCTGCTTGTTTCCATACCGAAAATCAGCATAATAAGAAGAGATTGAATGTCTGAGTGATTGTCAGCATCGTCATCTGGCAATTTTGGTCTATGAATTGTACGAGAAGGGGGAGGATCATCGGGTTTTATGCTCGATTTGATTGTCGTTACTTTTGTCGTTGTGGTTTCTTCTGTTGTCTGTTTTTGTGTCGTTGGCTTCGAGGTGGTAGTTTTTATTTCAGGGGGATCATTTTCTTCTTGAGGAGTCACTTCTGGCTTCTTGGTCGTTTTTTCAGGTTTCTCAGTGTCATTCGGATCTACGATTTTTGTTGTTTTGGTTGTTTCTGGTTTTTCGGTGGAAGGGGATTCGGGGGTGTCTAGTTTTGGCTCTTTTGTAGTTGTTACTTTCCGTGGGTCAAAAGATTTGCATTACAGTGAATTACAAATCCTGAAAAGTCTATAAATACATAGAGTCCCTATCAGAGCATCCAAGTGTAAGACACATTCTTTGGACCCTTGCTCTTTGACCACATCTTCTTCTATCGGCTGTTCTTGTGAGAAGCCTTCTGATCCACGGAAACGAATTTCCACTTCTTTCAGCACCACTGGGTCACCAGATCCTTTCGTGTTAAGATTATTGAACTCGATTTTCCATTTGCCGTCAGGATTTTCATCCCAGAACTCAACGGACAAAAACTCATAGCGATTGAAACCAGCAGATTGGACCATGTCGTGAGGTCTCTGTCCCAAAATATTTGATTTTGTGCCTAGCGGAGAGATTATATTGATCTCAAGATCTCCTCGTCGACCTGTAATTGATCGTTTTTTTTTTGTTAAAAGGGAATGATTACCTCTAGGAGTAAGTGAAAGAACTACTGTCACATGTTCCAACATTTTAAGATTTTCGGAGCACTTGAAATCGAACTCTATGCTAAGCGTGTTGCCCTTCGTAGACTTAACCCCGAGGCCTTCACCATTTTGCGACACGGGAACCAGCGTGCAGAGTTTTTGCGGAGGAACAGTTTGCCATTTCAGAGCTTATAAATATCGTGAATCAGCTAGATCATTTTGAATGAGCTCACCTGTTTCTACTATTCTTCCCGCGTTCATCAGTCCGTAGCCATATCTGTTCGAAAACCATCGACCCATTGCGTTTTGGTTCCAATCCTTTGTATGAAGGTCGTGCTTTTCGGATGTACGCACAAGAATATGCTGAACATCTCGCCAGCTGAGTTCTGGATTCGCCTCCAATGCTAGTGCAATGATTCCGGCCGCGAGAGGAGCTGATGCGGACGTACCAGTGTGTCGTTTGGTACACATTCCCCTTGGATAGTAAAGTGACACATTCATGACTTGAATTTACCTTAAATCAGTCGTGATAATCTGTTTCTCATCAGAGCCACCAGAAGAATAAGTAGAAGCAAGTGTAGAGGCGCAAGGCTCAGAGTACCTGAAACGTCATCAAAAAGTCCCTTGTGATTGACTTACCAAGGGATGTTTTCCCTCTCTGACGTCGAACTAATACTGATTGTATAGATATTATTAGTGTATCCGTCGCAGTTACAGTTGTCTTGGTATCGACCTCCGTTACCAGATGCCCAAACGAAAATATTGCCCTTTCCATTTCTTCCTTCTGTAGCACCATCAAGGAACGCCTTAATTGCCAGTTTTGCGGGACCGTCTACTGTTCGTCCATCATCATCTGGTCCCCAACTTGCGGAATAAATGTCAACGTAGTCCTGGTTGTGTCCTACGAGGAAAAGACAGTCATTTTTTCGAGAGAAGGCGCTTTACTAACCGATAGATTTAGCCTCAACGAGATCAGTTACATCTCCGTCGAGCATACGCACGCCACCGACCTTGGCATGGTAAGCCACTCCCGGAACACAGACGTTGTTATTTGCAGAGGCTGCCACTTCTCCAGCACATCGTGTTCCATGACGATTAATTTCCTTGATATATCCCTTGAGATTATCAGTAATCTTTGGACTGGCAGATTTTGTCGTGTAAGCCTGAATTGCTTGAAAAACTAGAAATAGAATAAACCCTACGTTGGGATCTTCGATGTTCAAACGATCGTTTCCCTTGTTGTACCGCGGCGTGGGATCGTCGTCGTTGCCGTTTATGTCAGTAGAAGCCCTTGCGTCGTAGTTTTCTTTGAGATCAGGATGCGTCATCTCGATTCCATCGTCTAACATAGAAAGTACCACGCCTTTCCCAGTGAAGCCCATATCCCAAGCAGCTTTAGCGAGTGTTTATTAATTTATTGAGTGGTAACTCACCTGTGATATTCATGTGCCTAGGTTCTTTTTATTTCGATCTTCGTAATCGGGGAGCAAATACCACATCTCCTCGTAAAGAGGATCATTCATTCGCTCTACGCTGATGTCTTCGTCGATTTGGAAGTCTCTCTTGACTCGTTTGCGCACAAACTGCTGCTCGAACCAGACTACGTCCTCGCCAAGTTTCAGATGATCAGCACGAGACGAAGATACAGCCGAGCGACGATGCACTTTTGGATGAATAAAGTGGAAATGATTCTTGAAGACACGGCCCTGGAAGACGAGATCGTGCGAATTGGCAAACTGCTCTGCGCGATTCGCATCATCGTGGGAGAACTCGACCACGAAATCATTCGTGTAGAAGCCCGACACGCACAAGACAAGACAGCTTTCGGATAGAGTGAAAACTAACTACGCATTTTAAAAACTTCAATGAGTGCTACTCTAGTCCCTTAAGACAACAATTGAGAGCAGCATGTTGGATCGTTGTTGATGTTCGCTGTGCTGTTCTATGCCGATTTTTTCATTTTCGATTTCGTATACTTGTCATTTTCTTCTATAATTCAAATTGGGTGTTGGTTTTTTTACTCTAGCGAAATTCGAGATTTCTTTTCGGCGGCTTATCTCTTATTTACACGGATCATAAAGGGCTTCATTGAGAGGATTTCGCCCACGAAGCATTTTGACCACAAAGGGCCCTACGTTCAAAGTCGTTTTTTTCCTACAGTGATTAGTGGCAGTGGAACAGTAACTCATAGTGACTCATCATCAAGGAACTACACGCAGAAGGATAGAAGCGCTACAGATCTACAGAAGTGCGAAGGGAATTGTTTACTCAGTTTTATGTTACGAAAGGCGAAAGAAACGGGAAAATAAAAAGCTGGGACGTGGCCGAGCTGCACCGGCCGCGGGATATTTTACTTTCCGTAGCGGCCAACTAACCTCTTACATTTTAAACATGCCCAATTAAACACGCCACCTTGATCAGTATAATTATCCATTCACTTGCTCAGCATAGAGAAATCATGCAAAAACATAAATTTGACAAACACATTATTTTGACGCTAAGAAATACAGACTTTTCCAAAGAGTCAAAATTGAGCATTATTTTCTCTAATATAGATGCACGCTTTATTATGAATGGTCAATTCATAAAACGAACAACTCAGTTAACTGCTAGTCAATCTCCATGGCGTCTGGGTTGAAGTATCGCTCCAGCCATGGGGTCGCGTGGAAATCTTCAATCTCTGGCCGGTTTCCGGGGTAGAAAGACCAAATATCGTTGAGGATGGGCTGAATTCCGAGATTGTCGGGGATCTCTGGACCGACTTGAGCTCCTAAATTAAGCAGACTTTAAACTTGGCAATCACTTGAAACTATCTTACCATTGGCTTGCTCTTCCATCAGATCACGCAGCGTCGAGTCCCGGAACGGCATCGATCCTGTCAGAATGCAGAAAATCATACATCCAAGAGCCCAGATATCTACGCTCATGCCAGAGTACGACTTCGTTTGCAATATTTCAGGAGGAGCATAAGCAGCAGAGCCACAGTAGGTGTCCGATCGGTCCTCGGGTCTCATCACTCGAGCAAACCCAAAGTCTGATATCATCAGCCTTTCGTTTTTTCCAACCAAGATGTTTTCCAACTTCAAGTCGCGGTGAATAATGTCTCTTTGGTGAAGATAAGTGATACCTGAAATTAAAAAATAACTCGAATCTAAATCTTTAAAAATAAAAACTAGCTTGACGAAAATTATCTGTTTCGTTATCGAGATGTAGGTCGAATTTACCGCGAACAATCTGTGCACAAAAATTCGTCGCCCTTGGAAAGTCGTTGTAGCCAGAAAGATCGTGAAGTCGCAAGTAATTGAGGAGATCTCCGTGGAACGCATGCTCGACGACGAGAATGACGTTCTTTTCGTTATCAAAGTGAGTTACATATCTAAATATATTTTGTCAGCCGGAACGTTAAAAGACGAGTTCCCACTTGATGACGTTTCGATGATCGAGAGTTTGGGTGACTTCGATCTCTCGGTGGAGAAATTTGTTGAAAGACTCAACCTTGTCGGGTCTTTCTTTCGCCGGGTCGAGTTTGTAGATGACTTTTGCCGCCAGAGCTCGCGGTGGATCCTTAAAAGAGCGCTCTTCTATGTTTTCAGTGAATATCTACCTCCTCGGGGTTCCTTCTACAGTGGAAGACATCACCGTAAGCGCCACTTCCAATATGGTTGATCGACTTGATGCCTGGAGCTTGAGATGCGGGCGGAAACTTGGGAACAGCTGGTGTTCTGGAGCTCAAGGGCCTTTTGTTCTTTCTATCCCTGAGTCTCACAAGATTACCAGGCATCTCGAAATTGCCCTGCTAGACGAGGTAACTACCAACACTCGTCAAACTCATTTTTTGACATTTCCCCTACCTGCTGGAGAAAAACGAACTAACTGACGATTTTCAGAAAAATATTTTTATATAACATTGAATCTAGAAAATTTGAAAAAAAACAACATTCAAATTTGGCTTATTTCCGGTAATTTCATCGATTGAAATCATCATAGTATGTGGATTTAACAATGAATGAGCTCTAAAACTTATTGTTTATGAAAATGTCTAAGGATGAGATTCCGCAGGGATAAAGAGTGAAAACGAGACCACCTTTGAACCAAATTGTTAATTACTAATGAATGAAATATCTTAACATTTCAATCCAAAAAGATTCAAAGGGCTAACTTTATAATTTGTCAAGTTTTTATTCAAAACAATATATAGTTGAGTTTGCAAGGCAGGAAATAAATAATAAGGAGAATTGTTGAGAGTTGACTTCAATCGAAAGTGGAACAGTTCTAGGCACTCCTCTGGTAGTTAATAAAGTTAATTTTTTGACTTCTGATTATCGATCATCCTCGACACCGGTCTTGAACACGTATTCGGCGAATGGATCAAATGGTTCATCGCTGTTTATTGGCTTCTTCTCAGTTACAACTTTGCCGTGCTTCTCTTCATGAATTTTTTCAATCCGATCGTAAGCCTTTCCCACATCCTTGTCAAATGGATAAATCAACCAAGCTTTTTGGGAATACGTATTTTCCGACATTTCAAATCGAGTAGAATCATTCTTCTTATAGTAACCCTTCCCGTTCATGATTTCTTCAAAGGCTTCCGCTTTATCGCCAAGCCAAAGTAAATGATTTGCCCGCTCGATTCTCTTAATTTTTTACTTTTTGACGCTCCGAATAATTAATTACCATCTGAGGAGCAGTCTTCTCAGTCTTCTTCTCGGTGCAAAGTTTATCGTTGCCATCGTCGACCTGTTCTATTTGGTGGAGGGAGGCTGGACCAATTTTGGATCCACTAGCACCAGCAAAAATGTCGTTGCCGTCGACAACAATACGGCCTTTTCCGTCTTTCTCGCTGAAATTTAGCTTTGAAGATTAGGAAAAGCGGGTCGGTACTTACAGCGGAACAGTCGGAAGTGAATTTAGCGGAAAATTGGAATTACGCCCGCTTGGCTTTCGAACTTGGCCTGCTCCGACACGTTTAAGTTTCTGCATCTTTGATCGACCAAGAAGTTGGCCATGAGAGGATCGACGCTTCTGAGCCGGTCTGCACACACTTAGAGTAGCACGATGAGGATGATGGTCAGAAACGTATTTCGTTTCAGATAGAAGGTCGGAGAAAACGCCCGGTGATGTGTCGTTTCTTTCAGCGGATGCAGAACCATGGACGATCTTTTGAATCGTCTCTTTTGTACGTACTTTGTCTTCCATCGTTGCTTGTTAGCTTGATACTCTTTTAAAAGGTATGAAACGACTTCTTCTCAAAAAGTCCGAAAGCATAAACAATTCTAGAGATTCTAGAATGCTTCATCGTATGTGACATGTGAATTCGTAGAGATTTTTTAAATATTTAGTCTCGCCTGGTCATAAATGCTATAAAAAGGTTATAAATTACAAGCAAATAGGTTTTGTTAATTGAGTATTAAGTTTTTCCTTCGCAAAGTTTATATATTTGAATGAAAAGGCAAAATCAAAAGTCCTGGAGAGGGCCTAAGTACCATAGAAGGTCCTTTCCTAAAATTGGAGCTTTTGTGCCTTCAGTAGTTGCGTTTCTATTCAAACAAAGTTTATGAATCGCTTTTGTTGACTAGAAACGAACCAATAATGACGAGCTCGTACAGCCATGGGAGAACACTCAAATGTAAACGGACCGCTTTTCAAAGTGGAAAAACGTTCCTGCTTCTGTTGAATTCGAAGAGAGCTGCAAATGGGAACCAGAAAAGGTCACGGAAATGATTACCCACAGAGAATTGAAGACACAATCAATGGGCGCACTTACGAACGGTAAAGATTACGCTAAAGATAAATTATTAATTTCAAACGGTTATTTACTTCATTTGAATCCAAAGAATCAAAAACTAAGGACCGAACGAAAATTCATAAAAGATGAAACAAGGGAATTCAAAGCGAATATTGGCTAAAATGAATATATATTTTTACTGGAAATAGAGATAAAAGTTTTATCTAAAACAAGGAAGAGTAAACAGTGATATTAATTCAGCCACGTCTAGATTTTCGCTTTGAAGCTTTCTTGCCGCTTTTTCCTTTCCGTGTGTCCTTCTTTGTTACTGTCATTTTTAAGACAAAATTTGTTACTCACTTGTTGAGTGTGCGAAGCAATAGTTTCGTCGTTCTTGATTGCAACTGCTGCTCGGCGCCATTTCAAAGCTTAATTTACGGAAATTGCTGAAAAATGATAATGACTTTCCTTGGTTGTATTTTTGTTCTTTGTCTAGACAATCAGCGATGAAGTTCATGGCGAAAGAAACACGTTCTTCAGTGAGAATAGGCGCTGGACTCTCATTTATTGCCTCAAAATTCGATTCATAAATGCGGCAAAATAGGCTGTAACTAGGAAAAACCCTACCTGGAGTGCGTATTTTTCGCTTTTTCATAGTCTTTAATCATTTGGCAAAAGTTTGCGACTGCAAGTTTATTCGTAAAAAAATCCTCTTCGAATTGTTTCAGTCTCTGGGAGAGTGGAAGACTTGTTTTCGTTTAACGCTAATAGCATCGTCTTCGCCAAGAATAGAGGCCGGGAGAGGAACATTTTGCTCACCTGCTTCTCAAAATTTTCATGAAATATCCTTTTTAGACTAAATAATCCTTCAAGTAAGAAAATATTTCCTGTGACATCGCCGGTCTGCAAATTAATAGAGAACGACGAGCAGCAGCCGCGTTTTGCATTTGTGCCTACATGCTCCCAGTCTTCGCCATTAAAAAACATCATTCCCATATTCTCTTTTTATAGAAAAATAACGCTCTGAAGTCGGTCCGACCGTTTTTATACCCAAGAGATCTGATAACCGGTTCGCGCCTTTTTACGTTTTCTTGTGTTTCGTTTTGTTCCAGCCATTGAAAAGTATTTTAGTGGAAAGTTCCTCGGAAAAGGCGGGTTCGCGAAATGCTTCGAATTTCGGAGAATTCGCTCAGGTGGCGGTGCAGACCTCTTTGCTGGGAAAATAGTTCCCAAGTCGCTTTTGGTGAAGCAGCATCAACGCGAAAAAATGGCACAAGAAATCAAAATTCACCGAGAACTCAATCATAAAAACATTGTTAAATTTTACGCTTCATTCCAATGCGACCGCTTCGTCTTTATAGTTTTGGAGATCTGCAAGAAAAAATCCTTAATGGAGCTCCACAAGCGTCGTGGACACATAACAGAACCGGAAACTAGGTATTTTGAGGAAAAAAAGAAATATGTTTAATCTGTTTAAGGTATTACATGTTTCAACTGTGTGAAGGCATTTCTTATCTTCACCAAAGAAATATCATTCATAGGAAGCGTTAAAACATGTTATATTCTATTAACATTATCAATATTATAAAATAAACAGACGTGTAAAACGCAGAAAAGAGACCTGAAGTTGGGAAATATTTTCCTTAGCGACGAGATGTCAATTAAAATCGGTGATATGGGTCTTGCAACACAACTCGAGTACGCTAGCCAGCGCAGGCGAACTCTCTGTGGAACTCCTAATTATATCGCTCCGGAGATTCTCGTCAAAAAGGAAAAGTTCATTGATTTCTTCATCCATTCAATGAAAGGGTGCTTTCTGAACTTGATTAGGGACACTCACTTGAAGTCGATATTTGGTCTACTGGCTGTATAATGTACACACTTCTTGTCGGGAAGCCTCCATTTGAAACGAGCTCACTAAAAGTACGCTCTTCATTTCGGACTCGCGGTTAACTTTGAGTTTAGGAAACGTACTCGAAAATAAAAAAGTGCGAGTACACGATTCCAGAAGACAAAGTCGGTCCTTCCGCTTGCTCGCTGATTACACAAATGCTGAGTTCAATGCCGGAGCGGCGGCCTAAAGTGAATCAAATCCTAGAACACGATTTCGTCAAAATCGGTTACATGCCTAAACGACTTCCTAGGAAAGTGACCGGAACAAGCAATCAAATCAAATTTCGCCCTTTCGGTCACTCAGGAAAGTTCGGCGCTTAGCTGCCCACCGCGATTGACGGAAGAGCAGATGAGCTTCAGTGTAACTAGACAGCCAATGATTTCAATAGCAAAAGACAACGAGGAAGAAATTATGCAGCCTGTTATTAAAAAAACTACCCAAGCATCTTCAGAAGATCTTCGAGCCCAAGAACAAGCAAACGGAATCCGAGATTTAAGGACTCTGCTCAATATGCTAACTGATATTGCTTTAGGTAATTTTGATGCTAAACTGACTATTTATTTGTTGTTTAGAAGCGAAGGAACTAAACAGTGCAGTTTTGCCGGATGATTGTGAGCATCCAAGCTCATCACCTATTTATTGGATATCGAAATGGGTCGACTATTCTGATAAGTACGGAATAGGTAAATACAATGATGAGGACAACATTTATTTGACTGCGCAGTTCAACTCCTCCTTCAGTCATTTTCATAATCAATAGATAGAAAGGCTAAAATTAACGAACATTTACATCTGTCACTATGACAATCTCATTGGTAATATTTATGTAAACGCTGGTAATATTTTCCATTTCTATCTTGATTTTTTGTCTACGTAAGATATCATCCGTTTTGACGACAACTTCAGGATACCAGCTTTGTGATAACTCTGTTGGAGTGCTTTATAACGATCAAACTCGAATGATTCTTCACGAAGACGGAGAACAAGTCCAGTATCTTACGAAAAACATGAAGGAAGAAATGTTTCGCCTCTCTGTTGATAAGCCCGAGTTGAAGAAGAAAGTTTCCCTCGTTAATTACTTCAAGAAGTACATGAATGAACACCTCTTGAAGGCATGCGATTCTATTTCATTCGTCCACTAATATTTCCAAGGCTGGTGCTGCGGTAGCGCCGAAAGAACCTGACCAGCTAGCTCGACTTCCATTCCTCCAAACGTGGTTCAGAACGAGGAGGGCAATATGCCTCTGGTTATCTAACGGTTCTATTCAGATCAACTGGTTCGAGGTTGTGCTTCTTACCAATAATCTTGCTCAATCACTTTTTAGAGCCATGAAAAGATAGTCCTCTGCTCCAAAATGAAAGCACTAACTTTTCTTCTTCAAAACGGGCAATCGATAACTTACAGTTCCGACTTGATTATTAAACATGGAATAACAAGGTGCGCTGTTCTAACTTTGAGCACTCATGAAAACAGTTCTTCAGTGATCTGAAAGAGAAGATCAAGTACGCGCGGAACATGGTGAAAAAGCTCATGCGCCCTTCTGACTCAGGAACAAGCTCGGCACGAACGACCACTACACCCCAGACGACTCCCCTGAGAAAAACCTAGTTCTATTTTCGATCGGTGTATTCTATTTTATTATTTCGACATATGAATATTTTTTTAATAAAACTCACTGCCCACGATTTAATAAAATTAACACGAGTCTGAAAGTCATTATTTTTTTATTTCTGCAAATTAAAAATACGGAAAATGATCAGGAATGAATAAATAAAATATGGGTTCGTGTTGTCTTCGAAACTAGAAGTGGCTTTTGGGGATTCATTGCATAGAATGTGCATATGCTACAGATCGTAGTACGATCATTGTACACTATTACCTTAAATAACTGTATCCGCGGATTTCTTAATGTAATTCGAGTGATAGATGGACTGAGAAATATATTCTTGAATGATATAAACTTGCGTCATCCATCTCGTAACATTATATAAAGGACCATTTTTTCCTTTCAAAATCTTACTTATGCTTTTATAAGAGTTCGTAATCGGCGCTAGAGTTTCTCGTTCGAATATAATATATAGTGTATTCGCAGGAGAACAATTGCCAAAACGAAAAACTCAAAGTCTTTTTGAAAAGAAATCGTCGATGAACGGAACACGCAACTGTGCCAGACCGCTCAAGTGTCGACTGTGCTGGCGGCGCTTCAAGTACTCTGCCTGCATGAATGACCACATGCGTTTGGACCACAAAGACACTATCATGCTCCTGGTGCAACTACGTCAGGCGCAAAGACGCGCTAAGGAGCAACTAGCATTCCGGCAAAAGGTCGCCGAAATCATCGCCGCCAGTGTAGAGGCCAAGGATGCCGTTAAAGAGCCCGTCCGAGTTTCTGTCATTCGGCAAAATCCGGTTGATGTTTAACTTTTGCTGAAACAGTAACTTTATTGTTTTTGTTTATCGAAGAATAAAAAAAAAACGAAACACTCTTATTATGTTTGAGCTTTTATGAATCCCTTCCTGAAGATTTACTATTTGTTGATAATCGAGCGTAATATCGTCTTTCCCATACTTGCAGGAGAGTTTGTCACATGAATACCAGCATCTTTCATTGCTGCGATTTTCGCTGCCGCAGTTCCTACGGTCAGTTTGTACATTTTTGTTGAGATGTTCGTTCTTACCTTTTCCGCCAGAAATAATAGCCCCTGCATGTCCCATCCGTCTTCCCGGTGGTGCAGTCACGCCAGCAATGAAGCCTGCAACGGGCTTGTGATTGGGCCCAGGTGGATTATGCTTTTTAGATATTCCGAGGCAGCTTCTTCTGCTCCTCCGCCAATCTCACCAATCATCAGAATGCCTCTTGTTTTTGGATCTTCGAGGAAAAGCTCAAGGGCATCAATAAAATTCGTTCTGAAATTCGTAAGGCTTTATTTAAAAGTCATTTATCTCACCCACTAAATGCATCGCCTCCTATTCCAATACAGTAAGTTTGTCCGAGTCCCACTTCTGTAGTCTGCTGCACGGCTTCATAAGTCAGCGTCCCTGACTTAGAGACAATACCAATTATTCCGTCCGTGTGAATATCGGCTGGCATGATCCCAATTTTACACTGTTCAAGGATAATAAAAATAACTCTTTGAAATGAGATACTTGAGGGAAGAAGAATATCCATTCCTGGCCCGCTCGAATGATACCTGGACAGTTGGGTCCGATCAATCTCGTCTTGCCTTGGCGAACTAGTTTAGTTTTAACACGCACCATGTCCATTTCTGGAATGCCTTCTGTAATGCATACTGCCAGAGGAATCTCTGCCTCGATTGCTTCTTCTATTGAAGCAGCCGCGGCAAAAGGAGGAACATAAATAGCGGTTGCGTCAGCGCCCGTTGCTTCCATGGCTTCTCCGACATTGTCGAAAATTGGTAGGCCAAGATGAGTGGTTCCTCCTTTGCCGGGAGTGACTCCGCCTGTTGATTGGATTTACTTTTCTGGACTTACTTAACATTCCCATTTATCAATCTATCAAAGTTGACCTCAAGTAAATTCCGGAAACCCTTTCCTACAACCTGGGTACCATAATCCATTGCTCCCATAGCGTGAAACGTCCCTTGCTTTCCTGTCATACCCTAAACTTTCTCATATGGCTGCTTATCATTTCACGGACTTACTTGAATTATTACTTTCGTATCTTTCCCAATGAGCATGTTCTTCCGCGTCTGCGCGTATATTTCTGACAGACATACTTTCGAAAGTCTCATTTTCGCTGAAAATCGAGATTTTTTTAGAAACTGCTTTCAATGAAGGTTTTCTCTTTGAGTAATCGATCGGCTGCGCCTCCGTCGATTGAACAAAGAGACGTCAGTGAAGCCCAAACAGAGCATCGTGACTCACATCAATTTTATTGTGAAGAAAATAGTAAGAATAATTCATTAATCAATTACTTGAAGAAAAGAAACAAAACAAAATTATGTTTTTTCAATTTATTTGTCCGTCAATGATGAATTTGGCAGTAACTGAATTTGAAGACTATCACAATACGAGTTAGATCTTTGCAGGCAATTTTTTGAGGGATAGTTCAATTAAACATAATTAATAATCGATAAATGATAGAGAATAGAAACTGTTTTCAATGGATCAGGAAGTAGGGTCATTTTCTGCTGGTTTCTTTTGATTTCGCTCAGTTGTCGAGAATTCGCTCCATTTGGCATTTGAATTCAGCGGTAATGTCGAGGCCTTCCATGTTCAAGGTAGGAGACGATTTTGGAGGTTCGTCATCTGGGTGTGCGGAGAAGCTGCCGATTCTTGCGGAGAAGTTCAGCGGTTCTGGCTCATCGTAACCAAAGGTAAAGGATCCGTTCGGCATTGGCATTGCGGGACCGTCGATTTGCATCTCTGTCTCATTTGCCACATCATCGAGATTGGAGAGACCGGTATCGTTGTGTGTTCCCGAGTAGGCGCCGGATGATTCGAAGTCGCAAACCGCTTCGGGAGTAGGAACACGTCCAGCAGTTGGGAAAGAACTGTCCATTGTGCTGAGATCTAGCGTACCGTGGTCGATAAGTGGTGGAGAGAAGTCAGGATCGTATCTAACATCGAATTCAGATTGAGAAGTTCCTGCTCGTGACTCCAAATCGTCATCGCTGGTGCTGGCCGAATAGTCGTTTTGAAGGGGTACATCCTCAATCGCTGGTCGTGGAAGAATCTTGTTTGACTCGTCATCGACGAAACCTGGAGTGGATTGGGCCGGGGTGACATCGTGGATTTCATCGAAGGTTGGAGCAAGCGGTACCTCTGGATTCGGAAGTGGCATCTCTGAGTCTTCCTCGGTGTGTCCAACGAAGATGGTGTCCGTTGGAGCTGGTGAATATTGCTCGTACTCAAGGGGCAGAGACTTCTTGTTTCGCTTCTTCGCAGTTCTGATGGGGTCGCCGTGAAGAGGTAAGGCAAGTTTGGCATTGCCAGCTCGTGTCTGGGATCTTGTAGCGTATCTGCTCTGTTTTGCTTGGCCTCTTGTGACGGTCATATTTTCAAGGAAAATAAGTATTGTATTTGAATTTCTTACTGAAATTTCCGGAAAGTGGTCGCTTTTATTGGAGCTTCGCGATAAAGAGGGCGCTGTTCCCGTCCGATCACCCCGTCGGCGCGTCACCGACTGTTCGTTAGTTAGATCCAGCTGTTTCCAACCTGATTCCGCGTTGGTGATAAGCTTTGATCAGATCAAAGGACTTCTGGAATGTATTTCCTGCAATTAATAACGCGCTAAGTGATTCGATTAAGAAAGCCGAGCAGTAGATTTATTACAATTACCACAAGGAACAAGGGTCTCGTTATAGAAGTATAAAATAAGATGTAAATTTACAGTTTCATAAAAATTTGTATTTACAGTAAGATCGTCTTTTTGGGATAACTAGCAGGTTCCAATTGATCTCAGCGTCTTAAAAAATAATATAAGTATTCTTCAGTTATAATTTCAGACTTGAGTTGAGCGTAATTTCTCTCATGTTTACCTAAGAGAAAGCCAGAATATTTCACAGGCTCAGTAAAAATGACATTCTACAAGGGATTTAACGAAATGAAATGCGTGGCTCTGCAAGGGCCACCTGTCAACTTGTTCTGTTAACAAAACTATTACGCAAAGAGAGAGAAAAAATAATGCTCCAAAAAGGTCTGAGTGTGTTTTGTGAAGTAGATAGATTATGTAAAGTTTCTCGGAGATAAAATATTTAACCCCGGAAGAGGCGATAACGCTTGAAATTTCGTGAGCCAAAGTTTCTTTCTACCTTGGATTATTTGAAAGCAAAAATGCTTGAATTACCTTTCCATTGCAGCATTCAAGTAAATTGGAGTTGTATGAAACACCATTGCAGCAAGCTTTTCCTGTTTTGGGCTGGAATGGGAATCGCTCTGGATACTCGCCGCAGCATTGCATCTTCTCTTTTTTATCGCTTTCGAATCCCTGAAAAAAATCAGCTCTTACCTGCTCCTCGCTGGGCACGGACTCCTTCTTGTTGTTTCCAGTTTGAGCTGAATTATGTTAGCTCAAATAACCGATTTACCAACACCAATTACGCTATTAATAAATGAAATCACTCCTTTTGAGAAGAAAAGGTCTCGTAAATTAGAATTCTCTAAGAATTCCGAAAAAATTACCAAAAGTGCTGGAACGCCGCAAAAAGAGAGCTAAAATTAACTCTTTGAACAAAACACTTGAAATAGATTGGTTCACGTAAGTTTCAACGAAGAAGTTAACCTTTTATAAATCATAACATTATTTGTCTTTGCTAGTTAATAAATGAGCAACTGTTTCACTTCTTTAAGGGATAATCAATGATAAGCTTAGGATTATCCGAAATCCAAAAAAATAACTGGTTGAACATGTCGGTTTCCCAAATCAGGGCGCGAAAAAGGTCCCAGTGGGTTTAGTTATGTGATTTGAAAGAAATACCGTTCGGGAGCGGTGCCGCATTTGAAGAAACTGTGGTCGGCGCTAAGGTCGTTGCCGCCATCTCTCGGAAGTTGCTATCTTCAAATTCTGATTGCCTTTATCAATTTGTATAGCTTATCATGTGATGAGCTCCAGCAAATAAACATTACATCTAAAAACCACCTTCTTATTTGCAAATGTTCAAAAAGGCTTCCTAAAGGGATGTTTTTCTGGTCAAATCGGAGCCCGTCTTCGACTTCTTCGTGCAGCCACTCGCGGGAACTAAAACCGACGCACTGCTTTTCCATTTCAAAGCCGCCGATCAGGTGGTCGTTCTCCTCCCGCCACTCGTTTGCTTGTTCGGCAATTCCCACAGCAAGTGCCTGAATTTTTCGGCTACAGTCGTCCAGAAACAGATAAACTTACATAGTCGCACTGGCAGAGACTGTGTCGGCATGTGCCAGGGGTATTGTCGCAGGTGATGAAATTTTCGCCAGTTTCTTTGTTTTGATGCCCGGAGAAACTTTTCAGCGTTCTTTTTTTACCATTCTTTTAGATGAAATTGTTCAAGGCAACTAAAAACGCGCCTATATCCAACTGCCGATCCAATGCATTCATTGTCGTTATCAATTTTGGCGCAGTGTTGACAGAGAGAATGCCGCCGACAAGTTTCGTCGATTCCGTCCACAGCTGGAACCCGAGACGGCGCTGGAACCACGTCGGGGCCCAGGAGACAGTGGCAACCATACTCGGTGAACTTCGCTGAATTTAATTGTAAGAGTCCCCTTTTCCCGCCGAAAGTCATATTTACAAGCAAGAGCGCCCGAGCCAAGCATGACAGACATCATAAGTTTGAGATGAGAAAATCTCCGAAATTCTGGACGACGATGGCCAGCCGCCGTGCTTTTCAAGACAATGTTCGCTCTGTGTATTTCTTCTATGTTTTCGTAAACACCCTGATACTCGCCAAACGTGATGTTCACTTTAGCTAAACAGAAAGTTATCAAACTAGCTCAATTGGAAAGGGTCTTACCGAGTGCTGTACAATATAAAACATTCTTTATCGAGTTTCAAGTCGCGCTTTCGAAATTAATTCACTATCTAACTAGAACTTTGGTATACTCTATGGACTAGTATTGTAAAAGATCGACTGGCAGAAGCGATCAGTTATTATTCTTCCACATATTCGAACTTGAAAGTCGCTGATAACTTGATGAAACCTTCCTGAAGTAGACCGAACACCTTCATCTTGTCACCTAAAAGTACCTAATTACACACAAGTTCAATTGCTTGTAAAAGCTGTCATTGAAGATATGTTCTTAAGTCTCTACCCTTGAAATGCGTGTCATGCTATGGCAAAAACTTAATGAACGATTCAATTAGCGGCTGAGTAGTTTGAATCTCTAAGACGTTTTTGTGTTAGTATTACGGAAGTTGGAAAGTTTTTTGAACCGCTAAAACGTGTTCGGTTATTGATTTTGGAGCTGAAACCAAGCGCGGTCGGATTTGAGGATATTTCAGTTTCATTTTATTTTTTTGCCGGCTTAGCCCGTAAATAGCCCAATGCGATTTTAGATTCCCTCGCCGCAATCTACTATCGATACATAACTCGAATGGGTACTACTTGTACTGACTTTCCTACCGACGAGCTTATAAATTGAGCTTCCTCAAAAAACTTGAAATCAAAAATGTCCTTGAAAAGAGCGTTAATTTATACCCTGCTAAATGGCTAAAGTTGAGACAGATAGGATAATTGAAATCTAAAAAGCATCTTAGCTCGAGTATCATCCACGTCCCTCAATCTTGAATAGTTTCAGACGCTGTTTCGGAAAGAACGGAAAGTCAATATTTCGATGTGAATGAGGCTGCTCAAAGGAATAGCCCTTCTGAGAGCATTTCTGTTTCGCAACTGTTCACGAAAAAGCTCTCGCGACTTAGTCGAGCTTTGGCGCATTTCTACATTAGAAATTTTGTAAGAAAACGAAACGACCTAACGTAACGTAATCGAATTCATTAAAAGCCCCTTGAATCTTTGATTTAGCTCAATTATTGCGCCGGGATCGTTTAAATTTTGTGCTTTATTTAGCATTTTTTTCTAATTTCCAATAAAAAATCTGGAAAAAATTATTATTTTTATTTTTCAAATATTTGAAAATCATTTAGTTGAAACAAAACTGATGATTCCAATATTACTCAATTGAATTATTTTATAAGAAGTATCCCAGGAATTAATAAATATAGATACTAACTTCAACAATATTATTCTTAAAATTTAATGTTAAAAATTTTAACTATCAAGACGACAAAAAACTGATAAAAATATGCCGAGTAAGATCTCTTCTCCGCCTTATTGAATATCACAAGTAAAAGAAAAGAAATAAGACAAACCACTAGAAGATTCTTTTTTCTCTTTTTCTCTCGACTCACCTAAATCTTGGAAGATAATGACGAGTTCCCGAAATCGTGAATTGTCGACGGCGCGTATTAGCTCCATCTGGACTGCGCGCAGTTGCGCCCTCATTCTAGCGCGCGCGTTTTAACAAGTTTTAAATGCTATGATTCTTTTCATCTTATTTATAGTCTTAATTTTAGAATATGTCGGGGTCCTCCTGATAGCAAACAATTTATAAATTGAAAAAGAAGAAGAACTTCACAGTTGTCTTCTAAGTAAGAAAAATCGTCTCTATGGAAATAATAATATTTTTCAGGATGGTTCCTTCTTAAATAAAGTTCACAATGTGCTTCATAAAAATGGCTTTAAAAGCTGGTTCCGGTACGTAAATCAATCAGTGGTCTACAAAAAGACCGTGTGAATATCTAGCAGCCATTACTTTTTGAAGTCCTGTAGATAGGAAGACCTTTCTGCGAAAACTCACAAATTTCAAAGATAAGGATCTGCAAAGGGTAGAATAAGCAAATTATCACAATGCACAGTATTAACTTGATTGAATTTATTCATTGGGGTTCTCTGAAAAAAGCAGCACTGAAGGGCAAAAATAACTGAAATGTTAAATATGCGTAAGAGTGCGGGGAATGCTTGCTAAATATGGAAATCGCCAAAAATACAACACGTTCTGGATAATTTCGGAGCGTATTACCATTCCTCTGCTTAGAGAAGTCTTAATTTCGAACAACAGAGGCAAATTTGATTTTAACGCGGCAGCAGACCGCAGTCGACACCATCTCTTACTCGTTCCATCAACTTCTAAACTCCTAGCTTCCTCCATAACGTTTCCAGCCTGGCGAACTTTGCAGCGATAAATAATGATAATGAAACTGCACGTTGGACCGAGCCCCTTTGTGTTGGTTTCGGAAAACGTGCCCTTTGAACTAGCGGACAAAACTGCTTACAAAGTGTGGTCAACCCTATTGCCGCCCTATTTTGTTCACAACCGAACTCTCAAAAAACTACATATGGCCGGCTTGAAGCCGGCGGCTTCCTGATGTCAAATGCTGGAGCTGTTTTAGGTAACTATTGTCTTAGCAAAAAGTGATCCACTTTTAGACACGTTTGTTTTCGTGCTGTTTCGTTTTAGTTTCTTGGTATCTTATTTCCGCGCGGGAAGTATTTATCGACATTCCAAAAACATCTTTTTATTTTATCTTCCCTCTCCTTTAACAAAACAGCACAGAGACCCTTGTTAGCCAATTTAATGTCACAAAAAGGGAGATAACAGAGAGCGGTAGAAATGCTTCATTCTTCGAGGCGCGAGATTGCCTCCAGATGAAGTTGCATCCGTTGACGGTGGCTTTGTCGCAGAAGTCTCTTTTGCTTTTTCTTGAGGCTGGACCATTGGACTGGCTTGACGAACTTGGTGCGGGCGGAACAAAGCTTACGCGTGTCGAATTTGCTAAAAATCAACAGGAAGAGAAAAGGAGCGAGCGAACCTCGGATCAAGATTGAATTCCCATCGCTTCTCTCGATTGCATATTGCCTTTAGCTTCTTCCGTGGCTTTCTGCCCTCACTTCCGCATACAAGCTTTGCTTTGCCACTTTTGATATCCCACTTGCCGCCCTTAATTCATCAAATAAACTAAAATATTCGAGGTGGAATAATGTTCTTACAGGGACGATTAAAGGAACACTCGTCTTACACGCATGCCGTGAGTTCTTCTTTTCTCTCTTTGTTTTAAAAGGCACATGCGCTCTGAAGAACTGGAAAAGCTCGATGTCTTCGTCCTGCACTCTGTCAGAAGTAGAGTTCTCTCCCAAAACGCACAGAAAGAAGAAAAAAGAAAAAATGAGCATCTTGCGATTGAGAAACAACAAACTGCTTCTCAACGTTTGTAAACAAATGTTTTCTTTAAACTGGACCAGTGCGGAGATTACGCCACAAGTCTCAGCCCTTTAAATCTAGCCATCGTTATTGGGATTTTCATTTTAATGATTTCTTCTTTTCAAACTTGTTGGTTGATTCTGGACTGCATTTGTCTATTCTACCATTGCGCAATTTAATAGACTGACACTGGCGCGAATTGGTGATGATAATTTCATTTGAGAATTTGACCTTTTACTCTTCTATACAGCCCGTTAGACGGTTCTTTCTCCAGCTTAACGACGTCGAATGTTTAAATAGCGTTTCCTTGAATCGAGGTCATGATCAAGCTAATGAAAAAAGTCAGCTAAATTATTAAAATTAAAAAAAGCACGAGCGGAATTAAGAAGGTACGAAACTCGATAATTCATTGCAGAAGTTAAATAAGAGTCAAAATATGATTTTGAATTTTTTAATTTGATCGGGAGAAGAGGTTCTAATCGAACGTAATAATTGGTTGATTATTTTGGAAGGTGACGAGCACTTGATCGCCCGAAAAATCGACTCTGGACTGAGTGCTAGAAGAGTGGCTACTCCCAGCAGAGCCCTCGGCATTCGTTTCGTCTCCCTCTTCTCCAACTCCTAGAGTCAAAGTTTAAAGTCTTTTCAAACTGATAAAAACATCTTTCCTGATCCAAAATCCTCTTCTTTGTATTCGCTTTGGTACCCTTCGACTGTGAGCAGTAGCTCTTGCCAAACTTCGACAGTAATCCCGCTTGAAATCAATGTTACAAAGAATTGAGCGAAAGAGTCACTTCTGTTTTGATTTACCGAAAATGAGCGCGAATTTCGCCACCCCAATCTAAAAAAGGGCTTATTCGATTCAAATTTGAAAAAGCCAATTGCCTTGATGCGCGGCGACTCCATGGGACTTGATCATTCTCACGTACTTAATATTCGAATTTGAAAGCTGATTTCTACGTCAAAGTCAAAGTTAGCTCACAAGAATGGATAACGCCCCGCCGATGAAGACCAAAACTAGAATTTAAAAATGATAAGCTGCGAAAATCATGATTTTTGCACCAATAATTGAGCCGCAAAGAAGATTCAGCGTCGGGTCTAACAGGGATCGGTCAGAGGCATCTAATTAAAATTAATTTTGAGTTTTGGGAGGACCCCGACCCCGCATTGTTACATCTCATTTTTTCCGCGCACGTGGCTTTCTCTTTTCATTTCCGCTTTAGAAACTCTCCATCTTGTTAGATTGAATCGTAATTCTACTTCTATTGGTAAACCTCATTTGCGATCGAACCAGGCAAACTTTTTAATAAGTACTCACTAACCGAGCGTTGTCGGTTTTTCACACTTCAGTGGGAGCCCCTTCTGTGTTTTCATCCATCCCTCCAGTATCGCCACTTTTGAGAAAGATCGAAAATAAAAATTATGAAGCTCGAGGCAGATTTCATTCATCGCCTTGCGAAGTTAGAGCTGGTTTCTCTTCACCATCAAAGAAAACTCCGTCGTCAATTGGTAAGCGTATTTTTCCTCCGATTCGATTTTTTATGTTGTCAAAGGTAAGTGAGTCCGTCAAGGAACTGGTGGTCTTCTGCGAGAAAAACGAGTCTAGAGACGGTCTTGTACGCGACAATGGACAGAATCCCTTTGCAAGGTAGTCATTTGAGCACTGAAAACTGAAGCAGACCTATGATTTTAGCAATTACTCGAAGACGTTTGTCGATTTGGTCAACTGCTGTGGGAAATAAGGAAGCCAGAGCTCGACGAAGCGTTTACATGTACTTTCAAATGCTCGAAATAAACGACTGTCAATTTTATATATTTTATAACGATAATAAGAATAAATAAATATAAATGACAAACAGTCAAGGAATTTCATCGGGTGTCTCGATGTTAACATGAGGCTTGTTCGGAGCGAGGAAACTCAGAGACCGTTTGAAAGCGCCCTAAAATGCTTGTTCTTAGTAATTTGAATTTACTGCGTTACCGGTTGCTTCTGGTTTTTCTTAATTGCAGGATCTTTCCAATCAGGATGCAGAGTCCTCCAATACGCTATAATCCGTGGTATGAAAGCTGGTTATTCAAGTGCCTTTACCTTCGAGATATTCTGCTAGATGATCGCACGCATCGTCTAATGAGTTCTCGTCGAGTGTGACGTCAAAAACTTCTGGGCAACACTGGCTTAGTTTTTCTGCAGCTACGATTTGTGGATTCGTATGGCGAGACTGACCTTTTCCCCTCGATTTAATCAGTCTCTGTAGCACCTTCAGCGAATTAATTTTTATTTGGACTGAGAAGGGTTCTTATTCAATATTCTTTGTTATTTTCCGTTTGACTAAGAACCAAGCTATTATGGGCGATAAATGTGTTTTGGCAATTTGATTTGGGTGATTAATCATATCTGCATCGATGACAACTTTCTCAAAAGTTTTTGATGGAGACAGACATTTAAAACTAATTAATAAACACAAGTAGTAATAAGTCCCAAAAGTTCTTTTTAACTTTTCCTAGCTGGAGATCTCGCGCTAGGTCGAAAATACGCTCCACTTCAGCCTGCACTTCCACTGAATGAGCAAAATTAACCTTTCAAAAGGAAGATAATCCTACTTAGAGCGGCCTTGTTCTGTCCCTTTTCCTTGATAGCGCGGTCAGCTTGGCGAGCCTGAGACAAATCTTCCAATAGCTTCAGACTGCATTTGTCAAAAATGATTTTAGAAGCTCGAAGCCGTTCCTGCAGAAATTCTCGTGATGTTTACACGTCCATCAAATCTCCGTCTTATAAAATCGAACACTGCTTTCTGCATCATGTCCGTAACTTCGTAGCCCTTCAAGCTTGGGCCAACCATGACGATCGGCCGTACGTTTGGAACGACTTCGTAGCAAGTCTTGGATTCTTTCTTTGAAGCACCTTCTTTTCGTAGAGCACTTGGCGGCTTTGCTCTGAGGATCCACTTTTGGCGCTGATTTTAGTTGATCGCAGGTTTTTCCCTCGTTGATTAGATCGAATGCTTTCAATCTTTGTCGGGGAAGGAATAAATCCTAAGATAATTAATTGCGCTTCTGTTTGTGAGGAGTACTCACCGAGCTCGGAATCAGGGGAAACGACGCGCCCAATCCACCAAAACTCATCGTATTTTTCCTTTATATGCAAAAAGTCATCTGGTTCAAACGACACGAATTTGCCTTTCATAGGTTGAATGAAGAAGAGCGAGCCATGTCAAGGGAGATGCGACCTAAACACGCAAATAATCAAGGCCGATGGATAAAAGACACGACTCTCTATCGATGTCAATACATTCCTTAAATGTCCCTAGAGAGCGCGAACAAAACAAATTATAAGTCGAAAATCTAATTTGGAAAGTCGGAAAAATAAGTCGAGAAAATTCACTGATTCTCATTTCTAAGTTATTGATGCATCAACCGTATCCTATTAATGGAGCGTCGTCGTCGATTTTTCCGTTGTAGCCAAGACTGGTTTTGACAGTAAAGAGCACTGATTTAGATCTTTTGTGAGGTTAACAACTTTTCAACATCGAATAATTTATATTTAGTTTCACTAAAAATACAGATATTTGGTATGAGCTCCTTTCCTTGCTTGCTCAAGCCTCTTTTGAATAATCTTCTCTAGCTGGTCTGGGCGAATCTGCTCTGTTCTTATTCGATCAGGAGTAACTGTGCTCATTCGTTCCACCATTATTGTCCCATCAAAAGCCGATTAAAGGGCCGTTTGTAGTGGCGCTTCTCAAATGTTCGTCGACAAATTTCGACAATTAGTTCAATTATTTTCAGTTCTCTTCCTTGATTCCACCGCTCGAGAAAACAAAGTATGCTGCAAGCTCTTTCTTATCGAACGCTTAGAATGAAGCCAGCTCCTTGTTGACTTTTGAGAATTCGGCAAATTCGATTTAATCGGAGACAGAGCAGCTCTTAGGCGCCAGCGACAATATCCTAATTACCGCCGAGCGAGCTCTCATTCTGCTCCCTCGAGTCTGCTAAACCCTTTTCGCTTTTGGAACCTGACGGTGAATAACACTCGTCTCGCGCCCCATTTGCAAACATTGATTTTCCATGCAAAGTAAAGTGTTTTCATAGGCAAAACTTGGAACACATTGATATTGCGCCCGCGGTAACCTTGATAAAAATAAGTTATTACGCAACATGTTTTTTTACGTCGACACGGACGGGACCGGTCATTCGAATCAACTTGCGTAAGCAGCGCCAACAAAATCTCGTTTTACGGGCCTTTTTAGAGAATGTTCAGCGGCAGTGAGAGTACGACCGAATCTAGTGTTGGCGCTAGAAAACGCAGAAATTGGTCGTCAGCTGCCTCTAGCACTCACTCAAGCATATGGCCGAGAAGCACGAGCAGTTTATTTGAATCGCCGGAAACTGGACCAGGTACAAGGCAAAGAGCTCGAGATGACAGGTAATACAACTCTTTTTATTTTCTTATAAAATAAATTCAAGAAAACGAGACAATGCGACATGGGTACCTTCTATGCAGAATAATACGTTTGCATACGACACAGATGTAGAGAGTTACATGCCTGGAGATGGTTTAAAATACTTGAGTGAAATAAGTGATGTCGAGTCTTCAGGAAAGCGATTTTGTGATGTTTTATTAAAACAATAAGAATTTTGTCTAGTTTTTGCAGTGAATTGGTCAAAACCGCAAAACTAGAAATCGAGATGCCACGTGATCAGCAGAGACCATCGATTCCTTCATTCAGGAACCCCAATCACAACAAGCTCAAAAATCCCCCAAAAGAGAAAAACATGGCGGAATTCGGATGGGGACACTTGCATGAAGTAGGAATGGTCAGATTTGCAGATCGAGACAAATAATGATCAAACAAAAATGATCTATTCAAAGAGGATCCTTTCTGGGAAGGTATTCGTCGACAGAACAAACGGGAGCGTGAATTCAGAATACAACGATCACCCTTGTCTGCGCAAGAGCCCCCAAGACTTCTCAAAATTCGCGGCATTGACAATTCTTTTACCTCACATATTTAATGTATCTGCTCTGAAATTCACAAATCGTTTTTAATAAACTTTACACAAACAACCAAGGATTATTTTTTATTCTTCATATAAGCAGGGAAAATCCACAGTCTCAGTCGGTCCAATCAATATCTTTGTCATTCTTAGTGACTCCCATTTGCGACTTAAACGTTGGATTAGTTTTCTCGATAAACGGGGAGAATATACTTTGGATTTTTCCAGAAAATGCCATCGTTTGGAGTCGGCTGAATCGGAAGACCGGTTTTAACGTCATGCTCGACAGGGACAGAAGCAGATCCATGATACATTCCATTTAGATTAACCTTTGATGGGTTGCAGTCTTCCGCAGGATTTAAGCACCGATATTCCTTAAAAATATAAAGACGGTCCGCTTCAAATCCGTTCCATTAAACCACCATCCGGACTCGCTCTCAGAAGCACAGTTTCTTTGCTCTGTTCCGTCATTATCTCTATCAGCAGTGGAAAACTTCGCTCCTAAAAGACTTCAAGCACACTAAGCAAGCAATAATATGATGATTTCAAACCTGTTGCCCGAGAACTGAAACATGTCGGTTATGTCCACTAAGTCTTCATCAAAGCCGTCAATTTCCTTGATTGCATAGTCCTTCTGCCAGTTTCCGATCATGAATTTCTCGTAAGTAACGTACTGATACGTTTTTCTATCGCTTGCAATGTAAGCGACGAGTCTGCTTCCTCCTTCTCCGTGAGACTTTTGAACGAAGTACTGATATTCTAGGCCCAACCACTGCTCTCCATTGCTTTTATCATTATCATTACTTATTTCGAAGCGTTATTATACCATTCTGGGAGCATAAAAGTGCGTTGCGGATTCGGGCCGCGATACGTGTTTGGATAGTCGTCGGGCGTGTAGGAACCTCAATACTCGATTATTCAATGTGCTAGATGATCTCACCGTCGTCAGAGTGGTACGGGCTATAATATGGCTTCTTGCACATAGAGGTGTTTGAATCAGGAACACTGACTTTGCGATTAGGGTCCAATCCACTGAATTAATTTTGAATTATGCTCTCGAATTCTAATTCTTTACTCGTTCCCTCTTCGATAGTCGTTGTACCAGTCAGGAGACTCGCCCACTCCGACAGGGCACCCGAAACCCATTACATAGTCATCCCAGTTTCGGTTGAAGCAAACTTCACCAACGTATCGACTTTGAATAACAGTGTACGCTCGTTCTGGGTCAAACATGCAGTCTACCCACTTAGGCATGAGTCCGGGGCGTGGCTGAAAAGGACCGACAATTCGATTTTTAGAAAATTCCTTGATACCTGAATAATATATTTTCCAGCTTCCGGCAACTTGCAATGCGGCCCCTTCGCCGCGTCAACAAGAATGTCCTGGCACGATCTTGGATACTTGCCTTGTGGATCAGATGTCGGACCTTTCCAGTATGCCCTCGTATTCAATGGCAGTTCTGGCTCATCCGATTTTGTCGTAGTTTTTGTTGTTGGTCTTGGCGTTGCGCTTGGCTAATTTATGATTTCTTAATTTGCACAATAAAATCTCTTTATCAATATCAATTACAAATTTGAAACCATTTTCTTATTTGCATTAGCGACTGCTCCGATCGCGGCGACTCCTACAACTGCTCCAACGTGCTCAGGCCTTGGTCGTTTTCTGCGCCTCTTTCCACCTTTTCCTGGCCGCTTTCTTCGTTTCCCTCCTGCGCCGCCAGGACGACGTTTTCGTCCGTTTTTTCCTTGAGTTTTTCTTGTTGGAGACGTACTTTTTGCTTCAATCTCTTGAATTAGACAGCATACTAGCAGAAGGAAAAAAATAAATTTTGGCCACATATTTCAAGTTTAATCCTTTAAAAGATCAACTATTAAGGATCGATTCACTATAATCCCATGTGCCCTTGAGACCTTCACACGCTCGAGGGGTTAACAAAAGTGAGTTACACAAATTTTATTTTGATTCTTCATTTGTTTTGCCGGGAGTACGTATTTACTCAGGGCTTATGCGTAAACAATAGCTGCTAATAGTAGGCTACTGCGAAAGAAAGGAGATGCTCCCTTTTGAGACCCAGCTGCGGATCGGCTTAAAGATATTTAATTGTAACAATTTCGTTTTTCTTGAAAGTTGCCCTCTAATCTTTTTACATGACCTGTAATGATGAGTAGGAATATTTTTCTGACAGGTCGGAAAACTTCTAATGAGTCGTGTTATTCACTAGTCGTCTAATATGCAGCACAAAAATTGATATAAGCTCTCAATTTTAGTGCTTATTCCATAGAGTTTGAGATATTTGAACCTATTCGAAAGAGCTAGATTTTTCCAAAATGAAAATTCACAGTTTTCTTGCAGTTCTAGCTGTGGGACAAGCCGGCAAGAAGGAAAAAACTCGAGATCCGGAAAAGCACCTTCGTCATATCGTCAGGCAGACAACAAGCTTGGTAGACACAATTATTATTTAATTTTTTAAGTTTAGCTTTTGCAACAGTCTTTAACAAAAGATATAGATTATATGCCATGATTTATCTCATTTTAATTTTAGCTCGGAGAAATGGCCCCTTATTTGCGAAAACATGAAGACTGGGAGGCAAAATTTAAGAGAAACGCGGACAATTTGCTTGCAACTTACAAGCGAACCCGACATAGGTAATTTTGAATATTTAAAGTTTAAATTTTAAACACGCTCGTTTTCAGATGCGATCTTATCCAAGAACGAAACGGCGCAAAAGAAGGAAACCGTCGGCGGCGTAGAGAAGTAGCGAGACCATTCTTTGAGTCTGTCCTGAGTGTCGAGAAGACTAATCGATACGACATTTCGTTGGCCATCAAACAGGTAGATCGCATTATGTTATGATTGAAAAAATATGTTTTAAAAAGGTGACCACGCGATTTCGACGTTGGGCAGACGCGCATGTTGCTGCTTGCCGAGGAAATAAGAAGCACAAGCGTCAGCAACAAAAAATGGCCAAGTGGAGAAAGAAACTAACAAAGCACTGGAATGAACACAAAGCTGCACTTCAATCGCTTTGAACACGTTTTAATATATACAGTAAAGTTGGAGGAAACTATACTGATTTCTTTTTTTTGTAATAAACTTAAGCCATGAATATTTTTTGTTTGGATAGTTTATTTGGCGCAAATAAATAAATGGGGAAATTGCATGTCTATGCAGATGAAATACAGAACGGGGAAAGGACGGGATTGTACCCGTTAGTTATTTGAGCATGGAGCTCGCAATAGAGAACAGGTTAAATCAAAGTTGATTATTATCCTCTGTATATGGTAGTCTGAACGCATGGTTGTCGGCAGATCAGATCATCGGCAGGACAGTCGCGCTCGCATTGGACGGCGGACACCTGGATGCTTGTTGTGATGATATCACCAGTGTCTCGTCGTTCTCGAGCAGATCTGAAGCAAGAAATGATCAACTTAACTTTTAAAGATTAGCTTACCGTCTGCGTCGACTTCCGCAAGATGGTGTGCAATCACTCATGTTGTCTGGCGAGCAGATCTGGACGGCACAGTGAGCGTAGAGCTCGTTCGCTTCGAGTCCGACAAATTGGAAGGCAGCAAAGGAGAAACGAGATTGAGAGGATGCACCGTTTTCAATCACTGCGATGTTATCCGGATCCTGTGAAATATTGTTAGATAAATTAAAATTAGCTTAATCTTACGTCAGGGTTGACACATCCATCAATGATCAAGTCAAACATGTCAGTATCATCGGGGTCGTTTGTAGCAGTCACCCAACAATCTTTAGCGTAAGTAACAAATTCAGAACCGGCATCTGTAAGGGCAAGGCCGATAAAGACATCCTCTGGAATGGTTACAGTGTCAGTCTCGCTTGAAACCACAGAGTACGACGAATCAGTGTATGGTGCCATTGTAACATCGAATGTTCCCGTATTTTCACCGAGAGCGATCTCCAATGAAGTAGCTTGAACTGCACCGATACCGATTGAGACGGAAATATCGATCTCGTAGACGCATGTGAAGCTCGTAAAGAGGTTTCGCTAAATATAATTTATGTATCAGTTTTAGGCTCATTTCATTACCATTCGTTTAATGACTCCATTATCGATACCAGCTGATCCTTGAATAGCATTACTGTAAGTGTTGTGAGTGCCATTAGCCTCAATCACGGTTCCACAGTCGCCGAAGTTTCGATCGATCGAGAAGACGTATTCAGCACCGTTTTGATATCCGATCTTACCGCGGCAGTTGTTGGACGATGAAGTAGCCAGAGTGGAGAAATCATCAGTTTTTTCTGGACCAGCAATGTAAAGATCGCTGAGAGTGAAACCGAATCGATTCATGACACACTTGTTGATGCGAACTTCAAGGGAGCCAGAGTTGCACTCAGCGTAGACAAAGTCTTCAGGGTTGATTTCAGTTTGTGCTGGAACTAAAGTCATGTTGCACTTGCATCCGACATCCGCGTCGCAAGTAGAGTAAGTTGGCATATCCCCAGTTCCTTCGCAGTTAGCGACATCCGCGCATTCGGGTCCACCGACGCCACCGCCAACGCTAGAAAGATCAGAGCAAGGTGAAAGACAGACAAAGTCGCAAGTTTCAGTCCACGATTCCTTTTTGTCGAATGGATTTCCTTCATCGGCAACGCACTCGCCTTCAGGCTGTGGTGGAATGAAAGTGATGACCTCAGAAATGATTGCATCGACAGTGCCAACGTAATCTGCTGGAGAAGCAATGGAGTATTTGATCTTGGCGGATGTAACGTCGCCAGTGATAATCAAATTATCAAAAGTGGCGATACCGGAACCAGGAGTGAATTCAACTCGAGTAGTACCATCGGGGGATGCGACATTAGGTCCGGTAAGGACTGGATCGACGATTTCAGCCTTCAGTTTCACCGGATTGTCAACAAAACCAACAGTTGTCATCACTTGGTCATTTTGATCGTACATAATGATCTGGAATACGTCGAAGAACTTCTGATTGAGAATTTGAGGTCCAGAAGGTTGGTGAGAGAATTCCATTCGTGTTGGTGTATCGTAGATGATGGGCTCGTTGGCAGCATCAACAAGTTCTTGTGCCTCATTAGCAGTCTCTTCAGCAGTCTTGAGCTCCGAAAGTGGTGATCCAAGAGTTTCCTCGACCTCCTTGAGGAATTCTTCTACGTCATCTTCGGGTGTGATTTCTCTCATACCAAGAAGTTCAGTAAGTGGAACAGCTGGAGGTGGTGTTGCTAGTTCAGGGGTCTATTTTTTGCAAACATCGAACACATTTTTCCGTCAAACCCACGTCAGCGCTGTAACGTTCGGAAAAAAACGTGCCGTGAGAAATATTCAATATTGTGCCTAAATTAAGACCCTAGCCTGGTTGAGGAGGAGGTCGCGCGACAGCGATTTCGGCTTCGACTTCTGCGCCAGTAGCATCAGCAACTAAGATATAAATTTTAATTCTCTTCAATAAATAAAATAATTTAATCAAAATTTAAAATTACAGATTGAACAATGTTATGTTAGTTGTGTGAATTTACCTGCAGCAGCGACGTCTGCAGCCTTTGCAACGACTTCTTCGGCAAGATCAGAAAGCTTGGCAGCACCACTTTCAGTCTCTTCAGGTGAAATTTCAATCTGAAGAGTTGACTCGGCAGCTTCACGTCGGAAACGGAATCCAGCGAGAGAGAATCCAAGGAATCCAGCTTCTTCTCGTCTCTTACGTCTTCTTCGAGAATCTTCAGAAATGACATTCATCACCTTAATCTTGGATGGATCAATGCCGAGAAGAGCAGCGAGATTGTTGGCGAGATTTCCGTTATCATAGAAGTCATCATCACTCAACTCAGTCATCATGCCAAGTTCGAGAACAAGCGTTTGAACCGTTATCATGTCGTAAACTTTACCACCGCCAATGATGACATGGAACATTTGGTTGTTTTGCTCCTGGAAGTTAGCACCAGGCTGGTGAGAATCAACTCCGACCATATGTTCAATCAGATCAGGCTTCTGCCAAGCGATGGAGCCGTCATCCTGGACAGCGCCATTAGTTGGAACCATGTATGCACCATCTTGTTTGATGTCGATTCGGTTAGGTCGCTTTGTATAGAACGAAACCTTGATCTTGCAGTCTTCTGGAGCATTGGGCAAATGCCATCGGGCATTCATAGGAGTAGTCGATGAAAGATAGACTTCAAAGTCCTTTCCACATGCTGCTGGCAAATGGAAAGTTGACAATCGAACAAAACAAGCGTAACCAATGCAGCAAGAGTGATCTCCTGGACCATTAGCAATGGTGACATAACCTTCGGATCGAATAGCAACAGGTGAAAGTCGTCGTCGCATGTGGTCTTCGTCCATAGATTCGAAAATCAAGTCTTGGTACTCAATATCGGGACAGAACCAGCCGGGGAATCCCTTTTTCCAGACGCAGTTTCCATTGCGAACCGCACCGACGTCTGTTCTAACTTCATTAATAGGGATCTTTGAGCCATCCATGCGAGTCATCATAGGATTCGGGATTCGATAGTCACCAAGACCATCCTGTGTTTGGACGTATGTGAGAGACGATCCATCCGGTTGGACTCGAGTAAATCCATTCCATTCGAACTCAGACTCAGCAATCAGCGTTCCAGCAGATCCAAGAATAGAGCCTTCTTTATCAACGATCGTGTTAAACTTGTAGCCGTCACAGAACAGATCGACGCAGTCGGCAATATTAACTGTCTTCACTTGTGGTCTTCGGTTAACTGCGATATAATCGTCGTTAACATTGGTCTTAACGTTTCCACTAACATAAGTGATTGGGAAAACGTGATCGCTCATTTTCTTGTTGGAAATGGAGAGAGAGTCTTTATCGCCACATTTGCCCTGGAAATTGACGAACTCTGTATTGTAAATCAGAGTGTTACCGTACAGAGCGGGCTCGATTTCGTTAGCCCACCACTCGCAAGCAGGGAATCCATTTTTCTTGATGATGAAATCAGTAGGCTGGAGAGCAGTGTGAGTTGTCTTCACTTGAACAAGAGAAGACTGCCGGGCCATTGGCGAGGCAGAGTAAACATTAGCCTTCACGTCAGTATCATAAGTACAATCATAGCTATCGGATCGTCCAACAATGTAAGAGTTCTTGATGGTAACATCCTTGTTCATAGCAGAGTGCATAGTTGCGTCAGGTCCAGTCATGATAGCGTAGATACCAACTGGTGCATCTTGGATGATAACATCGTCAATAACTAGATGAGCAGAAGACGTTTGAGCCGTAACACCATAGAAAAGAGTTTTGTGGAAAGTGAAACCCGAAATCTTAGTACAGGCGCTGTGACCACCCCATAGGACGTAGTATCCACGTACGCAACCTTTACCATGGTTTCCAGTCCAGGATCCAGCAACATGATCACCAGAGTTAGCTTCAAGTTCGTTGCAAAGCTCGCCATTACCGCCAAAGCATGAACCATCAACACCAGAGACTCTGTTATTTGTGATGAGAACATCCGTAGTACCCATCGTCTCAATACCAGAAGGCGTTTTGTCATCAGCGAAATTGGCGTTGACAGTCGTTTCGAAATAATTTTGATAGAGCTGTTGGTGGAAAACGTTACCAATGACGTTTCCATCGATGGTTACTCCACTTGAGTCTGTGACGATAGCAGAGTCAACAGTTCCAAAGATGACGTTGTTGGAGACCTCAATGTTGTTAGATTCAAACATAACAGCGATAGCGGAGTGGAAACCAGCGTGGAAGGCACATCCCTTGACATAGGAATTCTTCAATCCTGAGTCAGCATCGCCATCACCATCAACATTATAGAAAAGGATACCAGCTCGAAGATCATCATATTCGGAGTAGCCGTATTGACCCATAGCTTTGAACTCGACAAAACTGAACTGACCATAGCCATTTCTGTAGTAGGTATGGACGCCATTAGTTTCCATGTAGTTGCTCACCAAAATTCGACCTCCCATCTTTCCATCAGCGCCGCCTGAACCGTCGACAACAATGTTTCTGGTCAACAAAGCAACTTCAGCGGCTTGGCTTACTGTTCGTCCAAGAGCGGTTATAGTAGAGTCAGCAGAACCCAAATGAGTCCAGGAGAAAGTTGTATTCAAAGTAAGTGTCTGTCCGCTGATGGCAGTGATAGAAACGTACTCAGTATGTCTTTGCTCGTAGTCAGAAGTTGCAATAGCAAGCTCGTCGCCAACCTTCCATTCAGAACTGACGTCGTCGTCGACAGTGATCTCGCTATCACCAGCATTGACAGTATTCGTAAGTGTGGTCCAGGTGTGAGTCAACTCGCAACCATGCATTTCAATACCACCGATACCACCTAGGGCCTTAGCACCAATTGGAACTGATCCAGGCATAGCGCCGAAGGATGGCGAATACTCGTCCCCGTTGATCTTCAGGATGACCTTTGTTCCGCATGGGATCGGATCGTCAGCAGTACCAATGACGATATTGCCATTAGCAATGTGAACAACGTCTCGTCGTCTTCGGCTACTGAGGTTTTCTTTATTCTCACCCTGGCCAGTGTTGACAACAAGGTGATCAGCTTCAATTAAGCAAGTAGATCCAGCTTCAAGAGAAGATCCTGGAAGCTCGAGAGTACCGTCAACGAAGACTGAGGCAAATTTAAAGTGACCGTTAGCAGCAGAGATTGCAGCTGCATCAATAATGGCTCTTTGTCCTGCAGCAATATGAACATCATTAAACTCAGCTGGAAGTTCGCCACCCAAGCAGTCGAGGAAAGCGCAATCAACAAGTGCTGGAGGCTTAATTGGCGGAATAAGTGAATGTCAGGTAAAACTTATTAAAACTTACCAAAGTTGGTGGAGCTGGTGGTGGTGGAATGCAATCTTTGAAGAAGCATTTGTGGAAAGAGGGCTGGACGTAGAAATTCTCACCCCAAGTGAAGGCACCTTCTTGGACTTGAGGATTCTCAGTATTAGCCTGACCGTTAAATGTGTATCGAACTGTGAATGGAGCAGACTCGTTCTGAACGTTGTAGTCGTATGCGTTGAGAGTAAGAGGATCTTCTGGCCATTCATCAATTTTTTCGGGTTCAGCATCAGAAGCCCCGATCATTTCAGCAAAATCGATGAGTTCTGGGAAGTCATGACGGATAGTAAGCCATTCTCCTTGTTCGAAATCGTCAATATCTCCAGTGAACGAGATGTTGGAAATATGCTCGTGTTGCTCGAAGTGCATTTCGTATTCTTCGTTTCCTTGAAGCATAACCATCCAACCTTTACCTCGAGGTCGACAGTTTCTGAAGCCAGACTTGGTTGTTCCGTACTGGTTAGTGAAAACAGCCATCGTTCCTTCCATCGAGTCAGGTTTAGCATTGTTGAACATGAATCGATGCGGCTTGAATTTTTTCTCTCCCAAAGATCCCTTGCATCTCATAGCCGGATGCGAACGCTCGTCCCAGCTTGGATCAGTGTTAGCATTGTCGTACTTTCCGGATGTATCCAAAGTGCACAATGCTGGATCGAAGGCATCAGACGCAGCGATAACGTAATCACCAGGAGAACCACCTGCAAAGGTACCGTCCAAATCAAGAACACCGGCTTCTCCTTCCCAAGCAAAGGTTGATCTACGTTGAGAATTGTACCACTTAGTGTTTCGGAACCAAGTAATGGCACCACAATCGAACGCGTTTGAGCCGTAGCAAGGATCGAAGGCAACACATCGTCGAATGGCAAGTTCAGAAGCCATTCCGAAGTTTGAAGGATCACCGACAGAAGAAAGGTCTGGTGTTGGTTCATCAAAGTTGAAGAAATGGATATCGTCAACGGTAAATGAAAAGAATTTCCATGGAGTTTCAATACCCATGTCTCCACACGCGTCCAACTCAGGATCGCCGGACAAGTGACCAATAACGATATTATGCTTAAAGAGCTGAGCTTGGTCATCATTTTCTCCATCAGCATATGTGTGGAGGAAGGACTCTTTACCGGCAAGACCGGCAATCCAGTTATTCGCGACAATCATGTTATGGAACTGCAGTGCGCCTCCAGTAGCGATTTCAGCACCACGCTCACAATGCCAGGCAAAGAAGCCAAACGTATCCTCGGGAACTGGGTTTCCTTCGACGTCAATTTCAGGCTTCCATCCGAACTTATTCGCTTTCGGAATTCCATCTCCGCACTCACCACTTTGTGTTGGAGTAAGATCAACGAAGATCCACATACCATATTTACCAAGAGAGTGAGCGGTGTTATTGTAGAACTGTCCGAGTGGTCGGTTCTTGGGGCAAACCCAATCATATTGTGGATCCTTAGAGGAAGGCCCAGTTGGTCCATCCTCTGGCGGATTAAACCAGTAACCAAAGTGGGAGCTGCCAGCAACACGGTTACCGTAGAAAATATTGTTCGGGTTCGTGATCCAGAAAACGGATGGAGTAGAATCGACGTTCAAGAGTGAGGATGACTTTTTGTTCATGATACCCAAGTTGTATCTAAGGATATTATTTTCTTCGACAGCATCTTCGAGGAAGAAAGCAAGACCCATAACGTTGAAAATGACATTATGCTCAACAACGATATCGTGGATACCATGGAGAGTGAGGGCTCGGTTGAAAGTGTTGTGAATAGCACAACCTCGCACGTATGAAGTAGGCATAGATCCAGGAGTGTGGAAATGGATTGGGTATCGAGCGAGATTGAAAGCCTGACCAGCGTGAGTCACTTCAAAGTAGGCAATATGAGCATATGCTGGCTTGTGGAGGAAAAGAACTGATCCAAATTGGTCGGAACCTGTTTCGTGGCCATATCTGTTTTGGAAGCAAGTTTGGGTACCAAAAGCTGTTCCGGGACCAAGCTTGCATTCGGGAAGCTCTTCAGTCCATTCGTTATTTATATTACCCATCATCTTCACATTTCTTGTCAGAAGACCAACCTCCGCGCGAGTGCATATCTCTCCAGCCCATCCCCATCCAAGGCCGTTGTCATCAGGGCCATTAGTGCATACAGCAATATGTCGATGTTCGAGAGCTTCTGCAAGAGTAACAGTGTATCCATCATCAGAAACAGCAGCGATTTGTCTCTTTTCGGATCGGTGGAAGTTAGTGAGATCGCCAGTCGCAGCAATGACGATTTCATTTCCGACAAACCAATCATCCTTAATTGGGTGAGTGAGAGTAATCTCTGTTGCGCCAGCTTCAACCGTGTTCGCCAGTTCAGTCCATGTGGTTGTCTTAGGGCAGCCAAAGATTGAAATAGTACCGAATCTGATTGCCAATACTTTAGCACCATAAATTGGAAGATTGATGCTACGTTGATGACCGTAAAGCTTGATAAGAGCGTTTCCTTCGCAGAAAGGCTCATCTTCATTACCAATTTCAAAGTGTCCTCCATTATTGACAACACCATACTGCATGTGAAGCTCAATACCGTCTTTTCTGTCCCAAATGAGAGTACCTCCATCAATAACCAGAACGGCAAGAAGAGGAGTAGTCTCATCAAGAAGAAGAACCTGGCCAGCTGGAACGACAATGATTTCACCAGCTTGAGGTTTGCAAGATTCATCGGTACAGCCCCAAGTGTATGGGCTAGACCATCTATCCATGTACCAGAATTTAGTATCCTTCTCCTCAAGTGGAGATTCTGTCGCAATACCAGCTCCGCCGGGAATAAAGATGACTGGTGCAGTAGGAACTTGTTCTTTTCCTTTGGGGAAGGGATTTGTCACGCAAATAATCTGTGTATCAGTGACAGACTGAACATCGCAGGCAACTTCCTCAAAGAAAGTGACAGTGACGCCTTCAAGAGTTGAGCCGAAATTGGAACCAGTAATTGTCAAAGAAGTGCCTCCCATAGTTCCACCGATCTTAGGTTCAACCATTGTAAATGATGGATTTGCGTCTTCTGTAACAGTAATGCCTTCATCAAAGATTTGTCTACGTCGTCGTCGTGAGTCAGTAGAGATATCAGATCCATCAGAACCGTCAATGGCTTCAAGTACGAGACCGCTTCCACAGTTGTCAGGATTAATTGGTGGGACAGCAAAAACTATTTCCTCAGCATCACTACCGGTGGCTTCGGTGAAGCTCACAAAAGTAAGGTCCTCTTCGCAAAGAACGCCTGTGACCATTTCGCTGAATCCAGACCCAGTCAACGTAAGCAACTGACCACCATTTGTACCGATAGTACTTGGTGAAGCAGAGTCTACAGTGAGTGCATAATCGAGATCAATGACATTTTCTGCTTGGCCATACTCGCTTGATCGTAGAACAGCTTTGTAACTACCCGCTGGAAGAGAAGGAGCATCGAAAGTAACAGAACCTGCGGAGCATGATGGAGTAAGGGTTTCTTTGACCATAAATGGAGCTTTCGGTTGATCAATGAGATTTCCAAGATCGTCGTTAGGACATTCGAGAACAAACGCAAGTTCTTGGACATCATCAAGGTCACCGATTTCATTTTGATGAACTGGTTTCATCCAGGCCGATCCTCTTCCGGAGTGAAGGAAGTATTCACCCTGTCGAATTGAAACGGTTCCAGGAGCAAAAACATCATCGACAACGCTAAGCTGCGCATTTGGATCGTTAGGGTCTGAAACGAGAACAACTCTGTATGAATCAGAAGAGGCAGCCATATTTATCGCAAGATATTTTGAACTATCGTCATGTCGAACAAACTCGACGGTGTGGACACCAGGTGCGACTGTGTTGATTCGCCATTGATCAGGGAAACGACTGTCATAGTAGCATCTGTGGGGATTATGAAGTCGGTTGTCGTTTCTTCCGCCAATGTAGCAGTTTTTGTCTCGAACGAAAGTATCGTTTCTTATATTATCGGGACTATCCGAATACATGTAAACGTATTCATCAGGCAATCCTGGTAGGAATGGCCTAATAGCACAAGCAAATCGCTTAGCTCCAGCTTCGAGCTCTTGGCAAGTTGGAATACCACAGCTCTCTCTGGCGAATCGTTCTGGGTCTTTCCAATCCCAATTTTCATCCATAGCACAGAAAATACCATCATCATCATCCCATAAGTTTCGACACAAATTTCCTTTTCTCAAATAATGAGGGTTGTGATCATAGTCACTGAACCACGAGGTTGGTTCCCAGCTTGAGCACTCTTTTCCAGTGAAAGATTTGCTAAGCCAGCCCTTGTAAGTATATCGGCCCATATCAAGATCATTGTTGAAACAGTTTCTGTTATGGTATCGTCGACACCAGACTCGCTTCTTGAACTGATCGCCGCTACTACCCCAGCTATCGCAATCACCTTCTGGGAAGACGAATCCGAAAACGCCGTTTTCATCAATTTCACCACGGAAGCATTTCACTTCACCGTACCACATCGCGTAGGTACCTCGGCTAGCTGTTCCGTCGCTTCCTTCAGGTCCTCCAGTCTGGTAAATAGCCTTCAGGTTATCTTCGTCATATTGAGAATCGATTCTATACATGGTTTCGCCATATTGAGCTTCGCATTCAGCTTCGGCGTCAGCTTTGAAAGCCAGGCCTCGACGAATAAATCTAAAGCAGTCACGGCCAGATCCGTAGTAATGCCAGTAGTCAGATTCATCGCACCAGCTGCATTCGTCACAAGTACATGTGTAATCGAGACCATCAGCAGTTGGATGACAAGTAGCAGAATCAGCACATTCGTGAGCTCCAACAGCACAGGGATTAGAAGTCTGCACGATTTCAATAGCCATATTCGCGCAAGATCCTTCGTTGATAACAGCGAGAGTGATAGTCTCGCCACCGATAAGAGCAGATGTTGTTCCAGATGCACTGTCGATTGAACCAGAGCTGGCAGAATAAACAAAATCGAAAGAGTATTCAGTATCAGATGACAAGTACTCATGCTTGATAACTACTTTAGCAGTGTCAGCAGAAACTACTCGTGGCGAGTAGAAAACGAGAGTTGTTGTATCGACGACTTCCTTGATTCGACAGAATTCGCAAAGTCGTTCACCGTTTGAAGCATAAACTTCAACGACTGAGTCTTTATCAAAACCAAAGCCAGTAACGGTGACAAGAGTACCACCATTAAGACCACCTGATGAAGGGCTGATCGCGGATGCGGAGTATTCGACTGTAATTGTATCGAGCCCATCAGCAACGGTGACACCTCCAGTAGTGGCATGGAATCGGAGTGGATATCGTCCACCTTGAACGCCATTGAAAGTAGCAGTTGCAGTATTTCCGCTAGCGGAAACGGCAGCCTCGAAATCACCAGCGTAGACAGTTAAGCCGTCGAGATTTGCTCCATTGAAAGTGATCACATTGGAGTCGGCGGAAACAGTTGACCTATCCGCGCTGTTGACGGAAGGAGTTTGACCAGATCGAGTCTGAACGGTGAATCCTGTATCGAACTCATTAACGTAAATCGTGAATGAATAATCGACAGTATTCTGAGCAATTTTGTCAAGGCGGCAAGAAACTTCGGTGTAGCTGTGTGAAGTTGACTTGCAGTTGGCAGTAAAGTCGCCTCGGATGCTGATTTGATCATCACCACGAGTAGACGAGACAAAGCCCTGGCCATTAATAACGAGATCAACATCACCGTTACGGGAGAACCTGTCCAAATTGATCGAATCAACATGAGCACCAAAAGTTGTGGCGGTATTTCCGTCAACCTGATAGCTCGTTACAACATCGTTTTCATCTGATTCAACAACGTAGTCGGTGTAGTAGGCATCACCAATGTTCTGAAGGTTAACTCGGAGCTCGTATGACTCGGCGGTGTCTAAAGCTCCAGCTGGGTCGATGTTCCATTTATACCAGTTCGAGCCATGAGAGTTGTAGTTTCCAGAATAAGGTCCGTAGAAGGCAGTAACTCGGCTATTGCAGCTGTTCATGTCGGGCACATTCGCAGAAAAGGTCACCCGGTTATCGCCGCCGATAGTGCTTGCAACGATATCGTTTTCGATATTTACGACTGGCGTTGTAGCCCAAGAATAAGTTATCCAAGGTCCTGCTTCAGCTGGTGGCATAGCAGTAGAAGTTCCAACATTCTCACACGCATGGCTTGGCTGATTGGTATTGAAATTAGCAACTTCAGCGTGGAAACCGTTCATTTGAACAGAAAACTCAAGTGGTTTGTCAGTTGCATCAACAACCTTGAGTGTGCTGCTGGAGAAGATTGTGGCAGAATCGATAAGCCCAGTAGAATAATGATAGGTTCCTTTTCCAGTGAAAAATTTGACGAATTTTCCTTCATCTCCTTGGAATTGAGGACTCCAGTATTGTCCATTGCTAGTCTCGGCATCACCGGCCGCAGAAGTTCGCTGCAGTCTTACATATGGAACAACACCGCTGATGGCGATTCTCCATCTCCATAACACTTCTGTTCCTTTTTCGATTTCGACCATGTCGACTTTGACGCCATTTCGGTAAATACCGCTACCAGTTACTTGAAGCTCAACGCGGTTATTGTATGGAGCAGTTTTGCAGACAAAGCTGTTGTAAGTGACATCACTGATTTTGCATGGGTAGTTTCCGACAGCTGCCCAAAGCGAACCATCTCCAGAAGTCTCGGCCATAGAAGCAAATCCATGTCCGCTGACAGTAATCATGTTGCCACCAGCGAGGGACGAAAATGTTGAGCTGACGCCAGTAACCTGGAATCGAGTGTTAACATTGACACTGTTAGATTCTCCAATGTTGCAGACGTAGACTCTGACAGCTCGCGAAGCTTGATGGGCTTGCGCGGGGGCGACCGCGATAATTTCAGTGTCAGTCCAGGAAATAGTCCTAGCAGTAGCATCGCCGATGTAGACAACGCTATCGTCACACTCAGAAGTGAAATCAGAACCGGTAAGAGTAATTCGTTCGCCTCCAAGAACAGTAAGCTTATTAGGCGACACATTATCTAGTTGAGGACTTGTAGCAGAAGAACCACCGTTGGCTGCAGTTCGACACTTCATTTCGGTATAAGTGACTTCAAGACCGGTAGAATCGCAGTTGACAGAAGCTCCGTTGAAGTTAACCTGCACTGTTTGTCCTTGATAGAAGCCAGTTCCCTGAGCTGTAACAATGGTGCCACCGTGTCTGGATCCTTCTGATGGAGAAGAGCTTGTAACAGCAGTAGCCACAGTTAATGTGCTCGAGGAAGTCATAACGCCCAAATCGAAAAATTGAACGACAATTTCGTGGTTGGAGCCTGCGCCGGTTGCGCCAATACTGCAAGAGACAGTAAGAACTCGATCGCCTGCGTTATCAGCTTCAGTGAAAGAGCAGTCAGCAACTTCGACTCCGCCAACAGTAGCAGAGAACTCAGTCAAGTCTCCAGTGTAGTCCTTTACATTCACTTCGAAGACGATCGAATCGCCCATAGTAATAGCGCCAGAAGAAGGAGATACTGAGTTTAGAACTGGAGTGTATCTGTTCAAAAATTGGTAATCGCAGTTTTTGCAAGCAGATCTTTGTCCGTTAGCAGTGACGACAACCTGTGGAACTTTGTGATGAGTAGCGATGACGGATCCTGGAATGATGTCCGTAGGAACCGCAGAATGATGATCCCACATTTGCTTATGATCTGGTCGGATGTAATAGCCAGCTGGCGGATTAGCCGTAAAGGTAAGAGCTTTCATGTTACCATGTTGTCTGGTTCTTATGGTATAGTAATAGCCTTCGTTACACCAACCATTTCTCCAGGTGTCAATATGTAAGCCGTCTTCTCCTAGCTCAGGCCAGGTAGCAATCAGATCATTCTTCAACATCATTGGCCAGTAATCATAACCGAAGTTGACATTAAGTTTTTCTGAGCTTCCTTCCATTCCGATTTCAACGGGAACATTTTCAAGCTTGCTCGGCATTTCGTCTCTTCGGAAGACCCAAACGCGGAACATTGATCTTTGCACTGGATTCGTGAGGATATTTTTGTAGTCAAGATCAATCATATAAAAGTCCTTGTTTTGAACATCGTAAGTAAAAGCTTCGGCGAAACCACCCCAATGATTGAGTTCAAGAGCAGGATTAGCATTTTCCCAGTTAGAACCGTACGTCGGATTATTTGGGCCTTCGTTAACGATTCCACTTTTAGACGCGATGGGACGAATTTGTGGGAGAGGAGCGCTTGTGCCGCAGAATGCGTTTTCAGCCCAAGTTTTGATCTCCATGTGGATGTATCGACCCCACCAGTAATTTGAAGCGAATCCAAGGTCAACTTTGGTAGGAACCTGGCCACCGAAAGAAAGCGGTTTTCTAGTTTGGGTAACTGAGATTTGACTTCGCATTTTTCCAACTCGGAGTTCATCAATGTAAATGTTTGACAGATCGCCGTTTTCAACTCGCATATTGTAGACAGTGATGCCACTTGTGAGTGGATTCCCATCGTAGTAGTTTCCGGGTGCAATAGTGTCGGTGATCTTGAAGCAAATATGCTTGTATGTTCCTTTTGATTGCCAGTTTACTGGTTGGCTCATCCAGTCCTTGAATGTCTTGGTCTGTCCTTCATCATTAGTGTAGGTAAATTCACCGTAAACTCTGAACTTGTCGATGATACCCTCGTATGCAAAGCAAACATCGTTTTCATTGTCAGTGTTGAATTTGCCACCCAAATGTGTGTTCCAGAAGTCATGATTGTGTGTCTCATGAACTTTTCTTCCGCACATACTATTTCGGTAGTTGACAAAATGATGTTGTCCTGGCCAATCGTATTTTTGATCGTTTTCATAACCACCATAGTATCGAAGAGGGTTCATGTTTCCTGAGACTGAGCATTCTGGTTCAAACCATGAGTTGATTGTATCTTCCATATTATCTTTCCAGTTGCTTGCCTTTCCATCAATATCAGCTTCGAAGCAGTTGTTGTTGTCACCGCACCACTTGATGTTAAATTCTGGGTCTCGAGAACTGTCCCATGTTTCTCCGTCGGGAATCGCGCTTCCATCTTGAACACCGAGAGCGTGATTGAAGAAAATCCAGAATCCGTCTTTCTTTCCGGTTTGTCGAACTCGCAGTTGTTGTCGATCGTAGACGTAATTATCTTGCTGCCATTCATTTCTTGGAACAGTATCGTGCCATGTACCGGAGTCTGCAGTTTTGCCGTGGTAGTGAACTCCGACAGTGGCGTGATCGTTCCCGCTGTTTTCAGTGTAGGAGACAACAAGTTTTATTTTGTCGCCTTTGACGAATGTGAACTGTCGAGAGAAATCTGCCGGGGTTTCGCAATCGTCATCGACGTGACATGCCCACCATGTGCTTCTTGCGATACTTTCGAAAGAGCCGTCATCATTGACCACAGATAGATCGTGAGCGTCATCTCCTCGAAGATGGAATGAAAATACACCATCGAAGGGGGCAATGAAGTAGTTCTTAGCACGTAGCCGGTAGTCAGAACCTGCGTTTCCGAAGAATTCACCGTAAAACTTGTAGAAAGAGAAAGCCATGTTTTCATTAGTCCATGACCATCCTGGAGCGCTGTATCGTGCTTCTGGATAGTCAAGCGCATCGAGTTCTCTTCGCCATCTGTACGCTTTTTGAACTTTGACCTCTGATCCACGATTACCCGCGTATTTACCAAGTGTATTCGAGCAGTAGAGAATATTGCATGCCTCGTGTGATCCATCATCAGTCTCACAATAAGGCTTCACTTGGTTAAGTGGATCCGGATTTCGGCAGAATGTGCCAGATTTACAGGAATTCCCATGCTTGGTCACAGCGACGTTTCCGACGTATTTTTCGCCCCGTCCGGAGAAGCAATCTTGCTCATTTACTCGATCGGTCCATGCGATGTATCCACCTTCAGCACCGTCCCACGTGTCCATCTGATAATGATCTGTATGGTAAGAAGCATCAACGGATTGAGTGGCTAAGTTGTGGTGATAGCAGTTACTATCGTGGAAGACCCACATGATACAGGAAGCATCGATTCGACAGAGATCTTCGCATTGAGCCTTATTTTTGACTGTGAACCCATAAGCCTCGCCTTCCCACTTGTTGATGATTCCATTATCCGAGTGTCCAAGATTAAAGAAAGGAGTAAAAACTCGATTCTCAGGGAAAGTGACTGGCTCTTCGGCCTTCGCAGCAGTTCGACAGATAATTTCTCGCTCAGTCATTGAAACAATCTCGCAAAGATCATCTCCGAGTTTGACGTTGACATCGCCCCCGAGACCATCTTCAACAAAACCAGATCCCGTGATAGTGATGAGAGTTCCTCCTTCAACCGACCCCATTTGTGGATTGATGCTGTCGATCTGGGGGTAAACTTCGTAAGTGACGGGAATGAGATCCTCATTGGTCATGTAGTTCAAGTTTCGCTTGTTTGTCATTGAGAAACCATTGTGGAAGACTTGGTATGTGAAATTGTATCCACCAGGAATGGAGATATCACCGACGTATCGGATAATACCATTATCTCCATTGGTTACTTTCATTGGAAGGCGCTCGTTCACACCACAGTTGGGATGATCACCGCAGTTCTGTCCGTCATTGAGGAAAATTTGAGCAGTTGCTTTGAATCCGTCATTTTCGTTGACAATTTTCGGAGTCTCCATAATTCTGTTAATATGGAACTCTGGATGATCAGATCGACCGTGGACATCAGTGTAGATTCGACCTTTGAACTCTCGAAGACCTGGGAGACATTTGTATCTGATTTTTACGTCTGGGCAAGTAATGCTGTCGACAGTCTGTGACGCGTCTTCACATTTGAAACCTTGGAGAGTATTAAAGTAGGTTGCGATGGCGTTTCCGTCGGCATTTTCGTTGGCGGAGTTTACAAAGGGAAGTCCGGTTCTCTTGTTGATCGCTTCAATGCCAAGAGGATTGATGCAGTATTGCATTTCCATAGCATTAGACTCCCAGTGCTTGTTGATTGATTCATCCTGGACACCATCTTCGTCGGTATCAACGTCATACCAGCTTGTCCAGTAGACACCTTCGTAATCGTAGGCGTCCGAAGGCTTTGCTGGTGATGAAGCGGATGGATACATAAGGCTGATAGATGGAGCGGCGGACTCAGCGAAGTAGACGTGTGTTCCATAAATGATTTTATCGTTGTTATCGATAATCATTCGGATCCAGTAATGACCTGGACGCTGGATTTTATCCACGACACAGGATACAGTGTCGACGCCTGACATATTTTCCAAGTGAAGCCCCAACATTCTGTCGATTCTGCATGGGATTTTAGTCTCCCCCTTTCCATCGTGCCAGTCTCGTCCAAACCAGATCTCAAAGGTTTCTCCCTGATCTTCTGACTCAGATTGGACTCCTCCAATATCGATCATTTTTGATTTGAGGTTTTGACCGACGATAGTGATGATGGTACCGCCATTAGGAGAAGCTTGACGGGGAACGAGAGAGTCGATGGACGGGTTTGCGCCTCGTCTTGCTCGGCCACCATTAGAGCGACCAGCAGCAAGGGCTCGAATACGTTCTTGCTTTCGAATGCTCTTTCGTCGCCAGCAAGAGATCCCTTCCTCGCTTGGAAGCTGAAGAATACCCTCTCGGTCGACCACTTCAATTGTGTCGTGAGAAAACCCTTCGCCATCTTCCTCGGACCAGCTGAGGGAGAAGATATCGCCCACTTCTGCTGAATCGGGAACACTGCATTCGACCGCTTTGGGGAGGTTGTTAGCAGCAGACAGTGGAGCAGGCTCAAGACTTAAAAAACGAATGTAAGTTTTCGACGTAAAAATTGGGAAGAAGGTACCTATCGCCCATGAACTGATTGTAAACTACTTGACAGTCCATCAGTGCGACGACATCGTCGTTTTCAATATTTTTGAGGTTGTAAATAGCTAAATATTTAATAGAGCTTTTATTTTTGGCAACTTGTTCTCACCAAATTCATCATCCGTTGGAGGAGTGAAGCAAAACTTCTCGCCAGGAGCAGCTTGTGAAAAAAAGAAGAAATCGTCCGTGGGACTAGCCCTTAACTGGGTTATCAAACCCAGTAGGACAGAACGCATCCTTGCACTTGATTATTGGATCTAAAACAATTCTTAGGTTTTACTTTCTCTGATGCTTGTTTTTGCGTCGAATAAAAGACGCGTACGATGATAAAGTTTTTATGTTCATCATTTTACTGCTCTTCCCCTTTCATTAACACTTTTGGACACAAATAAAAGTCTGTGTCCGATCGAATCTAATTACGTTTTTCGTAAAAAGTCTTGCTAAAACAAGAAAGAACTAGTAAATCTCGTAATTATGGCAAATAAAGAGATAAACTAACGAGCTAAGCCACACTAAATCTTCAGGATTTTTCTTCAAATCTTTTTTCCAGCCATTTATTCAAAGCTTTTAGATCATTTTTGGAGCTCGATGGTATAAAATCATGTAGCCTTCAATAATCGATTGTTTATCATCAAAACAACTGTTCTCTAATAAGCCTCGTTATTATCGTCATTATAAAAGATTCCTTAATTCTAGTCGGGTTTCTCTTTCTCTGTGCATAAAATCAAAAGAATAAATATTCGACTTACCACCAGGATACCTTCAAGTGCAATGAGCTTTGGTCTGCTCCGGTCAGAAAAATCGGCTGATAATGAAGAGGGCGCCGCAGAGTTTTTACGCGAAGTTGGAGCTAAAGCCCCAATAATTTTCTTGCGTTATGCTGGTCTTAATGATTGCCGAAAATTCTAGATTTAAATTCCGAGATAAACGATCGTAGACTGTATTTGATAAGGCAATCTTAATATATTTATTAGATTCAAGTTCTACGAGACAGTTTCCGTAATAATATCTCAGCCTTTCCTTCAAAACAAGCTACAGTATTCTCTCAGACGTCAAGCTCGAACTGGCATAAAATCGTTCAGTCGGATCTTATCGGGGCTTCATCTGAGATGCGCGTAAAACGCTTATTCGCTTGACCTAGAAGAAACTGCACGGAAATAACAGAAGCATGCCTATAATCGTTATTTACGATATCATACCGTATGATTCATACGGTTGCTAAAACTGAGTATTTTCGCGCAGTTAGATGCTTCCCTTTCCGATCATTTAACAGACCCTAAAAATAATACATTTCCGACCGCTAACCGCATCTATATCCCGACTCCTGACCTGCTGTTATTTTTATGGTTCTAGACTTCCCGATATTATCGTATATAAGTTATATAGAGTATATTTTTCACTCTCGATCATTAGTTCAAATGTGTACCAACAACACATAATTTCCAAATTCCGGAAACTCAGAAGATTTGATGACCTCGTCATACGTTTTTATTGGCCACTATAAATTGTTATGACAATTTATATTATTATTAGTGGCTAGGGGGATTTAATGACATCTTCTCCTGCTCATGTACAGAATCATGCGAATTAATGTAATAACGGGTTAAAAGCATGCCTTCTAAAGTTTTTATTTCTTTCGATTACAGATTAAACTATTTAACGAATGTCTGATGATCTCCACTTTTCTTCCCATATTAATAAAATGAATTAGTTTATTGCGACGTTTTTATCGTTCGCGCCCAATATTGTCTTATGATCGGTTTGAAATACGCAGCACGAAGATAAATGATTGTGAAATTTTGTTGTCTTTCGCTCAAAGCGTCTGATTTGGAGATTTGACTTCTCTTTCGAGTTTCAAGTTAAATGGTTTCAACTTGGAATAATCGAGACATTTGAAGCATGTTTCTGCGGGTAGTATCCGCGGTCGAAAATACCAAGCCTCGCCATTTCTGCAGTCAGAAGCAAGAACAAGCGGCCGTGCGTTTATTTTCAAAGCTATTTTTGTCCCAAACCAGCAACTCTTATATGAATAAACAGTAGAACCTTGACCGGCTTGCTGCGGTCAGCAATAAACACTCTTCTAATAACCAATCTTAAAAATGCTTTCGTCATGTAATTATGATTTTTGAACGCAAAAAGCCACCTCGCCCAGCTCTTAATCACCTTACATCACATGAGTTTATTATGGGCAGAAGTCATGAAAGCCCCTAGCCTCTAATAATAATATAAATCGTCTTAAGAATTTAAAGTGGTCTATAAAAACGTATGACGAACCGATCAGATCTGCTGAGTTTCCCGAAGTTTCGACTGCCGTTATTCAAGATTCTTAATTTCGAAACCAAGTTCAGGTCAGAAAACTCAATTCATGCCGAAATTTAAATATTATTCCTGGCAGTTAGACACGGTATTTATTTGAAAATCTGAGGATGAAATATTTGACGATGATGGGCTAAGTAACAAACACAGCTAAATCCATCACCACTTTTCACATTTTATTTCCTTTAGAAAAGTTTTTGGATTATCGAACGCGGTCAATTGAACATGAGATGATTATTGATAGTGTAGTAAACTGGTCGGAATAATGCGAAAAGACTTTTTCTGAATTTCGAAAATCGAATAGCAAATTCGTTCTAGAGCCATTTTAAACGCTCATAGCACCGGCCGAAAGAAATTCAATCGATCTTTCTATATTGACAGCCTCTGATTTTACATGGACATACGATGCTTAGTCTCCGGCGTTCTTGCTTATCAGTTGAGAAGGATTTGAATTTGTAAATCTGAAAATAGATTTAGGTTTCAATCATTTTGTCTTTTGTTCCTTTGGATATGAGCATTAGCTATTATTTCAAAAACAAACGTCGTTGACGGGTTACCTGACTCAAATAACCTCCTCTTTCTAGAAAATTTAAAAACTGATCTTAGTTTTATATTAAAAATTTTTAATAATAATTTTTGACGACGAAAAAGAAAGCTATTTAATGAGATTGTAAGAGTGGAAAGCTGTCAATCATAAGATTAAGCTCAGAAAAGAAGTCTTTCTGCTATCTTTTGTCCTTGATAGCGCTTGTCAAAGATAACCGTGGCTTAGGCCGCTGTGCAGAATAAAAAAAAATCGGGTTAGTCGACATCTTGCTCGGCTTCGCTGACTCGTTTCAGGTGCTGCTTCCCGCAACGGTCTAAACCAGTCAGGACGGATTCAATCACTGCCCGTAAACGCGCACCACCGCCACCTCCTAACGCCCAGGCAGCGCGAGCTTCCCTTATGAGTTTATAATTGATCCTGCTTGTAATCTTTAGGCCCATGAAGTTTTGACTGTTCTTCTAAACAGATATTCTCACTAGCAGCTTTCAAGCTACAGCAAATTTCCACGATATTTTCCAAAAAATTTTCAGAAAGCGAGCAATTCTGATCAGGCGAGTGATTCTATGGGAGTGTGGAGATCACTATTTCAATCATAATTGATTCAGGTCGATAAAAATTGCGGCCATTTTCCTCGAAAATTAATCGAAATTAAAGATAACGGAAAAGAGTCGTCATCCGACTTTGGTCCGAGATGATCCGACCCTCTGATTTGGAGTTTTGACCTCTGATAACGTTCGCAATTCCGATGTCGCAAGATGAGATTAATATTGGTTTATATCGCCAAAAAAGACGGCACCTCATTTGTAAAACTGTTGTCGCGCCAGGAAACTTAGCATACGTATTAAATAGACTAACATAATGAGCCGCTCTGAGAGACTCTCAGTGAGAGTGTAAACGACTAACGTTAATATAAGTCGCCGTAGTGAAGCTGATTCGATTATTCTAAGACCGAAATCTAACTTTTACGATTCTGCAATAAAGCCAATCACTGCTTATTATTTCTATTCAGCGGACCGTTGCTTCACATTATTATTTATTGATGAACTTTGGTGATGTAAGTAAGTGCTGTTTAGAGCGCAACCTAATTAAATGTTAAAATTATAACTTTGACTCGTCATAGACCTTCCGTTCTTCCTCAATCTTATGTCTCAATATTAGCGGAAAATTGTGGATTTTCGTGAAAGCTACTTGTAAACGCTAAATATCGGTATCGTATTCGTCTGAGGCTCAGACTCTGAGCGGGATGAAAAACGATACGCAGGCCTCTAGAAATAATTTCAGCGATCTTTTTAATTTCGGTCTTATCTGACATCCGTACCTCTCGCGTTTCACTACGAAGAGCCTTTTTTAGAGAAATTTACCTCCAAAAGGATCAGTTCAATGGGCTCCCTGCACAGTTCAAAAGGCTAATAGCCAGTTATTACGGCACTTATAGCTTTGCTAATTGATCTTTATTAAATAATAGATAATAGATAAAAACCAGACCGGAAGATCGTCACAATAGATTCAAAGCGTGAAAAGTGATACGTAAAAAGTATTAATTTCCTTTCACCCGGAAACGGTAAAAATAACTCTTGCTTGCATGAAAATTGAAAAATCTAATCTTCTAAAGAATTTGATCGACATACAGAAAATTTAAAGAGATCATTTGAGTTGAATTTTTTTTGACCGGAGATAACCAGTAGCAAGAGCGTAAAATCAATTTCGAAGCGCGGAATAATTGAATTTGGCTAAATATGTTAGCCTTCTTATCTTCTACTCTACTTTGACAAATTGAGTCTGTCCAACAATGACACTTGAAAATCTACGAAGAATTATTTTACGGTTCTTTCGCCAGAGAACGATCAATAATAATTTTCCCGGAATTAGTTGGATAAAAGTTAAAATAAGGCCATGATTGTGTTTGCAAAGCCATTGCGCTATTATCAGATCGTAAAAGATTAAATTAAGATGATTGAGCACAGGTAGTACTCAGATGTCGCGGATTATCGACATTGAGGCACTTTTATTGCGCCGAGGACAGGTTCGAGAAAAATAGGGAAGCTGATTCTGATTATTGCGATTTTAGTAGTATTCCTTGAGCATTATTCGTTGAATCTCTTCGCTTTCTTCTTCCAGGATGTCGCGCATCTGACGCGCTGTGTATTGAGGCTAGTAAGCATTGTTAGCGTATAATTTGCTGACGATAATTTTCACCTTGTTCTGGAGCTGGCAATAACCTGCATAAAACCGCACTTCTTGACTGATGTTGTTTTCCAATTCGGAGTATACTTCTGTCCATCGGAAATGTTGGCAGCTCTTGCATTTGTCAAATATTTCTAAACTTGAATTTTTTCATCTGTATAAATTTCCGAAAAAAACCTTCACAATCGCCTTCCGTCTTTGTGTAAATATGTCCGTAAATTGGTTCGTTTGTGTAGTTCTCTTCGTTGATTTCAAAACGGCAGGATTCCAATGATTGATCCAACAATTCAACAAAACTTCCGCAGAAAAACTTATCAATAAAGAAGTCAAAATTTTCCCTCTTTTATACCTCTTCGACCGCAGCATCAGATTTTCTAAATGAAACTCCGGTAACCCTTTTTCCGGAATTAATCAATTCGCAAGTGAAATCAAAGCCTTCTGTTCTCCTTTCAGTTTTCGAAAAATTCCAGTAATTGCAACTTCTTGATAGCTCACAGACTCTCTACGCAGGGTTCGATAATTTTCAAGTGATTTATATCATTATTGCCGTTTTTAGAACCCTATCTTGCAGTCTTCTGGGCTCTCTGCATGAAACTGGCTCTTTCCATCGACGAAAAAAGGGTAGAGGAAAAGCGACTTCTTCAAAATTCGCATTGGAATTTATCAAAAATGAGAATTGAAAAAAATACGACGCAAAATTGTAAATTTTACCCAAAAGATCTTCCACGTAAATAAACGATGGGAAAAAACAGCTGCTCAAAAATGAAATTTAAATTTTTCAATTCTTTTTGATATAGAAAAAAATGAGAATTTCAGCAAGGATATGCGCATTTCTAGCTGTGAGTGTAACGGCCGCATCAGAAAGCTTGCTTATTTTGAACCAATGGACGATGGCAAATGACCCATACCTTCTATCTTTTAATGGGACTTCTGAACAGTCAACGAAGATTTCGAATTTCTCATACGATCATGGAGTGCAAGTGAGTTTACATTTTCCTAGCTATTTATCAATTTCAAGGTCAAATGGGCATGTTCTGCTCAGATCAACGACAAAATGTTCATTATTGGCGGCCTTCCGGACAACTCGGACGGAACAAAAACCGTATTCGAAGTTGATGGATGTGCTTTGAAAGATACTGGAATCGAGCTTCCATATCCTTTGTAAGGGACTGAGATATATTCTTTATCCATGCTCAGGAAGCCTCTAGATTATACCTTGCATTGATATAAGTTAACTAAGACGGGTTGCTTTGCAGCTTTGCTGCATTAAATTAAAACAAACGTCATAACTCTGCAGCAAATCTCGAACGTCTACGATCATTAAAGCGATTGATATATGTTTCGTCTAGCATTTACTATCCATTTCTAAGCCGCAGATTATGACAATGTCTGTAATCCGTGACTTCGACCATTTTCAACCATGAAAAACTAGGACTAACATAGTCAATCAAATCGCGTTTATAACACTTTTTGAATACGGTCAAAGCACTCAAGAAAACAAGGAAGATTATATGAGAAATATCAATCGTTGCTAATTTATCTCCGATATTCCTCATTTAGTTAGTAAAAAAACTTTTTATATCTCGATAAAGGCTGGTCACGCATGCACTGTCGGAGCAGATAGAAAAGTTTACATTTGCGGAACAATGTTTAACGAGCTTGGTTAGATTACTGAAGAAGAATTGTCAAATTTATTTTTAATAGACACAAACTGCACAATTTTCGATGGGAGCTCATTCACGCAAGGCCCGAACACACAAACCAAACACATGTTTGGCTCGATGGTCACGTTTTTTGACGGAAATCCGATGATCCTCGGTGGGTATAAAGGCTTCGGACAAGATGAAGTCGCTGTTGAAAAACTTGGAGAGTCAAGTTGGACTTCGATGCCACCAATGCCAACACCCCTAAGGAACTGTTCTTTTATAAGTTTTTCTTTGGCTTTCAAACACTCGTCAAGAGCAGAAAAATAGGTTATTCTCAGCAGTGGCGGTTAATTTAGGTCCAGGGCACCAGGCAATCTGGGTATTTGGAGGAATTACTGGAATCGATGATGTTTCTCAGTCGAGTTCATTCTACTTTCAGAATAATGTTTGGACGCCCGGCCCAGGTAACGATCATCTTATGATTGATTAATCTATGTTAAAGATATGCTGAGGCCACGGCATGGTCATAGAACCATCAAATACTCTATAAACGAGAAGCCTGTCCTACTCCACATCGGCGGCGACATGGTAAAAAACGACACTCTCCCGGTAGAGAGCTTCGACATCCACACAACTAGCTCGCACGATTTAAACCTACAACTTGCTTTCTATACCGACTTTCCAGAGGTCTTCTATGTACCCCCAAATATTTGCTCATAAGTATAAATAAACAGAAGGCTCCTTTGAACAGAAAATGCAGAGTGAAATTCTCCATGAACTCATTTTCGACGTCGTTTTCTGTATTGTGCATGAAAGTTATTTTCCTTCGACAGTGAATGAACAGTAAAGGCTAATATTACATAAGCGCGGAGAATCGGCGGCTGAGTCTTCCGTAATTACGTGGATTCGCTCGAACAGGCTCATTATAAGTTTCTCGCGTGCGTTCCTTTTTACTCGGCTCAAGATAAATCGTCGATCTCCTCCCCTGGGAGTTCAAATTTCCGATCTTCCACTTCTGCTCCAAATCTTCAGTAAGGGTTCCCACCGAAGCCGTACTGTTTGATTTGACGAGTTCACTCGAGCTTAGAACATTTTGACAGATGGAGAGTTACAAAAACTAACCTGCTTTTGCTGACATAAGGATGAATAAAGCTGCCGATGGAATTCGTTGAATGGATCGAAAGGGGAACCGACGACCTCCTCGTTGACCGCGAGCCACATAAACTCGAGCTGGAATTCCTCGTCAGCCTCGAATATGTGTCGGGCATGAATGCGCCGAGTTGACTCTTTCTCCCTGTTCTTGGAATGCCGTGTTTCACGAGCCAAAATGTTCGATCGATTTCGCCCTCGATCTTCTCCATGTTAGGAGGAAAGTCTTCCCTGGGCCGTTCTCGCAGTCCAACCGACCAGTTTATTTTCGGGTCTCTTCGTAGAAACTCGGCTGTTTGTTCGGAAACGTGAATCTTTAAAGGGTTGTTTGTTTCTAATTCGGACTTGCTTACCGAGTCTGATGAGCCACAAGACTCCATGATATCTGTGAGCTCTCTTGTTCTGCCAAATAGACACCACCTTGGCATGACGTTGCCAACAACGCCACTTACTACCGGTCCACTTTTGATGAGTTCATAAGACCTTTAATGTTCTCTTCACTAATCGAAGTAATTTTCAAGTGCCTCCTAGGCTTGAGTGCTATCGACCGCTATCTAAAGAGGGCTGACTTAACCTTATTCAGAAGTTAAGTTTGTCTTTTTCGGAACTGGTGCCTGTGAAGGCCTATTCGGATCATGAGTTTTTCGTGTGGAAGGTGTGGAATTTGAAATTTGTCGATTTCCCGCTGATTCAGGCTTGAGAACGCGTTTTTGTGACGCGGAGCTAGAAATTTAGAAAGAATGTGCGCGTGTTTGAAGCCCAAACTGAACAGCGAGCGAGAAAGTGGCAATTTCCGATGCATGATTCGAGTTCGGAGGATGCGCACCCGACACCGCAACATATGCGTCGCCGATCGTTTCGACTTTGTAGGCGTCCACCGTCGATATGATGCGATCAAAGATCTCGTAGATCAGGCGCAACATCGTCATAATTTGAATAGGCTTCGACTGAGTGCCGATTTTGGTGAATCCTTGAATGTCAGACTGGTAGATTGTTACTGCTTTGAATTCTACTGGTTCGTAGCCCTTTTCACAGTAATAATATTTTCTTCTCAAGAACAACAACAAAGGAAACTGTCATTTATCATTAGTTACTTATTTCCTTTCCGTCAGATAAATCTTCAGCCACGCTTTTTGGCAAGAGATTATAGCAAAGTTCCTCGCTTTTCATTTTTTCTTCAGCAATTTTTCGCGTTTTTTGGTCGACCATCTGATCAAGTTTCGTTGTGTAATCCTAGAAAAAAGGCGTCTATTCTTTATTTGAGGGCTTTTAAGACCTGTAGTCGTGTTGCAAGGTCATCGACCATATCTTTTCTGGGTCCCGAAGACATTGTTTTACGTAGTCGCTCGAGTTCTGGTCTTTGGATAGGATTTTGAGACCAACAAGCAACCATGATGTTTGCCATGTCGACGCTTGATTTGAGCTGATTCGGAGAGCTCGGCTAATCAAAGAGGAAGCAAAGACGGCGTTTGAACATGTACCTGGATGTTGCACAGTCGAATGTGTTCGCTCTGATCGATTGGGATAAAGGGGCGTGGTGAGTTGCCATTGACATCCAGAAAGTTGTTGCGCACGTTTTCGACTAAATGGAGTTTGAAGCCGGATGAAAGGTAGAAAGCCACTCACCAAGCGTTTCGATATTTGGATTGGGCGTCTCAGGACCCAGCCAAAAACAGCCTTTGCCGTAGATTACTTCATGTGCGATTATTCCAAAAGAATAAACATCGGCGCGTTGTAACGTCGCTAAGAAAAAAATCATATTTTGCATAAAACAACATTGGATCAGCTTGCGTCGCTAATATCACCGAGCGAGCACTATCTCTTGTCCAGTCTTGGCCAGCAAAGCGATGATCCGTTGTTGTACTCACGGACGTCGGTCTCAGACGGGTTGTTGAGAATTTCAGGCGCTTGCCAGAGTTGTAATCGACAGAGGTAGTCCTGAATTCGGAATGCTAATTTACAACAAGCTCAGTCTCCCAAAGTTCTAAACTCGCAGCGAACACGTTTCTTGGATTACCCTTGACCAGCAGCAAATTAAAGTGACTTCTGCTTAAAATTTCTAGCCCGTTTCACGTGCTTGAGCGACTTTTTTAGAATGGCGCGGATCAGTCGAGCATTTGTCTCCAGTGTTCCGGCCAATGTCACTTCTATTCCGGCTTATCCTTTCCGGTAAGGCTCCTCGGCAGTCACAAATTATCAGAATTAAACAATCGCTCTTGTTAGAAAGCGAGAATACAATTGAACTTTAACGCAGGATGAGCCTTCTAATAATAAATCACGAAGTATGATATAAGTACGACTGCGGAATGAGATAAATGTCCGCTCGTTTTAGCCAGGCGGATTCTTGCGCTTCCGACTTGAAACAGACTCATAGACTCATCGATTACGCATTACCTCGTCTTTTCGAAAAATCCGTGCTTGCTGCCGCAGTCGCTGGACGCCTAGAAGAAACAATTGAAAATGATAATATAATACGCGTTGAACAGCTCTTACCATAATTACCCACTTTAACAGCGAGTCTTCCAGTTACTAAGCACGAGGTCGTGTTCAGGAAGCCGTGATAGCGAAGCTGCGACCTTTTGATTCAAATGAGTTCTTTGCCGCGGCGCAAAAAACAAGCAAAAAGTTTAAACTGTGAACCTGTGAATGTAGGCGAGACCTTCTATTAAGTCTATGACGAGAGACTTCTTCATTTCCCACGTCAGCTGAATTTTGCTTGACAAGATGTCTTTGAGGCTGCCGTGCGCACCATATTCCTTCCCTTTCGTCAAAAGTAGGAGAAAGCCAAAATGACATTCTCCTGCTTTGCCAAGCAAGAGACGAAAAAATCTCCGCCTTTTGACAATTTCCTGCAAGAAGTAGCCGTGTTCATTTTCATAAAGCAATCCATGGAAGACAGCCACGTTACGGTGGTTTAAAACCATCATTTTTCGCAGCTCCTCTTTTTCTTGTTTCATAAGTCTCAGCAACGCGAATTGGGGACCGAGATCTTTTATTGCCACAACGGTTTCTTTGAAGACAACTAAATCGGTGTATCGTTTTCGTAGCTTTCGAGGGAATTTCCTTTCATAATCGTTAACTTTTCCTAGAAATTACGCTTTTGAAATCGTTCCTGAGGGCCTGATTGCCCGTTCATGGAGAACAAAGATGCCCGGAGATATCCACCGATGGGAGTTCCCACGGTTTTGTCCGTAATTCGTCTGTTGATGAAACTCTTAATTTTTACTTAACCCAGATCTCAGCAAATTGAAAGGCTCACATCAACATCTTTCTCCACTTCTTCGTTGACTTCGAAAGGCGGCTCGTTCGGATTCGCGATGCATCTGCAAATGATTTATTGCATTATCAAGTAACAGTAGCAACAATAGAAATGAAACATTATGTTTCCTCAAACGAACCTGAAACGCTTCTGAATGTATGATGCTAGTTTGACTGTTCCAAAAAGAATAAATCCCGTTGAAACTACAGCTTTAAGCACGTTTTAGCAATTGCTTGGTTTATTATAGGTTCGCCGAGAACGTGATCCCTAGCCATAATCGTAACAATGACGACCTGCACAGTGTTCGTCTTGTCACATTTTGCTCCGTCGTATCCACAAGGCGGAGGTTCATTCGAAAAGTCGCAGGGACAGTATCGGGTTAATTTTGCCTATACCACATTAGCCTTTTAATCTCTTGCCTTCAGATACATCATCCGTAAAACAATTTTATTCAACAAAATGGCTCATATGATGCTTATTTCCTTCTTAGTTCTTTGTAATAGTTTCAATATCTGCCCAAATTTCCTAACTCTAAGGAAATTCGACTTTCAAATAAGCTGAATTAGCCTAAGAATAAGCTTTTTACAATATAGGCTTTTCTTGGTATGTATAAAATTAAGATAAGAATGGAATATATATTGCATGAATAATTGCTTTAATTAAATAAAATGCCTCAACCCTACTCAGATGAGCCTATCATGATAGCTTGAGCGAGGAAAACCAGAAGCTGAGTTCCATTCTAAGCACGTGACCCAACATGGTTCATCACCTATTCCACAAGTCATCTCGCAGTCTATTTTTCAGTTAATTGGGCTAGTTGTAGGCACGTTACCTTTTTCCTCAACGCACCGTTTTCCTTCTTCGCTATCGAAAATCCATTCGTTGTCTATATCACGATTTTTGAAACACTTCGGAACCTCACGTGCGTTGGTAGGACTTAAAAGCGTCGGCGAGAAAAATTGAGAAACAGAGAATGTTACATCAAGCTCCATCAGATCATTGAAGTACTTTTTGACTTGCTCCGTTTGATCGGGAAACCAGCCTATTTGCTTTCGAATCTCTACAGATCCGTTTCTGAAGAAGTCAAGCAAATGAGTTCCATTATAAGGGTCTCCGCCGCGTTGGATAGTGTGATTGATTGCCGCGCCAAGACTGAAGATTGCCTCGTAATACCAGTACTGGAATGGGTTCTCAGCGCATGAGGACTCACTGAGATAAACATCAAGTTATAAACGTCAAGCAGGAAATGCTGAACTCACGGAGGTTGATTTCTGCACTCGCCTATAGGACCCACTAAACGTGGTAAGCCAAGTTGCGGAACACTGACGACAGATGTCTGCCAAATGCCAGTCAAGAGGTCTTCTGATGGAAATGGTTTTGCCTTAAGAGTATCGTTTAATCGTTCGGTCCAGATATTTGTCGAGTAAGCATTCTTCGCTGCAGGTTCTGGGCACAGTTGTTTTTCTTCAGAGTTGCCTGACCATAAGTAACAACTTTTAAAAACGGTTCAAGAGTGATTGCTTAAATCGCATGATAGTGCTGCTAGTTAAACCTTGCCTGTCCCAGTTGACTTGGCGATACAAGTCCAGATAGATAAAGTTCCATTTTTTGTCGTGTTCGAGCTTGTAACGTGGCGATTCTGTGATTTTCTAAAATGCGATAGAAAATATGCCACGCGCGTTCTTTTCTCTTTGCTCTTTATTATTAATCAAAAGTTTTAAAATCGTCATAAAAAGACGAAAAAATTATGAGCAAAGCATCTTGCCTCAGAGGAGACACGTGAGAGGATTTTCGAGCAAGTTCATATTTTCATGCGCGTGGCTCTTGCGGTCGCACTCCTGTAAAGCTGTCCGGAACAGGTGTGGCTCTTAACAAAACGGTAAACGAAATTTTACTTGACCAAGTTTGCTAATCAATTCCACAAGTGCGGCCGAATGCTTCGCCTCTAATTCATTTACCCATGCAAAAGATCACCGTTCGCGAGCGCGCCATGATCTCCGCAACGATTTGATCCTGCTTGTCGCAGAACTCCTCTTCGTTCTCGGCAATAATGGAGACTGGACTGTACTTTTTCTTTTCCTTGCTCAATTTGGAATGGAGCTGCGCCATGTAAGCCCCGCAATCGCCGTCATTTTCCGATGATTTGGGGTATCCATGCTTACTCTCGGCAAGCGAAAGGAGCGATACTCCGAAGGGATTAATTGGACTGAAAACATTTATGCTGCATTCGCGAAACGATTAGCTCATTACTCGTATGTATCATTGAATATTTGGTCATCAAGGAGATCCTTCAGAAAACGTGCAAGAACGTCACTTTATATTTATTCAAAGCATCTCTCAACTGAAGCTACTAAGCGCGATGTTTATATTATATAAATTAATTTGTTCCACAACTCGGTTAGAAAGACGACATGTTCTAATGGTTGAACTTTCCTGTGGAGACCTGTGCGGATCGTCGTCGATGCTTTCTTTCGCCTAGGCGAGTCTTTTTCGCCCAGTATTCGACGCATCCCTGCTCGGTTATAATTAATGATGGCTATGAGGAGAATGAATAAGTATAACCGTTCCTGGTGCGATCAAAGGGAGCTCCCACTGGGAGGCTAGTTGGGCGACTGTGTGATGTTCTGCGTCGCAAGAAAAGCCGACAAGCCCAACTGGAGGTGCTTGGCTCCTGTTTTGCCATAGCGAAAGTGTCTTTGAGATGACAAGATCCGGTTGACAATTGGATTCGAAAATATTTACGTCTAGATCAATCCCGAATTCTTTCTTCAAGTGAGGTCACCAAATAGAATCACGTGAGCCGAGAAATATATATTTCTACTCTTTTTCTTTGAAGAAATTCTCCGCGCCTTAGTAGAATGGCACTAACTAGATCAAGGAGAAAATATCAACCACTGTTGAAAACCCACTTTATCCGGACGAATGCCTATAAGCCCACGTCATTAGTGACGATTTAAGGGACCTCGAGGCCTTTACATCTTCGATTGCTTTGATTATTTCCGAACTTAATTTGTCGGTCGTATGCAAGTACTTTGTGCTGTTGGCGGTGAAAACTTAGAGGGCTTTTCAATTTTCCTCTAACTCGATTGAATAATTGACTTTTAAGATAAATACTTTTAAAATAAATAAGTCGCCGAGGAAAATTAAAAAGAACATTCCTGGAACGAAGAATTTGTTATTACGGTAATTTAACTTTGTTTCTTCTTTCAATTCTCTTGCGTAAACTAAAAGAAAATAAAAATTAAAAGTAGAGAAACGCATTTGTCCATTCGAAGAAACGAATGTTTGAGAATGCGCTGGTGGTGTTATTTAAAGTTCATTCCAATTTTACGATGTGAGCAGGATTTATCAGTCGGCTGAATGGCCAAAGCACCTGCAATAGTCGAGAAAGTGTAGAACTACGATCTGGATTTTTGAGCAGATTCAACAAAAAAAAGTTATTTTTTTTCGCCATCAAAAGATAAGTGATTTCGAATCTTTGCGACAGAATCTTTATGGAAAGCAGTAATTTATTCTTTGTACAAATGATTCAAAAGAAGCAGACTTATTCGTTTTTATGAACTTGAAATCTCTTTAAATCGTTTCTTCTGAATTCAACAACGTCTGAAGCATCTTTCTGTTGCTTTGCTCTTGAATTTATGGCAATTCTTTGGCTTCCACGTGCAAGGACGTGTTCGAGTTCTAAATTTTTGCGATTTTATCAATACGCCACCAACAGAGCTTGTTTTCGTCGAAGCAATGAGTGCGGCGCGCGTGTTTTACCTGAAACCGAGGTGTCCGCAGCCGGCGTTGCACGTTGACCATTCCGACCAGCCGCTGCTACGCACGGACGTTGACGGAGTCGTCGTCGCTCTCTGTCTTTTGGTGCGAAGAGTCGGAGATGGAGATGGCGCCTGAGTAATCGCTCGCGCGGATTTGCACTGCGCCGATTGAAAGCATGAGCGGCTCTCGATAGGAGGCGAGGGGCATGTTGGCGTCTTGAACGCACAAGCTCTAGGTTAATCTTAAATTAGAGCGCCGATTTCAGTTCCAAACCGTTTTCTCATTTGTCTGGCGGCGTAGGAGCACGACTGGCAAGAACTCCACTCTTCCCAGTCCGAGTTTCGTTGGCCTGAGTCTAAAATAAGATTAAGACGGTTGAATTTCTAATTCAATCCGTGTCCTTGACTTCAACTTACGACAAGGTGCATTTGAGCATTTTCGATTGTCCATCGCTTTTCCAAGACAGTTGCTGCCGGAGCATTGCCGCCGTCTCACAGAAATGCCCTCTCCACAAGTCTAAAAAGAAAACTTCTTCTTGCACGAGTCTGAGTGCGTTTTACCTTGGAACAAGAAGTCCACGAATTCCAAGATGTCCACCACGCTGAAACGAAGAGCGTTAAATACAATTCTATAGTGAAGTAAAAAATGACTCACAGCATGGCTGATCCCGGCAGCGCCTTGTCTCGCTGGCCTTGGTTTCAAGGAATTTCTCGCAGACCCTGGTCGAGCGATTGCAAGTCCGAGTACGTGTGCGAGTGCCCATGCCGCAAGTCTCAGAGCAGGAGCTCCATCTTCCCCAGGTGTTCCAAACGTATTTCTCCAGAATCTCATCATATGAAGGGAACGGGGGCGGTGGTGGGCCAACACCAACTGCACACGAGAGTTCGATAAATAGTATCAAAGCGAAAAACAAAATTGGCTTGCCGCTCACTCAACAACTTAATAAAACGCCACCGTCAATTAGTTACGGGCAGAAAATAATAAACAGTGCGGGAAAACGAGACCAGGAAACGGCTCGGCGCAATTTTCGATTATGTCTGATTGAAACTCCTTTCCAGAATTTGATGATCACGTGATTATATCAAAAAATGCTCAATTCTCAGGACCCAATGCAAAAAAATGCCTAGACATTCGTTTTTTTTTCTACGAGCGGAGAATCGGAACGCACCGTGAGAGTAAGCCTATTTATGGTGGTTTTTCTCGAACTTTGCCTAAGATCGCCATGACTGCTTGGGCAGAATCGGCCAGTGTTTCGAAGCTACGAGTTCCGATCGAGGTTTTTCGTGCTTCTTTTTTTTGGATGCGAATTTTTAATTTCAATGAAAAAGCTAGTTTAAGGACCCCCCCATCAAGATGAAAAAAGTCAAAATTTTCAAATTTTTTTTGCTTTTTTGGGTAGTTTAGACCACGAGGAACAACTTTTATACAGAAAATTTTTTTGATCTTATAGAAAATTTTGGCAGAAATTGACTTCAAAAATTGTAAATTAACATTTTACATTTCATAAAAATCTTTAGTTCGCTATTTTTTAATGGTAATTAAGGGTATACCAACGATAAAAACTATTTCTATCATAAACACGAGTATAAAAACGTAATTCAGGGCAATTTAGGCAATAATTACTGAAAATTTAAATACGGAAATTCGACTAAGATTCGACTTATAAAATTTTAAAGGGGCTGTCCTACTTAAGTTCGTTGACAAAAGATCCTCAAAAAGCAAACGGTCGTAGCTTAGGGCCTTAACTTTACCATGAAAAAAAATTAAGGGTATACCCCAACGAAAACCCCAAAAAAAACGTTCACTAAGCAACTTTACCTTTAACGGCCTGTATAACCTTAAATTTGGCATCGAGAGATCATCTTAAGGGGAACGGTTGCAGTAGAGGGTTCGATCTAAAGGATGCAATTAAAATTAAGGGTCTAGCTAAGTTAGTTTTGGAGAAAAACTTTCACTAAGATGCCCTATTTTCGCGATTCTTGATGGGGGGGTCCTTAAGGAATAGACTCTCTAAAATGAAGTATAATCTTATAAGACGTAGAGACGTTGCATCCTGCCTTTGATGATATTTGTAACATAATCAATAGAAGTGTTGTACTTGGCGAGAATGGTGTTGACAGGAAACTCAGCGTTTAGTTTTTCGAAAATCTGCTCTTCCGAAAGGCGCAGTTGGGACTCTCCAAGTGATCAAAGTTACGATTGCGGAATCACCTCAAGATCGACTTTTCTTATTTTTAAATAGGGCTAGAACATGCTCAGCAAAACTGCCAGTACTTTCTTCAAAAGTACCGACTGTTCGTCACCAATCTCTAAGACTAAAAAATAGCTAGTAAGTCAAAGTTGCCATGCAACTTCAACACTTTTGACCCTTTTTCTTTTTCTCTAACCGCTTGATCCGGTGAACTCCAGCCAAGAACTTGTTCAATTCCTTGTGTGGTTCCTTTCACGCAAAAAACGTATATAAACTTAACTAAATACATTTATTTATTTGCATGAATTGACATAAAGGAACCGTTCCTTATCCGATGAAAATCGTCTAAAAAGTAAATGTGGTAAATTCAATTCAACTATTATTTACAAAAAAAAAAAACACAGCCCTTTCCGTTTGAAGAAAAAAAATAAGTTTAGGCAATTACAGTTTTTCTCGTTTTTTCATCTCTCACCTTCTAGCTTCTGACAAAGTAAGCAGCAATCCAAATAAAAATAAACGCATTCTTATCTCGAATTAAATTGACGAAAAAGCAAAACACGAATTTTGGTGATGATCTTAAAAAGGAATGAGTTTGTACGGTAGTACTTGTCGATAAAGTGAAGTTTGGTGGAATTGTCGCCGACACCATCGTGCGAGACTTTCCACCCTGAGGCACTTTCCGTAATTATGATGGTGCTGGTGACCGTTTGAGCGACTGCGTTTCAAGGTTCACACGACCCCTAGTGGACAATGAAATGCACTTTTGCTTTATCCGATTATTTGCAAACATCCGCAAAAATAACTCGATAATGGGATAGACGAGCCATAAGATTTCTAACGACAAAAGTAAAAGAGACAATTGCGATCTCTAATTGCAACGTGAAGACTCATGGAATGTCGCCCATTATATGACCAAATCATGAATATACCGTCCATTAAGGAGACAGATGACATTATAAGATCGCTAAGATTGTCAATCCGACCTTTCATTTTCCTGAAAAACGTTGCTGAAATTTATTATGTTTGCTTTTAAGTTTCTTTTGGCAATAATAGGCATTAATCAAGGTCGCGCAGAAGAAGCCACTTCAGAAGATGAGAAACAAGTAATATCCTTAAAACAAGAAGAAGATAAACAACAAATAGTAAGCTGATAATATTTTTTGCATAAGAGCAAGAATTGTGCATAAAATAATATCTTTGGCGTTCAATATTGGCCTAAAAGTAACTAAAGAAGAGTTTATGAGGGAGTGATTATTAATAATTTACTGTAACTAACCCTAGATGATTTCAAAAAACTTTTTGCGGAGCCGGAAATCATGAAAAAAGTGCTAGTGCAGTTTTGTCAGGCTCGTCGAGACGAGTCGATTGGTATACGTCACTCTTGAAAATTTTAAGGATTTAGCGGTTAACCGGCTGATTACCGGAAATCACGTTGTCAGCTCCCGTTTTTGTTCTAGTCGTCGGATTTTTATGTTTGAAGCGTCAAAATGATCCTTATGATCAGGGCTTCTGTAGCCTCCGAGATGAGACCCATATCTCAACTCCTGCCGAGCTTATCACTAAAAGTTTGATTTTTACGCACTTTTTGCAGTTTGAAAGTTCATAACGTTAAATTTTTACGGTAAATACTAATAAATCTTCTTCGGTTTTGATAGACAATTGAAAATTAGTAATACCAACCGTTCAAAACCTTGTAACCAGCCGGTAAAAAAGCGCTGAATCAAAATTATGCCCTCAAAGACCACTTTTTTGATTATATTCACCCAGATATGTGAATTTCAGGAAATTTAAATTATTTTAGTGGTGATTTTTCGGAGATAAGGGATATAATGATGAAAATGCGCTTTTACGCATCTTCAGCAGCTAAATGAAGTGCAGAGGACTCCAGCGACACAAGTTAAACTACCAATAAGTGCGAGAAGAAGACTTCGCTATAAAAAGGCTCAGAAAATGCGGACTTAGGTATTTAGATCCGTATTAAATTTTTGACCGAGTCTTATCACTGACTTCTTTGAAGAAATAAATTATGTATGAATAAATAAATGATGTGAATGAGAATTACGGGGAAGCTTTCAGTTCGAGCGGGGTCTTATAGTCGACAGTCCAGCCAGATTTTTCGTACTTGATTCTACATTTTCTACAATTCAACCAACTGTGAGAGATCTAAGCCTGCACGATTATGAGTACTGCTAGAAATCACGAGTTAGTAAGAAAGACTCATGGATCTAATGAGAATATTCATCACCTGATTCCTGGCATAGAAGGCTCGAAGCTGTATAATTTATTAAGCATCACTATTAGAATAATTTTAATTTACAGAAATTCACATATCTGGGTGAATATAATCAAAAAAGTGGTCTTTGAGGGCATAATTTTGATTCAGCGCTTTTTTACCGGCTGGTTACAAGGTTTTGAACGGTTGGTATTACTAATTTTCAATTGTCTATCAAAACCGAAGAAGATTTATTAGTATTTACCGTAAAAATTTAACGTTATGAACTTTCAAACTGCAAAAAGTGCGTAAAAATCAAACTTTTAGTGATAAGCTCGGCAGGAGTTGAGATATGGGTCTCATCTCGGAGGCTACAGAAGCCCTGATCATAAGGATCATTTTGACGCTTCAAACATAAAAATCCGACGACTAGAACAAAAACGGGAGCTGACAACGTGATTTCCGGTAATCAGCCGGTTAACCGCTAAATCCTTAAAATTTTCAAGAGTGACGTATACCAATCGACTCGTCTCGACGAGCCTGACAAAACTGCACTAGCACTTTTTTCATGATTTCCGGCTCCGCAAAAAGTTTTTTGAAATCATCCTAACCCTGTGTCACAAAGGCTTTGTGATAAATAGCTTTGAATTGCTCGGTTCGGCTAAATATTTAACGTCAATAAACAAGGCGAGAGATTTTGCTAAACGTGACTAGAATCGATCACTGACAGTGAAGATTGTTCAAGATATGTGCCAAAATTCATAAAAAGGCGAAGTTAGTAATCCCGCTTATTTAGATGAATGATGAATGCTCGCCTGCTTGCGCACTCAACGCTGACTGTTTTCAGTACTCAATAAACTTCAAACAACGTTACACTGAATGCAGGTACGTTTCTAACACTCGTAATCACAAGACCCTCAGAGCTGCTCTTGGGGTTTATGACTTGCTGGTTTTGGGTGAGTCAAAATTAGAACCGCGCAAATAACACAACACCTTGTGATCATGCATCATTTGCTTTAGATGTCGTGATGGCTTTGGTGAGGCGGGCTACTGGGCGCGTGACGATGGACGCAGAGGACCGTGCGAACCTGTTCTGGGACAAGCTCGTTACCACACGTGGCTTCCTTATGAAACGCACGGTATGGTTGAATCTTTCATCTCTTCATTTTTAGACCGCGAATACGTCTCACTCGTCCAGCCCCTCGTCAAGAACTTTTCCAAAGCAAAGAAATCCAGAAGCGTTCACCGAGTCTCGCTTGCTCTGTCAAGTGCTATCAAGAACTTCATGGCCGTCTCCTCGCAGGATAGTGGTTTGAGTCGAGATTAAAACGAATTCAATTAAGACAGCTCACTTGACCACAATTACATTACGATAAAACCCATTTGAAGCCAAGGTCGCGATTTCGCTCGTGCATGCGTAAAGTGAACTCTTTTGGAGTCATAATCGGCTCTCAGAGAGGTAACCTCAAGTGCATTTTTAGCATGTAGTAAACTTTTTAGGTACAAAATATAAAAGCACGATGGGTCTAAAAAACGAATGCAGCCAGTGGCAAAGAAGCTGGGACTCGACTTGGTCGACGAGCCTCTCCGCGATTAGCAGATGCTACAATGACATTGTCGACTTCTTCTTTACCAAAGACAGACGACAGTGCATCTCTATTCATAAAAAACTGACTCGCAAAAGTAATTGATTTTATAACTCTCGAATTCGAAACTTAATTATTTGAGTTCACCAATTCAACAAAGTGGTTGGAAAAGTATGCAAACGACGCTGTTAAAATTCAAGTTCTAGCGATGACTACTGGATCAGATCACGTACTTCATGTATAACATGGCTGAAGATCGAGATCATTTGCGACAAAATTTAAATAAATTGCAACATTTGTTCTATATTTATCGAGCTTATGCGCATTTCTTCCAGTTTATTCAGGATGATGCTTATGGCGAAACGGACTTCATGTGGAAAGCGATATTGGGAAAGGCACTGTCAGGGGTAAGTAGTCACCCTCAAAGTTAGCTCTGACTGTAAGGCAAATTTGCCCGAAATCATTCTCCATTGTCTAACTGTCTAACTGAAGTCTGAACTCCTGAACTTGGACTGACTAAATTTGATTCCAAACTCTGGAGTTGTCCGAACTCCACGGACGAATACGAACAAATCCGGATCCTGGCAAAAGTCTTGTCTTGTCTGCCCTTTTTCCTTCCGCAAAAAGACATAAGTCTAGTCTTTCCGTACGGATAAGACTGGACAGATACGGACAAAATAAAAAGTGCACTGACATGTCCGTTCAGAACTTAGATCACCCTAGATCCAATGCTTAAAGTTTTTATTTTTCCAAGAGACAGGCAGAACGATTTCTCGCAGGCGTAACAAGTATATCGGCCGTGCGCTGACGTTAAGTTTTTTCCCATAATTTGCACGAGAATCAAGCCGCCTTTCTGATAAAGGAGCAGACGAGCTGTGAACTAATCGATTGAACGGTCGCTACTTCTCAGAGGCCGGCGATCTCAGATTCCTGAGTCGGCGATCCGCGTTTTTCTTGAATGAATTGTTTTTATTGTAAGCATTTTCATTTAGCAAGAATCGACAGGATTAACAGAATTCAGAATGGTACCGTCAGATCTTGGTTTGGTGCAACAGACGAAGATGAGCGAATTGTTTTTGGATTTTTACTTCTGAAGATGGGGGTTTTTGTGAAAGATGAAAAAAAGACAAGCGACTCTGCTGAAAAGCATAAGCGTTGTTTTACTATTTTTCCCTCTACTGGGCCACTAGTAATGGCGTATACTTTCCAGCGGAGTCGTTGTTAGCAGATTGAAAGTGGTTTTGAGTTGTTGTTGAGGTAAATTCGAAAAGCGATTGGTATTTGGATACAGATATTTAGCGCGAACATTAAGAATACAAAAAATCTAAGAACAGACAAAATTCAATACTAAACTAACGTTGCCGCACATAGTCCATGACTTTTTATCTTTATCGTAAACAGTTTCTTCGTCCCTGAGTGTGTACTGTGTTCTTTTACAATATAAACGAATTCACTAAACAGACCTGTTACTCTTCCTGTGATCAATAGAGTTGCTACTTACACTTTTGTCGTGAATGTGTTCCCAGGTTCTTCGTTGTGATGGTAATCTTCGCGGATTTCAATCTCCTTGCAATTAAGAATCGGATTCGACTGCATTTTTCGCTTGCAGCAACTTGCTCTTTGGCTCATTCGATCCTTCACGTCCTTTACAGAGTCACTCGGCTTGCAAGACTCCTTGGGGTGAACTACGAAATTTCCCCAGTTCGTGGTTGGGACGTGTCGCTCCCAGAAATGTGCCACGTGATCGCACAACCTATTGATCTCAGGAGTTGAGCAGTGCGAAGAACCAGCGCTCAGACAGCTATTATCAGTATGAAACGAGCGTTTGGTTTCCATTTTACATCTGGTTGGAATTTCTCTCGATGTTCCCTTCAGGATCATAAGGTTTTTTTCACAGTCGGGTTTCTCTGCTGAAATTTAGCGCATAAGAAGTCGAGCTTTCTTATATTAGGACATACCGTCAGAGTAGAAGTAAGCATTTTTGATGAAGGTTTTTATCGAATGAAAGTGATGATCGCAGAGAAACTTCTTCAGTTCGTTGTCGTTGAGGCTCTGCCTGTCCGGTTTGCAGATTCCATCATAATTTCCCGATTCATTCTTTGCTGGTTCGCGGTACATGCGTTTCCCCCTTCTTAGTCCCTCTTTGTGGCGTTCACGTCGCGTTAATTTACGAATTTCTGCCCCTAAATTGGTAGAATAGAGAAAGCAGCTCACAAAATAGCAATTTGAGGCGCCACCTGCGGTCACGAGGAAAGCTCACGCGAAATCGAATCTCTATTTTCCTTACCTGATAGTTTGAAGGAAGTAAGTACACTCGAAGAGTCTCCACTGTTTTCACTGATTTCCATCGTAAGATCAAGGCGGCTGCAGCTCGCAAGGGCAATGAAAAGAGAAGCGAGTCTGGACATGCTGGAGTATCTGTGTTTAAATAGTTTAAATAAAATTAAATAGTTTAAATAAGGTTAATTGTCTGTGTGCAAATGATGTCTTGACGTTCTCCTTTTGAGCGAGAAACAACAGAGCCGCAAGCGGGGAGTCTGCGGAGAATCTGTCTAGGTAGAACGCCCTCTTCCTTTATCGAACTGCAAAACATAAAAATCTGCGTAGCAAGTAATTTGACCTACTAAATTAAGCCAGTACTTATTTCCATACTCTTTCAGCTTTTCACTATTTCCACGAGAATTGGAAAATATTCCGATTCCTGGATAGCTTTTGCAATCGAATGGTCCGTGGGAAAATTCATTTTAAACCTAACGCTATGAAATATGGAAGCTCGTTGACGAAACTCAGTAAGCTCCTGCAAGCTACAGGCTCAAACAGCTAGCAAATTTTCTAGATATATTTTACCTTGTCATTCGAAGACTTGAGATAACTTTTAAGTGATGAGGAGTAGCAGCAGGCTTTTTTATATCTTCACTCTTCAAGAATTTATGTATATAATACCAAGGGACTATGGCGCCCCTACTTCCCCCATGTGGGTAAGAAAAAAGTACTTTTCTATCCCCGTGACGTACATGAAAAGCTAAGATGACGAAAGCAGCGGAAGCACTAAAGCGAGAATCTAGACAATATTTATATTAATCATTAATATAAAGAATAATTAAGAAAGAATAATAAGAAATTATAAGTTGTTATTGATGTTCTTCTTGAAATTTCCAAAACCGTATTGTAACAAAACTTATGTTTGTTGAAAAAAGGGTAATCTCCCTCAGATTATTAATACAAGTTTTCTATTTTTTTCTGAATAAATTGAGTTCACTGGAATTCACAGCATCTATTAAATGTAAAAGCAAAAGATTATTGTTAATTTGAGAGTTAACTGATCCTTTTCAACGATCACATGGTCAACTGAAATCAACGACGATTACGGAGTGCAGCAGTTTCAAATCAAGTCGACTCTGTCAAAATTACGATAAATATCTATCGGTAATATCAATTAATTAATATCTTTCGTCAGAGATCCGAGCTAACACATTCCGATGTTATTTCAAGATGGCAACAAAGTGAAATTCCAGAATGGTACCAGCTATTTAAAAGGTCTCACGATGAGATTCAAACCTCACGTTAGGAAGTACAAGATTAAATAGACGACTATCTATCTATCTTGAATAGAAGTGAATGGTTGCTACATGAAATCGCAATAGCTATGAAAAGAGATGAATCTATTAAGCAAGAGCCTCTATTGATCGTCTTGGGCTAAAGGGAAATCTTGGGCTAAAGCACGTACATGCAGGTGCATGAAGTAGTTTTTTATATTATTATGAATGATAATATATTATTTTACTGGAAGACAACAATGTATTATGCGGTGAAACAACTACAAAATGAAAAAAATTGTCGAACATTATCATCATAATAACAGAAAGACTGCAGAATTCTCGAAACCCGATCATCTTTGGGATATACCTGATCGAGACAGTGTTGAACGTTTGCACGGTGGTAGACAAGATTATTGGAATCTAGATAGCCGCTTGAGCCGAGGGAAGATGAGTCTGTTCCAACAGGAAATTCCTGAGGAATGCATGAGACTGATGCAATGATTAGACTAACGTCTGTCTCAGACACTGAGATTAGATCAGAAATCCAAGATTCACATAGAAGGCGAGAACACAAAAGACGACTAGCAGGACGCTCCCATCGCCATGCGTCACCAATTGCCAGTGATTACCGTTCTCAGGTCACAGTTAAAGACAGAAGACTGTCCCAGTGGTTCTCTTTTTCATCATATTCTCATCCTTTTTGCGCAAGAACTTTCCGTTCTTGCTTACTTCGCGCGAGGAAAATCATCCTCGTGCATAGTCCACTAATAATGCAGACAAAAATACAACTCAAGTTTGAAAACAACAATTTAAATTATTGAAATGAAAGATGAATCCTTTGAAGAATAAAACAGGCTCTCAAATGACTAAATAATCGCCTTCATCATTATACTCTTTCAAGACAACCTGCCCCGTAGTCTTCTATGTCTTCAGTGACGACTTTTTTACTAACTTGTTAGGATAAATTGTAAAGAGAAACTACATTTTCCATTTTATTTTCATTGACAGCTAAAGAACAGAGGGTCGGTCGTTCAGTTCGTTGCTTTAGAAAAAAATAGTGTACAAAAGTTGAAGCTGAGAGTTTAACTCGAAATATAAATTTTATTTAATTAATGTTTCCTTTTTTCGAGCTAGCTGAGAAGACGTGAGTTCGTATAAACAAGAATAGCCACTGATTTTGTTCGTCAAATCGGCTCAAACTTGAGAGCGTTGCGCACTTCTTAACCTGGTTTTAGTTTTCATTTATTCCTACTCGACAAAACATACCGGAAACGGCGGAAGTGGGTGAGCTTGAGCCGTCCAAGTCTTCTCCCTCAGGTCTAGCGCTATCTTCGTTGTCTCCCTTTCTTTTCGAGATTTTGCGCTCTTTTGCTCGCCTGAATAATTGACGTTAAGTTCTGATATTTCAATAATGAAATCTCTGCATTAAGCATTGTAAGAAAGAAGAAATCGATCTTACCTGTTCTGGAACCAGATTTTTACTTGTCGTTCTGTAAGATTGAGTTGCTGTGACAGTTCCCCTTTTCGCCTAAATTGAACAATTAAATGGTTAATTAGCATTCTTTTATTCCATCCCCAATAAAACTATCAAAATCCCTAGCAAATCAAAATTGATCGCTGCGCCGCATGGCCTATTAGCTTGTTTTAAATAACCGATTTGGAATTTGATAATCAGTACTAATATATCAATAAAATAGCAAAACTTACTGTATAGTTATGTATTTGTTGAATGCAAATTCTTTCTCGAGCTCCAGTCGCTGAGTATCAGAGTACACGACTCTGTACTTGTCTTTTGTTCGCGTCCTCGCGTGGTTTGGCGCGGCTAAACATATATATTGAGCTTATCAGCTGGCGAAATGGGTAGTTATATTATCTGCTTGATAATTATGATTTTCTATTGGCGGTACTACTTACACTGAGTCTCAGGTGCGCCAGTTCGCTTCATCCAGTCGTAAGGGTGTCGCCGGTGGTTCTTTAAGAAAGAATTAATACCATCTGCTCTTAGAAGAACGTATTTGACTTACATGGTCTGTGGAGTACAAATCAAAGGGCGGCACTCGGGTGAAAGCGGATACATCACTAAGAGTTTGCTTTATATTTCAGTTCAACTGCCAACACCAGTAACTGATGAACACTTACGTTGGAGTAACAAGCGCGTCTCCCCAAGCTACTGTCGGTAAAGAATGAGGTAGAGGTGCGTCAATCGGCGAGACCATTTGGTTAGGCATCGAACTCGGAAATAGCTGACTTCCAACATCCCTGAGAATTTGTTCAGGGGTGGAAGAAGGATCTGTCGATGGATCGCTTGGTGTCAGCTCAGCCGATGAGTTTGTGGAAGCTGTGAGACCAGTCGAATCAGAGGAAGTGTAGTGGCCGTAATCGCCATAATAGCCTGAACAAAGATAAGCAGATGTCTACAAATTTCATAGTTGATTTATGCGAACATAGAGGTATAAACTCACCATAAGGCTGCATCGCATAGTTCTGAGTGTAGTTTCTGTTCATGTTGTCGGCTCCGTAACACAGCATTTCTAAAAGACATTTTTCAACCATCTCAGAATCTTCTCCAATTCCTAACTTGTGAAAAAAAAATAATTCAAAAATTAAGTGTTTTATCGTCGACTTAAAATGAAAATGATTCCAATTGGTACTTTGTGGAAGTAAAGAGAGAGGACGAAAGGGACGCCGCTGTGTAGATGGCGTTAGAGAAATAGAGGAGAATTTTCCGGAGCGGCGGGGCTCGTCGAAAACAGCGTCGGAACTCCCACGCTAAGCGCTCGCAACTGTATTTGGGAAAGGGATGAGACCTGCGAAATGACAAATTGTTCAAAGGTCTCCCTCCGCGAACGATGGCGGAAGTACTGTGATAGCTCCTTTCGCAAGTGATGAGCTCGAAGGAGATCTCTACCCTTCCGTATTCCCCGTGGTGCAGTATTAGTTTTTTGCATTATTAAAGAACGCAATTTCGGCGCTCAGCGGATATTATTTATTGCCTCGGCTATGTAACTGGCGAGTAGGTCGATTATTTGGCTTATGCAAATCAACTCGTAGCCTACTGTGTTTATGGAGACCATGCCTCGATTAACGTTCTAACGGAAACGAAACCAAAAAGGTCGCGAAATTCCAAACTAAGCATTGAAAACTCAAGAATCAGCTGTAGAAATTAAAATAAAGAGAGAATGTTTGTCCCGTAAATAAATATGTATAAGCCATGTTTAGGAAATTCTTTTGATGAGAGAGTGAAGGTAATCTCCGTGGGCCCAGGTGGGAAACTTCGTTCGGCCTCTGTCGAATAAATCAAACGCCAGTTTGTTCAGAATACTCAAAACTGGAGAAGAGAACGAGGTGCCAAACAAAGGGGTATCAAGACAAACTTGACTTGACGGACGCTCCCCCCAGCGAGTATCCAAGAGAAGGTTTACAAATTTACGCGCTTGTAAAATCAGCAGTCGTTGTTTACTCTCAAAATACAATAAATTACTAAATCACCCCTGTACTAATTTATAGAGGCCATTTTCTCCCATTCGATATGTCATTTTCAACTAGAACAATCAGTGTATTTCGACTCTTTAATGAAATGGAATGGTCGCGTTAATTCTATTTTGCTACAATTTTTCTCTTTAAGAAAACGAGCGTTTTCTTGAAATGGACGATGCAAATAATTCTCAAAAACTTGAATAAAACTATATAAGCATCAAATTTTCAAAAGTGTAAATCGCAAAACTATGTTCTGCAATCATAGAAGAGTACTCTAACTCGGACTTACGTCAGCAGTACTTTCCTCATTTTGTTTTTTCTCTTTGAATGCTTCTTGGGGAAAGTGACGCAAATCATGGATGGAGTGGCTTTATAAAGTTTAAGTTAGCCATAAAGAGATCCCTATTGCTACCATAAAATCAAGGCATAGTGTTGGCCGGTCTTTTTCAATTGTGTTATATCACGACAATATAATAATTTACTTGTTGTCTTTTGAAGGGCTCACTTACCAGTGGTCGGATTTATAGCTGCCGCCGGCTAAATTGCTTTTGCCTCGAGGTGCTTCTTCTCTCGCTCTTCTTAGATCGTCAACCAATAAAATAAAAATGTTCCTTTGGTAATATTTATTTCTTTATTACTATTTTTATTACTGCCAAGTCTGAGCTTGTTCTGCTCCTTGGGCTACCCCTCGAGGCTCCTCCTCCGCGCGCCATTCGCCAGAGGGCGTTCTGCCTGTGGCGCGCGAGATCGTGTACTCTTGGCGAATCACAGACGAGGAAGCCTTAGCACGCCTAAGCTTTGCTCATCTTATAGTTGTGGTAACTGCTCTGGCGTATAAGAACCATAAACCAAGCCCCTCACCCTTTGAAGAAAGCTAGAAAAGTCGAAAACATCTGAGCTCGGTCATAAAACCTAATCATCGTTCTTTCATGTAAAAGAGTTGACTCATTAACTGTTCCAACCAAGCAAAACGTATGTGAATAAAACTTTATTTTATTAAAGACTTTTCTTCGTCAATTGTTTTATTGTGTTTCAAACCGCTGCCTTTTCCTACACCAGAGAACTCGATTCTTCGATGCTAGCTTTTTTCACTTTAGAATTCATTAGCTATGGCAATGTCCAAGTGCCAGAATAGTGAGCCTTTGGGAACGTCGTGGCTTTGATGGGATCATCCGCCGTGGCAGAGTGAGCCCAGCTGCCGAGCTCTTCTTTTTGATTTGGAAGAAATTTTGGACAGCAAGAAAAGAAAACGCAATTGATGCAGCTGGATCAGCTCTGCGCCGGATTAGTGCAAAACGCAAATATTTAGCGTGAAAGTGACATGGAGGAAATATTCCATAAAAGCTGTTTTAAAAAATCTCTGCTTATTTTAATCTGTGTTATTCTAACAGATAAACAAAAGGATATGCTCAACCTCAAGGAATACCCACAACGGCATTCGCTATCTTGGAAGAAGGTCACTAGGGTCGTGGGGATCATAAACGCGCCACTCAAGCAGCGGGAATTCTGAAAATGAATTTCAATTAAGCCGTGTAATCGGGCTCTAATTTCTCAGATCGCCAACAAGCTGTGGATAAAGCAGGCTCGAATGGTTGTAAACTTGATGGTTGACTACTTATTTATTTGTCATTTGTTAGTTTATCTTTTTCAAAAGGTGTCGTGTGCTTAACGTAAACGCTTAGTTCGCCATCACGCAGAAAAGTGGATATTGAATTAATTCTCATGCTAAACGGATTTATGGTCTCTTGAGCTGTGTTTGATCACATGATAAGAAGAAGAATTGGGCGACAGTATGAAGTGTCCAACGCGCTAAGGTGACTCGTAATCTTGGCTTCAAAAAATAAGGTACTTGATAACACGGAAGCTGTGTATTATTTACTGAAATTTTCAAAAAGAGGAAGTCAGCCAAAATAAAGCTGGGTATCATTCTGCTAAAATGAGTTTTAATACTGACTGTGAATTTGAGGCGCAGGTCGAGGCATATCTTTGGCCTCGACGAGAAAATAGAAGCGGGAAATGATAGTTACGAGTAATTAAGTCAGTTGTCCCTAATTAGCAATGGCTTGTTGATCTCCCGCAAGTGCGAAGTTCTCAATTACTGATCAACGTCTTATCGATCACAATATAACAGTATGCAACTTGTTCATGATTGTAATTCACGTCGCAGCGGGATAAGACCGCTCAATTTCTGGATTTCCACTTGGAAGAGCGAAACAAGGTCAGTAGATGGAAATGCGCCCAGCAAAAGTCGTCGATTTCGATTTCTTGATTTTTGGGGAAAATCGATCGCACTGCGCTTGTAAAATGGAATTATTCACCAGAAAACGGGGGAAATGCATCCGATGCACCGTGATTTACGACCCACGCTCAGCAAATTGTTTAATTTTCGTTCTTTTTTGATAGCGCTGCCAATTTCTGGAGCTCAACAGTGCTCACTTATTTATTCGCTTGAGGATTAATCCACAGAGCTCAATTAGAAAGTGAGCTTTTAGAAAATTTATTAAGAAGATACAGGTGTGGCATTCGGCAGAAAAGATGGAAAAAAGCATTTTCTTCATAATCTTGTGAGGACCTCGTCAGCGAACAGCGCGGAGCGGATTTTCTTGGGCTCAATGGATCCGCCATGTGAGCATTTTTTCGGGGGATAATCGACCTTGTCGTCGTCGACTTCTTCTTCGCTCAAGTTTTGGGCGAACTCAAGATCGCACTGGCATACATCCTGTTCGAAGGAATCTTTTCCTGAGACGCATCTATTTAACGGCTTTATACATAATTCCAAGTACTGTCAGTTTCGAAAAGGATCAAGCAATACGCTCGAAGATATACTGTTAAAGCCATGCCTATGCTGTCTTTCATTGAACTCGTATTTTGGCCGGTCAATAAACAAGAGCTCGTGATGGCTCGTAGCGTTGTGTTGATGGATTTGACGAGGTTTTCGTCCTTTCTCGGCACGGGCAGCTAGATGAATACACTCTTTCCAAGAAATAATGAGGTTGTCAACCGAGTCCACCGGCAGTCCTTTGACTGGCATATTAACGTCCAAGTAGTTGTCTCCCGAGCATCCGTAGTTGTTCATTCCAAAAGCTACGTGAGGAGCATATCTGTCGATCATTCCATGCACGTCGTTAATGGAATTAACGTGGCTTGACTTGACTTCTCGCGACGAAACTGTCCCAGCGGCAATGATGAGAGACTTTTTCATATCACAAAGTTTTTTCTCTTGAATTTTGAAAAGGAATTGATAAGCGGATGGGACTGATTCGATAGAGAGGCCGTTCTTTTTAGATAGCAAAGGGCTCGGTAGCGCCGCGAACCTCTGGAATCGAGCGGTGTTTTCACGATAGAACATTGTGTACAGCAATAATATTGCCGCTGATAGCATTAGACCCTGCCCTAAATGGTAATTTAGCGTAACATTCCACTAAAAGATCTTCGACGTCAATTTATGGTTTAAAACACTCATCTCGATTTTGAAAAGCTATCAGATTTTGATTTTTTGAACAGCTTTCTTTCTAAAGCGAGAGCTTCAAAGCATTCTTCAGAATATTTGTTGATGTTCTTACGAATCTGATAATTCTTGGACGTGTTTTCAGCGCGTTTATTTTTGAATTTCAGAACAATTGTCAGAGGCAGGGTTCGGTAATTTGAGCTCATGCTAAAACTCAAGGAAACAAAGCTTGAGACTCACGTTTTTTAATTTGAGTTTTGAGAACTCAGAGATGAGAGCTCACGTGAGAAATCAATTCTGGCGATCCATGAGCCAATCAAGTAAGCGCTCGCTTAATTTGAGTTTTGAAAACTCAAAACTCTCAAATCTCCCAAAAACTCAAAACTCTCAAAACTCTCAAATCTTCTCAAAATGATTTCTCAAGTAACTTTGAGTTCTCAATTTGAGGAAATTTGAGCGTCTAGCCAAAATGAGTTTTAGCTTGAGCTCAAATTACCGAACCCTGGTCAGAGGTTAGGAAGATTTGGGAACACATTTGATTTTGCCGTTGAATTTCCTTGGGTCGACTTTCCATCTTCGAGGAGTGCCAAGACATTTCATTTTGCGCGGGAGGCCGCTCTTTACTTCAAAACCAGGCCCACAGAGAACCTTAATTTATTGCTTTGCGAACTTATTTTCTTATCTAAGAATACCTTGCATTTGTATTTTGCCTTTTCGTCAGAATTCGGTTTGTCGCAAGGCCTATCATATTTAGGAAAGCCCGCTTCACATCCTTTACACTAGAACAACGAGTTTTATTTTCATTCCTGCGCTTTCAATCAAAATTTCGCACGACGCGTCTTCAAACATCCTTCTTCCAACAGAAAAAAGTGGAAAACTAGATTTGAGAATTACCTCCAGCTCCGGAATAGGAACTTTCGAACACTGATGTTGACCTCTTGTTGAAGCTACGATCACGCGCCGGTCTGAATCGTAGTCGAAGTTCTGCGGGAATTTCCAAACACTTGCCACACTCTCGTCAACAGTAAAACCTGCTGATACTGGACCGAATGTCTCTTTGGATTCTTTTTTCTTCTTTTGGCCGCTAGCTATAATAAACAGTAAAGGCAATCTGAACCATCTTAGAAACCATTTAAAAATAGAACGAAGAGCTTCCCGAAGACGCGCATTTTTCTAACTTTGCTGTTGCGGGCTTTGGTTTTTTTTCAGAAAGTGTGATGATCCCCTGCAAAGTCGCGCTTTATCAAAAGCTGCACCGACGCCACCGCCGCCGCCGCGCGCCCCCAGATGAGTGTGTATCCTGATTCCGGATGAGATTTATTCGGCTTCACCCTGCTATCCTTCCAAGTGTGATGAGAGATCTACCCAAGTGGCCACTGAATTTTCACTTCTCACACGCGCTCAATTCGAGCGTGCGACTTTCGTACTTCGAAATGTTCCTTGTAATTAGCCAAAAACACGTTCCATCAATCATCTGCTGTCAGATCATCATCATTTATGCTAATTTTATACTCATATTTATCATTTGGCATTTTATTATAATTCACTTTTTCCAATCTACTCAAAAATCGTTCCAAATTAATATTTTATCAAATTTCCGCCGTAAAGAGTAGAAAAGGAAGTGAAATAAGCGTCAGTTTATTTTTCAAAAATGAAAACACTTGGATAGTCGAACTCATCTAGCAAAAACACTGGCAATTAGAACTGGGCTTTCAAAGCCCTAGAAAACCTTAAAATCTACCCCTTTATTTATCTTTAACGGAAATCCTGCCTATATAAATTTCTTCAGATAAAAACTCAAATATGATAATTTCAGGCTTTCATAGTTTTTTCGAATTTCAAAATCCTTTTTTTTTAATTTCGCTTGTGCGAATAGACTCAAGATAAAGTATTGGCCACGCCAGATTAACCCTTATCATTCATAAATTAGCAACGGCAACTCAATATTTTTGTCCAGGGAACGTGAAGCGGAGTCCTTCCAACAAGAGCGTCAACGGATGTGTTTCCTATCTGCACGTTTATGAAACTGTCCCTATCTTTGCCTTTTGAATTCAGGGCAGAATCCAGCGAGACTGATTTCTGTACGCCATCAAATCAACAATTACTTGTCCATTAGAGCCCAATGCTAAACAAAACTAGAAAAATGTGATGCTTTTGTGATTTATGAATCTGTTTGTCTATGGCGTCGCATCTCCTTGACTACGCTGTGATGGCTCTCAATGATCAATTAGAACAGAACTCCTTCCGCCTCAAATCGGCTTTCTTCAACTAAATTTTTAAAAAGCATGCCAGACAAGTCCAAGAGTACTCAAAGCACGAGAGGAAGGTCAAAATCGAAAGCTCCAAAGGGGAAAAAGGTGAGATCGCTGATAAAAAAAATAGGGAAAAAACATGACTATCTAAAGGGCTCGAAGTCGAAATCAAAAGGGCGAAGTAAATCCAAAAAATCGAAAAAGGCAGAGAAAGTCCCGATAGACATAAACTCTGACGCGGCAAGAGAAAACCTTGTTTGCATCGCGCATAATATCCAAGGTACTCATCATCAGCTATTCTGAAGTTATTATTTATTTCAGATGCGTATTTACACCGAGGGATCGCATGGAAACCCAAAAAGAAAAAGGGGAAAAAGGGAAAAGGGAAGAAAAAGAAGAAATAGTTTCTGCCTACGATTTATACAGTCATAGTTTTGTTGGTGTAATTATACTTCGATGTAAATAAAATTTGTCATCAATGGTCGCGAATTTAGGCTGAAATGAATTGGTTTGCCGGTTAAAGTCAGTTTTTTGTAACAGTTTTAACGATCCAATCTTTCGCGCTCCACGTCGAAGAATAGAGTCCAGGTTGGCCTTTTTTGCCGCAGCCCTCTCCACGGGATACGACGCCGACAATAGTAGCGCGGCCATCTTGAGCACAGATCAGCGGACCACCAGAATCGCCTTGACAAGCGTCTTTTCCTGCATCTGTTAATCTTATTTGGCTTTCTCGATTGTTCATTTATCGAACCAGAGTAAATAAAATTATCTTTTATCTATAAGAAATATTCTTGGTGTCCTAGAAAGCCCGTCCCCGTCTCCGTCGAAATCAGGAAGGCCGGCGCAAATATCATCAATATTCAACTTGCCAATATTTGAATATTTTTGACAATAATCCGGGCCGAGTATGTTCACTCCGGCTGATAATATGACATCCGAATACTTTCCAGAGTCGTACTCAGTATCTCCCCATCCTGCGACCCAACAGGCTTCTCCATGGTCGATTGGTCCCGAAGGCAAGCATGCGATTTGCGTAGAGACATCATTACTAATAATAGAATAGGGTTCACGCGTTATGAATACAAAGAGGCATACTCGTTAGCCTGTAAAATACTCTCGCCGAATTTAATCAAACACCAGTCAGAATTGTCTGGATCGCCATCGCTCTTTTGTCCGTATTCTGGGTGAATGAAGATTTGTGAGCTTGTCATTGTCAATGCTTCATCATCATCTTCAGTATTGTACTCACCGAAGCGAGCGGTTATTGTTTTTTCACCTTCACAGCAATGTGCAGCTAAAAACATATTTTGTGTTGACCTTTTTTAACTGGTTCTACCTGTTAGAACCCACTCTTCGTGAATAATAGTACCGCCACAACCCATTTCCAGGTAAACTAGCCAAGGCCAATCATTTTCGAACGTTGTTACGCCGCCGATGATTTTAGCGTTTTTCTTTTGTTTTTTTCTTGAGTCCGATTCTTTTATGAAATTTGACTTATTTGCACATGTTTTCAGTCCAGTGACAATACTGTCCATTAGTGGTTGGAAGTCTCCAAGTGTCGTGCTCGTTGGCTTCACGGTAGTTGTGGCTGGATTCTCTGTTGTTTTTTCGGCAGTAGATGTTGTTCCAGTGGTCGTTGTCCACACAGATGACTCTTCCTGCGTAGTCGTTGCTGATGTAGTCGACGTTGTAGACGCTTCTTCTGTTGTGGTCGGTTCATCTGTAGTCGTGGTTGATGTTGTTGTTGTTGTTGTTGAAGTTGATGTTATCGTTGTAGTTGATGTTGTAGTTGTCGTCGAAGTCGTCGTCGAAGTAGTTGAAGAGGAAGTTGAGGGAGTTCTCCTTGAGGTGGTAGAAGTTGTCACTGACTCTGTCGTTTTTGGCTCAGTTGTGGTCGTTATCGAAGTAGTAGTTGGCTTAGTTGTAGTCGTAGAAGTTGTCGTAGTTGTTGGTGCATAAGCGAGGCAATATTTAATACACTCGAAAACCGGATCTGTTGCTTGGCGGTTTCCAAAATTAATTGTGACTTTTAGCGGTCTTGATTAATTAATAAAAGTCTTCAAATTTAAAGTTGGTCTTCGACCTTTCCTGGACAACTTGCTTCCTCGGAAATCTCTTCACGTTGAATTGGTATTTTTTCTGTCACTTCTTTACTCTCTAATGGTGCTGATTCTACGACATCAGAAAGGTTTATCTCTTCTTGAATATCGTCTTCGAACGTTTGTTCCTTGAAGTTTGCTGAATTTTCCATAGGAACTCTAGATAAGCCCCGCTTTTTCTTTTTCTCTCTTTTCTTCGCGTTTTGGCCACTGTTATTCCACTGTATTTCGAGTGCATGGCCGATAATAAATAAAAGAGGGTGCAACTTCATTTTACTCTTTTTTCCTTTTTCAACTTCTGAAAACCTTCAGCTTCACCGAGGTGAGCTGGCCTCCATGTTAACAACGATGTTTTTGTTATAGATAATGTTCATCGAGCTTTGATATAACATATCAATCATATTTCATTTTGACACCGATTTTCTGTCTAATGGACATTTCTATTTCATCTCTAAATTTTAGAAGCAAGGTTACTCTGTTCATTTTCGTGCTGGAAATTATAATAAATTGAAACATAATTTTCCATTATTTATTTCAAAGAAGCCATCAGTTCAAAGCGTATCTCGTGGATTTCAATCAGCCGATCCAAAGACGAACCCTAGTAGTAATAAAAACAAGCAAGATCATTTTTTTTCTTACCGTTTCAGCTAGTTTAACTTGCTCTTTCTTTAACTTTTCATCAAGTTCTTTAATTTTTTCAATGAAATCTACTTTCATTACTTTCTGCTTCTCTGAGTTCCTGAAACATTACTGTGAGATTGTCTAGTAGGCGTCTGATTAACAGTGCTTGAAAGTCGATTATTATCCGATTTACTAAATTTATGATTGAGAATTTTCGAACACGTATTTAGACGCAACTTTACCTCAAAGAGAGTTAAGCCAGTTTGCTCTTACACCAGATTTTTTGAGTTAAATGCCCTTGAAGAAAGTCACAAGACCTGCTTAGAAAAGCAATGGATTATTTACCCTTTGAGCTGACTTGTGAAAAGAATGAAAGCAGCTCAGCGGATTCAAGATTGAGTTACGCGCTTTGGGAAGAAATTTAATATTTCATAAATTTGGAATGTATCAGCAGAAAATGGCAGGGAAAGGGAGTGATTAGCTCATTCCCTTCTTTTTGTTGTTTTTATTGAAGATTTTCGAGAGAGATCGCGCGAAGGAGGATCCTTTTCGTTTTTTCGGGTTTTCCTTGGAATCGTCGCAGCTCGATGCGGTTACTGGTGTCGCCGTGAAGACGACATCCCCGTCCTCATGTATTGTCGGCTGAAAGGAATTCGTGAAATAAGAAAAAGTTTTAGATTGCACCTGTTTTCGTCTCTTCTCGCGCAGTACTTTTGCCGAATCCTTCACATTACTAATTCTTCGTGCTTTCTTCTTGGACCTGCTGCCAGCAGGATTGGAACGCACAGGCGCGTTGATCGAAGAGTTCATCGATACTCGTTTCGTCAATCTGGCGGTGGAGTTTGGATCCAACCGCTTCAAGGGTCGATCCTTGAAGAGTTGCCTCGAGACTGTTCTGACAGTACTAGGAAGCATCTCGGCAAGGAAATTTTCGGATACTCCTTTCCGCATCGCCCCTTTTCGCGGCATATATGGCTTGACCTAAATTTATCCTCAAGTTATCTTTCTCCTTTGATTTATAACCTGTAATTCTTCCTCTGTTTCCCATTGATTTTCTTCATCTTGTTTATTGCATTTTTGATCTTCTTTAGTATTGAGATCAGCGTAGCTTTTTGGCTCTTCGTTTTTTATTGTCGGTGGTTTCTCGGCCCATTGTGGTGTCTGTCTTTTAGAGGATTGCTCAATAATTATATATGATAAATTATTATTGTGAGTTTTTCCTCGAAAAATCTAGTTATTAGCTTAATAATCCCTGTTCCTTATGGTCACACCTGGCCCATTTCCTTTATCTTCAACATCAACAACGATAGAGTCATTGCCAGCAACCAAGACAAACGATTGTTTCTCATTTTTAATAGGCGACTGTTGAAACAGTTTTTAGATAAGATGAATAATTCTATTCTCACACCTGGTTGAAGGTACCATTGTGGCTCATTCCATTGCGCGACTTCAAAGTAGAACTCATTCTTCTCGACATGTGCGGCTCGTGCTTGACCTTTTGTCCTATAGTATTCGTCTGGACGGTGAAGCGTGAACCCACAGAGCCATCATATTGGCTGACGAATCGATTGATAAAAACCTCGAAAAGAATTTTACCTGGAGGTATTCGCGCTGGCGATTCCACTCTCTTTAGATTTCTCTTGTGGATTACTATCTCTGTTCACAAGTCCCTGCGCCCTGTGCCTCGGAAAATTATTATGCGAGTTTGGCTCAACTTTTGGAACGGGGTATTTTCCACGTTGACGTCGATTTCTAATAGTTTTTTTTATATAAAATTCACTTTTTTGCCTTTTACCGCATTCCTGCATTGAAATGCTGGAGTTGAAGTTGGAGAGAGTTGTTGTTCATCACGGTGGGGTTCCAGAACATGAAACCAGAGTTGGCAAGTTGGCCCATTTGAGAAAGTTGTGTTAGCGGATGGTGTGCCCAAGGGTTCCCGCCATTGAAGTTCGGTAGTAATTGACCGTTCATATCCGCCATTAAAGCAGGGTGGAACTAGAATCAATGTTGACACTAAATTCTGTCTACTTGTCTCTCTAATCTTACTGGCATCGTAACAACCATCTGCTGTGGAAAGGCTCCGTGGATACTGTTTCTATTCCCATTTTGAGCGTGAAGGTGAGACGAAAAATTATAATTCTGACTACCATACATCGCAATAAACTCGAATGAAAATCGATGCGCGCATGCGTTTTTCATAAATGCGATCGTATCAATCTTTTGTGTCCCGATTTCTGTTAGAATTGTTTTTTTCAAGATGGAATAAAAACCCCTTCTAAAATCCAGCACAATAGATCGATCAATGATCATAGAGCATTTTTGGTGATTGACGAAAATAAAGACGTCATTTTAAGTGGCTTTGTTGAAATATGTGGTCGATGAGAATATATATAAAATATAAATAAAGAGTAGTGGAGAATATAGAGAGAGTGGACGTTTCTCAGAAGACATGTTTACATACATAATGACGTCCATTACCATCCAATGTCCAAGAATTATGTGATGTTCTCCTAAAAGCTTTTTGTGTCGGCATACGATTGAAAGCTTTTTCGCCAGTCAACCACAAGAATCATTTAATTTTGTCTTTATTTATTTTTGTTTTTGAAGATATTAAGAAAAATAATAGATACGGAAGCATATATTGCACATATAAATCATGATTTTTGTTTAAATATATCAAAGTCGGAAAATGGTCACGATGATGAAATTGTTGGACCAACAGCAGTTGTCAGTCTCTTTGGGTCTTTCTCGTCTACTTATCGTCCTCCGCTGGCTGCAGTGAGTGCCATGAAGCGATCGGTCGCCTAGATAGACACTTGAAGACAAAATCCAACTTGAGAAAAGTTTTACCGTGGCGCCGAGAGCATATCGCTCCAATGCTTGAGTTCTTGGCCAGAAGCACCACAGCCGACGACAACTTTTCCGATTGGATCGTTCGAGCCGACTTGATCGTAATCGAGGACAGTGATGACTACAGTTACTTTCTGAATCTGCTCGAAGGGAACTTCAAAGCTGAATGACTCGTTGTAATAGGGATTGAGAGTATTCTTTTTGACTTTGGCGAGTTTCAATTTGCCGCTTGCAGTAATAAATCAATGCGGCATTACAGAATGATCGTAAACTCATGCCTGTTGTTTTCTTCTTTTTCAGCCGCTTCCCGTTTTGCATAAGGTTGACTTTCACGTATGGATCTGAAAGACCGCAGGCGTCCATCTTCTTTAAATTCTTCGCCTCCAAGATAACCACAGTGAATTTACCCGATGTCGGAACGTATCTGAGAGAGAAACAAACATCTCCCAATTTCTCAGAATCCTGAAATAGAAAATCAACCACTTTACGCTTATAAATAAGTAAAACCTTGTCAGCAGCTTCTAGTTCTTTCGTTGTTTCGAAAATTTGTCCAAGATCGATCGAATTGAGCGGAACTTCAATTTTTCCAATAATGTCATGTTTTCCAAAGCGGTCGAAATCGTAAACGGCGAGGACGACAGTTTTAGAGCCGATTTCTTTGTAGAGCACTGCCAAGGGCGAATCAAATAGAATATATAATATATTTCTCATTAACTCGTCGCATGTAAAAGGGGGATTCTGTTTGACATCAACGAAGAGAACGGTGCAGACGGAGAATTGCACGACAAATTTAGGGCCGTGCTGAATTGACACGCAAATCGAATACCTCTGGGAAATTATCGGCACACATGTTTCGATAGAGTTATTCAGCAAATATCGAGGGTATTATTGATCGGGCTTTCTCGAACAGAGGACAATTAATTTTACCTCGCGACACATAAAAATCTATTCGGAAAAGTATTCATACATCAAGTGCAAGTCTAAGAGATGCTGGAAATCCTCTATGTTGAACATGAATCTGTGTCAAGTGTTTCTCATCTATTTTTTATGTTTTGAAAGAATTCAATCTTCGTCGCGGCATATGCTTGCCCGTATGTCTAATTTCTTTACTTTTCGCCGATCCTTTAAAGTTGAATGTCTCGTCGAAAACTGGGTTGAGGGATTTCTTTTGCACCTTGGTCTCGAACTTCTTTTTCTTGTCTGGAAGGACGTACACTTTTACGTACGGGTCAGAAGTGCCGTTCAAGTCCATCGCCGGGAGATCGTTCGCGTTCATCACGTGCACTTTTAGGTTGTTCGCTTCGAAGTCATAATCTAGAGCATCTCTTGCAGATCCCGCGATTAATATTGACAGTTTACCTAAGCTGAATCGGAGAGTACCCAGCTTCTCCTTTTCCTTTTCTTCTGTGTCTTCCTTTTTCGACACTTCGTCAAGTTCTTCGCCAAGATTCTTGAACTACAAACGCGCCTCGTTTAGTATTCGGAGCATAGAGAGCGCTTCATTACCTGCGACATGTCGATGACTTGTTCTTTTTGGTTTCCCTTCTTCGATTTTTTACGCTTTTTGCTTAATTATGTTCGTCTCAGACTGAATTAATTCGTAATCTCACCAAATGCACTTTTTGCAAACGCATATGAGCAAACAAAAGGTCACGATCGCCGTTATTACGGCAAGAGCGATTACCGCCCATTGTGGCAATCCAGTCGCTTCCTGGATTTTCTCAGTTTCCTGTTGACGGTTCACAGTTATGCTTGATTCTTGCTTTAGTCATGCTTAAAAGAACCTGGCCTTATTTAAAAGCTCTTCAGAGTACTTGACAACGGTGGAGCCAGCTTTCCCGACATTGCGTGTGATACTGTCCACCGTACCTTAATCATTTTTGATAGTTTTATTTCAATGTTAGCACTTATTTTATATATTTATAGGTATCTTGTCTTTTGAAAATCTTACTTTGCAATTCTCTTTTTTGCCTCATCTCGTGAAGCTTTTGTTTCTCTCTCAAGTTTTCTCCTGCACCAGTTGGGTTCACTGTTCTTGGTAAAAAGCTCTTTGCGCAAGACTCTCTTTTTTCTGCAAAGCGCGCCACTATGCGACTTAGTGTCGATGAAAAGGATGAATATTTCAAGTCGATATTTATATTGTACGAGCAGCACTGCCAGAACCCGCAACCATTCAGAATGAACCTTCTCTCTTCAGCTTAAGAGAAGCGATTCCTTCAATTGCCCAGTGTGATTAATTATGCAATCAACATTCAGACGCACTTATTCTAGCCTTTGAGACCAGTTAACAAGAGTTCTATTCAAATGATTTCGCCAATTTATTATTCAAGGATTTCGATATTTTCAACAAGAAAGATTTTTGAACCTTTTCCTGAACTTTTATGCGATAAAACTCATCTTATTAACAAACAAATTAACAGAATTAGACTTGAAAATCTAACAACTGAACATCTAACAAATCTAAATCGAAACATTCATTCGCAAATGACGAAGACTTTAATCCCTCCTCAAGGATCTTTCAAAGCGCGCAATACAATATAAGCACTGCTCCAATATTAGCGGACAGCGGTGCCGCTGAATGGGATTGTTTACTTGTAACAAGATGGGTTGAATTTAGTGATTTCGGTGCTTCGTTCGTGAGCCCATCGACTTTATTGATTTAAGCCTTTGTGCGAAAGGTCTCTGGAGGAAAGGGGGCGCGCTCGTTCTCTAAGGGTAGGCCTCACTCCAATTTTTTACATTTTCCATAGAACCTATAACAGAGAGAAGCAATGAAAAAGGATCCTTCTCTTTCACTAAAATGGTGAGTTAAATTTTTGGCGAATAAGTTTAAAATGAGCTCAATTATAAAACCTCCTCTCTTCTAGTTCTCGATGAAGATTGATGCCAAGTCGGAGGAAATATTCGAAAAAACGAGATTGACGCTGAACTTTTCTCTCGACCTGCCGAATAAATAAAAAAGTAGAAAGTAGAGAGTTCCGATTTGGGGGCAAAAAGCAATAGGGTCGATTTATTTCTGAAGAGCAGGGCCTTTGATAATTTTTTGTTTCTAACACATTGGTAAAGGGGTAAGGATGACAGACTGTGGATGAAATAAAAAAAGAAAACAAACAGCGTCGAAGAGATAGATAGACAAAGTACAGGAGGAGTAAACAATTATTTTGATATTTTTTTGTTGTCGAATCATGGAAGGATTGGAAGGTAGCTGCAGGAAGCGCGAAAGGTATCTATTTTGTTTCGTTTGTTTTTAATGTAGGAAATGAGAGAAGTGAGTGAAGACAGTTTTCCCCAAAACTTCCAAACACATGGCGAAATTTTGAAAGAATCGACGTCAGTTAGTTACGCAACGACCATGAAAAATGGATGATTAATATAGAACGTATTCGCAGTCTGAGTTGTTTGACAAAACAATCTGAAATGATTGCATGTGGGATCATCTTCTTTATTGCATCGTTCGATAAACTTTGCTCAGCATTTCAGAAGCAAGCGAGCTTCCATCTGCAGTAAATGATAATGGAAGGCTGCTCTTGGAACATCTTGAGCCAAGCTTAACAAACCATACAATTTTTCATGGAAGCTGAGTTTTTTGGTGCTTACGAAACTGACGAAAATGAAGAGAAAGATGCAAGAACTTGTACAAACATAGCACTCCTCGTTGGAATCAACAAGGAGAACGTGCCTATTGAGTCTTGCGGTAAAGGGAAAGATAGTGTCTGTTTGAAAACAGCAGTCTTTATGTGAATGAGCTTGGCTTCTTTCCTGGAGGGTCAAGACCCTTAAGAAAGTCATCGATCCATGCGAGTGAGTGTTGAAGGGTCAATTCCACCCAGCATGGAGTAGAAGTGATCTCTTGCACTTTGTAGCCCACGCCCCAGCCTTTCACGAAGCTTCCATTGATGATAAATTACAATTCTTATAAATTATTGTCGCGTAAAAAATATTGATCGGATTTATCCAGTTCCTGAGACGCATGGTGCAGTGGTGAGCGAGATCGGCGACGGCGTTGTATCCGTGGATTTTGGCGGCAAAGAGTCGTTCGTAAAAGTCAGAGGTGTTGAAGACCTCAGCTCTGCCGCGCGAAGGGACTTTTATGATTTTATTTTTCTGAAAATTCACAATTGTCGGCTGTTAGACGAGTTCGAACATGTTATATAACAAAGGAAGTGCATTTCACAAATAAACTTACGTGTTGCCCGGCACGAATATTCCAGTTTTGACTTTGGATGAACACAGCATGATCAGAAAGGTTGTCAAGGTAAACGACTTGGCAGTTTGGACCTCCGGAGATTTTTATCCCTTGCCCGATGTGACAGCGAACAGAGCTGGTCTTGTCATCCCTACTTGGATTCGCGATCGCTCCAAGACTGTAAAAAAAGACTATTTGTCTTGCTTTCAGTAATAAAAAAAATGAATTTGACTTTTTTGAAAGTTAAACATACCAGAATTTAGACCCGTTTTCAGTGTTAGGGTTGTATCCACCGCTGATAAATACGTCTGGCTGCCAACCGAAAAACTTTTCACCGAGACGAATCTCTCGCTCCCAGTAAGCTACTGTAAGCCACGCTTGACCATTGTTAGTGGATGTCTCTCCTTCGTTGGAATACTGCATCTGTCCTTGATGCAGTACAAGGGCTGTTTGCTGGAAGTTGGAGGCCGGTAGAGCCGTTGCCTGCTAAAAATTAAATAGCTTGTTAGTATTGGGATCAGAGTACGAAAATTAGAAAGGCCAGTTTCAGCCAAATCAACAACGACGTCTCACTTCTTTCTACTTTTTATCTATATTGAAATCATGCGTGAAATTGGAGCAAGTAATTACAGTAGAAATAGAATGGGGAAGATGTATTCTCGAAAATAAGATTAAATTATAAATCACAAAGGTTAAATTAAAAAAAAAACTAGAATAAATTTGCTCGACATCTCTTTGATTAAAATCTCGACTGGTTGGTTGCTTCTCTGAGACTAACTTATATTACGATAGATGACGTTAATAATTCCCTCTGAGAGCTTCCCAGTAAGTTCAACCACGTAAAATAGATAAGTTTCAATTCACATGAAAGATTACTTACGTTGTCATAAACCATGTTTTGATTGCTGTCGTCGAACGAATAGCAAGTATCTTGGCTTTGTCTTAAATATAGATGAAGCTATTGTTGACTTTTTAACTTTCGATTAGTGGCTAACAAATATCTGTTATCATGCTTGACACAACAAAAGAAAAATAATAATTCATGGTCGCAAACATTTTTTTCTTACAGTTTTATTGAAGATCGAATGTCCGCTCCGTATTTCGCTCTTTTATAATTAACATTTAATGAAGTGAAGACGTAAGAACATGCAGTTTTTTAGATTCAAAACTCATTCGGATTATTTATATGCGTGACGACTTGTCATGGTGGAGAAAGTAACGAAGTCCTTTGGGTGAGGTAAAATATGAAAAACATTCCAATCCAAATGCAGTTCATTCATAATGAAATTTTGACGGACATAAAACAACCCACTTGATGCAAAAACCTTACCTAATCGAACTCATACTGTAACAATAAGGAGTTCTTCTAAATATTTAATTTTCATTTGCATCAAAATCACAAGAAAAACGTCGATTCGAGTCGCTATTGTTCATACATTTATCATATTCGGCATAGAGCTGTTCTGCCCTTGCCTAGAATCTTACCTATCGACCAGTTGGTGGATGCCGTTCAGTTGTGGTCGCACGCGCCTGATTTCTAGTTGAGGAAATGATGTGATATTTCCATTGTTGTTGGATAGCGGCTTATTTCTTACTTTCTCAACTTTCCTTTCATAATGAAATGGGTTGACACAGATCTCGCCACCGGTCTGTGACATGTCTTAAACCATTACAATAAATTCACTTACTTGCGGCATTTTCACTCGCTTTTCTTTTCAAGACTGTTACCGTATGCATGGCGACATGTGACGATTGCTTGCAGCTCGTGGTACGACTTCACTGTTTTATCTCGCCATATTTGGTAAAATATTACATGCGGAATAGTTTTCTTCTGCATAACTGGAGATATTTGCTCGTTATTCTTTTCTAGTCGATTTTTGTCTACATACCTTGCATGCGTCCATCAAGAGAACGTGGAATTTTGACACAGGCAGTGTCCTGGTCTGCATGCTTCACGCTTCTGATGAGATTTTCAACGATACCCTTTTCTTGGCTTTGGCGGTTCAATAGATTCACGCACCTTTCGGGAGAACAATGAATTTCGAACAGAGAGAAATGAACCATTCCTGCGACGCAGCCTCCGGATGAGCGACTTTTACAAGGTTGAAAATAGCGATATCAACTCAATATTATCACTGTTTGCTATTTAGTTTTGAGGCTGACTGACGATAGGAAATCAGAAAGATTAAACAAAGATGTCTCCAGTTTATCAATACAATTTTAAAGACAGACATATATGGAAAATAATAATGTCTGGACCGGGTGGATGATTCCTTCATTGCGCCGAAAACAAAGTAACGGAGTCAACTTTTTCTAGTCACTTTCAACCGAAGTTCCTTTACGGCGCACTCGTAGAACTGCTGATCTTGAATACTGACTTCGGCGTTATTGATTGAGTAGTGCATTAGGTCGTTGACGATTTGAGTGTCATTTCTGTACCCACAATGTAGTTAAATTATTTCGAACTTGAACTGTTAAAATTTGATAGAATACTCTAGTAAATTTTAAACGAGGTTTACATAAGACTCTAAACTTCTTCAAGATAAAACCAAAACCATTATTTTGCCTTGAGTTATAGGTACTAAGTTTTAACGATTGAACAAAGCTCGTGTTTTGACAGAGTAAGACCTTTTATCACTTCCTGCGTAAAAAGGGTCGCTACTGTCAGACAATCTACTCGCTAGCGGGGCCTTCCCGACTAACCTTTGGTTGGTGTCGACGACCATCGCACTCATCTTTCTTCTGTTGGCCTTGACTCTTATCCTCTGTAGCTTTCGCCTTTCAACAATATGTTATTCTTTGTTTATGTCTCTTGAGCATGTAAAGATATAAAATAGGAAAAGGTGAGTGGCCGAGTGGTTCCTCTGGGTTTCTCTGAAATGGATCACTCTGGTCGCCGTCGAGTCCAGACAGACGGCGACACAACAACTGGTCTGATTATGGTTGTGGTTGTTGTTGTCTACTATTGCCCTTGATATTGGTTTTATATGGCATAGTCCCGCGTCCGACAAGTACATTCGGAGCACTCGATTTCTACTCTGTCGCATTTAAACGCGACTCTCGCCTTCACCTTATCACGTCCATGTGTCGCAACGACGGGCGCTCTGCGTGAGCGCGGCCGTCTTCCTCCTTCTCCTTTACAAAAATCAACTCAAAATACGTATTACGAAAGTGGCAATCAAGAAGCAATGTGCACGGCAAATGTTGCCCTGGGCTCACGGACGAGGCAGAAACTAAGAGCTCACGCATTTTAGTTAGAGCAGCAGTCGGTATTGAGCTGACTCGGCAGAAAATGGATCAGGCGGCCCCAGTAGCACTAGCTAATGTGAATCATGCGTACTCGTTGCGAATCTCTCGACCTCGACATCCGATACTGTTGAGGCTTCAGGGCTTCCGCGATTCTAGAGGATGAACTAGAAATTGCGCGTTTCCCAGTCGGAGAGTCAGAGTCACAATCAATAGTTGGTCCGTCGAGGGAGAGGAGGACAGACGGAGACTCGGCACCGCTTTAATTCAACCTGCGATATTGCATTTGGATACGATCGATGCGCTTGGAAGTCAGCTTTTTCACTATGTCACTACATGAAGAATGCCAACTTCCATCCCTTATTAAAGTCGAGATTACCCTTCCTTATTTCTTCAAGTACGTACAAAACGAAAGCATTTTTTTCAATATCAGTCAGTCATCATCCTGGATTGAAAGTTCATAGATTGTATTTGTCAAATCCTAAGCATCTTTTTTTAATTGTATTAAATGGCAGTTATGAAAGACGCGAAAATATGTCTAACAATAGTATGTTACAAGATAAATGCGTGTGAAGTGATCGCGGGAGAAATTCTAGGGGAGTTCCTTGTAATCTACTTTGTTTCTTTTTCGTGGACGGAGCTCCAAGTCTTCGTCGATTTCAAATATGTTTGTCGATCGTCTACTCTTCTTAGGTGATTGCTGTTTTTCTTGCTCCGCTTTGCATTGCTAAATATTCATGAAAAAACAGCATATTAAAAAGTCCGAACGAAAAAAAACGATATTCTACCACTTACCTTGCAGTACCAGTCACCGCTTGGAATTTTTCTTATTTTCGGTTTGTGGCAGTAAGTGTGGAATGGTGTCTCGCATCCATCGCAGATAATCATATTTTCTCCATCAGACTTCTTTTTGCATTTCTGGCATCGAATATTCTCAATACTTTGAGACCAGTTGATGCATTCTTCGAGATGAATCAAGTGGAGCATTAGTGCGGCAGGTGACCTGAATTGAAGTTACGACTCATGTCCGATAGGATTCTAGCCAAACTAACCGAACTGACAAAAGCGAAGCTTCCCAATGTTTCTTTTGACTGTTGTAAACGGCCTTCCACACTTCATTTTTTTCACGCTTATTTCCCTTTTTATTTGATGCTGTGCCAAGAGGTCGAAGCAGCACATCTTGTCGTATTGCTCTTCTAAGAGCTATGACTGATGCTGCTAGATTTTGCACTTCGAAAAGCTCTTCGCTTTCACTGTTCGGCTCAGACAAGTAGTTTGGTACACGCATCGTCATTTCTATGTCCTTGTCATCATTGAACTTCAGGAACAAGTTTTCGTCTTTTTCGAGAAGAGCCTTCCTGTAATCACGGGAACGAATCTGTTTGCGATCAAGCCAGAATTCGCGGAGAGCTTCGCGCTCCTCTTCGGCCGACTCTAGATCGCCAAAGTCAGCCTTGAATATTCGTTCTTCGAGCTCAAGAATGAAATCACGTGCACTAAAATTATTTTATTAAACGTGATTATAAAAGAAACTTACAGAAGTATTTCTTTATCGAAAACGTCGTGCTTTTCATCAGGCTCTGGTTCAGTAAACTGAAGCAGTTTTCCATTTTTATAGAAACCAGGGCCTGCTTTGTCAATGTCTCGTGTAAGTAGGAAGAAATGTCTTTGGATTCTTTCTTTCAAAGTCTTTTCGCGCTCGCCTCGTTCGTTGAGGCCTTCGTAAAGAACGCGGATCGTTGCTTCTTCGTCGTAAATATAAAAGCCAGGCTCGTGGAGCGCACTTTCTGTCCAAGCTTTCGCATTTTCTGATTGGAGTATTTCTTGTGTCTCGACTTCCATTACTTCATCAGCAGGAGCTGAAGGAGCGGTGCGGCCTTTCGTATTCTCCATGAAGTCGGAAAGCTTTGGTTGTTTCTGAAATTCCGGAACTTTGTAGTTTTCCCAGCTGTCAGCATTCGCCGGAAGAGGTATTTCGTTTCTGTTGGGCACTTCTACAATCAGTCCGGGCGAAGCTGATGAGATCATGTAGCGACGATGAAATCTATCAGAGCCAAGATAGATTGGGCGGAATGCTAGAAGTTGTGTTAGTCAAGGTCGTTTCTTGAGAGTCTACCTAGAGTGATTGTTTGAATTCTTGCATTGGCATCGTCGATACTTGCTTCAGTCTCTTGCTCGTTGCTGGCAGCGAGAGACTCTTTTTCGGCTATGCTCGTTTGCAAGTCTTCGATTTTTCGGAGAGCTACTGAGTTTGGATTGGGATTCGCTTTCTTCATTTCCATCAGATCGATTCTTATTTTGTGTAGTTCTTGACCTAATCGAACCTTTTCCTCTTTCGCGTTTTTTCTAATTTCTTTTATTTCTTCCGTTATTTCGAGGATTTTCTCGTCCATCTCGTCTTGGTGGTATCTGATCTCACCTTCAACAATCAGAACGTCTGTCAGGAGCATGACGAGCCGTAATCTTTCTTCCGGAGCTAAGGTGAAAACTGACTCAGTTTCCAGCTTTTTCAGCAAATCAATGTGCTCATCGCGGCGAAGTGCATTGAGGAATGTGCTATCTGTTGTCTGATATCCACCGCGATACTTCATTCTGTTACTATCGATGTCATTGCTGGGATTGGCTCCGCCGGAGAGCAGGATCAAGCGCAAAACTTCAGTGACGGTAGTTTCGTCGATGGTGTATTTGACAGGGTAATCCCCAAGAGCCTTCGCGTAGAAAATTGCGACTTCAGTGCAAGAGTCTATCACTTCATCGGCATTAAATTTGGAACCGATGGGCCACGCCTTTAAAAATCATTGAGCAAATATATCCAATTTTTATGACGAATACCTCGTTTACTACTGTGGTAGCAACATTGTCATCCAGAAACGGAGAGTCCGACTGGCGGCAAATGGGGTTCGCCTTCGATTCCGATTCTTCTTCCTCTTTTTTCGTGCTATTTTGCAAAGAGCCGAGCAGGTAAATTAAAACATCGCAGAAGACGCCATCGGTTTTAGTTTCTGTGAGCATTTTGAACGCATCTTCCAAAGAGAACTTGCTCATCTTCGTTTCCCACTCGACGGAGTCAAGTGCGCCGTGGAAAGTGCGCAGGAATTCGCAAAGGGTCAGTGCGTCGGCCATGAATTGAGCTGGCAGTGGCGTTTCAATTTTCAGTGGCGACGGGAGTTTGTGTTGACTCAGATCGTCTAGAGTCTCGTCAGTTCGGATCATTTTCCACTCTCTCTTCGCCTGTGCGAGCGCTTTCTTAGCCTCTGCCAGGCGTTGCTCTTGGCTAGCGGCTTGGTCAATCTTCTCTCGTCGCTGCCGTTCTTCTTCCTCCATCCTCTTCATCATCATGTTTTGCATCATCTTGTTGTTGAGTACTTTTTTTGGCGCTACTTTCTTCGGCTCCATCTTCTCGAATTTCGGCTCTGGCCCGTTGAAGATTTCGCTCCATTTTGTCTGTTCTATTCTGTAATTTTTCACGCTATTTGGCAAAAGAGCGTAAGATCTATCTTCGTCGCACTGGAATGTGTGCATCTTAAAATTTCACTGATTCTAGAATTGATCTGCCAATGTTTTTTACCTTGAGAATATAGCAAAGAAGAGGCTTCGAGAGATTACGCGATCCTTGCTTAATGTCCTTTGCTTTCACAGTGATCTGCTTTTTCGGAGACTCCTTGACTTCTTCCCCCTCTACTTTTTTCTTCCTGCGCTCGGTCGACTCTTCCAGGGTGTAGACAAACTTTGATAGGCCACCAGGGCTCATGTTTTCCTTCTCCAGTCCGACGTATTTCATGTCTTCGACTTGGAACTTTTTGTTTTGGTGCTTTATTTTCTCGCCTCAAGTGAAGCTTTAGCAAAATTAATATATCAAAAGTCTTTACCAAGAACGTAGATATCTTTGATTGCGGTCATTATTTCATGAGCGAGTTTCTGTAGCACAGTCCGTCCTTTTGCTTTGTTTGCCAAGAACAAAATCGCTCTTGTCAGTCTCTTGTCGACCTTCTTGACGGCTGCCTTGGCCTCCCGTTCAGACTGCACTGCTTCATCGTAGGTAATGTTGCTCTTGCCGGTCACTTCGCAGCTCCAGACTTCAGTGTCCAGTTGAATTTTGCGGCCGGAGAACGCTTCGAACGACCTAAAGCGCAATCGCTGAGCGCGAGTTGATCAAATTGAAAGATGATACCTGAATATCTCCCCAGTAACATCGCAAAAGTAGACCTTCTCATCGTCCTGTAGATTTTCGGGAACATCAACTGGAATGAACGGGCCTCGATTTAGCAAAGGCATCGCGAAGCAAAAGTCTCCTACTTCGGTATTTGCATATATGAATTCTAAAAACAACACTTCAGCATTTAAAGGAAGGTTAGGGACGAGTCACGTGACAGGTTCTAGAGGAATTTTTAGAGCAAAACAAGCGATGATTCTCGAGAGATCAAGGACGGGGAAAGAGCAGCGATTTTCTCTCGTCCGGGTTTCGATCGCAGGTTTTGGCGCGCCCGTGAAAAAAGCGTGATTGGCCCCCTCACACAACGCAACTTTCAATAGCGCCGAGAGAATCTACTGGAAGTCAACCAGAAAATCCCCAATAAATGGCCCAGGGCTGGGTGCCACGGAATCTGCGTTTTCCCGTGCAAACACGGTTTTAGTAGGCGCTTAACTGAGCAATCGGGGCGATCGATGGGGACGCTTTTCGTTCTTGATTTTTGAATAAAAAAGCGGTATCAAAAAATACGAAGTATTTTGGTTTTAATTAGTAATGATCCCTGAGGGTACTAATATGTAAAGAAAAAACTAAAATTATAGGCTCACTCCGCTTTGTGTTGGTGCTAAAAACTCACAGTGGCCAGGTACGGGCATGATGTCAAGCTGTGCAAATAGGATGCAAGAGGCTTAGCTTGCTGATTTTGAAGCTATATCACACCGAGCGTTGCTCGAAATTGGTGCTAGGACCAGTCTCTGCAGGACATCGCAGCAGGCTGCGCGTGTCGGTGGGACCGTTGCATCCTATTTGCACAGCTTGACACCTGCCTGTACTTGGCCACTGCGAGTTTTTAGCACCAACACAAAGCGGAGAACCCCAAATTATAAACAATAAGATGGAACCCAAGCACAGTTTCTCAGTGAGGAGTTGGATAATTTAGGCGATTTGGATACGGAAGAATTACGAAAATACGATGACATACCTCCATCAAAATCAGAATGGCCAGGAGATGAGTCCGATCCAGGCGAGTAGTCCTTTGAATAAAACTGAGCGCATCGCCGAGGCCTGTACATTCTTTTTCGTCCTCTCAGCTGACACTTCCCAAGTCACAGATAACTTCCATGAGATTCCAAGACTTGGGAACTTGGCGCCCAGGGGCGCGGGAAGAACGACCGCGCACGCGAGAACTGCTCTATTCTTGAGACCGCGCGGCGTTTCGATTGGTCGACCACAGTCACGCTGCTCCACCAAAAATATATCCTGCATATACTTGCCAATTTTTTGCTAATTATTAATTTTTTCTTTTTGCAGAGAGCCTGAACGAAGAAGAGGCCAGAGCGAAAAGCCCACATGACCTACTACTCTTCGCATCTAAGAATAACCGTGTCGATATTGTCAAAAGTAAGATAAAATTTTCAAATTTGCGAATTTAACTTAAGAATTCAAGATTTCATGAACAGTGGTCAGCTTTCCGCCATCATCAACAAACACGACGAGGACGGGTACACAGCCCTGCATTGCTGCGCCTATTCGAATTCGGTCGAAGTCGCCTTGCTCCTGATCGAGTGTGGGGCAGAGATCGAAGCGCGCAGCGGAGACGGATGGACGCCGCTGCACTCCGCCGCCAGATGGAACAACGACGAAATGGCGAGCATCCTCCTTTCGCGCGGCGCGGATGTCAACTCAAAGACTAACGGAAACCTGACAGCACTACAGCTAGCCGCGTCCGAGAAAGAAATGCTCAACGTTATTTCCGTTCTTGTAGCGGAGCCCCATTGCGACGTTTCAACTGAAAACGGTACGGGCGAGATTAGTCTCCCTTTTCAGGAGATTAGAGCCTCTAATGCAGCAAATGTTGATGATTAATTTTAGACGGGGGTGACAGTGCCCTCGACCTGGCAAGACGATACTGCGGCTTTGAAAGCGCGCTTTTCTGCAGAGACGAGTCTTTCTTCCTTTGAAGATGATTATCAGCCGTCGAAAGATTGAGTTTTGCACGATTTGATGAGCCCCTGCCATGTTCTTATTTTATTTCCCTTTTGACGAATTCCTTATTCAGATTGCTGAAATGAAAGGGTTTGTCTTTCACGGTCTCAAGATTCCTGAAAAACTCACTGAAGAACGACTCTGCGAATATCTTGAATTAGGTTGGCAAAGGAATAAGAACCCGCGGAAGAGGCTGGATGGCTGGAGGAAGTACATAGGCTTCTACATGGGACAGGGGTTCGACACTGACGAAGACTGGAGCGAGGATGATTGGAACGAGAATGAACGAGCCTCCACGCCACTGTCAGTAGAAGATGGCGAGGAACGCAATGAGATGCCCGAGCTCGATGAAATCCAGTCTCAGCTCAGCCTCAATCTCAATCTGCTGGCTCCGGAAACTGAATTAGAAGAAGGAGAGAGCGGGAAAGAAATTAATACAACGATGGAGGCGCAGACTGGAGCTGTGTCGAGTGAAGCTAGCTTGCCCAAACTCGTCCCTCTCCAGACATTCGAAGACACTCCGTCAGAGACGGAAGATGCTCGCTCAAGCGAGCCTGTCCCTCACGTCGAAATCGTCGAGCATACAATCAGTAACTTCGAAAATTCCGCAATCACAGGACTGATCATCTTTTAGAGCTTGAAAAGGTCGGCAATACTCCTTTATCGATGTTGATGGCGGTAGCGGATGCAAAAGTAAAGGAAAAAGAGAAGCTTGCTCAAAAACGAAAGAGTGCCTCTTCCCAGAACGAAGGTTGATCTTTTTCGCTCTGTGTAAATTGATTCCGAGTTTTAGCCGAGCCGGCAAAAAAGTATAGACGCTCAGGAGCTCGGCAAAGCTCAATCATCAGCTTCACCGCGAAGAACAGAACGGCGGTCGTCCGAACTATCCGAAAGTTCGAGCCCGTTTCATCTACACGGCCGTCGTCTCCAGCAAGCTCTGAAGATTCACAGCAGTCGACTCTGACGAACGATTCCGAAGGTGAAAGAATAGACGAATGCTTGAGGAAATAATCGTTAAATTTAGACCAAGAATGCAAGAAGTGCGGCTGGATTGATAGCATCCCGCGCGTTTACCAAAAACAGTTGGGCTTCAGGAAAGGATTCAAACTAACCAATGTCAAATCGCCCGCTGATTTTGACGGTGAAAGTTGGAAACCTGTTCCAGGAGAACTGCGCTATACGAGGATGAACATAAGCACAAGCACCAACTGCTCACGTGGCGAAAGAAGACAAAGCTGACTACGCACAAGTGTTCATTCGGCGAAATTCAAAGCGGCTCAGTTCTAAGCATGGACCCAGAAGGTTGTTCTTCCTTTTTTACTAGAGAGTAAACGAGTTTCATTTTCAGTGAAGCCGCTTCTGGAGTTCGTTGACGAGCTTCTTGGCGAATACGTCCGAACTGCTCCTCGACGGGTCTTCTGCGCTATCCACAAAGGGATGGTGATCGGAATTGTAGCCTGGCAAGGCTGCAAGAGAGCAATGCTTGGCAGGATCGGCGAGGAAGGCCAAATTTGGCAACTAGCAGGTCAGGAACGATTCGACGTCAAGCTTGCTATTGATCGCATTTGGGTCGCTCCTGGTTGGCGACGAAAAGGTGACTTCTATTCGTCTGTTATATTACCACTTCTTCGCGTGAATAGCCAAGGCAAAGTGGCCGAGTGGTCTAAGGCGCTGGATTTAGGCTCCAGTCTCTCCGGGGGCGTGGGTTCGAATCCCACCTTTGTCAAGCTTTTGCTAATCAAATATTTTCGATCGATTCTTTTTCAAAAAGCTCTCGTTCAGGTCTCGCCACCTTCCTCCTCGACAACATCCTCTACCCAGTGAAGATAAAAAAGGAGTTGATGTGTTTCTCGGACCCGACCGCCGACGGCTCCAAATTCGCCACAAAGTATTTTAATGGACGTGTGCTCATCGCAGAATGAAACCTCACAAAACTTAAAGAATTCCATCTATTTCGACCCTATAATTGTTAGCTGATAGTCACTCACACATTCCTCTTGTCAAAAGACATTTTTATTCGTCTCCAAATTTCACGATAGGTAACAGGTAAGTATGCTCACTCCCTAAAACTATCTTATTTTGTCTTACTTAGAAATTACGTCTAAATTTTTTATTCGTTCTGGTGCACTTCACAGATTCCACACTTGTCAGATCAAATGATAGCCACAGAATGCGAACAACTGGTCTTTTAGTTCAACCAACTTTTATTTGTTTCATTTATCATACTTTCATTTATCATACCCCTTAGGTTCCCTTTTCCTTCCATAGTTTTTCCCCACGCTATTTTTGTACGAAGCCGTTGTTCTATCATGTTCAAACTGATTGACAATACACTATATTTAACTAAAATGAGTTGTCTTGATGTGTCGTTGTGTGTCTGAGTGAGAATTAATCAGAATGAATCGAAACGCTCGCAAATGGTGTCGGCAGCTTTCCGCTGTCGCGAGCCAGAATTACTCGGGCAAGAAGGACTCGGGCTCTTCGAGCTTCTCCTTTAGCCCAGTAGTTGCGCCGGTCGTTGCAGGAGTCATGGCGTGCGCTTTTCTTGAAAAGGAAACGGTCCACGCCAAGGAGAATACGCTTTCAGTTAGGGTTAATTGAATCGCTACTGCTTGAGTTCTAGTACCTTAGTTAACCCGACTTTGAAGACTTTCAGTTGAAAGGAGAAGATGCACAGGAGGAAGCGCCTGTGGAGTCGCCTAAGCCCGAAAAGAAAAAGTTCAAGCAGAAACGAATGATGGAGTACGAGAATAAGCTGCGGCTGCACTCTAACCCAGATAAAGTTTTCCGATACTTTGCCACGGTGCAAGCAGTAACAGACGATGACCGGGCGAACGAGGTCTACATGACGCCCAACGATCTGATCAGGTCGCTCACTCCCGGCGGAGATCTCCAGCCAAGCAACTTGCAGCTCGATCAGTACAAGAAGATCAAGACAGAAAGAGTAAGTGACCGATGAAAGAACGGTATATCCTTCAAGTAGACTTTCAATTTCTAAATCTCCTGCCAGCAATTCAATACTAAAGTGCGTTTAGGACGTTACTGTAAGTAGTCGATTGATTCTTTGTGTATTTGGCATTGAGCTAACCTTTGCGAGTTGACAATCTTAACAGAGCATCTTCTCTGCTATTTCAAATTTGTTGATTTTGATTTAGAAAGCGCTGAAAATGTCGAAAAAGGATCTTTCGAAGCTGGAGCCGACCTTTCAGAATCTCGGCGGCTACATCAACTTCGAAGACTACATGTTCATTTTGATGCTGTTGACGACGCCTCGGCGCAACTTCGAGATCGCCTTCCGGATGTTCGACCTCGACGGAAACGGCGTAGTCGACTCTGCCGAGTTCGAAAAAGTCACAGAGACGATCATGAAAGGAAAGGGTTTGGAAATAATCATTTGAATAAAAACTTCGCTTCAATTTGAAAAATCAGTTTTTAACCCCGGGAAAGGAAACACTGTCGTCAAACGTCACCGAAAGAAACGCCAGTCAAATATTTCTGCGTTTTTCTTTGGCGAAGACAAATCCCGTTCGCTCTCTTCGCAGGACTTCACCAAGTTCCAAGAGGAGCTCCAGAAAGATATTTTGAAGATGGAGTACGACTTGCTCGAAAAGGGCGAAAACGAAATCGCCAAAATGAAAGACTTTGGAATGATGTTGATCGAGCACGCGCGCATGGACCCGGACAAGACCAAAAAGATCCGCAAACGACTGAATAAGTTTTATAAAAAGAAAAAGGTATTCTCTTTTCTTTTGTCTTTTGCATATTTTTGGGAAGGTGAAAACTGTCAATGAAGAAACTGGGGAAGAAGAAATCCACTTCGAGCAGAGAATTGACCCGGGTATTCACTTCGACGAAGTTCTGAATTTCTTCAATTTCATAAAATCGATCCATGAAATCGAGATCGCGTTTACTTTCTTCGCCATGGCCGTAAGTAATTCATCTCCCTTTTTCTTTCATACTTCAATCATCCTAGGGCAAAGAAGTCAACGAAGAAATGATGACGTCGATTGCGAAAACAGTTTGTGGTGTCGATCTCAAGCCAGAGCTGGTGGAAATGATCTTCCTCATTTTCGATGAAGACGGGAACGGAACCCTTTCGCACAAGTAAATCAATTTGAAAGTTTAAGTTTATCGAACTCTCAGGGAATTCATCGACGTCATGAAGAAGCGGCTGATTCGTGGGCTGGACTCAAAGCGAGAGCTCGGTGTCTGGAACAAGTTCTCGGCACTGAGCGTCTGTGGCTACGAGGCGTTCGCCCCTGAGTCCGTCAAAGTCTTCGCCGAAACTGTCAAGTCCGGAATGAGCCAAGAAGGAAGCACGAGTTCTTTCGGCGATTAATCGATGCAAACTACCTCGGATATATTTATTTTTCAAGTTTTGACTTCTGTACATACAAGTTTTCCTCTTTCTTGCTACTTCAATTCAATTTTCAATTTCGATTTTCTACGTTCCACTCATTTTGACCATCTTTCCCAATGCGACTTTTTGTCATTTTTAAATGTGACTTACCTCAAATATATATTCTTCTGAAAAGCCGTGTTGATCACGAGCGTTTTAACTTTTTTCTTGCAGTTTCACTTGTCCGTGTTTTTACAGTAAAAGTGGGACAGTATCAGTAAATGTTATTGAAGTTCAGAAAGACATTATGCGATTTCGGAAAAGGTCATGCATTGCACGTAGCCTCTCATTTCGGTTGAATTCTCGAACTTCAGAAATGGGCTTGATGATTTCAAGAATGGCACAAGGGCAGGGCTTTTGAATGTTCGCAAAATGGACTTATTTTTTCCCGTAGTCTTCTTGTAAGCCCTTGAAAGAGACAGAGATAAAGCGAGACGCCCCGCTCAAGAATCTCTATCAGAAAGCACAGGCATCGCTCGTCTTTAGTCTGTTCTCCAAGCTACCGAGCTCCAAAACGCATCCTCTCAACACGCTCAAGGACAAGTACCTGAGTCCAACGATCGACTCTGATATGGGGCTACGAATGTACATTCTTGTGTTGCTATCGAGAATATTCAACCGCGAGCGAGAGAGCTTAATCTACTTGAAGCAAGTCCAACTTGCTAGATTGGCTGAGTTGCTTTTTATCGCGTTTGAAATTCATGGCTGCATACTAGAACCCTCTACGTAAGTTGCGAAGAGTTCAGTAAAATGGAATTTCGCTTTTTAGAGCCCAAAATGATGAGGAAAAACTCGAAATCGAAGACGGTAACCGCCTCTCCGTGATCGCCGGTGATTTTCTGATGGCAGCAGCGAGTTCGCAACTAGCTGAAATCGAAAATCAAACCGTCGTCGCTCAAATTTCAAAGTCTATTGCTGATATCTCCTCGGGAACTCTGTATGATCTTTCTGTGCTAGGCTCAGAAGAGGAATGGCTACACGCAAAGTCTCAAAGGGATCTATCTCTCGTAAAACGGGCTGCCTGGTCGACTATAATTCTACAGGAAGAACAATTCAACGAAGAAAAGCTAATAGGTTTTTTCAAAACATAAATCCACTTTTGATGTGACGGTTTTAGGCAAGGATGTAGCCGATCACTGTGGGAAGTTCGCTGCTGATTTAATGTTGTTAAAATGTATTAACGATGACATCTCGAAATATACTTCTGGTCAGACTGAAGCTAGAAACCTCTTGCCCACTCTTTACCAGGCAAATGGATTGTCAAGTGCCAAGTAAGATTTATTGAACAACATTATTCTTTTACTTTTCAGGATATTATCAGAAGAAGTGTATGATCGCTGCACATCATCTCTTGAAGTTTTACCTGATTGTAACGAAAAGAAGATTTTTGAAGATTACACTAATATGCTAAGGCTACCGAAATAGATTCTCTGTAAATTTAGGTTGTGTCTGTGTTTTACTGATAAGTGCTACCGTGGTCGACTGTGTTCTGAACTCATAAATTCAATAAAGTGATTCTACCTCAGATAGTTCGAAAAAAGTATTCTTGACGATGTAAAACAAGAAGCTTTTACTGTTTTTTGATATTTATTATTTACAACAGGGGTACGATGAACTTGCATGGGAAATAAAGGGAGAGTATCTGAAAAGGAACATCAGTTTAAAAGAGGGTAGCCTGGCAGCAGTTGTTCGTTGCTTCAAGTATCCAATGAAGGTTTTTCCTTACCGATAGGAAAACCGCAGGCTAAACGTATGTTATATCTTGAAATTATGCATTTCTGTTACCGTATTTGAAGAAAGAACGCAGTTATCTGGACCACCAGCGACTAGTCCAGCGATCTTGTAGTTTCCGCCGATCATGCTTGCCACCACAGAGCCTTTATCGTTGTGGCAAATTGGACTCCCGGCGTTTGACGAATCGGAACCTTGTTCCGCGCACAAGGAAGAGGAGAAATCAACGTTGCCATAGTTGTCCTCGCAAACTTTCAATTTCATCAAGTTGAAATTAGATCGTTTCATTTCTTCAGAATAGGATCCAGATGAGTCTTCTGCTCCGTATGAAAAAGAGAAAACTTCATCATTTACGGCTGGATTTAATGAGCTCTTCGAAGGAAGACAAATGGGAGCATTTGACACGGAGTTGATCTGTACTACGGCGATGTCATTGAGAAGTCTAGAATACAATTAGCGAAGGAACAGTTATAATATTGTTACCTGTGTCGGCCGTATGAGACGCTTTGATACAGTGGATGCTCTTGAACTTGTCTGATAGTTAAAGCCGTCGCAGATGAAAGGTCTGTTCCATTTGTGATGTCAGTGTAGGCTTGAATATCAGAAACATCATCTGCCAGGGAACGAAGACAGCTAGCTGTTGAAAGGATCCAGCTTGAGCAAATGAGTGCCCCTCCGCATCGACTTCCGTTTGGTCCTTCGAAGATAACATTCCAAGAGTGTTCGGTAGCATTTTCAGAAGCAACTCCGCATTCGTTATTGGCGATGTCCGGAACGCACTCGTGATCATCTGTTCTGTCAAAGTCGATTGGGGCGAAGCAAGTTGAATCGTCGTCCTCTTCGAACTTTTTCATAAGCAAGCTGTTCATTGGATTGCCCCCCATCATCATAGACATCATCAGTGCGTCGCTTGAACTTCCGCTAGAACTAGAAAGACCATAACCGCCCAAGCCGGACAATGCGTTGAAGCTACTGCTCGAACCCGTCATTCCACTCAACATCATTTGTAAGGGATCCGTTGACGCCTTGCTTCCACCACCGAGCAAAGACATCATGCTGTTCATGCTTGAAGAAGAAGAGCCTCCAGAAAGCATTGACATCATATTATTCATGTTCGATGAAGAACTACTTCCGCCACCTAAGAGAGCCATCATTGGATTCATTGTTGTTTGTGGTACAACTGGTTGCATAGATGCCGCTACAAAGTAGATAAATAAAATAATTGAGAAATAATGACTTTACCATTGTTATTCATCATAATCATTTGCATGATCATTTTCTTGTCATTTCGCTCGTAACAGCAGCCAAGTTTTTCACATTTAGATTGATTTTTCTTCTCAAGCATAATTCCCATGGAAGGGTTGGCCATCATTTGAAGCATCATCATTTTTTTGGCGAGACTTTCTCCGTCTTCTTTGACGTAGCCTTTACACAGTTGACGTTTTTTGGTGGAAATCTGGCATTCGCCTAAAATGTATTAGAATCTTTCTTGTTCTGTGTATTTTACCTAATCCATCGTTGATTTGTTCGATCGCTACTTTCGACGCTTTCATGTTTTCAATCGCTTCCTTGCAGTAGAAACAGTCTTCGCCATGGTAGATACATCCGTTCTTGAAGCATGACGCCTTGTTCCAAATTCTGTCGGTTCGGGCGAAACAGTTGAATTTCTGATTGAGGACGGATTTGCGACCAATGCACTTCTCGATGACGGGCCAATCGACTAGTTCCATTTCAAGAGCCATTCCAGGCATTTTCCAGTTCTTCGCTTCCTCCTCTTTCAAGATCTGGAGGGAAGTTATCAAACCGAACATATACTCAGCATCAGGGACGAATCCACAAATATCTTTAAATTTTTTCTCGTCTTCGTTCGAAAATCGTGTTTTTCGCTGTTTCGCAAAGTTCTCTTCGAGTTTCTTGCATTCCGACGACGTTTTTTTCTTCTCCATTCGAGATTTCTTTAGTTTCTCTTCGAGTTTAGCTTGCAGGCTCATTTGAACATTTCCCGAGCTATCGATAACTTCTGTTTTACCACCAGCGAGAATCGTCGTTGTTTTTTCCTGTTTTTCCTTCAGTTTGTCCATAAGAAGCTTCATTCCTGCTTCAGAGCTCTGCTGAAGATTGGGGTCATTCTCGGGATCGTAGTTTTGCCATTGGATTGAGCCACAGTTCAGTTTGTCCATTGTTAATTCTCGAACGGTGTCGTTCATCGTCTTTGTCGTCGAAAGTTGAAGACAAGTTTTTTTCGTGTAAGAGCTCATCAAGTCGCCGTGGGCAACAACTTTATCGGGATCTTCCTTCATCTTGGTTTGCTGAGTAGTTTCTGCTGTGGTGGTGGTAGTTGGCGTTGCAGTCGTTGTTGTCTTCTTAACACTGCGGGCGCCATTTTGGAGATCGAGCTTCAGTTTGAGCTCTTGTAAGTTGGCCTTGATTTGTTCAGGAGCAAGCGTGTACTGAGAAGTTTTGACAGGCGCGCTGGTTGCAGGAATGGCTTTCGTGATCGGAACGACTTGAACAAGAGAAGGTGGAACCGTTGAAGGAGCAGCCTGAAGTGGTCTGTAACACTTAGGCACGATTCCTCTGCTTGTTTGGTATTCGTTAGAATCGTAGCAACAACCGGAAAGAAGGCACGCATCTCTAGTGTTGAATTTTCGGTAGTTCTGCACAATCGGACATTTTTGACGCCAGCTTGGAGAAATTATCGAGCAAGTCGACGTTGGCGACTGAGCTTGAGAAGGTAGCACTGATATGGCTACCAGGGATAATTTGACGAAATTCGCCATCAAACTACAAGGCTGTTATTGAAGGAAAAGTCTCTACTTTTATGCTAGTCGGATTTCTGGGAATTTAACTTACTTTTTGCGGGTTGGTTAAGTTTCTCTGAAATGCCACTTGTTTGTTGCTTTTGATGGATGACTAAACAGTTTGAGTTATAGTTGTGATAAATTTCAAGAAGGCCTTGCTGCTTTTATAAGATTTTTTGGCGGCGCTGCAGTACACTGTTCGCTCACCTGGAACAACCTAAATAGATACTGATCCCTTTTCGATGATTATAATAACAAAACTGCGAAATTGGGGTACTTCTGGAACTGTTCATGCTGCACCTGCTGATTGCGCATCTCTAACCTATATACCTTTCCGATAAGGAGAATAAGCCTATAACTTCTAGTCAATCTTCTTAGCATCTACGGTACAGGCCTTGTTGTTGAATTTCGTTGACTTAGAAATATTATTATCTTTTTTCAATCCATTTATTCGTTTTGCCATGAAATTTTGGAGATATTTGGAAAGATATGATTGTGTTGTTTGGAAAGTACACGGAAAGACGTTAGGGTCACGAAAAGATCAAATAATTCCGAGAATTTTTAGTATATTTTTGTTTCCGTTCTGTGAGCAGAATGTTCAAATAAATACAGCATCACAAGATGGTCTCAATTCTGAGATTTGCATGAGCGCGCAACTTCTATCCACATCCAAGCAAAAGTCGTCGATGCATAGATTTTAAGTGCTCAATTCTAGTGCCCAATAAATATTTTCAAATCTTAAATGTACGAAAGTTGGGCATTTTCCCCGTCCCTTTTTTCCCAGGAATTGGTGGAAATCACATCCAAGGAAATTTCACGTTTGAAATTCTCTCGTCTCAAAATGGTGGCAATTTTTCAAAAATTTCCCTATAATTTTAGTTTTCAAACCGATTTTAATAATCCATTAATCGCCCTCTCAAGTTTAAAAAGTACACTTATCCAGCCATTTTATGATTTAGCAGAACAATAGAGACAAAGGAAATATAGATTTCGAATTAATTTGAGCAATTGAAAGTTCTAGAACCGTGGCGTTGGGGTTTTCCGTTGGGCATGTGTTACGAATGCGTCAGTCAAGAGGGAGCACGCAAGAGGACGTCCGAAGGTCAAGCTTCGTAAAAAAAACTCTAAACTTTTACGCGAGAGTCATTCATTTGCGCAGTTTGCCAGTGTTTACAGAATAGTCGTCGACCAATAGATCTCCGGGTCCGCCCATTTGCAACGCAAAAAGGGCACAAAGAGGTCCACACGTTAAGAACTTTTTGATGAACGAACAAGCGATCCTGCAACTTAGAGAGCAGACCGTCCAGATTGTCAGCGCCCTCAAAGCTTTTGTCAACGAAAAATGCAAAAATGAGGATAAATTCAGCCTAGGTAATTATAAAACACAAAAAAGAAGAATACATTATTGGCTGAAAAATCAAAATTTTTTGTTAAAAATTTTAGTCTATTTTCGTCTATTTTCTGAGAATAAATCATATCAGGTCCTTATGTTCAAAATTAGACTTCGAAACTATGTTTTTTCGTTATTTTCAAGGAACCACAAACCTGATGTGTTTGTTTCTCTCTGAGTTCGGTGAAGGTCGTGTGTACTCGTGTCTTTGGAAAAAATGAAACGTCGGAATTTGATCGAAAAAGTTCGCGACCTTTTTCCTAGCGCGCCAAAGTACACGCACACCTGCTGCCATCTGTCTGTAATTGAGCGGAACATTTTATCTGTTTTTGCAACGCATTTCTTCAGTGTTGAAAACCGCTGGAAGTACCTTTCTTGCATGCTATGTCTACGACATTGTCTACAATCATGACAAACATTTCACCGATCGAGTCAAGGCAGTGGTCATTCATTTAGGTTTTTATTAATAATTATTTCATCTTTGTATCACCAAAAGACACAATTCTTTCAAAAACTACGCGTTCTGCCCGTCATTGGTCCAAAAATCAAAGCTGAGGTCGAAAAGGCGAAAAGTTCAGTGAGAAACAACAAGGACTTGTACAACCCATCCTATTTGCTCGAGTTGCCTGCCAAGTCAAAGACGGTAGACGAAATGAAACTCATTGTACAAGGTATCAAGAATGCGTTTCGACTTTTTCCAGCTTCATTTTTAAGATTACCTCGAAATGGACACGATTGATTGGAGAAATGGAAGAGTGCAGGGAGCTGTCTACGACCACGACGCAGATCTTATCGAAATCTCAGCGAAAGCATATGAAATGTTCATGTGGTCAAATCCACTTCACGCGGACGTTTTCAAGGTAAAGCTAAAGCTCCTTTCGAATTCGAGTTCATGAATATCCAGGGAGTCCGAAAAATGGAAGCAGAAGTTCTCGCCATGTGCTTGAAACTGTATAATGGCCCGAAGGACTCTTGTGGCCTGTTCACATGCGGAGGCACGGAATCTATTGGGCTCGCAGTTCTCAGCGCTAGGAACATCGCCCTAGCGAAAGGCATAAAATGGCCTGAATTGATTATGCCTGCTACTGCACATCCCGCTTTTGACAAGGTGAGGTTACTTAAAAATAGCTCTATATTAACATCTTTCTGAGGCCTGTGACTACTTCCGAGTTAAAAAGATCAAAGTGCCTGTTCACCTAACTACATATGAAGCCGACGTTCGAAAGATGAAATCAGGATTGTTATTTATCTGAAACTCATAATTTCACTCAAAAGTAGTCGAAATACACCTTCTTGGATAACTTTATAAAAGCTATCAGCAGTTCCACTTGCTTACTTGTCGGATCTGCACCGACTTACCCTCATGGAGTCTATGATGATTTCGCGAAGATAAACGAATTAGCTAAAAACTACAATATTCCATTTCATGTCGACTGTTGCTTGGGTGGCTTTATAAATCCATTCGCTGGTAAGGTGCTCTCAAGATAGCAAAAGTAAATCAAACTCGTAGCTGCGGCTGGATACAGGATCCCGACTTTTGATTTCCGGCTCAGTCATGTGACCTCGATCTCATGTGACACACATAAATATGGGTATTGTCCAAAGGTAATTATAGTTTGCATTCAAGAAAGCAAATATTTGAAGGGGTCGTCTGTTGTTATGTTTCGAACGCCCGAAATACGCCGAGCAGCAATCTACAGTTGCACTGACTGGCCTGGTGGAGTTTACGCCACGCCAACTTACGCAGGAAGTCGTTCGGGAGCAAGCAGTGCAACTACATGGGCGTGCATGCTTAAAATTGGGCATGCAGGAACTGGTTCCAGCTTTTTGTGATCCGGAGCGAGACCAACCGGGTAGCGTCAACTGGAACCAAATAAAAAGGCTACATTGAAAGAACAAAGTCCGTTCTCGATGCTGCACGGGCTTTGCGAGAGGGAATAAGTAGAATCGAAGGGCTGAAAATTATGGGAAAAAGCATCGGCACTGTTGTCGCATTCACATCCAATAAGGTCAATATCTTCCAGCTTATGCACGATCTTGCTTCAAAGAAAAAATGGATTTTCGGACCACTGCAATTTCCATCTGGGATTCACATCACTGTAACGCGAACGCACACTAAGTCCGGAGTCGTGAACACAATTTTGAAGGTAAAACTTGGGCTATAGACTCTATATAGTACAGAGCTACGATTCATCAAAATAATCTAAGGACATTGAAGAGCTAAACGCAGCGCTCTTAGCTGCGGGCTCTGAATATGTGAGTGACGCAGTAGCGGTTTATGGACTCGCACAGGTAATGGTTTTTGATCGGTTGCATAGAATCAAGCTTATTTTCAGACAATACCAGATAGATCTATCGTCGGATCTATAGCTGCAACTTTTATTGAGACCTGTCTGGATACAAATGTCCAGCAAATTGCTGAAGAAGCTGAGGATACAAAAAGAGGCTGAAAGCACAGTGCTGAATATCAATCACTTCATTTTGATTCGCTTATTTATTTTAACATCTAAGCAAAATCCTTACGAGTATGTACAAAATAAACCTGCCTCAGAGAAACCTTGTATTTTATTTCATAGAGCAAGAACTAAGTTGTTTGAGAGCACAGTTTTCTTTATGATTCGTCGCAGCTTTTTTTAAGTGTCAATAAAGAAATGTCATTGACTCAGCATCAAGTACCTGCAATTTATTGACACTATCCTTAATCTAAAAATTCCTATAGAAGCTCTAGTATGTTCGCTGTAGTAGTTTTGCATCATTCTTTTTGGGAACGGATCTGCACAGGGCTGTTGTCCGAAGTCCTTAGTCTTTTAAGGAAAGAGTAAAATGATAAAGTAATACCATTACGGAAGATTCAATGATGGAAACGGACGCAACAGATGGACATAATGACTCGACTTCTTCGCTTTCAGCTTCAGCTTCGTAGCTCACGTCACGGATCTCGTCCAAGTCTTGCTGAAAGACGACTACAATTTAGGCGAGTATAGTTTGTCAAACCTGAGTAGAGTAGTCCGTGGTAGGACTTTCATGGTAATCATTTTCTTGCTTTCTGAATAGAATTTTCATTTTTCTTTTGATTAAAAATCGTTGAAAATTTCAACTTGAAATTACCGAAGAGAAAGGGCCCGTGCTATCGAGTCGCAGAAATTGTCATCTGCCATGAAAGATTTACTCCTTATTGTTGAAAGAGTATGTGCTCGATTTAATTTTTCGAAATTCACGTTGTCGTTATTCAGATTGCTTGTTTGTATCTGATTCTCTTTTGGGAAGTATCTGTTGCTGAGTAGTGATCCTTTCTGTGGGCTTTTTCGGAGAGAGTCGTTGTTGATTTCATCGTTATTTGGTGTCTCCTTGACCGATGAAGAGTTGGACGAGGAAGCAATCAAAACACGTTCACGTGGCTCGTCTGGAAGTTCTCGCGTCTTGCCTTCGTTCAGCGTTGTATAAGAAAGAGGGCGAACAAACACTTTCGAAGAGTTTCTTTCTGTGCAAATTAGGCACGCGATAAAGATGTACAGTGAACAGCCGATCCCTAAATAACTTTGAAAAACTATCGACAAAAAGAACCTCACCGTAAATAATCATAGAGGCCCAGCAAAGGTAAAGAGCAAGTCCGTGTTCAAAAATCGGTCGAGACCGAGGGTCAACAGAGAAGTAGTCTCTCGTCAGAATGTGATTTATCTGCTTTTGATTAGGTAAATCTGCAGTCGGGGCTTTAAAAAGAATCGGGAAGACCGTCCCCGAAGCTCCAATAAGCATAGCACTCGCAGAGAGACACAGCGAAGCGACTGCTTGAATTATGACTGTAGTTTTGAATTTTCGCGTACAACAAAGCAATCCGTTTCCAACTATTGCGAAGATATTTCCAATGAGGCCGGTTATAATCGATAGTTGCAGAAACATCCTCGAGTAGAGGACGTAATCTGGTTCATCCGTGTCCGCAAACTTCCAGATCTCCAAGTTGTTCCAGAACGCGCAGTCTGTAGAGCGCTCTGTAGACTTACAAATGGACCAGAGACCGATTTGAACCTTTTTCGATCGGCCAAGAAATGCAGCTGACCAGTTGGGCATGATAAAAACGCTTAAGGATAGCAAGAAAGCACACATCGTAAAAAATATAGCCAATGATTGCAATCCTAAGAGATTTTAAAGAGATAGAAAATTATTTTGTTACCGATGAGAACAGTCGACAACATTTTATTTTTCGGACGCACGCGGGCCACATCGAAGCTCCTCTCTGACATGGGAAAATGAAAAATTTAAAGGGGCTGAAATAACTGGGAAAAATTGGCACGGGAACAGTGTAGATAGCGTACAGACAGCTGGTGTTAATCAGTTGTCTCTGAGGCGGGAAACCCTTTTTCCTCAATCAACTGGGTCAATTATACCCACTCCTTTTATACTGATAGGGCATCTCATAGACAATGTTTGAGAAGAGTTTGATCATGTAAAGCAATTTTTATTGTGACAAGTTAAACTCAATAATAAATAGCATCATTTCTTGGTATTCGACTTGTTTTTTTCTTCTGTCATAGTTTTGAGATCAGTTGCTTCATTTTTGGGTCATCCGTTTTTTGTTTTGTTTTTTCTTGGGAAATGAGGTAGATTGTTGAACGTTTAGGAAGGCAGATTTAGGTGTCTTGTCTGGACTCATGCATAGCATCGTTATGGAGCGCTTGATTTCTAAGTTTTTTTCAAAAAGTTTAAAGATAAGTACCTTTTATGGGATGGTATCCTCGCTGCTGCTGCAAAAAATCGTGTAGGACACGCTGCTGCAGCACTTGATCGAACTCGTATTGATGTATTTGAGTTGGAAATCGAACTAGGATTGCTTGCATCAAAGACGCTGATAAACGGCAGCTCTTATAAAGGCGTTAGATATAAGAAAGCATTACATAGTGAACCTGTGGAATTACTGTGCCCTCCGATAACTGCGAACTTCGTACGAGCGACAGGGAGAGCATTCAAGCCATGTCTTGGGTAATTAAGGTGGCCAACAACTTTCCATTTCGATTTAATGGGTACGTGATTGTGCTCAAGCATCATGATTTCTCTTTTTATCCTGAAAAAATTTTTATTGCGTCATCTTAAAGCAGCAGTCTACTCTTTTGTAACTTGATCATAGCCGCCAACAAGATAGATGTCAATGTCAAGTACGACAGCGGTGGCGCTTGCGATTCCACGATTTATCTCCGGCTCAGGTCCGCGATGCCAAAAGTCCGCGGGCTGCTTGGTTATATGCATGAAGTGGACCGTGTCCGGGTCGTCGAGAGATTCAACATTTCCGCCGATGAGAAAGAGTCCAGTCGGAGTGACAGCGGACGCTGCGTAGAGTCTATAGTTGGGGGCGTCGCTTTCTTTTTCCGTTTGAAAATTGTTGATTTACATTTGACGAAAGAAAAAGTGATTTCCGTCGAAGTGTGAGGGTGCTCTAGGCGTTTGATGTTACCCGCCTGGGAACACTTGACCTGTTTGTCTAGGGCCGCATTGGTGAGCACCAACACCAAAACAGGCGACTATTATTGGGCAGAACCGTGACCGAAAATTTCAGGGTCGTCCAATTTTATTATTAAAATTTGCTTTATACACAATAAACGGCCTCTATTTAGGAGTTCAAACGCGGTCCCTGCAACCCAGTGTGTGTCGCCTTGTGCCCAGGAGTCACAGCTTTTGTAAAGTACCTTCTCGCCATTGTTGTCGAGCGAACTTGGCATGAGATTATCAACGAACTGTCACGTGTCACTGTGGTTGATAATTTCGACCTTTCCTTCCGGTACATGTCCAAATGCGTCCGCGGAAAACGCCACAGAATGCACCGTACCGCGCTCGTGACAGCCCGACATCGCGAATCCAGCCGCCATGGTGGTAGCGCTGAATCGTATATTAGCCGCTCTCATTGATGGAGAAGGATACTAATTAGTGAAAATTTGGCGGCGCAAGCGAAAATTTTTGTGGCGTGAAAAAATGTCTAAAAGAAGAGAAATTCTCGCTGTCGGGGAGATGGATGCACATTCCAGCTGTCGCCTGCTTAGCATTCCACCGACGCTTGCTTCATACCAGTCGAGGTGCTAAATCAATTAGCACCTGCTAACCAATATTGCAAAGGTCAAATACACAATATCCTCAAGAGCAGCTCCTTTCTATAGAACTTACCAAGTGATCGCCCGTAGGTCCCTTCTCAGTGTTTCCGCCGATGATGTGAAAGTGATCTTCGTATAGAACGCCGCACATTTGGCTGTGTCTACTCGACATTAGCTTTTGGCTTTCCACTGAAATTGACATTAGGACCAGCGCCATATAATTTTCTAATCTAAAGTGATGAGCCTGCGAGACCCTAAAATCACGGTCATTAAAAAATTCACGCTGGCGTTTATGAGATTCGCGAAAACGAATTCCAATATCAAATCGTATTTTGAAAACAAATTTTAATGGTGCCCAATACACGTCATTGCGATTGCCTTTTCAAAAACCACACCCTTAACACAAAATTGCTCGCAATTTCAATCCAAAAGTCGACTTAGAATAAACGGTCAGTGAAAAATTCATTTTGATCTTGCGATTAGCAGCCAAAACGGAAGCCATCCCCGCTCAAAAGGCCATATTTTCAGTGAGATTGCCTAGATCAGAGAGGCAATTACTTCTAATAAAAATGACAACAAAATCGAGCGCATACAAATTTTCATTTTCCATTGGAACTTACTTGTTATTTTGTTGCCGGAGTAATTTAGAGTTAGGGAATCATCGCGCCAATCCCATTGAGGTTTTCCATCTTTGTATCCATTCTGAAATGAGTTTTACAAATTAGAGCCATTTTACAATTTACCTGGAAAAGACCCCCTGCGACGATCAGTTTGACTTTTTGAGAAGTTCGACGAGGACGAACAGCGGGCTGAGCGATGATTTGAACGTTTTGCTGTGAAATGTTCTGTTTTGATTGATTGTGAGCCTTGTTTTGGAGAGTGTTAGTTTTCCCGAAAAGGGTTTCTTCTAATCTTTACCGCGGTTCAAAAGCAATTGCCCGCCTATTCAGGTGCATTCAGGCTCCGAACCGCGTTCCTATTCATCCTTTGTGTGAGGTTGTATACTTCCTCGTCCTGAATTAGCCGACCTCTCTCCAGTCCGTCTAATCGTAACTAAATAAACCTTTAGTAACTCTGCCGAAAATCGACTATCAACGAATATTGATGCACTCGAGCATTTTAGATAATTTAAACCTGGTTTTTCTCTAAGTCGGCGATGCGCTGTTCTAGCTTGTCGATTTCGTCCATTAGATTCCCTTGCTCATTTCGTATTTTCCTAAATCATTTAGGGAAGGAACGCAGTCAGTGCTACCTGTATCTTCTCCAGATGTGATCGTTTTTGAATTTATCTCTAGTCCGCGCGTCTCCAAATATGCTTGATAGCAGAAAAGAAAAGTGAAAAACATTCTCAAGTATTTGTTCTGTTTTTGTTTCTATTATCTGTTGATTATTAAACAGTAGGTCAATTAGTCAAGGAGTATTTTAATCACAATTAAAGGCTCGAGCAACTCAACACTGCGCGAGTTTGGCGCCCGCCAGGTCAATTTCATTTTACGCGCCAATAGTAGATGGCGCTCGTGCGCATGTCACTTCTTTTGGGATAATATTACTTCTCAGTATTTTATTATAAATATTATTAATATGATATAAAATCTATTTACCAGTTTGGTATTGGCGCGGAAATATAAATAATGTAGAAATACGTTCGAGCGAATCTCTTAGGTCATACCCATTAGAAATTTCTCGAGAATCTCAGAGTGCTCATGAGCTCAAAACTGACAACAAGACGTTCCATATTTCACTCACTTAGATTATCGTAAGGCTTCACGGAGCTTCGGTGATTTTTATCGTGAGCGATAGTTTCTTTCGTCTTTTGCAGGGGCGAACATTTCCTCGATATAGAGAAAATGAGTTGGGCCACCGCTGCTCTTAAGTTTTTTGGAGCACAGCTAGAAGAAACACAGGTACCCTTGAAACAGCCTGAAAACTGTGGAAAGATTGAATTAATGTAGAAAACCGCGATCGGCAATGCTGACTTCAAATGCCCCCGCTATGCTCCTGCACAGGCAAAGCAAATTCTAGAGTCAGGCAGTAGAATCGACTGGACGCAGATTGATTGGAAACTGCATGGTCCCAGCGCCAGAGATTTAGCTATCGAGTCGGAGACTCCAAGGACACGTTTTATTACCTAGATTTGATTTTTGTTTCCACATCTTTAATTAATTCGAAGAGCCGGACAAATAGAATTCCACTAGAAGCTGATTTCTCTATCATCTTGACTATCAGCATCCGAGTAAAAAAAAATACCGAAGCTTATAAAACGCAATAAAGATGGACGAATCCAGAGAACTATACACCATCCGGTTCAGAACTATTTATCCCTTACAGATTTGCACGAGATCACTTTACTAATGTTACGATGAATCTGGTCACGGAATCGATCGAAGAAATGTCAACCTATCTTGGAGGGTGCATTCAATTTTACGACGACTCTGAGACACAAAAATACGCAGACAAGGGATTTAATTGGAACCGTACTTTTGGAACTGATCATATTCATAATCATGGAATCGGTTTAGTTCCCTTTTGAAGACCACATTAACGTCCGGCAATATGATGAAAATTGGTCGCACGACACTGGTTGCTGGTCATATGTTGGGCATGTTGTCAATGGAGCTCAAGATCTCAACTTAGGTCCTGATTGTCTAATTAAAGGTGCGCTAGAAAACGAGTGTGGCTGTTACAATATTCTTGAGTAAGGAAGGTTGATATCCTATACTATTCAAAGGTACGATCCAACACGAGTTTTTGCACGCTTTGGGCTTCTACCACGAGCACACTCGAGCAGATCGAGACGACTACGTGAAGGTTTTTCCGGAGAATATCATTGACGAATACGAGATCAACTACGACAAGTTGCCTTGGAGCCTTTGGGCGAATGTGGGTTCGCCTTACGACATAGCGTCCGTCATGCATTACGGCTCTACTTTCTTTAGAACACTTGAAGCTCAGCAGGCTGGTCTCTATGCCATGACTGATATGGCAGACCAACCGTTCGATGCGCAGAGAGAAAGAGCTTCTAGCATTGATATGCACCAGGATATGGTTGTCGAAATTTAACTTTACGTAAGAGACAGTAAAAGGAAGACATCTGGAAAATTCTTACTGATTAATTCAATAATTTCCTATCAGATTGCTTGTGTCACAGTTGGACAACTGAATCGAAAGCTAGCTCATATCTATCCAGATTCCTGCGAAGCCATGAAGACAGCACGATTTACTGCTTGTAATAATGGCCATCCGCTTCTAGGCGATCGAATCTGCGACGGATACAAGGAATGGGATCATAAAAAGAGAATTAATAATTTAAACCCTTCTAAAAAGTGAGTTCAATTTTTGATCACAATGCAGGATTGCCTTGACCACTCTGACGAAGGGAACATGTGCATGCCTTACAACGGTTGCTGCGATAAGGAATGCGTTACTCTCAAAATAAGAGCTCGTTTTTATTCGTTTTCTTTGGAAGAATAATTTCCCAAGAACAGAGGAATATGATTCATTCGGAACGGACTAGACATTTTGTCCATTATGACATTCAATGCCGGGTAATTTATGGGCGACGTAAAGATAACGTAACGAAAGACTTTCGATATTGTCGGTTGGGGCGATTTCGCTGTTGATTTCCCCGGAATGCGATTTATGGGTCTCGAAGAAGAGTTCCAGAGACCTTGGTATAGCAACGGCGTTTACTCGATGGTGTTTGGAAGATATGTTGGTGGCTCTCAAAACTGTGGGTCAGATCTCGCAGGTAACGAGTACTGGATGCTTTTCGAGAAAACGTTCACGAAGAATCCTGGATGTTCTGAGTTTAATAACGCCGTCGAGGTAATATAAACAGAGATATATACAGTTCTTCGATGCCTATAAGAATATATTGCAATAAAATTGGCATAATTGCCTTCCAGGATGCCCTTCATCGAAAATACAGCACCGACACGTCTTTTTGTCAACCTTCGGATATGCTAAGAAGTAATTGCTATGGGCAAGTAAGGGAATACTCAATGATGTAACTCAAAGCTCGTGATGTCATTATTAAATATAAATCATTATGGCCGCTATAAAAATTGCGAAAGCAAAGGGTACCCTAATCACAGGTGGAACTACAACGACAGAAGAACCCACAACGACAGCAGCGCCGCTTGCTCCGCTGAATTCACTTCTCCCTGAATCAACTTTGCCTGATGGAGTAAGCATAGCCGACCCATCTACATGGTCTATTTGGGAGAATATTCTCCTCCTATCTGCCCAGGAAATGGTTTAGATCTTTTCGATCAGTTTAAACTTTAAAGCATGTATAAGTGCATAAAATTGATCATGTAAAAGTCGCTTAATCCAGATGTGGAACGCGTGGAAATTACCACGATTATTTCACAAATTGGCGGCGTCAGGCATCACAGGAACGGGCCTTTACCGTTTCCACCAATCTTTATGAGAATGGAAAAAGAGCCCGTAAACAGTCGAACTCTAGTAGGGGCCAATTACGTAGTTGCTGCAACATTTTTCTTCACAGACGAGTTCTCTGCCACTGCTAATACTGTCGTTGGATTAAATTCTAATGCTCTTACAGAGGGAATTGAGTTCGACAGGGAACGTGTTTGGATATTCTTAATGACGTTTGATATAGTTCATATCATATGGACGATATAATATTGTTGGTAGTTGATTTAACGGCAGAAACAAACTCGGAAAAGCTTCGTCACAACCAATTCAATCGAGTTTCCATTGGCACCAGAAGCCACGACGACTACGGCCGATCCGAATGCAACAACGACCACAACCCAGACAACAACAACGACTACTCAAGTGACGACAACAACAGCTCGTAAGTTTCTATCCTTGATTTTTTGAGAATGCGGATCTTAAACAGAAACACAAGAATCGATTGAGAAAGGTCGTATATTTTTTCGAAAGGAAATAATTTACAAGTAAGATTTTGTGTTGAAAGCGAAATCGCTATTCAAAGAAAGGACAAAACTCTTGATCTTCTGATTTGTATCGTCTGAAGTTCGGCTGGACTTATCGAGCTGCGCCTTCTCGGGCTGGCTGGTTTAAATGTTCTGGATTCTTTCATCAGTCGGTGGTACCCGCTAGCTGTGAATGCTGAGACTGCTGTGATGAAGAAAAAAATAATTCTCATTTTTCTGCTGTGCTTAGTTTGTTCTTGTTTTCTCCTATCGAGAAAGAGTGACTATCGAATGCAATCTCTGTCGTATTTATACTTTGTTGCGAGCAAATGTTTTGGGGAGGGCGCTGCTGATTGCGGCTTCCCGTTGTTCCATTTTAGGAAAATATAATCATCTCATATCCTCGAGGGCGCTACAAACCTGCCCGAGAGCGAGTTTCTCGTCTAGGCCGGAAACTTCTAGCTATGGCAAGATTTTTCAACGATTCGAAGGGAAGTTAAACAAGTTTTCGAAAGCGATCAACAGGTGTAATCGAAAAATAAGCTCCGGTTAGATTCTTTATCATAACAGTATTAGATTTTGATAATAGCACGAAAAGACTTTCACGATTACGATTTACATTTTATTCTTTTCTTCTTTGAGGATTTTTTTCTTTCTAAAGTCGTCTTCTCATGGGGGGCTTCAACATTCAGTGATTACATTATTTAAAGTGTTTTAATGACCAACCATTTGCACGACGTCAATGTTTGGAAAGGGGTCGTCGAGGTCGATGATTTCCGTGGCGGTGCTAGAGTATTCGCTCAACTGTAAGACACTGAATTTGTGAGCTTTTTACCTGTTTAAGGCAGATCTGTTATTTGTTCGACGCACAATGACCCTCGTGTTCGTTTTCGAACGACATCGTAGAAATCCGACTGAATAAAAAAATAATCTACTGGATCGCGTAAGAGTTACCTATCAAGACGATACAGAGGAATGGCAAAAGAATAATTAGCATGGTCAATTGCTTAAATTTGGTTAGTCACTACAAGTTCAAAACTAAAGACATACAGATCCAGTAAGAGTATCCCAACTCTTGACTTTATTACTGTCCAGCATTCCACCACCTACGGGGTTAGTCGCTGAGACGATGAATGAATTCAAGTTGCTCATCTCTTTTAATTGATGGTGGTTCACGCATAGAAATTTTGAAGCAGTTTCTTGTCTAATAAATATTAATTCAGAAATGGAATTTTTCTATTCTTACTGGTCAACAATCAGCGGTACATTCAACGCATCAGATCCTATCGTCATTTTCCTTATTTCTATCAAAAAATTGCTTGTTTTCTTTTCTTCAAGATCCGGTATTATAGGAAATCTATATCCCACCGGCACTTTAAGATGGCTCAAGAAAAATAAACTCGCATAGTTTCCATCGCCAAGAAATCAACGTATATATTTTTGCTTGCCAGTTCCTTTGTTCATTCTCAAGAACGTCATAATATAATTAATCGGGCTGTTGGACTCAGCTGTAATGGAAGGTGTTGTCGGACTAGATTCTGCTTGAGACTTCTCTACTTTGTCAATACCGGTACTGTTCTTGTAGAAAATGGGCAACTCGTAATTTTCTTCCTTGCATTGGTTTTCCAATGCTTCTTTTAATTCTTCTCTGGTCCGTGATTGAAAAAACTTTCGACTAGTTTATAACTTTACGTTGGTGTTTCAATCCTTTCCCAGAGCTCTGAGATATATTACCACCATATAGTAGTTCTTTAATTTTCGATGAGTCCAAAATATCCTCGCTGCTTTTCATACACAGGAATGAAAATCCAGCTCGGCATTCAGCATAGACATCACTAAGCCAAAGCATTGATTTCAAGATTGGAAAATATTCATCGGTGTTGTTAGATAGATTATTTTCAGAGGCTTGGGGATCTTCAGCCTTATACTTGCCACAACATTCGAATATTTTTGAATATTCTCAAATCGGTTATCGAATTATGTCTACCACTAGAGTAGTCAGTGCCGGGTGCAAAGTAGGTTCACAAAAATTAATGGTGAACTTATCCGCCCGTAGTCTCGGAGCCTCTGTGACAGATGTGACATCTGAAATACCGTATTCCACATACCGTGTATGATATACGGTATCTAAGATACGTGACTGTAAATAACCGTGCCTATTGATTTATCCTTTATCATCAACGACGTTAGGGTACACGTGTCGTTTCTCTTCGGGTCAATCGTATCGTTGGACTCTTTTTCGCGTGAGATCATTTCCTTCATGAGAAATTTTCCTACAGATAAGTCCCATAGCTCCTCAGGAGGAAGTATTGGTAACGTCCATGTTTCGTTCCTGGTTCCAACTTCGCTTACGCATTCCGGATTAGCGTATTGATTGCAATAAAGTTCCGCAAATCTGTAAGGCATTCAGGATTATTTTAAAAGAAGAAGGAATTACTCTCTTGAGCGCGTTTGATCGACAAGAATCACAGGCGAATATTTCTTGCTACACCCTTCGTCCTCGTTTCTCTCTTCCGGAGGGAATTGGGATGGGGATGAAAAGCCGCAGATCTCGGATAACTTCTCGTAATTTGCTTTAAAATTTTTATTATTTTTTTTTTAGGTTCACGCTTAGTTATTTGGATTTATAAATCTTGCTTTTCTAAAAACTCTTACTTGAATTGTCAATCAATGCCTTGTGACATCTATCGAGCTTTTTTAGGCACATTTATTCAGTCAAAATTATTTCTCTTGTTTCAAGGAATAGAGCAGAAGAAAGGTTGCTATGATTTTACGCTTTATTGAACTTTAAGATTGTACATATATATTTTCCCTTCCAATTGTCAAACTCGTCGCCGCATCGGTGGCTAGATGAAATCGTATCAAGCTAGTTAAGTTCTTTTCCTTACCATTTCTATTGCTGGAATAGCTGCAAAAACAGCATCAAAGTCGACGATCTCGGTATTATTGGTCGCTCTATTGTTAGCTCTGCGTCGGTCTACGACTGTCTCAGTCTTCTTCCGCAAAAAATAAGCCGCAGTAATCGCCATTAATACAAGAAGCGGAAGCATTATTACCAGAGATAGAAGTACCTGAATTCCTTCTCAGCAATTTAGTTTCTTGCATAATTACCATTTCATTGACTGGAGAGCCAAGGCCATTCGAAACAATAGGACTCCCTTTACAAACGTTATTCCTAGTAATGGCATCAAATTTAAAATAAAAATCTTCTACTAAGAGTCCTAGTACAGGACCTCTATCACTGATATTTAATGTCAATAGCTATTCATAACAGTTTCCTTCTAGGTTCACGACATATCCTATGTCGAGTAATGGTATTCCCAAATAATGTCTCAGTTTTCGGCTTCGTTCCCTACAAATTATATCTGACGACCAAAAGTAAGTTTCCCAGAAGAAAGGCGTTTTTTCGTACTCAATAAGGTACTTCCTTGTTTGAGTACTTTCTTTGAGGAAATTTATATTGGGCTTTTTCGCCACAGAAGTCAAAAAATAGTTATCTTCGTCAAGATTTAAAAAGGGAATAACTGCGTCTATCGCATCGTCGAATTCCGTTAAAAACAACTGGACGAAATCGTCGAATTCCAGCATAAATGGAAGAGAGATGTTGTAGTCTTGCGGTTGCCGTGTCCACTTCGATGAAAAATGATTGAAACATATCTTATCAATAGCAGTAATTTGATCGTCTAGAGTAAGCCGGGGATCCCATGCTTCGTTTGGCATGTCAGCGAACTCAAAATCGTCGTAATCAAAATCACCATTTCTGCTGCATATCAATTTATTGGCGTCAGTTGTACTTAAATTTCCCGAATGGGCCCCCACATTGGATTGCAGCCATCACTTGAACTCATATCTATGGTTGCATATCCGAAGGGAGATTGCCTCGACGGATTCGAGTCAAGATCGTTTTTATACCAGTAGCCAATATCTAATATGAAACGGAATCTAACCCATTGATCTGCTTCATTTGACCAAGGTTCTTGTCTCTTCAAGCAGCGATTGAGAAGCCTGTTACGCAACTTTAACTTCCATATTTCACTGTTTGATGTCGTTGGGAGGTCCCAGACTTGCTCATCTTTGCAAAGACAGTTTGAGTACTTTTTACAAACCTCATTTCCTCGACTGAATATTTTGTTTTGCAAAAAGTTTTACTAAGGCTTACTGAGGGGCATGTAGGCCAGGGAATTGGACAATCGATGTCCACTTATTGCATTTTTCATACTCCGGTATTGTCGCGTTTGTATTCATAGACATACTGGCGATAGAAACTGGAGGTGGATAAGGACATTTTTCTTGAATTTGCGGCAATTCCATATTTTATCCTCTCAATAAATGAGTTAGTTGATCCTCGGATTCTTCTGCTCGTCTCGCGTTTTCTGCCTCAACTACCATACACATGTTTGTTGAAGAAGATGCGAACAGAATACGGCTCTTCTGGAAATATTGAAGGGCAGGAGCAGTGTTTGTGAATGAATGATTTGTTGCCCTAAAATCATCGAAAGAAAAGCTTTGAATAGAAAAAGTATTGAATTCTAAATTGCAGGATTTACGATTCTCAGCCTGAGAGTATTTGTTTTTCTTTCTGAAATGGAGCTAACCCAAAAAAAACTTGGCCAAGCAAACGGCTTCGATAAGGGGAAAAGCAAAAAAGCGGCGAATTGGCTAAGCAAATATCTAAGAATGGGCACTCGGTGGGTGATGGGGTACTTCACGTGAACTATTTTTCCTCCAATAATCTCATCATCCAAATCTCAAAATCCTCAAATATCATTAATCAAAAATCACATTTTTCGAAAGAGCGTAAAGAACATTTTTGGCAATTTACGAGCAAGATTGAGAGGAAGAGGACAAAGGATAAACGAAAGAGTGATTGATAACAGATTACTGAGGCACTTATCAAGCACCAGTTACACCTTTATTGGCTCGAAATCTATAAACATTGGTTCTTTTACAAAAAAAGAGGTAAAACAGAGCATTCTTTTTCTAAAGTAGTGAGAACATGGTCTTTTAAAGAGATTTGAAACTAGGAGTTCGATAATGACATTTCGAACTAATTGATCTTGGCGTTTCCGGGCCGTGATTTCGTTATTTTTTCGGATGATCAGTTTACTAAAGCTGGGGGGAAATCATGGCGGCATTGTGCGCTCCGTAATGACGGTTTAGACTTGAAACTTTGAGCGTGTGTGTACCAGATAGATAGTGAAAGGTGCGATTCTCACTATCTTACTCTTCGTGAGTCGGCTTTTTGGGACCGGTGGAGCGTGAGCCTGGCGAGAGGGAGAGAGAGATAGTCCGCCCTAGAAATCGCGCCAGATATATTTGTCGCTAGCCCATATTCGAGGAAAAGCTCTCTTTCTATGAAGCAGATTTGAGCGCGTAAAAGCGAAAGAATAGAGGTAGGATTGCTCTAATCGAGATTGATTTTTGTCGTACCTTTCGCCAAATTATCTTGTTACGGAAGGACAAGCGCAAACGGAACTATTCAGCTGGAAGACGACCTGGGTAACAAGAACGATGAGCTCCAGCGGAGTCAACCAGTTGGGAGGCAACTATGTTAACGGAAGGCCACTTGCGCTAGACACACGGTCAGTTCAGAGAGCCCGGGAATGGAAAAGAGAAAATAAAATGACATTTTCAGGAGAGAAATTATTCGCTTGGCAAAGCAGGGAGGTGTTCGTCCATGCGATATATCAAGGCAACTACGAGTATCACACGGGTGCGTGAGTAAAATCCTCACAAGGTAAGCACTGCCAAGTTGGAGACTTTTCCTAGCGTCTTTCAGGTTTGAAGAAACAGGCGATATCAAACCAGGGGTTATTGGCGGCTCGAAACCAAAGGTTGCAACGCCTGAAGTTGTGAACAAGGTAACCTCATTTTCCAAACTTCCAAAATATTTTTGTTAATTTTAATCCTTCATAGCTGCGCAAAAGATTTAATTTTCCATCCCTTTCAGATAACGGAGTACAAACATGCGAATCCAACGATGTTTGCCTGGGAAATCAGACAGCAGTTAATAGATGACCGCATCTGTGTTCAAGACAATGTTCCATCAGTCTCATCGATCAACAGGTAATGGTTGCTCGTCTTTCCTGCGAACATGTGTTCCTTACGCAATAATGATCGCTGCAAAATTTTCCAGCTTGTTCTAGTAGCATCTAGCTCCGTAATAAAAAAGAGTAGAGTATTTTCGAGAAACATAACAAATACCGTCTTTGGATGGTATCCCTTGAGTGTGTATCATTTTTTAGGATCGTTCGCTCCTACTCCTCTGTCATCCTCAAGAACAACCCAAATCTAATCGAACAGGCTTCAAGAGCTTCGGCGCTGGGAACAACGATTGAAGAACTCCCATCGGATAGAAAACGTGAGTTAAAATACTTTCTAGTAGAAGAATCCCTTTTTGACAAAACTTGAGCAAGAACTGTCAAGTCACTCAAGCGGATAATTAATTTTCGACTTATTGTTATCATAGGAAGGAAAAACAAGCAACAGCAAGAAGAAAATGAGCGAGTAAAGAAAATTAAGCTGAAAGAAGAGCCATACTATCCAACTGATTCATTCAACGCACGACAGGGTTCTCCTTGCGGGCCCGACTCAGTAATTACTCAAATAAATTAATGGAGCTCACTCTCTTCTGTAGATAGACGGACAGAACTCGGGAACATCGACTCCTCCGTACGCAGATGGTGGTTCAGCCGCACAACTTGGACGAAGCCAGACAAAGGGCGACGCGAACGAGTTTCCAGCTGGTTTCTCTTCACTTTACAAGACGTATGTGGCCAGTCCCGAGCCAGCTCTTGGCGAGCATGTGGAACCGACGCCATTGTACTTTCAAGGTGGGATTGAGATATAGAAAGCAGACTCAAACAGAATTTAGAACAAGGATATACAAATTTCCTCGGATGGGATGACAAAATCTACCAGGAGCAGCTCTACTAATTCGGATTATTTCCATCGGAATTTACGCCCGCCAACGATTATTGAAACGAAATTTAAATCTAATCATCAGAGAAGAACGAGAACAATATTGACCCTCACACAGAGCTCTTTTAATTTATGTTCATAGACCCGAAATAAACAACTGTCATTCGAAAAGCGAGTTATAAAAACATAATTTTCAAATAAAAGATATTTCCAACTAGGCATTTTGCTGAAAGAAAACATCGCAGAATGATTCTTTCGCACTTGAAGATTATTTATTAAATGTATTGAGCGTTTCAAAAGATATTACAGAAATATAAATAGTTGGTGAGAATTGATGAATTGCACATTGAAAAGGTATAAAACAATTTGAAAGAAAGAAAGAAAGTTCAGTGCAGCTACAGCTAAAACAAAGAGGGAAAGAGACAGGTGAAGAGTTGAACTTAAAAATACAGTAACGGCACTGTAAATAAATACGATTTCATAATTGACACCGGGAGGTAGTCCAAAGCGGTATGACACGAATGAAATGCAAAAAGTAGAAAATGACGCTATACGTGGTTTAACCTTGATCGAAAAAGCGGAAATTAAGAGTGCCTTTCCTCCAAAGAAAACGCACAATAATGAGAAACGGATGCCATCCAGAACAGTTATTCTTCGACAAATGAAATCCAGCTGATAATGAGGGAAGCGATAGGGAATTTTAATAGACTAATTTTACTAACGAGCCAGCAATTTCGACACTGGCTGAATCAACATGGCAAAAGTACTAAATTAATTTAGACTAAGCGACTAGCAGAGCCAAACGCAACGTAAACGACATTGCCTAAAATGTTGAGCAGGCCAATCATGCGTAGGATCTGCGGCCATTCGTAGCCATGATGCAGACCGTAGCCGACAGCTTGGACACCGAGGAATCCTAAAAAAAGACTTATTTGGCTGCTTTGAGGCTCTCATTTACCTGGAATGGCACCGATGGTGTTCATTATTCCGAAAAGGAATCCACTCGCCTCTGGATACAAGTCGGAAGGGTTGATGAGAATCGAACCTGAACCAAAGGCTGAAGCCGTGCACGCCTAAAAATAGTTTGCTTCGGAATAAAAGATTGAGTACTGACCATGCACGAGTTGAAAATAGCGGCGTAGAACGAAGAGGTATTGGAGAGACAATAAAGAAAGAAAGCGCTGATGCCGAGGCAAATAGAACAGGAAAATTTCCGCGCGAAGGTCATATTATACTTTTTGCCCAGCATATCCGACAGGTAGCCGGATCCGAGGCATCCAAAGAGACTAAGAGACCATGGCGCAGATGCGTAAATGGAGGCAGGAGCTTCGGGCCAGTGGGTATGGAAAAACGCTGGCAGCCAGTTGAAGAGAATGAAAAATGTATTGTTGGACACCTTGAGTGGGCTTTCAGACGATTTTATTCAAATACAAATTATTCGTTGACTAGAAACGCAAAAAAAGGAATTATGTTGAAAGCCCGTACCAGGTGGGCAAGCATCATTGCGAAGACGGCTTTCTTGCAGAGGTTCGGTCGGACTGGGTTTGGATTCTCAAGCGAGCGCGTTCGTTTGATCGCCCCAGCAGAGTACTGGCCGTTAAGTCTGTAAATGTATAAACTCCAGAAGAAGCCGGAGACCCCGATGGCAGTGAACAGGTAGTCCCATTTGTAGCTTCTTGCGATCCATGAACCGATGGAGCCGACGAGAAGGAGACCGACTTGGCCGCCCGAGGCGATGAAGGAATAGGGAAAGCTGCGTTCGCCGGCTTGCACTTTCTCGCCGATCAGCGACGTAAACGCTAAAATAACACGTCAGGGGATCACTATCGAATCGCCTCTCCTACAGGGATAATGCAGTCCTTGCGAGACGCCGAGCATTGTCCTGACGATCATCATTGCACCAGCGGGTGAGTTGGAAAGACGCACGATCGTCGGAGTCAACACGGTCAGCGCAGACCAGACGAAGCCGCAATAGGCGAGGACGAGCGCACCGCCGAAACGATCGGCCAAGAAGCCACCGGCAATCTGGCTCATCATGTAGCCGTAGCTGAAGCTGCCCATAACCTTGCCAAGCACATTGTGATCCCAGCCAAAATCCTCCTGCACCAAGACAGACACGACTTTCTAGAGATTGAACTGACTGTTCCAAGAGGAACCGCTTCATATTCAAGTCTCTTTCGAATCTCGTTCCTGGTAGAGCCGACCTAGCTGTATAAACAATAACTGTGCCGATAAATAGCAAGACGCTCCATCGCCAAAGCTCCTCTCTAAAATATTGTACTTAATTGAATAATATAGGAATAAAGTTTATTCCTAGAAATGAAGAAGAAAAAGGCGTGCTCACGCTAACTGAGCCAAACGAAAAGACAGACTTTTCATGATTAATGAAAACGTTCATTTCATTTTTCGAGGACTTCGGTGCTTGATAAAAAAAAAATGTGATTCACCACGTTCGTCTCAGTTTATCCAAGTCCGCTTTCATATTTTCAAAGATACTCAATTAAAATTATAGAATCATAATTTTAAAAGCGAGACTGATTATCTATTTTTCAAAAATTCATTATTTCGACTTGCAGCAATTACACCTAATAAATTAATTGCTTATCAGAGCATATTTTTTCTGGGTCTTGACTCTATTCCTTGAGAGGTTAACTGACCTGTCCCATAAATGCATCAGACATATCTCTCTGGAACTTGGAACTGAGCGAATAAGCTTAGAAATTTGGCTATTGGGCGGGAGCCACCCTCCTCCGCCAATCAAAAAAACGCGCCAAAAGCTGGCGCAACCTTTTTCGCTATTTAGATTGTTTACGCAAGCTAATTGTCATATAAGTAATTAACCCTCTCGAATATAGACTGTCGACTCCACTAGCGAAGAAAATCAAATCAAATCAAATTTGTAAAGAGTACCTTTTTTTTGCATTTTTTATTTATTTTGGCAGTTGTGGATATTTTTTACAAATAGAAGGCGACAGCTGCAAAGAAATGTAAAAGCACAGATGCGCCGAGAATCAAGCTCGAGTTCGGGCGGAACCAGCTCAGTATACCAGACTCTTCGTTGTCCTCCTTGATTTCTCTTTTTCCAGAGCTCGTCAGCTCTGCATCCAGAAATACAGCTTTCTTAGGGCAGTGGAACCACTTTTCTGCCACATTCTCGCTCCGTAGCCTCTCTCTAAAGCTCAGTATTTATCAGACGATAGATGATTTCAAAAAACTTTTTGTGGGGCCAGAAATCGTAAAAAAACTGCAAGTGCAGTTTTCTTCAGCTCTTCCAGACGAGTCGAATGATGGGTCTAACTCTTGATAACTCTAAGGATTTACCGGTTTACCGGCTGGTTACCGGAAATAACGTTGTCACCGGCCGTTTTTGTTCTAGAAGTGATAAAAAGATGATCGACCCAGGAAATTGTTCCTTATAGTCAGTTCTACTGCAGGCTAAAAGATGAGAGTCGTATCATTACTCCGAAGAGAGTTATCACTGAAAACAGTAAATTTTGCATAAATTTCGTTGTCGCTGCACGTTCCTGATTTCTAGTCCCATTTCCGCTAGAAATAGTAATTTAGTGATAACTCTCTTCGGAGTAATGATACGACTCTCATCTTTTAGCCTGCAGTAGAACTGACTATAAGGAACAATTTCCTGGGTCGATCATCTTTTTATCACTTCTAGAACAAAAACGGCCGGTGACAACGTTATTTCCGGTAACCAGCCGGTAAACCGCTAAATCCTTAGAGTTATCAAGAGTTAGACCCATCATTCGACTCGTCTCGAGGAGTTGAAGAAAACTGCACTTGCAGTTTTTTTACGATTTCCGGCCCCACAAAAAGTTTTTTGAAATCATGATAGGAGAAAAGGCAGGCTACCCCTTTTTATGCGAGAAAGTGCAAGGAAACGAGTACTTACTTGAGTTCTATCTTGTTGAATTCCCAGGTCTTGCGTCTCTTGATAAAATGGGTCACTTCCAAAGAGTCGACAAATGCCGCGTCCATATTCGACGGAAGCTCTTTCCAAATCGACTCAGATAGTTTTCCGATCTGCAATAGCTGCGGCTTTTCCACATTAAACTCGTCTGTATTCAGTTCAAAACGACTTGATTCTTGTCTAACTCGACTTTGTTGTCGGCGATAAATTCAATTTTGATCCGTTCCTATTTTCCAAAAGGAGCTCCTGAAGAAGAGAAAAGTCAGCTGCTCCATCTTCCAATGAATAGCTGAACGGAAAGGGCTAATAAAACATCAATAAAACCAGAATTATCGTACCGGCGTCAATCTTCTTTGGGACGGCGATTTCAGGCGGAAGATTGAAAAACTCAGCGATCGTCGCCGGAGAAGACTCGTTTATCATTGCCCCGTGGAACTTTCAGATGCTAAAAGTTTGGTTCCTTCGGAAACAGTCCCCGCGGAGAAAAGCGCGTCTAACATTTCCTTATAAACTTTTGCATCGGAGAAGAATATCAGTGCTCCGTCTGTCGATCGCTCGTAAGCAGCATCGACGGGTTTATTATGAGGAAAACCGTCCCAGAACTCGTGAATCTTCATGGCCAGAGGAGGAACGAAATGACCAGTCGGACTCAATCTCCACATTCGTCTGTCAGAGAAGAAAAAAGTTTCCCCTCGACAAGTGAGCACTGCATCCCAGACGACGCCACAGATGTCAACGTCTAAGTTTAGAATGTTATTTCCATAATTAGAAATCTCGCGATTCCTAGGCCATGTTATCTCCCACGGAAACTGTTAAACCAGATCTTTGCAATCCTCACGGAGCATATTTTCTATGCCAAGTTTTCCACCTGGAAAACTGAACTTTGAACACTTACGATGGAAAAACGCTAGACAATCTGGATAAAATTGCTTGAGTAAAAATATAAGAATAATGTCTATCATTACAGTAATGAAATGAATATAATCTGGTCTTACCTTCGAAAGCACGGCGGGAGTTAAAGATTCCGTCATTTTTGAACTTGCTCGGATCCTCGCCGTATAATTTTTCGACTCCATCAATATCCTTCGCGCCAAGCTTGAGATTAGCCCATGAATATCCCTTATAGATAGGACGCATAACGGAGTCTGGATCGAGAGAGTGTCCGAGCCCTAAAGGACGGTTAAATTTCGGTAAAAATAAATTCGAATCATGAAAACAGCCCATCAAAACAAATGAGCCAAGTCTTATATCATACTTTCGCAAGAAAATGTTCAGACTGAACTGTGCTGTCTAGCAGCCTAAAAGAACTTCAATTTTAGATTTGAAAGAGACAAAAACAGCTCGTCAAAACAAATGAGGCAAAATTTATATCATATTTTCATAAGAAAACGAACTCGAATGAGTCCAAATTCTTAAAGTCATTGTTATATAAGCACTCGGTAAAAATAAACTTGCCAAGTGCGTGGCCGATTTCATGAAGCGTAACCATCAATAAGGAGGTCTCGCCGACATGATAGCCGTAGAGGGACCAGTTCTCGTCAGCGTCCAAGTGTACTTGGCCCGAGCGTCCTTTCTGGCCAGGGTAGAATGCATGCGCCAGAGTGTGTCCACGGCCGTCGAAGTCAAAATCATCCCCATGGGCACCCTTGTATTGGGATCTTAGATTCGTTAGACTCCCTCGTCCCCTAAGGTCACTTGCTTATCTAGATCGAGCTTTGCTCGGTCGCCGCCGTGTATTTCTCTTCATTCGGTAATTCACGCAGTTCGTGAATTAACCTCTATTTTACTCCAGCTCGAAATACAGACGTCAAAGATACTTTACTCGTTTTCTTCACTCGTCCAGATATAGAGAGCAGGCAAACTACGCTAGAAGTGGGAGATTCAGCAGAAGCTAGGATCCCTTCAGTGGTGTCAGAGTAGTCCCGTTGGAGAAAAGATAAATTTTTCCGCCATCGACAACCGAAGTTTCGCAACTTGGACGCTGATTGGCCGTCAGCGGAGTCGAGGGGAACCGAATCACCAACCGCCACCGCGCCGCCGGAGAAACTCCACTCAGAGAATTTTCCGCACCACACCAACACCACCCCGAGCGAGCGCCACCGCACGAGCGCCACCACGACCCACGCGCCGAAAGTCGCGCCCACGCAACCACGCACGCACGCCGGGGAAAACCTAAAATACTGAGAAAAACATAATTCTTTCGCCACTTTTCACCAAAAATCGAGAGAAGTTTACGAAGAATCGACCCTTGGACCAGACCTTGAAATTTCGACAATCGCTGGACAGAGAAATCGTCGGGCGTTTGCGCAAAAGGCACCTCAGCTCATCATATTGCGACTTTTAGTCGCAGTATTTTCTGAGGGCCTGAAAGGTAATCCAAGGCCCATAAACCCTTACTGCCGATATATTTCGAGCTATGGCGGCGAACAAATCACTGCTAGAAACCGTCACCGAAATAAGAAGCATAAACGATCGAGTAAACTACCTCGAAGAACAAGTGCGAAATGACGAATCACTAAAGCCAAGCCTAGAGCCCTTGATCACAGAAAGCAGAGTAAAATTAGAACAGCTCAGTACAACGCTTCTTACCTGCGAGCTCGATCAAGGAAAAGACTCTACGAATGCGACAATGAGAGAAGAAGCATGGGTGGCCACTACCTGGTCTCGTCACGTCCAAGACTTGCCGAAGCTGGACGCCGCATGCAACACATCTTTCAACACCTTCTTGGGCAGAGCCGACATTTATCACCGCGCCTACGTCCGCGACAGACCTTCACGTGAACAGCCTTTCATCGCAGCAGTGTACAGCCACTTCGACTTGAACATCGAACGCTCACTTGGAACCGAATTTCTGAATTGTCAAGACTGGAAATCGGCCAAGGCGCTGCTAGAGAAATCATTCGCCGCGAAGAGTCACTACTTACTGAAGCTAAGCGAAGTTTTCGACGTCGAATACGACCATTCGAAGCCGTTTGCACACTACACCGCCAACGTCTTGCAAAAGATGAACGAGGCGAAGCAAGCGACTTTGAACTCTTACCGACAAGAGAAGTCAGCCGACGCCGGGGTCGATGAAATATTTGACATATTCTCGACGATGATGCTGTACTTGAATCTTAGGAAAGAAGAACCAGACGTTTTCAACGCAATCCTTCCAAGCCTATCAAAAGTTTACGATATCAACGAACTCTGCCGTCTCGCCCAATCCACAAGACAGAATCGAGTTGACAGCGCGACCGTCTCCCAGCACTTCAACAGAAATAAGAACAAAAAGAAGAAGAATGCTAAGCGCGCCAGCAACGATTCTAAGGATGGGAAAGACGATAAACAACCAGAATCCAAGAAGATAAATACGACTAAGAACGTTGAAGATTTCCAACCATTCGACGTTCACTTTTACACAGTGAAGAAGAAGCGACCAGGAAAGGCTTATTTCGCTTCGGCTACCATCATTACGGGCTCTAAAAGTTTTGACGTATCGATGGAAGTCGACAGCGGAGCCGAGTCCTCCTGTCTGTCCGCTGCTTACGTTCCCGACGAATTTCTCCAGATGCTGAAGCCCTGTCCCTTCAAGGTCACCGGTTTCAGCCCAAATATTCCCGCCGAGCAGCCGATGGGTATCCTTCCCTGCCGCTTATCATTCAATGGTGGCCCTGCATTCTCCCTGAATCTCACCATTATGCCAGGCAGTAAATACCCAAGTCTACTGGGCCGCGATATACTAGAGAATGCGATGACGGACAGCTTCACAGTCGACAATAAGAATCGTACTCTCTCATTTTGCTACAACGAAGCCTTCACACAAACTGAGACTCAAGTGGTGAAGCTGGACGGAGTGAAGCGGACCAAAATCAAGAAATACTTGACTACTAGATCAGCGGTCAAGGATAGCGATCGATCCCGCACTCAACCGCCACCAAAAGTCCCAAAGCTGGACGCACCTAACAAGAACGCAGCCAGGTGCCCCATTCAGCTAGCGAAGCAAAAACTCGGAATTACCCTACCAGCAAACGCCGACCCGGGGCAAAAGAAGGTGGTCGCCGAGCTGTGTTTGGAATTCGACGACAGATTCGGCTGCGACGGTCAAAAAATGGGTGAATTCCCGTTCGAGATCGAAATCCCGACTGATGGTACGAGTCGAAACATCAGTCAACACCCGATTCCGCAAGCTTTTCATGGTCAGGTCAGCGATCACATCTCCGAACTGCTCGAAACGAAAATAATAGAAGAGATCAAAGACCAGAAAGGGTTTAACAGCCCGGTATTGCCTATTCCTAAGAAATCTGGGGAAATGCGCTTCTGCATCAACTACAAAAACAGCCTGAACAAATGCCTCTCCGACAAATCCGACCCTTACCATCTCCCAAGCATGGAGGATACGATTGCGAACATTGGACCGGGCAATAAGTTTTTCGCCACAGTTGATCTACGAAGTGGATATTGGCAGTGCCCTGTAAAGAAAAGCGACAGGTACAAGACTTCCTTCCAGTGGGGTGGGAAATCTTACGCCTTCTGCAGACTACCATTCGGTTATCGATGCTCGGGGAATATATTCTCGCGCGTCGTAAACACAATTCTCGACTCAAGCCCCACCAGGAAAAAGATGCTTTCTTATATCGATGACATAGTGTGTTTTGGGAAGACTTTCAGCTGCTATTACAACACTCTCCGAAACCTATTCATCGCGCTCCGCAAGTTTAACGCTAAACTCAAGGGCGAAAAGTGCTCTTTCCTACAATCCGAAGCTCACTTTTTGGGCCGAATCATCAACGAAGATGGAATCAAACCGGACCCTGCGCAAGTCTCCGCTCTTCGTCAGATGAAACCCCCACGCTCCCAAAAGGAGTTAGCTTCATTAATCGGGTCATTGAATTGGATCCGAGGTTTTCTAGAAACGAAAATGGGCGAAGCTATTTCATCCGGTTGCTTCTCGAGCAGAATGAAGCCCATAAACGATGTTCGAAATTCGGCGAACGAAACAAATTGTTTCAAGTGGACCAAAGAAGCGGATTTGGCGCTCAAGGAAATTCAACGACGACTCTCCGAGACTCCTGTCATAAGCTTTCCTAACTTTGACGAGTCTTTTCACCTCTACACAGACGCGAGCCTGTACGCAGCGGGTGGTGTTCTGCTACAAGAGTATGGCGGGAGAGTGCACCTAGTAAGCGCGATTTCCCACACCTTCAACAAAGCTGAAAGAAAATGGAACACTTCAGAAAAGGAAATGTTTAGCATTGTCTGGTGCTGCGAGCGACTGGAAAAGCTCCTGAAAGGTAGATTCTTTCAGATTCACACAGACCACAGATCTTTGATCTTCCTACACAAAAAGAAGTTCAAGAATTCTAAAATAAGCCGATGGCAAAGCCGATTGGAAGAATTCGATTTTCACATTGTCTACATCAAGGGATCAGAAAATCAATTCGCCGATTTTATGAGCCGCAGACCTGGCGAGGACGACAAATCACTTGGATACGACTCTGAGTTTCCCGTTGGTCGCGAGTACGAAATCGACAAGAATTCACCAGTACGTGTCTTCGTCCCTTTCTGGAACGAAAATCAGTTTCCGGAGAAAATCACTTTATCAGAGGTGAAGATACATAAGGTAAACGTCAAGGCTATCGCGGCGCCAATGGAGATTCCGTTGGTGTCAGCGAATTATAATAACATTCTGGACTATCAAAGGGAGGACTCTGCTCTGAGTGCAATCATCACTTTTCTGGAATCTGGTAAGGAGCCACTGGACATAAAATCGCTGGTGAAGGACTCCGACCACCGACAATCGTCTCTACTCAAGATGGAAAAAGCTCTGTTCCTGGATAACACTACCGGGTGCTTGATGTGTCAATTCAAATCTGGCGCGCGGGCGGTGGTACCGGAAGCGGTAAAAAGTCACTTTCTCTTTCTAGCTCACGACTTGTCCGGTCATCTGGGCGAGCCGCGGACTTTAGAGCGATTAGAGGACGTTTGGTGGCCTTCATTTCAAGACGATGTTTCTAACTACGTCCACAGCTGCGTCCCTTGCCTACGCAGAAAAGGATCTGCTGGAACTCGTACCAAACCGCCACTTGGAACCCTTCGTCGTGGAAAAACAGCTGGCGAATCGATTCAGATCGATTTCGCTTGTATGCCTCCCGCTGGCGGATTCAAGTATTATTTGGTGGTGGCGGACACTTTCTCTCGCTACACTTGGTGCATTCCGACGCGGTCCGACACTGCTATCTGCGCTGCAAAAGCGCTCATCTACAAGGTCTTCCTTCCCATGGATTTCTTGCCGAAACATCTACACAGTGACAGAGGTACCCACTTCTGCGCAAGCGTGATTGACGAAATGTGTAAGCTTAACCAGATAAAACATACAATAAGTACCGCATTTCACCCTCAATCAAACGCTTTCGCAGAAAGAGCGAATCGGACTATCAAAAACAGTCTATTCTGCATGGTCAACTCATCTTCCGGTCGAAAAACTTGGGCCGACTGCGTTCCCCACGTGATGCGCGCGCTCAATAGTGTGAAAAACAAAAGCACGAAAATTTCACCGCGAGAAGTTTGGTTTGGCCGAAAAAGTACTTTCACCCACTCTACTGGCGCAGAAATGACAGCGGAAACACCTCAGGTGTTTGGTCTCAATGTGGGAGCTTTAGCGAAATCGGCGGAAGCCATTGTGAAAACTGCGATGGAAGCTGCTGACCGAGCCATGGAGCACAGGCTGAAAAACGAGCCTAAGCCGAGACCAATCCCCGCTGGCGCTGTCGTGTACATTAAGCGAGAAAACCTGACCGACGCTAAAAGCAAGAAGGAACGCTGGGTAGGTCCCCTGAAAGCCGTTTCGAGCAACGACTGGGTCGTCATGGTCGAAGATAAAAAAGGACAACGTGATTTCATCCATCGAGAACACGTGGTTCACGCCGCAGAACGAAATCACGACTTACGCTGGATTGATTACTACGAGGCCGAGTACGTATTCCCACATTTAACCGAAATCGTTAAGTCGAAAGTCCCACAAAAATCGCCTGTTCCTACTTCCAAACCGATGGAAAAGTCCGGGTCGAAGTCGCATGGGGGGAGGAAATCTTCTCAGGTCGCGTCGACTCCGATGGTTGCTATGGAAAAACCGCCAAGATCATCTCTATCACCTATTTTGGAAAGTAGACGCCGATTGGACATGGAAAATCTGGGAGATACAACCGCTACATCTATTTTGGACTCGTCGGTAGCTCCAGCCGAGCCGTCAGATCGCTGGTACTCTGGTGGTACTCTTTATGAAACTGCCGAGGACATGTCAGCTGATGCTACAGTGATTTCGGAGGTTGCTGCGCCCGACAATAGCCATATGTCAGTCGATAAACATAATTCAACAGTAGTTGAGGGCTCAGCAACTGAAAACAGCAAGAAAAGAACCCGTCCAAAGTCTTCACCAGATCGTCAATACTCAGCCGGCGCCGATCCGAATGCGACTTTAACCGAAGTTGGAGCAGCTCATCTCCCGAAACATACAAAACGAGCACACCGTGAAACGAGGCCCGTCGAACCTCTAAACATCGGCACAAACTCGGGTCAGTCATACGACTAAGCGCAAGTACTGCCCCACTCAGGTCCCCTATTCATCGACCGGGGCCTGAAAAGGTACGGAAATTATCACAGTTTACCGTCGCCGACGTATTTTGAGTTCTTCTACATGTGCAGCTACTCCTTCATGTCATCACCGCTCGGACATCACGAAAACTTCGCATCTGATTCAAGCTTTTTCCCAAAAAAGGGTTTTTTAACGCGAATCAGACTGCCTCGACGTTTCGAACCTGCCATGTTACTCATCTTACGCTTATACTCCTGCAAAAATCACACACTTTGGCCTTAGAGGACGTTTCAGTCTCATGGGGGGTATTGGGATCTTAGATTCGTTAGACTCCCTCGTCCCCTAAGGTCACTTGCTTATCTAGATCGAGCTTTGCTCGGTCGCCGCCGTGTATTTCTCTTCATTCGGTAATTCACGCAGTTCGTGAATTAACCTCTATTTTACTCCAGCTCGAAATACAGACGTCAAAGATACTTTACTCGTTTTCTTCACTCGTCCAGATATAGAGAGCAGGCAAACTACGCTAGAAGTGGGAGATTCAGCAGAAGCTAGGATCCCTTCACTTGCGAAAGCTTACTTTGATCTTAACAAGGCTGAAAGGTCGTTCTTCGATCTGCTGTCTATCTTTATAATGTCATTCCGTTCGAATTAAAATTGCTGATTTCCTTGAGTGAAAAAAATAAACACTGTTCATGAAAATTTTGAACCGTTAATTGACTCGGCCAAAAAAATCTAACTGGCGAACGGTCAAAGAGAGTTCCGGAAAGTGAACATTGAAAATATGCCTCACACTGTGAGTTGGATTAAACGCAATATGGCGCGTGCCAGCAATCGATAATTTAAGCTAAGTACAACCGATACTTGATCATCCCAAATTTTGACGGGCAGGGAGAATTTAAAGAAAATATCTCAGCCTCGATCCTGAGCGTCTTTCTTCGCACTTTGGCGGAATTTGAGCGAAGTTTGCTCTTCCCAAACTTTGAAGGCGCTAAAACAACAATTGAATCAACCTTTTTGCCCCCAGACTTACGTAAGGAAAGCGTTTTGCTGGTCGTCTTTTGTCATGTTTATGCTGTCGTTTTTGAAATCGATGAAAAAAGAGATCTCGTGGCTGCCCCAGGAGCTTATCAAGAACTCGTCCTGCACGATTTTCCCAGGCCGCCCGTCCATTCCCATTGTTGAGAAGTTGGCTCCATGTTTAGCCCGTTCTCTTCTCGCAGGATGAAAAATGTTGCAATTTTATTTTAAATTCGTCTAATAACCAAAGTGACTTTTGAGGAAATCTTTTTATCCTTTCACTCAGCAGAGGCAGAAAGGCGATCTTTTTCTTTAAATCTCTATTCCCCGGAAGAGTTGTTCCTCTGCTCAAGTTCAAAGAACTCAGTAGTAGCGAAAACGAGAAAATCAATTTCATGTTTGCGCAAAAATCGACTCCATGTCCCACTCTCTTCAGGCAAGGGTTGAAAGTGCGCACGCATGTCTCGAAGCGGGTGGCGGAGAGATACACTCCCGTGCGCCCTCAAATATTTTTTTTTGCCGCGAATTTTTTAAACACATTTGATCAACAACCACTTTCTGTTTACGAACAATTTATTGAGAATATTACTTTCTTGTCATGTCGATATTCGATTAGTTGATTTTTTTCTTTCCTCGCGTGATTCGCACATAGATGGACTATTGTATTTTTTATTGTTTATTTGAAATTATTGAAGCACCTCGTATGTGGTAGATGGCTCCTCTAAAATCGCGGAATTTTGTTCGATGGCTGACTCTTCTTCCACTAAAGAAAGGATAATTTGACTGAATTCTTATCGCGAACAATGTCGGCCATATGATATGACTCATATCCGACCTTCGATAAGGCGTTGAAAAGAAGGAAGAAGTCGTCGTGGTCGAAGAACTGCGCCGTTCATCCCACCATCAGCTACCTTATCACCATCCTCAAAAACATCGTCTTCGTCTTGTGGAGACACAGCTACGGACAATTATCAACAACACAGCTAAACAATAAATAAATAGAATTTTTTCGATAATCATTTCCTTCTGGAGTGAATTCCAAATTCTCCGGCGGAGAGCTAACCAGCTCATCTGTTTCATTTTCTCCCTCCGACTGTGATCCAAAAGAGGAATTCGGCTTTTCTTCTTATTCAAGTTTACAAAGATCAGTAGATGAATTATTTCAGCATCATCGATTTTAAAACTCTTTCTTCAGGTTCACGTTCATACTTCTTGAGCTCTTCCGGGTCCACTCCAATCATTCCAATATCTCCCGTATATTCTTCGAACACTGAAAGCAAGGATGGAACTTCCGTGAACGATGATTAGATCAAGTTGATGCCACCAAGTATAAAATCTGGTGGGCAGCGACTTCGTGAATCACCATTTATGATTCCGAAAAGTCAGCTCTACTTTATATTTTCTACCGATGCACCGAGCTTAATAATTCCAAATATAGAAATTTCGTCTCTACAGTGCCTAAAGTTTGAGCTGCCGCAATTCACTGCTAGACAGGGACGCCTAGGATGAAGGAAAGAAGGAAGGCTTGGAGTCGGAGGCTGTGAGCCTTTTTCGTAGAAACTAACCTGGCGGATTAGACACGCAATCACGGAAAGAAAGGGGCGCTGAATTGTCCGAAGTTTGAAAATGCTGGCGGACTTTGTCATATAGAAAACGGCTTCTGGGAGTTCTAGGGATCTGTCGAGGACTTTTGAGTAAAACTTGTTGAAACAAAATTCTATAATTCTGAAGTGAACATACAAATTTATGCTATTCAAGCCCTTGACCATTTTGAACCTGGAGGTTGATAGTTCTTCGTTTTTCTCTTTTTTGCACCTGTTATTTTCTCCTGAAGAGCAACAGCGACTACCTCTTCTTCGTTTGTAGACATTTTCAATTTTGAAAAAAGCAAGAATGATTATTTCCCTCAGATTTCGAAATGGATATGCGTTCGAATGATTGTGATCGACATGGCCAGAAACTTTTGCAACTTGAAGAACAACGAGTTTTTGGGAGCATTCATTTGCTATGGAGAGGAATGCGAGATTTTTGAAAATGAAAAGACGACGGATTCCACTCTTGCCAATAACAAAAAATAAACAAAGTTTAAAATCGAAAGATCTAAGAAATCGAATTCATCTAAGAAACAGAAAACATCAGTTATATTGCAGTATCTATTTGCATGGTCTGGAAGTAGGCAGTTCAATTGCATTGTTAGCAGTTTATCCACGAGTTCTAGTAGTTGTACCACAAATTTCACCTTTCAAACACTTTTCGCAATTATCCGCATCGTGTTGACCAATTCGATTGTATACAAAGCTCCACTCAGATGGGACGGGTCCGATATAGTAAGGATATATTTCCTTCTTCATTGTGCATTTCTAGAAATGATATTATATTTGATGAATATAAAACTTGGTCTATTTTACCTTACAATATTGAAATTTGTTGAATGCTGCTTTGAAACTGTGCTATTTTCTCGGAGGCCGATGGTATTCACACTCATATAAGCCAAAACCAGTTTGTGCGTTTTCTAAGGATCGTTTACGTAGTTTTGGTGGAGGTGGGAGTTCTTGAGGCGAATAATCGTCTTCTAATGCACGTTTTAGAAAAGAACGTTCCCTTTTGATCACATCAGAATTATCAATAGGCTCGCTGTCAGTAGGATTTCTTTCTGAGATTCCACAAATATTTTCTTCTTCTATTTCTTCCTCTTCCTGGCGACAGATCGACTCCAATCTATCGTCAAACTCTTCAAACGCGCAAAACTTATAGAGCTCGTAGTTGCCATCAAAGTCTCTTCTTCGAAGACATATAAATCCAAAGAACGCTTTCAGACGCCGCTTCGCCATCTGTGTTTTTGGCCTCAAAGTTTTCCTGAGCTGTTTCTTTTCTTGTAGACATTCTTCAGATATTTCTTCGTCAAATATGAATTCGAAAGCTTTATCAACAACTGGGACCTAGAATCGCGTAAAAAGCGGAAAAAAAAGATGATCAAACCTCAATGGAACCAGTGTAGTCCTCCAATTCGACACTGAGCTGGAGTTTTTGGTCAACAATACCAATATCAAATTGTGCGTTTTTTCGCACAGTACGCTTTACTTTGCCGACGATTCCAATTTTATCATACTGATTTTCTTTTGGTAGATCGTTAATTGTGGCAACTTGCTCTGCATTTTCTGTAAGAAAATCTTCTGCTTCCTTTTTCTCATTAAAACCTTTGAAAAAAACACCTTTGACTCCTTTAAATCCGGAAGTAGCTTCTTTGCAATCATCCCATTCATAAAAAAACCCGATTTCACGGCCTTTGAAAGCAGCAAAAATCTTATTTTTTGATTTTCCCATTTTGGTAGAATGGAACGCGCAATTTTTAATAATCAGTTGCATCAGGGAAGTCGCATGCGATCACAATCAAATTGAGTCATTTTTGAGTCCTACCATATAAAATCTAAAATAGGTCGCTCTGCACTTGTTGATGACATAGTCAAAGTTCTGATCGAGATCGTCAAAGTCAAGTCCGATTTCAGCGAAATTAGCGGTGCTAGCAACATCTTTACTTCAGACAGTAAACAATTCAATTTACAAGCTCAAAAAACAAGAATTCCAGCTATTCTAACTTCTGAAAAAGGGACTTTCTCCAAGTGCCCAAATATTTCCCTCCGCGCTCGAATTTCACATTGTGTTGACCCACCCGTTCAACTCATTGTTCTAACGTTGCCCTGCGTGCCCAAGGAGAAAACGGGCGACGTGCCCACCAGCGCTGATTTTTAGTCTCCGGAATTTTAAAAAATCACATCAACCAATTTGCTAGAGCGCTAGAGAGTTCATCAGAAGAGGGAAGAAGCGGTGTTGAGAATGGACCGTTCCCGGTCGGATTTCTCGGAAACAGAAGTTTCAGAAAAAGGGCTCAACTCTAATTTAAAATATTCAATAGATATACCCAGCGGTAAATTGATATGCCGGCCGAAATTTCTCAAAAAGGTCAAAAATCAGAGCCTGTAATCTGTCATTTGCACAAATCTCTAATTTATTTGAATCCGCCGAAAAGAGAGTCTCCACATCGACCAGTATGCTTACAGAGATCCACGAATGTCTACTGAGTCTTTTGGAACTGGAGGTAAAATAATGACCTCTTTGTCTTGCTTCAATATATAAAAAACTTAACAAACACTTTGTGAGAAAAAGCTTCAACTAGAATTCCAGCATAACTAGCGTAAAATTGGTTTGCTCATATTTGCTCGCAGCAGATTTTTCTATTTGCGCATATTTCTAAGCATATTCTAAAGCGAGTGGTACGAGTAGTTAACTTCCCAGTATTTATTCAGAATCCAGCGATCTAAATATTTGCTGATTTCTCTTGAATTCAAAAATATTCCTAGCATCCGGGAAAAATCAAAGCTTCGATTCTACTTCTGGTAAAGCACTTATAGACCAGTTTAATTCTTGAAATCATATTTTTTTATAAAAAGGGGGCAAAAAATAAATGATTTCAAAGAATCATTTATTATGATCACCGACCATTTTGAATCGTTCACGAGCACCGCTCTTTCTGTTGGATTGCTTTCTTAGAAAATATTTAGTGGATGAAAGTTTGGCTGATTTTGAAGAAGCGGAAAGAATCGCGAACAGCGAGGAGCACATTGCCCTCGCCTTAGCAGAATTGGACAAGGTAGACAATGACGTAGCTTTGCTGCAGAATCGATCCGTTGCTGGTGGAATTTATAATCCGCAAATGTCTTCCGACCGATACTTTGAGAGCGAGTATTCTGGAAACGAAGTCGATGACGCGGATCAAACTCTCGAGCCTCAAGAAGAAGACGATGACGACATAGACGAAAAAGAGAATCATTTCAACGAAGGGGGCATTTATGACTCCTTTGACGGTGAAACTGCCTCCGAAAATGAAGATGACTTCGAAAAAATGATGGACGAAATGGTGAGCGTTGTAGAAAGTCAAACAGCGGACGAGTCGGACGATGGAAAAAGCTTCCTGTCTTTTAACTCTTCGCGCTACAATATTCCACGCTCGATGGCCTCTCGATCAGTAGTTGAAGAAGAACGAGCCAGTTCTATTACAGAACCTTATCGCGTGGCCCCTTCGGTGGCCTTGGCGCGGCCAACTCTTCCTTCAGGCCGCAGCTTCGAACTCGATACTTCTGAAAAGCCTTTGACGCGCGCACGCAGCACTCCAAAACTCTCCAAGAGGTAAATCACTTCGAGCACTAAAATCGCCAACAAGAGTGAATATTTTTTCCTTCTCTTGATGAAAAATGACAGTTACATGGGCAGTACCCAGTCTCCGAGTTTACACCTTCTCTGAAGACATCGAAAGCAGAAAGAAAGAGTCTACGATTACAAGGTTCTGTAGTTGGGTAGGAAGGGATCATTGGTTGGGCCGCCCCTAACCCTAACCCAGGGTACTCCCAGTTCTCTAACTCTTATCCCTAACAGAGAAAAGGACTCAAACGAGCTTTCGTTTTCGGGCGCCCGACAAATAACCTGGGTACACTTGTCGTGTCAGACATTTCATGCCAGACAGTTTTCCGGTACATCTTTATCATACATTTGTTTAGTGGCCCGAACGCACATGCTGCACACTCCACCGGCAATCAACTTGGGGTGACTCTCTCTCCTCTCCAGGGATGGATGACAAATAGAAAATAGATACTGACTTTTAAGTCTGACTGACTTGTTCTCATCCATGTCTTCAGCGCGAAAATAAATGGGCCTCGATGCCTTGGCTAACAACGAGGAAGTCGGTCTCAGATTTTTCTGATATTTCAAATATCGACAACGATAATGTAAAAACGAAAATCAAAACGCTGAAAAATGAGAAGGAAAAGCAAGATATTGCTTACAAGATTCTCCAGTAAGCAAATAAAAATTTGTTAATAGTAATTAATTTTTTTATAACACAAATATGAAGCGTCAAATTACTTCTCTTGACGTTTGTCTATTCAGGGATGATAACACAAATTTATCAAAAGAGCTGTCAATAGCCAAGCAGACAATCGACTCGCTTAGATTGAACCCGACGATGAACATCAACTTCCCACAACAGCAGCCAGGAGGTGAATAAACTATTCTCTTACATTAAGTGGTAGCCTCAATTATTTATAAGCCTTCTTATCTAGTAATTGAAAAAGTGTGAATGGTAGATACTAATCCTAAAGTAACAAGTGAATATCATTAATCTATATTACTTAGTATACCTTGTAGTATAAATCTGATACTTCAAGCTCGTAGATAGACCTTAGTAGGATGAATTTTTAGCGGCCATAGCTGGCGCGATCCCGCGGTCGGCGAAAGTAAAAGAACTGCCCAAAGCGTCAAGCCCAAAACTACTCCCTTCTTCTTTCGCGACTCCAAAGTTAACTCAAGCACCGTATAAAGGAGCGAGCAATGCACAGCTCGCACGAAATAAGCCATATTTGCAACAAGCTGACGATGATGACTACGACTACCCCAGTCCTAATTTTGGAAAGAATCACGAGCGCACTGTTATTCAAGCGACTCCTAATCGACTTAGCTACGATTCGCACGGTGAGGATGGCGAAGAAAGCTTCTCAGAAACGGCTTATAAATTCACATTATATTTATTTGCCTTTTTTATTGTCAAAAATTAACAAGCACTGACGAGTTTAAAATGACGTAAAGAATGTCTTCTTAGCCGAAGTATAAAAAGTCCAGATTTCTCCGCATTTTGTCAACAAAGATAGGCACGAGAGCCTTCTTGAGACCTTCAAACCGCATTCTTGCGTGTCTTCTATCGAAATCGTCCTTTCCGTCGTTTTTTTCGTGAGCTTCTATCGAAAAAATCAAAAATATAAAAAACAGGGAGAACGAAAGTTCTCTGAGGGTTGTCATTTCTCTGGCACTATGACGGGCGGCATCGCCTTTTATACGGACAGAGTAGATTGTAATCAACCGAAAACTGTGCGTCGCCTGCGTAATTGATGCAGAAATACTGAATGTACTTTTCAAGTCGATAAGCCAGCTACAGATCAAGAGAACAGAGTCAAGGCGAATCTGGCAAGAACAGAATTGACGGACATGATCGATGGAATAGACCAGTCTATGAATAACTACAGGGACTTGGTGAAAATGGGACAGATCGATGACAGTGAAAGAGAAGGTGTCTTAGAAAATATCGGAAGGAATGAAAGAAAACTAGAGGCAGAGTTAGAAAAAGATAACGTAAAAGTCGTGTCTCGCTATTCGTACAGCTTGCTAACTCCATGGAAAGGAAGATTACATGTCGGCAAAGTCGGATGTTGGCGAGAAACTCCTAGACCCGGATGGTGTCATCGGAGCGGATATCATCCGCCTTGGTGATGAGCTTGGACAACTTAAGCGGCAACAGGAGGTATCTAAGCCGTTTTCCTTTCAGAGAGGAATCTGGCAGAAATCATACCGTATATGATATACCGTATATCTGATATGGAGAGGCTTTTTGCTTAAAAAAAGACTAAAATCGCAAGAAAATTAGTAAATTTTTTTAGCTCGATGCCATCAAATCTATGAAAAAGAAAGCTTCAGCGGGCTCAGTCTCGTCTAATCGTTCCTCAAATGCAACTACAGTGGAAAGGTAATCAGTAAAAATTGAGCTTTTTATTTATGCGGCCTTGACTGTCTATCACATCGACAAGTAAAAATCAAAAAAATTATGGACTGATCAAAAATCTGTCGCGGCTTTCCAGAAGCGGCATTCCTCTGTCATATGGAACTTGTCACTTTCCAAATATCAGATTTTATTGAGCCAGAAGATAAACTTTGCTTCAATATTTTGAAAACAGGATAAAAATGTTGTTCTTCAATTCGATTTACATACCAGACAAATGCTAGGTTTCAAAATTTAACACTATTAGAATTCATGAAAACTCATTCTGGTAGATAGACTCGGAAACGTAAATTATTCAATGTGCCTAAAATAATAAGTGCTGATATGTCTGAATGAAGAAGTCCCGTTCTCAGCGCTGAAGCTCTGACGGGAAAATAATTTTTGTCTTGTTTGCCGCAGGAGTATAGTAGTATTGACAATAGCTCAAAAGTGGTTCTAAGCTCAATTGTGCCTGTGTCCACCGCTCACCGTTCGCGGCCACCGAACAACGCCACACTGAAATTTACGCTAACAATTTTTTGAAGAGAGGTCTTCTTCAATTGTTCGATAAAATTCATAAAAAGAGATCTAATAAGCTGCTTTTCTAACTTCAGATGCCTTCCTTGAAGGTTTGGGATCCAAAGTATTTAAGGTACTCGAAAATTTTCGGTCATTGACTTAAATTATGCTGCATAATACATTCTTTTTGTTTGGATAAAAATTGATTAAAAGATTCTTGCTGAAAGAAAACATAATCAATAATAACTGTAAAATACTTACTATTACCTTTAGAAACAGATGTGAAAGTCCTTCTCGAATACCTGTTCAACCAGCTGCAGAAAAATATCGTCGAAGAAACTCGAGGCCAAGTCCTGTCGCTTCTCCTCATTTACCGAAAAACAGCGTCAGTCAACTTCCTGTGAAAAAAGCGCAGCCAAACTCTAGCCGTCAAAGGAGACGGTTTATTCATTTATATAAATAAGAAACACCACTTTTTAGTATAAATATCATTATAGACTCTTTAATATAGAGTCCTTATTATGTAAATGAACCAAACCAAAGTAGCCGTAAAGGCAGTTTAACTCCTCAAAAAACACGAGCAAATCTTGTCAATGAGGCGGCTGGGCACAGCCTCGCAGATTCCGGCATTGATTCCCGGGTGACATCAAAACCGTAAGTTTGCTAATGCTTACTTATGAATAAGGGTGTGAAGTATGGAATGAGCTGAGCTCTGATAAAATAAAGCCGCGGGGTTGCTAAGATATCAACTCAAATTTGCTCAACTAAGCTGACACGTCCGTGAGCTTGAGTTTATCTTCCGATAAAGCGAAGCTCAAACAACTATAAGAGCAATTAAGTGAATTTTAGTTTATCCGTTTGTCAACCGAGTAACAAACTTCTTAGAATGTCCGAAATCAGAAACTCGAAGATCCCCTCGACGCGGGATATCATCGATGGAAGAATCAATTCTCTAAGTGAAAGTCTCAAGAGAAACCCGTTCGATAAACAACGAAAAACAGGTACTCACTGAATTGAATTACAGGAATATTACAGACTTGGACTAGTAGCCATAATATGTAGAAAATACTAAAATAGTCGTAGAAATGGTGCCTGGGAAAAGTAGCGAAGAAGAAATCTTTCCTAGTGAGCGGAAAACAACTAGCTTCGGAATTTCTGCAGCGCCAATTATGAAACATTCAGTCACCCAAACTGAAAAAGACCAACCAGCTGCCCGACAACGATCACATAACTCTCAAAGAAGAACTGATCAACCTAAAGAAAGACTAAGGTCCTTTTTATATATTTTTATCTTTATTAATGTTTTTAGCAAATATCGATCAACTGGGGATATTCGCAACTTGAACCAAAGTGATGACGAGATGAGTGTTTATTCAGAGTCAGCTACAGATGCAGAAACTGTAGTGAGAAACAGAAGACGACAGAAATCTCCAAAGGGAAGAAGGTCGTTAAGGTTAATGCCTCAAGATATCCCTTGATTTCATATGAAGATTAAGATCATCACGACAAAACATTGCGGCAGAAAGTGCACCTCAGCCACCGCCAACCGAGTACGTCTACCTCAAAGAAGAAATCGACAAGCTAAAAGGACAGCTAGAACGTCAGAAACATGAAAACGAAATGAGCATCAGAAGTGCGCATAAACCCATCATCAGGGCATCTAGCGGTGTCGAAAGCAGCACGAATTTTGATGACAGCGACTTCGAAACGCGTAGTTCAAGAAAAACAAACTCTATTTTTGCAAAATTACGAAAGGAAATCAAAGGGCTGCGAGAAGATTTGTACAAAATTGCAACGCCTAAAAATAGGTTTTTTTCGATATAGGCTGCTAAATTTACAGTTTATAATTTAAAAAATCGTTCGTTCAAAAGATGAACTTTAACTCTAGATCGCGAGCATCTTCGGTGAATGGAGAGACAGATGGAAACTTAACAGATCCACACGAGCAAGAGCACATTTCGTCTCCTCCCCGCCGCTCCCAGTCACCTAGGCGATCGCAAACACACTCAATTCCGCGATCACAAGGTGTTCCCCTCATGCCACAGGTTGGGCTTTCCAAGGTGGAAATGGTAAATATCTTCTCTTAGCCAGTTCCTGCCGGAACCGCAGGATTTCAATACATGCCGTTTCCAGTTGACTCGCAAAGCGGAATGCCTCTTTGGCTTTTGCCTAATAAAAGGTAGTGATTCTCACAAGGGTCACATGATGTTCAAACTCAGTTTTAGTCCCTTTGCTGGCTCTACGCCTAATCTGACGTTGATTGCGGACGAAGCTCCAAGATCGAAAACTAAATCTGGACGACTCAGAGTAGACTACACTTCCGACACGAACTCGGACCGAGACAGGTAACTAGTAATCGTTACTTTGATAATCAAATTTGTTAGACGGTCCTCCAGAAGAGGAACACTCCTGCGAGCATCGTCAAATGTTCAAGTTTATGACGCAGATCTGGACAGGCGTTTGCGAAAGGTAGAACGAGCGTCCACAAAAGTCGACCGTGGTTCACGTGAACTTATGCGATCAGCTCAATATAAACACTACGGCTATCTGTAGATTCTGTATATAAGCTCAAAATAACAAGTTTCCATCAACGGACCCTATCTCAAGCTGCGCTCAATTCAATTCTTCCAAAGTTCATTCTCTCCACTGTCGATAAGTTATTTTTCTACTTTAATAAATATTTTTACACGAATTTTTTAAACAATGAATTTTTTTATTGTAAATATTTATTTTCAGTCTATAGGTTCATTTTATACAGAAGTCGATTAATATAAATTATTTTGCCCGCTGAGCAAGGAGCTTCGAGTGCACATAAGAAAGAGCTCCAACGAGATTCATTGAGAGGCCCACAAGAAATTGGTGAGCTACTTTGGGCTTGTCATAGCCGAATAAACTAACGAACGCAGCAAGTATGCCCTTCAAGGTTCCCACCACCGAAGTCGTAATCGCGGTGTTGAACTTCAAACAGGCAAAAAGCGCTGCGTTCAAGAAGAATCCACAGAAAACGACGAGCAGGAAGAGAAAGACAAATGTATGGTCGCGCCACAAGTCAGAATGAAATATTTTGGAGAATTCTGGCCAGCTCAAAATTGCCAGGAACATCAGAACTGGAAGTGAATTGACTGAGTTGATGTAAAGCATATCCCAGCTTCAATGAGTTCGCAATATTTGTTACTTTAATTGTTGTTTCATGGGCGAAAGAATAAAAAGAATATTGAAGAACCGTTCCTTGAAAATCCTTTCACAGTGCCAAGACGCTCAGCTTCCGTCTGATAAAGACTCTGCAAAAGTACAGCAATGAATACTAAGCCATATAGTCCAAGGGTGGCCTTTCCGAGGGTTGTCCCCATTATTCCGATAAAACAGCCAAATGTTGTCATCGCTATCGCAATGGACGAATAATCGAGGGTCACTTTACGCTGAAGAACAGCCCCAGAAAGGAAGAGGTTTACTAGGGGCCCCAGTCGCTTTATCATGTCTAAAATAAATTTATTCCTTGCATTTATTGAGACCTCTCTCACCAATAACTGCTATGTTCAATCCTCTCAAGGAATGCAGCGAAAAGTACACATTGCCACAGGAATATAAAGAAAGCTTCCAACAACAGAAGCAGTCAACAGGCGAGATCTTTCGTGTGAAGATTTTAGAAAAATTTGAAGTGATGTCCAAAACTGAGATCGTGACCAAGCATTGGATCAGAAGCAAAAAGATGATGCCGTGGAAATTAAAGCTGACCAAAAGGGTCTAAATAGAAATAGTGAGCAGTCGAATGTTTTTCTCTGATTTGTTTTACCTTGTTCAAAAATGGAAGTGCAAAAGAAAGCAGAAAGTAAATTGTGGCTGATAGAAATGACCAAATATCAATTGATTCTTCGAAATATTCAATAATTCCACTGAAACCATCAATTTCTTCTTCGTCCGAGTCATCTTCTTGACTCTCAATATCCTCTGGAACAGGGATCACTTTCTTAACTCTTCTCTTTTTCTTTTTATGTTTGATAATATTTGGAACGGGCATTTTGGGGGCGACTGTAGTATATTTCGTATTATTCCGAAGTTTTTATGGTGCGGCTAACGAATGTCGACCCCGCCCTCCGGCGATTTCATATCTTCTAGCATTATTGATAAATAATATATAGATTCATGGTTGAACACTCAAAGGTATGAATTATTCAGCATGAATTTTGCCCAGGAAAATTGGGGATTTAAATATTGTTTAATGTAACTGAGATGACAAAAATGATATAATCTGAAAATCAGAAAAAAAATTCACTATGATGAAGCTTTAGTAAATCTTATTTTAAGCAAATGGCTCTTTTAACAGATTAGAGGAACACTGGCAATGAACTATACTTAAGAAGTGATAACTTAAAGTGATAAGCAGACTCAGCGTGTGACGGACGCTCGACTTACTATGAGTCTATTTCTTGAGAGAAATGATCCAAGACGCAGCGACCTGGATTTGGGGCCAGGCCGGAGCTGACAAAGCCTCTCAAGGATCGGATTTCGGAAAACTCTGTGATGAACTTTTTTTTTTGAAAATGTTTTATTCGAATACACAAAAAATTATTAATTTCAATTTTTCGAAATCGATCGGCAAGCGGCAAAAACGACTCAGTATGCGGTAGACAAATTCGTGACATTCGTATCTGTAGCAGCTCCTATTATTCTCGTCGTTTTCACGCGCCAGTACGCGCCGAATATAGGACAGAGCTCGGGTCTCTTATGCGCACCGCCTGTTTCTAGCGGATACAAACTTAATGGCGTCTCTGGAGTCGCTGGCGATGGATTTACCGAAATGTTTTACATGCAAAACTATTGCTGGGAGAATTTCAAATCGTTTCCAGTCAAGAAAGCGAATATTTCGGGGCAGGCGATTTCTGTTTTCGACGAAGGGAAGGCAGATCAAATTAAGGTTTCCTCTTCGTGTGAGCAATTATTCAGAAAATAAGCTTGTATAAAGCAAGCCTATTTGAACAATATAAACACTCGCTTTAGTCTTTGGAATTACTCAAAGTGTTCCCGTATGTAATGATGGCCTACGCAGCCCTGATGTTTCTACCCTTTCTGATTTGGAGTAGAATGTTTGCAACGAAAACTCGCGATCAAGTAAGAACTACGCGCTTGAAAGCGCTTTTAATTGTATTTTAGTTGGACTTTCTGATGGGTGGAATGGAAGAAGGACTGACGATGACAATCGGCGGCCTGGCGAAATCGTTAGAAGGCTACAAAGGTCGGCGACTCGAGAGAACCACGGACGAAGAAACTGTCTACCAAGTTTTGGCCAAAGAACTCAAGAAGGATCCCAACCTGAACGAAAAATTTGAGAGCTATCAAAAGTTTCTCCTCTCTCTTGCCAAATCCAATAGTTTAAGCATGTAAGACCATATGATGAGTTAATTCTTGAAAAGAATCATTTTTAGTGGATACTCGATAAGAAGATGGCTACATGTGATCATTTCTGTGGTCTGCACATATTTTCTCTTCATCACGTATGTCAAAGAGTACCAGAGTTCGTTCAATTGTCTCTTGGACTGGACAGTTTCTGAAAACAACAAGGACCAAACAATCCGACCAGGAAAGTTATTGGAGAAATAGCGCTCTAATACAGGCAGCACGTGAATTATTCACCAATATCTGGATAGCCGTTCTGTGTTCGATGCAAGGGGTGGAATTAGTTCGCCTCGTAGTGGCGATCATATGTACCCTGAACGTGGTGCTCGTTCCTTTCTACGCGGTGATGGCCTTTTACACCTGGGGGTAAAGTTTAAAGCCGCTTCTAATCTCCTCAAGGCGTTTTAGCGAGACTCGCAAAGCTATTCGAACTCTGCAAATGCTGCCTTCTCCTGTCATCATAAAATATTCCGAAATCTATGTAAGAAATCCTCCAGGCTAGACAAAATTGAATTGATGTAGGAAGCGGCTGAAGAGCTCAAATGCTCTGACCTTCATACTTTGCTCAGTCTAGCGAAAAATAGTCTCCGTGAAGCACATCCTACTTTTGCATTTTGTGTCCAGGTAATTGCCATAATAATTTTTGATCGGTGAGAATTTAAGGCTTCAAAAATGGCGAGAACTTTGAATGGCAAAAAGAAGAAGCCAGAGGGGGATGATGATGGCGGATATCTAGTTATGCTCAAAGGTAATGAAAGGAGATAAAAGTTTCTCGACTAAGAAAAAATAGGCTTGGTTGCTTGGGGAAAGAAAGAAGCTGAAGATTCAAAACGCGAAGCCATTCTCAAGAACCTTCGTCATCATGGAAAATAACGCTCACGAAATAAACTCGAAATAAACTTGTAAAGTATGATCAAAGCACGATCATCAAAATTGCTATCGGGGGTTTATGTCGTAACTGTCAAGTTAATCTCGAAATAATTATCGAAATACTTTCATGAATTGATTTGACGAGGGAACATGTTTCTATCTCACTCATCATTATTAACGATGCAGCGGGAAAGTTTTAAGTTATTCCCCCATTATAACAGGTGTATCATTGACTACCCAGTAAAAGTTATTATCCGCACGATAAATTATTGTTGTTTTTAATGATCGCATTCGTAAAATAACCTTTGCAAGGGTGCAGCATTATTTCCATCGCACACAAAAAATCGGATAGAATTTCTTACAAAAGACAAAATGGAGGGCAAGAGTCAAAAGCAGCCAGTAGAGAAACCCAGGCTGATGACAATGCAAGAGAGATTCAGGAAAATAAAGCAAGATTTAAAAAATCTCACATTAGAAGATACATTGGAATGGCTAAAAACTTTTACTGAGAAAGAATAATCATTAATTAACCCCTGAACGCATAATTTTTAAATTTCGCTGAACCTAAATACGGTCAATTAATTGGCTTAACTGTCGACAGGAGGAATAAACTTGATTCCTAGAAGTTCTAGGCTAGAACCCATTTATTTAATTCATATTTATACACTAAAAGGGCGCGATGCCCAATTAATTGGGCAGAATGGGTTTAGGGGTTAACGCTTGAACGCACGTTTGAAAAGTTTCGCTGAACGCATATTGCGCAGATTTCTGCGCAGTGCCTTTGAAGGGTTCTAGCGTCGACTTATTAAAAGATTTTTAGAATATTGAAAGTACCTGATTAAAGCTGAGACGCTTGGCGACAAGAAAAATATAGTTTTGAGGCCTCACCCTAACCTGAACCTAGCTAGAACAGGTGATTTCGAGTATTACCCAAAAATATGCCATTTTCTCAAGTTTGATCGAATCAAATGCAAAAGAAGGTATTATTTTAAGAATAAGTCGTCATTTTGATCCTTCTAAGAGGTAAGCTTTTACTAAAATTTAAATAAACCATGAAAAAATAACTGATTTCGTCAAAAAGAGTCAGTTTACTTGTAAAATTTTGAGGATTTGAAATCGACGGAAATTTTCGCTCTGAAGCCAAAATTTTTACCTGAGGTCAAAAAGATTTTTTGATTACAGATTCAGATTCCTCATCGAAAAAGAGTCCGAAAAGTGGGGGTTCATTTTAAATTTTGCTCAAGTAAAGTTTGAGTTATCGAGCTTAAAAGGTTCTCTGCGCAGAAATCTGCGCAATATGCGTTCAAGCGTTAATATAATTAGAGATAAAATAATTAAGTGTTTTGAGAAAATTTTAGCCATAGAAGACATTTTTGATACTGGCATTCATGATTTTCCTCTTGGCACTTATAAACTTTTACGCTATCATTAAAAAAACAGACACTCTTTGGATTCCCTGCACGATCGAATTGGTCGCTCTTGCGATTTTATGCTGCTCTTACTGCGTAAAATTACTATAAATACGAAATACACTTCTCGATCTACTCGAGTAACATCACATGACTTTGATATTGGTATGTTAATATAAGGGCATTCGCCAAACAAGAAAATCGATTTTAATTGGGAAATAACGCAATCAAAGTGGCATACTCTCGCCTGCCGATGAAATCGCATTTTTACCGTCTCATGCTTCTGACACCAAAGAATCTCAAAGCCCCTATGTAAAAATGAGAAACCCCTTTTTCAAGAGTATCGCATCTTCTGAGATAAGTGCTTCTGAAACTGACCAGGAAGCGGCGAATGCCAGAGATATTCACAAATACCTCACCTCTCAGGTTCCAAAAAATATCCAGGATTTCATAGCCTAGTATCACGTCTCATAATCGTTAAAATACGGACGCAAATTGACTACTCGTTGTACATTTCCAACTTTAGATAACGCCATTTATATTGGATAAATTCAACAGTCAAACAGATGCTGCTTGTGCCTCTCTCAAGAAAGTTCTTTCTGAAACGAATGTTAAAGGACTCCCACCATCATTGACGGCGGCGCTAACATTCTACAGCCGCGAACAATTCCTCCAAACAGCCCTGCCATATGTTTTCACTACTCTCTCGTATACATTCAAACATCGTCAGAATAATGACGGACAAATGGTTGCATTGACGGAGGCAGAAACAGAACTCGTCAAAACAATGACCGTCATTCTCTCCGGCGACGATGGTATTCGCTTGCCTTTGGCTACGTTGCAACTTTTTGTTGTCCAGTTCTCACCATTTTTTAGTAAGCTAAATGCTTCTGAAAGTTTTTTGCGAATGGTCCTTTCAGATCAGGTGTGTAAGATTAAAGTTCTTTTTATGAGAAACTAACTTAGATTCAAATTTCGTTTTGGGGCTCCCTTTCGAAAGCAAATATGCCAGACCTGGCAGTATTCAACCGACCTTTCATGGAAATCGACCGAGTACGCCAAACGATGAGCAGAGGAATTAACTCACCTTTGTCGTGCCTCGACGCCGCAGTTTTGCAATCGATTGATAGGTCAGAAAATATTCCCTATTGAAGCTTGTTAAATAATTGTTCAGAAAACTCGTTAAATGCCCGGAAAGTCGTCTTTGGTGCTTTTCATACTTGCGTAAACGTCTATCTTCGATATTTGGACAGCATCCTGAAGGAGACACGACGCGGCTTATAAAATCTGAGCCCCTTCAAAGACGGGCAGTCTCGATAACAGTTCCACGATCGAACTCTGAAGATGAGGAAAAGAACAAACACGTCCGCCAGAAAATGAAAAAACAATCAATCTCAGCTAGTCCGATGTCACAGTGTTTAATAGCACAAATCTCGACGCCTTGGCTAGTTGAAAGTTTCAAAAACTTGGCGACGGAAAGTCCCTCTCCGGAAGCCTCTTATCGCGAAAGTGGAAGGAGCTCTCGACTAACAACGAAACATTGTTCGCCACGTTCACTTACCGCGCATAGAAGATGGACGACCGTTTCGTTAAAGCGTATGCATTCAAGACAAACGAGTATTCGACAGAGCTTGCGGAGATCGGTCAGACGAATGTCACAAAACGTGCGCAATTTGAATAGAATTGGCTCACGGCACTTGGTGCCCTCTGGAAAAGGACACAGCCAAGCAACTAGATTTTCAATCATTGATCCAGCTGGTGATGAGTCGCTAGTCATTCACTCGATGTTGCTCTACAAGAAAAATGGCGTCAAAGACGACAATCGAATAGAGCAGAGAAAGTGGCTCTCAGACTCGTCTGTCAAATACACAACTGAGTCCGGTCTTTATGAAAAAAACTTCGCCTTTATATTTCTTGATAGGACAAATTTGCCGAAGCTCGACATGCTCCTGAGCTACTTCATGCAGAATTTCGCTGACTTGCAACCGAACATGCAGTTAATTGAAACTGCTGTCGGTTTGTACTGCTGGCTTTTTGAACAAGTCGAGCATCACAATTCCGACTTGGAGAATCTTATCGAACTTGGGTTGATTTTGTTGATGAAATTGCCGTGCAACTGCGAGCGACAAAAGAATGCAACAAATTTGAACCCATTCCGTGGAATTCTGCTAGAGAAGCTTGATCACATTATTCATGAGTGCGAAGGCGAGTCTGAGCAGGTTTTGAAGCGCTTGATAAAGTCAAGACCGATCGAGTGGATTCTAAAAATGCTTCATAAAGTTCTCGAAACCTGCCGAAACTTTGACAATGTGAAAAATCACAAGCTTAATCGCGTTCAGCATGCGTTCTTGAGGACCCATATGAGGGATGTAATTTTGAAGATCGGCGAAAAGTTCAACGAAATCGGGAAAAACAGTTTGCACACTCCTGGCAGTCTCATCAATTACATCCGTTATCAACATCCAAAAGTTTTCTGTGAGATATTCTTTGATATTTTGATCCAAGGCAAGAAAGACGCAATAAGAATAAAAAAGATTCGCCAGATCAGAGATCTATCTTTGAAGAAGCAAGATTCAAGCAGACCCGCGGGTCATTCTCCGTCAGATTGTTCAAGCTCACGAAACGCCAATGACGATGCAGCCGAATCAAAAAGCCGCAATCCGTCAGACTGCAAAGCGGGAGTTGGGCGCTCGATGATAAGAAGACTTACTGAGATGGTGCAAAATACGAAGTCAGATGATAATGAAAAGGCTCCAGAAGTGAGAGACAACCAAAAATTCTTATCGATTAAAAAGTCTAAGTTTAATGTATTCAGTAGTTCAAGGAGAGGCTTTCAATTGTAAATGATTATCAAGTCTTGGATAAAGTTTCACATTGAAAGCATTCAACAGACGGATGACAGAAGAAGATCTTATTCGAAATAAATACAGCACGCTAAATGCCACACGTCGTCCAGCTCATCTCGGTCTTCCCATTTCGTCTAATGAGATCAATGAACCTATTCCATTCGTATCGGGTCAATTATTTTAAGCATATGTAGATCGATCAAAATAAATACCCCCACTTAGTGCCCATTCACTCGTCAGATGCGCTGAAACTAGATTTGGAAAAAATTTGCGAAGGCATTGGTATTCTTAGGACAGTTCTAGGGCTTATGAATGCGAATTCTTTACCTGATGGAAATTTCATCGCGCAGATATTCAACATGGACGCGCCTGTCTTTGTTAGAGTGGTCACACTTGTTGAACTGACCCAATATGTTCGCCAGAATCTCATATGCTTGCAACGCACCTATCAAAGCGAGAATTCTGGCTTTCACCAAGCTCATAGCGAAGAAACAAGATTGGAGCTCAAGAATCAATTTCAAAACTGGGCAGAGAAGATTACTTCTATCTTAGAGGAACCAATCGCTGATGACCAGAAAAAAATCTCGATGCCAACGGTGTCTACCTTCCTCACAAATAAAGAAATCGATAAGGTTGCTTCGAAAAGATGGATTCGTAACTTTGGGCTCATACTGCTTTCGGAATTAGTGGCGTTTATTCGAGAGGCGAATTTACAAGCGTCAAAGGCAAAGTGTAAAAAAGCACAGCTGCATTTACCAAAACGTCGCGGTAGACACGGGCCGCATTACAAGAATCAAGATGAGGATAACGATTCTTTGGGAGGATCAAGGCATGCAAAAAACAAGCTTGATATTCTTTATACTCACGGTGCACTCGGAATGAAGCAGTTTTTCTCTCGCTGGGGATTTAAAGACAAAGATCTTCCAATTGAATTAAATTCGAACATCATATCTAACCCTTCCGCCGACCTGAACGAGCATTCGGAACCCAATCGAAAATCTCTTAATTTGAAGAGCCTTCGTGGATCTTCTCTCGATCATACTCCGAAAGGACCATCTCAAAGTTACATTAACTTGATGGGTCATTTCTTGTCGGACTTCAGCTTCGATTGTGACCACAAAAACGGAGAATGCTTTATGAACTGCTATGTTGCGACGAGACAAGTGACCGAAACGCTCGGCTCACTCATATTGCTTCTTCTAAGCGATAATTACTTAGACAAAATCGACTGCTTTGCCGGAAACAAGAAGGCCATTGTACAAGAAGCTCACCAAATAATAGAAAAAGTTCCTGTTGCTTGTTTAAGCGTTTTAGTGGAATCTATCCACGAAATATCGAACGCGACGATGCAGTTTGCCATCTATCCGTGTTGGAAAATAATCACGCTTCGCAACGATAAGGCATCTAAGCTTGCTGCCGTTTTCATTCTTCTCGCCTGCCATAGACTAAAAGAAACCATACCAGCCTTTTTGAAACTTTGCTTGGAAAAAGACCCACCCGCAGAATTGCTCGAGAAGATGGAGATTCTCTGGAATATGAGATCGCATGTTTGGTCTCATGTTGATAAGCGAGTAGCCCGTCATTTTAAACTACCAAGCTTAGCAGTAAATATAGCGTTGCCGAACCCACCGCTTGGTGACTATCCGGAGGAAGCGCCAGATGCGCCGTGGATGAACGAATACAACGATTTCGAAAAAATGTATGCTGAAGGGATCCTCAACGCTGATCTTCTTAAGTCGAATCCGTCTTCTACAAAGAAAAGCGAACAAGAAAAAACTTTCAAAAAGGAACAAGAGGAGAAGCAAAACAAGCGGCAGAAGTATTCATTGACGAATTTGTCCATTCAGGATTCTATAAATCAACACTACTATCGCTCAGTTGGGTCTATGGATGACGAAGAAGAGGGATCGCGGCGATTTAGCTCCAGACTTATGTCAATCACCTCGATGGGAACGATGGTGGACGAAAACAACCTGACAGACAGCGGAAATGATATCAACAACGATAATTTTGATAGATCCTATCATTTCAAGGACGACGTTCCCAGTCAAGTTTTCCCAACGGCATTGCAAAATATTTTGCCAAAACTCTTCTATCTGGTAGATTCTCCCGAACTCCACAAAAATATCCCGGTGAACTTAATTGCAAAAGATCTATTTAAAAAGTTCTTAACTGAAGATTGTTTTCTCCTCCTTCGATCGGTAACGGAAAAGATTATATCAAGAACGCAGACGAGCGCTGAACCAGTATCAAAAATCTATGATCTTGTTCTTGCAATTGGCGGATCGAAAGACTCATGGAATCTAAGCGCTCAAACAACAAAGACGATCGCAAACTACGTTGTTGGGCTCATGACCATGATTACTCGCAACGGCGATGAGCTTGAGCGACATCGAATGGAACAACTCATATTAATACTCCAATTGGTACTCCCGAATATTGAAGGGGTAACACTCAAGCAGTTGAAAGCAACGTTTAAAAAAGAAAACTGCAAGATATCATTATTCTCCGTTGTCTACGGGGCAAAGAAGCTTACCTGTTTTGGGCCGTACGATCATATGATCCCAAATCAGATCGACGTGGGCTCTGATGTCAAGTTTATTGATATTCTTGAAGAAGGCATCGAGTTTTATTCGCTAACAGCATCACCTGGGAATGTTCTCTGTCTCCAGGATCGATCGAAAAACAGGCTTCTCAACCCAAACACGTATGTTAGGGATTACTTCATCTTCAAAAAAGGAGAAATTCCACAGGTTACCATCGTTGAAGTTGCAAAAGCTCGGGCTGAGAAAGATATCAACTCGCTCGCTGTAAACCAGTTCAACGATGAGATCGCGAAAGTAGTTTTAATCAACGAAATAATAACATCATCGGGAGACAAAGAGTCCGAAGCTCTCTTCTTGAAATCTGAGTTGCTTCGGATGGCGATGTTTCCTCGGCGTGTAATGGGTTCAGGTTCGAGTGATCGGATCTCCGAACAACTAGACAGCATGAAAAAGTTTTTCTGGATGGATCTTATTTCAAATGTCTTCGAAAATATTGATCCTCTCAACTGGGAAATGGAGCTTGTATCGTTTCTGGACATCCTATGCTGCGCGTTTATAACCCATCACGAAAATCTTTTCGTTCTGAAGAAGTTCATCACATCCCTCGTTTCCGCGTCGATTCGTTTCCCGGAAAAATTCCTAGAATTTTGCAGACTTCATATCTTAGATTCCGTAATAAGAATCTACATCTTACGGTATCACTCTAAAACAACAAGAAACGCTATTGAGTTTCTGTGCAAACATTTGTATCGCATTCACAGAGTACCATTCGTTATGCAGCTTTTATCAGCTTTCGCGGACCTGTTTAATGATTCGGTTCTTTACATCATTTAACTGATCAAAGATAATAAAGCGTAATTGAACCAGAATGAAGCTGATCTGACAACGAAGGAACAGCTAACACCGGAAATTCTTGCATCTCTGATCAACTCTATAAATGCCAGCTCTACATGTGGAGAATGCTACTTTCTCGACAAAGTCTCGACAAAAACGCTGGACACTATCTACCTTTCTGAATCAGAAAATTTTCAAATATTCGACGCCTTAAATCTCTGTCAAATTTTAATTCTTGAATGGAGCGACAAGACATCTATCACAAAAATGTTCCTACTCTTGGACATTCTCGTTGATATCGAGCTTTATGAGGTGAGGCAGCAGCTCAAGAAGTTCTCCAAGGTATCTCTTTTGCTTTTCACCAAGCTGAAGAAAGTGACCGAAGTCGTGGAAAATATCGCGCTGCAATCGCAATGTTTTCAGTCCAGAACGACTATGTCCAAACGTGGTAACCGCGTGACCAGTGACGAACTCGACGATGAATCCAGCGAGTCAGTCGAATTCAACGCCTGCACTGAATGTGTCCTCCCCCGTCAAACCTATCTGCAGGTTGTTCTCAAGATTTACAAGGTCTCAAAAGATGTAACTATCTCGACTAAATTTGACGACGAAAACTTTTCAAAAAAGTTCAACGAGAAACTTTTGGAAATAGTTTTTTCTCTATTGAAGACTCCAATAGATGAAATAGAGAAGAACGTCAAACGAAATATGCAGAAACAGACCTATCGGCAGTTCTCGGAAACCTTGAGCGACTACTTCTCTGTAATGTTCCCGCAACTGGACTGGCGAGTGAAAGAGATGCGTGCGGGATTGACAATCTTTCTCAAGAAATTTGAAAAATTACTCGGTCGAATCACAACAAAGCCTGGGCTGAGACGGAAGCTTATTTGGAGGCCTTTTCTCGAGGTCATAAAGGGAATGAGACTGCTGATGGCCAGAAAAAGTGTTCTTCTCGGAATGCAGAGTATTTTTAATATTATTGAACATTTGCTCATCATTCTTCTGGACAATTACCAGATTCAAAGGACCTTTCAAGATGGAGTAATGAGTCAGATGCCTTTTCGATCAGGTAGTGAGACGAGTCCAAAAGAACTCAAGCTGGAGATTATCGATTTTCTTGTTGTGGTGGACGATGGCTTTCGCACTCACCCGGAGCTCCAGTCCCTGCAAAACTCTGTCTCTTTCCAACGATATTATGAAGCTTCAAGGTCGCAGAACAGCAACTCCAAAAATCAATTCATTTCATTTTTTCTGACGCCAATCCTATTCAAAAAGAAGAATAAGTCTTATAGATCATCTATTTCGAAAGCGAATCTCGAGTTCTCATTGGAATTTTATCTTTCTACCGCGCTTGAACGCCTTAATGATTCGCAAGCATCTTTTTACTTGAGGAAAGGTCCCTTTTTGAATGTCATAATTAATAATATAAGAGCATAAATAATACATAAATAATACTAGAGCTAAATTGTTAACGGACCGAAAAAGTACACACAATGGAAGCCAACACTCGTCAGACATGGATAGGAGACTTCAGGAAATTTTACTTGGCGTAAAAGTTATCTTTTACGGATATCAAATGGAGATTATTGAATTCGGTCTGATCAAGATCGTGGATATTTTTTTCAAGAAACTTCTGAACATACAAAACGTCAGTGGCTGGAAATGTCTGCTAGACATTGTCGAAAAGTGTTCAACCATTAAACTTGTCCAGCGCCCTGAACTACTGCGAGTTCTTTGTGAACTGAAAATCTCGAGTTCTTGCGCCAGTCAGCTCAAGCCGATAAAAGACGAGTTGATGAAAACACTAACGCAAGTTGGCTGCTGCCATGTCTCTATGCAGACGCATTTGATCCAGCTCAAGCCGGAAATTCTTTATCAAATAGACCAGCTCCATGCAGGAATACTCGATGTCAAGAAAGACAAAGAGCTCACTGGGAGTACGCGTAAAGGCTCCAAAAGGGTTGACAAAAATTCACGACTTTCGTCAATAAGAAGTGCGCTGCCCGGTTTGAGCAGAGGAACTTCCGTTAAACGAGGCCTCGAGCACAAGACTAGCCAGAAATCAAACCTGGAGGGATTCACAAGGCCCTCTTTTGATGAACTCGACGGGTGAGTCTTTTTTTTCCTCTTCAAATTAAGATTTTAAACTCTAGCGTGCAATTATCAACAATGAGCCTCGGATTTCGCCCTTCGTCATGCAAGTTAAAGGATGAAACCACCTCTCGTCGTCGACATACTCGCCACAACACTGTTGGAAACTCCCTTGGAGACCTCGAAGAGCATGAAAAAACAGCACATCTGAAAAAAAATCCAACAACAATTTTCTGACCTGCAAGAACTTATTTTGAGCTTTTATTTGATTTGAGCTTAAGTTTGATTTATATTAATTATGTTAAACATAATTATGAAATATGGAAGTTTCGAATCACACTTTCCCTGAATTGCTTATATTTCAAGAATAATTTCTTAAAGCATCTGAACTAAGCCAGCAAGGACACCCTGCCAAGCCGCGTTATAATCAGTTGCAACTTCATTTGCAATATAATCGTTACGATCATCGTTCCATTGGTCGTTCTGATTTGGCCCTCCAACGAGCGCTCCATAAAGTGTCCATGGATTAGCTCCGGCGCTTTAATTGATAAAAGTTATTTTAAATTCTCTAAGAAAGAGTAATCACTTACGCATTCGAATCACAACCGCCAGTTGTAGGACAGCTTGAGCTTCTATGATGTGGTCTTTTGGGACAATTACTTGCGAAACCAACGATGAAGCACTGATTGTTTCCATTGCCTCCCTTGAGGTAGTCTACTTGGCTTTTCGCGAAATTCAAAAAGCTCTGATTGTTGATGCCATTTCGAGCAGCTTGTATTGCGATGAATGCGGCGTTTGCAGCATGACGAGCAGGGCCCCATTGTTGCCGATAGATCATTCCCTGTGGTGTGTAAGGACTGAATTGTTAAAAAAAGTTACAAAGCACTGAGAAATTACCCGTTGGAAATGAGAGAATTCGTGTTGGATAGAACAGTTTGTCTGTATGAGTCTTTTTGCGTTATTTCATACATGATAATCTGTACGCCTGTTTTCTTGTCGTCCCAAGAATAGTCACCTCCAGAGCTCATGCCCATACTGCTATACATAGATTCGGCAGTCGAAATGTCAGAGGACGCTCCTGTAGCTTTGGCCACCTTATGAAAATTAAAATAATAAAAGAAGAATTAGAAATATTACCCAAGCTGCAGCCCAGACCAACTCGTCATTGTATCCAGACCAAGAGTTGTAGAAGGAAGACGCTGGAACCGAGCCGGTATACGTTCCACGGAAGCTATTGGCAAAGTTGAAAAGCTGTTTCGCGTGTGTCAGACATTCAGCGGCGTAAGAAGTAAGTCCGTGCGTATTGAACACTATGCTAGCAGCAGCTAGTGCAGCAGCAGCTTCGCCGGCTACATCCGATCCAGGGTTATTTGAGTCGACTTTGAAAGACGGACGGTTATGATTGATAAGATGAGCAGGCCCCCAAAAGCTATGGTCAACGTTGCCGTCGCCAACTTGAGCCCAATACTCGTTCGGAGCAGTGTGACATTTAATCAAGTAATCAGTGACCCATTTGATTGAGTCTACAGCACGATTCCACTCGCCAGAGTTTACGTATCCGGTTTGAAAAGAGATCATCCCCCACGCGAGCGTTGTAACAGAATATGCCATAGGGAAATTGAATTTAACATGATCTCCAGCATCATACCATCCGCCAGTCAGATCATGACCAACATCGCAACCATCTCTCAGCCCAGAAGATCCTCTCCAGGGAATTCTGTTAGCAGTTGACGAAAGAGGCCCAGATCTCTGTGCTTCATAAAACATGATCGACAAATGTAAAAGTTTCTTGTAGTCGTTTGAAATGTTACTTGGCGAAGCTTGAACTGGGTTAATTGGACAGTAACCTTGCTCCATCGAACATCGCTGAGATTGCCATTCAGGAGGGACTCCATTCATGCAGTTGCCAGATGTAACGTGTGTAGATGAGCTTGCAGTAGTTGTTGTTCCTGGCGGAGCTGGCGTTGTCGAGCCATTACCGCCCCCACTAGTTGTTGTTGTCGATGGCGTATTTGTAGGTCCTTGAGTTGTCGAATCGCCGAAGAAGCAGAAGTTGATGTTTTCTGTTCCTGCTACTGTTGCAGCTGTATTTCCTCCTAAAACAAAACAAATTATCTCGGTCAAGAATATTAACTCCCACCTGATGTTGGTACTCCGTCTCCAATGTAAGTAAACTCAACGTTGTTGCAGTGCGTCTGATCGTTCCCAGTGAATCTCCAGACGTATCCTTGTGAGTCGATTTTCTGAACGGTGCCGGACCAGAATTGAATCGAACTTATTGGTTTCGTAAAGGTCACAGTAGCTGACCAGTTATTTGAAATACATCCCGAAATCGGAATCGTTATGTAAGCTTGATATGACCACAGGTTTCCATTTTGCCACCAATTTGGATTGCTTCCGAGTGAGTGACTTCCTTTGATAGAACATCCACCGTTTGCGGATGTAGTTGTTGTCGATGATGACTGAGTTGTAGTTGGTGAAGTTGGTGGAGCGGCAGTGGAAGTTTGTGTGGTTGAGGAATGTGTAGTTGTAGGTCCCGATGAAACGGTAGTTGTACTCGCTGTCGTCGTTGTAGTTGTTGTCGTTGTCGGAGGAGGACAACTTGACTGAGTAACTGCTGTTCCATATGTTTCGACTGGATTTGACAGACAGCTCCAGTCATTTACGGCGATTCCAGGAGAAGCTTGAAAGTTTGAGTCGTATGCGTTGCAATGAACGTAAGTCTCGAAGACATTTTTTCCTCCAAATGTACTCAAGTCACTGCCATGTATAACCAACCGTGTGCCATAATGGCCCAGTTTATTCCAATATGGATGCGCCCAATGAGTCAACCCTTCATCTGGCTTAATTGTGAGAACAGTTCGATCAATGCTGATATGGGTGACTTGTGCACCTAGGATGTCGAACGTAGCGTCTTCTGGGATGAAACCGCTTTTGAGTTTAAGTGCAATGACTGAACCATGGTTAATGAAAGTGACGAGAGTAACTCTGTATACCGAAATCAGTGCACCAAGGAGAAAGAAGATCAGTATCTGTTCGAATTCTCGCCTCTCGGCCAATAATCAGACCAGTCGTACTATTTTTCCACATTTGGAAAAGTGAAGTGGCACTCGGTAGAAGTGTTCCTGAAGGACAAAAGAAACAACCGTTAGTTGCCCGTTGTTTCCAAACTGCGCGCCAAAAAGTATTCGGCCACTCTCCTCTGCACTCAATATCCCACGGATCATGAGGCTTATTGATGCTCATACTTCGGTAAGGTTCCACGCAGCGAATGAAGCAGACGCTTTTGTGATTTCGCCCGTCTGAACAGGAGTCAACCCTGTGACCGGGGGACCAGAAGTCGACATCGGTCAATATCGGGCATGTAACAGGATTGATAACTGCGTCGACATCTCGTTGTGGAAGTTGATACTCTTTTCCAGGAGTGAAGCCAGCGGCAGCTAACGGCAAAAAGGCAATTTTCATCTCTTGAATCTCCGAGATGACCGCTTCTTACTTACCCTTACCTTAAATAGCAACATTAGCCCACTTGTGGTAAATTTGTTTCAACAAAATTAAACGGTTTTTGCGCCCGCGTCACAATTTTCTAATAACTCAAACAAAATTTACAACAACCGGTAATTCGGCTCTGCTTTACCTCGTCACGGTCAGAAAGTATACGGTATTGAAATAGATCAAACTCTGCGTTATCAGGAGTTGAGAAATACTGTCGTTTGAATTGAAAGAAGGCATTTGCTTTGAGTTAAAATTGTAACGCTGAACGGGTGGCCGGTTAATTGAGTTTTAAATTCTATTAATTTTTCTGAATCAACCTCCACCCGATCCAAAATACGTTTTAGATTGAAGTTGATTCAGAGACGCACTCGGAGAGGGCGGCGTGTTTAACATTTTCATCTCGAACGACTGTAGTGTAAACACTAACGTGTTTGTAGTTGTAAAAACATGGGTGCACGATTCTCCCAAATAAAAAACGAAATAAGACCTTATTGAACTAGAAATAGATATTTCGGGAATAATCCCTTTAAATAATTTAATGCTAATTTTATCACACGCAAGTCAACAGAGGTTTATGATTTTTAAGTCTATTAGTGAAGTTGTCTAAAAGCGGGTAAAAAGGCTTCTTTTGGAGATCGACTTGAGGGCAATACACTAATAATCCAAAATCAGCGTTTTCTATAGTATTTTTTCTTATTTTAAGGGATCTCCTCCCGATTTGAAAAATATTATCGAGAGCTTTTGTGTGAGATAATGTGATATGTGTTATTTTTTAAAATCTCCGTTGTCTGGTGATCATTTTCACATCTTATGACAAGGGGAGTCCGTCACGTGGTAAGCCGTGACACAGCTTTGAAAATGGCTTATTTTACTTGGAAAAAATTCTTAAATTTTTCGACTTTTTAAAATCGACATAATCGGATGAATAAGGGCTCTACAGAAAGTTTAAAAGAAAATGAATTAAAAAAATATGTTTAATAAAATATCTAACCACTAAAAGGCGCTAGAGAGCATAGAAAGTCATAAAAATGGCAAAAATCAGTTGAAAAAGATCTTGTTAAGAAAATTCTACAATCCTTGACGAAATCACATGCATGTACTAGAGATTGTAGATCAGGGATCAAGAAAGACAGTTGTTATTGATTTAGGGCTTTATCTAAGAGCAGAAAAACTAATTCGATTTTTAAAATGGCCCAAAATGTGGTTTTTCGCGAGTATCAATGTTTTCAGCCCGTCTTTTCAAGGTAAAAAGTAGTTCGATGTCGAAGTTCACGAAATCGGGGGGGGGGGATCCCTTAAATAATTTATTGCATACAGTTGACTCCCACAGTTTGGCCCTTTTTTGTTTTTTTGCCATTTGCCGAAAATGGTGCGACTTCCTAAAAAATCCTTTTTGAAGCAACTTCTGATTAATTGTTCGTTCAAATCATTTTTGTTAGTTGATCTTTCAAATACTTGTATCTTTGTAAATAATATACGTGTATTTATGAATGTTTCATTTTTTAAAGCTTCCGGTAATGAATTAGTATGCCGGTGCTTTACTGAATAAAATTTGCGCGAATCCAGGTAAGAACGATTTATTGGAAGTTTTTTTCAAAGTCTGAGGGACTCGATTCCGATGCATTTTCGGACAGAAACTACAGAGACAATATTCCATTCTTCAATCTCTTCGCAGCGAATTTCTTCGGCGTTGTAGAACTGGAAGTTTTTTCGCGAGTAGACTGGTTTTCGGGGAGTAGTCATTTTTAGTCGTTTTTCGTCTCTTTTTCGATATTTCAGCGTCTCTTTTTTGATTTTCAGCGTCTCTTTCTTTTAAAAAGAGTCTTTTTATAGGTTTTAGAGTTTGTCTTTCAGCTTATTTTCGAGCTTTATTGGAGGTGTTTTGGGTCGGCGAGATTTTTGAGTTATGAGAAGGTCTAAGCTACCGAGGTATTTGTATTTGGAAGGTGCCCTGCTGGGGTGCGCCTTCGAGGACGAGATGAGAATCTTATCGGAGAAGGATCACGATTTCGTGCGCGAAAAAATTTGTTCCTGAATCTTAGTTCCACGAACTTAAAAAGCACCACCTGTTTTCCTAGTTCCGGGCGATTACGGCACATTGACCGCGATCTATTTTTACTAATTTGTTACGAGCAACTTTTAGGTTATCGTGCGCAATTTCCGGAAGACTGTGCTGCTCTTGCTAAACGAGCTATTGGAGAAGCATCACTCTTTCATATGCCTGTGGATCACAAACGAACTGAAAGAGGAGGCTGACTCTTGTTACTAGAGCCTCAAATATGCAGATTTAGAAGGAACGCTAGAAATTTCCGGAAGGGGATGAATACTCCATCCTGTTACTAAACGAATGGTCTCAGTTTGTAAAGCAGGTTGTTTTCTACCAGACTCAGTTCACAAAAGTTGTGAACAGCGGTTCTAATAAGAACCAGCGCCAAAAGAAGCCCCAAAGATGGTTAGAAATCAAAGTCGAATTCAGCTTCCGTGAACTAACCATTTCGCCTCATTTTTGAGCTTCTTTCAGCGCTGGTTCTCACTAGAGCAGCTCACAAGTTCTGCGAACTGACTTTGGTAGAAAAGAGCCTGCTCTACAAGCTGGGACCATTCGTGTTAGTGGATGGAGTATTCATTCCTTTCCGGGCGTTCGAAAATTTCTAGCTCTCATTTTGGGACTTCAAATGTTCCTTTTTGGGTGAAAATCAAGTGGGATTACGATGAATTTGGCACCAAAATGATCGCCGCGACCTAGCTGGGGTCGGCAAGCCACCAAGCGATGGTGGGTGGAGGTGACTGGGTCGATGTGGGAATCAAATTTTCAATGGTGGTAGTACAAAAATGGTGGGTTAATACAAAATTAACTCATGTCAGGAGGATAACTGATCTTTTTTGTAAGATTTCGCCGAAAAATATTGGCCCAAAACCCTCCCACCCACCATTTCCACCACTATTTGTCGACCCAAGCGACCTAGAGATTCAAAATCTGCATCATGTTGGAAGCGATCATGTGGTCAATTTTTCTACCATTACACGTGATGATACGCAATAATTCTGCCCAGTCAAAAAAGTAGATGTACATATCAAGAAAATTATATTTTGCAAAAAAATATAGCAGTCTCATACTGTATACATATGCGGCTAGCAGACAAATGGGTGCGCTGTTTGTGTGTGTTTGATTCTGGGTCTTGAAATTTATTTCTGAGGGATCGCTCCTTTTCGGGTTGTTTGATTATTCTTCAAATTGAAATAATTGAATCAAAACCAGACCATTTCCGGTATTGTTCTCTGAACTTGCAGTTCCGACAAATACTACTTCAAGTTTTAATGAACGAGCATGCTCGACGATATTGGGTGATAACAAAATCTCAAAGGAGATTTTCGAGTAAACCATTTCGTCAGGAAAAACTCTCAAAAAGACAATATTTAATAGACTAATCAGAAGTTCCTTAATCAAGTATTATTGCTGGTTCTACTTTTTTCCGTTAGTTACTGTTGGGATATAGACACATTTCTTGATTGAGCGTCATTTTGATAATAACACCATAGGTGCTTTGCCAATATGTTTTCTCGGGAATGAATGAGGTTCCAATATTCAGGTGATTAAAGAGTCTTTAATATTTTAGACTGATTAGACCTTTTCTTTGGATGACCCTTCTTTAAGTTGTTTACAAATTCTTCTTTAGACACTCTGCTACGTTGGTGCTACTAATATAATAAGAATATTTGTTCGATTGAGAAAACAAGGCTCTTAGTAATCATGGAAGACAAACAAAGTAAGCTGGATTTACAATCGATCGTGAGCTTGTTTCTGCTTTTCTTGATGCTTTTTTGAACTTATTAGAACCTTGAAAACGTTTAAGATCCAACCCCCATCAAAAATTTTTGAAATATTCAATTTCCGATTTTTTCTTTTTTGAGCCCGGGCAAATTATATTTGGTGAAGTAAAGTTACACAAAGTCAACAAGAGCGCTATGAATGTATGACGAATTTCGTCAGACGAAATCGTTTCTGGGAACAATATTGGGAACAAAATTCAATAAAACAAGCATTTTTATTTACATAAATGTATCAATAAGCGTGAATAGTAATATCTATCTATTCGCAAAATATCATTGCATTTGAAATGATCGGAAGTGAACTCGACTTTGCTTCTTGGAAGTTGTGTCGCAGATCGGTTATTATTGTCCATTGTCGATTTGCTTCGTTAGACACAATATACTTTGAGAGTTTAGACGATAATCACAATGAATAGATTTTAATTGTGTGTCTCTATGATAAACAGACTGTTACGTTTTGGTGTTTCTGCTATTATTTTTTAATTAATATGATCTGGCAGAAGCTGTTTTGATAGAACTCAGCCTCTTTGCTAAATTTGGAGTTTTAAACAGTCCCTCTCAGGGTTCTTAATTAAATTTCTGGTCTCACGCGACTATATTATATAGTCTATACATATATATATGCATCTGTTAACATATTTGACATACCAGATCAGGTTTACCAGTGTAAGAATCAAAAATCGTTTTTAAGTATTTTTGGAATCGTGAGAAAATTTTCAGCAATAATCTGCATCCAAAATATGGCTCATATAGAGACAACTCGGCTGAATATGAGAAAGACCTGAACTTTGTTCCATCTTTTTTAAAACAAATTGCATCTGAAAGATATTGCTTTTTAGAGTGAATTATTTTTTTTTCTCTTCTCTCATTTTTTTATTCTGCATAATAAAAATCTATAAGCAGTTAAAAATCAAACCGAAAACCAAGTAACACTTTGTCAGGCGGAAATATTTTCATACTTGGAAGGTTATATTATTACCATAAAACGATAAATTCATGTTACATATCCCTGCTTTATGAATTCAATCAAAACTAGTGTTTTGAGAAACGCTTGACCTCTTTTGAATTTATTACTCTGTAATGAAAAACGAATGCACTTATCAATAAAAAATGCTTACTTGTTATAACGTTCCCTCGGAAATCTTTGATGACAAACAATGTAAATGTATTTTAGCTCGGTTTATTTGAGGATCAATAGAACTACAAGGCGTTCGGGCCATGGTCATAATACGAAAGCAAAAAGAAAAAGTTATAATTTTTCGATTCAAGGCCGGATATTGATGATCTTTGTGGCTTGGATTTTCAGATCGGCTTTAGGATAATTTAGTAACCCGGGCATCCGATGGGGCTGGGCTTCCTGACTGTTCTGAAGAAAAAGTGAGTTTGGGCGAGGCTAGTGGTGACAGATCGAGCGATAAAATGTATTTTATTCGGATTTTGGCTGCCCCCTACGTCAGGGAACCGAAACACAGGCTCTCCGCTAAACATAACAAAACATCCGACAACTGAACGCCTTATTTTTGGCGAAACAGCGACAAGAAGCTTATCACGAAACTGTGCACTTGGAAACTCTTGCCGTTGTTAAATGAAGTGGTGAGAGTCTTACTGATTCGATGTGGTCAGTGTTGACCCGTAAACTTCCCCTTGGCGACCTTTTTGCTTTTCCAGCGAAATTCAAACAAAACGCGTTATTGACTCTTGCTTGTTCTGAAATACGAGAACACAAGTCAACCAGGAGCAAAATAGAAACGTGAATATCAAATGAGCCCCGCGTGTTTTTCCTTTGAACCGTTATTATTATTACAAAATCGAAATTCTTTTGGAAGACAAAAATTGTTTGCCGACGCAGCACTAGTATTCTGGTTTACAATCTCCACTCCATTTTTTGTCGTTTCCGGTAGACCTTGGATAGGAGCAGTGTTTTGCTTCAATACAAAAAGCTCATTTGATCAAACCTAATTTTTCCCGAGTTTTCAATGTTGACATCAAAACGTGGAGCACGCTTGAAGATCTAATTGATCGCCCAATATTATTTTAAATATTGTTAGCAATATATTTAGGCAGTTGTTCCGAGGAACGGGTGAGTTTCCACAACTTGTAAATAATAACTTCTATAGTGAAATTTATATCAACTAATTCAAATGTTTAATACTAAATACAGAAAATAATCCTGGTCTGGGACGGTCAAAAATACGCCTGGTTTGGGACGGTCGGGCCATTTAAAGATCAAAGGCGCACGCCTGGGGGGTGCTTTTTAATATGAAAGTGGCGCCAGAGGCGAGAGCGAAAATAATCCTGGTTTGGGACGCTTTGGCTGATTAAGACCGTCCCAGACCAGGCGTATTTTCTGTACGCGAGGGCTGATTCGGTGATTCGAGTTCCCCGGCCAGCATTCCCATAAAATCCCACTCGTGCCCGAAAACCGCGATAAACCGCTAACGTGACACGTGACTACCTAAAGAGAGTGCTTTTCTAACTTTCAGGCTATTCGAAGATGTTCCACTATCTCGAGCCAACTTTCCCATTTCCTAATCGAAGCATTACATCTAAGGGGCAAACATCTCATCTTTCGGCGAAAGAGCCCGTGGAGTAGATTCTTGACGAATTCCGCTGGAGATTTTGGTGGACGGATCCGGCCACTTTGGCAATTTCAACGTGCGTTGAAAGCATTCAGCAATAAACAGCAACGTGTGCGGCAAGGCTAACTCCAAGCTACACCGGCTTACAATAGCCGCTGCACAATGTTTCCGTGTTATTTCACCACCAAATCCCTCACTCTTGCTCTCCATCCAGCTTCGTGTGTTCCATTTCTCACAAATCAGCTAGCAGCGGCCGAAAGCGAGATCGGTAGAAATATCTTTCGCTCTGAATGAATTTGGGTTGAGCCACCCGGCTAAGCGGATTTTTTAGAGATTCTGCGCAGTTATGCTATGCGCAAAAAATATTTATTCGCACTAAAAAATGCTAGCTCTACTGACTGTTGATGCTGATTTTATTAGGAAGCTCTCTTTGTTAATTCTAGGGTCGCTAATTTTATTTGAATAGCTGTAGATTATATTTGTCTAGAGTTTTATGCGTAAATATCAATGTTGCTGACAAAAATGCTGATAACTTATCAATAATAACGAATCAGTCAACATCAATGTTCCATTTTTGAAACTTATCATTTTATTGAAATGGGTGAAGCAGAAACAGGCAGTTGTTATATACAAGCAGGGTCAGAGTTTTGAAAAAACGCAATAAGTCACCAATTTGAATGATTCTGCGAGAGGCGCTGCCAATTTGCATTACCCATTTGGAGCCGGTTTACTGAAGAAACTAATTAAGAAAGGAAGGTTAAAGTTGGTTCAATGGAAACGCCGTTTGTCATTGAATGTAATGCTACCGAAATCTTGCGAATGCTCGCGAGGATAGTTGAAGGCTGGCTGCGAGTTAGAGCGGAAAAAGGACTGTGCTCCAGCGGGAAAGCAGCTTCCAATCGGCAATTGACTTGGCTGAGCACTTGACGCGCGTGTTTCATCAAACGCTTCACCATCTTCAAGACTTCCGTTGGGGCGCTGCTTCATCATTTTCTTCATTTTCGAACGGCGGTTCTGGAACCAAATTTTCACCTAAATTGTCTTTTATCAACCGATAAACTTATCGCCAATCTACCTGAGTCTGAGTTAGTCCGAGATTCACAGCGAGATCCGCTCGCTCTGGAAGACTAAGATACTGAGTCTTTTGAAAGTAGGAATTCAGTTGTTGCAGCTGCAGCGAAGTGTAAATAGTCCTCGGCTTGCGGGTTTTCTTTTATCAGAAGCAAGTTCGTTTTCGTCAGATGCATCGTCCTCCTCGTCCGAGACTTCTCCGCTTCCCTTTTCGAACTCGTTTAGATCCGCTAAAAAGACATTAGGAACATTGCATCGTCATTCTGGAGCCTTTTTCTGATGGGTGATTTATTTGCGCGCTATGCATGTCCGGATGAGCCTGAACAGCTCGGCATTGGGGGAATAAAAACAACTCAATATCTACGCTCAACGTGGAAATTATAGTTCCAAACATGTTACTGATCCAAAAAAACGAAGAGATTCACAACGTGAAAATTATTGTACATTTTGTTGATGGACGAGACAGCGGCTACGGACTCGCTATTTGAGGATAAACTGAGCTCACTTTGAATGTTTGAACTGAAAACGAAAAAATCAGATTCTACTTCCCACCACGTTTGTGTCAGTTCTAGAGTTAATGAAAATATTCAATTCGCTTATCGACTCGATTCATTGTTTTTGATAAGCCAGGCCACTATTTGACTTCTTAAATCTCGCCAATTACCTTCTGTTACTGAGGGTGAGCTTTCTGTGCCGGCGCTACTTCCTCTCGCGCAGCGAGGACTTCCACAGTCCGAAAGGCCTGAGTCGACTGTCTCATTTGGTGAGTTGCAATTTCGCTCCATTTTTATCGTTTGGTTTGCTTGGAGCATTATCGGGCTCGCCTCGAGCTCAGGCTCGAGCAGTGGATTGATCGGCAAATCTTGCAGCACGTTCAACGCGGCATTGTTGTTACCTCCCTGGCTGTACGGATTCTGGTAGAAGCTTTCAATCTCACTCAGAAGGTTCTCGTGAGCTTGATGATTGTGCGTCTAAATGATCATGCTAGAGAGAGTGCGCTGCCGAAAAAGGCTTACCTGGGTGAGACTGCACCAGAGCTCATACGTAGACAGGGTGCTTCCACAATTTAGCAGGTTCATCTGCTGGACAACTTCTTGATCAGTCAAGTTCGTCATCTCGTTTTCTATGTTTTCTCTGGACTTCTTGGGTAAAAACTCTGTTTTCTTCTTCTGAGTAAATAGTCGATACACTTCAGAACCTAAATCGAGCGCGCTCTTTCTAGCTTTCGTGGCGCTGTCGCGGTGGAGCGCCACACTCTAGCTCCACTCGGCTGAGTCTTCCACAAAAACATAAAATAAACTTAACGGAACATCTGAATGGAGCTCTGGACTGAATGAAACGTGATAAACATCGACGTGGGAAAATTGCACTTCATCGAAATTCCGTTTTTTTCGAATCGGAGCATTATTGACCGTTTCTGCTAATAGAACTATATACTCGAAATTAGATTTTTCAAGGCGAAATAATCCCTATTGTAAAGCCTCGGACGTAAAAAACGAATTTTACAATCCTCGCACCGAGACAAGAGTAGGTCTATTCGAAAGTTCTTGAAAAGGGCTTTCATACGGCCCATATGATATAGGTAAATGAATGAATATCCTCCCTGTTTCCAGTTATCTGACCCTATCGGCAAAATTAGAAAATAACTCGTAACCGGGAAATTGGAAACATTTTTCAAACGCCCGTATGAAAGTCCTTTTCAAGAGCTTTCGAATGAGTTTAGTCTCGTCTCGCCATGATGAGTTGATCGTGGTGATGAATTTTTATGTCCGAAGCCTGCCTATTGTGAGTATAAACCGAGTGATAAATTTAGAATTTTTATATTGCACTTTGCAGAGAAAGTAATCACTAGTAATCATTTTTTATGATAATCCTAAAAGAAGAGGTTTCCGGAGGTTAACAACAAAAAAATTTTTCATTATATTTATTAAAGAGAAGGGTAGATTCTTTCATTTTCAACAGGCGCAGGAGCTTCTCAGTGAGAAGTTCTTTCTCAGATCATTTCTGAAATTCAATTGCAATTATCGAGTGGTCGCCTCTCATCCAGATCGCCTTCTGCCCAGATCGCCTCCTGCCCAGATCGCCTCCCGCCCAACTTGGGCAAGAGGCGATCTTGGGCCAGAGGCGATGTGAAATTATTTTCATAGCAAACTATCAAAGACTTGGGCGAAAGGCGATCTTGGGCAGGAGGCGATCACTTTAAACTAATTCCATTAAACTTCCTCTGCCATCACGTGGACTGATTTTTTTTTTCATTCAACCTCTCAAGAAGACGATTTTTCCTCAACTAAAGTCGAAAACACCTCCAAAATAGAACGAACCGATATTGAATCATGCAAAAGTCATGAGAAACCTTCTTTCCGATCAAAACAGGGATTAGCGCTCTATTTCCTGCTCTTTCCAGTTTTGTTTGCGATGCGCTCTCATCAAAGAAGACTGCACGGACTGCATTCAAAAATAACTTTTATTTAAAAGATAACAAGAGTTATGAATTGATTATCAATAATATATTTATAATAATATTTATAATATTAATATTTATTTATAAATAATGACGGATTCAAAACTGGTGGCTGTTGTCAAGCGTTTTATCTTGAGGATCGTTTCGTCAAGAAGTGTAGAATTTATTCGACTTGAATTGAAAATCGAGAGTTTCTAACAGACCGTCATTCCCCTTTCTTTCAAATTGGCTCGTTGTTGTGGTATTGAACATCAACCCAGCGAACTCAAAAGTATCCGGTAGCTTCATTACCTGGTTATTTCAGAATATGAAAATTCAGAAGAGTTCAAGTGATAATCGAATCACTAATCAAAACTGGAAAGAGCAGGAAATAGGGCGCTAATCCCTGTGTTGATCGGAAAGAAGGTTTCTCATGACTTTTGCATGATTCAATATCGGTTCGTTCTATTTTGGAGGTGTTTTCGACTTTAGTTGAGGAAAAATCGTCTTCTTGAGAGGTTGAATGAAAAAAAATCAGTCCACGTGATGGCTAATGGAATTAGTTTAAAGTGATCGCCTCCTGCCCAAGATCGCCTCTAGCCCAAGTCATTTAAAGTTTTCATTGAAAATAATTTCTCATCGCCTCTCGCCCAAGATCGCCTCTGGCCCAGATCGCCTCTTGCCCAAGTTGGGCGAGAGGCGATCTTGGGCAGGAGGCGATCTGGGCAGAAGGCGATCTGGGCGAGAGGCGACCACTCGCAATTATCTGTCATTAACAATGTCGTTTTGATCAACTCATCTCCATCGTTTATATTGAGTTAATTTTATTAACACGATGTTTTTTCCATACAACTTGTCTCTTCAAGGTGGAAAAACAGCTGTTCTTTATTGTAATCAAAAACTATCTGAAAAACGAGCTTTTTTATCGCGAGTACTATTTTTTAATTGATAACACGAGCGACATGTGGATGAAAACAACTTGTTAGTAAAATTGATACCTTGGTAATTTTCCCGCTATAGAGGCTAATTGAATAAATCATCAGTAAAATAACTCATCAGTAAATAACCAAATGAAGGAAAATATTTTTAGGTATAACTGAAATGCCTATCGCATAACATGTCCTTTATTGGATGATAATCCGTTGTTCTCCGGACGTCATTATTATTAAATTGTTAAATCCCTGATCTTTTCTTGCTTATATTGGCCCTCCATCCCCTTATAATAATAATAAGGCTGGTGCCACTTTCTAGGGTGCACTAAATTCGAAGTAGAGGCCATTGCGGTTTGGATATGCACATGACTTGTCTGATTTTTCTGCCTGTTTACGAATATACAAATAAAATATTGATTGTATTGCTGAAATATCATCATGACTAAAATGGACAACAACGAGGAAAATATGCGATTTGATTTTTATTGGAAGAAATTCGTATCTATTCCAGCAAATTTGGAGGCAGTTCAGGACGAGTGGGCAGAAAGCTAAAATGATGTTTCTTTGAATTGCTGGATAAGGGACTCCAATTCTGTGTTTTCGTTATCTCTCTCAGTTGCTCGAGCGGCAAAGAGTCGTGTCTGAATGTCGAATCGCACTTTCTTTCGGGGATCAGTGTCTGGGAGGATTGAGCAGCGCTTGCGCTTTCGGTTGACGTAGCCAAAGAGAGTCGCCTTTGCAGTCGCTTTCGTAAGATTATCAATCTGGGAATAGTCAGTAGTCAAGCAGTCATTCTCTTTCTCGCCTTCATTGGTAGCAGTGACATTTTGGCGTTTATCTGAAGCTTGAAGCTCCGGCGGATCCAAACCCGTTGTTGAATTCATCTCAAGGGGATGATTTGTCAAACTTCTGTTTCTTTGCTGGCGGAGATTGAAAAGTTGTTTTTGTCCGTGTTCTAATATGTCGGTAATAAGAAATTTTTACTTGCCGTCGGGGAGCAGAAGGGCGCCACCAGCTGAGCAGCGCCTCGGGCGCAATGTTTGCGAATTCTATTTTTAGGCTCACAACTAACGCGCCGACATTTCTAGTTAGTTTGCAACTAGTAAGATAATCTTGCTGAGACGCCAGAAAAATCGAAGCGAGCAAAGAGTAATTGATGGCGCTAAGTTGATAAGGCGAATGCCGAGATTCGCATCGATTAAACGCTGCGTTTTTTGGTTTGCAACCGGCCGGTCGTGGCCCGTTGGTCATGCTGCCAGCGCTTGAATCGCAGGGTCCCGAGTTCAATACTGGGATTCGCGTTCTTGAGACGAGACTCAAACGATCCAGAATTCAGAATAACCGGATAAAGTGAGCACAGCCGACGAAGGCAAACCAGAACCGGAAATCGCGATATTGAAATCTACTCAAGTAAATGCATGCAACCCCCCCCCCAACCGTCCGCAAATGTTCTCCGGAACACTTCCATCGTTATTGGAAGTTGGGCACAACCTTGACTCATAGCTTCTCGGAGCGCTTCCTGTGATAAGGAGGGAGAAAAGGCAAAAAATCTGGTGATTTCTTCCTAGAGGAAAAATAGGAAGTTTTTATATTTTTCTATATCAGCTCAAGAATTATTCCTTCAATAAAGAAGAGAACATAGAACAGGTAAAAAGTGGATTAGTTGAGATGAGGAACGTTTTTTTATAAAATCTGCCTGAAGGAATTGTTGCTATATTTACGGTGCGTTTTCGGGTGTTTGAAAATTGGTCGAATGAAGGGTCAGCGTCTGGCGCCGATTTGAGCGCTGCGCCTCCAGCTCGGATAGGACAACTTCGCCCAATCCCGCGACGCTTCCTACAGCTTGAATCAAGAGCCTAAGCGGCAGCTTCGGAGACACCAGTCCGAAGCTCATATTCTAGAGATGAAGCCCGAGTTTGTTGTCACAGAGCCCTACGAAGACCAGAAGCCAGGCACCAGTGGACTCAGAAAGCCGACGCGCCGCTTCTTGGAGAACAAATATTATACAGAAAACTTCATCCAGGTATTTCCTTTTCATTACTGAACAGTTGCGCGAAGGCTTAAATAATCCCTTAAACTTTATTATAGACTTTCGCTTCGGACTTCTTAGCTAACTTCGAGTTATAGAGTATCCTTTCTTCGATCGGAGATGAAGTCGTTGGCTCCGTTCTTGTGGTGGGAGGCGATGGCCGCTACTTTCTCCGAGAAGCCGTCCAGAAAATTATCCAAATTGCCGCTGGAAATCGCGTCCGAAAGCTGATTATTGGCCAAGGTACTTTTGATTCTTGCATAATCACGCTTATATAATCACAGCAGATGACAATATTTTTTGTTCATGCGAGTTGCATAACTATCAAAATCTGAGCAAACGCTTGATTATTTGTCTATTAGAATCTAATAATTAAACTAAGTAATTTATAACAAATCTTCTAATTTTCAATAAAGGCGGCATTCTGAGTACACCAGCCCTATCCGCAATCGTTCGATCGAAGAAAGCTCTTGGCGGCATTTTGCTGACTGCTTCGCACAATCCAGGTGGAATCGACGCCGACTTCGGCATCAAGTTCAATTGCGCCAACGGAGGCCCCGCTCCTTCAGGTGTCACCGACAAAATCTACGAAATCTCGAAATCCATCGTCGAATTCAAATCTGTGAATGAAGGACTCGAAGTGAACTTGGACGAGATCGGCACGAAGACATTCGAAGTGGATGGAACTCCTTTCGATGTGGAGGTAGTCGACTGTACAGAGGAGTACTTTTCGCTGATGAAGGAGCTTTTCGATTTCGAGGCGATCAAGACATTCCTCCAAGTCAGCCAGAAAGAGATCATCCTGGACTCGATGAACGGAGTAACTGGCCCTTATTGCACGCGTCTGCAGAAAGAACTCGCTCTCAGCCCAGAGTCCGTTTCGAACAATATTCCCAAGCCCGACTTCGGTGGGCTCCATCCCGACCCTAATCTCAAATGGGCGCAGCACTTGATTATGTCGATGCGCAACGGTGACCAGGACTTTGGGGCTGCCTTCGACGGCGACGGAGATCGAAACATGGTACTTGGTCGAAATGCTTTCTTCGTTACTCCTTGCGATAGCTTGGCCGTCATTGCGGCCAACGCTTCTCACATTCCTTACTTGAAGCAAGGGCTCTCTGGTGTAGCTAGATCGATGCCGACTTCAGGTGCTGTCGACCTCGTTGCCAAAAAATTGGGTATTCCTTGCTACGTCACTCCTACTGGATGGAAATTCTTTGGAAACCTCATGGATGCGGGCAAAATCAGCATTTGCGGCGAAGGTACTTTATTAAAGCTAATAACTTTCTCAAATTTCGTATTCAGAATCTTTTGGAACCGGATCTGATCACGTAAGAGAAAAAGACGGCGTCTGGGCTATCCTCTGTTGGCTTTCAATTCTGGCCGGGCGCAAACAATCTGTGGAAGAGATTCTTCGAGCCCACTGGGAAGAATATGGACGAAACTACTTCACGAGATACGACTATGAAGCTTGTGAAAGTGAGGGAGCAAACAAGATGGTGGATCATTTGAACAAATTGATTGTTTCCCAGGTACGGCGTTCGTCAAAAAGCACCTGTAGACCCTTTTTTAGGAACTTGTCGGAAAAGAATTCAGCGCGGCCGGCAAAACATTTAAGCTCGTTGAAAACGACAATTTTGAATACACGGACCCAGTGGATGGATCAGTCTCAAAGAAACAGGGCATCCGCTTTCACTTCGAAGATGGTTCCCGACTCGTTTTCAGGTAAGCCTTCGTCATTTTTTCTACCATAACCATTCGTTTCGCTAGGCTCTCTGGCACGGGTTCCTCGGGTGCCACGATCCGACTCTATTGCGATTCCTACGAGGGGCCAACTGGCAACATCTCCGGCAACCCGCAAGATGTGCTCAAGGCGATCGTAGAAATCGCGCTCAACATTTCACAGCTCAAAGAGTTCACTGGCCGTGAGGAGCCAACCGTTATCACATAAGACGTCACTCGGAAGCAATAATGCGCCTTCTCACCAAGAAAATCAACGCTAACTCTTATTTTCTGTTCTAGGATACAATTATCATTATTATCATCACCATCATGCCAAATACACCTATTTTCTGTAGAACTTTGTTCTGTTGCCATAACACAAAAAGGATAATCAGCAGTAAACGCCCACTAAAAAGTTTCTCCGCAGAATGAAGTTTTGGAGCATCTTTCTCGGAGCTGCACTCGCTGCTGACAGTCATGGATGGAATGATAACATTGACTGGGTTACGCTAGATGAGGCGAAAGAAGCTTCCAAGACGAATGGCAAGGCAACAATGCTCGTGATTCATAAAAGGTCTCTAGACACGCAGAATTAGAATTTCTAATTATATTGCCCGAAAAATGAGGATTATCACTGCCCAGAACGAGGACTGTTGCACCGAAAATTTGTCACCCGCTTTGACCGAGTGTGCTACTTTCATGCTAGGATTAGCAATAATTGTCAAAGTAGCTCTCGATGTTGATTAATCGGCAGTTCATTCGACTGAGATTTTCCAGGCCTTGCGATCAAAATATCATTTCGAAGTTCGAAGAACAACTTAGCACAATTAACTTCGTTTACACATTTATCTAGCATTTGAGTCCTTGTTTCAAACCAACACGAACACATACAGTCAAGGCTCGCAATTTCGTTGTTTATGACGCAAATGGCCAAAAATACTGAAATCAGAAGCCCTGACTGTTAATATAAATCTCCTCCAAGATTAAGTTCTTAGTAGATTTATTTTGTTGTTTTAAAGCAGTAAAAGCAAGTAAAGCAGTTGTCATAAAGCAGTACGAACGTGAGCAACTATTGCTCTCATTTGATGAACGTCCTCTTTCAAGGAAGTTTCCTTCTTCTTCTCTGGATAGAGATTCAGTTGAGTCCATTTCCACATTTTCTAGGATCGGACTATTCCTTAAAATGGTTTTCAATATTCAACAATAAGTAAATACCTGTAAATATGAGCTCATCGGACCCAACTACTCCTAAAGTGGTTTGAAAGTAACTGACAAATAGTCGAAATCGGTCTGATAAAAACTTAGATTCTAGAGAATCAGCGATTCTTTACGAAACCAGAACATGAAAACATTATCGTCCTACCAACAACTACTTTTTTTAACTATTTAACTAATTTAGTTATCTATATTTTCAGTTGGTGCGGGGCCTGCAAACAGCTCAAGCCCAAGTTTGCCGGAGACAAAGAAATTGAAAAGCTTTCAAGCAATTTCAATATGGTTAATGCTCTTGATGACGATGAGCCAAAAGGAGAGCAATACACCCCTGATGGCGGCTACATTCCCAGGTATTTCCACAGACCATGCTGATTGTTTTGCTGATTGTTTTAGAATTCTGTTTTTGGACACCGATGGAAATGTTATGAAGGACAAGATTAATGTTGGGGGAAATGAGAAGTACAAGGTACGTTGATTCGATTAGGGAAAACGAACTAATAAAACAAATACAAGTACTACTACCCCTCCACCGCCGGAATCGTCAAGTCGATGGCCGCCGTCTCTAAGGACTTCAAGCACGAAGAGCTTTAATCTTTAACTGCTAGATCCAGAACAGTAGACCTACTCACTCTCTTGCTCATTGTGATCTGTGATAACAAGATCGCCCCTCTTAGATCCCTCCTAATGGTGTTATATTTTCTGTGCAATAGTTTAATTCCCAATTGCCTTATAAACGAGTTTCTTATCGAGGAAATAGAAAGTTATACTCTAAGATTGCCTTTCGAGAATGTCCGTTGATCAAGAACTTCTTGATCACGTAGAAAAGGGATGCAGACTGCTGGAAAACGTCAGGGAAAATCTATGTCACATCGAAGGGTCAAAGAAATTTGAAAATAAAGTGCATTCAGAAGTCAAGTTTCTGAGGTACTCGTCAAATAGCTACATGATTCAGAAATTTTTAAAGGTCGCTTATAGGTAATAGTAAGCTGAATCCACAGCATCTGGTGTCGTCGAATTTAAAGTCCTTAGAGGCGATTTATGAACTGGCAATGAAAAGAATAGAAGATGTAACGAAGATTTTCTACTCAGCAAAACTTGGCGACGGGGAAAAGATACAGATTGACATTGTCACTTCAAGTTCATGGATCAAGTCCTGCTCACGAAAGGGAAAAGCCCTCATTCAAAAGTACATGGATGGCGAAGACATAATAGTTGCCACTGCGAGGAAGATGCTAATGGGTGCAAATGTCAATCACGAGTTTCTTCCGCCAAAAATTGAGTTCTACTTTCACGATGTCGTTCCTCTCAAGATCAAGGTATTCTGCTCTTGATAAAGCCCGGCATTTAATTTCTTTAAAGAAAAAACTAGAGCAGTACGGAATTCTTGTATACGGAGATGTAGAGCCTTTTCTTGAATTTGAAATAGCGGACGAATCATCCGACGAAGATAGTTTCGAAGAAATGCTTCCTCGACAGAGCTCGCTGAAAGTGAATTTAGACACATGCACGATGATAACGCTAGTCTCTAACTTGTCGAACGGCTTTGCGAATTACGAGTTCCGCTGCGAGGAATCCAAGTTTCTTATTCACCTCGATCAGATGGCGATCGACGAGCGAGAAAAGCGCGTCCTCCCCGAAATTATAGGGTGATATGCGGTCAATAGGAGATTTATCTCCCAGTTCGTTTTTTGGCGAAATAGGAGATTTATCTCCTAGTTCGTGCTTTTACGAAATAGGAGATTTTTTTTTCTCCTAGTTCGTTTTTTCGCAAATTGTGGTAAATAGGAGATTTTTTCTACCTGGGAGATTTCGAGGCATGAGAAAATTTTTATCAGAATATAATCAAGAAGCACCTAATTCCTTTTTTGTAAGTATTTATCTTTCTAAAATTGAGGTTAGTGTTAGGGGCACTGGGCAAAATGACGGAACAACCTCACCCGAGGGGGATAGGCTAGGGTTAGTTAGGGTTACTGAAGGTAACCCTAAGTAACCCTAGACTAGACCCCGGCATCTTAGGACCTAGGGGGCGGAGCCCCCAGGTAAGGGGCACTGGACGACCCCTGTCGCAGGAAAAAATATCTCCCAGTTCAAAGATTCTTGACCGCGGTCAATGGGAGAAAAAAATCTCCTATTTCGCAAAAGTACGAACTGGGAGATAAATCTCCTATTTCGTCAAAATACGAACTGGGAGATAAATCTCCTATTGACCGCCTACAACCAATTATAGATTTTATCCGCGACAAAGAAATCATTTCTTCAAAAACGGCAATGGAGGAGTTCGATCGCATAATCTCACTGATCGCTGGACCCAAGGAGAAGAATAGAGCAGCCGGGCTCAAAGAATATGTAAACGTAGTTGAAGATGAAATATCTGAGCGCATCGCTTCGCTTCCAAGCTCAGCTAGGATTTCCGATCGAGCAAAAATCGCGTTTGGCACTGGAGAAACGCACAAAGCAATTACAGTGTCGAGCAACACGGGCTTCATTCGCGCGGCGAAACAACAAGATGTATTCGTCTCCGTCAAAGAGCATCGACCACGCGCATTGAGCGAGCAGAAAGAGCCCGCTGCTGTTTTACTTTCACGTGACTCTCTCAGTTCTGATTTTGATATCGACTACTTTGCCCAAATATTTACCGCCTGATTGTACAAATTTCATTTTTCCAGCCTTCTCCAACATGGGTTCAGTTCAGAAAGATGAGTAAAAGAAGCGTCTTTATTGTGGCCGCCAACCGCACTCCACTTGGATCTTTTCAGGGACGTTTGAAGACCCTTTCGGCTCCAGAACTAGGTAAAATGAGGAAAACCATCAGTTTCTATTGCAAATTAAGGCTCTTTGGCGATAAAAGGACTTCTGGCAAGGACAAGAGTAGCCCCGACCCAAATAGATGAAGTCTTCTTTGGAAACGTTCTCCAAGGTGGCATAGGACAAGCACCAGCAAGACAAGCAGCCTTGAATGCTGGAATTTGCAACAGAACCCCTTGCACTACAGTGAACAAGGTCTGCGCATCCGGAATGAAAGCTATTCAATTAGGTTACGACACAATCATTGCCGGGCACAACGAGTTAGTTCTTTCCGGTGGGCAAGAATCAATGTCATCTGTTCCCTTTGCAGTGAGTCGTAGAGAACCCACATATGGAGGCGATAGAATGATCGATCTCATCAACAACGATGGGCTAACTGACTCATTTACTGGCATGCACATGGGAACTTGCGCCGAGAAAATTGTTCAAAAACTGAACATCACTAGGGATGAGCAAGACGAGTACGCTTCAATGAGTTACAAACGAGCAAAAGAAGCATGGGCTAACGGATGTTTGTCTGAAGTTTCTCCTATCGAAGTCAACGGCAAAACGATTTCTCGTGACGAGGAATTCGAAAAATTGCCGCAAGACTTCTCTGCGATCCGAGCAATCTTTGATAAACCGGAGGTTGCCTCAATTACCGCTGGAAACACGTCAAAATTGGGAGATGGCGCTTGCGCACTTTTACTCTCATCAGAAGCCGCTGTTCTCGAAAATTCATTTAACCCTGTCGCTCAAATCGTGGGCCACGCAGATGCAGCGACGGAGCCATTCAATTTTACTGAAGCAGTCAACTTCGCGATTGAAAAGGCTCTCAAGAAGTATAACCTTACTGCAAACCAAATTGACCACTGGGAGATCAATGAAGGTTTCCCTTTGTAGAATTCGAAACTGGTTTAAATTATATTAAGCCTTTGCATCCGTGGTTATCGCCGTGGAAAGAGCGTTCAATGTCCCTCGTGAAAAGATGAATCCATTCGGAGGTGCAATTTCGCTTGGTCATCCTTTTGGCTGTTCTGGCGCACGAATCACAGCACGCTTGGCAATGAGGCTTAAGCCTGGCGAATTTGGCATTGCGGCAATTTGCAACGGCGGCGGTGGAGGAGGAGCCATAGTTCTTCAAGGAATTTAATTTAAGTTCAATTTTTCCAATTATCTATTCGAAAATGATATTTTCGTTCAACTTGATTCAATAAACTTCACTGATTTCATACGCTGGAAATTTATTTCTAAAAGAAAAATTCTAAAGAAAAAGCTTGAAATACGATTTTAATTCTCGCAGGCGCTCGCTTGCGCCTCTTTATTTTAGGCTGGTAGCTCGCTCAACACAGTACAGCCTGTACTGTACAGGGCCTCACGGATTGTCAATCACAGAAAAATCCTCTGCCATCTGAAATCATTGATGTCGATCCTCATTGGCTACAGAGAAATCACCGGCAAGGGTTTTATTGGTCGAAATAGATAAAAGTCATCCGTCGAATTTTTTATTCCAGTCTGACTCTATTTTGGATGTGTTTCTTCAAAGAGAATTTCCAACTGCCTATCTGTCTATATTACTAAATTATTTTCAAATATGCGCAAGTATTATTCACTATAATTATAGAATTGGAATCGGCTGGTCCCTTCCTGAACACTGGCATGTTCAGGAAGAAACATCTTATGCCCCATGCGATCTCGAGGATTCAAGATGAAGATATGGGTCAGCAACGCACTGCTCCATCATCGCCCAACAATCGCTCAAGGTCGGACGAGAGGTCGACTCAAGAGAGCGTGGATCAAAAGGATTTTATAGACGTGCTGGATAGTCAGTTCCAAATCGACCCTGTGCTGAGGACTACACTGCTTTGGAAAAGGTTTTCGCGTTACGTTCTGCGAGTGACATGTGCTGGATATCTCCAGGAGCGTGGAATTATTAACAAACTGAAGCCTGGAAGTAAGGAGTACGCTCGCAATCAAATCCTCTATACACGGACTACATATGCCGGTTCGTTGTATTAAAATTTCTCAATAGTAATCAATTTTAAGCGGTTTTACGTTACATGAAGGTTTACTTGCAGAATATTATTTCAATGGATAGAGGGGAGATTTACACGGCGATGGGAACGGAGAAGAGGGATGTACCTCCAACTGTTTGCAGTAGAATGTCCGATTTCTCGGCGAAATCTGAGCCAATGTCGCAGGATTGGGACCAATCCGTAGATATTTATGTACATCGCAGCCGTCAAATAACCGCTCTCGTCCGACAGCTGTTAAAGAATACCATACTCATGATCACTTATTGGCATAAAGACAATTATGGACATGAATACGCGCTTTTGGAGAATATGTTCGTCGACTTCATAACCAGCTGGATTTACTTCTTGAGCGCTAAGGACAATGTAGAATTGCTTCGGTTTGCAGAGACGCTGTCTGATAATTTCACGGAGATCAGCGATGATTTCCGAAATGGAGATAACTCGATCCTCAGAGGCACTTTTACGAAGATATGGTGGCTCCTCGAGAGTCCCGAAGGCGACATTGACCAATTTCCAACCATCAATGAGATCCGAAAGTCAGCGTTCACCGACCGCCACGGTTATCGATTCAAAGTTGGCCGAAAGCGCGAGCCTAGAACAAAGAATCAAGATGAGTACGAAGGAGAGACCTCCTTCGATTCTTCGTTTCATTCGACTCAATCTGACGTCTTACGCGATTGCATGCCCCAATTTCCCCCATCGTCAATCGGAAGAGAAGACCTCGTTGTAATTTTTAACTTCCAGGCTGAACGAGTATGCAAGGTGCTTTTGAGAATCCTGGCGCGAACACGTATCCATTGGGACAAACAACAGTCGATTAAAAATATTACCTTGGTGCACAGTATTGGAAAACTTCTCGACCATTCATCATCGACAGTTGCCTATATGTTGGATTTATCGGAGTCGGACCTACTCGGAGTCGGTCGATTAATCCTATGCGCTGAGAAAATTGCGCATACGAAATACGCGAAAGACCACGTTTTCGGCTTCTTTCGACACGCGCTTTCCTGCGTTAGAGTGCTCGACGAAAAGCAGAATTTCAATCTTCTCGGCGCGAACATGGGGCAGCACGAGTACGATATTGACATGAAAGAAGAGAACAAAGAAAATGATGCGCCTGGCTACTGTTTTCGTGAGTCTACTAGAAAAAAAATGCATCCAGCACACGAAAAACTTGTTGCTGCGAAGTATGCGGAGGGCAAACCGTATTTCAACGACACAATCAAGCTCGTCTTCGATGTGATTAAGCTTGCTCGAGAAAATCACTCTCCTGCGTTACCCTCAACCATCTTCCAAATGTTAGAAATATTCCAGAAGGAACTCCTGCAACAAGAGAAAGGCTGCGCGCATGACATTTCTACTTGGTTTCAACTTTTGACAGAGATTCTTTCGTCCAAACTAGGTAACGCAAAATCACTCATCACTGTCGCCGTCTCGGGATTACTATTTGGCCTTTCGACGAAGTCTCTTGATTCCAATACATTCCTGTCATTCCTAAATGCTTGCTTCGAGTTTATCCGCGACGATTCCTTGATGATATCCTTCTTTGAAAAATTCATAAGCCAGCTTATGTACCTCGCTCCAGAAACAACTCCCGACCCTACGAACGCAAAACTACTCTCAAACTCGCTTGTTAACTTATACGTTCCGGACAAATTTAGCAACCTCCATTTCACTGCTTGTGCTAATCTGCTCAACTTCCTTCTTATGAAGAGGAACGATAACACCTTCGAGGGCAAGCTCGGTGAATCCATCCTCTTGATTTTCACTCAACTTCGCGGACACGAAGCTATTTTCGAATGCAATAATTTAAGTGTTGCTATCAAAGCTGCAAAAGAATCGTTGGAGAAGAATCAGAAGCTACCGAACGATATTTTCTCTCTTATACGGAAAATCAGGACTTTTTTGTATGAACAATCGTCTCTCTTCGCCCTTGGAATTCAAAAGCTGGCGAATTTCCTCCTTCATCGGAAAGACCCTATCAACTTACCAGATACAATTCTACAGGCTCTCCGTAACTTACTACAGACTACATTCAATTTCTCCGGAACTAGGCATCTGACTTTTCTCTTCGCGGAAGCCATTCTGTGCAATTTTTGCCACTCAGACGAAGTTATCCAAGTTGCACTCCCGTACAGATTGAAGGCTGGAATCGAAGGAACGATCTATATTCCGTGCAAGGCTCTGCCAAAACAAGCTTCTGATAAAGAAGTTGAGATAATTTCATCCCTGTTCGAAACTGTGCTCGACTTCCCGATTGCTTCTGTTCCTCAGATTCGAGAGCCGAAAAAATGGACAAAAGCTGACTTTATCCACTTCGAAAGATTGCTTGGAAAAATTTACGAGTTCATGTCACTATTCGACCTATCAAAACCCGAAAATAAACGCCTTAAACTATCAAAAACTATTTTACAGCTGCTTTTTTTACCGTTCAAGAATAACAGAAGATTCACCGATCCTCGAATATGGAGACTTATATATCATTTCCATCTCGAAGATGTCGACAAATACTTGCGATCTATCAAGTGGAATTTTCTGGAAAACTTCATCTCTTTCGACCCATCTTTATGGAACGAAGTAGTTTCGATTGCATGTTACGTCGATGAACTTCAAAGCGACCGCAAATACGTGAAGAAGGTCCTTTTGAAACTTTTACCAATCGCTGGCGAAGACATGTTCATAAATATATTGGAAGCTATCATTGCATCCGATGCGAACCCGGTCGAAATTGAAGTCGGCCACAAGCCATTTATAAGACACACGACGGCAGCAGCAGGTTGTTTAAAGATCCTGGAATTTTTTCCGTCTCTCCTGAAGACAGCTGAGTCGAAAATTCTAGACGTGATGAGCAAAACGCTTGTGGAGAAGGGGATGATGGATGTAAGGATAAGGACAGTATGGAAGCGAAAACATTACAAAGATCATGATGATGACCCAAGATGGATTCCATTTATGGGAACCTGCATGGCCAGATACGCCAGCACATTGGTGTCCATCCTCGGACTTTCACAGAATTCGGACCTATTTGTGCCGCTCTCGTCAATGATTTTTAATATTGACGAAAATTCATCATGCATTCATCCAAATGCGATGCTTATGGCATCTGGTGCCCTGTTCAATTTGCCCCGCGACGTGCTTTACAAGGAAGTCGATGACCTCTTCGCGCCAGTAGAAAAATGTCCACGATATCTGATCAGTGATGTGGGCAAAGTCGAGAGCACAAGGCATGTTTCTAAGAAACTCGGGCCTGCACTAGCGAGAGTAACTACCTACCCTGTAGTTGGACCTCAATTGTGTGCAAAGCTTCTTACTATCTACCATGCCCATAAGGACGATGAGAATGCGTGTGATGCATTTGAAAATCTTCTCCGTCTGGTCTATCTGCCTGTCTACAACGAACGACACCCGATTGAACCTAAGAGAAGATTCAAGTATGATATCGCCTTCGGAGACTTGCCGCTTTTAATTAAGTTTATTTATGCGTATCTCTGCCAGTATAGCAAGCTCTCATACCGCCAGATCCAGGAAGCGTTGAAGTTCTTCATTATTGCAATTAAGCAAGGAAACGAAGAAGAGAATGGGGAGCGCAATGCGATGACGACCCTCGGCGCTTTAAATAATCGATTTTCGCTTGGGAAACAAACTGTATTTCTGAACGAACCTTTTGGAGACGCATACTGCCGCATGGTTCTTGAAGGCGATTGGGATGCACGACTTGCTCTCAAAGAACACTTTTTTGATCTTTTTATGGATCTACGAGATAACATAAACGAACCTGAGCCCGGAACGAGTCAACCCATGGTAGTTGAACACATGATCCAGCCCTCCCAAAACCAGGTAAGCTGGACATTTCAAAACCTCGATATACAGTCATGTTCTAGGGAAGACCCGTAAATCAGCGATATCCTCCATTCATACTCAAAGAGGTGGCTCGTGGTGTTTGTCGAGTGCTCCATCAGCCGCTGTGCGAAAAGGCGCAGACTCAAATCTCTTGCTTTTACCTCGCTGCGGATAAATTCGAGGCGAACCCGCGTGAAGAAAACTTTCACTGGATCCTCTTCCCGGCATCGCAGTATAACTTTTTGATGCAACTGTGTGTTCCTGTGCTCAAGGCGCATTTCTTCTACGAAACGATTCGGTAAATATTAATTCGACGATTTCAATCACTCAACAGCTACTTTAGTGTCATAGATATTCTCTTCAAGCGCAAGTTTTCCCAATCATTTGGCATTAAGCTCTGGTCTTCTGTCCATAACGACCTTTTTGTGAGCGAAGTGCTTCGGCAGGAGGTCGTCCTTTATTGTGTTGAGCTTCTTGGGTATTTTTGCCGTCTCTGGAGAATGGCAGATAAGGATGAACGCAGAGAGATGTTCGCGTACTTCCGAAGATACGTCAGTACAATCGTCCAACTTTTAAAACAAAAAAGACCGAATAGCGACATCGCGTTCCTGCTTAAATTCTTGCCAAAGAGCGTCTGGGGTAGAATGAAATACCGATGGCACCACATGGAGATTATCAACTACCCTTGTTATATCGATGAGGAGACTTACGCTGATAATTTGGGCGATCTGTTGACACACACCGATTACTACTGCCATCAACTTCCAGGCTCGTTGAAAATTTTGTTGATTTGATTGTGATGATTGTTCACGGACTATTTAATTTTTAACAATATAAAGCGATAAAAGAGCAACAGATTCCATCTGAGGTTCAAGGTCACGCCCTTTCTAAGCTTCATGAGATACTTTCAACGTTCTCGTACTTCGAGTGGAAGGTCGAGTCGATCTCATCGGAGATTTTGATACAACTCGTGATGCCAAAATTTTACAATGCTTCTCGATATCTGTCATTTTCGAACGATCTCGAACTAACTTCAATAAATCTGGCATCATATTTCTCAAAGAAAGTGAAACCAAAGAAACGCGTTCCGACGGAAAGGCATCATGTAAATATACATGAAACAAAGTTTGGAAGCAGAGAAGAATCAATTATAAGGCCTGATCACAATAAAGGAAAAGTTTTACTTTTTAAGCGGTCTTTCTGTTTTTTATGTTCCAGAAATTATTTTTAAAACTATCAAAAGATATTGCAAGCGATTACTTCCAAAAAAACGTCGTGCTGCCGACTCTGGATGATGTTGTGAATCCAAATTCTTCAAGGTTGGAAGTTGTGGAGATCGCTATTGTTCACACGATTGACCCGTTGAAAGAGCTCTGCTCAAAGTACAGACCAGAGTTCCGACAACTCAATCATCCCTTCCGTGAAACACTGAAAACGTTGACTAAAATCTGCAATCGAAAGAAGAAAGTGAATGTAACGAGACTCCGCACATTGCATGATTTGGAAAGGAACCCCGATCAGCATGAGTCTGAGTCTTTAGTGTAAGTATTCGATTCCGTTAGTGTTTTATTATTCCAAAAATAAATTGGTTCTGAAATAAATTTGCACTCGATCTAGGAACGCGGGATAATATTTAAAGAGTGATTCTTATCAGTTTTAAGTGAGGATTTCTACTGGGATCAAAACTGGATCAGAACAGAGGAGTTATTTCAATCAGAAGAAGAGGACTCTTCCGGACAACCGATCTACGAAAATATTCGCGCCAACACGTCGGAGCCAACCCCAACCAGTCTTCCACCACGGGAAACTTTTGGCAAGGAGATAAGAATACATTCAAGACCTACAAAGCTGACAATGAACGGCGCCGTCTTCCAGGTGGTCTAACCTGATGAAAAAAAAACTGCCGCGACACTTCATGTAGCTGCCACTGCCTTCAGTTACTTACAGATATGGACTACTGTGATTAATTTTTCATTAATAAATCTTATTTGGATTTACTGAATTTAATTTATGTTCGAAAATAATTTTCTTTCTCCGAAGATTATTTTTTCGAAGGACTTCTTCAGTGTTTAATCGAGGTCAACTCTAGAAAAGGGGAGTTTCTTATTTGGCTCAAATATTTACGCATGGAATTCGGACTGAGATATGTTTTTCGAGCTCTCATAGACTCCAATTATCATGGGCAGTAGAGACGTTTATATTGCTGCAGTTAATCGCACCCCTCTTGGCAGTTTTAAATCAAAATTAAGAAAGTTCACGGCGACTGATCTTGGTTTGCCTTGCCACAATAAATATGTTATTAATTTAATTCAGGAACCTTGGCCATCAAGGGTTTGCTTGAGAAAACAGATGTGAAGCCTGATCAGATTGATGAAGTTTTTCGGGAACGTCCTTCAGGGTGGACTGGGACAAGCTCCGGCGAAGCAGGCAGCCCTGAATGCTGGCATCTCGAACAAAACTCCATGCACAACAGTTAACAAAGTATGCGCCTCTAGCATGAAAGCTATCCAACTGGCGTACGATACTATTGTCGCCGGCCACAACAATGTCGTTCTTGCTGGCGGTCAAGAATCGATGTCAATGGCCCCTTTCGCAATCGGCCGGAATCCACCCAAATACGGCGGTGATAAGATGGTTGACCTTCTTATGAATGACGGGCTGACAGATTCATTTACTGGTTGACTACGATCAATTTTCAAAAGTGACTTTTATTCTCATAGGCTGGCATATGGGCACATGTGCAGAAAAGATTGTCCAAAAGTTAGGGATAACCAGGGAGGAACAAGACGAATACGCATCAATGAGCTACAAAAGGGCTCGTGAAGCATGGTCGAAAGGCTCCTTCACAGAAGTGTCCCCTGTACTTATTGATGGAAAGACGGTACTTGCAGTTGACGAGGAAATCGAAAATATGCCGGAAGATTTCGCTAAAGTTCGAGCTCTCTTTGATAAGCCAGAAGTTGCGTCAATTACCGCCGGAAATACATCGAAATTGAGTGATGGCGCTTGTGCAGTTCTTGTTGTTTCTGCAGAAGCCATGCAAAAACTCAACCTGAAGCCTCTTGCTAAAATAATTGGACATGCTGATGCGGCGACGGAATCGTTTAATTTCACAGAAGCAGTAAACTTTGCAGTTGAAAAGGCTCTTGACAAGTATAACCTCTCTGCAGAGCAAATCGATCACTGGGAAGTTAATGAAGGTGAGATCAGAAGAAATAGTTTGTATTAAAGACTCTTCAGCGTTTGCCTCTGTTGTTATTGCTGTCGAGAAACGGTTTACTATTCCAAGAGAGAAAATGAACGCGAACGGGGGAGCGATATCGTTAGGACATCCTTTCGGATGCTCTGGTGCTAGAATAACCGGCCGTCTAGCTCTACGACTACTACCAGGCCAGATCGGCATGGCGGCTATTTGCAACGGCGGGGGCGGCGGAGGAGCCATCTTGCTTCAAGGTGCTTAGTTTTTCTTGTCTACTTTTTCTCTTCTTTGCTGACTTATTTATCTAATATATTATTATATGATTGATGAAAGGTGTGATAATGATTCGAAGATCACGTGTAAAATAATGCAGGCATATTTATATGGGCCTTTAAAAATTGTCATCCGGTGAAGAGACAAAACTGCATTTCAAAAAACTGATATTTACTCATCGCACATGAACAGAATCTGTTGTCGATTTTGTTTTTCTTTCATATTTTTCGAAAAAACGATAGAGAAGAAAATGTCATCAGCAAGAATAAAAGTAAAAGCTTGATTCAAGATTAATTTTTAGTGCAGTTTTAGCTTGCGCTGACAAAACTTGGCTTCGAGCATACAATGGTATTCTCGATGATAATAGTCATTTATGGAACAACGTACTTTAATAATTCGTATCCGTTATTTAAGGCAGGATGAAATATTTTGATTGGTTTTTGTAAATTGATTGTGGAGAACTTGCGGTGTTAGTGTATTTCATGTGAAGTTAATTAAAGACGCACGTTTGCCACCGAATATCGGCAGCATTTGCAAATCGGAGAATAGTGAACGCTGTGAAATATACAAAAACATTGTTGACCAAGTCGCGATAATAACAAGCAAGGGCAACGCAATTTCAGTTGTGATGAGCTGCTTTACGTTTCTCATTGGGTCTCGGTTAGAGAGATAGCGAAAATTTCTCAATTCTCCAATTAACCGATCAAAGCGCGTTATCCGATAGCATTGGACAGCGAAAGTGCTTTCAATGTCTCTGCGTCGGCCAATTCCTCACTTGTGCAATTTATTTGATAATCGTACAATTTGAGCTTTCTCCTGAGTTCTTTCCATATGGCACTATACCTTGGAACCTGTTCGGTGGATTCGCAACAACCCTTTCTGTTGGCTTCTCAACAGTTACTGGAAAAGTTCCATCTGATTCACCACTACGACTTCCTCTTATTATAAGCATGGAAGTGGCTATCCAAATCGCCGCTTTGAGTAGCTTTTTCATTGGAATTATTGTGGAAAACTGGAATCTAGATGGAATAAAATATGTTCTTTGGGTATTTGTCGCTCTTTCTGTTCTGCTCTATGTTAGAGGATTGAATCTTAGGAGGAATTAATTTGCGAGTTTTAAAAGAGTTGTCCTAGATTCATTTTAAGTCTACGTGTCTGTATTTTGGCGAATAGACATTGTTACCGAGAAAAGACCCACGGAAGTCGCGAAAGATGTATTCCGGGGTCTCAAAACGATATGGATTAGCAAGAAGCCTGGATTTTTGGTCGTTCCATTAACGATTCTCTTCTTTGTTTTCATTGTTGTCTTTGGTGGGACAAAGCTGATTCTCTATGTTTATTTGGAGGTAATATAGATTATTGAAGATTATTATTGTTCTTATATTTTTAGGCGCCCCCTTTTGGCTTCAGTCCCAAAGAAATCACCGCCTTTGCGACCTTCCAGAGTGTCTGCGCAATAATATGCAGTATTCTCATGCTTGTAATGGAGTTTTTTCTTCCGAAACTCTCTCCTTGGGTTTACGTTACCCTGGGAATAACATGTCAGATCGGCAACTCTTTGGGAATCGCTTTTTCTTCATCAAAACTAGATCTGTATCTGACTGCTCTGTCACGGGATTCCGTTCGAATTTCATCGACCAAATGTCTTATACAGGCTGAATCCTTGATTAAGTTTACTTTTGGATTCTACGCAGCGATCCCGGCACTTAGAAAGCTGATGACCGACTGCGTCGACGAGTCTTTACTGGGTTCACTGTATTCTATTCCAGGAGAGTTGATACACGTGTTGGCATACTGATCTTTAGTTGTAGCTAAGACTTCACTTACTGTAGTCGAAAGTAGATCGAAGTAGTCAAGGCGTATTGCTCCGAAGCGCTCGTTGAAGGAACTGGTTACCCTCTTGGATTCATAATTTATTCATCTGGATTTCTTGGTCATCCCAGTCAAGAAAACTGGATATTTTACGGTCTTGGGAGCATTTTAACATAGGTTGAAAAAAGAAATGATTTAGAAAGAGTCTTGCGTCAGTTTAAAAAAGAATTATTAATGAAGGGCGAACTTTATTGGATTTGAGCAATTTAAACTCAAGAACTACAGAGTAATATTTATCGCATCAAAGAATGGGTTACATAAGAAACGACTCGGCCGAAATTTTCAACCAAAGAAAGTGTCGATTGCCGTTATTTTTACTTGTATATCATTTTATGTCAGAAAAATATATTTTCGTTAACAGGCGAGCTGTCCGTTTTCATTATTAATCACGCCATGATGTGTGCTGAAGGAGGAGAGGGAGAGGCTCCGGCGAGTGAAATATACAAAGCACGGAGCCCTCGTGCATCCAGAAGGCAGATCAATTTTACGCAAGTTCTCACCATTATATTTCTAATATGTTGTCTCTTCCATGGACCATAGTGCAGAATTATCAAAATATTCTAATCTTTTTTTACCAAATGTACGTTAAATTTTCTACTCCTGAGCTCATAAGTCGAATTAAAAGAATATCAAATGGAAAGTAGAAAGGCTAAGCACTATAAGAGTTTTTATGTCCGAGAATATCCAGTTTGGCAGGGATCGATTGTCAGCTAGCGAAATCGATTACGCTTTTATGTCAGATTATGCTGATCATTGGTGATAAAACGATCATCCTTCTTCTCACTCGGGCTTGTGCCTTCTTGACTTTTCTGGTTACAGACAGTTTTCGGAATATGTGCCCTCAGCAGAGCAAGTTTCAACTCATTGCAAAACGTCTAACGCATTTCCTCAGCTTAAGGATTTGCAGGAATATTAATAATTCACAAATAAAAGTAATTAAAAATTAAAACCGCAGAATCGTATTATGGAACATATTATGCTCGTCAGATGGCGCTGTGTGATGCAGGCGGCCCAACGCGTTGCGCAAAAGAAGCTACTGGCAGCGAAGAGCGAGCGAGGAACAAGAGACTAATAATAGACAGAGAAATCTACAGGCAAATACAAACAAATCGAAAGGTTCAGCTGTTAAACACATAGATTAATCGAAGTTATGGAGCAGTAAAGGAGAAGAAAGTGCGAAATGGAAGAAACGACGAGGAGGAAATACTAATTCATGAGGCTTCTTCCACCGCTAGTACTCGGAATAGTACTCGTTACTGCACAGTTCGGTACGACCCAAATGTATTAATCCAGGCCTGGATAATCCCATTAGAGGGGATGATTGCGTGTAGAAAATCAATTTGTAATCCTGGTTTCTAGATTTATTATCTGAATTAAATAGTTCGTTTATTTCGTAGTGATTATCCTACTCCGTTTTCCGAAACAAACAGTAATATCACTGATATTATATCAGTATATTTTACCAGATATAGGAAAACATGGTCGTTGTATATGATTAGCTTGATTTTAAAGGGAGTGAATGTGAGAGATAATTTGAAGGAATGATATATGCCCATCCTTAGAGAGACGATTATCGTCAAGCGCTAATTATTCGTCGGGAAGAGTATTGTCTTTGCATGCTTTCTGACAAAAAATTTATTAAGATAGCGAAGAAGATGGGGACTCTGAGGAGACATCTAACTGCTGCGGTTGTTGTGGTGGAAAGAAAACAAAGTCAAAGCTACCAGGTGCAGCAGCTGATGATAGGGATTTCGATTTTCTTAACGTGCGTAGATGTAAGCGAATAATTTGCAACTTGGCCATCACAAATGCCCCCAGAATAATTGATGAGATTATAAATATACCAGAAGAAGTGACTCTAATACAACCGTTTATTTCTAAGCGAAGAGTATTAGTCTGATGAAATCATGGAGGAGAGCCTTAAATCGCGCAGACTTCCCACCGCAGAACATACCACATCAAATGCCTTGCGAAAAAGTTCAATTGGGAGATGAGCGAGATAAAAAAAATTGACAATTGTGTGGTCAATTTATTCAGTTCATGCATCATGTCGCTTGGCATGTTAAACTCACTTGGAATTTAATTCGGGCTCATTTTATATCCAATCTAAGATTAAATTTTTGCCGGGAACGGGCGTGTAGCAAACGCATAGGCTAATCAATTTTCGGGGTAAATATTTAATACGGAATGGATATCGTATTGAACATAAAATAATGGTGCAGTGCTCTGAGTTAAGGTTAACAACTGAATTAAAAAAATAAATCCCATCCTGAAGACTCCATCTCAAACCAGCTCGAAGAAAGATTCAAGGAGCATACCTATGCACTCTCAGGATATGGGTAGTAACTTTAAGAAATAGATTTGACTTGATGGTTGACTATAGTACAATTTATACTTTGAACAAAAGTTCATCCTAAAACAAGTTAAACCAAGAAATGCAAATGGAAGTCCTGTCAAAGTTAAAGTGACTCTCCTTATCGAAAGTATAACGGACGTCTCCGAAGTTAACATGGACTTGACGATTACCTTTGTCATTTATCAAACGTGGACAGATCCAAGACTTATGATTCCCACAGATGTGCTGCCTTTAAAGAGGTATCAAACATCTTTCAAAAATCGCATTTGCAATGATGTTGCTTCGTTCAGTGTCGTACTTCCTTCGCGACTCATCCAACATCTGTGGGTGCCCGACACATACGTAGTCGGTAGCAAGGTAACCAACTAACCATCGTAATAGTTATTTTTTGAGTATAATTTTATTCATTCAATATCATCATTGACAGTTTGGTGCCATACCGAAGGAATAGATCGATTTCACTTAGTATTGTGTGATGAAAAATGTCGATCCTAATTATCCATGATACTTGAAAAAAATTGACGATGCACTCGTCAAAACTGTAAATGCCACAAGATTATTGACGTCTTCAATTATTCTTTCAATATTAATTATCAGAAAACTTCAGGCTCGCTCCAGCAAGACAAACTGATTTTTATTATCGATCCTCATTATTTACTGAATTTAGTCCTCTGTAATTCACAAAACAACGACGGCAAACCAAGCTGCACGTATTTGGCCGACCGGGCGTGTTTTATATTCTCTAAAGTTGACGGCAACAGGTAAGAACATCGACAGATCCTCCAATTACCTATCCATAGTGGCTTGCCTCATGTCACTGCACAATTTTCCGATGGATACTGAGACTTGTTCTTTATCGTTGCAAAGTTTTGCATATGGTAAGTCTTAGATTTATCGTGCGGAATATTAATGATCCTGGATAGATACTGATGAGATTGTATTACAGTGGGACGGCACTGCAATTAAAGACGCACAAGGCAAAGGAAAATGCGGAGAAGATTTTTCCCAGGAGGCGGATAACTGTCGGCCAGTCAGTTTATCCGATTAAGACGAGAATGCACTTTTCATGGATATAAATTTAGTCAATAACATGCCAAAATTCAAAATTATTGACCACGGATACAACTACTCAACCACGCTTTTTTACATAAAAGAAGAGGGCTCTGATACACCAAAAGGTAGAGACTAATTGCGAACTCCCCACGGATGAAATATTCAATTTGGTACCCTTTTATGTCCACCGTCAGAAAAGCAATGGGTTAATAAAAAATTAAGAATATGAGAAGAGTCGATTGACTGTGACCTTTGAATTTGAACGCTATTTTATTTCTGTCTTCTTCCAAAGGATTCGTTTCGCAGTTAGCTAATAACTATAGCTTCTTGTTTATTTTGCTTCATCTTTTAAAAACGAGCTCAAGCTACTTTCCTGCGATGATCATGGTCATGCTAGGTGGTCTTACGATGTGGATCGACCCGAAATCTGTGCCAGCCAGAGTCTCCATGGGTAGACTCACTCCCTTCAGGGCACTAATTAGCTTCTCCTTTAGGAATAACAACTGTCCTTACTATTTCTACGATAATAACGGGCCTGAAATCGTCGCTACCTCGCGTCTCCTATTTGACGGCGCTGGACATTTATTTGTGGACATGTTATTTCTTTGTGTTTTCTGCGGTCCTGGAATTTTGTGTTCTGAACTTTTGATGGCGCGAAAAGGTCGAGTCAGGTAAATAAACGTCATCAAATGAACTTTGGCGGAACTGAACATAAACTATTTCAGGGACAAACTGGTCGAGTCCCGCTTTAAAAACGGATCCCAATCAAAGAATGGAGTTGCCCTTGGCAAAGCGACTACAGGAAGGCCTTCAAAATCAATGATTTTTTGTTTCCTTTTCTTTCAAATTCAAAAGGCAAAAAAGTGGTTGACGAGAAAGAAGCGCCAGTCGACGAGTATCCAAGCCAAGGATTAAAAGTAAGATCGCTGATGACTGGCGTACGATGTGTTTCCTTGACACATGCCTCGTTCTGCCGAATGCACTCTCATAAATTATGAGTGAGCGAGAAATCATAAATGTTTTAGCGGCGACATATGAGTCAGCGTATTTCATCGAGCCACTCGTTCGACTCCCCACACAGCTTCTCCAAGTCTGCCAAAAAAATCTATTCCATCTTCAATGTACACGAGAGTCCCGACACGGCAAGGCGACTAGGTAATTCCTTTTCAGTCAATCTGGCTCTTCCTCAAATTAAACTGTCTGATGATTTTCAGATTTCTACTTCCGGTATCTGTATTTCCTTATGTTCGCACTCTTCAATGCGATCTATTGGACCCATGTGAAGATGGCTGCCGATTCATCACGTGAAGAGCTTGCTAAAAACTTCGGCCCTGATCTTTAGTGATCCCTTTAGATAAATAAATACATTTTAAATAATGACACACAAAAATTGTATATTTTTGTTATATTATTGAACACATAAACGGTCTGGACGAAAGCGTAAATTTTCGTTTTGAACGAAACGTGGGACACAGATATCTTCTTTTTGGTGTTGTTTTTTTAATAATTTAATATTTTGTTTGGTGAAATTTACAAAAGTGTATTTAACGGAAGCGAGCACACGGGAAACTTTTCGCCCGCCAAGAAGAGTCCAAGTTGGAATTCAAGAACTCTCGCCCCTTCCGGATAGGAAAAATGGTTTCAGAGGAGTTTCACACATGAAAAAGAAGAACCTAGTTGGAACAAATTGGTAGTCACAGTTGTAGTTGGTGGCAGGGTCGAAGTGAACATTTTTAAAAGTAGTTTTTAATAGAAACTGAACTGTGCGGTGGGAATTATCGCCCAGCGCAGCGTTCAGACAATCTATTTGCAATTTTCTGGTTCGTTAATTTTTTTTTTGCTTTATGTTTTGAACAAATTGATTAGTGACATGTAACTTTTCTTTTAACGTTCTTCGCTAACCACGAACACAGCTTGCCTGGCCGACATCGGCATTTCATTTCTATAAAAAAATGATGAGTTTTGTTATTCGCGATCTAATGTGGTATTTGGGGTCGCACAAGAAAAGGTTATTTGTTTTAGTTTGCGTTGTCCGATATTACGCGTCTTCTTATCGTTTTCAATTCTGAGCTGGCGCAATTTCTTATCGCGCTTATTATGTTGACATTATGGGACGCGATAAAATGCTACTTCCAGATATCCCTCGAGATGAACTCGACCCTTCATTTGTCTTGACTGAAGTCGATTGAGCTTACCGTTAACAACTGGGCGCTTTCGCTTGTCCTTGCATTCTAGCTTGCAAGAGTAGTTCTTCGTCCACTTTCCTCTGTTCAAGCAGTCACTCCTCGGCAACACATCTGAGTCGAGCTTGTTTGTTGGACGCGGGCACTTGCCAACACGATTGCCAGTGCTCTAACAAATTCGTAAAAGTATGCACATTACGTTTGCTAAAGAATAAACAACGAAAACTCCGAGAATCAATTTGATAGTCTTGGAGGAATTATTTTTCGTGCTTTTCGTTGCACGATTTTTAAAGCAGCCAAAAAAGAGGTTAATGAGCGAGCGTATTAACCCTAGGAATATATTCGTAGCTCTCGAATATATTGCCATGCGTGAGTTTTTGAGAAGAAGTTTTCGGTTTAAAAACATGCTCCAACAAGAGTCTAATGATGAGACTAGGGTTGAAATAAAGAACGCGTAGCTGGGGTGATGCACTTACAGTCGAGGAAGTTACCGCTTCCTCATCGTAGTCCTCCTCATCGTACCCGTCCAGTAAGTCATACTATTATATTTTATAGATGGAGGAGTAAGACAAAGTTTTTATTGTTATCATAGAAATGATTCGAGAAGAAATTTTTAAACAAAAACTCATTTCAATTAATTTAAGCATCAGGTTAGGAACTTACATCATCAGATTCGGTTACCATAAATGCCTGAATGAATACATAAATAATTGACATTATCGATGTGATTTTTACGAGTGGTTTTATTTAACGATGCTTAAATATATCTGTATAATATAGACTATATTACCTTTGGGGGCATTGTTGTGGGCTTCTTAGGTATGAATTTCATTGTTGTAGTTCTTTTAGTAGTTGTTCTTCTAGTAGTTGTCGTCTTCTTTGTAGTTGTTGTACGTTTAGTTGTACGTTTTGTAGTAGTTGTTGTTGTTGTAGTCGTAGTTGTTGTAGTAGTCGTTGTTGTAGTAGTTGTCGTTGTTGTTGTAGTAGTGGTTGTTGTAGTAGTAGTAGTAGTAGTTGTAGTTGTAGTAGTAGTTGTGGTCGTAGTTGTGGTAGTAGGAGGTTCTTCATCTGGGCAAGTTATCTGCTGACTGAGGGAACTCGGGTACCACTTGCAATGACCAGAAGAGCAAAAACACACAGCTGGATTTCTCACGCTTGCTAGCTCACCAGAAGGACATTTGAACCGACACACTCGGTCCTTGCAATCGTAGATAACAGAGGGCGAAGCGTCAAATGCTTCTGATGGATGCTCGCAGCCTAATTTTAAGCGTTATCAATTAAACAAGAATTAAAAAATGTTTCTGCTCTTTTATAACGTACCATGTTCGCAATTTGGACCAAAGTAGACAAGTGGGCATTCACAAGTGTAAGAGTCTTCCTTAGGAATACATGTTCCACCATTTAAGCAAGGTTTTGTCTGGCAAATAGACGATTCGTGTTCACAACGTGTCCCATAGTAACCTGAGGGGCAACTACACGTAAACTCGTAACCGTCGTCCGTACATTCGCCGCCATTCTGGCAAGGTTTTTCTTCACATGGCCTGCCTTCTCTAGGAGGCGCAACATTGTCCAAGCACTTTGGATAGCAGCAAGGTTTGAGTCCTCCGTATTGATTCCATTTGTACCATGGTTCTTCAACTTGCTCGGGACAAATTTTTCCGGAAATGGCGAGAACATCCGCAACGTTGTTACCGGGCTGGGGTCCGAGATTCCATGTCGAGTCTTCGTAGGAGAAAGAAACATATTTGTCTTCAGATGTGCTAAAAATGGAAATAGAACCGAATCAATCTCCCAAATTGTACCTGTAGTAAACTGGTCGACCATTCAACTCGTGTTTCATTCGAGAAAAGACAATGCCGTTGAGTTCGAGTTTATTACAACAGGTAGCGATGCAGTCACGCTCATCAGATCCATCGTTGCAGTCGGCCCATCCATCACAGCGCTGTTCTGTCCGGATACACTGAGGCTGATCTGTGCACTGCCAAGATTTGTCGCCGTTGCAAGATTTGCAGCTAAATTTAATCGTTACTCATTGACTTGTTTTTGAAGAAAAGACATGCGACAAATGCCGAGGGGCCTGAGCAATTACGAAATTAATTCTGAACGACGTTTTTCAATTGGCCAAAACTTACTCTCGCTCGTCAGCTCCATCGACGCAATCTTGGAATCCATCGCAAACACGACGCTCAAATGTTGAGTACGGCGCTGTGTCACAGGCTCTAGCATCGGAACCTTCAACTTGTGCGCATTTGTCGCAACCATAAAGTTCACAGAGCTGTCGAATGTCCTCAGTAGATGCTTTGATTCGCTGCGCTCTGAAGACGGTTCCATCTCGGCTGGTGATCGTAGGTTTCTTCCCTGGCGTTTCGGAGAAGGCAAATCCGTCGTAGTGCATAACAGAGACGTAATCGTAAGGAGCATCAACCGGACGATAGGTTACCCACGTGATGTGGAAAAGTCCAGATAGCGGTTAATATCGCCCAACCTTCTAATTAATAACAGATAAAAAACCATAAGAGGGCGATTAAAAGCTATGTATTAACCAGCTTATAGATAACGGTTCACTTCAATTTAACTATCGAAAAGAAATGTGGATAACATGTGTTTGCTCATCACAACTAGCGACGTGCTTATTCAAAACAAAGCCGAATATCATATTCGGAATATGCTTATTTCGTAGGGTGTGGGTAACCTTAACTTGGTGAACTTGAGTTTCTGGAAGTAGATGCCACAACCAACATTCCTACTGGCACCACATCCTGTTGACTTAATGTTGTCCCACTCAATGCGAATGTACTTGTCGCGATCGAGCCGCTGATGCTCGTGGTGGAAACCCAAAGCGTGGAAAATTTCGTGAGTAGCCACTCCAACGCGCTGGCACGGAATGTCGAGGTATAGCGGCTGAGCTCCTGTTATGCGGCCCACATAGCTGTGACATCCACGAGACTGCATCATGTACAAATAATCGCGATGAAGTCTGAGAAAGACGAGTTATTTTCAGAGCTGATACTGATAGAGCAACGATGTTTTTCAATCTTATTGCAAGATTCTCCTTCCTGGGAGCTAGGGTCTAGGGAAAATCTCAAGCAACGAATTCAATAGGAGTCAGTCTTATTTTGCTGATACTGCATGCAAACAAGTGAATGCGTTCACATAGATTATATGTAACGAAAACTAAGTTTATTGTGTTAGTTATCTCAATACCTCGGGTTAGCTTGGATGAATTCAATGCAAGGCATCTCACTTTCAATAAGGGCGAATGCATCTTCCACGACTTTGCGGCCCCAATCGTCGAATCTGGGCTCAAAAGCGTATGGGACCTGCATTTTTCCATTCTTCTGATTGATATATTTGTCCCAGAGGTTTATGATTCCAGGAATACCGGCAACTCTGGCAGTTTTTTCGTTAGCTTCGATCGGAATGTCGGAAATGTCGGCTCCGGACTGAGCCATAAACATGGCGTAACTCGGTGTGTAGAGGATGTCATCCTCGTCATGAGACATGTAATTTGGGATGTACTCAGAGTCCATCGGGCGCGGATCGTTCAAGTGATTCGACTTCGCATTCGAACTTTCGCTGCTTGGAGTCGGAAAAGGGCTCGTGGAAGGCGCATCAGTGAAAGTGACAAAGTCAGATGGTTTTTTATTTCTGCGCTCATTTTTACGCTTTGCTCTACGTGAGATACGTTCAGCTTCTTTTTCTCTCTTTTTCTGTTCTCGTTTTGCTTGCCACGATGATATCGCTCTCGTAAACGGTTTAGCACGGTGATTAGTAGAAAAAAATATTTTATTACGTTTTGACTAAAAAATTAAAAACTAATAAGCGATTATATTTTATTAGATAAGAGTACAATAAATAATTGTGCTCCTTTTTACAATTCATCTTTGCTTAGCATGAAAAAGTTATTTACTATCTTTTTAATAATGGTCACTAAATTTTTTTATAATATTTGTTCTAACAAAGCATCTTTAATGTATAGCATATTTCAATGGTAGGAGATTGCAAAAATGTTCTACGTGAATGTATTTGTCGTGAATATACATAGAACTATTGTGGTGGATTTTTTAGAAACACTTCTTAGGAGCGCACGCGAGTCCTTGAGAAAAACGCGAGCTCAAAGTTCAAACACACGTGGAACGATAACGATTACGTGTTCCGTGTTTTGTTTCAGAGAAGCGCATAAACCGTTCCTTTGTGCGTACGTTTCTGAATTACTTGGTTTGGGACTGCTTACCTTGTCTTCGCCTAGTGCTGAGAGGACAAGGCTGAGCCAGACGAGCTTCATTTTATCGCTCGTTTATCTTCTGTGTGTCTACTCTCTGTTTCGTTCTCTGTTTTGTATTTTGTTTTGTTTTTCTGGTGTTCGATAGTAGTTTGAGGTGGTGTTCGCAAAAGATGTTTATCTCTTGAATTTCATTCTTGAGGGGTCGAAGCCCGGGTTGCTTGGTCAGTTCAAAAGTCTTTGGTGGTGGAGTAGGTTGTCTGGAGAGCAAATTGGTGGCGAGGATGGGCGCTGCTGGTGGTCAAGTGACGCGCCCTTCGATAACGAGACTCAATCGCTTATTATCAGTTACCACTGGCCTCTCGCTCAAAGCTCTAACTCTGAACAAGTGGAGAGGCGCTGGGACTCCCTCTTGAGGAGTCCGCCACCACCACCACCTCGATTTAGCCACCGGGCGAAGCGGGCTCAATCCATCAACGATGGGCGCCCAACGAGGTGTCATTAAGGAAAAGCCACCGAAGTCGATCATCAAAGCTGGAGCTGTACTGTATCCCCCCGTCAGACGTGGACTGCAACTCGACGCCCCTACTACTTAGTCGGCTCTCTCATCTTCCCTTGAAGTACGCTCGCTTCCGTTTCAGTAATCTAGATTAAGTCCACGAAGTTCTGATAACATAGAAGAGTATAGGGAGAGACTCTTAGTATAGAAGAGTTTTCACAAAAAGAATCCCAACTACTGTATTGCCAGAAAAAAACTATTTTAACTGGAAAATAAGCTACTGATTTTACAAGGTGGTGCGCCGTCTGAGGGCTCCCCACAGATAGTTGAGTGTTCGTCTCTATTAGAGACTCTCAATAAATGCGAGGCTGAGAGTTGACTTCCATCATTTAGAATCGACTCGAGAGGGGGAAGCTAATCTTTTCCGAGTTTTCATCACACGTGATGAAAATATTGAATTTCTAATCGGCGGTGCTAAATCGCACGAACGAACTTATTCCGAATCAGAGACCACCAAAACTTACCTCACATTTATAAAAAAAAAAACATTTACCAACAAGATAACGATATTTTACGAGCTCCAAATCAAGGGACTAAATCAAGGTTGGTCTCCTTAAATTATTTTTTATATACATATCCAATCATTTTTATATTTCCGAGAGCATTATTTTCGGAATAAAAAATATTTTTGTCAGAAATTCTTGCCAGGTGTAAGAAGATTCTGCCTCGACATAGCATTCAAACCTGCTTGCGATAGATGAAATTAAAACGAGAGATTTGAAACTCCGAAATACGTGACGGGCTGGCACACCTTAACACCAGTGCGCTGAAGGCGGTACCGATGAAAATTAACCCTTCCGCGGACTTGTGCGAGGTGAACCTCCACTTCACAACATTCAACGAGCTGCTTTTGAGACCTGCGCGATCAAAATACAGAACAACAACTGTAAAGTAAAGTTTTTTTTATGACTTTACTTGACTTGATCGAAACTGAGCGAATGGTATTATAAATAATATTTGTCACTGCTTGGCGAATGTGTAGTACATAAGTTGAGTGCGTTTGTAGTTAGAAAACCTTTGAGTCACGAATAATTCCAAACATTCTGGAAGACAGGTATGAGCATGAATGCCAAGAAAAAAGTAAACGAAGTAGAATTTGAACTTAGCGGTCGGTTAGCGTGATCAAATTTAATAAGCAAGGCGGTGTCGAATTAAGCGCTTGGGAAACATAAGATCAGTTAATAATTTCAATCGTTTAGCCTGCAGACTTCTTTGTTACTGGTGCCATGGAATCATGATCCAATGTTCTTCATAAGGCAATGGCTGATAAACCCAGAAATTGAAAGTTTTATCTAGTCGCTGTCTTGCTGAAAGCTACCAGAAGGATTTAACAAAAATAAAAAAAGGGACACTAGCATTTTATGGAAGTGTATTTGTACTTTCACAAGCGCAAAAATATCAAATTTTAGTCAGGAAGATAATTAATAGAAAATGCTGCCATGGATAAGGAGCGGCACTAATTGCTTTGGTTCTCCTACACTTAAAATTGAATAACCTTCCATCCTGATAGAAATATCTGAAAGCAATTTTGAGGGAACACGCTTAACTGTAACTGTGAAATGTATAAATGGAACTGGACAGTTGATTCTACAACCGGTTGAAGTACTCATGGGTTTGAAAGATGAAATATCCTCGCAGAGGACATTTTTATGAATGAGAAGCTTGAAAGGAGATTCAAGTTCGAACGTTATGTGGCAATTTGTTTCTAGTTAAATAAATTTCTGAAGATTGAGAACGCATAATACGCTTGCAATTCGCAAACGAACCGAACTCGATGCTGAAAAAGATTTCGCGAAAATTGGAAGATAGGTTCGAGATTAACCAATAGACGGAATTAAGCATCGAGTCCAAAGCATTCTCAATTGCCACATCTCGAGGTAACTAGCGGCTAGGACGTTTTCTGGGGCGTTAGGAAAGCATCTGAAAGAGAATGATACAGGGCCTAGAGAATGATGCCCATGGACGGTTTTAGGTTAGGTGGAGCGAAGAATGAAAATCGAAGAATGCGTCGCAGTTGTCGGCTTACTCTTCGTCCAGACTGCGAAGATTATTCATTCGACTGGAACGGCCAAAGACGGTGCTGGCGTCGGATTCGGAGGAAAATCGTTTGCGTGATCTAAAAATTTCGATGAAGAGCGAAAAACATCGAAAAACATCACCTGTTCGGACACATCAGTTCGATTTTTTCGAAATGATCTTCCGTTGGGCAGCGCGGAAAACGAGCTTCTCTAGCCAATGATGAACATGTGGAATGTCGAGCATGACGTCGTCTACGTTTGCGTAGAATCGGCTGAATCCAGCATGCATCTGGTCGACAGATAAAACTCCCTGAGTATAGTTTTAAGTGTGATGTAGTGAAATGATCAAATCTACCTCTTTGAACATGTATTGTAAAAGCCATGTCATTTGGTTAATGACGTTCTCGTCTTCGGCTTCCATCGCGATCAAAATCGCCTCGAAAACGAGCTCGTGGTGGAAATGAGGAACGTCAAGCTCGCGTAGACATTTCGACGCCTCATCTTTATCGCCCGAAGAGAGAAACTCTTTGAGAAGCTCGCGAATCTTAAACGCTAAAGTAACGAATGGCTCAATCAGTAATAAACACCTTCTCGGTGAGCACTGAAGTGTCGGTGAAGCCGCCAATCGCCGTTCCCCAGCAAGTCTCGACGCTCCTCGGATCCTTGTTCAGCGCAGACGAGTAATCAAGGCATCTTCGAACTGAATTAAACGGATTACAATAGAACCTTTTTTAAATTTTAAATACCAAGACTCCCGGCGCCTCTAAGCTCCTCGGAAATGAAGTTGTCCGGCAAGCAGCCATCAAGAATTGATCGCGAAATGAATTTTCCTAGAATTTCGGGCGCTTCAGGAGTGTCCAAGATTAAATCTGCCAGTCGATCGAGCAACACCTAAAGAAGAAATTCGTATTTAGCTAAATACGTCAATTAACTTACGCTAAATCCACGAGCTACGGTTATGACGTCGTAGTACTGAAGATCGAAGAAGTATTTGGTAGCTTTTGAGGCTAGTTCACGGTATTCGTTCTTTTGTTCTGAAAGGAAGTTCGGTCATTTGTTCGAGGATCACATTTATTACCTAGGCTGGACTCGAGAAGCTGTTCTAGGACGAATGAGCGGTTGTTCTTGATCATCATCCCTTCTACTTGTTCTAAGAAAGCAGCTTGATCGGCAGTATTGAAATATTCGCCGATGCACTGCTCCAGTTCGCTGGCGATCTCCTCCGTGCTCGGTTCGATTTCAAGTGAGTCGAAGACGATGTCCGGGTCCTACAGTAGGATATTTTGCTCGAAAGTCCATATATGCTGAGCTCACGAACCTGAAAGGGGTCGTAGTTTGGATCATCTACGTTGACGGAGACATTATTTCGATCATCGAGCTCGCAACCTGGCTTGCCCCAAGTAAACGAGCCGCCGCCGCCTTCTACAAATAATAAAATTAGCGAAAGAAAAGGCAACAACAGAACTAACGTTTCTTGGCGAGGCCGCGACCTTGAGCGGCGCGAGATTTCCGGTCTCCAAAGCCTTTCTTGCAGAAGTCCTAAATTACAGTGAAAGATCTGACTCAGTGACTGTGGCACCTTGAAAGCAGTGGCAGGCGGAACTTTCTGAAGAGATCCTACTCCGGAAGATCCGACGGAGACCCCAGTTGACTCGGCTTTGGAATTATTCCTGGAACGAGTAGACCCCTTGGCTGACGATTGCGAAGCTCGACGACTTCCAGCGCCATCGGCGATCGCGATTGGCTGCGAAGAAGGAGCCTTTTCGTCAGAAGAGCAACCAGAAGAGTCCGAAAAGCCTCGATTCCGGAATTCCAGCTCCTTGCAATTCTCTATTCCAGCCAAAGTCGCAAGTTCCTCATTTTGAATCGATAAGTCGTTCATTAATGCTTTCTGAACTCGCAATTATTCTTCAGTCGCTAATAAGTAGTCATATTTTCAAAGAAAAAAATATGTTTTTGAGGAAACAGCGCACTGACTCATTCAAAGAGCTTTTGTTGAAAAATGGAGCCTTAAAATTTACTCTTGATTATCCTATTACCTCAGAAGAAAAGTGGTAAAGATCGAGTAATTTTTACTCGTTATATTGTCTGCTCGAAGATTAGACAAGTTCGCAGGCGAGGGAAGGGGCGTCTCCCTCACAAGCTTCGGGCACCAACCCACACAAAAAAGCATCATGAACTCCAATGTAAGCGAGTGCCCAGCGTTATGAGACCTATTCCGCCAGTACAGTGTGGAGATTTAATAAATCGAGTTTCAATCATGGTTGTAAATCGTATTCTAAGTGCTAATTTCGTACATTCACTAACACTGGGTCAGTACTTTTTTTCTTACATTCTTATGAATCAAGAAGAAGACGGAAGTGTCATGTATATCTGAAGAAAATAATGACTGTGAGACCAAACCTAATGGTTCAAAAACTTCAAGAAGTCGCCCACTTTAGCGGGCAATTTTCGATTGGCTCAAACGTACGTTTTTAGAAAATTTGTCGATAAAATTTTCAGAAAACTATGAAAGAAAATGAGCTGGCTGCTCTACTCTGCTCCTACCTCAATGACCGTGGAGTGGAGAACGAGCTCGTTCAGATTCTCTGAAGAGCGCGAGTTGAGCAGTAGCGAGCTTGAGCTGAGCCGGAGTTGGCGGTAAAGCACGAAAAGGACTGAGAACTTTTCGCAAAACCTTTCTGAAGATTTTCAAATGCCCTCGCAGGTAGCGTGGGCGCACGCATTTGACCAATCGATGGAATTTAACGGGACAATCTGCTCCTGTCACTTCCATGGCGGCGGAGTCACTACTGCTCCGAATCGGTGACTCCGATGCTTCCTCCTCCTGGAGCCGTTTCGCCTTCGTACGCTGAAATTACTGCAATTCTGGCCGAACAAAAAGGCGCGGCCATGGATTACGTAATCGACTCGCACCATGTACGCGATTTCGATCACGTGGCTCAAATGTTGTGGAAGAGTCAAGCATGCAGGTTCCGCGTAGATCGCATTGCCAAGTGCTAAATTCATCACCTCTCGAACCCGCTTGATCCCCTCTACTTGATTTTTTTTGTTAAAAATGGCTCATTCTGAAAATAGAATTTCAAAGCTCCAACGATGGGCGCGTCTCAAAGTTCCGCCTGAGTTGGGGACAATAAACAGCTGATTTGGGTCAAATTAACAGTGGAGATGGAGTCGATAAGGGAGGTTGATTGTTTGGTGCCAATTTTACGGTCAATTGTTGCGGCTGTGACCCCAATTTCGAGCATCAAAAAGGGCTTCGTTGGCTTTTCGATCATCACATTCGAAAAAATGAAAATTCCCACTGCCTTTTCAAAAGAAGAGCTCCTTTTCTTCGACTCACTGTCTGAAGAGTCCTTCGAGTTCGAAAGAGTCGCAGATAGAGATTCCATCACTTGTTGCGTTCCTTTCACCAGGGGAAAGTTGCAAGAGCTCATTGAAGACGTAGCTGATAATGTGAGCTACCCTTTCAACCTCTTTTTCGATGTTGCCTTTACTTACAGTGAGACGAGAAGAGACGAGAAGAGTAAGTCTCATCAAAATAGCAGCTTTGAATAACCGTTTAATTTCAGCTGGAGAATGGAAAAAGAAAACTTACACAAAACCCTGCTTTGGCTCTCCTGTCGTCTTGAATAACATAAGAGCGATTCAAAGCGAAAGGGACCTGAGTCGACTGCTCGAAGAGTTTCCCGACGACGAGACACTTCTGTAAGATAGCCTGGGCATCCGTCCTCTAACAGCTAATTTAGGGAGGAAGTGAAGAACACCTACTCTTACTGGTACATACAAAACGTTAAGAATATTCTTCTCGTTCAAATCACAATCGACAAACCATCGAGTGCATGATTCAAACTTACGTTTTACATCTTTCCTCCTTATTCAAGGCGGTTTCACCTTTTCCATCTTACCTATTTACTTCAAATCCAATATATTATCCACCAACTTTCAAAAATAAAGAATAAAAGAATCCCATAAATCTTGTCCGAAATTTATTGTTCGATTCAGAAACTGACAAAATAGACTTCATTCTCTATTCATTGAAAATATTGATTGACAAATTTTGGAAGTAATAATATGCATTGTGACAACATATCATATGTTACGCATGTAATTATTTATCGAATTATACTTCGATTTATTTCTGTGAATTCATTGCAGGGAGATTATCTTCATTTTAGACAGATAAGCTGACACCAGGATGAAATTTCAAAACATTGCAGTGCTGTCAATAGTACTGAATGTATTGAAGTTTGACAGACTGGTTTGAAAAGGATCCTTTTCAACTATTTTGACTAAAAGAATGGGTTGGTAATCGTGGGAATATCAACGATTCAGTTTGGGAATCGTTGGTTGAGGCGCTTGAAGGTTTTCGGCCCGAAAATTTCGGGATTAGCAAGTCCGAATTTTTCGTGATATAACCGGAGCATTCTTTTTCATTCATCATCCATTTCTGAAACTCGAGATTTCGGCCGTTTTTCTTCTTTTTTTTTTTTTAAAAACGGAAAGAGACGCAAAAAAGAGTAGAATGTCTGAAGGTAAGAATACTTTTTTACTCGAATTCTAAATAAGAATTGAAGGAATACGCAAAGCCCCGCCAAGTGCGTACAAGCAATTTGTGGCTGACCACATTGACGAAATTCGTGAAATATGGAAGAAGGTACAGGACGATTTTCAATAAGGATTTTTGAGGGAAATCCTGGTTCACCTTTTTTATAGGCCCATTAGAAAGAGCGTAAAAAGTTATGCTAGATGAGTCGGAAATACTGGCAAAATTTCGAACTTATGACGTCATTGCATGTGACGGAAGTTCCAAAAGTACCAGTTTGATTACCCCCTATATTTTGCTCTAGGACATATATAATGTGGGCAAAATATATATTTTTAAAATCCTCATGATCTAACAAGTATGGGGAGCACAATATTGTGACCTCTCGGAAAGGTTGAGGTCACGTGACCCCAGATGACCTTTTGAAGAGGTCACAATTTTGTGCTCCCCGTACTTGTTAGATCACGAGAGTTCTAAATATATACAGTGTGCCCACATTATTTATGCCCTAGGGCAAAATATACGGGGTAATCCAAAAAAATTTTAAAACACCCTCTGGGCATATTGAGTTGGGCACACCGGCTCTAAACCGGGTGAGGGGGGTTTTTTCATACGAAGAATCTATTGAGGGAATGAAAAAGGGGGACCAGGATTTTCCCAAAAAAATGTTGTTGAAAATCGTCACAGATTATATACTGATTTGTTAATTTTTGCACACAAATAATTTTAGGAAAATGAAGAAAGTAAACAGGAAGGAAAGCCGAAAACGACCCTCTTCGAAACGATGTCTGCCGAATGGAAACGGCTACCCGCGGAAGTCCGGCAACAATACAACTCTGAAGCAAAAGGTAATATCTATTTCCACGTGAACAGCCTTGCTGACAATATAAATCAGAACGAATGAAGAAGTACCAAGAAAACAGCCCTTTTGCCTGGTGAGATATCGACCGAGAATACATGCGAATTGACATTTCTACAAATTCATATGCTTTTTAATTGACACTCAAAATTTGATACTGACTTCTCAAATACTGAAAATCACTGAAATAAAATAAATAAAAACTTGGTTAGTTTTGAATTTCAATCATGTGGCGATGATCCGTTATCATCATAAATTAGTTTCTAAATGAGACGAACTAGATGAAAAGGACTCTGCGTATATCACAATTAACGATTTCCGACTTTTAAATGTGGATTGCGGTGGGTACTAACTCAGATATAGCCTGAAGATAGCAAAGAGCTATTAATTGCTCAGTGGGCAATTAGTGAGTAAACGTTAACTTTACGATTAAGAGAAATTAAGAAGAATTAAAAAGAAGCAGTATTTAATACAGTTATCGAAGTCAAAATACTCAACAGAATCAGGTAATAAAGAAATAATTGAAGTCGACTGAGAAATATTTTACTGGCCTCGGTAAAAGGAATTTTATGAGCAAACAATCTCCCAGGCAATAAATCTAATGCATTGGGCGAAATATTCATTTTCTAAACCAAGGTCATCGTAGGTCAAGCTATCGGTCATGTAACATGACTTATGTTAGATTTTAAGTTAACTGAAAGATGTTTTATTATTTAAACAAGCTTGCTTGAAAAGACTCGCTTTCGAAAATTAGCGCGCTCTTCTGAAATCGTAGGATATCGTTAAGAAGTCAGGAAAATACGATGATTGATGTCGTTCGATAGTTTAAACGCAGGCTGCTGCATCAGAAGCACGTGAAAACAGAAAAGCGTTAAGACAGATCAGGAAAGAACGCGGAAATTGAGAGAAACAATGGTCGAGCTCGATGACGAAAGTGATATCGGGTAAAGATAGGGACTATTTCAGACAGCCCGGAAATCAAATCATAGTCCGAGCCTATTTAAACAATAGCAGGGGATGAAAAAAAAAGGTTTTCACATTTTGAGGGTAGCTTCCCTAGAAAATGTGTCTTTTTGGAGCCCTGATAAATGAGTACGTCGACAGAGATATTTTGATAGCAAGGAGGATTTCTTTTTTATTTATCTAATGATTTGTTTCTTCACCCCAGCATTATTTTTGGAGAAGAAATCCATAGCTGACTTGCAATCTGCCCCTCTATTATTTCAAAAACTAGTCATCATCCAGAAATGAGTATTTGAAAATGAAGCAATGGGTATTTTAAATTAAATTTAATGAAATTTTTATGAATTCTGAGTACTGCTTCGAATAATTAATGTTCTTCTGCCGTGACCTAGTTTAAACATGGTTTTATTTTATACTAAAAGATCAAGGTCTATTGTGAACAAAGTCGCCAGCGTAAAGTTTTCGTAAAAATGAATGTCTGGAGTGGCATTTCCTTCAAAATAGTGATCTATGAGTGGGATTAGCCACCCGCTCGGGACATAGTCTCTTTTGACTTTATTGCTTCGAGCATATAAATAAACTTTCAACAAAATAAGGAACAAGATAAATTATGGGAAATAAACGAATTACTTTTCAACAGCGGAGCATTGCTCTCCACTATTTTCGCAAGCATAAAGACTTTTTCAGGCGGATTCCAACAGGAATGGTTTCTTCGCGATTTAAAGAGAATTTATGAAATTGAGACTTTTAGAAACCTAAGAAGCGATGGAGCTGAAAAAGAAAGCAACTCAAGAGTCTGCACTAGCAGGTAAGTTTTAATATAAATTTTATTGTCAAATTTACGTACAGAATTCTTCAAAAACCCGCTACAACCTTTCGAAAATCCAATTATAAAAGAAAACACGGATAGATACCGAGATAGAGACAAACTCAATAATGCCGCTCTTCTTCAAGTCCTCGGGAAGCTAGGGAAGAAACAAGATCAGAAAATGGTGACGATGATGGAAATTAGTCAAGTCTATTTTTACACTATTCCCCTGGTGAATTGAGTTCTGCGATTCAGCAATATCTTAATGTTTTCAGATTACAGTGGAAATCAAGAAAGAAATGCGTTTTCTTACAAACTCGACGCCTTTGAAGCGAGAAAGTCGCTTCGAAAAGCACTGGAGCATACCGACGCCAAAGCAGAAAGAGTTTCTGACCGTGCACAAAATCAAGGTATTCTCTTAAAGGTTCCCCTCAAAAGCGGCCATCAATGGACGTCAGCACACTGCTGCTGCCAAGAAAAACGCTAAAACTGCCTTCAGCTGCCAAAAGCGCTTTGGGTAGACTGCGACCGTTGTAATACCGAAAGCGTTACCTCAGATGCTCAAGAAGTTATCGAATCCTGCTTATGTGGAGATACTGGGCTGGTGATTTATGAAAATGGTGAACTGAATAAAAATTCATTTTAGATCGATTGTTACATTTGCGCTGGAAGCGGGCGAATTCAAGATTTCAAACAAATTAACCGCACGACAATTAATATCATATCTGGCCCAGACGGACAAGATGAAGAAGTCGAGGACACTGAAGTGATCGATGAAATGGACGAGTCCGAATGTGAGCTGTGTCACGGAGACGGAAAGTTGCCTTGTGAGTCTTGCTCTGGAAACGCTGACAATATTTGGCACGGGATCGACTCGTACCGCGCTCATATGTTTTAATAGTAATTCTGAAAAAATATTGCTTCATTGTTGAGTTCATTGAACGAGCCCATGTGTAGTCGGAGCTGCGCAAATGGCGTTCACCGAGAACTGAAAATTCGAACACAGTACTCTTTCGCAACGAAGCTTGCGACCTCAAACTTCATCGATCAAGAAATTACAAGTTGGATCGAAGGGTTGCGCCCGCGCGGCCAACCGGTTCAGATCGACTTGCGCAGTCTGAACGAGCGCACAGCAATGAACAGAAAACTCAAACAGAAAGTGGACAAAATGGCGGAGGAGATCAACAGACGGATGGATTCCAATTCACTCACACAAGCAAAAGTAAATTTCAAATATTAATCAATCAATCCGATTTACAATCAATCAAAAACAAAATCAGAGCTGTGAAAAAATCGTTGTAATGGATGCAGAGGTTTGACTCTTACTTCAATTGTTTACAAAAAAACGACAATATTCTACATAGAATAAAAATCGTGAAAAATTCTTAGCAGTAGTTACTTTTTCAATGAAGAATTTTTGGCGATTCACAAAAATTCTTTCATTTTCGAGGGCTTTATATAATACGAAATTCCAGATTGTAAAACTGGCACTGATTCCAGTGCACGTTATTGAATACAAATATCTCGGAACAAACAAGAAGAAGACTTCAGGTCTTGGCCGTTGCATAATTGGTACGTTCGATTTCAGTATTATTCACTTTCATGTTTCTTCAGCTGGTCGTGATTGCAAAATTAAGTCGATTCTTCGTCCAGAAGAAATTAAATCTACTGAAAAATTCATCCGAAGAGATAATCGATTTAAAGGTTTAAACTCGTCGTTCTCGAATCCTAACGTTTGCAAGCATGAAATTGAATTTTTCATTGTAGAAGTGGCGAAGCGAATGAGAAGAATTGCGTCTGTGCGCGATGAGAACGGAGAAATAACTGGGGATCCCCGCTCGATCCGGCAGATGGATATTCGCAGAACATTTTCTGTGCCCCCATGGAATTTTGAAGGGCAGCATAACACCGAGCACGCACGGGATTTACAATATTAAACCCAAACGTGATATTATGAGCACTAACATATCAAGAACAATTATTTTTTTGCAAATCCCAAAAAGCACAGCAAGATCAAACGATCAAACTCAATTCGCGATTCGCGAATTCGAATGTAACCTTTGCACCACAAAAACACCACTTTTCGCCTTTCACCTTCCCGTTTTCTGTTGTATTTTGTTTCTCGAGAAGTCGCACAAAAAGACATAAAACCTCTTCGATTCATTTAAAAAGATTTACAGAGCTTTATTTAATAAAGAAAGAAAATTACAGGAATAAAAAAGTTCAAGCTGTTTTTGTTCAGAATAGAATTGTGAAAATGAAGTTGGAAAGGTTCACCAGGGTCGGTTTCTCCTCGTCGTTATTTTAAAAGTGTTCAACAAGTAGCCTGGTACTTGGAGAGCATTGTGTTCAGAATACACTGTTTGACTCCCCTTGGCGTCTTGGGATCGTTGAAAAGCGACCAGCACTCTTCTCGAATTTTCTGTTTGACACCTTCAGGGATATTCCCTTGCTCCAAAATCTCAACGACGAACGGGTCAACTGAACAGATATTGATACCAGTGGTAGACTTATTGTCTAACCTGATTGATACTTTGGCACAAACGTTGAAGAGACACTTTCGGACTTCGATCTAGCAATGTCGTGGACGTTTTCTTGGGCGCACGTGCTGTCATCTGGCTCTGCGATAGTCATTGTTCTTCTTAGGTGCATTTTGGTAGACACAAGGGAAATTTGGGATTTGAAGTCGTTGATCTGAACAAACTTGTCAACTTGAACTCAGTTGCTTCTTCCGCAGTCTCTGATTGTCAATAAACGTTTTTCTGTTTACCGCGGATATTTCTATTCGTTCACTTCTTGAGACAAATATTTTGAACATTAGAAACGGGCAAGATATTTATTTATCGAAAGGAATCTGATCTCACCTCAACATCGCGGACGCGCGCGCCAGGCTCATCCAGCTCATCCGACTTCGCCATTTCGAGTAAACTCTTCATGAACGCACTGTCACTCGTCATTTTGCTCGGTCGGTTTTGTCCCGTTACCACAGTTTGCGAGCGCACCAAGGCAGTCGGCGAACTTGGCTTGGTTTCGATTTGTTCGTTTGAGATTTGGAAACTGGCCGCAAGAGCCTTAAAACCGAGATGACGATTGAGCGAAGTCAAATGAAATAACCTGGATTTTAGTGCTCTGTGTTCGTCGAATTCCTTCTGGCTTAGATATATGAATATGCCCGAAATCTTCGTCAATGTTTTCATTTTCAGCGAACTTAGCAGCGATGTTTCTCACTGCCCCGGAGCAAGCTACAGAGGCAGGAGTGAAACTACTCACATGAGAGCTCGCCGCTGTCATTTGAGGTTGTCTCGGAGTACTCAGCTGACGAGGGTTGTAAGAATATGTTCGCTGTTGCTTGACGGGCGCGTGGCGGTGCAGAATTACTGGTGGAGGAGCTTCCTCAGAAGAGGAGTTGTCAATCACGGAATCCGATGAAGAAACAGAAGTCGTCGAATAAACTAAATTCCATTTCAAACAACTGTTAACATGAGGCTAATCGCCGAATTCTGTGTTCTAGTTTTCTTGAGAAAGTTGAATCTTCATTTACAGAGTTACTTGTTATCAAAACAAGATACGATTTTCAACATGAGTGAAAGCTGTTTTACAAATTGACGTAATCCTTGTCTTAAATTAACCTAACTAGGGTAGTAATCGCAAACTAGTCATGCTTGATTTTAGCTTGTTAAGCAGTTTGTATGGGGACATAAAATAAGCGATTCGAACTTTTCGCCAATAATAACGAAGTTTATGAGAATTAAAAGGGCAGGGGTCAAACCTGAAGAATCTCTTTCTTCGTCACTAATTTCTTCGGAGCTCCAAGTGCGGGAAGGGACTCGTTGCTTTTTCTTGGAAGCTTCAAGACTCTTCATTATCGAATCGAGCATTGGAGTCGATTCCATCTTAGCGGCGTAAAACTTTTTCTGCGGGAAGACTTTTTTGCATTGATTAAGATTCTGTTCGTCTTTGCTTCTATCTGACGATCCTTAAATTCGGGCTTAGCGAGCAGCATGGCGCCTTGGTTCATACCTTCTGAAGCGTAGCCTGTTGAGGCGGAGTCTGAGTTTGTCGAACCATCTCTGTGGAAATCTTCCAAGTTGTTTATTGCTGAACTTCGTCTATTAACGGATCACTTAGAGTTTCAATGTACCAAATCACCACAAAAAATCTTCGAATTCTAAGTAATGCTTAATAAGTAGGGTATTTCTATTTCTGCTGAGGTAAGAAACGTGAATTTATTATTGTCAATAATTTATTGAAGATTGTTATTCTAAACATACAACCTTTTGCTTTGAGTCAATAATTGATCGAGAAGTGCTTGTTTGGCCACAAAGAGTAAATTGTTGGGGTAAATCTGGCATTTCAATAAGCAAGCGGGCTTACTGAGTGTCATTCTTCTTAGCTACGTACGACCCATTCCTGGTAGTAGTCGAACCGGTAGTCATCACGCCAGAGTCGCTGCCGTCGCCGCCGTCGAAGCTGCTCCCCCCGAAGCTCGAACCTACGTGCCGAGCGCTACCGTAAAGATTAGCTCTGCTACTAGAGCGGCCGAGTTTCGAAAACGACTTCCATACTTTTGAGAAAATGTTCTTTTTGCGTTTTTGGTTTGACTGGCTCGCACGAATGTCTGCCATTGTGTTTGCTCGGTTTAGAAAACTCGACATCTCTTGATTTTAACAAATGAATCTATGTCCTTACCGCGCCTAAGATTGAGCTTCGGAGGGAACTAGCCAAAAGGAAATCTCTTTTTTTATCAAAATCGGATTTCCTCTTCCTGTAATAATCAATTTCGCTTAAACTCGGAGTTCAGGATATCTAAGCCACGGTTTCAAAAGTATCCCTCATATTTTGATCTGATTTATATTTTTTTTTGAAACGTGCCTTATTGGTTTTAAGACTAGTTATATCAGTCGCGTTTTAATAGAAGTCACTAAAAGAGTCACTAAAACCTTCCTTTTGGAGAGTTAAAAAACTTGAAAGCCCCTTTCTTATCATACTAATTCTATCTAATCTGATTAATTAAAATATGAGTTTTTTTATTTCTTTAATTTTTAATACTTGTTATTATTTTACTCTGTCCTGTTGATTCCAGTTTATTTCAAATTTTAAAAGCAAATCAAATAAAAAATTTTGGTCAGCTAACCTAATTTTTTATTATGATTGTTGTTATTATCCCTTTTTGTAGTTTTAAAAAAGCCAAAATATAAAAAGCGATCTAGATACTGTCAGTCTTATCTAAATCAGTCCGATTCAGTCTAAAAAGATTTGGCGTCAGTTAAACTTAAGTACAGTATGGCACAGCTGTAGACAGTGAGTATAACATCAAAGCGCGGTAAATTATGGTTTTCAAATTTGTTCTGGTTGGAATTTGTGCTAACTGCTTCTGCATCCATCCAAATCAAAACCGACAAGAGTGAGAAAGAGAGAAAGCGAGACTTCAACAATGATTCAGGAAGAGTATACAAGTAGTTAGCAAGCTTTGATTCATTCATTTTCATTCACAGACGGCATTTTTGCGATGATAAAATTCAAAACGCTGTATAATGTGTTTTCAAAATAGTAAAAAAAGAAACTTTTGGCAGCAAATCTGCTCGTTTGAACTCAAAATATTTATTTTCCTGCGATAAGAAAATTAATTTCATTCATGTTTTCGAAAATCTCCGTCCTTTGAAAAGTCTGTTTGTTATCGAACTTTTTAAAAGAATATGCTCTCGCAAGGAATTCCAGACTTTTGTCAAGACAATTCCAGGCGACCACCGCGGTCAATTTTGCTCGATCTATTTTGCTGAGGAAAATTCCAAATTTGTGCTCACAAGAGGGCGGGCAATTATGGGTGGAATAAGGGTGGAGGTTTGTTTTTTATATGAATATAGCGTTTCACTTGGTATTTAGGGAGCTATTCTGGAAGAAAAGCGCGACGATTTTTTCGGCGAGTGGTTCGCGAACTCTTCTGGGAGCACAGTTTTCACGAACTCAGGTTAAAATAAGCTCTATGCTCTTATAAAGGCTTAAATAAAAACGCAGCCGGGGGATTAAGGCTAATCTTGGTGATAAGTTCTAAAATATCGCCAAACGCGCTAATATCGCTTCAGAAAACGGCCTCGCTATCCCTGGATGCAAACTTGTGATGGTCAACGAGTGGAAAATTAATCAGGCAAAGCGTGGCTCGTTCTCGATTTAATCGGAAGCGTCATATTCGCAGAAACTCATTCCTTAAAATGTGAAATTAAATAACAAGGGCGTTCGCTCGGCGAAGATTCTCAATTTCCCATAACAGGACCCCTCCACTCCCATATTTTTAGCGAAAACGGCGAGGTTACTCACCTAGTGTTAATTAAAAGCGGGAATTTTCATGTAGCGGGAAAACACCCAGAATTAGCGATTGCTCCTAAAAGCTCCATAAAATGGTGGGGAAGTTCTCAAGCGAAGAGTTTCCGGACTCCTCTTTCCGCAAAGGTACTTACTTACTTTCTAGTTCTGAAAAGCTCGAATAGACAAAAATATTCCACTGAACATGCGTTCACAAATGTCTCTCAAACGTGTTAAGGGTTCGCTTTGTCACTTCATGATGAATTCAAGGATCAGTTCCAAGCAAAGGCGACCGCTTTCTGATTTGAATCTTTATTCAAGCGAATAAGGCTAGCCAGTCCGTCGGACGCCCCTATTTTCTCTCTCTCTCCTCTCTTCTTTTATTACCTCTCTCTGAAAAACTAGAATAAAAATCACATTTTTGTTAAACTTTGTGTAACGCGTAAACCATATTCGCATAGTTTACTATCGGAATAAGAGCTTCGTTGAATGGCGCTCGCGTTTTGCGCGGCGCAGCAGCGGTTGAGCAGCACCACCGTTCTCGTGGTGGATCCGTCTCACTTCTCCTGGAAAACGAGCGGCGACATATTTATTTAGATCAAAAGCGTTCACCTCACGTTCCAGCAGGGATTAAGCCATTGCTTAGCCTCCCATTTTCTGACTATTTCCTTCAAGATTTGCATTTCATAATCTACGAACTTGTTCTTTTATTTCCAATTCTCATTTTTATCTTTCAATAGCTTTTTTTCATGCTCAGAAAAAAATTCACACTTTATCGTTTCACCATCAAAGATACAAAGATCGTCAATAAAACTTCTGGATTCCGGTGACAGCACGTGATATTGAGCTGGTTTCACATAGCATGCGGTTGTTGCTAAGGGTTTAGCTCTTGAGGAAGCCAAATTTTTTCATAAGTCACGTGCTGCAGCGGCAAACTTTTTTAAACACGGATGTTCGGATAAGACGGTATATTTTGTCTTTTGGCTTTTATTTTCCACTTTCGTGTTCGAAAGACTGGTAACTTTAGTAGAACATAATTGGCGCGTGTTTTTTCCAGACGTGTAAATTAGTGAGAGGGGTTTAAAGGGAATTTACTTCTCTCCGGCGTTGGGATAAATAATCACAGCCGGGAACGAGAAAAAAAGAGGCGCTTTAAAAATTATTTATAAAGCGTGACAACACGTTCAACCACGGACTAAGCATGCGCTCACGCTCGTGTTTAATCGCGAACCAGCCCATACATAAAAATACGCAAATCCATAAGCCGCGGTGCAACAAATTTTGTCTCGATGTGGTCCGTCGCAACGAGCCTATAATACTGTATATATTTTTTGACGCGTAAAATTTAATGTTTTTTGGAGCACAATTAGCTACCTAATTAATCAGTCTAATTAGACGCTCCCTGGGTTATGAGGTGGAGCGAATCGAATTAGACTCGTAAGACTTTTGAAAGGCGATCTAGATTCTAGAGTAAACGTGTGTTATACAACGCGTGTTTACCAGGCGCATGTCCGGCCACTTTTCAAAGCGTTTGTCGTTATCACTTCTCGTCCTAATTTCGGTCGCTTTTTATCGGTAAACGGCTCCCACAAATCCGTGTCTCTGCGCAAAATAAGGAGCAGAGTTGATATTCACTTTCGAATTGTGAAGAGTTACCTTTTTATCAGTTCCGCAAATCCTTGCTGAGCCAAGTTTATAAAAACAGGCGAATCTTTATTCGCACCTTGTAAGTGTTAATTGCCCAATTAGGACGTTGTTTCCAAGTAAACAGTGTCACAAATAAAACAAAATAATTGCATTCCAAACGCCACATCTTTCGAGAAATCGCTAAAAGTGATTGCTGAACATTTTTTTATCAAAATGGAACAAGGAAATTATCAAAATACGCCTTCACTAGAATCCGGCTATTTGATTCAAAAGCTGGTGCGTTGTTTTCGCGATGCGCAGTAATTTAATTAGAAATATTGCCAATTGAACAATCATGAGCTGGCGCAAACGTGCGAGTGATAGAAGCGACAAGCTCGATAATTTTTAGAACATAGCGATATCGAATGGATGGAAGCCATTTGAAGCTGATGCTGCCTTCTATTCAACACATCAGCTGCCTGCTCGCAAGCAATAAGCTATTGATAAATGCAATCACTGTTCAAAGGTAGAGTTAAAGCAGTTGCGGGAGTGATTTGGAGGGGTATTCTAAGGAACGTGATCAAAATAATGCCCCGCTGTGTTTTGGTGCTCGGCAAGCTCAAAGAGAGCCAATTAAAAGAGGAAATGAATTTGTTTTCGCCGGACCTTCTAATACAGTAGTCGATTTATGACCGAAAACAATAACAGTCCAAAGGAAAAAACCCAAGTTGCGGGAAGTCCAGTAATCTAGTTCTTAATGCTTCCGAGTGTCGATTCAGCGGCAAAGTGAAAGGACCTGTTTAGATTAATCTGTTCTAAGAGTTTCGTTTGAGAGATTATGGCGGAGGAAGCAAGGAAAACAATTGCTAATATGGAAGCACTGGCGAACTTCGGAGACGTTCCACGCTCTTCCACGGAATAACGATCGTGCAACGCTCCGGCTGCGAGAAGGCGGATATTTTTATTTTGCGGCTTTTCTCGTTTTCCTCTACCTTTCTAATTGAAATATAATATGTTCAATTAAGCTTGAATGATGGATGAAAGACGGACTCTCGCGACTCTTGCTTTCCACCTTTTTAAAAAGTTATCGTTGTTTGCTTCGAATGGCAAATACCAAAATGGCAGCTAAATACTTGCAGCCATCTGTCACCCCTCCGCTGTAAGCCGGTTCTGACATTAACCCGAGTCACATTGCTCACGTTCTAGTTCTTCTAGTTATTACTCTACTAATCACACAAAATTTCATCTTAGTCGATAATCCATTTTCACAAACGCACTTGACTATTTTTCAAAATCTGGATTTTGCTTGTAAATACTAAGGACACCTTCTTGTATAAAATATTTACCTAAAACTCTAGACGGATAAGGCTCTCGTAGATAAGGAGCCAGAATCAGTGAGACAATTTTGTACATGATGACAATGTTTGTCTTTTTAACACAAATGTACAATTGTGCGTTGATTTCGGAACATGTGGATATAAAATACTGTTGCAAGTTCAAATTCTCGCTAGATAGTTATTAATATTCACCACGAGATGTCTAAGAATGATCAGAAACAAGCTTATTACAAGCGCAAAGAATTATTTTCCATCAAAATTTCCGAAAACCAACCACATGCTAAATTACATAATTTAAAACTACATTTGCTGATAAATCGACAAAAAATACTCTTCCAGTGAGAGTCTAATTATGATTTTGCAGCTTTTTTAGGGTTGTGATTTATTTTTACCTCGAGAGCGTAACGTTTCTGGCTAGGACCCTCCTAAAATAGTCCTTGCCTAGAATAGAGTTTTTCTCGAATTGTACCCAAAAAGGCTATTTAAAATAGCCTATTTTGGAAGAGCATGGTTTCCGTTAAAAATTCTAATGATGTTTGCTTGGGGCAGATCCAGTTGTGGCAGCGAGATGAGAGAGCCTTGTTGCTTGTGATGTTCAGTGTAAATTCGTAACGGCCATGAACATTTATTTATAATGGAAGCATTGATGTTTGAAGGAGTACCAAGAGACTTTTGTTTATACTGGTGGCATTACTCTAGTGGTATCGATTGATATCTTTCCTCGGACCTATGTTCCAAAAGGTTGGCTTCATTGTGTGTGTTGCCGTAAATCAACAATTAGTTGAACTTAGAAAACGGATATTCGATTTTCTCGATCCCTATTTATTTTTCTGCGGCAGAAATTTATCCAATTTCATTCTTTCGAACTGTTGTGTTGTTCAATTCACGATGTTCCTGTTTTGTGTTGGTTAAAGCTTCACTGCGTCGGATATTTGAAGAACAAATAGAAAGCAATGGCGCGAAGTTGTCGAGAAAATGTTCAACCCACTGTTTGTTTCCGTTTATGACCGCTTACAAACTTTCACACGTTTACCTCCTGGCATCCCTTCTTCAGAGGTTAACGAGTACAACTTCACGGAAAAGGAATCATTGATGTGTCTACGGGGCGCCTTGACGGTGAAGAAAAAATAACTAATCAGATTAGTCTATTCTAGTGTTAGAAATAAACAAGAGAATCTTTGGCGCTTGAGATTCTAATTTCATTAATGATTTTCAAGCGCTCTTTTCATATTTTAGTTGAATAGATAGAATAAATGATTTATTCACTATCAGCGACTAAAATATTTGTTGATTGTGTATACTCGCTACAAAAAAATATGTTTCTCAAAATGATACCTAGAGGCTCTTTGCTAGAGCAGAGATAAATCAACAATACCCAACGCCAATGGCAACATTTTGAAATGAGATGTTAGACGATTTACGGGATAACCTCTGGTGATATATTGGAATCCTGACCTGTAGTCAATCGCATATACGAAAGCCGGCATTGATTTTCAGAATAATAACTCGTTTTAAAAATTAACAAGAAGAACGATTGGGTTATTAAAAAGGGGAAGGATCGGTGTCAGGATTTACACTTCAATAGGAAAGATGTTTATGCTCTCCGCATGTCTGGGAGATCGGGGAACTCTGCTCGCCGTTACTTCTGATTATTTTCAGTTTAGACTTATACCTTGGGAGTAACTCATTCACTGCTTCTTTATCAAAATCTTCCTGCGAAAAAACTGCACAAAAAAGAAGTCAATTTTCAAAATAACAGATTTACTTTGAGTTGAAAGGATGTTTTCATAATTGAATGTTTATTCTAGTTTAATATTCAAAATCGTTTCTCGATTACGAATAAAGAGGCAGTAAAGTATAACGCGAGCATTCAAGCGATTTGAAACCGCTCGAATTCTACTTGAATTCACCTAATGATGGGCCCAGTAATGTATCAACGTAGCAAGGATATAATACGGAAGATCGCGGAATTAATTAGAAACAGTAATCTTCATTATTTCTAATCAGTAGATTTCCGCTCTCAGGGAGTAAAGATAAAGAAAAATGTATGGAAAAGCTGAATTGAATTATTAGAAAAGTTTGTTTCAGGTAAAAGTGCCACGCACATTTTCTCACTTTGAATCGTTACTTTGATGCTGTCGTGTTCCTTTTAAATTATTTGCAGAGTGTTTGCCCGACAGCGTTTTTTTTCGCGAAATTGTTCAGTGCTATAGACTTTCAGGATTAGAGAACAAAGTAGGCATCAGAAGGATCTGAAGTCGCTCACGTTGAATTTTGTAAATGGTCAGAAAAAAAAAGATATGGAAAAGAGTAAGGAAATCTAAGCCTTAGAACTTGTAAGTTAGAAGGAGAAGTCGCTCCCAGCCATTGCGATCGCCCAAGCGAATTTGTCGCGCTGCGTTTTATTATAAACCTTAAATTATTTTTAGTAATCAAAACTCGGTTGTTTTCCCATTAACGATCAAGGACCCAAAATTAATTGACAATTAAATCGCCACGTTCTTTTGGGGAATCGCCATTTCTACGCAAGTAGCCTACTTACTTTTTCGATCGGAACGTCCCACTTTTTGCACCAACCGACTGTTATCCTTGGATCGAGATAATTAAGCTTGGAGGTGCCAAGAGCAATTTCTTTGTTCTCCTCGCGATCAGTCTTCGCACATTTCAACTTCACTAGCTGATCTTCCAATCGAGCCAGTTGTGCCTTCTTCTTGGTGGTATCATCCCCGTTCTAAAGAGAGTCACTTTCGTTATTCTTCAACAACTTTACTACCTTTTTAGCCGCCTTAATTTCTTTCTTCTTTTCCTTTATTTTCTCTTCCTTGTCCTCAATCTTCTCTTCCGCTTTCTTCATCTGATCGTCGAAGGTCTTAGGTGCGGTACGTTTGTGATTACAAAGAACCGCCACTTGCCGGTTGGCGTTGTTGTAGGTTAACACGTACTCAGCAACGCTAAGAACAAATTAGGCAGTCTAGAAGAATGAAAACAGCGGAAATGTTCATCTAAGCTTATTTTTTAAGAGAGTCGTAAGTTTCGATGAACACTTGAAGATCAGCTGCTAATTACCACAAACATAGCTAATTACTTACAAATTTTATCCTATACAGACTCTTAGTTAACAGAGGAGTTACTGAGACCCTCAAGGAAGAGGAAGTTTAATTACCTTAGATCCGCTTTGGTTGTTTCATCAAGTTGCTCCTGCAGCGTTTTCGAAGCGTTGTAGGTACGGAAAACCTTGGCAGTGAGTCCGTCCATAATCGAGTTCAGATGCTTGTTGAGTTTCGTTGTGTCAAGTCGATCAAAGAGCTCGTCCTCCCCGTTTTTGTTTTCGCAGAAAATGCGGACGTTTTTGTAGACGCGCTGAGAATGTAAAAACGTGAGCTAAGGATAGATGAAACGGAATTACCTTCGTAACTTGCGTGTAGTTGTGATAGCGCATAGAATCTTTACCGAGGAAGTCAAACTCAATGACATACTGTTTTCGTTCTCCGTCAATCACGTGTTCGTCGTGCAACTGAACGAAAGATTTTTGAGTAGTTAGCTCCGCGTATCTAGGTGAGCACACATTTTTCGCTTTCTTAGAGTGAATGTTTTGCGACAACTAAATCCGTTGTTGGGAACTAAGCAATATGAAATCTTGCGAACTCGATTCGCGCATGATATCAGTAAACAACAGGTATTGTGAATGAACACTCAAATGAAGCTTCGACACAAAACCAAAATGTTTAGGTTGTTTCCGTTGGTTTACACGTTGACTAGAGAACCGTTCCCGATTCGCACTATTAATTAGTGATTAAAATACCCACCGCCGTTGGTTAAGATGTTTTGCTCTATGTTAACGGGAATTATAAAGAGACAATTAATTTGTTTCTAGCGAGCCACGTATCAACCGTGACTAATGTAAAAACAAGTGTTCAGAGTAACTCTATGTATATCAATTACCTTGACATGCTCAACTCGAAGAGAGCAGCAGCCCACAGTGTCCGCTGCTTCGTCGGTATCCTTTTCGTTGCCAGCTCTCAGCGCCAGTTTATCGATGAAATACATGGCTACTGCTCGCTGTCGGTTAGCCATCATCTTATCTTGCAAGTCGGCCTAAAAAAGGCTATCTAAAGCGTTATATAAAGGAGAAAAGAACCTCGTAAGAACGCCGAACATCATCAATGATGTCTTTCAGCTTGCGCGCCTTTTCATACTTGAGCCAATCCTTTTCTCCCTTTATCCTCGAGTTGGCGTTCAACATAATATACTTGTATTGACCTGGGAAAAGAATCTTAAATCTATGCTTTTTGAAGTGTATCCTAGGCAATTTAGACTAAGAATCGAAAAGCCATCGCACCTTGCACATTCTCGATCCAACAAGCAAGCCACGTAACTTTGTTGTCGTTACGGACTTCCTTCCACTTCTGCCCCGGCGGCGGTTTGGGAACCTCTGCGCCTTTGGCAATATTAATGATGATGTCGTTCGCGGTGATCCTCTTCTTTAACTTGCCCATCTTAGGGTGCTCTCCTCGTCCACGGAACAGTCCTAAAACCAACGATTAGAACTCAAGCCATATCGAAGTTAAAACCTGGAGGTTCGAGGCGGAAGTTGCCGATCTTCTCTTTGTGATGGTCCCACATGCAAAAGCCATACTCCTCCGTTATCTTTGCATTTCGCTCTTTTTCCTCCTGCTTCTCTTCTTTACTTCGCCCTTTTTTGATCTCGCGCTGCTCATCGAAGTATTCGAGAACAGCGGTGAAATCACACTTACTAAAGAATACCATCAAACTTCTACAATAATCGTTGAAACTTACTCGAGCGACTTGATTTTCTTGCGCTCCTCGTCCGTCATTTCTTTTCTCCAATCAGAAAAGAAGTTTTTATTGAAGAGTTCAGACTTGACTGGGTCAGTAACATAGTCTGTTCTCAACATAGCAGCGTAGAAGCCCATGACTTCTTCGGCCGCATCGGAAAGTACCATTGGCTCACCATTGTACTTGAACTTTACGCCACTTGGTAGTCTTTCATATTCCGGGGGAAAGAAGGGACCCTTGAATACAGTTAATTATTTACATGATTAGCGCATTAGCAATACTTTGTGCTCTAAGCTCGTCCATTTGATTCCCTCTTCTTCTCGTCTCCTTTTCTCGTCTGGGTCTTCGTTCCACCATTCCCACTTCGGATCTTCCGGTTTCTCCTCTTTTTTGACCTTTTTCGTCGGACTTTTGCCAGCAGTGGTCGTGCTTCGAATGCAATTAAAGAAAGGTATTGCTTCAGGAAATACCTTTTTCGCTTTTTGGTCTCTCCAGGCTCCTTTTTCACGGACTCATTTTTCCTCGGAGTGACCTTTTTCTTCTTTTTCTTTTTAGGCTGCTCATAGTCACTGCCAGAGTCTGACTGGTACTCTTCCTTGATATCATCAGATTCGTACTCATATTTAGGTTCTTCTTTCATTTCAGGGGAGGCATTTCTCCGCTCCTTGTATTGAATAAGAATTTATATTCTCGGGATCGGTGGCCTACCTTTTTACTTTTTCTTTTTCTTCTTGTGCTTGATTTCGCTGTCGCTGTAGTCATTGTCGTAGTCATAGCCCTCGCTCATTCTACAACTTATATAATAATTAAAAGAGGCATAAAGATGGACTTCTTATTCTCACAGTCTGCCTTTCTGTAATCAGTTTGAGGAAAAATATGGGGTTTAAAGAATCTAGAAGAAAATAATTTAAACAGCATACAATAAACACACTAAGTACGAGCAGTCATCTTAGGAGCTCTGATGTTGATTTCCAAAATTGTTTTAAAATATTATTCCGTATTTATCTACGTTGAATAAAAACTTAGTGTAAAATTCTGAAAATCCTTTCCTAGTACTTCTTTCGTTGCCATGGCTGCTTATCGCCAAAGCTACGTCCACCACCGCGACCTCGTCCGCCACCGCGACCACGGCCGCCACTACCGCCTCGTCCGCGGCCACCGCCACCAAATCCACGTCCTCCACCATTCGAGTACATCTCTTTCTTAGCTTCAAGCTCTGGTAAGTCCGATGCCTTTTCGACACGCTTCAACTGGAACTTATCCGAATCATTCCACTTTTCTGAGACTTCGTTCGTCATTTTCGTTGGGAGATCAAAAGCGGCTCCCATTCTATCTTTGAACACTCTGACGTTGCGCGCGTCGATACGAGCCTGTTCACCGATTCCCTTCTCCAACAGTTTGAAGATAAGGTATTGATTGTTCATCTCGAATGAAACGTTCATCTGCCACGTCTGAAAGCCTAGAATGGTTTAACTAAGAGAATCATGTAATTAGCTTGACCTTTCTTTCCAGTAATGATGGACCGGCTTGTTGAGTCAGTTACACCTGACATAATAGCAATGGCTGCGGCCAGCAGCTTTTCTGTGCTTGATTCTTCCTCTTCCTCCGCCTCTGCAATCATTTCTCGTGCGATTTCCAAGAATCGAGCGGAGCTCTGAAAATGATATAAAATAAAAATGTTCTGTGAACTTTTAAACCTTTTCCGGCAATTTAGCGATCTGTCGTTTCACATCCTTTGCGGCAGCTTCTTCAAGCTCGACGGCAGATACAGGTCCTCGAAGCTCAAACTTGAAGCCGGCTTCCTTCTCAACCTGTTTCAACTGATACAGCTGTTTCGGCTTGTACAGACATATGCACACGCCGCTTCGTCCAGCTCGGCCAGTTCGACCAGACCGATGAATGTAAGAGTCAATATCACTGGGGGGCTCTGTCTGAATAACCAAATCGACTTCGGGAATGTCGAGACCACGAGCAGCAACATCAGTGCAAACGAGAACCCGCATTTTACCGTCTCGGAATGCTTAAAAATACCATTCGAAAGTATAACTTATATCATAAATGCACCTTGAAGCGTTTGTTCCCGAGTGGCTTGTTCGATGTCCCCATGAATCATTTGAGCATCAGAGATATTGTCGGAAAGAGCAAGATCAGATGTATCTCTTTTCGTTGACGCGAAAATCATTGCTCGGCCACTTCTTCCACAGAAAGCGGTGACAAGATCTCCGATTACATCGCTCCATTCCGTGTAATGGGTCTACATAGCGTTTAAGTTTTAGAGTTTAGCGATATGGAAATTACCTGAATGGCCAAATGCCTGACGGTTTTTGAAGTTCTGTTCGCGTTCGACTCAACCAAGTTGATGATTGGAGGGACTTTTTCATATATTTCGCCGCGGTATTTTTGACCCAGTCGGGGCATGTAGCAGAGAAAAATAATGTCTGGGGCTGAGTTTTTTCGTAAGCACCACGGATACACTCATCGACAATGTCGGCAAAACCCATATCAAGCATTCTGTCGACTTCATCGAGAGCGACGATCTTCATGAGATCCATCTTCAGTGAGCCTTTTTCAAGAAGATCTTTGACTCGTCCAGGAGTGCCGACAACAACGTCGCATCCTTTGAAGAGAATGTTTTCTTGCTTGGCGTACGGCACGCCACCGTAAATTGCGCATGCAGTGAGTCCGGTCGAGATGGATTCCACATCACGGCAAATCTGACTAGCAAGTTCTCGAGTAGGAGCGAGGATCAGCGCTCGAGGAGAACGTCCACGGCTCGTTAGCTTTTCCTCTTGGAGACGCTCTACTGTGGGGATGGCAAAGGCCAGGGTTTTTCCAGAGCCAGTTCGAGATTGTACAATCACATCTTCTCCGTCTCGCACCGTTTTGAACGTTCTTGCCTGGACAGGAAAGAGTTGGATCACTCCTCGTTCTTTGAGCTTCTTTTGAGTCTCAGGAGAGAGCATATCCCACTCTTCTTTGAACTCCATCTCTGGTGGAGCGTCGCCGTCTGTCGAGGAGCTGTCTTCGTCTAGATCTTTTATTTTTTAAATGAGGACTAAAAAGTTACCTTTAGGCTCTTCTTTAGGCTCCACTTTGGCCTTCTTCTTTTTGCTAGACTTTTGGGGACTAGCCTCTGCTTCGTCGTTGAGTTTCCGTTTCTTTGTCTTTTTCTGCTTTGGCAGTCTTTCAGATTCGTCGTCGCCCGCGATCTCTTCTACGAGTTCTGGCATTTCCTCGTCTTTTGCCGACTTGGACTTCTTTGACTTTTTCACCTTTTTCGGCTTGTCGGTAACGACACCCGAATCAGGCTCTTCGAAAATACGAGCAGCTGTCATTGTGGCAGCGGGCATACGTTTTCAATCTAAATGAAAAAGTCTCATAAAACAATAGTTTTCTGAAGTCAACAGTTTATGAACAGCATGGACAGTGTTTGTCATCAATAGTAATAACTTGCTATCTTTTTTTTGTTGACTTCATTTTTCCCGTTCGTTTTCGCGGGCCCTTCGATTTTATATTATTCTTTACGCCCCTCTTCTTATTCCTTCCTTGCTCCCACTTTTCTTGTTTAGAAAGTATGCCAGCGTCGTCCAGCAGGTCCCCAACTTGCTCTGCATCTTGTTCTAATTTCGCAAGCTTCACCCGCTTCGTTGGACTCTCTTCTTCATCTTCATCGCTCAGAATTCCGTCGTAGTCTTCTATGAGCTCGGGACTGATCTCTTCCTCTTCTTCATTTTCATCATCCGAGTATAAATCGCCAAAATCAATATCATCGTCGTCCAAATCTTCGAGCTCCTCCAGATCCCCGCGTTTTTTCATTGCTTTCCGCTGCTTAGGAGTAGCTAGAGTGGAGTCAATCTTGCCAACACGGTTCTCCCAGCCACGAAGATCGCCGTCAAGGATTCTGTCAAACTCGTCGTCGTCCACATCGTCAATATCCTGATCTTCTTTTGCTTTCGAAGTCACGCCAGAAGCTCGCATTTGGAAGAACCTGCAAGTTATTGGTGAAATTCCGATCGAATATTATCGGAAGACAACTTACTTTTGCATAAAACGATCATGTGGTCCAAGCTCGTGCTCTTTGGCTTGAAGGAACTCCAAAGAAGTAACTGGTAACTGATGCGTGTCGAGATACTTATTGACCCGGCGTTGATTGATGCTTCTGGGCGATTTTCTTTCCGCTTTCGGATTTTTATACACAAATCGATCCAAGAAACGCATTATAGTAAAATCGTTCAGCGGGTCGCCAGGATATTTCTGAAACAAATCAGTAAAGTCTTGACTTTTATAAATTAAATGATTAATCTGAAGGTCACTCACCTCGTCCCCACCAGAAATGACATTTTTCGCAAACATCGAGACGGACGGGTGGAAGTGGTTTGCCATTGAGACCAGTTCCCATGCCTTCTCGCCGTCTACATTGCTGTAACTAGGATTTCGGGCCCAAGCGTCGAAATCGCTTCTGCTTACTTTTTCGCGATGATGCCACCCTACGAATCTGATTTAAACGATGAAAATATTTTTTTATCATACCCTTGCTTTTCTCTGTTTCGGACACGGTTTTATTTCTTGTTTCTTTGGTTTCCTGCTTGTCGGCGTCGACGAAGTGTTCTTCTTCGTCCGAATCCTCATCTTCGAATTTGCTTTTCTTTAACTGATCTAGGCCACCTATCGCTGTTTGCGGAGCTTCTTGGGCGCATGCAAGAGACTTCCACACAGGCTTTTCATTCAGTAGATGACCTAAATATATATAAGCAAGAGAACAAGCATTCTATGGGATATTTTCTTTCAAAAATGAGTGAATAGAAGTCTGATATAGGTTTAGGAAACTCTTCAATTCCCCGTAAATTGATGGAAGCATTAGCCGAAATGGGCATGATGCTGATTCGCAAAACGCAGAACAAGGGCATCGTCAATGGGGGTTCTTTGTTTCATTGAGTCGAAAGAGTGGCTGCCGCATTTCCTACTGCTGTATAAGGCCGATGCGAAACCAAAAACTTGAACATGGTGATGGTAGACAGGTATTTAATTTTTCCACCAGGTAAGAGCACTAAAAATACGCGGTTTCCTTATTTCAAGTGGAAAACTCTCGGCAGGAGCCGGCGAAGCGACCAAAATCAGTAGAGAATCAACAGGCTGCGCAGACAAGTTATTCCGCAGAGTTCACCCAGAAACCATACAGGCAACAGTTTAACTGATAGAATTAGAAAAGTCAAAGGAGTTGAACCTTAGCAAAGTAGACGAGAATCGGTACGCGGCGAGATCGGTCGCCGCAACAAACCCCAGTCCGCAAAAACAGGCACTTCACACATTTTCCCACTGAAAAGAGAACCCGTTTGCCAAGGTGAAAAAATATGACATAGTTCGCAAGCAAACTTGGTCAATTTATTCAGTGAACTCGTCGCTCACGCACCTGCCAAATATGAGCGAACCCAAAACTACTTCTAACTACAGAGACTTTTATCAGGACAAGCCGATGGTAAGCTAATCGTTGTGACCATATTTTAAGAAAACATTTAAGACAACAATACCAAGCCGTAGAAAACTAGTATCAAGGAATCCTATAGTCTCCAAAGAAGATAATGAGCACGACAAACGCATCATCATTTTGACAAGGATATAAATCTTTCCTCTCGAGATTTTTCGCTAGTCTACGGAGTTTTAAATCCAAAAAAGCCAGCCATACAAACCAGAAATTCTTCATTTAGGCAAGCCGGTATGGATATGCCCTGGTTTTTAGCAAAAGAAAAACATTCAAACATACCAGCTGTAACTAGGTAAAGAGACAGCATAAAAGATAGGACTCAACTGTTCAGATTACCCGACATTAACCGGCAGAAACCATTTAGGGCACAAAATTTGAAATCGAGGTGAGCCTCAATCCGGGCTTTATATAAACTTTGCGCTTAGGCGATACGCTGGGAGCGACATGAAGAAGAAATTCAACTAGTAAAAATTACACTGCTTTGACTCGTTGCCCAGAATATATAAAAATTGAAATATCTTACCAACAAAAACCAAGGAGCCAGCCTGAAAGGGAGTCTTCGATGCATGGCAAATAGATAGAACACGCTTGAGAAAACTCTTTCCGCGCGTTACATTTTTATCTTCTGAGAGCGTACGATACAACAAATTCAATAGAACTGTGTGTCGCTTTTGCTGAATGAAAATTGTGAATGTTTTGATAGTTGACAATATATTACCTCAGTGCCTAATTCTGGGCGTAAGAGAAGACGATACAGCGAGTTGTAGAAGCGATCACCCAGTTCTTCTCTCGAATTGAAAGCTTAAAATAACTGATAAAATTCATTCTATTGAGTAAGAACTCATCACTAACCTTGGAATAGAAAGCTCAACGCTTGCAGGGCAACAGTAAAAGTCCCTTGGTGTACCAAAGAAAAAGTGTTGTTGATATGAACGTCTAGATCGGCATCGTCGCCGGTAGTTACATAAGGAAATGCTCGATTAACACCCGTCAGCAGCGAGAACAGAATCTTCTGACTGAGCTCTGTTTTCTTGTTTTTCTTCTGATTCTTGGCAATTTCGGATTGAAAGAATTGGAAATAGACGCGAATCAGTCTGGATGGAACCTCGTGGCGATCACTCGAGAAGACGAACTGATTTAGCAAATTGATTCCAGCCAAAACACTTGCATCGGACTGGTTCGAGCGCCAGAGGAAGTTCTCAATCTCGTATCCAACGACTTCTTGCATGTTTGGGTGCTTGAAAAGCAAATCGGTAATAAACTTCGAGGCGCGGTCTACGACCTTTTTCTTTGGATCACCGATTTTGTTTACTATCGAGCGTTTGAGATACCACTAGTCTAATAGAAGACCGTGTCGTCAAAAACTAGATAAAAACGCTTCCTATACAAGACAGAAGTCGACCTTCCGCTTCAGGCTGTTCCTCAAGCAATGTTTTGATAATTTGAAGAGAGACTATCTTCATTTCTTCAATCGGATCTGAGAGGACCTCGTCCAGTCCGTCGAGGAAGAAGCCAAACTGTTTCTTCGCGTAGTCTTCGTAAATTGCGAAAAGGAGGGCTTTACTTCCATCTTGTGTGTCCACATTTTCGGCGGCGAAGAGAAGCAGTTCCGTATTTTCGTAAAACTCGCGAAGAGGTCGTGTGCAAGGCAAAATGCTCGAAAGAAAGAGGTCTTTTACGTGACTGCTGGCCAAGACAAATTCACGGCGCACTCTCTTTCTGACAATTTTGACGAGTTGCTCCAGGATCGCGTAGTTCGAGACCGGCGCGTTCTGTACTTTCAATACCATCGCCGCTACTTTATCTTTTTGAGTACCAGATTCCGCCGCCATTTGAAAGAATTTGCGCTCCTAAATAATTCTTTTTTTCAAATCATCGTTCTAAGATCGGACTTACCTTCGCAGCGCCGACTTCCCCCTCATTCTTGAGTAACTTTTCCGCTCGTTCGCGCAAAACACGTATAAACTTTCCATTCTTATCAAGGGACTTTTCTTCGCTTCCTTCTGGAATTCTTTGCTCGGAAACGAAATCGTCGCGAGCTTCGTACCAAGTTTGCTCCTCTTCAAAGCGGATCAGGGAAAACTTCTTCGGAATTATTTTCGCTTTAGATACTGAAGCTGAACAAAACCTTTAGCGAGTTCGTTTTTTCCCCTTTGAAAATAACTGTAAAAAGAAACATACCGATAAGTTTTTCGGAAACATCCAAATATGAAACTGGTTCCTGCTCTTCCTCCTCCTCATCTTCTTCCTCGAAAGTTTGATCTTCTCCGTCTTCTGACTCCTTTGATCGTTCGATCGACTTTTTCGCAGCAGCAAAGTCCAACTTAGCGAAGAACTTCTTGAATTCGGAGTCGTCAAAGGTGTCCTAAAATCTGCCATATTATTCAAATCCGTCAGCTTAAAAGAGCCTCTCCGGCGCAGTCTTTCAGTCATAAAAAATAACTGACGGCGGATAGGTTTTCCAAAATGCGAAAATTTTAAGTTGTACTCGAAGATCTACGGCGTTGCACTGACGTAACAAGTACTTTGGCGCCCTTCACTAATAGCGCGCCGATCTTGTCTCCATTCTAGCGATCACTGCTTGACTGAACTTGGCAGCCCTCTTGCAGAGAAAAATAAGTTTGTTGAACGTACCTGTCCCTGGGTGGCCTTTTTGGGGCGCCACTCTTCTTCCTCGCCGTCCTCAACTTGTTTGAGTAGCTCGAAATCGTCGAGGTCGCCGCCGAGGCTAAGGATTTCTCTCTTGAGCAGCTGGTGAGCTTCAGCGTCGCTGCTCGCCTGCACCATCGCCTGTGCTTGCTGCCGTGCTCGCTTCTGTGCTCGAGGGGTCACTCAAGGTCACTCTCGAATTTTCGCCTCAGAGACTAAGTCCAGAACGTTTTCCCTTAGTCGTGAGCTGCTCGCTAAGTCTCGGAGCGCTCAGTCACGCCCACGCTTTTTGCGCAATTGGGCGAGTTTCGATGCCCGTGCGTTGCTTGGTCAATAGGCCAGCGCAACCCACGCCCAGCCGAGCACCTCCACCAAACTCTACTACTATCACCTTGAACTGCTCACTCGGGACAGGCAAAAACAAACTTTCCACTTCGAGTATGGCAAAGGGTGCATTGAAATCACAGAGCACGATCAACAAAAAAAGAGACATCGAGCGTTCGTCGACCTAACTTTCTTTTACGCACCCGTTCTAAGTCCGATGATTCGAATTTCTTTCCGAACATTTATTTTATGCGTCGCCCTCGGAGTCACGACCTTGCTTTACCAATTTCAAAGTGTCCGAGGCGCTTCAAAGTCTCGCCGCAATCGTATCTCAATAATTAGCGACGAGCCTCCACCGCTGGAAGAGGAGGTAGAGACCCCAGTCCCCGTCAAGTATGATCTGAACGAGGCTGTCCATGCATTTTATTATCCTTGGTATGCTTCTGCAGATGTAGACGGGCAGTGGTCGCATTGGAATCATCCAGTTTTGCCTCATTGGATTGCTAGAGTCAACGCACAGTATCCTATCGGCAAAGTTCATCAACCTCCTGATGATATAGGCAGTTTAGAGATTCAACTTTTATTTCATAAAATTTCCAACTTCATAAAATAACCAGTCGATAAACTGAACAGGCTCAACTTACTATCCTTTTCTGGGACCGTACTCTTCTGCTGACCCTAAAATTATCGATCAGCATCTTAAGTGGGCCGCGGAAGCCGGGATTGGTACTCTTGTGGTCAGTTACTTTGCGAAAGGGCGCACTGATGACAACGGGATTCCTTTTGAACACGTTGTGCGTCTTCTTCTCGAGAGAGCCCAGCCATTCGGAATAAAAATCGCTTTTCACATGGAACCGTACAACGGGCGAACAGCCTTTTCTGTTGCTGATGATATCCGCTCTACCGTGAAAGAATACAGCAAACATCCCAGCGCTGCTAAAGTCGACGGGAAGCTAGTATTTTATCTTTACGACTCTTATCAAGTGAATTCTGCGGAATGGGCAAGGTGAGGTGTTTTACTAATCCTCAAAGATTATTGGTTTTATTTGTATTCATCGACTTTATTCAAGAGTCATCCCGTCGCTCAGTAAGACAGCTTACACGATCGGCCTGCTTGTCGAGTTCGGTCACATCGAACACATCATTGCCTCTCAGTTTTCCGCTGCGTACTCTTATTTCGCTGCACTGGACTTTTCTTTCGGCTGTACTCCGAAAAACTGGAGAAGGAATGGGCTCCCGAATACTATTTTTACAACTTAGCTTATCTACTCCAAAATCAGCAAAATTTCTATTCCGTGTAATTTGCCCCGTTGAAGAATTGTTTCTGTTTTAACCAGGAATAACGTCGATTTCATCCCCTCAGTTGGCCCGGGCTACGACGATACTTCAATTCGACCATGGAATAAACAAAACTCAAAATCAAGAGCAGAGGGCGAATACTATACAAAATACTGGGATTCTGCACTCGAACTCAGACCAAAAATAATTTCAATTACCTCGTTCAATGAATGGCACGAGGTTAGTTTTTAACTCATCTGTTTGACGACTAAACATGAGAGTAATTAATTATCATTAGGGAACTCAAATCGAGCCAGCAGTCGAAAAAAGAATTCCAGGCGAGCGTGCCTTCGGATCATCAACGTATCCGAGCTATTCAGACCCTTTTCAGTACCTTCAAATCACTGCGCGATATTCTTTGATATTTTCAAAACAACAATAGTGAAAAGTTATCACGTATAAGTAATACGGTATAACGTCCAAATACTTCTATATTCTGTAGCTAGTTAATTTCTTCATGCTGCTTGTCTCTGTCTTCAAACTTCAAACATGTAGCTATCGAGATCACCTGAAAATAAATTTAAGTTGGAAATTTGAAAATGCAGTTTTCTCAGAATAAAACGCTACATTACAATAGCAGGGTCTGACTGTGAGCGCAATTCATCGACTTATGCGCAACAATTTCTTTGAATCGGCATCAACAAGGAGAATATTTTTGCCCCTCTTTTGCACAGGTTCTTCGCACATTTTTTCAAAAAGAGGCAACCTGTTTTATTACGTTTCCGCCTGTTTACGGGATGTAGGATTTTAGTGCCTTATCAAAAGGTTGATCTCGGGCAGATAACGTTTAAAAGAAGGCAAGCTATAAACATCTGCCTCTACGGCCGCTCTTTCAAAACAATCAGCTGTTCCCACCTTACTATTATTGAATGAAGCATATTTATGATGTAAATGAACTTAGCGGAAGAAATCTAATCTTCATTTTGCATGCATAAATTCCACTCGTATTGATTGTGGAAAAAATAAAGTTGTCTCCTAATTGATGGTACATTAAAAAGCCAGTCTTCACATTTGTGTGGTGGATGAGCTCGGGGCAGTGGGAAAAGATTTCAATTTCGTCCCACGGGTTCAGAGTCTCACTGATCCCGCAGGACGAGTTATTTTTGCCGTTTGAAAGCGTTACACTCATTTGAAAAGCGGTCATAGAGTGAGTTCAGTTTTATTAAACTTAAAATGCGGCCTTTCAAAATTGCACCATTCTTCTCTTCTGAATGCAAAGAAGTAAGAATACCGATTATTTTTATGGTATCGAAGGATCCTTCCTGCTGCCATATGGAAATCATTAGCTGCAACTGAGTTTATTGATTAGTCTCAATAATTATTTAAATTCATAGATATTCAACCTTTCATTCGTAAGCCGTTAAATGTATATTTCATAAACTTCATATCTCCTTAAATCGTAATCGTAAATATTGTTTGATTCGTTTGTTGAAAACGAGGACGCTAAATTCTTCAATGTGGGTCTAATGGGAGCAATGGCTCAATCGGGCCCGTGCAGTGTGGTAGCTTGGTGAGATCGGTTTCACGCTGGACGGGCAGCCGTGTGAACGAGCGCGCTAGGAAAAAGATCGCTGAATCGCGCTACGATTTCCCTAGCTTCTGGCCCGAGCCACAAGCTGTGTGGGCGACCGTGGTTCGATTGCGCTTTTGTGGCGTAGGCGCCCATCGAGACTAGGCAAAGCATCTCTGAATACAGCGACATATTTCCTAGGTCGGTTTTAAAACCACCATCCTTTCTCAAACCCCTAACTTTGATCGTGAATTTTCGACAAAACGCCGAAATCTCTACATCGAGAATATTCAACACAAATCGTCGAAAAGCTTAAATGAGCGAAACAGGTACGTGTTTTCTAGAGAAAAGAAACTCACTTAAAGACGTCTCATCCACTAGAATATTTTGACTAAGCCAGGGTCTTCACCTAACGACTACCCAAATGATAAATAAATCTAAGGCAGCAGAACTAATGGACTATCCATGTTTTGTTGATGTTATAAAAACTATTTTACCAGACCAGTCGACCAGTTTGAAACGGAGCGTAGTAAGAGCGATAAATTTACAGTCGGGAAAAAAACTTGAGAAAGTGATGGCTAACTCTCCCACTACTAGCCCGAGCATCTGACCAACAGGGAAGAGCTGAAACAAGCCTTCCATTTTGAGAAGGTGCGCCCCTAAGCTAAATAAAGAAAAACACTGTTTTAATGTGGCAAAAACTGTAAATTAATAAAGATTTTTCTTTATAAGAAAAATAGAAAACATAATTCTGGTACACTTGGCTAAACTATTTTTTCTTAGTTGCAAGTCTTCCATTGTCTACTACGAATTGGACTCGAGCACCTGCGACAATTGTCTGCTCTTCACACATTTGCAAGATTTGCAATTGGGGGACAGGAGACCGATCAGCTCTTCTCCAACACATGCGCGAGCATAATCGAACTCCACCATTCCCAACAAAATCAACCGCTTCCGACTCAGGCAGCGTCTGTGCTAGTCCTAATTCGTCGTCGAACGACGCTTCTAATGAAGCTTGGAATACTGTCGACGAAGCCCAGATGCCCAGCTCTGTCAGTGAAGAGATAAATATTGAAACCACTCAGCCCCAGACCAAAAGTTACCGCCTTACTCCAACTGGTCGAGCGCGAAAGCCTAAAACCGTCGAACTCCAGCCAGCTCCGAACACTCCCTTTCCTCACGCCACATTCCATTCTCCTCCCAGCAGCAACACACCCACTGTGTCCTCCTCGTTGATTCCGTATAATTGTGACGCGCCCCTGATCTCACGAGTCTCAACGCCCGTGCCCTCCGAGACGGATAGACTCACTGAAGGAGATCTGCTCGTGCAAGCATTTTCGAAGCAATGTTCGCGCGTGCCACTTCTAAGCGGTCCTCCGCGTGACGAGTCACTTCCTTCTCTTCGAGTACAAATCGTGCGTGATCCCCACAAAAAAAGGAAGGTACAGCCTACACATGACGAAAACGAACAACCACTGCCAGATCAAGATCAATTGCAACTCTCCTGTCCTACTGAAAGTTCAGGCAACTACGATTCTATTCACTACAATTGCAGCGATGAGTCCCTCTACGAAACCAAGCGGGAGAGAGCTTACTACCAGTTAGGATCAGCATCAACGCAAACGCCTCTTGCCGTAGAGTCCACCGATCACAAAGAACTTGGCCCGTCAGAAGACACTCAAAGTCAAGTGTCACTTCCTTTCTCTTCCCTCGACTTTATTGAAGACGAGCTCGATCCTTACACTAAAGACTTTATCCAGAGCTACAGTCAGCACGATGTTCAGCTGGAAAGTGAAGCCCCTAGCCCAGTTGAGATGATCGATGCATCTCAATTTCAACTCCGACCCTCTCAAAGCAGCCCCGTCGACCCTTCGCTATCTCATTTTACACATTTCCAGAGCAACGACCCTGTCGATCTCCAGCTAGTCGAGTCCTCGCCGTGGGAGGCGCCAACGTCTGAGTCCGAAAACAGCGCTCAGCCCCACGCAATTCAAGTGGCAGACACAATGATGACCCGCAAAAGAGCTCGCAAATCACCTGATGCACCGGTGGCGAAAAAACGAAGGACAACCAGAGCATCTACTCAAAGACAGCAAGTCGCATCGAAAACAACCACTCAGCGGGGAAAACTCGCAAAGCCCATCGCAACTTCAACGATGCTGAGGGGCAACCAATTGGTAAGATTTAGTTTTCCGATTTTCATTTATTTATTCCGTTCTTAGATCATTGGAAAACAAACGATTCCTCTTAAACAGACGAAAGTTACTACAAAAATCGGACGCAACGGTAATTCCTAAATTTAGGTTTCGACTAAAACTTATCATAAATTTTAGCCGGTAAAATCCAAGTCAACGGCTTTCAAGGCCAGCCAGAAAAGAAAGAGCAGCCTATTGTTCGGGACAAGTATGGCCAGCGACTTTGCCTCACGAAAAGAATGTGACCCTCAACGCAACACTTCCTTTTGATTTTACTTTCTGAAATTTCTTCTAAATATCTAATAAATTGCTCAATTCCGAAAACAGGGTTTCGAAATGATTTCATCTCGTTGAGTGCCGGTTTTCGAAAGCAGCGACGTAAATAGCGTAATCATTGAAAAGAAAGTACCGTACGATATTTTGCAATTAAAAGCTTGATAATCAGCTGCTTTTGGGAGTTGACGCCGGCAACTTGACGGTAAGAAGTGTGATAAAATTAAAAGAAACCTCGGGCTGAAGAAATCTTGCTTGCGACTCGAGCGAGGTGCCATTTTCGAGCCGATTTCAAAGCTACCCTGGACGATGGAGAGTCCAGGGAAAAAAAGCAGAGGCGTGAAGAATACCAACCAGCGACTGCGATGGTGGCCCGAAAACTCCACGTGGGAATCGCCTATATAAGCAGTCGTAATCATTCAAAAACCTCACAAATCGGTTTTTTCGAAAATCTTCAAAAAAGCAAGAAACAGAGCGATGGGGTCTCAGCCAGAATTGACTCAGAAGTCTGAGGTAGTCCCTGAGATGGAAAACAAGGAAGTTGCTCAGCCAAAAAGCGATTCCCAACCTGCTCCAAGTTCGCAACCTGAGGTAAATTTTCGCACTTTAATTTTCATTTTTATTACTTTTATTTTCTGTTTAGACGGCTGAGGTGAAGCAACTCTCTCAGAAGATGACGGAGCTTTCTTCCCAAGAAAAACCAGACGAGGAAACTGTCGCCGGTGAAGGGGCGATCGTTGAGAACGGTGGCAACTCCCGTGTAGACTGCGGTGGTTTTGATGTAGAGGGCTGGAGATTTTGGGACGATGCTTCCACTAATCCTTCCTCCCAAGAAGGTATCCCTAATATATTTTTTATTTTCTTGAATAAAAACTCCTCGTTTAGGCTATCAACTTCGATGGGGGAAAACGGATTCGGTTGGCCCAACTCCCGCAGAGTGTGAACGTGCAGGAGGGGTCAAGCTGAGTGAAGGAGATGCAAGGGACCACGCCGCCGGTGTGAACTCCTGCAGAGACTGCTCGTGGGCCCAAGTTGGCGCAAGTCTCGGTGTGAGTCCTTGAGTAAACAGTAATTAGGTGCATGTTGAGCCGGAAATCAAGATCAAGCTCAGCCTGGATAATCTTCAAAAATGAAGATATGGAAGACAGAAAATATGGAATTTTCTGAAAACATACCTACTATGGTAAAATTTAGTGCTGATTACGATTGTGGAGTTGGAATGTGTTTCTTATGTCAAAAATTCAAGTTTTTTTGCGAAGATTCAAACAAGAACAATTCATTTTCAAAAAAGTTTGATGAGTGAAATATCAGTTATCTTCGAAATCGGTAAAGTATCTGCTATTTTCTGGTAATCACACATTTTGAACGAAAGAAAAATGAAGCTTTTCCTTATAAAAATCATGATTTCTGTTCTTTCTTCAGCTGTTTTTCAAATCTTCCAACCGGAAGCAATTAAGAAAGTTACTTTGATTTAAGCAGCTGATAATAATTGGAAGTGATTTATTTCAAAAATCTTACATCAAAAGACTTTAACGATAGCGGCATCAAAATCAGAATCAAATTTTACCCTATCATGGAAGTTTTCAGAGACTTCTAATTTTTAGTCTTCCATATCTTCATTTTTGAAGATTATCCAGGCTGAGCTTGATCTTGATTTCCGGCTCAACATGCACCTAATTACTGTTTACTCAAGGACTCACACCGAGACTTGCGCCAACTTGGGCCCACGAGCAGTCTCTGCAGGAGTTCACACCGGCGGCGTGGTCCCTTGCATCTCCTTCACTCAGCTTGACCCCTCCTGCACGTTCACACTCTGCGGGAGTTGGGCCAACCGAATCCGTCGTCACCCACTTCGATCTGGCAAGATGGCGAAGAAACGAGCGCGAACGGGAAACCCCTACCAGCGAATCAACGAGGGAACTCAAACTAGCCCGAAGAAAGCTCACCAGGATTCATTTTCTCAGACTGGCTCCTCCCTCTTTGGCGAAGGTAATGGAAAAACGTGTCAAATAATTTAATTGTACTATTTTTGTAGAAGAAGACCCACAACTTCCCGAATCCTTGGGTCAAGTGATTCCTTCCCCCGCTGATGAAGGGGAGAACACGATGAAGGCTCCTGAAGCTCCCGAAGGTAAACTTTTCATTCTAACTAGGATCTAAATCTGTATTTTCAGAGAAAGAGGATGTTCTGGAGGCCAACGCTGGCAAATCCCAGGAAGAAAACGAGAAGTCTGCGAAGGCTGAATCTCAGAAATAAGCTCTGTGCATCTTTTTTACTGTGGTAACAGTCTTCTTGTTAGTAAAAAAATAATGAAACTAAACTAATGTTATTTATCATGTAATCTCCCATCATGCGAGCAGGGCATCGAAGACTTCGCATATCGCTCCATGGGACCAGAATATTTTTGAAAAAAGCGATCGATGATCGAGAAACTAAAGCATTGACACGTGAGAGAGTGTTTGTGCATTAAACTCACGGAGGGAACCAACCTATCAAGCAATAAGTTATTGCCAATAACTCGTCGATTTGAGAATCCCACTATTTTATCCGAACAACAGTGAAGCTCTAGAATACAACATGAATTTAAATCTGATTATTTTTCAGATGCTAGTTAAAGAAAAACATCGCAAACTATTCATATGTCGATTTTTTATAGCTACGCAGACGTTTTAGCTCCCCTAGTTTTTGGTACTGCAGCTAGAAGTATTTGAGCTAAATATTTTGATACGCGCTTAGGGTTGATTGCTTCTTACGCGCTATACAAGACGACATCTGCTGGAAATCAATTCGGCATCTACATTCGAGTTGAAGCATCTGATGTTCTTCGCTCAGAAGATCTTGCCTCAGACTTTGAATCCGAGTTGGACTTTGACTGGGACTCTGAGGGAGAATTTGACTCTATAGAAAATCCTGGAGAACGAGTTCTTCCGATTGAGTTATGAACTTATGATGCATTATCTTCGAATAGTCTGTCAATCTGTACAATATGAGAAATTAAAAATAGTTCTGTAAATTGTGACGTTTTCAGTTATTTCAAAAATTTTATTTCCGACGGCAAGAATAAAAACGATTTGGTAAGGAAGCAGTGGCTTTACAAATGAAATATACATGTATTATAGAAACTCATCTTATCGTAAGACGCATCAAAATGCTGTACAGTTTTATTGCTCGAAGCGTGACTAAATAAGTCTGAATTCACGCGCAAGTGACGGTAATTAGTAATACTACCGTAATTTAGTATGGGCCTTGAGTATCGCATTTTCCTATTTTCGCAACAACGTTTTCGTAGCAGCATTCCTCGCGATTAGGGTTGAAAGCCACCGTCGAACAGCACTCGCTCTTCTGCTTTGTCATAATTTGTCTGAAAACGTGTGAAGCTCTCAAAAGAAATTATTCACGTACGGATAAGGGAAGCTGTTACGATCTCCACAGCATTGATGTTCGCCTTGGTAGTTTCCACGTTTGATGCAGCTAGAATCGTAATCGAACCCGTTTCTTTTTTCCGTATTGAACAATTTTCCAGGATATAATTTTAATATATTTTTTGATACGTTCCTTTGAAGATAAGCCGGGTTATGATTTGCTTCGAAATCGAGACTTGTCACTTGCTCAGCATAATGCAAGTCGCACTCGCAAATGGCTTTCCTGCATGGGTTTTGGTCCTCACTACACTTAACTGTGTACGCTGACATATTCGCGATCATTTTGTATGAGCTCTCGGCCGGGTTGCAACGCGACTCTTCACCATTCCATTGTCCATCGTTAAAGATCGAATTGATACACTTAAAGCTTTCATAACTCTCCTTGATCAAGGCAAGCATACTTTGTAGCAGATTTTGTGCTGTCGGCAATACTCATCAATCGTATCCAGCGGCTTTCCTCTTCCGCTTTTTAGGATGTTCTTTGAACCACCCGGGTAACAGTGGCAGCCATAATTGAACAACTCTCGAATAAATGACTTGTTGTTTCTATTACGTCCGCTTAAAACATTAAACATGATTCTTATTAAGGCCTGACGGCGTTCGTTAGCAGAATTGCTATCAGAAAGTTTTCTGCCAACGCGCAAGCGCGAGTCCAACGAGCTCCGCGAGTCATCGATGTTCTCCAACGGAATTCCAAATTTGTCTTCACATCGAGTTATTTTTTGCTCATTTGAAAATCTCTCGAAAATCATCAACAATCATCAACTTTTGCGATAAAATAAAATAACTTTCTTCAAAAATTTGAAACATGGTTACGGCGTTCGTGGAGTCTCCATCAATCTCAACGATTTCTTGTGCTTTTCCAAGTGCTTTTGAGTGGTTACTTACTACTTTTATTGCAAAGAAAAATCAAGCGAATTCCCGAAAGACGAAGCGCTACTCTTCGATGATTCCAATCTCTTTGTTTTCTATTAACCAGTTCCTAAGAAATGCAAAAACTTCATCGTCGCTCTTGATAGTCACGCGAATGATTTCTCTATTGAACTCTGCAGTAACACCGTTCCTTGCTTCCAAGGGCGCCACCGGATTGACGGCGAAATCCGACATTATAAGCATGCTAATCGGCAAAAACACAAACGAAGTGGCTCTACGTTGGCTGCATTACATGCCATATTTTTAACAATTCCATAGTGCACGGGACATATCAGTAACTCGATCTGCAAATGTGACAGTTTTGTTCACTTGAGTGAAAAGAACTCGCTCCAACAGGTAAGTGTTTAATTTCTTTAAAAATTTATTCGAATTTGTCACGCATTTGGAGCACCAAGTTATCAGACACACTAATTTCTTTTCCTTAGCAAACCTTCAAAATGACAAAGTAATAACTAGGTTTTTGAGTGATTTGTAATACAAGTTTCAGAGTCTCTTATCAAGTCAACATGCAAAATTTCGACAGGAAGATACCAACGGCGTTTGCTCAGTTTCTTTTAGGAATCGGTTTCGGTATTTCGAAGAGAATATAATTTTGGCAATGTGTTCTCAAAATAGCGTCTCTAATCCGATCATGAGCACTAATTATCGGCTGGTGCATTGTCATCATATCATTTATTATAATAAGGCACCGGGAGAGATTAGGGAAAATAAATAATGGATAAACTCGAAATTTATATCGTCGTTTATCTTATTAGTATGTCAATCAAAAGTCATTTTTATTTCCGGAATAAGACCGCCAAGCTATTGTTCATCGACAGAAGATCAGCTTTTCTTATGAGTGGGTATACAGCTGCTGCAGTAAGAATAGCTATTGATGCATAAAAAAAATTCTTTTTTCTTCCGAACTCTGGCAGCACTTCTTTGAAGACATCCCCCATTTCTGCCATTAAATAATTGTCCCCAGTTTTGTTGACCTAAAATGCACTGAGAAGAATATTTAGCTTATTTATCGACCTTTGGAATTGGACTGAGAGGGACTTCGACCTTGAGAAAATCACACAAAGGCTGCCAGCCAGTTGATAAATCCCAAATTAGAAGACGATCAGCTGGGACCACGCTTTTTACATAAGCAATATGTTTTCTGTAAGCTTGGCGGAGGACATTTTCATTTTTCTTGATATTTTCGATCGATGTTTCCCAAGTCCAACTACGTTCCCAATAAAATACTCCGGGTAGGTAAAGCTCCATTTTTTCTCGTGCGATCCAATCTATGTTTATCCGATAAATTGCTACATTACATTTATTCTAACCAGATAAGTGAAAAGTTTTTCCCAAGAACCCCCAGTCGAGAAATTTCATGCTCAAAAAGTACCAGGGAAAATTGCCACAGGCAGAACGCTCCGCAATCATGAACTTGATGAGGCTGTCGAACCACTCTTTATCATTTTTTCGTACTTTATTTGAACCGGATTAGAGTTATGGCGATGGAGATTTTGCCAACCTGTCAGAATAACTTTTGCATGGGGAGATGCCCTGTAGAGTTCCTCCCAGAGCATATTTCCAGGCCAATCTTGATTAACAGTGCATTTTATATTTTCATACTCGCTGATCACATCTTCTATTGTTGCTTGTCCTTTGAAATACTTGTCAAAGACTGGCATAAGATGCAAGAATGTCTCCCTCATATCAGCAACATTGAAGCCTATTTCTCGGAGAGCTGCGGAGCAAGATTTAGTCGCAGTTTTAGGGAATCCGGCACAAATTATATCCATTCTAATACTAGGCGTTTATGTGAAAACAAGTTTTTACTTCGTTAATAATCTAGAGCGGATCGGTTTTGAGATTGTAATAGTCAAGAATTCTTTGAAAATCACATCGTTCTTCGAGAACCTTCACCAGCTTCTCGCAGTATTTCTGATCAACCTCAGAGAAGCCTCCGATTTTAGGAGAGTCCATGTCTTTTTAAGCAGTCTTTGTGATGCTTTAAAATAGGTTAACACGTTAGAATTTCTTGACCATTTCCTAAAACCCCAATTACGATGGGGCTTTTACCCTTCGGTGAAAAGAAAATTGGAACAACGAGCTCCGAATTGCTTCGCTCATCACACGCAACGTGTCCTGGAAATTCATGAACGTCTTCAACAAGCAAGGTCTTTTTATCCCTCGCCGCTGCTCCACAGACACCCTTGTTAAATCGCAACAATTGACAGGCAGGTTCTCCACAAAACGGTCCAAGTTTAAGCTGGTCTTCGCAAGATCGGAAATAAAAACCGGCCCAGTTAGTTGCATCCTCTCTGATGCGAATTAAAAACAGCGAATATAAAATTGCAAACTAGAAGTAGCTGGAGATTAGGATAGATATTTGAATCCGTTGCCATATTGAGCCCTGAGGCGCGTGAATATGAGAGAGGAAAGATTTGCTGTATTGGAAATAACATCATCGGACTCGCCAATGAGTGCTACAAAGTCGGCCACGAGCGCTTTATAGAATTCGTCACGATTCATTTCTAAACTTCATTCCATTGATGAATGAGATCACTTAGCGCGGATGCTTATTAATTATGTTTGCTGTGCATTTTTCTGAAAAACACTGAAATATCAAACGCTGGAAATAAACTTCGTCAACGAATTCTTCCAATAAGACAACGCTGCAGGATCCGACATCGACTGAATTGGATTTTGTACGCAAATAAACTTACACATACACTTCGTTGTTCGTGCAAAATAAAAAAAAACTAAAGTAGTAAAAGTAAAACTTTGAAAATCCGTTAGTGAGTCGCCCCTGGTAAGATTTCCAGCGTACAGCCTGTCTTCTCTTTCAGTTTTTCTGATCCAGCTAATGGACAAATATCGTCGAGTTCTGGATGCAGGACATGCATGGGAATGGATTCGATATTATTCAGATCAATGTCTTCTAGCCAACTTCCTTCGACTCCTATTTTTAATACTAACTTTGAAATGACTTATTTAAAGTTTATCAACCTTTGAGAAAAGTCTTTGGGATATGATCTTTCGATGGATCATTATTTTCTGGCGTAATGAAATTAAAAGACATAAAAATAACCCATCACTAGACCGGAAGAGTGAAGGTAATCGTCTGGAATCGGAATATTTTCACCAGGACTATGGTCAACTAAATCTATTCGATCCTTGAGGAAATGCACTGCTGGAGCACAGAGATAAAGAGAGCGCACCAACTCAGGTTGAAGCGCCGCGAGATGGAGCGAAATGAGTCCGCCCATCGAAGAACCGACAATATTAACCGGCTGATCGCATTCACGCGCAGCTTCTTCAAGTACGGCATTTGCATCTGCTATCCAGTTCTCGAATGTCTACTTCCAAGATCGAAAACAATATTTTCCAAGTAACACTTTTTAAAGAAAAAGAACCGATAAATTCTATTTTTGACCTTCCCAAAGGACCTGTTGAATGCCCTATTCCAGAATAGTTGAAACGCCAGAGCGTTTGAGAAAACACATTTCTATTCCATTTTTCAATCGCCTCCGCTTTGACTCCGTTCTAGTATTTTTCATCGTTTTCGGCTTTTTGGGTAAGATCCTTACCATTGTACCCAAAAAGCCCGGTACCCAGAGCATTGCCGCTGATTTCTCTGATCCATTTCGGAGAGCGTCGATAACTCCGAATTTCGTTAGAATTTGCCGAGAGCTCATTCTTAAGATGTTTGAATAGTGCCTCAGGTCGTAAACAGCCTTCGTATGCCCAATTCCTTTCAAGCGTGTTGGCCATCGAATATAGTAATTAAGAATAAAGACGAGTTGAATTAGAACTTGACTTTAGAAAGCCCTAGGTTACGGGAGATTAGAAGAGAGGATGTTGGGCACCTTTACTCCTAATTAGCCTCAATAATTGCCTGTTGCTCACTTAATTGTTCATATCGCTGCAACCAGATTGCAGATCGGTGAACCGCCATGTTAATTTCGTGGTCAGCGACTGGGGCACAGACAATCGCCAGTTCAAACAAATTTCAATTTGCAAAGGTTACAACTTGAGTAATCGAATTTCCACGGGCGACAGAGAACGTTACGGGGCACTGAGATGATCTAATGAATAGCTCATTATCGATATTTCCGGGGCATTAAAATGCAATCGCCGAATGAGTCAGACGTGTTCTTTCCGTATCTACTCCTTTCTGTTTAATGATGAGGAGAAACAGTATTTCCCGGGTCGAATTTTTATTTGGAAAAGTGCACAAAATCAACAATACTGGGACTCAAAATACTGAAATAATCAGAGATTTTAAGTTTTCCCTTCGACTTTTAACATGTCTCCTAAGTCTGTTGTTTATTTTTGGTTGTTTTGAGCAAGTTCTCTCAATTGAGAGCTTCGCGCACTCGAGACCAAGCAGAATTTCGAATTATCTTTTCTTGTCTCGTGTGCACTTGAATAAATAATGTTTGAACGGGAAAACGGGGAGGAAATATGAATAGGAATTTTTTTCGTTTTTTTTTATTTCTGATCGTCTTCGTCGTTTAAGCCTGCTTCTTGAGGTTAGCGACGCAAACTCGGATCATCTCGTCCTGGTCCAAGTTCGAGATCTCTTCGTTGACTTTGTCTTCGATCCAGTTGATCATATGCTGGGCTTCCTGATCTTCGAGAGCGTTCTGGACGGCAACCTTAACAAATACAATTAATAGAGAAGATTAAAGAGGAAATTCTTCATACCTGGTAGTTGAGCTTCTTGGTCACGGAGTCAACAAGCTCGTTCTGTCGGTTGAGGTACTCGGTCTCGAGCATGAGGGACAAGTTGGTCAGCTTCTGCTCGTTGTAGATAGCCTGACCCTGGGCCTGCTCCTGGGCATCCTTGTACTTGGAGACAATCTCGGTGTACGCTGAAATCATCAGTTATTCAAAAGCCTAAATTTACTTTACTTACCGGCGATGTCGTGCTCTTTGCAAGCGTAGAACTTGTCGTACTCAGCAGTGTACTCCTTCTCGAAAGTCTCTCGGATGGTGTCACCGACGAGGATGTTGTAGTAAGTGACGGCGATCATGAAAGAGACGAAGGAGGCGGTCTCGGCGTGCATGGGGATGATTTCCTAAAGCAGCTCAATCACTCCAATTGTCGCGGGGAAAAAGACTTACTCGGCTGAGAAGGTACAAAACGGAGCCGAAGCCAAGGGTGTAAAGACCAGTGGAGCCCATCTTGGGGGCAATGAGGTTGTCGACGAAGGTCTTGGGGATCATGTAGTGGACGGTTCGCTCGTCGGTCTCCCACTGCTCGGGAATAGCTTTAGGACCCATACCGGGGTAGTTGGGCTCGCCGGGGTACTTGTAAGTGGCGATGTCGACGACTTCGGGTCGACTGAAGAAAAAGTCAGTTTCGAAGAATTTACGTCATTTCGGCATTTACACTTTTTCCATAATCTTCCTTTTGAGAGAAAAGATCACGGATATTGATGGAGTGAAAACGACGATAATGGAAGTGGTGACGTAAATATAGGCATTAGTTTGGAAGTGATTCTACTTACGCGAAAGGAGACTCGGTCAGAGGGAGGACAGCGGCTCGGGCGACCTTCGCAGAGGTGGCGAAAGTTCGGAGACCCAACATGGGTCGTGCCAGCTTCGACTGAACCATCCTGAACAAAGTAAACCGTTAATTGCAGCAATCGGGCACCAACAGAACAAGAAACAGAAAAATGATCGGAAACTCGCCAAAAAATAAACATCTTTGAGATCGATCTAGAAAATAATCGAATTGAATTCTTCTTCTAAATTTACACAAATTCTTTCTGAACACCCTAAAATCATTAAGTAATAATACACATTATTAAATAATACTTATAACATACAAAATGAGTGAAGAAAAACAGATTGTATAATTGAGATTTTAACTCAGACTTCTAGTTTGAAAAGAGGTTATTTGCTAAGTATTGAGGAAGAGCGATTGGTCGATTTGAAGCTCCAAAAACCGGCATTCGTTGACTTTCAAAGAAAAAGAAAGACAGCGATTAGTGGAGTGAGTCTTCGGAAATTCTCTGATAGGTTGATCTTCCGAAATTTCGCGAAAGGACAAAGATCGAGAATTTTTTCGCGACGCATTTTCGTAGGCCGAAGGGTGTTCTGTGTCGCGCGCAATCCGCATCCAATCAGAATTCATCTCTCTCCGTCTCCAACCGCGAAAAACACCCTGTTTCTAGATTTATAGATTACCATTCTTACGATTATAATGCGATAAATTCGACGTATCTTAAAGTTGAAATTTAATTTATGATGCAAATGTATTTTTTAGCAATTTTAGCTATTATTTTTAGTCCTAACTAAATTTCTCGATCGTATGACGCCAGTTTAAACGGTAACTCAGTGCTAGGTATAAGTTTAATTCTAGATCTATTCAAAAAATGACTGGATTATTCTTTTAATCCGGATCGGTTTCCTCTAATTGTATTTTCGATTCTCCCCCAATTGAATATTTAAAGTACTCTTAATAGCGGGTGACATAATCTTTAATTTTCTTCAGTTTCAGCTGGCCATAATTACAGTAGATTTACTTCAACGAAGTGTAGATTCAAGCTCGAATTCTTCGCATCGACGATGCCACTGTCCATTTGCCTTGCGATCGAGTTCAACGAAGGTACACTGGTTCTTTTTATCCACGATTATTACCGAGTGTGTCCGCGTACCGTATCGCTCATCTCCTAAAACTTGACTCTTTATTTCGCCCTAATTTCCTACCGAACCCGTAATTTTGATGGAGTTGTATCGCTCCATACCGATCGCTTTTTCAACGAAGCCTTCGGACTGTTCCGTGATGAGTGGGCATTGTCCGCAGGACTCGCTATCTTGAAGAAGCGTCAGCATTTCATCGATTATTTCGTCTTTTGGACGATCGAGATCGACGGCGTCGAATTTAGTCTTGATCTTCTGAGCTTTCAGCCATTTCGAGTTTAGCTGCCGAGCATTGCTCATCACATATCTCTTGTCTTCGGACAAAATCGTTTTTCTGCTGTCTTTGCTGGATATCCACGCGCCTGCAATTATTTTTTTGAAACAAATTTGAATTACAGTTGAATTTTACCATGTTTGGTAAGCAGGTCAATTGCTGACAAATTAAATTCATTGAACTGGTCCAGTGGTAAACTGCGGAAGTAGTCTTCCGGGGAGAAGGACGAGGAAGCAAAGTCGGTGACAAGTTTGCCTCTCGCCAGTCCGTTTGGGTCAGGTCGAGGGACTAACACGTTCGTCAGGATTCCGACTCTTCCTGTGCGGCTCATGGTGAGCCAGCTACCGTACTCTCTTCCCGGTGCCATGTCCCACCCGCCCAAAAGAGAATCGTGCCATTCTAAAGGAGCATTCTCGCGCGCGTAGAACTCATCTCTGTTGAATCTTTCTAGAGTTAAGTTAACCATTATTTGATAGATTCGCTCATAAAGAATAACCCTTTCCCGAGGATAAACTTGTACTGGTGAGTACTCTGAATCGAACTTTGTCATTTACTGTAGGCTTAGAAGAAGTTTTACCGTTTTTGGATTTATGACGAAGCAGGACAAGCACATGCTAGATGAACAGTACTTTTTCAATTTATTATGCGCAGCTTGTTTTTACAGTGATTTCTAATAGGAAATTAATAATAGACAGAGTAATGCGGCTATTTCGATTGAAGAGTCTTCAATGAAGACTGCTTGGGCGCATTCGCCGCGCTTTTGTTGGCTGAGCTATAATTGCGTCCAATAGGGACACGGCAAATTCCACTACGAGAAAATTCTCTGTCACCTTATTCTGGACTCTTGACATTATATAACGGATTCAATGCATTTAGCGTTAACTTATCAAAATCATATTTAGAGTTACTCTGACGTCGCTAAGAATGGCCGCTCGAGGACTTTTGTCAGTGGCACGATCTCGTCAACTCAAACTCAGTCAGATGGTGAGTCTTGCCAGTATGAAACTTGGCTATTTAATTCGTTTTAGAGGGCCTTCCATCGTCTTCCCGAAGACGTTGAGATGATTCGCGACTTGTGCCGCACTTTTGCTGATAATGAGCTAGCTCCGATTGCGGCCGAAGTCGACAAGAAGCATATGTATCCCAAAGACCAGATCGCACAGATGACTGAAATGGGTCTGATGGGCATTAACGTGCCCGAGCAATTCGGAGGCGCTGGCATGTCCGCTCTCGCTTATGCAGTCTCTTGTGAAGAGATTTCCCGAGGATGTGCTTCAGCTGGTGTAATCATGAGGTTTTGCGGTTTTCTTTAGAATTTGAAAATCTTTGATTCAGCGCCCATAACTCTCTGTACATCGCCCCCATTGTCAACTGGGGCAACGATGCGCAAAAAGAGAAGTGGGTTTCCGACTGGGCTACTGGAAAGATCGGCTGTTTTGGTCTCTCCGAGCCAGGAAATGGTTCTGACGCTGGTGCAGCCTCTACTACTGCTACCAAAGTCGATGGAGGGTATTTAATCAACGGCACGAAAATGTGGATCACTAACGCGTATGAGGCCGATGCTTCCGTCATTTTCGCGACCACGGACAAGTCTTTGAAACACAAGGTAAGAATGTAGGTTGAATGTCTTTGCTCAATGCCTAAGGGTATATCCTGCTTTGTTGTTCCAAATGATGCAGAAGGTTTCTCTCTCGGAAAGAAAGAAGATAAGCTTGGAATTCGTGGAAGCTCCACTGCGTGCCTTATCTACGAAGATTGTTTCGTTCCAGAAGAAAATTTGATCGGAGAGCCTGGTTTTGGCTTCAAGATCGCTATGAATACCCTTGATGGTGGTCGAATCGGTATTGCCGCTCAGGCCATTGGCATCGCTCAAGCGGCCATGGACTGCGCAGTGAAGTACTCCCTTGAGCGAAAGTCTTTCAACGTTCCCATCGCCAAGCATCAACTTATTCAGCAGAAGATTGCTGATATGGAGGTCAAGATCGAGTCCGCTAGACTCTTGAATTATAAAGCAGCGACTCTTAAAGACAACGGAATGGTATGGTTCGCCTTGAAACGCACCATTTACGCTTTTCTAGCCATACACAAAACACGCTGCCATGGCCAAACTAGCAGCATCCGAAGCTGCTACTTGGGTTGCTCACCAATCTATTCAAGTTCTCGGTGGAATGGGATTTGTCTCAGATATGCCCGCAGAAAGACATTATCGGGATGCACGAATCACAGAAATTTACGAAGGCACATCGGAAGTTCAGCGACTCGTTATTGCAGGCAACGTCTGTAAAGAATATGCATAACTTCTTTGACTTTAGTAATGATTTAAATCATTAATTATTTATAAGCTCTTTTCCCCTTCTTTCCTGTACCATATAATTTGCGTACTAAAGTACTGTTCTCATTCGAGCTGCTGAAGCACTAGTATGCTTAATTTTAGATTAAAAATGGCAGGGTTGACTCCACAGCAGTCTGAGGTCGCCAAAATCTTCGAGAGCATGAGTTACGGACCTGCGCCAGAGTCCGATGCCCAGGCCCAGCAGTGGCTCGATGCGCACAACAGAAAGCTTGGCCATTTTGTCAACGGCGAATGGTATCACCCTGAGGGCCGTGACTACTACACAACCAAAAGGTGTCAGGAGGTTTACTTGTTTGGAGGATATCCTTATTTAGCCCGATGAACGAGCAAGTCTTGTGTGACACTATCCAGGGAAATGAAGATGATGTGAACATTGCTGTTGCAGCTGCCAAAGAAGCACAGACTAAATGGGCTGTCTTAGCACCACATGTTCGTGCTCGCCATCTCTATGCCATTGCACGCGCTGTTCAGAAGCATTCCCGACTTATTGCAGTCGTAGAAGCTCTCGACAACGGAAAGGTATATCTGAGACCAGTTCAATATCTATTAAATAGATATTATTATTATATATTATTATTATATTTAATAAATTATTAAATAAACCCCAATTTAGCCGATTCGGGAGACACGAGACTGTGATATCCCCCTGGTTGCACGACACTTCTATCACCACGCGGGCTGGGCACAGCTAATGCCAGAAGAAATGGATGGCTGGAAACCCGTTGGAGTTGTTGGTGCTATCGTTCCATGGAACTTCCCCTCATGCTTCTTACATGGAAGGTCGCTCCTGCGCTAGGTAGAGTATAAAAATTCCAACTCCGATCAACGATTTTCAGCAATGGGAAACACTGTTGTTCTCAAGCCAGCAACTTACACCAGACTATCTGCCCTTCTCCTGGCTGAGATTTGCGCTGAGGCAGGTCTTCCAAAAGGTGTCTTCAGTGTTGTTACTGGTAAAGGTAGCTTTGGAACGCTTCTTGCTAAACACCCAGATGTGGACAAAGTTGCGTTCACTGGAAGGTAATTAATCAACTGTATTTATACTTCTTAATTCATTTTAGTACTGGAATAGGCCAAATTCTCCGACGTGTTACCGCGGGAACCGGGAAAAAGCTAAGCTTGGAACTGGGAGGCAAAAGCCCTGTCATCATTTTCGACGACTGTGACTTAGATAGCGCCATTGAAGGGATCGTTGATGCGATTTGGTTCAACCAAGGCCAAGTTTGCTCAGCCGGTTCGCGTCTCCTCATTCAAGAGACTATTTATGAAAAGGCAATCGCCAAGATCAAGGAGCGTCTATCCCACTTCCGCGTTGGGAACTCCCTCGACAAGGTATTTATTTTATTATATTTTATTTTGTGGTCAACTCTTGTTTAGGCTGTTGATATGGCTGCCCTTGTCGATGCTTCTCAATACAGAACAATCGACGAATACTGCCAAAGTGCCCTTGAAGAAGGAGGCGAGGTCTTCCAGCCCGACATTGAACTTCCTTCTAATGGATTGTACTGGAAGCCAACGCTCATTACAAACGTTTCAACTGCAGCTCGTGTAGTCCAAGAAGAAATCTTTGGGCCTGTCGCTGTTGCCATGCCATTCAGGTTACTCGCTGCCTTAGTTCTCGTCTAAGCCTTAATTCAGGACTTCTAAAGAAGCTATTAACCTTGGAAACAATACGAACTACGGTCTAGGTTCCTCAGTTTGGTCAGATTCGCTTCCGAAGGCCCTTGAAGTCGCAATTAGCCTCAAAGCTGGCGCTGTTTGGGTAAATTCACACAATCTGTTTGATGCTGCTGCAGGTTTTGGTGGCTACAAGGAGTCTGGCTTTGGTCGAGATGGTGGCAAAGAAGGTCTCTACGAGTATGCGAAGCCAAGTTGGCAACCCCGCCTCGCTGTTGAGTCTCCCGAGATTGATCTCAAAAAGTTTGGCGCTAGCTTTGGCGGCGATATCGCACCTGTCCCTGGATCTGGTCAAAGCCAAACAAAACTAATCCAAGGTGTTCCATCGATCGACAAGACTTACAAGTTCTTCTATGGCGGTGCTCAAAAGCGACCCGACGGAAACTACTGCCGACCTATTACCTCTTCTGAAGGTAAAATTATTGCTTACGTCGGAGAAGGAAACCGTAAGGATGTTCGAAACGCCGTCGAAGTTGCGCGAAAAGCTGCCCCTGGATGGGGTAAGCGTGCTGCTCATAACCGAGCTCAGATAGTCTACTACATGGCTGAGAACCTTGAGCAACGACGAGCTGAGTTCGCCGCTAAACTCCAGGAGGCCACTGGACGAGAACTAGCTGATTGTGAAAGCGAGGTTGATCTTGCTATTGCTCGTCTCTTTTACTGGGGCGCCTATGCTGATAAGTTCGGAGGCAACGTTCAGGAAACTAACCTCTACGGCGCAACTGTTTGCATTCGAGAACCGGTCGGAGTTGTTGCAATTGCTTGCCCAGATGAGAATCCTCTCTTATCCTTTGTTTCTCTCTTCGCTCCAGCAATTGTACGATCTAATGCTGTCGTCGTTGTTCCTTCAGAGAAATTCCCCCTCTCCGCCTTGGACTTTTACCAAGGTAGATTATCCTGCAAACATATAAGCGTAACCTTCCCTAGTTTTCGAAACGTCCGACCTTCCTGGAGGCGTGGTAAATATCCTCACTGGTAGCCGCGATCACTTGATGAAGCACTTGGCTGAACATCAAGACGTACAAGCTGCCTGGTATTTCGGATCTCTGGAGGGTTCAAAGTTCGTCGAACATACTTCTGCCGAAAATATCAAGCGCACATGGGTTAACTACGGTCGAACCAGAGACTGGGCCGACAACGCTCAGGGACAAGGACATGAGTTCCTCTACCACTCCACCCAGTGCAAAAACATCTGGCTCCCGATGGGTAGTACATTCGCCAACTAACCTCCGTCACATGTTCAGGAGTCTTCCGAATATGTTCTTAAAAAGAATCGAGATTTACCGATTTTATCACTTCTGAAAGTGTGTGCTTTCTGCAATCATTACTTATTTACTATTTAGGTGCTCCAATTATCCACTTGATTAGACCTTTTCCATGATTTACCGCTCAGTGTTCGAGAATATTTTATCTGCGCCACTTTCATCGCAAAAAGCAGATTTTCTATTTTAATTCGCATCAGACCTTCTTATTGCCAACCGAATAGCTCTGGGTATGACTGCTACAAATAACAGTTGCTTGCACCTATTGATAACGCCTGAACAAGCGATTTCCGAATCGATTGTGCGCTTTTCCCTGTCATGTCATTTTTCTTCTAGATAATCTATTTAATTAATTTAAATTCTAGCATCATCGTTGCTAGCTTTATTTCGCTCCCAGTTCCCATGACCTGTCAAGTTCACTTACGCTCTCTTCTGGGTGAGTTTCTAAAATGAAACATAAAATATATTTACACCAACCAGTTCACTATTGTCTTGTATTAATACAGTCATTGTATTACAATGACAGTAATTAAACCCAAAAACGTCTATGTAAGCCTTTAAGACTCTTCGAATGAGTTCCTCTGAGAGCTCTGCTTTTGAATATCGGCGTCGTCTACCAGAAGGTGCGAAGGAGTTGACCCCGACAACGAGACCAAGAAATTATTTATTTTAGTGCCACGAACAGTGAGATTTTCCGGCGATGTTCTAAATCGAATAGACGACGTCGCTGATAAGATTGAGTCTGTGGGTTCACGAATGCGCCAGGTAGAGAATATCATTTCAGACAGCCGCGTATCACCTCAAAGTGACCAGAAGGCAGTGGTTCGCTAATCTCAAATTGAGATACACTACGAGATCTCAATGAAATATTGATTGATTTACGCAAGTGCTCTAGCGAGTCATGTGAAGAGCGAATTGATCAGGCTACGTGACGATGTAAATCGAACTCTAGCAGCGATCGACCCGGGAACTGCATCAACCCATAAGGAGCACTTTCCAACAAGTTTCCCATCTGACGGAGATGCGATCCGAACAAATCTCCAGCGCATCAATGCAAAGATTTTCGAAGTAAGCTCCGAAAAAGAAAATCAAGCAAAGGAGATCGCAGATCTTCGACAAAAGCTTGCTGAATCACAGGTAATTGAATCTTTCTGGATTAAATTATTAACTGACTTTTAGATAAAAGCAAAACTAGCTGAGGAAGAGGAACGTAACTCGATGGAAAAGAAGCTTAAAGAAAAATCAGATCGTGAACAGTTTCTAACACAACATCTTAGCGCTGTCTCTGAGAGAGCAGAGACTGTTTCAGGACGAAATTACGAGCTACAGCGTGAAATGTCAGACACTCAGGCGGAAAATGCCAAGCTTCGCAAGGACTGTCAGAGCTTGATTCAGGTGAGTCCGAGGCCAATAAGGATAGCACAGGATGAGTACGCGACAGAGGCTAACACCAGTCAGACATTGGAGCAATTTGACGATTCATTCACAGGTCTCAAGAACATCCCAAGTTATTGACAGTTAACGCATTTACACGCAAGAAGCAAGCATGAAAGTTAACTAAAAGAAATCTAGATATAAGCAGCGTTGAAGGAGATTATTACGACCAACATTTGACCTTATCGGTTACCGAGTCCTCGGATTCAGAGGATTCAAGACATGAATACATTCCAACTCCTCAAAATTCACCACAAGACTTACGTTATAGAACAAGGCACGCAGAGCGGTTGAGCGGAGGTACCGACGCCTTCGGTGCAAAAGTCCACAAATGGGAAGATTTGTTTCCGTCTCAGGTTTTCTTTTACAATTATCGAGCAAGCGCAATTGCATTTATGACTTTCATTTCAACAGCTATCTTTTACAGCGAAATTCTTTTAGGAAATCGAGAAATTGCGTCTTGAACAAGTTGAGGATAAGCGTCTGCACAACGAAAATGAACGGGTAACTGCTCAGTTGGGCCGACAAGTCGCAGAACACCGAACTCAATCTGAGCACCTTCTTGCAGAAACAAAGCGTCTGACAGAAAATTTAGACACAGCAAAGGTAGTAAAATCCTTTTATAGGGAATCTTAATTGTCCTCAGACTCAATCAAACAACATCTCACAACAACTAAAACAAGCTGAACTCATTCGAGAACAACTTGGGAACGAGAATACTCGCATTCGAGATGAGCTAGTTACCACTTCGAAAAAGCTTAGCGTCACCGCCGAATCAGAGACTGAGCTCAAAGAAAAAGTAGACGCGGCGAGACTTCGTGAGGTTTCGATTCGGGCAGAACTAGATTCCGTCCGAGAGAGGAATGGAGCATTTGAAACGAAAACAGTCGAGATCCAGAAAGAAGCTGAACGTTTTAAAAATCAAGCGATCAAGAACGACGCTGAGAACCGATGTTTAAAAGCTCGCATTTCCGAAATGGAAGCGGAAATTACGTCGCTTCAGAATCGACTAGTAACATCAGAAGAACATCAGAGCCAAACTGCGTCTCAACTCTTCACGGCGGAGAGAAAGCTGCGTGAAACCACTGAACACGCATCGAGAGTTGAGGACACAAACAGGACAAGTCAGCAACTGCAGCATCAACTCGAGCGGGAGATCGTAAAGAGTCGCGAAGAAAGCAACTCTCTCAAAGACGAGCTTCAATCCACGAAAGAAAAGCTCTCACATGAGCAGGCAAAGAACCAGATGCTTCAACGCGATTTGGAGAACTTGAACGAACGATTGAATAGCGATCAGGCAATGAACCAACGCCAAATTCAGTGCCTTCGCGAAGAGCACGCACGTGACAAGAAACTCTTGGATGAACGAATTGTCACTCTTTCCAGTGCCTCAGCTCAGGATGTCAAAAACGCCCAAGATGCGAACACAGCCCTGCGAGCGGAACTTAAAGGAGTGGAATTCAAAAAAGTCAAGATTGCCTAATTCGAATGTAATGGTCTTATCATTTTCAATGAATATCCTTATAAAGCTGCTACGGACGAAGTGAAACATCAAACCGATAAAGCTAAACTTGCTCGCGATGGGCTCCGAGATGCTGAATCTAAGCTAAAAATGACCGTTATCGAGCTCGAAGTATGTCAGAGAATAAGGATTTTAATCTTAAGCCATAATTTTTCAGGAATCTAAACGAGCGAACGAGACGCTCATTGCGAAGAACCGAACTGTCAAGGATAATTGCGATCAATTTGAAAAAGAACTGCTTCAATCGCGCCAAGATGTTTCGAAGTTAGAGATTTTGTTACGACGCAGTTGGTAATCCTTAAAATAATTATTCCTGATTAAATATCTTTATTCAAGCGCGATCGCTAAGAGCCGGGAGGAATCTGACGTTCCTATCAATGAACTTCCCGGCTTTATCGAACGATTACAACAAAGGTTTGAAGCAAAGAAATTCCCTCTTTTAACTCGAATTAAAGCAATGAGGCACTCTTAGCGAAAACGCAACAAGTGACAATCGAGCTCGAGCAATCAAAGATAAAAATCGAGAAGCAATCAAGGTAACAAAAATTCCTTTTTTTGTATTTCAATCTCTTATCAAGAGACTTTTCGTCGTCCCGAAGACAGCTTCATGACGAGCTGAATGCCGCAAAAGATGAAGCTTTGTCCTTCACGAAAAAGAACTCTCAACTCAGCGTCGAAAACCAGGAGCTCAAAATGAAGCTCCAGGGACACAAAGACAAGTTCGAAACACTGAGAAGTGAGCTTGACCGCGCCGCGATGAAACGCGAAATCCTTAAACTTGACAAATGATCTCAACTTTTCCATTTTGCAACTTACTTCCTACTTTGTCCTTTCATTCCCATAGAACCATTCTCTCAATTTATATTTTTCACACTGTTTGCCTTCCAAGTTTATTTCTGTTCATTATTTTTTTAATCACCCCAAAGTGCACTTGTACATCTATTTTGTTATAATCAAATTTTTATTTTTTTACACTTGAAAATACCTAAAGTTAATTCGTTTCCATTCAGCATGGCTACGGACTATATGAGATCGATGCTCAACGAGCTCATGGGATCGGGTCGCAATGATCAGGTAGGACGAACTTTTTATCTTTCCACAGAGCCAGGGTTTCATTTCCATCTGACTTTTCCGGGCATGTTAAACATAAACTAGAATGAAGACGGGGAGACACCAACTATGTCTACCCGATTTGAAGGTCGCGACGTTTGCCGACCCTTTCTCCTCAAATGCTGCCCACACGATGTCCTGACGTCTACGGTCATTAATGCTATCTTTTAATGGGTAATAACATGTGCTCTTAGAGAGCCGATATCGGCAACTGTCCACTAGAACATTCGTTGGCTCTACGCTCTGATTACGAGAGAGTCCGACAACAGAACAACTCGCTGATGTATGAATTCGATGTAAGTAAGCTTAGAGTTGATTACTGTAAGCAATTCCTACTATCATAAATGAAGTTTCTCGCCGCTTTCTGCTTAGAGTAGTCAGACTCGTCTTTTACTGCGGTAAACAGCAGCTGACGAGCCCGCTTCTCAATCCGAGTAAACAGAACTCGAGCTAAGATTTGATATTCAGTCGCCTCAGTCTTGGCATTTCTACCTACCAAAATTTCGTGGGAAATAAAAATCGTGAGTTATCTTTTTTTGCTTCTAAATATCCCAGATATTATCTCGCGCATTCTACAACCGAGAACTATAGTTAAACCGATTCGGTGAGTCGCTCAACTCGTTTGTAAGTGCGAGATGAAAGAGAAGTGGTGTTTCACAATTTTCAACATATTTCTTCTCCCTTTCATTCGCATATTCTAATCACAAAATTACTCTTAGGCCCACCGTGCTCTGAAGAAATTTATTGATGAAACTGATGAACGAATAGAACTTTCGAAAACTAAATTAGCTGAAAAACAAGCCGATATATCTAAGGTAATCCCGCTGAAGTAACCCTCGCGTAACCATATTCGGTTAAGGAAATCGAAGAAAAAGCAAATGGCGTCCATGAAATCAATGAAAAGATCGGCAAGCTTCTTGCTGATGCGGAAAAGGCAGGAATGGAAGGCGAAGTCGGAAAGTCACAGGAAGTAAGTCAGTCGAAAAAGAATACTGCTTATATTGTATCACAGATTCTACGAGATGTAGAGACCCTTCGCGAAGAAAAAAGACAAGCAGAGCAAAACTACCGCAACTCTATGCCATCTTCACTTTTGCCAGGGTGGCTATTTTGGACAAAATTTCGGGGTCTGGCCATCCAATTTCCATCCAATAAATTTTGAGTCGAAGCTATCCATCCAAAATCCAATCCAATCCAATTTTACCCAATTTCCCAATAATCCCCAATTCCAATTGGATCCAATTGGGTTTCCAATTTTTCCAAGGCTTCTAGTACTTTAAAAAGAAAGGAAACAGTAAGTTTTTATCAGAAAGGAGGATCAACTCTGCCAAACGATGATTTTTTTATCTGAAATTGTTCATTTTCATCATGAAAATGACCCTACTTTGCATAGCTTAGGGATATATTTTTTATTGGATCCGATTCCCCAAATTTCCCCCAATTGCCCAATTTTCCCCAACAAAATCCGGTACCCTGGCCATCCAAATTCCATCCAAACCTTATTGGATTGGATCCAATCCAATTCCAACTAACCCCCAAATCCAAAATAGCCACCCTGCTTTTGCAACAACAAAGACTACGAGTTTGCGACAGTAAGTTTTAACTCAATTTGGATAAATTTTATTATTGTCTCAGTATGCTCCTCTTATCTTGGACTTCACGATAACGACCGGCGTTTGGCTGATCACTTTGGTGGAAAGCTGCACTTGGGATTTATCGAGCTGAGAAAGCGACTTGCAGACCTAGGGGCATACTGTGAAGAGCACAAAGAGGAATACAACAAAAGACAATCATCATCGGAAAATACTAGAGCGCGGTCGCGTTCTCGGTTTGTCACACAATGGAATAATTTTTATTGAGCGGTTTTCAGAGAGCGGAGACGTGATCGCCGGAGCCGATCACGCAGTCGATCCTCGGATCGACACAGGCGAAGGAGGAGAAGCTACTCCCGTGACAGATCACGTGAACGACATCGCCGGTCCGATCGATATCGTAGCAGAAGATGACAATGCGTAGAGCGCCTGCAATTGCAAAATATTTCTCAACTTCATTTCAATTGAACCATCAAACAACTTTTTTAAGATCATTCTAAGGGCAACTCTTGTGTAGTGTGTTTCTTCGTTTTCTGTCCAGACCTGCAATTTCGTTTGAATATTACCCCATTCTATACCACTCTCAACGGCGTCCGTTTTCAGACTCGGTATTTACTCAAAATGCAAAACGACGAAGGACGTGTTGTTGATTTGTACATCCCCCGAAAGTGCACTGCTTCAAACAGGCTCATTGGAGCAAAGGTAATTGCTTAAAAAATTAAAAAGTCGCCGGGCATGGGAATTAGGTTAGAAAAGAGCCATTTTGGGTACCTCTTGATACATTTAAGTGTATTTCAAAATAACGGTGGGAACATCTTTGCTGCTTTTATAGGTGATAGGATCTAGCAATATTAATCTTATGCCGGGATATTCCATCAGTCTTTTAAACAAAACCCAGGACAAGTCTTCAATCCAATTGAACTTCTGTGACGTAGACCCCACCACCGGAACGATGCTCCGAACTAACACCACCTTCGCCATTTGCGGCGCTCTCCGACGCATGGGTGAGTCCGACGACTCTATCTACCGTCTTGCCCGGGAAAATGGACTCGCCAAGTAAACCAACTACTGTAACACCTACTCGCGCTGTTAAACCTGTGCTTGAGTGCCTTGCTATTTGCTCTTATTTTCTTCGTTTCAGAATGGGCTTTGATGCATACGGCCAGACTCTAATGGTGAAATGCGGAATAGTGGGAGATGCTTCAGTCGGCAAAACAGCGTTATGTCAAGCACTGGTCTCAGACGGCGCTGAGTTTCCCAAGAACTACCAGATGACAACCTCAGTTAATCTTTCCTCGAAAATAATCGACTTGACTGAAACGGAGGACGAGATTTGTCTTATTTTAACCGACTTGGCGGGTGAGAACCTATTCGAGCCGCTTATTGAGCCCCATTTTGACATGATCGGTGAGTAGGGTATGATGAAATTCCATAAGAATTTTTCGGCAAAAAATTTTTGTGAGCTATCAGCATATTCTGAAAGCCCGTATCAGAATTAGTGGAATCCCCAAATTCTAGCACTTGATGACGTCACGATGACGTCATCACTGATGATTGAAGGTGAAGAATCCTAGAAACTTAGGTACGCTTTTAGAGAACGTTTTTGTTGAAAAGCAATTTTTTTTGCGGGAGGTTATTCAGCATCAAAAACTACGTGGGAATCCGGAAGAATTTTTCCGAACCGACCGGTTACAAATTGAACCGCCAAAATGACCGGCTGGTTATGGCCGGTTCGAACCCGGATTCCCGTGTAGTTTTCGATGCTGAACAACCTCCTGCAAAGAAAAAAATTATTTTTTCGACAAAAACGTCTTCAAAAAGCGTACCTAAGGTTCCGCGGTTCTGGACCATCAATCATCAGTGATGACGTCATCGTGACGTCATCAAGTGCTAGAATTTAGGATTCTACTAATTCTGATACGGGCTTTCAGAATATGCTGATAGCTAGGGGAAGTCACTAATAATCGAGCTTTTTTTCTAGCTTAGTAGGGTGGGCATATAATACAGTTTTAGAATCCTCAGAAGCTGAGGATCATTTTGACTATTGATAGTGAGGGGTCATCTCGTACCCTGGGGGCATTTTGGTACCTCCAAAGTCCAAAATTCTGGCCAATTTCGGAAATCCGTAGTGTTGACCCCCTAACCCCGGCTTTTTCGCGCGCGGCTTAGATATGTTGTAGCCCAGGCTCTGAGGGTCATTTCTAGGGGTCGGAAAGTACTGATTACCCCCATTCCAGAGGCGCTAGAGACCTCTGAAGTTGGGGAAATCGACCAAAAATAGGTACTTTTTGGAAAAAGTACATATTTTTATCAGTTATGCTTTAATAACGCTTTTTATCACTTATGCTTTCCTTTTTCAGAGTAGAGACATTGTTTGGTGTCATCCGAGGTCATCTGAGGTGAAAATTATAAAAATTCTTGAAATTATGATAAGTGATCCCAAATGACCTCAGATGACACCAAACTATGTCTCTACTCTGAAAAAGGAAAGCATAAGTGATAACAGGCGTTTTTAAAGCATAACTGATGAAAAATATGCACTTTTTCCAAAAAGTACCTATTTTTGGTCGATTTCCCAAACTTCAGAGGTCTCTAGCGCCTCTGGAATGGGGGTAATCAATACTTTCCGACCCCTAGAAATGACCCTCAGAGCCTGGGCTACAACATATCTAAACCGTGCGCGAAAAAGCGGGGGTTAGGGGGTCATCACTACGGATTTCCGAAATTGGCCAGAATTTTGGACTTTTGGAGGTACCAAAATGCCCTCAGGGTACGAGATGACCCCTCACTATCAATAGTCAAAATGATCCTCAGCTTCTGAGGATTCTAAAACTGTATTATATGCCCACCCTACTAAGCTAGAAAAAATGCTCAAATTATTAGTGACTTCCCTACTGATAGCTCACAAAAATTTTTTGCCGAAAAATTCTTATGGAATTTCATCGTATTCACTTAGCACAGGCAATCGTTAAATTCACTTTCAGCTATCGTTGTTGTTGTCTTCGATTTGACGAATCGAAAGTCATTTGATAATGTCGAAAAGTGGATTGGCAAGCTTCGCGCGCTAGATGTCAAAGTACCCGGCTGTCTCATTGGCAATAAAGATGACATTAATCCTGACCGCCACGTTGTAACAGATAAAGAAGCAAGACGCCTTGCTGATAATCTCGGCTTAAAATATTTCAAGGTGTTACTCTTCCTAAGTTAAGTCATTTACGATTTTAAGACTTCTGCTAGAGAAAATGTTGGCGTTCTGGAAGCTTTCGAGGAGATGTCATCAAATCTTTACAAACTCTGGTCGACATCACCCGAGCAAGTGCCCATTCTAACTGAGCAGCTTCATTGATTTCCTCTTCTTTTCGCTTTTCTTTCATATTTTTTTACTTTCCAACGATATTTTTCTATTACTATCAGTAATTATTCTGTTTCTTTTTTCTAGAAATAAACCGACACTCATTTACGTCAATACCCGGCATCCTTGTGGCAGTAAAACCGAATATTTGTCGTAACAGATAGCGGCGTAACATGTAGACTAACGCCATAGTCATCCTTGTTCTCAGTAACTAATGCTAATTTGGACATCTGTCCCCACGAGACGTTATAGCATTCTTCTTCAACACTAATGTTTATATTGAAACGATTTACTCCCGGCCGCTTAGATGTACCTTTGGATGAATTACCATAAGAATTTTTGGCCGAAAAATTTTTTGAGATAATGGCATATTCTGAAAGCCCATAAAAAATTAGACAGAATCACCAAATTCTAGGGCCATGTGACGTCATTATGACGTCATCCGGCTCATTTGAAAATTTTATCTTTGAAACGCTTTTTAGAGCCAAAAACGTTTTTTAATCCTTATTTTCTCGGCGGATTCGGATTCCTCGTGAAAAAATACGTGGGGACCCGGGCTCAAACCATCATTACCAACCGGTTCTAGTGTCCGGTAATTTTCGAAACCGGTCGGTTCGAAAAATTAACCTCGGGTCCCCACGTAATTTTTCCTGCCTAACAACATGCTATAGGCAGAAAAATATATTTTAAACGATAACCGTCTCAAAAAACGTTCCAAAGTTTCATGAATTTGGAGCCTTTTCGGACATTTATTAATCATAAATGACGTCATAATGACGTCATTGAGCCCTAGAAATTTGGGGATCGACTAATTTTGACTTGGGCTTTCAGAATATGCCATTATCTCAAAAAATTTTTTTCGGCCAAAAAATTGTTATGGTAATTCATCTTTGTACAAAAAGCGAAAATTTTCCATTTCGCTTAAGTTTTTCGGTTAAGAAAGTCATGGATCGATTTTCACCTTCACGCGAACGTAGAAAATTTCAAGTTATTATAAAGAATCTTCCTTTCAGCGTGAAGTGGAAGACCCTCAAAGGTAACCTTCTTTCTCAGTGCACGTTTCAAGCTCTCTCTCAGATAAGATCAAAGAAGTTGTTGGTGATGTTAAGTTCGTCAACGTCGTTGAGCTTGCTGATGGGCGCAGTGCTGGGTTCGGCTACGCTGAGTTTTCCAATCACGGCGATATGGAAACATGTATTCGTCAGATGCACCGGAAGCCCTTTGAAGGGCGAGACATAAAAATATTTCGCGACAGCGATGAGGTCGAACTTCGTGAATGTATGCAACTCGCGGTAAGGAGCCTTATGCCTCTACTTTTGTCATTTTGGGAGTATTCCTTTTCATAGGAATCCCAAAAGTAGTGACTAAATGATATCAGTTTAGTCCGACGGTTGAATATTGACAGATTCTTATAGGGTCTTTCTATGACAAACCTTCCACAGAAACAATTTCAATCTGGAAGCGGGTATCTGGGCGGATCAGGTGACCGGCGACCTGGAGCGCCGGCTACCTTAAATGGAATTCCAATACTAGAAGCCATACCGGGCTTCGATGTTGATGACGATACAATACAGCGTCTCGGAGAAGGACCTATTTCGAATTCTATTTTTGTCCAGTAAGTTCAGGCATTCTTGTGAAACCCCGGGAGTGATCACTAATTAGTAAAATAACAGTAACGTTATAACTTATAACTTATAAGACTTTTATAGTAATATCTTGTTTGACGTTACGATTCCAGAACTGAAAGACGTCTTTTCCCTCGCCGGATCGGTGATAGACGTAGACATTCCCAAACCGGGCCTCGCTGTTATTACATTTTCCTCGGTAAGATGCTCATCTTCAGAGGAAGCACACTGACTTTTGTTTCAAGAAAGAAGACGCTATCCGAGCTGTGCTTCTGTTGAACCAACAAGAACTATGTGGCCGAAAATTAATGGTAAAAATCGATGGCGACAAGCGTAAAGTGATGGAGCAAGATAGCTTTGAGGAAGATAAATACGGATTTTCAAACACTTATCCGCCAAGAAATTTCGCACCTCCTCCTCCTGTGACGAGACCGCCGCCAGCTCATCCGGTGATGCCTCCTTACGATCCGAACGACCCGAGTCTTGCACGACCAGGATACGGAGAGCCCTTTACTCGTGTTGAAATTAGAAACTTGGATATAACTGTTACTACACAGGAAATACGGTACTGGGGTAGATATCTGCTTTTGACTCATTGAAACTATAGGGACTTATTTGAGCGCGTCGGCGGTGTAGACAGAGTGCAGCTATCTGATGCGAAATGTGAAGTTACTTATTTTGAAGCGCGAGATGCTCAAGCCTCTGTTGACCGAATAACTGGCACACTTATGCACGGCCGTCCGATAACCGTTTTGCCTGCCATGAGACACATTTCAATATGGTAAGATCATGTCGCTTGCATTGCATCGCTTTAATTGATTCTCACATCACTTGAAAATCAAAGATTTTGATTCTCGTTGCTGGTTGCACAATTGTACCATCTTTAATTTGTCATGCTGAATCACTTCAAACTTAACCAGAGTCACTACTTCTGCTAAGGGTGTCATCATCGACCGAGAAGCTTTCTCTAGAATCATTTATTTTAGATTGCCAACGCGACTGTTTTCGGCCCGTTCTCCCGTCATTCAACCTGCTTGAAGCAGGCTTCTTCAACAAATTCTGCTTCTTAGTTCATATTGTCGGTTTTTATCTTACTGCCATCCTTTCATTTGATCTCAAATTTTGCTCTGGTAACTCGAACGGCGATTTTTTCATTACAATCTTAGTAGATGATCTCACAAAGCGTTGAGTCATTTCAGGGCGCCGCGCGAGTAACCTGAGTCACCTTCTTCATTAAACAAAAGAGAATTTATTATTAAAAAAGAAAAAACATCAAATAATAATCATTCTTCCGTAGTAATCGTTGATTTTTGTTCAGAATGCTCCGACGAAGCCTCGCCGCCCGAGTTTTCTCCCGAACCGGAGCCGTTCAGGTAAGACGAGGCGCGATCTTTCTTATTTTTGACCATGAAAATATTTTAATGAGTTAGTTTATGAGTTGTGAGAAATTGATTCACATGATTTTTATGAATCTCTGTGAACACATATCATATGCATATATTATTTACATCAAAAGCCCTTTAAAAATAATCGCACGACAATTAACTATAATAACGAAGCCTTACCTCTACACAGGTTAGACTATACACTTTCTAGTATACTGTTTAGACATCATGAAATCTTAATTTGTAGATGCTAAAGCTCTTTGATGCTATTGTGTGATGCTATTCTTCAGCCTTAAAAACATTGATAAAAACAATATATTGTCAGTATTCTATATTATAGAGTCTATAAATTATAGACTATAATATAGAATCTAAATTTAAGATAACCGAAGATATACAAAATGATTCAGCATTAGTTTAATTAAAATTTTCAGCAAGCTCCCAAGGTTGTCGAGGTCGTAGAAGGTTCCTTCCAGCGATCTACCGCTAAGGGACACCTCGCTGTTCCCCCAATCTGGTCCCAACAGTAAGTGAACAAATAGAGAGTTAATTAATCTACCGGAATCTTCCAGGTATGATATGGGAAGCCGAATGAGCATGATCTGGTGGGGAATGCTCGCTCTTTTCACCGTTCACTTCGCCTACTGGGAATTCGGATGTAAGTTCTCTACTATCCAATAATTATTATCCAGTTAATTTCCAGTTATCCGACGAACCACCGCTGCCCACGAGCGACGAATTGAGATGACTCTCTCCGAGCCTGAAGGTCTCATGTACTGCGACGCCGTCCTCAACGCCAAGATCCGAGAGCTTCACCGAGTCCGAGCCGCCGAAGAGGAAGACGATGAGTAAATAGACAACCCTTGTCAATTAAATAAGAACGAAATTGTCTTTCAACCGCTCTGTCCTTATGTCTCCTCCCTAGATTAACGTTCTGGAAACCAAATTATTTATTGGAGTTGGTTACTGACTCTTTTCTCCGAAAACAAGATCAAGTAATAAAAAACCCCCGGTAGCAATCGGAACGTAGAGCTTTCAGGTTCGTAAGCTGTACGTTCCAGTAGTCCTTCATCAAGAGTATCCTTATTATTAGTTATTACGCATTAACTATAGCGTAAAAAACACCATTTCGAAAACACGGCGCCGGGTTGTCGAAGCGACAAAGTGTTTTGTTTGTCAGTCGGTATTCATAAAATTCAGGGCCACAGTTCCAATCGAGTAGTTTTAAGCTTATTCAGGAGCCTCCTCGAGAATATCGTTTGAATATTCAATGAATGCCGAAGTAATTACGGATAAGATTCTACTGTCGGAAGGCCGGCTTCGTAATAAAAGGACTTAAATTAGTCTCTTCCTTATTGCCTTTCGTCAGTTTTGCGCACATTCTTGCTCAAGAGATGGGCTGAGTGTACTTTTAGATACGCTTACAATCGAGCTCAATCGAATTTCGACATTTGTTTTCTTATTTCACCGTAATGGTCTTATACAAATAAGCATAGAATTGAAGACAAAATAAATGATGATTCGTCACATTTTACGAGGCAATATCGGAGGAGTGCTCGGTATTTGCTGAACTTCTGGAATGGTTGCCGGGCGGCCCTGCCGACGGCACGGTCAATGATTAATTGCGACGGAATTCTGAAAAGCGCTACTCTATTGACCCTGTTTTTGAGTAGTTTCTTTGTTCTTTTGTATTCTGCAGAGGAAGCACAATCTTTGACAAGGCTTTTGTCAAGACCTCGTCTAGTAAATGTCCTTTACCGGCCTTCGGCGGCGAGAAAACGCTCCGAGGAGGACATCTAGATATTTGATGCTCATTTGGATGCTCTGAGGGCTCGATCAGATTTGTCTCTTGTTTCTGGCGCTGGTCAGTAGCTGAAGGTCATTGCCAAGCACCCACCAACGCGACAGTTGAGAGGTCATCTGAGTTTCTTTTCCTAAAAAATACGTGCCTCTGCCAAAATTATCGACGGAGTTGCTGTTTTCGGCGTCAACGCGTAGGCTCTTTCTGACGATTGGCCCCCTCGGCTGTCCGTCATCCCTCGGGACAGTGGAGGACGTATCGACGGGCCGGCTACTCGTCCGCGGCTACTTTGTTTTCAAACCGGTGTGGTCACGTGTTCGAGCCAGCCACGTGCATCACATGAAGTTAGTATCTGGCCAAAGGAGCCAGAGCCAAAAAATCACCATTTTTTCGAGAGGATCGTTTTACTCTTTGAAAAGAAGAAGAGCCGCCCGCGCTCTGCTCTGATCAGCCAGCGAACCCAACTCAAGTTCACTACTTGAAAGAAGTGTGTAGAGCGCTGTAGCCCCGAGCAACATTCTGAGTAAATAGCTAATCAAAGCATCTACTCCAAAACTCAGTCTGGTGCAACTAGCAGCACCTCCGCCATCAGAAGACAACCCTAAGAAAGCGGAAGTCAGTCGACGAGGAAACAACAAACTTCTCGAAAATTCCTGTCAATCGAACTCAAAAACAACGAGGAAAACACTAGAAGAGAGTAAAACCAATTTAGAGAGTGGAAAAGAATCTTCCTAGATACATACAGTTTACAGTAAGTTGCTTGGTAAATATTTTCACGGCGACATGAAATGATTTGTTTACTTACGATCGCTGATTGCTTTCTAACATATTATTACTTTTTTTTTCCGGTTAGAAAATTAAACCCAACTTAAATGTATTTGCTCGTGCCGGTAAGACAGGTTAGATACACTTGAGGCTCAGAATATGACCTTGCTCCGAGTATGATTCATTCAACAATGAAAGGAAAATTATTTGGGAAGGGAAAGTTATACAATAATTTTTATGTTTACCTATTCGGTTTTTTCGTTGTTAAAAAATAGTAAGCCTTCAGGTCTGAAGACTTCTATGACCCATCAAAAAATGATCATCTTAGGGGTATTTTTTAGCCGCGATGGCAACGAGCTTTATTTGATCGAGAATGCGAAGGGAGCTCACCGATTTCGTCGGTTGCGCCGTCGCCGCACCCTCCGATGGAATCTTTCATCCTGCCACGATTACAGGCATAGTGCCAGACGAGGCCGATGGCGAACTTATCAGGTATGAAATAATTGATTATTATTCCTCTACCGGCAAATGTCGGTGAATATATGGGATTTTTTTAAGAAATTCGAATTATTAAATATCGCACATTATTCGCCAAATATTGATAAAATAGACAATCTACTGGGGAACATTTTGCTGATGGTGGTGTCTTTACTTTTTTAACGCTGTCAGCAAAATTGTTTTGGTTGAAAAGTTTGTCGAGTAAAATTGGCGACTGTGGATTGAAGTTACTCCGTAGAGGAACGATCCTCCCAGAGAAGCCAAACTCAATAACAGACAATAATTGGCGTCAGAGCTCGATAAGTCTGTGTGTGAGACGGACACTTTCTCTCAGAAGTCCTTATCGTTGTTTTCAGGGTGAGATTCGACGGTACATCGGTCGAGCAGTATTTCAAAAAGACGCAGCTTGTTGGGAAGGTAAGAATTGTAATCACGAATTTAACATAGATTTCCCAGGCTCAGTAAAGGGTCAGAAATGCCACGGTTGTTTAGGCCAAATAATGAGTATCAGCAGACAACTATACTAGTGCCCATCTTTGGTGATGTGGAATTTTCAAGAATGAACACTCGTTTAACTTTCCTCTCTTGGTGATCTCTAGGTCTTTTTTGTCTGGCCACCTGTACTAATGGCGTTCCAAGGTCGGCCAGTGTTTCACCAAGTTTTCTAAGAGACGAGACCTCAAAAATACCCGATTACTCATTTAGAAGTTCGTTCTCCAGACTAATTTAACGAAATTGTGTCTCAACACTTATAAACAAGAAATGAACTTGCGAAATCATGTGACAAACAAGCGCCCACATTGAGAAAAAAATCGAGAGTTCCGCATCGAGAAGGGAGACGACTAACTTTTTTTAGAATTTAACCGACGTCAAGGATGTACGACTTCAACCAGATCAAAATGTTTTTCTGACGGTTGATGAAAAGGAAAGGATTTTCTCAATTAAAGCCTTTCTTATATTCATTAGACTCACGAAGCAAATGTAGATTCTTGATATTACTTCTAAAAACGGATGTAGGGAAAGTTGCGTTACTCTAGTTAAATCCTTTAATGATTATTAATTATTTAATCGCGAATAACAGTGGGCTGAATCTGAAGTTATGCTCGAACTAAGATAGCTAAATGATAAAACATTATCAAACGATATAGCAAAGGAGAAATCTCTAGACAGGAGATAATCGGAATTATCCGCAATACAATTGATACAGGAGCCTACGTTGTCGCCATTGAAGGTCGACAAATCACAGTGGAAAGAGATCAGATCAGGCTGCTGAAAGATACGGTAAGCGATTTCGAAAGTCTAATGATAGACACTGGGGTTCTCATCTATGTCTTCAGCTAGTTTAATAATAAATTGATCCTAAATGTGTTTATGATAGAAAAGGTGCCGTCTAACAGACCTACTATAGCTTCCGATCGCGGCATAGAATTCATCGGACATTTTAAACTGCTGGCGCCCTCTTTATGTAGCAGATTAATACCGAAAGCGCCACCACTCCTCACATTTATAAAAAGCACGGAAATGATAATAGAATATCTAGTTTAACATTACAGAAGTATTAATTGATCTGGTTCCATAAGAGAATTAATAAAAGTTTTAATCTTTCATTATGATGCGCACGACACCGGTCTTTGAGGAAGACTCATGGAAATTGTCTTATGGCATTCCGATCAGGGAGCGTTGGCAGAGCCTTGATAACTCATTCGTAAGAAAATTTCCCCACTCATTTTTTGATAACACTTGTCATTAGAAATATTCCAAGAGTATAACACTTCATTTAGATGGGCATTCGAAATCGAACTCAGTCAGACGCAGCACGCAGACGCCCGTCTAGTTTTGCATCGACAGCATCGTCCGAGCATAGATCAAAGGACGAGTTCGACGTTGCTCGCACACTCGTGAGTCTAAGGTAAAGAGAAGATATTACGAATTTGAGAGTATCTCTGTCGCTTTAGAACCGACATTATTGATTTCGAAGACATGGAGCGGGAGAGAAACTACGAAGTCAATGAGCGGGAGAAAAAGCTAGCCCAGCTCTCGCGCGACCGTAATTCCGTGATTTGTGAGAATCCGTCGAGCTCGCTGTCAGCCTCGAGCTCAAGCTATGAGGCTCCAGCGAATCCTCACATGGATGATAGTGACATTGATAGTGACATCGATGTCGAGCGAATCGACGACGATCCTCTAGCTGAAATTGATAATGCCTGCGACGATATGGAGATCGATCAGGCACACTCTCCGAAGGTAACCATTGCGGATAACTTATCAAAAAAATATAAGATAAACTCGATCCTATGCTCATGTGGTTTTAGCAGCATGTCAGCGGTGGCAGAAGTCCAACTGTAACCGACAGTATGTCCGGAATTTCTGGATTTTCCCGATCGGTGCCAATCGTTCCGAGCCATTCCGGTTGGGGAACTTCTCCACAAATCATCGGTGGAATTAAGGTACACAATAATGGCAAATATACCTGAATAATTTTATTATTAAGTGTCTCCGGATCACAGGCACACCTTCCGGCACCCCGATCTCCAGTAATTCTCCAAAAGGAAACTTATCCGTAAGTTGAATTTCTTCAGTAGATCCATTGTAGATTTTTCAGAACTCACAATTTAAAACAATTTTAGGCTCATTCTGTACCGATTCCAGTTGGGACACCCGTCTTTACCGCGTCTGGTTTACTCATTGGGTCGCCAAATACAGTACCATCAATTTCGATCGACTCACAAGCAAGGGTAAAAATCATCTGTCTGTGTCTGTATCGTTAACATGTTTTCAGTTCATCCAGCAACAAGTAAATCAGTATCACCTCTCTCCAAACCAGTTCGCCTTTTCGACGGGTCCCGCCTCCCCGACAAGCTCTGCTCAGACATCTATGTCGTTGCCTAGCCGCGGTGCCGAGACGATTGCTCCTCCGCCGCAATTCCGAAGCACTGGCGTCGCGCAGAGGATCGGCGATAGAGGCGTTACAAAGCGTCCGGGTGATGGAAAAAAATGTCGCAAAATATACGGTGTGGAGAACAGACACAAATGGTGCTCCCAGTGTCGCTGGAAAAAAGCCTGTCAAGCCTTTACTGACTAAGTTTATTCGGTTGATTTGGATATAGCTTTTCTACTTATCATATCATTTTTGACGGCAAAAGGAGTTGCAATGATAATGTCGGAGAAGCTATGCCTGATCATTGTACAGTTTTTCTACCATGACTTTAATGCTGAATGTTGTAGGATCCTCTTAACTGATAACAACAGCATTGCTCACTTCCACTTATGAGCAAGACAGCGCCTCTAGAGCAGAAAACTCCTTGCACCAAACAGCTATCTAAGTTTTACCCTTTGTATAAAGTCCCTGCCAAAAGTGTTTTTCAACATTCATGCACTTTATGGATCTATTTATTAAGACACAACAGAGTTCAATGCCCCCTTTTTGGAGGCAAACGCCTTCGGATATTCATATTATCTATAAATTTATCTTCGCTGTTTCTCCCTTCTCCTCAGCATATCCGTTCCGTTCTGTTCATAATCGCTTCTCCACCACAACCTGCCAACACAGTGAGTCCTGTAAACGATAACATAAAACAACAAAGACAACATAATACTGTATCTAACCTCATCTGAAATTACAATTTCCGTTTCTCTTATGTGATCGTCCAATCTCCAAAAGTTCATCAAACCCGATTCTAGTTCTAAGGCCGCCAGATCCCTACGCCCATGCTATTTCTACTTCTTCGAGTTCCCTTCCACTTTTCTATTTCATGTTCATCTCTTCACAAACATCGTTTCCTTCTTTCAGAATAAGCCTTTCTTCCCAAATAATATTTATTTTTCTTTTTTTTTGACGGTTACCAATACTAATAAAAAGCAAAGAAAAATATCTTTTAATTTATTAATTCAATTGTCAGCCATATTATATGGCCAATAAATTTGCTATAAGTATCAACTAAAGTGGTAGAATAATCGCGGCAATAATGTTTACAGAATACCGGTATTCAAATTCGATACCCTTTAATTAAATCGCATCAGCAAGATGTTTGCTAGATTTTTGAATAAATTACCCGGCTTTTCAGTAACACCTAATATAACGTACCCCACCCCCTAGCTCGCTCACATTTTGTGAACATTTTCCCCTTGCTCGCTTAGTTAAATTTTATCAAAGTCCCCTTGCTCGCTCTCATTCTTGTTTCAGCGCGCTCCATTAGTCGCCATCCTTCTTTTTACCTCGCGCGCCCTTGTTCGCTCCTCCTCACCTATTTATCCCTTGTTCGCCGCGAGACCGCCAAAGCCTAGCTCGGCTTGGGTCGCTCTTATAGCTCTTACTGTACTTTCGACTCAAGCTTTTCAAAGGGAACTATATTTTTCATTTTCATGAATATTTTTTTAAACGCCGCGGAAATCTCCCCGACTTATCTATTTTATTTCACTCTAGCGTTCTATGTACTGTGGATTGAGCGGGTAGTGTACCCCTGCAGTTTTCAAAAATTAGAGTGGATTTCTGGAATTTCTTTGAACAGTATTTGTCCCTTATACAAAATGACGACGTGAGAATTTCATTTCTTGTTTCAAAAACAAATAATCTCACCTGACTCGAAAGATATGAATTTTAACCTTACCCCGCCAGGGTACACCTCCTAAGACACAGAGGTCGAAAATGTAATAAATATATTTCTGTATCAATATGTGATTTTATGTCATATTTGTATGATATAAATTATATCAATTGATAACCCCTTTGAAGGGCCGATGCACCTCCTGAGGTGTTTTTGGCGGGTAAGGATAAAATGACGATTTGGCGGGGTAAGGTTAAAGGTGAAAAATAGGGATACACTAACCGCTCAATCCACTGAAACCTAGGCATGAGATTTTTAATAAAAACAGTCTCAAAGTTTCAATCCAAGTATTTCGAGTACTTATGTTTACTCGAAATGGAGTGTCCAAATTTTCTTCTTATGAAGAAGATATGAAAATTTGACAAAATGGACGTAAGAGAGCATAAAAAAATAAAAGATAAGTTTGCTTGGAAAAAATCATGAAAATCAAAGTTAAAATGCCTTTTAAAAATGAAAACAAAAATGAGCTACGCGTTATAAAGCGTTCTCGCGGGGCTTCAAGAGCGAACAACGGATAAATGACGGAGAGAGGCGGGCGAGCAAAGGTGCGCCGTCGAAACCAAGGAGAGCGAACAAGGGGGCGTAGAATGCAAAAGAAGGAAAGCGACCAACGGTACATGGTAACAAAAAGCGAGCGACCAAGGGGGATCTTGTTGGAGTTTAACTTAGCGAGTAAGGGAAAAATGTTCACAAAATGCGAGCGAGCTAGGGGGTGGGGTACGTTATACAAAGACACTTTTTTCGTACTTCCTATGATCAAAGACGCAGAAATCAAAGAAGAGTTCTTCGTCATCAGTATCATTCCTTGGATCTCGGGCGGAGTCACCTCAGGCAAGCGAATTCGAAAAAACAGAACCTAGATTAAAATCGGAGAGCGTTTTCAGACGTGTCATTTCACCGAGTAGAGATAGCACAAATTTGAATTTTCTCACTTCCACGACTCCAAATTTTTACGGATATGAACTCTACTCCAGTTCAACCTTCACCTGGAACCGTGCTTCAACAACCTCAAGTGACTCCACTAGTCATGCAGATTAACACTGGGAAGCAAATCCACAATCACATTCATGGTGAGCGATTTCTTCCGGAATACTAGTAGATATTATAATATTTAGGCAAGCGAGAGTGGGACAAGGGTGTTCTCGGCACTGGTCCTTGCTGGACTTGCGGCAATCGACCAACAGATTTCTGTATTGCCTGTTGTTGCCCGTCCCTGGGTATCGCTGATATCCTCACACGAATAGGTTTGCAGAAGAACTTAATTAGTTTTTAACAGTCCTAACTAAGGATACACGCCTTTCTCAGCTTTTGCGGCGGGGGCAGTTTCTTGTGGCTGCTGCGCAATGCCAAACTGCTGCAATCAGTGTATGGTCTACCTCGTTCGCAACGAGTTCCGCACAACCTACGGGTACAAAGGACACTGGTGCAAGGACTTCTGCGCTGCTTTCTGCTGCATGAACCTTGTCATTGCGCAAATGGCCTTCCAGCTGGATAAAATGGCCGAACGGGAACGTCTCATCAAGTACGGACACGAAAACGGCGGTCCTAGTGGCTACTAGTCCATTTCTTCTGTTTTAAAAGTTCACTCACAATTAGTCGCGACCGTCTCTAATAAATCATCAAGCTCGAATTTGAAATTTATTGTCAATTTGAAATCAAGGAGAAATAGGAAAAGATAACTAGTGCAGTGAAGAATTTTCATGTCGAAATAAGATGTGAAAGAAAGGAGCTAACAATAGAGTTCTGTTGCTTATGGAGAAGACTTCTAGTTGTTCATATTTCGATGTTGTTTGGCAGCATCCTGGGCTAAACAGGATATAAATAGAATTGAAAATTGGTCGATTACCAAGTTGATTTACTTTTTGATTTCCAAATTCACGGTTCCGTCGCACGTAAACATATTCAACACAGCAAAGTTTTCTTTCCTCTTCTTTGATTTGTTTGAAAAGGCCGTGATGTTCTCGAGGGTTGTATATACCGGTCAAACCAGAGTCGATAAAATAACACACTTCCCCCTGCGCTTTAAAAATATGCAGTTAGTGCTTCATTTTGAAGCTTAGTTGTATTAAAAAATGGCTCGGAATTCCTACTTCACGTGCGCCGCAAAAAGTGCACTTTATTCTGAAGCACATTGAAGTGTTCTATTTTACAAACTCTGGGTCAAAGCGTTGACGCACCATTCAGAGTCGCTTCGAACTTGGACACCCCCTTCTTTTCCAAACTTTTTGACAGAATGCCTGAAGGAAGAAGAATCGTACGTCAGAGGCCTCTTTTCCCTTTTCATTCGCTTCGAACCAATAGCTCCTCGGAACGCGCTAAAAGGGAAAGAATCTCTTCATCCCTCTACAATTATACCGCGGTTGGCATTTCTGACTGACTAAAGCACATTTCATTAGCACATTTCGCAGCGCTAAAACATAGGGCGTTTGTGCTAACTAGGCCCTTGTAACCTATCTAGAAAAATAAAATTAGTCAGTCAGAAATGCCAACCGCGGTATGATATGATTCATATCTTAAAATCTGTGGGACTCGACAGACTGTACTTATTCGATCACCACTTTATTATGTAACTTCCGTGCATTCACCATTTCCATATTTGTACTTAACAATAAAGTCCCAGCTCAAAGTAACTAGAGTGTTATTTATTGTACGCAGTTCGCTGATCCCACAAATCTTTATGCTCAGAAGCCTCAGAAGTTCTCAATCAGAACTCCTCAAACGACGACGAAGAACTCGGGAAGATTTTTATCAAAGATCTTTGTATGATTTAATCACCAAAGAAGAAAATTCTGCGATTTTTTATTTCATTTAAACTCAGCCAAAAATAATATAAACCGTTTTCACAAAAGAGTTATATTTTTTTTTGATTGTAAATGATTTGAAAAACTAAAAGAAACAATATTCTTAATATCTCATATTCATCATATGATTTTGTATCGAACGTTTTCGTTTATTGGATAAACTTCATCAGGATATTTTATGTTGAGAGAGCAGTGTGAAATTGCTAACTGTTAGCTAACTGTAAGCTAACTGTTAGCAATTTCACACTGCTCTCTCAACATAAAATATCCTGATGAAGTTTATCCAATAAACGAAAACGTTCGATACAAAATCATATGATCTATTAACGAAGTCAACCCGAAAAGATATATCTCATATTCAATAAATATATTTTTTCGAGACTTTACGCATAGTCAGAATATTAAATCGGAGAAGCGAGGTTAGTTTGGTTCTACGATGACGCAGCAGTGCCTGGAGCGTGACGTCAGCTTTCGTTGCCTTTTCAAGAGGGATCCGAAATACTGACCGCGTTTATTTTAACCACCATACTGTATTCCCGATAACATTAATATATATTTTTAAATTTAAAATTTTAGAGAAAAAATGGAGAATTCCCTTGGGCTAACTGAGCATCATAAGTATCAAATTCTCGAGCTCCTCCGTTACTCGAGATACAAGCGGAAAGAGAAGGTTATCGGAATCGAGCTCGCTTTTCAAGATTTTGTGGATACACGAGTGATGGAAGAAGACACTTTCACCCAGGACGAGGTGAGTTTTTGGGATTTATTTGCTTCTAGAATATTTTATTGTCTAGGTGCGAGACCTGGTCAACGAACTGCAGCGAAGCATCGTCGACGAAGTAGAATCAGAGTTAATCAACTCATGCGATGTCTCCGCACTCCTGCTGCGCCAGGTCATGCAGCAAGCCGACAAATGGAAACTCAAACTCTCCTGCGATGTAAAACAGGTCGAAAACCTGGAGCTACTGAGTCTCATCCGCGAGTTCGAGCAAAACGAGAGTGGAACAAAAACGTACGTCTTTCGTCCTCGCTTCCAACCATAATACTCTCTTTCAGCTCTCCATCGAAGTTGACCCCAATCCAGGGCGACGGGCCCATCGAGCTGCTGCAAAAGAGATCGACAGAATGAGCCTCGAGAATCAAAATCTCAAAGAGAAAAACGCAAATTTAGAAGAGCGTCTCTCTTCCACTATTTCCGAGAAGACGAAAGGTACGACCACCGGATCCCAATTAATTTTTACCTTTTTGCAGCGCAGAGCTCGCTGAATTCGGTGAAAAACGCAGATAGCGGTGACTTGGAGAAAATGAAAAACGAGCTGTTGGTCGTAAAGAATGGTTAGTGCACCCAGACAATTCAAAATACAAAATAATCAAATCAAACAATTCAGATTTACTCGCCAAAGAAAAAGAACTCGACGCGAAATTTAGAGAAACATCAGTCTACAAAAACATGAAAGTCTTGCTGGACAAGAAGAACGTCCAGATCAAGGAGCTCCGCGCGAAAGTGCCCGACAACGAAGACGATTACCTCAAAGAGTGAAGTTCAGTGAACTCTCGCAATATTCATTTCTTCAGATTATCAACTCTAGTTTCTTACTGTCTAGCTGTTATATTTTTATACAATTAATGTCACTTTCGTAGCTATTTGATTGAATCCTTTTTCTTTTTTAGATACGACCTTGACGTTGAAATAGAAGAGAAATCGAGAAAAATGCTGAGAACTGGTATTGCCGTCCTTGGCTCCTTGGCAATGACGACCGCGGTCGTTACTAATGCGTGGATGCAGAAGAAGCAATTTTATCCAACAGTTGTCCACCTTACCCGCAGCAATCAGTCCATGCTCATTCTTTACATACAAGCATTCGTTCTTGTTTTTCTTTTCGCCAAACTCGTCGGAAAGGTGAATCAATGCATCAAATGATCGAACTTACGTTTGATTCAGGTGTTTTTCGGAACTCTAAGACCTGCCGAAGCGGAGAACTTGATGGAACGCACATGGTACGCGATCATTGATACGTGCCTTGCATTCACAATGTTCCGTGACGACCTTTCTCCTGGTTTCGTCGCTGCTTTCACGATTTTCTTCTTGCTAAAAGGTCTCCACTGGCTCTGCGAGGTAAAGAATTAACTTCTTCTCTCTCTTATATAATAAATCAAGGATCGAGTAGACTACATGGAGCGATCTCCAGTGATAACATGGCTCTTTAAAATAAGAATCACATCTCTTCTTGCTATTCTCTCTCTCGCTGACAGGTAATTCGTCTTCGAATAAAAACCGTTCCGAGCTTATTTCTAGCTTTGGAGTTTGGTATGCTTATGAACGAACCATGACAAAAGGTGCTACCGTCCAACTCGTTTTCGGCTTTGAATACGCCATCCTTCTTACCATCGCTTTCTCTGCCTTTTTCAAATTCATTCTTCATTCGATCGACTTACGCAGCGAGGATCCCTGGGAAAATAAGTCAATGTAAGTCAACTATAATATCTAAGAACACATTATTTGTCCTTTGCCAGGTACATGCTATATTTGGACTTGATTGTCAGTTTCTCCCGCCTTCTTTTGTACGCGACTTTCATCTGTATCATGTTCAAGGTAAGCGGGTAGAGCTTGACAAAATTGACAAACTTTGAATGAAGATCCACACACTCCCAATCTTCGCCCTTCGACCTATGTATCTGGCGATTCGCACTTTCCGAAAAGCACTGTCAGACATTGTTCTTTCACGCCGTGCAATCAATCAACTTCATCTCTATGCGAATGCTACAGAGGAAGAGCTGGCAAATGATAGCACATGTATTATTTGCCGAGAAGAAATGGTGGCTGGCACAAGGTAGCGTGCCCATATAAATAATCGCCGGTAAAAGGTCTTTAAGTTCGAAGAAACTTCCCTGTGGTCACATATTTCACGCAGCTTGTCTTCGTTCATGGTTTCAGCGTCAGCAAACTTGCCCTACTTGTCGACTTGACGTGTTGAGGGCTAGAACGCCTGCCGCGAGAGAAGCTCGTGAGCCCGACCAATTAGCTAGACAACGAGGTAACAATCGAACTACATTCGTATTTTCAAGAAAGTGCTTCTAGCTGCCTTAGAAGAGCTGCAGAATAACCTCCTAGGAAATGCTCAAAACGCTGCTGAAGGGAGACGTGGTGCTGCTCAACAAAACGAAAGAGCGCCCAGAGCGAGCCAAAATGAAGAAAACGCTAGTCAGAGAAACACTTCAAGTACAAGAAGGAATCCTGTGGCACCGCTCATCTTCGGAGACGCGGCTCTCGGATATTTAAATAATAGCAACGATGTACTTCAAGTTCAAAATCTAATCAATAATCTGGAGCGTCATCCGCGACCTCCACCACCGCCATTCCCTCCAACAAACTTCGAAAAATTAACCGAAGACGAACTTCGTCTAATGGAATCGGTCGAACGGGCCGGCGTGGAAGCTCGAGTAAAGCATCTCAGGTAAGAGAAAGTCATTTTTTCTTTTATCAATTCAAAATTTCAGGGAAATCCGACTCCTGCTCGACGCCGCCGTTTTCAAAATGGATCAGTATTTCGACGGGCCAGCAAACCCTGCCACAAATATCCCATCTTCTCAATCCAAAGAGAGTGAGAGGGTTGAGACTATCCCTAGTGCTACGAAGGATGGAACTGATTCATCTGAGGAAGAAGAACCCCAACTAGAGGGAGACGTGGAAAATAGCGAAGAGGACGAGCCAGAAAATGCAAACGAACTACGAAGACGGCGGCTAGAAGCGCTTTAGGGTCTCGACTTGGACTAGATTTAATTTTGGAAAAGTTAACAAATCGCCTGTTACTTCAAAAAGGCCTTACTACAAAAGTATCCGACTGACTCCTATCAGTTATCGTTGTGCAATCAAGTCAGTAGAAGCTGGAATACATTTTTCAATAAAAAATCGCAAAAATATTCTTGTTTTCCACGTTGAAAAGCATCAATCTTCGAATTAAAGAGCATCGTAGACTTTAGAATGAATGGGACTTTGTACAAATATACAAACTTTGCAAGAGGTTGGCAACGACGATTTTTTATCATTGAAAATGGTTTACTGGAGTACTTTTTGAGGCAGGTCACTTTTCGAATTGATTATCTTTGCGAGACAATTCGATTGATGAGCTTGTTCAGGGATCCCGAAGGGGACAGATCTAACCGTCGGGGAGTGCTGCCTTTGGTAGATGCAGTGGTGACGCCGGACGAAGACGGCCATGGGTTTACTATCACAGCTTCAAATGGCTATATTTTCAAGCTGAAAGCGGCTGACGCTCGTTCGCGGCAGATTTGGATAGATCAGTTACGATCTGCGGCTAAAGGAATTCAAAAACCGCTTCCACCAGAGTATGTCTCACAAGTGACGAATCATCAGATCACCGATAATTATGCCACCAAAAATGTGGAACATCTTCAGGCTGCAAAAGAAAGTCTCGCTGCGGCGAGAAAATATTTGTCCGAAATCGAAGATCAGGTTCACAACCTTTCCAGTTATCAGATCGGTAAATCCTTGATTTAGTGCGACAGATTGCCGATGAACGAGACCTATTTGAAGCTCAAATCTTATGGGAGGTCGGCTATCCAGTCACTAGAGCGTGCCACGGACATTGCCGAACGAAACATTTTCTTCGGGAGAAACGAATTGCGGAAAATGCCCAATCCAACTGAACTGGAAAGAGAAAAGAGGAAGAGTGAACTGTCAGACGACAGTGACGTCGAGGAAGAGAGTCGTTCGCCCTGGGTGCCGAAAAAAATCGAGTTCGAAGAGCCGCTCGTGGAGTACAGTGATGATCAAAGAGACAATATGGTCTCGATAATGCAGACGATTCCTTTAGGGGAAAACTTACTTTCTGGATCCTGGCCTAGCTGGTCGATATCAAAGTAAACTAGTTTTGAATTCTTCCTTTTGCAAAGATTCAGAAACTCTGGAGCATTGTACATCGGCTACCTTTGTCGCCATTGTCCAGACACGACGGACCCGTCAGATCTCGCGAAATGGCTTTTGTCTTTAAAATGCCCTAGTATGTAACAAATTTAACTACATGTTCAATCATTCACTTTAAGGTTCTGTTTTTCGAAATCGAATCCCTTCAAAGTCACCGCAGTATTACGAGTGTAAATTTGGCGAAAAGCATCTTCAAATCGAAGCCTTCCCTGGACCTGTTTTTAAAGTATCGATTGCCAATGGACTGCTGATCAAATTCACTCTATCTTTCAAGTCAAATTTTCAAGGACCCGGCAGACCGTTTTTTATCCAGCCATTGATGACAGGTAGCTGAGGAAGATACATGGTTCATTGCTTAAATCTGCTGTTTAGATTTAAATATTGGTATACAGTTCTGGAACGTCACCGAAATGCCCAGTGTTAGAATTCACCACCCTCTCAGTACACCTTCTCTATCGTGGAGCGGAAAATGGGAAATGCAAAATCGAGAGCTCAAACAAACCATCACCCTTTCGTATCTCAGCGAGCAGAGGATAGAAGGATCAGTCCTTGACAAAGAATCTTCTTCCGAAATTCAAATCTCCGGCACCATAGATGAACCTCTCATTGGCGGAACATCTTACAAGGAATGGTCAGTCTCGATAGACAACTACTTCAGTCTATAGTCTTTATAGACTTGAAGCTTTAAAGTGAAAAGATAGTAGAATTTCGGAACATCTGACTGAACTCTTAAAGCCCATAGAACCGGATTTTTTTCTTCAACTCCAATGAAAACACTTGCCCTTATGAACAAACGATTCTTCATTCATTCATTCAAATGCAATATTCCATTATTCTTCTATCGTTTTTAATCATCAAAAATAATTTTCTAGTATGCGAGAGCTCCTTACCTAGAAGTAGTTACGTAACATGTGATCATCTCGACGCAACGTTGCCAAGTCTGGGGGCAATTCGTTTTGGATTGATGAAGATTTTTGAAAAAGAGTTCATTTCAACCGATAAATACTGAAGTAAAGATGCAACAAGCAAAACAAAGCGTAAAGAGCATGTTCGTGCCTGCGGCGCGTTCTTTGACAGATTACGATTTGAAGGTGAGCGAGTCAACAATTTCATGAGATGATGAATATTTTAGGCATTTTCGATGTTTTTAAATCGCAACGAATCCTTGTTTTGTTTGACAGGGGCCGGGATCTCAACAGAATCTGGTATTCCCGATTACCGAAGCAAGGGCGTAGGATTGTACGACCGAGAAAATCACAAACCAATCACTCACCAAGAGTTTGTTCGCTCGGCGAAAAATCGGCAGCGCTATTGGTATTACCGAGCTTAAAGCTTGATTAAAAACGTTCGATTTATATTGAGTTTTGATAATTAAGGGCAAGAAATTACGTTGGCTACAAGTACTTTTCCATTCGGCAGCCAAATGCGAATCACGATGCTATCGACAAACTCATCAAGCGCGGAAAGATTAAAAATCTTGTTACGCAAAACGTCGACGGGCTGCATCTCAAAGCTGGCAGCCACGATCTGGTGGAACTTCACGGAAACAATCACCGAGTAGTTTGCCTTGATTGTCATCGTATCATTGCCAGGGCCAAGCTTCAAACATTACTTGACGTGGCAAACGTCAATTGGGAAACCCCCGTTACAGAGGTGAGTCGCAACGGATGATTTGATTAAGACTTATTATAGGAAACTGTCATGGCACCAGATGCGGACTCTGTTTTAACTCCAGACCAGATACAAGGCTTCCAAGTTTGCGATTGTCCATATTGCGGCGGTGTTCTGAAACCTGATGTCACTTTCTTTGGTGATAATGTTAACTACAATCTTGTTCAAAGTTGCTATCAAAGCGGTAAATAGTACTAAAAAGGCAGTTGGTTATCTTTGTTTGTAGTTCGAAACAACGATGCCTGCCTTGTAGTCGGTTCGTCTCTCTTTGTTTGGTCAGGCTTTCGCTTCATCAGAGAAGCTATCAGTCATGGGAAGGATGTTTTCGTTATCAACATCGGCGACACCAGAGCCGATGCATTTGCCAAAAAGAACAATTTGTCGAGTACGCAATACTCAAAGTGCGAAGTGCAAGCGTCTTTCCTGCTCAATCATTTTGTTGATTCTGATATTCCCGATCATTTATGAATAAACTAAAAATGAATTCGATTTTTCTGATTGAAATTAAGTGCTGTTGCAACACAGATGATAGCTAAACTTGACCATTAATAGATTGTCGAAGGTCATAAAAAATGGGAGATCACAAATGCATGAATGAGTACTATCCTCCGGACTATGATCCGGAGAAGTTGCCGCGACTAAAGACGCTCAAAAACTGGTCGGGCCAGGGCGGTCAAGGTCGCGACCGTATTATGGAAATCCGTACTATGTTGCCTTGGAACATTCGATGCAACACTTGCGGTCATTACATGTACCGTGGAACGAAATTCAACTCAAGAGTCGAAGCGGCCACCGACTATCCGAAGTACTTGGAGTACATAACGATTAGAAGATTCTACATTCGTTGCCTTAACTGTGTCAGCAACATTACATTCATCACAGATCCAGAAGCTATTGTTTGTTTACCTTTCACTTTCGGTTTCCCAACAATAATTCTAGGACTATGCAATGGAAGCGGGTGCAACACGACTTTTCGAAACCAGACGTTTGAATGCGACCTTGGAAAAAGAAGAAAAGGAGAAACGCGAAAAAGATGCTAAAGAAAATCCGATGGCAGCTTTAGAGAAAAGAACCCAAGGTTTTATTTTTTAGTCATTCTTGACACTAAGGATGTCTTTTTAAGATTCCCAGAAAGAGATGCTTCTAATGGAGAAACTCTCTGAGCTGACAGAAGAGAGGAAAGCTAAGCTAAAGATATCCGACGACCTGTTGCTAATGAACGTTCTTGAAGGTGCAGAAGAAAAAGCCAAACAAGACGATCTTATATTGACAAAGCTTGCGCGAGAAGTCATGCGTAAGGAGCAAGAGTTAGATGAGGATGAGCCAGAGACCGAGACTTTCAAGAAGTAACGCAACTACCTAAATTTTAATAAAAACGATCGATTTAGGGTGCTTGAAGAACGAAAAAGAAAAACAGAAATGGCTCCTCCAGTAGTACCTGGAAAGAAAAAGAAAACTGTCGATACGAAAAAAGCGCTCTCGAAAGGATTTGGTGGAATAAAAGTCAAGGGAAAATCTATAACACAGGTAAAATTTTTGGATATCCTTATAATGCATATTGGTTTTTATTTAATTTTATTTGATGAGTGATTGAATATTCAGACAACGAAAGATACGTCTGAACTTCCATCAAAGTCAACACCCTCAACATCGCCAGAAAATGAACCCTCTTCTTCTTCGTCCAATCCTTTTGGTATTGACTACGGTTCCGACAGTGACTCCGATTAATATCTGTCTGCATAATTTCTGTCCGTCTTTCCAGATAAATACCTGTTATTCGTTTCAACAAATTCTATAAATTATTTTTTTAAGAATGCCTCCCAAGAAGAAAGCGGGAGTCTCGAAGACCGACATCAAACCGGAACCGATCCTAGATGAGAAGCCACCTGCTGATTCTTCAGGCTATGCACTGACAGGGAATATTGAAGTTGACTTACCGGAGTATTTGAGAGCGCTTGGCGTAACTCATCCACCAGTTGTTTACTCTTTCAAAACAAATCTTGCGGAAAATGAAGAAATCGAGTCCCACCAGGAAGCCCCTATGGTAAGATTGATGCTTGTTCAATCCAGTAGATTAGACTTTAAATCAGTTCAACGGACAATATATCATAGTTAAGCACCTGCCACGAGTAAACGTTCTCTTTAAAGAAGAGCCAGAAGGAAAAACAACGGTGCAAAACATAACTTCTGTTCATTTCCGAAACTTTCATATCCGAGATATTGAGGCCAAGGTTATAAGTCAATGTCTGACAAAGCTTGACAAACTCGAATCTGTATATTTTTTCCGAAGTCGACTGTGTGGTGATATCTTCAATCTCATAGCACTACCATCCTCTGTCAAAACTGTGCAGATCTACGGTAACCCAAATCCTGGAGATCTCTGGTTAGCTGCACTTAGGAAAGGTTTTTTATGATTGTGTATGAATTTTTTCTATCGGCATTACTTTAATGCATGTCCAATTCTATATGTAGCTTTCTTCCTTGATTTCATGCAATAATGATAATTGATGGCAACTTTGGTCTGAAAAAAAGAAGGTTAACGATCATTCAAAAAGTAAAAAACGAATGACAGAAAAGGCATACCACATCTTGGATTCCAGGGAAATTCTTTAAGAAGTGCTGACCTTATTCCCATGGCAAATGAACTACGTCTCAACACATCACTGATAACTCTCAAGCTGAATAACAATCCTCAGATGGGCGATGAAATTTTTCATTACATCTTCCGCTCATTGATTCAAAACAAGAAACTTGTTTCTATTTCGGCGAGCAACTGTGGCCTAACAGACACTTGTATCGAGCACATCCGCGTAGCCTTTGCAAAAATGGTCGAAATGATTCCGTCAGAAATATATGAATGGCGGAAAAAACGGATGGCACTTGTTTTCACTTCTGATTCTCAGCTTCGTCTGGTCCCTAACAAGAGAAAAGACGATAAAGCGAAATCTACGCCGCCTCCTAGAAAAACTCGAGGAAATAAAGATGCCCCGGACAAAAAGCGGAAGAGTCAAACCTGGGTAATAATCAAAACTTGATCAAAGTAATAAGTCCATTAAAGGCGACATCTAGCTCCACAGACACATCCAAGCCTCCACCAAAAGCCGCTCCTAAAACGGTGACAATTCCAGATGATACAGGTATCAAGCGTGAGGACAAAATTATGCTCCAACCTGGCAATAGACACCTTTGTCACTTGAACTTGAGCGCTAACCACGTAAGCTTCTTATTCTGCGTTCTTTACATTATTTCGGCTTTTAAAGCTCACCGTTTTCGGTATTCTGCGTCTTGCTGAAATCCTGGAAGAACAACTTGAACGAACAACAGATGCCATAGCTCTTCGACAAGTCAATCTCGCGCTTAACCAGAAGAGCTGGAAATTTTTTGAAGATACAGAAGCTTTTCAAGGCAATTCTAAATCTCTTATAAATCAACATCAAAATTGAATTCAGCTACGCAACAGTTCATCGAAATTGTGAGAAAACTCGAAAAGACCAAATGGGCAGAGTGTCTTCAGAATCATGGGCTGACGATTCCTCCACTAACGCCCGCTGCGCCGATTACTCCCGCGCCTACCCAATCTAAAAAATGAAAATTCAACGTTCCAGTATTTCCTTTCAGTGCTAAACTATTCTTTTCTTTTATACTATAAATAAATATATTTTTATACATACTCGCTACTAGGCGCCTTCTATTAAGAGTACTGATCCAGTTGAGATCGTCATGCTGACAAGGAGAAAGCGTCGCAAATGACGATACTTCGTTTCCTCGCGCTCAGCATCTGTTTTCTTAGCCTCGTGTTGCCGGACACAATTCGCACATTAGACCCTATCGCTATCGTTGATATAACCGTCAAGCCATGTTCAAGTTGCTTGCCTCAAACGTCCACTGCTATCGCACTTAGTGTGTACAGCGCAGAAGACATCAAGAGATCAGTGTTGGAATGGCGCCGCAAAAGGTATAAATAAATCTTGCTAATCGAATGCGTTATGATATTCAGAAGCAAGCGACAACTTCAAACTTCTGCAAATGATGAAAGTTCGGATTTCGAAACGAAAGTAATTGAAGACCAATGGTTGGTGATTTTCGATGGGTACTATTCCCAAGAGCATCGGCACAGTGTGATCGCTACTGCTTTATCCGGTGAACATGTTGAAATCGTCCCCCGTGATAACCCGGCAGCTATTTTTGAATCTGACTTTGACGTTCTACTTTGGCCTCATGACGAACGTCGTAGATTTATTGATCTTTTGGAGGACCACGAGGACATAAAAGAGGTCAAACAGCAAAAACAGATTCTTAGAAAGCTTCAATATGTCAAAACTCAAGAACACGTTTCCAACTGCGAGAACTGTAAGAAAGCGCATTTACCTTCTGAGGCCCGTGTTCACCGGCCAGGACAGAGGAAAGCACAGTCAGTGTCATCGAGTGACTATTGGTTTGGAAGTGAAAAGTTACGGTCACGTAAACTCATGCGTTCGGTTGTGAAACCTGTGACTGATGAACTTCAAGCAGACATTTTGTGGGATATGGGATTTACCGGGCAAGGCATTAAAGTTGCTATATTCGACACTGGCCTACCAAAAAACCATCCACACTTTCGAAATGTAAAAGACCGAACAAACTGGACTAATGAGAAGAGTCTCGACGACGGACTCGGCCATGGCACGTTTGTTGCAGGTGTCATTGCATCTAGTGCGGAATGCATGGGATTCGCTCCAGACGCTGACGTTCACATTTATCGCGTTTTCACTAATCAACAAGTTTCTTATACCAGCTGGTTTCTTGACGCTTTCAACTATGCGATTCTAAACAAAATCAACGTTCTCAACCTTTCCATCGGAGGGCCCGACTTTATGGATACGCCTTTCGTCGATAAAGTTTGGGAGATGTCGGCAAATGGTATAATAATGGTTTCTGCTATTGGAAACGATGGACCTCTTTACGGGACGCTAAATAATCCAGCGGACCAGATGGATGTTATTGGTGTTGGTGGAACTGACTTTGCTCACAATATAGCGAAATTCTCATCGCGCGGGATGACAACTTGGGAGCTCCCAGGTGGCTATGGGCGACTGAAGCCTGACATTGTTACGTATGGATCGTCTGTCAGGGGATCCGGAATTTACTCCGGGTGTCGAACTCTCTCCGGGACATCCGTTGCAAGCCCAGTTGTTGCTGGTGTGGTTACCCTTCTCTTCTCGACTGTTCCAGAAGAAAAGAGGAACTCCATCAATCCTGCGAGTATGAAACAAGCGCTGATGCATGGAGCAAAGCGGATTGATGGAACAAACATGTTTGAGCAAGGGGCAGGACGCGTGGACTTAATTCAGTCATGGAAAATTCTTAAATCCTACAAACCCCAAGGTAAATCAATCTCCCCGATCATCATGCGATTCTTACGAATGATATTTAGCCACTCTCTCGCCCCCATACATTGATTTCATGGACTGTCCTTACATGTGGCCTTACTGTTCGCAGCCCCTCTTCTTCACTGGAATGCCGACAATAGCTAACGTAACGATACTGAATGCGATCTCTGTGTCCTCGAAAATTGTAGGGACTCCAATTTGGCGTCCATACGACCAAGAAACAGGAAATTTCGTAGATATATCCGTTACGCATTCGTCTATCATTTGGCCTTGGACTGGTTTTATCGCTGTTACTATTACGATAAATGAAAAAGGCGCTGAATTCGAGGGGATCATCAACGGCCATATAGAATTCACTATTCAATCAGAAAGCACGGGTAGTGAAACCGATGAAGAAACAAATGAAGACGAAAATTATTTATCCGAAATGAAGCTTCCTCTTAGGATTTCTGTTATACCCAGTCCAAAACGTTGGCAAAGAATTTTGTGGGATCAATACCACAATCTTCGTTATCCACCTGGCTATTTTCCCCGCGACAACCTGAAGATGAAAAATGATCCTCTCGATTGGAACGGGGATCATATTCACACTAATTTTCGCGACTTATACGAAAGACTACGGGCGGCTGGTTACTTTGTCGATGTTCTAGGAGAGCCATTCAGCTGCTTTGATGCTTCGAATTATGGGACGTTGATGATAATCGACAGCGAGGAAGAGTTTTTCACTGAGGAACTTGAAAAGATCGCCGAGGATGTTGAAGAGGGACTCAATTTGATCGTCTTTGGAGACTGGTTTAATAGTGAAGTAATGAAGAAGGTGCGCTTCTTTGATGAAAACACGAGACAATGGTGGATTCCGGACACTGGGTTTTCTATTTATAAGTTTTTAAGCATTAATTCGGTTTAGAGGTGCTAACATCCCTGCCCTGAACGACCTCCTTGAGCATTTCGACATCGCTTTCGGAAGCATCGTTAGCGATGGAGAATTTTCTTTCTCAGAGAGAGAAATGCTCTTCGCATCGGGCGCTAGTTTTATCCAGTTTCCAGATGAAGGAAAAGTTCTAGTCAGAAACTTGCGCGACCAAGGAGCCGATATCACTCGCGATGAAAATAATGAGAATTTCAAGGTTGGATTTTAACTCGTCACTCCGAAAAATGCTTCTTAGCCTCGAGAGAATGCTGTTGCTATATTCGGAATACACGAGTATAACCTTGGAAAAGTCGCTGTTTACGGCGACTCGAATTGTATCGACGGAGCTCACATGCAGAAAGAGTGTTACTGGCTAGTTGAAGAAATGCTGCAGTATTTCCGAACGGATACGCTCGCTGAGGAAATGTCGAATGACTTAGTAGAGTGGAGCGCTGTTAAGGATCAATTTGGAAGCATTTCAGCGCCGGAGCGCTTTGTCGGCAACCAGCTTCACAGGTATTATCTCGAATCGTAGACGTCGATTAATTGTGATTTCAGATTTAGTAAGGTCTTGGTTCCAGGACTGAGTATGAAAAAGAAACCCGTCCCAGAATGCAAAAAACACGTGTATTTGACTCCCCAGTATTTGAACGAATCGATAGAATCGATTTCGAAATCAGCGTTATCCTGGAAAAATCGTAAGCTGCGTTTCATTTACATGTTAATAAAGATATTATTTCAAGGTCCGCTATTATCGATTGACTGGGACGAAGAAAATTCAGATGTTCAAAGCTACAAACCACTGCCTTCAAACCATCGCGAGACGGTAATTATTTCTCAGGCGACGTTTTTATGAATTAATTAAGCTTTCTCTTTGGACTGTGTTTCTTGTATTCGCCGCGTGCGGTGCCGCTCTAGCCTTTCTCGTTGCTCAGATGCGCTTTAAGAAGAACGATCGTGAGAAACCGCTCAAATTTCCCAAGAGCAGAACTCGAAAGAATCTCAGTACTTGAGTCTCCATCGAGCACAGCCATCGCCCAGTCACCTATCCGTGTGACGGACCGTGCCGTTACTTTTATCCCTCTATCGTTCTTGACGGCTTCACCCTTTTGCTACCTACTTGCATACCTTTTAAGTTAAAAACAATGTTCCTATTTCATCATATTCAAAGATATTTCTGTCGTCTCAATTTGATTTCCACTGACCTCCGTGTTCTTAACTTTCGTTACAATTCTTTCTGTATTCATAATTCTTATTTAAAACTCTCCTTATTCACCCGACCTTCTGCATCTTCAATTTTAGCATGGAAATGATTCGTTTATTCTGTTTTGCAACCATCGTATCGTCGCAAGAGGAAGACAGTGATGACAAAGGCTCTTGTCTTCTTTCGCACATTCACAAGCCGATTCCATCGCCTGAACCGAACCTCAACGGTGAGTGTCGACAATGGAGGAGCAACTCATGCTGCATGGCAAACGGTAATTTACAGGTTATTTACGCATCACGAACATGACTGTAGGATACAAGCAATATTCGTTCAAGACGTCAAAGACAGACTACAAAACAGACCATTGTGGGCAGCTGAGTGATCAGTGTTTGATCATGATGCAGCGTCAGTGGTGTTTATATCAATGTGACCCGTACCTGGAAAAGGTAATTTCGGGAAATGTTTTTGTAGCAACTCTTTTGTTTTAGTGGGTAATAAACTACACGCAGCCGGAGACAAGCGATTACTACCCCGACCCGGCGCTCAATATCGTCAATGCGAAGGATTCCGATGACGACTCCGCTTTTGATAGTATCTTCAACGTCTCGGACTACGAACTGCTCCAGGAATTCAGAGACTCGCAGCGGACCAAAAGCCATCGTCTTTGGAAGGTGCCACTATGCAGAAACGACTGTGATGCCTGGTGGAATGCTTGCAAGGCTGAACTCACCTGCACTGATGACTGGTACGGAGGCTTCAGCTGGGAACAGAATGTAGACGGCAAGTGGAGGAATTTGTGCAAGAACTCGACTGATACTTGTAAACGTATCGATAGTTGGTTTTCATCGTCTACTGCTTTTTGCGAGGTGACTCATATTCACTAATAGCAGCTTCAAAAGACCGCATTTTAGGGCATTTTCAAAAATGATTATGAAGTAGTCGGATCAAAAGATCTTTGCATTTCATTTCTTGAGCCCTCGCACAATTATAACGCCTCTCACGGAGAAAATTCAAGAAATTGTAAGTCCTAGTTTGGCAAAACACTTCAGATCATCTAAAAATTTAGCCGAAGAAGTCGAGATTACACTTGCTGTATTGTTAGGAGTAATTGGTATCTGTGCTATCGTTTTTATTGGCGTTCTTCTGTGGAAAAAGCGTCTTTCCTTCATTCTTACACGCTCGGAGATCACGACAAATCTTTTGGATGAAAATGACTCACCCGAGCGCGAAGTCTTTACGTAAATTTGCTCCTTTCCTTCACTCCCCCGTTTTTCCGAACAAACAAATGTCTTCAATTCTTTCGTACCTATTTTCCAGCTTTCTTCAAATCTATTCAACTGCTCTTTATGGCTTCCATATTATTCAAAGTGTTCAAATTTCATCTCTATGTTTTCATGTTTGTATTTTTTCACGAGTGACTTGATGGCCCCTTCCTCAATTTGAAAATTATGCTTACTCGTTCGAAACGAACGCGCGATAACTTGTTATGAATCTGTTATCAATCGTAGTTTTCATACGTTTTCCGTCTATCGGTGATGACAACGAAATAAGGTCATTAATATATCTTGTTTACGCAAAACCATTGAATTCAGTTTGAGATGGTACTAATAAATGGATAAAGGGCGAATTCGAGAAATTAAACGCGAGGCGGATCGTATTCTGTTCTCAGATGGTGGTAAGCAGTGGCCAATTTTTCGAGTTAGGGACAAGCTCTGGGAAGATTTCTGGCTGTTCTTTGATCGTTACATAAGCGCGACAGCCAAGCTGCCTCCACCTTCGAACTCAAAAAGTGGACGCCTTAATCTCCCCGAGTATCATCCGCGTCACAAGAACCCTATAATATACGATAACGAAGTGCAAGAAGTTTTTGACGCAAATGGAAAAGCACGAAAAGATCGTGTTGATGTTGTCCGCAACGCACTAGAAGTGTTTCTTCAATTCAATCAAAATCAGTCCTTCTCAAAGTTGCAGCAGCTACGCAAGCGACAGAAAGAGCTTCCCATGAAGACTTACGAAGAAGAAATCTGTGAAGCGGTGGCGCAATCGAGAGTGACTATCGTTGCTGGCGACACTGGTTGCGGAAAGAGTACTCAGGTACCGCAGTACCTACTCAATCACGGCTTCCGGAAGATAGCGGTGACCCAGCCAAGACGAATCGCCTCGATAGCGCTTGCTAAACGGGTTGGTTATGAAACGCTCAATATGTATGGCAGCCACGTTGGATACAAAGTTAGATTTGATGGAACGTCCACGAAGGCAACGCGCATTATCTTCTTAACAGAGGGCCTTCTCTTGCGCCAGATGCAAATGGATACTTTGCTCAAGGAATATGATGTCATCGTGCTCGACGAGGTGCACGAGCGGCATTTGCAATCCGACTTGTTACTCGGTCTTCTTGCTGAAGTGATAATGAAACGGGATGATTTGCGGCTGGTTCTGATGTCGGCTACGATCAATATTGAGCTCTTCAGCAAATACTTTGAAGGTAAGTTGTTAATTTTATTTCGCCGACTAAACTAAAGGATGTCCTATTATCCAGGTCCCTGGTCGACTGTTTCCGATCACTCTTCAATTCCGGCCGCCGGGTAACGAGAATCAGTTTTCGAAGGAGAACTCGACCAACAAACGAATTAATCCAATGCCTATCCTGCGTACTCTTCAACTCATAGATTCAAAATATAAATCATCAGATCGAGGCGATTTACTTGTTTTTCTTTCCGGAATGTCAGAAATCCAAACTGTCTTAGAACCACTCCAAAACTATGCAGAGGAGTCTAAAAAGTGGATCATTTTGGCACTTCATTCCTCGTTATCTGTAGCAGAGCAGGACAAAGTTTTCGATTTGCCACCTGAGGGTTGCCGTAAATGTATTCTCTCGACAAATATCGCAGAAACTTCCGTCACCATTGACGGCATTCGCTTCGTCATCGATACTGGTAAAATGAAGGAAATGAGCTTTGAAGCTGAGACTAGAATGCGCAAACTCAGAGAGTACTGGGTCTCGAAGGCGAGCGCGGAGCAGCGAAAAGGTCGAGCTGGTAGAACTGGCCCCGGAGTTTGCTTCCGCCTCTATTCAGAAGACGACTTCGACTCTCTTAGTGACTATTCTTCGCCAGAAATACAGAGAGTACCACTCGACCAGCTGATTCTACAAATGAAGCAGATGAAGATCGGAGATCCACGAACGTTCAATTTTATTGAAAAACCCCGGAAGAGAATTTAGAAATTTCATTCAAAATGCTAAAAGGACATCTTGCACTTGATAGCGAAGAAAAACTCACCGCTCTTGGGGAATGCTTAGCTCAGCTTCCAGTAGACGTAGTAATTGGCAAGATGTTGATCATGGGAACGTTGTTTGACTTGATTGAACCTATTCTCACGATAGCCGCTTGTCTTAGCGTTCAAAATCCCCTGACGCGACACGCTTTTGGCAATGAAGACGCTGTAGCGCGTCTCAAAGAGCTCGAGTCTGATATCGGTGACCCAATGCAATTACTTTACATTTTTGACAGCTGGATAGAAATTAAGAACGACAAAAAATACTCGACGAAAAAGTGGTGTCAAAGACGAGGAATCGAAGAGCAACGCTTATACGAAATAGCCAATTTACGAAAGCAATTCAAGCAGATTCTGAGCGGACACGCTCTTCTTAATAATGAAACTGCACGTATAGCGGAGTTGGACGCCATGGACTCGAAAGAGAGAAAACTGCGCCATGGACAAATGAAGATGTTAAAAGCTCTGAAGCGATCAGCGAACGAGGAGCAGAAGAAGCAAAAAAGGCTAAAATACAATGATGGAACACGGCTTGAAATGGCGCTCCCGGATGAGGACGAACTTGAGGCCGAAGAAGCGGCTAAAATTGACATTACGGACTTGGAGTTCCGAATGAAACACGACGTTTCGAGAATAAATGACCACTCTGCTGCCCACCTAACACAAAAAGACCTGCAAATGCTACAAATTCTCATCTGCGCTGGACTCTACCCTCAAGTTGCCATTCAGGACAAAAACAACACTTATTCTGCTGAACAAGAGCAATTATTTCACACCAGAGTAAGTTCGTTCAGTCAGTCATATTGTTCATTCTTTGCATCATGCAACTGATAACATAAAAATAGGATAAAAATTTCCTAACTCTCCATCCCACTGGTTACTTCGCTAACAATCCGAAGTCGCTCGAGCCTAATGGCAAAGAGGAACCTGATCCTCTCCAGCCAGAGAAAAAACGTCTGGTTTCTCATCGCCACCAACTTCTCGCTTTTCACAGCTTACTGGAAACATCTAAGCTCGGGTGCAAACACTTTTAGAGCGAAATCAACAACTGCGCTAAACAATGAGTTTTGCACTCCGCGTAAGCCTTACCTTATGATGCCCATCAGAGTTCCGGCATTACACTCGGTGCTACTGTACTCTTCCGAGTTAGACACGTCCGGTAGTTGCCAGACAATCGTCGCAGATCGATGGCTCGAGTTCCGCATTCATCAGGTTGGCGCTAGGTTCATGTCGCGCCCCCAAGCTAAAATCGTTGTTTTAAGGAAGGTGCAGGATGGGATATCATTGAGGACACTATTTCCATCAGAAAAGAGATAGAATCCGTCCTAATCGCCAGACTCGTCGAAAGAGATGTTTCAGAAAAGGTAATCTAAGTTTTTAATAAAAAAAAAGGTTGCATAGAATTAAAGAATACCATTTTGACACTAAAACTAGCTATTATTTATATTTTAACCTTGAAAGTATGTTTTAGGGAGCACTGGAGAAAAAAATGCTATCCTTCGTTAATAAACGTGTGCGATACTCTGTGAGAAAGCTCGGACCGGCGGAGCGGACAGAACTACATGTAGGCCCAGGAGAAAATAATACGATGGGCGACGAGTTCGGCGTGGACCTGTCGGATGCTCAGCCGCACCCAGAGAAAGGAGGAATCATGTTGTCGTCGTACCTGACTTTTAACTCGCTCTCGCTTTCTGAAGATGGCCAAGATGACATTTACATCTCCTCTCTTCGAACGTTCTGGACTTGCGACATTTGTGAACTCCATCTGCCTCTTACCTTTCAGGAGCGGACTTTGCATAGAAAGGTACTTACTTTTTCGATGATTGCTTTCTCTAGTTTTGAATTTAGGAGTGCGAAGAGAAGCAACGTGAGCAAGAACAAGCTCAAGTTGCGGCGATGGAAGAGAAATTGAAGGCAGGAGAGGAAGAACACAAAAAGGGCTCGTCCCAGTTTCATTGCGATAACTGTTCACAAATTTTCTACTTTACTCCTATCCAGATTTTGAAGCACAGAAAGACTTGTGTCGAGCAGTGAAAGACCAATACGGCCTAATTTGTAACTTTATTTAGAAGTCATGGTGGCCATGGATACGAATATGATGACCATTTCTCGGTACATCACCGAGCAGCAGCGGAAGTCCAATGCTACGGGCGAATTCACGCAGCTCATGAACTCGTTAGTTGCTGCTATCAAAGCCATTTCCAGTGCTGTCCGTGTGGCTGGTCTCAACAATCTTATGGGCTTAGCTGGCCAGGAGAACGCCACTGGTGACGATCAGGTACTCCTTTTCTTGCGTGAATGGATGTTAACGACGGCAATTTAGAAAAAACTGGATGTTTTGTCCAATGACTTGGTCATGAACATGCTCAAATCATCGTTTTCTTGCTGTACCTTGATTTCCGAGGAAGACGAAGATGCAGTTACAATCGAAGCTGATCGCGCTGGCAAATACATAGTCACCTTCGACCCCCTAGATGGTTCTTCGAATATCGACTGTCTGGTATCAATCGGAACAATTTGGGGAATTTACAAAAAGGTACTCCAGCTACTCACCATAACTTGCATTCTTATCATATGCGACCGAACTAACGAGAGCAATCACTGGTCACAGGTGGGATCTTCTCGGTCCGCATGGTTACCCAGCTTACTGGCAGTTCTCCCCACCCAAATGAACTTGTTCTCGTTGCGTTGTGTGTCCGCGTTTTCGTCCCAGGCTCACGAATTAGAGTCCAACAACCAAATTATCTCTCTAGGAAACCGACGGTTCTATCAACGATGTCTTGGTTCCTGGTCGAAAAATGATCGCAGCTGGATACGCTCTCTACGGATCCGCAACTGTTATCGTCAACTCATTCGGGGAAGCTCCATCCATGTTTATGCTTGACCCAAATATTGGTGAGTTCATTCTTACTGAAGCCGCAATGTCCATCAAGCTACGGTCTGAACTCATAAGAGTAACTTATCACGCGCTCATTTGCACTGTACATAATATATCTAGCCATAAATCGAAATTCTGAGTTCCAAAAAGCCACGTGGAAAAATCTTCAGTATCAACGAGGGATACGCTAAGTACTGGGACGACGCGACCAAGCAATACATTCAAAATAAAAAGGATCCCGCAACTGGATCTCCTTACGGTGCAAGATACATTGGCTCTATGGTAGCTGATGTTCATCGAACACTTGTCTATGGCGGCATATTCGGCTACCCAGCACACAAAAAGACGCCCAACGGAAAGGTTGTTATATAGTGTCAAGATTGAAGTTTATTTTGCATTTTTCGTAACTAGAATTTAATCGAATGTATCAATGTCACTCTCATCACCCGAAATTAAGAAAGTGTTTGTTGTGTCGTTATAGGAGGATAGTTTCGCTAGCCTTTCTTGTTCGATATTGTAACTCCAGCTAGATCCTCCTGAGCGTACAAATACTTGAAATTATTTTGATTATTGAATCTCTAAAGAAATCAAACCTTTCGATTGAGAGCACAATTCCATTTCCGAAAGAGAAAGAACGTCATGCAAATCGTTATCCAGTGTTTTTGGCGCGCATCCGCTAATAACTAAAGTTAAATGCCTAAAAAAATTCTTACCTGTATTTTTCTCTGAGGAACTTAAGAAAGTCCACTGTTGTAAAAACCCGGCGGTGGAATCTGTCCACAAGTGCGCGCTTCATGTGAAGAATGATTTTTAATTGAGTTATTGGCGAGGCAATATAAAGAGTATTCGAGTTCCATATATGATGATCCGTCAGGTTTGCGAGAAACTGGTCAAATCGTCCCATCAGAGTTCCCGTAGCTACCTCATCAAGTTCCTTGCACTTGTCGAACTCTAGTTGCTTGTTTTTGAACTTGCTTTTCTCGCAGTGCTTGAACCAGTCGGCTTTGTCATATCTCCAGTGCAGGGCTACGTAATCTGACCCCTAAATGATGATTGCATGACCGTATTCGCTTTCTCGGCATAACCTTGTGCCGTTTTTTTTAAGTTTATTCAGATACTCACTCCTATTATTTTGTTCGTAAATTCCGCCGTAACTTCACGGATAGCACCTGGTCGAGGAGTGCTCTCGAGTACTTTTGCGGCGAGTGTTGCGTCATCTGTCAGAAGTTGTTCGCTGGTAGCGGAGTGAACATTACTTGCTCGATTCCGTCGATGTTTTGACCAGTATTTCAGTTTCCCAACCAAGTCAATTGAACGGTAAGGGTTGAACCACATTGCGCATGGAGCATTTCTCCCGCCGTAGTATACATCTGGTGCCTTTTTCGCCATGAATGGCATATTAATGAAACCTCGAGGGTCTGACCAGGTTTCATTAAAATATATTGGCGCGTAGAATGGGTTCTCTCCAGTTTTGAAGTTTTCTTTAACAAGAGTGAGATTTTCCACCTTTTCGATTGTTTTTATTCTCGACATTTGACGGTTCTCTTTGATACTTCGCCTTCTTGCTACAAACACTGCATTTAGCTTCTCTTTGCACACTTCTTTAAATTTGTCGAAGCTGACCACTGGGATGAGTTTTTGAAGCTTTTATTGGGGTTCAATTATTAAGTAAAATAAATCTTTTTTACTGTTATCTAAAACCCAGCCTTGAAGACATCTACCTTCCTATATGCGGGCACCATTCCTTCATTTTCTATTTCATGGAAGCCATGATTTGCCACAGAACTTGCTTTCTCCGATCGATGAATGAAAAAATAAGGTAGAACGATCGTTCGGTTCGTTTTTATGGCCAATGTAATAGTGTCGCGGAACCCTCGTAACTGGTTGTTCGGACCATAAGGAAAAACGCCGAATAAGAATCGATCTGGTCGCAAATTGATCAAAGGTTTATTTTTGACGTCTTTGTTAGGAAACTGTTCAAAGTTAATGTCTTCTTTATACCATGGACATTCTGGCTCACTGTCTTCGTTTTCTTTGATTTCAGATTCATCGTACTCAGGAATTTGAACATTTGGTTCTTTTGAAAAGCTTATAAAATATTCTTAAACTTGAGTCCTCCTTGATTTCAGTTTGGCTCAATATTGGCAAGCATTCCTATGTTTGAATTAAATACTGGAAGTTCTTCGTCTTCTTTTTCATCCTCATATGAAAGCACTATGCCTTCTTCGTGACTAAGCATTTTGTGATTGAAGTTTTTCTCTTGATGATGACTTACTTTTCTATCTCTCGTAATATGTCGCTTTGTAACGTTGATTTTAACTCTATCTAAGGAAGCAAAGATATTTCCGAATAGTAACGAACTGCAAAACAAAAGTCCCGTTCCTATAAAGTTATCTTCTAGCGTTTTCTCTCTTCTTTCTAAGTAGGCAATTCTCTTATTCAAATCAGCACTGTTATTCTCAAAAACCAAAAGAGTTATTGAACACCAAATGCATATAAACGATAGCAAAAGGACTTGTGAAATTTTAACTTGGACATTACTCAGTGAGTTAAAGAAAATTTTGATTACTTTCCGACAATTTTCTTGTGTAATCATGCTCTTTGGCGTTAATTTTTTTGCCGGCCACGCATTCAGCCCCAATAAGAGAAGCCGGGATTATAGTTCTTAGTACCGCAGTATCGGATGAACCGGTGCAATGACTCACTGCTAATTTTCCTTTCTTAGCTGCGATACTTGTACGAAGCTGCCCCGATGGCATTCATCATGGAAAAAGCTGGTGGAATGGCCACCACCGGCAACGAACCGATCTTGGATGTCACTCCAAAGGTTTTCTTGGTTGTTGACCTCCCATTTCACTCATGATTTAGAACATCCACTACCGAGTTCCGATCTGGCTTGGAAGTCCAGATGATGTCAAGGAATTCCTTGAATGCTGCAAGGCCGACCCTAACCACATCCAATACGCCAAATAAGAACATTAATCTGGCTTGCCCAACTTCTGAGTCGAATTCTCTTCTTTTACGAGTCACACGGTGTTTCGCACTTTACAATAATGAATCTTTTCACGCTCTATTATACTGAATCGCTCTATTATCTCTCTTAGTTCCTCATAATTTTCTGTAACCATGCATCTATTCATATTACTATTTAATTTAATTTGTTCGACTGCTAGTGTTGAAAAGTTTGCTGATTGTTTGTGACAGTCTGCTTTCTGTCTGTCGTTATTTCTCTTTAAAGATGTGAATTACATCTTCTGTTGGTAAAACTACACATCTGCCCAACACACCTGAAATACTACCATGAGTTGAGATCTACTTAATATTTCGATCGGAATTTCAAAGAATGAGACCGAAGGAGCTCGAATCCCGCTTGTCACAGCTGGGTGATTTCAAAAATCCAAAAATCGCTCTCGAGCAGTACATGACTCGACCGCACATTGCTGCGCAAATTCTGGGAAGGGATTGATGCCGTATCCCTTGCCACGTTGACTTGTTCTTGAAGCAATCCGTTAAAGACCTACGCTTCAGAAGAGTTTGACGAGATTGAAGATCTGTTAATTGTTGATCTGGGCGCGGGCGGAGGAGCTCTTTCAGCAGCAGCTATATACGTAAGATCGTTTTCTAAGCATCACAACTTATAGAATCTAGACAGGCGCTGGTAAAGTTATTGGTGTGGAGCTTGATGATGATGCGATCGCACTCAATCTCCAAAACCGGGAAAACGAAGACTTCGAAGACTGTCAGTGGGAAGTGATTCAAGCGGATGTCCGAAGCTTTGTCGAAACAAGCTGGCTCAAGGCGGATGTGGTGATCACTAACCCCCCGTTTGGGACGAAGAACAACGCTGGTGTAGATTTTGAATTCGTTAAAGCGGCTCATAATATCGCAACAGTGGCTGTTTACTCCCTTCACAAGACAAGTACAAGATCTGGACTAGAAAGAAAAGTGAAGAAAGAAGGATATAATGGGGAGGTTGTTGCTGAAATGAAGTTTGACCTACCGAAGACTTACAACTTTCACAAAGATAAAAACAAATTTGTGTCAGTAGATCTGTGGCGTTTCGACTGTACAAAAGAATGAATAAACACTATCTGTCAATTCCTTATTTTCTAATTGAAATCGTACTTTCAGATGTTGTTTATGTAATAAAATGGGACAACGAAAATAGGGCGTCGGTGACGAGTTTGATTCATTCCAAATGTCAGAAAATCCACGGGTCAGCGCGAATCTTTCGCAGCGGTAATTCATTAGTTCATGAATCCTGTTTATGCTTCTCTTCAGGCCGGGAGATTCTAAAGCACATCGTGGACAGAACTTCCGAGGAGATTACAGGAAGAAGAGCCGGGGTGCACAAAGAAACAATTTCAATCAGGTAATCTAGCCAACTTAACGTTTGTTCTCATTTATCATTTCAGAACACGTATTTCGACCAAAATGCCCAGTTCAATAATCAAGTCCAACACGCAAACCAATATACACCGCCATTTCATCAGCCACATTATCCTCAGTTCTCTAATCAGTTGGCTACAGGCACTTCCTACGCACCCATCCAAAGCCATATTCCCCCACAGCATGTTCGCGGAAACAATATTTCTGTCGCCTCAAACGGTATAAATGAGCCAAACGGAGACGTAGAAAAGGCCACGGTTGTCCAAGGGTATGTTTGTGTTGCATTTTTCCCATGTATGATTTAAATTTAAGCATGCAACCGAACGGTTATGCGATTCCACAAACGATGCCCCATGTCCAATATGATTACGGTTCGCCCGTCACGACTGCTAGCACCATGGCTGCTGGTCAGCCTCAATACAATCAACACCCTCTGTACATCCAGAATCAAGGCTACGCTGATCCTAATCAACAAATAATGTATCAGCCGACATACCAACATCCGGCATATATACAGACAGATCCTCATTTGTATACTCAAATGGGCCAAGTGGTAGGCGCGTCAATAGAAAATAGTTTATTAACGACACATTCAGCAAATGTATCCACAACAAGCGGTGCATTTTCAGGCACAAGTATCTCAGCCAGTTTATTATCCAGCGCAATATCCGCAAACATACTACACGCATGTTGATCAGAGTCAGATGGTTCATCAGCAAATGTTGCCCTCGGAAAACGGAACCGTGATGCCAACGCCTGTTATTCACATCCAACAGCCGGCGCCGACGGATGCAAATGTCGATCAACAAGCACCAGTAGAAAATGTAGAAGTATCGACTGATCCACCAGGTAACTTCGCGAATACTAAAAATCCATTTTGTAATTCCATTGAAATATTACATCATTGCACAAGTGAGTGATCCAGCGAGGACAAAGGTCAAGTAGAACTTTTTTTTCAATGAAAGGAAATGCAGAGAATAACGAAGCAGAAAATTCGCCTGCCTAATGTACTTGTCAGGGATTGATTGACCCTTGAATTATGTGCTTATGCAAAGTTATAGTAAAATATCAATAGATATAAGTTGAAAATCCTTCTTGAAGAACGGTCAAATATATCTCATTTGAATTCATCCCCGGTTAATTTAAAAAGCTGGAGCTGGAATTCTTGTTTAGTGACAACTCCTTCGAATGATGCTTATCCGGACCTGACATTCGGTCAGGTGGCCGACCCCAACTCAGTCACCTCTGAGCAGCTGACGACAACAGAGACCGAAAGTCATGTGCTTGTCGCAGAAGAAATTCCCCTCGTTGAGAATATTGAGGTCGCTGAGCCAGAGAATATCGAACCTCAAATTATAGAAGATGAAGTCGAGACAGATAAAGTAGAAGAAGTAAAGACAGTAGAAGAAGAATCCAGCGATTACCAGAACATTGAAGCTGCCATGATTAAGAAAGAAGAGATAGTGTACGAATTATCTGATCCGATCAAGTGGGAAATGGAGCCTTCTGTAGAAATGCTTAGATTTTTGCAGGAAGACAGCGAGAGCGACGGCGAATACGATCATGATAATGTGTTGAAGGGTATCCAAAAACTGAGCTTCCAGCCGAACGATCATTTGAACGATGAAGGAGAACGACCGCGGAACGAAAAGAACGTAACGGTTACCTTTGATGGACCTGTAAATAGCGAATATAAATACGAATATAAAACGAAGATGCCGAACGTGCCAAAATCCACAATCAATGTTCAAAAAGTTACAAAAAATGAAGTAAAATCACCCTCCCAAGAAGCGACCTTAACTAATAATAATAATTGTGAAGAGAAAAAAGTTCAAAATGATATCAACAACTCCATCAACGCATCTCAAAAAGAAAAAACATCTCCAGTTGTGAAAAAAGAAAATGCCCCCAGAACGCCCAAACAGGTTAATGAACCAGCGGGTGCCCGGGAGAGTCAACCCGCTCAAGTATCGACCCAGCAGAAGACGGAAGTCTCTAGGCCATCGAGAGCGCTTACAATTTCTCCGGTTGTTATTTCAGCCGCTTCAAAGGTAAAAATTATTAGTTTATTATAATATGGATAACTTTTAAATTCAGGACGAAAATCAAAAGCGAAGACCTGCTCTTCCTCAGGCGGATCCACGTGGAGCAAGCTCTGGTCCGCGGCCGAGCCCGAAACCAGTAGAAGCCACACCCCCAAAGCAAGCATTCAGCTGGGCGTCTGTTGCCTCGAAGGGACCCAAGCAGACCAAACAGAATGAAAAGCTTAAGGCTAGCAAAGATCAAGCTAACGGCGATACTGAAAAGACACCGATAAAGTCTAATGTAGACCAAGCTGCTCTTCAGATTTCATCTATTTTGGACATGCCAAATAACGAGATTGATTCCTCAGGTACTTTTCCTGTGAAATTTCCTGAATAAAGTATAAACTAAGGTGTACCCCGAGGATTAATCAACCAGGCAAATTCATGCTGGGTGAACTCTATCCTTCAAACCGCTTTGGTTTGCGACCCGCTGTATCATTTACTGTGCAAGTTGCTCAAATACACTTCAAACAACAACGGGGACCATCAAAATACGAAGGAGATTGCACGAATTGGCGCCGAGATCAAGCGGCTACTTCCCACTTGCTCGAAGCTCGCTGAAGTTTTTGACCAGATCGTTGTCAACAAGGTAATTCATTCGATTGTTACACAGATATAACATTAATTGAAGGGTGGAATGGCTTACGAAGCCAAAGATGTCTACGGCCATATCTCCACTCTAAACCCGACCATCTCTGTTGGTCAGCAAGATGCCGAGGAAGGTCTTAGTCTTCTTCTTAATGCAATGCACGATGAAATTGTTGCGCTCAAGAAAGCCGCTGGAATCAACACAAAAGCGAATCAAACTGTCACTTCCGCTGGAGAAGGCTGGCAAATTTCGGGCCGTTCTAGAGGTTCTCAATCGATATTTGAATTGACTTTGACGTTCCTTCTAGCCTTTGCTGTTGCAACTTCAGCAACGGGATCTGCTTTCGACGAGTCACCTATTTCTGTTGGTTTCCGTGGGATTTCTCAATCATCTATAAAACTGCCTCCCCCTCATCAATCCCCACCACCCACAGAAGAACCCTTTTTCACCCTGAAGGTTGAAGTTCCTCCCCCACCAGTGCCTGGTAGCGAAAAAGGTATTTTTTTCCACTCTGAGCATTGCTTACCTCTTTTTATAGCAATATCTATCGAAGAGTGCCTTCGCCTGACGCCAAAAGAAGAAACTCTCGATGAGTACCGACTAAAAAGTGGCCAGTCTGTAACGGTAGGTCATCTACACTTTTCCGAAGCTCGTAAGAAATATTTAAGGCAACGCGCAAAGTTAGTCTCGCCTCTCTTCCACCTTTCCTTATTCTTCATATGAAACGATTTCAATTCAATCCCCGAACTCTCGAGATCAAGAAAATTGACCGTAAGGTCACCGTTCGAGAGCGCATCACAATCGAGCCTTACCTCCAGTCGCCTGTGCTAAGGGTAATTATCCTGCGATTTAATAAATAGTTGACATTGTTAAGGAGCAAACGCGCGGTGGCGTCGATTATGAACTACGCGGGATGGTTCTTCACCACGGTATTTCAGCTGAGGGCGGCCACTACACGGCAGAGGTGAAGCGTGGCACCAAATGGTACCGGATCGACGATAACCGTGTGTCTGAAATAAAGCTGAGCGAAGTCCTCCATGCCGACAGCAGACGCACCCCCTATTTATTGTTATGGGCTCGATTATAAACTCTACGTCTCGTTGTTTTTCCTCACGTATTTCCTATTTAATATAAATTATTCAACGAAAGGTAGAGAAAAGGGATTGACCCCATTTAGTTCTATAAAATACTTGCGCTGTGAATTTTCCGCTGCTGTAAATATTCTTTCCCGCGTTGATTCTCTGGCGATAACTTAATTTAACCACTAAACACTGTGCCTTCCGTAAACTATATGGTCGACTGGTGCTACCTTCGATGATTGATGGCGAGGCGTTCAAACTTTAGCTCTCTCAACTTTAAGGACAACAAACGCTTTGAAACCTATCTTACATGTGATTAACTGATTGGTTCCTTTCTCTCAACGTGCAAATTATATATTAATTTAAGCCAGGCCATGATAATAATAATAAAGAAAAACCGAGCCACCATCATCTAGTCAAAATTATGATTAAATTTCTGAGCACATTTTTCTACTATTTGACAGCTATCTGATCAGAAAACTTCAAATAAAGTAAACATCCCTCTAATGATTATTACGAACCATGTAAGAGACTCGTTGAGAACCCTTACGCGTTATGTCACTATGCATTGATATCTGCAGGTTAACCAACTATCATAAAGCAGTTCCAATCATTGAAGAATAGTTTCAACCTCAAGTGCATCTTGCTTAATCCATGATGTTTAGATGTGGCAGCTAAACCACCATGTAACATGGTCCATATTTGTTTTGCTTTTTTAACTGATGAATATGAAAATGCGACCAAAGAATATTTTCCTGCTCCTACAAATTTAAGACAAAAACATCTTCTAATAAATTGAACAGTTTATTGAGAACGCGAGTTTGGCAGTGAGTGATAGCACAGCTTATTTTGTGAAAGCTCAAGGCGTTTAGTAATTGCCTTGAACGTAATTACGTGAAGCACCTCCAGAGGTCCCGATAAGTTGCGCAGAAGAATTGCCGTTTTTGATGAGCCGTTCTCGTTCCGCGAACTTCTCTTGCTGCTTCTGCATTTGTCCAATCACCAAAGGTGAACTTCAAATGAATATTTAGTTTTTACTAATAAGAATAGATAAATATATAATGATCTATTTCTTGAAACGAAGCATTACCAAAGCAAAGACGCGCAGCAGTCGCGACACCAGTGGCCTTTGAATCCATGCTTTCGTCGAAATTCTTGGCGTACAAGGCATACGACGCATGCACTCAATGGACTAGGAAGCGCACAGCCAAATGGAGATCCCATATGTGCGATCATTCCAAGGGCTAAGGCGGCGAAATGTGTATACCCTGAAAACTGTTAGAGTTTATTAAAGTCTTAAGTAATACCTTCTCGCATTTGTACATCAGCAACGCCGAAACCTGGGCAACAAATGTTGACACAGCAGTCGACTTTTTTGTTACCGCAATGCCAGTCACAGCCGAACAAATCCTTGTCCCAATTGCGTTTTCCGTGGATGTGGTTGTGCACATTGGATGTTTGGTTCATGGCGACAACCACGGGCACAGCTAAAAAAAACTATTTTTGTGTTGAAAGAAGAGGGTCTTACCTGTGGGCTGAGGCTGCATAGTAACCGGTTGAGGTAAATTGGGAGGCACTCCTAGTCTTTGGGCAGCTTTGGCTGGCGTGCCGGGCTCAAGAGCTACTTTGGATTCTCCCCGTTCTAACACGGGTGAGAGATGCTTGTCACTCTGTGGAGGTGCGCTGGGGTACGGTGGGGGTGCATTTGAACTTTCCTCGGACAAACTCATATTTCTATGACTATTCGTGAAAATGTGAAGAAATAAAAAAGTGTGCGTTATAGTGAAGTGATTTATCGCGTCTGAATTTTTGAAAACCGTCAATTTGCCCGTAACACTGCTGGCGCCACCGGTTGTTTTTCAGATGGAAAAACGGCAAGGCAGTGTTGGCGCGCTTGTTTTTCAGAGTGAACCTAACAAAGAGGTATTCCAACGGAAATAAAGATCGCTTACCCCATGTATTAACTTTACATGTAAATTTGAATATAAGTGATATTTTATTATAATAAAAGGCTTTTAAAACCGTCAGAATCCCAAATCTAACGGCCAGGTTTAATATCATGAGAGCATCCTCCATCGAGGATCATGAGATGGATGCAAAGCCTCGAATTATGATTGAAAGCCTTAATTTTATTATCAAACTTATGGGAAACGATTTTCGCAAAGAACGTGATTTCTCTTTCACTTAGAATGATTGAAGCAATAAAATATTTTTCTTTTACTGCAAAAGTATTTTTCGGCGTTTTAGCTGGAGGGCCGTGGAGATAAAATTTGACTTAATTGAGGTTGTTAGTGATCTTGATGAGCCGTCTTGAGGAGAAGATCTGTCAGAGAGGCCGCCATACTATAGATAAAGTATTACTTTGTAAGTTAGAATATGTGTGTATATATATGAATCCACATATCAATCAATGTTAGCGTAAATGCTGATTGTTGATGTTTGCGTTTTGGAACATAAAGATGATTGAAAAGAAGTGCGCCCTAGGCGGTTATGAGTATGTCAATCTTTTTTCATTCGATCGTAACTAAAGCGATTCTCATTCAAAGGATTTAGAGCGGCGCGACCCGTAGCGACTATTAACGAGTTCAGTGAAGAATCCCGCTTCGCCCGGTAGCAGAGCAGTTTAGAGAAGTCATGAAGCGGGCGCTCCTATATTTATTTTTATCGTTAATTCTGCTCGATGGAGCAGTTTGCAATCTTTTCCCAAAATCTCTCTCAAAATCGGTGATTTCTCTCCCGGAAGCCGCAAAAATAAGAACACGGAGAGGTATGATTTTTCGAGTTTAAAAATATTATTTCTAACCGATTATTTTTCTTGCGTAACATTTTATTACCCTGGCAGGAAAGTGGGGATTGAATATTACCGCGATACCACTTATATGAATTCTTAGAGGAGGACGGTGATCACGAACATAAAAATGAAGATGACCACGATCACGATGGTGAGCATGATGATGAGCATGATGATGATGAGCATGATGATGATGAGCACGATGATCATGACCACGAAGAAAATGATAGCAATGAAGCCTGGACAAGAGCAAAGGCGTATGGATACGCGTCTCTTGCGAATGCTCTGATAAGTCTGCTCTCGCTGGCTGGAATAACAATTGTTATTTGCAACCAAAGATGCATAACCAACCAAAGATCGCAAGAGCTAATCTTTGACTTTTTCATTGCCCTTGGAATCTCTACAATGCTTGGCGACACGTTTTTCCACATCCTTCCAAAAGTCTTAGGTCTGCATAACCATGATGAAGAGGTAAAATTTATAATGAGGCTATTTGCTCGTCATTGTTAAAAATCAATTGCTTGCGACGATTAATCCCGTCGAAATTAGATGATTTTATAGTCTGAAGATCATTCCGATCACTCCGACGAAGAAGGCGGCCATGCTGAAGAAGAAAGCAAGTTCATGCTTGCTTTAGGCAGAATGGCCTTGACGGTTGGGATGATGCATTTATTTTGGATTATGGAATCGCTCAGTAGTATTTCTGGCTTTGGTGGACATGGCCACAGCCATGGACCGCAACCAAGCGCCCCGACAGCCAACAATGATTTAGGAAACGTTGTTATTTTGAATTCTTATATTTCAGTATTTTCTCAATTTATGCTTTTATTTTTTTTTCAACGCAGATAAAGTCGGCAACAGAATGGACCTCGATGAGACTTTAGACAAGACAAGCGATGTAGGGGTTGCAAAAGAGAAAGATAAAGCTAGTATTATTGGTGTGGCCGTCGGGGATGTTATGCACAATTTCGTTGACGGAATCGCGATCGGTGTGAGTTGGCGTTACAGCTGGCAACTTGGTATGGCGACAACGATTGCTATATTCTTACATGAGCTCCCTCATGAGCTGGGAGACTTTGCAATCTACCAGGTTGAAGAATGTAAGAAAATTTGATTTTTAAATTTCAATTTAAGAATTTGGGACTCACCATTTGGAAAGCACTTTTACTCAATCTATTTTCGGCTTGCTGCAGTTTTGGTGGACTTTTTCTTGGTCTTAGGGACGCGGTTAGATCAACATATTAATATTAAAATATCTCTTGATCAGCTAGGAATAACCACAAAAAGCTTAGCTGAGAAAACAGAGGCTGGGAACTGGCTTCTGAGTGCGACTATTGGGCTTTTCATTTACATTAGTCTTGTCAATATCGTAAGTCCAACATGAAGTGAAGATAAAAATACCTTCAGTTGCCGCAATTGAAAATGACATCAACAACTCCAAATCGATGGGCTCGCTTTGCCGTCCAAAATTTTGGACTTTTACTGGGCTTTGTCGCGATGGCCTTGCTCGGCGTTTTTGAAGATAAGATCACATTCTCATAGAACACGACGAAGCTTTCTTAGACTGCATGAAAACAAAAAGTGGATTTGACTGATATAATTTATTAAAAGATAAATTATATTTTAATAAAATGTCCAATGACCTGAAACTTAAAAGATCTTTTGTTGGAGAGTTATTTACAATCATTCAAAGTGAAAGCGGACAAAATACGGAGAATTACACGCAATAAAGACACATTTTACATTCGCCAGCGATCTCACTTCGAAGTTTTTGTAGTTGCATTTCAGTCTGGCTGATCTCATCGAGCATGAGTCGTATTCCACAGAGCTTTCGGAAGATGCCAACGAGAGCGAAGAATTGCACCAAAAACATCGCCAAGATCAACATGTAAAATTCGTAAATGACTTCGTTATTCGAGAAAATAATTATCGAGTCCATTTTTGATGGGTTCGGCAATCTTATGTTCTATATATCAGAGAAGAGCGCATGGAAAGCGCACTGGCAATGGTTTCCGCTCTTAGATGGCGCACGGTCCGATGATTTCTCTCTCTCGATCTTGCGCATCTATCCGATGTTCCATTAGCTTTTCGCTTTCCATATCTGGTTCCCGACGGTCGGAAACCTCGACTCCAGGGAAATCTTCGTTTGATTTACGCCCGTCCTTGGACGGAAATCATGTCGTTCGCAAATGTTCTATTTTTGGCGTACGAGGAGATCCGCCCTATCCAGAAATAATTGCCCTGTTTGCTTGCAAACACTCGATAGTACAGCCTCTTTGTGCCTAAAGTGAATGCTCGTGTCATTTTTGCCGACGCTCGAGCATCTACTTTTATAGCTCGTTATATTGCTCGAGATTCTAGCGCTGCAAAATTTCAAAGGTAAATTTTAACTTCGCTGAATATTTGCGGTATGATATGTTCCGTTGCGCTAACAGATCCAGAAATCGGCCTTTTAGCCACACGCGTAAAATATTTACATTACTTCTTTACAAGCCTCTTACGTCGTTTGCTCATGTCTTTGGAGCCCTTAATCTTTATGTTCTATCCTTTTATATTACGAGCTTTCTAGGTTTTTTCAGGTGAAAAAGGCACAAATTTTGGTTACAATTAACCAGCGATTATAATCAAAGTTGATTTAGATAGATTAATACGCTTTTAATATATAAAATATTCAAATATTTGTATATTTTCTTCACTCGAGTTTTTCTAATGAAGTGTGAATAGGGAGAGTTTTGCGTCACTATTGAAAAATTGGTTTTTACCTTTTCCGCAAATATTTCAAGCAAATGCAAAATGGTTAATTATTTGCAGAAGAGTCATTCGAACTGGCTACAACTTCTCTATTTGAAAACCCCTCTGAAAATTCTTCATTTTTTCTAACGTGGATTTTCCTTGCATAGCCAGTTTTAGAGATTCTAAGAAATCCGAAAACGGGAACCGATTCCTGTTGAGGCGATGGCCGCGCAATTAGGCGTTGGCGAGTTCATTTGGTACGACACAGGCGATGACAGGTTTCAAGGAACGGCTGCACGAGAATCCAAGCTTATCTTTTAGTTTGCTTTTTCATTGCATCTTTGGATGACCACCTTGGCTCCGAATTTTTTTAGCTTATTGATATTCGTATCCGGGGAGCACTATAGGATGATCAATACTAAATCTGCCCAGAATTAATTACTTCGAATAAATTCTCCATCTTTTTGAGACCAAGACGAAATGTTAACAAGGCAAAATTAATATTATTTTGCAAGAGCTGTGCAGCCGAAAAAGTACCGATCGGAGGCCAAATTACCGATCGCAAGGGGCGTATCATCGAATTCAAAGATGATCACGGAAAGAAGCACAGAATCGATGTCGGAACCGACCTCGGCAAAGTTAAAATCATGCATCCTTCCTCCGTAAAGGTGAGCTCAGTAATTCTTATGCGATGAATGAAATTCTATGATTCGATCTATATCTGGTTATTTATTTACTTAAGCAAATTTGATAGTTTCCGTAAAACTCAATTTCTTGTTGAAGAATGTCGCAAATAAAAAAATCGGAATTAGATTTTCCAAGTTGGAAACTTTACTGGAAAGCGCTATCGACTACAGTACTTTCGTTGATTTCCATGCGACTTCTCTTCCGTCATTTTGATGATTTCCTTGATGGAATTCTTGAATAGTTCGTTTTCCGACAAACGTACCCAAAAATTGAAGATAATGTCTAGGGCGTTGCAGACATGATTTTGCTTGGTGACTTGAATGAGTCTGGCATTCTGCGCAATTTGCACGTTCGCTACAAGCAAAATACTATTTACACGTACACAGGAACGATTCTTGTCGCTGTCAATCCATATAAAATCATCCCCGGTAAGTGACTTCATTTTACAATTCGATAGAAACGAGTATTTAGGCCTTTATGAACAAAATCAAATCGAAGCTTATACAAACAAAAGGATCGGAGAAAAACCGCCGCATGTTTTTGCTATAACTGACAACGCATACACAGGTTTGTGTCAGTTTGAATAGTTCAGGCTAGACAGAAGATTGTATATTTTTTGATTTCATTTAATTATTTCAGGAATGATGCGCAATAAGATGAGCCAATGCGTTGTTGTCTCTGGCGAGTCTGGTTCCGGGAAGACAGAATCAACAAAGCTGATGCTTCAGTATTTAGCAGCTGCATCCGGTCAACATAGTGCGATCGAACAACAGATTTTGGAGAGCAACCCAATCTTGGAAGCATTTGGAAACGCAAGGAATGGATTAACCAAACAGAAGGATATTGTCAATATCATATTGACAAACAAAGTTACTTTCTAAATATTGACCTACCATCAAATGGGCTTAATGGAACTTTTTGAGGCCAATATTTCCACTGCTGTCGTTTTACTTTCGCTTTGTTGACCTTAATTCTGTGTCGAATCCTAAATAGAACACTTCGAAATGACAATTCCTCGCGCTTTGGGAAGTACATCGACATTCAATTCACTCCATCTGGGCAGATTGAATGCGCCCGCATCGACGAGTACCTCCTTGAAAAGTCGCGTCTTATCTCGCAGCAAAGTGGGGAGCGAAACTTCCATATTTTCTACATGATGCTTTCTGGACTGTCTGGCGATACTCGACAGAAGCTTGGCCTTAAGATGAGTGCCTCTGAGTATTCTATGACGAAAGTCGGAGCGAATCTCAAACTTGACGGGTGGAACGACCGAGAAGAGTTTAGCAAAGTTGCAGCAGCAATGCGCATCCTTAATTTTAAAGAAAACGAGTATTCACGTATTTTCGAGCTGCTGGCTGCTCTTTTACATTATAGGAAAGGCTTTCATGTTAATATTTGTGAAAATTCCACATTAATTTACCGAATACGGTGGCGTGATTGTTATACTCCAGGAAATCAGAGCCATGTGTGTGATTTCCATCGAGTTAATTTCCATCCAGGTTTTCAATCAGAAAAATCACTTTTCCGATAATAAATTGCCGTGGAATCGACGTATATTTTTACACCTACTTACGCCTAATAAAGCAATATCCAGCTTCAGGAGACTGTGGTGGACAATAACGATGCTACCGCGGTTAAAAACAACTCAGCACTGGAACATGCTGCGCGACTCTTAGGCGCATCAACCGACACTCTCAAACTTCAGCTAACAGAACAAACTCTTGCGATGAGAGGCGAGACTGTCAAGTCCATCTTGAATATTTCGAAATCGAGAGATACGCTCGATGCTTTTATCAAAGGCGTTTACGGGCGATTGTTCTCCTGGATTGTCGATAAGGTCAACTCAGCAGTTGGCAAGTCGAAAAAGCGTAAAAACGATCCCTTTGGAGGGAAGTCCATCGGTCTCTTGGATATTTTTGGCTTCGAAAAATTTGAAAAGAACTCATTCGAACAACTTTGCATCAACTTTGCGAATGAAAAGCTTCAGCAATTCTTCGTCCACCACATCTTTAAGCTTGAACAAGAGGAGTACACCCGAGAAGGAATAAAGTGGGACAAGATTTCGTTTGTTGATAACCAGAATATTCTCGACTTGATAGCGATGAAGCCAATGAACCTGTTCGCACTTATTGACGAGGAGGCATTTTATCCTAGGTAATATTCATCTTATATTCACTAATCAACTTACTTAAAAGAGGAACCGACATTACTCTTTTGGAGAAATTGCGAAACAAGCATCAGGGAAGTCGAATTTTCGCAGCTTCTACCAATTCACGTGACCAGCTTTTCACAGTTATTCATTTCGCTGGAGACGTCACTTACAACACTGGCGGATTCTTGGAGAAAAATAGGGACACCTTCCACGCTGATTCTTTGTCTTTGGTTGAGAACTCAAGCAATAAGTTTTTGGCATTCTTATTCAAGAGCGAAATTAGAGCAAAATCATCTGGCACTGGAAATAAGAGACCGAAGACATTACTGAAGCAGTTCACAAAATCAATGGACGAGCTAATGAAGACATTGACATCATGTGAGCCGTTTTTCGTGCGATGCATCAAACCCAATGAAACCAAATCCGCGATGGTCTTTGACAGACAACTTGTCCATAGACAGCTGATGTACTCTGGAATGTTAGAAACAATTACGATCCGAAAGGCTGGATACCCGATTCGATACGACTTCGACTATTTCACCGGTCGATACGACGTTTGCTGTGGAAATCTACGCCACAATCCCAACTTTACTCCCCGAGAAAAGTGTCGAGAAATTCTATCCAAGGTCTTGCCGAAAGAAGATTGGAAGGTCGGACACACAAAAGTGTTCATGAAAGGACCTTGTTACCATTATTATACTGCTAAATGTATTACGACTGGTTTGCTTAGATTCTAGTAATCAGGAAAATGATAAATTTTTTTTATCATTTATTAGATTTTTTTTATTGTTTACAGACTCAAAATAATAGTTAGTATCAAAGATAGAATTATAGTTAAAACTATGCTATTTTTTTGATAACACGATGTCTCAGATGGCCAGGAAGTTCGAATGGAAAGAGCTCGAGAAGAAGCCTTGCTCAAGTACATCATCACCATTCAACGCTCTACAAGAGGGTGGCTTCGACGTCGCCGTGTTAAGGTTTTCAAACTTTTTTCTTCAAACTCGAGCGTGCATTTTATAGAGACTGAACGCAACAATTTTGATGATCCAGACACTGACTAGAGCTGCTCAAGCTAGAGTAGCCTACAATCAGATGAAAGTCGGCTACGCCCGCTTGCAAGCGGTTTGGAAAGCACATAAACTGCAGTACAAGTACAACAAAATTCGCAACTTTATCATTCGGCTTCAAGCTCGTTCTCGTGGCTACCTGATCCGCAGCTCGAGATTCAAGAGAAACGACGCGGTCGTCATCATTCAGTCTTACGTCCGAGGACTTCTTGCCAGGCGCTATCACAAACGTGAGATGCAAAAGAATGAAATACAAAAGTTGCCAAAGAGCGAACAAAAGGTAAGCAAACATTTTAGTATGCAGTTTTAAGGTGATATGTTTTAGAAACGAATGGCGGAATTTGATGCTGAAGAGAAGAAACAGCTGGCTGCTCTGCTTGCAAATAAGAGACGCTTGAAAGAGGCCCAGAAAAATGATCAAAAAGGTTTTACTTGAAGTGTTTTTTTTATACAAGTCAACTTTGGGTTAAGATATTGAGGAGATCGACAATATGTTCAAAGATATTGAAAATGGAGTCGGTGACTTCGACGATCTCGACGATGGCAATATTGAATACATAGAAGACGCAGACCATGGAGTCGGAAACCAACAAGGAGCCTTCAGCGATGACCTCTCAGCGTACACGTTCATGAAATATGCAACAACGTATTTCACGTCTGCTGTCTCTCATACGCACTTGAGGCGCCCGCTCAAAGGTTGCCAATGATTTTAATACTTTCTTCAATTTTTAAATAGAACCGCTCTTGCACCACGATGACGAAGTAGATCGGTCAGCGTCTTTGTCGATTTGGATCACCATCTTGCGCTTTATGCTTGATATGTCTGAGCCGCGTAACACAACGACTACAGATAGTAGACCCGAGTCAACAATCATCCGATTGCAGAGGTTTTAACTAGAATCTTTGAATAAAACTCAAATGATTAAGAATAATTGGTCGAGCGCAAAAGACCAAAGCAAAAGCAATGATGGAAACACAGAAGGGACGAAAAACAAGAATATACTCCGCTGCAGACGGATTCCGAGAATTTACTGACAATAGAACAACTCATCTTACCAAAATTCAGTTTATCATTGGAATGGGAATAATAAGACCTGAGCTTCGAGATGAGATTTTCTGTCAAATCTGCAAACAACTTACACAAAATAGAAACAGGCAAGGAGCGCAGCGTGGATGGATGCTTATGGCTTTGTGTGTTGGCTGTTTCGGGCCTAGTGAAAAGTTTGAAAAATACTTGAGGTGCTTTTTGCGCGAAAATCAACCAAGACATTACCAATACTACGAGGGAAAGTTAAACAGGACACTCAAAAACGGAGTTCGTCAATGGCCTCCAAACACCGTAGAAATAAGAGCTGCTCGCAATAGAAAGCAAATTCAAGTACGCGTATCCCTCATGGACAAAACTGTCCATCAGGTGAAAGCTGATAGTGCCACCACTGCCAAAGAAGTTTGCCAAGAAATCGCATCACTTGCAGGCCTAGATGAGGGAACTTATGGGTTTGGCCTTTTCATCTCCATTTTCCAGCGTGTATCTTCACTTGGCGGAGGCCGTGAACATCTCATGGATGCCATCGCTCAGTGCGAGCAAATCTCTGTTGAGCAATCACTTGCGGCCGAAAGTGCTCCCTGGCAGATTATTTTAAGAAAAGAGGTCTTCTCTCCCTGGTACAACCCTATGGTCGATTTACGCGCTTCTCAGCTTATAAGGAAACAAATTATCTCCAGTTTGAGTTATGGCGAATTTCCGAATGTAAACGACATCAAACTAGCGAATCTCGCCGCTCAGGAACTAACAATTCAATGTGGCGCAACTTGGAATGCTGATAAAGCAGCAAAGGTGGTTCGTGAAATCGTTCCTGAAGCGAAAAGAAAAGCTGAAGGCCCTGAAGCTTGGAATCAGAAAGTGAAAGCGGCTCTTGAAAAGTTAAAGAAAGAAAATCAACTGTGGAAAACATCATCGATTTCATCGGAGCAAGTTCAAGCTCATATGCTGAGGCAATGCCGCAAAGATTTTACTCTTCCATTCTCACGCTTTTTCCAGATCAGACCTGTTTCGCGAGATGCCAAATTTTTATCCTCAGAAGGAACTGATATGCTTATCGCTGTCAACTGGATGGGTGTTTTTATCGTAACAACGACAGAGAGTATCCTGGCAAAGATCCGATTTTCAGAAATTCGACAAATCGAGCTCATTCGAAATGTACGGGACGTTCCTTATGGATTTACTCTCGAAACAATCCAAGAGAAATCCTACCAATTCATTTGCAGCGCCTGCGAAGACATAGATGAAATAGTAAATACTTTTGTTGAAGGATTAAGAGCGAGAAGTCAGTTTGCAGTTGGAAAAACTGACCTTGCGCAGCACATGGTTCAAGAAGGAGACCTAGCGTTTGCTCGTGGTGACCTTATCATTCTCGACCAAGTAGCAGGAAAAGCTCTACTGGGCGAAAATGAAGCTCATGGAAGAAACGATCGAACTGGTTTTAGTGGCACTGTGAGAGCCGAGAATGTTTGGGTTGTTCCAACGTTGCTCAAGCCGGACGAAGAGCTTGTGAAACTCTTCAAGATGACTGATGTCGAGCTTGAGCGACTCAATCGAAAGACAATGTCAGCTGCACAGATGGAACAAACAGAGTCCAGCGCAAAATACTACACTTTGCAAGAATATGCTCAGGACTTTTTCAGAAATGAGAGCAAAGGCAAAACCTCACGAGTAAGTTCATTAGAAAATTGCAAATACGTATTAATTCTGGCGATGAAATTGCGGCTGAAATGTAACGGTATCTAATAGGGTGTTATTGCATTCGATAAATCAAAGAGTCAGGCATCATGGGCGAAATCTACACAACCGATTACACAACCACTCCTTATTAAAACTCCGGACTACCTGACATCGGATGCTGGGCATATGTTTTTGGCAATTTTGAAATATTGTGGTGATCATCCGGCTGGCCGCACAGTCAATATAACTGACAAAACGGATCCGATTTTCAATTTGCCATTGAAGAAGAAAGAACTTCGAGATGAGTGCTACTGCCAAATTATGAAACAACTCACTCGGAATCCCAAAAAAGCTTCTGAGGAAAAAGCTTGGAAGCTCTTCTGGCTTCTTTGTGGTCTAATGCCACCGTCGGCGCAGCTTTATCCCCACGTTAGTCGCTTCTTGAGCTCAAGAAACGAAAATACGATGGCAATGGAGTGTTCGCAACGACTTTATAGGTAATTTTTTTGATAATACTATTGGAGAAAAACGTTCTTTTAGAGTTAATCGTAATGGAGCTCGGCGAATGCCACCGCACTCGACTGAGGTTGAAGCTATTGAAAATGAGACTACTCAAATTTACCATTTCATTCACCTTGGCCCATCGCAGGAACTGAAAGAAGTTTTTGCCCTGGACTCATCTATGCGAGCTGGCGACCTAGTTTCCCAAATCGCGAAACGTCTGCGCATGAAATCACACGAAGGTAGCCAACAATATCTAAAAACAGACATTCACTGATGTTTCTAGGATTCTCATTGTTCATTTTCATCGCTGACAAGATGATTGCGATCAAGGACGACCAATTCTTCTTCGACGTTATCCGGGAGCTTTCCGACGCTTTATCCCGCTCTGGTCAAAGTGCAGCGGACTACAAAGTTCATTTCATGCGAAAACTTTGGATCAGTTTTATTCCTGGCAAAGATGCTGTCTCTGATAAGCTATTCAATTTCCCTCAAGAGAGCAAAAAGTACCTCCGCGGGTTTTACGATGTCGATCAAAAGAAAGCGGCTGAGCTTGGTGCTTACCTATACATTGCCTTCTTCGACGAGTCTCCCCTGAACAGACAGGCGCTTAAGAAGGGGCAAATAACGACCGAACTTGTTCCCCAGAATGTAAGTTGCTTTCGTCAAATCTGATGACTGTTGATGTCAATTTAGTCAAAGTTCTCAATGGATAAGGCACGAAAAGATATTGAGAAGCAACTTTCGAATCTGGCGGGAGTTTCTCCCGACGATGCAAAATTTAAATTCCTCAAAGTGTTGGTTGAGTTCCCCAACTTTGGCTCGACATTTGTTGAGTGTCGCCAGTTTGGCGATAGCACGTTGCCCGAGAAAATCATCCTTGCTATACATAAGCGTGGAATCACCGTGTTAGATCCTGTTTCAAAAGCCGAGCTCATGAGAAAAGTAACTTTTACTATTAAAAAATTACTAAAACTGCCTAGGGATATTCTGAAATAACAAACTGGTCATTTGGAGAGACATATTTTTCGATGTCATTTGGAAACTTAATCAACGGTATAAAAAATGATGAAAACAATAAACTCAGCATTGTCAATTTCAGGTTCTAAACTGATATGTGAGACGACACAAGGATACAAAATGGAGAATCTTGTATCCTCATATATCAAACAGTTGGAAAAGACCATCAAGAAAACGAATGCCAAAACGAAATCTAATCTTTAAACTGTGTTAGAAGTTTTTTTGTATACATAATGCTCAACGTTTTAATGATTTAGCTGTAAATTTATTGCGACCTCATTTTCTATCAATCCCTGCAGCTCAGCGATAAAAAAAACACGATGATGCGATTTAAATAATGTCAGTTATTGAGTTCATCTTGGTTGAAATTCAGCACCTTGCAAACAAATTTGAAAAAAATATTTTTTCTGTTTTATTTTCACTTGCCGTCTCTCCGGCACCGGCAGTCGCTCCAGGTGTCCATAAGCTACCAGCGTTTCACTGGCGAAATTTTCGCCACTTTTGTAAAAAAGTCAATAGAGTAAGTCGATCTTCGATTCTTTTGGAAACTCTTTCATGACAGGTATGACTATCATTTGGGCTCTAATTTGGGAGGGTCTTCTAAGGTAGAGGCCGTGGCAGAGGCCGTGTCAAGGCATCAGGACTGAATGAAGCTCAACTTGAGGAAGCTGTGGGAAAGGGATATCGATTGTCATTATGTGATATAATTTTTATCAGATAAACTACTGGGCTTATAATAAAGAATTTGTCCACGTTTGTAAGTAAAATAGTTTTTGTGTCCTTATAAAAAGCGAAGTTGACTGTTGGTGGAGGGAAGCTCGCTCTGTTCCAGCTGTTCCTGCTGGCGAGAACAACCCGGCGTATGATGACCCATCAGAAACACCAATAGACACTCCATTAGAGACTCCAATTGAAGAAGCATCTTCGGACCTGATTCCCGTACCTGAAGTTACTCTTGATGTTACTGCTGATCATTCAGCTTTTCCGGAGCCCAAAGATCTGGAAGATGACTCTTTGTTGGACGACAATTGCCCAACCGAGTTGTTTGCGCTTTCCTCTTCTACCGACTCAGAAGATCGACGAGCTGTAAGAAAGATGAATTTGAATTCAAATAATATTTCTTAGCAAATTTTGGAGGAAGCAACTATCCGTCTTCTCAACGCTGACAAGATCAGAAAGATGAACGTGGATGAATATGAAGAAGATCGAAAAATGGAGAAGGTCTATAAACGTAGAAAGATCGCTCTTCGATCTAACTACTTCAATATCTCACTGAAGATGAAGAGTCTTTACATGTACCGAGTAGAATGGGGAACTAACGATAGATATGCACCCATCCTCAAGTCTAATGAAGAACGCCATGCTGCTTTCATGGATTTCTGTGGACAGTACATCAACATGGATCCAAACGTCTCTGGCTTTGACAAAACTCTCGAGGACAAAAAGTCAATTCCGTCCTACGATGGAGAAAGCGCATTTTTCTACCATCATGAGATGGAAAAAATGGTAGAATATATTTATCAGTCCTTATTTATTCGAAATTTAGGATGTCTTCAAAGATTATGTAAAAGAAGGGAACTGGAACGCTGCCATCAAGGGCTTGATTGAAAAATCCGAAGCCTATGAGCATACACATGGTATTGCTACTATGCAAGAAACTTGGAAGAAGGAGATGCAGATTAAGAACGCCTCTATGTTGCCAAACAGCGAAAAGAAGCGAGTGTTTCTCGCAATGAATGTACGACATCAGCCTAAAGGCGCACGGTAATACAGAATTAATTTCACTTCATAACGGTTTATAGTAACATGCACGATTATACAATTCTGATTACTAAAGTGCGAACAATTCATGCTCAAGAAATCGAGGACTGCGCGAGCGGAAAGATGCACTCTCAAGTTGCTCTTCAAGGTAAAAGCGCAAGTTTGATTCTTCTTTACGGACATTTTAGCAATCGACTGCATCTTCCGTGCTGCCTCCATTTCTCGGGACTACACTAGGATCAAGCGAACTCTTTATTCCAGCGATCCGGCATACAAGATCGACCCTAAGTTTTCCGGCGACGGTAATAAATTATGATAAATGTTTCTGCATTCGGATATTCAGGAAAATTCATTTGGCTCGGAACGCACCAAACAGTGAAGCCAACTAAATGGAAGTGTTTTGCTTTGAACATCGATCAGCATGCTGCAATGTTTTACAACCAGCAAAGTGTGAAAAGTTGGTTGGTAGACTTCGCGGGCGGCGAGAAAGCAGCATGCAATCCCGACGTATGGAAAAGAGCTTCGGTTGAGCTCAAAAACCTTGAATTCTGCACCAACTATGGGAAAGTTACTCCCCAGAAAATTCATAGCCTAAGCGCGAAGAGTGCGCGGGAATCGACTTTCGACAGAGTAAGAAACTCTGCAATTTCTTGAAATTTTACTTGTTTTTAGAATGGGACAAAGTTGTCAGTTGCAGATTACTTTGCGGAAATCGGGAATAGGGTCGAAAATGCAAATTTTCCCTGTATAAAGGTTGGCACCGGCAAGCGAGAGTCGCTTTTTCCAGTTGAGAAGTGCATTCTTCTGCCCAACCAAATAGTTAAAGGTAAATATTGATCATCAAAAGTTATACAATAATTTAGAACAGAGACAGTCTCTGGCCTTTCAAAAACTTGGATCCTCCGATCGTGTCGGACCCTAGAGAGACTAGAAAAAATATTATTTTTTTATTCAGGGGCGAATCCGAATGATGTCCAGGCTCTCATCAAGGAGGCAGCGAAACCTCCGAAAGATATGCAGGAGCGTGTGGAAAAACTAGCGAAATCCCTCAAAGGCCAAATGACTGACTTTTTGGAAGATTATGGCCTGGATGTTGACGTGAGCAGGATGGCAAAGACGAATGGGGAGTTGATTACCGCGCCAAAACTGGAATCCGGTGACGGGAATCTTAATCCGGTGATGGGGAATCTTAAAAGTTTCAAGAAGGTCAAAAAGGCCGCAAAAATTAAAACATGGATCATCGGCTCGTAAGTACTTTATAAGGATAAATCTATGAGAAGTAAAAGCATTTTTGAAGGCCAAAATTATGATATGATGATAATTAAAATATAAGGATTGGAATGGATGATCGACACGCGCCACGGAAGAGTGACTACGACAACTTCAAAACGAACTTGACCAAGAAGGCTAAAGAGATGGGGATCCAGATCAGCGGAGAAACTCTTAACGATACCCATTTCGGCAAGAAAATCGTTGACATCGACAATTATGGGTGCGAGAAATTTTTCGAAAATTGCAAAGGTGCTGGTGTCGATCTGGCAATAATTGTTCTCCCCGATAGTGGATCGGTAGGAACGGGTATGCAATGATCAGCTAATAATGTAATTAGATCAATGCTTTTAGAGAAATACGCCATGGTAAAACGTGTTTCCGAGTTATCGTTGGGCGTGATGACTCAGTGCATCAAAAAGAAGAACTTTTGCGGTAAAGGCAGGCCTCCTACTGGCATTGACCTTATGACTGCTGGAAATTTGTTGATGAAGATCAACCACAAAATGAATGGTATTCAATCATTTGTGAAAATTGCAATAAAATCATAAATAGGAATCAATGTTCGAGTGGAGAAAACTAACATGATCCATATCTTCGATGTCCCGGTTATGGTCGTCGGAACTTCTATCAGCCACTCAGCCTCAGGAGGCCCATCTGTGGCAACTATGACTGCATCAATCGATGCTGCTGGCGCTCGATATGTTGGCTTTGCATCCCTTCAGGGAAAGGGCCATAAGGTCGAAGATATGTGCGAGCTTATGAAGAAATGCCTTACTGCGTTTCACAGAGTACTAATCATAATTTATTCAAGATCAAACATTTTAATTCAAGGCTACTAAGAAAAAACCGATGGCCATCATTTATTACAAAGATGGATTAGGAGAAGGCCAGTTTGAAGATGCTCTAAAGTACGAGGTATCTCAGATTCGAAGAGCCTGTCGAGAAATGCCCGATGGTGATGGTAAGATTGATAAAAGATGTTTTAAAATACGAATATATTTTTAAAAGGGGGATACCGTCCTGGTGTCACAATGATCTCGGTGCAGCGCTCCCACCACACGAAGTTCTACGTGGAAAAAACTGCGGACGGAGAAGGAAAAGCGGCGAACATACCTGCAGGAACAGTCGTAGAATCAGGCCCTACAAGCCAGCTGTTCTATGATTTCTATCTCTGTTCCCATGCGGGAATTCAAGGCACGTATTTAATTTATAAGCATCTAAACAGATAATATTTAGGAACATCGAAGGCAGCTCACTATATGGTGATGCATGATGAAAACAGCCTCTGCCCTCACGCCTTCCAGGTACAATTTCTGTATTCGATCATCTTAAAAAATATCTAGAACATGACTTACGCGCTCTGCCATGCTTATGCTCGCTGCACGCGAACTGTCTCCGTTCCTATTGTCGTTTGCTATGCCAAGCTTCTGACTGAACGGGCTCGATACTGGCTCAGAGATCTTGGCTTCGGGTAAGGCGATCTGGTTTGAATCATCTTATTTTTAATCCAGGGATACGGGCTCTATGAGCAGCGGCTCAAGAGGAAAGGGCGGAAGAGAAGATGATAAGAATAAAATCTGCAAAGTGCACAAGGCACTCTCCTACCGAATGTTCTTTACATAGGTTGTATGCCTATGCTGCATTCTGTAGGTCCAGAATGATCATTGCTGAACCGTGACTTTGATTTATCAATCTGTTATTGATAGTTTTTTTTTTGTCATTTATTAAAGTAATAAATAAACGTATACTAAAGAGTTAACTTGAAGAAATCTCAGATTATCAATAATGAAGAATCTAAATCGACAGGTTCTTCTGTCTGTCAACAGACATCGAGGATCGCTCTAGTTTCAGAGCATCGTCTTCCAGGTAATCAACACAGAGCTCGAGAACGTGCATTTCAGAATTGAGCATGTCAGTTGCCATTTGTAGGTATCTTTCTTCGGTAGCGGTGAACTCGGACGAAGAAATTTTGCCTTTGAGCAAATCTAATTCTGCAATCCGCTTGTACACAATCCAGAGAGCCAGTCGTAGAGACCTGGAATCTTGTGAGTTTTTCTGGGCATTTTTATCGTTTATCGCTCTCGGATCTCCACTGGCAATGTACTCAACAGCCGACGATTTCAAATGACAATCTCCGTCTAAGAATCCTGCATCGTCTTCATTCATCTCTAGCGCTAATTGTGTCTTTAATTTGCATATTTTTTCCGACATGCCCAGGCGCTCTAAGCACGCTTGAATCAGTTCTTCTTCGTAGAAATTAACAACCTAGGAATTTTGTGACGGCTCATCAAGGATTTTTCTAACCTCAAAGAGCTTTTCGCTGTCACCGAAGGTAAAGCCATAAGATTGAGCTAGTTTAGCATTTTGCAGAGCGTTGTCGCTACGACAGTTTGAGAACGAGATGATCAAATATCTTTACCCGTAAGAGATGAACAGCTCCGCGCCAGCTGGAATTGCTTCCGAGGTTCTGATTTCCATTCCATTGTCGACGAACCAGTCTGCGTTTGCCGGGTGATCATGATTCCAGAAATCGAAAACTGGGCCTAACGAACCACAGCCAGAGTCTTCGTGAAACCAGTCTGGAAAAGCTTCTGGCTCTTCATCAGTAAAGTACCTTTGTAATCGTTCATGACTGCTTCTATGGCAATATTTTACCTCGTAAAAACGATTGAATATGCGTGGTGAAATTCTTCTTCCGTCAAAATATTTTCTTGATTGACAGAATTGTAAATTTTATCAATTCGCTCCCACCGAATTTTAAAGTCTTCAGAAGATGATTGTGCCAAATCTTTTCCAGTTGGAGTTAGAAACTCCAGCATCTTTTCCGGCCAGTATTCTAGTGGTGTAATGTAGGCGAGGGGCATTGTTGCTAGGTATGGCCAGATATCAGACTTTTCTCGTTTTTTTACTGAACACGTTTATCGACAAAAAAATCAAATCAAGTTTACCTTCAAGAGCAACGAACAGTGAGAGTGTATCTGTGCAGTCGAGCTTGTAATTTTTATTAACATCGACTCTGTCGTTCAAGGCCTGAAACAAGCGTCACTTTCTTATATTTTTAGGTGCATTTCAATTATGAAATCAATATATTATATATATATTATATAATTCTTATACCTCGAAAGCTTTATCAAGTTTAATAAGATAATTGTTATCGGAAGTGAAAAGTTCCTCGTCCTCTTCTAGATTTTCGACAGCATACACACCGACGCCATACTCACCACGTCTGATCTCAATTTTCTCGGACAAGAAGCCCTTTTGCCAATCGATTAAATTTTTAATCAGCGTGTCTTCATCGGCGCCTCCAAGCAAAATGTTTTCGGGATTTACGTCTTTCATAATGCTCGCAGAATCTCCACAATTATGATCAGTTGAACATTGTTTATTTGCTTCGTTTTGTACTTCCGATGATAAGAGACCTTCAAAAATATATTTTAAAATTCAGCGCTCTTTCAAAGTCGAAGGTCATTGAATTGATTGCAAAAATTGCTGCTACTGAATTCGATAAAAACAATAATGACATCATAGATACGAGTCGTATTATACAACCAAGGCTGGCCGATTCGATATAAAGATGTTTCATCAAACAAGACATTAATAATGTCACATTATGTTATGGCTATCTTTGAGCAACGAAGAATAGAATTCGTTCAAATAAAATTTCGAACAGGACCCAACCGTAAAACACTCGTAAAAATAAGTCTCAAAATCATCCATTCAGAGGGAACGCTACTGAAGCAAAAGCACAACTATTACAGTGCATAACTGTTTAAAGTTTGATTCGAGTACCATGAACAATTGCTGCGGCGATGATTTTCATTGAAAAGACGTCTTTTCTCTCTCCGTCTTTTCTCGTAAAATGACACCAAGTAGCAGAACAATTAAAGAATAATAAAAAATAGCAACGACGATGGTGACCAAAAGATTGTATGCTTTCCAATCTAAAAGGTCTTCGATCCTTTTTGATCTAGCAGAAGAATGCCCTTGGGCACTTTATACGCTTTCTTACATAGGCGATGCTCGCCCTCACCGCTCTGCATGGTGTAAATCAGTTGCTGCAGGGAGGATGAATCGAGAAAATATGCTGATTAAACGATAAATAAACTGATCGTGATATCATTATAACTTCCAGACGGCCCTCTTACAACTGTTCATCAACTTCGCAAAAAGAAAAAAATGCAGAATCATGAAAATTGTTTTCTTAAAAAAATGTCTACGAATCTTTAAATAACTACAGGAAATACGTTAAATACTGTTACCAACACTACTAAAAGCGTCTGTATGAGTAGACTACTTGGAGAAGTCTAATGATGACAGCTAAGAAAGTTCGACTTGAGCGATCGTAAAAATTCCTACGAAAACCGTCATGCTCTCTTTTTTAACGACCACGTTTTTCAAAATCAGCTCCGATCTTATCAACGCCTCAATCGTTTTCACTGAATACGAATAGATTTTTCTCGCAGAGCTGAAAAGTTGAAAATGTCAGAGACGCAAATTCCGATCACAGATCATAGAAAGTCGGACGAGGACGAAGGCCCAGGAGCATGCGATTCTTGTATTGTCGGCTTTTTTACTGTGATCATTATTCTTCTATTTCCAATTTTTCTTCCTTTCTGCATCAAAATCGTTCAGGTATTTTTTTTAAAACAGCCACAGGGTATATTAATTTTCAAAGGAATACGAAAGAGCAGCCATTTTCCGTCTTGGCAGACTGAAAAATAAAAAAGCAAGCGGCCCTGGAATCTTTTTCGTCAACTGCTTCACTGACACTTATTGCCAAGTCGATCTTCGCACAGTGGTTTTCGATATTCCGCCGCAAGAAGTACTGACAAAAGATTCTGTCACAATTCGCGTGGATGCTGTTTGCTATTACAAAGTCACTGATGCTACAAAATCCGTGGTTTCCGTTGACAACGCCAGCCAGTCGACGGTAAAATCGAACGGTGGAGTAAGTACTAAATTTATTTTTATCTTAGCGTCTCCTTGCTCAAACGACCCTTCGAAATATTCTCGGAACAAGAACCCTTACAGAGCTCCTGAGTGGACGAGACGAAATTTCGCATGAAATCCAAGAATCATTGGACAAGGCAACTGATCCTTGGGGAATCTACGTTGAGAGAGTTGAGCTGAAAGATCTTGTTCTCCCAGCATCGGTAAAGAAGTCATAGAGGCTTCAAAAAAATTTTTTAAGATGCAACGAGCAATGGCTGCAGAAGCCGAAGCATCGCGAGAGGCAAAGGCTAAGATAATCCAGTCGGAAGGCGAAAAGAATGCTTCAAAGAACATCGCAGATGCAGCGAGAATTATTGCTGAGGCACCTCAAGCCATCCAACTTCGGTAGAGATAAAAAGCTAATTTTTAGTTATTTTTTTTTAGATATTTGCAAACTCTCACAACCATTTCTGCCGAGAAGAATTCGACAATCATCTTCCCATTACCGATCGAAATGCTCCCCAATCGCGCTCAAGAAAACTAATTTCAGATACCTGCATCTTTCTTTTAATAAACCTAAATCAGAGCAAAAATTACTTGGTAAAACTCAGACTGAATTCCATAGAAGAGTTTTTGCATAAATTTAACCGAGGGCAAAGTAGTACAGCTGCCGAACATTCCACGACCTTAATTTACTTCGTAATGTATGCAGCTAAAGTCACAAGACCCTGATCTCAGACAGAGAGGTTTCTTTAAATACAAAACTACCCCAATGCTTATAAATTGTGTGAAAAATATCTGAAAAATACGACAACTGTGTTTAAGAAAAGAAATATACGATCTCAGTTGCAAATAATTTTTTCATGTACGCTAATGTAATGGCAGTCTTTGTACTATTTATACAGTATTTGTTATTCACAATAAATCATTAACTTACAAGCAAATAACTTTCTGTGCCATCTCCTGTTGTCATAAGAAGTGGCAATAAGGGGTTATGGAACACTAAAAGTGATTATCGTGAAAACGAGGACAGACACAAGAGCGCCCTCTGTTTCCGTGCTCGTGCTTCTGAAGTAAAAGTTCCGAATTCATTTTAATTTGGAGAATATCAGCGAATCTAAGCCAGGCTTTGGTTACAGTAGATTACGCTTATTTTTATTACACTCTACTTGATAAAATTGCTATTTAATTTTTGCGCGTTTGATGTTAATCTGCTTCTCTTTTCTTTCCTTGGTTCTGTCCATTCCAGTAGAGAGTCGACGAAAACAGAGTCATGAACTAGTGTTCAACAGAATATCAGCAAAATCACAAGACAAAGTTGTCAGGTAAGGACTTCATGCATTTGCTTGTAAATACATTTATTTACAGTATAGCGAGCCAGCTTGTTGGCAAGCTCGACGGATTTGAGACAGTTGATACCATAGGACTGGTAGACTTGAAACTAGAGCATAACGCGGAGGAAAAATCGGAGATCTCTGCTGATCAAAAAGAGGCTTGGAATTTACTACAAACGACGCAATATATACCAAGTGATCTGCTCCAGAAGCTGAAGGTGAGACCAAATTGGTAGGCAGCTGACGACGGTTTTAGGGGACAAATACGAAAATCGGAGTTAGACAAATGCGCTCTGCAGATTTCGACTCAAAGCAACGGAAAATTCTGCTGTATCTGCCCGGATCTGGCAACCGAAAGCGACGATCAGAAGATCACATAGCTTCGATGAAAAATTTAAGCCACAGAAGGATGATAAGAAGGACTTTTTACTGTAGCTATTATCCGTTAGCGACTGCTTGTGTACGTAAATAAATTCCCTTGTGTACATGATGTGGGGATTATTTCAGAGGAAAGTTTGCTCCACACTCTAAAACTTTGGTTTGAATTCCTGCGATTAGCTAATCCGTTCTTTACTAAATACAAACAGAGGCCCCAGCTCAATTCTTAGAAGTTCCGACCAGGTAGGCCTGAGGAAATAGCACGCTCATAGAGGGGCAATTTTACAAGTTCACGCGCTGAAAATAACCCAGCAAAGAATTAATTTATCAGAATATTCGATGGTCTGTCAATCACGACTCTCTATTTGATCCTTGATTTTTTGGACATTTTGATTTATCATTCAGCGCGCAAATTACTATCATCACGCCTGATTCCATACTAGAGACTACTCTTTGGAAAAATGAATTTTCTTAAAAACTTTTTCATTTTTAGCGTTTGTTTGTCATTGAAAGGAGTTAGAAACATATTTAAAATAAAAGAGAACGATCAAAGTAAGAACTCCTCCTAGAAAATACTTGGCTCTGAATCTGGAAACGTGGAAATGACTCTCTCGGATCCGTCTGAATCGAAGAAGATAATATTTTTTGACGAAGCACCTGATACGGTTGATGCTATTAGATTCTTTGGTAAAAATAATGCAGACGATGACGAGCGCTTTACTGTTAGTCGTTCACCATTTAACAGAGTAAGTTTGTTCCGACTTTTCGTTCGTAACGGTGGTTTTGAAGGTATTCACACTGACAATTAGAGATCCGAAAATCGGCGACAAATTTCAAATAATGGCTTCCAAAGGGCTAGAGCGAGAGTACATCAATTTTCACGTGGCGAATCAATTAGACGCAGATGATCAGCTCTCCTACGAAATTATTTCGAGCGCAATTGTCTTCTCCTCAACGAGGAAAGGGGCGTAGAGTAGTCTTCTATGATTTCATAATTACTAAATTTAATTGTTATTGAATTTAGTTAAACAGATATGACCTCCAACAAAGCTCGATAAAGCGGAAAACTGCTGAATCCATCAAAAACAAATTAAAGCTGATGCTAACCTTTATTTACGGCGATAGTTTAAAAGAACCACCTCATCTTTCCCAGTCCCTGGTCATGAACGATTTGGTTGTCATTGAGTTCTCGGTGCATTCAGCGATTAATGGTACGCTATTAACTGACTTAATGAGATCGATACAATTATTTAAAGATAAATCATCAAGAGATGAACAATCAGAGAGACAGAATATTTCTACTATTCTTGCGGGACTATCTAGTTTGAAAATGATTTCGTCCGTCGACACTTTCAGCCTGGTCACAAAAAAGACGGAATCAGTCTCTTTCATCATTTCAAGCATGTGTTGCTCAGATATCTTTTAGGTTATCTTTGTTATAGGTACAGTAACAGTATTGTCTCTATCTTTGGCAGTAGCACTCGCCTCGTTACTTGGTATTAAATCGAAGGTCTCGCCTGGAAACTTTATGAAGCCATTTGCGTACTGAAAAGGTTTTATGAGAATCGAATTACAAAAATTATTCGTCTTTGGGATTTTAAGTGCATAAAACACAAAAAAACACATAGGATTTCACCCTTAGCCTTACTTGCACTAATAAATTATTAGCAATAATGAAAAATGTTACTAATCTAACACATAAAACCTGGTTGTCGGCTTCAATATTGCTTGTTTCCATCTCTCGTACTTATTATTGAAGGAAAGGTTGAATAATCATTAACGTAAATTTTCGAAAAGCTTTGATTGTTTCAAACCTCACTAAAGTGATCATATGGGCAAGTAAGTCTAATGTTTTTAAGCAATAATGAATAAATAAATAAAATAATGATTAAACCCTTAGTTAGCGTCCTTAATCCTTGTGACAATGATAAATCAATGGTGTACTTTTAGGCTATATTGATCAAAATGGAACAATTATGGTGAGTCGGTTGGGAGTTTCCCAGTCCCTCTTTGGAATCTCTTTTCTTCGGTTTTCGATCTGCATTCTTTTCGCAATTCATGCATGGAGGAAAGATAATAAAAACATACCGCGTTACTAGCAAGAGCGAGTTTTTATTAACTGAATCAGATGTGTAAGAGATGAAGTCGCATTCAATGCGGAAAAGTCTGCGAAAGAATTAAACCAGCTGGTTTTCATCCAGATTGCGTGCCATGATCTTCCGTCCGTTTTCGTGACATATAATTATTTCGTCAAGGCTCTCTCATTTTACTCGGTCAAGAGGTATTTGAACTTATAAACGCCAAATCCAATGTTTAGTATTCTGGTCTCATTGATGAGTACAATCATTGCCGGAAATATTTGCAAGCAAATTTCAAGAGAGAAAACGAGCTTAAAAGCAAAAACCGCTGATTCAGAAAATGAGTTTTCGTTGACAAGACCAAGATCTTTCATTGAAATCGAAAATTCACAAAAGTTAATCTAACAAATGTTCTGCCGACTGTCTTGAATCTGGCTTTGTATGGCATTGCTTTGTTCGTAGTTACATTTATTGGATTCTCTGCGTTCTGGAGTGTTGCTGTAAAAGCCGGATCTTCGTCGGTTTCAGAAGAAGTCATCTTTATGGATGACAACGAAATAAGTGGCAACAAGTCACTGATTATTGGCAAGTGCGTAAAGTACTTTATTCGAAGATGGCCACTGGAAGCGATCGACCGATTCTCAAAGTAAAGAAAAATAGTAAATAATTACGAAAAAAGTTGAAGGCCTGTTTCGTTCTCCTGTATGGACACTGCAGATGCTCTAATATTTTCTTTCTTCATTTTGTTTTACGTTCTTACCTTTACCAAAATTATTTTGAAAGGTTTTTTACAACTAGAAAAAGTAGGTAGAGTTAAATTACTCCGATATTTATTGTTTCTCAAGAAAAATGCGTCGAACCCGGAAGTTTGCGAACTTCAGGAGTCAGAAGAACCAAAGGAGAGCAATGTTTGCCTTGAAGAAATTCAATAATAAGACTCATTTATGCTGAAAAACTAATCAATTCGCCAATACATAGTTTTATTGAGTTCACAAGACTGGCAAACGTGTATTGCAAACAAATCTCGCAAGGCATTCCATTGTCCGGCATTGAAAGGAGCGAATGAGCTCCGGCCGAGTACTTTCTTGAGCTTACTGCGCGGCGATGCGCCTGCAGGCTCGTATGATTCTAGCACACGGTCCAATCGGTCCGAATGGATGATAACTTACTACTTTCCACGATTCAAATCATAATAATGAAAATTTAACAGAAAATGAGAGAAGTCGAATTCGACAAAAACTTGACAAATCTTCTAAACAATAAATTTCCACGTAGAAGTCCTTCCAAGAGCTCTAAAAATGAAGAAAAAGAGGAATTAGAAGAAGAATTGAAACTATCATTTGAAGAACCAGACGAAATCGATGCAAGCTATGAATTCGAAGACGATCATCAAGGCAAAAATAAATTAGCAGATGAGTTCGTCCCTGTGGACGAGATTCAAACCGAAAATGGACGACATATAAGTACGTGCCCAGATTTAATGACTTATATAATATAACTCATTTCTAAGACAATGCCTTTCTAACAGACTTGCCTTTCTAACCTATCTCTAGTTTACGAGAACAAGCTTCCCCTTGTCGACATAAGAAAGAAGAACTCAAAACGAAATCGAGGCAATAATGACGTACAGATATCATTGGGACGGGGGAATCTGATCGATCCACGAGATCAAAAAGGGAAAAGCTTTCGAGAGTTGATAAATGGAATCAATGACCAGCAGCCACTTGGTCAGGACGACATAGAAAGAATGATTCTGGAAAAGGGAAAAGTCGCAGATGATCCACCTGATGCTTACAAGGACACATATCTTCCTGGGCAACAAGAACCTGTGGAAGAAGTATTCGAAGACCCAATGGTTGCTGCGTACAACGCGCTCACAAAAAATGACATTGAAGAAGAATCTGAGATCACTGAGTCAACTGTCAAGCAAAAACTTGTAACAGCTCCTGAGCCAGAAAGAATATCTAAGAATGAGAAGATTGCGGATTTTAGTTATCCTGGCGTTCTTCTTGGAAAAAAGGGGCTAAAAGCTCAGAATAAGCTTGATGTGGAAACAGTGGAAAAGAAAAACATCCTTTCATTGATTGACCCTAATGACATCGTCAATGAATATATCCCGAAAGGAGAAGAAACTTCAGATGAGATCGAAGAAAAAGCTGACGAAAAGGATCGAAGTAAAAAAAGTAAGCTCGGGCCAATTATACTTCCAGAATCGATAGGTTTGGAAAGGTGCAAGATTACTGGACCAGGCGGTAAAAAAGAACTCATCAAAGAAGAGATGAAACAAGTTGACATTGTTCAAATCAAATCTACCCCAAAAGAAGAGCCAGCAAAAATTGAAGAAGCCGTCGATGACCAAGCAAAGTTAGAACGACTTGAAAAGGCGAAAGGTCAAGGGAAACCTTCGGAAATTATTCTTGAGAATCCAGAGCTCAGTATTCTCAAAGAGCGTAAAAAAGATCGAAAAGAAAAAGTCAAGCCGGCTAATATCACGGAAGAAAAAGTGATAAAACAGTCGAAGGATGAGACTCTTATCGAAATAACAGCTCCAGGAGCCATTCCCAATTTCGGTAAAAAGACAAAGCCACCGACTGAAAAGCAAAACTTTGCGTCCGTCTTTATATCTACAGACAATGGTCAACCTACAGAAGTCGCCAATGATGCTATGATTAGTACTCTGAACTCTCTTGGTGTTCTTGGATCAAATACTCTAGAAACGATCAATGATAGCGCACAAATAGGCGTGATCGACCCCGATATTAACTTATCGGAACAACTTGGAAAAATCGGAGTAGAAGGCGACCCGAATGACTTGGAGATATTTCCTCTTGCAACGGGACCTATTGCGGACATTGAAATTCACCGAACTGATCACATGGGAAACACAGAGGTCAAAGTTGAAACACTCAAGAGAGATGAAAATCCGCGGGAAATGAATCAGTACGATCTTGATGATTATGAAGACGAGGGCACTTCAATCGAAAAATCCTCCAAAATGGATGCCCCAGATGTTATAAAGGGAGAGGACTCTGGAGAACCAGCGGAAAAATCTGTAGAAGAGGCAGAAGACGTCGATGCTCTGCCGACAGTTTCTCCGAGAACGTTCGGAAAGCCCCTCATTCCGGTTGAAAACATTTCTGCTTGGGAAGACCCAGACAAATCAATACACGTTAATGTCCCGAATGAAATTGTTATCGATGACCCATTGGAACAGGAGCCCGAAGAGAGGGATGACCTTGGACTCCCGATCGAGGATAAGCGGCAAACTATCGAGAGAATACATCAATCAAGCCAAAGTAGCCGAGTTCCATCAAATAGACAATCAAGAGCTCCTTCTCCACCTCTAGGCGGTGAAGAATTTATTGATCCAAACAAATATACAGGAAAACTACCTCTTATACCCCCTACTCAAAAACCTCCAAAAAGATCATTCATCTCTATTTTGTACAGGTTACTGAAGCTGGCCCTCTCGAGATTGGACTAATATATTTTTTCAGATACTTTTTCTTTTTCATCAATTTATCGTTCTTCGTTGTTGGCTGCATTGCCATTGGATTCGGAATTTTCGGGGTTATCAAAGTATGTCTTATTCACTTCATCCTCATCTAGCTTTAATTTAGGTAAGATTGGACGGATTGACCGACCCGATCTTAATTTGCGCCGATCCAGCATTTTTTTGCTTGTGTTTGGGACTTCTTGTTGTTCTTGTTTCAATCAACGGCGCGCTTGGATTCTTACGATGCCATTTGATTATGCTCAATTTTTTCGCTTGGATACTCGTCCTTCTCTTTCTCTCTTTCTTTGGTGCTGGAATTGCTTTCTGGATCTTGGCTGGCAAAGTGATGAAAATTTTCAAATACGCATCACTTGCTGCAGTTTTCCACTACAATCATGGAGATGGAAAGGGGCCGACACGCTGGGCACTATCAAGAATGATTGACTTCACTCAGAGCAGACTGCAATGCTGCGGAAGCGACGGATTCAAAGATTGGACGAAGAGCGCAATTGTATGCGTCCCCAAAAATTCAGAATCTGATAGAGATTATTTGCCATCATTACCGGATTTTGAACCTCAGCGACAACTTCCATCAAATCCCTTTGATGCCTTCGGACCGATTCCTAAAAAACAGTCACCAACACCGCTCACTCCAGTCACATTTCCGAGCTCTGCCCCTGTTACAACGACATCTTTGACGTCCTCTACAAAACCTATAGAGCTTCCCTTTACGAAACAAGCAGTGGCAACAACACGCCAAACGCTTTTTATGCCACCTAAAACTCAACCTATAATGGTCAAACCAAAGCCCGAGAAAGATGAGGTCGACAAGTTGGAAGAAGAAGACTTGAGAACTCGCTTTCAACCTGATAAATGCAGAATTCCAGAATCATGTTGTGCTAGTGGAGGTTTCGGTGGAGGCTATTGTGGCGTCAATATTATTGAAAAGCCTTATCTCACAGGTAACGTGAAGAATTCATCAAAGTATTTATAATATAAATATTTAGGTTGTTATGAGCAAGTCGGAAACTTCATTGAGAGAAAATCAGCTGCTATTGCCGCTATCTGGATATCTTTGTGGGCAATAATGTTGCTTCAAAGTAAGAATCACACTCGACTTCAGAAATAAGCTAAAATTAAGTAATGGCCGCGAGATTCTTGATACGACGAACAAGACTTGAGCGAAAATTTTTGAAAGCATACAATAGAGCTCGATATGACTGGGAACAAAAACAAGCGTCCTTTATGGAAGAGGAGAAGGAACTCAGATCGCGAGAAATGGTTCTGGCACGCAATTACCCAATTCAACTTGAATCGCTTCACAAATGCCCATCGGAAGTGCTTAAAAGCAACAAAGACGATGATGATAACGACAATTTCGATGATGAGCGGACTATTCCAGTCCATCCGGTAGAGTTGCCTTGTCGTTGGCAATCAGTTAAAATATCGTTTTTAGTCTCAATTCCCATCTATAAACGACGTCAGTCGACTTGTGAGCCAGCGGGACGAACCCAGACCTCAATCTATCTTGAAAAAAACGTTCCATGAGCCGGATTCGGAGGATGAAGTCGGAATAAATTACAATTTACGGCCCTTGGAGTAATCTATGCAATCTTCCTTCATGTTTATTCTGTATTTTTGTTCATATTTGCTGCTGTAAATGGACATATTTATAACATGCTTTTATTCATAAACTTTATCATTCAGTGTTCATTTTTTCGTAAAGATCTTTTTTCTGGCAGGGACAAACTCTTCTATTTTCGCCCTCTCCCGGAACCGAACAACCCAGCAGTTTGTTGTTATCCTCAAGTCATATGATAAACCGGTCGACACCTTAGAGCCCTTAGTACCTGGAGAATGCAATTCTGTCCATTTATCGCCGGATATCCTAAGCTCCAGTAGCTACGTGATGTGATTTTGATGATATTTTTGCATTTAGGCCAAAAGGTTGTTAGAAACCGCTTCTGATTGATATAGGAAAACATCTCTGCGTTACACGTAAGACCTTTAGTGCTGCAAGCTTGTGAGCAATCTGTCCCCGGTGGAGCTTGAATTACGATCATATCTGCGTAGTCAACCCAGCTGTGGACGATCCTCTTCGGACAGAAATCCATCTCTTCAATATTGTGCCTCAATCGATTAATAAATTCTTTTCCGCTGAAACCAACAGGTATGAAAGGTTGTGGTTTCGTCTTCGACGCCTCACGTTTCAAAATTCTTGTCAGATCCTTGGGTTTGGGGTACAAAATCGCATAAAGCCTGCCCGTACTTTCCAAATATGCTAATTCAGAAATTATAATTTATAATTTACTTTGTACCCTCCTTCATTGTTGAAAAGTCTTGTAATCGCTGGCGGTTTGTTCGGATACTATCGTCAATAAATGGGATGTGGCAGTCAAGTGTTCTATTCAGGGGTTCAAAAGATATGAATATCAAAAATTTATAAATACTATTTTGCATTTGAGCCAAAACTAAATGACGGTAAGGTTCCAAAAGGGTTGCTCACTAAATTTGAGCCTCCTGGGGCTCTCCCAACCGGATGATCGAATCTGGGCCCGATATAAAATGCGCCGTTTGAGATCATCTGAATCGGCGCTAGCGTCTCTACTTTCTGGCCGACATTGACGACTACATCAATGGACTGATAAAACTGCTGCAATTCTTTTTTGAGAGTCAAGTTATGGCAACAAACTATTTGAACATTCCGTCTTATCTAAAAAAAAGCTGGTCTAAATATATTCCTGACTCTTTTCTGAATTGAGCAAGATTCCGAGATTTGTTACATTTTGACTTAATTTAGATGCTTCTATTTCATCTGAATCGACAGTTATGAATACGCGGAAATCCGCAGCCAGCATGTCGATTAGAGCCGGATGACTTTGAATAATTCCTGAGCTTGCTCCATATAGATATGCTGACTTCTCCCTCTCATTAGTTTGATTAATACTTTCAGCTTTGCGACGAGTTCAAAATTGTCAAATGAGCAGACCTGCGTTGTATGAGAACTCTGCCTGAGACGGCGAATCCTCCCCAATAGTTTTCTTTGTTCGGATAGGCAGTTAAAAACTGTTTCAAGCTGGGAAGTCCGAATCCATGGTTTTCGACGCTGTCTTGAGATTTTGAGAGAGAAGGCTCGTTGAAGAATGGATCCGTGCCAAATGGGTCGATGACACGAATGCGGCACTTGATCTTTTCGAAAAATCGTCCTTTGGCACTTGGGCCTCTAACGGATCCCTCGAGCTCGGCTAGTTCATCAAGGCCCGTGTAATCTGTTATGATAATGTCTGGCAAGTCTTTCATCTCGTTGCACTTGTCAATGTTTTCCACGAACATCGCAAGCGCGTCTTCTAGGTCATTCATTGATAAAGAAAGCGTCAAATCGTAGCCGACAATGTTCATTGCCCCCAATACATCTTTCATCTTGATTCTAGCAGCATTTATTTTTCAGGATTCTTTAATTTTAAATATTTAAAAATGATAAACTTGTATAAGATAAAAAGTAGCTCTTAGAACCATTTCCTGACCAAATGCTTAGCAAATCAAATCTATGCTCATCTTTAATCAAATAACGCATGCTCGATGGAAGGTTTTCGGCAGCGCCAATATGTGCTATCACTTTCAATGTCTCAGGGGTTTCACCAGTCCATTTCGCTTTATAAGTTGCGGCTATTTTGTCCCAGTGGTCGACTTTCTGCTTGATAATTTTGGGAAGGACATTTTCTTTGCTCAAAGATTTTTCGACTTTGTTGACAATGCCAGTCAGTGATTTCAGAGGAACTAGGAGGCCCTCATCTTCAAAATCATCATCTTCGCGATTAATGTTTTCGCTTTTTATTGTATCGGGACTAGGGCAGAGATTATGCTCCTTGTGCAAAAACTCGAGGATAAATCTTAGATCATCCTTTTTCGTCATGTCTAAACAGGGGAACATAAATTCTTTGTTTTTGATAATTGCTTTGGTAAGGTCTCTATTATTTATAATTAATTTAGTTGTGAAAACACAAAGATTCTGCTGAATATAATCGAAACTGTCCTAGAATAGAAGATATGCACCCTGGCCATAGCGAAATTTCTTCGTCTGACACATCAATAGAGGAATGCGCTGGGCCAAGGATTGCATCCGGATTTTGAAGATGAGGATTTTCGTGTCGTTTTATTTCATATTCGATTTCGTATATCTTCTTAATGTCTCTTATTTACTGTGTTTTAAAGCGCGAATTCTTTGATGACTTAATTTTAAATTAAGATCTTTATAACACGAACGTAAAAGTGAAATCATCGAGTTGTTTTGAAAATATTTCCCCTTTTTGCCTCAATGCTTTTCAAGGTTTCGAAAACGCCATATTTTAAACTTCAAGTCGAAAGTCTTAGTCGTAAAGAGTAGATATAAAAGATTCTATATTCAGAAGGAAATACGATTGCAAACCGAAACCTTGCACTTTGTCGAATGTCTCATTATCTCGTTCTTTCTGCGCGTCTAATAGCTCTTTCTCAAAGTAGTTCAATCTGTTGCCAGCGCAGGTGCTTTAGTCGTATGTAATATATAAGCTATTAGGCACATGTGTGAAGTGCGAGTGACTATACCAAAACATAAATACGTACTCGTCGAGGGATTAAGTGCTAACGCAGAGAATTACAACAAATAAAAATATCCTTCGAGCATTCGTCGCTAGAATGAATGAACTTTCCCTTTGCAGCATTGACAAGCTCCGTATCATGTATTTTAATTTTCAAGTATCCCTCGACGACTGAAAGGCGCTCAGCCGTTTCGTAATTCTAAGTTAAAAAAGCTAAGCGTGCTGGCGCCGTTTCCTTTCGCAAAAATAATTATTATTGTGAAGAAGGCAAGACAGATTCCGGTTTGCTGCTTTCGGCCACACTTTGCCAGGCGAGTGCAGAAGTTTCTCTTGCTTCGGCTAGTTCTAGCCAATGATCGAATGTGAGCGACTTGTTCAACGTTACCTGTTTTTCCATTTCGATTTCATTTTCCTTTGTTTTCGAAATTTGGAAGTGTTTTTGTCGCCTGCAGGAAATTCAAATCTATAAATGTCACACCGGCTGCGCTTCATTTCCCAACAAGAATAATTAGTTACACGAGAAGTCACATCACAAACGAGATGTTTTTGCTTCAACGATAGCCGTTTGGATTTAAACACGCACTCGGCTAAACATTGCGAAGACGATGAATTCCATTGATTGTCTAACTACTGCCGGTTTATCAACAAGGCCAGGCGAACGTGTAGGAAGTCAGCATCGTGCTCTCTAACTGTTTTGGTTTAGAACCGTGGCTCTCAACCGATAGTACACCAAGTGGCACTTTTCTGAGTTTCATTGCGCCATCTTCAAGCACAGGTTCCGCTAGATTTGGCCTCCAATTCTCGCCGAAGAAATCATCAAACTCTGAGTCTGCGGCGGCGAGTACCGAGGAAAACCGCAAGTATTCGCATTTTGTCGCTCGGGCAAATCGAATTTTCATAAATGCAGTCTGCAAAATCTGTCGCGTGAAAAGATTGATATTTCTTCTCGCTCAAAATTTGCCTCGGTGCTGGAATTTTTCGGCGGAAAGTGTTATGATAAACATTCTGTAAGTATTCTGTAATTGGCACAGCCGGAAACCACGAGGCTTTTAATTGAACAACAGTCGACGTATAATTAAATGAATTATAAAAAATGAATATAAAAAGTGAAAGACCACTCTCTGCGTTTGATGAAATGTCGATTAGACGCCGAGTATGCAGCTTCATTGACAGGTTACAGTTTTGCTTACGCCGACACACGTCTACTGAATTCAACGGTGGATTTTCAACGCATTTGCAAAGACGTGTTTTCTTTTTCTTTTGAAAGAAAAATGTGTTGCCGACACGTCCCTAAACGTGTCACTAAAGCGCACTCGTTGCTTATCAAATGTATGCCCCTTAAAAAGTTTCCGTCAACAATTCCAAGAGTACATAAGTCAGGAAATCCCTGGCTAAAATCACAACCAAAAGACGAATAGTAGCTCATGTAGCAAATTTCTCGTCGTTAGACTAATTTTATGGTTGCAAACTAAGAACGACTTGCTCCGACAGCCTAAAATTATTGAAATACTCTTCACCATTTGCACGTTTTCGGAATCTCGTTTTTTGTTCACTAAATTTCCCTTGAAATTTGCCCAAGATTGATTGAGTCACTGCATTTCTATTTGTTATGAGACAGAATACGTTCATTTCGAGAAAAATTATCATGCTTGAGCAAAAAAACGTGGATTGATTAACGCGTGAAATCGAGAAGAAAACGCAGATGTTATTGTTGCGATTTCGAAGAAACAGGAGGCAAATGGTCGATTGGTGGCCTTGAAGCTAGAGTAACAATTTATCAATTTAGAAATTTTGCAGAAGTTGTGTAATAGGCTCCGTCAATGAGGTTTTTTTCGGAGGGCCCTCAGGTGCACAGTTTGATGAATGATCAATTTTTATGATTTTTGAAGATAACTTCGTTGGGGGCAGGAAGACCTTGACAAATGGGAAAGTGGAAGTCAGAAATTGCACGTTGGTGATAACAATCAATCAACTGTATCAGATCAGGGAATTCATCAATAAGATTATAGAGCTATTCTCTGTCGAGCACAAAAAGCTTGACCGACCTGTCAAGATGATAACATCTCAATAATTAAAACGAAGAGTTTATAAAGCTTGTAATTTGGAGTGCGTGTAAACTGGACTCCGTGTTCTTCATAAATATCAGCAAACTATTAGAGCACGCGTCCGATATTCTCTCGACGTGCATATTTAGGCGCCAGGTTACAAAAGCAAGGTTCTAAACAGCACACAAAACGAATAACCAACACAAACATTCGATCAGAGATGTTTTTAGAGAGTGGTCTTTTTTTGTATCACATGATCCACAGATAACACGTCAAACAAGCGTTAAAAATGTTAAGCGGGAGATTTTCGCGGCATAGAATATTTTAATTCAGCACATTTTACAACGAATGCTCAACTAGCATTTGTCGGACGGCATTCCTTGCGCTGCATCAATGGGGCAGCGAAATAACAAGAGTTAGAGCTTAAATTTATTACATGGCCCATTTGTGTTGAAATAAATGGTTAGCGTTCTGTAGCGTTACATTTATTGAGAGGTTGAAATATTTGAGCTGCAAATATTTGATAAAAGACCGAGTAAATTCAAATGTCGGTGGTTCAACGTTGCCGTGAATCGAAGAGTTAGTTTCTTCTAAATATTATTTCTAAATTGAATCTTTGTTTACTCCTTGTCGGAAATCCAAAAAGAAGCATTTCTATTGAGGACATAGTAATTGTTTATCGGCCCGCAGAGATTATATAATAAGGTTTGCTCATGAGGAGTAAATACGCCAAGGATAGTTGTTGAATTACAGATTGACGATTCTCCAGCCGAAATCTGCGATACCGCACGTTTCCCCAAAGCGAAACCGCGTAAGAATGCAAAATGCACCCAAGTGCGCAGATGGTGTTCTCTTAAACTTCTTCTCTAAATAAGATCTTGACATGAGCAGTAAAAAGGTTTTTCATCGATTCAAGCGTAGAATTAAATCGGGATTTCCCGCCGAAAAGAGTTTAAAGAGTGGCATTTATGCGTATGCAGAAGCCTGGTATTCTGGCTGAAGCGGAAGCGAGCCGTTGATCCGTCTTTGTTGCGAGTTTTGGGGAGCAAGTTTAGATCGATTGATGTGGCCTAATGTTCACTGGTTAAACGTTGGCCCTCTCAGAAACCTCAACAATGGCTCGAGCAAATGCCGAGCTAGTCGAATCTGGAATCTCCATTTCATGCTCAGTACCACTCCATCCGATTGCGGCAAATTGTAACTCTCATTGCAGTCAGATTTCTAATCGGATTTCCCCCGTTCCACATCGTTGTAAAACAAAAGGAAGCTCCGTTAAGCCAGTGAATACTTCCCTGCTCCTTCTAAATGGCGCAGACTTTCGTGATGGGGAAACAGAAGGCGCGTAAAGATTGACCCTCTCCAAGCGGAGCTGCAATATTTGATTCCTAAATACGAGTTAATAGACTTAGGAAATTAGTTTATTCGTCACCCAGCACAAAGAAAATAATTTTGGGCATAAAATATTTATTGGCTCTTCCTTGGAATCAAAAGTCTGTGTTTCTTCCGCAAATGAAAGAAATAGAACAAGTATTCACAACTAATTCACTTGTCTTCGCCTATTGATAGTGATTAGTTGCACACGAGTTATCAGAACAGGTGGACCTTAATTCGTTTCTAATAGTGCCTCTGTAACCGTTCCCTTGATCGCGCAGCGGGATGAGCGCTTTACGCGAGCGCCCCCGTCCGGCGCAAAGCATTGTATTCCGCGATCGTCGAAGGTTCCTGTGCTTGGATCATCTCCAGATACTTAATTTTTTCGCAGAAAGTTTGTCTTTGAGTGCTCCTGGTCTCCCAGAATCACAGCAAAGATAAAGAGAAAGAGAGCAATAGAAACTTAATTATATGAAGAGAGAATAATCATGGCCAGACTAAACCTTCTAGCAATTCTACCCGTGGTCATCCATGGTACGTTACTTTAATCAATATTCATTTATATGTTATTGACAATTATCTATCAAAATTTTCATCGGTATCAATTTTTTTGCTTCTAAAGTTCATGACTCATATACAGCCTTCTAAAAATGAATAAATATTCTATAACTAGAATAACGAATTTCCAAGATATTCGCGAAGGACGATGATCCTACCCCCCTGGAGTACGAGTAACTCCGCGTCCTTAATCTCGAAGTGACATGTTTCTGACATAAAATTGGTTTTCCATTTTATCGAATATTAAGTATTCATATGCTAGCACTTGTTTTGCATAGCCCAAGTACTTTCCTTGTACTTGACACGTTACTTGGCACTCCTGGTCAACAAACTTACTCAAAAATGTTGAAGATCGGGGTGTGGCGTGGCTGAAGGAAAACCAAACAAATTTGCGGTAATTACCAATAAAAAGAAGCTCATACTACACTTGGAAAATATTGCGTTTGCATATTTGTTGAGCCTTTTCGCCAAAAATTATATAATGCTTCTTCGAGGAAGTAAAATGCTAGCTTCATCTAAATGGCCGCAAAAAACGCTGTTATATTTTGAAGAGTCTTTTTATTTTTTGTTTTCATCTGGCCAATATTAAAATATCAAATGTTTCGAACAACATTCCAGCCCGAAGACAGCCTTGTCTTGACATTTTTATATCAACCAAATCCGAGATTAAAACATAGCTCCATTCTAGTACCTTTCATAGAAGCCTATCGCCCCGGAAGGCATTAAAAAGTTCCAAAAATGCAAAGAAACTGGTCTGAACGGAATTTGGCCAGACCGCGATACGGCTTCGGATTTTCTCCTGTTCCGATCACACGCCACACGTTGCGTAACTTGCTCGGTCTTTGTTTAGATGTTCTCTTTACATATAAACGTTGCAAAGTAGGCAATTTGCGACTAAACCGGAATCGCTTGAGTTTTTTATTAATTGACCCCACTCGTCTTCAATGGATTTTTCGGGAACGAGCATGCAGGAGTTCCTAACTTTTTATTTGTTAGTCAAAATATGAACTTCACAAAATCATTCAAACACCGTTTCAGGTCTAAAATATTCGGAACGATCCGCTTTCAAATGCCGTTACGACTCTAGATCTCCAGACTGCCGACTGACTGTCGACGACATCGGCCGTTTTTTCATCTTTGAATCGAACGGGTTGCCCGATCATGCCGCCGATGCAAATGCACGGCCGCAAACGATTAAGCTTGTGGTGCCAAAGACGCCTCTTGCACTTCAGGTAAACGTCGCAAATTATGTAAACTGACATACGATCTCGAATACAATTACCCTAACTCGATTGTGGTAACTCGGATCAATACAGATTGCCGAGCTCATCATTTTTCCCTCTATCGGAAAGTATTTTGTAATGCTCCGAGACAAAACCCACCAAAATAGACAGAAGCCTAGAATACTTAATAGCGCATCTAAGGTAGATTTGTTGAACTGGCAAGAAAGCTCTTAGCCAGGTGTCGCTGGGTTATCCAAATCTTTCGTCCTCTGCCACGTCTTGTCATTTCAAATTGCCCACAAAGGGGACGATAAGGGCAAGAGTTAGAAGGCCACAAAGCGAGTTCTATTCAATTAATAGCCCGAGATAAAAGCAACACCTTAATCTACTATTTTGACAACAGCTGCATGAAAGCAGAGATTTAGGGTTTAAAACTTTTTACTTCCGAATATAATCTTTAGTTGCTAAATATAAGCTTACGCAGCTACTGTATTTTGGAACAAATTTTAAATGCTATTGAAACGTGTTCTAGTCATATTTTGCCCGTGTGGCTAAATAAACAGAAAGAATGTTTTCTGAGATTTCGATTAGGAACCAGAATGTGCAGGAATGGTTCAAAAATTTACACACCGCTAGCGAGAACTTCCTCCTGGGGCAGAAATCGGCAGGAAAATTTTTCTCCGAGTTTGTAAAATTTTTTGAACCTTTGGCAGGTCAAGGAATGGTTGGATTGGCGCTAAATGGAGTTCCGATCTACAATTCGCAAACCATGGCTTGCTGCGATGCCGCAATTTCCAATTTGTCGAAGATGGATACGTGCAATGGACTTGCAGACAAAGAAGGGATCTACCGGTGAGTTGTCTAAGCACACGCTTTCAACTAAAGCGGATTCAGGTACCACATCTATCCAAAATGTTTGGAGCAGTGCTCCTTCGGCACGCGATCGGGCATCCTCGGTGTCGCTCTCGATGGGTTTCCTATTTACGGGCCAATTGATGATGATGGAGCACAATTGACTTCAAAGGTGAATTCACGTGAAATGATCCTTTATAACTTATGAGTTTTCATTGAGAGTTCTTGAGCCTTTTTTAAGTCTAGAATAAAATTTCTCAAAATAGCGCAGCTGTTTTTAAGCATTCATTAAGGACCTGGATGAGTGCCACGGGAAATGGCATGGGCACGACTATCGATACCATGTTACTGCCGATTATCCTTATTTTATTGGGTGCTTCCGGGGACGAGTTCCAGCTCAAAATAAAGCTACACCAGTTCGAAGATATAGGTAAAAATATTCTTTCAGGAGAATTTATCAAATTTGTATTTAGACGATCTTACTCTTGGCGCGAGGGTGAAAGGCTTCCTTCGAGACTTAGTGGTCCAGTAACTGTAATTATAACTTTCTATGCGCAAAAAACTAAAAGATTAACTAGACTGCTCTGAAGATGGGAGATTGCAAGACTTGCTCGAGAGTGGACGTTTGCAACAAATTCAGTTCAAATAAATTCGTTGGCAAATTTGAAGAAAACCGTCGAATCGCTTCCACCAGGACTATAAATAGCTTCCCTAAGTATACCCCTGAAGTACAAATAAAATCGTCTAGCTCAAATAACGATAGTTATCAATATAAACCACCATCAAACTTTTGGGGCGGCTTTTCGCAAAACAAAAAGTCCCTTTTTTCTGTATACACACCTCCTAAACCCGCTACTTCCCCCGCTCCTAAAGTAGCATCTACCACGGCCCCGAAAACAACCCGCTCTATAAGAAATCTAAGCGTTGGAAATATGTGGCTGAATCCAATTAAAAGAAATAAGTCCGCTAAAGCCTCAAAAACTACCGTAAAACCTCCCACAACTCATAAACCGAAAGTCCTCGCATCGAATTACAACTCGTTTGCTCGCAAAGAAAACCCAATTCCAGCCAGAAACCAAATAACTAAAAAACCGATCGAAAAGAAAACAACTGCTGCCGATCTTCTCACCAGGTATACTCAACTAAAATCCGGCAGTGCGAAGAGCTCCCCAACTACTCCCCGAAAGAATTTCCAGAAGAAAGCGAAACCTTCTACTAAAAGGACTACGCCCAACTCTTACGAAAAGGCCCAGTCTATCAAGTCTCCAATCGAGTGGGATGAAAAAGATCTTCGTCAGATGCTTGAAGATACAAGTGTCACAAAGGTTGGAAAGAAAATCGATCCTCTTGAAGCGATTCTGTCTGGTTTACACTCTAATCCATTGAATGTAAAAAAATCTGGCGATAGCAACAATATTGTCGGCGAAAGCGTTCCATTCGGAGCCAAAGCGGGCTCGGTTGACTCTCTTTGGGGAAAGGTGCAGCCCAGGCGTATTCCAAGGTATACTCATATCAAGTTCAACGTATAAGTAACTTTTTGCAAGAAAACTTGAGACAGAACTGCTGCCAACAGTACAGACAACAACGACGACGCGAGTCCCAACAACAACAACGCCAATGTGGTGGCGTTACACATCAACTCTTCCTCGGTGGGCAAAGGAAGCCTTGCAATCAATCAACCGGCCAAAGAAGTATTCGGAATACGTTTGGGTTAATGGACACAGACGAAGAGTTCCAGACAATATTCGCACAAAGCTGGAGAAAGAAAACGCAGAGAGTATGATTGTTAAAAAAGCTCTTTTTGACTTTGATTTAGAATTGCCTGAAAATCGCCTTCGAGAGCTAGAGAGCCTTGTTTCCGAGACAAAAATGTACAATAATGCTCTAAGAGATCATTTCGAAAATGGCAGACGAAGACGCCGAAGATCTACAAAAGATGCGGTAGACATCTACGATGAATTGCAGCGTGTTTTGCTTCAAAAAGGAATCTCTCCTGCAAACAACTTTTTAATGAAGAAGGATGGGATCACTGTGCTCAAGTGTGAGTCTCCACGTTTTCTTACTCCGGATCCAGAAGACGTTCACCCTCAACAAATGAGCCCAGGTAGAGTAAAATCATCTTAGACATTAATATATTTTTTCGAAAAGAGCTACTCGAAGAAATGCTGCGTGAGCGTAAAGATATTTTTCCCGTCAAACAGAGCGTTTTCTCGCGACTTTTTGATTGAAGGCCCTACTGTATAAAACATCTATTCTGTACATTTGTAAATATAAGTTGTTTCCTCTTTTATCGACTGTCTTCGATGAACGGTGCATCTCAAGAAACAAATGCTGAAGTCAACAGCTTCTAAATCCGAATTTTTACTTTTATTTACATGATTTGAGGGTCGATTATTACAGTTAAATATCAGACTCAACGTGTATTTGCATTCCGCCACAGTTCATACTCAGCATCTTGACATAATATTAAGATAATGAGGCCAAAATGATATTCTACCTTCACTAATTGATAATTCGCCAGTTCAGATGTGTGAATACCATTGACTTTTAGTATTTTATCATTCTTCTTCATTCCAGAAAGGTGCGCCGGCGAGCCCGGCTGGACATGGGTGATTGTATGCTTTCCGTCTGAACAAGATGTAACTCACTTTTTAAATTACGTCAATCCCAATGCATTATGTGCTTTTCTGAACGAGCACTTTGGAATAATGCCCGACTGGAAATGCCGAGCGAGATCTGACACTATCTGATTCTCATTCAACAAAATGTCATTATCAGAATGATAAACAAATACAAATATCTCTTTGTGGCTTCGCAGTGTCCCTGAGAATACGCACTATGCTTTTCGTGACTGTCTTTCGACTCGAAAGTTACGAATTGGTAAGAATCTTACCTAACGTAGATCTGATTCCAACACCCAATGGTAGTACTGTTTTGTCAATCTCTTCAAACGACCATCTGTCAGAAGACGACGCCGAAGAAGTGGAACCTATTGACTGTTTCTTTCGTTCGATAAACGATCCCTTTTTGAATCCGAACTCTTCAAGCCACGCTTTTGCTTCCGGCCTCTCTATTTCAATGTTAGTAAATGTGTTCTATCCGCTAAATCTCTAGTTTAGCTTTTCGTTAAATTATGTCTTGGTTAATAATGAGAAATCATTGATTTATTTTTTGCAAAAAAGGAGCTTCGATGCAAAATAATTATTTTTGCGTATTTACGATTATTGTATGATAACCATGGAAATAACTGCAAGGGGGTCTGATATTATCGTATTAAATACGTACGAAAAACATCCGAGTCCGATAGTCTTCTGGCATCTTGAATAGTTAAGTTCCGGAATTCTTGAAGTTTTGAGAAATTCGTAGTGTGTCTTCGTAAATACTAGATTTAGGATGCTGAACAGTCGAAAATAAAGCTGCTCAGACCTGCTCTTTTACTCTTCTTCTGACTGAGGGAAGATCCTGGCAAAATAGTTCATTCATCTCTGAATGGAGTTTCGGATGCAAGAGCACTTACATCAGCCGTGACAATTCAATTAGACAAACATTTAGACAACTCGCCTACGGATTAAGTGCGGATACTTCGTCTTGTTTGGATAGGAACATATTTTCCCATTTGGGATAGCAATGCAAGGCCACAAAGATTTTTATGGCACGTGTATATTGGCAAATTATTAGCACATAAAAGGGATTTCGAGTAATTACTATACAACATGAGTACTTATTGGATCCTGCTAATAACAACAATTTAACAAAGTAACCCACTCGTTATTATTCGTCGATGCGGGTTAGAATTTTTTGAAACGTAGCTTGGTAAGTATAAAATTTTATTTATATGCAGATAGGACATGTTGGTTTTAGCTGGCAGTGAGCATAATTTCAATTTACACGTGATTGAACATATTGGCGACGAATATACAAATGGCACTGTATTCACAAGCTTTCACAGTGTGCATAACAGTCTGCACATGGACATGATGAAAAGGAGAATAGTCTGAAAGACAAAGGTGAAAAATTGATATCGTAAGACTGAATTTACCTGTCCCATTCCCCAGATGATGACTACAAATGACTCCATAGACCAGTCAAGGACGAAATAAACTCCCGCGATTATGGCTAAATAAAATACTCTTTCCAAGGTCATCAATCTAATTTATGGCATACCTGAACTTATTAAGCCAACAATAAGAGGAAAGAGAACCGCGTTTATTATCAGAAGAATGGAGTACCATCTCCCTTTACTGTGCTTCATTAGAGTAAAGAGACAGGTGATAACGGCAAATATATGCATTCCTATTGAGCTCAAGGCGACAGCATAAAATGTGCGGAGCCACATTTCTAAAGTTCATCGTTATATCTTGACAAAAAATGCTGGAACATACGTTCGAAGGCAGTGTATTCGTTCGCTAAGATTTTGAATGATTCTGTTGGTGACTGAAGAATGTTTCCCATTTCGACTAAATTCTAAAAATAAAAGGTTTTATTAATTTTAGTGCAATTGACTAATGTTATACTCTAGTGTCAAAGTGACACTGATAAAAACGAATATAATATTCAGAATTTTGTTAAAAGCACAAAGTTATCCTTGTTGAATTATAGAGTTTTTAACGAGCTCAGAAATCTCTTTCTCAGTATAGCCAAGGGAGGCAACAACAGAGGAAGAATGTTCACCAAGGCGTGGTACAGGTGATGGTGGGATAAGTTCTTTGTCAAAAGTCACTGGTGTCCCTGGAACTGTAATTCTCTCACCGCCCTCGCGATCAAATGATAGTGTTAAATCGGCTACTTCTGGAAGAGTAAATGCTTCTGCAATGGAGTTAACACCGCCCCACGGAAATTTGACATTATTTTTTCGAACAATGTTTCCCATTCTTCGCGTGTCTTTTTAGAGAAGCGATCCGACAGAAGTTTAATCAGTGGCTGTCGATTGATAACACGGTTTCCCGTAGAATTAAAGCGCGTATCAACTGAAAGTTCTGAAACAATAATTGATATGCGCAAAGCGACAATAAGTACCTGGAATCGCCATAACGTCACAAATCTCTTCGAAGTGGCGATTATTCCCTGCTCCCACAGTTATGTATTTACCATCTTTTGTGGGAAAGGATTGATAAGGAACTAAACAATTGAGTTAAAAGTGACGGATCGGCAATGAAACCTAAACTAGGGTGAGCAGTTCCATATCGTTTGCCATCAATTCCAGCTGTGAGGAAGTTGGCACCAATATGACTGAGCATCGCTGCTTGTGATTGCAAAAGAGAAGACTGCACCCAAACGGCCTCATTATTGCTCTCGACGTGATGAAGGGCTGCGAGGATGGCGTTGGACATCAAAGAGCCAGTGAATAAATCAGTTACGGCTACTCCGACTCGAGCAGGAGGTCCATCAGCATCGCCAGTGATTGACATAAGACCGCCAACTGATGCAACAATCACATCATAACCAGCCCTCGTGGATTGCTGTCCGAATCCAGATAGACTTGCGTAAACTATCTTCGGATTGATGCTTTTCAGGTCCTCATAGCCGAGACCGTACTCCGCAAGCTTGCCAGGAATATAGTTTTCTACGAAAACGTCAGAGTCGGCAACGAGTTTCTCGATTATTCTCAGTCCTTCTTTCCGGCGAAAATCAACAGCAAGGCTTTTCTTGTTTCGATTTATTGAGTGAAAATAGATCGCGGTACCCTCTTGATCGAATGGTGGACCCCAATGTCTTGTATCATCGCCAGTTCCTGATCTATTCAGTAGATAATTTTCAAGAGCATACGTAGATTCTTACCTGGTTGCTCGACTTTGATCACATCAGCTCCCCAATCACCAAGAAGTTGAGTACAGAATGGCCCGGCAAGAACTCTTGTAAGGTCGACGATCCGTCTGCCTGCTAGGGGCCGAAAGACGCTCATTTCTAAATGTCTTGTGATCAACGAAGGTTCAGAGGCAGTATTTAATTTTGCACAAGATAACGCTCCCTAGAGTGGCTACCCCCGGGCAACGTGGACAAAATTTTGATTCAATTGCTTCCAAAAAACGTCTATTCCTTGCTTTCTCCTTCTTCGGCTTCTTCGTCGACACCTTAAACAACGTCAACTTAAGAGAAGATATAAATATTCGACCTCTGATGTAGAGAACATTGTTACATCGGATGAGAATCTCGCCGAGGTGGCCCGCAAGAGCACCGTCGATGTATTCCTCGGAGTTTCCTAATTGCAGATTCATGTAGCCATCAACGGCCATGAGGTACCCCTGAAAAATCCGTATTTCGAATGGTGAATGCAATTACCTTGTATTCCATCCCCCACTTGAGCTTAACCTGAACCGGTTTACCAGTGAGAGAATTCAAGAAAGGCTTTGGATTTACTGGAGCAACAGCCGCCATCGCGACTTAAACAAAATTCTAAACTAATTTTATTGAATGCGTGCTGACTTTAACTTAACGAATAGACTGTATATAATGTTGAAAATCAAAGCTTTTGAGGTTTATGCATAGACATACGAGTAATTTGATTTTATGTGAAGGAGAATTTATTGAATCATGAAATAGTTTAGGTTATTACGATGGAGATGTTCAGCAGTTTTTTTTTTTATAAAATATTTCACAGTACATTATAATATCCGTTAATCGGGGAGTACTCTATCTAGCAATAAGATACCCAAATGAATTGATTTTTGTACAGCCATAAAAAGGTCTGAAATAGACGTCAGGGATGACAGGACAGTGAAGATTGAAGCATTCTTGACTCGCGATCATTCGAACTCTTCCTGCAAACACTGAAAGTGATACTGAAGATCTCTTCAAATTAATTGGATTCTAACCTTCGACAGATACTTAGCCAGCTGCGAAATCATCGAAGTTCATCTCAGAGGCATCGAAGGAGAAACTGTCGCCCTGCTGCCCTTCGCTCATAATGTTGGTGATAATGTTCGACAGAGTAGTCTCCTGACGTTGGATTGACCCTTCAATGTCCTTGATGGGGTCTCCGTTCTGGTCGAAGTTGCCCGACGTGGAAGGAGAGTCAACCAACTCGAGATTGTAATGCGTTGGCTTATCGGAAATGATTTCTTGGATTTCAGGTGCGTTTGGATCAGAACTCATGATAGCGTTTTCTGTATTTTGTAAAGAAATGTTATTATATTTCGTCAAGAAAAGATAAATCACCAGATGAAGCTTTCAGAAAATAGGTGTTAGAATTTCCGTAATCGTCATCTTCGAGCGAAACAGGGCCACGCGTGGATCGGAGAGCACTTGTCAATGGAGATTCAGGAGCTATTTTCGGGATTGACTCAGTAACGTAATCGTTTGAGCGGACCATTTTGTACGGTCCTTCGTTTCCATCGCTGGCGCCATTGGTGAGTGCAAGAGCGCTCCGTTTCTGACCAAGTTGTAGTTGATTTGACTGAAAGAAGGGTTATGAGCATTCTTTAAATTACGGAAAACATGCACTGTGGTCTTTAATTAACAATAAATGAGTGCGATGAAAGCAATCTTCTTGAAATTTATAGGGTAAGAAGTTGCTTTCATCCATGCGAGATGTAAATGTAATCACTGTACCTTTTCATGTTCTATTTGAGGCACCTGTTTGTTTGATTGGACTTGAGGAAAGTTCTGGTGATTGCCACCGGGACTTACCGGACTCTGCTGGATGTAGTGAATCATGAAGCTTATGAGCCGATTTACGGTATCCTGCTGCTTATCATGTTTCTTACGCAGAGTGGAAACCTGTCGCCAGAGGTCAGAATTTTTCTCCTTCAAGCGCTCGAAGTCACGGTGGGTCTGTCGCTGTTGATCTTGAAGATCCTCCAAGAGGTCCGTTACGTGTTTATTCTGAATTAGAGTTACTTGTCACATATCTATCAAGGAATGTACCTGAGTGACCATAGGACGAGGCTTTGCGTCCTTTCGTCGTATCTTGGCGATCAGGTCGGGCTTGCCACGAACGAAGAGTTCATTTTGAAACTCTATCATTTCGTAGTCAACCGTGTGAAGTGTGCCTTCGGTCATCTTCGGAACCTTTGGAATAAATAGACTTTGCGACTAAAAGCTGTTGTCTCTACCTTTTTGAATCCGTACATGTTGAGCTGTCTTACGAAACTATTCATTTTTTGGTGCTTGAAATAGTTGGGCAAGACTCTCTTTGCGAAGAGATTTTGGTCTTTAACAATGAAGGATTTTCCACTCTCAGACCATCCAACAAGATCTGGATCGCCTTCATTGACTAACTGCCATAATTTCGTCAGAAATGCTGGCGGAGGATTCGCTGTAGAATCTATTTCAAACAATGAGGTACTATGTTACCGATCAAAACTCACTTTGACTTTCACTGCGGTTGTAATCAGGATCCTGTCCATCAGGTCTCTGTGCATCATTAAGCAGTTGTCGCAAATCGTTAACCCGAGACGTCATTCTTGAATAAATGCTCGTCAAATAATTAGAAGGAATTAATTTCTATCAGAAATCAAGAAGGAAGAATTGAAGAATCAGAAAACAAAATTATATGAATTAAAAGCTTTGAACGAACTGCAAATAATGTCGAATAGTGCCGCACTTTGAGTTACACTGATATTGAGCCATCTCTGAAATCGGTCGACCCAAGGAGCGCGTTGATAACCGTCGGTTTGCCTGACTTCAAAATTTCTAATCACGATATGAGTTTAAAAAGTGAAAATGTTATATACTTGAGAAAGTTAGAGCTAGATCCTTGTCCTCCGGCCCAAGTTTGATCCCATCTGCTCCAAACGCATGGGCAATTTTTTCATATTCCGATCGCTCGAGCATGTTAGCAACTGGAGAACCGAGTAATTGTTCCTGAGCGCGAAGGATTTGATTCCATCGGCCATCGTTGCCAATAATACAGTGGATATTATCGAAGCCAAGTCGTTTGATCGAATCCACCTCAATCAAGGAATACCCGCAGGACCCATCACCGTAGACAATAAGAACTGGACGATCAGGAAAAGCCGCCGCCGCACCAAGTGCGAATCCACCTCCAACACCGAGTGTACCGTAAGCACCTGGGTCAAGCCAGCTAAGAGGAGCTCTAGGACGTAAGATGTAGCTACCAGTACCAACAAAGTCACCACCATCGGCGATAAGGATGGTATCGTCTGGCAGAATAGAGTCAAGCTCCCTAAACAAATGAATTGGATTAATTCCATCAGTCGCGGGTGATGACGCTTTCTCAGCTATTTCTTCGTCACGATCATCGTCTCGATTTTTGCATGTCTCAAGCCACTCTGGTGCGACATTAGATGGACATTTCTCAAGGAGAGCAATCATGAAATCAGCTGGGTCCGCGTTAACAGCCATCTTCGGCTTCCAGAAAAGATCAGTGTTCTGCTTTAACGCGTCAGGGTCACGATTTATTGTGACGATTTTCGCAGATTTTGGGAGGTTTCTGCCGTAATTAAGACGAAAATCGGGTGGAACTCCGCACAAAAAGATTACATCGGCTTCTTTCAGAGCATTTCCACGTGCGTGTCGACATTGAACAGTAGATTCGCCACCTAATAATCCTCTGGCCATTCCTCCGAGAAAAACTGGAGCGCCGGTCTTCTCAAGAAGATCAGCGAGATGATGAAGCTTTGACGGTTGAAGAACTGTCTGTGATTGAAGAACGAAGACAGGCCGTTTAGCTTGGAGGAGTAACGACTTCGCATCCTCTACGGCCCCTTCTGAAATTGGAAGAGCTCTCGGAGTAATCATCGAAGCTGAGTTGTCGAATCCTCGCGTGAAGAGATTGTGAATGTAAGCGTCCAGAAAAAGTTTCACAACTTTCGCTCCTGCAGTATTACCAGTAGGCGGGTTTAGCTCACTTTGTGCCATCTCCATCGGGTAAAGAGTGTCGATCGGCAATTCAACGAACACCGGTCCAGGATTGCCAGAAATCGCGCATTCAATCGCACTGTGTAGTGTTGGTACAATGTCGCGCACAGTGGAGACAGTAAACGTTTCCTTGCACACAGTTCTCAGAACATCCAGTTGCTCGATGTCTTGAAGGGCCCCTCTCCCCTTCAGCAAAGTCGCCGCAGCGCCACCGAGAAGTAGAACGGGGCTTCCCGCCATTTGAGCGTTTTTCAGCGCTGTAACCGTGTTGGTAACACCCGGGCCAGCAGTAACAACAGCTACCCCGATGCCGCCGGTTAGTCGAGCATTCGCATCGGCTGCAAACACTGCATTTGACTCATTTCGTGTGTCGATCACGCGTATTCCGAGTTCTTCGCAGCCGACAAATATTGGTGAGACATGTCCGCCGGAGAGCACAAAGATGGAATCAACAGCATTCGCCTTCAAAACGCTCGCCACGACGTTCCCGCCGTGTCGTTTTTCGCTCAGATTCGGAGCAGGCATCATAGCATAAGACATGATACGCCTAAGACGGAAATGTAAGAAGACGATAATTAAATATAGTAACAGCTTGTTAATAACAAGGGTGTTTAACGCTCACCTTAGATTAGAGGTTTTCCACGTTCGACTGCATATCTGTCGAAAGCGCCGAAGCGTCGACGACATTCTTAATGGATCTTTTGTTCCATCATATTTTCTGATTCGATCCAGTAGACAGATTGAACAAGTTATGAATTTCCGACTCTGGACAGAATGCGAAAAGCGAAGTGTGAATGCTTTGCACTGTAAGGAGTAATATGAAGACATGTCCTTGGCTAGTAGGGGTACAAGAGTTAAAAGTTGAATAGTATGAGATCGTCGTTGTTAGTTGCTCGGCGTGTGGCCTATTCGATGTTGATAGAAACTGACCATACCAGACGTCCAGTTCAATCGGAAAATGCATGATAATACAAAAGATAAGGCTATAGGCACCAATGGAAGCAGATATACTGTACTTTTTTGTAGATTCGGCTGAATACTAAACAGAAAGTTAGCTTTGTGAAGATCAGACGCGAACTTACTTGTAGCCGAGGAAAGTAATGTACCAGTAATAAGTTAGAGAGACAAGCCAAAAACTGTTTCCGAGAAGTATGGGCAGGAAGTTTTCGCTTCCGTTGATGAGCCAAAGAAACGGCAGTTGAGCACCGTGAAGAATTATCAGAAAGGGATAGAAAGAGTTTAAGTGTACATCGAAACAAAAGCCCCACTCCAAGTCGTTGCCTGAGCGAAAAAAGTAAATCAAAAAATATCAATCCAAATACCTCTTGAACGGGGATGTGACAGAAGAAATTTATTTCCAATAAACCAGAAGAATGTTGCAACCAACATGCCGCAGCCAATACAATCGATCCCAACGAGCCAAAACATCACAAATAGCATGTCCCGAATCGGGAGACTTGTAAGAACACCGAAACTGAGCGTAAGAATAATGAATGTTAACGCCAACATGACGAGAAAGGCAGGATCATCTCGAGCGAATTGACCTTTTGTTGTTTTTCTTGAGTTTCTTTAGTGATGGATGAATCAGAAACGCTTACCTGTATTGGAAGTCGACGTAAAGCTTCTGCGGACATGTTAGCAATTTGTGCACTTGCCAAAGAGCAGGGGTGACCATTTGGGCAAAAAATTATCGTCGGGCCGACCAATTGCCCGCCCAATACCAAAAATCAAGACCCGGGCCCACCAAATGCCCGACCAGTCCAATGTGCCCAGAATGCCCAATCGGGCGATTGGGCAATTTTTCGGGCAAAAATTTTCCCGGCATTTCAGGCTTCTTAAAACTTTTCTTTTTTACTTTTCTTTTAATAATTTGTTTCAGTTGAAGTGATTGAACGAATTTTAAGCAAAAAAAGGCTCTTGAAAGGTTTGAAAAATATTTAAAAGGGGTCGAAAAAATAATTATGTAAAAGTTCCGTCCGGTTGTCAAGAATAGACAGCTAACCATAAAGGTCCACTTCACACACTCTTGCATAACCGTCTCGAACAAGGGGTTCAAAAATAAGGGATAAAAAGGATCTGGAGGTCAAGGGTAGAGTCTACCGTAGACAGCTAACCTTCAAGGTGCACTTCACAGACCCTTGCAGAACCATCTCCGCAAAAAAGTCGAGTTAACGGGGTGGATATTTTCATAAAAGGATCAGGAGGTCAAAGGTAGACAGCTAACCATTGAGGTCCACTTCACACACCCTTGCAGAACCTTCTCCTTATATCTTTTTTTTCTTTGCGAGCTTAACGACCAATAAGCGGGCAGGAAAACGCCCACGTTCGTGATTTTCCCCGGTGGGCATTTGCCCAGCTGCCCAATGGTGCCCAACTGCCCAGAAAATGCCCAAATGCCCGACGTATCCCATGTTGCCCAGCCTATTTTCAGGCGTTGAGCCGACCAAATACCCGCCCAAAAGCGTTTTTGCCCGAAAATTGCCCGATTTGCCCAATGCCCAAATGGTCACCCCTGCAAAGAGCATATTGGAAGTCCATCTGGCGAACGTAAAGCAGTCTCCTGCAGAACTTCCACACCTAAAGCTCGGTTGAAGCGTCGTTTATCAGAATAAAATGAACCTTGAGAAGGGCATCTTTTGGCTTCGGAGTGCAGTTCGGAGTATATGCTGACGACGTTGCCGAATATCCCGATTTCACACTCAACGGCATCTCAAACTCTCGCCGTTGGCATTCTACAAACGAATTCATGGTCAGTGTCAATCATTAACTCAGGCAGATTATATTTTACAAGAGCTTCAGACCAGCTGAAATTTTGCTTTTATAATTTGCAACCAACGAGTCAAAGGACTGATCTTCCTTCCGTTCTTTCGGTTTCACGCCTTTTTCCTTTTTAACAGATACACTATAAAACATTAACTAACAATGAGAGTAAATCAAATACCTCAGCTTCTTCAGGTTTTCCTTCCGTTTGAGCTTCCGCTCTTGCTGTCGCTGAAGAGTAATCTTTCCTTTGTCACGAGCTCGAATTTTCGTTCCCGAATGTTTTGGTCGCTTCAGTTGACCAGCTGTTTAGGTTTCTCAACTGTTATCTCATTAATTGAGCCGGTCAGTCGAGTAAACCCATTCCTATTCCTCGCTGAACCGTCATTCCACCGTACTCCGGCTTTGAATCATATTCATCAGTTTTAGCTGACTCTTTCGGAGATGTCTTCTTTTTCAACGACGAATTCTTCGGTTGAGATGGTTCGCTTTTCGTTTCATTGATCTTTGCCTCCGCAGACGTACCGTCCTGATCTCCCGCTGCTTCACTTAAATATGAGTTTCAGCCAGATGGCATTCCGATAAAATTGTTACAGTCTAGCCGCCCGTCGCTTTTTCTTCCGCTCTTCGCGAGCGATCTGCCACGGTCGTTTTCGCTTTGGAATCTGGCCCGGCTCTGGTTCGTCTACATTCATCGCCTCCATCTTCTTCCTCAGTTCGATCTTCTTCGAGTTACGTTCCTTCCTATCCGCCAATATCTTCAAGGCTTTTGCGTTCTCGACGGCGAACTCAACGATCGGTCGTTTGTCGTCGAAAAACGCCGTCGGATGATTGTTCAGGATTCTAAGCGCTTTCATCGCGTCTGCCTCGCGTTGAAATTTGATGAAAGCAAAGCCGAGGCTACAAATTTAAGAAATTACATAAGAAGAGTATCGATCCACCTTTGGTTCTGCTCTTCAGGGTCAGTGCTTCGCATGAGATGGCACGATACTGTTTTACATTTTTTCTTTCCCACTTCCTTTTTAATGTCTCCGTTCGCCGCCTTTCGGGCGAGCAAATGAACATCCTCTTCGCTAAAGCTCTTCGGAATATTATGAATAACTTTGAGGCTTGAAAAATGAAAACTTTTAATACTTTATGTAAAAATAAAAATCTAATTAATAATTAACAATTTGCCTAGCCCTTCCTATTTTCGAGGAATCGACAAAGTTCTCCACATTTTTAAGCTTTTGAAACTTGAGTTCCGCGAACTTTTGTCTACGAGCTCTGTCTTGCTCGGAAATTTCCTAAGAAAAGAATGTTAACTATAAAAATGAATGTTATTATCCCCAGAAATCTTTACATTATATTTGAAGTAAAAAAAAACAAGGAATTCTTCATCAGTTCTTAACGATATAACTCCGCAAAAAAAAAGTTATCACTGTAGAGTACCCCTGAGTTAGATATTCAATTTTGAAGTAAAAATAATCGAGTTCATTTTGACAGATTCATGGAAGTAAGCGCTGTTTTGAGTAAGTACCTGGCCCAAGGCAAATTTTCTTAGAAAGTTCGGAGGGCACTCTGAGACAAAAGAAAATGGGGCAAGTGACGATTTTGGGTTGTTCTAGACGATTGGGGAAAGCGGGAGTAAAAGCTGGGGTTTCGGAGATAAGCGGCGGCGGCGCGCGCTCACGTCACAGCGCAATAATTCCTTCGAGAAGCTTCACGAAGCCCAGTTACCTCAGCGCCCTAATGACACCTCCACAGCCAACAATACGCGATCCATTCTACTCCCAAAGTTCACTACATTACTCATCTGAAAACAAGAAAAAACTCTTCCGTAGATCCTTACTAAAAAAAATCAAAAAAAAAAATTTTCTAATTTCTTAACATTGCAAAGTTTCCAACTAGTGGAAATACTCTAAAAAATGAATTCTAGATAGCTGTATTTATTTTCGATTCCACATTGTGTGCATCGATTAGTTTGAGGAAACGACGCTCGAGTGAGTCCGTGAGTCATTGAGCTCCTAATTACTCATAGGATTGTGCAGCAGAGGAAGGCGAAAAAATGAATAGAGCTGTTTTATCAAGAAGGCCTATTTTCACGAGGAATGTCTCCATTTTTCATTTTCAAGTGAATTGAAACCAACTTCGTTCTCAGTCAAATTAGCATTTCATCTTTTTACTTTATTTTCACGACTTGAGTAAAAGTGGAGAATCAGTTGAAGGATAGTTAATCCAATTCGGCAATCGACGCTGCGAAATTCTGGTTCTTTAGTAGAAAGATGGAAAAACTCACGACGCTTTCTGGCACAAAATGGAAGCGTATTTCTAGTTATCAAATTCGGCTCTTTCACGCCTCTCATGTACCTATGCTACCATTTGCCCTCCAAGTTCGGCTACGAAGACATATCCGAGTTCACCCGTCAAACTCTTGATCAACGTAAGTCGCTTACTCGCGAATGAGGTAAAATTTTCTTCCAAGCATGGATTCGGAATTTGGGAATCGATGTCGATCATCACCTGCCGAAAGAAGGCGAAGAAAGCGAACCTCCCAAGTTCATGCAAGTGCTAATGAAATACTCGCCAGTCAAAATTCCCGATCAATATTTGACAAAGAAGTTTCTGATCGACTTAGCAGCAACATGGGTGATCTACGAATTTATTATCGCTCCCGTTAAATGGCCCTACTATTTCATCGCAACCAACTACGCGGTCAAGGTACGTTCCGTCTTACGAACAGGCTAACTTTACTTGTAACTTTATTTTTTAATTTTACTTTTAAGGGTCTACGGCGAGCCGGCCTGCTGAAACAGCTCAAGTAAGCGAAACTGCCAGCAAAGCTTATATTTTCTGGAGAAAATCACATCCAATAAACAGATATATCTTTTTACTTACGTTCCATGCTTTTGAGCCCTCGCGAATTTCGCCTTCCTTCGCCAGAGCAAGGTTGCGTTTGTCGTTCTTTGCATTCTTTTCTATTTCCTTTACTTTTCTCATATTTTCGACGGTGGATTGAGGCAAGGCCGTTCTGGCGAAGACGGCTCGTCCATTTAGGGAGAGCTCCTTCGTATGTACGACAACTCTAGATGAATTACCATAAGAATTTTTCGGGCAAAAAAATTTTTTTTGAGATATTGGTATATTCTGAAAGCCCGTAAAAAGTTATACAGAATCACCAAATTCTAGGGTCAGATGACGTCATTATGACGTCATCGGGCTGATTTGAAAATTTTGTCTTTGGAACGCTTTTTCGAGCCGAAAACGTTTTTTAATTTTATTTTTCTCGACGGATTCGGATTTTCCATGAAAAACTACCGACGGTACTGAATATGTAACGAATGTAACGAATGTAACGAAAACTCAAAAACATGTCTTTTTCTCGTTACATTGTCAGTAAAATTCTAGAGATTTTTTGTTTATCTTATTTCATCCCCTTGAGTTTCCTACAAATTTACCCGCGGAGCGGGCGTTTTTAATCATTCAGAGCAGGTTTGGAAAACGAATCTACCATATTTATGCTATTCTGCATTCTTTTTGTCTTTTTTTGCTCTTTTCGATATATTCAATTGTTGAATAAAGTAAAACTCCCCAAGATCGCTCTTTAGAAAAAGTTTCTAGAATCAGCTAACAAAAAAACAACATGTCTCCGTTTTCGTTACATTGTCAGCAAACTCGTTACATTCGTTACATTCGTTACATATTCAGTATCGACCAAAACTACGTAGGGACCCGGGATCAAACCATTGAATATCAACCATTACCGACCGGTTCAATTTTTGAAACCGGTCGGTTCGAAAAATAAACCTCGGGTCCCTACGTAGTTTTTGATGGCGAACAACATGCCATCAATAGAAAAATCTATTTCCAGCAAAAACAGCCTCAAAAAGCGTTCCAAAGTTTCATGAATTTGGAGCCTTTTCGGACATTTATTCATCATAAATGACGTCATAATGACGTCATTGAGCCCTAGAAATTTGGGAATCGACTAATTTTGACTTGGACTTTCAGAATATACCAATATCTCAAAAAAAATTTTTTTGCCCGAAAAATTCTTATGGTAATTCATCTCTAGAGGAAATGTTACATGAAAAAGAAGACTGTTAAGATTCTTACTTGTCAGCTTCGTCTTTTGTTTCGAACTCAACGAAAGCAACTCCTTTTGAAACGCCGACTTCATTCTTGACGATAGAGACCTTTACCGCTTTTCCGTAAGGCTTGACAAGTTCTTCTAAATCCTCCATAGAAGCGTCGAATGGCAAATTCCGCAGAAAAACAGAGCGGCCTTCTGTCACGTCTGATGTGTCGACCTCAACCTTTTTTTGCTTCTTTTCTGGTTTCGTTTTCACTCGATTTTGAGGTGCTTCGTCAATGACCTCTTCCTCTTCGTCTGAAGAGTCCTCTTCTTCTGTCGATGACATTGTTCCGATCGGAGCGATTTTGTTTTCATCATCTTCGTCGTTAGTTGGCTCCTCTTCTTCATCTGATGAGTCATTGTCTTCTTGAGGTTCCGTCGTCTCGCTCGTTTCTTTATTTTCTGCCTGATAATCTTCTCTGGGAAGACACCAATCTACAGCAACCCGTCTGTTATCAATTTCCCTTACCGCCTTCACAGCTTTTGCGCTTTCATGTCCGTGTGTAAACTGGACGAATCCAAAGCCCCTCATTTTCCCGTCGGCTTTGAGCGGAATCTTGACTTCCGTAACCGCTCCGAACTTGTGGAAGACATTTTTCAGTTTCTCTTCCGTACATGACCAAGGGAGGTTTCGAATGATAAGCCGCGTTCTTCTAGCTTTCTTTGCATCGTTATCTCCGACCAGTGACGCGTGGATACTGCTTCCTTCGTACTCGAGTCCACAGAGGACGTTGCACGCTTTCAACGCGTGTTTCTTTGCTTTATATGCGATCGTCACGGAGTCTTCGTTGATTTCAAATTCGTCGGTAACGATGTTGTTTTTCTTGGTCAGTTCGCGGAGGGCTGCAAAAGATGGGCTCTTCAATCCGGAAATAGACACTTTGTAAACTTTGCCCGATTCACTCTTCGCTTCTTCCTTCACTTCGGATTTTAAGTCTTTCTCTTCTTTCACAGAAGCTTCTTCGAGGTCCTCATTCGTTTCCGGAAACTGTCTTTTTGTCTTAAACTTTCCATCATTTCTCTTCTGCGTGAATTTGGAATCACTTTTCTGGTCTTTTCCTCCAGCAAATTTCTTTGAAAATGGTTTGGACTTTCCTTTTGGTTTTCCACTGTTAGGCTTGACTAACGATTTCTTGTCCTGAAATTTCGCCCTGCGCTCTTTGATGCCCATTTCTGAAATTGACAATATAAGAAATGACTTTTAAATTGTTATCAATAATTGCAAAAGACAATTGTAAATACAAAGAATACTCATATTCAGCGAAGAAAACAGCGGGTAAATCGAAGATTGAAAGAAGTACAGTATATCCATAACCTGAATATAGACTCTATATTATAGAGAGAAGTGAAAGAAATTAAATTATCTGAAATATTAATTGGAAACAGAGGGAGGAATGCTGTGTTCTGAACGTACACGGAAAATCTACATAGTGTCAAATTGCATCATTCGAAGAAAATCATTTGAAAAAATTATTTATCTCACCATAAGGCCACTTAATCAGAAACAGAAGTAAGAGATATGAGCGAATTCACTTTATCCTGTGGGTGAGTGAGGTAAACATGTGGTTAGAGGACAAAGAGAAAAGTAGAGGCGTTAAATAGATAAAAAGGGCGGTCCATTTTTTGGTGTTTCACTAGTACTGGTGTTTAACGAGCTCGGGGTACGTTTTTGGCCAAGAGCTTCCCACTGGGAGGAAAAGTCCGGGAAGGGGGCATCTTGGAAAGGATTCGGTGAGCTCGAGGTTGACGACATACCAGCCGATCCAGTCTTTGTGTGAAATGAGCGTTTTTTATCGACTAAAGTTACTTACATATCGGACACTATAGCTTCTCTGGAAAGCGCCGGTCGGAGCTGAGTACGAGTTTGGCATTCGCTGGCTCGCGTAAGCTGGGTTAAAGCGATTGAAACCACTTCGAGCTGGTATAACAGGCGGAGTTTTCCCTCTTTGGCTTAATCGTGGCGTAGAAATGCCCACTGAAGATCCAGACTCGCCAGTCTTTAGCAAAGGAATTACATCGCGGGATATACTTTCAATCCATCGGTCTCCCGCTCCGGAGCAATCAGTCGAGCCAACCTCCGACTGGCCATCGTCTGTGACCGAGGGGGCTTCTTCACGAGTTGCTGCGGGAAATGCGCTTTCGAAGTGGAATTTATCCTTTTCCTCTTCTTGAGTGGACCAGGGGTTACTCTCGCGAATTGGTTGCGCTATTGGCTTTGGAGCAGGACGCCTTCAAACATTTTACCTTCTTATTAAAATTTCATTTATTACTTACATTACTTGCATGCTTTGACTTTGGAGAATATTCCGTCTAAAAGGCTGCACCGCTTGTATTGGCTTTGTATTTTCAGGCTCTAGTTCAGGTACAGGGTTAAGGACTTGATGGCCTCGAAATTTTTCAACATTAATTTGTAGTTTATCTTCCCGTAAGCTCGACGTCTTGAAAGCATTTTTCGATGGCACGAATAGTTTAAAGCTTGGCTGTCTTTTTAATTCTTCTGGAGCTTGAGGGCGCGGTAAGGATTTGATCTCGAACTTGATTTTCTTCGATTCCTCTTTGCTAGATTGAAAAGTTAACGCCGTAACGGCAGCAGAGCTAACCTTGATTCAGAATTATCGCTTTTCGGTGGCTCGCAATAGCCCGGATCACTCTCAGGCTTTGTAACAATAATTTCCGCTTTTGTAGTTACTGGCTGCTCGCTCATGAACGAAGTTTCTTCTCTGATTCTATTCTCTGCAAGTTGGAGACTTTTCTTTTTGTCGTAACATGCTCTGAAGGCAGCACCGAATGCATTCGATAAACGTTCACCTTCTTTGGTCATCGATGAAAAACTAAAATTTTTGATAGCCGCGTAGACATGTTTCTGCACTAACCTGTAGCACATCCACCTTTTCGTTGCACCATCTCGGCAAATGTAAGAAAAGGCGGCCTCATAAGTGCTATCTGGTGCACAGAAAGATATCTTCTCAATCGACTGGTCGAGTATTAGTTGCTTGCTCTTTTCTTTTATCAGCCGTACAGCATCGGGCGAGATGACCAACACAGCTCTGGGTTTGTTACGTTGTCTTCTCAGCTTGTGCCGTTTCACAGCTTCCTCACAATGATGAATACCACGTGGTTCGGCGACTTCAGCGCATCCCAGATACTTAACCTGGAAAAATTTTATAAACTGGTCATCAAGAAAAGAAACGTACCCGAAACTCACAAGTTCCATCGTTCACTTTCCTCTCGTCGTCTTGCCATTCTACAGGCTTTTGGGCGTCCGCTGTCAGTTGAGGTGGCTTTGGCTTACGCTTTCTGAAGCTTCTTCTGATAGATTTTAACAGACCGCTTCCCCTGCTAAAGGACGCATTGTGATGACTATTATCGTCTTGCCTGTCATCATGTAATAGACTCATTCTAAATTTACACGATTTCAAACAAAATACAGCTACATTTTTCCGTTGAAAAGGTACAGATATGATGAAGATTTTTCATTGATAGATTCGTTCAGGATTGATTATTGAAATATCGGATATCTATATGAAGTTTGATGCTGATTATGTTCATAAATAAACAAAGATATTCAGCGAAGCTCAAACGTCCCTAGAATATTATATTCCTTCGTACAGTGTGGACAAAGAGCAGATCCACTCAGCCATTGCGTTTTCGGAATTCTCTTTGCGTCCTAAGAAAGGTGTGAAATTAGATTCGTCAATAGGGAGCTTACCTGGTGCGATGCGAATACTCTTACGATGCAGCTGAAGCACCACATCGCAGCACAGGCGCATGACGCAAGTCTGATATCGCATCTATTCATATCGCAGGCAAAACACATTTCCATTTCTTCGTCGCATTCACGTTTCTCTAATTTTTCGTTCGTATCCACAATTCCTTTCGCTGCCATACGAAATCGGTCCCAAACAGTATTAATCTCAAAATTTTGTGTGTTGATCTCCACGTCGTCGCCCAGATACGTAATTAAATGATCCATGTCAGATGCTCTGACGAAAATATTGAAACTCGTCTGGCCATGGCTGGTCATCAAGCCGGTTGCTTCTACGGTCATATTCGTTTCGGGCTCGGCACCTCTCTCCGTCGAGGGAACTTCTGAAACACGGAGAACATTCAACTGGGCGTCAAGTTTGCGGATGATCTTCATCGAATAAGGACTCAGTTTGACGATAAACGAAGGAGAAACGATTACGTTCCCGGATTCACTTTCAAATTTGTTTCCGGAAGTCATTTCGGAATTAATCTTCGTCAGGAGCTCTAGGTAACTTTCCCCAACAATCTTTAGACGTTGAATTTGTCGATCAAGAGGACTGATCGCTAGCTCCATGATAAAAAAGGACACATAGCCAAGTGTGAAAAGAAAGGGCAGGATAGCGAACTGCAATGCTGACCAGCGAAGATCACCTTCCAAGCTGAGCCAGGAATACAAACCAGGCAAAAGACTGTGGAAGATCATCGTTGCAAAGCATCTATTTATTTGATACTGCACGAAATTAAGTCTCCTGTCTCCTAGCCAGCGAGAACACAGCCCTTCAACAGAGATCCCAAGTCCTTTGAGATCTTTAGGCTCACTTTTTGGAGTTGTACACAAATGCTCTCTATTTAAGAGACTATGATTTGATATAAAAATCAAATATTTGAGACAAATCCCCCTAACAAAAATCACGGCGAACATTATGAAGACAAACCCTTCTTTAGGGAAAAAATCGAGAAGACTCATAACATAAATATTCTCTGAAGAAAAAGTATGGCTTTATTATATTGGTTACTACTATTTATTTGTTTTCAATGTACGCAGCTCATGCAGTTTAATGACATTTATTCCCACCGCAGATTGGCTTGACGACTCTTGGTTTGCTTGAGATGATCATGGATGACTGAAGCTAATTAAGATTTGTAATAGACGAGCAGAACTTATTCCTCTACCTTGCTTATCTGTTCTTTTTGTTGCTTGAGTGTCTGTTCCAATTTTTTGCAACGGTTGAGGGTGGCGTTAAGGCGTGCTTCGAGGCGGGGTGTTTGCGATTTTAATTCATAGTTCTCTCTAACTAGAGCCTTGTGGGCAGATGTCAACTGCTCCAAATTCGCTTCCAAGAACTTTATTTTTTGCGGATGCGCTCCGCTGATCACGTCCGTCAAATCGCTCGATTTCGCGGAGACTAGCTTTTTCGAGATGTCGTGAAGAAAACTCCGTCTTTATTTGACGCAAGTTAAAAGCGCGTGCTAGAATAAGTAATCACCTCAGACCACGCAATTGATTTAGTTCTTTAGTGACTTGTTCCTCAACGCCTCTCAAGTCGATCGATGCTCGAATGTGACGATCAGTCTCAAGACGGTATTGATCAAAGTTCTCGTATTCATTGATTCTGGAACGCTGCTGCAGAAATTGCAGCCTTAGATGCGTGAAAACTTCTTCGAGTACTCGCTTGTCCGCCATCTCGCTGTCTCCGGATTCGAGAAGCTCGTCACCGATGTCTGCCGCCAATGAGTAAACCTGCTGTTGAAATACATCTGAACAACAACTTTGAATTGGTTGTCGGAATGAGAGGTCTATTGAGAACAATGTTGAAGAATTCCAAGAATTTTTTCTCACTCTTTTCGAGCGAGTCTTTGAAGGCAAAAGCGGAGTTGAAGAATTTAAATAGTTTGTGTAACACTTGCTAGCCAACGACTTCGCTGGCTTTGCGATTTGATAACGGGAGACAATGAAAAGACAAATATACAATATAGATAAAGAATACTTGATGTACAAACATTGAAGGTTACCTAAGTCGTCACGCCGTGTTTGTAGCTCCTAAAGATATAAATACTTTCTACCCAACGTAAATGTTTCAAGATGAAATCGGCTATTTTTGAGTTTTGAGCGGTAAGCTGTAATCTCCTACGGTAATAACGGAAAGTGCGACTTCTGCGAATAATTTCAAAAGAAGTCAGCACTTTTAGAAAAAATAATAAAATGTGGATAATAAATACATTCGAAAGCTTTTCGGATCTGAGTTGCGCCTCTTCCAACTGCAACTGGAGCTGTTCCGTTTTTGAAGCTTGTTCTGCCTTTTGGTCGTAAGATAACGCCACTTCTTCTAATGCCCGCATGACGTCCTAGAATGTGTTCATGGTTTTTGAACGGCTTGGATTTGAACTACCTGAACTTCTTGCAAGGCTTTTTGTTTGGCTTGTTCTTCTGACCGCTTCTCCTCTGACAAGATCATGATTTTCTTCTCTAATTCGGAGATTCGTTCGTAGTGCAGATCTATTTCTACGAAATAATAAAAACATCTGGATGTACCAACAAACCATTAACACTGATTGTGTCGTTGGCGCCTTCTGGATCTGGTCTTTCTTCGATTTCGGAGCCCCCATCGATCATTCTTTGTAGCTTCTCAAGTTTCTTGGTCTGCTTTTCGTATTTGACTCTCCACTGCTCAGCAGTGAGTTCAATATTGGTTTGGACGGAATTTTCGATTGTTTTGGCGCGCACACCGAACATCAGTGTCGATCGCGTTTCATCCTTATTAAACTCGGCCGGCGAGCAACAAATGATAATCGAAGTGCGACAATTGCCACCGAGCGAGTCTTTCAAGATGCGTGTCATTTTAGAATCGCGATATGGAATGTGTGACTAGAATAAATCAGTCAAAAAAAAGCATTGAAGCTTAGCACACCTTTCTTCCGTCTGCAAGAGCACAGATGACGTTTCCCAGGGACGACAGAGAGAGGTTTATTTGCTTGGCTTCTTCGAGTGTTTGTCCCTCTGCACCCGTTTTTGCAACTTTTTCGCTTCCAGCTAAATCTACGAGATACAGCTTTCCATTTAGAGTTGTTCCCCCAAATGTCGAAGTTTGCTTGACTTGCACGCAGAAGAGTGAGTGACTTCTTGACGAGTGCTCATTCATATTTGTCACTGAAACTTGTCGATTGCTTTTTCCCTCTTCAATAATCCTCATGACTTCTTCTGGGCTTGCCACGAATCTCTCAGTAGCCCCTAGAGACGGTTTCATAAGAAAAAGAGTATCGAAAAAGAGCTACCTTTGACAAAAGAGGTTCCCTCTCTGTCTTCGTGAACGGGGAGATTAACCCTACTCGGGTCGAGGAGATCTCTTATTTTATCCAAGTAGATTTCAACGTAAGATATTTTGATGATGAATTCAAGATGCTCCGGCTGTTCATAGATTTTCTGAAAGAGCCCTCGAGCCACTCGCGGGATGATACCGCTCTTAGACGACTGGAAAACATCACTCCCTTCCATTGTGTAAGTCTTTCCAGAGGCTGTTTGTCCGTAGGCAAACACAGTACCATTCTGTCCTAAGTAAAACAACTAGCTACAGTTTAAATATTTAGCCTATGGTTACCTTTAATAACATCATCGACGAGCTTGGACGCGACGGACTCGTACACAACAGACTGTTCAACCTCTGGATCGAACACATGATCGAAAGTATACGTCTTTCCAGCAAAGGAAACGGAAGAATTTGACTGGAATGAAGGTAGAAATTCATCTCTTCTTTCTTCCTCCGAAGGATTTAGAGGACGAAATCGACAGTAAACTTTGACGGCGCACTTTTCATCCGACTTATCGCCATTTGAGTTCATTTCTAAAGAATAGCTCTCGTCAATGGAAATTTCATTGAATATTGAAAATCAAGAAGAGTAACCTTTGATTCAAAACAGTAAAATGTAGAGATTTTGATTGAAAGGATTGGAAAAAGGGTTCCCTCGCAAAAATGAAGTCCGTCGCCCCGGTGCAGGGTGGAGCTGATCAGAAAAAGTGTAAATCAAACACGAGTGACCCCATGGAACATACCACTCTATTGTGACAGGTGTTCCTGCCATAATTAACGGAAACAAATATGGATGGCTAACCATCAATCATCGTAGAATGTTCGATCAGTGTGGAATCAATTATTGTTAAACTCGTGTTAAAAATGCACTCGGCTCATAAGATATACTGTTGAAAGCAAGTAAGAGCAATTTGGCGTAGAATATAAATATATATAAATATGAAGATGTAGAATTGCACTTCCCGGTGTCCTTGGCTACCGTAGACCGTCGACGGAAGGTCTTGTTACGAGTCACGCAGGCAATGTTACAGCATTTCGCCTTGTCGAACATCGTCAAAGTACTGCAAATGGTTCACATGGTGAGTAATTTTTATGTGGATGAATGAAAAGCTTTGATGGGGAGCTCTACGCATGGAGAAATGATTTTTATGTCTTCGCACATCAAAGACAACTCACGCGGTACCAGTGATTGGTGAAGTTCGATGATGAATGTGATAATATGGGTATATGAACGTTTACAACATTAATAAATGTCCGAGCGACTTGCCCATACAAAGCGTCGGTCACAACAGCACCAAATGTCAAATTGGATGCAGTTTAGTTTCCCTCTAGCTTTTGGGCATCAGCAGATTTCTCGCGCTTTATTTCGATTTCTCTCCTTAGATACTCTATCCTTGGGTTGGGAATTTGAGAAAATAGCGACATTCGTGTCATTTGACGGCTAACAGCGGCGCTCCGAAAATCAGCTCCCAGAGGATTCCCACCTGATCGATGGCTTTTTTTGTAAAAAATCAATACGAAACGCGGCGGACGCAGTCTGTCAAAAGTCAACAAAATTGCAAAATTTCAAACTCCGGTACACTTCTTGTTCCATTTCATAATGAATTGAATTTTCAGTGCACGACCTTACGTAATTACGAATCGTTAGCGCAGGCAAATACAGTGATTCTGACAGTTTTCATGAAAAAAGCGCGCCTATAAATTCATGAACTCATTCCAAAATACAATTCTAACTTTTGCCGATAAATTTTATTTTTCAAACTTCCATCGTCGCTGTATTTATCCGCGTTCAATTGAATAAATTATAAATTTAATTTCTCATTTTCATGCATGGCTATTTTCGGGAAATTCTTGATTATTTTTCCTGGAATTGGCTGTAAGTGTAGCTAAAGCTTTGGCGTTAAAATATATGCCAAGGAAGGATTTAAGGATATTTTGTTAAATGAAGATTTTGTTATAAATGATAGTTCCGAACCCCTAGCTAGATCATCTCCGACATCACGGCCGAATATGTCAACCATAGACTGAAGGGCGCCCTGAAGAGAGGCGACCGCTTTCTGGTGCGCTGCGATCTGGAGCTTGAGGAAATTTGCTATCAGCGAAGTTGTGTCCTTCACCCTCTCGTCGTCGAAATACTGGATTTCTGCCTTCACAGCATATGATAGATTGTCGGTTCGTCTTTTTGCTTCGTTTAACTGCTCGCTCGAAACCTAAAATTAAGACCAATCAACTCTGCGGGGCTTTCGAATGGGCGTCTCGCTGCACGCTTGAGAGAATCTGATTTCTACCTTTTGTGAAATCTGCGCTTTTCTCATTTCGTCGAGACGGCCCATCACGGAGGTGTTTGTACTAAGCAGCTGTGGCATAGCATGCAGCAATCCTCTGTACTCAAGAAGTCCTTCGCTCAGAGGAATCCAATTATCTGGCGAACAGACGGTTTCTCCAACGACTTTCATTTCTCCAGAAAAGGCCTACGAATTAGGTAATTGTAGACGATCAACATCGAAAATTCGATACCTGGAGAGCTTTCAGCAGCTTTTGATTTCCTTCTGATCTGTCGAACTGGGTGGCATCTGCCAATGCGGCTGCCGTTTGGCTTAGCTTTTCATAATCTTTCTTGCAAGACGTACTCATTTTATGCTAAAAGGAAAACGTCAACAATAGCTCATTAGAAATTCGCAATTGTTCGTCTTGAACAATCAAAACTGTTGCTTACTAACCTGAAGACTTGCGGAAGAAGAGTACATTTGATTTACAACTTCGCCCATTAATTTATTGTGTTTCGTTCTTTCTGCGAGCCAGACCTGATGTTTCATATGTTCGATTGGTTCTTCCGGAACTTTGAGTTGCAAAGAGAAAATTTCGCCAACAACAGCGTCCTTCTCTGCTTGTCTTTTTCCATTTTTCCAAATCTTTTCGTCATCTAAATAAGAAAATGACAATGATTTCTGGAGAGCACGAACCTGATGAGGTCAGGAAATGTTGAAAAACAGACGCAGATGACATCAGCGGGTGTCTGCACATTCTGACAGACCAGCACTGAAGCCGACTCATTCTATCAGTGACGAAGTCATCATCAAATCTTCCCGTCGCTTGTTTCCCAGGCAGTGGTGGAATAATCGCGACGGCCGCGTATTTTCTCGTGAGCTGCTCATGCAGCCAGTCGAAGTGCTTGTATCGGCGCAAAACGCCGCGGCCGGTATTCGTTGGCGTTATTTGGTACTGGATGAAGGTTTTCATTCCTCCCAGTTTCGAACTTTTCTCGGGATTCCCAACAGATACCGAGAAAGATTCATTATTGCCTCTCCATCTTACTATTTCGCCTTCTGAATCGACGGATGCGATGGAGTCGTCGTGGGATGGACCGGGCGATGGTCCGATGAAAAATGGATCCGTGAACTTGTTCTTTCCGCCGAAGATCCCACTTTTCTTTGAGGACGAAAGCGTGGCGTCCTGGAACTGGTCTGTCATTCCACTCATAGTCTTTTCCGATTCTATTTGAACGGTTAATTCAGCTTTGAATTGAGCTAGAGCCTACCGAAGCCTGAATTATACGAAGAAACATCTGTTCGAGATGGAGTTGGGGCGAATGGATCATTTTTGCTCTCGAAGGGATCATTTTGTGATGTAGAGACTGGCTGAGCAGCCGGCTTGGCTGTTCCGAAGCCGAACGGATCATTGCCGAATGGGTCGCTGCCGAAATTATTTGATGGCTGCGCTACAGATCATAAATGATGGATAGATTGCTACAGTATTCGGCGATTGTATATGTTGAAGTTTACCTGCAGGCTGTGCGGAGATTCCGAAAGCGTCCATTCCCCAACCACTGTCTGCGCTCTGCACTTGAGGGGACGGCATGGACGCTTCTACTTTCTCGACGTATGCTTCAGGTACCAAACCGGACTGGCCATTGGCGTCTGGAACCAATAAATGAATCAATTGAAAAGCGAAAGAGGATATATTTACTTTCACACTGAATCCACCCTTCGCCCACATCTGTGAAGAGAACTTTCAAAATGTCGCCTTCTCTGACGGTCAACTCTTCATTTGCGGCTTCTCCCTGAAAATCGTAGGCAACGCGAACCTGCTGATTCGGCTGAAGCGCCATCTGAAATCATCAATTGGAAATCGAGTTTCTAGCTCTAAGCTTTAGATAAGAAGAACAGTAGTTGAATTGTCAGCAATATAAGTGTTGAAGGCGGTTCGTATTGTTTCGGGATTGTTACGTTTTCTACATGGGCGATTCTGTGACATCGGCCGCCACGACAGTAAAGCGGCTTTGCGAAGTGGAAGGTTGGAAGTCATTTGCATTAATGGGCTCATCATTACTACAATTAATTTGCGTTACTACGCGCTCGCCGTCGCCTGTCAAACCTCTGAGTCTGTTGCAGCGGTGCGAAGATGTCTTGGGCGGCGGGACGTCGATCTTCTTGCGATTCTTTGTTGTTAGTATGGAAGGTGTGAATAGTATTGCAAGTTCCATCTGCTTGAGATGGGAGTCGGATCAAGTCTTCTGATTGTTTGCGTTCGGAGGGAAACTCGACAGGCTCCTCTGCCGGTTCATCGGGAATTTTTCTTTCTCGAGCGATGGATGTTGTTTCTAAACGAATTGAAAAACGTTGATGCTGGCATCGTATGCTTACCCTACGCGAATGGCAGTACCACACAAGTCCGATCACAGAGATCATGAAGATGAAGCCGCAGACCAGGCCGGTGACAAGCGCCTTTTGAATTTTCTCATCATCCAAAGATTTCTCGTTTTTCTCTTCAAGGCTAAATCACAAAGTTAGAAATCATAAATTCAACATCTTCCACATTATCAATATTTCTCTAGTCGACCCCATCATCGGCCGCACTAAGCTATCCCGGACAACGGTATTTGTGATTTCTACGGAAACTAATAAGGATCTAACATGGATCACCCTTTCTTTTGTCTTTAATCCCCTATTTATCCAAGCAAGACGCGTTGCTTTACCTAAGTTGCATAAAAATTAGCCAAGTGAAAGTATCGTTCTGTCTCTCAGGGTCAAAGTCGGTCTTTCCCACAGCAGATCGCCGTGATTAAGCACCAGCAATAAATACTTCACAATAATGGTAAGAATCTCCCCAGGGCAGATTATCCTGCTCTTCTTCTGACCATCCCTACAATTTCATAGAGCAGAGCAAAATGCATCCTTTAAATGGTAATAAATTATTACTAATAATGGTATTAAAGAAGATTGCTTATGAGAAAGTTCTGTGATTAATCTGAAAAGTTTGCAGCTATTACTTAGTCAAAGTTCGAGATAAACTTTAATTTGAGGGCCATAACTTCACATGAATTATTGAGGAGTGCGTCAAATAACCATAATTGCGGTTGATGGGGCTTGAGTAAAGATGACATGCCTCATGTTAAATAAAATGAGAGATTAACTCGACCCTATCCTGATGAGTGAAGGGAGAGAATGAAGAGGACGATCGGGATATCAGGAGAGATGTGTGCTGGAAGGGTCTCTCGTTTAGCTCTGATTGGCTCGTTCCGGCTACGATCCGAGAGCAGCATTGTCTGCGCTGTCTCCAGCAGACTGGCAGCAAACATTTTCCAGAAGTTGTTCTGTGCAGCACTCTGGCTCGTGCTGCCTTTCCCCGCGGAATCGATTGCTCTTTCCATAGATCGATAATTATTTGTCTGAGAAGCGTTTAGTAAAGCGCTACGCCATCCCTTACCTCCTCTGTAAGGGATGAAAGAAACACTAGAAAGGTCATTTCCGCGGGATTAGGAAGACTAGCCATTTAAGCTTAAAAAGAATCCAAGTGGCTTTGCAAAGCTCGTTTAGCCTGACACCCCGCGTGCCCCAGTTTGCGCCTCCTACCTTACACTCGAAAAAATCCCAGTACTTTTGGCCAGTTGAAATCATTGAACCCCCATCTTGCTTGGATGCCCTGCTCATATGAAATTCTCTCTTTCATCCGCCTCTTTGACTCAGTCGTCGGAGATCGCGAGTAAGTGTAGTTGACATTTGTTTTTATTAGATTTCCGCGGGGAGAAAATCCCAGACAGGAACATTCAAAAAGCAAGTGTATTTGAAAGCGTAAAAGAAAAACTCGCAGTGACAGCGCAAAAGTGTAATATTTGTGTATTCACGCGATTTCGTTCGTAAGTTCGGCAATGATTTTCTCAAAATGGCTCAACGACGCGGCCTTATCAGCAAGAAGGCGGTTCTCTTCTGTCAGCTCAGCGTTTTCCACCTGAATGACGTTTTATAAAATCAAGGGTATCCCTTAGCAGATTTACCGCGAGTTCTTCAAGTTCTTGTTGGCGCACCTCCATGATTTCACAAAGAGACTTGTTTTCTTCGAGCGTCTCGTTCAGAGCTTTTTCCCGCTCCTCGGCTAGCAAAGAAATGATTACTTGTTGAGTTCTCCAGCAGACCTAGAGATTTCCAGTAAGCATCGTTCGGCTGGGACGATTCCAGGTCCACAGCGCTGTCCACTGCGTTCTTTACTGGGGAGTACTGCACTCCCTTCGTTTCCAGAATTTTCTAAAACCTATTTTTTGGAAGTGAATTGACTATCATTACCGGTGAATTCAAGGTAAAAGCTAATACCTATTCTATCGTGAGAATTATTACTGCTTATGTTTAAGTTCCACTTGAAATGGATGGTACAATAGTGCTCTCCCGCAGAGCAAATTAATTAACTTGCGTTTTTGGCTTTCGACTTTTCGGGAGTTGATGAATAGACGGTTGATTTATCGTTCTCTATTGTCGCTTTGTCCTTGAAGATGGTGAAGGCAGTGATGGACTGTTGGCGGGATTTCCTGAAGTTACCCTAAGAAAGCAGCAATTCACTCCGGCCTACTTTGACATGGCTTCTTTGGCGTTCTTCAGCGAGGTTGGGTCAGAATCGCTGCGAAATCGAGATTCCTGGACTGGTTTCAAAACTCTATTCTTCACGTCTAATGTCATCGAGCAAAGTGAAACAACTGGTGGTGGTACCGCCCGGGCTAGCAACTGAAGAGATCGAAATTTAGTTATCTGATTTTCGTGCTGACCAGATAACAAAGCGAAAGACGAAACAGGAAAACGAAGCCATTATTGACAGAATTTTAACGGAATGGAGAGCTGATAACTCACAGCGAATACTGATTCGCTGGCGATCTGTATTGGCTCATCCGACGACTCTTTTCGAAGAGCCTGACTCGTCCACCCACGCCCGAGTTCACAAATTTTATTTCGGTAGTATTCTTGGCTCGCTTTCACAGGGAAAATACACACACCGGGGACAATGACCGCGCATACTCACTCGCCACCGGAGAAAATCCACACAGCCACGTTTAAACGTCGTTTCGAAAGGAAAGAAAGAGAGAGCTCCGAGTTGGGAAATCACGTGAGAAAGAGCAGAGCTAGGAGAGCACCGAAATCAGAGAAGAAAAGCACGTTTGATTCGTTAATTAGTATTCCTATCTTTGGTGAATATTTAATCAGTAAATGAGCGGGGGCTGTTAGATAACTACTTTAAATTGAGAATAAATATTTGCTGGCAAAGTGCGTCCGTCGTTCTTTAGGACGTAATGAACTCGCAAAGACCAGGGATCCCGAATAGGAGCACGTGTTCCTCTGGGGTTAAACCCATTTATTTATTTAAAGCGTGCTTGGCTAGAGTTCAACCCACCTACATTACAAACAACCTCCAAATTACCATGAAGTTGAGCAGTTAAGGGAGATAGGAGAATCTGCCCATGTCTGAAGACATGTGGCGAGAGATATTGGCCCGGGACATGGGCATTTCTGAGCGCGCCTAATTTTGGGGAGAAGCCGCGCAAACCCTTGTCGGCTCTCTCATTGGCTCAGACCCGTTTACTTTCCAGATTCTGTTCTTCAGAATCTCGAGATTCTTCTAAACCGCCAAGCAAGTGGTTAAGAAATTTTCTAGACTTCCCCGACAGTGATTTGTGCGGGATACGGGGAAGGGGGCCCAGGGGCTTTCTCCCTCAAGAGTAAAACTTCATGGTACTATACTCTCCTATATGTTTACAGAAAAGAGATCAGATTCGGATTTTAAGAAGTTCTGCCTCCTTGGAAGTATATTAGGCTGGTATAAATGAGGATTATTCATTCTACCCGCTTTGCTGTAGTGTTTCAATTTTGAAGTATAATTGATGACAGGGAAAAACAGGTCCGCCAGTTTACAATTGAATGTGAGAAATAGCACATCTGGCTGGTCGTTAGGGTTCTCCATTGCGATGGCGTTGAAAATGAATCAATATTTTCGAGCTGAATGTGTTCTCAAAGCTACGTCGAGTGTTCAAATAGTGACTTCAAATATTATTATGACATAGACATATACGCCAGTCAGCTTTAGAGAAACGTAACCGAGTCCCGTTTTCCATTTTTTGGCTCGTGCTCATCTACGCGTTAGGCTGATGAGATGAGTTTTCGTCATTCATAAGTAAAACGTTGAATTATTTCTTGATTATACAAGTATTCGGGAAGAGCGTCCCCCTATTGATTTTTTATCTGTACCAAAGAGAAAAGAGAAAGCCTTGCTCATCAGCATTCGAAAATAGACTGTTTCCCTGCTCCGTTCTTGTTCAACTCGCTTGGGCGCGGTCAAGGACTGGCCATGAACTCGCACTGAGTTCATTCTCATTTCTCGTGAATATAAACATAACGCTAGTTATTTGCCTACTTTATGGTGGCTATTAATGTAAAACTTGGGTTACGTAAAATGCGAAAATGACGACTTGCTAAAAACTACTAGAATTTAGCAAAAGGCAAACTAGCCCAGCTAGTCTACCTGGAAACATGAGATGAGAGAACTTCTCGTTTGAACAGAAAAAGAGCGGAGGAGAATGAGTAGCAGTCAGACATAAATCAAGATCAAGAGTACTTCCATAATGCGTCTAAGGCCAGTCAGCCTTTTGTCTGCTTAAATTGCTGGCAATGGGACGTGGCTTACGTAAAGCACGAGTACGGGGCCTTTATGTAGCAGGGGCCATTCACCTCTATTTATCGAGCGTTGCCATCAATACCCCTTTGTTTATTATATGAATCAATTAAAATCGACTTTTTCCTTTTGTTTTGAATTTACAATTGAGTTGTTGTATTCAGGAGTCGTCCCGGCTTGGTTCACAGAGACAGACCCTGTTATTAAAGAGAAATTCTCCTTCCGTCGTCATCTTCCCAGCCCATCGTATCTTTCTTTTTCAAATTAAATTGAGTAGTCTCGCCAGTGGCGGCACAGGAATGTGGCCGAGGAAATGACAAAGGGCGAGTTAAAGCAATAAAATGTTAAAGATGACTAAATGACGTGGCCCGGAGCCGTGACGGCTAATCGGCTGTGAAACAGACGGGACATCCATGCCCCTTCTCTTTAATACTCGAGAGACACTCCTCCAGACGCGAGAAATACGTAACTCGATAAGTAGAAAGAATGAATTACTAGCAGCCCATTAGGGCGATTCCCATAGGACGCTCTTTTATGATTTTATTTTTACGAGCGTGCGTGATCAGGTGAACCGAGTTTTCATCTCGACCTCGCTTACTTTCGAATCTCTCTTGAATGCCATAAACCTTTTACGATTTTTGGTTGCATCTCTGGTCACATGACAAAAAACACCCGGAGAGAAACAATCCAAGCTATTCTTATTCTTGATCCCGAATCCCGAAGTTCATTTTTGGTAGTTTTTCTGAGATTGCATAACAATCACTCTTCCTATCAAAGTGTCTCGATGTGAACTTCTAGAGCAAGTCACGAGTTTCAAGCGAGCCTTTTTAGATTGTACATGTATTTGGAAACCGACTACTGTGACATCTGCAAAAATAAGACCCTCGACGAGCGACAGACCGATTCGATCGAGCCTTACTGAAAATCCTCACTGTATTGTCTCCATTGCATCTAGCTGAGAACATGAGCGAGGAGAAGAAAAGTTCCTTCCGGCCGAGCAGTCGAAAATCGTCGCGTGACGAGCTGGCCAAGTTCCGTTCGCGCACCGAATCAATGACAAGCAATTCATCGGACAGTGGTCAAAAGCAGGTGAGACGGGGCTTGATTATGGGCGCTAGACTACTGGGAAAGGGCGCAGCGAGCTAATCACTGATGTATTCTGCAGCTTAGACAGAAATGCACAAACAACCGGCTGCTCGACTCTATTTAACAAGAGCTTGCGTGCAATATTTTTATATTCACTCAGATTATGAGTACCAAAGTCAGAGGACAGTTTAAGGCGAAGCAAGAGGCCGATCAGGTCAGTCCAGTGACGCCCTTCTAGTGATAAAAATATTTTCACCCTTTGAAATATGGCCCCTGGTCAGAGCGAGTGTTTTTGATAAGGATTACCTAAATATGTTGACCTAAATCGTTAAGACTTCTCTCTACAAAACCGAGCTCTGTCGATCGTGGGAGGACACTGGATTCTGCCGCTACGGAAAGAAGTGCCAGTTCGCCCACTCACCTAAAGAGCTTCGAAATGTCTTACGCCATCCAAAAGTAAGAGGATTCGCTGTTAAGCTATCTCGATATCCTTCTTTAGTACAAGACTGAGATGTGTGATAGCTTCCACACGGTGGGCGTCTGTCCCTATGGCAACCGCTGTCACTTTGTGCACAACGACATAGAAGCGCTGCGGCCAGCTCCGAACGAGCCCGCTACCAAATCCACAACTCTGCGCAAGAACGCTACACTTGCTTCTCTCCAATCGAACGAGTTTAATTATGGGTAGGTTTCTCAAGTCTGCGTCAATTAACAGTCTTTGAAGGATTGAGTCCGATTGGCCAAAGATTGAGTCCTCTGCATCGATGCCAGTTCCTGCTAGCAGGAGCTTGAACTCTATCGGTTCAATGAACTCGATTTGGCGAAATCAATCGGATGCTTCTATCTTGAGCCAGCAGGAGTCTGAGTCCTCCTCGTCTTCCAACCAGTACAATGATGGTATGATCATTTTCTCAACTCATTATCTAACAGCTGATTGAAGACTACTGGCAGAGCATCTACGATGATTTTAACGGACTTCAATTGATCACCAAACCCGAGTCGACGTCCTATTCTCCACCAAGCTCGAAGTTCGACAGTGTCCCATCGAATGGCTGGTCTCGAACATGGAATCCAACAAGCACTGGTGCGGTTCCCGCTGCGGGCAGTTCGTCGCAGTCAACTTTACTCGAAGTTTCTTCCAAAATCTGGTCCGCTGATCGCCTCCCCGTGTTCCGCACGCTTGCCAAGGCCCAGGAAGATTAAAGAAACATTATTCCCCGGTACCTTCTGTGTCACTTTCTTCCCGAAGATCCGTGAGTCCGCTTTGCCAAATTCAGATTCATTCATTCATATCTATTCAAAAATTCATTCAACCCAGGTCATCTATGTAATAGTCGTTCTTTTTTCGGACTCTCATTTTGGCCTATTGTGAATTTCTCCAAGCGGATTCCGAGATCATCTCTTCCACTCATTTATGGGCACTTTGACAATTGATTTCCATGTCAGCGTTCACGCAAACGGAGCTCAAATCCTATTCTATGGTCTTTTTCCGAAAACAAAATATACTGAGCTGCTTTTGCCTTGATTCCTGCCCTGGAAATCCGAATACTCACGACCAGGGGTGACCATTTGGGCAAAAAATCATCGTCGGGCCGACCAATTGCCCGCCCAATACCAAAAATCAAGACCCGGGCCGACCAAATGCCCGACCAGTCCAATGTGCCCAGAATGCCCAATCGGGCAATTGGGCAATTTTTCGGGCAAAAATTTTCCCGACATTTCGGGCTTGTTAAAACTTTAATATTTTAAATTTCTCTCTATAATTTATTACAGTTGAAGATTTGGAAGGTTTGAAATGTATTTAAAAAGCGGTTAACTTCTCAATACACGTGGTCCAATCATTGGACCACGGCGACTTTGACCCCCTGTAATTCCCGTTGTAGTAATCTGTTTGACCTGAATTTTGTAATGTGAGCTGATAGGACGGAAACGAACCACTCTGTGAAGTTTCGAATGAAAACTCAAAAGTGGTGGCGTTTTGCGCCACATTTCTCTATCGCTCTCTGGTTGAAAATCGCAAAGGATTTTTCAATTGACAATTGTATATTTTTATAGAAGAGGGTTCACGCTCTCTAACAATACATTGATGAGCTTTTTTACTCAACGGAAACGTGAATTAGGGCCAAAAATTCTGGGCGCTATTTTTCACACTATGAATTTGGCGCGCCGCGCGGGGCTGAATAATGCATTGTGGTCCAATAATTGGACCACGTGTTTTGAGCGTTTAGTCGCGCGCCCGTGTATTGAGAAGTTAAAAATAATTTTGTAAAAGATCGATCAGGTTGTCAAGAATAGACAGCTAACCATTAAGGTCCACTTCACACACTCTTGCATAACCGTCTCGAAAAAAAAGAGGTTCAAAAATGGGGTTGGAATTTACAACTTGGAAAAATGAGGGATAAAAAGGATCTGGAGGTCAAGGGTAGACAGCTAACCATGAAGGTCCACTTCACACACCCTTGCAGAACCATCTCCGCAAAGAAGGGGTTGGTTGTTAAGGGTAGGGATAATTTCACAGAAAGATCAAGAGGTCAAAGGTAGACAGCTAACCATAGAGGTCCACTTCACACACCCTTGCAGAACCTTCTCCTTATATCTTTTTTCTTGTTTCTGAGCTTAACGACCAATAAGCGGACAGGAAAACGCCCACGTTCATGATTTCCCCCGGTGGGCATTTGCCCAACTGCCCGATGGTGCCCAACTGCCCAGAAAATGCCCAAATGCCCGACTTTTCCAATGTTGCCCAGCCTATTTTCAGGCGTTGAGCCGACCAAATGCCCGCCCAAAAGCGTTTTTGCCCGAAAATTGCCCGATTTGCCCAAATGCCCAATGCCCAAATGGTCACCCCTGCTCACGACCAACCTGTGGACCCCGATAACTTTGTCTCGATGTCATTATTCATTTCATTGTTACTCTATCGAGCCGAGGTAAACCTCTTATTTATTGAATGGACCTAAACGCTAGCAGCATGCGAGCTCTTGGTTCTGATAACTTTATTTATTTTGTTGAATTTTGTAACTCAAAAATATTTATTCCAAGTCTCCGTTCGGAGCGTTTTTCACCAGCAATATTGCCTCTCGTTTCCGCGCCCTTTTCGATGAGCCATTTCTGAGAACGTGTCTAAGGATAATGTTATCCTTCTTCTGACACAAGAAAGTGATAGTTTCGATCTCCCTTCTGGGAATGTTTCTTTCTTTTGGAGAAAGCTCGTCAACCTTCTTTTCTCAATCAGTTATCATCTTTTTTAACTTTCCTCTCCCCAGTAGTTCCTCATACCAGCTTATACGCGAAAAACATCCCTTCAATCTCTCATTTGCCTCGTGTCTAAGCTGATATAGCCGAAGTTCTATTCGTTTTCCTTAGAGCTGTTCAAGGTCATCGCCTGTGCGTCGCCCTTGACTCAACCAAAAATTCATTTAACGGGAAAATAAATTTATCAAACTCTACTCCTCTCTTTTTGTCGTCCTTTTTCAAGCAACGGCAGATGTTCAGGAGCAAACTCACGCAATCGGCAGGTTGAGGGACGAGTCCATCAGTGGTTGTAGTTTGACTTGTTGCAGGGAAAATATATTTGAGAATGAGGGCTAGTCCCGAAGTTATTACCCCCGCTTAGCACATTTGAAAGGTTTGGACGGAATCTGTTCGCCAGAAATAATACTGAGAATTAAGTTGATTCAATCAACTACGGAGTCTGGACGATTAATCAACGGGGCAAATTATTGGCCGTATTCAAATTGAATTGATGTCAGTTGGTCGGTCGATGCGTTCAAATAGCTTTATCAGACAGTGTTTACAAAAGACTTGCCTTTCGATTTGATGTCTGTGATTGAGAATCTCATGAGCGAGAAAAGAAGATCTCGCCAGTTTTGATTAGCTAGATTCCTCCCGCTATAAAACGACACCACCCATAATCCCACCCCTAGCGTAACAAGGTTCTCGCCAAACCGATCGAGTCTCGGAGCAGTGAGAGCAGAAGCCGATAAACGAAGAATTTCGATTCAGCTTTTCTGAATCTCACCATCAACAGTTAGCTCTGAGGCGCCTTTTAACCAGTATTTAACTGAGAGTGAAGAGATAGAACATATTACTTTTTCTTTTTTGATAGTGGCAATGCAAATAGTCATTTGATTCGAGAGATCACATGCTCAAGAGCTAAACAAAGAGATTGCGCCTTTCTTTCAATTATAGGAAATATTTGACGAGTTTAAAAGTCAAAATTTTCAGAATAATGCCGGATAAAATACTATGTGGGCTTGGAAATCCGCTTCTGGATATCCAAGCGTCAGTTGCTCCGGGGTACCTGAAGAAGTACAACCTCGAATCGAACAACCAAATCTTGGCTGACGAATCGCACGTTCCGATGTACGCAGAACTTGTCGACTGGTTTCCAGTAAGCTACCTGCCAGGTGGTGCCACCATGAACACTATTCGTGTCGCTAAGGTACTTTACAATTTGTCTTGAGAAATTCAGACATATTAATTCAGTGGATGATGAAAGGCTTGGGCCGAGCTCTTTACTCCGGCGCCATTGGCAAAGATAGTTTTGCAGAAACACTCAAGGAGCAGGTTGCTCTTGCCGGAGTGGAAGCTCACTTTCACGAACAGGTGGAGCAGCCAACGGGAACCTGTGCCTGTCTCATTTCTGGCAACTCTGGCCACAGGAGTCTCGTCGCCAATATAGCCGCGGCGAACACATACCCAGAGAGCTACTTATCTGGTCCTGCCTGGGACTCAATTTCGCAGTCGGACGTGTTCTATTCTGCTGGATTTTTCCTCACGCCTCCAGAAGGAACGAAGTGCATGGAGAAGGTCGGCAAGTTTGCTTCTGAGAACGGCAAGGTACATCATTCTTAGAGAGAATTTAATAAAATGATTGAAAAGCTGTTTTGCATGAATCTGTCCGCTCCATTTCTCTGCCAGTTCTTCAAAGACCAGATGCTGAAGATCATGCCCTACTGCGATTTCGTTTTTGGCAACGAAACCGAGGCTGCTGCTTTTGCAGAAAACAACGACATCGAAGACAAGTCGATAGAAAACATCGCTCGACGTATCGCAGCACTGCCCAAGATCAACTCGAATCCGAGGACAGTCGTCATTACGCAGGTTCGAAATTCCAGAAAAAGCAAATCTTTTCGAACTCTAATTCCTAGGGCGCTGATCAAACAGTCGTTGTCAAGGGCGGTGACGTCAAAACTTTCCCCGTCACCAAAGTTGACAGCCTCGTCGATACCAATGGCGCTGGCGATGCTTTCGTCGCTGGATTTCTATCACAGCTCGTCAACGAGAAAAGTATAGAAGGTAGATCTTGGAATTAGGGGACATTCGATGACTTCCGTTTTCAGACTGCGTGGAAGCTGGCCACTACGCCGCCGGTGTCATCATTCAACACAACGGATGTACCTTCCCAGAAACGTGTCACTTCAAAGCCAATTAGCTGCATTTACCTCTCTTCAACTCTTTCTTTCAATATTTATCATGCGAGATTTTACTCAGAAGTAATGTTCTTTCCTTCCTAATCAAATGACCCAGTCTTCGCAAAAGTATATTTCTATCTTGACATTTTATTTTTGTCTATTAACGCAAAGATTTTCTGTAAAGTGCAATTAGATAACCTTAAACTCTCTGAAGGTCAGTTAGACCTCATGTCCTGACAGTGTGGAGCCTGTCCCTTTGACAAAAAATCCTCTTCAATAACACCAATTCCACCGAATATCAAATTATCCAAATAAAAGAAGCTTTTCACAGCTGAAACGGTGTTACATTTATACTTTGCTCGATCGGGTTCAGTAAAGTTCAAGAATCTAGTTGAATTATGATAAATTCAGAGCGTCGATTCTGACTTGCAGATATAATCAAAGGATTCATGAATGCTGGAGCCTCATGGAGGAGCTTTCGTTCACTCCAATTCGGACTGGACAGATGACATTAGTGGAATCCCAGGCTTTTCGGCCTACAACTCATGTCCAATAAGGGTAATCGTGAACTGTAATTTGTCGAGGCTCAACTTCTTCTCAGTATTGTACATTTTCTTGGAGAATCCAATCAGTTGACTGCTGCGGCTTCTTCGCTTTTACGCACTCCGATGAAAAACTTAAATATCGTGCAAAGATTGCATTTACTTGCATGGGCATAGCTGAGCAAAAGAATCCGTCGCAGGTCAGATGTCATTTGCGAGTTCCACAAATGTAAAAACAACTTCAGACCCAAAGATCGGTTTCAGAACTCCTCGAAGAACTAAGACGAGAATGTTCTGGTTCTCCAACGTCGAATCAGGGGCCTCAATTCGGTCTTATACTCAGACATGATGGATATTTATACACTGGAACCTTGGGCTGTCAAGTCGCAATGGTGAGAACTCGCTTTTATTTGCAATTTCTTATTTTAAGTGGCCGTCCGTGGAAGTTTCTTGCTTCTCATTGACTATTTCCGTCGATGTTTATCCACAATCAGAAGTTTCGCCGAACATGGTTGTCGTCCTTGTCTCAAATGGACTTCTACAATATCTTGCAGACAATAACTGCCCCCGCCCAATAACCCGAATAATGGACGAGTTTAGGGAGTCTGTTCGGGGATGCACAGGTTTCAAGTCGCATTAACCTTAATCCTCAAAAATGTTCAAGACAACTACGATAAAACGTGTCATTGGACGATGGACAGAATCGAAAACTCGTACGGAAAGGTCTCAAGCACATACGAGGCCGTTTTTCTTGGGATCAAGATATTAGCGCCTCAGATTCAAATATCAGCACCAGAAGTGTTAAAAGTAATTGAAAATTGTTATTTCGCTTTGTTAAGTCAGTGATTAAGCCCGCTAAAAATGTAAGTTCGATGCCTGACTCGATTTCGACAGTATCCTCAGACGGTTTTGACAATACCTTCGATTCAAACGGACTGCCGAATTTTGATACAGCGCCAACGATTATTCCAGTGCAACGCCACACGCCCAAATCCGAACAAAGTGCTACAGAGGTTCCAGCTTACGTAAGTTTCTTTATTTCACTTTTGAGGAGGAGCTTCTCGCCTAGAGAGCTCTATCCATACGATCTGCAGCATGCAAGCGCGATGACTCTTATATAACTTCTGCAATTTAGGTTGAGGGCTTCGATTATTTCAATCAGAAGTTCAGTGAAAGACATAGAGGAACGCAAAGTCTAAAAGATATTCTAAAAGATATGAAAATAAATCACACACTGTGAAAATTTCGCAAATTTCGCCCTTCTCGCAAATATCCAGTTCAACTATCTCATGTTCCTATCTTGTTTCCTTTCTTATTCGAGTTATTGTAATTAATAAACTCATGTTCATCAAATTTTGTGAATTGGATTTTTAAGAATGCCAGAATTGAAGATCGCGCCCTCGATTTTGAATGCGGACCTCGCCAATTTGAGCTCCGAGTGCAAGAAGCTTTTTGCTGCCGGCGCTGACATCATGCATTTGGACGTGATGGATGGACATTTCGTGCCCAACTTGACGTTTGGTCATCCCGTTGTAGAGAGCTTAAGAAAGGAGCTCGGCCCAGACGCCTATCTTGATGTTCATCTCATGGTGTCGAAACCGAGAATGTGGATCAAGGATTACAAAAAAGCAGGAGCATCAGCTTTTACGTTCCATTTGGAAGCAGTCGAGGGGTAATTGCTCATAATAAAGGGTCTCGAACATAATAATAACAATAAGTGTCGACGAAGCTGTGGATATTGTTCAAGAGATCGGAAGGGAAGGAATGCTCGCTGGAGTGGCGATTAAGCCCAAAACTCCCGTTGCGCCGCTTCTTGAAGTGATGCAGAAGTGCCAGAAGAATCAGATTCCTGTCACCAACGCACTTGTAATGACCGTGGAGCCGGGATTCGGCGGACAAAAGTTTATGGGTGATATGATGTCGAAAGTGAGCGCGATTCGGGAACAATATCCAGAATGTACGTTGAGGAAAAAATAATGATTTTAGAGTAATTTATTCTTTCCAGGTGATGTTCAAGTCGATGGAGGAGTTGGTATTGGAAATATTGACTTATGCTACAAGGCAGGAGCCAACTCGATTGTTGCAGGATCGGCAATAATAAAATCAGAGAACTGGGCTGAGACCATTACCAGCATGCGAAAGAAATGCGAAGAGGCCTGAAGCCGCATCAAACACATATTATAGACTTTTGAAATTTCCGTCTGATGTTCCAATTTCTTCGCTCAAACAACCGAAGTCGCTCATCTAGTTTTTGATTCATTGCATTTAGAATGTCTTACTTTTCTCTTGGAAATGTTTTGATGGACTTGATCCTGGAAACCGACACCAGTTACGTCAAGAAATGGGTACCTGAGTTTAAAAATCGTTGATATACTCTTTGAGTACAGAATCTCAATCTTGACGATCAAATCATGGCCGAGGAAGAACATGAGCCATTGTTCAAGGAAGTCTCATCACACACAAATACTCTCCGCGTTCCTGGAGGATGCGCTTTGAACACCTCTCGAGTTATATCGAAACTAGCTGGTAGACGATCATGCGTCAGTGTCGATTTCGCTGGTGTAACTGGCATGGATGGTGTTGGCGACAAAATTCATGAAATGCTTACGTCGAACGGAATTTCCTTCCATCGTGTGCAGGTTTACAGGCTTTAGAGGATTTCGGAGCGCTAAGGGAGTTTAAGAGTAAAGTGCCCACTGGGAACACAGTTGCTCTCGTCACTGAGGGTGGTAAACGATCACTTCTTGGCCCGGTCGTGATGGCGAATCATTTTTCTACCACTGACTTGGAGAAATTAGAAGACAGATGGAAGAAAGCATCATTCATATTTCAAGCGTCTTGGTTTTTCTTATCACCTGATGGCATCGAATGTGCTTTTAAAATGGCAACTCATGCTGCCAAAAACGGTCAGCACTACGGATTCAATCTCGCGGCAGAGTCTCTAGTTCACAAATTCCGTGATGAGCTCGTGTGCTTAATGCAATACACTTCCTTTGTATTTGGAAACACTGTCGAATATGAAGCTTTTGCTCAAGCAATGGAATGGGACTACGAATCAGTACACGATATTCTTCATAAAATGGATGCACTGTCATACCTTGGTGAACAAAGAAGGACTTTCCTCGTAACTTCTGGCTCCGCTCCAACGCTGATGTTATTCGAAGGAAGTGTTCATGAATTCCCTGTCAACAAGGTCTGTCTCACAAAATCGACCAAAGCTTAACTGTTTCAAGGTCCACAAAGACAGGGTCATCGATACGACTGGAGCTGGAGATGCTTTTTGTGGTGGCTTCATATTTGAACTTCTTAATTCGGGTGATGACTCTTCACTTTTTGCACTGGAAAATGCCATAGAAACTGGTCATGGAACTGCTAAAAGTGTTATTCAAATGAGGGGTTGTGACGTTTCTAAAATACTTCCTGTATTATCTCTTGAAGCTGGAAAATAAATCTCTTTTCTTAGCAAGATCGCCCTTGACTCCCTACAATATTTAAAATTACTATGATTCTTTGAATTTTGCTTTCGTTGATCGGATCGCTGCCCAAGGGCTTCCTTCTGGCTTCGACTCTTTCCCCAGTCCCCACCGTTCATTCTGACTCAACGGGCGCGAGCTATAAAAACGCTCTTTGTCCCTATTTGTTTTCTTCACAAATTATGCCTAGAGAAAGATAAACTCCCTGTTCCAGACTCAATACTGAATAGTTTTCAATAATTCATGAATAAGGCAATTTTATTCTTTTCGGATTACGGTAATTGGAAACGATGGTAAAATTGAATCACCTCCAATTCACTCTTATTTCTTAGTAGCTTCGTCAGCCAGCCTGGGAGTCATAATTTTTATCCACCGAATACAGAAGGAGCCTTTGTTGCCATTACTTATAATAAAAATCAAAACTGAGATTAATTAATGAGACTTTTTCAATCAACTATTTATCTTCTTCACCTAGGACCCTGGCAATGAGAGATATAATAATTTCCTGATTCTGTCCTTCTGCTTCAACTTTAAAATCTTTTCTCGTGCGTACTTACCTATTCATTAATTCTGAAAATAATGAACTTCTTAATAGAACTGTTATTAATGTATTTAGATACGAAGCCGGTAAAATTCATGAGTAAAGGTTCCTGCACGCCGGAGGCATCTCCGAGCTCCGGCGCGCTAAGTCGATGTCTGAGTCGATCGGCATCGAGAAGAGCTAACAGATGCAGGTACAAATCATTTTCCTTTCCTATAATTTCCGACTTAGGTTCTATCGAAACGGAGATACTCATTATGGCGGGTATCAGCTTCCTGTCTCGCTGGAGCGATATGGGAACATAGGAAACCTGTACAACGAGCTAACTTCTCAGCTTGCTTCATCTTCGCTTCCTTCAGGAGTTCGCGCCATTTACAATCTTAACGGGGAAGAGATCTTGTCGCTCAACGAGATTTGTCAAGGCGGCTCATTTGTCGCTGCCGGAAAAGAGCCCTTCAAAGTAGTCCATCCGACTTCAGCAAAGCTTTAATCTATTTCCTAGAACTGCGATTATCTTCAAATATTCTCTTCATGTACACGACAAACGAATCCCAGAGCACGGGCTTTGTTCAAATCCATGTCATACTCCACAAAGTCACCAAACTCTCGTTTGGGCGCGTCAGAATTCGTCAGACCTAGAATCATATTCATTCTATCGCATGGCAATCGGCCACGAAAAGTGTGCCGTTTCGTTTTGAATAAAAAAACTGCTCACTCGCTCGAAGATGTAAAGGACAAAATCTCCGAAGCAGTTGATTTTGCTGTTCGAAAGCTTGTAGCTGTCCCTACTGGGCTGTCAGTTTCGAAGCTCGAAGACCTTTTCGATACAGCGTACACCTTCATAGCTTGCCCATCAATGAGAACCAAAATTCTTCCACGAGATCTGAAGCTTCACAAAGACGAAATCAAAGCGTTACCAAATCGTCATTCTAGCAACCAGAAGAGTCGAGTCCAGCGTAAATCAAGCCTGTGTGAATTCAATACTGGCTCTCTCACCCGCAATAATTCAGAATATGGCTCCTTTATGGTAAGTATTAAGATTTTAATTGAATGAATTAATTACATCTACTTTAAGTGGCCGAAGAGCATACGGACACAGTTTTTAATGGGCGAAAAACTTGGTGACGGTCATTTCGCGGAGGTCCGCCGTGCAGTGAACAAACGAAATCACGAAGAAGTGGCTATTAAAGTGATCGAAATTCAAAACAGGAGAATAGCTGAGCAAGAGATCAAAATTATGAAACGCATCTGTCATCCTAACGTCGTCAAACTGTTGGAAGATCATCAAACTAAACATCACATTTACCTGATACTCGAGCTCATCACTGGCGGCGATCTGTACGACTTCATCACTCAGTCAGGTAACTCAGATGATTGGAGAAGTCATACTTACTTGGAAATCTTTCAGAAATCTATTGTCAATACCAAGCATGTCAATTTACGTACAATTTGGCGAACGCTCTTCATTACCTCCATAGCTTCCGAATAGTTCACAGAGACATCAAGCCCGAGAACTTGCTGGTGCATTATTACTCCGATGGCAGCAAGCGACTGAAACTCTGCGATTTTGGCCTTGCTACTGTGAAAAGTCAATATGAAAAGCTTGTGCAGCTGTGTGGCACCCCCACTTATGCTGCACCGGAAATGATAACTGGTAGAGGTACGGCCTTAGGTGCAAAACAGTAAATTTAATTCAACTATTAGGTTACGATGAAGGCGTTGACGTTTGGGCACTGGGTGTCATCACCTATATTATGCTTTGTGGATTCAGCCCGTTTCTTTCCGACAGTGGAAATGAGCAAGAATTGTTTCATATCATTTTGAATGGAAGTTTTGAATTCCCATCGCCTTACTGGGACGAAGTCGACATGGACGCCCAAGATTTCATTATACTGACTCTTCAAAAAGACTGTGACACGCGGCCTTCCGCCAAAGAGCTACTTAATCATAAATGGCTTAATAGAAACGGATAGAAAGCATAATTAGCGTAGTGTTCATCCGCAAAAACGCTTCAATACGCTTGATGTGCCTTATCCGATTTTAGTCCACGCACAGATTTCTGCCGAGATCTTAGTCCCCGACCACATCTCACTGGGTAGAGTTTATTTCAATAACATAACGTTCGATTACTAACTCGTTAGAATTACTAAAAATCAGAAATAAACTCGCGGAGGCAACTAAACCCTGCACGTTCAATGCCCTCTCTAACCGAAACTTCGAGCGACTCCTTCTACAAATAGCTCACTGCTAGAAATTCCAACACAACAATCACTTACCAACTTGTCAAGAGATTACTTATACTCACATTACCTCAGCACCCATGTAATCTCAGAAAATATGTAAGACGCACTTCAATAAAAGTTCAATTTCGTTCCCTCAAAAAAGACTCGAGTTTTCAGCTTTTCTTTCAAAGCGAAAACTCAAATGTTTCATATTTCCTGCAAAATGAAATGAGCAATCAGAGACAGTAAGATTCCGTTATTTAGATAAACAAATTGCACGATGATACGCTCGCAGAAGTCTCTTAGGTTGTGGGTGGTGAATTTCCAGATTCAAATCAGAAATCTTGCTGGTACTGGCATTTTGTTAGTGGTAGTCATTTTTTGTCGTGTTTGATCCCATTCAAAGGCTTCTGTCCGCCTCTTCGTCGTGGCAAATTCAGTCGGCTTCGAGACGCCCTAAGAAAGTCGAGAAGCGCTTCTCACGTGGTAAGAAGGTGTATCATTCTCGCCTGTTACGTTCTGGTGTTTTTAGGAGACAGCTTTGTTCATTGCTTTAGAGGTTATCACAATCACCGCACTTACTAAAACTCGTTATTTACCATTAACTCAGTACCTGCGCCTTCTCCGTAATTGACTTTTGAATTTACGGAATCTTTAAATTTAGGAATTGAGAGAGAGGATGAAATCGGCAAGAAGAGCTCTTACTACGATAGGTTAGGCTACTGGGACTCCAAGTACACAGGAATTGTGTCGACAAAACTATCCAAACCTAGAAAGGATCAGTCTCTCAACACATAGCAGAGATAAATTTAGATGAGAGTGTGCGTCATGGTGTTCTGATTCCTAAAATTCCTATCGAAGACATTGGCGTTGAATCACTCAAGGGCAGAAGAAGAAAACAGGAAGATCGCTTTCTCATTGAGAAAATGAGCGAAAATACGGTTCTAGTAAAGGAAAAGATCGCCAACCCTTTGTTCTTCATTTTGTAGGTAGCCGTTTTCGATGGCCATGGAAATGATCTGTGCGCAACTTACGCTCGGGATAATTTCACGCGGTTCCTTCAGCGCAATTTGAAACGAAAATTAAAGATGCCCGCTGCCCTGAAGAAGACAATTACAGATGTCGATCAAGCATTTAGCGAGCTAGCGATTGCCCACTCGAACACTCCCGAGGATTTTTACGAGGATAAAAGCATGCGGGGCCACTCTGAACAGAAACAGCGCATGGAACGTGATCCGGCGAAAAGCGGCTCAACTTGCACTGCTGTTGTCATCGAGGATGGGTATGTGATGACTTGGGCGTGGGTAGGTGACTCTAGGGCGATCTTGTGTAGAAACGGAGTGCCGAAAAGACTTACTTTCGACCATTCACTGGAGATGAGAAACAATCCTCTAAGAGAAACAGAATTTGAAAGGTGGCTTACATTCCTGAATATATGGTTTAATAATAAACGTCATCAGGATAACAGCGGCCGGAGCAGAAGTCACCGAGTCCGATGGCGAGTACCGAGTCCATGTCCCTGAACACGGCAGCATAAACATGACCAGAGCAATTGGAGATATTCAATTAAAGAAGTATGGGATAACAGCTGAGGTACCCGTGGCTCTACTCAGCATATTTTAAATATTTAGCCGTGTTCGTATGAGGAACTCCCGATAGGCGACCCTGATTATGCTAGAATAACAACTGTCAATCACAACTGCGACGCGTTCCTTGTCCTGCTATCTGATGGAGTCTCAGGGCCACTTAGCGTCAATGAGATTGTCTCCCAGGTCTATTTCCACTTTCTCTCAATTCAATCTATTTGGAATCGAAATATTTAGGTGCTTTCACGTGACCAAGCTATCGAGTCTGCTAGGCATTTAGTCGAAACCGCGTTGCACATGGGCAGTACTGATAACTGCACGGCGATTGTAGTTCCACTTGGTGCTTGGGGAAAATACAGGTTCGATCTAACTTTCTTTATCTTCTGATTGAGACTGTTTCAGAGAACCAAGCTCGAATGTCCGATATCTTCGCAATTTCATAGGAAGCTACAATCGTTATTAAGTAGTAGTTGTGACCGTCCAATCTTTATTTATTTTTCAATTTCTGCCCTGTCAAGCTTCTTTCCTATAAATTCAAATATTCTTAATAAATGAAACGCAAATTCATCTTCAGAAGCGCCTACTTTCATTTTAGGCACTTCCGGTTCCTGGTTTGAATCAATAGTCACTATTTATTATAATAAGAGATTGCAGAGAAGGGATACGAAATGTATCATACAATCGGAAGTAGCAACGAATGCTTAGAATAATTCAAGCAGGTTGCACTGGTCAGGAAACTTGTGCCGGAATAGAATTCGAAATGAAATGTAGAAACATAAGTCAGAATAAGGGAGTTTTGAATTGTGGGAAATTTAAGGAAAATGAGTGTACAGAGGTCACTTGAATTTGATGAACTACCTCATTCATGACAGAATCATGGTAGAATCGGGTCTGCTCGAGGCAAACCAATTTGTCTAATCGAAATAAAATAGCACGAATTTTTTTACTTTGATCGGGCCGAAATAGGAGCTAATTTGTATAGCTTTAGTGCGGTAGAACAGAAACAAGCCTTAGAATTTCAAATCAAAATGCATCCGCAAATATTACTCTAGTGAACTATCTCTCGTATTACTGCATTAGTGAGTGCTTGGCAGAGATTATACGTTTTTGAATTTGATTAATATACCAGAATTCTGTATAAATATATATGGTTGTCATACTTAAATTTGAACAATATGAACGGGCGAAGATAGAAAGCATCTTCTTGGGGAACCAGAAAACTTAAACGAAAATATGATATAGAGACTGAAATAGTTACTAATAACTAACTCGGGAAGAGGGAGCTATTAATCAAGAAAGGTTGAATTTCGGCGTTTCACATTGTTTGTCTTGATTGACTTTGTAGAAGAAACTTACAAAAGCCATCAAATGAAAAAAAGAATAACCCAACACCGGTTGGAGGAGATATAGCGAATAGAGGAGCACCGAATTTCTACGAAAATGGGCTAGATAGGAAAAATAGTACATTTTTAGTTTTTTTTTGCATCTTTGGATATATGATTGTCAAAAAACAATCATATTCCCTGAATTAGCGTAGTATGGCGCTCTTATGTTATAAGAGTAATAGGATTTTCATGGAAACTGGATGGAAAGGTCAAGCTCAACATTTTGAGAACATCTTTTTGAGCTCAAGATTGATAGGAAAAAAAGTAGTCAACTATATACATGGGTTAACGCCGGGATATAAGAATCTGCGAAAGACATGTTGTTGGTTTGGAAAGCGCTCCCTTTGCTAGAGTATAGCTGGAATCGTTGACTTTAGTCTTAAGTGGACTGAGGAACGCCGGAATCGTTGAGGCTGATAGCTTCTGGGGAGGACATTGACTTGGCAGATGCCTCAAGAGAGTTGGCGACGGCACGTTCTCGCTGCTGCTTGAGTTCGATGTATTGAGGCAAGCTTCCAGCGTGAGTTCGATGGTATTCTCGCGCCCGCAACGCGCGCTCATGCTCAGGGTTCAGTCGCGAGCCACGCGAAGTCATCACTGAGCCTGAGAAAGATGTTGTGATGCCACGGTTTTCTTTCTCCAGGAATGGTCGAATCACGTGGTCGATGATGTTTGGCGAAGTACAAGTCACCTTAATTCATATTAGCTCATATCGCATATGAGATTCTTACCATAAAAGAAGCACTCCCCAACAAAGAATTCGAAAGAAGCTTGAAAGAAATCTGAGTCTTGTCGTAGCCCCGCGAGTAGACATGATTCTTGGTGATGAGGAAAGGCTCCTCGAGGGTTGGAGCGATTCCGGACTCGAGAAGATCGCGGATCACGATTTTGTAGCTGCTGCCACTCGCCTTGAACATAAACTGCTTGAGACCGAGAATGTTGCGCGAGAGTTCAGGATCTTTTTCGTATTCATCAAGGATCTCTACGTCTTCAACAGTGCCAGTGAATGCAATATCGAACAGCTCATCCGAAATGCCGAGTTTCGCCTTCTTAATTCGATGTATTCGATTGCGGATCTCTGACTCCATGTCTCTGATGCTGTCACCGTCGCATGTGATCTGCCAGAATGTTCCGTCCTTCGCGTAGAGAGTGAGTTGCCACGAGCGACCACGGAATGCGAAATCCGGTAGCATGGACGAGTTGTCGTGAATGAGATTGTAGGAACTAAAACACTAATATGAAAGCGAATCAAAACGATAGAGAATAGTATTGTCGGAAACTCACTTGAACGCGAGGCACTGCTTTAGGTCGAATTCCTGGCACAATTTCTCCTTGTCGCCTCGTTTCTTTTTGTACGCCTTTAAGCTCGTTTCGTCGACTTCGATGAAATCGTAGCTTGACTTCGCTGAAGACTTCTCAGAGCTGCGAAGAGAGTTCAGCAACGAGCGGAAGGATCTGTTGCTGCTTTTCTGCACAGAAGTCTTCTCAATTTGCAGGACAAAGAGATGGTCACCATTGGGGGAGATTCTGAAGCAAGCAAATTAATTTAAAGCTGAGATCGAGTCTACCGAACTCACTTCTTTTTGGTCGGTCTTGATGGTCGATACTTCTTGACAGAACCCGTCTTTGTTGGTTTCTCATCGCCTCTAAAAGTTACATAAAATACAAATAATCTGCTTCTGTCACAAGCCTCGCGACTGTTTGCACTTGCGAGAAGCGTAATCTAAGTAAATACTGTCTATCCTCCAAAGAAACTCCCAACGGTCAATGTCATTCGTAGAGAATTTGGAAGATATTCGCGAAATTTGGTCTTGACAATAAAAAAAACTACAGGTCGAGGAGAGAAGCATTATTTCCCAAAGCTATTTTAGTGAAAATAAAGTTTTAGTCCGAAAGACATTTTATCCGCGCTTCCGGAACTCTGATCTGTGTGCGCTGGAAAACTGCGCCCATCTGTATATAAGCTGATTGGAATTCCACAACTGCGGTATTTCGATGATTCTTAGTAATATGAAACAATAGAACTTGTTATAGCCGCTCCTGGCTCTAAATTACAGGGAAAAGTCAGTAGAAACGTGTTAAACGAACGAAGTATACGTGACTGATTGACCCTCGCCCTAATATATCACCTAAGTAACACTTTGAAGAATGCTCTTGAACCTGAACACTTGTCAAAGCCTCTCATAATTCGTTCCCTTCGTGGAAATTGCTTGAAGAGAGATCAGGGCCGCCCTTAGGGGTGGCCCATTATCATCTACGGGTTGCGCATTCTAGAACTGGTTCGAAATTTTGTTTACATTCCAGATCAACTGTAAGTGGCGCGTTCCATTCAGGAATTACGCGTCCAAAGTCGTAAATCTCCTGACCACACAGGCTATTCATTTCGAAAAAATCCTTCAATAAATAAAGAATAGTACCCGAGCGGGAAAAGTGTGCGGGACTGTGCCACTGGACGCAAAAAAACCTGCGCGTAACAATAAATTTCTCGTTTTACTACGTTTTCCCCCGCATCGCTACTTGAAAACATCAAAATAGCGCTTCTTTAGGACAGGGGGCATTTTTAAATTCGTAAATGCGCGAACAGAAATCACAGGAGTACTTACACAATCGCGGTCATCGTCGGATTCGCCAGTTTTGACTTTCTTGCGTTCGCTTTTTCTGCTCCTGAGAGAGTGTTTTCCAATTTCCGCCAGTTTTGTTTCCTCCAGGAACACAATAACAATTTCGTCGTGTTCGAGAAATGTTTTTCTTTTTCGCGGAAAATTGCTTCTTGAGCTTTCTCTCCTTCGCCAATGAGGAGGGTCGATTGGGGTTCCTCCCCGAGTGCGTCCTAATTCCGCCAGGGCCAGATTTGCAAAGCGGGAGAAACCTGCTTACTTAGAAAAAAACAAGGAAATTTTCGCAGTTGTCCGGGTGTGTAGAAGGAATGAGAGTTTTCGTGGATAATCTCTCTTGCTCCGTTGTTCTTCGAGGAAAAGAATAGGAAAAACTGTTGTGATGTAGCGACACTCGTTGTTATCGCTAAGGCCCAGGGCTTATGCCAAATGATTATATTGCTGCCTTTTCAAAAACTCGAAAACATAGCGAGTTGGGGCGCTGCTCATATCGTGGCGGGCGCGCGCAGCACTCAACTCACACACACACACTACTCTACCGCACTCGGCCCCTCCAGAAACGAAAACTGAACGCGCGGGGGCCATATTTCACGGACAGCCATCACCAACTTCCGCGAAGGAAGGTGCCCGATGGGCAGGCAAAATTGGTGATTTTATGTTTTCACAACAATAGAAGATTTCTCCATTCTGCGCCAGTCGCATCACTGCTGTCAATGCTTGCAACGGCGAGCATGAGCAGCCCCCAGGGGCAGAGGGAGTAACATGATAAGACCATACTTCCGGGAAGTTCTCGCGCCGTAATTAGCGGCCATCTACTCACAGTGCTCAAGTGCGTACAATCATCGCATCTCCAATTTGCGGAAACCTAAGAGCAACTTATTTTCGGAGCGCTCAATCTCCATCATTGCCCCTTTCTCACTGAATGAGATCCTCCACTACAGGTAGTACTCCGCGATACGTGCCTGCTCGACATTTTTATCGATCACTGGAAGTAGTAGAGCTGGACAAGAACGCCTCCCCAAGGCTAATCAATAACTTCGCCTCAATACTCACTATCAGCGCTTCATTTTCTTGGTCATTCATTCGACATTGACGGCACGAACACACGGATCGATACAACTAGCGTAGTAAAGATGTTCTTCGGGAATAATGACTCCGGAAGAGTGAAATAGACATACGCAAAATGCTTTACCAGGCAGTTGTTCTTTATGCACTAGTAATACTGCCAATGAGACATTCAGTATGCTCAGCGCGAATATTAAACTGAAATAATGATGATAAATCAGTGGCCGTAGATAGGAGAATATTTTTCTGGAGACAAACCCGTTTTGTTTTTAATTAACCTATTTATTTTGACGGTATGTTTGTCTCGAATATCTTCCTGGTGAGATATTCAAAAGATAAGATTATCACTGATAATTTATCAGTATCGACGGAAGAGTATTGATATAGCCTGTCAGGAGACAGGTTATCGCATAAACAAAAACAAATATTTTCGTACGCAAAGGACAGACACCAGAGAAAGGCTGAGTTTCACAAAGCTGGTAAGATTCTTACAAGGGTCACAGAATGTGCGTCTCGTGAACAACAGCAGCAGAGTGTATTTGTTAAATCTCGAAAATACGATTGAAAAGCGATTTAGTCATGCGACACACTCACACCGAGTTGTTTTCGTCTGTCAGTTTCATTGGGGCGTCTGGAAAGCAAACTTCTTCATGAAAATGACAGGCTCATAAATCAGTCACAAGTTTTATTCAGATTCAAATGTCATTCTTTCTTTCTGCGAATAACGTCGCCGAGATTGGTCTTATGAAGATCTTTTATCCTTCATAGGGAGGACATCGCTTGAGCTGGGAAAGTCCTTTCAACTGCCGCGCTACATCAAGAAATTAGCTGTCATAACTAGGATGAATATTAACGTTCATTTAAAATGATCAAGGTCATCAAAAACGAGATGAGTTTTTTTTTATTAACTTCATCTTTTCAATTACTATTTACAGCTGATGTTTTTAGATTCAATGATATTGATGGAGTTTTATAAAGCAGTGAAGGTGTTTCCTCGATCGATTTTCATACACTCTTGCAACTCCATTTCCCTTTTCAGATTGGAACTCTCCTCTTGTAACTAGTCCATGGACCATGGCCTAGCTTCGGGGGACTAGGAGAAATCACGTAATGACCGGGCGGCCATTGTCTCCAAGACAGAAGCCTTGAAAGCTTACATAACTTTGCGGGAGAACCGTCGCATATCAAGCCAAATATTTAACCACTTAACGAATATTAACAAAGAAATAAACAGAAGCTCGGGAGATCGCTTTTATTTGCTTCGAAAATTAAACTTCAACGCCGGAAAGCATCCTATTATCACGCAATTTGAGTTCATGTGAACAATTGACAGATTCTTATATTACGAATACAGTTTGTATTCCTTTATTGTACAAGTTAGACAGGGCCAATAATAAGAAAATTATGCAGACGAGACTTTATCACGGCAGCAAAATCGGGTGAGAAGGAAGCTCAGAAGTGAGCCAAACAGGAAGCAACCGACAGCGATACCCACGATTCCACCAACGCCGAGACCGTCATCCTTATTGATATTATCGTTTTTGGATGTGCGAAAATAACTCACATCGTTGTCATTTTCCGTCGATACTCCTCCCTCCTTCAAGTTCTTCCCACAGGTTTCATACTCCGTCGTATTTGAACCCGGCACAGAGTTCGTTCGCGCGATATGTTCAATGCAGTAAGAAGAGTCTTTCCTGTAACGAGGACGTTCTGGGTCCGTGTAGTCGACCCAGTGTAATCCAAAGCGTTCGGAGAATCCTCTTGCCCACTCAAAGTTATCCATCAATGACCACGCTGTGTACATACGAACATTGACATCGTCTTCGTTGATTGCGCGCAACATTTGACCAATGTAATTTTGATAAAAGTCTGTTCTTGCCTTGTCATCGAGATTTATTTCAGGCCCTTCTTGATCAGAGACACCATTTTCTGTGACATAAATAAGTGGATTGTTCCATTTTCGCTTGAATCAGAGTTCGATATATTTTAAAGCATAGAATGTATAATGAATTCTTATTTTATCTTATTATATATCTTTATCTTATTAAAAAAAATGAATGAAAGTGCATGTTTCTTTATAAATGCGTAGGAACCCTTGCTTAATGTAGCGAAGAAGCTTTCGATATCCCCATGGATTTGGTCGAAGCCAGTCAGATCCTGTGTCTGGCCAGTTAGAACAATGACCACCTCCATGACCTGGATAGCCATCACTTGGTTTAGAAAGACTAGACGTATAGTGATTTAACCCAAAGAAATCTGATGACCCGCGAATTCTTGCTTTTTGTGCTTCTGTAAACGAAGGAAGAAACGTGTCAAGAAACTCTTGCACGAAATCTTGGAGAGCCTCAAGATTATCTCCTGGGAAATTTGGCAATTCTTTGATATCAACGTCGAGATCACGGATAATATCGCTTAGAGTAATGTTTCCGTTTTTGTCTTTCACTCTTTGCGGATAGTCGCCTATAATTTTTTAATATCTGGTCATGCCTTTTTCCTTTACCTGATCCAAAAATAGGCTCCGCAAACCAACCCAAATCAAAGTCGACTGCGTACATTGCTGATCGCCAATATTCAGGATCCCAAGGTTGTTGGCCTTCCGCGAATCCAGAGCTGAGAGTGATACCAATAATTCCTCCTTGTTGTTGGCGATATTTCTGGTCGTACAGATGGTAAGATTCTGCATGAGCGAGTAACATTGTGTGACCACACCAGTAAGGTTGTCCAACCCATCCAGGTGCTAGAAAAACGGATTATTATACGATGATTTATCGCAGATCATAGTTCGCTAGTTTTATTGATCATCAGTCATGAAATAAGCCTCATGTTTTAGGTGTTTCCACATACCCATCTCTCCAGTTCCATAGGCTTCTCGAGCCTGAACTGCGGGTTCGTTAAGAGTAATCCATCGCTTGACTCGATCGCCAAAGGCATTGAAGGCAACATCGGAGAAGTCAACGAACGCTTTTACCATTTTGCCCGATTCATAATCCAGCCAACCGCGGAAGTCGTCATGCAACTGTTGAGGCAGATCCCAGTGATAAAGTGTGACGACAGGCTCGATTCCGTTTGCAATAAGTTCGTTGATAAGATTATTATAGTAATCTATTCCAGCTTGGTTGATACCATCCTCTACATAGCCTGTTGGAATAATTCGTGTCCAGGAGAGTGAGAATCGATAGAGCGTGACTCCCAAATCTTTTATCATTTGGACGTCTTCCCTCCACTTATGATAAGAGTCACATGCGATATCACCTGAAATTATACTTTGACTATTTCAAATAGTCTATTTGTAAGAATACTAAACATTCAAAATAGATGCTAGCTTTATAAATTTTAAGACGAACCATTGTCACAGTTATCGATTCTGCACTCAGGAACAATTTCAATTTCGGAGACAAGTGAATCGTTCTTGCGCCAGTGCGAAAACACATCCCAAGTGTTCAAGCCCTTGCCATCCTCATCCCAGCCTCCCTCAATTTGATAAGATGCTGTTGCGAGAGACCATTCGAAATCGTCCGGAAAGCTTCCTCCCGAAAAATCATCCCGCTCTGCTTTGTAGAAACAATTCTGTTTTCGCTCTTCATACCCATTGACTTCTATCAAATCGGCAAGATACCAACCAGAGTCTTTTACTGTTCGCTCACGATTCGAGCTGGACATGTCCACACGAACGAGTCCGTCGGCAGTATGTGTCATTGAACCGAAATTCCATTTATCAAAAACATTAAAAGAAAGACCAGTCACTGAGACGCCAGTTTTGACCGCATAAAGAACCTGGTTTATGGTTGTACTGAAGTAATACATTTGATGCTCATCGTTCACATATTTAGACCGGCCGATTCCCCATCCTTCATTGACTTCAGGGATGACAGAGTCTCCTGTTAGTTTAGTTGGATAATCCGAAGTACTGCTCCATTCAATATTCAATGAGAATTTTTGACTGCCAAGATTCTCTGGGAGGAAGGCGTTGATGAATTCATGGAAGCCTTTTGGATTGTATCTTTGTTCTTTCTTTGCTGATTGATAGCTTATGAAGTCGTTGTATCTCTTAAAAAATCCCTATGTGAGGTTTGAGCTCTAATGCGAAATAACATACTTTTACTCCAACTGCATCCCAAAAATTTCCATGTGACGACAAAGTAGAAACATCACCTTCTTTTAAGTAGACTTCATCAGCGAAAGTCGCGAGTCCGGTAGTTTCATAGCTGACAGTAATGAAATCAAAGAGACCGGGGTCATTCACTGTGGAAGGAGGGTTTAAATCCGGAAAGGTAGCTGTAACGGATTCCGGCCATTTTCCTTCAGTCATCGGAAGAAGAAGAGAACCAGAAACAAAATCATTATATCGTCGAGAGGCAGCTACGTCTAGTGCGTCGTTTTCATCGGCTGGAATAACAAAAGAGTGAGGATCAAAAGCAAATCCAATTTCACAGTCTCCGCAGTTTCGTTTTATCTATTTGTAATAGAAATCAAAATATGCTCGATTTCGTTCAAGACTGACCTGAGTGTGAGCAACAATGTGACCGAGGTAGATATTGCTAATTACACTAAATACTCTAAGAGCAGAGTTCTCAGATGTTGCACTCTTTGGGGGATAATTGACATCGGTGTATCCGTCAAATACTTCCCGTCCAACATTCTGGAAGGGAATAAACTTCTTGACGACATGACGCGTGGCCTTTTCAAAATTTCTCACTCTGCTTTTATATCTTGGAACATAATAATCGTTGAACTAAGTGCTTTAAATTGATATGAGAAACCATTCCTTCACAACTGCGTCTGTATAATCTCGGAAAGCCGGTAGAATGCGACCAACAACATCTCCATCCCATCCATTTCCACCATTTTCAAAGAAACGTTGAGGCATATCCCAATTGTAGAGAGCAATAATTGGTTCTATTCCTGCATTTTTGAGACCTTCTGCGAGCTCAACGTATTTATCAAGTTGAAAAGTAGACAATGTGGTGTCATCATTAGGGAAGAGACGACTCCAAGAGACAGAAAATGTGTAGGACTTTAACTTAAGATCCTTGATGGTTTGTATATCTTCTCGGATGTGATTTAAAGTATCTGCTGCGAGAGTTGGCGGCGTCCACTGATTCGTGAGCTCGATTTCACTACTCTCTATTAAATGAACTTGATGAACATCCCAAAGTGTCTCTCCAGTTTGCTCTGATTGTCCTCTCTTTTCTGTTTCGTAGGCATTTGAATAACCTCCCCAAACAAAATCGGCAGGGAAATATCCAAAAGTGAAAGTATCCTCGAGAATTTGCATTGGATCTTCAAAGCTAGGGTCTGCAATCAGGTTAGCGACTCTTGGTACAGAAGTTTTCGCCCAAGTTTCTGGATTTTCTTCTCCGAATTCAACATGATACATGCCGAAGCTATCGTTGTAACCAGCTGTCCATTCAAAGTTGTCCATCAAGCTCCAAATACACGTTCCATGGACTTCTACTCCGTCAACCTCGATAGCTTTTAAAATTTCGTTGAAGCTCTGATATATATTCATAAATCGTTGTGGATCAGTTTTGTCTGCAGTGTCTGACCATCCGTTTTCAGTTATCCAGATGCCACCCGAGTTAGGGAATCGTAGGTGAACCCAATTAAGCATTCGTCTCAGGCCCCAAGGAGTATGCTGAAGCCAGGAAGACTCCGCAGATTCCCATTCTAAGTCGACTGCTGTCCAAGCGCCAATATCACCATACCATCCTGGACGGAACCAATACGCCAATTCCTGAATGAGATCTGCAAGATCCTTTCTTTCTGTACCCTTATTTTCTTCAATAAATTTCTCCACTTTTGTCTTAAGATCTAAATACGCTTGCGAGTCTTCTGGTACGGCGCTAACTTCTCGACTAGTATACATCTGTAGGGAGTAGAAATCAATAGAGCCCTCCAGTACAGATTTCTCCTCTTCAGTAAAAGATGGGAGTCGAGATTCTTCAAGTCCTTCAGCCAAGGAAATTCTTTGAATTCGCTCTATCATTTCTGGAGGGTAATCTCCATTGTAAACTTAAAAAATAAATAAATTTTTACTATTTTTAAATATTCCTACAAGGTTCTACATAATGAGCAATAGTATGCACAAGGTAACGTTGGGCAGCATCAATGTCAGCATCGGACCATTTATCAGCAGGCTCAGCCCAGAATGCGTCAATTGTGATTGAAATTAGACCTCCTTGAGACGAGTAATTGTCTTGATATCTTTTGTATGCATAGGCATGAGACAAAATCATATTGTGTGCGCATTTATAGTAGTTGCGACCAGTAATATCACCCATTCCAGGAGGGAACATTCCTGTGTCATGTCCTTGCCAGCAGTAGCTATGTGGCTCATTGAAAGTGAACCAATGCTTTACTCGGTCGCCGAATAATATAAAGCACACTTCTGCATAGTCAGCAAAAATTTGTTGAATATTTGGAGAGTCAAATCCATCGAAGTCTTCTTGAAGCTTGAGTGGCAAGTCCCAATGGAACAAGGTTACCATAGGCTGGATGCCTTCAGCAAGAAGAGCATCGATAAGGTTGTTATAATAGTTTACTCCGCCGTCTAAAGGTTCGTGGTTAACATAGCCATCAGGGAATAATCGAGCCCAGTTGATGGAGAATCTGTAATATCCTAAGTTGAGGTCTTTAGCCATTTGGACATCTCGAGCAATATTAGGGTTAGGGTCAAATTGAAATTTGAAAGACTATTTTTTGACAGATAAGTTTATCTATCCAGCTCATTTTTATACATGCTTCTTTAATTGGGAAAAAAGAACTTCTCCACGCACTCGCTAGAGGGAATTCTAAAAGGGCGCGCGAGAGGCGCGAGGGTGGAGCAGCTGAGGCACACGCGAGTAACGCGGTAGGAGATGGGCACACCCGGTAGGTATAATGGGGGTAAGAGGGATTCGCTTGCCCCCAGCGGGTGACAAAGTTCATCCTATTGTAATCAAATTTTAATCCAGCTGTCTTGTGATCTTCTCTTCCGTTTGAAAAGTCTTTTTTAATCATCCATCTAATCTCTTATTACCTTTTATCCTTTTCCAGCTGATCTGAGAGACTAAAACTTTCCATAAGAACATGATGATTGGAGACGGTGAACGTATCCAAAGAGATGAAAAATCCAAAGAGGGCGAAAAATCGAAACCAAAATATAAGAGAAACCAGACAAGCCCTTAATATTCCCACCCACCAAGACTGAGTCTAAACTTTCAATTTATCTGAAAATCATCTTGACCCGAACTGCCTAACCTTACTGTATGGTATGGACCATATCGTATGGTCCATACACCATGATAATATGGTCCAAATTTGATGCTCTGCAACACGAACTACTTCCAGGAATATTCCTCATTGACCTTGTAGATATTCCTTGGCCGACATTTTTTGCTCATGATGGGCTACTTAGCTTTAATATTGTCTCCTACATCGTTACTTGCGTGTGCCCCAGCTGATCGATCTCGCTACTCTCGCGCGCCCTTTTCAGAGCTCGACCAGCGAGTGCGTGGAGAAGTTCTCTTAATCCCTTTAATTGTTTATACTGTCTGTAAATAAAAACTTCTTGAAAGCGACCCTAACCCTATGTTGTGGTAACTGTCGCAAGCAATGTCACCAGTATCACAATTCATTACTCGACATCTTTCGGCTTCATTGCCGTCAGGAAGAGTTATTGGGTAACGCACCCACCAATCCCAAATATTCATTCCTTTGCCGTCTTCATCCCAAGCTCCTTCTACTTGGTAAGAAGCAGTTGCAGAACCGAATCCAAAGGAACTTGGTAATTTTCCGACATAAATTTGATCTCTAAGATAGGCTTATTGATGACGTTTTAAATAAAAAAATGATAATATCAATTACCGATGCCAGTAGTCTTGCTTTTGGATATCTAACAAGAATTCTCTTTCTGGACGCATTTCATGCGAAAAACATCCTACTAATATATAAAATACTAGCATTTATCACCAACTTTGTGTTAGTAATGATAATGCCCTTCAACTAACAGCGTAAAACATCAGGAAATGCTTGAAATCGTTCAATATTGATCGTAAATATTATCATTATGAGCCTGGTTCCTTTCCCAGTAGTCGATTTTGCCAACCGTAGAAAGATAGTCGCGTTCCGGTCTCCTAGAACTCAGAGAGTTAGAAATAAACTCGGTGAACCAGTTTCCGAAAGGCTTCACTATTCTTTCGCGAGAAGCGTTGCTCCAGTCAAGTCCAACAAGTCCCCAAGCTTCTCCATTTTGAGTTATCCACTGGTATCCGTCAACAAAATTCCAGTGAATGTACCCAATAACATTTACGCCTTCTTGTTTTGCTCTGCTTAGCTGGGTAATTGTAGCCTCTGTAAATTGAATCATCATCTCGTCAGTTGTGCGAGCAGTGTCTACTATTCCCCCTCTTCGTTTTTCTAGAGCATCAATAGCTGCAGACTCTCCGGCAATACCTGACATCAAGATGATAGGTTTTGAGGTCTGGTTTGATATGTATTTCAATACGTCATAAACAGTTTCACTCGAATATGAAACTCGTTGAAGAAGATTTGAAGTTTGTTGCGAATTCCATGGGAGAACTTCTTGAACGTTTCGATCCGCGGCATATGAAATCTCATTGATGTCTGTTTTCGGCTCTCCAGCAGCTGTCATTCGGTAGTTTCCGTGCTCGACCCCCAGGAAATCAAAAGAGCCGCGGAGTTTGTTTTGTTCTTGAATCGTGATAGCTGGAAGCCGTTTGATAGAGGGTCCATCTCCAATGGTAATAGGATGTATATTTTCAGACATTGATTCTGGCCATTTTCCATCAATAAGCGGGTGAAGAAGCCAGTCAATGAAAAACTCATTCGCGAGTTTGGCAGATGCGATGTCGTCTTCGGTTTTGCTGAATGGTATATGAAAATCGCCAGAGAGAGAAATCCCCATTTTTCCTGGGTAATTTCGGCTTTTGAAATAGTTGTAAATATCCGCATGTCCAAGGAGCATATTTTTCGCGACTTTGTAAGCTTGAACACCCGGGGCACCAATCGGGCGCATTGGTGGTGTTAAACCAAGTTCATAAGACATCATTAATTCTCGCTGTGGCTGATTAAGAGTAACCCAGTAGTCAACCAGATCTCCGTATTCATCTACAACTGCTTTTCCGTATCTTACAAAAGAAGCGACTCCTTCATCAGTAGTCCAGCCCTCGAATTCTGAGACGACGTCTCGTGGAAGATCCCAATTGTAAAGACCAACGATAGGAATAATATCATTCGCTTTTAATACTTCAATGTACTTTCTGTACAAATCGAGAATCTCCTGATCGGCCATTGCAGTTTCGTTGAATCCATTACGGAAAACTCGCGCCCAAGAAATTGTAAAAAAGTAATGGGTCATTTTCATTTTCTTCATTAATTTAGCATCGTCTTCCATGTGATCTAAAATATTCGCTGAATTCTGCGGCCCACGAATGCCCATCAAGTCCCACACAGTCCAAGCTCTATCGGCGACAAGGATTGACTCGTGCTGGAAGGCGGAAGTTGCAGAGCCAAAGAAAAGATTCTCAAGCTTCACAGAATCTGACGGACGCTCATCTTGAGGAAAACTTCGATCCCAGTCACGAATCCACTCTCCTGTTCGACGAATGCTTGTTCTCTTATCACTTGCAAGGTAGTTTGTTTTAAAAAGCCCATAAGTCTGTAAAAAACCATTTTCATATTCCAGGCCGTCCATAAGCGAGAAAAAATGGATGCGAGTTACCCGTGCGCTGAATTCGCTTCTTGCTCGTTGAATTTGACTAAGATGCCCTTGCAGAAAATTTATTCGTTGAACATCATTGTAGTCAGCAGTGAAGCTGGCACCAAGTTCGTTTATGAAGATCTCAGGATTGTTGAATGTATCTTTGATATACTTGAGAACACGCTTCAGACCATAATACACAATTGGACTTCCATCTTCGTCAAATCTACTCCTCCAGTCTTCTATGACGAGCACTTCTGAGTCGCACAAGAAAGCACATTCACGCTCGACCAACGCTGTATTGTTGTGGACCACATATGCGCCATAGTAATCAAGTCCAAGGAAGTCCGCTGAGCCTTGCAATAAAGCTTTCTCTTCTTCCGAGAACTCAGGCAAAGTTCCCGGAGGGTTATTTTTTGCAACCAACATTTTCATATTCTCCGGGTAATCTCCAGAACCGAATATGGGTTCAGCCATCCAGCCAAGTCGAAAGTCCAAGAATCTTACAGCTGCATCAACATGCTCCGCGTCTTCCCACGATCTGTTTACTTGGCTTCAAAAATATACTCGAATGAATATCTTGAACTTCTGCGTACAAGAAAAAGATAAGCGAGTGCTTGGATTAACTAAATTCTAAAAAGTTGCGAAGCCTTCCTTGGTTCACCCCATGGTGCAAGAAGGTTGATTCCAATTTTGCCCTGAAAGTTTCCGTTTCGAAACTGCTCAACTGCCTTTGCGTGAGCAAGAAGCATAAAGTGGCCGCAAGTGTAGGGTCCGCTGTGCACCGGGTCGCCCTAAATTTACCAAAAATATATTTGTACTTAGTACGATAAGAATGTTAGCGAGACAGTTCCTGACAATATCTGTGGCATTTGGTGCGGCTTGTGCAGTAAAACCAAGCGTGCAGAAGTCTTGAGGATTGTTGATCGTCACCCAGCTGATATCCGCGTCGTTCGCGAAATTGTCGAAGATAATTTTCGAGTACTGAGCAAAGTACTCAACAAAAACAGGATCCCGTACTCCACCTTTTAAGAATGAAGATTATCAATCTCATCGAAATTATAAAGAAAAGAATCTCTATTAATCGCTCACTCTTCCTTTATCTTCGATTGCTTGTGGGTAATCTCCATCCATAAGCGTAACTACTGGAAGAATTCCATTGGACTTAAGATCCGCTAGAATACCCCGATAGTATTCAAGTCCTTTAAGATTAGCTTCCCCATTGATGTCTGCCAAAATACGGGTAGAAGCAATAGAGAATGAGTACGACTTCGCACCGATGTCTTTAAGATTCTGAATATCTCTTTCCACATTGTTATAAGAATCAGCTGCATCGAGAGGATAAAAGAACTCATCGTTTTCCACTAGAGTTTGCATGTACGTATCGATGATTGACATGACTTTGCCATCACTTTGATGAGCTCCCTCAATTTGGAAAGCGGAAGTAGTCGCTCCAAGTAAGACGGACTCGTCGAGTGAAGCTGACGATGCTTTATCGCGGGTCCAGTGATCTTCATCCTTGAAATTCGCAATAGAATCGGTCTTAGGCGCTTATTAAATGTTATTATCGAGGTGCAAGATTATTATTCAAGCCGGGACATTCAAAATCTAATATGTCACATACTGTATGTGTCTCTATTATCTCGATTTTATCATTTCCTGAAGCAGACAGACCAAGAAACAATGTGGTGAAAAACCACATTGCTTCAATATGTTCTCTAGCAGCAACTAACGAAGTTGGTTATGATCGGCTGTTGAAAATGGCAAATCTCAAAACCAAATATTTGGCAGTGTATCCGTGAAAGGTACCTCTTCATGTCGACAATTCCATGAGCTACATGGTTTACGAGTGACAAGGACGTCGACACAGAATGTTTAGACCGGCACAGTACAAACTCACCTGCTCCTAGTACTAGTTAGACAGTTGAGAAAACAAAGATCTGTCAAGTAAAATTGATAATTTCTTGAACTCTGAGGTCTGAGAATTAGCAATCTGTCACAAAAGAAAACATATAAATACAAACGTTCAACCCTAACCCTAAATACTGAAAAATCTCATTTATAAAACGTAGAATTATTTTCATATCAAGGAATAATCAGATTTCGAGAGGCGGACTCAAGATTTTAAGCTAAGGATAAAAAGAGATCAAGGTTGGAAGGCGCAGCTTGATCTCACTTTTCAATAATTCAAAATACATTAATCAATAAATTAGTTGCGTGTAAATTTTCACTGTTTAGTTAGTTTTTTTCTTTAAAAAATCTTCTCGCATCTTGGCGACACCGCGGAGCTGATTTCTTGGTTAGCCCAAATGCGATTAACCGGGAGGCTACGGACTCGAGAAAATATTGATACTGCTTCGTTCAAGTCCTCACCGCAAAATCCCTTTATCTCCTCCGATCAAGCACGTCTTCCCTGCGATCGCGTAATTTTTCTCCGATGAAGAAATTGTCATTACTTGAAATGACTGAGTTTGTTTTAAACTCTCAAGAGGCAGTGACCTTTTCATAAATAAATTGACGGTCGATGCACAGATATACCACATCTTTGCGATCACAATTGCTCAAGCGTTTTTCAGAACGGCAACTTTGAATGAGTTCGTATTGTTCGCCAACTCAATTGTCCATAGACTTCCTGGCCTGCGTCGGTGGTGAAATATCAGACGAAAAATAGGGAGCGTCTGCTTTAATTAAGTCAGATTAATGTCATTGTTCTTTCTGAGTGGATCTTACTCCAGCACGGCTCAAGTGTTTTCTTTTAAAGTAAGCTCGAACCCATGATCTCCGCTACTCAGTTTCACGTCTTTATGAGATCAGTCGAGAGGCTAGACGATTTGGTTTCTAACTTAGGAAAAATGTGATCGGATGAGGTAATCTTACCTTTCACACGGAGTTCGCTCGAGACAAAGCATACTCAAATCAGGCACTTCAGCTCTTCGTTGTTATAATAAACGCTGCGCTTAGAGATTTTGAAAAAGGGCATCTTCTTGAAATAAGGTACGTTCCGCTGAAAATTTCTTGCAGAATGATCATCATAATTGCTGTGAAATTTCCATTTCGCGGGGTATGAATATACGTCCATGGTGAATTACCATTGGTAATTACATTCTAGCTTTCTACTGTCAACTCCCTCGCTTTTCAGTATATAGGCAGCTTGTAAACAATAAATCCATTAATGCTTATCTCAGCTTCCATAAGTTGTAATAAGCTGAAGACTAACATGCGACCGTTAGTTGACTTATTTTCATTTTAGGTGCGGAGGGCGATAAGAGACAGCCGAAGCTAGCTACCGCGGCATCGCCACCGCTAGAGGGAAACCGATGAAACGCGCGCAACGGACGCAGCCATTTTAAGAAAAATGGAGCAAGATCAGCACGAGAGAAGCCTTTGCCGTCGAAAACGAATGCCAGTCAACATCATAGAGTTTTCTCTCATCTCCGTGACCGCGTGGGGACTTGGCTTTGCTCGATATTTAGCGGAACACAAGGTCCGGTTTCGGAAAGGGCCGGCTTAGCGCGCATCCCACTGCACTGGAACACCCCAGGCAACAGTTATGGTCAGTTGTTTTAGAAATGTCAACGGCAAACGGCCAAATGCAATTTTTTTTCTCGAACCATCTAAAAGGGCGTTGAAATCATGCATCTCTTCAAAATCTCCAGGGACTTGTCCGCAACGATGACAGCCATTTCGGCAATCGGTTTTATCATTCTAGTTGTCGTTACTGCAGCGGTAGCAGGTACTCAAAAGTAGAAGGTTTATAACTAAATTAAGAAACGAGCACACGTAGACACAAGATCCTCCTGCTGCTGTGGAGCCTTATATACTCCGTCTGTACAGCGCTTACAAGTATTATTTGGTATCTTGGAGTGCCGCCTCAAGAACACTCGCCCGAAATCATACCGACTTGGAAGAAGTTCTGTATTCTCGCCTCCTTTGTTTTCCAAGACATTTCACTTGACATCGTGCAAGCCTTACTAATCAGGTACAAAAGTAGGCGACCTTCCTCAGCATTCAGAAATATTGATCTCCAAAATCTAACTCTTATAATTAAGCTGGATAATCGCACGTGAAAAACACACAGAGCGTGCAATAGCTTCATTTGGTAGTCTTTATCCTATTGGATCCCTAGTAGCTTCTGCTTTATTCCTCAAAATTGTCGATGTCGGTGGCATATTTACGATTCCTTCATTTGTCGTCCCAATTTTTGTCGCAGCAATGATAGTGAAAACGTCGAAGTCTATGGATTCATCAAGCTCGAGTAATCGGCAAAAGTTTTGCATAAACTCGCTGCACATATTCTGCCCGGACACTCGCATAAAGAATCTACAAATTTGGAGGTGCGTTTTAAAAAAGTTCTCTCTCTCTCAAAAGAAATTACGTAGGTGATCTCAAGAAGCTTTTGATAATTCCTCTCAAAGCATGAAATTGTTAAAATAAGCCCGCTGCCGAAGAATTTATTTTCTTTGGAAATAAGCGCTCTGAGGCTTCAAAATTACACCGACCAGTAATTTTGATTTTTCAGCTCGATAACCTATCCAGCAGTATTCCTCCTTCGCTCCGAATTGCCCACTTTGTTGACAGAGCTGGACGCACGCAAAGGCGACTTTCATTTGGCGAAGAGTGAAGAGGCAAGATTCCTGGTTACAACTGTGTCGGACTCTGGCTCATTTGTTTTTGCGATTCTCGTTCTTGTATTCAATGCTACAGAGCGAGTGAGGATTAAAAATCTCACCGTCGGAATACACGTGACTTTAATTATCGCGCTCATTTGTATTTTCCAATTTCCTGCAAATGCGATCATCTTCACAACGGCGGTTATCTCGGGACCGTCGACATTAGTGGTAATGTTGTTGCCGTTCATTTTACTCGCACGCGCTCGCAACGGAGACAAGGAAGAGAGACATGAATACGTGGTCACCGACGTCGCTGCCATTATGATCTCATTCAAGGTCGGTGTGACCCTTCTCATCATACTTCTCGATCACATCATGTCTTCTTTGAGCAGCCAATCGTCTTTAGATTACGAAGATGACTCCGTCTTCTCCAAGCAATCTAATGGTACAACTTGCGGATAGCTACTTTTGCTTTCAATTACTCTTCTAGTTGGATATTACTTGATGATTGCCCTGCTTACAATTGGAGGAGCTTTCTGTACCAAGCTGCTGAAGTTTCATCAAGTTAAACCCTTATTCCCAGTGTTTTTTGTTTTTATCATTTTCTAGGATGTCGACGGGAATGAAGGAAGACTCATTGAGAGAAATCAGTCCAACATTTAAGAAAACCAGTTATTACGAAGAGTGATTGAAAAGAGATATTCGAAGACATAAACAACGTCGACAATTACAGGTGGTTATTGGAGAAGGATGACTGCCAGATATGGTAAATTGCTGTACCGCGAATACGCCTATCATAATGCATTACTGAATCGGCCAATAAACCCAATAAAATGGCCGTATTGTTTCATGCTTATAAACGCAACGGAACTAACATTTAAAAATTCTCAAAATGTCAGGTGTGCATGTATTAAGTAAATAATTTAGGAATGTGAACAGAAAGGCAGTCGTGAAAAACGTGAGGTGAAAAACAGTGTAGAAGAGATTTAATAAAAGTGATTAAAACTCATCTTTAAAAGAAGAAGAGCGGCTGAAGCCGGCGAAGGACCGATTCAAATTCTGGCAGACCCGCTTGTTCCTATTAGAGAGCGCCTTGGAAGCAGGAGAACACAGATAACTGCATATTCGTTCGTCAATCATCTGTCGAGTCCTGAAAGATTGTTAAACAACAAGCATTTAGCGGAGCTAGCTACCGGTTCCCTTGTTCTGTGATTGAGAAAATCTGCGTTCCGTCACTTCTCTTGTACCGCGGAGTTGTTCGAGACTGATAAGAATAGTCTGAAGCGCTGTAAGAGCGAAACGCTTTCTGAGGAGTTCGACCAAGCCGCGGAATCGGCAGCTAATTAATGGAGTTGAATGGAAAGTACTGATTTCGTGTTAAACCTGATTTTTCCAGACACGGCGCGGGTTAATTTCGATCTCGTCGTCAGATATGTTCTCCTTGTTCTCTTCAGCGAGTCGATTCGCGGACCTCGACCGGGACTGCTCCTTCTAAAAAATAAAACACTAACAACATATTGAAGAGATAGTCTTTACCATTTTACTTGGTGTTGACTTGTAACCAATTAATTCTCCTGATTTGCCAATAACTGGCAGCTTCCGGCGAGAATCAGGCGGCTGAGATTTGGATCGCGACTGAAAGTTGAGCTTCTCGAGTTGTTTTGAGATCGACTCCTCCTCGGATGAGAGATAATCAGTTTCGCTGTCTGAAGAATCGCTTTCGGAGTAGAGATAGTCTTGTCGCTCGATTACGTCGATTACGGATTTGTTGAAATCGTAAACTGTCTTCTCGGGATCCTTAAAAGACGAATTGACGCAAGTGTCTTATCTGCGCTGGATTACCTGAATTCTAGCGCTGTGTGGAGGGGGAACAATCTTGCTTGCTCTATCGCCGATGTGCTGCGCAAAGGACTCAATATGCGATTTGTATTTTTTCGGAATATTGAACTCGCTCGCTTGGAAATCGGCAATTGTCTGTTCAAGGTCGCAAGTTTCGTCGGCTAGAATGGTCTCCTGCAGACAAATGGTCCTCTCCCGATTGTTGCCGCAGTCGATCTCCTTTTTCTTGCCGATTTCGTCCGGTACATTCGCCGCGCAAAAGTTCAATAACTCAAACCGTTCGGATTTCCAGTCCACTCTCCCGAAGGGTTCATGCTTCGAAAAGTCGATTTCTCCGACCTCCGCTGGATGACTGAATTAAAATTAAGCATTCATTCGCTCAAAGGGCAAAATAGGACTTACGTCTGATTTAGATCGAATTCCCTTGCCGATCTGAGCCAACTCGAGGATCTAGATTGTTCCGCCTTCATTTTCGTGTATTTAGCGATTCTCTTGTCCGCCTTATCAAGCTCCTCTTCCTCAGTCGCATTTAGCGCTCTCTTGTAGATCTCATGATTCAGATTCAGACTTGCTGAATCTTCGCAACTCACTTCTGCCAGTTTGAGCCATTTGTCGACGACAGCGTTGACTCTCCCATTCAAACTGGGCACTTGAAGGAGGAAGTTGCCGGGAGTTTGCTCCATTTTCTCTGTCTACTCTCTGAAAAAAGGTAAATTTCAGACTGATGTCGAAAGTCGGCGGCCAATTAAAAGCTTTTCCCGGACAGCCGTGATTTCTTTCGACCAATAAAAAGCCTTACTTATGACTTTCCGGTTGGCCAATCACCGCTTCCGGGAACGAACGAAGTCGGATTAACGGAAGCCTCACGCCCTAAATCTTTATGGTGTTCGAGTGGCGCCTTCTGTAATTCAAAAGTCTTTCCTCTATCGTAGGACAGTTCTAAGCCCTAGAATCTAGGGGCAGCAAGTCTTTCAAAAATATTCACCTTTGAAAAATGCGCGGGCTTGTAACGAAACGAACTTCAAAAACAGTTGAATCGCAAATTGAATCAAAAGCCAAGATATCGGATAGTGGTTCGGACTCACTCGAAAATTTCTTCGTTGACCAATCCAAAGCCGAAAACTCTCTTCAACCGCGAGAAACAGTTTCAATTTTGGACGGCGTCAGTTTCGGACGCAGCGCGCATTCTGATTTTTTCAGAGGCTCTTTCAAATGATGCACTTTTTCTTCTTGCGTCAAAACAGAAAGAGTCTGAGAAGCTCGAGATTATAAAGGAGCCAGGAGTCTTACTCTTTAAGAAATCCTTAAATCGACCACTGTTAGTAGAACTTTCTTCAATCAGAGAGAAGAGAGGCCTCAAGAGTTAGGAGAATACTCAAAATCGGAACTAATAATTATACTGATTGACTGTTCTCTGGATTCTAGAGTCAAGAACTTTTCGTTTGCCTCTTACTCCAGTCTACACAGTAAGAAGGCACATGATTTTTGTGATTGCGATCTCATTTTGACAATCTCATTTTTTCAGGTTGAAATCGGTTAACAAAAATGAGTGACAACAACAACGATGCCATGTATGAAGAGTATATGGGTAAGGCCGAAATTTAGGACTTTATTCTCAGCTTTTGATTTTTAGCAAAGGCCAAAAAATTCGGGAAAGATGGAATGCTCACAGAGGCTATGAGGTTCCTGCAATCGGCGCAGCGTTTCAAGAAAACGGAGAAGGTTGCCAGGAGAATCGAGGCTCTCCAAGCTGTGATCGATCAAGGCACGAGCTCAGATGAAAACGATGAACAGGTTCAGGTGATAACTTATTTTAGAGTATCTTTTGCAAACAAGATGTTCAGACACTTGAACGGGGGATGAAGATGGACAAAGAGATCTACGAGAAGCTTTATCCCCATCAGCGAGAAGGTGTCCAGTGGATGTGGGACGCTGTTCATTTGGGCAATGAAAGTCTACCAACTTCGCAACGGATCAAGGGCGGTTTGCTTAGCGACGATATGGGTCTCGGAAAGACCATCCAGGTAATTTAAGTCGTCCAGCACTAGAGTTTATGAGTCTTCTGATAGGTGGCAGCGTTCATCGGCGCTCTACTCGATATGGGCGAAGCGCGGCACTTCTTGATCATCGTTCCCACCTCGTTGATTCCGAACTGGGAGGCTGAGCTCCGCAAGTGGGTGCCCAATGTCTCCCAGTTTCGCTTCTCTGGCGATATTGCGAAAAGAAAGCGCGAGAGAGATCTTTATCACGCCCAAGCCTGTCGGTCAGCCGTTGTCATTGCCTCCTACGGCGTCTGCCGTACGAGCATGGACGCTCTCAACTCGAAGAACGGACGGGACTGGACATGGCCTTACATGATCTTGGACGAAGCCCACAACATCAAAAATGCTAGCCGTAAATCGTCAAAGGCAATCGACGGGATAAAGTCAACGCACCGACTTCTTCTGACCGGTACACCAGTGATGAACAAACTCGTCGATTTCTTCACTCTGATGAGCGTTATGAGCCAAGATAGAATTCTTGACATGAACCAGGCCAGTTAAAACAGAGTTAATCTGAAAGAAACGCGATTTAAAAAGTTTACATGTGTTTTGAACTGTTAAAAGGCTACCTTTAAAAATGAGTATCAAAAGCCGATCGAGATAGGACGAACCAAAAATGCGCGTTCCTACGAGGTCCATCGAGCGAACATGCTTAGCAAGGTGTTGCGCGACAAGACTGATTTCTGGATTCTAAGAAGGACCAAGGATGAAGTCAACGAGAAAGCAGAATCGGGAGGCTCGGGAGACGGGCCTTCTTTCCCAGAACTTCCTCCGAAGAATGACTTCGTACTTTGGTGCAAGATGACAGCGAAACAAATGAAAATTTACAAGGGTAAGTTTCGACAACTGGCGTCTTCTATTAATCCATGTGTTTAGATTTCTTGTCATCAGACGACGTGCGAAATGCATTGATGGCGAAGGCATCTCCCCTTGTGCAATGCACGGTGTTGAAGAAAATCTGCGATCATCCGCGCAGAATGGCCAACAATGCTTGTCGCGCGGCCGGTTTATTTGAAGGTTCTTTCAATGAGACTTTGGCTAACGAATGCGCAGCGAACAGAATTCATGATTGCGACTTGGACACACTCCTCGAGGAGAGTGGAAAGATGAAAGTCTTGTCAGAGCTTGTTGACGCCATCATTCCAGCTAAAATGCTTATCTTCTCGCAGTCGATTAAAATCTTGGATATTGTCGCGAAAATTCTGGAGGAGAAAGACATTAACTACATGCGAATGGATGGAAAAGACAAGATCCCTGTGCGAGATGAGAAGGTGCAGAGATTCCAGAGAGACGAGAGGATCAAGATTTTTATGCTGACTACAGGAGTAGGTGCCGTTGGATTGACATTGACTGCAGCTACTCGAGTCATTGTGTTCGATCCCGATTGGAATCCATCGCGAGATGACCAAGCTGTTGACCGGGCCTATCGAATTGGGCAAGTTCGACCTGTGGTAGTATTTCGGCTAATTACCTGCGACACTATCGAAGAGAAAATCTACCGAAAGCAGCTCTTCAAGAAGTCCATCATCAGCCAGAACAACGGCGAAAACGACGATCCAACAAGACTCTTCACGGACTCCGACATTCGTGAATTGTTCAATCCACCAGTTTCCGATGCGGAAAACATGTGCTCAGGTATGTGCTTGATCCGTCATCGAATTTGAAGTTAACTCCTTTTTAGAGACACAGAAGGCGTTAGCCGTCGTTGCTAAAAAACGAAAAGTCTACCCTCAACTACTTGAACTACTGGAGAAATTGAATACCTTCAAAAGCTTCCACGCAGGTATTCACGATCATGACCTGGCATTTGAAGCGCCTGACGTTCAAAAGGAAGAACTGACTGAGGAGGACAAGCAAAATCTGAGAAAAATCGCTGCCACTGTTGGAACTGGTGGACAAAGCGTCAAGAAGTACTACCCGAAGGATGTCGACTTGCCAAAAGAAGCTATTCCCTATCCGCAATATCCACCTCGTAATCCTTTAACGGAGAACTCGAATGTTGACTTCTCAAGAATACCGTTCCAGAAACCTAATTTCGACGATCTCTCCGCAGGTACATCGAGCGGAGAAAATTCGGGAAAGGCGCGAATCTTTGGAAACTCGCTTGATTTCGTTCGTCCAATAAAGAAAGAAGAGCCAGGTGAAGCTTACAAACAAAACATGTGGAGAAAGCCGGAGCCGCCTATGCTGCCAAAGATGGAGTCACAAGTGGTTTCTCTTATTTCCAGCGAAGAGGATCTTTCGCCAGTCCCAGAACGGAAGGTGTATCGCGCAGATAATATCTATACGAACTCGCCGCATTTTAACCGCATGAACATGGATAAGTTAAATACGACCCCGGACGATTATATGAAGAAAAGACTTTTCAAGGAATCTCCATCATCTTCTCCAAGTGCAAGAGATGAAAGACCGAGTCAGACAAACCCAACTCGAAGAAGCAAGCTCAACATTGACGCGCAATCTGACGATAGCAATGATGATGATCAGATGGAGCTTGAAATTGTTGGTGGCTCCGCCAGCGCACAAATCAATCATTTGGAGCAGACTTTTTTTCCCGAGGCACGCCCATCACTTAATTCAACAATTGCTCCTCCGAAACGTATCGCAGCGCTCATCGAGGATGACTTGAACGAGTCCGTTAGCAATATGTCTATCGGAGGTGATGAACCTTTTGAGGACGATGATGACGAAAAATCACCCCTCCCAACGAGTCCCAAAAAGTCACAGGCAAATCGGGAGGTGTCAGTCCTTGATGATGCGGTGCAGGTGACACAAAGATTCGCGCCTGGTGAATTCAAATTCGACAGCTTCGATACGGAAACGACAGACCCGGCTAAGAACCAATCGAACCCTGATGGCACAATGAGTGGAATCGGTGATCTTCCACAAGATCTGGACTTGAAGCAAGATGAAGATTTCGACTCTGATGCAACGGCAGACTCTTACGAACTGCAGATTGATGAACGCTCTTCTTCGATGATTTATCAGCATATAAGAGAAACGTCTAAGGCTAGGATCAAATAATTTTATTTTTCTGTATTCGAAATTACCAAACATATGAAGAAAATATTGATTCTCCTAAAGCATTCCAAGCCCGACGATATAAAACCCGGTGATGCTCACGAACTAACTACAGAAGAAGCATCAGATTTACTTTTCGGCGGTTCAAGCGACTCTGACGATTCCCCTGATCAGCCCCAGAAGAGTCACTCCTCGAACGGGTTGCACGTGTCTGATAGTCAATCCGCAAACTCATCCTCGAGACGGTCATTCAATCCAATTCTGGCCCCAGATACCCAGAAACCACCAGAGAATTCTTTCTTATTCGACTCTCAAGCTAATGTATCTTCAATGATTGCCGAGACTACTGGTGAAATAGTCGACTCAGAGGAAGAATATAATAACAGTAAGTTTACTCTACTATCTATTTTCAAGTATATTTACTTGAATTTAGTTTTGCACAATGCGTCCGTCTGTGCTTCCCGGAAGAAGCGAAAATTTAAACGGCGCTCTCAGCTGCCTCCTCGTCAAGAGACTGACGACGAAGATGACCCTGAAGAGAGTATAGTCGAAGACATGGACGATGATATGGGCAGCTTCATTGACGATGGGTCAGAGATCAATGAACAGTCGGTCTCTGATGACGAGTCCATGGAAGCTGAAGATCACTTTGACTCGGAGGACGAGCGACCTGTAAAGCGTAAGGCCAAGTACGGTAGAATCGTGGAATTGGAATCCGATGATGACGAAACTCCAGATGACCTCGAGTCAGACGATGATGATTTTATGAAGAAGCGAGTAGGTCGAAGAAATGTAATCAACTCTGATTCTGACTCTGACTGATAATTTTTCCCCTAAGTTCACTTCTGTAACACGTCTTCCCCACTTAACCGCACCCTTTTTACACTACCGTTAAAATTCTCGCATTCCTTTTTAGTGTTAGCACTGCCCACGGATAAATTTAAACACTGGAACAAACAAATATATTGAAAAAGACCTAAGTTAGTTTGCACTTAAATATCAAACAAGGAAGATTCATTTCAGTTGCATTTAAAAAAAGGACAAAATGTTTTTTAACAGTAAATCGTTGTAACAGTAAGGGACAACTAGCACGCGAGAAATGAACTTTGCAAATTAGTCTTGGCGAAAATAGGATGTTTTCAAGCTCGAAGAAGGATAAAGCACTGGTCGGCGAAATGTGTTTTCAAGTTTTGAAGATTCAAGGCAAATTTGAATTTTGTAGGCGTGTCAGCACCGCGCGCCGAGCTTTTCTCTTCTGATAGCTACCCTAATCGATTTAAATCAATCATGGAAGGGCTCGGTCGAGCATATCTAGTTTGAAGATCCACGTTTGCATCAGATATCTCTGAGGGTTTGCTTTGGTGATGGTTGTTTTCGACATTTGGGATTTCCACGCCCCGGACTGGCCCAGTAGTATTTGAGAATGGCGCCGCGGGCCGATCGCGAGCGCACGTCCGTTCTGCGCGGAGCTGTTCAGCCCTTCTCGGCTTCCGTCGACTCTCGAGTACTCTGTTCTGTTCCTGGGGCCGGAAGTACTCTCACAACAATAAAGTGCGGAAGGAGGTCAACTGGGCTGCTTTGGCCGCATGTAGCTGGGTGTCGAAGCCCACGTGTGCTCGCAAATGGGTCGCAAGTCACGCGCCCGCGCCCCCTCAGTCGCGATCTATCTGAACGCAAACAGCTCAACTCGAAAACAACCAAAAATACTTTTAACCAAGCGCCCTCTATCTTTTTCACAAAAAAAATCGAAGCCTCTTAGACTGTATCACACTTGTCTCAGAGTCAAAATTTCAGTCCAAGTAGTATTTTGGGCGAATTGTTGAACGTACGCCTCGAAAACACCTATAAACACGTGTAAAGTAGACGAGAGTGCCCCAGTTGAGAGTAAACTGAGTAGACGCAGAAGACGAGTCTGGCTGTCCAGTGGAAGAAGACCAGACAGGTTAGTTGCTCGAGCTCATGACCCTGGCTTCACTGTGTTGATTCGTTTAGTTAGTTACACAAATCCGCCAAAGATCCACTTGGCCCCGTGCCAGTGCGCCCGTTTGAGGCCATTGTCAGTCGACGGTAAAGGCACATCTCCACAGACTTTGGAAAAATTTAACCTAATTTTTGAAAGATAGGCTTGAGAGTCTCTCGCCACGGCCGGCGGCAATTGTGGTAGTTTACTAAAAAAAAGACGCTGTGAAAGAGATCATCCCCGTCCCCAGCGAAGCATGAAAGGACACTGGCCTTTTATGTGAACGCCCATAATTCGAGGGGATTGTTAGCAGAGGGCTCGTGCCGAGAAAAAGAGGGGAATGCTCTGAAAAGCAATCGATAGGCTGGGCGGGGTTGAGATGATGACGAAGTATCGAACATGTACTTAGTCATCGCAGAACTCGAAAATATTGACGAGAATTCAGGTCTCGGGTAAAGAAGCTGGTGTACGTGGGCGCGGGATCTCGCCTTTGTTCAACACAATTGAGCCAAGCTCAACATTTCTATTCCCGTCCTGTCATAAGATTAGAGTTTAGATGATCTTTTCGGTTGTGCGCTGAGCGACTGATGGCGACTGAGACGCTCATGGCTCCCACGACAGCGATAAACGACTCCCAATCTTATAACTTCCCCATCGATGACAGGCTTCATCAGAACAGCGGTAATAAAATGAACCCGGAAGCAGCGAACCGCATGCCGACGAAAAATGAAACTGAACAAGCTGGTTCCGACGACTGTTTCTCGCAAATAACAAAGAACGAGAAGCCCAACCACCTGGGATACTTGAAAAACTTTCGGTAATTGCATATACTCTTATTCTTTTTCAACTGCCATTTTCCAGGGTGAACCAATGTCCTCTTTTCCTGCAACACAAGTGCACACAGCATCGCCCGTTTACCTGCTTCAACTGGCATTTCCAGAATCAACGGAGAAGACGACCAATTCAGCGCGCTGACAAGCCGTTCAACTATTCCCCAGATATTTACTGTAATAAGTGAGTATCTCCGTTCTCGAGTGCGTTGTAAAAGTTTCGCTTCAGATACGACGAAACAACAGGAACGTGTGTTGATGGAGACAGTTGTGCGTATCTTCACCGGGTAACTGGCGATACTGAACGAAGATATCACCTCCGCTATTACAAGGTAAACAACGATTGCGAGAAAGTTCATCTGATTAAATGACTCGATAGACAGCTGCGTGTATTCATGAAACGGACGAAAATGGACATTGTGAGAAAAACGGTCCCCATTGTGCTTTCGGACATGGCGCTGATGACCTTCGAAGCCCCACTTTCGATGCTTCTTGTGGAATTGAGGTTTCGTCTAAAGGCGATCTCCAAGAAAAACTTTCTTTGGATGACAACAAGGTAGATTCATTTTTCTTATCGCTCCCCTTAATGCTTATATTTAGTGGAATAATGCTGATTTCGTCCTGAGCAATTACAAAACGGACACTTGTAAACGCCCGCCGCGCCTCTGCCGTCAAGGATACGCCTGTCCACATTTCCATAATCCTAAAGATCGAAGACGAAATCCCAAAAAATTCAAATATCGATCGACGCCATGTCCTGCAGTGAAAAAAGTGGGAGATGATTGGCAAGATCCAGCGAAAGTAAGTGAGCTTTTTCAGAGGCAAATACTGATCCTCTTCTTTAGTGCGAGAAAGGGGACAGTTGTTGTATGTGTCACACGCGTACTGAGCAGCAGTTTCATCCGGACATTTACAAGTCGACTAAGTGCCACGATATGCAACAAACAGGCTATTGTCCCAGAGGCCCATTTTGTGCTTTCGCGCATGTGGAACAGCTTGATGAAGACGGCGAAATCGGAGGCCAGGGCAAGATGAGAATTCGAACATCTTCGGACGCTCAATTTGAACTTGCAAGGTAAGCTCGCCTAGCTCTGTTAAAATTTCAATACGTTATTAGACAACGCAGACGAGATCAGCTAGAAGCGCGAAACATGCGCCACTCTGTCTCCGGTTCGGAGGGAGGAAGAGGAAGAACACAGTCTTTCTCTAATTTCCGGAACAATGGAGACGGAAGTTTAAAGACAGCGAAAGTATCAAATTGGGGAAGAACTTCGCAAGAAATACCGAGGCCGCAAAGACAGGCAGAAACAAATCAGCCTTCGATAGATATTCCTCAGCCTAAGATTTGGAATAACAACTCTGGAATTACTGCTCAGGTAAATCTTCCTTGTCTACGTTATAATTTTGATAAATCTTTCTTCCACGAAAATCACTTCTCATGAAACTTTTTCAGTCGCCAAGTTCACCTTCTGTGGCCTCTAACAGCCCTAAATTTGAGTCTCCACGTAGACGGGATGCTCATGAAGATCACAAGAGCTCTAGATGGCCTCCACATCCTGAAGATGAGGAGAAAACGAGAGAGTCTGACCCATGGAGTCCAGATGTTTTTAGAGAGATAACCGACATCAACGAGTTCCATAATGAAACGCAGGAAGAGGAAGCGAAATCTGGCTACTTTGGTCCCGCGCAACCGGTACTTGTTGTGGCACTCATTCGTTCGATTAATTTTCGTTTTGTAGCACGAGACGGCGCTCGTAGATGAGTTCTCGCGAAGAAGAACCCAGAGCGCAAATTACTCATTCAATGAAGGCAACATCTGGAGGAAAGATTCGCCTCCATCGCGGAGCTTCAATGACTGGACCAACTTCAGCAATAATTTACGTGGCGTCGCGGGCTCAAACGGCATCGGTTCGTCCTCTCCGATTTCAATTCAGAACTCGCTGAACAGTCAGAACTCTATCACAACAGCTATTCGAAATTCTGTGCTCCAAGGGAACGATGGCTCCAGCCACAGTCGTAGTTTCAATGAGGAATTGCTTCAGCAAGAGAACATGAAGCTCAAGAAAGATCTTTACAACGCGGAAAATGCTTACAGACAGGTATTTCATTGCGTCGATCTTGTGAGCCTTAATTTTAACGTAGCTGGAGAAAAACGCCCGTCGACAATCTGATTTCTACAAGAGCGAATACGACAAGGCGAGGAAGCATATCATGGATCAGAGTAGAGAGCTTGATCAGGTGAGAAGCTAGGTTTTATAAGGATAAGAACTAATCTGGCGTAGCTTCGCGAAGCTATGCGCAACGTAGCGGCGGGCCGGGTGATCGCCGAGATCCGTAACGCGCAGAGAACTGGTAACCGCTGCCCCGCCTCACCACACGACATCGAACTGATTTTAAAGACGCTCAATCGCGACAAAGAACTTCTGGAAAGCATCCTAGACGCTGAATGTTAAAAAAATAGCTAGAGACTTGTTTCGTCCGACCAAGAGTGGATAAAAGTCGAGTTACTAAGTCCAGACCTGATTTTTTGATGTCTTGACCGCCCCTAGAATATTAACAGTATCCGACACTCCTATCAGATGTTTTCCTTCAATAGTTATAAGTTCATCTAAGTTACATGTCATCATCAGTGCCAAATTTCAGCACTGGAAGACGTTCAGACCACGTTATTGACTAAAGAAATCAAACATTCTCATTCATTTCAATATTCTATTTTGTAGTTTCATAATTTATGCATGTTTCTCTTTACGTTTTTGGTTTTTTCTTTGCCTTTCAAATTCGAGCCTTTAAACAAACTCTAACTCTAAAATTCATAAGGGTTTTTCAACCCCAACCAACTTATTATATCTCTGATATATGATTCTTTTGAAATCGATCGATTTCCCCGATATTTCCAATTCTATTATATTTTCTATTCAATTTTTCGTTGTTTAGCCTCAAGAATGCCGGCGCTATTCTCTAGCAGTCCGTCTTCAGGCCCCAATTCAATCATTCTTATTCCGGTGTCATATTCTCTATGCACCTCCCATTCTAACATCTAATATCTGAATTATATTTTCTATGAGACCGCCATTCTCCAACGAATATCCAGAATGGTTTGTTTCAAATTATTTTTTGCGTTTCTCACGCTGAACGGAGTTTGTTAATATTTTTTATATAGGCAGAGATTGACAGCATCTCAATCACTTGTTTTCCGTGATTTGCTGTTGTTCAACTTCGAAGGTCTTTCTTCGAGCGCCTTTTATATATTTAGAACTTATTCCTCGTGCATTATGTTTTTCTGATGACCTTTTGGGAGAGTGTACTCCCAACTGATCAATTATCAATAATTCGCGTTTTCAGGTTCAATTGTTTATTTGATATATTTATATCTTTTTTATATATTTCGTGGAATAATATTTGATACTGACTATACCATCGTTCACACAGTATTTTTCCCTCTGTCGACACAGTTTTCGAACCAAAAATTAAATTTAAAATTATCCCAAGCAATACCTTTTGACCTCTCACAGCACAAATGAATTTTTTGCTGAATCAAAATTTTCGAATTTCCAAAATAATCGACCTTCTTGTTATTAACTATTTATTCTAGGAAGAGTTGCACTGAAACTGTTTCCTGATAGAAAAATCGCTAGATAGGATTGTCTTTTGAAAACTATCTAACGATAATTCCCACTAGTATTTTCAAATTTTATCTTGGGCGACTTCCATCGCTTATTCTTAGTAGAATTCCCACCGCATTGATCACTTTAACCTCTGTTAGAACTCATGTTAAATTTTCTAGCCTTCTTGAACAAATTCCATCTTTTTAGTTTTTCAGAACTTCGCCCCGCCCGGAACGGACGGACTTATATATTATCCCTTACTGCTCTTAAATCTTTTTAAATAGAATATTCGAATAAATATAGTTAAATTCATTGTAAGTTCCTTTCTTGATAAAATGTTTTGAAGAGTGATAGACGTTCGGATCGCTCGCGAAATGGAATCAGTGCAGGGTTGACTTTAAGAGCATTTTACACAAGCAGGATATCAACAAAAAACATGTTATTAAAATTGAGTCGTCAATATTATTGCTCATCCCTTGTGATAAGAGTACAGGAAAAGCACGAAAGTGGACGCATGGAAAAGAAAAAACCCAGATATTGTTCGTGGGAAGGAGAAAGAGCGACGTGAGCGTCTGACAAAAGGTATTTCCGCATCTATAACGATTTTGTCGAAACTGGAAAGTAGCTTTTCTCAACATGCAAGGTCTTTTGCCAATTTCTTACCTCGAGACGTGCATAGCAAAGATCAAGGTTGGCACTCCTGGTGTCCAGAAGAATATAAACAAAGACCTGAAAACGTGGAAAATACCGAATTATCTGTTGTGCGAGATGGTGATCGAGTACTTGCAAGCTGTAACACAAGAATTGACGAAACTAAAACAAGTGTCTACTACTTCGTCTTCGACGCAAACTATCACATACAAAACAGATAGAGACGTCCAAGGTAACTAAATAGCGATAGCTTTCCGATAAGAATGGTGCTAAAAGATCCATAGTGAAACCGACTTGTGTATCGTCTATTACGCAGACTGATGTCTACCCAAAGAGCGTAGAGTGCCAGACAGCCTCGCTTGACTCTCCTTCGAAGTCGTCCAAACAGTTCAACATCAATCATCTGATATCAGAAGCTTCCTGTCGCAAAGGCAACGATCAGCTTAACACGCCAGCTAAATCAAACTTCGATCCGGAAGGACTTACAGTAGCGCGACCCTGGGACATGAACATTCATAAATCGCCTATCAAATCTACCGTCAAGAAGAAGCTCTTCTCGCCAGCTGTGGATATGAGTGGAGCGGCGGAAACAAACAAAACTCAACGGGCTCATAAGGTTTGCGTAAAAATAATAAGCCTATGAAAATAATAATTAAGAGCGTTCCAAAGCAACCGAAATCACGAGAAAGAAAGCGAGATGCTTCATCGTGGGACACGCGGCCTGTCTCAAAATATCAGAAGCCCTCGAACAAGAACTCCGCTGGATTTGATTCAACCTTTTCGATCGACTCACTGACGAATCCGTACATTCATCAGCTCAACGAATTTCCAGTTACGCCTATTCCGGCCACAAATTACTTTTCCAATGAAAAAAGTCAGCAGCAGTCGCGAAAGCATATGCCTGCTCCTATCTATAGTCAGCCCAGCGCGCAATCATTCTCGGTACGAGTAACAGATATTTGGTTCTTCACTCTCTACATCATTTAAGAACAACTTCCAGATGGGCGAAGCTCCTCTTGATTGCCTCAGTTGGCCGATTTCAGAATGGGGCGTTAATCAACCAGGCCAGAATTGGGCGGATCCAAACTTCTTCTACGCTTTACAATTGGACTACAACGAGTCTAATTCCAACATGTCCATGCATCCAAATACCTCCAACATTCCTCACAATATTAGCCATATTCTAAACAATTAACACACTGTCGACTTTTGATATGTTTTAAAAACTGTACATATTTCTATTGATTTCACAAATCCTTACTAATAAACCTGTACATAATTCAAAAACTTGTTCTCATATCTTACTGAGACATTCAAGAGCTGAAAAGAGTTGCAAATGGATGAACAAGAGTTGATCGAAGTTTTGAGAGACTACGGTAATTTTAGGTTAGTATTAAATATATTGGAATGATTCATATTTCAGAAAACTTCGAGAGAAGACTCGAGAGACTCGATAGAAGACTGAGGCGCCTTTGGCCGAATAATGGTAATCAAGGCCCCGCACCAGCTGCGTAATTATTTCCTGAAGTTCATAACCTGCTGTACCACTGTCGAGGCCTTTCGTAACTAGCTGCCCACGTTTGTGTCTCCAGGGCTCCAAGAAATAAACTGCCGAAAGGAAAACGCGAAATTAAAAGAAGAAATGTTTATAGAATGATTTCAATTCCAAAGCGAGTTCGGCCGATAGTGCTCTCGCGGAGTTTGTCGTCGTCCAACTTGCTCCTCAAAGACAATCTAGAGTGGCTAAAGCCAACAGCAGTCCCACTTGAAGAGTCCCTGAGCAAAATGAAGACAAAAATCGCTGAAGAGAAATCAAACGATCTTAAATATTTGGCTAAGGAAATACTTACTGGGAGAAAGCCTCCTGTACGAAAGCAGAATACAAAACACAGGGATCTTCACGAGTTCAATGAAAAATTTTTAACAGCAAATCCGACTGTGCGCCTCCATCTTGTCATATTTTACAGTAAATACTTTCACAAAGAAGGAATATCAGGAGTACGAACGCCTGGTTGGCGCCTCAAGCAAGGAAAACCTTACTCTGCGCACGATGTCGTTACCTCGATCAGCTTTTTTGAAAGTCTTCTACTTGAGAAATATAACAGAAGCTACAGCGAGGAGTTTGCGAAGCTTTCGATAGGCTCGCCCGCGGACGTGCGCTGGAAAAGATTGAAAACTATTCTGGACGAAGAGACAATCGACTCTATTGAGAGAAGATGGTCTTCAGGAATCACCGATCAAATGAGCTTTGAGAAAAACTTTTGGGAAGGAAGTCTTGAGTACGCTTCGGAAGAGCTGCCTTGTTTTTCCAAATTGAACTTGGACAAAGAAATAGTTGACTTACTGAGCAAAAACAAAAAGAAAGAAAGCAGCGGGAGTTTAACGATCTCTGAGCATGTTCAGAAAATTGTAAGCGCTCAGGACGAGCGTGTAACGCCTGCAGAAATACATATAAAGCTGAGAAATGGGGAAATCACAAGTGAATCAGATTTATTCACTGCGTTCATGTACAAGCGCATCCGTCGACCGCGGCTCAACGTCGATGCCATTGAAAAGTCCTTTTTTCGCTTCCAAAAACTTTGCAGCCTCAGATCTCTGCCGAGTGACGCCGTAGAAAATGTAATTTCTTCGAAAAAGAATCTTCTTGGAGCAATAAGTCACGCGAAGAAGGCGAGTAATTTATGGAACGAGGAACAAGAAAAATTCGATGAAAAGTTCAGTTTAGACGCAGAGAAAAAGGTATCTTTCATTTGCATTCAAGTGTGTCAGTAATTTTTAGTGCTCGACAAAAGGACACGACGAGTTGAAGAGATTCAAGGCGGCGAAAGCTGCTGCTTTAGGCACGGATTAATTCGACATATAGAGAAAGTAATTGATCATTATAGTATTGAGTCAAACACTATGTATTACATATGTATTACTATAGTATGTAAAATATTGAATGTTTTTATCCAGAAAAAAGACCATGTGAAGCATTTGAAGAATGAATCGAATAAATGCTTTCTCAAAAAACAACATGCTGAATATGTTCTTTTCAAAGACGCCCTAGCGATTCCTAACGCTATTTCTTCGCAAACAAAAGAGCGAGATATGGTGCTAAAAACTTCGAAGCAAGAAACGTCTAAAAAAGGACTGACTGCGGATCAGTTGAAACAGTTATTCGACCATGAGATAATCGTTAACAGCAATCAACATGATTCGAGCAAGTCCTTGATCTATTATGGGCAACTGGCAGAGTTTTATTCTGCTCTTGAAAAGTATATGTTGAGTGTTTTGGCGATGTCTGGTCATTTGGAGTACGTTTCATCTAAACGGCCAGGGCCCTTTGTCAAAGAGGCTTTCTGTGGCCCAAAACTGAGCGATAAGAACATCCAAGCTCGCGAAGAGTCTATTTATCATCTGCATTCTGCTGTCATCTCTCGAAAATTCGAATATTTTGAAAGAAAACAAACTCATCATCTTTTCACTGATTTCAAAAGAGGAGATCAAAAATCGACCGAGTTTCCTTTCGTTTCCGTGTCCAGAACTTCGCGGCAATCTGAGAAAGCATTCTTTGCTAATCTCAGCGCTATTGAAAATATTCTATCCTCGTTCCAAATCGAGTACCGAGTGGTGGAGTCTGGAATCACCAATTTGCAATTTTCATCTATGCGATCGATCAAGGTAGAGGCCAGGTCTCCATCGACAGGGCTGTGGCATACTTTCGGCCAAGTAAATCTACGGGACGATTTTATTGCCTCACGACTTGGCATTTTTCACGAAGACGACAGAAAAGATGAATTGCGCTATTGTTACACGTGTGATGGGAATTTCGCGTCTACCGGTGTGCTGATGAATGTGCTGCTTGAAAAACAACAAAAAGTAGTCGGACTCAGTTTTATTTCGTTTACATTTCCATAAATTTAGGAAGATGAAAAGGGCACGATCTCGATAGCACCTCAACTGCAGCAATTTATGTCTGGCAAAACCCATATGAAGGCGAACGAGTGCCACTCCAGCCACTTTTATAGTGGCGTTTTCGCCACCAGCTTCAAAGAGAATGGATCAATGGGCGTTTTTCGCGGAAAAGGCACGCTTCGGCGGAAAGATTGGCCCGGCTTTGAAAAGTGGGAACTTTCAAGTGAATTCACTGAAGACTCTACCGACGAGAGTGAATCTGTGCTCATTGATCTTGATTCTACTGATTTTCAGTAATCAATCCATCTCTTATTTTTTGCAATTCAGATGTACTAGCCGGAAATCGTCTTCGCGAATGCTCAATTTTCTACGCGGCCGGCAGGATGCGGGCCCGGACGTCTACGACAAACGTCTAGCGGACTACAACTTCTCTGCTTCGATCACACACGGCTTTCCAACTCAACCAACATGTCTTGATATTGATCCCATTTTAAACTTACTCGCTATCGGTTCGGTCTCCTTGAAAGCAGCCAGTGTAGAATTTTTTAGGATCACGATTAGGATGTATTCGAATCTACGGAGCACCGGGTGTAGAAATGATCGGCGCAACAGAAGATGAGGTTGTTATAAACAGAGTAAAATGGCTTCCGGGACGGGGTGCAATAGCTGCTGTCTTGGAAGACTGGAGTTTGCAAATATTTCATATTATCCCTTTGAAAACAGGGACTAAAGGAGAAATGGGGCTAGGTAACTTAAAAAAGAAGACTACTTCTCAAAAATAATCTAGCTTTGAGATGCACTTTCAAGCCTGAAACACGTGTGGAACTGACAGCTATAGAATATTATCCAAGAAGTAACTTAATTTTATGTGGAACTGATCAGGTATCCTGGAAAAATCATGGTCATGAATAAAGATTGGATTTAGGGAGACATCTTCAGCTTATCAGCGGACACATGTGAAAGAAAATATAATGAATTGGACCAAGCCCTAAATCACGCTACGATAGCGTCTTGTCTTTCCGATGAATACAACAATCTACGGGCGGTGGAGGAAATCCACGTTCGAGGGAATCAAATAGCCATTGCGTATGCTCGAGGAGTCGCGGTGATCTTCAACCTTGATTCAAAAGAAGTTAACAAGATATTCTACACGAAAAATAATCTGCAGATTGAAGCGCTCGACTGGTTTGATAAGAGACAAGTATATATTGGTACTGATTTAGTATCTACTTCAATTAACATTTACAATTAGGATTTAACGACGGAGCGACCTTAGTCTGGAATCTCGACGAGAGCATATGCTCTTCCGAATACGCAAATATTTATGGCTCGCTGTGTGAGCGGAATGAAAAATGCAAACCTATACAAAGATTAAGTAAATTAAAAGACATCAAAATAATTCATGGCGGTCTTCCTCGCTCGTCTTACGGTGATAGGTAAAACAGAAATATAGTGCAATGTGTTTACTCCAGATCATCAGATATTCAATAACTGTCTGCTCTTCAACCATAACAGTCGCCTTTGACTTTTCTTCAAAAATCATCGACTACCGTCTTACTGCAACTAAAAATGGAGATGCGGAGGCATTAATTGTTCTTTGCGAAGAAGAGCTTGTCGCCATTGACCTGATATCTCCGAATTGGCCTGTATTAAGGAGTCCGTACTTGGCTTCCCCGCACTCTTCAGCACTCACAGGCTGCAACATGTCCCAAGGTGACTTGCTTACACTCAAGTCTTTCTAGCATTTTTAGTATCAAAAACTATTCTGGCAAAGATCAAAAACCTGTGCAAAGGAGATGATAAAAAGTACTCGTCAAGAGCGTGGCCAATCAACGGAGGCAAGAAGCTTTCACATCAACCAGCGGATCAAGAAGACGCACTTTGTCCGGTGATCTTGACCGGGCACGAAGATGGCGCTGTTAGAATATGGGATTTGTGTGATAACAACTTTCAACTGATTGCAAAAATTGAAACTGCTCATTATTTCATAACGGACGATGAGGGCGAGCCAGAAGAAGAAGGTATATGCGAAGCATTACTAATAATTGAGCTTGACTTCCATTTTAGAGGAGTGGCCACCATTCCGGAAGGTCGGCGAGTTTGATCCTTATTCCGACGACCCGCGACTAGGGATTAGAAAAATAGAGATATGTCCGACGTCAGGGGCTGTACTAATTGGTGGAACAGCTGGACAAGTTGTTATTGTTCATCTCGTATCAGACTCGAACGATAACAAACCTCTCTACAAAACGATAGACGTGGTAAAAGATCAATCAAGCGTGGTATGGAAGGGACATCCTGCCCTACAAAGCAAGGACGCCCATAGATACGAGCCAAAAGGATACCAGGCTCATTGTATCGGCCAAATGATGCCGCCAGCTGCAATCACTTCGGTTGCTATTGAGTCATCGTGGGGTCTTGTAGGAATTGGAACGAGTCATGGTTATGCGCTCTTCGACTACAGGTTATTCTTATTGCTGATCATTTAGTAAATTGTTTTTAGAATAATGAATGTTGTGGTGGCTAAATGCACGCTACAGAATGCAGATCCAGCTCAAGAGGGAGGACTTTCTCGATTCTCGAATATGAAGCAATCTCTGCGCCAGTCGATGAGAAGAATCCGGAGCTCGATTCGCGTAAGAAATAGAGGCTCAATCAGGTCATCTGGAAGAAGGCCGATGAGCTTGCAGAGAAACGGAAAATCAAAGAAGATAGACGAGGCGAACAGACGACTTGAAGCAGAGATGAAACAAGAAAGAGAGGTTAGTACAAGTGTGCAAGAAAAAATAAATGAATATAAATAAGATTGTGATGCGTAATACGCAAATTCCATCAGCAGAAACATCTCGCACGGCGGCAATAGTGAGAGTAACGTACTTTGCAACAACTTACACAAAAGACGGGCATGGGATCTCACCGTCCTTTTTTGTCGGTACCGCGGGTGGTTGCGTGGCTATGTACGGGCTGAATGTTCCGGACTATAGTAAACGTTCCGAGCGAGCTGTAGAGCTGGTTAATGGAAAGGAGCTGCAATTGTCACACCGCGCCCCAGTTATAAATATCACCGTGATGGATTCAAAAGGAGCTGTTGGGACTTCTTCGCCTTCGAAGTCAAACCATCACTACTTGATGGTTACGACTGAAGAGCAAGTGAAAGTTTTCAGTCTACCGAAATTGCTTTCAAAGAAGAAGTTCAAGTTGACTGCGCTCGAAGGATCCCTCATGCTCAGAGCAAAGTCATGTAGATTTACGAACCATAGTGCTCTTATCACAGTTACGAATCAGGTAAAATGTTCAAAATTTCTTGAAATCTAAAATTTTGCTCCTAGGGAGAAATCATCATTTTCAATCCGAATGACAAGACAGTTGTTTTGGAGAAGCGTTTCGAGTGCATTGATAAAGTCAACAAATACGGCCTAGTTTATGCTCAAATCGACCCTTGTGGCTTTGGATTGTATCCTCTTTCAATGTCCGAGTTCCAACGATATTCTGTCAGCGCTAGCTATTCCGCTTCCTTCCTTTGTTCTATAAAACCAGTTAAATATTCACCTGAAGATGAAAATAGTTCACCTTAGTCCCCAATCGGAGTATCAAAATTTTTCTCTAGTTGAATTTATACACTATTAACAGCTGTATATATAGTAACTCGTTACACAACAAATTCACCAAATTTCGAGTTCCCGATGATTTTACCTCACCTCTAAACCGTTTTTTTTTGTATTATTCCCTTTTCTAGTTGATTCTATTTAATTCATTCACTGCTTACATTCTTACGTGTAATAATCGAAAAATAAAATGAAACGCATGCATGCCTTAAAAGCTTGCAACCACTGCTCAAGCCTAATCATGTATTAATTATGATCTGTATTTCTTTCTAACTTCCTTTCTAGCCTATACAAATTTTTGGCTTGTTATTCTATTGATTCTTTCACGCCCTTGAATTAACCCGTCAGCCTTTCCTTGGCATATTCAGTATTCCTCCAATTCATTCCATGCAAATTCCTTAATAGTCACACCTAGTCACATTAACGCTTTTCTTACCGGAATTTCATGACACTTCGCAATAAAAATAATCTTCACTTTGTTGACTCTAAGCTTATTTAGATTTGATGATTGGACCAGTTCCTGACGTTATTCCTGTACAAGAACGTTCGACAATCGATATCGGCAGCTATGCTGACAAGTACAGCTACCCAGACCCGGAGCAAGACCCGTATCTTACTGGGAAGGCGGAAATGCAGAAATCTTACTTAAACAGCACCATCCGCCCCTTGCGAGCTTCTAGTACGAATTTCTTCTCGTAAGTCAGTCTTTGTCTCTATCCACAATAAATTTACTTTTTCTAGTTCGTTTTTCGCCGAAACTGCCGTTCTTTTTGCCAGAAGAGAATCCCTCAGAGTCATCAAAGGACTAGTCTTTACAATTATTGCCCATTTATATCTTCTCAACTTCGTCGTTTCGGATCACTCGTCTGCGTTGAGCACTTTTATCTTCATCTCTTTCGTACAAATTCTAGTTTTGTCCGTATCACTTGTGGAACAATGGGCAAGGTTTAAAATTGCATCTCCGAGCTATCATCACGGCTTCGATCGCGCGATTATAATAGGTACGGAGGCTTTTATTTTGCAAATCTAACTTTTAATAAGCCTCATTGACATCATTTTTCCTGACGATTATCAAGTGCGCGTCTAGTATATTCTACTCGTTAGGAGTCTTTGTGTCATCTGATGAGTCCGTTCATCATTTTCGGCACCCATTTCTCATCTCTGCTGGAGGGATAATATTTGCATTCAACTTGTTAATTCATTACTTTCTGGATCCCGGCAGCAATCATTTTACGAAATTGATAAAATCCTGTTCAACGAACCCCCTTCAAGCGGAGTTCCATCGCCTATTCAAAGTGATTCTTTTTTCTACAGATCAACCGCATCCCGTTCTTGCGCTCAAGTAAATTAAAAAAATAATATGTTCACTAAACATCATTCAGTGGCGCTTCACTGATTGTTATCATGTTATCTGACGTCTTTGTGCTCCTTGGAAGCGACCCTCGACTAACCGATTCTGGGGCTTCCATTCTTCTCAACTTATTTGTGATTTTAACTGTCACGGCATGGTTCATGAAGTGCGCCACCGTCCTTTTGCACGGGACATTTGATGACCTATCTGACACACTAGAAAAACTCCGTTTACAAATAACAACTATGGATGGAATACTTGAGGTGAAAAAGCACACTTCTGGTTTATTTCTCTTGACAAACCTGCTGGTTTCTTCCATATTAGGGTCAATCGCAACGCAGAACCGCAATTTGTTCTAGCAGAAGTAATCAAAAAGGTAATCAATCTTCTTTCTTTCAAAATTTCAATTTATTCAGGTGCATCCGGTCATCCCAAACAGCAGTATTCAACTGATAAAAGACGATTGGCAAACAACGTCTAAGAAGAGCCAGAATTTCACTGTTACCCTCAAAAGAGCGTATGATAAAGAAAAAACAATGTCGTCGCCCTATCCTATCATCGCACCTTATGAGCAGAAAAACAAATCAATCTCCAAACTTTCTTCACTAATCAAAGGTAAGTTCATCATTCGCTAATCTGTCGATTTACAATAATAATCTGTAGCCAAAACACCCAAAACATCTGTAAATCGCCTGAGTACGCTATCAAGCTTAACACAGCAATAAATATTTCTGTATTAAAACCTGTATCTATTATAATTATCAAATAAAGGACAGCAAGTATTTGAAACGAAAAAATGATGGGCAGCATTTTATTTGTGATGTTGATCATCAAACAACCTCGCTGTATTTTGGAGGGGGAACGCATATGCTAAGATCGCTATAATTCGGACATTTGTCTTCTACATAATTATTGCTTGTTTCTGAAGCGATGAATGAAGGGAGCTCTTCCTGATCGATGGGATTGCTTTTTGGTGTTCTGAACGAATGAGTTATTTCAAAAGTAATCAATAGGAAGTGATTCTTACTCCATGAAAATAGCAGAGAGCAAAATTGCAAACGCCCCAAACAAAATAACGAGAATAGGGAAGTGGTAGATCTCTGGAATCTTGTCATAATAGTTGTTCATAAATAAGATGGCCACGAAGAAACTACGTATGAGTTCGAATAAAATCAAAATTATTATATCTTCTTTCTAATGCTTCTATATGCGGATATATAGAGTAATAAACTTAATCATAGGAAGACTTAAAGTAAATTAAGAAAGAAATGACAGATAAGAACTCTAACAAAAATACGTGAATCCGGTAAGAGCACTTCTGCTCGATGTGTAGACAAGGTGCTCTCCATGATGGTTTACGGCAGTTTGGTGGGTCATTGTCTCTGTGATAAAAATCGAGAAAGTGAACCCTTTAAAGTCGAACCAACCGAGCGGTCTTCCAGACGTCTGGTTTACCAGTCGTCGTATGTGCGTCTCAAGATTCCACACCTCGCCTAGAGCACATCACAAGTTCCCTTTACTTACTCAGTACCGAAACAAGTCTGATTAAAGATCTCACGATGGAAGTAATAACTCCTTGAGTTCTCTGGCGCATCAACTCAACCATAAACGAAACTACAAAGTATCTGTTATTTTGCCTCGTAGGCATATCTAGCCAACAAAACATAAAAATATATTTTTGAAGACATTTGCGAAAAAATAGACAAGTCAAGACATTCACTTCTTGCCAACGTGGCTTTCGTGCAAGTTAGCGTTTAGAAAATAGTACAAGTTTATTTACGGTTTCCATTGAATAACTCTCATGCATTCTTTTGCGGCTGTAGCGACGAGGTCGTCCTTGGACATAATGTAGGGACGGATGAGGTCAGCTCTTTCGAGCATATAGGCTCGTCCGTCTGGCACCTCTGAGAGGATCGAGATGCACGTCAACGACATGAGTCTACATTTAACAATAAGGTGAATTTTGGATTGATAGGCTTACTTGGCCTCGCTGTTATCTTCTTGGAGCAGGTCGCAAAGTGGTGGAAGTGCTTTGCAATCGACAGATTTGATCTTTCCATGTGAAGTAATAGACACTGAGCCCAAAGCAGCACACGCAGCAGAGCGAACTTCGACACCCCGTTTTTTATTCTTGATGATAGTAATGAGAAAGTCAGCAAGTTTCTCGTCAGAGTTTGCACGCGCCTAAATAAAATAATTGCTGAGTACTCCGAATTTCATTATAAATCTACCTTTCCGGCAGAGTTGAACGTAATTTCAGCCAGTGATCTGAGTGTGTATTCCACAATAATTTCATTATCTACTTCGAGGAGTTCTTTGAGCGTTTCGAAACCTTGATTTTGGAGCGCTTCGTCCGAAGCAAATCGTAAACAATTATGAAAAGTCTTAATAGTATTATTTCGCCAAAGAAGCACAATTTGGGGTGTTACCTGAATGATCCAGCAACGAACATCATCGATCTCTGTTTTAAGAAGATTGATAAACACAGGAATAAGTTTTTTCTCAATCATCTATAAGAGGTTGAAAGCATGTTCTCATTATATTTGCTCGTCAAAGATCAATAGGGTTCCTTTCAAACCTTTCCTGAGTAACGCCTCGAATAAGCTCGGACGAGTAGTAAAGAGCTTTATGTACGTTTTTGCGCGTGTTCTCGTTTTTCTCTAAGTAAAAATTAGGCACGAGCCATGATCTGCCGTTTGTACCTGAAAAAAGTTCTGACAATTTAGGAATAAATTTAAGAGCTGCATCTCGTCCAATGTTGTGCGTGCACATGACGGCGAAAATTTCTGTTGCTAGTTCTCGGCAGAGATCGTTAGGGTCGTCTAAGATTTTTCCGATTGAGTCCATAAGCCCAAGCTAAATGAAAGTCAAGAATGTTACCTTTGAGAATGAATTATTTTCATGCTAAGTACAAGTGTTGCTAATACAGTATATAGTATTACAGTATAATATAATAATACAGTATAAGGTTTAATATCAATAAGCTTACCGAGCAAATTTGATAGGCTTTCACTTGATTGTGGGATAAATCGCAGAGACTTTTCAAAGCTCGTTCTCTCGTTTCTTGGTCTCTGTCAAATTGAATCTCTGCATTTAGCTTTGGAAACATGCGCTCTTCGAACGCCAGCTAAAAATACGTTTTCTTCCTTGATTTCAAAGTGAATAATAATTTCAACGATCTTCCGATAACCTCGGACTTAGTAGGATCCAAATGTGGAGGCAGTGTCCTCGAGACTCTAGGAAGCGACATTTCTGCTATTCGTGGTTTTCAACACTTACTGAGGCGCCGAAGGGAACCGTTTTTGACATTTTTAGCCTTCTACTCTTATGAGACTCCTTTTAACTGATTACTTTTTAATTCAAAATGATAACAAATCCTCGTGTTCTAGAAAACCACTCCTAAATTCAATTTTCTCGGTTGATAGCGTAACTTTCCAAAATTTCTCTGCGGACGAATCTTTCTGTTTCCATGACGACAACGAAGACATCAGTTATCTCTAATTATCGAGCTCTTAATTTTTTAGATAAATTGTTTATGTATCTTCATGAATATTGAAAAGATATTCACTTTTATAAAAAGAACGAAAATAAATTTAGCGGGCGCTTGGATCTCGCTCGTAAATAAACCGACCGTTTTTGACCCAGCACCCGGCCCCGAGTGGCCCGTTGGTAGACCCCAGCGAAACGAATCTCGAGGTTGTGAGTTCGAAACTCCGAGTGAGTTGTATTGGCCGAGGGTGGCCCGTTGGTGACCCCAACGATTGTGAATCGCCATGTTGCGACTTCAAGAGAAAAAGTACCCGAAAGAATAAAGTATCATAAGTTACGGACAGAGATAACTTTACTCTTCGGTGCTCTCCTAGACACCACCGCAACCAGCTGACTACCCAAAAGACGAAGATTGAAATTGAAAGAACCTTGAACTGCTTTCCAATATCCTGTACTCTTGAATCGATCGGTACCTTGATCTAGAAGGATTTCAGTACTTTTTGGCTAGTCGGAATGCAGGCCTCAGTGAGGAATTTAATGTTTGAACATGTCCAGAGTTTTTATGAGAACAATCTTTTGTAGTTAAAAACAATGAAACCGTCGTATTTATTTCGCCTACGTACACGTTTTTCATATTTATTCCTTATGAGAGTGATGAGAACTGTTAAGAGGATTGTTGATGGGAGAAGACTTTCTTCCACGAAAAAAGATATTTCTACCCACGCTTCGGAGCTTATATCATCTTGGGAAGCCCGCCTAGAACGTTATCCTAGCCAGAGAAAGTATAAAATTATTACGAAGACTGCACCTGTCCTGCTGAAGGAAAATAATCTTAGAAATGCAAAAACAACTTCTAAATCTTTTCAATGTACCAGTAACAGTCAAACACTCTCACTGAAAGAAAAGATTTTTCTTTGGCTCTCTATCAAATAAACTCTTTTGTGGTTTGTAATATTTATTGCTTGAAACTTGTCAGGAAAGATATTTTGGCTATAATTTAGTTTTTTTGGCTTCGTCTATGACATTTAAATAAAAATCTCGTTCAGCATTAGGAGAGTGGTTTTTCTTGACAAAATTAACGCAGTCTTCAGAGGTCTTTTTCCATCTGATTTCGTTCGAGCAGGTCTCTTCAAATCTTTGGCAGAATGTAATCGGACAATCGTAAAGTGTGTTCGTTGCTTCTATGAATCTATTCCCGCCAATGTTTCGCGCTAGGACAGGAACTCCAAGGGCCATGCTTTCAAGTATAGCTGCAGATTGCCCTTCTGACAAAGAACTGTTTATGCTGCAAAGTGCTCGGGAGACTCTTTCAAATAGCTTTTCTTGTTCCAGGAAGGGAATATACTCGATGTTGGTAGATTTTTCAATCCTTGCGAAAACTGCTTCAGCGTAAACCGGATCCACTGCGGGTCCAATAATCATTAATCTCAAATGGTTCCTCGTTGAATCTTCTCTCAGTTTCTCGAAGCAATCTATTCCGAAGTGGATGTCTTTTACAGGTCTTCAACACACTTTTATTTTATCCAGGCAGAAAGCAATACCTCAGTCCTGCGACAATGACAAGCTCTGATCGACGACTGTAAACGAAATTCTCGTGGCATTGGGGCAGATTTATTGATTGAGCTAAAAACTAGAAGAGTTTTCCGAAACAGTCTTACCTTGAAAAGAGTGTGTTATTGAGGGCCAGCGGGTGCTTGCCAGTTGAACGAAATCTTTCGTAAAACAGATCCGTTTCATTGCTTTTGTAACAATGTTTTCTATAAGAGATGCTTTGTGATCCGTTGTAACATCAATATTCAAGTCCGTTCCACCATAGATAACGATGTAAGGAATCGAGAGTCCTGCTTTTTGCCAAAAGGAACCCGCTTTGAAGGCGTGGAGGAGAATGCCCAAGTCGTAAGTACCCTCAATCTTTCTTACGTTGACACTTCGTTCTTAGCTTTTTTTTTACCTGAAAACAGGGGTTTTCAAGGGCGTTAACAAGCTCGACTTCATGATTCGCAGAATTGAGGAAGCTACAAATGCGTTTGGACGTCGTACTTTTCAGGTCTCAGAATTGAGATAATAGACAGAAACGGTTGTTACTAACAGATATAGTAGACGATAGGTACTTTTATTTACTTTTGTGACCCTTGAACTATTTCCAGACCCAGCACTCAAAGGGGCCACGAACAAAATCTACGAGAATAATGATGACGTACGCTTCGCTAGAATGCCTTACCTTCATGTTATGCTTTTAACATTTACGAACTCTCTAGTAGCTAGTGTCACATTCAGAAAGCTTGATTGGCTATTTGCGCAATCTTGGCTCCTTGTTCAAAAAGCACGAATGGAATGAAAGTCGGACTTGTTTCTCGTGCAGAATTTATTTTATTGGCAGTGCTTTATAGAATTTTTAAAGGGTCAAAAAAAAGTTTAGCCTCCAATTAGTTCTTTGAGCTCGGGATGGTTTCGAAGTTTCTTCTCCAAAATTTCCATTTTGTAGATACGTTCCGACAGATCGGCGATGTCATCTTTGTTTTTCACGGTTAGTTCTGAGAACAGTTAGAAACGCAGTCAAATTTCCTATTTCACCTAGTTTGGCAAGCCGCAAGTCCCGGTCTTTATCATTTTGAACGAGCTTCCTCCTGAGGTCATTTGAATCGTCTAATGTTTTCTCGATGGCGATCTTCAAAGAATTCATATCTTCGTCGATCTTTTCTTGTTGCGCAGTAATGTTGCTAAGAAATAAGTTTACCATGTCTGTTTTAAAGGATTATCATGCGAATTTCTTATGGAAGAGTTTCTATGGCTCACTCCGCTTTGTGTTGGTGCTAAAAACTCACAGTGGCCAGGTACGGGCAAGGTATCAAGCTGTGCAAATAGGATGCAAGGGGCTCACCGACATGTGCTACGCACTGCGAAGTCCCGCAGAGACTTTTCCTAGCACCAACTCTGAGCAAGGCTCGGTGTGAGATGGATTGAGCCAATGTTAACATAAATAAGGGGAACTGAGCTGCAAAATCGGATCAAGCTCAGCCGGTTAAAAGTGAAGATATAAAGAATAAAGATTGAAATTTTATGAAATTTCGCCTTATATGTTTATTTTTTACGGAGATTTCGATTATGAACCCCAAAATCGTCATAAAAATCTAGATTCCCTGGGTCATAATAAAGTCATGAAAAATATTTTTTATAAGCGAAGATTAAGGTGGCATGCGGTCACCTAGGTTTACCAACCCAGAGTTTCATAATGCGCAGCCTGGGTTTACCAACAGGGTCGAACAGGTCTTGCAAAATGCTCTCAACTTCTGAGAGCCTCGGTTGGCAAGAATATAAAAATATAAGAAACGGTATCGCTATCTATAATCTGCTCTTTTTGCCTTGAAACATTTTCCTGGACTATATTTTGAGCAGACAGTACCAATTGGTACCCGAACTTTCTTGTCTAGGGCAGGCTTAGGTGAGCTTTGGTTAGATAAAATTATTTTCGGCCTCAGAATCAAAATCTACAAAAAAAAAATTACGAGGTAATTTACAAGGTAATTGATTTTATGAAATTCCAATTTTTACTCTTTTAAAACTTCACTTTTGAACTTATCCTCGGCTTAGCTTGCTGATTTTGAAGCGATCTCACACCGAGCGTTGCTCGAAATTGGTGCTAGGACCAGTCTCTGCAGGACATCGCAACAGGTTACGCGTGTCGGTGGGTCCGTTGCATCCTATTTGCACAGCTTGACACCTGCCCGTACTTGGCCACTGTGAGTTTTTAGCACCAACACAAAGCGGAGAACCCCGTTTCTATGACTAAATTATCAAAGACAATTTTGATGTTATCAAGTTAACTCTAAGCTTTGGGGCCCCTTTGACCATTTTAGACCGACCCATTTGAGGAGTCGTCGCCGGTTCATCAGGAATCCTGAATCAAGGGGTGGGTGATTCAGGAGCATTCCTATCGCAAAATTTTGAATCGCGCTCCAGTTTCCTCACTCTTGATAATTCATTTTGCAAGAATCATCAAGACCAAAATATCAGTTATTTGAAAGAGACTTTGAAAATAAACGAAAATGCCTCTTGAACTGTTCCATCAAGGTGTCAGTGGGCATCTACGTCCTGCTCTCCCAACAATACCCCCGAGTACTTTCGTCCTGATGATTTTAGAAATAAATAAAATTTTTAGCGACTCCAGCGCTCTGTGAGGCTAGCGACTTTGCTTGTCGATTGGATATCTATTATGGTAATATTTCCTAACTGGATGAAAAAAATCATGCTCTTTATTCAGCTGGAGAGTTCGGACCGTACATAATAACAATTATTGGTATTGCCCTCGTCCTCCTGCTTTTAGCAATTGTCTGTGGATTTGGACTGTGTATTTACTTCGTAAGTAACGCTCAATCAAGATATCCTTCATTGTATTAAAGTTGAACTTAAATTTTAGAGGTTGGATGATCGGAGACGAGAAAGACGAATGAGCTCTTGCGCTACTATCCCAGATCGGGCTTTTCCAGGATACAACAACCAATCGCGAAGGTAAAAAGAACCCTTGATGATTTATTTAGTAAAATCATACATTTAGGACTGGTGACAGAGCAACTCGTACAAGTCGTGACGATTCTCGAATTTGCGATGATCACGATATACCTGTTGCGGGCGATGTCTTTTTTGTGTAAGTCTTGCACTGTAAGATCCTTTCTTTTCCCCTCTTGAAGATAACTGACCCTCTCGCGTGATCAAATTGGTACTATATTGAGATATCTTATCTCCGATTTTAGCATGTACAGAGCATAGACACTGTCATAGAACGTAAAGAATACATAGTCTCAGTAATATTTGTTCCGTTTGATTGCATAATTACTGGAATTTCTCAGTGACACTTTAAAATGGATATGGTTTTTTATGAGTAACTTTCAAAGAATGAGCGGTAATAAATTTTTCGCTTCAAATGAAAATTTTACTATTGATGTTCCCGCGGTGCAACGAGGACACTCGTTAATAATTTTGACCGTTAGGACCCGGAAAATTACCTGAGAATCGCTGAATGTCCTTCAAAGTCCTTTTTGACGCCGGCGAAAATCTTTTTGATCCAACTTGTCAGCGATTTCACTTTGTGTTCGGCCTCGGTCCTTTCGCGGTTCAATTGTCCCGTCATTGTTGCGACGCGGTATTCGAGTTTTTGTAAGCTACGAGGTTTCGTTCATAAGCTAGTTTTCTGCTTGATCATTTACCTCGGAGGAGTTTCTTTATCCAGACTTCCATCGAGCTCCTTTCGCAGATTGCTAAGATCTTTCTAAAATCAAAGTGAAACTAGACTTTCAAATAAAGTTTACCTGAAGCAAGTTGACATTTTCCTGAACGCTTGCAAGTCTTTCATTGTCGACGATAGAAGCCTGTAATCTCTGTATTTCCTTGTAAAAAGATGTTAATATAATATTAATACTAATCAGTAGAACCTCATGATGTCGTTTTTTCTCAGCATTGATCGCATCTTCGAGCATAGTTGTCTGACGATTTACCATTCTTAATCCCCTTTCATTCTTATTCTCAAAAGAGAATCCTACCGTATTCTGGTTTCTGTTTCATTAATTCTCGCTATTGCATTTTCGATTTTGGAGTTTGCAGCATTCACGGTACTTGAAAGAAGAGTACTGTGTTTTTCATGAAGCTTACGCGACTTCTTTTCCAGCTTTTGCAGATATTCTCCAAGTTTAGTTTCGGATTGATCGTGTGCAGATTCTAGCGTTCTTTCCATTGCTTCATTTTTCAAAGCTAAGTGAGCCAGGCCAGCCTGAGTTTCCTGAGCCTGTTTTTCCATGCTCAACAATAGGTCTTCCTGATTCTTTACGCGGGCCTTAATACCGATAGTATAATGACTGCTAATAGTATTAGTCTTGTGTGACTGCGAAAAACTGATCTTCCCCGGGCCAAGAAACGAAAATATTTTACGTCAGAGACTTCACACAAAAACCCCGCTGTCTGGACACCTGCCGGAAGTAGCTCTGCACTTGATAGTAAATCAAGAAGAATGTAATTTTAAACACAAATGATTTTCTTTGAAAAAAGACTTTTAGAAAGAACAATGGATAAATATCCATCCACGAAAAATAAATTTGTTCCGATAAGTTGCAAGGAAAAAGATAATAACTAAAACTCAAGTGAGCCATGCCAGAAAATAAATAGTGATTCTATCGTAAAACGCTCTGTTGGCGGAATGATGCAGACTGGACAGGTGCATGCGCCCGGAAGCGAGCCAAGTTTGAAAGTTGAAATTGCCATCATTAAAGGCTAAGGGAGATAATTGTCGAGAAAGACAGCCGACAAATGACACAATTTTACGTACAATCATCTGTTACATCTATTTATAAGTTAGTTACTATCCTCGCGCAACGAAAACGCTGTGCTAGTTTACCTTGATCTCATTCTGTTCGAAGATAATCCCGTCGCTGAATGAAAACTTCTGTATAGCCTTGGCAAGATCCTCCTTGCTTGTAATATTCTTCTGCAGGGACTCTACGGTGAGCATGATTTGCACTGCTTTATCCCAAACAAGGTCATTTTTCTTTGTTAACTCCATTATTCGATCTTATTGGAATCCGCAAATAGACGCTTAAACGTCGCCATAACCTTCACTGAAATTCGAGTGATCTTAAGCCGATTCCTTCATTTTTGAAAATACAGTCTTTTATATCGGTGGCAGACGTACACACGAGCTGTGACTTCTTGGCTAAAACGTATCCGATGATGAAGACAACGAGGAGTCGCATTGATAAGTTGCTTTGCGTTCGTGTATTTTCTCAAAATCTCGATCTCTTCCTACGATTAGGTTCTCGTATTGATGAAAAAAAAATTCTTGAATGAAATTATATGAATGTAGAAATGACCAATGTATGGCCTTTTTGAAAAGCGCTCTAACAAAAGAGCGAAAACTTCTTTGAAATACTTAAACTGGCGCATGTGCGTGTGCGCCCTCACGCGATTTTTTACACCGTGTCATGTTTTCAGACCATTTAATAGTTTCATTAGCGGCTGTTAAATGATTATAAAAGTAAAAAGTATCAACCACGAACACGCTTTTAAAAATCGCCGCCTATTAAAAAAAAACTGTCAAGTTTCAATATCATTTATTTCAGCGAAAAAGCAAATATGTAAAGCCGTTCTGAATATCTGTTTTCAGAATGAGGATAATTGCAAGAACTCTTGTGAGTTCTTACTGAGAGTTTGAATTTCGGCCGCGATCGCATTCCTCCTCTCCTCTAATTTGGTGATCTTTCTTTGACATTTCGCATCTTTTCCCGAGATTTTCTTGATTTTTTCCTTGAATGATTTTTTCTTCTTGCAGGGTTGCTCATCAATTGTTGCTTGAGACGCGGTTCCATCCTTCACTGAGAAAAATTCAAAATTGAAATTAGTTGATGAAATTATTCGACGGTTATTTCGAATCTTTTTCTTGATTACAGCCGTTAATTGCCTGCGACAGCTTCTGATCGAGAACAAAAAGTTTCTCATCCGCCTTTTCACTCCCATTTTGGCATTCTTTAACTTTGTGCATGTAATTAAGAGCCGCTTCTTCATATTTTTTCTTAAGCTTTTCCAGTGGCGTTTCCTGGTAATAGTTCACTTTTTTATCTTCGTGAATTAAGACATTCATAGAAAAAATCATAACTTATGATTTATAACTTATAAATTACAAGTGATGTTAGATCAATGATCTTAAAGAACTCTCACTTAGGCGGCTCTTCCGTCGTAGTCACATGATTTTGCGGGTAGATGATTTCTTCTCGCAGCTCGAATCTTTCCATGTGATAGCTAGAAGGGGAAACAGTGCCCAGATGTATCAAAAGCGGAGTTATTTTCATCTCTATATTTTTGGAGCTCACGTTTTTCCCAAATCGTGAATTCTGATGGTAAATCAACTTATAAACCTTATGAACATCACGAGTGAGAGGGCAAAGCCGATGATTAGCGATCGAATTTCTAGCAAGTATTCAAAGTCCACGCTTTGAATCCTTCCCACCGTATTCAAGCGGATAAAAATGAACAAAGTTCAAAACTTAGCTTCAGTTCTAGAACACGTGTTATTTTCGAAACAAAATGCTACCATTTGTATTAACGAAAGATGAATCTACGGCAAGTGCTGATTTTTCTGCTACTTCAAGTAGCAAAAGGTATGAAATTATCGTCCAACTGATGAAATAAAAAGTAATATAGGCGAAAATGAGGAGGTGCCTACCAATCCACGTGATTTACAGGATGCTGAAGTATCATGTGATGCATTGAATAAAGTCGTAGCAGTTCCACGCTCGTCCTCAGATAATGAAGATTTGAAAACTTTTTTCGCCTCGACTGGCAAACCTGGTCCTATTCTTATTGGTAAGCTTTTAAAAAAGATGATGGCAAATTAGATACCAATTAAAATTTTGATAGGCATTACGAAAAATAACGCTGACTCCCAATGGCGTGACACACAGGGTGTAGACATCACATGGTTTAATTGGGCAGATGGACAACCTGGAAGGTAAAGATGGCATTATTGTAATAATATTTCTTATAGTTATGATAATATATTTTTTATATTCATGAAAGGATAGGCTATCATCTTTATAAAACAATTTTTAATAAACAATTTTCAGCAATGATTGCGCTACAATGAGTCACAATGATGGAACATGGTCGACAGAACAATGCTCAGAAGAAAATCATTTTATTTGCAGACCTGCATTAAATGGAGGAACAAGCACTGGAGAGTGTGCTCTTTTCAGCGGCTCCTGCAGCATTCAAAGTGGGTTTTCGATTGGAATCAGTGACAGTTGCCGAGCAGAACGATACCCGGCTCTTCCGGACGACTACACTGGCGTCTACGTGTCCAGCCCAAAAGTTTTGGCATCAGACCACGCAACTACTATCGCCAGTCTTCACGAAAATTGTCAGTTTGATTCGGAAGGCCTAATCAATATTGCTTTTGATGAATGTGGGACTGTCGAAACAGAGACTGATTCTTCTGGCACGACGGTTTCCATCTACGGCCATCATTATCAAGACGTCGGAGGAACCATCGTTTCATACATTTCGCCACCACTCAAGATCGACTGTTTCATGGCGTAAGTACTGCCGGTTTTTTCACTTAGAAAAAATGGTTTTATTAGGCACCCTGACAACTTGGAATTGAAAAAATTTAGTGGCGTCAATCTTGAAAACAGCGTCGACAATGATGGAACAGAAGAGACAATCACTTTCACACTGACGGCAGCAGAAATCGTAACTGCTCTGAATATTGAGCTTCAGGAATGACATTAAACTAACAAATCTTTATCCTGATAAAAAAGTTTTTCGGCAACTTTTGATGTTATTAAAGATCGGCACTGTCGATGACGGTGGAACGTTTACAGCTGCGACGGACGCTACTGAGTATGCCGTCGGGACAGAAGTGCATGTCAAGCTTGCTCACGACGCTACTGACTTTGGATTTGCTCTTTACGATTGCTCCGGTGGGGGCGTTGATTTATTTACTGACTACTGTCCCACGGATGATGCGAAATCACTCTTCAATGTGGCATTTATCAGTCACGAAGAGTTTAAACTCAACATTTTTCAACCTGGCGATCTTGACGCAGTGATTTTCAACTGCAATTTACGTATCTACGCTGCAGAGGCCGATGAACCTGCTGACTGTGTGAACAGACGGTCACCCGAGTGGAAAACTGAAGCAGAACATAAAAATGCTGAAGTTGCGGTTGTTGGAAAGATTTATTCCAGGAACGGCTCTGATGTTCTGCTTTATTACTAAATCGCTGATTTTGCGAAGGCATTTGATTAACATTACAATGGAGCCCTGAAACAAGCGAGTTGAAAAACGACTGGACGATTACAACTCTCGTCGGACTCACTTTGACTCAATACATTTTCTATGGAAGCTACTAAAGACACGACCGGAAGAAACTATTTATTTATTTAATTTGAATTGTTAATCAGACTGTGAACGTTGGCGCATTAACATAGTAAAAGCAATTTTACGTTTAAGCTCATCTCTTGCCGTCTTTTTGACTTCGTTATAAGCTAGCCTTCGCCGTTTCTGTGTATTGCCTTCTTTAAATCTGTATCCATACCCGTAGTATCTGTTTATTCCTTCACGAGTTTGAAACCTGAAACAAATAATAATTTTTCAACAATTCTGAGAAACTGACTGTTCAAATTTTTGTAACGCCATGGCAACAGAAGCAGGGTCTTCAGGATTGTCGACCATAACTGTTTTGGAGAGAAAGAGCGGATCGGTGTTGCGAGCGTTCTCTGCGCCAAAAGTGTAGTCATTCCAGTCGTCACCTTTTCGTTTGACGATTAGTTTGCCATCCTTAATTTTTCGTTAAAATGAAGATAATCTACTGTCAATTACTTTGATTTGCCGATTGTGAGGCATCGATAAGTCGATGTGTTCTTCGTACTCGGGCCTCTTGACTGTTGTTTTTGGCTCTGGTTCACCTTTTGTGCCTTTTCTCCAGAACGGAACTCTACCAGGAACCATCGATTGTGTTGATAATGATAGAGATCGACGAATAACACTAGTCCGTAACATTTGACTATCTCTTAAGAACGCCAAACGTTAAAATTGGTTTCTTTTGAAGGCATTTTCAGTGAACGAACAAGATATTTGGCTGCAGGAAATAGAAAATGTTTAGATATCGACGATGACCCAAACTTCGCTTTTCTTTTCTGTTTCAATAATATTTAGTGCTGAGTGTGTGACGGCTTTAACTTCTGTTCCGAATCCGCCATGCTTCTGAAGATCGAATTCCTCCCCTTTCAGCTGCATCTTACAGCTGCATTTCTCTCGGTCGAGGCTGAGCACTTTAGCTTCTCTAGCCATGAAGTAAGGATCCGTAGCGGCTTCGTACAAACAGTCCTGCATAACAAGGAAAAGAATGTCTAGGAAATTGCTGGTTGAGAAGATCAAGAATAAATGAGATTAACCTTTTAAATCTGAGCCCTTTTTCGCCCTCGAGTCGATGATGATCATTTTGCGTGGATCGACTTTTTCTAATGGAACAGAATAGTCGAACATTCCCAGCACAGCACTTTCAAACGCTTCTTCTAGCGAATTTCCCCACGAATGAATTTGAATATCAGCAGTGTGATCTAGATGCTCAAAGTTTCTCTCTACTTCCATAACTCGACGGGTTTTTTCAGGCGATGGAGGAGAATTCGCGCCAGCTTTTGCGCCAAGATTATCAGATTCAGGCTCATCAAAAACACCAGGACTTTCCGAAAGTAAAGAAGAAATGATTTCTTCAAAGAGTTTCCCAATATCAGCAGGGTATTGATCGTAAATGGCGTCGTAAACTGCCGATTCTGAGATTTCTTTTGAATTTACAGCCTTACAAATAGACGAAAGAGCTGTTTCTCTGTCAGATTCAGACGCTTTTAATCCGAATCTATTAAATGAAGTGAGTGACATTTTGAAGAGTCGCAGGGTTGTGTGAATCCCTTGATTGTCCATATCGTTATTTTCGAAAATTCGCAAAAAGTATTCTAATATCTCCAAATAACCAGACTGTTTTGTAGATGGCTGATTGATCAGAGAGCCTTCGTCTTCAGCAAATGAGAGAATGTAAGAGGCCATTCGGGAGTTTCCAGATCTGAGAGCAAGGGAGAGAGGGCTGTTCTTTTCGTCATTTTCAAGCAGAAGATTAGCTCCACCTTGTCTCAACCTTTTGAGGGCCTCCACCGACTTTGCTCTGTGAACGGCGAGATCCCCATTCGACCAAAGATTGTTCGCGTCAACAGGAGAAAGCCGCAGAAATTCGGAAATTTTGAGATATTCGTTTTTTGACACAAAATGGATCAAAGCATCGGTGAGCAGCTGGTTGGAAGGAGGAGGGATATCATCGAAAAAAAGAGTTGCGAGCGTCTCATCTGGCGAAAATGAAAAGCTATCTCTGAAAACAAGCCTTTTCGTGTCTTCTGTAGGGAGAAGATCGCCCGAAATCAGAAGAACTAGAATATCTGCAACTGTCATCGTTGCCATTTCTTCGTCTTTGTCATCGTCGCTCCATGTTTCTTCGTCATTTTCGATACCCCAATCCATTTTTTCTTTCAAAATGGCGAATTTCTTAAAAATGGAACTTATAAGCACGCGTGTAAGAGGAAAAAGGAACTTTGAATCGAACAATTTTAAAAGCTGAATTTTCGGAACGTTACAGAACAGAGAAATCAAAAAAGAATGAGCAATCACAAAAATATCCAGTCAAAAGGAAGGCTACAGATAAAGAAGAAACGAAAACTAATAGCGTATTCTTGTGCTGGAGCGACTTGATTTAGAATGAGATCACAGAAAGCAGTAGTTTGATAAACAGCATCTTCGAAAGATAGTAAAATTCTTGGAAAGATTAAAAGGGAAGAAACTAGCAGGGAACTTTTTTGGTGAGCACATCGATTACCTCCTGCAGTGGTTTGAGTTCTTCTGAGGAAATGAGCTGGAATTCCTGCACGAAAAAAATGAAGTGCTTGAAGCTCGAGTTCAGATGAGGCTCCATCTTCATCTCCCGAACATCCTTAGAGCGAAGTCTTAGTTCTCTATTTTGAGACAAAACAGTGTATTTTTTTGCGATTCTAACCTGGAGGTGATGGAGGTAGATGTGAGCGTAAACTCGAAAGAGTCTCTTTATGATTTTAAAAGCATTGTCGCGGAATTGTGCTGGGAAAGGCACATTGATAGCTGAGGGGAACATCTTCTCATCCTCGAGTAATTCGTTGATCCACGTCATCAAACTTCGCTTCAAGTTAGTCATCGAATATAGAGAGAAAACGAGAAAAATTACTTGTCAACGTATTCTGCTGCTGGGAGCGGCTTCGGCTGGGAGCCGGACACTTCTTGCCAAAGATAACTTTCCTCGAGCTTTGAAAATGAGTTGAAAATAAATAATTTGGTAGAAAGAAAAGCCCGTCCCAATGTTTCCCCGCTGACATGGTTGGACACTTGGCAGTCGTACATGTGGGCAGAATGGCGCCGTAGAGCATCGAAGTCTTTCAACCTCTCTAAAACATCTGAAAAGAACGCGTTCCACTGGCCGTACCTGCTTGTAGAAATCAGAAATGTGGTAAGCGATCCATTCATTGAGATCTTCACCTTCTGGCAAGGCCACTGCGCAGCGCAGGTTTCCGTAACCGAGTGTGTTCGTCGAGGAGATATTGAGACTGGAGAGGCTCGCACTTTTTGACGGCGTCTTGGATTCGGAGCCTCCTCCGGGCGAAGGCTTCCGCGAACGCACTTTTTCGATGATTTTGTTCATTCTGATGCAAACTAAAGATCACTTTCTCTTCACTAATTTCGTTTGGAGTGAGGTTTAGTGAGCTAGGAAAAGAACTGGAAAGGAGTGAGAAAAGCGGTTAAATTCTCGGAGAGGCCGGAGGGTGTCCCGCGCTGCTGCGCTACGAGCGCGCTCAACTCTCGAGCCAATCAAACAACTCCATTCTCTATATTTTCAGCGCGAGAGAACCTTCCAATGCTCTTATACTGCAATATTTGTATGTTCGCAGATTCTGATAATTTTATTCCTTCCGATGAGTCACCTTCGTGAAACTGGATTTTAGTTTGCAACAGCTTTTGAACGCGTGTGAAATCAAATTATCATCGCAATAAAAGACGGGTTAAGATTTAGACAGCGGAAATGTTGGGCCGAGTCAGCCGTCCGCTGACATCGCTTCGTTTTGGCGGCTTTGCGTATTTCCAACAAACGGCTGGCGCGAAGATCTACCAGCGAAATGAGAAGAGGTGACAATTTCTAGCGCGAGTTTCCGCCTTTAATGAATAATTTAGCAAATTTACTGTGGATCTGATGAAGGGTCTTCTCATGGGCCTTGGCCTCGGCCTTGGCATGAACATCGTTTTCGGCGTCGCTGAGGGCCCTTACTACTACGATCCCGAGCAGCATACACCCGAGGAGTACGAATTCCACAAGAGCGCTCTTTCGCGATTCCTTTACAAATACTGGTTCACATCCCAACGCGTAAGCAGCTTCTTTGCTGGACACTTTAATCCTTTAAAATCTAGGTTGCCCATTGGCAGACATACGCCGGCATGCTTTTCCAGGATGAAGTTCGATCCAAAGACAGATTGGTACGAAAATTTCAAACTCTCAAGTGTCTATGCTTCTGTTTCAGGTCCAAGACGTTAGACGAATTTCTGCCCAAACCGGCGCAATCGGAATGAGCAGCGGATACTACAGCCACGCCCAGAACGTCGGCGGCGTTGCCGACAAGCATGCTTACCTTCATGCAACTGCTCCTCAATTGTTAAACGAAATGATTCAATATGCTGACGAAAATGAAATCCTCAGAGCTAAAGACCAAATCATCCAGAAAGTTATTGTTGAAAAGGGCGAGGTAACAGCCATATTACTCGATGTGATGCTCAAAAAACGTAGGGTGCCTTGAGACAAGGTGTTACAGTCGAATTCAACCCTGGAGAGACGCTCAGACTGCCCGCCGTCGGTGTTGCTCCATCTCCTCATCTCAAGCCAGATTGGTACAACTACGATGTGGAGACCAAGGATCAATGATCAAATTCACGACTGTCTATTTATTTGCAAAAACAACGTTCAACATTACCACTCTTTTTCCTGACGCATTCATTTTAGATCTTGAGTAAGAAAAATAAAGCGAGCGACTTAAACATGTCTTTCCGCCTCTTCCTCGGCGTCCTTGGTGTCGCATTGGCCCCGCTACTGTCAATGTTTACCATATTCATCGCGCCGAACAGTATCAGAGTGCTCTTTTGGATCTTCGGCGGATTTTGGTAAGAAAAGGAATTTACAAGTTTCTTTGATTTGGTTTTTAGTTGGTTAGTCTCTTTACTCGTGGGCTCCTTGTTCTGGATAATCTGGTATTCTGCGACGCCTTCGGGCTCCGCTCTACAAGATGATTTAACATTCGCCGCCTTAATATCAGTCTTCGTCCAGGTTTGAGAAGATTTATGCGCTTGACGAGGACCTATCTTTTCTCTAGGAGGGTTTCCGACTTTTGAGTCTTTGGGGCCTAGCAAATGCAGTTCAACGGCTCGAGTCAATAAACATCCGAGGAAGCGCGAGGTCGGGCATGTCGGGATCATCTGGGCAATTCGTACTCGGACTTGGCTTCGGCACTATTTCTTGTCTCTTTCACTCAATGAATGTAATGGCTGCGGCTCTTGGACCAGGCAGTCCGGGTCTTGAGATCGATGGTGTCTCCCATGGAAGTCCATCTTTTTATATAACTGGGTAAGAATATTTTCTATGTGCGATCTTTTATTTAATTTTCAGTGCGTTTTTATCAGCTGCACTTACATTCAATCACTGTTCCTGGACAGTCATTCTTGGCTCAAGTTTGAATAAAGGCCTAAAAAACTCTTGGCATCTGCCGGTCTTCGTTGTTATCGCTCATTTATTAACAACTGGGACGTCACTCTTCAACGACCAAGGTAGATTAGGAGTGCTTGTCAATCGAGAAAATTAATTCAGGTTCTATATGGCCCTGTATGATTTCCTCTTGGGTAGTGGTCATCGCCTCTGGCGCATTTGCTTTCCGTGAAGCTGGTCTCAAGGTAAATCGTGAGGCGGGCTATTGCCCTGTAAGAGTCAACGATACTGCCTCAGAAGAGTCTATTCAAAGTCTTGCATCAAGTTCCACAGCGACCAAACGTCATATTTACCAAAGGACGAACATTTGAGTAATCCTAGCTATTTTTTTACTTTCCTTCTCTTCCGAATCGCGCAATCAACATGTAAAATTACTTTTATTTTTTTCTGTATATTAATTCAATCGTACTTCTATTAAATCGCTGCAGCAAACGGATAAGCTTGCGAAGACTTTGTTAGTCTGAGCCAACAATGTGATGGATGAATGTTGATGTTTTTATTTAGGGCTTGGCGTCAGCAGCAGATTTTCACAATTAACAGTTCAAAAAACGCGATACCATTTTTCTTGCATGAAAAGTCCTAATGAAAAAACGATTTCTTCAACATCTCTCACACTGGCCGGTAAACATTCTTTCTCTCCCTTTACCTACTGTACTTATTTCTCTCTCATCTCATTTTCATTTTAACATGAGACAAAGCGTCGCTTCAACGTTCCATTACTTTCACGTGGATAGCTCATAGTGATACTTTAGAAATTCGATATCGTAATAATTGATGACAAGCAACGATGTTCCGCAGCGGTTACGGTTGGCCATTAAATCCAAGCTCACCACGATGGATGCCTTCATCGACGATGAACTGCCCGACTTCATCATGGTCATGTTGGCCCGCAAAAAGTCGGAAGAAGAAATGGCTTCTGAACTGGAACCTTTCCTGGAAGACAAATCCAAAAGTTTCACTTCCTGGGTGATGAAGTTATTCGAGAAACTCAACGGAATGAAAAATGCGGGAGCTATCTCCAAAAATACTCAATTACAGACTATTCGAAAAAGAAGAGTCTCATCCAGCCCATCCAAGTCACGCTCTCGCTCAAGAAGCAGAAGTAGCGATTCAAGTAGAAGCTCCACATCTAGTAGTAGCTCGCGGACAAGAAGCCGATCAAGAAGCAGATCGAGGAGCAGAAAACGATCACGGAAGGTGAAAAGATCAGATGCCTATGATGGCCCTGGTGGCCGTCGTAGAGGCCTTGACTTGGCTAGAACATATCGTAACTCATCTTCGGAAGACAGCTACTCGAAAGGATATCACAATGATCGCAAAAAGCGAGACAGGCGACTAGCTCGCCGAAGAGAAGGCAGATATTCAAGATCATCGTCGAGCTCAAGGTCCCGTTCAAGGTCCAGAAGAAAACGCTCACGATCTCGCACGAAAAGACGAAGCGATAGCAGATCACCAAGAAGACCCAGATTGCAAAAGACAGGCTCCAAAAACACTAGAATATCTATCACACCCGAGAAAACCGCCGAAGAAATATATCGAGAAAAGCGTGAAGCTAGGTAAATCATAAAATAAAGACGCCGTTTCATTTTTTCTAGTGCCGAAAGGAAAAGAAGAATTGCAGAAGAAAATGTCAGACAGCGTATGCTCGCTGACGGCGACGACGGCTTTGGCTGGTCTGAAGGGCGAAAAGCTCTACAGGTATGTAATCTTGATTCTTATGTTTTAATAGTATTTAATAGCCGAAACACGAAGATCCTGCAAGAATCACGCAGCGTTTGATCGATGAAGAGCTTCAAAAATTGAGAAAGAAAAAGCAGGTGAGAAATTAAGTGTTTTTCAAATTCATATCGGCTCATTTTAGAACTCGATGCCGAGAAGGCAAGATTAATCGAAGAAAAGCGAAAAGAGCTACAAAAGATTGAGGCAAACAAAGCCTCGAAAGACAAGCCTCGACGACGACGTTCTCGAAGCCAGGATAGAAGGCGTCGTTCAAGGAGTAGAAATCGCCGTTCCAGAAGCAGAAATAGAAGGCGAAGTCGAGACAGAGATCGAAAAAGATCCCCTCTCAGCGACTTCCCACTTCGTAAAGAACGTGTCAAGCGGCCATCCTCCTCTGACGGTATGTCGACAAGCATTTTGAAGTTCTACGAACGAGGTTTACTTTCTACTCATTTCAGATGATGATGATGTTGATGGTGTTCCAATGGAGCGTCCAAACGAGCCAAAGAAGATGACAGAATGGTCGCCTAACCGAGGAACCATGATCAGACCACCAGAAAACTACGAGAAATCGTCAGCGCCAAAAGGTGGTAAATGGCCAGAATGGGCCAATAACGAAAATTATAAATACGAGCAGGGTGAATGAATTTTTAAATTTATATTTTCTAATATTGATATAAGGAGGCCCAAAAGAACCGAAAGGCGGCTGGCCTGGACTGCCTGGAGAAGAAGAACTGCCATGGTGACCTAGCCCTTGACTCTCAGCACTCATTTACAATTGATAAACGTGTATTCTTCAAAATTCAGTAATTTTCTTTAAAGAATGTCTCGGGATCGGGCCAAATTTAAGGAGACATTGCATGCCGAGCAACAAAGAATTCAAATAGGGCTTATCGGAGATGGATCAGTCTCTGAGGAGCTCGAAAAGAAGAAGCACTTGTCGACTCTAAAATTTGATTCTTTCGAAAGTCTGAATTTGGACCGAGTTCCAAGCCCAAGGTAGTCATCAAAGAAACGCTTTCTTTGCAACGAGCAGTTGTAGGGAACCGCTTGTCGAGCGAAACTGGATTGAGCAGCATCTAGAGTACACGAGAAGATATAACTTGACAGATGATGCTGTTGCTTCCGCGGCAGACTTCCGAAGACAGAATAAAGAAGAGTGCCTCGCCTCGTTTGAGAAAGAAACCGAAAACTTTTTACTGCTTGAAAGCGGCGACGAATCATTTGAGTCTGAAAAAAGTGAGGGTCATGAAGTTGTCTCGAAAAAAACTGAAGGCATATTTCGCCCGTCTTCGCCCAATCCGTACGATTTGAAAGACGATCGCATCAAGGATTACACTGTCAATCACGTAAATGAAAATTATCAGGCGTTCGTAATCTTTGTTATTCCCTAGCGTCTTTTTCCAGTGCCACTTTTTCCTGAAAATGCGTCTCAGTCAGGACCAGGGACGAAGGAATTATCGACGAATTATGTGCGGATCTCTGTTCCTGTAAGTAAATTCATCTTTTCCTTCGTTGAAGATTTTATCATTTCAGTCGAGAGCACTTTTGCCTGAGTATAAAAGAGAGCTCCAAAATACTCCGGTGAGCACAGAAGACTCTTTATGCTTGTGGGAGCACTGCGTCAAAGGACACAGACAAGTCGGCCAGCATAAGAAGACTTCCTCAAGCAGAAACAAATTAGATCTGAGGTCGCATTTGAATCCAGCGGATGCCGTGGACGTTTACAAGGTTACAGTCAACAGACTCGCCTTATACAAATGCTTTTTAGATAAAATCTGGACAGAGTTTCAAGTTTAATACTCGAGCAGATCCCTTCGACATTTCAAAATTGAACCTCGCCGAACGCCGATAAGAAACCCAACCCTCAACATCTTTTATTTGCTCTATTTTCTACTTCATAAAAATATTTTTCTTATTCTTCTTACTCTTACTCTTCTCTGATTAGCATTTTTAAGATATGTCTGTGGCTCGATTTCGTCTAAACAGCTATCAGTTGTTTTGGCTGAGTTCAGTCCTTACCTCATTCTACTTTGGCTATTCGGACAGATTCTGCTCTAAAACACTCGAACAACTTGAACTCGACTCTCAGCCCTTTCTACCGTTCGTCGATTGAATGACTTTTACATAAAAATAAGCTATCCCTAGTAAAGCGACAACATCACCAATAACTTTATTCGCCCCTACACTTGAGAGGCAAAACGACATTTTGGAAAAGTTATTTGAAGAATCGGAGGAGTTTTCGTTTGGCTCAGATGGATTCCGAGTTGCTTCCGAGTACTTCTTCAAAAAGGCGTCTGATTGGTACAGATCGCCAAAAGAAGCGCCTAGATTAGATCAAGCTGGTTGTGGAATGGTAAAAATCTCGGTGAAAACAAATCAACAGACTAAAAACTCTTTAGGAAATGATGAGGGACGTTATTAGAGGATCCCTGTTTGGATCAGTTCCGATCAAAAGCGCACAGCAAGCGTATGGCGGAGAACTGTACATCATGCCACTGCTTCGAGAGCAGTTCAGAAGCTACACCAGAGCGAAGAACGACGTAGACTCTCCTAGCGCCGTGAAAATTGGAACGACTGGGAAACGCTCGACAAAGCAAGCGCTTGAAAAGTAAGAGTCGCTATTTCTACAGTGGCTAGTTTTGATTTTAGGACAGTCGAGAAAGAGCTTCTCGAAGTCGCGGAGAAAGCTTTTAACATGACGCCAACGGCACAGATAGGACTTATCGTTCAAAACCCGCGACAGTGGGCACTCGAAGTCGTCAACGAACGCCATACACTGCCTACCTCGGACCACTACATGGATGCAATCAGTGAATATGTTCTTGTGAGTCGTAATTTGTAAAAGAATCGAAATAGAATGGTTTCGGTTTAGATGCTCGAGAACCTGATTCCGCAGTGCACCGAAATCGCGAAAACCTACTCGGGCAAGTGTACGCTTCTGCGCTTGGAAGACATCATCTCCCGCCCGGCAGAAGTGTTCAATCTGCCATCACTGAGCCCGGTTGACTTCGAACTGAAAAATCGCTTCGAAATTCCTATTGTTGAAAACGAAGTAGATAGCAAACTTTCGCGCATCAAAAAGCAACTTTCGAGTTTGGGCTACGCCGGCTGGGAAACAAAAGACCGACTCCATTCCCTCAACCTCGTCAAATAGATGTTTTTCTATTTACCTTATATATGCTAATTCTTGATATGTCCACGCGATCATTCTTTTTTTTTATTTTCTGTCTTCTATTTTCTGTTATTCACGATTTTTTAAGGAAAAATCTTTAATTTTAAATTGCCCAATCAAAAGAGGTCACGTTTTTGACAAAAGAAAAGCTCCGTCTTCACTTGCGTAAGAGTCAAAAAGTATCGAGAGTCCTGAAATGTGCTCTTACTTGCGTTTACGCGCGATGAACGATGCGGCGCAAACGCTAGCCCGGGTCGAGTTGCGAGGCAAATAATGCGCGCCCAATCAAGGCGCCCTGAGCGAGAGAGAGAAAGCACTAGAAATTCCACCCCGCCGGGTTAGCGTTCTATCCGCAGGTAAATCCGTTCATTGCTGATTACTCAGTTTCATTTTATGATGCAGCAGTTTTTCCTCGTTAAAAGGCTTCATTAGGCTCGTTACGTAACGCAAAAAAAAGTTGTTGTTCATCTTTTTTATTGATCCGTCTATATTTTCAATTTTCGAAATATGACTCTGTCTAAATACTCAAAGTGGCATTTAGAAAACTTATATCAAAAATATTCTTCACGCTTACTTCATATTTTCTGTATTATCAAAAGTCTGCTCCAATAACGCTCCAAGGGTGAAAAACTAAGATAATCAATTTCTTTCCCGATTCAGAAAAAAAAATGTCGAAGGTGTTTTCTCTTGAAGAAGTCGGCAAGCACAACACTGGCAAGGACTGCTGGATGGTTATCCATAACAAGGTTAACAACTGATGACTAATTAACTGAGAAATTAACAAGGCGAAAGTTAAACACTGATCAAAGGTCTATGACGTGACCAAGTTTCTGTCCGAGCATCCCGGCGGCGAAGAGATCCTACTCGAGTGCGCAGGCGTCGATGCGACCGAGGGTTTCGAAGACGTCGGCCATTCGGCAGACGCGCGGGAGCTGCTCCAAGACTATCTCGTCGGCGATTTGCGCCAGGAAGATCACAAGTCCTACACCAACCAGTACGTTTACACGGACAAAGAAAAGACTGGCGGCTCCCTTCCAATCAGCTGGCTTATCGGTAAATACGTTCTAAATAGATAAAAAGTAAAAGTTTTTCCAGGCGCTGTTACTGTCGCTGCTGGCGCCTTTTTTACCTTCAATCTGCCAAGTGAAAGGGCCTAGATCCGCCGGAGAAACTTCAATTCAAAACAATTCGTTCTAGCTTTAAAATTCCGATGATTCTAAAACCGATTTCTGCTGATCTTCAAATAGCGCCGATCTTGATTTCCTTGTTTAATTTTTTCAAATTAAACACATTTTCTAAAAGGAAGAAAATCATATTTGATTTTAATTCGACTCTCCCAAAGATAATCAGACGTTTAATCAACTGTTGTATATTCTTATTATTTAATATCGAGTTCAATGATTTCGCACTAATTCGTCCTGGGAAGTGTCTCATTCTTCAGTTCTTAAAACTTCTCAACTGATTTCATATCTGTGACAAAAAGTCGTTTCCCTATTGTTCTTTCCTCTTCATCTCTTTAGTATGAATCGTCTGGCCCGACCCATCCGTTTCCTTTCCTGCACCCCCAAGGTTTTGGGAGGTAAGCCCGCCCGAGATGCTTACTTCAACGACTGGAACTACCCCGATGGTGTAAGTACCAGCAATATTTCGAATACTGCTGTCCCTGTAGTCAGAGACCAATAAATCTTCTTCAGGGCCACTCCGCCACTTCGCTCAAATGCGAGGACGATGGTCAGATCTCCACCATCCCCGTCGGAGCCGGACTTGGCGTCAACTCCCGAGTGAACATTTTTTTCACTCTTTACGCCGAGTTCAAGGTAAACTCGTTTCTTTTACACTCGATAAAGCTAGAAATAGTTCATTCTCTGGGCTGGTCTCCTTATCTCCGTCCCATGGTTCTTCATCCGACTTGGTATGCGAAAGAAGTTGGGTGACCCCGAAGCCGACAACCTCCCCGAAGGAACTTCTGTCACCGTTACTACCACCTCTGGCATGCCTGGTAAGCCCCACATCGATTTCATTCATAATTTATCAAATTTTGAAAATACTTATTCTCGTCTCTAGGTTCCTACCTCTCCAACTTCTACGTTGACGTCAACTCCTTCACCAAGGCCGGAACTCTCGGTCTTTCCGGACTCATGTACTACTTTGATAAGTGGACCGTCCTCAACCGAGAATCCAAGCCTGTCCGAGCTGAATACCGAGCTAAGCGAGCCGCTATCTGGGCTAACAGAAAAGGTGGATTCGATTAAGTATCACTATTAATAAACTGTCATCCAAGCTCTTGCTGCTCCCGCTTCCAGCCACGACCACTAGGTTATTCAACGAAATCGTAGTCAAACAAGTGTTGCGCGCAAGAAATAAAATAAGCTCTGCAACTCTTCTACAAAGCCCCTGAAAACGTTCAAAAATCTATTTATTACATTGATCTTTAACTTTCGATGTCACTCCTCTCTTGCTCATCTGTTAACTAATACAACACTCTAAGCCCCTGAAAATGAAGATTCAAAGTGTTTACACCACTTTTCTACTTGAAATTCGCTTCTATAACTAATGCAGGCTTGCATGGTGATCAGACATAAATTGTCGGTAATTTTCCAATGAACCTGAAACGGGTTCGTAGAAACGGTTTTCTCGACTTTATCTTGATTTGTGAGAATGATGGCGCCTAATCCAACGCAATTTTAAAACGCATCTCTGCAACAATAAACCAGTTTTGCAGTTTCAGTGCAAAAAGCTCGATTTTTGAGTAGTTGAATTGAAAAACATGAGTAGTGAAGGCAATCCAAAGCCACTTGCGGAGAGAAATGAATTGGAGAAGCAAGAGTCCAAGCTGAGATCTATGTACGGGAATCTCGAAAAGAGGAAAGGCCCGGGGATGCTTATGAAGAAACTCCAGGTGAGTTAGACGATAATAAAATGGTAAAAATTTGGAAATTCTTTTAGGGCGGCGGTCGACAATACTTCGACTCAGCTGACTACACGCTCCAAAAAGGAGCGAAAGGCAACCCTCTAATGAAGAAAAATGACGCAGCAAAGCAAGTCCCTGTTCACAAAGCTACCTTCGAAGAAGGGGGCTCTCCTCGTGAGGCTGCTGGTAAAACTAAAAAGCGACTCAGCAATACGGTAAGCGCAAAAAAGAGTAGATTCGAAGTCGATAACACTGAAATTAAGTCGTCGCTTGCCAATATGGAGGACTGCTAGAAGACTCCTATTTCGATCATCTCACGCGTTTCACTTCTCACAAAACGTTTTTAATAAATCTCAGAAATTATTATGCATTTTTGTTGTGTTGTTTAGTCGCAGGGCACGTGTAGTTGTATGCTTTCGAATTACCAATATTGCGTAGCCAATAATCAATGTCGTAGCTTCTTGAGAGGTACATAAATACCATTTGAAGTAATGGGATCGAGTTGACATCACTAGGTCAATTACGCCCTGGGGCTGTTCACGTCAAGTTTCAACCGCTGCGACGAGGTTTATCGGCTTTTCCGGCAAGACTTAATTCTAGTTGGGAAAAACGTCGAGTGACTTGATCGGGCAAGAGAATGTGTTTTCGCTCAGTTCTACATCGCCGAAAAGAGATATTCCTCGTTCTCTTATTAATCTTCCTGGTTCATGTTATGCTTGATGATTCTGATATAGAAGAAAGTGAAAGCAATGCTGTAAGAGAAAAGAGCAGGGTCAGCAAGATCACTTTCTATCTTCGTCTATTTTGCTTGATTTCAAATTATTTATAAAACTCTGTTAAAGTCGCACGGCAAGAATGACCACAAAGAAGCTGACAGCAAGTTCGTTCATAGAAGCGATCTCAATGTAACATCAGACGCGATCCACCCCAGAGTTGTGGTTTACAACCGTGTTCCCAAATGTGGAAGTCAAACGATGTCAATGCTCGTAAATCAGCTCTCACGTAAAAATGGATTTCTTTCAAAAGCAGTCTTCGAAGCTGGTGAAACGCCGGACAGAACAATATCACAGCAAAAGTCATTTATGAATGAATTAAAGAATTATGCTAAGGATCAGCCAGTCATGTACACTAGGTCGGGCTCTTTATTCATCAACTTGGAGGAAAACCTCTTTAGTCAGTGCTAACTCATAAAGCCTTCTAAAGACACCAGTATTTCATCGACTTCGACCAGTTTGAATGGGCAGAACCAGTCTATATAAATCTCATTCGAGATCCTGTGGATAGATTCGCTAGCTTCTATTATTTCTCGCGATTTGGAAACAAACGAGCGCAAGATGCTGGAAGATCTAAGCAACAAGTTCCGTCCAACATTCTCAACGAAAGCATCGACGACTGCATTACGGGGAGACGAAGGGAATGTACAGAACCCATCTGGCACACAGTACCATATATGAAAGAGTCCCAACTTTTCTCATTTTTCATTTTTGTGCGACGAAAAATAGTTGTGACTTGATTGATAGTTGTGGAAACGATAGAAGCTGTCTTCAGCGACACGAGTCCTCCGTCCAGCAGGCCAAACAAAATATTGACTCAAAATACGTGGTTGTCGGGATTTTAGAAGAGCTGAAAGGTTCTCTAGGTGTATTCGAAAAAGTTTTGCCGGATTTTTTCGCTGGCGCAGTGAATCACCTCTCGCAAATTCGGAACGACACTTATACCGTCAACAAAAAACAAATGACTGACGCTGCAAGGGAGTATCTTGCGAATGAAACTGCCTTAAAACTAGAATATGATCTTTACAACCACGCAAGAGGTAAACTTATCAGCTTTTTATAGACTCACTTCTAAAATTTAAGCGCGACTGTATGAGCAAATGCGACGGCTAAACATCTCCCCGAGCTCATGAAATCAAGGAAGAAACTAGACTAAAAAATACTTGTACTGCCAACCCTGCTCAAAAATCTGTGAATATTGAAAGACCTAAATAAAAACAACAGAGTTTGAAATTGCGTTTTTATTTATATAGTAAGATCGAGTAAGTTGACTAGGTGCGTCAAAGAAATGGGTCGTTTGCTTATATAGAAAACTGCACCTAGCCGACCGGCAGTACTCTTGAAAACCAAAGAAAAGTATCAAGCAGTGAGATACAGTAAATACATATCTGTAGAAACAGGAAATAGAATGATCGATGATCAACATAATTGATGCAGCATAAATCGGCGAATGACTACAATCAGTAGGGCATTTTTTCGTAGTTTTTGTGCAGAAAAATTGATTTGCTGATGGATAAATTATTTTTCTGTTGTCTTCCAGTATTTAAGACCCATTGTCAACCTGAAAGCGCAAGAAAAATAAAGTATCTGCAAGGAAAACTGGTAGTTTTCGCCTCCGTTTGACTTAAAAAGCCGCTTATATCAATACTAGTCGGAAGATTTCGTGAATAAAATGGTAAGCGAATTTTAATACATCAGGGGTCTATGCGGAAGGAGAAAACAGCGAGTCATGTAAAGGGGATTTTAGGATTAGTACTAGGTCCGTGACGTATTCACATTTGTACAATAAAAATGAATTTCGTTAAAAACGACTTTAACCTTTCGATTAAAATTCAGGCTTCGCTGGAATTGGGAAGTCCTGTCGTTTCTGTCCGGATTCAACGTCAAGGATGAACAAGAAAGGTCAAAGAAAATATGCTCAAAATGAAAAATGAAGAGCCATTGGCTCTACTTCTCCTTTGCAGCATCTTCGGGCTTCTTCTCTGGAGCTGATTCTTTTCCTGATGACGCGGCGGATTCCTTCGCAGCCTTTTCGGCAGCTTCAGCTTTCTCCTTTGCTTGCTGGACCTTTCTTTCTTCCTTTCTCTTCTCTCTTCTCTCACGAGCTTGACGCTGTGATTCTAATCTCTTCTGTTTCACGCTTTCCCAGGCGGCGAGAATCTCAGAGCAGTCTGCAAGACTATCGGCTGATTGCCATGTATTGTAGCTAAAAATAATTAATTAAAGTGGTTCTTCCAACATTCGGCCAAAACATACTCTCTGTTGAATCCTTTCCATTTGACCAAAAAGCACGGTTTGTTGCGACGAATTTTTTCCTCGACGATTTTCTCCACTTCGAAATCTTTTGTAGCCTCTTCTTCGTCCAGCGCGTCTTGTTTTTTGTCAAACGCCTTGGCCATTTTCCTCGCTGGCTCGATGTTAGTGATCGGTTCCCACGTGTTATGGTGGCTGGGAAAAGACAAGCTACTTATCAGCGATTCGAGTGAAAGTTACCTATTGTAGCCTTCCCATTTGATCAAGTATCTTCGATTCTTGCCACTTCCTTTTCGGTCAAGAATTTTCTAAAATTAACATTCAGCAAGCGGGTTTATCAGAAACAATTAACCTCGACATTGAAGACTTTCGGGCCAGCACTGCTTGCGCCTTCCGTCGAAAGTTCCTCTGGGAAATCACCCTTCTTGATTTTACGTTCGTACTTCTGGACAGCCTCGAGTTCTTCTTCGTCGAGTTCTTTTAAGATCGGTCAATCGGTGAGAATTTCGCAGGACTTACTGTGAAGAGGGATTGTCTTTGTCTTTCCTGATTTCTTGAACTTGTACTCTACCCGTCCGTCTTTGATCGATCGACCAACAACAGTATTGCTTTCAGAGTCAGCGGATGATTTTTTGGTTCTCTTTGCAGACTGTCCGCGCTTAGGCGCTGCCTTTGACTTTTTCTGCGCTGGTTTCTGGTCACTAGCAGGCTCATTTGCTTGATAGTCGTCCACCAGCGATTTTGCTACTTTGAGAACATTCTTTGCTGGCTCCCAGGATTTTGGTCGAACATCGTCCGACCACTTGACTTGGAAATGCTCAACTCCGTTGATCTTCTTCGATCCCAGCACTTGGACAATGACTCCATCATCATCTCGTGGTACGTAGCTAGGTGGACACTTTAGGACGTTTGCTGTTAGTCTAAAGTTTTACCTTCGCTTCGCTCTATCCGATTTTCGCGTTGGTTCGACAGCTTTTCGCTTCGTTCCCGCTGCGCTACGTCCTCGTTTCGTCGCACCCATTTTTTCGTTTTAGGTTTTCGCTACTCTTTTTGTTTGTTTATTGTTTTTCTTTTCGTATTTTGAAGCGCCAAGTCTGAAGTTCAAGAGTGGCAAATAAAGAAGCAATTGGCCGTTATGGCCGATGAGATGAGCTAGTTTTTTTCGAAATTCGTGCCGAGCACTCCGAGTGGCCCCGGGGGTGGGGAAAACCAATAGCGCCGCCAGAACGCGCCCACGCGCAAGGTTTCGAACCCAATCGCCTCGACTTGCGCCCTTTTTCGGCTCGGAGCGGCTCAAAAACGCGCCAAACACGGCGGCGGGAGTGCAACTTCGCTGCTGGGAACAAAATCCGAAAATGCCCCACGAATGCTTCCACTGAGGGAAAATATCTGAGTCAGACTGCTCAATCGCTCGATATTGCTAAAATTATCCACCAGAAAAAGAAGATAATCCACTTCTATGTAAAGTTTACAATGTAAACTCTTCGAAGGATTTATATTCACTAGAAGTATGGAACAGATGTACACAAGTGAATAATAACAAACGGTAGCAGACGAGTATGTTTTAGCAGCATTATCCTTTCTTTCTCAAGTATTCTAGACGCGTTGATTCACAATGTTTTGTCTGTTTAGATTTCAACACGAGTTTTCAGTCAAATAGTTGAATCAGAAATTCACTTAGAGCTGCGTTGAAACCCTTCACTTGAATCCAATCCGAATCCAGGCCTTGAGCCTGTCACAGACTCCATTACATTTGCCCAAACCTAGAACTTGATTTTGATATTCTTTGGATTTAAAGCTCACTTCTTCTTGTTGAACGTCCATTTTAGAATTGAAAACATCTCGGAAGGAGGCTGTGGAAGCGAGAAGATCGCCGCGGCCGCCGTGGTAAAGAACTGCAGAGGTGGTTGGAGAAAAGCCAACGCGAGATCCCAAGAATGATCCCAATCGCTGAGAAACAAAGGGTGATTTTTCCTCGTCAACTTCTTTCTCCAGCTCTAGCAGTTTTTGTTCATTGTTCTTTCCATACAAGCAGAAATGCTTTCACTGTTTTCAACTTGCAACATTATTTTGAGCTACTTCAGCGGCATATTGCTTTTCAGCAGTGAAAACGATGCCTGAGTCAGTAAAATGATGTCGAAAAAGACAGACACCAGCCCGATTCCCAATTTACCAGAGTTGCCAGTTATGATTGTCATATCTATAAGATCATGAAAAACGTAATAAAATGACTTGAACAGACCATTAGCATTGACGGATTGAACGATGACTTGAAGATAGCAAGCAGTTCCTCCACTCAGATCGAGAATAGCTGAAATGGCAATCACCTTCTTGTTATCAAAAATATTGTTACCCATGTCGATCGCATAGCCCAGAGTGCATTTACGCTTGTAGTTGAGCAGTACTTGAGGAATGTACTTGATAACACTACTTCCAACTTTGATATAGCTGCCCATGAGCAGAATTTGAAACCAGCCGATATTTTCGGACAAACCCAGATGAGCTACGATCACTAGCGCAGTTGTAACAACTCCGACGAGCACAAGGATAGAAACACAGACTTTTGATAATGATTGTCCTCCACGTTCGTAGGTAAGGCATTGATAAAGATTCACTGTCTAAACGAGAATAAGATCCGCTATATGAGTTGTTTGCTACTCACTTGTATGAGCACAGCGTGAAGACAGAAAAGCACATCGTTTAGTTGGATAGGGTTGCTTGCACCAGGATAATTGTCCAAATAAAGATTAAACACAGCAGGACTCCAGAACAAGAGACAGTTGTAAAGCGAGAAAGCAGCAAAGCCGACGTAGTCATAGCCCAAATAATCGAATCCAAAGCCAACGACGCTCTTTCGACGGAAATTCATGATTACTTGCGGGTAGAAGGACACCGACCACAAAAAGAAGTAAAGCCAACCAATACTTTGATCGACAATGAATAGACTGTAATTTCGATTTAGTCTGAGAATGAACTGTTGAGAAAATGAGGCATCTTGGGAATTTTCGTTGGGAACTGGCATGAGCTGGTCCGAGGCGGTCTGTGATCTTTCTAACAGGATCATTTTGTGATTGCCAGCCGGAAGGGTATTTGCCGGCACTTCAATCTTGGAGTCTGTTCGGTCCGCACACACGATCGAGGATTCATTGGTGCTTCTTGCGTATAAACAGATCGATAAATCTTAAACCTGGATAACAACTTATTCTTTCATATTTGTTTCAGGGGTGACTTTAGCAAAGGGGATTTCTGATCATTCGTAAAGAGGGTTGATAGGTAAGAAGCTTAAGGAAGGGGCTTGTGGCCCCGTGGGTCTCGTTGTTAACGAGGTGAGAAGTGCCTTTGAACGTGAGCGACCCTAGGACCCGCCTATGTATTGAAACTTACCTTCAGTATCTTCTTCTTCCCATGTGAGCGGGATTTCAACCGGCTGGTTCGCGAATCCGGTGATCTCCTTCTCCACGAACCAGCCGGTCACTACTCCGCTCGTTGCAAGCAAGGAGCATAACAATATCTTCATACTCTGGCTTCTTTCCAATCACGTATCAGTCTTTGTGAGTAATCTTTCCTCCCTCGTCTTCTCTATTTTTATCTGAGTAATTTCTTCCTTTTTTTAATTCTATTTTGTTTTTTTTTGCTTAGATTGTGGGTAGTTTCCTCGATCGTTTTCTTTTTCAAATTCACTTCTTTTGTTTTTGAGGGAGCTGCTCTGAGGTGGCTGCCGAGTGCGCAGTGTGCTACGGATCAGACTCAATCACGCGTTTCACCTTGTTTCGATTTTACTTTCGTCGCGTATGGAAAGTAGCTGTTCTTTATTGAAAATTCAGAATTTTCAGCTTTAGCTGGTCTGCTCGAGACTCACGCAAGTATCACGTGACCACGGCAGAATACAAAAATCTGAAATGGCGAAAAAAGGGATGCGCTCATCAAATATTATCGATATCCCGCTGCGATCGATACAGAATCAATAGAAGAACATTTATACTCATGTTACTCATTCACCGATAGCATTTATTTTCGCTTGCAGATTCGCGTACTAAAACACTCCATAGTCGGTCAAGTTGTGCTCCGCCACCATCGACAGGGGCCGCTGAGTAGGAGCCCGGTTTCGGTTAGTTCCGCGACGTCTTTGGCTTGCTTTTCAAACGTTTCACAATTCGAAACATCATCAAAATATAGATTTATCCCTCGGGTAATGTCAGTTGAATTTCTATCCCTATCTATATCATACAGGACTCACATATAATACCTAATGAATGAACATAAGTAATATTATAATAATATCATTATTCATCATCATTTTAGAATTTTGAATTTGCAAACAAAATTGTGGCAAAAATTGGAAGATAAAAAATTTCGACTCCTTGTCTGAATTAATTATACTTGTTATAATATTCTCGATGCGAGCGTGATTCTCACGTGATAGACGGTTCCACTTACTCAAAAGTCTATGAACTTTTGCTTTAATTATCACCGTCTTTTTATATTTCTGTCTGGATTTGTTTTTGTCTTTGCAAAAACGATTCCTGTCGTGACATTTGAAGTGAAGGAGAAGTTAGAGATCTCCGAGCACGTATCTGATAGGTACGCTTCCGTGTCAGAATCTAACAATGTTTATTAGCTAAAAATAAAGTCATAATTTTTACCATCATGATCTGAAGCGTAATCCGTTGAGTGACGAATAAGCGTCTCGAAACGATTGACTTTCCCCAAATTACGATCCACAATTTCGATAGTAGTTTCCTTGCGATTTAGAATAAGTCAGGATAATTGGCTATTGCATACCTCTTCACCCTCGCTAAAGATGAATATGCTTCCTCGTCTGAGCACTGAGACAGATGCAGATAGATCCAAAGCATTTTCTCTAGCTTCGCCGCGCATGACTTTCAAGACCTATCTTGACAAATATTGTTTTTCATACGTTCCTATGAGAAGTTTCTGATCATTCTCTTTCCCGTTGAAAAGCCGCAGTTCACAAAAATGCCTTTTCACATTTCAAAAAACGTTAGAAATCCTTAAAATCCGCTAGAAAATTTCAAATATCATCTCTAATTGGAAATGTAATTTTAAATACAGAACCCATTTGTTTTCGCTTTCAAGCTGACAACCTGCTTTAGCAACATAACTCTTTTTCTCGCGGAACCCTCTGACGACTATAAGCCAGAAAAATTATACTCATCGTAAACTTTTATACAAGTGCATAAAAACAACGAAGACCGCAAATAGTGTGTACATAAGTAGTTCTCAGACAGGCTTGATAAACTTATACAAGCCGTAACCCTAACCCTAAATAATTTATTCACTCGCTAAAACTCTACCCCAACCGCTAAACCGATAGAATAAATTGTCGTTATCGTAGATAAAGATTTTGTTGATAAACTTATTTTTTTGTAGATGAAGCAAAACAAGACCTGTGGGTTGTTTTTGGATGAGTTAGATTTATTAGAGAGGCAATTGATTAGAAAATAGTTTCTGTGAACATCTAACATGTTTGTTATTGGATTTTCAGTGGACATTTTTGGTTCAGAACATGATTTGGTCTAAATCTTCAAGAGGGCCAGTATGACGAAGAGAAGGAGTGAAGAAGGAGCGACGACCTCGCCGGAGCTAACGAGTGTTTCATCCGGAAGTTGAGTGATGCGCCACCCATTACAAAGGTTATTGTCGCAGAAGTTGCAGTAGAGGTCGGCATTTGGATAATCAGGATCACAAGAATTTGAAGAGTATCCTTGCATCAAATCCGTGTATGTTCGTGTCGGAACACATCGACGCTAAAATCCAGTGACGATTCTTTTAAGATACGAAAAATCTTACGCGAAATATGTAATCGTTGTTTTCAAGTTGTCCGAAAATTGTGGCACAAACATTACCAAGCCCACATATCTCAACCGGAACGTCCGTTATTGCTGAAAGTATATCCGCTCTTTCGCAAACAGGGTTGTTGTTGTTAATGCTCTCGCATGTGAAACATGCTTCGACGGTGTCCCCGAAGACTTCTCCATTGTAGCCGTAAGAATCGTTCCACTCAAAATCGTCGCCATCATAACCGTATCTATGATTGAACTTGAATAAAAAAAAACAAGCAATTCTCAGACCCTGTGTAGAGAATATGACGAGGTCTCTTTAGAGCTTTGTATGCAAGATAAGCAGCTGCGGCGGTTTTCGCATTTTTGCTCCAGCCTGATGACATTTTACTTGGCTTGTATGTTGTAGGGGTGTATTTGAAACCATTACTGCTTGTTTTCTAAAACGATTGTCTCCATCGAACTCGCAAATTTTAATGGACATACCGATGGAGCTCTTGAACTGGAAGATCCTTTTGAACTAGACGATCCTTTTGAACCCGAAGAACCTTTCGATCCGCTGGTTCCTCTTCCTCCGCCACCTCGTCTTCCTTCAGCACTGGACGCGAAGAATATCAAAAATGAGAGCAGTATCTTCATTTTATTCTTCTCTCAGCGCAAATGAGCTTCAATTATTCTTGCGAGACCCCGAGGCCCTCTTACTCCACTGAATCGTAAATCGTCGTCACAATAGATGAAAGAGCAATTGTGAATGATTGCGCTGATTCAGTTCTATCTTTTCATAAACTTTAGTTTACTAATTATTATTAACCGCAAGAGGTCTTATTTTCTAGGCAACAATGTTCTGTATAAGAAGTGGTAACCAACGACAACATAAACTCACATATCATAAAATTGTCAATTCTGAATTGACCATGAATGTGGTTCACAAGAATTTTTGGAATGGTGTATGCGCTGGTTAGCGTTTCGAATGCCGTCGTTTCTCGGCGATTGCTATCAGTCTCTGCCGGGTCTCAGCGCGCTCAGAGTTTCCTCGGACTCGTGGAGTTATAGTTAGAGAGAGAAATGAAGCTCGGGACGGCCCTGCTTTCGTCTATAGCTGCTCAGAATCTGAGGTGGGAAGCAGCACAGAGTTCACTTCCAAGTGGACTAAAAAGCTGCACACGACATCGACAACGTCGATATGCTGGAGATGCGCGAGGAAATATTTTCGGTGGCACCGTCGCCAGTGAGAAAGCATGGCCTTGGATCGCTCCCATTTCTGAAAATGGTGAGTTCAAGTGCACTGGAACAATCATTGACGACGAGTGGATCCTAACTGCAGGACATTGTTGTGCCACTGGCAATCCAGCTGATGTAAGTATTTAACTAAGTATCTAACTCGTGATATATCGTATAACGTAAGTTGTATTTAGGTATACCTAAATTATACCAAAGTCATTTTTTGTTAATTATAAAAAATTAAAATAAATCATTAGTTCTCTATCAATATTGGTCGAAGGAGTTTGTTATACTCCGATGAACCGTGGTCATTTTCTGTCTCGCCAAAGGCATTTTATGTTCCTGACGACTTTGGTGTGGGTCTCGGCATCCATAATGACGTCTGCCTTCTCCAAGTGCCCTCGCTCAATGATGCGAAGCCGGCTGCGTGTCGTGACTGCTTCGAGCACGCTTGTCTTGCTGAGACAGCTCCTAAAGCTGGACGACACTGCTGGGTCGCTGGCTGGGGAAATCTCGCAAAGGACAAGCTCTCACTCAAACCACGTGATGTCGCTTTGAACATTATGCCCGGAAAATACTGCGAAGCGAACAGTAGACTCACGGATACCTTTGGAGAGTTTCCTATCGGAGACAAAAGCCAGTTCTGTGCCGGTATTCCAGATCGTAATGGTAACAAGCTAGTCGATGGACATGAAATCGCCTGCCAGGTATGAAGATAAAAATAAACGAGGTGATTTAATATATCGGTATTTTAACCATTTATAAAAAGGGTGATGGTGGCAGTCCTTTGGTCTGCATCGATGGAGATTCCGCTGTTGTACACGGTCTTCGTTCATGGGAGTCGACTGCTCCGACGAAGGTCAACCTTCTGTCTTCGCATCAGTCAACACCCAAATTGCTTGGATCGACAGTGTTATTGCTAGCGCAGAAGAAGCCGCTGCAAATGAAAAGAAAGAGAAGAGTTTCGAAGTTGCGCCTACACCTGCGTGGGGATTCGAACCTGGCTCCGAGAGAATTCCATCAAAGTTATCTGAAGGTTGTTCAAATGACGTCGAGTCTGGCTTCGGTTTCGCGAGATCGCGTTTTATGGGAGTAACAGCTAAGAGAAACACTTATCCCTGGATGGCGAGAATTAACCTTTGCCCCGGTGAAGGTGATTGTTATCGCTGTGCTGGAACTATTATCAGTGACGATGCTATTCTGACTTCTGCTTCCTGTTTTTATGGCGACTTCGAGAAGATTGTGGTATTTATCTGAAACTCGTAAAAAATAGCAAGCTATAATACCTGTTTAGATTCGAATCGGCGACCACAACCAGAATAAATTCGAGAAGGGAGAATTTTACGTCAATGCGTTAGGATGGGAAGCCCACCCAGATGCTCTTAACGGTGTCAATCTTGCCATCGTGAAAGTCGAAAGCCTAGAGGTACGCAACTGAATGTTATTTGAGACAAGATTTATCAAAGGAGAGCGCACCGGCGGTCTGTAATCGTCAGAACTGTTACAAAACTGCATGTTTGCCCGACAAAGACGCATACGCCGGGCAAATGTGCCATGTGCCCGGATGGAACAATAATTACGACGATTCATCGGCCGTTCTCCGCGAGAGCGCGGTGAACGTTTATCCAGCTGACCACTGCACCCTCACATCTACCTATGCTGATGGCGATTTCGATTCGTAAGTCGTATAGAAGTATTTATGAGTAAAAATATCTAGAGAGAAAGAATTCTGCGCTGGAAATCCAAACTGGCAGACTGACGACGAGTCTTCGACTGGTCGATGTCCCGGAGATGCGGGAAGCGGTTTGATTTGCGACAATGGCTACGGACGACCGGTTGTTTCTGGAGTAATGTCTTGGGGTGTTCAATGCGACACTGCTGGAAATCCGTCAGTATTTTCCAAGGTACTTAAGAGAAAAAACTCAAGCAAAGATAATCAAGATTTGATAATCAGTGTTTAACATGTCTATACTAATCAAACAGCCCACGCCTGACGCTCTGAACAATTTTTATCTAGTCCGATAGATGTAGCGGGGATTCCCCGGATTCGCGTTCTTCTGAATCATCATGCCAAGGATATCGGGGAGCATATCTATAATAATTATCTAAAGTATCTTAATCCTCGGAACAACAACGATAATAATGACCGTATTGTAAAAACAGCTAATCGAGGTTAGAAACGGGCCGCCACTTTGACTTTCCGCATAAATATGGTTCATAATAATTCATTTGAATTTCCCATCTAAGAAAATTCTTTAGGTCGCAGCTCATACAGAATGGATCCGAAACACGATGAAGACCCTCTAACTGGACGAAACCTGAATGAAACACTCTTGTAGTAATAAACTGTAGCCTAGTTGAGGAGGGGTTGATCAACATCTGCTGAACTGAGGAAATTATAAAATAAATTATTTTTTCAGCTCAACATCTTATCAAAAGTGAATTTATTCAGAAGGATACTTCCACAGTCGCAGGCGTATAAAAATGAGAAGTTCTAATTTCGCAAAGTAAAAAAGGCAAAGAGAGCGAAGTTGAGCGCGATAAAAACCCCGCTCACAATTCCTGCAGCTGCACCAGGGCTCATTCCATCAGAGCTTTTTCCAAGCTATGAATTCAGATAGGTATTGATAATTTTTTTTCGATTTACCCCAGGCATGTAACATTTCTTCTTTGCTGTTGGATCCCAACAGCATTTTAGAAGATTGCAAGAGCGCTCGTCGTGTCCGTCAGGGCAAATTTCTTTGTCAGCTTCTGGTGTGCCTAATCAATTTTAACTTTACGAAAATACACTAAGTGACTTACTGACGCAATTAGAGTACATTCTTGAAATCTGGCAAACGTATCCCATGTAGTCATCTGCGCAATAGGCATCGTTCCAATAGCCATCATTACGAAGGTGGACACAATCTTCAGCAACACCCTTATCCATTTCAATAAGCAGAAATTTCACACAAATCTTTACCTGCCACTCTCCAGATGGTTCGCCTTGTGACCACTTTGTATACAGAAACTCCGTATTATCGGTCCATACAAAGGCGTTGTTTGGATTTCGCCTAGCCCCAACCCAGAAATCTTTCTATAATGCCCAATTATAATTATGGATGACCTTCTACTAGTAGAGTGTAGACTTACGTCCGAAAGAGATTGGTAGAGTGCTTTTACTTCAGTATTTTTGGTTTCAGAGTGAATAGAGACCAAGTGGCCAGTTCCATAATGCCAATGCGAGCACTTGCCTTCGGCTTCGAACCTATAATAAAAATAACAAGGAGATATATTTAAAAAATATTGCCAGTTGAAAGAGTCAGTTCCTGCACGAACACAAACATGCTCGTCAGAAACGAGGGCAGTCCAGCCAGTTGGGCAGTCTAATGGTTCTCCTCTTTTGTCTTCCCAGTGATCTGGATTAAAGTCGAGGTCTTCAATGTTTAATTTGCAAACGTATGGGTATCTCTTTTTGAGAGTTTTAAAAATAACTTTCACGCCAATACATAATTGTTGTCTCCGTAAAATGTGAAACTGTTCCTGTTTGCAATCTTGATCGGCAATTTTCCAAAAACCAGTCGGTACTTCCATGAAGGCGCATGCTCTTGATCCATCTTTTGGGATGATATTTCCATCAGGTTGCTTGCTTCCCCAATAATCCACTTGGTACAAGAAGCCATCAAGCCACTTTCCATTGACTGCTCCATCTTTGTCCTGTCGAATTTCAAGGCCAATCCATGGACCAGGAGTATTCTCAATGTAGATTTAACATGCTAAGAAGATATGCTTTAATCCTCACGATAGTTCCTTTGTTAAGATCGAGCGTTTTATAAAACATCGACCTGATGAAGTTGAACTCGTGATCATCAATGATCGAGGCTAATTTCGCACGTTTATCTTGTGCCATACAATCAGCTAAGAAAATAGTTTTTGTTTGTCTATAACGAATAACTACCGTTGGCATCATCAAACGATTTATGACCGGATTCTTGAGCTCCTTCCAACTTATAGCAGAAGTGTCGATAAGGTGTCCAACCATCAGGGCAATTAAGTGGATTCGGGCCAGTCCCTGATTCCATAGGGTCGACGACGTGACTGCACATGTAAGCTTTATTTAGTTATCAAAAATTACAACTAACTCAAATTGTTTTTGAATGATTTTAATCTAGGAACGACTCGATCAGTTTCAACATCAGAATACTGAAATGATACTATGCCTTTATGGTGATCGACCCAGATATCGTTCCAAGATCCTGCTTTTGATCCAAACTCGTAATTTGTTTTGGCATACATTTCAACGCCATTTTCACCAGACAGTTCGCCTATCGGAGTTTGAGATATATTCGATAATAGTTAATAAAGTGTTTACCGTTTGGTTCACCAGGAGCCCAGTTTGTGAAGCTCATTTTGCTACCATCCATCCAGTGAAAATAGTGATCTTGGTTGGATGTTTTCTCCGCTCCGATCCATGTTGTTACTCCAAGCTCGTGAAGCTGAGAAGTAGCGAAGTATTGGTAGTAATGGTTATGAAAAACAGCAAGAGTTGATCCTGGCCAGGCAGCAACACATGCGGCCTTAGCATCAGCGAGATTTTTCCAATGAGCGTCCTCGCCGTTCATTTGTTTGCCTCCAAACGATTTGAAACAACCGTTCCCGAACTTGGTCCAGCCAGTCTTGCATCCACCGCTCGCGGACTCCCATGGGTCCGGAGCAGGATGAATTTCAGAGGTGTAGGCTTCACACATAAATCTGTAAGGCTTGGAGCAGTTATCGTCGTTCCACGTGTAGCTACTCCAGTGATCACCCTTGGTCACACAATCCTCTCCATCGCCAGCATTATTTGGCTCTCCATCACCCCAGCTGAAGAACACGTTTTATACTGTAGGCGAAAAAAGACTATTCTGAACGCACTTGGTATAATCGATTGGTGACAAATCTGCCCAGTCAAACTCGCAATTTAGACAATGATTTCGAAGACCAATCCAGTACGTTTCTTCTTGTCGCAAATTTGATTGTTCAATTTTTTGTTCCTGTGATTGAGAATGGATAGATGCGAGCATTCCTCGACAGTAGACTGGGTTGCTACAACCATCATGCATCGGAACGATATTTTGGCATGACTTTCAAGCTTACAGATTTATGCTTTTTTAACTCCCATAATTTGTCGCCTTCTTCATCTCTAATAAGCCTTTCCTGCGCTGCATTTGCCCACGTTTCAGCTCTATCAATAAAGTAGACACACTTGTCATAATCATTTACTCCCCCTATTTTGATATTACTTCAACTGCTTTTTACCTATTGGCTATTGCTTACCTTGAAGAAATAAGCCTTCATACTGTCGATTATTATCTTGCATATCGACAACTGGATTACAGACAGCAGCATGGCTGCTAGCCCCACCAGTTAGTACCAAACTGGTTAGTTTCATCTTCAAAAATTCTCGAGTGAACTGAGATCATAAAACACTTTCATGGAAGGCATCATTTGTGAAAGTTAAACATGCCGACCTCAAGTGCGACTTTTGTATGTGTTATTGACTGATACCAATAGAATGCATTATGCAGACCATTGTTAGCGCCGCGAAACTACTCGAACTACTTTTCATAGCTCAGTAAAACCGCATTAATTCATTGCTCAACCTGCTGTTTTGAAAATAAATAAATAAGAATTGTCTTTTTTAATTTTTTGGATTTATATTTTTATTCAATTCAAACATATCTATATATCATTCTAGCAGTATTTAAAAAGGCGCTTCACAGAATCATATATACCAATTTAGTAAATCTAAGGCTATGGCAGGAGTCGAGTCGCTACAACAATTGCAGCCGCCACTGGTTGCTTGAATTACTGGATCTCTTCGAAGTCGGGAGATTTTGCCTCGTTGGGCATCTTGTAGACCTAAATATCGTTTTTAGTCAATAAAAGATATTGCTTATTACCTGGAGTACGGGCATTTTAGGGCGGTCAGCCGGGATAGTGTCATAATCGAGTTCCTTGTGGCTACGGCTGAGCCAGTTGTAGAGAAAGCAGTCGTCGATGAATTTCCAGCTGTAAGGAGTGAGCACTTTGGGTCGGACCCTGAATTCAGCACGCATCTGGTCTAGTCTATCTCTTTCGCGTCTCTCGGCAGCAGTTCGAACAATTGGCCTCCATGCGTATTGAAGAGGCCGAGTATTCTTCGGCAGACCGTATGAATCACGGAGATTCGAATACCAGGATGGAGTGAACGCAGGAATACTCTTCTTGTCTAAAAAAACTTTTAAAAACCAAGTGAAATCTTAGAATTACCAAAGAACTCGAGCTCCCTGCAATACTGAGCGATTTCAATAATGGATGCTCTCGATGTGCGATTTCGTGCAGTATTGAAGAGAACTTTGGCTTGAAAAGCGACAAAGCTTTCGAAAGCGGCTCGTTTCGGATTCTCAAGCTTGTTCAAGGGTTCACTTTAGATGAACTTGATTTGTACAAAGCCACAGTAAAGTTCTAAGATGAACCCTTTCCTTATTTCGCTTCGACGTCTTTTTGATATTGTTGCAAACTGCAGCAGAGATCGGCTTGCCGAGTTCCCTTTCCGCCCACTCGCAAAGATCGGCTGTTTTCATCTTTGGTTCCGTGGAGTCGTACTTATCGCGGATGATTTTCTTCATCTCGTCCGTAAGGGTGGGTTTTGGCATTTCGATGATTCGAGTTTTCAGACTAAAATAATCATTTGGTTAGATTTTAAATTGAAAGAGCAGTTTTAATAGACGGAGTGAGCTACAAGCGTGAAAATATGGATATTCGAAGGCGCTTGATGATAATTGATAATAAGTATGAAAAATAATTCAAATAGAAAACAAGGAAGACTTTAATCTTAATTATGAGCTTAGCAAGTGTAACAATAGTTTTATAATTAGACAAACATCATTATATTTCATTCTTCCGGCTTATCATAATATTAGAAAGGAAACTAAAATGAAGGAGATTTTAAGCGCAACACTTATTTAGTATACTGAGGCAATGGTATGAGTAGGGACTATCACGGGAGCGCGAGGGCCCAATTTTCGCTTTCCCAACTACCCGAAATAGCCATCCGTTTTTCTTGATTTTTCAGAAAAAACATGTTTTCTTACCTGCTGATTCCAAATATGATCGAAAAATTGGCAAAAAATATTGAATATTATGAAAAACATCGAATTTATCTTTCAAAGATCGAAAAAGTATAGAGCTCGTCTTGCCTCGTCATTCTTTTTTCGATATGTTTTCTATCAGACCCTTTTTCTTAATCTCTCAAAAAATAAATTTACTTGGTTCTACTAGTCGGCCACAATCATCAGATAACTAAGTAAAAGTGACGGCGCGCTAGTGCTTTGCACGCTGCGCGGGGAGCCCGAAAAGCATTAACGCGCGCCATAATCTCAGTGGGTGCTTGCTTTGACCCAGTACACGGAATCAGATGCAAACAATACCGGGTGATTAACACAAAAAAGTTCCCGGAAGTCCTAAGCTTCATGTTTGCAAAGAAATTTTCGAAAAATAATAAGCAAGTGACCCAGAAAACTCGGGTGAAAAATCGGTCAGCTTTAAGAGTAGTCTTGAGTTTGTCTTCCGCAGCATTATCCGATCAAAAAGATTTTGGTATCATCAGAATCAGCTGAAAAATCCATACTTTTAAGGAAATTTTTACGAAAATCGAAGGGCAGTCGTTTTTCCGTGAAAGTCCCTAGGTATGAGTCTTGTCGCTACAACAATCGCAGCCGTCATTCGTTTTTTGAGTTACTGGACCTCGTCGAAGTCGGGAGATTCTTCCTCGTCGGGCATTTTGTAAACCTAAATTGATAATTTTAGATAAAATATAAATTTTTATTTTACCTGAAGTGGGGGGCCTGCCTCTGGCACTTCTTCAGGCTTTGTGAGAATCTGATACTGGAGTTTATGATCTTCTTCCTTGAGCTCATTGTAGCTAAGGTTTGAGCAGCCATTGACCCAGTGGTAGAGATACTTCTCCTCGATGAACTCCCAGCTGTATGGAGTGAGGACCTTTGGCCGGACCTTGAAATCTTCATACATCTGAAAATATCTCTGTATCGCACGTTCCTCGTCATCATTTCTTGGAGCTCGATACTCCACATGATCCAAGTTGAGAGCTCGCGTATTTTTCGGAAGTCCGTATGAATCTCGCAGGGCGGAATACCAGGTTGCTGACAAAGCAGGGATTTTTTCACCATCTGAGAAAATTCTTACATTATTTATAAAAATCTTAACTCACCAAAGAAATCCAGTCGACTGCAGTTCTTGGCGAGTTCAATGGTGTAAGCTCTTGAAGTGTACATCCGTTGTTCGTTGAAGGAGACTTTCGCTTGAAATGCTACGAATTCATCAAATGCTGCCTGTGATGGATTCTCTTGCTTTTTTAAGGGTTCACTCTCTATATAGGCAGTTCCCAGAAGTTTCTACACCTTAAGTTAAATATAAAACCAGTCTGAGATAAACCCTTTCCTTGTATCTCTTTGATGTCCTCTTAATAGCATTGCAGACTGCAGCTGAGACGGGTTTACCAAGCTCCTTCGCCGCCCACTCGCAGAGGTCGGCTGTGCTCATTTTAGGCTCCGTATTGTCGTACTTTTTAGCGATGATCTTCTTCATGTCGTCAGTAAGATCGGCTTTTGGCATTTCGGCGATTCGACTAAAATATTTTATTATTATAATCCGGATGATTAAATTTAAATAAAATGATACGCTACCGCCAGGTGAGCTACATATTATATGCCTGTATGCTATTACTAATAGTCTATTAGCCTATATGATATAGCGCTACCAACCTTGTTAGGATATCCGAGCCTTGGATTCCGATGGGGCTCGAGGAAAAGCCGTTGATGAAAAAGTCTCTTATTCCTCAGTTTAGGTTTTACCTCAGTTTAGGGTAGCTGCAGGCTATAACCTTTTTGGATTGAACCTGCGTGGTTCCGGTGCACGCGCTTGTAACTGGATGCTCTCGGGCGCCTTTGACACCTTCCGCTGCTTCCTGATGGATTTCGAAAGTAAGAACGAACTGAAATCCAATCATAGACAGGCACTTCAAGTATCGGGCAATGATCCGCGTTTCGACTCAGTTCGAGCGAGAGAGAAACGATTCAGTGGGAAGCGCCCACCATTCAGCCATGAGATTATCCCTTCGACCTTTTTCACTTCAACTTTTAATATAATTACGACGCATACAGATACTAGTGTTAGAAAGATCACCAAAAAAAGATCAAAATTTTGCGAGTCGACTGTAAATTTCATTTTTCATATTACTGATGATAAATATATAATTGAAAACAAGGAAGACTGACAGTCTAAAAAAGTGAATAGTTAGGATTCTTTTTGATCATTTCGTCTTATTTATTTAACATGCTAACAATAGGGTGCCGATGTAACTCTACAGCAGGGTTAAAAAAGGAAGAGAGATTTAGCAGCAACAGTTCTACAGTATACTGAGGCCAGGGCAGGATTCTAGTCGCTACAACAATTGCAGCCGCCATTCGTTGTTTGAGTTACTGGATTTCGTCGAAGTCGGGAGATTGTCTCTCGTAGGGCATTTTGTAGACCTGAATCAAGTTATTTAGAGAAGAAGGGTTTTTAACCACTACCTGGAGTGGAGGACCCTGTGGGCGTTCCGTGAGGAGAAACTTGAGGCTCTCGTCCTGGAGTTTGCTGAAGCTAAGGCCGGAGTCGGAGTTGGCCCAGTTGTAGAGATATTTCTCCTCGATGAATTCCCAGCTGTAAGGAGTTAGCACCTTGGGTCGGAGTCTGAAATCAGCTTGCATCTGGATGCGTCTGTCTTGTGCTCGTCGCTCGGCAGCGGTAGAAGGAATGGCGAAAAAACCTCCAGTCAGAGCTCGGGCATTTTTCGGGAGTCCGTAAGAATCGCGGAGGATGGAAAACCAGTTTGAATTCAAGGCAGGGATGTTTTCTTTCTCTTGGAAAGATTTCAATATGAATAATTATAAATGCTGAAAATTACCGAAGAAGTTGATTCCAGTGCAGTACTTTGCGATCTCAATGATGTCAGATCGGGAGGCGTATTGCCGTTGGGAGTTGAAGGAGACCTTCGCTTGGAAGGCAACGAATTCCTCGAAAGCGGCTCGTCCAGGATTCTCAAGCTATTTCAAGGGTTCAAAATTGATAAACTAGCGGAGATACTAAAATGTTAACTATCTCTTATGTTGACAATAGAGTAGAATAATATGAACCCTTTCCTTTTCCCGCTTCGACGTCTTTTTGATAGCGTTGCAGACTGCCGGAGAGATCGGCTTGCCCAGCTCCTTCGTTGCCCACTTGCTAAGATCAGCCGTTTTCATTTTAGGTTCGGTGTTATCATACTTTTCACGGATTATTTTCTTCATCTCGTCAGTAAGGGCGGCTTTTGGCATTTCAAGGAGTCGGATAATCAAACTTAATAAATTTGTATGACTTCAAATTAAATGTTTTGTTCTTTTCAGATTCAGAGGCGCTTTTATGAGACACAGTGAGCAGCATATAGCGCCACCAAGCTTGGTGGGGTATTGAATCGCAGGTGATCAGAATTCTTAGTTTCACAGCGGGGGACCGGAGTAGTAAACGCTTATCAATGATAATCAGTGAATGATTACTTCCAGCGATAAGTCAAGGGGAAGAAAGGAACCAAACAAGAACTCACTAAGACTGAGTCATTCCTCGTCATCAGCGTCTTATTTGCATTTCCGTTGCATTTGGATGCCAGTGTTCTTACTCTAATGCTAGTTCTAGGAATATGAAAACAAAAATAGATAAATTAAACTCCTCACTTGGATAGAGTTATCAAAATGATCTCTTTTGATTCGAAATGTATGAAATTACCATTTGAAATTTCGTCGAAAACCGTTATTCGCTAACAACAAGGACCAATCAGAATCAGTTTTGACACGAAAAAAAGAGAAATGACTGTTGAAAAATTTAGAAAAGCAGCCACCTTAATTCTTACGACCCCGCTGAAGGAGGGCATAAATAAATAAGGCATACTTCATAAATTTGTCAGTAAATATCTAAGCTCTATTTTAATTATGCCTTCTCAAAGCATAAAGTGTATCCGTGCGACTATGGTGTGGTTATGCTCAAGCGTTCTGCGAAGCTTCGTTTTATGGCATCAACCTATGTGTTTCCTGGCGGAGCAATTTCTTCTATTGACGGAGACTCAAAGTGGATGGAGTTCTTCCCTCCATCGACAATTGGCGAGCTGACTCCACCGAGTGCAAGGAGCGTTCCACGACCGAAACTATTCCGATCCGATCGGGAAGAAGCGGTTTCAAGAGACTTATCGCTTAGGATTTCGGCGATAAGAGAGTGCTTCGAAGAGTCAGGAATCCTTCTTGTTGAGAAAGATGGAAATCTTATTCAAGGAAAGGGTAAATTGTTAATGTTTTGTGCACGTACATAGTTCAAGATTGACTAGAAAAGGATAAAAACCCGAACATAAAGGAAAACACCTGCCGTCTAAAAGCGAAATATCAAAGTGGCGGAAATCAGTAGAAGGCTCAGCGTCTGAATTCTTAACGCTATGCAATGAGTTAAATGCGCGTCCGCTTGTTGAAAATCTCTACGAGTGGTCTCACTGGCTTACTCCCCCCTCAATCCTCCCCTATCGTTTCGACACTGCCTTTTATTTATCCTCAATTCCATTTCTGCCTGATTATGCAACCGAAGATGGCGGAGAAACTGTAGACATGCAGGTTATGAACCCGTTCGAAGCACTTGCGAAGCAAGAAAGGTCTGAACACATTCTTCATCCTCCTCAATTTGTGGAGATTTCCCGACTAGCAAGGTTCCAGAAGATGGACGATCTATTAGGAAAAGTTGCATGTGTTTACTGAGTGAAGACTATTCAATACTTTAAGTAATTCAATATAACTATTAATTTTTTTTGCAGCGTTTACGAGAATATGCAGAAAAACGACAAATGCTTGGGACAAATTGCTGGTGTCCTGTTCAGCGTTGGACGGACAGCGCTCGACTTTCGCTGATGGAGAGTGACGAGCTGCATCCGCTCGAGCTAAAATTGTTCGGAGATGTTGAAGGAACTACAGACGATTCAGAGGAAGAGCTAGCATCTGAAGCCCACAAACTGGCTCGCACAGTTTGGACTTTCACACAATCAGACGAGAAAGGTTTCAAAATGGGACCGATGTTTACGCGATCCAACCAGCAGTTCTTCAGCAATAAAACGATGGTAAACTCGGCTATGGATCGAAGTGAATTATTAGCAAGAATAGAAGCAGCTGAGAACGGAGAATTTTTGGATGCAAACGATGCAAGTGGTAAATTGTGTTTCAATATAGCCATTGTCTTACATTTTTTTATAGATGAAATTCTCAAGAAAATACGTGATTTGTAAAAATCTTCGGAATCAAGTAAATCCACTGCAAAACTGTTCGAATAAAAATGATTAAAACAATTTATTTTTCTCAAGATATGAGTGTGTTTTGTTATTATTGCTTTTGCAGATGATATCCGAAAGAAAGGGATGAGCGGCATCGCCCGAGGTGATGCCTTGTCGGGTTAGGTTGTGCAGCAGATACGAGGAGGGGAGACAGAGTCCTTCATTTTTTCGATTTTCTTATCGAGCTCAGTTTGTCGGAGCAGAAATGGGGACTGAAACAATGCACTCTGTCTTTATTGGGAACTTATCTGATCACGCCCGTCATGAAGACATAGAGAAGTTCTTCAAGGGCTACGGTAGTCTGCGGGATATTTCACTCAAGGGAGGCTACGGTAAGCGGAGTTTACGAGACGATAAACAATCATTTTTTGAAGGGTTTGTGCAGTTTAAGGACAAGTACGACGCTAAAGACGCAGTACAAGATTTGGACGGTAAAGACATTTGTGGACAACGAGTTCGCATCGAACTTTCCAATGGCGGGCGAGACAGAACTCGAAGAGGACGAGATTCATATTCCAGATCTCGTAGTCGATCAAGAGATCGCAACGGGAGGTAAACATCTGGGAGAAGTCAATTAGAGACTTCTCCCATTCAGTTTTTTTGAACGGCAAGAGTGTAACTAGTTAAATTCAGGTACTCTCGATCGACAAGTAGATCACCCCGACGGAGCTATTTTGAGCGAACAGCTTACAGAAAATACGGTGCTCCGCGAAAAACCAAGTACGCAATCGAAATAGAAAATCTTTCCGATCGAGTTAGGTAAGCTTCATGCCAGCCAGTAGAAAACTGTCGATTTAAATAATTGTAGCTGGCAAGACTTGAAGGATTTCTTCCGTCGTGTCGGCGAAGTGAGCTACGGTGAAGCCCACGATAGGATGCGATGTGGGCCTGGACGTGGAATAATTTGTTTTGAAACGGGTTTCATTTGAATTAATTAGATAGAATTAAGTACATACCCTTGAGTGAATCTTGTGTATCCAAAGAAATCAGTGAAACCCAAGATCAGAACGTCGACGCGATATGGAAAAGGCGATAGAGCAATACGACGGGTACAAGCTCAAGGACAAACGAATGGAAATTCGAATATCGAACCAGGGCTCGCGCTCCCGTTCGCGATCGAGATAACTTTCCAATATTACCTTTTCGATTTCCAAGCCCGGTTTCAACCCGAAATCCGCCATTCACCCCTCACGCCATGCCTCACGCGCCTTTGACAAACCAGTTGATTAAATACTCCCTTTTTTCCACTAAATATATCAGAATCAGAACTATAAGTTCCTATATGATGACGCCAGATAGCTTACAAAAGAATTATTTTGGCCCTGAGTTACTAACCTTCACGCCTTCCATCTTCCATCTTCCAATGTCCAGTTCCAGCTTTTTCTCAAATACTGTTACAATAAAAATTCCGCATTTCAATTGACTTTTTGCTGATCAAACGCAAAAATATATTTATTTCTTGAGTAGCAGCAACTCAAAGAAATATGTAAATTTTAACTTTGATGTTTTGAAAATTTCACACATTAGGATCTCGCTAAAGTCTTTGACAGCTGACAGCTACTTCATGCTCTGTCGAAAAAGAAGAATTTTTTCACTTATCGTCGCAACTTTGAAAATGAGAATATTTGTGTTCTTTCTGATAAGAGAAGTGCTTGCAAAAACCTGCTACACACAGATGAGAGATTTTTCTGGAAAGCCGATGGCATCTCTGTGTTCGGCGAAGGAAAGCTCAAGAAAAAAATAGAAGAACTTGACATGATAATAATCATGAGCTTCAAAAAGGAGGAAGATTTAAGTGTTTTAAAAGAGGCGGAAGCGGCGACAGTAGTCTTTACGTCTCAATCAGTGACTGGCTTATAAGTTTATCGACTTCTCGAAACTGTCGGATTATATCTTAGGTGATTTCATGGCTCGTTGCGCTAGAAATGTTTGCAAAAGTGATTTCTTGTGAAAGGTTTAGGTGACTTCCATAGATGTTTAAAATGGATTAACAACGAATTATCAAACATCTCAGGCGTGAAATCAACGTCTTCTAGTCTAGTTTCGGATTTTTCATTATATAAATAAGCCAAACAAGACGAACATCATCTCTCTGAAAACCTTGAAAATGTACGACAGTTAACAGTTGCTGGACGAGACAGGCCGCTTTTATACACGAATTTTCCAAACAAACTCAGCCGCCTCACCCTGGAGCACTTAGCCATCACAAGCTCGATATTCAAGACAAAGCTCCTTCGACCAAAGTTAAATGTGCTTGACTTGTCGAAAATTTCCTTTGTAAATTCGGAGGAGCGGCTGGATTTGAGCGGCTTCAGAAATCTTCGTAAGATAGCTGTCACCAATTCGAATTTGAAGGAATTACCGCGGTTTTCAACCGCCGCTCTCGCAATAAACGGATCTTTTAATCCACTTGGACAAATAGGAAGAGATGTATTCCGAGGACAGGACATGGGATAGAGGAATTTATGACGGTAATCAGACAAAGCGAATCTTGTAAACTTTACAAGTATCCCCGCTAAGAGAAACAATCTCATCGTCATCCTACGGAACTGTAGTCTAACTTCCGTCAACAAGAATTGGGCGCGTGACTTACAACAACTAGAATACCTTGATCTTTCTCGAAATCTGTTCACAAAGCTTTCACACTGGATGTTTTCTGGCCTGCGCTCCCTCAAAGTACTCATGCTCAACGAGAATTTCTTCCTCAGGTCGCTTGCCACACCGAGCTGGAGATCCACGCCAACACTGAGCCATTTACTTTTAAACGGCTGCAACGTATCGTCAATAGAACCTCTTAATGAAGTTGTCAGATCACTGGAAGCTATTTGGCTATTCTCTAACCCCGTTGAATGCGATTGCGAGTCTGTTCCTGTTTTGCGAAGCATTATAAACCAAAATGTAACAAATTTCAATCGACCTTGCAATAGACTTCGATTATTTAGATAACGCTCGACAGTTCAACCCTTGAATTTCATGGTAAACGCTTTCGCTTCAACAAGAACTTCGCCAATGTTGAGCAAACTTCCTGTCTACTGGTAAACTCTCCTTATGTTGGTACGTATATTTGATTCATTTTCGAGTTAACGAGCAATTTCAGAAGTTAAAAAACTGTCAGAAGTGTCCGCCACAGATTTAGACTGTCGCGCAGCCGTCTTCAAGCGACTTTGGCTTTGCTTTTTCATCATTTCCGCGCTGATAGGCACGATAGGTAGATATAGAACTTATTTCCATGATGCGATCAATGTCATGTTTCAATTTTGCTCGCATGTGCGGAGCACTGAAAAAGCCGCTTCATGAATAGAGTGGATCAAATTGTGACCTTCCACATCTTTGGCATTGGAAACTGCGATCGATTGAGCGAAAAAATGAAAAGTAACCTTTCAGTTGTAACTTCTGTGATGGGATACACCTGCTACATGTGCGACGCTGTGCGCCGAGCGGTGCGGAAGAACAACCAAGATCCCGAGGAAGACTTGTTGCTCAACTCCAGAGCTTCTTCTCAGCGTGAGAGCGTGCGGAAGTACCCAAAACGGAATGCACGTGCTTCGACTGACGGTAATTAACAGCTGTGGACAAATATGAAAGCTTTTTTTAGTGTTTAGCGATGGCAACTTGATTTCCCTGACACCGATCACTGTTTCGAACATTCGCTTTTCGCAAAACTCTAGCATTCAATCTGAAACATGGCATTTGTAAATTGAACATGTGCAAATAAAGTAACTGTCACAGAATTTTCCTCAAACCGTCCAGGCTACAATTCTATCATCGAACTCTCCCGATGCGGGATGACACCATTAGACAAAAAGCTTGCTCCTGGTGAGGCTCGAACTCACAACCTCCGCATCTCTCATGTCTATAAGTACAGCGCGCTAACCGATTGCGCCACAGGAGCTGGAGAGGCGGACGCGAAAACGGCCCTCTAAATCGTAGCCGAGTGATCGTTGCTGGTTTCTCATGCAAATCCAGGAGGACGAGCTTTTCCAACCGTGCGAAATTTTGATTTAAAAGTTCTCATGAGCTACGAATTATGATCACGTGCTGCAGTGTCGCCCGTTGTTTTTATGGCTTGCCTGAAAAGGAAATCCACCTGGCGGATTGTCGCAGTCAATCTCAATTCAGAATAATTTTTGAATTTATTTTTGTCTTGTGATGTCTTAACCGCTACTTTTCGGTCGAATATTTTTTGCTGATAAAAACACTGTCTCGGTACTAAATCATTAGTGGTATTAATGATTTATTACTCGAATTAATCCATTTAACATTCGACCCAGTGTCGAGACAGAAAATGATACAGTAACTGTAAAATTGATTTCTCGTGAGGTCTATTAACTCTCAGTCATCGTGAAAAACAGTGCAATCAAATGTTATGCTGCAGTACTAAAATCTCGTGATCCAATAAACAGTTTTTCTCGAAGGCGAACATTCTAGTTTGTACCTTCACTTTTAGCTCAAATAACTTGCCATTAACACCTTTTGGGTCGAGGGAGATATTTTTGGAAATGTACAGAAGATCATACTTGGGTCAACTTTCACTTTGCCGTTTTTATCGATTTGTTCAGTTGTAGCTTCCCGCTCAAGGCCAATACCGTATTGAGCAGCTGTCTTTGAATTCTGTCGCAAACTATCAGAATCACCTAACTCAAATTCAGGTCTGAATTGTAGGGTCAATGTCTGATCTGGGGGGAAAGATTATCAAGTAGGATGGCGGCCGCTCCCTCGTGACGCAGCTCGAGTTTACTCGAAACTCGATCGACGAAGAGTTTGCCCCTTCTATTTTAGGTCTGACCGGCCGGTTCTCTACTGTAGCTTCCCCTTTAAATTATTAGTCTGACATCTGATAGGTTTTCTTTCTCGTTTCGAGGAATACTCCGAAGTCACCACTCAAAACATCATCAGTCCACTTTTTCGTAAACCAGAGCTCGAATCAAACGCCCTATTTTTCGAGTTCGAGACGTTTACAATACTTTTCACGCTAATTCTTTCCTTGTGATAAAAGTATTTGCCTTTTAGAGTGGAAAACGCGCGATCAGACTTTCCAAAGAAAACATTTTGTATATTTGCTGGTCTCGAACGGGCTTTCATCAAAATTAGTTTGTTTCTATTGTCTCGCCCAATTCCAGTATTCAAGCTAGTCAGCAAAAGGCTGCATTCCAGAGGAGTTCCAGTTTCACGGCCTAGCATCGACTTACTGCAAATTACTCTCAGTTTTTTGTTGTTAGCTTTTTTATGAGCAAATATTCTGAGATGAATTACAAAGTTTGAATTGGGCCGCAGGCTGTGACGAGTTCTTGAGTTGTAAAACAAGGGATGAAAACACGGTGAGTTTGAGTCAACGACGTTGCCGAAGAACTTTTATGTGGCGCTTGAAGTTTTGAAAACATCGCATGGACACGCTGCTCGAATAATGATCCCCGTTAGCGACATTTAGATGCTTTCAACAAACAACTATTCAATTCGCCTTTACTGATTAAGTTTTACGAGCTTTTGAAATTCAATGGCTAGCGAATCGGAAATGTCAATTAGATCACTGGAAAATCACGGAAGAGATGTGCGCAATCAGTGATGTGTGGCATAGTTCTAAGATTGCTTTCGGAGGAATCCGGGAACGAACCAGCCGAACGGTGATTTACCGGGTCATTCGGCCCCTGGCTGACCCGCCGAGCTCACTGTAATTACGCTGATTTTAAGTAGGGTAAATAAACAATCGAAGGAGGCAAAAGCTGTTTCTTTTCTAAACTCACTCAACCCAGAAATCGAAGTCACAACACAACAGGGGCTCTTTCTCGGGCACTGTCAAACAAAGGGCAGCCACAAATCTGAAGTTCTATCAGATTTTGCTCGCAGCAGGACAGATTTTCAGTTATTCTTTAAGAAAATACTCCTCCCGAAAACCAGCATTACAGCACCGATTATCAATATAAAATTCGTATCCTAGGCATGTCGCTATATTGAAAGCAATAAAAGAAGGGTATCACGAGCAAAGACATAGGCGAAACGCGTGAGCTGTACCCTGTGATCATGTGTCAATAAAAGAGTTCAACATTTGCGTTCGTATTTGATCTTCGGAAATAAACCCTGGTTTAAAAATATTTCGTGCTTGCTCTGAACATCGCAGTTTAGAAAGAGGTCATTCTTTTTCTTATAGATTATTCGAAAAATTCATATGGATATGAATCATATCATAATATATGATTATTAAACATTGATGGCTAATAAAGCTATATCAAAAAGTGAACGGGGGAGATTTCGATGAAAAGCGGGGAAAGAAGCTAGGAGATCCCCAAGTGGGAGTCCAAAAAGAACAATTCTTTTCAATCAAGTTTATTGTGAGTAGTGACAAAGATGTCCAGACAAAACTTGACCTGAATCCAGTGTCCAGCAAAAAAGGTCACCTGTAAACGGAGTAATCTTCACGAATGAGCTAAATGATAGCAATGAGCAATTATGGCTCGAATGGACATGCCCTGAAACATTTCGTCAGAAGTCGCGTGACTTGGGCAATCGCTAGAATATCTAACCTGTTCGTAACGCACAAGTAACGTGATCACCAGTTTCACCTATCCATTTACGTACTGTAACCGAGCTATTTTTACCGGTTGAAAACATCAACACGAAAATACGTTACGTAACGTTAGTCTAATCAATGATTGAATATAAAAATGAAATGAACTTTTGATTAATTGAAATGGCGAAGATCCGTTGCACAAGAGTCTTTTTTAGCTTTAGCTGGAGTTGGCGCATATAATATGCGGCATATTTCATCATTCAGTGATTCATTCGCCGGTAGAAAACTTTGAACCGGACTTGATGCCAGTGGAGGATCAGCTCCGACGTTCAAATCGGCAAAGGAATCCTCGAATGGCTCTTTCTCAAGTTACAGTAATTGAAGCAGAGTCGACTATAAAATATTATTACAGGAGTTGCTGTTTTAGCGACTCCACGTCAAAGGTAAAATCATCAGATTGGCAATCTGTTGGCGCTGCTGAAAAGAAGATCCAACTTTTTCTTCGGTTCGCATTTCTTTTGCTCAGAACGGAAAAACAGCTCGGTCCGTCGAAATCAAGAAGACTTGATTGATGATCCCAAATTGCGCAAGGGTCTGATTAGCTAGCGAAGTCTACAGACTCCATGAACTTGAGCTTTAAACTTGGAGTTGTTTACGAGCTCGAAATCCTTCTTCTGACTACGTCAATTTTATGAGTTTGCTTTCTACCGTTCTGACTCATCGTAACTGTCTTCGACGCGAGTAACTAGAATAAACGAAGGCTCACCAGATGGATGAAGGAAGTTGTCGAGCAGTGGAGTCAACTCAAGAGGCCGTAATTACTGTAAGTAGAGTTTGATTGTTGGTGAGTCTAGCCCACGCGTGGCTCACCCCTGTGGTTAGCTTTTTTCACGAGAGCTGAGCAGCGCTGCCTTGTTGCTGGCTTTGGTCAATCTCGCGCGCCCACCCACGCGATGCTTTATAATGGACGCGCCGTGCTCTTACTGCTGCTCAACCGTGCCCAGTGAAACTCCGCTCAGGCGTCCCTCTCTCTCTCTCTTCCTAACTCATACCAAACCTCCTTCTTCACAGTTTTGAGAGAAACAGCTCAAACGGCGACCACCACAGCGACTTCGAAAAAATTAAACGCGAAAAAACGACACCTCAAAAAAAAAACTTGCCCAAAAAACAAAAACCAATTCGTTTTTTCGTATCTTCTTAGAGAGAGAGAGTCGATAAAACGGCTCAAGGAAATCTGCGACAGAAAAACAAAGAAGCGCACTTCTCCACCTACCTACGCTTTGACTTCAAGAAAACTTAACTAATCCGAAACTAAAAATGGCCGAAACTATTCCAGGTACTTTGAATTTGATGCCGTGGCTGAGCTGGGCGGAGGGAGGCCCCAATTTAGAACGTGTTTTTCTCTTCGAAAACGTGCTGCAAAAGCATACTCGCTATATTTGTATGTGCTCCACGACGAGGCGAGATAAGGGAAACTATTAACTGCGATGTTTTGCTGTCAATTCTCGCATCGAATCAATTATTCTCGAATCGAGTTTAGAAGGTGAACTTCCGCACTGGTAACAGGCCAGTGACGTCATCACTTCACGGGGAAAATTTCTTATCTTCGACCCTTTTCTTTCTAGTAAGGGACCCTGTGGTGAGCTTTGCACGAAGTTCTAGCCCTTTCAACCTTAAGAGATCCGGTCTGAACTCTATAAACAAACAACTAAGATGCCTAAAAAGCGCAATAAATATTTCAAACCAGAAACATCAAAAATCACTCGTAAAAGAAAAGAGTTCTCGATCGAGCTCTATTTCAAAAAAATGATCCAACCCGATAATATATTTTGATTACTCTCTGGTTAGTAATAACTGTTGATTTCCAGCAACGAACGTGTCGGTCCCACAGCCGATTCCGCAGCGCAAGAGCCGCCGACGGACGCTTTCCTCCTCGGCGTCGACCCGTCCTACCTTCGCTAGCCAGTATTTAATCGACTCGGCTCTTCTCGGCGAAGGGGCCTATGGGAGTGTCTTTAAGTGCACCCACCGCATCACGGAGCTCGACTATGCCGTCAAGATCATCAAGAAACTCGGTCAGAGCGCGCGCAAGGTGAGAAAGTTACTCCATTCTTGGCTTTATGTATCCTTAAACTTGTGTTCCAAACAGCTAACTGACCGGGAGACACTTTTAGGTGAACCGCGAGATCGAAGTCTACCACCAGTGCCGGGAGGCTGAAAATATTCTCCATCTGGTGGAGCTCTTCGAGGACGAGAACAACTTCTATCTCGTCTTTGAGCTCATCCGCGGCGGTAAGTTCCTGGCGCGACCTGAGGCTATGCATTTAACCTTCCACCAGACTCGTCTCGGTTGAAATACAGCCTAAAGTTAACATGACCTAGTCCAGTGCGTGTTCTTTCTCCTTGAACTTGATTTTTCTGGAATCAAAAATGATGTCAAGCATCTTGTTCGAGCGAGTAGACAAGTCGTACTTGATGGTCTCCTCCCTCTTAGCGCGTTAGATTATCCCCTTGCTACTGTCCGTAGCGAGTGACGTCGCCCAGAAGACGCTCGAACATTTCTGACAGAAACTTCTAGGATCCCTTGAAGGCCGCATCGCCGAAGTCTCCGACGGAGGTCGCATGGAGGAGGAGCAAGTGAAGTGTTTGGTTCACGCAATGGCGAGTGCTCTCGACTTCTTGCACAAGAAGGGTATCGCGCATCGGGACGTCAAGCCCGCCAACATCTTGCTTCCTCATCCAGAGTCGGTAAGTACTCCTGTCCTGAATTTAACGAGTCCTCCTCCGTGTTATCAGTTGACTTAACTATTCGCTTCAGATCGAGGGTGCTAAGTTGTGCGATTTTGATCTAGCTTCTCGATCCAAGACCGACTATCGTGGCGACTTGTGGTAAGCCGAAAGCGCGCTTGAATTAGCTCTCTAGGACGTTTCCTTTTAGCATGAGCTCTCCAGTTGGCTCAGCCGAGTTTATGGCACCCGAAGTTGTGGCTGCATTCACTGCATGCGACGACGAGCGTGTACGATACGATAAGTCGTGCGATATCTGGAGTCTCGGCGTCATGGCGTAAGTACATTTTTAACGATTATGAGCAGTTGCTTTTTGCTTATGATTATTTTTGAGATTAACAAGGTCGTTTAGTTACTCGCTTCTTTCTGGCAAGCCACCATTTGAGGGTTCCTGCGGCAAGAATTGCGGCTGGGACGAAGGCGCCAGCTGCGATGATTGCATGGAGCTCCTCTTCCATGCCATTCAAAAGGGAAAGTTGACCTTTCCCGAGAACCGATGGCAGATGATCTCGCCAGATGCGAAGCACCTCGTAAGTTTGAATCATTTTGTAAACAAGCGCCCCAATCTCAACAACACGGTGTAAATGGCGTGATGTTCACTAGTGACCTGTATTTGCGATCACAGTGGAGCGTGCGCCTCATGTGATCGATGCCTTTTGTTTTCAAGAAAAAAACGCGCAAGTGTACGGTCATGCTCGATTTGGTCTGTGTATTTTTCGACTTCGGGTCCCCACCCCCCCGCGTGTGCACACATAATAAGACCAGCGATTTTGAGTCACGCGACTTCCTGCGCGTCAATATGCCCCTCTGTTTTTTTTATGGGCGACACAAGTTGACCTCGTGTGGCCTGAGCTGTTGTATATGCGTTACGCAAGCTATTGAGCTTGAGCTTCTTTTTGTTATCGAGCTCGTTTTAGTTGGTCTAGTCTAGACCAGACCACAATGGGGTGTAGCTTGTTGCTTGGCAGATACAAGACTGACCTGTTCTGTTCAGATTTCTACCTGCCTGGCTAAGGACCCTTCGCGACGACCGAGCCCAACTCAGATCTTGGCGAACCCATGGTTCAAGGACGCTGTGCTCAAGAAGGCAAACAGCACCACCACTACCGACGGACTGCCCAACGACGTTGTCATCATTGCCTAACTTCAACATCGGAGCAACACTGAAATCAACAACGACGAGGTTCAACAATGCCTGGGATCTTTTCCCGCAAAAACGAAACCAAAAGAAAACTGATCATTTGAAAAAGAAATCCTGGCTGACAATTTGAAGCGACTGAGCTCGCGGCGCAAGATCGATCTTTGGGAATGCTGATCTGTTCATTGGCTCGACCATCGCCCGCTCGATCTTCCCCGTTCCGATCCCGCTCCATATTGTACTTAGCTTTAACGTTTCAGTGATCCATGCTTCTTTTATAACCGATATAGTGACACCTTTCGTGACGTTCACCAAAATTCAACAAAAGTTCCTCCAAATTCCGTTTTGCAACCAGTTTTCCTCTCCTATCTCCCCGGTTTTAACAGCAGTTCGCGTTTTCCATCGCCTTTCTTCCCAAGATGACCCTCTAGGACAATTCTAGTTTCGAGCTCCATTTTTTCTCTCCACTACTGCCCCGTGACAAGTGAAGTTACTCCCATGTTTTTCAGGCTTATATATTATTTTCAATATAAATTATTTTCTTCAAGAAGAACTAATTTCGACATTGATTTTTAAATTTTAATTCAATTTCGCGATGAGAAAATTTCATCCGCCAGTAAGGAAATTCACTATTAATCAACTTCGTTATATTTTATATATTATCTTGTGCATAAAACTTATATGGATTAAAGGTGTTAAATAATTCATGATAATATAGTTGTTCCCTGAAAAGTTATACCGTAAAAACCTCCTTAAAAGTAACTTCCCCAAGACGACCAAAAAAGCCCGAGAAAGGCACCACACCCCTCTGGCGCGAGAGAATTCGTACTATACTTGGGCACACCAGGTTTACAAAGTCTAGTCGCTCTCAGCTAGCGAGCGTGCGGTGCCCTTCAGAGCCACAAAAAACAAAAAAATCTTTTTAAAACCCAACTTATAAGTCTTAAACAGAAAATGAACCACACAAGTGTGTAGGCTTAAGCTTTGCCTTTTCTACAGTTTTTCTTTAAAAAGTAAGATTCGTTTTTTCACATCGTTGTATAAATTCCTTATTCTTCCACAACCAAAAACATAAAACTACAAAAAATTCTACGGTTTAGCGTTTGCGGTCGTTATTTTAGAACGTATTGGGTTGAAACACCTAACTGAAAAACAACACTCAGATAAAACAACCTGCCTTTTTTGTCCCTAATCGAAAACAAACCTATCAACTAGCCAACGAAAAAGTTCAGTATCAGAAAATCGCCCCCTACCACTTTACTGCTCCCTTCCCGTGTTCCGTCCTGGGCTGGTTCCCTCAATCGGACTCGGAAAAAGTCTATGTCCCGCTGCAGGAATCGCGTAAAAGATCATCTAGCTCGATTTCCTATAATATGTGCTTTGTTTAAGCCGCTCAAACTGCTTCTAAGGATTCCTTGCTCCCTTTCTTTTTAATAGACTTGATTCTAGTTTCTGCTGTCAGTAATACTGACTCAGTATTCTTGCAGCTTAAACTTCGACCAACTCATATTGAGAGCGCTAGAACCCTGAGAAAGGCGATCAAGCTTGTTTCCCGGTTTAGCACAGTTAGTACTTCCGCTAAGGATATTGTTTCCTTTTATACGTTCTGCTTAGGATTGTATCTTGACGAGTTCTCCTTCTCAAGATACAATCCCGTTCCGTTTTTCGTTCCCAATTTCTCCTTTTTTCTTATAAATTGGAAACACAGTTCATTTTCATTTGCACTCTGGGCTCTTCTTTATGCGAGAAAAAAAAACAAGTTCCAAATTTATTAAGTAATCGCCTTGTTCTCCGCGGAAATAAAAATCCAAAGAGCGCATATTGGACCATCTATCGCCCGCCGTTAACTACACCCAGAGTCAGTCCTTTTTGTTATTCAATTACTGTATACAACTGCTAGTGCTCATAACTTTACACCGCTACTTTCCTCTCTATTTTGCAAACATATCAAAACAAAATTAACCCAAGGAAAAACTTTGACAAAGTCAAATTTCAAATAAAAAGAAAAAGATTCAGAAAGAACTCTAGGAATCATTTTAAATTGTAAACAACTGTAAATTGTTACTTTTTCCTTGAAATTATCTAATTCACAGTTATTTCCGCTGGCCGCTTTTTAAATAACTGATACGTTTTCTGATCGTATTCTGGACAGAATAGAGCAATGCTTCCAAAGTGGCTCTAAGTTTGGCCGGAGTCGGTGCCGAGCGCGTGTGTACAAAATTCGTTCCTGCTCAAAGGAACCCGTGTGATGGGCCAGACTGGCATCACCCACCCGCTTATGTTCATCTTTGTAAATCTCTCTTAAAGAGAGGCGAGCGGAAGTAGCACTTGCTGAACGATATTAGACTTCCCTGCAACTCGTATTTTAAAGCTCAAATCAGACCTTAATTTTTCGCCATATGACTGTATCAACTGTACCGTCCTATGAAAACTGAATACCGAGGTCCTCGTTTAAACCCCAAACTCCACTATTTTTCTGATCTTGTTTCTTACAAATCGCCCTTTTGGAGTGCTCCGACATTTCAGCTATCAGTTATGCAATTAAATAATAAATTGGGTTGACTGAAAATCACTCGCTTTGTTCTTTCCCGCAGGATGTTGAGCAAGTAGCAGGCTATTGAGAAAGTAATCTAGATTTTGACCAGTTTGTTGTTCAGATGTTCAGGCATCGGACGACGTCGGACGAACTCGCTCGTTTGGAGGCATTTCACTCCTTCTTGCGATCTGAACTCACCAAAGAAGTCAGACACGCTGTCAAAGCTGTTCAAAAGGTTTACAGCTAGTTCTGAGATTTAATAATTGACCGTGGGTAACAGGCAAAAGTATCGCACCTAAAACCGTCTGTTGCGACGTTATTAACTCGCTTCGGGTTCGAAATGAAAGGTATAAAGTGCCGAACTTGTCAGTGAGGTCGTCCACGTTTACTGCCTTCGGGCAGCAATGTTTTTAACTTGTGTTTCTCGCGAACTTTGCCTTGTTCGAAGGATAAAATGGCTTACGTTGCGAATTTTTTGTCATAAAGCAGAATTAATAAATTTAATAACTTAAATCAAATAATATCGATAGTAATAGGAAGCAGCGTCGAGCGATGGACTGTCTTCTAACCAATTCCAAATCGAAGTGGCGGACAACGATTACTCGCGGGAGCTCTTATCACTCATCGAAGCTTGTATCATTCACGGGATGAATAAAAAGTATGTCCGCAAAACGAAATCAGACGGCCGTGAGACTGCTCAAGTAAATCTTTGGGCGCTAATGGAGAAACTGTTGAGTAAGTCAGATATCAAGTCGCTGACCTTGGAGAACAAACAGCTCAAAACGAAATCAGGACTTTCCAGAGCTGCAATCAGGCAAGGAACGACTCCCTGTACAGATGTTGCGTTTTAATAGCAATTGAGTATTCCCAAAAAGAAATTTCATGAACACGCAAGTTCTTGACTGTTATCTTCAAGCGTTGATGCTCGACAAGGATTTATTGAATAAGCATTACGAGCCGTACGCTTTATTGCGGGATCCAGACAATGCTGAAGTATTCAAAAACTCTCTTCAAGGTCTAGAAAGGCTCAAATTTAACTTCACGACAAACTCGCCGATTTTGGACTCCTGGAGTCGTCACACTCTTGAGCTCGCCGCTATTGTCGCTCCCCAACATCAGCGAAAAAGCAATAAAGCGATGCTACCGAAGCCGAGAGCGCCCGAGTCTTTAACTGCCGCTGGTGATTCTGTTGCTAATGATTTCGATGATTCTGCGTCGATGATGTCGTCTGTAGTTACCGAGTCCATTTGCTCGACGATGACGGACTTTGCTGGAGATGAAGGCGTGGAAGTTTTCAGATCTAAAATGTCAAGAAGGCGAAGACGTGCACAAAAACGCAACCCTGTCCTTTCAACTGGGTCATTTGAAAATCAGGAATTGTTTGATGATGCGATTTCCGTTGTATCTGATGCAAGGGAGACGATAAAATCATCGGAACCGACGTGTTATTTATCGGAACTTGAAGAGTCAATGGGCAATGATGGGAAAGATCGTACGGAGGTCGATCAAGCTATGGAAAACGATCAGATTCAAACTCTTTATAGCGGAAAAAATCGCGAAAGCTCACCCTTGACCAAAGTAGCGGAAGAAGAGCGAAAGCAATATACGAAGCTTGTGTTTACGGAGCAGGAGCTTACTCCGAACACTTCAGACACGCATTTCGTAGAAGACAGCTTGAATAGAGCGACACAGGATCAATCATCAGAAATAGAAGATGAATCCTATGCTCCAATCGAAAGCCAAAAAGTTGAAGACGACGAAGTTACAGAGAAGAATGAAGCGGAGGTATCAGACACAGAGTCACAATGCGATATTCATGCTCTGGAAGAGATCGAAGCGTCGCCGCCAGTGAAAAGTTGCTACGCTCCTTCTGGAAATGAAGATGACATTATTCAAACAGTGGTCGACGAAGATGACGAAGACGAGCACAATCAAAATGAAGAATGCGCTTCAACAGTCGAGGAAACCATCAGTGCTAATCAAAAGGCCTTTGCGGCTATGTTTAGCAAAGAAATGACAGGAAAGATTTCAATGTAATTATTATTGGCCGCTATGTTTTCCTCCAGAGAATCGAATTTAATCTCTTAATGTAATCTGTATAAATCGAGGAAAAGACGACGATGAAGGTCTCCCATGGCTTGATAGAGTCACAGAGAAACATCGAGAAAGCCTTTCCGGTCGACCTGTTGGAGCGCGACATCGAGAAGGCTTTCTTCAGCGGAAAGGGGACTGGACAGGATTTTGGAGGCGCCGATATTTCAAGGTAAGCGATAAACAAGAGTATTCTGATACTATTATTTACTGTAGCTAGCAGATCACCAGCTCACGTACTACCGATCAGACACGGATGAAAGTGCTGCTCTGACTATTCCCGTCGACGCTATGTTAGATGTAATAGAAGACGAAAAAATGAAGCCATTTTGTTTCCGAGTCGAAATTCGGGGTCGAAAAAGTCTTTACCTTTGCGGTTATTCGCATCATGACTCTGCCAAATGGGTTGCGGATTTGAGATACGAAATAGAGCATTTTGGATCTGCCGAGTCCAATCACTTCGAGGTTATCTCAGGTAAAAGCCGGCAATAAGCTTTTGCTTATCTCGTCGATAAACAATAATCTGAGTGTGAGAAAGTCGATTTAATTAAACTGCTATCACTTATCATAATCGTTACAAATAAGCTCGCTTAGCCAATCTCCCATGGTTTTTCTTATCAAAATTGTTGCTAGTGAATTCTTACGACTCTCGATCGTCAGAGTACTCTTCTGTTCTCAAAAATCAACTCTTGGTTCTTCCAGCTGATTTCGGCTTACCTGCTCAAAACTATCGCTGCTTCGAATGCGAGACTCCAATCGGTACTCTAGTTCATTATTTCGATCATTTATCTAATCGCATAGGCATCATTTATGGCCCACCTCGTCATTGCGCATTTACCGGGAAATATTATTGTAATAAGTGCCATGATAACTCGGTAAATCCTATTTGAATAATTTCTACTGGGTTCTCAACGGAGTCCGAGAGTATCCTTGGCCAGTAACTCTTGAGAAGCTACTGTCCAAGGGTACGACTATGGTCAACGATGAGGCCATGTTCTTTGTGCCTCGTTGCTACGAATTCCTGCTACGACAACTCTAGAATAAACTCAGTGAAGACACAGTAGATGGAGTTTTTCTCTATGTATTTGGCGCTCGATCATAAAAATGCAAAGCGGCTTTCGCCGAGGTTGGCAGGACACTGAACTGGAAATTTGCGCCGGGCGCAGAGTCGAGCGAAAATCGTCCGCCTCCGCGCAGCCCGAGGCACACTGAGTTACATAACGGACTAGCCGCTCTGAACCCATTATGCCTTCCGGCGCGTTCGTTCTGTAAGAGCAGTGATATGAGAGCAGGGCAGTAAAATACAGAGCAAAGCATGTCCGAGTCCGATTATTCATCGCAATCGCAGTTGAAGAATTCAGCGGCGGCAGGGTTGTAGCTCTTGACGAAGTTGCAGACGCTCATGCGCTTGCCGAGGACCACATTGGTCGCAACAAAGCCGAGATCAGAACTTGGCGCAAAGAGCACTTTGGCGCGCTCTTTGATCTCCTTCCAGCCGTCGGATTCGGCGAATTCCGGCTTGTCAAGGTCGGTGACGTGCTTCTGGAACAGGGACAACAACTCAACACTGTGTTTTTAGCAGCAGTGTTGGTGCTGGCTGCCGTGACGAGCATACCATGTTTCCGAGGGCCCTGAATCTGGTCATTGACCGGATTTTCGGGTTCTGGAGCGGGCTGAGGTTGATTTTGCGGGTCACCACCCAAGTTTCGGAGGAGATCGACCCAGTTTGCAGCGGTGAGTCGACCGAGAGCCTGAGCCACATCCTGGTCGAGGTTAAGGCCGGCGAGTGGGGCACGGGGCTGATTCTGGGGCACCAATGGAGCTACTGGGGCTCGAATTGGAGCTCGATTCGCACCACCATTGATAGAAATCGCCATGTTACCGCGGTTTGGCGCGTCGACGATGCGGTAGCCAGAGCCAACCGCACCGCGCGGCTGGGTGATCGGGACGATGATTTTTCCAGGGCCAGGACTAGGCGCGTTACGTGGAAGGCTCGCAACCTTGCGCCCGGTTTTTGCGGGACAACAACGATGGATTTGAGCTTCTTCTTGGGCTGAATAGCTCGAGTCTCAGATCGGGGCGAACCTGGGTTGTAAAATGCGGGGACACCAGAGTCGGCTTCCGAAGAGGACCGACCTGAGTCTCGCGATGATGGGGACGACTTGGAGGTGCCGTACATGAATCGGGGTCCACGGCGGAGGTTAGCATCACGCTTGGCATAGAGTTCAGCGCGTTTCTCGTCGAGGATGCGCTCCGCGGCTTCAATCTCTTCGGGACTTGGGGGAACGTAACCAGGGGCAGCGCGGAAGTCGCTTGATGCCGGTAAAGCCGGGACCGGTGCTTCGAACGAGAGCGAGGGACCACTTTGCTCGTCTTGGGTGGTCAGCTCGTCGTCGGCGTTAATGTCGATTGCGTCGGCACTGTGCTCCTCGCGGAGCAGTTCGTCCAGGGTGTTGCTGTCAGCGATGGGCTTGTCAGACATGTTCTAGAAAGGCGAATTATGGCTATGGGAATGAAAAAGGACTACTAAATCGTTATCACCGTCGGAACAGTGATAACGATAGGACATGGTTAGTAAAATGAATGCAGAGGAAGAGAAGAACGCTAGGACACTGGCTACAAACACTGAAATACAGTGAAATGCCTCCAGGCAGTGAACTAATCGATCGAATCGACCAGGGGACATTCATTAACTCTGATTTCGGTCCGAGCGGCGGACTTCTTTCTTTTGAAGCTCCTGGGCAAGTTTTTGGTCCGCAAGTTCCTGGGCCACTTTTTGGTCCTGGGTTTCTTGGGCCTGTTTTTCCGAGCGGTCTTTTGCCTGGGCTTGCTTCAAAAGCTGATTTCGCGTGACGGGCCGCGTAGCATAGGGGCTGGAAGCCTGGGATTTTGTAGGAGCGCACAACGCGCGCAGGACCAGGTGCTGGTTCTGACGGTGCGCTAGAATTTCCGATATCTGCAGGAACTGTCAGGGGTGACTGTGAGGGTTCCGGAGGACGGTTTTCAGCCGGCGAAACGGTATTCTGAGTAGAATCAGCGGGCTGTACTGTCGTGTTCGCAGGATCCTCACAGTCAAAGTAAATCGTTTCCTCTTGATCGGGAGGTGGCGGAGTAACATTTTCAGGGCGCACTGCCTCCGGATCAATTCTTAGGTTATCAGGAGGAGGGTCCACGAGCGGGATTGGACTTTTGGAGGGTTGGGTGTGGTATTTGGCAGCGGAATATTGAGGGCAGGGAAATATGGAATTGGACCAAGATGTGGGAACCTCTTGATCTTTTTGATACAAGAGGACCGATGGAACCAATCCGAATTACCTTCCTCGTCAGAGGCCTGGACAACGAATCCGTTTGAAGCTTGCACGTAATACGGGCCAAGCCAGCGACATTTGGACGACTTCGCGACTGTCGAGTTTTCGCGTTTGATCAGAATTTCGTCGCCAGGTTCTAACGGTTCAGGGGTGATTCTTGGACGGTTCCGGAGCACAGATTCGTCAGCGTGCTGCTGACAAATAGACATTTTATCGTAGAGTAGCTTCGTAACTCTTCTTCGCTGCTTGAGAAAATCAGGGATGTTAACGCCCGACGGCATCTCAGTCATTCTATCGAAATCAGAGAGCTGCGGGGAGTACCAAAAACGGCTTCGTGAGGCGACACGCGAGTGCTCTTGTTGGGCATTGCATTCATGATAAAGACGACTCTTTTGAGCACAACCGGCCAGTCAACCGAGAGTGAATGCGCCATGATAAAGACAGCATTTTTCAGCTCTCGGTGACGAGACTCGAGGAGTGAGCAAGATTGAGGTCTATATGCGCAGTGAAATCGCCATTTCAACTTATTCGCGAGTGCAAATTCGGCATTGAGCTGACTCGTAAAGTGCGTGCCGCGGTCGGTCGACAGGATTTCTGGCTGGGGATAAACGTCGAGTAGATTTTCAGTAATTGCCTTTACTGCGTCCACTGCGCGACAGCGACGGGTAGGAACAACAATAAGGTATTTCGTGAAAGTGCAGAGGATCGTGACGGCGTACCGGAGGCCTGATCGGCTGACCGGAAGCTCAATAAAATCCACGTGGCAACGCTGAAAGGGCCGTTCGCCTTTGACAGTAGGGCGGAAACCGGGGTCTTGATGACGTCCACGTTGACCGCTAACATGATGGCAAGGGCAGGATTTGACGTAGTTAGTCACATCAGTTGCGAGACTGGGCCAAGTCATATGCGACATTTTCTCGAGCATTCTCTTGCCTCCAGCGTGATTACAGTTATCATGATATGATCTTAACACGTCTGGACGGAGAGAGGCGGGAATGTACATGCGTTTTTGATGGAGCAAGGCACCAGTATCTTCGCATAAGCTAAGATGACGAAATTCGCGGGCAAGATAGGCCGATTCTTCGCATTTCGAGTCAGATTGAAATGCTTTGGAGTGTCTCAACGCATCTATCGCGTCTTTGATCGGCTCGCAGGCATACTGTTCTGATGTGATACTCGTCTTTTGACACAGGGAACTCTCGATTGGGACTTTGTCGCACACATGGGCAACAAGGTCACTTCCATTAGACATCGATAATTCGTTGGCATCGAAATGTACTTTCGGCTGTTTGGAGAGATCGATCCAGGATGGAACATAAATCCGAAACCCGTGGAAATCGTGAAATTGACCGGCTGGAATCGATTCACCGTTGAAAGTCGGGCGAAGAGTACTTTCGTTTGACGGGCGACTGTAATAGTCAGCCAAGGAATTCTTCTCTCCTTCGAGGTATTGAACGCAAAAGTCGAACTGTGAGAGGAAGGCCCACCATCGGGCGAGCTTGTCGTTCTTACTTGTCTTCGCGTCAATAAAACTGAGGGCTTTATGGTCGCTTTTGATGATAAAACGGCGACCAGTGAGGTAAACACGGCAATCGGTAACAGCTAGAACAACTCCGAGGGCTTCTCGCTCAGTGGCAGAGTACCGTCGTTGAGTGTCTGTGAGTGTTTTTGAACCGATTCGGACGATTCTAGATTTTCCATCTACGACTTGGAGCAGGGCCCAGCCGGCAGCAGCTGAGCTAGCATCTGTTACCAAGCAGAAGGGAAGGTTGAAGTCCGGGAACCATAGAGTCGCTGGCGATGCAAGTTTCTGTTTTAACTTGTTGAACGCCTTCGACGCTTCCGATGACCACGTAAATTTTGACTTGGGGCGATTCGTTTTCAGCAGTCCAGTAATTGGCTTCATTATGTCGCTGAATGACTCAGAAGCGACATTGTCCATCGGCTTGACAGAACAGTAGTTACGAATCCAATTACAGAGGCCAATCAGGCTTTGAAGCCCTTTGTAATCAGTCGGAGGGGTCATCTTGAGGATAGCGGCGGCGTTGTCGGGATCGACAGTCGTTCCATGAGTGTTGACAATGCGGCCCAACCATTTTACCTCATCATAAAGCAGAAACGTTTTCTTGCCTCCAGCGACAAAACCGTATTCGTGTATTTTGTCGAGGAGCTCGATCAGTGTTTCGCAGTAGGTATCGAAGTCAGAAGCGAATATGAGGATATCGTCCACATATACTTTGATGTTCTCACGGTATTTCATGCCACGAAGAGCAAATGCAATAGCGCGAGAAAAAATGTGACCGGAAGTGCGGAGCCCGAAAGGCAACCGCGTAAATTTGAGAGTTTCATTATTCCAAGTCACGGTTAGCTTGACCTGATCTTCCTCTCGAACAGCGATATTCCAAAAGCCTTTCGATATATCGATCGTGCCAAAGAATATCATGCCCGGAGGGATCTCGGCTTCAGCGTCGATGGACGGAATCATGAACGTGTCGTTGTTAACTAAAAGTTTGTTAACAGTGAGGTTGAGATTGAGGATTAGTCTTGTTGAACCATCGCTCTTAAGAACACCACCCACTGGCGTGTTCCAGCCGCACGTGTTATCGCTTGGAACTAGAACAGTCAGGGCTTTGAGCTTCTCAAACTCAGCTGTTATCGCAGGTACATGGCGTTGCGCTACTCGGAATTGAGGGACGTGCTTCGTTTGTCCAGGCACGGTGTCAATATCAGCCACATAGCTTTTGAATTTGCCAACAGGGCGAGAAGGAGTTGAATAAGCTGGGCGTCTGTCAAGGACAATCTGCGCGACTCGCTTGGCTCTGCTGGGATTGTCGCCGATGTGGATGTTGGCACCGATTTCCTTCTTGACGATCTCGACGAGATCGACAGCAGTGACGGACTCGTAAGCAGCGTAGGTTTTGCCAGAATCGAAGCACTGGAAGAAACTCTCGTACTTGGGGTTATTCACATACGGAATCTTAGCTAAAGTGTTTCCGTGATAAGCACGTAACAGTAATTTTCGATCCCCAAGTACTTGAATGATCTCTCCGCAGCGGTCGAAAAGAGGATGTCTACCAATGATAGCCGGGATTTGCATCGCATTTGACGGAAGTACAAACCACCTGGTAGTTGGGAACATTGCGTGTGGGCCAATGCGAATGCTGGTGTTGATAACGCCAATACAGCGGTTTTCAGCGCCGATCCCCTTACTTTCTGTGAAGTCGGCTCAATTTTGAGGTTGAGATCGCGTGCTGCACGCTCAGAAATTAGGCTTCCGAAGCTGCCAGTATCGTACAAGCACGGGACCCAAAGGCCAGAAAATTTATGGCGTTGAATGAACTCCACAGGAAGGTAGACGGCTTCGCTGTTGGCCGAACAATGTTTAAAAAAGGAGCCACCGCAGACGGGAAGCTTAGCAGCTTTGGCAAGAGAAAGTCCGACGAAATCAGATGTTCCGCCGGAGCCAATTAGTTTTTTGAAGAATACTCGGGGTGAGGGTCAGCGTAGTAAGATGCGTTGTTGTAATTGTACATCTGATTGTGTGGCACGAAAGGGGCTGCGTTAGGATTATACGGACTTTCAAAGTGCTCGTATCCCTGTGGCGGCGCGCAATCGGCCGACTCGGCGGCGTTGACGCCGTAGACTTGCTGACCATAGGCAGGGTTTGATTGGTATCGACGCATTTGAGGAGGGTAATTAGGGCCATCGTGGCGCCTGTACATAGACTGATTGTTTGGGTTACCCTTGGCGCCGTTGTTCCCATTGCCCGCGTTACCACCGTTGTTGGAACGATTGTTCCCGTTGTTTTGGCGGTTATCGCCGTTGTGACCATTGCCGTTGCCAGCGTGGCCACCATTGTTATTGCCATTACGGCGGCGACGTCGGTTATTATTGGATTGATTCTGATTATTGTTCGACTGAGCGTTGTTGTGACGATCGTCGTCGTCGCGCTTGTCGTTCTTCGCGCTGGAATTGTTTCCCTTCTTGTTAGACTGGTTTCCAGGGCGTCTCGACTCGGCGGCATTGCACGAGGAGAAAGTAGTCTGGACGCTGAGTGCCTGAGCTCTCGCAGCAAGCTGGTCCGGGGATGAGAACGTACTCAACTCGATCACGATGGAGCTGTACAACTCGGCCGACTCCTGGCGGATCGAGTGCAAGGTCTTCATCGTGACGAGGAGGTTAAAAGCATCATGAAATGTCGGAGTGTAGGAAGTAAGCGTAGGGTCAGCTTTGATCTTGTTCGCTTTGATCAGTTCCTCGTACCCTTGGATGATCGGCTCTAGCTGGGCAACGCACTCGGCATGGAAGGTCGAGAACGACTTATTAAATGGCTTCGGTCGGTTTTGCCATGTTTCCAAGCGTTGGAAAACGTTGCTAGCATTGCCATAATTGGTTTGGATGCACTTGACAAGGTCGCTTTCACTCTTAATTGAAGCAAGTTCTAGCGTCTTCAAAACATTAGCCGATAACTTAGGCTTAATGGAAGCGTAGATGCGTTCAAAGTCGAGAGTTCGGCAAGACTGGATAATCGCTTTTACTTTGTTGATGAACGTGCTAGCATCTTCGGCACTGGCACCGGTGAACTTGGGCAGTGATTGCAAGTGTTGGCACAATAGTTGGCCTTCCAAATGAATCATGTCCGAAGAACCCGAGCTGGCGGAAGTAGCTGGACCGGCGCTCATAACAAGTTGGACGAGTTCAGCTTTGGCATCGGCGATCTCCTTTTCGAGGTCAGCTTTGGCCTGAACCTGGGCATCCGTGGTGGCAGGGCGATCAGTGTAGGTAGCGAGTTTAGTCTGAGCCACAAGAATCTTGGCTTTTAGTTCCTCCATTGTCGTAGTCATTGCTGAAAGATGGAGATTCTAGGAGTGCTACACTATCAAGGTTTGATTGAGACTTGGGATAAGAAACCTTTCGGAATCTTACAACGAAAATCTTTCGTTGAAAATGCGCGAAAATAAAATTTGAAAAATCTGATATGGGGCTAGCCTAAGTCTAGTGCGCAACGGCTTGTCCGGATTCCGTTACACTGACTTGATCTACAACCGCGATCAACTGTTGTCGTTCTCATCAACAGGTTCGCAGGAGATTGTGCGCAAAGTCCGTTACTGCGGACATGTTATTATGTTTTCGACCTTGGAAGCATCCGTTGCCTCGAAAACCGGCCAGCAGTTTTCGGGGAAGACGGTGTTCTCATTGGCCGCCCAGGACCATCCCCTAGACCGCGTGATAATAAGGGCTGGGAGCTAGAACTAGGAAAAATGTGACGAGGGGCGAAATCACGCCGCTCGGCTCATACCTTGACCGACAGAGTTAACGTAAAAATAACATAAAAAATAACATAAAAGTAAAAATAAAGATAGAAAATACAATACCGAGTGATCGTAGAGGGAAATTCGAGCACTCAGCTCTTCTGCACACCAGTTACTGGGTTCTCAACGGAGTCCGAGAGTATCCTTGGCCAGTAACTCTTGAGAAGCTACTGTCCAAGGGTACGACTATGGTCAACGATGAGGCCATGTTCTTTTTGTGCCTCGTTGCTACGAATTCCTGCTACGACAACTCTAGAATAAACTCAGTGAAGACACAGTAGATGGAGTTTTTCTCTATGTATTTGGCGCTCGATCATAAAAATGCAAAGCGGCTTTCGCCGAGGTTGGCAGGACACTGAACTGGAAATTTGCGCCGGGCGCAGAGTCGAGCGAAAATCGTCCGCCTCCGCGCAGCCCGAGGCACACTGAGTTACATAACGGACTAGCCGCTCTGAACCCATTATTTCCAAACTCGTGGTCTCTGTCAAGGTCTCCGTCATTCCTGCGCGGATGATTTTCAACTGGGACCTTTCGGCCAGATCAATTTGTAAACGAGCTCGCTGTTACCTGAGCCGAGTTCAGCACGATCCTTTGTTAGAAATAAATGAGACGAATTCGGCGTTGTATGGGTAAATATTCTTAAATTTTTCCGCCCTAATTTAATCAATTTCCTTGAAGTCATGTGCCGGCCTTAGAGCGAGTTCGAAAGCTTCGAATCCGCCTTCAGAAGATGGAACCGTATCTGAAAACTTGCTCAAAAGGCAAAGAAATATATGATAAGTTTGCGCATGGACGAGAGTATCTGACTGGAGATATTCATCGTTATTCTGTCGCAGATCTTGTAGAGTTTCAGGAGGAGTCATTGGAAACTTCGCTAAGTCAACTTTACGAAGCTGGAAAAAGACACATTTCTCTGTGCGAAACTTGTGGGTTTAAAGGTAAATCCAATCCTTGATAAGATTTTGTCAAGTGTTTTCTTTAGGCTTCTATTGCGAGCTTTGCGGGTCTGATAACCTTATTTATCCGTTTGAAACCGAAGAAACGTCCTCCTGTTTGAAATGTTGCGCTTGCTTTCATGCAAATTGCTTCAGAAACACTCTTGAAAGTTGCCCGAAGTGCACGAGGATTGAGAATCGTCGCCGTCTACGTGAGGCTGCTGAACTCGAGCATCAGAAATCTAGCGACGATGAAACTCATAAATAATTAACTGATCTATTGTTCCTTTTCTCTTCAAACGAATTTTCAATTCATGAAACAATTTTCTCTACTGTACATTGTTCGCATCCTATTCTACACTCATTCTATCAGTTCTGTTCATTTTTCAACCAAAAGCTAAGCCTGTCGAAAAGCTCATTTATCAACAATAAAGGAAATTAATTCGAAATGGAATCGAAACATTCTAATATTAGACGTATGGACGAAGTTAACTTTGGGAGAGAGGATCGAACTGCGGAACCGAATAATGAAGCATGCTTCATCACTGCTTTTAGGTCTGCCGTCTTCCCTTTGCGGCAAGAGATAATAGTTATATTAAGTCAGCCTCTTGCACGTCTGTCTGTGTACTCCTGTCACTTAGCCCTAAGTGACACCGGCAACAATGGGGAATCCAAGTTGATAGCTGCATCTTTCAACGATGGAGTCTCCAAGTTTATGCTCAAAGTCTTCTCTAAAACGTCGCTTGTCTCCCAAAACGCTATTCTCGGGCTCCCATCTGCGGTTACGAGCTTCAACATCAGGTGAAGAGGTCATCTTGTAACACGCATAATCTCGATACAGTAAAGGTGTGACGGCGGTTGGTGTAGCGGCCGGTGCTGCTATTTTCATCTACAAGAACATGCGCGCCTTTTTCAAGTACACACTGCCAGAGCTAGAGCTCAACCAAATCGAAAAAGAAGCTTGGATCCATTCGCGGGAAGAGAATTTCGATTTCGAAAATCTCGCTGATGTTCTTACCACTCTTCGTTACCAACAAGGAATTCCTCTTTCTCAGCGATCTCGGATTTTCCTCAACTTACCCAATGCCGATGAAAGAGCCGCATATGCCAGAGCTAATCACGTAAGACATCCTAAAAGTCATCTGTTTTCATTCTTTTCTTAGCAAAAACCTCTTACCAGAGTTTCAAACATCGTCGCGATGAGTGCAATGAAGAAAAGCGTTCCAGACGAAACTGGAGTATCATGCTTGATCGTTGCCACCGAAGATGCCGAACTTCAGATAATGGATTGCGCGGCCTTTACGGTACTTCGAAGAGTAGAGCTACCTTCAGGAAAAGCTTATGATTAATTCTTATGGTGCCATATTTTGCTTGGGCGGAAACGAACCGGCGTGTGGCATTCCGCATGCGTTATTCATTTATAAATTTACGTTCGTCATAAATTTTAAACTTGAAATAAAAAGCATAAATAAGTTCCTGTTTTTATCGAACACGCAGGCCTGTTCGACGTTGATTACAGAATATTTGTGATTGCAAGGGATGGAATTTGCTACTCCTTTGACCGCGATTCTGAGCCTCGTGTGTTGTTTACACTTTCCACTCATGCCGTCGGCTTCGTCAAGAGCGCCTCTTATCTTTTCGTCGCTTGTACAGACGATACGCTTCATATATACCACGAGGATGGAAGAATCAAGCATATGAGGCGAACAAAAGGACGGCCACTGGCAATCTGTGGACTAGATGTCAAAGATAAAGGAATCACAGGCGTGCTTGTTAGCACAGATAAAAATGTCATCCAAATTTTTAGGTTAAATTATTATCTTCCCCAATCGTTTTCATTATTATTTTATAGGGACACTGAGCTTGTCGACGAATTAGAGACGAACGAAAATGTCGTTGCTGTTACGTTTGGTAGATATGACAGAGAAGACTCGACACTTGTCACAGTTACGGAAAACGGCGCGTTAGAGGTTTTCTTCGTCCGGCGAAAGGCGACTTTTCAGAAGAAGGATATCGCCAAAACAAGTCGCGAAGTCGGACTGGCAATAAAAATGCCCAAGATGGAACAAGCTTACTTAGACCAAATAGATATTGAGAAAAAGAACGTACAATCGATTATGAATAATTTCCAATACGACCTCTCAAAATTGAGACTTATGGCCGGAAGAGAAATGCTGAAGATCCAGAATAAAGCACTCGCTCCCTCAACAGATGTGTACGGAATTTCCATGACTGTGAGCTTATTCGGCGTTGGGCCTGTCTTCAAGCTAAAAATATGCGTAACGAATACGAAGGAAACGATCAATTTGAAGCAAAGATTTGTTCTTGGGCTCATTTACAATCGCAATATTTTCGCGATTGAAAGAAAAGTCATCGTACTGCCTCTTCTATTACCTGGGAAATCCACGAGTGTCGAAGTTCTCGTAAGAAATACTAGTGAAAACGGCGAAACTGGCGACGTAAAAGTGCTCATTACACCGAGGGAGCAAACGAAGCCTGTGATAAGCTCCATTGTCCCGATACCGATCGCGGAGCCCTTGTCAGTTTAAAACATGACCTGTAATTAGACACTTAACTTCGTTTATTTTAATGAGCGCCGACCTTACGTATCAAAATCTGCACTCGTAAATTCGTGATATGGACTCTGCCTTGATCTTTTCTATCCTGTTTATTTTCTGCTAAAGATATTTTTATTTTTCTATTTCAGTATCTGTTTCTGTTAATTTCCGCCCTTCTAATATCTTCGATTTAAGAATGATTCTATAGAGAAAGATATGAAGAAAATTTTTGAGAGAAGCGTTAGAGTTAGGGCAAGAAGACTTTCATGGTTTGGAAATTCTAAAAACGATGGAAAAAGTGGGCTCTTCGGAAAGAATTTGAGAAAGCCTACAGACTTCGAGCGTGACACTAAAGAAGCCATTGCTGACATCGAAAAATGCGTGGACGTCGTTGTCAACTCAAGAATCGAGGATGTCGTAGAAGCAGTGGACTCGTTATCAAATCGAATTTGTATCACTGCAGACATGTCCGGTAAGATTTTTAGTAGATAGTATCAATTTCAAGCTTTTTAGTAGATTGTATCAATTTTCTTTCATTTCAGATTGCATCCGATCTATTCACCCCGATAACGACATCGCTGACGCTGCAGACCAGTGCCATCAACGGCTTGGCGGCTATGTGGAAGAGTTGAATTCTAGTTCGGAGCTGCATCGGCCTCTCAAAGCGTTCTGTGATTCTGAATTACTTAAAAGTGCAGATGAAGATACTTTCCGCTGTGCTACACTCTTGCTTCACGACTTTGAACAGTCTGGTATCAACTTGCCAGAAGAAGAACGTCGGGCCTATGTCTCCATTCATTCGGACATCATTGAGAATCAGTCTTATCTTGCCCAAATGGCTCGACAACCATCTGTTTTCGATAAAGAGGCCAACAGTTCTCGATTGAACGCTGCTTTACTGAGTTATCGAGTGGCCGAAGAGCATAAAATGCAAGGTCGTAATCTGATGGTTCAATACTCATGGCTCATGCGACATCCAGATCGAGACTTGCGACGCGAATCTTATCTCAGTTACTTGGGTTTCACATATTTTTCGCTAACATGGATTCGACTCCTATTAAGCATAAATTTATACTTTATTTTACTTATTGTGTACCCTCAACTAAGCTACTACAAATTGGATGACTTAACTGTTAATAATCAAGCTCTCTTCAGTAATCGACGCAAAATGGCACGCGCTCTAAATTTCGACAGTTTTTCTCATCGTGCTTTGATGCTCTCTGCTCCGAAGGGGCCAGAAGAAGTCGGCTATTTCCTGAGAAGCCTATCTGACGAAATGCGTCCTTTTCTAGAGAATGATCGCCGCCACATTTCCCAGTTTATAGACGACTCGTCCCCTCCTGGACCGTGGGATATATACGCCGTTGCCAACTTACAAGCCACACAGGTTCCAATGAAGCTCAATTTCTACGACTGCATTAATGGATTTTTCGAGTTAGCAGAGGCACTTTTTGGAATTGTTTTTACGAAAGAGACCCCGAAAGATGGGGAAGTCTGGCACCCAAGTGTTTTGAAATACCGTGTAGCATATGGTGAAACTGATTATGGGTGAGTTCTTTTACTCATTGACAGTAAGATTTTAAGCTAACTGTTTTTACAGAACTATTTACGTGGACCCATTTACGCGGCAAGACAAACGATGTATGGACTGTCATTTTACTGTTCGCTGCGGCAAACAGTTATCGAAGACATCTTACCAGAATCCGATCATTGTCGTTTCATTCTCCTGTCAAAATCGTGGAGAAGCGTCTGAAATCTCCCACGATGAGTTGACAACAATCTTTCACGAAATGGGCCACGCATTGCACTCAATACTTGCACGTACGCGTTATCAGCATCTTTTCGGCACGCGAATTTCCACCGACTTTGCAGAAGTACCATCAACGCTCTTCGAACGGTTCGCGACTGTCCCTGCAGTACTACGAATGTGCAAAGCGCGGGATTATTCGGGAGATATGTTGGAGCTGTCTGAAGAGGAAAGCCGCATCCTGAGAAATTCAGCTCGAAACTCATCTTATATACCTGCAATTGAGCTTCAAAATACAGTATGTTACTTCATATACGATCAATTAGTGTATAATGGTAGATATTCACCGCCCTCTGTGACTTGGAGTTACATGGTCCGACGGAAGAAGATTTCAGGAAGACGATAAATAGAGTTGCCGTCGATCACGCCCCTTTTGAAGCTGACGGACACTCAGGATGGTGGAACAGGTTCAGTCATTTCGCGATATATGGGGCAAAATATTACTCGTACTTATGGGCGCAGGCTGTTGCTGGGCGAATATGGACTCAGGTATTGGATTCGAACTAACATATTTTAATGAATCTTTTGTTAGCTTTTTGAAAGCAACCCTCTCAATCGAGATGCTGGGATGACGCTATACAATGGTTTTCTGAAACATGGGAACGGACTCTCGCCTGCTGAAATGTATCGCAACTGCACACAGGAAGAGATGCAGCCGACACAGCTCATAGACGAAATTATACAACAGTTCAAATCTAGCACAATTGAAAGATACAGTAACAACCACTGAAACATCCGATTCACTTATTTATTTATCCGGCTGAAATTTCACCGGTACTCCAATAAAGTTCGCCGAAACATTGCTAAAGACTTGATGCCTTCAACAATATGTTTTTAAAATAAATTATTCCCTTCAAAATTATCACATCATTTTTTTCTGACTCAAGGTACTACTGAAGATTCTGGAATGTTCTCGAAGGCGTGGGCGTCCCTATTCGGGGCTAGCCAAAATCCAGCGCAAACTTGTTCAAATATGCGCCAGTTGCATCATAATATCTGCGGGTCCTTCAAGGATCTATTAAGATAACTTTACTCTGAGGTCAAGCTAATTTAGTTTTGTTTTGTAGAGAGCACGTTAACTTTCAAAATGCTTCGAGCTGGACAAAAAGTCGTCGCCAAGCGTGGCGCCAAAGAAATCGCCTTCGGACTCCAGGCGAAGAAGGACATGATGAAGGGTATTAACAAGCTTGCCGACGCTGTTGCTTGCACCATGGGGCCAAAAGGCTCTACTGTTATTATTGAGAAGTCGTGGGGCGCTCCACAAATCACGAAGGTTTGTTATCAATTTCCATCTTCTATTCACTTTATATTCAGGATGGTGTTACCGTCGCAAAAAGCGTTGACCTACCCGATAAAATGGAGAACATTGGTGCCCGACTTGTTCAGGACGTCGCCAACAATACCAACGATAAAGCCGGTGATGGAACTACTGGAGCCACTGTCCTAGCACGTGCTATCATTGTTGAAGGAATGGAGAGAATCCAGAAAGGAGCCAACGGAACCGATGTACGACGAGGAATCCAGAAAGCGGTCAACATCGTTGTCGACAACCTGCAAGAGATCTCTAAGCCCGTTGAAACCTCGGAAGAAATTGCACAGGTCGCTACTATTTCCGCCAACGGAGATACTGAAGTTGGCGATTTGATTGCTCGCGCTATGGACAGAGTTGGTCGCCGAGGTGTCATTACTGTGAAGGATGGAAAGGTGATTTACTGTTAATTATTTCCACTAACGATTGACAAACTCTTAACGATTTTAATATTAGACTCTTGAAGACGAATTGGAAGTCACCGAAGGTATTAAATTCGACCGAGGCTACATCTCTCCCTACTTCATGACCGAGCAGAAGGGACTGAAGTGTGCCTACGAAAACGCCCTCGTCCTTCTTTCTGAGAAAAAATTTCTGAAGTGCAACCTCTTATTCCTGCCCTTGAATTTGCTGCAAAGAACCAGAAACCCCTCAGTAAGTGGGACTTGAGTAATAACTACCCATAATGTATGGGTATTCACCTTCAATTTATTTATGTATTTTCAAAATACTCTTTAAGTCATCATCGCCGAGGACGTCGATTCTGATGCCATTGCTGCTCTCGTCTTGAATCGCCTGAAAGGTGGCCTCAAAGTTGTCGCTGTTAAAGCTCCAGGCTTCGGTGACAATAGAAAGAACACTCTGAAGGATATTGGCATCGCGACTGGTGCCACTATTTTCAACGATGAAGCATTTGCCCTCAAGCTCGAAGATATCAAGCCTTCTGACTTCGGTCAAGTCGGCGAGCTTGTCGTCACTAAGGTTTCAAAGTCTTTAGGATTTTAGTAGTAACCGAATAACTCAGGATGACACACTTATGTTGAACGGAAACGGATCTGCGGATGCGATTTCTCGGCGATGCGAAGAAATTGATGATGCAGTTGCCTCCTCGAACTCTGAATACGAGAAAGAAAAGCTAGCAGAACGAAAGGCACGACTTTCTGGAGGTGTTGCTGTTCTCCGAATCGGCGGCGCTTCCGAAGTCGAAGTTGGCGAAAAGAAGGACCGAGTTGAGGTGAGAGTCCATTCTATGATTTAAATCCAAGGACATTTCTTGAGGACGCTCTCTGCGCAACCCGTGCTGCTGTCGAAGAAGGCATCGTCCCCGGTGGCGGAGTCGCTCTTCTCCGATGCGTTCCACTTCTTCAGAATGTCGACACTAAGAATTCTGATGAACAAATCGGCGTAGATGTTGTCAACCGAGCTATCCGGTAATCCTTCGCGTAAAGAATGTTTCTGATAATATATGCTTTCAGAATCCCTGCTACAACTATTGCCAACAACGCGGGCGTCGAAGGGCGCGCTATTGTCGAAAAGATCATGGCTGGTGAACCTGGCTATAATGCTCACACTGGCGAATTCATCGACATGATCAAGGCCGGAGTTATTGACCCAACAAAGGTTATCAAGCAGGCTCTTATCGATGCGTCCGGCGTCGCCTCACTCTTAACAACTGCTGAATGTGTGATTACGGAGAAGAAAGAAGAAGGCGCTCCTGCTAACCCAATGGCTGGTATGGGAGGCATGGGCGGTATGGGTGGAATGGGAGGCATGATGTGAGTTCATTACTCTTCAAATCCGTCGTCGATCAACTTGAATCTGACTTAGAAAAATTAAATTATCTTCTATTTCGTTCTCTCTGATCCTGTACCATGAAAATGCCAATGAATGTACACGATTAACTTAATAATATATTGCTGAAACCCAACAGATAAATAAACTTCAAATGTAATTTGTTAAAAGAATGTCGTTTTATATGGGTGGCGGAGGTGAATATCAGCCGCAGGGAACGGCCCCGTCGGGATTTGCTTACGGGACGTTTCCACAGCCACCCAACCAGCCTGTGCAGGTGATGGACGCTTCTGGTGGATACAGTTCGGGGTCAGCAAATGGAATGTATGACGCTCAGTGGCAGCTCGGTCGTTACGCGACTCAGATGCCTATGGGTGTCGTCCCAGGTACTCCAGCCGTGCCAACAAACTACCAAATGGGCACACCTATGGTCCAGACGCCCAATGTTGGCTATCGAATGTCGAGACCACCCGGAGTTTTTACTCATCAACCTAGAGGGGTGGCCACGGTGGATCACATCAACGAAATCACTTCGGAGGGAACCAGCAGCAGTCACAGTACAATAGAAACACTCCAGTCGGCCCGAAGCCTATCAAAGCGACAGAAATAAAGTCTTACTTATACGCCTGGTGCACTCAGAAGAAAATCAAACCAGAATACACGTATACGCCGATCGGTCGCAGTCCGAAGGTTCGATATGTATGCAACCTTGTTATAACAGGAATGGGCTACGAAGCGCAGCAAGAAGCACGGTCGAAACGCGAAGCGCAGACCCTTGCTGCTTGGGACTTTGTAGATCAAATGGTGGCGAAAGGTCTTATAAAGAAAGCCGAGCTTCCGATTAGGAACATTCAGATGGAAAGCGTAAAAAGCAACCACGATGGAAAAGAATCGGTTTCTTGCGAAGCGAAAAAGGATGAAGCTGATATAAATGGAGGGTGGAATATTGACAATGCCCGTCAAAGACTAAATCGCTTTTGTATGTCGGAACGTATCTCCTGCGACTTCGAAAACACTGTGGAGACCATTCACGACGGGCAGAAAATGACACACTCTATTCTTAAACTCGACGTTAAACGGCTAGGACCCAATCCTGTAGTAATCCGTGCAAAGGCGTCAAACAAGAAACAAGCAAATGCACAATGCGCGGTTATTGCTGTTCGGAAGCTATTTTCGCTAGGCGTGATCGAAAAACATGGTGAAGTGCCCAAACGATCGCGAGAAGGTCAAATGGAAGTCGAGGCAGGCCCAGTGAGCTCAAAACACGGCGTGAAAAGAAAACTGGACGAGCCGTTGAACTTTGACGAGAATGGAAATTGGACGCTTGAGACTGCTCGAGCAAAACTTCAAGATTATTTTGCGTCGATTGACAAGGATCTAAGCTTTAACGAAAAAGAAGTTGGAACCAATCAAGACAGACAGTATCAATATTCCGTCTCGCTAGAAATTAGTGGGAGGACTTTTGCAGCGGAAGCTATCGCCACAAATAAAAAGTCTGCCCAGAAAAAATGCGCTTTAGGTATGTTTAAAATTAGTGGATAAAAATAATTCATTCGTTTAGACATGGTTATTCAACTTTACAAGGCAAATTTAATAGATGGAAATACTGGCAAACGAATAAAACCGCGGCAAGGTCCCACCGCTGCCAAGAAAGTTAAAACGAGTACTGCTTACGTACACGGCGGACCTAAAATCATGCCAATCGCTAGAATTCTTATACCAAACTGGGGATCTGGTCGAACTACGCCTTTCGACGACAAACATCTCAAAGTGAAGGTAATCTATCTACCAATTACAAAATTATTTTATGCAAGCTTTTAGCTTGATATGCTTGAGCAAACTCAAGAGGAAAAACTTGCTGCCGGAGATAGTTTGATCGACGCAGAGACAATGCTGAGATCGACCTGTGAAAACATGAGTGCTGCTAAAGCTGAAGATGACAGACCGATTCAAGAGGTCTTCAGATCAGGTTGCTTTCCTAAGGGGACAATGATCAAGGAAGGTTTAACACACGAAAAGAATACTGAACAAAATATTTTTACAACCTACAGTTGTGTGTTCAAGTTTACCCGCTGTTTAGGGGTGCGGAAACTCCTCACACAACTGTACAATTGTGGGGTTGGTACACCCTCTTCCCGCACTTTTTATATTAATTTAATCTAGAGAGTGATTTCGGACAGGAAAGTCAAGTTCGTGCACTCTTGAGTCGACCCTTGACCCGCGATCTAGGGGTGCGCGACTTACATACAGAATTCTAGTAGTTGTTAAACTAATAAAGGGCGATCGACAACTCACTTTGATTATTTTAACGACGCAGAAGCCTTCAATAAAGACAATGACAGAAGTATACTGTTGTCTGAAAGAACACGCTCTCATTGAAAAAGTTGCATTCTGTTGAATTCGTCAGTTAAAACTCGTGTTTAGTTTTCCAACATCACCCATGACTACGAAAAGGCAAAGATAACGTTAGAACGTACCTTCCCGAAATTCACCATGAGTGTTGATCTCTGTTTCACATCGGAAAAAGTTGTTGAAACATCCGGTAAGTCACTGATTCAACTCACAATTAGCCACAATCATGAGTCGCGAACTAACCTTTTTCATATTTTTCCTTATGAAAAGCCTGCTCTTAACCCTGAGAGGTGTCTCTGATAGTTGTATTATATATTTTTTTGTATTACCTATTATACATATTTTTGTGATTTCGAATGTATAACCTCTCAGCGGCGCTCAAATCTCAGGGTTACACTCTTACTTCCAAGCTAAAGCCTTAAGATTAGTGAAATTGGAAGGAATTTCACTGAAATTAAGGAAGAAGTCACCAAGCTTGCGCTAGAATATGAGTCTATAACGCTTTCTTAGTGAATTCTAAGGAATATCTCGTTTTGGATCGAACGAGTGTCTTGAAAAGTCTGCTGGATTGAAAATATTCTTTTCAAGCACTCGCCAGAGTTTTACTTCATTTATTTACTTCTTCATTATTCAATTATCAACATCGTTTTACGATCTCAATACCAGACTCAGGCTTCATCGCTTATGAGTTCTGCTATAGTTTTCGTAAAGGCACACATCCAAGATTATAAACAGAGGTAGAAGACAAATTCTTGATATCAACGCACGAGTCCCACTGTCTGTACAGAATCGAAGAATTCTGTGCCGAGTGTTTCTCTGTGTCTGCGTCTCTCTTACTTCTGTTTATAGCTGATCCCGATCCCGTTGACTGCCTCCCGGTCCGAGTGTGCTTCAAATACTTGTCCGAGCTTCGCCACTCACAATTTTTCCAGGTAGAAATTCAGACAGAATCGGATAAAGCGATGTCATCATTTTTTCTTATGCATGTTCACTATTTTCAGTTTCAAGCAAATCTATGCCATTTTAAGCTCGAATTTTGTACTTTAAATATCGGTTTCTACTATTTTATTTAGCAATGCGCTCATCCTATGGTCAACGCTGTCCCCGTGGCTAGAATTATAAAGGTCGGCCACACTAATCTTGCATTAAAGCGAGCATATAATATAGAGCTTGTTCCAAGATGACGAATCGTGGGGCCAATTCTCTACCTGGACCTGTGACATGCTCCTGCAAAAGACGATGGAGTCAGCTAGGCATCCTCTTACAGCAGGTAGTACATTCGATTTGCTGCTTATGTTGTGTCTTCATTGATTGCACTAAAATATCCCAAGGAGACTGTCTGCGACGTTTTTTCTCGGCTTTATCAGTTGGCCTTGTTCTCAACAACGGGCACGGAATTGCTGATGTTACGAACGAGAACGCTAACCAAGTAGATGACTTAAGCAGGCAAGAGAGAGAAGACATTACTGGAAAAGCCCAGATTGCTCTTAGGCTCATTGCATTTGGGGTATTTTTTACAGTTAAACTATTTCTAACGTGAATTCAGTATATTCACAAGCTTCTCGATATTCCGAAGGTTTCGAAAGGTTCAAAAGGAGAGCCTAAAGTTGCCGGTGTCAAAGTTATAACTGAGGAAACGTCTTCTGTTTCAGCGCCCGCGTCAAAGTAGAATTCCTTCATTTTTAGAGACAATGTCATGTTCCTTCTTGTTCAACCTTCATTCTCGTATTCTTTTTATCTCATTCATAAACCCCGCTATATGCCGTTCGTTTTGAACTTCCGTATTCACCTTTAATTCCCTATCAAAATTCATTCTTTACGGAAAATCTTTTCTCCGTATCGTATTTTCTATTGACGAGTCACGCAGGTGCCTCCATTTTTCATCTTTCTTCCATTTTACAAATGTAGCATCCTGACTAGACTAATTCTGCGTAAATTGGCAATTCGTCAATACTGCCTACAAAGCTTATTAATAAAATTTCAAAGATTCATAAATATGAAGATATTCAATCAAACTCATCATAATAATTCATAAATACGAGTTATTATAATGGCTTCAATCTACCACAAGATTTTTCCCATCCTATGGTTCCTATTGTACAATGAGGGTCATATTTTGATAGAAAAGGTTCAGGAATAACTTCAGCACTTGCAAGAAAGAGAGTTTGAATAAGATGTTTGAGAGTTTATTCTTTTTTTTTCATTTTTGTTTGTAATAATTCTTAATCATCGATCGTGTGTGAGATCTGAGTTAATCATTGTTACATCGGCTCAAAAGTTTTCACATTCCCAAATGTGTGAGTTTAGATTTTTTCAATTTTTGAACTTTTCTCGGCATCGCCGCTTTGTGTGATACTGGCCGCCTTTTGGTTTTGCACTTTAACCAAAGTCGGTATTTTGTGGTGATTCAGACAATATATAAATATTCGGAATGAACTGTTGAAGAGTTATACAAGCTATCTACAGATTTTGTGCGTTTTCCATCTCAAGCCGAGTGACTTTCTCTCTCGGTTTGAGATAGCCGCTCTGATCCATGGCTTTTCGACTATGGATGAGAGCGCTGGAAACGGGAAGAAGGTTTTGAAGTGTGTTTGCTCATCGAGGTGCAAGTTAAACTGCTCTGAGGGTAAAATAAAATTGCGTCTTCTTTCGAAAAGGGTCTTTTCATCGCCATTTCGACCTTTAGACCATCTGGTCCAGGTCAATTTCAGAAGCTGTATCCGTCGAAATAGTCGACTGCGTACGGTAGTTTGCATTATCCACAACTGAGCCCTCACTCAGCGTCGGCAAAGACCGACAAGAGAGAGAGCCGTCTGATGTAAAATGGGGCTAAAATCAAATAAGAACCTTGTAAGTTTTATCCAAAACTAATATGAATAACTTAGCGCCGCTAAATATTTTCATATAGGCTAGGGTTTCCGTACCTGGCTACCAAAGTTTCCGGGTTCCAAGATTTTCCAATCGCCATAAGACAAGGTTTGGTCAACATCGGCGGAAATAGAGACTGCTGAACCGCGTCGTTCGGCTTTCTTTCGTGATTCTCGGTTAGCTTCGACGGCTTTCTTGCGAAGCTGCTTTTTGGCAAATTTTTCCTCATTCTCATATCGCATTGTAAGTGCCTTTGGGTAGAGTTTACGCGCGTTGACGATCTGGAGGACCGCCTTAGATGTCTCCGTTTCGTATTTCGCTTTGTTAGGTAAGTCCTTCGCCAGAATTTCGCTGAAATTAAATGTAAGACTCTGAACGAAAGTCGACTTATCAACAATAATTTTCGTGAAGTAATTTTCGTTTATGATTTCAAGCAAAAACAACTTACTTTTTGCATTTAATGCATCGTTCGCCATTCTGTTCGCACTCATAACATTCTTCGTCGTCGTACGGTGCATACGCAAGGATCTCACGGATAACAGAAGTTGCATAGCAATCCATGAAAAGGATTGTGATAGCAACGATAATCGAAAGCAGCGCCATTCCCATGTTGAGCGACCAGTTCCAGCCGAACTGGAATCGGATGCCCTCTGGAACTTCTGGCAAGAAGAAAGTGATGTTTGGCGTCACTGAAAAGTGAAATGAATTAAAGCGAAAGACCAAAATTTCTAACAGTAGGCATCGTTCAAAATGAAGAAAATTTTTAATGAAAGAAATACTTACCAGAAATGAAAACATTTGCGATTATCTGGGAAAGTCCAGAAATAAGCAAGAATTGAGCTCCAATAGAGATTGCTTTGTTTAGGACGGCGCAGCTCAAACCCCAGAGAAGAAGTGCAAGTATTTGGAATGCTAGCGCAAGTCGAAAAAAGAGCTGAAGCTTGAGCGTTCGTTGCTGAGACATGGAGGTACTTTGAGAGGTAAAGTATGATGCCACCTTGAGTAGAGGTTCCTAAAACAATCGATAGAATTGCGTTATGTCCGCGAAGAACTAAAAATCGTGCTTATTCAATTACTTACAGGTTTATACTGACGAACAAGCGAGTCGAAGTCTGTATCGACGTTCGAGTAGGAGATTCGCTCATTCCAGTGGTGGTTGGGGTGGCTAAGCTCATCCAGGGCTCGAAGGGTGATGTTCACATTCGAGAAACCCATCTGCACTTTGATCTTGGACTCAACAGCGAGATTGTCGAGTGGGAAGTATTGGATTTTTGCCGAACTTTCGGCGACAACCCATTCCGTGCAGAAGAAACTGAAATTTAGATTGAGTTTATTTCAACAGAGTCGTATTCGACCAAGAGCAATTAAATTATATAACTCATTTCTACTAAGGTGTGGCCTAATGGCCTCATAAAAACTTCTACTTTGTTGAAATTTGTTTTTACCTAAAAATAAACCAGATTCCCATAGAACCAAGTAGAAGGACTCGTATGGCGGCAAAAGCGCGTTCTCTTCCTCGTATTCCGGGCAAGATCACACAAAAGCCAATGATAAGTGCGAAGGCGACCAGTAAAAGCGGCAGAAAGACGGGTTCAAGCATAACAGGAGTTCGTCTCTCTTTGAATACTGGGATTTCTACCACGTCGGAACTCATTTTCTGTCTGAAGACGGGATTAGTGCTAAGTTTAAGTTCAAAGGAAAAATTACCTGTGGAGTTTCTTTGTGGTCTGTGTGGCGTTTGTATCGAGTTGAAATCTGTGGCGCAAAAAGTGAAGGGGCCAGAGAAAGTTCAAGTGGTTGAACGTAATTTGAATAAAAGTCGAGGAGGTTTCACCAGGTTCGTCACCAGTTAATTATTTGAGATTTATTTCGTTGGGAAGCTAGAAAATGAATTGACTTTTAGAAAAAGTGTTGATAGTTTTAAAACGTCTCGAATTTATTCCAATTATTCATGGCTTCTGGCAACTCTAAGTCAAGTAGCGTGGAGAAGGGGATTTTCTCTCGAATTACGTAAAATCGTACTCGCACGCTTTTAACTTTTGAGAATCAGCATAATCATGTATTCATTACAATTACTGAGTTGGTTACCTAAAGTTTTGGGAATGGAAAAGCGGGAATCGATGTCACAGCGTCGTCGGTCAGCAAAATATTGACTTTGGTTGAGTCTCTTGCTAAATGACCCGGACTTTTCAAGGGCTCAAGACATTGTTCAAAAGTAAGTAACTCTGATCGTCAGAGGAATCTTGCTCGATTGAGAACTGTTCGGACGTCGTAAACCACCGAAATGGGTGGCTTTACTCAAACCTTCAACTAATACGTGATTCAAACGACCCTTGGCGAGTATAGAAGTAACATGTTTCTTCAAAATGAATCTTTAGGTTTAATTTGATTTAAAAAGATAAGCTTTGGCTTGGGTATACATTGCATCGCGCTCTTTAGCATTTTGTTTGGGTTTGGTTCATAAAGAAAATTTCCCCGCGATATTCTGCGGTCTGGCTTATGCAACTCGCTTGTCAAACGGGCCGATAAACAACAATTGTCACGGTCGACGATGGCCCATTGCTTCCTCGAAGTTCAAAAATGCGAAGAGGAAGACGTTCACTAATTTCCTTGCTGACCGCTAATGTGGTACAACTTGTGGGGATGAATTGGTTGCTACTAGGCTCACCATTATCATAAATTAGCAATTTCGAATGGGAGCAGCAATTCAATCCTCTATCCTCTAAGTTCTTCTACAATGTCGACACGACATTAAATTGATAAAAGTTATTTCATTTATTATTCATACAAATGTTGAAAAGATATTTACATCGACACTCTCGTCAACTTTGCTAGCATCATTAAACCTTTTTTGTTGAATCAAGATAAATTGTCACAGTGTCATCACTGCTACGATTAAAAAATTCGATTAAAAAAAAGCGTTCTCGCTTTAGCCGTTTTAGTTTTCCTCTACTTCTGGCGATAATGTCTTCGTCGATAATTTGAACGATCTCTTTGCATTTTTCTCTAGTTTGAGTAGTATGATATTAATTTGTTTTTGTTTGTCTACAATTTTATTTAGATGCTTTCTATTTTTAAATAGTAGTGTCTTTGCCCGGCCCTGTAGTTTGACGTTATGGTCGCAATTCGCTGGGGCTGGGTTCGGCCCGCGCTTGCGATCCTCGTGGTGGTGGAGGCGCCAACCAACGAAAACTTCACTACACCGCCAATACGCGCTCTCTGATGCAATCGCGCGCACCTGACCCAATTTACAGTTTTTACTTTCCTGAACGTGTGCCCAAGCTCAGCGCAAAAATAATTCCTCAATACAGGAATAAAGATAATTGATAACGCAGTTTACGTATCGTTTCTCGCGCAATCGCTCTCTATATGTTTCTAATGAGGCTTTTGGACCAAAAAGCAATCACTTGAGCTGAAGTAGAAAAATAAAAATGATAGTTTCAAGTCAATCATTCAATAAATTTTCCCAAACTTTTCAGTAGATCAGTTTTTTCAGTGAATATCTTGTTCGATACATTCCTTATTTTCGAAAGAACAGAAACCTGAAATTTAAGAAAAGTGGTCCTCATGCAGAGCAGTTGGAAGAACGGCCCTTTTGACCAATGGGATTATAAGATGGAGTCTTGGCCACTTCATTACTGGGAATTGGCGGACGTCGCTTTTCGCGAAATTGGTTGAGCGCGGCAAGACACCACACTCAGCGCTCCACCAAGCAGCACCACACCGAAGTCAGAAGCATCGCGCGGGCTCGAGAAGGCTCTACTGCATTAGTCCGTCGTAACCCGCGCTACCTTGTGACATCAGAAGATGCCTCAACAGATGTCAACAACGACAAGCCACGAGAAACTGCATTCATCGAAGCACACTGAACAGATTGTCATCACTTGATCTTTCGAACTACGAAATTCTTTTATTACTATCAATTTATTCAGTTCTCCTAATTGAGTTTCATTTACTGAAAAAAAGCCCATTTCAGTCAACCCTTACCCAACGCAAAGTAACGCAAAGAAATATAGCTTGGTTCATTTTCTTTTAGAGACGTTAATGCGCGAACTTATTGAATTGAAAATGTAAAAGTCTTGGCATTTCGACGTAACCAGAGAGAATAGGCCACTTGGTCCCGCCCTGCTCTTGTTTACTAAAGCGAATGATAGAGAAGGAGTCTCGGAGATAGCTCCGCTTATATTTGGATTTGATAACGCCGATTTGAAAACATCGGAATCGGTAGCGGAGAAATGACAAAAGAATAGACTGGAACAAGTGTTGCTTTTCAAGGATAATCACAAGGCTGCAAACTACTGAAGATCACTTGATGAGAACAAACTGATTTTTGAAAACCCTTGGTCATAAGTTTATATGCTTTGAAGACATTGTCTTCTTTTAAATTTTTACGCGAAATCATAAGCGAGTTTTAATGGAACACCACCAAAAAAACCATAAAATTCAAACAGACTTGCATTAAATTCACGACGGAACAAATATCTAGTTGAGTGATAATTTTGCTGGGTTATTCCGAGATAATCTTCAGTTCTTCATTGCTTTCAAGGCTTACATGTCTTTTTCAACGAGCCTAAGAATATGTCTCAAACAGGCAAGATTTGTCAAGAGCGTTACAAATTTCTTGGGTAGTAAGAGATTTGTGGTGTCTAATTTACGAAATAAGAAATCGGTGGAGGCACTTACGAATGTACTCATTAAAGTTGCATAGTGGCGCCGGTGGAGTACGAAGAGGAAGAAAACCTGAGAATCGTAAGGCGCCGCGGGCATTTGCGTCATTCTTTCGATCAGTTCCGAGGGAAAGCGCGGCCAGTCCCGTGAGACTTAGCTAGGCCCAGCTAGAATAGCCGAAACAATAAACACAAAGACGAAAAACGAATCAGCGTTCACCCGTTAAAACAAACCGACAATTCACTTGGATACATCACATCTGAAGGTCCTTATTTAATCAAAATGCTACAAGTCCTTTTCCTGCTGATTTGCTAATTGATTGTTCTTTTCAAATTGGTTCTGCCCTTTCGAATCGGTGGAGACGAGGTAATCATCAAATTTTTTAATTTTTGAAGATTATCTTGGGATAGTTTTTTTGTTGAATGATTTATTGAGTTTAGATGATAGTGTTGAAGAACTCAACAGAAACATGTTCCTTCTCGAAGTCGACGGAAAGCTTGGCGGTGACGATGTCGGTGTTCATTCGGAAGAAAACTCGTCGGCCGAACTGCTCCTCAATCGTGTGAATCTCCAATGGCGCGCTCATGTGATTCTCTCGGAAGTCCCAGTCTTGAAAGTTGACGCCGGGCAGGAGCTCGACGAGGGTGACGACGTGGTCGAGCATCTCGTCGATTGACTCGAAGCTTGGTTTCTCGTCTGTTGGGAATTTGATCTGCATTGGAGGAGCATTCTTCAGCTCAGCAAAACCCATCTTGTCAGCGTGTGTGTTTTGCAGTCGGTCCTCTTGTTTGTTATCGTAGTTGTCTTGCTGTGAAAATCGGATAACTAGAATTATTGTTTGTGACGATGAAACTCCCCGCCGGGCAGGTTTTTATGGCCCAAGATTACCAGGTGGCGCACTTTTCGGCGCACTCTCGCGGCTATTTTTGGAAGCAGCCTCTCGAAAGTCTGGGAAAGTCTCTGTTTTAGCACCTTCGTTATCAAACTTTGAAGGACCGCAGGATCGTTTTTTAGTTGACCTCTCGGAAATGCGTAAATTTCAACCACGAAGCTATCAATTTGAAAATAGATCGCGAAAAACTCTCGAAAAAAACTACCTAGGCGGATTTTTCGCCGTGAATCCGGATCTGTCAAGAAAAAAAATGTGTTTTCGAGTTGACGATTTTCCCGCCAAAAATTGAACAGCTTTGCCAAAGCCAGGATTTAAGAAGTGAACATTTTATTTTATATCAAAAAGCAAAAATATATAAATATTAACCAAGAACAGCTTGGTAAAGTTCAGAGTCCTCGACTTCTTCGACTTGCTCTCTGGCAATCAGGAGGGCCACGACCTATAAATTGTTTTTTACGAATAATGTTCTTAATTAGTGATCAATTACTTCATCCGTGTTTCGAAGAGTTTGAACAGCAAAGTTGTGTGTGACGCCGACGAGGTTAATGCCGTTAACTTCAGCGATTTGATCCGCAACACGGATTCCTTTTTTGGTTTTCTTACAGTCCAACTACATGAGACACTAGCATATCAGAAAACCTGTTGCCTGCTTTTTCCGCTGCGCCACCTTCAACCACGTGTTTCACATAGATTCTGTGGAGGGGTTTTTATTTTCAAACCGACTCATTTTCTGATTTGCTCTGGAAGAAAAGGAACTTTATGAGTGTTTATGATTTCGATGGCGGAGCTCGTATGAAAAATTAAAAACCGTGATCCCCGAGTCGCTCGATATCTGGATCTACCCCCATTGCGACGATTCCAAGTCCAAATCCTGATGAGTCCTTTTCAAGTGTGACCATGTATTTTGTCATTTCTTCGAGTCGAAGTTCAAGCTCGTAAATAGCTGTCAACGGTGATTTAAAATCCTCTTCGCAATGCGAAGTTCCCATCATATATCATTTGATGTTAGTGAAAATGACGACCGATTCCTTGAGAGACATTAGGATCCACGTCTGGCTCGGCTCTTTCATAATCCTCGCTAAGATGGGTTTCGCCACAGAGAATGGGCTCAGTACTCCATCTGAGCTTCTTGCGTGTAAGAGGAATCTCCCATGGCTCCTCTTTTGGCATTCCTGGAACAAGTTTGTAGGGAAGATCGTAATTCCAGTAGACTTTTTTCTGCGCTGGCGGCTAAATTTTTGGTTACGTATGATAATCATACTATTATTTCTCAAAGGAGGGGCAACTGAACGAAAGAGTCGGGCGTCCGATTTTGGCGCCGAAAATAGCTTCGTGCTAATCCCATCAAGAAAGACACCGCTGAGAACGGCAAAACGCCTTACCGATCTCTTTCTCTCGCTCTTATAAAAAGTGCTTACCTCTTCATCCTTTTTATACTTGCTCGAATTCTTGTTTCTTATTTTTCTCCACAGGTTCTTGATGGACTTTCGCTTTGACGTCTTCCGATCCAGATTTGATGAAGCACTGGGAGCAATACTGGTCACCTCGTCGTCATTGCTTAGACTCCTTGGAGATGATCCGATGAATGAGAACTTAGAAAAAGTTAGTTTAAAAAAATATAAGATAATCCTTGCGATGTTTTGGCGGCGAACGTATTCTTCTTCCTGAAACCGCACAGGTGAAGCATCTCTATTGATTCTTGCTGAACTCTTTCTGGTTGCAAAAGTGCGAAATCTCATTGAGTAAAATATTTCGAAAAATAAATAACAAATATAAAAAACACGAGTTCGAGAAAAAATAGTTGCACATGCAATTGAAAATTTTATGTAAAAATCTCGATTTCGACTTTCACAGCCTTCCTGAATCTCCTTTGTTTGTGAAGAAATTGTTGTGCAAGAGCTATCTCTTGAAAAAGTTTTTTAGTCTCGTGGAATTTTTCTTTGATAAATGCCCTTTCAGGGTGATTGTCGAATTCGTCTTTTTTCAGGGTTTATCTCTACTTATTTATTTGCGAAAAATACTTTTTTTAACCCTTGACAAGTGCTTTACTTCTTTCATTTCTAGTCTTTTTCAAATTTTCAGAGTCGAAGAATCTTCTTGACTTGCGGAAACTTCGGTTACGTGACTAGAATGGACGCAAATCACAAAGATTATCCACAAAACTTACCTCTCTAGTAAGTTCCAAGCTTTCACGCCTGGTTCTTGAACTCATCCTTACTTAATTTCTCTGTCGATTTTATTTACTTCCGCTCAGCGTAAGCCCTTCATTTAAATGTTTTAAGAGGGTAGACGTAAAATATTTAACAATTTATTTTTTCGTATTTATAGATTTTTAACATCAGTGACAATGATTGAATGTAGAAGAGAGTTGCATGTTTCGATCTTATTTGTTTCTCGACTCGAGTTCTTTCAGACAATCCACGCGAACTTGAAGACTTTCTATCATTTCCTCGAGATCTTCAACGCTCACGGGCTAAATAGTTAGGAATGAGTTGTTGGCTGATTTCAATACTTACCTTGTCTTTTTCTTTGGCGTATTTGGATTCAATCACTGCAAGAGCTTGGAAGATTTTTTTATACAAATCTTGATTATCGTCCATATAAAGAGGTGGGAGGCGCAAAGAGTGTTGCCCCAAGACTCTCGGGTGGTTGACTTCTTTGTGCGCAGAACTCTTTGTGCTCTTTCTCAGCCAAAGCACCATGAATTTGACTAACCAGTAGAAATCCAGGAACAAGATCAGTGGTGGTGTTATTGGCTTAATAGATTAATCGACAACTAGAACTAGCTATTACCGAGTACCTTTGCAGGATTGTTGTAATATTCGATCACCAAGTTGTATCGTTGTTTCTTCCAGATGATAGACGAGTCTCCACGCACTCTCGAGTACGTAGTCGCAAACATAGCAACGAGCAAGTTGAGAATCATGACAACAGCGAAGAGAACGTACAACATCAGGAACACCGAGTTAACCCAGTACTAAAATATCAAGATAGTTTCAAATTCGATGCAAAAGCATACTCTTTCAGGACATCTCGAGAAATCGCCATTCTGAGCATTTGGATCGCTTGGAATAAAAAGAGCTCTTTCGTCTCCTGCAAGATTTTGAAACTCAGGAATTCCATATTTCACGCTGAAAGAATCGAATCAACACTTTTTTGACTGTTGTTGTTTACCTCATCCATTTCGTCTTTTCATTTTTGAAAAGATTAACATCAACTATAAGTCCGTTTTTACGAACGGCGAAGTTGTCTCTTAGCGATTGCAGCTCAATTAGACCGTACACTGAGAGTGGCGAGTTGTTTGGAAGTAAATTTTTTGGACGATAGTAGGGAACATCGTACAGTGGGTGAGTTTCCTCCACTCCTGATACTGTCATTATCTTATCTTGGAGATATGAGTACTAAAGAAGCGATTATCAATTTTAGCCAACTTTTGGATTTACCTTATTTCCTTCGGGATTGAATATCTCGGTGTCGTTGGCGTTGGGCGCTCCCCTTGGCGTAAGAAAGATACGGCTGTTCGGGATGCAGTTGTCAACAGTTTCGAAGGCGTAGTCTGATAATTCGGATTTGAACATTTCACCGAAGAGCATCATGAATGGCTTGAAGAACATTGTCTCATACTTGGAAGCTCTTGTCTCGTTCGGATACAACAAAGACATCATAATAATTCCGAAAGGAACAACGAAAATCAGTAAAATTCCACAGAAGACAATAAAGTCCTTGATCATTTCTCCGATAGCGATTGTAAGAGGTCCTTAATATTCAAATTTGCAAATCGGCTATTGAATACGGTCTTTTACCAAGAAGACTATTTAGTGCATAGAATTGCAGGGCCGAGACGAACATCATGAAGAAAGCAATCATATAGCAGAGGTGAGCCCACTTGACCAAAACGTTCACTTCAAAAAAGCTTTCGTCGGCCAGTTTTGTGTCGTAAATCGCATTACTTAAAATGACCGGTGGACACAGCTCGCTCTCAGTTGCTGTTGAATTTTCACCAAAGAGCCGCTCAGCTTCTTCCGGAGGAATGGCCTGATAAGCCTATAATTTGTTTTATTTTATGAATAACAGTGCCCTTCTGACCATATATCGGAAGATAACACCGAGGATAGAGAAGGCTAGTGCGATCATGTATATCCAATTGTAGCCATCGTTCAGAAGTCCGTTTATCTTTTGCCTCACTTGCATTAGGCTTTTCGGTTGTTTTGTTTTTATGTCCGTGTCAATATGATTTGTAAGGCGCGCCATCAGAAATTATAGCTCTTTCACGATTCTTTAATAGCTCCATGTTTGCGAGAGAAGACAGATTAGAATTTTTGACGAGCAAAGTCGCCGTACTATTTATTAATCTGCTGATGCGAGCCACTTGGGTTATAACGAGCTTCCTCGTAAATATAGCATTTCAACATATTCCCAATATTTGAAGACAAATTTTTATGAGAGCTACTAGTAGTTAGTTGCTATCAATCATTGTCAGTGTATGCCGAAAGCCGTTCCTGTGCAACCACTCATCGCAATGAACTTCCTGACTCTTTCCATGCACGTGGCGAACAAAGTAACAATAACTACATATTCTTGCCACTGCGGCTGTAGGCAAAACTTTCGCATAAGGACCCAAATGAAGAATGCCAGAAAGCCAAAGAAAATTAGAATGTTATAGAAAAATGTTGTCACTGGCGCTGTCATGAAAATTGCTAGCTTCTTGAAGTATCCTAGTTCGCGAGTGTCCGTTTTCTAAATGCTTTACTTATTTCTTTAGATCGTCGTAAGTAATAAATACGGTTTTGTTCTTCTTGGTCTTCTTGAGTGTGCTCCAAGAGAAAATGGGGGCATCGTAGTCGACATGAATATCGTTGGCTGAAGGCAGCATTAGCGGCGCGATAGGCGGCAGCAGCCAAGCAGCAATCAGCGGTCCCCATCTTCCCTCTGGTTCTATTCCTCCGTACCAAATTTTCGTGACAAGTTCTTGAACAGTGTCAGTCGCCATGACTTTTTTCAAGTCGCCGAAAAAGGCCAAATCAAGAATCGATCGATTTGACAAGTTAGCCATACGCTGTCGGATTCCGATAAGAGCAAATTCTCCATTTTCTTTCGCTGACGGGGGTTTCAAAAGATAGAAAATGAATTTAGGTTTTTTAAAAAATAATCTTCGAGTGTATTGTTACCCTTCCTATTTCGGTTATTAAATCTACAGACTTATCTTCGTATTCGTTTGCTAGCTCCTTGTATCGGTCCTGAACACCTGTGAGGCAGACCTCCTCACAGAGGTCGATGCATTTTCTTGCCATGACTGCGGCCTGGATATAGTACTTTAAAGGTTCGAAATGGGCACTCTCGTCGGTTTGACCAGCTTTGCTTTCGTCGAAGCATTTGCTCGCTGCTTTGTTGATAATCAGTTCTAGCTTTTCCTTTCGATTGCTTACGACGGCCCACATCATAAGCTCCCTTCAATTCAGGGCTGAAACTACATACAAACAAAACTTTACCTGATGACATAATTGTACTCATGCATTTTCTTGTCACTAGCTGACAGTTTGAACTCGTTGTCATAAGGTCTCAGCTGTTTTTTAACGATTCTTTCGAGGTCTCTCGTGATCGAGCCCGAAAAGTTCGTCATGTTGCTCTTCCAGTCGCGACGCATGTTCCAGTATCCCGATGTTCCGAGGAGCTTGTCATCGAGAATATTAAGGAACTCGATGAACATCTCATCCTCAATAGTTTTCTCGCTGTTGAAGCGATTCTTGAATGGTTTTTCGACTTTATTAGTCGTTCCAGATTGGTAGCTTTTAAAGAAGACGTTAATATCAAAAACGGTGATATGACTTACTCGTCAGAGTTTTCCTTTCGAACTCTTCTTCTTTTTACTTTCTGTTGAATATCCTCCCTTTCAGAAGACTCGAAATTCAGAATTCTTTATTCACTGAATTGAAAAAACGCAAAAATTTTAAGATCTGATTTTGACTGAGAACTATGGCTTCCTTCACTTATTTTTCATTTAAAATTTCGGCCTCTTCATGAAAAATCCAGCACACTCTGGGCCAGGGTTCTTTCCATATTTTTCGGGTGAAGATAAAGCTCCATCAGTAGCCTGGGGCTCAGCTGAGCTGTATTTTCGAGCAACTGCTCCATATTTTCTTTTTTTTCTTTTTTTTTTCTCTTTTAATTATATTAATAATTCATAAGTTTAAAAATCTAGATGGCTCTTTTTTGCGGAATTTAGTCATGCGGGAAAAAAGAGCTGCGAGACTAAGTCTACTGCCACTAGGTTGCTTTTCTGTTGAAGGGCGATTTTACGATCGCAACAGTTAAAATCGAGAATCGAGAAAGCTCGATCCTTTTTAGCAAAATCTAAGACGGATTTAATTTCGCTTACGAGACTAGGTTATGAAAGTTTTGAAAAATAAATAAAATTAAGCAGAAAAAAATGAAGCTGAATTTTATTATTCTTTGTTTGGATCAACAAAAAATACCGGTTGACCTTTCGAGTTTCCAAAATGTTGGAAAAGCGATGATTTTTAAAGAAATAAATATTTTGCTGCTACACTGACCCGGAGCTAATCAGTGCTTGTTTGCACATTACTCCAGCATCTTAGAATTTGAAAAATTTAACGATGAAAGCTTGCTTCTACTTTTTAATTGTTTCAGCAGCGAGTCTGAAGCCGCAGTTTCGCAATGGAGTCTTGCAGAGTACAGACACGGACGGCCTATTTGTTTGAAGGGATTCAAATCTTGTCTATCTCGAATTTAACAAAGTTAGCAGCAATAATAATGTTTTGCATCCCTGTTTGATCCAGAGTCGATGTGGGATTTGGGCCATTTTCTCATCAACTATCCTGTAACGAAACCAAATAGCCGTGTAATGGAGAAAGTATTTGTGGATTCGGAACAGAGAGAAAGGGAAGTTGTGACTGGCTGGAGCTGCACTTTTGACAAAGGTCTCTGCGAGAGCTGGATGACGAAAGAGGTCCTCAGTGATAGCATAAAAGAAGATATCTCGTTGGCGACTAGGATACTTGATGGAACGAAACCAGGCAACTGGTATATTCGCAAAGATAAGATTCACAGATCGTAATTTGTTTCCCTTTTTGACTGGTCGATCAATTTTGCGATTTCTAAATCTTGGTAAGCAACGATCTCAGTCCTATCTCGACTGGGCCTTCTATCGATCATACTTACTACTCCGTCGTCGGCAGTTTTATAACGACGGCTAATTACGACGTTCTCAAAGATACTTCTTACATTCTATTCACCGAATCAATGGATCTCATATACTCACAGGAAAATTGAAAAATATTTCACTCATAAAATTGCTTCAGTCTTTTTCACTTTTGACAGTATTATTGCTTAAGTTTTTGGTATCACATTTATGGGCGATCGGGATCAGAACCCTCAAAATTCGAAGTTTTGATCAATAAAAATCCAAAGAATAAAAACGCAGAGGGATGGAGCAGTCTCTTCCAAGTGAACACGGATGTTTCAAACGATCGTTTCGATTGGAAATATGCATCTCTAAACATAAAACCAGATTTGGAGAAAGAAAAGGATTGGAAAACAGTGCTTTTCGCGCTTATTGCCCGCCGTGGAGGAGGATATATTCCAGACATTGCCATTGACGATGTTCAATTGAGATCGGACAAGTGAGTCTCTTATCTTGAATGTAGATTGAATTACTCTTTCTACTAGGTGCCCCGAAATTCCTCCAAGACAGAAAAGCGAACAAGAACTCAAGGAAATCGAAAAGCGAATGGAGAACTGGAGTCCTCTTGGAACAACTCCAGCTGCACCTATTAAAGTACCTCAGAAGGATTTTTATCGACATGAATTTTTCACGGCAGAGTTCAATATCATAAGTATCTAAATAGAATTCGTGCAACTACTTAACCTGCCGACGCCAAAGGCCGATATCATAGGCCGACGCTAAGCGTTTCACTCGGCTACCGGGGACTCCCTGTACCATTTTGAAGTTAGTTCTTGAACTCTGAACTACGACGCCAGCCCCTCGAGTTCATGTTCAATCCGCTATTGATAAAACTAAAGAAGAAGGAAAAACAATAATCGGACCGCTGGGATCTTCGAGAGAGTTTGTAGGTTATGTTACTAAGTTTTCCGCGGACTCCTGTATTCAAAACGTTCCACTCGGAGAGTTTAAAGACATGAGAAATATAGACAAAGCAATTTGTTGCGGGAAAGGGTTCAAATCTAAATCTTCAAGCGAGAGAAAGACTGAAAATTCATTTTATGCTAATGATTTTAATCCTATTGACTGAGGCCGACCTTATCACAAAGTGTCGGGAGACTCGTGTTGCGAATCGCGTCCCTTCTTCCAACGAAAACAAATTTGCTGTGCCGGCGAGGTGTTGAACAAGCGAAAATTCGAATGCTGCGAGGGAAAAAAGATTGGGAGGTTTCATCTGACTTTAACTAGCAAAAACGAAATCGGCAAGAGCTCCCAAAGAAAAGTCATCGGAGATCTGTTGCGGAGGGAAGGCGCAAGCTAGATACCCAGGAGCTAAATGTTGCGAACAAAAGAAAACAGTTTATAATCATAACAAGTATGAGTGCTGTGGCTCAAGAATATACAAACGCGGCGATCTAAAACGAAGAAATGAGTTTTGCTGTGGAGCTGTTGCATATAGGTCTGTAGTTCTTTCATTTTAGAATCTAAAATTCAGACGATTACCCGTTTTAGCTTTGAAACATTTCCCGATGGATGCTGCAATCAACAACTACTCCAGGGTGGGAAAAGCTGCTGCAGCGTTACCCGCTGGAAAGAGCGTGTTTATAACGAACAAGATGAAATTTGCTGCGACGGTGTTTTCTCTGCCTATCTTTACCAGTGTAAAATCACGAAAAAGGGAGAAAGGAAAGTACTGAAGCTGACCAACGATCAGCGAAAAGCTATGTTTGATGTAAGTCTAAGACAATTATGGTAGAAAGAAATTTATTCCAGATTGATTTCCCTGGCGAGTACCGATGGGTGAATAAAGCTGCATTCGCCGCGATGGTGAAAGGAACTGGAAAGCACGTGAAATTGTCAGAGGATGAATACGAAGATTATATGCAGTCAATACTCTCTCCTGGAGCACCGATCTTTTAGAATTTTCAATACACATTCGAGTTTTTCTTTGTTGTTTTGTTGAGTTAGAAGCAGGAGCCAAAGTCTAAAAGGAAGACAATCAAACTTGAAATAATCTACGGAGCATACCTGAGAATTTGACAGGCAGAAGAAATGGTCGCTTGACACCGTACAAATAACTGGAACTATCTTTTCGCTCATCTGAAATTGCATCCCAGCTTTCAATAGGCATGTTTGTTCGTGACGATCCAACGTGAAAGATTCTTGATCCGATTCGAACGCTCTGAAAAATTGTGATTGCTGCTACAATTGAAAACATACAGAATGGTCATAACGTGGTTCGACTAAACTTGATCTGCGTCGCCATCTGTATCCGTCATACTCGATGACGAAGTCCTGAAAAATAACCATCAAGGGCTAATGAATTAGACGAGCACCTTGATTCCATAAAAGTAGCCTCCAAAAACGAATATTTTCTCGTGGATAGCAATAGCAGAATGAAAACGTAAGTTTGTTGGTAGGTCTGCTCCGTAATTCCATTCATACCCTCCATAAACCTTAGCGCTTTTATATCCTCGAAGGGAGAATATCCAAATCTACCTCTACTTTGTTTGTATATTCGTCGTACACGTCTTGGCCAGCGATAATAACAGGGTACATTCTGTAAGTGACCATAGCCGCAAGTGTATGCCCACTTTTAGTGCCTTGAATCGCTCTAATTCTATCATCGTCAAAGATGTAGCAAGCTCTCCTATCTTCCCATGCACCGCACAGGTAAACAGCGTCGAAGCTTACTGAGCAAGAATGAAAACTCATCGGTATGGGCAGTTCTCCAGATATCGGAATTATAGAACAACCGGTTAAGAGGTGAATTGAACGTGCGAGACGCCCTTGTCCACCGAAGAACAAAGCATGTCCTTTGTAAATGGCAGAACACGATCCATACTGGTTGTAACCATCAGAAGAAATCTTCAACTGGTCTACACTTAGGAAGGATATCTAAATAATTTCTCTGGAATGGATTTCAAATAGAAAATATTCCTATCCTTTCACCGCCAACTTCATTGCTCTCCATCCATCGATACAAAAATGCGTTAGAGGAAGAAATGACTAGAATCGCATCCACAAAGATACTATCGACAGAGATGTTGTAATTATTTAGCGACTCATGTAGAAATGTCGTTCTTGAGGGAGTAAAATTTGTAGGAATAGTCTCCACCACATGAGTTGTTGTTGAAGTCGTTGAGATCGTCGTTGTTTTCTTTGACATAATTATTGAAGTATGAACAGTCGTCGAGACTGAAGTTGACAGATGATTTTGCACGTGAGACTGTTTAGCTGGTTCGGTTTCTGTGCTCAAGCGGCGTTTTTTGTACTTTCTGCACCACTTTTAGCAAAATTCCACAAATGATTAATTTAAAATGACACTCTATATTTGTCTTGTAGAAACTTTTTTATGGCATCCACAGCCTTGGAAACATGGTAGGTGGCAAAAACATGCTTGAATATTTCTGATTGTTTGCTTGTAGCAGGATTTGAAGCAAGTTCTATCAAATATATCGCATCCATAAAGACAGACTCCTTGAGTTGATAGAGCCAACGTTTTGCATTTCCTCGCTGCAGTCTCTGTTTTCTCACAGCAATTGAACTTGTTTGGGTAAGTGATTGTTAGGAATAGTGAAAAATATCGTTATTTAAACCCTGTTCCCCGTGCACAAGGACATCCTGCGGAGCACTTCGCATTACAAGGACAGTCATCTCTGCAGATAACTAATGTCTCTGCGCATTTTCGATGGCAGCGTTGTCGATTTCGAAGGTCCATCTTTGGGCACCCAGTAAAACACGTCTTCCATTTGTGCATGCATCTCTGCTCGCACTCAACTTTCAGTCCTCTGAGAAGGTAAACAGGCGGACATTCACTCGAATCATTCTTAGTGAGTTCACCTCCCTGGTGCATTGCAACTCGCTGCCTCTGTGCTCACAAAAAATAATATAAACGTTGGAATCATTGTTTTTAAAGTCATTGGTTTATTTAAGCTAGGTGCCATACTCAGACGGATTTAGTTGACTGTTGATAGCTTTGGCATAAAATTTACAGCTCTTCCCAGCCTAGCACTAGAACCCTTGGCACTAGAATCAAGGCAACGTACACACATAGAAGCAAAGAGCGGAACACACACCCCTCACCATCAATCATTTCACGTATTCGACGACATTCAAGAATTCTCGAATTTTTTTACTGTTATTTACGTTTCGAACAAAAATGTATTTCTTTCGAGAATTTTAAAACTAAAATATTTAAAATTTAAAAGTTTTTATCTTCGCCAGGTAGCTCTAATTAACGTGTTATTGATGAAGATAGGTGGCTTCAGTACCACAAAACACGATTTCACTACGCCTGGCAAGCTTGCTAGTACTGAATGGCTCTGATCTGGCCTGCCTGCGGCCCAGCCTCTCCCTGATTTTCTCCATCCCTTTTTACTTCCTCCTTTGATCAAGCGAGCGCTGACCTTTGAGTTTTCTTTACTGCGCCTATTGCTGTCGCCGATCACAAATCAGCAAGCTCCCACATCCCACAGAATAGAGAGCTAGAATGCTTTGAGTGACTGCCAGTTGATTAAAATTGTGCCACTCAGAATGCAAGCCACTACTTTGCCAGCGGCGCCAAATGATATTCTCATCTACCGATCAACAATAGGGTTCATCCAGCAACACACATTTTAAGAGAAATACGACAAAATCTGCGACAAAAAAAGCAAATCGAAATTTTAAAATTTTTCTTTATACCATAAAATTTCGCTTTGCATTGCAAAAATACTAATAACCTTTTAGTTGAAACCATTCTCATTTTAGAATATGAAATTTGAATATTTGTCGCTAGCAGTTCCTGTTGCATCAGTGAATGGAAATAGGCATCGCCGTGCTGCCTGGACTTATGCTGGTAATTTTGTTGGAATTTCTTGCTTTTGAAAAGGAAATTTATAGAGCAAGGTGCCAATTGGGAGGCTCCCGACTGCTCTGGGAGCAAACAAAGTCCAATCGACTTGACTGGAGATATGGAGCATAAAAAGCACATTCCTTTAGAAAGAGTCAATTATGATGCCGCCGGCAACTGGACATTGATGAATTCAGGATACACCATCAAAATGACCCCTTCATCATCAGAGTAAGTCCTTTCCTCGTCGACACAAATGTTCACCCAGAAGTTTAGTATCAAAGTGAGCGGAGGTGCTCTTGGTAACGATTACATGCTCGCTCAGTTTCATCTTCACTGGGGAAGTGCAGAAGAAGGTGGCTCCGAACACGTGCTGAACGGAAAACGTTTCTACTCCGAACTACACATTGTTCATTTCAAAGCAGAGTATGGAGGGTTAAAAGAAGCACTTGCTCATAATGATGGCCTCGCCGTTCTTGGATTTTTTATCGACAGTGAAGAAGCAAATGACGAAGGCCCCTTCGATGATTTTATCAGAAAAACCGTCGCTAATAATGTCGAAGAAGCAAAATCAGAAAAAGAAATTAGTGATTTTTCAATGGACAAGTTATTGCCAGCTGAACTAAAAGACTTTTACAGGTATTATTCGAGATTTCTAACTGAGCTAATTTTCGGCAAAGATATGAGGGAAGCTTGACCACACCGACATGCAATGAAGCAGTTGTATGGACGGTCTTTAACGAGCCGATTAAAATAACCAAAAGTACGATGGAGTTTATGAATCGATTCACAAAGGTTCCTATATAGCCTTATATCAAAGATCTGATATTTATTACTCTCCGAGGGACTTCTAGTCAATCTATATTTCTTTATTTAATAATAAACACAAGGACGCTGAAGGGAAAACCCTAGAAAATAACTTCCGAGCGCTGCAGCCATTAAATGAACGCAAAATCACTCATTATTCCAAAACAATGATGGATGAGCACGATCATGGCAATCACCCAGAAGGACACGACCACGCCGATGAAAACGACCCGGCGGCGGAGCCAGAACCTGAGCCTGAAACTGATTCTGAGAAGGACGCGGAGGAAGATAAGGACTCTGACGCAGAGCCCGAGCCAGAGGGTTCCTCAGCTGCAATTTACAGTTGTGCAGCTTCTATTGCCACATTAATTTTGCTGCATTCGCTTTAAAATATTTGATATGAGTATTACTACACATGGGCTCAATGATTTAACAAAACGTTTTCTGATGCAATTTGTTCTCTTCTTCTTTTTTTCTGTGACGCCTATCAAATCGCCTCAACAATTTCACTAACGTGCCAAAAGTCCGAGGAATAAGTATCGAGTACACTCGAGCCTGATACATTCGAAGACCCTTTAACAACTCTTTTCTGTCTAACACAATATTTACTGCTACCATTGCGAACTGAACAAATAAAATTCAATTAATTGCAATCAGGATTCATAAAAACACAACGATGATTGATGCGTTTGAGCATCCGGTCGTTATGGTTCAACTGCGTAAATGAGGTTAAATCTTCTCAACAATGGGCGTCATCTTTTGAATTGCTCGTCTTAGAATAATATATCTTTATGATTTCTGAGGAGATTTTTTACCCGGGATGGACTGAGTTGGACTGGGAGATTCTGAGAGAAGAAGGTCGAGTGAGCTGTTTTAATTGCACTTGTGCGGATTTGCCGGACGCGTTTAGGTTAAATTCAATTCATGGTAAACGATTATCGTAGTTGCGTTTAGTCGGCTCCAGTACGTTGAGCCAGTAAGCTGGTACTTGCTTCTACTACGGGAACTCCCTGACTGTCCAACTGACGCCTTCAAAAGTGAGTGTACTGCTCGAACATACGCTACTACCCCGCTGCGCGATCACATTTACAGCAGAATATGCGATGGAGGCTTTAATTCAAACGTGATCGACGGGTGTGAGAATGATTTTTGGAATGTTTCAAGCTAAATCTTACGCAAAAAGGTCATTTCATTGTGAAACTACAAAAGCAATACGTTAAGCGCAAGTAAATTCGAGAATCTTAGCTTGGATTTTTATTACTACAGGAATAGTAATTATTCAAAAACATTTATACTTCTGAAAACAACAAAGTTACTCGATGAAGTATGGATTTTATCCCTTTCAACGATCTACAAGACTGTATTTTCGATAGCTCAGTTACGAAAGAATTCAACGCTTTCCAGCAGTGCCTAACTACAGAAGCAAAGACGACTGTCATTGTTATTTTGGCTTTATTATCGTTGCTGGCACTTGCAATTTTATTCGTCAATGGACTTATTCTTTATATCTACATGAGCTCTAGGAGGATGCGCAAAAACTACGTCTATAACTTCAAGCTTTCTACTTCTGCTGCTGACTTGCTCATCGGAATCATTTATATTCCTTTGTTGGTTTCATATATCTTAAGGGACTTGTCCTTCAGAGACTCGAGACTAGGGGAAGCGTAAGCCGACAAGGTACAGAACTATAGCAAGAAGATAATTAACAAGATTGATAAGAAAGCGCCATAGGAAGAGAAGAGAGTAATGCACTCTTGAGGCAGACACTTGGTGGTGCAATGTTCTGCGCAATCTCGATTTCAATTTATTCGCTGACATTTCATTCGATCGAGCGATTTCTTGTTCTTCGCTCTTTTACGTTCAGTGTTAAAAAGATGAAGAATTTCTCAATAATATCAATATCGTTGATTTGGCTAATTTTCTCGGCTGTAACCGTTGTTCTTATTCAGCAGAAGGCATTCTTTCGCCACTCGCTAGGGCTAATTGTCCTTGGCGCAACAGGACAAGATTAGGGCTGAAGAGTAGATTTTACGACAATTGAAATGAGCAGACACCTAAACCTTTAGTAGACATAGCGATGATAACTTATGCGGTCTCAATGCTGGTGCCTTTGGTTTTTGTCATCATTGCTAATTTTGGCGTCTATCTGACTTATAAACGAACACGCAGCAGATTAAAACAACTTGATAGTGGAGCTCAGTTATGTTTTCGATAAATAAAGAGCAATTTTTGATTAAAAACAAATAACGCACATATTTCCAAAACGGACAAAAGCAATCGAAATCGGCCAAACTCGCGATGACTCTTATTCAGATGGTGGCAATCTTAGCTATTGGGATAATGCCTGCTTTCTTTGCAATATTTTTTAATCGCTCAAAAGAACTTGGCCTCATCGCCCTGTTCTTTATCCTTGGGAATTCAATTTCGAATGGATTAGTATATGTCTGGAGAAGTAACGAGTTCAAATCCAAATTCAAGGGAATTATAAACCCGTCCTTTCAGTTGTCACGAATTTCCCGAAAAACCAATACAACTACTGTTTCTTAATATGGAAATATCGATAATAATAATAAAACCGGATGAAGTTAATCGTGTTCATGGAAAAACGGCAGGCGCGCGCATATTATTTTCGCAGGGCGTTCGACAACGGTTTTTTTTTCAAGGTGGCTCGTTCGTGGTGGCGTGATTTGACGGTGCCGGAAAGGAACCGTATAAAAGCCATCTGTAAAATCTGAGATTCGCACTTGCGAGAAAACATTTTGAATTCCGTTAAGTCCATTTGTCGTGAGCAGTTTTTCGTCGAGATGAATACTAACCGAGAGCAACTTCAAGGTAAGAAAAGAAATGTAATTTCTGATGCGAGTATCTCTTGGATAGACTTTGATAAAAAGTGATAAATGCGTATATATTCAGCTCTCAACCGGGATGTAAACATCCAAGAGACGGGTCCTGTGAAGGTCGCCCAACCTTGCGAGACAACTCCGAAAGAGAATGTCGAGGAAATGACCTGGGAAGCAAATGACGCTGGATCGCTAGCTTTGGCAGATCAGCTCAAGAAAATTGAGGTCATGGATGAGGTAACATCAAAACAAGGGATAATTGTGGCCAACTCAATTTAAGTCCGATGAAAAGTGGTGCAAAGACCACGTAGAACAAGTCTACGGATACTTGCGCTTCTTGGAGCACTCGAAAGAAGTGCGACCGAATTTTCTCGCTCACCATGGGCAAAGCGCCTCGCCCAAAATGCGTCTGATTCTTATCGATTGGATGGTGCAAGTGGCGCGGCGATTCCGGCTCCTCAACGACACGCTCTTCCTAACCGTCGCGTACATGGATCGCTATCTCCAGCGCACGGAGACCGTTGAGAAGTCGAAAATGCAGTTGATCGGCATCGCATGCATGATGCTTGCATCAAAAAATGAAGAGATCTACTCACCATCTCTCAGCGACTTCGTTTACGTCTGTGACAGGGCTTACTCGACAGGTAGCAAAATTAGTAGCTTCGAGAAAATAAAACCAATTTCAGACGATATAAAAGACATGGAGCTCGAAGTTCTTGGTCGCCTGGATTGCGATCTATCCGTCGCCTACTCGCTTGAGTTCCTAAGACGATTCGCAAGAGTCGTCGAGGACACCATCGACCCTAAAGAATACACGATGTCAAAGGTAGGCGTTATCAATCGTGTCAGATGACAAACCTGGATTCTAGTATTTGTGCGAACTTGCTTTGATGGACTACGACCTGGCGAGCATGAAGCCGTCCTTAGTGGCCGCAGGTGCTTTATGGCTCTCTATCAAGCTGATCAGCGAGGGAGAGTGGTTGCCCATCCTAGAGCACACCTCGACGTACTCTGGCGCGGACCTAGAAAATGTGACCAATCTGTTGGCGAAATGTCTCTTTATGGCCCATTTTGGTGCGCACTCTAAAAAGTACACCGCCACCAAACAAAAATTTGCTGCCGCAACGGTAAGTCCAAATATCATCTTCCATACAATTTAAGTATATCTCAGAACTTCTCGATCTCCAAGTTGCCAATCATCACCGAAAAGGAGGGTCTACTCATGGAGCTCGCGAAGAAAGGAAAGAAATTTGCCGAAGGTCGTCGATGATTCCCCAAGCAAATGGACCTTCCTGTACATTTTTGATTAAAAATCACTTGAACAGTGATTCAAAATTTTGTTTCGTCTTATAAATAAAGCAAATAGCAACTAATTTGAGAGACTATTTATTGGAAATACATTTCTAAAAATCTAAAAATCTGATTCCATTTTCAATCAGAGCATTTTCTACGACAACAGCAAACTTGTCCAGAGCATCAACGCTAGGTATTTTCTTCGTTGAAGAGTCGTGATAAAGAAACTCATTAATTGACAAATCGAAGCAGCAGTTGACTTCGTTTTCTTCAAGACGAATATCAACAAACTCCTCGAATCTTCTTAATTTCGACATCTATTGTAAGGTTCTTATTCAAATCAATGCATAATTTGCTTATTATAATAAAACCTTTCACAGTGCTTCAAAAGTAAATTCATACTTTTTACAGTATCTTATTCTGACCACAGACTTGCAAGGCTGAGGGACTTTCTTATCCATGAAACTTTTTTCTTTCTTCGTTTGACAAAGGTCCATATGTGCCCTCTCTTTTAATGAAATTTATCACTTTAATACATTGGCGAAGCCCGTATTTAACGCCTGAAGTTCACCTACGAGTGTCACCTTGTCAAAATCTATTAATCTTGCTAACTAAGAATAAGCTTTCAAAAACTCATTTTCAAAGAGCATTTTTTTGCTTTTTGCTTTATTTTTTTGGAGAATATATGTACAGTAAGAGTGGATAGGAACCTAAACAGCGATATAGTTATGTGGGTTTCCGTCTTCGCTCTCCACCACTGTTCCAGAGCAAGTTCCGCTTGCCTTAATTTCAAAAACGTCGAATGGATTTCCCTCGCCATCAAAGGCGCTTAAATAAATTGATAGAAATTTAAGATAGCATTTAAGTTTACCTCATCCGGCAGCATTGCTTGTCAATAGAATAACTTCGCCTATTCGGGTAAAGACCGCAACACTTCTCTTTAACAATATTTCGAGGCGCAAGTTTTGGACATTCATAGCTTCCGCCGCCAGTTGATGTTCGATACTGCTCATCCACACAGTATCCTTTGCCACTCTGGTGGGCAATACCAGCCTTAGAAAAATAATATTAGATTTAAAGTAGCTTTAGGAAGTTTACCTGGCACTGCTGGCGGTTGAATTCCAAAGTTTCGGCAAACTTAGCGTCGCATTGACAAACATGCTCGCCATCGCTTTGAGCGTTACCAGTGCAGTCGATTTTCCTGTTTCCGTCAGCGTCAGTCGTGAAGACAGCCGTGTACTCCAAATCTTTGTATGTTTTTCCGTAATCCATTCCGATGCACGTGTAACATCTTCAAATATTATTTTTTAAATCGAAAATTAGCATTCGACTCACCTATAAAGTGTAGTACAAGCTGTATCAATCATATCTGCATTTCCCGAGCCTGCTGTGAAGTCTTCCAAGCTCTTGACCCCGTTTCTCCAGCAGTAGCATCCATAATTCGTGTATTTCGCTTCGATAGCTTGAAGAGTCTCGTCCATGTTTTGATCGAGAGGGTTCTGGCTTACTTCTCCTTCGCCTTGCATATAAGCGATCATCGCTGCCAGTGGAGTAAACTTCGAGGCATCAGTTTGTCGTCTGTGTCGTCCGCCGGACAGGTTTTTATCAACCCATTCTCCGACGATATTTCGCTGCACTTTATTCGTGTACAGCTCCTTAAAGCTGGTTGCACTTGCGAAAGCGACGAACGACAGCGAGAGTTTCTGAAAGTTGTCTTTAGAAATTCAATAAAAATGCTGAAGATTTTCATAGATTATGGCGTCCATAATATGGACCATAGTCTAAATCGAATGTTTGATAGTCTCTTTTTTCTTACCATTTTAATGTATCTTAAAATGCTTTAATGATAAAGCTAAGGAATATGCGCGTTTTATACAAAACGCCACGCTAAAGTGCGCCACCAGGATCCTGCTTGCATAGGAAACGTTTCTCCCGATACTGCTAGATAGCGACAAAGGGCTTTCTTCCGCAGTTGCACCAATGGCATACATTTGGTTGAAAGAAAATGACAGTTGAGGTATATAAAAGGTTTATTTTAAATAAAATAAATAATTGTATTCACAATTTCTCGTTAACAGTTGTGGCAGTTGATTGCGGCCAGTTTGTGGCAAGAGTTTCTTCGGTAGAAGATGATTTGACAGCTTTTGCAGCGATATGTTTGTAGCCTAGATAACTCATAGCAGTGGCACAGCGCTTTTGTACTTCTTGAACTAAAGTGATACTCGTTATTTTTTTTTTATCTTTACCAACGACCTCCAACTAAGAATGCGCACTTACGTTGAGAAGAAGAAAGTCTAGTTTTCCAGTTGTTGAGAGTGTCTTTCGTGTTCGCGTCGAACCAATTGCTTACATCCTCTGACGCGTCAAGTCCGAGGAATTGGTTAGTGTTGTTGATCACAGATTTTTCTACGTTCAGCTTTATGATCTCTCTTTAGTAAAAATGACTTACTTTTGAGAAGTAAATCTTCGAAACGGATTATCAAAAGTTTCTTTTTTATCCAATTTGAGCTAGTGGGATTAAGAAGGTAGTTCATGTTTGCGTTCAGCTGGTTGCAAAGAGTCTCAATTTTCCCGGACTCAGACTTTGCATGTTCTTAATTTTATCATTCAAAATTTTTAATGACAGTAACGACCATCTCGTCAACGATTCGAATCTTTCGAAAAGGCTTACCTAAAGACGCAAATATAGCACGTGGATCTCGAACAACAAAGATGAACTTCCAGTCAGCGTTTGGATTAGAGGCGAGATTTTTAACTTCCTCAAAATCACATATTCGATGAACTTTTGCGCCAACGATTGCCGCGTCTTGGCAGTATTCCTCGGCTGTCCGGATATTTACTGGGCCACACTTACTAAGCGCTTCTGCTTGTTTGAGCTTGTCTTCATTGGGAAAGGGCTTTTTGCAAAAAGGTGGCCGAATTAATGCTCGCGAACGATGTCGGAAGCAAATGCGATGGTCTGTACAAATCGACGCCGTCCATGATTTGCTTAATTTGGCTTTTCAATAGTTTTATACAGCTATAAAATTAACTATTGTAGGCCATTCCTATTTCCGCGCTTCGCAAAGATTTCCTCCTGATTCGGGAATTTACACTTATTGAGCTGATATAAGACGTGCGTCTTCACTTCTTTTTCTTTGTTGCATGAAGTTCCGAAGGGTGACAGAGGTTCGAATAAATACAGAGCGTCTGATCTTTGGTTTATTATCTGAAATTAAAATTCTTCAAATTTTCAATTCTCTCAGTATCTTTTATAATCTATGGAAAGTACCTGGCTGACGAAATTCGCCCCTGATTTGAATTCTCCAAGCATCAGGACAGACTTTTTTGTTGAGTCTGAGATGAGTTTGCTTTCTAGCTCTCGGCCTTGCATAGAAGCCAGCTGAGAAATTATCTTCGGGTCTCCTACGAGTTTTTGCTCCCTGTCACTATCTTCAAAGTCGACGTCGTCATCAATGTCGGTCATATCCTCATCTTCCGTGGATTCTCCTTGATCTGCAATTTTGCGTAGTTGGAATATCACTTTTCGAGTTTCTATTAAAAAGATTTCTCCTTATAAAAACTAAAAAAGAATAATACCTGAGTCCATCGATTTCCAAAGCTTGAGATTTTTCTCTTCCGAGTAAGCATGATGGAAAACAAGTCTCTGGACTAGGTAGAGGCCGATTCCAAGAAAAATAAATGGCCAAAAGCGATTTTGGTCCTTTATATGGACAGTTCGCATCAGCTGAAGGAGAGAAACCCTTGTTGATCGTACCGACTGGTTTTAGTCCGGTGCCACTTTATCTTTCTCAAATCCATCTTGCTGCGCCCGGCGGCGGTGCAAAATCATCCTTCCCAAAAAATATACATAAATCTCAGCTGAAGCTAACTCGTCGGAAAAATAGATTGAAAACAGAATGATACTTTCTGTTTTATAGTAGAATCTATGTATTTACAGAGATTACATAAAGTGTTCAATCAGAGTGAGCATTTTAAAAGAATATCTTTCCGGGGTTCATAATATTCTTCGGATCAAATACGTTTTTGATTGATTTCATCAATTCTACGACATCGTGGCCTTTTTCGTCAACAAGAAATTGCTTTTTGCCGAGTCCGATTCCGTGCTCGCCCGTACAAGTACCGCCAAGTTCAAGCGCCTTATTGGCAACTTTCCTGATAAAAACTGTCAAATCAAGTCAACATCTTTTTCGAACCTAGCTAGTTCTCGTATGTCCTGAATCTCTTCTTCGCTAGAAGGATCAACTCCCGTGAATATGTGAAAGTTACCATCGCCAACGTGGCCTATTATTATGGCGGTGTCTTTGGAAAATTTCGATTCCGCAATGTACTCCTTTGCTGAGAGAATCATTTCTGTGAGCTTTGATTGCGGAACACATGCATCGGTGGAATATCCTTGTTGTCCAGGACGGCATTGGCCCAAGGCTTAATGTGAATATTTAATGACTATGACTTGGTAACGTTTTCGTACTTGCATAATACGCCATGTGTCGGGCTTTCCAAAGAGTCTTTCTTTCTTCAGGATCCGCTGTTTCTTTCATCGACAAAACATTATTTTCTTCTAGACACCACTTCAAAAAGAAATATGATAAGCGTTACGGATCTAATCAACACGTACCTTCACAGTTTCTAGTTGTTCTTGGACTGAGGCAGGACTTCCGATGAGTTCAAAGAAGAGAGTCGGTTTGACATCGTTTTCCAAATTCGAGTGCTTATTAATAACATCTATCGACTTGGGATCTACGAACTCCATTCTCCCAACAGGGACACCATTTTGTAACACAAGATTAGCACAAGCCAGCGAATCTTCGATTGTCTCAAACGTTGCTATGAGAGCATGAAGATATTCTGGGGCAGCATGAAGTCGAACAGTTGCCTGAGTAAACATATTTGCCAAAAAAAAAATAATAAGATCGCCGGCACCTGTGTTATAATTCCGAGAGTTCCTTCTGAGCCGACAAGGAGTTCTGTAAGGTTGAAACCAGCCGAAGACTTCTGGAAGTGACGACCAGGGCCACCAGTATGAATTATTCGCCCATCGGAAAGAACAACCTCTAAATTGATGGTGTTTTCTTTCATTGTTCCGTATCGAACTGCTGCCGTTCCTGAAGCGGATGTGGAGCACATGCCTCCTATTGTTGCATCCGCTCCAGGATCAATAGGAAAGATTAATCCTGTATCCCTGAAAACTATTTAAAGCGAGTTTTGACATTTATTGTTGTTGCCTGATATATTCATTCAACGCGAGGCGACAAACTCCCGGCTGAACAACAGCTACGAAATCTTCAGTGTCAACTTTTACAACTTTGTTCATCTTTGCCATCGACACGGAAACTCCGCCTGCAGGAGCTGTTATTCCACCTTCAAATCCAGAACCAAGCCCGAAGGGAATGATCGGCAGTTCGTTATCATAGCAATATTTTGCGACTTTGGCCACGTCCTCTGTGCACGTTGGGAAAACAACAGCATCGGGCGCTCTTGTGCGATGATAGGACTCGTCGTGCGAATGCTAATACGGAAACGATTATTTTTAAGAGTGAAAGAAGCTATTTCGGAAATGTTAAAGGGGTTAAATGAAGTGAGCTTCTGAATGTGAGTATTTTAGTCAACGCCGTAGACTCCCGGTGAGTATCAAAAATACTTACTAGATATAAAGTTGATTGTCCAGCAGAAACATTTGCCTTGCCAATTAGGCCTTCGAGGGACGCTAAATGTTTAAACGTCCTCTTCGACAAAGCGTTGACGATCATCCTTCTATCTCTTTCTTAGTCTATCTCGTAGGCGATCAAAGATCAGCAAGGCCCGCACGAACCGCCAATGTGCGAAAAAACGACAAAAACAACTCAATCTCTCTGCTGCGATAGTTGCCAAAATTATGATTATCTTTATCTTTTATTTTGCTCTCATTTCTTAAACGGTCGTCTATTCTTTGATTGGGAAAATAGTGAAGTTTTCATTCAATTGTGAACTTTATTTGAGCGATTTCACGTAAAAGACCAGTTATGACAAATTGAATACTCGTAAGGGCACCGACGTCTACATGTTCTGCAACTTGGACTAATAATTTTACGGCTCGGCGATTCAGATAAGTTGGTAGTTTACTTTGTTCAGGCACCGAGTGTTCCGGCGGCCAGGCTGATATGTCGATGAAATTTTTGCTAAAAATTAGAAGACGGAATGGAAATTTTACTTACTGAAAGTAATTTGGTCTGGCGTAGGAAAAAGTTTCTTGCGTTTTCATCACTGCTGATTTGTTCTCATCTTGGAAGTCGAAGCAATCGGCGATCTGGCCGTATGAGAGCGTCACGTATCTGGCATCGCTATTGAGAAAAGCCTTCATCGCTCCCAAGGCAATCTGCACGCGTTCTTATGGCTTGATTAGGAGTCATTTTTATCATAATTATTATGAATCGGACGCTATCAAGCCACATCTTCAAAGCCATCTGCTAGTTCAATTTGATGCATCTTCTTCGAGCAGCGACTCACTTCGCGGAAAATGGACTTTTGTGTTTCAGACACGACAATGCTCACAACTTCATTGTCCTTTTCGACAACCCATGGGTAATCGTAAAGTTCAACTTTTAGGAATTTCGAATATCAATTATTAGAAAAATCTTCTAACTTATAAGAAACGGTTCCTGTCTTGTTCTTTCTGTATTGCGATGGAAGCAAAGTCGTTCCTTTGATACCACCAAAGAAAGTAGCAGCAATGTGCTTTGGCTTTCTGAAATGCTCTATCGAGATATTTAATGTCGAATAATATTGCCCAACCGATGAGTTTCTCGCCGACATGACTTCGTATATTTCCATTTAATTGTAATAGTTTCATCATCTGTTTGATTCCATCATTTTGCAGTCCTTTATCAAGATTGCCAAGGAGTTCCGAGTAAATTGACGAGTGTATCAGTGTTCTTTTGACATGTTCTTTCGAGTTAGATATTTAGCATTTTTCGTGATCTTCAGAACACAGTCCCCAGAATTACCACAATCACCAAGTTCTGGGCAAATAAGCTGGTACCCACTTTCTTGAAGTTGTTTTGGTCTGTCAATCAAGCCATATTCGAATATGTCGTTCTTAGTTGGACTTATTTCTATATTTCATATACAGTGCCTTTCCGAAATAAGAAGACCCGGGCGGGCTGGGTATGGTTGTAGTTAATTTAACTACGAACAAGAGATTTTAGATAAAAGGAAAATCCATTTCCTGGCCTCCAATTAGAATAAAATCGGTTTCGGTAATATTTGCAAGCGTAAGAGCACGATGATAAATTGTATAAAAGAAATCTGATGGACTCGGCGAAATGATTATATCTCCGAATCTCTGCATTTCTTCGGCTTTGAAAGGCTTGAAATTTCACACATATTGTTTAGATTATTAAATCAGCCCCTTGCTATTAGCTGCTGGTAGCCGATTTCCGCGACGAAAAGGGGCTGCACAGTAAAACGACTCGTTCGTTTCATCAGTTTGTAGTACTGACGATGGAGCATGCGAATAGCTGCTCCGTCCCAAACGTTCTCGTCCGACGAGGGTCGTCCTCCTATTGTTTTTCCTTGAAACGGAATGACCAGAAGGAGGTCGATTTTCACTTTGCCATGCAGGGCAATGTCATACTCGGCGATCGGAATTGTGGTGTTATCTTCTTTCATGATTTAGATCCTTCCTTTTTCCATTCAAGAGTCTCTCAAATTAAGAAATATTCATTTTAAACCATTTTCTCTCATTTCCCACTTCGGGGAGAACTCTTGCTCCTCATTTATTTCAAACTGAAGTTCAGCCTCTCTTTTTAGTTTTTTTAACTTCACAAAAATACAACTTCCAAAAAAAGTAAAAATACTTGCAGTCAGCAAGAAGCAGAAACGTGTCATGATTTTTGCTCTAAATTTATTTATTTTTTTTTTGTTTTTTTTTTTGAAAAGATTTCTTGCAAATGTCATATGCGCGGCAAAATTTGAGCAGGGCTTCAATGAAAAATAAGGCTTTATTCTTGTACAAATAATTTTTTACAGGGAATTGGGTCTTTTTCGTGTTCATAATCAATTCTCTTCGTGAAGGCCACTTTTTTGATTTGAATTCGAATTTCGTTAACATGAAATAGGAATCATTATTTTTCAAATCATTGTTCAAAATTTCCTGATTTCTAATAGCGACTTGGAAACGCGCCGCATTGACTCGCTGAACTGGAGCATCGCCAGCTAAAATTTAAAAGTTGATGAATCGTCTCATGTAGAAAAACGATTCGTTGATAGTTACTTACCATCGGTCCTAATTCTGGCGAGGTCTGTGCTTCGCTCGAATTTTTGTCTAGCAAGTTTATCCTCACTTTTAGGATTTCATTGCCAAATATTTTTCTTCAAATGACGATTTTGTTAGAAGGTGGCTTTCTATCCTTTCCTATTAGTTTATCAGCGACTTCGTCGAATTTTTCGCCCTGTGATTTGAGATGAAGCAGTAAGCTTCTGAGGTAGATAAATAATTTTCGGGTGTTTTCGTCGAATTTCACATCGGCTGCGGCGCCAGTTGGAGTTTGCAGAAGAGACTCTGAGGAGAGGCTACAAAAACTACTTCTATAGTGAGTTTTATTGAACAATTTGGTGCAACTATTGTGTTTTACTTTATATCGGGAACCGATATGTAAAATAGGAATAATCTGAAGCGGAGGAAGTAATTTTCCTTCAGAAACGTGTAGGGGCTTTCTTATCACGATGTAAATAGAAAATGTATGCCAGTAAATTCAGCCTACATAAAAACCACGTTTTTAAGAACTGCGACATTCTTTCTATAGTTATTACTATATTACTTCTACTAATTTATTCATCTTGCTTTTCAAAAAATAACAAAATAAAATTATGAATATTTTTCCCAGAATCAGAGGTAAAAGCCCTTCCTTGACTACCATTTGACGGCGATTCCTCTAAAGTAGAAGTGCCAAGTATTTTGCAAAGTGTAGACCAGAGATCCTCTCTCGTCGTATTTTCGTCGATTGTTTGAGAATGTGAGTTTTGCTGCTGACTAAGCCGTTGTGAGTCCTCTTAATTCATTAATTTATGGAGAGTCGGTGCAATTTTCGATATCGTTTACCTTTTGGCGAGGATGGAAGTGAAAAAGATTCAAAAGTCATCCGGCTGTCGATTGTGTTCTGTCGACTCCCTAAAAGCATGACTCAGAATCGAAAATATACCAATTTTTCAGATCAATATTAATAACGAGAAATGATATGCACGTCTTCCGTCCTGACCGCTAATTAAGATGCATGGGAATATGCTACTAACTTTGTTCTTACCAAAATCAACTTGTTTGGTGAGTGGAGATTGCCTGTCTTTCTTGAGACTATTCGTTTCAATATTCATTTCGTTCTCCGGGTCTTCTTTTAGCGTTGTTTCTTCCCGGACGAATTCCGAATTAGATGTAGAGGCAGCTAGCCGATTTATACTTGCTGAGTTTGAAACGTAGTCAGAGCTTTTAATAGGTGTATCAAATGGAAAATCCTTTCACTTAAGAATAAGCATTATTAACCCATGCCTTGACGAAACAGACATAAACTGAAAACCCGATTCAGTGCGACAAACAGGGGCATTTGTCAAGACCTCGATTTCGTTAAACATAGTCGAATCCGATTTTGAAGGAAGGGTATTTTTGTCATCAGGCTCAGAGGATGGGTTCAACAAGCAGATTTATTCAATAAATAAAAAAAATAACGAATTTTTAGATGGATATAACTCTGTCAACTTGAGGGGAACCCGGATCAACGGTGAATGAGGAATGAAGAGCTGAGTCTTCCACCTCCGAAGCTGATTTGCTCAAACCCTTGTTCACAAACACTTGATCACTGCTGATTGAGGGCTCTTGAACTTTAGCAGAAAATGACGAGGGAAGCGGTGAGACCTGAAAATCAATACCATATTAGGTCATTATTTAACATCATATCCCCTACAGATGATTCTACACGCAAAACACTTGAGTAAGCCGACCATATAATCGACTTGTGCATGAATAATTTCTGACTTGATTTAAGTATTCACTTAGCTATGAGTTCTCCTATCCGATAGGTTAGCAAATAGACTTGAAATAGACGCCTCGTAGCAATATATTGCGTGAATTATTTATAAGACACACTCTGATGCCAAGAAATCTCGTGAGGCCCGGGATCTACTCAAAACGTAGGCTATTGTTTCATAGCATGGCATCATCGAAGTAACCGGCCAAACGAATTGTTTTCTTACCGATACTGAGGCTTTCTCTTCAATCAAGCACCGCGTCGTTTCCGTCGTTGTGGGAGGCTCCGTCGAGGGATTTGTTATTTTCACCGTTACTTGCGCAGTCTGAGAGGTCAATGGTATCTTAGCGTCGCCGTTTTGCCTTGCAGAGTGTTGATTTAGTGGTTTTGACGAAACAACAGAGAACGTCGACTGATAGTGTTGCTCCTTTTCTCCCTCCAGTTTGCGCTGTATTAAGAATAAATTCGCTAGTCCATTGTAAAACCCACTCAAATGATAAAAAGTGAGAAAGGAGGCAAAAACAGCTTTCCATAATTAAAAAATGTCGCTTTTGTTTATCGGAAGAGAGTTCACTGCTACTCAAAAATATCCGCTGAAAGAAGTTCTAATTTGTCCAACTAGGCCTAAGAAGGTGAACCTTTTTTGATTGAAAATGATCTGGTCTATTTGAATATTTTATTGGCTTGTTTTTATTTTTTAATTTTCCTGCTGCCCAATGCAGATGGACGAGCTCGTCTACGCTGTTACGAACGATGAGAGACTGCACCATTCCAAAAATAGAAGCTCCCGCGCCAAATATGCATAGGAAGGGGTAGCTATAGATGAGTCGCATGTTTCGCGGAAAGAAGAACAAGGCAAGTCCGGCTGATCCAGCGACAAGACCACCAATTGAAGCAACTGCTGCTTCGTATGGCCTATCGCTGGCAGTTCCAGCGTCTACTCGTGGCTTCAGCCTTTCAGATTTGACCATTTGCAACACGTCTAACACAGCTCCAATAACGATCTATAGGTATTTTGAAATAATCCGGGAATGTTTTTATTCTATCACGAGGAAAATTGAATTCATGACGAGAAAGAGACCTAAGTTGAAGTTCAAAGCTGCGCGCGATGAACCTATTTGCCCATTTGAACTTTTATCCTTCTCTACCTTAGATCATTTTCCTCGAATAAAAAAAGTCTAACAAACCTGAAGTGCGGGAGTTCCCACCATTATTCGTATTTCTCGTGATTCTTTCTTCATTTTGTCTCTATTCCTTCGCTTCTCTGTGTTTGAAGTTTATTTCGTATGTAGAATTTAGGTGCTTGCTGACGTTTTGAGCGTCCTCTCTTAGTGATTTCGGCAGCACCGTCCTTGAATTATGCAGCTGATAGAGAAAGCTGAAATTATTGCCTATGGGTCCTATTACTTATTCATAATTTCGGTTATTATGTTTTCGAGTAATCCGTTTATCCGGCTCTGTTCGTAATTAATTTACCTTTTCGCTCTAAACCGGTGGGATCACATTAACGACGCTTCTGAACGCGAATCTAGCAAGTATCGTATCTTTGGCGGGATATACTTTCCACCTGTACAGGTAGGTGGGAAAAGGGAATAAATAATTGAGGACGGAGCGCGGCCGCCGCATCAGAACTGTTCAAACATTCGATGGACACAGCATTAGAAAGAAGTTAGAAGTTTAAAAAGTGTTATCCTCTAAATATAAAATCTGACTCACGTAACGAAATTATCCTTTTTTTCCTCTCAATCAATGCTTCCAAAAAGTCTTTATCAAATTAACCGAAGCCTGCGTCAAATTCCGTGGCCTTTATAAAAATAAAGATAATTGTCCCTCCGGCCCGTCACGAAGAATATTTTTATTTTTGGTGAATGCAGTTGATCACAGAGCCGTTTACAAAAAGAGTTGTTGGTTGAGTTGCTTGGAGCAGATGGTCAGTAGAAGTCGGGATGTGGAAGGTTGAAATTTGTGTTCTTCCGAAGGTTACATTTGATACTTATTTTGTTGTAAAAGATTTGCCATTCTATAACTTTCCTAATGGTAAAACTTTCAATGAAATTGACGATGATAATTATGAGCGAAATAAAATCTTCCATGCGTTGCAGTTTTCGATGCGCCGGTTCTTTCTCGACGTTTACATTGTGGACATACTTTTTTTATGGACTGATTTATGGACAACCTTTTTGAGTCTTGATATATCAGTCCGTTCCAGAGCGATGAAAGCGTGTGCTACTTGGAGAATCATAGAAATACTGAGGAATATGTAGCTAGCGACAAACCAGTCAGTCTCGCACGTTATCAATCGTAATTTATAGCAAACTTGAAGCCGCCTGATGTTATCGCCAAGTTCTATCCAGGGCTACTTCCGGGAAAGGTTTAAAAGAAAAAGGGAAAAAGTAAATCGCAAATGCTATTGAAGTAGCCCTAAATCTGTTGCATTCTGTGCAAACAAAGCGGCGCTGAAGCCAGTGGTTGCAATTAGTTTTCCGTTGCGTTGGAGAAAGTCGTCTTCGGGGCTCGCACTCGTGTCGTGGTCAATCCCATCTCTTGAAGTAAAATTACTGCAGGCACTCTTTTCAAATTCAATAAACCTAGAATTCGCCCGTCCGCGATTGTAGTTTACCGGCGAAATTTCCATTTCGTCGATTTCGTGAAAACCGAAAATAAAAAAAAATTGTTTAGCAACGGCGCTACGCAATTTTCGAGCAGCTGTAACCACTTTGATATCATTATTTCTGTGTTGTTGTTTTTTAGCTGCCCCTTTTATTTTGTGCATAAAATATATTTCATAAGTGAGTATTTAAGCTGTCTTATTTCTTAAAATCATCAAAACAAAATAGACGAAGAGTGAGTATGCGAATGAGAATGATTTCCTATTATCATACGATTCAATTTGCGCTTTTTTCTCACTCACAGATTAAATATTACCTTTGTCGTGCAGCCCTACGCATACGGCCATTATTTCGTGCATTCGATCATCCAAAAGAGATCATCATAAAATTTATCCGAAATGGGAAATTCTAGCTCGAATTTCGCTTGTGGCCTCACTTTCAAGGTATTTACATAAAAAATTACTATTTTGGATTTTCTTCAATCTTCGAGGAAGATTTTTTTATAAATCTTTTAGGGAACCATCGGAGAATTTCCCGACTTTGATGCCGAAACTGAAGCTAAGGCGATTCACAAAGCATTCCATAGTAAGAACCTAAAATTAACTTTATGTAATTTATTTATTTAAATTAGAGCGCATTGGAATCAACGAGGAGAAAATCATCGCTATCGTGACGAAACTCAATAATGCTCAGCGCCAGGAGCTTGCCGACATATACAAAGGAATGTGGTTTTATACATTCGTGTACAAATTTGAACACGAGAGTAGTAATAAAATCGTTATAAAGGATGTTATGGCGAGGATTTGATCAAACGAATGGACAAAATTCGACGAGATGATCTTCGCCGTAGTTTAAAAGGTATTTTCAGTAAGAGTGATCTCAAAAGACACTATTTTCTCGATGAATTTGTTTCGATGAAAAATTGTAGCTTTGATGCGGCCACCAGCAGAGTACGCCGCTCGAGAGCTCAGAAAAGCGATGAAAGGACTTGGGACGGACGAAGAAGCACTTATTGAAATCATCTGCACGAAATCGAATGAGCAGCTCGAAGAAATCAAGGAAACCTACTCAGAAGTTTTTGGTCGAGATCTTGAGTCCGACATTGAGTCGGACACTCGTGGAGACTTCAAACGACTTCTTGTGGCTGTTCTCATGGCGCAAAGAGAAGAATCAGATGAAGTTGACGAAGATGCCGCGCAAGCAGACGCCCAGGAACTCTACGAGGCTGGCGAAGACCGATGGGGAACTGATGAGTCTGTTTTTACCCTCATTTTTGCTCGACGATCTCTTCTTCAATTGCGGGCGATTATTGCCGCGTATGAAGAAATCGCTGGCAATAGTCTCGAATCCGCTATTGAGTCTGAATGCTCGCGCGACTTGAGAAAGGGGTACAAAGCAATCGTGCGACTTGCAGCTCACCCTGCTTATTACTACGCCCGGACCATTCAAAAAGCGTTGAAGGGCGTAGGAACGGACGAGGAAACAATGATTAGGCACATTGTCAACACTTCAGAGGTAGAGAAATGGGGGTATGTTCTGGCATTTGTAATGATTGTTCTAGACTTGCTTGGAGCAAGTGAATGAGACATTCCTCGAAGAAGCTGGCTACACTTTAATCAAAGCCATCAAAAAAGGATTCCGAGGTGACGCGAAGGAATTGCTCAAAGCCGTCGTCCGTGGGAATGGATGTGCAGAGGAATGGACGCCCGAAATGGAAGATGCTGAAGATGAAGAAGATGAGGAGGAAGAAGAAGAGGAAGCACCAGAAGTTGATGACGGAGCCAGTATTCAGGTGACTACATCCTTTCATGATCACAGATATTTGAAACTTCAAGTTTTAGGACAAAATGAAGGCAGGCGTTACATTAGAAAATGTGTACATCATGTCTGAACTTTCTGGACATGTGTTGACCATTCCTGGGGGCGAAGAAGATGGAGCGGTTAGTTTATTAGAATTATTACTAGTCAAATAAAGAAAATTTAGGTAGTGCAAGATGAATGGCTTGAAGAAGAGAGCCAGCTATGGAACATTTCGTACGATCCATCGACAAAACTTGCACTCATCGCTTCTGTGGCAAATCCAGGTTTAGACTTGATACTCAAAATTTGAATTTATCGTTATTCAAAAGATTGTGTCCTTGATGTTGAAGGAGACGCTGGGCCAGATAACCTCTTCTTGAAAGCGTTTGAGGAAGACAAAGTAAGCCAGCTATGGAGGTTAGTATTTCCTTACTCCTGTCCCCCATCAATCAAAAGTTTTAAGATACAAATCGAACTATCTTTTTAATCAAGGAAATGTACTTGACATTCCCTACGCATCCGAAGATATTGGCGTCCACATCGGTACTTATCCTCGCCACGGTGGCGATAACCAAAAATGGCACATCTTGCAGCATGAATAGACTCATCACTAAACTAATCACAGTTCATGGGCTACAATTTGACCTTAAATAGATACTAATAAAAGAAACACACATCGATGCATATGATAATTTTGTTTATTTACAGTCAGGCTTTATAGACGGCCAAAGTTGTATATCATAAGTGGTACTATCAGATTGAAATTTGATATTACTTTGTTCATTTTAACAAGAAATGTTGCAATTCGCTCAGACCAGAGAGCCAGTTGAACATTTCTGTTCAAAATTATTTCTTTTCATACATGTGAGAATGAATCGTCAGAGAAGGATCGCTAAAATCGTTAATTTTCAACTTATGAGCAGAGTAATTGGATAACTATACGATCATGCCAGCTATTTAAGTTCTCGTTGTGTCGGATAGTTATCAAACTGTCTGTCATATACCGTCTTTTTAAAAATATACAAGTTTATATTTCGCAGATTATTCATTTTTCGTTATAGCACCAGATGCATCGCACGTATGAGTAAGGCTCATAGGGATTACTTTATTTATGATCAATATTGATCGAAGAATGATATTTATAATTTATGAAAAAGTTAATCCCTTCCTATTGTAAATCACAGCTGGGCCAGTAAGAGAATAACAGCATTGAGGTGCAACTGGAACAGAGCCGGGCGGTTGTGGACAGTTATCTTCGGGATACCAATTCGTGGTTGTCCAGAAGAGATGATAGTCATAATTGAAAACATCTATTGCTGGGTAGTGTGCTTTTGCAAAGGCAAAATCGCATTCACATAGATCTCTCGCACAAGAATTAGGCGCGTCTCTGCACATCGAGTTTCCGTTCGCGTATTGACTAGATTTTTGTAAACTTATTTCGTTTATGGTCCTGACTTACGTTTTACTGTATTTATATCTCACAAATTCATTAATGCACATCTCCCCATGCTTCTTTTTGGCACATTGAGCACAATCCTTAATTCAAATGTAAAATACTGCGACTCTTGCACCGCGATACCTTATAATGTTTGCAAACTGTGTCCAGAGCGTCGATGGGTGGACCCCAACCTGGATCAGACATCGGTCGGTCTCCTGAAATATTGATAAGGATATACTTTTTATTGTCTCTCGTACCTAAAAGCAGACAATTGCAACCATACGCCCAGAATTTTCTGTGATCAAAAGCTGGATTGAAGTATTTGATCTGATCTACAAGTTGGACGTATCGACGATCTTCCCCTCCAGTGCCTACTTCCAGCCTACCGGCTTCTGGCTCTACACTAGCATTGCTATCTCTTAAAAACACACGCATTTACTTTCTCGGAAGCTTCTTTTCTAATACCTCGTGACTCTGTGAAGAACGGGTTCCGCGAAAGCAAATGGGAGCGAAAATAGTATCTTCATTAGGTCTCTCAAAAAAGCTACTGCTGGTGATCTATTGCCAACGGTGGCTATATCAATGCGTTCGCAGGTAACGATGGTGGCGCTGCACCATCAGCGCGCGCCAACTAGAGTTTAATCGGAAATAAGCCCAATTTTTCATGCGTGTTTTTTTATTTGTGGATGTTAAAGACATATAAATAATATATATTCTATTCAATTTACGTTGTTGATTTTCAATTTTCAATTTTGTATTTCTAACCACTTCTGGTGAATAAAATAATACGTTATTTTTTTCAGAAGAGTTTGATAATCTGTTCGTTTGTGAACTGGATACGACAGGTTGGGCAGAACTTCTCTTTGAGACCAGTCAAACAATGGAGGCAATATCGATGTCCGCAGAGGAGAGTACACTCGCGTCGCACCTGTTTGTCGTAGCCTTCGAAGCAGATGTCACAACTGCCCTCTTCCTTATCTTCTGAAAATTAATTATTGTAAATAATTGCATTTGAACTTGAGGCATTTGAACCTGAGGCGCCCATCTCTCGCAAAGCTCCAATGTAGGCAGTTTTCAAGGACGCTTCCATTCTTTCAGTATCCTTTTTCGCCCATTCGAGATACTTTTTCTCCCATTCCAATTTCTCTTCCGCTTTTTGATGGTAATTTCTGCCTTTTCGATCCTGATTACAGCCTCACGCTCGACAGCTCTGGCCTCATTCAAATTTTTCATAACCAAAGTTACGTACTCCTGCCTGTCTATTTTGAGTTTTGAAAGTTTATTACTAGAACTAATTAAATACTATTAAAATTCAAAGCCCTAGCCTTTTCCACTTTGTTTTACCATCGCTGGAGCACAACATTTTCCGATCCCGTACTCTCTCCAAGAAAGATTTTTCACATCGCAATTTTTAGCCGGGCACTTCAGCTCTGCATCAGACCGAACAAGCTCATGCCTTTCAGGCTTGAAGGCGCTATCAACACTTTCAAGGCTTTTACTCATTTTTTAATAATAATGACGAAAAATCAAAGAGATTTTTGGCTTTTAATAAAATCCTATCCAATATTTACATATTGCTTCGCCATTTTGAAGCATCGCCATCTCTTCGGTTATATAATGCATATCCTTCCATCTTCCCTTTTCTTTAACCGTGTAATAACAGTTTTTACATGGCCCAACATTCCCATAAGAGTGGACGAGTGAAGGATTTATTTTTGACATTCTCTCCGTATCAAAACTTAAAAATCAATTAAAATTTACGGTCAGTTTCGCCGAATGCCGATTGGTGAAAGAGAAAAGGCCAAGGGCACCAACCAATCGGTGTCAAAGAAAGAAGACAAAAATTTGAGACGAAGGGCAAATGTGAAATTACTTCTATTCATCATTGGCGACCACTTGCGAAAGCTATACTTTTCTCTTGACTTTATGATGTCTATTTTCGGGTTCTTAACTTGTTAGGCAAGCGACCTCGACGAAAACAAAAATTATCGGATAATGATGACCACAGCGGATGTGCAGTAGTGGTGCGAGTCTTGAGTCCCATCTCGCGAGATAGACCGCGAGATTATGACATCGGGATCAATTTTCAAAAAAGACACCTTTCAACTTCGAGTACTTTTATTTTCCCCAAACCCGTAATCAGCGGTGTCATGATTTGTATCAGTCTCTACAACTGTAGCCAAAAACACTGTTTTGCCCTGTCGTTGAAGACATATCATGCTTCCATGTTTGTTGTCAATAACTTTGTGCGTGTTCTCTCAGACTTTTCGAAATAGAGGAGAACTCAAAGTGTCAGATAAGCTCTTTCGTTTCTTCAAAAACCTATCCGGTATTCCATAAACGTGAGATAAAACACCTGGCGGGTGACTTCTCTTTGACCCTGCGATTCTCTTTGGCCCCCAAATTAGTTCGATAAATTTCTTTATTTTTTCAACTCCATGTACAGTATTATTCAGGAATAGTCTCCCAAGAGTGTCCTTCTTCTGGATTAAAAGTACTCAACCGAGCTTGGCGATTTAATACTCCGTTCGTAGGATCTTCGTCCTCAGCCAGGCTTAAGATGTGTCTCATGTGGTTTACTTTCGCTGGGAATAAAATTACCTGTAGACGTGGTTGCGTTGAAAGGTGAATGATTTCACCGAGTCAAAGTCGTAAGGATCGACGTCGTCGAACACTTCCACCTCTCCAGCGTTATTTTCATCCGAATTGTGGCCTGGTTGAAGTCGAACAAGTTCAGGTGTTTTCGATTTCGGTTTTGGAGCAGGTGGAGGGAATATAAACATCCCTAAATTTAATAGATGCATGTCTCATTATTTTTAATATTTTATTAAAAAAATACCTTTCGTTTTCTTTTCCCAAAGAACAAAAATACTTTTTTCATTTCAAAATAGATAGCTGATAACAAAAAACTGTAGACTGTAAAAACAGTATAAGCGACACTTCATGTTTAGAAAGATGCCTGTAAATAGTGACGCCAGACCACCAGCCGAGCCAAATCGCTAGGGCACTCCACAAACTGGTGTCTTGTAACGAAACCACTGAAATTAAAATGTATTCGGGTAAATTTATGATTTGTAACCTAGCAGAAGTTTGACCGCAGACGTAATCGTGTCGATAAAACAATGTGTAACTCAATGCATGGTGAAAAAGGAAGAAATAATTTCTGATAAAAAGGAGCCAATTTATAGCCTATTATTTTTCACCAATCATGGAGACAGGGGGAGTCGTTGCGCTCCCGAAGAAAATCTTGTAGAAAAACGCTCATCTCCTGAATATCTGATTATCACGCCGACTTTTTATTTACAAGTTACATCAATCATACTCCCCAATAACGCAAGGACGAAGAGTATCGCAACATAAGTACGCTTGTCGCTGTCTGTTGAGTATCCCAAACCTAAAAGTATCTAAATATGGAATAACGAGTCTTTAGATACCGGAGAAAACTGGTGCCAATGGAAAATTTCTCGTAAGGTAATAGTCGCCTCGATTAAGTTTTCAAAAATCCTGTATTATTTATTTATTAAATAAAAGCAGATTAATTGGAGACTTTCCTAATGACCCGGGCATTTCCATACAATTTATTTCTGTCAGATTGCATTCGGACATTTCAAATTCTCTTTGTAAGTTTAAATCTTTGCAGCCGTTCTACTTGTCGACTGCCTAGATAAGATCAAAAGTTGCTTTTGCGGAGATCAAAAATATAACGGGCATTTATGATGCTAAACGTCAGGAATCCCTGTCATGAATGCTCTCAACGATTTTTTCTTCGGAGTTTAAAAACTTTTATTCGATTGATAAAGGGGCAGTGTCTATAAAATGAATGGAGCTACTTTCGTGAGGAGGGAGAACAGTTCTTCCTCACTCGTCATCTTCCTGGTCGATCTTCGGCGCGAGGAAATACTTCACGTGGCCAAGGTCCTCAATCTCGTAACCGACGACCAAAGGAACGTCAGGCGAGATTTCGAGACTCACTTGGCCGGAGAGCGGGGTCGCTTTCGTGAAGAAGTTGAGGTACCTGAATTGAAATGGATTAAAGACAAAATAACTGTCGACTCTAACCGGAGCGCGAAGGTCAAGTTGACGGGTTCACTGATGTCAACAGTGACAGCGTCTTTCTCGTCGTCGACGTTTGCGCGTTCGGTCAGGTGGATTTTGGCGTGGCCAATGTCGCCGTACGCACTGAAGTCGACGCCGCCCTTGACAATAGTGAGCTTGACACTCTCGCCGATGTTCTGCAGATCGCGGCAGATATGCTGGAACTCGTTCGAAGGCATTTTTACAGTGCAGCTAAATAGCAAGTCAAAAGTGAGTAGTTAGAAAGAAGAGCTACCTGTATTCTTGGTCTGGAATTCCGAGCTGCTCGATGTCGAGATCCATCAACTTCATCTCAAACTCGGAGGTTTTATCTCCGTTCTGAAGAGAATTTTCAATGAATTTTCAGGCGTAAAGGTAGACTTACAGGATTTTCAAAGACCATGGTTAGAAGATCCCCGTTATCATCTGCTTTGAGCGTGATATTGTCGTCGTTGGATGCGCATCTCAGGAGCTTTTGCATGGTATCCATGTTCACTTAAATTTAATCAGATCATCTAGGCTTGTTTCATTTTGGTACCTCCCAGCGCGATGTTTCTGTCGCAGCGGAAGCTGTCGAAACCTTCCGCTTTAAGGGTCACTTGGACGAGCGACACGTGGGAGCTGTCCATTGATTGGAGAGACAGGCCCTGCGCGGAGACATCCCAAACGGCTTCTTTGATAAGATCCTTTAGGGCGTCCATGATCTGCTTGAGGACTTTTGCTTTTGGAAGACGGCATTCGAACATGATGACTCACGTATTCGTTCTGGTCTGAAATAAATTAATGCTAAATTATAAAGTTTTTCCGTATAATCAAGACTCTTGAAAAGTTGGAGTAGTCCATAAAATCTCTGACATAAACTTAACACGTGTGGTGTCCCGCAACTGGGCCAGTTGGACTAGGCATTTCTAATCGGGCTCGTGGGCGTATGGCACGAGGGAAATTGCGTAGGCGGTGAAGAATGGTGGCGCTCGATCCCGCTTTCTAAACGCTCTACGTCCATCAGCACTCCGATTGGTTGAAACTCGTTTCAAAAATAAGAACGCACCTATAAAATGCCCTTCTAAAACAAAACTGTCTTGCTTTCGCATTTAAAAGTAAAAAAAACAAAGTCGAAAGTTCTAACTTAAAACTGTGTAATTTGTTCAGCATGAAAGCTAGGCATAGTGACATGCCGAGGTATCTGTAGGCTTACCGGACTAAATTTCGGCACATTTTTCTAGCTTAATTTGGGGGTCATGTCACATATATTTAGAAAGCCCATGTCCTGAGCTTTCATTTGGGCACAGAATAAAGGGGTCTGAGTCATGCCCCCAAGGCAATTTATGGGACCGGAAGTCTCAATATAGGCACTAGAAGTCTTCAATCAATTTTTTCGATACGTTTAGGAACTCCTGAGCCTTTAGGAACGGCTGGAATTGTTTTATAAATATAACAAGTAAGTTAAGAAGTCGGAAATTCGACTCGAAACCTGAAGATTCTCGACTTAAGCACTTATGAAGTCAACTTCTAGGGCCACAAGAAGGCGCTAGAGCCGAGGGCAGCTAGATTTTATGGGCTTTACAGAAAGCTTAGAGTCTGAGCTTTCTATCCCAACCGCTCCTCAAGGCTCTTGAGCTCCTAAACACATCGAAAAAATCGATTGAAGAGTTCAAGTGCCTATTTTGGAACTTCCGGTCACATAATTTCCCTTGGGGGCATGACCTTGACCCCTTGATATTGTGCCCAAATGAAAGCTCAGCTTCTGGGCTTTCTAAAGCTGTATCATAAGACCCCCCAACTAAGCTAGAAAAATCGGCCAAAAATCAGTCCGGTAAGCCTAGGTATCTGGCTCAGATTGCTGTGTGCGCGTTTCTGTAGATGTGAATCTTGGCCACAGCGGAATTGAATCACCGAGGTTTTGTAGTTGACTTCTTGAGGCGAACGAGGCATTACGGCTTGAATCGGATTTATCTTGGCGATTTTGGTGAATGTCGTAGTTTTCTTCGATTTCTGCCTGGAAGAGGATGAAAATGTGAGTCTTCCTTGATTTCAAAGAAAATGGAACAAACAAGATCCTTTCTTTATTCCAGATTGCATTCCGAGAAGAACAAATCTTATAGAAGAGTTAAAGCATTATTGGCGAATTCTAGCCTGATACATAAGAGTTACTAAGATGGGTAGTAGGGTTGGCCAAAAAAATCGAAGGTCGTGCGCCTAACAAGAGTCACCCCTCATTCGAAGCGCCTTCTTGAGAGGATCATTTTGAGCCATTTTTGAAAATTTTAAATTAACCAGAAGGCATCGAAAAAAATTGAAGGATATGGAGTGTTGGGTCGTTCTCGTCGAAGGAGGGGATCTTCAGCGCTAGAATCGACCCGCCGCCGCAGAGGAACAAAATGACAAGGATCAAGTTATTCAGATAGAATGGAAGAATGGAAGAATGGATCACTGAGTTTAGCCCAGGAACCGAGATGCTGAGCTATCCAGATGTAAAGCTTGAGAATCGAGATTACTTTGTAGCTGGCGAAGACGGCTATGACAAACGAGCAGATCTTGAGAAAAACGATCGCGTAGCTGTTCTCGTCGATTCTCTTTGTTCCCATGATATTGAGGACATACTGTGGAATCTCGCTGGGAGCAGGCCATCCGTACAAAGGGGGACAAAAAGCAACATCAATTAACTTCAAAATTTTGATCTGCGAACATTTCTCTATTCGCCATTTTCCAAGACTAAATATCACTTTCGATCTTGCCTGAATCAAATGGAAAAAATTTAATTAAAAAGGGATTAAAAGGTGCCCTCTCGGACATAGTCACTAGATTAAAAACAATATGCGCGGGGAATTAATATTATAAAAATGTAAACTGATTGATGGTATGCCAGAAGGCCTCATTGAACATGTAAAGACGAAATTCGGATGGGTATATAATTCGAGTTTCATTGTACTATGATGGCTGAATTATAAATGAGAGGTATTAGCTCGTGGCGCGCCTAGGGTCCGCCCGGCCACTATTCGTAAAATCCTCTTTCTTCTCCGCTTTCTCTACTAAAACAAAACACTCTTTAAACCTCACCCATAAAAACACTCATAAACAAGCAAGAGTAGGCAACAGCTTTAATCAAAGGAGAAAATTAGAGCTTTCCAAGAGCGATGAGGCGCCCAAAATGGCCTTTGAAGAGAGCACTTTTGCAGCGAAAAAGAGACGCTAGAAAAATAATCGAAGATGGTTTTATCATTTTCCTGGATTGTCCTTGCTTTGTCACTCGCGTGCTCACGCGCTCATGAGTTTTCGAACCCTGAATGCAGGTTCCGAATAATTTATTATTGAAAACGTTCAAAGCATATTTAGTGAATGAGAACATGAGATACCATTTGTGCGAAGAAGAGTTCAATAAGGAAGAAAGAGTAGAATGCGTTCTTAACCCTAGCCGGCCAAAAATGATTTTTCTCGGGTACCGGTCAAGATACTCCATATTTGGCGCCAGGGATTTACCTGCAAATAAGACTATACAAATGATAAAGGTCAAATTATATGGTCTTGGGGAAATAGATTAAACCCTGCCTATCAAGATGCAATAGAAAAAACCGCGCCAGAATGAGTTTCTTAGAAATTATACGTTAAATATTGTGAGGTACTTGGAAATGAGTAAAAACCTGCTCCATATTTGGAGTACCTTGACCGGCTAGGGTTAAATGCAAGCATGTCACTCTGCCCTGTCAAAGGGCGCAGAAAGAAATTTGCGAAGAACACAATGCTTGAAATAGATCGTTAAACACTGAAAAGACTCGTTGATATGCTCTGTCACCTTTTCTGGTAATTTAGCGCCTGCAAAGAAAACTGAAATAAAACTCAATTACCGAATTGATAATTGAGGTGATTCGAGGATGATTGAATTTGATATATTTATTTTTTGGGCAGTATGGTAATTTAAGCGCATTTTCTGACCCGTTTATGAAGAGCATAGGCACGTGAGATCTGTGCGGAGATCGATTAGCCAGAAAATAGGTTTAAAGATCATCAGGAAAGAGCTATCAACATGTTATTTATTTCGCTGAAGTTTTAATATGGTAGGATGTCGAGCATAAACAACATATTTTTTTAATTTCTTGCGTGAAGCAAGGAGCCAACGCACCATTTCAGCAACGTCATTATGCTCATGTTGGATTGGTCTTCTGTCTTGGCGGTGGTGGCGGTTTTTTAAACACATCGGCATCGTTGGTGCCCATCGAAGAGGAAGAGTTCTCTTCGTTTAAAGCAGAGTTGCTGTTCTGGTGGGCCGGAGAGGTCACCACTGGTTGGCTCTTCTCACCAGACTGACTCGGGAAGCTGTTCGTAGGAGGTGCAACGTTGGAATTAGAGTCAGGTAGAGAATTGTGCCCGCTTTCAGTGGTGCTCGGTGAAGCGGGAAGTGGCTTCGTATCCAGCAGAAAGTTGAGAATGCTCTGTTTAGCTTTCTCGCTGTCTTGGTGGTTAGAAAGCTGCCCAGGAGCTGGAGCAAATTTACTGACGAGTTCGTTCAAGTACTCCGAGTCGTCTAAATCCAGTTCACAATAATTTGTCCATCTTTAGTTTTACATACCGGTGGGGATTTCGTGGGAAGCTGATTGAGGTAAAATTGACTGTGACTGGGTTGGTGAGGCAATCGGTGGATGGGATGATATTCCCGGAGAGTGCGGGATCACATTCGCGCCGCCATTTCCCTGTGATATTTTATTATGCCCGAGCGGGACCGAGTTGTTGATGCCATTGCTCTGTTGGAGGTGGTTCTTTCCATCTATAGTCGCTAGATTCACTTGCTCGTTTTGATTTGGCAGAGCTTCTCCCTGAGTAGTCATGATCATAGGACTCGTCTGCATATTGGGAACGACTTGAATCGATTGATCTATTTCCAGGTTATTATAAACAGACAGCTGTTAGAGTCTTACCCATTGGAACTTGGTTGATTATTGAATTCTGATCGGGAGAGGTGAGTGGAATCATAGGTGAAGGTGTGACATTTCTTATTCTGTACATACGTCTATTTGGAAGATGGACAACTCGTGAGTCGACTCCGAAATTCCTTCCTGGAGGGAAGCTCGAGGGGGGTGCTGGTCTTATCACTGGACCAGGTTGGTATATCACTGGACCGTGGGGCATCGAGTGGCTGACAGACACTTTTGGAGGCAGTGAATGGGAAGGTTTGGGCGGGTTCTTCTGACCAGGTCGCGGTTTCTTCCTACTTCAGGGTAAAAACCATTTAATTTTTGTTAAACTCAAGTATCCTTTCAATAAATTCGGGTAACTACCCTATACTAGGAGGCCTATCATCTGGAGGATTTATATATCGTTGTTGATAAGGCATCACATTTGGACGTGGGGCAGGATAGGCAGGGATAGAAGGATGTGGACGCCATTGTGGTTCTTTTGCGGGTAGACCTTTGAAATTAGTCTATTATGACGTTATACTGAGAGGAGTACCTTGAAAGCGTATAGAATGTATGCCGAACTTCTGTAGCTCGCCGATTAGGTCCTGATTCGATTCTGCATAAGTTCGAAATCGAAGCGCACGCTCGATAGTTAGCGGGAAAGAAACATTTATACCATCTTCACGGCTCAGAGGTCTGTGATGTGACGGTCCCATCGCTGGTCTCTGCGCATGGCCTGGTGCTGGCATAAATTGAGGATGTGAATGGCCTACAAAATTAGTAATATCCTAACCGACAGTTAGATAGATTTTTTAATTTAGGGACACAAACCTTGTTCTCTATTGGGTGCCTGCGCGAGCGAGAGCCTCGGCACTGGGCTTGTGAGTGGATTTATGCCATCAGTCATGCCAGTCTCGCCCGCTGTTCCATTCACATTACTAGGCGGAACCGACATAAACTGACTAAACTAAAGCACTTCATCGAGAGAGAGTCGAGGCGTCATTTTACTTAGGTCAAGTTATACTTAAAGTTGTTTTGGCTCATTAGAAGAGACTCAGTTTAGAATCTAGTTGTGGCTGCATTCATAGCTCGAAAGATACAAGAGGGTTTCGTAAATTTCAACACCTGCTGTTTTAATATTTTGAAATCTCTAACAGACAGGGTGAGAGCAGGAAGATAGTAAGAGATAGCAATAGTCTGATTAGCGAATTATTATTTATACTTCGGTATTCTAAAATTTAAATACAGAATGAGTCTGATGCCAAATTGAGTATGTTATCGAGTAATGCGATAAAGGAGATAGGTGTTAGAAGCATACCTTTTAGGGAAACATCTTCAAGCTAACGAGATTTATATTTTTATCAAAGTTTATGTTTTCGAAAAAGATCACCAACCTCGGGAGTAAAATAGGGACAGTTTATGGGACAAAATAATCGGCAAATCATTGGGCTCGCACCAGAATTCATGCGGGTAGTGGAAAGAGAAAAAAGTCAGCTTGACTCCTTTCTCCATATAAAAAACAAGGAAGATTAAAGTTCAGTAGTACGGTAAGTTGATCAAAGGATATCTTGCGGAAAACAGTTGTCATGAGGGTTGACTTAATAGAGAGAAACTTAAAAAATGAACTGCACGAAAATGATTCAACTAAAAAAAACTGAAAAAGTGTTAACTTTAGTAAGTCAGTTGCGATGAGAATGTGGAACGGTAAAGAGTCTAAATAGACCCTCGAAAGATTCTAGAGCCATTAAGAGCAATATGGAATAGTTTTTTTTTAACTTAAATGATTACTTGAATAGGAATTGAGGGAGATAAAAAGAAAGAGCAATAGGAGTTTGAGCATGTGAAAAAATAAGTTGGTTGTTGTTTAGAGTCTCGAATAATAAGGAACAAAATACAGAATATTGCAGTTAGTAGGTAATACGATTAAAAATATCCGCCGAAGCAACTCTCTTAACGAGAGAGGCTATGCAAGCTTGATCTAGAATTACAGCGCATTGCAGTAAACGGTTTATTCATTAGACTTTAGTCACTAGAGGACGTCAAATAAGCGGAAGCTTAACCCGAGCTGTTTTCAAGGCCGCGAGTTATTAAGGCTTTGAGCGCTTGCGCAGCAGCTTCCTCGTGAGCAAGAGCAACAGAAGAGCCTTGTCCATGAGCGACGATAGGAGGAGTCGTTCCAATCGACACCAAACTAGAAAAAAAAATCTTTGTCTGCAAGAACTACTCGTAACTCACCTTAAGAACTGGCCGTCTTTTGGGAAGTCGGTAAAGCTAACCGAAAAGCCCTGAAGAGAGGCGAGATAATTGAGTTGAGGCTCGTTGACTTGTCCAGCTTTAGCAGCTGAGTTAGGCAGAATGGTTGCCTGAGCGATGCCCGAAGGAGTCGGAGCCATTTTCGGAAGTGCAGCATTATCGCTCTTTCCTTCAGCCTTTGACGGCTTGCCTTCGTCGGCACAGTCCTGAAATATCGCTTATCATCGATTTCCTAAATGGTTAGCTCACCCCGACGCTTGGCTCGTGCCCCATAATGACTAACATAGCCTCGGCAGCGATTTTCTTTGCTGTTTTCTTGTTTGGACCAATTCCCTGAGAAACCTTGTCATTCACAATGCACTGCATTATGAACTCCTTCTTCCGCTGGACAGATTTCTCAGAGATAACTTGGTAGATCGGCTCACGCTCTAAAAGTGAAATTCGAAATATTCGCAAGAACAAAGAGTTGAGTACCTTTTGCGGCTTGCTGGATTTGAGCAAGTCGGGAAACAGGATGAAGTGAAATGTCAGGCGACTGTTTTTCAGTTTCCTTGATGACATTCGACTTCTTCTTATTTCGTCCTTTGCCTTTGGGCTGGGGCTTTTCGCGCTCTTCTGATTCAATTAGTCGACGCATTTCATCAAGAACAGTGATAGCGGCTTTTCGACGGGCCAGTTTCTTGGATTGAGCTTGACCTTCAGCAGTAAAGTATGTAACTCTTAACCGTTATGTTAAAAAAGTCATCTGAAAATGCAAAGCGGCTTACTGATCGTTGTCTTCCTGTTCTTCGGGATTTCCTACGTGAAGCCTAATCGAGTAGTGCTTTAAGTGAGGAGGTCCTTCTTCGGAAATCTTTTCAAATTGGACAGTTAAATTTCGCTTGAGAGCTAACTCGTAGACAAGGGAGACTTCCGACTTCTTCGGTTGAGATTGCTCTCCTGGAGTAATCGGCTGGCCTGACTGTGCCGGTTTCGGCACTTTTTCAGGAGCTGGGTTTCTTTCATAATATTCAAGTGCTAGAAAGGATTCATAATCGTGGCTGAGGCAAAAAAAAATTACCTTGGGTAGCAGCTGAGTGCTTTGCTTGTTGTCTTGTACGCCCCTCAGCGTGGAATACCTTCTCGCCAACCGTCAGTTCGACGACAAAAAGTTTCGGTGGTCTTGTATTGATTCGTTTAGTGTTAGCGTTCGGATAGATCTGGGGCATTCCATCGGCAAACTAAAGCGATAATAAAAGCCGATAAGGATACGAAAATAACCTGGGGATTGTATGATTGATTATTATGAAAAATCGGCTTCCTGTCAACCATTTTGTAGTGGGCCATCTCTCCTCTCTTCATCGCTAGTCCGTTTAATTTAACAGTAGGAGTTAGCGCGTCTAAATGCCATAGATGAGACATGATTATTTACAAATAACGCTGATACCGTAATTTATCTGTTTCGGTCGTTTCGGTTTGTATTTGGGTCTCTCTAGTGTCTGACAGTTCTCAATTGCTTTTTTCGCAGCAGAGTGTTGCGCCTGAAAAAAAAGAACTTAGCCGGGCGAACTCAAAACTCGGGATACCTTCTTGATGCTCGTTCCAGAACCTTCATACTTTTCTCCTGGGCCGAGTTCGAGAGTCACAGTAAACGTTTTATGGTGGGGCGGGCCTTCTTCCCCTGTCAACGTATACTTTGGCGCAAGTTTGTTAAATTTGGCGATTTCGTTCACCTTGATAAATAATTATTTTAGAGAGACTCAAAGAGCATCTAACCTGACACATGGGTGTCTTCTCTTTGGGTGCTTTTTTACTCCCGTTTGATTCTCCATTTGGTGGGTTTTGCGGAGTCGAGTAAGGCTGAGCAGATAAATTGGTTCCTATTTGCGAAGGCATTTGCGCCATAGGAAAAGGCGCATTTTGCTGGATCATGTGTTGTCCGGGGACAACCTTAATGAGTACAATAAATCCGTTGACTAAAAACTGATATTGTTACCATTGACATGACAGGCAAAATTGGGACCATTCCATCTCCGTTCATTTTTGCTGGACTGACTCAATTCTCACCAATTAGGGAAAAACGACTTACCCAGCGGAAAGACACGCCGAAATGTCCAATTCTGAAAAAAAAAATGTAACACAAAAATATCGAGAATGAGGTATCAACACAAATTAGATAAATAGTGGAATTGCTCGTCAGTCATGAACGAGAACTAGAATATCAGATTAGAGCAATAGGAGAATAAATAATTAAGAAGCTATCTCTTTGTAAGGTACTCGTATGTATAAAATGTAATCACGGAGCTAGGTATAGTTCGACATAAATTTGTAGATAGGCCTTTGTAAAATCCTTTGAATCCTTCGTGCTGAAATGTATGTCGTATGCAATCTCTCATACTATTGTAGATCCTATGCTGGTCTTGCATGCGCGATCGAATGAGTAGTTGTGGATAGCACAATGTTCCAGCTAACAAAATGTAAATACTAGTTAGGGAATCAGGGACTACCTATCATTTTCGATGCAGCAGGCAAGGCAAGCATTTGAAAGTTGGTTTGGTTCTGTTTCGTCACCCCGAGACGCGTTTTGAAGAGTTCCAAGAAGAAAAATTGAACACCGCCATGTATAGTTCCGAACAAACCAGCATAGTATCCACGATACAACCCTCTCAAGCCTTCCATATTGTATAGTCTATATAAAGTCTGTGCAAAAGTCTCCTTTGAACGCTTCAATGCTCCTTCTTCGTACTGGAGACACTGCTGCGTCTTACAAACCCAAATTGGGTTTGTCAACGTAAGAACTAGAGCACCACTCAAACATCCAGTAAAGAAATACTTAATAAAAATGAGGTCGAGTTCGCCCACAATTCTTTACCTGGTACTGAGGGACAGCGTTGCCATAGTGTGATTGAAGTTGTCGCTTGAAATGCTCATAAATTGGAAAGTATAGACCCCATGAGAAGCCAGCACCAATTATACTTGGTGAGACACCACGCCAGAGAGACTCGACGCCTTCATTCTTTATCACAGATCGAATGATGGACATCTGGTTGCCGTATCTGGGACGTTTGGGATCGCCATCGTTGACTGCTTGTCTGTTTCTGACGAGATCGAAGGGATGAAGAAGAAGCGTACTCAAAAATCCACCTGAGAATCCGCTAACGAAGTCCCGTACTGTGTTCATCTGAATTTACGAACTTCATGATAATTTAAGTGCTATCGAGAAGCTTTAGTTTTTCAACAGAAGAAAGGTATTGAGGGTTTTCAGAGTACTCAGGTTCTATCAGAATGGCGTCTGCAATAAAATATCCTCGTGCGTCTTGCAGCTTTTTATGGACGCCTCTTGATTCGATGAAGAAACCGCTTTCTAATGCGTGGTCCCACTAAAAGACATTTTAGCTTCGTTTTTCAATAAAAAATACCTGAAATTTTTCATCTAAAGCATCAAACTGCTCGCCTTCAAGCTTGATGACTTCGCGAACGAGATAGTCTGCAAACTCATCAAGCCTGTTTTCGTAGGAGAGCCTGTTGTGTAAAGCTGCAAGAGCAAAATGGTCGACACCTACTCGTCCGATTAGCGCAGCTTTGTATGCGTCTTTATTTATGTCTCGGCCATGCATTTCAACCAATATCAGCGTCAGTGCAGATATAACTTTCGAGTTATGCTAGATTAAGTTTTTTGGTATTTGGAATATCTCTTTTGGTTACATTAAACAAGTAGTCAAAATGCTGCGCCATGTTGGCATGATAGATATTCCACTGCCGAGCCACATTGTTTATAAAACCATCATGCTGGAAGAAATGAGTGCCAAATGAAAACTGCGAGTCTTTCCCAAATACAGCTACTTTAGGTCTTCGAATCATCATCCACCTTTTTTGTGCGCGTTTATACCAGAAATCTGGGTTGTCCATATATTGGCCGATATTCCAGCTGCTGCGCTCGCGCTTCTTTAGGACTTTTTGATTTCGAACGTAAAACCTTTCGCAAGAAATTAGGACTCAATGAATAGAGTTATACGTACCGGTTAAGTCCGGCGAAGCCGACAACGGCCAAATCTTCTTTTGAACTGCCAAATATTACTGACATCTCTTTAAAGTGCGTTAGGTCAGCATTAAGATCCTCATTTTCACATTGATAGAATTGAAGAAGAGTTGACAAAGTCAATGATGCATCCGAAACTTTCACTTTAACAGCCGAGACTTCAGCTTGAAGTTCGTCAAAGATAAAGCTTCTTTTGCGAGCAATCTGCCTAACCATTGAGTCAAGGGTCCACGACGCAAGCTGCAGATCGGCGGCGATAGCTCTTGAAGCGTCATGATCAGCCCAAAGCATGTTATGCCTCGAATGAACTTGAGAGTCTTCGATCATCTTCTGTAGATGATGGTTTAGTCGGGAAGAAGCGATTGCTCCATTGTAAAGGTTCATGCAGTCGCGTAAATGCCGTAAATGGTGCTTTCCGAAACCAACTCGACCAATGATACAGTCTTCTGACAATTCTACGTTGTCAAAAACGACAGAATCATCATCGTTGACCTCGACGCCATCTGTTTTCGCATCCACGAGGACAGTGGACAATCGTTTGTAAATTTCATCATCTCTGTCTTTCACAAAAGTAGCAACAGGAACCAAAAAGTAGTCGCAATTCTTCGCTCCGAGTACTCTTGTTTTGCGTCCATTGAGAAGAATGTCGTCACCAAAGTTTTCAATAATAGTTTCAAAGTTCTGCGATGTCTCACCGCAAAATTGCTCGGAGACAGCGATTCCAATAAGGGAATTTTCCAATGGTAATTCACCCTTGCCGTAGTTAGACAGAACTTCTCGAGCAGCAAAGTGAGAGGAAATAAAACGCGATAATCCAGTATCCCGCCGAGATAATTCATCAATGACAGATAATTCTTCAGCGCCCGACATACTTGAGCCGACTGAAGATATAACTTCGCGTAAATCATCATTCTCAATTCTATACTCTTCAGTCATATTTCGAAGTTTCTGCGCGGCTGGTGTCTGGTATAATTTGCTCGAATATTTGTCAAACCAGTCTAGCCTTGAAATTTTGCTCTTGAAGAAGCGAAATCTGGGAACGAAGGTGCCCATCTCATGACGCGCAAACAACTCATCTGCGATGAAAGAAGGCCGGCTCTCTTCTCGATAAATGCGGGCTTTGGGTCTATGTCGTTCTGAGACTAGAGCGACGCGCGACTTCTTTTCGACGAGGAAGGTCTCGCGTGTAGCATGCGAGTATCTTCTTACTGGAATTATACGGCCAAACATTTCAACTCTAACTCTCACGTCATCTTAACAGAATTGGATATATTTCAGGGTTATTTATAGCATAACATGTCAGGTAGACTGGGAGTGATATATGCTTGAACTTGAGTGTGAGATAGTTGAACTATTACAGTAACGGTTACAACTCGGTGATTACCGATGAGCAGCTAGTGTCAGCGCTGGCAGCTGAGAGTTTGGGCAGTGACTCACTAGAAAGGTCTCGAAGAGACTCTGGTGGAGTAGTGAAGTCAGGCATGACTTGCGCGGCAGGTTTTTGTAGGCAGTAAATGCGCTTTGAGGTGGTTCGACTTCGTCTTCAGTGTCTGAAGAAAACCTAGAGAAAAGTAAGAACGACAAGGAAACTCATTTATCCTACTGGTATTCGTAAAGCGGTGATGACGGACGAGAGACATGCAATTTCGCACCGGCTGTTTTTAGAAAATAAAACGTGGAGTTATCTTGCAGCTTGTTGTTAAAGTTATCGATGATGATTTGAACTTTCATGTCACAAAGGTTGGATTCAGCGTTGAGGTGCATCCACTCGTCGCGTCGATAGTCGGACGAGATCACTTTATACGTCTTTTGTGCGTCGTTGCTGGGATTCAGGATCAACAGCTCGTTTTCTCGCGGCTCGAGCATGAATCGAGATGTTGAAACAAGGTTTGTAAGCTCGCAGACCACACCAAGGAAAAGCGTCTTATCGGATCCGAGCTTCGGTTTGTAAACGGGCGTACATTTTGCTTCGACGACGAAATTCAAGTCGGGCGTAACGCCGAGGCAATACAAGTCACCTTCCCGAGAGAAAAAATTTTCAAATTCTATTTTCCAACCGGCAAACGAGTAGGTTGTCTGGAATGACATTCCCTTTTGTCGATTCCGATAGCATGTTGTCCCTTGGCGATCAAAGTCTCCAGCAAGCCTTCTGTTGGTAGTTTGACTCCTGCGGTTGCAAAGTTGATCACGTCTTGACAAACTTCTACTGGGCCGTGATTGTTAATTTCTGAAAGTTTATTTGGATCTCACGGACATCCCAACGAATAAAAAGTCGGAAAGACAGATGAGAACCTATATCGCATGGAGCTCCGTTAGAAGATTTTGATGGTGAATCTTGGGGCATTTCTTCTCTTTTAACGAGGCCTCGCGGTGGCGGCATGATCGACGGGCGCTTCGAAAACTTCTTTCGGATAGATCCAGTCATTGCATCAGATACATTCAGAGTCAGCTTTCGAAGACGATCCGCCGACCCTGTAAATAAATAACGATTGTTGAATAAAATTTAGTCTAACCCAAGAACTTGTTTCTTAGCCCCTTTTTGCTGGGGCCTGGATCTGCCAAAAAGTCACCAATGTCGTAGTGGTTCATTTTTGATGCACGCCCGTCAATTGACTGAATTGATGTATTTACAAATGCTCCTGCAATTGGCAGTAACAGAATATCATTATTTTGAACTGAGTAAAGGAACAATGAAAGATTTCACAGAGAGAATGAGGGTCGCGATCCTTTAAAAATGCCTTCTAGGAGAGCTGTTAAGGTGACTGTACTCGCTTAACACATATGCCTTTGTTACTTTTATGGGAAACGTATTCAGATGTGATGTTAAGCCATTCCTTGTCCAACACTTCGTCCGTCGACCGTGAACACATTGGCCACGTGTTCCTTTTCGATATCTATTATGCTGTCGTCTTCAAGCTCTGGGATATATAGAGATCCTCCGGCGAGATTAATAAACTCGGCCAAAAGCTCGTTGTTCGGTATAGGTTCCGTGAATTCTTAAGTAAACAATAAGAGCTCAACCTAACACGGTGCGAGGAGTCTTACCAAAGCGGTATCCTTCGAATAAACGATTTCTGTTTTTATCGGTCAGCAGTGGCTCGAAGTTGGTAGTTTTTGGGCTCCACTTAAAAAATAATTGAAAAGTAAGTCCCTGATCAGTTAATTAATTAAATTAATTAATCATTTTAAAAATGTAATTTTGATGGTCAAGTACTCACTCTGACTATTTGGACATTATTAAGAAGCGCGATGAAAAGTGAACGAGACGGCATCTTTAAAGTCTGTGTAGTCGTTACGAATCTGTAGATCACTCGACGAGCATCCACTAACTCGTTGATTTCAGCTGTATTATTTCCAACTTTGCGGAGAGCCTCTTCTGGAATTTGAATACCCCGTCCATCGTCCAAAATGTATACTGTCTCTAGAGTTTGCCGGTTACGCTTCACGGGGTTCGAGCCGTTTAAGGAAATACGCTCTTTTCGTTTTCGACGCGGCGTTACGATTACGTTGTCAAGCATGAGATTCGACGCATTTGGAAGAGCGTTTGTGTTTTGCGTTGCCACTAAATTTCGTGTTAGGTTGACTCTATTTTTACGTAGATGCGACCTTTAAATTCAGGAATCAAATGAGCGGGAATGTCGGAAAGTTCCAATGCACAATCAGAAAACTTAAAACAGTCAATAGATCTGCTAGAACATCGAGTAGACTTACAGAAACGAATGAATGAACCTCGCGATTGAAATTGTCTTCGTACACGACTCTGTATCCGCAACGCGTTGAGTAGAATCTTCTATTTTTGTCTTGTCGCAGGTCCACATTACGATATCTTCCGATCTTACCGGTAATTGTGCAGGGCACCCACTCGTCCTGGTAAAAAACGTGCTTTGACCGTTACAGCTCGTACAAACTAGTTTACCTTGCTTATAATGTTTCTTGCCAAGGTTTTCATGCCAACTTCCAGATCAGAAATAAGCAGGATGTCGTTTTTGTCTACTGACACGGCCTTCGTCATCTGTTGGTCGCAAAAGCTGACTTTGCATTTGTTTGTCTGTGGGCCGAGAATCTCGTGAACAACAGCAGGATAGTAATATTGGTCGTACTTGACGAAGCATCGCGCACCAACATCTAGAGACGAAATAATATACCGCCAAAAAACGATAACATACAGTTACCGTATTGGCAGATAGACTTTGTGAGATTTCTTGTCGCTTTATTGATGATAGTCAGGTCCGATGGTGGCTGACAGATCAACACGCTACTCAGATCCATCTCTGGCTCCCGTGGTGTCACTATTCGTGGAGTTACTAAATTGGGATCAATAACATTAGAATGTTTTAGTGATCAAATATGATTTTGACCCGTTCCTGGAGTTGGCGGCTTTTGAGGTTGTTGGCTATTAGTTGAAGAGGCGATTACGATGGTTTTACCCGTGGTAAGTTTAGGAGGCTGCAGAGCGGGAGATTGAAGTGTTGAATTATTTACAGGAAGCTCTGTTGCAGCTGGTGAAGATTTCCGTTTTCGTGATGGACTCTTTTGTGCCAAGGGCGGCCGACGAGGCGAAGGACATGGAACGAGCTTTGGCATTTGTGGCAAATCTGGTCGAGTAGGGTCGAGTGGTGGCGGAGTCGAAGGAGGAGCTAGATGAGGGATCGAGGGCGGCGAAATAATTTGTTTAGTTTCTTCTTTCGTCTCACTCTGTTGGGTACTAGCTCTTTCGATTTTTTTGTTAGAGTCGGCACTCAACGGCGGCTTTTCCAGCGGAGTGGGAGGCTGAAAAGTGCCTGAAGTTCCGGGAGTGTCGAAGTCAAGGTTGTCCAGAGGTTGATCATCATTGTCATCGTCAATTCCGATTACTAATCCTTAAGTTAAAGACACGACATTCGACTCACACAAAAACCTTTTGATCGATCATTCACCGGTTCTTGATGGCTGTAACCGTTATCCATGGAATCTTCCATGTAGCCAGGGCTCCTTTTTATATCCTCTATTTGGATCTGGGCAAAGCCTTTTTGGGGGATTGATGTTTGATGGACTGGTGTGCGTTCTTCTTCGCGCATCATCATTTCTGCAACACTATTTTGGCTGATAATTCGAGGACAACAAAATTGTGTCCATCGTGAATAAAATAAGCCATTCCTATTTGTCGGTTTCGTTGTTTTTCGTTCAAGTTCCGCTGGAGTCATCATGATCGTCGTGTTGGACTCAGAGCTTTTGGTTTTTGTTCGTTTACAAATTTCCTTCCCATTCAGGTAATAGATCTTGGTCGTGGTGATAGTGATGATCTCCTTCTTGAGAACTTTGTGCATTGACGAACTACCGAAAAGGTCGTCGTCGACGACTTCGGATTTAACATCTTGCAGAAATTGTGACATGGAATTGGCAGCTGGAATAGCAGGAAGAGGAGTGCATGGATCGTGCGTACTGAGTGCCTCACTTGTATGAGGGGATATATCGTTTTTGCCCGAGCCAGAATGCTGCGGGGTCAAATCAGGAGGCAACTCATTGCCATGAATAGAAGAGGGCGTAGAATTCTGAACCGTCAGGCCTGACGAAGACGGCTGCTGGAGAGGTGATGGTTCCGGCGGAGAAGGATTAATTGGAATCGGTTCTGGCTCATCAAGTCCAAAAATTTCATCCAAACCGCTGATTCGAGAGCAGGTTGTGGCAACGGGACGCCATTTCGCATTGAAGCTATCCTCTTGTCCGCAAATTTGAGTGGCCAAACTTCGATCGTCTGCTGAGGGTTGTCCGTTTTTTATCCCACTGTCAGGCTACATAAGTGTATTAGAAGAAATCTATGCGTCAATCACTAGGTTCGAAAAAGCACTGGTAGCACTAGACTGTTAGGGAGAAAAAAAGAACTGGTAAAGAGAACCATGTCTCTGATTATAAGGATCTTTCTCTCCAAAATAACCTCTTTCTACAACAAATATTCAACAAAAGAGGACAAGATATGATGATCATATAATAAGATTCATGGAAGTAAGTTCTTTTTTAGTTATCAAGTTTGCCTCTAGCCCATGTCTGTTTTTACTTTCTGGAGCCTAGATATGCTTTTTTAAAATACCCAATAGTTTGACCAATTCATCTTACGAATGTGTTTGAATCGAAATCGTAGCCAAAAGGCAACTCATCCATCTAAAAATATAAAGTAAGATATGATTTGAACTCACGGATAAATTTTCAGAAAAAAAGCAGCAGAAAAACAACTAATTGCACAGGTATATGAAGAGTGTAAAATGGGAAAGAGGAAACTTCTGAATTTGACGGACTACTTTTCCTTGAGTTGTATTTAAATGAAGACCTGGCAAAAGAAAACTTCGAAAAATATAATCTTGGGTATCTGTAATGAAGAAATATGATTTGACAACAAGTGAAACAGGCGGTGAAATGAGGCATCCTTATTTGGTTTTCGGATCTAGTTCGGTATCTTGCATTGCAGAGGTGTAAGTCATCAGAAGAGTCTGTAGAGATGTAACTCGCTCTATACTTTGCTTTATCGCCAACGAAAAACGCTACTTGGCCGTTACCTGCGCACTTTTTGATGTTATTCTCGAGCGATATTGAGTCTGGATTGCACTGAAACTCAAGCTGCATCAAATGCTTCCTACCAAGTTCAGCTTCAATCTCTCCTTCTATTTTGCTCATTTCTTTTTCGATCGCAAACTTTCGTTCTTCCACGGGAAGATCGCTGAATATTTTCGATCCTTCAGCTTTGGCCAATACAGCGAACATGTCTTCTTGGTTTTTGGCAACTTAAGAATAAAAAAAATAAATGGATGCTCTTAAGAATACGAGTTTTGTTGATAAAATGTAAAGGATTAAATGCTCCACTGCTCGAGATCGTATAATCCAAATATATAATAGAGGCCTGAATAGTCCCTTTTACCTAAATCAGGTTGATATTTGTGTACTTGACTCATCATCAAAATCTCTCGATCATCAACTGGAGTGCCCACCTCAACCTCCTCACACTCATCTTCGATTTGGCTTAATAAGATGTAAAAATGCAATATTTTTACATTTAAAATCCATACCTATCCTCCCTAGATTGCGGCCTCACATTCATAGCTTTTGGTGTTGACCTAGGGCTAGAGTTCGCTGGTTGAGTAGTGTCGGATTTTTGGTGTTTTTCGTTCCAAAACTTGTTTCTGATATTTCCAAAGATACGGCCACGGCTTGATGGCTCAAGCGTTGGCGCTTGCTGAATTATAATTTTGAAATACTAACGAAATGAGAGGAGCACCCAAATTACCTGAAATGTATTCTGAGCATCTGATTTTTCATATTCCGTTTGAACATTTGATGTTGTTTTTGGTACTGAGGGTTCTCTCTCAATCGTAAGCGCGAACTCTAGTGTTAAGTCACCGATGGCGAATTCAGGTCTAAATCCTCGATTTGTATTTATGGGGCCAACTGCGGCTCTGAAACGCTCTTCGACGAAGTTAGGTGGCTGCGAAAGTTTGATTTTGCGCTGAAACGACTTGCTATTCAAAGCGTTATCAGTTTGATCGTATGCAATTGCTTATTACCTCAATGTCTGCGTTGCCTTGAGAAGAATCGTGTCGATTGGCACTTCCGCGATCCCAAGAAGGTTCGGTTCTTCTACACCGTGTGGCTTTTCCCAGACTCCTACCAGCAACGAGTTTAGATCCGTGGAAATGTGAGTTTTAAAAGTTTGATAACGCCATTGGTACGTATTGTTGGATTGTTGCGCAACTTTTGTGCGATAAAAGCGATCTTGTGACGATATAATATTCCAGAGTGAGTTGGAATCGAGGCGCTCCGGCTTCGTCTTGGGAATGGGAGGAATTTCTTGGTCTGACTTTCGGGGGGTTGATGTTTGGCTGGGCGTCGCCTGGGAAGATTCTTTCTTTCTATTTCGTAGCACTGGTAATTCCTTCGCATGGTCTCTGAGATTTCGCGCGAGACCCATCAGCTTGGCGCGTTTGCTTTCTCGTCCCACTTGCGGACTAAAGTTCTCTCCAGCTTCTACAATATCGCCTTCAGTTTCATCATCTGCCAGAGCTATGTTTTTCTTTTTGCCAACAGTGATATTAACGAACTCGTCAAGTTTTTCTTCTCGCTCTTGCATTTCGGCGATGGAGTCGTACGAGCGAGATCCAGGGGCATCGTCCAAGCCGTCCCCTGCTTCAAAATCAGTTTGCGTTGCAGACACATTCTTGTCGGGATTTGTTTGGAGCTCTGCGTATGTTTTATCACAAACGAGGAATGTAACGAAACAGCAGGATGAAGTGCTAGTGGGTGAATTGAATAGGCATGGAAAGCCTCGTCCTCTTTTCGCTGTTATAGATAGCTCGCTTCGTGTCGTTTTGATAAGCTCGCGCTCAGGGTCTCCTGGCCGGTACTTCAAATCGAAGTGCTCGTTCGAAAAGAAAGGACTTTGACGCAGTTTGAAATTCGGAACTGTGTGGCGCCGCTTAAAAAACCGCCGTGAGATTGAGCCTGATATAAAACGATAGTTTGTGATACAAATAATGATAAAATAAATTTGCACATAGAATCTATAAAACATAGTTACCTGAACCATTCTAATCATATGACTTGCAAAGAGGTTTTCGATTGTCTTTGAATAGCGATTGTTGAGATTGGTTTCAACTCGGAAGTCCAACTCGGGCTTTTCCATAAACGAAATATACCAGTAAGGGAAGGGCCTTCGTGTGAGATGGAGACGAGCTCTTCCTTTTATTTTGAATATTTTGATCATAACAGTTACTGAAGAAGAAAAGAGTATCGGCCAACATTCGGCTGAGACTTGAATTGGAGCTGGATCACGGTTGGCGTCGATTTGCGCACCACCGACATCGTAGTCGAGGTCGAACTCGATCGATATAGAATCTGTCCAAACATCGCAGTCAACGCCTTCAGGCTCTGTTAACCGGAATCTTTCCTAGGATTAAATTCCTCGTTCTTTATCAAACGGTACTACAAAACAGTAAAAATTCGATCCGTGGCTAGAGAAAATCGGGATGACAGAGCCAAATTCATAATCTTTCAATGCAAGCTTCTGAAGGACCTTCTTGGAGCTATCCTTCACTTCCTCGAGTTCAACATTTATCTTCTTGACAGCAAACTGATGCAGGGCATCAGAATAACAGAGCTCACGGTAGACAAATGCGATCAAATAGTTAAACCAGTCATCTCTTTTATTCAGCAGTTCATAAAGGCGCGTTGGAAGACTTGGTTCTTGGATCGGCCTGACTATTCTAGACAAAGAATAGTTATTAACAAGCGTCCCTTGATGAGCTCAGTATTTACCTTGGAGGCTCATAACGTAAATAAGCTATTGACAAGTATAATGCTGCGACTGTAAATGCGATCCCGAAAAGAACGCCAATAAAAATCCCATCTACATTGACTTAGACATCTGAAGAAAATTGACTATTTATTCCGTAATTCAGCTAGTTTTGTGTATAGGTTGCAATCTCTCGGTTTTAGTTTGGCAGTAATCGAGCAGTTAAAAAGTCATCGTGATTTTCAATTTATCCTATTGATTTTCGTCCTGGCGTCATTTTAACTACGTCGGCGTTGGGAAGCTCATTCGTATCTAGAAGCCTACAAGAACTATTTAAGTCTAGAGGGTACCTGATTTGCTCGGCGATAGAGAAGTATTCATCCAGCCACCAGTGGGTGTCTCAACTCGCTCTACACCACCTTCTGGCTTCTTGAAGTGCAGCTTCGTCTTTACTTTATCGAAGAAACTAGATCAAAGTTGAGCGGTGCCGAAAACAAAAGCGACTTACCTTGATTTCTTTTTCTTCTTCGAAACAGAGGTCGGGGCTCTAAAGTTTCCACCTAAGTGCGCCTGGAGACTTGGTGGTGTACCACGATTATGAGCGTCCACACGATTTAGGGAGGTGATGCTTCTTTCATTTGCACTAGAACTATTTCTTTCCAGCTGGCCATTTTTGCGCGACTCTTTGCGGAAACTTAGGTGATAGTTACTACTTGTATTAGAGAAAGGATAACAGCGAGGGCAGACAAATCTGACTTGATTAAGGCGTTTACCGGTTAAGACTGGAGTGACTTTTGGCACCTCTTTTAAAGGGTGACGTATTCTCGGACTTGACGGGCTCGGAGATAAGTATTGGGATCTTAGATTCGTTAGACTCCCTCGTCCCCTAAGGTCACTTGCTTATCTAGATCGAGCTTTGCTCGGTCGCCGCCGTGTATTTCTCTCCATTCGGTAATTCACGCAGTTCGTGAATTAACCTCTATTTTACTCCAGCTCGAAATACAGACGTCAAAGATACTTTACTCGTTTTCTTCACTCGTCCAGATATAGAGAGCAGGCAAACTACGCTAGAAGTGGGAGATTCAGCAGAAGCTAGGATCCCTTCAGTGGTATCAGAGTAGTCCCGTTGGAGAAAAGGTAAATTTTTCCGCCATCGACAACCGAAGTTTCGCAACTTGGACGCTGATTGGCCGTCAGCGGAGTCGAGGGGAACCGAATCACCAACCGCCACCGCGCCGCCGGAGAAACTCCACTCAGAGAATTTTCCGCACCACACCAACACCACCCCGAGCGAGCGCCACCGCACGAGCGCCACCACGACCCACGCGCCGAAAGTCGCGCCCACGCAACCACGCACGCACGCCGGGGAAAACCTAAAATACTGAGAAAAACATAATTCTTTCGCCACTTTTCACCAAAAATCGAGAGAAGTTTACGAAGAATCGACCCTTGGACCAGACCTTGAAATTTCGACAATCGCTGGACAGAGAAATCGTCGGGCGTTTGCGCAAAAGGCACCTCAGCTCATCATATTGCGACTTTTAGTCGCAGTATTTTCTGAGGGCCTGAAAGGTAATCCAAGGCCCATAAACCCTTACTGCCGATATATTTCGAGCTATGGCGGCGAACAAATCACTGCTAGAAACCGTCACCGAAATAAGAAGCATAAACGATCGAGTAAACTACCTCGAAGAACAAGTGCGAAATGACGAATCACTAAAGCCAAGCCTAGAGCCCTTGATCACAGAAAGCAGAGTAAAATTAGAACAGCTCAGTACAACGCTTCTTACCTGCGAGCTCGATCAAGGAAAAGACTCTACGAATGCGACAAT